GGGGGGAGGGGGTGCAAGCATGAAGAATCCGACGCCGAGCGCAGAGCTGTGTCGCTCGCGAGACTTCACTTAGTTCGTCTTCTTCAGCACTGCTCGCCCAGTTCCAAGCCTCTTCATTCCCGAGTTCTTCCTGCCTCCAAGCCCGTTGCTTGACGCGCCTGCAGTCGGTAAAGTTGCAGGCCGAGCAGAGGAAGGTTGTGAAGTTGAGCCCGAGCTAGCGGAGTCGCCTGGCAAAAGATTCATGATGCTCGACAGACCATTATTGTGGGCGGTCTGGAAGCTCGCCAGATCCGCCTTGGGCCGGCGTGCTGTGCCATTAGGGCCGACAAACGAATGTACGTGTTCGTTCTTGCTCATGCGATATTCGTCCGTGAACGAGGGTGCGGCGACCGCCTTTGGGGCCCTTCTAATGTCCTGGATCTCGAATCCGCTATTGGGCGTGGAACGAGACGGTTGCACCGCCGTTGCCATGGAACCCGACGCTGTCTGAGATCTCTGGATCGGCCAGCCATTAACGTCGTACCTGCCGGTTCCTTTCGCTTGTAAATATGCTTGTGCTCTGCCGCCGGCGCTTATGCCGCTACCACTACCACTAGAGGTACGTGACAAGACTGAAGTTGCGGATTGGAAGCCCACTGGCGTGACTTTGGGTCGAATGAGCGACGTCCCTTGGCCGGAAGCCATTGGCGTCCCGTTGCCCGATGAAGGTCCGTGTAGGTCAGAGCTACTGAAACCAAAGCGATTCGTCATGAAGCTGCCGTATGGCAGAGCAGGATTTTGGAGCGACATGGCATTGTCCGTGTCTCTGACCCTTGCTGCTGTATTGCTCTTCTCGAACTTTTCGATCATTTCCATGACGACGTCCTCAGACATCTCTCGTCGGCCAAGGACGCTGGCAATGTCAACTCTTACCCTGGTATCGATGGTGGGTCGGTCCGTTGCAAAATTGATGCAAGGGACATGCTTTGTCTTCTGAGCTTTGCTCGACACAGCGCTGGATGCTGAGCCAATGAAGCCACCCGGTTGCAGCAACGTGGTGCTATCGTTCCCTTTCCATGTGCCACCCTTGATCTGTTTGGGGTCTGCAAGCCGTGAGACGAAGGGTGAAAGTGTTTTGGGCATAGTTTCGCCGTTGACCATGCGGCCCGTCGTGTAGGTGAGATAAAGAGCTGCTTGGGCACGGGTGGCGGCCACGTACAAGCAACGGATCTCTTCGTTGACCTCCTCCTCTGTCGTGGCGCGAAAGAACGGATAGGTGCCTGACTCGACAGCGATGATGAAGACGATGGGATATTCAAGCCTTCAAGGAGCATATGAGCATCGAAGATTGCTCAGCACAAGAGTTGACCCTGCACTCACCCTTTGGCTGCATGATTCGTTGCAATCGTCACCTTTGGCATTTTTCCGTCTTCGTCGTCCTGCTCCATGTCTGTCGAGAGGGTACTTGCCTCCAAGAATTGGTGCAAGGTAGATGTCTTTTCGAGAGCCTTGTCCTTCCCAGCTTTGTCCCTGTCATCTCTTTTGCCTGGCGAACTTGTTGCGGAAGAAGACTTCTTCGTCTTGGTTTTCTTTACCCGTGAGGCCTCGTCATCGGCCCCGACATTCTTGTGCCTCTGACGCTTCTTCGACGGGCTCGTATCCTCGTCCGAGCTGGCGAGATCGATAACCGCCACCTCTTCGTCTTTGATCTTAGCTTTGCCCTTGAGAGTGGATGAGCTCCCGAGGGATTTCATACCACCACCGTAACGAGAAACGGAATCCGAAACGCCGGGAGTCTCTCGTTTGATCGGACTGTCATGGACGAAAGCGTCATCGAGCTCTTCATCGTCGACTTCCAGATCACTAGTGCGGGCATTGTCAACGTGCTGCTCGAGCACCCTATCATATGCTGCCGCATCTTGAGACGACTGAGCCACGAGCGCGCTGAAGTTGATCAATTCCTTGACGTTTTCCCAGCGCTGATCGAAGTCATGCTCCTTCTGTAGATACTCCTTGTACTTGATACGCTGCAGCAGCGTCTCGATGATCTCCGAGACGGGTTGATCCTGAATGAAAGCTGTAAGATAAGGCTTGCAATCGAGAGAGAAGCTTCTTACTAACCTGCTTTGCCATACGTCGAAGCTCGTCAACGACTTGGATGAATTCTTTGAGTTTGATCTGCGTCGATTTGCGCACCCCATAGATAGGGACATCGGACTTGGCAACCTTTCGCACGATCCTCATCGTCCTTATGCCCTCCGAGTCGGCCACCTTCTTGAGGTCTTCTACTGTTTTCTCGCCGATGGAACGTTTGGGCACGTTGATGACTCGCTCGAGGGCCGGCGTAAAGTCAGGATTGTCTGCAAGAGTCAGGTAGGCCAAGATGTCTTTGACCTCTTTGCGTTCAAAGAAACGTGCGCCGCCCATCATCCTAGAGGGTATGTTTTCTTGCTGCAGTTGCCGTTCCACTTCTCGCGAAAGCGCGTTGAAGCGAAGCAGGATGGCGAAATCGTCATAGTTGAGCAGTCCACCAGTGTATGCGACGAGACGCTTAATCTCGGTGGCAACGAATGCGGCTTCAACCTGGGCTGAGCTATGAAGCTTGAGACGGACCTCGAGGCCGTAAGGGTGCGACGTGAACAGGTCACGCTCGATGCGGTTCGGGTCTCCTTCGATGATGCCCTTTGCCGCCTCGAGAATCTTGCCAGTGCTCCTGTAATTCTCTTCGAGGAAGGCCTTCTGCACGCCAAGCGCATTGTTGTCTCCGAGGAGCGCACGTCTGCCCTTATTAAATTCTTCTTCCATCAGCGACAAGTTTCCGATCTCGGCAGAGCGCCAGCCGTAGATTGATTGGTCTGGGTCGCCCACGATAGTGACGCAGTAGCGAGAGCCATGTGGACCTCCCATGCAGGACATGATATCGTACTGAATCGTGTTTGTGTCCTGAAACTCGTCCACAAGACTGCAAAGGAAGGAGGGACCCGGGGTGTGTGTTAGAGGTATCGTGTGGCGAAGGACAGCTTTTCGCAGAAAGTACTCACATATGCCTCATGCCCAATGTCACACCCGCCTTTTCATCGCTCAGAAGACGAAGACCATTGACTAAAAGGTCATCGAAGTCCAAGGCATTCTGCTGTTGGAGGTAAGCCTCGTAAGCTCTGTAGATGACGGCGATTGCGCTGCGCACTTCGGTGCGTTCCGGTTTAAAGCGTCCGTTGTTGACTTTGACCCTGCCGCTCTCAATGTTGCGAAGATATGTATGGAACTGCTCGGCAGACATGTTCTTGGACTTCGCCCTCGAGATCTCAGCCATGCAGATCTCTGGCTTGAGCTTTGAGGGAAGCTTGTTGGCATCGAGATGGGATTGCAGCTGCTTGATCTGTTCCTTGATAATCTTCTTGCTTTCATCGGCGTCCGCAATCGTAAAGTTGTTGGGAACGCCGATGAGGCCGCCATACTTGCGCAAGAGTGAAGAGCAAGTGGCATGAAATGTCCCTAAGATGGGCGAAAGATCCGATGAGCGAGTGACACAACAGCTGCTGGAGCCGAATTAGAGCTTACCCAAGACGAGGTTGGCGGTGCGATAGGGTCCAATGAGCCCGAAGAGCCTCTTTTTCATCTCACCAGCGGCCTTGTTGGTGAAGGTGACGACAACGAGGTTCCTTGGGTTGATCTGCTCATGCTCGATCAGCCACGCCACCCTGGCGACGAGCACCCTCGTCTTGCCACTGCCTGGACCGGCCAGGATCTGCAGGGGGACATCGGCGGGCGCCGTGGCGGCCTCATACTGCGCGCGTGACAGCGTAGCCAAAAAGGCCTGCACCGTATCCGTGGCCGCTGCTTCGCTGCTCATCCTTCCCTCTGCCTGCTCTCTGTCCGCAGAGGTCGTGAGGGACACTTTCTTGCTTTTGGGCGGTGAGGCAAAGTAAATTCCTCCTCGACGCGTCGAGGCACGGTCCTTCTTGTTGGAGCGCTCCCTCCTATTGTGTCATCGGACGCCGCCCCGCGACGGCATGAAGAAGTCCTAAGCAGGCATTGTTCTGCTCCTAGGAACTGCCAGGACTCGCGGCAGGACATTTCATGCGATCTATTTCTGGACATGAGAGCTTCTTATGTCTCTCCAAACACCTTGGTGTTGGTCCGGTGTTGCTCTTTTGGCGTGTGTCTTATGTAAGCAAAGGCTGCAACGACATTGATCTGGCAACCTTCGACGACTAGCGGCACCGCATCGTCCAACGACCGCGACCCAGGGAAAGATGCGCGTCAGTTCGGTAGCAGCACTGCTGCTGCCTGTGTGGCTACTCCTAGCCACGGCAGTCGATCTGGCATCAGCTGTGAGACCGAATGACTTCAAAAAGTGCGGCGATTCGTCGTTCTGCCGCAGGATCCGACGACTATCCACCTACGCCGAGATGCACGGCCCTAAATTCTCCTCGCCTTACAGCATCAATGCCCTTCCGTCATTTGATCAGAGCAAACCCTCGCTCAAGGCCCAGGTGAGCTCGGCACTGTACCCTGGCGTCGATTTTGAGCTCGAAGTCCGCTTTCACAACGACGGCACGGCCCGTGTGCGCATGGACCAGGTGGGCAAGAGGCATGGCGACTGGAAGAGGTACGACGAGGCAGAGAAGTGGGGCATCGACAAGCAGCCCGAGCTGTTTAAGCAAGAGCATTTCTCTTACAAGTCCGATACGTCCCGCAGTACGGTTAAGTCAGTCCAACTTACGCTGGAGTGGCAAGACCCACGCACTGACTTGAATCTTCTTGTTCCAGCTTCGGACCAGAGGGCATCAACACCTTCATACTCGAGCACAACCCCATCAAGGCGACCTTTTTAAGGGAAGGATTGCCCCAAATTGTCCTTAATGGAAGAGGTCTGCTTCACATGGAGCACTTCCGGCCCAAACCAGACCCATTTCCGTCTCCAAAAAGCGAAAGCGACGGTGATGCCCCTTCGCTGGTCTTCCAGAACAAGAAACGCTCCCTTCAAGAGGCAGGCCATGCGGCGTCTGCGGCGGACGCCTGGGCAGGCTTCGAAGAGGAAGACAGGGGCGAGTGGGAGGAGACATTTGCCGGCCGTCAGGACAGCAAGCCAAAAGGGCCTGAAGCGCTTTCGTTGGACATCGAGTTCCCTGGCAAAGCAAACATCTTTGGGTTGCCCGAGCATGCCAGCCCCCTCAATCTGCGCAGTACGAGAGGCCAAAAGGACGGTGACTTCCACGAGCCTTATCGACTCATGAATACGGACGTCTTTGAATACGACGCCGATTCGCCGATGAGCCTCTACGGGTCTGTGCCCGTCGTGCATGCCGTACAACCCGGAAGCGCTGCCTCGGTCCTCTGGCTCTCGGGTTCTGAGACTTGGATCGACGTTGACCGTGTCCCGGGACCATCGGGCAACGAGACGGCGAGAACGCATTTCTTCTCTGAATCAGGCATCCTCGACCTCTTCGTCTTCCTCGAGCCTACGCCTGACAAAAATATGGCTCTCTTCTCGACGCTCGTCGGCAAGACACCTCTGCCGGCCTACTTCGCCTTGGGATACCACCAGTGCCGATGGAATTATTTATCGACCGACGACGTCTTGACCGTCAATGGCCGTTTCTCAGACGAGGACATCCCCATGGACGTCATCTGGCTCGACATTGAATATGCTAAGAACCATTGGTACGGTGTCTGGAACGACGAGACCTTTCCTAAACCCGAACGAATGCTTGAAGGACTCGATGCTGAAGGCAGAAAGCTCGTCATTATTATCGATCCCCATCTGGCGCGCAATGACGACTATTTCCTCTACAAAGAGGCTCGCACAAAGGACGTCTTTGTCAAGATGCCTGACGACAAGTCCGATTACGAGGGCTGGTGCTGGAGCGGTTCTGCAAGCTGGCTCGACGGCTTCCATCCCGACCTGCAGAACTGGTGGAACTCGCTGTACAGCCTGGCCAGCAAGAAGCTCAAGGCCAATGCCCGAAACATGCATTTCTGGCTTGATATGAACGAGGTGAGTGAGAGATATCTTCGTGTATGAAAAGGAACGTGAAGCTGACAGACTTCCCAATAGCCTGCCATCTTCAACGGGCCGGAGATCACAGCGCCCAAAGACGTCAAGCACCACGGCAACTGGGAGCATCGGGACATTCACAACATCTATTCGGTCACTTATCACGCCGCATCGACTCTGGCAGCCAAGCTGCGAGAGTCCCCTAATCAGAGACCTTTTACCCTTGCCCGCGGATGGTGGCTCGGGAGTTGGAAGCACGGTGCAATCTGGACGGGCGACAATCTCGGCACATGGGAGCACCTGGCGGTGTGCATTCCCATGATGCTTGCAAACAACATTGGAGGTATGAGCTTCTGTGGCTGCGACGTCGGCGGTTTCTTCGGTAATCCGAGCCCAGAGATGCTCGTGCGATGGTACCAGGCCGGCATCTTTGAACCCTTCTTCCGTGCACACGCCCACATTGACACAAAACGCCGCGAGCCGTATCTCTTGGACGAGCCCTTGCGGTCGGCGGTGCGTGACCTGATCAAGCTTCGCTACAAGATGCTTCCGACGTGGTACACGGCATTCAAGGAGGCGAGCTCTACGGGTCTCCCCGTCCTTCGACCCCAGTATCTCGTAAACCCTCATGACGCAAATGGATTTGCGGTGGACGATCAGTATTATATCGGTGACAGCGGTCTACTTGTCAAGCCAGCCGTGCAGAAAGACGCCACCAAGGTCGACATCTATCTCGGGGAAGACAGGGTGAGCAATGCTAGACCTCCTACTTCCGCCCCTCTCTGCGCCGTGCTGACGTCTCTATGAAGCCCTTCTTCAACTACTTTACCCACGAAATCTACCGCGGCTCGGCGAGTGGCAAACGCGTAAGCGTGCCGGCGCCCATGACATCGCAGGTGCCCATGCTGCAGCGTGGTGGATCTATTGTCACGATCCGGGAGCGCGTCCGTCGATCGGCTGAGCTGGGTTGGCGAGACCCTTTCACCCTCTACATTGCCCTCGATTCTCAGGCACACGGCGGTGTCAGAGCAAAAGGCAGGCTGTACCTCGACGATGGACAGACTTATGCGGACGAAGAGGGCGATTACGTCTGGAAGGAATTCGAGTGGCGCGAGGACTCCTCTGCCTCGGACGGCAGTGCGACCATCGTCTCAAAGGACGTCGAAGGAAGCAGCAGTGCTGGCACCAATGTGAGCGCTTCGTCAAGAGGAAACAAGGACGCCTTCAGAAAGTCGATTACGGACGTTCGTGTCGAGCGCGTCGTGGTTCTCGGCCTGGACAAGCCCCCACGTTCCATCAAAACAAGAGAAGGCCCCGTCGACTTTACCTGGAAGAAAGGATCAAGTGCCAGCGGCAAAGCGGGCGGAAAGGCTAGTGTGCTTGTGATTAAGGACCCCAAGGTCAAGATTGTTGAGGATTGGACCATCCATTTTGAGTAACTTGCTCTTGTCGAGGCAAATGAAATCCGAGACAAAGTCTGGAGCGGTGTTTGACGATTGAGAGAAAGGTCTTATATACAAGTCTGACAGATGCTACTGGTACGGGAACATTCGAAGCCTAGAGAGTACAGTCAAGAGAAAGGGTGGTGACCGGGCCGATTGGGAAATGAATAAAAGTATACAATGAATAGAAATCTCACTCCATGTGAAGCTGATGCTGGTCCACTTCGGCAAAGTATCGCTTTCTCTCTTTGCTTCCGTCAACGTCCGATGAAGACGGCTATGGAGTGCAGGGTAAGATACCTTCAAGCCGAATTGCTTTTCCGAGGGCGCTCACCTCATTTCGGTCCATGCTATCTTCGCTCAACGAAGTCAGATCCGAGCTCTCCTCAGCCTCATCTTTCTTGTTGTCTTTAGAACCAATTTTTGCCATTATCTTGACGCTGCTGTCCGCTTGAAGATTCGTACTCGCCTTTATCCGCCTTTTCGCGCCCGCATCCTCCGGCAGCCTCAGCCCGAGCCTTCGCTGCCTCGTTTCTACTTCGTCCCCCACCTCCAATTGTCTCTTCATCGGCCCCATGCTCTTCTTCATCGAGCTCCACTTTGTCTTTTCTTCCGAGGCCTGACTCTCCTGCACGCTCTCGCTTTTTCCACTGTTCTTGCGTCGTTTCGAGCGCGCTGTGCTGGCTGTCCTGACCAGTGTACTGTCGGTTCGCTTTCTCGCCGGTTTCAGCCTCATGATCTGGAACTGCGAGAGTGGCCTCTCGCGCCTCTCTCCTTTCGACTGCTCTTCAGTTGCCATCTTCAAGCGGCGCTTCGATCTCGGTGCCTCGGCTTTCCTCTTTGCCGTCCGTCGTCGAGGTCGGAGCTCCGACAGATCGAGTCCATCATCTTCCGGCGAAGAAGAAGTTGCAGAGTCTCGAGCTGGATCCTTCCTTTCCTCGCTGCTAGAGCTTGAAGACGATGAAGGCGACGAAAGAGGAGCTTGAGCAGATTTGAGAACTCGAGTGCTTTTGCGTCGTTCTTCTGCCACATTGATGGGCGGAAGATCCTCAACGTCCTGATCTTGGCGTGTCGCGAGGTCCGCCGTGTCGTGAGTATCCTCGGGAAGTGGAGCAGGCGCAGTCATTGTACCAAAAGCGGAAGGCTTGTCGCTCGTTTCCTCGCCTTCTTCCTGTTCAGACACATCTTCCGAGAATTCTTCTGGCTTCCTTCCAGGCCCGACTCGACGTTGAACTCTAGAGCGGCGACGCAGGTCCAGCTTCTTCTCGGTATTGAGGAAACCGAATGGATCAGGGGTACCGACGGCCGTCTCCTCATCATCCCACTGCACTTTGTCAACGGTAGGAGGATCCAGCGGCTCGCTACGCTCTTCCATTGAACTGGAGAGCATCCTAGCCACCTTGGCTTTGATACTTGGGATGCGGTCAAACCGTTTCTTGACATGATCAAAAGTGACAGGGGAGCGAATCTGCCAGATATCGTCTCCTTGCTCAGTCTTGACTGTTGTCGAAGCACGAGCCGACGTAGGTGCCTTTGTCGTCGCTACGACAAGGAGCTCGTCCTCGTCCTCGGATGTAGGCAGGCCCAGATTCCGATCGTATTGCTTCAGATCCATTCTTTTGCGTTGCCTCGTTGCTGGTGAGTCTTCCGCTCTCTCCCGGAGATGCTCAATTTCATCAGTGGTTTTGCTCCTGCGACGCACCATGTGGTTTCCACCGGGGCTCAACGGAGGAGAAGGCACCGCTCGACCACGAGGCGTTGTTTCCTGTCTCTTGTAAAGCTGCAAAGGGTCGTTTTCCTTGTTGCTTGTATTGGAAGGTGTCTCTGACGGTGTCGCCTCGGCGCCTGGCTTCCTCGAGGGAGGGCGTTGGAACATCTCTATGCTGATGTTGCCCGCTACTCGACTTGACTCTTGGAGAGCCGGGCCTTCTTCAACGTACTCAAGATCGTCTTCATTCTCTTCCTGTTGAGTGGGGCCTGCGATCCGCTTCAGTGAAAGTCGAGCCGCCGGTGATGACGGCAGATTGGAAGTGTGTAGATCTTCCGACTGAGAAGATGAGCGCTGAGAGTCTCCGTCTCGAGGGAAACCGGGCAAAGCGAGGAGCGGTGTATCCAAGTCGAGAGCTGCCCCGAATTGCGTCTGTCCATCGCTTTCGGACGTGCCTCGCAGCGCAGCGGGGCGGTCGTTCGCACTTGAAAGCTTGCGTGAAGATCCATCGAGCGCTGCTGGGTCGAAAACCGCCTCCTCTTTGAGCTCGTCGAGGTTCTTCACCCGTTTTTGTTTGATTTTGACCGTTGGAACTGCGATGACGCCCGCTTCGTCATCTGTGCGGATCCGATTGCTGTCCATCTCGCCGAATGGCTTCCTACCACCCATATCACCACCTCGCAAAGGCTTCGGCGTGCTTCTAGAGCCCTTTGCTGTCTTGCTCATGTCAATTTGGCTCTGGCCCGCGGCGGTGGATGCGACTGTGGAGGTGCTTGGGACCCGATCTGGCTCATTCCGACCGAAACGGTCAACGGTGGTGATCTTGGACCTCGCGGGTGTCATCCACCTGCCAGGTCTTCGCCTGCTTGACATGGCAGCGCTGCCACGCCCTTTCGTGCGTTCCTCTGCGTCGGCTATCGCGTCGTTGTCGTCGTGTATGATAAGGATTGACCGACCGCGAAGTGTTGCTCTACGCGCAGCTTCACGTGGAAATGGCGTCGCTTTCTAAGACGCGTCGGCGCGGCGGTGAGTTGCTATTCACGCATCACGAAGAACGAGACCAGGACCCCGTGACAATGACGACCGAGGCAGATGCGATGATGGAGGATGCTTCGGCAGCCGTGGAAACGGGCAAGGGCAAAGGCAAGGCTAAGGCTTCAGATCAGACGCAGGATGAGCAGACAGACCTGTTGCCGTGGTAAGTGTTGCTGTAAGCGTTGAGCTTGAGAAACGCTCGGCGCTGATCATCATCTCCTCGTCGCTGCACAGGGTTGAAAAGTACCGGCCCGCAACGCTCGACGATCTCGTATCGCACAAGGACATCACGGCCACGAGTGAGTGATTTGACCTGCGGTGTAGCAAATCAGAGACTGAAAGCTTGCTCCTCGTAGTCGAGAAATTCATCGAAAAGAATCGGCTCCCACACCTCCTCTTCTACGGACCTCCCGGGACAGGAAAGACATCCACAATCTTGGCGATGGCGAGGAAAATTTATGGACCGAACTACCGGAATAATGTACTGGAAGTAAGTACTTCAGTGTCTGGGTGTATCAAAGTATTGCCCTGACTCCTTCGGTCCAGCTGAATGCATCGGACGACCGCGGCATCGATGTAGTGAGGGAGCAAATCAAGAGCTTCGCGAGCACGAAGAACGTCTTCAGGTGGGTTCTTTTTTGCGTTTCACCGATTCATGTACTGAAAGTGCTTCGTTCACATAGCAACCAAGGCGGTTTCAAGCTCATTGTCCTCGATGAGGCGGATGCTATGACGACTGCCGCCCAAGGCGCGCTCCGGCGAGGTGCGTTGCATTTCTCTATCTAAGTGAGAACAGGCATGCTGACCAGGATCGCCCCAGTCATCGAGCAGTACACGCGCAACGTCCGCTTCACCATCATCTGCAACTACGTCAACAAGATAATTCCCGCTATCCAGTCGCGGTGTACACGCTTCCGTTTCAACCCGTTGGAGCTTGACCAGGTTGAAGGAAGACTGCAGCATGTCATCGATAGCGAAGGGTGCAACTTGACGCAGGATGGGAAGGAGGCCCTCATTAAGCTTTCTCGCGGAGATATGCGAAGGGCGCTCAATGTTTTGCAGGTTAGTAATGGCAAGCAATGACCAAGAGAAATTGGCTACGAGAAGGAGCTGATGAGGATCTTGCCAGGCTTGTCATGCCGCGTATGACCGCATAGATGAGACAGCCGTGTACAATTGTACGGGCAATCCTCACCCGGCTGATGTCGAAAAGATTGTTGACACAATGATGAATGCCGAATTCACCACGGCGCACAAACGTGAGTTGGCTCTCTTCCCTCTCGCGACGCTACGCCGCGCTCACACCTCGCACATTCACCACTTGCAGACGTTTCGGAGCTCAAGGTGTCGAAAGGGATGGCGCTAGCCGACATGGTCAACGGCATCTATGACATCATCTCGACATACAAGTTGCCACCGCAGACAAGAATCTACCTCCTAGATCAGCTCGCCCAAATCGAGTGAGTGTTTCCCACTGCTTCGACCTCAGTCTTTCTCTTGTGCTGACTCGAGAGCTGAACAGACATCGGCTGAGCACTGGCGGGTCGGAAAAGATCCAAATGTCGGCTCTATTGGGCGCAGTCAAGATTGCGATGCAGCTTTCGCAAAACAAGGCCTAGTGTCACCTTTCTCCCTTCCCTTGCATCGACAGCCGACAACCGAAAATGAACTTTGTTCATGAACTGATCTAAACATCGAAACCACGCTTTGAAAGAGAAAGAGAAATGATTGAGAGGTCAAAAGCGTCAAAGAATGGCTACAAAGGGGATTCGTCGAGGCGAGACTAGTACAAGGGAGTGTGTGCAGGAGAACGATGAGGTGGGCCTCTTAGGGGGCCTAACCTCCACCGATTGGGCCAAAATGAGAGAAGTAGAAGGTGATGATGCAAGGAGAGGCACTTATGGATATAAGAGAAGGACAGGGAGGAAAAGTGAAGAGAGGAGGGTATCACGGGATGCCAAAAAGGGGAAATTCCGAAGTGTCGCCGTTGGTAGGCGATTTTGAGAACGCTCTCACTGGACAGGCGACCTAACCTGAGGCACAGTGCCAGCAGGCGCATTCGCACTAGCGGTCGACCTGGGTGCGGCTCCCCTGATGCCCGCTTTGGTCGGAGAGAGAGAGGATGAGGGAGAAGATGTAGCGGTCGCCATAGAAAGGCGCTGTTGACTGCGCTGCTGCTGGCTTTCGTGCGCATGTCGGATAGCAGCCTGGTATCCATTGTCGTAGCCACCATCTGTAACCGCGCCACGGACCTTCCCGTTTGCGAATCTGAGTGCCGCCTTGGGTAGGTTGAGCGGTAGGAAGACCCAGTAGTACAAGCCTTCCTCGTGCCAAGCGTACTGCGCACCGGGGCTCTGCGGTGGAGTTGGATAAGAGGCCTTGGTCTGCGAACGCGATGGAGAAGTAGACACCGCTCCCGCATTAGTATAGTAGCGCGGTGGCGCTGCTGCTGCGGCTCCCTGTCGAGATGCCTTTGCGGCGCCATTGCTCGGCTCTTGCGCCGCGGTGATGCCCAACGATGCCGACGATGGCAGACTGCGAGGGGTGTCATGAAGATAATGACGGCTAGATTCTTGGGATCGCTGGCCTAGGGCATACTTGACGGCATGAAAGATCGATGCGGGCAGGTTGGCCGCCCGCTCCCTTTCTCTCCTTTCCTCCTCGATGAGTTCGGCATTGATGGCAACCTCGCGGACTACCACGCGATGGCTAGTCAGTCTACGTAGAGGCTTGAAGCAAAAAGAAACTACTCACGAAGATCCTCGAGCCGGCTTTCGACGAGGTCGAACTTGTCCTCTGCGCTCATGCGAAGATGCTCCTCTTTCTTCTCGTAGCGCCGCATGGTCCTGCTCAACTGCGTGAGGGGCACATCGATGCCGTCCTTGAGCATCGACACGTCCGTCTTCATCGCAACGAGCTTGCGAAGCGTCAAGATCTCCGTCTCGAGCCTCGAGAGACGACGGCTCATGTGCTCGACCCGAGACGAAGGATAGTGGACGACTTCTTGGAGGTGTAGCATTCGCTTTCGAAGGAGCGAAAAAGCATGCTGAGAGGTGCTATCAAGTCAATGGGATTGCAATGAGGGGCTTGAATGAGAGCCAAAACTCACGCTCCAAGGCTTGATGCCCGATGCCAGCATGAAGAGGCGAATGTTGAAGGTATTGCTGTTGAAGACGTGGTCAGCAAAAGTCGGGCAGAAAATGAGATGTGCACCCACAGAAAACGGTTGCCATCGGTAAAGGTATCCATGAGCCAACTAAGGAGCCAAGCACCGGCCAGAGGGCTGAGAACGAGAGCCACGAGGCTCATTGTTTCGGACCTCCTCAGCTCGGCAGCAGCGGCCTCGCGATGGCGGCGCCTCGCAGAGTCCTCTGAGTACGTCGGTGGCTGGGATGAAGGTGCCGATTCGGACAAGGGGCTGGAGAGGGGAGATACCTCACCCTCCTGGTCCATGGAGTCGCTGTGTAATATACGTCGAGTGCGTGCCTGAGTTTGCGCGTGCGAATGGTAAGCAAATGACTGGGGGCAAAGGCGCATCTTTGTGGATTAAGAGGTGTCACTCACCGCGTGGTATATGTCGTGTGGAACTGAAAGAGTAGAGCAGAGTGAGCATGTGAGAAGAGCTGAAGAGAGGCGATGATGCTGCTTACCTTTGAGAAATTGATAGAGCCAGAAAGAGGCCAAGACGAGGAGAATGGCATCGCTCCAGGCGTCGGCCCGACCACCCATCAAAGCGCCCAAGGGAGGTATGACCGCGATCAGCAAGGGAGCAAAATGCCAGCCTCCTAGGATGTTCTCTGGCTTGATGATGCGAGGATTGCCATACTCGTCGTTGTCGTCATCATTGTCGTCGTACTCATCCTCTTGCGTGCCCAGCGAAGGGGGAGCCATGGGAATGCTCGAGCTTCTGCGACGCGTCGGCCTCGCCGAATGGCGGAGCTCCTCATCGTCGACGTAGTCAATGTCCGAGGGAATCTTTTCGGACGACGGCGACCGCCTGGGCGAGTCATATTCGTTCATCGATCGGTCGCTCCGCTGAGGAGCCTTTTCACTCGTTGGCGACAAAGTGGAACGCTTTCGCGACTGTCGAAGCCCGCCTCCGTGTAAGGCTTCAGCCCCAGAGCCAAGGCGAGCCGATATCGACGACATGCTGAGACTCGTATCACCACCAGTGCACGCTGCTGCTGACGTAGTTAGTGTTTTGTCTTCGTCAAAGCAAGAGATATGTCGCTGTTTGACACAGATACGGGCGTGCGGCGAGGAAAGAGGCGTACAGGTGGCGGGAGCTAGTTGCCAGGCTAGGGTTCTTTTGCTCCCTGCTCGGGGCGAGCTTAGACACGCACGCGCACGGTCTCCTTGCTAAGTTGAGTTTAGAATTAACGCAAATCAAAGCGCGAACTGCACTACAGTGTTGGTTTCACATCTGATTGAAGCGATAAGACGGCAGCTGCTGCTGACTCTCACAAGGATTGGGCTACATGCGTGACCGTAGCTTCCTTGGTCTAGCAAATGGATGCAGACAGCATCGTGAGCCAGGCAGTGGGAAGCAATCCAAGTCAAGTGTGCTCTTCGACACTGCTAGAGGAGGAGCTATCTCGGCTCACTGCTCGAGTGATGGTCAAAGGAGGCCGTCTGCTCGCTTTCACATGACGCGAAACGAGCACCCGAAGACGAAGCTAAAGCATGCGAGGAGCGTGTCAACGACCTCTTCGTGCATCGCTCTCGACCGTTCTTGATGGCAAGAGGGTGGAAGAGGAGAGAGCTTGACCTACGCACTTCGATGCCCTGCCATCGTCCCAGGATGCCTTCCCGGGCATCGACACTGCTTCAATAGGGAAGAGCTTTCCCGATCGCGTGCGAGGTCGTTGGCTGCTAACATTGACAACTTGTATCGAAGTCGCCGTTTTGTGTTCTCGTCCGACCTCACACAACAGTGACACTGAGCAACTTCGCGAGCGCCATGCATCAACGCAGAGCGCATCGAGCTCCGCCCCGGCGGCTTCTTGGCATTGCTGACACGGGAGAAGAGCACGCAGTCCACGCACTTTTTGACGCAAAATACCGCACAGAGATCATCGAGGGTTCGTCCGCTCGATGTTTTCTCTGGTCTAGCAAGCCCGAAGACTCTGACCGAGCCCTTCGACCCGGAAGCAGCAGGAGTGCTTTGAGGATGCACTACCTCAAACTCAAGAGAGTTGTCGAACGAAGCAGATCTAATCGCAAGATGTTATGTGCTTCGCCGGTCTATGGGCGAATGCCGGTATATTGACGACCGGATTGATGGGAGATTGGAAAGGCCATGACACGAGCGAGAGACGTTTGGGAATGATCACATCCTCACGATACCAATTGATGGCTTTTTGGTGGTACACAGTTGTTTTTTCTGGATTGATCAGAAGAGACATGACTTGCTCTTCAATATCCTCCTCTCCCTCCTCCTCTGCCACCCCGTCCGCCGCGGCCACCGCCTCCCGGCCCTCCTCGTCCCCCACCGCGTGCGTTCTGATGCCCACCGCCTCGGCCTCCACGATGACCAAGCCCGACTCCACCACTGGTCCCACCCTGAGCCTGCCGCTGTCTCCTTGCCTCCTCCTCAGCCTCTTTGACCTGATCGATGAGCTGGTCCGTAACACGGCAGTACTTGACTGTTGATCCTCGGATATAGCACTCGGGTAGCTTCCAGAATTGTACACCCGTCTGTCCAGCCATGAGCGGCTCTTTCCATCAGTTCTGATACCAGGTTCATAGCGCGATCAGAGGCTGACTCACATTGCTCGTCTGATACACCTCAGTCAGGGTCAGGTTCATGAATGCGTCGCAGTTGTCGAGCAGGCCATTGAACGTCTCGCCATTCTTGAGCTCGACGAGAATCGTCTTTCCCTTTGCTGCATTAAGCAGCGAGAGCGGGAGCTGTAGAGCAACTTCGCATCAGTCATCCGCTCGGGGTTCTATTCCTCGACCCAACAACAAGCAGAGCCAATTGACTCACCATGGTTACTGCTATTCTGTAGTCGATGGCTCGTCGTCGTCAGATGTCCAAAGAGGGCCGATGTTGGATGCCTTGGTAAAATTGCCACGTGACAACTTACACCTTCGCGGCACCCCGATCACTCAGAATAACGAGCGAGAGACGATCAACAAAACTAGGCGTTCTCCGGAGGAGAAAGGGATCGCGCGGAAAGGAGACGACGACCGACATCTCCTTGCTCCAATGGTCTAGACACGTTGGCTTGTGTCTCTACAGCTGACTGTAACAAGCGGGAGAGGGGCGCGTCGTTTGCCGTGGACGTACCGCCCACACCATGAAGGTGAGTAGTATGTCTCTCGCACCCGAATCTTGCTTCTGAACTCCCCATGCTCGCGCAGTACCTCCTCCAAGCCATCGAGGCGAACCGCGACTGTGTTCCACTCTCGGATGCAGAGCTGCGACAGCTTCTTATCGAGGTCCGCAATGGTAAAGTGAGTCCTTCGTCTGTGCCCCCGTCGTCTTGGGAATCCGCTGACGGTCGGCTTCCGCTTCCCCGCATTGATCTTCGTCACACAGGACGACAGGCTCGAGTTCATCGAGTCGATGACGCGGCTCCTCGACGAGCTCCGGAGCAGCGTAGGTGTTCCACTTACCCCGTCACGGGAGCTCCACTAATCACCAGAGGCTCTGAAACAGGAGCATGCCACTGCCTTTCTCAACAAGGTGGCCAAGCGAGAGGCACCCGACTACTACGAGGTCATCAAGAACCCAATGGACCTCGGTACAATGCTGCGAAATGTAAAGAATGGGCGGTACAAGTCCAAGGCCCAATTCACCAGGGATCTCGACCTCATCTGGGACAACTGCCTGACTTACAACAGCGAGCCGGTGAGTCCACACTGCTCTCCTTTCCTTCAGCCTCCGGACAATGAAGCACTGACAACACAGCAACTTGTGCAGACGCATCCACTCCGCAGGAGTGTCCAGTTCATGCGGTCCAAAGCCAACCATTTGCTGGCGTACGTCAACGATACAAACGATGTCAAGGAGGCACTAAATCAGTGGGAGGCCAGCGCCGGTTTGAGCGCAATTTCGAGCCATGGCGGGGCACAAGATTCTGCTCTGGGGGCTGGTATACCATGGGCCGATGGAATGGTGCTTGATGGCGCAGGCGAATCGTCCTCCGCGGCGACGGCGGGTGCCTCCGCTATTAATGGCAAGATTGCGAAGCGGGACGGCAAGCTGATCAATGGTGCAAACGAGATGCTGGCTAGAGGCGCAGGAGTGAGTCGCATGCATGACAGACTATGAGGAGCAATCAGTGAGGTCTGACAAGCCGAAAGGGGACACAGCTGGCTTGGAAGCGAGCGCGCGCAATGGCCGATGCCCCATTTGAGCAGAAGCCAGCCCTGTTGCGGACGCCCGAAGGGATGAGCACATTCTCCACCGTTGAGGAGGCGCTCCAGAGGGAGGACCGAAGATGGTCGAGCAGGTATCTCGATAACGCTCCAGCGTCAGAAGGAGGGCCCAGCTCGAGACCACTGGATGCATTCACCGGACAGCCTGGCGATGGGCTCTCAGATCACACTGCAGCTGATCTGCTGCGAACTTTAGACGTCGGGGCAGATGGCGACGTACTTAGAGCGGCACTAACGATTGGCTTGGGCGGACAAGAAAGGAGATCTCCCACATCGCAAGGCAAGCAACGAGCGCAGTACGTCTTTGACGCCACAGACGAAACTTCAGGGGAGAAGCCACTGCTGGGCGCTTGGTGGTCCGCAATCTCTCATCCTTCGCTTCTGCCTTCCGGCGTGGCCCCCCTACCGGCGTCGGAGCGTCTGCCTTCAGGATCTGCACGAGTGGTCGGCAAGCCCAAGGTACGACGACGAAGGAGAACGCTGGCAAGTCGTCAAGGCGGCCAGGTGGGCCAGGGAGAAGGTCTTGGAGGGATAGACAGTGTGCTACGAAACATAAAAACAATTCAGAAGCTTCGCAGGACACACAGCAAATTCGGGGAGCTCTCCAGGCACCTCGAGCGTGACGAGGCCATTCCTGCCTGGCTGGCCGTGGCGTCATCTGATGAGGATGACGGGGACGACGACAACGACGATGGCCAAGACGACGAGGATGATGACGTCCGCACCGACGAAGCTGGCATCGAAATGGTGTCGGGGAGGGTGAGGAGGATGCGCGAAGAAGGTCCACCCCATCTAGCGTCAGGTCGAAATCCTTTCGAGAGAATCAGCAGCCAAGGTGCGCGAGACATTGTCCGACAACGATCTCAGTACTTGCTTGCCCACGCTGGCTTCGAGGGTAGCCAGAAGCAGGCAGCAGACGTCCTGTCTGAAGTAGCGGCCGAGTACATTATGAGCCTTGGCAAGACCATGTGCATGTACAAGGACAAGTTCGCGCACGAGATGAGCGTAGAAGAGATGATCTTACACACTCTCTTCGAAAATGGCCGGGCCGACATCCGTTCGCTCGAGACGTACATCGTCGACGACGTGGAGCGATACGGAAGCAAGCTTTCAGATCTTCTCCGGAAATTGCGGTCATCGTATCGCGACCAGCTGCAGGCTCAAGACAATCTTGCCATGGAAGACGAGGAACAGTTCTTTGACCACGAGGCCGCCGCAGACGATGAACAGGGTGAAAGACCATCAGGACAGCTCGTCTCCGGTAACTTTGCTGGCGAGCTTGGCGATGACTTTTTCGGCTTCAAAGCCCTCGGTCTCGACGAGGAGCTCGGCCTCAAGAACCTCAGTGTGCCCATGCGCCTCTTCCAGGCCAACGGGACGGCGAACGGAGCACCACGCCCTGGGCAGCTGGCAAAGGGCATCAAGGCCGGGCAAGGCAAAGTGGAAGGCGCGGCGGCTCCCTCAGCTGCCCTCCACGGCAAGGACCCACGGCTGACCAACGGGGCTATGCTTCCTTTCGAACCACCTCCACCGTTCCTCGTCATCGACGACTCGGCTATTCCCGCTCAGATTGGCCTATTGCAGGGCTGGTATCGCGATTGCCTCAGGGCCAGGGGCTCCTGGGTTCCGATCGAAGGTGAGGAAGACGAGGCAGTCTCCAAGGAAGGACCGTCAACAGAGCAAGGAGAGGGTGAAAAGACCAAAGGGACCGAGAAGGAGGCTGGCGATTCAGGGGAGGGGGGCGAGGAACGGCAAGGACAAGAACAAGGGCAAGGACAAGGACACGGACAAGAGCAAGGACAAGGACAAGAGCAGGGGCAAGGGCAAGAACAGGGACCTGGTCCTGGTCCTGGTCCTGGTCCTGGTCCTGGACAAGGACAAATGAAGCTGGTTTTGCAAGATGAAGAGATGGAGAGGCAACGATACAAAGTTCCGCCGAGTGGTAAGATGCCAAGACGAGACATGGCCAAGGATCGACAGCCCGCCACGGTCGCAATTCCCGGATCCAAGAAAGCGAAAGAATTGCCCAGTAAGGCAGCATCAGCCTCGTCGCAGCAGCAGCAGCAGCAGCAGCTTGAAGCCTCGAAGAGGAAGGCAACCGCGGACAAGAAGAGTTCGACCGCAAAGAAGAAGCAGAAGGCAGAGGAGTAGCAAAGTGTCCCGCTCTTGATCTGTTAAGGATTTCGCTCCTGTAATATCCTGTCTTCTGTCGTTCTGGACAATGTAGAATATCGTCATGCTCTAGTATGTATCGGGTGTCTGAACCTCAGCGACACGTGTGATTAGGAACGAAGTGGAGATCTGGCACCTATCTCTGGGATCTGCACGGGCTTTCTGTTCGACAGCCTTCCTCACCTCGCCCCCTGCAGACACTGCTCGGACTGCGTCCACCCATAGGAAAGCAGCCATGGCGACGCTCTACGTCATCCTAGGCATTGACAAGGATGCAACGCAGCAGGAGATCAAGCAAGCGTATAAAAAAGCGTGAGTCGGCCCTTTCGATGCATGTAGAAGTGCATAGAGATACTCAAATGGCGTCCTTTATCTCCCCTTCTCTGACGCAGAGCCCTCAAGACGCACCCAGATCGTGCTCTGCCCGAACGCAAGCCCGAGGCTGAAGCCGCATTCAAACGCATTGCCGAAGCGTACGAGGTTTTGGGCGACCCGGGCTCGCGAAGGCGCTACGATCGAGACACTCTCGTCTCTTCGCCGGCCTCTTCGTCCTCGAGTGACAACTTCTACTTTGGCACGTCGCCCGACTCGAAGCCCTTCACGTTCCAGTGGGAGTCTGGTCACGACTCTGCACGCCGCTTCGCAAGCTCTCGGCGGCCTGGAGGCTCGGCACATGGACAACAGCAGAGGCACCCGTTTGGCTTCGCCATGGGTGGCGATCGTTTCGGCGCCGGAATGGCCTCATCGACCGATCCATTTGAGCTGTTCAACCACATGTTCCAAGCTGACTTTGCCTCGGGCTCGCTGAGTCAAAGCATCGCAGACGACCCTTTCTTTGCGAACCATCGAAGGATGGCCGATACCAATGGTTTCGGCTTTGGCATGGCTCCTTCGAGGAGAGAGACGGCAGATCCGATGATGTCGATGACGAGCCCCTTCTTCGGCGGAGCAGAGGACCCCTTTACGTCGGCGTTCGGCCCATCGATGATGAGCAACTCTTCCTCGGCCTTTTCCAGCCGCGGTGGATCTTCGTCTTCAACGATGCAGAGCTTCTCGAGCAGTAGCAGCAGCAGTGGAGTACGAGGGGGAATGATGGCTGCGTCCGAGAGTCGATCGACGAGGACGGTAAATGGCAAGACGGAGTCGCACTACCGTCGAGTAGATCCTGACGTGAGTGTTTCTCCTTGTCGAGCTTGCATTCAAAGCAGAAGTCTGACCCGCTCCCTCCTGTAGGGTACCGAGACGGTTCATGTCAAGTCGCAAGACGGCGAGAAAGTCTTCGTTGATGGGGTGCAGCAAACCTCTCATCCCCTTTTGACTTCAGGCAACAATGGCGCTCAGCCCCTTCCGATCGGCGCGCGGCGCTGAGCCTTCTTGCGTCCACTGGCCAGTGCACTCACTGCGTGTGACGTGCTATGCAACAGCAGCAGAACACAAGAGATATCGCGAAATCTTTTCTTCTTAGCTTTCATCGCTCACTTCTCAAATCTTTCGATCTCGCCTTGAGGCCTGTACATTAATGATTACAAGGATCAACAAATGTCACCACTTCATGCTCTTGTGTCTTGTAAACAGCTCCTAGGCTGCACCAAACTCGAAAAGGAGTGGTTGGAAGACGGATGAGTAATTACAAGGGGGAGGGGTCGGTTGGTTGGTTGGTCGACGCCAGACGGATGGCGCCTCTAGAAATACATGTCGCAAATGTCCTCAGATGATGATGAAGAAGGTGAAGGTGAGGCGGGTAGACTCAATAATGGAGAAGGAGCACGTAGCTCAGACAGACACGCCCTGGATAGGAGGCGGATGCCACGCATCTTCTTCGGCCCCGACCTGCGAAGATTGCTGCTGCTGCTGCTGCTGTTGTTGTTGCTGCTGCAATGCAGAGTTGGAGGGGCTCGCCTCTGGCATGTGATTCGACGTCGTCAACGAATGCGAAGAGATGTGGTGCTGATGATGGGGATGATGGGAAGGAGGCGCAATAGAGCCGTGGAAGTCGTCGGCATCGGCCTGCATTCCAAGCTGGAAGAGGATGGAGTTGGGATGGCCCAGAGGTCCGCCATTGTTGTTATTGCTGTTGCTGCTGCCACCTTGCCCGTGTGGCAAAGTGGGTCGAAGCCCTCCCCCAAGATCAAACATCTCGGGCAAGAAGTCGGACCAGGCACCTTGGGAGGCGTTGGTATCATGTGAGCGGCTCCACGGCGTGTCGCCCGCGAGAGGAGACGAAGATGAGAATCCAGATGACAGATGAGGATGGTGTTGCTGACCCATCGACGACGAAGAGTGAGGGTGCGAGGCGGAGGGGAGTCCTAAGGCATAGGCGAGGGCATGGGCCGGACCAAACGTATCTGCCATCGTTGAAGCCACATCGTGAGGGGTTTCAGGGTGGGAAGTCGATGGTGCCTGGACCTGCGGCAGCGCCTGGGGCGGGCCCAATTGACGATGTTGCCCATGCGGCTGCAATTCGGAGAAGCCGCCGCGTACATGGCTTTCGTTGCTCAGAGAGGTGAAGAGCCGATCAAAGGGCGAGATCTTGGCAAACATCTGTTGAGACCGATGGAGAAGCCTTGCCAGGGATGATTCCGGCGAATCGAGCATGGCATAGACGCCTTTGGGGGAAGGATGTAGGATGGCAGACGAGGCATGGTAAAGCAGGGCGAGGTGGTAAATGTGAAATGGTTGGGGCTGCTGCTGGTCCTGCGACGTGATGAGGAGGGCCGTGACAACCTGTGGTGGCAGCGCATCCCGCCATGCATGCAATCGCTGCACCACGTAAGGTGCAGGCGATGGATTCGATGAGGCCTTGGAGAGGGCGACGTCGTACATGATGTCGGACAGCTGAGCCTGGGCGCAGAAAGTCGAAACGGCGTGAGCCTTAACCGTCTTTGCGACACCCGAGGGAGATCGGGCGACGCAGAGAGACCACTCGTCAGAGTGATGATCAGCGATTGGGAGAGCGACGGTGAAGTCAGCGCGTCGAACGACGGGTGCTTTGCCCATCGACAGGGAGAGAAAGACGTCGAAGCAAAAGAGCGACCACCAGGTCAACTTGGCTGCTTCCGAGTCGGTGCCCATGCCGACATCCCGAGCCAGCTGGACAGCCATGGAGAGCTGGAGACGACTTGTCGCACCGCGCCCTCGGAGTACATCGATCATTCCGAGGAGAAGCCATGACTGGACGGCTTCTATATCGGCTTCACCTTCCTGGTTCTTCATCAACAGCTCTCGTGCTCGCCCGTGGCAGTCGTCGGACGTGATTACATCGCTCTCGACCAGACTCGATGCACAGATAGCCAGGACCAAGGCTAAGCGCGAGTAGGTGGCAGAGGCGCGGCTGCCGCTGCTGCTCCACCGAAGAAGGCCGGGTTTGTCGATGAAAGGATAAAGCATGTGTAGTGAGTTGAAGTAATGGTCCAGGTGGTGGTCAAGATCGTCTTCAATGTGCGGTGGGAAGGGTCCCGTCCTCGATTGTGGAACAGTCCACGGCAGCCGAGTGGCCAGACGTTGACGTGCTCTCCGCGCCTCGTCAATGCTGAATGCTGCCAGTACTTCTTCGTCTTCCTCCTCATCTTTGAATTGGAGGTGCTGAAGCTTCAGGCCGAGGCTAGGTGCGATGCTCTTGGCCAGGTCGCAATTCCTCCAAATGTCTCTGGCCTGCGCCTTTGTGTGCTGCATGAACGGTCCATCCGCGGTGGCCCATTCGCCGCTGGTACTGCTGCTAGCGACATGGTTGTCATCCAGCCGCAGCTGCTCGACAGCGTCGTGTGAGATTTGAGGAAACGTCGAGACGAGGAAGCCGAGGATGCTCTCGAGACTCTCAACCTGGGCCTCGAGCCGCTGCCTGACGCCCTGCGACGGTCCACGCTTCCGTTCAGGCCGGTCGTAGGTACATCTGCGGCCTAGGTTGGCGCAGACGGCGCAGACGGGGTGATGTCCATCGCATCGATCTTTCTTCCTGTGGCGGATAATAGAAGCACCACCCAAGTCAATTTTCCGCAAAAGCATTTTTCCCCTCCCGCACAAAGGGCCCGCCGGGTCGATGGAACGTGCACTCACGCAAAACAGGCGTCGCACGCCCTCGATACCCTCTTTCGCTTCTTGGACCCAGCCGAGAAGGAGTCGGCGGGGCTGCTCGCCATGGCGTACAAGACACGACTGGGGCCACGGCCGACCGACGGTGATGATATGTGGCTCCCACCGTTTAGCGAATTCGGCCTGTCTCTTGGGCAGGTGCCGACACCAAAAGGGAAAACTAAATAAAAACAGACTGTCTTGAACGGGACTCGGCCGAGAAATGCCTCGGTACAATTTACCTACAGTGGCCATGAGTGACGCGGCTCTCCTTCAGGATCAAGGAAAGCATTTCAATGAAAAGGTGCGGCTGAGGAGACACGGACAGCATTACAAGGTCTTATAAGAATGAAGTAGGGGGGACAGAAGTGAAAGCGGCTTTAGGTAGAGAGGGGGCGGAACCCGACCTTGTAAGGGTTGGCGATGGGATGGGTGACCGAGTCTGCATATACGGGCGGGTCTGCTGTGAGAGCGTCGTCATCGTACACGACGTCGTACCTGAAGAGGACAAAGTCTGAGTCGCCCGGCCTTAGAGGATATACATAAGCAGGAGACCTACTTGTGAAGAATAGCTGCGACGACGCTCATGCCTTCGAACGTCGCCAGCGTCTGGCCAAGGCAGACACGAGGGCCGGCATTGAACATGTGGGCGAGCTGTATTGGCATTTGGTCAGCCACAAAGGATCCACTTGGAAACGGAGGACGCAAATTTGACTGACCATCTGACCGTAATTTTTGAATTGCACCTCGCCATCCTCCTTCTTCTCGAGGAATCGCTCGGGCTTGTACTCCTCGCAGTCAGGGCCCCAGTTCTCGGGCATGCGCGCCATGGCGTAGTCACACCAAATGACGCCCTCGCCCTTTCGAATGAAAATGTCGGGGAGGTCCTTCTGTTCGCCAGAAAGCTTCTCGGTGCCCTGGTAGGGTCGAATCGTTGTGTCGCACGTCGCCGTCCTGACATTCTTGGGGACAGCAGGGTGCAGACGAACGGCCTCGTAGAAGCAAGCTTGAAGGTACGGGAGCGACTTCATGTCGTCGTAGCCCATCTGCCTTCCGTCAAGGTGCTCTGCAACGGTTCGTCGGATTTCCTTGACGCATTCAGGGTGCTTCCAGAGCTCGTAGAACATCCATGAGAGCGATTGCGCAGTTGTGTCTCGGCCTGGCAAGGCGGACCAAGTAGGGGTGAGAACTTCGAAAGAGTGGAAAGTGGAGTGAACGAGGCTCTGTGACTTACCTGCGATGAGGAAGTTGAGAACGACAGGAAGGAGCTCGTCTCTGGTGAGGCCCATGCCCATGAAGAGCTCCAGGAGGTCCTTGCCTTCCTTTGAGTCGACGGATCCACTCTCGCCGCGTGCACGGGCTTCGAGGCGCAGATCAATGATGCGGTAGCAGTACTCGCGCAATGTCTTGATCGATTTGCGCATGCGAGAACCTTGGGCGGTGAAGAGCTCAATGAAGCGAGGGAAGGGGTCAACAAATCGGTTGTCGACAACCAACTGGGCAAAGTCGAACTTTGAAATAGAAGCGAGGGATCGTGGGTGAGCTTCGGAGGGGGTGCGGCACAAAGCAAGACTGGAAAGGCTCACAGCATCGGCAAATTCATTGCGGGTCTTCATGCCTTCCGCGGTAGCAGGCAGCACCTCGAGATCGGCAGTAAAGGCCATCTGGCTGAAGGACGACATTGTGAAACGGAAGAAGACTTCGGGTAGGTTGATCTGGGCGCCCGTCTTGTGGCAGTCACTCATCAGCCTCTGCAGCTGGTCGATGTCACGGTGGATCGTTTGCTGAACGTAGGTCTGCAGAAAGCACCTTTTAGCAATGCCAAAGACATCTTGGGCGCCACGATTGGGTCACCAGGACTCACTTTGAAGTTGCCAACACTAAAAATGTGGCTGGCCATCTTGCGTTGCTTCTTCCACACATCGCCGTCGGCGACGAAGATGCCATGAGAGCCCAGGAGGTCGGAGAAGTTGTTTAGGAAGTTGAAGCCCTTGACAAAGTGCTCGAACTCGACCTTTTGCACGAAGTTGAGGTACTCTGGACGGTTGATGAGGAAGACCCGGCCGCCGAGCTGGGGGATCGTCAGCGTCAGGGGTTGGCCGCCCGGGACCTGAGTCTTTTGAACTTCCGTGATTGCTGTCAGGATCCTCTCCTGCTTGCGTACAATGCTCAACAGCCAGGGCGTGTTCCCGATCAGGGGGTAGTTGGGGGTCATTGTCTTGACATTGCGGGGACGTGGCGAGGTGAAGGCCATGCGGTCTGGGTAGAGGAGGAGGAGCACGGCGAGGACAGCACCCGTCGCCGCCACGGCGTACAGAGCCGCCGTCTGCAAGTCTTGAGGAGCGCTTATGTCGAACGAACCCATTTTGTTTGCAACTGCCCAAGAAGAAAGAAGGGGTGATGGGTGTAGGGGGCACTTCCTTCCTTGCCTTCTTAAGTGAATTGCAGCAGCAGCACCCACTTCACTTCACTACTGCGCTACCCCGCAGGACACATTTTTTTGTTTCCGAGAAAAATGAAAGTGGAGCATCGGCTCATTAGCCAGCTGCTATTTGCAATACGCTAGCCGTTGTAGTCCCTCGGCCTCGGGGTGGTCCTGGTGCAGCACAACTAGTGGCGCTCGCATCTCAAATCTCTATCACTTTTGAAGCCGAGGCCGAGGCATAGATTGTCTGCTTCGGACTGATTCCTTCGTACCGACAACAGCTGGTACATGGTACGGTACGTACTACTACTTAGTAAGTGTATGTGCGTGAAAGCTAGGAATTTTACATGTCGCCCTGCAATAAATGTGCATGTACTTCGGGCATGTCTCTACGCTCGGCGACGAAAGCGATTGAGATGCATGGCGTCCCTGATCTGGAATTGGGCGCCTAGTAGTGTGTCCGGTACGTGTAGTCATTGCAGGCAGCATCACTCTCTGCTCTCCTATCTTGCGCAGCAATGAATCAGTGTGAAAAAGAGATTCTTTGATGAGAAACGTAGAGGCAGCCCTTTGGGCATAGTGCAAGCACCCGACATGATTGAGGCCGTATTGTGGTACAGTACATGGATTGCTGTCTTCGAAAAGCCACAGAGAATAAAGCGAAGAAGACATTCTCTCCAGTGTTAATTCCTAAGCCGCCATGAGCCAAGTCCGTGGGGTGCACTGTACCACACAGCCGTGGTTGGGTCTATTCACCTCGAAGCCGCTCGAGTTGCGACGAATGGAGAATGTTCAGGGGCCTTTCCTACACTTTGCGTCACCTCCGCTTTAACTATGTGCTAGTTCCTCTGGCCCGGCGCAGCGAGGAAATGAGATGGGCGCATGGATCCACGCTGTCACTTTCCTGTCCTTGCCGTCGACCGAACCAGCATCCTAGTCACTGACGAACGCACACCATCAGCAAACCAGCAGCAGGATCCAACCTTCACATAAACTCGCGAAAGACTGACTTTTGCGCGCGGCGACGAGCAACCCTTTAGTCTTATCAGCTAGTAGTGTCCAGAATTCACTAACTGCAAGCAAAAAGCGGCCTGCGGCGTAAAAAGGTACTAGGCTCGGACTTTCTCGCACCTCTGGCCCCTCGACGGCCCAAGCAGGCCAAAAAAAGTCCTGCTTAGCATGAACCGGAGAGGAAAGCGATTGTCGCCTCGGTGAGTGTCCAGAGCTTGTGACCAGTGTCGGTTTCGGCCAAGCTTGTAATCAGGGCATCGAGGTCATAGAGAGCGCCTTGTCTGGTCACGGGTTGTGCGGCTTTCCTATCCCCATCTCCGCCACCTGACAGTAGCCAGCGCGGAGTTGTTATTTCTGCTTTTCGCCTTCACCTTACTAGGCTGCCCGGCCTCACGCTCCCGTTTTGTGTCGTCACTCCATCCTGTCATTCTCATCTCCCTCCCGGACAAATCGGCATAGAGGGGGCACAATTTCGTGGAGCTCTCGGGGGATTATAAGACCAACATGTCCCATCTCCTGCCTTCGTTCTTCAACCCAACTGACGGTGGCAATCCTCCTCCTCCTCCATCCCCCGCTCCTAGTCAAATGGACAGCACCACGCCTCCCTCCACGTCTCCCGTAACCAGTGACAAGTCGTCCAGCGTTCAACATTCCAGTAGTGTTGACACATCCAAAGCAAGCAGCAGCGGCACCGGCAATGGCGGTATTAATGCGAGCGGGGGCACAGGCACAACCGGGGGCACTGGTACGGGCACTGGTACTGGTGCCGGTTCAGCTGGTGGGGACGCCAATAGTGGCAGCACAGGCTCAGCCGCGGGCACCGGTGAGAATGGTGGTCTCGTGAACGAACCCACCACGACTACGAGCCCTGTGCCGGCTCCAGCACCACCGGAAACTGTGCCAACGTCGACAGCATCCATGACAACGTCGGTCGTCTCTCCAACGACAACCAGTGCATTACCCACCTCGACAACTTCCGCTGCACACTCCTCGTCGACAACCTCTGCGGCGCAACCAACCACGACCTCCAGTGCAGCACCGGTGCCGACAACCGTAGTGGTGACCACCATGCCAGAACCGACCGCGACAGCGCTTCCCCCACCACCGTCGCCGCCTTCGGGGAGCGGAGTGAGTCTTGATTGTCATCTTGACGTTGTCAGATGCTGAGGAAGAGGAATCCCTTTGATAGAGCGGCTCAAACATCGGCGTCATTATTGGAGCTATTGCTGGTGGCATCTGCGGCGTCATTGGTGAGCAGCCGAAGCCAAGACTCCCTTCATCTTCGTGACAAAATTTTTCACACCTATTCAATGCAGTCCTCATCTGGCTCATTCTCATTCCCATTCGCAAGGCTCAACGCAAGAAAAAGGAGGTGGAATGGCTGACTTTCGGGACGGAAAATGACCACGTCAACGGCAGCGAGAGCACCGCCGACGTTGTTCGTGGAGGCCGACCTGCTGCAGACATGGACAATAGCACCACTTTTGCAAAGGATATCAGCGGCACAACACCTGAAATGTATCAGATGAATTCAATTTCCAACACAGGCGGCGCTTCGACGACGCTGTACAGCCACCTCGACGGAAATGGTAGCTCTCCGTGGGTTGGTCCTCCTCCTGTACCGCATCCACCCTCGGTGGGGCCAGACGGAAGTGTTCTATCTGGTCACGACACCACAGGCTACCCCTACTACGAGTACGATGCGCAAGGCTATCCTCCCTACTATTCTGCATCGGTCACAGGCGCGCAGGCAGGTATGCAAGTTGGAGGCATCGTGGGAGGCGCCGCAGTAGCAGGCTACGTGAGCCCCAATGCGAGCAGCCCGGAGCAACACCCACAGCGCATTCGAGGCTTTGGGACGGGACCACCAGCGAGCATTCGGACTAGCCCCGTGGTGCAACCGACTCGCTACCAGGGAAGCATGCATCCTTCGAACTCGATGGGCTCCATGTCGTACTCGCAGCTCAGTCACGGCAACAATGCTTACTCAAACGCCTCGCAGATGTCTATGGGCCAGGGAGGAGGAGGTGGTGCGCTTCAGCAGCCCATGCCAACAGCCTCGACAGGTTTGCCGCAAAGCGACACAGCTGCCGTTTCGAGGAATGCCTCATCGAGTGCAACTTCGACAGCAGTCGCTGTGCCTGCATACAGTGCCCAGGGGCTCCGCCGAACGGCGTCCGGCTCCTCTATTCATCGCTTAGATGACGACAAGAGTGGCGGGGAAGACCACGAGGTCATGCAGCGGGAACAAATCCAGGCCGCTGTGCATCAAGGATCGAGTAGTGGAGAGGCAGGTGACAACTCGGCTTATGACGGCCTGGCCGTGACGTATGATCAGCATGGTGAGCCCTCGCATGGGGACACTCGCATCGACCCACCGCGTCAACCTCACGGTGAGGCTCCAGGCCAAACTCTCAACTATCGGCGAGGTCAGGGTCAGATCCGACAGAGGCATGCGCAAGGACAGGATCATACTCAAGAGCAGGAGCAAGGTCGACAAGTAGCAAGAGACAGAGAGAGCCTGCACGAAGGAACGATTGACGTTTCGATGACTGACCAAAAGCACGACTTTCGTATCACCAACGACTCCTGATCGACTTCCCTTCCAATGGGTTTGAGCAGGTCCCCTCATTCCATCTGTCGTCTGCATCTCACTTTACCCCCTCCTACTTACCGTCTGGCACCACCACTCTTTCTTCCTCTTCTTCCAATTGATCAACTAGTGAGAAGGAAGTTCACGTCTCCCTCACTTAATCAAATCGTTCCCTCAATCAATGGTCTCACTTCTTCTTTTCCCCTCATCACTGCGCTACTTTTAAAGTTCCCTCTCTCTAAGGATCTCTCTAAAGAGATGAAGGCTGAAATGAGCAAGTACTTCACAGAGGCAAACGTTGTTCCTTCTTCTTGATCGTTCAGGAGTGTCCTTACAGCATGTTCTCTTCTTTCTCTATTGACCAGGGAGCTCAATGGTCTTCCAACATTGGGCAAGGTTACAGACAGAGACGTTTGTCGTGATTCGCCCTGTCCAGTCTCGCGAAAGGGATAGAGGCGAAAGGATTGATTGTTGTGATCAAGAAAAAAGTGGAAAAGACTAAACGAATCCTTCAACAGAGAAAAAGAAAGTAGGGAAGGGGGATTGGCGGGAGTCTTGGTCGGGAAGCGAACGTTGAAGAATCGAGAGTCGCGAGCGTGCTATTACAGTACAATAGAGAGAGGAGCGCGGGGAAGACGGGACATCGACGATCGAGGAATGTACTTGTGTCTTGAGGTGTATGGGGGCGTGCTGGAAAGATTACTTCGTTCATGCGACTTCATCGACCTTCTGCTGGCAGTCTTGAATGACCTGGCGCATTGTCGCGAGCAGGTCCCGGCTCTTCAGCGGCTTGGAGCAGTAGCCGTCCATTCCAGCAGCGATGCAGCGCTCCTTGTCGCCCAGCATCGCGTGCGCCGTCAGCGCGATGATCGGGACCCTCGAGGCCGGCGGCTCGAGCGTTGCTTCAAATTGCCGAATGAGCCGGGTCGCTTCGATACCGCCCATGATAGGCATAGAAACGTCCATCAGGACTACATCGTAGGTCCTCTCGCGGATCCTCTGCAAAGCCAGCTCGCCATTGTCGACAACCTCGACGCGATGGCCCTGGTTCTGAAGGATCTTAGTCGCCAGCTTCTGGTTGACAAGGTTGTCCTCGGCGAGGAGAATATCGTAGACGACTTCGTTGGTGCCCTCGGTCGGCGCGCTGGCGGAAGATTCGAGCGAAGGAAGAAGAGCATAATACAGGTCGGCCAGCGACGTCGGAGTGTTGATGTACGACGAGATACCAAAGTCTAGGCACTGGGTGAGGGAAAGCACGAGCTCTGTGGGCGAAACGAGGTTGATAGGGATGTAGCGCAAGTGGTCCAGAGATCGAATGTCTTCGACGACGGAGAGTGAGTCGGCAACAATGGCATCGATGCGCCCCTGGGTTCTTCTCCGCTGTCCCGCTTCCGCGATCGAATGAACCCTTGTGACTTTCAGGCCAAGCTCCTCGAGCTTGGCACGAATGCCCGTCTGATCGTTGAGCGTGTCGAGGTAGAAGATGGTGCGGCCTTGGTAAGGTCTCATCTTATCGCGCACCTGATGGCTGCTGATGCTGTCGAGCTTGACGAGCATCGTGAAGAAGAAGTCAGACCCGTGTCCATAGTTGGAGCGGACCCAAAGGTCACCGCCCATGAGGTTGACAAGCCGCCGCGAAATCGACAGACCCAGACCGGTTCCGCCGTACTTGCGAGTCGTCGAGCCGTCAGCCTGACAGAATGTGTCAAAGATGACATCGAGCTTGTCCTGTTTGATGCCGATACCGCTATCCGAGGCACAGAATTGGAGCAGTGCCTGCGTTGGCGAGACCTGCTTGGCCAATGTACATTTGAGGGCGACTCTGCCGCCCGCTTCTGTGAACTTGACGGCATTGCCGATCAGATTGGTAATGATCTGCTTTAGCCTGAGCGCATCGCCAATGAGGGGGTCGGGGCAGTCTGGCGCCACCTCGTAGAGAAGATTAAGTTTCTTCTGCGTCGCTCGGACCGAAAGCGTCTTGAGAACGCTGAAGACAATGCCACGGAGTGAGAAGGGAATCTCTTCAACGTTCATGCGACCAGCCTCGATCTTGGAGATATCGAGGATGTCGTCAATGATGGCCAGTAAGTTGCCGGCCAGGGTCGAGACCGTCACCAAATTTTCTCTTTGACTTCTCGAAAGCTCTGTTTCGAGCGTAAGGGCCGTCATGCCGATGATGCCGTTCATCGGCGTACGGATCTCGTGCGACATGTTTGCGAGGAACTCCGATTTACTCCGGTTTGCAAGCTCGGCCGCTTCTCTAGCTGCCGTGTTCTTCTGGATCGAGTCGCGAAGGCTGTAGACCATCTGGTTGATCTTCGTCTTGAGCGAGTCCATCTCGCCGCTCGCCTCGACAGTGACGAAGCGCGTAAAGTCTCCGTCTGTGGCCGCAGCTGTGATTTGAGCAAAGGCTCGCACTTGCGACGTCAAGTTGTTGGCCATGATGTTGACATTGTCGGTGATTTCGCCCCACTTGCCCTTGATGTCCTTCTTTTGAGCCTGGACACCCAGCTTACCCTCCGTTCCCACCTCTCGCGCCACACGCGTGACCTCAGAAGCGAAGAAGGAGAGTTGGTCAATCATGTTGTTGATAGTCTTGACCAGGTCCAAGATCTCGCCCGAGACGGAAATCGTGACCTTTTGCGTCAGGTCACCGTGGGCGACAGCCGTCGTAGCATGGGCAATTGCTCGTACCTGAAGGGTGAGGTTGGCGGCCATGGTGTTGACTGAGTCTGTGAGATCTTTCCACGTTCCTCCCACGCCCAGCACCTCCGCTCGTCCACCTAGTCTTCCTTCGGTGCCGACCTCCTTTGCTACTCTGGTCACCTCGGTTGAGAAGGTCCGGAGCGATTCAACCATGTTGTTGACCGTAAGCTGCAGAAGGGCCAAAGATCAGTCACAGCCCAGTCTCAAGCTCCGTCATACTCACCTTGAGACCAAGGAATTCGCCGCGAACCTCGACGTTGATCGTCTTGCTGAGATCGCCTTCTGCGACGGCCGTTGTGACAGTGGCGATCGATCGCACCTGGGTGGTGAGATTGCTGGCCATCATGTTCACTCGTTCAGTCAGCACCTGCCATTGACCTTTGACGTCGTCGACGTTGGCCTGGCCTCCGAGCCTTCCCTCGGTGCCGACCTCAACGGAGACCCTAATGATCTCGTCAGAGAGAGTCTTGAGTTGCCGAACCATGTTGTTGACTGTCAATTTGAGGTCGAGAATCTCGCCCTTGACATCGACATTGATGAACTCGGTGAGGACACCCTCTGCGACGCACTTCGTTACCCGAGCAATCTCTCGCACTTGAGATGTAAGATTGTCTGCCATTTTGTTGACCTGAAGGAAAGAAACCAGCATAATCAGGCACAAGGAGAACGGGGCAGTGTCACACACACACAGAGAGACTCACATTGTCGGTCAGGTTTTTCCAGGTTCCTTCGACATTTGGGACGTGCGCCTGGCCGCCGAGCTTGCCGTGGGTACCGACTTCCATCGACATTCTCACGACTTCGCTCGCAAAGATACGGAGCTGGCCCACCATCGAATTGACGGTGTCCTTGAGCTGTGCCATTTCTCCCTCTGCGTCGATGTCGATCGTCTTTGTCAAGTCTCCCTTCGCAACGGCCGTCGTGACCATGCCAATGGATCGCACCTGTTCCGTCAAATTGGCGCACATTCGATTTACGTTGATCGTCAGTTCCTCCCAGACGCCTTGGACACCGGGAACGCTCGCTTGTCCGCCAAGCTGGCCCTTGCTGCCGACTTCTCTGGAAACGCGAGTGACCTCGTCCGCAAAGTGTCGGAGTTGGTCCACCATGACGTTGATTGTGACCTTGAGCTCAAGAATCTCGCCGTCGGCCTGCACCTCGATCTTCTTGGAAAGGTCTCCTCTTGCGACGGCCTGGACAGCGAGGTGCAAGAGTAGGTCAGTCTTCTTGGTGTGGACTATATCACATGAGACTGTCTCTACCACTTACCTTTGTGACGAGGGCAACACCTCGCACTTGGTTTGTGAGGTTCTCGGCTAGTCTATTCACCACATCCTTAAGCTCCTTCCACCGGCCCTCGACGCCCTCAACCTCAACCTGACCTCCCAGCTTGCCCTGCGTGCCTACTTCGAGCGAAACTCGCGTGACCTCTGCGGCGAAAGTAGAGAGGCGATCGACCATCTGATTGATGATGTCTTTGAGCTCGACCATGACATGTCCCTGCACAGGAACAGTGATGTGCTGCGAGAGATCTCCGAATGCAACAGCCTGTGTTTGCGCAAGAATGTCAGCATATACATTAGTATAACACACAGAGAGAAGCATGCGTACCTTGCACACGCGAGCAATGTCCTGCACCTGCGCTTTGAGAAGATTGAGCTCATCCTGAGCACTGAGGCCGCTCTCGTCGTCGTACCGCTCAAAGGCACCGACGGCACCCTCGGCCCCTGCGCTGGCTCCTCCGGCAGCGCCACTGCCACCGGCTGGGGTGAGAAGGACGGGTCCATCGCGACCCATGCCGAGCGGATAGGAGAGTGGATATGTGCTGCTCTGGGGATGCGCGTGGCTGAGGGGATACGGGAACTTGCTGCGGGAGAATGACATGGTGTCGGAGCCCGTGGGTGAAAGGGGCGCCTCTGAATCACCGTTGTCCAACGTGCTGCTCCGCCGCTCTTTACTTTGCTGTTGGTGGATCCTCTCTAGCTCGTCCTCAGCACGCCACAATCTCTCCACTAATCTGCCAATGTTGGCTTCGATCTTCTGCGTCTTTTCGTCGCCCCCGTCGTAATGAAATCGGGGCAAGGGCAGCGTGACTGTTCCCCCGTCCTCGTCGAGGGTGCCATTCTCTGGAATCGGCTCACTAATGACCGAGCTGGTGGCATGCTCAGCGTTGGTGCTCTCGGTCCTCTGCCGGCGATTTTGCTTCCAGCTGCCTCCATCGACATCTTGCCACACAACAGAGGGCGGTGGCTTGCTGTTGACCAGGGACTGAGTGATGAGAAGGAGATGATCGACGAAGTTGCTGGGAAGATCGCCAATGTCGGGCAGTGGCGAAGAGGTGGTCCGAGACATCGAGCTCGTCGAGCTCCGAGGAGGCTGCGGGATCGACACGGCCGCTGACATGGCCGTCGGGAGTCCTTTGGGGCACCCTTCTAGTTGTGGAGAGAGCAATCACCCCTCTGAAAGTGAGCGCCTCGAGGAGAAGAGAAATAAATAAATAACCAACAGGTTTGAAGGGTCTGTCGAGTGTATCAAGGCGCCATGCAGGGGCGTACTGCTGCTCCGAAATAGAGACCGCCCTGGCCTCCTGCTTGTATCACTTGTGTGCAAACCGGCGTAGCGTAGATGGCGTGCTACACTTGCCCTCTGATTCAGGATCACAGAGAGGCTCGTTGCCGTCGGCGTAGCACGTCTACTGCTGCTGGAGTCGGGCTTGTCGGGGATTGCCGCACACCTTGTGTGTGAAGTGCGCTGGTCGTAGTCGTGCCAAATTGGCTCCGCCGCTGATGCCGCGTATCGTCGAGCGAGCAGTTTATTTGTTGTTAGCTCCCACGTGGAGAACAAGCTCATCTTATCTTCACGTGAAGCCGCCTGAAACGGCCTCCTCTTCCGGCCCGCTCACCCTGGGCGACGGAATTCCGCCCGGGTCGTTGAGAGAGACAAAAAGCCGAGGAAGGGTCTTTGACAGAACTACCTGGAGCAGTTGGGCGGGGCTTGTTTTCAAGGAGCAGAGCGGGGGAAAAAAGGGGGAGATACGATGAGCTTGAGCAGCCAGTCAAATGTCCGATATGCTGTCCGACTAAATCCTCCAGACCCAATCAATCAAGCAAAGTATCTTTTGACTTGTGGAATCCGCTCCGTTGCCGACCAAGGACGCCCCACAGTTCAACAAGGAGAATAGTCATGCTGGCTTGCCTTGTGGTCCAAAGCTATATGTTCTGTAGACCTCCTGTCAGACAACATTGACGAAGGCGAGGTCACGCAACATAGTCCGTCTGACGCGAGCCATATAGCGTTGGAGCTTCGGAAGTCGCGGTCTGACACAACTTCCGTCGCGTCAAGAGCGATAATTTTTTCCACTTTCTCTACAAGAGGTGCGGGGAAAGAATAGGGCCCCTCCTCCGATTGGCGAGGCGAGCGGGTATATAATTGCCTCCTCCGTAGTCGCCGCCCTCGCTCTCTCTCTTCCTCTTCGACCTTTTGCTTCCATTCTCTCTCTCTTCACCCCGGTCCCGCTGACCTGGCCTTGCCAAGAAACGTCCAGCGCCGCGGTAGAACCACGCAACACCTACCCTCCACCACACCACAGGCAACCTTGCGCCAATCACCACGCTTCAAATTGTCATGGTCGAGACTGACTTGGTAGACCACGCCAAACAGGCTTTTGCCTGGGCCACGGCTTCGGCCACCAACTTCTTCCTTGCCCTCGCCCTCGTCTTTGTGAGTTGTCGTGACTATCCAGCCCTCTTCGCGCCAACCCACTGACGCTGTCGTCTGCCGTCAGGCCGCTGTTCACGTCGTCCCCTTCTTGGCAAGGGCTTCACACATCACTGTGCCTGGACCACTTCTCGCCAAGTTCTCAGACATCTGGCTGCTCCGGCAGGCGATGAAGGGCAAGCGCTTCGAGACTGTTCATGAACTCCACAAGAAACATGGTGAGTTGAAGCGTGAGGACGGCAGGACCTAGAGGGCGGTGAGGACTGAGCAGCATTGCGTCTCCCTTGCAGGCAAATTTGTTCGCATCGCCCCCAACCACGTCTCCATCGCCGACCCTACCGTGCTCAACAATGTATATGGTCATGGTCAGGGAACGCTCAAGCCCGAGTACTACGATGGTGAGTGTAGTGATGCCCCGCTTTTCGAACGACAAGAAGCTGACGTTTTGGCTATAATCTCAGCATTTGTCCCTCCCAAGCCCGCAGTTCGAGGTCTGTTCAACACCCGCGACCGCCACGAGCATTCCCGCAAGCGTAAGATTGTGTCGCACACCTTTGCACCCAAGAGCATCCTTGCCTTTGAGCCTTTTATCCGCCGAGAGGTGCAGGTGCTCCTCGAGAGGTGGGACGAATTCTGCGCCACGGCGAAAAAGGAAAACACTCCAGGCCCTCGTGGGCTTATGGGCCGTGCCTGGATCGACTGCCTCGAGTGGATGAACTACTTTGCCTTTGACACGATTGGCGACCTTGCCTTTGGCACCAGTGAGTGTCTCTCTGTCTCCTGCCACCTTGCCAGTTGCACACCCAGTCCGGAATTGTGATGAGGACTGACCTGTTCCCTGCCTGTAAAGCATTTGGCATGTTGGAAAAGGGCTACGATGAGGCAAAGGTCGAGTTTGAGGATGACAACGGCAACAAGACATCGACGACTTGCTCGGCTATCAAGATCATCAACGAACGCGGAGAGTACTCGGCCACGTTGGGCCTGGCGCCCGTCTGGATCCGACCGTATCTCGCCATGCTTCCTTGGTTCAGCCAAAGGCTAGCATCGGTCAAGAAGCTCTCTGGTATCGCACTTGCTCGCGTCAACGACCGTCTTGAGAATGGATCCGAGAGGGACGACCTGCTGGCCAAGCTGCAATCGGCCAAAGACGACCGTGGCGAGAACATGGGCAAGATGGAACTCACTGCTGAGGTGTGTTGTCTGATATTAAGAGTCTGATGAGGAAGAGAAACTCACCGTTACGATCGATGCAGGCCCTCACCCAGCTCATTGCGGGTAGCGACACGACATCGAACTCGAGCTGCGCCATCATCTACCATCTCTGCACGCACCCACGCGCCATGAAGAAGCTCCAGGTGGAGCTGGACCGTGAGCTCAAGCACTCGGAAGAGGTTCCCCTCCACGACGATGTGCAGGAACTGCCCTACCTCCAAGCCGTCCTCTCGGAGTCGCTGCGCTTCCACTCGACGTCGTCCCTCGGCCTGCCTCGCTCGGTCCCAGCAGGTGGCTTTACCCTCGCTGGCAAATTCTTCCCCGAGGGCTCCGTCGTCTCCGTGCCCGCCTACACGATCCACCGCGACAAGTCCGTCTTTGGCGCCGACGCCGACGAGTACAACCCAGACCGATGGCTCGCCCAGGGCGCCCGCCAAAAGTTTGAAAAGGCCTTTGTCCCCTTCAGCGTCGGACCGCGGGCGTGCGTGGGCAGAAACGTGGCCATGCAGGAGCTCTCGCTGCTGATTGCGGCCCTGATTAGGCGGTACGACATTGAGCTCAAGTACCCCGACGAGAAGCTCGACACCGTCGAGGGCTTCCTGCGCAAGCCGACGGTGTGCTGGGTTGGCATCAAGCGGAGGGAGTGACGTCGTTGTTTGTGGTTGTACTCGTAGTTCTTGCTGAAGCAATACTATCCAAGTAGTTAGGGAGCTGAGAGTGAAGCGCGTGACACATGGGAGTCTTCGGGACAGTGAAGGGGATAGTTGGACCGGGCCAGGTAAGACTGGATCGATCGTAAACAGTGCCCTTCTGCGTATGAGAACCAGTCAATGCGCAAACATGGCACCTTGCAACCTCGTGTATTCAAAAAAGAGAGGAAGAAATACTAAGGAGAAGAGAGAGAAGACAGAGAGAGAGAGGTAACAAGAAAGAAAGAGAGAGCGAAAGAGAAAGGCAGTGAAAGTTGTGAGGCTTGAGAGACCAGGAGAGGAAGGTGAAGCCATTGTTCGTGTTGCGTGGACGCGCTGGCGTGGGGAGAGAGTACATGAGAAAAACAAAGAGGGGCAGGCCATGGAGAGGCTGCTGCTGCTGCTGCTGCTGCTGCTGCTACTGCGGTTGCAGAACATAAAGTCGTCGTGATCGTCCGTGTGGCTCTGTCGTGTTGAAGTGACAATGAGAGGGAAGGCTGCTTTTGCCGCCCTTCTCGAACCGATGTGCGCTTTTAGAGAGGGGAGATCATGTGTAATTCGAATTTGACGATGCTGAGAATGATGCTGAGAATGATGTAGATAAGTCGTTTCAAGGGAGAGCCCACCCGTTATGATGCCCAGTACTTTGACCAACCCGCCTTGGGTGGCAGGGCTGGCGACTGGCCGTTGCTGTGTTGCTGGTCGTAGTAGCCGCTGCTGATGAGGCCGCTTGCTGCCGTCGCATCGTAGTCATCCGATTCGAAATCGTACATGGCAATTGGCCTACCCCTGGAATTGTGGCGGTCGTGCTGTGGTCTGCTTGCAACATTGGGTTGCTGGACCGTTGGGGAGCCCGACCCATGGCCAGAACTACTTGACTTGGCGTCGGCCATCCAAGGCTCAGGGGTGCTCAAGACGCTGTCCCTCCTCATCTGCTGCGGGCTCGAAGGCTCCGTCACATATCGGCGCAGCTCGTTTGGCGAAAAGAGGGGGTGTGTCGACGTGCTCTCGGGGGCAAGGGCAGCATTGTACGATGTGATCGGCGATGCATATGTGGGATCCACGGCGCGCGGATTGACGTGAGGAGGGGCCGCTCGCTCTTTCAGGCTGCGGTTCCTCGACAAGTCAATTCCACGGCCCACCGTGCTCGATCTGTTGACGCGGTCAGAGTCTGCGCGAGGACCGCGCGGTCGGCGTTGGCCATTGCCATTCGAATTTCCGCTGCTCGTCCCTGATGAGAGGCTGCCCGTTGAGGGATTGTAGTTTGTAGATCCGGGCAGCTGAGGAATCGCGAGCATCGACGACATCGACGGTTGCGCGTCCGGTCGTGCATTGGCTGCCGAATAGGTGCGCGAGGAGCGCGAGCGACGGCTCGAGTCAATCTTGGGTCCGTAGCTGCTCGTGCGATTGTACGACGAGATGGCGGGCCTCTGGGCACCCGAGAGCAACTTGGTATTGCTCGAGGCGCTGCTGACGATGCTCATCTCTGTCCTCGACCTCCGCGTCCCATCCGCATTGGTCGGGTGCGGCGTGTCGGGCGGCGAAGTCGATCCGGCGCGCCTCGTCGCCCCGCGTAGCCGCAACTCCGTCTTTGCTCGCGCCCGCTCTTCGAGCACGATCCGCCCTCCAGCCCTGGACCAAAAGGCATTGACGAGGGTATAACACATGCACATGAATGCAAAGCCCAGGGCGACGACGATGAGAATGATGGCATCTAGCGGCGTGCCGTCGATTGTCTTCATGTCCGAATTGGACAGGACGGGCTTGCGAGGCAGAAGCAGGTGCTCCTCTTTCCGTCCCGCCATTGTAACGACGACGGGAGCTGCTTGCGCACCCCATGCCGCGAGCGTCGTGACGAGGAGCGAGGGCTTGATGCCGAACCGCCGGGTCCTGTTTGTTCTCGCTTTGCATTTTCGCCTTGAACTGAGACGAGCCACATCATCGAGGACCGATGTCGATGCTGCCGTCGTTGTGCCGGACATCATCGTGTTTATCAAGAGAACGAGGGAAGAAAAGAGATCGGCTACGAGGAAAAGAAAAGGGAGGAGAAGAGAAAGGAAGAGAGTGGTCGCTTTCGATGAGATCGCAGATTTTTCGATCGGTGGCCTGCTTGCTTGGCAACAACCAAGGTTCCGAATCCACGCCAGCAATTTACCAAAAGGGGTAAATAGGAGCGCTTCCCATTCAATGACTCTCCTTTCTCTCTTCTGCGAGAAGTGGGAGGTCAGAGCACGGGTGGTCAAATAGTCGAGACCGATGCCGGGCTGATGGTATGGCGTCGGAGAGGAGGAGGAAGAGGGAGCCGGCTGCCTAATGCATCGCACGACGTCGTCTGATACATCAGTCAGGGACCGACCATCCTCTGACAACAGGGTTTTTTTCTTTTGTAATGATTTTCTTTCCTCTTCCTTATTTTCTGATGCTTCCGGGCAAGAGCCCTTTCTCGATCGCGGGAGACGACGAAAGGAAATTTTAGGGTCCTTCTTCTCTAGCCTCTTTCCCCCCGCGAACTGAAATGTTGACACCAGACCTGTTACATCCTACAGCCCATCACGTAGTTCAATCAGACAGCCACTATGCGCACTCTCAGCAGCGAATAGAGCAAGTACTTGTTGTAGGAGTAGCATCACTACCACTTGTTGTAGTTATAGGAGGTAGCGTAGGAGGACATAATGTAATGTGTAGACACTGGTCCGGATTCCGTTCCGGAGGCTGTGACATTATCACCAATTATTTCGGCCCGCGAGCAGGGTTTGTTGACGAGCTAGCTCGCGGGAGGGCCGCATCCTGGTCCTCATTTCGTCACGCGCCTTGTTCATTCTCCGCTCTTGCCTTCGGCATCTTTTTCTGTTTGTCATGACAGAGACAGATTTTACCACGTGGAAAGTAAAGATCTTGATTGGTAGCGTTTCTCATAGAGTGTGCTCGACCAACTCGATTTTGAGCGTCTATGAGGAGAAGCACCTGGACATGGTGATGAGGGCGCCTTGTCTTGCCGACGAGATCGCGCTGGCCTGCACAGATCGAGCCAACTCTTCTACCTCTACCTCTCGCTCCTACAGTTCCAGCTCTCGAAAGACAGGGTTGGCTGTCTCTCGCGTCGTGCTCGCCCTCCTCCTCGTCGCCGTTTCCTCTACAACAGTTCACGCGCTCTTTGACCCCGGCGAGAGCACACAGCCACCTGATGCTAAAGTAGCAGCCTCACAAGAAGGCAAGAAGCCAAGGTCGTCGGCAATCAAGGTCTCGGAACATAAGTCCGCCGATACCTCCTTGGCCCTCAACCCAGTCTCTTTGCATCCAGGCTGCCGGAGAACAACGGACCTATTTGCCAACGTGTGCCAGAGTCCCTGGTCGTCATGGTCTCAGCCTCGTCTTACATCCTCTCTCGTCGTCTGTCCGCTGCCAGAAGCCGAGCCCCTGCTCAAGGACGACGGTGACGAAGAGCGTCCGCGAGAACGTGTATATGCGATTTCAGGAACGATTACTTTGCCAGACGATGCTGGTTTCGAAGTCGTGACCCAGGGCCTGCAGCAAAAGACGATCGGCGAGGACGGAGAGGGCGCTCCGTGGCCAAAGCCTGGCGATGAAGGTTTCTGGAGGCAGCGTGGCGGCAACCTCGAATGGGTTCCGGCAGCACCCGACCCACAACCCCCAAGGCGCGAACCTGTCGATCCCTCGCCTTCTTCATCGCCCGTTTCTCCACCTTCCTCATCATCTGAGGCGGCACAGGCCAAAGAGTACGATGCTTGGAGTGCAAGCATCGGAGGCGAGGATTCCGAATTATGGCTGAGATTTGACCAGTGGAAAGACAACTACCTGGCACAACAGAAGGAGAGGGAAAAGGAAGAGCATGACAAACAGCGCGCTGCGGGCCGAAAGGCAAAAGATCGGGCAAAGGCTTCCAACTCAACGGAGAATGCGACGCAAACCACCGATAGCACGGTCATCGAGACGCCTGTCCCGGTCGACGACTTGCCCTCAAGCGCACGGATCGACTTCAACCGATCGGCTGATGTCTCCCACGTCGGAAGCGTGACTGTGCAGGAGCAATCAGCCTCATCGCCACTCCCCACCGTAACATCAGCCGAGGGAGAAAAACACGATGACCATGACATGCTTGCAACGGCCGTTTTGGGATCGCAGCACTCTGCAGCTGCTGCCTCCGCGGCAGCCGCCGCCGAGACAGGAGGCTCCATACCTGCTATGGGCGATGCAGCCAGTGAGCTCGTCAATCTCAAGCATCGATTCAATTTCGCCTCATTCGATTGCGCCGCCGCTGTGCATCGCTCAAATCCATCTGCCAAGTTCGCCTCGTCGATTTTGTCAGAGAAAAAGGACAGATACATGCTTAGTCCCTGTCCGACGGACAGCAAAGAAGGCCAATTTGTCATCGTCGAGCTTTGTGACGAGATCATGGTCGACACGCTCGTTCTTGCCAACTACGAATTCTTCAGCCGCATGTTCAAGCGCTTCCGTGTCCGAGTTGCCCGCAGTCTGCAAGGCCGAGAAGACGAATGGTACGACATTGGCACGTTTCGAGCGAGGAACATGCGAGGGCTGCAAGTCTTCAAGACTGTTAACCCAAAGGCAGACTCTCGCTTCTTCCGCTATGTTCGCATCGACTTCCTCGAACACTATGGGTCCGAGTACTACTGCCCTGTGAGCCTGCTTCGTGTCTATGGCCTAACGCAGATGGACGACTATATCCGTGAGGAAGAGGAGATGCGCCAGCAGGTAGAACGGGAGAAGATGCTCCTTGCAGGCGAGCTGGAGGAGGACGAGGAAGAAGAGAACGATCAATTGTCTATCTCTCCTGAACTCACGGGAGAAGGACAGAAGACAGCAGAGACATCTGCCGAGTCTATGATGCCTGGCGATGAACCTGAGCCGTCGCCTTCGCCCACAGCGGTTCGTGAAGAATCACCGCACAGTACGAGCCCTACTGTGACGACACACTCTGCTAGCACTGCCAGCTCCAGATTATCCGACACAAATTCGCAGAATGAAGAGAAGGTGCTGCGTTCATCATCTCTTAGTGACGTCTACAAGACCTCCAGTCCCAGTGCAGAACACCCAGCTTCGACTTCGCTGAATCATGCTTCTACGCCTACTTCTGGACGCATCGACGATAAACCAGACATCATTCAGACGGCTTCGGTTGTAAGCGACAGCGAACCGGCCTCCAGCTCGACAATGCAAGCTCTAAATGCCACCTCTACAGATGCGCCGGTGAACACGCATGTCACCAATGACACAATCGATCAGCCAAGTGTCGCACCCTCGGCTTCGGTCCCGTCTGACAACAGCTCTGTCGCAATGTCTTCTTCTTCCTACCATTCACCTCCTCCAGTAGAGACTAATGGTCGACCGTCTCCAGCCAGCGGCAGCGGCAGCGGTGGTGGAGGGGGCAGTGAGTCTATCTATCGCACCATCACCAAACGGCTCAACGCACTCGAGACCAATGCAACCTTGAGTGTCCAATACATGGAGCACAGCCGCCAGATGCTGCGTGACGTCTTTGCGAGGATGGAAAAGCGGCAAGAGGACAGGATGGCGGAGATGCTCCGGGCGCTCAACGAGAGCAACTGGAGGCAGATCGATAATCTCAAGAGAAGGCAACAAGTCGACTTGCAGCAGGCCATCTTCGAGTTTGATCTACACAGGCAGCAAACGGACGCGGAGAGGAGCGCTCTCCTTGCCCAAGTTCACATTTTGTCCAATGAGGTGAGTATCTGTCGAGTGGTTGCTTAGGACACGTCTCTGAGCGAACCTCGGCTCCTCGTAGGTCATGCTGGAAAAGAGGTATGGAATGGCCCAACTGGTACTCTTGCTCGGTCTTTTCGTTTTCATGGCCTTGACGAGAGGCTCGCGCGCCGCTCCCATGCTGCACTCGAGCTTGTCTCGACTCAGTGGTGCCGCGACGCCCAAGCTTCGCCGCAATCGCTCCCCTGCCAACATTGATGACCGCCTTGGCATGCGTCAAGATGCTGCGAATCAAACTTCAGCTTCGCAACTCTCAACTGCGAGAATCCCAGACACGGCTTCTAGGAGGGCGGAAAAAGCCCAGCGAGAGGCCGACGCGGCAAAGAGGAGCCGATCGAGAAGTCACCAGCATCGGGCCTCGTCAAGGCGAGACAAGCGCGTCGTCATGGCTCCCGTCAGTGGCCATCAGCGGTCTTCCAGCAACGGTACAAACCGAAGGAAAAGTGTGACGGACGCTCTCAACAAGGCCGGCCCGATGTCGCCACTGACCGACAAGGAGAATGTTAAGCCCGCATTGCCGCGCATCTCAATCGAAAAGGCGTACAAAGCTAATGGGTCGAGGCCGGACTACAGTGACATGACGGACGAGGAGCTGCGAGCTTGGCTGAGGCTCTCCTCGCCTGTGAGCGCCGGTATTGATGAGAGGTTCGGCCTCTTGAATTCCCCAACCGTTTCGGCGGCCGCGCTTTCCCCAAAGCAGGAAGAGAGACTCCCCTTGTCGACCGGATCTGCCATTGCCGACGACAGCTTTTCGTCTGACTGGGGCACAGAGCGTTCGTCGGAAGGAGAGCCCGACGAGAGCATTGGACATGAGGCCGTAGTCTCACCTCCCCTGACGCCAGTGAGGGGCAGTAAAATGTCGTATGACGCCTACGAGTCGGACGCAGAAGAGGATGCACCAACATGGCAGCAATATTCAAAGACGAAATCGAGAAACTATCACCATCTCGGACACAACGGCGGCAAGATGAGGAGACCCACGAGTAGCGGGAGCGCGACCGGAAGCATAAAGAGCTTGGAAAGCGCCAATGGAGGTTCCAGGACTCCACAGCGGTTGGCCTCGCCTCTGGGGCGATGATGCTGCAGCTGCAGCTGCTGCCACTGTATTTGTACTCAGTATCATAAAGCGATCCTTTCATTTTCAATGTGTTGTTTGGTATGTTACACTAAGAGAGAGAGAAAAGCTCATCAGCACCCTTCATAGTGAAGGAGGGGGGCAGGTCATGAGCACAAACTCACATATGCAGTTGTTTGTACAAGCCTTCTCGCTTTGGCTGGAGCGCGACCGGCTGATCCATCAGCTATTTCTTGCTTCCGCATCCAATGCGTCTGCTAGGCGCTGCAGCTGTCCCATGACCACCGTGCTTGTACCTCTGGACTCTGCGTCGTCTGGTTGATCACCGGTCCCCTTTGCCTCGTTGAGAAAGGCTTGCAGCGTCTGGTGCGCGTCAGAAAGATTGACGGTCGTGCTCGGTTGGATGACATCCGACTTGAGTCGAAGCGGGGGCTCCAGCGGGACGTCCATCTTTTCTGAACCTCTTGGTGTGCTGTCTCTGGCTCGATCTCGAAGATCAAAGGGAGAGGATCTTCCCAAGAAGTGCAATTCTGGGGCGAGGAAAAATCGGTGGCCAAAAAAGTTCATCACGTGTTGGTTCCTAGCGCAGAGGCCGACGCCGCCTTCTGCTGTCGAGCCTGTCGAGCCTTCTTCTCGTCGCTTTGCCCTCCCGCCTGCTCGACCCTTCCCTCCCTACGCAGTCGACAAAGAAAAAAGAGGACCGGCCGCTAAGATGGGCATCATCGATATTCTCACCCTCGCGGTGTTCCACCCGCACGAGCTGCGTGCCCTCATCACCTACAAGGTCTGGCGCGACCCTCTCAACGACATCAAGTCGGACCCAGAGGCGTCGGGCTGGAACCGCGAGTCGATGCGCACTTGCTGGGATCTTCTCGACGCCACCTCGCGAAGCTTCAGCGCCGTCATCAAGGAGCTCAAGGGCGAGCTGAGCAGAGTCATCTGCATCTTTTACCTCGTCCTGAGGGGCCTCGACACCATCGAGGACGACATGACGATTGATGCCGAAAGGAAGATCCCGCTTCTGAGAAACTTTCACAAGGTTCTCGAACAGCCTGGTTGGACCTTCACCGAGAGTGAGTAGACTTGGGCCATCTAACATGCCATGCTTGTGTCGTTGACAACACCACGTACTATCTTGTAGGCGGACCAGACGAAAAGGATCGCGAGCTGCTGGTTCAATTTGACAAGGTCATCGAGGAGTATCAGCGGCTGGGCTCTGGTTACAAGGTCGTCATCTCTGACATTGCGGCAAGAATGGGCGCCGGCATGGCGTCGTACATTGCCGCATCGGCCTCGTCGCCCCTCTCGGTACAACGGTGGAAGGACTATGACCTGTACTGCCACTTCGTTGCCGGTCTCGTTGGCGAGGGTCTCTCGCGTCTCTTTGCGCAATCTGACATCGAGCGGCCATGGCTGGGCGACCAGCTGTCGCTCTCGAACCACATGGGCCTCTTCCTCCAGAAGACCAACATCATTCGAGACTACGCCGAGGACTGCGCCGAGGGCCGGTTCTTCTGGCCTCAAGAGTGCTGGGGCGCCCCTGGTGCGGACTTCAAGAGCCAGGCTGAGGTCGCCAAGGGCATCGTCGCCGTCTCCTCAGGCGCGAAGCACTATCGCCCCGAGGGTGAGGATGGGAAACGAGCCATGTTCGTCCTCTCCTCCATGCTTCTTGACGCGATCTCGCACGCCACACGGGCGCTCGACTACCTGAGCCTTCTCCGCGAGCAGAGCGTCTTCAACTTCTGTGCGATTCCCCAGGTCATGGCCATCGCCACGCTCAACGCAATGATGGCCAACCCAGATGTGTTTCGAAGAAACGTCAAGATCCGCAAGTCGCAAGCCGTCCAGCTCATTCTGCGGGCCGTCAACCCGCGTGATGTCTCTTACCTCTTCCTCGACTTTGCGCGCGAGATGCGATCCAAGCTTCAGCCGAGGGATCCAAACTATGTCAAGTGGTCTATTGAGCTCTCGAGGATCGAGCTGTGGTGCGAGAACTACTACCCCTCGTTTGTCTCGATGGCTTCTGAGGGCAAACCAGCCGACGCGCGGGCAGCCGCAATGACACTGTACGCCAAGGAGCGGGCACAGATCGCAAAGGCCAAGGCCGCCGGTCTGTCTCTCGACACGCCTTCTCAGGGTCTTATTCGTGAAGGCGGCCAGGGCATCGATGCGCGAAGAGAGGCAATGACGCCCCAAGAGCGAGAAGAGCACGACAAACGAGAGAGAGACGAGATGATCAAGTTCTTTGCCATCATCCTCGTGGGCATCACCTTCATCATGGGCATTGTCGCGTTGGCGGCATGGATGATTGCTTGGTACTCTCTGCAGGATGGCCAGGACCCACTCACCCTCTGGCTCGGCGAGCTGTACCAAGGTGAGTCGTCATTGAGACAAAGAGTCTTTGTCAAAGTGCTAACGTTTTGTCTCTTCATCCCTCAGGCTGCAAGGTCTACTTTGCCGAGCAAGCCGCTTACCTCGCAAGGCTGGGCAAAGAGGGTACTCAAGGCCTGAAACGCAAATACGACCTGTAGGAATTATATCTCCAGTCTCCTTTGAATACATTATGTGAATTCCTCCCTTCTCTCCTAATCGACATCGTCGCCGTCATCATCGTCGTCGTCCTCTTCGTCCTCGCTCACTTCCATGCCCTTTTCCCGCATGCGCTTTTTGTCTGCCTTGCGCTTTGTCGAGAGCTCATCGAGGAGAATGAGCAGATCTTCGAGCTCCTTTTCCAGCTCTGCCTTGCTCTTCTCCCCGTCAGCTTCGTCATCGACATCCTTGTCGCCTCCCGCAGCGGTGGCGGTTGCGGCAGAAGCAGCTCCGTTGATGGGCAGCTTCTCTCTCTCCTTCTTGAGCTCCTCTTCGAGCTCCTTGGTCTTGACCTTCTCGTTCTCGAGGTTCCTCTTGTGCTCTTCCGCCTCTTTTTGAATCTTTTCCCTCTCCCTCTTGGCTTCTTCCTGGATCCTCTTTTTATCTTCCTCCCATCTGTTTTTCTCTTCTTCCACGCTCTTGCTCCGCTGCTCTTCGCCCTTTTTCCTCTCTTCATCGGCCTTCTTTCCCTCGGCTTCCTGCGCATCTCTGCTCTTCTTGTAGCCCTCAACTTCCACCTGCAGCGCCTCTAGCTTTCCCACGAGGCTGTTGCGTTCTTCGTCAGCCCGCTTGCGCTCTTCATTGAGCCTCCGCTCGAGCTGTTCCGCCTCCCGAGCATGCTTGGTCACGCTCTCGCGCAGCTGCTCTGCCTGACGCTGCGCATCAAGAAGTTCGGCGCTCTGCGACGCCTGGTTGGCAGACGACGACGATGGATCGACAAGGATAGACTTTTGGATAAGGACTGTTCAAGAGACGGCACAATGGTCAGTATAGGAAGCAAATCCCGAGAGAGGCAGGTTGTGAGGAGGAGCAACGCACCGTAATTGCTCTTGACAAAGTCAACAAAGGGCCAATCGAACCAGAGGCCGCCCTCTTGCTCGTCGGAAGGATCGCCACTCGGTGCTCCGCCAGGCGCAGCAGGTCCAGATCCTGGCGCTCCAGTAGAGAGACCAGCAGCGGTGGCGCCGCCTTCCCTAGTTCGAGCAGCGACCGAGGCCGCGCCAGAATAGCCGCCCATGCCGAGACTGACGGTTTCGAGGACGTCGGGTGCCACAGCCTTGAATCTGGCGTCGTCGCGGAGTCTGTGAAGGCGCGCCGCAAATTGATCTGGACCGATCCTCGAATGCAAGATGGGGTGCATCGTCGCCCTCGTGACGGCGTCTTCCTCGCTGTCTCCTTCTTTTTCGCCGTCTTTCTTGCCAGAAGAAGGACCGAATTCGTACGCGATGCCCAGCACCAGAGCGCAGAGACCCGAAACAAGGGCATCCGTGTTTCCACCGGCCTGCGCCACGGGTTGGATGAGGACTTGCAGGTTGGCGCTCTCGCTCAGGAAATCCCACACGCTTTCTTTCGAGTCCCACAGCCATGTGGCCAGGACGAGGAGGTAGCCGACGGTGATTCTGCTCCAGTCAGTGGGGGACCCGTTGCCGGCGTGGGCAGCCGCTCTGGCCGAGGCACCTCCAGCCACGCCGCGCTCACGTCGAGTCGCTTCGCCGTGCTCGCGAGTCGCCATCGTCAGGTTTCCAACGATGACTTGGATCAAGCTAGACTTGTCATCGTCGTCTTCGGTGCTCTTCTTGGTCTGTTCGTCTTCCTTGCCGATGGGCTTGCCGTCAGGACCAAAGATGATACCTCGGGCCTCCTTTTTGGCCGTCTCACTTCCTCGAACGAGGTGAGCAAAGAGAAGTGCGCTGAGGAGAGGCTTGTAGCCGTCGAATTGACCATTTGGAGAGGCTTGTGGGAATTGGGCAAGGCCCTCCAGTAGCAAAACGCCGCTGTTGTCTTCGCCTCCCGAAGTCATGCTGCTAATGATAGCCAGACGGGCGTCGACATTGTCGGCTACAAAGGCATCGAAGCAGCTCAACGCTGCGGCCCTGAATGCCAGCTTAGCGCCGGGATTCGAAGATTTTCCCACAGCAGAGGGTCCATTGACAGCCGATCCGATCAGCTCGAGCACAGCGGGTCGTGGAGGCAGCCGAGTGTATGTCGGCTCTCCATCTGCGTCAGGAGGTGGGCTGATCACGAGAATAGGAGAGACAAGCAGATTGCTGAGAAGGTCCTGGCTGCTGCGATGTGCTCGAAGGAGCGAAGAGAGGACGTTGAGAGCCTGGGCCTTGAGAGCCAGAGGAGCTGTACTGGCGAGCGACAGTTCGAAGAGGCACTTTGTGAAGCCGCTGTTGAGCAAGGCAGCTTGATTCTGCTTCCTTCCTTCGCCCTGTCCCTCGACAAGGAGGCCAGCGACGCCTACAACGAGACTGGCATTGATGACTTTTTGCTCGTCAACTTCCAGTGGCGTGCCCAATGGCTTCCCGTCGGGTCCTAATTGCTCCTCATCGTTGATCGGAGGGTACCACTGCTGGAAGGCAAAGGCCTCGAGCTGTCTTGCGTGTTCTTGCTCAGCTTGAGGGTTTCCGGCTTGAGGAGGGGGAGGGTAAAAGAGAAGGGGGGCAAGCATGGGCACCGACAGGGTCTCCCGGAAGTAGTTCTGCGGGCAGTCGCAGAAAAATTAGCAAAGGCTGTAGTCCCTCTTTTCCCACATGCTCAACTCACTTGGTTGGAGACGTTGTATCTCAGCAGCGCCTCAAGTGCCTCCAAGGCATCCTGAACCACGACACCTCCTTCGATTCTTCCTTCCAGTGCGACGACATCGAGGAGCTTCTCGAAGGCGCCTTCAAACGCGACGAGTTTTTGAATGTCGGCATTGGCGTTGACGAGGTGGGGAAGGAGCAGCAGCGCCTCGTTTCGGACAATTTCGGCGCTGGACCCGGACCCTTCGGACAGGCACTCGAGGACGGCGCCGCAACCGCCTGGAGCAGTGAGTACGTGCTCCTGCACCCGTTCAGCACTAGTCCTCAGTAAGAGTCCTAACAGCTGCAGAGAAGAAAAGCGCGTGTAAAAGGACCGAGAGGGCGACAAGAGCGGCAGGAGCGCGTGCAAGGGCTTAGGTGAGGCCAAGAATTCCTCGACGTGGCCCAAGACGTGCCTTGGTGTCTGGAAAGATCCGATGTTGTTCAGCAGATTATCCTAAAAGCGGCGCAATTAGCATAGACTTGCCTTGCCATCCTTGCTCATGGCGAACCCCATTGACGAGGGCCCACCAGGCTGCGGGGCAGCCTCGCAGAGGGTAAGGCATGCCTCGACAATAGAACGCGCCATCTCGTCATCCTGAGGTGCGTCGCGAGCGAGGCTCTCGAGAATAGCTGGGAGTGCTTTGGCTCCCACCTCGACAGGATGATCACGGGCAAGGCCCTTGAGCGTCAGGACGGCGGCTTTGCGATCCTGCAACGTGGGCATGGGCGGCGCCGCTTGTCCATCCTCGCCCTTGGTCGGTTCCACATCCTGCAACCTCGAGGCGAGCGTCGCAATGGTCGTCTCGAGCGTCTGGTTGCCCGTCGCAGGCCGTGCAAGCGACGTGTACTTTTTGACGAGCCACTCCCCGCCGTGAAGCATGGCTGGCAGCGGGCTCTCTATGGACGGTGGACGACTTGAGAAGTCAGAAGGTCCACCAACTGTAGTTTGCCCTGCCAACACGTTGAGGCGTCTTCGTCGGCCGAGGACAGCAGATAAAGTTCCATTACAAGATTGGGTTGTATTCCAATGACGCTCGGACCAGGCGCGAAACTTCCCACCGTGTGGAGTTTGACTTGGAGATTAGGCTGGGCTTCCCTTTCCTTCCCCACCCAACGTAAGAAACTTCGGCTCGTGCAAAGACCAGCCGACGATGACGACGAAGGACTATTCGACAGCCAAGGATGGCACCAAGATCGTCAGCCTCGATCCATGGCTGGAGCCATTTGCGGACCCGCTTCGGTCTAGATATGCCCTCTACAAGAAGTGGGTCGACAGCATTGAGTCCAGCGAAGGCGGGCTTGCAAAGTTCTCGCAGGGCTACCTCAAGATGGGCTTCCAGGTCGATCAGAATTCGCAGGCCGTCACATACCGCGAGTACGCTCCTGGCGTGCAGAAGGCATACCTCATCGGCGACTTCAATGGCTGGAACAGGGATTCGCACCCCATGACCAGGGACGACTTTGGCGTATGGGCTCTGACGTTGCCACCAGGGCAGCATGGGCAATGCGCAATTCCACACAAGTCCAAAGTCAAGCTCTCGATGATCACGCCCAGCGGCGAACGGATCGAGAGACTGCCGGCGTGGATCAAGTGAGCCAACACCTTTCCAACCTCCCTCTGCCATCTCGCTCTTGTACTGACAAGGCTATCACCAGATACGTCACACAGGACCTCAGTGTCTCGCCCGTGTACGATGCGGTTTTCTGGAATCCACCCGCGAACGAGCTGTACCACTTTAGGCACCCTCGTCCTCCGAAGCCGACAAACCTCAAGATCTACGAGGCTCATGGTGGGTGCCAGGATCGAGCAACGTTGCCAGCGCGACAGACTGACCGTCCCTCTTTTTCGCAGTGGGCATTGCCTCGCCAGAGCCTAAAGTTGCAAGCTACAAGGAATTTAGTGAGTGTGCTGCTGTCGTCTTGGCTCGTAGTCGACGGTCTCTCATCTCTTTGCCTCGAACGGTAGCCGCCAACAACCTACCTCGAATCAAAGAATTGGGGTACAACGTTGTTCAGCTCATGGCCGTTCAAGAGCATGCCTATTACGGATCATTTGGATACCAGGTGACGAACTTCTTCGCCGCCAGCAGCCGTTATGGCACGCCAGAAGAGCTCAAGGAGCTTATCGATGTCGCTCATTCCATGGGCATCACCGTACTCCTCGACATCGTCCACTCACACGCATGCAAAAACGTGCTCGATGGACTTAACATGTTTGACGGCACAGACTACTGCTACTTTCACGAAGGCGCAAAGGGTAGGCACGAGCTGTGGGATAGCCGCCTCTTCAACTATGGCCACCACGAGACACTCCGTTTCCTGTTGAGCAACTGCCGTTGGTGGCTCGACGAGTTCCAATTTGATGGCTTCCGATTCGATGGGGTGACGAGCATCCTCTATACGTGAGTGTGTCGCGCTAGATTTCCGCTCATAGACACTGATCACCTTAGTCGAAAACAGCCATCACGGCATTGGGACAGGATTCTCGGGAGGCTACCATGAGTACTTTGGGCCATCGGTGGACGAAGAAGGCGTGGTCTACCTGATGCTGGCAAACGAAATGATCCACAAGATTTTGCCCGAAGCCATCACAGTGGCTGAGGACGTCTCTGGCATGCCCGGCCTCTGCAGGCCTGTCGAGGAAGGAGGCGTTGGCTTCGACTACCGATTGAGCATGGCGGTGCCGGGTAAGTGCTTGCTCCTTCTTTGTCGCTGCTCTCTTCCCTAACGCTCGTGCACCCTAAAGACATGTGGATCAAGCTGCTCAAGGAGACGCGCGACGAAGACTGGGACTTTGGCAACATCTGCCACACCCTCACCAACCGACGCCACCTGGAGAAGTCGATTGCTTATGCCGAGTCGCACGATCAGGCCTTGGTCGGCGACAAGACGATTGCCTTCTGGCTTATGGACAAGGAAATGTACACCAATATGTCAGACCTCACCGAGCGCACTCCCATCATCGATCGAGGTCTGGGCCTGCACAAAATGATCCGTCTCCTCGTTCACGGTCTCGGCGGCGAAGGCTATCTCAATTTCATCGGAAACGAGTTCGGACATCCAGAGTGGCTAGACTTCCCGACGGCTGCCAACGGATCGTCATTCCACCACGCTCGAAGGCAGTTCAACCTCGTCGATGACGACCTGCTCCGTTACAAGTATCTCTATGCCTTTGACAAGGGTATGAACAATCTTGAAGAGCGCTTCAAGTGGCTTGCCGCACCTCAGGCGTACATCTCGTGAGTGTACTTCTCTTCCTCTCTCTCATCAAGTATCTCCGCGCAACTCACACTACCTTGACTTGGCAACAGGCTCAAGCACGAATCGGATCGGGTTGTCGCCTTTGAACGCGCCGGTGCTCTATTCATCTTCAACTTCCATCCCAACAAGTCCTACACCGACTACCGAATCGGCGTCGATGTCGCAGGCACCTATCGTATCGCCCTCGACTCTGACGAGACACGCTTCGGCGGGCACGGCCGCATCGATCACGCCGCCAGCGAATTCTTCACGACACACATGGAGTGGAACGGAAGGCGCAACTTCGTGCAGGTCTACTTGCCGTCGAGGACCTGCCTTGTGCTGGGAAAAGTGGCCTAAGCAAGATTGTATGTGAAGCCACCCGCGCTGCTATGCATCTCAAGACGTGATTTTCCTGTGCATTTCGAGAACGCTCAAGGAAAGGAGACAGACTATGGAAGAAACAAAGCCGTGCATGGAGAAGGGTGTATGACCTCTTCAAAAGATGAGCATCACTTAACAATCTGACGGGCACATCATCTGCTAGGTCAATGGCAATGAGGTCTCTAATCCTCCCGCCGCTTGTTTGTTCTCCCGCCCTTGTTTACGAGCACGGTCCACTGTATAAAACAGGATCGACTCGAGATAATAGAGACGGTGTCATCTTTCCTCTTGATTCCCTACAGTCTCGAGCCCTCTGAACCACGGACGAAGAGTAGAAGCGAAAACCATAAGATTTGATCTTTTGGGAAGAAAGGTGCTGGGGACCACCCCTCACATGTAAATGTGTGTGCGTGTGTGTATGTTGTCGATGAGTGTGTTTGTGTGTGTGCATTGAAACAAGTGGGTTTCGGGGAGAGTCGTTTGCCTCCCACCCGCAATACGACTCTCTAGATCCCTCAAGGCGATATCGGTACAAGAATCGTCGTCATATCTCTCCTCCTCCTCTTCTCAACTCCCTCCTCCTCCCTCCTCTGCTCCTCAGTCCAATCTCGTCCCGTCCTCTCATGGTCACGTCTATCACGAGATTCTTAGACGTTGCTGGGGTAGAGCATGATCCTGACGCTCGAGCCGAAAGCCTGAGGGGGGATGTTGTTGCGGAATTTGGAGCGGACGACGCCAGAGTTTCCGTGGGGTCGGGTGACCTTGCCCCAGATGACACGGACCTTGGTTCCTCGCTTCTCGGTCTGGGCGCGGTAGACGTAGGCGACGCGCTGTGCGAGTCTCGATGTCAGTCTTCTTTGCCCTCACCTCATTGCATGCGGGCAGGCGGCAGCAGCAGCAAAAGCTCACCTTGCCGAGGTAGAATTGGGCGTCCTTCTGGTTCTCAACGCCCTCGATCTTGATGAGGGTCGTGTGAGGGTGCGAGTTGTGCTTGCCTCGCTGGTGGCCCTGGATCCTGCCCTTCGTGTAGAGTCGAGTCTGTAGAAAGAGGCTTTCTGTTAATCATCCGTTCCTTTTGCACTTTCTCCGATCATCCTCGTCGCCATAACCCTCCCCTCATCTGGTTCATGTCCTTCCGTCCTCCATCGTGTACCCGAAAGTTCGGCTTTAACCACTCAAAACGTGTGTACTCACCATCTTGAAGCCGTGTGTCGTTGGTTGAGAAGCCTTGAACCGTTTCGTCACCTCGAAACCGAAGTTGGCCTGACGCTCTCTAGCCACGCTGCGGCTACATCGCACGTGTTTTGACTTCTGCTCGCGTGGTATCCAACTTTATTTTTATTTTTATTTTGTTTACAGATGCATTTTGTCCTGCCTCTGAGTTGGTCATGAGCCCCTCCACGCAGACCTTAGCGCCCGAGATTTGACCGAAGAGGCCGTTCAAGACTTGCTCCGGTCTGTACGAAAAGTCAGCAGGTTCTGTACGTGATCTCCCCTTTCTTGAGTCCTCGGAGCGGCTTGATGGAAGAATGTCGGTTCAATCTGTGCCTGTGCGTGGGGGCCCCAGAGGACGGAAACCGCATGCCAAGCTATGCCGAGAGCGCGGGGGTGGCGACATGCACTGGAGGTAATAACAGTCCTGCTTACCGGGTCCTGTTCATTGCACGATGGAATAGAAGCGCGGCATGGCAATGACTCAGGAAGGATGCCTGTTCTTCTCTGGACCTGAACGCGTACTGCACACACGACGATGTTGTCCTTGTCCTCCTTTTCCACCATTTCCCCCTCACCGACAGTGTGAGCATATAAGGTCCTGCTCGCTATCTGACCCCCCATCATCCCCACACCCCCGTTTCTTCGAGCTCGCCCATGCTGGCCTTCACTCTTTTCTTCTCTCTGGTGGCTTGCTCCGCCGAGGCGCAACCCTTCGTGCTGGACAGTCCTCTGTTGAGTGGACAGCAGCAGCTCTTTGCTCGCCATGGTGGGCCCAACAGCACCTCCGCGAAGTGCACCACCTCCAATGGCGATGCTCCCTCTTCGTTCCAGCCTCCGCTCTACACAGAGTCTGCGAGGCCACAACTGCACTTCTCGCCCACATCTGGGTTTATGAACGATCCAAATGGCCTCGTGTATAGCAATGGGACCTGGCACATGTACTACCAGTACAACCCAAATGCGACAGTGGCGGGTAACCAACACTGGGGCCATGCCACTTCCAAGGACCTCTTCACCTGGCAGCAGCACCTCCCTGCCATCGCACCTGAGAACGAGGGAGAAGGCATTTTCTCGGGCTCCGCGGTGCTTGATGTCAACAACACCTCCGGGTTCTTCGATGACAACGTACCGGCCGACAGTAGATTTGTCGCCATGTGAGCCTTGCCCTATTGCTTTCTCTGTGCATGCATTGCTCATCACTTCTTTCCGGGTCTGTTGCGCTTAGATACACCCTGAATACGCCAGCCGAACAAAACCAGAATATTGCCTACTCAACCGATGGTCAGCACTACACAAAGTATTCCGGCAACCCCGTCATCTCGCTCAACACGACGCAGTTCCGCGACCCGAAAGTCTTCTTCGATGATGCGACGCAACAGTGGGTCATGACGGTGGCGCATCCCCAGTCGTACGAGGTTGGCTTTTACGCTAGCAAGGACCTCAGAACATGGAACGAGCTGAGCCGGTTTGGTCCCCATGGTGTGCTGGGCTTCCAGTACGAATGCCCTGACCTCGTGCAGGTTCCTGTCAAGGGAGGCGAACGCGACGGTCAATTGGCATGGGTCCTCGTTGTGTCTATCAATCCAGGCGCGCCTCTCGGAGGCAGCTTCGTCCAGTACTTTGTCGGCGACTGGAATGGCACAGCCTTCCGGCCTGATAATGGAGCAGCACAGATTGCCGACTTCGGCAAGGATTGGTATGCTGCGCAGACCTTCTACAATGCACCTCAGGGTCGCACGGTGGGACTGGCCTGGGCATCCAACTGGCAATACACGAATGTGGCCCCTACGTCGCCCTGGCGATCGGTCCAGTCGCTGCCGCGGGACATGACTCTCCGATGGACCAACATGAATCCGTTGCAAAAGGGCTACGTCCTAGCGCTCGAGCCGTCTCCGGAAATCCTCTCCCTGCCATCAACGCCGCTGCTCAACACGACCAAGGCAGAGAACACCACAGTCGTCCTTCGCGGCGACGGCGCATTCGACGTCCGCGCCACGGTCACCGCCAACGTGTCGTCGACGAATTTTCCTTCGCTTGAGTTCGTCATCAGCAGTAGCCACGGCTCCACCGCAGAGAAGGTCAAGATTGGTGCACAGATTGGTCAACCAACGATGATCTATGTCGATCGACGCACAGCCGGCCGGACTTGGGCCGACGAGAATGTCTTCTTCACCGACCGACTCTCTGGTCAGCTGACGCCCTCGACACAGAACTCGAGCAGTGCCTTGACGACGTTTGACCTGAGACTCATCATCGATCGGTCCATCTCGGAGCTCTTTGTCGACGGGGGACTCGTCTCGAGCACTATCCTCCACTTCTGGGACGACAAAGCCCAGCCCGCCCAGCTCGACGTTGGCACGCACGGCGGCGTCAAGCTCGACTTTATTAGCGTCAGCCATGTCCGTTCAACGTGGCCAGACTGCTCATCTTAATCCAGTCACAGTGAAATGACATTCACAAAACATGAAGCGTGAAAAGGTGGTCAAAGCGAAAGGGAAATGGATTTTACAGTAGGTAGAGCTTAGAATACCGGTGGAGGGGGAACCAAGAAGGAGGACAAGAATGCGCCCGTGCGCTGGAGAGAGACAAAAACAGAGAGACAGGCGGGCGGATCACCGTCCAGTCGGCTTCTTGAGACTCGTATCGTAGATGCGGATCAAGTTTGCCTGCTCGCCGTCGCCCTCTGTCTGACTGAAGGCATAGCCCCTCTGCCGTCTGATCCTCTGCACCGCCCTGACTTTCCGAATTGCCTTTTGGAACTGGCTCATTCTCGGCCGGCTGTCTTGGAGGTTGTACTTTTGCACCTCGTGGACAATGTGCCGTGGCGATGGCCGGTAGGTCCGCTGCCAGTACTTCCACGAAAAGTCGCGCAAAAGGCAGACGACGGGCACGAGAACCATGCAGAACCAGGTGAGGCTGAATCCGTAAAGGCGCCCGACGATGTCGTCGTACTCCTTTGAGAAGCCGATGCGGGGCGCCACGACAGCGTAGACGGCGACAAAGGCCAGTGTGAAGACAGCCGAGCCAGGAATGGCGGCAAAGGTATACTTGGTCCACAGGTCGCTTACCAGCGCGGCCTTGCCAAGAACGGTGATCAGGACGGCAAAGTACAGAGCTGTCCCCCAGATCCACGAGTACGACGTGTAGCCGCCCGAGAGTTGCGGGCTGTCCCAGAAGGCGGCTGTGACAAAGATGTAGGCGATGAGCGAGTGGTAGAAGGCGTTGACGGTCCAGCCCCAGAAGCGTCGCTTGTTGAAGAAGATCTGCCCATACAGCTGCGGGTATCGGTCCAACATCCTCGCGCTCAGGTATTGGTCGAAGATACCAATGACCAAGGGCGGCAAGACGGTGAAGATGACGTTGTAGAACGACAGCGTCCAAGACTCGAAAGCGACCTGACCCGAGAAAGAGTTCTGGAACGAATACCAGAACAGCGTCATGTAGAGGGTGATGTTCTTGTAGAACGAGTAGAGGATCATCTTGCTTAGCCTTGCGTAGCTCCACGACCCGTGGACGAGGAGCAGCTTGCGGAGGTACTTGAATTGGCTGATGGCTACATCGGCCGATCGAGCCGCTTGAAGACCTTCAACACCGCTGATACCGACTCCGACGTGAGCGGCTTGGATCATGCTGACATCGTTGGCACCGTCGCCGATGGCAAGGAGGAGCGAGCTCATGTTCTTCTTGACCAACTTCACCACCAGTGCTTTTTGCAAAGGCGATACGCGGCAGCAGATGACGGCCTTGCACATGACGGCCAGCTCGAGGAACGTCTTTGCAAGCTCCTTTTCCAGCGCAAACGAAAGACTCTTGCCGTCGATAATCAGGGCCATCTCCTCAAGCTCACCAGCGCTCCGCTGAGACTTGATGGCGGCCAGACGCTTGTTGAGGATGGCTGCTGTGTCGTGCAAGTTGTCTTCGTTGATGATGACGAGATTCATCGACTCTGAGATGAGGCGGCATGACAGGCCAATGTTGATGGCAGTCTCCTGTCGATCGCCCGTCAGGACCCACACCTTAATACCTGCAGTCTGGAGCGTGTGGATCGTTTCGGGCACGCCGTCCTGCAGCTTGTCTTCGATGGCCGTCGCGCCCAGGAGGAACATGTTCTGTTCAATGACTTCGGCCGCCTTGTCGAGAGCCTCGCCTCGGTTCGTGATTGTCTGGGCCGCTTGATCGTAAATCCGAGCCCACTGCCGGTATTCTTGCTCTGGAATTTCGCGCATTGCCACGCAGAGCGTCCGAAGCCCATCGGTAGCAAAGTCTTCGAGGTGGATGAGCGTTTGCTCGGTGTAGGGCTGATTCTCGCTGAGCCGAGCCATAATGACCGTGTCTGCACCCTTGCAGTAGAGCTTGATCTTTCCATCGGGACCTCGTACGACAGTCGACATGCGCTTGCGAGTACTGTTGAACTCGCACACATTGAGAATCTCATACTCATGGTCGACACCACGGATGCTGACAAAGATGGATCTCGGTTTGCGCACGTAAAATTCGTACCCCAGGCCCTGTGCGCCCGACACCAAAGCAGCTTCGTCAGGGCTGCTGGCCTGGAATGCAATGCGCCCACCCTCACGCTGCTCGGGAATGACGGTGTGGCAAACGGCCAGAAGGGTGAGAAACTCGTCAATGACCGCCGAGCTGCCATCGTCGGGCACCTCGCCGTTCATCATTGTTCGCAGCTCGTGCCAGGTCCTCTGTCCGCCAATCTCGCGGCCATCAGGCCCAATCTCGCCCGTACCCTGTTTGCTCTCGTCGACGACATCGGTGTAAGAGGTGCCGCCGATGCTGGCCTGCTTGAATTCCATCTCGTTTCGCGTGAGTGTGCCTGTCTTGTCGCTGAAGATGTAGTCAATCTGACCCAATTCCTCGACTAGACTCGAGGTTCGACACAGGGCCGGAGTGTCTGTGGGGGCGTAGTACATGTCGAGGTCCGAGTTGATGAGCATGGCCTGCTGGTACTTGATAACCTCGATGGTGACAATCAGCGAGATGGGAATCAAGTTGTTGTAGGCGATGATAAATGTGAGGATATCCTCGACAAAGATCCTTGCCTTGCCCTTTGAGTCGTCGGCGAGGAGCAAGTATTGCATCTCACTTGCGTAAGCGGAGTTGCGAACGATGGACCCGATGGCCGAAGCAATCGAGAGAGCCAAGAGAAGGACAAAGAGGAGCAGAATCAGGACATTGACCTGCTTTTCGACGGCAGTCCTCTTGATCGGCGCTGCTGTCGCATTGCGCATCAGCTTCGTTTCGTGCCCTGTAAAGGTGACGAGGCCGTAGATCCATGGTGTGTTGCGCAGCTGAGCACCACGGAGCAGCATCTGTTCAGGTGACAGAGGAACTTGCTTGGTCGGCATGCCACTGAAGCCGGGCGTGGAGCTCAATTGGAGGTGCAAAGTGGCATCAAAGGTGTAGAGGCTGTTGTTGGGATGCTCCGAGGCCATGTGCCCGCGAAGGGAGCTCACAGGGGTGGGCGAAGTGAGCCTAGCCGTGTCAGGCGATGCCTGCTTGATCTTGAGATTCGTCTCGCCATCCAGATTGGCTGTCTCGACGTAGCAGAGGCCCTCGGGCTCCGAGCTGCTGATAAGGACGAGATCGGCGGGAAAGAATTCGTTGGATTCGACCCGAATGATGTCGCCCACTCGGACATGCCGCCATCTTCGCGGCTCAAACGTCCCACTGCCTGGATCCAGGACCTGAGCCACTCGGCCGTTGAGTTCCGTGTCCGATTGGTGTCGCTTGATGTCTTCCTTGATCTCCTTGAAGGCACTGGCGAGCAGCACCAGACCCAACGGCACAATGGTCGTCCATCTATTTGTCGGTGACACACCTGGAATTTGCTGGATGCAGGCCGTGAAGAGGAAGAAGACGTTGGCATATTTTGAGAATTGTTCTGCGCCAGCCAATCTTGGTCAGCAGTCTGTTCCCTCTTAGCGAGCAAATGAGCAAATAAGGAGCTCAACACGCACCATAGAAAAACTTGGGCACAAAGGTGATGATGTTGTACTTGCTCGTACTTATGTAGTTGTCGCAGAAGTTGCCCTCACGATCGTTGGTAACCGGGTCGTTGAGCCGCACGATGCGTTCTCCCTGTGGCTGCTTTGGCCCTGCACCCCTCTTGGAGACCATGCCACGCATGTCGTTGGTCATTGTTCGGAACGACCTCCTAAGGCCGTCCAGGGGAGAGTCCCTAGGTGCTCGCCTCGATCGCCCTGCTGAAGCTGATGTCGAAAGCGGCGTTGCATGCGCCTTTTTTGACCTTGGCGATACGGGCGAATCGTACGGCTCGTCGTCCGCCTCGATGGATTTGAAGCCGCCATTGGCGCTGTAGACATCTGCGAAGGGCGAAGCAGCCTCGTGTCCGGCAGGCATGGCTGCTGCGCTTGCAAGGGGCAATCCACTCTCTTGACTGCCGCGGTCGTGGATTTGGTGATTGGCAAACGGCAGTCGCGGCACACTTAGATCTGAGTTTTGTCGGCTGGGCCCGTCCAAGGTCATTTGGCTCTGAAGAAAAGAAGGGTCGTACTGCCTCGATTGCTGCTGTTGCTGCCGATGGCCCTGCGTTGCTGTTCTTGCCGAATTTGCCGGTGGATAGTTTCCAAAGTCCTCGAGGTCATCATCGCCCATCAGGTCCGGGTCGTCGGCGTCGACGAGCACGTGCGAGGGCGGGGGCGGAGCCCGCTGATGCGGTTGTGTTTGCTGCCCCGACGCGAAAGGACCGAGGCCGAGCGACTCTGTGCTCCCTCCAAAAAACGGATCGGCGCCCGCCGACTGGCTGTGCAGGCCCTGGCCCGACGAAGAAGCGTAGTAGGGGTTGGCTGAGTGGGTCACTGGACGATGCGACGAGGTGCCCTCGGGCGGCGGCCTGCCCGAGCTATACGATGTGAATTCATCAAAGTCGTCCATGGCTGCTTTATCCTTTTCGTGTTTGCGCGGACTTCGTCAAGAGGAAATGTTCAATTCATGGGGCGCACGCCGGGCTTGACCAGTGCAGGTAAGGCTCAAAGTGATGTGCTCCCCCCGTCGCGTCGATGCTCGTCGTCCTCTCGTTCGTTGCGGCCCGCCGCTGCGCGCGTGTATGCCCACGCCTTCGTTATTCTTTCGTCAGGAATCTGCCCCGCTACTCGAGTCGGAACGGCGTTGATCTGACCCCTATCTTATTTGCGAACGGTCGTGGATGTCGGTCTTCTACGTCACTGGCGAACACAGCCAAGTCTTGTTGCTTGCATTCAAGGGGAGGCGGGCGGAGCGGGCCACGTGTCTCTGCTTATATAAGCATACTTACGGCCCTCGGCGGGAACGACCGATCATCAGCTTAGTGCCCCACCGTGAGACGGTTAGAAAGCCCAGAAGAGGTGCCACAAACAGGCAATAGTTGGTCTTGTGATGCGAAGAACGCACCCTTGCAATCACTGTTGAGGGGCATCGAGATGGCTGGTCTCACCCTCTCCCTGAGGTTCTTTTCCAAGACTTCAGACCCAGCTTCTCGTGCGACCTGAATAGGTCAGGTCTCAGTGCTGCATCATAGCTTTGTGTGCTTGGCCCAGACAGCTGTCGGACTCGTGTTCTGCTGCTCGACTGTCACCTGGCCTACATATCTATTCCAAGTCAGGGGAGAAGTCCAGCTAGGAACTTCGACCGAGTAGCGCCCGTAATAATTTTTTGTGCAGAGGATGGCGCGGGAGATGGCGGGTGCCTGACTGATCACCAACAATGAGTGGTCAAGGCAACATCAGACGTCTTCACAGCTGTCTCATCCTCATGTCTTGACTCGTCAGTTGAAAGCTATGATCTTGATGTCACAAATTAGGCGCAATCGCCGGACTCGACGTCCATCCATACGACCGGGAACGACGGGAAATAAAAAAAAATGCTTGAGCAGTGTGGTACGTGCGAAGGAAGAAAGGCTCACCGCTCACGCATATTGCGTGCTGAAAAGCGCTTTTTAGAGTAGGACCCCTTCCTCCTGTCCGTGCATTAAAGAAAACGGGAGCGACGAGCTCGCATTGAATTCCTGCGCTCTGATTGTCGTCGTCGTCGTCTGACCTCCAACATCGCAGAGCTCGCCAACAATGAACGGCCACGCCGTGCCAGCTCCTCCGTTCGTGGCTGATCCACATCCGAAGCGAGTGCTCATCATTGGCGGCGGCCCGGCGGGCTTGGGCGTCCTGCGCGCGCTGCTCCACCAACACCCGGGCGAAGCTCCACCACCATTTGAGGCAGTCTCGCTCGTCGAGCGCCGCGAAGACATTGGCGGCGTCTGGAACATCGACAGCAAGACTGTTGCCCTCGAGCGCTCCTATCCCAACGGCCACGCTTCGGGGCATTGGCCCGTCTATGCCAACCCGCAGGAGGCCCAGCAGGGGAGACCACACTGGCCCTCGCCCTCGTACCCTCTCCTGCGAGGAAACGTGCTGCCGCGCTTCCTGTCGTATTCGACAGCCGGTCGATTCCCTGCGCCTTCGGAGAACGAGCCATTCCCGTCGCTCGACGAGACACAGGCGTATCTCGTGGAGGCTGCCAAGCCCGTCCGTGCTTACATCCGATGCAACATCGAGTGCGTCGGCGTGTGGGAGCTGCCAGACGACAAGCCGGACCAGAACAGATGGGCTGTACGTTTGCATGACTGGAACGATGGTGGTAAGGCGGTGACCGAGTACTGGGACGCGGTGAGTTGGCCCGCCCTTTTCTTTACTTTTCTTCTTTCCGAGGCTGCCTGCCCTTGTATGCGCTCTGCTGACGAGGCCTTTTGCTGCTTGTCAGGTCATCCCTGCCACGAGCTTCACCGATGCGCCCGCCTATCCTGCGATCCCTGGTATCAAGGAAGTGCATGACATTGGCAAGCTGCAGCACTGTAAATGGTACCGTGGTGTCGAGGGGACATATACAGCCGACGAGCGTATCCTCGTTGTAGGCAATGGCAATAGCGCAAACGATGTCGCTGCCCACCTTGCCTCCCACCGCGTCGCCGGCAAGCACGAGCCAATCTACCGGGCCGCGCGCCACGCCAAGCTCATCATCTTCTCCGCGCTCGAAGATGAACGAATCAAGGACGTGCCCACGGTCAAGGCTTTTCACGTTCGCGAAAGGGCCGGCAAGGCCGTCCTAGACGTCGAGCTGATCGATTCGTCTATCATTGAGAATGTTGACAGAGTCGTCCTCGGCTCGGGCTATCAGTACGGCAAGTACCATTGGATTCATCTCCTGAGCCGTGGCGCAACGTCAGCAGACGAGGCCCACCTCCCAGGCCACCACGACGGCGCAGACTGGCAAGCACCAGCAGAGTCGGACCTGTGGAAACCCGTGTCGCTTGCCCCTCGCGCACTGGGCCAAGGACCCGAGCCGGATGATCCGGGCCGTCTTGTGGGTCTGTGGGAGCAAATGGTTCATGCCCGTGCTGCCACGCTGGCCTTTGCCAACCTGCCCATCACCTATACGCCCTTTATCCTGGCCGACGTCCAAGGCCATGCGCTCCGGAGCCTCTGGGACGCGTCGCCCGCGTCCCTTCCGCCCACGCTGGAAGCACGGCTGCAGTCCGAGCGCGATCGGCTGGCAGAGATTGAGGCGCGGAAAAAGGCGCTTCCGGAGCTCGAAGCCGCCGGCGAAAAGGCCTGGCGCGACAAGCTCGAAAAGAACCGCGCCGTCGACCGCGGCGAGCTGCCAGAGTCGGAGCGCATCCCAGCCTTTGAGACAGTGGCGCCGGACCACGTCACCCTGCTCCACTTTCACATCCTGGGCGACGATGGCTTGCCGTACGCTAACCGGCTGCGAAAGGTTGCGCTCGCGGGCCACCCAGAGTGGGAGCAGCGGCTGCTGGACTGGAACACGATCGAGGAGGAGCGAAAGGGAATGTACGCCGTCAAGGTCGAGTCGCTCAAGCGTGCTCGAGAACGACGGAGGATTGCCGGTGGTGTAGAGTAGCAGCGTCATAGAGATGGATGTTTCGGGGAAGAGAAGAAACAGAGAAATGCAACAGTAATAATGACAGCATAGATGGAGAGAGGAATTAGAATACATTTTATGATGCAAGAGAAGAGGGATATGCTCAGTAGCCGCCACCGTCTGCGCCCGACATGCCAGCCCGTTGTCGGCGCTGGTTCTCCTCGAGCTTGGGGCAGTCCTTGACGCTGTGGCCCAAACCACCGCAAACGGCGCAGCCCTGCAGCGCGTTGCCGCCTGCAGCCGCCCTGGGATCGTCGATGGCGGCCAAAAAGGGCGGGATGCGCTGTTTGGCCTCCATGAGGAGGTACTTGAGATCGAGCAGCGTCTGTTCCTGCGTGTTCATATTGACAAATGTTGTCGCCAGGCCCGTCTTGCCGCTCCGGCCCGTTCTTCCAATCTGGTGCACGTAGTCTTCCAGGTTGGGCATCGAGTAGTTGATGACGTGCTGGATCTCGTTGAAATCGAGACCCTTGGACGCGACTCCAGAGGCAACCATGACGTCCTTTTTGCCGTCCTTGAACGACTTGATGGCGTACTCGCGCTCGTCCTGCGTCTTGCTGCCGTGGATGGCGACGGCCTCGACGCCCTTGAGCAAGAGGTACTCCTGGATGTCGTCGACCTCGTTCTTGTTGTCGCTAAAGACAATGACGGGCGGCGACGTCTTCTGCAACACCTCGAGCAGGTACACCATCTTGGCCTCCTGCTTGACATACTCGACCTCCTGGATCACATCCAGGTTCGCTGCACCGGCACGGCCGACGTTGATGACGACGGGTCGGATCAGACTCTGCTCGGCAAAATCTTGGATCTTTTTCGGCATCGTGGCCGAGAAGAGGAGCGTCTGCCGCTGCTGCTTGAAGAAGCTCATGATGTTTCGCACGTCGTCCTCGAAGCCCATGTCGATCATGCGGTCGGCCTCGTCGAGGCAGAGGTACTTGCACACGTCGAGGTTGAACTTCTTCTTTTCGAGCATGTCCTGGAGCCGACCAGGCGTGGCAACGACAATGTGGAAGCCCTTGCCCATGACGTGCGACTGCTCAGCCATGGAGATGCCGCCGATGCAGAGCAGCACGCCAATCGTGGGGTATCCATTCTGCGCCAGCACTTCGGCCATGGCCTTGATGCCTTCGTACGTCTGCCTGGCCAGCTCTCGACTCGGACAGACAATCATGCCCAGAGGCCCTTCGCCACGCGTGTACGCAAGTCGTCGCTCTTCTTCGAGCGAAAAGAGGACGATGGGCAGGCTGAATGCCAACGTCTTGCCGCTGCCCGTAAAGGCGATGCCAATCATGTCGCGGCCGGAGAAGGCGGTGGGAAGGCCCTGCATCTGGATCGGTGTTGGCTTCTTGATGCCCTTGTTTTTGAGGTAGACGTCGATGAGGCAGCGAGGAATCTTCATGTCCTGATGAGGAGGAGGAAAGTGTCAGCAGAACATCAGACGAGCTTGTGCCTGGATAGAGGTGAAGACTCACTCTGAAGTTGTCGATGAGCGGAGGGATGTCCACGCCTTCCGAGATGATGTGGTTTTTCTCGCGCAAAATCGTGTTCTCTTCTTCGGTCCGCTGCCTCACGAATCTTGGCGCTGTCCAAGACGTCTTGAGCGGCTCCGAGTAGTTGATGCCCTTTGCGAGCTCCAGGTCGCTGGCCAGCTTCCTCCTCGCCGCATGCGCCTCGAGGATCTTTGCTTCTTCTTCCCTCTGCTTCTGTGCCTCTGACTTTTGCTCCTTGGCCTCCTTTTCTCGCAGCTCTCTTGCCTCTTTGAGCAGCGTCTGGGTGCTCCGCTTCACGACGCTGCTGCCCGCTTCCTCGCCTTCCTCTTCGTCGTCCTGCGCCCGTCGCTTGGGGCTCTGTGCGCCCTCTTGCGGCGACGCACTCCCAGCGGCAGCACCAACGCCACCAGCGCGGAGCCGGGCAATCTTTTGCAGCTCGGCGGCCTTTCGCTGCTTGAGTGGCACATACCGCTTCTGCTCATACTCATCCTCGTCCTCGTCGTCGTACTTGTACATCGGCTCCTCCTCCTCTTCCACCACTCTTCTCCGCTTGTATGTTGGAGCCTCGGACGAGGACGAGGCTGGATCCGCCGTCAATGCTGGTGCTGGTGCAGGCGCCATCCTTGTTTCGTCGATGATGGCCAGAAAGTTGGGTGTGCGCAGGCTCAGTCCCCCTTGTCGATGAGAGGGAGACGCGCCACGTGGATTTAAAGATTTGCTTTTCTTGGCGGGGGGAGCTTCGAAGCTTATCTAGACCCTCGAGATTGGAAGAAGCTAAAGTCGAAGAAGCAGCGAGCGAGTCCCGCCCAATAAGAAGGCAGGCAGGCAGGTAGGCAATTGCCTTCTTTTCCTTCCTTTTCTTCTTCCTCTTCTTCCTCTTCCTCCTCCTCTTCTTCTCCTCTCTCCCTATCACGCGGTCTGGTGCAAGAGATGAGAGGCCTCGGCGTGGTCGCATCGAGCTGGGCACGGCTCCGACAAGGGCCGAGACTGACGCTCTTTGCGCGATGCCTCGTCATCATGGTCCTGGAGGTGCTCGCAAATGCCTTTCTCTGGATCCTCTGTGCCATTCTCTTTACGTGGGGCAACGACCGCAAGATTCTCAGCCTGGCCCTCGTCGCGTGGACCACGGGCCTCCGCCACGGCCTGGACGCCGACCACATCTCGGCGATTGACAATGCAACGCGCCGCATCGTGTCCGTGCCCAGCGACACGGGCCGACGCCGGCGGCCCGTCACCGTCGGCCTCTTTTTCAGCCTGGGCCACTCGACCATTGTATTTGCCACGACGGTCGCCATTGCCATTTCCGCCAGCGTCGCAGACCACCTCGACGGCGTCAGCTCCGTGGGCGGCATCATCGGCGCCGCCGTCTCGGGCTCCTTTCTCTTTCTCATTGGCTGCATCAACAGCGTCATCCTCTACCGCACGTGGATGCGGCTCCGAGCGGCCCGTCGTCGCGAGGCCGAGAAGGAGAAGGAAGAACCAAGAGAAGAAGCAGCAGCAGCAGCTTCGGACAAGACCGAAGAGGGAGTCGCTCGGGAAAAGCAGCGTTTCAACGGCTGCATGACGCGCCTCGCCCTCCCGCTCCTCAAGGCCGTCGATCGACCGTGGAAGATGTTTCCCGTGGGCGTCCTCTTTGGCCTCGGCTTCGACACGGCCAGCTCGATTGCGCTCCTGGGTGTCGCGGCGCTGGCCTTTCAGCGCTCCAACAACGAGAATGGAGGCGGCGGATCAGACGGCGACTCGAGAGTCATCCTCCTGGCGCTCCTCTTTACTGCTGGTGTGAGTGTCACTTGGGCTCTTCCCTATTCTTCGAAAAGAGCTGATAAAATATTGGGCAGATGACGATGGTCGACTCGGCCGACAGCTGCCTGATGATCTGGGCCTATGCGCCAGAGCAGACGGGGTCGGGCAGAAAGAGATTTGCCCTGCTTCTGAGAGACGAGGAGAGACAGGCAGGGGTGGAAGAGGGACAGGAGACGGTCGAAGAGAGGCACGAGGAAAACGACGCCACGCCAGACGATGCAGAAGGCGCAAGGGCAGCATCCCAAGAGCACACGGGGATGGAGAAAAAAGAGTGTTGGAATGAGAGGCAGGCAGAGGGAGAGATGGAAGAAGAGGTACAAAGAAAAGGAGGGGAGTCTAGAAGGGGAGAGGAGAGAGAGAAGATAGCAGAAAGGCTCGACGCCCCGGCCTCTCGCTTCTCGCTCCTCCTCACGCTCCTCTCGATTCTCGTCGCATTTGCCATCAGCATCATTATGCTCCTCGGTCTGATTGGCGATGAATGCGCCCGATGCGCCCGCGCGGCCGACAAGCAGGAGCAGACGGGCGACGGCGATCTCGAGGGACGCTGGTGGCTCGCCTGGCGGCGCGCCAACGACAACAGCGGCTACGTGGGCGCGGGCATCGTCGGCGCATTTGCCCTCTGCGTCGCCGTCTACTTTGTCACCTCCATGTTGCTACTCAGAAAGAAGCCGGGGAGGTCTTGAAGCAATGTCTTGTTTATCTCTCTTCTCTTTTCCCGTAGCTGCTACAACGACGAGCTCTTGATTCCCAGTGCCCAGGGTAACATCTCTTCCACTGGCCCGCGAAAGAACCAGTCCGAGTCCCCATCACTCTCTTCGCTGCTGCCAAGTGTGCCTTCGAGGTTGAAGACGGCCGCTTTACCGCCTCGACTGCGGACCTCGCTCGCGAAACCCGCGGCGGGATACACGGTGGACGAGGTGCCGAGGACCAGGACGAGGTCTGCGCGTTGCACATGCTGCGAAATGCGACTGAGCTCGGGAATCGACTCGCCGAACCAGACTTGGGAGACAAGAGATCACCAAAACGGCGCATATGAGCTCGGGATAGGAAAGATGGAAAGACAAGGGAGACTCACCGACGGCCGGTCTCAGCAGACCACCGCAGCTTCGCTCCTGGCACCGGGGCAGGTCCTCGAGCGGCACGGCCCGGTACTCTTTCGACAGATCCTCGGTCCCGACGAGCCCCGCGGAGACCGGCGAGTTAAAGTTGGGCTTCTCTGTCCCGCACGAGGTGCAACGAGTCCGGAACAGGGAGCCGTGCATCTCGATTGGCGCCTTTTCGCCCTCTTCCAGCGCTCGAATAGACAGACCGTCGACGCTGCTCGGAAAGAAAAAGAAAAACCCAGCTATAAACTCGTGCTCTGTTTTCAGCAGACATCGATGTTACCATTGGGCTCACTTCTGCGTGACAAACGTCGGCACGTCAACCGCGCTCGGAAACACCTCTTTCGCTCTCTCGCGCCCGCTCAGCCTTGCCACGACGTCGTGTGCGCCATTCGGCTTTGCCTTGAGACAGACTTCTCTGCGGTAGTGGTAGAAGGCCCACACTCGCGCCGGGTCCGCCCGGAATGCCTGGGGCGTCGCGAGGGACATGGCGTCGTGTGAGCGCCAGAGTCCTCCAGCACCACGGAAGGTGGGGATGCCCGAGGCTGCGCTCAGGCCGGCCCCCGCGAGAATCAGGGGTCGGCGCGACTGCGAGAGCGCTTGGCGGAAGGTCGAGAGCTGCGCCATGTTGTCTGGATCCGTCGTCGTAGTCATCGGCCTCGGCCGTTAGAGTCTTGTGAAGATTCGCCGATCGGCTGTGAACGGCAAACCAATGTGTTCGATGTCGTGAGACTCGAGAGGGGACGTGCGCGCGAGGTGGAGGTCTGCGATGGTCCTTCTCATTCAAGCATCCATACCCGAATTCCGTCCAGCAGCAGAAGAGAGTGTCTAGGGATTGGCATTGCAAGCGTGCATGGTTGGATGGTTCACTACTATGGCATGGCATCGGTACAGGTACCGGCATTATGATCATCAAGGAGTCTGGACATCGCAAGTCATACTGTTTGTGATGCAGTCGACGAGAGTCAGCATCTAGAAGTTTATGCTGAAAAAGAAAGGTCGGTTGCACTACTCACACGGTATTGGCCTTGAAGGGGGCATTGTTCTTGTCCTTGGTGCACTCGTCTGCGAGCTTGTCCTTCTGTCCACCTCCACCGAGGGTTGACTCGATATGCTTGCCATTATAGTCAATCTTCATTGTCTCTTGTCCGATCTTGGCGTCCGTGACGATGTAGAAGACATCGAGAGGCACCTTGAGCTGGGGGTCGTTGAAGGTGCATGTCGAGCCAGCAGGCCCATTTCCAAAGGGCGTGTCGTGGCATTGAGCATCCTGTGCTGTGAGCTTCTTTCCGTCCGGGCTGATGTAAAAGGAAAAGAGCATCAGTATATGCGGCATGTGAAGACGTATCACAAAGAAGAGAAGGGGAACGTACAGGACCACAGCAAAGTCGGTCTGGTCTCCCACGGGCTGGTTACCGCCAGAAGTGCCGGGGACCTCGCCCGAAGTCGTGGAAAGGCTGATGTGTACGTTTCCCGGCACCTTTGGTCCAGCACGCGGAAGCACGATTGCGGCACCGTTGGCGGCGAGGGCCATGGCGGCAGCGAGAGTGGCAAAGTAGAAGGACTTCATTTTGGAACCTGAAAAAAAAACGGTATGTATGAGCTCGATAGGCTGGGTCGATTGCTGTGTATTGCTGTTTGATGTCTCGCTGAATGAAGGGGAGTAGGATCACCTTTCGATGTTCGTGGCTTTATACCCTTTCGTCGATGTACGACCTTGTGCTCGCGACGTCATCATCTCGTCGGTGAAACAGAATGAGAGACAGAAGACCTTCTGAAGACGCCGAGGCGGGGTGGTTTCAGGAACATAGGAGTGCGATGCCTTGATCAAAAGACCTGGACGAGAAAGTCATCACAAGGTCGTCCCAAAGTTTGCTTATTCTCGGGTAATTCTTCAGCTAGTGATTTGGGCGTCGGAAAATTGTCCGGCTTAGGCTACCGGTACTTGTTCCTAGCGCTTGTGCGCGTGCAATCGCTGGGCTGACGTCAAAGCCATTCCCCAGACCTGGAAGAGAGGTTCCTCGGCAACAGAGACTTCTGCTTCTTCCCATGAGGTCGGAACACGAAAATAGCAGAGGAGAAGCAGGAACTTCAAACATGCGGACAGGCACAGCTTCCAACAAGATCGAGACCTCGTGTCTAGGCCCCAGGCCCCAGATTGAATTTTTGCGAGGAGGTAGAGCCCATCCCTACCGTAGCCAGTGGGTTGAGATTTCATCATGTTTGCCTTTCGACAAGCTGGAAGAGCTTCAAAAGCCTTAGCTCCCTCCTAGTTGCGACTGTATCACTTCCATAGCTTCTTGCAAAGGCGGACACTTTCACTGGGTTACTTCAGAGTCGGTGTCTTGCACTGTGTTGTGCTTATCAAGTCATGCTGTGAGCCATTTCCAATAGCTTTAAAGACAATGCTCGTCTTTGAGTCTCTCGTTTACGTCCAGCTGTCGCTCTCACTGGCCAGATGAAACGTGCCAATGCACGTAACGGTGCCTGCCTCGACATGGCAAACTATCGACAATCGGCAGCTCAAGAAGAGGCTTATCGACAAAGGACCTAAGGCAGTGGACGGGCATGGCTTGACCTCCAAGATGTCTTTCGATAGAAGACCTTGCTACTACCCGGCTCGCTTCCCTCTTTCGCTCTTATCTCTCCAATCTCATCTGTAGCGAGAGGCAAGGAGGCGGAAACGTCATTGCGTTTGTTTGAAACGAGCGAAATAATTCTTCTGGCCACCTTTAGGCAGAGCTCCGATACAAGCTCTCTCAGAGGGCAAGCAATGGCTCACCACTACTATCTCCCCCTCTTCGCATCGTACTGTACGTAATGAGTGCCCAACTCAGATTCTAATCGCATGCCTGCAAGAGCATCGGCATTTGAAAAGTGGAGTACGCGAGTGAGCCACGCGACGGGGCAGAGCGATCTGTTCACTGCTTTCTCGCACCTGTCAACCACCCTGCGCCTGTATCACGACCATACACCATGAGTGGTCCGCTGGCATCTTCGCCGTCGGAAGACGCTGTATTTCACTCTCCCTCTGCCTCGCCACTCTCGACCTCGACGACGCAAGAGCCGCAAGAGGAAGTGCAGAAGAAGAGGCCTTCACTGTCTGTGCGCCATGCCCCGACCCCCTCCACGTCTTCTTCGACAAAGGCAGGATCACGTAACAGCTCATCGGGACACGCACATCGACAGTCTTCGAGCGGGAGCGGCCATCGGTACAAAGAGACACTTGATGCAACGACGCGGCATCTCGAGGTAAGTGCACGCTGACGACTGTGCAAGCGTCCGCCCGGACTTACGAGGACGATCTGACAGGATGGATCGAGGATTATCAATCAATATCGACTCCTTGAGGTGATCGGACAAGGCGCTTATGGCGTGGTCCACAGGGCCTGCCTCGTCCACGATCCTTCTGTGGAGTTCGTGAGTAGGATCTGACCAGCCTCCTTGGTTTCCCCGGCTCACATGCTGTAACGCAGGCAATCAAGGAATTTGGCAAGACCCGTCTGAGGAAGACACACAGGGCGGCCAATCTGAGGCGACCGCTAGGAAGAGCCGTCCGCGCTCGCGCTCGTGGTGGCGTTGCAGCGAGAGGAGGAATGGGCAGGGGTGGTGCCGGCGACGCTGGAGGTGGAGGGGAGGGTCCTAATCACGGTCAAATCATACCAGGCCTCAGTCGCCTGAATGTGGACGACGAGCGAGGACCCAAGTCCGCTGATCTCGAGCCAGCAGAGACCGACGACCCGCTGTCGCTCATCCGGCATGAGATTGCCATTCTCAAGAAGCTTGACCATCCCCATGTCGTCCAGCTGTTCGAGGTGCTCGATGACCCAAGCCGAGACGGCCTCTACATGGTCTTTGAGTACTGTCCGTGAGTCTTGTCCGCACCTCTCACGATGAAAGCGCTCTCCGAAGAAGCTGAACAGCCCCCATGCGCAGCGATGGAAGGGTCATCGATGTCAAAATTCACGAACAGGTCGAGCCCCTCAAGGAGCCGGTTGCGAGGGATTACTTTGTCCAGATCATGCTCGGAGTCGAGTACCTGCACTGTAACGACATTGTCCATCGCGATGTGAGATTGATAATCGCAGAATGGAAGAACCGACATGTGCTGACATTGACCTGCTGCAGATCAAGCCTGACAATATTCTGCTGCAAGACAATCGAAAGACGTGCAAGATTGTCGACTTTGGAGTGTCGGAGATGTTCACCAAGCCGGGCGACGATACACTACAGAAGAGCGCAGGGAGCCCGGCCTTCATGAGCCCCGAGCTATGTACAGCTAAGCACGGTGACTTTCACGGCAAGTCTGACGATGTTTGGAGCCTCGGTGTCACGCTCTACTGCATGGTTGTCGGTCATCTCCCATTCGACAAGGGACAATTTCTCGAACTGTACGAGGCCATCAAGAGCGATAAGTGAGTTTACTGAGTGATAACTGACAGGCTTGCCGCTGATATCCTGTCTTGATTCAGGCCCGACTTCCCCGACCATCTCTCGTCATCATGCGTCGACTTGCTGGAGAAGCTCCTAACCAAAGATCCGTCGAAGCGGATCACAATTGCGGAAATGAGACACCATCCTTGGATCACGGAGGATGGCAAGGAAGAAGTCTTGAGCATGGAGGACAATGCCCAATCTATCGTCAGCGAAGTCACCGAGGAAGATCTGGATCGAGCCATCTGCAAAATTGCCAGCGTCTTGTGGGTCATGCTATGAGGGCTTGTACTTGTCCTGCGCTTACTCAGTCGTTCGTCCTCCCAGCACCCTGGCGAGAGCCATTTCCAAGTTCAAGCGAGCTGGCTCGCGGGCTTCCTCGGCTGGCAGCGTCACCGAATTGGCGCATGCCCTCACACCTACCCAGCCACCGAGCTCGAGCTCTCACAACAAATCAGCTTCAACATCTGACTCTTCGTCGCCGGACGACCCGGGTATCAAATCTGTGGCAGCTGCACATGTCGCTGCGGGAGCTCAGACCACCGCCCACGTACTGTCCACAGCCAGCAAAGTCATTTTTGGATCAAATGACGAGCAAGCGCAAGATAACAGCGATCATTCACCGACAGTCCGCTCGCAAGACAAGAACGAAAAAGGAAACGTTGATGCAGCGGGCGAGTCTGCCAAAGACATGCCCTTGATCTCGGAGAGTCCCACAGGATCGGACGACGAAGAAGGCGGCGGCGGCTCTAATCTTGCCTCTTCGATCCTTAATAAAGTCACCAGTAGCGGAAGAAACATGCTCGATACCAAGGCCGATACCGAAACGACGATGGCCACAACTGTAGACTCTAGATCGGGACACTCTAATGACTCGACGGTGGACAGCGTCAAGGCTTTTGTCGCCAACGCAAGCGAAAATCTAGGGCTGACAGGCAGCGGTGACGGCGAGAAAAAGGAAGCTGCTAGAGGAGAAAGCGACCCGCAGCCGCCGCTGCCCGCGAGCGAGTTAGGCAGTGGATCACCCATCACCAATTCAGCTGGCGAAAGGAAGAAAAGCAATGCCCGAGGGGAGACAAAAGTCTTGACACAGGAGCCGACGGTTTCTTCCCCCACCGAGGAAGATATCAAGCCACCTGAAGGTGCCTCTGCCGCTTATTTCGGGCAGAGAGACGAGGATGTAAGCGTCGCTCGGGGATCGTGAGAAGATGGCGCGAGTTTCCTGCCTCGCTCCTTGTATTTGTAAATAGCAATTGCAGCAGCAAGAGTATCGACTTATCAGGGCTGGCCCTGGACTACTTGACAGAAGCGATACTGACAGTAATTAGGCCGTATGTGCGACTCGCTCAAAGAGGGCAATCCGCACACGCTTTGCCCTTTTGGGACAGGTGCTTATAGAATCGATCGACAGAGGGGGCACGTAGATGACCCAGAGGTAGAGACCCACTTGTACAAGCAGCTCGAATGGAACTTCTTTTTGCACGTCTTGCAGGGCTTCGTCGGCAGTGATCGATCCGTGGGACTGACGATCGAGTAGCAGACGGCGCAAGTAGAATCTTCGTCAAAGCCCGAGAACTTTGCTTCGACGTTTGACTTGAAGAGCATGAGTGCATCGAACACCAGCCCATTCTTTCCCGCAATGAGCTGACGAACGGCCAGGATCCAGGCTCGCCAGGTGGATTCGCTCACACCAACGCGTTTAAGGTCTTTGACCTCGACGGACCGTAGGGGATAGTCATTGGGAATGCTGATGGCGATCTCGAGGGGATATTCGTCGACCGTGTAAGTCGCTACGACCTCGTTTGCCAGAACCCGGACCGACATGCTTTCGTCTTCAATGCGCTTCAGCGTAGACGGATCACGGAGGTGGGCCAGCTCTCGAAGGGAGAGCAGGGGCGAGCAGTGCCTCGATGTCAAGTTGCGCAAGAACAAGGACTGTTGGCGGTCCCGGAGCGAGTACCACGATTCGCGAACGAGGTTCGGTACGTGCACAAGACATCGGAAGTAGATGTGCGTCGCAAAGAGGCGAATAGCGTTTGGGCTCTTTGAATCAATCTCGTCAAGAAAGACTTCGTCGATGGACCACTTGCTGGGATCGAATGGCGGGTTTGTCACCTCAGCTGAAGCCGTCATCGTGAGGTCGAGCATTGCCGGCAAGAGGCTACTGGCTATAGCTTCTCTCTCCTGGAGCAAGCCTGCAAACGTCGCCTTGAGCTGCAACGAAGCTTCCTCAAAGTGATCGAGCAATGCCAGCCAGGCCAGAAGGAAAGTGAAGCTGCTGTTGTGTTGCGGCGGCCAGCTGGCCATGGCGGCAAGGTTCCCCATGAAATCAACCTTGACTGGTGGTGCTGTTGGTATCGGTGTTGCATCTTCGTTTGCCCCCGCTTCTTCCTGCTGCTTGGATCCCACCGCTGCCTCAATGACAAGTTCCTTGACCCGCTCTCGGATACTGTGGCCCAGGAGTCTGTACGCAGTCACTTGCAGATCTGGCGAAGGTCCCCTCTCGATGATCTTGCAGAGTTCCTCAACGTCTTCAGAAGACTGAAACGCCTTTGGCGGCATAAGGCGGACAAAGTCGCTCAGAATGGTGAAGCTGACCTCTTGCGGAACAGATACAGCCTTCTCCCCGTCCTCTGATCCCGATACGGCAGTGACCTTGGCGAGAGACAGAAAGAGGCCTCGAACGACTTCGTAAATTGCCGCTCGCCTTTGCTTCCAGACTTCTCGCAACGTCTCGCTCTGGGCGGATAGTGTTCGCAGAGTGTCGAGCAGGACGAGAGAAGAATGAATGAGCGGCAATTGACTCATGTCGAATAGATCGCGGCCGTCCAGATTGGCCTCAACGAGGTCAAAGCACAGGTCCAAATGGCTTCCTGCCATCTCTTGTACGATCGGAAGGACATGAGTGAAGACTTGAGCCATGCGCGCATGCACCTCATCGTCAAAGTCGTCTGCCTCGTCGCTGGCAACCCATCTTTGGAAGGTCTTTAACAGCATGATGGCCCTCTGTTGAGGAATCAACATCACTGTCGAGTCAACGTCTGGAGCAGCAGCAACGAGCAGGCGAAGATCTCGTAGTCCAGATGCGGCAGCCTTCTCTGGCGGCGTGCCAGCCAGTCGAGCGGCAATCTCATTTCGCATTCGGTCGTACTCGCGGCTCTCTTCGACAAGGTCTTTTACGTTGATGAGAATCGCCTCACTCAACCTCGGTCGACTCTCCTGCGATATCTGACCCAAACGCAGCCACCGCTTGGCGTCGTCCTCGCCTGCACCGCTAAAGGCAAGAACACCTGCGAAGAGGCGGGAGAAGATGCGCGTACCCATCGACGACGTCGTTTCGTGACCGGCCAAATGCCAGGCAAACGACAGTGACGTCAACAGCGCATCATTTTCGATCTCCAGACCTTTCTGGAGGCTTTCGATTGCTTGTACGTGCCACTGTTCGTCTACCTGCCCAGCGCTGGCTGATAGGATCGACGTGGCCACTTCAACTGCTGCAGGCACCCAGCGCCGAAGCGCGGCTTGGTCAGCCTCCGCCGAAAAGTGGCTGAGCGCAGAGCCGGGCTGCAGGAGCGAATCTTCAGCCGCAATGGCGAACGCCAGAAGGCTTGGTAGTGATGATGCGCTTCTTCTCGCCAGTAACCCGTCCTCTTCGAATGCCGTGAGCATGGTTACACCGCAACGAGCCAATGCGCTAAGCCCCTGGTCATCGTAATGGCTTCGCTGACCGGAGCCGGTGAAAGGTACAAGAGGATCGACGATCGCCAATGAAGGAGATGGATCCAGAGCACACTTTTGCAGGAGCTCTCTCAACCCCTTTTGTTCAGGTAGAATAGACTGAAGCTGGGCGCCTTGAAACGCGGCTCGACAACCGGAGATGACCTGCTGCAAGTTGATGCTGACATCGAGTACGGAAGTTCGAAGCGACTTTGTGACGAGATCTCTCGCCTCTTCTGGCGCGGAAGTGTGGATCTCTTTCCACATCCCCCTGGCGACTCCTCGATCGATCTCTTTTCCTTCTGACGTTCCCAGGTAAGCCACCGAGAAAGCTGCGGACGCGACGGGCCTCAGGGTCTCGTCCTTGATACACTGTAGTCCTCGCTGCGAAGGAGAAGACCGGAGCCAAGCAGCAAGCAGCCAGAGACTTCGATAGCTTTGGTCGAGGCTGGACACGACTGTATGCAGCATCTGCATGGCCGTTTCTTGCAGGATATAGGGACCGGGATGGTCGAGTAAGCGAGCCAGAATTGTTTGTGTCGTCGTGTCGACAGGAGTGTCTCCTTCGAGCGCCTCTAGCAGCAGCTTCTCGACCTTCACGTCTAGCTCACTTGCTTCGCTAGGCGGCGACATGATATCCTCTTCGTCGTCTGAAGTTGGAAATGCTAGTCTCAGGGCCCGGTCTGTCTGGGAAAACAGGTCGATGTCGACCGTAGCATTGGGGACCACGAGTGCCTTGAGTATCTCCTGCAATCTCTTTCTCTTCTCCTGTCGTGATTCGACAAGGAACAGATAGGATACCAGCAAGTCGGCGACGCGTGGCGAAGAAAGAAGGCTCAGCTTTGCACTACGTCCCACAAGCTGCTCGACGACAAGCCCAATGGCACGGCGGATCGGCTCTTCTTTGTGCGCGGCGGGAAAGGTAGCCAGAAGGCGCGAGATGACGAGAAGCGAACGCTTTTGTTCTTCTGCATCATCGCTCTCATCTTTAGCAACGAGAAGGTTGGCAGTTGTGCCGCTCACATCTCTGGCCAGGTCTGTAATCGCATATCTGAGGTGTTCAGAGGCAGTGGAGCCGCCGTGAGCAGCTGCTCCGAGGATGGCAATCGTTCGATCAATGACGTCCTCGTCCTTGTCGCCGGCATCCGCACCCTCTAAGATGGATGCGCTCAACGTTCTTCGACTCAGGTCGAGCACCTGGGCGGCGAGCTTTGAATCGACATTCGCCAGTCTTCGGAGCAGTCCGCTCACTTCTCTCACCACGGCATCATTTCCGATGAGCCTGGTGCGCGATGACCTCAGGGCTGCATCTTCCGCAGTGGTTGACTCGCCAGAGGGCGTACCGACAAAGTCTTTCCAGAATACCAAGAGGTTCTCCTTGACCACACTCTCTGCCTCGAGCAAATCTTCATCCGATGCTTGGCCTCTCCGAGCGATGCGAGCGGAAATCCAGACGAGGCATTCGCAGAACGCTGGAAGGAAGGATCGCAGTGCTTCTCTGCCTTCGAGTGTCCGCTCATCGACTGGTCTGTAAAAGGCAGCTAGAAGCTCGTTGGCAAATGCTGCAGTGGGTCGGAAGAGGTCGGCAGGCAGTGTGGAAAGGAGGATGATGACGATGGGATATGACGTCGATACGCCCTGAAGGGCGGAGGAGAGATAGTCCAGGAAGCCGTGGTAAAAGGTCGCCTTTGTCTCTTGCTCTTTTGCTTCTTCCTCCTCTTCCTCAGCCTCGTCGTCGGAAAGATCGCCATCGTTCTCGATCCCGTTCTCGTCCTCATCCTCGTCTTCTTCGTCGTTGTCCAGACGTTTGTCCGATGACATGGCCCACACCCCTGGCCGAGCACGCAGCAGCGACACTAGGCTCTCCCTCAACAGAGGCACGACTCCTGCGTCCTTCTCCTTCCAAGTCGCATTCAGCGCGCGTGGTCCAGCGATGGGCAGGCAAAGATCGAGACCCTCTGGCCAGGCAGACGTGAGCGTCTTGAGAAGCTGCCAAGCGGCGGTCCGTACGATCGGTGACAAGACGCCCAGCTGTCTGCGCTCGTCGTCTTCTGACTGCGCATCGGGATTGAGCGCTGTCCACGTTGTCTGAGACTCAATAAGGGCACTGATGGACTCGGGGACCTCCTTGGATCTTGCCCGCAGCGAGGCTGCAAAGGAGGAGAAAGCTTAGTGAACGACCTTTCCGCTGTTGACTGCACATCCCTGCTCACCGATCAAGTACCCAAGCACACCTAAGCTCGAGAAGACCAGCCTGGCGTCTGTCCCCTCCGGATCCTCTTCTACATTGACGTCATCCCTGTTCTTTGCATCTCTCAGCGGATTGCCGTTCTCCGTAGTAGGCGTCTGTGTCCCTGGCGTATTGCCATTCGAGGTAGAGGCCCAAGGTCCCAGCAGGGAGTGAGGATGGAGCAGGTGGTCGCCAACGAGTGACACGATCGAATCCATGTAATCGTCCAGGGCTACAATGTCTGCTCTTGGCTCATCTTGCTCCATGCTGATGTGTCGTTCGACAGTGGCTCGGCCCAGGCGCGAGACGATGCGGTCGGGATCAAAGGCCATAATCAACGTCGAGGCCAGGATTGAATCAACGAGTTGGGGCTGGGCAAAGAGTTCGGCACAGATGGCAGCATTGTCAAGGAGTTCCTGGTGGATCTGTGCGGTCAGTAGTCGGAGCCTGCGGTTGGGCGAAGCAGACAGCCGCGGGAAGAGGTGGGCCCACGAGGGAAGCGCGATGATGAGGGCACTGTCTCTTTCTTCTTGCGACAGCGATACATCTCTGATCCAGTCTGCGAACCCTTCCAAAGCTCTTGTTCTTGTCACAACGTCCTTCTTTGAGGCCTTTCTGAGTAGCACGACGAGATCGCTGGGCAGCAGCGTGGCGAGGCCGAGGCTGTCGAGCGGATCCAAGACGGCCTGCTGAGGCTTGGAAGGGGGAATGTAGACTTTCTTCTTTGGCTCATTCTTCTTGGTCTTCTTGTCCTTCTTTTGCCCTCGTTGTGCCGGCTGCTTGGCCGTTGCTGCCGACGACGAAGAGGCCCCGGCCGCCTCTGCAGGATCGCCGCCTGCTTTCTTGGCTGCCTTTTGCGCCTGCTTCTTCCGGGTCGCCGACGATGCCGACGATTTTGTGTTTTTGGGCATTGTTTGCAGCAGTCGGCGTCGGCGTCTAGGACCTCGCCTCGATCCTGACTGGGCTGCTGGTAACTGCGATCAAGAGAAGAAAGAACTTCTGCAGGCTCACCAAATCTCCTCGTCAAGAGTGGAGGAAAGGAAGACTTCTGTCACACAGCTTAATGTCATTTTCCAAATTTTAGTCACGGCCTTGCACTCAAGCAATGCGCGCACGTCCGAAAAATCGTCGTATCTCCTTTCCGATCCGCCGGGACGAGCTCTCATGCGATCGAAAGTCCGACGGGAGCATGACAGCTCTCCTCCCATATAAAGTGTCACACAAGACGAACCTGAGCTGTGCAGACACCAAGCAAGCACGATGAGCTTCAAGGTCGGCATCATTATCTGCTCGATTCGCGAGCCGCGAGTCGGTCCACAGGTTGCCCAGTGGCTTAAGGGCAAGCTTGAGGGACAGGCCACCAGTGGCTTTGGTCTGCACCTCCTCGACCTCAAGCAATACCCACTGCCTCTCAGCTACCCCGAGGGTGGTCTTCCCGCGCACAAGACAATGACGGACGGAGATGATTACCGATGTCCCGAAACCAACGTCTGGTCCAAAGAGGTGCGCAAGTACGACGGCTTCGTCTTCGTATCTCCCCAGTACAATTGGGGCTACCCGGCCTCGATCAAGAATGCCCTTGATCAACTCTTCCTGGAATGGACCGGAAAGCCAGGCATGGTCGTCACATACGGAGGTCGCGGAGGCGGGAAAGCCGGCGAGCAGCTCATTGAGGTCTTAAAGGGACTTCGCATGCAGGCTTCCGAAGATCGCATCGAGCTCAACATCAGTCCCCCGCAGACAGCTCTTGGCCCTGCGGACGACGCCACGATAGCAAAGTGGGAAGAGAAAGAAGAGGACGTCAAAAAGGCCTGGGGTGCTTTCACAGCGCTCTTTGGCAGCAAGTAAGGGTTCTGCACAGACACATATCACAATGACGCCCTATTGCGATACGTGCCCGCGTCAGGCTCTGTGACTCTGCGAAGGCACATGGAAATTGCCGTGCTTTGTCAGAAATTGCAAAGGAGGGAAAGCATGCCTGTTGAACTTTGTCAGGAAAGGCACCAGATTTCGATCTCGGGTGGTCGTAGGGTACGGGAAAGCAGGGACGCGTTTGGCGTCCAAAAAATTTACGCCCATTTCCTGTACCTTTTTCAGCAAAAGACCTCGCGGTCGTCTCTCTCCAGGGAGACACTCGCATCGTCCCTGGTAGTTAAAGCAACAAAATCCCTGAGCACTTGAGCGCTGCTGTGTCGTTGCCTACTAAAGCATGTGCACCTTGCTCGACCACGCTGCTCTGCTCTAATGCAAAGGCTGAGAATATCGCCCTCTACGAAATTTCCTCCCCCTATCTCGGAGCATATAAAGGACCTGTGCTTGTCTCTCCTCCGTGCGTTCCCCTCCTCTTCATCTCGTCTCTTCTCCTCATTCGCATCTTTCTACTTACCGACGGCAATCCTTCTGGCAAGGACCGTTCATTGTTTCATCTACTGCCTAAGAAGACACACTGGACTACCTCTTTGATAGAGACATATTCGACCGACAATGATCGCGCGCCAAGTTTTCGTCTTTCTCGTTGCGCTGGCCCTCGCCAGCACGACCTACTCCGCCTCTGTGTCGCCACTGCAGCCGGCTCTGCAGAAGCGTGGTCTCACGGGCATGCAGCGCCTTACGCCAAAGGCCATCGACGGCCTCGCTGCGGACCATCCACTGCCTCGGCACGAGGACGAGGCTGTCGACCAGAATGCGACCTTTAGCTCTGGTTCTCTTCGTGGACGTGACCGTCCCTTTAAGGCACACAGCAGCCGCCATAACTCGGGCATGGCCAAGATCAAAAGAGTCACGAGGTCCGAGTCAAATGAGGACTATGACAAGCGCAACTCCCAACGCAATGGCAACGGACAATACGGCAGCCACCACCAGGGCAATGGTCAACAGAGCCACAATGGCAAGGGAAGTGGCGGCAAGGGAAGCAGTGGCAACAAGGAAAGCACTGGCAACAAGGAAAGCACTGGCAACAAGGGAAGCAGTGGGGGCAGCGACAGTAGCGGCGATGGAGGAAAGAATGGCGACGACAACCAGGAGGGTGATCAGGACCAAAGCGGAGGCAGCGGAGCGACCGGCCCTCAAGGTCAGTGGAGTGGAGATGCCACATTTTTCGAGCAGAACGGCACTGGTGCCGGCGCATGCAGCGGCATCGTCAGTCAAGACACAGACAAGATTGCCGCCCTGAGCGCCAAGGTAAGTAGACCTAGAATTCCTCACCAGACAGACGCGTGTGCTGAGCCGAATCGTCTGTTCTCCAGTTTTTCCAGAATTACGGAAAAGACAAGGCCTGCAAGAAGTACATCAAGGCCACCTACAATGGCAAGAGTGTCATCGCGCGTGTAACCGACGAATGCCCCGAGTGCGCCGAAGGCTCCGTCGACTTTTCCAAGGGTGCCTTCGACCTGCTCGGCACACAAAACGAAGGACGACTCAAAGGCATGACGTGGTCCTTTGTCGACGGTCCTGACGATGGCTCCTCTTCGCCTTCTTCTTCTCAGGCGAGCTCGGCATCCACAGGAGGAAAGCGACCGAAGCAAAGCCAGTCCAACGAGGACCAAAGCGACGATTGAGCCTTCGCTCGACGCTGTACCATCTCATCCTTGTATCCTTGACTCCTTCCCTCCCCTTTAGTTTTCTATTAGACCGAGTTCCTCCAATCTGTAGTGTTCGATGAAGTGGAGCTCGGAAAGCCAGAGATTAGAGGATGACAAGGAGGCTGGTCCCCTTGAATTCCGCTCTCCTCTGGCATATCTGTGCCCTTCTCCTCTATCTATTCATGTCTATGAGTGTATTTTATCACGGTCATTTGTGCCCATTCCCAGCGCTCTGGTCGCCAACTCGAAAAAGCCGACTTGCTCTTCAGTCCACTGCTTCCCACTGGAAGAGAAACGAAACTCATGTCAGCTCTTGCTACACTAGGCCAGGGGTCAGTAAAGCTAATTGCACTTACGGGCTTTTGAAGCTGGCGTTGATGAGGCGGCTGTTCTGCTCTCGCAGCATTTTGGCGGCCAGAAGCTTTTTCAAGTCCGAAGTCCTTACCCTGATCCTCGACCGGTCGACGTAGAGACTGCCCGATGAGAACTTGAAGTCGGCGTCACCGCACAGGAGGAGGATACAACGGTCGTTGACCGCGCCCGTCTCCCAGGCGTACAATCGTTTGGACTGCATGATCGAAAAGTAGATGAAATGATGGATGCCCTTGGGAAGCTCCGAGAGCCTCAGACCAAAGTTGACGGAGCTGGGATGAATCGAAGCAGGGGCATTATTCCCGAGCGTCCTGAGCTGATTGCTTTTCGTGTTGGGCTCCATCGAAAGTAGCTTCGGATAAAGACCTGCGACGAGGGCAGAGTGGAGGATAGCCAGGCTGTTTGCGTTGCCATCAAGATGGTCGGGCACGCGCATAAGTTTGCCTCTTTTGATATGCAGCAGTTCCTGCCTCTGGCTTGGATCCAGAGATACGAAGCCCGAGTCGACGAGATAGGCCATGTACTGTTGGCGCAACTCTTCAATTTGCTGCAAATTATTGCTGCTCAAGAAAGACGCATTGCAGAACGATCTCGCCACGTTGTTATCCGTTGCTCGTCGCCAGGCCGAAAAGGCTTTGGCATAAGTGATAAAGTCAGAGTGATGACCTGAAGAATTGAAAGACTGCTTGGCTCGTTCAGCTTCGGCCTCGCGGCCAAAGGGAGCCACGAAAGGCGACTTTGAGTTGAGCGTCGCAGCTATTGTCAGGGCAGGGTCAAGAGCCTGCATGGTGCAGGCGACGAGCAGGAATTTGCCCATGTGCACATCAAGCGGAAGCCGGGACAGATGGCGGCCGAGCGCCGTGATCTCCTCGTTGCTTGTCAGTGCCTTCACTTCGATCAGCGCGGACACGGCTCTCTGAATGTTGATCGACGAAGGGGGATCGAGTGCCTTGGCCAATGCCTCCTCGACGGTGTTGCCGATCTTGACTTTCATGACCTATGAGAAAGAAAACGGTGAGAAGGGTCCCTTCTACGAACGCGAAAGACCCACCTTAAGCTTCAACGCCAAGTCTTGCAGCGAGAGACGAAGCATCTCGGGAAGCGGATGCTCAGCGAGCTGCTCAAGTTTCATCAGCTTCAATTGGTTTCAGCTTAGCGCGCTGACCGCACTCACCGACTTGTCATGGCGGTACTTGGTGAAGAGATGAAAGCAGAGTCCCTGCTGCACACGACCGGCTCGGCCTCGCCGTTGCTTGGCGTTGGACTGGGCGACAAAGCACTCGAGAAGCCTGCTCATCTGCCGCTTCTCATCGAAGCGCATTTCTCGATGCCGACCAGAGTCGATGACGCAGGTGATATCAGGTATCGTCACGCCCGTCTCAGCGATGTTGGTAGAGAGGACAATCTTGCGGACGCCTGGAGGCGGCACATCAAAGACGAGGCCCTGCTGCTCACTGGCAATGGACGAGTGTAGGGCGTGAAGTCGGAAGAACTTAGAACCAAAGTGCGAGTGGACACTGAGGATATCGTGCAGCTTTCGAATGTCGGCTAAGCCGGGCAAAAAGACGAGGGTGGCGGCGCTGTAACCCTGCAGCTCTCCATTCTCGAAGCAGATTTGCTCCAAAAGCGCAACGATGAGCTCATGATTGACACAGGCATCGTTCATACGGTCCAGCGTGCTAATCGTTTTTGGTGTGTACTTCTTTCCCAGCGAGGACGAGGAGCCTCGGTTTTCGTCATCGCCTTCCTCTTCGTCATCGTCGTCCAGATCAGGAGGTGTTTCAGCCTCCGTCGATTGCAGCCTTGCCTTGTTGCCCGGAGCGTCCTCTTTACGGCCCCGCTTTTGTCGACGCATATATGGTGATCCATCTTCCAGAGTGTAGTTGCAGAGCTGCACAGCATCCTCGAGAAAGCGCACGTCGACGGGAAAGGTTCGTCCAGGCACGCTGATGGTAGGACAGCCTCCGAAGTATGCACTGAGCCTCTCTGAGTCGACTGTGGCCGACATGAGGATAACCTTGAGGTCCGGTCGCACACTGAGGAGAGATTTGAGGATGATGAGGAGAAAGTCGGACTCGATAGAGCGTTCGTGTACCTCGTCGAGAATAATGTGGGTAACACTTTCCAAACGGCTTCCCTCGAGCATTCTGAGAACGATTCCGGTCGTGGCGTAGACGAGGCGAGCGTTTTTGCCCACGTTGCTCTCCAGCCTCACAGCTGATCCGATGAAACTATGATCTTTGCCCACCGAGCCTCTGGCCTCTCCCATCTCTGCCGAGACACGCTCGGCAAGCGAGATGGCCGAGATTCTCCTCGGCTCCGTCACGTAGATCTTGCAAGGCTGGCCGTGTGATAAACAGTGCTCGAGAATATAAGCGGGGACCTGAGTTGATTTTCCGCAACCTGTCTCGCCGGAAAGGACAAACACCTGGTCCTTTTCCAGGACGTCGAGGATCGTTGTTTGGAATGCTGCGATGGGCAATGATTGTCGGCCGCAAAGCATCTTTTGAAAGCTTGGGCTCTCCTTTCGCTCCTGCCAGAGCGTCTTGACGAGATTGGATGCTTCTTCACTGAGTCTGACTGGACTCTGGCGTGGCGGTAGGATTTCTGCCACCTCAGGCTGTGGCACCTTGCCGTTGTTGATTGCAGAAGACGGCATGCTCTTCAACCTTTTTTCTCGCTCTTCGGCCTTGGCGTTCTCCTCGACAAGGCGGACGCCGATAGCTTCAAGGATAGACTTGAATCCACCTCGACTCTTCTGGTCCCGCTCAGCACCTCGCTTCTGCTCCAGCTCTTCCGACCAATCTCTCCAAGCAGAGTGCATCGACTTCGTATACGTTTGCGCCTTGGAGTTTGCCTCAACACACATCAATGCGGCAACCGCAAGGAAATCGTCCGCCGAGGTCTGAGAGGCCGTGCAAACACCAGTCATCGTGTACGTGTCAAGCACAGCCGTACCATGAGCGAGCCATCGGAGCGTCAACCGACTTCTAAAAAGCCTCGAGCTGGTCTCGATGGGCTCGAAGCGCGCCGTGGCATACGAATCTACCTTGCGAAGCGCTTCATTCAGGATTGATCGTGGTGTTTTGCCTCCCGCACCTCGAAGGACTTGAGGTGGTAGCTCCTTTACCTTGATCGTCGTGTTGGTCGATGCCTCAAGCAATTCGTTGGGCTGTTCGTCAAGGAAGTCGCCAAACATGCCTTCCTCTTCGTCATCGCCCTTTTCTTCTTCCTTCTTTTCCTCACTACCGTTGAAGACCGACGTCTTTCCTTCTCCGTTGATCTTTGTTCGTTCTCCTGGGCCCATCATTTCCTCGCTTCTCTTTTCTTCAACGGGTTGCGCCGCTTCCCACGCCTCTTTGTCTTTGAGGAAACGCCTCTCGGCCGTGTTTTTCTCCCAAGTCGGCATCTGCTGGGCTTCATCGACGACATTTCTTGCTTCGGCCTTTGCCCTTGCCAGCTTATTCCTCGCCTCTTCCACTACGACGGGCAAAGGAGGCGAGTGTTGCACCTTGACCTCTCTCTCCAACTTCGATGAGGCCCTGTCTAGCTGTATGAGAAGAAGACGGGCCTTCGCATAGGCGCTGGTTGGATCCTCGAGGACGTCGATGCAATCCTGATCCGAGCACTGCGCCTCGACCTCCCGGGCCAGACTGATGACTTTTTGAGCCGCCTCTTCGACCTCTGGGCTGGGGAGGGACGGTGTCGTTGTTCCGCTCGGGGCGCCCGAAGAGGATGAAGTGGACGCAGGAGCACTGCTTGTAGATGCAGAGGCAGCAATCGGCCGACGAAGAGATGCATTGATCCTCTCGAAGAAGAAGGCTTCGTGCTCTGGCGGTATCGTCTCGTCCGTATCCTGACCTCCGCTGCATTCCTCAGTTGCGGTTGGCCCCTTGACCGGCTTACCCTCGCTCCTCCTGACGGCATCCTCAATCTGCTGGGATGGCAGGACAGCGACGAGGTAAGCGATGCACTCTTCGACATCGGCCATGTCCGTTGAGCAGCGGAGCGCCTCGGTCGCTTGCGCATCGGTGAAGCCCAGCTTGAGAAGAAGTGCGTGGGTGACGAGGGCACGCTGCAGCAACTCTGAGGCAGCAGATCCCGGGTAGACATGGGTGAGGAGCGACGAGACATCGCCAGGCTCAGACTCATTATGCGAAGAAGAGGAAGCGTGCTTGTATGTGCCGCTGTGCGCCGAGTAGTCGAGCACATCGTTGCTGACATCATCGTCTAGGTCGAACAAGGGCAGCTGTTTTGTCATTCTTCGATCGTACTCGATGGTCTTTGTTATAGGCGTTAGAGGTGTTCATGCTGTCCCTTTTCGTCGGCTATTTGATCACTTACCTTCCAGAGCCTGCCAACATCCTTGTCTACACGGTCCCTCAATCTTTCGACGAGATTCTGCAGCGCTTGTTCCTCTTCTCTGGCTGGATCGTACTCCATTTGCTGCGCCCTCTTCTCATTTTCATCGTCTTTCCCGCTTATGACAATGCTCTCGATGGCCTTGTGGAGCTGAGCGGCGCCATCGCGAGTGGCTTCGTGGGAGGGCGTTGCGGCCGAGCTGCTTGCAGCTTCCTCAGCCTGCTGAGCCTCGTCCGCCTCTTGCCTCTTTGACGAGGGCGTCGAAGTCGTCGCAAAGCCGCGATTGGCCACAGGCTTCAACGAGGCCTTCTTCTTCTTGGCCATCAGTCCGTCCCTCTTGTCTATTCGTCCTTCCTCCTCGAGAGCTGTCTGCTTTGTGCGTCTTAACCGGCAAAAAAAAAAAAACCCTTGGCTTGCAGATGCGTCTAAATTTCTCGCGCGTGGCCGTCTCCCTCCACTTTCCAATCTTCGATTGCAGAGGCTTGTGCAGGTTGACAAAGACACAAACACGGCCCAGTCAGCAATGGACCTGGCATGGCGCCGTCGGTGGAACAGAGCAGCAGTAGAGGACATGGACCGCTGCTCTCGCTGATTCGACATCCAGAGACAATAGCCAATGTTGCCAACATCTATCAGGGGAGCACCGATTCGCCCTTGTCCGTTCACGGGAGCAACCAGTTGCGCGCCCTTGCAAAGTCGGTCGCCACTTCATCCACCATTGCGGCAGCAACGACAACTACGATCAGAAAGACGACGATCGCAGAGACAAGAATCAAGAACCAGGCCAGGTCGCCTTTACTAGTAGATAGGCCTCCCACACTGATTTTAACATCGCCTTTAGGGAGAACAAGGGCGCTGGCAGAGGCCCTCCAGGACGCGCAGCAGCAGCAGGGCAACCGACTGGTTGAATGCATCGTCCGTCCAGGCCTCGCTGAGCGGTGCTTTGGCGCGCAAGAGGGCTCATCCACTGCGAATCGAGGTCGTGTCACGGGCTTCCCGCGAGGCAAAGGCCCAAAGGAGAGCGACGTCGCGTGGAGTCATCGTGTGCGCACCGAGGCCGAGCACCTCAAGTCCCTCTTGGCCACACCATGGGACGAGCAGGTAAAAGAGAAGCAGGCTCAAAAGCACATAGTCGTCGTATCGCACGGCATGTGGATCAACAAATTCCTACGACTGGTCCTGCCACCAGATGCTCAGACACAGCTCCCTTTTACCTCGAACACGGGCATCTTTACTCTGAGCTGTGATGGGCAGGTTTGGCGCCTGCTGGTTTCCAACGACACTTCTCACCTCATCGGCCTCAAGAGACAACGAGGTGGAATTGGAAGTAGCGCGAGCGACAAGAAGCAAAGGACGCTAGATACAATGCTGAGGCCCAAGAGCACATCTAGGGCAGATGCGCAGGGCTTCGAGGAACAGGAGCAGGCTCTGAGCGGCCTGCCCCATGACGACCTGAAGAGGGCGTGACGGTGACTTTTCGTTGTCTTCCCCTGTTCCCGCGCCCCATTGACAGCGGAAGGTCGCCACGAATCACTCGACTTCGGAAGGAGAGCATTGTCGATTTGAACCTCTCTTCGTCCCATATTTCCAGGCGCAACGATTCTAGAGCGTTGTTAATATCTTCGCTGTAGCGCTCTGCCATGGGGAGGGGCACCGACACTAAAGTCCCTCCAGGAGTTGCATAGTAGCGATACCCTCCGATGTCTTTAATGACCGTGGCCTTGTCTATCGATGCTTGCATCTTCCAAGCGTCGCGCGTTGCCATACGGACACCTGCAAAAGGTCTAGTGTCCACCCCTGCGTTGCTGCAGTTAGAGTCTGTCTTCAGTGCCGTGACGCTATGCTCACTGTTGTCAGGATTGGATGCAGAGCCAGGTCCTCGGCGGCCATCAGGTGCCTCCGGCTACCCTCGTCGTGTCTCGTCAGTTTTGTCCAGACTCTTCGATATGTTGCCAATGCATTGACTTACCACCACTTTTGGTTCGGTCCCGCCATGGCGCCATTCTTGGAACAGCGACACCAACTTTTGCAAGTGTTCAAATCGTGCATCGGACAGCCTCGCAGGGTCTGCTCTGAAGAGTTTCATGTTTTTTGGCGACAGCTTCACCTTTTCTTCGTCCCTGAGCACAAAATCACGAAAGAAGTCTACATTGGGCCTGTTCTGTGGCTTCCTCCCCCTCTTCTTCGGGATTTCAATCTTCTGCGAGGAGGGCGACTGAACTTCATGCAGTTGAGGCCGCTGGTACGAGGTCGCTAGGGGCCAATAAGGAGGGTGCGAAAGGGAAAACGGCGAGTTAAATGTAGTCAATGAATGCGATTGCCGCTCGTTGCCGATGGGAAGGTTGGGAGATGGATGCACATCAGTTGCGTGCAGATGTAATTGTGGCAAAGGAGGAGGTGGCGAGTTTCCTTGACTTTGGCTTGTTGCTACTGATCCTTGCAAGGGAGGAGGTGACGGACTTCTGTGACTCGAGGACGGCCCCTCCAATCCTCGCCAAGGGGACAGTGATGGGGATCTTTGGAATTCGGATGGTTCCCCTATTTCTTGCCAATCTGCTCCTTGCCAGCCAAAAGAGGTAAAGGGCGACGAGGGAGGAAGAGGCGGAGTTTTCTCTTGCATTTGGTTGACAATGTCTCTGTACCACGCTTGGTGGGTTATATCGACCTCACTAAGAGGAGGAGTAGGAGAGGCTGTAACACCGTTAGAAGAGGGTTCTTGAGCTTTTTTCTTCAGTTCTGCCAGGTCTGACTTACTTTCGATAGGCCAAACTTCTGGGACTTGAACTTTATTGTGACCCCGTGGTTGTTTGCGCTTTCTCTTACTGAGTTTTAGAGGAGCCGGCTTAGAATGCGTTTCTTCACCCATATGAGGTATCGACTTACTTGAGGCTAGTGAACGCATTAGGTGCACGAGTGTGTGCTTCCTGAGCCTGACTTTCGATTTGTTGTGCAATGACACCTTCATTGCCGCTCTCGTGAACTGCCGACATGTGAATTGATGGCTGGAAGCTGCCGTGCTCGCTCCTGTCTCGTATGACGCTTTGTTGGTGGACGTCAGGGTCATGATGAGTGGAAACGGCTAATGGTGGATGAAGCGACCGAGGCGCGGCAGCGTGAAGTTGTTTCTTTCGATTGATATGACCCTCGTGCCGTGGCAGCTGGGACGATGCGGCCTCATTCGGAGAAGGGAGAAAGGTGGGGGAAACATTGAAAAGAGACCGACTATGAGCGACCCGGAGAGCTTCACGTTGCGCTTGAAAGACTGCCTTCTTTCTCGAAGTGTTACTTCTTCCGATCTCGATGTACTTCAATGCCTGCCCGAACAGTTCCCCTGCCCTTGGGTCACGCGCACGCTTCTTAAATATGTTGATCTGTTTTTCAACCTGGCTCTTTTCTTTTATGGCCTTGTCGATGGGCAAGTCGTAGATGTCACCCGATGATGTCGCGAAATAGCGGAAGTCACCAAGATCCTTCCAGACGACTGATTTCTGCTGTTCAGCCTTTCGCACCAATGCCTGTGCAATTTCCATGGTCAAATATTGAACAGGTTCGTTGCCGCGACGCAGATGTCTCGGAAGTTTCCATTTTTCTTCGAGATGTTGAGGAGGACCGACGCGCGCTCTTGGCAAGGCATTCATATCAACAGGCCTCTTTCCTTTCAGGGGAACAAATTGTTGTACGTCTGGGGACCTGAGTGGCTCCGTGAAGTGTAGGGTGTGCCCTTGTCCGACATTTTGACGCTCATAAGCTTCATAAGCGTCTTCCTTGCTCTTCTCGCTACTTCTCTGTGTGGGAAGCGGAAGTATTGGCCAGCCTTGTTCCTCTCCAATATGTAAGCTATTATGTTGGTGAGGAACACTGTAGCGATGAGGTGAAAGAATTGGCTGACGATGGGCGGCTTCGTCATGATGACCATGCAGGGGAAGCTCATGCAGGGCCATGAACCATGTGTCGTCATCATGAACAGGATTCTTGTCCGTCAGTGCATTCTCGTCAGCTTCGACCCACAATAAAAAGTACTGTACAATAGGCAGAAAAAGAAACCCTCACACGCTGTATATTCTGATGCCGGTGAGAGGAGCCCTCATCTCCTCCCGGTGGTACTGGTTGAGCGAGGAGGGTAGTCGCTTGTTTGAACACCAAGAAATAGAAGAAGAACAATAACGTCGTTAGTCCTTCGGTCATCGTGGTTGATTCAGAAGAGGAACTCAGACGCGCTGGGGAGTGCCTAGGGCTTTTCAATCGCTTGTGCCTCCGAGCAGAGGACAAAAATATACGCCGAATTTATTCCGTTTCCGAAAGAGGGCGACTGCCTGCGCTTGAAACTCGACGTATTTACTTCGTCCTTTGGCCGTCATCCCCTTGGCCCTTCATCAGTGCGAATATTGCTCGTGTCCCCACTTTGGACGTTGCGAAAGTGATAGCAAGATTCTGCACCACACGCACCGCATCACTGATACTGCGACTCGCCCCGGCTGCGTCCAAAATAGCCACGAGAAAAAGATCTTTAGGAATAAAAGAATCGGGCGTGCGAAGAATAACAAGAGAGCAAAACTGATCGAAATTGGGCTTGACACACAGAGATTAAACCAACAGAGTAACACAGACAAAAGCGGTGCAAATAAATACGACACACTGCTTCAGGAAGCGCCCACTTTGTTATTGTGGGTAAGTGGGCCCTCTGAACGAACGAGCACAGGGCTCTACTTCGTCCACCTTTACGTCTTGTTCTTTGCGAGTACGTCCTGGCCGCCCACTCTCTATGGCTTGTTTTTCTTTTTAGAACCAGGTAGCTTTTCAAACGCGAAGAAGACTATATACGCTTCCAAGTTTTAAAAGAGAAAGAACAACAAAAATCCCAGATACTGGCCCTCGTAATCCGCAAGAGCCCTTGAGTGAACAGCTCGAAGAGATCCAAGTAGCACATAAGCGACCGGCCCGCTTCCATATATTGTGCAGTGACATTCACTTCTGTTGATTCTTGATGGGTTTCTTGCTGACTTTGTAAAGTCTTCTTGCAGCTTCATCGCGATTCAGCTTTCCGATTTGCCATAATTGGACGATTATCTCTACGTCTTCTTTGTGCAAGATCATATCATCGAGTGACACCGAGGCACGCGTTCCGTCTGGGTGAATGAAGATGAGACGATCACCGTGAATCTTCGAGATAATCGTTTTTTTCTCGGCAGCCTCCTCTTTCCAATGCTTGATTAAATCGCCCTTCAAGCCTGTGTTCGCATTCAGCCTCAGCTTCTTTCCGCTCACAATCTTGTCTGACCCCTGCACTGCCGAGCTATGCTCGCTGTATCCTTGGCTTGAAGGCTGAAGATTGTGAACGGATTTGTAGTAGAGGTCATTGGGCGGCTCTGGCTGTTGTATCGTGTCTCGTCAGAAGCGTCTAAGGTCTCTCAACGTCGTGGTCGTAGAGCAACTCACCATCTTCGGCCTGTCTCCAGTTCGACGCCAAATTCGGAACATGTCTATCAAATCGTTCTTGTGCTTACGCCTCGCTGGTGACAGGCGGGCCGCATTAACGCTGAAGAGATACGTCTGCAACGGCGATAACACCTTTCCTTCTCCATCGCGGAGCTTGAATGAACGACGGTAAGATGTCCTGAGATTGCTGTCTGAGTTCCACTCCGATTCATCAAAATTTAAAGTCTGCAAGGAAATGCGCTTAGGTGGACGTGTTACTGCGTTAGAATGAGGATTACCCGTAATAGATGACAGCGCTGGGGGAGGTGATGGCGCTCTTTCTCTGCCGGAAGACCCCGCTGTTCCTTGCCCCTCTACCGCTTGATCGTCAAGAGCAAGGTAGGGTGTTGAACTCTTCCTGTTCAAAAAAGTCTCCGTACCATGGAATCTCTTCCGAATCGATCTGCTTGCCCTTTTCCCTGGAACACGCTGGAGAGACGCCCTTTGAAGCTTGTTGCTGTTCTTCCTCGTTTCCCGGATCCTGAGGGTCTTTCGTCTCCCGGGTCATTTCCAGCTTTCGTATCGTTCTCTCAAATACTTCTTCTCTTTTGTCTGCTGTACGGATTTTGGGATATTTCTCGATGAGCCATCTGATCGTATTTTCGTTCTTTTTGGCAATATCGATGGATAAGGTGTAGAGCTTTCGCGATGGTGTAGCGATATAACGCAACTCATTGTGATCCTTCTGCAAAATTTGATGGCACTCGTGAGCTTTTTCCCGCAGTGCTTCCTGGTCTTGGCTCGGCATTAGCCCACATGGGCCATGGTCGTCTTTGCCGCTCTTTGGAGTTTCTTCGGAGAACACTTTTTCGAGGAGTTCCTTTCGCCTTTTCCTTTTCCCTCCACTGGTCTTATCGGCAGACGTCAACACAAGAATTCGATCGTCCACTGAAAGATGAGCAAGTTGTTCTTCAGTAAGCTCGGACACCTTGTAGTACGGCCTTTTGCGACGCTCTGCGACATGTTGATGTTTCGAGGACCCCTCCTTTCCGCTTTCGCCGTGTCTTTGTTGGACGGGCACTTGGCCAAGTTTGTCCTGCTCGCCCTGATGCTGAAGGGAGCTTTGTAAATGGGCAACATGGTCTTGATGGTGATCAGAACCGAGAAATAGATGGTCCGCAGTTCCGTTCAGAGGGCTCAGGAAGGGAAAATGTTGCAGCTCTGAGTCCCACTCTTTAAGAGAAGGATCCTATTTTTCATACGTCTTTGTCAGACTTCATCGTGTGCAGTGTATGCAAAGCAGGAATATCCGACTCACCTGCTGAGGCTCTTGCCTGTTTTGCAACGGCCAGTGATCGCCTCGGCCGGTCGGTGCTGGTCGACCTAGGAGGATATTTGCTTGGACGAGCACCACGAAAAGGAGCAACAACAGCCAATCAGATCTTCGGGTCATTGTGATGGTCAAGAAGAAAAAAGCAAGGATCTGGAATGGTCTGGGGTATCACCCAAAGTGACAACGGCAGCAAAGACGAGGTTGCGCCATATTTGTCTTTGCCCCGTACTGGAGAGCCGCGGGGGCAATGTCTCGAAGACGCTTCGTGCATGGGACGACAGCTTTGACCTCCGTCTATCTTCACCGCCACAAAACGTCAGCCCTCGGACCTTCAGTCTTCGACTCAAGCATAGTAAAAGTTCAGGCGAAAATTGATCAAGAGCTTGCCTCGCTAGAACCGCGTCGCTGCTGTAGCCCACCCTACTGCCTCCAAAACAGCTACGAGAAAAAAGGAACTTCTGAACGAGATGAAAAAGCGGGCGTGCGAAGATATAGTAGAGAGCAAGCGCACAATCGCACCACTGGTCGACATTTGGCTTGACACGCAGAGTTTAACTAAGAGAGTAGCACAGGGAAAGCGGTGCAAAAAATCCGAGACACTGTCTCAAGAAGGGTCCACTTCGTTATTGAATGTAAGTGAGCCCTCTGAACGATTGAGCACAGGGCTCCACGGCGTTCACCTTCACTCTTCATCACAGACACGTTGTAGGCGACCAGATCCTTCAGCTTGTTCTCTTCGAAAGGATGTAATCAGTCAAGCACAGTGAAGTACAGTACATGTACACTCTCGACGTAGAAAGATAAGATTACAAAGACAGAGGCGCAGGGCTTCGAGGCTGGGCTTTGTGCTCCGAAAGAGATATAGAAAGTGTTGGAAAGACTCTAGCAGCACATCGGGATGTCTTTGCTCCATCGCGCGCTAAACATCAGTGTGAAGCGCCATCCGTCTTCGCTTTTTTGCTTATGTCGCGAAATTGGCTTCGGACCTGTTCGCTTCGAAGGGCTCCGTTCTGCCATAAACGGAGAACTTTATCTATGTCTTCCTTGTACCTGGCCGCCACATCGAGAGATATCGATACACGTCTTCCGTCAGGACGAGTGAAGAAGCGATGATCGCGGTGATCATTCGAGACGATGGAACCTCTCTCGAAAGCTTGCTTATTCCACATGTGCCGCATTTCGTTGCTCAGACCTATATTCATACTCTGTAAAGGCTTCTTTCGTTTAACATTGATGCCTGACCCTTGATTTGAACGCTCAAGACCGTGAGAAGCGCCACAGTAGCTTTCATCAGGCGCATCTGGCTGTTGTCTCGTGCCTTGTCAGAAGCGACCAAGGTCTCTCCACTTCAGCTTTAGAGTAACTCACCATCTTTGGCTTCATACCACTTGCACGCCATTTTAGGCACCAGTCTATCAGAGCGTTCTTGTACCCAACCCTGCACCTTGATAAATGTCTCGAAGTCACGCTGAAGAGGTACAATTGCTTTGACGATAACTCTCCCCATTCTTCCTCGCGCAGCTCGAAATTTCGATGGGAAAACTTCCTACGCTGGCGGTCTGTCTTATACTTCGATTCATCAAATGTCTGCAGGGAAGGGAACTGAGTAGTGCGCTCAAGTGTGCTTGTACCTGCATTCAACGTGGGAGAAGACCATTGCAGCGCTGGGGGAGGTGATGGCGTTCTCTTTGTACCGGAATTCTCCGCTACTCCTTGCCAATCTTCCCCTTCACCGCCAAAGGCAGTATAGGGCGTGGAAGCATAATAAATGCGAGAATCACTTTGATCGAAAGAATTCTCGTACCATGGAATCTGTTGCGAATCGACTTGCTTACCCTTCTTCGAGAAGGTTACTGGAGAGTCTCCTATTTGAGCTTGTTGTTGTCCTCCTCCATTTGCCGAAACCTTAGAAGATTGGATCTTATGCTGTTTTGTTAGGTATCTGATCGATCCTGCAAATCTTTCTTCTTTTTTGTCCGCTGGGTCGAGGTGGTAGTACTTTTGGATGTATCTTCTGATCTCTTCTTCGTTCTTTTTAGCAAGGACGATAGATAAGGTGCTGATTTTGCGCGACGGTGTGGCGAAATAACGCAAGTCTTTGTAATCCTCTTGCAGAATCTTCTGTTCCTCAAATGCTCTCTCGCGCAATGCATTTTCATCTTCCTTCGACATCCGCCCATTAGAGCGATCGTGGTCTTTAACGCTCTTTGAAAGCTGTTCGGAGAAATTTCCATGTACGATGTCCTTCCCCTTTTTTCTCTTACTCGCACCAAATTCGGCGGCAGACGTCCTAAGGAGCGCTTTATCCTCCACGAGAAGATGAGCGACTTGTTCTTCAGTAAGCGGAGACACCATGTGGCGAGGCCTTTTGCGACGCTCTGCGACGAATGGATGGTTCGAGGACCCGTCCTTTTTACTTTCGCTTTGCTCCAATTTAAGGGGCACTTGGGTATTCTTGTCCTGCTCTCCCTGGTGCTGAAGGAAGCTTTGTGGTCGAGCAGCATGGTCTTGGTGGTGATCGGAATCGAGAAATAGATGGTCCGCAGATCCGTCCAGAAGGCTCATGAAGGGAAGACCTTGTAACTCGGAGCCCCAAAAATCAGGAGAAGAGTCCTGTTCTCCATGCATCGTTGTCAGACCGAAGCCAGTTCAGTTAAAGCTCAGCAGAAAGATCTGACACACCTGCAGAGGCTCATGACGCTGTTGAGGTGGCCAATGATTGACGGCGCCGGTTGGTGCGGGTCGACCTTGGAGGGTGGACGCTTGATTGAGCACCAAAGAGAAGAAAATGACTACCCAAACAGATCTCTGGGTCATCGTGGCTGGCTAGAAAGAAGGAGGTAAACAAACGTGTGGGTTGCTTGGGGGATGTTAAGAAAAAGTACAGAGGAAAGGCGAACTAACGCCCACCATGTCATTGCCCCACAACATTGAGAAGAAGGCACGCGGTGGCGTGGGCACCTTGTGCGTGTGACAACGGCCTGTGAACTCGCATTCTCCGTACAGGAAACACACGATACTCAGCCCTCGGACGTCCAGCTTTGGCTAGATCACTTGCTCTGCGACGCCTGTGCTATACGGCCAGTCCTCTTTACCACATTATCTCTCTGTCCTCAAAGTGCACTCTGGTCTATTTGCCCCTGCCTACTCAGGTGTGTTCTTTCGCTTACGAAAGGAGGCGTGTGAAGGTCCCCGGAAAGATACGACGACTCCACTTTCTTCATAGCGTTGTCTTTGCCTTTCCTTTCACGATACTACGCTTGGCCCTGCTTCCGAAGAGAAAAAATAGATGAGAGAAAAGAAAAAAAATCAAGAGCTTGCTTCAATTGAACCGTATCACTGCTAAGCCTGTCCGACCGCACCGAGTTGGCCTGCCGGTAAAGTGTAAAAAATAGGAAGAAACTTGAACAATAATTGGATGCTAAAACAGGGCGCGAAAGAAAAAAATAAACTCAGAGTTGCCTGACTCCCAGTGACCTGGTGGGAAGCGGTGCAAGCAAAATTGGAGGCACTGCCAACTGTTACTTTGATTGACTCTGCTGCATCAAAGAAGAGTAAGCCCCGAGACGGTTGGAAAAAGGCAGCAGCTCTCTCCGTCCCTGAAAATTATAAGCTGCCCTCTTTGCCTGCGTTCACTCAAAGAGAATTTAAAACTTTTCAGAGGCAGGCAGAGGACACTAGGTACAGTACATTACAACGCTTGTGCCCAAGAGCATGTCTAGGAGAGCTGCGCAGCGCTCTTAGGCGATGGAGTCGATGGAGGAAAACCATCCGACTGATATGCAGCGATCATATCAGCGTCTCGTAGCATTTTCCTCTTTCCTTGCCCATGCCCAATCGACGAGGGAAGTCTCCCTTGTTTGTACTTGTCTTTGAGTCTGATGAATAAATTTTGAGTTTCCTTCTCGGACCACTTGCCTTCTTCCAACTGCTCAACAGCATATTTGATGTCTCCTTTGAGAAAATCCACCTTTGTCAACGCGATGGGTATCGAGACCGTTAACTCTCCCTCAGTGGTGAAGTAGCGGTGCCCTTGAACATCGTGCGAGACTGTGACTCCCTTTTTTCTCGCTTCCTTATTCCAATCGTAACGCATTTTCAAGGTTACACCGGTGCCAGATTTGGTCCAAAGTCCTGTCTCGTCGGCTACCGGATCTCCTTCCCCTGCCGCAATGTGAAATCGGCCATGATCAGGGTCGGAAGCTCCACCTCCGCGAGCAACATTTTGAACGAGGCTGTGAGTGGACAGTTTCGACTAGGCTCCGCGTTTGTCAGAAGTGCACACAATGAGTTGAAAGTGCTGGCTATCCTTTGGCTCACCAGTGATAATGACAAGGTCTCCTTTTTGCGCTGTTCACTGAATTTCAAGACCAAATTGGTCAGGTCTTTAGCCTGTGACCTGTTCAGCTCGCGAGGTTTGCAGTTGAATAACTGCAGTTCGGGCGCTGACAGCGTCTCTCGTTCCGTGTTTGTGAGCTTGAAGTCCTCAAGAATAGTCATCTTGAGCTCGTGGAGTCTGTTCAGATATGTTTGGGTAGACGACTGTGGTGGGAACAGCTGTACGTCATGCTGTTGTGGCTCCTCGTTTGCTTTCTTTCTTTCTTTTCCTTTCCTTGTTCTGCCGGATGGCGCGTTGTGCTGAGGTGGCCGCGCAGCTACGATTGATTCGAGAGGAGATGGGAAAGGACCAGGAGAGGATGGCGATGGAGGAGGTGAGGGCGCTCTTCCTAGAGCATGTGGTCCTACTATTTTTTGCCATTCCTCTTCTGTCTGGCTCCGAAACCAGAGTTCATCCCCTATCACCTCAGAAAAAATTGCATCATGACCTTGCACATTGTTCCAATGCTCAATTGCCCCGTTTTGGTCCATTTCGCTGGATTCCAACGTGTGGGTTGTTTGCTTTTCAGAGCCTCCAGGCTTCACTGCCTGCCGTTTGGTGTCTTCCAAGTCGCGCATCCGTTTCCTAGTCACACAGACGGAATGGAGCTTATCAAGCTTTTTATCTGGGCTAAGATTACCCATCTCCTTGATACGTCTCGTGACCGCACCCTCGGATTCATGCCACTTGTGGGCAGGACACGCCCTGTATGTTCCCGACGGGCCGACAATGTAATGGTAACCATCGTGGGTTCCGTGGAAAAGAGTCTCACCTGCCTGGGCTGCTTTTGTGTAGCTTTCAGGCGGTCGCTTGGTGTGAGGAGCCGGCGGTTGCAGATCGAGACCTTGATTAAGTTTCTCAATCAACTTCTTTTTTGCTTCGCGTTGCGCCAAATTGAGCTTATTGGAAGGCGTAAGAATAAGTACCTGCTCGTCTGTCAAGGGAGGAGGAGACTGCATATCAGTTTCTCCGCGCGCGGGCAATTTCTGACCCCGTCCTCCCAAGTGATGCTCAGAAGCGTCTTTGCTAGCGCTTGCGCTGTATGCCGGCGAAAGAGTTGCATCCGATAGCCCGTTTTGATCTTCTTCGTTCTGAGTTGCTTCTTCTCCGTGAAAAATATGGTCAAGATGAGAGAACGCAAGCGGGTAGCGGCCAGTCCCTTCTTCGTTGTCACCTCTAATGGGAAGATTCCTCAGAGCCGAAAGCCAGACGTCGTCACCAGTCAAAGGGTCCTGGCGCGCCAGTGCGGTCAGACCTGTGTCGCCGACAAGAATGTCAGAGAGACTTTACTCACCTGTTGGAACCCCCGGAGATGGTGAGATGGCCCCTCCTTGGCTTCCCCGGTGCGCACCGGTCGACCTTGGAGGGTGATCGCCCGAAAGAACACCAAGAAGAGGAAGATTGACCAAAAAGATCCTCGGGTCATCGTGGTTGATGAAGAAGAGAGAAATGCGCTTGGGATACTTTGATTATCAGATCCTTGCACGAGTCATGGTCCGGAACTGCGACAGAAAAAGGAAAAAGAAAAAAGCATCAGTAAAACGCCAAACGAAGGGGCGTGAGCAGTACAGGAAAAAACCGCGGACACATCGCCTTGCGCGCGATGGGTGGTCTTTACCGAGCTCCATTCACTCGATTCACGTCTTGAATTGCTTCAGCAGAAGGGAAAAACTCATGGACCACTTACTCGCCCTGTCATTGCTCCTACAGCTCTGTGGTATCCCGAAATAGCCAGAACTGTGCCGCCCGGCCTTATCACCAGAGCGAAGGGGATAGTAGAGAGCAATCGTACTTCTTCCAAGGCCTGAGAAATGGAGGTTGGGCATAATCTGAAAAGATAAACTACGCCGACTTGCTCAAAAGCGGTGCAGCGAGTTGAGACATACTGCCTCATGGGACCTGATTATTACTCTGCTGTATGAGAGAAGAGTAAGCCCCGGAACGGCTGGGCAAAGGGCAGCAGCTGTCTCCGACCTGGAAGGATTATTAGCTTGCCCCACTTCCTTGCGTTCACTCGAAGAGAGTTTGATACCTTCGGAGACAGAGGACACTATCTATAACGCTTGGGACAAGAGCATATCTGGAATAGGTGCAAGGCTCTAGGGCTGGAGAGTCAGATTAGAAGGACCGGCCGACTAAGATGCCGCGACTCCTCCTTTTGCTCGCTCGCGTCGGAGCGACGATCGATTTTCCCGTTGTCTTATAATATGTCTTATATGGAGAAAAAATTTCTGGACTTGCTCCTCGGTCCACTCATCCTTTTCCAAACGCTTTACAGCATTATTCACGTCTTCTTTGAGAGCTTCTGCATCCGCCAGCGCGACTCGTATCGCTGCCTTCTTCCCTTCCCTAGTAGTGAAGTACCGGTATCCCAGAACGTCACGCGAAATTGTGGCCTTCTCTGTTATTGCTTCCTCTTTCCAGTCATTGCGCATTTTCTTGGTCACACCTTTCCCAGAGTAGCACCGTTGTCCTGTCTTGTTGGTGACGGCGTCGGTTTCCTCTGCCATGACGCTTGGCTGATTCTGGGCATCTTTGCGAAATTGGGCTCCGGCACCATATCGCAAGCGGCGATCAGTGCGCACACCTGACTATTTTCATCCTCGAGCTTCGTCAGAATAGCATGCTAGAGTTTTACATGTGCTACTCAGCGATTGACTCACCAGGTCTGGTTTGCCATCCTTCCGTCGCCACTTATCCAATTCCAAAGCCAATCTTACCAGGTGGTTAGCCGATGGTATGTCCAGCTCGTGAGGGTTCACGCTGAACAACCTCAGTTGGTCCCGTGTCAGCACCTTTCGCTCTTCGTCTGTGAGCACGAAACGTTCCATAATAGCCATCCTACGCTCAAATAATTTGTCTCGGTACACTTCAGCAGATGTCTGTGGAGAAATCTTCAACTGTTGTGGCTCCTTGTCTGCAATTTTTCTTCTTTTCGCCTCCCTGTCTTTGTCGGACACCTGAAAGCGAGGCGATTGTGCCATATTCTGAGATGATGACGCATCTACGTCCGGGGCTTGCGGAATAGAAAAAAGGCGATGAGAGGATTGCGTTGGAGGAGATGAGGGCATATCCTCTGTACCATATGGTCCAATTACTGCGCGCCCTCCTTCTTCGTCTTCTTTGCCAAAGGAAGAATAAGGCGACAAAGGAGTGACAGGGCGAGGATCCTCTGCGGCTTGTCTCAGAAGCTCGCTGAGCCATGGATCCGACTCTGTCTCCTCAAGGGATAGTCCAGCACGTTCTGCGTTAGTGGGCTCAAAACGTCCTGCAGGAAATGCGCCATGATGTTGTGCATTGTTCCAATTTTCAACAGCAATCTCTTTGCCACCTTCGCTGTGTACCTTGTGATGGGGTACCTGCATCACCCAGTCTTGCTGCCCTTTTTCCAGGAATCTTTCGTGCTGATGAGCTTGTCTGTCAAGTTTTTGATGACTGCTGGAGGATCTATGACGGGACAAAGAGGCGACTGGGCGAGGTAGACGCTGGGGCGAATGGAGCTGATTTGGCCGGGGAGGAGAAGCAAGAGCGATTCTTGAAGGAGAAGAAGGTTGAGAGGCTCGGCCTGCTCCAAAATTCGATCCTCGCCATCTTCTCGATTCTAGATCGACGTTCTGGTGAATCAGCAGAAGGATGTTCCTGAGCTTGCTTAGTTTTTCATCACCGCTAATTGTACCCCAATTGTCGATAAGCCTAGTAAGCACATCCTTGTTTCTGTCCCACTCGTCTACGCTGCATGCTCTATATCTTCCCGACGGCGCAGCGAAATAATGTCGGTTGTTGAAGGTCTCGTGTAGGAGGTTCGTTTGGTTCTTGGCTTTTTGAAGGAAGCTATCTGGCGGCGCATCGCTTTTGGGGAATATCTCTCTCATACTGGAGCCTTCGGTGAATGACTCAACGACTTTTTTTCGTTCTCTGCGTTTGCGCAAGCTGAGTACACTCGAGGGCTTCAGCATGAGCGACTCTTCTGTCGTGAAAAGAGAGGGAGACTGCGGAGCACGCTGTCCGCTAGCCGGCAAATTTGGACCCTGCTGCTCGAAATGATGCTCTGAAATGCCTTCGTTGGCGTTTGCGCGGTGTCCTGGCGTAAGAGATGCATCCGCTGGCGTGTCTCGTTGTTCTTCACTCTGGACTGCGTTCTCGTGGTAAATAGTGTGGTCAAAATGAGCAAGAGGATCCGGGTGTCGATCTGTGTCTTCTTCGTCGATACCGGGCAAGGGTGGAAAGTTCAGCAAAGCTGAAAGCCAGACGTTGTCATAAGAAGCAGAGGAAGAACCACTTAGTTTTTCGGGTCATTGTGGTTGATGGGAAAGAGAAGAGCAGTTGAGACGCCTTGCGTATTTACAGTATATACTCGCTGGGGTCATTGTCCGAAATCGCGACAGTGAAAACAAGTTTACGCCGAACGAAGGGGCGTGAGCAGTACAGAGAACGAAAGCCGCGATCACTTCGTTTTGCGCACCAGGTCGTTTTTTTCCTGCTCGCTTCACCACTGTCCCTGCTTCGGAAGACGGAAATAATGATGAACAAGTTGCAATTTCTCATCCGCCCCGGCATTGCTCTTGCAGCTCTGTAGTATCCCAAAGTAGCCAGAACGGTACCAGCCCAACCATCGGACAGAAGGGAGCAGGTATACGCCCACTTACCATTACTCGGGGTCGGGGTCAGAAAAAGACATGAGTGAAACGATGTTATATGCCAATGTGGCACAAAGCGGCACAGCAACTGGAAGTACACCGCCTCATGGTGTGAGTACTTTTGCGCCACTCTATTTTTCCATTGTTTCTACTCGGAAGAAAATAATAGAGCCTCTCAGGGGGGTCAGAGAACGCGAGATACATCTGTTGGGCTGGATTATAGGGTTTTGGAGCTAGGACATGGGCTGAGAAGGACCTGCCGACTGAGATACAGGGGGACGAATAGGCTTCTTTTTGTAGCCAAGACTTTTGTTTCTGGCATACATGTGAATGTTTTTCAGCTGATCACGGAGTCTAGCGTCGGTTCCTCCTTTATTGTAAGCGCTGACAGCTGCCTCTACCTTTTTTGGAGAGTTCGTCGCAGCGAAGATGGACAGCGATGGAGTTGGTCCAGTCGGGGTGATAAAATATCGACGTCCGTCCTTGTCTTTGGTGATCAAAGTGCTGGGTGGGTGCGTGAAGCCCAGCCTCTTCAGCATGTTTGCTCTCCTTGCACGAAGGTGCTTTTCTTCGTGCGTTTCTGGAACAACGTCTGTGATGCGGACCTCGTTAGGGTCGAAATTAGGTCTCTGAAACTTGGGCGCTGTCTCGCCCCATCGGTATGGGGGCGGTTTCCTTGGGGGAACAGGTGCCGGGGAGGAGGGGGAGAGGAAAAGGGGAGGGGGGCGATGAGATGTGCGTTATTAGAAGAGGCAGGGTCTCCCCTTTCTTTGGCGAAAAACGGAACTCACCAGCAGCGTCTTGCCTTCGTCTTTGCGTCTTTTGATGAAAGCTATAGCCAAGTCTTTCTTGTGCGCGCGCATCGCGGTGGACATGTTAAGGCTTTTCTTGGTGAAGAATCCTGCCTCGATTGGCGACAACTTAGCGATTTCTTCGGGCTTCAGAGGATCTTTCTTAATTGTAAACGCCCAAGTCATATCCAAACCTTGACGTTCGTGGATCACCTCGTCGATGTTGCTCTGACCCATTTGTGTGGACATTTCCATAGAGTGCGGCTCGGAACGAGATTTTGAATGCTGCTGCTCTGCAGCCAGAATCTCTTTTCCTTTCCTCGCCTCCGAAGAAGGCCCTTGGGTAGGATGACCCAACTGAGACTGCGGTGAAGGTGGAGGAGGCGAGGTACTTCGCCTTTCGGATGGTCCTTCACGATGTCGCCAGCTGAAACCAGGAGGAGACGAAGGGTCTAGGCTGGCAAGTTCTTCGTTCCCTGATGGCTGTGCTATGTCGCCCATCTTCGAAGAACGGAGAGGGTCGGGAGTAATACTAGAGGTAAAGGCCTTTTCAGGAACTCGCGTCGCAGCTTGTGCTATTCTCCTCTGAGCATTCGTCTTCTGCGCGATGCCCGTTTCCATACGGTAAAGATGTTTCCCGACGTTTCTGATTTTTTGCTTTTCTGCAAGGCCGCTCATGCATTTGATACGAGCCATGGAGGCGACCTCATTCCGCTTGAAGGCAGACTCAAGGCATGATCCAAAGGAACCACTTGCGTCAACGAAGAAATGGCGATCGCCCAAATTCTGATGGGTACGTTTGCCCCCTTTCGTGGCCTCATCAATCAGCCATTGCGGTGATTGATTAGTTGGACAGATCAAGTCATTTCATTTATTCTTGCGCAGGTCAGGGCAGAGCGTTTCGGAAGGTCTGTCCCCGAGCTCTTTGTCTTCCGTACTCGTTGTAATCCCCTCGGTATCTGTCAGCGCATGCAGCCCGCTTGCAGGCGAGGCCGTAGCCTGTGTCTCTCTTTCGGCTTGATGATCCAGAGTATCATCGTGGCCTTTTTCGGTCAATTTCAGTCTGGAGCGAGATGGTGCAGGCCACTGCTGTTCTCCGTCATGCTCAGTGGCCAAGGAGCTTGGCCGCTGTCTTTTCGTGCCGCCTGTATTCTTTTCTTGTGCAAGACCGTCGGGAATGGCAGGCAGCGGTGCAGTGAAACTTGGAAAGGGCTGGCTATGTTCCTCCTCATGCTGAGTGGCGCTGTGTTGATGAGAGCCGTGGCCAGGCGGTGTGGTTGGAACGGAAAGGCGACCGACGCCTTGCATGCCGTGGGGATCTCTGAGGTCCATTTTTTGCATTTCTAGGAGCGATGTGAGCCAGGGGTCATCTTCAGGAAAGGTAGTCTTGGTATACAGTTGCATCATTGTCAGAGGCAAGTCGGTGCTGAGCAGAAAGATCTGACTCACATCTCCAAGCGCTTGATTATTGTGTGACGGTCCTTCCTTGCCATCCCCTGGCGCTCCTGGTCGTGCCTGGAGGATGCTGGCCTGAGTGAACACCAAGAAGAGGAGCAGGAAGAGGTGCATGATTCCTTGGACCATCGTGATTATCGTGAATAGAATGCACAGCAAGCTATTCGAGACGTTCTGGTCTCTTCTGGGAAGCCAATACGATCCTAACAATTTTTGATCGAGTCCGTTGTCCGTCCTTTTCCGTAGCCAAAAATTCCCCGAATTCCTGATGGCCCCGAAAGGGCGTGATTGCTTCAGAAAAACGCCCGACAATTCAGCCTGACAACTCGCTCTATTTCCTCTTCCTTTAACTCACTACAGCCCTCCTATTCAGGCCTCCGAGGAGAGGAGAAAGAGAATTTGCACTTCCTCCCGTGCCTTGCGTCGATGCCAGACCTTGGTCAATCCCAAGACCACCAGGAACCCCCCTTCTCTCAACCCTTCTTGACGCGAAAGAAGGTGAGAGAAAAAGGCAGTCTGCGCTCGCGTGAGAGGACCAAAGCACGAGTACGCCGCACAGAGTTCGGTCTTGACACACAGAGTTAACCGGACCAGAGCGTCATTTCCGTCCAATGCGGTGCAGCAAAACAAGAGACACAGCCTCGTGGTGTGGGCACTTTACTGGCAACGCCTCTCCTGGACAGTTTTGCGAAAGGCATAAAACGCCTTTCTTGCCACCCTCCGTTCTGAGCACCGCCTCTTCGCCTTACCCATTGCGTCATCTGGACACAATCAAGCTACTGGTCACGCACGTTTGCGTCCATTGAAAGTCAGGTCGTTCGGCGTGGTCGCAGTCATTGATGGGGTTGAGGAAGTACGTCGGCCGAGTTGATCGATTCCTATGGGTCGGTCGAGCGTCAGCGAAGACCTCGCCCCGGGACGAGATAGCTCGCCTGGGCTGCCGAAGGTGACTCCAACCTCCTCTTGTCGCCCTATCGTTGAGACGACAAAGAAGAGCAAGAGATACAATAAGACCAAGAGACAAAGAGGAAAAAGGAGCGTACAGTTCAATGAGAAGCAGTGAGCGTCGAGGCGGTCGGAAACATCACAATGTTCCAACTAATATACCTTCTCACGGTGTGAGTCACGGTGCTCCAATCGATCTTTCCCCTATTTCTATTCTCAAGGAATTGGAATTGCCTGTAAAGGGACAGAAGAAGCTAAATACAATGTTGAGCCCAAACAGTCGGCCTAAGACCTGAGTACAGGGCTCGGAGGCTGAAGGATGGGCTGAAAAGCACCCGCCGACTGACTAGAAAGAGGTTCAGCAGTGCTTTCGAGGGTCTTTAGCTCTTCGTTTATGAGACGCTTTTTGTCGCTGATAGCCTTTGTAATAGTAGAAAACCGTTTAAGGAAGCCAGTGTCAGATCTGTCGTCTTCATAAGCCCTCACTGCTTCTTCTATCATTTCCTTGAATTTTTCCGCCGCCTCGATGGGCAACGACCTCGTTAGTCCACTCGCAGTGACAAAGTTTCGACGGCCCTTGTGGTCTTTGATGATTAATGTTGTTGGTCTAGTGATGCCCAGCTCCTTCAGCTTATTTTCTTTTCTCGTACGAGCGATCTTTTCATATCTTGTTTTTCGAAGCCACTTCGCCTCGCTGAACCCGGTGAATTCGGAATTGGGCCGTCGAAACTTGGCGCCTGGTCTTCCAAAGCCGTATGGGTCCGGCTTCAGTTCGCTCGGTTGTCGTCGTGGTGTCGTCGTGGTGGGTCATGGTGGAGAGAGGAGAAAGGGTGATTTGCACTCGTTAGAAAAGAGGTTTTATCTTTGATGGCCGAAACATTACACTCACCAGCGGTGTTTCGCCTCGATCAATGCGTCTCTGTCGAAAGGCTGTGATCAGCACATTTTTATGTTCGCTCTTCGTGTTGGACAAATTTCGCCTTTGCTTCTGGAAGAGTTCTGCCTCGATTGGTGACAACAACTCGAGTTCTGCGGGCAGAATATGAAAGTTTTTCGAGAAAACCCTCCGACGTCTCTTCGGAACTTGATGTCCGTCGACTGGCCCGCCCATGTTCCTTCCTTGCGTTCCTGGCGGCATGTTCGAGGAATGCGGCTCAACAACATGCTGCGAATAATGCTCGTCGGCGATCGCAATCTTTTTACCTTTTCTTGTCTCCATGGAATGCCGCCGGATGTTGTGATGTGCTGCCTGCTCACTTCCACTGATATCCAGCCGCTGAGGAGCAAAACGTTGCGATGAATTGTCTGCCAAGCCAGTGGTCGGTGATGGCTGATGTACAGCAAGTGAAGCAGAAAGTGGCGGCCCAAGATGAATTGGCGAATGAGACTGCGGCTGCTTTCCAAGAGACAGCCTGGGGATTGGAGGCGCAGTAGATTGATGCAGATGAGAATCTGGTGAGGATGGAGGTCGTGAAATGCCTAGACTTTCGGATAGTCCCTTATGGTGTTCCCCGCTGAACCCGGGAGGAGGTTTTGTTGGATCCAAGTCAGCAAAGACGTCCATCCAAGGGTTCTGGGCCATATCATCCAACGTTGGGGAACGAAGGGGGTCGGAAATAGCGTCAGAAGTAAAGGCCCCTTCAGCGACTCGCATCAAAGCTGCCCACTTTCTTTTCCGCTTCTTCTTCTCCAGCTCGACGCTCTTCTCATCATCGACGAGATCGTTCACGATACGACTGAACTTTTGCTTTCCGTCATCTTTGCTCGGGCGGGCCTCCTCGATGTCTCTGAGCGCATGCGATCCGCTGGCAGGTAGGACCTGAGCCTGTCCCTCGACGTGATGTGCAGAAGCGCCTTCGTGATCTTTTCCGCTATGTCTCAAAGCGGTATCAGCTAACATGGGCCCATTCTGCTCGCCATCTTGCTGAATAGTTATACACTGATGTTTGAAAGGAGAGGACCCTTGAGAGAATTCCGCCTTTCCTTTCTTCTCTTGCTCCTTTGCTTTCTTCGGTTGCCCCTTTGCTTTCTTGGCTCGCTCCTTTGCTTTCTTAGCAGCTTGCTCCTTATCTTGCTGCTGCAACTCTTGCACCCTTTTTACGTCGAGAGGATTCGTTTTTCGCAAATAAGCAGTGAAGTTCGCGACCCTCTCAATCTTCTTTTTTTCGGAGAGACCCTTGAGCTTACTCAGAAAGTCTTCGATCTGGTTCTTCTTACGCTGGGCCAAAGTTGCTGGTAGCGCCTTAGATGGACCCGATGGGAAGACGAAGTAGTGGTAATACTTGTGATCCCCATGAACAACGTTATTGAACTCAAGGGCTTTTGCTTTCAGATGATTTGGCGGCGGATCAGCTCGGAATTGGCGTGACTTTCTTTGCTTGCCGTGCCTTTGTGACGCGCTGTGTTGCCGAACTCCACGGTCAAGTGGCGTAGACGAAATGGTAGAGCGACCGGCGCCTTGATTACCGGAGGATTCCGCGAGATGCATTTGTTGCAGCATTCGGACCCCAACGTCATTTTCAGGTGAAAGATCCTTGGTAGACAGTTGCGTGAATCTCAGACGCAGTTCGGTGCTAACAGAAAGATCTGACCCACATATTCAAGCTCATGGTAGTGGTGAGGCGGTCCTCCACTGTCTTCTCCGTCTGGTGCTGTTGGTCGAGCCTGGAGGATACTGGTCTGAGTGAGCACCAATAAAAGGAAAAAGAATAGGTGAACAAATCCTTGGGCCATTGTGGTTGTCGTGAACAGAATGGAAAGCAAGTTGTTCGAGCGTTCGTGGCTCTTCAGGAAGGCCGGCACGACCCAAAAGCTTTTTTTTGATCGAGTGCGCTGTCCGTCCTTTCTGTAGCCAAAGATAACCCGAACTCCTGATGGCCCCGGAGGGGCGTACTTCTCTAAAAAGGCCTGACAATACACTTCATTGCCTCTCCCCTCTACTCACTGCGGTCCTATCATTCGATGGTGAACGAGGGGATAAAGAGAACTTGCACTTCCTTCTGTGCCTCGCAACGATGCCAAAGCCTGATCAATCCCAGGGTAGTGAGAACGTTGCCTTCCACCCCTCTCTACAACGTGGAAGAAGATGAGAATAAAAGCAACTTATGCTCGCAGGAGTGGACGAAATTCCGAGTACGCAACACAGAGTTGACTGGCTCTGAGTGCTAGCTCGGTTGAGAGCGGTGTAGCAAAACAAGAGACATAGCCTCGTGGTGTGGGCACCTTACTGACAATGCTGGACAATTTTGCAAAAGGCATAGACGCACTCCTTGCCAATCTCCGCGCCGGAGCCGTTTTCAGCACCGCCTCTTCGCCTACTCGGTCGCGTCACCCAGGCGTAAACAAGGTGCTGGCCAAGCACGTTTGCATCAGTTTAGAGCCTGAAAGCTCGGCGCGGCCGTGGTCGTTGACGGAGTTGAGGAAGTACGTCGGCCGAGCTGATCGATTCCAACGGCTCGGTCATCCATCAGAGAAGACCTCGATCTGGGACGATATAGCTCGCCTAGGCTGCCCCTGAGTACTGAGGTGACTCCGATGCCCGCTTTATGCGTCAACGGTGAAACCCCCCGATCGTTGAGACGACGAAGAAGAACAAGAGATGTAATTAATTGCAGAGAAAAGCGTACAATGAAAAGTCGTAAGCTTCGAGGCGGTCGGAAACATCAGACTTTCCAACTAATACACCGCCTCATGGTCTAGGTGTTTTTGCTACGTTCTAACTTTAAGCTGTCTTAGGACATGGTTCTAGGGCTCGGGGGTTGGGACATTGGCTGAGATGGACCGGCCGACGTAGACGAATGGGTTTCAGCAGTACCTCCCAGGGCCTTTCTCTCTTTTGCCTTGAGAAGACCGTGGTCACTGGCAAACTTGGTAATGTTTCTCAATCGTTTTCTGAAATCAGCCTCGGATTCTCCATCATTGTAAGCTCGGACAGCTTTCGCTACCATGTTCCTGACCGGGACCGCAACTTCGATTGGCAGCGAATAAATTGGTCCGGTCGGAGTGATGTAATATTGACGCCCGTCTTGGTCTTTGACGGTCAATGTGCTCGGTAAGCAGCCTTCTGTGAATCCCAGCCACTTTCGCTTTTTTTCCCTTGCTACACGAACTATCTTTTCTCGAATCGTTTCTCGAACACCATCCGTCTGGCGGACTTCGGTGAGATCACCATTCGGTCTCTGATACTTGGGATCTGGATTTCCTAAGCGGTATGGCAACGGCTTTTTTGGGGAAGCGTGCGTGTGTCCGGAAAGGGAGGCAAGGGGGGGGGGGGGGGGAGGCCGGTGATAATTGCATCATTAGAAGAACCGAAATCTTCCTTTTCAGCGAGAGAAGGTATCTCACCAGCGGCGTCTTGCCTCCATCCTGGCGTCTCTTGATAAAAGCTATGGCCAATTTCTTCTCATGTTTACGTATCGGATTGGACAACGGTTGGCTTGACCTATCGAAGAGTCCTGCCTCGAAGGGCGACAACATGCTGAGTTCCGTGGGCTCGATAAGGAAATCTTGGTGGACACACTTCCAAGTCCTTTTGCGACCTTGACGTTCATGAATCGGCTCGCCATTGATGCTCCGACTTATTTGTGAGGACGATTCGGCAGAGTGAGGTTTAGATCGAGCCTGTGGTGAAAGAGGAGGTGGCGGGCTACTTCGACTTCCGGACGGTCTCTCACGAAGTGGCCGGTAGAAATCAGGAGGAGACGAAGGGTCTTGGTCAGCACCGTCTTTGCTCCATGACTCCTGGGTCATGTCGCCAAGTCTCGGAGAAGAGAAGAGGCTGGGTTCATCATTAGTAGAAGCCCCTTCAGAGACTCGATTTGCTGCTAGCCGCTCTCTCTTCCGCTTCCTCCTCTTCTGCTTGATGTCCTCATCTGCCGTGGCTAGGTATGAAAGAATGAGATCGAAAGGTTTGCTTCTTTTATCTCTTACCTTGCTTCTTTTTTTTCCTAGCTTGCTCCTTTCTTTTCCTAGCTTGCTCCTTTTCTTTCCTAGCTTGCTCCTTCTCTTGCTCTTGCGATTCCCACGCTCTTTGAACGTCGAGAGGGTGCTCATTTCGCAGAGTCGCAATGAAATGCCTGATCTGAGTCAGCATATCCTCTTCGGAGAGACCATCAAGCTTGCTGATAAGAATTTCGATCTGATCCCTGTAACGCCCGGCCAGTGCTGCAGGTAGCGCTCTCCATGAATCCGATGGGAAGATGAAGTAATGGTAATGCTTGTGGTCCTCGTGTACAAGCTTTTTTTCATTACGGGCCTTTCTTTTCAAGGAGCGTGGCGGTGCGTTAGCTCGGTGGTATTGTGACTGACTTTGCGTGGGGTCTGAGGTCCTTTCTTGCGGAAGTCTTTTGGCAAGATTTGCACGCTGCCGTGCAGGGGAGGGTGACAACGGCTGGCTATGTTCTTTTTCATGCTCAATAGCGCTATTTTGTTGAGGGCCATGGCCACTCGGTGTGGACGGGAAAGATGGGCGACCGGCGCCTTGGTCGCCGGGAGGATCCCTGGAGTCCATTTCTTGCAGCCATGTGAGCAACACGTCATCTTCAGGAAATGAAATCTTGGTTTACAGTTGCATTGTTGTCAGAGGCAAAACCATGTCTCTCATGAAGGCTCCGACTCACGTCTGGAAGCTCGTGAAAGCTCTGACTCGCATCTGGAAGCTCATGAAAGATCTGACCCACATCTCCAAGCTCATAAGGATGGTGAGATGGCCCTTCATCGTCATCGTCTGGTGGTGCTGGTCGAGCCTGGAGCATGCTGGCCTGAGCGAATACCAAAAAACCGAGAATGAAGAGGTGCATTAGTCCCTGAGCCATCGTGGTGTCGTGAAAAAAATGGACAGTGAGTTATTCGAGACTTTCTGGGCTGTACAGGAAAGCCAAATTTGACTGGCTCTGAGTGCTAGCTCGGTTGAGAGCGGTGTAGCAAAACAAGAGACATAGCCTCGTGGTGTGGGCACCTTACTGACAATGCTGGACAATTTTGCAAAAGGCATAGACGCACTCCTTGCCAATCTCCGCGCCGGACCCGTTCTCAGCACCGCCTCTTCGCCCACTCGGTCGCGTCAGCCGGACATAGACTAGTTGCTGGCCAAGCACGTTTGTGTCCTCGCCCTTTTTCCCCTCTACGCCCACGCTTTGCCGTACTCCTTGCTCTCTCGCGTCCAGCTCGGGCGTACACCAGCAGGAACTGAATGGGAGCTCGTATGTATAGAGATAAGCCTGTCAAAATCGTTCAAACGTAGCCAGAACAGTGCCGGCCCATCCATCGAAGCGAAGAGGACAGAAGGGAGCAAATGTACGCTCCTTCACGACTGGTCGGGGCCAGACAGAGAATGACAGGCAACGATATTAGTATGCCAACTTGGTCCAGAGCGCCGCAGCAAACTGAAATACATTGCCTCATGGAGTATTTTATTTTGCTACACTCTGTTTCCCATTTTTACTCGGAAGAGGAAGGCTGGCCTATGACTGGATGGGAGAGCTTTGAGGCTGCGCAATAGACTGTGAAAGACCTGTGGGATGAGACGCAGGGTGCTCAGCATTGCCTTCCCGCCTCTTTCGCTTCTTGGTCTTGCCCAGAACGCGTTCTCTGTAATTCTGAGAAATGGTTCTCAACCGGCGTTCCAACTGAGAGTCGGTTTCCCCGCCATGGTAAGCTTGGACGGCTTCTGACACCTTCTCCTTGAAAGTGTCCGCTTCCGCAACGTCGATGGGCAGCGAATAATCATGTCCGGTCGGGGTGACGAAATGTTTACGCCCTTTTTGGTCCTTGAGCGTTAGTCTGCTCGGTGGGCCTTCCATGAAGCCCAGCTTCTTCAAGTTTCTTCCCATTCTTTTACCAATCCTTCTTTCTTGAATCGTTTCTCGAACACCGTCGGTCAGATCATCATTGGGTCTCTGACACCTATACTCTGGAGCTCCCCGGCCGTATGGTATATGTGGTAACGTTTCTGAGAAGTGTGAAGACTGTAAATCATGCTGGTCTGCAACCGCAACACCCTTTCGTTTCCTCGTCTTCGTCTTTAAGGAAAACCCTTGGTTGTTGTGCTGGACTGCTTGCTCACCCCCTTCAAAATGTAGCCAATGAGGGGTGGAAGCTTGCGGTGTAGTGCTCGTCAAGTGAGTGGTTGATGGACGCTGATATAGAGGAAACGAAAGCGAAAGTTGCGGATCACGATTTGAATGCGACTGCGGCTCATTTTTGAGAGTATTGAGAGGCAGCTTGGGGGAGAACTGCGGAAGAGGGCGATCGAAATGAGAATGTGGTGAGAGACTAGGTGACAGGATACTTCGGCTTCTGGATGGTCCCCCACGATGACACCGGCTGAAACCAGGAGGAGACGAAGAGTCTTGGTTAGCACCGTCGTCGAACCATGACTCTTGGGTCATATCGTCTAATTTTGGAGAAGGAAGGAGGTCGGAGATAACGTCAGACGTAGAGACACCTTCAGAGACTCGATTCCTTTCTTGCCGCTCTCTCTTGCGCTTTTTCCTCTTCTCCCTGATGCCCTTACCTGCCGTGCCTAGGGACCATTTGATCTTTTCGAGTTTTTCCTGTCCTGTGAGTGCGAGAGAGCGGATCTTTTTGAGACAAGCCAAGAGACTGGCCTCGTTCTCCTTGAAGTAGGATTCAAGGCACGTTCTGTAGTGACCTTCTTTGTCAAAAAAGTAATGGCGATCGCCAGAATTCTCGTGGGCAAGACCGCCCAAAAACTCGGCCTTCTCTACGAGCTCTATCGGCGGTGGGCCAGGTCGGTGCATCCATTCCCCCGGTCTATAAAGTTGATATAGATTATACCGTTTCTCGCGCAAAAAAGGTTTGAGCATGCTGGCATCGGTATCCATAAGCTTGTCTTCTTGTTCTGTCGGGTGGGCCTCCTTTGTGTCGGTGACCGCATGCGGTCCGCTGTCAGGTTGGGTTTGAGCGTGCTTCTCGATGTGAAGCTCAGAAGCGCCTTCTGGATCTTTCTCGCTACGTCCCGGTAGAGGATTCGCAAGCGTTGACCTGTTCTGCTCCACCTCTTGCCGTCTAGCCTTTTTCTGATTTTTGAAAGATCGAGAGCGAAAGGTTTGCTTCTTTTCTTTCTTAGCTTGCTCCTTTTCTTTCCTAGCTTGCTCCTTTTCTTTCTTAGCTTGCTCCTTTTCGTGCTGCTGCAACTCCCACGCTCTTTGAACCTCGAGAGGGTGTTTACTTCGCAGAGACGCAGTGAAAGTCCTGATCTCATTCAGATCTTCCTTTTCGGAGACACCACGAAGCTGGCTGATGAGGATGTCGACCTGATCCCTGTAACGCTCGGCCAGTGTTGCCGGTAGCGCTCTCCATGAACCCGATGGGAAGATGAAGTAATGGTAATACCTGTGGACCTCGTGGACAAGGTGTCCTAGTATACGGGCCTTATCTTTCAGGGAACGTGGTGGTTTGTCAGCTCGGAGGTAATGTGACTGACTTTGCGTGGCGGCCGAGTCCCTTTCTTGCGGAAGCTTGCCCTCAAAATTTGCATGCTCCCGTATAGTGGAGGGTGGCAATGGCTGGCCATGTTCTTCCTCATGCACAACAGCGCTCTTATGGTGAGAGCTATGGCCTGATGATGTGGACGGGACGGAAAGGCGACCGACACCTTGGTTGCTGTGGGGATCTCTGAGGTCCATTTTTTGCATTTCTAGGAGCGATGTGAGCCATGGATCATCTTCAGGAAAGGTGATCTTGGTATACAATTGCATCGTTGTCAGAGGCAAGTCGGTGCTAGCAGAAAGATCTGACTCACCTCTCTAAGCTCATGAAAATGGCGAGGTGGCCCTTCATTGTCATCGACTGGCGGCCCTGGTCGTGCCTGCAGGACGCTGGCCTGAGCGAGGTGAGAGCTATGGCCAGGTGATGTGGACGATGCGGAAAGGCGATCGGCGCCTTGGTTGCCGTGGGGGCCCCCGAGGTCCACTTCTTGCAGCCATGTGAACAAAACGTCATCTGTAGGAAGCTCAATCTTCACATACAAGTGCATCGTTGTCAGAGTCACGTTGGCGCTCAGCAGCAAAAAGATCGATCTGACTCACACCTTCAAGCTCTTGATGATGGTGTGACGGTCTTTCCTTGTCATCCTCTGGCGGTCCTGGTCGTGCGTGGAGGATGCTGGCCTGAGTGAGAACGATTAAAAAGAGAATTAAGAGGTTCATGAATCCCTCATTCATCATGGTTGTCGTGAATAGAACGGACGACAAGCTGTTCGAGACGTTCTGGGCTGTTCAGGAAATCCAACATGACCCCGATTTTTTTTTTGGATAAAGTCCTTAGATTAATCCGTCTTTTGTCCGCTGCCAAAAACACATCGGCCTCCCGATAGCCCCGAAGGGGCGTGGTTAATTCAAAAAGGGCGTAGCGATACAATTCTTCTCCTCTCCCTTTTCCTCACTGCGCTCCTCTTCTTCGGATAATGAGCGAGAGAAAGAGAGATTCTGTCCTTCCTCCCGTGTATCGCAGCGACGTCGAAGCTTGGCCAATCCCAAGGTAGCTAGGGATTTGGCCAATTAGCGCTCCATGACGAGTCCATGACGTGGGAGAAGTTGAAAATTGAAGCAACTTACGCTCGCATGAGGGGACGAAAGTCGAGTACGCCACACTGATTTCGGTCTTGACACACAGATTTGACCGGACCAGAGTGCCAGCTCAGTCTAAAGCGGTGCAGCAAAACAAGGGACACAGCCTCGTGGTGCGGTCACTTTCTTGACAAAGACACTTCTGGACAATTGTGAAAAGGCATACAACGCCCTCCTTGCCTACCTCCGCCGCACGTCCGTTCTGAGCACCGCCTCTTCGCCTGCTCGTTCGCGTCATCCTGATATCTGATATAAACAAGATGCTGGTCAAGCACACTTGCGTCCTCGCCCTTTTGCTCTTCTATGCCCAGTGCTTACCGCAGGACCTGCTCTCTCGCGTCCTGCCCGAGGGCGTACACCGGCAGCGACTGAACGGGCGCTTTTTTGTATAGAGGACAATGTCTGTCTAAATTGTCCCTGAATAGCCAGAACAGTGCCAGCCGGCCCATCCATCGAAGCGAAGGGGACAGAAGGAAGCAGGCGGACGCTCTCTTACGACTGGTCGGGGTCAGACAGAGAACGAAAGGCAACAAGTTCAGTTTTATATGCCAACTTGGTTCAAAGCGCCGCAGCAAATTGAAATACACTGCCTCATGGAGTGTTCTTTCTTTGCTGCACCCTATATTCCTTCCCCCCCCCCCTCCTTTTTTTAACTCGGAAGAAGAAGAATTGCCTATAAGAGGGGAAACGCTAGATACAATGTGGAGCCCAAAGAGCTGGCCTATGACTGGGTGGGAGAGCTTTGAGGCTGCGCGATAGACTGTGAAAGACCTGTGGGTTGAGACGCAGGGTGCTCAGCAGTGCCTTCCAGTCTCTTTCGCTTTTTAGTATTGCCAAGATTCTGGTCTCTGTGATTCTGTCGAATGTTTCTCAACCGACGTTCCAACTGACGGTCGGTTTCCCCCGCATTGTAAGCCTGGACGGCTTCCGATACCTTCTTCTTGAGCTTTTCCGCTTCCGCAACGTCGATGGACAGCGAATAGACGTGTCCGGTCGGGGTGACAAATTTTCTGCGCCCTTCTTGGTCTTTGAGCGTTAATTTGCTCGGAGGGCCTCCTGTGAAGCCCACCTCCTTCAACAACCTTTCTTTCCTTGCGCGAGCCTGCTTTTCGCGAGCGTTTCTCGAACGCCGTCGGTCTTGCGAACCTCGGTGAGATCATCATTAGGTCTCTGGTACTTAGACTCTGGAAGTCCCCGGTCGTACGGTATATGTGGGGACATTTCTGAGAAGTGCGGCCCAAGAAAATACTGTGGATCATGCTGGTCTGCAACCGCAACATCCTTTCCTTTCCTCGTCTTTAAATGAACCCCTTGCCTGTTTTGCTGGACTGCTTGCTCACCCTCTTCAACATGTAACCACTGAGGGGGGGCTGAGTCTGACTGCGGTTCATTGTTGATGGGCAGCTTAGAGGGAAAGTGCGCAGTGGAGCGATGGAGGCGAGAATGTTTGGAGGGACTGAGTGGCGGGGTTCTTCGACTTCCGGATGATCCCTCGTGAGGACGCCGGCTGAAACCAGGAGGAGAGGAAGGATCTTGGTCAGCAACGTTTTCGCTCCAAGACTCCTGGGTCAGGAGGCCGGGGATAACGTCAGACGTAGAAACCCCTTCAGAGACTCGATTCCTTGCTTGCCGCTCTATCTTCCGCCTTCTTATATTCGCCCTGATGCCCTTATTTTCCAGGTTTAGGATATACTTGAGCTTTTGGAGTTTTTCCTCTCCTGTGAGTCTTAGAGAGCGGATCTTTCCGATACGATCTAAGAATCGGGCCTCATTCTCCTTGAAGTAGGACTCAGAGCACGTTCTGTAGTGACTATCCTTGTCAGTGAAGTAATGGCGGTCGCCGTAACTTCCGTGGGCAAGATTGTCCAATCTTGCGGCCTCTTCTACGAGCTCTATCGGCGGTGGGCCAGGTTTGTGGAACCACTCTCCCGGTCTATAGAGTTGGAATAGTCTATACCGATAATCGCGAAGAGAAGATTTGACCATCATGGCAGGGTTATCCATAAGCTCGTTTTCTTCTTTTGTCGGGTGGGCCTCCACGGTGTCTGTGTGCGAATGCGGTGCGCTGGCAGGTGGGATCTGGGCGTATTTCTCGATGTGATACGCAGAAGCGCCTTCTAGATCATTCTCGCTACGTCCCAGTACAGGCTCAATTAGCATTGACTGATTCTGCTCCTCATTTTGCTGACTGGCATTGTTCTGATGACCGAAAGAATGAGACCCTTGAGAGGTTTGCTTCTTTTCTCTCATAGCTTGCTTCTTTCTTCTCATAGGCTGCGGTGCAGTGGAACTTGGCAAGGGCTGGCTATGTGAATCTTCATGCTGAGTGGCGCTGTGTTGATGAGAGCCGTGGGCTGGCGGTGTGGATGGGACGGAAAGGCGACCGGCGCCTTCGTTGCCGTGGGGGCCCCCGAGGTCCAGTTCTTGCATCCATCTGAACCAAACGTCATCCTCAAGAAAAGTAATCTTGTATACAGTTGTACCGCTGTCAGAGGTAAGTTCGTGCTGAGCAGAAAGACCTGACTCACATCTCCGAGCTCTTGATGACGGTGTGACGGTCCTTCCTTGTCATTGACTGGCGGTCCTGGTCGAGCCTGGAGGATGCTGGCCTGAGTGAGTACCAAGAAAAAGAGAACGGTGAGGTGCATGAATCCCTGAGCCATCGTTATTGTCATGAAGAGAAAAGACAGCAAGCTGTTCGAGACGTTCTGGGCTGTTTGGGAAAGCCAATATGACCCAGAGCCTTTTTTTGGTGATCGAGTCCTTTGTCCGTCCTTTGTTGGAAAAAATAAAAATAAAAATAAAAAATAAAAACCCCCGAACCCTCAACCTTCCGATGCCCCGAAGGGGCGTGATTACTTCAAAAGGACCATGACAATACACTTCTTCTCCTCTCTATCTTACTCACTACGATTCTCCTATTCGGATGATGAACGAGAGGATATAAAGAATTTGCACTTCCTCCTGTGCATCGCAACGATGCTAGAGCTAAGTTCAATCCCAGGGTAGTCAGAACATTGCCCTCCAGCCCCCTCTACAACGTGGATGAAGATGAGAATAAAAGCAACTGACGCACGCATGAGAGGACGAAAACTTGAGTATGCCACATAGATATCGGTAGTCACACACAGAGTTGACTGGCTCAGAATGCCAGCTCGGTGTAGTGCGGTGCAGCAAAACAAGAGACACAGCCTTGAGGTGTGGGTACTTTACTGGCAATGCCTCTCTCGGACATTTCTGCCTTGACAACCTGAGCCCCTTGGTGTGATCACCTCATTGACAATGCCACTCTGGACAGTTGTGCAAAAGGTATAAAGCGCCCTTCCTGCTAAGCTCCGCCCCGCGTCAATTCTGAGAACCACCTCTTCCCCTACTCGGTCGCGTCATCCGGACATTATGAAGATGCTGGTCAAGCACGTTTGCGTCCTCGCCTTATTCCTCCTCTGCGTCCAGTGCCTGCCTCAAGATCTGCCCTCTCGCGTCCAGCTCAAGGCGTACACTGGCACCAACTGCACAGGCGTTTGTTTGAGTAGCGGACGTAGTCTGTCTAAATTTGGGGTATCTCTAACCTCTCACAGGTGCAAAAGTCGTTCACTCGGTACCCGACACTTGTTCCGTGACGAGTTGTGCATTGATCAAGAGTTTCCGCATCCAGGGCAATGCACCTAGCTGTGAGAGAGAGGGCAATGCCTCAAAGGTGGCTACAGAACCTCTTTTGCTCACCGCCTAACTTTTTCAATGCTTCTGAGTGTCTCGAGCAGACGGCTTTCAGTGGTCGCTGTCAGGGTTCTATAGATTACGTATCTGCTAGCCCGAAAACCTGCATCAATACGAAGCCCGATGTGGAACACATGAAGTGAGTGAAATACGGTAGAAGACGTCAGTGGAAGACGCTAGTCAGACTCTTGCTCATGCCACTCCGCTCACACCTCGAATCTCTAGTTGCAGAGCACGACCGGGTTGCACTAGGACGTAGCTGCCAAAGTGCGCAGGCTGTCACATTGATTAGACCGCCAACGCTCGTTAGTCATATGAGGAGCAGCATTGAGCCAAGGAGCACAGCCCTAGTAAAGCAAGAGCCGAAGAAGTTTTCCAATCATTTCACCCGTCATTTTGCATGACGAGGTCGCTCTGAGAGATGATCGTGCAATGCCGGATAGACCAGGCGGTCATGAAAGGGAAAAGAAGACGACATGCAGGCTATAAAGTACAGAGAAGCGGACCACAGAGACAATTCTAGAAAACAATTCGTTCCCCCCTTTCTTTTCTGCGAAATGGTCTCCGCACAAACCATGGTCAATCTCGCCCTCTTCGCCCTCGTCGGCCTCCTTTCCCCTTTCATCAGTGCCGCACCTCAAGGCGGTACAATCATCCTTCCTGCCGTCCAAGTGCAGGTCTTCGACCAGCCAGGCTGCCGCGGAATTGGTGGGTAGCGCCCACAGCGCCATTGAGTTCTCCATGCCTGCCTCTACTCATTAACCTACAGCAACGAACTCTACACGCGGCAAGTGCGAGGTGCGGGGTCAACAGTCCAACACCTCTTGTCTGACTACCAAGATTGCAAGCTTTGTCGTGAGTAATCACCCTGAGACGTTTCTCGCGTCCCTCTTCGTCCCCTCATAGGCTCTTGTGTGCTCAGAAACTCTCTTCACATCCAGATTCATGGCTTGGCGAGCAACTGTGAGCGATTGCTCTTGATTTCTGCTCTGCATACTCCTGCTGACTTCCTTGAGCCGTCTCTGATAGATTGCGTCGCCTTACACAGTCCCCGTGATAACTGTACCGGTGATTCTCTTGACCTGCAAGCTCAGCCCGGCCAATGCCACGACGTCACTGGAGACTACAGGAGCGTTAGGTCAGTCATTTATCTACCCTTTTGCACAACCAATCTGGGTCCGCTCAAATTACTCTGGCTGATTTAATGCAGCTGCGAGGCGGGCGACTTCTGCGCCCTGTCTTGAGACAAATTGTCGTCGTCGACTCTCGATAGATAAATAAGTCAAGAGATCATCGCAATGCGTGAATTCCCCAATCAGTAGAGATCATTTGAAGCTATGTAACAAGTGTCGACATGACAAGCACCAGCAGGAGGGAAAGAAGCAATTGAATCATCTTGGTATCTATCTAAAGAAGAGAGAGAGAGGAGAAACTTTTGAAAAGAGTGATGAAGCCGCGCGCACATCATGGCGTCGCAACGGGCTGGGCGTTTGTCAAGACGAGTCTCCTGGCTTCGTTTCCCCATAGTTTGTTGGCCAGGGCGATGCCGTGGGCTTCGTCTTCGTCCTCGAATTGTTTCGCGGTCTTTGACGGAAGCCTCTTTTGCGACATCGTCTGCACCATTGTCTTGTGGTACGCCTCAATGGCAGCAGCAGATGCGGCGGTCTCTGGCTTGAGCCAGTGTTGTGCCTCGTCATCGTCGTCGTCAGTGACCAAAGAGGCCTGCTCAAGCTGCTTGTGCGGCTCCTGATCCAAAGTGATGGGAGGGGGTGCGAGGATGCCTGCGGCCCCATTGGCGGGCGTCGCAGGGCCGAGCGAGGTGGGTGTGCTCTGGTTCGACTTGGCGGCTGCTTCTTCAGGTGTGCGCCACATGCTGTCCAGGTGGCTGTATCGCGATGGCGGGTAGTCCGCAGCCGACAAGGGTGGCGACTGCCGACGCTCTATACCCGAGATGCTTTGCGGCCGGTCTGGCGACGAAGCAACGTTGGAGCCGGCACTGGCGCCATTGAGGCTGTGATGCCTTGTCGAGCCACGCGAGAATGTATTGGGTGCCGACGATGTCGCACCGATCTCCACTGTCTGGCGGCGTGGTGAAGTCATGGGGGAAGAGGAGGAGTTGCGCACCATCGCAGGAGGCGAATTTGGCCTCGACGTAGGAGGACCGCCGGCCATGGATGCCGGGCGCGATGAGGCCTTGATGAGCTCCGGTTGCGAACGCTGGCTCGTGGCGCTTCCCGCTCTGCCCAGCACGCCTTGACCCTGAGAATCGCGAAGTCCGTGTGCGCCCCAGCCTGCATTCCCCGGGGCCCTTTCAGTCGTCGTGGGCGAAGCAAGGCTAGCAGCAGCAGCGGCACCAGCAGGAGCGGCGCTTTTTGCTGCTGCATTCCAGTGCGGAGGCGCACCGCCGCCATTGCCAGGTTGCTCATTAAAATTGTGGAATTGCAACTGGTTTGAGGCTCTCCGACCACCGTACTCTGACATACCACCACCGCCTCCGTATTCGCTCTGCGGGGGTGCCGTGTCGTAGGGATCATCTGCTGCCATCGCTCCACCCGCTGGCCGACCATCGTCTTCATCGTTGCCACCCGTCCTTCGACCGTAGGTCGGGTCCTTGAAAAAGTCATCGAGGTTCCTCGAGTCCCGGCGGCTCTTTCGGAGTAGGAACCAGCCCAGGAGTGCAAGCAGGACCAGGCCAACAACGCCCCCCACGACGCCACCAGCGATTGCGCCCGTGTTCGTGCCGCCCCCGCTGCCACTGTTGCTAGCGCTTGATGTAGATGTGGGCGTGGAAGAAGGCGTAACGGTGGCGTAGGCAGTCTGATTACCACCCCCGACAGTCACAACGACGACGCTGGGTGCCACTGATTCGCCGTTGGCATTTTGCGAGGCAGAGATTGTCGAGAGCGACGTCTGAGCCGTAGAGGTAGCGGCGGAAGTGGGCGTCGAAGTGGGCGAGGTCGAGCCGCCATTCTGCTCCGTGGTGCATTGGGTCTGGTAAGCCGTCGAGGTGGGCACAAGCTCCGTCGTCGTCGAAGTTGTGGTCACTGTTCGGACGCTGGACTGCACACCGCCAAGCAAGCCGCTTGCAGCGCTGACTGTCGTGTACTCGGTCGTCACACTCGTGCCCGTGACGAAGCCGGTGCTCGTAGAGAAGAAAGTCGCAGTGGCCTGCGAGCTGCAAGAACTCGACATGGCTTGGATGATCTACCTGCTTTGGTGGTTGCAAAGCAAAGTCGAAGTGCAGGCTAGGGAGGCCAAGAAATTTCCAACACCCAGAGGCAGGATGGCACGCAAAGAAAGAGGGGAAGGGCGTGCAGATCGTGTGGCTTTTTCTTCCCTCCTTTCAATCCCCGACGGCAGGCAGCAAGAGTGGTCAGGAGACGAAGAGATCGTAGGTGTCGGAAGTGATGCAAGCGGCGGACTTGGCAGTGATCTAATCAGGTCGGTGTCGTGAACTGCAGAAGAGGCACCTATCGATGTGCTCTGGATGGGTCGGAGGACGATGGGGAAAGGGAGGAGGAGTTGCCTTGGCCTGGCCTGATGTAGCTTTGCATTGCCTGAGGAACGCCAATTTGACTCAAATGTTCCACATCAAGATTGTTAATCGTATGTAGTGGCCCTTGTAATAATAGCTGTAGTAGAGTAGTTGTAGCAGTAATGAAGCAGTTATATGGTGTTGCTATTTCCACCAAAGGAAGAGCGTAAAACTGTGCCCGATGTCCAGGAGCGAGAAAGGCACAAGGCCCGAGCTCTGTCCTGTTTCTCGGTTCCTGTGTCACGACAGCTCATTAACGTGAAATTGTAACGACATTGAGGTAATTGTTCACTTGAGTTTAAATTCTCGGAGGCACCTTCCCGCAAAGGAAAACAAAAAAAAAGACAGGAGCAGACCCGGAATCCCGAAGTCATCTCCTCAACTGTTTCTCATGTCTCCTGACCGAACGGTCTCGAGCAGTTACAGTAACAGGAGCAGTGTCGGATAGGCATTAGACGATTTCCAGTCTTAGCCCCATGTCAGAGACGCGGCGAGATTGCCGAAGTGAGGCGGTTGCTCGTCATTCGTCGAGGAAGACGGGAGTATCCGTACCATTCCCGCTGCGGGTTCCTCGCGGACGAGTAGTAGTCGCTCAAGTGGCAAATGAAGCGGTGCCGTCCTTACCCCGATATTGTCATCAGCAGGTCCTGCTGGTAATGCTCAGCATGGGACATCAAGTAAAAACAGGTACCTTGGCATCGGAGCACCGGACACTACTTGAGAGGATACTACGAACAAGTCCGGATGAGCGGGCTGACGGGAGAAGCCTTTCTCGCATGTCAAAAAGCAAACCTCTGCTTCGATCTCATCATCTCGCATATCCAAGAGAAGCATCTCGGATGGGAGAAGGAGCGGGTGCAGACGAGCGAAGTGTCCAGAGACGACTAGCTGCGGTGTAGCAAATCAGACTATAACTCTTCCAACGACAACTTTTTGAACGAATAGGACATAGCGTGGCTAGCATTCAGCTGAGCTCCATCCAACGTGGTGACGCTTCTCTGATGAAGCATCTTGTGCTTGTGACGACGAGATCGATCTGTCGTCCTGTCTGACCCTGGCAGCTATGGTCTAAATCCGCGGAGAAATGTCTCCACATTCCACTTCCGAGTCCCGTCCGAAAAGTGGATTCGACTGAGCGCTGCTGGGTGATCAGCATCGGTAAGCTGACGCCGATAACGAAGAGCGATATAAAGGATCGTAGAATCGGCTCGCACGCGAAAGGCACTCTTCTCGTCGCATGCGTAGATCCTTTGGCTCTTTTCCTCTCCTTCGAGCGTACAGACGAAGCTTGACCTCCACCACCAGAATGACCGTTGCACAGGCAGCCCCCTCGGGGAGCGCCACCCAAACACGCTCGTCCACCTCCTCGCTGCCAGATTCGCCGTCTCAGATCCCTTACCCGACGTCATCGTCATCGTCCTCATCCTCGAGCATCGCAGGTGCCAATCCCAACTGGGTCCCTAGCGACATTCCCAAGACGTGGAAGGACTCGTTCCAGGCCTGGATCAAGAAGACGGAGGCGGCGGCCGCCGAGCTGCATCTCTACAAGCGAACCGGCTACTTTGACGGGGCAACGCTCAACAACGCGCCCAATGAAGATCTCGACAAGGCCCTTCGGTCCGTCTCTTCCTCTTTCTCCTCGCCTGTCTCGTCAAAGGCGGGTGAAGAAGACCAGCGCGCGACGGTCGGCACGTCGGTGAACCCCCTCGATGGCAAGGTGGGCAGCATTCGCCTGGTCGACATCGGCCCTTCGTCGTCGTCGTCGTCTGCGCTCACTGCATCTGGAGTAGGGTCCTGGCTCTTTCAGCGGTCCTCACCGCGCCTCGTCAACATGGTCGAGATCGGCACACCGCGAACGCGCCAAGAGATCCAAGCCGATCACGACGAAGAAAAAGTGGTGCTGCTCCACGGCTACGGCGCAGGCACGGCCTTTTTCTTCCAGAACCTGGCCAGCCTGGCTGCGCACCCTCAATCGCGGCTGTATGCGCTCGACTGGCTCGGTATGGGAAGGAGCGCTCGTGTCCCCTTTCATATCCCTCACGCCGCGCAGAAGACGATGGAGTCGCGCGTCGAGACGACGGAAAACTTCTTTGTCGGCGCCCTCGAGGACTGGAGGAAGACCATGGGTGTCGAAAAGATGACGCTGGTCGGCCACAGCCTCGGTGGTTACCTCTCATTGGCCTACACGCTCCGCTACCCGCAGCGTGTCAACCGGCTCATCCTCGTGTCGCCCGCGGGCATCGGCGAGAATCCGAATGAGAAGGCAGAAGACACTTTTAGATCAAAAGGCAATGGCACCGTTGAAGCCAACAAGTCATTGCCCGCGGCGGGGGCAGAAGAAGCCGAGATCAATCAGGCGCAGCAAGACCATGTGCCAGCGTCAGAAAGGCAAGCGGAGAGGGACGCCAAGACAATGCAAAGAAGGGCCAGTGAGGCTGGGAGCAACGGAAAGGACAAGGGCTCGACGCAAAAGACACCGGATCCGCCGCGATGGGGCAGCAAGACTCGTGAGTGGACTGCTAGGACGAGCACAATGCATGAATGCTGACCTTCTTCTCTACTAAGGCGCTGTCGTCTCCTGGCTGTGGGAGCAGAACTTTTCTCCCTTTGGCATCGTTCGAGGGAGCCTCTTCCTCGGTCCCATGATGACCGGCCGATATACCTCTCGGAGATTTGGAGCGCTGCCAGACGAGGATCTCAAGGCGCTGCACGCATACTGCCACGGCATCTTTTCGGCCCGGGGCTCCTCTGAATACGCGCTCGCACATCTGCTGGCACCTGGCGCCTTTGCGAGGTGGCCAATGGTGCGTCGGATCGAGCCAATCACGGTTCCCACGAGTTTCATCTATGGTGAATACGACTGGATGGACGTCAAGGGTGGCGAGGCCTGTGTCGAGAAGCTCGCCAAGCGGGGCAACCGCGCGGCCAACACTTTCGTCGTGCCCCACTCGGGCCACCACGTCTACCTTGACAATCCGAAGGCATTTGATGGCCTCGTTGCCAAGCTACTCCGGGGTGAGGCCGACGGCAACAGCAACGTCTCGGTGCCGAGCGGCATCTAGTAAAGCATAGACTGGCTCTAGTCATAGACTGTCACACCTCCTCTGTCTGCAATAATTAGTTAGCATACTGAATACCATAGCAGCAGTCTGATGTCGTGCTTGGAGGAACGCGAGCAGCGCGTGGTGACAAGTGGCCTGGGAGGCCATCACCCAATGAGAGCCTCGGCTGATGATGACAATTTGGCGACTTTTTTTCTCGCGCTCTCTCAGCCCGCGTGCGTGCGTGCTGCTTCCGAGCTTTTTCAGTCTTTTATTTTCCGTTTCAGCTCCCCTGCCTCTCGCTGTCGCCTTGGCTTTATTTTTTTTTCTCTATCTGGTATAGGACACAAAGCTAGCATCGATCGACCTCGTCCTCCGCAAGCCACGACTGCTACATTGTCATCAGCGAAGCGACCTTTTGGGCGGCCCGCTCAACCTTTTGAAGTGGAAAAGGAGAGAAAGAGGACGCAGAATATTGCGTTGCTACGCTGCACTGCCAGACCCTGTCAAGCGCACGTTCCTTCTCTTGGCCCCCCCCCCAGCAGCAGCGAGGCGGACAGACGGACGGTCTCTATTTTATTTGCGCTTTTTTTATTTTTTTTCCGTCTACTCACCACCCGCCGCCTCGGAAACGCATTGGCTCAGACGGTCGACGCTTCGGCCACATCGACAAAGAGGCGAAGGCGACGCAGCTTGTTCGACCATTCTAGAGACTCTGCCCACGTCCTAGATCTTGACGCACGCGCACACGCGGCCTCCTTCTCTTAGGCTGAGGTCGTAGCAGCAAAGGTGAGCTTTCGGCCACCTGCCTTCCTTAGCCGGTGTCTGCCTCACCCCAGCTCACTGTAGGACGCTCTACCCCGTACCTCTTTTCTCCCTCGCCCCTCGTTGTGTGACTTGCGCTCCATCCCTCCTTCTGCTCTCTGTTCTCTCCTTCGGTCCGAGCACCTCCAGATTCAAACGGAAGACCACGGCCGACGACTTTGGAGAGGCGCAGCACGTTCCTCCCCCCTCACTCATGTCGAGCAGCCTGCAACATCCTTCCCACAACCCTTACGACGACAATAGAGGCAGCAGTAGCACCAGTGGTGCTGTCGGGGGCGTTGGCATTGGAAGGAGCAGCAGGAGCAGCAGCAGCAGTAGCAGTGGCGGCGGCTTCCACTCTCCGACTTCATCAAGACCACCCTTTCAGCCTGCGCCACCCGCTCCTCTACAACAACAGCAAAAGGCGGGAGCATCACAGCAGCAGGCCTCGCCGATCGACTACTCGTCCAACAGCTCCACCTATTCCTCCTCGTCGGGCTCGTCTCGACCTCAGCTCTCGAGCGGAAACACGTCGCCGCCGGACCATCAGCAACCGGCCATCCACGCCGCGCCGCTCCTCCAACACTTTTCTTCCCCTGGCCGCGCTTCCGAAAAGGCGCGCGGGGCAGGGCCAAGCGATATGATCTACGACCATCAGTCCGGGCTGCACCCTTCCTCTTCCACCTCGTCGGCTGCGTCCTCGTCTGCGTCATCAATGGCGTCCGGGCCCCAGTTCGGCCACCATCACCATGGCCATGGCAGCAGCCACCAACACCACCACCACCAACAACAACAACAACAACAACAACAACAACAACCCCACCAGCATAGCCATCTCCACCACAGCAGCAGCTCACACCAACAACCGTTTGCAAATGAGGCGTGGGGGCGAACAAACGGCGTGCTCATGGAGCCCGCGTCCAAGTCGAGGAGGACAAGCCCGGGCGGGTCAAAGGTCGCCGACGGAGCAGTGGGCATGGACTCGGGCCCGGCAACCACGGGAAGCGACAGCTGGGTGCATGCAGGCAAGCATGCCCTCTCCTCATCGTCGTCCTCGTCGACGATGATGCCCGCGTCATCGAGCAGGGCGGACCAGGCTTCGCCTGCAAACTCACATCCTACCACCACCACGGCCGGCGGGAACCAGGCTGCGCCTTTACCGTCGGGGCCGAGTGAACGAAGACCCCGGTTAGATCTGGCCAACTACCCACCCCAAGACTTGCTCAAGGTCCTGGCGACCCTTTTGCATCAGGTCTCTACCGCCAACGATCAGCTGCGGCCAAAGGCAGGCGCCTCCAACGCATCAGGATCGGGTGCCGATCGGAAACATCGAAGCAGCCGGTCCAAGGACGTCAGCATGGCTCCCGAGGCAGCCATGAACAACGTCTCGCGGTCCTTGTCCCACGACGACAGCCTCTCAGCCTCGCACTCGGGCGACTCGCTCGCCTCGAGCTCATCCTCATCGGCAAAGAGGAAGCCACCGACGACGGCGGCCATGTCTGCGCTCTCGACGCCGAGCTCTACGCTCTGCTTCCATGCCAGAAACGTGCCGAGCATCAGCATCGAGAGCTACCTCCTGCGTATCCTCAAGTACTGTCCCACGACCAACGAGGTATTCTTGAGCCTGATCATCTACTTTGACCGGATGAGCAAGATGGGCGCGGGGGGAAAGAGCGCAGCTGCTCCGGCGGCCACTTCCGGCGCCGGTCTCACGGGAGCAGAGGAAGGGAAACGGGGAGATGGGCGACAGGGCAACGATGCTGTTGCTGCATCTGCTGCTGCTTCGGCTGCTCCTATGGCGAACAGCAACGGCGAGGATGACGATGACGAGGAGCCATATCCCGGCATGCGCGGGTTCGCCATCGACAGCTACAATGTCCACCGACTCGTCATTGCTGGCGTCACGGTTGCCAGCAAGTTTTTTTCAGACGTCTTTTACACAAACTCGCGGTATGCCAAGGTCGGCGGTCTGCCAGTGCACGAACTCAACCAGCTCGAGCTCCAATTTCTGCTCCTCAACGACTTTAGCCTCGTCATTCCGCTCGAGGAGATGCAGAGGTACGCCGACCAGCTCCTCGTGTACGGGGGCGGGTCCCCTCCGCCTGCTGCTCTCTCTGATGCGGCGGCGGCCACGCCGAGCACGTTTGTGGCGTCACCGCGGCAGCAGCAGCAGCAGCAGCAGCAGCAGCAATCGGCATCACAGCATCCAGACCGGGGCGCCGCAGCAGTCGTGAGCAGGAGCGAGAGGGGTGGCAGCGAGATGGACATCTCACGGCCAGCCTCAACTGACGGGCAAGGCGACGTTGGGATGAATTGAGGGCTTCCCATCAATGTCCGCTGGCGAGCACAAGCGTCTGTGGAACGGCCAAGGGACGCTCTCGCCGCTCTCTCCTCTTCTCTTTCTCCCCCTGCTCTTGTCAGTCCCTTCTTCATCTCCAAAGGGCCTTTTGCAAACCTCTCGTCACGTTCACACACACATCAGATCAGATCCTTCATGTCTCTCTCTCTCTCCCTCTCAGACACACACACATACAGCCTACAGTATCCTCTCTCTTTCTCTCTCTCTCTCTACGATGTACAATCGCAGGTGCGCAAGTGACTGATTACAATGTTGCATTGGCGACTGATTGACGACAGCGGGAGCAGCAGGAATGCAGAGGAGCATGAAGTGTAGAATTGACCTCAGTCGTCCTTGCGGACCTGCCCGTTGCTGGGGGCGGTGAGGCTCTTTCTCGGCTTCCTGCCCTTGAGGTCGCGCTTGGCGTCAAACTGCCGGATGCGCTTGACGTGGGGCACGAAAAAGTGCAGCGAGGGCCAGGCGTTTACGAGCTCAAAGTTTTCGGGCGACTCCTTGATGGAGAGGACGAGAAGCTCCGAGGCGACGAGGATGAGGTAGGCGCCCATGCCCGTGCCGATGTGCCACCAGCCGTGGCCCTGGGTGAGGAGCGAGAGGGGAAAGCCGTGCTTCTTGCGAATGTCGCGCAGGTGGGCGCAGTAGATGTTGTCGATGCTGGTGTGTTGGCAAATCATCACAACATGGTCAGCCTTTCTGTATGCATAGCAACGGGCGCATGGAGCTCTCACTTCCAGATGCCAAAGGCGCCGAGGAAGAGGACGGAGCCGACGCCAAGGGTCCGCTGGATCTGGTCGCGTGTTGCGCGTCCGGCGGGGGAGGCGAGGAGCGGAGAGCGGGAACTGTAGAGGAGATCGAGGTTGCGCAACGTGGAGACGAGCTGGATCGTGGCGTAGGCCGCCTGGTGGAAGATGGGGTTGCCGAGGTATAGCTGGAGCGAGGACAGACACGTAGTCAGCGATCGGAAGGGAAGTGTTTGATCGAAAAAAGCAGACTCACGTAGCCGACAGTAATGAATGTGACGGCGAGAATGAGGACGGTGGGGAGGAGGATACGGAAGCGCGGCTTGCCGTACCCAGGCGTCGTCTCGAGGACGCAGTAGGTGAGCAGACTTTTTGGAAGAAGTGTGAGACGCTCAAGAAGAAGAAGAAAGATAGAAAGAGTGGAGAGTACACGCACGCCGAGGTGTAGATCATCGGCAGCTCGTCGAGCAGCTGGGCCTCGTACTTGAGCGTGGCATGGAAGAGAAAGGAGCCGACGCCGATGCCCGCGATGCCTTTGCCGTAAATTCATTCAGCGAAAAGGAAGCTCGGAAATGAAGTAAGAGAGGCCCACCAAGATTGACGAGAAAGAAGCGCAGGGGAAGGCGCTCGTCAAAGGTCTTCTTTGCGCCATAGATGGCCAGGAGGAAGAAGAAGACATTCGTAAACTGCGAGGAGCGAGCAAGCGAGCGTCTGGCGGTCAGTAGCCAGCAAAAGGGCACGCTCTCTCTCTCTCCACACCGAAGAACCCGCTCACAGTGTTGACTGGCTCTGCTACGTATTTGCTCCATTGGTACTTCTCCTCGCCTGTGCACATCGCCGGCGGACAAGTCAGTCGGCAGTCGCGCGACACCGGGGCGCCTTGACAAAGACTCACACCAGATGAGGCTCGAGGTCACCTCTCCCCAATAGCCCGATGGCACAGTCCTGCGGTCGATGCTCGTCATACTCTAGTTGCTGCCCTATCTATCCGATCCCTTCACCACTGCCGGTCAAGGTCAAGCGATTCCACGTCTGTGTTTCGTCTGAGCTTGGTCGTTTTCAGAACTGAGGAAGTCTGTGCGGCGGGCGCGCGCGCGTGCGAGCGTACGTGCGTGCGCTTCTTTCTCCTGCATAAAATGGAATGAAAAGCAAAGACGCCCACGTGTATCGACGCGGAGGGAGGTGTTAGATTCTGGAACAACACTTTGCGCCTCTCAAGAGACTTTTGTCACACGCGGACGCCTACCTCTCACCAGACTTCTCCTCTCCACTCCACTCCTTCCCGCGGATAGACAAGACCAGCCTGCCAGCCAGCCTGCCAGCCTCCTGCTCGCTCGAATAGCTCACAATGTCCGCCTTCGCCCACCCTTCCAACACTAAGCTCAACGCGGCAGGTCTCACGCCAGACCACTCGCTCGTCCTGCCCGAGCGAGGGCCCCAGCCTGACGAGGTCGAGATCCTCAAGGCTCTATCCGAGGTTCGCGTTCCCTCCTCCTCTCCTAGGTAGAAATACAACTGACATTCGAGTCCGCCTGCACAGCTCTACGCTCTGCAGCCTGCCGAGACATCCTTTGCCCTTTTTGCGCCCAACGTCGTCTTCACGATGCCCACCGGCGACGTCACAGTTGGCGCCCAAGGCCTGCGAGGCAAATTTCAGAGCACCGGCGTGAGTCTTGCCAATCTGTCCTTTTTCTCGCTTGTCACCTTCTTACACACAAATGTGCTTCTGCAACGGCGAATCAGACTCGGCGCCAGGTGCACCAGCGGCTACTGACGACGCCCGATGCGCTGCCGGCACGGACAATGTGTGTCGACCAGGTCGTCTCCGAAGACGGCGAGCCGAGCCGGTCGGTGCGAAGTCTTTTAGTGCTCAAGCGCCGCGCAGCTGACGGCCTCGTCACGAGCCTCACCGAGGAAGAGGGCCACCGACGGGTGAGTAACCACTCAATCACAGTCACTCAGAAACACTTGAACTCATCTCCTTTCTTACACCCAATAGGCCACGGCGCCCTTGGCCGCTCGAGCTGCTGCTGCCTCCAACTTCTACTCGCCCACCGACAACATGCTGTCGCCCTGCACCTCGAAGCTGAACCTGGCCAAGAAGAAGCACCACCTCAAGGGCAAGCCAATGACGCTCTTTGCCTCGCAGCTGGCCGCCGCCAACAGCAGCGGTCCTGCCTCGTCAAAGCAGCCCGGCAGCAACACCACCAACATGGACATGGACATGTGATTTTTCTCTCTTTCCCCCTTCTTCTCCTTCTCGTCCTCCTTCTTCTGCAGCATTCATTTCCCATACACACACTCACAACACTCACACACTCACATTCACACCACTGATCCGTCCTTTCGCCGTTCTTGTCTTGCCGTTTCGTGTACCATTCATTCATTTCTCAGTCGTGTTTCTTTCACTTTCAGACAAATGCGCCACCTCTATTAAGCATCTTTCTCCCAGTGGTCTCTGTCGCTCTGTCCGATCCCGGCACGCTTAGCGTGACAAAATCACGGCGTGCATCGGCCAGTCCACCGGGGATAGAGCGAGCATTCCCGCACCGTCCACCGGTTCGTCATCCACGCCAGGAAGCGCTCGACGCCCAGGCCGTACCCTCCGTGTTCGCACGTGCCGTATTTGCGCTGGTCAGTGTACCAGTAGTAGGGCGAGGGGTCCATACCCTCGTGCTTGTATGCGTCAAAGAGCTCCTTTGAGTCGCTCATCCTCATGCTCCCGCCCACAATCTCGCCCACGCCCGGCATGAGGACGTCGACGGACTCGGTGAATCGCTCGTCGCCGGGACAACGCTTCATGTAGAAGGCCTTGATCTCGCGGGGGAACTTGATGAGGAAGATGGGCACGTTGAGCTCGTCGGTCATCTTGCGCTCGGCCGCCTCGGCAATGTCGTCGCCCACTTCGTGGTCCTTGCCCTCGTCCGTCTTGACGTCGTGCTCCTTGAGCCAGGCAATGGCATCGCGGTAGTCCATCCGCCGGAACGGCCGCGTTGGCTTCTGGAACGACGGGTTGAGCTGCTGCAGGAGCGCTGCCGATGCCTCGTTGGCCAGGACGCGATCGATGGTGCCGCAGATCTGTGCGCGGTACCGCCGAAAAGGGGGGGTCGTCAGCTTCGTTTGTCTCAGGGCACATTAAGTTGGGCTCAAAGATGGGACTCACCAGCTGCTCGAGGTGGGCGAGGAGCTCGTCAAAGTCGAGGAAGCCCAGCTCGGCCTCGAGGTGGGTGTACTCGCTGAGGTGGCGTCGCGTGTGGCTCTTCTCGGCACGGAAGCTCTCTTGGACGCAGAAGACGTCGCCCAGCGAAGGAAGGCACGTCTCAAGGTACAGCTGGCTGCTCTGCGTCAGGTAGGCCTTTTGTCCGTAGTAGTCGAATGCAAAGAGTGTGCTGCCACCCTCGACCTGCGTCTGGACCATGCACGGCGGCGTCACCTCGAGCATGTTCATGCTCGCATACTCTTCCCGGAACGCGCTCAGGACAGCAGCGCGCACCTTGAGCACAGCCGAGGCCGTCTCGCCACGGAGGACAAGGTGGCGGGAGTCGGCGAGAATGGACGGGTCGGCACCCTCGCTGACCTTGTTGGTGAATGCGTCCTCTCCGCCGGGTGCCTTGCCCACGCATCGCCACCAGTCGGCCACGAGCTCGTGGTTGTCCGGGGCCGACTTGCCCTCGGGCAGGGCCTTGATTGTTCCCTTGATCTCGACGGTGCTCTCGAGCGTCAATGTAAGGGCATCAAACGTCTGCACGTTCTTGCCCGTCAGAACACACTGCAAGAACCCGGTGCCGTCTCGGAGGACGATGAACATGAGGCCCTTTTGCGATCGCAGTCGGTGAACCCAGCCCTGCACCTTGACCGGCTTGTCTCGCGTCTCAATGCCCTGGCGGATCTTGATCTGGTGGTGCTCATCGGCGTTAGCCCATCGGAGGTTTAAAGGCGGGTGAGTGGGCCGCTCATCTCACCTTTTGGTAATCGCCCTTTGGCTCTTCGAGGACAATGCTCTTGCTCTCCTCGAGCTTCTTTGCGTCCGTCTCCTCTGCGTCTTGGGTCTTGGAGCTAGCCTCTTCCTGCTTCTTCTTCTTCTTCTGCGCAGCCTCCAGGCCCTTCTTTGCCCTCTTCAGACCGGCACCGGAGATGGGTGCATAGCCATCGGCATCGGCGCCTCCCTCTTCCTTGTCCCCCTCGGCGCCTGACTTTTTGACAAAGAGCGAGATCTCGCTTCCCAGCGCCAGCATCGCACCCACCGTCGTGGCATAGGGGGCTTCCTTTGTCCCCTTTCCGGTCGTGTCTGACCCCTTTGCCTCGTCGACGTAGACTGCACAGTCGCGGTCAGTGAATGTAGATGCAAAGAGGAGCGGTTATTGCCCCATGCACGCTCCCATGACTCACCTTGCGGGCCCTTTTGGCCGCCGCTTCCGCCGGAGATGTGGAGGCTCTCCACAGCATGGTGCAGCGAGTCCTTGATGGAAGACATGCTCACTCTCTTTCTCCTCGTCTTTGGAAGGTGCTGAGAAGGACAACGATGCGAGGAAGATAGGAAAAAAAGAAGAAGCCTGAGTATTAGAGCTTGGGCCTTTTTTTTATTTTCTTTACTTTTCGCCCGCCCCCAGTAGACTAATTAGTCTAATTCACCGAGCCAGGCGGCAGCAGCAACAGATCACTGCGTGGAGTCACGAGCGCCGAGACCTGAGACCTGACTCACAATAGATGAGAAGGGAGAAGGCTTGGACGTGGGCATCGTTGTGGACATAGCAGTCGTCCGAAGTGAGCATGGAAGTGATTTGGACAAGCTTTCAAGGCCCTGTTGCCGGGCCTTGATCTCCTTCGATTCATGCTCGTGCCGAGCGGGCTGGCCGGCCTGGCTGGCTAAGCCAGGACGCACAGGGCCAAGTGGGAACGCTTTGAACAGAAAAGTGCCACGATTAATGAAGGCTAAACATTTTGTATTCGGATCGGCCCCTCCTGTTGCCTCTTTTCGTATTTTAGCTGGCTGGCAGCTCTAAAACAGAAAAGGAAAAAAGGCTAGGACAACCTTCTAAACTCATTCCTCATCTCCATCTTTCCTCTCTTTCTCGTGGGGACGACCAGACCACCTCAAAAGGGGACAGTTTAACCCAGGAAGATGGTGCTGTTTTCGAGCGCAGGCGTCTCGAGGCTGCCACTGCTTCTGGTGGCTGCCTCGCTACTGCAGCTCCTGGCACTTGTGGTCGAGCCGACGCTGGCCCAAGTAGCCGCCCAGAACCGGTTCCTCAAGAGCGATGCCATTGTGCCCCTGCGCACGCACAGCATTTACGCACCCTATGTCGACTCGGACCTGCAGAACAAGTTCTGGGACTTTGGTGGTGATGCCATCGTCGACACGACACGCTACATTCGCCTGACCCAGGACCGGCCCTCGCAGGCCGGCTGGCTCTGGACCAGGCTGCCCATCTCGGTGCCCAATTTTGAGATCATTGTCGAATTTGGCGTCGATGGGCGAGCAAGCGGCCATCATCCTTCGGGTGACGGCTTTGCCTTTTGGCTGACGGAAGAGCGGGCGCAACCAGGCCCGATCTTTGGCTCAAAGGACTACTACACCGGCCTGGGCATCATGTTCGACACCTTTGCCAATGCCAGACATGTGAGTTGCTCAAGCTAGCTGGACGGACGAATAGAAGTGACTAACTACTCGAGGCTACCCAGCCATACACGTTTCCCCGCGTCATGCTCACCAACCTCAACGGCGTCGAGTCGTTCCACACGGGCAAGGACGGCGCCAACCAGGAGCTGGCCGGCTGCAGCATCGACATTCGGCGGACCAAGGTGGCGTCCAAGTTCCGTTTGACTTATGTCAAGGACGTCTTTCTCGAGCTTGCCCTGCACACCGAAGAGTGGGAGACGTGGGAGACGTGCTTTAAGCTCCGCGCCGACAACATCTCCATGCCGGCCAACCCGTACATTGGACTGAGCGCCATGACGGGCGATGTGTCGGACAATCACGACATCATCTCAGTCAGCAGCAGCCACATTGTCTACAAGCCCCGCAGCAAGGCCGAGCTTGCTGCTGAGCGCGAGACGCACTTTGGCGCCGCCGCCGCCTCCAAAAAGAAGAAGCTCGGAGGCCTCGCTGGCTTCTTTGCAGGCACGGGACGAGGAGGGAGCGACACCAAGCCCTCGCCTGCGGCGGGGCAGAGCTACCAGGGAGAAATGGCGCGCGAATCGAGCGGGCCAGGCTTCTTTTCGCGCCTCGTCTTTGGCTTCTTTTCCCTCCTCTGGACCCTGATCAAGTGGGCCGCCGTCGTGGCCGTCATCGGAGGCGCAGTCTTTGTCTTTTATCAGCGCAAGAGGAAACTCGATGTGAGTGCCCGCCAACTTTCTTTCTGCCGTCTCTTCTGCTCACACCTCCAAACTACTACAGGCCAAGAGGTTCTGATGAAAATTCAACAATCAATGTATCTGTATCGGGCAGCAAAAGAACAGACGGGGAGATGCCAGAATGCATCGTCTATACAAAGCTGCGCCGCGAGACTCGTGTGTACTATCGTATAAGGGAAAGCAGTGACTACCAAAAAGCGTGTGACAACGGTGACATGAGAGAGGTAGGAAGAAGACGAAAAAGCCCGAGGACTAATAATAAGATACAAGCAAGAGAGCTGGCGAAAAGGGCGAGGACGGGCGCGCCGTGTCTACATATGTCTCACCTTGCCAGAGGAGAGAGGGACGAGGATTTCCGTGGCTGACTGAATAAGTGAGATGACTCCCGTGACTATAAAGAGATGACCAAGAGTAGATAGGAATGAGTCGAGAGAGCAAAGAGAAAAGGGGGACGTATGCGGGTCAATCGTCGAAGGTCTCCTTGAAGCGAGAGCCAGCGACACCGATGCTTGGCTTTCGCCCAAGGCCAGTCGACGTGGGAGACAGGGGTGCTTCGCCCTCGGCAGGGACAGGAGGTGGGGGCGGGTGACCTTGGCCCACCTCGATGGCGCTGCTCGGCGCGGCTTGCACCTCCTCTGCAGTGGCCGCGACCTCGTCGGCTCGGCTGTGACCGACGGCAGATGACGATGTGTTCCACTCCTGTTCTTTTGAAGTGTACGTCCAAGCACCTGCGGGCAAGGGCGGCGAGCGGGCGTCTGCGCCTGGCAGATCGGCTTGGACACGCTTGGGCGACGAGATGGATGCCGTGTCGATGCTGGAGGTCGACTTCAAGCTCGTCTTGCTGACCTTTGCCGAGGCCTGTTTCGCCCGTTTGTAGTTGTCAGTCTTCGACTGGTGCGATGCCGATCGGCTCAGAGGTGGGTTTGGCGAGAGGGGTCGGTGCCTCTGCGCTGCGGGTGATGGCTGACGAAGGCGAACGACATCGCTGAGTCGTCGCACGAGACCACCTGTTGTCGCTGCTCCAGCTTCTTCCTCGCCCTTTGCATGCGACTGCTGCGAGACTGGCGAGGTGACGGGTGTGTCGAGGTAAGTCTGGCCATGGCCGCTCGAAGTGGCCGTCGGCGTGACGAAGGGATCCTTGAAGGAGACGGCGCTGGTAGGTGCTGCACTCGATTCGGTGCTATCCTGCCTCTGCGTCGTCGTCTTTGTTGTCGTTGTCGTTCTTCTCGCTGGCACTTCAGAAGCAGCATGGGAGGCTGTGACAACGCCCAAGCCGCGCTCGGTAGTCGGCACTTCCTCATCGCTCGTCTTCGCCTCGCCAATGACGCTCAGCTCCTTTTTGTGTGTCGCGCCGACGTGGACGCCGCCCTGTGTGTCTTTCCTTTGCCCCAATTCCAAGTCTATGTTGCTGTCGTCTTCCAAAGTCGGTTCCAGCCTCTCCTTGGCCTCGATGACATAGACATCCTTGTGGCCTCCAGAAGACGTCCCGTGGGTGTTTGAGCTTCCACTCTCGGTGCGGTGGTGGCCATCGACATCGCCAGCAGCTGCTGCGGCCGCTTTTCTTCGGGCGGTCCGGTACCCTTCCCTGCCCGTCTTGGATCTCGAGCTGCTGATCCTCGAGACGAGGCTGTTCCCCCTGCTCAACTGCCTTTCCCGTTCCTTTTCCGCGTGGGCAACGACCAGCGTTACGTTTCGCAGCGTTGACCTCCGTTGCCGCCGCTTTCGCCGCCGCCGAATGATGCACCAGACGACCGCCAAAAGGGCAAAGAAGAGGAGGATGATGGGGATGAGGAGGAGAAACCATCGCGAGTCAAACGAGCCTTCGCTGGCGCTGCCCGCTCGGCCGCCATCGCTGTTGCCGCCCCCGCCATTCTGCTCTTGTCGTTTTGCGGGTCGGTAAATGTCGTCGTTCATTTCTCTCTTTTTTTTTTCTTCTTCTCTAGTGTTCGCGCACGCCCCTGCTCGTGTTCCACCCCGCCACCCTCGCCACCGATCCTCCTGTCTCCTTTGCGTGCTTCCTGGACGTTGCCTTTAGGCGCAGACTCACAAAGAGAAGAAAGGCGAGATCGATGGCCGTTCGGTGCTGTTGCTACTAGAGATGGGGGAGGGACGAAAGACGGGACGGTGAGCAAAAATGAAGACGATCGGCAGACCTTTTGCAAAAAGGGAGGGACCGATCCACCCCCATTCACCGATCTGCTTCCCACTCTATCGCAGAAGAGCGTCTGCGATACTCGTCTGCGGCCAAGAGGAGAAAAAAAAAAAAAAAAAAAAAAAAAAAAAAAAAAAAAAAAGGAGGGACTGGCTTAGTGTCGCCCTGAGCTTCGAAGGGGAATTGACCAACACCCGCTTGCACATTTGCTGCCTGGTCCCATTGGGAACGGGCGACACAGAGCAGTGGCCGAAGACTGGCCCGGCAGAACCGAAAAGCTGAATTAGCCATGCGCTGAACGAGTCGTAGCTAGTGTAGCAGTGCAGTGGAACTGGTATCTAAGAACGTCCCGAAGTGCACTTTGCGTAGAGTGAACTCGCTAAGCTCGTACGGGGAGCTCCTTGTGGTTGCTGACCTTGTAATGAATATGAGACTCAGATCTAGACCTGAGCGAGCTTATGCTTCCGTTTACTTACTACTCTCTGCTCGGTCACTCAGAAAAAGCCGATTTAGTCACGTCCTACGGAAAATTCTATTTGTGATTAGAGGCTTAACATGGGGCCGTGCGAGCGCCGAGACGTATAGCACACAGTGGCGCATATGGGCGTCCCAAGCCTTTCGCTTCGATCAGCGCTCTAGTCAACTTGACGACGGTAGCATTGTTCATGCGAGACGGGAAAATGAGCGTCTCGGATGGGTTGCAAGCGGACGAAGCGATGGATGTGGGCCACGACGATGGAGCTAGTGAAGGGGACGCGAAGGCCGAGGCGTCGATAGACAAGCTGCTGCGTGAGACGATGGGTGCAGAAGCATTGACTGCATACCTCGCGCGTACGGTGCATGCTTCTGCGACCCCATCGCCACCTTCTGGCCAATTCCTATCCGCCGGTCGGCCAAGTCCTACCACGCCCCCACATAACATTCCAAACAGCGACGGCTCATCTCCGTCCAAGAGGGTCAGGGAACTAATGCATAAGCTGGAGATGCCAGGATCAGATCCGGAACAGACCAATAAAATGATGACGAACGATGGTGGGGGGTTCCCCAACAAGCGCCACTTGTCGCCGGGCACGCCTTCATCCGAACAGTCTGTCCACACATTGGCCACAGATGCCGCCTCGAAAATGTCCTCCTCTGCCTCCGCCGTCGCTCGGCCCGAGGAGCCTGCGCTGGTCAATTTGCGAGGCAGAGGCAGAGGCAAGAACAAGAGCGTCATGGTGCTCCGCGACGACAAGAGCTACGTCGCACAGCTGTTTGAGCTTGCGCAATCCCAGGGCTGGCCACCGCCCAGGTTCACAAGCGAGCCAGAATCGTTTGCGTGCGTACCCTCCTCTCCTCTCTCTTCATTTCTCCTAGCCTATGTATGCTCAACTGACAAAGGGCCACGTCACAGGCCAAAGGGTCAAGTTCTCCTCCACCGCGTCAGCTGCGTCTTGAAGGACGACAAGTACATTGCACAGAGAGCCACATCAACAATCAAGGGAGGCAAAGAACAAGTGGCCCTCGATATCCTTCGATCTCTCATCTCTCCTTCCTGAAGCGACTGTTTCGAGAAATCCGACCTCGTCACTTGATACTGTTTTATCTCCTGTAACAAAGCCAACAATGTCCCCTGCACCGCTGCCACACATCAATCGCACCACCACCATAGAGTCTCGCTACACTCTGCCTGACGGCAACACAATTTGTATGATGTATACACCGACTTGCCCGCAGATCTAGAGATGTAATACTAGTAATACAATGAACAAAGACTCTTCCTCAATCTGCATGGACGAGAGAAGCGGAAGGAAACGGAGAATGAACGGCACTTTGAAGGCATGCCGCTGAGCAAGTGGGCTAGAAGAGAGGGCAGGTGCACTTCATTCATCGGCGCCAGCGCACAAGAGGCATAGGGCCTTTCGACACTGTCCAGGGCCTGCGCACGCGAGCCCTTGGGGGGTCGTTGGTTTGTGTCTCGTTCCAAAAGGATCTTCGTCGCCACCCCTTCTTCTCCGCCTAGTCTGCACACAATGGGCGGAACTCGCTAGATCACTGTCAGGTCGGAGCAGGTCTCGCAGGCGCAAGAACTCGCTCCCTTCCCGCTTGGACGCTGGACTTGCCTCTTCCTTGAGGAGGTCAGGCAGGTGGATGACATGATCGTGGCTACCGCGCTTTCGTTTCTGACGTCGTGCAGTGCTGCCTGAGCTGGGACTGTGCGTGGTGGTGCGAGCGTGTTTGCGACTTGGGGTGCGGGGGAAGGCGTAGCCTCTGTCGATATACTCTAGTCCTTCGCGCTCTTCAAATCGCTCAAGCGACGGCGACGGTGAGCCGATGCGGTGAACTGCATGCGAGGACAGCGTCGATGTCGAATTGGAACGTGGTGGTGTGGGCGAGGGCGTCGGTGGCATCTCCGTGAACCTCTGCGCCTTGCTGCTTCTGCTGCCCCAGATATCCCTCTGTTTCACAAGCTCGGTCCAATCGTGTTCGCCAAAGTCCACCACTTCCTCTTCCTCCTCTCCGTCCTCATACAGCTCTGACCCATATACGTGCCTCAGACGCGCATCCTCTCTGAGAAAGTCCTCCAGGTCGGCGTCCACGCTCGGCTTTATTGTTGGAATGGCGTTGGAGGAAGAGACGCTAGAGATCCTTTCTGACAGTCGCCGCCTCCATCTCCTCATCGCTTCGCCTTGCATACATTCGCAAACATCCTTATGTTGCTGCTCACCTTCGACAACGCCGCCACCGCTGCCGCCGATCCATGAGGCAAGCTGGTCTTGAAACTTCTCCGCATGCACGTCTCCACCTTGCTCGATTGGGTAGCGAGATGTGCTCTCCCTCTTGAGGAGCTTGCCAAATTCAGCTTCACTTTCGATGGAGCTCAAGCGGCCATTGTTGTCAATGATGATGAGCCCATAGTCGTCGTCACCGTTGTCGCCATCCTCTTTTCCCTGCCGCCCATTCTTTCCGTTGCTACCATTTCCAACCCGATGCGGGAGAAAGAGAATCTCGTCGTCCGGCAGGCCAAGCTCAATTTCACGGGTGCAACGCTCATAAATGCTCTCCCATCGTTGCTTGAGCGTCTTGAGAGAATCGGACCGACCTGTTGCTGATGTGGTTGGTGTAGGATCCCTCGGCGGCGACGCAGATGTCCTCGCACACGCTTTGGACTGTGCTCTTCTCCGTCTTTCGCCTCGTTTCTCTTCCGAGCTTGATGACAATGGTGGTGCCACATGGCTCTCTAGATAGGCAAAGCTGACTTTCCCGGCAGCTTTGGCTGATTTCCTCGACTTTGAAGCTGATTGTGGCGCCGATCCCTGCGGTGGAAGCGTGCCCTCCTTCAAACTTTGCTTTTTCTTGCCTTTGGTAGCTTTCCAGAGGCTGGAACTGTTCCAAAATGTCCTTGATTGGTCCACACTACCCTCCTCGTCTTCGTCCTCGTCTACTGACTGGTATCCGGACGAACGGGAGGGGCAATAGATGGAGGAGGAGTCAGAGTCCTCCGAAAAAGAGTCTAGCTCTTCACCCTTGTCCCAACCTTCGCAGTCGAAGTCGGGCTGGGGCCAGCGTTGGCCTTGTCCGAAAGCGATGGGAGAGGTGGGCGGTGTCTCGAGAAGATCCATGTTGGCTTCCTGCATCGTGAGCGAAGGAAGAAAGGACAGTAGACTCAAAAAGCTTGATTGTCTCCCGCAAGACACACAAAAAAGTCGCGTCAATTGTCGCGCTCGCGCGTTCATTCTGTTCTGCGTGGTCTGAGCGCGTCCTCCACCTCGTCCCCGTCCGTGCATAGTGCTTGCTCTCTCTTCAATGACTGCGTGCCAATCAAGCTGAAGGATGGTCCAGAAGCTTGTTCTGCGCTTTTTCTCAATCAATTAGAGGGTAATTGGAGTGCCAAAGGAGCCCGGTAAAGCCCTCTGACAGGCTGAGCACAGTCGCTTGAGTCCTCCGCTACTTCACCTTTCTTTCTGCCTTCCGATATGCCGCATAGAAACAAGCCACTTCTGACACGTGGACCCAAAATTTAGGCGCGCGCTCATTCTTTTTAGGTTGACCCAACACCATCATCCAACGAGGGACGAAGACGAGGACGAGGACACCGAGACGGACAAGGAGTTGCATGAGATGTCGCTCTTGCTCGCGGAGCTCACCGCGCTGTCGTCGGAGTCGAAGCGCAAGAGTCCCGAGGTGAAGACAGCGTCAGACCAGGCGCTGGCGCAGCTCCGGGCGGATCAAGATGCCGTCCTTCGGGCATCGTCCAGGTCGCCGGACGAGGACCTGCTCCTCAAGCCCATCTTGCTCGCTTGCAGCTCCAAGACGACGCCGCCAAAGGTCGTCAGCATCGCAGTGGGCCTGCTGCAGCGCATCATCGGCCTGCGGGCGGTGCCAGAGCGGGAGAGTCACCTCTCGACGATTATTGACCTGCTCACCAATGTCATTGCGTCGAGGTCCGATGTCGATATCCATCTCAAGGTCCTCCAGGTCGTTTCTTCGCTCCTCTCCACTTACTCGACAATCCATAATGAGCTACTGTCCCGGACGCTCCATCTCTGCTTTCGCCTTCAGGACAGTCGGATTGGCGTCGTCAGCTCCACGGCCGCGGCCACGCTTCGCCAGTCGGTCATGACCGTCTTTGACAAGGTCAAGGCTGAGGACGCCATCCTCGACGGGATCAAGGCAGGAGGAGAGGATGGTGGGTTCTTTCCTGCATCGTAGCCAAAAATTGCACACAGTAAGCTGACCATGCCTTGACGTAGCTGCCGCTGCTGCACCCCTGGCTGCCATGACTGTTCAGGTTCCTGACAAGGGGTCCGTGACGCTCTTTCCCTGCTCGCGAGACGCTTACTTGACAATCAGCGACCTCAACAAGCTGGCCAATGGGAACGAAGCCCCCTTTCTCGCCCTGGCTTCCCTGCCAAGGACCTTTGTCCTGGAGCTCGTCGAGTCGATCCTCACCAACCACGCGCACCTGTTCCGCGCCGACTCGCATCCAGAGCTGCTGCTATGCTTGCGCGAGTCCACCTGTCCCCTCCTGATTCGTGCACTGAGCGAGGAGGCCGTGTTTCCAACCACGCTGCGACTCATGCGCCTCCTCTTTGTCCTCCTCCGTCAGTTCAGCCGCGAGCTAGTTGTCGAAGTCGAGATCCTCATCAGCATCCTTCTACGATTCATCTCGCCGCCCAGCAAGATCGAGCGCCCTTCGCCACAGAGGCGGATTTCAAGCGCGTTCATGTCCTCATCGGCTCACGATGCCGTCCCCCACTGGCAGAGGGTCCTCGCAATGGAGGCAGTGAGGAGCCTGTGCTCGGACGGAGAACTGCTGCGCAATCTCTGGAAGTGGTTCGACGGCAAACCAAATTCGGCAAAGGTCTTTACCAATCTCGTGGATGCCATACATCTCCTTGCCATCGAAGATCCCAATGCAATCGGAAAGGCAGATGCCTCGGATCAAATGGGTGGGAACCAATCGACAACCAGCCGACCAAGCACCGATCGAGCCAGGTCTGGCCTGTACGGCGCCGCTGCGGGCGTGGCGACCGCCATGCTTACGTCCGGTGCCTCCTTCACCCCTGCCGAGGGCGGGGCTGGACTGAGCCAGACGAGCGTGCCCGGTGTCCAGCTCATCGATCAGCTCGACAAGTCTGAGGCACCCCACTCGCCACCCACCTACCTCTACCTCCTCGCCCTTCAGTCGCTGGTTCACCTTGCCCAGTCGATTGCCAGCTACGTTCTGCCATCTTTCTCGCGCTTTGCAAATGCTCGCCCCAAGTCGGCACCTCGAGCGCCGCCATCCTTGGACTTTGACGCTCTCCAGGGGTCGGAACGCGCAGAGATGGAGGCGGTCAAAGACATGGTCCTTCAGGCATGGGCGCCGCTCATGACAAGCCTGACATTCTTCCTCTCGGCCAAATGCGACGAGGTCCTCTTCTCAGAGGCGCTCGTCGCCCTGCGCAACTTCACAAATGCCACCGGCGTCCTGGGCCTCGAGTCGCCTCGAGACGCTCTCATTGCCTCGTTGGCTCGCTTCGCCGTTCCCCGGCAGGTCATGTCCAAGCTCGTTACGTCGTCGTCGTCGTCATCAGCAGCTGGCCAGACTGCCGAAGCAGGAGAGGATGACAAGGACAGCACGACTCTGAGTGAAAGAAATGCGGCATGCCTCAAGGCCGTCACCCAGATTGCCTACTATCTCTCCGGCAGCTTGGGGACGCATTGGAGAGACGTCCTCGAGACATTGTGCGATGCGGAATTCGTCCTCCGCAGAGGCGGCCGCAGACGAAGAGGCTCAAAGGACGACAGTGAAGCGACGAATGCGTCATCGTACGAGCCAAAGGCCTCCATGTCCTCCATCTCGGCCCTTTCCACCATTCCCCCCGGCTTTTCCTCGGCCGCCTCGAGGGACCCTGTCAGCAAACGACCGATGGCCATGACCCAGATTGACACCGATACCCTCCTGGCCGACGTCGCAAGGGTGTTTGAGAATACCCAAGCGTTAGGGCCCCAAGCCTTTCTTTCCTTTGTCGAGGCCCTCTGCGCGCTCGACGCCGACTCCACGGGTGTGGCTGCCGCTGCTGCTGCCGAAACGGCAGGCAAGACAAGACATCAAAGTGGGGAGCTCACTCTCCGTGCGGCCAACAGAAGCTTTCCCCTGTCGTCGCTCAGCCTTGTGTCCATGCTCAACGTCGAGAGGCTCACCTTTTCGGCGTCTGGCATGGGCTGGGACCTTCTCTGCGCACATCTGCATGCGGTCTTAGCCCAGAGCCAGCTTCGACCCCCTCTCCGAACGCAGGCTGCCGAGGCTCTCGACTCATTCTTGTTCGCTGCCATCAGCGCCAAGAGCAGCAACGAGTCGGTCGACGACAGGAAGCGAGTACAATCGCAAACGCTTCTTGCGCTCAGCAAGCAGGCCACTCTTGAGGAGCGCAGAGCTGTGACTGCCGATGTTGATGTGCGGCGGATGGGGCTCGAGACGCTGCTCCGGATTCTGGAGGCCCATGGCCATGCTCTGCTTCTCGGCTGGGAAACCATCTTCTCCATGTGTGCGGCATCCTGCGCGGCACCCGCCGAGCCATCGTCAAGCGCAAATGTGCGAAGCTCAGTACCCCTCGTCAAGGTCGGCTTCACCTGTCTGCAAATTGTATGCTCCGACCTGCTGGCTTCTCTCACTTTACCGCAGCTGCAGCAATGCGTCTCCACATTGACCAAGTACGGCGCTCAGACGGACGACGTCAATGTGGCCCTGACGGCCAACGGCACGCTGTGGGGCATTACGGCCGAGATTTCCAATCGTCCATCGACGGGCTCGGATCAGGATGATCTCTGGGTCTTTGTCCTGCGATCGGTGCTCCAGCTCACGGCTGACGAGAGGGCAGAGGTGCGACAGGGCGCCATCTCGCTCCTCTACAACATTCTTGAGCAGTACGGTGCCGGGCTTGATTCGTCGGTCTGGTCGGGGCCCATAATGCAGGACATTCTCTTTCCCTTGCTCGAGGCGCTTCGCACACGGCTCAACGAGCTGCGCAGCTCGGGTGCCAAAGAAGATGAGCGTGCCGACCGGATGGCCGCGACGATGGGTCAGCCAGGAAGCGCTGTGAAGCAATGGGACGAGAGCAGAGTGTTGGCCCTCGCAAACTCCGGAAAGGTCATTTCGCAATTCTTCATCGAAAAGCTCGTCGACGCAGAAAAGGTGGAAGAAACAAAGGCAACATGTAAGCGGCTGCTGGACGAGCTCAGCCTGGGTTTCCTCGGAGGCCCTAATGCCATTTCGCAGGCTTCCATCAAGGCGCTTGAAGCCATCGTGTCGGTCGAGATGCCTCCTGAGGGTGCTGCAGAGCATACAGTCGTCGTCGAGTTTTGCAAGATGGCCTGGGAGACGTGGTGCAACCTTGCTATGCAGCTCGGCCAGTGCGAGGTGCCACTAAGTCAGACCAACCTGGTTGCGTATGTTCAAACAGTGTCACCTATCTACAAGAAGCTACAAGGGCACAAGGTGACGCTCGAGGAACACAACCGGCTGCTCGACTCCCTTAAGATCTGCATCGCCTACACCGCGAGCACTGACAACTTGCCGGACGTGGACAATCTGTCGCCCCTGCAATCGGCCGTCAGATCCACGATCTTCTCCCTTCATCTCGTTCCTGGCCTTCGATCCAAGATCATCAACGACCTTGCAGAGTACTCGACATTGGCCTTCACGCCCTCACCCCGAAAGACGCCATCCTACGTCGCACTCAACAAGGTGGCGAACAACGACCTCGTCGACTGCTTCTCCAGATGGAGCCGAGAGAGAGAGGTCTTTGTCAACGGAGCAGTTTCCAAGATCTTTTCGAGCCTGCTTGTGCCCGTCAAGCTTCGCTACGACTGTCCGAGCAGTGCAAGCGCAACCAAGATGAATTCGGCGAGAAAGATGAACGGGTCAGCACTGATGGAAGACGGCGGCCCGGGAAGCGATTCGACCATCGCTCCGCTTTGGCAGACTGCAACGGTCGCTTTCTGCAGAGTGGCCAGCCTCGCATGTCAACGGATGGACGATGATTTGCCAGAAGAGACGATTGCAGACGTCTGGACGCATCTGGGTGCCATCCTCGAGGCCAGCTTGACAGTCGACTTTTCCTCGGACAAGGAAGACCTGGCGGATGAGCTGTTCGACGTCGTCGTCTTCTCGACGCTGGAGCAGGCCGTGCTGCCTCGTTTTGGCGACAGAAGAGTGCCGACAAGCGTCATCGACGGCATTGCTCGGGCATTGGAAAGGGCCTCGAGACTGACTTTGAATGGGGTCGAGGAGACTGTCGAGGAGCCGTCTCACGACCGCCAAAGGGAGCTCTTCTCTTACTGGGCCTTTGAGACGCTCCTGCTCGGCTGTCATGACGACGGGCAAGAAGCCGCTGGTAGCAAAGCGAGAATGGAAAAGAAGCGGATCGCGCTCGTCTTTTTGCCGCACCTGCGCAAGCGCATCGACGGCGTCTTGCGTTCATACCTCGAGGTCGCACCGCTCATGGGCAAGGAGCCGATGCAGCGAGTGAGGGAGGAGGAGCTCAACTTTGTCCTGAGCTCCCTAGTCGATCTGCGGCTGTTCAGACGGTCTTTGGCGCTTGCGAAGCTCTCCAACGAGGATCATGGCGAGGTGCGGAAGTGGCTGGACGAAGAGCACGACGAGGGTACGACGAGCGCGGCAAAGGATTCGGATCGCGCGATGGTCATTGGGACGTACGGTCACCTGTGCGACATGCTCATGCTGCCCAGAGGCAGTGATGGGGGAGCTCTCAAACGGTCGACTGCCGGCTCGAGCCGGCTGGGCGACGTTGGCAGGTTGCAAAAGGCCCTAGCCAGGTATTCGAAGCTTATCGCGCTCGAGGGCGGTGAGGGGCCCATGAAGCTGGGAAAAGTGGGAAGCGGAAACGTTCTGGGAAGCCCAAGGCTAGAGAGAAAAGGGCTGCAGGAGCCGACAAAGCTAGTGCGAACGTTGCTGGACGTAGCAGGCTCTTACCTGGTGTAGAAGTAAGCAATTGATTGATCACGGCGACGGCATTACTGCTCCGCGCTCGCATGAAAGGCGGGAGCCGGAATCACCGAGGTGGTATTCATCGCAGAGATAGCACTCAAAGCTGCAGTGACACCAAGCAAGGGAGTTAGGCCCCACTCAGCACTGAGGCACAGGCCCTTCTACGGCATGAGATTATATCGCACGGGAATATTGCGCAGGATAGCCCGCCCCATCGAGCATTTGTGAAATTAAGCGAAAGAGGATTAGCCTGAGTAGGTTTCCATGCCTATTTGGGAAGGGCACAATGGCACTCGGAAATTCGGATTCTGAGCCCAGTGATGCAGCGGGGATATATAAGATGCGACGGGCGCCCCACTCCCCACGCAGGGCCCTTCCCGACAGCGGCCAGCCGCCATAGTCTATGTGAAAAAGAGCAGCGACACCACCTCGATACCATGACGATTAGTAGGACATACCACGACGTGGAAGGGTCGGTCTACATCTTGCCAGCCGACAAGGCCGAGACGGAGCGGCTCTCGTTGCAGCACCGTGTCCTTACGCGCTCGTTTAGAGACCGTCTCTGGACCGCGCCACTGGACATTCAGCAGCTCGAGGGAGCCGACGTGCTGGACAATGCCACGGGAAGTGGTGGGTTCAGGCGCATGTATCCGTTTGCTAAAAGACAAAAGAGAGCTGAATAGCGAGTTTGAGTACAAAAAGGCGCCTGGCTCTTCGACCTTGCGAAGCGGTGCAAAGATGCAGGTGTCACGGCAGGCCACCTGATCGGCACCGACATGACCGACAAGCAGTTCCCCCAGCTGAAGCTTCAGGATGTTGGAGCAAAGTCAGATGGCGCACCTTCGCTGCAGATTGCCAATGCGCTTGCGCTGCCCAAAGAATGGACCAACAGGTTCACGCTGGCCCACCAGCGGCTCCTCACGTTTGCGCTCACCGCGAGCGAGTGGCCCCGCTGCCTGTCGGAGCTGCATCGGGTCATCAAACCAGGCGGATACGTGGAGCTGAGCGAGACGGCACACACATTATTTAAGTATCCAATTGGGACGCCAGGCGATCGATTTGTCCAGCAGCACCTCTTCCCGCTAATGGACCATCTCGGCCTTTCCAAAGTGCTGCCCACGACGATGGAAGAGATGCTCATCGAGGCCGGCTTCGTCGACGTGCGCATCGTCGAGGTCGACATACCCTTGAACGAGAAGCGGGGCGCCGAGGCCAAAGAAGCCAGCCGCAATTTCCACGACGCCTTCTGCGCCTTTTCCGAGGCCGTCGTCAAGGCCGGCCTCGTGTCCGCCGATGAGACAGGCCACCGTGCGCTCATTGATGCAGTCCGGAACCAGTGGAACCGGGAGGATGTGCACCACAAGTTCGTGGCTTGGTCTGCCCGAAAGCCATAGATGCATGGCCCTTGCTCTTTGCTTGCTTGCTTTCCTCTGGCCCTCCTTTTCATGCACGGTGGAGAAATTCTGCTTAATGCTCAGCGCGCGCGTCGCGCTCTGTGTTAATCTTTGCTTGCTCTTGCCCACTCTGTCTAGATAGATGCCACATCCAAATTATATTTTTGCCTGCCACCCTCAGGTACTAGGGAGAAGGGGAGAGGAGAGGCGAGAAGGATGATTCGAGAGCCGCTGCCTTCAGACGCCGGCGAGATCCGCGACATGTATGCCCGCATTGGCTGGCACTACACCCTGGAAGAGATGCGGCGCAATCTGGCGCCTTGCCGCACCTTTGTCTCGATCGACTCGACTGAGCAACAACAAGAGCGAGCCGTGGCGGTGCAGGGGAGCATCTGTGTATGTGAACAGAAGTCGATCTGGTCTATCAATGGCCTCGTTGTCGATCCGTTATGTCAGGGCAAGGGCATCGGCCGGGTTCTCATGCAGCACGTACTTAACCTGGCCAAAGAGGCTCAAGTGCCCGTCATTGTACGCCTCGTCTCGACGACAGAAGGAATGCCGCTGTACCGCAAGCTAGGGTTTCAGCACATTACCACCTGCACCCTACTCGTCCGTCGTCTAGCAGGCTATGCGCGTCCTAGCCTCATCCCCGTTGATGACGGATCGCGGTTCGACGAGGCAGTGTGGTCAAAGGATGCACCAATTATCGACGAACTTTCGGTCCAGGCTACGGGAGGCTGCAAACGCTCCCACATCAATCGTGCACACCTTTTTCCAGGGCTCGGGATCTCGTCTAAAGCAGTAATGATCAGGAGAGCTGGAGAAGCCATCGGGTTCGGAGCGGTCCGTAGGACGTCTCAGTTCGTCATCCTAGGGCCCATTGTCGCGCCCTCTGCCACGATCGCTAAGGCTGTTCTGGAACGCCTGATGGCTCTCGCAATGTCAGACGATCAATTCAAAAGACCCAAAGACAGCAGCGACGCCACGGCCGGAGGTGAGGAGGTCAACGTCCGGATCGACGTTACGAGCGATGTCGACGTCAACCACGAGCTTCGCGATTGGCTCGTCAATTCATGCGGCTTTTCTGTCCGTCAAGACTGTCCTCTGATGGACTGGCGCGCCGGCCCCGCTGACCCCACGACGGCCAACGGTGCTCAAGACGTCAACTTAAGTCAGTGGGCACTCCTCTCTCAAGGCTTGCTCTAGGGCATAGACTAATAATTCTAAGGGATTCTACCGATGGCTTTCGTAAATGTACAGCACAATACTTATAAAGCAGACCAATATGAGACCCTAGGTCATAGGATGAGATCTAAAATTTGCTATGACAATGTCCGTAGCGCGTAAGAGATCCGCTGCTCCGATATTCGAAAAGCCATCGGACATCATGGGGTCAATATGCGGGGGGAAAAGTTGGCGGAGAAGAAGGGCACCTGGCCATGGACTCAGAATGCTTGTCTCTTTTCGGCTGCGTCCTGTCCCCTCCGCTCTCTTCCACGGCCACCACAAGCCGTGTTCTATTCGGCTTCTCGTCCAGTACGTTTCGCCCTGAATGGACAAGCTGTCGGACGCCTCTGCCAAATTGGTCGTGTGGGACGACGATGACCCCGAGAATCCACAGTCATGGTCGAATCTCCGCAAGTATTGCATTCTAGCCACCATTTCGACAGGCTCGCTATGCGTCACATGTGCCTCTTCTGTAGTGACGAGCGCCTACAAGGGTATAGAGAGGGATCTGGGTGCAAGTGAAGAGGTCGCCATCCTCGGCCTGTCTTTATTCGTCGTTGGACTGGGCCTTGGCCCAATGCTCCTCGCTCCTTTTAGCGAATTCTATGGCCGCAAGGTGAATAGACCTCCCTCTTCTCTTCACATGGGCATCTGCAATCACTCTTAACTCACGTTCAGAGGAAGACAGCCCGTCTACTTTGCTGCCTTTCTCGCCTTCTTCCTTCTCGGCTTGCCGGTCGCCTTTGCCAACAATAAGCCCGTCTTCTTCATCTTTCGCTTCCTCACCGGCTTCGCAGGCTCCGCGTTCCTCTCCGTCGCCGGCGGCTCGGTCGCGGATCTCTGGGCGCCGAGCGAGACTTTTTTTCCCATGGCCTTCTACACCTGCTCTCCTTTTGCCGGGCCTGTGCTGGGTGAGTCGAGCATACAAATTTCCAGACCAAGGCTTTTTTTTTACGAAGATGTGCCAGGTCCTGTCTTTGCCGGTTTCATAAACCAGTACAGCAACTGGCGGTGAGGTGCCCGACTCTACCGCGTCTTCCCGTCTTGAAACTTGTGTGGCTGATCCCGCGACGCAGGTGGTCGTTCTGGGTGATCACCATCTGGTCTTTCATCAACCTCGTCGCCTTGACGCTTTTTGCGCCAGAGACTTTTCATCCGGTCCTTCTGTCTAGGCGAGCAAGGCAGCTGCGCAACACAACGGGCGATGCGTCGTACTATGCAAAGCACGAGCTGGTTCTCGAAGGAAAGAGCCTGCTGAGCACGATCTCCGCCAGCAGCACTCGAGTAGCAAAACTCCTGACCCTCGAGCCGATGCTGCTGCTCCTCTGCATCTGGTGTGCCATCCTCCTCGGTATCCTTTACCTCTTTTTCGAGCTGTTTCGTGAGTGCTCTGTTGCTTGTCAGACGAGTTCCAAGGAGGACAACGAACGTCATTGACGACGATCATGGCCATTGTCTTTAGCCATTGTCTTTGCCAAGCATCACTTTCAAGAGTATCAGGTTGGGCTCTCGTTCATAGGTGAGTTTTGGATCACTGCAGTCCCTAGAGAGACAGGCGGATGGACCTTACCAGAATGGTCATAGGCATCGGTATCGGAAACTTCTTGGCGCTGGCTACGATGCCCTTCTTCATTCGTCGCTACCACGCTCGGATGGCTGACCCAAGCCGAGCAGGCCCGGAAGCCAGATTGGAGCTGGGCAAGGTCGGGGCAATCCTCGCACCAGCTGCGCTATTTACCTTTGCCTTCACTTCATACGCTCATGTTCACTGGATCGCCCCCATCATTGCCTCTGTCTTCTTTGGAGGCTCGATCATCTATGTCTACACCTCCGTCTTCACCTATTCGGCCACAGTCTGGCAACCGCTCGCAGCGTCAGCGATGGGCGCCAACTCTGCGCTAAGGTCGGCATTTGCAGCTGGCTTCCCCCTCTTTGCCAACCCCATGGCTCGAAGACTGGGCACTGTTGGTACGGCAGCCCTCCTTGCTGGCCTCACCTGTCTCATTGTGAGTGCCGATGGTGGACGAGGAGCGCGCATGAGCTGCTCGGTTTCACTAACACCTCTCTTCAAGGCCCCACTGCCGTTCTTATTTGACCGATATGGTCCGCAATTACGGGCCAAGAGCAAGTTCTCAATGTAACATACTGTCAAGCCCGGTGCACATCCTCGGGACGTATATACCCTATGACATTCTCTCACACACAGAGCAAATGACAGTGACTCTGATGGGATTGCGAAACAAAAGAGGACCTGCCTTGTCACAACTTCTGCGGGGTAAATGGCCTGTCGCGTGCCGGGTATCTAGAAGAGACTGTCAGGACTGGCCGTGCGTCGAGGGAGGGCGGGAACCTTAGCCATGGACCGGGGAGGGAACTTGATCGTGATGGGGCCCAGCGCGCCAGTGGCGCCTGCACCGGGGACCTCGCCAGCGATGTTGGATGCACCCAGCTCGCCGCTGGCAAGAGCGGTAGTGCTGTATATGACTGCACCACCGGCATGACCCAGCTGCGTACCTGCACCAAGGATGCCTTGGGCTGAGCCAGCGCCGCCCAAGCCTCCCTTCTGCGATGCAGATCCTCCGACACTTCCCGAAAGCCCGTCGCTGTTGATTTGGAAGCCATTGAGGTCTCCAAAGTCAAACGTCTGCCCAAAGAGTTCGACGCTGATGTCGCCCACGGGAAGTCAGCCGGAGGCGCCAGATAGACTGTCGACGGAGACGTAGCCCTGATCCATGCCCTGGACTGATGAGATTGTCCCGGTGCCATCACTAAAGGTGAGGACGCCTGGGATCGTCAAATGCTCATGCTCGTCCTGGCCGCCATACAATTTGAGGTCCGGCACCACATCGCCATTGGACAGCACTTTGCATGTCAAGTCGAAGTGCCCGTCCACCTAGGAAGAAGAAATAATGCGAGGTCGGACGAAGTCATCTGAGACACAGCGAGATTTTTATTTGACTTACATGATTAGTTGCATCGCCCAGGCCGAGGACGTTGGTCGAATTGATCAGGTAGAGGGTACCTCCTCCCGTAAAGGTTGGACAAGCTTTCCCTCCAACGGTCGCTGGTACGAGGTCAGCATCTTCCCCTTGCAAAGAGAGATCACACACACATACTCGTCCCTGTTGAAATGGCTGTATCAACGCCAAGCAGAGTGCCAATGCCAGGAATCGGGATTCCATTGAAGGCGCGGGCAGCGGATGGAGCAGGTGTCGCCTGGGGAGCTGGGATCGCTACTGCATGAGCCACTAAGGCAAGGACCAACACGAGTCGGAAAACCATCGTTCGGAGAGCGGTTAGGGCGTGGTGAGACAGTAAGGAAGGGAAAATGCGGGGAGAAAGGAGGGACAGGAGGAAAAAAAAAAACCCGTCAAGACACAGCGGGTATTCAAGGGTTGTTGCAGTCCATGACAGCGATGCGGGGTAGCAGAAGATGCTCGCGGCACGAAAAGATCCGCTCGTGAAAACGACGTAGAAGCACGCCTAAATAGCATCCGTAGTGCATGCAGTGGGAGAATTTTCACAAGAACTCCGACGGACCGAAGCACCTTTAGCGCAAGAAGAAGCGTCTTCCACGAGCCCATTTTTCGTACCCCGCACACTCTAACTCAGTGCCATGTATACAGTATTAGGGGTATTGACGTCCTGTTGCATCTCGACGAAGTTGCCGTATTAGGTCAGTAGTCATGAAGTAAGGAGCACAATGTTTCGGCATCGCTTCATTCTTGCATCGATGGTCGTAGGTGGGGTCTACGCGGAACATTTGCTCACGTTTGCTTTCACTCGCTTTGTTTGCTCCCTTTTGTAGAGCAAACAAGTGAAACGGGTTCTAGGCAAACGCGACATTTAGACTCAAACTAGTGGATCGAACATTTGGTTACTCGGCCGTCTCAATTGTTAGGGCTAATCCTAAGAAAAGAGACGGGGCGGCTCGGGAAATATTCTGAGGTCACTACACCACGTGGTTTTAGAGGCGTTAGAAGGATCTGATGGTGGGCGGCAGATACGCAAACATAGTGAAACCCAAGCTTGGCGGTGCAAGGTTCCGGCCATCGAAACAAATTGGCGCCCTAGATCTGCTGCAGCGGGTGCGGTGCGGAGTCCCCAGAGTAGCGCGGTCAAGGGTTCTGCGGGAATTTGCAACGAGGTGCCGTAGAGGCCGTTACTCTGGCAAGGTATGGCCAAGGTGAACTATGTGCATCAACACAGCTGTAGTGGCAGCATTCACACGCATTGTGCCCAAAAAAGGTCCGACAAAAGAACAGCGAATCGCGGTGAAAGATGGAGTGGGTACCTGCTCGCTACAGAGGGTGAGGACCCAACCAGAGGTGTCCTCACAGCGGTTCAAATGTTGACCGATGCGACGCGAAAACTTTCTACAGGATCTCTGGGCCACAGCAGGGAAGCAAGAGAACTGGCCGAGTGCCTAGTTGCCTTTACCACAAAGAAGCAAGTTTTGCGTCATTTGGTCCCGAAAGTATTGAATTTACTCCTTTGCCAAAGTTCACTGTGTTGGCCGACCTCTCCTCCCCACTTTGTGCGTCGGCAAACGAGCACGGCATGAGCCCTTGCAAGATCTGCTTGATAAGACGGCCACCAAATGTCTCTTCTTCCGACGATGGGTTTTGAGGGAGGTATCTTCGCCAAATAATCGACGCCACAAATTTCTCAGCGTCATTTCCCGTCCTGGCACTTAGTACCTGGTGGTACCCAGAAAGAACGTGCTGGGAGGACGAGAGCAGAACTGAAGCAGAGTAACTAGCAATGTGAAAGTTTTCATTTTCTATTGACGGGTGCTTTGAGGCCCGTCTGATCTTCGATCACTCCCAAATTGATAGATTGAGGAGATTGTCCGCAAATAATTTTCTGTCTTCCGAGGTGTTTAATATCTTCGATGACGAGAATGCAGACATCTTGGAGAGCAGGCAGCAAGAGTAAAAGCAAATCTACTCGAAAAAGGCGATGACCTTGCTCCGGCGTAACAAAAGGGGACTATGCACCCTATCAGGTTGTCGAACGAGGTCCGCCTTTGTTTCAAAGTCAGACAATGCAGGAGGCGGACTCGTAGAAGATATCGGCAATCTTTCCATTTATTTCTTTGCAGAGAAGTCGCCCGTATTTTTTTTTTTCCTTTGTCCTGTGCAGGAAGTACCGTTGCATCAGTGTGTTTGCCCTCGGGAGCCGTTAGTGTCATGAAGAAGGGTAAAAGACGCTAAAATTAATGTTTGTTCCACCTCGCGCGCGCAACCTGACACGAAGGAGATTTGTGAAACTGAAAAAAGAAGGACTGGCATATATTGACATCGGCCACCGTCACTCAAGCAATAGGCCCGACGAGATTTCTCTGGCAAGCTGCCAGTGAGCAGAGAACATGCAAGTTTCGCTGAAATGGAGGTACACGGTCCTCGTCTTGCCAGAAGTAAACGAGGAGAAAGTGGGGTCGTACCAAGGTGAAGTAGGTGAAGCAAGCTTACAAGGCGGCGAGAGCAAAAGCGTGAGAAGGACGAAAGTCTTTAAGAAGTTGACCTACCGCCACCTTTCCAACAATAACAACCCTGCCTCCCTCTAACTCCTTCTTTGAACATTCTTCTCCGTCCTCGTCATGCTTTCGATCCTCACATTCATTCTCAGAGGAATCTGGGAGGCTTACCTGGAGCCTCTCCTCACATTCTTTGGACTTTACAAAGTCAACGACCTCTCCTATGGTCGAAGCCGCATTCCCTTTTCAGCCATGGAAAAGCGATTGCACGCCAACCCCGACGTTCATGTCTGGTTTGGCAAGGTGATGCTCGAGAACGGACAAGACTGGGTTTGGTACCAGGTCTGGGAGCCCATGGAACCCACCTGCAGCCCTCGCCCCGACGTCCTCTTCGTTCATGGAACTGGCGTCCATTCAGGCACTTTCGCCAGTCACTCTCGCCGATATCTGGACGCGGGATTCCGCCTCATCGTTCCCGATCTGCCTTCCCACGGCTACTCGTCTGGCTTGCACGTCTACCGTCGTAAGTTGAGAGAGTACACGGCAGGACTCCGAGCAGTTTTGCACGATGTCGCATCTCGTGACGACAAAATCTATGGCCTACGCTCGAAAGCTCAACGTCAACAGACCTTCCTTCTCGGTCTTTCCTTTGGCGGCACCGTCGCTCTCCACTACGGTCTTGACTACCCTCACTCGATTCGCTCAGACCCGAAGGACCCCGAAGGGATTCCGATCGACGGCATCTGTGTCGTTGGACCAATCCTCGGCTACTCTCCCACAAACGTTACCTTCCCCCCGTACCTCGTCAAGATTGCCAACTTCTGCGAAAGCTATCTCGGCTTGTCTCGCTTCGAGGTGATGGTTCCACACAAGAAGAGTCTTGACAAAGACCCAAAGGTGTACAAAAGTCTGATCAACGAGGACAAGCGAAGTCATCAGGGCGCCTTCCGCCTCGGCCACCTCAAGTGCATCAACGATGCTGTCTCGAGACTGCAGCAGGAGGCTGGCAACTTCAACCATCCAGTCCTTATTCAACAAGGCGGACAGGATCGAGTAGCCTGTCCCATCAAGTCGATCCGATGGGTCCGTAGCATCAATTCTTCGGACAAGCGCATGGCCATCTATCCCGTCTGTCAGCATGTCATTTTCCGAAAAGCAAAGACCGAAGAAGAGGACCAGGCGGGCCGAGTTGCCTGCATCGGAGACAGCGTCGAATGGATGGGTCACCGGGTTGACTGGCCTAGATCGACTGATCTGATCACTTTCAACTCGCCCTTCGATGCTCAAGGACGATTCACGCCACCTCAAACCCCTTCCAGCTCAGTCTCATCTTCCCTGGTTAGCAGCCGCAACACTTCGTACAGCTCTTCTGGTCACTCGACTCCTACATCTCCGTATGAACCCGACATGACAGAGCTGACGCCCTCGCGCTTCCCCGGAACTCCACAAGAGCAAGAAGATCAGGATGCATACAGTAGTGACGGTAAATTGGACACAGAAACTCCCGCGTTTGGTCGCTTGCCGTTCCTGATGCACCAAGAGGACAAGGAGGAGCCCCACCCCCTCCTTGCGTCACCGCACAAGACGACACTCCCAGCGCTGGCTCGACTTTGTCCCGAGAGAAGCTACAAGATCCGATGGGCATTGGCCCCGATCCTTCGCCCTTACGATATTCTAGTCTACAAGTCGGCAGCGGATCTGGGATCGGCGGGATCATTCTCCTCGTGAATGCTCTCTCGATCTCTCTCCTCTCGTTTCCCGCTATCAACGTTTCTTGTCCCTGCAAGGCAAACTCTGCATTAATTCCCTCCGTTTCTCCCCTCATTTGTCCCTTGTTCCGTCCCCGGCACCACCTGCAAGTTTTCATCCTTCACTCTCGCTTCAGTCTCCTCGAGATCCTTCACTTTCATTTCTTTCACACCGTGTCACCGTACATAAAAGGTCAAGCAAAATTTCTCGACTCTATCCCGCTGTGAAGCCGTAAAGAAGAGTCGTCTCTACTTCTGTGAATATTACGAGAGTGTGTATGCACCCCAGGAATAGACAATTCCGCCAAATTAGTTTGCGCGCATAGCGCAGATCCATGCACTTACGGCACTATTTAGCCAGTCTGGTGAAACATCCACGTACAGCCTCAGGCTCGTTTGGGCGTGGAATTATGAAGCCCCGCTAGGCGGAGACTGAAGAGGCAGCTGCCAAGATCTGCCGGCAAATTTTCAATTTGTGCGACCTTCCACGCTAGAGACTTTCACAAATTCTCTACTTTCGACAGCAACAGCGCGATCACTGTGCCACCTGATCATTTTGCCGTATTAGTTTTTCTTTTTTTGTTTTATGGGTTTTGGATTATTTTTTAGCTTGCACAGAGTCCCATCTATGCAAGAGAGGCCGTGCGTAGAACTTGTCTTGTTTGTGTCACCGTTGTACGGAAGCACATGAGCTTTAGTCATCTTACTATTTGCTCCGCGTGGACGACGAATCAGCCACTTTATCTCGCCCCACTTTGCCGGATGAACCTTTTCTTTGTCGAGTTTGACTTTGTCTTGCTTTCGGTCGGTAGACCGTCTCTTGTTTGTGGTACAATAGTACGGAAGCGCACAGGGTTCAGTCAGTTAATTTTGCGCTCACCTTAGACGAAGAAGCAGCCAGCCCATCTCGGCCCCACTCCGGCGGTCTTCTACTTTCTCAGGCCATGGACACTCCGAGCCACCGAGGTTGAAGAAGCAGCCAGCGGCTCATTGGCCCCACTCCGTCGGTCTACTTTCTCAGGCCATGAATACATCTTGATCGTTTGGCTCTCTCTTGAACGAATATTTGTATGTTGCCGTGCTTTGTAACCGTTCCGTAATGTGCATGTGCTTCCGTATGAAACTACCATAAGCAAAAGAGAAAAATCAGTCTGCCCATCCCAGTCCCACTTCACCAGTCTCCAAAGCTATGAACTTTCTTTTGATCGCTTGAATCTCCTTGATCGCTTGACACTCACTTGGTAGGTTCACAGTCTCTTCTTTGTAGTATTCCATAATGTGCTTATGCCGGAAGCACATGAATTTCATCCATTCCGTAATGTGTATGTGCTGTTTTACCAACGCACCGCAAGCAAAAGACAGAGAAGAAGCCTTCCCACCCTAGCTTTGCTCCACCGTCTTTTTAAGACATGAAGTTACTCTTGATTGGTCGAGATTCTCTTGATCAGTTGGCTCTTTCGTAGTGGGCGTGTGCTTCTGTACGATAGCAGCACAAGCGAAAGAGGATCAGCTTGCCCACTCTGGCCCCACTTTGCCAGCTTTTAAAGCCATGAACTTTTTCTGATCAACTGGACCTCTCACGATCGGTTGACCTCCCCTTCTTCGGTTGCTTTAGTATTACCTTGTTCAGCCCATCATGTCCAACACCGTGTCACCAAGCACGACCACGTCGGTATCGCGTTTTGCGTCGTCGTCACCCCGGTCAGCTGTCTCGACGCCCGCCACTTCCCATGCGGATTCATTTCACGACGTCGAAGGTCCCCAGCAGTATGGCAGTGAATTCGATTGGATAAAGACGAAAAGAAATGGACGAGGAGAATGTTGGGCTCGTAGCCTCGATGGAATGGGTTCTTTCATCCGGCATTGGCAGCAGTGAGTAGAGCCACGGGCGTTTTCACTGTCAGGTCGCTTTCTTGCTGACTGGGAGATGGACGAGGACAGACGCTTTCACGCAGAATCTGACGTGATGGTCACATGCCTCATTCGCGAATCGACGGACCAAACCCCGTCACCGAAGCCAGCTCAAGTCGACATTGACCTTATTCGTCGTACCTGGCGTGCCATGCGCATCCTCCACCCCATCGTTGGTGTTCAGCTCGTTGCAAGGAAAGACGTAGGATTGGCACCGGTCAAACTCCCTGCTAGTCTCAAGGGCAAAGTTGACCTTGACACTGCCCTCTGCTACAATTTGCTGCGTTCCGAGGATCAAATCGATGCTTGGCTCAATGCGCGGGTTGTGGATCATACCGGTGAGCCGAGGGGCTCTTGCCTCACCGTCGAACAAGAGGAGCTCTATGAATGGTGCCGCCAGAAACCTGCGACTGCGGCTCCTGGCTCGCCTCTCAACGGTCACGTCGATGGTGCTTTTCTCCACTTCTGGCCGGCCCAAAACGATGCACCACCCAGAATCCTGTTGGAGCAGTCGCACGTCATCTCCGATGGCTTGGGATGTTTTACCATGCTTGATGAGTTCCTCTCGCTGTTGGCTCGCAACATTGCCGACCGGCAGGACTCGGATACCTTTCGATGGGGAAGCGAAGCCCCGCGGCTTCCCCCTTCGGTACAAGATGCTATCGCCGACGCACCTCCGACCTGGGATCTCTCGAAAGAAGAGATCAAATCGCTCAAGAAGATGAATCAAGAGCGTATCAACTCCAACTCTGCCTCGGACAAGCTCGTCGATAAAGTCGGAGTCAAGATATACAGTATGGCGCTTGCCAACAATGCCTCGCCCAATCTCATACGTCGAAAGGTGCTCAATGCTCCACTCCGCTCTCTCGTCCGTGCCACCGTTCGATCAGGAGATCCGATGCCCATCGGCATCTTGCCACCTGCTTCAACATCATTCAAGGGGCCTTGGACACACAACGAGTTCATGACGCGGCACCTCTCGCAGGATGATGTGGGCAAGCTGCTCAAGGCTCTTCGGGCGCAGAAACTCACGTTAGCGCCCTTCCTCGAGGCTGTTCTGGCGTTTGCTACGTCATGGGTCCGCAAGACAAGGGGTCTCGCGCCGACAAAGTCGGGCTGGGACAAGAGCAACAAGGTCCACGCCTGCTTCTCGACACCAATCTCCAGGAGAGACACGTTGAGACCGCAGCACCAGCGCTATCTCGGCGACGCCATGGGCGGATTTCCCACCCAGATCCGAGCCACGGAGCTGCAGTGGTCCACGAAAACTCAACATGACGAAGACGACGATGATGCCGTACCCACGCTCGATGGCGCCTGCCTCGATCGGGTTTATAATGTGAGCCGGGAGCTTTCGGCCCAGTACAAAAAGGGCCGCGACGAGGAGGACTGGTTCAAGATGGTCAAAGCGACAATGATGGACGCCATGGAGACCGAGTACCTTGTTGTGGAGAACGAAGCCTACTACCCATCAAACCCTTGGCTGTCGTCTATTGGACGAGTGGATCAGCACATCACGATGGTCAGACCGGTGCCAGAGAGCGCTGTTTCACTCGAGTCGATCGACCCCTCGCGCGCCTCGCTCTGTCAACTTGGTCCTGCGTCAAAACATCAGAATCAGAGGCGAATTCATGCAGACCATGCCCGGCTCGTCGTCCGTGTTGGCCACACGCAGCCCTCTGTGCAGGCGTACAGCTATGGGCAGGATGGTCTCGTCATCCAACTCGCCTACCCACCCTGGTGGTACGACGAAGAGGGTTCTTCCGGACGAGCCGTAGTCCGGAGGGGCAAGCGCGTCAAGGGTCAGTCTACGAAGAACAGTGTTCGCATCCCATGGATGAACACCATTATGGCCATAATCGCGGCTGCTGTCGAGCAGGGCAGCTTACTTTGATCCCAGGCTGCATCTTATACCCACTTTCCTCTGAAAAGCCACAAACACTGGCTCACTTCACGCTCTCTCGATTGTTGGTCGCATTTACACACTCTCTAGGTAATCCTGGACCTTTCGTCCTCACTTTGTATTAAATAGACGTCTATTTTAGATAAGCATCTCGCTAAAGTCCTGCTGCCCTAAGACGACTGACTTCCTGTCGGCACAATGTGTGGCTTGAGACGACAGCTCGCGTCACAGCATCGGAAATAGGAGCAGGCCACGGTGTGTTGGGGCTGATAAAAGTAGGGCCACCGCCGAGTCCCGAGTGACGGCGATACGGCTTCACCGGGCCGGTGCGGCGCGATCACCTGTCGCTGAGTTCAGATAGCACGCTTGCTTAATCAAAATTCATTGCAATCTCTGAAGGGAGAGAGCAGAAAGAGAGAGAGAAAGCCACGGGCCGATTTCTCCTTTTCTCATGTCGCCGTGGATCGACAACGTCCAAAAAAAAATTCACGGGACTCGGCCACGGAGAAAAGAAATTTCCGTCAAGGCAAACAAACGTCAGAGGCCGGCCGGCCGGGCGCTCCCAACAGAGCGAGTTGAGCTGGGCAGAAAGCAGCAGGCTACGCACTGATGCAAAGGATGGTTGTGTTATAAATAGGGAGGAGAGCCGCCGTCCCATTGTGTGTCTTCTTCCGATATCGCTCAGAGAAAGGAAGACGACGACGCAATCGAGAGACATGAGCGTTCTGGAATTTGTCTCGCAAGCGGCCTTCTACGGCCTCGTCGGCGGTATCGCTGCACTGGCGTATGCAAATCGTCGGTCGTTGCCCCTGGGCTGGCACGTCCGCATCTTTTCACGATACTACTACTGGCGTATCAAGGCCATGCCCTTTACCTCTCCTGGGGCAAAGGTGACCAGTAGCACGCCCGCTATCCGACTCGACAGCATCCCCCTGGGCAAGGACATTTTCGCCTATGAGCACGTCCTCGACCTCAAGGCTTCGTACGATGACTGTGACTTCTTCGGCCATATGAGCAACTCGTCGTACCCCAAGGCCATGGACTTTGGGCGGATAGCCATGAGCAGCAGTGCGTTTCTGCAACTCTCGATCGATGGCGGATGGATCCCCCTCGGGGCCACCTCCTTTACCTTTCTCAAGGAGATTCCCATCGGGATGCGCTACCAGCTCCGCATGCACCTCGAGGCGTGGGACGAAAAGTGGCTATGTGAGTCTGGACAAAAGCGTGCTTGCAGCAGGAATTTCCGTTCGCTGACCACTCGCGCTCCTGTGAACTGTCCGGTCTGGCAGATGTTGTAGGCCGCTTCATCTCCAGGAACAAAAAGACGAGCGAGGATGTTGTGCACTGCGTGGGTGTCAGCAAGATGTGTGTAAAGGCCGGCCGCAAGACGATCCCGCCATGGCTCGCAATCGCCACAAGCGGCTTCTCCAGCGCACCCGTGGGCGATAGCGATGTGGACAAGCGGACGTCCAACTGGCAGAAGTCAGAGGCATTGAGAAGGGAGAAGGGCAAGACTCCCCTGCTCAAGGCCTTTGTCCTCCCCAATGGCAATGGCAACAGCAAAGAGCAGCACCTGCCACAGAGGGAGCCGTGGATGGAGCAGAGCTACTGGGACGTGGAACAGTGGGAGCAGAGGAGGCAGGAGGGCCTCGCAAGGCTGCTTCCCATGACGTCAAACGAGTGCCTCTTGGCTAGGCATCACTGATTGCCGGGCAACACTCCTGGGGCCATCTCTCGCCATCTTTCGCCATCTTGCTCTCTCGCCTGAAGACAGACACACTGTATATTTCCACATTTCAAATGTTACATTCTCAAATCAGACGGAGGAGCAAATGCGTCGTTGAGTTGTGGCTAGGGTCTCACGCCCCGTTGACTACCTGGTACTTTGCAAGGATGGCGTCGTACTGGCGCTGGTTGACTGCCAGGACCTTGCCGTGCTTGATGTGCTGAGGAAATCCGTCGCGGCTGTCTGCCTTCCACGCCGCCATGTCGTTGAGCGTCGTGGCTGTGGCAGGAATGTAGGTGTTTAGCGTGTTCTCGTCGATCCAGAGGTGAAACTTGCGCCTGTCGACGTTGTCGCGGAAGATGAGCGGGCCCTCGTTGTTCGAGTACTGGCTGGCAAACTCGATGCGCGTGCTGTCGGGCGCCCCGCCCACGTTGGTCCACTTGCCGAGGATGCCGTTGGTGGATCTCTGCTGAAAGACCTTGAAGTCGACCTCGCTTTTTACCCAGCGGTACCACACGTTGGCACCCTCTTCGGGCATGGGCAGGAAAGTGGCATCGATGACGGGGTAGCCGGGGTTGAAGTACGTCTTTGCTGGCGAGAAGCTTTTGAAATCTTGGGTAGTGACTAGTTGGAAGGACGAAGAGCGAGTAGTTCGAGAAGTCAGCTTGAGACTTTTCTCGCTTGAGAAAGGATGACACCCACCATACATGAGGACGTTGTTAGGCACCGGTCCCGTCCTATCCTTGTCCTTGTCCGACCAGAAGCGAGAGGCAAAGACGACGACGTAGGCCTTGACGAGGGGATCGTAGTAGGCCTCTGGCGCCCATACATTGCCTGCCGAGGCATTGACAAGGGCCGGGGTGAGCGAGGGCCCTTTCCAATTGACGAGATCCGGCGATGTCCAGAGGAGCATCGATCGGCTTCCAAAGCGCGTCGACGCGTTGAAGTCGCCCTCGTGCGCGTTGACGTTGAGGTCCGTGCCCGTCAGCCAGAATTGGGAGCCGTCTTGGGAAGGAACAACAAATGTGTCACGCACGCCCTCGGTGCTGATGTCGCTGCGGAGGATGTCCTGCCTGCCGTTGAGGGACAGGGCGCGCCAGGAGTGGGCGTCGTTGCCGTTGGATAGGCGCATGTAGACGGCCTCGTCCTGGACGGGGAACGTCGTCAGGAGGTAGCCTGCCTTTGCGTCCTCTGCCCTGGACGCTGGGCGTGCCGTCGTCGCCGCAAGTGCGGCGGTGGCCAGTAGGGCTGCTGTGGCAACGAGCGAGTGGGAGAGGAAATGGAGCATAGTCGCGACAAAGGGAGTGAGGAACGGGCGGCTTACACGACCAGAGAAAGCCGCGCCCCGTGTTGTCTATAAGAAGAATGAATGATCATTGGGTTTTTCGCTGCCCCCGCGCTCAAGCGAGAGAAAGAGGGGACGGCGAGGGGGAAACCTCCTCTCAAAGCGGGGTCGGGCGCTATGAATAAGGTCAGAAGCGGCGGTATTTCCAGGTGGAGCACCCAAGGGTGCTTAGGAGTAGCTAGTACGTACGTGTAGGTACTAGCGTAGGTGCAGATGCAGCTGCAGATGCAGGCCAAAAGAAGCAGTGACGACCTGGCGAGAGATTCCCGGGGTGGTCGGTAATCTCTCCTTCAGGGCTCGCTTGGCAATCCGACACTCCGTCGTCGTTGTCGTCCTTGTCCGCGCGGCTGCTTGGCTCCGCAATCCTTGCGTCTGTCGCGCATTTCCGATACTAATGCATGTGTTGGAGCCTAGCGACGTTCTCAGAAAGCCCCGCACGCCTGCCTTCCCCGGATGAGCCCCTCAATGGGCCGCGCTCCGGCGTCCCATAAAGCACTGATCCTCGTTCCCTGGAGACGTTCATAAGAGATCCCGTATCCTCTTCTTCTCAATAGCGCGGAAGCACCATGCGTCTCTTCAGTGCGCTTGCCTGTGCCATTGGCGCCGGTCTCGTGGCCGCGCAGCAGCAGCAGGTCCTCACCGTATCACCCACGGTTGCCAAGAAGTCGCAGTTTGGCCTCTGTGCCTTTATCGAGAACAATATCAAGTGAGAATGCCCCTGCTACTGCCACGGTCTCTCAGTAGCATAACGGGCGCTGACGCGAAAGCACTGCGTCCTTCAGCTCGGCCACTGATGGAGGCATCTATGCTGAGCTGATTCGCAACCGTGCCTTTCAGGAGGGCGGCACCTCTTCCAACGTCGGCACTGGCACGCTGGCCTACTGGAATGCGACGGGCGGTGCCAAGCTGACGTTGACAAAGGCCTCGCCCCTGTCGCAGGCCCTTCCCCAATCGGTCCTCGTCAGCGGTAACAGCTCCACGAGCGGATTTCTCGGCCTGCGCAACTCGGGCTTCTTTGGCATCCCCGTCCGTGCTCATCGGTACACCGTCGTTTTCTATGCAAGGGCCAACTCGGCAGCTCAGACGACGTTCAAGGCGAGCCTGACCAACAGCGCTGGTGACAAGGTGTTTGCGTCGGCCACTAAGCTCGTGTCTCTGACGGGCCAGTGGCAAAAGGTCGAGATGCAAATCGACAGCACGACGCAGGACAACGCTCGCGACAACGCCTTTGCCCTCGAAATGGCAAAGGGAACCAGCCCCGTGGTGCAGCTCAACTTCATCAGCCTCTTTCCCCCTACCTGGAAGGGCACCACTGCCCGCGCCGACCTCGCCCAGGCCATTGCGGACCTGAAACCCGTCTATTTCCGCCTCCCGGGCGGCAACTCGCTCGAGGGCAACAACATCGCCGAGCGCTTCACGTGGAGCAAGGCCGTCGGCGACGTCATCACCCGGCCAGGCCGAAAGGGAACCTGGGTCGGCTGGGATACGGACGGCTACAGCCTCCACGAGGCGTACAAGCTCTTTTCTCAGATGGGTGCCCAGCCGATCCTGGGCGTCTTTGCCGGCTACACGCTCGACCAAAAGGCCGTGCCGCAATCACAGCTGCAGCCGTACGTCGACGAGGTCGCCAACCAGATCCACTACCTCCTCGACCCGCAGGGCTCGAGCGCGCTGGCCAAGCAGCGTGAGCAAGACGGACAACCAGAGCCGTGGAAATTGCCGTATGTGCAGATTGGCAACGAAGACTGGTTGTCCGAGGTAGGAAAGACGACCTACGACCAGTACCGGCTCGACGCCTTTTCCAAGGATATCACGACGGCCACGAGCAGCAAGGGCAACGTCAAGCTCATCGCGTCGTCGCCCTATGTGAGCCCCAAGAGCAGACTGCCAGATGTGGACCAGCACGACTACAACACGCCCGACAACTTCATCCGGCGCTGGTCCGAGAGAGACAGCTGGGCCCGCAACAACACGGGCGTCCACGAGCTCGAGTTTGCCGTCATCAACACGGGCAAGTGCCAGGGAAGCCTCTACTCGAATGCGTGCCGGCTCAAGTACCCGACGCTGATTGGCGCCGTGGCAGAGGCGACATTCATGATGGGCCTCGAGCGAAATGGCGACATTACGCCCTCGGCGGCGTATGCGCCCCTCTTCCACAACGTCGCCTCGGTGCAGTGGACGCCGGATCTCATCGCGTTTGACAGCCAGGGCCTGGTCAAGTCGACGAGCTACTACACGCAGTGGGCCTTTGGAAACAACCGCATCGACGGCATCCACACGGTCAAGTCGTCCGCCCCCGCTGGGCCCCTCTACTGGAGCGTGGGGACATCGACCGACAATGCCTACATCATCAAGCTGACCAACGTCGATGGCAGCGCGCACCCCATCACGGTGCAGCTCGATGGCGGTCTGGGCTTCTCATCGACGACGACGGGCACTCTCTGGCAGCTGAGCGGCACCGACAAGGAGGCCAACAATGACCTGTCGAAGCCAAACAATGTCTTGCCCACCACGCGAGCCCTCGCGCCGTCCGACTTTGGCGCGGGCCGCACCCTGAAGCTCACGCTGCCACCCAACAGCTTCACCGTCGTGCGCCTGCCAGCGGGCGCCGATAGCCCCAAGTAAACTTTGCAAAAATACACCTCGCCAGGCAGTAGTAGAAAGAAACAGCAGCAGTGATCGTAGAAACGTTTACTAGATTGCAGTCCCTCCCTCCACAAACGTAGCTAGCTAGCAAGCATGGACGATGTCCTAAAGTCTCGCGCTAAAACCCACCGCGCCCCCACGTCGAATGAATGAAGCACCCCTCTCCTTCTCACGTCGCTCACCACTATGATCATGCGTCTGTTGTTGCCATTGGCAGATCTGAGAGCATGTCTGCTCCTGGCGCTATGGTGGCTCTCTCTCTCGCTCGACCTCGTTGCTGCTGAGGCCCGCGCGAGTCAGCGGGTGTTTCAGGAGCAGGACCGATCCGATGAGGCAGCGGTCATCCCCGCTTGCTACCCCTTCTGCGGCCATGACGAATACGGGTCCCGAGGGCAAGAGACACCAACGATTGCTTCGGACCTCGCCAGGGTACATGCGCCCCACCTCGGCAACCTCCATTTTGTCGATCCTCGCATAGGCACCTCAGGCCCCGACGAGTCCGAGTACGGGGGCATGGTCCCCAGCGTGTCGAGGCCGTTTGCAGGCGTGAGGTGGACGCCCATGACGAGGCTCAACAATGGTCAGTTTGCACCAGCTTCCCACCCTCTTCCTCCCTCTCTCTCCGACGACTGCGTTCCTCTTCTTCTGCTTTGATGTTCTTCTGACAGCATGTGACTGACTGGGAAACAGTGAGCCACTGCGCCTACCACGACGACGATCGGACGTACATTGGGGCACTCGGATCGAGGCAGCCGGCCATCTGGATGGGCGACTACGGCTTCGCCACACTCTTCCCTGGCCGTGGCCAAGACATCGAGGTCGAGCCCGACAAGAGGGGCTGGCACTTCACGCGCGAGGCAGAGTACGTGAGTGCGTTTGAGCACGACGTCCTCCTCTCGCGTCGGCAAAAGGAGGGGCCGGGCGAGATCTTTGCTCGGATGACGGGCGCAAGCCGAGCCGCCATGCTCGAGTACCGCTTCAGGCAGCCGTCGAAGGATGCCGCAAAGGGCAAAGAGAGCATGCCCTACCTCGTCGTGCAAGCCTCTCGACCCGAGTGGAGGGGCTCCGTCTACATCGATGCCGCTGCGGGCGAGGTCTCTGGGTGGAATTCGGAGCAGATGGACTATCGCCTGGGGCCCAACGAGGCCCTCGGCTTCAAAGGCTACTTTGTCTTTGCATTCGAGCACCAGCAAAGGAGAGGGAGTGAGAAAGCCACGCATGGTGATGAGACAGTGGAACACTGGGAAAAGGGGTTTCCAGGGGACTATGGGACTATGTTCACCAATGCTTCGGGCGTCTTTCCTGGTGAGCCAAAGGCTCGTCGACGCACCAACGACCTCGGAACGTATGCCTTTGTGCGCTTTCCACAAGACACCTCCAGGATCCGCGTTCGCGTCGGAATGAGCATGATCGACATTGCACAGGCCCGACGCAACCTGCAGCAGGAGGTGGGGGGCTACGCCTCCTTCGACGATGCCGTCGCCGCCACTCGATCGGCCTGGCGGGAAAAGGTGGACCAGGTGCAGATCCAAGAGGGCGGAACAGAGGCACAGAAGCGCATCGTCTATACGGCCATGCTCCACAGCCTCCAATACCCGGCCGAGCATGCCGAGCCAGACGACAGCTCCTCTTCGCTGCGCTACTACTCTGCCTATCTCGATGACGTCGTCAGCGTACCATCCGAACCGGGGCACGGGTCGATGCGCTACCAGTCCTACTCGATCTGGGACACATTTCGTGCCGAGATGGGCTTCCTGATCCTCTTTGAGCCCAGGCGGATCGTCGACATGCTCCGCTCCATGCTCGACATGTACGACGAGGGCGGCTTCCTGCCCATGTGGTCCACGGGCACAGGCGAGACAAACATCATGATCGGCACTCATGCTGACTCTGTCCTGGCCGAGGCCCTCGTCAAGGGCGTGGGCTTCGGCAATGATGTCGACGCAGAGGATCGCTTGGACCTCGACAAGATCTGGGAGGCTGTCCGAAAAGACGCTCACCAACCCCCGCCGCTCAATGACCAGCTTCGGTTTGCCGACCGCGAGGAGTTCACGCCCTACGAGGTTCGCGCTGGCCTCGATGCCTACGATTCCATGGGCTACGTCCCGCTGGATCGGTGGGACGAGTCGACCTCGAGGACGCTCGACTACGCATACGACGATGCAGCCGTCGCCGTCGTTGGTCTACTGCTCAACAAAAGCCAGGCCGAGGTGCAACGGCTGGAGACCAGGAGCCGAAACTACCGAAACGTCTTCAACGAAGGCACTGGCAGGATGGCCGCGCGCTTCTCCAATGGAACCTTTCTCTCACAACCCTTGGACAAGCCGACAGGCCGCCAGCTGGGCTTCACCGAGGGCAACGAGTGGGATTACACCTTTGACGTCATGCACGACGTCGCCGGACTGGCCGAACTCGTGGGAGGGAGGGACAAGCTGGTCAAGCTCCTTGACGATCACTTCGAGGGAGGCCATAACGACCAGTCCAACGAGCCCTCCCACCACATTCCTTACCTCTATGCTCTGCTCGGCGATCCAGCCTCAACTCAGCGTCGCGTGAGGGCCATTGCCAAGGAGGCCTTCAGTGATGAGCCAAACGGCTACGCCGGCAACGAGGACTGCGGACAGCAGAGCGCCTGGTACTGGTTCACCAGCGTGTTGGGTGTCTACCCCGTCTCACCGATCAGCGGCGAGTACGTCGTCGGCTCTCCCTTCTTTGACCGCGTCGAGATCAGGCTGCCGCCGAGGAGGAGGACGGATGCGGAGACCCTCCTCACCATCCTGGCTCCCGAGGCGGGCCAGAAACAATATGTGCACAGCCTCAAGATCAACGGCGAGAAGATTGCCAAGCCCGTCGTCACATTTGACCAGATCCTTCAAGGCGGTGTCTGGGAATATGAGATGAGCAAAGAAGCACGGGAGTGGCAGAGCTAGTCTTGTCATCACTGAATTCTCGAGGCAAAGGGAAGCGATGGCTCTACCGTCGAGGCCTGAGTCAATTTCTTATCATGGACAATGCAAAACAAAAGTTCAATCATGCGTAGCGGTGTGGCCCGTGCTTTACTTTCCTTCGAACTGGAGAGTTGCTCTCTCTCTCTTGAGCAACACCCATCGTGCCTCCAACGATGACCATCCCAACCATCTCACTGCGCTCAACGAACCTCGCCCAGGAAGTGTATGAGGCATGCACGACGTCGGGATTCTTCTATCTGGAAGATCACGACATTGATGCCGAGAAGCTGGGCGCCTGGCGGGCGAGCCAGGAGCTCTTCCTGGACGAGACGAAAGAAGCGATAATGCAGAAGAATGACAGCATCGACCGAGAGGGGCACACAGGCTACACGGCCTTGTGAGTTCCTCTGGCCCCTTTTTCTGGCTTCTTGTGGACTCGTGGACTCATCAGAACATTGTCCCGCAGGATGCACGAGAAGTAGGTCACGCATCGAGCAGTGGTCCAGCGGCCCAAGCATTGACTTTTGAACTCGCCAGGCTCGATCCTTCAAGTCCAATCAAGGTGGGCGACCTCAAGGAGTCGTTCTACATTTCTCCAAACGCACTCTTCGGAAAGAAGCAAAGGCTGCCCGGGATCATCCAGCAATATCAAGAAGGGTTGGAACGGCTGGACGCCGATTGCATACGCGTCTGCCTGGTCCTTCTCCAGGCGTTTGCGCAAGCACTCAAGGTTGGTGTCCTATCTCGCCGCTCTTGTCACCGCCTTGCACTCTGATTGTTTTCATCGGCAGCTCGACCCCGACCACTTCGCATCTAAACATCACGCAGAAGACGATCGGCTCCGCCTGATACATTATCCGCCTGCATCAGTAGCAGAAGGGGAATCTGGCAGCATCCGAGCGGGCTCGCATTCCGATTATGGCTCCCTCACACTCCTCTTTCAGAAGACCGTTAGCGGCCTGCAGGTCCAGACGGGCACGGACATGTGGGCAGATGTGCCTCCGAAGCCGGGGTGCCTCGTTGTCAACGTGGGCGATGCCATGGAATTCTGGTCTGCCGGCCTCTTTCGCTCCACGCAGCACCGGGTCGTAATGCCCCGCAATGAAGCTGAGGCTGTCTCGCGCTTCTCCATGTGAGTAAAGCCGGGTCAGGAACATCCGACATTGCTGCTTGCTGACGAGCGAGCGACTACTTTCAATAATCTTCCCTGCCAATTGTGTGCGCTCTTCCGACGCTCCGACAATATTTATACTACTTCTCCAACGGGGCAACGCAACCACAAACAAAAAGAGCCTATTTTTGTCATCCGGACAGCCAAGCCTTGTTGGAGCCCTTGACCAAGGCCGGGTCTGCAGCCGACGACTGGAAGGCCGTTCTGCAGAGAAAAGGCATACATGCGCTCGAGCCCATGACTGGCGGACAGCACCTGAGCTCACGTCTCCGAAGCACAGGCCTTTGATGCCGAGCCCTGAAGAAAAACAAAATACTGCAGCGCGCCAGCCTTAGTGAGCTGGTGTTCAATCGCCACTGTGTGTTAGTCTGTCGCCTGCGCTTGGCCGCCTTGCCCCGTAGCCGCGGCATGCACGAGACCATGCACGGTTCTTGAATTCTGTAGCTCTAAATTTTTGGAAACCTAGCACGGCTCGTCGAGCAATTCAAGAACCCACACCGCGGAATTCCAGTAGTCGTTGTTTTTCTTTATTGCGCTGCCTACCTCGCGCGCGCGGATGAATTAAATGCGCAACAACAATCGACGAAACGAAATTGCAAATCACTCGAGCAAGGGAAAAGATGATAAGGCAAATTAAGAGACCCAGATCACACGGTACCGCAGAAGAGCCGACGAGAAGAGAGAGAGAGACTAAGGGGAATGGAGAAAAAGGAGAAAGAGCTCTAATTATCGTCTTTCTGTGGATTGTTGTTCAAGCGATATTGGGTTGGCATGCACACAACCCCCTCTCGCCGGCCCCCCTTCCCTCATTACCCCCTACATCTACATGGAAGCCAGCCGTGCCGCCGCTTTTCCGTCTCTTACGCATCTCGCACGGCACGGGCAGCAGTACTTGACGGCGCGACGGAGGACAGAGGTTGAAACGTAGAGGAAAAAAAAAAAAGAGCTGGAACTAGACGCGCCTGCCCTGGCGGTGTTGATGGCCTGGTCCATTTCTGCCCTGGCTCCCGCCTCATCAAGCTACGATCTAAAGTAGATTTGGTGGCTAGTCCTCATCATAGACATACAGGCAGAGAGAAAGGGCCGGACCCTGCGCTGGTGAGAGCGTCCAAGCCGTTTTTTGTCCAGCTACATCTACTGCCTTACTCACTCCACCATCATCTTCACCTCCAGCACTGGTCACTCTCTCTCTCTCTCTTTTGATACGCGCAGGATCTCAACGACACAAGACCAAGAACGCCGGCCAGGTGCAGTGAAATTTTCACAATGATGGCGATCAGTTCCAGCGGCGGGCATGACACACGAGTACCAAGGTCGCAAGGGCCGAGAAGGTCGAGCCGTGAGGAAGCAGGACGAGTGCCTCGAAAAGCAGTACCATCATCATCATCAACATCATCATCCGCCGTGTCAACATCGACATCTACGCGTCAAAGCTCGCCAAAGATGGACGAGGAGTCTCAAGCCAATTGGGCCCGCTGGGCGGGCGCCATGGAGCAAGGCGCCTGGCTTGGCGACGTGACAGGACCGACTGAAGTCGCAGGCGGTGATGTTTCGCTCGCGACCTCCGTCCCCGGGGCCATAGAGTACCCCGAGAAAGACGGAGAAGATGGCGACGACTTTGATGCCATCACCCGTACCACCTCCCTCGACGAGAGGCGGGCTGACCAACGCTATTCCCTCATTCGACCAGCGATGCGAGCGAGGCTCGAGAGCGCTCCAGAGGCCCGTCACAAGCGTGACCGCTCCCATTTCTCCATTCCTGACGTGACCGTCACGACTGCCGACGACGAGGGCCAGGAGACGCACTTTGAGGTCAAGGTGCCGCCGAGCCACCGCAGGAGCTTCGTCTTCAAAAACGCCGACGGCCAGGAGGAAGAGGCAAAGAACGTGTTGGGCTTGGGCGCGATGCGGAGGGCAAAGGGAGGCATCACTCTGATGCCCAAGCCGCTCATCAATCTCGACTCGCCCCCTGCGCCTTCTCCTGACTCACCGTCCTTCCCGGAAGTGGCCGCCGCCGCGGCAGAAGAGGGAGCGACGACGGTAGGAACGTCATCGACGTCCTCCTCCTCCTCCACCACGTCTCGCATGCGCAAAAGCTCGCTTCCTCTCCTCTTTGGGCGCGGCAAGAAGTCGTCGCAGGAAGAGAAGGAGCCAAATAGCATCTATGGCTCCACTGGCTTCGACTCTTCCAGCTCGCTTCCCTCGTCATCCTCTTCCTCGTCCAAGGACTCCCTACCCTCATCATCTGGCGGCCAAACGGTTGCGACGAGCCCGACCTCGTCCGAGACACTCGGCGGGCCGGCGAACAAACAAGCTGTTGCTACTGCTTCTGGGACTTCCTCAAGGGGTGGCTCGTTCCAGGGCGGCGGTGGGCCCACATCAAGATTCTCAGAGGGCGACGAGAGCCGACCGAGAAGCACGACGCCGACTGCGACTTCGAAAACGACAGCAGCAATGATGGCCGCTTCGCTCGCGCGAAACAAAAAGGAGCAGAAGGCCCGAGCCAAGGAGGAGATGGCGCTGATCAAGGAACTGGAGCGTGTTGACAAGATGGTGCGCAAGCACGACGAAAAGCGTCAAAAGGTCGAGGCTCGTCAGGAAAAGAAGCGCGTAAAAGAGCAGCGGAAACAGGCCAGCAGCGGAGGCAGCCAGAAGAGGGTAGACGCGCCGGATGTCGCGGTGCCCCAGAAGGAAAACAGGGCATTCAAGGTGCTGCGCAGGATGACCATCTTGGGCTCCTCTGGCTCCTCTTCGAAGAAACCGGTAGCACAACCCCTGCCTCAGCCGCCACCATCGATCTTGCAGAGGCGAAGAGACGACATTGTCTTGCCGCAGGTCACCATCACCCCGTCCGACAACGAGGCTGGCTGGACGAATATCCCGTCGCCCTCCGACACTCAACCACTGGCACCTTCTGCCGACCTGACGAGGCGCTCGAGCGTGCAACGAGCACTGGCAAAGATGGACGCTGAACGAGCCTCGCTTCGAAGACAGAGCTCAAAGAAGCATGTCGTTGGTGGTCACACCCCGAAAAGGCCCACTAGCACAACTTCTCCCTCTACGCCTGCTTCTTCTCGATCGACTCGAAGGGAGAACAGCGATGGCTGGGAGGACGACGAAGGAGCAATCGGAGCGGGAAGGAGACTCCAAGAGGCCCTCTCTTTGCAACAGCAAATTGCGGCTGAAGACGTGCCGTCGAGCGAGGGCCGGGACGGGCAAATCACGCCACGACCTCGGGACTATTCGATGCGACGGGTCATTGAGGCCAGGAGCCCTACACCCGAACAGCAGCAGGTCCCGTCTCGTAACATCCAAAGCCCAGAGCCGACTGACGCGAGGCCGATCTCGTTTTCGCGGCCCTTCTTTACAAAGGCCGCCAACGCTTATCCGTCTCCTCCCACCTCTCCCACCTCTCCCATATCGCCTCGCTCTCCCGTCAAGATGTCATCTGGCTCACCGCCAGGCATCAATGTGTCTCCTGTTGCGGCGAGAGCCTCCCCGCCGCGCACCTTCAAGAGGGGAGCCAGCCCGGAAGGCTTTGCTTTCCCGCAAACAAAGTCTCCTACCTCCAGCACAGCCGTGTCCCAGATTGCTGGTACCGAACTTCCATCCGTGAGCGCTGTGAGCTCCACTGCTCAGAACCGCTCGCCCCGGTATATTTAGCACCGACCCGCTTCCGAATCCTTCCATACAACAATAACCGCTCGCTCTTCAATACCTCTTCTGGAAAGTGATACCCCCTTCCACTTCTTCTTGTCCTGCTCCATGGTCCGCTACACACTATCAGTCTGCCTACCTTCACTTATTGCACCTTCAACAATAGCATCCACATTTCATCTTCCAAAAGGATTGATTTTGCAAGGCATGATGGTCCGAGCGCACGCTGACACGTGGTTATTCTCTCGCGCCTCTCCCGCTGAACGGACCTAAAGCAAGAGTGGCAGGTGCGTCCGTCCCTTTTTGTGTCCCACTACGCCCAGTATCCATCAAGGCCGAAGCGAGATGCTGCGCTGGCTCCTCGTTCAGAACCGACAGGGCAAGTCGCGCCTGTCCAAGTTCTATGTGCCGCTCGACGACGACGAAAAGGTGCGCCTCAAGGGCGAGGTGCACCGGCTCGTGGCGCCGCGCGACCAAAAGTACCAGAGCAACTTTGTAGAGGTACGTGGGACCTTTGCTGCCTACAACAGGCACCCTCGCTCGCACTCTCAACCTATTCGTGAAGAGAAGTGATTCCAGTGAAATGAATGCTGACAAAGTGCGGAATCGGGGTCGTCCAGTACCGAAACTACAAGGTTGTCTATCGTCGGTATGCCGGCCTCTTCTTTTGCGTCTGCATCGATGCAAATGACAACGAGCTCGCCTACCTCGAGGCGATTCACCTGTTCGTAGAGGTTCTCGACGCATTCTTTGGCAACGTCTGCGAGCTCGACCTCGTCTTCAACTTCTACAAGGTCTACGCCATCCTCGACGAGATCTTCCTGGCGGGCGAAATCGAAGAGACGAGCAAGCTCGTTGTCCTCAGTCGGCTCGACCAGCGTACGTTTCCTTGTCCCTTTTGTTCTCTTGCCCACCTCTTTTTTCTCGAGGCTGACTATTCTTTCTGCCACAGTCGAACGGCTAGAGTAGCAAGCAAGCAAGCAAGCAAGCAAGCAGACTAGCGAACGAAGGAGCGAGCAGATTGAAAGGAAACTAGGTCAATTGTAATTTTATTTCTCTTTGGACAGGCTCATTCAGCTGGACGACTTCATAGGCTGCACTGTCGGTCAGGCTCCTCGCGCCGTTCCTCCAGGCATCGACCGTCTCGCCGAGATGGTCCATGTCGAGGTGCGGGCGGAAGGTGTAGAGAGGAGAGAAGGGCAAGTCGTCCTTGTTGAGTGTGACGACGGCCCAGGTGGGCGCAAAGAGGAGTCGAAGGGTATCATTGGTCGGTGGTGTATGCGAGAGAGCGGAGGCCATGGTGCTGGCCGTCGCGCTGCCGTGGTCCTGGACGGTCGCGTGGGAATGCGGTGGCAAAAGGAGATGACGGGGCGGCATGAAGCTCCTCCAGAAGTGGAGCTCGACGGGACGCTGATGGTCGTGTAAAAGGTCTTGATTGACCTGAAGCAGAGATGGCACGATGCCCGCTTGGTGCGCTATTGAGAAGAGGAGCGTGACGAGGAGATGTTGAACCAAAGAAAAGGCAATCTGAGAGAACAAGTAAAATTCAGGAAGAGGCAGATGATGCGAGTTCGCGACAATGACTCACCAGTCTCCCACCCCATCTCCGACGGCTGGCTGAGATGACGACAGCGACGGGCGTTACGAGAGGCAGCAAGAATCTCGGCTCTTGATGGGGCTGGGCAGAGAGCGCGGCGAGCGAGAAGACGGCAACCAAGGCCGATACTGACAAAAAGGAGAGCATGAGCATATGCGGCCCATGGTACGAGACCAGCACGGCTAGCTCACCTATCTCGATCATGGCAAAGCTCTTGATGGCCTGCCGCTTCGTCGCCATATACAGGACTTCTCGGAGGAAGATGAGGTAGACGCCAGCGCCCAAGATCATCGGAGCATTGACGACAGCATGCAGGACGCGCGGGTGCACCCCGTACTGCTCTAGGTTGCTCGTTTGGAGGTTGTAGAGGGCCGCATTGAGGGGTGTGACATGCAATCTTCCACCTCCATAGTACCTCGAGTCTAGGACGATGTGGGCCACAGATGTGCCAATGAACGACACGATGCAGGGCACTACACGCCGAGCGGAGCCTTGAATGCCCCGCCTGTACGCTAGGGCGAGAAACGAGACGGCGACAGGAGCGGCAAAGATAGCAAAGGTGAAGCGCGTAAAGAGGCCGACCGAGGCCAGCGTCCCCAGGGCCAGGGACAAGCGTGTCGTTGAGATGGGACGCGCGGACGACCAACGATGCTCGAGGGTCTGCAGCAGGACCAGGCACGCTGCCAAGATGGCGGACTCCTGAGCGTTTGAAAAGGGACGAACACCAAAAGAAAGTATTGCGCTCGAGGCGGCGGTGAGGCAGAGGGTTGAGACGGCCTTCCTCTGAGCCGACAGTCGAAAGACGCTCGCGTCTAGGGAAAAAGGTTGGCTTCGGTCAGCCTTCGCTTTTGGCCATTGGGGGCCCGACCACCTCACCAATGACAAAAGAAAGGACGAGAGCTGTGAGCCTTTGAACTGCAAAGATGGTCCGAGCAGATGGGACTGTGGACCAGAGCTGTAGTGAGCGAAGGCAGGTATCTCGAGGCACAAGGAGACCCAGCTCACCGAAGCCAAACGCTCTAGAAGCTAAGCTGAGAGCAAAAAGAGGCAGGGAAAGGAGTCTCAGGCTGGCCATGGACCTGATGGGTCTTTTTGGCTCAAATTCCCACGTCCGAAGGGTGGGCATGCCCAAGAGGTCGCCTGTTTCCTTGCGTTCAGCTCCCTGTTCATCTCCCTACCCGTCCGGCTTTCGTCCACGCTCACCTGCCACCACCTCGCCGCTCTGGAACCACTCGTCTGGGTGAATGTAGCCGGGGCTGAAAGCGAGGAGGCATCTGACCAGGACGAGGCCCAGGTAGACAATCTGCCAGGGCCGCAGCCGCCGCCGTCTGCCTTCGTCCATCCCACGAAATTGGCCGCCTGTTGGTTGTTGTTGGAAGCAGCAGACGCGACAAAGGGCCGAAGGTGTAAGAAAGTGGAGGGGCGCGACACTCATATTCACATCCACTTCTCTTTCCCTCCTTTCTCTCTTACAACGACTGAGGAGAAACAATGTCGAGCCAGCCAGCACCAGGCAGCAAGGGCGCCAACTACCATAAGGAGTGCTCGGGACCCGCCTTGGACACGGTACACAAGCACAGCAGCGAGCCACACGACGACGAATATGGCGAGGGCATGACAATCTTTGGTGCCAACTTCTGCCCGTTCGTCCACCGTGCTTGGGCGGCTCTCGAGCTGCTCGACGCTCCGTATCGCATGGTCGAGGTCGACCCCTATCAGAAGCCAAAGGAACTGCTTGACAGTAATCCGAGGGGGTTGGTGCCCGCTCTGCGCATCGGCAAGGACAAAGTTCTAGGCGAGAGCCAGGTCATCCTCGAGTACCTCGTCGACCGCTACGAGACGGCCGTCGATAAGCCGGCGTTGCTGCCGCGTGGCGATGCGTACAGGAAAGCAAGATGCCGCCTGGCCGTAGACCAGGTCAACCGGACGCTGATCCCATCCTTCTATCGCTACTTGCAGGCGCAAGAGACCGAGAAGCAGATCGAAGGAGCAAAGGAATTTGTTGCTGAGCTTCAAAAGTTCAACGAATCCATGCTGCCCGAGCAAAAGGGGCCGTTCTGGGATGGGAGCGACTCGCTGGGCATGGTCGACATTGTCGCCTTTCCCTGGGTCTACCGAGCCACAATCGTCTTGAAGCACTTCCGAGCGTTTGACATGAGCGCAGTTGCACAGCAGGGAGGTCGCTTCGACCGATGGATGAAGGCCGTCTTTGGGCATCCGGCGGTCAAGGCCACCACGAGCAACGACAACACCTACCTCGACGGGTACGCTCGCTACGCCGAGAACAGGCCCAACACATCTCAAGTAGCGAATGCCATCAACTCTGGTCGGGGACTGCCCTGACATGGACCCATTGCCACCAATGTCATTTCAAGCCTTTAAGACATCGCGCACCACCTCAGATACCCAGGCGCCAGGCGCCTTGGCCTTGTCGACCTTGCCTGACACTGCCTTGATGACGGCGCCCAGCAGCTTCTTTCCCTCTGCCTCTCCCTTTGCCTTGACTTCCTCGACTGTCTCGGTGATCAGACTCCTCAGCTCGTCTTCACTGATCCTCTCGGGAAGGAAACGGGTGATCACTTCGCCTTCTCGGTCCTCCTTGGAAGCCAGATCCTCACGGGGAGGCTTAGCGGCGCGAAACTGTGCGGCGGCCTCCTTTCTTCTCGCCACGGCTTTCTGCAAGATTGAAGACAATTCTGTTTTCTTTGCCTCCTTCGCTGCATACTGGTGTTCCGACAGAATCGACTGTTTTTGGTGTTGGTCAAAGGAGCCAGTGAGAGACTTGTCTGAGCTCTTCATTACAGCTTGCTCACCCGCAAGACTGTCGAGGTGAAGGAGTCTTTCGACTTCATGGCCTCTTTGAGGTCCCCCTTGATTCGCTGAAGCACCTCGTCATCGTTTCTCACGACCCGAGTGCTACAGAACGCCCGTGTGGCAGTAGGAATGCGCACCGCCAGCAGGCCCGAACGCCCGACTATTCTCGTCGCCATCTCTGATGTGGTTGCAAGACGTAGAAAGGCAGGCTCGTTCCTGTCCCTTCGGAAATCGGATTAGGCTCGCTCACGTGTGTAACGATGTCGGATTTTTTGTTTTTTATTTTCCTTTGCTCTCGGATTCAGAAGAATTTGCTCCTCAGCTTGTCGGAAAGAGAGAGAAAGGCTGCGATGGCGACGACAACGGCGACGATAAACGGCGGAGCCGATGGCAGCGTCCGGCAGCTGCCCATTGTCCTCAGGACTACGCAGCCAACCCTTTCGATCCCTGCCGTGCCTTACCTGGTTCCGACCAACTGGCGACGCTCACAGCTCTCTACGCTGGTCAACCGACTTCTCCACCATGGCCAGGACGATGCAGCTACAATTCCTTTCGACTTCATTGTAGATGGCCAGCTCCTCCGCACGTCGCTTGGCGAGTGGCTGCTTCAGAAGGGCCTGACAGAGGAGAACACGGTCGATGTTTACTATGTCAGAAGCACCTTGCCTCCGAAGTTCTCGGCAGCCTTCGAGCACGACGACTGGATCAGCAGTGTCGATGCTTCGCGCGACGGGTGAGTTCTGCTAATCTGGCACTTGTGCGGCGTGATCAGGGCTGACTCCCGACCGCCACAGTCTCTTCCTCACATCCGCGTATGATGGTGCTCTGCGCGTCTATGGCACTTCGGCAGCATCGGACGCGCTCTTGACCCACCACCCCAATCCAGCACCGACAAAAGATGCCTTTTCGAACCCAGCTCTTGCCTCTACCTGCTGGGTCAAGTCGGCCTCAACGTCGGGGGATCTGTTCGCTGCCTCGGCAGGCATGGACGGGCGACTGCGCATCAGCAGCCTGTCCCTGCCCTCGGATGAAGCTTCCACGTCTTCCGCTTCGATCCTGTCCGTCTCGACGCCCTTTGCGGGCGCGAACCCAAGCCCGATGAGCTCGGTTCGGGCGTCCAAGTCTGGAACAAAGGTCCTTACGGCTGGCTGGGATGGCTGTGTTGCATTGTGGGACGTCGATGCAAAGACGACTGTCGCGGGCGAGGAAGACGAAGATGACGAGGAAGACGAGCGAGGAGCAAAACGGAGAAAGGGCGCTGCTCTCACGAAAAAGTCAGCCAAGGACAAGCGCAGAGACTATCCGAGCATGCTTCCAGCCTCATTGCTGTGGCATGCGCTCAGGACCGCATCCTCTATCACGGGTCCGCCGGTACCCGCAACAAACTGCAGGGTGTCCGGGGCGGTCTTTTCTCCCGAGAGCGACGAGGTCGTCTTTAGCGCTGGCTGGGGCGGAGCAGTAAAGCAGTGGGATGCTGTCGAGGGCCGGAGCACGTCTGCGAAGAGCTCGGACAAGGTCATCATCTCGATGGATCTCATGGCAGGGAACGCGCAGAGCCTCGTCTTGACGGGCCACGTCGACCGGAGCGCCGCTCTCTGGGATATGCGAAATGGTGAGTTCTACTTCTGTCCCGCTGACAGTCGAAACCTCTGCTAACTTGCATACTCATCAGATACCACCAACATCGCCATTGCTTTCAACTCCGCACATGCTCTGCCTATCTCCTCTGTTCGCGCCCACCCAACCTCGGCGAACCTCTTTGCGACTGCCTCGCACGATGGCCTCGTCAAGCTCTTTGACCTGCGCTCGCCCAAAGCTGCCCTCTTCTCAATATCGCGGCCTGCAGCCGAAGGGCTCGGGTCGCAAAAGGCGAAGAAGCTGTTGGCTCTAGACTGGACCAACGACGGCCAGACAATCGTCGCTGGTGGAGAGGACAAGAAACTGTCTGTCCACAGAGGAGAAGGCATCGGCAGAGAAGATGCTGCTTTGTAAAATAATACTTCACAATCGTCAAGGGAGCATTAGAATTATCAACGATTGCTTGTCATGCTTGCACAGAGTTTGTCTCGATGTGATTAACTAGTCATTACAACGACAATGCGAATGCAGAAGCGACGACGGCAGAAAAGAGGGACGACGTAATGGCAACGGCCGAGATGCCGGCGCCGTCGCTGGATCCCGTGCCTGAGCTCTCGTCTGCGTTGCTGCCGTTGCCTCCCGTGAATGGTGGCGGTGTCCTGAGCGTGCCGTTGGACGTGGCAAAGGCTGGCGCGCCCACGGGCGGCGAGTACGGGTTGGCGGGGGCCGTTTCATTCACTGTTCCGTCCCAGCAATACTCTGTCAGGCATGTCGAGCAGATCTCAGGGCGGGGGGTGCTGCTGCGTGTAAATGAGCGTTCGAGGGCGGCACAGGCCAGGCATGTCGGCCAGGAAATGTTACCACTCGTGACGCCGCCCATCGTGATGGCATCCACGCCTGCATCGAGAGCAATCTGCGTCTCACTGTCGCTGTACTCGAGCTGGAACGTCGAAAAGTTTGACAGGGCGTTCCAAGGGTAGTTGGGAATGTAGACAATGATGGGTGCCAGGGTGGAATTGGCCGCGGTGCCTGCATTTGTCGCATTTGCAGCGTCGCAGCCAAAGAACGTGGGTCGGGTGTTGAGACCTTGGTTGATGAAGGTGTTGGGGCTCGGCATGACCGGCACGGCCACCTGGTTGAACTGCGCATTGTTCTGGTACCGCAGGCTTGTCTCATGCATCGCCGAGCCGTTGGGCCAGTCGCTGGCGTCGGCAGAGCTATCGATTGCGAGCTGTGAAGATAGTCCATATGGTCAGAGGGCTTGTGCCTTCCTTCATGTGCAAAGCTGTAACCCACTCACAATCATGTCCAGACCACGAGCGGGCTGGAGCAGAGGGATCAAGGGCAGGTTCTGATTGTCCTCGCCGCCATCGACCATGGTGATGTTGCTCTGGCGGGAGAGCACGATACCATCGCTGGAGCGGTAGCCCGAGAACGGATTGGGAACGACTGAAATTTGGTGGGCGACTGTCGTCAGTACAGCTCATCTCGTGAAACACAGAAGACTTCCTCACCTGAGACGTCATTTTGATCATTTGCGACAGCGCCTGCGATGGCCTGGAGCGCATCCTTGATGACCGAGTCGCCCTGGTTCGTAATCAGCATTTGGTAGAGACCGTTGAAGAGTGTACTGGATGTTCCGACGGTCCAGCCGACGTTTTCGAACCCGGCGACGCACATCTCGCCGACACCAACCTGACCGTTTGTCAGGGGTGTGCCGAGGATGTCGATGGGAATGAAGCCCTGGACGGTGGGCTCGTACGATCCGTACTCGTAGGGGGTAAATTCCCATGTTGTTGTGTTCCTGTATACGAGAAGCTCGCCGGGCTCTCGTTCGTCGGCGAGCACGATAGGGAAGGGATACGAGGCATTGATGAACGATGATGCGTTGCGGATGTCGCTCCAGGTCGTTGCTGCGCCGTGGTCGGGGAACGTCGAGTTGAGAAGGTGTCGGGAGAGTGCCAGGCCCCAGTAGTCAGTGATGCCTGTAAGAAGATTTTGTTAGCGCCTCCGCCGGGTGAATGGAGAGACACCCAGAACCATCCTCACCAGTGTTGAAGCCTTCGTCGCGCTTGCCCTTGACATCGGCCACAATCTCCGCATAGAACGCGATTGCGCCGTCCTTGGGTACGACGAGGTTCGACTCAAGGTTCCACACCTGGTCTTTGAGCTCCTGTGCCGTCATCCAGTCGTTGATGGAGTGCGAGCCGACCGCCCAGCTTCCTCCAGATAGACCGGCGACGTGAGAGGCCAGCTGGAGCAGGCCACCGGTTCCCCGCTTCGCTGCCGTCTCATTTCGCGAATCAATGCCTTGGAGAGCACCAGAGCCAAAGATCATGGCCCGGTACCCTCCACCAGAAAGGGCGAGACCGACCTTGGGGAGCCGGGTGACGTCGCTCGTGTAGTTGGACACACCACCGGGCAACGCCGAATCGAGCGCTGGGCCAGGGTTCGAGGAGCTGAGCCAATCCTGCCAGCCCTGCTGGGATGCCGCACGATGCCGTTGAATGTAGTCGGCTTCTTGCGAGTTGACGGCATTGTTTCTCGAATCACGAATGAAGCCGGGGTTTCCGTTGGAGGTGGGGCACGCGACCATGCTCGGCGCGTACTCGCCATTGGGGTTGCTTCTCGCAGCCAACATGAGCGGCGTCGCGTCGACGCTGGACGCCACAGCAGCCAAGAGGCCTAGCAGGACAGTCTTTGCCAGCATTTTGTTCTGGAATGGGACCGATGATGGGTGACGAGAAGGCTGGTGGCCGTTCCTGTATTTATTATCCCTAGGGCAGATCCACATAGGAGATTTGTCCTTTTTTCGGAACGCTACGACCGATTTAATTTTTTTTTCAATTCCTTCGCGCGAATGCGGAATGACGGAGACCGATGTTCCCTGGTGCACCCTGGGGGACAGCCACAAAACAATCCGATCTCGCAAACAGTGTGCTTGGCAACATCTCTCCGTCGGCAGCACGGCGAAACGCGTGCAATTTCTTCGCGATGCGCTCCGTGGATCTCGGAGTTGCAGAAAAGGCTGATTCACCCTTTCTGCCGTCGGATCGAAATCGCCGACGATCAGACTGGCAAAGGCCGGTCGGGTAATCTAGACGAAGACAAAGCGTGCACGCGGAATCCAAAACATTCGGTTCCTCATCACGTAGAGTAGTCATTCTTGTGCATGATCGGCTTCCTGGCGGTCTGTTTCCTCCACAGCTGCTTTGTGAGGCTACAAATCATCTTCGATCTACAGATCTTCGCTGCACATCTTGTCTCTCAGGGTAGACGCTATGCAACGATAGGATGCGCGATTGCAAACGCTGATACCTTCTCTTTTGGTGACAAGCATCACTTCTCATATTTGAAGGGATGAGAAGTGTACTTCGCAAGTAGGAAAAGAACCACTCAAGCGGGAATGAAGTGGGTCAAAGTGAAGTGCGCTACGACACAGGAGTGAGCACTGCGTACTCCTTCACCTCGTTGCTCGTTCGGTCTGCCTGCAAAAGCGGAAGTAAAACGGCGACAGACATTTATCATCTCATCTTCTCCGTAGAGTCGTTAGAGCATGCTCTCACTACTGCTCCTCAAAACAGTTGTGGCACGTTCTGCTTCCTTATACAGCAAACAAACTGCAATGATGATCATTTGCACCAGTGTCGGAAAGAAAACTCTTCGTCCTCAGGAAGCGCGCTAGCCTTATGCAGGGGACGGCGAATTAAACTCGCGTCCTTCGGGAAGCTTAGGGTCGCGCCTTGCCCCACCTTTCTTTGGGTCTCAATAACGACGACCACGGACTCCTCAGCGAGCTTGCGATGCTCCTCTGACAACCATAGAGCTTGTACCTCTCACGAAGCAGGCTAACGACCCAGTAACGACCAAATCTTAACGACAATGCGCTCTATCATCTTGCTCTTCGCTCTCCTCTTCTCCTGCTCTCATGCCTTGCCCCTTTCCGACAAGAGCAAGACCACCACCAACACGACAGGGACATGCAATGGCCACGCTTCCCTCTGCAACCAGAGCTATGCCAACGTTGTCTACGCTGGGGCGCATAATTCGTACGCTGTTGGCTCTGGCATTAGCGACAATCAGAACCTCAACGCTTCGCAAGCCCTCGTCAAAGGGATACGCCTGCTGCAGAATCAAGGGCACGACAACTCTGGCATCTTCAACATAAGTAGCTCGAGCGGGAATGGCACAAATGGGCAGAATGTGACAGCAGCACAGGCCGGTCAGGATAACCCAAGTCAAATCAGCCTCTGCCACACTAGCTGTTACCTGGAGGATGGCGGATACCTTGAGAGTTGGCTTGCCCAGGCCAAGTCCTGGCTGGATGTGAACCCCAACGAGTATGTCGCTCAGGAATCCGTCCCATAATTCAAATTACGAAGCTGACTGTGAGGGCAGGGTCATCACTCTCCTCCTCACTAATCCGGATCACTTGCCGTACACTCGCTGGGAAGCCGGACTTCGATATGCAGGCTTCAACGAGATCAATGTCTGGGCACCTACCAATCGTTCCAACTTCACACGAGATCAGTGGCCAACACTGGGCGACATGATCTCCTCTGGAAAGCGGACCGTGATTGCCATGGACTACGAGGCAAATGAGACGAAGCTGCCATGGCTCCTCGACGAGTTCGCCTACATGTGGGAGAACCCGTACGACCAGCTATCCTACCCCTTCAATTGCAGCTTGGACCGTGGGAGCAAGCCACAGGACAAGCTTTACTTTATGAACCATGTCAAGGACGTCCAGAACTTTGGCATCTCCACACCCGACAAGGCCAACCTGAATATCACCAATGCTCAGGATGGACCCAATGGTGTCGTTGAGACTGTCGATCGGTGCACTAAGGAGAGAGCGGAGAGACCAACCTACGTTCTGGTCGACTTCTTTGGTGTACCGGCAACGACCGGTGTCCTCGCAGCCATGGACCAACTCAACAATGTCAGCATCACGGCGCCGACTCGGGCGGGCAAGTCTGCCGCTCGGCCCTCTTCACACCATCCTCCTCTATTTCCTCTCTTCCTTTTCGCCCTGTCGTTGCCCTTGGCACTTTCGCACCTCTAGTAGGCTGCTTGACGCCCTACGCAAATGCTCGTCTTGCATCTATTCCTGTAAATTTTTCGCTCCGAGCAACAATAGATGCTGACCTTCGTGAGGTGTGACCACTCAGAAAATACCGGTAAATAATGATCTTCAATCGAATTAGAAAAAAGAAAAAAAAGTATCGGGCCACTGGGAATCGAACCCAGGACCTAGTGATCGCTACCAGATGAATCTGGATAGGAGGTTACAGTTACAGTCACTCGCTCTTCCATCTGAGCTATGGCCCGCTCCATATCGGATATTTGACATCAGAATGTACAGCTATGGAAAATAAAGTAAGACCCTCGTCGCGTTTTTTGTCAGAATTGAGCTCAACGAAAGAGCTCCTCACCACAGTTCTTAGGCCGTCACACACTCAATTCTGGATCTGATGAGCTGAAACTTTGTACAACGGAGCGTTCGTAAACAATAAAAAGATCTGTGAACTCAGTATCGAGTGTTACCTCCTCCATTGGCAATAACAGCCTCCATTCGTGAAGGCATGGACTGTACTAGGTTGGCAAAGAAGTCCTCCTCTATCTCGCTCCAAACCTCTTCAATCAAGGGAACAAGTGCATCACGGACAGCATCAGGTCCTCCTCCAAGTTCTCGGATGTGTGGATGCTTCTCGTGAAGCCTTTTCTTGAGTATTGCCCAGGCATTTTCAATTGGATTCAGATCTGGAGAGTATGGCGGCCAGAGGATGGGTTCAATGCCTTGCTGCCTGAACCAGCGCCGTGAATGCTTTGATGTATGCACCGGGCTGTTGTCCTGCTGGAACAAGCTCTGCCCTGGCAGATTGTCGAACCATGGAAGGAAGTGTTCAGCAAGCATGGAGGTGTAACCTCTTGAATTGAGATGAGGGCCAGGTGTCCTTGTCAGAGGTCCTTTGTTCGCTCCCTGGAAGCAGCCCCACATCGAAACACCCAGGCAGCCACCAGCTGTTGTCTTCTTGATGCAATCATCGTGATACTTCTCTGCAGCAGTGCGGAAAACCCAGTCCCGGCCCTTCTTTTCTCGTTGGACAATTGTTTCATCTGACCAAATGACCATGCCCCATTGAATGATTGACCAATCTCGATGTTCCAATGCAAACTGAAGGCGTCTTTCTTTATGATGTGGCTTGAGATCAGGCTTGGGCGTCTCTCTGTGCTTTCCTACTCCATATTCTCTCAACACACGGCGTGCAGTGGGTCTTGTAATGTCGAGGTTGCTGTTGTTGATTGTTTGCTGCAATGGCACCCTCCTGTTCTGCAATGCCTCATTGTGCAGTCTTTCTTTTTCGTCAGCAGATAGCTTGGATGGTTGGCCAGTCGGTTTGTGGTTCTCTGTGCTACCACGGGCTCTGAAGCGTTTTAGCATTGTCTTGACGGTGTTGTGAGAGAGAGAAAGCCTCTCAGAAATAATTTTGGAAGGCACTCCTTCTTCATAGAGAAAGAGGACCCTCTCCTTTTGCGCAGTGCTCCAGTGTTTGGGCATTGTGGTTTGGATGTAGGAGAAGAGATTCAACCGTGCTTTTGCCACACAAAGAGTATCATCCTGAGTAGCTACACAGCTTTTTGTCGAAGCTGGCTGACGACATCGGGGCAAAAAAACGCGACGAGGGTCTTACTTTATTTTCCATAGCTGTATATATCCTTATTTGTTGCAATCAGAATCTGATACAGACTTCAACGACAACGAGGACCGTCACTTGCCTTTAGTTCGAGTGATCAGTCCCTTGCGAGGCATCTGATCACTTGTTTGCATAGCCAAGCCCGCTGTACCAACGCTCAAATGCGGAGGCAGAGGAAGAAAGAGACACCAAGCTACAATCGATCACGTGCATTTAAGATGGAGGCTGAGGATCTCTGAATGCCATGTCTTCTTCCTACAACCAACAGCTCTAGGCACATTGCTCCGGCAAATATGCCGCCGAAGCGCCCCAATGAGGCCGAAGGCGCCAATGGCCTCGAGAGTGCAGTCAAAAAGCCGAGGACGAGGTGAGTGCGCAGCCACTTTGAAGCTGAGGGATGACTGGCATGCTGAGTACCTCCCCCACTGTTAGTGCTGAGGGCGCAGGCCCCCAAAGCATCCAGGCCCAGATCGAGGCGGCGAGGGCCCGGGCACAAGCGCTACTCGCCAAGCACCAGCCGAACCTGAGGTCAGGTGCTAATGGCAGCGGTCAAGAGGCTGGATCCAGTGCAGCATCGAGACCTGCTCAGCCGGTGGCACGACCGCCGCAAGCGCCCTCTAATGGCGTGAGCAGCAAGCCTGCTTCTGGACTCGATATCGCCGCGATGCAAAAGCAACTAGCAGAAGCCAGACAAAGAACACTGGAAAGGACCAGCATGCTGACCAACAAGGGTGTTCTCCCTGCGTCAGTGAGTAGATGGGCTCTTTTGCTTGCGAGCCATCCCCATGCTCATTGGCATTCCCATTCGTCGCTACAGAGAGAACGAGATGGCGATGCTCGGGGAAGTGGCATTCATCCACTACTGTCCGGTAGAGGAGAGACATCGTCAGCTCCATCAACATCGACTTCGGCCAGAGGCAAGCCGGCTTCGACCTATACACCGCGCCAGAATTATGGCCCTAAATTCTCCTCGCTGAACGCCAACAACAGATTCGGGACCCCGTCGGCGCCGGGCCCTCTGTCGAGTGCGCTCGAGGTCCCAGAAAAGGTCAATCCCTATTTGAGTCAAACCGATGGGGATGAAGAGGCGGGCTTGTCTTCGGTCGCGCCAAAGTCGAGAAGCATGCATAAAGGGATGGCCTTCCACCGACCTGGAAGGCACGTCAGGGCGGCTGAGGAGGCTAGGAGGGAGGCACAAATGGAGGCTCTCAAGAAGAGGATCCAAGAAAGCGCAAGAAAAGCGGGAATGGAGGAGTTGAGTGCCGAAGAAAGGGCATTAAGGGTATGTCTCTCGACAGACAAGCGCCCTTTTCATGTGACTGACCCTTTTCTTCGACAGCGCAATCCGCCGCCCGAAGTCGAGTGGTGGGATATGGCTTTTCTTCCCGGCAAGACGTACGATGCGGTCGCGATACTTGACGCGCGCAATGAGAAGTCCAAAGAGGGTGACGACGATGGTGGGCCTCTCTTGGCGGGTGAAGGCAGTCCGATCGATCTCTACATCCAACATCCGATTCCAATCCCAGCTCCCACTGACAAAAACAAGGTGTCCGCCAAAGGCGTGATGCTAACAAAGAAGGAGATGAAAAAGATGAGGAAGCAGCGCAGACTGGCTGAGCAGGAAGACAAACGCGATCGCATCAAGATGGGCCTCCTGCCGCCGGATCCGCCAAAAGGTGAGTCGTGCTTCCTCAAAGAACCTCTCGAAGCATACACTGACTTCCGCTCAGTCAAACTCTCAAATCTTATGCGAGTCTTGACGTCCGAGGCTGTTGCGGATCCAACCAAGGTGGAAGCGCAGGTGCGGCGAGAAGTGGCCGCCCGCAAGGACAAGCACGAGCGCACCAATGAGGAGAACAAGTTGACCCCCGAAGAGCGCCATGCCAAGCTGCTGGCGAAGCAGCAGAGTGACGAGGCCAAAGGTCTTTTCAGCCTCGTCTTCAAGATTCGTCACCTGATCTCGCCCTCGCACAAATTCAAAGCCAGAAAGAATGCTCTACAGAATGGCTTGACGGGTTTGGCCGTCTTCCACGAAAATTTTGCACTTATAGTCGTGGAAGGCGCAAGCAAGGGGATCAAGGCCTACAAACATTTGATGACGAACCGCATCAATTGGCAGGATCCAGGGCGGCCCAAGGAAGAAGACGATGACGAAACAGCATCGTCTGCGGCAAAAGAAGGCGCCGGTGGTCAAGATGAGCTTGCGAAGGTCGAATGGAGCGAGAACCGATGTGACCTCATTTTTGAGGGTCCCATTCGCGAACGCAACGTTGCGCACGGCTTCCGAGCCAGGAACGCGCCGAGCGATACAGACGCAAAGGAGATTTTGGGACCAATGATGGCGCCGTACTGGGATCTCGCCAAACGGTTCAAGGACCCTTCCCTCGAGGAGTAGTATCCGCTTCACATGTATTCTATAAATTCTATCAATTTCATTAGAAAGGCTACGCTAGCCATTGGGGTCTCGACCATCTCTCTGGAGAAGTGCGCGCATAGCATCGCAAACCTGCGCTGCCGGACCACTCGTGAAGGCATCCTGTGCCTCCTGAGGTCTCTCAAATGCATCGTCCATGGCCTGCCGTCTGTGTCAGCGCCTAAAGTATCTGAGAGAGCGCTTCTTTCTGATCGACTCACCTGGTCGAGAAGGCGCCTCAGGTGCCTGCAGAGCACAGCGATTCTCGCGTTGGCCCGCAGCTTGATCCATCCTTCTTCCTGTCCTTCCTCGTCACGGCTGTTGAGCACAACGCTTATGCCCCCTTTGAGAGCGTGCACCTTGACTTTGCCTCCAAAGAGCAGGATTGCAAACAGAGGTGCCTCTGTCGCATCCCTACACAGGACTTTTTCCTCTGTCCCACCTCCGGCCTTGCCAGACGACCCTTTGCTGTAGACTGCCAAGTAGCCCGAGTCAAACTTGGCATTCGCAAAGAGGCTGCTGGCCGGATGCAGAAACACTCGATGGCCAGCACTGCTTCCCGAAGAGTCCTTTTCAAAGAAACGGACCTCTTTCGCTTCGTGCTGTCGCTGAACCGTACCAGACGAAGACTGATCAAACTTGGCCTTGGGGTTCGCAATACGAACCATGTTGGGCCAGAGACCCGCGACGATGAGCGATCTTGCTAGGCCAGTCGAGGAGGCGTGCGCGTCGAGCGAGTGCGGCTGATCTTTGAAAAGATATGACGCCGGATTGTACGATCTTGATACGAATCCTAGCTCCTGCAGGCTCGTCAAGAGGTCGAAACGCGTCGAGTGGACGTCTCTCAAGCTTGACATGGACAGGAAGTGCTCCTCACAGAACGCTCGAATCTCGGAGTTTGCTGCCCTTTGGAGCCGCATAGACGCCCACATTTCATAAGCCTTTGCGTCGACAAGCAGATCCGAAGCTGGCGCAGGCCCATTAATGTTGGCCAACTTCAGACGGGCCGCACTCGCCTCCTGCCGCTTTTCGAAAGGCGAAGAAAAGAGAGGCTTACACGAGAGCACAGCGGCGACGCTCAACATAGGGCCTAGGCAACCAAACATAGAGCCGAGAATAAACATTTTGCCGAGACGGAGGTCGAGTGGAAGCAGGGATAAGTGTCTGCCGAGGGCGGTGAGTCGAGAAGAAAGTCCCTGATCCGATCTGATGGCCCCAGCATCAACGAGGGTGTAGAAGGCTTGTTGAATGCTTGCAATGCTTGGAGGATCCAAAGCTCCCGAGAGATATTGCCCGACATCTTGATCGGGACCCCTCATGACCTTAACCTGTAAAAGAAGGCTTTCCAGTGGCACCCTCGTCATCTCGGGGGCCTGCTGCGCCGACATATTATGCTTTTCGACGTGCCTCGTGAAGAGTTTGAAGCATTCGCCTGCCCTGACTCGGCCAGCACGTCCTCTTCGCTGCTTGCACGCTGCCCGGCTTGCCCAGCATTCGACGAGCCTTGTCAGGCCCCTATTTGCATCGAAGCGCGTCTCCTTGACCCTGCCCAGGTCCACGACGTAAGCGACATCGTCAATGGTGATGCTAGTCTCGGCTACGTTCGTTGCCACGACGACCTTGCGCCAGCCTGCTTTGGCCCTCACAAAGACACGACGCTGCTCCTCGGCAGAGAGATTGGCGTGAAGAGGTAGCAAGTCCACCTTCTCGGATCCTTGCGTCGCGTTGCGAATCGAGTCCATCGCCTGTCGGATCTCGCCCACGCCCGAGCAGAAGACGAGTATGGCTCCCGTCAGCGTCTGTGAGTCCTCTTCTTGGCGTGCCCGTGCGCAAATCATCTTGACTGTTGCGCCAACGAGGTCGTAGTCGACACCGTCATCCTGGCTCAGCATCTCAATCGACCGCACTTGGTCCTCGTCTAGACCTTGCTCCTCGAGATCGTTTCTGAGCGCCTCTGAACGCTTCTCCTTGCCGTTTCCCCTACCTCCAGGTCGCGATGTTGAGGGCCGGTAACCGGACAATTTTACGACGTCCTCCAAGTAATGATCCCTGACAGGGAATGTCCGCCCTGGAATCTCTAAGCAAGGTGCTCCCCCAAAGTACTTTGAGAATGTCTCGTGGTTGATCGTTGCGCTCATTAGAACAACCTTGATGGTTGGATTCCGCTTGAGAACCTCGCGAAGCTCGAGGAGGAGAAGGTCCGAATCAACTCCGCGCTCGTGGACCTCATCGACGATGACGTGCGAGATGCTCTTGAGATCCGAATCCCCGCCAGCGCCTAGTCTCCTGAGAAGAACTCCAGTCGTCGAAAAGAGAAGACGGCAGTCTTTGCTGGCTTTTCTCTCTCCCCTAATGGCATATCCGACCATGCCGCGAGCTTGGTCAATGTTCTCGCAGCGCTCTGCTGCCACACGCGTTGCCACGCCCATGGCACTGATCCTCCTTGGCTGTGTAACGACAATGGAGCATTCACTACCTTTGCCCTTTGCAATCGCGTCGTCGAGAATGAACTGTGGGCATTGCGTCGTCTTTCCACAGCCAGTCTCGCCTGCAATGATGACTGCACGATTGGCCTCGAGTAATTGCAAGAGCGCTTCTTTGTTGGCGTGTGCAGGTAGCGTAGCTCGCGAAGCTTTGAATGGAGCATATTCGCGCGAGGTCCAAAGCTCTTCTTGACGCTGTCGCAGCCTCTGATCTGTGCCTGCATCCCTCTTGAGCTCTTTTGGACGCGATGGACCTGATGCTTTAGCCTTTGCTTCAATGTTGGCCGCTCGAATTTCCCGCTTCTCCTTTTCTTTGATTGGAGCCCGAGGAGTGAGACCGGCCATGACTTCAGCGAGGTCCGGTGGGTCGTCTACGATGGACTGCCAATTCGTTTCGAGGTCTTCCACCATGGCCAGCAGCACGCCCCCTTGACCCGCATCCACCATGTCTACCCAATCGGGGCAACCAGCATCTGCATCGGAAAGACAGCGAACTAGTCGCCTGGTCAAGGCTAAACGAAGATATGCTGGAAGGGTCTTTGAAGCGATGTAGAAAGTCGGAATGCGTCGTATCGATGCAGAGGATTCGATTGGATAGAGACTTGTCCTGCCGGGGCAGACGCGAAGCCTGACGTCTTCTGCTTGTCTTGACTTTTCCTCGGCGGAAGCAATGATAATGTCGAAGGCCTCTTCCCTCGGGCGCTGGGAGCTGGACAAATGTCGGTCAGATGGAGGCGTTTCGATGACCTTCTCCGGCCCAAGCACGGCATCCAATGCCATTCGCTCATCAGCACGTTTCGTCTCGATTTCGCCATCTGGGGCTGCCAAGTTCTTCAAGAGATCATCGACATTTGCAGAGGGGTCCGAACATGCCAAGCGCCTGAGTAGGATGTCGATAGCCAACGCCTCTCTGGCGTCCATTTCGACACATTGAGCCAATGTCAGGGCCTCGCTCACTGCCTGTCTTGGGAATCCAGCAAGCTTGACCAGACGTTCTTCCGCCCACCGCAAAGCCAGCGATTCCTCCTGACCTGCAGATGCCGAGGAAGTCACGAATGAATCTGCTTTTTTCGAAGGAGCAAAGGCCTTGGGGAGATCATCCTCTGGGCAATACAGTACCAGATATTCGAGGCCGGCCTCTTCGTCGGAGAGGTGAGAGATGGAGAGACCGACGCTCCCCTGTGTCCTTCCCTTGCGGGCTGAAGCGACCCATCGTGCTGCGGACCGGGCATGACCTTTGCGAAAGCCCAGAGCAGTGAGCCTTTTGGTTAGCTCCTCAGAAGCCTGGCTGCCGCCTGAACTCTCAGCCTGGCCATTTCCTCTAGAGGGTGTCGAGGTACCCGAAGCTGGAGCAGATGAGAATTCCTCGGTATCTCCCTCTTCGTCCTCGTCGTCTTCTGCCTCGGGATATGCCTCAAAAGCCTCTCGGACCGTCTTCTCTACCGCGTGCCTCAAGCTGCTTGCCATGCGAACCTCGACAGCCTCTTGCCACGCTTTGGAAAGTGGTCGACCCGGAGCATTCACGTATTCTCCCTTTGCCTCGAGCTCCGCCTGCTTGGCTTTGGCCTCCCTCTTGGCCTCCTTCTCCGCTTGCATCTTCTGGGCCACCTCGAAAGGATCATCGGCCCAGAGCCACGCGAGATGCTTTGGTGCCTGTTGCTTGTGTTGTGCCAGCTCCTGCCAGTACTCTCTCGGGCCTGACGGCAGGACTCTGTACAAGCTCAGGGTGGAACAGAGGCGAAAGAGGGCATAGGTCGCGCCCCAATGTCGAGCGTGCTCCTTGGAGGGCAGCGCGACTGCTGATCCCTCGTGCCCACTCGGGTCTCTCGCGTCCATCCTGACGATGAATGGATGCGAGGCATCGCTTTTGTTCGTCTTTGTCAAGGTGACTACAAATGTCCATTTCTCTTCGCTTTCGTCGCCGCCCTCGTCTCCGGCCTTCTCTTTCTCAACTTCGTTGTCGGCCTTGACCGCGTCTGAGGACTGCTCGTTTGACTTGGCCCTCGGCAGCTTCCGGACATCTATTTGCGGACGCAGCCAGCCAGCCGCTTGGTGATGTTTCTGGATCCTCTCGTTGAGCAGCGCAAGCGGCGTCTTGGTCCCCGGGGGGAATAGCATTACCTGCGGTGGCTTTGCAGAAGATGCAGCAGTAGCTGTCGTCGCTGTCGCTGCACCTCCACTGGCAGGAGACTCAACCCCAGCCTTGTCCTTGCCTTTTCCCTTGGATGGCGGTTGCGGCTGCTGCGCCTTTGTATAGTACGTCGGCGCTGCCGGCTTCTCGCCCTTGCCCTTCACCCAGTCGGGCAGGGGAGACGCCTTGCTGCTCGTCGCGCCCGTCGACTTGATCGACGCATTCTTCTTCCGAGGCGCCATCTTTCTAACTTCTCTCTTCTTTGTCTTCTCGTCCTCCTCTCCCTCGCCCTAGCCCTCCTCGGCTCCTTCCCTGAGAATCCTCTAGTCCAGTGAGAAAGGCTTGGTTGTTCTCGAGGAGAGCGGTGTGTTGTTCCTTCATGTGCTGCAAACCCTCACGTGGAGGCAGGAAGAACTGGCCAAGATCCGTTTTCGAAAATTTCCAGACCGACATTGCTCCTCTGAACTTTTTTTTTAACTTTTCGGCGAGTGTCAATCGCTCTCGACATCAGGGCCAGATTAGGAGGAGGGCAAGAATGTCGAGCGACGTGAGGACGACGTCAAAAATTGACGGTACAGGGGAAGGCAGGAAAGACAAGAAAGTCGCAAAGGCCGCCCCGTCGCCGCTCGTCACGACTGGAGGGACGACGACGAAGAAGGTGAAGGCGGGCAGCAACTGGAAGAAGCTACAGCGGGTGAGAGAGAGAGACACGAGTCCTGAGTGGCCAAATTTGAGGCTGTGTATGCTCACTCATGTCGCATCTTCATTCTGTAGACTCTTGGAGGGACGGGCGAGTCTGTACGGAAGCTCAAAGCGGCATCGACAAAGCGCAGTGGAGGGACGAAGGCGACAAGTAGCGAGGTTGTCGCTGAGACATCATCGTCCAAGAATGGCAAGACCATCGCGTCAGAGCCCTGGTTCGCCGATGACCTGAGCCCGGAAGATCTGGAACTCGTCAAAAGCGGCAAGTCGGTTTCTTCCTCTTCTGCACTTGGACTTGGGGGCGGGGTGGAAGAGGAAGTGGATGAAGAAACAATGCGAAGACGCAAAAAGGCCATTCTGGGAGATCCTGATCTATCAAAGGAAAAGTCGGAGTGAGTAGTCTGCACTGTCTCTCTAATAGGCCTATAGGAGAGGCGCTGACCAGTTGTTCTTCCTTCCACAAAGACCGGGAACGTATGTGGCAATCGACTGCGAGATGGTGGGCGTGGGGCCCAACGGGGCGGAGTCTGTTCTTGCACGCGTCTCGCTCGTCAACTGGCACGGCGCTTCGATCCTCGACACCTTCGTCAGGCCTCGCGAAAAGGTCACTGACTATCGGACATGGGTTTCTGGTGTGCGACCCAGCGACCTCAAGACAGCTCCTACGTTTCAAGAAGTGCAGGATCAGGTGTCGGGCATCCTCAAGGGCAGAGTCCTCATCGGCCATGCGGTGCAAAACGATCTCAAGGCGCTCTTGCTCAGCCATCCACGACCGCTATTGAGGGACACGAGCACATTTGAGCCCTTGCGCAAGCTTGCCAAGACGAAACGGCCCGCGCTCAGAAAGCTTGCGAAGCTTGTGCTCGGCATCGACATGCAGCAAAAGGGCGAAGAGCATTCGAGTCTGCAAGACGCCCGGGCAACGATGGCCATCTATCGTCGCTACCACGCTCAGTGGCAGGAGGCGCTCGGCTTCAACAATAAGAAGGGCCTAGCAGCGCTGCAGAAGGGGAAAAGAAAGCGAAAAGAGGTCGAGAGTGGCGAAGGCGACGCTGGGTCTACCAGCGAGGCCAAAAGGCCAAAGAAGGCAGATGCACTCGGTTCAGACTGGTGGAAGGATCTGTAATACTCTTTCGATGGGAACAATTTGTACAAGTAGCCATAGCAATTACATCACTGTATTGAGACACTTTACTACGCTTCCACGCCATGTTCGCGCTTGCCCTTGATCTTCTTCGATTTCTTGCTTTCTTTCTCCTTTCCCTTTCCCTCTTCCGGCCCGTCTTCCTCGCTGAGCTTCCTCTTCTTCTCACGTCTCCCGCCCTCCTCCTTCTCGCCTATCTCCATGCCCTCAGCATCACCAACCTGCTCTTGTCTTGCTTTTTCCTTGAGCCGCTCTTGTTTGCCCTTCCTCTTCTTGCCCTTGGACCGCCTCTCTTCCTCCTCGCCCTCTGCGACCCCCTTGCGATCGGCCAACCCTCGCCTAAAGTCTCTCAGCCTGTTTGAGAGATCCTTCGGCCGCGTCTTCCCGCGCTTGTAGGGCTGCAGGTGCTTCAGACCCACGACCTTGTTGAGCTGATCGTCGTCGGCCAGGAGGATCTCGATGGCGGACAGGCCAAAGTTGGACTTGGGCACCTCGGTGTACTTGAATCTAGTCGGCTGGTCTCCTCCAATCACATCTTCGTACTCGAGGTTGTAGTAGTCGTCCACGGCCTTCGAGAGCTTCTTTTTGCGCTCCTCCTTGGTCATCGATACGACCTGCTCATTGCCCACAGGTATCTCGGCGTCCATCTCGTCTTCGTCGACGCCGTCTGCATCCTGTGCTCCACCTCCAGAGGCGGCAGCAGCCCTTTTCGCCATGGCCTTTTCCTTCTTCTTGAGCTTCTTCTTCTCGGCCTTGGACAGCCTCTTTGGCTCTTCAGGAGCTTCGTCATCTTCCGCCTCGCCATTAACAAAGTCGGCGTCCATTTCGATTCTTTCATCGTCTTCACCTCCTCCTTTGCCCTTCTCGGCCTTTTTCTTTTCCTTTTTGACCTCTTTCGCCTTGTTCTTGCTCTTGCCCTTGTCATTGCCTATTGAGGCCCCTTGCCGCTCGTCTTCCTCGGCCAAAATGTGGGAAATGTCAATCTCATCGTCCCACGTTGGCTTCTCGTCATCGTCATCGCCGTAGTAGTCTTCGCCAAAGACACCCTGCATGACTTTGTCGTGCTCGTCCGGGTCAAAGTCCTTGTCGAGATCAAGCTTGCCAAAGTCGACAGCCTGGCTCCCTGTCGCCTCCTTCAGCGCCTTGAGTCGGTTAACGATTCCCTTTCTCTTCAAGGATCTGAGTCGGTCCAGCTCCTTCTTCTTTTCTTCCTTTTCTTCCTCCTTTCGACGCTTGCGCTCAGCTCGCTCAAGCTTGCGCTTCTCTTCTTTTCGTCGCACGCTTCCAACCGGATTCCTTGCATAGCTTTGAATCTGTGCATCGGCCTCACCACCCTCCAAGGCCTCGTAGCGGAAGTTGTATGCGTTTTCGAAGGCCTCAGCCCGAGAGTCAAAGGAGTCCTCGCTGTCTAGGTCTGCTGCTTCGGCATCCCAGTCGCGCTCTTCGCCAGTATTGGCTCTCCTCTCGTCCGCACGCCGAGCCTCTTCCTTCACCGGCCTCCTCTTGAGCTTCGGCGCGGCATTAGGGTTGTCGACCCATCCACGATTCAGAACGTAGCTAGAATTTCAAGTCAGCTTGCGAAGTCTGTGTGTAAGAGCTGATTCATCGACTTACTTCATGAGAAAGTCCTCGTCATCCTCTGTTTGATTTTTCTGCTCCTCCTGGCCTCGCTTCGCCTTCTTGGACTCGCCGTCATCAGCACTGGGAGCAGCTCCACCATCGCCCTGTGCCGCTTCTTCGGCCTGCGTACGCAACGCTTCTCGGACCGCCTGCTCCCTTTCTTTTCCACCTAGCACGCCAAGCAGATACTTTCTGTACGCCTCGGCGTCCGCTTCGTCCTCTTCGTCTTCCTGACGGTCCTTTCGCGTGAAGAAGCCACCCTCGTCTTCTTCTTCCTCCTCCCCTTCGTCCGCCCCATGGAACGCGTTTGTAACTTCCCGCCGGAGCTCCTCCTGCTCTCGAGTGTGGCTGAGTTGATAATCAGGGCCCGCAGTATCTTCTTCTTCGCCCCGCTTCCGGATCATTGTGGCCTCAGCCAGGGCTTTTGCCGGGTCTTGCTCCGTCTCCATGAGCTCCTGAATTCGTTTGCGCTGGTAATCGCCGAGCGTGACCTTTTTCCCGCTTCCCGGTCTTGTCAGCGTTCGAGATGGCAGCAGCTTGGAGCTCGAGGCGAGCGACCTTTCCTCGTCGAAGACTCGCTTCCCCGTCTCGTAGATGCTCTCATCCTTAGCCCGAATCTTTGCCAAAGTCGTCAAGATGGCTGCGTCGACATCGGCCGTAACCTGCTCGCCATCCTCGTCCTCCGTCTCGTCCTCGCTGCTGCTCTCGGACTCATCTTCGTCCAAATCGCCCGCCCCGTGCTTCTCCTGCAGGCGGTGTAGGTCGGCGCGCTCCTTGTTGTGATGAAATCGTGCAGCGTACTCTTGGTTGATGTTGAGCTGGTCGGAAGCGGAGGAGCTTGCGGACGAGGAAGACGACGACCCGCTTGAGCTCGAGCTCGAGCTAGACCTCGACCTCGTCTCTCGAATGTCTACTTTTCCACTAGCACTGCTCGACGCCGATGTCGAGCTCGTCTCCGAGTCCGAGTCCGAGAAGAGCTCCATGTTCCCTCTGGCGCTGCGATCGATCAACTTGAGAGGGAGAGAGTGAGCTTCGTTTTCCTCTTCGAAGAAACCAAAAAATTTAGAGTAGCTGCCTCGTTTACATAAGCTGTCGAATAGGACGGACAAGGGTTTACATAAGCCGATTTTTGTCCGTAGGAAACCCAATTTTTCGAAAACTGGTTGTGCGAGGCAAAATTTGGCTCGACTTCTTCCTCAGCCTCGCTGTCAGCCCTCCAATTCCGACTTCTTCTGCACCAACCAGCAGACATGGCTCCCTCGACAGGCCCAGCAAGGGCTGCGGGAGGGGAAAGGAAGAAGAAGAAGCTCACAAGGGAAGCCAAGTTCAAGAAGGCAAAGGCGCAGGAGGCGGCCGCCGCCGCTGCGAGCGCGGGCTCCTTGGCAAAGGCAAAGGTGAAGGGCAAGGGAAAGGCCAAGGCCAAGGACGAGGACGAAGTCGAGGAGAACATTCACCCGTTTCGTTACAAGTCATTCAACGACCGGCTCGCTTCGGTCCACATCAACGTATCGCGAAACCTGGGAAGGGGCGGCACGGGCGCGCTTGCGGGACTCGATGGCCACGGCGCTCTACCAGGCCCTTCGTCGGGTCGGATGGACGTCGATGGCGACGAAGAGGATGATGATTTCGAGGACGAGGCGCTCCACGCCAAGACGGCCTTCGGGATTGCCATACAGGCCTGGAGAGAACTAAACCTCTCACTACCTTTTACCTCGTTTGCCCAGGACATCCAGCCACTCTCGCTCTCGCTCCCACTGCTTCTGCACAACCAGGAGCGCATAACCTCAGCGCTCTCCTCGGCGCTACAAGTACGCTACCACGACTCCTACCTCGCCTTTGAGCCAGCACTCGACCTGATACCACGCCTGGCCCAAGACCTTGGCTCGGCCTTCATGCCGTCCTACCCGGAACTATTGCAGGCAACGCTGGGAGCCACAATCATTAATAAAAATGCGACAGAGGGCGAGGAGCATGTGGCAGCAAAGATTGTCGAGAGGGCTTTTGAAAGCGCAGCAGCGACGCTGAGGTGCGTCGCCCCTCATGTCCTTAGTGACCGAGGCGTCCCAACAGAGGGGAAGGATGCCCTCATCGCCACTTGGGACATTGTCAAGCCTTACCTCGGCGGGCAGGACGAATCCGAGACCTTTGAGGACGACGAAAGCCCAGAAGAGGTAGACGAAGAGGCGGAGCTGCGCGAGCTCGAGGAAGATGATCCTGACGCTCTGTCGAAAGAGAACGGAAGAGAGCCGAGACATCGTGCGCAAAGGAGGAAGCGACCTCCGCCGGCACACACTCGTCGCTTTGCTTCTGAGGCATTTGCCCACCTGGTTCGAAAGGCAAAAGGACGGCAATTGACAAAAGTTGCGAGGATAATGTCGACAGATCTGCAGGCCGCTCTGCGGAGGTACAAAGAGGAGGAAGAGGGGAAGAGGAGGAGCAACCTGTCCACATCGGTGGCCAATTTTGCTTGTGGGATAGCTGGAGTGTGGGCAGAGGTCGTCAAGTCGGTCGATAGTCGCATTCACAGCGCCGCGCCCTCCCATCTGTCTGCCGCTCTTCTCTCACCGGTGGCTGGAGCCGAGGCCGACCGGGTGGCATTCAAAGCGAGCAACCTGATTGGTCGCAACGTCTTCACTTCCCTCGTCCACCATTCTCTGTCGCAACATCTGGTCGAATTGCACAACTTTGTCATCGAAATGCTCGATGACAAGGTCAAGGCGTGTCAAGGTGATCAAGAAAGCGAAGAGAAGATTCTAGCCCTTGTAAACGCAAGTGATTGGCTGGTCGCCCTCACTGCTACCCGAAAGGGAAAGCGCGTGGATGGTGAGCGAGAGGCCCTCTTCTTTTCCTCTTCAGACCACTAATACCATATGCTCTTCGTGCGCAGAACAAGTCAAAAGCAAGCTCTTTGCAAGCTTGGCCAATACTGCTACCGTTCTGGCAGACAGCAAAAGGGTGACCGACCCGTATCTCCGCGAAGCGCTCGAAAGAAGCCTTGTACGACTTCTGGCTTTGGCATTGCCACTGGGAAGAATACAAGACCTGGTTGGTGCCGGCATCAAAATCGTCGAGCGGCTTTCCACACCCGATGGCGAGGGCCTTTTACCTGCCCCCTTCGTCGCGATGGTCCTTTCCCTAGGCGATCGAGATCTCGACTGGTCAGGCTATCGACAGGTGGCACTTCCCACAGTGCTTCAGAGGACATCCGACGCCATCAATTCGAGCAACGTCGCCGTCTCACAACAAGCTTTCCGAGTCTGTGCGCTCGTGCAGCAGCAGAACCAGCTCGACTTCCTGGTCACAGCGACACCTACACCTGCACTGGCGAGGTGGAGCAACGTCGTCTCCACTGCTGTCGTCGAGCGCCTCTCGGGGTTGAAGAGTCTCTTTGAAGAAGGCAAAGGGGCAGAGTACGGTCAGGATCATGTGGAAGCGTTAGCTCTGGCGCCTCTCTTCAAAGCCCAAGCCGAGGCTATGGCGTCGCTGTTGTCCAGTCTCGTTGTGCCTCTCTCTGCCATGTGCATGGCTTCCGAAGATGGAGACGACCCCGCCTCTATCGGTAGAATTGCCTTCTTGCTCGGATCCTGCCTCGACGCATTGGCCGCCCTTCTGGAACAGGGCTCGCCTAGCTTTGCTGAGAAGACGTGGGTCGCGTTGCAGCCAGCACAGCTCCCTGAGCTCGTCAACTCCCTCTCTTGGCATCGAGTAGCCCTGCTTGCATACACTCGACTCTGCTTGGCCGGTGCCAACAAATTTCAGCAAGTCAACTTCGTATCGCTCGATGATGTGGCAGAGTCGCTCAACGGTCCCCTCATGGGGTCAGACGAGGCATTGCGACTGGCAGCGTCGCGGCTTTTGGCTCTAGCAGGCGCTAGCTCTGGCGCCGGCAGCTTCCTCGATGGGATCGTCGATATCGAGCAGACCGCTCTGAGCGTCGAAACGATCCGCGAGCGTAATGTCCGGACCAGGGCGCTGAGTCGGGAGCTCCTTCGCCTGTCGGCCTCGGGCGAAGCCAAAGAGAAGATCAACTTGCTCGTGTCGATCGCAGTGCGCTACCTCGTCTCGACAATGAGGCTCAACTTCATGCCTCTGTGGGAAGAGAGCAGAAAGGCGCTTGCTGAGCTGGCACCAAGATTTGGTGGAGAGGTGTGGAAAGTAGCCTTTGACGAGCTCAAGAAGCCAGCATCGATTGGGAGACAAATGCTGCAGATCACACCACAAGAATCTGGAGAGGAATCTGGAGAGGTCGGATATGCAGAAGACTTTGAAGGCGAAGAGACCGCCGAAAAGCAATTCAGAGATCCGCTCTTGAAGGAGCGGAGAGACGCTGTCGACCACTTCATCAGGAAAGCGAGAATCGAGCAAAATGGCTCCACTACCATCTCCCTATCGCAGCTTGCCGATGCTCAGAGACCCCGCGGCCGCCTCGATATTGTCAACTACCAGTCGCAGATTCTCAAGCTCTTCAGCAGCATCCACTCGGTCGCTGAGCGCAACAACGGGCCGCTTATGCAGCACTTCTTCCATACGGTGGCCAGCCGGGCGCCACTATCAGAAGATGACGTTGAAGCGGAGAGAGCGGAGGGAGAGACCGACGAGGAGGATATGGTCAAGCTGACTGTTCTGGAAAGAAGAACACAGTTGTGCGCCTACCTCGAAACCTTTGCCCACCTCTCCAATCCGAAAGCACTGTTCCGTGCTAAGGACCTCTACAGCTTCCTTCTTACCCTTTGCGCGCAGGGAGACGGCAAGGTGCAGAAGATGGCCCTGGACTGCATCCTGACGTGGAAGGATCCGGCTCACACGACGTATGCGACGATCCTCAAAAACTTCCTCGAGCCTTCCAAGTTTCGCGACGAGCTCACCAGCCTCGACTTGTCACTGAGAGGCGAATCCATCCAGAAGGCCCATCGACACGGTTTCCTGGCTCTGGCTCTGCATCTCCTCTTTGGGCTCATGATCTCGAGAAGGGGACGCTTGTCGTCGGGCTCGGGCGCATCAGGTCGCAAGATGGCCATTTTGGGTGCCCTGTCCGAATGCTCTGCGGAGGAGCTGCAAACGCTCGTCGATCTCATGCTCGCTCCCTTGCAGGACCAGAGGCCGTCATTCGACAACAGTGGACGCTTCGTGTTCCAGCAAGATGGAGCACCGCAAGCGTCTAGGAAGCGTCAGGCCGGTTATCTCTCTTTGCTGGGCGACGTCATCAAGCACCTCTCGCTCAAGTTGCAGCCACAATGGGCCCAGCTGATCGGTGTCACCCTCAATCTCACCTACCACGCGTCGCTCGTCGCTGAGTCGGGACAGGGCAAGGCGACGCTGCCAGACCGAGCCATTCGCCAGACCGGCCTGAAGCGCATCGCAGACTTCTTCCGTCAGCCGACCGAATATGATTGGTCTGCGTTCTTACCCGCACTCTTCGAACAGCTCATCACTCCTAGGCTGTCCTTGCTCAAGGTCGAGAGCATCCAGAGCCCGTCGGCCATCTTGGACGTGATCCACACGTGGTCAGCGCGCAGCGACACCATCTTTCTCCTCGTTGAGCACGAAGAAACGCTTCTGGATCACGTCAGTGCCTGTCTGGCGGTGCCTTCGGTCAAGCCGCCGGTCATCTCAAAGATTCTTGACATTATCGAGCGAGCCTTGTCCTTCGCCAACGATCAGGTGGCAGAGGGTCAGGAGAACATCGCAGAGGCGGTCAAGGACAAGATTCTTCGACCTCACATCTCGCCACTCATTCAGAGTGTCGCACCGCTCGTGCAGCGATGCTCAGGAGCCAGTGGCGTTGAAGCCAAGACCATCGGTCGCGAAGAGCTGCTCCGTCGGCTGCTCCGCCTGCTGGCCGATTTGGCGCCCCTTGTCTCGACGGCCGATGATGCTTCGCTACTCCTCGAGCTGCTTGGTCCCATGCTCCGAAAGAGCAACGCCTTGATTCCAGAAAGGAGCAAGACGGACCTCCTGCAGATCTTCCAAGACCTCCTCTTGCTTTGTCCCTCATTTCAAGACCCATCGTCAGAGACCTTTAGTCGGCACTACGACCTGTTCTCGAGCCTCTTTGCAATGTTGCGATCGCGCGAGGCGAGGCTTCAGTTGGGATCCGTCTTGCGCCAATTCGCGCGCATCGACGATAGCTTGGACAGAGTAACAGGTTGGGCAGAGGACCTCAATGCGTTCAGTAAGCGACGCATCGACGAAGCCGACTTTGACCGACGGCTGGGTGCTTTTGACGCCATAAATGACGAGCGTTCGCCACCAAATCCGAGCATAAGCGCACGAGAGTGGCTCCCCATTGTCCACAACATGATCTTTTTCATCCAGGATGCAGACGAGCTCGCCATTCGCTCCAACGCAGGCATGACGCTACGCAACTTTATTGACGCAGTGGTGGCGACTTCGTATCCGGTTGAGCTCAAGACCATCTTCTCCACCGTCGTCTACCCAGGCATTCGACGCGCACTTCGTTCGAGGCATGAGCTGGTGCGCAGGGAGGTGCTGAGCGTCATCGGTCATGCCGCCGAGAAGCTCGATCGCTATGAACACTTGGCCGAGATGAGAGGCTTGCTGGCCGGAGGCGACGACGAGGCGAATTTCTTCTACAACATCCATCATCTACAGATCCATCGACGGGCCCGAGCACTACGTCGCCTGGGTGATGAAGCCGAGAAAGGAAGCCTAAAGAGCAAGACAATTTCCGACGTCTTTGCGCCACTGGTCGGACAATTTCTGTTCGAAGAGAATGTCGAAAAGAGCGATCATCACCTCGTCAATGACGCGGTTGTCTGCCTCGGTAGACTGACTTCGCAACTTCAATGGGGGCCTTACAATGCGCAGCTGTGGAAATATCTCGGCCTGGCAAGCAAGGACAAGGAGCACGAAAAGATCTTTGTCCGTGCCGCTATGGCGATACTGGACAACTTCCACTTCGACATGGACGAGCAGGCCATACTCGATGAGGCAGCTGCTGACGGAGACGAAGACGCCGAGAATGGCGAGGAGAGAGCGGAAGAAGAAATCGACGCTGGAATGCAGGTGGACGACGAGGAGCAAAAGACCAAGGCCGTGGCCCAATCGCGAAAGGTTCTCGGAGCAGTGACGAATCGGCTGCTCCCCAAGTTGATGGGCTACCTGAACCAGAAAGAAGATGCGGAGGATACGGTGCGATTGCCGCTCGCAGTCGGCATCGTGCGCGTCATGCAGAGGCTGCCAGAGGAGTCAAGAGATCTACAGATTCGGAAGCTTCTCAACACCATGGCAAATGTGTTCAGAAGCAAGTCGCAGGAAACGCGCGATCTGGCACGAGAAGCGCTCAGCAGGGTTGCCCTGTCCTTGGGCCCCTCGTACTTTGCCATGCTCGTCCACGAACTAAGACGGGCACTGACCCGTGGTCCACAGCTCGCTGTGCTGGCATACACGGTACACAACATCCTCGTCAACATGATGGCCGTGCCGTACGAGGATGAGAAACGTGACCATCTCACATTGCTCGATGAGGGTGTTGCCGACGTCGTGCACGTCGCCGCAGAGGACATCTTCGGACACACGGCCGAGGATCGAGAGGCCAACGAGCACTATCGAAGCAAGACGCGCGAGATGCGGCAAAGCAAGAGCATGGACACCTTCGAGCAGCTCGCTAAGGTCGTCGCGCCAAAGCAGATGACGACGGTCCTTGCCCCCGTTCGCGATATTATGCAGCAAACAGAGGCTCAGCGGGCAGTGCGGGGTATCGATGGCGTGCTCAAACGAATTGCAGCAGGTCTCAATGCCAACGCTCATTTCGCGGACAACGATTTTCTCGTTCTCATCCACACGCTTCTGAATCGCGACTCTCCCTTCTTGCAACCACGGAAGAAAGAAAAGGTTGACGGGGACAAGGACCTACCGCCTAACCACACAGTCCTGCTCAAACGGAGAGACGTCGAAAAGGGCCAAATAAATCGTGATCACTTCAGCCGCAACGTCCATCGCTTCGTCGCATTCGGCCTTGACATGCTCATCACGGCTCTCCGCCGCAATCGTTTCGACGTCACCGACGCAGGCACACGGTCTCGACTGGAACCTATGGTCAGCAGCGTTGCGAACTGCCTCTACGCGCCCGAAGTCGACCTCGTCACGCTGGCTCTCAAGGCAGTGGGATCACTCGTCAAGCTTGGCTCCGAAACGTTGCCTTCCCTCCAGAAGGGTCTGCCGCTCATCGTGAAGCAGACGATAAAGCTCGTGCAGAGCGAGGGAGGGACGCAGTCCGATGTGTCGCAGGCTGCCCTCAAGATGCTCTCCGTCGTCATGCGTGAAGATGAAGTCGACTTCAGCGAGCAGCATCTCGCCGATCTGTGCCATCTCATCGTGTCAGATCTCGAAGAGCCAGCAGTGCAATCGACGCTCTTTGCGCTCCTCAAATCCATCGTTGGCCGCCGTTTCGTCGTCGCGCAAGTGTACGATGCCATGGACAAGGTGGCGGAGATGCTCGTGACAAACCAGTCCTCTTCGATCCGCGAGACGTGCCGGTCCCTTTTCTTGCAGTTCCTCCTCGATTATCCGCAGGGCAAGAAGAGGCTCAGCAACCAGATGCACTTTCTGGCCAAGAACGTATCCTACACGTACGAGAGCGGTCGCTTGAGCGTGATGGAGCTCATAAGGGTCGTCTTGGCCAAGTTTGACGCGACACTCCTCAAGGACTACCTCGACGTATTCTTTGTGGCGTTGGTCATGGTGCTCGCGAATGACGACTCGGCGCCGTGCAGGGATGAGGCAGCGAAGCTCATTACAACGATCGTGACTCTATCTGACCGCTCTGAAGGAGAGCAGGACGAGAACGGTATTGGGAAGCTCGTGCGCCTGACCCATGCCTGGGCCGAGCAAAGCGACAAGCCGGCGCTCGCCCGTGTCGCTGTGCAGACTTATGGTCTCCTCCTCGATGGAGCGCCGGCGTTCGCTTCTTCCTGGGCACCCCGAGCGACCAAGAACGCGTCGAAACTCCTTGAGCATTGTGTCGAACAGCTCGAAGAAGTCGAACGGATGGGACTGCCAGCGGAATCAATGGGCCAGGATATCGTGACGCAGCTCGACCTCGATTGGCAGCTACCGTACCAAACCATGCAGACTCTTTCGAAGCTATACAAGCGCGAAGACTGCCGGTCGCTTCTCGACGACGCCAACATCTGGGCCGATGTTAGGGGCCTACTCCTGTTCCCTCATTCATGGGTTCGCATTGCCGCGTGCCGCTTGCTTGCCTCACTCTTTGCGCATGCCGACCAGGAGGCTGTGGTTGACAGACTGCGCGGCAGCGGGGAAGACGAGGCTCTCGGACTCGTTTCGCTCGTCGATGCGGCCCGGAAGATGGCCCTCCAGCTCAAGAGCCCTCAACTCGAAGAAGATCTGGGTTTGCAGATTGTTAAAAACCTCGTCTTTTTAGGACGATGCTTTGCGCCCATCTCCAAGTCGATCGTTACGAAGGACCAGGAAGTCTCTGTTGACGGAATGGACGCCGTCGCAGACGACGGTGACCATGAGGACAGCGAGGAGGAGTCCGTCGACGAGGGGCCGGACAAACCTGAGGCCGAAGAGGAAAGGGAGACCGAACAGGGCTGGCGAGAGAATCCGCTTGCCTGGCTCTTTTCGAAGCTGTCCTACCAGGCCCGCACAGCTCGGTTGCATGGCGAGCTCAACAACTCCGTCTCGGGGGCCGGTAGCGTTCGAGGAACCAAGGCGATCCTTCAATGGATGGCTGCGATGTCCCAGCACCTCTCCACAAAGGGCGACGACGAGGAGACTGGAGGAAAGAAGAAGCTCGAGGCCTTCTTGCCCCACATCATCCACGTCCTGTTCAGACTCGTCAGCGACCCAGTCATTGCGTCTCAGCCTTCTACGTCGGCACTCTCCGACCTCGCAAAGGAGGTGCAGGAGCTCGTTCAGGGCCTCGTGGGAACTAGCGCATTTGCGAGCGTCTGGACGCGCGTGCAGGCACAGGTCCGGGAGAGGCGAGAGCGAAGGAGGCAGCAGGTGCTCACGAGGGCCATCAGGGATCCCGAGGCGCAGGAGCGGAGGAAGCGCAAAATCAATGAGAACAAGCACAAGAACCGGAAGAGAAAGAACCAGGTCCATGCGTCAAGAAAGGAGGGCGTCAGGCCAGTCAAGCGACATAGAATGTAGCTGTTTACGGAATCTGTAATACAATCCCGCCTTTGCATGAGCAAGGGCGGTAATGAAATAATCTTTTGACAGTCACAGAGGAGGTGTTAGCTTCGATACGATACAGAGAAAGGCGATGAGGGGAAAGTGATCAGATGCGAGGGACGTAGTCGTCATCACGGGGTGACTTGTTGTGCGACTTAGAATGCGCGTCAGTGTCGTCACCCTTGAGCGTGTCGAAGCTTCCACGTCGCTCGTCGTCATCTTCATCGCCGCCGGCATGCACGCCCCGTGAGCTTCCAGGCCGAGGCCCGTCAGTGACCTGATGGTCATCAGAGAAGGGGCCAGCCTGCTGGTGGCCATAAGGCGCGCGCTTGGCATCGTCCAGGTTGACACTCGATGGCCGGTTCACGCCGTCATAGGTCGGCGGCATTCTGTCTTGCTGGCCATAGTGAGGGGGCACATGACCTGACGGAGGAGGTCCGGGAGGTGGAGGATAGCTGTACGGATTGTTTGCGTAGTGACCTCCATTGTAGGGCGTCTGGTAGTATGCGTCGGTATCGTATGGAGCGCCCTGCCCGTACTGCGCAGAGGGTGCCGCCTGCTGCTGCCTTCGTCCCCAAAAGGTTGCCGCTGGTCTTTCACGGACGCTGAGCGGGTCGAGGAGCTGTCGGACGTAGCCGAAGCTAAAGCTGACGAAGAAGGTGCCGACAAAGATTGTGACGATCAGCCAGATGATCGTCCAGGTACGATCAGAGCTCCACTGCGACTCGCAGTACGTCCTCGCTTGGGCCTCCGTCAGTGTACCATTGTTCGAGGGAGAGATGTCGAGGAGGCCGCCGTCCGATTCGGTCCGGCCTGTGTGGCGCGCTGTGCACACGTTGACGATGTCCGTCTTGAGGGTAAAGGTGACGACGATGCCGAGCAGCTCCGATGCAATAACCGCAGCGAAGGCGAGGAGAGAGGCCCACGAGTACGTGCGGGCCAGGGGCAGTCGTTGCTGTTTTTAGCTCAAAGGTCAGCGAGGCAAACACGGGCGGTCTCCACAGCGCACTCTACTACTAACAGTATAGACTGCAAAGAATCCAAAGACTTCAACGGCGGCAGCTCCCATGAACAGGGCACCGCACACAATTTCAAAGAGCTTGAGCTTGCCCGTCTCCTCCTTGTGTCCAGCGTCTTTGAAGTTGCCGGCGCCCAGAAGCACAAGGTAGATGAAGGAGATGACCGTCGAGAAGAGCAGGATTGGCCGAAGGCTGTACGGATACACGCGATTGAGCACACGAGCATAGGCTGGCGGAGGGCCCGTTGGAGGAGGCGCCCGGGTCTCGGGTTGGTATGCGTCGTCCATGCTTGGTGGGTAGCAGAGGGCGATGGTTGTCTTCGTAGGTGTTGTTGTTGTAGAACACTGCCCTAGCCGTTTATGCCCCTTTCTGATTTATTTCGCACGTGTAACGAACGCGGAGCCGGACGTCAAGCTTCAGGAACGGCACGGTCTTCTTCAGATTGGCACTGCAAGGACTTGTGCAATCGTGCGGCCCTAGTCCTTATTGATCTTCCAACACCCATCTTCCAACTCCTCCTTTGACGAACAATACCCCGTAGTTCCAAGGCCGGGTCACTACACAAAAACAGAAGCAGCCTGAACTATCTCCGCCGCCTCGCGGCACGTCACACAGACTGTTGGACTCGTGTCGCGGACGTGGAGGGCGTGAGGAACGCGTCGAGAAGAGACATCCTGGAGACCAGATGGGCGACATTGCTCGCATCGCAAAGGCCGATGTCCATCGCATCACAAGCGGCCAGGTAGTCTTGGACGTTCAGACAGCCGTCAAGGAGCTGATCGAGAACGCTCTCGATGCGGGGGCCACGAGCATAGGTGTGTGGGCCCCTTCCTTCCGTACACGACATGGCCAGAGAAGGCTGACTGATTTTTCTCCGAAAGAGGTCCGCTTCAAGGAGCACGGCAGCGAAAGCATTGAGGTCATCGACAACGGTAGCGGAATCGCTCCAAGCAACTATGAGAGTCTCGCCTTAAAGCACTACACCTCGAAATTGACGACATTTGACGACCTTACCAACGTCGAGACATATGGCTTTCGCGGCGAGGCGCTCTCGTCACTGTGCGCTCTTGCAGAGGTCCAGATGCATACCGCCACAGCGACAGAGGCGCCCACGGGTACCATTCTCGACTTCGACCATGCAGGTCATGTCAAGGCGAGAGATAAGAAAGTGGCCCGACAGGTGAGAGCCTCCTCGTGGACTACTGAAGCCTGTCAGGCTGACGAGGATTGAGTAGAGAGGAACCACAGTCACCGTAGAGAATCTCTTCCATTCGCTGCCGGTGCGGAGGAGAGAGCTGCTCAAGAACATCAAGCGCGAGTACACAAAGGCACAGACGCTGTTGCAGGCCTACGCCGTCATCACAAAAGGCGTGCGATGGATGGTCAGCAACTCAATCAAGGGGTGGGTGTCTTGCTAAGCTTCTGTGCCTGCCTGCAGCTTACACTTTTTCGTAGCCGGAAAACACCCGCTCTCACCGTCTCTGCTTCCAGTGGATCCAATTACGTCGCAGCCAACGTAGGAGCTGTCTTTGGACCGAAGGCCATGGCATCACTTATCCCTCTGAATCTCGAGATTCCACTCAGCGGATCAGCCTTGAGGCGTGGAAGACAAGGGCCGGAAGAGGTCGAGGAGAGTAATGCAGAGGACACGGTGTTTGTGCGTGGCCTCATTTCGAGACCGACTCCGGGAAGCGGACGATCCTCGTCGGACCGCATATTTCTGTACATCAACGGTCGACCTTGGGATTCTACCAAGCTGACAAGAAGCTTCACGGAGGTCTATCGCTCCTTCAACACCAACCAGGCTCCAGTGGTCATTGCCGACCTCACCTTGGCCAGAGATCGATATGACGTGAACGTCAGTCCGGATAAACGCACCATGCTCATCCACAACGAGGCAGATCTGGTCGAGGGTCTAAAGGTAAGTACTGTCGTCTCTGAAGAAATGAGTACACCAGCTGATCGACGCCTAAAAGACCTGCCTCGAGGAAAGCTTCGCGCCCTCGCGTGCCACTTTCACCCTGGCAGGTGCGACTAGCTCGGCCACCAAGGCCACAGCTGCTCAATCTCAACTGCCTTTCAAAAGGCAGCAGATTGAAGGACAGACCTCATCAGAATCCGATGATAACGAAAGCGAAGAGGCAGTCAAAGTTACTTCTGCGGGAGCTGTCCGTCGTCGAGAAGTTGGCAGCGATGAGGACGAAAATAATGAGGTCATCCCAAGGCCGAGCAAGCATCGGCGCCGTGACGATCACGGAATGCATTTCCAAGCTACTTCGTCGCCAAAGACGTCTTCGCCTCGGCCGACATTCGAGCCAGCGGTCGAGACTGAAGAGGACGTGATCATGCACGATCAGGAAGAAGAGGCGCCCCAAAGGAGCGCACATGGCTACGTTGATGCAGTCATCGACACCACTTCTGCCTCCTGGTCGCCAGAGAAGAAGCGTACGTCATCACAAGGTGCTCTTTCCTCGTCCGATCGTACAGCGAACGGTTCACAATCTTCTCCATCAGCCTCGAGGATCCTAGGAAGAGGGGCAACCTCAAGCAGTCGAGAGCTGTCCAAACCGACGGAGTCTCTACGCGATTATGCGCTTTCAGGAACCCCTCTCAAAACGCAAGAGGTCATAGCTTTAGATGAAGAGGAGGGAGTACGCGAGATTGCCACCTCAGACCTTGAGTACAGAGAGGACGGAATCGAGATGTTCGAACCGACAAGCGCTGAATTGAGCCAAAGGCAAGAGGAGCAAGAGGAGCAAGAGGAGCAAGAGGAGCAAGAGGAAGCAAGTGTCGAGCGCGAATCAGGCTCCGATGATCATGTCGTAGATGACAAGACTGAAAGAGATCGTGGAAGACAGCACCAAGACTCTCACAAGAGCGAAGACTCCAACAGCCTTGGAGAAGAAGGCGAAGGTGAAACGAATCGTGAGGAAACGCTCGTCATGCTAGATGCGGAGGGTGCTGCCATCGAACGAAACGAAAGAGGTGCAGCGGAAAGGGCGTGGAAGGATGAGATCCTCAGTGTCAACGAGGCTGGTGAAGTCGTCATGCCGATCGACATGGAACGCATCTCGCTCCAATGTGCTCGAATGCTGTCGAAGCAGTCAGCATCGGCTTTGCAAGGCCAAGGGGAGGCACAGGAAGCCAATGAAGAAGTCGTGGGCGAGGCAGGCATTCACCAACGCGACACCGAACGAGCTGAGCGAGAGCTGAGCCGCGTTCTGAGCAAGGCAGATTTTGCGCAGATGCAAGTCATCGGACAATTTAATCTGGGATTTATCGTTGCCCGCCGAACGAAGAGAGGTACAGACGACGAAGACGCAGATGATCTGTTCATCGTCGATCAGCACGCGGCCGACGAAAAGTACAACTTTGAGACGTTGCAGGTCGAGAGCAAGATTCCCACGCAGCCATTGCTGAGGTAAATACCATTGTCGTGCAACCTTCGCTTGATGCTGATGCCACCTTGCAGGCCAAAGACGCTGGAATTGTCGCTGGTGGATGAAATGGTGGCGATGGAGCACGTTGACACGATCAAAAGCAAGGGATTTGAGCTTCAAGTCGACGCAGAGGCACCCGCTGGTTCCCGTATCAAGGTCGTCTCTCAACCGCTAAAGTTGAACGACAAGGGTGAATATTCTAGCGTATTCTCCTTTCGCTCGAAGTGCTGACTGGAATGTCGATTAGACCTTGAGGAGCTCCTCTTCCTCCTGAGAGAAGCTGTACCAGGCGGACCCTTGGCCATGCGAGCTCAATGCTCCAAAGTTCGGAGTATCTTCGCCTCGCGCGCCTGTCGAAAAAGCGTCATGATCGGCATGGCCCTCAACAAACGGCAAATGACGACAGTGCTTCGGCACATGGGCACCATTGACCAGCCCTGGAACTGCCCACACGGGCGGCCAACCTTGCGCCACCTGTGCCAGGTGGCTCCCATGGGCACGTCAAAGAATCGATCAATCAGCTGGTCGAGGATCTAATCTTATGTAATAGTATCTGGGCATTCTTTTGGCAGAAGTGGTGATGTAATCTACAATCGTTGCATGTCTACTTGGTCGAGGGACCATCTTTTGGTTGTGTGTATCTCCACACGAGGTCGAGCTCCTCCTGCAACGTCTCCTCTCTGAATCTCAGACGGATGTCGGGGACGTTTGATTTGGCCACGTTGTTACCCCGGGGCCCTTTAACAAAGTAGGAGGGACCCAGCCAGTGGCGTACCAGCTCTGTCTCGAAGCCGCTCTGCAGCACCGAGTGTCGAGCGAGCTCACACATGTCTAATTTCGCCGGATGTGTAAGCTCGTCGCCCACAGGAAAGTGAAAGTCAAAGGCAACTCACCTGACGGCGTCAGCTTGTAGATTTGGGTCGCGACGCTGTATTCTTCCAGCAATGGCTCTTTCGACAGGTGGAACTGCAAGGGATCGTCTGTGCTGATTGATACGTTCATGCCCATCCTCAGGAATTGAGGGAAGGGGTTGCGTTCATACGAGAGGAACAGCGCATTGTTGCTCAGAGGCGACATTGCCATTCCGATTTGTTTGAGCTGGTGACCAGAGTCAGTCGCGATAGAATCGGGAAGAAAAGCAAAGGAGGCTCACATAGTAGAGGTATTGAAGGGCGGGGACCTTCCGGAGGAGAATGCCGTGGGAAATGGATTGAGATGTGAGGTAGGCCGCAGCCATGTGGTCCGTGTCGCCCGCCTCGCCAGCGTGGGGCCTCAGCACAAATGTGTCTGGAAAAGAACAGTCGAAGTCAGCGAGAGGCTGAAGAAGAGGAAGAAGAAGAGAAAAGTCGACTCACTGAATCCACGCATTCGCCTCCAGTGATTCAGGCTCGACATGTTGGCGAACATGTAGTACATCCAGTAGTTGTACGGCGGGCTCTGCTTGTAGTCCCACAGCTTCGGGACGGGGAACTTGCGATGCATCCGGCGCTCGGCCTTGGACTCGTCGTCGACGACGTCGAATCCAACGACGCGCTGGAGGAAAATGTGTAACTTGGGGTATGAAGATGGATCCTGGGTGACCTCGAAGAGTGGGCCAAAGACATTGTCAAGAAGCTGCTCGAAGTTCTCGACGGTGCCATTGGCCTTGTAGACTTCGTAGAGGCGAGGCACCTGGATGAGCCACCGAACATTTGGGCTGAAGAGGTTGTTGTCGACGATCCACGCCGCCAGTTTCTCCCACTCGCTCCGACTTCTTCCGTAGATGGAGATCCTGTATTCAGTCATCTGATACTTGCTCTGCTCAAGATCAGCAAAGAGTTCCTTGGTGATCTCAGCGAGGTAGCGACCCTTGATGAGATTGTCGGTCTTTAGGAAGATTTCTCGCAAACGCGATTCGCCAATTGGGTTGTACTTGAGATTGAATTTGTCGAAGCGGTGAAAAGCGTCCTGATGGGCGTGCATGTCAAGGGTGTCGATAGACAGGTCGTATGCAGTGAGATTGAGCGACTCAAAGACCTGCTGCAGGGTTAGATGGGAACCATCTCTGAAGATGACAACGTCGTCAGGGAAACGCTTGATCTTTGCCTTGATGAAGCGGAGCAGGTGCTTCTGGTTCATCGACGCGCTGTGATGAACGTGTGTGTCCACCTTTCTGACGTTATAGAAGTCGCTGCAAAAAAAGCTTCAGCATCAGTAATGGAGCCCTTAACGAGACAGTAGAAGGGCGAACTCACCGGTGCGGGACCCTCTTCATGTCCGCGAGCTCTCTGTACTCATTGAGCAGGATGTAAAGATTCCACTTGCCGTCGAGGTACTTGAGCCGTCTCCACGCAAAGGACTTGGTGGGCCCATCCGAGATGACGGACAGGAGGTAGTCGAGATCGCGAAAGTATTCGCGAATCGAGGGGATCCGGAACAAGGGCTTTGGTGTGGATCCATTGGCCTGCGCCTGAGGCTCTTGCTGCCCGAGCTTCTTCTTGTCTTCTTCCATCCACACTTGGCAGACTCCAGACTCGTCCATGGCCCAAGATACATTTTGGCCTTTTACCTGATGCCTGCCTGGAATGGACACGTGCTCCATGCTAAAGACGCCAGGTCTGCGGCCAGTGGCCTCCAGGAGCGCTTGTGCAGCTTTGGCGTTTGCTGGAGAAGCCGGAGGAATAGCAGGAGGCAGAGGATTGACACTGGTCGGGCGGACGACGAAGCTCGACTGCGGTGCTGGTTCAAAGTGTTCCCAGTGAGGCCGTGGGGGAGCCGGATAGACCCGCCATGGCTTGGGGGTAACACCGTCCGAGCACAGGGCGCTTCCGTCGACTTTGATAGTACCACACTCCTTCTCCCTGATGTCCCTCGATTGGCTCCCACGTCCATTCTCCTTGTCCCACTTTTCGCAATATTCCGCGTCCCAATTCCTCGGATTGTCCTCCCATTTGCCCTGAAGCGAGACATCCATGTACTTGTCGCGAAGGTCGAGGCACTTTTGCAAATTGACGTACAGCGCTCGAAGTTCGTCCGTCAGCTCGTCAGAACCAGGGGCTTTAGCTGATGAGGCCTGCTCTGACGTCGCACCCATACTGGCAAGGGCGGCAGCGGCCTCTGCGGGAGACGCTGCATACCGTTTGACCTGCTCTTTGACATCCTCGACTTGACCTGGTCTGTGCGATGGCACCTTTTCTTCTTCTTGGATCTCGAAGAAGCCAGATGCTTGCTCGCCAGTGATGTGGGCCGCATGCGGCGTGGGTACATGATGGCCTTCTCCGCTCGTCGTCAGGTCCACCTTGGATCCAGCAGCGTCACTGCTCCCATCCTCGACCGCACTGTCCGTCGTTGACATGGCTTGCAGCTTCTCCGTCAGCGCAGCCGGCGTCGACGTCCTCCGCTGTGCCCAGAAGCGCGAGTCACTCTATGCAACGCAGCCACGCGTGAGCTATCGCTGCATACTGCTAACGGCAGAAGGAATCTTCAGGCTCACCTGATGTAGCTGCTTTTCGTCTTGCTCCGAGTAGTGGGCCGCACCAGCACTGGGCCTGTGATGCAGTCCTGGCGAGATGAGGCCATCGTGCGAAGGCGACGACGGGCGCGACGAATCGGGCGTGTCGGTGTCCGCTGACGAGTAAAGGCGGCTCACACCAGAGGGCCTTCGCGAATCAGTCGCCATTGTCTTCCTGTTGGTCGTTGGGGTTTTGACAAAGGCGAGCTTTATCTTTCGCACCTTTCCAAAAAGTCTGCACAAAAAAGGAAACAAAAAATCGCGATACTGACTCGGGAGTCGGACCGAGGCTACTACTGACTTAGGACGGCCGAGGTTCCGGAGCTATCTTCAACAAGCTGGCACTCGTGGTGAAAGACGCCATCCTTGAAGAAGAGCTTCCTGCGCTCGACAGGAGCTCTCTCTCACTGATTCCTCCCTCTCCCCGTGCACACAAGAGGCGGGGCTGAAGAAAGATGGAAGCCCGATCAGCGGAGCAAGTCCGTGCGCGTTGCTCTTAGCACACGTGGCCAAGAACAGAAAAAAGGACGGACGTGTTTTCTCCGCCCCTCGCAACGTTAGGCACTGGACTGAAAAACACGCCCACACGACACGCTCGCGCGAACCAGAGGCGACGAAAAGAAAAGACGGGGCGACCACTTTGGACAATAAGTAGTAGCGCGCCCTCCATTGCGAAACGGGGGATCCACTTGCGATCTAGCTGCAAAGAAGACGCGCTCGGGCCCAATTTATCTGTGCAGGCGTACGAGGTTCGCGCCACGGTCGAACGACATTGGTACGCGTTTCGAAGACGAAGATGAGCCAGAACGACACGCTGCCGGACTGGGGCCGGGGTAAGTCCCTACTTTCACTTTCAGGCTCCACTGCTTGCTCTCTGACAATCTTGTCAAACAGTCGTCATTGCCGGAGGTACCGACTGGCGGAACTTGGGACGAAAGCCACCTGGCGGGAAGGTGGCATCGCCTGATGCGTGAGCATTCATCCACCCTCGCTTCATCGGTGGAACAAGTTAGATTGACTCGGATTTTGCAGACCCGACCTGCCAGACCCGCATATCTTGAGAGATGTGGCCAACCAGAAGATGAAGAGGGTGTTCAGTGGTCACTCCGCGTGCCACGCAGTCTTCATCAACACGCGCGGCGAGGCCTTTGTCCTCGGTCGAAACGAACACGGGCAGTGCGGGGTGCCCATCCAAGCCGACGCAGGCGAGCCAAAGGGCACCACCGGGCCTGTCATCTCCGTCCCCGTCAAGCTGCTACGGAGCCGACATTTCACGCCCGAGCTCCCCAGAGGCCCCGACGGTGAAATCGTGCACGTTGCGTGTGGACGCAACCACACCATCCTCGTCACCCGAGGCGGGCAAGCGTATGCTGCTGGTGCAAATGCCTTGGGCCAGTGTGGAAATGCAGACACAATCGACTTGCAGGGCTTTCGTAAAATTGAAGGGGCGCCGTTCATCAAGGAAAAGGACCCCGTTGTCCAGGCCGGTGCGGGCGTTACCTTCAGCCTCGTCCTCACAGCTTCTGGAAAAGGTGAGGAGAGTTATCTACAGGGAAAGAAAGCCATCAAGTTCTGACAAGTGACGACAGTCTATGCCATGGGATCTTCCGAAAAGGGTCAGATGGGCAATGGAAAGACGGGAGAGCACTTTGTCACAAGCAACAAGCTGGCATTCAACACCTTCACCGAGCCCATCCTCGTTCGTGCCATCTCGGACAAGAAGATTGTCCAGATCTCGTGTGGACAGCAGCACGCCATTGCGTGAGTCTCGGTCTTAAACTTTTTCTCGATGACAAAACGCTCACAGGCTGAGGAGCGATTCAGTATGGATGAGGAGGGATTCTGCTATGTGTGGGGTTTCGGAGGATATGGCAGACTGGGCTTGGGTCAGCAAACGGACATGTTGACGCCCACGCTCGTCCCTCAATTTGCTAGGTGAGAGGCTAGCACCCCTATTTCAGAATTGAACGGCACCTCTCACTAATGAGCTCACCTCAACAGGGACAATCAATTGACACGGGCAGAGCAGGTTATTGCCGGACCCACCAATACCGTCGTCATCGATCGCCAGAGAATGTACTGGCTCGCAGGCAAGTGGAAGACGTCGGGCGACGGTGGCGCCGGCCAGGGCTTCATGACGTTCAAATACCTTCCCGACCTGATGGGATGCAAGATGCAACGCGCCGCCCTCGGAGGCGTCACGCTCATCTGTACCGCTGACGAGGAGGCGACCGCCCGCGGCCCACACGAGGCGACGATGAACATCTGCTGGGGTCAGAATGCGACCTACGGCGAGCTGGGTCTCGGTGTTGACAAGCCTCGAAGCGCGACAAAGCCTCAGCGCTGCGAGACGCTCGATGGAATCAGCATCATCGACCTGGCTGCGGGTCAGAACACAACGTACTACATTGCGCGCAACCTTGGCGACAACTATGCCGAATTGCCGCGCTTCCCCGAGCTCGTCGAGTCGTCAGACGTGTGCCAGGTCTGCCAGTCGGAAAAGTCAAAGACGGGCGACGACGATAAGGACGTGCTGCTCGAGTGCGAACGATGCGAGCACCCGTACCACCTCCAGTGCCTCGACCCGCCGTTGGATGCCGTGCCAGAGGGCGAATGGCAGTGCCCAGTCTGCGTCGAAGACGGGGAGGCATCCGAGGACGCTGACGCACAGGCTGCGAGCAAGAAAAAGGGTCAAAAGAATGGATCGGCAACAGCGGCGCCTGCATCCTCAAACAAAAAGAGGGGCGCTGGAACAATCCAGGAGGAGGCAAAGCCAAAGAAGAAGGGGAAGAAGTGATGAACAATTCGGAGAAGGCGAAGGGCTGGAAGAGGGCCGCATTCGTCTTACTGCGATCGCCTTCACCCTGCCTTTCCGCTGGGCATCTGTCCCTGATGTATTCTAAGGAGTAGTCTTGCATGAATAGTGCTACAACATGATATGTAAAGAACAATAACAATGGGTCGATCCAGTCGACATTCAGATCTTCATCGGCAGAAAAGAAGATTTCATCCCCAAGTGGTGGGCGGTTGGAAACGACCTTTGGTGTATCCTCCTCTCGTGTTCCTTTCCTCCTTTTCCTTCTTCTTCTTCTCCTTCCTGTCGATCCTCTTCTGCGGGTCGTTGGCCTCTTCGAGCTTGCGCTCTTGTCGCTTGTCTGCCTTGGAAGTGCTGAGCTGGCTCGGCAACGTGCTTTGCAGCCTCTCCCTCATCTCCTCCAACGGTGGGCCGCTCGCCATCTCTGCGAGAGCCAAAGCGGTGTAGTGCGCATCGTTTGCGGCATTGTGCGTGGCCTCGATTCGCGATCCATTGACGCCAAGGATCAGGCAGAGGTTCTTGAGTCCGATCTGTTTCATTTTGTCACCAACCTGAAGGGCCGCAAAAAGCGCCTGCGTGTCAATGACGCGGACCGCGTGAAGCGGGCGACCATCGGCCGTCTCTGTGCGCAAGGCTGGCTGGACCAGGTTCGCCACAGTTGGGCCGAGAGCACTGGACGAAGTGCTGGAGCTTTCGGCGTCGTCTTCGTGACCGTTGCTGTCAGTGTCGTTGATACCGTCGTTTCGCTCGCTAACTTCCTCAGAGACAGCGAAAGTCCAGTGGGTGCTGTTCACCTGTAACGATTCTAGCACACCAAGGTCTGTTTGCAAAAATGTCAGTCCATCACTTTCCGTCACTCGAAGAAGTGGAAAGACTCACCGCCCCCCGCGCAATGGAAGACAATGTAGACAGGGCCACGCTCGCGCAGATCTTCAATCACCTTCGACAGCTCCGCGCCGAGTTCGAGGAGGCCAGCGATGCGGGTACACGAATTCCACGGCGAAGCGTGGCCTGCCGTGTCGACATCGATACTGCTCTCATCTCCAAAGAGGAAACGCATGCGATTGTCTGGCACGTATTTACCGTTGCGCAAGTTGTCCTCGTAGGACTCCTGGACAAGAAAGTGCGTGGTGTTCTGCTGAAATCCTCCGGTCCGAGGGACGATCAGGCTCCAGCCAACCTCGATGATGATGTCCTTGTCACGGGTATCTTGATCCCAACACTCGGTATCGATGGCGAGGAAGTGGGCGACGGGCCCTGTGCTCGTCGAACGTAGCCAGAGCTGTCGGACATCTTCGTAGTCGCTGCGCCACTGCTTCAAGTCCTTGGCCCTCTTTATTTCGCTATTATGCTGCCTGACCTGATTCTCGAGTTTCCTGTCGGGTTCGTAGGTGTCAGTGTGACCAATGACGGCGGTCTCTGCCCAGACTCACCTCAGCTGCTGTTGCGATTCGAGCACAAAGCGCTCCAAATTTTGGACCGTTTCCTTCCCTTGTTCCTCGGCACCATCCTCGTACACCAGTCGAGCGTTGATACCCCTACGGCCCCTTGGTACGGGAATGATTGTTTCCGTCTTCTTGTGCACGTAGAGCTTGTTAACGTGCATCGTGACGTGTGCTTTGGGAAGGAGAATGGCTTTCTGGCCATCCCGTCCAACAACGGCCACATACACCTCAATTCCGCCCAGAGAGACCTCTTTGCCGGAACATTGGTCCAGATAGCTGACCTCGGAGTAGAAAGGACTCTTGGACCGGCTGAATTCATTGTTCATGGCAGACATTGCCGCTGCAACGTCCTCTGGGCTATTTGTGTCAACAATCGCCTTGATGTTTGGCAGCTGAACTGTTCCCTGTCGGTCGTTCTCCCCTCCTCTTCCCTTTCCCCTGGTCCTGGGCTTTGGCTTGTTTGGGTCAGCGTAGCTGGGCAGCCACATCTTCATACGAAGCGTACTTCCAAGCACGGCCAAGTCCTTCGAGCTGGGCAGCGGCATCGACGGGTGCTCTTCATTTCTGATACGATGCTCGGACAATTCTTTTGTCCAATCGTAAGCTACCGAATTCCATCGCACAAAATCCTTGGGAATATCTTCGTTGGCGGGCAGAAGGATTCGATGGGGAGTGGCAGATGGCCGAGGATGCAAAGAGCTGGAGCTGGAAGTTCCAGCCTCCGAGCTTGCATTGCCGGCGCCATCCGATGATGCCTGCGGAGCTGTGAGGTATGAAGCTTCCGAATCCGTCGAGGACGACAGTGAGGTAATCCCCGTCGCCATTGTCGAGCGACTGACGAGGGTGGTGATGGCCTTCCTCCACAGGCATTGGTGTTGTTCAAGGGACGCCGTCCTCGGGAGTCGGGCAAATTTAAGCTTCCCACGCGAGCCAAGCCGTTACGTGGAAGGCTACGACCAAGGACAAGGCTAGTCAAGATCTTCCACTTCGCTCTTGTCTCTCTGGACTAGCTAGACCTTCGCAAAAACAGCTCAAGATGGCGAGACGACATACGGCGGCCATGATGCTCGCCGCCCTCGTCGGGCTTCTCTGCGCTTCTTTCGTTACGTCTATGGGCGTTGTCGGCATCGACTACGGGACAGAATCGATGAAGGTGTCCCTGGTCAAGCCCGGACTGCCCTTTGATGTGGTCCTGTCGAGAGACTCAAAGAGGAAGATTCCGTCGGCTGTGGCGTGGAAAATGCAGGAGCGTCTGTACGGCAGCGACGCTGCCAACCTGGCAACGCGATACCCAGGCGACACCTTCCTGGGCGCTAAGCTGCTCCTTGGTAGGAGCATCGAGTCGGTCGATGACCAGGCCCGTTTGCGGCAGTCGGAGCTGCTGGGATCGCAGCTCATCCCCAGCGTCAACCGAAGCAGCGTCTCAGTGAAGAGGGAGACGGACTACACGATCAACAAAGAGGGTTCCGACGAGTACACTGTTGAGGAGCTTGTCGGCATGCAGCTCAGCCACGCGAGGACGCTCGCAGAGGAGACTGCCGGTGAGGAGGTGATCCGGACATTCCCAGGCTCGGTTGGCACATTTGGTGGACTCGACGTCGTCATCACCACGCCCATCTTCTACACTGCCGCCGAAAGACAGGCGCTCTTCGATGCTGCCTCCGTCGCTGGCCTCCGGCCCAAGCTCGTCTCGGATGGCGCTGCTGCTGCCGTCAACTTTGCCTTGACGCGGCAATTCACCAAGCCCGAGAGGCACCTCTTCTTCGACAGCGGTGCGGGTTCGACGAGGGCGACACTCGTCGAGTTCAGCACCAAGCAGGTCCAGGCCGACTCGATCTTGTCGATTGGCTCGACCCAGAAGGAAGCCACCGTCATCCAGGTCCTCAGTGCTGGCTGGGACAGGCAAGCGTCTGGTCTCGCCCTGGACGTTCTCCTGCGCGACCATCTGGCCGGCCTTTTCCAGACGCAGCACGGCTCGAAGCTGGCTAAGCCGGTCAAGGAACAGCCTCGCGCCATGGCTCGCCTGTTGAAGGAGGCCAACCGGGTCAAGCACATCCTCAGTGCCAACGCCGACGCATCGAGCAACGTCGAAGGCCTCGCTGACGACATCGACTTCCGAGCCAAAGTGACGAGAGACGAGTTCGAGTCGCTGGCCGACAAGGCCGGTCTTCGTTCCAGGTTCGGCCAGCCGGCCACGGACGCACTCAAGGAGGCCAAGCTGACGATCAGCGACATTGACTCGGTCATCTACGTCGGTGGAACGACTCGCGTGCCACTGGTGCAGGCTGCTCTGAGGGAAGCGGGCGTCCCCGATGCCAAGATCGCGCAGAACGTCAACGCTGACGAGGCTGCTGTCATGGGCGCGGCCTTCTACGGCGCCTCGTTCAACCCACAGTTCCGGATGAAGACGATTCGTGCTCACGATGGCAACCCGTACCCTGTCGTGCTCACGGAAGAGGGCAAGAAGCCCGACGTTATTTTCCCGGGAGGAAGCTTCGAGACAACGCAGGTGGTTCGCAACTACACGGACACGACGTCCAACTTTGGCTTCCAGATCGACTACGACGCCGCCATTCCCCAGGCCAAGCTCGACACATTTGAGCACCGGCTGTACGACGTTGAGATCCAGGAGATCAATAACCACCTCGCCGGCCTCAAGGAGCGGGGCGAGATCGACCAGGTCGATATCAGCGTCAATGTCACCATTACCAGCCGACCTCTGGGCGTGTACGCCGTCGAAAGCGCATTCATGCACGTCAAGCAGAAGCCCGGGGGGATTGCAGGCGCGTTGAAGTCCTTCTTCAACGTGGGAAGCAACGCCGTCGCGGATGATGTCGACGACGACGACGACGACGAGGCTGCCGAAGGTGCCGACGCAGCAGCTACCACCGAGGATGCAGACGCGGCCGCCGAGGGAGCTGCTGACACGAAGAAGGGCGCCGAAGGAGACGAGACATCGGAGAAGAGCGAGAAGAAGGACGTCAAGAAGAAGAACAAAAAGTCGCTCCCCACCGACCGGTCGATCCGGCTGCTGGCTCGCTCCATTCCCAGGGGCAGCGTGCGGCCCATGTCTGGGGCCGAGCTCAAGGCTGCGTCGGACAGGCTGTATGTGGCCGATGTCGAGGCCCGTCGCAAGGCGGCGCGCGAAGAGGCCCAAAATGTCCTCGAGGCCTACATCTACCGCGCCAGGGACATTGTGCACGAGACGCGCTTCATTGAATCGAGCAAGGCGTCGGAGCGCGAGGCCATCACGGCAAAGGCCTCGGAGCTCTCTGACTGGCTTGCCTCGCAGGCGGAGGAGGCCGACACGAGCAGCCTGAAGCTGAAGCGGGCCTCGCTCGAATCGCTGATCCAGCCCATTGAGAAGCGCATGCGAGAACAGGGCACGCGGCAGGGAAGCCTCGACCGCTTCACGCGCGCCCAGGCCGAGGCCAGGGAGTTCCTGCAAGAGGCGCGAACGAACCTGACAAAGGCGCTCGAGGAGGGCGTTGCGAGCAAGTACTCGCTTGCCGAGCTCGATGGCTTCCAGACGCAGCTCGACAAGGACCTGACGTGGTTCCAGGATGGTGAAAAGGAGCAGGCGAAACGGTCCAAGGACGACGACGTGGCCATCAAGAGCGACGACATTGACCGGAGGGCAAAGAAGGCCAGGGATACAATGGCGCGGATGCTCAAGAGGAGGATCCCAAAGACTAGGCCGCCAAAGAAGAGCAAGACACCTCCCCCGCCGGCCAAGGAAGACAAGCCAGCAGAGGAGGAGCCGAAAAAGAAAGAGGAGAATGAAGAGAAGCCAAAGAAGGGCCATGCACACGAAGAGCTGTAATTGTTCGTTCTCTCTCCCTGGCTTCAACTGTAAGGGAAGTGGCATCCCCCCTAGAAATGACGAAAAGATCTGCCTCGATACCTTTGCGCTCTTGCTCGCGCCGCCAACGTCTCTCATCTCTGCCCAGACCACACAAGTGAAGATCAGACGGACTCTGCTCTCTTGGCGTGTACAAGGGCATACATCTAGTTCTTAATTCCTGACCATCTTTTATACATTGCCGTCGACAAAGGGTTCCTCATGCTCCTTGTGTTTCTTCAACGCCCTCTCCCTCTGCCTCTGGTGGAGCGTCTTCAGCCTCTTCTGTCGGCTCAGTCTCCGCCACCAATGCAGCAGCGGGCGCCGCGGCTTCCGACGGCGGCGGTGCTTCCACGACAGGGGTCTCTTCGAGGACGGTGGGGTCCGAGGCTGGCACGGCATCAGCATCAGCAGCAGCTGCTGCTGCGGCCGGCTCATCCAAAGTGGCCATCACTGGAGCCTCCTGAGCAGCAGTGTCAATGGCTTGTGCCATCTCAATATTGGCCAAGGCAGGATCTTCCTCGACCGCAACCTGCGCATCCACTGCTGCTGCAGTAGCTGGGACAACAGGAGCAGCGATGGCATCCTGAGCCTGCGGTTCGTCTGCTCCTCCCTCCTCATCGGCGTCGGCGTCGGCATCGTCGTCTCCTTCCCCGTCTCCATCGCCATCCTCGCCTTCTCCCTCGGCCTCGCCGTCTTCATCTCCCTCGGCTTCTGCATCTCCATCGCCCTCCTCTGCCTCATTGTCGTCGTCATCGTCGTCCGCTGCATCCTCCTCCTCTTGGCTCTCTTCTTCCCCATCTTCGCCAGCTCCGGCAGCATCCTGATCGATGTCCATGGCCGTTGCTGCCACAGCGTCAGGCGCCGACACCGGAGCGGGGAGGGCTGAGCTGCTCGACATGACTGCGTCTGAGCTGAGGGTCGCCTCCTGGTTTTGGCTGCTGTTGTCCACGGTCGACGAAGGAGGCAGAGTCTGTTCTTCTGCCTGGCCCTGACTCTGCTGCTGCTGCTGCTGCTGCTGCTGCTGCTGCTGCTGCTGATGTTGTTCTTGTTGTTGTTCTTGTTGTTGTGGTTGTGGCTGTGGCTGCGTCGCAGGCGTGCTCGTGGCAGGCTGCTGCGCGGGTGCCGGCGGCGGCGCTGGTGGGGGAGCAGGCTTCGGCAACACTTTGCGGACATCCTCGGGTGTCTCTGCACGGACGTAGCCGACGCCAATGACGGCGCCTTTGCTGGGCCGTTGTTGCTCGTCTCCTTCTCCTGTCTCGTGGTCTTCTTCGCTGGGTGAAGCAGAGGCGCCCTTCTGGAAAGAGGCGCGGATACGCTTGATGCGAGCGGCGTGCGAAGCCGTCAGCTCCTCTGTCTCCGATGCGATGCTAGCCAAGCGTGCCTTGAGCTCCTCCTCATTCATCGAGGCGTACGGGGAGGGAGGGGGAACAAGCGAGTCTATCCACAGAAAGGAAGGATCAGCATCAGCAGAGCCAACATCAGACTTGATGTCCGAGATCAAATACCTACCGATCCTGCGAGCGTCAAAGATGCGGCCGAGAAGATCATGATGGCGCTTGTACCTTGCAATGGCCACGTCGCGCGAAGTGAGCCGGTCGAGATCATCCATGACAAAGTCGGTCGCCTCGTCGTCTACAGAAAGGCCAAAACCCATGCCGGTGCTCAATGGCTGGGGGGGCAGCATGGGATTCGGCGGTCTCTGGTAGGGGTGCTGCTGCTGCTGCTGTTGGTAGTGGGATGCATGCTGTCCGTAGGCTGCAGCGTCTGCTCCGTAAGGAGCATTGGCGCGCCCATGCCCACCAGCCTGGTTCTTGCGCTTCCTGCCGCGCGTCGAGGGCTGTGCCTGCTGTGGATGCGGCTGTTGGTGGGGATGATGGAGGAATTGGCCGTCGTTGCCGGGCGAACCGGCATGGCGGGGCCCATACGCTCCAGGACCTGGTCCAGCCATTGGCAGCGGTACGGTGTGGGTGAGTGGTTTATCCACCCTCCGAAGCAACCCGATCAAGTGTGCAAAGCGACAGTCTGTGCCGTCGAGAGATGCGCAAAGTGAGCGTGCTTGAATGAGTTAAAGAAGGAAGAGCGATGCAAAGGAAAGGAAGGTTGCGACAGGGCTGAACAGGCAGACAGACGCGTCTCAGGCTAAGTAAGTTTAGTGGGCCACGACGTCGAGCCCCTGCTGCAGCTTGCTACTACCACTACTACTACTTCCACAAACATCAACCAAACCGTGCAGCAAGAGCGCGTCCTGAGGACCGTGTTTTCTCTCAAGATGCTAGCACAGGTTGGCGATGTCCCGTCGGCGGCCGTCGTCTTGGCCCTGCGCCTGCTCCGGATCCTCCAGCCGAGCGCTGTGCTGCTCGTCGTCCTTGTGTCCGTCTTTGGCAAGCCGCTGCTGTCGGCGATACAGTATGCCTTTGCGCCCGACCCCGTGACAATTGGTGGTGCCTACTCTCGCTTCCAGCATCGGCCTCTGACTGGAAGCCGATCCGCCTCTGCGCTTCCCCTTCCGCCCGCAACGGCTGCCTCGGCGGCCGACGCGAATGGGAACGGCGTACCTGAGCCGACACCAGTCATCGTGCCTGTCCGGTCACGAAGGAGGCTTCTGACTTTCATCGGCCTCCTCCTCGTCGCTTTCACCTACCTCTTTTCGGGCACTCTCGTTGTTCTCCGCGCTGTCCTCCCACCCAAGACTTGGACGCCGACGCTGGCTCGATGGCAGGCTGTCGACCTCCAAGCCATCATCGGCCTCGTCGCCTGGTCCACCGTTGTCGTTGCCTGTGCCCACGAGGAGAGCACCCAAGGGCGAGGGAAATACGGCCGCGGCAAGGCCGGCTACTCTGTCCTCATCGGCTTCGGCACCGATGTTGCCATTCTTGTCCTCTGCCTCGGCGCCCGACACATCGAGACGCTGCCAAAGGATGCCTCGCCGTGGACCTTGGCCCAGCTGGTCCTCATTGCCACAAGAGTCTTTCTTCTGTATCCGCTCCTCGTCCTGGCCCTTGGCTGGGATCAGACGCACTTCTTGCGTGCCTCCGAGGTCAATGCGCAGCGGCGGCAACAGGCTGCCGGTAGCAGCGAGACGACGAGCCTCCTGCATCCCTCTTCGGCCGCCGCTGCCGGTGCCGCCGGTCCCTCGTCTGGACACTATGGCGCGACTGGAGGCACCTCGACGCCCAGCAAGGCAAACAATGGAGGAACTTCAGGCACGCGATCTCCCAATGCAAATGCGGCCAACGCATCCATGGGCCTCTCGGTCGCTGCGCAGCCGCCGCCTCCGACGTTTACCGTCTTCTTCAAGCGCGTCAAGATCCTCTTCCCTTACCTGTGGCCCTCTCAGAGCCTCCATCTCCGGCTTCTCGCCCTCTTCTGCGTCGTGCTCCTGCTTCTGGGCCGCTTTGTCAACCTCTTTGTGCCCTTGACGCTGGGCAAGATCGTCGACGACCTCGGAAACGGCGAGGCGCCCTGGTGGCATATAGCCCTCTATGTCGGTCTCAAGCTCCTCCAGGGATCCGGCGGTATCCTATCTGTCCTCCAGGCCCTGGCTTGGCTCCCTATCGAACAGTTCAGCGACCGCAGTCTCAGTCTGATGGCCTTTGACCACCTCCTCCATCTCTCCATGGCCTTCCACACCCGTCGCAAGACGGGCGAGATTCTGCGCATCCTCGACCGTGGCGCCGTCATCTCGACCTTTTTCCAGTACCTCATCTTCAACGTGGTGCCCATCTTCGTTGACATTGCCGTCGCCATGGTCTTTCTCGGCAGGAGCTTTGGCTGGGGCGTAGGCGTGACCATCTTCTGCGTTATGTACCTCTACACCTACGTCTCGATCAAGCTCACCACCTGGCGGACGACGCTACGCCGCCAGGCCAACAACAAAGACTCAATCTCTCGCGCCATCCACGCCGACGTGCTCATCAACTACGACCTTGTCAAGGTGCACTCCAACGAGCCCTACGAGCTGGACCGCTACCGAGACGCGCTCCTCGACTACCAGCAGGCAGACTACCGGGTGACGGCCTCTCTCAACTTCCTCAACCTCGTCCAGACTTCGATCATCTCGATTGGCACCCTCGTCACCTGCCTTGCCGTCGGCTACCGAGTGACGAGCGGCAAGGCGACTGCGTCCGACTTTGTCGTCTTTATCACCTACCTCCAGCAGGTCTATGTGCCCCTCGGCTTCCTGGGCACACTGCACCGCGTCCTGATGCAGAACCTCGTCGATACGGACAAGCTCATGAGCCTTCTCGAAGAGGAGTCGGACGTCAAGGATGTGCCGGGAGCAAAGGACCTCGTCGTCACCGATGGCATCATTGAGTTTCGAGACGTGCACTTTAGCTACGATGACAAGGTTGAGGCGCTCAAGGGCCTGTCCTTTACCATCAAGGCGGACGAAAGTGCCGCCCTCGTGGGCGAGAGCGGTGCGGGCAAGTCGTCGGTCATGCGCCTGCTCTACCGCTTCTACGACATTCAGAGCGGCCAGATCTTCATCGATGGCCAGGACATTTCCAAGGTCAAGCAGGCCAGCCTTCGCAAGGCCATTGGCATCGTTCCACAGGAGCCGAGCCTGTTCAACACGAGCATCTACCAGAACATCCTCTATGGCGATGTGAATGCGTCAGAGGACGCCGTCGAAGCAGCTGCGCGCGCCGCTCAGATCTGGGACCGGATCCAGGCGTTCCCCGAGGGCATGAACACGATTGTGGGCGAGCGAGGCGTCAAGCTGTCTGGCGGCGAGAAGCAGCGCGTGGCCCTGGCACGGACCTTTCTCAAGAATCCACGGCTGCTGTTGCTCGACGAAGCGACATCGGCGCTCGACTCGCACACGGAGAAGCTTCTCCAGACGGCCCTGGGCACCATCATGCAAGGCCGGACGTCGTTGACGATTGCCCATCGGCTGAGCACCATTGTCAACTCTGACCGCATCGTGGTGCTGCAGGAGGGCAAAGTCGTCGAGAATGGTAGCCACAAGGACCTCATTGCCAAGGAGGGCATCTACCACAGCATGTGGATGCAGCAGATCAAGACGGAAGAAGAGGCCAAGGCGGCCGCCAAGGAGGTCGAGGAGGCCGACACCGAGGCAGACGGCGATGATGACAAGGGCAAGGCGCCCGCCTCGCCACCGCCAAAGGCTGAGGCGGGCCTGCTGGGCATCATCCCGCCCGCGCGCCTGGCTTCTGGCGGCTCGCCCACCTCGCCCAAGGAGCTTCTGCTGAGTCCAGGCCAAGGCGCAGCTCAGACTGCGCAGCGCGAACAGAGCCTCGGTCAAAGGGAGGAGCTCGACCTCAAGTCGTCTTCGGCCACTGAGGAGCCCGCAGCACTGCAGGCAGCGGCCGAGGCAGGAGCACGAGCACCCAACGATGCGGGTACCGAGACGGGTGTGGTGCAGAAGGAGGTGGCAGTCGATGCCGATGCCGAGGGCGAGGTTGGCCAGGTGGCCAAGGAGCTCGTCAAGAACAATGGCGAGGCGGGCGAGGAAGCACCCGACGACAAGGGCAAGGCACCCGTTGCCTTCCCAATTGCTTCCCAGCAGCAGCAGCAGCAGCAGCAGCAACAGCAGGACAAGTCTGCGCCGCCATCAGTGACGGCAACGACGCCTCTTCGCTCTCGCGGACACTCGCGCGGACAGAGCAGCGCAAGTGCAGCGGGAGGTGAGGGCTCAGGCACCGACACGCCCACCAAGGGCATCCGCCAGCGCATTGCCAGCCTCGTGCGCAGGACGCCCTCGTCTGTGACCGGATCGTCGGTCTCTTCTGTCACGGGCGGCCCGCCACAGCCGTCGCCGGCCAAGGGCGCCGACACTCCCGAGCAGAAGGGCACCCAGTCGACTCTTTTGAATGTCGACAATGGCCACACTAGGAGTCGGTCAGCGAGCATCGGCTCTGCGACGAGCGAGGAAGGCGTGGGAACGAGCCCGGGTGGGAGCAAAAAGAAGAAGAAGTGGGTCTAGAACATGCGCTTATAAAGGGTAGTGAAGCATGGCTGACACTGGTGATGACTCCCGTCCTTCTTCTCGCAGCCGCCGAAAGCGCAACCGCTCGAGCAAGCCGGCCTCTACTTCCAAGTAAAGTAAGGCATCGGTCACTCTGCATCATCATCTCATCGCCTTGGCCCCCTCCTTCCACTTTGTTGTCGCAAGCAAGTCTCTTCTCTCTTCTCTACCATACAGTACCATACAGTACGAACAATTCTACAGAGCTCTGTTCCAGGTCAAGTGCCGATCTTGGTGGCCCGGATGATAAAGAGATGCTCGCGGCCTGCCCTCCTCTTGAGCACGATTTCAGCGTCGAGCAGCGACGACTGCTTGAGCCGGTCGACGAGCCCCTCTGGGTTGTTTTGGGCAATGGCGACGAGGTAGAAGAGGCCGCCGGGGGCAAGCACCTCTTCGAGCAGGCTCTTGCCCTTTGTGTCAGCGGAATCGGGCGAGACGAGCTCATCGACGAGCCTGGTGCCCAGCACGCCGCCGGCCCAGCTGCTGGCGATGCCGCGCTGGGACTGGGCCTGCGCCTCCTCCTCGTCCGTCGTGGGCACATACGGCGGGTTGAAGAGGAGCACGTCTATGCTCGCCTTCTGCGCCAAGCGGCTGTGCAGCGCAGAGAGCATGTTGGACCGCACGGGCTCAATGAGGCGGCTGCTGCTGCTGCGCGAGCTGTTGCGCGCGGCCGTCTCCGCTGTGCAGCGCAGCGCCGACTCGTTTTGGTCGAGCGCGACAACGAGGCAGCCCGACGTCCCTCCTCTCTTCACGGCCGATGGTGAAGCCTCGCCATCGAGCACGGCCTGGAAGAATGCCGAGACGACGCCGCTGCCACAGCTGCCCTCGTCTCGTTCTCACGTCAGCTTCTCACGTCCTGTGTCACGCAGATATCTCTTCTCCCACGCACCCAATTTCGACGCACAGCCGCGGCGCGCGCGCGCGGATCCGCTCTGCGTCCGCCTCGAGCGCATCGAGGAGCGCAAACGTGTCTTCCGCCGGCTCGTACACGCTGCGGTACGCTGGCTCCTTGCCGACGTGCGACGTATCGGGCGTGGGGATCATCTCATCTCGTTGTCTCCACTAGGGAGCTAAACCTTTTTTCTTTTTTTCTTTTTTTCTTTTTTTTCTCCCGAATGATGTCGAGAGTGCGAAATTGACATTTTCCTCCACGCACATACGGCAAGCAACACCATCGGGGCGCGATTCTGCCGCGTTCTTGCAGGAAAGCGCAGACGCGTTCTGATCCACTGCAACACCAGGCAATTCCAAAAGAGCAATGGGAGAGGACAGCGACATGGCGCGACCACCGCAGCAGCAGCACAAGCAGCTCTCACTGACGCTCATTGCCGCCATGACGCGCGCCAACGGCATCGGCATCAGCGGCGGCTTGCCCTGGCGCCTCTCAAAGGAGATGGCGCACTTTCGCCGCGCCACGTCCGTCACCGGCGAGCCAGCCGCTTCTTCGGGGGCCAAGCGAGAATGGAGAAATGCCGTCATCATGGGCCGCAAGACGTGGGAGAGCATCCCGGGCAAGTTCCGGCCGCTCAAGGGGAGGATCAACGTCGTCATCAGCTCCAAAGCAGGCGAGTCCGCAAGAGAGGCACTAGGGATGTGAGTGGTCGCGCGAGGCACTACCGACAGGTTCAGAAAAAGAAGAGCCTCTTTTCTGACGAGTTGGCCAATGCAGAAAAGAGGCAGAGGACAGTCACCTGTTTTCGAGCCTGCCAGAGGCCGTCGGCTTTCTGTCGGCGCTCAGGTCCGATCGGCTGGCGCGCACATTTGTCATTGGAGGGGCGCAGCTGTACCGACAGACGATGAACGAGTACCCGGCAGCATCACCATCATCATCATCGCAGGTGGCAAGCAAGGCCGTCGTGGACCGGCTGCTGGTCACGCGCATCGCCTCGCCGGCCTACGACGATTGCGACGTCTTCTTTCCCGAGTTTCGCACAGAGACACAAAAAGCGCACGAGGAGCGAGACGAGAGCCAGCTCGTCGATGGCGAGCTGCGGGGCCAAGACTGGACAAGGACGTCGCAGGACGAGCTCGAGGGGTTTCTCAGCGAGCCCGGCGAGGCAGCAGGCGAGGCAAAGGTCGAGCGGGGAATCGTAGAAGAAAAAGGTGTACGATATGCTCTGCAGCTGTGGCAGCGATCATGATCTCTCTCTCTCTCCCCCAATCAATCGAGATAGATTTCCTTCGTTCTTCCTGCAGCGACGACGCGTTTTGTCTTTTTTGTTTTCTTCCTAGCTAGTGAGAGGAACACGGCATCAGACCAACACCTTGATGACCTTTGGCCTCGTCCGGCCGGCATGTAGCGCCGCTGCGAGGAGGAGGCCCGGCTGGGCGCGGCGGTTCTCTTCTGCCCTGCCCTCTCAAGACGTGAAGCCCGAGGTGGGTGCCACTACGAGAAACCACCCGTTCTTCAGGCTGCTGCTTACGATTCAATCGGAACACACACAGGCCTACATCTCCCAGTCGACTGACCCGCTCTTCAATCTCTCGCTCGAGGATTTCCTCTTCCGCTCCCGCCCTGCCCATGTGCCCGTGTGCCTCGTCTACCGCAACGCGCCCTGCGTCGTCATTGGCCGCAACCAGAACCCCTGGCGCGAGCTCGATGTGCGCCAGATGAATCTCGTGAACCTGCCGCTGGTCCGGCGACGCAGCGGCGGCGGCGCCGTCTACCACGTATGTCCCGGCCTCTCTATCTACTCTGCTTTACTTGACTGATGCAGAGGAGGATCTCGCAACAGGACCTGGGAAACACCAACCACTCGTTCCACATTGCCCGGCAGGACTTTACGCGCCGCTTCCACGCCGAGCTCGTCGCCAGGGCGCTCAACTCGCCGCCCGTGTCGCTCGTGTCCCGCCGTGGCGGCGGCGAAGCGGGTGCCGCCGCCGACAACGATGATGCAGGCGACGGACGGCGGGGCGCCTACGTCAATGCGCGCAACGACGTCTGCATTGCGCTCCGTCAGCCCGGCGGCATCGCTGGTGCACCGACGACGGCGACGACGGAGGAGCGAAAGGTGTCGGGGAGCGCATACAAGATCATCAGCCAGCGCGCCTACCACCACGGCACCATGCTGCTGGACTCGGACCTGAGCCGGCTTCAAGGCAGCCTGCGGCCCACACGCGGGGACGCGATGCGCTCCAAGGGCGTCGAGAGCGTCTCGAGCCCCGTCGTGAACCTGTGCGAGGCATTCGAGAGCCGGCGCGCGCATCTCACCCATGAATCCTACGTCGAGAGCCTCGTGGGCGAGTTTGCACGGACATATGCGGCGGCCGCAGGTGTGGAAGCGGAGGAGGAGCAGGCACAGGCGCAGGCGCTCCATGTGGTCCAAGTCTACGAGGAGGATGAGATTGGGCGCCAAAAGAAGCTGAGGCAAGGATGGGAGGAGCTCAAGAGCTGGGAGTGGATGTGGGGACAGACGCCCGAGTTCCACCACTCGATTGAGCTGCAGCAGCAAGGCGAAGGCGGCCTGTTCAGCAACGGCGACAATACGCTGCACCTGCATGTCAAGAATGGCAGAATCATCGCTGCCGATCTGGAAGACGAGGAGCGAGGGCCGCTGGGCGCCATTGCCAGACGGATGGTCGGCAAGAGGTACAACGTCCTCGCCGATGCGCCTCGGACGACATTCGAACAGGAAGGAAAAGAGAGGCTGAAGCAGAAGAGGATAGAAGACGGTCTCGAGGAGCTGGGCCTCGATGGCCAGACGCCAGGCTCGGCAGAGGCCGAGTACGCAAAGAAGTTTCTCGCTTGGCTCAAGGGCATGCTGTAGCTATTCATTGTCTTGTGTGCGCAAATTGTACCAGAAACAGTATGGGAGGTTGGTGAGATGGTGAGAGAGAGGGGTGACTATGGCTGGCTGGCCACGTCTCTAGCCCAGTGCCACAGGGCGGCAAAGACGGTCAGCTTGCGGTCCTGAGCCCCGACGGGCGGGCTCAGCTCGACTGTCGACCAGTCTTGGGTGGTGCGAACAAAGATGAAGTGGTCGTACGTCGTCAAGATCCCATGCGTCGTCTTTGTCGACTTCATATAGGCCAGAAGACCCTGCAGCGCCTCGACAGCCGCGGCCGTCTTGCCTCCTGCTGCGTCTGCCTCGTCCGCTCCGCCCGGCACGAGCGCCTCATGCGACAGCGGCGTGCCTTCCGAGCCGTCCGACGTCGAATAGAGATGGCGCAGATCAACGAGCCAGGGCTCGCGCACAAAGATGCAGCCCCGCACCTTTCCCGTCTCGAGCTCGTCTGGCCGGAAAATGACCTGGCGGGGTAAGACGACGCCAGCGGCGCCCTGCTCGTGCTGGGGCAGGTGGTCGCCGATCTGTAAGGGCCCACGGAGGGCGCCCTTGTCTGTATGGCCGCCGGCAGAGACCTCCTCTTCGAGATTGAGCTGAGACGCCATGAGAAGAAGAAAGGACTAGGTTTAGCCCAAGGTTGCATGCGTCTGACGAGGGCCAAGGGTTTGCTAGGACTTACCACGCGGTTGAATGGCTGCCAGGCCTGAATGATGAGCCAGAGGTACGTCGTCGGCAGCATCGTCGCCTTGGGAAGGTCGCCCGCGCGATGGGCAGCAGGCGGCAGAATGTGCTGGTACGCCTCGGTCTCGTCGAGGTTCGCCAGTCGCTTCTGCAGATCTGCCAGGAACGCCGGCCAGGGCTTCACCTGAGGCAGCGCTTCGAGGGGCGGTGCCTCCGCCAGCGGCGTCGGGGGGACCGTACCCGTGCCCGCCGCCGTCGCTGCCGCATTCGGCTTGCCGGGCAGCGCAGAGGGAGAAGGGTGGATCGTGTCGATCTTTTGGAGGGGAAGGCGGAGGAACTGCGAGAGAAAGATGGGGTCGGTGCGCAGCTCGGCCATGCCCTCGGGCGGCGACGTGGCCGTGCTCGTCGCCGTGGTTGTCGTCGACATGGCTGTAGTATTACAGCTTCTTTTTAGGAAGCTTTTAGCAATTTGTAGAAGAAGGAGGAGAGAAGAAGGGGAAGTAGACAGCGAATGAGCCAGCGATCTGAGAAGGGACAGGCCGTCCCTGATCTTCAGGCCGAGGCACTCGCCGTGCCATACATCCCGTCGGTCCAGGGCCAGCAAAGTCGACTAAATGATAAGAGATTGGATAAAAATTCTTATCTATTCGTAAGCCGTGCAGCCCAAAGGCGAGATCGACCAATGAAATCGGACTGATTTTCAGCACACTTGGCTCCTTGCTGTGGCTTTCAAAAGAGAGAGATTATAGATTTACTCGCATCATCGATCCCACATGCCCAGCTTCTCCCAAGCGCCCTGGCCACCGAGAGCCTGGTTGAGAAAGTCATCTTTACGGTTCTTGAGCTTGCCCCAGTGCGCCTGGTTGCCCTGGATGACCCGTACCCTGACCTTTTCTGCGCGCGCGTCTTCATCATGACCGCTGCCCTCTGGCACGAAGAGTGTCGAAGAGAGACCCTTTCCACGACGCAGTCGCTCGTCAAAGGCCAGATCCCCTCGGCTGGCAGCCAGGACTGCACCAACCAGGGCCCGTTCGAGCAGGCCGACGTTCTCCATGGGCCTATTTGTAAATTCGTTTTGCAGCGTCGAGTTGAGAGCCTCGCTCTTGAGAATGGCCTGGAGGCCCGTGCACAGATTGATCTTGTCGTCGCGCGGCTTGTCCAAGTCAGCACTCGAGAATGGCGCAATGGCCATGACCAGAGTCGCATACACCGACGAGAAGCGCAGCCGGCGGATAGGCGAGCCCTCCAGCGAGGAAAAGAGCTCCAATACCCGGGGCACCTGGGCTGGAACAGAGATGAAGCTGCGGAGACTCGCGGTCAGCACTTCGATCCTCCACTGTGGCGCTGGAAGCCGAGCTTTTTGAAGGCAAACTCACACATCGAGGTCCTCGACCCTCGTGAAGATCTGCATGCGCATGAAGTTGAGCGGGTCCTCGTGCTCGTAGAGGGGCAGCACCGCGCACAAGCTCAACTTCTTGGGCATGCAGCCCCACTCCAGAAAGAAGTGCTCCTCGTCAACCTCTTCCTTCTTCTCTTCTTTTCCCTCTTGCTCTTCTTCGTCTGAAGCCGAGGATGACGACAAGGACAAAGATGAAGAGGACGAGGATGGTGAATGCAGTCCAGCGCTCTTTTCCTTCTCCGCAACTTTCTCTTCCCCGTCCCCGCCATTCTGTCCTTCATCGAGACGCATGTATGCCCGCTTTTCATGCGCATACTCCCTCGGGTCCAAGCTCAGGTGGGCCTTGTACCGCCGCCTCACCTCCTCGAGGGCCTTGTCGGCCTCGTTTGGATCCTCGCTCCTCGTCTTCTGTGCCTTTTCGGTCTCACGCTGGATCTCTAGTCTCAGCCAATTGGGCATCTTTTGTCTCGCCCGCTCCTTTGCCGCTGCAATCTCTGACTTTTCCAGTTCGCTAGTCGTCGAGGTGGACGAGGAAGAAGCTGCTCCTCCAGGTGCAGTGCTGCCGAGCACCTCACCACCACCGCCTCGCTTGAGCGTCACGGCACTCCAGTCTATCCGGCCACCACCTCGCTGCTCGCTCAACGACAGCTCTCGTTGTAGCGCGAGACTCCTCTCGACCCGCTGACGACGCTTGATCGTCGCATCAATGGCGTCCTGCACCGACCGAATCGACACGCGGTTCCGGAAGCGCGGGCCCCTGACCTGGGCCGGGTCTCTGAGCAGCGCGCGGGACTCGGCATGCCAGAGCGAGAGGTGGTTCAGGTGCGGGCCAAGGTGGTGGAGGAGCCGGAGCAGCTCGGCCTCCCAGCCGGCCGACGTCGTCGTCAGGCGCGACACGTCGTCGAGGGCCGAAAAGAGGCAGCGCGCATAGCCGGCCGCCTGGTAGGGAGGGTGCCCCCCACGGACCTTGGCGTACCACTGCCGGAACTGGCGGACGTGGCGCGGCAGCACTACGACGTCGTACTCGGTCCGGAGCGCCCAGTGGCGGCAGGCCTTGTTGACGAGGGCGAGGGCGTGGAGCGCGCTCACGCTGGCCGCATCGCCCTGGATCGTGCCCGCCGACAGGTGTGAGACGACCTCCTCGACAATCTCTGGCGGGAGGCGGGGCAATGAAGACGACGATGCCCTGCCGCGGTCATCCTCGTCCTCATCGCCGGGCATGTCAAGGCTCGCTTGAGGCAGTGAGCGTGGAAACAAGGAGAGGCCATATCTAAGCGGATAAAAAGAGAATCAAGCGTCCGTTCGGTGGAGGAGGTTGGAATTACATAATCAAGGTCTTCCTCCTCGCCGACCTCTTCTCTACCCTAATCTAGAGCGTAAAGACTGTTGATGGGGGCATAAGAGAGCTCAGGCAACCTCTCGATGAAAACATGTTTACTCGATGCGCACCAACTTGGGATGTGGAAGGAGGGATGGGCAACGTTGAGGGCAAAACATCTTTCAAAGGGGCGCATCGAGAGAGAAAGAGCGGCACAAGCAATTGTGTGTTGCGCGGCTTGCTTGATGTGACGGAGACGGTGTATTGCACTCAGGAAGATGGACGTCGTTCTCGAGCTCTTGCGAAGCTGCACAGAGATTGCCGAAGAGGGCTCTCGGCATTCTCGGCGCGTTGCCATCCTGCGCGATCGTCTCTGTTGGCTCTCGTGCGCGCACTATTAATCGCCAATCTGCCAATGTCAACCCCGCATCTGCATTGGGACAGGCAAAAAGACCCGCTCAGCAGGACCGCTAGTAGTAGTACGTTGCTAGTCCTAGTACCTGGGCACATATATACAAGCTGACCTGCTCCTCGTGCACAGTACAGTACGTACAGCTTGCTTGCTGTCCGGGTGCTGCAATCGTGCCTGACGCGTTTAGTGCCCTAGGTCCTTTAGCCTGCAGGCTAGAAGCTGCCCCCCGCTTTTAGCTCGCTCAAGCTAAAACCCCCCGCCGGCGGTGCTCCTTAAAACACAAGGGCCTTCCGGCTGCCTGACTGTTCCTTCATCCCCACACGCTCTCTCTTCCTAGTTCTCGCTTTCCTTTCCGCCAATGCTCGCTCGCTCCTTTACTTCATTGGCCGCCCTCGCCCTCGCTGGGCTGTCGCTTGCTCAGAGCAGCGACTCCTCTTCGTCAGCTCTTTCTTCTTCTTCTGCTACTAGCGCGACCGCCTCTCAACCTGCCTCCACTGACTCGTCTTCGGCCACCACCACAGGCTCAACCGCCCAGGAGACGCCTGGCTTCGTTAACAACGGCACAGTCGGCGCCTACTCGTGCGCCTTTAGCGAGCCCCAGCAGGCCAATGTGACCGCGCCCGTCAACCAGCTCGTCTTTCTCGCCGACGCGCCCAACGTGACCGCGACCGACGGCAGCGACAGCAGCAACATTTCGTCGCCAGCGCGCCTCGCACCAACGACACTGGCTGAATGTGCCGAGGCCTGGCCGCCCGTCTACCCGTACAACGCCATCCAGCTGCGGGCGCCCGACGACTCGATCCGTGCCGTCTACCTGCCATACGGCGCCTCGGTCTCGGAGCTGTGGGTCAAGGACCGCAACGGCGTCTTCCGCGATGTCGTCCTTGGTTTTGACAACAAGACCAACTACGGGACGGACAAGATCCACCCCAACTTTGGGCCCCAGGTGGGCCGGTACGCGAATCGTATCAAGAACGGCACCTTTGAGATCAACGGTACCACCTACCACACGCCCCTCAACGAGAACAATTACGACACGCTGCACGGCGGCACCGTCGGCTACGACCGCTCCCCTTACGAGATCACCCAGCTCAACGCGAGCTCCGTCACTTTTGTCCTCCACGACGCCGACGGCAACCAGGGCTTCCCCGGCAGCGTCGTCGCCTCGGCCTCCTACACGCTGCAGAACAGCTCGACGCTGATCCAGGCCATGGACGCAAACGTGACCGATGACAAGTACTCGCCCATCATGCTCTCCTCGCACACCTACTGGAACCTGGCCGCATACAATGAGAGCCAGACGATTCTCAACCACACCCTCTTCATGCCCAGGGCCGACAAGTACATCAAGACGGACGGCCACCTGATCCCCACAGGCCCCATCCCTGACACCAAGGGCACCCCGCTCGACTTTACCCAGGCGCGCACCATCGGCAGTCAGTACAATGACACAGAGGGCGTCTGCGGCACCAATTGCACGGGCTACGACACGTGCTTTGTCATGTCGTCCCACGACCGCAACGAGACGGTGCTTGAGCTGACGTCGCCCGAGAGCGGCATCAAGATGTCGGTCAAGACGGACCAGGATGCGATCCAGATCTACAGCTGCCCCGGCGTCTCTGCGCCGGCAACCAAGGGCTCCCTGCCCCGGAAGCGGGTGCACGGCGGCGACGGCACCCTCGACGAGATCTACGACAACAACAGCTGCGTCGTCGTCGAGATGGAGGACTACATCGACGGCATCAACAACCCGGCGTGGAACAGGAGCCAAATCTATAGCAAGGACAGGCCCTACCACTGGCGGGCAGAGTACTCGTTCAGCACCGTCGAATGAGCAGAATTTTCTTTTGCTACTTGTGCCTTGTTGATGAAGAAATGAGATGCTGCTCTTTCTCTTTCTGCTCTTACTCTGACAAGTATGTGCTTAGTGTCTGATTCGGGACACTCCAGCCTGCTCTGTCTCTGGCTTTCCTTGACTTCCTTGACGAGCGCCATACGGGACCAACAGTGGCATGACAGTAACGCGAGGGGCTCGGAAATCGGAAGCTTTTTAGTCTAATTTTGAGCTTCTTTCCCGGTCGCTCACATTCTCCGCTTCGACGAAAAGAAAGGCTCTGGCAAGGGGGCGAGACATCATGGGTCTCCTGAGCATCATTCGCAAGAACAAGCTCAAGGAGCGCGAGCTGCGCCTCCTCTTTCTCGGCCTCGACAACTCTGGCAAGTCGTCGATCCTGGCCAAGATCCGGGGCGATGCGACGCACGAGATCTCGCCCACGCTCGGCTTCGACATCCTGACGCTTCTTCATCGCGGGTGAGTCGACGTTCGACCGAGAGAGTGATGAGAGAGCAGGCCAGAGCAGAGCACTGAAAAGAAGCGGTGGCCCAACAGATATACCCTCAATGTGTGGGACGTCGGTGGGCAGCGGACGCTACGGCCGTACTGGAAAAACTACTTTGAGAGGACCGACTGCGTCGTCTGGGTCGTCGACAGCGGAGACCGCGCCAGGATGGACGACTGCCGCACCGAGCTGTGGTCGCTCCTCGGTGAAGAGGTGGGTCTTCTTTCCCCACATGAGAGAGGAAGTGTGTGTCATAGTCGCTGATCGGGTGACGTGTACGGCAGAGGCTGGCAGGCGCGACGATCCTCGTCTTTGCCAACAAGCAGGATCTGGCAGGCGCCATGTCGGCGTCGGAGATCAGGGAGCGACTCACCTTGACCGACATCAAGACGCACTCGTGGCGCATCCAGCCGTGCAGCGCCATCACGGGCGAGAATCTCATCGAGGGGCTAGATTGGGCAGTCAAGGACGTGGGCAGCCGCATCTACTTTTACGGCACCAGCGAGGTCAACGATGGGCGTGCTGGCGTTCCTGTCGAAGAGGCAAAAGAAGCAGGGGCAGAGGCTCCGGCAGATGTGGCGTGAGAGAAGAGATGAACGAAAAGGAAGGAGAGGAGCATCAATGCGCGAGGCAATCGCATCTAGGAGATGGCATACTATTTCAAAGAGCCATGAAGGATAGAGGCGCTGGAAGGATTTATGTACAGTACAGTAGAGCCGAGTTAAAAGATCTCATGATACCCTGTCGATCTGGTCTGTCTGTTGTTCAAGGATGGGAACCTGCTTCGCAACGCCCTCATTCTCTGTCTGGGTCTCATCTTCAGCGCTGCGGCTTGGCTCTTCGGATGTCGGTACTCGAGCAGCCGGAGACGGGTACGTGTCCGAGACGGCACTCTGGACCGAACCGTCCGCCGAAGTAGAGCTCGGCGAGGCCACTGTCGTGTTCTGCACAATTTGCGATGCCGATGAGGACGCAGCAGGAGCGACAGGCGCTGACTGTGGAGCTGAGGGCGTCGGAGAGGCGACTGTGACGTTCTTGGGCGACTCCACATGGTGCTCCTTGGGATGTTGCTTGTTGAGAGCATTTGTTGCCGCAACGAGGATCACGGTGAGAATCGTTACGATCAAGACTGTCATGAAGATCCATCGAAACGAAGTCCTCAACCACCCATTCTTGTTTGCTTTTCCATCGTCGCCGTAATTGTCGTCAAGGTCCCACCTCTTGAGCTTCAGAGGTCGCCCTTCAGCGCACTTGTCGGTGTATGTGACCACGCACGCCTCATCAGCATCCCTCTTCTTGCTAATCTTATCCCTCAGCTTCGTCGATGACACGGAGAGCAGCTCTTTGAACCGAAGAGGTGCTGAATTGGTAAAAGACTTCACCGCTGCTGGGTCCGAGACCCGCTCGCGGTCCTGCAAAAGATCTTTTCGCGGCTGAGGCAAGGTGCTGGGGAAGCGGACACGGAGCGGTTGCATTGCCTCCTTCTCGCTGCCGTGTTCTGCTACGTGCAGACCTAGCTTGTGGAGCAGCTTCAGCTCGTCTTCTGCGTTCGCAGTCTCCTCCTTTTCGTCTTCCCACTGAGCGTCTTCAAGGGCAGACGCGTGACCTCGTCGCATGCGAGGAGAAGTGATTTCGCTCTCGTGGAGAAGCGACATCGAACGTGACGTCGAATGACCCCTTGCCAGTGTTGATTGGTGAAAAGACAACGTCGTTGAAGACGCAACGCTGCCAAGCTGCAGAATTCGAAGACCTTTTGGGCCATATTCGTCGTTCTCCTTCTTGTGATTGGTAACGACCGTGTTCGTTGGGCTGATCAGAGGACCCGTGGTGAGGCCGGGAAACCAGCTCGACGACGGCCTGCGACCACCCCAGCCGTCACCTCGCACGGTCCTCTTGCAAGTTGCTTGATCGGGTGCTGGAATCTCGAGAGTCTCAAAGGCCGGGGAGGAACTCTGGGACTTGCTGAAATGAGGGGGATGTGCATCCTGACGCCAGAGAAAGCTGGCCAAACCCCGGCTGATGCGCTTTGCCGTCGCCCCAAGTCGCCCTCCTCGGACCGTGCTTTCGATTGTTGAGCCATGCTCCGACCGACCCTTGAATATGCGGAGTCCCAAACTTGAAACCGTCTCTTGTGGCGCTGTCGTTGTATGCTTCCACGTCAAGCCGTTCGCTTTCTCGAGCGCCGATCGGTTCCTTTCGGCCACAATTTCTGCTTCGTGCCTGAGCTCTCGCTGCGCTGCAATCCTCTCTGCCCACTCCTCCTTCAGAATCCAAGGTGGTCTCGAGGCTTCGTCGTCTTTTTCCTGATGATCTGCGCTGTCCCTTGCAGCACCGAGCCGGCGCAGGGTGGCGCTCAACGGCTCTGAATCGACGGAGCAGGGCTCGCTGGCAGAGGAAAGATGACGCGCAGCAGAAGCAGGGAGGCTGTCAAGATGGAGTGGTGTCTCGCCAAATTGGCGTTCTTTTGGTGTATGCTGTTCAGCTGCTCGTCCAGGTGTGAGGGGCGACATGGGTGCCAGGTGGACGATGGTGTGACCGTGGAATTGTGCACTCGAGACAGCATTCAGGGAATCATCACGGTAGTCCCGCGGCATCAACTTTGAACGGTGGTCACCAGCCTCGCTGCGTAGCATGACTGTTCGAGTTTCCGCGGGCGGCGTGCCAACGACAGAAGAGTCTGAGGTCGAGTCGGTCGAGCTGCTGGACCTCATCGTCGAGAGGCTGTCCGAGGACGAAGGGCGCCTCGAGTTGCGCCAGACATTGTGACCTATGCCATTCTCAGCGTCGGAGAGTGGGGTGGCAAGCCTGGGAAAGGTGTTGTCGCACCATGGCGAAGATGGTCCACGGGGCGTCGAGTCGCCACCGCTGGGTGCGCAGGGCGAGAGCAGGATCGGGATCTCGATTGACTTGAGTCGACGCCGTTGTGCACCCAGACCAGATGAGCGCAATGAAGATGCGATTGAGTCCATCGATGCTTCTGTCGCGCTCTCGAGGTTGATCGACGGAGCCACGTTGACTTTGTCATAGACGACGACATTCCTCGCCCCGCCCACGCCCCAGCGCTCGACTTCGAAGACGTGATGATGCTCTTGCTCAGCGTCCTCTGCCTCGTCCTTGTCGGCCTCTTCCAGAGAAGTGTTGCTGTGGTGAAAGAAAGACTTTGGCCGGGGAGTCTCGATGTCTGAGCCTTCATCTTCTTCGACTTTGCTGATGATGCAATTGAATTGCGGGTGTTCCTCGTTCTTTTTTTCTTCCACGGTCAGAATGGGACTCGATACGGAGCGACGATGAGTGCTGGTCATATCCTGCTCCCGTACACCCTCATCATTGCTGTAATTCCAGCCTCGACGGCCTCGCCTGCGAGAGCGCGGAACTGGCAGTAGCTTGAATCCTGATGTCGAGGTGGTTCCATCACCACCAGCTTCGAGAAGCGGTCTTGGAGCCGTCATGCTGAGAGTCGTGATCAGGCGCAGTGAATTACGAAAGCGAACTCAGAATGCTTTCTCACCTTGCCATAGAGCCTGACAGCACAACTTTTTTGATAAAGAGGCTCGTCAAGAGCAGGTAGATCAGTGTGTGGCTGGTGGTCCTGTGATGACGAAAAGATTCGACCAAAGGCAGAAGGCAAAAGAGAGTGAGTTGTGAGAGAAAAACCGTGCAGTCGCGAGAGCGAGCTTTGGTCATTCCGAAGTCGTCCTCGCATTTCTATTCTTGGGCGAGAGAGAGGGAGGACAAAGGCAATCCCCGCGCCAAATGAACAAAGACTGGCGAACAAAGGGAACAACAGTGCGGACATTTCTTTTCCCTTTGTGACCGGGGCTCCTACCGCTCTCGAATCCCTTTTGTTCGTTTTAACGGCACCTGCCTAGATTTTTGAGCCAACAGTGTCCATTTTCACAGGCGCTGAATGAATATTGAAATGCAGACGTTGTTGTCGGAGAGCAGAAGACCATGTCGTGGCCGTCTAGACATGTCTCCCCGAGAAGAAGGAGTGCCGCACGTGACCTGTCAATGCACGGGCCTCGCTCCACTTGCAAACGTTGACTGCCACGAGGAGCCTGGGTTGCAACCTAAGCCTGAGACGCGCGGCCACCGAAAGTCGACCCAGTCCACTTGCGGCCTGCGAAGCATCTTGAATCTTCCCATCACCACTCCCTTCGACACTTCTCGGCTCGCCTCGCTCAGATCCGATTGAAAGCTGCGAACACTTGGAGGCTCGCTGCTGGACAAAGGAGAAGCAATCAAGTAACGCCACCATAGACCAAGTGCACACTCACTCGCACTCACACACACACCATGGCGGATCCGAAACCTGCTCAGCCGGTGCCAGCAGGTGGCGAGGACAAGAAGGAGGAGACCGCCACTGCGATCCTTCGCCAGAAGAAATGTGAGCTCAGGACCTTGATTTTCACATGCATCCGGCACATATTTGACCCATGAACCAATCTGCAGCCCCCAATCGTCTATTCGTCGAAGAGTCGACTACGGACGACAACTCGGTAGCATGCCTGTCTGCTGCCAAGATGGAGGAGCTTGGCCTCTTCCGAGGCGACACAAGTGAGTGTGAAACAATTCCAGCCGACGTCTGGTGGGCAAAGCTGATCAAACACGTACTTCAGTCCTCCTCCGAGGCAAGAAGAGGCGCGACACTGTTCTCATCTGCCTGACCGATGAGAATACCGAGGATGCCAAGATCAGACTCAACAAGGTCGCCCGAAACAACCTCCGTGTCAAGCTCGGCGACATGATCACAGTACACGCATGCCACGACATCAAGTACGGCAAGCGTATTCACGTCCTGCCCTTCGACGACAGCGTTGAAGGCCTCACAGGTAACATTTTCGACGTCTACCTCAAGCCATACTTCCTCGAGGCATACCGACCGGTCCGCAAGGGCGACACGTTTACAGTCCGAGGAGGCATGAGGGCTGTCGAGTTCAAGGTCATTGAGACGGACCCCGCAGAGTTTTGCATTGTGGCGCAGGACACGGTCATTCACACCGAAGGCGACCCAGTCAAGCGCGAGGACGAGGAGGCAAGCCTTGCGGACGTGGGCTACGACGATTTGGGCGGCTGCCGCAAGCAGCTGGCGCAAATTCGCGAGATGGTCGAACTGCCGCTGCGACACCCTCAGCTCTTTAAGAGCATCGGTATCAAGCCTCCTCGTGGTGTTCTCATGTTCGGCCCACCCGGTACGGGTAAGACACTGATGGCGAGAGCCGTTGCCAACGAGACGGGTGCTTTCTTCTTCCTCATCAACGGCCCAGAGATCATGAGCAAGATGGCCGGTGAATCTGAGTCGAACTTGCGCAAGGCCTTTGAAGAGGCCGAGAAGAACTCGCCCGCAATCATCTTCATCGATGAGATCGACTCGATTGCGCCCAAGCGAGACAAGACCAATGGAGAAGTCGAGCGCCGCGTCGTTTCTCAGCTCCTTACCCTCATGGACGGCCTCAAAGCTCGCTCCAACATCGTCGTCATGGCGGCCACCAACCGGCCAAACTCGATCGACCCTGCTCTTCGAAGGTTCGGCCGATTCGATCGCGAGGTCGACATTGGCATTCCTGACCCTACCGGCCGTCTCGAGATCTTGCGCATTCACACGAAGAACATGAAGCTGGGCGACGATGTCGACCTCGAACAGATTGCTGGCGAAACGCACGGATACGTCGGATCTGACATTGCCAGCCTGTGCTCGGAGGCAGCCATGCAGCAGATTCGTGAGAAGATGGATCTCATCGACCTCGATGAGGACACCATCGATGCCGAGGTCCTCGACTCTCTTGGTGTCACAATGGAGAACTTCCGCTTCGCCCTCGGAATCTCGAACCCGTCGGCCCTTCGCGAGACTGTCGTCGAGGTGCCCACAGTCACTTGGAAGGACATCGGTGGTCTGGAGAAGGTCAAGCAGGAGCTCCAGGAAACGGTCTCGTACCCCGTCGAGCACCCAGAGAAGTTCCTCAAGTACGGCATGTCGCCCTCAAAGGGTGTGCTCTTCTACGGTCCCCCTGGTACGGGTAAGACGATGCTCGCCAAGGCCATCGCCAACGAGTGCCAGGCCAACTTCATCTCCATCAAGGGACCCGAGCTCCTCACAATGTGGTTCGGAGAGTCAGAAGCCAACGTCCGTGACGTCTTCGACAAGGCTCGCGCTGCCGCACCCTGCGTCATGTTCTTTGACGAGCTCGACGCCATTGCCAAGTCTCGTGGCGGCTCTTCCGGTGACGCCGGCGGTGCTGGCGACCGTGTCATCAACCAGATCCTTACTGAGATGGACGGCATGAATGCCAAAAAGAACGTTTTCGTCATTGGCGCCACCAACAGACCCGACCAGATCGACCCTGCCATCCTTCGTCCCGGCCGTCTGGACCAGCTGATCTACATCAGCCTTCCCGACGAGGCCTCGCGCCTGTCCATCTTCACTGCGACACTGGCCAAGTCGCCCGTCGAAGGCGTCGACCTCAACTACCTGGCCAAGCACACCAACGGCTTCTCTGGTGCCGACATCGCTGAGATCTGCCAGCGGGCAGCCAAGCTTGCCATCCGCGAGTCGATCGAGGCCGACATCAAGCGTCAGCGTGAGCGCGACGAGAAGCGGGCCGCAGCGGGCGAGACGACCGATGAGGTCAAGATGGAAGAGGACGGCGAAGAGGCCGACTTTGAGGACCCTGTGCCTCGTATCACGCCTGCTCACTTCGAGGTGGCCATGAGCTTCGCGAGACGGAGTGTCTCGGACGCCGACCTGCGCCGGTACGAGATGTTTGCGCAGAACCTGCAGCAGACGAGGAGCTTTGGCAGCTCATTCAAGTTCCCGGACTCGGCCGATGGGAGCGCACCGAGCGGGGGCGCCCCAGGCGCGGGAGGCGGCGGTGGCGGCGCTTCCTTCGGGAACGACGGCGACGACGACGATCTCTATGCATGAGATGCCCCCTCCTCTTCCCTTTCCCCATTGCTCTCTCCGAGAATTTGTGAAAAGTAACTCCTTGCGATTCTCTTCCCACCTGTCTTCGCCTCTGACCTCTCTCTCTGTGTCTGATGAATGAAAGATTGAACATCTTAGATGACGTCTGACGTAGAAAGCAGCTTTTTTGTGAAAAAATTGGATAGCGGCGAATAGGTGGAAGAGAGGATGGAAGGATACACGGTTGAGATGAATATCGGTATGGTCTTGAGAGTGTCACTTTTCTACACTTTACGAGGGACTACAGAAGCGATTGAGGGGTCGACGCTGGCTGGATGCTATATGGAAGAAAGGATGCGTGAAAAGGTCCAGCTTATGTGCGGAGAATAAGTTGCCTTTTTGCTGTCGCTCAGGCGATCAAGACGAGAACGGATCCAAAGAGGGCGGCCGAGACGGCGACGAGCATCGTCCAAACGAGCACGGGTGACGATACGGGTGCTGCCGCGCTAGGGATGGCGTTCATGTCCTTTTCGGCGACACCAGATGCCGTGTGGGCGATGGACTTTTGCACGGCGCTGGGCGTGGGATAGATGGTGGTCATGGCGGTAATTTGAGTGCTGGTCAAGGATTGAGAGACCACGTCAGCCTGCTTACACATTCTCCCATCTTCGAAGAAGGTAGTAAGGAAGACGTGACATACACTACGGTCGAAAATGTTGTGCTGACGCCATTGACGACCTCGAAATAGACACAGTAGCCTGCGGCGGCGTTTGTGCCCTTGTCGAGGCCGTCTTTGAAACCACATGAGGCGGCAGCCCAGACCTGGGTTGCGATGCCGTTCACAGTAGCCGTCCTGACACCGCCGAGAAGCTTTGCGTCTGTAGCGTCCTGTCGTAAAGTGGCCGTGATGGCTGGGCATGATAGCGTTCAGTCAGTCAGACACTGTTCATCATCGCGGGCAACCGCAGAAGAATCGATGGGGGCCACAACTCACTGCGATCGGAAGCTTTGCTAATGACTTCATAGAGCGTTGCGCCGGCATTACCCGGACCGAGGTAGGCAACTTCGACGCTTCCCGACTGAGCGCTCGGGTCGACGACGGGGATGTAGAGCGGCACGCCGCTCTTGACGTCCACGCTCGTCGAGATTGGTGTGTAAGAAGGAGGCGGCGTCATCGAGTCCACTGACTCAGTCGTTACTACTGCTGAAGAAGAAGAAAAGGAAGAAATCGTGCTCTGTGATATGGCGGTGGCTAGGGCGGCCGCGGGTGATGCTAAGGATCCAGGCTGGTGGTGCTGACTGCTGCTTCCTTCATCTTTACCGAGACTGAGTGAATGTGCTGATCCTTCGAACACTTCGTCCTGCTCCTCCTGAAGGGTGTTTCCGCCCACTAGAAGCGCACCCTGGCGCCGGCCAAGGAAGGCAGCATCTAGGGACGCTCCTGCCGCAATCAGCCTTGACCTGCGAGCAAGAGTGACGAGAGACACCGCTCACCTCTTTCATCTTTCTTGATCTTTGTGAGCATAACAAGGTGCTGTCTCCTTGACTGCTCGGCTGGCATGAGGCTCTTGGCATAAGACTCAGGTGCGTTCAAGATAACAATGAGGGCGGTACATGGAAGCAGCAAGCAGAAACTGGTGATCTTCATCTTGTCCAGTCACGCTTAGAAGGGGACGAAGGTTGTCGAAAGAGCGATCGAGGTTGTCGGTTGGCGGGTGGCGGGTGGCGGTTGGCGGTTGTCGAAAGAGTGCTTGGGCTGGTTCTTCATACGGAGAGAACCTACGGGACAACAACGCAGAGGGAAGGGAAGAAGGAACAATGATTATGCTTTGCCTCTTGGCGGTGCGAGTGACAGTCACAAGTCACCTGATGAAACACGGTACAAGCAAGCCGGTCTGGCCTACTGTTGCAACATAGATAGACAGCTCATGCCAACGACATCAGCCCCTGCCTGCACGTTACGGTTCCATGCATGGTATTCGAGTTGTTCAAAGGGCATTTGCTCGACCCAATAATAATAATGTTGTTGTTGCTTTGATGAGCAACGCCTATCAAATAGTACAGAACGTATGACTGCCTGGCCTTCCTTGATCCATCCACAAGCAGCTCTCACTCGCCACAGAAAGCGGTCTCCGAATGTCTGAGCAGAGTCGTCTCCTCAACACCGCGACCACAGTCAAGCAAGGCACCCAGGATTAGCTAGGCGTGGAATGAATTGTAGTCTTGAAATCGGTTTATATTCCTTGGAGATAACGTGGGTAAGGGTCGAGCTATTCGAAACAAGTGAAAAAGAAAAGGGAGAAATCAGTTGATTGTGTCACAGAGCGAAGAAAGGCAAATAAACTTTGGGGCCGTCTCTTCTGAACGAGCCTGTCATCAACGTCAACCTCCGGGCAGCCAGCGAATCAGAGGTCGTGGTACGCGGCAAGTCGGCTCGGGGCTTCAAAATATCCTTCTCAGAGACGCTTGCAGGATGACGACAACGACGTCAAATGCGTCGCAGTCTGCGGCACCAAGGCCCGTCATTGTCATCACGGGGGGTAACTCTGGCGTCGGGTTCGGAGTCGCCCAGCGGTTTCTCGTCCAGCTCTCGTCGCCCACGCCGACCGACACGATGGCGGTGCACCCTTCGCTGGCTTCTCCGGACCAGAGCCCCGTCGCCACCCCATTTGCGGCGCCCAATGGCTGCACACTCGTCCTGGCCTGCCGCAACGCAATCAAGGCGCATCGTGCGAGGGCTCAGCTCATGTCGCTGCTCCAGTGGCTCGAGGATCTGCCCGAGGGCCATGAGGACATCCTCAGCGTCCCACCCGCCGTGCTCGAGGCTCAAGTCGAAGGCAGGTACGGCACGACGAACATCGACGAAGACGCGGACCCGGCCATGGTCGTGCAGGCTATGGAGGCGAGCCTGCGGCGACGTAAAAAGAGGAGCGCCGCTGCCAATCTCTGGGGAAAGGACGAGGCGGCGGCAGGAGACGACTCGGAGAGCAGCATCAGTGCAGCGGAGTCGGGTGACCCGACCAGAAACCCCAGGACGGGCAAGGACCGGACACTGCAGGAGCGCGAGGCCAAGGCCAGGGCGCGCTATCGGAGGCGGTTCTGCCAGGGCACAAAGGTCGAGTACGTGCCAATCGACCTGGGCAGCATGTCATCGGCATTGGCCTGCGCCAGGGAGATCACAAAGCGGTACGGCTACGTGACACATGTCGTTCTCAATGCCGGTGGAAGCGCATTCACCGGCATTAATTGGCCCGCCGCCATCTGGCTCATTATCACGCGCTTCCACGCGGCAGTCACCTACCCCTCCTACAAGCTCCAGCGTCAGGGCGACGTGGGCAGCGACGGCTACGGATGGGTGTGGCAGGCCAACATTGGCGCGCACTACATTTTGGTGAGTCTCATCGCACGCCAGAACGACTGATCTTGTGGCTCATTATGGAGCATTCATAGACGCGAGCACTGCTTCCGGCGCTGAGGGCCACGCCTTATTCCACGCCGTCGCGGATCATCTGGACGGGTAGCATCGAAGCAACCGAAGATACCTATGACCCTTCCGACTACCAGAGCCTGGACACGTCGAACCCGCTCCGTCCGTACGAAGCGTCAAAGTATCAATGCGAGCTCATCGCCCTTGGTCTCGAGGACCTTCTCACAAAGGCCAGGCTAAAGACAATCCCCAGCACCCCCGTCGGCGGGCCCGAGGACGGCAGGCCGGAGAACGGAAGTGTGGCAAGCCATGGAGGCATCGAGCCCAAGAGTTTCCTCTCGCACCCCGGTGTCGTGGCAAGCTCCATCTTTGCAGACTACCTCAACTTTTTCCTCTCTGCATGCATGAAGCTCGCCTTTTACATTGTGAGTTTCTTCCATTCTCCCACTTCCCAGCCGCAACTCTCGTTGTCGATGGCTTGCTCACTTCTCCTTCTCCTCCTTCCACTCCCCCGTAGGCACGTTGGACCTTTTCGGATCACCACAATATCGAGGGTTACAAGGGGGCCGTGGCGGCTACGCACGTGGGCTTGGCACCATTGGTCAACCTCGATCCATCCATTCGATACGGTGCGAGGAGCGACTGGTGGGCGCGCGAGTACGTCTTCTCGGAGCATGTAGACGGCTGGGACCGCAAGGAGCCTACAGGCATTGGTCGAAGAGCCAAAGCCAGCGTCGCGCCAACGGGCGAGAATGTTGCAGAGGGGGACTTTGTCATGGGTCTGGCGCGAGATCTGGTCCGGAAGTGCGAGGGCGTGGCGGCTAAGGTCTGGAAAGAAGCCCGCGAGGGCGCCCTTCCGCCCTTTACCGACCGCGACGAGACCGACTCTGTGATCTGGGGTGAAAGGGCCAAGGGTGGAAAGCAGGACAAGAGGACAAAAAGGGCAACGCAGACGATTCTTCAAGAAGGTCTGCTGCCCGACACGGACGCGGCCAGCAACAGCTTCAGCTCTCAGGAGTCCTGGGAGAAGGTCGACGAGGCCGTTTGACAAGCTTCTAGATGCTCAACAACACATTCAACGATATCAGTACGTAGTGTAGTAGCAATATTAATGCATCAGACGAGCTGTGAGCCTAGACCATCCCCCTAAATTGAGACGGGAGAATGGAAAAGGGAGACGACAGATGCTTCGGTGTGGGTCCTGACGGCCCGATGGGCGGACATTGCTGTTGTCTTGGCGCTTGTGCGTGCCTGCTCGCGCGCGCGCGCGTCTTCAGGCCACACGTACTTCTATTTCTTTTTTGGATGTGGCCTGATCTGTGATCCATTATTTGAGGCAGATCTATGAATCTCTGTGTTGAAACATTTCTCGGGCCTTTATGCACCTTGCTACTGCTCGCTGACGGGCCGAGCGACGCGCCTGGCTGCAGTTTATTGTTTCATCGCGCAGAGAAAGGACAGCACAGTGTACAGAGGTGACCCCGCCTTTGTTTCCGCGGACTGCGGGTACCTCTTCAGCTCGCCCTTCCCTCCCTCACCACTCCTCCCCTCTTGTCTTGACCAACATCACGTCACATCGGCCCCTTCCCCATCGACGGAAGCGGAGCCTCTCACGTCAGCCCAATTTTTTTTTGGTTTCGGGAAACGGGCGCCGACGGACGGACGGACAAAGGGCGGATCAAGGGGAGTGAGGAGAAACGGCCCGCGTCTTTGTCTGCCCTTTGTCCGCCAGTGGCCCATTGTAGTCCGGTCCGGTGCCTTCGCCTATCTCACGCTCCCTCTCTCTCTCTCTCTCTCTCGCAACGACGCAACAGCTCGAGGGAGAGCCAGCATGTCGAGCAGCAGCGGCGACGTCGGCCAGGACTGGACGCGGCGAGCGTCTTCGTCGACGTCATCGACGAGCAGCAGCAGCCATCATCCGAAACATGAGCGGCGGCGACTGTATCGGCATTCCAGGCCCGCTGCGACCGGCGCTCAGTCGACGGCGCCTGCTCGGTCGTCTTCCTTGCACGACCAGATTACCGACGAGATCGCTGTAGACCGCGACTCTTTTCTTCCTTCGTCTCCGTCACGCTCCTCGATGACACTCCCATTAGCAGCAGCAGCAGGGACAGCACAGAAGGGGATAATGCCAGCAGGTAATCAAGAGACGGGGGGAGGAGACAGGACAAGGGGCAATGTCTCTCAGAGCGCCCGGAGAAAGGCGCCATCAATCTCGTTTCTCTCTCTCCCCATCTTTGCAGACGGAGATGCGGCCCTCGATGACGCTTCTTCACGTCGGAACAGCAGCAGCAGCAGCAGCATCAGCAGTAGCAAGGCGAGAAGAAGCAGGGCCGAGCAACTTCTGGGGCCTGGCGCAAACATCTCGCGGAGCCACTCGCTGCGTGTCGAGTCGACTCGCGATTCGGCACAAACGGCGACCGAAGGCGCAACGGTAGTGCCCCGGCCACACCGATCGCCCACAATGAGCGGCTCCGCGCTCTCTCGGCTGCCCGACGGCCAGGCCCCACCGCCTGCAAGCCCAAGAGTCAGACGCTGGTCGAGCCTGTCGCGCTCTGGCACGGCCACGTCTGCGCTGCGAATGGCTGCAGAGGGCGCCTCGCCGTACCTTCGTGCCGGCCTCGACGAGCTGAGAAGCATCTTTGACGTCGAGTCGGACCCAATTCCGACGTCGCCCTCTGGCAGCATTGGGTCCGATGACGATCACGATCCAGAACGGGCGTGCCAGTCACCGACGACGACGAGAGGCCGCCGTACCTCACGAAATGGCCCAATAGAGCCGAGGCGGTCGTCTGAAGACCAGGGGCAAGAGGAGGATCATCGTCGCAATCGAAGCAACGAAGATGATGAACAACAGCGGCACGGCATCGTCAAGTCGGTCTCCCAGCGATTCCGCAGGCCCTCGTTCAGGACAGAGGAACGCATCTCGCTGCTGCCAACGGCTGCTCATCCCATGGGGAGCCCAACATCGCCTCTGAGGGCACTACCCCAAGGGGCACCTCGGCTCCGATCTCCCGACTCGGCGATCCAAATGCCTTTTTCTTCGAGCGATACCAACCTCGTCAGGGAGCACGGTGTCCGCACCGCCCGCAGCCTCCTGCCTCAGCACAAGAGCGTATCAAACGGAGAGAAGCAGGGCCAGGAGGGGCAAGAGATTCAGCACCACGCCGAGCAGCATCGCAAGTCGACAGTCAGCAGCATGAGCCGCGAAGTCCTCGTGTGGGGCCTTGCGGTTATCTCTGCCGGCCTCGTCGCTCTGAGCGCCTGGGGATACGCTTATCGTGAGTGTGAAGGAAAAGACCGCTACCATTGAACCCCCATTGACTGACTGTGATGATGATCCTGGCCAGACTCGGATACCTTTTCACCAACGCTCATCGGCTTCTTTCTCACCCAGCCTGCATTTGCCCTCCTCGGCCTCGGCTCCCTTATTGTTAGGAATAGAGCGGCGATGGACCTTTCGTCCAGAGCCATGCGCGCGCATGTCTTGGCACAGATGCTCATCGTCGTCTTTGCCTATCTCGATCTGTCCTCCTCCTCGCTCTATGTGAGGACGCGGTCGACCTCGGACAGGACCTCGAGCCGGTTTCGGCTCATGCCCAGCATGGCAATGAGATTTGGACCGACTCACGACCCCATTGATGCCGGTCTGGCCCCGGGCGCGAGCCTCTTGACGTCCGTTGCGCTGGGAGAAGCACAGCTCCACGCGCACGACACTGAGGTCGGCAATCTGTCGAGTCGCATGACGCACCTCGTCGTCTTTGTCGTCCAGGCCGCTGCCCCCATCCTGTTGGCCTTGTATGCGCAATACTCTGTCGCGCATGCGCTCGGCATCTTGGCGCGATCTGCGAACCTCAGCCGGCGAGCCTCTTCATCGTCGCCGTCGTCACGCACGGGCCCTGCCACTGCCTCACGGCTGTCGGGCGAGAGGAGCAAGCCTCCTCCCCGTCGCTCTCACGCTTACACGCTCCCATCGCTCGATGTTGGGGAGCTTACATCAAGGCTAAAGGGCATCGAAGACGTGCACGGGCAAGCCGAAGATGATCTCGACGACGACAGGTGGGACAAGATGACACCCACATCGCGAAGAAGCAAGACGGTCCGGTTGTCCATCCTCGATACCCCAAAGGAGAGGGGAGAGGCTGAGCAAGCCTCTTCGTCGATGAACACCCACCTCTCGCCCGCCGCCGCGGCTCTTGCCAAGAAGATGTCGCCCTCTCATGCCCATGCAAGGTCCATCTCGCAGCCCATCCTCTTGCCCACCCAGGAGGCAGCCAGCGAAGGAATGCTCCTCTTTACTGCGTCACCTATGGCCAAGACGCCCTCCGGCGAGTCCCCCTCCCGAGCGACATCTCCTGCCTCTGTAAACTCGCATGGCAGCGCAGGCGTGCCCGTCTCAACGGCGGGCACCGAGCACTGGTCGGCCGTCCAGATGGCCCTGCTGGAAAAGGGCGTCAGGACAGGCATCCAGTCGCCAAGAAGAAGCGCCAGCAACGTCGATCAGTAGTCACTTTTTCCCTTCTGTCCGATTCACCAGTGTATCCATAGTTCTCATTCTCGGCCTTCTCTTGTGAGGTCACTCCAGCACTGCTCTTTTCTGCGTCGCACACACACACACACACACACACAAACAGCCCACACACACTCATTCATCTCGTCTCTTTGTGGTCTTTGAACAATGTCATCATCTTCTCTCTCCGCATCTCCTCCCTCTTTTCTCACCTGCATTTCCCCCCTTCCCACTTCTTTGTGTTGCTCTCCATTGTTCCTTCGTCCGGAATTCGGAGAGAGAGAGAGAGAGGCGTGCGACCTGGTACGGCTCCGATATGGGCGCCACTCGAAAAATGTATTTGGAGGAGCGCCGCAAAGGAAAATTGCACAGGCGGTCGGACTCGCACGCTGCCCGCGCGCCCGCCAGGCCCTGCCCCATCTCGTTCTCTCTCCCTCCCTGAGCTTTGCGTGACAGACATGCAGTCTGCGGACGGACGGACGCTTCTCTGATACATCCTTTGTCGGCGGACAGACGCAGCGTCGACGATAAGGCAGAGGTAGGGACCAGGAGAAGCAAAGCTAGGTGCCCCCCGACGCAGAGGAGCGATGGAGCGCGCCGGCGATGAGGAGCGCCACGGAAGGGCCAGAAAGGGGTTAGCGACAAAGAGGTCCATCATCGCTGAGCCGGACTTTGCAAGCGACTACGCAGGCTCAGACGTCGAAAGTGAGGAGGGGAAGAAAGACAGAGGCAAGGAACGGGTTGTCAAGGTAAGGAAGAGATGATCATCTCTCTATGACTTTCGTTTCTTTTTCTTTTTGCTCATTCACACACGCACTCACGCACGCACGCTCAACAACATCTTTGATTCCCCAACATACAAGCCGCTCCCTCGTCGTCCATCAAAAGTGCAACCAGCGAGGCAGCACGCTCCACCCCCTTTGCCTCACTTTCCCAGGGAGTCGCCCCAATTCCAGCGGATCCGGGAGCGAGAAGAGCTGCTGCGGCTGTTTTGTGCCTACTTTGGACAAATGTCGGTCTCCTCTGACGCATGGCCAAGGACACAAGGATCGCACGAATGCCAAGTGAGGCTGGCGGAACGACGTGGGCCGCAAAGAGGGGAGGCGAACGCACGGCTGGTGGAGGAAACAATACAGAAGAAGAGGGGAGTAGAGGACAAAAGGGAAAAAGAGGCGTGGGGCAATGGCAACGGTAGAGAAAAGGAGAGAGGGGCGAGCTCAATCAAGAGGAAGAAAAGGGCCGGGGAGGCCGCCCTTGCTCCGTTTTCCAATGAGAGAAGCAATGACAGGGCGATATCTCACCACGCAAGAGAGTCAGAAGGAACTCAGACGGCCTCATCTCGCTTTCGTCGCCAGTATCGTCAGCCTCGTAGCTCGAGCCAGGCTTATTCTACGCATTGTCGGGCCGAGCGGCGTCGTAGAAGGCTGGCGGAGCAAAATCTTGGGAGAACGGACGCGATCAAGCACCAGGATCTCGCCGCAGTGACCGTGACGCCGTCGAAGAAAAAAAAGAAGAAAAAGAAGGAAAAGTCGGCCGTGTCGAGCAGTAGCGCAGCAAAAAAGGTAGCCGCGCTGCGAAACAAAGTAGGAGGCCCGCCAAAGACGAAAGTGTCGCTGTCAGAGCTCAAGGCGAGAGTCAAGGGAGAATGCAAGAAAGGCACGAATAGCGATGCCGGTGAGCACGAAGATGAGGAGCACAAGATGAAAACAGAAATCAAGGCAGAAATCAAGGCAGAGACGAAGGAGGCCCCGCAAGTGCCTAGTGGCGACTTCATTATTCAGAAACCAGGCCCCGAGATGTTGCATCGGCTCGAACTGCTCCTCAAGGCGATCATCAAGGAAGGCGGTCAGCTTCCTGCCGAATATTCAGTTGCGCAGCTTACGGATGAGGTCCTCCATCAGTCTCCAAGTGGCCTGGCTCAATCCAAATCTGCTCTGGCGTCAAGATCAATCGAGTCGTCCTCAGCCTCGCTACAAACGAGCGGCTGGGGCGCCAAGAATGCGAGAAAAAGTAAAGAAACCAATCTCGACGAGGTCGACAAGCTTCGACGGCAGAACGAAGACCTTCGAGACCAAACCAGGCAATTGCAGGAGCAGTCCAGAGCGCTACGGGAGCGGACTAATGCACTGCAACGGCGAAAAGGAACTGTCCTGGCTGACTGCGCTTCGCTGACGAGGCAGACAGAGGTCAAGCGAGCGAGCGATCAGACAATCATCAAACAACATAAGCGATTTCGACAGTGGCTCGAGAAAGCTCGTTTGATCTTTTTCAGAGAGGGCGGAAAGCACCTGACGAAGCAGGATCTAGATCCCATCGTCGAATATGCGTGGATCCGTAGGCCTGGATTTCGAGAGCTGTACGAGAAGGAGCAGTTTGATGAATTTGCACGGAAACTCTGCGAGTACGTCGAGCTGGCCTACAACTCCAAAATCTCGTGGCAAACTTCGGCATTCTTGTGCACGCTCCGACTCATCAGGGAGAACGTCTTCGGCGCAAAGACGAGCTCGGCCTTAGTCACTGTCGCTGAGCAGGCAGCTTCCGCCAAGTCGATGAGCAGAACCTCGTCTCAAGTGACGCAGTTGTCTTGCGCGCCGTCGTCATCTTCTCTTTCTTCTTACACTTCCTTGGGTCCGGACCCGTCGGACAGGTCGGACGACAAGACAAAGCGGAAACCGACGAGGAAGGAAAGGAGGGCAAGCGAAGGGCCCAAGCTCACGCGTCGTCAGAGGACCATCCAGGGCAACATCCATCGAAACCCAGATCTGAGCAAGGCCAAGCAGAAAACAGATGGTGAATTTGACGATCAATCTCCAGCACCTACAGCTCACGATGATGGGCGAGGAGGGGATAGGATATGCACATGTTGCTCATCGAAACACCGCGACAAGAAGCTGACCGCGGCCGCGGCTGCGAGCCAACAGGCCATTGCGGCGGGGGCTGACTTCTTCGATGCGAGCTTCATTTGCATCTTTTGCGACTACAAGCTCATCTACGGGTGAGGCTCTACTTCCAAGCCCAGACCGGCAACAGATGGCAAGGATCTGCACTGACCTTTGCTGCACCACAGGGAATACCCTAAGATGAAGCGGGCACTGCGAAGGGCACGGAGAGCCAACAAGGGGATAGAGGTGCAAGAATAACACCCAACGTGCGGAGCTTTTCACTTAATGTTCATTTATTTACGACATCAATAAACATGACGCTCGATTTCCTCCATCCATCCATTCGATCCCTTGATGTACCTTTCCACCTCTTCACGCTTTCCTCTTCCGCTTTGCTTCGGTAATCTGTCTACGGCTTTTCTTGCTGGGCGGCGACCTCGAGGTCGCGTTGGTGAAGCATACTAGCCTCTGCATTAATCAAGGCCTCTCGCTGCCTCCGCTTCTCACTAAGTAGCTTGAGAATCGTCGACTGCCTCTTCGCTGGGATACCCGAGCGGGCCAGGATAGGAGGCCTCTCGCTGCCTTCCTTCGACTTGCGCTTGGGAATCGTCGTGGTCCACCCGTCGACACCCTTTCGCACCGAGACCGTACTCTCACCGACCGAGGCCATTGTCGGATCGTCCTTGATGGGCAAGGGCTGCCTCTTGCCTCTCCATCGCAGCTTTCCAGTTGCCTTGAAGAACACTCGAGATCTCTCGAGCTTGATGTCCTCCTCCATGAGCCGCTCCCTCTTGTACTGAGCAGAGACTTCAGGGAAGACGAATGGCTCCAAAAGGCCCACTTCGACTTTCTTGTACGTCTGAATGCTCCCGCCCTTTGCCGTCTTTTGAAACAGGCCACGGGTCCGGCTGATGGGCGCCCGATAGATGCTCGAGCGCGCCCACGTCGTGCGAAGACCGTAGATAGACAATAGATAAGATCGCAAGGCATGCTTGTGCATGCTCAGGGGCACACGGAATGTCGCCTTCCACGCGTCGTAGCTCTTCTCGCCGCGAGGCGTGTTGTTGCGCACCAGCCGAACAATGTCGTTGGGAAGGAACGTCAGCTTGCCCACCCGTTCCGGTCTGCTGTACCACCGAGACCCTGGTGTGCCAAGAATCATCGACTGGGGAGAGTCATCGATGTAGATCCTCGAGCGGTCGCGAAGCTCCCATGCGCTCTTCTCTTCGGCGCTGCGCGTGGCGCTCGACGTGCTCTGCCACGCTTCCCACGCGTCCTCTTCCTGCTCGGCCTCGAGCTTGGAGAGAGCCTCCTGATGCTTCTTGTGCAGAGGTCCATTCTCGCTCAGCTCAAAGACGAGAGCAGCAATGCGGGCCCGGCGTCCCTCGTTCCGTGTTGGGTACCCGGCTGAGTAGCCCTTTCGCCATCCCAGTTGGCGCGCACACTCAAAGCGAGCACGGACGATGCCGGCTTTCCGTTGCCGATCGGTCAGAGACCGCCAGAGTGGCAGAAGCGCGAGATCAAGTCGCTCCTGTCGGTCCTTCGAGAGCCAGTATTGGGTATTTGCTTCTCGCTCCCCCTCTCGTCTCGCCTGCGTCTCGGCCGTCCTCTTGTCTACCTCGTCAATGTTCAACCAGAGAAGCTCTGTGCTTCTTTTGAGCTCCTCGGCTTCGGCACCTAGTTGTTCCGCGCGGTTCAATGCCGTTTGATCACCTTGCTCCCGCCAGGTTTTTTGCGCACCGATAATAGCTTGTTGTACCTCTTCCAGTCGTCGCACTTGCTCATCGACTTGCCCTTTCAACTTCTGTCGCTCAGTGGAGAGCTCCTCCAGAAGCTTCTGCCGTCCTTTCAGCCCTCCAGTCGAGGCTCGAGAGAGCTCTTGCTCATCAAGAAGCGACTGCAACCAAGCATCGATGCCTTCCGGGTGTTGTCGCGCCTCGTCCGGCACCCATAAGCGCGCCCGCGCCGATCTGTACGTCCTTGCTTGCTCGTATTCTTCCGACAACCAGACTGGCGCTTCCTGCGTCTTTCCCGTACGCCAGCTCTCGAAGAGCCTGCGACGCTCTGGCTCGTACTTCCCAGTAAACCAGGACCACTGATACAGCATGTTGCCCTTCTCTACCAACGTCAGCTTGTCCGTGGACTTGCTCCCTTCTCCGGCCTTTCCTCGTTCTTTGCTCGACCCCCTGCCATTCTTTCTGTTGGCGATCGTGAGTGCGCCAGGCTGTGGTGCAGGGGCACCCGATGGAACGTTGACATCAGTGCGAATCGGAGGAAGGGTGGACGATGTTGACGAAGATGGAGAGGCGCTCTCGCTGGTGACGGCTTCCGGTACGCTACGTAAAGCGCTGTAGCTGAGCGGTCGAAGGGCAACCGCCTTTCCGCTGCTTTGTGAGAGATGTCTGTACGCCAGTCGTCCGCGGGAAGCCATATTGCTGTGGAAGGAAGCTTCAGACGGGCTGACGAGGCACCATTAGAAGGAGATTCTTGAAAAGTGAGGATTGGAAAGGAAAATTACATAATCAAATTGATCACGTGTTTCTCATATTATTGCTTCGGCTTTCCCCTCAATTTCCGATGAACCCGAAACTCAGCACAAACAGAGGCCCGTCTCTGTCCTCATAGAAGCCTCGCCTGTCAGCTCCGACAGCAGGTCCTTAAATGAGCGCACTCGTGAGCACAGCATCGATGATGATAGCAGAATAGTGACGAGAACACAAGACCAGGTGCAATAATGGACCCTCGGCTTTACCATAACTCACCTGAAGCCAGGAGACGACTCTCCTCTTTTCTAGAACCTAGTTTGACTTGTAGTGTTGATCAAAAGCAGCCTGCACTTTTGCCCCGGGTCCATTTGTTCAGGTACAGTGGCATCCTAAAAAAGGATGTTTAATTCGGTTCTCTTCTGTTGTGTCTTCGGCTCTTGACATTCTACTTTCCTCGTCTTCCCTTTTCCCTCCTTCTGTCTACTAGCTAGGACACGGGCATTCCGCCGATGTGAAGAAACCCCAAATCCCGCAGTGCAGCACGGACTTTCCCTTTCCCAGGTAGCTAGCTAGCTGCGAAAAGGCAGGGACCCGAGGGCAGTGAAAAACTTTATTTTCACCCGCATGAGTGGGTCTTAGACTAACTTGCTGATAAGGATGGGGGGTATCAACCCACACTACTACTTGCTCTAGGAAAAATTATTATTATTGTTTTGCCCTGGCTAGTCGCTCTGTCCCTCGCTCTTCCTTGCTCGTTCCTCACTTGTGCCTTCGGTCGCTTGACAGGGTTGTCCCCTGTCTCGTATCGCCAGTCGGGTATCAGTTCGTTCCATCCAGTGCACCACCACTATCGTCCCTGTCCCCACGCGCCTCTGGCCTCCTCTACATCCAGCATCAACTTCTCTTCTTCAGTGGGCGTCTGACGACGACGCAAAAGGAAGACGGACAGCATCATGAGCGAAGAAAAGGTTTCTCTGGAGCGCTCCGCGGGCGAGAGCCCCGTCTACGAAGCCCAGCCTGAGCGGCGAGGGTTCGTAGGACGGGTGACAAAGTTTTATGGCAAATCCATGACGCAGGTCGCTCTCATTGGGTTTTGCTGCTTCCTTTGGTGGGTGACGCCCATCTGCCCGCTTTCGCTTTCGCTCTAGCACTGATGGTCATGGCGTCTCTTTTCTCAGCCCGGGCATGTTCAATGCGCGTGAGTAGCTTTCTTAGATCGAGTCTTTTGTGTAAGCAAACACAGTCATCTTACTCCCTCTCAGTGTCTGGTCTTGGCGGAGGTGGTCAAGTCGACGTGCAAGTCAATTCGCGTGCGAACACTGCTCTGGTGAGGTGGTTCTGGCCCATACATCGCATGTTGTCGTAGCTTACGCCATGACATGCTAGTACGCTTGCTTTGCGGGTGTCTCTTCGTTTGCTGGTACTATCCACAACAAGCTGGGCACTCGTCTGACGCTTTTCATCGGCGCCTGCGGATACAGTCTCTACATTGCTTCTTACATCAGGTGACTACACCCTTATCCTCGTCTTTGTCCTTTCAGGAGACGGACAGTGCTGACTTGCATTCCCCTGCAGCTACAACCATAACCAGAATGCCGGTTTCGTCATCGCCTCTGGCGCGATTCTCGGTGTTTGCGCCTCTCTGTTCTGGACTGCTCAGGGTGCCGTCATGCTTTCCTACCCTATTGAGCAAGACAAGGGGTGAGTGTTTCAGGTCCGCATCTACTATGCCGTGAATGGAAACTCACTCGAGATGTTTTGAAAGCACGTCTTTCGCCATCGTCTGGATCATCTTCAACCTCGGGGCCGTAATCGGAAGCGCTATCGAGCTTGGCCTTACTTATGATTCCGAGAGCCAATCGCTGAGCGATGCGCCTTACATCGTCTTTATGATTCTCTCTTTCCTTGGTGCCTGCTGCGCTGCTCTGCTCAAGAAGCCTTCGACCGTCATCCGGAGCGATGGAACGCGCGTCTACGTACCTGCCCAAACGACGTGGAAGGCAGAGTTTGTCGGTCTCTACCGTCTGCTGAGAACGGATCCGTGGATCCTCCTCATGTTCCCTCTCTTCTTCGGTTCCAATTTTTTTAACAGCTGGCAGCAGAACTGCTTCAACCCCACCGTCTTCACCTTGCGAACGCGCGCGCTCAACTCGCTCATCTACTGGTTTGCCCAGATGGTCGCCGCCTACCTCTTTTCGTTTGTCCTCGACAGCAAGCTAATCTCGAGACGTTCGAGGATGATGTTGGGATGGGCGGTCGTCTTTTGCTTCATGTGGGCCGTTTGGGGTGGCTCCTACGCTGAGCAGCTGACTTTCAGCCGCGGCTCGCCCCCCGTGCCGCTCGTCGACCTCAGCCATTCGCGACGCTATGCCGGGCCCGGTCTCCTCTTTGCCTTTTCTGGTTTCTTCGACGCCCTCTGGCAAGGTATGTCTGAGTTGGCCCCGCTGATCTTTGCCAATGGCTTACAGGATGCTGACACTCTCATTCATAGCATTTGCGTACTCGCTTATGGGCGCCATCTCTAACGACATGTCCAAGCTGGCCTTCTTGGCCGGCTTCTACAAGTCGATCCAGTCAGCCGGAGGTGCGGCCGGATTCGCAATGGACTCTGCCAAGCTGCCCTTTATGAACATTCTGGGTGCCACCTGGGGCACCTTGGCTGCCGCCATGTTCATCGTCATTCCCGTGCTCCTGTATCGTGTCACCGACACGACATCGCCTCTTAGCGAGATCACAGTGCCCGGCCGCGAGGAAGAGGTCAAGAAGGCGACAGAGGAAGCCATTGAGAGGACCGGAGTGGTGCCTGAGCAGCTCAAGCACATGGACACGCAAGCCTAGGAAAACTTCTTTACAGTTGCGCCCTGCATTCGCTTGCTGTACAATAGGAGTAGTAACGGTGGTGGTCGTGGAGGAGGAGGGAGTGCAGTTCAGTAGCAGCAAAGTGTCTTTGTCAATGAACAACTTTACGAGCGACATGTTGCTCAGATGGACAGTCTCATTGAACAAGAAGATCTCTCGCTCATCGCCAAAGCCATGCACCCACACCTGCTGCAAGAGCTCACCAGACATGTCATTCCATCACATTGAGCGTATCACTGGCCTCCTCATCAATGCGCTTTCTGCCTGTATCGCTCGAAAAAATTGTCTCGTTTTGCTTGGTAGATCGTCTCACTGCCCTCCTTCGTCCCTTTTTACCGTATCACTGCTCCTCCTAGGGTAATAATAATGTAGGTAGACCGTGGTACGGTCGTTCGCGATAGTCCGGCGTGCATTGGTCGGACGCGCAGGGTAGGGAAAGGAACATTCCTAGGTGCCGATGGCTGTAATTTGACTCTTCTTCTGCGTTTGTTGTAAGTTTTGTTAAAGAATTAGTCTAATACCACCAGCTTTGGAGGAATGAGCGCGCCAAGGTCGCAGGGCCAAGACTGGCACGGCACCAGTATTAGTCTAATAATAATGCCTCTCCCTCTTGGCTTGCGGGTCTGGGCGGCATTTTTCCCCAATTGTTTGGAATTTAAAAAATGCGGCGCGCTCGTTGAAATTCACTCCTGCAAAATCGAAGCCAGGCGGTTTTAATGTTCTACCGTTTTGATCTTTACGCTGCCTCTGCTGTAGTGCTGGGAGGTGATCGTCGTCTGCTGGGCGCCCGGCGCCTGGCCGAGCTGACCTTGTGCGCGCGCGCGCGCGCTCACGGTGCAAAGCAGTAATTGTGATCCCCCTAACCTCTGCCTGATTGATACCTCTCCTCGTCACCATCTTTTTGTCCCCCTCTCCCATCTCATCCTCTTCCCCCCTCCCTCCCCACGGCTCGTTGCTCGGTCAACCGTCACTCTCATTTATCACTCTCTCTCCCCTCCCAGCACGCTCTTTCAGCATCTCACTTTCGTTAGATTAAAACACGGTCGACCACACGAGCAACACCGCCTACCCTCTCCCCTACGACATTTAGAATTCTACATAACCTCAACCAACAATGAAGTCAACAATCTTCACCACCCTGGCCGCCAGCCTCGTCCTCGCCCTGACGCTCGGCGCAGCCTCGTCGGAGGCAAGCCTCGAGGCTGGCGCGCCTGCGCGGCGTCATCACGTCAAGGCTGCTCGGGCGCTGGAGAAGCGGTCGTTCAAGGGAAAGGCCACCTTCTACCACGTCGCCACGGGCAACGCCGGCGCCTGCGGCCAGATGCTCAGCCCCGACGAGCACGTCGTTGCGCTCAACCAGCCCCAGTTCGGTGACCTGAACCAGCAGTCGAGCTGGTGCGGTAAGACGATTACCATTTCCAACGGCATCAAGCAGACGACGGCCCGCGTCATGGACGCCTGCCCCACCTCGTACGGCCCCGACGGCCAGTGCTCGCACGGCGGTCTGGACATGAGCACTAGTCTGTTCCAGTTCTTCAACCCGCTCGGCGTTGGTGTCTTCCCCATCACCTGGTGGGAAGGTGGCTCCGACGACGGCGACCAGAAGAACAGCGATGATTCTGGCGATGATGATGCCGCTGCCGCCGCCGCTGCCAAGAAGAAGAAGCAGCAGCAACAACAACAGCAGGAGAAGGAGGAGGAGGCGAAGAAGGAGAAGGCTTCTTCGGCTTCATCTGCCTCGCGCGCGTCGAGCATCAGCGCCCACAAGGCCAGCGTCAGCGCTGCCAAGGCCTCTTCGATCTCGTCTGAGAAGCACGCCTCCAAGGTTTCCTCTGCCAAGGCCGCAAAGGCCAGCAAGGCTGCCGAGAAGAAGAAGGAGGAGAAGGAGAAGGAGGCCAAGGCGAAGGCAGCCAAGATCAAGGCAGTCAACCAGGAGGCCCAGGCCCACAACATCGAGGCATTTGCCAACATCATGGACCGTCTCGACAAGATGGTCAACGCCGCCCTCGTCGGCCAGTAAATCCTTTCAGCAACTCACCAATCGTCCCACCTACAGACCATTCACGCCATGCTCGTCCTGCTCCGGAAGCTCGACCATCATTGGACCTCAGTCATCGTCGGATCTCAACCTTTTCACCTCTTTTTTTTCTTCTTCAGCACCAGTAACGGTCTTAACCCTATCTCCTTTTTCCCCCTCCTTCTCGGCTATACCTTTTTTCCTCTTGTTGTCATCACCACTACCACACGTTCTTGTCATCTTCAAGCTGGTCTTCTTCCTTCATGGTGCGACGCTCATGGTCCGCTCTCTTGCTCTCCACGAAATGGAAACGTCATCTTTTTTCCCCCTTTCACTTTCCTGCTCAGTAATGCGTGAGGCTTCATCTTCATGGTGGCTTGCGCCGCAGAATCCGGGATCGCGCATCGGGACACACACGAAGGAGCAAGAGTGCATACAGCGCAAGTGGCGGCTTCCCCATTAAATAAAGCGAGTTCACAGAAGTACAGTACAGATGAAGCAATTCCGAGCCCTTCCTTTCTCTCTATTGCCGGTCGTTGTTACCACTCTTGTCGCCAGCGGCATCATCGTCCTCAGTGCCCTTGGGCTCCTCGACGACCAGCTCAGGCACGATTGTCGGGATGCTCTCCTTGTTCTCTTGCGCCTCTTCCTCGCTCTTTCCTTCGTCAAAGCCCGGTCCAGCAAAGAGTTGCGTCAGGACAAAAGTCGAGAAGCTTGGTGATTGCCAGTACGACACGTGGGCCCCCAGCATATCGAGGTACTGGTTGATGCTTTGGGAAGAGAAGGTGAAATCGATGCAGCCGTGCGGATTCAGCGCGCGGAAGCGTCGCTCGGCCTTCTGCAGCCTGGCGAGATCCATCTTTGTGCCCAGCTTGGCCTCAGCCTCCTTGGCCTTCTTGCGCGGTTGGGCCTCTTTCTGCTTGGACCCTTCTTCGAGCACAACATCGAGCGTGGTCGACTCGCGCCCTCGCTCTGGCGTGGCGTTGCCGCTGGACGACTGGAAAGTCTGCATCTCATTGCTGACCGAAGCTGCGCCCAACGTCGTCTTGACGCCGGCCGGGAGCTCGTTCGCACGGCGGAGTGCATAGGCGGTGCTCTTGTCGGAGAAAGGGTGTGCTTCGTCAAAGAGCTTGCTGATGGACAGCCGCGGCAATGCGAGCGCCTCGAGGAGAGCAGGAACAGCTTCGGGTATCGAGATGGGCCTCAGCAGGCGAGCGTAGGGTGCGTCAACCGTGGCAGAGAGCTGAAAGGCCACCGGATCCGTCTCGTTGTAGCAGTTGTAGATCGACTCGGCCGCCATGCAGCCGTACCTGCCCACCTCGTCGGAAGCTGCATCGTCGGCCACGTTCTTAGTGCGCGCTGTTCCTCGCCTGGCAATCAGCTGGGCACCGTGCAGATGGAAGAAGAAGCCATTGGGTGAGCCAACAAAGAAGAGGTTCTTGACATTGAAGTGCAGATGCTCGTTGCTTCGGAGGACTTCGACATTCTTTTCGTCCTTGACGAGGGGAACGTGGGTGGGCTGCGACGAGAGAATGTCGCTGGCTAGCGATGAGCCGAGTGAGTGGCAAATGAGTGAGACTCGGCCGCCCTTTGCCTCAAAATCTGGGTTGCGCTTGACAAAGAGGCGATAGACACGGTTCAATTCAATTTTGACGGCGTCGATCATCTTGGCCTTGTGCCGGGAAAGGTAGTAGGGCACATCCAAGATCACCTTGGATATGACATTCCGGACCAAGGGGATGCTCGCGTCGTTGCTCACGTCCCGCAGACCATAGACGTTGTCACGGCCCTTGAGCGTCTCGCAATCATCAAAGTTGAGATCCTTCCTCCAGCAAATTGGCAAGAATTGGGCGCGCTTGCCTCGTGAGATGCGGCGAATGGCTTTGTCGGATGCAATCTTCTTTGACAGATTGCGAAAACGCTCCACGTCGTACACAAAGTCGATGGCGTCAAAGTCTTCCGTCAACTTCTGTCCAATTCCGTGAATGACGAGGACCAGCTCCGGAGGTTCGTTGGCACGGTCGTCGCGAATCTCTTGACCAACACTTTGCTCCCCCTCCTCGCTGTCCTCATCTAGCTCATCATCTTCTTCGTTGTCTTTGGCCTCGTTGTTGTCCCGCTCGGTACGCAAGCTCTTTTCCGTGTTCTCTTGCATTGCACCTCTCTTGTCTTCGTCAATCGCATCGTCCGTGCTCCAGCCAATTGCTTGCAAGAATCTGACTCGAGGCCTCGCCAAAGCGTCGGAGCTAGGCCAAAGTCTTCCGATGAGGCCCTGGCTGGCCTCCTCTTCGTGCTCCTTCGAACTACCTTTCCCCCCTTTTTCAGAAGCCTGCGCACGGGACGGAGCTTCTGCAGCGCCTTCCTTCAGTTGGCCCCTCTTCGAATTTTGCGCTTCTTCCCCCGTGTCTGGCTTGCTCCCTCCTGCCCAGGGGAGCCACGTCTCGGCAAACGTCTTCTCTCTTTCGTCGGGACTAGATCGTCGGCTCGTCTCCTCCCATCCTCGGACAACGAGAGACCCGCCGAGAATGCTCTGCACGTGGCCAAGAAGATCTTGGCTGTCATGGAGGTGAGCATTGTTCGAAAACGGGCATCGAAGAACACTTCTTGGATACGCACGTATAGATTTTGCCAGATTCGGGACCCTCAAAGTGTATCTGCCCCTTGTTCTCCATGCTAGGCAGCGGATAGAGTGTGTCTTCGTCCGCTTCCTCCTCCGTCACCTCTTCACCATCTTTGTCCCATTGACGCCTCCACGGTTGGACTTTGTTGTAGGCCGAGTCCAGATCCTTCGCCAGATCTTCGTCGTGTGCGATGGGAGCGTGCTTTCCTTCTCCAGTAACGTAGAACCAGGTGGCACGAACCACCTTCAGCAAGACGCCTTTCCAAAATACGGGCAGAAGCTGGGAACAGCAAGTCAGCGCTGGTGGATCCATCAGAATGATTACCGACTCACATGCATCTGCACCAGATCCACGTCGAATAGCTTGTCCTCCATGACAGCGACCCGAAATTCCCGCTGGCTCTCGTCTTTGTCGGGATCGAGATGCTCATTGACGACGGCCTTCGTAGCATCCGTTTCCTGCTCCTTTCCCTCGTCGTTCTTTGCCTTCCGTGTCTCCTCTTGCGAATTGACATAACTCATAATAGCGTTCTTGACCGCATCGACACCAGACGGTGGAGCGTCCGCATCTTCGGCCTCCTTGCGCTGCTTCTGCGCATCGAGCCATTTTCTCCGCTCTTCGCCAAGCGATTGGGCCTTGGACCACCTTTCTTCCAGCGCTGCATCATCCTCGTCACTGAACTTCTGCCACCCATCGTCAAGCGCAAAGAACCATCGCGCCCGAAGGGGCGGACATTCCTCCATCCGTGTCGTCTATCCTGTTCTATGTGTCGAGGAGCAAAAGCGAAAATTTAGGTGGAGCGGACCCTCGAACAAGAAGCCAAATTTTGAAACCCTGAGCTGCGTGAATGGAATCGATGCATTGATTACAACCTTTGGCAGACATGGAAAGGTCTTCACCCTCACCCTTCTTCTTCTTCTTTTTTGACAAATGTCTCCTTACTCTCTACTTCTTTCCTTCCTCTTTCGTACTAAGTGAAGTGCCTGAAGTTTTGCGTTTGTTCGCCCTGCAATAGAGGAAGTGTCAACGTCGCAGACTGATTGACCTACCGCACGTGAACTCCGACGGGAGGTGTTGCTTTCGACTTTCTCTCGCTCGTGCCACCAGCGCCGACGCGTCTTGAGTCCTGGAGCTTGAAGAAGAGCAACAAGAGCGGCTGCACTAGGATGCTGAGCCCGTCGCTCGACTCGCCTCAACGGCCATTTGCGGCTTTGGCTGGACCATCGTCGGCCCACCCGCCTCGAGTGGTACAGAAGTGTGTGGCTCGTGTCAAGGGAACGAGCCGAGGAGCCATCTATACCCTCTATTTGCGCCTCGCACTACCTCCCTCGACAACGACGCAGACGTTTCCCTTGCTGCCCGATGACCAGGTCAAGCTCCGCTCCTCGGCCGTATACGCCGTCAGACCAGGCTCAGATCCGCAAGGCTCAAAAGAGACGAGCCAGGGCTTCAAAAGGGCTGCGTCCATTTTAGGGCTCCAGACTGGCATTCATGCTGACGACTTTACAGTCGACGCGGCGGCTTCGACGGCCGAGACGAAGCCGCGGATCACTACGTCCAACTTCCACATCTCGCTCGTACAGCCTCCGGTCTCAGCTGCATCAACAGTCAAGCAGATTCGCCTCGTCGTTCTCCAGCTCGAGGTTGGCCTGGTAGCCGTGCCCCCCACCTCTCCCTTTATTGTGAGTCGTGGCCAAGAAGACACTGGCCCTACGTTCACTGATGTGGATTCCGTCCTCTCTTAAGGTCATGCTACCGACACCGCGCTGTCTCAACAACCGCCTGCACTTTGATCTCGAGACTAAGGGAGAGGATGACGACGCGTTTGCGGACGGCGTCGTGGTCGAAGTCGACCCGCCGCTGGTCCCTCGCTCCCGCTCCGAGGAAAGCGCGGAAAAGAGAGCAGAGAAGTCGCAAGAGGGCGATGGCAACGCAGGAGATCTCACAGTGGTATCAGGACCTTTTCCATCGACCGACAAGGTGTTGATAAGGTGGGCATCGCCATCTGCCGCTGCTTCTTCTACCTCGGTAGCAGGATTGCATTCCTTGCGCGGAACTCGCCTGAGAAGTTCGCTCGACATGCGCTTCGTGGGTATGGATGACGAGGGTGCCAGAGCCATCTTGAAAGTATCCATGAGGGCAACGCTGGAAGGCGTAACCTTCCCTGGACTTGACCCGACAGCCTATCTGGGGTGAGAACTAAAGCGCTCTGGTCTCTTCCTGCAATCTGAGTATTGATCCTCCTTCTCAAAGACTTTCTCTCATCACGCCTCAGAGGGAAGCGAAGTGGAACTCCCACTCCATTCAGGTACACAGCACCAATTCGACGGCTTTACAAGACTGGACCCTTTCCCTTGGCGAAGGTCCGCTCCAAGAAAGTCGACCTGAAGAGCCCAGTCCGATATCATCGTCTTCGTCTGCAGGATCGCTCCTTGCCGCATCCGTATCGTCAAGAGCAGATAGTGTCGATGGAGATACGACGGGCGATGAAGAGGCAAATCTGGCTGACGTTCGACCGCCTAGAGGGCTCGTTACACCCGAGCTCGACTTCAGTTTCGATCGGGAACGTTTCGACGATGATAGCTCCGGGCGAGCATCTCGAGGAAGGCGGCATTCGATTGGAGTCCGAGGCGGCCACGGTCGATTGTCATATTTGAAAAACGAGGCAGAAGATGGTCACGAGTCGACGCTATTCCTTCTGACCAACGTGGCCTCCGTCTGTCGACAGAGTCACTCACCGGCTGACTTCACCTTTGCCGTAGAAGGCCAATTCTCGGTGCCCTGCCGTCGAGAGGACAAACATGTCGTCGTCGAGGTCCCAGCGCTTGTCGGACACGGTCTTGCCACATTGTCCTCTGTGCGAATTTCCGCGACCCAGCTCGAGGTACTCGAGTGGCCAGAGACATCCACAGAAGCGCAAAGTCAAGAGGGCTGTGTCACTTTTGCGTCCACATGGACCCCGCATCAAGGTGCACGTCGTGATGGCAGTCTCCTGGTAAAGGCCCTACCCTTCATGGAAGAGGAAGCTGAGGACGAGGACGGCGACGTAAGCGGTACGACGATTGCGACTGCAAGGCTCAGCAAGGGCGCACGCGCGCTGTCGCCTCTCTCTCCTGACGCGTCCGGTGATCTCCTCTCGGCCCCAACGCCCCGCCTGAATGACGTCCTTGACCTCGGCGCATCGGCAGAGCAATTGGACGATTTGTGGACCAGTTCCGTCTCCGAAGCGAACGTCGAGGTGTGGTGTCCGAGCCGCGAAGCGACGGTAGCGAAGCCGCAGCGACGGACGCTCCATCGACTTGTTCTATCATGGCCGTGCTCACCACCTCGTTCCGACGCCGCACATGGAACGCTACTCCCAAAGCTCGTTGTAGCCGTGCCCAATGACCCTCATTCGACGGTACACATACTGCATGCCAGCGTTGATGGCATCGCTCTCAATGCGCAGGCAGAAAAAAGTCCCAGGCAGGGTGCCTCGCACATCATCGATCTCGAGCTACCAAGCGGCACACGTCGAGATGCTCAGCTCAAGGCTCTGCTCATTTACCACGTCGATGCATCACCGGCAGCAGGCGAAGATGCTCGACATTGCATCGTACCACCCGTAGCAAGCTCCATTGCCCTTCTTCGGATTACTGTATACAATGGTGCGTCAAACCTGGCTCATGATCTTTTGTCGGTTCTCAGAAAGCTGACCCTCATCACAGGCTCATCAACGCCGCTGCTCTCTTTTGCCGAGGAGCCATTCCACTGGACGATCTCGCAGGACGAATCTGCTCATCAAATTTCAAAAGCGACCGTCTTCATGCTACCTGCCATGTCGAGCACATTCATGACGATTCCCCCCGCAGCTCCCGTCTCGCTCGATGTTTCCTCGATTGGCCCGAAGCGTCGCAGGGAGCGCGAAGGCAGTGCAGCTACACTGCAGAGGTCGCGAGGCAGCGCGCTCGGGGTCCTGTCGGCAACACACTTGCTGTGGACCCTGCTCCTGTCGCTTGCCCTGCTAGGGACAGTGGCAAATCTCGAGCCTGCTGTGTCTAGCCTGTCTCGGAAAGTCGACTCTCTCGCCGTCGCCGTCGATGTCGACTTTCGTGAGGGGACGTGGCGGCCTGGGGACAGCAGCAGCGACCGAGTTGTAGATGTTGACGACGATGACGACCTCGGCTCATGGCTGCCTCCAGCTGATGCTTCATCTGTGCCAGAGCGGACTTTTGAGAACAAGCAGCTATCAAGGGAGACGACGTCGTTTGCTCAAGCCCTGCACCTCATCTCTGTCAAGTTCACGAAGCAGGTCGCGGCAGGTCTGTCTCTCTTGGCCTGTGCGATTTCTCATCCGGCTCTTTGGGCGGTAGACAGCCCTTTGCCCCCCGGCTCCCAGGATGTACTGTAGTACAGTACAGTGTATTTTCGCTGTCCCTGTAGGAAAGTAATTGTAACGATAGCCTGAGCCGAATTGACCGAGCACCGCATGGCTGACGAAATTAAGCCGAGAGCATTCATTATGCGGTTTCAAACAAAATTGCGGTGCAGCCAGCAGAAGGCTCCACGAAGACACTTGGCGTTCCTAGTCTCGCCTCGGGAAGCAGGAAAATTCAAAGATGGATCTCGTACGTGTACGTGGTTAAGCTCGGATGCATGCGTGCCGGGGGGGGCTGGCACACCAACCTGTCTCCCTTTTCTTCGTGACAGACACCCACCAGCTGTCACTCTCGCTCTCGCATTTCTTCCCACCGCTTTCATTGGGTCCACTGCCAGTCGCCCGCAGCATCCTGTCTCGCGCCCAAGGTGCCCTTGAAGAAGAAGACAGGCCAGGAAGAAATGGCCGATCATGAAGACGAGCCGCGGACGCCGATCGCGCCCAATAACAACAATAGTGGCAGTGCGGCGTTTCAAATGAGCACGGGCACCCCCGCCGCTGCCGCCGCACCTGCGCCGCCGCCTCCCAATCCATTTCCGAACAGCGCAAGCAACAGCAGCAGCCACCACCACAACAGCAACAACAACCACGCGCATTCGTCTGCGTCATCGGCCACGCTCTTGGGCTTGTCACCACCGCAGATTCGCCAGCAGGCCGCGTCGCGTACCTTGCAGAGCCAGCGCATGATGCACTCGCGCAGCACCTCGTCCGACGACTCGGCCCTCGACGCCCTCGATGGCGTGCCCGACGACAGGAGCGCACTGGCCCAGATTCTGGGCGGCATCAGCGACATGCAGAGGGAGGTGAGAGAAGAGAGCTATGGCTTTTTTAGTGCCTCTTTGCCAGTCCTCCAGGATGACGAAGCTGACGAAGAGGGTGAATGTGTCCTCACTACAGTTGGCCCGCCTACACGTTCGGATGGACTCGATGGAGGAGCGGACAGGTGGGCCCTCGCCGTCACCCTCGCCCCACATGCGACCACGGAGCATTGCGAGAAGCCACTCGAACAGGAGCTTCCGCCATGACTCTTCGCGCTCCTCGTCGCCCGACAAGCTCGCGAGCATCCCTTCCAGTGGCACGAGACCAGCCCACCTCTCGCAGCTTCCCCGGCCCGTCATTTCTCAGCCGGGCCCGATCTTGACGCAGGAGCCCGACCTTGGCCTCTGGTGCGTCGTCCCTGCCGGTGGTGCCGGTACTCGTCTCTGGCCGCTGAGCAGGGAGAGCTACCCCAAGTTCCTCCTGGACCTCGTGGGCAGTGGCAGGACGCTGCTCCAGAGCACCTGGGACCGCCTGCTTCCTCTCTGCGGCCCGCGTAGGCTCATGATTGTCACTGGTGACCTTCACGTCGACGGCGTCCTCGATCAGCTTCCCGAGCTGTCCGAGTCCAACGTTCTGGCCGAGCCGTCGCCCAAGGAGTCGATGGCTGCCATTGGGCTGGCTGCTGCCGTGCTGCAGCGACGCGACCCGGATGCAGTGCTGGGCTCCTTTGCCGCCGACCACATCATCTCTGGTCGCGATGGCTTCGAGAGTGCCGTGACCGAGGCTGTCGCCGTTGCCAGGGCCGGCTACCTCGTCACCATTGGAATTGCGCCTTCGCATCCTTCGACTGGCTTTGGTTACATCAAGCTCGGCGACAAGCTCGACGTGGACAAGGCCCCCAACGCGCGGCGAGTCACTGAGTTCAAGGAGAAGCCCGACGCCAGAACGGCGAGCGCCTACCTCGCCACGGGCGAGTACCGGTGGAACGGAGGCATGTTCGTCGTGCAGGCAAAGACGTTGCTCTCGCTCCTCGAAAAGAGCATGCCCGAGCTCCACGAGGGCCTCGTCAAGATTGCCGCCGTCTGGGACGCGCCCGGTAAAAAGGAGCAGGCCCTCCAGGAAATCTGGCCCGACCTGCCCAAGATTGCAATCGACCACGCCGTGGCCGAGCCGGCGGCAAAGGCAGGGAAAGTCGCCGTCGTGCCTGCCACGTTTGGTTGGGACGACGTGGGCGACTTTTCGAGCCTGGCAGATCTCATCCCCGCCGACGAGGGCAAGGCCAGGATCCTGGGCGACCAGAACCTCGTCGTCACAGAGTCTCAGGCCGGTGGCCTCATCGTCCCCGCTGCAGGGAGGACAATCGCCTGTCTAGGTGTGGACGACGTCGTCGTCGTCGACACGCCAGACGCGCTCCTCATCACGACGAGGGCCAGGAGCCAGGACGTCAAGAAGATTGTGGCCAGGTGTAAAAAGACGTATCCACAGCTCTGCTAGCATGCACATCACACATGTCCCCTCCCCACCCCTCACTTTGTCTTTGCACATCCCACGAACAATCTGATGGTAATGGTAGATTGGAATGATCTAGGCACAAGTAGTGTGAGCTTTACCGCCGTCGTGACTTGACGACGGTCGTGAAGCCATCCTCATCTACCACCGGCTCCGGCTTGTTCTGCCTTTGCTCTCTCGGTTGTTGATCGACATCCATTGCATCGTCGTCATCTTCGTCGCCACTGTCCCCCTCGCTGCTGCTGCCACTGCCGCTCTCGTCGTCTGCCTCCCTCCTCTGCCTCGTGCTGTTGACTTTGCTTCCTCGCAGCTTTGATGCGGCCTCCTGCAGCTTCTCAACTTCCTCCCTCGCCGCATCCGACACTGCAGGGAATACAGCGTAAACCATCTTGTGCAGCGACACGATGCGCCCCGCGATCCAGTCCGAGGAGCCGTCGTCGAGCCTCGTCTCAAACTCGTCGCAAAAGTAGCCCTCGAGCGTCTCGGCCAGGTCATCCACGTCTGGCGTCGCCGGCGCTCTCCTTTCTGACGACGACGACGAAGTGCTCGCTTGGGCCGACGACGGCGCCGCTGCTGCTGCTGACGCTGACGCTGGCTCTTCGGTCGAATACTCGTCGCAGAGGTGCGAGATGAGAAAGTCGCGCTTGTCGACGCTCTCGATGCCGCCCCACTGCTCGCCAATGGCCATGCGCATCGCGGGCCAGAGCTCCATCGTGAGGATCACGGCGCGCGCAAAGAGCAGCTGCGTGGGCGACGGCGGTGCTGGTGTGCTACTCATGATGCCTTCCGTTCCGAAGTCTTTGTCTTCGTCGTAGTTGGGCTGTCCGTCTCCGTTCAGGATCTTCTCAAGGTCCTGAAGACCTTTTTTTTTTTTTTTACAAATCTTACTTGTGTTTAGATTTTTGGAATTTTTTGGCCTGAAGGTCTGACACCCACGGCCGAGAGAAGAGAGAAGGTGAGCTTCTTTCCTCCACGCCAAAGCGCGAGCAGGCTGAAGGCTTCCGATAAGACTAAATAATGCCGGCAGCATCCTCGACGGGCGTTGGGCCCTCCTCTGAGCCGCTCTCGGCCTCGCCCGCAAACGGCGTGAGCGAGAGCAACACCTCGATCGAGGCCAATGTCGTCGTCCTCGGTCTTCGCCGCGCAGGAAAGTCCTCGATCCTCTCCGTCGTATACAAGTCCATGCCGCCCGACGACACTTTTTTCCTCGTCGAGAGCTCCTCGTCCAAGGGCAAGCCTGCCCCCATCGATGTCGACGCCTTTCTCAAGATGAGGTTCTGGGACGGCATCGATGCGCCCACGACGGCGGCGAACCTGATTGCCCAAAACAGCCACGAGAGCGGTGATCAACGAGGTCGGATAGCGTACGGAACCGCGGGCCAGCTGTATTGGACGCAGTGCTCGGCCATTGTCTTTGTCATTGATGCTCAGGTGGGTTCGCCGGTATAGAGAATGCGTCAATCAAGTCACATAGCTCATTGGGAAGAGTGTCGATAGGCCGAGTTCTTCGAGGCTGTCTCGAGGCTCAACGATGTCATTCTCGAAGCGTATGCGTCAAATCCCCTCATTCACTTTCACATCTTTGTCCACAAAGTCGATGGGCTCAGCAGCGACTATCGGTATGGTGAGTGTCTTTGTCTTAAATCGACCCTGCTCGGTGCAAAGCTGATCCGGCCTGCCATTGCCTCGACGAAGAGACGCTCCGAGACATCGAACAGCGCGTTCTCGACAATCTCTCCGATGCCTCTGCCTCTTTCATCTTTGCACCTGCTGCACATCATGTCGTCCAGGCCGCAAAGTCCTCCCGTCAGTCATCGGGCACCTCAACTGATCGACCGAGTCCATTCGATCAGAGCGAAGGCGGAGGGACAGCTTACAAGGGCGTTGGTGGCTTCTACATTCCCTCGCTCGAGGAGTCGCCGAACCTCGAGGCTGACGTCCGCCTCTCGTTCCACGCCACTTCCATCTTTGACTCGAGTGTGCATGTCGCCTTTTCACGCATCCAGATCGCAATGATGAACGCCGATCTCGCCAACACGCTCGAGGTCCTTTGCAACAGTCTCTGCAACGTGAGCCCCTTTTCTCTGTTCCGTCTTGCCAGAGGAGCAAGTTGCTTAATTTCCCTTTCTCTTTCTCCCTGTGCAGTCATCCAAGCTGGAAAAGGTCTATGTGTTCGACGTACCGAGCCTGACATACATCTGTGCCGACTCGAGTCCGTTTGACGAGAACAGCTTCGAGGCCGTGTCCGAGTACTTGCGCTTCCTCGTCCAGTTCAGCGGGCTATACAGCCCCCTGACCGTCCCGAGCCAAGCCAGCACCGGCGGGCAACGGGCGATGGCGGATCAAGAAGCGGTCAGAAACGAACGATATGCGACGAGCAACACGCGACTAAACCCCGACTTGACGCTGGCCTTTTACCAGATCAATACGTGAGTGCCCTCGCCAAGGTCTCCCCTCTGGCCGCTTCTTTGTTCCAAGGGCTGACACAGAGTCAACCTTCTCGCAAAAGCCACCTCGCCATCGTCGCAGTCACCCGGACTGAAACATTTGCAAAGCAGTCGTCCATGGTCGTGAGCGTCTTTCTCGATCTCGACGTCTCTTCTGAGCCGCTCACTGACTGACACCATTTCACAGAACTACAACGTCTCAATCGCACGCAAGGCCTTCTTAGACTTGTACAACTCTGCAAATTAAACGAAACAGAGCGATAATACCATCCATCATCATGCCCTTGAACTTTGCTTGTGCTATCGCTGCTGCTGCTCCCGCTGGTGAGCGGGATGAAGACGGTGCTGCTGGTCGAGCTTTGCCTCGATGGATGCGAGCTCGCGCTCGAGATGCAAGCGCGCTGTGAGCAGCGAAACATCTTGCTTTGGCCCAATGATGTTCGTCGCTGCGGCCGGGTTGGCGCTGGGTTGAGTGGCATGAGCCAGGTCAGCAAGTATAGGAGATCGGCCAGCAAGAAAAGATCAAGACTCACGGAGGTGGTGAAGGCACAGCCGGCGCCCTGGCTTTTTCCTCTGTGTTTGGGACCTTGGCGAGGTTGTCGAGTGGATCGCCATTGATGACGTCGTGCAGATAGACTCCTCCAAACCAGCAGGTCGGCATGAGGACCAAAGCAGCCAGCGCTGCCGGCCAATTGCTCTTCCTTCGAGGCACCTGCTGCTGCTGCAATCTTGATGCAGCGGATGCAGGTGCCCGCCGCGGTGGTGGTGGTGGTGGTGGTGGGGGTCCCCTTCGAGTCTTTGAGGAATACAAGCGATTCTGTCTTGGCGGTAACAGGGCGGATGAAGATTGCTCGATGAGACGACGGCGAATCGAAGACGTGGAAGTCGAGAAGAGCGAGGAGGATGAGGGAGAAAGGCTCGACTGCGCTTTGCGAGGTCGGTCCGGAGTGATGAGAGAAAGGGATTTTGTACCGAGCGCCATGCCGTCCATGAGCAAGTTCCAGCCTTGCGCAACCCAATCGAAGCCCTTTTCGAATAGGACCCATATCCGGGCGCGGTAAGTGAGCGTTGTGGTGGACGCTGCAAGCCCCACAGGCCCAAGCTCTGCGATTGGAGGCGGTGGCTGCTCGCTCTTGATGCATCCCGCCCAGGAAGCTAGCTCCGCGGCCTCTTGCGCAGACAAGCTCCCCCTCCATCCTCCCCCTGGAACAACGCCGAGCCTCTGCAGACGAGCCAGGACCGACATCTCGGTCCACCGCATCAACCTCGTTCCCAGCCTCTCCCTCCCAAATACCCTCATCGTCAAGACTCCGATCGCGCGTTGCTCACCGCCCCTCGATCGGAGGTAGCGACCAATGCGAGAAGCAAGGATTATGTCGGTCGTGACTCGATCACCGACCACAAGGACGTGCCCAGCACCTGCGCCATCCTCCAATGGTGCCGAAAGCAGATCGACGATTTGCTTCGCACACCTGGACGAAGGCTTCTTGTGGGGATGCGCCAGAACGTTGGTATCCAATGTCTTGGCCAGTTGCTCAGCCTGTAAAGAAAACCAGCATCAGAAGGGTTCATCTTCAAATATATAGAGAGGACGAAGGAGGAGGCACGCACCTCAATGCTAAGGGGATCGTCGCTGCTTCCTGCCGAATTGGACACGATGAGGACATGCCCTCTCTCGAACGTCTTTCTGCACTCTTCCCAGCCCGGACGGAGCTCGTCAATGATGTCTGGCGCATGTGGCAGAGTCAGGCAGTTGTCCTTGTCAAAGAGAACATGCGAGACGCCTCTTTGATGCAACGCTTGCCAGTCGAGACTGTTGATGTCTTTTGATTTCGTTCCCACTGCTTTAGCATGCACATCCTTCTTCCTCGCACAGATCTCGATCCACCCACCTGGTGTAACTATGTGCGGTACGATTAGGCCCGGTCGGAACAGGGCGGCCAGCACACCCCCCACGCCGGCAGCATTGCCCATGTCGTCGCTTCAAGGTCTTCGAAAGCTTGAAGAGGGAGGAAGAAGCAAATAAAAAAGATAAAAATAAAAAGATGGAAATTTGGCCGGCTTCTCGAGTCTGTGCGCAGGCGCGCGCAACTTTGACGTCAAGCAGAGCCAGCCAGCCGCATCGAAGGTCATCTTCGTCGGCGTCTTGTTGAGTCCAGACGTGGCGAATACTTTCCAGCTTGACGGTGCATCGACGCCGCCATGATCCGACAACTTTCGTGTGCGTAGTATTCCGGGAGGAACATGACGTTGCGAGATGGCAGTTCGCAAGAGGTAGAGGCGCATGAAGTCTCACCTCACCTCTTCAAAGCTAGGAACGCTCCTATGGTTGGGCCATGCACTCGTCTTCTACTACAACTACTATTACTACTACACTTCGTGCTGCTGTATGTTCTCGCTGCTCGATCGATATGGATTTGAGATTCTATGACGTTTTTTGCGCTCCCTTCACCTGTGCATGTAGCGTCGCCAGTCTGCCAGATTCAGCCCAGCGTGAAAGCAAAAATTGGGAGTGGAGGTACGGCTAACCGTACTACTACTTAGCGCATCATCGACCGAGACAGCGCGCGCATCAGGAATCGGCCTTGCTCGCGCGTCCCCACATTGCGAACGAAAAGAAGAACAAGGGCGAGACACAAGGGCGAACCACGCTCCAAGCAAAACAAACAGTCAGCAGCTAGCTAGCCACACACCACCTTGACCCCTTCATCTCCATCAAACATGTCTGGCCCGCCCAAGAAGCCGCACAACCTGCCGCCGTTGTCCAAGGACGCCTTTGCGCCCTCGCCCGACCAGGGCAGCACGGCCAACAACCGGCCATCGCTCGTCCGCCTCGTCGTCTCGGGCAGCGCAGGTCCAAAGGCCGTCGATGCGCTCGCACAGGGCTGGAAGAAGAATGGCTTTGGCAGCGGAAAGAACGAGACACAGCTCTCGGGTATCGTCTACGAGCTGGCCCGCGCAGACAAGCCCGAGCCGGCCCTCGAGGCATTTGGCGTGTCAAACGAGGCACCCAACAACATCCCACTCACCCTCGTGCACCCGCTGACGGTCGCATCGGGCCAGCTACTCCCCCAGCTACCCGCCAAGGACACGGCGCCCCCGCACGCCTACATCGCCTTTGCCCTGCCCACAATCACGTCGGCGGCGTCGCTGGAGGGCGACAACGAGGCAAAGTGGCTGGCCTTTTTGCGCGAGGCAAGCGAACGCAACCTCACCCTCGAGCTCGCCCTGCCCGACCCGAGGACGACTTCGGGCAAGGGCACCGACGAGGAGGCAGAAAAGATTCGCGAGGCTCTCGAGAGGGTTCTCGGAAAGGCCTGGGATGAGGAGGTGGAGAGGAACAAGAAGGAGGGTGAAGAGAGCGGACCCAACACAAAGGGCCTCCGAATCATCCTCGACGCCCTTGCTGCCCCTCCCCTGTCCACCAACAGCTCGCAGCTGCTGCGCAGCCAGGACCTCCAGAACTGGTCCGACTTCATCAGCGTAAGTCTGAAGACTCAAGTTTGAGATAGGAGAGGAATATATGCTCAACAAAAGCCCTTGCTTCCACCTTTCAATAGCGCCTCTCGCTGCATCCCAGGGTCTATCTCAAGCTGTCACCCCTGCCGCTGCCTAGCCTGCTGCCGCCCTCTGTCAGCGCTGCCGCTTCCTTCCGGGCCGTCGATGCACCCGGTCTCACCAACACGGGCGCCAGCGTGATCCACTCAGTCGCCGACGCCACCTCGGCGGCCGTGTCAACGGCTGAGTCGATAGCTGGCAGCGTGACACCTTCGATGAGCGCCGAGGAGCGCCGCGCTGAGCTGCTGCGAAGGCTGCGCATCTTCCTCGACACTGCTCTCGAGGCCTTTGGGGAAGAAAGGATCGTTTGGGCCTCGTACATTGGCTCAGGCTCCTCGGCGGCCACGCAGGCTGCTGCCAAGATCGACTCGAACGCGACCTCGGAGATCGAAGAGTGGTTCGAAGTCGTTCGCGAGAGCCTGGCCCAGAGCGGCCTCAGCCAGGAGAGCATGGACAAAGTCTTTTCCCAGTGGGTTCTCATTTCTTGCTTTTTCCTCGACGTCTCTTTTGTTGACGTGTGCTGATTGCGACTGCTTCCTCTTGCTATTCTCTTCCCTCACAGCAACGCTTCCAAAGCCTACCTCATGTAGAGTTGTCCTTAGCTGGCGTAGATATCTCCCTTCTCATACACTTTATCTTCGAATGAGCTCGCATACAAGGCAGCCAGGCCCGAGAATTGATATTGTCCCTGTCGTCGGCTGATCTGGTCTGCCAATGCGATCAATCGAATATGAAGGCTGGTGGAGATGGAGCCCGCTGAGATAAATCGCCCAAAGCACGTCTTGGCGATGCAAATTTTCCCACCTCTCATTCGTTGAAAGCCAAACCCCACTTTCCCGATTATTTCATCATCGTCTTCTCCCTTTGTACCCGCGGCTTCTCAGTGATTGCCGACAGGACTCCTTCCCCTTTCTCTCCCTGTCTCCCTCTCGCACGATCCAAGATGCCCCGAGGAGCGCAACCACCCATTCAAGAAGCGTCGCCACCCGCGAACGTGCGCGCCAACATGCGCAGGACCGACAAGGGCGCCGCGACGGGCGCCTTTGCCTCGGGTGCCTACCGCGAGGGCAGCGGCGTCCCGGCTGCCGTCGAGAGCGATGCCGACGACGACGACGATGACGACGACGAACAGCAGCACAGGGGTCGAGGCCGCGCGACGAGGGACAAGGGCGACACGATTGGTGCGCTGCCCTCCGAGGCAGCGGCCACGGCCGCAGTCAAGTCCTCGTCGACGTCGAGAGAGCCTTCGTCGATCACGCCTCAGGGTGGGGGTGCTCGGGCGCGCAACTCGAGCAGGAGCAGGAGCGGCGTTGACGACGCCGCCAGCGTCAGCCCCAGCAGGAGCAGGAGCTCTTCGCGCACCCAGACGACGCCCAAGGAGAGGGGAGAGAGCCTTACCAGGAGGCTTTCCTTTGGCCTGGGCAGACGCCTCGGCGGTAGCAACGCCTCGCAGAGCCAGAGTTTCGAGCGGTCCGCTACGCAAGAGACGGACGGAGACAGCCTCCGATCAGGAAACGGCGCCAGTACGACATCTGAAGCTGGCGTTGCGGCTGCTGCTGCTGCCCGGCAGAAGAGTGAGTCTCTTGTCATGCCATGTCTCGATTGCGCGTCCAGGGAACGTGTGTCAGAGAGAGAAAGGGAGAAAGGGAATACGTATAGGAAGGAGGGACGGTGCGGGGGCTCGCATGGCTCAACAGTGGTAAAATGCAGGTACGGCAGTGGCTGGTTCTTTGATGGTACAGGAAGATCAGCTTCCGTCAATCATTTCTATCGCCGAGCTCGAGCTGGCCAGAGATAAGGAAGCTGCCGGAGGCTAGGCAGAGGCCCCGGGCAGGCACAAGAGCGGTGACGCGAAACTCTGCGATGGGGTCAGAAGAGCCTCCACGTGGCTTGCCAAGCCTCAAGAGCCTCGATTCTTTTAATTTCCAAGAGCCTCCTTATCTTTGACAGTCAGTCGCCCGAGCCCATCTCTGGGAAAAAAGGCACGCTTTCCCTGTCTCCTTCCGAACTGTGCCGCACAGGCTGAACGAGCTCACACGCTTTTCTTCTTCCTCCACCATCCGCCAACATCCATCTCCAATCTCACCTTGGGCACACCTGATTGTACGAAAATGACTTTTGGACCGTCAGACCAGGAGCGTGGCCGAGAGCCCGTCGCATCGACCGGACGTGGAGGTGCAGGCAATGTGGGTGACCCGACCGATTGCCGGCTCTATGCGAGAGAGACTCTACCTGCTGACCATGCATTTGTGCTTTTCTCTCTCTCTCTCTCTCTCTTTAGGCAATCCGCTCGCCCTCGCGCGGTCGTCCCGGACAAGACAAGGAAGAGCGCGAGGCCGCTGCTGCCTACCACGCTAGCCATGGCACTACCCACTCTGGCCGAGGCGGCGTGGGCAACGTCCGCTCGCCCTCGCGTGACCCCACCGAAAGGCTCAAGGCCGAGGAGGCGGAGAAGCAGGAGCACGTCCTCCAAGCCGAGGCCCTGCGCCAGGATGCCCAACACGGCCAGCACACGGGTCGGGGCGGCGTCGGCAACATCAAGGGCGAGCACGGTCACAGCCACAGCCAAGAGCGAGGCAGGGGCTCGGACTCGCACCATGGCGGTGTTGGTGCTGTGAGTGTGCCCGTCCGATGACAGTTCTTCAAAGCCATGAAACTGACCCTTAAGGAACTTACAGGCCATTCGGTCCATGTCGCGCTCTCGTTCGCGCGAGCCAAGGAGCTCGAGTGCCAACCGGTCTCAGGCTACCGCCGATGGCGAAAAGAAGCTGGATGCTGTCGATGAGGCGTCGAGTGCCTCCTCGACGGCGAATGGCAGCGCCGAGCACCCACACCAAGGCTTCGTAAGCAAGATCGCAAGCCATCTGCCCGGACACCACAAAGCCTAGAGAGGACCTCAAAAAGAGTGTTCTCCCCCCCCCCTTTCTTGCACGGAATGTCTTCTTCTCTCTTTTTCCTCCCTTTTCTTTTCCTTTTCTTGCCTCCTTTCCTTCTATCGTATATCCACCACCACTTCTGCCTCTCTTTTCTCTCTCTCTCTCTCTCTCTCTCTTTGTCGAAAATTAGCACTTGGAATGACGTACTGTGGGATCTTTGTATGCATCTCTTTTACTCTACTTTTGCATGTCAAGCTTGTCTTAGCCTTCTTTGAGAAATGCCGAGAGCTCTGATAGGCGGGATACGAAATGACTCCAACGGGAAGAAAAGGCACATTACAAAAGTGGAAGCGCCGACCTGCCACGCTTCCTCCAAGTCTCACATCCTCTCGGACATACCGCCGAACCTCTCGAAGTCATGGTTTTCACTTTTCACATGGTGCTTGCTGTACTTAAGAGAACAGGTACATATACAGGAAGGACCTGGCCGGAAAGCATCGTCCTAAGGGAAAAAAAGGGAGAGAAATAGGAGAGAAAGAATGAACGTAATCCCTTTGACTACAGCTTGCTTGTGAGCTCCTTTGCGATGCCGCCCTCAAATGCAATCGCATGCACTGCCTTGAAGAGCGGATAGTCGTCCACCTTGCCCCTCGCCTTGAGGAAGTTGTGAATCTCCCTGGCCGTCTCGCTTCCCTGCAGCTTCTGGCCGTTGAGCAGCTCCTTTTCGAGCGTCTCGAAAGACTTGCCCGTCTTGACAAAGGCCTCTGCACACTTGCGGTTACGTCCGCCAAAGCACGTCGTGATCAGGTCGGCAATGCCGGCGCTCGTCTCCGTAAAGGTCTCGGGCTTGACGCCGTCGAAGAATTCCTCGGCAAAGTGCTTCATCTCCATCAAACCGATTCTCATGACGGCGGCTGGTAGCAGGATTCGGTTGAGCTAAAGAATTCACTATCGCCAAAGGGCAAGGCATAAGAGTGCTCACCTTTCGCATTGTCTCCCCATCCCAGTCCATCGGTAAATCCAGCAGCAATGGCGACAACATTCTTGAGGGCGCCGCACAGGCTGACGCCCGCAACATCTTCGATCATGCCGACGCGGAACGTGGGCGTGTCAAAGACCTTGTGGAACACTTCAGCTTGTGCCAGATCACCCTCGCGGTAGCCGATCGTCGTCTCTGAAAACTTGTCCTGGGCGACCTCGTTTGCGATGTTGGCTCCGGAGAGGGCAGAGCACTTGCAGCCAAGGATCTCTTCGATGACATCGGCAAAGATGCGAATGTTGCCGTTTTTAACCTCAACGCCCTTGATCATGCTGATAGCGCGGGCATCGCTGCTAATGTGACCCTTGAGCTCCTGGCAGACACTGGGAATGAACTGGTGGATAGGCAGGTGTCAGCCTGAGTCTCTGCTCAACGACATGAAAATTGACTCACCTGATGCGGCAGGACGAAGATGAGGAGGTCCGCGCCTTTCGCTGCTTCGACGGCGCTCGGCACTGCGACAATGTTCTCTGGCAACTTGACTCCCGGGAGGTATTTGACGTTCTCGTGCCTCTCGTTGATGAGCTTGGTCAAGGGTTGACCCTCGACTGTCTCCTCGTGGACGTACATCTTGACCTGCTCCTCGAAGAGGTCCGGGTAGCGCCGCATGTTCTTGCCTGCAATCTTGGCGATGGCGCTCCCCCAGTTGCCAGAGCCAATGATGGCGAGCTTATGCCTTTGGGCCGACATGGTTGTGCTGATATGACGTGGAGTCGAAGATACTGCTGCAATTCCAGTGCGTCCTTGCGGTCGTGCAGCCCGTGCTATGGGTGAAGGTGTTGGTGCTGCCCAGACGAAAGGCGGCCGCAACACTCGAGAAGACCGGAAAGACACCTTTGTGATTTGCGCTCTGCAACGGAGTGGTTCTTCGATCTACTGCCACTAACTCTGGCAGCAAATGGATGTCGACGTCTTGAGGATAGACGACTTGACGCTGGACGACTACTTGACGATGAACGATCGAAGCGTTGGGTTTGGGTGGCCCGGGCGAACTTTTTTTTGGTCCCACTTTTTTTTTTCTTCACCTCGAAATTGTAGTGACAGTTTTTGGAAACTCTTTGGAGGTCGAACCTTTTTCCGCGTGACACACACCTGGCGTTCCTGTCCGCAATGACGAGCAGGGAGAGAGGGAAGCAAGACGAAGAGCGAAGATGTGGATGGAAACGAATGCTCGGGATGCACACGGGGCTCTTTTGTACAAGTGGACTGCAATCTCTGAACGAGAACTCTCATCGACAAACAGTGTCTTGTGAATGGTGACAGTGGAGGAGTCAGGGCCGGATCTTCTCGGAAGCCGGTTACGTCACGTGGCGTGCGGCCCCCCTCGTCTGACGCAGTCTGGTTTGAGAGAACACCGTTCAAAATTGGCGATAACGAATGGTTACTCTGCTTGGACCTCAATTTCGTCTGGCAATGTAGTCTACGTATGGAACAGTTAAGGTCCTGTGCAGGAGCTGGCGCTCGGTAGGAAAAAAGATCTCGAGGAAATTTTGAAAGGCGCATTCTCGATTGTCTTGAACCATCTAGCACGCTTGCTCCTTCTACACATCTCGACCGCTCCATCCTGCCCTGAAACTGGACTCAAAAGACTCGAAAGCGGCCACATTACTGACCGTCACAGTATCCACTACCAAATATACCGTCCTCATCGCTTGCGAGAATTTTGTGCCTCGGCAGCCACCTCTGAGTGCTTCAAAAAGCTTTACAGAATGTCTCAGACTGTCGGTTCACGGTAGAACTTGCGCATGGCGCACCATGACATCGACAGTCCACGTCCAATAATGGCTTTGGTCGCCAGCATGCTGCTCTCAACGTCTCCTCTCTATTATCGTGCAGACGACATTCCCCGTGTCGCTCAGCATCGCATCCCCCGGTGTTTCCCATTTGTAAGATGTGCACCCACCCGACCGCTTGTCCCCTGTCAGCCCACATGGCAGCCTCAGACTGAGGTCGTCATCAGCTTGATGCGCCCTTTTCGTGTTTGTATCGGGACCGGCGCGAGGAACCGGCGACAATAGCGATCGATCGCGTTGTCGAAACCTTGCCTCGGACTAGCTTCGTAGAAATGGCGCGAATCGAAGGGACACGCGCGACAGATGATAATTAAATTTCCGGGCCCCTTTCGGCGTATCTTCAGAACCGAGACTTCCGCGCAAAGGACGCAGAGAGCTTTTTTGACGTCAAAGAATAGGCATTCTGGACAGCTTTTTTTTGGCACAGCGATGCGTAAGCGTGGCTTGAGCGCCAGGGGCTTGCTTAGTCAATCGTTCTATCAGTATCGTCGTCCACATTCCTTCCCACTGAGTCTCTTTAGAGAGGCTGTTCGATCAAAATTATTTTTTATTTGGTTGCCGCCGGTTGAACAGAAGAGGCACTACACCATAATGGGCTGCAGCGCTGGGGTTCCTAGTCTTTTCTCCTTTTTTATTCCCCGCTCCTTTAAATATCTCTATTTCGTCATGCGGAATATTAAAATAGAAAAAAAAAGGGCACATGAAGCGAACATCCCCCTTTTCGATTTCAATATATTGAAAGAAAGCCTCCTCGACATAAAATTACATATTCTTTCCTCTTCTTTTCTTCCTGCCCTTCGGAATCTGGTGATTGTTTGTGGACAAGAATAATGGACCCCCTTTTTGTAAGAAAAAATGCAACTGTCAGAGCGCAAAGCCCAATCAGGAGCAAGAAGCTAGCGACCCGCCGTGCGTCGCCTCGATGAAGCGGCCTGGGCTGGGTGCTTCATAATTTTCTCCAAATGCTTGTTGAAATTGACAACGTGCATGCCATGCACTCTACATGCAACAAAGGGACCCACCGCACCACACTACTACTGTTGGCTCCTGCCGAAGGACGAGGAAGCATGGCTGGGAGTCAATTTGAGCATTTGTAGCCACTGGCGACGGTGCGTGCGTGCATCATCCACATGAGTTTCTGGCCAAATTTTAGCACAAGGGCGTTGGTTCGATGGATAACTTGCCTGTATTACCTTGGAGATAGAAGAGAAGGGAAAGCGGCCCCCATGCTGCAATTGCCGCCTGCTAGACCCTTGTCGGTGTCAATCCCCCCGAACACCACCACAACACAAGTGATCCCGCCCCTACACCGCTCTGCCCGCCACCCACACTCCTTTTCAATCTCTTTGTGCGCTATTCAATAGTGGCCGAGCAGAGTGGAAAAGCACTGTTCTGCGCTTCGCTAGGTGAATTTGCTGGTTTGCCCGCTTGCGATTTGGGGAACCGTGCTCCGCGATCACCGTCCAGCTCGAGATAACAAGGCGGCGAGCTGACAATCCTTCCCTCTCTCCACTCCGCAAACTCAGTACATTGCCGTTTCCCCCCTTCTTCTTCATTCCCTCTTTGTGACGACCTTCGGTAACTTGTCCAGAGGCTGGACTTCACCCTCATTTGCCGTCATGGCTGAGCCACGGAGGAGCGACGTGGCTTCAGACATGTCCGCTGCGCGCTACTCATCGCGGCAATCCTCCATCACCCGCCATTCCGTGGCTGCGAGCTCACCAAGTGTCGACCGATCGACCGACGGACTCTTGCCTCCCACGTTGGACAGTCCCCAGGCCGAGCTCGAAGACGCGGGCGTCTACTCGAACACAAACAACCCTGGATTTGGTCTGGGCAGAGCGACGATGCAAAGGTCACCCACTTCGCCGAGCTCACCTCACAAGTGGCAGAACTTGCAGACATCACCGACGGCCACGTACACCGAGCACATGAGCCCCAGGGTGGCGAGCACGATCGACGTCCTTCCCAATCGGATTCGGCATAGACCCACGGCATCGGCATCAAAACAAGACTTTATCATCGACACAAATCCGATGAAATGGGACACCATCGACGATGGGCGAGTCGAGGCAGACGACTACCTGCACGACCCGCGACAGAGCATCGATGAAAAAGGCGCTTCACACCTCTTTACCCCGTCTGGTTTCCCGAAGCGGGCCGTCATGAACGTCGGTGTCCTCGTCCTCATTTCTGCAAGCCTGATGGCGCTGTTTGGAGCCTATCCGATCATTGCACACTATACCCGCGCCGCGACAAGCAAAAAGGGCGGCTTCAACCTCGGCGGCACCAACGCAACGGGCCAGATTGCAGACTTGCCTCTGCCGGACCTCATCGACAAAGACACGCCGACGGACGCATACACGAGGACCGGCCTGGGTGACGGCAAGGAATACAAGCTCGTCTTCAGCGACGAGTTCAACGTCGACGGCCGCAGCTTCTACCCAGGCGATGATCCCTTCTGGGAAGCCGTCGATCTCCACTACTGGGCCACTAATAATTACGAATGGTACGACCCGGCGGCCGTCACGACCAAGGACGGCAAGCTGCGGATCACGCTGAGCCAGACGCCCGAGCACAACCTCAACTTCCGCGGAGGCATGCTCCAGTCCTGGAACAAGTTCTGCTTCACCGGTGGCTACCTCGAGGCCAGTGTCCAGCTGCCCGGACAGGCAGACGTGGCTGGTCTCTGGCCCGCTTTCTGGACCATGGGCAACCTTGGCCGGGCTGGCTACGGCAGCAGCCTCGAGGGAACCTGGCCCTACTCCTACGACGCCTGCGACGTCGGCACACTTCAGAACCAGACGACCGTCGACGGCACCCCGGTCAGCTCGCAGACCGGTGGCGACGTCCCCTTCAACCGGAAGCACGGCTCCAACGCACTCTCCTTCCTCGCTGGCCAGCGTCTCTCGGCTTGCACATGCCCCCAAGATTACCCAGCGCTCCACCCCGGTCCCCTTTTACCCGACGGGACGCTGCGAGGACGTTCGGCCCCGGAAATCGATGTCTTCGAGGCGCAGGTCAGCAGCGCAAAGAAAATGACAGTCTCGCAGTCGGGCCAATGGGCGCCTTTCAATGACCACTACAACGTCAAGAATACAACGGCCGACGGGCCGGCATTCACGATGTACCAGGAGTCATCCCATTTCAACACGTACACGGGCGAGCTGACCCAACAGAGCACAAGTACCGTCACCGACGCTTCGCAGCTCGCGCTCCAGTACGGAGGCGACGACAGCTTTGCCGTCTACGGCATGGAGTACCAGCCCGGCCATGACGGCTACATCGAATGGGTTTCGGATGGGCAACCGTCGTGGAGGCTCAATAAGGCAGCCCTGGTGGCAGACCCTATTTCGCAAATCTCGGCACGTCCGGTCCCACAGGAGCCCATGTACATCATTTTCAACCTCGGTGTCTCGCAGAACTTCGGCACCGTTGAGTGGAAGAAGCTCGAAGCGCTCTGGCCTGCCGTCATGAGTGTCGATTGGGGTGCGTTTTCTTCTCCCCCGTTTCCACCTTTCACGTTGACCTACCGTGCTGACCGAGATCCCTTCTCTTTCCCCCCTCCAGTGCGAGTCTACCAGCCGTCGGACGCCATCAACATTGGTTGCGACCCACCAGACTTCCCGACGAAGGACTTTATCAATCGCCATGCAGAAGCCTACTCGAACATCAACCTGACACTGTGGGGGAACACAGCGGCCGAAGGAGGCTATGAAGAATACTGGCCTCGCAACAAGCTCAATCCGAACGCATGCCAGGCCGAGTTGAGCAAGCTGCCTGGCTCCCCCACCAACCCCAAAGCAAAGGCGCCCGCTCTCAAGTCAAGCGAGATCGCAAAGGGTGAGGACTAGCTAGCTAGTCTCCAGCCTCTGCCTCGTTACATGCACACTCCTTCCTCCATAGCATTTGACCCCCCTCCCTTCCTTTGTACTCTGACACTCTGCCGTTTTCTCTTGGACATTCGCTTTCACCACCATATCGTTCTGATCTCGCTTTCGGCCTCGCTCACATCACATATATCACATCATTCATTCTCGTACCTTCAATACGAATAGAAAAGGTCTTATCCTGCCTGTGATTGAGCTTCATTGCAGAGAGGGAAAAGAAGGTGATGAGACTCGCGTGCTGTGCGGTCCGCCCTCACACCGGAAAAGAAAGCGTGGGCGCGACAAGAAAGAGAGCTCCACTAGTAAGTCAGAAATCCCTCTTCCTCCGACCCTTTACAGCAACACCTTTCCCTTCGCTTCGCTGTCACCGGATCGTGAACGGACTCGACTCCCATGCATCATCGGTAGGCCATAGTGGAAGAGATGCAGTCTGGAGACGAAGCCATCCCACCGACGGTCCCGCGGCCTCCTTCCCCAGAGGACGGCGAGGGAGCCGCATCGAAAGGTCTGACGATGGGCTTGGAAGAAGACACATGTAGGATCTGTCGGAGCGGCGCAGAGGAGGGTGAACCGCTGTATCACCCGTGCAAGTGCAGTGGCTCGATTGCCAAGGTGCACCAGGACTGCCTCATCGAGTGGCTACAGCACAGCAAAAAGAAGGTGAGTTCGCATCAGCCCGAGCTTGTGAGCAGCAGCAAGGCTGAGCAGTGAGGCGCCGTGTTCAGTCATGCGAGCTGTGCAACACGGAGCTACAGTTTCACAAGGTCTACTCTCCCTCGATGCCGGCGAAGCTCCCGCCGTACCTCTACCTCAAGCGGCTCGGTGTCCAGTCCCTCCTCGCTCTCCGCCTCTCGGTCCGCGCTGTGCTCGTCGTCTTTGCCTGGTTGGCCCTCTTGCCATTGGGCAACATCTACATCTGGCGCCTTCACTTCTGGGCCGTCGATGTCCTTGTGGCCACCCTAGTGGGGAACTTCTCGCCCCTCAGGCTCGCCAACTCGACGGCGACGAACTCTTCGATGTCCCGACTCAACGAGACAGCGACAGCAACAGCGTCGATCAGCGCCAACGCCAGCACCAGCGAGCCGGTCCTCTCGCCCAACGACACTATAACCAGCATCTCGCACCACTCCCTTTCACCTTCTACATTGCTGGAGCGAGCAGCTTTCAGGATCTTCGCGAGCGTGGATTTCGAGCGTCTTTTCAAGTGAGTGCGCTCCTTTCCCGACGCAGCCTTCCACACCCTTGCCTCTTTGCTGCTGCTGACTTTGTGACGACCAGCACCCTGGCCCACGACACCTACCAAGGGCAAGTCCTGACGTGTGTCGTCGTCGTGGTGTTTGTCGCCGTCTTTCTCCTCCGCGAGTGGTGCCTGCAAAACGTCCCGCAAGCCGTCGAAGGGCTCGAGGATGCCGGCGATGCACCGGTGGCCGCCGCGGCCGACGCCCCCGGTCAGCGCGAGGTCGACAGAGGGCCGGATCTGATGGGTCCGGAGCAGAGAAGGCGCCTCGAGATTAGGCAGGAGGCCCTCGACAGGCAGCTCGAGGAGATCAGGCAGCGCGCAGACATGACCATTGCGCGCGAGCAGGCGCATGCAGAGGCAGAGGCAGAGGCAGAGGCAGAGGCAGAGGCAGAAGCAAGTGGAGAAGCCGCTGACTCGCAAGCCGACCCGGCAGCGGTCGCCTCGGAAGAAACACCATCGGCGAATTCAACGCAATACGAGCGCACGGGCGAGACTGCGAGCGCAGCGCAAGAGGAAGAGGAGCGGCCATTGACCGAGGCAGAGCTCAGGGACAAGCGCGCGAGACGATTCGACCCATCGTACTTCTCTGTGGACGACTCCGCATCGCACTCGAGCTCGAGTAGCTCGGCTTCAGGTCCAAATCTGGAGAAGATGGACGAGTTGATGGGCTTGGCTGCCGAGAATGGAACGACGACAGGACTCAAAGGGAAGGAAAATGGGAATGCAATGGACGAAGCGGAGGGCAATCTTCCCTGGTCAACGGCGTCGGGGACAGAGAAGGGGAAAGCTAGGGAGATTGAGCATTCAGAAGGCGAGGTCGCGGGATCCTCTAGCACGCTAGCCAGCCAGCCTGAAGGAACGAAAGTCCCCTCCGAAATTGGGATATTTGAGGGCGAGGTAGCACCGTCGAATGGTAACGGGCCTGGAGCTGGCCATGAAGCGGAAGGAACGGGGAAGCATCCGGGAGAAGAGGGGATAGGAAGGCCTAATGGAGCGTCGAGCAACGTAAATGAAGCAGACGCGGAAGAGGACGAGCACAGCAGTGGCGACGACTGGGAGAGTATCGATTCGCCCTTGCTCCGAGAGCAAGAAGAGCGAGAGGAAGCGCACGTCGATATAAATGAAGAGGTGGCCGAGCAGGACGATGCAGTCGAGGATCGAGGAGCAGAGGTGGGCGAGGGTCTCGAGCTCGACCTGTGGCCAGAGGAAGAGGCTCTCGACGGTGGCGAGCGCTTCCAAGACGAAGACGACCTTGACGGTGTCATGGAGGCCATCGGGATGCGAGGCCCGGTCGTCAATCTGATGGCCAATATGGCCATGATGTTTGTCCTCTGCAGCATGGTCCTAACATTTTTTGTCGCCCTGCCCTACCTGATTGGCAGGCTCTTTGGGACTGGACGCAACATACCATTGGCCCTTCAGCTTCCCATCCGGGCAATGCGTCTCGTAACGGATCCCGCCTTCGACGCCGTCATCGGATACCTAAGGAACACAAGCCATAGAGAGGGCTTGCTACAGGGTCTTGGAAAAGGAAAGGTGATCAGCAGCGCCCTCGACAAGGGACGATCTCTCTCGGTACCTTGGCCTTTGGCAATGATCAAGGCTACTTTCTTGTCGCTCGTCAAGAGGCCCGACGCCTTTGCAGACTCGCTTCTTTCCCTGCGCACAACGGCAGCATCCTTTCTTCGCTCCCACTTCGTTATTCTTGCTTCGACATTGAATGCGCTCGAACGAAAGACAAAGGGTACTTCGACGGGTGATCGTGTCTTTTGCGTCGCTCTCGGCCATAGTTACTGGATCCTTGGACTGCTGGCCCAAGCCAGATTAGGGACCAACTTCTACGCAAGGCTGCACATGCGCTGGCTCAAGAACACCATCGATCAGGAAATCATCATGATCAAGGTTCTCTTTTTCATCCTCCTCGAGCTCGCCGTCTTTCCATGGGGATGCGGTCTTCTCCTTGACTACACTCTCCTGCCCCTGTGGCCCTCGACGACAATGGCTGATCGTTGGCAGCAGCTGGTACACGCTCCAGTCTCCATCTCCTTCACTCATTGGACCGTCGGCACTCTCTACATGTTCGCTCTGGCTCAATTTGTCGCTTCGACGAGGAGCGTGCTGCGACCAGGAGCTCTTTGCTTCGTTCGCGACGCAGGCGACCCCAACTTCCACCCTATTAAGGAGATACTCGAACGGAGAAGCACCGAGCAGCTTCGGAGAATCAGCGTCAGCGCCCTCCTCTACTCAGCAATTCTCGCTTCGACCCTCGGCGTGGGCATCAGGCTAATGAAGTTCACCACTGATGGTGCCCTGCTTCCCCTGCACTGGCAACCGATGGAGCCCATCAGCTCAGTTGGATTCGAGATCATCTTTGTCCTCTTTGGCCTACCCTCGCTGGTCTCAAAGGTGAAGCCCGAGGCCATCATGGGCGTATTGGAGATCTGGTGGTGGAAGAGCGCAGCAAGACGGCTTCGCCTGTCAGAGTTTCTTCTTGGTAAGGCACGGCCGCAGGAGGAGGGAAGCCACATCAGGACAACGTGGAGAGCCTGGCTGACTGGTCAAGAAGCAAGGCCGGAGGTGCTGGAGGAAGACGAAGCACCACAAGTCTTCTTTGTCCGCTCAGGTGGTCACGCGCGCGTTCCGGCAGACGACAGGGCCGTCATGTCGACGCCCATCATCGTCCGCGTTGACAGGCAAGGGCAGCCTTTGGACAACCGAGGACACCTGGCGATCCAATCGCAGGAGGAAGCGATTGAGAAGATGAAGAAGAAAGCGACCTATCGAGTCGTCTACATCCCTCCCCACTTTAAGGCGAGAATCGTTGGCCTCTTTGCCTTGCTGTGGGCATCCATCACTGCGCTCGTCCTGGGCTTGTTCTTCGTGCCCCTCGTCGTCGGTCGCCTTTGGTTTGCCACGTCGAGAGCAATGGCATGGAGGACCGATGGGCCCGTACACGATGGTCTGGCCTATGTTGTGGGCGCGACTGTCATCTGCGTCGTCTACCGCATTGCGATCAAAGGCTTCCTCCTTTGGAGAAAGGTACGGAAATTACGGCACCGAACAAAGACAGCAGCGATTCTCTCCCGTTTGGTCAAGGTATCCAAGAGGCAAGCGAAGCGGATCTGGCTGATTTTTGCGTTTGGCGTGATCACGCCGGCCATCTTGGGCCTGACGACAGTCCTCTACGTCAACGTCTTGATTCGCTATCCGCTACTGACGAGGATACAGTCGTTGTGGTCGTTGTCGTTGCTTTCCTCCGATACCCTGCCCGACCTTTCGCTGCTTCACGCGTGGTCGTTTGGTCTTGTGGCGCAAGAGCTGCTCGTGGACCTTGTCTCCAGCCGCCAGCGCACACGACAGCATCGTGACATCGACTGGTCGAAGATTCCGTCCGGAGCCACAGCCCTCTATGCGATTCTCGAATTGCGCCGCGAGACCGTCTGGCGGAATCACAAGCTTCCCGTCGGTGAGCTGACCCGACGGGGACTCCTGCCGACCGTAGCATTCTACCTCGAGCTGCTGCTAGTGCCGACGGCACTGCTGTTCGTTACCGAGGGAATCATGCAATATTCGACCGTGGTGGGAAGCCCATCCAGCCGCGGCCGGGAGCTGACACAGCACTTTTTATACCTGATCAACCTGCTCTGGATGTTCCTCTCGCTCTTCCGTGAGACAATCCAGCGCCGGCTCGATCTTTGGACCAGTCTCATCAAGGACGAGGTCTTTCTGGTCAGCACGGAGCTCAAGAACTACAGCGAAGCGAATCATCTACGCGGGGAAAGAGAGGGAGAAGGAGAGGGGGAGGAAGGGCATGGGAGAGAGGCCAACGGGCCCATACCCGAGGCGCTGCTGAGAGGAAGAGGCGGCGCTCCTGCATAGACAGCTTCCTTTTCAAAGCAATTGCTACCCTGTACTGTACGATAAGATGCCAAGGTCGACAAGTCTTGCCATTCCCTTTTATTCAATGCATACAACTGACCGCCCAAGCGAACCGAGAGTTATGAGGGTCGGGGTCATTTAACGGTGATTTGGTACCGTCGTTTTAAGTCCAGTCGGCTCTCATCGACGTCGCCGTACTCTTTCGCTGATTTTGACTGATCAGCGTTCTACCATTCCACCGACAGCAATTTCATAGTCATAACTCGATCAATGATGACATTGCAGCAAAGAAGAACAGCGAAAGTGAACGTTTTGCGCGAGAGAGAAACAAGAAATGCCGCAAGACACATTAAGAGGTGAAGCCCCAGAGAAGAAGAGAAAACGACGCGAATATGTAGGTGTATAAGTGTGCGTGTGTCGTCGAGTCGAAACGTTATGGTACAGCAAGGAAAGAAAGTAAGTGATAACGATGATGCCCAGAATACGTGTATGGATGAGTTGCGAATGCCACATCATAGCGAAGAGACGATTTGCGATCGAAGAGGAATACCCAAAGAGACGAGAGATTTGGTCGTGATCGAGGATAGTGATGGATCACTCATCCGTCGTTTTCGTTATGTTCGAGTTCCATCTCGCGGAGGGACTCTGCAAGCTGTTGAGCATGTCGGGCGTCGAGTCCGCGCCGGGCGGAAACCTTGTGCGAGGCGCGCTTTCCTGTCATCGATGGGTCAATCTCGTCCAGACGAGTTGTCCTAGAATATGCGTCACTTTTTCGCCATGCCTTTTCCGGTAAGGAAAGCCGAATCGTGTCGTTTGATGAATGCCTGCAGTGGTCACGACCGTCTTGAGCGGTACCGTTCTGGTTGCCAAATAGCTTACTCCACTCAGATGAGGGAGACATGAGGTTGGGCGACGATGGCGATCCACCGCTGGGCGTCGTGACTGCAGAACTCTGCTCGCTGTCGGCGCTGTGGCTGCCAGTTGACGTAGCCGAACCCCTACGTCCGAACATAATGGGCGTTGGTGGGTTGGAGTTGGAGTTGATGGTGTCGCTACTGTCACTGCTGCTCTTGCTGCTCACATTGGACACAGCCGTGTTGAGTATAGGCCGGTAGTGAGCGGGAGTGAAGGAATCTGGTGACATGGTGGTTGACAATGGTGAGGCAACGGTGACGTTCGGGTCATCTCCAGGCGTAGGACTAGCCTTCCTCATGTCCTCTGTGATCAACCAGCCAGGCGAGCTAGTGCGATGGAGACAACGGGGTCGAACGGTGCGCGAGATAGATGGGCTCAGAAGGGCCATAGATGTCTCCGTTGCCCTCAGATCGTCAAGATCGGTTGCCGAGTCGCTCGATTGAGCACCCAAGTCAGCGTTCGCCACCTCGCGCGCGATCTGTTTGCTCAGCGTGCGCTGGCTAATGCGCAGCGTCGATGTGCGAGGAGATTGAGGTTGCTGGATGATCTTCTTGCCGCTAACCTGTGGCTCCGACGAGCCGCTGGCTGTGTCGACGCTCGAGGCGGAGTTGGACCGTGAGTTGAACGAATCCCTGCCCGATTCATCAGAAGACTCTTCCGCTAAGTGCAGATCGGGAGCACCGAGAGGTGGAGCAGCAGACGAGCGCGTCAGACCCGACACGGTGCCGGTGCGAGCGAGGGTCATGGCGCCGCACTTTTTGAGCGACAGGCGAGTCTGGGCTCGCAGCAGCTTTTCGAAGTCGGCGCCCTCGCAAATCGATGGACGGCTAGCCGGCGTTGCGGCGTCCGAAGGAAGGTAGAAGACTCGCTCATTCTTGGATGCGAGAGGCAGTGGCGGCATCACGCTCAGTTCGCCGGCCTGTACGAGTTGCACAGACTGCGCCGAATGATGAGCCTCCTGAGCCAGAGGGCGAAGGTAATGCTGCAGGTGGTGAGCTTTGACGGGCTTGCCGATCATGCCGTCCATTCCCGCTCTGCGATAGGCGGCTTCGGGTTCGTCGCCGACAGCAGTCGTGACGGCAACGATGTGGGCACTGCTGTTGGCATCCAGAATGCCATCCTCGGAAGCACGAATCCGCTTTGCGGTTTCGAGTCCGCTGAGAAAAGGCATCTGAATGTCCATGAGGATGCAGTCGAAGACGTTGGTGCGCAGCAGCTGGATTGCCTTGAGGCCACTGTCGACAGACACGGGCGGGCCGTCGAGGACATGGTTGAAACGGCGCTTGAGCAGAGTGCTCAGCACGGAGAGATTGATGTGGTTGTCATCGACGATGAGGATGCGAAGAGGTCGCAATGTCGGAGAAGCCACGACACTGGTGCGAGTATCAATCGTAGATGGTGACATGAGGATGAGATGACGGCGAGTTTGGTGGTGAAAGAAGATGACCAAGTCGTGAAAGTTTTAGAGAAAGGAAAAGAGAACGTTTGATTGATCGAAGCTGCAGGTGATGGTCGTAACCTAGGGACGACACTTATACTCCTTTCACGGCGACGATGCAACGATTGTTGAGGCTTTTGACTGCCAGACTCCAAGAGAGCTAGCAGTGAGGCGGTGGAGATGATGATCTTCCACCTTTGTTGATGTGAATTGGTCGTGCTCTGCTCAGTCGGGAGCCATTCGGGGCGTATTCGGGAGAAAAGTCGACGAGTGAGAGTTGAAGAGTGGCTTTGTTGACAATGAGAGAAGAGAATGTGCGAACGGGAGGACTTAATAGAGCCACTGGTACACCGTCGTTGGTTTGGGAATGCCTAGAAAAGTAGGACTTTGGGACGTTCGAAGCAACGAACGAGAAAGAAGGGTTGACCAACGATGGGTGGATGATGGTAGGTGGGTAAGCTGAAGGGATCAGTCAGCGGGCCCGACAGTCGTGCCGAACACAGCGCGCGTGCGCAGCCCGCAAAGTTGATTTTTTCCAGATCCGATCGCCGCGGTGGCGTTTTGAAAAAAGTCGCCACTCAAGGGGTTGAAGAGATGTTGCTATACAGATCGAAGGGCTAACATTACAAAAATGTTTTAAAAAGTGACAAGACTTGCCACAAACATGTGCTGCTGACGGGATCAGAATGCACGTGAGTAATTGAAGCTTGGCACTTTTGTCAAGGCGTGACAAAATGCCGAGCCAAGTAATCCTCGGGGATTTTGGAAATGGTTCTTGGCTGCAGCTCCGTGGTTGCAACACTTAGCATGAGCGAAAGAGAGGGAGCTCCGCGCGAGAGGCATCGGTCCGGGGTCGACGAGGTGCAGAGGCTGTCCGAGAGGCGCGAAAGGCCCAGAGAGGATGGTCGGGCCCAAGAGAGCCGCACGCATCGGCGTGATCGAGACGAAGGGCGGGACAGGCCGCGGCCGCGGCGTGGTGACGACGACTACGACAAGGAGCGGGACCGAAGAAGCCACCGAGGACAGAGTAGGGAGAGGGCGCGCCATCGGAGGTCACGCTCCGTCTCTGATTCGGAAGGCTCTTCCTCCTCTTCCTCTTCCTCTTCAGAGGGCAGGTCTCGTCGCACGTCCAAGAAGTCGAGAGACGAAGAAGAGGAAGATGAGGAAGCAAGGAGGCGCCGGAGAAAGAGGCGGCGCGAGAGGGAGAGGGAGAGAGAAAAGGATCGGGAAAGGGACGGCGAGCGCAGAAGACGGAAAGAGAGGAGGCGAAGTCGGAGTCCGGACGAGAGCAGAGAGGAGCGCAGGGAGCGAAAACGTCTAAAGAAGGAGAAGCGCGACCGCAAGAATAAGCGAGGAGGGGCGGTGCATGAGTTTGGCAAGTATGGCATCATCAGCGAGATGGAGTGAGTATATTTTTCCAGTGGTCTGCTACAATCAAACGAGCTTATACGATGGTTCTTTTGCACAAGTGTCAACTCTCGCCTCACGGGAGAGTTCCGGCAGTGGCTCGTCGAGGAGCGGCACATCAATCCCGAGACGATCTCGCGCGCCTCGGAGCGAAAGGAGATGGCCACCTTCATCGAGGACTACAACACGGCGACGTTCACCTCGGAAAAGTATTACAACCTCGAGGCCCACGAACGCAGGATGGCTTCGATCAGGGCCGGTGCGACCCTCGATGACGACGAGCTGTTGGGCACATATGACCCGCGAAAGGACGAGGCAGCCGCAAAGGCTTCCTTTCGATCGCAGCAGCGGGCGCGAGAGGGTGCCAGCTCCTCGACTGATGCGTGGCAGAACAAAGCCCAGCTGGAGGAGCTGCGGCGGGTGCAAAATGAACGGATCGAGCTGGCGAAGCGCAAGCAGCTTGGCATGAACGTCTCGGCCAAGCTCGGCGTGCGAATGGACGGCAGCTCTTTTGACCGGCGGTGATGACGAGCAAGCCACGGTGAAATGAAAGAGAATATAGTAGTAGCTTTTTTGATTTCACACACATGCAACCCAGACTATACCACACAAGAGCGCAAAGCGCAAAGGCATCTAGTAGCTACGCTTGAATGGCGGGATGGGCTTCATCTCTGCCTCGTCGAGGGTCGTGTTGATGACGGCACGGTAGTCGAGCTTGACCTTGTCGTTCTGGCCAGCCTGGTAGGAGAGCGTGTGCTTCATCCAGACGTCGTCCCGACGCTCCTCAAAGTCCATCCTCGCGTGAGCACCGCGCGACTCTTGACGAGCAGCAGCAGAGTGCATCGTCTGGGTGGCGCAGGTAAGCATGTTGCGGAGCTCGAGACCCTCAGTCAGGTCCGTGTTCCACAGCATGCCCCGGTCGGTAATCTTGACGTCGGGCCAGCTGGCGTGCGTCTTGTCGATCTTGACCACACCCTCGTCGAGCGTCTCTTGGGTGCGGAACACGGCGGCGTCGGACTGCATGACCTTCTGCATCTCCAGACGAAGGTCAGCCACCGGCCGCGATCCATTCGAGTTGCGCAGCCAGTCGAGGTCATTGATGGCCGTCGCGCCGGCGTCGCCGGTGAGGGGCTTGTGGGGCTTGCCGGGGCTCAGGTTCTCCTTGATGTGGTTGGCGCAGGCACGGCCGAAGACGACAATGTCCAGCAGCGAGTTGGCACCCAGACGGTTGGCTCCGTGGACCGAGACGCAGGCGCTGCAGGAAGCAACAACAAAGCATTTCCGGATGTCAGTAATCAGAGTGCGGTTGCGGTTTGGGGGGGACAAGGGCTGGTACTCACGCCTCGCCAGCAGCATAGAGACCAGGGACAATCTCATCCTTGCCATCGGCACCCTTGCGAATGACCTCGCCAGTGTACTTTGTCGGGATACCGCCCATGTTGTAGTGGACCGTGGGCAGGACGGGAATGGGCTCCTTTGTCACGTCGACACCGGCAAAGATGGCAGCAGTCTCCGAGATACCGGGAAGGCGCTCGTGGAGCACCTCAGGGGGCAGGTGGCTCAGCTGCAGGTAGATGTGGTCCTTTTCCGGTCCGACACCGCGTCCCTCGCGGATCTCAATCGTCATTGACCGCGAGACGACGTCGCGCGAGGCAAGATCCTTGGCCGTGGGGGCGTATCGCTCCATAAAGCGCTCGCCCTCGGAGTTGAGCAGGTAGCCTCCCTCACCGCGAGAGCCCTCGGTGATGAGGCAGCCAGCGCCGTAAATGCCCGTGGGGTGGAATTGAACAAACTCGAGGTCCTGGAGGGGAAGACCGGCGCGGGCCACCATGGCCATGCCGTCGCCCGTGCAGGTGTGAGCCGATGTGGCCGAGAAGTAGGCCTTGCCGTAACCGCCCGTGGCGAGGACGGTCTTGTGGGAACGGAACCGGTGGATGGTGCCATCCTCCATGTTGAGGGCAACAACACCGACGCACTCGCCGCCCTCCATGATGAGGTCGAGGGCAAAGTACTCGATGAAGAACTGCGTGTTGTGGCGAAGAGACTGACCGTAGAGGGTGTGAAGCATGGCGTGGCCTGTCCGGTCAGCAGCGGCGGCGCAGCGGTAGGCCTGACCGCCCTTGCCGAAGTTGAGCGACTGGCCGCCAAAGGCACGCTGGTAGATCTTGCCCTCCTTTGTCCGCGAGAAGGGAAGACCAAAGTGCTCGAGCTCAATGACCGTCTTGGGCGCCTCGCGGCACATGTAGTGAATCGCGTCCTGGTCACCGAGCCAGTCGGAGCCCTTGACGGTGTCGTATGCGTGCCAGCGCCAGTCGTCCTCGGTCATGTTTCCAAGCGCAGCATTGATACCACCTTGGGCAGCGACAGTGTGTGACCTTTGGAAGCATCATCTCGGTCAGCCCCACGCTCAATAAGCGAAATAAGAGGCAGATCTGCGTTCGCACCTAGTAGGGAAGAGCTTGGTGATGCAAGCCGTGTTCAAACCACCCTCGGCGAGACCAAAGGCGGCACGAAGGCCCGAGCCACCGGCACCGACGACGACGGCATCGAATTCGTGGTCAATGACGGGGTAGCCCTTGGCGGCGTCAAGGGGTGCGGGTGCCTCTTTGGCTCGGAGCGGCTGCGAGGCAATGATCTTGCTGGCCGACGAGGTAGCATGGAAGCCGCGAGAGACGGGCAGCGTGAGTCGCGACGTCGAAGCTCGAGCGCTTGCGGCGCCGAGGCACAGCGAACGAGAGAGGATCATGGTGAGCGGCGCTCCTGGTCAGAGGAGAAGAGGGGGAAGGAGAGGTGCCGGGTGGGTAAGGGAACGAGGCGCGACGAAGGCAAATAACGGCTTACGAAATGGAGCCGGGGAGCTAAGCTCTCAGCTTATTGGCTCGGACTCGCCAGACGCGTGACAAATCCAGCCTCTATTTCCCTTGCTGCCACCCGGCGCCTTCCATTCTGCGAGTCAGCTCCTCACAGGAAAAGATGTTCTGAGCCATTCAAGATCCACAGTCGTAGACATAGGATTGAACAGCAATAAAAACAACTTATCATAGCGACAGTGAAGCGTTTGTGTTGGCTGCTTGGAAGCTGTGTGCGTATCTGCTTCGGACCTTCTTCGCATTAGCGGGCCGCCTACTGGTCAGAACGGCTCGGAACGACGCGGCAAGCCAGCAAACACGTGGCCAGCGACCTTTTCTAATCCGCCCGCTCCTGCTCTGCCTTCGCTTTTGCTGGGCCCAAGTTGTGAAGAACACCAACCTCTAGCTCTCGTCGCCCCTCTGATCTCTGCATCATGGCTCACCTCTTCAACTCTGCGCGCGCGGGCCTGCGCTCGTCGGTCATGGGTGCTGGGTCGGTCAGGTTCGCTTCGACCCAGGCCGCCGGCCAGACGACGACGCCCTTCCTGGCCAGCAGGACGGCCGCCTACACATCGACGGCCGTCGCTGTGGGAACTCTGGCCTGGTACCAGCACATGTACGGCTCTGGGCTTCCCTTCATCGACACGGCCCATGCCAACATGATCGACGAAGGTCTCCACCCTCCCAAGCACGAGTGGCCTCACTCGGGCCTCTTTAGCTCTTACGACCACGCCTCGTGAGTTGGAAGGTGATTAACAGCTGCAGAATTCGAAGTGCTGACGCCGCCGGGCCTCAAAATTTCACAGGATCCGTCGTGGGTACCAGGTCTACCGAGAGGTGTGCTCGGCTTGCCACTCTCTGAACCGTATTGCATGGCGAAACCTGGTCGGTGTCTCGCACACCGTCGACGAGGTCAAGGCCATGGCCGAGGGTGCGTTATAGAGACATGATAAGCTGAGACGAGGGGCAGATGACGCTGACGCGCAGAGCGAAAACAGAGAACGAGTACGAGGATGGCCCCAACGACGAGGGCGAGATGTTCCAGCGCCCGGGAAAGCTGGCCGACTACATGCCTGCACCTTACCCCAACGACGAGGCTGCGCGGGCGGGCAACAACGGTGGTCTGCCCCCGGACCTCAGCCTGATCACCAAGGCCAGGCATGGTGGTGCGGTGAGTGTGGCTGGTCAGTCCTGATCCAGGGCCACACTAACATCCTGATGTCGCACAGGACTACATCTTCTCGCTCCTGACTGGCTACACGGACCCCCCTGCTGGCTTTGACGTCCCCGAGGGCCTCAACTTCAACCCATACTTCCCTGGCACAAAGGTGAGTCCTCATTCAGCCTACAATCTAATCTGCCAGTCATCAGTGGCTCATCTCTCTTCTTACTTTTCAACCAGATCGCCATGGCCCGAGTGCTCTACGATGGGTAAGTCTGCTTGTCCCCGCTTTCGGGCTCGTGACGCCGTGGCATGAGGCTAACAGCTTGCACACAGACTTGTTGAGTACGAGGATGGAACGGAGGCGACGACGAGCCAGATGGCCAAGGATGTTGTGGAGTTCCTCAACTGTGAGCCTGACCTCGGACGATGTGGCTCCCACACAAATGATCATTTCTTTGCTAACACTTGTCTCGCTCTCAGGGTCATCGGAGCCGGAGCTCGATCAGCGCAAAAGGATGGGCGCCCAGGCCATTGCTGTTCTCTCTGTCCTCTTCACGATGAGCATCTGGCTCAAGCGATTCAAGTGGGCCAGCGTCAAGAGCAGGAAGCTTACCTATGCGCCCCCCAAGGGCCACTAAAAAGGATTGTAAATTTCCTCTCTATCAGCTTCTGCAAATACATCGTCGAGCCATATCATAATCCTATTTTGAGGCTCGTGACAGAGTAGCAGATGCTGCCAGCAAGGTACGATTGTGGGTCAAATCCAAGGAATGTCTGCCAGCACCCTCGCTCGAGAGAGCGCTATAAAGGGGGAGTCCGCAACAGGTAGCAGAGACTACCATCCCCTTTCTCTCCCTCCTTCTCTACTCAACTCAACCATCTTCCTGCAAAACACTTCGCATCATACAAGACGTCGCACGATGACGACGAAAGGCTTCCAGATCTGCTACCACCAGGGTAACACCTTTGCCAAGGTATGTCTGTCATTGTACACACGACTTTCGGAACAAACCTTTCACTACCGCTTTCCCAACAGCCAAACGGTGATGCAGAAGACTATCGTAACAACACCAAGAATCTGACGAGTCTGCAAGCACACATTGCCTTCGTGCGTATGACAGTGACAGCAAAAGATAACAACTTGACCCAACTGACACCTTTCCCCTCCTACTCTCTCTGCTTAGTTCGACGCTGACTGCGACGGCATCATTTGGCCTCTGGACACCTTCTTGGGCTTTCTCTGTTCGTGCGAGCCCCTCATCACCGTCCACAAACCGTCTTTGCTCACAGATCGGTGTCATCCCACTTACCGGCAGCCCTCGGGTTTGGATTACCCTTTTCCCTCATGGCCGGGATCCTGATCAACGGCGCCTTTAGCTATCCTTCCAAGCCCCGTCACGGTATTCTTGGCTGGCTACCTGACCCCTTTTTCAGGATTTGGATCCGCAACATCCGTGTGAGTCGTCATCGTCGCCGTCATTGGCACGTAAGTGAGAGATGCTAGATACTGATGCCACGCTTGACCGCCACGCAGCACTGCAAACACGGTAGCGACCTCGACATCTACTCTCACCAGGGACAATTTCAGCCCGATTCCTTCCGTGCTCTGCTCGAGTGGGTCAAATCTGCAATGACTCGCTTGCTTACGCCACCCTACGGAGCTGCTGACGTTGAATAAACCAGACGCTACTCGAGCCGTGCAAACAAGGAGGAGCTTTCCTTTTGGGATACCCTCGGGTGAGTGTGACGGAGTGGGGAACGTGCCATTTTCTTGCTCAAATGAAGCCGCCAGATCCCTGAGGGAAGAGGGTGACCTCTACGACTTCGTCGGCATGATCATCTTTGCCCTGGAGTGGTTTTCCGTCTATGTGTTTCTGTAAGCGGCACCGTCACTTCACTGCTTACGTTCCTGCTAAAATTGCCATGGGCTGTCCCTCAGCCGTCCCGAAAGCGGCTACATGAAAAAGGACGATATTCTTGGAGTTTTGGACGGCAGCATGTTCCCCGTCATTGCGCTTCGCAATCGCCGTAACCACCATCTCATCCAACCCCTTCGTCCTTTCGCCGTCCTCCTCGGCCTCGTCAGGAGCTTATTCTAGATGATAAAAAAAGCATACACGTGGCCTTTGTTCAAATACACTATTGTGTGTGAAATTCAAATGTCATCGCTATTTCTCGCGGCCATCCCTGTCTCACAGGCACCATCCACCTCCTTGTTGTCCGGATCTCCGACAAAACATCGGTACGAACGGCAGTCGTAGACGGCACGGAAGCATTCGTTGGCTTTCGCCTACAGTGTCTGTAGGGAATCGAAAAAGCCGGGTCCGTGGTGATTTGCCCCCTTTTGGACTAAGAGCGAAAGCGGACAGCAGGGCCAGGCGCGGTCCCCTCCTTTCGGCCTAAGCCAGCTTCGCTTGTTAGTCTTCCCTTTTGGAGCACGCGCACCTCCCACCCAAAGGTCGCAAGCCTCAGACTAGGTCATCATGTCGCAACAGAGGCGTTCCATCATCAAGCACCCGCACGAGTACTCTGGCGCACCGCAGATTCTCTCGCCCACCGAGGGCTTTGGCGAGCGCTTTGATCCTTCCTTTCTCAACAGCGTCACCGAGACGGCGCAGACGCCGTCGCAGTCGCAGCCGCAGTCTCAACAACATCAGATTGGCGGCGGAATGTCAGCTGGAGGAGGAGCAGAGGCCAAGGCAAGCGAGCTGCAGCACCCCTTCGATCTCGTGCCTCAACGGAGTGCTCCGTTGCCCCCGGGCGCCAGCCCGACAACACCTTCGTCCTCATCGTCATCAGCCGGGCCGATGGGCACTTATAGATCAAGCAGTCAAGTCAACAATCGTGCTTCATACGGCTACCGGCCAGGCGGCCCTGGTCCAGGTGCTGGCTTGCCTCCATCGTCATCATCAGCATCACCATACGCTAGTCTGTCTCAGTCGAACAACGGCGCGATGTATGGCGGTTCAGGGTCAGGGGCACCCACTCGCATGGGTGCGTCAAATATGGAGAGCCCTGGAGGACGGCCTCCCAAGCCCATGCGGTCGAACACGACAGGTCCCGAAGGCTTCTCGCCCCTGCAGACAAATACGTCGTCCACCCCGAGCGGATTCGCACCTGCCAGATCACATGCATCGGTCAGCGGGCCGGCTCCTTCGCCTCCCATTGGCGGTGTCTCATCACCTATTCTCGAGGGGACTTCTGCAAGCTGGGAGGGAGACAACGGCGGCCCAACTCCCTCGCCTGGTCAGCTTTCGGCCCCCCAGCAACGCAATCGCGACGGGCTGGGTCCAGGGTCAATGGGACCAGGAGGTCGAAGTACCTTTAAGTCCGTCTTTGGAGGCTTTGTCAATTCCATGAGCGGTGAGTGTGCACAGAGACTCATATTCATACGAACAACACCCCTGACTCTCCATCTTCATTCACCCTCTTGCGACGGCACTCGCACAGACGTCTTTTCGCAGCAGCGCAAGATTGAGATCTCGACGCCCTACGATCCCGTCCACCTCACTCATGTAGGTTTCAATTCCGACACGGGCGAATTCACGGGCTTGCCAAAGGAGTGGCAGCAGCTTCTCCAGGAGAGCGGGATCTCGAGGCAGGACCAAGAGGCCAATCCTCAGGCTGTCATGGATATTGTCGCCTTCTACCAGGATGCGACAAAGGGCGTGGGCAACGACGACGACATCTGGAAAAAGTTCGGTGGTGCCAAGGGTACATCCACGCCAGGCACGCCGTCGAGCAACGGGAGCAGGCCAGGGACGACAGAGGGCAACACAACCGCCCCGCTTCCCGGCGGCGTCCTGTATGAGAAACCAAGGGCTGCGCCAGTGCCACCGGGCTCGCAACCCCCGCGAAAGGCACCCCCGCCTCCGTCTGGTGCCTCCCGAGCAGACATTGAGCACATGAAGGCGTCGAGGCCCGCGCCTGCGCCCGCGTCGCCTTCCATTTCCTCGTCGTCGTCAGCGCGCTTCGCGTCTCCGAGCGGTGGAGCTTCTTCGTCCTCGTCAACTCCGAGCTCCAAGCCCAGCACACAGTCGAGCCAACGTATGGGACCGCCGACATTGCAGAAGCCCGTGGCGGGTTCCTCGTCTGCGGCCGCCGCATCGTTGCCGTCATCGGCAGCTGGCGCGGCGACATCACCGGGAGAAGAGCCGAAGAAGAAGCCCGGCAACAACGCGCCAGGTGCCACGCCTCGCCGCCGAGAGACCAAGAAGAACACGATGAAGGATTCGGACGTTGTCGCACGCCTGCAGGCCATCTGCACTGATGCCGATCCCACCAAGCTGTATCGCAACCTCGTCAAGATTGGTGCCGGGGCTTCGGGAGGTGTCTACACCGCCTACCAGGTCGGGTCGAACTTGTCGGTGGCCATCAAGCAGATGAACCTAGAGCAACAGCCGAAGAAGGACCTTATCATCAACGAGATTCTCGTCATGAAAGAGTCGCGACATCGCAACATTGTCAACTACATCGACAGCTTCCTGCACAAGGGCGATCTCTGGGTCGTCATGGAGTACATGGAGGGCGGCAGCTTGACCGACGTTGTCACATGCAACATCATGACCGAGGGGCAGATTGCCGCCGTCTGCAAAGAGGTTCTCGACGGTCTCAAGCACCTCCACGAGCATGGAGTCATTCATCGCGACATCAAGAGCGACAATGTGCTGTTGAGCATGCGAGGCGACATCAAGCTGAGTGGGTGTTGTCCATAGTCAGAATTCTGCGTGCTTTGTACTTTGCTAACCTTGGCGGTCACCACAGCCGACTTTGGCTTTTGCGCGCAGATTGGCGAGTCGCAGGCAAAGCGGACGACAATGGTGGGCACACCTTACTGGATGGCGCCCGAAGTTGTCACGCGCAAAGAGTACGGTCCAAAGGTTGACATTTGGAGCTTGGGCATCATGGCCATTGAAATGGTCGAGGGAGAGCCACCGTATCTCAACGAGAACCCATTGCGAGCCCTCTACTTGATCGCGACCAACGGAACGCCCAAGATTCAGAATCCAGAGAACCTGACGAGCACTTTCCGCGACTTCTTGCGAACCTCACTTGATGTTGATGCTGATCGACGACCTGACGCGGCAGGCATGCTGGAGGTGAGTCCGCTCTCTGGTCGTGCCGGCCCTCGAGCGCCTGTACTGACTATGTGCCTCTCCAGCATCCTTTCTTGAAACGACCGGAATCGCTGAGGACGCTGGCGCCCCTCATCAAGGCGGCAAGAGAACAAGCAAAGTCGCCGAAATAGTGATCCAGAACACATGTCACTTCTTGCAGCTCTGTATAATCTCCTCACCTTTCTCGTTTCCACATACACACGCACATAAACACACCCAACACAATCTGTCTCTCTCTCGACCTCGTCGCTCTGCCATCACGTCGCAATCTACTCTCTTGGCTTATCCATCTCTCTCTCCTCTCCTCTCCTCTCCTCTCCTCTCCTCTCCTCTCCTCGCCTCTTCCACTCCCGGGCATTTAGAATGAAACCTGGCCAATGAACCCTTGTTTCCATATTTGTTCGGTTGGCTAGCTGGCTAGCTGGCTAGCGAGCTTCCTAGCTTCCTAGCTTCCTGGCTGGCAGCTGCCAGGCTGACAAGCGTGCGTGGGCCGAGCGCGCCACACGAGAAAGAAAATTAAAGAAAAAGGGCCAGAATTGATGTGCCTGCGAAGGACTGAGCCATTTGGGGCTGGCTGTAGCGTAGCGTAGCGCGCGCGCATTTCGTTTTCTCCACGCAGAAGAGCTGCTTGCATCTCCAACAGACGCTCCAACGCCTTTAGATCTCGATTATCGTCTGACCCGCCCCGATCTGTGCGGCACAGGGGAGCAGTAGCAGCGCGACGGCGAGAAGACTGGAAGAACGGCTGTTCTGACTTCATTTTGCGAGACGAGACGACGCAGCAACAGCAGCAGCAGCAGCAGCAGCAGCAGTCATGGCGAGCCCTTCGAAGCTCTCTGGGGGCGAGGCCAGCTGGCTGTCTTCTGGGCCGACTGGAGCTACACCAACTGGGGCAGGGGCTGGAGCAGGAGCAGGAGTGGCGGGAGCACCGACATCGGGCACGTCGGCAGGCGTCGCGCTGGCTCCTTCGGACGCTGGCAGAGGGTTTGGTGCGAGCCCAGGTGCAGTGTCGGACCTGAGCAACGAAGCTGCTGCCGGCCATGGCTTTGGCTCCACGTCGTCCATCGGCGGCACATCGCCGTACTCACCGACGATTCCCGCCTCGTCATCCACCGCCTCGGGCAACATCCTCGTCTCGGCGCTCCATCCCACCTCACCACCCAGCAACCGCGTCGTCGGCGGCTTCGACAGCGCGGCCACGACGCCCAACATGGCCTCGTCGGTCTCCAACGGCGCCGACGACGACATGCTGCCCGAGGCCAACACGCCCGCTGCGAGCAGCAGCATTGGCACCTTTTCGCAGCTCACGGCCGTCAACTCTTCCATGAACGAAGAGGTGATCCCGACGACTTTTGACGAAGCGACGCTTCGTGCGCTGTGCGACATTGACGTAAGTTCCACCTCTCGCCCTCCTCTCCCTTCCTTCCGTGTCAGGATGACTCGCTTACATGTCTTCCTCTCTCTCTGTGTGTATCAGTGCGGTATGCCGCTGCTGTACGATCGGATAAAGCAGTCGATGACATCGTCGAACCAGGCGGCGACCTTTTTCAAGAAGAGGGCCGTCATCGAGGAAGAATACGCGCGAAACTTGGCCAAGCTCGCTCGGAGCACAGCAGAGACGTATGCGACCACCGAAGGCAAGGCAGGGTGAGTAAACCAGCCGCCCTGCGTAACGGTATCGTCTGAGCTGACGATGATTCTCGCCGGGATACAGCACCTTTGTCAATTCGTGGCATTCCATCATGCGCACGCATGAGGCGCTGGGCGAGTCCAGATTGCGGTTCGCGGGTAAGCTGCAGGAGATGTCAGAGGAGCTGAGCACACTTGCGAAGGAGGTGGACAAGAACCGAAAGTATGCGCGCGACACGGGACTGCGGCTCGAGAGGAACCTCCAGGATGCGGAGCAGGGTGTCGAGAAGAGCAGGTCCCGCTTCGATGCGGCAGCAGAGGACCTGGAGAGGCTGCTGCTTCTCAAGAGCGGCGAGAGCACAAAGGGAGGAGAACTGCAGCAGCAGAGCAGCGGGCCGGGAGGGAAACGGACGCTGGGCAAAGCCATTGGCAAGAGCGGGCTGCTGTTCAAAAACAAGAACCCGCAGCAGATTCTCAAGCAGGAAGAGGAGATCAGGAGCCGGACATCGGTGGCCAGCGATGCGTTCAGAAAAGAAGTGTTGACGACACAGGGCATGCGGCAGGAGTATTTCAACCTGCAGCTCCCGCGGATCCTCCGATCGCTCAAGGAGAGCTCGGAAGAGATCGACAATGGCTTGCAGTACCACCTTGCCCGGTATGCGTTCCTCTACGAGAGCACGCTGCTCGCAGACGGCACCACGATCATGCCCATCTCGGCAGACGGCAGCGTAGGGCTCAAAGCGGCGGCAGAGGCCATTGACAACCGGTCCGATTTCAAGACGTTCATGCAGAATTACCAGGTGGCTCACGCTCGAGACTACAAGGGCCCGCGGCGAGAGGGTCCTTATGAGGAAGGATTCGTGCCGACACTTCCGACTGCCTCTACAACCGGTGCGGCCAATGCGAAGAACAACTCGCTTTCTGCACCTCGCCGGCCCATCTTTGGCGTTGGCCTGGCGGATCAAATGGCGCGCGACAACGTCGAGGTGCCGCCGATCCTGGAACAATGCGCCGAAGCAATCGAAAATGTCGGCCTGCAAAACATGGGCATCTACCGGCTCTCGGGCACATCCTCCAAGGTGCAGAGACTCAAGAGCAAATTCGACACCGACTGGTCCACCGTCGACTTGTTCAACGACGAGGCCATAAATGACATCAACATCGTCGCCGGCTGCCTGAAGCTTTGGTTCAGGGAGCTGCCGGAGCCATTGATGACATGGGAACTATACCAAGGGTTTATTGATGCTGCCAGTGAGTTTCGCCTCTCAGTGGAAGCAAAATTCCTTCATTGACGTTCTGTTCCTGCAACAGAGATTGACAATGATCGGATGCGGCACATTCGAATGCATGAGCGAGTCAATGATCTCCCCGATGCCAACTATGCTACGCTCAAATACCTCATGGGCCACCTGGATAAGTGAGTACAGGCAAATCACTTGCTTCCGCGGATCAGGGTGGAAGACTGACATTGGACTGCCACAGAATCAGAGCCGAAGAGGCACACAACCAAATGAGTGCCTCGAATTTGGCCATTGTCTTTGGACCGACGTTGCTTAGTCCTCCGCCGGCGGGGGAAGGCGACGGAGGCGCGTCCGGCGTGGCGCCAAACGGAGGGGCCCACCTCCAAGATATGAGCTTCCAGTGTCGGGCCGTCGAGACGATCCTGGAGAGATATGCGGCCATCTTTGTCGATGACGAGGGCGACGATCAGTGATCAGCATGTGTTTACTATACCGTCTTTTCTCTTCTTCTTCCGCACACCCTTGTTGTTGATGCTTTCATAATTTCCCTTCTTTCATCACCCACTTGATCGCCTTCTTCTCTCTCTCAGAGGTCTTTGCAGATTTGTTCTCTTCAAACCAAGGAAGAACGTGCTTCTCTTCAACCTACGTCCTCACTTGTCACCCTGCACGGTTTCTTCCCGTTGTGTAAAGGTTTAAGCGCAGGGCGATGAACCTTGAAGGTGTCTTTTCTCACGTCGCCAATTTCTATTAGTTGTTGAGGGCTGGTTCTACATGATGTGGTCACAAATTAGCTTCTTCTTGTTGGCCTCGCGGCCCTGGACCGGGAATCTGATCTCGAAAGCACTCTGAGTCCGATCCTGGTCCGGCTATTGAGGACTTCTCGATCGCCGTCGTCCGACTCTCTACTCGATTCCTCGTCGGAGGAGGAAGTGGAAGCGGCGTACCTTATCCGGCCCACGATCGACGGCTCTCCGTCTCTGTTTTCGTCCATAGTCCCTGACCTCGTGTTGCGCCTCCAGAAGCGTCGTCCAGTGGTGCCGGTCGATGGGGCGGGCGCTCTTTCGACATCGACGACGGGGCATGATGGTGACAGCTGTGATCGAGACTGTGTTGTTGAGGGCGTCGCGACCACATTCTTTTCGTCCGAGACGTTATTGGGCAACGAAGAGGTCGAGGGCGACGACAGTGTTTTCGTCGAGTCAACATGAATCGGAAGCGGCCGTAGCACACCCGCGTCCACCCTAGCCATCTCCTGGTCCGCCGCCGTGCCGCCTCGTCGAACAGCGAGGTTCTCTCTCCTCTTTCTCCTCTTGCCCGACGACGGGTCCAGGCGCGGAACGGCCTGGGTGCCAAATGCGATGCGAATGGCAAGCAGCGGCGCGGCACCAAGGGCAATCAGCTCCATAAAGTGTCCCACGACTTTGTCGTCCGAGTTGCGGCCGGCCAGGACGTCGATGAGGGCGCCGAGGTTGAAGGCAAAGGCGGCGGCAAAGTACAGGAAGTTGGATCGGACAATGTACCGTCTCAGCCTCGTCGACCGCACAGGCACCTGGCGCAGGCGGATGAGCGTGAGCACGACGACGGCCAGGTCAAAGAGCGAGGTGACGCCCCAGACGGCCAAGGGCCACTTGCGGTTTTCCTCGCCGATCTTCCATCGATCGAAGCACCATCCTTGGCCGGGAGCGGCTAGCTCGGGAATCCTGACGGTGTGATAGGTGTTGAAGGCGGCCACTTGGAAGACGAGAGAGAGCGCGAGGAGCAGAGCAAGAAGAGCGGCGATGCGCATGTCTCGGTCCCAGATGTAGACGACGCGGATACCAAAAAGAATACCGCTGCAGAGCGTGATCAGGACGTAGAAGAGCCAGTAGGGACTGTCGAGGCATGTAGCGGGTCTCCCGACGGCCGACACAAGAAGAAGCGTGGCAGAGACGAGAAGGGTGTAGCGGAGCAGCAGGAGCAACAGGCAGTTGAGCAACCTGCTCCATGGTGCTCGGACGAAGGATGTCGACGAGAGGATACATCGATAGACTCGTCGCCAAACGAGAAACTCGGAGGGCAGGAAGTTCAAGTGCTCCCAGAAGACAATCGTTACGCCGGCGACGGCGAGATAGCGGAGCCGTTCGGCAGATGCCAGATTCCTCTCCAGCGTCGCCTGGTCCACGGGCATGTCGCCCATCGAGAAGAGAGAGGAGCCGCTCATCCTCTCGCTCGCTCTCGTCAGGACGGTGGCCAGTGGGGAGAAAGCAACGAAGAGAGAGAGAATTGAGTTTCTGCCCTGCCCTGAAAAGTTGGCGTTCTGCGTTGCGCGCTAAACTGGCCCCAATTGTCTCACACGCAGAAACCCGAAATGAAACTCGAGCTTCGACGTTCAATGCGGGGTGTGGAAGCCAAAGAGCCGATCAAGAAATTCATTGCACGGACAGCAGACGGTAGACATGGACATGCAATGAGGCAGACCTCTTTCAAAAATCATTTTCAGCTTTCGGCCTCGTATTGGCCTGGTAGAGCTGAATCTCCAGAACGCCCGCCCAAACTGCATGCCATCCAATCGTATCTCTCAGCGTCTCTCCCATGTCGGCCATAGAAGCCAGCACCCACCTCCATTTTTCCAGTAGGCGTCCTTCTCGATCCACGCCCTGATGTCGCTCGAAGTTGCAAAACCACCTTGGCCGTGTCGCATCACGAAGAAGCTTCCGTTTGGCTTCTGCGTCTCTTCGTCCAGTGTTGGCCCGCCGTATTCTAATCTCCAGAAGATTCACACTCCTTGAGACTCACTTCCCAAACACTTTCTGTCCGTCTTGCGTGCACCTTACTTACGGATGGTTCCTGGATTCTGCTGCTTGAATTCGGTCAGCCTGGCCTTGTGTTCGCCCTGCAGCGACATGCGCTTCTGGCTGCTCTCTGCCGTGTTGTGGTCCGGCACGCGCACGAGCCAGCGAAGCGCTTGAGTAGGCTGTCCAGCCGACGATGCCATTATTGCTGTTCTGATACTAGTGCGTGCTGCTGTAAGTCTCGGTATAAGTGAGAGAGAAGGACGTCCTGGCATGGGCCGCCTCTTTATGCTCCCACCGGCAAAAGAAGTTGACCCCCGCGCACTTTCGCCGAAACCTCACCGTGCGCTCTATTCATTCGGCCGATCATCCAGCTCTTTTCCTCCACTCTACACGACTTGAGCTTGATATTTTTTTTTTTGGCATAGAGTTTTCCACCGCTCGCTTTTTTTTCTAGACTGACGACGATGGCCAAGGGCAGAGGCAAGGGCAACCTCAAAGCGGGGCTGCGGTCGCTCGAGGCGCGCAAGGTCACCGAGGCAAAGGTCAAGCGTGCCGAGGAGGCCGCCAAGAGGAAAGCCGACAGCATCGTGGGCGTGTCGAAGAAGCGAAAGACGAAGCCGGCGGCGCCCAGTGAGGTCGGATCGAACAAGGGCAGACCGAGGCCGACCTACCCATTTGACGAGGAGGATGCGATTCTGCTTGTTGGCGAGGGTGAGTGATCCGCAGTTTCGAGACAGAAACTCAACGAAAGGTGGAAAAAGAAAGCTGACGTGTCGAGCAAAGGCGACTTCTCCTTTGCACTCTCGCTCCTCTCGGCCCCTCACTGCCACCCCGGGCACCAGGTCTGCGCAACATCGTACGACTCCGAGTCTACATGCCTCTCCAAATATCCCACTACGGCGCCAGACAATATCGCTTCGCTACGGCAGCGGGGATGTCGAGTCGAGTTCGGCATCGACGCAGGCTCGCCCGAGGCGCTGCTGAAGCTCACTGCGCGACAGGCAGCACGATGGAGCAAGGTCGTCTTCAACTTCCCACACGTGGGCCAAGGGCACAAGGATGAGGGACGCAATGTACTCGCGAACCAAGCACTGCTGATTAGATTCCTCGTGGCTGCTGCGCCGTGCCTGTCGAGAGGCGATGCGCCGAGGTACGTGACCGGCGGAAGCGGCGTGAGCAAGGGCAAAGAACGAGAAGGCTCCGTGTCGAGTGTGGAAGAGGAGGCGAATGACGATGAGTTGGACGAAATGACCTTGGATGTTGAAGAAGAAGAAGAGAGCCAAGGCCAGATGCTACCCAAAAAGGAAGCAAAGGTGGGGCTCGTGACGCCGAGCCGCGCCGGAAGCGTGCTCATCACGCTGCGAAATTGCCCACCGTATACAAAGTGGGACGTGGGGATGCTTGCCAAGCAGCTCGTCCTCGTTTGCGAACCGACGATTCGATCGGCACCCGCGCTGCCAAAGGGCCAGCATCCCCCCAGTCAGACGCAGCTTCAGGCCGTCCGTGAATTGGCGTCATCAGAAAAGGGCTTCAAGGTCTGGCGGAGCTTTGCATTCGACAAGACCCTCTGGAAGGGCTACGAGCATCGGAGGACACTTGGATGGAAGCCATCGTGGCAAGACGTGACACAAAAGGGTGCAAGCGGCAGAGAGGAAGACGACATCGGACAGCAAGAGTGCAGGACATGGGAGCTGGGCCTGCAATGAGGTCGAAGAGATGGTTCAGGTAACGGAGAGGATGGGTTGGTTGGTGCGAAATTCAAAAGACTTGTACAAGTAGTAGACAACAACTTTCAAAGTTTCCATAGCGCAGGTTCCGTGGAGTCAAGAGAGCTGGATGAGATGCGGGTGCTACAGTGACGAGAGAGAGAGGCAGAAAGATTGGACATCAGAAGCTGAGACCGGCCGTGCCATATTTTGCCTGGAAGGAAACGAGCTCGCGGGTCAGCTCGTCGACGAGGAGCATGCTCGAAAGGCTGATGTCTGTCGCTCGTGAGTCGGCTCCGATCGTCGGTCGGACCAGTGGGGCTGTACCTGTGCGAGCGGCAGTTGCTGCGGTGGCAGCAGCGGCGTCAGAGCCGGATTCGCCCTCTTCGGTCGATTTGGACGCAGACTCAGGCGTCGGTGCCACTTCGGTCGAGTTGGCACCTGTCGCCACAGGGGACTCCTGCTGCCCATTGCCCTTGTCAGTCTCGCTAGCGGCAGCAGTAGCAGCCTGGACCTCGTCGCTGTTCATCTGCGCATCGCCGTCTTTGTCAAGGATGTCCTGCTTTTCGCTCTCCCCCTGAGCGTTGCTCTCTGCCTCTCGGGCGACGGCCTCTTGCTCCTCCTTCTCGCCCTCTCGTATCGCCTCCATGCGTTCCCTTTCCTTCGCGACCTCTTCCTCGACGCTGATGCCCAAGAATCTCATCCGCTTTTCCCTCTCAGCAGCCTCGATCTGGATCCTGGTAACGTAGTCTGAGATATTCCGCACCCGTTTGCGCATCTCGCCCATCGTCGTCCGCTTCGCAGGAAAGCGGACCTTGGTCGATGACTCTTGCAGCGCCACGACGTGGTACGGCTGGGGCGACGCCTGCACCCTTTGCCCTGCTTTGGCTGGTGTTGCATTTGACGCATCAAGTGCGGCAACGTTGCGCGGCTGCGACCCGGCAACTCCCTTGGTGGAAGGGACGCTGACGTTGAGCGTCTCGGGAGCTGTTGTGGGGAGAAGCCAAGCCAGGTGGCTGAGATGCTCCGGCATACCCCACGGCCCGCCGGGGTGGTTGGCATTGCGAGACGAGGAGCCCTCGCCTGGCGTGGGTGTCCCCATACGGCTCGCTGCCGTGCTATCGCGCAGGGCAGCCTTTCTCACGCTGTCGAGGTGTCGCTTCGACGGACTGGGGCTTGCCGAGCCAGTTTGACCACCGTTGGCCGCATTGGCAGCCGCCATGGCACGCCTGGCCGTGTATTGATTAGGGTGCTTGGCACGCTTGGCGCCGCCGCCGCCGCCGCTACTCTTCTTTGCGGCCGATGCTTGAGCTTGGGCCTCTGTCGGTGCTGTAGCCGTGCGTGCTTCGTCGTGCTCTGCGTCCTCCGGCTCGGCACCCTCTGCTTCCTCCTCCTCTTCAATCGTATAGTCGTTGGGCGGTCGTTCCACTTTCATCCTCTTGACGCCCTCGTCTGCACCGCCGTCAGCGCCTGCCGAGGGAGACTGGTCTTGGTTCTCATCGCCCTCTTCGCCTTCGCCCGAGCCCCTCTGTCGCTTGCGCTTCTTGCCCCCCGACCTGTCCTCGTCAAAGTCGAACTTGTTCGACGAGGAATGTGCTGACCGAGGCCCCTCCCAGTTCTCATCCTCGTTTAGCAATCCTGGCGGTATCGGTTCCCAGCCATAGGCAGAGTCGCGGCTGTTCATCGTGCTCCTCCGCTTAGGCGGGCTCTTTGGCGTCGTCAGTGCTCGCCCATGCTCATCGTCGCGGCTCTGCGACCTCGAGTTGCAGTTCTGAGCCTCGGATGTCTGTCTGCGATGCTGCGAAGAGCTCCTCCTTCCTGCGTTGACCTCGTGGTGCAGTGTGCCGTACTCGTCGTCTGGATGCTGGGGCGCATGCTGGCCTTGTGCCACGCTCCAGCCCGTGACAGGTGCGAGGCCCTCCTTTCGCCGCCGCTCGTTCTCCTTTGCCAGGGTGAGGACAGCCTCCTTTGCCTCGCGCAGCTCCCTCGTCGAGTCGCGCGAGACGTTGCGACCCTGCACCTTGCTTGCACCCTTCTTGTGGCTCCGTGGGGGAGGCAGCACCCCCAAGCTTCGCAGCAGAGGGATATGGAGCTCCGGCCGGCACTGCTCGCAAAAGTACACGTCGGGGCAATCGTCTTCGGTGTGCATGCCCATGCAGATGCAGTGCTGCCAGCACTTGCACGTCTCGCACTGGATCATCAGGCCCACATTCTCGTCTGGAGAAAAGGTGGAGAGGTGTCCGTCAGCATCAATAAAGCGCGCATACAGAGCGGACTTTGGCCATGCTCACCGGCACTGCCGCATACACAGCGTGTCACGCCCTCCTCGTTGACCTCTTCCTCGTCGTAGCTGGGCTCCTGCGTGTCGCCGCCAGACTGATCGCCATCGTCGGGTGCCTCTTCGGCAGCTGCCCCTTCCTTCTTAAGGTTGGATTGGCCGCCTGCTTTTTGATCGTCGTCGTCTTCGTCGTCGTTTTCGCCATTAGCTTCGACTCCAACTCCGGTATCAGCGCCCTGCTGCTCCTGGTCATTTGGCAAAGGGGCTTCTTGGCCTTGCTGTCTCGCACTGCCGTTGCTCTCCTCGTCTTCATCGTTGCCGCTGTCTCCCGAGGAAGGCTTGGCGTTGTTGGGGCTGGCGCCGCTGCGCCGGCTTCTCCTTGGCATCAGCGGCTCCTCCTCGCCGTCTCCGAGCTTGCCGAGCCCAAGACCAGCGAGCTCCTTGAAGGTGGACGTGGATCGATTCCGGCTTGACTGGCCAGTCTCGCTCGAGTGGCTCCTTGACTGGGGCCCTCTTCCTGTATCCTCGACGGCCAGGCCTTCCTCAGCGGGATCCTCTGCCTTGACAGCCGTACTCCCCTGCGCCGCTTTCTCAACATCGTCTGTCTCATTGGCCGCTCCTTCCTCCTCGACAGCCCCCTCGTCGCCGTTTCCATTGGCAGTCTTGCTGCTCTGGTGCGTCTTTGCTATCCGAGCAGCTCGTGCTGCAGCGGCGGCGCCCTTGACCTTGCGCTTCGAAGGCTGCTTCTTCTTCCCCTTTGCTGCCCCCTTTGTCGAGGCTGGCCAATGGATGGGCCTGTCAGCCTCTCCCTCTTCCCTCTCCGGAGACCAGCATACAGGCTGCCCACACTCACCATCCGCTTCTTCGGACCCTTGCCCGCTGCTCGTCCCTTCCTCCTCTTCCTCGTCCTGCTCATCGTGCTCTGCCTCTTCATCCTTTACTGTCCCTCCTTGGTGCTGCTGCTGCTGCTCGGCTGTGTCGCCTGCCGCCATCGTCTCGGCTGCGCTCTTTGCCCCGCCATCATCTGTAGGCTCGGTAGAGGCGGGCACAGCCGCGGCCGCGGCCGCCTCGGCAGAGGAGCGCGATGCCTCTGCCTCCTTGGACGCCGAGGCAGATCTCCTCGACGTCATTGCGCGTGCTTTGCTGACACGATGTTGGTTGAGCTGTTCGAACGCGGGCAAATGCTGCGCTGGACAGATGACGAGGTTGCCGCACTATAGCTGCCCCTCTTCTTTTCTCCTGGGCTTTATTCCGAGCCCGGGCGCACGTTGAAAGGTTTGGTCGAAGGGGCGGGCCAGCAACGGGAGCGAGCGTGTTGGGGGGCGTCCGGCTTGGTAGCCTCCGTTTGATGGAGAAGGGAGAGGTGCGGGAAAGAGGCGTGAGGGTGAGAGGGAGCGGCCTGTCCAGCGTGAAGTGCGCTGTAGTCGGCTTGGCCGGGGAAGGAGGAGAGGGAAGGGGGGGAAGACGAGGGTGGGCTGGATGAACCAAACCGCTGCCCTTTCTCTCTTTCTCTCCCTCCTCCCTCTCTCTCTCTTCCTCTGGTCCACTTTTCCGACTTTGGCGTGCGCGTTCTGCCGGTTCGGAGCCCACACGTGAGGCCAACTCAACCCCGCGCTTGCTTCTCTTTTTCAACCAAAAAAAAAGTGGTCCTAGCACAGCCAGTGTAGTAGACTGCTAGCAGCTCCTGCTCCTGCTCCTGCTCCTCCGCCTTGCTTCTCCTCTTTCTCTCTCTCTCTTTTATCTTGACCATCTGACCCCAGCCCGACGGACGGAAGCGATGGCCTTGCCACCAGGCGGAGCCGGACGGGGGCCACCGGCGGGCCCTTTTACGCGGCTGCCCACCCCTGGCCTGGCCGGGTACAACGTCGCCTGGTCGCCCTTCTATCCCGACAAGCTCGCCGTCGCCGGTGCGGCCAACGTGAGTCCGGCGCCGTCGTCAGAATATTGCGCAGGAGTAGCGCTGATCACACTATTACCCTTCCATCATTGTTACAGTACGGCCTCGTGGGCAATGGGAAACTCAACGTCATTGGCCTCGTCCAGCAGGGAGCAGCGGGGCCGCCGGGGATGCGCATCGAACGCGGGTGAGCTATGCCAGCGAGCTGCGAGCTTTGCCCCCTTCATCTTCTTCTCTTCTCCGCTCTTCAACTAATCAGTGAGAGAGAACTTCTCCCAGCTTCGACACGCAAGATGGTCTCTACGATCTCGCCTGGTCCGAGGCGCACGAGAACCAGGTCGCGACGGCGTCGGGCGACGGCAGCATCAAGCTCTGGGACATTTCCCTTGCTGAGCCGCACCCAATCCGGCACTGGCACGAGCATGCGCGCGAGGTCTTTAGCTTGGACTGGAACAATGTGCGCAAGGATGTCTTTGCCAGCTCGAGCTGGGACGCCAGTGTCCGCGTGGTGAGTGTCTGAATGCAGCATGCCTGGTCTACAAAGTAGATGGAGATGGAAGAAGAGATGGAAGGAGAGACAGAGGGAGAGGCAGAGGGAGGAGGAGAGGAAGAGAGTGAGAGAGGAAGAGAGAGAGAGAGGAAGAGAGGGAGAAGGAGAGGAAGAGAGGGAGAAGGACGAGCTGACACAGATATCCGACACCAGTGGCACCCCGAGCGGCCAAGCTGCATGACGGCTATCACGTCGCACACGGCCTGCGTCTATGGCTGCGCATGGTCGCCCCACAGCGCCGACCTGCTCGCGACGGCGTGCGGCGACGGCCACCTGCGCCTCTTTGACCTGCGCTCATCGACGATGACCTCGGCCACACCCGGCGTGGGCGCGAGTCAGGCGCCCGTCGCCACCGTCCCCGTCGGCGGCGAGGTGCTCTCGCTCGACTGGAACAAGTACCGGCCCATGACGCTCGCCACGGGCAGCACCGACCGCGCCGTCAAGGTCTGGGACCTCCGCGCCCTCGTCGCCGCCTCGGCCTCCTCCCCCGGCCAGCCGGCGGCGGGCGGCGCCATGGGCCCCGCCAACACGGCCATCATGATGGGCCACGAATACGCGGTGCGCAAGGTGGCCTGGAGCCCGCACCGGCCAAACGTCCTCGCCTCGGCGAGCTACGACATGTCTGCGCGCGTCTGGGACGTCGATGCCGGCGAGAAGATGGCTGCGGGCCCCCTCGTGGGCGCCGGCCCCAGGAGCCTCACGGCAGTCCACGATGCACACACCGAGTTCGTCGTCGGCCTGGCTTGGAGCCTGTTTCAAGAGGGCCTCGTGGCTACATGCGCATGGGACTGCGAAGCGCACCTCTGGGCGGCAAGATGACCCTTCTCAACTTCATCATCTTCCCTCTCTCCCCTTGTACTCTAGCAACACATACTCGCTACCCTTTTCTTCAATATAGAGAGTCAATCCCTGGCATGGTTCATGGCCGTGGCATGGGTGGAAACAGAGGATCGTTTACGAATACAGGTCGGGAGGGGCCGAGAGAGAGAAAAAAAAACGAAGACGAGCGGGCCGGGAGGAAGAGAGGACAGCAGGCAGGCGGGCAGGGAAGAAGTTGTGGCGGCCGAAGTGGGGGCGTCTCGTCGAGTCCATTTTTTGTTGGTGTCGTATGTCGTCTTGGGGGCTCACTGGCTCAGGATCTGGCGGACAAAGGACTCGTAGTTGATGTTTCCGTCAGGTCCGACCTGGACGCCCTTGAGGAGCTCGTCGACCTCTTCGTCGCTCAGCTTCTCGCCCAGGCTCGTCAGCACGTAGCGCAGCTCGCCAGCGCCGATGAAGCCGTTGCCCTCCTTGTCAAACACCTGAAAGCCCCGAATGAACTCCTCTGTGTCGCAAACCAACCAACCAACGAACGGCGCAGAAGTCAGCGCTGTTTAGCTCGGGGCCGCTGGAGTCAGTTCTTTCGCACTCACCGGGCGTGCCGGCGGGCTTGAAGCCATTGGGCCGGTGAAGAATGTCGAGGAACGTCTTGAAGTCGACTTTTCACACAAGAACGTAGATTCACGTTTTAGTATCGCTGGCGCAGAAGCTGACTTGTGTCACAACAAGGACAAAGTGGCCTGCAACTCACTGTCCTTGGGCGCCGAGCCGGCGAGCTCGGCCACCTCGGCCTGCGTCGGGTTCTGGCCCAGGGCGCGGAGGAGGTCGCCGAGCGACTCGCGGGCAATGTGGCCGGTGCCCTTCTTGTCAAAGAGGGCAAAGGCTTCCTTGTATTCTGTCAAAGGAACGAAGAGGCGCGAGACAGCGAGGTCAGTGAGTGCAAGGCCAAAGCGGATAAGCGAGAAGGGGCCCCACCTGCGTCGGACTGCCAATAGCCGAAGAGTCAGCATTGGTGGAACTGGTATCATTATAAGGCACTCACCATCGTTGAAATGCGAAACGTGCTGTAGGCAAAAAGAAAAAAGAGAGTGTTGGGCAAGCACTAGAGAGAGACTTGGTGGTGACGAGCTTAAACCGCCAACAATCAACAGGGGTCTTGTTCGTGGCCCCTACGCGCGCGCTAGACCAGGCGACTGACCTCAGACGGCTCGATTCTGCACGTGCCAAAAATAAAAATTGAGCTGCCAAAATTTCTGGAGGAGCGCTTTTGGTGAGAGCCTCTCTTTCTCAGCTTCAGCTTCAGTCAATCGACAACAGGAAAGGGGAAGCCATCAGGATGAGACAGCTCAAGCACCATGAGCAGAAACTGCTCAAGAAGTGAGTCCTTGCGTATGGCCTCGAAATTTGAAGTTGAGCCAAGCTGAGCAACGGGCCGTTCTCCTTCGCAGGCATGACTTCCTCAACTGGAAGCAGGACCAGAGCCACCGCGAGATCAAGGTCATGCGACGCTACCACATCCAGCACCGGGACGACTACCAAAAGTGAGTCCGCTTTCTCGCCCTTCTGTTCTTCATTGAGCTCACGCGCCGGGACTGGCAATCCTTGTAGATACAACCGGCTTGTCGGCAATTTGCACCACCTCACCCTCCGTCTCTCGCGGCTACCGCCGACGGATCCCTTCAGGCTCAAGCGCGAGTCGGCGCTGCTCTCCAAGGCCTATGACATTGGGCTTGTCGACACGGGCGCCAAGATGAGCGACATCTTGGACAAGGTCAACGTCAGTGCCTTTGCCAGACGGAGGCTCGGCGTCGTCATGGTGCGCTTGAAGATGAGCCAGTCGGTCAAGCAGGCCGTCACCTACATCGAGCAGGGCCAGATTCGCGTGGGCCCAGACACCATCACCGACCCTGCCTTTCTGGTGACGAGGAACATGGAGGACTTGTGAGTCGTGCTGCTTGCACCTCTCCACCTTGCCAGGCCCACGCATTATTAAAGCTGACATCTGTGCTTCCTCAGCGTCTCCTGGGTGGACCAGTCCAAGATCCGCCAGCACATCGCTCGCTACACTGGCGAGCACGACGACTACGATCTCCTGTAGAATACCACCTGTCTCTGCATTCACGCGCACTGGACTCTCTCTAGTCCCGACTACACTGTACAATTACAACTAACACCGCATTCACTGGCATACATGAGCTGCATCGAGCTATCAAGACTGGCGAGACAGCCCATGTCGCTCTCGACTGACAACGCCCGGTGGCAGATCGTAGGTGTCGCCGACCATGGGTCCACCCTTTGCGCCCGTCTGGGCCACAGTCAGACCGGCGAGGGGGTGCGCTTCCTGGCCGTTGAGATGGCCTTCTTTGAGCTCGAGGTAGTTGGCGTGGGTGTCTATCGTGGTAGATGAGCGCAGAGAACCAGGAAATGGACCCAGCAGCGACGATGGACTCACCTACGATGGTCGATAGATTGTCGAGAGGCGGGGTGTGGAAGATGTTGAGGGAGAGAAAGGCGGCATAGGCAAACATGACTGCGACGAGACTCCAGGCGGGGAGCAGAAAGGCCCATTCGCTGGTGCATTGAAAGCCATTTGAGCTCTGCTTCAGCTTCAAGTCCCGATCTTCGTTTATTTTAACAATCAAGCCTGCCTTGTCTAACAACGCACCGGTTCGGATAGTAATCGATGCCGATGCGCTTGAGAATCCTGTCGGGCGTTAGGGCCCAGACGCACCAGCCGACGAGGACGAGGGTGGCGAGGATGAAGAGGGCAAAGCCGTAGAACTCGCCCGAGCCGCTGGCAATCGGCGTCGAGCTGGTTGGGCCACTGTTCTGTGCCTCCTCGAGCAGCTCGCGCTCGCCCTTGGACGTCGCTGAAGTTGGCGGCACGGAGGATGAGGCAAAAGGAAGGGCCTCCAGGGCCACGAGCTCAAGCGAAAAGGCGCCCGATTGAGACTTTGCAAACAGGGAGAGAGGGAGTGTCAGTCCAATGGACAGAGCCAACCGAAGCAGAGCCTCGGGCACGACAGAACACTCACGCCAAAGTTGCTCCGAGCCATGATGCTCCATTCGAGGATGTCTTCCGTCTGGAGGGGCGGAGCATCCTCTGCGGGCTTGCCTCGATACGTGGGCTTGAATGCATCCCACGGCGCGTCGAAGCTCAGCCGCCTACCCGCCGCGAGCTTGTCGAGCGAAGAGGGCATTGTAAAGTCGAACTCGTACACGATAGTCGACTCCCTGCGCCCGTCTGGCCTTTGCTTCGCCGGCGTCGTCTTGAGGTTGAGCGTGTAGGTTTCAACGTGTGCCTTGCCTCCGCCCTCGACTGGCGAAGACGAGGACGATGGAGCGCCGCTGCTTGAAGAAGAGACTTTTTCTGCAGCCACGATGCGCAGCCCAAGGTACTCGTCTCGCTCAATGGCGTCTCCAGGAAAGCGGTCCATGTAGGACTGCGACGCGAAGCCGGCGCCGCCAAGCGTGAGCGTATCGAGAAAGCCCTGGAACATCAGAGAGCCGCTGGGCGGGTCCACCTTGACAAACGACTTGCTGGAGCCGCCGCGGACACGGTCATCAATGGCCGTGAAGTCCGAGGCGTTCCAGATCTTGCGAGGCGAGAGGCTCGCAGGCCCAAAGAGGACAAGAGGCGTGCCAGCAACGCGCGCCATGGTTCTGGTGTGGCGTGTGGTGAAAGGCGTCTAAGCGACGGAGGCGGCGGCGGCCGCCAAAAATGAAAGTGGAGACGGGGGGCTAATAAAGCTCACATGACGTTTTTCTTCCTCTGAATCCTTTCTTCAGGACGGGGGAGCTAGCTACTGTTGGCCGAGGCCAAAGGACCGCGATGAACTGGATCGCTGCTTTTGATCCTGGAAGCGTCGCATATGAGGGGCAAGCCAGCACAAGTGCTCCTACAGCGGGCACGGTCGAGCCGTCGCCTCCTCGCATCTCAGCACAGGCTCCGGAGAAGCAGAACGCTGGTCCCTCGCGGCCAAGAGATGCCCCTGGCCGTGTCCCCCCGCCGAAGGAGCAGAGCAAGGCATTCAATCGACCTCCTACCGTCAGCTCGGCTCCGAGCAGGTCCGAGGACACGCAGCCAAACGAGCAGAGCACTAGCAAGACCTCCAATGCGCCCCCGCTGATTGCCTCAACAAAAGTCAAGAAGCCAAAGACGAGCAGCAAGACAGTCCCCTGTGAAGCAAAGCCAAGTGTGACAACCAACGGCGAGGTCAAGTTGTCGAAAAGCCAGCGAAAGAAAGCAAGGAGGAAGCAAAGGATGGCAGAGGAGGAGCTAGAGCGCGATTCTCGAATGGACGCCTTTTTTGCCGCCCAGCAGCAACGAAGCGAGGGAGCACCGTCTGCCATACGAGACCTTTCAAAGTCGGCTATCCTCACAGAGCAAGCGCACAACGTGGACGACAAAAGCCAAGTTGGCAAGCATTAAGTCGCAAGATGTAGAGAGAACGATGCGAACGGCAATGGGTCGACTCAATGTACACTACACACCCTCATCATCAATATCTGATCCGATACGTTGTGGAACTGTCGCAATGACAGTGAAACGGGGTTGTATACAATGCAGTGCCTCTGCCATACAAATACAGGTTGCTTGGATTCATCAGACGTCGAGGAAATCTGCCGCCATGAGACTTTGAAAGCGATTGTCAGCATTGAGCACAACGCAGTGCTCTCCTCGCCTCAGGAAACCCTTGCACACACTCACAGCTCCAGCGCAATCTCAGGTGGGATTCTGTTCTGAAAGTGAGGGATATCGGTGTCTGCCGTCGAATCGTTGTACTTTTGCTTCCACACGAGGTATTCGACGACTTTTTCCAGCACGACGCCGCGGATCTGGTTGAGGTTCGCCGTCAGCGTCTCGGCCTCTGCGAAGCCCCCCGAAAAGGGCGCGGCGCCATTGTCGCCATTGATGCCTGGCGCAGGCGAGGGGACTGAGTCGTCGAAGTCGGCGTGACCGCTGCTGCTGCCACCGCCGGCGCCATCCCCGCCTTGCCCTCGGCCAAGCATAGAGCGAATGGTGCCACTGAGAATCGCGCAGCGGTAGTCCAGGACAAAGTGGTAGCCGTCCTAGTGTTTGCATAGGATCACAACCATCTTCTTAGCATCCGACCTCTGGGGATAGGCGGAGAATCGTCGGACAACATACCTGACTAATGAGAGTCACCCATTCGTGGTCCTTGGCATCGCCAAACGGCGAGCCAATGGCAGCGTCATTGCTGGTGGATGCCTGCACGAGTGCAATTGAGCATCAGACATACTGTACTTTCTGCTTGAGTCACCCAAGGGCCGTCGACTCACCTCTGCCGACATGATGGTGCCTCTGCTGTGTGTCTTGCTCGGTCGGCCGGTGTCTTGATCGTCTTGGCAGATGGAGGCTTATGATCATTCTCTGTCCTCCAGACCAACACATCCATTCACGTGTTGGAAAATTCAACCTTCTCGCCATTTATTCGCGCTCGCAAAGCACCTTTAACTTTGACAAGGCAGACCGGACAACGCGGGCGAGACGCTGCTCGGGGGGACTTTTCAAAATCGATGTCGAGAAGAGAAAGAAGGAACTGGTCATAGACAAGGACATCCAATGACCCGCAGCTAGTTGGAGGAGGGCATTAGGACGCGAGAAGAGGCAGAGACCGACGACGAGCGCGAAACGGCGCTGGGCCGTCGCGAGGGGCCTGGTTGTAGGCAGCGACGGACGATGCTCGGCGGTGGACCCGGTCGGCGATGTGTCGCCGCTGCCTCTCGCCATGCTCAGCTGCCCCCACTCTTTCTCTGTCCTTCTGTGTCGAGCATCAGAGTCGCGCCGAGAAGAGTGCGACATGCTTCCAGCGCGTCGGGCGAGGCTTCAGTATCAACGCGAAGAAGATCGTCCGACGCTGGCCTCATCGGTTCTCAAGGTCGCTCTCAGGCGGGCAAGCTGACAGCCAGTGCCACAGGAGAAAATACGCGTGGCCGTCGTCGCGATGTGGACGAATCGAAGGGAGAGGGCACCAGCACGTCCGCAGGAAACCTGGAAAACAATCGCTCTAACGAGCTCCTGATGGTGCGAGAGATCGCAAATGATGTCATCAGCAAAGGAGCTACGAAGCTGGAAGCGGAGAACGAAGTCGTTCTGCAAGAGGCCAAGCGGCTCCTCTTGGATTTTACGAATACGGGTGGTGGGGAGGAGGATGAGGCAACTCTGGCGGAGACGACCCTTCGACTCGCCCTGGCTTTCAGCTCGGCAAATCAGGAAAAGGATGCCTTCGAGCTCTTGCAAGCATCTGCGCAAAGAGGAATCGATCTCTCTATGGCTTCTTGGAGATCGCTCTTCGAAAGTGACAAATTGAGGGCAGACGTGATCACTGATCTCTTCGACCTGGCGAGGCAGCTCTGCGGTGATGAAGTAGCCCTTGCTGAGGACGACCTTGTCGAAGCTTATTGCCAGGCGCTCTGCAAGCAAGGACGGGAAAGAGAGATCAATAACTTGCTGGAGCGCTACGAGGGACTCGGAAAAGCAGCGCCCAGATGCGTCTTTGAGCTTCTCCTCGATGTGCAACTCCGCGAAAAGAACAGCATACAGGCTCGCCGCACCCTGCGGAAGATGGGGGCGCAACATTCCGAAGTCGACGTCAAAGCGCTGCTGCTCGTGATGCTTCATGGGCGAGCATCGTTGCGGAAGGACATCCTTGACATCATAGACGAGACGAGCGCGCGCCAGCGAAAGCCCAAAGCTGCAGTGCTGTATGATCTCATCACACACCTGTGTGATCGAGGTGATGTGAAAGGCGTTCTCACTGCCCTCCGCGTCTTTGGTGCCCCGACGCGAGCTCTTCATACGCAGCGCGCAGCTGCTGCTGCTTGCCGTCCAACACAAACGACCTACCTGTCCATTGTGCGAATGTTCGCGAGATCAAATCAGCCACGACATGCGCTCAGATTCGCTGCACTGGCCATGGATGCAGCGTGGTGCTTTATGGACAAAGGAGGCCAAACCGCGGTCGTCACAGCCATGCTTGATGTCGTGGAAGCCTTTAATCGAACTGGTCTTCACGCTGAAGCTCTCCAGGTAGGAGCACACCTGATCGACGTTCAGCAACCTTTTTCCACCTCGGGTTTATCTACGACCCTGGCCAACTGCCAGCTACCGCCTCGAGGAAGCGTGACTCCTTCTCGACGCATCTACGCGGCACTTCTCCGTTCGACTACCCGCCTTCCACTTCCCCAGGTGGTGCCTACCGCTCGTGCCCTTCTCCTCGACCTTGGCAGTCACGGCAAGATCATGGATGGCGCTGTAAGGATGGCCTTCATGGAGGTCATGCTGGCGACGATGCGCCACGTCAAGAAGGCTGAAATTTACAAGATTTTTGACGATATCATGCGCGCCGTTCCTGACCTGTCTTCGTCCCAAGCGCTCTCCGACCCGATGAAAGTGACGCTCAAAAGGGATGGGAAGATGTGCGAGAGGGAGGTCGACGTGCACAACCTCACGCAGTTCGTGGGACTACTCAAGCAGCGCGGCGCGTTGGATCAGCTCCTAATCGCCGCCGATAGGGACCATCGACGGCAGCGTCGAGGCCGCTACCCAGAAGCGGAAGTAAGGCCGCCAGAGACCATCGACGCGCAGGAATGGATGCGAGAGGCAGACATGTCACCTACGCCTTATTCTCAAGCTTTGAACCCCGATCAGGCTGATTCGACCTGCGCTGCCGAACGAGAGATGAATCTCGAGGAGAAACTGTCGACAGAGGGATACGCATTAAGGCTGAAAGTCTATGCCGTCTTGAGACTCGATCACGCCTCGGCTCAAGCCATATACAGGTCAATGGTCACCCACGGTGTCCCGCCGAGCATGCTTCACGTCGCGCCTGTTACCGAGGGTCTCGTTGCAAGCGGGCGGATGAAGGAGGCCATCGACGTGCAGCGTCGTGCCAAAGACGCTCTTGGCCAGGACACAACGCTGCGCATCTATGCCGCCGTTGCGCGTGGTTTCGCGAGGCGCAAGGACTGGAAGGGCGTGAGAGCCGTCTTCGCCGAAATGAAGGCCGATGGTGTTGAGCCAGATCAGGCCCTACTGGGTGTTATGGCTGCCGCCGAGAGGGGGGTTACATCATCCTTTGGGAGTCCTGCGCCGAGAGAGTACAGCCAAAGGCTGGTCAGTACGGTGCAGCCTCTCCTAGGATCGTTGTCGGGTGAAAGAATTGGCGAGAGACAAAATATTAGGTCGATCTCCCCCGTCTACAAGACCACTACTGTCGAGACAGCAACGTCGACCTTTGCCACCCTCATGAACCAGGGCATGTGCCTCGAGGCGCAACAGTACATGTACCAACACCTCATCTCGCCTTCGGCGCTCTGGGCCTCCTCCTCACCCTTGTCGCTAGAGCGGGCCGATGCGGTCCTTCGTAGGCAAGTCTACCGGTCGAGTCATTGGATCAAACGCGAGATGGATAAATTGCAACATGCAGGTGCTGGCCGACAGGGGTACGAGTCGCAAATGGCAAGGTTGAAGGAAGCCTCTGAGCTCGTCAAGCTCAACAGGCGGTTGGCCAAGGGGCCTGCACCGCGGCGTACAAGGGCCAGACATGAGGAGAGCCAAGCGAGGTCCAGCTTCCTCCGGCTCTTCTGGGACGCTGTGGTGACGCGCTATCTGTTTGACGAGGCGCACAGAGTTGGCAGGAGGCCGCTTCAGAAGTCGACAAATGATTGATAATGAAATAGTGTGTTGTCTCTGGCATGGAAGAAGAGAGACATTAAGAACAGTCACTTTCTGCCTCGCATGGGTCAGAGTATAGTAAGAGAGAAGACAGACGACTAGCTGGAGCAGAAAGAAGGTTGAGCCCGCAGCAATAGGGGGTGGCACCTTGGCGGACAGAGAAAAGGTGTAAAAATCGAAAGAAAGCGGTGGAACGGAGGGCAGTAGGGACAACAGATCGCTCAAGCGTCCCAAGGCGTGACGCGAGGATTGGGGGTCGGGGGAGCACTAAGATCCGTGGGGCTTTGAGAGCCTGTTATGCCTTCTGCTCTCGTGTTTGCCGCTGTCGAACGGGCGGCTCTGCTCATGCAGTCGAACGAAGGCACTATGGTGGAGCTCTTTCTTGCAAATTGGACGAGGGTACCTTTTGCTTCTGAAGGCTGATTCTTCTCTTCTGACGCGAGGATGCTAGCCAGTTCTTTGACCTGCTGGTCGTTGTGGCCGCTCGGGTCACGCGCCTGGAGGCGAGCTGCGAAGCTGCCACAGCTGCCAATGGCGAAATTGCTGTGAAGCGTGGGCGAAGGACTGCGCACAGGCCAGACATGAGTGTCCTTGCTTTGTTCTACGTTTTCACCATTCGGGCAATTGTAAGGCGGATCGTCAGTCTTGGCCAAGCTGGGTCGACCGCCCTCTACATCTGTTAGCGACTTGTTTGACGAGGATCTATTTGTTCCAACGAGCTCTCCATAGGCGCCTTCTTCGTCGCCGTACGCGCCGTTAGCTATAATGTCGTGAGCGTCATGGTGCGAAAAGGTCTCATGGACAGTAGTGGTGAGTTGCACTGCGACGTCTGTGCGTGGACGCTTTCGTTCCTCGCGACGCATCAAGCGCCTGAGCACGGGCGTAACGAGCGACGAGGGCCCAAGCACATGCGTCACGACAGTCTCTTCCGATGCTCCATTGCTCGGGCCTAGGCCCGTGGCCCCCAAGCTGGGGGCCTCCGTGACCTTGTCTCTGACCTGGTCCTGCGCCAATTCTCTTGCGATCGAGGGTCGGAGCATGAGCGTCACCACGAGCGAAGAGCCGTATATTTGCCCGATGGGCATAAAGGGAATGTAGCTTTGACAAGGGAATCAGATCGTCAGCATATTGCTCTTCTCTTGCTGCTCGGCGAGAATATGAGAACTCGTGTACTTACTAGTAGAACTGATAAGGGACCGAAAGGAAAAGAATCATCGACACGAAGGAGCATGCTGTCGTGGCAAAGCAAGTCTCGAGGGACAGCAGGAGTAGACGGGCAACGGCGTGCCTAGTATGGTAGAAGGGCGTTTGCATCTGATGTCGTTGTCAAATTCAATACTAGGACAAGGCTCTTTAACTCAAAAGGTAACAAAATCAACGTACCTTCGACAACTGCATCAGAAGTGCGACGCAGAGCCAAACGTCAATGGCCGCATTGGAGCAAAGCCAGGTGGCAAAGATGACAGAAAATTGCCACGGTGCAGAGTTTGGAAGGAAGGCTGTTGTGGACTGACGTGAGCAACGTAGTTGCATCGACGGGAAGAAGACGTGGCAACCTACCGTGGAGTGCCTGCCCCTTGACGTTTGCTGTGCTACCGGCTCGAATGACGAGAGCAGCAGATGCGACGCCCCCACAAAAGGTCCACGAAATGAGGATAATCGCAGGGACTGAGCAAACTTGTCAGACAAAGGGATGGAGAAGGAGGCGATACCAAAGTTCGTACTCACTCAAGATGATCTTGGACTTCTTGAAAGACAGCCATACACGGTGCGCAAAATAGAGCTGGACAGAGCCACTCATGAAACCGATGCAGACGAAGCTTCCTGCGACCTCCCAGCCTATGGTCAAAAGGGGGAAGGCGAAGTTTCCGAAGTGGGCGACGTGCAGATCGTAGATGCGATGGATGAGAATGCACATTTGGAATATCGAGAAGAACATCAGGACCGCGACGAGGATCTGAAGGATGAGTCGGTCAGAGCCACGAGAGCCGAAACGTTCAAAGTAGTGCCAGGCCTGGACGATGAAAGCGCCGCCGAGGATGAGAGTGAAGAGGGTCCCAAAGAAGAGACCGCTGAGCAATTCGGCAAATTGTTTACGAGATGCCGGAGTCGAACGGTCGCCACCGGCGCCCGTATTAATGCTGGCACCAGCGGCCGAAGCGGCCGTCTCAGCGGACTTGGCACCACCGTTGGCATCTGAGTCTGCGTTTGTGTCTTTTCCTTGTGTCGTCGCTTGACGAGGCAAGAGATGAACCAGGTGAGGCTGGCTCTTCGAAATGGTGTCAGCTCTAGCTCGTAGATCTACGTCCGTCGTAAGTGATTGTGCAGCGACCGCGGTGAATGTGGCGAAAGTGAAGCAGATGAGGACGAGAAGAGCGACGAAGAAGGTGGACACGGCACGGGGCCGACGAGCTGGAAGACGAGGCCGCATTCTGTAGTCGCGGAAGTAAGACCAATGCTTGCGAGCAGAGAGCAACGAGGTGAAGGCAGAGCAATGAGGACGGAAGGTGGTGAGCACAGACTGGAAGAGGCAATCTAAGGAGATATTCCTGTTACTTCTTCACGGCCCTCGCCCCTGTTCAAAGACCGAAGATCCTTTTGACGGACAGTCCATGCCCAGTGTCTGTCCAACTGTGATCCTTATCACTATGACATAAAGTCGACAAGCGGCTCGAGCTCCTGATGAAGTCCGCTCAGAGCATGACGGTCCTCAGCCGTGGTTCGAAACGATTGTAAAGACCGCGTCAAACGACAGGTGGACTACGGAGATCAGACATCGGGCGTTATATTCTTAGCAGCATCCGGAATGAGGATTGCGAAAGAGCCGTACTTGATTTCTCTCTCAGACTGCCTCGTGTCCAATGGAGGCCGCGCATTCGGATGATTTTGGGTGGGGGGCGGACCCCTTCGTCAAGCGACAAGCCTTGACCGCTCCTGCGTCGGATGTGGAACGAGGCCTTACGCCCTGCACAATTTGTGACTTATTTGGTGGCAGTCATACGGTAGCTAGCGTCAACAATATGCGCGGGAAAATGAAGGAGGGGGACGGACAATGATGGTCATTAAGTACTCTTCCTTCCAACCAACTCAAAAAGGAGCTACACCTGGCTGCTGCGTGGTCTCGACTGATGTACTGTACAGGGATCCGCTGGCTTTTCCGTCATGACGAACGTAATGACGCTTTCTGGAGTCTCTAAAAATAGCCTTCCTACAAAGCTTACGTCGATTTTTTTTCGACTTAGCGCGACCGTTGGTGTTGACCTCCTGGTGCAAGAGCAGAGGCAGTGTTGCTCGGGAAGAAACCACAGGGTCAAACTGAACTGACATGCAACGAAAGTAGAGATAGACCGTGTGACCCTGTCCTTCGTTCATCGTCATTGTCTGCCAACTTGCGAGCAGTGAGTCTTTTGTCTAAAAGAGGCAAGCAGAACAACGACCAACCGCCACCAGGCAGGCCGTCAAACGTGGACGGTAGTGTATCTTTACCGCATTCTCTGAGCCTCTCGCTCTTCTCTTCACCACCCCACCCTCCTTTATCAGAGCCGGCTCTCTGATCTTTCGTCAACGAGCTCAAGTAGAAAGGGCGGTCCAAGTGTCTGGTCACACTTGTCCTACTTCTAGAAAACGAACGATGAAGTCAACAGTCATTTCGTCGCTCTTGCTCGGTGGTGCCGCCGTTGTGAGCGGCCACCCCCTCGACATTCGCCAGAGCCTTGGATATGCCGATCCGACATCGACTGGGGGAAGCATGCTCACTGTGGGTTTGGTGCGCGCTCGTCGATTATTCTGAGAATTGATCTGAATTGTCCCTCCTACAGACGGTCGGAAACGGTTTGGGCGAGCCGCTCAATGTCATCATCTCGGGCAACTCGGACGCACAAGTACTGACGCCAGAGGGTGCCCAGGAGTACTTCGAGTCCCTGTACTACAGCCCTGGCTCATGCCTTGGTGTCTCGGCGGGCCTGCCTCAGAAGGCCAACCTGGGGGACGGTAATGGCCTCCGTGATCAGACTGACGTTTTGCGTTTCAATTACTACTCTGGTGATGGCGGAACATGCATCGAATCGGCAAAGGGCGGCAACCACTTGAGGTGACTGTTATTGACCGTTGTCTTTGGGATAGGTTCTCGACTGACACTGTTCCAACCTCTCTCCAGATACTGGATGCAGAACGGGTCTTCGGCAGACACAAAGGCCATCTTCATTGCCGCTTCCGTCGAATATCCGGCGACGCAGAGTCACAATATCGTGCCCGATGGATATGACCTGGGCCGCGACTGGTTCACGGGCAACGCCACCAACTCGTCGGGAACCGAGTCGCCGGGTGGCTTCAAGTACGAAGCGCAGGTGACGCAGACGAACCTCCTGTCGAGCGTCGATGTCTCGCAGATCAACCACAATATTGCCGTCGACGGCAGCGTCTCGGTTCTTACCGTCAAAGTGACAAAGACAGGCCAGATTGGAACGAACCGCGATGGCGCAAGGGGTTCGAACAGCTCGCAAACAAGCGGAGCATCTCGAACGATGGCTTCTCCTGCTGTCCTGGTGGCTGCCGTCATGGTCTTGCTGACGTTCCTTAGCCTCGTCGAAGCTCACCCTTCGCCGCCGCGTCCCTCGTCGCGGGTCAGTGCCAGGTCTGCAGCTGATGCAGCTTCGCCAACGAAGATCATGATGGACAATGCTCAGCTCGACGCAGGTTTCGCTCAGCAATTGTTCGCCGGCACGCCCAATGTCGCTACGTCGGAGCCCGTGGATCCCATCGATCAAGGACTCCGCAAGCGCCTGACGCTGGCCTCGAGACTGGCCGCCTCCGCGTACTGTGAATCGTGCGTGTCTTGAGAACGGAATCTTGGTCCTACCCCTTCCCCTGCATCACGCATTTGTAACACCCCCCATCTGTCTTTTGCAAACCCCTCATTGACTCCCCCCTCTTCAATTTCCATTCTCTCTCCCCTCCTTTCTCTCGCTAGCGTCCAGACTGGATCGTGGAAATGCGGCGCGCCTTGTGAAGGCGTCGACGATGAAGTCTCGGTCCTGTGGATGACAGGCAATGGTGTGTGAATGATGGCCACTTTTACCACTGGTCGAGACTCAACCCATGATGCATTGTCTTTAGGCAACTCGGACCCTCACAAGCAGCTCCTGTGGCTCGAAAAGGACCAATCACTTGTGCTGCAAACGGAAGGGAGCGATCTGTACCACCTTGCTTCTGTTCTCAACGATGCCGTCTTCGTCCCCATCCCCGCTCCTCAAGCGGTTCTATCGACGCTCACCCAATCCGCTCCCGCCAGCAGCAAGGGAAAGAGTGAAAAGTTAGATGCCGATGACGACAACACGAAGGAAGTGCGAGTCCATGCAGGATTCTTGGCAGCTTGGTCTCGCTCCTATCCACAATCTCTAAAAGCCGTCCAGGCCGGTCTGTCCGTCCACCCGTCAGCCAAGCGGTTGATCCTCATCGGCCATTCTCTGGTGCGTGCTTTCCTTGTTATCGGAAGTTTTCAGCGCAACGCAAAACTGACGCTATTTGATCAGGGTGCTGCAATTGCCCAGCTTGACCTCCTCGCCCTTCACTCGGACCTCAAATCGGTACCTGCCTCTTCTTCGTCCGCGACACCCTCTCCTTCTCCTAGCCTGAGCTACCAGTACTATGGCTTTGGCACGCCACGAGTCTTCAACACTCAGGGCGCCTCGCTCGTCGACCGTTTTCTCGATAAGAGCTCCTCTGTGACGTTTCCCATTGCCGCGCTTGCATCCTCCTCCTCCTCCTCCTCCTCCTCCTCCTCATCATCGTCGTCATCGGGGCAGCAGCGACGAACGCCGTCGTCGAGCGACGGAATCGACTTCTATCACGTCCATCATGCCTCGGACGTTGTGCCGCATCTCGGTCTCTTGTCGCTCGGCTTCCGTCATGCCCAGAACGAAGTCTTTCTTCCCGACACAAACAGGACCGACATCAACAAGACGGCTGAGCAACAGGAGGCTTTGCTCTGCCACGGCTTTGAGAATGCGCGGTGCAGCCTCTCGAGGGGCAACGATACCAACATCCCGGATCACACCGGGCCTTACTTTGGTCTTCTTGTCGGTAGAGGCCGGTGCAAATGAAGCTCATTTGCAATGGAATCATCTAGATTGAAAAGAAGGAAATTGTACAAGTGCTACACTTCATCCTGCTCCTCTGCTCCTTCCTCTTCCTCTTCCTCTTCCTCTTCTTCTTCCTCTTCGATCCGCTCTTCCTCGCGCCGGAACATGGCGTAAATCTTCTTTCGCCTAGCTCCATTAGCCTCTGGTTTGCTCGCTTCCTCAAACAGTGCCTCAAAGATGTCCTTTCTGAGGTCCAATGCATCGCCCCGAGTTGCCTTGAGTATGGCCAAGAATTGCACCGAGCTATCTTCATCTGCCTCTTCCTCATCCAATTTTCTCGCTCGCTTTCGTTTCGGGCCTTGCTCCTCTTCCTCCTCCTCTTCCTCTTCGGCCTCTCGCAGCTGAACCTCGGCGGTCCGGACAAGACAGTCTTCAAGCAGCGGGTTAAAGACTTTTTCCATGATGCGCTCGTATGTCGCCGCGTCAAAGCAGCACGCCGCCATGTGGACAAAGGGTTCCATCAGCCTCTTTGTCGGGCAGAAGCCTGCCTCGGCCCCATCATCGTCTTGCCCTTCTCGTCGCGGCTCAGGTGACTGAAGCGCGCCGTCGAGCTCCTCCAGGTAGACGTCGAGGAGGTGGAAAGTGACGCCTTTGGACACTTTGGGGTTGTTTGAGCTGAGGCAGGAACTGTGAGCATTTTCGTCGGACGGCGAAGTGTTTGGAAAATTGCAAACTCACTTCAGGGGACCATTCTCTTTGAGCAGCATCGCATTGAGCCGATCGACTCCTTCTCCGTTCCATCCTTCGCGCGCAAGGAACCGAAAGGCGGCATTGACGAATCGACGAAAGAGGAGAAGGAACTTGGGCACCCTGCATGCAAGCCCAATCAGCACACAAATGGCAAAGAAGCGTGGAGAACTCACCGCCACTTGTCGATGCCAATCCATTCGCGAACCATGGCATCGAAAAAGCCTTCCAAGAAGTCGAGGGGCGCAAGCGTGGAAGACGACGTCGCCGCGGAAGAGGAGGAAGAAGGCGACGGGCTGGCATCGATGCGGATCTTGAGGAGGATGTCTGCCAGCTCCTGTGCAAGTGCCTGTTGTACCAGCGGCTTGTCGGACATCCAGAAGCAGTAGAAGAGGCCCTTCCACAGCTTGGCCATCTCGCCCTGATCCAGGCGCTCGGTGCCGGCCTGCTCGAGGAAGCAGGCCAGGGATCGGATTGCCCCGTCTCGGACTTTTTTCTCCGTCGAGGCGAGATGCTTGCCGAGTGGAATCTCGCCGGTCACCTCTTGCGCCTTCGAGGACCCATTAGAAGGGCCGCTGCTGCTGCTGCTGCTCGCGGCAGCTTTTGTTGCCGCTCTTGCCCTCTTTGCAGCCACCATAATCTTCGTCCTTACGTTTTGTCGCGCGAAGAAAGTCGGTGGGCTGCGTTCTTTCCCTCTTTCTTTTAAAATTTCAAAACAAAAAAATCACAGGCAAGGCGCGCACGTGAAGATCGGGAGCTCCACTTCTTCCCCCGCACGCTGAAAGTACCCTGTGTGTAAGCCGATTCACAAAGCGGCTTCGTCGCCATTGGCAAACACCATGCCGCTCTGTACACTGCATCTGATCCGTCTCAGCAAAGAAGGCGAGTTGGGTTCCTCTGATGCTCGCTGTGCCTCCTTCTTGAAGCTACTGCTGGCCAGCGATTTGGGACCGCGGCTGCTCGTTGCCTCGCTCGTCCGCCGCCCAGTCATCCTGGCAGAGCGCATCGATTCCGTCTATCTCAACGCAACGCCCTGGGACCTCCTGCTCGTCTTTGGACCAGACGCAAAGGGACCGTCCGTTCAGGCTTCTTCAATCGAGACCAAAGCTACGCCGCTCAGCCTCGAAGACGACTCGAGGACGCGGGCACACGTCGACGTCGAGTACGTCCTCGACGTGGGCGTTCCCACGCGCATCCTGTCGGGCTACAAGGGGCGGACGAAGGAGCTGGTGGAAGCGGCAGCAAGGGCCAAGAAGCCGTCTTTGGACTCGCTCCGGACAGAGGAGCCAGCGAGAACCCATGCAGGAAGGGTGCCCAAGACGAGTCAGAATCTAGAAATGTCCGACGAGCTCCTCGATCTCATCGAGGCGCTCGAGAAGCTCGGCGATAGTGGGCTTGTTAACGGCGGTGGGCCAGTGCACCAGCTCAACTTGCTCAAGTTCAAGCCTACAAAAGAGGACCGAGACCGTTACCTCGAGTACGGCCGTGGCTTTGCAAAGGCTGCTGAAGCCCACGGCGGCGATGCAAAGCTGCTGGGCGTCGTTGTGGCCGATCAGACACGGGCAGCGCTGCAGCAGCAGGGAAGTGCCAAGCCCAGTGGCAAACTGCAGTGGGACGAGATCAGCCTGGTGCACTACCATTCGCTCAGGGACTTTGCTGCCATGGCGGCGAGCGAAGCATACCAGTCCATCAATCGGGACAAGCGGCTGCCCTCGCTGCTCGACACGACAATCATCTGCACTCAAGAGGTGGATTTAGACCGGCTCCGGAGGACAGCCAAGCTGTGATGTGCATCAATCATTCAATCATGAAGTAGAGATTGCATTTCTATTCTTCTTGAGTCTAGTCGAAACTGAGATCTATCAATGCCAATTGCTTGACGTCGGTGGGAGCCTTTGCCACGGTGCCCGCTCCCATGGGCATCTCCATGATTTTCAGCGTCCACTCTTCCGCCGCTCCTCCGGCCTGGCCGAGGAAGGCGTCGAATGCGCCGCCGTCGTACCTCGTGTCTGATGCAATGGCAAAGACGACCGTGTCCGCACCACCGCTGCTGCCAGCATCACCGGCCGTTGTGACGGTCTGGAAGAGAAGCTGAGCACCCTCGCCGCTCCTCGCGCAGACGGGGCCCAGCAGCTGGCGACTACGGTAGCCTGGCCGCGAGACGAGGACGGCCTGCACGCGGGTCTCGCCGCCGCCGTCGTCGGAGGAAGCGAGAAAGAAGACGGTTGCATCGTCGACGTAGGCGTCGACGAGCGACGTCCTGTCATCGTCGAGACTCTTGTTGATCATGCTGGTCGCCTCTCGCCAAAGCTGCGCCCTGTCCCGCTTCATCGTCTTGACCGAGGCCCAGATGAGCTTGCTCGCCGCTTCCAGCGGCTGCTCCCTGACAGCGTCGCCCGCAGACCATGCCGGCCCGCTCTTGACATACACGGCCGAGCGGCCCGTCGTATGGAAGCCCAGGCTTGCGTACAGTGGCGCGCCGGCATCGGTGGCCGAGAGCCAGACGGTGGAGCAGCGCGCCTCCCTGCACTTGTCAAAGGACCATTGGAGCAGCTTCTTGCCGATGCCCTTTCGTTGGTACTCATCCTTGACGATCAGACAGCCAATGTAGCCGCGCTTGTCGTCTGGCGACGAGAGGGCTGGGAAGATGACGAGATTGATGAGGCCGCAGAGAGAGCCCGTCGACGCATCGGTGGCAGCGACAAAGTTGGACGAGGGACTGCTCACCAGCACGTCCAGGTCGGGCTGGATGAAGGGCCACTTGTGCTGGTCAAGGATGATGGAGCTGGCCTCCTTGAATTCATCGTGCGAGATGGGCCGGATCTTGATGTCTGACATGGCTCTCGGCGTCGGACAAGACCAACGGCAGTCGAGGCTGACGGCAGTCGAGGGTGCTGTTGCAGAGGAGTCACAAACGCATCAAGAAGGCAAACTTTGATTTTTGATGCGCTTCTTTCCCGACCGGACTCGCGCCGACTAAATAGAATCCTTGGTTGTTCCTGGCCCACTCTTTGTCTCTGGCGCTAGCAATGATACACTACTGTAATACCCGATATGTTCTCCACTTTTTGACCGACCTCTGCCCTGCTGCTTGGCGGCGCAGCCGTGCGTCTCTTTCTGGCCTCTAGCCTCATACACCACGCCAGTGAGCACCGCCTCGTGGACTTCCATGCGGTATTCCTTGTGACTTGCTGCCGCATCTCCTTCTCCGAGACAAGGCGACGTACGTCATTGATCACCGCGGGAGAGGGGAGCAGATAAATCCCAACGATCTTTAAAAGCGACTTTGCTGCATCTGAGCTTCCCCAAGTAACAAAACCCACCCATCAACCCATTCGACATGACCGACACGGCCTCGATCTTTTCGACGACGGAGACGCTCGTCGACTGGCGTGACGCCCACGCGCTCCTGGCGCGGGATCCCTCCGACGAAGGATCGTCGCGTCTGCTGAGTGTGCCCGAGCTGTACGCCACCATCCTCGTCTCCTTCCACCTCTACAAGCCCGACGTGGACCAACTCACTGCCGCAGGATTCCCCACCGTCATTGCCCGGGGCTCAAAACCAGTCCAGTCGTCGAGCGGATCGACCTCGAACGGTGGTTTCTTGCCCCTCGGAAGGAAGCGCTACCAGGTCCAGATCCCGCTCTTGGCCCTGGACGATCGCCAGACAAAGCACCTTGCCAACCCGACCTCGTGGCAGGAGGCCCGCCAGCGCGCCGCCGATGCTGGCCTCCGCCGCGGGCTAGGCTCCACCTACACGCTCCTCGAGTCGATGCTGGCCGAGCTCGTCAACTACCGCGAGCGGCCGATGCTTCATCAGGTCCTCCGCCTCCTCTTCTACGGCTCCGACGTCCGGTCGCCCGCCCTCTTCTACCCGGCCCACCTGGTGCGGCGCGTGCCCAAGTGGGCCACCTGCTCCAGTGACGCGGCTCGCAGGGAGGTGGCGGCAGCCTCGGCCGGCGTTCGCTGGGCCACACTCCTGATCCTCACTGCACCGCTCGACGGGTCGCGCTCCAACGTCGTCTCCAAGGAGCGGGAGAAAGAATACTTTGAGGACATGAAGAACAATCAGAGCCACAAGTTCAGCCCGGACACGGACGAGGCGGCCCAGCGTCGCTTCGAGGGCACCTTTACGCCGACGGCCGCAGCAGAGGAGAAGCTCCAGCGGATCCTCGATACGCTTCAGAGCAGGGGCGCCCTCTGGACTGCAGCGGGGCACGATACCAACAAGACGATGCGCAACGAGGACCCATCCAAGAGGCCTGCCTTTCTTGTTCAAGGTCTTTTCCCCGAGGTGTGTTTTGCGTGTCTCTCTCTCTTAAGTTTTGCAAGCTCAGACGAGTCTTTTCACCCAGGCAATGCTGGACAGATTCAAGGACTACCACCGGAGTAGTATGACGCCCATGTCATCGGACCTGTCCGAGGAAGCAAAGAGCAAGCGTGCTCCACTCCTCCTCGACCCCGTCTCGTCCGCCGCATCCACATCCACGGCCGATAAGGAGGACCGTGCACCGGACTCGGCCCACATCGAAGACGGCCTCGAGGGGTGTGCAGTCCGCGTCGTGCCCGAGCCATTCAAGACTGGTTCACCCTGGGAGGCTGGCGGGTCAGCGGCCGTCTTCATGGGCGCAGGTGCAGGAGCAGCGGGTGGTGGCTTTTGATTCTTGCAATACGATCAAATTACAGTGAGGCTTCTGCGCGACTAAAGTGCTTGAGGATGCGTGCGATGAAGGATATACATTGTCAATGCTAGAAGACGATGGAGAGAAAGGGAAGCAAGAGGGGAAGCAAGAGATGCAGCTCAGGAGAGGACGAGGGTGATGGGCTCCGGACCGTCGTTTTGCTCAACTGTGACGATGCCCGTCTTGTCGTCGACGAGGACCGACGACCGCTCGGCCCGGTAGTCGTTGGGGTCGCCGAGGAGGTCGAGCTCGGTGACGGAGCCCGTCTTTCGTGCGCGGAAGAGCTGCCGCCTGAGGGCGTCGCCCGTCTGCGTCGCGCAGTCTTGGATCTCGATGGTGCTTCTCCCGCTCGCCAGCGTCGCCGTCAGGCAGCTCGGGCTCGAGTTGTCGTTGGCGGGCTTAAGCAGGGCGTAGGGCCCTTCATTGGCCGGGTAGCCGTCGGCGGTGCATTCGTAGAGGATATACTGCTGTGCACCCTCGCTCGCCGCCAGGATCTTGTCGCTGTTGAGCGAGACAGTCTTGTTGAAAGCTGGCGCGCCGTAGCCACCGGCTCCGAGACGCACTGCAGAGAGGCTGCCAGAGCCTGCCTCGTGGCACTGCACGGCTGAGCTGCGCCTCATCGCCTGCGTCGTGTCTGCAGCGTAGAAGGGGTTACCCGTCGGCCGGGCCAGGCTGGTCGAGGCGATGGCAGCGATGCCGAAGAGGTAGAGTAAAGCAGCGACCATCGTCGTCTATGTCTGTGAAGCGGCTGGCGTGTGTCTGTCAAGTTGCTTGCGAAGACAAGTTGGGATAATTGCTGAGAGACTGAAAGCTCATTTCTGCCTCTGTTATATACTTTTGCACCACCAGGCACTCTAACCTCTAGCTATGCCATTGTCGCCGCAACCCCGCTTTTGAAACGAACGAGCAGTGATGGCGGCTCCCCCCTTGTCATTCCAATTGGGCGTCCAATCCAACGACGGGACGCGCAACTCCGGAGAAAATTTCTAGCTGCCACTCCCTCCGTTACCTGCCATTGAGCCCTGCCGATTGCAAGTCTGCATTTTCGGGTTCCATAGTCTTATGTGCGTGGGTTCGACGGGCGAAAACACCAAAGGCAAGGGTGTCCTCACTCGTGAACAGTGTGTGCACACCCTTAGCTTGAACACGTACTGCCACTGTGAATTGAATGATTGATGGGATATGACACAAAGATGCGGCGGAAAAAAAATAGACGGAAAGAAAGAAGAGAGGCTACCATCCAAAGCTCTCTCGGACGAGGGCAACTTCAACGACGTTTGATAGTCGTCCCCTCAAGAGGTCCGACTGGACACTGGCAACCGAATCCTGTACCTCGTGACTCATCTCCTGAGGCCCGCACACTACGACTGCGCGGCTCTCCTGCATGAAAGAGGTCGCGGGTGCACGAATGGCCTCGTCGACACGTGCAGTCACTTGCGGCCTGCCCAAGTGAGCATCGCATCCCTGCAAGATGGGCAACTCCTTCGAAGCCGACCGGGTCACATGGACATCGGCCCTTACTGTGATGCCGTACGATGCGAGGGATGTCAACACTGCTTCCAGCTGGTGTCTGATCCAAGAAAGTGTCGCTGTCGAGGTGGAGCTGGTTAGAGTTATCCTGAGAAGCAAAGCAAATCCTCCTCAATTGGCAGAGGAACTTACCTGGTGTCCGGACGGAGCAGATTAGGACGACGTCGCGGGTACAGACGTTACCCGTCCTCCCTCGCCATGCAAGATCGAAGAGGATGGGAAGCGCAAAGGTCATACCAGAGCCGCCAGCGACAATGACGAGCGAGTGGTACGAGGCCATGCTGGCGCTACAGCCATATGGACCATCGATGGAGGCCGGAAGCAACTTTGCCTTGGTTGGGAGATTCTCGTCGTCGTGTCCCTCGTGCTCGCTGTTCTCAAGGAGAGGCAACGCGTCGGAAGACTTGAAGCTGCTCCCGCCCTTTTCAATGGCGTCGTCATCGCCCTGCTCGCGGTCTTCCTGTACGACTCGCTCGTAAAGCTTCCTCGTCAGTCCCTCTCGCACACGCGCAAGGAAGACGACGACCGAATCCTGGTGGTCGCTGGGTTGGGGCAGGGTGACAACGGTGAATGGATGCGCTTGCCAGGGCGACATGGTGTGGAAACGGACAAAGACGTGCTGTCCTGGGGACCATCTCAGTGGCGTCCGGATGGCGATGCGAACCATGGCGTCGCGTTTGTCGGAGCTGGAATGAACCTCGACGGAGGCTCTCGTCGAGACAAAGTACCCGCTGGCCATGGCCGATCGAGCCCATCGAATCAAGGTCGCAAGACCCCAGAGGCCAATGGCAGCCCACAGCCACAACCAAGAGTTGAGCTCGTTTCCCGTGTGAGCAAAGTAGAAGCCGATAAAGAGAATGACGGAGACGAGGTGCTGCACCACGAAAAACTCGTAACTCCACGATCGAAACACATTCGTCGATGATGCCACAATCCAGGCAAGCAGGGCTAGCGATACGGTCCCGTTCCACATCTCTGGCCCGTTGTGGTACCACCAGAGATAAAGGTTGTGGCTGCCGCCGTCACGCAACGGCTGAACAATGAACGGGATGGTGTGGACGACGGAGAAGAAGAGCACAAGACGCGCCAGCCACTGGTGGTAGACCTGGAGACGCTCGTGGGCGATGTTGGTGAGGGCCGTGACGAGGTTGACCTTTGTGCCGAATGCAAAGACAAAGGTGATCATGCCATTGGCGAGCATGCCAGCACGGATGGCCAAGGGAGGCGAGCCCCATTCTCGCGTGCAACGGTAGTAGGGCGTCACGGCAAAGCACCAGACGATCATGCCGATGGAGAATGAGGCGATGACGAGAGTTTTGCCTAGATCCGGAATGTCGATGCGCTTTCCTCGCCCAAGTGGAAGGCTGCACCTTTGATACGTAATGGATCTGAGAAAGGCAGCGGTCCTGAAGTAGAAGGGCATAGATTGCAAAGTCGCCAACGCCCGCTTCGGCCATCGTCTCCTGGCCCAGCCCATGAATCCGGGCAACACGGCGACACCGATCAGGGCAAGACATACCCAAGTGACGGTCCGAGAGTACTTCTCCATGTCGTACCAGCTGTCCCTTCCTGTCATGGCGGCCATCCGAATGCTGGACGCCGGCTTCTGGTTCGAATTCGGACCGTGAACCGTCAGATTGTTACACACAGGCCATACTGACGCAGCCCATTCCGGCGTCATCTCCATCGCCATTGAGTCCATGGCGGTGTGGCTCGCCGATGGTGGTTGTCGTTGATGAGAGACTGATTGGCTCAAATAGCATTCGCCATAGTTCCAAATAGGCTCTGCGGCAGAAAAGGCGCCGAAAGTCGCTAGGGAGACCCAAAAACGCGCCGAGGCCGAGCGGTGCAGAAAAAGGAGCCGAGAAAACAAACCACCGGCATGATGCGACAGATTTCTAACATGGGCGGCATTTCTCCATTAGATCGAGTGGCCAGACTGGCTTCAGCCACGGAAGATTGGCATCAAAAGATCGCCTTTGCGGAGGGAGAGACCCACGTTGGTTCGTCAGACACGTAGCGTTATTCCAATTAGTCACTCAATATATAGGTTACAGAGTATAGTGATAATACCGGAGGGGGTTTAGCTCATCGGCAGAGCGCTCGCTTAGCACCTTTCTTCTAGGCTTGCGAGAGGTGACGTGTTCGACTCATGTATCCTCCATTTTTTTTCTCATTTTATTTTTTTGTGAATTCGTTGCTACATGTATCCTTACAAGTCATCTTCGAGGCTGGGCCCATACTCTGGCAGGCTACGGGCAATGCGAGAGCATCTAGATTGCGGAGTGCTTCGGAGGACATGGCACGCACGTCGTTTGAGATGGTATATCAAGACCTGTTGATGATCGACCTGTTGATGACCGCATGACCATAGTCCGAGCCAAGCTCTTTGTGAGGGCGGAGGATGATGCGCAGCCGAGCTCCATTGCCGCTTACGGTCACTGAACTCGAGGGCTGTAACAGGTGTCCTGATAGTTACGTCAACCTCCTTGCGCGACAAATCCGATGTCAGTCACTCAATTAACAACATTTTGCGATGTTGAAGTCCGCTCTTGTCCCCGACTGGGCGGGGACAGGAGACTCACGCCTTCCGCTGGTCCCCATTTTTTAGTCTTTGCCGCGATCGACAATAGAGGAGGTCAGAGGGATGATTCTGCTTCACATCCTCGACTTAGGACATCGCAGCGCGAACAGAGTAGTCCACCTCAACGATGGTCGACGATTCAGCCTGGATCTCCTTCGTGCAGTCAGCCAACAGGGCTGAGCTCGACGAAATCTTTCGCTACCAGACAAACTACAAACTTCTAGTGGTGAGTTTCTCATACATAGTGTCTTCAGAAACGAGCGCTGATGGGGCATTGTAAGCAAAGATGGCAACAGCCATGGCGACGACGTGTGCTATAGTAGGTCCACTCGTCACGCCTTCCTCGCATGCCAACAGGATGACTGGCTGAATGAGACTTCCTCCGAGCAAGCGCGGCTATGCTCTCTGGATCAAATCGGAGATTATGGCATTGAGGCTGCTCATTGTACGTCTTTCCCTTTGCCTTTCTCGCTTAGAGCTTGTGTCCGCTGACACCGGGTCGCACTTCTCTCAGGGGAAGCGAACCTTCCGGCTGGCTCAAGCCTTGGTCATCATTGTCCACTACGCCGTTCTGGCCATCACAGCACTCTTTTGGACGCTACTCTGGGCCAAGTCTGTCCCGTGTCAGGCGGTGCTGTGGTCCATATGGACCATTTATGTGGCTGTGTGGGCCATGAGCAATGGGGTGAGTAAGCTCAACGAGCAGAGACACGTAAGACCACCTATTCTGAGGCGAACATTTGAGATCTTCCTGCTTCGCATCCATGCTCTCTACAACCGCAGAAGGAAAGTGATGCGCTTCTTCTTCGTCGTATACTTTCTGGGTCTCTTGCTCTGGGTGAGTCGTCTTCTTCGCCTTGTTTGAGCGGAGAGAGCAGGCATTTCTGATGCAAAGAGAGAAGAGCACCGCCGTGCCCAACTTTCATGCTAAGGTTGCGCCACCTCACCTTCAAGCGCATCATCTTCCGCACTGTCGGCTCGAAAGGCTGCCTTATGAAGCCGCATACGCCTGGACGCTATCCTTCTTCTTCGACTTTTCCGTCGTGGTCGCCATCTGGCTCGCCTACCGAGGGAACGAAGTGTTTGCGCCTTTTCCTCCAGATCATCACCTCGCTCACCTCAATTATGACGACGAAGACCAACACGAGGATGATGGTGTTGTCGTAAGCCACCGCGGAAACTCAAGGGAGCGCCTTCCCTCTGCTCGAGGTTGGCTCTACAAGTCCAACACCAACTACTTCAAATACACGGCCTTCTGGAGCATCGTCTGCGCCTGTTGGGCCATCTCCATGTCGGATGAGTGGTTGAGTCACCTGATTGCTCCAGTCGCGATCGTCATGCACGGCCTCAGTACAAAGAAGATTGTCCTAAGCGTGCATCTCGACTCATTTGCACTCAAATTCCGCAGGCAACGTGATGGCGAAGAGAGCAATGACGAGGACATCGAAGGGGAACACGAGCGAGGCGCACGACTCCACCTAAGAAGGGCAAGGAGGCAGGCACGGGAAGCAGCACTTCGACAGCATCAAGACAGAATTGGCATTGACGACGACTACTTCGACAGCAGTGATGATGACTTTGAGCGGGAACGCGGTCCACGGCTGTTTCAGAAGTGGAATCGGCTCAAGAGGCAGGTCAAAACGGTGTTCGACGATACTTTCATGCCCACGTCTTGGCAGCACGGTGTGTACAACGGGCTTACGCCCACGATGGGCCACCCACTTCAGGAGAGGAGCTTGCGGGCCTGGGAAAGTATAAACACGCATCAGAGGGACGCATGCCGGCATGAACACGACAGACATGATTATTGGAACGGGAGGAGCCACGAAGAGGGAAGCAGGCGGGAAAACAGATCCACCCTCGCGGACCCCACAGCAGCCAGCGCAACACTCGCTCTTTTCCCGTACGAATTGTCGTCCGAACAGAGTCACTCTAGGGAAATGCGCATCGATCTTATTCTAAACGGTCTGTTGCACCCGAGTTCATCCTGTGGAAAAGAAGATCACACCGCGGCTGAGGGCCGACCCGGAATGCTCTCTACACTCTCAAATCTAAGGACGTCGACTAGAAGGCAAGGACTGGAGCTTCGGCACAGAGACGCATCCACTTGTCGAAAGCCATCCACGTCGAACCTGAACAAAGAATTGGATCAATTGCAGCTGCAAAGTAGGTCGCTCGACGGAATTTCGTCTCTCGGCTACCCGCCGACCACTCCGACCTACCCCCTTTCAGGCTCAGCCGAAGCCAGGAAAAGCAAGCTCTCTGCATACGGTCAGCAGACGGACGAAGGCCGCACTTTTACGACACGCGAGAAGGGCGTAAATCACATGGGGAAGCCTATACCCCTCATGCCCACTTCGCCATCTTGGACGTCTTCCAGGCGGTTGGAGAAGCAGAAGGCCTGTGGAGACCCAGCCTTCACTTCTTCAATCCATGCGATGCCGCTGAGGAGGAGGAGAAGGTCCTGGACAGAGACACCCACCTGGAGAACCGACTGGGCGCTTCTCCTGTCCTACGAAATGGGCCGCCTGAGCCAGGAGCAGCTGGACCGGTACTGTTGAATCTATAGCGAGGTCTTCATTGCGAGCAGTAAGTGACACGTAGACATAAGGGGGCTTCAAGAGAGAAGGAGCAATATGTAGAAGATTAGCGAAAAAGTGAAATGAGAAGAACAAAGTCTAAATCACTGAGGTGACCAGACGATACCGCCCCTTGCCGTGTCTCCGGTCTCGGCCAAGTCGAGGACGCGCTGAAAGTTGTCGAAGCCGGTGAAGAGCTTGTCTTGGAACTGCTTGAGGCTAAGCATGCCGGTCTCGATGAGGCGAATGAGCTCGTGAACTTCCTGGGCCGTGTACATGTACTTTGTGTGGATGGAGATGTCCTTGAAGATGAGCTCGCCGTAGTTGATGGAGATGCCGGTGGGGATGAAACCCATCCAAATCATGCGGCCGCCCGCCTCGAGGGCCTTGAGGCCAGCTTGGATGTGCAAATGAGCCGTAGCCGTTGCGGAGGGCGGGGACATATCGAAGAAGATCTGCAGACCATTGGGTGCGGCCTGCTTCATCTGTTCGGCATCCTTTTCGATGTCGCCCGTCAGTGCCACGCACACGACGCGGTCAACGTAGCGAGGGTCGCATGATTTGCGCCATTCCGCCAGCTTGTCGGCGTTCCGACCAAGCGCAACGATGCGACCAGCGCCCATGGAAAGTGCAACATCGATGGCCGCTCCCCCAAAGCTTCCCGTTGCAAAGGCGACGGCAGCAGTCTCGCCAGGCTGGAGTTTGGCCAACTTCCAGCCCTGGTAAGGCGTGGCGAGCTTCTGAATGTTGATGAGGTCCTTAGGTTGGTAATTGTTTGAGCTGCCCATGAGGACCTTTTCGTCGAGGACAAATGCATTCTCAAGCGGCACAACGAGCTTTTCCGCCCAGGTGCCGTCCCTCCAGGCGTCGACAAGCTTGTTCGTCTTTTCATCGTAGCCGTGGATCATGTTCTGCAGATAAACGGTCTGCGAATCGTCGCGCGCACGGACCGTTGGGTCGACGTAGACGAGCTGACCGGGCTTGAGGCTGACCGAATCGGATCCAACGGCTTCGATCCGGCCGATGCATCCTCCGCCGGGGACACAGTCAGGCTTGAAAGGGAATGGACTCTTTCCCGCGACAAGATTTTTGTGCAGGTTGCCGATGCGGACCGACAAAACCTGAACGAGGGCTTGGCCGCCCGTAGGCTTTGGCGTAGGCAGCTGCCTGCGCTCCAGGCCTCGATCGAAGGACTGGAGCCAGAGGGCCGTGTAGGTTGAAGTCGACGACATTGAGTTCAGCAGGTGCGGAGTCTGAAGATAGCAGGCTTGATATGGTGCAGAGCGTGGTGGATCTCTCGGACTCGCCCTGAAGGAGAAGTGAGTAGATGAGTGGCTCTTGTGTTTGTGTCTCTGCCTTCTTTGGTCCTTCTCCCCTTTTTATACCTTTCCATGTCCTCCCCGCTCTCATGATCTCGTTGCTAATTCCCGCGGGAGAAAAGTCTTCTCCGGGAGGAGCCTCACGTCGGACATGACAAGTCTTAATTCTCTGCCCGGGAAGTCGTGCTGAGGCACGGAGTTCCTGTGACGAACACCAAGCTAGATCGGGGAAACACGAACTCCGTGGGAAAAAAAGTCTAAAAGAGCTCGCCGGAGAATCTCATCTGCTTTCGGACAAAACTTGCTGCGCGTTTTAAGTCCGATACATGTCCGGAAAGAGTGCTTCGGGAATTTGTCACTCTCTGCGGTATCTTTTGGGCGCCACCCCGCGGACGTCTGCAATGACTTGAGCTGCAACAATACGGCCCTGATGACCAGTTCATGTAATGAAGCGTTGTGAGCGCTGAGTCTCTGGTTAGTCCGATGAAGCAAAAAGCGAACGCACCATCATTCGAGCCAAGTTGGGCGAAGCACCGCCAAAGAAGACATGCGGATCTGTCTTGCGAATGAGCCAACACTTCAGCAGTAGCATCGCGGACTAGGTCACTCACGACCTGAGTCAGTATAATAGCCGGGATGTTCGCCCTCTTTGTCGATGCCAAACTTGCCAACATCGATGAGCATCGATGCGGACTCGGGATCCATGAATCCAGTCTGAGCATAGCTTTCGGGAATATTTTCCGCCTCATATGCTGTGGCATAGATGACAGCATCGGCCTTCAAGTTCTCCTCACGTCCCTCGTGATGGATGAGCAAGCCATCTGGCGTGTAGGCTTTTGCGTCTCCGCGGGCGATCTTGATCTAACACATTCTTCTGTCAGCTTGTGGAATCAGTCTCTCACTGAAGCTATGAGTTCTTCCTACCTTGCCCGCTAGAACGAGATCAAAGGCTCTCGTTTGGTCGGGATAGTAGCCACCAGCACGCTTTTCTACAAGGCAGGTGACAAAGCACGGCGTTCGGTTTATCATATAGTTTCCTTTGTGCTCCAGCTCGTCGCACCTCTCGCGACGAGCTTCGAGGATACTGATGGCCATCTTGGCGAAGTTGACCTTTTTCACTGCCAGCGGAGTCGCTCCCACCATGTCGGCTGCATGGATGGGCATTGTGCCATCAAATGTGGCTGTGTGAAAAGGAGATTATTTGAGCCTGTGTGCGATACATAAGGGCCAAAGTGTACACCCACGAAAGTAGAGCGACTCCATGGCTTCCCAGTCCATGATGCACATCGGGCTTCGTTGCACCATTGTCAGGCTCCTCGGCGCTCCCTTGCGGACAATATCGCTCGCGACGTCGTGACCCGAGGCGCCGATGCCGACAACGACGACATGCTTGTCATTATAGGGATCTGGCGAACGATAGGAAGATGTGTGGCTGATGTTCCCACCGAAGAGCTTTTCGTCCCGGAGCTTAGGAATCGCCGGTCGCAGATCGTTGATGTAGTAACTTGTGCACAAAACTAGGTTTCGACACTCTATCGACACGGTTTGTCCTTTGTTGACTTCATCGGAGAGCTGAACGAGCCAGCGCTGCTTTTGCTTGTCAAAGTGCGTCTTCTCTACGGACACGCCCGGATACGTCGGCAATCGAAGCTTCTCAACGGTCAAGTGATGGTATCGCTGGAAGTCTTTGGCCGGCATGTACTGCGGAAATTCGTGGGGGACGGGAGACTGAGCGAGCTGCATTTGAAATTTTGGGTTCTGGAGAATCAGTGGCGCATATCGAATCTTTCCCCACTTGTCCCCAATGGACGGGGTGGTCTCGACGGCGAGCGACTTGACGCCGGCCGATTCAAGCATGATGAGGCTGTTGAGACCGCCGGTCCCTGCTCCCACAACAAGGGCGTCCAGGCTGAGGTTGGGCGGAGGTAGGCCATGGTAATCTGGTCTTCCTCGCTCGATGCCGTCATCTTCGTTAGTGCCACTGGAAGCGTGTTCTTGGAGTCGATTTTGAGGTTCTCGGAAAGGACTGCCTTCTAGCTCGATGATCATTGTGACGAGCTGCCAAATCTTCCACTCGACCTCTCCACGCTCATCACAGATGGGCACAAGGTAGAGAGTACCGACGCACCTGCAATCAGGTGCCTCAGTCGAGAATGTGAAACAAGTGGTGAGATATGCAAGCTCGTCCGACGAACGCTTGTATGTCGTCGGCATCCAGTTGGCAGTCGGCTCGAAACATCGAGGTCTGCGACTAGGGTAGAGGTCTCGCCATGCTTCGACAATCTCCTGCGAGCCCGAGATCGTTCGTTTGTCCCAGGTCAGTGTCAACCAATCCTTGAACCAGCTTTCTCCGACAAACAAGCTCGAGAAGACTTCCCAATCTTCTCGAGCGAGGGTGTTGCCAAACTTTGCAATGGCTTCTTTTGAAATGGCCGCAGGATCGATATCGTCCTCCCCGTCGAATCGAGGGACATTCGGAAACGTCGCGACGAGGTCTTTGACGGCAATTCTTGCTCTATCTGGCATGAATGGGGCTTGAGGAAGCGGAGATGGTACTGGCGTACCGATAGAGAGGCTGCATTCGAGAAGTTGATCTCTGATTCTTCGCAGGACAAGAAATCAAGCGCACCTGTCATGCAGACATTCATCGAGGCTCATGGGGCCGTCCATCTATATATTCTCTCGCCTAAATCTTTACTTACGACTTCAAACGCCCAAATATTGTGTCGAGATGGTCCCTGTCAGCGTCCGCGCAGATCAATGAGTAGAGCGCAGAACGGAACGAGACGAAGCAAAGTCGCTGAACGTTGCAGTCAGGACAGCAAAACACGCATCACAGGGGTCCGTGCGAGCAGCGCGAGTGCAGCTATGGAGAAACGTCACTCTTCACGTTTTGAGCAATTTCGGGAGCACCCTTTCTTAACTCACTCTTGACTCTTAGTCGGCACAACCAACTTTTCCAGAGAGCAGAGGGAGCAGAGAAAGAATCGGATAGAGAAGAGAAGATATCGTAAATAGAGTGACTAATCATGACACGCGTGAATGTCTTAGGCTCTCCTCAATTGTAGAAGATCAGGCCCACTTCCCTAATGTCACACTTCTCTGTACTCCTCGACAAGTATCTCTTTGCCAGAATGAAAGAGTGAGCGACTATAAGAAATGTCAAGAGCTCCAGACACTTACGGTGTACTGCAATGCCCCGCTCTTTCAACTTTCGCGTAAGCACATACGGCTCGTATACGGCTTTCAGTGCGACAGTTCTCGATTCTAAGCTCCTCGTATAATCTCTTGAGGCGGCAGTGGCTGTATTCAACTTGGTTGTATGGTCGGTGTTCGAATCTGCAAGCTTGACCAGCGCCTCTTTGAGTGCGCTCACTGCGCTCACTGCACTTTCCACAGCTTCCGTTGCGTTCGAGAGCGTTTCCTTTTCCCTTTCCAATCTTCTCGTCTCTGCCTTCAGCCTTTTAATTTCCAACTCGAGCCTGTCGTTTTGTTTCTTCAAATCCTCTGTGGCGATTTCTTTTACTCCTGCAAGTAAAAGTTTTTTTTTGCCATTGACTTGAGATCCATCGTGTTGTACATATCGGCGACGAATTCGCGCGAAGGCTGCTTTGTTCTCTTGCGTTTCTGTTCCAAAAAGTTCTGGTAGAACGTCAAGCACGCACTTCAACTCTCCTTCAGCTTCGATCGCAGTTTCGTATATGCCATTAGCGCCACCACTAAAATTGGTCCTTGAGAGTTGAGCAACCAACCGATCCCCCAAGAGATGAGCTGGAAAGTTCCCTTGGGCTTCTTGGTGAAGGATATCACAACGGATGCAGTGCTCCAACGCACTCCTACGGTTGCTCAACAAAAACTCGCAATTGGAACACGCTCGCGGCGTCTCACCTCGCCTCGGATTCCTTCACAGGACCGCTTCGTAGCATATTGTTGGCATCGAAGCCCCTGGTACTCGTCAGTCAACGGCTGCTCCATACGGCACTTCGCGATGCGCTCACCATTCCACCGAAACACATAGCAAGATTGTGCGCCTGTCCAAATGGATCTCGACATCGTGAAAAGTGTGCCATTTGTGCTAAAATTAACGGTTCTAGTCAGCGCTAACGAAATAAATGTAATGTCTTGCCACGAACTTGAGGGTCGACGAGGTGCAATGTTTCCCTGGAGCGATCGACCAGAGTGAGTCCAGTAACATGTTCGCCACAATAGATTCCTTCCTCGTTGACTTTCAGACGGATGCCGATCTTTTCGGGCGGTACCCGCATGCAGGGAAACAGACAACAAAATGGGGCGCAAAAGAGTCGGCGGCAGAAGTTCATGCTGGGTATTGTCAGCTCGCCAATCTTCTTCAACATAGGCTTCACCGAGAATTTGGGTGTCTTCGGACATTTGCAGCTGTCCATGTTGTTTGATCACTTGGGGAGAGAGATGCGTATGAAGTCAGTGGCCCACGAGTTCCTCTGCTATTTTATTCACCTTCCCATCTTCAGACAAGATCATCTGCCTGAAACATCTTTCCCAAACTTTATTTCATCGTAGTCCCGCGCTTCATTTTTTTGGCGCTCCCGAGGGGTCAAGCTAATCCTGAAGCTGTTCCCACATCATTTTTTTTAGGCTCCGATCACACTATCGACCGCCCGAAGCTACCGTTTGCCCGGACGCTGCTCTCGATTAGTACCGCCACCCATATTGGCTGGTCTTCTTTTCGCGACACCTTGCAAAGGAACTTCTCGAGATGTCACAGGACGAAGAAGAAGACAAGGTACGGTACGCCTATAAGGAGCCATCATTTACCGATGTCAACCGTGCAAAGGGCAGATTCACGCTAGATCTGTGCGAAGTCACATTTGTGCAAAGAAGCTGGACGAGCGGATGTTAGTAAGAGCTTCACAGGAGCGGCTCATCTGCTCATTCGCTCACAAAAGAAGGAAAGCAGGGGCGAGCATGGAACATGTCAAAGAGGAAGAGGTCAAAGAAGAACGCAAACCCATCGAAGAACTCGCCTTGTTTCACGAGACAGTAGGGCATTTGGCCGGTAATCTCTACGAGCTCTCTGTCAAGCTCAATGATCTAGGAGGTTCCAACTCATTCGCATATTCCGCCTACATCCTTGGTTTGTGGCTCTTTAGGCTTTGGCGTCTCATCCAGCTGCAGGGGGAAGCCTTCGAGCGGAAACATACGCGCTTGCAGTCGTCGGAGGAGGAGAGAAATCGTCGGGTGGTCACCCTGATTTCGACGATTGCACGCTACGCCACCGCTTCGTTGAAAGATGATGACGACGATGGGTTTATTCAAAAGACTCCATACGAGGAAGAGGGAGCGAGGAGGCACGAAAAGGCACCGTCTCTTTCGACGAGGCACCTTTTTGAGCCGGGGTATGATGCCTGGAGAATCGAGAAACCATTCGAAGAGGATGAAAAACGCCGATTCACCCAAGGACAACTTGAAAGAAACATGCGCATTTGCCTGAGATGCGTCCGAAAAGAGATCCGAATTCTGGAACAAGATGTCAACACCATGCACGTCGTGCGGCATCGACCGGCATTTCAGTCCTTTCGAGTGTCGCTCGATAAGACTTTCGATGAGTTCGAACGCCCTTTACTCAGTAATAGCCACACACTCAAGACGAAAGACTTGAGGCGTTTCACACGGGCCCTTGCAGAGTGTATTGAGAGGCTGGCCGTCGTAAACGAGTCGGGGGTCAAGCGTGCCAGGGCAGCTCAGCTAGCAACACTTGACACATTGCGCAACGAAGGTATCATTGTAGGTGTCATCTTTCGCTTAGCTCTCTCCGTCGGATTCCTCATCCATTCCCTCATAGGCCGGTCTCATCTTGACCACGGCCGCATCAGCACTCGCTCTCGTCGTCAGCTTGGAACGCTCCGCTAGGCCCGCAATCGATACTGCCGCCTTCATCCTTTTCGAAAGTAGCACCATCCTGAGCTTATGGGCGTCTCTCCTCTACATGCTTAGTTCCGTGCGACTGTCACATTCGCTAAGCAGACCATTCATGCCTTGGGGTCGGTCCTTTTACCGATGGGCGCTGGTGTACGTGCTACATTGGGACACTCTCACGAGGGTTGTAAACGCTCTATCGGTGTAAGTCCGGCTGTGGACATGCTTTCTGCTCCAAAATTTGACGATCTTCTGCTGCAAACAGCCTTTCGCTCATAGTCGGTTTCAATTTCGTCTCGGTTTCTCACGTTCATCGCAACAGCATGGACGCCCAGCCAGGAGCTGGAATGTCGATGTCAAAAGACGTCTACTTCAATGGCCTTTCCAAGCTCCAGCAGAGGGCATCTATCTACGTTCCCGTTGGGCTGTCAGGCATCGCAATATCTCATCTGGGCGGCCGCTTCGCCTGGCACTTTTTTTGGGAGTACGCCTACGCTTGGAGAATCTGGAAGCGGTACAAGGCGGCGCTGGCGGGAGACGACTCCAAGAAGGTCAACAGACTGCGGCACTGTCACCCCTTTTTTGAGGCAGCTTATGACTTCTTTGCATGGCTACCAAACTTAATCGACAGGAAGGTCTCAGGCAAGGCACATGTTGAAGCTTGATCCTCTTCCTACAATTGACATCATTGGATACGATGCGAGAAGGCTCGTCTGAACACGTTATGTGTCAGGCGACAACAAGAATGATCGAATGGTCTGGTGTTGTGTCAGGCCAGGCCTATATGACCGACAGCGACTATGTCAGAGAGAGGAAATCGTGATTTGCAATGAGGCACCTGTCAATTACTCCGCGGTATTTACCCACAGCCGGTGGCAGCTGTCTAATCTCCCCCACATTTAACACATTTAAGAAGCCAATGGTCTTGTGGGGGATCGTGCCTGGTCAAATCTTCGCCCCCCCTCACTCAACTTTGTTTTTGAAAGGAAGCAGAGATGATGGACACAGTGACGGACCTGGTCCGATGCGTCGCTTTAGTGGGCGTCGTGGTCGCTCTGTTGTCGCTTTTGCGGAGCCGTCGGGCGGGGGCCCGCCTCCCACCTGGCCCGCCCGCGTCGCTGTGGAGTGGCGCGTCTTACATCCCCACCCAGCATCCCTGGCGAAAGCTCAAGGAGTACACCGACACCTACGGCGACCTCGTCACCGTCCAACTGGGTCATGGTCGCCACCTCTTTGTCTGTGGCACAGCCACCTCGGCCGATGCGATCCTCAACAAACAGAGCGGCGCAACCAATGGCCGACCGCACCTTATCATGGCGGGCGACCTCCTCTCGGGAGGAAAACGGCTCCTGATCATTGATCATGGCGACCGCTTTCGCAAGTACCGCAAGATCATGCACGAGTCCCTCAACAACACCGTCGCCGTCAACTACGAGGGCATTCAGGAGAAGGAAGCGACCCTCACTCTCGAGGCCATCGGCCAGGACCCCGGCAACTTTCGACGCCAATTTGGTCGTTATGCAGCCAGTGCGATCATGACCATCACGTACGACCACCCCGTACGCTCCCTTGATGACCCGCTCGTGGTCAGAGTCAATGAGTGCCTGGGCGCGCTGGGCGAATGGATCAACCCAGCCGCGTCACCCCTCGACTCGTATCCGATCCTGCGATACGTGCCCACGGCCATCAACCCGTGGAAGAAGCTCGGCGAGAGATTGCACAAACGGGAGTTGAACCTCTTTCTGGAGGTGTACAGAGATGTGCGCCGTCAGGCACAGGCGGGAAAAGCCCAGACGTGCTTTGCATCACAGCTGCAGGAGCGTCAGCAGGAGTACGGCCTTTCGGACGAAGAAGCCTGCTACGTCGCTGGCAGCCTCTTTGGTGCAGGGTGAGGCTCCTCGGATTCTTCTTTCCGACTTCTCTCTGCATCTTCATTCATTCTTATGACTGACCAACTCCCTGTGTCTTCACCAGCTCCGACACGACGGCGAGCGCCCTCGCAATCTTCGTCATGGCCATGATCACGCATCCCCGCGTCATGAAAAAGGCACAGGAGGAGCTCGATCGCGTCGTTGGACCCGGCCGTCTGCCAGCTTTCTCCGACTTTGATGATTTGGTCTACGTGCGAGCTCTTTGCCAGGAAGTCAGCCGATGGCGGCCAGTGTCCTCGGGTGGCTTCAGGCATTCCCTGACCGAAGACGTGCACTACAAGGGCTTCGTCCTGCCAAAGGGTAGTGCAGTCGTGGGCAATCACTGGTGGGTAGTCTGGGTCGACACTGGGGTTTCGTACCTTCTGACTCGTTGATCTGCCTCCAGGTCGATTCATCTGGATCCGCAAGAGTACCCGAACCCAGATGAATTCAAGCCTGAGCGGTTCCTCAGCGACGATGGTGCAAGCGTAAAGGGGACATGGTTTTCGCCAAAAGGGCACTACCAGTTTGGCTTCGGAAGGCGGTGCGTGTCGTCTCACCTCCCTCCCCGAGCCCACACTTTCAAAGCTGACTATCACGAGAGCAGAGTGTGCGTCGGATCCAATGTCGCCGAGCGGTCCATCTTCATAAACGCTGCGATGCTTCTCTGGGCTCTTGACATGCGAGCGCCCAACAACGACGTGGCAAGCGTCGACACGCTCGCATTCAACAGCGCCGCCAACTCCCATCCGCTTCCCTTTGATGCGTGAGTTCTGCCTTCGTTTCACCCCTCATCCTGTCTCTCTCTTCACTACTGGCTGATGCAAACCGACCCCCTCCTCTCCCGCCGCATAGCGACATCAAATACAGGTCCGAGCGGCACAAGGCCGTGGTGCAGGAAGCGAGATCGTCAATTGATTGACTGCTTGCTTGTAACAGTAGTAGTCTGTAACCCCAAATCAACCAGACAGTTCTTTCAGAAAGGCCTCCATGGCTTCCATGGCCTCCTGACTGCAGTTGTCATTGGTGACACCTGGGTAGAAGCTAAAGTGGCCCGAGCGAGCGGTGCCGACCTCGACGACTCGGCCGCGCGCGGCATTTTTTGCCATTTGTACAGCATCGCGTGTGGGGCAGAGGTAGTCTCTGCCTCGCGGGATGACGACGAGCAGGGGGCACTTGACTCCTGCGGCCGCTGCTCGTGGTGAAAAGGTCGGGACCTGCACCATGCCCCGCACGGCGATTCGATTGGGGCGATCTGCACCACCTGCTCCAGCACCGCCTTGCCCGGCTGATGCCTGCTTCATCTCATAAAAGCCCTGGGCGGTATCGCCCGAGGTGAGCATCCCTGGTCTCCACACGTTGCTGCGGCCCGTCTTGGGATCGAAGGGAAAGGTGATGGGTATGTAGATTGGCGGCACCCGGTTGCCAAATAAGAGACCGACCAGCCAGTCGATGTGGGCGACAACGAGCAAGGGTAGGGTCCAGATGGACAAGGTGGCAATGCAGCTCGAGATACCCTCGCTAAAAGGGTTAGCCACCATGACGCCGGCGAGACTGTGGTCCTGTGGAGCCCACTCTTGTCAACGCTCCCCATTGCCTCTTCCGTGGGTGAAAGGAAAGCCGACACCGTTCTCTCTCTCTCTCTCACCTTGGAGGCCACGACCACACTGTGTCCGCCGGAGTAGCTTGATCCGAAGAGGACGAATTTCTGCCAATGGGACCACATAGAGGTCACAATTCAACATGGGCACGTCTCACGTCACTCCTGTTTCCAGGCCCAGGACGTTTAAGAGAATCTCACCTCTGGGTCGAATCGCGCCTGCTTCTTTGCCCACGCAATGACTGTCTGGTAGTCGCGCTGCTGCGCATCGATGTCGATTATGTCCCGGGGCAGGCCCTCGCTCTCGCCGCAGCCGGCATAGTCAAACATCAGGGCCGCATAGCCGACTTTGGCAAACGCCTGGCCGTAGTCGTGCAGACCGTGTGCGACGAGGCAGGTGATGCCGTGGGCGCCAATGACGAGCGGCAGCCGCTTCGCATCGCCGCCCCTACCACCTGATGGCAAGAAGAGCCAGCCATGGAGCCGAGCCTTGTCGCTCCTGTCTGATGGTATCCACACTTCTTGTTTGGACATGGTCGATACAGAGGCGGGACTTGTGGGGTTATTACTTCGGGAGGACCTGTCAAGAGAAGCCGCGCACGGACCGGTTGGCGCACACGTGCAGAGAGTAGAGTCGTCGTTGCAGTGCGCCTTCTCTACCGCCTCTCTGCCCCAAGCAGATCTTGTCCTAGCTCGTTGTGAATTCTTCGGTGCATTGCGCCGTAGATGTGCTCAAGGTCGTAAGCTCTTCGTCCTATGATGATGCCCACTTCCTTGAGGGCCAGGATTTCTGGCGGCGTGACTTTGCTTTAATGCGCCTACGGACTTTGGCATGAGTTTGTTTCTCGGAGATAGAACAAAATCTAGGATGGTCAGAGTGTCTTCGTCTTAATTGACCGGGCAACAATTGGGTTTAAGGAAGGAGGGGGCAGACCGTGCCTCTTCGGGGACAAAGAGTGCTAGCTGTGCACCCTATACACCCGCACGATGGCACCGGACTACACACCCGTCAAGCTCGACAAGCCGATCCGGATCGGCATGATTGGCCTGTCCGGCAACGCCCTCGTGTCCTGGGGTAGCGGCGCGCATCTGCCCTACCTAGAGAGGTCGCAGGCTTACACAATCACTGCCTTGCTCAACACATCGATCGAGTCGGCTCGAGCAGCCCGCGATGCGTTCAAGCTGCCTGCCAACACGAAGCTCTACGACAGCCCTGAGGAGCTGGCCAAGGACGCAGATGTCGACCTTGTCGTCTGCAATGTCCGCGTGGACCGCCATTGGCCGCTGACGAGGCCGTCCATCGAGGCGGGCAAGGCCGTCTTTGTCGAGTGGCCGCTCGGCAAGAATCTCCAAGAGGCTCGCGCTTTCGTTGACCTCGCCCAAAGAAAGGGCATCCGCACCATCGCAGGCAACCAGGCCCGCGTCGACCCGCTGGCCCACACGGTTCGCGAGGCGATTGAGAAGCGCCTCGGCGGCCTCATCTCTGTCCATGTGCGCGCCAACACGCTCTTCCACGGGTATACGGACACCATCGACTACTTTCTCGACCGCAGCGTCGGCGGCAACTTTCTCACCGTCCACCTCGCCCATCTCTTCGACTACCTCACCTCGGTCCTTGGCCCGCTCGAAAAGGGATTCGATGCGCGCTTCAAGATCGGCCACCCCGAGGTGGACCTCGTCGACGACGAGCAGCGCACCATTCGGCGAGCCACCAAGGACGTGCCCGACCAGGTCGTGCTGCAGGGCCAGCTAGCAGACCACGCCGGCGCCCTCCTTTCGCTCCAGCTCCGCGGTGGAGCCAACTTCAAGGGAGACGCAGACGGCCTCGTCTGGACCCTGTACGGCCCAAAGGGCGAGCTCAAGATCACGCATTCAAGCTCAAACCTCAACGTCGGCACCGAGTTCCCCACGACAAAGGCCAGGCTCCACCGCTTCGACACCGACACAGTCGAGGATCTGGCCGTGGACCAGGAGCAGCCAGCGTTCTTCCGGCAGCTCCCCTTGCCGGCTAGAAACATCGCGCGCCTCTACGAGGCCTTTGCGAGGGACGATGGAAGCAGCGGAGTCGACTTTGCCGATGCCCTCCGCCTGCATGAAGCCCTCGAAGACATCTGCCAAGCGGCTGAGAAGGCTTGTAAAACTTCTCCCCGCCAAGTGTTTTCCAGGGTTGGAGAGACACAGGGACAAATTTAGACTTACTCGCGCTCACTTCTGCAATCGTCTCTTAATCGATCCAATCTCGCAGTTCATGGCAAATGCTGGTTGTAATTGCACAGGTGCCTGACGCCCTCCTTCTATGCTGCCTGATCAAGTGTGGCCTCTGCCACCCCTCCCTTGCGCGCTTCGCTTCTCGGATCTGTCCGCGCCGCTTGGCCCTCTGCTGTTGCTGCTGTCTCGCCGTCTGCTAGCGGCGCCTGCGCAGCTACTCCATCGTTGCTCCTCGCGCCACCCGCTGGCCCCGAGAATGCTCCTGCTGCCGACAAGATGGCCGAGGGAGAGGCTACCTTTGCGCTGTCGCCCTCGCTCGTGACTGTCCTCGACACGACGGAAGGCGTCGGTGGTTTGTAGATGCCCTTGTATGTCTTTCCGGGCGGGACCAGACCGGCCTGTTCATTTGAGATCAGATTGAATGGGACACTGTCAGGACCCAGCTGATGCGGTAAATGGGAGAAAATCGCACGGGCACACATACCCTGTCTAGCAGCTTGGCGACCGGTTTGCTCGGCTGAGCGCCCGTATCGAGCCAGTACTTGATCCTCGCCGCGTTCCACTCGATTCTCTTTTCCAACTTTGGTGGTCCGGATTCGATTCCTGACGTCAGCACCGGACCGGGCGAAGAGGCCGACGAAGACGATGACGCATCGGCACTGGACGTTGCAGAGGCGGTTCCTGCTGCCGATGCAGCGACGGCAACTCGAGGCCGGGGGATCGGGTCGTACTCGCCCAGCTTCTCAATCGGCCGAGCATCGCGCGGCTTCGAGTCCCGGATAGCAACAATGTGGTAGAAAGGGTTGTTGCGCGTCCCGTGTCTGGCCAGTCGCAGTCGCACCACCATCGTCTCTTTGCTTTCTTGAGCCTTTTCTTTACTGTGGTCTGATCAGCGATGTTGCAAGGAAGAGGCGTCTCGAATGGAGAAAGAAGAAAAGTTGGACGACGATAAATCCACGTGACTCTCCCTTTTTTTTTCTGTCTCCACTTGGGTTCCCGTTTTGAGTCGCTCTGTCGCAAGACACAAGATTCAAGCACCGATGGCTTCTGCAGCAACGTCACTGTCGGCGAGAAGAATACAGAGCGGCCTGCTCAGGGCGGTGGGCTCGTGCGTCATCGATGGCTCTGTCGCTGGCCCCTCTCGCCTGCCTCGGGCATTGCCTCTGCAGAGGAGAGCGACTGTCCAACCACTTCACATCCCGACTAGCACTCGCTTCTTTACTGCCTCGTGCAAGAGGAGAGAACAAGAACGAGAGCAACAGCAGCAGCAGGAGGCACAAAAGCTAGGCGAGATTGAGCCGAAGCTCGCACTGACATTCACATGTACTGTTGAGGGATGCGGCGAGCGATCGAGCCACCAGTTCACAAAGCGGAGCTACGAAAAGGGCATCGTCCTCGTGCAGGTAAGAAGAGACTCGCTCCCTTGGAGACAAGCGGCTGCTTACCGACCTCACTCGTCTGTCCACCCTTGAACCTTCGACAGTGTCCGGGATGCAAGAATCGGCACCTGATTGCAGATCATCTCGGCTGGTTTGCCCAGGACGCGTCGGAGCCAAAGACGATTGAGGAAATGGTCGCCCAGAAGGGAGGCAGGGTCCAACGCGGCGTCAACTGGGTCGATGACAAGGGCTATGACACCGTCGAAATCTTTGACGACGCAGAGCCGCCGTCGTCGTCGGCCGAAGAGAAGAAGTAGCGTCATGGATGCCCACGCGTCGGGCACGGAGCCGTACTGTCAACAAAATTGTTCGTCAATGCTCTGGCCAATGCACAATTCCACTCTCGTCCTCCCGCGAGCTTCAGCCAAATGAAAAAGCATCGAATCGATAAGAGAGAGTGGATCGTGCGAAGCATGTGAAGGAATAAGAAGAGAGCGCACTGTTTCTGCCGCGTCATCACAAGAGACATTCCAGCTCCGTCGATGGCTCTGATGTTAGCCCGCTTCGCAGTTCGAGATAACGAACGCAAGCGGCGAATGAAAGGGCAAGGGTTTATTTTAACGTGCGAGGCACCCGCCGGACAAGAGCGGCTGCAGTGCCTAGAGTGACGGTGTTCCATCATGCCGTCAGGCGGGGCTAGTAGTATAGCTCCGCACCCGACAAAAGTCGACCCATGTCTGTCGCACCATTCTCGTCTTAGCGTCAGTCGCAATCAATTATCGGGAGGAAAGGGATAATGAGATATTTCTGGGAGGAGAGCCGGGCAGGACGAATAGCGGAGAGGTATAAGGCTGGAGGTTCAATGCGATAAGGATCTCAAACCAATGAGGATGCGTGCAAGTGCAGTTTGAAAGAAGTTTTATCGCTAGTGTCACTCTTATCTTTTCTTGGCACTTAGCGGCATTGTTAGGGTCGTCTACTTCATCTATACGGTGCTTCCCACCCCGTGGGATTCATAGAGCTAAAGACAGGTTCTTCAGTGGCCTCAAGTCCTCCTGCCCTGCCCCCTTGTTGATATCAGCTTTATTGGATTCCACGACCTAAGAGATAAGGCTTTTGAGTCCTCTGGCACCGTGCTCTTTCTCAAAGGTGGGGTCGTATTCTAAGCCGAGTCGTGGTGGGAAAGTAGTCGCCGAGGGAGAAGACACTAAGAAGAGAAGTAGAACAGAGGTGGTCAGACGGAAGTCCAAAGGCCGCTATCATGGTACTGCACAACAGGGTATAAAGGTTCGACTTCCATTATCGTCTCAAACTTGCCCTGTGCAAGATACCTCTCTTTGATACTCTCCCAGTCACCGCCTCCTCACGAACATAACACCTGCCCAGCATGTCGTCTCCCCAGATGATCACCCTCGAGCAGGCCACCTGGGCCTGGATCGAGGCTGGTGCCAAGAAGCACAAGATGGACATCCTCTCGAGGTATCTCAAGGCCTTCCAGGCAGGCTACCTCCTGTCCTTCGGTGGCACCCTCGTGCAGATCATGACCGCCAACCCATGGTTCACGACTAACGGTGATTATCATTGTCGCATGGGGCTTGAACTCCTCCAGTACTGATCAACTGACTTGATATTCTTCTTCAGCCCCTGGCCTCCTCAAGATCCTTCAGGGTCTCGTCTTCCCCCTCGGTCTCGTCATGATTGTTCTCTTCCAGGCCGATCTCGTGACCGGTCAGATGGCCATCATGATCATGTCGACAATGAAGCGAAAGGTGCCCCTCTGGGCCTGGTTTGTCGACTGGACCCTTGTCTTCATTGGTAACCTCTCTGGTGCACTCTTCTATGCGTGAGTCTTGCACTTCCATGTCCCCTGCACGGTCCATCTTCATACTCACATCCTTCACCACAGCGGCATCGTCGTCCACTATGGTGGCATCTACACCCCAGCAATCAGCAAGAGCGCAGCAATGGCAGCCGACATGAAAGCCGAGGCGGCGTTCCACGAGATCTTCTTGCGTGGAATCGGCTGTAACTACGCAGTCGTTGCCGCCGTCTTCATGGCCAGCCTTGCCAAGGACGTCGTGTCCAAGATCTTTGCCTCCTACCTGCCCATCTTCTTCTTCGTTGCTGCGGGCTACGACCACGTTGTTGCCAACATGGTGAGCTCCTTCCTCCTTTCGACAATACTTCTGCGCCATCGATACTGTGACTGACTCGTCTATATCATCTCCGCAGTTCCTCCTTCCCGAGGGCCTCATGACGGACATGGCCGATTTCAGCGTTGGACGCTACATTGGCACATCGATCGTTGCATCCTTCCTGGGCAACGTTGTGGGCGCCGCGCTCCTCGTCGTCCCCCTGGTCTACATTCACGGCCGCGATGAGTTTGACCCAAACAACCTGGAGGTGGCCGACGTGGGCGCACACGGCTCGTCGAGCCCCAACGGCACCGTTGCCGGCCACCAGCAGAAGAATGCAGAGTGGCGAGAGGACGTCGAAAGGGCAGCTGCCTCCAAGTCCGGCTAATGCTGCCGCTTGTCCTTCCTCATCTTCTTGCTGTTAATTTCTAGAAAGAGTATAGGGATGTGTAGTTCATAGTACCGATTGCCACCCGATGTCCATACAAGAGGCAGTCGTGATAGCGATACCATGTGGGAATGAGAATCGAGTTGTTTTTATTTCATCGAAAAGAAGGCTTAGGGCGTCGATCTCTTTACCAGTACTTTGTCGAGGTTTTCGCCGCATGACCTCAGGTCGTCGCCCTTCCGGCTGCCATCGTCGTCACGGGAGATTGATTGCACTTATCGCGTACGCTCCGACACGATTCTAAGCCCTTTTTTTTATTTTCATTAATTAGCGTGGGTTGTAGCCGCCCTGAGCCCTTCCCCGCAAGGAGGAGCAGTGACGCAATTAGCGATAAAGTCCGGGGCGCGCACAGCCAGGCAGACCCGGCATGCTTGCTACTCCACTCAGCTCACGATTTACAGCTAGTACTAGCTAGCTAGTGGTCCTGATTGTCTCCGGACACGGCAACGGCATTCGACAACCTCCACTGACAACACCTGATTGAGACGGACGGCGCCGTACGAGAGCGACTGCAGTCGCATACCTGGTATACAGTACAGGGGGTCACGTTGGCCCAAGTACCCAACCAACCGAAATTAAGTAAATTTCGATTCCAACTTTCGGTGGCTGGGCCAGGCCAATCATTTGCGTCGACTCCCTCGATTTAAGTTACTCCGCACTGGGGGTGACCGCGGGACCATATCCGCATCTCCTTCTCCTCCTCCTCGCTCTACAATTGCTTCTCTCATCGACTTCGAGGATTTCTTGTCCCATTACCACCGATAGAAAAAAGGCAGCCCGCCGGCTGAATAAGAAGAGCAAGGGAAGGGGCAGCCTCGCGGCGTTAAGTGACGACCCTTGTCGACGAGGGCTATCTATCCCCCGAAGCTGCACGCACGTACCCACCCACCGACGCCACTTCACAGACCGTGAGAAGAGCAGCAATGAGCGTAGCCACGCAGCAACAGTCGCAGCAGGCGCTCTCGCCAGGCCCAGAGTCGTCTGTCGGCTCGACCAATCGTTCCGTCTCACCATCCAAGGTCGGCGGAGGGATCCTCGACAATGCGCATGAAGCGCCCTCGCGCAACGGCAAAAAGACAAAGGGCGTCATGGGCGCATCCGGGCCCGGCGGCGAGGCATCGCAATCGTCGTCAATTGGAAGCTTCTTCAAATCGGCCTTTTTGACGCAGCAGGCTGGCCGACAGATCAAGACGGATGGCAAGCCGCTGGGAAAGACGTTTGAGCGCACCAGGCCGCTACCCAACGCCCACGAGGGCGCCGAGGTCCTCGAGGTCGACCCCAGGGGTGACAAGGCGACGGCTGGCGATGGCATCATTCTCTCACCGACGAGTTCGGCAACATCTGGCAGCCAAACCTCGCTCGAAGTGCCGGATGCCGGGGGTATGAATGCCAGACGATTGAGCGCAGCCTCGTCGAGCGCTGGAGGCTCCGACTCCTTCTCTTCGTCGCCCTCTTCTTCGCAACAGGAGGAGGTGGAGCAAAGACAGGGCAGCAGCAGCGGCAGCACCACCGGCAGTACCAGCAGCACTAGCATCGGGGACGCCTGGGAGAGGGCGGCGCGACCAGATCGGTCAGCAAGCGAGACATCGCCCTCGGGGTCCTCGTCGTCGTTGGGCACCAATGGCACGGGCGTCTGTAGCATCCGATTTGCTCCCCTGCCCACGTCTGGTCGACTGAAGCGTGCCAATTCCATCACCATTGGTGTCGCCGCTCGATCTCAGCTCTTACACTCCCAGGGGGCCGGCAGGCAGCAGTACGCGCTGCCGCCGTCGCACCCACAAAGCAGCTACCAGAGACAGCCGCAGCAGCGAGGGAGGGAGCAGGACCAGCCCCACCACACGCAGATGTGGTACATGCCGGGCGCCCAGCGGCCCGACGATGTCATCGACATTGGCGAGGAGCTGAAAAAGAGCGCCACAAAGGTTTGGAGACGGATGCGACGGGGCAGCTCGGCGAGCAGTGGCAACGGCGGCGTTGTTGGTGAAGATGGCAAGCGTAGTGCCAGTGTACCCCCTACGCCGCTGCCAGAGTCGCATGGAGAAGGCGGGGAGGAGGAAAAAGGAGAAGGAGAAGAAGAAGAAGAAGAAGAAGAAGAGGAGGAGGCGACCAAGACGCCCAAGCGGGCTCAAAGTCCCGTCCAGGCCCTCGCCAAGCAGGATCATCACCAGCATGACCACACCGAGGGCCCGCAGCACGACTCCTACCACCTCGGCAATGAACACGAGGAGGAGGGCGCCAGAACGCCCAGGTCAAGCATGCAGCGACGCCTGTCGACGGGCGCGTTCCTCGGCAATGCATCGCTGCGAGGCATGCAGGACAAGCGTAGACGCGACGTCCTCGGCTTTGACTCAGATGAGGAGGGCGAGGGCAACAAGGCGAATGACGACGATGAGCGAGGACGAGAGGAGAGAGCGAAGTTTGCAGAGGACCTCGGCATCTCGAAAGCCAGCAAGGTCTCACAGCGGACCTCGCCGTCCGTCTGGAATCCCAGCAGCCTGCTCTCCAGCCTGTCAACTTCGATAACAGCGACAGCAGCGGAGGGCAGAGACAATGACGAAGGCGACGGCGAAGATTACCACGAGGCCGATGAGAGCCTTTCCGCCAATGTCTCGACTGATGAGGAAGATCCTGACGATGAGGAAACAAGAGAGGCACAGCAGCTCGCCGACGAGGCGGTCAAGAGCCACAGCGCAAAGGCGACTCGAGCAGGCGCCGTAGAAAAGATCGAACGGCGTCAGAATACCTGAGTTGCTCCTCCGCGACAGTCAAAGTGTAGACGAAGCTTGCTGTATGGCTCACAGCCCCCAAGTCTCTTTTTGTCCAAGTTTGTGGACCGAAGCCCTTTCAGCACAACTGTACCTATCGACCCCTCGTTAATAATACATGGAGCTTATAACAGATTTGCATCGCGGCCTCAGTCTTCGTCTGACCTCATCTCAAGCTCCTATTTGTGTGACACAACTCCTTCTTGTTCTCAGGTCTTTCCGCCCTGGCCGCTGACCGTGCTATTTCTCGCCGAAGGCTCCGAGCGACCGCATGCAGCAAACCCGGGCAAGGGCTGTGGCACAATAGAGTGCAATAGGCACGCAGAAGAGGCTTCATTGTCCCTCCAAACACTGAAGGCGAAATTGTGATCTGCGGAAGAGGGCTGCGATCATGCGTAGTCACAAAGATGATTGACAGATACAGGGGAGAGTCTAGCAGCGCAAGCTTTTTACGCCTCGCGCGAGGCCTTGTCTATCCAGCTGGCGACGTATTCAACGCTGTTGTTGAGAACAATCAGAGGATGTGTCAGCACGCTGTCAGGCTCATGCTCAGAGTGGGAAGATAGGCGGTATGTACGCACTTGCTCGTATTGAGACCGGCCATGGAAATGCGCGAGTTGCTCGTCATGTAGATGTGTCCGTCGTTGACGATCTTTGCGCACTGCTTCTCGCTAAGACCGAGGAACGAGAACATCTGTAGAAGCGAAAGGAAGCACGTCAGCTCTCACGGTAGCAAGCCACGGCACTCCAGAAGACGAACCCCGATTTGCTTGAGAATATGGTCCCAGTCGCCACCAGGAGCTGGCGTCTTGAATTGATTGGTCAGAAGGTGGTGGAGCCGCTTGCGCATGTCAATGATTCGGTCAGCCATTTCCCTGACATCCTTTTGCCATTGGGCCCAGAGCTTTTCGTCGTTGAGGATCATCGTCACGACCCTTGCACCGAATGCGGGTGGGTTGCTGATCTCGCTTCTTTGAATGACGCTGAGCTGGCTCAGCACGGCATTGTTCTGCTCCTTGGTCGCGCTGACGATGTGGAGCGCTCCGACTCGCTCGCCATACAAACCGGCATTCTTGGCAAAGCTCTGGCAGATGAGGACGGGGATGGAGCGGCGCTCGATGAAGTGCCGCACAGAGTAGGCGTCCTCGTCGAGGTTGCCCGAGGCGAAGCCCTGGTAGGCGCAGTCGAAGAAGGCAAAGTGGCCCTTGGACTGGAACAGGTCTGCGATGGCGTGCCACTGCTCCTTAGTTGGGTCGACACCTGTTGGGTTGTGGGCACAGGCATGAAGCAAGAAAACGGAGCCGTTGGGCGCCGACTTGAGCGTCGACGTGAGGCCATCGAAGTCAAGGCCCACCGTCTTAGCGTCGTACTGAGGACAAAAGACTGTGTTAGCTCCGGTGAAACGATCTCGTCGAGGAGCAGCCTGTTGGCTCACCCATGGGTAGTCGACGGGAGTGATGCCACAGCTGTTGAAAATGGCCTTGTGGTTGGCCCAGGTGGGATTGCTGATAAAGATCTGCCTCTTTCCACCGCCGAGAGTCGCATAGTCGTAAAACTTGCTCAGGAAGACGGCACCCAGGTGATTTGCTCCGGTTCCGCTGATGGTCTGGACTGAAGCGACGCGGCCCTCGGCCAAGGCAGGGTTGCCCTTACCGATGATCAATTGTGCCGCTGCAGTAGTGAATTCGGGCAGGCCGGTGATGTTGAGATATTCGTGGTCCACAGTCTCATCAGCAATGAGAGCCGATTGGGCCTGTTTTGAAAAAAAAATCAGACTGAATTCCGTCCTCTACGCTTGCATTTACTCACCATCTTGACGGAAGGGAGAACCCATGGCTTGCCATTGTTGTCCCTGTATGCTCCCACGCCGAGGTTGACCTTTTTCGAGTATGTATCAGCCTTGAAAGCAGCTGTAAGCTTGAAGATACTGTTGAAAGGTCAAGACGGTAGTGTCAGAATGTGTTGTCGGTTCACCAGCTATGGCAGGGGAAAAAATGCTCACGCATCCGGGGGTGCTTGCGGCACCTGCTTCCAGACTTCGGCTGTACACATCCTCGAAGGTGAGTCATTTAGTCATCGAACACTGAGACTGATAAGTACTTACCTGCGCCTGAGCCCTCCATGTGTCCTTGGATGGAGCTTAGTCTGCGCTCTGCTGACATGGTAGCGGAGGGTCGAAACGTGGGGGATGTAAGAGGGTCAAAGGGACGTAACAAATCGTCGGTCCAACGTCAGGTGACGATGGGGAGCTTTGTTGGAGAGTGGGGGAAAGGGTCCGGGGTGAGTCGGCACACGCACAGGGCCACAGATCCAAGGGAGAAGTCACGTGACCCATAGCTGAAAGCTGATTGAGCTCGTCCAGGACTCACTGGCCGAGACGAAAGGTGACCGTAAGGATAGAGAAGAGAAGGAAAAGTGGGCTAAGCATGCTCGAGTGCCGTGAATGGAACAGGGACAACGAGCGTCCGAAGGAAGTAGGCCTGAGCTCGAGTCCGTGGCTGTCTCGTCCTCAATTTGCCGCGGGACACAAGCCTTGGAGCGGCGCCCTGCATGCCTCTGGTGGACTAAAAAAGGCCGCCGCTGCGCTTGCCTGTTGCAGCATTGAGCATCGAGCACGCTCTCGCACGAGCCTGCTCAAGCCAGCTGTGTCTCAATACTGGCATAAAGGACAAAGCCGCTCACCCGCCATTGGGCCTTGCACTGATGAGTTGTGCTCCGACACACGTCATAGCTCAATTCACTCCGTGCCGTATAAGAAGAGGGGCCTCGCTCACTTGCGAGTTGTGCGCAAGCAACCCTCATCTGAACCACTTCTTGCTTTTCAAACAGAAAGTCTGTCACCAGAGGTAAGTTCTAGAAAGAGCCACTCCGAAGATCAACATCAGCATGTCTTCCCAAGGCCTGCCTCACACAAACGACGGAGCTGGAACCTCTCCGATCTCTTCTCGTCCGCGCCGTATCATGAGCGAAGAGGTGGCAGAAGCTCTCGGCGCCTTTACCATCATTCTCTTTGGCGCTGGCTCTCAGTGCCAGGTGCAACTTTACCCTTCAGCTGGTGGCGTGAGTATCTTGCGGACAAGCCAGGGTTGTCTATGAATTCCGACTGAGCTTGCTTACACCGGCCCACAGTATATCGTAAACGTCTTGGTGAGTGCGGCATGCCTTTAGTTGCAAGAGAGCATCTAGCTGAAAGCTAGGAAAAGGGTTGGGCAGTGGGTGTGAGTTTAGGCGCCTACATTGCCGGCGGCATTTCTGGAGGTCATATCAACCCAGCGTGCGTATGCTGCAAGTTGCAATTTACGGCTTTCTGCCTGTTCACTGATGACCTTTGTGTCTCTCGACAGCGTCACCATTGCCATGGCCGTCTTTCGCGGCTTTGTGAGTACATTTGCAACGGCCGAATGAGTCAAAAACTTCTAGCTGCTGACTGGAATGGGCATGCAAACAAGCCCTGGTCCAAGGTCCCTCGCTACATCATCGCTCAGACGATCGGCTGCATGCTCGCGGCACTGCTCGTCCACCTCAACTACTCGCAAGCCATCAGTGCCCTCGCCGACCACCAAGAGGGCAGCAGTAGCGGCAGTGGCGGCGCTCTCCTCGCCAAGACAGCATGGTCTGCGGTCGGCAAGCATTCGGCCGCTGGCAATTTTATCAGCATCCCTCATCCTTCCGTCTCGAGCTTCACGGCCTGGTTCGATGAGTTCCTGGGCACAGCAACGCTCGTCGGCTTCATCTTTGTCTTTACCGACAGCAACCTCAACCCGGGCAGCAACCTGCCCTTTGCCCTCTTCCTCCTCGTCGCTGGCATCGCTGTGTCCCTCGGTGCTCAGACGGGCTTTGCCATCAACCCAGGTGAGTTTTCGCTTCTCCCTCTTCTCCAAAAAAGGAAAGCTGACAACCTCGTCGTCATCGTCGAAAGCTCGCGATCTCGGCCCGCGCATCGCTCTGTCGTTCCTCGGCTATGGATCCGAGCTCTGGAGTGTGAGACTCGTCTAGTGTATTCGCAGAAGGAATACAGAAGGAGACTGACAAAGATGGCAATAAATTAGCACAATAGCGCCTATTGGCTCTGGGGCATCTGGCTTTCAACGATTCCCGGCGGCCTTGTCGGTGCATTCGTTGCCGACTCACTCCTCTACACGGGCACCGACAGCCTCTTCAGCCCGAGGGTAAGGCTGGTTCAATTACGAGCACGCACCCCTCATGACAACAGTATTGTCTGACAGTCTATTGAGCAGGTAACCCTCTAGGTACAGAAATGAACGATGGCAGAGCCATCTCGTATGTGGAAAATCTTCCACGTCCCCAGTGTTGAGCCACTTCACACCACTCTCCCCCAATCCACACCCTTTTCCCCAGTTTCGGTATCACCAAGTTCCCCACACATCCAAGTTCTCTTTCTTCTCCTCGTTCTCCTCCTCATCGTCGTCCAGTGGTGGGAATGGCAGGTCTTGATTTCCACTCGCTTCTTTGCCTTTCTCTGTCGTAGGGACCGCTGGTGCTTGTTCCCGTCGTGTTGCTCCCAAGAGTGGTGCGCTTCTCTCTTCAGCGTGTCCAGCACCTTCTTCAGTCGCGTCTCCCGTGGACACCATGGCCTGCTGCGTCCAGATGACAGGCAGCTCTTGTTGCTGCTGCTCGCCTCGACTCAGCGGCGAAGATGGTTCTGGGAGCAGGGACGCATCGAGCGGCTGGTGCGGTGACAGACGATGTTCGAAGTGGTCATGCTGGTGGTGATGCTGCGAAGCGCCCACTGCTGCGCCACCCTGGTTGTCTTCTAAGTGCGCCAGCGAGCCTTCTCGCGCTGCTTGCGCTATAGGCGAGGAGGAAGCCAGGGCTGGGAGCAAGGGTGACTGCTGCTGCTGCTGCTGCTGGCCTGCCTTGGAGCGTGGCCGTTTGCGCTGCGGCTGTGACTGCGGCTGCTGGGGCGGTGATTGCTGCTTTTGTCGCTCAGAGGCTCCTTCGTCTGCCGGGTGGTGAATCAGCGGTTTCCGGCTGAGGCGAGCTCGGGGCAGTTGGCGAAGGAAGCCGTCGTACTTCTCTGGCTGCTGCTGCTGCGATGGCGACGGCTGTTGCTGTTGTGGGTATACATGCTGCTCCACCTGGTGCATCGGACGACCTTGTCGATGAAAGGCAGAAACAGGGTATCGCCTTTTTCCTTGGGCGGGTGCTTCCTGCTGCTGCTGCTGCTGCTGCTGCTGCTGTTGAGAAAGCAGAGTTGCTGCCGCAGCAGAGGTGGAAGCAGGTGGCGGAGGTGGTGGTGGTAGTGGCTGCTGTATTGGTGGCGGCAACGAGGCAGAAGTCGGAAAGGGCGCTTCGAAAAGATTCAGCGATGATGTGTCTGTGGGTGATACCGATGGCAGCTGGAGGATCTGCGAGCTGTATGCCATGTTCGGCTGATGAAAATGAAGAGTTCGCTGCTGCTCTTCGACCTCGATCTGCTGATGCTGATGCTGGACAAAGAACTGCTGGTGCAGCCTCGAAGCTTGCAGTGCATCGAGATCGGCGGAAGATAGACCGGAACTGGGCTGCTGCAGGTAGACAAAGCCAGGACCCGTCTGCTGCTGGTGCTGATGCGGCTGATGCGGTGGGTCGAGAGCTGGGTAAAAGCCATGAGCTTGATCGGCGTACTGTCCAGGTGTCATCATCGAGGTACGAGCTTTGTTGCCGACACCGCCGCTGTGAGGCGTCGTCACACTCCTTTCTCGATACAGCGGCACACCGTGAGCGTATCCGTAAATCTCTCTCTGCTCGACGTTGATTGCTTGCTGCTGAAGCTGGAGCTGCTGCTGTGGACGCTGTGACTGCTGCTGATAATGATGCTGCTGCTGCTGTTGATGATGCAGCAATCGGAGCTGATGCTGCTGGTGTTCGTATTGCTGTTGCTGCTGCTGCTGCTGCTGCTGCTGGAGGTGCAACATGTGCTGTTGCTGCTGCTGTTGCTGCAGCTCCTGCTCCTGCTCGTAGAGACGGACGCTGACGTGCTGATCCTGTGGCTGCTCATGCACCAATGTGCGCCTGGGCTGCTGAACACCAGAAAAGCTCATGGCAGTGCCTGACGGTGGTGGATGATGCGGGTTATGGGCCACCATCGACGCGGTGAATAGGGCAATCGACCTCTCGTCGAGGACATGGTGCACTCGCGACGCCTGCTTGGGGTCTGCGCCATTACCGAAGTAGGCCTCTGAGCCTGTTCGGACGTGCCACCTGGACAACGGCTGTGTCAGTTACCTCCTCCTCTTAAGCCTAGCTTTCCCTATTGTTTTTTGCTCACATGGCCGTCGAAGAGTCCCACTGTGGTCCTGCGCCCCTTCGCGCCCATGTCAGCAGGCTGTTCCACTCGGCGGCGTTGACCGACTGCTTGAGGAAGCCGTTGTCGGCGCGCACCTTTGCACACCGTAGCACCACGTCCCTCTTTGCCCTCTGTGTCCGCGCCATTCTTCGTCTTAAGGATTCGCCGGACGGGATCATGCAGTGGGCAGGTCAAGCAGTGGCGCATGCACCAGCACGGGAGGAAGGACGCCTGGTCGCCCACCGATCCCCTCTCTACTTTGACTCTGCCCGCCATTATTGCAATTTCACCAAAGGAGAGAGAAGGAAAAAGAAAAGGAAAAGAAAAGCGGGCGAGGGTCCAAAAGGAAAGAGAAAGACGGGCGGCGTAAAAGCAGCAGCGGCGCTGGAATGATTGGACCTCAGATTGCGCTCTCAGTGAGTCGTGCGCGGCCTGCCTGCCCCTTTCGACAACGGGGTCTCAAGGGCAGGAGAGGAAAGAGAGAGAGAGAAGGGTGAGCAACAGAAGAGATGTCAGTGATCGGGCCGGGAGAGAAATTGCGAGAGAGGATCGCGACGGCACGGCGGTGCTCCTGGCCTGGACCAGCGATTCTTGTTTGCCAAACGGACAGCCCGGAACCAGCTCCATGCCATTGATCGCCCCTCCCGGTAGCATCGTCGAGTGGGAGCAGGACAGCAACAATCGGGTCGTGGATGCCCACACCTGGTGTGGGTTGAAGCAAATAAGGCGGGCCCGAGAATTGCCGAGGCTGCCCTTTCCCCCCATATATTCCATTCTCTCTCTCTCTCAATTAGGGTTGTGTGTTTTGCCTGCGTGTGCCCTGTCGCCTGAGGCGTGTTCGACTTGTCTTCCGGCCCCGCGATTTTTTTCACGCCGGTTGGTGGAGAGACGCAGGCTAGAGGCTAGACTGCTGCTAGATGCTCTGACTCCCTCGTTATTCTTCCCATCCTCACTTGTAAACCCCTCCTCCCTCGATTATCCTTTCGTCTCGTCTTCTCTTCCCCCCCTCCTCTCTCTACTAGCAGCCTGGGGAGCCGACAGCCCCACGCTTTGCCATAATGTGAGTGACAGAGCGTGCCTACCATCCATGACTCAGACATGCGACTCTCTAGCTGACATACTGCCCATCCCCACTCACCCACAAGGTCGGCCGCATACACCATCTCGCCAAAGACATGGTCGCAGCTCCACCACTTTGCCTCGTTTCCTCAGACGGGCATCTCGCTGCGCCAGATGGTGCAGTTTGGACGGATCCCCAGCCCAGGCACCATCCTCCAGGCCGGCAACTTTCTCGCCGAGGAGCTTCCCGTCCGCCTGGCCCACCGCGTCAAGGAGCTCGACGAGCTGCCAAACGGGCTCAACGAGATGCCGAGCATCGTGCGCGTCAAGAATTGGTACGCACAGTCGTTTGAGGTGCGTCCGTGCCCTTTCCTTTTTGTTCCCACCTCCCTCGCTCGTGCTTCCTCAACTTACATGATCACCACTTCCAAAGGAACTGGTGCAGTTTCCCAAGCCCAAGTTGCCCGAGTCGATCCAGAAGCAGCTGGCTGCATCAGTGTCGCAGAATGCCGCTGGCCTCTCGAGCTCCACGCCGAACCCAACGCTGAGCGAGGAGGCAGCCACGATGGAGGAAGGCAACGCTGCGGCAGCCTTGTCAAGCGCAGACAAGATGAAGCGGCGAGCACTGGCGATAGCCGGCGCAAGCGATGGCGCCAATGGCAATGGAAACGGAAATGGCAGTAGCAGTGGTGATGGCATTAATGGCAACGGAGCATCCAAGAAGCGAGTGCCGCTTGAACATAGGTGGGTGTCTCAGCGATACAAGGTGCATAGGGAGGAGACTCGTGCTGACCGCCAAGCCAGATACTACACCGACCACCGGGGCATCAAGAACTGGCCGCCCGAGATCCACGACTACAACGAGAGCTTCACCCGGTGTCTAGAGAAGATCAAGAAGCGCCACGACGCCGTCGTCACGACAGTCGCCCAGGGCGTGCTCGAGTACAAGCGCGCGAGACGGGGTGAAAACATCCAGGCAGACGTGCAGCGCTTCCTCGACCGCTTCTACATGTCGCGCATCGGTATTCGCATCCTCATTGGCCAGCATATTGCCCTAGCAAGGACATCGCCCTCGACGGCCACGACGCTCGACGGCGAGCCGCTCCGTGTGGGCGAGTCGGGAAGTGCAGGGGCGGCAGCAGGGTCTGGGTCCGATGGCCAGGAGCCGGAAAACTACGTGGGCATCATCTGCACAAACACAAACGTGGGTGCCATGGCACACGAGGCCATCGAAAACGCACGCTTCGTGTGCGAGGAGCACTACGGCCTCTTCAAGGGCCCTCCTGTCCAGCTCATCTGCCCGGAGCACCTGACGTTCATGTACGTCCCCAGCCATCTCAACGTGAGTACCTCTCTCTCATCGCCTGCCGCTCGCTCGGGGCTGCCAATTGGTCAAGCTGACGTCTTTTCCTCCAACAGCACATGATGTTTGAGCTCCTCAAGAATTCGCTCAGAGCCGTCGTGGAGCGCTACGGCGAGGAGAACGAGGACAACTACCCGGCGATCAAGGTCATCGTCGTTGAGGGCCAGGAGGACATCACCATCAAGATCTCCGACGAGGGCGGCGGCATTCCCCGCAGCGAGATGCCCCTCGTGTGGACCTACATGTACACCACCGCCCAGTCCGAGGACCTCGACCCAGACTTCCAGGCATCGGACTTCAAGGCACCCATGGCTGGCTTTGGGTACGGTCTGCCGCTGGCGAGGCTGGTGAGTAGCCAACTCTCTTCGTCTCTTTTGCTATCTCATTGCTAAGTTCCATACCACCCTTCTACAGTACGCAAGATACTTTGGCGGCGACCTCAAGCTCATTTCCATGGAGGGCTACGGCACCGACGCCTACCTCCAGCTCAACAGGTGTGTGCAGCTCAGTCTTGTCCACTTGGCGCTCTGCGCTTCTCTGCCTCTCATATGTTGACCATTTCTGAATGCTCCTGCTCAGACTCAGCTCTTCGGCCGAGCCGCTGCCGTGACCGCTCTGCACACACACCCCTTCTCTTCACCGCATTCTGTAATATATCGCTGTGTCTCTTGGGTCGAATCTACTCTTAAACTCCCTCCCGTGGCCTGGCGTGGCTTGGCTGGCTGTGCATCTCTGTTGTGGACTTCCTTAGTCTTTGATGTAGAAGACGATGCAGACTACGAAGAAGAGGCGCGCATAGAATTGAAGTCTCCGAAAAGCAGCAGCTGCTAGCGTGTTGCTCTCTTTCACTTTGCACTCCACAAACACACGACCAGTCCCGCGGGCTGATTGAGACGAGGGAAGGGGCAATGACTGCCCAGGCCGCCTTGAACGAGGTCAAGGAAGAGGCCAAGTCGCTCTCGTCGACGATCCTCGCCTCGCCTGCCCTCGTGGCCCTGTCCACGCTCGTCTGCGGCGGCGCCTCGTACGGAATCTACTGGCGCTACCTCCGCCGGATCCCCACGGCGGCCCACCTGACGCCCACGACGCTGCGCTGGCGCCGCACGCTCGTTGGCCGATGCACAAGCGTCGGTGACGCCGACGGCTTCCGGCTCTACCACACGCCTGGGCCCGTGCTCCTCCGCGACATCCTCTACCCGGTCCCTTCATCGTCGTCCTCTTCTTCTTCTTCATCTTCTTCCTCTTCCTCCTCGTCAGGGAGCAAAGCCACGCGCAAGGGCAGGCAGCTGCACAGCGACGAGACAATCAGCATCCGTCTCGCCGGCGCCGACGCACCCGAGGCAGCGCACTTTGGCAATGTCGCCCAGCCCTTTTCCAAGGAGGCCCACGACGAGCTCCGGCGCCTCGTGCTGGGCCGCACCGTGTGGTGCGAGGTGGCGCATGTAGACCAGTACGGCCGCCTGGTCGCGACGCCCTATGTGCTGCGTTGGCCCTATGTCCTGGGCCGCACAAACGTGAGCCTGTACCTCGTCAAAAAGGGCCTCGCCAGCGTCTACAGCCAGGCCGGCGCTGCGTACGGCACCGCGGGCCCGCTCGCCAAGCTCGTGCGCAGGCTCGTCGACGGCAGCAGCAGTAGTACAACAGCCAGCCATGGAGACATGTCGTCCACAGGCAAGGCCAAGGCAAAAGCCACCGGTGCCGCGGCGACGGCAAAGACGTCGATCTGGGACACGCTCCTGCCTCTCTCGGGCGAGGCGCGGCTCCGGCGGGCCCAGGAAAGAGCCAAGCGAAAGCGGCTCGGGATGTGGAGCCAGAAACACGTAGAGACGCCTGAGGAGTACAAAAAGAGAACCCGAGAGGCAAGGCAGCAGCAGTAATGGTATTGGCTCAGCTGCCCTCCTGATGTGACTGTACTCTTAGCATAGCGTGACACCCTCTTCTATCATTTGTGCAGCATGCAACGAATCTCATGACATGAATGCGATTTCAAGACAACTGTCATGAAGCACAAGCGACGACGAGGACGCATCTGATCGTGGAGCCATCGCCACCCTTGCTCCAGCGCTTGACGACGTCGCCAAACTGGCGGAGTCCCCAGAGCTGGAGGGGCCCTCCGCCTCTCCAGGCCCGCTCCTCGCCCATGCCGAGCCCAGAGAGGAACTCCGAGAAGCCGGGAAAGACGACGTGGGAAATGTCGACGATGCGGACGTCGCCCGTGTAACCGGCCTGGCGCAGCTGCGACGCATACGTCGAGACGTCGACGATGTTTTGCGCGGGCACGCCGGCCATGCGCAGCGTCAGGTGGTGGCGCAGGTGTGTCAGCAACGAGGGCGACGATGCAGGTGCAGGTAACGAGGGGGAAGCTGTAAACGAGTAGTGGTCCTTGTCCTTGCTGCTCGGATACGGGTAGGCAGCCACGAGGTCAACGAGGGCCAGGCGTCCCGAGTCCGCGAGGAGCCGTCTCGAGGCAGCCAGAAAGCGCTGGCGAGTGGCGAAGTGGTAAGCGCAGTCGAGGGCAAAGATTCGATCGAATCGAGGTCGCGTTGCTTCCAGCGCAGAGAGCCTCCTGACGAAGGCTACTGCGTCGTCGCACTCGATCTTAGTCTTCGTCTCGCCTGTCTCCTTGTCAATGCGCTGCTGGGCCAGCCGGGCGTGCAAGGGCATCGATGTGACACCTTGCAAGCTGCGTGGCCCGTACCGTCTCTGCAGAAGCGCCAACGAGTCGCCCGAGCCGTGGCCCACATCGAGGATGGAAGCGCCTTCCTTTAGCCCACTTGCTTCATACAGCCGGACTGCCAGATTCTCGCAAGCAGTAGGGAAATGCGTCGTGTTCTGATCGTAGCGGAGACCGTGCTGTCAGCAAAACGAAGAAGCATGTTCCAATGCAGATGTAAATCTCACCTCCCAGTCACCCATATTGAGCCAGCTCGTACGAGGTCGTTCGGCATTGAGGGCGAGATGGTCCATGTGCGCATAGCTCTCATTCTTCTTCCGGCTTCCTTCTCCTTCTTTCCCCAAGAGCGCCTGTGTGACTCGCAAGACTAGGCGCAGCGGCAGCAGCCATAGCCACACAATCCACCCTGCGACGAGCCGGATCATTGAAGCGCTTGCTCGAAGGAGGAGGACTAAATGTGTCGTTGCAGGAAGACCGACTTTCCGGGACTCGGAATCCTCTCCGCGCTTGCAGCTAACGCTTCTTTTCGCGCAGCCTCGGCTTCTGGATCAACGCGGCTGCTACGGGCATTCTTTTCCTCCTGGACGCCGTTGCCTGGGCGACATTTGCATCTGAAGACGAAATGCATGCCCTTTGCTTTTTCGTGTGAGCTGGGCTGAGAGGAACGGCAGGCCGCTGCATGGCTGTGAGCAGTAGGCCAAGTAGCAGCCGCTTCGATCGCTCGCGTGGTCCAAAAGTCGCCTCGCCTTTCCCTTTAGCGTCGAGCTATTTTGTCCGATCTCGAGATAATCGAGACCCTTTTTTCCCCCCCCATCTGGCCCCAACTACCCTAGCTCTTGTTCAATTTTTTGCAAACGGGCAATACGCGAGTTGCAGGCTAAAATGCCGAACGTCAACGCAAGCTTGCTATCTTTTTCCCGTCTGCCCGCTGCTTGTGGTGCACTTGCAGCTTGTCAGCCACCGTTCGCTTCCTCTTTTTTATTTTGTCCAAAGGGCCCGGACTTCTTACCTACGACGGGACACCCCACCCCACGTTGGCCCAAGAATACAGAACGGCCTTCGCACAGAGTATGTGGAACTATGCAATTCGCGATTGGACAATTGTGACAGAGTCGTACAGGCATCTGTGCTGATGTTAAAAGTCCCTTTGACCCTGGACAAATTCGGGGAGGCCAATCTCGGGATCGGAGTGCGAAGACGATGAAGGAGGAAAGTCCCCATTTATTTTCGGCTCTTGCCAGCCTTTGAGCTCCCCCCCCTTCCCCTACCCTTCCTTCCGCCCGTCCCCCTTTGACCAGGTGTTCCCTATCAGCTCATCCTGTAGAGCTCGGACGACGAGAAAGATGCCTTCTTTGCTTAAAGCGAAGCTGCGCGAGTACGACACGGCAATCGCGACGTCGCCGGTCCGCCATGCTATTTTTAACCGGCCATTCACGCAGCTGGTCAAAAAGACCGAGGTCCTCCTCGACCAGATCACGGGCGCCACCCTGCCGCCCGAGGTGCTGCAAGAGGAACGCGAGCGTGAGCTGCGCGAGCGTGCACTCACCTGCCGCGGTTGCAAGAGCACCTATGGCGACGAAAAGGGTCTTCGCTCGGTAAGTCCGATGCATGCAATCTTCAGCACGGTCGTGTTGGCTAACTCTGTCACCGTCATTTCCTTGGCAGCATCATGCCCTGTTCCCGTCGCACATCAACCCGCCGAGGAAGCCAAAACCTTCCAGGCGTCCGCACCGTTCCCAATCGACGTCAGATGCCCTCTCGCAAGCTACGAACAAACCGGTGCTTCCACCAACGGCATCGGCCCGGGAGCAGGAGAGACCTGCGATGAAGCATTCCTCGTCCGCCGCAGACGTCCTCGGTCTTTCTCCTTCCTCCATTGACCCGAGCCATGAACAGCCAGCAGACGACTACAGGGCCCACTTCTCGCCCCTCAACGCTGACGGTGATGTTCCCCCTCCTTCGGTGCCGACTCGACGGTTGCCCCAAATCGAAGACCACGATAAGGACCTGCTGCCTCATGCTCGTCGCAACTACGACGCCGGTGCTGCTTCTGCTGCCCGTAGGCTTCCCGTCGGGGCCTCTCCGCCCTCGATAACGAGCATCACTCGCTCCGCTAGCGAGAGTGCTTTGAACGCCCTGCAGTCCATCGTTGGCCACGATGAGAAGGATGTAGGCGAACAAGAGTCGAGGCCCGCGCTCGCACAATCTCCTTCCTTCAGCAACGTTATTCGCGCTGTCATTGCGACGGGTGCCACCGGACCCTCTGGACAGGCCGTCATGGCGTCGACGGCTCCCGACTCGCCGCTAAATGCGGCGCGCTCTTCACCAGCGGACGCTTGGATCCCTCTGCCTGATGAGGAGGCTGTTCCTTCTGCCAAGGCTGCCGCGCCGAAGCCAACTGCCTCTGCTGGCAGGACGCGCAAGGGCAGCTTGAGCGCCCTCAAGACGCTAGCCTCCACGCCGCTGGCTGCTCCAACTGCACCTTCTGCCTCTGTAACGTTCGGCGCCACGCCAGCCACGGGTCCCGTCACTGGCCTCACGTCTTTCAGTGACGCTTCCGTCCCAGCAGCCGTTCAGGATGGAAAGGGCACATCAGCCAAGAGCCAGACGATGCCAGTCATCCGGCGAAAGAACACGAATCCGTTCCTCTACCAACTGTTTGACGCTGCCTCGCCTATCTCGCCTCCTGCATCCCCACAGGCCTTCTTGGCTAGCCGCACGCCGCCGCTGGATCCCTCGACGCCGCGCACCCCTCTCTCGCCCAAGAATCCCTTCTCGAGGCTGCTCGACGACGACTTTTACGACGATCAAGACGCTGAAGAGGCCCCTCAGACGCCTGGAGACACACTCAGCTACACCAGACGAAAGCCAGTGCCTGCAGCCGCAAGCGTGTACGCCAAAGAACACGAGAGAATTTTTGCAGCGGCGGAGCGAAGTGCGCCTGTTTCTTCTCCTCACTTTGACGCCTTCCTGGCTGCCAACGAAGAGCCAGAGTCTCCGACCGCCAAGTTCCACGCCGGTGCCATCTCCCAAGAGGAGTACCTAAGCTCGTTCTTCTGACCCGATCCACTCTGGCTTTTCTACGTTCTTCTTCAAATTCCCCTGCTTCTTCGCCTTGATCTTGAACTCGCTGTACTACTACTCTCTGCCACGACTTTTTCCTCTCATCTGCCTCTGCACTCTCCTTCTCTGTGTATCATCAAGAATTGTCTCTCTTTCTCTCTCTCCTCCGCTCGCGTGAATATCATGTCTTTGCTGGATCGCAATCTCATTGTGCACCCGCCCGCTCTACGCGGCGTCGCCGGCCCTCGCCTTCTTTATATCATCACGCATCTCCTGCGAGATGTACAGGTCTTCTGCCAGTGAGTCGAGGGGCGTGTCCTCGCCGCCAAGAGAAAAGGCCGCGATGTCCCGGTCGCTGAAGCCATGCTGCCTGCGAAGGTACACCTCATCGAGGATCCATTGGGCCCTGCGAAGGAGCGAGAGAGGGAGAAGTGCAAAAGTGAGCATGTGTGGGTGTGTGGTGTACTGGGAGAGAAAGGGGCGCAGACTCACGTAAACTTGCTTCCGTCTTCCTCGAGCATGCGAATGGCCGCCTCGCTGACAATCTCGGGACTTCTCCAGCGCTTCTCTTCTGTCTCTGCATTGCGGCTCACGACCTTCATGGCGCTCGTGCCGATGAGCGTGTATGGCCAGAGGGCATTGCAGCCTACTCTGCCCTTTGTCTCGCCCGCCAGGGCAAAGGTGGCCAGGCTCATGCCGAATTTGGCCACCGTGTAGGCGCTCGCCGTCTGGGCAAACTGGTCCGGCCAGGCGCCCAAGAGCGGGGAGGTCGAGAACATCGAGTAGCCGAGCGGGGGCGACAGCGTGAGGATGTGCGGGTTTCGCGCAGCCGATGCGGACTCAAGCAGGTGGGGAAGGGCAAATCGCGAGACAAGCCAGGTCCCGCGGGCGTTGATGTTGTTCTGCGGGACAGAGTAGAAACGTGTAAGCTCATCGGGCAGCTCCCAAAGTATGATCCTTGCGGCTCACCATCAAGTCGTAGCTCTTTGTCGACGCCTCAACGGTAGGTTTCATATTAATGGCAGAGGCCTGTGAGGAATGAGCACATCAGTTGTCGTGACTTGGGTAAGAGTTGTTTGATCATGTACTATGCAGTTACACTCACATTATTCACGACGATGTCGAGGTTGCCAAACGTGCCCCGTGTTTTATCGATGGCATCCTGCACTGCCTTTTCATCTCTGACGTCGAGCTGGATGGCCAGGCCCTTGGCGCCCGTCCGGCTGCTGTCTCCCAACGCATTGATCTCCTCCACTGCAGTGTGGATCGTGCCCGGCAGCTTGGGGTGCGGCTCCGCCGACTTGGCAGCCACCGCGACGTTGGCCCCTCGTCTGGCAAGAGCCTTGCCGATCTCAAGACCGATGCCTCGGCTGGCGCCCGTGCTGCACCCAGAGGAAAGTCAGCATTGGTCTTCACACAAGTCTCTTTCACTCGATGTGCACCCACATGAAGGCTGTCTTTCCTTTCAGTGACATGGCTGTGACAAGATAGCCGTTGATGTAGTGCAGCCTTCTGTTTCGTCTCGGTGTGCCTACAGTGCCGCACCCGGACCCGACTAGCTAAGCGCTTCTCGGAACGCGGATCTGAAAGAGCGGCCTGTGGAAGAGAAGACGCTCTACGCCTCCACCTCGAGTGAAATATTAAGGAATGCCAATTAAAGTGGTCCATCGATGCCGAAGGGGTGCAAACGTTCGTCAGTGCGAGTGGAGAGCCTTGCTCAGAGGTGGAGCAGGGCGAGTTGCTGAATACATACCATCATCATCATCCCCATCGCCAACGCAATGTTCTCGTCAGTGGCAGTTGTCGTTGCTGCCTTCGTGGCGCTAGGCTGTGCGCAGAGCAACAGTTCGTACCCTTCTCCTCCCACAGTGCTGGGTCCTGAGGATGTGACAGGCGGGAGCATCGAGGGCTTCCAGCAGCCACACCTCTTCCAAGACAATGGCACCTACGGACCCCAGGTCGAGATTATGCATTACTACTACGACCAGTGGCCAATCGGCCTGGCCGCATTTCCCACAGGCGACAGCAAGGCCCTGTACGCTTGCTACACCCGTGGGCCGTACAAGTACACATTGGGCAAGATCACCAATCTCACCGCCGAAGAGCCATGGCCCAACCAGGAGATCAACACGCCTCCTGGCGGTCTGCTGGACGAGAATCTGTCTTCGCTGACCGGGTATTCGATGGCCACCAACTCGACCGACCACTTCATCAGTGTGCAGGCCCTCTATACCGATCCCAACGGTCGCCTTTGGGTCCTCGACACGGGTCGTCCCACTGTCACGTCTGATAATGGTGCTTCCACGATGGCGTATGCCGTCGTAGGCGGCCCCAAGCTGGTGCTTATGAACCGCGAAAACGGGACGATTGAGCGCACCTACACTTTTCCTGGCGACGTCCATTTTCCAGACTCATCAATCAATGATGTTCGTTTCGACCTCCGGCACAACATCACGGCTAGCGGTCAAGGCGTCGCATACATTGTCGACTCGAGCAACGAAGGAAGAAATGCCTTTATCGTGCTTGACCTTGGCACAGGCAAGAGCTGGAGGAGATTGGACCAACACCCGTCCATGCTTCGTACGTTGATTTTCTTCATCACTTACCCCTCCATTGCCGCTGACATGAAACGATCAGACACCTACAACAATCGAGCATCATATGCCGGCATCCCTACCTACATAGTAAGTGGCCAAAAGAGAGCCGATGAGGCTCACTCTCTGATTCCGTCTTTTTCTTCGTGACAGACAATCAAGGGCCAGTCAGAATATAGCAACAAAGAGGGTTTCGACGGTTTGGCCCTGTCGCCAGATGGCGAATACGCCTACTACTCGCCTCTGGTGTCGCAGTACCTCTATCGTGTCCCGACCTCTGTTCTTCTCGCAGACAATGGCCCAAACGGGACGGACGGTCATGATGCCGAACTCAAGGCCTCGTTTGCCGTCCAAAACTTGGGGCAGAAAGGCAGCCAGACGAATGGGTTCGACAGCTCGTCTGACGGTCGCATCTATCTCTTGGCACCTGAGCAAAACGCCATCTTTGCCTTTAATCCCAACACGAGCAAGATTGAGCCCTTCGTGAGGGACCCTCGGCTCTACTGGATCGATAGTGGGTTGCAACAGTCTCTTCTCAGAGTCGGCCACTCAATCTGACTTGGATGGACACTCTTCCTCACAGGCGTGGTTGTTGCAGACGATGGCTATCTGTATGGCAACTGTAATCAACTCCCTCGGCAGATGCAGTGGAACAACGGCACGGAAAAGCGCGTCAAGCCAGGCATCATGTTCCGCGTCAAGCTACCCGAGGGTGCCAGCCGCATCACGACAGGCCTGGGAGGTGCTTAGAACCAGATCTTGTTGAATTGCAACCACGTGGACTAAATTGATGTTGGTTGGCGCGTCAATTGTTGGCTCACCCTGGTGCGGTTTCAGTTTCTTTATCGACCTTCTCGTCTTCCCCATCCTTTCCAATTTTCCTCCCCTTCCCTAACCGCTCTTCCTTCCGCATCCTCTTTCACTTTCCGCCCTGACCGAGGTCGTCACTGTGTAAAGAGGTCTCTGTCCCGTTCTTGCGTCAGTCAGCTGTGCCCTCTCGTATCTCGCGCCTCAGCAAGACAACCCTCGTCAGAACCCCACAAAAGGAAAGCGCAAGAAATTTAAGCTCGGCTCCTCCTCAAAATCGACAATGGCGCCCGCACAAAAAGGCTTTTCATGGTCCAACATTGGCGTTGGTGCCATCATGAACATGTTCGAGGTGAGTCGGCCAATTCATTAAAAGGCGAGAGGGCTCGCGGAGCTTACCATGGCACGCGCTGCCCATTTCAAGGTCACGACGCTCGGTCAGCCCCTCGAGGTGGTCAAGACGCAGATGGCCTCGAACCGAACCCAGACGATGACGCAGGCGCTCTCGACTGTCTGGTCCCGGGGCGGCGTCATGGGCTTCTATCAGGGCCTGATTCCCTGGGCCTGGATTGAGGCCTCTTCGAAGGGTGCCGTGCTCCTCTTCACCGCCTCCGAGATCGAGAAGGTGGCTTCCAATGCTGGCGTCAGCCCCGGCTCTGCCGGCCTGCTCGGCGGCATGGGCGGAGGTATTGCTCAGGCGTACGCGACCATGGGTAAGTGTAGCACAGCAGGGAGGAGATGGGAAGATGGACGGAGTAAGCGAGCTGACTGGAGTAAGATCAGGTTTCTGCACCTGCATGAAGACCGCCGAGATCACCCGCCACAAGCAAGCTGAGGCTGGCATCAAGCCGCCCAGCACCTGGGCCGTCTTTGCCGACATCTACCGTCGCGAGGGTATCGCGGGCATCAACAAGGGTGTCAATGCCGTCGCTGTGAGGCAATGTACCAACTGGGGCAGTCGGTGAGCGTTGTTGCTGTTGTTGTGGTGTCATCTTGTTCTCGCTCCTTGTTCCGTTCTCTGAGACTCTCTCTTTCCACTTGGGAACAGGATGGGTTTCGCACGATTGGCAGAGCAGCCGGTGCGTGCCTTTAGCGGAAAATCGGAGAAGGACAAGTTGGGCCCCATGGAGCGTATCATTTGCAGCTCCATCGGTGGTGCTCTTGGATGCTGGAACCAGCCCATCGAGGTTGTCCGAGTTGAGGTGAGCAATACTCTGCGGGGAGAAAGAATAAGGAAAAAAAAGAAAAAAGGAAAAGATCAAGGACGTAAAAGCTCACACGCCGGGAATCTGCAGATGCAATCGATGGCCAAGGCCGAGCCTGGCTCCAATCGGCCGGCCAAGCCGACGATTGCCAACACGCTCAGCTACATCTACAAGGAGAACGGCTTCAAGGGGCTTTTCCGAGGCGTGCAGCCCCGTATCGCCCTGGGAATTTGGCAGACGATCTGCATGGTCTCCTTTGCCGACTACGTCAAGGAAGCGGTCGCCGCGGCAGCAAAGAAGGCCGACGAGGTCAAGGCCGCTGCTTGATGAACACGGCCTCAATTGCAACGAATCCATAGACTAGCCTTCACAGGCGCTCGCCACCTTATTTGTTTCGTGCAGCAGGAGATTCGTGGGGCTTGAGAATGAATGAAGAGCGGCTTGTGCGTACACCTTTCTTGTCTTGCCCCTCTCCTTCCATCTGCGGCCCTCCACCAAAATACAATGCATGAGAGATAGGTCCCAAAGTTACTCTGTGTTGAGGATGCAGCTTGAGGTGGATGTAATGTGACACTGCAGGACAAAATTGGGGGCCGATTCGCAAAGCACAATTATTGCTATTGCTGCTGCTACACTGCTGCACTACGTTCTAGCAGTAGTATCGCAATAAGGTACCGGCCAACGACCAGCCAATCCAGGCTAATCAGGACTACCGCCCGACGTTCTATGCCGGCCGTCTTTCAAATACAGGGGTGGGGCCCGCGGCCTCTGGTGCCCAAGTTCGATTCAACTAGCGGAAAAAATGCAAACCACCGCCCATGCGCATGATCCGGTTTGTATCGAACAGCCCTGTATTGGGAATTTCAGAAATGGGCATTTTGAGTTCAATGCGAAGCATCATAGTCCGTTTAGTTTCCCTTTCTTTTCTGGCTGCACAACGGTGCGGTCTCTTGCTAACCACTTTCGTCGTTCGTTCTGTCCCCTTGTCCACCTGGTTCACCTGTCTGTCCTTTGACCTGTCAGCACCGCGCGCCCTCGTCTCCTCCCCTCCTCTCGCCGCTCGCTCGTTCGCTCTTGGCTCACCCTCTTTTCATTGGCGCCACGGCTAGGCCCCTTGTCAGGACAACTGTCGCGACTCGATCGACGCACGCTGGCTGGTGACGCCAGCGAGGATATTCCAAGGAACCAGAAAGCAAGGACAATTACGCCTAACGGCGTTTCGCAACGTCTATCTCTATCTGCCTCCGTCCACGCCCGCCTCGACGGCTTTCCCATTCACGCCTCGCCCTACATTCCGAAGGGGCTGCATCGATTGAACCCGGTGGGCAAAAGGGGGTAGCAAGTGACCGCCAACATGGGTTGCGGACCTTCAAAAGAGGACAAGGAGGGGGCGGCCAGGAACGAGGAGATCGAGGTGATTTCCCCTGCTCGGTCCCGGGTCTCTCCTACCTTCTACTGATGCTCAAGTGATCCTTACCTTCTCCCAGGCACAACTCAAGAAGGACAGGCTCGCGCAGAAAAATGAGATCAGTGAGTCTGCACTTCTCTCGCCTGACCCCACTTTGCGAGCTCACCGAAGACCGTCTCCTCCTTTCCCCCTCTGCAGAGATGCTGCTCCTTGGCGCGGGAGAGTCAGGAAAATCAACAATCCTTAAGCAGATGAAGCTCATCAACCTGGGGTCCTACACACCGGACGAGAGGGAGTCGTACAAGGTATGTGGAGCAGCCGGGCTCGCAGGTAGAAGGAAACTGACCCGGGCATCTTGTGATCGCGCAGGAAATCATCTTTTCCAACACACTGCAATCGATGCGAGTCATCCTCGATGCCATGGAATCGCTCGACATCCCCGTCGAGAACGCAGACAACAACCGAAGGGCCGAAGTGATCCTTAGCCTCCCACCACAGATCGACGCCGAGAGCTTGCCGAGGCACGTCGCCGATGCCGTCGATGGCCTCTGGCATGACCGTGGCGTCCAGACCTGCTTCGCCAGGAGCAGAGAATTTCAACTCAACGACTCGGCTTCCTAGTGAGTACGCATCGTGCCTTTGCTCTGCTGCGACGCAGATCGCTGACGATGTGTCGACTAAAGCTACTTTGACTCGATCCAACGAATGGCCTCGCCAAATTACTTGCCGACGGACCAGGACGTGCTGCGATCGAGGGTCAAGACAACGGGAATCACAGAGACACACTTCCAGATCGGTGATCTCAAGTACAAGGTCTTTGACGTCGGTGGACAGCGGTCAGAGCGAAAGAAGTGGATTCACTGCTTTGAAAACGTCACTGCCATCCTCTTCCTCGTCGCCATTTCCGAATATGACCAATTGCTGTACGAGGACCAGAATGTGAACCGGATGCAGGAAGCCTTGACGCTCTTCGACTCGATCTGCAATTCGCGTTGGTTCGTTCGAACCTCAATCATCCTCTTCCTCAACAAGATCGACCTCTTCAGACAGAAGCTGCCGACAAGCCCCATGTCCGACTACTTTTCAGATTACACTGGTGGCCAAGACTACGATGCGGCGTGCGAGTACATTGTCAACCGCTTCGTCAGGTGAGTCTTCTTTTCCTTGCCGCTCCTCTCAATGACCGCGAGATCTGACACCTCTTCACCGCCTTCTTTTCTTCTCAATCTTCACAGCCTCAACCAGAGCGACTCCAAGACCATCTATTCGCACTTCACGTGTGCAACCGATACCAATCAGATCAAATTCGTCATCTCAGCCGTCAACGATGTCATCATTCAGGTGAACCTCAAGTCTTGTGGACTACTGTGAGCGTCAATCGCCTCGTTACAGCCTTCCGCAGGGTTCATGTTGTTCACCCCGAGTGTCAATCTCTCTCTCTCTCTCCTCTTTCAACCCCCTTCAATATAACAATGCCATATACCGACCGACCGACCGACTGCTGCTTTTGGACCTGTGTTGCCGTCATTCGACTTCCTCGCCCTCCATCCTATCTCGACTTTCGCCACGCTCAGGCTCTGAACGTTGATCCGCCAAGCTCGTTCTCGCCTCCTGCCAGCAACTTCGTCATGATCAACCCATCAGACAATCATGTGAATGGCGGAAATCGAGGGTCGATGAAATTTACTTCTTGGGCGCCCTCCGATCTGGGCTCTCCTCCCACTAATCTAGATCCTGTCCAAAAAGAGGCGACTCTCGAAGGCCTTGTCAAAGGCAATCAAGGCACTTACATAGCACACACCAACTCTCACTCAATCTCGATTCGTCTTTCTACTTTCTTCTTCTCTTACTAGGTCACCTGAGGGCTGAAGGAAGCGCTGCCCCTCTCCGAGTGGATTCCCTCCTGAAAGAATGGGCCTTCACGATAGATTGAGTATGTGTGAGAGAGACTATCATACAATTGAGATTGATCGAGGTCATCAAACATCGACCCAGTCGTACAGGCAGATAAAATCAGCCAGGCGCTGGTTCCATCCGGCAGGATGGTGCGAGGGAGGAGAGGGTGAAGCCGAGGACTCTGTCGTCGTCGCTTGTTGCGAGGGCGATGTTGATGCGTCGTGATCGTCGCGGACCCAGAGATGAGAGTCTCTAGGCTTGCTCAGGACAATCAGTGGCTGCTCCGCGTCGCGGCCTCGCATCGCCCTGAGGCGCTCTACGGCACCGAAACCCCACTCGCAGTGCCCCGCTCCGCAGATGACGAGCACGGTGTCGTTGTGCCGCTTGCCCACTTGGTCTATTGCGCTGCTGTCGGCGGCAGACGCTGACGAGAGTGGAGTCAAAGTAGCGGGCAGATCGAGGACGTGGTCTACAACATGGGCGAGATACGTGTCCTTGAGGGCTTGCGCAGCGAGGAAGCCCGTCTTCTCTTCGGGTGGAGCCACCGTGACTGTGTTTTCGGTCGCCCTTGCAGCCACAGACAGGTTTTCAGGAGGACAAGGAGCAGGCTCCTCGGGTCGGAAGAGACTTCGGAGGTAGGAGCGATGCGGCCACGAAACGTGGCTGATCAGCGACCACTTCTGCTCCGCCCGCATGGGTGGAACGACAGAGTCTGACGCTGGCTCTGCTTCGATGAATCGGTCCGAATCAAGCTGCTGTATGCGGCTCCAGACATCTTGCTTCTGCTGCTGCTGCTTGTACTCTTCGCTTTCTGCAGTAGAGTCCTCCTTCCCTCGTGCCAAGAGAGAAGCCCAGCTTCTTGGCGGGAAGCCGGCCCAGACCTTGACGTCGTTCTCCCTGGCAAGCTGAACCAGCGGCCAGTAGTGCCGAAGATCGAAGCCTTCTTGGGAGGACACTGGCCGTGCTCTCGCCTTATCCTGCTCCTCTCCCTCTGCCACGGCTGGCACGGGAGCGGCAGCCCGGTTGAGGAGCGGCTGCTCGACGAGATTGAACTGCTCGAGGACGAGATGGACACGGGCATCTTTGCCGTGCTCGCGCCGGCGATCTTTGACGAGTGCGAGGAGCAGCTGGAGCTGGGCGGACAACACCTCTGGCTGATGGTGCTGCTCGCCAAAGAAGATGACGCGGTGCTTGCGAGACCGCCTCACAATCTCTTCAATCGTTGACGGCGACGACGGGGCAAAAGATGAGGACAGGGACGACGACGACGATGACGATGCTAGCAGATGGTCAATCTGATGCGGGGAGGACCCTTGCGTCCGATCGGTTTCGGCCTCGATCTCCTCACTACTATCTTGTTGCTGGGAAGCCTGGCACGGCTGCTCTCGGCGCAGCTGCGTCGTCTGCCAGTACCTTGGCAGATGCCGCGCATCGACGACGTGCGGTGGCGAAAGGCGGCCGACGAGCCAAGACATCCTCTTTGCCATTTCCGTCATTGGTGCCGCCATCGATCTCTTGCCTGCGACCGCCTCATCGTCCTTCTGTCTCGCAGCGGTCTCATCAGCGACCATGACCCTCCGAATCGCCTTTCGGGTCCTTCCTTGTCAGGAAAGAAACGCCAGGTTTAGACTATTGATGAATAGTGAATGTGGAGGGTTGTTGCACTTGTCAGTCGATCTGAAATTGGAGATTTTCGGGGAGACGCCAAAAGAGACAGGGAAACAAAGATGGCTCGGTCCGGCGAAGCAGGTGAGGCAATGCCGACTTTGCTCTCCGTTGTTGGTTGGACTGCCCACGCCAGGGATCCTAGTTGAAGTAGTACATAAGGACAACGCGCCCCCAGCTTCACAAGCCCGTAGCAAACGGGCGAAAGATGCAGAAAGAAACGCGACACATATAGTCTGTGATTATACCAGCATTGAGAAGTTGTTTTGAGAGAAGAGAAATGATGTACAGAATGTTTGTGTAGTTTAGGGCAAGGGGAGCAAACGAAGCCTTCACTCGCCGTCGAGCGGGCAGCGGGGAGGAGTGTCATTGACCTGAATACCTCCTCGTCGCGGGTGCTTGGAGTCGTCATAGACTGTTCTCCACCCTGTGGTCCAGCCCAGTCCGAGAGGATCAGGTCCCTCTGGGCACGCGAGCCAGAGGCGGAGTAGGTGGCGACGAGGCTTGGGCGGCAGGTGGTCCTTGTAGGCGGTGCGCGCATGGAGGACGTGGTGGTCGCTGACGAATTGAATGTCTCCCACCTCGAGGACCATGTGCAGCGAGAGACGCTGGGCCGTCTGCTCGAGAACCTCCATAGCCTCGAGCTGCTCTGGCGACGTAGGGGGAATGAGGCCCGCTTCGATGTGGCGGCCAAGAGATCGAATGTAATAAGGGTCCCAGTGGATGACGAGCCGGTTGTCGGCTTCGCCCTTGGCGAGAGCGAACACGGGGCGAGTGACCCATCCGCGCTGACCGTGGCTCACCTCGCCTTTACGGTCAAAATGCCAGATGGGGCTTGCCAGTGTCTTGGCCACGTCAGGCCGCGTTGCTTGCAACTCGTTCCAGACGCGGTGAGCAGACACGATGTCGCTGTGGCCGCCCTCGAGCGCTGTGGCGAGGCACAGGAGGCCCACGAGCCCACCGCTGGAGTCGGTGTGGAAGACTTAAAGACAGAAGAGGGAAAAAGGTTCAGCGGGGGAGACTACGATGCAAATTCCGACTACAAATGCTCACATTGGCGAGCGTTGGTCGAGTAGATTCGGACCTTGTCAATTTGCGTGGGGTCGTTGCCCAGGTCCTTGACGTGGCCGAGAACGTGTCCCTTGTGGTTTTGAGAGTTGACGTTGCCGAGGTACGAGCCTAGACCAAGGTAAGCGATTGCGCTGATGTGGGGTCCCCATCGCTCGACAGGAAGCCCTTTGAACAGCTTGAAGCCGACACCATCAACGAGCTCCTTTCGCAGCGATGTCAGCGTGGCGACGAGAGAGGCGGGCAGAGGGAATGTCGAGCGCTCAATCTCGCCCAATTCCCTCCCACTGTCGCGCCAAATGACGCTGGCCGTCTCGAGCTGCTCGATTTCCTCTGGAGTCCAGTAGCGGATCCACTTGGGGGCATTGGCCTCGCCACGGTAGTCCTCAGCCTCCCACACGGTAGGACCGGTGATTTTTTGCGGCAGGTCCTCGTAGGGCGTCACCAAGCTGAGGTTAGCGTCGTGCTGGCCCGAGGTGAGAACATTGGTGGCGCTCTTGAGAGAGCGCTGCGCCTCAACAACGTTGGAGTGCTCCTTTTCGGCCTCGCGCTGCTGCAGCGGTGAAGATTGCGGGAGGGCGGAGATCATTGTGCTTGAGGTAGTGGGTGGTTAAAGTTGTGAGTCAAGAGTTCTCTCTGCAACTCCTCTCGCATGACCACTATGGAAGGGTCGCCGTGCCACCGATTAAGCATCGCCGTGTCAATCGCCATTCTTCCTAGTCCGCGGCGCCGGCTCGATGGCGTGCTCACCTGTGCTTTGAGGCTAGACTACCTAGGGTGCACGGTTCACATTGGGCTTGCATTTTCTAAATTTAAATTCAGAGGCCGCTCTTTGCGCCTTTGCTGTATTCGAAGCTGCTGCTCGCACGCAATCACGTCGGTGCTCCCTGGTGGAGGTGAGAGACATAACGTCAGAATAAGACTCTTCAGGGCAGCGAAAACGACATTTGCTCGTCCGTGCCTGCCCTCGATTCTCGGACTGCCCTAGCCTAGCTGTTTGTGGTCTGATCATTCAGGTGATGATAAAGATAGAGTGGCTTGGCTGGGTGCCTGAGAAATCACAACTCTTTCACCGTCCACATCGCCTCTTCCCTAGACGAGCTTCTTGGTTGTTGCCGTGCCGCCATGTCCGACGTGGCGCAGCACGAAAAGGCGCACGATGCCTACCCGGACAACAGTAATTCCGTGTCTGCGGTGGAAGCCGACTATACTGAACAGGAAGAACGCAAGATTGTGCGAAAGATTGACTGGATCTTACTTCCCATCCTGACATTTCTCGTGAGCAAGCTAGAGGAAGAGCAGATGAGTAGGACCTGGGCCACTGAAAATTGTGTTCACTGCAGTACTTGCTGTCATTCCTCGATCGTTCGAATATTGGAAATGCTCGTATCGAAGGCCTGGTTAGCGATCTCAAGATCAAGGACTACTCGACCCTGGTCAGCATCTTTTTTGTCGGTAAGTGACGTGGCTCAGCGAAGAGTGCAGAAACATTTGACTCACGGTGTCGCGTTTCAAAGGCTATGTCATTGCCGAACTGCCAGCCAATTGGGCTCTCAAGGTCACAAAGCCAGCTCTTTGGTTGCCGACACTCACGCTTGTTTGGGGCATCGTGAGCGTCACGATGGGCCTGGTTCACAACGAAGCGGGAATGTATGCCGCCCGATTTTTGTGAATATTCTCATGTTCAATCGGAGACGGTGGCGGTCCGCTTACCATCTCTCCTTTCTCGCAGCCTGGGGGTGGCCGAAGCAGGATTATTCCCTGGAGTCCTCTACGTCTTTAGTCGCTTCTACAAACGAGCAGAACGAACGGCAAGAGTGTCGTTCTTCTTTTCGGCAGCCGCTGCCGCCGGTGCATTCGGCGGCGTTCTTGCCTATGGTCTGGGCAGAATGAATGGTATTGGCGGTAAACACGGCTGGTCCTGGATCTTCATCATTGAGGGTCTCTTGACTATCGTTGTCTCCTGCATCGCCTATCTTATCATCCCAAACTATCCTCACCTCTCTAATCGGTTTTCGCCGCGCGAGAAAGAGATCATCGCCGCACGCCTGGGCGCCGACTCAGACGCTCTCGAAGACGAGAACTTCAGCTGGGCCGAGGTCAGGCGTGCTCTCACAAGCATCCAAGTCTGGGGCTATTCGATCCTTTTCCATTGCTACAGCTTTGGGCTATACACCCTCAGCAATTTCCTTCCCAGCATCATCCAAGGGCTTGGCTATCAGAGCTACCAGGCGCAACTCCTGACGGTCCCTCCGTATTTCTTCGCCTTTCTCGTCACCATGACGACTGCATATGTGTCGCAACGCCTGAAGATCCGGGCACCTTTCATCATCGGGGCAGCTTTCATCGCCATTATCGGTTACATTGTCCTCATCACTTCTCCGACCATTGGCGGGAAATACGCGTAGGTGCTCTTCGTGGTATCTGATACTTGAACAGTCAAGCTGATGTGACGCTCCCAAACAGTGCCGTCTTCCTCTGTGCTGGTGGAATCTACTCTGGAACAGCTTTGCTCCTCGCTTGGCCTTCTGAGAATCTGATGGGTCAGACTTTCCGTGCAACGGGCCTTGCCATGGTCATTTCCATCGGCGACGTGGGCGCAATTGTTGGTACTCAACTGTACCGTATCCCGCTTGGAGGCGTCGCCAACAAGAACTACCACATCTCATACGCCCTCACTATCGTCTACCTCGGCCTGGGAGCTATCACAGCGGGCTCGTTGTGGTTCGGTCTTGATCGAGCAAACAAGAAGGCTGCTGCGCTTCCGGCCAAAAACGAGAGTCACGAACAGCTTTGGAAGAAGTTCGGCTTCATTTATCAAGTCTAGGTGCAGCTGTACCTTAATTTCAATGCCCAGGGCGGCTTTCTTTTCTTTGTTCATATTGCACTGCATCGTACATACTGCAGAGTCACGCACACGAAACGACAGATGGCAATTAGATTGAGCATGCATTGATAAGACGATTAGGGCTTGAAGATCTAAGGTGATTCATGCTTCGTTAAAAGTGGCTGTCCGACTCTGGACAGCGTCTCTAGCCCTGACAATGTCGTGTTCGTCTATGCCAGCACTCTCGCAGAGCTGCCTGAAAAGACCTCCTTCCTTCGCAAACAACTTCGTGGGTTCATCGCACTCAGCCACTTGCCCCTGGTCCATAACACAAACGACATCCGAGGGTCCGACGACAGTGTCAAGTCGGTGAGCAACGGTAAGTACTGTGCATGGCCTCAGGACATCCTGAAGCATCGTCTGGATTCGGCCGTCAGTGGCGCTATCCACAGATGCCGTCGCCTCGTCCAAGATGACAATCTTGGACTGCTTGACCAGGGCTCGAGCTATCGAGACGAGGGCTCGCTGGCCTTGCGAAAGATTTGAGCCTTCCTCTGCGATGGTCATGTCTAGCTGAAGCCTCTGAGGCTCCTTGTCTGCTTCCTTCGCCGCAGCCTTTTCTTCGACAATCGTTTCCGCTGCCACAGAGCTCGACGATGACGCAACTTCTTCTTGGGCATTCACCAGACGGGCCTGCTTGAGGGCATTCCAGAGGTCCAAGTCATCGTGCTCGCCGAACGGATCGAGATTGTACCTAAGCGTGCCTGCAAAAAGGACGGCATCTTGCGAAATGACCGAGATGCGACGACGCAAGAGCCCCAAGCCCACGTCATGGATGTCCACGCCGTCGATGGTGATACGGCCGGAAGAAGCCTCCATCATACGAAGTAGCGATGAAAGCACTGATGGTGTCGCCAGTCAGCCTCTCTTCGGATAACACAAAGTCACATCAGCTCGTACTCACAAGTCGTCTTGCCAGCCCCGGTCCTGCCAACGACACCGACCTTCTGGCCCGAAGAGATGGCCAGCGAAACGCCGCGAAGCGCTGGTGCGAGCTCGGGCCTATGAGAAGCTGTAATGTTGTCAAACTCGACTTTGCCCTCACTCGGCCAGCCACTCTTCTCGAGACGCTCATCGATGTGGGGGATCTCGTGTGGGGCCTCCTGTTCGACCTTGTTGGCGTAATGAAGAAGCCGCTCGATGGAGTTCATGTTGTTCTCGATCTCGGCAGATTGTCGAATCATCTGTCCGAAGACGGATTGAACGGTCACCATGTAAGACAGCACAACTCCGCCATCGGCTGGGGTGATGGAGCCGCGCAGCCCAACGACGAGCAGGCCAGTGGCCAGGACCAAAAGGGCTCCAAGCAAGTCCAGACGAATATTGAGCCAGCGTTGGCAGGCAATCGAAAGCCAGTATGCCCTAGAAAAAAGACTGAAACTCAGTAATGTTCCCTCTGCAATTCAGAAGCTTCTTCATGCTTGTGCTTACCGGTTCTCCGAATCGATGCGCTCGGCATTCTCCTTTTCAAAATTGGCCATCGCGCCGTACGCACGAAGTGTTGTGAGGCCGGCAATGGACTCGGAGAAATGCTCGTAGATGCGTGATCGGAGGAGATTGTTGAGCCTTCGGAGCTCCCTAGCACTGGGACGGTAGAATATGCCGGTCCAGACGTAGAGGATGACGACGACAGCGGCGATCGCAAGAAACCAGGGCAGAATGATGGCCACGAGAATGACGGAGCCCAGCGCCTGTACGGTGGTGCTGATGAAGAGGCGGAGCGTTTCTCCCACAACATTGTCAACTGCGTCAATGTCGCGTGAGAAGCGGTGTACGATTCGGCCTTGCGGCGTTGTATCGAAGAAGGACAACGGAGCATGCAAGATGCGTTTCGCTGCGCGGCTATGAAGGTGCGTCGATGTGTAGAAGGCGAAAAGGGCAAACGAAGCGCTCATGCAGAATAGTCCGAGCGATTGGCCTAGACCGAGAGCGGCGTACACGCCCATATAAACTCCCTGAGAGAGGTAAGGCCATCTCTTGGCCTCCCACCAGCTCAGCCAGAGCGGGCTGAGGATCGTAGCAGCCTGGTAGAAAACGATGGAGGTGACGAAGAGGGGCACCGTGATCGGTGCATGGCCAAGGAAGATGTAGTCAAGGTAGGTCCGGAATGTGACGGACCCGACGAGGCGCTCTTCTTTCTGCATGATATCTCGTGGTGCTTTCTCGTCCTTCTTCTTCTTTTCCTCCTGTTCCTTCTCTTCCTTTTCTTTGTCTCCCTCCTTCTCCTCCACGGTCTTTACGTCCTCCAGCTTCCCTTCAACTGTCTCTTCCTTATCTATGTCATCGCCTCCAGGCTGGTCTCGCTGCTGCTGCTGTTGCTGCTGCTGCTTGAGACCAGCGCGCATGAGCTTGGCAAAGGCACCGTCGCGTGCCATAAGATCAGCGTAGCTACCCTGCTCTCTAATCGTACCAGTCTCGAGGTAAACGACGTGATCGGCATGGGGAACAAGCGCTAGCGAGTGGCTGACGAGAACTGTCGTTGTGCTGCTTCTGCTGCCCTTAGCCTCCCTTCGTCGCCGCTTCTCCTCGAGGACAACGTGATCAAAAACGCGAGCGCCAATATGAGCGTCCAGGGCCGAGAAGCAATCGTCAAGCAGGCGCAGCGGTCGATCCTGCCCACTGTAAACGGCGCGGGCGAGTGAGATTCGCTGCTTCTGTCCACCTGAGAGCGAGATACCCTTTTCACCGACGACTGTCTGGTCACCGTCGACGAGCGTGGCCAAGTCGGCCTCAAGGCAACATTGCCGGATCACGTCTGTGTACCTTCTCTCATCGTACGGCTTGCCAAAAATGATGTTTTCACGCACTGTCGCGCTCAAGAGCCACGCTGTCTGAGGGCAATAGGCCACAGGTGCGCCCAGCCGCAAGTCGTCTTTCTTGACTGCTCGCATGTCACCGAGGAGGGCACGAAGGAGCGAAGACTTGCCTGAGCCCACCGGTCCGACAATGACGACGATGTCTCCGCGACGGACGGTGAGATTATCGATGTGGAGCCCAGTCGGAGACCTTTCTTCATCAGACTGCGCCTTCTTCTCGTTGACCGAGTCTGCACCCGTGTCTGACGGCGTTTCGTCGTCGTCCTGGTCATGGTGCTCGAAATGAGCGTTGCGCACGCGAATCATCTCGTTCATCTCCTCGTCGATCGGAGGGTCTGGGCCTCGCATATCCGCATGCATAAAGAGCTCAAGCCGTTCGATAGCGGCTCGAGCGTCGGCCAAGCTACTCAGGGCGACGGGCAACATTTGCAGAGGTGTTCGCAGCAGAAGAAAGAAGGCGAGCGAAGAGAAGATGACGCCGGAGTCGAGTGAGTGACCTGTACCGGCGTAACACACAAAGCTCACGACGGCTGCCAAGGTGGGCACGGTAAAGGAAACGGCGGTGTTGATGGAACGAAGGATCAGCCGTTTGCGCAGATAGCTCATCTCATCGTTTCGCATGCCACGGATTCGCTTCAGAAGCGCCGGTTCCCAGGCGTACGTCTTGACAAGGCGAATGCTGGCTACAGCCTCGACGACGGCCTTGATGCGAGCGTCTGTAAACGGCATGCTCGCGCGACGGAGAGCGAAGAGCTTTTTGACCATCAGGTTCTGTGTCGGGTAGAGAAGTGCAACGAGCGCGAAGCCGGGCAGGGCGCTATACGAGAGCGAGTAAATCATCAGCGCCAGGCAGACGACCACTTGCACCAAGCTTGTCCATCCCATGTGAAGATAGCCACAGCAAAAGTCGATACGGCTGACGTCGGCCGACACTAAGCTCATGAGCTTGCCTGAGCCGAGGCCACCCTTCTTCCTCGCCCGTTCCGACAGCTTTGTCGCTCGACGGTAGATGACGTGGATCAGAGCGCCACGAAGAGCAATACCGGTCGTGTAAGAGCGATAGAAGCCGTGGACGTTGCAAACGACAGAGACGACCAAGAGGAGAAAGAGGCCCACGGTCAGGCCGAAGCCGCGACGGCGCTCGGACTCGGCCCGGGGACCCTCTGTGTACTGGAGCGTGTCGATGACGGCTCGCACGAGCAAAGGCGAGGTGATGATGGCGAGATCACCAAAGAGCTTGAGGAGGCCTCCGAGCCAGAACCATATGAGGACGACGTCATTGAGGGCAAGGGTCAGGCTGGGCTTGTGTCTGTCCTGCTGCCTTTTTTTCCACAACTTCTCCTCCGCGACAACGTCTCGCCGAAGAATCCTCCAAAGCGAACGAGTAGCGAAAGACGGTGACTTCTCGGTCTTGATGCTTTTTTCTCGCTCTTTTTCCATGGCCAGCTTTGACCGTTCGGTCCGCCTGGCCCAAGCTTCCTCAAGCCGAGCCGCGTACACCTTGGCCTGCCGGTGGTCGGGCATGGAATACAACTCTTCTGCCACGAGCGGCCTGGTGTAGCCGATGGTGAGAATGCGATGAAGCCAGCCAAACGTGATGACCGAGAAGAGATTGGCGCCCATCTCCGGCAAGACCGGGTTCGCGCCAATGTTCTCCGCCGGCAGGCAGACGGCATCTTCCCGCGGCCTTGTTCGCACAAACGGCACCTTGCGCCACCATCGCCGAGGAGGATAGCGACCCGACGTATCAGCTGTCGGGGCCATCTTCTGATCTCGCAAAAGATGTCGCAAAAGGGCTTTGGGTCGTGGTTGGTGAGAGGAAAGGGTGACGGCCCCTTCTGACGCGGAAGGCTGCCGTCACCACACCGCTTGCGAAGCATCGCGAGCTTCAGCTTCTCCCGCCTGCTGCTCCTTAGCCCGTTTTGAAAAGCGAGAAAAAAAAGTTTTAGGGTTGGCGCTAGCGACTACGGGCATCCTGATGCCTTGGCAAAATGTTTGATAATCTGATTAGAAGACCGAGGGCATGCATCATCGTCCCATCTTCCCGCAAAAAAAGATTAAAATTGCCGGCGTTGCGTCAGTACAGAAGAAGCGAAGAGCGAACCTGGCGGCGGCCGAGTATAGGCACACATTGGGCATCAGAAGGAGAAGATGATCTCTTTTCAGGGACAGATGGCCGGCTCATCAATCTAGTCGGGTCTCGGTGAAGCGGATATGTTCCTGGGTTCCTTCCGTTTGCCAAGCAAACTTTTTCATGAAGGCAGGATGATGACGATCCGATGAAGGCGACCCGACAAGCGCAGGAAGAAAAGTCCTCGGCTCGGACTGACAGGTACAGGTAGATAGAGGGGCAGCGTTGGTCGCGATCCGCTTCTCGTCCCACAACACCAGCTCGCGCAATGTCGCTTCCACCTTCGAGGCTGCCCCGCTTTGATGTCTATAGACAGCGCCGGGTGGGGGCAGCAAGCTCGACAGTATGCGAGGTGAACGACGTCGAAGAAAGTGTCCTCATTGACCATTATGCCGCTTGGCTGCTTCATATTCTCAACACCGACGAGGCATGCTTTCTCTTGTTCAGCCAGTCAGGGGAACGAAGGACGGTCATCGTCGAAAAGAGCAAGACCGTCTCTTTACAACTCATCAACTATGATGCAGACGCACCTCCCCCAACCGACTTCAGCCTTGTCCTTGCCCAAGGACTTGTCGACCCAGGGCCAACTTGTATACTTTCGGTAGGCGTTGGTCTCCTCACCCTGACCTGCGCCGACACGCCCCGACCAGCCGTTACCAGCTTGCTTCAAGGACTGGCCTCCCGACTAGGTCATGCGTCTCCATCACACTCCTCGTCGAGCCTCAACCATCCACTGCAGACCCCGTACCCTATCTTCATCCCTCAAGATCTACGGCAAGACAATCATACAGGATACGAAGGCGACCTGCTCCATTCGGCGTTCGAGAGAAGGGCGATAGAATCGCCCGATGCCCCCGCCCTTGAGTTTCTCGAGGGCTGGGCGGAGCCTGCAGGATCGGCTAGGACGATAATACTCACGTATGCGGAGCTAGATCGCCGGGCGGCGATACTGGCACACCTCCTTCGCCGGAATATTGGTGCTAAGGCCCAAGCGCAGAGCTGGCCAGGCTCTGTGCCACTCTTTCTGGGTCCCTCGGTGGGCTTCTACATCAGCATCCTCGCGTGCCTCAAGGCCGGCCTGGCATTCTCGCCCCTCGCCCTCGATGCGCCGCCTGAGCGACTTAATACCATCATACTCGATCAGGCTGCTCCTCTCGTGCTTTACTCCCAATCGAGGCCCCACGGCATTGGTGGGGACACGACTGAATGGCTCGACGTGTCGTCGTTTGAGGAACAGACGATGAAGAGCGAAGAGCAGCGGTTCGAGATGGAGGAGCCGAGCTGGGCGGTGCGCCAAACCGACCTGGCCTATATCCTCTATACATCGGGATCGACAGGGGTGCCCAAAGGTGTCCAGATCACCCACTCTTCCGCTGCCACGTCTATCTCGGCCCATGCCCAAGCTGTGAACCCCCCGCTCGATCCTCAGAGGACCCGCTGGTTTCAATTTGCAGCGCCCACATTCGATCCGAGCGTCATGGAGATCTTTGTCACGTTCGGAACCGGAGGCACACTTTGTTCGGCGAGGAGAACTCTGACGCTCCAGGACGTCAATCGAACGGTGAACGAGCTTGGTGCGACAATCATGATGGCCACACCCAGCCTTGCCACGCTGCTTCGACGAGAACGAGTGCCAAAGTTGAAGAGCCTATGGACCATGGGAGAAGCACTCAGCGATGCCGTCGTTGACGCGTTTGCCAAAGAGGACGGCTCGTGCACCCTCTACAATGCCTACGGTGGGTTTCCTTGACCCTGTGCAGAGCGATGGATTGGATGCTGACAAAGCTCCTTCGAATCATCAGGCCCGACAGAGGCAGCAATCAATTGCACCCTGCTCAAGTTCTCACCTGGTTTCAGGGGCTCAATCCTTGGGCCGGCTTTGGCCTCATGCTCCCTCTTCGTCGTCGACGTCGACAGCCTCGCCATTCTGCCCCAGGGTCTAGCTGGCGAACTCATCATCGGTGGACCCCAGGTGAGCCAATTGGGCTATCTCCGCCGTCCAAAAGAAACACAGGCGGCCTTCATCGACGCACCCCACCTCGGAGGGCGTGTTTACAGAACGGGGGATGCGGCCAGAGTTGTCTGGTCTGACCAAGGGCAGCCTTGGATCGAGATCCTCGGAAGGATCGGGACCGGAAAGCGGCAAGTAAAAATTCATGGACAAAGAGTCGAGCTGGGCGAGGTCGAGAGCTGCCTTCTCGAGGCAGTCGAGAAGCGAGATCGAGTGAGGTCCGTTAGAGCTCTCGTGCGGTCCAGTGGCTCCCTTGCGGCATTTGTCGAAATCGACGACGATACGACGGGACAGGGCCTACAGGAACGTTTGCGGGCTGCAGCAAGCACCAGGCTCCCACCATTTGCTCGTCCACAGGCTTTCGTCATCTCACCTCGCCGCTTCCTCTCCGCCTCGGGCAAGCTTGATGTGCGTGCAATGCTGGCCTTCGTAGAAGAAGAGATCTCAAAGGGAACCCTAGGCGACAAGGTCAATTCTGCAGAGGATGATGTCATGGGCAATACCGGCCATACGTCTCTTGATCGGCTTATCGACGCTGTCCAGTCCGTTACAGGAGCCAGAGTGGGACCGTCATCGACCATGACGGCGTCCGGTCTTGACAGTCTGGGCGCGATGCGTCTGCTCGATATGGTCAGGAACGATGAGCTTCTCTCTGGGTTGACGTTACGCGATCTCGTCGGCGAAGCAACGCTTCTGCAAGTCATCCAAGCAATTGAACAGAGACGATACAGAGGACCGCAAGATGAGATAGCCAAGCAGTTGGTCGCGTTTGACGCAGCCCACCGACCAACTTGCCAGGAGCAACTCGGCACCGATGTGAAAATCGAAGCGGTGCTCCCCGTGACAGCAACGCAGGCCGGTATCCTCGCCAGTTTTGTGCGATCGAGCAATCGCGCCTACGTACACCACTTTGGCTACCGGTTGAGCCCTGATGTTGATTTGGACCGCTTGCAACGAGCAGCTAAAACAGTCTTCTCAAGCTGCGAGGCCTTTCGAAGTACATTTGTAGCTGTGGACGATGAGCATGGTCGCTCGCCTTTCGCTCAGTGCGTCTTGGATGACATCGAGCACGATGTGGAGCGGGTCACGGTTGACAGTACTTCGGACGGCTCGCATGATCATGTGGTGCGAGAAGCACTTGACAGGGCACAAAGTGCGATTCGTCTCGAGAGTCCAGGATTCAAGCAGCACCTTGTTCTTGGACCAAGCAGGGAAGAGAGGACATGGACTTTGACAATTCTTCACGCCATCTTTGATGGAGGCTCCCTTCAGCTTCTGCTTCATGACATCTGTAGCCTTTACAAAAGCGAATGCCCGACGTCGAACGCGTACCAACACCGGACCGGACCGAAGTACGCCGTCGAGGCTTATTTCGAAGCGACAACACAACATGCTGGCGAAGCTACGAAAGCATTCTGGGAGCGAGAGCTGATCGATTACGAAGTTGAGTCGTTTCCCTCTATTCATGGGCTCAAACGCCAAGTTGCCCAATCAAGACCGCAGACTGGCGTGTGCGAACACCGAGCAACACTTGTCTCATTGAAAGCTCTTTGTAGCGCGGCTGCCAGGTTCAAGATTGGCTCGCCACTCGCCCTGGTTCAGCTGGCGTGGAGCCTTGTGCTGTGTGCTTATTCAGAGACAGCAAAGACCGATGTCGTTTTTGGAAGCGTCGTCTCGAATCGTCTCGACGCTGCGGCTAGGACGTGCACTTCACCCACCTTCACAACGATCCCCGTTCGGGTTCAGCTGGGAGGCGTCGATGGTAGGACGGAGCCGACGATGCGAGAAGCTGTTGCAGCGCTGGCTGCAAAAGCTTCGGCAGCGCTTGCACACGCCCAGCCAGCCCTACAGTCAATTGTGACGAAGGAAGGAAAACTGCCATACGACAGTCTCGTGGCTTTACAGCTTTTCGAATCCCAGGAGGGGACAGACCAGCTTTGGATCGAGGAGTGGTCACCAGCTATGACGAATGACTTCGCTGTCATGCTTGAGATCTGGCCTGGCGAGCTCACTCTCGATTCTGAAGCACCGCTTCGGCTTCGAGCCACGTACAAGGCCTCTGTCCTCGATGAGCAGTCGTGCGACGTGATGCTGCGGCAGTTCGCTGCGATCTTGGCGGTTCTGTGCTCTGTAGGCTCTGATCTGGAAAAGCCCCTTTCGAGCCTTTTCTTGGAGATGCAGTCTGACAATCAAAGCCTGCCGCTCCTTTCTCGCATCGGATCAAGACCAAGACCTGATGAGCCGTTGGATGAGCTCCTTCTGCACTATCAGTTCGAACAACACGCCAGGCAGCGGCCTGACGATATGGCACTGGTCTTCCAAAAGGGACACAGTGAATACACTCGCCTGACGTATGGGGAGCTCGACTCGCTTGCCAGCCGACTGGCTCTGCAATTGGCCAAGCTGTTATACAAGGATGGTTCGTACAAAAAAGATGCAGTGGTGCCGCTGTACGCCAACAAAAGCGTGCAGATGTACATCGCTGTCCTGGGCATCCTCAAAGCCGGCGCGGCCTGGTGCCCTATCGAGCCGACGCTCCCTGCAGCAAGAAAAGTAGGTTTGTTGCAGAGGACTGAGGCCAACATCGTTGTTACGGCATCATTGGAGGAAGGCGAGCGGGACGAGTTCGAAGCTGTAATGAAGGAAGCTGGTATGGAGCACGTCGTCGAGGCGAGCAGCAGGATTGACAACGAAGAGAGGGGTGACAGCCGTCTCCTGGAACACTTGGTGCCATCTCCTAGCCACCTTGCCTACCTCATCTGGACCAGCGGCACGACGGGCCTGCCGAAAGGTGTCCTTGTCGAGCACGAAGCAGCATCTCGAGCAATGCGAGCGCTTCAACATTCGATTCCCTCTTGCTCTCAGCGGCGACCACCCTCCACCATCAATTTTTCGGCTTTCACCTTTGACGTCTTCGTTCAGGACCTCTTCTACACCTGGGGGCTTGGCGGCGCCGTTGTCGGTGCTCCCCGACGCGTTCTTGTCGACGTCGATGGCTTCTCGAGTTTGGCGGCAGAGACGAAGGCGACACATTCTCACCTAACGCCAGCTTTCGGTGCATGTTTACCGAGGACGAAATGCTCTTCGCTCGAGGTAATCACGATGATCGGAGAAAAACTCACTGAAGAGGTCGCGATTTCTTGGCAGGGTAAGTGCAGTCTATTGGTCGACGTGAAAGACCTAGCCATAGGCTCATTGCTTCACCAGGCGACGAAAAAGATGGAAGTTCTGCGTGGAACACGTACGGTCCCGCCGAGAACGCAGTGGTGTCGACCTACCGCTCTTTCATGGCTGGGCACACGCACCAGTCTCACAATGTCGGCTGGCCCCTCGAAGGAGTCACTTGTCTCGTCGTCAGGCCGGTGTCTGGGAATCAAAGTGTTGCGACCACGCTTCGAGGCGGGACCGGCGAGCTTGCATTAGGCGGAGGCCAGGTCGCACGAGGATATCTCGGTGATGCCAAGAGAACCGGAGAACGCTTCATCGAGATGGCGAAAGAGGGTCGCGTCTATCTCACTGGTGATGTCGTGCGCATGCTCCCCGATGGCAGCTTGGACTTTGTTGGTCGACGCGACGACCTCGTCAAGCTCGGCGGTATCCGTGTTGAGCTTAGTGAGATCAGTCACGCCATATCGCACTGCCATAACAGAGTCCAACACGTCGAGACGCTTTACATCCCTCGGAGCAGCACCGACAAGGATGCGACTAAGCTCGTCATCTCATTCCTTCTGGTGCCTGATCTGAAAAGCGGCAGTGACGATTCCACGGAGACCGAAATTGTCGGTGCAGCAATGGCAGAGGCTTGCAGAACGCTTCCGTCACACATGCACCCGGCGAGATACCTCGTCGTCGACTCCATCCCTCGCTCAACATCAGCCAAGACAGATACTAAGGCCCTTGCAGCCATCTTCTACCAGCGCGCTCAAGATGACGTCAGAGAAACGAACGAAGAATACGATGACGAGGAAGGCGGCGAAACAGTTGATGACGACAGTAATCGTGCACATTTGGCCAAGTGCGTCGCCGAAGTTGTGGGCTTGCCGAATTGGAGAAAAGTTCGAGGATCTTTGCGCGCTCTCGGCCTCGACTCTATTCGGACGATTCGGTTGGCTCTCAAGATTCGCCAGGTGAAACGCTTGCAGACCGAAGTGGCGGCGTTCGATGTAATGCGCTGTGAGACCTTTGACGATCTCGTGGACGTTGTCTTGAGCAGTGGACAGGCGGACAAGGAAAGCGCGGACAAGGCAGGCGGGGAAGTCGAGAAACGGCTGAAGAGCTTCGAGGAGGAGTGGAGAGGAGAGGTGCCTCAACTTTCGGGCCTCGATGACAAAGCTGTGCAATTTGTGCTTCCCACGACGCTCCTCCAAGCTTCTCTTCTCGTCGAGACAGCCAAGGATCCGAGCGCGTACTGGTCAACGTCCACTTTCGTGCTCGAAAAGGAGATCAACCCTTCAGACCTGAAGGCAGTCTGGCAGCAGGTCGCTCGAGAGACCGAAGTGCTTCGGACAACATTCGTCCCAGCTCCGCATGGCTTCGTCCAGTGTGTTTTGCGGCCTGACGCGGTTGACGAACTCGTCGAGTGGGGGGAGGTTGATGGCGAAGGCGTCCAGGAGACCGTGGCTAGGAGGGCATCAGCCATCTCTGGTTCCCGGTCCGCCGCTCGACCGCTTTACTGGGCATTAACGTTAGTCAAAGATCGCCACCTCATTATCCACATGCACCACGCTCTATATGATGGCACAGCTTTCGACCTGATCCTCGCCTCCGTTGCTTCTCATCTTCTTGGAGACGTGATCGGTATCAAGAAGAGTAGAGGCTTGACGCATCTGCGCGAGGCCTTGCTCTTGTCCGACGCCACAGCCCTCGCATGGCCCCCAATCTCCACCTCGACTCCGACGACACATTGGGAATCGCTAATGAAGAGCCACGCCCCACGATGCCGACCTTGGTCACTCCCGGATCTGACTGCGGTGCGCAATGGGGAGCAAGGCATAGGTATGCATACTCGCACGGCAGAGCTACAATGCCCTTCGAACATCATGGTGAATGTTGCGCGCAAGACTGGTCTCGCATCGAGCGCTCTCATTGTTCAGGCCGCATTTGGATGCCTCGTGGCAGACTACCTCGAGCAAGGGGCCGTTTTGATCGGAACGACTTTGTCGGAACGAGGGCGTAATGCTAGACTCGAGGAGGCAGTGGCTCCCCTCGTTGTTACTGTGCCCTTTGTCGTTGACGGCGGTCGTCGACTCAAGAAGCAAGACAGAGATGAGGAAGCGGACGCCAACGCCAAAACGAAAACGGCAGGTGACTTGCTGCGTGACTTGGCCAGCCAGTGGAAGGCGTGCGAGAGGCAGCGTCACGTTTCGGCACGCACCATTCGTCAAGCTCTCGGATGGACGCACGATCAGGCACTATACCCCGCTTTGTTTGTTGTTCACGAATCTCAAAACGAGAAGAGTGCACACACAGAAGAGGAAGGAAAGCTGTGGACAAAAGCGGAAGCCGGCAAGGATGAGCCACAGCTTGCAGTCGAACACGATCTGGCGCTCAACGTCTACTTAGACCCAGAGGGACACCCTCAAAAGCTTGTCCTTTCGGCATCTTCCAAATTCCTCTCGGCTGAACACACGGAGATCCTCGTCAGGCAGGTGGAAGCGCAAGTTAGGTCTATGGTTGAAGCTTTCGAAGCACAGACGCCCCTGTGCCGTGTGCCTCTGGCTTTGTCAGAGGACCAGCGGCTGTTGTCTATTCAGCCACCTATCTACGTTGACGAACACACGGCCGCGGCGCCCAGTCGCCATCCTTGTTACTGGCTTCGCAAGCACGCCATCGAACACCCGGAATGGCCGGCTGCTGAAGAGCTCCTCGAATCGCTCCCCGACGAAATGAACGAGCCAGCAGGACAAGTCAGCATTCGAGCTTGGTCGTACGCCGAGCTCGACGAGCGATCGGACCGACTGGCTTCCCTGATTGCTGGTCAGTCGCCGGAGAAGAACAATCGAGGACCAGCCGTGGGGGTGTGTATGCACCGTACTCTCGAAGCTTTCGCCGTCGTTTTGGCCATCTTCAAGGCGGGATGCGTCTATCTGCCCATAGCCGAAGATCTGCCCGAGGAGCGCAAGAGGACCCTGATCGAAGACTCTGGCGCTGTTACTATTTTTGTATCTGACGACGACTTGGCGTCAAGCTTTGAAGGCCTGCCCGTGCAGATTATCCGCCTCAATCAAGCGACGGAGTTGCCCCAGCAACGTAGCAATGTCTTCAACAAGTTTGCCCTCTCGACTGGCTACCTCCTCTACACTTCGGGCTCGACTGGAAAACCAAAAGGTGTGGCCGTATCCGGGTCTAATCTGTCTTCGTACGTCGAAGGCTATGCCGCTATCCTGGCGAAGCATTCTCCTCGATCCATGATGTTGTCTGGCAAAGGCAGGTACTTGAATCTGGCCAGCCGAGCCTTCGATCCGCACCTTTCGCAGATGTTCATGTCCTGGAGGATGGGTTACGCAGCCACGACCGGACCTCGACCGGCATTGCTTGAGGATCTGCCTCGGACAGTACGCTTATTAAACATCACGCACATGGGCCTCTTGCCCTCACTCCTGGAGCATGCCGGCATGACACCCGATACGACCCCAAGCCTCGCCGTGCTGGGTGTTGGAGGAGAGAAGGTAACGCCCTTTGTTCTTGACGAATGGGCAAGGCCACGGAAAGATGGGCCGCTGGTCGTCAACCTTTACGGACCGACGGAGACGACCATTGGGTGCACATTAGCTGTTGTTACGCCTCAAATGGCGTCAAGGAATATAGGCTTCCCAATCGGCGCCTCGTACTCAGTTGTACTCTTGCCCGGCACGAACACTGTTGCGCGGCGAGGACAAGCCGGAGAACTCTGCTTGGCCGGCGATCTCGTTGCACATGGAGGCTATCATGGCCGAGCAGCCAACGACCAAGGCGGATTTGCAGAGGTTTCGTTGCCGCAGCTGGGCGAAAGCTTAGTGAAGCTTTACCGAACCGGCGATATGGTCCAGATGCTCGATGACGGTAGCCTCTCTTTCCTTGGTCGAGCCGATGAACAGATCAAGATCCGCGGCCAACGCCTGGAGCTGGCCGAGGTCAACGCGGTGGTTCGGGCCGCCGCGGCTGATGTCGAAGGCCTGGAGCAGGGCCAGACACAGGAGGCCGTCACTATTTATACCAAACATCCTTCTCTGCCCCAGGCGCGGCTCTTTACGGTCGTTGGATGGGGCGCCAAGGGTGACAGTACGACCACAGTCAATTTTATCAAGGAGCCGGACAGACAAGTCGACAGGATTGACAAACAAATCTCGGCAAGGTGTGCAGAGACGCTCCCGAGCTTCATGGTGCCGACGCTCGTCGTTGTCAAGGACGGTCTTCCAAAGCTTCCGTCAGGCAAAATTGATGTGAAAAAGATCACCAAAGCGCTTCAGGAAGTCGACGTGGACGTTCTCCTGAGAGGTATGTGCGAGTTTCTTGTTGGGTACAGAGGATGCCGCGTACTGACCTTATGAGCGTACCTACCTAGAAAATCTGAGCATGAAGAAACAGCCGACCAATAGATCCACCGAGGCTGCCCGATCAGTGCTGAGCGAGGCCGAAAGACAAATTTTATCCACCATCCTGGCTCTGACAAAGACTGGTACGGATCAAGAACTAGTTCCGACCCCACAATGGGTCCGGCCGGCAACGAGCATCTTCGAATTGGGCATCGACAGTTTGTCGGCCGTTGGACTCGTCGTCAGGCTTCGGAGAGCGCCTCATTTACTTGATGTGAGCGTGCAAGAGATTCTTCAGAGAGACACTCTCGAAGAATTGGCACAGCTGCCAAAACAAGGTGGGGGCGGCGAGACTGCAGGCATGACTCTGTACAACGCCACCGCATTCGATGATGACACCAGGACATGCATTGGAAGTCAAGAGGTGGAGTGGTTCCGGCCCGCAACTCCGCTGCAGGAAGCCCTCGTCGCACTTTCAACCCTTGCAAGGCAGCGACTAGGTAGTACAAATGGCGGAAACACGACGTTGCCCTATGTGCACCACCTGACGGTTGCCTCACCAGTAGGCGTCGAGATGCAAGAGGTCGAACAGATGTGGCGGGAAGCTGTCATAGCCGAGCCAATGCTCAGAACATGTTTTCAAGATGGACCAGCGGGAACGACGGTGCAGGCCGTGCTTAGTGCAGCGCATGTTGTCGACAAGGTCGTCTGCCGGCTCGACAGTGGCTCATCTCTCGACCGTCTGGCCACGTCGGTCAATATCGTCGACGAAATCTCCACCACGCCGGCCTTGCGCATCCGGGTGCAAGGTTCATCTTTGAGCCGTGGAGCAAGAGCGCACATTTCGATTCATCACTCGCTGTACGACGGCTGGACTCTACCCAGGCTCATCGAGGATGCATACAGCGCAGATTCGCGATACAGAGTGATGGCCAACAATGTGCATGATGCCCAGATCCTCGAAGGTGTTGCTCGGTGTCAGGGCCAGCAAGCTTTGCGATTCTGGACGACGTACTTGCACGGCTATCGCTGTTCTCCTCGCGAGCCGCTGCGCCAGAGTGAATCGGAAGAGGGAAACCAAGATCGGCTCGTAAAGATCAAGATGCGGTGGGCAGGCGCGCTGCTCGCCAATCTCAAGCACGTCTCACAGAAGAAACATCGGACGACCATTGCTGTCGTGATTCAGTGTTGTCTGGCCATCATCGTGGCGAAGAAGTTGGGCGTCTGCGATGTTCTCTTGGGCAACGTCATCAGTGGACGTGGTGGAATGGAAGAGCAAGGCGATGCAGCAGCAAACTCGAGTCGGATGCCTTGCCTGGCGACTGTAGCGGTTAGACATTGCTTGAGGGCCGTCCAGGGAGCGGATTTGGATGGAGCGGTGGCTGAGGCCAAGATGAGAACGGCGCAGGCCACACCTTGGGCTCATACGTCGCTTCGCACCGTCCAAGGCATCGCAAGTGGGACTAGCCGCCGTAACCTCTTTGAGGTTCTCTTCAGTTACGACGCAGTCACTGCTCCCGAGGACGCCAACATGAAAAGGCAGAAAAGGTACAACATCGTTGACGACGACGAGGAGCAACAAGGGAACATCGACTATCCTCTGGTCCTAGACGTCACGCAGCGAGGTCAAGAGAGCATCGAGGCAACATTAGCCTTCTCGATGCGTGACGTGGGCTCTGAAGCGGGACAAGGGCTCGCAGCGCAGCTCGAGCTCCTGCTGGAAATTGTGTCACGCGGTCAGAACGTATCTCTGGCTGAGCTAGGCATCGTCGACGTTGGATCCGAGGAAAACCAAGACGAACACCAAGAAGTCGAGGCGAGAAAGAGCGAGTCTCGACCCCTCACGGCTCTTGAGAAGCAAGCAAGAGACACACTTATCCACGTCGTCAAAGATGTCGATGCAAGCGATGTCGGACCCTACACGAACTTCTATCGCGTCGGACTCGACTCCATCACGGCGATTCGTTTCGCTAGAGAGCTCCGAAGAAAATCAGGCTTCGCGGCCATCGATGCGACCAAGGTCTTGGCGAGCGGCTCCTTGGCAGTTTTGTGCGGCGAGAAGGAAGTCAAAGCTGAGCGGAATGGAAGCAAGGAGCCAGACTCGCGCGCAAGTTTGTCGCAAAATGAGACAGTGTTACGCTCTAAGGAGACTGAGGTCGAAATCCCCAAGAACGAAGACGACATTGCCATCCGAGACATCTTCCGTCCGCTTTCATCTGCCGATGAGCTCGAGGCATGGTATCCATGTACGCCCCTTCAGGCCGGCATGCTCACACTCTCGCACGGGACGGCCGACTCAGCCTACAGGCAGGCTCACAAGCTTCGCTTACGAGACGGCGTCGATCTCAATGTTCTTCATGCGGCTTGGGACAAGGTCGTCGAGCGCAACGATGTCCTCCGAACGACTTTTCACCTCGTTGAAAACGAAGGTTCACCTCGATGGGTCGCCCTTGTCCATCGGACTGCTCCTCTCGCGTGGCGGCACGGGGACAGCGCTTCGAATGGTCAGGAAGAATACACCGCTGTCGGATTCGATGAGAGGCCACCAGCGTCTGTGGACATCTTGATGTCGGCTGCTGGCACTACCGTAATTTTCCACCTTCATCACGCTCTTTACGACGGCGTTTCGCTTCCAATGATTTTCAACCAGCTACGAACGGCGTATAACGGTGTAACTCTTCCAGCGATAACAACGCCTTTCTACATTGTTGCGAAGCGGCAGGCTTCGACAAGGAGCCACGACGAAGATTACTGGTCGAGAATCCTTGTAGGGTATCAGTATGCTCCCTTGCAGCTTCTGCAAGCTGTTCCACAAGATCAACGACGGTGGCACGCAAAGACACGTATCGACTCCGACCGAGGGTTGGCAGCCGCGTGCCGTTCTCTTGGCGTGACGCTGCATGCTGTCTGCACTTTGGCGTATGCTCGTGTGCTGGGCGCCTCGCTGCTCGGAAGGAGGGACGTATGCTTCGGCCACGTTCTCGCTGGACGATCAGGATCTGGTCAGGAGCAGATTGTGGGTCCGCTTTTCAACACGGTTGCTCGACGCGTGTGCCTCGAGTCTTTGCTAGACTCCAATTCAGAAGCGGTAACTCGGGTTCAGAGGTCGATCGACGAGGGAATGTCCAGACAGGCAGCCTCGCTGAGTAAAGTCACTGCCCTTTGGCGTCAAAGAAGCATTAAACAGCGTTCGACGCGGCTTTTCGACTGCCTTTTTGTTTTCCACAAGGTGGACCAAGGCCAGGTGGACGAGGCTTCATCGCTTCTTTGGGACTCAACGCAAGGCGAGGACGAAGATAACGGCGAAGAAGGCGACGATGAGTACGAAGTTAATGTCAGCTTCGTCGAGCGTCGAGATGGGTCGTTGGACATATTCGCAAATGCATCGCAGAGAGTGTTGAAGACCGTTGAAGACCTTAGGAGCCTCGTTGTGGACCAACTGCAGCGTGTCGTTCTCGACATCCTTGAGAAGCCCCATGCGCCCATGGTTGCAGTTCCACGCAACCTAAGCGAGCTTCCCTTGTCAGCCTCTCCGGCCTCAAACGAACATGGGGACAGGAAACTGACAACTGATGAGGAAGCGTTCTGCGACGCCCTGCAAGACGTCATCAAGGACATCGATCGGCACCGAAGTGACTGGCGCAGGCCATCGACGAACGTCGTCGACGTCGGTATTGACTCAATCACAGCTATCCGTCTGGCCTCAAGATGCAAGAGGAGGAAAGGTGTTCTGGCACGCATAACAGTGCAGATGGTGCTACGCGCTCAGACCGTCGAGGCGATTGTGAACGAGGCCGGTGCGGCCCGCGAAGCTCGAACAAGCAATGGAGTGAAGACCAATAGCCACCAAGACGATGCTCAGATGGAAGTGGTCAAAGCTGCTGCCGCACAGGTGCTTGTTGGCCACATCAACAAAGAAGACATTGAGGAGGCAGTCCCTGTCCTTGCTGGGCAGATGTTCCACTTGGACTCGTGGTATGCGACAGGAAGGCGCTTTTACGAAGCACCCTGGGTTCTCACCGCGCAATCGGAGAAGGTCGATCCAGCTCGCTTAAACAAAGCTTGGCTTCGTCTTAAAGATCACAACGTCATGCTTCGAAGCACTTTTGTCGCTCTTCCTCAGCGATACCAGCGGCTTGTTCAAGTGATTTTGAAAAGGGAGGCAGCGCGGCGTGAGGAGAACTCGGGTTGGAATAGCATCAGTGTCGATTCGGATGAGGCAGTCGAGGCGGCAACGAAACAGGCTGTTTTAGAAGGCAACGCCGATGCGTGCACCTTCTGCACGGTTCCAGCTCGCTTGACGCTAATTTGCGGTCCTCGCCAATCGGCTCTTGTCATTCGCCTACACCACGCCATGTACGATGCCTGGAGCATTTCACATGTCATCTCTCGCCTGGCCAAGTTGTACAACGGGACTGCTGTACCAACGATGACTCCAGCGCTGCTCACCACGCTCTCTCGGCGCCTTCTCACCCACCCATCCCAGTATGAGCAGCAAAGCTGGTGGAAAGCGCATCTCGCATCTTCGCAAACGACCTTCATCGGTAACGGTCGCGGCGAAAAGGTCAAGACGGCTGTTGGCCCTCAGATATTCGTTCGCTTGCTTTGTGCCGTAGCAGACCTCAAGATCCTTGAAGAGAAGGTACAAAGGACTGCGAGTCACCTAAGACTGGTCGTAATCTTGGCTCTCGCCCGGACCCTGGCGCATTACACCACTGCAAAGGATAGCCCGACCTTTGGCTTCTTCACGGCTGGTCGAGCAGGAGTCGAGATGGATGACGTGGACATTGATGCGGTTCCATTGCTAAACGTTCTCCCGCTTTCAGTTGATCTGATGTCCACCGAAAGCACGACCGCAGACAGAATTGGCTCAATCAGAGGCATGATGGCTCAGAGGACCCAATGGGAGCAGACACCGTTGCAAGACGTCTCAACCTGGTGCAGCGGCGGACAGCCAGCATTCGACTGCTTCCTCAACCTTCTGTGGCACGGCCGAGAAGACGAAGAAAAAGACCTCGAGAAGCACAAAGAACGTAGATTGGAACTACGCCACTGGAAAGGGCTCAAAGAGAGCTCCGAGTACTTTACCTCGTCAATCACGCACCCGCTTGCCAACGAAAGAGGAGAAGCTACAACTGCACTCGGTGCAGAATTGGACGTAACGTACCTGCCCGCACACAAGTGTTACCTTGACGTCCGACGCGATGAGGCAAACGACTGTCTAGCATTTGGCGTCAAGGCCGACGCTGGCATGTGGGCTGAAGAGCAAGAGCCGACGGTGGCAGAAGAAGAGCTGAGTCGGTTCTGCGAGCATTTTGCGCTCGAAATTAGAAAGGTCGTGGACGAGCTTTAGTAGACCAATCCCATTCATTTTACCCAAAATACAGATGTAGTGAAGATGTTTTGGCAAGCATGATTATCGCGAGCTGGCACATTTTATGAGAGAGACCAAAACGAGGGGTCGGGCTGAGCTGTGTTCACGTTCCTCCAAGAAGCTTTGCTCCTGTCAAGGCCTCCTGTGGAGTCAGGCCCATGATCCTGCTGAAATCATTTCCCTGCTGCTGAGCCATGGTCATAGCCTCGCATCCATTGCTGTCAGCGGTAAGCAGATCGCAGACTTGGACGTTGCCGTTCCTCGATTGGACGAATCCATGGCACGCCGGCAGGAGTTCCGCAGATGAGACGTGCGGAAGAGAGTCGAAACCAATCGGAGTGAAAATCTTGTCGAGGAACACCTCAGGGGTGAGGCGCGGAAGAGACTCGAACGCACCCGAAGCGGACAAGTTGTCGAGTTTGCTTTCGACCTTTTGCAAATTCAAGCAAGTCTCACTTCCTTCCTCGACTCCAAAAGCTGAGCAGAGCGTGATTGAACAGTCGGAATGTACTGGCTCGCCGCGCCGAAAGATCGAAAAGCGATTGTTGAACTTCTTTGGCCTTGCCTTCTTACAGTCAGGGCAGGACCACTTCCACCGCAACCAAAGCAAAATAAAGAAAAGCAAGATGAGCAAGACCCTCTTGTTCTCACGTTTCTCGAGCATCAAGTCGGTTCCATCACCTTGCTTCTCTTGATGAGCGGCGTTGGCTGAAGATGCGCGAGAGTGTGTGCAGCTGGTAAAAATAAGGAGCATAGGCAGGTACCAATGTTGGTGATCGGGATTGTTGGCATGCATCTCACACATTTTGTGCTTGGTGAAGAGGAGAGTTTGAAGGGCACCAATAGGAGATAGCTTTCTTCTAAACCTTTCGTCGTACCTCTGTGAGGTCCGATGACGCCCAAAAGACCGACACTGACCGAGAAGGAAAGGATGGGCTGGATTCAGATTGGATGCTTTTCGATTTGCGACTACCACATGTGGGACATACTCGAAGAGGAACAAGGAACCAGCAATGCTCTATGCCCCGGCTCTACGATTCATCTCTGCCCAGAAAGCTTCGGTAACTGCCTCTTATACGTCTGACCAGATTGATTTCAATTTATACACAGTGGTTGGTGAACAAGACAGGGGACATTGCGTGTGTCGTGAGATACATCAGGTGGCAAAACGGAAATCAAGTCTGCGATTGCCTTCGTCAGTTGTCGTGTCGAGATAATTCAGTTGCTCGTCCTGCAAATTGTCATTTGTGTCAGGGTCATCGAGTCAGAACAGAAACAAGTGACTATCGGGGCGAACTCACTCTGGACATTGCGTTCCAAATCCTGTCACGAGTGGCATTGCGCCATCGGTAGTAGTAATACGTTGCCACTGGTGAAGAGACGAGGTAAGCAGTGAAGTCTTGAGCAAAAGAAGGAACGTCTCACCATAGAGGAAGCAGACGCAAAGAGACAGGATCGCAAGGGCCAAGTTACCCTTTCGATATTGCGGCGCGTCGGATTGCTGATAGACATTGGCGCCAATAATAGCTGACACTTGGACGAGCATATTATAGAGCGCAGCGCTGATCGTTCGCGTGCGTACCGAGCCTGACTGACGAGAAACCCATGCGACCTGAATGGCGTGCACGTACGGAAAGCCCTGCTGCAGGGTTGCTACCGCCCAGAAGGTCCAAGGGCTAGCATCGCTTGGCAGCGCGTACAGCGCAAAACAAAGGGGAAAGAACCAAACGCTCTGTGACATGGCCACAAAAGAACGATTGTCGACGACCTCGGACACAATGACAACCAGGAAGAGGAGGACGACTCCGATGGCGGGCGCCGGAACAGAGAGGGCGTTTGTTTGTTCCGTGCTGAAGCCAAGATGTCGAAGCTGAAGAGTTAGGTAGTTGGATAGGGGATACGACGGAATCAGGAAAGTGACGCCGATGAGGTAGAGCGGCCACATGTCGTAGTCTTTAAGACTAGTCCGAAAAGCTTTCCAATCGATACCCTGACGATTGTGCATGGAGCCCTTTGTTGGGTCGTCTCGGATAACGCGATTGACGATGATCTTTTCCTCGCGCTCGGTAAACCATCCTTTTCTCCAAAACCAATTCTTCGTCTGTGTGGGACCCGCAGGCATGTTGACAAAGGCAAAAAGGCCGACTACGAGGGTCAAAACGGCTTCGATGAGGAACAAATACTGCCAGCCCGCATGGCCACCGTGGCCACGCAGACGGAGAAGACCGAGTGCCAAAAAGGGGCCAATGATCTTGACGAGGTAGTTGGAGAGCCAAAAGATTGCCAAACGAAGTGGGAGCTCTTGCTTGGTAAAAAAGTAGCTGAGCCACAGCACAACGTCTGGAATAAAGCCGCCCTGCAGCGCTCCTATGAAAAAGCGTAGTGCGAGAAACGAAGTCCGACCCTTCATCCAAAATTGAGCGCCCGAAAAGATGCTCCAGATGCAGATTTGTGCTGGCACCCATCGGTCTGCTCCCACCCGCTTACTGATCATCTGTGAAGGAAGCTCGGCGCCTGGTCGATATAGCTGTCTAGTCAGCAACATTGGCGACCCATAGATCTCGATCGAGAGGCACTGTTGACTCACAAAGGAACGCGACTTTAAATAAGGTGTTGCCGAGGTTCAGGTCGTTTGTGTCGAGTCCCAGGTCGTCGAGGAGGTTGTCGGAGTTGGCTTGGGCGATGTTTTCACGGTCGAGGTCTAAGCAGAAGAACATAATGGAAGCCCAGAGGGCGATGCGAAGATCCATCTTCCGCACTAGTTTTCTCTCCTCGCCCCAAGTCCAACGGAAAAGTGGGTCGAAGCGTTGCCGATTTTCCCACAACGGATGGGCAGCATTTCGTTTGGCAAAGTCAAGGTCGTCAAAGACTGAGGGTTGCGTCGCTATCGCATCCCAGTCGTTCCGCTTGCTTCTACGGAAGAGATCGAGTAAGCGCGAAGGTGCGGCAGGGTTTGAGGCTAGTGGTGGCACAGTGTCTTGCAATACGGACGACGATCGGGTCGATGCCAGTGATTTCTTGTCATCGAGCTCAGGACTCGTGGACACTTCCGTGCTCTCAGCTGCCGCTACCTCAGAGCTGTGGGCAGGGACTTGAAGAAGGCCACTACGGTAGAGCTCGTGGGCTGCCCCTTCCACTTGTCCAGAGTCCATCTTGAAGGTTGCCTGCGAAGACAGGATGAGAAGCGCGGTCCGACGGCGATTTCGTTACATTTACGGTAATTAAAGGATTATAGGAAATCAGGGCTGGGCAGACATCGTGCACTTCCTTGCCATCCCAGGCACGGCATGATGACGCCGTTCCTCACGCCATTTCACCCTATCTTGGGCCATTGATGCCTCACTCTGTAAAGTTACCACTTCGAGGAAGTCCGAGACCACTCTGTTCCTGCCGTGCTCGTTCTTTGCGCTCGACCTAGGGTCCATTGCGAGATGGTTGCGTGCTATAAGAGATAGAGAGCTTATACACTGGCGCCGAATTGACCGACACTGTAATAGGATCAAGGTGTTCTCGGTCTTTAGTGCGTCTTTGCAGCTAAGGAATCTAGCAGACCTATGTCCTCTATCTATGTCGAGAGGCCGCGTTGTGAGCACGTCAGTGAGCTTCTTGTCTAACTCGGCCGACGTTGAGTAGAACGAAGAAAGCGGCTTGGGGTGGGCCAGGCAAAGAAAGCGCGATTGCGTGCTCAGAATCAAAAATGTCGTCAGCAGCCAAAGACGCGCACGCAATTTCGTTATCTCATTGCGTATCTCTGTTCTAGGACAGGACCCCTAGCTTTGATTTACCGCGCTCGCCTTCTCGAGCCCGGGAGGAGGCGCCCGTCGCTGCTAGGTACGCGCGGCTGAGGTGAGCCAGGAGGAGTCGAAGAAGCAATTACAATACGCTGGAGATTCGAGTGAGGTGCTGAGTGAGAAAGCACGACATTCACGGGGCATGTGCCGCGTTGTAGCAGATGCAAAGAGCAGCGAGAGTACCTAGCGATCGCAAGCAGTTGCCGAAGAGGCCATCATAAATACCAGCCACTGCTCAGGATTGTCTTCCCCATCTTTCGTCCATCTTTCCCTCTCTCTAGACCGCCGGACAGGAACTTGAAAAATGGCACCCGTCGCTGAAGTGCAGTCGCAGTTTGCTGCTGCTCCAACTCCCGTGCCTACAAAGGCCGCTGCCAACATTCCCAAGGCCAACGAGGCGGTTGCCAACACCGAATCATACCCCCGCGCGCCACTTCAACTTAGCGGCATCCTCGACAAATACGAGCACTTTGACGTCACGCCTGTCATCGGTCGCGAGTTTCCCACGGTCCAGCTCAAGGACCTTATCAACGCTCCCAACGCTGATGACCTTCTTCGAGAGCTCGCCATCATCAGTGAGTGCAAGAACGCTGCTTCTTCATTCGCACTCCTCTCGATTGCCGCTAATAAATGTCTACCCTCTTCCTCACAAAGTCTCTCGCCGTGGCGTTGTCTTCTTCCGTGGCCAGGATATCACTGCCGACGAACAGAAGGCATTGACCGATCGCCTCGGTCACCTTGCCGGCAAGCCTGCTTCAAGCGGTCTACACATCCACCCTATCTACAACGCAGAGAGGGATCAAAAGTACAACGCCGTCGATGACAAGGGAACGCAGAACAAGGACAACAGCATTTCCGTCATCTCCTCCAACCTTCGAAAGTCATTTGATCAGCGCCTGACTAACGCTGAAGAATGGCACAGCGGTGAGTGCTGTCTCGATCTGTTACAATCAACATCCCGAGCTTATTTTGCTCATTTGTGCTTACCTGTAACAGACATCACTTTTGAGCCGGTTCCCTCGGACTACACGAGCTTGAAGGTTCACACACTGCCCGCCACTGGTGGTGACACGCTCTGGTCGAGTGGTTACGAGATCTACGACCTCTTGTCTCCTCAGCTCAGGGCATTTGCCGACACGCTCGTCGGCCGCTTTGCCCAGCCGCACTTCAATGCTGCTGCCGAGCGTGGTGGCTTCCGCGTTCACCCCGGCCCACGAGGTTCGCCCGACAACGTCGGAGAGAAGCTTGAAGCGTTCCACCCTTTCATCCGCACCAATCCCGTCACAGGCTGGAACAGCGTCTTCGGCCTGGGAACTCACTTCCAGGAAATTGAGAATCTGACGACCAAGGAATCAAATCTGCTCAAACAATACATCCTCGACCTCGTCACGTCGAGCCATACCGCCCAGGTCCGTTTCAGATGGCAGAAGGATGACTTGGCAATCTGGGACAACAGATCCGTCTACCACGCCGCTACACCCGACTACGATGGACTCGGAGACCGAGCGGGCGTCCGTGCCGTTTCGCTGGGCGAGCGTCCCTACCACGACCCTAATTCGCGATCCCGCCGCGATGAGCTTGGTGTTGGCAGATTGATTTAAAACAACCCATTCTTCACTACTGCTACGACCACTTTTGATGCAATAATGACAGATTTCATTCTTTCTTCTGTGGGCGGTGTGAGCAATGGCCCGGCAAGTCATGCATTTTAAAGAAGATTGAGAAAAATAGCGAACTTTTTCTAGAAGCTAGCGCTGAGGGATGATGACCCCAGAATTCGAAAGTAAATGTAGGGCGCAGAATTAGGGAGAGACGCCAAAAGCGACGGGCAATCACGAGGAAACGCCAACAGCCTTCTTGATAGCCGCGGTGTCGTTGCTCGAGCCAGCAACGTAGTCGGCCACCTGCTGCTGCGTCGTGAAGGGGGCCGTGAAGCCCTTGGCGTTTGCGTACTGCTGCGATTGGGTGAGGTTGTTGAAGCACAAGTTGGGCTGGTTGTCGTACTTGGCCGCGTACGACCGAATCTTTGGCTCGCAAGTCGTCTTGGGTCCGATGATGATGTTGGCACCTGCCTGAGGAATAATTGTCACGTCGAACAAGACGTCGGCAGGGCTGCAGAAGGAGTGACAGTGCATATAGCAGTAATTTGTGAGCCAGAGTGAGACCGAAGAACCGAAGAGAGAGGTACACCTACGTAAGTCCAGCGGGAGGCAGCTCCGAGCAATTGGCTGTCGTCAAGCTTCCGTCAGGTGCCTGACCACTCTTTGAGCTCAGGGCCGCCGTGGCAATGGTGTAAGTGGCCTGGTTGAAGAGTTGCTGACTGTGCTCGAGGAGGAAAAGCGGACCGCAGGTGTCCTGGATGCGGTTGTTGGAGGCACCCGGCAAGTAGCCCGAGGCAATCTCATCAGGCGTCTCTGGCTCAACGATCTGCGGGGCATCTTCAGCGAAAAGGTGCTGCTTTGCGTGGTAGAGCCATGACATACCTCGTCAGTGATCGAGTACATCGTCGTGGTGGGCTTGATCGTCTGGAAACCACCGGCATTGGCAAGAGTTGTGACAAAGTGGCTGAATGTCTGCTGCTGCCAGATGCTAGGGCTGATGTACTGGAGCGAAGTGAGGAGATAAGCCTCAATTGTTCCGCGGTAGTCGGGGGCGAAGGCAACGACTCGGTCGACCTTTTCGCGCGTCTGAGGGAAGAAGGTCAAGCTCCACTGGGCGATGAGACCGCCGGCGGACCAGGTCATGACCGGGACTGGCTTCCTGGATTGAGAGTAGAGGCGGCGGACACCGTTGACGGCGTATTCGGCGCCGTCCTGAAGATCCTCAAGCATGTTGTTGGGAGGCGAAACGTGGCTGGAAGGAACAGGTAAAGGTGGAGAGCGGGCAACCGTGTCAGGCAACAATGAGACAATCCACGGTGAAAGAGCCGGAAGCTCACCAAGGCTGGTAGCCAAGCTGTGTGAGCAAGGGAACATAGGTGTGATCCCAAGACACTGAACCCGAGGTACCAGTGCCAGGGAGGAGGAGGACGGGCTTGGTCACCCCGATGTAAGAGCCACCAGGTTGGTTGGGGCACACGATGCTGGCGTCCAGGGTCGCTTGAGGAACCTGGAAGGCAGGGTCGGCGCCTTGAGGAATAGACGAGGTTGGCAATCCGACGGCGACGGACACAAGGGCGCAGAGCAGGGAGAACTTGAAGAACATCTTTGCACTTTTCTCCGCGGTATCGTAGAAGTTGATGAGGTGAGACGAGGGTGGACGAGCTTATGGATGCCTTCAAACTCTGCTGATGGTGCACGGCGGCTTATATGCCTTTCTCGATCCCGGCCGTTCTTCGCTCTCGACATCTTTGGGAACGGTGTGGGGCACCAGCCACGGTGTCCGTACGACGTCAAATCTTCTCCCCACAATCTCTTCTCCGACAATCAACATTGATCTACGGGAAGAAGTGCTGCTCATGGAAGCGGTCTAGCCACAGGCGGACAAACACCGATGGAATAAAGGTCGAGCACCAGGAACTCAGCGGCAGGAACGTAAATTACCTCTTAGTCGAAAAAACTGAAGTTGGCCTAGATCTCCGGGCAGCAGAAGAAGCATAAATTAATTTAACCCCACGTAGGCATCACTCGATGCACAATCACCTGCACGTATGTGTCTGGACTGTTAAACTCAGCTGATTGGCCGTGGTGGCATGCATTTGGAACCCGCATCTTGCGCAAGCGACCACATCGAAGATTTAGGGGTGCATCGATCTCATGCTCGCTCTGTGCAACACTGCTGAAGCAAGCCACAGCCAAATTCGAATTAAGCGCTACTCCGTTGAAATTCTGAGCTCCTTTTCAAACTGCTCTTCTCTTTTTCCCAGACCATCCCAATCGAACACTTCCCCGGCCGGCTCGAGTCCAGACTCCGCGTCAAATGCTTCGTCTTTACGTCAATAACGGGGCGGACTATTTATTTGCTCCAGAGGTCCCTTAGTAGTGTGGCGACATTGACCCCCGGGGGGAAGAGGGGGGAGGGGGCAGGTGCAAACGTGACACAGACTGGACGAAACACTCAAAAAACAACTACCGAGAGCCTAGCATCTGCTCCGATCAATCATCGGTATACGTTGCAGCATCTCGTGCTCCGCTTCACTTTACGGTTATGACGGGGTATGGAAGGTTTTTGGGGGGCACATGTGCTGTACGAAGAAAGGGGATGCATCTAGAATTTCGAGAGACGGCAATAATATGACGAATTGTCCGGCATGCCAAGTAGTAGAAGGGCCTAGAAAGCAACGAGATGGATCAGAAGCCAATGGCCTCTCTGACCTTGGCCTGGTTGATCTTGAGCTTCTCAATCTCGAGCTCGAGAGTCCTAATCAGACTTTCTCGTTCGCCGAGTTTGTCCGTCAGCTCTTCGACTTTCCTCTTGAGCTCCGCTTTTTCTCCGTCGTGGGCATGCTCGGCGTGCACCCCTCTTTTCGCATCACTGCTGCCTCCGTTTGCATAGGAGGGAGCCGAGGGGCTAATCTCCTTGGTTGAATCCATCGCAGCCGACGGCTTGAAAGTCGTTTTGACAGGAGAGCTTGGTCGCGAAAGCTCTCTTCGGGCCTCAAACGTAGTCGAAGGTGCGGTGAGTGGAGTGGCCGTTGCTGAGGGAGCCTTGCGCTCGGGCGAAGGCAGTCTCCGAGGCGCGGGGGTCGCCTCCTCTTTTTGCTGTGCTCTCGGCTCGGGTGCCGCAGCTGGCGTGGAAGGCAAGGGAGTCGATGGAGCAGAGATCGGCGCAGGCGCTGACACAGGTGCTTTGAGACCAGAGCCATCTTCCAAGCTGACGAGGTTTGGAAGTGCCTGCTTCCCATTAAAGAAGTCCTTTCCTGACAAGGCCGGAACCGAAGACCGCGCGGGCGGAAAAATGTCTGACTGGAAAGACTCGGCCCTTCGAGGAACGTAGAAGGAGATGGGCTGGATCATGTTACCCGTGACCTTGTAGGCCCGCGCGATCTCGTTCTCCTCCGCTTTCAGGGACCGCCTCGGCACGAAAGTCATACCACGTTGCGGGTCCGTTGACTTGTACTCTTGGAGGTAGTGCAACTCGTCGCTATCAAGCTCGTAGTCTGAAAGAGAGTGTAGGATTTATCAGCAAGAGAAAGTGTCATTAATAAGAAGGATGCACTCACATCGGATGTTGCCATCTCCCTTGCCTGCGAGGAAGACGACGTTGTTGTCACTCCAGAATGGCATCACCACGCCGTTGCTCGAGTCAACGTTGACGGACTCTGCAAAATAATCAGTATACATGTCCAAAGAATATGATGCGTCGGCGAGTGTGAGCCAGACAACGTACTGATGGGTTTGTCCAACGACCGCGCGTCCCACAGGAAGAGCTGGCGATCGCTCATCTTGCTGAAACCTGCAACACGAGAACATTTGCGTCAATGTTCTATGATCTTCCGCAATTCAGCCAAGCGGCACCAACCTGTCGTAATGATCCTTTCGCTGTTGCCACACCATGTGACTCGAGCACCCTTTACACCTTGGTGACCGTCGCCCATCATGACCGCTTCACTGCCCTTTCTCGGGTCGAAGACGCGAAGCTTTTTGTCCCTGCTCGTTGCCACGAGCCGATTGCCGGCATAGTCGTAGTCGAGGCTCTGAATAGAGTCCTTTGCCCCCGTCAACGAGACAGTCGCCTGCTGGTCCCCAGCTCCGGCCCCACCAGAGGCAGCCGTCGTGATGTCGAACAGCTTGATCTGATGATCCGAAGTACTGGCTGCCACGACGCCTTCTGCTGTCGGATGAAAGAGAACCTGGCCCACGCGTCTGCCGCCCGTATTGAGCCGAACGACGGGGCTCAGGTCCTTGACTCCGCCGGCTCGCTCCTTTGCCTTCTCGTCGAGGTCAAGAATGTCGAACAGGTCCGGCTGCACCTTCCACACGCCCAACGTGCCATCATCGGCTCCAGAGACTACGATATCGCTGTGGAAAGGAGAGAAGTCTGTGTCCAGGACGGCAGCAGTGTGCCCTCGGCAGAGCGGATAGATGTCGGGCAATTTGCCTGGTCGGTCCAAGGGAAGAATCGCGAAAGCTCCGCCCCCTGAGGCATTCCAGGAAAGTGAGAGGTACGTCCCATTGGTCGAGACGAGATTCGTGTCCCAAGCCTGAGGAAAGGGTCAGCCACATTTTTGACCAGCACGATCAGAGGATCACAACCACCTACATTGTTGGTGACCTTGACGTTGTCGTAGCAACCTTCTTTCTTGGCAGCTTCCCCATAGACGTGTCTTAGCAGGCTTCTGTCAGCTAATATGTCTGATTTGCCTCTTCTCAGCTCTTGTACTTACCTGTATTTGGAAGGGCGAACAAAGCGACTCATGCTGCCGGTGTGGGTGCGATGTTAGGAGGGAGGTCTAGCGGAGGAAGAAGTGCAGTGAGGCTATGTCGCGAGATTAGCAGCCACACGAGTTCTTCATTCGCTGGAGGAAAGGAGGTCTCAGAGCTTCCTGCGCCACAAGCGCCTTACTTTCCACGTGGCGCGGACTGCAGATCGCTCGTCCGACTACCTCATTTTTCTTTTTTTACGTTTCTTCCTCCGCTCCTGACAAGGTCACTTTCAGAGTCTGCAAAGCTACCTTCAGAGCTTGCGAAGATGGTGCTGCTCCTTCGTCAGGCGTCGTCATCGCTTGCCTCGGCCTCACACGTACCTCTCTCACAAATACTCGCCCCTTTTGCATTTGGTGCGGCGGTCCAGGTGCGAAACTCGACAAAACGAGGCGGCGGTTCGACCAAGAACAATCGCAACAGTCCCGGAAAGCGTCTGGGCGTCAAGCGCTCCGGCGGTGAGTGGCAATTGCACAATGGTCGCAATCTCTTGTCATACTGATGAGTCTGAGGCATCCTCGTGAATACAGGGCAATATGTAAAGGCAGGCGAAATCATCCTGCGGCAGCGCGGCACGTCGTGGCATCCTGGCGAAAACGTAAAGATGGGCCGAGACCACACGCTGTACGCCGTCGAGCCGGGCTTTGTGTGCTTCTACCGGCCCAATCCGATCCCCAAAGATGCAGAGACCAAGGTCGAGAGTCTTTCGGCCAAGCTGGCGGGGCTGAAGATTTCGCCGTTCGACAAGATTAAGGTGCAGCCAAAGATGGAGCTGGTCAAGTCGCACCCGAGCGCATCGCTGCTGAAGAGAAAACTTGGCCGACGGTATATTGGCGTCACGCTGACGAGAGACGAGGTTCTCCCGAGGGAAGTGGGCGCTCCGAGGGTGAGGAGGCTGGGCCTCGTCGACTGGGCTCGCGAGCAAAGGTTGGCCGAGGAGTTGGAGCAGGAGGACTACGAGCAACCAGAGTCGTTGGCTGAATTGAGAGAGGATACGAGAGACGATGGTGTCAGCAAGGTTTCGACCGCTTAGAGGCAATTGCATTCATTACTTCATTACGTCTCTCTTTTTTGAGTGAGGTGAAATACATATGTGGGAGAAGAGACTAGTCTAGAACTTCTCGCACCGCGTCGTCCCTAGCCCAGGGCAGCCTGCTCTTCATGAGCTCTTTCGCCTCCCTGGCGGGCCTGGCGATGCTGGGTCCATCATGAACCCACCCTCCGACGAGCCTCGCCAGCCTCTGTGGCTTACCATCGGGCGCTGCCGCATGCAAATTCTCCGCCGCCTTGTCCATGCACTCTGCCACGCTCAAAGAAGCAAGGGCCGGATCGTTCGGCTGGGTGCTCCCACCGTTGAGGACAATGTGTCTTGAGAGGAGGCCTTCGAGATCCGAAATGGGCGCAGAGACGGCCATGGAGCCCACCGCATCGGCTACGGCTTGCTTGTACTGATCCTGCAGACCAGTAGTGTTGAAGGCGCCATCGAAGTAGGCGACGACGTTCTGCCAGGCCGCTGCTGAGATGTTGCTGGCAGGGGCTGCCTCGAGGACCCTGGCCAACGCCCTCGCAGCAGACGTGGCCTGGTCAAGCATGTCCGATGTCGCTTGTGCGCTCGGAATATTGCCTGGCGACGCCGCCGTTGCGAGGTCGCCAATGACGCCATCGACGCGTTGCTGGTGGGCCATGAGCCTGCCCAGACCTTGCCCGGCGGTGGTGCGGACCTTTACGCTGTACGGATCGCTGACGGCCTTCTGGAAGGAGCGCTGGAGTTGAGGGAAGAAGGGCTTACAATGTTGCGGGTAGCGGAGCATCGCAGAAAGCGCATACAGGATGGCAGCCTTGACATGCGGAAGGTGTCTGTCGCCACAGGCGCGGATCAGAGGACCGATCATGGAAACAATCAGAGGCTTGATCGACTCGGAAGAAGATCGCTCCACAATGTCGGCCAGACCCAAAGCGCCCTGCTCCCTCTCGTCCGGAGTGCCATTCATAAGACCGGCCAGGAAGACGGCGCCAAGTGGAGCGGCACCCCTTGGTCGCTGGAAGCCTGGTAAGACTTTACCGACCTGTCCCGTTGTCTCGAGCGTATGCCGTAGAGGGACGGCGATTGTCTCGAGGTCCTCCTTGGGCACCGTCTTGACGAGTGCATCGAAGGCAGGAACGGCCTCATCGACGACGACTTCGTTGGGGTCATCGAAGAGGGAGACGAGCCTGCGGATCCAGTCGAGACCATACGTTCCCAGATCGGCATCCTCCGCCTTGACCCGACAGTACGTGGCAAAGTAGTGGCATCCACGAGCTCGAAGTTTCGCATCATCTGAGCTGCCGGTCCAGGAGAGGAGGACGGTCATGAGCTGGTAGACACCATCGTACTCGTAGATGGATGTGAGAATAGCCTCCAACGCAGACACAAGCACCTCTCGCTCCTCTTCGTCCTCTTCCACCTCGATCGAGTCGGCCAGGGCAGCAAGAATTGTACCGATTCTAGATCAGAGTGGGTTAGCGTCTTGATCAAGGAGGACCAGAATGTATGCAGTGTCACTTACCTCTTGTAAAGAGCCTGGCCAGCAAGCGTTCCCAAAGTAGCCAGGGCTGTAGCGTTGAAAGCGCTGATGGGCTGTTCAATGAGGCTGGGAACAAGAACAGGGAAGACAGAGTCTGCACTTCCACGCATGATCTCCTGAAGCGCCTGAAGCGCCCTCGTAGACTGGTCTGCTCTTTCCTCTTCCTCGTCGTCCTCGTCAGCGTCCTCGTCAGCGTCCTCGTCAGCGTCCTCGTCAGCGTCCTCGTCAGCGTCCTCGTCAGCGTCCTCGTCCTCGTCTTTGTCCTCTTCCTGTTCCGCTTCTCCGCCTTCCCGTTCTTCCTCCTTCTCTTCCTCCTCTTCTTCTTCTTCTTCTTCCTCCTCGTCATCCGCCTGCAAAGCCTCGAGGAGGGCTGGAACAATAGCATCAATGGCTGCTGCACCCATATGGGCCCGCAATGCATCAAATGCCTCTGCCGCAGCCTCCCGGACCTCTTGAGCCTCGTCGACGAGCCCTTGCTTGACAATCGCCACGAGCGCCTCCTCGTGGTCTTCGAGCTGGTGGTCGGTGCTGCTCTGGAGAATCTCCGTCACAGCCAAGCACACGCCCACGCGCATCTCGTCGTCGTCCTGCGCCTCGATGCCGCGGAGCCTGAGCAGAGGAATGCTCTCGCTCAAGATCCGCTCGCCCAACTTTGACACGAGCTCGCCCAAGGCACGGGCAGCCGTCTCTCTCGATTCGATACCCTGCGCCAGCAGCCGGATGATCATGTCGATGAGAATCGAGAGAATATCCCTGGCCATCTTCGGCGTGTTGTTGACCAGCGCCTTCCAGACATTGACACCCGCCTGTCGGACATTGACGACGGCATCTTGACGGAGAATGTAGAGCGAGGCGAAGATGTGGTCCCGCCTCTCCACGCCCAGGGCCTCTGCCAGCGTCTTCTGAATCGAATGACCTGCCACGACGTTTTCCTGTGGTCCTTCCTCGCCTTCTTCCTCGGCCTCGACCTCGTTCTTGCCGCTGATGCCCGTGATGCGGAAGAGCAGGTCAGCAATGAGCTGGATCGACGACATTCGGATACGCCAGCTTTCGTCGAAGAGGCCACGCTCCAGCTCGGGCAGCAGCAGATCTACAGCCTTGTTCGAGTAGTTTGCAATGATCATGCGACCCGCACGCATCGACGCCTCGCGGACGCTGTCCGTCTCGTCTGCAATACCGCCCAAAATGGGCGAGACAATGCGGCCAAGGTGGGGCTCGAAGCGGTGACCGAAGGTGGCGGGCAGGTAGATGAGAAGGAGGATATGAGACTCGCGCACCGTCGCTCTCGAGCTCGAGGCATTGTTGATGATGTCGGGTAGCAGGGCCTCCATGCGTTCGATGCCCAATCCTGCCAAGACCTCGGCCAGACCTTGCGCCGAACCCTGTCGGTCGACGCCGCTTGCATCTGACTTGAGAATCTGGAGTAGCGAGGGTACCAAGTCGACAAAGTGGATCTCTCCCAGACGCTCCACGAGAGTGCCCAGCGCCTTTGCCGCCGTCGCTCGGGCATCGGGCACAGGCGACACCAAGACGTTCCGCACAAGAGGAACGAGGCTGTCGAGGTACGGGACAAAGTCCTTGGAGTCGGTGATGCTCGACAGGTTGCCCACGATCCTCGCTGCGTCCTTTTGCACCTGCGCACCCCGCCCTCGAAGACCTCGATCGATGACGGGAATGATGAGGGCGAGAGACGGTCCATCGAGGACGTGGACCCACTTCTGTGCGAGAATCGCTCGTTGCGCCACGGGTGTTTTGGCGTTGGGGTCGATGAGGGCTTTCATGATGGATGGCACAAGCTGCTTGACCTCTGGGTTGGAAATGACATCTCCAAATCCCTTGAGAGCGCGCTCGGCCGCCTGTCGGACCTGGGTGTGAGAGTCTTTGATGGGCTCGCTGAGCTTGGGAATGATGGTGGGAAGGAATTCAGAGAGCTGGCGTGGGGCACAGTACGCCATTGAGCCGAGTAGTTCAATTGCACCCTTCTTCGTCCGCCACTGCTTCTCTTCGAGTCCGGCGAGGAGCGAGGGCATCATGACCTTTGTGCCGTAGCCCGAGACGTTGGACATCATGACCCTGGCTGTGTCTGACGTGGCCTCACGGATTTCGGTGGCACCATCACCAAAGCAGGCGAGGAGGTGAGGGAGGATGGCGACCAAGTACGGCTCAAAGAGGCGCTGGACCGTGGCAATGAGGGTCTCGTATGCCATGAGCGCGCCCTGCCTCGCGTTGACATTCTTCTTGTCACCGATGGCGTCCTCAAGGCGCTGCATGACTCTGAATTCGGCAATGCTGCTGATACCCCGGCCCTTGATGAGACCAGCAAGGCCATAGGCGGCTCCTCTGCGCTCGGCGTACTTTGGCGCGTAGAAGAGATCCTTGAAGAGCTGTTCGACAAGCCGAGGCACCTCGCTGCCAATGGCACCAGCCAATGGAGGCAGACAGTCAGTCACAGCCACTTGGACCAGCTCGCTGGGCGTCTTGAGGGCCTCAACGAGCCTGTCGACGACGTGAGCGACGCGCTTGTCCGAGGCGTCCAGGTGGCGAGCCAGTCGACCCAGCAGGATGATCACAGCTTCCGTCACATCGTCGTTGGTCTGCGAGGCCGGATGAGCGAGGTACGACTCGAACATGGAAATGAGTTCCGAGAGCTGGTCTTGTCCGTGTCGATCGACCACGTTTGTGCCTGCATCGAGCATCATCTTGCGCACAGATTCACTGCGGTCGCCCAGGGCTTGCCTCTCGATGAGGAACTGGAAGAAGGGAACCAGGTCGGAGGCAAGAAAGAGTGGAGAGAGGTGCTGGAAAGCCTGGGCTACCGCGCCACGCACCCACCACGGGTCTGGTCGATCGACGGTTTCTTCAATGACCATGCCGAAGCGATCGTGCTCCGGCTTCAGCTCGACGTTCCGCAGCTCGTACAGCTCTCGAAGGTCAACAAGGAGCTGTGGCACTGTCTCGGGATGCATCTCTCCCGCGGCAGCCAGTGCCTTGCCTGTGCTTTCTCTGACAAACTGATGGTCATGCTCAAGCATGCCCACAAGAAGTGATGCGTAGTTGGTTGGGACATCGAGGCCGTTCTCCTCCCATGCCTTGAGAGCGAGCCTGCTGTTCTCCTCGTCTTCGTCATGGCAGGCGAGCCAAAGCTGCAGGCAAAAGTCCATCTCGGTGAGATCCAATGGCTGCAAAGCCTGAAGAGATCCCGAGCGAACGTAGACCTCGTCGGCAAGGGCGTGTGTAAGGAGCCTTTGAATGTCCTCTGGCCTTGATGTTGCCCTGATAGCCTCTCCTAGCGAACGAAGTGCAGCCACAGCGTCCTTGGAGAGAGAGGTCTGCGTTGCCACAACGTGCGTGAGATCGTCGATGAAGACGATCCTCGGGAACCGCTCATCTTGGCAGGCGGACGTGTGGAAGGAGATAAAGTCAAGTGCCAGTTGGACTTGCTCGACAGCTGAGTCGTCAGGGTCGTCCTCGCTTGCTTCTTTTACCTTTTTGCTTGCCTGCTGGCCGTCCGAGACTCCCAGCCCTCCAGCCTTGATGGTTCGGGTAATGAGAGCCTCGACAAAGGACAGGGATGCAAGATCGAGAGGAGCCTGATCGCAGAGGAAGCGCAGGCGATACAAGATGCGAAGGACGAGGTCACAGAGAGACTCGCTCCGGAAGCCTTCGCCGACGAGGTCGTCGTTGATACTTCGGAGAAGCGCAATCTTGATCAATACTCGGAATTCTCCCAGGCGGGGAGTGCAGCAATTCGCGAGGGCGCTCAGAGCCTCTTGCAGCTCTTCTCCAGCCAGAATACCGGCCTGTGGGATGGCGACGAGGGCGAGGAGCTGCTGGAGCAGAGGAGTCATTTTAACATCAATGGCCTCTGTCCCGGAACTGGCGATGCTGCACAGAACTTGAAGGCCGTCGACGAGTTGAGTCTGCAATTTCGTGACCCTCGCTCGCACTGCAGCTTCGGTCCTCTTTTGCGCATCGACGGCTGCCTGCTGCTCCTTGGTGAGTGACTTGGTGGCGGCGGCCTTTTTCTTCGCAATCGATTCGCGCAGTTCCGCTTCCCACTGTTCCAAGCTGGCGTCCTTTCGGTTCTTGTCCACGGCCGTCTTCTTGTCCGCTTTAGCCAACACATCGACGTAGAGAGAATCGGGGCTCGTCCGCCACATAGCGAGGTCGTCTTGAGTCAACAATCTGACCGCTTCGATGTCGAGATTCGCGAGGACTTCGGAAGAGAGAAGTTCAACCGCAGCAGCTGGAGCAACTAAAACGAGCGTAGAGAGCGCTGACAGAGCAGCGGTCCGTAGCTGCTTGACTCGCAGCGCTTCTCGGGCCGCCTGAACAAGCTGAGTCATCCTGGCCTCTGCGAGAGCCTTTGGGTCGACGTGCGACTGGCGGCAGAGCTCGACGAAAACATGGCCATTCATCTCCCCGTGATGCGCCAAAACGAAAAAATCGGTCAAGATGTCCAGACGTATTTGCTCGTCCACGCTTTCCTCGATGGTGGTGCAAGCCAGCAGAGCGGCCCTCAGCTCTCTGCCCACGGACTTCGCCTTGGGTGTCGAGTCGTCATCGCCACTGGCACTCGGTTGAACTTGCGCAGTCAGCTCCCTCGAGTCGAGCCAGCCCATGATGCCTCGGTGAACCAGACGAGCTGTGAGACTGGGGTGCGCGTTCACCAGCTGCTCGATCGACAAGATGGCCTCCTTTTTCGAAGAGGCATCCTTGCCCGAAAATGCCACCAAAATCAGCGCAAATGGCACGGTTGCCGGGTCTCGTGCAAAGGCATCTGGCCTCCTGAGGACCAGAGCGGTGAGCGCATGAAGCAGCCACTTCTCTTCCTCGGCTGTTGCCACCTTTCGAATGACCTTTTCATTCAGGAGGAAAGAAGGCTTGGGCGATAGAGCCGTCAGGCCCTTGGACACTTCATTTGTCTTGAGGAAGCTGTCGATCTTGGGAAGACCCCAGGTTGCCAGTCTGCCCTCGAGGATAGCGACGGCAATGTAACCCTCCAGCGGCCCGGCAGGCGAAGTAAGGGTATTTGTAGATGCGTTCTTGAGGTTGGCCTCGAAGCCTGGCAACAGACTCTCGCCCAGCTTTTTCGCCTGCGCTGTCGCGTTGAGGCTTGCTGGCAAGCTCCAGAACATGGCGCCCAAGGCGAGACAGACTGCCTTGCGAAGCGGAGGCTTGGCATTTTGCACCTCCTTGTTGATCGCCGCTGCGATGGAAGCCGTAGTCTCCACGTCCGTCTCGAGACACCAGCCGAGCTGCTCTTTCAAGGCTCTCGCGGCAGCCTGCATTGACCCTTCGTGACTTTCTTTCCCCAGCAAGGCGGACAATCCCTCGGCGATGGCAGGACTCAGCGACACAGATGGCCGCACTTCTGCCAGCATCGCGAATAGGGATGCGCGTTGCTCCGGGCTCGAAGTCTTGCCACCCTTGAGCGTTGCGAGCAGCTCGTCGACGGTGGCTTTCGTCGTTGCCTCATCCCGACATTTGGAGGCGAGCACACGAAAGAGGTCAACAGAGCCTTGTCGTGTGCTTGCAGAACTTGATCGCGAGGCCGACAAAATCGAAGGCCGGAGAGCCTGGAGATGGACTGCAGTGTCGCCACTGAAGGCCTCGAAGCATGATCGGACGATGGGCAGTGCGACTTCGGGCGAACGGAGGAGCATCTTCTCCATCGTCGGACGAATCGTCTTGGAGATGTTTTCGTCGGTTAATTCGTTTGCAATGAATCGATCGAGTGCCGTGGGAATATGAAGCGCAAGAGGTGTCTTTGACGAAACAATATGTGTGAGGTAGAACTGGAGAACGACGGGCTTCGCCTCGCGAACGTAAGCACGGCCGACGCCGTCTGGTGAGCCTTTTTCCGTCTCCTTGCCAACGCGCAGGTGGAAGCATACATCAACGACGAGGCCAAGCATCGGCGCCATCTTTGGCGAGGGAATAGAGCAGAGCGTCTTGAATAGAAGGGGAATGGCTGCGTGACACCCGCGCACTGCCCTCCTTGTTGCGGTTGTTGCGCTCTTGGCCACGGTTGGTTTATCGGAAGCCTCGAAGGCGACGCTCTCGTAGAGTGATGCAAAAGACCGGACCACAGAGGGCCATTGTTGTGACGTCGACGGGTCGTGCTCCAGGCACAGCAATGCAAAGAGGAGGCACATCCAGCCCAGCAGATTTGCTCTCATCGATGTCGCCGTGACGGGAGCGCCATGGCTGGCGGGCTTGCACAGCCGCTCCTCTTCCTTCACGGCCCATGAAAGGGTGTTCTGCAGCACCTCGGCGTTTGCTTGCAGTAAACCGCTCGCAACACGTTGCGCTTGCAGCAACGAAGGTCTATCTTGATATCTGGGGTACGTTTCGACGAGCGTGGAGACGAGGTCGATCTGTTGCGTTGTACTCAATTTTGCTCCGCCGCTCTTGTCTGTTTCAACGTTATGATGAGCAAAGTTCAAATGCTGAAGTCGATCCCAACCAAGAAAGTACCCACCATCTGTCGCCAGCGCTTGCGTGACCAATGGCATCAGCCTGTCCCTCATGAAGGCGATTCGGATCTTTGTGCTCCCTGACCCCACTCTCCGGCTGACGAGCGCCATGAAGTCGTCCCATTGCGCTGTGACAGTCTCTACTGAGAGTGTATCCTCCTCTTCGAGGCCGCCTTTGCGCGCCGACATGTGCGAGTCGGGCTTCATCTCGTCTGAGCTGTCGTACGGGCTCTCTACGTCGGTGGAAGAAGACGACGCTCCGATCCAGTTCTTGACCTCTTTTGTCCTCATTATTGCCGGGACCCTTCCCCTTTTCTTTCTTCCTTTCTTCTGTTGGTGCTCTCCCTGCCGGCACTCAAACCTCGCCTGCCCACTCTACAGTCACTTCGTCGTCGTCGTCGTCGTCCGCGGACTTGGTGTCTTCTTCGAGTCACCAGGGCTGGTCCGGGCGTTATTGAAACAAAAAAACCAAAACAGAAAAAGAAGGCTCGCAGCGTCTGCTTGCCCTGGATCTTCTCAAAGCTTGGAGCAGCGCAAGTCCAAAAGACGGGTCACGTGTCCAGACCTCGAGCTCGTCGAGCCTCGACCGAGACCCATCGCTCTGGTTCATCCCCACCGCACCAGGCGCAGGCCCTTTACGACTTCAAGCTTGCTGTCCGAAGATGGTGCTCAACGAGCTAGGTCGACGCATCAATGCGGCCTTTTCTGAGCTGTCGCGGGTGCCGGTCGTGGACGATGCTGCCGTCGATGGGCTGCTCAAGAGCGTGTGTGCGGCGCTCCTCGAGAGCGACGTCAACGTCAAGCTCGTCCAGGGCCTGCGCAACAATGTGCGAGGCACGGTCAAGGAGCAGCTCAACGAGGGAGGCGACAAGGCAACGAGACTGACCGAAGGCCAACGCAGGAATATTGTTCAGAAGGTGGGCGATATGAATGCACTCTTCGATCAATTCAGATCAAGCTGACATGGGTCCTCCTCCCAACAGGCCATCTTCGACCACCTCGTCCAGCTCATTGATCCAGGCGTGGAGACGTTCAAGCCAAAGAAGGGTAAGGCAAATGTCATCATGTTTGTCGGTCTTCAGGGCTCGGGCAAGACAACGTCGTGCACCAAGCTGGCGCTGTACTATCAGAAGCGTGGATTCAAGACAGGCCTCGTGTGCGCAGATACCTTCCGAGCCGGTGCCTTTGACCAGCTCAAGCAGAATGCAGCCAAAGCCAATCTCCCCTTTTATGGCTCGCACACCGAGACGGATCCCGTGGCGATTGCCGGGGCTGGTGTGGCCTCGTTCAAGCAGGCCAAGTTCGACGTCATCATCGTCGACACCAGTGGCCGGCACAAGCAGGAGGGCGAGCTGTTCCGGGAGATGGTCGAGATTGGCGAGGCGGTGACGCCGGACCAGACGATCATGGTCCTCGACGCCAGCATTGGTCAGGCCGCCGAGGGACAGAGCCGCGCATTCAAGGAGGCCGCCGACTACGGAGGCATATTTGTCACCAAGCTCGACGGCCACGCAAAGGGCGGCGGTGCCATCTCGGCCGTGGCGGCGACAAAGACGCCGATCCTGTTTATCGGTCTAGGCGAGCACATGACGGACATTGAGGTCTTTCGGCCGCAGCCATTCATCAGCAAGATGCTGGGCATGGGCGACATCTCGGGCCTGATGGACAAGGTGCAGGAGGTGCAGATGGCCAACCCGGAGCGGCAGCAGGAGATGCTCAAGAAGATTGAGCAGGGTGGCATCTTTAGCATCCGCGACTGGAGGGAGCAGCTGAGCAACATCATGAGCATGGGCCCGCTTTCGAAGCTCGCCGGCATGATCCCGGGCCTGGGCCAGATGATGTCTGGGGGCGGCAACGACGAAGAGGCGGGGCGCAAGATGAAGAAGATGATCTTCATCACCGACAGCATGACACGCGAGGAGCTCGACTCGGACGGAAGCCTGTTTTTCGCGCCCGTCAGCCGCAAGAAGAAGGAGAAGAAGCCGGACGAGGCGGGCGGCAAGCAGGTTGCGAGCACGAGCACTGCTGCACCGTCGTCGAAGGAAAAGGACGCCAAGGGAAAGAAGGAAAAGGTGCCCGTGCGCATGACGGCGAGGGCCCGGAGGGTGGCCAAGGGAAGCGGGACGAGCGTGCGCGAGGTCGAGGAGTTTCTGATGCAGTACCGCATGATTTCCAAGATGGTCAAGTCGATGGGCGGCAAGGCCGGGTGGATGAAGCGCATGCAGGGTGCAAAGGGCGGTGCAGGCGGCGGCGGCATGCCTGCGCCCGGCCAGCTGCCGCCAGGCATGAGCCGGGAGCAGGTGGCCAAGATGCAGAACGCGCTGCCGCCCGAGATCAAGGCGCAGCTGCGGCAGCCGGGCGGCCGCGAGAAGCTGTTGCAGCAGCTACAGAGCGGCAACATTCCCCCCGAAATGGCCGGTATGATGGGCGGCATGGGCGGGCCAGGCGGAGGCCTCGGTGGACTGGGCGGCCTGGCCAACATGATGGGTGGAATGGGCGGCATGGGTGGCCTGCAGTCGATGATGCAAAACATGATGGGTGGGGGTGGACCGCCGAGATAGCAGTCGTCTCATCACAAGTGTAAGCAGTTGTACCAACAGCAGCCACATCAGCCGCATCAGCAGCAATGATGATGATGATAGAATTGCGAATGATGATGGAATTGCACGCATTCAATACGACTAAGGCAGCTGCTCAGTACGACTTGGGCAGCTGCAGCACCCGTTGTCCAATATAGTTGAGGATCATCTCGCGAGACACGGGCGCGAGTCGGGGAACGAAGCTCTCCCGGAGATACCTAGAGAGAGTGTGTGTGTAATGATCCTGCGTCAGCGTCTGGGTAGGAAGAGGAAGAACAGCGACTGTATGCGCACCTCTCGACGTGGAACTCGCGACTGTAGCCCATGCCGCCCATGGCCATGAGGGCAGCCTCACAGGCCTTGTAGCCAGCCTCGCTGGCGACGAGCTTTGCCGCGTTGGCCTGAGCGCCCGCGTCTGGGTTGCGCTCGTCGTAGAGCCGGGCAGCGGCATAGGAGAGGTGCCTGGCTGCTTCGAGATTGGCCCAGGCCATGGCCAGCGGGTGCTGCACGCCCTGGAACTGGCCGATGGGCTTGCCAAAGACGACGCGGTCGCCCGCGTAGCTCGTCGCCTTTCGCAGCGCCGCGTAGCCGGTACCCAGAGCCTCGCCGGCGAGGAGGCACCGCTCGGCATTCATGCCGTGGAGCACCTTTTTGAAGCCGGTGCCCTCGTCGCCGACGAGGCAGTAGTCGTCGACCTCAAAGTCGTCGAACCAGACCTCGTTTGCGTCGACTGCGTTGCCGCCCATCTTGTCAATCTTGCGCATCTCGAGGCCGCTCCGCAGCTCGCTGTCCTCGGCACTCGTGTGCGGCGTCTTGGGCGCGGCCCGTCGTAGCGGGGCAAAGAAAAGCGAGAGGCCGCCGGACCGCGACGTCTCTGACGGCTCCGAGGTACGGGCGAGAATGACGCCGTGCGAGGCCACCTGCGCCGACGAGGTCCAGATCTTGCTGCCGTTGATGACCCACTTGTTGCCGCGCTTCTCGGCGCGCGTCTTGATCTTGAGCGTCTCGAGGCCGACGTTTGGCTCCGTGATCATAAAGCAGCTGCGGATCCGGCCGTCGAGAATACGCGGCAGCCAGTCCTCCTTTTGTTCCTGCGACGCAAACTCAATCAGGGGCATGATCGGGTACACGTTGGCGTGGATGCTCTGGGCGCCCGACACGCTTGCGCCGGACTCGGCAATCGTCTGCAGCATCACCGTCGCCTCCGAGATGCCCAGGCCAGCGCCGCCGTACTCGGGCGGCATGCAGATGCCCACCCAGCCGCCCTCGGCGAGGGCATCGTACAGCTCGTGGGGATCTGGACATGTGCTTCTTTCAGCGCCCCTGCTCCTATACCATCGCGGACGGACAAATACACTCACAACTCTGTGCGCGGTCCTTTTCCAGCCAGTAGGCATCGTCGAAGCGGTCCGTGATGGCCTGGATGGCCGTGCGGACGTCCATCTGCGACTCGCTCAGGCCGCTCTGGGATATTGTCGTGAACGGCGCATCAAAGTTGGTCAACGCGGGGGCCGTCGAGTGCAGCGCGCGAGCTGCTCCGGCTCCTGCAGGGGCCGCCGCCGCCCTTTGGAGAAGGAGGCGAGACGGTCGAGGGGGAATCAGCCCGCTTGCTCCCCGTCGGAACACGCGAGATGCCATGGCAAGTAGTAGTAGTAGGTAAGAAGCTTAGGAGCAAATGAAGATGCCAATCCCCGCACTTTTATTGCTAGCACAGATGGAGGGCTCTCGACCGGTAAAAGCATCAGGCGGATCAAGGTGGAGGACTGCCGGGCGGGTCCTGCGCGCAGAGGGAAAGTGAGGGCAGGAGAAACGGAGCAGAATCAGAGCGGAGAGACTGAAGCACAAGAGCAGCCAAGCATGTAATGTAAGCGCTCGGTTTTTGTCGGCCCCCGATCGTCGAATTCGTACTACGGATCTTGGACCATGAATCTCCTGGGAAACCACGCCCGATCTCAAGGTGGGGTTTTAGTGTCGCGAGAGCCTGCCTGCGCTGGTGGGGGGACCTAGGAACACAGCCTACCAGATCGGGAGCATGTCCAGAGCTGCGTTGGGAAGAGGCATATACCCCTGCAGCAGACGCCGAGCATTTAGCTTCGATAGGGTGGCCAAGTTCCATTCACGGGTGAAGGACAGCTTAGCCCTACGTATTGGCTTCGCTTCGCCTGCCCCAGCCTCGAGTCATCAGGGCGGTCATGCTTTGCAAGTCGTATGAGCGAGCGCCTTCATGGCAGCAAGCCTGCCTTGACGGGCCCCTCACCACACTGAGCCGAGATACGCCCATCCCCCTCGTCCTCCTCCACCACCATCAACATCTGCTGCTGCTGGCGCGATCGCTAATCGTTTCATTAGTCCTCGAGAATGCTGACACTACACTCCGACAGAAGTTCGCAACATTCGTGGAGCCGACTGGAACTGATTCTGACGTCTGTTCTTTCTTGTACCTTCGTCCCACCTCTCTCCCCTGATTCGTGCTAAGAGCGGGCGAAGGTAGAGGGGTGCAGCCGCGGGACGCGCACAGAAGCTCCTGATAATAACTCCCGTTGTATTGTTCACTAATCTTTTATTCAAAGCTCGGACTGTTCTTTTCTCGGAATTATTCTAATCTAAACTTCAGGGCCCTCCGTCGTCCACGCTCCATTATTTGTCTCGGACAGGCTCACCCGTCCCTGTCCTTTTGTCACTCAGTCGCATTCGCTCTCGTCCTCACCTTAATTTCCGATAGAGAGACGCCTGCAAGGCGCCGGCCACTGCGTCGCACGACGAGACGTAGAGCGCAATCATTGGCCCCGTTCGTGACCACACCAATCCACGCTCGCTTCGTTTCTTTTCTCTGCCCGACGACGACCGGGCTGCACCCTACCAATTGCTGCTGTTCTCTTCGCTGCTCGGCCTTCCCAGCCTGGAATTTGCCAATTGCGTCGTGCGTCGAAAAGGACAAGCAGGGGCTTCACCTACTCTCACACTTTCTTGCGTTCAGACTCGCGCGCAAGCACGCGATCCCTCAATCGCCATCTGTCGTCTGTGTCGGTTGCACGAGACGGGCAAGCACGGCACCAACGCACTTGACAGCCAACGGGCAAAGAGACACGGGCAGAGGTAGCGGCCGACGCAGGAGTAGAGGCTGAAAGTAGGGTCAGGTCAGAGAGACAAGAGGAGCTAGCAAGGGGAAAGAGGGGAAAGAAGCGGGCGTGGCTCGTTTCAAGACCCGAATACGCCCATCTCGCCGGCCGCTTTCGGGAGGTGAAAGCCTGCCTCCCCCCCCCCCCCCCCCCCCCTTGCTCCCTCTTCCTTTCCCTTTCTCGGTGAGCTTAGAGACGTACGGGACGGGCAGCGGCGCACAGAATTACGAGGAGCGACAGCGGCGGAGAAGAAAGGACGGAGTGGAAAAGATAGGCGCGGCGAGGCGGCAAAAATGGGCGCCTGCCTGTCGTCGACCGACGACAAGAAGGCCAAGGATCGGAGTGTGCTGATAGACCGGCAGCTCGAAGAGGACAGCAAGAGACTCAAGAAGGAATGCAAGATTCTACTCTTGGGTGCGTCTCTCCATCTATCTCTTCTCTAGTGACGTGACCAAGGCCCCCTGCTGACATTGGTGGTTCCAGGCTCTGGCGAGTCGGGCAAGTCGACGATTGTCAAGCAGATGAAGATCATTCACCAGAATGGCTACAACACAGATGAGCTCATGGTATACCGGTTAACAGTCATCAAGAATCTCGTCGATTCGGCGCAGGCCATAGTCCTGGCCCTCCGCAAGTTTGCCCTCGAACCCGAGCGACCAGAGAATCGCGAGAATGCAGACTTGATTCTCCAGTACCGCGTCGATGCGGATCCAAACATGATACTCGATGCAGAAGTGAGCAGGGCGATCGAGTCCCTCTGGCAGGATGCCGTCATTGCCCAGGTCATGGAGCGCACGAGCGAGTTCTACCTCATGGACAGCGCTCCTTACTTTTTCGACGAGGTTCGGCGGATATCGTCGCCAGACTATGTCCCAAACGAAGCCGATGTACTTCGGGCGAGATCCAAGACAACGGGGATATCCGAGACGAGGTTCAACATGGGCCAGCTCTCAATCCACCTCTTTGACGTCGGGGGCCAACGCTCCGAGCGGAAGAAATGGATTCACTGTTTCGAGGCGGTGACGAGCATCATCTTTTGCGTTGCTTTGAGCGAATACGACCAGGTCCTGCTCGAGGAGAGCGGGCAAAATCGAATGGCCGAGTCCTTGGTTCTCTTTGAGAGCGTCGTCAACAGTCGCTGGTTCAGCCGGACATCAATCATCCTCTTTCTGAACAAGATCGACATTTTCAAGCAAAAGGTGCCCAGACAGCCCCTCTCCAACTTTTTCCCAGAGTACAGCGGCGGCAACGATGTCAACAAGGCCGCCAAGTACATCCTCTGGCGGTTCACCCAGACAAATAGGGCCAGACTCAGCATCTATCCGCACCTGACCCAGGCGACAGACACGAGCAACATCCGCCTTGTCTTTGCCGCTGTCAAGGAGTGAGTCTGAGCTGCTGAAGAACGGGAAAGGGTATAGAGCTGACATTCGAATCCCAGAACCATCTTGCAGAATGCGCTCAAGGACTCGGGCATTTTATGATTATTCGGCATTGCAACCAGCATCTCTTCCATCTCTACTATCCCATTCTGCTGCCTACGCGCGCTTTCTCTGATCGATACCACTTCCTCCCCTTCCCCCTCCCTCTTGCTCATCCTTCCACGTCACCTTATACACCTGGTCGTGTTCCCATGCCGATCCCTGCCCCCCTTTTCTAGTCATCTCTGTCGTCGGCGCACGTCGTTCCTACTACTCTGCAATTACTACTGGCCCTTCCCATCATGATGAAAGTGGGGTCCAGCAACGTTTATCTCTCTGACCGTTTGCATTTCCGCTCTCGCTATGACTAGAATCGTCTATTGTTGCAAATTCAAGTCTACAGATGGGCTTCTGCGCCTCTCTTCTCTTCTCGTCTAATAATACAGTGTATGCGGTGGGAAACTTAGCGTGTGTGTGAAGATGCCGGAGCAGGTGGGGCAGGCGTTGGGTTGCTCGACGAGGTCGCCATGCTTGGAGACAGGTACATGTCGAGGTGCGTCGAGACAATCACGGCCGCCCTCGCTCGATCGACGGGCGCCTGTCCCATTTGGGCGCGCAGGGCCAGGGCCGTGCCCGTGCATGTCGGCGTGAAGCAGGTCCGGTACTCTCGATCGTGGCGCTCGAGGCCCCTGCCGAGCAGTTGGTGGTGGACGAGCTTCTTGATTGTCGCTCGATTTCGCTGCTGCTGCTGCTGCTGCTGCTCGTCAGTCCCCTCGACCTTGCGAAGAGGGCCAGGGACAGGTGTCAAGCTTTGTGAGGGCAAGTCAAGCGGACCAATCGAATCACTCCTTTCCCGCTTCACTGTCACGTTCGCTCGCTCTGCGCTTGGCGAAAGCTGCGCGGGCCATTCCTCCTCCTCGTCCTCTTCGCCAGCGTCATCGTCCAGCGAGGGCGGCAGCGAAAAGCTGTCTTCGCGCCTCGGTCTCTTTTCGCCCCTCCGCCCCGGTGTATGGTTGCCGCCCGTCTTGCTCCTCCTCGAGGTCTCGGGCTGCTGCGACTGCTCTTCCTTCTTTGCAACGAGCTCAGCAACACTGGACGTGCTCGCGGACTTCTGCAGCTTTCTCTTGCTCCCGAATTTTGCGCCGAGATCGACGATCGAGGATCTCCTTGCGACGCTGCTCCCTTCCGTCCTGGCTCGCACCGGCGGTGGCGGCGGTGCCAGGGTCATTGAGCCTTGGGAAACTCGCCGCGGATCCGATCCTGGCTTTGCGGCTAGCTTCGTCTTTGCTGTCAGAATCTGAGCGAGCGACGATGCTATGACAAGACAAGAAAAGAATTAGTCTCGACTTGCCCGCTCACGGAGCTCAAATCCAGTCCAACGACTTACGGCGAGGGGCGGGATCATCGGGCCGCAAAGGCCAGCCCTCTGCATTTGGCTTCTTCTCAAATGTCAGTGAGGGCCCCCTCCGTGCCGCCCTCTTGACAATCTTTCGTCCCAGCACCAGCTCGAGCGTTGCAACCCCTGCGACCTCCTTCCTGCGACCCATGATGGCAAATTGGGTCGCTCCTGCTTGTATGGTCGAAGATGCAGGCTGAGCGGCGTGGTAGGACGACGAAAAGGGGTCGTGGGACTGTGCTCCGGGAGACGAAGCTGTCGAGCGCTGGGGCGACAGAGCGACGGACGCCGTTTCGAGAGACAACAAGATAGCTGGAGAGCTGGGTGTCTGCTTGCGCCGAGAAGGGAAAAGAGAAAGAGAAGTAAGAGGATACATGCGTACCTCTCGCGCAAGAGACACAAGGAAGACAAACTCACCTCGGATGAAGGGTAGCAAAAGGTGCGTTCGAAATAAGCCACTGTCGAGTGACACTTTGGATCGATGTATGCGCGCATGCCTGTCCCAATCTGGTAGGTGAACGATACACTGGCACTTGGGTCGTCGTGGTCGGACGACGAAGGGACCACGTCAAGGATGGGTAAGGGTGCGTGTCGGACCATCTCGATTGAGAGACACACATCGGCTTCCTGCTCCCGTGTCATCGTGGACGCGTCCTTCCTCTGTGCTCCGTCTGCGTGGGAAGAAGAAGATGGCGCAGCGGGAGAAGAGGCAAAGTAAGGCTGGCACGTCGAGACAAAGGCAACGCCGGGGAGCGCGGTCCCATCGGCCAATACCAACGAGCCGCGCCAGAGCAGACGAGGCTTCCAGGGTGATGCCTCGGCGGGCGCCTTTGCCGGCGTGTTCGTCTGGACGACGGCCGCCATAGCGCCTCTAGCGCCTCGTCGATACTCGTCTCGTCCGACTATGGTGTTGTTCTCGAAACACGAGAGAATGTCCCGATCTTGTTCTCAGTTTCCCAGGGTGCCACGTGGACGTCGCCCCGCCCACGGATCGATAGAAGGGGGTTAGGTCGAGAAACTGTGTGACAGTCCAGGGCCCGGGCCGGGCGCTGTCTGTCTGCATCATTCGCCGTCGTCGCTGCCTGCTGCATGCGCCCTTCCCGAGATGGCAGCTTCGACCAGCCAAGCACCTGCGCCTGCCTGTCCTTCTTGTCTACGATCGAATAAAAGAAAACAGACGACACCTGTGGCCCGATTGCTTCTTTTCTATTTTCTGGCCTTTTTTTCATTTTTTAGACGCCTGTCTATCTCTTTGCCCAGCGTAGCAGAGGCCCGGGTGGGTGGATCGTCTCCAAGTCGGATCGGCTGTTGGCCTTCCTACACAAAGGCAACAACACTTACACTACATTTCAAGCGCGCGCGTGTTACTACTCTACTACTACACTACACTACACTACACTACACTACACTACACTACACGACCCTACTACTACACACTACTACTGCTCCCCGCATCAATTGTGTCTCGGCAATAAAAGGGGCTAGGGTGCTCACCACTTTAACAGATAGGGAAACGAGGCAAGAGGGAAGGGAAGGGCAATGTCCGAGCAGAAAGGCAACGCCGCTGCATCATCTTCTCGACTCGTGGCCGACGATTCCTCCTCCTCTAGCTCCTCCTCGAGGACGACGGGCGAGGGCGCTCGTTTGGACATCAGACGACCGTCGCACAGCTCGTTCACGTCCTCGTCAAACAGCAGCAGGAGGCCCTCGGCATCGACGTCTGTCTCGACGACGCGGAGGCCCTCGAACGTGTCGTCGCGGAGCGCTGTCACGGCCTCGAGCTCGCCTCCGCAATCGCCTCCGACAACACCCACCCTCCGCTCTGGGAGTCGGAACCGGATCTTGGCCAGCGCCAGCTCAGCGACCGCCTTGGATGGAACCGAGCCGCTCTCTCGTGCCCTGTCGACGTCGCCCCTGCCTCGCGCGCTCTCGGCGTCCCCCCCTCCACTACCTGCGGGCATCAGCAGCGGGAGCAGCATCAGGTCCTTTCACCCCACCGAGTGGACCATGCACCGGCGCCAGTCCTCGCCCTCGTCTTCGTCGCGCAACCTGGCCACCATGGGTAGCCCCGAGGAGGGGGAGGAGGACTCGTCGTTTGCATCGATGCGAGCAAGGCGAGGCAGCGTGGCCTCGGCCTCGGCCTCGGTGGCCGAACGGAAAAAGAAGCTGGCCAGCGCGGCGGGGGCCAGTGGGAGGGAATTTGATGGCGTAATCACTAGCGGCAGCGGTGGTGGTGGTGGTAGTTTCCTTGCAAGTCTGCGACGGAAGAACAGCAGTACTGGCGCAAGTCCAAATGCGTCGGCCCAGTCGCTTGCCCGCAGCAATAGCAACAGCAGACGGGTCCCTCAATCGACGAGTGGTGCCTCGCTCGCGTCGGAGTCTCTTGAAGTGCCCATGCCCGCTGGCAAGACAGAATCGCCCATTGTCGGCGTCGGCGGCGTCGGCGGCGGCGAGAGCACGTCAGTGACCAGCAGTGGTGACAGCGTCAAGGCGGCCAAGTCGAGCCTCAAGTCGAGGCTATTTGGGCTCAGGAGCAGCAACGGCAACAAGGCCGACTCGAAGATGAAGAAGCTGAACGGCAGCAAGGCGTCCTCGCGACGAGGCGCTGCCTACGACGGCTCGGACCGCGGCGATACTGCCTCGATTGCGAGCGAGCACAGCGGCTCCGTCTCGCAATCGCAGCCAGAGGCGACGCCCTTCTTCACCCCTCCCCTGGGCATCAGTGGTGGTGGCAATGGGAGTGGGAGCGAAGAGGCAATCGTCTCGTCGTCGTTTGCAGACTCCATCGACGCCCGACTCAGCAGGGTCGACAGTGGCAGTCGCCTGTCTGCCGGTCTGGCGACATCGCCAGGGGGGGCAGAGGCGACCGCTCGCAGTGGCATCTCAGCGCTCGGTCCATCCTCGTCTTCTCTGGCGCATGAGCCCACGTCGTCGTCGTCGACGAGGTCAAGCAGAGGCGCTGCTCTCGCTGGCCTGGGCCTCGAGTCAGCGTCCATCCCCACCTCGCGTTCTCAACCTCTACAGCTCAGCGTGCCAGCACGAGACGAACAGGCTGGGGGGTCACCCACCGAGGCAGCCGGCCTCGAACGACCACGATCGAGATCGCCAGGAGGCACGATGCTGCGCATGGACAGCTGGCCTCCCCGCGAGAAGCGATCGTCGTCGTTTGTCAGCATCAAAGCTTCAGGTGAGCATGCTCGTACTGACTGACACGGGGGACACACTCTGGCTCACCAGCTTTCTCCTTGGGGCCCCAGCAGGAACCGGTGGTGGCTATCGTTTCGAGAATGCGGCCAATAGCAAAGCGACCAAAGCCGCCATCGAGTCCAAGGGACCGCTTGGTAATGGTCCAGACGCTCCGGTCTCGACATCCCTCGAGACTGCCAGTGTCGACCCGCAACCCAATTTCCTCAAGATGGACCCAGCGAGAAGGACACAGAGGCCGCTTCCTGCGTCCAGCGACCCCGCTCGACCAGGCACAAGTCCCAAACTCGGCTCCCCAGCTGCGCTGGACACGGACAAGTTCGAGCGTTCGGCGCGGCCACTGATGCAGCGCTCCGACTCGTCAAACTCCTCCCTCGACAAGGGCCGAAAGAGGCACAGCAAAACATCGTCCCTCTCCGCCTCTCGGCCCACGACGAGTGAGGGAACCAGAGTACGGACGACCAACGGCAGCTCCTTTGCCCTGGCCGCTGTCACTACGGGCTCCTCCTCTGTCGAACGGCCCGCTCTGGTGAAGCGACCCTCGTCGCACCACGGCCGTTCTGATCGAGAGAGCGTGAGCAGCCTGGCCAGCTTTGCATCGAGTGCCCAAAGCGTATCGGTGGTGCCAAGATCCAGCAGCTTGCGAAATGCGCGCTTGGCAGCAAGCTCCGCTTCGAGCGGCGCAATCGGTGACCACGAGCGCCTCCCCTCACCGCCCGCGCCGCCGAGGATGAGCTCGACAAAGAGCATTGGCAAGAGCGCTGACGGTGCTGAAGGTCCATCCGTGGATGGCTTTCATGCTGGTGACACGCCGCCTGCAGACGACGGCGGCTACAAGTCAAAGAGGACGAGCCTGCTCGATCTGGAGGCACGTCCCCCGCCAGGGTCGAGAACATCAGCCGCGAGCGCCGCTGGAGCTGCTGGAGCAGGCGCATTGGCTGCCATCCGTGCACGCTTTGGCGACGGCTCATCAGCCAAGCGTCCAAAGCCGTCGGCGGAGCACGACGAGCATCGGGACAAAGTGTCGCAATTGAGGAGCGATGAAGGCCCCGCCAACTTTGACGCCGCAAGCCCGGAGAGCATGAAGACGGCGCGGGCCGAGCTGTCGCCAGCCTCGACTTCCGCCCCCCATTCCACCTCGCCTCCTGACTTTGTCACTGACATGGGTGGCTCCCTCTATCCCATTTCCTCCCACGAGAGCAACGTCAGCGTTGGGCCCGAGAGTACACAGCACCTGCATGCTGGTGAGCCTAGACGACCAGAAAAGAGCCCTCTCCGGACCAGGCAAGCAGCGCCGTCTTCGGCGAAACCAATTCCGGTCGGCTCGCCTTCGGCCGAGACGCTTCGAGCAATCGAGGAAAGGCAAAGGATGCGGCTCGCACTGGGAGCCAGCCCGCCGAGGAGGAGCATCGAGGAAGTGGCGCCGATGGGTGCCATCATGGCCAGCTCCCTCTCTGGCAGCTCCTCGTACGACGTCGAGAATGCAGTGACGCCCACGTCGCCCTCGACTCTGCAGACGGGTATGCCCATATGGAACGACGACATCAAGCTCAAACCTGTCCCCCTGACTGCCAAACGGCGCAGCAAAAGCTCGCGCCCGGGATCGGCTTCTGGCCTGAAGCTCGAGGACAGCCCACGCTTACGGCAAGGTAGCCCGAGGCTGAGTGGCAGTCCCATGATGCAGGGTAGTCCCAGCGCGAGTTCTCAAGGCATGGTGAGACTGCGAACGAACAGCCTCAAGATGCGTGCAAAAGCTGCTCTCCCTGCCGACGACATGGCCGCCGCTGCTTCAGCCTCGCAGCTCTCTCTCGACTCGAATGGCGACGCAAGGTCGTCGGCCAGCCAGGAGACATCGGTGCTGTCTCACGGCACTGCACCAGCCTCGTCTGCTTCGGGCTCCATGGCGCAGAGGTACATGTCGCTGAGAAAGGTGACGCCGCCAGCCTTTGGTTTCAACAGACCATCCGACAAGGACGCAGGCGCGGGCGATCAGAAGAAGACATCCAAGTGGAAGCCCTTTTCTGGGGATGCCAGAGAGGACAGCCCTTCGAGCAGCTCGCTGTCTTTCACGTCCAAGCTCGGCCGCAAGACTACAAAGAGCCGCAAATCGGATCCAGCGCTGGCAAGGCCTCAGATCAGGCGCATCTTTGACGGCCAGGACATCGACAGCTCCGACGGCCAGACGCCGGCAGTGGAGGAGGAGCAGGCAGGGGCATTTGGAGAAGCATTTAGACGCAACGGCTCGACTCCATCGCTCGGCGACAAGACCAGGTCGGTCCACTCGCTCGACGCTGCCGGTAAGCTCGGCTCCCCCGTCGCCAATCTTGGGCCGACCAGCGTAGCCTCGCCGGCATCGGTGGGCACGCCCGTCGAGGAGCTGACGGACGAGATGAAGCGCATCATCAAGCGGAGGAATGTCATCAGGGAGCTCGTCGAGACCGAGAAGAGCTATGCGTCGGATCTGGCTGTGGTGCGAGACGTCTATCTGGCCAGGGCAAAGGCAAAGGCGGGCATGTCGGCCACGTCGATTCTGCATACTCCCTTGTCGGGTGGCCTGAGCTCCTCGTCCTCGACGCCGATTCCCTCGCCGGGCGGTCTTGGTCTTGGACCGCCGCCGTCGGCAGGTGCAGCAAGCACCACCTCTTCTCGGAGCGGTCTCATCAATCAGCGACTCCCTTCGCCGGGCGTAGGTGGGCCAGCAGGGACCTACTCGCCGTCGTTTGCCTCATCTTCGGACCCGAGCAATCGCTCGTCGATGTTCACCGTGTCCTCACAGACATCGCAGACATCCGACTCGTCTTTTCCCTTCTCGACGGCCAATGCGCCGCCGTTGCCTGCCACACCGCCAGCCATGGCAGGTATGACGACGTCGACGTCTTCTGGCCAGCTCTCCACGTCTGCTTCGGCGGGCACAGTGCATGCACAGTCGACGAGCTCGCTATCAGCGTCTTCACCAGCGCCAGCATCTGCGCCGACGAGACCCCCGATGCACGTCTCGACCGCTGGCCACGTCCTCATGGCAGGCGCACTGGGATCGCCTGATGCGCCCCTGACGCCAAGCGACATCCGCATCATCTTTGCCCAGCTGGAGCAGTGCGCTGTCTTTGCTGATGAGATGGCTGCCATACTGGAAGGTGTCATGGGGTCGTTGGCCCTTTCGCCCTCGCGCACCGCCGCCGGTCAGTCTGTTGAAGATGCAGAGGATGACCGCATCGGCAGGGCGTTTCTCAGTCTCATGCCGCGCATCGAAAACGTGTATACTGCGTACTGCTCCCGACACGAGGCATCAATGGCCAGGCTCCAGGAGCTCTCTGCCAACTCGGGCCGTGCTTCGGCCTTCTTCAAGGATTGCACAGAGGTGGCTCGCAAGCAGTGAGTAGTTTTTTCCCTCCAAATCGTGTCTCGTCTCGTGCCACACTTTGCTCATCTTTTGTGCTTTCACCCCCTCTCTCTGCCTTCAGCACCAATGCGTGGGATTTGGCTTCGCTCCTTATCAAGCCAGTCCAGCGCGTGCTCAAGTATCCGCTGCTGATCCAGCAGATTCGTGCCGCAACACCTCCCTCGCATCCCGATTATGAGTGTCTGGCGTCGGCATTGGAAGAAATTGGACGGGTGGCAGACAACATCAACGAGGTGAAGAAGCGCAAAGACATTGCAGGGCACATTATCGCTAGCAGCAGAACTGTTTCGTCTTCTCGCCAGCGCACTGCCACGGGTGGTGATGGAGGAGGAGCTAATGAATCCGTCGTGACGCCGCCATCGACAATCAAGAAGGGAAAGAAGCTCAAGGACAAGTCGGGCAGGCACTCGATGCTGACAACGCCCACCTCGGATCACGCGTTCGACAGCTATGCCTCCATTGTGGATCGCTTCCTCGCCCTGAGGCGTCGCGTTGAGCAATTTGCGCAACAGGCCTTGGCGTGGTCGCTGCATCTTAGGGACCACTACGACGCGGAGATACGCTTGTTGACGCAGATGCGCAACGTCATGCAGCTCACACTACCGCCTTCCTCTCCATCTGTGGCCCCAGGCACGCATGACGAGAGCCGCGCAAGCTCTGTTGAAGAGGAAATGGCTGTGGTGGCAAGCCTCGAGCGCATCCAAGCATACCAGGTCTTGATCCGCACCGTCGTCAAGACCTCGTGGCGGCCCATGCACTCAGAGATTGAGCACAACATTGTGCCAATGACTGATCGGCTCCTCCAGATGTTCGACAATCCCATGTCGGTCATGGCCAAGCGCGACGAGCGAGAAGCCGACTACTTCAAGTATCGAACGATGAAGAGCGATAGAGCGCTGGACAAAAAGGCAATCGAGAGCGTAAACGGCTTCATCGCTCTTCACGCCCAGCTTCTGGACGAGCTGCCCCAGTTTATCTTTGGCGTGCTGACGCTCCTCGACGTGGGCGTGCAGGCATTTGCGAGGATTCAGGCCGCTCACTACCTGGATGTGCGCCGCGCCGTGCTCGACTACTGGCGCGTCAATAGCCCGAACCCCAACGAGGTGACTCCGACGACGGCCGGCGGTGAGGCGACGATCCGACATGTGCATCCCGTGCGCGCGTACTGGAGTGCTCACCGGCGCACGAGCGAGCTTCTCGAGACGCTGCGCATCACGTCTTTTGAAGGCAGTGGCGTCTTTGCTTCCTCTGCTGCCTTGGCCGACATGGCCGAGGCGGCAGGAAAGGGAGACAGAGCAGCGGGAGACGATAGCGGTTTCGACACCGGCCTCTTGGCGCCACCTTCGTCCTCTCTGGGCCATTCGCCATCGCTCAACTCCTCTCCCGTCCCTTCTCGGCGACCGAGCGGCGTGGCTGGCCTGATGCGAACGATTTCGGGAAGCTTCTCCAAGGAGTATTCACCTTCGTCGAGCTCGCCGAAAGTGCCCCTTCCTCCGATGCCTTCTACGTCCGAATCGGGTCATAATGACACATCGGTCGTGCCAGAGCGGCCTCCATTACTGCCCAGCCTCGTCTTTAGAACCGATGGCGATGATGGCTTCTTCATCCAGAACAGCCCCATTCCCTTCCTTGACGACAATCCGGAAGCGCCCAAAAAGGAAGTTTACTTGGGCTCCTCGCCTGCCATGGCACTCTTGCCTGAACTGTCGTCCACCGAGGCGCAGCCACCGCCGGTACCACCAAAGTCGGAAGGAGCTCTGGGCTCTGAGCAGGCGGATATGAAGCCGCCCATGTCACCGCGGACGCAGCAGCGACACAAAATGCCGGTTCTCTACACCCTCCAGGCTTCCGAAGCCAGCCCTTCGGACGGACCTCGAGAAGACCGAATGGGATGGCCATGGTTGTCGTTTGAGATTGGCGACAAGCTTCGCGTCCTGTCGTCAAACAGCGATGCCGATGAGGCAGCCGGCGACAACGACCTCGCAAAGACGATTCTCTTTGGCCGCATTGACCGAACAGGCAAGCTGGGCTGGGCAGACAAGCTGTACTTTGGTGCCGCTGCGTCTCCTTCGCCCGTGGCGTCCTGATATTCTCTTACCTTCATCCCACCCCCCTGATCTTGAAACCATGTCGCTGTAGATGACGGGATACCTTTTCGCAACTTGCACGGATGTACCCTCGACCAAAATTTGTCACCCATAGCTAGGTTGTACTGTACTACACTCTTCGAACCCTTCCCCAAAATTGAAAGGCACTCTTTCTTTCGCTCGTCCTGGCCTCAAAGACTCGCCCCTTTCCATCGTTTTCGTAACGTCCTTTCCCACACTGGACACGCTCTAGTGATCGAATTAGGAGAATTGCCACCCTGAGATGGTCATGGTATCAAGTGTTCGTATAGTAGTCTAGCCTAAAAACAAGTATTGCCAATACTAATGGCCGCCAGTGGCCGCTATGGATGAGATTCGTTTGGTGTGGGTGTCTCTACTGTGCGCGCTTGCTGCGTACCCTGCTCAGTTTCTGTTATGTCACCATCTTCTTCGTCTTCCTCTTCTTCCTCTACGTATCCTTCCCGGCTTGCCTGCTTCGCTCGCCTTCCCCTCTTTGCCGAAAAGTAGGAAATGGCGTCTCCCCAAGCCTTGAGGCCGTACCTCGCCCGAGTCTTTTGCTCCTTCTCGGCCGCGCTCTGTTTGCCCCTCGCATTCGTCGCCTCCCTTGCTCGAACGCGGTTCCTCGTGTGGGCCCCCACCTTGTGGTGCCCCTTGAGGCCGTAGAGAACACCAGCGCCTTCGTCGTGGCCCATCCCGAGGCTCTTTGCACGCATATGCAACGACGTCCTTAGCAGCTCCAGCGCCTCCCCGGTGTCTCTCCTCCCGGCAATGGCGCTCGGCGGCGGCCTCTCGCCTTGTAGGTCCAGGGGCCCAAAGGAGCCGAGGTCGGCCCATCGCTCATCCTCCTGCACGCTGCCATTGGACTCCTCCTTCTGCAGGCTCTTTGACGAGTCTTTCATCTTCTTCTCCTTGGCCTCTTCCCAGCGTGGTCCCACGAGGCCGAGCTCGGCGGCCCTCTCGATCATCGCCTTGGCTCTTTCCTCGTTCTTCGCTCGTCGCTTCTCCACTTTCTTTGCCTCGCGCTTGAATTTATTGTCCCACAGCTCCTGGCCCGTCAGGTATCTCTTGACGGGTCCCTCCTTGATGACGCCGACCTCGGTGCAGGGCATCTGGAGCGCCTGAAGCTTACTATCATCCTCGAGAGGCCTGATCTGGCCACGGATGTCGACGCGCTCGCGGATCATCTCGTCGACGTACGTTGGCCGCTTAAGCGGGACCTGACCGTCGTACTCGTTGGCTTGTCCCAGCGTGACGTTTCTTCGCCTTCGATCACGAAGCGTTGCACCCTCGACAGGACCATCGACCGGTGGTGCCGATGTGGGGGGTCCAGAAGAGCCGCCAGCGTCGGACGAGCCACTGGATGACGACTGCTGCTGCTGCTGCTGCTGCTCCGGCGAAAGGATCTCAGGCGAGAGAGCCTGCGGCGACGAGCGGCCAAGCGACGTGTCAATTCGGTCGAGGTTTCTCTCGTCGCCGTCGTTGTCGGCTTTGGCTTCTCTGCCTGTCTCGATGCGGTGTGACGAACCAAAGGGCGTCCACCCCGACGTTGAGACAGTTGTTCTGGTGTCGCTGTGTTCCAGACGCTCGGCCTCAGTGGGGAACGGCGAGACGTACGTCGTGGGTGCGCCTGTGACATGCTTGACAAAGGAGGCGATGGCTCGGTATGCGTAGCGCGCCGACGTCGTGAAGCTAAAGAGGGTCAAGACGTGCGGCTGGCCGTCGTAGACTTGGAGATGGACCTTGGTCGGCTTGTCGTTGTATCGCTCGGCGTCGTGGCGCGCCCGCTCGTTCTGACTCAAAAGGTCGTCGTTGAGTGGGTACATCTTGGGACGAGCGGCGCGGTGGGCAAGGTAGATAATCTCATCGCGCAGCACCTCCGAGTCTCCAGCAAGGATGTAGAGCGGGGGTAGACCGCCGAGGCTACCCTGAAGGATGGGCGAACAGAGCGGGTGGAATACTTGCGCATTTGTCGCATACAGCTGGATCTGCTGTCGGAGGGCGATCGTCTTGTTCTCGCCGTCTTTGCCTTGGACAGCCACCTGGATCGGGTCAGCGTAGAGGTGGTCTAGAGGTGGTGCAATGACGGGCTGTGCCGGATCGGCAGCACCTTCCGTGGCAATCTCTGCTTCCGGATGATCGCTCTCATTGCTCCTGACCTCGGCCACCGAGAGACCTTGGCGGTCGGTCGCGCCATGGAGACCGAGCTTTTCCTTGATGCCCTTGCCGCTATCGAGGCTTGGATCGACACCGTGCGGAACGGCGAGCTCGGGCTTGCGCTCGCCCGTGGGAGTTCGAGCCGTTGGCGTGCGGCTATTGTGGTCTGAGCGAGCCTTGGGCGGGTGCGAGGCCTCATTGTGCTTCTCGCCCTTGTCCGCCTTTGCCTCTCCGTCCTCCTTGCCGGCCGCGTGCTTCTTGGATCCCTTTTCGGGTCGCACACCGGGAACGGGCCAGAGGGTGCTGGGCTTGTGGATGAAGCTGTAGCGAGGAATAATGTCGGTGTCGGTGTTTTGCAAGATGGATGGAAAGCTGTGCGTCATGTCACACCACGGACTGAGCAGCACCGCACCCGACGGCTGGGGCTTACCCAGGTCGCGCAGGACGGCAAGGAGGGCGAGGCAGAGTCCACCCCCTGCACTGTCGCCAGCAATGACAATGTTGGAGGGGTCGATGGCCTTGTGCTTGGCACCGGGAGGCGGGTTGATGAGGTAGAAGTAGCCGGCAAGGACATCGTGGAGCGGGCACGGCCAGGGGTAGTTGGGCGCCTTTCGGTAGTTGATCGCAAATGCTCTCCCACCAAACTTTCTTGCGAAGCGGACAATCATGATGCGATGGGTGTTGATCGAGCCAAAGTAGGTGCCTCCGCCATGGACATAGTACATGACTCTCTTGAGCCGGTCCAGCTCCTCAAACTTCTGCCCCTCGGAGTCGAATTCGCCGTCATCGTCCTCATCGTCCACATCGCTACCGCCGTTGTCGCCATTGCCCTCTCTTCGCTTTCTCCGCTTCTGATGTTTTTGGTGGTGGTCCTTGCCGTTGAGCGAGCGGCGGCTGCGCATGCCTTCGACCTTGTGCCTCGAGACTTTGCGCTCGTGGCGCTTGTTCTGCTTTGCCGTCTTCGCCTTTTCAAACAGCTCGGGCTGGGAAATGTTTGCGCCATCGACGAATTCGGCGCGCTTCCAGTCGTCGCGCATCGCCATCCATTCCGCTTGGATGCCCGCCAGGCCGCGCACCTGCCACCACTTGGCGCCACCGACGAGGTCCCGCAAGTCCTTTTCGCCAAAGTACTCGATGAGCCACTTGGCGGCCTCGTCGCAGCTCTCGAGGGGCACAATGACGCGCGAGACTCGCGTCGTCGGCGCTGCGGGTACATGGGTGTTTGTAAAGGACTGGAGCGACTCGACGGTGTCTCTGGTGGCAATCTCGATGAACTGCTTGATGATCATAAATGCCTCGTGGAAGAGGAGCTCGTCCGTGGCTGTGCGCGCAAGGTAAGAGCGAGGGAGTGTGAGAAAGACAGAAAGAGAAGAGACAGAGTCTGAGCCTACAGAGGACAACAGAACATGACGAGGCCGGGGGCCAAACTCACCCTCTGTCCGCCTGTCCTCCTTCTCCTTTCGCATCTGCGTCACATAGTGCTTGATGAATGTCTTGACCACCGTCGGCGTCGTCGAGGTGGCCACATGCGAGAGCGAGATCGTCATCGTTGGTGGACGGCGAGCTGCTGCCTGCTAGGTTGCAAGCCGTAGGCGCCGATCGAGGGCCCGTGTAGAGGGAATATGACTTTCGACGGCAAATGAGCGTGAGTGTGTGTTCGTATGGTATATATGGAACAGAGGATACCGAGAGAGCGCCTTGTAGTCGAGAGAGCCTGGCCGAGAGGAAGAAAGGGCAGCGGTCGCAGCGAGCCGAATCACGCTCGACACAATTCCAATATACTAACGATGCGGGCACGACGACCCGCACAGATCCAGAACGAGGACCGCCTAATTCCGATTCGACGTCATCGCCAGAAATAGAGCACGGTCACATGGCAAATCGAAGCCAGGCCAGTCCACACGCCACGCGAGCGCGTTTATTTGAGAACAACACTACTACACTACTACACCGCGCGCCCTGCATCTGCACCTATCGACGAGCACGAGATCGCACACGCTCGCGCGCGCACCAAGTCTGCCTGCGGCCATGTCAGGCACCACACCGTCGTCATCGACGACGACCAAGGAGCGGCACTATGCGCACCTCAACGCGCGGCTCGCCCAGCTCTCGCACCACGCCGCGGCACTCCAGAACGAATTCTTTGTCGCGGGCGAGCAGGCCAGGTATCTGAGGCAGCTCGGCGCCAGCCAGGGCGCGCTGTGAGTCGTCGAGTCACCGGCAAGGAGAAGGGGTTTTCTGCGGTGTGCTGACTCAACCGCAACAGATTCATGGGAGCGCTTCACCAGGTCGACTCACAGGCCGTCGAAGAGGCCGAAGCGCGGGGAGGGCACGGGCATGCACAGGGACAAGGCCAAGGGCAAGGGCAGCAATGAGAATGAGATGCATTGTACTATTTTACTTTGGATGATGATTATGATGGTGATGTTGTTGTTCTTTTTTTTGATCGACGACGACAACGGGAAACAGGGCAGCCTCATTCATATCCAGTCGGGTCACCCAGCTCAAAGCATCCACGGTGCTTCCTGCGTGCTTCGGTGTTGGCCTCCTGGGCCACCTTGACCATGCTGGGATAGGCGGGCCAGTAGGGCACCTTGGCATCAGGCAGCGCATGCCCCTCCCGGACGAGATCGAAGTTGAGGCAGGCCTCGGCCTTGCCGGAGGAGATGCTTGCAGGGTCGTTGGGGTCGTACAGCGTCAGGTGTAGCAGACCAGAGGGCTCGCTGTTGAAATAGAAAAAATGATCAGCTCACGGCTGCACGCCACGCCAAGAAAGGGCCAAGAGGAAGACAGACTCACCGGTAGTCGATGTTGGCAATCAGCTTCTTGCCCTCCGTCAGGTCCCGGAAGCGCTCGATGGCCTCCTGCGCGTACTCGTCGGTCGATGCGCTTGCAGCTGCTGCGCCAGGCTGAGGTTGCGGAGCGTAGAGCTTGGCGAAACTCAGTCGAGCCTCGATGGCCTTCGCGGGCAGCCTGGTCTTGCCGAATCGGGCAGCTTCTAGCGGCCGAATGTCGCTGACGGCAACGTCTTCGATGTTACCATAGTCGACAAAGCGGACCTCCTTCGACTTGGAAGCCGCCTTGTTCCGGAGGATCTGGCCGCGGTACCACGCACCGTCGCCGCTGAACTTGGCACTGACCCAGTCGCCGACCTTGGGTGCGAATCCAGAGCTGAAGGCAGTCGTGGCCGCCTTGTGGTGCAAGGCCAAGTCCGACATGAGCGTCTCCAGTTTGCTGATCTCAGCGTCGAGAATCTGGACCGAGAAGCCAAAGGGCACCTCGCCACTTCCACCACGGACATCGGACACATACAGGTCCACGTACTCTGACCGGGCCTGAGCAGGCGCTGCCGCTGCTGCCGGGACACCCCAGCCGGCCTTTCTCGGTGCAGCTGCGGCCGACGCGGAGGCTGAGCCATTGGCACCGGCGGTGGGCACGGCAATGTCTCCCACAGACTCGTGCTGCTCCTCGTCGGTCTCGTTGACCCACATGCCCACCTTGGCCCGCCTGGCGCGCTTCTCGGCCTCGATGAGCTGGCTGCCAAAGGAGATGCCCTCTGCACTGTACTGGTGCACGCTCGCCCAACCAGACTCGACGAGACTCACGGCGAGGTTCTCGGTCTTGTTGAGCCAGAGCGCGCCGATGAAGCCACCAGCCTTGTCCGTCGAGTACACTTCCACCTCGACATCGCGTTGGAGGGCTCGCGTGGTGGTGAAGTCGAAGCCCTCGCGGGCGTATGGCTCGTCCTTTTCGCTTGCATTTCTCGCCGTCCGGGGTGCGCGGATGCCGGCGAGGACAAAGGTGAGCCTGCACGACTCTTTTGGCACGACGATCTTGAACCGGCTTGCGCTAGCGCAAAAGTCGACGACAGCATGGATCCGGCCCTGGCGCTTGAGGACGGGCAGGTAGGTGTTGGCCTTGGATGCCGACTCGGAGGCCTCAATGAGCCTCGGCGCGGTGGCCTCCTTGCCCGAGTGCAGGCCCCTGGTGGCCTGGATGGCCTCTGCCTCGGACGCCATGTAGCGGTCCCACTCGGGCGAGCGATCCTCGTCGCCGGCCCGATGGCGAATGACGGTGGCCAGACCTCGAGAGATGAGCATCTCGCCGACATCCTGGCCACGAGCTTCCTTGGAACCCGTGGTCGTCTTGACGGTGGCATACACTCGCTCCTCGCCATTGCCCTCGTCTTTCTTTGCGTAGTCGATGTGCACCTGGACCGCCTTGCCAACGAGGCGCTTGCGTAGCGCTTCTCGTGCCTCGTTTGCGTAGCCCACCAGCTTTGGGTCCTTGATGTTGGGTTGTCGCACTGAGGACAGGTGAATGCGCTGCTCGGGCGCCGACTGCCTGCGCACGTGAATCGTGTCGCCCGAGATGACTCGGACGACGGTGGCTTCGAATCTCCTTTGGGCCGGAGCACCAGGCCCCGTGGCATCGGCAGCTCGCGGCGGTGGGCTGTAGTCCTTCCAGATGGCCAGACGTTTGGCCTTTGCCGCCTTTTCTGCCAGTCGGTACTTTTCCATGCCGCCAACGCTAGCCAGGAGGCCCGAGTGCCAGTCGACGCACCTGGCCAGACCGGCGGCGAGGAGGAATTGGGCAATGTCGCCGACGGGATGCAGCACCTGACCGATGAGCACCGACGACTGCATTGGGGGCTGCGGTGGGGCCGAAGCGGCCGAACCCAGCGGGTTGACGGCCTGGGTGAGGGGCTGAGGCATGGCGAGGACAATGACCTTGACGTTGCGCTGCATGAGCCTGCTCTCGACAAAGAAGCGCGCCTCCTCTGCAAACGGCTCTGATGGCTCGCCCGAGTTGGGGCCTCCGCCACCCATGAGTCGGGGCGCCTTGATGCCCGCCAGGCTGAGATTGACCATCTGATGGTGCCGGCTGCCGGTCAGCATGCGCACACGGAGCATCGAGCCATCGCGGACCTGCTCGACGACGCTCTCGACCTCCTTTCCCTTCCATTCGGCCAGGAACGCCGCTGCGTCGCCCATGCTGTGGTCCACGTGCAGCAGGTCATCGGGTCCCCAGATGCCCAGCGAGGCTGACTGGGCCGTCTCCTGGATAGAGCGCTGCGTCGCTTTCCAGCCCCCGGTCTCGTCCTCCTCGGGCGTCGCTGCATTTTCGTTGTTTCGGCGCGAGTTCGAATCATGTACCTTTGCCCAGCCTGCGGTGAGAATCTTGTGCGACACATTGGTGTCCGGGGCGCTGCAATTGTTGAACAAAGGGCGTCAGTGTGTACCCTGCCTTTGGAACACGGGTCGAGCGCATAGCCTCACCTTGCGCCTTCGGGTGGCAAGTAGACGTGGGCAAACTCCCGGACACCACCGCCGGGGACCGGGACATTGTACTCTACTCGATAGCGCACTTCTTTACCGACGCAGAGCTTTCTCAGGAACTCTCTCGATGGGAACGCAAAGGGCTACAGAAGGGTGTCTGCGAGGTCAGCAGGCAGGCAGCCGATACCAGGGTACGGGAGTATGGTAAGACTCACGTCGTCTTCGCGCTCCCGGCTGCCGAGCCTGGGCGCTGCGATGCCTGCAATGTGGATCGTCTTTTCACCCCCGGGCGTGACGACTCCCCTCGGACGAATGACGAGTGTGTCTCCTGAGGGGGCCGAGCGCACAACACCACCCTGGAGAGGCGCAGGTGCCTTGCCAGCCGATACTGCGATGCTGGAAGGGTTGGGTGCTGCCGCCATCGTTGTTCGCTGGAGGAGAGAAGGAGAAGAAGAAAAAAAAAGAGTCAAAAGACAACCGGGAAACAGCCCTAAGAGAGACACAAGGAGGCTTGGGAGGACGTCGTTGGTTGCCAACGTCGCCTACTGGGCCCACCAATTCTTCTCAAAGCGCACACGCACTCCACGTTAGAGTGTCACGTGACGCTCTCTTTGTCGTCCGTCTTGCAAGACAGACGAGGCACAGTCGCAGGTCTAGCTGTCATTGCCTGGGCTGGGAGGGACAAAGGGGATGGAATCTCGGTCAAATGCAGATGGCTTTGTTCCCTTTTGCCCTCTGGAGTGACAGGGCATTGAGGTAATGTTCGCCCAGAAGAGGGCGGCGCGCTCGATTGACGTGGCTTGTGCGGCCCTCTTCTCTTGTCTCTCTTTTCTCGAGCAGCTAAACTCACGTGGCTGCGACTTCATACGGTCAAGAATCTTGGCTTGTCACCGCCCCCCCTCTTTCTACTCACTTGGTTCCCTCTGGCCACTCTCTCACAATCTTCGACTACGCCCATCCTACCGTTTGAGCACAGCTCTCCCTGAACCCGATCATCTCGCAGCATGGTGAGTCGCCGTTGGATGGATGGATGGATGGATGGATGTACATCGGACGTGATGTCGGACGATAATGGAAGCACAATGTGGAGGTGGTGGTGACCATCGGCCGCACACGACAGCAGCCAGCGATCTTGGGATCCGGAAGCAGCGGCGGAGGAAACCCAGACGCGGGCCAGGATGATGTTTATTCCCTCTCTCGAATTGATGGCACAAGCTCACGCTTCAGCCCTCTTCTGTGCCTTCCTCTAGGATTTCTTCTTCTGTATCCCCGTCATCTTCGGATGCCCAACCAAGATTAAGCAGGAGGGCAATGGCCAGTGAGTGAGCGGATGTGCTGAAAGACACATGCCCGAAAGCCAGCTAATTAGTGTCACCCACAATCTTCCAGGCCTCACGTCTGCCCACGCTGCCACAATGCCCAGGTGGTGACGGGCAAGAGCCGGACGTGGTTCGAGCTTTGCTGGATTCCTCTGGTAAGTCGCTCTCTCCTCCCTATCCTGCTCTCTATGCTGATCGTCAATCATCCTTCTGTCCGGGCCTCTTCAGATCCCTTTCAAGACCAAGCATGTGAGTTGCATCCAGGTACAATGGAGCTTTGTCGCTTCAGGAGCTGAGACACCCGCAGATCTACATCTGTGGCATCTGCCAATGGCAAGCACCCCAGGACGGTTCATACCAGCCGCCAGTGGCTGGAGGAGGTGGAGGATACCAACCTCAACAACCGGGCTACGGTCCACCGCAGGGCTACCCACCCAAGTAGAGAGAGAGAGCCCCGAAAGGCTATCTGCACCTATACACGCCCTTTCTCTTCTCAGTCGTGCTCTTTCAATGTCCCCCTTGGCTGCTTCCAGAGAATTGTTCATGTGTGTTGATTCATTGCTAGGTATGCTAAGGCAGAGCATGAACAGGTATGCAGAGGGGTGCGTCGCCATCGGTATGTGTGTGTGTGTGTGTGTGTGTGTGTGTGTGTGTGTGTGTATGCGCGCTACATTAGTCTAAGTCATCATTACTACTGCTTCGTTCCGGCACTTGCTGCGTCACTCGTCTCTCAACCTCAGCTTCAGCCGCATTAGTCGACCCTCTACGCCGTCGAGACTCGTCTGGAGCGCGCGATGGCGCATCCCAAGCCCTTCCATGGCCCCCGACTCGTCGCCCAGCTCGCCTCCGAGCTCCTCTACGTCTTCGCTCGAGGCGGCCTTCTCCTTCCAGCGACGTGCTTGCTGTGACGTTGCGGCGGAAGAGATCGACTCGGGCGGTAGGACGTTTGCCGCCGAAAACCTCGACGCAAGGGGCCCATTGCCTGCTCGCTTTGCTGCGAGCGCCTTTGCGTCATACGAGTTTGTCTTCTCAAACGGCCTCCTTGCGGCCGCAAGTGTCTCCTCGCGCTTGTCCTTCATGAACGTAAAGTCGGTCGACGACCGAGCCTTGACACCGCCTTGAGGGTGCGGGTGCTGCAGCGGCGACGGCCCTTTCGCGCGTGTCGCCTCTGGAGCTGGCCGCGCGACGAGGGGTATCATCGAAGACCTTCGCATGGGCTTGCCAGTGTTGGTATTGAGCAAGCCAGATGTCCGTCTGGAAAGCCCCACTGACGATGAGGAAGGGATATGGTTCTCGTCCTGCGCCGCGGGAGCGCCACCAAATGCGTCGGGAAAGGTGGGCAAGCTCGGACTGCTCAGAGTGATTGTCGCGCCTCCCCCTCCTCCGACGCCGACACCACCGACGCCGCCGACGCTGACCGTCGAGGAAGAGGTCTGGTGGCGTAGGGTTGGCAGCTTCTTGTTGGCACCCTTTCTCGTGTCTTCGCTCTTCTGTCCCTCGTCTTCGTCATCGGAGGTGGGGATGCCCTGGCGATAGCGCGACAGCATCTCCCGGCTGTCTCGACGTCGCATCGTCCGCGTCGTCTCCTCCCTCTGCAGCACAAGGACCTGGCCGACGGGTGCAGAAGCAGGCATGCGGGGCAGCTGCTTTGAGGACCGTGGCGCGGTGGGAGAGGAGATCACATCGTCCGACGAGGATTGGGGAGCTGCACCGCCGGCATCGGTCACGCTCTTTCTCCTTCCTTGACCGACGAGCTGTGGCGCCAACGGCCCGCCGAGGACAGGTAACGAGGAGGTGGAGCCGCTGGCGGGCGGAAGCTGGTGGTTGCTGCTGCTCCCGCTCGCCTCTGCGCTCCTGTCACCCTGAGAATCCAGCGAGATAGGGCCGGACATGAGGGGACTCAAGGCGCGAGTCGGCTTCGTCGGCGTAGCGCGCTCTTGCGCCTTGAGAAGCAGCTGCCTCGCGCTCCGCCTCTTCTGCAGCTTTGGCATGCCTGGTACTGCCAATGAGGATGATGACGACGTCGCTGGTGCGTCACCGGTACCGGAAGAGGATGTCGATGACTTGGATCGCTGAGGGAAGAAACGCAGCCGGGACGACGAGGGCGACGCCTGGCTCGAGTCGATGGTGCTGCTCGACAGCGCCGTCGTGTCGCTGGCCGTGCTGCTGGCTGGTGAGGCAATCGGAGCCGCTGATGCGCGCCTGTCGCCCTTTCTCATGGGCGACCTGAGGCTCGTGTCGAGCGGAGCAAGCTGGGGTTGCTTTTCCTGCTGTTTGGATGTGCGGTCCGACAGAAATCGTGGCAGCTGGGGTCTCTTTGCTCGCAGGGCGCCTCCTAGGCCTCCAAAGCCAAAGGCAGAGGCTTTTCGCATCAGCCTGCCCGGGGCCTGCGATGTCGCTCCTGCCTCCTTTCTCTCTGCCCTGTCTGCCAAGCTCGTGCTGATCACGCCGCTGCTGCCACCGCTGCTTCCAGTGACGAGATCCTGCTTCTGCAACACTGTGTCCGTGGCGGCATGCACCATGGGCGGCCTCCTTGAAGCCACCGGAGCGGCAGCATGCGTGACGGCAGCCTGCCTCGGCTTCCTCACGCTTCGCAAGACGGCGGCCTCCATCTCCTTCCATGCCTCCCTCTCGGAGATGTCTCGCTTGGCATTCGTACCTCCTGAGCACCTCGAGTCTGACCCTTCTCCGCTTGTGGCACCGTACGAGGCCGAGGCCGAGCGGGCTCGCTCGAGATCGTTGCGTTTTAGCGAGGCTACGGCGGGCGTCGCTCTGGGCCGCGAGACGCTGGGCGCAAGCGGGAACGGGTAAGGCGACGCCGGTGTCCTCCGAGTCGGATCGGACGTGGGCATGGGGGTATGAAAGGCAGCCGATGCTGACGAGATGTTGGGCAGCGAGTTCTTGCGCAGCGGTGTCACAAACGGTCGCCCTGCTGCGTCAGTTCCACCCTTTGTTCGTGAGGCCGTCTCTATTGCGTGACGGTGCAGGCTTCGCGGCACAGTTCCGTGATAGGGTGTTGACACTGGCATGGGCAATGGGGTCGGCAAGATCGTCGCATACGGCTCTGTAGCCTTATGATATGGCGTCGACGCCGTGGGCGCCGCATGAGGCTGCCAGGTCCACTGTTCTGCCACATCTGGTGACTTGAAGCCCTCACCAAGCGGTGAAGACAAAGGAGATGGCCGTGCTGGACTCGAAAGGCCCAGCTCATCGTCTGCCGCTGCGAACGCATCTCGGTCGGGGACATACGAAAAGCCGATCCAAAGCGGATCAAAATTCGACCATTGCGCTTCCAACAACGACGTCGACTCTGAGCTCAGCTCATCCGCTTTTGGATCAGCAGCACGGGCCAATACATGAGCATGTGCGCGGGCCGAGGGTGAGGATGAGGTGACTGTCACGGTCGTATCGTCGCCTTGGTCCTCTGTCACTTCATCGTTGGCTGTCGGTGGCATGCTGGCTGCTCCTCTGGGCGATAGGTCCACCGAGTTTGGGAATGCGGGAAAGTCAGACGAGTCACCGGCCCACATTGCTGCAAAGTCTGGTCTCGATCGGATCGATGAGGCCGTGTCAGGGTCCAGACCACGGTAAGGAGTCTTGTGACCAGGGCTGTGGAGCACGCTGATCTCTTGCAAGTGGCTGGATGCTGAACCATCGCTGAATGACTCGACATTGGGAATGAATGGCGCTGCGTCACCCTCCCAAGGCTTATTCCAATCGACGTTGGCAAAGTAGGGGTGCGACTGTACCTCTCTTGACGAAAAGAAGCCCAGACGTTGTTGCGGACCCGTGATGAGTCTGGAGCCGTGTTTCTGGTGGTCAGAGATAGCATTGTTCTCAGGGAAGTAAGTTCGTCTCACCTGCATAGGAGATCCTTGAGGTCGGGCGAGCACTTAACCCAGGTATCGAGATGGAAGTGTCTCTGAGAAACGGAAAAGCAGTGTCAGTTGGAGAGTGCTCGTAAGTCTCTCCTGAAGAGCACATATACGAACCTCGTGATTCTTGATCATGTCATACGTCTGGGCAACACCCTTTGCGAAAAAAGGCAGCCGCTTGTACGTCATTTCAAAGATGACGACTCCTACGCTCCACCAATCGCACTCTGGACCGTGTGGACCAGGCCCATCCGGAGGCGGCTCGTCATCGTCGTCATCATCATCGCGTCCTTCACCGGCGTCATCCTCGACCGTGTCCTCAAGTCGAGTTGATTCGTTAAGCCTACTAGCCCTTGCACCGAGCATCTCGGCAGCCCAAAAAACCTCGGGCGCGATATAGTCTGCCGTGCCAACGAGGGTGCAGTGTCGGTAAAGGATCCTCCTCTGCTCAGCAGGCGCCGCTGCTGCATCGAGCTCGGCGAGAGTGGCACTCGATGGGATGTTGCGAAAGGTGGAAAAGGGTGCTGCACTAGCCAGATCGCAGAGAAGCAGATGGCCTGACCGATCAAAGAGCCAATTGCCGGGTTTGATATCCCTGAGAGAGATTCATATTTAGTAGAGCGCACAGGAGATGGAGAGGAAGCAATACCTACCGATGCATGAATCCGCAGTCGTGCAACCATGCGATAGCGGCCACCATGTCGCGAGCATAACTTCGAATGTACCGCTCGGCCAGGAGCCCGCCACTGGGATTTCGAGCCTCGTTTGTCAAGTCTGCCTGGCCTGCGCTCTCGAGGAAATTATAGAGGTCGCCTGCCGGACAGTATTCGAGAACGATGTGAAGGCTGGCAGGGCTCTGAAAAGAGGCCACGAGCTTGGGAGCCACTGCTCTGGCTTTTTCATCGCGGGCAGCCGCAAGTAGTCGCCTCTCCGTCATTGGCGACGTCGTCTTGTAGCACCTCTTTGCAGCGCCCTTTGTCATCGACTTCAACACGTAGATCTTTCGATCCATGCGACATCGCACCACCTCTACGGTGCCCAGGCTGTTCGACTCAAGCGATGCCAGAGGCGACAGGTCTCGGCTGGAGTCTGTAAGGTGAGTCGAGGAGATTGCTGCGAGCGACGGCATGGCGTCGCGACGTGCCTGACATGGATCAACACCTTGTTTTGGTGCAGACCATAGCACCGCGAGTGACTCGTCAACCTCGATGCTCAGCTGCTCGGCATTCGAGCTCTCATCGATTATCCTCTGAGAAGCCTGATTAGCAGCCAAGGCCGAGGCAGCCGTGTCGTCATTGTGAACCAGCTTCTGTGCGGCCGAGAGAGCCCTCGACCGAGCAGCGCGGACATCGTCCTTGGTGACAAAGTCGACGATGCGTGCATGTCGTTCGGCCCATCGCTGATTCACGCTCATCTATCGTAGCTCCCACCCCGCGCAGCCTACCCTTGTCCTTGCCGATCGCGTCGTCGTCGTCTCCCTGAGCAGTCCGTCTTGTCTCATTCGACGACGGTGCTGGGGAATAGCTGTGTGTTGGTTTGGGCTCTCCCCCGAAAGCATCACTTTGAGACGCGTCTTTCCACGTGTTTAGTTTCCCCTGCCCAGATTTGGAGACCCTCGAGACTTTCATTGTCCTGGATTTAGGCCACTTCGTTCAACCCCTCCTTCAGACAGCCCATTCACACACATCACAGCCATGTCGATGGGCATGGGCGCCCCAGGTCGTCGCCCTGCGCGAGGCGGAAAGATCAAGGGACCCAAGAGGGTGAGTTGAGCTGGGGCTGAGCCCCAAGGTCAAAGCGTGCGCGATGATTGCTTAGCAGAGAGGTTGCGCGCCAGGTCGGCCTCGATGTGTCCATCGACCAGATGTGGGCCCGGCTGGCCAAGGCCATCGGCCATATCCAAAATCATGACATTTCCAAGCTCAGTTACGAGGAGCACTACCGCTACGCTTACAACCTCGTCCTAGTGAGTCCCTCGGTCACACCACCTCTGCTCTGCTACTTAGCCTGCTAACTGTGCACTGGCGCGTGCTTTATAGTACCAGCAAGGTGACATGCTCTATTCGGGCGTGAGAAAACTCATCGAGGAGCATCTCGTCAAATTGTGCATCGAGAAGATTGTTCCGGCGTTCCCACCAGGAGGCCCCTCCTCGGTGCCGCCAGGCATCATCATCCCAGTCATGCTCCGGCAACAACAGGAAAAGGCCAGGCAGCAGCAAAAGGCCGCTCGGGGCGCCGCCACGGCCTCGGTCAAGGGCAAAGCCAAGTCCTCGTCCCTATACCCACAAGCCGATCTGATCATCGGGCAAGAGACCACCGATTCGGCATCGTCGGAGGACGACGTGATGGGCGTGGGCGTGTCAGCGGCACAGGGAGCAGGAGATCGAGCAGACATGGTGGCCAGAAGCCAGGCGGGTGAGAGGCTTCTCAAGGCCGTCAGCGAGGTGTGGCAGGACCACTGCGCGTGCATGAGTAAGCTGCGCGAAGTCCTCAAATACGTTGTGAGTTTTGCCCTGGGATCCTCCATTACGCATCTGTCCTCCTCAGCTGATGCACCTTGACCAGGACCGCGTCTATGTGGCGCAAGCGGAAGTGCGTCCGATCTGGGACCTAGGCTTGGAGCTCTTTCGTGACACCCTGCTGCGGAGCACGCGCTTCGCCATCGACCACCGCCTTTACACCACGCTCCTCACCCAAATCCAGATCGAGCGCGAGGGCTCGGTCATCAACCGGAGCGCAGTCAAGTCCAACATTGACATGCTCAACTCCCTCAATCCTCCCAAACACTGGGATGGCACCACAAAAAGCATGATGTACAAGATCGAATTCGAGCCGGCCTTTCTGGCTACCAGCGAGGAGTTCTACAAGGTCGAAGCTGAGAAGATGCTCGACGGCGGCGACGCGATCCGGTATCTACGCCATGTTGAGCGACGCTTCGAAGAGGAAGACACCCGAGTGGCTGTCTACCTCTCTTCCCAAACCAATGCACCGCTTCGGAGCCTGCTGGAGCGATGCTTGCTCTCAAAGCACCTCCAGACCATAGTCGACATGCCAGGAAGCGGACTGGTCACCATGCTTGATGACAATCGCATCGAGGACCTCGAGAGGCTCTATCGTCTCTTCCGACGAGCCGATGGTCTGCAGGTGCTCAAGCTCGGCCTCAAGGCCTATGTCAATGCAAAGGGAAAGATCATAAACACGGCCGTCGAAACGACATCAAAGGCAGCAACTCCAGTCAAGGACGAAGCGGGCGGTGCAGCAACTTCGCAGGCGTCGACACCACAAGCAGCAACTGCAATCAAGTGGGTCGAGGACGTCTTGGCCTTCAAGTCTCGCTTTGATCGCCTCTTGCCGGTCAGTTTCCACGACGACAAGGGCTGCGAGGTGTCGATCAATGAGGCATTTGAGACATTCGTCAACAGCAATCCGCGCGCACCCGAATTCATCTCCCTCTTCATCGACGAGAATCTCAAAAAGGGTCTCAAGGGAAAGACGGAGGAAGAGGTGGACCAGGTCCTTGATCAGACGATCACTGTGTTCAGATTCCTCCACGAGAAGGACGTCTTCGAGCGCTACTACAAGGGACACCTGGCCAAGCGCATGCTTCAGGGCCGCAGCGTGTCGGACGACGCTGAGCGGGGCATGATGGCCAAGCTCAAAGTCGAATGCGGCCACGGCTATGTGCAAAAGTTGCAGGGCATGCTCAACGATATGAAGGTGTCTGAGGAGACCATGGCAGCCTTTAATGAGAGCATTCGCAAGTCTGGCCGGCCCATGCCGTTCGATCTCAGCGTCAACGTCTTGACATCGACGTACTGGCCCATCAGCGCCCAGGCTCAGACGTGCACGATGCCCGCCGTGATGATGGACGCGCGACAGGCCTTTGAGCGGTACTACCAGTCGCGACACAGCGGCCGCTTGCTGACCTGGCATCCCAACCACGGCAACGCGGACGTTCGAGTGACCTTCAAGAGCCGCAAGCATGAACTCAACGTCAGCACATACGCCCTCGTCGTGCTCCTCGTCTTTGAAGATGTGGACGAGGGCCTGTCGCTAAGCTTCCAAGAGCTCCAATCCAGCACTGGCATCTCGATGGCCGATCTCCAGCGCACGCTGCAGAGCCTGGCGTGTGCCAAATACAAAATCTTGCTCAAAGAGCCAAAGGGTCGCGAGGTCGGAACGGCCGACAGGTTCAGCTTCAACCACGGCTTTCAATGCAATCTGGCGCGCATCAAGATCGCGCAGGTCGCTGCGAGGGTGGAGAGTGCTAGTGAACGCAAAGAGACGACCGAGAAGGTGGAAGAGGAGCGCAAGAACCAGGTCGAAGCATGCATCGTCCGTGTTATGAAAGACCGAAAGACAATGACGCACAACGACTTGGTCAACGAGGTGATTCGGCAGCTCTCCAGTCGTTTCGGGCCCTCGCCAACTCTGGTGAAGCGGAGGATCGAGAGTTTGATCGACCGAGAGTACCTCGAGAGGTCCGAGAACATGAACGTCTACAATTACCAGGCATAGCAGCCTCACTCCCACTTTCCATTATTCTCTCTCTTTCCTCGCGCCATCATCTTATCCCTGGACTCAGACACTGTAAACTTTTCCCCCTTCCTGAGCGGTGATCCAACGGTAGGCATCCAAACAACACGACAACCAACATTCTGTATTAGCAGCGTTTCTTTCTCTATCACACGACAACAACGAAGAATACAATGTTGAAGATATCCAGAACTTTTGGTTGTATTTTTGGCCGGGTGTGCTTTGCTTTGGCCGGTCCGGGCAAGCTCGGGGGATGTGCACGACTTTTGGCTCAGGAACGGAAACGGGTGCCTGGCGCCTATGTCGTTTGACAGACAGGACTAGCTCAGCTAGCTAGTAGTTGTAGCTGGTCTAGTACGGTGGGTCAATTTACACTCTTGCTTCCTCTCCCGCTAAGCTAGCTAGCTGCTTTCCGCTCTCTGTTTAGATTCACTGGTCTGTCTTGGCCCACTTTGCAATGCTGCATAGTCGGAGTTGGCATCTACCGCTATCGGAGTTGAGCATCTACCACTGACTGTCCCGATCGTCTTACTGCATCAAGGACGAAATCGGCTGACCTTCAAGAGGGTGCAATCGTGCGGAAGTAGCATAACCTCGACCACCATCAACCGTCACCATGAAGCTCCTGCGGTCCCCCTTGCACATTCTTCCGTTTCTAGCCGCACTGGCAGGGCCTGTAACGGCGGGCTACTTTGTGCCTACTCGGCTTCAGTGCGACTTGATTGAGTTTGACCTCTTTCTCTTTCCAAACGAGGTGCCGACTGAGCAGACGTACGTCGGCATCAAGTACTCCAAGGAGGACTCGCTCTTCTCAGACGGTGAGTTTTAAAGGCTCTTCTTCTATGCAGCTGTACTTAAGGGACTCGAAAGACATCTACCTCGAGTCAACCCCCATCGGTCCACTTCTCCCCAGCTTCAGCACAAATGGGACCCGCGAGTCCCTCGGTCCCGTACCGTACAGCTTCGTGCCCGCGAACAAAAAGGGGCGAAAGGCTGGGGCGTGGTACCTGATCATCCAATTCGTCCACTCGAACGGGAGCGTGAGCTGGAGTCCGACCACCTTTGACAAGAAGATGGTGCCGGACGACGGCAATCTCATCGACGACAACGTCGGGCTGCAAGTCGTCAACGGCAGCACCCAGGGACAGTACCCGCACTCTTATACGGGCGAGTTCCAGGTCGACTGTCCACCTGAGGAGACTAAGAAGCTCGTCATCGTCGGTGCCGTTCTAGGTGCCGTCCTTGGTCTAAGCTGGATCGTGTTGGCCGCTTCGTGCGGGCTCTTTCGACGAAAGAACAACAGGCTGCAAGCGGAAAACCGCAAGCTCGTCAAGGGCAAGACGGCAGGGGGCCAAGGTGACATCGAGGAAGAGGGAGAGGACGTTCTTGCTTCCTCGGCCAGTGAAAAAAAGAAAGGCGGAAAAGGGTACCGACTGCACCCTCCACCCCATCCAACATCGGAGGAAAAGGGCGATTTTGCTGCGACATTTGGCTTGACTGGGAATGGCAAAGGCGATGATAAGTTCGAAGATGAACTGGACGGTGCGCTGGACGACGAGAAGCGAGACGCGGCACTCCTTTCCTGGGCAAAAGAGCGAGAGTCAAGCCACAGAGATGACGAGATGTTGAAGAAAGCTCAGGCATTCATCGATCCAGTCTGGCGTGGTCGTCTGCAACAGGACAAGAATATCACCGAAGAGCAGTGGGGTCGGATCAATTTCGAACGTGGGCTTGCCCGTCGCGTTCTCTCGATTCACAAGCGATGGGACGAGGTCTCCTGGATGATCATTGAGGCTTGTCCGACATTGCGAGTCCCCTTTTCGTCTTCTGCTTCGACTTCCAGGTCTTTGCCGACGTGGCAAAAGGAGCTCAGGAGTACCTACTTCGCTGCCGAAGAAGAAGCCAACAAGATCAGCAGCATCTACATGCTTGACGAGGAAAAGGACGGCGTCGACATCTCTGAACGGGCGAAAAGGCTCGACAAGGCCAACGTCTACTTTGACTTACTCTGCAACCGGATGCTCACACTGTTGGCTCAAGATGGACAGTCCGAACGCAGGACGCAAGGTCGGGTTTCACTGCCGGATTTGGATGAAAAGGAGGAAAAGGAGAAGGGCAGTGACAGTGATCGTATTTCTATGCCCGTACCCACTCTTCCCTTTATCGAAGGCGAGCAGCAGGCTGGAGAGACAAGCCCGCCGCGATACGAATCGTAATGACCCTCAAGTGATTTGTGAAAAGTGCCGGTGTATATATTCTGGAACTATTATACAAATGTGACAAACAAAGGAACGAAGAAGGAATTCTACAGCTCTGCCAACAGCATGGTGCCCAAGCTCTGGACAATTTGATCGCCCATGGCAGCCTCTACAACGTCTTCGAGGTGCCTCTTCGGATCCTGCTTGCCGACGTGTCGTGTCTTGAGCTGATCGGCCGTCAGTGTGCTCTCCTCCTGCACTGACTTGTTGTATGCCTCTGACAAGGCAAGCATGTGCTTGATGGCCTTCTCGTTGTTCTTCTTGTGCTCTCCCCAGTCTCGAAGCCGCAGGCCCTCCATCCAACCCCGCTTGTGCAAGTTGCCCAGCATGCTCTGCTCCAGCTCCGTCTTGCGATACCCGATTGGGATACTGTAGTAGTGACGATTGAGACCATGGATCAAGCTCTGAATCGAGGGCTTGTTGAGGTGGCCGACATTGGAAGTCGTCTGTCTCGGTTCCTGTCCCAGCATGATTGTTGAAGGGTTGATGAGCCGGAAGGCATCAATGACTACTTTACCCGGCACCGATTGGATAGGATCGACAACGACAGCGACAGCTCGTTGGTTGAGCTGCTCAAACGACTGCTGCGTGTTGACGTCCACGCTCGAGAGCCAGCATCCGAATCCTGGGTGCGAGTGGTACCACCCGACAACCATTTCCGGCCTGAGTAGAGGCAAAAGCAGTTAGTTCCCGCCTCCTTCAAAGGAAAAGAGACAGAAAGGAAGCAATAGATGTTTGGGAATTGGGTGATGCGGCTCGCGCCTGTATGAAACTGTCGCACGGCCACGACCTTTGTATTCCCTGGCATTGATCCGTCTTGGCTGAACTTTTTGACCCGCCATCATCTATGGGCCTTCGATTCTCTAGTGTCATGAGAGACAAGGTCGAGAAGAGACCAGATGGGCGGGCTTCGAAAGAGCCGATGTTTTCTTCTCATTGTCTTCAAAACGGTCTCACCTGCCAGTCTGCTTGAGCATGTCGAGCATCTTCGTTTGGAAGACCGGGTCGACGGCTTCGACCGAGACGCCCGTACCCGACTGAGGCATGGCAAAGACATCGATGACGGTGACGGTGTAATCATCGACAAACTCTCCCAGCATGAGACCCATGACCTCCATGGGAACACCAGCTCGGCCGTGTTTGAGCATCTATGGTGTTGATCGGCATCAGCAGGACGTCCAGGAAGCCGCAGCAAAGAAACGAAGACGCACCTTGAGCAGCGCCAAGCTGGAAATGTAGATCATCTCTGCATTGTCGTTCATTGGTGTGTCGCCCCGCAGGCCTCCAGCACCTGGTCCACCCCCCATCGAGCTCTGGTTCATCATCGAGCGGAAGTCCATCTTGGAAGAATCGGCCAAGCGCTCAGGTTCTTGGACGAAGAAGAGAGAGAAGACGACGCGTCTCAGCACCAGTAGGCGAGGAAATTCGATCACTTTGTGCATGCCGTTTCGGCCGAGTCTTGCTGCTCCACCCGTCACTTAGACTTTCTGGTTCCGTATTTCCACTGGCGCTGCACAACCAGGGGGACATGCCCGATGAGGAGCAAGACTGGCATTCATGGCGGAGATTGAAGACGGGCAAGGCCTCTGCCGCTGCTGGGCCATCTTTTGTCCGGGCAACGAAGCTGACGAGACGATGGGGCGAGGTTCGACCAGAGCTGGAGGAGGAAGAGGGTTCGGGAGAAGAGGGCGAAGAGGAGGATGACGATATCTTCTCCCGGCCCATGATGGAGGCCAAGGAGACACAATCCGCGAGTAGACGAGAGACAGACTCGGTCTCAACGATGTCTTTGGACAATGTTCATACAGCAAAGGAACAGTCGATGTCGTCGTTCTATGCTGAGCTGGCGAAGAATATGCCTGCGCAGTCGCCAACGCTACCCTTGGGAAGAGCAATAACGCCACGTCCAGAGCCGCAGAGGCCGAAGAAATCTGGGTACAATCGGCATGAGGAGATGTTGTCGAAGCGAAAGGAAGACTGGTTTATCGAAAAAGCGAGAATGAAGTTGTTGGGACAGGCGATGAGAGAGAACTCTGGCGAGAAAGACTTAAGTCGGACAAGCCAGACAATAGCTCAGCGTCTGACGACGGAGCCGCCACTTCCGCAGCCTATGAAGCCAAAATTGGCCCACAGCAGCTCCGTCGCCGCTGTTGCCCCAAAGGGCCCAAATGAGGAGCCGACCATGGCGCTCAGACCCGGCAATCTCGGCTACGCAGCGCTGGAGCGCATGGGCTGGCGAGTCGGTATGGGCTTGGGAAGGGATGAATACGAATGGGCGGCCTCGTCGGGGCTCCTGCGTCCTGGAGAGATCGCACAAGGCAAAAATAGACATCGAGAGGAGGTTGACCTTTGCTCTGAGAGTGATGTCGGCGAAGACAGCACAAGGAAGAACGGAGCCAAGGAAAGGCAGAGGGATCCCGTCACGATCAGCGATGATAGCGATGACAGTGACGAAGGGGAAGACGGAGCTGGCTGGCTCGAGAAGATCATTGCGCAAGGGGACGACGATGGGTTCCGCTTTGGCGAGACAGAAGAGACTGCCCAAGAATTCTTGTCAGATACGATCGATGCTGCTCAACCGCATTCGGAGCCGGGCTCTGCGTCGCCACCGGCACGATCAGACGACCACAGAGATCAGCTTTCTCGGACTCGTCCACGGTTGACGCCTCTCTCCCTTCATGTCCGCCCCGATCGTCGAGGGGTGGGCGTGTCTCTGCCATCTTCGTCGCGCGTCCGTGATCTACCCCATGAGATCACGCAGTTTCGACGCAATCACTCGACCTTACGGCATCGAGAGCTAGAGGCACAAGGCCGCAGAACAAGAAAGACGAAGAAGCAGAGGAGGGAAGACCTCGAGCGGGAGAAAGAGGAATGGAAGTCTCTGCGAAACAGTCTCCGCTGAATATAACGAGATCCATTAACGAAGCAACACGAACAAAGCACATCCTGCAATCTGTATAATAGAGCTTCAACAACAATAGCATCTAGAGCTTGGCAAGCGTCCAGCTGGCCTGAATGCGGTTGGCAAATTCGAGGTAGGTCTGCCTCGCCACGTCGACTGCCGGGCCGCTCCTGGCCTTGTCGAAGCCGTGGCCCATACCGGGGAGCGATACGAACTTGGCGTCTGCGTGATCCTCCTTCTGTAGCTTCTCAATCAAGAGCTTGCCGTCGTCGTGCAGCGTGTCGCCCTGGCCACAGGCAATGTAGACGCTGCGAGGGTACCGCTGTGGCTCTGCATACAGGGGCGACAGACGTGGGTCCTTGCGGTTGGAGTTGATGACAAGGTAAGACTGATCAAAGAAGCGTGACACGACGCGGGGCAGCGCCAAGGCTCCCTTGCTAGCCTTGGGAGGCGTCTTGGGTCCGCCGTGGTTGACAAAGTCTGTGACGGGATACAGCGTCGCCACGGCCAGCACCCGCTCGGGGCCGAGCTGCCACGAGGTGGAGAGGGCCAGATTGGCGCCGGCGCTGAATCCGGAGAGGGAGAGCTTGGACGTGTCCCATGACTGCTTCTGCGCGAGCGTCCACAATGCCACGTCTTCGGCATCTGTGGTGAGAGAAAGGTCAACAATTACGTTGAGTCGAGGCTGTTGGATGATCGGATAGGGCATTTACTCACCTTCTATGGCAGCAGGAAAGGGATTCTCGGGCGCCTTTCGATAGTCGGCATCCAGTATTGTGATTTGGAGTTTCTGGACCATATATGTGCAGAAGTCGACATCACCGCCTAGGCATGGCAGGACGAAACCAGAGCCATGCCAGTTGATGTGGACAGGCTTCGTTGCAGCCTGCCACGCCCCGCCCTCAGTCGCCGTAAATGACTCGGGTTGGTAGACGTCGACCTTGATACTCCGGCCCTTTTGGCGAGAGGGGACAAGAATCCGCTTCCTCGTCACTCCCTTTCCTCGAAGGTAATTATCGGTATGCAGCAGGTAAGGCGACACGCCAAGCGCGAGCTGGACCGGCAGCCGCACAAGGGTCGCGATGAGGCGTAGGCGGAGGTAGTCGAGTGTCCAGGCGTGCGAAGGAAGCGGCAGCGTCTGCGCAGTCGACGCAGTGGTGACTGCCTTGTCTGACACCATGGTTGGCTAGTTGAGGAGTGCGTCACGGCTCTCTCGCGCAGCTGCCATCCGTGAAAGGGGTGGCTTCCATAAGGTCCTTCCCCACCTTCGGAAGTCGGGATTCGTGGAGATCACTTATTTTGGGCTTCCCCTATGGACATCGAAGAATGCTCATCGAGAGCGCCAGGACAAGTTAAAAGCCACATTCGAAAGCATCTTTGCTTGCCTGTTGATTACCCGCCCCCGGAAAAGGGAAAAAACGAAAGAGGATGATCGGAAGCATCTAGCACTATCTTATCTCCTTGCTCGATGCCGCCGATGGCCACGGCAAAAGTCATCCTCTTTCCATTTTGCGCGCGTTTCCCAAAATCTTCGCACGGGCGAATTCGAAGAGAAAAAAAAAAGCCCAAAACCAGACCGTCCTTCTCCTACGCCTTTGCCTTTGCCTGTCATCGCCGCTTTAAACAGTGACGTCGGACCCCGATAGCGCCAGCTGGCACGCCAATCAAGGGGTGGCCTGAGCACATTGCTAAAAGGGCAATTAGTCACAGACACGACATGTCCACCACCACCAACAACAACGACACCATGGCGTCTGCCGCCAAGGACGAAGATGTGCAATCGGCGCCGACAAAGATCGCCGTCATGACGTCGGGCGGCGACTCGGCAGGCATGAACGCGGCAGTGAGATCCGTCGTCAAGATGGCCATCTTTCGCAAGTGCCACGCCTACGTCATTCGAGAGGGCTGGGAGGGGCTCGTACGCGGCAATGATGGCTTTGCAGATGAGGACGACGATGACGAGGTCCGCGGCCTGATGCAGGAGGGCGACACACGCAAGAGCAGACCAGCCTCGCCGAGGGCCGGAGCGAGAAATGGAGCACAGCAAGTGCCTACGATTCGCGACTCGAGCAAGATGGTCGATGGCGGCGAGTTTGTGCCCACGTACGGAGAAGGCGAGATTCTGAGAGAGGGTGTCGGTGAAGCCGAGGAGCTCGGACTAAAGGGCAGATACATTATCCGTGTCGGCTGGGACGACGTTCGAGGATGGATGGACCAAGGAGGCACGCTCATCGGGACAGCCAGATGTGCCGCTTTCAGGGAGAGGGCCGGTCGACTGAGAGCTGCAAGGAACCTTATTGCCTGTGGCATCGACGCGCTGGCCGTATGCGGCGGTGATGGAAGCCTGACGGGCGCGGACAGACTGCGAGGAGAATGGTCCAGTCTCGTCGAGGAGCTTCTCTCCAAGGGTGTGTTGTCGCATTCTTTTCTCTTTGAAAGGGGAACAAAGCTGACAGTGTTTCTGTGTTGCTCAGGCAAGATCACAGACACACAAGCCAAGCGATACGCACATCTTAAAATCGTTGGCCTCGTCGGCTCCATCGACAACGACATGGCCACAACGGACATGACCATCGGTGCATCGACGGCACTGGCCCGTATCTGCGAAGCTGTCGACAGCATCTCATCGACGGCTGCCTCCCACTCGCGCGCCTTTGTCGTGGAAGTCATGGGTCGACACTGCGGCTGGCTTGCCCTCATGGCCGGTGTCGCGACGGGGGCCGACTACATCTTTGTTCCGGAACGACCGCCTGGGACTGATGACTGGGAAGAGGAGATGTGCCAAGTGCTGCAGAAGCATCGCGAGGCTGGAAAGCGGAAGACGATCGTCATTGTGTCTGAGGGCGCCATCGACCGCAATCTGAAGCCGATCAAGCCCGACGACATCAAGCAGTGCCTCTCTGATCGGCTGGGCCTCGACACGAGGGTCACAACGCTTGGTCACACCCAACGAGGAGGCAAGCCCGTTGCGCAAGACCGCGTCTTGGCCACACTCCAAGGCGTCGAAGCTGTCGAAGCGCTCCTCGAGGCCAATCCTGACACTCCATCATACGTCATTGGTATTCGCGAAAACAAGATCACGAGGATCCCCCTTATGCATGCCGTGGAGCAGACGCAGCAGGTTGCAAAGTGTATCGGCGAGAAGGACTTCAAGGGCGCACTCGATCTGCGAGACCCAGAATTCGCCGAAGGCCTCAAGGCATTCGACATCATCTCGCGGATTGACGACGACGACAAGCTACCGGAAGCGAAGCGCATCAAGATGGGTATCATTCAGTGAGTAGGGCGCGTTCGTGCCGAGGAAAGGTTTACATTGACACTGACATGTTGTGCCAGTGTCGGCGCGCCTGCTGGAGGTATGAATGCGGCTACAAGGACGGCAATCCGGTTCTGTCTCTCGCGTGGCCACGAGCCCGTCGTCATCAACAATGGCTTTTCCGGCCTCTTGGAAGACAACATTGATGTCTTCGATTGGTTGCGAGTCGACAATTGGGCCGTAAGGGGAGGCTCTGAGCTCGGTACCAACCGAGTGCTTCCTGACGCAGACTTGGGCGGTGTCGCCTCGGCTCTGCAAAAGCACAATATCCAAGCGCTCCTGATGATTGGCGGCTTCGAGGCTTTCATGGCTGTCAAGATCATGGACGAGAAGCGGGAGTCTTACCCTTCGTTCCGAATCCCCATCGTTGCCATTCCTGCCACGATTTCCAACAACGTGCCCGTCTCAGAGTTCTCGTTGGGGTCGGACACCAGTCTCAATGCTCTTGTCGACGCATGCGACGCTATCAAGCAGAGCGCCAGCGCGAGCCGCAATCGTGTATTTGTCGTCGAGACGCAGGGAGGCAAGTGTGGCTACATTGCCGTCATGGGCGCTCTCGCCGCAGGTGCCGTCCTCGTCTACACGCCCGAAGTCGGCATTGGGCTGCAGCAGCTGGGAAGCGATGTCGCCTTCCTCAAGAAGCGCTTCATGCTCGATGTGAGGGGCAAGAGCGAGGGCCGACTCGTCATCCGAAACGAGAAGTCGTCCGATGTGTACACGACTGAAGTCATCACCAAGATTCTCAAGGAGGAGGGCAACAAGCTGTTTGACTCTCGTTCGGCTTCGCTTGGGCACACGCTCCAGGGTGGCGTGCCCTCGCCGCTCGACCGTGCTCGCGCCACGCGTCTTGCGCTGCGATGCTGCGAGTTCCTCGAGGCCCAAGCAGGAAAGGGCAAGGCCAAGTGCACAGGGCCAGACACGGCCGTGGTGATCACGATTCGAGGCTCGCAGGTCGAATTCACAAGCGCAAAGGAGATGGCAGAGCAGGCCGACATGAAGAACAGGAGGGCCAAGACGGCCTGGTGGCATGAGCTCAAGGATCTCGTCGAGCTCATGGGCGGGCGGACAGGGCTGGCGGATTCCGAGGGCAGGCTCTGAGCTGTGACTTGAATGGGAAACACGTGTTACGTATAGAAGAGAGAATGCTATCTCGAGACACTTTGTTAAAGGCTCTGTGAAGGCAGATACGCTTGGTCTGCCTAGTCCAAAGGGGTCATTGTGCGAGCAGCAAACGGCGGTAAAGACCAATGCAACAAAGCATGTCCCTGTACGGTCCTCAGATTCTCTCTGCCGTAGTGACTGTGAGCGAGCAATATTTACGTTGTGATTTCCTAAAAATACAGATGTGACAATCGCACCGAGGTCCTCATTCAAGAGATTACGAAGGGTGAAAGAGATTGAAGGGCTCCGAATAAGCGAGCATCTCTCTCAAGAAACGATCCAGCTCCGTGTCTTGGTCATCCAGCTCTCGAGACGATGGGGCGTATTGGACGTGTGCGTCGAAGAAGCTTGTGGGTTCGTTTGGGAAGTAGGCAAGATGGGGCGCTTGCTGCTGCGTCGCACCATTTGCTACAGGTCCTTGAGCGTAGCTTTGAGGAAGTGATGACACGTAGTTTGCGACAGCTTGCCCAGTCTCTTGCCCTCGTGTCGATGTCTCCTTCTGCTGCTCGGCGGCGTACAGGATTCGAATTCTCTGATGCTTGATTCTCGCTATCCACTCCTCCATCACCTTTGCCGTGCGTTCCGCGACGTTGGCTGAAGCGCCAAATACATCGCCGTGCCTCACTGTCTTGCGTTGGCTCCTCCAACTACCTTTGCTCTCTTGACTGTCAAGCGTCGAGAGAGCTTCGCCAAGGCTTCTGACGAGCAGCAGGTCGGCTTCTGCAAACGGATCGTCAAGGCGGGCATCGTCGGTCGGCATGTGGCCGGTTCCCATCCTCCCAGCAACAAACTCAGCCAGACCCTTGACAACCAAATTGCTCATCACACACGTTTGGCTCGGAGGAAGCACGAGGGTTGCCATGCCCTCTTCTTCTTCGTCATCGTCGATGCCTCCACCGTCGAAAGCGGAAAGACCCGAATCTCGAGAGTAGGCTGGAGCGCTCTTGACGAGGTTGACGAGGAGAATACCGGCCTTTCTGCACATCTTGGAACGCTTGCCTCCAATGCAGATGACGAGATGGAACACCTCGTCGTCTTCGCGCAGGCTGTTTACGAAGTCGACTGCGCTCTTTGACCCCTCGATCCTGTGCTTCATATGATGTGTCACGAATCGCATGAGGTGCGTTTCGGCCAGGAGCACTGCTGTGTGCAGCTCTAGCTCGAGCGTCTGCATCGCCAGGTCTACGAAATTCGAGCCAAGATTGGTGTCAGGGTCTTCCTGCTGACGGCATTGGCGCTGGGCGAGTGTAATGGCAAGCTGTCGCATCTGACCGAGGAACGATGCAAGCAGGGCCCAAAGCTCATCGTCGGCCTTCTGAAATAGACGCTGCATCTCGGCGAGGGGCCGACGAGCCCGTTGAGCCGCATCGACAATTACGAGGCTCGAGTGCGTTGCTTGTGTGATGACCATGTGCGCGCGGCACCGCAGTGCTGCGATTCGGAGCACTGCATGTTGCCCAGACGTCGATGTGGTGCAGTGCTCCTCGAAGTCTACGAGGTCTGCTTCTGCGCATCGGAACAGGTGTTGGCGCAATGGATCGTCGGCCAAGGTGAGGAGGGCCGACGTCGAGACAATGACGATCCACAGCGCTGCATTCATTATGATGGATGCCTGCTCTTCTCCCGACAGGTCTTGCTTCAATTGCTTTGGCGCAGAGTCCATGTCGAGGGCACATGCCGCGGTGCCAGCGGCCGCGAGGAGAGCTGAACCTGAAAGTGCAACTGCAAGCGAGTGGTTGGGGTCGGTTGCAGAAGGTTTCGAGACCAATACAGGATCGAAGATGGCTAGCGCAACGAGGGCGGCGACCTCCTCGAACGTCCTAGCTCCCCGAATCATGATGTCAACGATGCACCGCCGGATCCCTGCGCCCAGCCTTTGCCGGGATTTCTCCACGCGTGTGGACGAGGCATCGAGAGCAAGATAGACGCTGACTGCTACCAAGACGTCATCCGACGGCGAGTCTATCTCCTCTATGCGGGGGAGAAAAGGTAGAAAGCACCGATAAAGATCGAGTCGCTTGCCCAGGCTGACACAATGCTGTCTCTTGGAGCAGCACCGCTCAACGCTGGCGCTGATGGACTCGGCCTTGTTTTTCAGATCCGAGTCGGCCTCGTCCTCTTCCCCGTCGCTATCAGGAGAGCGAAGGAAGCCCTTCTGCCTTTTGCACAGCTTTGCCATGAATTGGGTTGGCTTCCAGCTCAGAATCGACACCTCTGGCCATTGCTTGCCGCTCCTCGCCTCAGTCATTTCTTCCATGTATGCCGCAGAGGATGGGCCGGCTACGGATGTTGCATCGTTTGGGGTCCCTGTCTTTGTCGACGACAAGGAAGGAGAAGAGAGATGCGGAGCTCTTGACGGTGGGGCCAGAGGATCAAAGAGCTGCAAATCATGCTCCATGCGCGTCTCTGCTTCTCGGTCTCGGTCCGGGTTGCCTCGATCGGCGCTGACCGATCGGCGTTTCCTCGTTGTCTTGACTGGCGTTTCGGCGCTCTTTCTCGCTTTCCTTGGCGGCTCCTCTCCACCCCAGGCCAGGCATTGGATCCCTAGAACCCTGCACCTGTGACATGCTCCTGGCGCACCTCCGTTCGATCTCTCCTCTCGTAGCCCGTCTGCGCCACTTGTCTTTCCGCCATCACTGCTGACGTGGCCCACTGTGGACCTCGTCCGTTCCGAGTCTGGCCAATCGCACCTGACCTTGGACCGGCGACATTCTGCGCAGGATCGCAAGTTGCGCGTCCGCTTGCGCTTCGCCCCGGTCTCTCGCCCCTCTTGCGATCGTGGCGAGGGAGGAACCGATGAGACCGCGCCGCGAGGCGAGAAAGACGAGTGACCTTGGCCCGCCATTGTGCCTCAAGGCATCCAGCAACCTCGGCAGCTTCTCTGTCAGGCCTACGTAGCAACTTGGAACAATGACCTCAGAAAGAGAGCTCAAAAATATCCGTCGAATCGAATCGGGCGCGTGCGAGGAAGTGAGGTCCGGAAATTAATATTGATGAGTTCTAATGTAACCAAGGCAAACAGTGATATTGGACAGGTGAAAGGTTAATATCCTCATGTGCACTTAATATTAGTACTGTACAGTACAACTTATCGCCGGCTCAGAGGGCATTGCCGATGCCCGAATTCCAAAGGTCAGCCGTCTCTCTCACGCGTACGTCGCTGCCCCCCGAACGACTAACCAACCTTGACCTCCAGTTTTATCTGTTTGCATCATCAGCGGCTAATTCCCTAGCCCGTCGCAGTCCAGGTCATTCTCCGATTGCAATGGCGGTGCAGAGTAAGCCAACGGCGGGCAGCGGAGGCCTGGCAGGCTGGCTCGCCAGCCAGAGCACCACGACGAAGCGCTCTGGCGCCCTTGGCCTCGTCGCCCTAGTCCTGCTCCTCCAGAGGATCCTATCTCAGAAGAAGGGCAAGGCAGTGAGCAAGGGCAGCGGCAGAAAGCCCCTCCCGCGGTCCTCTTCGTACGCTCAGCAGCTCAAGGAAGACCCCAAGGCGCTCCTTGGTCTCGGTGCTGCCAGGATGACCGAGGCAGACATGGACCACGCCCTGGAACAGCTCTATGTCGAGAATCACGACGGTTCATACGACCTGCTGGTCCCGCACCGCAGCCGCATCTCCAAGGTCAATATCCGGCCCACCAAGCAGGGTACCTTCGATGCACACTATCCCGACTTTAGCGTCCAGCCACCCATCCTCGGCACAAGGGGTAAAAAGGGCTCTTCGGCTGATGCCAGCTTAAGCAAAGAGGAGCGAGAGAAGCGCAGCGTCGCAGAGGCGAGGGCCGTAAGGGAGGAGGGCGGTGCTGCAGCGGCAAGCGCGAAGAAGGTCGGCGTCAATCGCGAATTCTTCCGTCAGTTGAGGTGGGTTTCTCTATCTTGGTCTCGCCTCTCTCTTATTCCCCTCGCACACAACATGCTGACGAAATGGGCGCTCCCTAATGATCCTGCAGAGCCATTTTCCGAATCCTTATTCCTCGTTCTTCGTCAAAGGAGGTCATCATCTTCTTCATCCACACCTTTTTCCTCGTGCTGAGGACCTACCTCTCGGTCCTCGTCGCACGACTCGACGGTGCCATCGTTCGCGATCTCGTCTCGGCAAACGGAAAGGGCTTCATGCGTGGCCTTGGTCTCTGGTTCCTCTTGGCTATTCCCAGCACCTACACCAACTCGATGGTTCGTTCACTCTGTCCACTTGTGTCTGGCATGAGCAGTGTTGTACTGATCCAAATTCGTTCCCCTTCCCGCTTCTTTAGATTCGCTTCCTTCAGTCGAAGCTGGCCATCGGCTTCCGGACCCGCCTTACGAGATACGTCCACGACCTATACCTCTCGTCCAATGCCAACTTCTACCGCATCATCAATCTCGACGGCCGTCTCGACGGTGCCGATCAATTCATCACCACCGACGTCTCTCGCTTCTGCGAAACGCTGGCGGCGCTGTACTCAAACGTGTCCAAGCCGGCACTGGACATCTTGATCTTCAACTATCAGCTGGGACAGTCGCTGGGATGGAAGGGCGTCATGGGCCTGTTCGGAAACTACCTCATCACCGGCTGGATCCTCAAGTCAGTGACGCCCGCGTTTGGCAAGCTGAGCGCGATCGAGGCCAAACTCGAGGGCGACTTCCGCAGCGCACATGCTCGTGTCATTACAAACGCAGAGGAGATTGCCTTTTACAACGGCTCCAAGATTGAAGAAGGTATCCTCAACCGCGCCTATCTTCGCCTTGTCCGGCACGTCAACTCCATCTACAAGATTCGCATCGCATACAACATGACAGAGGACTTTGTCCTCAAGTACTGCTGGAGCGCAAGTGGCTACGCCATCATTGCTGCACCCATGCTCTTTGGCATTCAGACGACCAAGATCGAGACGGACGCAGCGAAGAAGCCGTCAAAGGACTCTGGCGTAGCAGCAAAGACAGAGAGCTACATTTCCAACCGTCGCCTGCTCATGTCCCTCGCTGATGCCGGATCTCGGCTGATGTACTCTTTCAAGGAGCTCAACGAACTGGCCGGCTACACCTCGCGAGTCTATACCCTCATTTCGACGCTTCACCTCCTCGACCGGGGCCAGTACCAAGCACTGCCTCGTCCAAAGGAACTACCCGCCAATGCTCCCTTCTACGACATGGGCCACATCCAGGGCAAGGTAACGCTCGATGACGAGGGTGTCTCCTTTGACAAGGTCCCCATCGTCGCGCCTGCGCCCGGCATGGAGCGCGGAGGCGAGGAGCTTGTCCGGGACCTCGAGCTCACGGTCAAGCCGGGTGACCACATGCTCATCACTGGACCCAACGGCGTTGGCAAGACGGCCGTCGCCCGCGTTCTCGCTCAGCTCTGGCCCGTGTTCCAGGGCCAACTCTCGATTCCCGGCAAGACCGACATCTTCTTTCTGCCTCAACGACCCTATCTCTCGGCTGGCAGCCTCAGGGACCAGGTTCTCTACCCGACGGCGTACCCAGAGTTTATCAAGAATGGTGGCACCGACGAGGAGCTGCTTGCAATCCTCAGAGATGTCCATCTGGCCTATCTGCCCGACAGAGAAGGCGGCTGGGAGACGCGAAAGGAGTGGAAGGACGTCCTGAGCGGTGGAGAGAAGCAGCGGATGGGCATGGCCAGGCTCCTGTACCACAAGCCCCGATTTGGCATCCTCGACGAGTGCACCAGCGCCGTGTCTACCGACGTCGAGGGGCTCATGTACGCCCGGGCCAAGGAGCTCAACATCACTCTCATCACCATCTCGCACCGACCTTCGCTGTTCAAGTATCACGACGTGCTGCTCAAGCTGACGGGCAACGAGGGCAAGTGGGAAGTGGAGCGAATTGGAACAGAGGAGGAGAGCAAGAGCTTCAAGGAGGAGATCAAGGACCTCAAAGCCAAGCTCAAGGACGTGGACGCGTGGAAAAAGAGGGTCGGCGAGATTGGCCAGGAGCTCAGCCTGAGCTCTGTCGCGGCCTGAACCTCTTCTCTTCTTGCGGATTTCCCCAGCCTAGCCTCTTCGACTCGTCCATGGATTGTCTCCTGTAATATCGTCTGCTTTGTGTGTTGTTTCGTCCCTGTTCTGTGTGAATAGACATGAAATTCAACTGTCCCTTTCTTTCCCTTTCCCAATCAGTCACGGTTCTCTAAGAAAGTGGAGAACTGTCTCGTAAGAAATAAAAAAGTAAGAAAAGCAGAAAGGGCGAGAGAAGAAGATCCGCTCGAAGGGACCTACCCACGTCATCATCATCAACAGCCGCCGACGATGACCTCACTCTTCCGACGCCTCTCGACGGTCCTCGGTCTGGGAAAGGGACGATATTTTATCGGGAGGGACCTGGACCACAATCGCTACTATGAATTCCCGTCGCTGGATGGGAACAAGGATCCGCGGAGGACGCGAAGGCTGATCGAGTATGCCCAGCACAAGGAGCTGGGCGAGCACGACCAGAGCCGGCTCCCGGCGCAGTGGCTCATGTGGCTGAGACATACGAGGCGTAGTGCGCCCAGTATCGTGGTGCGTCCCCCCCCCCCTCTCTCTTGTTTTGTTGTGTACATTTGTGTGACCGACCTATACTGATGCTGGAACTTGCGCTCGCCGCTTGCCTCCCTCACGAAAAGGAGCTCGAAGAGGACCAGAGGAGAATCGAAACGACGCGGCACAATGCCAGGATACTGGAGCAGAAGCGGCTCGAGGAGCTGGCGCTGCTGGAGCAAAAGAAGGAGCAGGAGCAGGAGCAGGAGCAGAGACTCGCACTGGGCGAGGGAACGAAAGCAACGGAGCATCTGCAGTATCAGCGCGGTCCCGGTGGTGTGCCAACTGCCACTGTGACAGACTCGGGAGTTCAGAGACAGACAGAGGAGCGAGTGGGCTGGGAAAGAGAGATCGCTGGTCAGGGCTGGAAGGGGAGCGTGGAGCAGGAGAGGACGCCGGACATGGACGTGTGGGAGGCGTCGAGGAAAAGGGTCCAAGAGCAGCAGGCGGCGCGGGGTAAAGATAATTTGGATGAACAGAGCGAGGCACAGAGCAGAAGAGCAGCTAGGAGGGCGGAGATGCAGGTGCAAGAAGCAGAGAGGCAGCGGGCGAGACAATACATGAGCAGGAGCCCTCTGGATGCCTTTGACGTCTCATTTGAGGAAGACACGCCTACACGGAGCAACCAGGGACCTGCGGAGCTGAAGAGCCGCTTTGGGAGAGCCACGGGCCCCGGAGAGGAATGGAGCCCACAAGCATCGATTCCGACGCCCAAGAGAAGATGAGAGTGGCGTCCATGTAATCAGAGCCGCAGAGGACGAATCGATGAGAGAGGTGTTATTGCTCTGGTGATGCTACACGAAATAATCTGCGACGCTTGGGAGGCCGCCCGATGCTCCTCCTTTTTTCTAAGATGGTTTCTTCTGAATTATGCGAGAGGGCTGATGAGCCTGTGCAAAGAGAGGGAAGGTCAGCTTCACTATCGCCTGGTCAGATCTTGATGGGAGGGCTACGCACTTGATCAGGCTTGGGCGGGGTGTCGACTGCGTGTATCCGACATAGAGGACGAAAGGCACCCATCTGCATGGCGACCAAAGAAATACGAAGATTAGCGATGCTCTTCGTATGAGGACTTGACAAAAGGTTCTTGTGCATACCCATAATGAAGAACGCTGTGCCGGGGTGGAAAGGTCAGTTTCTGAGGCTAACAAAAGACATGAGAAGAATGTGTGTGCTCACGTTTTTGCGACGTCAATTGTGCGAACGAGTCGCTCCTGTTGGTTAGGTACTATCCGATCAGCAGCCCGTTCACTTCCATAGAGCAGCGAGGAAAGACTCACCTTTGTATCCTCGCTGAGTGCCATGCTTGTGGTTGGGTTGGGTGGTGTCAAAAGAAGGACGAGGGCGCGACGAAAACTTGACGGAACGTCACGTGTCTTTGTAAGCCGCTCTGTGACGGCTGCTCGCATCGCGCTTTCGACTTCTCGCGACGTCGAGATCCAGAAGACAGCACACCATGTCCTTCTTTGGCTTCGATACGACGCTCCCGCGCGATCGTGGCGGGGGCTTGGGCGGTACTGGAGCTTTGCCAGGAATGGGCAACTCTTCGAGCGACCCTTTCGATCCAACAAAGGAAAAGGCCGCTGGAGAGGGGGGGCTTGAGGATGATGATGACGATGACGACGCCGCATTCGAGGAAAAGGTTCGCAATCTTCGAGCGGGCGCTCAGGAGGACGTGGAGATCTACACTTGGGGTGGCGAGGGCTACGATGGCCTCGGTGACCTGCTTCAAGAGGCTGGTGATGATCTCAACGACGATACCTTTGGCATGGGCGATGTTGGTGCGTACTTGAAGCCTTTCTGCCGAGGTGTCATCTTCCAATGCTAATTAAGAGAGGCTGGGATCAGGCAAGGACTTTGACTTCTCGGGTACAGCAGGCGCTGGTGCGACTATGCCGCAGTCACAGCACGGTGCAAGTGGGCAAGCGCAACGTCGAGGCAACGATGCTGCTTTTGCCAGCACGCTTGACGACTTCTGGACAATGCCAGATGTCAAGCCAAAGTCGAGTGCGTCACCTTTCCAGCAGGGTCAACAGCAGCAGTATGAGCAGGGACAGCAGCAGCAGCCACCGACCTCGAGAGCACCGCAGACGCTGGAGGAGATTGAGGCTGAGCTTAGGGCTCAAAGGTCACAGCAGCAGCAAGCGCCCCAGCAAGAGAAGCGACCATTGACCCTGGAAGAAGTCGAAGCAGAGATGCTCGCAAGGCGAAGAGGGGCTCAACAAGCTGCACCACCGCCGCCTTCACAGCTTGCAGCGCTGATGGCACAGGCCCAAGGAGGTCCTGCCCAACCGACCTCGCACAGTCCTTCGTCCTCGCTACACAACATCAACTTCCCACCCTTGGGCTCCACGCCGCCGCCTCTCGCCAGAGCACAGATGGGCTCTCAAGCGAGGACAGGAACACCTCCGGTTAATGACCAGATGAATCACTTTGCTCGCATGAAATCGCTCCTCGACGCTCTGCCGCCCCCTGTCCAGGGTCGCATCTTGGCCTTGCCACCGTACATGCACTTTGGAGCTGTCGAGGGCATCGCTCGCCAATTTCCCGCTCTCCTCGTAGCTGGCAGCCCCGAGAAGCTGCCGCAACAGCAAGAGCAGCCTCACCTCTTTCCCCGTTACGACGGTACGCCCGAGGAACAGGGCGCTCTCCGTTACATGATTGACGGTGCTGTCGGCTCCATTGATGACGCCGAGCGACTGGAGAGAAAGCGCATCATCAGGCTTCAGAAGATTCAAACAATGGTGAGTCGGCTGCTACAGCATGAGCATGCAATCATGTCATGAGTTGCTGACCCGGGAATTGCAAGTCTCGCCACAATAATTGCATGACATTGTCGGACAAGGACTTCATCACACGCATCCAAGTCAGTCAGCTAATCACCTCGGATCCGTACGCCGATGACTTCTACGCCCATATCTTTTTCGCTCTGCGGGGAGGCAAGCCTGGTGTCATTCAGAAAGCACAACCGAAGGAAGAGCAGCCTCAAAGCCAGGCTCAGACCAACAATGGGAAGCCGGCGTCCCGAGCCGCCAAGCAACAGCAACAGCGAAAGCAACAGCAGACCAGTCGCCGCGAGACAGCCATGCAGCGCATGCAACAGCAAGTGGAACGCATCGTGCAGAATCGAAAAGAGCGCATCGAAAAGTCGGCGCACGGCGCTGCACTCGAAGGTGCACTCGGCCGTGTGAGCCTGAGTAGTACCAAGAATCCTCGACAGATGCTCCAAATCAGTGCCGCCGATGTGGAGAAGGAGCGAGCGGCCGATGGAGATGGCAAGGATAAGATTGGACACGCTCAAAATGCCGTCGAACAGGCGCTCAAAGGTGCGAGCTTGGGCCAGGGAGGCGGAGCCGCTGGCGTTGCCGACGGGAGCAAGCGACCTGCTTTGACCAAGTACGAGGTCCTCAAGATCCTCGAACATCTCTATGATGTCACGATGGCTTTGGAGCAGACTCGACGAAACGCCCCTGCAGGCGCCAATGTTTCCGGTGCGGCGACAGGTTCTGAGAGCGAGACTCAGGAGGCCGACGCCGAGCTGCAGGCGTGGAAGACGAACCGCGACGCCCTTGTTGCGACTTTGTGGAAGGACCTACGAGTCTTGGAGCCCTTGGAAATTTCGGATCCCCACCCATTCATTTCACTGCTGTCTACGGTAAAGGGCAAGCGGCTGCTTCCCCGTGCCTTGCGTCACCTCAGCTCCGAGCAGACTTTGACGGCTTTGACCATGGTTGTTGCTTCATTCGACTCGCTCGACGTCGTTCGCAATGCGCCCATCCTTGACTCGGTCAGCAGCGGTCCTGCCAATGAAGAAAAGCAAGCCGAGGTCAGACGTCAGACGGAGGCTTTCCTGACGTCGGTGGTCCCGTGCATGCTCTCCCTTATGGCCACGTCGCCCATGCAGATCGTGAGCGGCATGCTCGCTCTGTTCATCGAGCGAAACGACTTGGCGCGCTGCGCCCAGACTCGACCGGGCGTAGCATTCCTCACCATTCTCCTTTCGCGTGCCGAATCGCTGAGACAAGGTGTAGGCGCCTCATCGCCCGACGCTGACGCAGTCAAGACACCCGAGTCGGACTTGGCACAGCGGAAAGAGATCTTTGATCTTTTGATCCAGCGCCTCTGTGCAAACGGTCGCCTTCCTATGCTCTTCCCTTCGACAAGGCTCCGGGCCTCTCTACCGTTTGGCGCAGCTTACCTCGATGCCCAGGTGGCGCGCAAGGCCGAAGAAGAAGACGAGCCGGTCTGGAACCTCATGGCTACCCTGGCCGTGTCTGCCACCATGGACCAGCAGCACATCCTCATCAGGGAATTGAGAGAGAAGATCTTGGAAAATGTCATCGCAGCAAAGCAGCAGCAGGCCGCTCTTGGTCCTGCAGCCGATAGCGCTCCACCGACGGACATCAGGATTCGAAATGTCAACTTGCTGGTGAGTGTCATGTGACTCTACTGTTGTCATTGCAAGTCGGAGCTCACTATTTTCTGATTTGGCAGCTGCACGCACTCAATTTGGACGCAACGCAAATCGCCGTCTGAGAAGGCAGAGAAGGGCGTTTCTGTCATCCCGTCGTTGACTACGTGGCTCTCTGCCTCTCTTGTCCTTAAAGGAAACCTCAAGTAAATGTTAAGACAGACCTGCAATACAGAGAACTGAAAGGAGAATGGCGATTGGTTGGAATCTTGGGGGCACATCTGATTAAACAGGTTTGAGAAGTAAAAGGATCTCTAAGTAAACGATAAGGAGCGTCTTAGTAATGGAGGGAATCTTAGAAACAAAGGGAAGATAGAGATAAACGGAGAGGGAATGGGGGAGAAGAGGGCCAGCCTTGTTTTTCTCGCACCGTATTAGACAAGTCTCCTTTTAAGAGGGCCTTGACCGTCTGACGGTCTCGGTTGCACTTGGTCTTTCCGCACGTTGGGGGAAAACCTTTTTGAGATAGACGTAGAATCCAATCATGTCATCGCAACGTCTTCGGCGAGTTCATCGTGTTCTTCTTGCTCAAAGGACGACGGAGGCAGCGGATGTCTTCTTGTGTTGCCGATAATGCTCTCGCTTGAGACATCGCGCGACATCGTGATGTGTGGGGGAGGGAAGGACCGAGAGTGATATTGGTGACGGCGCGCAGACGCGTCGGGAGATTCGTGCCACCGCGTCGAGGAGCCGGAGCCAGGGAGCGAAGGAGGCGGAAGGCGAGAATTGAGGCGCGATGACGGCGGTGAATGTTGACGAGCATAGAGCGGGTGAGGCGCGTCGGCAGGTGGTGCCACACCAGCAGGAGCAGGAGCGACAAAAGGTGGCGTCGCCGTTGTCACAGTCGTCGTCGTAGTCGCCATTGTCGAAGGGCCTGCTGTTCCCAATGATCGAGCATTGACAGCCAACCGAAGTTCCTGAAGGTTAATCTGCTTCTCCTCTTCCGTCATTTCGTCCTGCGCAGACGCACGGCCCTTCAGAGGACGATCGCCGCGCGCAAGGGCGTCCTGCTCCCTTCGCCTAGACTGTTTTGCGAAAAGCAGCCCACAAGCGTTGCAAAGCGTACGTGGACCGGTAGGTCCTTTACGCCATTCGGGAGTCTCGGTAGCAGAGCAGCTCAAGCATGATTGCTCCGCTTCATCTTTACGCTTCCGGACTCGCTTGGGAGGTTGCTAGGATATCGACATGAATGATCAGCGAATACAAAAGAGACGAAAGGGGCAAGACACTTGTGACTCACGCTGGATGCGTTCGGTTTCGACTGAGTTCGAACAAGATTGCCTGCACTGGACGAGGCGTGAGGTGACGACGAAGGCTCAGAAGCGATGGGAGCGGTGAAATGCTGCGGCTGCCTAGGGCTCGACGATGACGGCCGCTGTACTTGGTTGTACTGAGACTGTGAAAAATGCTGCTGCTGCTGCTGCTGCTGTTGCTGTTGTAGCTGGTGGTGGTGGTGATAGTGTTGGCTGTGGAGAGGCGGAAGAAGAGGCTGTCCTCGCGTTGTGCTGTAGTCGCCCATTGCTGCGACGTCTCCATCGTCGTCTTCTCCCGCTCTTCGATCATGCACGCCGTGCTTACCGAAGTAGGACTGTTGCATACGATGTTGGAACGGATGATCGACATCGGACGAGCTTGTCGACGAACGCACGCGATTCCTCTTCGCTTGGAAAGGCGCAAAGGGCTCGGGCTCAACAGGAGGAGACTGGGGCCCCGCCAAGCCCGCATCATAGGCAAGCTGGTCGGCGAGCTGCGGATCACGCTGCGCGAGAATCTCGACCTCTTGACGAATCATCATCAAGAGCGCCGAACCACCCTTGTCCCGCAACGAAGGCAACTGCCGTGCTCCGCGACCACCGCCGAAGTATTCATCATTGAGTTGAAATGCCTGCACGAAGATGTCCTGAAGCTGCACGATCGTCGTCCGAATAATCAGTCAATCGTTACTAGAGCTTGCTATTTTTGGTCTTCCACCACTCACCAGACCTAATGAAGGGCGGTCATAACTCGGATGATGAGAAGCTGACGTGGAGAGATGCGAGCGGTGTGATTGGACATGAGCAGGCGCAGAGCCGCCGTACGAATAGGTTGGTGTTGACTTCCGGCTACGGTTGGCCTCGTGGTGCACTGTTGACCCAGCGTTGCGAGTACGAACAGGCCCAAAGCTCGACTGTGAGACTTCATTCTCGCCCATCGACAGCCTGTCACTCTCCATCAATGAAGCATCGTTCAGAGACGAATTGGGGGAGGGAATGGCACGGGGTGAGATCGACGACATGATTGGCGGCAGCCGTGGTCCCTGGGCCAGAACACCGTCGAGAGAGGGTGAGAGATTGGAAAGAGAACCTCCAGTTGCTGAATCGGGTAAGATGGCTGAGAGAGACTTGCTGCTGCTGATATTCGGCCGTTGTGATGCGGTAGTGCTGGAAGCTTGTGCGATGGAGAGAGAAGCCAAAGGCGGCAGCTGAACCCGCAACGGATTGGAGGAGGCCGATGAGGTCGAAGCTGCTTCGTCTGCTTGGCCACCTCTTCGCCAGTCCAACGGAGGGGAGGCGGCAACGGACGAAGTAGGTGATGGCGCCCGGGTGTTGTAGCTCTGCGAAGTCATAAGTGAGGGCGAGGGCACGCTGAAGGAGTCATATGAGGCGGGTGAAGGACTGGATGTTGACGAAGCATCACGGCTGGACGTTGCGGTGATTAATGTCGTCAAGGGTGGAAGCCGAAGTTCATCACCGCTCGCCGCCCTCGACATCATGGGCATCGAAGATCTAGGGCGATGACCACGGGAGAGGTATGGATGGTGACGATCGGACGGACGCGCAGAGGCGACATCGTCGGCTGCAATCCTGCTTGGCAGGCCTGATGCGGCGACCACGGACATCTTAGAAGGTGATGAATGCGAGAATCCTTCGTCGTTACCGTCTTGATCTATGACTGGACCAACTTCGTCGTCGTCAGTCGAATTATACTGCAGTGGTTTTTGGTGAAGGTGTGCTTCTCGAGAGTGTGCCGTGGTAAAGCGTGAACCAGAGGAGCGTGCACCTGGTGATGTCGGGCCAAGTTGGCGCCAGGACATGAGCGTCGTGAGCCTCTGTTGCTGTTGGTCAGGAAGGGAAAAGTGGGGAATCGTCAGTCCGGAGTAGTGTCGCGCGAGCCACATAAATAAGGTGAGAGAGGCGCAGGTAGAGAAGCTAGACAGTGTCAAAGAGGCATGGGTCTCCTCCCATGAACAATGCCACTCGGAAGGGAAGATAGCGGCTGGCGCACACCTACCTCCCCCCTCATTCTCCTTCTCCTTCTCCTCCTCCTCCTCCTCCTCCTCTTGCCCTCCTAATCCCCTTGACCTCGATCATCTTTTGCCTACACAAAGCACTGCTCTGCGCTTTACTGCTACGAGTGCGCCACCAATCGCGGTAAAAGGCGATCCAAGGAAAAGGAGCACATATGCGACTCGGACACAAGTATTTGCGATCCAAGCCCGCCCCGCGCGGCCGTATAGCCAAGAAAGCAGACGTGGCCGGTTTCGACGTGGAGAAGGAAGAGGGAAAGGAGAAGGGATTGGGAGGAACGAAGAAAAGGGGAAGGAGGAAGAGAAGAACGAGGAAGAAGAGGAGGAAGGGGAGGGACAGTAGCTGCCCGCAAAGATAATGACAATGCCAAAGGCCAGACCAAAGCAGGGCTATGGAGTCGCTCTTCACGTCTACTCACTGACTGCACGAAAGGGGGCCCACAGGGCTTGACGCGGCGAGGTACAGTCCTCGTCGGACGATGATGGTCGACGTAGGAAGTCACGTTGGGCCAATTGACGTCAACGTCGAAATCGAAGGCCGGCGGGGTGGGCGGTGCGGTGCAGTGCAGTGCAGTGCGCGCCTGCGTTTCTTCGTCGAATTTGTCCGCTTCGACGTCTTCACGGTTCGTGTGCTACAACTCGTCTCCGTCTCACGATTGCCCGAAAAGGACGGCCATGTAGGAAGGGAGGGGAAGGAGTAGACGAGAAAAGGAAGGTTGAAAACAAGAGAGTGTATGAGGTCCTTGTGAACCAAGGTGCAAAGCAAAATTAGTAAGAGGGGGACGAATATGTCGGCGAGAAGAAAGCCCCTTCGGTCACCGAGTGGTGGGCATTCGCCTCCTTTACGCCTTCTGCAGATGGTCGAGAAGCGTTGTAGGCCCGACGTCTATTCGGAAAAAAAAGAGGCCGGCAAAAGGTATGGATCCCGTAGGCGCAATGTTGATGCTCGACGGCAGGAGAAGCGGCAGGGGAAGCGGCAGCGGAGGCGGAAGCGAAGGCGGCGGCGACAAATCCTGTCGAGCTTTAAGTAATGACAGCTGATCGAGGTGTCGATACTGCTGCAGCAGAGGTAAAGGGAGGAAAGAAAGACGTATGGCTTCGTCTTGAGGAAAGATGCGAAGTGTGGTCGACGGGCCCGTACACCCCTGCCTTGGTTCCTTCTTGCACCCGCTAAAATCAACTTTGACCAGGACCCGACCCGCCACGTCAAGGAAATAGAGGATCAAATGAAGCGACAAATCTGATCCCACCTTGGTATCACCTCTTCTCTCGGACGGGAAAAGTCGTTCGACGCAGAAAGGGGAGAGGCGAAAGGCAGAGAGAAGAATTACTAAATGAAGTAAAAAAAAATTGAAACATAGAGTGACGATGGCGCCCGGTCCCTCGTCTAAAGAGACCCGACTAGATAGGGATCGGCGCCCGGACCACTAAGAAGCTACGTTTCGTGCGAGGACAGGTCCCAGAAGCTAATTGAGAAACAATGGCACGATGGCAGACGTGCATACAGCATAAGTGCATGTTTCTGCACGTACGTCCCTTATTCTCGGTGATCGTTTGTTCATTTAGCTCGATCTTCCTCGGTAGTGAAGCCGACGCATTACCTCTGTCTCCCATAGGATGTTCTGCACAATCAGTGGTAGTGGCCCCCACCCCTAGCTTCTATTCTTCGGTGGTCTGACCCAAGGCATGTCATAGGTACTAAAAAAGGGTAAATGCACGCACACAAGACAGATAAACCGTACCGTACGGCCCCGGCCGGTGCAGTGCAACAGCAAGGGAAATTGCCGGTGGGCTTCATCTCTCTACATTATTTTTCCATCTTTCGCCCCCTTTTTCCCCTTCGCTGAGGTTGAGGCGCGGCAAACCTCCGGTCCGCACCTAGCTCCATCACCTATCGCAGATTCAGTGCCCCCATTGGTCGGAAAATGCAAAACCCCATCTCCGCTGATACGCCCTGCGTTTCTAGACAGCGCTACTGTTGCTATAAAAAAAAAGCACGAAATCCTGGGCCACACGCACGCGTGCAAGCAGAGAGACAGGTACACCTTCCCAATCACAGCGTGGGGGACATGTCTGACTCAAATCAAAATCAAAAACACGAACCGCAGCTGCACAGTAGGGGTGTGGGCTGTCAGACAAACCTTGCCTGACATGCTGCCTCCAGTCTCGAATATGACCGACCGATGAATAATTGCACTGAGGTGGGAGAGCCGAACATGAAGCGAGTGAGAAACAGGTTGGAGCGCTTCAATATCTGCCTCAGATGCTGCAGAGATATTAATTATTCATTAGTGGTATTGCGAACGCACTGCGCCTCGTCGCCAAAAACCAGGTACGTCGGTGCAGCCCCATAAAGGGCATTACGACTACGTACTAGCTAGTTGCCGGATATTCACAGCCACGCCACGATAACCTTCGCTCGCTTGCTAGCTCGCTTGCCCTGATTAGCTCCATTTTTTGCCCGCTTTTAGATGACGGAACAAGTGATTACCTTCTCCGGAATGGCAACACTTGCGGTTTCTGCAGACAGATGCATATGAGACGATAACCGCGGATGATAAGATTTTACGGGAAGGGATCTTGTATCCGGCTCTTCAGTTCCGAAGATGCTCTGACCCCACTGTACAGTAGTACAGTAGTACCATTTTGTGAACGCCTTCACCCGATAGCAAAATTAGATATTTTTGTTACTATTCATTAATTCACGAGGGCCCCTGCTCCATCTGTCTGCCTCCTCCTCCTGCCCCTCACTCGGCGAAAGGTCCGTCTACTTTGGTGAGTGCGTATATCGCCTCTCTAGCGCTCTTTCGAATCTTGCTTTATTCATCGTCAGCTAAATCGCCGCGACTGAGGCGCTCTGCTCTCATCCCCTCGTAAGCTTCTGCTTCTATTTTCCATTTTATTTCTTGCCTACACGCATGATGGACAATAAGATGCTTTTTGCTGGTCTAAGAGCTAAGAAATCATTGAACAGCCGGAGCGAAAGATCTTCGGGTTAGGGCTGTCTCAGGTTGTGGGTTTCGGATAAATCTTGACCTGTCACGCCAGAGCGCCACAAAAAAAAAAAAAAAAAAAAAAAAAACATCTTTCGTACGATAAACGTCTATTGGACCGATGACGTTTACCATTCTAGCTTCGACCCGCTATGGTCTTAGCTCAAAGAGTGCCAGAAATAACTGTCGTGAAAATGCAAGCATCAGCAGAGGAGTCGAGTCGAGGGCAGGAATAGCGTGTGCTTATCCAAGCGTCCTCTGCCTCGTCTGGGATGGCAGGGAAAAAAGAAGATCCTGTCTGGCTTGGCTGTCTGACGTACCTTCGGCGATCACAGAAACCTAGCCATTCTACGAGCTCAAGTGCCTTTCCCCCGTTCCTGCTCCTCCCCGGACTGCATTCTATGGCGTTATTTCCCGGAAGCGAGGCCTTTGTATAGTCCGCTTCTGCTTTTGACAGCTGACACAAATCTAGTGGCGGCCCTGCCCTGTCGATTGTCACTTTCCTTATCTGAATTTATAACGTTATCACTCCCAAACAGAATGCTTACCTCCCGGCTGTTGCTCGGCTCCGTCCGCAGTCAAGGTTTGAGAGCACATGTCAGAATGCACAAGGGCAGCATGAAGCGGTTGCAAGACGGCATCAAACGATGATCCACCCCACTCTCTTGACAAGAAACATATGATCAACCTTCTTGTAAGTTTGTGGGAGCTTGACATTGACGGACGAGATAGGATTTCTTTGAGCTCGCTCCGGCATTAACAGGACGAAGCGCGACATAGATTGATTAGACATGGACGTGACAAAGAGGCGAGCATCTTATGCACCCGGGAACGACAGCCGGACGATCCGACAAGAAGCCAGCAAAAAAAATTGTTGATCAACTTCTTAATGAGTATTGGTCAAGTTCACTGCTCAGGAAAGCGCGGGTCCCAAGCCCAAAGTTGGAAAATGCTCCTTCAGACCCAGCCCACGATGGTCATTTCGACGTCGTACTTTGTCGTCAGCCGAAAGAAGAGAAGCGCTTGTCGTTGAGATCGTCTACCTAGACGATATAACGTCGGCCGAATTATATGATTCCAAGCCTCCACATGATGGGGTTAGACGCCCCGGTCTCCGGACTTCTGATATTGTCACACACCACATGATCGGAGCAGGATGCCTGGGGTAAAGCAGCAAGTCGAGATCGTCAAAGCGGCCGATGTAGGCAAGGCAAGTACGGGACAGACAGAGGGGATGATTCGCAAAGCGGCTCTCGTCGGCTGCTCGGACAAGGTCAGCTCGGCAAGGACTCACAGCTTCAGGTTTAGCTGCTGATTCTCTCACAGATCTGCTCCTCAGTCATGGTTGCTGAGCCTAAAAGCTCGAGCGCCATTCACCACCACGGAGAGCAAGGTAAATCAAAATCCGTGTAACGGTGAAATCCTCGCTGACCGGACGAGCATTTCAAAGACACAGTCGTTTACGCCCTTTCGGGCAAAGGCTCTATCGTATACGGGCCAGGCGAGTGGCATTGCCATGCTGTGATCGTACTGAGAGTTGTGAGAGCTGACCGTCACAACCTATCTTGAAGATGCGTCTCAACGTCGTGACCTCTCACCCGGAGATCACTGTCTTATTCCGGCTTTTGTGGAGCACCAGGAGGTGAGCCATTCTTCATCTGCTCCGCTCCACAAGACGCTGAGAGTCACAGTCGACGCATAGATCAATGACTCTGACGGTCCTGTGACCTGGGTAATTGTCCGTTCTCCAGGACCGCATCCTATCGTCGAGAATCTCGAAGGATGGGGCTCCTCAAAGTAGCTCACCCAATACAGATTGTTTAAGCCACCCTGTTGAACAGCATTGTGATATTGTGTTCGGGAGCGTAGCAGTGTGAGAAAGAAGCCATGTAGCACCCATTTTCGATCAAGTGGGAGGACATTCCTCCTATTCGTTTAAGTCGCAAAAAGAAAGAGATGCTGCGAGGATGGAATCTTACATATGATCCTGACTGGTCACTCATCAGAAGAGATTGCACCGAGGCGACAAAGGGGGCGGGGCCCGCTTCAAATTCACTGAGTGTGCATGGCTTCGCATTGACGTACTGGCCGCTTCTCGTGTTCATCGAGGCTAGTTCCCTACGATTTGCGATTCCTAGCGAGTTGAGTGAAGTCAAAAGAGGACGGACCTCCGCTTCGAGAGTATGTACTGTACAAGAAGCAGGCTCGTGCGAAGAATTACATAGGTAGTGTCCCTGCTACAGAGTGAAAAGGAGGGGTTCCGCACAACATCCATTGCCCTCGGCCAGTCTCTGAGACAGAGTGAGGGTGAAGCACGTTCATTGACCTATGTAAAAGATGCCAGCAATGTGCCGAAGGTCGCAATCCTGCTCGTTGTCGAAGCCAAAGTACTCTTCAATGCGGGTGGGAAGGACATTGACCGTGGCGATCTTGGCATCCAAGCCGGCCAGGATGTAATAGTCTGCTCGCACAGTCGTTGAGTTGACAACCTTGTAGGCTAGTTCAGGCTTTGCTGGATCGGTACCGGTTACGAAAAGAGCAGATGGACCCGTCAAAAAGCTTAAACGAAGTTGCTGCGCGTTTGTTGCGGAAGGGACGAGAAATCCAGGTGGGCCCCTATCGTCAAAGATGAGGCGGTTTCGTTTAGCAATCAAGGAAAAGAGTAACGAGCGGATGTCATGCATCGCGGGAAGAGATCCGACTCACTCGATCCGAACGACGTCGTCATGAAGCGGCACGGCATCGGCTGACTCCTGTGTTTTTGTGAGAATGGCGTGAACATAGGCCTTGGACGCAGTGATGTGGCAGTCTTTCGAAGATTCCGAAGCTGCAGGGACGCTGACGACAACGGAAGCAAAGAGCGACCAGAGGGAGAGGAGAAAGAGTTTCATCGTGAGTGAGCCGATGATCAACGCGACGTCTACAGCAAGCTGGTGAAGAACAATGCGGTGGAGAGATCGAAGCTCTGATGATGAGCTTTTCAACGCATCGCTCGCCCGTCGTTCCGCAATGTCGGATAAATTGGTTGCCTATGGCAGTCCCACAAGCTACTAGGAACCGAATAAGGGTGACAGTCAATAGACAGGATTCAAATGATGGTTATGCTCCGAGTATTGAAGTGTGAAAGTCGCCAAGATCAAGCTCATGATTCGGTTCACACAATTTCATCAATGCTACCTATTTTCGTGCTACACACAATTGAAAGAGGACTGGGTGCGGAAACACTCCTACGTTCTATTCGGTTCCGGAGGCGTGGGGGACGAGGGCTTCCGATTACACTTTGATCGTCTCAATTACAAACAAGCAGGCGATCGGAGATTTAGTTCTTAATCCCCATAGTTTTTTAATCTTGCGCTACCCCGGCACCTGAGACGGATTCAGCAACTAAGCAATACCCTGTTGGCCCGTACCAAGCAGGCGATAGGCCAGAAGTCGTTCATTTACAACGGCTTCAACGCTCCGCTGCTAATGCTGCAGAGATCCTCTTGTTCGTGTGACTCCCTGCGCTTGGGTTCGAGCGTTCAAGACCTAGTGCATATAACAGGCATCTGTATAGGGTCTTCCGAGAGAGGCACACTCCCTCTTCACAACCGTCCTCTCTCTCCTCGCTTTCCCCTTCTTCGCGTCTCGCATCGATTGCGCTTCCCCGCTTCTCTATCCATAGTCTTTCCCCGTTCCATTCCCGCTCTCCTCTCTTTCTCTTCTTCCTCTTCTCTTCCTACCTTCGAAGATGTTTGCTCGGCTCTCGATGCAGCTCTGCGTCGGTGTGTTTGTCGCGACACTTGCACTGCTGCTGGCGGCGACAAGCACGGCTGATGCTGCTTCGCCGAGCTTGAGGCACCAAGCTCGCACCGTCAATGCCACTGTTCTCAACGCCTGTAAATCACTAACAGCCAATAGCTCCTCGGCGACAGAAACCAATTACTTTGGTTCATCGGCCTTCCTCGACAATTCGCTCCGTTATATGTCCAGTACTGTCCAGACGCCCGCCTGCGTCTATGTCCCGACGACACCCGAGGATTTGTCCAAAGCCATCAAGATTATCGGATCACAGCGGCTGAGCTTTGCCGTATCAAGCGGTAAGCACGCCTCCAACAAGGGCTTCTCGTCGACAACAGGCATCCAGATCAGCATGAAGGGCTTCCAGCACGTCAACCTCTCCGCAGACAAGTCCTACGTCGATATTGGCTCAGGAAACATCTGGGACAATGTCTACGCGGCGCTTCAGGGAACCGGCGTCAACATCGTCGGAGGAAGGGTGACTGGCGTCGGCGTTGGAGGTTTCATATCCGGCGGTGGCGGCTTCAGCTGGAAGACAAATCAGTACGGGCTCACCATTGACACGCTCCTTCAGGCCGACATGGTCATGCCCGATGGCTCACTGAAGAGTGTCACGGAACAGTCGGACCCAGATCTCTTCTGGGCTCTCAAAGGCGGCGGAAACCGATTCGGCATCGTCTACAACTGGAGGCTCAAGACGAACCCGCAGACGGACCTTGTCTACGGTGGTCTCCGGACTTACACATTTGACCAGATCGATAGCGTCGTCAAGGCTGTGTCGAACTTTGCCGTCAACAACAAGGACCCGAAAGCCCAGGTTCTCCCCACCTTTAACTTCGTTCTCGGTCAGCCTGGTGTCTCGCTTCTGGCCTTCTATGACGGCCCCAGCGCGCCGGCAGGCGTCTTTGATGGCTTTGACACTTCCAAGGGCGGCCCAAAGCCTTTCACGGACGCTTGGAAGGCGCAGAGCTTCGGCGATCTTGTCCGGGCCACGCCTTCCAATGCGACGCAGTACACTCGGGGCCAATTCATGTCCGTCACGTTCCAGAACTTCAGTCAGAGCATCATCGAACAGTGCGTCAACCAGACCAAGGTCATTGGCGCCCAGTCGTTCCTCCACGGCGGCTCCTTTGTGTCGTACGACGTCGAGCCATTCCTGATGACATACTCGGACAACACAAACAAGGGAGGCGCGTGGCCTCACAGCAACAGCCCGCTTCCGCTTAACATCTACTTTGCTTGGAATGGCGAGCTCAACGACGACTTCTGGAACGAACAGATCAGAGAGACGGCCAAGCTCCTGCGCGCCCAGGCCGTCGCAGAAGGACAGAATCTCGATGGTCTCTACCTCTACCCCAACTACGCAGTCGTCGATACGCCGGCAAGCGAACTTTATGGTTCCGAAAACGCCGCCAGACTTCAGACACTCCGCCAGCGCTACGATCCGCAGGACGTCATGGGCCTCACCACATTCTTTTCCTTTGTCTGATATCTACAATCCATCACAAAGCTCTGGCTCGCGCTTTTATATCATTACTACCAGACTAATGAAGGACCTGCGTCAAAAGCAATCTACCTATCATTAATCTTCCGAGCAGCCTAGACGTGCAGCTCCTTGCGTTCATTGGTCTTGATGATCCTGTGACACAGGAGAGCGATGCAGTGAAGTAGGCAATTGGTATCAGCATACACGCCGTGAATCTTCACACAAGACAGAACAAGAGCATGATCCGATTAGGTATTTTTAGTCTTCCTTCGACATGACCGCGTTGAGCATCCTCCACACTCGGATTCGAGCAAGGAGGGCAGAACATCAGGAGGTGAGACTTACTCAAGAGAGCGGGGGGCAAACAGGGAGGCCAATCTCACTCATTTCTTAGACGAGAAGAAGTTCTTGATCTTCTTCTTGTCCTTTACCTTGGCGCCCCCGTCGCTCATTGTCGAACTTGGAGCCGGGCTGCCGGTTCGCACGCTGCTAGCATTGGTCGGGTCCATGTGGTGTTGGTGCTGCGCATAATTGCCTGCATGTATGGCAGATGATGGTGGCGGTGCCCCCGTCCTTGATCCATTCTCGTGGTGATGTTGATGGTGGTGTTGATGATGAGTATTGTAAGAAGACGATGGTCCATGCGCGGCAACGACAGGCGATTGGGCCGTGGGTGCATCTGGTCGGTCAAATCGTCGATCATACGTACTCTGAGAGGGTACTGGGTCGACAAAGGCCGGATCCTTGGAAGGATGAAACAATTTGTTCTTGGGTGACGTTTGTGCTGCAGCGGCTCTCGAGGTGGTTCTCAACCCGCTCACATCGTTCTCCGGCCCCCTGAGATGGGAAGCTCCAGGCGGGATGCCTCCTCGATCTCTTCCACCGGCCATGACATTTGTTGCCTTGCCAAATGCTTTAATGCTCCCAATGAAGCTCTCCGGCGTAAAGACGTGCGACGATCCTGCAAAAAAAATCAGCGCTCCTCGTCTCCTCTCTTATGCCAGACAGGCAAAGCGAGACTTACCGATGTAGACGTCCTTGTTGAGCTTCTGACTCGTCTGGTACGCGCTTCTGACCTCGCTGTACGTCATGCCACCGGCGACAAAAACAAATACCCGTTGACGGTTGCCGTCTCCTCTTCCATAGTCATTGCTGGAGCTCGATGAGCCTCCCGTCTGCCCGGCCCCCGGACCACCTCCTCCCGCAGCGCCTGGCCTTCCCTTCTGGTGCCAAGTGGGCTTCGCGCTACGCAAGCTGCTGGGCTGCGGCCGCGTCCCAACTCCCCCAGGAGCCGAGGATGCGCCGCGGCCTAGTCCGACTCTTGCCAGAGGCGAGTCTCTTCCGCCACCTGCTGCGCCCCACGCCGAGGAAACGAGACCCGAAGCACCCGAACCAACACCGCTGACAACACCGCCACTTTCCGGAGGCCCGTCTTTGACATACGGATAAGTCTGTGTATCCAAACGACCGGCAAAGTGATCTTCGATCATGAGCTTAACCAGTGGCTGGTAGCGGCTCAGCTCGTATTCGTTCTCCCCCGAGACCTGCTTCCTTTTCCCCTTTTTGAAAAAGGCGTCCCAACCCGAGTTGGCTGGGTCTTTGACGACACGCGCACCGAGATGGACGAGGTTGTTGACGGCCTCCATCTCGCCCAGGCCGAGCCGGGCATGCTGGAAGAGACGCTTTCGATCCTCATCGGGCACACCATCTGCATACATGATGTACAGCGCAATGATGCGAACCTTGTCGGCATTGCTGACGTCTTGGGCGTCGAGCAGCGGAACCATTTCCTCAACGAGCGTCCTTGGCTTCTGACCCTCTGGTGTGGTCCTTGTCGCGCAATTCTGCTCCACCATGGCCTGAGACGGCAGCTTGCTCTTCTCGAATTTGTTCATGCACGCCTGCGCCATTGTGAGATGGAGGCTCAGCTTGTCCTTCATCTCCTGCATGTGTGGCAGGCTTGCCAGCATATCTCTCATGTCTGACAGGCTCGAAGCCCCTCCAAATGCACCAGCCTCGCCCGCGTGCGCCTTGAAGTCTCTCGTGAGCTTTTCGATGGCCTCAGCGATGTGGATGTGCCGGATACCCTGCCAGACGGCGTCATCGTCGCTCAGCACAGCGTCCTTGTCCTCCCGCTGGCCCTCTGCATTGTAGAAGGAGTAGCTGTACTTGTCGTCGTGAATCGGCAGGAGATCGTGGCACATGGCCTGGTAGGAGAACTCATGGAGAAAGGGCGCGACAGTGTCCATGGACCGGTCAGTGATGAAGGCGATGCTCCTCGGTCTTCCCGGGTCCGCCTTTGGCTCATTTTCGGCCACGTACTTGTCCAAGGCAGCCGAGAGCCTAAAGGCGAGGTGCTTGGTAAAGTGCTCGCCCAAAAGCGAATTGGCAAATGAGCCGGCGCCGGACTCGCCTCGGAGTCTGGCCATGCGCGCACTGCCCTGAAACGCCTGGGCAGCCTGCTGTGCGTCTAGCGGCTGCACGAGGGGGCCCAAGGGAGGGTGCGACGGGTTGTAAAAGCGAATCAGCGGAAATTCATTGAGGGTGACGCAGATGTTGAGCAGGGCCTGCGTTGCAAACTGTAGCTCCTCATCGATGGCGTGGAGCGCCTCTGATGGATCGGGACCAAATGCACCGCCCGGTGGTTGGAAGAGGGTGAAGAAGGATTGGGGCGTTTTGAGCAGGAACACTTGTGCTTCCGTGGGCCAAAAGTTCGTGTAGAGCTCAACGAGCTGCCGCAGCTTGGGTTCGGCAGGCGACGAGGTGAGTCTCTGCACAAGCTGGTCCGAGAGGCCTGTTGGTAATGAAGGTGGCGCATAAGCATGCCAGACCTGATAGCAAAGAGGAGCAGGCACAGCAGACACCCACCATCGACAAAGAAGACGTGACCAGCAGCGTATTGTGGTGTCGCTCCCTTCTCCGGTACAAGATCGCGGATGATTCGCTCGACGTTGCTGCTCGTCGGGCACAGCAAATAGGCCGCTTCGAACGTGGGCTGGGGTTGCCGGTTGAATTCGATGTTCTCGACGACAGAGACATTCTGCTGGAGAATGTCATACATCTTAAGGACGCTGTTGAGAAGCGTCTTTGTGAAGCTGTCGACGACGAGGATCTTCCATCTTGTCGGTGGCTGCACTGATTGGATCGTCTTGATGTAGCCTGTGGGCAGCAAAGGACAAGCTCTCCGGTTTAGAAACCTTCCCACGCACAAAGCCAAGCTACTCACGATCTCGCGCGGCGGTGATGAGGCTTCGAGGCGGCATGTCGGATTATAAGATGGCTCGGGGCGTATGATGAGAAGACCAGGGACGAAGAGGAAGAAGAGAGAGGGGGCCGAGGAGAATAGAAAGGCCGCTACTGGCTCGAATGGCTTGGCGTCGTAAACGTCGCACACCCTGCGATGGCCCAGCTCTGCCTTTTTCTCTTCTTTTGATCTAGCGCTGGACCTCTCCTTCCGCCGCGCGCTTCGCGACGCTGCTATCGCCCAGAGTCGCCAGACTCCTACAGCCACGTACGGTTGGGCGCGCGAACCGATTGCGGGGCTACAAAGGGTGGGATGAGGGGTAAGGCGAAACACGGGCCGATCCACGCCACAGACGCCCGCCGCCGAATCGCCGCCTGGCCGCAACAGTCGATCTCGCTCGGTACGCCTGGTCGAGCGAGCGAAAGAGGTTGGTCGAGGTTACGGGATGGACGGCGGAAAATTGTTGATGAAGCAGTCGTGGTTGTGACCGACGAAGGTCCGTCCACCTGGCCTGCGTGCACAGCAAGCTAAAATAGCACACCTCGCGATTTAAAGTCTCCTGAGCCAGCAATTTCCATTCTTAGTGGCACAGGTTCAGGCAGCGAGGCTAAGCATCCCCTCAATGATCCCGGAAGGTTACACCTTTTGATAAACGAAGACTGGAGAGATTGTACAGAGAGAAGAAAAGGCAGGACGGGAGGAGAGGGAAACAAGAGGAGCGAGAGAAGTCCGTTGGTGATGCGAGATGCGACTTGACAAAGGACTCTAGAGGAACGGAAAGGAGTGTAAAATCAAAAGTCAGGAAACAGACCGCCGTACATGTCGGGAAGGTCGTGCATGTTGTACTCTGCCAAATCGTTTTCCGGGTAGCGCTCAAACTGGCTGGCATCGCCGTCGGTAGCAACGGTGGGCAGGTACGGCGCGGGAATCTCTCGCCTGTAGAGCCTGTCCCAGTCGACTTCAGCGAACCAGAGATGGCCAAAGATGTCCTTGCTGCCTCTGTGCAGGTTGCCGAAACGCTTCGACAGATCAGCCGTCAGGAGATTCTTGAGGAGATCCTTTGCTGCTGGCTCAAAGTAGGGCGGGTAGCGGACCTTGCACTGGATGATCTTCTCGTAGAGCTTGATCGGGTTGCCGTCCTCGGTAAAGAATGGCGGGTGGCCTGCCAGCATCTCAAACAAGAGCACGCCCAGCGCCCACCAGTCGACGCTCTTGTTGTAGCCCTTTGATGAAACAATCTCGGGCGCCAGATAGTCGGGTGTGCCTGGATGGAGGTGGACATCGTGGGGGCAGTGTCAGCATTCACTCTGCGCTGCTAAGGAATGTGTTGTCGGACAGGAGAGGAATACTAACCACAAAGGGTCCAGGTAACGTCCGGAACGTACTTGGCAAAGCCAAAGTCGGTGATCTTGAGGTGGCCATCGGCAGCGAGGAGGATGTTCTCGGGCTTAAGATCCCTGTAGACGAAACCATTCTGGTGCAAGTAGTCGATCGCCAAGGCCACCTCGGCCGCGTAGAATTTGGCGACGGGGTGAGGAAAGCGTTGGGACTTGCGCAAGAGCGTAAAGAGCTCGCCACCGGGGACAAAATCCATCACCATGAAGAGAAAGGTAGGATCAGAAAAGGTGCCCCAGAGATTGACGAGGAATGGATGTCGAACCACTTCGAGGACTGCTCGTTCGCTGTTTGTATGCTCGACTTGCTTCATTCGAACAACTTGCTCCTTGCGAAGTACCTTGACAGCGTAGAAGCGCATGTTGTGACGACTTCGGACGAGGTGAACCCGGCCGAAGCTCCCGGTCCCCAGCGTCCGCTCCACTGTAAAGTCGGAAAGGGCATAGCGACCCGAAAGCTTTCTTCGCGTCGCAGGCACGGCATTGAGCGACGAGTTGACGGCACCTGGCCCACCGGTCACGGCGCTATTGGCAGCCGCTGCATCGGCAGAGACGACCATGGGCACCATGCCAGCCCCGCTGACACCACCTGAGGTTGAGGCTGCCGCGGCCTGCATGGCGGCCAGCGCAGATGGATCGGCGTTGTAGCTCAGCTGACCTTGCTGATTCATCGTGGCTTCTTCTTCCTTTCTGAGGAAAGAAAGGACGGATGGGGTTCGTGTACTATTAGAGAGAGTGTGTGTGTTGCGTTGAAGAAGCTTTCAAAGGAGCGACGAACGTGCGAGGGTTAAGGCTGGCGTAGTGGGATTCGTCGGATGTTTCTCGTGAGACTCGAGACGGAATGAATGTCGGAAAATGCGCTAGTGGAACGAAGCAAGGGAATCCACGGGACCGGCTTCACCGCGCTATTCGAAGCTCGATCTGTTCGAGGCCTGAAAAGAAGGTAGCGATAGCAGACCCCAATTGCCGCTAGCGTCGTCGTCAACAGCCGTGCCTAGAGACTACACCGATGACCGGCCTGCGCTGCTGCTCTTGGCCCTCTGTTCACAGGCTCTGGGCCTAGGTGGTCGCTTCCCGACCCTCCCGTGACAGGGATAGGACCTCCCTTGCTTAGCCACGTGGGGTCTTTTTTCTGCACGGGCCTCGCGTCTGCTGAATAGATACGGAGCAGAGGACAGCAGAGGTGGGCAGATCAAGACGAAGAAGCAAGCAGGGTACGCAGGCAGGCCGAAAGGCAGGAAGGCAGGACGGAAAGCGAAAGCAGGCATGGCCGCGGATGTTGTGGCGCACTACTCGCCGCCCAAGACCGCGAAGCCATCGCTCCTCGATAATGAGCGTCGAGTCAGCGCAGCGACGATCCGGGCACTTGGCCGCGACGCGCAAGCGCAACATGAGGCAGGACCGTCCAAGGAAGGCGACGAGAATGATGCTAACACTACGACATTCTTCAAGCCGGTCCAGATCACGCTCAACGAGCCAGTGGGGAGCATGTCGATCTCACCAGCCAATCGCGACGTGGTGCTGGCTGCTAGGGAGGGCCTCTTCATCCTCGACCTAGAGAATCCCTACGATCAGCCCCGATTCCTGCCCCACATGACCGTCTGGCTGCCCGCCGACGTCCAATGGAACCCGCACCCGTTTCGATCCAACTGGGTGGCCAGTACCTCTAACCAGAAGCTCCTGGTGTGGAACCTCGACAGGCCGGCGGCTCCTCGAATCGAGCCCGTGCTCTCGATGCCTGTGACGTCAGGCACAAGGACCTCCTCATCCCACGACGGGGCCGCGGCCACCTTTGGAAACTCAGCGACGAGCACCCTGCCCCATCCCAATCATCGGAATCTCGGTACTGCAAGCTCCAGTGTCTCACGGCTCTCATCCATCTCGCACGTCCTCCATGCCCACACGAGAGCCATCACCGACATCAATTGGAGCCCCTTCCATCCCGAGGTGCTCGCCAGCTGCAGCATCGACACATGGACCTGGTCGTGGGATCTTCGGGAGCCCTCACGTCCCCGTCAAGGGTACAGCGCATGGAACGCAGCCATGACGCAGGTCAAGTGGAATCGAGCTTCGCCGCATCGCTTGGCGACATCGTGCGACAACAAGGTGCTCATCTGGGACGATCGAAAGGGGGCTTTGCCCCTCGCCACAATCGAGGCTCACGAGAGTCGGATCTACGGAATCGACTGGTCAAGAGACACGTCGTTGGGCCTCGATCGCCTCGTTACATGTAGCCTCGACGGCAGTGTCAAGTATTGGGACCTGTCGAGCGATGCTTCGCAAAGAGCAATTGGCCAGCGAAAGCTGGTAACCGAATGCGAGACAATCATCGAGACAAAGACGCCCGTGTGGCGAGCCAGAAACCTGCCCTTTGGCCATGGTGTCATGACTCTTCCTCAGAGGGGTGACACTTCGCTGAGCATGTGGAACGAGGAGGAGCCAGAGGCGCCCGTCCATCGTTTCGAAGGCCACAAGGACATCGTCAAGGAGTATCTCTTCAGGACCAGGGGAGGCTCAGATCGATCGCACGACGATCGCCAGTTCCAGCTCATTACCTGGAGTAAAGACCAGACGCTGCGGCTCTGGCCCGTGACGGAGGAGATGACGAGATCCGTGGGGCACCGTCCAGGTAACCCCATTCGAACGTTGCAGACTCGCGCGAATGCAGCCAACATCACCTACCGTATTCCTCCCCTTGTGTCTCCCGATGCGGCTGGCGACGGTGGTATGCTTCTGGATGGCAATGCTCTGCCGTCCTCGTCTCCGATTCAGAGCAACAACACTTTGTCGGCCACTTCGAGTAATGGCGCCACGCCCGCCACAGGCACTTCTTTCCTTCCCCCAGCTGGTCTGACCAGATCACTCCTCAGTGGCGGCGCCCGAGGAACCCTACCCGGCAGCGGCAGCACAAGAATGAGCGGTACGCCGCCTTACAGTACTAGCTACAACGCTTCGGGCAGCAGTCCCCTTGATCTGAGGCTGGCCAGCAGCCTGGGTGCACAGCAGGGAAGCGCCACCTTTGGCGGATCCCTCGGAGGTCGAATGCAACAAGGTGGCGCTAGTTATGGACACAGCGGCAGCAAGGGCTCCGCCGGTGATTTGTCCTTGGGTACTTCGTCCATGGCGATCGCATCAGCGTCTGGAACTGGGCAAAGAAGCAAGGCGTCTCTCGGCCTTCGCAAGCAGTCGTCAGCCTTTGAGCTGGGAAGCGACGGCCGATATTCTCGACAGTCGCGAACCTCAACATCAAGGCACAAGGGAATGGGACCGCTGAGCGAGTCAATTGAGACGAAAGACAGCGGCAAGAGCAAGCGCGATGCTGAAGAACACAAAAGGAGAAAGGAGAAAAGGAAAAAGGCGGCCGCGGCAGCCGCTGCTGCCGCCGCTGCATCGTCGGGTTTCATGACGCGGGGTAGCACTGGCCATGGGGTTGGGGGTGCATGGCGATTGGGCAAGACGGGAGGAACAAAGATGCCCGGCACAGGAGGCGGAAGGGACGCGGTAGGATGGATCGCAGGCGTGAGAATGGGCGAGCAGGCCGATGAGCGTCCGGGTCTCACTTCCATGGCAGGCAGCGTCGCTGGCCTGGAAAGCTCTTCAAACTTGCCCGCGCCAGGCGAGGGGAATGATGAGGCGCAAAAAGATGCTGCCCAGGTCGTAAGCGAGGAAATCGTGGCCATCAGCAAGAATCTTCACGGTGTCTCCTTTGAGAAGGTACGCTGAGAAACACGTACCAAACTCTCAGATTTTGTGCTGACAACAATATGCCCTACCAACACAGATCGACGTTAGCTCCCGCACCTTTATCGTCTCATGTTACGGGCCCTGGGCTGACAAGAACTCGCCTGCTTTTATGCGCCTCACCCTGACCTATCCAAGCAGCTACCCAACCAAGCTTCCCAAGTACAAACTCGAGCACAATGCTTCTGTCTCGCTCAAGACGAGGGCTTTTCTCCTCAAGAACCTTTCAAGGATTCTGGGTGAATACGCAGCACTGCGCAGGAGCTCGCATAGTACGGAGACAAAGGCGGGAACGCCCGTGCTGGGCGAAGCTTGCATTCGCTTCCTCCTGGGCGAATCGTCGCGGGAGGCTGGCCCAATGGCGTACAGTCCAGACAATGAAACAGATCTCGAAGACGAGACAGACGACGAAGCTCGGGCTGGTGTCGAGGAGCAAGAGATGGCAAACAAGGCCGTGGCGACCCCACTTGCCCTTCGCATTCCGCCGCGTCGATGCGGAGCGACGTTTGGACCAAAAGGGCTCCTCGTTACCTTTTCACCTTCCATGTCTCACCACGAGCTCGAAAAGGGTGCAGCGGAGAAAGCAAGCTCCATCTCTGGTGACAAGCCACCGAGCCTCTCTGGAAGCCGCAAGGCAATCACTGCTGCGGGTCCGACAAGCACACCGGGAGGGGCACGCCCTAACCACGGCGGTGGAGCAGGGGCGCAAAGTGGAGGAGCAAGATTTCTGCAATCTTACAGCGCTCTCTCGGGCGCCATGGCTAGTCTGGCCCGCTTGGCCCGCGAAGGAATGGACGTCAAGGATCTCGACGTCATGCAACTTATGGGCGATCAGAATTTCCTCGATCGTCGGGTGAGTAGCGCAGACGCTGATCGCGTAACCTCTTCTCTCGACTTAGCCATGCCTCTTCCTTGTCGACAGATTCACCGATCCCATTCCAAGGGCGACTCGAGTCGGAAACGGGGTTCACGAGGGACAAGCTTGGCTCCTTCTGGTAGTCGTACCGCTCTTGAAGCTGGCAGATCAGCTTCGCATGCTGCAGGTCTGCGCGCACGCTCAGCCAGCCCCATGCCTGCCTCCTCTTCGCGCCCCAGGTCGGCCCTCTCTCGGCTTGGCGGAGCTGCAGTGACCAACTCTCACTCAGACGTCCGAATCTGGGAGCTTAGGCATTTCTTGCCTCCCCTTGTGGCCCCCTCACTCGTCCGGAGGAGATCGAGCTCGCTTCCTTCCAGCTCTCTCCCACCAAGCCCGCATCGTCCATCGTCGCCGTCTTCACCTTCCATGGCTGCTCGAAGGCCAAAGGGAAGCCGAAGCGGTTTGGCGAGTTTGGCTGTCCCTCCTGGGGCCGGAACTGTTCCAGCAGCTCCGTCCAGTAGTGCGGCGGGTAGGGATCTGGGGCCCTCATGGATCGACTACGACTCGCCCAGCGAAGTAGAGGAAGAGGAGGAGAACAGCCTGAATGACGGGCCTCGTATTCAAGAAATTATCGAAGACGGCGATGATCAGAAGGAGCAAGATGCAGGCGACGATGTAGCAGACTCCGACTCTTCGTCCGATGGTGAGGACTCCGAAGACGGAGAAGACGATGCAGACAGGCTGCTTCGGGCCTCCGAAGACGCACAGATGAATCCCGCGCTGGAATCGACGCTGGATACATTGATCTGGTCCATGCCATTCTGTTTCCTTTATCTGCTCATGGACATCATGATCCAGCAGCAGTACGCCATGCACCCCACTCCACTGAGGGAATTCGGCAGGCTCATTGGGACGCTTCCTCTTCTCGTCCTCTTCATCTGGTATACGTCAGTACGAGATCGACCTCCCGTCCCGCGACGATCAAATTTCTTGATCATGAACGACGACGGCGAGAATCGACAGCGATGGACATCCCAGCTCGGCTTCCTAACGCTCAGCCTCGCGGTCGGCATGGGCTTCGTCTACACGTACACCGAGTCAACTTTTGACATTGTGACGAGACGCATCGCGCCCCTAGGCACCCTCTGGGTCTACTGCCTCGTGAAGCTTGACTTGCCTTGGGCCGTGCTCAACCTCGCCCTTGTCTGGGGCTTTGTCAAAGTATGGGCGTTGCCCTTGTTCGATTAGCCATTGCTCACCTACTCGCGCTGCATTGTTAACCTCTCCAAACGTCCTTCCAATCATCATGTACAACTGTGGTTCACTGATAACAGGGGGCACAATGAGACAGTTGACTTGTGAAGGCACGAAGAACAGTACTTGAGGCTACGTCCGGCTAGGACCGTCTTTGCGCCACAAGTCGTGCTCGTCGTCAAGAATGAGACTCTCTTTAGATTTCTGCCATTCATCTGCGTTAGTGTACACCATGGCCCATCTGCGTGGGAACAGCAACAAAGTTCAATTCAGGAAGAGAAAGAGTTGGTCCGATTGAGACCCTTGACTCACTGAACGATGATCGGACTATCGAGGTCCAAGCGCTCTGCTTCCACAGCCTCTTCGACTCTCTTCCTGGCCTTGCTGTAGGCTTCGTGGAGGGGCATGCCATCCTCGTTGAGGATCAAAGAGCCCATGTTGTTAGGATTTCCCTCCATCTCCAGAGAGGCCCTTTGCTTTTGGTCGAGGACGTCACGCTGGAATGGCGTTCGATCAGAGATGGTCTGGACGATGGAGGCACGGAGGAAGCGGACCTTGTAGACAGAGTCGAACGTATTGCGGATCGCCTCGTCCATCGCCGGTGGGCCAGCTAGGGATTGCTTGAGGAGAAGACGCAGAGCTTCGATGTCCTCAATGACCATCGAGGTGCCGCTACCCTGGAAGGGGGCCATGGGATGAGCGGCATCGCCAATGATGATGGCCTTACCATGCGACCATGTTGGCAGCGCTGGCATCGACCGGAGCTGCCAAACACCTGCACCATCGGCCTGACGATACATGTCCGCCATACCGGGCAGCATGGGCGCATAGTGTTTGTCGACGAGACTATTCATAAATTCGCCGTCGACTTGGCTCCGCCAGGACCTGCCGAGGCCAGGTCTATCACGGAGCACAATGTCGTCGGGGATGTAGACGACCGAATTCAAAAGGCCATCGTCGCGAATTCGGTAGTGGACCGACCGCATGAATGGTCCGTGAACGACAGCAATTTGTTCGCCTTGGAAGCGCTCTCCCTGACTGGGCTTACTACAGTCTTGCAGGTTCATGAGACGCCTCGTCTCTTGGCTCAAGCATGAGTCTGGCTGGTTGAAGCGGATGACACTGAAACCAATTGGCACAGATTTGGGAGTGCCGAAGCCAGAGGCGCGCAGGATAGCGCGACGAACGGCCGACTTGACGCCGTCGGCGCCGACAATGATGTCGGCCTTGACCACGCGCTCATTGCCGACTTTGACCGTGCCCGCAAGCGTGTCGACATCTTCAGGTCTGACGTTGACGTTCCAAATAAATTCGACCTGGGCGTTGTGATCTCCTTCGGAACGCCCCTGCTGTTCTACCAGCTCGTAGAGCTTGGTGATGAATGTCCTGCGATGGAGGGACCAGTGCTCGCCAGGCGCTTCGATGCGGTTCGTCTCTTTGCCGCTGTACCACTCCCTCAGGACGATTGTCTGAGCGTTGCTGGGGACGCGCAGGCTCTCCGCGGTCAAGCCACCGGGCTGAACTAAGTCGCTTCTTGAGAGGAGATCGACGGAATTGGTAAAGAGCGTGATACCTCCTCCGCCCAGGTCAAGGTCCATCTCGGACAGATTGGCAGCACGCTCAATCACAACGATGGTCGATGCTATGTCGCGCAACGCCAACGCTGTGAGGCAACCGCCAATGGCGCCACCGACGATGGCAACCCTTGGTTTGCGAGAAGTGTTGTTTGGGGACATGGTGATGGGGGGATAGTCACGAGGACGTCCATCTCAGCGACTGTTGCGCAGTCCTGCTTGCGTGGCGCTTTGACCGCCCGCTGTCCGCGCTGAGGCCCGCTCTTGACGCAGAAAGTGACGGTGCCAAGATGCGGCCCAATCGGCTTCATTGCCGCTCAGCGCGCGGGGGTCTTGCTCTGTGTTTGCTCAAATTGAAACATTACGTGCAATACAGGAAGCGGTTCCTCTATAGGGTTTCCCTGGCTTTAAAGAGGCTTGTGCGCCGGAGAATGCGAAGCGACGACAAAGACAAAGAAGAGGATCCAAGCGGCAGCAATGGAGGCACCGAAGTGGATGACTGCCCACCAATTAGACCATCTCTGCGGCCAGAGCAGCGCCGACTTTCGAGCTCCCCGGTGACTGTGTTTGACCTCTTCTTCAATCTCCTGGCGTCTTTCTTCGTTGGACGCCAGGATGCCCATGGCGTACCTGCGGTCCAAGACTACGTAAATGATGCCGAAGACGAGCTCGGCCAACTTGGAGACGAAGAGAACGAGAAGGACCGACTGATACGACTCTCCCCCTGCTTTGTTCCCAGGTGTCGAGTCTTGAAGACGGCCAAGGGTCGTGTACATGATGATCTGGTACGAGGACATGAGAGACTTCCAGAGACCCCAAGCAAAGCCAAATGTCTCGTCTCCTCCTCTTCTTCCTTCGCCACCGTGATCGCCGTGCTCGCCTGTCTTGCTCTTTTGGCCAAGGAGGATAGCCAATGAACAGAGGTACGGGGGAGTATTGATGGCGTTGGCCACCGAGAAGACGGCCATGGCCACGATTGGGCTAAGGTCAGTGTATGCGAGCAAGGCCATGCATGTAGCCAGCAGAAAAGCGGTGAGCGGCACGAATCTGCAACGAGAGGGCCCAGAGAAGAGAAGTGAGAAAGAAACTATCGAGAAAAAAGTTTTCTAGCTATTCTGGACCCACTCCATTCGGTGGCCGTGCTTGTCAAAGAAGAGGCCGAGCCAAGGGGCGACAAAGATGGGCGCGACCTGGCCAAGGCTCGATGTCCAGCCGGCCTGCCTTGGCGACTGACCCTTCCACCGAATCACGTCGGCGGAGAGATTGTTGAAGACGGCGATGGGCTGGTAGAACTGCGTGGCAGCAATGACGACAAAAAAGGCAGGGAGGCTTCGAAGCGCTGTCAATGCAGACCTCATGGTCGTGCGGGCGCGTGTGTGCCTCTGTGTCTGTGTCTGTAAAGAGGTACGGGGGTATCGCGGTTCGTCTTCGAGGCCGAGATAGGCAATCGAGGCGCCAAAGGAAATTGAAGCGACAAATGAGGCTACCCAAAATGTCCTGGACGTCTTGGGAGTCGACGACCAGGAAGAGGCAATGGGCACGGCAGTCGCCTTGCCCACAACGCCAAGGAGTCTGGCAAAGGCAAAGTCGATGGAGATGGCCGAGCCCAGCCAGCCCGCGTCTCTGAACCAGAGAACAAGAAGCTTTACCGCGGCCATGTCTACGGCGACAACGCCGAGTCCTTGCACCATTCTCGAGACGACGAGGCCAAGGTAGCTCCCGGCCTCGAGAGCTACAGCTGATCCCAGGCAGCCAAGGACGACGGAGAGCGTGGCAAGACGGGCGACTCTAGAAGCGCCGTGAACATCGATCCACAGGCCGCAAAAGAGGGGCACGACGGTGTTGGACAGCTGCGTGGCCGATGAAATGACACCGTACTGGGCGTTCGTGAGGTTCAGCTCTGAGACAAGGAGCGACTTGAGGGGACCCAGACAGGACTCGGCATAATTGGAGCCCGCCGAGAGGGTCAGTAGTAGCACGAGGAGTAAAGGCGGTGAGGAAGCCCACCCATTGCGCCTTCGTGCGAGAGTTGTGGGATGAAGGAGCGCCTGCCTCTCTTCTTCATCATCATCCTCGTCTCTAACGCTCCTCGCCATAATGTTTGCTTGCGTAGAACCGGGCCCTGCCCCTCGTCACCAGATTGAACCGCCTTTCAACGTGCTGGTTCGACTTCCGCAAGCCCCGCGAGGTCTGCTTCGTGTCGCCACACGTTGACACTCCTTGGCTCGCCCGACTGACCTCTGCAGAGGAGAAGGGGGAAAGACGGGGCCGCATTATATATATTGGGAGCTCTCAATTTTCAGCTTTCTTGACGCGCGTGGCCCGAGCGAGCCAACGCGAGCGCTTGGACCACGTACGGCGCAATCCATGTCTGTAGACACCAGCAATCTTCAACCATTCCATCACTGGCTAATTTGGAAGTCGCTTTACTTTATCATCGATGTATCTATGGGGGATGCATACTCTGTTTCCCTCATACTGATCGCTTATTGAAACTATTAGCTCTGTCAGAAGAAGACGCTTGCCCTACTCCTTGATCAAGGGCTCGAGCTCGCCGCCGTTGACGACCGAGTCGACGACACCCTTTGCTTTGTGCTTGAATCCGAGCGCATGAAGACGGCTGTGTGAGTTGAGAAGTGAAGAGAATCAACCGAGTTTCAGCTTCGAAAACAAAGAAGATACTTCCTTCTTATGGGTACTCACTCAGGTCGGGTGTAGCAGTTGTCTCGCTCAAAGACTATCTGGCCAAATACAGGCGCGAAACCGGTTTCCTTTCCGCCAAGGAAGTCCTCAAATGCAGCCCTGTCAGAGAGGACCTTCGGCGAGGCCTGGCCAGCGGGGTGAGCGTGCTTCTGGAGCTGCGAAGAAATGGCATCAAAGAGAGCAGCCCACGGGAAGGGCGCGGGCTCGGCGGGAAAGCAGTAGTGCGACGGCTGTGACTCCCCCGGCGTGTGCTTCTCGAGCTGGGCGAGGAGGACGACGAAGGCCTCGCTGAGATCGTGCACTGACACGGCATCCCAGTAGGCGTACTCGGCGACGGCGCGGTCCAGAGCGATGGTGTTGCCATTTTGCATCATGGCGCGGGCGAGTATAGGCGCCTGGATGCTGATGCGGTGCCACGGCGCTGCACCGATGCCGTAGACGAGAGGAGGCATCATGACCGTCGTGCTAGCGTTGTTGGCTTTTTCCGCAGCGTCATTGAAGAGCTGCTCGCGGAGCGGCCCATCGACTTGGCGATGAGGCGCATCGGAAGCAAGCCGCTTCTCAATCGCTTCGTCGCCCTGGCTGTCAGAGAGAATCTTGTCCTCGACGGAGGCCTTCTCAAGTCCCTTTGCCGCCTGCGCCAGCTCATTGTTGCCCGAGGTGTGGATGTAGACGACCTTTTTGCTCTTGTCAGCCCGTGACTTGATGCCGTCGACGACGGCCAGTGCGCTCTCGAGGTGGTCGGCAGTGGCCACGTGGATGACGATGTCAGCCTTGCTGGCGTGCTCTTTGATGATTGATGCATCATCGAGCCCTCCCTTTATAGGCTCAATGCCAAGGTCCTGCAGCTCCTTTGCCTGCTCCTCACGGCGCGTGAGAGCAGTCAGCTTGAGATCGGGCCGGCGCTGCTTCAGGTGCTGCAACAGCGTCCCGCCGATGAAGCCCGGTCCGATGAGGAAGAGAGTTTTCTGCTGCGTCGTCATGTTTCTTTGTTGGCTTACTTGCTTGTTTGCTTGCTTGCCTCTTCCCCTGTCTGCTTAATTGCTTTGCAGACCTGAACGTCGCCGTCGAGAGAGGGCAATCCACATCACATTTATATGCAGCAAAACTCCGAATCGCACGCACACGTCGCTTTCTCTGAGTTCAACAACTTTCCCCCGATCAGATGCAGCCCGATCGCCAGATTCGCGGGCCTCGGACCTCGTTGCATGTCTGTGAACTTATTCTAAAGCGCGTGCCGCTTCGCTCGGCGATAATGCATTTCTTCGTAGATTGACCAAAGCCGGCAATCCCTTTCTCTTCCCGCGCACACCTTAGCACACTTAGCCGAAAAGGCAGGCTCTTAGGGCCGAGGCCATCATAGCACCGGGACCAATGACAGGAGAAGTGCGCGAGGGGAAAGTAAAGACATCCCAGTGAAGATCGGCATGACAATCGGCATGACAAAAGGCGAACGCATTACCTTTCAGGAGCACCGGACGGCTCGCCAGGAGGTTCAACGCGCCAAGATTCTCTCGCAGCAACATGTTCATCCCGACCCGATTCTCGAGCAACACGGCGAGGGAGATGTGCGTATGGGGGTCACGATTGTGATGCGCCCACCCCGCGAAATGCGTAGATGGATTATCGAGGTGCAGGGGCTGATTAAAGAAGCCCTTGGTGAGACACGGGATGCGCTCTGGTACGCGCCCGAGGACTTGCTTCACATGACTGTCCTCGAGTGGCTTGTCGCCGCTCCGGACCAGCAGTATACTGTTGAAACGATCGTCGGGCATCTCTCCAAGCCAGAGGCTCTGAATTTTCTCACAGAGTGAGTCAGACAGCTCTTGAACAATACCAATACTTCCCACGATGCAAAATGCTGACAGCGGAAAACCCGGTTTTACGACAGGCTGCCGTCGGACCCGCCGATTCGGCTGGATAAGGCAACACTCTCCTACGACGAATCTGCCCTGGCTCTTTCTTTCTTGCCTCTCAACTCTTCGCCAGAGGCCGCCTCGTATCCCGTCTATCGTCGTTCGCTCCGAAATTATGCAGAGGAGCTCGTGCGAGAGACCGGAGTGATGGCCCCCAAAGGCCGCTATGACTACCCCTCGGCACACATCACAATTGCACGCTTCAAGCAAGCGGTGCCGAGCGAGCAGATTGATGCCCTTGTTCACGGCATCGACACCGTTGCCACTCGCTTGCAGGTCGCACAGACAGATGCCTCGTGGACGTTTGACGGCCCGCTCCATATCATGTCCGGTCGCATCTGGTACGGAGGTGGAGAACGGCTCCGGCCTAGTCTATGAACAGTTAGATATCCACTTTCATTAGAGTTTCTAGAGTGCTTCCCGGGAACCCCACAGCAATCAGATTAATCTCAGCAGTGGAGAATCATATCAGTGGAGAATTACAGCAGTGGAGAGTCACAGCAGTGGACGATCCCAGCAGTGGAGGAGCATCGGGTCGAGATCCAGCAAAGGTGGAGCGGACTTTGGAAGTGGAGCGCGCGAATTCAGGGCACAAGGCTGCCCTGAAGATGTGAGCCCGATCTAAATGTGAGCAAGGTCCGTCCCTTCTGTGGCTGGGTCTGAAGAACAGCTTCTGAACAGGTACGATAAGCGGTCTGAAGAACAGCTTGTGAACAAATACGATAAGCTATTTAAGACACTTGCTGGCGACTGGCCTTTTTGCAATCACAAAACAGCAGCACCCTTACACACAGAAGAGCATGTCAGCCCCTCTTGCACTTCCCCTCCTTGGAAAGAAGGCCATCGTGACTGGCGCCTCCCGCGGCATCGGCGCCAGAATTGCCCAGGCGCTCGCTCTGAGCGGCGCCTCTGTCGTTCTCGGCTACAGCTCTGGGGCCAAGGCGGCCGAAGAGGTCATTGCGGCCATTCAGGCCCATGAAGCATTTGGTGCCGCTGCAAAGGCCGCTGGCGGAAAGAATCTCCGGCTGGGCACCGTCGGTGGAAAGCTGAGCGATGCGGCCTCGGCCAAGAAGTTCGCCCAGGACAGCCTCGCCTTCTTTGATGGCAACGTCGACATTGTGGTCCACAATGCCGCTATTATGGGCATGCACGAGATCGCCAGCATCACCGAGGATCAGTTTGACGATCATTTTAGTGAGTAAGACACTTGTAAAAGGTCGTCACTCACCTCGCTTCTGACGCCCGTATCGCATCCTGACAGACCTCAATGTCAAGGCGCCACTGTTCCTGACACAGGCCCTTTTGCCACATATCAACAATGACGGCCGAATTCTCTTCATGTCCTCCTCCGTCACAACACATCCGGTCGTAATTGCTCCGGGCTATGTCCCTTATGCTGCGAGCAAGGGCGCGGTAGAACAACTGACCCGGGTTCTCGCAAGGGATCAATCAATCACCGGCGCCCAGCGAAGAATCACCGTCAACTGCCTCAACCCAGGACCCATGTCGACGGAGCTGTTCCTCAAGGGAAAGAGCCAGGAGGTGCTGGATCGCATCGGCTCCCTTCACCCTCAGCAGCGCGTGGGCCAGCCAGACGACGTGGCAGATGCCTTTGTCTATTTTGCTGGTCCGACGTCGCGGTGGGTCAACGGGCAGGTACTGCGAGTCAATGGTGTAAGTTGATGCTGCTGCTTCTCCCCACCATCCATGCAAGCCTTCTAACCATTTGATCTTTCCAGGGAATGGCCGTTTGAAAATTCCGTGATCCGAGTCTAGGTGTACAGTGCTTTGCTTCTTCACGGAACTGAGATATCGACATGAGCTAGCTCTTGTTCGCAGGACTATCTGCTCAGCTAGCTACCACCAGAAGCTCGAGGCGGTGTCGCAAGGGTAAGGGGTAAGACGTGCATTAAGGCACACAGGCACCGCGGAATCGACGGAAAGGAAACACGTCTAAAAGTTGTGACGTTTCCGTCGGAATAGAATCTCTCGGGCGCAGCTTCATGAATTGTTTCCGGATCGTAGCGAAGATATAAGAGGAGGGCAAATTCGTCGAGAGGATGGAGGCCGACAAGCAGCATACGATCTCTCAAGCACAATGAGAATTAGCTCTTTCTTCTTCTTGGCGCTCGCCAACGCAGGCGTAGTCCTGAGCCAAGCAACTGGCGAAAACGAAACTCGTCACTCGGTCCTGCGTGAGTCATGTGCCTGGCAACTGTGACGGTGCCCAGAATCTAGCTAACGAGGCAATGATACCTGACAGCATACTTGTTCTCGATACCTGGAAACGCGATATTCACCGTCGTCTTTGGCCTCCTTGCCATCGCACATTTTACCAACTTTCTCCTTTATCGATCTCAACGCCGAGGCAGCAACGACTCTGGCACGAAATGGACCTTGACTCTGCCCATCGCAGAGCTGACAATGACTCTCGGATTCATTTTCCGTCTGGTTTGCCGAAGCAACCAGTACTCGATTGGCCTCTATGCAGTCTGCAACCTTCTCATCCTTCTTTCGCCTGCTGCATTCCTAGGCTTCATTTACTTGGCCTTCTCCCGACTGCTCCGTATCACGTCACCTCCTTCCACCGCAAAGACACCCAATGACAAGCTGCCAAAGAGGAGGAAGATCGGTACTTTTTTCATCTGGTCCGACATTGTCACCTTCTTGATCCAGGCATCGGGCGGCGGACTCCAAGCTTCTGCGAGCTCAAAGGCGATTGGTGACAAACTCTTCCTCGCGGGCGTCTCGCTCCAGTGCGCCTCGTACTTTCTCTTCCTTGGCATCACGGTCTTCTACCACGTCAAGGAGAGCAGACAGGGAACATTGACCAGAACGACTAGGTTCTTCCTGCTTGCTATCTACCTTGCCAGCATCGGTGTCATTGTACGCTCCGTCTACAGGATCGTCGAGATGGCTGGGGGCTACACCGGCCATATCTACCGCACAGAGCGTGAGTACAGCATTGACGCGCGTCCTCCTCCTTCTTTAGACCGCGTATGGCTCAACCTAGATATCCTCCAAGTTTTCCTCCTCTTCCTGGACTCGCTTCCGCTGGCTCTGGCCAACCTCGTGTGGGTCTTGGTCTGGCCACCTCGCATCTTTGAGCAAATTCTAGACGAGGTTATGGAGCAGCACCAATCCGCAAATAGAAACGACTTCCACTTTGTAGAGGGCAGAAGCGCCTCCTCAGACCCCAAGTTTGAGGCCTGACAGAAGTCAATGAGGTTGTGGCGGCATGCGAAGTATTATACTTGAAGATTCTTATTTGAATATTAGAGATGCTTGTCTATGGCTAGGAATACAGTGATCCGACGTCTTTAGCCCTGAAGCGCATTGAACAACAGCAGCTCAAAGGCGTCCATTCCTTGTCCCAACTTCCTCTCGGGTGCATCAGCACTCTTTCGGTCCATCCAGCCTCCCATCAAGAGCGCATCCTCGGAGGGCGCCTGCCAGTCCAGAGATTCGCTTTTCCTGGCTGCAACAAAAACGAAGCTCGGTGCATCTTCCCCCTCCTCGTCCTCCTTCGCCAGCGATGCTGCCTTTGCACCTGTAGCGCGATCAGATGCCCGTGTTCCAAAGCTTCTCCAGTCTTGCTCATTGTCTGCGTTAGCAGGCATCGTGCGCCTGCAAAGCACTGGTTCGAAACTGAACCAGGCCGCGAATGCCCTCCAGAAGGCCTCCTCCTTGACCAGCGAACGTACGCGATAGCCGATGATGACCTTTGGCGAGCCGCCCTCTCCTCTCTCTGTATCAGACACTCCAGTAAGGTCGATGAGGGAACGAAGGAGCGGAGCAAGAAGGTGTGGAAAGTAGACGAGGTCTGAGCAGATGACGTGGGTGATGACGGTTGTGCAGAGGAGCTGATGGGCGTGCTTGCGCGAGCCCCAAGGCAGAGGCTGGACGCAGACCTCAGTCTTGGACCTGTCGCCGTCGCCGCTATCGTTGTGTGCGTAACAGCCTGCTCTACGAGCATTTCGATCGAGAAGCGGGCAGACATTGTCGAGATCAGTCAGAAAGACTCGCGTCTTCTTGTGCGCTGCGCCGTCGCAAAGTCGTCGAGCATGCAGAGCAATTTTGATCCCCACGACGCCCGTCCCTGAGCCAAGCTCCACGATATTGACATCGCTCTTTCCATCAAACAGGCCGCATGGCGGATCGAACTCCAATCCCTGCTGTAAGGCCGAGGCGGGGGGGACGAGGTAATTGCTCAAGAGGCCGACGGCCTCCCAGATGCGACCTGCGATGCCGTACTGCTCGATATCGGCTTCGGTGTCCCGGTCCCATCGTTCCACCTCTTCACCGCCAGTGCTGCCTGCATGGGTCGCGATGTACGATGGTTTGATGGCAAGTCCCAGAGGAAAGTTGGGGTCTTCGTCCATCCGTCCACGTCTCTTCTCTTCTTCCTGTCTCTACCTAGTCAAACTTATGAATTCGAGAGGCCAGAGGTCTGGAAAAACTCAAAATTTGGCCTGGAGAGTCCGTGCGTCGCGTGTCGCCTCACCACCATCTCAGAGCGCAGAGAGGCAAGATGTCGGAGTCCGCATCGCCAGTGCCGGCCCCGTCGGCAGCAGCGGGGAGCGCCCTCTCTGCAGGGAACGGTGGCTCTCCTTCCGTCATCACGTCAGCGATTGGCACGCCCTCGCTCTCCACCGCCGCCAGCAACAACCACGGCAGCGGCGTGGCTTCACCCCCTCCGTCCTCGGGCCATCGCCACCCGTACTCGGCCGCCTCGCTGAGCGCGCTAGAAGTGTACAAGAAGAGAGACCCCTCCAAGATTGTGATTCGCTTCAAGGCAATCGGGAGCGCCCCCCAGATGAAGAACAACTACTTCCGCATCACGTCTTTCAATCGCTTCCAGGCCGTCATCCAATTCCTTAGAAAGGAGCTGGGGATGAAGCAGAGCGATGCGCTCGTGAGTCTCTTGCTCCTGCCTTCTTCCAACAATCTTCTTTTGGCTGAAAGGTCTGAGCCCATCTGGCGTGCACAGTTCACCTACATCAATTCGTCGTTTAGCCCAGCGCCAGACGATAGCGTTGGAAACCTCTTTCGATGCTTCGGGACCGAGGGTCATCTCATCGTCAATTACTCTCTCCAAGCTGCTTGGGGCTGATGCCAGGAGCTCAGTCTAATAGAAAGAGACAGAGCAGTCTCGCTTGGAAAATCGCAAAGAGAAGGTCGACCTCGGAGCTGCAAAGAGGTCGCCATCCCAATACCACTCTGTACTTGTATCGTCTCGCGATAGATAGGAATATATGCAAGAGGCGGCTGCTTATCACCTCGACAAGCAAATTGGCATTTCGCGCTTTCCAGAAAGAACGGTAACACGCGCAAGATATACAGTTGGCAGTTCGCTATCACATCTAAGCGGTCGGATGTATCAATCTAAGAAGATGGGGAGGATGTGCGACGCTTGCCCGAAAGATCCGCAGCAATGCCCTTGGCAATTTCGCCCAGCGCAACGCGCGACTCCCAGAGGGGAAGCAGAACGACGATGAACGACGAACAAAAGAGCCAGCTGTACTCGAAAAAAAAAACCGTCAGTTTCTCCTCTCTGAGAGACTGTCCTTTCGTCGACTGGCAGACGTGAAACTCACAAGATGCAAATGCCGATCCAAGCTCCCAGCCCTGCTGGCGAAAACGTCTTTGCGATGATGGCCATGCACGGCACAAAGATGAGGAAGATGAAAGTGAGGGGAATGCTCAGGCGCACCGACATCTTGAAGCTCTTGGCCAGCTGCTCCGGGTCGAGCCCTGCTGCTCGGACATGCTTGTGTTCATGCGACTGGTGCCAGGCGCCAGACTCCACCGTGGCATCAGCACCCGAGGCTGCGCCCGCGCTCGGGTCCTTCTTCTCGTCTGTTGGCGTGGACGGATGCGACGAGTCGTCATCCTTGGGCGACTTTGTCGCCGCTCCATCGTCTACGTCCTCGGGCGCGTTGATGGCCCTCGTCTCTTCAAAAGTGTAATTTTCGGGCCAGATGAGCGAGGTGACAATGGTGATGATTGTGGGCACGCAGATAGAGACGAGGTTGCCCGCCAGCAGGGGGTTGTCGGCGTTGGTCGATTTGATCGACAGCTCACCCTCGAGAGTCTTGGCGCTAACGAGCCATGAGGTGATGCCGAGAGCGAGGCCAGTGAACATGCCGACCAAAGCTCCCAAGCGGTTCGCCTTGGACCAGACGATGCAGGCAAAGATGGGGAACACAGCGGGGGCCACCATGATTCCCAGGGCCACGTACAACCAACCTATTTATACAAGTCTCAAGTCAGCTGCCGGTTCTCGTCACGGATGGGGTTCGGATACCGAAGGTCTACTCACCCATCGAAATGCCGGCATAGTAGAAGGCAAGCCCGAGAATGCCCATGACGATTGACCAGGCTGCCACGGAAACGTGCGAGACAAAGAAGAGCTGCTTCTGGGAAGCATTGGGATTGAGGTAGGGCTTCCAGATGTCGTACGTCACGACAGACGAGACGGCAATGAGCTGGGCCGACGTCGCGCTCGTGACGGCGAGGTAGAGGAGAATGAGCATAGCTGCTGCACCGCTCTTGCCAAGGAGAGCAGCGGCCGCAGCTGGCGCAGCCAGACCTGCGGAGATCTCAGAGGCCGACAGCATCGCCATTGCTGGGTCCTTGCCGTACAGAGCCCGCGCGGCAAGACCCAATGAGGAGGCCGTGAGCATCGGGACAGCAAACCAGGCGATGCCACCGAGAATGAAGGCCTTTGTCGCCGTCGCAGGGTTCGATGCGATGCCTCTCTGATGGTAGCTCTGGTCGGCAAACACGGTAGCGAAGTTGCCGCAGCTGGATCGGAGAACGAACACAGCAAGAAATCAGCATACACTCTTTTCGCCCTCTCGCCCTCTCTCAAAGTCCAAACTTACACATTGATGATGCCGAATTTGAGGCCGTCGAGCGACCGCATCGTAAGGTAGGAGCCCTCTGCGTTACCGGGCACGGGCTCAGCGGCCAAGAGAAGGTCATACATGGCCTGCGGAGATCCAATCTTGTCCGAGGTGGCGTAGACGGTGAAGGCAAAGACAAAGATGAGGCTCACGAGGACCGAGGTATGGGCATAGTCGGCCAAGAGCGTCGAGCGCATGCCGCCGATCAAGGCATAGATTGCGACACTGACGGGTGTCAAAAAGATGGCGGCGAGCGTCGGCATGCCCGTCAGCTGATTCACCGTGGCGGACCCGCCGAGGATGAGCATTGCGCCCACGAGAATGTTGGTCGCGAGGGCGAAAAAGAGAAAGCAGAGGTGGGCAATGGAGCCCCACCGGCGCCGGATGATCTGGAGGTAGGTGTGGGCCCAGGGTGCGTTTGCCTTTGTCTTTGAGCTCATCATCGAGAAGAGGAGCACCCTGGAGTGCACGATTGGTGAGCAACGTGAGAGAAGAGCGCAGCAGGTCCGGGGGATAACGACTCACTGCACACATGCTCCTCCAGCATACCAGTAGGGTCCTGAGACACCATAATTGAAGGCCACAGTGGAGGATTGCAGAAGCGTGGCGGCCCACGTCCAGGCCGAGACGATGCCTGCGGCGATGAGGCCCGTCTTTACCGAGCGAGAAGCCGACGAGAACTCTTCATTGGTCTTTACCGAGACAGACGTGTAACGTTCTTGGATCAAGGTGATGCCGAGCATGAGAAAGGCAAAGCCGATACCGAGCGCAATGACAACAGCCCACCCAGCCGAGGGCGGCAGAACTTGGGCAGAAGAGGCCGCCATTGTCGGGTTGAAACAGAGAAGGCGGTATTCAAGGGGGAGATGACTGGGAACTCACACCGCCGTGCTCTTCTTATATATATGCAATTGCGTGTCGAAGAGAGGAACCGCTAAGATAGGCAACTCGAGCGAATCCCTCACCGGTTTAACGCTCAAATGATCTTCCGCCTCTCGGTCAGCTTCAGAATCCCCAAGGAACTGACACTCAGCCGACCGAGGAAAAAGCCTTATCAACGCAGGTGGCTGCCCTCGCGAAGAAAGGAACTCTATCTGCTCTGATAAAAAGAAAAAGCTAGCCAACCAGAGGCCACGCTAAAAGCGCCAGGCAGAGATAAGAATCCCCGCCCAAGGACGCTGCTGCACTCTTGCGCTTACTTTCGTCGCGGGGAGCTGGGTTGACAATCTGCACCATAGCTTTCAGATCGCAAGCCACCGATGTCGAATCGGGAAGTGATGGGACCAAAGCAGCAATTATCTTATCTCTCATGACCCATCACTGCTTCTTTGAGGGCCTTGACAGAAGAGGTAGTAACTACACATTGGTGGGTTATGCAGTGATTGGCGTAGACTTGCGTTCTGCGCAGGACTTAGTATCCTCCTTCGATTGATTACGGTCGCGAGGGACCATAGCCTGAACTTTTGACATTTGCATACCGGCCTCGGGCACTGCTCGTCGCCCCTGTGCCCGTTGTTGTTGACGTCTTTGTCGTCGTAGTAGGTCTTCCTCTTGTAGCGGCCGACGGAGCAGCACCTCTGGTTACGTCAGAGGTGGACGCGCCCCTCGACGAAGAGCCACCTAGAGTCGTGGTTCTTCCCCTCGTCACCGGTGCCGTGCCTCTCGTCATCCGCCCCGTTCCCAAGGCCGTCTTCTTTCGCTTCTCAGCCGCCTCTGCCGCGCGTCTGGCTTCCTCCTCGAGCTGCACACGCAGCGCCGCTTGCTGTGCAGCTTCCTGGGCCTCTTCCTCTCGGCGCCGCTTCTCGCGCTCGGCAAGCTCCATAGCCAGCGCGTGCGCGCTTGCATCTTCGCTGGCTCCCTTCCAATCGCCATCGAGGAGAAGCGCCTGGGTGCGGTTGGTGTGACGAAGCAGATCGATGTACACGTCGAGAAGGGAATTGGTGTTGGCAATCTTTTCCGAAAAGTCCTGCAGGGCGAGGAGTGAGATCATCGATCAGTGCCTGAAAAGAGCAGTAGTGTCTCCATTGTCTTGCTGCTGCTCACATCAATCTGATTTGCGCCTCCCCGTAATGCCGCCTCATAGGCTTCAAAGACTTCGTTCATCATCTTGAGCTCCCGGAGCTGGTTCTGTACCTGCTCCTTTGTTTCGCCCCGGCCTGCCGGCGTCGGCTCCGTCGCATCCTCTCCTCGGCTCCCTGACGTCTGCTGCTGCCGAGCTTGAGTCTTGAAGAAGTCATCGTCTCTCCCCTTGCCCAGCCGAATGCTCTCGTCGCCCTCATCATCTCCACCTTCCTCCTCCTCTTCATCGCCCCGTCTTCGCGTTCCCCCACCCCCACCTGCGTCAACGTCAAGATACGAGGGCTTTGCAAACAAGCTGAACCGAGGTTTTGACCCCGCCTTGCCACCGGCCATTATCCCGCCGAGTGACTTCTCCTTCTTTGCATTTAGCGACCCCGACCGATCGTCTGCTGATGTGCTGGTAGCTGCCGACGAGTCCTCGAGTCCGTCCAACAATCTCATTTTGCCCTTGCCGGCCTCGCCATCTCCTGGTAGCGGCGGGCCCCAGCTGGGCCTCGACACTTTCTTAGCCTTGACTGCTCCGCGCACCACGTCGCCGCCGCCATTGACCTTTCCGGGGGCTGAGAGGGGGCTGTCCTCGATGGAGAGATCATCGAGCTTGGCATTGAAGTCGAGCAGGCCCGAGTCGTCGTCGTCGTCCTGCGCAGAGGGCAATCTCGCGTCTAGCGATGGCGAATCCACCGCCGGTCCAGCAGAGGAAGAAGATGATGATGCATTGGCTGTAGCCATCAGGCGCGAAGCCGAAGATCTTTGCGAAGTAGTCGTCGAAGGCCGACCGCCTCGAGCCCCACGCGTCGAAGATGAAGTCTGCGCCCCAGGCGGTGCCAAAGATGACCGTCCTCGAGATGCTGATACCCTCGGCCTCGCGTCCTTTGTTGGCGTCTTGGGAGCCATCGTCTCGATGCGTTTTGCCGCTTTTCGTGTTGGTTTGCGAGGAGCGGTCCAAGCGGCGGGCGGACGTCTTTGAACAACGCGTCGTGGAAAATTCACGTGGCGCCACTTTCCACTCAAGGCGGTCTGGTCTCACTATGCTCTTCTGGCCGGTCTGAGACCACTAAGGACCGGCAATGGCGACGACAACAGCAGCGGCTACCGCGGCTGCTTCGAAGGAAGCGACAAAGCAGCGAGGTCCGAATCCCACGACAGATTACAAGCGACATTTCAACAAGACCAAAGAAAAGTTCGATACTGTCACTGCTGTGCGTACCACGGGGAATTGAGAGAGAGAGAGAGAGGGGGAGGAGAGTAGTGAGGAAGGTGTACAGTACAGTACTGAGCATCGCTTTCATCCTTACCCCAACAGGAACAAACATCGCGCAGGTCGGAGCTGAGCCGGGCAAGCCTCAAGCAGCTCAAGTTGCAAGAGGAGCTTGAGTGAGTAGTAGATGCCTGCCTCATGCTAGTCTGAAGTCGTATCGGGAGTCGCCTGACGAGAGTCTATTGGCATTTGCAGCTTCCTCATTGATGCGATTGCTGGTGAGCAGCTTCAGCGCCAGCAACTGCAGGAGCAAATCAGCGGCAACATCTCGCCGTCAGCATCGTATCATGCACACCAACACCATCACCAGGAAAGCCGGGGCCAAGCGGTATATGACTTGACGCAGGAGGACGAGGAGCAGATGTTGCGCAGAAAGGGCAGGCCAATGTCCTTTGCAGAGGAGGCCAAGCCGGAAGTGGCCGGACCTGGTTCAAGCCCGGCAAAGCGACCGAGGCCGCCGTCATTGGACCCGCCAGATGAAGGTGGTGAGCCACTGCATCCCAGCACTTCAACCTCGGAAGTCTCGATGGGTCATGTCAAGAGGCCCAGAAACGATTGAGAGAGAGAGGGAGCGAGGAGATCTCGACGTTGTAAAAGTATAGTCCTGTTCCGCTGCCCCACCAGTATTGTATGTACAATCACAATGACGTTCCACCATCGAAGATGCCGAGTGCCTGTGAGGGAGGATCGATGCTCACGCTTGATCAAGCCGTCAACACTTGAAAGGTCAAGGCCAATCTGCTATGTTGCAAGAAGATGGCAGGCGTATAGGGAAGGTTATGTTTCTGACGGAAAGATCTGAGAGGCAGAGATGGTCAAGGACGGTTCCATTGAAAGTGAAGCAATAATTGACAATGTGCTGAACATCGGACGAGCGAGAAAGAGAACGGATGCGTGTGCTCAACCAATGAGTGTATGAAGGGACGGAAGCAAGGGAAGGTGGCGATGTATGGGAAGTGTAATGAGGCAGAAGAAAGAAAAAAATAGGTGAGCAAGCAGACGTCGACGTCATCAAGATTTCGAACGGTCGACATCCATGGTGCCTCGGTGCTTGCCCGATGGTGTGGGCAAGGGGGTATCGGAAAGGCTCAGCTCCTGCATCACGGGCGTGTTGGAGGCACTCGGTGTGCGGGCGGGGTGATGTCCCCGCCCCGAAATGCCTCGACCGGCCTTTCTCCTCGAAGCAAAGCCACCATTGTTGCCGCTATGATGGTGAAGATGCATCGATGGCGACGCAACAGCGCTACTAGAGCCGCCGCTGCTGGGCGAGAGCGACGTCAAGCCTGACCGTCCGGCCATGGCAGATCCTCTCTGCCGCTCTGTCTCGGTGTGTGAGCCTTCGTCCTCCTCGTCGCTCGGGGCTTGCGCGGACATGTGGAGCGAGGCCCCGCCATGGTGGGCACCGGGCGAGTGACTTCCCCTAGACGAGGAGCTCGGCATGGCCTTGACCCTTCTTCGCTTCGCAGAGGCTGTTGTGGCCATGGACACGTCCGAGTCGGCGCTCGGCGAGCCTCCTCGTCCCGAAGAACCCAAACCACGGGCAGATTCCCAGTGCAGACCGCTTGCCAGAGCGCCTCCCATCCCGTCGTCGATGCGAGCAGCAGCTTCTTCAGCTGCGGCTTGCTCATGGGCTCGCTTGCGCTGCAGACCAACCACGCGCAAGCGCTCGACCCAAAGGTCGGCCCTGTCCAGGCTCTCTCCAAAGACGACGGTGACGCTCCTCAGGATGTCGAGCGACTCGACAGCGAGCGTCAGAACCCGGTTGGCGGCCTGGGCGGTGGCAGCAACATTCATCTGCTGTTGTCGCGCAGGCGATGGCTGCAAGCCCCGGCCTCGCTCCGTCGATGAAGATGAGGAGGATGCTCCGCCGAGATGAGCAGAAGAGAAGCTTGGACTGGCCGGGCTTCCTCCGAAGCTCCCCCGACGGCCGCTCTCGACAGCAGGCGCTCGGTTCACGGTGGCCCACCGTGCAGGGAGGCTGAGAATGAAAGCTTTGACGCTCGCCCGCGCCGGCTCCGGCAGCGCGCCACCGGCATACTTTCCAACGACGTCGACGACACCGCGAATCGTGTGGACAACATCGCCCTTGATGGCTGCCAGATTCTGAGCCGCGGGCGAAGTCAGATCGAGTTCACCGTGATTGAGCTTGACAATCAGGTCTCGAAGCACAGTGATCTGGTGCTCGATGTGGGCGGTGGCGTACTGGAGCCACTGGAGGCAGTATTTGAGGCTCTTCATGCTCTCCTCGCTCATCGCCGCGCTCAGGCCACCGGCAGTGACACCAGCCTCAACGAGCATGGAGCCCCAGCCTGTCCTGCCGCTACTTGTCGTCGCCTCGCTGTTGGTTCTGACCAGCGCATTTGCCGCCTGCGAGAATGAGGTCGAGTTGCTTGATGAAGATGGCGCCATCGGCTGGCTTCTCCCGAAATCGCTCGCGGTCCTCCTCGTCGCCGAGTGGGGCTTGACTGCAGAAGCAATCGCAGAAGACGAAGAGGTCGTGGCGACTTCGGAGGTCGACGATGCATTTCTCCGCTGCCGGAGCTCGTTGACGCCCATCTCTCGTTCCCTCTCCTCCATTCGCAAGGCATAGTACGCTGTCCTCCGTTTCGCTCGCTCCTCCTCTGACATGTCCTTCCACTCGGTCTCCTCCTTTTCTCTCAGCTCGGCCACGATTGACTGTTTCTCCTCCCTCGACAAAGGTCGAGCATCGCTGGCAGGGTAGATCTGTTGAAGGAGAGATCGGTTCAGCTTCGTCTCTCGAGCTTGGGAAAATCAGGCGCTTCGCTACTCACCCTATCCAGCTGGCGACACGCAAAATCATCGAGCTGCTCAACACCCTTCTCTCCAAGCTTGGCACCCAGACGGCTGACGACAGGCCTTCCTATGGCCCGGACAGACGATTCGACAAAGTCGCCACCGTACTGTAATGGTTGTTCAGCCATCAGCACACCAGACAATATGAGAAAGGAGGACGCAAGGTCAAAAGAAGCGCTCACCTTGACAACTTTGCTCCTCTGTTTCCCCATCTCGTACGCTCGGAGGGTGCCTCGAACGATGGGTAGGTGGCTGACGCGATTCAGAAAGTCGACGTCTTGCATATCCTCCCGGTCGACGCGCATCTGGTTGCCGTGCTCATCGCGGACGATGGCTGGGAACTCAAAATCGGCTGGAAGATCAGCGAGGGTGGCGGGCGTGGACGACGTCGAGCCAGAGGTCGAAGGAGCGGTAAGGACTCCGAGCGACTTGGCGGGAGAGCCACCGGAGACCATGGTTGTGTATGTCAGCTCTGTCCCAGGCGTCGAGGTGGGCGAGGAGATGGCCGTCGAGTTCATCGACGACGCAGATTGCACCGAGGCAGTCCTTTTCGGTGATGCTAGACACAGTTGGGGAAAAAAAACACAGGGTCAGCATGCATGTCGGCGAAAGACGCGCAAGAAGGACCTACCATCCTTTCTTCGGACCTCTCGATCCTCCTCGCTCCCGCTTCTGCTTTTGCCATCGAGATTCTTCATGGCTCCCAGAGCCATAATGGCAATCTTGACGTCTTCGTCATCAGCGTCGATGTTGAGGGAAGCGTTGTCCTCGCCAACGCTCTCGCTGTTGCGCCTGCTGCTTCGGCCGCTCTTGTGGCTCTCTTCTGTGCCCGACAAAATCTCGTCCTGGGAAGTCTGCGGCGCGGGCGTCGAAGGCTCAGAGGGAATCGATGCCGAAGATTCGCGGATGCGGCTCCACCTCGTCTCGGCGGATGGTTGCGACATTGTCATTCGTTCCGCGCTGAGCCGCTTTTGACGTCAGGATAGTGCGCGCTCGGTGGTGGTGGTGGTGATGGTGGCGGCAGTTCTTGACCGTCCGTCGCCGCAGGGCGGTGCAGTCCGTGAAAGAGAAATGAAGCTCAAACGTTTATTTTCAATCGGGTGTCTGCGTCTTCGCGGAGAGCCACGTCCGTGATTGCTTTTGGCGCACGGCGCTCTAAACCCTTAAAGGTGTGGTCCTGGCGGCGGTGCGCGCGAGCAGGGGCTGGAGACAAGTCGACTCTGGCTCGGTGCGACGGTGACGTCGGAAGCAGAGCAGGGTGCCCCACCGCAAAGAAGAAGAAAAAGAAGAAGAAGTGGCGGCGGCGGCCGGTCGGTCAAGGTGCGAAAGCCACAAGGCAGGGTGCGACGCCGCGCGCACAACCCAATCGTTGAGTTTGAAATGTGTGAAAAAGCTCGTATAGAGCGGTCCTCGTTCCCGTCTGTCGATGCTGGAGACGAAGGCGATGAGGGCGCCGTCGTGCAGAAACGACAAAGGAGAGGCGGAGGAAGAGGTGGATTAGTGGTGGCAATCAGCAGGAGGCAGCAGCGCAGACAGAATCCAGATGGAATCGGTCGTCGACGCGAGCGAGGTTGTAAAGCGAGGGAAGTAGCCTCGGCGCAGGGAGCGAATTGCCGTGGAGCGCGCGCTGTGCTTTCTGCAAGACCAACCAAAAGGCAAGTGCAGGATTGAAAGTGGACCGCGTATTAGCATGGACTACTATTAATTCAACAATGGATTTGAAAGAAAGGAGGAAGGGTAAAAAATAAAAAATAAATAAAACCTCCGAGTCCCAAGGGATTTTCTCTATTTCTCGCACTCTAAGCTCGCTCCTATAAGGCCAAGGCACTCGCTCTCCTCGGTCGTCATCATCTTTATTGAAGGAGATCCAATTGCGTGCATAGCCAGGAAGCAGGCGACGGATCGAGCAATCCACCTCCTGGCAGAGAGGGTCAACGCGGCCAACCTTCTCAAAATTCCAGGCGCTGAGAGCAGGCAAGTTGGGCGATGTGTGAAAGCAGGCAGCAATCTCAGTGCAATCTCCGCAAGTAGAAACATCAGATTTCACACAGGCCAGTTTGAATTTTTCTTCTTTTGACCCCCTCCCGATTTTGTTGCAATTGCCGGGATCGAGGAAAAGGCATGGAAAGTGGTCAAGTCGGAGCGGAGCGTACGTAAGTCCGGAACACTCGGCATCCCTATTCAGGAGCGGTGTGAAGAGGTGGTGTGACCAGGCAGTGCAACCAAGCGCGACGTTATTGACCCTAGTGTAGAAAAGTGACAAAACCCCACACAATAACAATTGATTGGATGCGTCATCTAGCGTGGTCCTCAAACGGTACCTGCTGCAAAGCGAAGCGAATGGGTGGGAAGATGTACACCTTAACTTTTTTTTTCCTCCTTCTGCTCTGCTTCCCCAGCCTGGCCTAGCCCTTGCCACCGGCCGTAGCAATGCTAGGATAAACAATAAATGGCCGCCGCGACCATCGCGCTAGCGGGGAAGGAGCATCAAACAATAATGTCTCGCTTTGGTTGCCATGCGCTCTCCCTCTTCGATCCCGTCATCCTCGTGACACTATATGCAATGGGCCCTGTGGACGCTGGCAGACTTGTCTTACGCCAATAGACGCCAGGTTGCTTCACGATCGAGCGAGTCGACAGATGTCAGCTGGGGCTTTATTAGCAGGATGTGAGACATAGGCTTCGACGAAGCTCTGTGTCTTTTTGTGGTCCAGATGCAAGAGCCCGTAATTAAGGCATGTCAGAGAGAAGAGCAGATGAGCGCGGGCGCAACGCTCTTCTCAAAAGATCCAAATCCCCTCAGCGTGTTGCAATCTCACCAGCGACCCGTCCTCTCTCATCTCTCGGACAATTCGCAACAATCTGTTCTAAAAGATCTTTCGTGAAGACCTTACGTCGCTGCCCTTGCCTTCCTGCTCCGCAAGATCTTAGGGCTGTGCATTCGCGACTTCATCCTCTTTACTGTCCGGTGGAGAATCTTGCCCTCTACATTCCCACCCTAGGCAGTGGCAGTGGATCATGGCCTAGCCGGGAATCTGCACCAAACAATGAAGATTATCGAAAGAAGCCGCCAGAGCAAGGGTTTCAACAGAACACTTTGGTGGATAACAGCGTGAAAGTGCCGACAGTACGGGTCACGGACCATGGAAGGTGATAAAGCTGGACATTCACGACTGTGAGCTGCTGTCTAGGGACGTCGAACGTGGATGTGCTTTTAGTACAACTTAGTCTTGTTGCCTACGGCGCGCTGCGCCCCACCCCGAGCTCATTTGCTGCATAGACTGCCCCGACCTCCGGCATGCTTCTGACATCTTGACCATCATCGAGATGTATCATCAGATATGTTCTCAAGCGCTTCCAGAACGATAAAGAAGGTAGCCCGGACTAGGCGGATGAATGGTGGGCTAGACTCCAGAAGCCCAGCGACCCCCGCACTCCGCGTGCAACCATGAGGCGATGCTGCGCTTGTGCTTCGGCACGCAAAGGGGGCAATCCTAAAGCCAAATTGCAAAGCGAAAAGCGAAACCGAACCGAGCGCGAGCGCGCGCGCGCGCGCGTGTGTGTTTGCGTGTGTGTGTGCATGTGCTGTGAGCCGGCACGTGGCTTGTGTGCCGTTCTTGCCCTGCCCACGCTCGCAGGCAGGGGCAAGAGGTGAAGCCACATAGCCATTTTCCTCATCCGTCTCGCAGCTAACGCTACCGCTGTTGTAGACCGGCACCAAGGCTCGCAGGCAGGGACGAGGAAAGGCGGCGAACGACGTCTGACGAGGACTGTAACGAATTATCGACGACTTGACGCAGAGCCAGCCCCACCCAGCTCCAAGAAAGGGGACCGCGGTTTCTCAACCCTCCCTCGTCGCGCCTTTGTGCACGCCTAGCTTCAGCGTACGACCCGCCTAAGCAGGCTCGCTGATCCGGCGCTTGTTCGCCCTTGAAGCCCACCAGAGAACCGATTTTGCCGATGGTGGAGCGAGAAGCCGCGACTTGCCTCTAAAGCTCGCTCCATCAATCGCCTCTCTCTCTCTCTTCTCTACTACTCCCCACGGATCCTCGATCAGAACGAGACTTGTCGGAAGCCTTGCTGGTCTGAGCTTCGGCATTGTCGGTGGGACTGCCTTGCTTTGACCTGGCATTCATAATCCCCTCCTGACGTGGTGATCCCACTTCCCCAAGGCGGCTGCCCGACTTTGCGTTGCAGCTATCGGAACAAGAAACATTTGTCGCATTTTGCCTTTCCTTCACCATGCCGGCCGGAAATGCAGACGGGCCCGACAAAAGGACGACGGCGTACGAGAACATCTTTGGTCGGCCGACTGCCAAGCCAAAAGGTCCGGTCCCCTCTGCGCAGCCGTCGATGCCGCCCCATGTCCAACAATGGGTTCACCAGCAGGCCTACGGCGCTCAGCCAGCACCAAGATGGAATGGAGCACCCGCTGGCCCATATCCCCCGCGGGTCTATGGCGCACAGCCATATCCGCAGCAGGGACCTCCCATGATGGCTGCAGGACCAGCGTATGGGTATGGCCCGAACGATGCCATTGATCGGAGGGCCAGCGTCACACCATCGATCAGCTCCCAGGACCCTCGCATGTCGGCTCACTATCCTCAGTCGGTCGGCATCGGAGGAGGGCTCGCCAGCGGCGGTTCTAGCGCGGTAGACCCGTATGGCAGTCACAATAACATCTATCAGCAACCGAGCGGCTCGAACAATGGCTATGCACCTCAAAGACGGCCCCTTTCCCGAGGCGGTGGTGGCGGAGGCAGCTACTCCGATGTGCCCCCGGGCTATCGACAGTCATCCGCTGCTGCGGCTGCACCCGCTGCCTCCTCCGACGAGCAGGGAATGCTGAGTTCTCCGCAGCACGAACCTCCGCGACTCCCTAGCATCGAGCTAGGCGCTGGCTCGGGCAGCGCCGATGATCACTGGTTCACCAACGGGTCCAACGGCAATGCTAGGCACTCCAAGTCGTCTGCCGCGTCCAAAGCGCAGGACAGCGTTGACGACAGCGAGACACCGCTCAGTCCCACGCCAAAACAGTCGGCCATTCTATCACAGCCCGTCCATGAGTCAGAGACGACCGAAGTGATTGGTGAAAATGGCGGGGTGGACCCATACCAGCTCAACGGTGAGTAATGCAGCTAGCGAGACGAGGGCGTTTGTGAATGCTCACAACCAACTGTTTGACATTACAGACTACCAAGAGTACCAGCGGCAGACCGCCTCCAAGTCTGGTGCTTCGTCGTTGTACGATGGCAATGGCAGAAGGCGAGGTTCTTTTGAGTCTGACCGACAGAGCATTGCCAACTCGATATATACGCTTCCCGGAGCAGTTGGCAACAGCTCCCGGATGGTCTATAACCAGGGTGGGCAAGGGAGCTACTTTCAGCCTCATCCTCAACAGCAGCAGCAGCAAGGCATCTCGGCTCTAACGCCATACAATTCTAGCGACGCCAATTTGACATGGGGCCGGCAAGCTCGCATGCGGACAACGTCGAGCGCCACGCAAGCCGCACAGGGCGTCTACGCTCCAGGGTACGCTGATCAAAACACAGAGTGGCGCAAGAGTGTCGAATCGGCCTCGGCAAGGCAGGGCGGTGACAACATTCGGTCGCTTTCCGTTGGTCAACAGCAGATTCGCAACCCGGCCAACTCGCCCCACGGCAGCACGGGCAGCGCAATGCAGCAGAATCAGACATCCGGTCGTCGCGGTCCGCTCGTCTATCCCGCCCTCCTGTCTCGTGTTGCCGAGGCCTTTAAGCAGCGCGTCACCCTGTCTGAGCGACAAAAAGATGGCCTGTCCTACACGGATGCCTTTGACGGCCGCGAGGCAGTCGATCGCATCGCATACATCATCAAGACAACGGACCGCAACTTGGCCTTGCTTCTTGGTCGAGCCCTCGACGCTCAAAAGTTCTTCCACGATGTGACCTACGACCACAGGCTTCGAGACTCACCAAATGAGCTGTACCAGTTCCGTGTACGGCTGACGAGCCCCTTTGGGTCCGAGGGTGACGACCAGTACGAGGACGCAAGCGATCAGCTCTACAAGGCGTCAGCCACACCGGGTCGTCTGAGCATTCCATCGTCTAAGGGCCCGACGAGGGACAATTCGACATCGAGCGTTCAACAGCAGGACCCCTCATCTCCGGCGCCCGAGGTCTCGACGCCTGCCACCTCTATCCCAGGTGGTCAGGGAAGGCAAGCGATCGATGAGGACGTCGAAGACGCGCTGCCCACGGGTGTCTTTACCCTCTTGACTGACTGCTATAGTCCGACGTGCACGCGGGACAGGCTGTGCTACAGCATTGCTTGCCCCAGGCGGTTGGAGCAGCAAGCACGCCTCAACATGAAGCCGCAGCCGGGTCTCAAAAGGAGCATCAGCAAGGAGTCGCTGGGCGACGTCAAGGAGCAGGGCGCTTTGTGGGCCGACTCGGTGTCGGAAGAGGTGCTCAAGAGCCTGTCGGATTCTGAGAGAAAACGGCAGGAGCTCATCAATGAGGTCATTTACACCGAGAGAGACTTTGTCAGGGACCTAGAGTATCTCCGTGACTCGTGGATCAAGCCGTTGCGATCGAGGGACGTGGTGCCCGAAGCGAAAAGAGACGATTTTGTTACCCAGGTCTTCTGGAACGTCTTGGAGATCCACGCTGTCAACTCGAAACTTGCTGAGCTCTTGAGCAAGCGACAGAAGCAGCAGGCCGTCGTTGACCGGATCGGCGACATTCTCTTGGAGATGGTGCCCCACTTTCAGCCGTTTGTCAAATACGGCGCTCACCAGCTCTACGGCAAATACGAATTCGAAAAGGAAAAGTCGTCGAATCCGGCCTTTTCCAAGTTTGTCGAAGAGACAGAACGGATGCCCGAGAGCCGTAAGCTGGAACTCAACGGCTACCTGACAAAGCCCACGACGAGGTTGGCTCGATACCCGCTCTTGCTCGAGGCTGTGGTCAAGGCGACGCCCGACGACAATCCAGACAAGCAGGCGCTTCCCAAGGTCATTAAGATTGTCAAGGAATTCCTTTCCAAGGTCAACACGGAGTCGGGCAAGAGCGAGAATCGGTTCAACCTGGCGCAGCTTGACCAGCAGCTCGTCTTCAAGCAGGGTGAGGCTGTGGACCTGCGACTGCGAGACGAGCAGCGAGAGCTTGTCTTCAAGGGTCCGCTCAAGAAGCGAGGCGGTACACAAAGCGAAAGCGCTGAGCTGCAGGTGTTCTTGTTTGATCATGCCGTGCTCATGGTCAAGGCAAAGACGGTGCACAAGAATGACCTCTACAAGGTCTTCCGAAAGGTGAGCCATGGTTCTTTCATGGGAGAGACGATTTTTGTCTGCTCACAATTTTTCTTGTAGCCAATTCCGCTCGAATTGTTAATCGTCACGGTGTATGACGATGTGCCGACGGGCAAGGGCAACGCAACTCGGCCAAAGTCTGTCATGTCAAAGACCTCGACGGGTAGTCGGTTGAGCGGTGGGGTCCCCACCGGATCGGCGCCAAAGCAGGATCCAAAGACGGGCTATGCCTTGACGTTTACTTATCTTGGACGAAAGGGCTACTCTCAGACACTGTGGTCGAGCACGTTCGTTTCGCGAAAGAAGTGGTTCGAGCACATTGAGAGCCGCCAAGAGATTCTCCGCCAACGCTCGAACATTTTCGACACCATGACGCTCTCGGAGGGCTTCTTCCAGGGGCCTAGCCGGGTGACGTGCAGCGTGCCATTCGACTTTGGTAGACGGATCATCTACGGAGCTGACGATGGCGTCTATCTCTCGGACCTGCGAGAAAAGGCTCGACCGCCCACGAAGGTGTTGCCCCTTCCAGGTGTGACCCAGATCGACGTCTTGGAAGAGTATCAGATCCTCATCATCCTCGCCGAGCGGTCCGTCCACACCTTTACCCTCGACGCGCTCGATCCTTCAGATCCCATGGGCAGCTTGAAGCGTGGACGGAGGATCTCATCGCACACTTCCTTCTTCCGCGCTGGCCAGTGTCTAGGACGCACACTCGTGTGTGTCGTCAAGTCTTCGTCGCTGTCGAGCACAATCAAGACACTGGAGCCTATTGAGCAAAACGTGCGTGGAAAGAAGCAGCCAACCTTTCGGAAGCTGCTCCAGGGTGGTCAAGAGACCCTGCGCGTCTTCAAGGAGTTCTACATTCCCACCGAGTCCAGCTCCATCCACTTCCTCAAGAGCAAGCTCTGTGTCGGCTGCACCAAAGGTTTCGAGATTGTCGACCTGGAGACGCTCGATACGCAAGGCCTCCTCGATCCTGCTGATTCCAACCTGGACTTTGTGCAGCGAAAAGAGACGGTCAAGCCGATTGCCATCTATCGCATCGACGGCGAATTCCTATTGTGCTATGACGAATTTGCCTTTTATGTCAACAAGAACGGCTGGCGTGCAAAGGGCAACTGGATCATTCATTGGGAGGGAAACCCAACCTCGTTTGCACTTCACTACCCCTACGTTTTGGCGTTCGAACCGTCGTTCGTCGAAGTGCGTCACGTCCAGACGGGGGCGCTGCACCAGGTCATCACGGGCTACAACCTTCGATGCCTCTTTGCGGACGTGCCTCCAGCGACATCGGGCAGCTCATCTGGCTCGTCTATCTCCTCGTCCGCATCCGCTCATTCCTCGCACTCGAACTTGCACTCCATGACCCCCTATGGTGCTCGACCAGGCATGCCACCCGGGTATCCAAGTGGCTCGCCTTACGGACCACCGGGCGCCCTTTCACGACAGCAGAGCTTCAATATGATGGGCGGGCCGGTGGGTCCCCACGGCAGTCCCTTCGCCACACCCCGCCCATTGGGGACCATGTCTCCGTACGGTGTCCCACCACCGCAGCAGCAGCAACAACAGCAGATGATGTACCCGGGGCGACCGGGGATGCCCTACGCATTCACCCAGGCCCAGGCGCCGCGACCGCCGCCGCCGCAGCGAAACCCCGTCTGGGAATCTGTCGCCGCCAGCCGAAACCAGATTGTCTTTGTGAGTCCTTCTGCTCCTTTATCATCTCTCCTACAATCAGGCTGACACATGCACACGACACAGATCGGAGACACCTCGGTCTTTTGTATACGCCCCGCAGGCTCCTCGGCCTCATCACCGGCGCCGACGTAGGCTCTCTCTCTACCTCTCCCTGTCGTCACTCCTTTTGGGTCTCCAATTCTTTCGCTCGCCGTGCTCCTTCTCTCTCTTTCCTTTTCTTTATCTCTCTCTCTCTCTCTCTCTCTCTCTCTCTCTCTCTCTCTCTCTCTCTCTCTCTCTCTCTCTCGCTCGCTTTTCCCTCTTTTCTCTCAAAGCTGTGTCACACCATCGTCCTGGCCATATCACATACAACGTATCTGTATTTCTCGATGTCTCTCTCTCCGTTTTTGTTCTTCTTTCTTTCTTGTTCCTTTGAAGAATCATATCGTAAAGATGACTGTGAGCATGAGTGCATCGTGACGAGGAATGGAGCGAGGTGGAATAGGAGGAAGGGCAAGGGTGATTAAGATACAAGATGGCATTGCAGGCAGGGCTAGAAATACATTGACCTGTAGAAACAGCTCTGCGGTCTCGGAGCGGATTGTCACGGAGCGTCTCTTGGTGTCTTAGAGCCAGTCAGGGGCATGAGCCGGGTCGGGTCGTTTGACACGATGGAGCGGGAACATGTCGATGAACTTTGTCAAGGCAAGCCGTCCCTTCACAATGAGTCTCTCTTTTTCTTTCTCTATGTCTTCCCTGTCTGAAGTACTCCATCGCCAAGCTCACCTCTTCATCTGCCACCCGATCGCCGCCTGCAAATCTGGCATACTCATCGTAGATGCTCGTCAGGCTCCATCCTTGGAGCCTGCGGATGATGGCCGTGACGACGCCTACGCGGTACTTGCCCTTGTTGCAGTGCACCAGGCAGGGCAAGTTTCGCTTGTCGAGAATCACGTCGAGGGCACTCAGCACCGATTCGGTATCCACTGTGGCAGAGAGAAACACCACCGGCCGTTTCATCAGCATATGTAAAGAGGTAAAGAAGCGCAGAAGAGAGAGGCCACAACCACACCCACTCTCGGCAAAGGGCTCTTTGTTGACGTTGAGTTCAACGTGCACCAGTCGTATCCCCGACGAGCTGGCGAATTGGGACAAATTCGGGCGGACCTGGTCCGTGGCGAGATAAATGATGGTGCGGAGGCCCAGGGTGGACAGAAACGGCTCGTTCCGTTCGTTTGGGTGTCCGGACCTGTACAGCGCGCTCGACGTCAGCGTTGTCGACGAAGATGGCGACGACGACGACGACGACGACGATGACGATGATGGCATCGTGCTCGGTGGTGGTAGGTATGTCGCACTGGAGGGTGGCATTTCCAAAGAGGCGGGTTTCGCAGCCGACGATGCGGCGGACGAAGAGGACGAGGGGCCTCTTGTCGTACGCCCGCCGCAGATCATGTCAAAGTTGAGCGGGGGAACGAGGAGAAGGGGCACCGGTGTTGTCGACGAGAGCGTCGTCTTGTTAAGCGCGGCCGTCTTTATCGTCTGCTCGCCCTCGGATGGCAGCGGCAGCACGGCCACCCGCGGCGTGGAATGGTTCGACGAGGGCGACGACGACGCCCGCGGGCGCGAGGAAGACGAGGCGGCATCTGGCTGGGGTGGTGCGAGATGGAGCTCGACGCCGGCCGAGGCATCGTGTTTGGGTGCGAGCGGGGTCGGCAGGTCGTCGAGGCCTGCCCCTCCGGGCCGCAGGAGGGTGCTAGAGAGAAAGGGCGGGAGCTGCGACGAGGCCGGGACCGGCATTTTGTCCGACACCTCTGTGAGAAGCGCAAAAACAATACTGACTAGGAAAAGGGAAAGGAGGAGGTCCGACCGGCCGCTGGAATTGATTGAGTTTGGTTGAGGTGGAGACGATGGACGCGCGCGCCGTGCGAAGGAAAAAAGCTTCTTTTTCTGTTCTCTCTCGTTTGCACGCAAGTACAGTACATCTTCGCCCTGCATTCAGAGGGGTGGCACCAAGCAATGAGCGCCAGAGCGGCCTTGAGGCGGTCGAGACAGGCATGCTGGCGCTGCCAGTCGACGCTCCCCATCGCCAATTCCAAAGTCAACGCCAATAATGCCTACATTCACATTCCCAACGAGGCCGCCAAGCCAAGGAGCCAAACAAAGGACGACGGTCTCCTCGCTGGCTGGCCCACGTCGATCAAGGCCAATCTGTGCACAGCCGATGGGCTGCCGACCTCCTGCGCCAGCAAGATGCTCGAGGACTACGTCTCGCCATTTGAGGCAACAGCCATTGGACTGCTTCGCAGCCAAGGGGCCGACATTGTCGGCAAGACCAACTGCGACGAATTCGGCATGGGATCGGCCAACGTCCACTCGGCCTTTGGCGCCGTCTTGAATCCCAACGACACGCAGTCGGTGGCTGGTGGCAGCTCTGGGGGCGCAGCAGCCAGCGTGGCCGAGGGATCTGCTCGTATCGCGCTGGGATCCGACACGGGAGGCTCGGTGCGCCTACCGGCTGCGTACTGCGGCGTGTACGGCCTCAAACCGTCGTATGGCCTCATCAGCCGGTGGGGGCTCGTGAGCTATGCAGACAGCCTCGACACGGTCGGGCTTCTGGCCAGGTCTGTCGATGACATAGACTTGGCCTTCTCGGTCATCAATGCTTTTGACGAACAGGATCCGACGGCCATCGACGACGATGTCCGCCAGGAAGCCGTCATTGCCATGAACGAGACCGTAGCGCTGACGAGTGGCGACGACGCCAGACCACTAGAGGGGCTGCGAGTGGGGATACCGCACGAGTATTTTCCCAAGGAGCTCGCACATCGGACGCTGGGCCCGTTGCGAGAGACGCTGCGTTCGATGCAGCGTGCTGGCGCCACGCTGGTTCCCGTGAACCTACCGCGGACGGAGGTGGCCTTGAGTGCCTACTACGTCATTGCCAGTGCCGAAGCAAGCAGCAACCTGGCCAGATACGATGGCATTCGTTATGGTGAATTTCCGCTTGAAGACGCCTGCTGACATTACCGGTGCCCCCTCTTATGCTGACTTCGTGACGACCAATAGGACACCGCTCCAATGACGACACGGGCAGCGAAGCGCCATTAGACTTTCACTCCCACATCTCCCGGAACCGCTCCTCGGGCTTCGGGCCAGAAGTCAAGCGAAGGATCCTCTTAGGCACCTATGCGCTCACGGCCGATGCCTTTGATAATTACTTCTTGCAGGCACAGCGAGTGCGACAACTCGTCAGAGACGATTTTGACGGTGTCTTGCGAGTCAGAAACGTGTTGAGAAAGCAGAGCTCTTCGACAAGGGAAGACGGCGTGGACATCCTCGTCCATCCCGCAACCGTCGACACGGCACCTCGGGTCGATGAACAGCAGAAAGAAATAGACGGACAGCAGCAGCAGCGACAGGCTCAAATGGCTTATGTCCAGGATGTCCTCACCGTGCCTTCGAGCCTAGCTGGCCTGCCCAGCCTGTCGATCCCCGCAGGAAAGGCCCAGGACAATGGACTGCCCGTTGGCGTCGCATTGACCGCTCAGTGGGGCTGCGAGAAGCTCCTCTTCCATGTAGCCAGGAGTCTCACTCAATGATCCAGATGTCAATATTGTAACATTATTACATTTCTCTCTCTCTCTCTCTCTCTCTCTCTTTGTCCTCTACTAGAGGTCACCCCTGCGGAGGAAGGGGATGCCAAGGCCAGAGAGAAGCTGGCGCGCTCGCTCCGTCGCCCGCTTGCCTCGCTGATTGGTGATACAGTCGACCTGTTCGTGCGCGCGCGTCTCAGTCAATCAGAGTGCGTCTGTAAGAGAAGAAGAAGGAGACTCACCTGGAACCCAACGCTTCTGCCGGGGTAGGAGTCCCAGTTGACCTCGGTCTGCGGGAACAGCGCGACGGCCTCGGGGCCCATGCCAAGGTGAACGACACCACTGAGCGCAGCGGGGCTCATCGGAGGCTGGCTGGGTGGTGGGAGCGGAAAGCCACCAAAGGTTCTGAGCCGGGGCAGGACAAATGTGACAAAGATTTCGAGAAAGTCGTAGGCCTTGGTCGCGGGCAGCACGGCCTGGACGCCGACTGGCATGCCTGGACGAAGCTTGAAGGAGGACGCGCCCGACTTTGCCCGCAGCACCTTGACATAGCCCTTTTTGGCCGCTGCGGCAGACTCTGGCGTCGCATCGACCTCGGGCAGGGCGAGGCTGGGATCGCCAAAGGAGCCCACGATGGGCAAGCCTGTGATGCTTCGGAACTGGGCCAGGAGCGGGATGAGGACGTTTTTATTGGCGATGGCCTCCTTGGCGAAGGCTGTAATGACGATCCTTTCGAGCTTGACCACGTCTTTTTGCCCCCGTCCATCGTTCTGGGGCTGGTGGAGACGATTGCCGCGGAGCGGTCGTGCCGGTCGATTCTTTGTATAGGGCGACGTCGGATCCCAGCCCCTTTCCGGCAGTTCATTCTCTTGTGCGGTCGAGTGCGAATCGCCGAGGTCCGCTCTCAGTGGGTCGTAGCTCATGTAGAGCAAGTCTCGGGCCAAGCTGTTGTGATAGTGCTCCTGATAGCGAGACAGCTGTGTCGGACCAATTTCGATGGAGTGGTGAGGAAGGGAATGCCGGTTCGACGAGGTGCTGGTCGTGGCCTCGTCTCCTTCATCATTGCTTGTGCTGCTGGCGCTGGTGCTCGAGGAAGCGAAACGAGCGCCCACACGGGCCTCAGGCGCAAGCGAAGTAGCGGCACATCGGGCAATGCCCTGAAGCGATGAACGGAGCGCCATCTTCGTTGCCTGTCAAACTCTTCTTCCTGGAGACTACAACCTTGCGAAGATCTTGGGTGAGAGCGACGTTGGGTCAAGAAAAATCGGAAATTGCGACACGTGCCTGCAACCTGCAGGGCGTTCCTTGCCTGTTTCCAACGCTTGTTTCAAAATAGGGACCACGCAGGGGCCGCTTCTCAGCTTCTTGCAGCAGCAGCAGCAGCTTCCTACTGCCATTCGTTTCTAGGAGCGAGAGAAGGGGGAGAGAACCGACCGCTCCCCTCATCCTGCTCTCAGACTGCCCAAGTCACAAGGATCAGGAGCGTATACGCGCCCGAAAAGGGGGCCGAGACGGGGCCTCCGATGCGCGTTTGTTGACGGCACAAAAACAACACTTGCCCCTACGTCTGAACACCGCGGGCTGGCTCATGTACAGCAGCTCTGCCAGCCAGCGTTCCACCACAACACCAAATGTCTGGACAACCAAGTCCTAGCCATTACCCACAACACTTATCGTCCCTTCCCTCACCATGGTCTCCGGTCCGGCCTCACCGACTGGCAGTGCCAGCAACAGCCCTAGCTTGAATGGGACGAGACTGGAGCGGCCGCCGCGCTCTTCACTGAGAGAGATCAGGACTGCTCCGAACTCAGAAGACGGCGAGCAAACGCCTGCAGAGGGCTCTGCTCCTCCGTCACCACTCTTGGCCAAGCCCTTGCCGAGCCTTCCCTTTCCTCGGGGCATGCAAGTGGCCACCTCGCACAGCTCCCCGTCTTTGGCTGCACAGAACAACACGCTTGGAAAGCCATACCTCCAAACACCGAAGCCGCTGGAGGACAAATCATCCTCCTCACAGCCTTCACTGCGGCAGCTCGCCCTCGCCTCCTCGGCCTCATCGCCCCTCCCCCCTCCCCCTTCAACAAAGGCGCTCCTCACCCAGAATCCCAACCCCTCGGAGAATTGGACAGGACCCGAAGACGCAGATGGCGCCTATGTGCGCAAGACGTATGACTGGTTCGACCGGCACGGTGTCACTGGCGATGGCCTGGTTGAAGGCCGAGAATGGACGAGGGAACGGGGGAACAAGGCGGTGTGGCAGCAGCCGAAAAAGAAGAGACCTTCTTCGTCAGCAGGCGCTGTGAAGCGAAAGGACAATGAGCTTGGCTCTCGTTCGGGCCACAGCCCATTTCCGACAGGCTCAGCGATGAGGGCCGTCGTCGGACCCGACGGCAAGCTCTCGCCCAGCCCACATACCCAGCCGCTCCCCACTGTCAGCAGCAATGCGCAATCATCTGGCCGAGCATCGCCCTCATATTCACATGTGGAAGTGCTGGACTCACCCACATCGACTGGTCACCCTACTAGCCCGTCCAGACCGTCGATTGCGCGTGTGCCTTCAACGAGCACCATTGCCACGCACAGTGAAGAGAGCGCATACAGCGGCGAGGAGGCGCTCGAGGGCACGCTGCGAAGCAACTTGAATCCGGAAGATGAAGTGAGACATCAGCAGGCATTTGAAGAAAACGAGAAGGCAAGGACAGAGATGCTTCGCAAGATTGATCGCTATGGGTTTTTTGCCAAGGACGAAGGCGATCTCGTGGGCAAGGGCCGGATAACGATCCTGACCGAACGTGCCTTTTCCAGCTTTCCAAAAAAGAGATTACGGATCGGGAACGTCAATCCAGGCTCGAGTACGATCTCGACAAGCAGTGGCATCACGACGAGGCGAGGCGCACTAATAGGTGCAGGAGGAGGAGGAGGCATTGGAGCAAGCGCCAGCTTCGTTGTCACGCCCAGTCCTTCCATAATGGCCGACAATACTCTGGAGGAAGCACGGAGGGCTTCCGACGGCCTCCGTTCAGACTCTACTGGATCAGCCGAAGACTACGAGACAAAGATTCTCCGACAGATTAGCTCGCAGCGATCATCCAATGCATACGCAGCTCGACCAAAGGAGAGTCTCCGGGTGGCGAAATGGGCGCATATGCTCCAGGTCGAGGGTGCAAAGATCTCCTCCAGCAGTAGCGATGGAGACAGCAAGGGAGCGCCGAGCCAGAAGCAGAACTCATTCAGCTATCAGCTGAGCGACAAGGCGACCAAGACGGAAGCAAGGAGAAAGAAGCTCAAGAGCCGAGTCTACAAAGGTGTACCAGACCGATGGAGGGCGGCTGCCTGGTGGGCCATGTTAACCAACGATGAGAAAATGCTGTCGAACAGTGTCAGTAAGAAAGGTCGAAAGCATAATCCGGACGCCTCTTCCGACCCGGCCTCGTCCTTATCTAACGCCGGAACAAGATCATCCGATGCTCATGCTTCCACGCTCTTCCAATCCGTAGCAGAGTATTTCCAGCTCACGATGCAACCCTCGACACACGATGTCCAGATCGACCTGGATGTTCCACGAACCATCAGTGGTCATTATCTGTTCCATACTCGCTACGGCCAGGGCCAGAGGTCCCTCTTCCACGTCCTCCACGCCTTCAGCCTGTTGTGTCCTCAATGTGGCTACTGTCAGGGCATGGGACCCATTGCGGCTACACTCCTCGTTTATCTCCCGCCCGAGCGAGCTTACGCGACCCTGGTCCATCTGCATGACTACACGCCACCGAGCAACGCAAGCTCTGCCTCCTCTTCACTTGCAATTTCCACGGCAGAGGGCGGCACAAAGTACGGCTTGCACGAGACATTTTCGCCAGGCTTCCCTGGCCTCGGTGAGAATTTCTACGTCCAGCGAGCTTTGTGCCCTCTGCTCGGCCTCGGTCCCGTGCTCGAAGTCCTCGACGATCAAATGATCAGCACGAGCGCATACGCAACGAAGTGGTACATTACCCTCTACGCCAATGTGGTCTCCTTTGAGACTCAATTGAGGATCTGGGATGCCTTTGTTTGTATAGGCAAGGACGTGCTGGTGGGCGTCGCGCTCGGCTTGCTCTGGGCGCTGAGAAATAGGATCATGGGTCGAGAAAAGGTGGCATCGGGCGGCAAATCGGCGTGGGAAGAGCACGGCACGACGACAACGCACTCGGCTGAGGGCCCGGCCAGCTTCGAAACGATCCTCGAAGCGCTTACAGCGGAGTTCCTCTTGCAGGACGATGACGGACTCATGCGGTGGGTCGAAAGGCTTCTGGCGCGCGACGATGTCGTCAAGCGCATCGCAAAGGCCAGGAGAGAATACAGGACCCTGGTCGAGGCGGGCAAACAGCCCATGATGTTGTAGGCGGTCCCTACTATGTACTGTTTTCTTCTTATATTCTCATGATAGAGCGTTTCTTTCGCACAACATATCCAACACCATGACAAATGCAAAGAACAAAGGACAATTACTACCTTAACAGAATCAGAGCATGTCTGTAAGCTTGTTGATTACCAATGAAGAAGTGCAGATGCGGTCAAGGCGGGGCCCAAAAGGTGCATCGCCCACTGGCATTTCCCGTGGCAAGGCGACCGCCACTCCGAGGATGTGTGGCCGTGACAGCAGGGACAGCCGTCATGTTGTCCTCGTCGTAGAATGATCTGAGCAGTTTGCCGTCCTTCGCAGACCAAATTTCGGCATGGCGCTTCATCGACCCAATCTGTTTGGGGGTGCATTATCAGCACAGAGATAGCCACTGGCCACAAACATGATGAACTCACAGAGAAGTGAGGCTCCAGCGTTGGATCGCGATTGAATCTGGCGCGGAAGAGCGTCAACCATTTGCCAGTCTGGTTGTTGTGGGGAATCGCGACCATTGGTTTTGCCAGAACATCGTCTGGTCTCGGTCTCATAGGCGTCTGTTCCTCAACAAGCTCAGCTGGAGATGACTCCTCTTCCTTTTTGGCTTTCGAGAAGTAGTGAGGGAGGCTGCCACGCTTGGACGGAGCAGCTTCTTTCTTCTTGACGACACCGTTCTTTTTTGGCTTGGTATCGTACGCGGACGTGAGCCAGCGAGGGTCCATATCCCAAACTTGACGCAGATACAGGTCAGAACGAGAACCATGCAGACATGCGGTCGCTCAATTGGAACTCACCCTTGACAACGTCATCGTAGCTTACGCCAATAAGCTTGGACCCGGACGGGTCAAAGTCGACGCTGGTGCACGCGAGCCTCGCCTGACTCATTGAGATCTGCGCTTTTTCGTGTGCCGCGTCGAGCTCATCGCCATCGACGCCCCTGTAGTTGTGAGGGGCTTCATCGGTGGTAGGCACGATCGTTTGCAGATTTCGGACGTCGAAGAGACGGATACACTGATCAAGGGAAGCGACTGCGATGCATGAAGACGCAGCTTGGTTGACAGACATTCCTCCAATCTTCTTCTCGCACACCTGCCAGCGCCGGGTGGGAGGGCCTTGAGCAGAAGACGAACCGCGACGGTTACTGCTGCGGCTTGGTTCACGCATGTCAATGTGCGTAAGGCCGCCTCTGTGGTCGGCGACCCACAGACTCCGCTCGTCCAGCATGGGGCTTGGGGTATCGACAAAAGCAGAGGGATGGCTTTCGGGCGCTAAGATGTCAAAGATGGAGAGAAGAACGCTCTCATCGCCAGCCCAGAATTCCTTGGAAATGCCCGTATGGAGATCTTGAGCACGAATTGTAGCGTCGTATGAGGCTGAGTAGAGCGTCGTGGCAGAGATCGGGTCGAAGCGAAGACAGGTGATGGGCGATCGGCCGTGGATCTGCAAGTTCCAAGACTGCCCCGTTTTGACGCCTTCTTCTTCCCCCTCCCCTTGCTCGACCTGTGCATTTGGATCCCAAACGCCCACGCTTCCCTCTTTGTCGCCTACGAAAATGAGGTCTTTTTCTCGGTTTGGGTGGAATACCATCGAATAAACTCGTTTGTTTGTCACCTTGTCGGCCGATCTCAACACCATGCTATCCAACAACTTCTTTAGCTCCCTGTCGTCCTTCGTATCCTCCTCTTCTGCTTCTGCTTTTGCTCTAGCAACAGCCTCGAAGGTCCCTCTAAGCTCTTCCAGGCCTTCTCCGCTACCAGTCAGAAAGGCCAGATCATGCTCTTCATGACGTGCTCGCCTGGCCGCTTCAGCTGCGTCTCTGATCGCCTCTGCCTCCTTCTTTTTGCAGGAGAGAAGTCTTTAGTCTTTTGCAGCGAGGCGGCAATGACGAAAAGGGGGACTCAGCTCACTTCGTATCTCTGCCGCTCCTTCTCGCTGTCCGCCTCCACGCCCAGCAATCTGTTGCTTACACGCCGAGGCTGAACCCTCTGAGGGGTAGGCGCGGTCTTTGCATTGCCCCTTGAGGTCTTCTTCTTGCTCTGCGCATTGGAGGAAGAAGGCGGTCCGCGCTTCTTGGAAGAGGAAGAAAGACCATTATCGAGATCGAGCTCTTTAAGAAGGTCGCGGTTACGCTGGATGTTGGCGAGGCGCTCTTGCTCGCTGTCGAGCGGAAAGTGTTAGCTGTGGCACCATGTGCCCCCCTTGGCTATCAAAAGCGACTCACTACTCGTCGTCGTCATCCATGCTGGTCGATGATGGGAGGAGCCTGAGGTAGCGCAAAAATCGCGCTAGGTTGACCTAATCTAACACATCGCTGCGCACGCACCGCGTCGGACTAGGACGCGTCTCATGGCACGGACCTCGAGGTCGCCAACTGGGAATCAGTCACAACTTGCACTAGCATCTCGACCCGCCGATAAGAACAAAATGGTGTCTTCCATGTTCTGCTCTTGAAGAACATTAGGAATGATCACTCTCCAATATAGTTGCAAGCAAGAAGAAAGATTACGTCGTGCTCTAGAGCACCGTAAACAGTGTAAGGTTGTGTTCAAGGATCCAGCAGAAGCACTTAAGCAACCTACCAGTACGCTTGTGAGCACGTAAGAGAACGGCAAGCTTGTACTGGAAGCACTGCCTCATTCCCGAAACTAGGTGGGCATGCCGAATGATAGCTCCCCCTATTTTTTTCACGGTTGATAATGGCAGGTCAACTACCAGATCGTGTGAGTGCAACGAAGTGTGGCTTTCTGACCCGATGAAAGCGACCAATTAGGAGGAAAGAAGTCAGCCGCCGTAAACGCCCGCTCAGAGTCGTACAATGTCCCTCCGACACTGGAGATGTGCTCATTGTTTTGATGGAAAAGTGGGTCTCACTGACGTTCAAGGGGACAGCGAGATGCATAAAATGAACCTGTCGTGCAAGACCAGGAGGGGTCGGGTGGCTTGCAATCAAAAAGCCTGCCTGCGGTCTATCACTGCGCACCTCTGGTAGCTCTCCGAAGTTCCTGCCAAGCCCGCAGGAAAGCAAGTGGTCCATCCGCAATCCTGAGACTGTGAAGCGGTCGAACCATGAGCCACCACCTGTGAAAATCGAAAAAAAAGGTAGTTGGTCCTTTTGATGATTGGTCTGTTTCTAATAAGGCCGCTCATAAGCGGCGGCTCATCTTCACAGATGCCTGTACGAAAATTTGCTCCCGACGGGCTCTCGGCCCTCTGTCCTCGAGCTTTTTAGTTTGCAGTATCTACTGTACTCCGCTACAGGAAGATCAGATTTTTGTGCAGGCCAGGGCTCTGACATCCCGCCGAGCTAAAAAAGCCCGAATCTTTATCTGATGGCGTTGGCTTGCCCCCTGGTTTTCCCGGGGAAAAAATCAAGGGTGAACGCCTCTGTTTCGATTGGCTTCGCAAACGGGAAGGGAAGGAAATCACTGTCCTGTCAAGTACTTCAACGTCAGCAGTCTAATGCACACGTCCGTATCAACCTATGTAGCCGTGAGACTGTGTTGATGCGCCACTACTTCCCGACGTTCCTGATGCCGCTCCTGCGACTAGGCCTGGACCGCGTATCTCAGAGGTGTAGTATGTATGCACACCTAGGAACGAAGGAGCCCACTCATTTTCCTTAACGAACAAAGTAGGAACGAACAAAAAGTGAGCGATTTAAGAGGACCGATCTCTCTTGGCAACACCTTTTGATCCCCACAACTCCTCTTCTCTTCACTACTTGTGCCAGCATTCCTTTTTCAAAGTCTTCAAACACCTCGCCCTCATCGCCATGCTTCGCCCCTGGTCGTTAGACGCCGACTGGATCGAGACTGGTAAAACTTACTACGATGTCGAGCCTGGAATGGATGGATGGCAGGACTATGTCGACACTGTGAATGCTTTCTACCACAACAGCTTCTTCGTTCCTTGTGTTGCAGGGTGCGTCTTACTCCTTGGCGGCATGGAGATGCATGGTGACTGACGGTGTGCTATCAATGAAGGTATGCTCTACTTGGTGCTTTTGTTGCTTGCGTTATCATTGCGACGCTCCGTCGTATGATTCTCCTTATCTCGCCAGCTCGCGGACGCGCCAACATCTCGCAGTCCGACAAGGTCATCAATGCCGTTCACAAGCATATCATCTCTGCTCCTCTATTTGGACAGCGACATGCAGAAACATTTGCTTGGTCGAGATTTTTTCCTTGGCAGGCACCGCTCCGTGGCCAGACGCTGCTGCTCCTGGGTCTCTTTCTGGCCAACTTCATTCCCCTTGTCGGTTTCTACAGGCCTTCGCCTGCTGAGAAGAATCTCTAGTAAGTTCAGAAGAGCTGGACGTGCAGACGGAATTATCTGACAACATCAACAGCTGGCCTGCCGATCTGTACGGTCAGATGGTACGTTATGTCGCCGACCGAGCTGGTGTAATTGCGACGGTGCAGATGATCCCCTTGATTCTCATGAGCGGGCGCAACAATCCCGTCTGCCTTCTCACCGGTGCATCGTACAACACTGCCATGCTTTACCACCGGTGGTTCGCCCGCTTCGTCATGACACAAACCCTCGTGCACGGCATGTACGTACAATGGTGCTAATCTTGGAAAAGGGTAATCGCTGACCTTCGGATGAGCACAGTTCCTACACAGCCTCTGCGCTGCACTCAGGCAAAGAATCTTACGATGAGAGCTGGGAGCCGTACTGGGCATGGGGAGTCGCCGCGACTTTCTTCTTCGCCTTTCTCTGCTTCTTTTCTCTCCGTTACTTCCGAAGAACAGCCTACGAGGTGAGAACGAGCTCCTTTTGTGCGCCTTCTTCATCTCTCTAAAAAGCTCGCTCTTCGTTCTCCCGCAGATTTTCGTTTGCACACACGTCGTATTCGCTGTTCTGGGTTTGGTTTGCCTCTGGTATCACGTCGCCGTGCTCAAAGTGGACACCTGGCGGGAATTTCTCCAGTATCTCGAGGCAGCCTTTGCCTTTTGGGCCTTTGACCGCGTCGTGCGCATTACCAAGCTTGTGCTACTCAGCTTCAGCGCGTCGGCCAAATCGAGCAGTGCCGTTGTGGAAGCCGTCGCTGCTCCCCTTCCTGGAGAGGCAACTGGCGGCGGCGGCGGCGCAGAGGTCGTGAAGGTCACCATCCAGCTGCCGGGACCGCTTGCCAGCCAGGTCAAGACGGGCTCTCACGTTTATCTCTGGATCCCTCGGCTCCAGCTCTTCTCAGCCCACCCTTTCACCGTTGCCAAGAGCAGCTTCAAGGCTGACCAGGGCAGCACTCTCGTGGTCCTTGCTAAGGCGAACCGTGGTCTGACCAAGAAGCTGTACAACTCGGCTGGAAAGCAGCTCAGTGTCTTTGTCGAAGGACCTTACGGTGGTCATGAAGATGTGAGCATATCGCACGGTTGATGCCTTGTTCAAACACTAATTGTCTTTCTTCACAGCTTTCACGATTCGATCGCACCTTGCTTTTCTCGAGCGGTATCGGCATCACTCACTGCCTATCCGTTTTTACCGACGCCATCGTCAAGGGAGACAAGGAATCACATCTCATCTGGACCATGCGTGACCCTTGTAAGTCGAGTGTCTCGCACATTCATCGTCATGGCCTCCCGACTGACTTGAGTTCCCGTGCGTCGCTCTAGCCATGGCTGCTGCTGCAATCGAGCTACTTGAGGAGGCCGTCAAAGAGGCTACTCCATCTTCAGGCGCACCCAAGACAACCATGTCCATCTTTGTTACCCGCTCTTCGTCTCCTCAAACCAAGGAAGACATTCAGACTGCAGCGGCAATCGCACCAATTCTCACGTCCTCTTCCAACAGACAAAAGGAGATCTCTTCCGATTCGCCCGAAGAGGATGAGAAGAAGTCGCTGGGAAGCAGCGGAGCTGATGACAGCGCTCAGGAGTTGACCCTTCGGAAGCGTTTCGATGCTCTCGAGGAGTCCAGCAAGGGTTCTCTACGCGTCACCTGGATCCACCTTCCGAACAAACGCCCCGTCCTTGAAGACATCGTGGCCGAATTCGTAGGAGACCAAAAGGCTGAAGACAACTTTTCGAGGACGACCGCGGTGGTCTCATGCGGTGCAAACTCGTTCTGCGACGACGTAAGGCAGGCGTCCCGGCGGTTCAACCTTCACCTGTCTGAGGAGCCTTTCGAATGGTAATCGGCTATGATAATAGCCACAAAAAGACTTTCTTCGCATTTCTCTGTGTTATCGTTGTCACTATCTCTCTGGGGCTCGCAAAATTAGTCAAGGAATGCAATCTGGTTCACTACGTGTTGTCACCATGATCACCTCGCGCTGCACTCACTCAGTGACAAGAACACAGGGTACCGGTACGGAATTTCAAGGACACGTGCATCGCGGGGCCGCGGACCCTCGGATTTATGTCTAATTCCCGTGTTATCGTCAATACCCGGGGCCGTGTGGAGCTGCTTTGCGACCTCGCGGTTGGTGACGTGCTAGAACGCTGGAGGCCTCTTGACCATGCCGATGTGCTAGCGTCGAGCAGTGGAAGCGGAGTTGAAACGCTCATTCACACGTCTTCGATAAGGTTATTATGCTTGCGAAACTCACAGAACACGGCATCCCGCCGGCATCTTACCCTCCTGGAAAGGCATATAAGGATGCTATTCCACCCAAATTTTCAGTCGTCTCTTGAACTTCCTCTCACCTTGAGAAAAGGCCCCTTCTCTTACGGACACAGTGCAGACTGTGACAAGCTTACAATACGATGAAGGTCCTCGTCCTCGGCGCATCCGGCGCCATCGGGTTTCCCGTCTCTCAGGCCCTGGTCCGGGCTGGCCACGAAGTCTACGCGCAGACCCGCGACGAAAAGAAGCGGACGCTGTTCGAGAGCGAAGAGTGTGAGTCCATTGAGCACATTTGCCCTTCACCTGCAAGCAACTTAGAGGAAGCTCATCGTGGTTTAAATGGGAATTTGCAAGTCACGCCAATCGTGCTTGACCCAACAGCGGACAAGTCGTGGTCCAAGCTCGTTCCTACTGTCGATGCTGTCATTGATACGTTGGGCGGCACGACGCCAATCAACACACTTGCACTCGAGAATGTGCAAGAGGCCGAGCGTGCGGCGAAGGAGTCTCGAAATGCCACGGCGTCGAAGCTGACGTACAGTGAGTCGCTAGCAGCCTTCCTCTTTGCAGTCTAGGCACTGATTTCACGCTTCCTCCTTCGCTTCCTCCTTCGCTTCCTCCTTCACATCAGTCTGGAGTGAGTTCGACCTGCCCTGGTGCACCGAAATGAGAAATTTGAAGTGCTTACCCTTTCATATTAAGCCTCGGGCACCTGGATCCACGGTGAAGACCGCTTGTCTCTCTCTTCGGACGGCAGTGCTATCGAGCATGCTCCCGCTCTAACCGCTTGGCGGCCCTCCGTCGAGCAGCCACTGATCAAGAGCACGATCTTAAATGGCATCGTCATCCGCCCGAGCATGCTGTACGGTCGAGGAGGCAGCATCTTTGGCTCTTTCATTGGTCAGGCCGCCAAGGGTGGGCCTGTTTATCTTCCTGGAGACGAGGGCGTGAGGTTTGCCACGGTTCACGCCGACGACCTTGCTCAGTGCTACCGTCTCGCCGTTGAAAAGGCCCCAATGTGAGTTGCTGTCTCTCCCTGCTGGTCTCTCTAGTCATTTTCAACTGACACGCGGGTGCGAAACCATCTCGCAGCGCCGCTGGTAACATCTTTGACGCTTCCAATGCCTACACTGTGCCTCTCCTTGGCTTCATCCATCAGCTGTCTGCTGTGTCCGGCCTTTCGTTGGACAAGTTCGTGATCAAGAAACCCGAAGGAGCATTTGAAGCTGCCGTGGCGACGACGAGCAATGTCAGACCGACGCTGGCGAGGAGCCTGCTTGGCTGGGAGACGCTCAAGCCGAGCCTCATTGATGGTGGGTTCTTTCTCTCCTCTCCTTTTATTTTGCTATTGTTTTCGGACTAATCAGAGATTGTTCATGCAGGCCTCGCCACGTACTACCGCGCCTGCATTGCCAATGACAAGCTCTCCTAGGCACTGATGTACTTGGAAGGGAGTTTCGTCAAACCTGTCCAAGCTACTTGAATAATAACAAGTGCAGTAAGGACCATACACGATGGGTGAATTTGAAATGTTTTGAAGGGGTGGTATAAAAGAACGCCCTTGACAAGAAGGAAAGATGGAGTGTAGACAGCTGAAGATGAGCGGTCGTGGAATTACAGCCGGTTTTTTGGCGCATTGTCGGGCACATCGCTGAAGAACCCGGAAAAGTCCCATCCGTACATGTCGTCCATGTCCGACTGCGGAGGCTGCTGCGCGCCAAATTGGCGCACGAGCTGTCGGGCAGTCCGCAGGAAAGCCGTGCCATCGAGATGGGCTGCGTCGTCGTAGCCTGTCAAGATATTTCCCTTGCGATCGCCGTACCTGCGATCGAGGTAGTAAAGGGAGCGCAGTGCCTTGGCAGCATGCTCATCCTCGTGGGTCCTGATGACCTCCAACAGCTCAGGCCACTGAGGTCCCTCACTTTGACCGACGTGGACGCTCTCGCTCATGAGCTGATCGCTAATGTGAAAGTCGGGACGACCGCGAAGCACCCAAATGAGAAGGATCATGCGCAGATAGGCTTGCAACAGAGCCAATCTGGGCGAGAGCTTGTCCGAGGACGACGTCTCATTGTGAGGCGGAAGCGCCTCCAAAATGCTTGCGAGGTAGAGGTATGAGGTGAGGGCGTGAGCGCTGGAGCATTATCAGGCAGTCAGAATTTGGGCCAAGGTATCGATGATGAGAGGAGAAAGGAACCCACAGAAAGAAGTCGTGCCTCCAGCGCTTTTCGAATTTGGATACGGCGCCCACAAGGAGGGTGGTGAGCCATGCCAGGTCCTCCATCGCGCCTGGTATATCGGGTGAGGGGCCGCGAGTCTTGTCCCAGGCGTAGACGTACTCTTGGAGCAGGTGCTCGGCTGCACCGCTCTTGACCAAGGGGTCACTCTCGAGAGTGGGCTGGGATCTAGACAGACCGAGACTGTCACGGTCCAGCTTTTCGTCTTTGAGCAACTTGGCTATCATTTCGCCCGTCGACAGCGACCGCTTGTTCTTGTCGTTATAGTACGAGTGTGAGAGCCAGTCCGATGGGTAAAGGAAAGCGTACTTTGACGAGGTCATGCAGGTCATCGCGAGGCCTTTCATCATGAATCAAGTCAAAAAACGATCAGCACCTGCCTGGGATGAGTGAGAGGAGGGTGACTCGACTGACCTTCGGCAACGCAACCTGGGATGTTGAATTCGACGCCATTGCCCGTATGGATGAGGGGATGCACCACGCCACCCATGAACCTGGCCATCATGTGGTATGGCTTGTCCTGCAATCTCTCGTCAAAGACGTACTTGAGCAAGACATCTGCAATGCCGTCTGTCTCGAGCTGCTTGTCGAAGAAGGCCAAGTACCTCCAGTAATGTTCGGCTTTGCCGAGCTTGTTGTTCCAGTCCGACTCGGTTAAAGGATCCAAGGGCCCATCAGGCTTGGTGCCGTACTTAGCCTTGTTGTTCAGCCTGAAAGACTTGTCAAGGTAGTTGGCAAAGCCAAAGATGTCGATCAGCTGCTGCGGAGAAGCCTGGGCGCCATATCCGGCCAAGAGAGCGTGAGGCATATGATTGTGAAAGCCTGACTCGTTGAAAAAGGCATGGTAGGTCTGTGTCACGGAAGTGAGTCATGAGTCAGTGGCAGCAATGGTCTAAGCTCACCTTGTGATTGTAGGCCAGGATCCTGCCGACCTCGTTGGTTGACTCGCTGCTGGACGGGGCGTTGAAGACGCCGAGCACACTGGGCGATGGATTGAAGGGCTTAGACCAGTTGCCCGCTGGAGGCGCATCAAAGCTAGCTGCATTCGTCGACATTGCGTTGCTGGAGATGTAAAGTGGTTTGTTTGTGAAGTTGCGAGCAAGAGTTGTTGCCAAGAGTGTGGGGCGAGTCAAGGTCATTGAGGCGCACAACACAGCTCAACGGAGACAGTGCCCTTTTATCCTCTTCATAGCATCTAGCCTTGCCCGTGGACACGACCAGTTGGTGAATCGCCGAAGATCTCTGGTAGTGGGTCGCCGGCTCGACGGCAAGGACTGCTACGCTTGCTACGCAGTAAAGGGAGCTAGGATCACGTTGGAAGGTGGAGGAGGGGGAGAAGAGAAAGGCGGAGACCAAGGTAGCTCTGGCCTTAACGCCGATTCAAGCCTGTGCGTGGGGTTGAGAATTTAGCCTCGCTCTGATGCCAAATCGGACAAAAAGGGATTGGCGAAGGGCGTGTCGGCGACCCGAATACGCCAAAAGTCCATGCTTCATTGACAAACACCGAATCGCCGATGGCTCATTGCAATTGCTGAGTCGAGGATCTTTGTCGTTGTTTGTGGATTGAGCAGTCGTCTACCGCTGCGCCAGTCAGGGCTGAAGGCGTGCTTGCAACATCTCAGCTCGCCGTGACCAGCGTGGAGTACTTTCCAAGGGGAAGACCTGCGATGCTAGAGAGCATGACTTGGACATAGATCTGGCTCTCTGCGTATCAAATATGAGAAAGGCAAAACTGTAGGACCGGGGCGGGCGAGGAGCGCTTCGGCCCGGAGCGCGATGACTACTGAAAACGCAATTCGTCCGCTTCACCGCTGCCCCGCTCTACCCCTTTCATCCCTCTCCCTTCTCCCTTCCTCCGCCCCCCCCCCCCACTCCCCTTTCCGTCGTCGCCCCAATGCCGATGTTGACGCGCTTCTTCTTCCTTTTAACGCTTATCCAGGGTAGAGTCAGCCCTAAGCCATGACAATCTACGTCTTCATTCGTCAAAGGGCGCGGCTTTGAAGAAGGAGGACATGCCTCAGCTCTCTCGCTCACTCTCGCTCACGGTCGAGGACGGTTCAGGTCTGAGCGTCTGCGGTGAAGACTCATTTGAAATCGTAAACGCCAAAAGACTCGTTCCAATCAGGGGCAGAGTCAACAGCGGCCACAACAAGAACAAAAAGACAAACAAGGCGTCCATCATGTCGACGACATATCCTGGTCCCCCTGGACGCAAATCGAACAGCCATGAGATGTCCACTCCTTCACCGGCGACGAGGACCACCAGGCTTTTTTACACCAAAGACCGCGTTATCGATGCTGGCATCACCTCCGTTCAGCCAGCGTCTTGGTCTGAGAAGACATTGCCGTCGCCTCACCAGCCACAGCATCACCGCCATCATCGCCACCATCACGAGATCGATAGCAGGCAAGGCAATGGCAATCAGCTCAGCGTCGAGGTGGAGCAGGCAAAGACAAATGAGTTGATAGTGGAACAAGACAGCCCCAAACAGTGGCGTCATCAGAAGCACTTGTCAGTGAATCAGCAGGAGACAGTCGAGCACTCTGAGTCGACGGAGGAGCAGCATTCTCAGCAGCAAACTGTACAGGCAGTGCACGACAGGCCATGGCCTGCATCGACTGATGTCAGCCCTTTGGCTCTGGAGGCTATCAGTGAGTTGACGCCCGCATTTGTCTGTCGGCGACCCTTTGAATTCAACAGCGCTTCCAGACGCATCCATCGCTGGTGCACCTTTTGCAGACGTCAGCCTCTACTTGGCGAACGAGCACCGGTCCATCTTTGCCAATTCAGCAATTCTAATGAAAGCCTGCCCGGTAATCATGAAGGGTAAATACCGTGCCTTCTCTTCTGGCTTCGCTGTGTTTCTGAAAGCGACCGCATCAATGCAACATCCTTTTACAGAAATCGAAGAGACTGGGGAGCTCAACCTTGACACGATGGAAGCTTCGACCAGCGGTGACCATAACCTGAATATACACGGCCATTCATCTCCCAAGGTCTCGCCTCTAGCTCTCGACCATGTCTTCTCACCCGTCGACGGTGTGGAGGGCTCAATGGACCCCTTTCACGTCGAGCACAAGGACATTGGAGTAGAGCCATGCGAAGGCTTGAACAATGGAGGAGACCGCAGTGAACTGTTTGTTTTTCCTACGACGACAGCCGGTCCGAAGGGCAAAGACGCCGACGAGGCTTCGTTGTACCCAAAAGGAGGACACACGCTTGGAAAGCTGTCGAGGGCCTTCAGATTGGCTTCACAGAGAAGCGTATCGGCTAGCAAAGACTCTCCCAACAAGGTGAGCTAGTGTCTGTCTATGGCAGGACCTCATTAACCCGATAGTGTCCGTCAGGTCGAGGAGCATTCCGGCACCAAGACAACAAAGACGCCAGCCCATAAGCAGCATGGTAAACCGTATCCTGCCTCGCTGTCCTTCTTCAATGACGCAACTCACGGCTATTCCGACTCGTCCGTCTTTGCCACTTTGCCATTGAGCGCACGCAAGCTGTCTCAGTCTATGCAGGTCAGCAGCAGCAACGTTGTTCCTGTCTTGGTCCATGGCTGCTGCAGTCAGACGCTGCGTGCCTTGATCTTCTATCTCTACACGGCCCAAGTACGTTTTGAAGTGCCGTGGCAGAAGGAAGGCGAAACAGCAGTAACATTTGAGCTGCCACCACCGACTCCTGATCAGCCGCAAGCAAAGGCTTCCACATCGGCCAACGATGCTCGCCCAAGGGGCCGCAAGCTGGGTCGCACCTTGTCGACACCCACGCGCAACATGAGTACCTCTCCAGGCAAGGGCATCAAAAACAGTCCGGATGCGCCTCCTCCGACCCTCATCAATCTTGCTGCGACGCCGCTTTTTTCGTCTAGTCCCCCGCCAATGTCGCCTCACAGCGCCTACTGTCTCGCAACGACATTGGCATTGGACAAGCTGGCCAGCCTGGCCTTCGACCACCTCGTCAAGACGCTTCACCCTCGAACGGCCCTTTCCGAGTTTCTCTCGCCCTTTGCCCTCCGCTTCCCGCCCTACCAAGACATGGTGCTAGAGTTTATTAAACGGCGCTGGCAGATCATCCACACTCTTGACGAGACGAAGGAGTGTCTGGCCAAGCTAGCCAAAGGTGGCTTTCCACAAGCTCAGCAGGCCCTCGTTCGGCTCTTTGCAGAGCTCGACATTTCTCAGTCCCCCTCGGCTGCGGCGGCAGCTGCAGCAGCAGTCGCCGCTGCTCAAGGGGCTCAGTAGAAGATCCTTTTCCTCTGTATATCTTCACAACAGGGTCAGTCACATCTCAAAAATCATTTGTGAAACATGATCTATGAAAAAAATCTAACCTGACATGTCCAAACCTCAAATGACTGGGAAGAATTGGACTGTACGAGGACACACCCACCAGATTTTGGGCCCTCTAGATGCCTTCTCACAGCGAGGACTGCCTTTAACCAAATGCGTCCAGATTGACCTGCAGCAACGACGCCCGCAGCCGCACACTTTGGTCTGTATGCGAATTCTGAACACTCGGGCATGGGATCTTGCGCCAATTTGAGAGCTTTATTACTTGTTTGGTCCGTGCCCTCCTCCGCTGATGCAGAGCAGCGATAGGAAGAGATTGACGGCGAACTCAATGTGGGAAAAGGGGACCCACTCCATCTAGCTTCTCATTGCACTTAGAGATGCCAGAGCGGAGGAGACCCCACTCCGAGAACGTGGCTGATTAATGATGGATGCTTTCGGTAGATTGGATGACCCGTTTGAAGCACGACCATACTCTCAGTTCTAGCGTCGGAGGGGGCAAAACCTTCAGAGAGCAGCACCCTTCTAGCGCCGAGGGGTAAATTTCTGTGGGCCGTTTATTAACGGGTCGCCGGCTTCGGAAAAGGGGCTTCCGGGCTGGGCGGTGGTGGGGTTTTGCTTGTTTGCCTCACGTGTGAACTGATGACAGCCAGCCACCCTAGCGCACAGATGCATTGCATCGCAGGGCCTTTTCTCTGCTCTGCTGCATGTGTGTGACGGTAGAATCAATGAATTTCACGCCTAGCCGGGGAGTAACTGCAAGAGGGTTTTCTTCTTATCCTTTAAGAGAGGCCTCGGAGCGACGATAGATCGATGCATGGTTGTACCGGCCGATTAGGCGGGAAAAAGTAACGATGTAATCAATTTGAGGGCAGAGCAATCAAATAAACAACCTTGCTTCCCAGGCGCCTGCCTGGCTTGCAGCTTAGCTTGAATTGTTTGGGTGCCAGGCGACTAACAGAACGACGACGCGATTTTTCGAGCGCAAGGAGAGCCTAAGGCCGCCCCTGGCGTGCTCGGCCTCCCTACGGTCTGATTTGCAACTGGCGCGCTCGGGCTCCTCATTGTTCTCGCACCCTCACTCATCGTCAGGTAGCATCTTGAGCCATCGCTGCACCGCCGCCCCGTTTCTCTACGGCTCCGCGGTCTGCTCTTGTATTTCTACCCGCGCCAAACAAGTGTCGTTGCTTGACAGACGAGGGAAACCGAGCGGCGCGCCAGAGGGGTCCGACCGAGCTTTGTTTTTGTTATTTTTTTGTTTTCGCCCTATCCTTCCTATTTTTTCGACGTCGACCCGCCTCGACGGAGTACGCCTCGATTGGTCGCGTTTTGGGACGACCGTTCAGGTGAGTGTTGTTCGTGCCTGTCGCTGTCGTGATGCTGCCCCCAGATGAGAGAGAAAAGAGCCGCGCGGCACCGACAAACACAACTGACGCCTGCGTGTCTACTACCACTACAGCCCCGCGCCATCTCCAGCGGCGATTCTTCTCTGTTTCCTTTTCTACATCTCATCTCAGAGCACAGGCCTCTCGCCGGTTGCACCCCCGGCTCGAGATCCTGGGCCGACGGACAGCTGCAAGCGACGCGACTGGTGAAGCAACAAAACAGCCAACTCTGTTCAATGTCGACTTCTACCACTGCGTTGCAGCCTCATTTTCGATAAGAAACAAGACCGGTCCCCTCGCTTGCTTCTGGCTCGCATACACACCATGTCCGTCCGCTCAGGGGCCGGCCGCAGCGGCGACGGTGGCGGAGGCGACGTGGATGTCAGCGTTAACGTCGACGTCGGCTCCATGGGAAACAGGCCGAGGAGCAGCGGTGCATACAGCTACAGTCGAGATTCTGCACGGATCGCCAGCAGCTACGACGACGGCGACAGCTTGATAAGCTCCACCTTCGAGTTCCCCGAACCGCCTTCTAAGCAGATGGTGGCTTCGACGGTCGCTACCGCCCCTCGAGGCGGAGTACCGCCACGCATTGTTCCTCCGTCAAAACAGCAGCATCAGCATCAGCAGGCGTCGCCGCCTAGGCTCTCTTCTGATCAATATATGGCGCGAATCAAAGCTCAGAGGAAGAGGGATCTGCTGGGCGTCGATTCTGTTCTCGGTGAACATGGGTCAGAACTAGAAGGGGGCGCCATGCCCGTGACCCCAAGTACGCCCTTTTTTGATGCACAAGAGGGCGGTGACCGGGAGCAGCACGAGCTCGTGGGTCAAGCAGACCGGTTCTTTTCCGATGCCGTCATCTCGTCAGGCGTCCCTGGCTCTTCGCCTTGGCAAAGCAGTGAAGCTGCCAGCCAGGACGATGTGTATACAGAGGGTAGCCTGGGGAGCTTGGGCGGCACCTCGTTCAATTCTGACGCCGATGTCCACGGGCCCGTGACTCCCTCGACTCCTGCATGGCGACCTAGAGAGCTGACCCTGCTACGATCCAGGGAGCAGGTCCCCAGCGCAGAGGCAGAACGACACGAACGAGAGAGGGAGAGGGTCCTTGCCGGCCTTGGCATCCGCATCAACGGAGCTCCGTTGCCGACGTCGTCCGGGGTGACGGTATCCCAATTGCCTTCACTCCACGGTTCTGCGACGCCCGGCACCTCTTCTATCCCTTCATCTTCGTCTTCGGCACCTCCATCGACGAGAGTAGCAGGGCGTAGACTGTCGAGACTCAACATCGGCTCCACCGGTCCCAGCTTTTCGCCCTTCAGTCCCGTTGCCCATCACCTCGCCGAGCAGCAGCAGCAGCAGCAAGAGCACAAGGTCGCTCCACGTGAACTCAAGCTTTCAAGCTCCGGCGGCCCTCCCCGCGCAACAACGGGGCGTGGTCAGCAGAGCCTGGCTAACGCTAGGAACAGGAGCAGCGTCTCGCTCTCGTCGCCCATCGCAGGACCTTCGATGACTTCGGCAGTGGGGCAGTGGAGCAAGTTGCGATCCCCCAGCGCGCCCCTGGCTTCCGGACAGGCTTCGTCCTCCTATGCAGCCTCCAAGAGTCCGCTGCAAGTGCTGCCTCGCACGCCAGCATTTGTTAGCGGAGTTGCCGCAAGCACAGGCACCCGGCAGGGCGAAGCGACGGCGAGCGAGGCGCCTGCAGCAAATGCAATGCCATTCGAGGATGATGAACGCTCGTTGCCATTGTCGGAGGGTGGAGCAGACATTGACGCGAAAGAAGCAAGACGTTCCCGACGCTCGAGCAAATCGCCTTCGGGAACCCCTTCTTCGTCTTCGGATCAACTTCTGCCGTCTCGAGGAGCCTCATTTGCCGAGTCTTCCTCCTCGACGCGGAGGAAAAAGGGTCCGCCAAAGCCTCTGCGTCTGGGCACCTCGTCGCCTGCGCTCGCTTCGCCGTACACGGCCACCTCGGCCACTTCGTCATCGTATTCTCGTCGATCTTCGCCAGAGGATAGCAAACGGCGCCCAATGGGCCCTGTGACAGTCGTCCAGCCTTCATCCCCAGATGATCGGTCCCCATCCGAAGCAAGGGTACGGCCGGAGCAGGCTCCCGACCAAGGTTATTCTGCCTTTTCCCTCTCTGCTTCTGCTCTCACCGCCCCGGCCTCGCCTGGGGCTGCTGCTCTCTTCTCGCCTATCAGCCCAGGCTTTCAAGGCTTTCACACGCCATTGTCGAGCCCCGCTGTGGCGCAGGACTTTGCAGCACAACAGCAATTGCCAGTCGGCGAGGAAGACATCGAGAGCAATTACAGAGCGTCGACAATCGCAAAGGTGAGCTGCTGTTTATCTGAGTTTCGAACGACGGCCAGATCTAACTCCATGGCACAGGAGAGCTCCGGCAAGTGGTCGCCGCACGGAGCATTTGAGTTCGAGAGTGCATCATCCGTCGATTCGCCACTACCGACCGCTCCCGGGCCCGATACATTCCAGGCAAAGGAATCGGTCGCGCTACCTCCCCACCCTGTTGCAGCTGCCAATGCTTCTGCTGCCGCCTTCGTGACCGCCGAAGACGAGGACGAGGACGACAAAGTCCTGTCCACGTCAGATGGCGCTGATGTCGCTACGGACGCCTCTCCATCAACAAAGGATGAAGAGCGAAGAGCAGTGAACTTGCTTCCTTCTAATGAGCCACCGAAGCCCCCGTCACCTGGAGCGAAGGTGCAATTTGACACCACAATCTTTCACTCACCACCAATGCCCACCAGACGAATGAGCGCGCAACTGGTTGGGCCCAAGGAAGTGGCCTCGGCTGGGCAATCGTCAACAAAGGGTGACAGGCGGAGCAACGGCCCCGTTGGACCTCCGCCTTCGATGCCGCTTCCTACACCTCCTGGAGGCGCAACGATGCCGAGGGCCAACAGCCGCTTTCGCGCTAGCCGTACACGTGACAGCGTAACGACGACAACGAGACAATCTGGCGGGGGTACAGCGGCAAGGACGAGCAGGCCGACGAGTGTGGCACGAGACATCGATGAAAGGGCAAGGATATCCAAGGGACCTGCGACTGAGCCTCTTCCCCAGTCTCAGTGGAAAGCTTCATACGCCAACGACATTGTTGCTGGTGGTCACAGCGAGAATAACGAAGATCACGAGGAGAGAAGCGCTCGTGTTCGCCGCATCTCGAGCACTACGAACGTCAAAGTCCGAGAGGCAGCGCTGGAGCCCGAGCCACGGCCACGGCCACCCGTTCCAATGACGAAGACGAGCTTGGTGCCTGATGTCCCTTCATTTGCATACGGTGCCCCTTCGAGCTTGGGTAGCAGCCCTTTGCACCCACCCGACGATCAGCAGCCGAGCAACCAGGCGGCATGGAACGAGTTGGACAACCTCACTGGCGAGACTGAGCCCCAAATGAGCTCACGCTGGAGTTCAGGGTCTGATGACGATGACGACGAGCAGGTGAAAAACAAAGACAAGAGATTATCGAGCAAACAAAGGAAGTCGAGCATGACGCCGATGCCAAGCGCCTTGACCAGCACCAGCAGGAAGGCTTCGATGGGCAACCTGAGCTCGAGTGGTGGGACCGTACAGAAGAAATCTGGCTTCTTCTCGGGCCTTGGGCTTCGCAAGAAGAGCGTGCCCAACCTCGGGTCTGCTTATGCAGGCAGCAACTTCTCCAACTCGCCCGTGACGCCGTCTCCATCGATGGCAAAGGCGGAAGCTGGGCTCAAGGAATTCCCCTTTCCCGACACGTCGTCCAGCACAAACGACAGTAGAAGAGCGAGCAGGAGCGACGGCGTCAGCAAGCATACCTCGTATGCACCCTCCTCCATGTCCTTTGCCGCTGCTGGGTCCCACGTCCCTGCCGATCCGTCTTCAGGCCGCTTCTCGCAGCAGCAGCTCCAGCAGGCTCCCTTCCGTCGACCAATGGCAGCACCACTACCTCCGCAGCTTCAAAACTCCAGTAGTAAGGGCGATGGAACGATGCCAAAGATTCCTGTATCGCGCTCTCGTTCGCGATCTTCGCAGCGGCTGTCGCAACACGATGAAACCGATGCTGGGGTTTCACATTTCACTGCCCCGCTGCTCACAACGGCTGTCAATAGCGCCAGCCTTAAGCCAAAGCGCTCGGATGCCAGCTTAGGTGCGACGGTCTCTTCCTCGTCTTCGGAAGGCACCGGTCGACCTTCGTTGTCCAATGATGGCATGAGCCTGCCAAGCTCGCCTCGATCGCCGGACCACGTCGTAAGCCACCAGGCTTCTTTCTCCAGCCTCAAGCCCCTGTCGGCCTCACCAAAGAATGCACCTCTTCCTCCGCCAAGCGAGCACAGCCGCCAACGCAGCATTCCAGGGAAGGCGGAAATCGACCTTCGGATACGTAAGGCTGACGATCAAGACGCACCGCCCTCTGCTCCTGCGCGCATGGAAAGTCGTACTGCCCAAAGCGGACGAAACAAGAAACCCTTTGAAGGCTCTAGTCGAAAGGACGAGAGCGGCCAAGGTCTTGATGGAACGGCCACTCGGTGTGCTCAGAGACAGCAGCCGCAACAGCCGCCGCAGCAAATAATTGGTCGACGCGAGACGCAAGAAGTGAGAAAGACTACTCGTCAAGACCCGGCCCCACCCTTGAACCTTGCGGCGCAAAGGAGGGTGCGAAGCAGCAGCAATGCAGCCTTTGCTAGCCCGAACGTTCGCGCGGCCGTGACCTTGCCCCCTTCCCCTTCGAGGATTGTCAGCTCTCCTGACGAGACGCCAAGGATCGCATACGCTTCGTTGCCCGGATCAGAGGTGGGAAGTGAAATTGGCAGCCCTCAGCCTAACAGGATGCGCTTTGGTGAACAGGGCTCGGCAGACGAGGAGGCGCTCACAGCCTTGGGCTACGCATTTGCAAGATCCGGCTCGGAGTCTCATTCCTCCGAGGATGGTCGGCATACTTCTCTCTCGTCTTCAGCGTCCTCACGAGAAGGCGGAGCACGGCAACCGACCGTGCCGGTATCACTGCTTGCGCCCGTTGTAGAAGATGTCGGGACGACGCCGAGAGCTTCCGTGTCTGACGATCTCCGAAAGCGCGTCAGAGTCACCGTGAAGATTGCGGAAAAGAGGACGAGGCGGGTCCGAAGTGAAGCACCGCTCGTAAGGCCGCACTACCCTTCTTTGACCGATGTCGGCCGTCTTTGGGTCGAGAAGAATGCTGGCTTGCCTTTCAATGCAGCTCACGGGCCAAGATTGCTGGCTGCTGCGCTTCGACAGAACTCCAACGAACACGGCCAGGACGGAAGTGCCACGCCATCGGAATCCGAATCGAGCACCGACGATTACGGGTCGAGCGACGGAGGCGGTGGCGGCCGTGAACAGGAAGAAAGCTTCGGAAGCCGTGGACATGGGACAGGCGGAGGAAGCGGCGGGAGCAGTGGCGATGGAGGAGATGATGGGCGTGACAAGCCTGAACGAAGAAACAATGCAGATGCTAGTCTGGATGACGTCGAAGAGGAAGACGACCGGGACGACGATGAGGGGGAAGGCGTCGAAGAGGAGAGCGATATCGACTCCGAAGATAGCTACGGGTCCAGCGAGATTCCCTTTCCAGAGGCGAACGAGGCTGCTCTCGATGCAAGTCAGCTGAACGCTTTGGGGCCTGCAAGACCGATCAGCAATGACGATAGCAAGGCCGGAGAGAGCGAGTCTGATTCGTCAGACGACATTCCTCTCGGTCAAAGGGTTCAGGATCCGAAGCAGCTGCAGAACCATTTGAGGCAGGTGGAGCGATCGGAGAACATCCGATCGGCTCGCTTGGCCTTGGAGCAGCCGTCCTCTTCGTCGTCGGCCAACTCGGATGGTCGAGGCCCCGGGAGAAGAGCGAGAATGTTGAGGGCAATGCAAGAGCAGCAGGCTCGCGCGGTCAAGGAGCAAGCGGCCATGCAGTGTGGAAAGCCATCGGCGCTGGACATTGCTGCTCTCAGTGCCAAGCTGGCCAAGGTGCAGACGGAGCGTGAAACAGGCGGTATCTCAGAGCCGCCCAGTGCACCGGTGGGCAGCTCATCAGGTCAAGTTGTGATCTCAAGAGCTCGGTCGCTGAAGAACCCTTCGTCTGCTCCCCGTCATCACCATAACCACCAGCAACAGGCCCAGCAGCAAGACAACTCACTTTACGCCGGCTCTGAGATTCAGCGATTCAAGTCGACTAAAAGCGAGCGAGGACCACGAAGGACAGACTTCCATGCCCCTCCTTCTTCGTCATCGTCATCTGCATCGCATGCCCCGCCTCCTCTTCCTGCGCAACCGCCGCCGCCGCATCTTGCTGCGATGGCCGGTGGTGCTCCTTCATCGGCTCCTGCTGCTAATCTTCAGTCGCGCCAGGCCTCGATCTCGAACTCCGGCACAGTGGCTCAGGCTCAAGCTCTCTCCAGGATCAATCCCTCGGCAAGAAGACCTGTTGTTGGCGCTGGCGACGGTAACAGCAGCAACGGACAAGTTTCTTCGGATGGCGCCTTTGTCACGGCGCCTACATCTGCCCGGAGCGAGACTGACGAACGAGCAGCGTTGAGCGGTAATAGCGGCTCCTTGCCTGCAACAGTAATGCAGCACAGACCGCGAGCCATGAGCCAGTCACGGTCGAGGGCTGTGCCACCTCCAATAGATACGCGCATCGCACCACCTCTACCTCAGATTGCTCGCATGCAGGCCGTCGGCGGTGGAAATGGATCGCCAGACGGCCACAGAGGCTCTTCATCGCCAAGTCAAAGTTCAATCTCCTCGCCGAGAGAGACACAGGGGCCCTTGTCTTACAACAGCATGGTGTCGTCGCCCCCGCCCGTGAACCGAGAGGCGGCTATCGTCGACAACAGTCTCTCTCAGATCGCTGCGGGTGATTTGAGCCGGAACGGGCGTCATCAGGGGAGCTTGTCCAACGCAGCAGCAGCTGTTGAACAGGCTGTGAAAGTGGCGCCTGCGTCTCGACTGGTTCAACATCGTGTCTTTATTGTGACTCGGCAACGATACAGCGCTGCCGAAGTCCCACTCCAGGCGAGGGCGCGCGACGTCGTGGTAGACATTATGGAGCGTGAGACGATGCCGACGGACAACCGCATGGGTGCTTGGGTTCTCTTTGACGTGTGCGCCGAGCTGGGCCTAGAACGGCCATTGAGGGAGTACGAGCTGATCTCCGACGTCATCGAAACGAGAGCCAACCCAAGCGTCGACTTCTTTCTGCTCAAAAAGACAGAGCTAGCGCCATACCTCGCCTTGCGCTCCTTGCCCACGAGCTCGCCAGTCGTGGGAGGCTATGTCTACGTGCGCGACAGTAAAAAGAAGTGGAACAAACGGTGGCTCGAGCTACGAGACCACTCGTTGTTTCACGCCAAGTCGGAGAAGGTGGGTTCTTTGAGAAAGGCCGCGATTGTTTACTTTTGCTGATCTAATGCTCGATATCATGGATCCAGGGCAAAGACGAGGTCCTCGTCTGTCACTTGTCAAACTTTGACGTCTACCTCGTGGACCAGACCAAGATCAAGACGCCTAAAACGCATGCCTTTGCGCTTCGCAGCCAAGACCCGATCTCGCTCTTTGAATCGCCCGAGCAGGACTACATGCACGTCTTGAGCCTGTCGGACGGCGGAGCACTCAGGCACTGGGTCACATCAATCATCAACGCGAGAACATACGTCTTGAAGCAGGAGCGGGCCGCGCTCTTTGCGCTCGATCCGCCTGCTCCGAAGACCTCAGTGGCCGAGGCAAAGGAAGCGGCCCATCCTCTTCCCCGGACCTCGATTGAGGCGTCGCAGTATCCGCCTTCACAGCAGCAGCCACAGCAGCAAAACGCAAAGCAGCAAATGCAAGTGCCCCAACGCAAGGCTACGGTCACCACGTCGTCAGTGGCAGCCGTCCATGAGCCAATTGCTTCCTCTGCGCCACAAACCCTCATCCCGAGAAATGCCTTTGCGGGACCTTTTGAAAAGGGCTCACTCCTCGCTTCCGAAGCCATGAAGCAGCCTCAGCTTCCACCTCCTTCCTCGCTACCTCAGAACCAGCAACAGCTCGGGAGCTGGGACAATGCGGCGCCGATCGATCTGAGGGTGCACGAGAGGACGCGACAGCGTCTCATGGCCGAACAGCGAAGACAGGAGCTTCTAGAGGTCGAGAGGGCGAGGAGAAGGGCGAGAGAGCCCTTGATTCAAGGCATCGCCATGCCCGCTCAGCACCAGCAGCCTATTCAACCACAAGCACAAGGACAACCACAGGCGCAGACGCATCAGTACAGGTCGAGGACGTCGCAGCAGCAGCCATATCAGCGACGTTGAACACCGATTGGTTCCTCCCCTTCTCTGTAATTGTAACGTCAGTCACCAGGGACTAATTTAATCTCTCGCTTGCGGGCGAATCTTTAATGTCGAAGTGGACAGGACCGCAAGAGGTTCAGCATGGGCTTCCGGAATGTGCGATGACGATAGCATTTCTGCCGCCCTTTAATCGCAGCTGTGATGATGATAATAATGTTGTTGTTGTTGTTGTTGATGGTGATGAGATTTGAAGATGGACAGGAAGCTAAAATACCATCGGCGTGACCCATGCATCGGCCTTCAAGAATTGATCAACGATGTCGAGTGACACGCTCTTCTCATCCCTGAGGACTTCCACCGCCTTTACGACGGCTTTCCAGAAGCGGAAACCCCTCGCAATCTCTCCTCGAATATCCTTGATGTTTGAGAACGTCTGCTCAATCATCGAGACAACGGCTTCTTTCGCTTCGACGACGTCCTCGTCGGCCTCATGTCCTACGCTCACGGGCCCGCCGTTGAAAGTAAGGAGCGCCTCGAGGTAGCACTTCAGCACGATGCCCAGACCGGTGCTGCTGTCCGACTGGAACGGCAAGCTGAGACTGATGTCGAGATAATCGTCACGAGCCCGCTTAGCGTCTCCACGCAGCAGCATCGAGGATGCGATGGCTTCAACCAGCGTCCGGAGCGATCGTGTCAGGGCTCGGCTGAAGGCATTGAACTGCAGGAGCTCGCGTGACAAGGGAGCACTCCATGCGAGGGGCCGGTAAGTAAGGGGGAGGAGGCAGAGCGTGCGCATGATTAGGAGCAAGTGTCTCCGTGAGTCGACGATTATTGCCTTCTCTTCGGAGTCAGATGCTGCGTCGAGGTCACCCCATGTTGGGCCACCAGATTTTGTACGCCCCGAATAGCCCTCGCCGTGAAGGATACCAGCCCTGATCAGCTCGAGAGCGAGATACAGCGGCTCCTGCAATTTGTCGTTGAGTCGAGCAGATTTGAGGGCCAAATGCAGTGACCGTGCGTAGGGAGTGTGGAGATGGTCATGGTTGAGGAACCCGCGGAGCTCCAGCATCCTCCAGATGACATTTGCGACCACCTCGTCTTTTTTCTCCAGACCTCCTCCAGGGCCACCAGCGCCCGCTCCAGCAGCTCCAGAGCCTGCTGATGTTTTTGCGTCCTTCTCCTTTGCCGCATTGGAGGGCGTGACCTTCTTAGGTCGCGACGTCTTGGTCCGCTCAGCCAGGTCGCCGCGACCCGTTGCACCAAGACACAGCGCTATGTCAATAGTGCTGCTGTTCTGTCGTCGAAGCTCCTCCTCGACAAACGCAACACTAACGTTCCAGTTATCAATGCGCTTGATAAGATTCAAGGTTGTTGGCTGGTCGTGAGGGACGTTGTGTGGGGCGCCATTCGGCGGATCGAAGTGGTAGTAGGCAAACACTTTCCGAGAGGACCAGAAGCCATTGAGACTGCTTCCCATCAGGGCCAGGGCAATGCATCGAGGAGATTGCGGTGATTCGGTAATGACGTTGCGCATGAAGTTCCTCCATACCTCGGTGTCGCCCTCGTCAAGTGGCGCTGTCTCAATGATAGACCCTGATGTGAGCCAGTTGAGAACAGCGCTGCCCAACAGGCCGCGCGAGAGATGGAGGAAGACCTCGTCAGGCAGTCGGTGACTGAAGATCTCGTGCAAGTCCACCGGTACGTCTGCATTCGTCAGTATTGGAGCGCCACCCGAGGTAGCCGATGAATTAGGGATCGATGGCGGCGTGGTGCCGTTGACACCGGGGGCAACCGTGGCAGCAGGTGCTGCAGCTGTTGATGATGCAGTCGACACGCCGCCAGCGACAAAGGGCGGGGGTGGCGTCGAGCGGGGCAGTGGCAGAACGCGACCCTCTTCTGCACTGGTGACGAGGCAGAATTTGATCATGCACCGAGCTCGGCAGAAGGCATCAACGTAACCGAGCTTTGCACACACAACATGGTCTGCCAACGCGGTGCAGGCGGTGTATCCGGATCGATATTGTCGGACGACGTCGAGAGCCTGACGCGGATCTGGTAATGGCTCAGGAGACAGTGAAACCTGATGTCCGACCCGAGGAAGTGGCGTCAGGGGAGGATTCGCGTTGGGAATGGTACCGTCGACGAGAGGAGGGAAGGTAGGGCAGTGTTCCCATCCAAGAAGAAGGCCCATGTCGAGAAACTCCTCCTCGTTGCATCTTAGGTGTCCCATGATCTCCGCCTTTGATGCATATGTGAATGATCCCGTCGATGATCCACCATTAGAAGAGCCGTTTGGTAGGGCATTAGTTGATCCTTGCAGGTCGAGGGAAAGGATGACCTTGTCCACGCGATCAAAGAGGAAGACGTCCGAGGAGCTGTAGATGGAGTGGATGTACGACTTTGAATGCCGCTCGAGTGAGACGAGCTTTCAAAGTGGTGTCAGCACGAGATTTGCTCCTCTGTGTGTTAACGCTGACCATCTCACCTGTCCTTCAGCGAGGTAGGGGGCCACCAGGAACTCGACGTTCCGGTGTCGAAATGCTCGGAGCACCGCCCGGACAAGGTCGCCGACCTGGGTCGAGTTACTCCTGCTGAAGTGAACGTGGGCCCCGTCCGTATCGCTTTGCTCATAGCTCTCCCATGCTTTTCTGCGCTCCTCGACTCTGGGATCTTCAAAGCTGAAAGGACGCGTGCGCCTTGCGAGCTGGAGACCCCCCAGGACGAAGACTGGCTTGATACGGGCCCGCTCGAGTGTCCGAAGATCGTTTTCGATGTGCGAGATGAGCGCAAGCGGAGAGCCACCAAGAGCAGTCACCAATGGTTCCGACGTTGAGGGCGACTGTAGCAACGTCTTGAGGTAGAGGTTGAGGTCGATGCCCAGCCTCGTATCTTTGAGGGAGCTCAGAGGGAGCGTGTGCAGGAGCTGGTGCACCCGAAGGTACTCTATAGCAGCAAGTCGTTAGCAGCGCTGTCCTTTCGCAGCCATAATCCGGAGCTACTCACCTTCGAGGCCTGTGATCATGCTGCAGGAGCCCCCAGAGACACTTGATAGTTTAAAGTGGGCGAGCTGGCGCTGAGGGGACTGAGAAGAACACATCGCGATGCTCGCTGGGACCCACCATTTCAGAATCGGCCGAGAGAAATTGGACTGTGCACGACCAAATGTCAATTTCTTGCTGAGTTGACATGTGCACCAGCTCGACTAACGACCACGACCTCACCCTTTCAGAGGGTTTGGAGAATATGCCTCCTCTCCGAAGCAGAGACGAGGTCGACGGCCACAGCGACGAGGAAGCTCGACCTCGCATGGTTGTCAAACTCAGTCGCAAGGGCAACAGCAGCACAGCATCAGGTTCTGGACCGTCATCGTCCCGCGCCACTCCCACACCCTCGACGCCCGCTAGTGGTCCTGGCGATGACGAGGGCGAGGGATCTGATGGTGATCTCCGTGTTGGTCTTGCGTTTCGATCAGACGACGAGGACGACGACGAAGGGTATGAACAGGGCGGGGCAAGCGCTATCGTTGCACGTGCGAGGGCAGCGCGGGGAGGGCAAGCTGCAGCACCTGCTCCGATGGACGTCGATGAGGAGGACGTCGATGCGGAAAAGGATTTCAGCGAAATGCAGCTCAAACCCGATCATGCAAGCAGACCTCTTTGGATCAGCCCTGACGACATGACGATTACATTGGAGGGTTTCAGCCCCATTGCTGAACAGGCCCAAGACTTTTTGGTGGCAATCGCAGAGCCTGTCAGCAGGTGTGTATTACTGATCGAATTACTTGCAGCTCAGCTTGCTGACGTGACCTCGTTGCAGACCTGCCTTCATCCATGAGTATCGTCTGACGCCTTATTCACTCTATGCCGCCGTCTCTGTCGGCCTAAATCCAAACGACATCATAGAAGTTCTCAATCGGCTGTCCAAAGCGCCCGTTCCCGAAACCGTGCACAACTTTATCCTCAATAGCACCGTATCTTTCGGCAAGATCAAACTGGTGCTCAAGCAAAACAAGTACTTTGTCGAGAGCGCACACCCAGAAGTGCTCAGGATGCTTCTCCAGGACGAAGTCATTGGTCAAGCCAGGGTTAAGGACTCCGATGCTGGTAGAGGGAACAAGCTGGAAGTGATTGGGCAAACAAGTGCGCCCACAAGGGGTGACCTCGTCATCCCTGGCACAGAGAGTGCGGCTCGGCGGCAGCAACAACTGCAGCAACAGTCAGGTGGGCCACAGCAACAGCCGGCCATTGGTCCTCGACCTGGATCGACTGCGAATCCTGCGAACCGCCCACCTAATGCTGCTGGGGGGCCTACCAATGCCGGAGGCACAGGTCCAGCTCCAGAATCGGCAACCGCTGCCCGTAGAGAAGCCGAGGCGGATCTGTTTGATGCTATCATTGGTGTCGACGAGACTGACGAAGCCGGCAATGATGACGAAGACGTCGTGCACTCGTTTGAAATCGAAGAGAAGCAAATCGAGGCAGTCAAGAAGCGATGCCAAGACTTGCAATACCCCATGCTGGAGGAGTACGACTTCCGGAACGACACGATGAATGCGGACCTCGACATCGATCTGCGACCCATCACCCACATCAGACCATACCAGGAGAAGAGTTTGTCCAAAATGTTTGGAAATGGGCGAGCAAGGAGTGGCATCATTGTCCTTCCATGTGGAGCCGGTAAGACGCTCGTCGGCATCACCGCGGCATGCACCATCAAGAAGAGCTGTCTCGTTCTCTGCACCAGTTCCGTCTCGGTGATGCAATGGAGACAGCAATTTCTGCAGTGGAGCAACATTCAGGAGCATCAGGTCTCCGTATTCACTGCCGAGAGCAAGGAGAAGTTCTCGGGGCAGTCAGGCATTGTCGTCTCGACATATTCCATGGTGGCCAACGCCGGCAAACGCTCCCACAGCTCTCAGAAGATGATGAACTTCTTGGAATCGCGCGAATGGGGCTTTGTCCTCCTCGACGAGGTCCACGTCGTGCCCGCTGCGATGTTCCGAAGGGTGCTGACCAACATCAAGGCCCATTCGAAGCTGGGTCTGACGGCGACGCTGGTGCGCGAGGACGAAAAGATCGACGAGCTCAACTACCTTGTCGGTCCTAAGCTCTACGAAGCAAATTGGATGGACCTGGCGGCAAAGGGCCACATTGCCACCGTGCAGTGTGCAGAGGTGTGGTGCCCGATGACCCCCGAGTTCTACCGCGAATACCTGCGGGAGAAGTCGAGAAAGCGACAGCTGCTCACGAGCATGAACCCTAGAAAGTTCCAGGCCTGTCAATTCTTGATTAATTATCACGAGAAGCGAGGTGACAAGATCATCGTCTTTTCCGACAACGTTCATACTCTCAAAGTGGGTTTGCTCCGTTTCCCTTCGCCGAGCTGATTGAGAAGCTGACCTTCCTGTGCAGGCGTATGCCATGCGGCTAGAAAAGTGCTATATCGATGGCCAGACTGCGCAACAAGAACGAATGTCAATTCTCAACCACTTTCAGCACAATCCAGCAGTCAACACCATCTTCCTGTCCAAAGTTGGCGATACGTCCATTGATCTACCGGAGGCGACATGTCTCATCCAGATTTCGTCGCATTTCGGCTCCCGACGTCAGGAAGCGCAACGGCTTGGACGAATCTTGCGAGCCAAGAGGAGAAACGACGAAGGTTTCAATGCCTTTTTCTACTCCTTGGTGTCTAAAGACACCAACGAGATGTACTACAGCACCAAACGGCAGCAATTTCTCGTCGATCAAGGCTACAGCTTTAAGGTCATTACGGAGCTGCAGGGCATGGACGACCTGCCGGAGCTCGTCTACAAGACGCAACAGCAGCAAATTGACCTGCTGAGTGGCATCTTGATTTTGGGCGAAGGAGCAGCCGACAGTGCGACGGACATGGTCGGGCAGGAGTGGGACGCCGACATGCAAGGCTTCGGACGGTCGGCGGGAGGAGGTGGGCAGCGGCGTGTGGGAGGCAAGTTCGCGGCAAAGGCGCAGAGAACAACAGGAAGCCTCAACGCCTTGTCAGGCGCAGAGCACATGAGCTACCACGAGCGTAACAAGGCGCAGAACAAGTCGCTGCAGAAGGAGAGGCATTCGATGTTCAAGAAGAGAGATGCTGCAAAATCAAAGAGGGCAAAGGATGCCGCTTAGTAGGTGGTCCGCCACCAAACATGACCTGTTTTCACTGTGGATGATGCTGCACTTGTATTATAGTCACGAATCATAGCTGCAAATGAATGATTTTTAGTAGACCGGGAGACGGCAGGGGATGAATAATGAACAGCTCAAGCTTGCTAGGTGGGAAGAAAGTGGGTCTGGTCGCTGCTTTGCGTCTCGAGTGTCTTGTTGAAGAAGTGAAGACCTGCAGAGGATAAAAGGGTGAGACTCTTTACTAGTTCTAGAGTGGCGTCACGCTGCTCACCTCCCAGGATAGCTAGGGCAACAAATGCGAGCGTGATGAGAAGCCAAATGATGACCCATGCTGTTGTATTACTACCCTTCAGCCGTGATTACGACACAGACACGAGAATGATGGATCCAGCAGTCTTACCGTGGATCGTGGGTGGGCTCAGTCTGGCAAAGAGAGCTGTAGGAGAGATGATTCGGTAGTAATGGTGAGTCAATTCGTCTCTCAAGACGAAAAAAGCTACATCTGCTCACCAGCATCGGACTCGTTCTCTTTCCGAAAGATCAGATCGTCCATGGCATCCCAGACGACATAGAAGGCGCACATCTGGACGTAACGACCCACTCAGCAAAGTCTGTCTGTAATCTAGGGCCAGTCAAAATGACTCACGACACCCAGAAAGAGGATATAGTATCTCATGGCCATGGCATGGTCGACTGTCCCCCATAGTCTCAGCTTGTCTGGCAGCCTTTTCGAGCGCAAGTCTCATCAGAACTTACTAAACCAAAACCCAATGCTGATGCCGACAGCCAAAGCGACCCGAACTCGGGCCCATGTCCTGCCGAACCAAAAGCAGACGGCAAAGAGAGGGATGATGGCGAGCCAGGCGATCTTGCTCATTGTCACGTCAAAGGCAAAGAGGATCAGTGTAGACCCTACGAGAATCGAGCCGAGGTAGCCGGCGGCAAGGACGGCTAGAGGGACGCCACCGGTCATGCCGCTGATGGGACCTTTGTCGGGGTCAATGCAAAGGCTGTAGAGGTCGGCGCCGGTGAGAATGCCCACTGTGACAGGAAGGATAGCAGCAGCATGTCAATTTCTTCCTGCTTTGTTGTGTTTCATGAAAAGGCGCAGAAGCACTCACTGAGAGCGTGAAAGAGCTCGTGGATAAGATTGACTGTTGGTTGTGAATTGTCAGCACCCTGCTCCTGCCAATACTCTTCCGGCGAGCACGGGAAGCGGCAGGCTGTCTACTCACTCACCGAGCATCTTCCATGGATAGAGGACGCTTCGGAACAGCACCATGTTCCAGCCCACGGCGATGCTGACAAGCATCACGACGGCGACCCAAATGATTTGCGTCTGCTCCTGGCTGGGAAGCACGATTCCTCCCTCTGTTGGTGTAGGGCCACCGGCACCGCCGCCACCACTACCACTGCCAGGGAGTAAGCCAGCGCCGGTGGGCAGGGGCAGCTGGAGAATTGTCGCAGTGAGGCTCTGAGTCAGGGCTGGCAGCTCACTCGTGGGAAGTGCAACAACGAGCGTGGCCGTCGTCGTGCCACTAGGCACTCCCGCCGAGACCGACGACGAGGTAGCAGAGGGAGAGACAAAGATTATCTGCGTCGTCGTCTTTGTGGCGAGCCCAGCGCCCGATGAGACGAGCGAGGTGTTGGTGGCCGTAGGTGCGAGTCCAGCGGTAGGTTCAGGCTGAGGTGCGGCAATCGGCGCGCCGGCAGCTGTCGTTGGTGGCTCTGCCATGTCTTGTGTATCGGACGATCGCACCGAGGATGGTTGTCGAGGTCAGGAGCGGTCATCTCGTCAGAAAAGGAGGAAGAAAGGCAGGCAAGGAGAGAGGACGCCAAACCACGCCGCGCCGCGCGGCGCCGCGCGGGCTGAAGTTGGGATGATGCTATTTATTTTACGGCCCGTGAGCCAGCAGCTACATGTGAGCCCTGTCTGGTGGTCAACACCAGATCAGGGCGTGGCAATCTAACGATGTCTATTCTCATCTTCTATGCCCTCGTCAGCTCGGGGCTTGAGTCCACGTGTGGGACATCTTCGTCCTCAGAAGCGGCCTTCTCCTCCTCGTCGATAGTTGATGCTGACCTGGTCTTGTCCTCGTCCTCATTGACTGAGGCGGGCGCGTTTGTGTGCTCAATCTGATGAGCGGGCACGAGCCATACGCCACGCGTTGTGGGCACAACACACGCAACCCAGAGCGCAAAGGCCAGGATGCACTGGTTGAGATTGGACCAGTGCGAGGCGCCCACACCGTACGAAAGGCAGCTGCCCAGGCTCTCAAATGACCTCAGCACGCCGACCGACCGTTCGAGGGTCCCGTCGGAGCGAGGGTAGGTGCCGATGAGCCAGTACAGGAACACAATCTGGGCCTCGTACAGCAGTCTGCTACTGGGTCAGCATCTCTTCTCCTGGAAAGAAGGGAAGGAGCAGAGCACTCACTTGGCGAGGAGAAAGACGGCAATGGCGTTGCCAAAGCGTGACCCGTCGACCCAATCGACAGCGTGGCTATTTCTCGTAAAGTGTACCTGAGTGATCGTCTGCCAGATCCAGAGTGCCGTCGTCAACGATGCAAAGGCGAACCAGAGAATCTTGGCCCGCTTCGCTTGGCTGCCCAGGATCTTGGAGTCTGTGACGGTGCCGACGATGAGGTCGGCAATGATGTTCATGATGGCCGTCAAAAAGGATACAAGGGCTCTTGAGCGGACGGAGAAATAGGTCGTGAGGTAGTTTGACTGGTATGTTGTACCCCTGAACGAAAACATCGACGGTGAGCATGAAGAAAGAAGGCATCCGATAAGATGAAGTCAACTCCTTACCAGATTCCGGTGATGAAAATAGGCACCAGCAGTGCCACCTGCTTTGACCTGATGATTGACCAGATTTGCGCAGCCTCCGTCTTGATCGTCGTCCTCTTCTTAAGATGCGGAATCTTCGTGCCGTCCGGGCGCTTGACCTTGTCCGGCGGGCTCAGAAGGAGAGCCAGAGGCAGACCAGCACACTGTATGCCAATGAGGACGAGATAGGTCTCGTAGGACACCTTGCCTGCCTTGCTGCCGCCAACATTGAGCGAGAGGGAGATGGAGCCGCCGATGAGTGGACCGAGGTTGCGCAGGCCCATCCAGATGGCTACCATTCTGCCTCGCTGCGACTCGCTGGGGTAACCCACAGCGATGGTGGCCTCTGAAGACCAGAACATCGAGGCGCCAATGCCGCAGAGGGCCGCTCCCAACATCACATACCACTCCGTGCCGTAGCGGTTGTTGACGTAGAGCGACGAGGCATACGGCGTATAGAAGATAACGCCCAGCACCAGGGTCCATTTAGCGCCGATCCAGTTGCAGAGACCACCGGCCAAGGTGCAGCCAAAGACCATGATGCCGTATGTGAGTGCATTTGCAGCATTGACGAGATACGGCTTCTCTTCACCGCCGGCGCCGAGGTTCTGGTTCAATTGGCACTATCAGTCTGCGATCACAGAAACAGGGATCCAAGAATCATATCTACCTGCAGCGCATTCCAGATCCCCGGCTGAGTGAAAGAGACGAGGCCGACAAGGACGATCTGCAGCGCAACGGAGCGGAAAAAGGTCAGGCGGGCCATGGTGCTTTCTTTCCCGCTTGACTGTGGTTGCGCTTTCTTGGGCGCCCTCGCAGGTTCCTGACTCGCAAGCAGCTACTTATACAAGGGACCACCACCACCCTTCTGAAACGAGAAGAACTTTATCGGTGATTTAGCCGGCGACACCGTCCGCAGAAGAGGGTTCTTACTGGCCATTTTGCAGCGATATTGCAGCGAAACAACAGGAAGAAACCTAGATGCAATCGCGATGGCGTGCTTTATTTAAGCGTGAGCGCAACTAGTGCTCCCTTTGGGACGCGACGTACGCCATGGAATGACGTGACGACTGGCCGGCCGGCCGGGCCAGCGGAGTGATCAATCACCTCGCTCCTAGGCAATTTGTATGCAGGAGAGCTAGGAACATTGATAAGGTAGTCGCCGTCTTCCTGTGTGGCTCCTCCTCCAACCTCACCCACCACCAACACTGCACAAGTCGGCCATGTCGGTCATCGCTGCGTCTGCCCCTGCGAATGCACACTCCCTTGCCGCGGTGTCTACGCCAGAGGTCGTATTCGAAGCAGGCAGCGCGCCTCATCAGAAGCCCCTCGCCTTCAAGGACGGACAGGCAACGACTCATCAGACGTCCTTTCCCGGCGTGCTGAGGCCCAGCAGCAGTAGTGGCCAGGGGGAAGTCAAGGCCGACGGCTTCATCGCAGCAGCCTCTAAGTTCAGCAGGTCGGGCCAACTCGATGAGGTGCTGGCGGGCGCGGGAGGAGCGCTCCACTTTCGTGGCACGCCGCTGAGGACCGCAGACGACTTTTCCCGATTCATGCATGCGCTCTCCGAGGGTGGGCAGTGGACGCCGCACGTCGACAAGGGCCTCATGGTGCTGCGCAAGCCTCATGCTAAGAACGTGGCGACGGCAAACGAGGGCCCGCCCGACCAGCCTATCGGGTCGCACAACGAGTACGGCCTGTCGAGCCACCACCCGTCATACATTGCCTTTTTCTGCCTCTCGGAGCCCGACGCCGGTGGCGAGACGCCCATCGCCTCGAGCCTGGCACTCCACGACCGGCTCGAGGAGCGGAAACCGGAGCTGATTCGCGCCCTTGAGGAAAAGGGCGTCGCCTTTTCGATCCACCACCCCCGCGACACCATCGAGGGCAACCTGCAGGGCAACGGCCTGTTCAATGCAAACGCCTTTGGACCCCAGTCTGGCGATGTCAGTGGCTTGTCCGAGGACGAGAAGCGGCAGATTGTCGAGGCCAACGTGCAGGCCCTGGCCGACGAGGGCAAGGGAAAAGGCCTCTGGAAGCAAAAGGGTTACGATGCCAAGTGGCTCCCCGACGGATCGCTGCTCTCCGTCCAGCGTGTCCCCGGGGTGCGTCTGCATCCGCGCTACGGTGCAAAGACGTTTTTCAACAACATTCACAATAGACTCCTCTATTCGAGGCTGCACAAGGCCACTGAGCCGCCGCACATTTCACAGACGCAAACGACGGCCCTGGGCACGCCCTTCTACCAGAAGCCGCCCCAGCTCGTCGAGGAGGAGGAGGACAGGCTCTTCCCCCGTGACTGGATCGAGACCATCGAAGAGGTCACGGCGGAACTGCAGGTAGATGTCAAGTGGAACAAGGGCGACGTGCTGCTGCTCGACAATCTCGCCGTGCAGCACGCCCGTCGACCGTGGAAGGGCGACCGCAGGCTTCTCGCCAGCCTGTGGGACAGGACTGCCCTGTAGCTTGTTATCTCATATTCGTTTAGCGTGCAATCGCAATCCCGATGAAATAGCAGCAAGAGACGGTGCGGAACAGCAGCTAGCTCCACCTTCCTCAGGGGAGAGGAAGCCGAGCCGATGGCCAAGGACGAGGCGTGAGATGCGCCGGGGTTGCGTCGCCGGGCAGGTTTCTGCAAATGCCATCTATCAAAAAAGGGCGGTCCCTGGGTACAATTTCGATTATTTCCCTTGAATATTACAGCTGTCTTTTCAATCTCTAATCCGCACATGGGCCGTCGCTAATTTCGTGCCACTGCTGCAGCGCTTTTTTTCCCTTCCCAAGACTCGCGCTCGCACCAGCCGCCATCCGCCACCTTTGAGAGGCGCAAATTCCTTCCTGCTCATCTCTCCTCGTTGCTTCCATCCTGAAGATTTCTCTGTCTCTCTGTCTTTGTCTTCTCTTCTTCCTTCTCTCTCTCTCTCTCTCTCCCTCTTTCTGTCTCTGGCTTCTCGCCAGCCATAGTAACCCTCGGCCGGTCACTCGTCGCTCGGATCCATGGCGCAGCAGGCACAGTCTCCTCCGTCTCAGTGGCAGCCGCCGCAGCGGTACCCCGCGGGCGGACCGGTGCCTGCGCAGGCCTTTCCACGCTCCGGCTCCTATTCTTCCGGGTCGACTGACCCATCGAATGCCACTGCCAACGCCACCAGCAGCTGGCGGCAGTCGCAGCCGTTTCCGACGACGCAGCAGCAGCAGCAGCAGCAGCAGCAGCATACAGATGACACCAGCTTCTCGTCGTCGAACCGGTTCCGACCGACGTCCTCGTCTGGCTCGACGGGTGCCGGGAGCGTCGGTCAAGTCGCTGGCAATGGTTTCTCGCAGCAGCCACCCGCGCAAAAGGCTGACGGGCAGCAGCAGCAGCAGCAGCATGTCCACAAGCGGACCCAGTCGCTCAGACCAATGTCGGCCTTCCAACCGCTGGAAAACCCCGAAGGCCCTTATTCGCCCGGATCGCCAAGCGCAGGCGGCGCAAGGCCTGCCAGTCCGACGGGATCGACGACGAGGAGCATCCGCACGGCCGCAGCGCCCCTCACGTTCAAGTCGCCCGAGCTGCGGAGCGCACTGGCGTTGCAGGACGCCCAGTCGCGCAAGATCTACATGGAGGGCTACCTCTCCCGGCGCGACCACCTCACGCCCGAGGGAAAGCCGCTACACATTGGCGACCCAAAGAAGCGCTGGCACCTCTGCTTTGTCCAGCTCTCCGGCACCGTCCTGAGCGTGTGGAGCGTGCAGCAGATGGAGGAGGCCGCCCGTGCCGGCAAGGAGGTCCCACCGTCATACATCAACGTCACTGACTGCGTGAGTTGTTGTCGTCACAGCGAGGCGTCTTTCTTTCTCACTTCGAGAGCTGACCTTTGTCCTTTGTCCTCCTTTTGTCATCTCCCTTCAATTTGCCAGTTCGTCGACTATGTGGGCACCATTACCGAGTCGCCGCAGGACGTGCCCGGGACCAGGGGACGGTACGAGAATGTGTTTGCCATCAACACGGCGGGCCAGAATCGCATCCTCTTTGGCGTCGAGGGCAGCGTCGGACGCAGGCTGGTCCAGGCCTGGGTCAATGGCATCCGTCTGGCCTCGTGGGAAAAGGTGCGGCTCGAGGAGATCTACACGGGTGCCCTCATTCGCGTCCGCCTGGGTGCGGTGGGCAATGCCCAGCAGGTCAATGCCGCCGCCACCTCTGGCCCAGGCGGCTCACCGGGCAACATGGAAATGTCCGTCAAGAGCCCACTGGCAAAGGGCAAAATGGAGGGATGGGTCAAGGCCCGCTTCATGGGCTCGACCGAGTGGCGCAAGTGCTGGCTCGTCCTCACCGACACGGGCGCCTCTCCCCCCGCCGGCAGTGCTGCGGGCACCGACGACGGCGGCGCCAGCGATGCCGCCTCGACGACGCAGAGCACCAAGAAGGAGTCCTTTTGGAGCAAGCTCAAGGCCGGCGACCGCAGCAGCATCATTGGCTCGCCCTCGACACCCTCCACCGTCGACACGGGCGTCAAGGACATTGAGGTGCCCCCGGGAAGCAACGGAGCGCCCGGCCTGGCGTGCTTCTATGAGACCAAAAAGACAAAGAAGCCGTTTGCTAGCCTCGCCTACGCCTCCCACGCCTTTGCCGTCTACCCATCCAGGCCGGAGCTCGTCGAGGGCAGCAGTCTGTTCAAGGTCGAGGGCGCCTTTCCGCTGAGCCAGACGATCAGCGCCACCAACCGCGTCCGTCAGTCGGGCTGGGTCATGGTCATGCCCGAACTCGAGGGCCAGGGCAACAAGGGAGCCAATGCCGAGATGATGAAGTGGACCGTGGCCTTTATGGATGCCTTTAAGCTCTATGGCAGACCGGGTGCCTTTGACTGGGATGCCCGCAGCCCTGCCTCGCCCTTCTTTGCCTACCCCATTGGGCCTTACAAGGACCGGCTGTTCCTCGATCGCGAGCTGGCCGAGTTTCTCGACATTCGCGAGGAGCGACACCTGGCCAACAGGAGCAACCTCCATGGCATCATGGCAGCTCGCATGCGTGGAGAGCGGACACCGGTGCTGCCTGCGCTTCCCCAGCCAAACGTCGAGAGCACCAGGGGCCTCAATGGGCCGCGCACAGAGGGAGCAGAGAAAGACGAGCAGCAGCAGCAGCAGCCTCAAGCGGCCTTTGCAGCACCTGCTTCTGGCCAGGGAGCCCATGTCAGCTCTCTGCCGCCACTCAACTTTGGCTCGGAGAACGGCGACACGGGCAGAGAGCCGGAGGCGCCTGCTCGCCGGGCCACGGGAGGACCAGGCGCGCTCGATGCCATTGGGGAACGGAGCAGGGAGGGAAGTGCAGTGACTTCGATGACGTCGCCCAGCACTGCCCTTCCCTCGGCCGGTGCGTCTGCCGCCGGCGTTGGCGCCGCAGCGGCAGCTGCTGCTGCCTACGCAAACGGCCACAGCCACGGCCCCGGCGGCGCGCCTGCTGCATCTGCTGCTCCCGCGCCTGCGTCTGCGTCTGCCTCGTCCCTTGCACATGCGCGTTCACGTGTCGAAGACGAAGAGCCGAGATTCAGGACGGAGTCGCCGTTGGAAAACAAGCCGCTGCCGCTTCCCGTCGCTGCTTCTTCCTCCTCCTCGACTTCATCGCGAACGGGCCCGCCGCCACCAACAACAGCAACAACAACAACCGGGCAAAACTTGGCGACGTCGGCAGCTGCACCCCCTGCGCCGCCATCGGTCTCATCCACCCAGACTCAGACACCTGCACCGGCACCGGCACCAGCCCCTGCCCTGGCACAGTCTGCGCAGCCTGCGCAGTCACTGCCGCCACCTATCCAGACGTCGGCGGCCGCTCGCGCACCGTCGCAGTACGTCTCGCCGCCACAGCAGCCCAAGGTCCTCGAGGCCTCTGGACGCGGTGCAGAGGCCACCTCGAGCAGCACCCAAACGAACCCGGTCGCCACTGCCGACCGCGGCGTTGGCGCAAGCCTGGCGAGAAGAGACTCGGACCCGTACAACATCTCGTACGACGAAGGCGCCCTCTTCTTCATCAACTCGATGAGTGACCAGCTACCCGCCGTCTCGTCTGCACCTGCCCCTGCCCCTGCCCCTGCAGCTCCCGTGCAGCAGACTCAGGCGTCGCGAGCGAGCACCGACGTCGCCTCTGCTTCGGCACGCGAGCCCAGCACTGCATCGTCTGCCGCCACCCACGACGCTCAACGTACAGCACAGCCACAAGTGCAGTCCTCTGCTGCTGGCCCGGGTGCTTCTGCACCGGCGTCGCAGAACCAGAACCATCTCGAGGGAGACGCCATGGCGGCCTACTCCTTCCTCGACAAGCCGCCTTCCCCTGCCGTCAAGTCGCGGTCTCTGCAAGAGCACCAGGAGGGTGCCACCGCTCCTCCTGCTTCTGCTTCTGCTCCTGCTCCTGCTTCTGCCGCTGCTGTGCCTCCCGCAGCAGCCTTTCCCTCGACGTTTGGCGGCAACAAAAAGGCCCAGGAACGCAAGATGGCAGCCCAGGCCCAGCAACAGGCTCACCAAGAGGCCCTCGCCAAGCCCGGCCGTCCTGGCGGTAAAAAGCCAAAGGGCATGCGTCCTGCGGGCAACGGCCGCCAGGCCTACGCATCGAGCGACGAAGACGAAGACGAGGAAGAGGAAGACGAGGAGCAGGAAGAGGAGAGCAAGGAAGACGACGCTCACAGCCGCCTTGCCAGCCAGCAGACGACGACGTCGATGGGCGAGCGCACGTCGTCGTTTGGTCCCAGTGCCTCTGTGTCGAGCATGCCGCCCAGCGCATCCATGTATGGCATGCCCCTGCAGCAGCAGCAGCAGTATCAGCAGCAACAGCCGCAATCGCATTTCCGCGCAGGCTCCAACTCGTCGCCTAGCGGATCGCAGATTGCCACGACGACGCAGCAGCAGCAGCAGCAGCAGCAGCAGCACGCGCCCCGAGGAGCACCGCACCCGTCGCAGCGCCAGACTGTCTTCAACTCTCACCTCGGTGCCGGCCATGACAACTCGCGAGGCAGCAGCCCGCGGCCAGCAGTCGATGCCTACTACAACAACAGCCCCGACTCGAACCAAGGCCAGGGCCAGGGACAGGGACAGGGACAGGGACAGGGACAGGGTCTCATGGGACGCTCGACGTTTGTCAACCTAGGCGACGACGAGCAGCCGGGTGCGATGACGGCCGTGTTCCAGCCCCACGGCCTGCTCCAGGCCGGCGCGCAAGATAAAGCCGAGCGCTCAGCCAAGCAGCAGGAGTCCGACGCCCGCGCCATGGGCTCGCACATGGTCAGTGTCGACCGCAAGCCCGGCCCACCGCAGGCTGGCCTGCTCGGCGCCATCACGGCCCACGAACGCGACCGCAAGAAGGAAGGCGGGCTCGGCGCCACGCTGACGGAGCGCGAGCGCGAGCGCGTCCTCGCTGAGCGTCGACAGCGCGAGGAGGACGCGGCGATGCGGCAGCAGATGATGGCGATGCAGCAGCAACAGCAACAGCAGCAGCAGCACGGCGGCATGATGCCCTTCAACCCGATGATTTGGCAGCAGATGCAGATGATGGGCATGATGAACCCCGCTGCCATGTATGGAGGCGGCTCCCAGATCGGCCACGGTGGAGGCAGCCCTCCTCCTGCCGATGCGGCGGCGGCGCAGCAGCAGGCCATGCAGGCCATGCAGGCCCAGATGATGGCTGCCCAGGCCGCCCAGCAGGCCTACATGCAGGCCATGTCGCAGCACGGCGGTGGCTCCATGATTGGCGGCGACGGCGGCGGCGGCGGCAGTCGGCCCATGTCACCCCCCATGGGCATGCCGCCCTCCTCGAGCATGGGCATGCCGGGCATGGGCATGGGCATGGGCATGATGGCCTCGCCCTCGTTCAACCCGTACATGTCCATGTACGGCGCCCCGCCCATGGGCTTTCCCGGCTGGATGTCGCCCTCCCAAGCGCCCGGCTCTGAACTCGGTGGCGCCTATCCCCAACAGCAGCAGCAGCAGCAGCACGGCGCAGCGAGCCCAAGAGCACGCGGCCGCGAGGGCTCCTCGTCGGAGCGACCGCCCCTTTCGAGATGATGATACTCTTTCTCTCTCTTTCTTTTCCTTTTCCTCATCGCACTCCCTCCTCCTCCTCTATCTCCCTCTTTCGCAGAAAATACTTGGCAGAGTCAGACGAAGGCTTCTCCTGTCCATTCCGTACGTGTGTACCCCCCACCCTCTTTCTCTCTTTGCGAGTCGCGTCCAGTCCCTCTCGTTCTCTCTCTCTTCTCACTCTCTCGCTGAAATTAGAATCTGAAACGGAAAGAAAAATGCGCAGCAGGATGTTCTAAAGCAGTAGATTGGAGAAAGAAAGAGCAAGAGAGGATGAAAGCAGAAATACAGCGTGAGGGTTTGTTTCTTGTTTTGCAGATGGGACGGATTGGCAGCACGAGCAGGAGCGGGGCCCACCGATCAACCCGCGTCCGTTCGCCACGAGCCAGTAAAGGAGTGATAGACGAGGGCCTGCTCGTCAGACATGTTGCCCACGCCCGGCCGGTCCACGTTGGGGCTAAAGGCCGTGATGGGGAGCACGACGAGCTCGTCTGCGATGCGCAGCGGCGCGTGGCCGTGTGCGCCGGCGAGGTGGGCGTGCAGCCGGGCCTCGGCGTCCATGTCGAAGCGCGCGCGGGCAAACTCGACGACGGCGTCGGTGAGCACGGCGGGGCCCGTCGCCTCGAGCACCTCTCTGTCCTTTTTACGCTCGGCTTCTTTTGATGATGAGGATGAGGAAGAAGAGGAGGAAGAGGAAGAGGAGGAAGAGGAGGAAAAGGAGGGATTCTGGGCCAGGTTCTGCTGGACGCGGCGGAGGGCGTCGAGGAAGATGGGATGCATCGGCCGAGAGGCCATGGTCCACTGCACCAGCTGCAGCGGCCGGACGAACCAGCGGTCCCAGGCTGGGTCGTCGACGCCGTCGGCCTCGATGGCGATGAGCACCTTGGGCCCGGTCGAGGCCGACGTCGGCGGGTAGCGTTCGTCTGCCATCGGGGCTTTGTTGCCCCAGTCGGAGATTGGTCGAAGGCAGACGGTGTCCATGTCTGGTATGTTTGGGTCCGTGCGTGGTCAGCTCCTCACTTGTTGATCTCAACCGCGGACCGAAAGACAGACAGACGGACGGACGGACGGACGGACGGACGGAGGGACTCACCCGAATAGACGCCGCCCTCGAGGGCCATGGCGAGATAGCGGAAAAAGTCGGCCTTGGCGATGCCGGCCTTGACGGCGGCCCAGCTCTGGTACAGGGCCGACGGCTTGTCGCCGAGCTGGTCCTTAACCCAAGCCTCGAGCTGGTCGTCGTCGAGGACGAAGCGCTTCCACGAGGGGTTGAGCACCGCAAAGCTGTCGCCCATGTAGTCGCCGTCGTCGTAGTCGTCGCCCGTCTTGCGCCGCGCGCGCGTCTGCCAGATCGTCTGCGGCAGCTCGCGGCCCTCGAGGTCGTCGCCCGTGCGCAGGCCCGAGCGCTTGCGATGCCCTTCGCGCTGCAGCGATGAGAGTGCGCGCCGCCGAAGCCCGCCGTGCTCGGGGAGCGACGAGGTGATAAAGTCGGCGAGTGTCTGCTCGTAGATGTCCCATGCCGACTGGTCAGGAGACTGGGCGAGAAGCTTGTATGGGTGTGGGCGCGCCTGCCCGGTCGTCGCTACTATGTCCAGGGCTGGCGGTGCTTGTACAGCTGCAGCTGCAGCTGCAGCCGATGAGGCGGGTGCTGCAGGAGACGAGGTGACCAAGCTCGATGCCGTTGCATGCGCCTTTGCACCATCAGTAGAAGAAGCAGTAGCAGCTACAGCTGCTGCTTCTGCTGCAGTGGCGGCGTCCCGGTCCAGCCTGGCTGCGAGTCGGGGATCGATCGAGAGGAGCAGGCAGAGTCCCACAAACGCCGTCGTGCACAATACGATCCACGACGGCCTCAGAGACCCTCCTGCTCCCGCTCTTCTCGATATTCTTTGTTTCATCTTGTTGTTGTTGTTGTCGTTGTCGTTGTCGTTGTCGTCGTCGTCGTCTTCTTGTCGACGCCTACTGCGCCATGGTCGGGAACCTTCAAGTCACGCGCTCTCTAATTTGGCGTCTCTCACGTACTCTCCCCAGCTGAATCAAATCAAGCCACACGATCGGCACGTCGATTGGGGCATTGGAAAGTCAGACGTGGCCCATGCGAGATTCGGTCATCGAGGGTTCGTTCTCTCCATATCGGCGCTTCTTTCTCCCTCTGCTTCTTCTTTCCTCCTCTTCTTCTCCTCTTCTTCTTTTTCTTCTTCCCTTCCTCCCCGTTACCACAAATAGATCAGCGTCGCGCGCGCCCACTCACGCGACGACCGATCGCTAAGATCGCAACCATGGCGGAACACACCGTCTATCTGCTCCAGCTCGAGAGCGATGGGAGCCCGTCTGGGGAGAAGTCGGTGGGTGTTTTTGTACTGATACGCAGAGAGAAGTCAACTGAAAGAGAGACGATTGCTCGCAGTACATCCGACTGCCCCCACCGGTCAAGCCTTATGTGCTCCGGTTCACAGTCGAGGCCGGCAGTCTGGCTTCGCGCAGAGGCGTCCTCTGGACCAACTGCCCCCAGGCTGCCAATGAGACATTTGATCGCGCAAAGTTCTACCCGCACGAGTGAGTGGGCTGAACCTGGGATTTGTTGCAAGGGAGCATTTGGCTGAAAGTGGTTTTTACAAGACTGCCAAACAATCTGAGCAAGCCAGCCAACATCGACATCAAGATTACGCACGCAGGCGCCTTTGAGTTCTACGTCGAGCATGCCGCGCCGCTCCAGCGGGTGCCGTACCCTACGCCAGCCCTGCCCGTCGCCCACGATGGGCAGCGAGGAGACGACGAGGCAAAGCGCGTCCAGGGAAAGCACGGCTACTTCAATGTGGACCCCATCATTCGCATCACGCCCAGAGCAAGGATCCTGGATCCCAAGTCACTCGACATCCTGCCCGTGGGCAAGGGCGGAAGCGTCCTCAAGGCCAAACAAGAGGCCCTGTCCCAGGACGCCCTTGTCCTCCAGACCTTTGTCGCAAAGTGGGCCGGCTCCCTCTCCGAGTGGGCCCCTCACCTGGATGAAGCGACGGCGAGCGGATACAACATGCTTCATTTCCCCCCACTCCAGGTTCGCGGCAGGAGCAACAGCCCTTACTCGATTGCAGACCAGACCGACTTTGCAGCAGACCTCTTTGACGAAAAGGCCGGCAAGCACGCCACCAAGCAGCAGCGCTTTGAGACAATGGCCGTCTGGCTCGATCGCCTCAGGAGCCACTGGGGCTTGCTCAGCATGGTCGACATTGTCCTCAACCACACCTCCTTTGACAGCCACTGGCTCAAGGAACATCCAGAGGCTGCGTACAACCCCGACAACTCGCCCCATCTCACCCCTGCCGACGAGCTTGATCGCGCCCTGTTCGAGTACTCGAACCGGCTTTCTTCCCTGGGCTTGCCCACCGATCCCAAGAGCGAGGCCGACGCGGCCAAGATCATCGACGGCGTCAAGCAGCACGTCCTGCAGTCTCTCAAGCTCTGGGAGTTCTACGTCATCGACGCAACAGGCCACAAGCAAGACTTCAAAAACGCGTGGGACTCATTCAACAACAACGACGGCAGCAGCAGGATGATACACAGCCTCGGCGAAGACGAGTCGCTCCAGGGAAGGTCTGCCTCCGAGGCTGCTCCCCTCCTCAAGCGCCACGCACTCCGAAATCACATGGCGCTCGCAGACCGATTCACCACCCACCTCGATATCCCCCTTTCGGTCTGCATCATGCGTAACCTTGTCGGTGAAGGCACGTCGAGCGACGAGGCGGCAGACGCCTTTGGAAAGGCCATCGACGAGCTCAATGTGCCCCTCTATGCGACGTACGACGATGACGTCAAGGCCATCCTCAGCAACCTGAGCGGCAGACTCACTTACATGCGTGTCGACGCAGGCGGACCCAAGGTCGGACCCATCACAAAGGAGTCGCCCTTTTGCGAGCCCTACTTTACTCGCCTCGATGCAGAGGACCCCGAGGTGGCTAAGCACCGGCACTCTGCGAAGAAGCTCTCCCTGGCCAACAATGGCTGGATCTGGGCCGCAGACCCACTCATGGACTTTGCCTCGTCCAAATCTCGCGTCTACCTCCGCCGTGAGGTCATTGTCTGGGCCGACTGCGTGAAGCTGCGCTATGGTCGCAAGCCGGCCGACTCGCCATTCCTGTGGAAGCACATGGAAGAATACTGCTCGAGTCTGGCAAAGATGTTCAACGGCGTTCGCATCGACAACTGCCACTCGACGCCCATCCACGTTGGCGAGCACTTTTTGGACGTGGCCAGAAAGGCCAACAAGGACTTGTACGTCTGCGCTGAGCTCTTTACCGGTAGCGCAGAGATGGACGTCCACTTTGTCAAGCGCCTCGGCATCAACAGCCTGATTCGAGAGATGGAGAATGGCCACGACGCAAAGGAGGAGAGCAGGTTGCTCTACCGTTTCGGCGTCAACAAGCCCATTGGATCGATGGATGCTGCATGTCTGTCCAAGGTAGAGGGCAACACGACCATTGTTCCCCTCCAGGGTTCGTCGCCTCACGCCCTCTTCATGGACCTTACGCACGACAACGAGACGCCGAGCAAGAAGCGCACGGCTCAGGACGCGATCACCATGGGTGCTCTCGTCAACTTTTCGTGGTCTGCCATTGGCTCAACAAAGGGCTTCGACAACCTCTACCCGGATCTGCTCAACATTGTTAGCGAAAAGCGGCGCTATGCGATCCCGACGGTGGGCGAAAACGACGGCATCACTTCCATCAAGCGTCTTTTCAACCACTTGCACGTCGAGATGGTGCACGACGGCTACTCGGAAGGGCACGTCCATCAGGAAGGCTCGTACATAATGATGCACCGCATTCACCCGCAAACACACAAGGGATACCTCGTCCTCGCCCACACGGCTTTCACAGGAAACGAGAGCGGAAGCATCAACCCTGTCAAGCTTAACCGAACAAAGGTGCGCTACGTCATGGGCGCCAGGCTGGACATCACTTCGAACGAGTCGCCAAAGGACGAGAACCACGTTCGTGGTCTTCCCTCAAAGCTGGTCTCGCTGCCCGCTCCGGAAATCAAAGAGGACGGCAAGGAGAGCGACGGCTCGCCGTTTGCTCAGATCAACGTCGGCGCCTTGGCACCTGCCAGCGTCATGCTCTTTGCCACCGACATGGAGGGTCTCGGACCGGACCTAGACGCCCTGTGTCAAGAGGGCGCCGACAAGGCCTTCTCTGAGCTTGATCTCGTCGACCTCAACGTGGTCCTTTACCGTGCAGATGCCGAGGAGCGAGACAGCACCGATGGCCAGGACGGCGTCTACTCCATCCCTGACCTTGGTGCGATGGTCTACTGCGGCACTGAGGGATGGATGCCGCACCTGGACGCCGTCATGCGGAACAATGACCTCGGTCACCCGCTCTGCGCCCATCTTCGCAACGGCACCTGGGCCCTCGACTACATCCACTCTCGTCTCGAAAAGCAGACGGCACAATTCCCCCGGCTCGCTAAGCCCGCTGCGTGGTTCAAAGAGCGCTTTGATCGCATCAAGGAGACCGTGCCGTCGTTCATGCGGCCAAAGTACTTTGCCCTCGTTGTCAAGACTGCCTCGGATGCGGCAAAGAGGCGAGCGTTTGGCCAGATGTCGGACTTTGTCAAGGATGGCGACGATTTTACAAAATCGCTGGCTCTGACGGCGATTCAGATGAATGGACAGGTGAAATCCGCCAGCTTGTGGCCTGACCGGAGCAGTGCCTCCATGGCGGCCGGACTGCCCTTCTTTGCCACGTCGTGGGCCCGGCTATGGGGAAGAGACGTCTTCATCTCGCTCCGAGGCCTGTACCTCACCACTGCCATGCACGCCGCCGCACGCGAGCACATTCTCTCGTTCGGCTCGACACTATGGAACGGCCTTATCCCCAACTTGCTCAACTCGACGCGCGCACCCCGGTACAACTGCCGCGACGGTCCCTGGTTCTACTCGCAGAACGTGCAAGACTACGTGACCAAGGTGCCGCAGGGCGAGAAGATCTTGTCGGAAAAGGTCAAGAGACGATTCTTGCCGTACGACTCAGAGTGGTACGACGTCGAATCGCCACAGGCCTTTTCAAAGGAGAGCACCGTGGCAGAGCTGATCCAGGAGATCTTGCAGCAGCACGCGACGGGTATTCACTTCAGGGAGCACGATGCCGGGCCAAAGGTGGACAACGACATGACTGACAAGGGCTTCAACATTGACATTGATGTCGATTGGGAGTCAGGGATCATCTTTGGCGGCAATCCCAGCAACTGTGGGACGTGGCAGGACAAGATGGGCTCGTCTGCAAAGGCTGGCAACAAGGGCGTGCCCGGCTCCTCGAGGGAGGGTGCCGCCGTGGAGATCACTGGCCTGCTGAAGAGCACGCTGAGATGGGTCGACTCGCTGGCTTCGAAGGGCGCATGGCCTGCGAAGGGTGTCGAAATCAAAGGTGGCAAGACGCTTACGTACAAGCAGTGGGGCGATCTGCTGCAGTCTTCCTTTGAGAAATCGTACTGGGTCCCACTGGACGCTAAAGATGACGCCAATTACAAGGTCGATCCCAAGCTTGTCAACCGTCGCGGTATCTACAAGGATGTGTTTGGTTCCAGCAAGGGACGGGAATGGTGCGATTACCAGCTCCGGGCCAACTTCCCAATGGCCATGTGCGTCGCGCCTGAGCTCTTCGACAAGCAGCACGCCCAGACGGCCCTCCAGGCGGCCGATGCCATCCTTCGGGATGTGCTCGGCATGAAGACACTCGACCCAAGCGACTCGAATTTCCACCCCGTCTACGACAACTCTGACGATTCGAGCGACTATTGGATGGCAAAGGGCATGTGCTACCACAATGGCCCTCCGTGGGTGTTCCCATTCGGCTTCTTCTTGCGTGCCCATCTCCTCTTCTTCAACGAAGAGGACACCAAGGGGAATGGAACTTTGGCGGCAGGATGGAGAGCAATGAGCATGCTCAAGGATCACCGAGCACATATCCGCACCAATCCCTGGGCGGGCCTCCCGGAATTGACAAACGCCGACGGCAGGGAGTGCAGAGACGCATGCCCGACGCAGGCTTGGTCAGCCTCGACGATCCTCGATGCCCTGGAGCTCCTCTACCACCAGCAGCAAGCTTCCTCGAGCAAGTAAACGGGAAACGGACATGCAATTTGTTTCGAATGGAGCAAGGAAATTTGATATAGAAAACATTCTGGATCACTTCGATCGCAGTGCAAGGAGTACAAAGGGGCAGGGCGGATCTGTGGGTCCGTTACACCTACCACTGGAATAGGAACAGTTAATCAGGAAAAAATGTCGAGTGTGGTGTAATTCGTGAGCTCCATGGGGACGCTATCTGGGCGCTCATGGGGCAAGGTATACTGCTGGCTGGGCGGTGGCTGACGCACATCTTCTAGCTCTGGTGGCGGTCGTGATGCTGGTGGTTGCTGTTGTTGTTGTTGCTGCTGCTGCTGCTGCTGCTGCTGCTGCTGCTGCTGCTGCTGCTGCTGCTGCTGCTGTTGCTCTTGTTGCTGTAATTGTAGTTGTTGTCGAATATCCTCTTGCTCGTCTCGATCCATGGCACGCAGGATTCTCCTCATGTGCAACATGCCTCCATGCTCCATTGCACCAAAAGCATTCTTGTCCATTGTCGTTGCTGCAGGTATCACAGTCGACGAAATTGCTGCGTTGATTTCGACTCCGATATTGGAGTAGTGGGAGCCGACCGTAGGGGACGCAATCTTCAATGAAGCCCTTGTCTTGTCGATCACTGCTTGAAGTTGCATGACAATCTTGTCTCGGTCGGCCAAGCTGTCGCAAGTGGCAATAGCCTCGCTGACGAGGCGCTGAGCTTGAGAAAGGAGAACCATAGGGTCTTGCTGTTTGTCAATGTCCAGGTCGCTAGCTCGGCCATTGCGACGCTGGTCTTCGCTGATAATCTTTCCTTCCTTGCTCTTGGCGACAGCCAGACGACAAGCCAAGATGCAATAGGCACTACCAAGACTGGCAAAGACGCAGCGATTGGCTCGCAAAAGTCCCAAGGCAGCAGCTTCGGTTTGCAGCTGGGTCGTGCGGTAGAGGTTTGCCAATACGATTTCGAAGAGCTGTTCTTTAGCCGCCTTTGCCGGAGGGTCTTTGGTAACGACAGACAGAGACTGCGTCGACGTTAGAGCAAGTCTGGACGCATCGGAAGCGGTGATCTGCTGCTGTGTGATTCCGAGCTCATCGAGCGTCTTGGCCATGTCTGTCACGTCGCCTTCGTCGCGAACTCCAAATTCGTCAAAGGCGGTCCAAGTGCCTAGGAGCTGCGCCATATAAATGGTCTCGAGAAAGAGGACTTTGATCGCCTTCCCGATCATCTCTGGTGGCGCACGAGATAGCTTTGGCCACGGTGTACCCGCCTTCAAAATGCCCATATCACAGACCATCGCCTTGAAAAGGCTGTGACCCTGGCATTCCCACAAGAGCTCCACGGGCAAAGAAGCCCGCCATTCTTGCATCGACTTTACGGTCCGCAAGATGTCCTCGGCACAGATACCCCGAGCCCGAGCGCGCATAGAGACCATCGGAGCGATCGTAGGTCGCATGGCAAAAGACAGCTTGATAGCAGCTTCGAGGTAAAGGGCATCCAATCGCGGGACATTGAGTGTCTGTCCGTGGCCGAAAAAGTCAATGTCAAAGTCCCCGTCGGGGCGCTCGGACCAGCGCGGCAGCTCGTGGTCGTAATCTTCTCCAGTGATCAGTGGCGGTCTTCGCGTACCCAAGGCGCGGAAAGTGTCATGGGCAAAGACCTAAAGCCTCGATTTGTCTTGAGCAGATGTAAGATGACGACTGTGCTAATCCTCACTCACCGCCCAAAAGATGCGCACCCTGCGCAAAGCCTCGCTTTCGCTGATGACTTGGCCCGTTACTGTTTTCCAAATGTCGCTGCCTGCATGGGTTGGTGCAGGCCTTCGGTTGATACCCAGGCGGATGGCCAATCTAACTACAGCCTCGTGAGAAGCTGGACTGAGGCGGAGGAGGCTTGAGAGGGACGACGCTGGGTGATTAAGGTCTTGAGCGTCCAGAGGATCCCTGTTGTCGATCATGTCCAGCTGCAGATCCGCAATGATAAATACTGCCTCGATGACATCGAGAGATGGGCTCTCCTGCCGGGTCTCCTCGTCGACGACCTCTTTGAAGCGCAGGGCGAAGCGCTGTTGCAGCTTAAATTTGTCTTCATAATAATCTTCGTCGAGCAGACCAGCTCCTACGCAGCCAACAGCAAGCATCAGTACCGTATGAGCTGGTTCCTTGGGGTCGCCGCAACACGGTGGCTGAAGCGTAACAGAACCATCAACTTCGCCCATTGCTCGAGAGTAGCGAGATCGGAAAACATCGATGTCCAGGATAGCGAGGCAGTGTGCAGCGTAGCATAAGTATGCCTCTGTGCACGCATCCAGACATTGCCTTGTCAGACCTTCGACACCTAGGATACCCTCCGCATTTCGACGCTCCGACGGAGGACTCGAGCTAGGTGTTGAGCCTGATCTCGACGAACTTGAGCTTAGCTTGGAGGTCGAAGGCGTGGACAAGGATGACGAGGGTCCGCTGCTCGAATCATACGACCGGCCCTTGGCTGGTTTCCGCGGGGCAGCCTTTCTGGTCGACGTGGCAAACGTGCATCGAACACCATAGGCAGCACATGAGCTGCACACGACATCTTCAGCTGCCTCCTCCGTCAGCACGTCGTTCTGCTCGGCAAGTCGATCGATCTGCTCCTGTAGCTTGGCTCGCCGGTCGCACTTCACCTGAGCAGGAAGTAAATGCAGTAAAGTGAGTCGTCGCGCTCTCGGGCCAAGTGTACGATGACCACGCACCTTTCTGTACTTGCACGCATCACACGACGTCCTCAAGACGTGCACCCCAGAATGCTGATCAAAAGGCGTTGCTGTCGCTCGCATTGCGTCGGCCGATCAATGTTTGCATCGTCTGGTGGAAGGTGGCAGATATGCTACGCCAAAAAATGAGGGGCAAAGCTGAGCGATGCCCGAGTTCCGAGACGTCCGAAGAGGAGCCGTTGAACCGATTTCCGCGGAGAACAACCGTGCTCAGTTTCATTGAACGCATCCGAACCTCCCTTCGTGCAAAGATGCACCCTACCGTATTCTCATAGCAAGATGTCAAATCCACTGAGGGGAGAGTGTTGTTGCATACGTTGACAGCACTGTGTGAGGAACCTTCGCAGCCTAGCGCCTGACGCAGGTGAGGAGGGCCGATTCGAAATCAAGCCTCGGAATTTTCTCATCGTCCTGTCTGGAGATTTGACGAGTGACTTCCTCGAGATTGACGTCGACCGCCGCTTGGATACGAACGCAGCAATAGCTTGTCCGATGTTTCCGACGAGGTTCGGAATCGCTCCCTCCCTTGGCATGGAAGGGGAACTTTCACTCATATCTCACTGAAACTAGACGCCTCGAGCTTGGTGCGGACGTCGGACTCACCTCTCAAGAGGTGCAGAGGAGGCTGGCGGATGTATGAAGGACGGAATAGTTTTAGGATACCCATCCACTGTACGTCCATCAGGCGGATTAGGCCAAGGTGGCGTTGGAACGGGTAGGACAGTTTAATCTCGGATAGTACGACACCCTCCACGTCGGCCTTGGTCTCCAGCGGACCCATGTTCCAGACGCCTTGAGTAAAGGGACTGTCGTCGAAGTGAAGCTGCTGGACGCCAGCCCTTTGAAAGCCGACAATTTTGATCCGACGCTCGGCAATGATTGACGCCGCCGATGCTTGCGCTCTTTATGGCTTTTCTGAGGAGCTCAGAGGTGTTAATGCCGGTTCCGCGGGCGACGTCCAAGGTCCGAATGCTTGCATCTTCTGTGTTGCCTTGATTTCTCAAGTTGCTTCCTGTATCAAGCTCTTGGCAACAGGCCCCATCGTAATTTCCTTGAAGGTCACTCCGTCCCTTGCCTCTTCGGCGGCCGGTAGTAGCCTTGCGCCCAGGTGTCATTTAGAGGTCCCCGCTTACCTTCGAGTGAACGCTTCTGGGCTCTTAGCCATTGCTTGTGTTTTTTTTTCTCAAGACAGCTCAGAAGCTGTGCACGAGATTGCCGGCGATGTACGGCTGGCCAGCCTCGGCATGCATCACTCATCTTGCCGCGTCTCTTCGTCCCGTCGTGAAATTCTATAACCTCGCAGAAAAGACGCTCGCAGATATAACTTCTCCCCACGGTATCCACCCCAAGCGCAAAAAGAATAGTGTACTCAAGGAACCATCTAGATCTCGGCTTGCCCACCAACCGTCGGGACCTCGGCAATGTTCCGCTCGCAATACAAACAACGGAGCAAGCCGTAGATCAGTGGGCGTCCTTGGCAAAACCCTTGTTGGACGCAGGTCCGAGGGCCTATTTTCCTTTAACTTTTGCTGCGTCGGAACCGCGCCAACCCGAAGAGGTCTGGAGATAGAATAAAATTCATTCTTCTCTTTTTTTCCTGGTCAGATCCGGATGGAAAGGGTAAAACCTCTCTAATCACTTCTTGGGAAACCCTGACGCATGTGAGCACAAGTCCATCGGTGGCCGGGCAGGTAAGCCACCCGCCGACAAGCTCCGTCGCTGCTGTAGATAAGCCTGAGATTCTTTTACTCACTTCCCCTATTTTCTTCACTTTTTCGCTCGCTCCTCATCCTGGTCGTGGTTGCCCTACCCGCTTCGCCTCGATCGCCGGTCACAATGTCTCGTTTGCTTGTCTCTTCGCTCGCCGTACTGGGCGTTGCGTCGGCTCAGTACTCTGCTTACTACCACCCGTCCGCCAATGGCCTGCCGGACAAGACGGAGAACGGGCAGACAGGGACAAACAAGTGCGGAACAGAGTCGTCGCAGACATCCCAGTGCCAAAATGTTTACGTTGACAGCATCGACGACTTTTGCGTCTTTGGTCCGCCCAATGGCGGTGAGGTGGCCGCGAACGAGGCTGTCGAGGTGTCCTACTGCACAAAAGCTGGTCGAGGAACCCGTGTCCTTCCCGAAGGAACCATCACGGGCGCACACTTCGTCAGGACGCCCTCGTACGTTCAGGTGACGGGCGAGGGTGACTTTACCAAGATTGGCATCTCTCCAGGCGATCAGGGAGGTGAGCTCGACCCTCACGGTGCAGACGGGACCGGCAATCCAAAGGGCGGCCTTGTATTTGTCAACGGAGTACAGTCACACGAGTGGTTCAACTTCATGGGCGCCACCGACTTCTGCATTCGCGCATGCTTCGATGGAGACCGGGCTACATCGCTCTGCCGTCACACGTACGACGAGCTCGGATGCGGGTGAGTAAAGCAGAGGGAAAAGAGCATAACAATCAAGAAAGCTAAAATGTGGAATCTGGCCAGCTTCAATGCCCCTGGCAACTATGCGACGAACGTTTTTGAGTCGTGCGAGGGAGATGATGCGCAGGATGTGAGTCCACCTATGTCTCCTACGATTGGCCACCTCTTCTGAAATGTGTTCCGTAGATCATGTACGGCTACCCTGGTCTCGGCACCTTTGTGCAGACCGACACCTCGAACGGCGTTGCAGTTCCTTCGCCGCACCCTGCTCCCGCTTCATCCAACTGTCAAAACGTCAACAGTGCTCAGCTCGGCGGCACAGCGACCAACTTTGGACGCAATGCTCAGACATCAGCTCCTGCCTCATCATCGAGCAGCTCGAGCTCCTCTTCTACCACTCCATCTTCTACCTCTTCGTCTACGTCATCCACTTCTTCGTCCTCTTCCAGCACTAGCACCGTCATCGCGGTGCAAATGTCGACTTCGATCACCTCATCTAGCCCAGCAAGCACCGTCGTCCAGACCTCCGCGAATGGGCCGACCGCTACCGTGAACAGTGGGCGCAGTGCTCAGGATGCCACGGCAGGCGCATCCTCTCTCGCTGTTTCTACTCTCGGCGCGGCAACCATCGTCTCCTTCGTCGTCGCGATTTCCCTTTCCTCTTAGTTTCTTACGACGGACTTTACATTACAATACTTCGGGATAATTCTCACATTGCAGCCAATGGACACTCGTAATGCGCTTGCATCAAGCTCGCTCTCCTCTCTCTGTGAAGAAGAACCTGGTCCGGTACGACCTTATTTGTTGAGTCTTCATCCCGTCACAGGATTCCATGTCATAAAGGGTATGAGAAAGGAGAGAACCGATGAGGCGCAGAATTATCAGGCCACCTCCTTGAGTGCGCCCGTCTTGACGTCGTAGACGAAGCCGCGGACTTTGGTACCCTTGACCAGACCGTTGGTGCGCAGGAAGTCAACGTCGGCCTTGACGTTCTTTTCCAGGTCGGGAAAGTCGAGGAAGTCGAGCGAATCGAGGTGCTGCTTGGCCGCGCCCGAATCGAGCTTGAGGTTCGTCGCAATAAGTTGGCGGGCCTGGGGCGTCGTGAAAGCTGTTGCCATGAGTGGAGTGAGGTCAGTGGTCTACTCAACGCAGCACGACATAACAAGACTCACTCAGCATGCCACAATCGGTATGCTGTACGACGACGACCTCCTCGGTGCCGAGGAGCTGCTGCGAGATGATGACACTGCGGAGTGCCTCGGGGGCGCGACCGCCGGCGTTCCTAAGGTAGTAATGATCGTGTAAGCATGGTATTTGACAGAAATCTCTACAGAAATCTCTACAGTGACGCTCACCGAATGACATGGGCTTGCCCTTCCTTGATGCCGAGGGCGGCCTCGGGAAGGATCCTTGCGTCCATGCACGTCAGCACAGCCACCTTCTTGCTAGGGGGCATGGGCAGCTGCTCGGCCTTGCGAGAGGCGGCATACTGGGCGTTGGCGGAGAGGATATCCTGGGTGGCAGACATCACGAACGGTGTGAAAAGCAGATTCAGTTGGACAAGAGGACAAAGCGGGCAAGGCAAGAAGCAATCCTGGAGGCTGGTCCGCTCGCCTATTTAAACTCAAGCGCAGATCGGCTCATATCAGCTCACATCAGGAAGGCCAGCTTCGACCCTTAGGCCTGCCGCCACCCGACTTGATATGCTAGAAAGTGGCTAGACCGGGACCTTGCCTCTATTGATGTCGTGTGCAACCATTGACGATGGCGCAATCGCAATGCAGCCCCACTCGCTCGGTCCACCTCCAACCTTTGGAGAAAAAAAAAGTTAATCGCCTGGCCCGTGCTCACTGACCGATCTCGCTGTAGGTGATTGAAACCGTTACACTCTCTACTATTGCCATAGGAGAGCTCTACGAATACAAGGTATGGGGCCACCTCTACCGGTGACCAATACAAGACACTTGAAGAATAAACACATAAGCCGGTGAGAAAGAGGTGACGTTATGAGATCGTTGAGAAGAGTACAAAGTCGTCGCGGCGTGCAAGCAATGGGACGGGAAGAAGGGCAATGAGGATGCTCGCTCAAGACGTGTAGCTTGCCACATGCTGTGCAATGATGGGCTCAATGTCCGTCGCAAAGTGGCGATCTGAAAGGCGCTGGATCGTCAGTGCCAAGCTCTTCATGTAGGCGCCTCCAATTTTGGACTCACCGTCGTACCAGAGGTAGCCACTGCAGCTGCTCAAGTTCTCGCATTCGTCTTTGGTGTTCTTGATGCCATACTGGCCAGGGTTGCTCTGAATAGACTTGACGAGGGAGCTGAAGGGGAAGATCTTCACCGTGCCTTGGCCTCGACTGTTGAGCTGGTTGACGAGAGTCTTGAGCTGCGAGTTGTAGTTGTTGACATACGTCACTACATCGCTCTTGCGGCTCGAACTGCGCCAGTGAGGGTTGGTCGAGTAGTCGTACATGTCGAACTGGACAAAGTTGCGGAAGCCAGCGTTCATGAGCAGTTGGTATTGGGTGCGCAGGGCGGAGATGTCATTGGCAACTGTGCCCCTGCTGTCCGTGATGGCCGACTCGATGTCGTTGCCTCCAGCCAACTGGGTGACAGCCCACGTCGATGCAGCTGGAGTGATGATCTTGGCCTGGTAACTCCGGCCTCCGTACTGAGTAAAGTAGAGGCGCACCTGAGCCGCCAAGTCGGGCGGGCTCGACGTCGTCGTGAAGTGGTTGTTGTCGGCGACGGAGCCCCTGCACGGTAATGAAATCAGCCTTCAAGCAACTATGAGGCGTGAGGCGAAGGCACGACTCTGCTCACCTCTGAGCAAAGATCTGAACGTCCCACGAGGGGTTCTGGCTCTTGAGGCGCTCGCCCCAGACGGGGGCGGCCATTGCGCGTCCGGTCGGTGGGCTCGGACAGCTAGGCCACGGGTACTGCGCCGCCGCCGATGAGCCACCCTGACTGCGCCAGACATTGCAGTTGTCCGACTGGCTGTCGCCGAAGATGACGACCGTCTTGGACGCAGCTCTTGGCACGGGGGTCGACGCGACCTCAGCGCCGATGAGAGTCAGAGCAAGGGTGAGGGCAGCGGCGACTCTCATGATCGAGGGTGCAGGGCGAGGGAGACTTCGTTGAGGGTAAGTTAGAGGGTGTGGGAATGCAGCCGCCCCACAGTCCTTATATACGTACCGTGCGTCTTACAGGTCTGAGCTGCGCGAACGTGAGAGAGGAGCAGAAACAATAATATAATGGGCTCGGGATCTCTAGCTTTGCAAACGTGCTTGTCTGCTGCCTCCCCCTGCAAGGTGCGGCCGCCGGGAGCACCAGGCAGGCCAGGTAAACGATCTCGATCTCGTCGATAAATTTGCTGCCATTGCCCTCGTCATACCGTTGAGCAAAGTCAATTAGAATTTCTGCCGAAAAAGGTCTATCAGGCACAGAAGGTCCGGACCCCTTTCCTAGTGCCATTCAGCTGACACTCTGTTTGACTGGAAAGCAGCCTGAAAGCCGCTCTGAAGCTGAGACCATTGCCGTGATTGCAGATCTAGAACCGTGACTCAACCTCCCCGTCGTTAGGCTCGCAGCACCTTTTTTTTCTTACACTCCCGTCCGCACCAAAGATCGTTCTCCGTTTGAATATTCTTCCCGCGTCCAACGGAAATTTGGGCCTGGAACGTTGCATTCTCCGTCCCCCCCCGCCTTGAGCGCGAGAAAATAATTTTACGCATTCTAGGACGAAGGGGAAAAACATGGCGCTAGTCCCTCGTCCCGTTCCCTTGGAGTGAGGATCAGAGATAGCGGAGGAACGTGTATTTCCCGCCATCCTTGGATAAAAAGTGAATTCGGGAGTATGCAGATCATCGACCCGCAACAGACTCAAAGATAATTAGCCTCTGGAATATTCGGTGGTCCCAGCTGGTGCGATTGCAAAGGATGTGGATCCGGCGATCGTTGCTTACAGGCCTTCGCTGCCACGGAGCAGATGCTCTCCTCGAGCACCGCCGAGGAAGCGCACCACCTTTCTAGCGAGGATGTGGAAGGCCCTTGAGCTGGGATGAAGCGCTGGTGGCAAAGGAGCAGAGGACACGTTCAGCCTGTCATTCTGTGGGAAATCGCCCTAAGAGCCGAGACTCACCGTCGTACCAGAGGTGCTCATCGGGGTTTTTGCACGCGCCACACGGCTCATCGACAACGGTGAAGCCATACTCGGAGTTCCGGTCGTGGAATCGCTCGAAAAGAGCAAAAGCCGGGAACGTCTCAATGTGGGACCCATCGTGCTTCCAGGCCAAGTTAAGCTCGGTGAAGAGACGTGCCTGCTCCTGGTTGTCCTGTCGAACGTGGACTTTTGTCCGTCGTCGCTGGTCCGGCGTGTTGAGCAGTGGCGCGTCTTGGAGCTTGATGTTCTCAAAGACGAGGAACCGCCGGAAGCCGAGATCGTGCAGCTTCTCGAGCCTGCGCTTTACACATGCTGTCTCCTGTCGCACGTTCCCTGTCCCGTTGTTGATGATGGTGACATCATTCGTACCGATGAAGAGCGCTAGGACCGTTGTGCTGGCGTTAGTGTAAATCTTGCCGGCGGGAGCCGTGGTGTTGTAACGTGTCTGGTACAGGTGCGTTTGCTGACCGACATCCGGCACTGCCCGCCCGAAAATGTTGTTGTCACAGACTGCACCACTCTGGGCCAGGTTGACGATGTTCCACTGATTTGACCCGTGGCCCTTGACGGGACTGCCTCCAGGAGGCGAGCCCTTGGACTCGACCTGGTGCTGATCGACACGGATCCACTCGGGCCAGGATCGGCCGCCGTCTGCTCGGCCCTTGGGATTCGGTGGGCAGGTGGGAAATGGATACCGGTGCGTGAGTGAGTTGTCACGCTTGTACACGTTGCAAGAGTCACTATAGCTGTCTCCCAGCACGACCATGTCGGTAATCGGCCTTTGCGGAGGACGCGGTGGTTCGATGACGAGCGCCTGCACCATCGCAACAGCAGCGAGGAACCCAGCAGAGATACAGCCAAGGGAGGCCTTCTTCATCTTGTCAGCGCTTCAGAGAGTTGAGAGACAGAGATGGGGAAGGGGAATAGCGTTGGAGCTCAGGACGGGGGAAGGGGTGGTCGGGATGAGATGTGGGACAAAGGGATGCCTGCCATTTCCACATGAAGCATGGACCCACTCGGTCCGTCGGCTCGAATGATATGCACTCCGCGCAGCAGCTCTGGTAGCAGCAGCAAGGTGCGCTTCTTAGCAAAGCTCATATGGAACTCGGTTCCTTGGAAAAAGGGGGAAAGAGAATAGGAACACAGCACAGGCACCGTGACCCCACCCTCATCTCTCCCTACAGTAGCTTCTCCGAGGCAGGCACATAAAGAGGCGCTAAATTCGCGGGGATGTCGGCGAACATAAAGGAAGCAAATAAATTGATTGCTCAACATGGAAGGCGTGGCGCTTCGATACCGATGCATCTTGCATCGCTCCACCTCGCCAGGCCTCGTCACCATCGTGCTACATGAGCCCAGTCGTCTACAATTTGACGCGAGGAAGACAAAGTAACGTAACTACAGGGTCAATATGGCACCGAAATCTGACCCTTCACTCATGTATGGGAATGGCCGGGCAGCACGCGATCGCTCGGCGAGAAACTCCTTCGCCTTCTCTGCGGGCTGTTCTCTGGGTAGGCAATCAGCGGAGGGAGAAGGTGAGGGGCTGCTTCCTTGTGAACTGGAAGTCCAGGCGCGTGGACCTGGCCGCAAGCATGCGTGACAGGCTCCCCGAAGCTGGCGTGACCGTCGCTTCGGGATTCGGGCTGCGCTGGGTTGAAGAGGCCCACATCTGTCGCTCGACGCCTGCGAAGGAACGACGATGGCGTCGCGAGCATCGAAACGGAGCTGTATTGCACTGCCTCCTTCTTGCTCCGACCGTGGTGACTGCTCTTGCTGCCGCTGCCTTTCTTGGAAGGTCTTTGACCTTCCGGTGCCAAGGGAATCGTCGCAGCTTGCGTGATGCCAGTGGGTCCAACATTGGCATACAATGAACGTAGCGATGGCAATGATGCCACAATGCTTGGCGACTGGATCGATGGATCGAAAGCAGTGGCATTCAGATTAGGAAGCTGGTCGCCTTTGTTGACAGGGTGAGGAGCAATCGGGTCCAGCTCCAAGTCACTCGAGTGGTCGCTTTCGCTCTCGTCTTCGAGCATGTCGTGCTCTCTGTCCTCTTGCTCCTGCTCTTCTTGGCCGGTCTGCATGTCTTCGTCATCGGGCACCGACTCGCTCGTCTCCTTGTCAAATTTGGAAGGAGCTGCCTTGCGCTTCGGTCGATCGCGGCGTTCCTCGGCGCCTTGTACCGCTCTGACCTTTTTGGGCATCGAAGTCGGTAGCGTCTCGCCGCTCTTGATGTCCAGCGGCTTGTTGCTGCCCCAGTGCCTTTTTCGCTTTGCACCACAGCAAGACGTCTGCGGTACGGTCCTCCCAGAATCCTGTCCGGCCAGGATCGGGGAGGGGGTCTGGCTCGAGCTCACATTACCTTCTGTTCCGGCTTCCTGATCTCGGACAACGTGCTCGTGGACATCAAGCCGATGCTGGTGCTGCTTGGATCTCATCGACTCCTCTTCTTGCAGAGTAGCTGCCAAAGGAGGAGAACAGCGACACATTCGACGGTACGCGGCCAACTTCTCGTGGAGCTCATGCACGTAGTCTGCCATGATAAGAGGAAGGCCTTTTGTTAGCATTTACTCGCAAAGCATAAGCGACTACATCTAGGAGCATACTGACCGACAGTGTGGCTGATAATGCACAGCTTCTCCAAAATCATCTGTGTCTCCACTTTCTCCTCCATGAGCCGGTCCACTTCGGACCCCACGTCCCGTTCCGTCGCCCTTTTGGAGGAGGACGAGGGCCCGCCTTTCTTTGCTGCGACCTTGGCCGCCAGCAGCTCGCGCAATTCCTCGCGGCAGGCAGGCACCGTGGCCTGGAGCTGGATGAGGCCTTCGTTGATCTTTTCGCGACGGCGTCGCTCAATGACGCTGTGCGACGTCTTGCGCCTCAGGGGCCTCGATTTGCGTTTTGGCGCTCCTGTTTCGCCCGCCGTGACTGCCGCCGGCGCTACTGTCTCAGTCGACTGAGTCGTTGCCATTGTTCCTCCAGCAGTCATCCTCGTTGTTGCAGTTTTCGGATCACAGAAGAGACAGAAAAGGAGAGAGAGGTGGGAAGAGGACCTTCACGGGCCATACGACATCCAACCAAGATGCAGTGGTGAGGGGGGTACCCTCTCAGTTATCAGACGCATCTCATTATTATCGGAGAGTCCTGTACAGTACTGTACGTGCACACACGACACTGCTGACCCACCCACCCTTTTTGTGTGGAAGGGTACGAAGTCCTACTCAGGAGAAAAAAAAAGAGACTGGCCAGAGAGTGAGGATGCAACAATAGCAATTTGCAGGTAAGTGGAACCGAAAGGGTACACGTCGTGATAACAGCCACGGGTGGCGCAAGAAAAAAAATAATCAAAATATCAGGTTCGTCAGATAGGCTCGAGGAAAGCGCAGTCGAGGAGGCTGTCGCATGACCGGAGGGGTTCATGGAGGTCACGCTCAACCATCTTACAGTCGGACTCTCGAAGATGGCGCTGCGGGAACGTTCCTCGCAATTCTCCCTTAGAAGGAATGTCCCTCGCAATTCCTCCTTAGAGAAGAGAGTAAAACGGGTCGCGGTGCGGCCTTGCTAGCTCTAAGAGAACAATGGTTGGGATTGAATATCGATGGACTACAAGTACACTTGAATTAGAAGCGTCGATGGAAGTGGTGAGTCTGTGGAGCGGCCGCGACATGGAGTGGTGGTAGAAGGGCAGCGACAATGGCAAGAGACAAGGTCTAACGGTTGAGCTCGACAAAGAAGATTATCTTGTTCTCGTCTCCGTCGACGATGTGCAGCTCACGGGTACCCCATGCCTAACAGTACAAAAGTCATATCAGCGGCGTGGCCACCAGGTGTGTATCTTATCCAGGCAGACCAGTGCTCACCTTGTTCTGAGGCTTGCCGAGAATCTTGACGTCGCCGAAGCTGTGCGTGGGAAAGTATTGGTCCGTCTTGGGCTTGTACTTTTCCCATACCTCCGTCACCTCCTCAAAGACCTTGTCAACGTCGGCGACAAGGATCCAGAGCGTCTGAGGGGGCGGTGCGCTTCGCTGCCCATCAAAGCCCATGGGGCTGATGCGCAGGTAGAGCTGAATGCTGTCGCCAGGCGCGCCCTTGGTCGTCGAGATGGGGACCGCGTCGGGCTGAGAGGCACGAACGAGGGACGCATGCGAGTCGTCGGGCTTGCCGAGGAAGGAAAACCCGAGGAAGTCTTTGTAGAACGATGCTGCCTTCTTGACGCTGATGTCAACGGAGTCAGCGGTCAACAACGTGATGAGCAAGCTTCGTGCATGGCTACACACTTTGCGACGTAGAAGCAGGGAATAGCTTTGAGGAGCGTTGCCTTTTTCGCAATCTTGCGAGGGGCTAGGGGAGGTGTAGAGCAAGGTGAGCCAGCTGTGCGAGCAGCAGCAACGACCTGGCTTGAGAGCTCACCGACACGGTCAAAGGTCTCGGACTCTTCGAAGCTGTGCGACTCTGCAGTGTCTGCTGCGATTTTTTCGGCCTCGGTAGGGATGGCGGCCCTCTGATTATCCGCAATAGGCTTGGGGAGCGAGGGAGGGGCAGGCATCGGCATTCCCATGTTTGTTGACTTGGGCAATGTGGTGGCGTCCGAGTTCACGCTATTATAGATCGTCGTTGTGAGTCAAGGATCCATCAGTTATCGCCTCACGACGCCTTGCCACTCACACGTTGCGCGAAGCCTGGATGGCGGCGCTGAAGTCTGCCTTTTGCTCCGACGAGAGTGACAGGCTCAGCCCAGGCCGTTTTCTGGGCTTGATGTCGGGCGTGGTGGTGAGAGCCGTCATGTGGGTAGGAAATGAGGGTGGCGGACTCGCAGAACGGTCGAAAGGCCGTCAGTGTCCAGCGCTAAGGGACTGACGGGCAATAGGGCCCTAGCTTGGCACTTTAAAACCCCTTCGAGCCAATGGCCGGTGCTGGATTGGAGCGGAGTACGGGCGCCCGGTAATTGTACAGCTACGTGGAGGAAAGACCAAACACGGCCACACTTTAATTAGGTACCTCTAGTGGTGGCGTGCGTGGGGTATTGTTGGTCGTCAAGTGCGTCTACTGTCGAAACAATCGAGCGTAAACGGTCGTATTCTAGTGGTGGTGGTGATGATGATGATGGTGATGGTGGTGCTTACGGTGCTTGTAACAACTGAGAAGCTGAGATCACATTCAGAGTCAGAGTCAGAATCAGAGCCCGCGCAGCCATCTGTTCGCTGCTCTATCTCCGCATTGAAGGGTGCCCCCCTCGGCGCGACTTTGCCGTATTCGGCGAGACTCAACAAAATGCGACGCGCGCCAAAACTTTATGTCGCACGGGCCACATCGTTAACACGTGGCATGATGCCGAATTTACACGTGCGCGAGCACCGCAGTCCAACAGAAGTCGCCTGCTTCAAGACTGCCACTCTGGACCACCCCTCCTCACACCCTCCCCCTCAAGATCATTGCGACAAAATGGCTGAGTCCGGCAAGTCCATGTGAGTAGAGTGCGCGAAGAAATGAGGGCTACGGAGCTAGGGTCTGACCGCTCCTTCTCATCCATCAGCAACCCCATGAAGGTTAGTACCCAGATTGAACCATGGCGAAGAAGAACGAAGTTGGAAGAAGCGGACAGGAAGGCGGGGCATGCAATGGGTCGGAGGGAGCTCGGACTCACAGTGGTGTCGGCTGGAAGGGAGTGATGGGGACCGGCGCGAAGAGTTGTTCAGCTTGGTGGGACGATCTGGTATGGGAGGGACGGGAAGGGTAGAAGAGATTACACGTCTCAGGTGACCCCCTTGCCGCCTTCGAGCGTCCATCCCTCGAGCTTGTCCCAGTTTCCTTCCAAGATCTCAAGGATTGGACACATTGCGTGTGCGCGTAAAGAGGCACAAGGGAGAACTGTCTGCCTAAAGACTACCCCACGCTGTTCTTACAAAAGAGCATTCTACCTGCAAGAGGAGGGCTTCGGACTGGGCATGGTCATGCAGAGCGGGCGGCGGTGCACCCAGAAGACAAAGCTCGAGAGATTGACTCGGAGTACTGACCCTCGTTGCCTCCTCTCTTTCCCAACAGGAGCTCCGCGTTGACAAGCTCGTCATCAACATCTCGGTCGGCGAGTCGGGTGACCGTCTCACCCGTGCCACCAAGGTGCTCGAGCAGCTGACCGGCCAGTCGCCCGTCACCTCGAAGGCCAGGTACACGCTCCGTGGTTTCGGTATCCGCCGTAACGAGAAGATCGCCTGCCACGTCACCATCCGTGGACCCAAGGCCGAGGAGATTCTCGAGCGTGGCCTTAAGGTCAAGGAGTACGAACTCAAGCGCGGCAACTTCTCGAACAACGGCAACTTTGGCTTCGGTGTCAACGAGCACATTGACCTGGGTATCAAGTACGACCCCGGTGTGGGCATCTTCGGTATGGACATGGTCGCCGTCATGGCGCGACCCGGGTTCCGCGTCTCGAAGCGCCGGGAGCGCAAGTCCCGAGTTGGTTCCTCGCACAGGATCAAGAAGGAGGAGACTGCTGCCTGGTTCCGTCAACGCTTCGACGGCATCATCCTCGCCAAGTAAAAAAAAGGAGGTTCTCTTCAGATCCACTTGTCTCTTGTAGTTTATAGACGGGCGAAAAAGTAAACTTTCTTTCTCTCCGTTGCCCTCCTGACGCCCACGGCACCTTACCCTCATGTATGCGTCATGGTCATGTCTCTCTTCTCACCGCATCATCCCACCAATTCACACATTCAGAGCGAATTTTGAATCTGCAGGGCGATCGGGCGAATCGTCGAGTCATCTTGACTCGACGCAACCTTAGTGCGCTTGTCCTTTGTAAGAAACACCGCTGAGTTCTTGCTGGATTTCAGTAAGCCCAACCCAACCTTGTTGAGCCTCACCACGTACGAAAACCACAGGGCATGACGCGATCACAGAATGGCTCGACTTCACTATCCGAGGTGGACATCGAGCCGATGGGGCCTGGAGATGTGGATAGATGTGCATTCCTCGTCTTTGATACCTTTGACTTTGTCCTGAAAGGCTTCGTTTTGGACGAGAAGCTGTGCAACGAAGAAGTGCGACTAAAGTACAGAACTGCGAATGTGCGATATCAGACGGCCCATCGTAATCTTCAGATCAAGGTGGCCCGCGAGAGGTCGGGGGACCGCAGGATTGTGGGCATCTCGGCGTACAAGGTGGTCAACAACGACGCGCCCTCCGCGTCAACGGCCTCGCCACCTGAAGCACCTGCAGGCCTAGACAAGGAACGATGGTTCAACTTTGCGGCCAAGGAGGACGACTACGCGGAGATGGTATACGGCAAAACAGCTCGCTGCGATCTCTGGTTTCTAATCGTCACGAAGGAATACCAAGGCACGGGGCTGGGCAAGCGCCTTTTTGATGAATACGTCAGGGGCGCAAACGGCCTTCCCTTGTTCCTCGTCTCCTCCCCCACGGCTGTCACGTTTTACCAACGTATCGGTTTCAAAGTGGTTGAGCAGGCCGCAGAGGACGGCGGAATGAACATCAAGCGAAAGCACGACACATCGCCCCCTCAGGCAGGCGAGCTTGTCTGGCCCATGTACAGGTCCTCGCCTGCGTCACATTGAAAGACGTCTTCTGTCGCGTGCGCGCACTGGAGATTTGAGAAACGCAAATCAATGTACCCATTACAAAACCCTGGTTTGTTTGCGAAAATTTTACAGCAACAATTAAAGCTCTATTCATTCCGAAAAATTTTCAACTTGAAGGGGAGAAGCGACAGGAAAAAAAAAGGGAATGGAAGAGAACGGCGCTGCGCGCGCTCTCTGTGTGCGTGAAATTTTAGGATAGGGTGAAGGAGGCGTTAACTGACATCTTGGTTTACGACCACAAACAAGACACAACGACCAGACAAAGCATGACCTTTGAGAATAAGCAAAATGGATCGACTGGTGACTCTACCAGCCTAGAGGGCAACTTTGGTGAGTTTGATTGGATATGACTTGGTGGCGACACCCTCGACGGGCAGCTTGGAACAAAAGGCGCGCTCGCTGATGAGACGGTGGCGTTATGATGACTGTGGTCATTCTTGTCTTTCCTTCATTTGATGATGGTGCTCTTGCTTACACTCTCTCTTGACACAAACTCCAGCCCAGATGAACGTCGGCGAAAACGGAAAGGCTCCCAACGGAAACGGAACTGAAGCACCCCGCAAGACGGCCTACGTACCCCCTCACATTCGCAAGGGACTTTCGTCCCAAGCTCCTTCTTTTACGCCAAGGTGAGTCTCGCATATTGACAGAGAACTCTTTTCACGTAATGTTGTCGCTGACTGCTTCCAACTGTGTTACTTAATAGAACCAATGGGCACTCTCCAGAGGCCCCTCCCATGAGGGCCGCTCTTGGCGGCGCCCCCGCTCCCTCGTACAACGCATTCGGCGGCGGCGCACCACGGACTGGTGGCGGTTTGGCATCTCGAGCTGGTGGTGGTGGCTGGGATGCTCCTTCATCTTTCTCTAGCGGGCCTCGCGGAGGCGGTGGCGGAGCTGGCTTCGGTGGTGGTGGCGGCGCCGGCTTCGGTCAGTGGCGTGATGGCGCCCATCAAGTCGGAGCCGTGAACCAGCGACTGCAGAAGGAGCTCTTTGGTGAGACCGGAGATGGTCTTTCGCAGGGAACGGGCATCAACTTCGACAAGTACGGCGACATTCCCGTGGAGGCCACTGGTCGCGACTGCCCCGAGCCCGTCACGGAATTCACTTCGCCTCCCATCGATGCTCACCTGCTGGACAACATCAAGCTTGCCCGCTACACCACGCCGACGCCTGTGCAAAAGTACTCTATTCCCATTGTCGCGCAAGGCCGGGACCTCATGGGCTGTGCTCAGACTGGTTCGGGCAAGACGGGCGGTTTCCTCTTCCCCATTCTCTCGGCCCTCTTCACTCACGGTCCCCCACCACCACCGCCGGAGATGGCGAACGGCGGCTTCGGACGGAGAAAGGCTTTCCCTACCACCCTTATCCTAGCTCCTACCCGCGAGCTGGTTTCTCAGATCCACGAAGAAGCACGCAAGTTCACTTACCGATCGTGGGTGAAGCCTGCCGTTGTCTACGGTGGTGCCGACATTGGCCAGCAGCTTCGCCAAATCGAGCGCGGCTGCGACCTGCTCTCGGCTACGCCCGGTCGTCTTGTCGACCTCATTGAGCGTGGCAGAATTAGCCTGGCCAATGTCCGCTTCCTCGTTCTCGATGAGGCTGACCGCATGCTCGACATGGGTTTCGAGCCCCAGATTCGTCGCATCGTTGAAGGCGAGGACATGCCTGGTGTCATGGATCGCCAGACGCTCATGTTCTCGGCCACTTTCCCCCGCGACATTCAGCTCCTGGCCAAGGATTTCCTGAAAGAATACGTCTTCTTGTCCGTCGGACGAGTTGGCTCCACCTCGGAGAACATCACGCAGAAGATTGAGTATGTGGAGGACGAAGAGAAGCGTTCGGTTCTTCTCGACGTCCTCCAGTCGATGCCGACTGGCGGCTTGACGCTCATCTTCGTGGAGACGAAGCGTATGGCCGACATGCTCTCGGACTTCCTCCTGCGCTCAAACATCGGCGCCACTTCCATCCACGGCGACCGCACGCAGCGCGAGCGTGAACGAGCCCTTGAGCTCTTCCGTACGGGCAAGACGCCCATCATGGTCGCCACAGCTGTCGCTGCCCGAGGTCTCGATATCCCCAACGTCACGCACGTTGTTAACTACGACCTCCCCTCCGACATCGACGACTACGTTCACCGAATCGGCCGTACCGGACGTGCCGGCAACACTGGTCACTCCACGGCCTTCTTCAACCGTGGAAACCGCAACATCGTCAGGGACCTCTGTGACCTTCTCAAGGAGGCCAACCAGGAGGTGCCTTCGTGGCTTGAGGCCGTCTCGCGCGAGTCTGCCTTTGGCGGCGGCGGCGGCTTCCGCGGACGCGGCGGTAGCCGAGGAGGCTCTCGCGGTGGACGCGGCGCCAGCTTTGCGGGTCGTGATGCACGCTTCTCCGGCGGCGGTGGTGGCGGCTTTGGAGGCGGCTTTGGCGCCAAGACCGGCGGAGGCTACGGAGGTGGCTTCGGCGGCCCTCCTAACATGAGCGCCGGCGGTTTTGGTGGACCCCCGCCTACCAATGGTGGCGGCAGCTACGGTGGTGCTGGTGGTCCCTCTTGGTGGTGATCTATTCATCACCTCTAGACCTGATCGAAGGGCTTTTCGTCAAACGGCTTCTTCTTCGACAACACCCTTTCTCTTTTCTCCTTCGGAACGACTCGATACGAGCTATGAAAAAAACCTATGTCTCGGCATATGCGGCAGGATGACTTCTCCTGGCACCGACTCCTTCCCTTCTCTCTAGATTTTTCCCCACCTTCAATTCCTCAATGGGCCTCGTTAATCAACACTACCCCCAAAAAAAGAGACGACAAAGCGACCGTCGATGTTTTTTTCTCTCCTCTTCAGCATCCACCATCAAGACAAAAACATAGACGGTTTCTCCAACATCATCATCAACTTGTGTCAACATTCAACGAGGCTTTCGGGGATCATCAATTCATGTGTCAAGGGGAAAATTGTCATTTGCTGCATTCTTTCTTCTTCTTCTTCTCTAGTATTAGTAGTCGTGTCCCTTCAACCTCTCTGGCCTGAGGAAGGACCATCATTACTTTTACTTCCTTCTTTCCTGTTACATTCTACTATCTCTCGTTCTATAGAAATGTCCTTTTCCTACAAAAACAGTCTGCTGTGTGATTGGGTTGATGGGATCAGTCACCAAAGCGAATGTCGCCCCCCTGCCAAGCTCCCCACTGCCGCTGCGGTGTCTGCTGTTGCTGTTGCGCCTGCTGGTATTTGCTTTCCGAAAGTTGTCTTTCGACGTTCTGCTCCTCTGCCCGCGCCTGCGCCCTTGTTCGTGGCTTACTGGGCGTACTCGATGCCGACGAGGTGCCCTGCTGTATGCTCATCCTCGAAGCCGCCTCGGCCAAATGCCCGTCCATCTGTCTGGCCCTGTTCCATTCTTTCACCTGTTGTCTGAGCTCGTTGAGCAATTTGGCCAGCTGATTGTAGAAGCCGATTCCCTCGACGAGGTGAGATTCAATCTCGCGATACTTTTGATGGGCGGAATCCAGCGTCTGCAGCGCCCGTTCACGTCGCTTGACCGTCGTGTCGATCTTTCGAGCTTCGAGGAAATCATCATTACGTTGCTAATGTGGCCCGACTCAGCAATTTGTCCGCGGAATGACTGAGAGTTACACGATAAAAGCCACTCACCCGGATACGCTCGAGCCTTTCGGCCTGATCACTTTCACTGAGGTCAAGCTCACGCTTGAATTTGTCGTACTTCTGCATCTCAATCTCAAACAAAGGCTCAAAGTGGGCCGCTTGAATGACCAGCGCTGACCCACCGCCACTAGCGGTGGCATTCGCTGCAATGGCGCCTGCTTCGCGCATCACCTTTGGTCGAACGTCGTCCGACGCAGCTGTTGCTTTCACCTCAGCTAGGATCGACGCACGCGAGTCGAGCAGATCGTCGAGGCCCTCGAGTTCAACGCGCAGCGCCCTTACGGCCCTCGACTGCTTCTGTAGTTGTGGATCTGTGGCGGAGGCGTGCGAGGAGGAAGCGACGTGCTGTGCGGGTACGGCAGCCTCGAGTGCCTCTCGACCGCCTTCGAGGATCCCGATGGAGTCTTGAGCTTCCTCGAGCTTTTGCCGGACTGTTGCGTCGGCCGATGCCGCATCAGCAAGATTTTTTTGGAACTCTTGGACTCTTTGAGTGAAGTGATTCCACGCTTCGTCGGGCGGTCGACGGGATGCATCGTCGTCTAACGTGGCACTTATCTCGCCTAGGAGGTCGGTGTCCATCGTCGAACTTTGTCTGACGTTGTCGAGGAGAGCCTCGATGCGACCAAGGCCACCTTCTGACCGAATTTCGTCTGATTTGCGCAACAGCGATGGTGGCAACCCGACCGGTTGTTCCAATGCTTGCAAAGAGCCAGGAAGATTGAGGCTCTGCAAAGTGGTGGTGGCGATGCCATCAAGCTCCTCGCGCCTGGTTGCGATCTCGTCTCGGACGAAGGTATCTTTGCGGTCGTCGTAGATGCTGAGTGCCAGATGGACACCATAGGGAACGAGCTCCTGGAAAAGCGGTCTGCCAAAGGCTGGTGCAGGGGAATCCCGCAGTAGAGGGATTGGATTCGAAACCTCCGGTGGGCACTTCTCTTGCACCATCACTGCCGCTGTGACAGGAGCGAGTTGAGCTACGGGAGTTACTGGCTCAAGATAAATCAGATCGTTATCTTTCGTTGCCCGTGCGATATTTGACGCCAGAACCCCTTGAAGCGATTTGAGATCTGCGACGATGGCTTCCGACACGTCTCGCTTTGAAGACTCAAGTGCTTTCTTGACGTGCTGTTCTGCCAGTTTGAGCCGGCTTAATTCGTCCCCGTACCTATTAGAACCCAAATCGTCGAGACTCTTTCGGTACTGAGCAGCGCCTGCAAAATGCCACCGCTTCACCGTCATGTGGTTGATCCACTCTCGAGGCAGCTCACAGCCCTCTTGAACGTCGTCTGGCGAAGATGGCACCACGCCCTCCGAGGCAATGTCAAGTGCCTTTGCGTAGAAGTCAGAGACTGCCATGGCAAGCTTGGCGATCGTAGCGTCCTTCAAACGGTCTTTGTGGCGAAGCGTGAGACCAAGCGTGATTGAAACTTTGAGAGTGTCACTCACCAAGGACAGCCTTCTGCCAGAAGCACTCTTGAGCCTGAGCAAGCATTGCTTCTCTGAGAGAGGCAAGCATGGCTGGCTTGAGATCGGTGTCGGCGCATCTAGCGTATGTGCCTGAGAAAAGGTGAGAGATCTGAGGGTATAAGATGGTGAGGATATAGTTCAAGATTCCCGCTGATGACTGCGGAGTGCACGTATCAGCAAACGAATCTCGCTTCTTTCAGCTCTACAGAGCGTACCTGAAAGGCGGCTATCGCTCGTTTGATGCTTTCGCCTTCGCCTCGAGACTCGCCCGCACCGATTGCGCTATACAGCGCTGCCAAGGAGAACAAGACTGCTGCACGTTCATAATTAAGATCCGGGTGGGCCACAGTCATCGAGGAGCTCGAAACGCGCATGTACGGTCGCGCATTTCGGTTGGACGACGACGGTGATCCCGGAGGCGAAGGCGTCGGCGAGATGCCAAACAAGGGAAGAGTTGTCGGAAATGACACAGTCCATGCGAATGATACATTGACCTGTCTCACGCAAGACTAAGCCTCATCTCTTCCCTCATCCTCCCCCGTCCCTACTCACATCAGCTGGAAACTTTGTCCCCATAAAGACGAGCTGGGCATTGTATCTGGCAGCTCGCAACAGGCTCAGTGGCCAACTTCTGATTGATATATGTGATGGGGCTCTTCTTACCTTTGCGCTGCCTCGATGCTGGCAATGTGCACCTCAAGCCTGATGACTTGATCTCTTATCCTAACCAGCTCTCGCAAGTCCTGCGTGAATGCATCGGGGTGCGTGTCGACGAATGCTTCCGCAATGTGATCTCTTATCGCCTTTGAAACATGTGAAGACGCCAGAGATGACGTTTTGGTGGGTATAGAGAGCACGTTGCGAGGCATCCCTTCTGATCGGACCGGTGAGACAGGCGGACGAGCGCGATGTGTCGGTCAGACGTAGAAAGGGATGTCTATGAGAGGTGGAGTGAGCGAGAGGCTGCTAAATTTTCCCACGTGGTTTTGAATCCTTCGTTTCTTCCATCTCAACACGACCTGTCGACCTCACCAGAACCCATCCGTTGACATCGGTGGAGAACAGGGACAGATCCAGATCCACGGCCCAAACGGAAGAGATCTGCCCAACATGGTGAGCTCGGATTGCATCTGTAAGATTTACGAGAAGCTGATGCAAGTCGCATCCCACAGCCGCCAGCTACAGGAAAGGGGAGCAAGATGATGTCCCTCATCAATTACAGGTTGCGCATTACCTTGAACGATGGACGGCAGATGACGGGACAGATGCTTGCTTTCGATCAACACATGAACCTCGTGATGGCTGATAGTGGGTGCAGGCAGCGTCTCGCACAGCACCACTCCTCTTGCTGACACCCTTCATTTCCACCACAGCCGAAGAGTTTAGGAGGCTCAAGTCGAAATCGAAGAAGCGCAAAGCAAAGGCCGATGAAGGATCTGACGAAGACGATGCCGTTCCCGTGCCCGAGACAGAGCAGAAGAGGACGCTGGGTCTGATCATTCTTAGAGGAGAAAGTGTCGTCAGTCTAAGCGTCGAAGGCCCACCACCAGCGGACAAGTCTGGCTCGCAACCTGGCGTAAGTGGACATTTGTCGCTGGGCAAGCAACGACAAGTCTCTTGGCTGACAATGTTTTCTTTGAATTACTAGCTCGCTGCTGGACCCGGCCGTGGCGCACCTGCAGGACGAGGAATGGGAATGGCGCCGCCTGGGGTGCCCCCACCGACGATGATGGGACGACCGGTGCCATTCGGACGGCCACCACCTCCTATGGGTGCCCCACCGGGAATGCCTGGCGGACCGCCTCCTGGATTCCCAGCAAGGCCTCCTCCCGGCTTTGGTCCGCCACCAGGGTTTCCCCAAGGGCAACCTCAATTCCGTCCACCTCCTGGGTGAGCATCCACTACCACCCTCTTTGCGCTCGACGGTCGCTGACTAGACTATCTTTGGACAGGTACCCCATGCCTCCTCGGCCTCAATAATGTATTCATGCGGTCCTTGTAGAACATCCAGCCAAGCTCTTTCGACCAAAAATGCCAGCTCATGTCACGTTGATTGGTATGCTCCATTCCGCAAGCCGACGTGCTTCCTAAGGCTACAATTACAGCTTTGCGCTTCTCCTTTGCGTTGCCAGCCTAGACTCGACAAAGAGAAGCGGCTCCCTTTCAAGACGCGAATCGAGCTGTGCGGCCTGCAAATAAGGACACGTCCACGCAGGCCTGCTCTTGCTTCGGTTGGCCGTGCTTGTTCCGCCATCGACCCTCCTTCCTGGCCCTAATTGTCTTTCCACTTGGCTCCACGCGGCCGACCACTCCTCATTGTGCTTGGCCTGATGCTCTTCTCTTATCCGTTCCTGTTCTTGCGAATGCAGTTCGAAGAGTGCAGTTGGTTCCTCGTTCGACAGGTGCAAAGTAGTGCTGTCGCACGCATCGGCCAACTGCAACTTGTCGACGAAGCGGTGCTTGATGGCTTCGTGCATGACGAATGCTCCTCGTACGTCTGGAGCTTCTGCCGACTCTCTTTGCCGTCTATGTTGTCCTGGACACTCGGTACGAATAGTAAAGTCATTTGTGCGCGAGCGACGGTACGTTGTCGAGTGAGCGAATCTGCTGATGATTGTCAGCACGGATGATATGGAAGGGGCACAGATTGAGACAGAGAGGAAAGGTAGCAGCTCACCCTTCATCGAAGCCGGACTGAGAAGAGGAAGCTACGCCCAGCGCATGGTCAATTCTTCGCACGACGGCGGCTGCGATATTGCCAGCGGGCTGTCGCCTTTGTCCCTTGAGCGTTCGAAGAAGCTCCAGCTCCAGACGGTCCGCCTTGCCGTCCCGGGCAACAAAGTGCGTCTCGATATGCATCTTCGTCAGGAGTCGTACTGCTTTCTGGGCCGCCCAACGGTCGTTTTGCCCAAAGTAGCAGCAAAGTGAAGAGGAGGAGGTACACACGAGGAAGGACGAGGCAGATCCTAGGACCCCCAGGTCGCGAGCGAGCCAAGCGGGCTTAGCTCCTGATGCAGTGCCCCGCCTTGAGAAGAGATTTCCAAGCCCTGCCTACCTCGGACCTTGGTTCAATATCCTGCATCGTCCCACTACTACTACTGCTACCACTACTTGCTCCAAATTAGGCTCTCTCTCCTCTGGTCTCGCCGCACCAGTCCCGCGCCGATACAATCACAATCACAATGCAAGCGAACTTAAAAAGGCTAAAATAAAAAGGTGGAAGGGACATGAGGACAGATTGCGGGGTATGGCTAGCCACATAAGAGGTGTTCAAGTTAGGAAAAGGCACAGGGACTGTGTGTGCGCCAATGAGAAAATGGTTATTGAATATGTAGCGCTCACACGCTTTGTATTGGATCGCTTCGTATTGGCTCTTCCGACCTGGCGAACGTGCGGTGGGGGACACCGGAAGAGCTAGGCAATGCCGTTCCAAGTCTCTGAAGCGTTCGTTCAGATAACGAGACCGTCACAATATTCCCATCTGCGGCCATAGAACCGTGAAAGCACCGCATCCCGTCCGATCTGCGAAGTTAAGCACGGTATCGCCTAGTCAGTACTGCGGTGGGGGACCACGCGGGAATCCTGGGTGCTGCAGTTCTGTTTTGACCTTTTTGCCAGTCATGATTCTCTGAGGAACACCGGCTAGAGCTTTGGGTTGTCTGCGAGCTTTTTGATGAAGTTCGCGATGAGGCCACCTACAGGGAAGTGTGTATGTGAGATCAGAGCTGCTTCTATCTTCTTCAACTACGACACTTGACCAACTCACCAGTCTCGACTGGGCGTTCCAGATGGAGCTACAACAATCAAGGGTTGAGCACAGTACAGGGTATCGTCAGACGGGCACGGACTCACAGCATGCCCTCCGTCGATGGCCGCAAAGCTGAAGTTGGGTCGGCCACCAATTAGTTTGTGCACTTCGTCGACTGGCCTGCGACAGAAAACGTCTGGTCAGAAATGGTGTTTGAACCCTGTTGGCCACATCGTTAAGCTCACAGAATGAGCGGTTCCTCGCAACAGAGATAGAAGACATCAATCTGCGGCGGGAAGTGGTCGATGTGGGCTGGGATCCAGAAGCCATTCGAGGTCCCGTGGTAGCTGAGGGCTTCCGCTACACGGTCGGAAGCGAGTGCAACCTCGCTGCCTTCCTGGCGCAGGCCATTCTCCTTACCGGCGTCCTCTCAGTAAAGGTGGTGGATATCAAGGAAACAAAAGGAGCACTGACAACTCACTGCAAAGAGATCTTTTGCTTCTGGAGTCCAAGCTCGGTAGAATCGATCCTTGTCAAAGAATTCACGGGCAGTCTTGCGGTCAGGCCAGCGATCACGCCTCTTGAGCGCCCAGAGCGGCAAGGGGTGAACATCGAAGATGGCGAACTCGAAAGGGACTATGATCGGTTCGATGCAAATGACAGAGCGGACGAGCTCGGGACAGTGGAAGGCAACCTGCATGCTCGTTGTAGCCCCGATCGAGTGGCCAATAAGGATGACATCCCTCTCGATCTCCTTTGAGACCTCTGCTTCGTCCATAGGGGCAAGCGCAGTTGGAAGATGAGATGTGGGCGAGGAAGAAGGGCGTGTTTGACGGGGCAGGAAGAAGCCGAGGAACTGGATTATATCTCGGGCACAGTCCTCCTCGTTGAAGTAGCGGTCGTAGTTTGAGAAGCTGTCGTCGCGTCCTTCGTCGCGATTCAGCTTGCGGGTCTCCCCATGCCCAATGGCGTCCAGCATCCAGGCCTCGGTTATGTTTGTGCTTTTTTGTGGACCCAGTGACGAGAGAATGGCATCGAGCAGGGGCAGAAACAGGTCCTTGCAAAAGCCAGTGCCGTGGACAAAGACGAGGACAGTGTCCTTGCCCTTTCGGCTGCTCGTTGTGGCCTGCTGGAACACATATCGAGTCGCGACCAGGGCGCGAGGTGGTACGTCGAGGGCCTTTTGCGACGGGTATGATGCAGACCAGGCCTGATACGGACCGGGCTTGTCCTCTGGCGGTAGATTCCTAGGAAGCTTAAGGGGGGGCTTTGGATTGCTTTGAAGCATTTGATACGTCTCTTTCGTAATAGTGGGGATCCCACCGACCGTCTCGGGGGGCTTATAGCGCGGGTTAGCCAGTGGATAGATGTGCGTCGTCGAAGTTGCAGAGTGGCTATTGAAGGTGTGCTGCCTTGCTTCAGGCTGGCCCGCATGCTCACGGGCGATTCGTACGGCCTCGGCCTGGAGGGTGGGAAGGTGAAGCGGCTCAAGAACATGCCCAAAGGGCAAGTCCGCCTCTTGCTTCAGTCTCATCTTTTAGCAAGACCGTGGGGGGAAGTAGTCTCTTTTGCGCTCCAGTCCTCGCATTAAGCTGCCACGGCGCTCCAGCGCCGTGCGAGGTACGCCTAAATTCGTCTTCCGAATCCCGGCCATAGCAATTTTTGTTTCGACATCGTTTTTTCTTTATGGGCCCGATTCTTCTCAAATTCCGGTCTGAGCGCGGGAGCAAGGCGCAACAGACGATGGCGTCGACAGAAGAGGCGTCGTGGCTCATGTCAAACGGGATAAAGACATCAGAGGATCTCGTTCGAGCCCTTAAGGGCTCATCGGCTGCCTTCGACAAGGTCAAGGTGGCTTCTGAGGCTTGGACCGATGCAGGGTTCGACGTCGCGAGAAAGGAGCAGCTGCTCCTAGACTGGGCCATGGATGTGCTGAGCAACGAATCGAAGGCATCGAAGTCCGCAGCGGGCGCAAAGGGCAAAGGAAGGGAGCAGGAGCACCTCACTTTGCGGGCGGACTTCTGGACCTTGCTGGATCGCGTCGCTTCCGCAGTCGACGAAGCCGTCCTAGCCAGCACTTCGGCGCGCACGCACCCACTGCTGGCCATCTCTCGCACTATTGACTCAATCGCATCGGTAGAAGCGAGCAGTACAACTGTGCTCATCGAAGCAGCATCTCGAGCCTTGTCCGTCGTAATTGCGGGCCAGAGAAGTGGACAGGTGAGCATTGATGGATGCCACGACATCATGCTGGCCCTGTGCAATGCTGTCATCGCGTGCACATCGACGAGCGAGAAGACCGAAGTGAGCGGGAGGCGAGAGGCGTGGGTCCAAGGGATATCTAGGCTGCTACTTCCACTTATGGACGTGTGGTTGGGCCTCTTGGAAAGAGGAGCGAATGCCAAAAAGGTGAGTGGCTCCACTCGCCTTGCACAAAGTTTCTTCCTCATTTTCTAAGCCAGCCTTTTCCCCTTCTTTCCTGAAGAGCTACCGCTTCTTCCTTGACAAGATGCTCGAGGCGTACGCACAGGTGCTGTATCGACTTGACATGTTGTCCTTGCCCGCGCACACCGCACTTCGGACTGCGTTGGGCAGATTGCCCAGTGCGTGCCTCTTTCGAAGCAACCAGCTGCCTCAGGTCGACCAGATCGATGCTCTCAAGCGCCACACCGAAGAGATCTTTTCCAAGATCCGCGAGGCGCCGGCGGCGGACAGGACGGCTGTCGCTCACCTGCTACCCCTCCTGCTCACCCACCTACACTCGAGGGTCAGTCAGCTCTCGAGGGCAGCCTCGTCAGTGGCACCGAGCACAAGTCGATCCACAATTGCCCCCTCGAGGCATGTCTCGGATCAATTGACCCGCCAGGCGATCTTTTACGCCTTTCTTGAGCCCGCATTTGCACTTCTGCGGCAGCTAGAAGCGAACGAAGAGTCGTCCTTGGAGCTGAAGGAGGAGTCACTCAGGGTGCGCATTCAGCTGCTGAAAGTCATCGAGGCGAAGCAGCTCTATGCGTCGGCCGACATATTTGCCGACCAGCTCTTTGAGCTCTTCAAGGATTCGGCGCAGGCAGCACAAGGCGCATTGGAGATCGAGGGGTTGAGCGACTTGTCGATGGAGCTTCTCCTCCTAATTCGCAGATTGGACGAGATCGCTGTCGAAGACGCAATTTCTGACGTCGCTCTCAAGATTGCAACGACAACCAATCCTTCCGATGAACAGTCCGCGGTGACAAGAGAGCTGTTGGCCATGATGTGCTCGAAGGCGACTCGATCGAGGGAGGTGCCCGATTTTGTCAATGTCCTCTTGGCCGCTGTGCAGGCAGCAATCAAACAGCAGCGACTCTCGTCTATCGAAGCCTTGCAGAGCTGCACCTTCACGCCTTGGTTCTTTGAGAACCACCTAGCGCCTGCGCTCGCCCAATTTGTCGTCCCCGAACAGACCGTGCCGCTCGTCGATTCTCTCCGTGTTGCTCTGCTACCACACGTCCAAGCCGCGACGGAAGCTGCTGCGACAACACTCAAAGAGGGCTCGGACCGAAAGCGTCGAAGGACGAGCGAATCAAAGCGAAAAGCAAATGAAAACAATGTGGTCAGCACAGAATCGGCGCAAGCGATCGTCCTGATGAATTTGGCAGCAGAAGTCATGAAGTCGCTTGCATTGGCCGAACCGGTTCTCACGCAAGCGTCCAGCGCAGCGAAGCGGCTATATGACGAAGTCGCGCTCGCATGTATGGACATTGGGATTGAAAATCCCTCTTCGCACGATAGCGGGCCACTCGCTGCGGCAGCATTAGAGCTGCGAGCATCATTGGCAAATCGTCAGTGGAAGAGCAGTCAAGACGACGGCACAATGCATATGGACGATGCCGGAGCCGACAATGGCGCCCAGGATCTAAGCGCATGGATGGATGCGAGTCTCGACGAGCGCTTCGATGCTTTCGAGGGCCTCTTATCTGACGATTCGACGCACGCGGAGCTTCGTATCATGACGCACAATACGCTTCTTCAGAGAATCGATAGGGACACGAGGAGAGGAAAGACAGAGTCGCCATATGCTCGTCTTCTGGAGAATGACCACTTCGGTCTCATGACGTCTTCCATGCCTCATCGAAAGTCGATCGAGCCACCGTCGTTTGGAGTACATGGCTGCCAGAAGGACGCAGAGGTGCCGCTCTTGTGGACCTACGCGGCTTGGCGCTGGCTGCCTCTACTTGAGTGAGTATTGTTGCCAGACATCGCTTTACAGTGCACTCATGCAACGTTGTTCTCCAGCCAGCTTGCGTCGCAGAAACTCCTCGAGAGGATGGCCGCAGTAGCTGTTGGCATCATTGCAGGTCACCACGAACCGGGGTCCTTGCTCGACATTGTCGCCCGCACTTTGACCAAGGATGGCTCCAATCTCGAGCTTGGCAGGTGGCGCGAAGCTGTCCTCTCGTGCCTGGAGGAACGCTTGGTGAACAAGAAGGTTGCGAGCGGTGTCGACCGCTCATCTGTCTATGCGGTTCTTCTCAAGCTCCCGCTTCCGTACTTGTCCATGACGACTCGGACGAGATTTGCCACCGCTGCACTCGACATCGACCGAGAGATGCGTTCTTCAAAGCTCACTGAAGCAGCCGAAGCCAATTGGGCAGCGATCAGATGGTGGTTCGCCTCTTTTTTGGCGCACCCTTCATCTGAGCTCAAAGATCTGGTAAGTGAACACTGATAACGTTGGCAGCTAAAGTCCTGATCAGGTTGAATTAATGCTTTCCGTTTTTCAGGATATCGAGCTCGAAGATCTCATGAGCTTCGCCACTGCTAGCGGCGAGCACGGGGACGATGTCACAAAGGCATCCTCACGCTTGTTTGATGTGACGACCTCTTCGCTCGTTTCGTCCATTCGACGCAAAGAAAAGGCTTCGGAGAGGATTGCACTGCTGGCAAGTCTGATGGACAGGACGAGAAGGGACTCCAAATACGGCGATGCGCATCAGCTGGTACTTCACGCTGCCCTAACCCTGGCGGAGAGCAGCGCAGAAGCAGCGGACGTCATCTTGGCAAAAGTCACAAAGCAGGAAAGGTGGCTGCTACCACAGCTGGATCGAAGTAACTTGACCGCCACTATCCGGCAAGTTCGTAGGCTCCGCTCGAATATTCGGGCGGAACAACTCAGAAAGAAGTCGCTCGGCAACCAGGATTGTGACGAGGACGATTCATCATCACTGGCGGAGGGAGCGATTGAGCTGCTTCTCTCCGTAGTCGACGACGTAAACGGTGGATCGTTTGACGCCGATGCAAACAAGATGTGCGTAGAGCTTCTGGACCTCTTAAGAGAGGTGCAGGGCCCAGATGCGCTCATGAGGGCAGCCGACGCCTTCCCGATATATCTCGAAGCTGCCTTGTCTTCTTCAACGGCAGTCGATGTCTATGCAGCTACTTCTCTTTTCGTCGACCTGGCCAGTTCGTCTCCTATCCAACTATACGATGCAGCACTCTCCAACCTCGTCGGCACGCTCGTGGCCGACAGCGAGGAGGATGGCAAGAGGAAAAAGGGAACACTGCAGACATGCGCTCTGTTGCTCTGCAACGGTCCTGAAGGAACACTGACGATGGCTCAGCGGCACTTTGGGACATTCATCTCGGCCGTCACCTCGATCATCGTTGCCTCTATGCGGAGAGGCGACCACGATGTTGTCTTTCACTCCATCCAGTCCATCGAGGCCATCATCGCCGGCAGGGTAAGTGTGAGACGGCAAAGAGATGAAACGAGAAATTTGGCTGATGAGACTCTGCCAGATCTTGCTCCTTCGCTTTCAGGATATGGCCGACCTTCTGGTTCTCATGAGTTGCCTCTGCTCTTCTTCTTTCACATCCTCAGATGCAGAAGTTGTGGGGCAGGTAGGTCACACAAGCGGTCGAGCCATTGCCAGATCCATCATCTCCACACTCTCAACTACCGTGCGACTTCGACAAGATTTGGTCTCGCGCCTCGTTGCGCAGCTCACCACCGTCCTCGTACAGCTCGTGGGCCTCTTCAGGTCACTGCGAGTCGCTGTGTCCGCTACTGGCGGTCGAGCACCCCCTCAGATCCGAGCAGCCCAGCGACAAGTTCCAACATGGCTTGACTTGGAGAAGGAGCCGCTCGGAGTCGAGGAAGCGCGCCTCTTTGCCAGGCTTTTGGCCACCATCACCACGAGGTCGACCACTGCTTCGGCCCTTTCGCTGCCCAAGAAAAAGGCTGACAACAAGGCCCTCTCTCGGGCGTTCTCGAACCACGCCGCCTACGTGCTCATAGCCTATGTTCGAACGCTCGTAGGCGGCGGAGACTCGGCGACGACAATCTCGTCAGAAGTCCGTACGGAGCTCCTGCTGGGCTTGATGGGTCTGTGCGACATTGTGGGCGAGCACCAGCGTGATGCAGCCATGATGCTTCTCGAGCAGGGCGAGCGTCTCCTCTTTAAGAACGTCTGGAACGAATGGGAGAAGAAGCGGTACAAGGGTGTATAGAATCATGTTAATTTCAAAGCAGCACAAATGCAAATGCAACGGCAGTCTTCTACCAAGGCAGGAAACCCTGCAGGTTGACAAATTGGGCCTCGTCTTTATCTCTCTTACCCTCGACGACGTCGCGTAGGAAGTCTGCCCCGGTCTTTGGATCCAGTGCGCCAAAGGACCGCATCTGTTCCGGGTCCGCCTCGCCCAGGGCGGTCGCGAGCCATCCTGGACAGACTGCCCAGACCTTGACCTTGTCCCCTTTGAGGACACGAGCCCACTCGAGCATGAGCATCGTAATGGCCGCTTTCGAGCCCCGGTAGGCGGGCATGTTCATACCCAGGCTCTCCTTTGGCCAGCCCGAGGCCGGCACGATGGGCTGCTGCTGGAGCGGCTTGCCGTCCTTCATCTCTTGCAGCGAGCCCATACTGGACCCGATGAAGAGCACGCGCGCATCATTGGAGCGGAAGAGCAGCGGCATCAGCGCCTCGGTCAGGAGGTGCGTGCCGGAAAAGTTGATGTCCCACGTCTGAGCATAGCGGATCCGCCTCGACGCGACGTCCGTAGGCGCAGTGAAACCCTCGTTGTTGATTCCTGGCGATTGTCATTGTCATGATTTTAGCTCGCTTTGTCCAGTCCCTGTGTCACAAAGTGCGCCTGAAATTCTCTTCTGCAGAAGGAACTCACCGGCATTGTTGATGAGGACGTCCAGCTTTCCGAAACGAGCCTGTAGGAAGGCCTGCGCAGCTGCAATGCTGTCATCGGACTGCAAATCGAGCTGCAGAGGAACCGCGAGGTGCTCATCTCCCTTGCTCAGCTCTCGTGCGGCCTCCTTTGCCCTGTCGGGCGATCGGCTGCAGACGACGATGGTGTATTTGGAAGACGAGGAGGCGAGGAGCGACTTTGCCGTCTCGAAGCCCAGGCCCGTGTTGGAGCCGCTGATGAGGATGATGGTACGGTCAGACATGTCTTTCTTTCTGTTTCCTTCTTTTTCTCTTGCTAGGGATGGGTCTTCTCTGTGCTGGGATAGATGGCTATGGGAGGATAAGAAACGTGGACAGGGGCGAGGACTCAAGCTCTTTTAAGGTAAAACTGTAGCGGCTGGGATAGCTCAGTGGGCTGATATTGGGTTGGCTAGGAACAGTGCGCGGCGCCGCGGAGACAGAGTGGCCTGTGCGCAGCGGCCAGATTGCTCACCCTGCCTAGCGCTCCATCGACAGCACAGGTTGGTAATCAAGTGTGAGCCGGGTGTAGAAGAGGAAGCAGTTACGCCCGTAGCTGTACGCCCGTAGCTATAGGCCCGTATCCATCTGTGACATCGTACGCCGAAGGCTTAGCCTGGTTCACGTGAATGTCCGATGAATGGCAGTGGACCAAGGGTCCGGGCGTCGCATTGCGCATTGCGACACGACCGGCAACGGTCACAACATTTAGACTAGAAACAGGCGTGTTGTGGACCTGAATGTGGAGGGGTCCGATTCATGTGCATGAAGAAGATGCGTCCGCTACCCTCGCAGTCTCCGCTTCTTCTCCTCCTTTTCCTTCATTCGACCCTCAACGAACAGTACAACTCAGCTTAAACCCGACAAGATGGCTGCTTCCTCGTCCCTCAAGATCTTTCTGATTGGCGGCCACGGCAAGGTGGCGCTGCACTTCACGCGCGCCGCCCTCACCGCAGGGCACACGGTTGTCTCGCAGATCCGCCAGTCTGCGCACGTCGAGGACCTCCCCAAGCCCTCGGCTCCCGGCTCGGGCAAGGTAGTTCCGCTCGTCTCGTCGCTCGAGGACCTGACTCCCAGCCAGCTCATCGAATACTTTAACGAGCACGAGCCAAACGTCGTCGTCTTCTCTGCCGGCGCCGGCGGCAAGGGCGGCGCAGAGCGGACGTTTGCCGTGGACCGCGATGGGGCGGTCCGCGTCTTTGATGCGCTCGAACAGTGGGGCACTGGCAAGCGCCAGGACTTCAAGCGCTTCCTCCTCGTCAGCGCCGTCGACAGCAGGGACACAAGCCAAAAGGTGGACTGGTACCGTCCGGAAGAGTGAGTGAAGAACCGGCAAGCCCGATGGGGGCGAATCACTGATGCGAGCGAGAGCCGTGCCGTGCTCTTTTACTTAACAGCTACGAGACTTCAAAGAAGAGCCACGAGGCCATCGGAACGTACTACGAGGCCAAATACCAGGCCGACAAGGATCTGGCCAAGCGCTCGTCCTTTCCCTGGTTTGTCCTGCGGCCCTCGCGCCTCCTCGACGACGCCGGCACGTCAAAGGTGACCATTGCGCGCCACCAGGCAATTGGCACGCCTGTGCCGCGCGAAGACGTGGGCAAGGTCCTCCTTGCCCTCGCCGAGCTTCCAAAGGGCGAGGCCGACGGCCAGATGTGGAACCTGACGGGAGGAGACAACGAGCTGCACGGTGAGGTGCAAGAGGCCGTCAAGAGGAACAGGACCGACTGGCTTGGTTGAAAGTAGCTAGAGTCCATTGGAGATAGCAAAATCTTGGAAGAGGAAGAAAAGTAAAAGAAAGGGGCAGAGGAAGCACACGGTTGATGCCATTCCCCCTGCTGAGTGTGAATCATGACACTGCCCGGATGGCCTTTTCGGTGAGCTCGAGGACCTCCTCGATGTCTGCGCGGTCCTCTGGCTTGAGCACGAGGCAGCGACGGACGATCTCCTTTGTTGCTTCGCTATAGACGCCGCCCTCTGCACGCTCGTCGGGGAACTTCCAGGAGCCATTCATGACGGCCATGGCCACGCTCCCTCCCTGCTCGACGATCTGGGGTGTCTCAAAGGGAGAGTGGCTGTACATCATGCAGAACAGCGTGCATCCAAGCGACCACATGTCGACGGCTTCCGAGAGGTGTGTGTCAGTCTTGATGTCAAAGAGCTGCGAGTGGAGCAAAAGGAGAAGAGATGAGCTTTGTTGTCGAAGATGGGGCAGAACAAGACGAGGCAGTCAGTCACCTCAGGGGCTCGATAGGGCATGCTCGATCGCTCAGCGGCCACATCCTGCTCGGCAATGGCCTCTCTTCTACTTCGGATGTGGATCCTCGCCCGGCAGGTGCTCCCAAAGTCCATTAGCACAGGGTGCAGCGTCGCGTCGCCCGAGTCTGTTGAGGCATGCGAAATCATGACGTTGCTACAGAGGCAATAAGTTGGTGTGATCAGCCAAGGAGGCGCACATCAGGTGCAGTAAATGATCCTCACCCTGGCTTGATGTCTCTGTGGGCGTACGGCACAGTCTCGCCACCCTTTGCACCTTGCAGGTCGTCGCCAGATGGTCTCGGTTGCCGGTCCTCGAATGGGTTACGCTTTGGCTTCGGTGGGTAGGAGGTGCCCTCGTGGCCGTCGTCTTGCTCTTCGTCGTCGTCCTCTTCATCGCCGTGATCAAAGAGGACGCCATCGCCATCGCCACCCGTATGTGCTTGCCCTCCAATGAGAGGCGCCTGATCCCCAGACTGGCCCCCCTCTCCCTGCGTCTCGCCGTGCGTTTCACCATCGTGCGGGTTGAGACCAGTCGTCATGCTTGGCCCAGCAGCAGCACCTCCTCTACTCGCACCCACGGTGGGCAGCTTATACCGATGCATCTCCTTGACCCCCAGGCAGGCTCCCTTGAACACTTGTAGCATCTCTCGCTCTGCCCACCGCCTGCCGAGCACGACGTTCTTGTTGACCTGATCCTGCACGTTGCCCATTGGATGGAAAGGCAGAAAGAGATACACCGTCTTGCCGTCTGTGTCCTGAATCACAGCTGAGTCGAGCAGCGGCATGATGTAGGGCGACTTGAAGCGCCTATGTGACTCCATCTCGGCAAGTGCCAGCGGCAAAGCATCTGACCCGGCCGGGCAGCGAATCTGTGCGTCACATACAGTCTCTCGTCAGCCGTCCTGTCTCAACACTCGTTCCTTCCTCCCTTTCGGCGGCGAAAAGAGAAAACCGCACCTTTTTCAATGCAAACTCTCGTCCACTCTCACGATCCCGTGCCAGGTAGACGAAGCTGAAGCCGCCTTCACCCAGGAGCTTGACAATCTGTACGTTGCGCCCGTTGAGCTTGATGTTGCTGCTCGCTGCGCTGCCCGCGCCCCGCTCGCCGCCTCCATGCGCGCCTCCAGCGCCGACCAGGCTGTTGCACAGGTCGCCCAGCCTCGTGCACGGCATCGACGAGGTCAGGGCAAAGATGGCGTCCTGCACCCGATCCACGAGCGAGTCGCCCGGCCCCGACCCGCCGCCCAGCGATCCGTAACCCGACATGGTGGTTTCCAAGACGCACGACTGGCCTCTGTAAGAACGGAGAAGGAGCAGCTGAGGAGAGATGGAGATGAAAATCGAGCGGCGCCGGCGGCGGAGAGAACGTTGCCCTTGTTGGTGGTCGGTGCGTGCGTCCCTTGGGAACGTCACGTGACGGGCTCGATACCCTTCGCGTTGAAAGACGGACAAGAGGCCGGCGGCGGCGGCGGCGATGTCTGTCGCCCTAGGTCACGTTGCCTTGGACCTATTGTGAGCGAAGAGACGACCAGCTTCGAGGTCTATTGCTTTCGTCCTAAAACGCCGAGGAGCGGTAGTAATTGTAGAAGAAGGAGAGGTGACAGACAGTGTAGCTGCTAGGCTAGGGCAATGCGCGCCTAACCCGCGTGGCAACTACTTGGATAGATATCGACATCGCGCTCGCCCACCTATTTTTTGTGTTTCAACATCGACAGTCGAGCGCACACATAGCCGACAAACAAACGGCATCTTGTCATCACCCTCGCCGGGCCCCTCGTCAGCATGGCTTCGCACGCAGGGAATGGCAGCGGGAAGACCAATGGCGATGCGAGGCAGAAGCAAGCGGCTCATGCAGCTCCCGCTGCAAAGGAGGCGCCCCCCGTGAGCGACCCTGCCGAAAAGCACAGGGATGTGGGCACCGACGAGGACCCGTCGCAGGCCGCCCTTCGTCCGCGGCTTGGCCATGCCGACGACGAAGATGACGATGTCGATGACGAAGACGAACATGCCGGTGATGATGCTAAGGAGCAAGTCGGTGAGTCTTTGGATTGTCAAACACGCTAGCAGCGGCATCAGCAGGTAGCAGTTGACTGAAGCAATCTGGACCCTAGATGAACAATTGAGGAGAAAAAGGGATAGAGAAGGTAGCTTGGAGCCGTCCTTGTCCTCTTCACAGCAGGTGTGTTTCCTCATTAATCTGCTCCCATCCTCCCTGTAACGTCGCTGACGTGTGAGGTCTGCGCATACAGGGAGCATCGACGCCCGATGCGATCCCAACGAAGAAGAATCGACTGCAGACCGACATCATTGGTGAGGAACCCGCGTCATCATCCACGGCGGCAGCAGGAAGCGCAGTGGGCCTCTCGTCGTCTCCCTCGAGGAGTACAGGGGGTCTTCAGGAAGGGGAGAAAGTGGGGCAAATTCGCAAGAGGGTGCGGGACCTGAGTTGGAAGCAGAGAAAAGAGGGCCACCGGGATGACGGACTAGAGGAAAATGATGAGGACGAAGAAGAGGAGGGGAAAGTAGATGATAAAGAGAGCAAAGAGAGTGACGGCGAAGGGGAAAAGAGCCAGACAAAGGCAGAAATCGAAGGCAAACCCCCTCCTCTTCCACGACGAACGCAGCCCACGTTTGAATCCTTCTCTTCGTCTTCTTCAGGTGCGCCTGCTCCTGCATCCTCGTCTTCGCCGTCAGGCGCTGCAGCTACTCCGGTGCGCAAGCAGCCGACCTTTTCGCTGTTCTCCAGCAGCTCTTCGCCCTTCAGTAGCGCAACTGCGAATGTCGCTGGACCCAGCTGGCTTGCCGGCAAAACGACGTCGTCATCCACTGGGATCAAGCCGAGTACACTGGGGACGAGCGTAGGTGGAGGCGAATCTTCGTCGTCACCCTCCCCCGCGCCTTCTGCACCGCAAGCTTCGTCATCAACGGGGTCCTCAACGCCCAAGGCTGCCGCAAGTGGAAACAAGCAGCTCGGCTTTGGCGCCTTTGCAACAAGCAAGCCTTTCTCATCAGTGCCCTCTGGGAGCCCATCTCAGGCCAAGTCTCCCTCGGCTGTGTCTTCCACTTCGTCTCGCTCTGACCGCCAGACGAGTGCAACTGCCGATGCCGTTGCGAACGGCACGGCGGAGCAAACCGACGAGAACTCCAAGCGCGTCGCGGAAAAGGAGCCGAGGAGCTTTGACGATGTCTTGCGAGAGGGTGGCGGGGCTGCTAATGACAAGTCGACTACGACGAACAAGCTCAGTACACAGCTGGAGCGGGGCGAAGCAGACTGTGAGTTGCTCTTTCAGCAGCAAGAACGACTGACTCATTCCATCTTCTTTCTTCATATCGCAGTGCGGACAGGAGAAGAGAACGAAACCAGCGTCTACTCAGCTCGTGCCAAGTTGTACACGATGGCGGCCGACAAGAGCTGGAAGGAGCGGGGAACGGGGACGGTGCGGTGCAATGTGCCAAAGAAGGATGCTGGCTCAGCTCGACTCGGTAAGTGATGTAACACCGTCGTGCAGATTAAGTGGCATCTTGTTGCTTGCTTACGCTGTGTCTCCATAGTCATGCGAGCCGAGGGTGTGCTGAGGCTCATCCTCAATGTCAATCTGTTCGCCGGCATGAAGATCGATGTCGAGCAGGACAAGTTTGTCAGGATCGTCGCGATGGAAGACGGCCAGCTCGTCCACTTTGCTCTCAAGGTGGGTATCGTCTCCTCTTTCCCGCCGTTTACATCGTGTCATACTGACGAGCACGGTGCCTGATCTTCAGCTCGGGAACCCCGCGGTGGCTCGAGGGTTCCTCGACGCCGTCAAAGGCTGTATCCCGGCAAAGAGCGCTGGAGACAGCGCGGCAGAGCGCGATGTCGGCGAAGTTGCATGATACACCCCATTTGCACTCTCACCAATAACGTTCTGAGATTGCCGCTGGCAGCTCCCTCTGCTCGATTTGCTTCGGTCCCACACCACGTACGGCCCGACAAAGAAGGCGAGGGCCATGGCCAAGAAGGAGAGGGAAAAGAAAGTTAAGAAAAAAAGGGGTACTTGTCATTAATTGGCCTCTTCTAAATGATTCTCGTTGCCTTTCAATCAAGTACTATTCCCCAGGCAACGACACTGAGAAAACTCGTCATGAAGTCGACGATGAAACGAATGGGAAAAGACTACAGCTTGGCGTAGGCGTAAGGACCGCCCTTCTCGAGTGCCCGCTTGTATGCCGGCCGAGAATGAACCTTGGCGACGTAATCCTTGATGGACTGGGGCACATTGGGGACCCGGCCTCCGCAGGCGGCCTCGAGAGGAAAGAGCATTTGGTAGTCGGCAGCAGTCTGGCAGGGGGCAGGTTCACCAGTCAGCCAACACAAAGTCTGATCACAACACCAAAGAGAACGAGGGAAAGGACACTCACGGGCCCACCGTCCTTGTCGCCACCGGCAAACCAGCCTCCGGCCTTCTTGCTGAGCTCGTTTCCGATGAACTCGACCTTGCGGTTGTTCTCAGGGTCAACAAAGGCGGAGAGGATTTGTGACGTAACGAGCGAGACGAGAGGACGGGTGAGGAAGCTGACTCGCTGAGGAACGGCCGTAAGGATACGCTTGAAGACAAACGTCGGCATCAGGGTGCCCTCTGCAAAGTGGCTCCAGTACGAGTCGTCGATCTGGCCATCCTCGGACGTGGGACTGCCCTTGCCCTTTGGGCTGCCGTAGCGTCGGATGAGATACTCGACGATGGCGCCACTCTCGGCAATGACACGGTCGCCGTTGTCGGTGTCGCTGATCACGGGCGACTTGCCCAGTGCATGCACATCCCTCAGAGCCTTGGGCGCCAGCATGGTGGGCTCACGCTGGTACTTCTTGATCTCGTAGGGGATCTCGAGCTCTTCGAGCAGCCACAGCACCCGCTGCGAGCGGGAGTCGTTGAGGTGGTGAACGATGATAGTCATGGCTGGCTGGCTGGCTGGCTGGCTGGCTGGCTGACTTTGGCTCCTGAGATCTAAAGGTTGTGGTAGGGAGAAAAGAAGAGCACTTTCTCCACCAGCAGCCCAGACTTCACCCCAGAGCTTTTCTCTCCTGATCTTCTTTCGGTTCCGGCTCGGGGGAGCTCTCCACATCCGAACACCGTGCGTCGAAGCCACGTTTTATGGGTGCACCATACTGACAATTCGGCCGACGCCTTCCAAAATTTTTAATTTTTTTGGCTCCTTCGCTCGACGAAAAAAGAGGGAAGAGGACAAGCCGATCAGAAGAAGAAAGGTAAGCCAACACAACCAACGTCGACTCAGTCAAAAGAAGATGGGACGACGAGCAAAGAACAAGCAGCCGCCTCCGGCGCCGTTCCGGGAACCTGGATCCGCAAAGAGGGGAGCAGGACCGAAGAAGGGAGCATCGGCCAGGTCTCAGCCTGCTGCCGCCAAGAAGGGAGCTGTTCCTGCAGCGCCGCTGTCCAAGATCAATGGAAAGGGGAAGCGCAAGGCCGACGAGTCTGACGACGACAGTCAAGACGAATCTGTCGCTAGAGAACCGAAAAAGCTGGCAAGGACTTCAGCAAAGTCTGGTCTGAAAGAAGAGCGAGCCTCCATCTTTGACGAGGACGAGGAAGATACGGACGAGGAGGAGGAAGAGGATGACGATGACGAGTTCGAAGGACTGGATGCCGTTGATCTTGATGGGAGCGACGAAGAGGACGAATCAGACGACGAGGTGGAGTATAGCGATGTCGACGAAGACGCGCAAGGCGGCAGTGAACGAGACAGCGAAGAGGACATTGCCGGCGAGGTCGATGATAGAGAGGGAGCCGAGCCATTGGACACGGACGAAGAGATGGCGGCCTTGGGCCTGCCAAAGAAGGGCACGAAGCTGAGCAACAAGCAGAGGAAGAAGGCGCTGGCAGAAGCGGAAAGGCTGGAAGAGTTGCTCAAGAGTCAGGGTCACTCGCTCGAGGATGACGACGAGGCAGGGGATCTAGATGCCGACGACTTCGAGGGAGCTCTCCAAGAAGGCGGCGCTGATGAGCAGGACGACGATGAAGAGGACGATGATGAAGAGGAAGGCGAGGGAGAAGAGGAGGATGAGGATGAAGAAGGCATGAAAGATGACTTCATTCTCCCGACGCTGGAGGACCGACTGCGGGAAAAGGAGCAGGGCGCGGACCTGCAGGTTGTGCAAATGCGGATTCACGAAGTTGTCGCTGTGCTCAACAACTTCAAGAAGCTCGCCACCGACGGCCGGAGCCGAAGCGAGTACGTGGATCAGCTCCTCGACGATGTCTGCAACTACTACGGCTACAACCGTTTCCTGGCTGAGCGCTTCTTCAACATGTTTACGCCATCAGAAGCTATCGAGCTCTTTGAGGCAAATGAGACACCGCGGCCCGTCACAATCCGCACCAACACGCTCCGGACCCGACGCCGTGACCTTGCGCAGGCTCTCATTAACCGAGGTGTCAATTTGGAGCCAATTGCGGGCAAGTGGACCAAGGTCGGATTGCAAGTGTTCGAGTCGACGGTGCCGATTGGTGCGACGCCAGAGTACCTCGCAGGTCACTACATCCTCCAGGCCGCCTCTTCCTTTTTGCCCTGCATCGCACTCGCTCCGCAGCCCAATGAGCGGGTCCTGGACATGGCTAGCGCGCCCGGCGGCAAGTCGACTTACTTGTCTGCGCTTATGCAGAACACCGGCGTCGTCTTCGCAAATGATTCCAACAAGGCGCGAACGAAGAGCTTGAGCGCAAACGTTCATCGCCTGGGCTGCAAGAACGTCGTTGTCTGCAACTACGACGCGCGACAATTCCCTAAAGTGATCGGAGGCTTCGACCGTGTGCTCCTCGACTCGCCCTGCTCCGGCACTGGCGTCGTCTCGAAGGACCCCAGTGTCAAGGCGAACAAGTCTGAGAGGGATCTGCAGCTTCTAACGCACCTCCAGAAGCAGCTGCTCCTCTGTGCCATCGACTCGGTCAACCCAAAGAGCGCCACGGGTGGCTATGTGGTTTACTCTACCTGCTCGATTCTCGTCGACGAAGACGAAGCCGTGGTTGACTATGCTCTCAAGAAGCGACCCAACGTCAAGATTGTTGACAGTGGCGTGCAGGTCGGCAGGGACGGCTTCACGGCCTACCGGGAGCGGCGCTTCGATGCGAGGATGAACTTGGCGAAGCGCGTCTATCCCCACACGCACAACATGGACGGCTTCTTCTACTGCAAGCTGAAGGTCGAGCCGCACAAGAGCACAAAGACCAAGGCGGGCGAGGAGAGAGAAGGCAGGTCAGAGACGTCGACCTTCAAGAATGGAACTCAGGCCGACAGGACTCAGAAGAAGAAGGGCAAAGACGCTTCAGCATCGGTCTTTGACGACGATGAAGACGCCGTGCTGGTGGAGAAGACCAAGCAGCGACAAGAGAAAGTGAAGCAGCGGCGGCGCTCGTCGCAAAAGATGGAAGCCTCACCTGTCGACGACGATGAAGACGAGTAGTGAATGCATTGATCTCTCTCGCTGTGTTTCCTTCGCTTAGAATCATGCCATCAATACTACTGTGTTCCAAGCTTGAGATTGAGTAATGAGAGATGGAGCACCTTGAGAAAAATACTAGACATGAAGACTATCCACTTCCACCATCATTGTCGTCGACTTCGTAGCTCCCCAGGCCTTCATCCTCGTCTCCTGTGCCACTGCCACTCTGCTGCGATTGCTTTCCTAAGACGAGCTTGCCCGGCGGCGGGAGGCTGCTGACCTCGGCAGGTGCGCCTCCACTCCCTCCACCTCCAAACATGGCTTGAATCGTGAGCTTGTCCCTCTTCTGCCGGACCCGCTCAGCCTCCTCGTGCCCTCCCGTCTTTCTGAGTGCCTTGCCATCCACAAAGCCCTTCAAGGCGCTCTCGAACTCGTCCGTCTTGGTTGCCTTTTCCCTTTGCCGGTTCCGCTCAGCGGTCTGAAGAGCCCTCAACCGTTTCTCATGGTCAACGGCCTGTGATCTCACTTCGAGCATCACCGTAGACAGGCCCTCGTGGCCTTCTTCTGGCGGAGGCGGGTGATAGGGTCTGAGCGCGGCGACACCTGGGATCGCGCCACCGTTCCGGTCTGGCTTCTCATCTGCGCCCATCATGACGCCCCTCTGCACACCACGGAGCTTGACGACCTGCGTAATGTTCTCAAAGACCTCCATGAGTGCGCCGTGGTCTTCTCTGAGATCCTGAATTAGCCCTTCTTGGTGGTTCAGGAACTCCTGCTCGTCGACGATATTTTGCAACTCCGACTCCCACGTCTTCTTCCAGGACGGTTTGACAGTCTCCACGTACTTTTCGAGGTCTTCGAGTCCCTTTGTCGCCTTCTGAATGTCTTGCGAAATCGACTTCATCGTCGCAGGCTTAGGCTTGACGCCGCGCTGGATAACATCGAGCTTGAGATCGTCCACCGTATCCAACAGATCCTCGACGAGCGTCAGAACTTCCTGGCTGGACGTGTCCAGGCGAGACTTGCCCGCAACAATAAAGTTTCGTTCCGTCGGTAACTCCGTGGCCGCAATCGCTCGGACCTTGGCAGATTGTTCGCGGAGACTCGCAAGTAGAGCTCCAATGTCGCCATTGAAGTCGCCCTGAATTTGGCGAAGAATGGCCAACTCCCTCCGCACGTTTTGCACCTCTTCGTACTGCATCTTCAGGTCACCAGCAAAGCGGCCTGCTCCCAAATTGGGCGTCGATGCCCCCGTAGAAGAGGTAGCGTGATCGCCACCGCCGTTGACGGCACCCTCGTCTCGAGAGGGCATCATTGTCTGACGCTTGTACTGCGCCACACGTGCACCCGCCATGGCGAATTGTGCGTCAGTTATCTTGCTTGGCGTCGTGGGGGGCAGCTGAGCCGAAATGGTCCCTCCTGCGTAGTTGTTCGTCGCATTCGCAAGAGCCCTAGCAGAGTCGCGCTCTCGATCGTAGACGGCCGCCTTGAGCTCTCGCAGCTCTCGGCTGATGGTCCCGAGCGAAAGGTCAAGATGTTGTTTGACTTGGTCGAGGGCTTTGGAGAAGGAGAAAGTGATCTTATGTCAGTCGCTTTACTTTCCATAAAGCTTTGAGGGAAAGGCTATACTCACGCTCGATGTTAAGCGTCAGAACGCATCCTTCGCCTACATCCGCCAGGTCTTCGAGCTCGTACGAGACACCGCTGCTGATATCCTTGATGTAGATGGCGGGAAAGTCGTCCTTACCGGGCGAGTAGGTGAAACGATCCATGAAGAGCATCCTGAGCTTCCCAATCGTCAAACCACCCAAAGGAGCCGAAGGGTCTAGCTCCAACGTTGCCCTTCGCGTCTGCCTACCCAGCTGCAGAAAGACGCCCAAGGTATTGGAAGAGGTGGATGCTTGAGGAAATGAAGAGACCTTTGGTGTCGAGCCGTCAGCCGCGTCGGTGATGCCCTTTTGGGAGGCTGGGTTGGCAAGCCACCGCGAGGCCGAGCCCAGGTTCTGCGCTGCATCCAGCTTGGCCCGCTCTGCAGGAGTAGGCAGCGGCGGCATGGCAGGCTGCGGGCCATTGATGTTGTGCAGCGAAGACGTGGGGATTGGTGGCATGTCCTGAGGCTCATGGTCGGGGCTCGTCCCTTGAGCATCGACAAAGGGCAGCGACTCGGTACTGCTCATGGCCTGCTGCTGCACCGTAGGAGGAGCAAGCCTGCCTTCTCTTGGGCTTGTCACGCTCGATTGCTCAGGAGAGGGATCTTTCTTTGCCTTGTCATCGAGAGAATGTGACTTTGAACGTGATTGCCCGTCATCACTTGCGCCTACATCGGGCGATGTGACCTCCTGGATCGCATCTGATGCCGACAAAGCACCGCCCTTGTGTCGCTGGGCCGTTGGCGTCCGTCCAAAGTAGTCGACGCTTCCCTTCTTCGTCGTCAAGTCGTCGGGCGTCTCGTTGCCTGCCCGCATCTGCAGGCGTCGCGAGCCAACGCGGGAGTGGCTGGGGCTATCTCTCCTGCTCTCTGGCATTGGGCTCTGAGCACCATTCGAACCAAGATTGAAGGAGCTCATGCCAAAGCCCTGGTTGAGCCCAACGCCCATCTTGTTGAAAGTGTATGCGCTGAAGCGTTTGCTTGCCCTTCGCTCGAGAGCATCGCGCTGCTTCAGAGCTCGCAGGGATGGGTCGGCTGGATCGGCCACCTCTTCCGTGCTGACGTCCGCCGACGAGGATGGTAGCTCGCGTGAGCCGCTGCGAGGCGACTTGCGGGAGGGCCGCGACATGCTCCCGCTCGGCCGATACGAAGAGGGAGGCGGCAGTGCTGTCGTCGACGATGGCTCGCTTGAAGCTGGCGCATCGACGAGGGAGTGGCGCACGAGGCCATCAGCAGATTTGTTCGCCTCTTCCGGTCGATCACCAGACTCAATGGCTGATGTCGAGGGCGTCTTCGAATGAGCCTCTTCTGTACCTCGGTCCTTTTGGCTCTTTCGCTTTCGGGGCCCGGCAGGGTGACTTCCCGTCGAAGAGGTCGCCTCTGCATCTCGATTAGGCAGCGAAGAGCTGCTATCTGACCTCTGAGCGGGCACTGACGACACGCCTCCTCTGGCGGCGCTGTTGACAATGTCATCGATCGGTGGAGCAGCTGTAGGCCGCTTCGCTGTCTCCTGATCGAGCCTCCTCTGTAGCCCAACGGAGCCCCTCGAAGACTGGCCCGAGCTTTTGGATCGCTGTGGATCTCCGTCCTCTGTCTCTGTACGGGCTGGAGCAGACTCTGATTGGCTCAGCTTCGAGGTTCTCTTGACGTGGCCGCTGCTCTGCTCCCGACTTGCTTTTGAGGAGGATCGAGATTGATGCAAAACGGCCTTGTATTCAGCCTGCTTGGCCTTGAGGCCTTGAAGCAGGCTAACGACAATCTGCCGGATCCGGGGCAGGTGAACATCCAGCACGGCTGGCGAGGCATCCTCGGACAGGCACTGCTCCAGGCAGTCTCGGAGGTCGTCAGGCACAGACGCCAAGTCGCTCATGTCGATGCCGTAGCTCCCAAATGCCACCTTTGCCACGCCAAAGTCGTTGCCGAGCCGCACATAGACATCAGAGACCTGCGACTCGGTCCGCTGGCCGATGGACCACTTTGTCAAAGACTCCAGGAGCATCTTGGTAGCTACCAGCAACCGTGTGACTGATGATTCCATATGCGAAGTAGAGTACTGTCATTTGAGTGATGTCAGTATATTGCCTCTGACTGGGAAGAGTAACGACAGCGCGGCACCAAGACTCACCCGCATCACTGTCGGATCTTGCATACCCAATGCTGAAGAAGAGGTGGAGGAAGGCAGGGGTACTGCTTGCACAGACTGAGGAGAAGTAGCTTGCTGTTGCTGCTGCGTCGTTCTTGTCGAAGAGGTCGGCGAGGTGGCAGAAGTCTCGGCGACAAGCCTCTCCCTCGCTAGCCTCTCCCTTTCCTTTTCCATCGCTCTGTGCTCCTCGGGGAGCATGCTGTGTTGTGGGCTGGGAAGCGGCGGCGGTCGCCCGTAGGAAGACGCTCCGGCTGGAAGGGGAGGCATCGCTGGCACCGAGCCAGATGCTGGCACGGCCGGTCTCCTGCCTTGTGGCAGGGTGCCAGCACTCTGCGGCGGAGTACCTCCATACGGCGAGTTGTAGGGGGAGGTGCCCGCTGGAGCAAAGGCGCCGTTGAAGCCGATCGAACCCGAGGAAGAACTGAAGCTACCCTCTCGTCGGATTGGCGAAGGTCCCGATGGCGGGCTTGCCGGGTGTTGCGATTGGCCTTCCGCATTCTGGGCCCCTCGCGCCTTTTCGCGATCACGCCGAAGCACGTTGCTCAGCCCTGGTAGCATTCTGACCTCTGCAGAGACGCAACGAGGTGCTTCGACTGGTCGATAGATGGGCGAATCCGAAGCTGCCTCGCTCTTCCTCGTCCGACTGCCTCTTGTCACGCGGCCAGGGCGCGCGGGCAAGCTGAGCGCGTATCCTCTTTCTTGAGGATCTCTGCGAGCGAGCCGGAGTGCCCTTTGGTCTACCTTTTGGCCCCCTCTTTCCAAGTCGGAGTTGCAACGTCGGGGGGTGCCGCGGGGGGGAGAAGATGTCAATGGACGCCAGTGATGCGGCTTGCCCTGGTTCGAGTGTCGGTGCATGAGCCGACACGTGGTCGATCAACTCAAACTTGACGGGTCAGTGCGCGATGCAGTTTTTGACGAGAAGACCAACACCCAGCCACGGCGCAGGACGATCCGTGCCGCCATGGCGCCGAGGGTCCTCTATCATTGCCCATGCAGCACCACTCCGGCCTATCTCCAGCACACTTCAGCTTCCTCCTCATCCTCGTCCTCCTCCTCGGCACCGTCGCTCGCACCCTTGGCCTTGTCGCAGGTCAAGCCACCCATTCCCTCATCGAGCGCCTACCCACTCAGCTCACTCTACTTTTGCGAAGAGTGTGATTCGATCCGATGCTCGCTCTGCGTGACTGCTGATGTGGGCAGCTATTACTGCCCCAACTGTCTCTTTGATGTGCCTGCAGCAAGCGTCAAGACGGAGAGGGCGCGGTGCGCTCGCAATTGCTTCACCTGTCCTGTATGCACCCATACCTTGAACGTCGTCCCTTCGGACCCAAAAGGACACCCAGACGATGACTGGGACCCGACATCACCGTCTGCGAGTCTGGGAGAGCCGCCATACTACCTCACTTGCACGGTGTGCAGATGGGACAGCAAGGAAGTCGGCTTGACCTTTGAGAAGCCCACTGGACTGAGTTGTGAGGTTTTTGCATCCTTGTCCATGCCATTGAAACGAGACTGATCCGTGACAAAGTGCAACTGCAGAGAATTGAAGAGAGCGCAACCGAAAACATCGAGTTCAACCAGCTGCGGGCACACTTCGAGACCTACGTGCGCACGCAGGCTCCAGCTTCGTCGACGCAGGACAAGACAGGAGGCAGCACATCGGCGGCGCAGACGGCAGCAGCTGCTGCCGCGGCAAGGTCCAGTCGTCTGCTCCGCGATGTCCCTTCGCTGGCCAATGACCCTCGTTTCATGCCCTCGTACTCTGGTCGTTCAAGGTCGACGCGAAGGACGGTGGCCAAGCAAGCCACGGAGGAATTCAGACCGTACGAGGCCCTCACGTCGCCTGATCACGGAAGAGACGCGAGGAGGTTCGCAGGACCTCAGCAAGACCTCGATGATGGCAGGGCTCTTGGCATTGTGGGGCGAAAGGAACAGAACAGGCTCGAGTTCGCGCGCAAGCAGACGGACGAGACGATGCTCAGCAGTCTGGCACAGCGGTGGGACTCGCTATGGGATGAGAGTCTCAAAGTTAGGTATGTCGAGTGCCGTAGCTAGTGTTTGACGGCAAGTGCTCTTGGGACTAATCAAATCCTGCGATTAGCGATCTGCGACCGACTAGAGTTCTCCTGAAGACAAAGCAGACGAAGCGATGCCCGACCTGCCGACACATCATCGTCAAGCCGGATCCAAAGGCGACGTCAAATCGCTTCAAGATCAAGCTCATGGCCCTCAACTATCTACCAGAGATCCAGATCAAGCCTCCTGTGCCGCTCTCGACGGGACAAAGCAATAGCAATCCGGCCACGATGGAGGAGAGAAGGAGAAGCGTCCTCGCAGGTGGCTCGAGCAGTGGCAGTGGAGGGACGCTAGCACGTCGGAGGCTCGTGGCTGGCTCCGTCAGCGGCCTCTTTGGGTCAAGTGCAGCTGTCAACGAGGACAGCTTGGTTCCAGGCCGGTCATACCTCTACGAAGCCATCTTTTCAAATCCCTTGGACGATGCGATGGTCGTGCGTCTCGCCATTGGGCGGCACTCGAACGACAGCGAAAGGACCAATCCCAAAGCAGAAGTGGAGGCGCAAGTGCCAGTATCGCCAAGCAAACAGAGCTCTTCATCCGCTCGACCACACTGGCAGGTGTCACCTTCTACGAGCACCTTCCCCATTTCGGCCTTCAACGAGGCTTGGGAGCTGGAAGAAGATGATTCCGAGCTCCTTGATCAGGCGACCGATCGCGAAGATCGAACTCGAGTCGGCAGCAGCAGCGGAGGAGCGGGAGGAGGAGATGCGGACTACGACGTCTCGACGGACAATGACGGCGACTTCAACGACGATCGCGAGCAGAAGCGAAGCAGGACAGACATGGGTGGGAACAAGGAGAGGAGGAGGAAGGGCGACGGCATCCTGAAGAGAAAGGGTCACGAGACTACGATTGCCTTTGAGTGCGTGCTGGGGAAAGAGGCAAAGGGCGAGATCCAGTTTCCTCTCCAGGTCACCTATACCTACTCGCCTGAGCCTGATCAGGAAGAGGACAGAACGAAGAGGGCAGACAGCGCATCGGGCGACAAGTCTTCGTCAAAGTCATTTACTTTCTGGACCATCGTCCATCTGGGTCGCGTCTCGTCCTTGTCCTTGACAGATGCGCAGGGCGGATCAGGGGCCGCTGCAGGCGCGACAGGACCGAGCCAAACGACGGCAGAGGCCAGACGTAGTGCTCTGGACAAGCGACGCAGCATGATCGGCCTCGGGTCTGCAGGAGGTGTCAGCACGCTGCGGAAGCTGAGCGAGAAGAGGGAGCAGAGCGTCGACGAGGAGAGCGGCGCTCCGCCCTCGCAGGAGCACCAGCAGGTTGCCGAAGAAAGCAACGTCCCGAGAGACAAAGGCAATATGAGCATTTCGCTGGATGGATAGGATGTTTGGCAAATACCGCAGATGTCCTTCATCCCTTTCCCTTTCTCAAGTAGAGACAGGCGCCCTCACTTTATGGACAAATTTTATGGAGCAGGGTCCGATTCCTGGCAACGATTGTGAATGCTCACCGCTGTACTGTCACCCATGAAACAATGCAAGGCAATCAAGAGTGATAATTGCACGGGTGGAATACAAGAGTGGCGAAGAAAAGGTCGTCAATGAGTCGTGGAAAGTCGAGAGCGTAAATACCAAAGGAAGTTCATCTATAGACGCTCCTCCGCGTCCCTGACGTCAGCTGTTGTCTCGTCCGCGCCGGGCGTCGAAGACTTCTTGCCGTCTGTTCGCGCCTTGAGGTCGTCGTCGTCTTCTCCCTCTCCCGAGCTTGGAAGCGACTGCTTGTGCATGTCAGGCGAGAAGGCGCCGTCGGCTTCGACCTCGGTCATGTAGCTCGTCCACTTTCTCGCGGGCACCCTGCGGTTGATCATCTCGTTGATCTCCTCGAGGGTCCTGCCGAGCGTCTCGGGGATGCAGAACCACGTGAAAGCAATGGCGATGAGCATGCCGCCTCCATAGATCCAGCCGATCTGCGCACCAAGGCCAGCCTCGTCGTCGTCAAAGAGGTAGGGCAGGGTGAAGGCCACGACAAAGGCAGAGATGAAGAAGCAGGCTGTGCCGAGCGACATGAGCTTCTGCCGATTGCTGCCCACGGCGCATTCAGAGGCGATGCTCCACGCAAGTGGACCCCACGCCAGGTTGAAGAAGAAGACGTAGATGCAAATCATGGCGATCAAGCAGCGATTCTGCGCCGTGTTCCGCTCCAGTGTGGGAATTGTGCCGAGGCCACCGCAGACGAAGAGGGCGATGAACATGGGGACCGACGTGGAGAGCAGCAGGGGTCTTCGGCCAAATCGGTTGACGAGGAAGAAGCTGCAGAGGACGCCGACGACCTGAATGATGTCCACAATGATGGTGATGAGGAAGGCGTCGTCGACACCGCTGTTGGCAAAGAAGGTGGTCGTGTACGAGAAGATGAACTGAACGCCCGAGATCTGCTGTGCTGTCAGGGTGCCACAGACAATGAGGAGCTTGCGACGCTCGACGCCGTGCATGAGCGAGCCCCAGCCCATCTTTCCCATCTCGTCTTCCTCCCTTTTGGCGTCAACGAAGCTCTTGTATTCCGCCTCGATGACCGCCGTTGGGTCTGGCTGTCCACAGTTGATGCGGTGCAGTGACTTGAGAGCTTGTTCGTCGCGGCCCTTGGTGACGAGCCATCGAGGTGATTCGGGAAGAATGAAGATACCAATAAAGAGGACCAGGGCAAAACCAAGGTTGATGCCAATCGGGATTCTGTATGCGCCAGTGTCGGTCCGATCCTTGGTTCCCTGCGAGACACAAGCTCCGATGACTTGTCCGATGGAGAGCAGCAGTTGCCATGAGCCGACGACGGCACCTCGGATAGCATTAGGTGATACTGAGAGAAACAGTTGGGTCAGCTGCCTGGATCACTGCAAGCAGACACCTTGACACTCACCTTCACCAAGGTAGAGGGGCGTGCTGTTTGCGACGGCACCCACACCCATGCCCAGAATGGCTCGTCCGACTCCGAGGAGGGGAATGCTGCCGGCGACAATCAACTGAAGCACGGAACCGAGCGTGAGGAGGAAGACGGCGTAGAAGAAACCACCGCGTCGGCCAAAGCGATCGCCGACAGGTCCAGCAAGGAGGGCACCGACCACTTCACCGGCCTGGATGATCGACGTCAGGACAGCCCTCTGCGAAGAGGTAATGTCGATCGTTGGTTGGCCTTGGTCATCGACGCCTGGGGTACCATAGTCTTCCTTGAACTTTTGCATTTCAAGCAGGCCCGTCCAGTATCTACGAGGAGGGTGTCAGCACAAGGCGGGCCGCCTGATACCTCTTCGTCACTCACGTTCCATCGTAGCCATAGAGGACAGCGCCAAAGACGGCAATCGAGCACAAAACTGATGGTGGAGGAACAGTTCAGTTTCCCTTTCCTCGTTCAGACTAGCTGGAGCTTTTGCCTCGTCAACTCACGAAGCGGACGAACGTTGGCCTTCGAGAAGAGTCTCGTCTCTCCGACGACAGGCCCCGGCGGCTTTGCGAAAGATGCTCCACCCATGATGCTACCGCGAACGAGGTGCTTTGAGTGAGGATGTGAAGAGAGGGGGACAGAGCGGGGAAGTGATGGGTCTTCAGCTGCCCCTCCTCCTGCCTTTATAGAAAGGGTCAAGAAAGAAAGAATCAGGCAAGAAGGAACCTTCGATCTGGGGCACCACATTATTATTGTCTCTCCTCGTTCAATTCGGTACCTTGCGAACGTCAAGCCAAGCAGCACAAGCGGGCGTCATCCCACCCCGCCTGTCCGGAATCCCTCGGTGTGTTCCTCGCCTCTGGCCTCTTGGCTACACACACCAGCCGCTCTCCGGCACACCAAGCCAGGACCGAAAAACAAGGCTAGGCATACACAGACATATCCCCTCGCCTCTCCTCGAAAGCCTCGACATGCTGTCCCACAGCGGTGCTTTTGCCGGATTACTCAAGTCGATTTTGGGTTGGTTTTTTTTGGAAAGGCGAAAACAAAAGTAAAAACGTTCTTCCGCCCGAAGTTGGACCGAGGTTAGAGCGCCGCTAGTGGCCAAGAATAGAGAGAGCAGCAGACGAGCTGTGCGGCGAAAATCTTGGTCGCGGTCGAATTCCCAACGATGCAACGAACACGGCAGCTACTACGTACTACTACTACTGTACAGTACGCTACGTGCTACTTACTTTCTGCCACTTCGCACCTTTTGCTATTGTTCAAGTAATCTGCCAACATCGTACCAGACGATGCTCACGCTGCACAAACCACGCGACCGATCAAGGCAAGCCGGCAGCCTAGCGCAGCCAGGACCAAGGGTCTGCAGCAAAGCCACCCTGTCGTAAATGATGTAGAGCAAAACGCGCAGAACTGAATCACATACGCACTACTGTCAAGGACGAGGCTTGCTGCTAGCGATTCTAGCAGAGCTAGCGAAACCGTCTCAAGCCAGAAATGCCAAACAAGGAAGAGTGGAAGTGGCAAAGATGACAGAGGGCACGTTCAGTTACGATAGGAGCCAGAGCCTCCTCCTCCTTGACAGAGCCTGGATGCAGTTCCGATGACGTCGCGCGTACCAAGATCAACGGACTTCCAACCCAGAAGAAGCCCGGCCAGTCGGATCTTGTCGGTTGTCATTACGAAAAAAAAAAAAAAGGCTGCAGCCACGGAATTAATCTGATGTGGAATTTTTTGAGACCCTCGGGTTAATCTAGACGTTCCGGCGTTTTTTCTTTCCCTCAACGAGATGCTCGTCAGCTCCTTCCGTCGAAAGGTCAAGGCCAGGCAATTGAATCGTTTCGTGATCGGAGAAAAGGCTTAAGAAGACATGGATGCATCAGAGGGCGAGAAGCATTTGAATGACTGTTTGCTATTGCCTTGTCGGCACGGAAAGGGAGCCCCGGGCTGGGCCCCGGGAGCTCCAGAAGCCAATAAAGACCGGGGACTTTTCTGCCCCAAGAAGCTTCGAAGAGGAAAGGGGTGTTGGATAGAAAAGTACAAGAAGGAGCAGTGCCCCTGACAATTTCTCTTCTCACCGGCTCACACGACTGTGTGACCCCTACATCCTCCTACATTTGCGAGTGAGACGGAGAGATGGTGCTCAAGGCCACTTCGATCCACTCAAACTTCTTCCCATCGGGGGAGAGATACGCCACCGCCGATGCCCACAACGACGGGGATGCCGACGTGACAGCGAGCACCACGCCTGCCGGCGGACCGACGCCGTCCGGTACAACACCAGCGGCATCCCGACGTCCCTCGACGGAGGAAAAGGCTGGCGCTTCCTCTCCACGAGGCTTCTTTAAAAGGAAATTGTCTCAGAAGAACGGAGGAGATTCCGAGAAGCCTAGCTTCGAACTTCCACACGGCGCTCAAGATGGGAACATTATCCTCGTGACCTGGGACGGAGACGATGACCCAGAGAACCCGCTCAATTGGCCCAAGGCCAAGAAGAACATGATGACGGCCATGCTCTGCGTCATGTGCCTCTTCATCGGTCTTGCCACCGCAGGGTACGCCAGCGGCTTGCAGGAGATGACCAGAGAGTTTCAAGTGAGCGCAGAGGTTGGTCAGGTTGGCTTGTTCTTGTTCAACGCCGCCTTTTCCATCGTGCCCCTCTTCCTTGGCCCGCTCTCGGAGTTCATCGGCGCAGCCCCCGTCTATCTCTTCTCGTACGCCGGCTTCGTCCTCTTCTTCATCCCAATCGCTCTGGCCAAGAACATCGGCACGGTGCTGGTCTCGCGCTTCATCCTCGGTGCCTTTGGCGCCACAGGAACGACCATTGTTCCCGGAACATTGGCGTCGATCTGGCGGACAGAGGAGCGAGGCAACAAAGTCGCACTCTTCTCGTTGGTGGCTGTGCTGGGAACGGTAGGCGCTCCCCTGTACAATGGTTTCATCGAGCAGCAAAAGGGATGGCGCTGGATCGAGTGGGTGCAGCTCATCGTCAATGGCGCCGTCTTCATCATCGAGCTCATCTTCCTGCGCGAGACGCGAGGAAGCGTTATTTTGACTCGTAGGGCCAAGAAGCTCCGCAAGCAGACGGGCGACCAGCGCTACCGTGCCCCGACGGAACTCGAGGCGCCTTCGCTCAAGGCTCTCCTCCATGCTTCGACTACGCGTGCCGCACTCCTCCTTGTTCGCGAGCCGGTCGTCTTTACCTTCAGCCTCTGGCTCGCCTATGAGTGGGCTCTCATCTTTGCCCTCTTCAGCGGTATCCCTTTGGTCTTCCAGGGCCTGCACCGTTGGGGCACGGGTGTGGGAGGCCTGGCCTATATCGGCCCAATCATCGGCACTTTCCTCGCCTGGGGCATCAACTTCCACGCCGTCAAGCTCTACGATAACGCACGGGCCAAGAATGGTGGCGTTCCCGTCCCCGAGGCTCGCCTCTACTACGCCACCGTTGGGGGCATCCTCAGCACCATCGGCATGTTCATCTTCGCCTTCACCTCGTACAAGCACGTCCACTGGATGGGTCCCGAGATTGGCCTCGTACTTCTCATCATGGGAATCTACTTTGTCTTTGACGCCGTTCAGAACTACCTCAGCGACGCATATGGTGAGCACTGACGTCACCCTTTCCCGCTACCAAACAGAAAATTAACAATGGTGTCCTTGCAACAGGATCTGAGTACGGCGCCAGTGCCATCTCTGCCCAAGGCTTTGTCCGCAATCTCTTGGCAGCCTCGTTCCCGCTCTTTACGACGCAGATGTTCAACACGCTTACGATTCCATTTGCCGGTCTTCTCCTTGCCTGCCTTCTGGCGCTCGCTGTTCCTCTGCCGTTCATCCTGATCAAGTACGGCGAAAGAATCAGGGCGAAGAGCAGGTACGCGGCCACAATGACGGGCATCACTCCTAACGACGACCAAGAAAAGCAATCGCGCGCGGCAGAGGACCCAGTTCTCGGCGCGACAAGGAGCCGTAAAATTGTGTTGATGAAGAAGCAGCAGCAGTCGACGACAGAGCCGGTTCAATCCGAGGTCATGCAAGGCAGCGCCCCTGTCTCTGCAGAGGAGGAAGAGAAGGAGAAGAATGATGAGGCTACGGCTAAAGATGCCGATGCCGACTCTTAGGAACTTGACAATAAAACCACATATCACCGCTCGGACACATAACTCAACCTACTCCTTTTCCTAAGCATTTATCTCTAGATTTGCAGCAATATAATCACGATACATGAACGATTGTAGTAGATCTAGGCAAAGAGCAAGGAAGAGGGCTAAAGAATGACAGTTCGAGGGTCGTTGTCGGCTTTGTCGGGGGACGAGTCGGTGAATGAGTCGGTGGAAGAGTCAAAGTAAGGGTCACTGGGCCCGATAGAGCGATCTTCGTCGAGCCATGCCTCGAGATTCCAGCTCGCAATAATTTGCTGATGTTCTGCACCCCACTGGCCAACCCAGTTGCGCGACATTGTGTGCGCCAACGACCGGATCTCGATGGTGGGAGGGACGCCCGTTCTTCTCTTGGGCGCGCCTGGCATCGAAGCACTCGACAGGGGTGCGTTGTAGTAGGCCCTCGTAATTTGCCAATCGACGTAGAAATCAGAGAACGTCTCGGGATCGTAGGACGAGACGACGACACGGATGGGCCTCACGTTTTTAGTCGCCTTTCCTGCTGCATGCGGGTAGACGACAAGGGCGTCAAAGAGAGACCTCTGGGTCTCGAGGCCAGTCGCATTGGGAACTGCGCCCAGAGCTGACGGCCACGGTTCGATCAGCTCCACCGTCTTCAGCATCCCTTCCTGACCCGGTCCAGACCCTAGCTTCGGCACAAGATTTGAGAGCAGCTTCCAGTTCGGCGGACCTCGTTGATATTGACTTCCGCGTAGCGGAACAAGAGGCATGATGAGTCGCAGATGCTCGACATTGAGAAAAGGATTTGCTCTTCTTCCGCCTCGTTCCTCAAACGTCTCCTCAAAATTAGGCACGAGGGTGTTCGTGAGCGTCAACGTCCGTAAGAATGTCCCGAACGGTGCTGGAAAGTTCTTGTCAGAGAATCGTGCTGGCGAAGGAGGCGCAGGACTCTCATCCACGAGAAAATCCATAATTTCCTGTCTTGCGACCAGATCATTCACGTCGGCCTCGACTCGTTCGCACGGAAAGCCGAGGATCCTGCCTGTGTTGAAGCTTGGAATGAACGTCTCCTGAAAGACAAAGTTGTGGTACGGCTGGCGGACGCCGGCGCGTTCTGTGAAAGTATTGGCGGTTGAGGCGTTGCAGATGCTCAATGCTTCGAGTCGGTACAGCAGCGGGAGTATAAATTGGTAGAGTTGCGTCGAGACAAAGGTTGATTGTAGCAACTTGCCTGTCAAGAAATCTGTCAGTACGTTTCCCTGTTCATCCGCTGAATCTGCTTCCGTCGACGCACCAGAAATCCACAGTCTTTTGACCCTCTCTCTGAGATCGAGCGATAACCAGCCGCCGTCTTCTCCACCGCGCCGAAGAAGTCTCACAAAACTGCCAAATGTCCGCTCGTTGCTCAATATGACAGTATGGAGTGCCTCTTCCAACGTCCATCTCCTCACGTCCTTGCAGACCCGAAGCAAGCTCTTTATCGTAAACGTGTCGCGCGCCGGCGCTCGGCAGAGGTGCTGATATCGCTCATCGGGGGGGATGCAGAGCGACTTGAGCGTCCGCTGCTGCCTTTCTTCTTCTCGAGACGTGTCGGACGAATCGCGCGGAGTCCGGAACATGTCGTCCAAGGGATCGGGAAGCTGCTGGATCAGGGCGCCATGGCATCCTTGGCAATTATACCTGTACGAGTAGATGGGGCTCATCAATTGCCCATTGCGGCTGCGGGTGCTGTAGCTGTACATGGCCTGACGAGTAGCGAGCTGAACAATCCGTAGAATAATCTCCCCAGGAAGTGGCGGGAACGGCAGCGCATCGTCTTGCGTTTGGGAAGGCAGGGCCTCGCACAACGACGAGAGGGAAAGGGAGGAGAAGAAGGAGGTTGGTCTTGCTTCTGGAAGCGTCATGTTGTAGGTTTATTCGTCGAAAGGTATCTCTAAGTTGAGGAGTCTTTGCAGGTCAGTCGCTGGTGAGTGTGTGTGATGGAGGGAGGATGTCAGACAAGGGGAGAGGATATGTTCGCCAAGGAGTGAGAAGCGGTGCCTAGAAAAGGCAAAGAGCATACCTGATGTGCCTGTTCATGCACCCCCGACGCCTGCTCAGCAGCAACTCCTATAATAATCTATAGATTCGATGTGTACGCCTACCCAAATTAGAACAAACTACGGTAATTGTACAGTACATGGAGTCCTAGTCCTCGGCATCGCTGCTGCTGCTGGTATCAGAGCCGTTGCCATCGTCGAGCTCGTCCATGTTGGCGCGGTCGTTGAGCCACCGCATGCCGTCCTTTCTGCGGATGCTTCCCCGCGTGCTCCAGTCATCGTTGGAGCCCTGCCTCTTGTCGTGGGTATTGCTGCGCATGGGGCTGAGAGCCGCTGCCGTCAAGGGCTCGTCGAGTGCTGAAGGCTTCCTCGGCGTGAGTGCAAAGTCGTTGGTAACGAGTTCGCCGCCAGCCGAGGATGCGTCATCCTCGTCTCCCTCCTCTTCCTCGCGGAATCGTCTTGCTTTTCTTCCGCCGTCTCGCACATCCACGCCGTCGTTCATGCCAAGCGACCGTGCTCGGATGTCCCTTGGAAGTAGTTCGCCGGGCGTAGATACTTCTGCGAACCCTCCGTTGCCGACTTCGTCTGGAGTCGTGGCGTACCCCGGCGTTATAGCCCCAGTCTGCAGACGCTGTAGCGGTCCGCGCATGGGCTTGTACGACTCCTCGTTTGTTCCGTCGGTGTCGGACAGATTCGGCCGCTTGGCGTCTTGCTCTTGTGAAGTGGACGTCGACATTGGCGCGCTTTCTACGCCTCCAAATGATTCTGCAGCCGCCGACAGGGGGCCCCTGCTGATGGACGAGGGCGTCATGGGAAGCGAAGCGCCAGCGGCATTCTTTGCTCTCCTGCTGCGCAATGCGCTTCGTGTCGCCCGCCGGCCCGTCTCGATGGCTCGCTCCAGCCGTACCCGGTTCTCGATCATGTGCTGCCATCGACGTCAGTGATCAATTCCTATTCTCTGGTAGCTGACAGAAACGTGGAGACTCACCAGCTTGGGAAAGGTGACGCTGAGACCCACGCGCATCATCCTCGTCAGCTCCTTTCGGTCGGGATCCGTCAGGATGCGCACCCAGTCCCAGGCCCGCGTCTTTGGCCAGATTGTCACTGCGCCGCCAAACTGCTGGAGAAAGACCGAGGACCAGTCTTGGCCCAGGATGGCGGGGAGCAGGTCGAGGTCGCGGATGATCTTGAAGTTCATCGAGAGGTGGAGCTTGAGCACGTGCTCGCTCGCGCTCAGCAGGAAGCCGCCCCGCCATCCCTTGCCCCTCCGATGGGCCACGGGACGGCCCGGCATGCCCTTTGGAGCAAAGAAGAACAAGTGCACATGCGGGTTGACCTGGCTCACAATGGGATAGTTGACGTTGAAGAGCGAGTGGAGATCCTGAAGGGGAATGTCGACGCGCAGGCTGCCGTCCTTGAATCGATGGCCCCAGTTCCAGGGTACGGCATGGCCCGACTTTGTCTTTTGCATCAGGCAGACAGGGTTGAGGATGCCCGGGACGGCGGCCGAGGCCAGAAGGGAGCTCCAGATGATGCAATTGGGCGCCGTGTGGTAGTTGAGCAGCTTGACGGGCGAGTGCCGGTCCGAGGGAATGACGGAGATGTTGAGCACTTTGCCTGTGCGAGCATAGGCCTCTGCAAAGGTCAGGGATCCCATGGTGAAGAACTGCGCCTTTTCGGCCCACTGGATGAGATCGAAGCGGGCACCGGTCCTGTACGCACGTGGAGCCCAGATGCGAAATGGCTCCTCGCATGCCGTGATGCGGTCGGCGAGCTCGGGGACGAGAAGCCTCTTGAGCTCGTCGTTTGTGCGTGTGCATGCCAGGGCTGCGATGAGCCCACCGGCCGAGGTGCCCGTGATGATAGAGGGCAGGAGACCAGCGTCGAGAAGCGCCTTTACCAGGCCAATGTGATAGTAGCCAAAGCTGCCGCCACCGGACAGGCAGAGTGCCGATCGACCCATGTTCTTCTGGACACCCCGGTAGAAGCTCCTCTTGGCCTCAAGGCTCAGTCTGTTCGTCCTCTGCACATACTCGAGGGCCGCCTCGAGCTCGGTGAGGTAGCTCTCGACCAGATACTTTGTGCCGTAGAATGTCTCGCTGTACAGCCGGAAGTTTTCCGTGCCGGCAAAGTTGTTTCGCAGGCAGAGCTCGAGCACACCGATGAGATTGTCGGCGTCGTCCTTTTCCCGGAAGCTCCGGAGCGAGTGCATGACCTTTTTGACGAGGATCCAGTCGTAGAGGCTGCTGGCGTCCTCCCGCTTCCAGGCCTCGTAGCCCAGGTATTCGTCAAACTCGAGGGCGACGTCGCGCCACTCTTCGCCCGTCTGAGCCTTTCGCAGGCGTTTGCGAAGCCGGCCCTTTTCGCCACGCCAGGCGATAAAGTACTCGACAACGTTGACAATCTGGCGAATGAGAACGTAGGCGAAAAATTCGAGGGCGATGGTGACAAAGATGGCGAGCAGGAGGGGGAACCGAAAGAGGCTGTAGAGGAGGCCCTCTCGGGAGCCACCGTCGCTGACACCCCTTGCTCCCCGCTTTTTTCGCCTCTTTGTCCTCTCGCGTACGGGAGCAAAGTCGGATGCGGCGGCGATGCGGCCCACCTTTCGAGGATGGTGGGTGGGCTGGGTGGCCGTCGGCTCGGCGTCCTTGTCGTCGTCAGCCGCGCCAGTCGCCTCCCCGGGCTGCACCTCGCTCCTCTCGGCCGTCTTGTCTTTGGACCCTTGCCCGCCGAGTCTGAAGAGGCTCGAAGTGGCCTGGATGGCCAGTGCGCTCGTCGCCGCCGCCGGCTCCTGTTGGCCTGCGTCGTCACGGAGCGCCTCGGCAAAGGCAGCCACATCGTCGGGGTTGGAAAACACCATGGTGATGAGAGGGTCGAGCTCCTCTTCTTCCTCGCCTCGGGGCGATAGGATGGACGCAAAGGCGCTTGTCCTGCGTGACCGTGGTGCCCGAGGTGTTGGATCGCCCTGCTCGTGCACGCTCCCATTCCGAGACTGACGACCACCCCACCATGACGAAGACGACGACGATAGCGCTGGCTTCTCTTTCACCCCCGGCGCATCCGCTGCTGCTGCTGCTGCTGCTGCTGCTGCCGACTCAAAGCCGCCGCTCTCGGAGCGGTTGTGATCGTCGGGCGGTATTCCCGAACCGGAATTTCGCTTCTGTCTTCGATTAAAGATGCTGCTGAACTGGAGCGAAGAAAACGGCGACGCGTTTGCGCCTGTGTTCTCTGTCGCTGTCGCTGGTGGCCGCCGTGGCGTCGTAGGAGCCGTGGCCGTCGACTTGGCCTTGGCCCTCGAAGAGGCGGGGGAGGTCGATGAGCGAGCCATGGGCTACCCCTCGTCTCTTCTCTGGTGGACGTGATGATCGTCACAGACGTCGCCTCGAGAGGGGAGGTGGATGGATGCCCTTCGCCTGCGCCAGATCCCTCTTCCTTAGTTGAAAACGCAGCTTTGCGAAAAGACCGCCCGCGCGCGCCTTTCTCCTTCCCCTCGTTGGGGATCGAAGCGGGGCGTGTGGAGGTGAGTCACGTGGCTCACTGTCTTTTTTTTTTTTTTTTCAAAAACTTTAAGTCTTCAGTGTCCTCGCCCTTTTTTTCAACTTCTGGAGAGAAGGAGAGAGAGTGTGTGCCTCAAGACGGAAGATGAGCATGGAGGAAGAGACGACTCTCGCGCCGGTCGCGCAAACGGAAGCGGGAAAAGATGGGTCGAAGGGCAAGAAGCGAGAGCCGCTAAGACGCCCAAGGGGCAAGAGAGGCGGTGTTAAGCACCAGCGAAAGGAGAAATCGTCGACGTCGTCGAGCAAGGGGCCTGCTGCTGTTGTCAAGGGCAAGGTCAAAGGGCAGGGCAAGAGTGAAGGCAAAGGGCGAGGCAAGAACGACAAGCCGCCATCGGACCATGCAGCAAAGATTGCAAAGTTCCACGCCCTCGAAAAGAAGATTGCTCAGACGGACGATGCCGAGGAGAAGGCGCGGCTCCGCGAAGAGCAGGGCGGACTGGACGCATACCAGGATGCCAGTCTATTTGGCGGAGACCGGCAGCGCGGGGGCGAGAGCGGCAAGTGGTGCGCAGAGAAGTTGGAGCTGCTGCGTGGAAAGGGCAGGCCAGTGAGGCTGCTGGACGTGGGCGCGCTGAGCGGGACCTCGTACCAAAAGTACACGTCGTGGATCCAGGCAACGAGCATCGACATCAACCCGCGCGGCGACCATGTGGAAAAGTACGCTTTTCTCGACTACCCCAAGCCGGCCAGCGACGAGGACCGCTTCGACGTGGTGGCGCAAAGCCTCGTCGTCAACTTTGTGGGCGACCTCAAGGAACGGGGCAGGATGCTCATCCATGCCCACGACTACCTCAAGCCGGACGGCTACCTCTACCTGGTGTTGCCGCTTGCATGCGTGACCAACAGCCGTTATCTGGACCATGAGCGTCTCCGAAGCATCCTCGACTCGTGCGGCTGGAACGTTGTTGTGCAGGATGACTCCAAGAGGCTCACCAGGTGGCTCTGTCAGCGAAAGGGCGCGCTTTCCAGCGAGGAAAGTGGCAGCATTGGAGAGACAAATAAAGGGAAAAAGGCAAAGAAGGGCAAGCGGAACAACGACCAGGCCGAGTGGGACGGCACCGAATGGAAGAAGCAAGAGATCAAAGTCGGTGCCACACTCAACAATTTTTGCATCGTCGTCAGGAGAGATGCTCAATGATTGCCACTCTTGCACAACTACGTTCTGTACTTGTACCCCTATGCATCGCCATTACTGTTGCCATCATTATCATTATCATTAACATCATCGTCATCACCGTCGGGAGTTTGACAGATGCTTGCCTTTCATTCGTCGTCGGACCACGTCTGGGTTTTAAAGTCCGCACAAGAACAAAAGAAGGGCCAATCTGAGGTAAGCCACACACCACTATATGCATCACTGTCCTCGGGGACAGACCGGGAACGAAGGATTTGTGAGATCTATTCCCACACTCTGATAAGCGCATCCTCTTTCCTCGACGACGTCTTGGAAGAAGCACTGCCTGATCCATCATCCATCCGCGCGACGGGGCTGCTCGACGTCGACTGCCCCGTCCGATCTTTAATTTTCCGACTGAGACCTTCTTGCGAGTCTTAGCGCCAGGCTAGCCAGAGGGAGGCGAGCTAGCGCGATAGAAGCCTTCAATTTCCCCTCGAAATTGATCCGGCCCATCTCCCTACTGCTGCTCAAGATTAGTAGTACTACTACACGTACACTAGCTACTACTAGAGATAGTCTAGCTAGTAGTACGAGTATTACTAGCTATTTTGAGCAGGAGAGAAGCAGCATAAGAAGCAGGGCACGGCACGGTCAAAGCGCTCGCAGATTTGAGCAAGGCAAAAGAGCAAGGGCCCGCCTACATATTCTTGCGCCTCAGAACTCATAGAGACCGCGGCTTCGACGTTCATCCTCGTCGCCCTGCGTCGCCATCCTGCGCCTTGGGTCCGGATCAAGCCATGTCGGTCAACTTGTCCGACGGGCACGTCCAGCAGGCCTTTGCGCAGGTCCGGGACGGGCTCACCACCGACTACTTTTTCGTCTTGGCCAGCGGCGTGCAAGCAGCACCACAACAGCAGCAGCAGCATAGATCGCAGCCACATTCCCCCCTCTCTCCGCTTCGCAACAGCAGGCCTGGAGGCGAATCGTGCGTCTGGCTCGTCGGCAAGGGCAACCTGGGAGCAAGGGGAGGGAAGCTCGGGCGCATACGGAGGCTCCTCGTCCGCGAAGAGGCCACCTACCTCGTCCTCAATGCCGACGGACGCATTCTGCTTGCCCAGTCCTTGGGCTCAGGGCTGAGGTGAGTTTTCGACGAGCTGACTAGCTACTAGTAGCTACTAGGGTTATTTTGTGGTTCGCTCACATTTGCTCCACAGCGGCGTCAAGAGAGCAAAGGCCATGGTGCAGGGCAGGAGCATGGCCAACGAGCTGCCGAGCAGACCCTCGCCCATTGTCTTGACCGACCCCGCCGAGCTGACGCGGGACTTTATCGTGAGCAAGCTCCGTCTCGAGGAGGACGAAGGCCTGGCCCTCGAGGAGGGAGACGACAGTGGTGAAGAAGCAGACGACAACGACGATGCTGGCGAAGGACAGGCGCTGCAGGGGATGGGAGCTGCGGCAGCGAAAACACCATCATATGGGAGCACTGAGGTAGGCCAAGCTGAGCCGGTAGCAGACCATGGACGGCGTAAGGGACGAGCCGAGTCTCCGCAGGCCGCGTCAGGGATCGAAGCTCAGAGTAGCGACAACCACGGGCTAAATGCGCATCAAGACACGTTGGGGCAAGCTCAGGAGCACAAGACAGCCGACGGAAGCGACGAGGAGGAAGAGATCGAAGAGGACGACACCGCCGAGGGCTCGCTCAAGGACGGTCAAGAGGGAAGAGGGGAAGAGATCCGGCGGGTCACCAGGTCAGCCACTGCCGAACAGACCAAGAGGCTGGATCTCGCAGCGAGCGGCGGGGTGATCGAGGATGACCAGTCTGCCGACTCGAGCCTCCTGCGCGAGTACTCATCCTCATCCCCCCTCGACGTTGGCACAGAATGGCCCATGCCACCCTCGAAGAGCGACGTGACGGGCACGGAGCCTGGCACCAAGATCCTCAGGGCATCGCGCGTGTCGCTGACCAAGAACCCCCTCCATCACTCCAGCACCAACTCGCTTAGCACGCTGGTAAAGTACGATGGCAGCCCACCGCCAACGAACATCGGCCGCTTCACTGGGTCCAGCGCCTCGCTCAATGCCGGCCACTCGTCGCCCTCTGCCGCCTCGCCGGACCTGCACCGTCCAGCGTCTGAGAGCCACTGGCCGAACCCACATCGGGACTCTCTTCCACCATCGGAACTGCCGTACCAGCTGCGAGGGCCAAATCGACTGTTTGATGGCATCGTTCCCGCTCAGACCAAGTCCGCCAGGCCAGTGCACTTTATGAAGCACAGTGCCTCGACGCCCTCGTTGCCCAAGTTGAAGCTCAGCCAGCTCCGTCGCACCGCCGCCGACGACTCGACAGACGCAGCGCCGGCTCCCATCGAACGAGATCATCGGCCTCTTCCTGGAATTGAGTCCTTTGCAGAGACAAAGAAGAAAAGCGAAATCGATGAAGTTCCGGGCCCCTTGCCTCCCAAAGACCCGAGTCCTCGGGTGCCAGAAAAGGATCGCTTCCCACCGAGGACCGAGGAAGGCGCCCAGAGCAGCAGCGATGACGAAGAGAAGGCCAGGCTGGAGAGGGAGAGAAATGAGTTTCTGGCTTGGCAAGAGGAGCAAAAGGCCAAGATGATTGAAAAGGAGCGACAGAGAGAAAAGGAGAGGGAGCTGCGGATCCGGCTGGCAGACGAGGCAAAGAGAGAACGAGTGATGCGCAAACTCATGGAGGAGCAGAACAAGTGGATCGCCAAGACGGAGTTTGCCGACACCGACTCGCCCCCGGTGTCGCTCGACTCTCCCCTGCTCAAGGCCACGCCGGCCACGCCGGGCTCGCCAGGGCCACGATCGCCAGGGCCACGACAAGAGGGGGCCAAAACGCCGCGGGTTAGAACTGCCAGCGGAGAAAAGGACAAGTGGAGAAAGAAAAAGGGCGCGCCTCCTCCCTTGCACCCGCCTCCTAGCGTGCCCCCGCCAAAGAGCCCGGGCCTGGCAAGCACGAATGGCACCACGCTTGCCGTCACGAATCTGCGCGCACAGGTGTCGTCTTCTGCGAGAAGCCGCACAGTCAGCTTCCCCGGCCAGGCACCAAAGTCGCCCTCATCGCCCGGCTTCCCGTCCGACGCCGCGCCGCTGAGCTCCATGATGGCCTCCAAGCCGAGCCCTTCTGATGCCACTAGCCACGCAGCCGAGGCCGCCGGCGCGCCGGGCGTCCACCAGCGTCACGCTTCTCACACCCCAAGTGCTGGCGTGCTCTCTTCTATCAGAACATCGAACCTCGCCGTGGAAAGCGCGCGCAACAGCTCGCTGGCCGCCTCGATTGCTGAGTCAGGCTGGCAGCGCGTTGATATAGGCCCCAGCGACGACGACGATGACGACGACGATGGCAATGGCGATGCTGTGGGCGACGGCAGATCAAGCTCGTCGCTGGAGAAGCACAAGGACAACAGCGCCGTGTTGGCAGCAAATACTAACAACAGCAGCAGCAGCAATAACAAAAGCAGCAGCAATAACAACAAGGCCGTCCCCAAGACGCCTTCACCCACTTCCTCGCCGACGATCTCTCTCGCTCGCAAGCAATGGAGCCAGATGCTTGCCGAGGGCATGGAAGGCGAGTCATGGATCACGAGACACACGAAGCGCCAGTCCGAGGAGGGCAATCTCGACCGCGGTAATGGCCGGTGGCAGTCGCCGCTGCTCACCGTTGGGAGAAACAAGGAGCTGCCCTCATTCCCGTCGCCCACCTCCCCCCTCCTCGAGGGCATCCCTCGCGCTGATTTGCGAGTGCAGCAGCAGCAGCAGCAGGGACGGCTGCACAACCGCGAGTCAGAGAGACAGCTCGAGGCGCGGCGGAGGGCCTTTGTCACTGATCAGCTGGCCCAAGCCCAGGTCGACATTGCGCGAGCCGAGCAGAAGCGACTGGAGCTCGAGATTGCCGAGCTCAAGCGCCGCGAAAAGGAGCGGACCGAGCTCGAGGCTCTGGCGAGGGCAAAGTGGGCTCGGCAGCAGGTCGAGCTCAAGCAGCTCGACGCATTTGAGAGGAGCAAAAAGGAGGCCGAGGTGAGTATCATTCAGCCCCGTTGAGACTTGGTTCGCAGCGCATTGCTCCGATATAACACTTCCTCTGACGATCTTGAGCTCACTCTGCTGCAAGCGTAAACAGCAACGACGAAGGAAAGCAGCGCTGCAGAGCTTACAGGATGAGGAGAAGCGCAAAGAAATCGAGCTGGTCAAGGAGGCCGAAGCGCAAAAGAAGCGCTACGAGGAGGAGGTGGCGAACAACGAGCGCAGGAAGAAGGACGCCCAGGAGAGGGCCCTCAGGCTGCAAGAAGAGGCAGACGCCATGAAGAAGAGGCGGGAGGAGCGCGAGAAAAAGGACCAGGAAAGAAAGGCGACGCGACAGGAGCTCAGGAGTAGACTCGAGACGCTCAAAAGTGAAGACCAGCTCGTCCTCGAAGGCATCGTCAATGTGCAGTTCGAGGGGCAATTGGTGAGTACTGCGGCCTTCCCCCCTTTCCTGCCTCTTCCCGCTTAGATGCATGGCTGATATGTTCTGCAGCGATGGCGACGCAAAGCCTTTGAGCTCAAGGGAAGCACCATGCTGCTGAGGTCTCCCGATGGCGTGAGTGCCTGATCGGACCCAGGCTTCCTGCCAATCTCGTTGACTCGATTTATTCTTCCCTGTACAGGACATTTCTGCGATACCGAGTCAGCCCGTCGAGACAATCGAGGTGACAAGGAACAGCATCCTCTCGCTGACCGATACATTCGAAGAGATTCAAACCCCACATTCGTTTCGCGTTACATTCAATGAAGAGCACAAAGGTCAAGGCGGCCACGAGGACACATCTGTGCTTCTCTCTACCAACTCCGAAGAAGAGAAGGAGAAGCTCATGGTTGGGCTCTCTGTTTTGAGCGACTATCACGACTTGACGTTGTGAAGTCAGACAGGCATCTTTAGCACTCACTCACTTCATCTGTACAAATATCCCTTCTCGTTCACATCGCTGACTGCCACCTGCTAATTCGATACCGTGCCCCATTCTTTATATCATGACGCAACGGAATGACGGATTGTGACTGAAATGACGGAAGTTGCTCGAAGATTCCAGACGATAGTGGAGGCATCTGCGCGCAGGACGCTGCAGGCTGGACTCCAAGGAATATCAATATAGAGCCAGCGCTCCATCACCTTGCCCCGGACTCCTTCTGCTCCAACTCACACCATGGCAAAAGACTACTACAAGATCCTTGGCGTGTCCAAGGACGCAGACGAAGACACACTTAAGAAAGGTGAGTCTCATCTCATTCCATCCCTTTATGCTCCAGCTAATCTCAGTCCCTTTTGCCCGTTGCAGCATACAAGAAAGCCGCGCTCAAATGGCATCCGGATCGCAACAAGGACAAGCAGGAGGAGGCCAACAAGAAGTTTCAGGAGCTGGGCGAGGCGTTTGAGGTGCTTTCGGACAAGCAGAAGCGCACCATCTACGACCAATTTGGCGAGGATGGCCTCAAGGGCGGTGCGGCGGGCGGGGGCGCTGGGCCGTCGCCCGGTGGGAACCCCTTCGCAGCCGGCGGCTTCCCAGGTTTCGGAGGCGCAGGCGGGCCGGGCGGTGCCCAGACGTTTAGCTTCTCGACGGGAGGGCCTGGCATGGGCGGAGGGTTCCGGCCGTCGGATCCAAACGACATCTTCAGCCAGATCTTTGGGCAGATGGGCGCAGGCGGCCTCTTTGACGATATGGACGGCATGGGCGCAGGAGGACCCAAGGGCGCAAGAAGAGCAAGGGGCTCTGGCGGCATGGGGGGAATGGGAGGCATGGGAGGTATGGGGGGAATGCCCGGCATGAGCTTCGACATGGGCGGCGGCGGCGGTGGTGGTGGTGGCGGCATGCCTGGAGGATTCGGTGGAGGCTTCGGGGGAGGGCGAGCTTCACCGGGGAGCGAAACCCCAGTCGAGATCAAGGACATCGAGAAACCTCTGGCCATCACCCTCGAGGACCTGTACAAGGGCGTGACGAAGCGGCTCAAACTCGGACGTCGTAACCTCAACGGCACATCAGAGGAAAAGACGTTGGCAATCGAAGTGAAGCCTGGGTGGAAGAAGGGCACCAAGGTTCGCTTCGCCGGCTCTGGAAACGAGGTCCAGCCCGGTAGAAACCAAGACATCGTCTTCATCATCGAGGAGAAGCCACACGATAAATTCAAGAGAGAGGACAACGACCTCATCCTCGAGCAATCCATTTCGCTCATTGATGCACTCGACCCTCCGAAAGCTGGAACACCAGCCTCGAAGCGATTCATCAACACGCTCGACGGAAGAAGAATCGACGTGCCCCTTCCGAGCCCCAAGCCGGGCTGCACCTCCATCCAGACGGGCCAGACCACGCGCGTTGCTGGCGAAGGAATGCCACTGAGCAAGACGGGCGGCAAGCAGAAGGGTGACCTTGTCGTCAAATGGCAAGTCTCGCTACCTGAGCGCATCACCGAGCAGCAGAAGAAGGACATTCGCGCGGCTCTAAGCTAGAATTACGACTCTCAATTATCTTGTGTATGGGCTACCAGCGTCACCTATTTCCCTCTTCCACTGTTGGCAAGAGACCACTGCAATATATACTCGTGATAGACTCACTCTTACATCTGGGCAGCATGACTGATCGATGACTCTCTGATTGTGAGTGATGAAAGTGGCTAGAAGTACAATTGTTGTCGTATACCCGTATGAAATATCAATTTCTCCTGATGATCGTGCTTGATGCCTTAGGCATAAACAGGCTCGCCGTAGCCTTTGCCGACGGGCCGGTAGTGGCGACGGGAGCCTTTCCTGCTTTATTGTTGTTGTCGCTTGCTAGGCTCTCAGACCCTCCGGTCGGAGGGTTGCCTGAGGCATTTTCATCTGCATTAGGCGCGGCTTCTTCCTTTGGTGGTCGAAGAATGGGAATGTCTGTAGGCTCATTGAGCAGCTTCCAACGGACAAGCCTAAGCGGAATCGATTGTGTCAGAGACAAGAGAAGAAAAATAATAGCTCGCCATCGACTCACTCTAGGGCGGCATTGGCATCCTCTGCAGCGTCATGGCCCTGTTCGGCATTTCCCCTCTGGATCAATTTGCCAAGCTTCTTCTCTGTTAGATCCCTTAGACCCATCCGAAAAGGGAGGCCCTTTTGGTGTCGGAAGAGAAAGACTGAGTCGACAACATGTCCGTGAACCAGCCGGAGAGCTGCCAGATCGTTCTCGAGGCCGTGCCCAACAAGGACAGTGTCTTTGTGCATCAAGCCCGCAAGCTGCGCGCGAGCTTGCGATAGCGAGACGGCCTTGTTCGAGGCCAGGTCTGACTCCTTGATACCCGAGAAGCGTGTGTTGTAGTCGAGAACAGGCGTTGACGGAAGAACGTAAAGATCCAAGAGGACTTTTCCTGCTTCGTCAAGAATAGTCGCACGAGCCAGTGACATACCAGCTGTCGTGTAAACCAGTTCGCAGTCCAGGGCCAGAATGTCATGTCGTCCAGTCGGGCGGGAAGAGGATGGGATCTTGGCAGCATGGAAAGCTTCGCGACGGTGGAGATCTTCGACTCTCTCCTCTTTGAAGACGTGAGGGCCTCTAGAGCATCCGACTTCGCCTCCCTCGCCTCCTCCACCGATGTCGCCAGATGAGGTAGTGGGAAGAAGCCCAGCGGATTGTGCGACATCGGACAGCCTCGGAGACTGGTTCGTCGTGGCTGCATCCAATGCGTTACAGCATGTCCACCGTGGCACCCTCGGACCTCTCATGGATTCCTTGACGAAACGCTGGATCGAAAAGGTCAGCATGATCGGTCTCTCTTCCATCAGAGAAAGTGATGCGAACCTTTTTCCCCCAATGATAGATACATGCACGCTTGCTCTCTCGTAGTTTCTGCCGGATGCCCTCCTCGACAATGTCTGGCAAATCGTCCTCGCTGAGCGACCTGACTTCAAATAGCGCCTGGCAACGGTCGCAAGCTGTCCTCATTCCTGAACCATTCGGCTCGATCCCACCTCGACCCCAGGCTTCCTCGATGTCGTGTTCAATGTCACTTTGGTCATCTTTCCGCGGCGGTATAGGATATCCTTGCTTGCGTAGCAGATCGATCGGTGCCAAGAAGCCTGCGTCGACGAGCCGCTGCCTAGTCAGCTTGCCCTGCGCTCGCTTCTCCTTCGCTTTGACCTTGGCTTCGACCTCGTCGCCCGTTCCAATCAGAGTTGACGCATCGAGAACAGCTCGAATACAGCTCTCCATACTGTCTTGGTCGCCGATTGCTGCCAAGCAGGCTCTCTTGCCCAGCTCTCGAATACTCTCTTCCTCATCCTTCGCTCCCTTCTTGTTGGCCTCTGCTGTCTTTCTCTTGTTGATCCCCACCATGGTCGTCACAGCCGAGTTTCTATACGTCAGCCTGTTTACACCAGCTGCCCGAAAGACCTTCCTTTCTGCCTCCAGCGCGTTGTCGCTCGCATACCGATGCATCACCTTCTTCATGGCTTCGTAGATGAGCCTCTCCACATCGACCGAGCTGCTCGAGGAGGCCGAAGAAGCGACCGAGACACTGGGTGCTTGCGGTATGAGGCCTGCATACAGGGACGAGAAGGCGGTGAATAAGGAGCTGACTGTCTTTTGGCGCGAGGCGAGGTCCGTGGGGGATTGGAGTGGGTGTGAAGATCGTGGGATGGTGGGTGGTGTGAGGATGCCGTTTGTTGTCGCAGTCGCAGACTCGACTCTTCGCGGATGCGCTGTGGACTGTGACGACAGCGACGGTGACAGCGACGGCGAAGGTGATGATGACGGTAGACCGGTCGCAGTTGAGGAGGGGCGTGAGCTGGCAGTCTGCGCTGCAGGTTGGCGGCTACGCTCAGCTGCCATTTTGGCAGCATATGCGTTCCGAGGTTGATTGGCCGCCTGGCCGCTGCTTTTTGCGCCATAGATTGCATTGAGGAAGGACGATTGTGCCGAGGCAGATGCGGAGGATGCTGAGGAAGAGGCTGAGATGCCTCCCTTCGATGATACAGCCTTCTTACTGCTGCCGCCGCCAGCAACCTCTTCCGGCGTCTGCTCATCATCGTCGTCGGGCAGTGCACGCGGCCTTGCGACGTGCCCAAATGGACATGATGGACGTTGGCAGCGGCCCTCTAGGTGATCTGGGCAGTCGACATGCGCTAGAAGCGCCTTTGTGGGGAACATCGCCCTCTGCTGAGAACCCAGCGAGCGCCCCTCAGACCGGAGAAAGTGCTCAACGTGAAGCTTCTGGTGAGCTTGAGCAATTTTTTTGGCAGTGGAGGTACCACGTGAATGTGCAGGATGATGTTGGCCACGACAACGATGATGATCCCTATAGCTCATTGACCATGCCCAGGGCAGGCCAATCTTCCTTCATGACCTTTCTTCCTCCCTAACCTGCAAGCCTGACTCAGAACTTGTCATTTGCGTTTATTATTGGTACAAAGGTGGGATGTCAATGTTTCGTGTGATCTACCCGCTTTTCTGCTCGTTCATCTGGACATGTATTCCGCATTCTTATCGTTTGCCTGATGCAGCCTCTGCAAAGCCGCGAATATGAGAGCGAAGGCGAAGTTAAGATGGAGATGCAGAGCACGCAATCAGCGTCAAGCAATACTACCCAAAGCTTCCGTCCTGGACTCACCTTTCCGAGTTGCATCCTCAAGGAGCTGCGTGTCGACGGCTGATGCGGGAATGTGAACGTACCGAATGACCGATCCACGGATGAAGGCAGACTTGACAGCGGCCTTATTTAAGGATTCAGTAGGAGATATGGTCAGTCGTGCGACCTTTGCGAACAGGACCGGGTCGAATCCTTCCTAGCGGGCGAAGGACGTGTAGAAGAGACAAATCAAGAGACCACTCACAAGGTGTGGCCATCGCGCCTCCTCTCCCTCTGCCACCTTCATGTTGTCGATTCGGAAGTTGAGGAACTGGTCCACGGATTTGAGGGTGCCCGTGAGCGACACGTCGTTTTTCAGCTCGACGGTCACGACCTTGCCCGTCAGCGTCTTGAATGCGCTGAAGATGAGCTAAGTTAAGGCCGTATACCACGACATAGATGAGCCACCACTCGACAGGTACGATAAAGGGTAAAAGTCTGGACTCACCATGGGTAAGAAGGATCGACCAGGAGGAGAGGGAGATGGAGGAGGGAGGGAGAGTTGAGAACATCGACGACGTCGCGGGGCACGTGAAATTTAGAGTCGAGAATTGACCAAGCGGCGGTCGAGCCATGCTGAGGACAGACAGGCTTCTGGCGTCTGTCTGCTCGACGATGAGTATCGCGTCGTCGACGACGTCGGCCGCAACCATGAGCACACAGGGGCCGACGGGGAGCGGTAGCACTGCTCATCACACGAGCATCAGCTCCACGTCTTCCGCTCCCGTTGCGCCTGTGCTAGAGCCGCCGGCAATTTTTGCGACTGTGGCACCTGGCATATACCGATGCTCCTCGTCCTCGCTCACCGCTGGCCTTCCTCCTGCGCCCAAGGAGTGGGTCCCTCCGTCCTCTTCTCACTCCAACAATGGCAACGGAAATGGGGATGGCAGCAATGGCAACGGCAATGGCAACGGTGCCCACGACCGCAGCTCAGAGGCCGACGAGGTCAGGTCAATTTCTTCCTCCTTCTTCGCTTATCAGCCAAACTCTCTTCCGGCATCGTCGACGACGGCACCCACCTTGCCTCTCGAAACCTTTCTTTCGACACTCAGACTCAGAACAATCCTTCTCTTAGCACCAGAACGGCGGCCGCCAGCGCTAGCAGCCTGGTGCCAAGCGCGCCATATCCGACTCGTCCATCTTGGCCTCGGTGCCTTGGCCGACGAGGGAGCGAGCGTAGGCTCCAACATCAACTGTTCGGGCATGGATCTATACGGGAATGCAGCTTCCAGTATCATGAGCCTGGAACGGATCGTCAAGGACTCGCTTGAGCTTTTGCTTGATGTATCCTCATTGCCCTGCCTCGTCTGCGATGCGTGAGTCTCGCCTGTCTTTCCCATCATTGTCCTTTTCCCTTCCTTGACTCCCAGACTGATGATTGGCATTCTTCTTCCTTATAGCACTGGCGTGAGCGAAGCCGGTGTCGTCGTGGGCTGCCTCCGCAGAATGCAACGTCGCAACTTTGCCAGCATCCGTCTCGAATATCGAAACTTTGCTGCTAGCCGCTCGCGTTCGTCGCACGAACGCTTCATCGAGAGCTTCGACACAGATTTGATCTCCTTGCCCAGGGCTGATCGACTTCCGGACTGGTTTGCCCTGCAACTGGCCGATGACGACGAGGAAGAAGAGGAAGCAACAGCAGCAGCGCTTCTGCTGGCAGCTTCTGCCTGATGTAATAGTGAGATCTCCTTCAGCATTTGTAACAGTAGTTCCGCCATGCATCCCACGACCACAGCCCCGGATTTGAAGGATCAAGCTTGTTCTCTTGTGTATATTTTGGTCTATATGCTACAAAGTACAGTATGAGTGAGCTTATCTTGAGTGGTCGATCGAGTGGTCTGAGGTTCAACTTGGAGCGATCGAAATCTATCGTTGGTGACATTTCGATGTCGTCTTTGAAAGGGTGCAGTGCCCTCGCCGGTCCCGTAGCATGTGTCTTCTTCCTCAGGTCCCCGTCTGCAGCATTGCACTCAGTGCAGCAGGTGTTGCGTCGAATCCGCTTCTGTTGGAAGCGGAGCTACCACGAGTGGTCTCATTACTGTTGCTTGTCGCTGCGCCCGTGCTGGGTCTGGAGCCAGGAGTCTGGCCAGCTGGAGACATCGCAGGAAGAGGCGATCGACCTGCACTTGCGGGAGAGCCTGCTTCTACGGCCACCGATCTTGTCACGGCTAAGGCTGACTCCCTTCTACTGGCTTCAGCTGCACCTTCGCAAAGAGACGTGTAGCTGCCGTAGACGGGCTTGCCCAGAGAGGGCTGCAATGCCTCACTTGTCCGTCCTGTTGCACTTTGCTTTGGTGTCGACATTTTGGCACGAGGAGGGTTTTGGCTGAGCAGAGGTGAATGAGGTCTCTCTGGTACCCGCTGACGCGACGACAAGCTGGACGATGTCTGAAGAGGCCGAAAACTTGAGACACTCGCCGAAAAAACATCGCTAGCTAAAGGAGCTGCTTGGAGTTCTTTCTCGAGAAGGGGCGGCCTTGGCGAAGAGTGACGGTGTATTGATGTCTTTGTCTTGCTTCCTGCAGTGTCATCCCTCGAGCTCGAAGGCGATGCCGACGCCGCCTTCTGGCTCGTCTGCAGGGAAGAGCCATCTTCGAGCTCATCTTTCTCTTGGTCCGTCTCCGGACTGTTTCGAGTGACGGGAACGAAAACTTCCTGTGCGCTACTCTGACCGGCAACGCCCTGAACATGACGTTCCTGACTGCCTTTTGGTTGCGACATCCTCCTCCCTCGAGTGAGCTGTAGATTATTGGTGCTTTGCGGGGATGAGTTCTTGGCAAGTGAGAAGGTTGTCCGTCTGCTGAAGAGGGTTATCATAGTCTGTGAAGTGGGATTAGACGTCGAAGTGATCCCTGGAATCCTCATCTGATCCTGCTCAGGCTGTCTGTGACTTTGTACATGGCCGCGCTGCTCCTTTTCTGTAACTGCATGGCGCTCCCTGCCCACTTCAATCTGCTGTACACTAATGTGATGCGTATCCTCTTGCTCCTCTTGCTGCGGTGGCTTGTAAACCTCGAGGTGAGGTGAGGCTCGCGTTCCACCTCCCATATCCTCTCGTCTGCGACTCCCCAGCTCATCTTCGGTCCGCCGACTCTCGACATCAGCTTCACGGGCGTGCCGATTCGCATGATCTAAGCTCTTGTCCCTTCTTTGCTTCGGGTTGAGATCGGCTTGCTCACAAAAGACATTTTGCGCTTCGTCGTTCGGGTCGACCAGAATTTGCAATACTTCTGCAATTAGCGCACCTCCTTCGTGTGGATTTTGCTGATCTGGGCGTAATCTGTAAAAGGAGGTCTGAGAGTCATCGCTGCTCGCTTTCCTGCTCGAGGCGCTCTCTTCTTCCGCTGCCGCCCGACTGTCTTTTCCCACGTCGTCTTGTGCAGCGAGGTGGACCGCGCCAGATAACGCCTCTTCAACAGAAGAAAGACCTTGGTCTCGCTCGGAAAGCACCATAGGTTGAGCTGGCGCAGCGTCTGGACTATGTGCAAGATACAGATGCTCCATCTGTTGCTGACGAACCACTTGATTAGACCTTGCCGTTTCCAGTTGCGACTCTCTCGTGAGTGCTCTTGAAAGAGGCAGAGACGGCCACCCTTGCAAAGCAAGGGTTTCTTGTCCTTTACGGGCCATTCCACTAACCACCAGAGTTTGCTCATCAGCCGAGGACTTTTTGTGGTCGAAGTCCTCTGGCCTCGGAGCATGCCCCTTCTGCGCTTCCTCCTCTGCCACCGTCGAAGTCAATTCGGACTGACACTCGTCGACCTCCATCATGTCTGCAATAATCGCTTCGCCAGTCTGTGTTTTAGTCGCAACCGCGGCGAACCTCTCCAATGGCTGTTCAGCTTCATGCGTCAGGCCTGACCGCGGTTCCAGCTGCAAGGCGTGAATGCGTCTCTTCTCTGCAAGCTCGGCGTCCACCTTGCGCCTCATTTCCTCTGGAAACTCTTCCTCGAAATCGTCTTCATCGTTTGCTAGATCGATAGTCGATTCCTTTGATCCTTGATCTGCTTCAATCCCAAGAGCTTCTTCTGTACGCTCGGGGTGTGTATCCGAGATTGTCGGTAAATCGATGGCGGCTTGGCGATCGTCTCGTGAATGGGTGACGGTCTGTAAAGACCCTTCTTCTGTCCCAGACACCTCGTCTCCTCCTGTCTTCTCAAAAGCAGGTGGACCATCTCCATCAAGGAGAGCCCGGTCTAGGTCATTGTTTCCATGCTCTTTACTCTGATTTAAGAGGTCATCGATCGCGCTCGTCATAAAGCCCTCATTCTGCTGAAGGACATCGTTCTCGTTGCGGTATCCTACCGGCTCTACGACTGGATGTTCCTCGTGCATCCAGGTTGGGTAAAACTGGAAGCCTTCCAAAGTCTCGCTATCGTTTTCGTAAGGGAAAAGTTGTGATTGAGGAGACACTCCGAAAGTTGAGCACTGGCCGCTTTTCTCTTGGTAGTCTTCGATGGCAGAGGACTTCCTCTTTTCCCTTCTACGTCGATGTGGCTGGGTGGGGTCCAGAATGGAGCCTGTGAAAGTGTAGCATCAGAATGTGATCAACCCCTAGAGAGTAGTGAGCTACTGACTTTTTCCGGGACTGGACAGCTTTTGTAATGCCTCGTACGCTCGACGGCTGACGTTGGGGTCGTTTTCTGACTTTGCGAGATCGTGAAGATCGCGCATGTGCTGCTGCGCATCTCGCTCCCTCTCGGACTCTCTCTTCTTGAGCTGTTCAAAAATGTCTTGATCGCTCGAGAAGAAAGGCTCGCCCCGCTGCTCAGCGTAACGGCGACGCCTCTCGCGCGAAAGATCCCTGCGCTGCTTGAGGTTTGCATTGTCCCGTTCAATCCTACGGGCGCGCTCCTTCTCGAGCGAGAAGGGATCGACATACGTCTCTTCTTTTCTCAGCGGATGTTCCAGAGGGGATTGGCTGCCTTGGATCGAATGGCTTCGAATACTTAGTTGTTGCCTCGCCCGGAAGTCTTCTTTGACAATCTCTCGGATCTCAGCCTCAGGAACAAGCTCCTGTCCTCGGCCCTCGTCCAGTCCATTCTTGGGACCTTCCAGGGTCTCTTGTTCTGCTGCCTGTGACAACGCGTTGAGTGCCATCTGCTTGCATGTCGTAGTGTGGCTGTGGATGTCTAATACTGGCGAAGAGCGGTGCTTCTCCAGCTCTGTGAGCGAAACCACTACCGGAGAAGGCGAAAAGAAGGGATTTTCTTGGGCCGTTTCGCGTTTGCACGCCCTTTTCTTGATGAAGCTGCTTGGAGAGAGGGATATGTCCAGAGTCAGTCTGAGGAAGTTCTGTGTATGCGCTCTTGATCCAAACGGAATCCAACGAGCAAGCATTGTGACCGACGAGACAAGAGAGGGAAGAGGCATGCTCACACGGCTTCATAGGTCCTGTCGAGCGTCTTGGAGAGAGAAGCGCCAAAGTATCGGCTCGCATACCTTGTCTGGCCGATCTGGCAGTGGAGTTCACGTTCCGGGTCCGTGTATGCGTTCTTTCTGGGAACTTGAGGGATGAATTGGCCGCTGAGCTTCGCTTCATTATTGAACCCTGCACGCCTTCCCCTGGCCTTGAGCCGGTAGTAAGGATCCTTGATGACCGATGGCACCGACTCCGAGCGTCGGAGGTGAACCATGCGCTCGACTCGCCTCTTAGCTGGCTCAAGTGAAACCTGAAGGAACAAAACATCAAGAGAGTCAGACACATTCTTCAGCTCACTAGTGCTATTGCTTGTCCAAGAGCGACTTTCAAAAGGCTTAGCAGCGGAGATGGTACCTGTCTGGGGCGTCCCTCATCCACTGGCGTCACGTCCCGGGACAAGGAACGAGACATCATGCTTTGTCACGTCGCGTCCTGGTCGGCGCAGAAGGCTGAGGCTGATGAGAGGAGAGATTCTCTAATGCTCTTGTTCTTCTTTGAAGGATGTACTGTACACAAGGAGATCAGTGATGGTGGAACAACGGAGAAGACGCGGCGCACCGTGGCCCAGACGAGATTCTCAGCGAATTGGCCCGCGCACGCGTGAGCGCATACAGAGGTGATCGATAGCTGGCAAGCCTTGAGCAGCGCTTCAAGGCGTGAAACATGCCTTCTGAGCACACTCTGTGAAAAGCTCACGAGGCTCGAGGGCACACTCAAGCTTCAAGAATCAGGCCAAACACACCAAAGCAGATTGTGGTGACCAGATGGGATTAGAAACCAATGTCCGAGGAGCAGGAGCAAGGAATAGGTCGAGCCTCGTGCTCAGCAAAAGCCTCGCCTAGTCTCGTACTGAGCTCGCTCAAGGTTAGAGGAGTGTGGAGAGAGAGGTGGAAAGAAGCAACACATGTGATCCAGAAGCCAGAAAAGAAGAAGAAGGGGTGGGGGAATCCTGCAGCTGTACGTCTAACGCGAGTGCGTGAGGAGGGGAGACAACATCTTCTCTAGAGGCCGAGACCGCCAAGGAGGCCGCTGATGAGGCCGCTCTTGCCATCGTTGCCGCTGAGGAGCGAGATGTTGATGCCGGCGTTCTTGGCATCGATGAGATCCGGGTCGCTGATCTGCTTGACCGACTCGTCGTTCCACTTGTAGCAGCAGTAGTCACCGTCGCACTTTGGCGGGTTCTTGGCTGGCACAGTCTTCTTCTCTTCTGCGCCGTTGTTGCTCAGGATCGAAATGTCGATCTTGAGGTTCTTGAGGTCGATGAGGTCAGGGTCGCTGTACTGGATGATGCTGCCACCCTTGCTGTGCTTCCAGCCGGCAGGGCACGAAGGGGTGTGCGTGGGCTTGTCCTTGTGCGCGCTCGTGGTCGACGAGGGGGTGTGGACCTCGCTGCTGTGGTGGTGGTGGTGCTTGTGCGAGCTCGAGGTGGGCGTCGACTTGGCAGGCTCCGAGGAGTGGTGGTGGTGGTGCTTGTGCGCAGAGGTAGGGGTCGAGGAGGGAGTCGAAGTAGGCGAGGGCACGTGAACACCAGGCGGCGTCGAGGTCTGCGAAGGCTGGGACTTGGGTGCACCGCACGACTTCTTGGTGGAGCAGTAGCAGGTGTGGTCGCCCTCGTCGAATTGCCACATGTCCTGGTTGCCACGCTTGGAGATCGACGAGCGCTTGATGACCTCGTAGTCGTTGCGGCGGAGGATGTCAATGAGAGCCTTGATGTTCTTTGCGTCGACGACGTCGGGGTCCGAGTACTGGACGACCTTGCCCTCGTGGCGCTTAAGAATGTCGACGCCGACCTTTGCGTTCTTGGCGTCGATGACGTCGGGGTCCGAGTACTGGACAATGTTGCCGTCGCCCCTGTCCGAGGACTTGTGGCCCCACTTGTGGCCGTCATGGTGGCCAGACTTCTTGTGCTCCTTGTCGCTGAGGACGTTGACGTCGACGCCGAGGTTCTTGGCGTCAACAACATCCGGGTCCGAGTACTGCTCAACGTTGGGAAGGTTGCGCTTAAGAATGTCAACACCGAGCTTGAGGTTCTTGAGGTCAACGACGTCCGGGTCCGAGTACTGCTCGACGTTGGGCAGGTTGCGCTTGAGGACGTCAACACCAACCTTGAGGTTCTTGGCGTCAACAACGTCGGGGTCCGAATACTGGTAGACGCCGCCCTCGTGGCCGTGGCGCTTGAGGATGTCAACACCGAGCTTGAGGTTCTTGGCGTCAACGACGTCTGGGTCCGAGTACTGCTCGACGTTGGGGAGGTTGCGCTTGAGAACGTCGATGCCGATGCCGAGGTTCTTGAGGTCAAGAACATCGGGGTCCGAGTACTGGTAGACGCCACCCTCCTTGTTGTGGCGCTTAAGGATGTCAATGCCGACCTTTGCGTTCTTGGCGTCGACAACGTCAGGGTCCGAGTACTGGTAAACGCCGCCCTCGTGACCGTGACGCTTGAGGATGTCAATGCCAACGCCGAGGTTCTTGAGGTCGACAACGTCGGGGTCCGAGTACTGGTAGACACCACCCTCCTTGTTGTGGCGCTTGAGGATGTCAATGCCGAGGCCCAGGTTCTTGAGGTCGACGACATCAGGGTCCGAGTACTGGTAGACACCACCCTCGTGGCCGTGGCGCTTCAGGATGTCGACACCAACCTTTGCGTTCTTGGCGTCGACGACGTCGGGGTCCGAGTACTGGACAACGTTGCCACCGTGACGCTTGAGGATGTCGACGCCGACCTTTGCGTTCTTGGCGTCAATGACGTCGGGGTCCGAGTACTGAACAATGTTGCCGCTGTCCGAGGACTTGTGGCCCCACTTGTGGCCGCCACGGTGGCCAGGCTTCTTGTGCTCCTTGTCGCTGAGCACGTTGACGTCGACACCGAGGTTCTTGGCGTCGACAACGTCAGGGTCCGAGTACTGGACGATGTTGCCCTTGCCCGTGGGGACGGCGTTGGCCATCGAAATGGCGAGGGCCAGGACGGAAAGCGAGATGATCTTGGTCATTTTGGATTCGTCTTTACTGGGCGGTTTTGTGTTGGGTGGGAATGTCTAGCTTGTGTTGGGTGTGAGGAGGAGTAGGTGTCCTGGGTTCGTTGGTTGCTGAAGAGAGTGTGTATGTGTGCTGTGGTGTGCTGTGTGCTGGAACGAACGTATGGGGAGCTAGAGCTACAGGTGCCGCGACAAAGGGAAGAGACGAACCGGGGAGAAGAGACAAGGGAGAGGGAGAATGGTGAGGGAGTGAGTGAGTGAAGAGAAGAAAGACGAGGAGGGCGGAAAAGGTCTCGCTCTTATAGCTTGTCGTTTCTCGGTCTCTTGCCCCTGAAACCTCGGAACGTTGCTTGGTCGCACAAAACTACGTTGCGCATCCCTCGGCCCCCCCCCCCCCCCTTGGCGCTGCCTCTGTAGCAGTCGTCTTCCGGCGAAACCTCTGCTGATCTGCGCCACCACTTTAGGCTAGACCTGCCCTCTTGTTTTTCCATGGCGAAGCAGGGGGCTGCTTCTATAATTTTATTTGGTCATGATCACGAGAAAATCAACCGAACCGACGCACGAGCGATGGCAAGGGCAGGAGGTCCTGCTTGCAGAGGTAATTTGCAGCACCCGAAGAGCGGCCGATACATGCAGATCGCCGCGGATGGCTCTGCCTCTGCCAAACAGAAAGCGTCGGCGAAAAGCAGCTTGGTAAGACATTAAAGTGAACCCCTAGCCTTTGCTTCGGTCGATGATCTTCGATCTTGCCTCATCGAGCGCATCGCAGCAAGCGGGGGGGGGGGCAGTGAGAATGGGCAAGTAAACAGAAAGACTTGGAGCTTCCTTGCTCGTTCCTACATGTCGGCCCAGCGAGGAGGTGTTATGACCTTGATTTGCCGCGTTACACAGAGGGCAAATTGCCTATTTCGAGGCAAGGATTGCTATAATTGTTGCGTATCCATCCACCTGCGCAAGCTTGAGACCAGGAGGTGTTGCATTATTGAGAAGGCGCGTCGCATCGCAGACGCAAGGGCGCCCTGGAATATGCGATCGGCATTCGACCCTGCGCATGCTTATTTGTTTGCACGTGGATTGGAACTTAAACTCTACCACGTGGGACTCAGTTGCCTCGTGGCTTCCACCGTGCTTTTTTAAGCTTCTCCACAAAGCCAGGAACCAAGGCTGGCCTTTTCGTACGGGTAGGGGCCCGTGCAATTTGCAGGCGCGCTTCCCCGCCTTTCCCGGTCCACTTGTGCGCGGCCGGTAGCCTAACCGGGTGTCGTCCCACAGGCCTGGTCGGTGTTCCTTCTCGCGACAATAATGGCCATCATTATCCGCTCTCCGCCCTCCGCTCCCTTCGCCCCACTCGACTTGCCTTCTTCCCCGCAAATCAACCTCGCCCTCCTCTATTGATCCGCCTTTTCTTACTCGCCCCATAACTCTTGCTACTACTACTCCTCCTCACCCATAGCACATACCACATCACCATGACAGTCATCGCGGGCAAGGCCCTCGTTGCGCCGGCCGTCGGGGCGCCATTCGAGCTGCAGGACGTGGTCATCGACCCAGCACGACTGGGGCCGGAAGAGGTCGTCGTCAAGTTCAAGGCCACCGGCATCTGCCACACGGACGTCTCGGTGTGGAAGGGCCTGCTCCCCGGCACGTTCCCCTGCATCCTAGGCCATGAGGGCGCGGGCACCATCGCCGCTCTTCCGCCTGCGTATCGGGGCGCCTTCCAGGTCGGCGACACGGTCCTCTGCACGTTCAACTCGTGCGGCGCCTGCAACCTGTGCAAAGACGGCTACCCGGCCGGCTGCGACAAGTTTCTCCTCATGAGTGAGTCAAAAGAAAGCACGACTTGACGCTGTGCTTGCCTGGCCCTGCTCATTGGCGGGAATCCTGCAGACATTCTATGCCAGCGATCCGACGGATCGGCGATCAAGAGCACCACCAAGGACGACAAGGAGCTTGTCAGCGGCTTCTTCGGCCAGAGCAGCTTTACCAGCCACGGCGTGGTGCAGGAGCGCTGCGTGAGTTTCTATGTTGCCGTCACTGCCTGCAAATTTGGGCAGCTGCCGTCCCGGGCCAACCGCTGATCTAGCGCCACAACAGCTCGCCAAGGTCGACGCCAGCATTCCTCTCGACCTCGTTTGCTCCTTTGGCTGTATGTTTCCCTCTCATAACTCTCGACGGCATATTGGCTGACTTTCCCCCATGGATAAATATGAATACCCTCACAGGCGGCATCCAGTCGGGCTTCGGCACGGTGCTCAACACGCTGTTGCCGCTGGCCGTGCCCCGCACCTTTGCACACCTGCCTTCGATCAACGACTTTGGCATCCCCGTGTCGACGCCGTCGGCAAAGGCACCCCAGCAGCCCCACACGCTCACCGTCTTTGGCCTGGGCGCCGTCGGTATTGGCGCCATCGTTGCGGGGCATCTGTCCAAGACGAGGATCCAACACATCGTCGCAGTCGACCTCATCGAGTCGCGTCTCGAGCTCGCTCGCAAGGCGGGGGCCACGCACGTCATCAATGCGCAGGGCAAGACGACCGAGCAGATCGTCGAGGCCGTCCAGGCGGCCAGCGTCAATGGCCAGGGCTCCACCCTGTGCGTCGAGGCTACGGGCGTTCCTGCCGTGCTCCACAATGCCATTATGTCCCTGGCGCCGCGGGGCCGGTGTGCCCTCGTCGGCGCCCCTCCGCCCGGTCTCAACCTCGACGCGGAGATCAACCACTTGCTGGTGAGTCCACAGTGCTCTTTCTCACGACCTTAGTCATAGCAGCAAGCCCGCTCATCGCTCACTTGCCTTTTTCTGTCTCACTTGGCTCTCTTGTCTTGTCTCAAAAAAGTCGTTCCAGTGAGTCGAGCGCGCACACTTTTTCTCTTAGGACTCACACACCTGCTGACACGTCGGCTTGTCTCCCAACCCAACAGAAAAAGCGTCATTCCCATGCTCGAGGGCGACTCGGATCCCACAATCTTCATTCCATACATGATCGCCCAGTTCCAGAGGGGCGCATTTGACATTATGAAGGACCTCGTCAAGACGTACAGACCAGACGAGATTGCCCAGGCCATGGAGGACGCCAAGAGCGGGCAGGTCATCAAGCCCGTCATCGTCTGGGAGTAGACTCTCATCATCCTTCTGTCTTCTGCGGCTACAAATTGTGCATCCTCTGCTAGCATGTCTCTGCTCTAGTCTATATCTTAGCTACGGCGTTTTGATCCATGCGAGCACAACCTTAAATAAAATGGACTGCACTCGAGTAGTAGTGTGTGCGTGTGAGCGCGCGCGCCTGTCGGCCTCCACCTCGACCCAATGACGACAGTGGCAGTGGCAGCGATGTCGCCGTCGCCGTCGCCGTCGTCGATGATGTTGTCATCTCCAGGGCGAGGCGAGGGTGGAGTTTCACCGTCTGGGACAGCGGCGATGATGCCGCTGCCTCCCGAGCTCGTGCTCGACATTCTCGCGCTGTCGGCCTGGTCCGCGTCGACGCGGCACGCGCGAAACGTCTGCCTGGTGTGCCGCGCCGCGCACCGACGCTGCGGGCCGAGCCTGTTCCGCGTCGTGGCGCTGCGGAACCGGCAGCAGCTCCGCGCGCTCCTCGAGGCGTGGCAGGCTGCTGAAGACGGCAAGCTGCAGCAGCACCGGCGGCTGCGCACCGACGCCGTCGAGTTTGTCTACCTCAACAACAACCGCCAGGAGATCGACGCTGAGGATTTGGACATGGACCTCGTTGGCGGCAGCGATACTGCCTCCGCCGCCGATACAGCTGCGATAGGAAGCGCAGCAGAGGCGAGGGCCGATCGGGTCCTCAAGCTGCTGTCCGGGGCCAGGGTGCTCCACGTTGAGGAGTTCTGGTCCGTCAACTACCCGTGAGTCTGAGTTATGCTGAAAGACAAAATCAGACCGACATGGACGCTCACGGTAGATCGCTGGGGTGCACAGGTGGGACTCGCAGAGCGAAAGACCCATCGTGGCGTATCCGCTTGCCTCTATCGTGCAACACGTGCGCGACCAGTGGTCAGCGTTCCCCGGCAGCGATTCCATCCCTCAACGTGGCCGCGTCCAAGCTGGCGATGAACAAGAAGAGGAGGGAGATACGGAAGAGCGTTTCAACGACGATGAAGAGCGCCGCGACCGACATCTCATCAAGGAGCACGACGGTGGCCAGCATGGCCTGTGCAATCAGCTCAATCGCAACCGTCACGCCCACTTCTGCCTCCATCGAAGCCCCCGTGCCGCCCCCGAGGAAGTGACAATCACGGCCATGGCCATGAAACCCGGCGACCTGTCACCCTTCCACCGGCGGATTGCGGCTCCCCACGCCGGCCGCGTTCCGCCCGACTGGCCAGACTGGGCTTCTCCCTGGACGCGGCTGCGCACGCTGACGCTCAACTTTCCCAACATGGACCGTGCGCTCGTCGCGGCGCTCCGCGATCTGCCCAGGCTCCGCCATCTAAAGCTCTCGCGGCCCTTTTCGCAGCTCGGCAGCAAGACCAGGCTCGTCGAGGCTGTCCGCGCGCTGCTGGGGCTCGACGACAAGCATGACGCTGCGCTAGATCGGGGCCGTGTGACGCTCGAGAGCCTCGTCATTGAGGCAGGGCCCTACATGGACGCCGAATCCGTCCGCAGCCTTACGGCACTCGCGGCATCTCCAGAGACTGACGGGCGGTTCCTCTACCTCTCTGCTTCGAACCGCGCAGCATCGTCGGCAACCAAGACGACGGCGAGCATTAGCACGCTCCAGCTCGGCGGCGAGGCATTACCGACGAACAACAGCAGCAGCAGCAGCAGCAGCAGCAGCAGCTCAAAGGCAGCCATTGACTGGGTCGTCTCGTCTGAAGAGAGGGCCTTCGAGTCCTTCTGTAACCACGTCCAACGAGGGGCGGGTGCAGCACCTCTCTGGTCACTGGCCAGGGCAGGTTAGGAACACTTGCATAGAGAGATGTGGATGCAAATGCAATATTGTATTGGTACTGTACATGGGTGGGATGGACGCGGGTGCCACACTGCTGCTGCTAGGTGCTCATGCCTGCAGGGATCGGAACCAGGCGCTGTATGCGCCCTCGACGTCGAAGAGCATCTGCAGGTATTGGGCCAGAGGGGGAGATCAGCACAGATCGAAAGAGGGAGAGGAGGAGTGAGAAGAGGCAACACTGACCTGTCTCGCTTGGTCATCGTCGACCTCATCGCTGGCCTTCATCTGGTTCAGAGTGATGAGCCTGCATAGGAAGAGATTTCAGCACGGGAATTTGAGGTAGGGCTATTGAAGAGGAAATGAGGAAGACGCCGACTCACCAATGCAGGACCTTTGCCCTCCCCTCGCCCATCGCATCACCCGCCGCTCCGTTGGACCCGCCCGCGGCAGAAGTCGTCGGCGCAAAGCGGCTGTACGAGCTCATGAGGTCGCTGAGGAGCGGGTGAAGCTGATCCTTTGCGCGGAGCTTGAGCTTGAGGGCGTCCATGAAGGTGATGAAGCCCTGCGTGGTCTCAGCCACCCATTTGGCGCGCTCGCTCGACGACTGCGTCGACTGCGACGAGGCATGCTCGACGGTAGCAGGCACACCCACGCGCAGACGGTACGCGGCAGCTTGGTGGTCCATCTGGAGCTCAGAGCAGCTGTCAGTCTGCGTGGGACAAGGAGCAGGTTGGAGTCCTTCTCACATGATACGTCTTGATGAAGTCCGAGACATCTCTGAATGTCGGCAGGCCATCCCTGGTCGTCGTCGTCGGCATGTTCACCGCCGCCGCTGCTGCTGCTGTTGTTGCCGTCGAGGCCGTCCTCGCCTGGCCTGCGTCTCCCCCCAACTCGCCCGCCATGCCCACGAGCTTGGCAATCGTCTTGTACTGCGCCAGCAGCCGGGTGCACGCCGGCTCGTACTGGGCCTCGCTGACGGCCTCGCGCACATAGGCCCGCTCGAGGGCATCGAGGCTGACAATGATGCCAAACAGCGTCGCCAGGCCCTCCCACCGCTCGCGCTCGGCATTGGTCGTGTACAGGCGGGCCTCCTCGTATGGGTTGATGTCGCGCAGCTCGGCAGGCGACGGCTCCCAGATGTCCTGTCGAGATGCGCGCGACATGGCTGCTGCTTCCTCGTCGATACGGGTGGAGGAGTTGCTTGCTCCCACTGGACCCGTCCGCGTCTTGCTGGGTGCTTCGAATGAGAGAGCTGTGAGATAAAACTAAAAAAATAAAAATAAAAAAGTCCGAAGAAAGAGGAAGTTTTGTCCTTCTTCGCGCCTCTTCAGCATCAGCATCCTCCTCCTCCCTTCGAGACTGGACCGCAGACGATGGCACCGCCGGCGCTCTCGCGCTCGCAGCTGAGCTACACCCTGACGGGTCTCCTCTCGGCGCCGCCGCACAGACAAGATGACCGCGCACTGCTCGCATTCCGCCCGCTGAGCCTCGCGACGGGCATCGCGCCCCAGGCAGCAGGCAGTGCACGCTGCGAGCTTGGCGGCACGTCCGTCGTCGTGGTCGTCAGCACAGAGGTCATGCAGGACCAGGAGGCTGAGAGCCCCGCGCGCATCAGCTGCAACCTCGACTGGTGAGTTGTGCCAAAACTCCCTTCCCTTCTTGCATTCCCGCTCACGACGACGATCGAACCCAATCGCAGCTCACCGGCCATGCAGCCAGGCCCGACACTGACGGCCCTCCTCACGCACCTCTCCACGCTCATGTCGTCTCTCCTCGCTGCGCCCGACGAGCCATCGTCGGAGCAGCTCGTGATCTTGCGGTCGCCCTACACGGGCCGGCCCACGCGCGCCTGGCGGCTGCACGTCGATGCAACGCTGCAGAGCCACGCCGGCGGCAACGTCGCCGACGTCCTCGTCGCCACGCTGTATGCGGCCCTCTGGGACCTCCGACTGCCGCGCACGACCGTCGTGGGCGTCGTTGAGGATGTCGACTCGGTCCGCGACAAGATGGGCGTCCACGGCCTCTCGCTGGGCCAGACGGGCGCCGGCGGAAGCATCGACGCCATGACGGGCATCAAGGGGCCCCTCTCGCGGCACAAGGTCCAGGTCCAGGGTCAGGGTCTGAGCCAGGGTCAGGGCCAGGGACAGCAGAGCAAGGACAAGGCGCACGGCCGCGTCGACAAGGCCGGCGTCGACTTTGAGGTCCAGGACGTTTGGGACGGCGGCGAGCCATGGGCCGGCCGGTCCGAGTTCCCCGTCGGCGTCACGGTCAATGTGCTGCCCCGGAGCACGCTGCTCGATGCGACGCTTGCCGAGGAGGCCTGTCTGCCGCCGTCGAGGCGGATACTGGTGCTGTCCAGTCCCACGGGCAAGGTCCGCGCGGTGCAGACAGTCCCCAACACGATAGACGTGGCTGCGAGTGTCGGTGGAGAGGCATCGGTGAACGAGGAGGAAAGCATGACGGGCACGCTGCCCTATGCGAGACTCAAAGAGGCCATCAAGGTGCGTGTCTTTTGTTACAGATGCTGTGTGGTGAGAGGAGTCCGATGCTGACACTTTATTTCGTGACAGGCTGGCACAGAGCATGCAAAGGCACTTCATGCCGTCCTGCGATCGCAGCTGACCGACTCGTCCGACGGCGACGATGAGATGCAAGACTAGACAGGGGACAAGGGGACAAGGCAAGAGACACGAGGGCAAGGATGCATGTATATTGTATTGTAGTCACACACACACACAGAGAATTGGAGCTTCTCTTATCGCAGCTGCGCTTTCTCCGTGGCGCTGCCACCGCTCTCGAGCATTGCCGATGCTGGATCTTGCGCTGCTGCTGTTGCTGCTGCTCCCTCCTCCTCGTACGGCTCCTCGAGCATGTCTGCGCCTTCCTCCTCGACCTCGACGCCATCCAGGGCCCTCTCCTGCGCCTCGAGCAGCGCCAGCCTCCTCTCGTTGAGCACAAACTTTGTCCTCGCCATCGTCTTTCGCACCTGTTGCTCCCCCTTGCCGTCAGCGACCTCTCCCTCTTCTGCACACACTGACTCGGTTACACTCACCCTCCGGTCAATGAAGGAAATGTTCAGGTTGGCGTACCGTGCCAGCTCCCTAGCCCCACTCCGCCGGAGCTCGTCGCGGGTGCTGGTGAGCCTGTTGCGCTCCTTGAGACACGCATACCAGAGCTGGTGCAGCTCGACGCTGCTCTTTTTGCGCAGCTCGGGCGCCAGCCAGGCGCGCGAGCTGACGCCGTCCTTGCCCAGGTCCCGCTCGCTCAGCGCGACGGGCACGCTCACGTCGACGTCCTCCTCGACGCCCTCGGCGTTGCGCCGGGTAATTTTGCGCGAGTCAAAGGCGAAAAAGCCAAGCAAGGGGTGTGTGGGGTACGACTGCACTTGGGTGTAGACGCTGTCGGGCGTCGGCGTCTTGGCGAGGTGGTGCGACTTGGGGACCAGGCGCGGCGGTCGTGGCGCCTGCGCGACGGGAACCGTCGTTGCAAAGAGCCGAGAAGAGGAGGGTGCCGAAGATGCCGAAGAGGAGGAGGAAGACGAAAGCCCAAGCAGCGCACTGCCGCTTCGTCTCGCAATCATGGCTAGTCTATGTCCTTTCGTCCTGGTCGCGACCCTCGTCACTTTGAGAAGAAGACTGCGAAGAAACGCTCGAGAGACGTACTCAAGGAGGGGGGGTGGTCATCTTTTCAAAACTGCAAAATCACGTGGGAAAAAAAAAGAAAAAATAAAATAAAGCCATTGGATTTCACTGCCTCAGATCCACCCAGAGACATTGCTAGGCCTTCCTCCTGCTGAAGACCCGCCGGAATTGAATGTCCTCGTCGTCATGCTGGTGCCCTGCCTCGTCAGCGAAGAGACTGTCGACTGGTTTGGCTGCTGATACGGATTTTGGTAGTATGGCTGGCCAAAGCTTGACGCAGCGGAAGACGACGTCGTCGTAGGCGTCGTGATTGCGCTCGCGCTCGCGCTCGGTCCCGGCTGCTGAAACGGTGGGAACATCGAGACAATCTCAAACACGCGCTGGTAGTCGTACAGGTGCCTTGCTGACCCCGAGGACCTCTTGCGCTGGACGAGAATGATGCTGTCCTCGTGGTCGATGCCGTGCCCGACAGACGTCGTCGAGGCGAGCGTCGATGAGCCCGAGACGTAGCGCAGATCCGTGGCCTTGATGAGCTGGACGAGCTTGCCCGAGCTCGAATCCCGCACCTCGATGAATCGAGCGTCAAAGGCCAGGATGAAGGGCGCCCGAAAGGCGACGTTCTGTGGCGTGCCCTCCCACTCGATGATGTTGTCGAGCCGGATGGGCTCACCCTGCCGGTCGACGTAGCACGCAAAGTTGTCATAGCAGAGCAGGAACTCGCTCTCGCTGTTCTTGAACATGCCCAGGGGCTTTGATGTCTCGACGCGCTTGGCCAGCATCTGAATGCGCGGGTCGTCACGCGGCGACTGCGAAAAGTCGGGGATGGTGCCCGGTAGCAGGCTGTCGAGGTTCATGATCTCGAAGCCACGGGCGCAGACGATGCACAGCTTGGAGCGCAGGAACTGCATCGAGTACGCCTCCGACGGGATGAAGAAGGTCTGCAGAGGGCCGAGTGCTTGTGTCAGTATCCTCGTCACAGTTCTTTCTCTCCATGGCAATATGACAGGTGCAGCGTACCTTGTAGATGCGGAACCAGTCTGAGCTCTTGGACTCCTTGCCAAACTTGCCAAACAGACCCGAGCCGCCCTTGACGTGCTCCGACTTTGTCCCGGCCACGACGGGCTCGAGCGCGCGGAACACGCTCTCGTTTGCCTTTTTCTTCATGTACACCAGCAGCGTGCGATCCTTCAAGGTGCCCACGCTAAACAGCAGCACGTCGCGGTTCCCACTCAGCTTCTGTGGCGGTTTCGGCGCCGTGGTGGCCCCCGCGCTGGGCACGAGGGCCTCGAGGCTGTACGAGATGAGGATCTTGTCGGCGAGGACGACAAAGATGCCAAAGGACTCGAGGACGGCGCACTGCGTCACGAGCTTGAGGTGGAGCACCTTTCTCAGCGAACGCGGGTCGCTGCGGAGGCCGATCCAGACGCCATCGGCGCACCCGATGGCGACCAAGCGTCGGCCGTCGGCGGTCGCAAAGGGAACCGCGCACGTCACTTTGCCGTGGAAGGCACTCGGGTCGACACCCGGCGGAGGCCTTTCCTGGTCCAGCGCACTGGCCGTGGGGATGGCAAAGACGTCCTCGCTAAGCGTGTGTGTGTCAAAGACCTTGTTGGCCTCTTGCACGGCCGCACGAAGACCGATGGCCTCCTCGAGCTTGTGCTTCCATTCGTCTCGGGCCTGCTTCGAGGGCGTGTACAGCGTCAGGGGCTCCAGCTTGCCTCCGATGTGATGGACGGTAAAGGGAAAGACATCCCTTGACTCCCTTTCGGCCGTGGTGGATCGGAGGTGCAGGGGAAAGTTGGACAGCCCAATCGACTTGGACACCGACGGCTCGTTGAAGCCCGACAGCTCCATCATCTCGACGGGAATAGGCCGTTTCGCAAGGACGAACTTCGACGACGACTGATCGCCCTCTTGCCGCGTCTTTGTCTTGGTCACGACAAGGTAGTTGTCAAAGAGGACGGCCAAGAGGTCCTGCCACTCAAAGTCGGTAAAGTCGGGCTTGCGGTTGACTTTACCCTGATGGACCAGCTGCCGTTCTGGGTTGAGGAGGTCCATGTCTATCGCTGCCTTGTTTCGCTTCGTCGCGAGGTTGTAGGCATACTCTCGGATCTTGACCTTGACCTCTGCCGCCGCCACGCCCTTCTGGATCGCCTTGCACTGCTCATCGACAATCTCAATCGCCCTCGCCAGGCTCTCGCGGTCCGGGTTGCTCTCCTCCGTGTCGCTGAGGATCGACTTGAAGTGCAAGCCGTATCTGGGCAGCCTCGTCGTGGCCCTCTGCAAGAAGTTGTCCATCGGCAGTCGGTGGCACGCTGGGTCGCGTCGGCACTCCTCGAGGAAGTCCTTGAACCGGAGATTGACGCTGGCCTCTCGCTGGATGCGGTTCTTGGCAATGGGGAAATTGGTCATGTTGGTGTCAAACGCGCCACCCCACTCGAGACTGGCATCGAGAAAGATGTCGCCGATGGACTGCACGACGGGGTGCTCCTCCCTCTGGCGGACATGCAGCCTCTCGACGAGCCTGCGAATGTGGCCGACGAGCTCGCGGTGGTTGGAAAAGACCTCGGCGATAAAGTGGTCCCGCGCAGGCCCGATCGCTATCGGCGGAGGATCACCAGCGACGCTGGGCCGCTGGAGACGGTGGAGGAAGAGCGAGTCGAGGAGCTCGAGGTCGTGGAGGAACTCTTCCTCCTTTTGAATCGTCTCGAGGATCGCATTCTGCCGCTTGACCTCGCGCCGTGGGATGCTGGACAGCAGCTCCTTGGGCACCGTGTCGGCCCATGCGACGGCCATGTGGGATGCGCCCGCCTGCGCGCGGGCGCCCGCAACGGTGCCGCTGCCCGCTGCCCGGCTCGCCGCACCTTCGGCTGCAGAGGCGAGTGCGGGCGAGAGCGATGCGTCGGCATGCCTCAGTGACGACGACATGGATCTGTCCAAGGGGCTGAATCTCGCTCGTGGACATGCCCCGCTGTAGCAGCTCGCACCCGCCGGCGAGCCAGGCTTGCCACACAGGGGGCTGTAGCACGCCGTCAGGGGCGTAAAGATGCCCGTTGGCAGCTCGTCGAGGTCTGCGTTCGTCTGTGCGACACCCTTGCCCTTGGAGTCGTCGACGCCACCGTGCATGGCCAGCTGCAGCTCGCGTTCAAAGTCGTTGGCCGCGCCTCGCCGGCCCCCCCTGCCGCCTGTCGATCGACCATCGGCACCCTCGGGCCCCGCGAGGCTGTCTTCGAGGAACATGTACACCTCTTCGACACCGTCGCAGAGGTCGTTTGTGCCCCAGTCGACCTCGTGGAAGAAGAGCTGAGACTTGAGCGACTTGGCAATGAGGAGCGCGATCCTGCGTTCCCGTGCCTCGTCCAACGATCCAGAGGCCAGGCCCGCGGCCCAGGCGAGGTGCTCGCGGGGGACGAGGGCTTGGATCGTCGACACGACGTCTTTGCCCGTGAAGCTGAACGGGTAGCTGACGCTTCCCTTGATCTGCACGCCCCTCGGCACCGAGTCGCGCAGGAGCAGGGCGACCGTCGAGAGCAGCGACAGATCCAGTTCCTCCTGCTCGCCCCACTCGTTGGTTCGGGTCCCCACCAGGATGTCGCGCCGATCGGTCATGCCCCTCGCCGACTGCGACTGTCCACCCCCAGCAGACATTGCGCTCGGCGACAGGAGGGCAGTGTCGTACAAGGGAGCCCCGTACCGCTGCGCTGGGGCGACATACGACGATGATGACGACGACGACGTCTGGCTCTCAGCAGTAGCTTGGTGCGCCAGAGGCGGCGGTCGAGCCCGTCTCTTGGCCTCGTCTGCGCGCTCGTCCCACGCCGGTGGGGTGCCGTAGCCGGACTGCTGCTGCTGGGGTTGCTGTTGCTGAAATGGCTGAGTGGCCGCAGCACTCTGATACAACGACGGCGATTCGGTATAGTAGGAAGCACTCGACGTCGCCGCGCCGTCGTTGGCTCCATAATTGCCGCGTGCCGCGTGCCTGTTCCGGTCCGGCTCCTGGAGGCTCTCGAGATACGCCTGGGCCGGGGCTGGTGGCAGCGGCGGCTTCCTTCTCCCAGACGTCCCTTCTTCCGAAGAAGAGGGGTATGACGAGGCCGGCGTCGAGAACGTCGTCGTCGTCGTCGTCGTCGTCGTCGTCGCACGTGCTGCTGAGTCCTGCCAGGGCGACTGCCTCTCGCGCTCGTCCGAGTCCGGCGTCATCGACGAGACGTTGACCTGGCTGGCGGAGTTTGGCAGTGCGGCGGACCAGCCAGCAAGGGAGGCCCGTCTGGCGAGATCGGTGTCCCAATCGCGCGTGCTTTGGCCGTGGCCGTGGCCATTGCCATTGCTGCTCGTCGTGTGATCCGGCGTCGAGTGATGCAGGCCCAGGCCATCGGGGCCATAGCCCTGCTGCTGCTGCTGTTGGGCGTAGTAGTCGCTTGCACTGTAGCCTTCGCCAAGAGCAGGCGCGTGGCTGGCGGTGGCGACACCCGTGCCATCGTCGCCTGGAAAGGAGGTGAGTTGAGCTCGCTGGCCCATGACTGGCGTCGTCGAGCCCGATGGGAGATGGTAAGTGCTCGTCGAGGGGCTCCAGCTCGGAGGCGGCCCTTCCTGCCCATAGCTGGCCGAGAGCATACGGTCGTGCCCATAGCCGGTTGCAGCAATCCTGGAAGAAGACGACGAGGACGAAGAGCTCGACGAGGTGGGCTCAGCCTGCGGTGGGGGCTGGACAGGTTGCGGCGGCCTGTGTACCTCAACAGCCGGCGGCGGTGGTCGAGGCAGTGGCCTGTACCCCTTCCTCGATGAGGAGAAGGAAGAGGACGAGGGCGCATAGACATCGTGGGGATCCGACATGGCGGTCGCTATGGGCGCAGCAGCAGCAGCAGCAGCAGCAGCAGCAGAATCGTGCGAGCCGTCGTAGCCGTACGTTGATGAGCTGTCGTGATCCGTGTGCGCATACAGAGAGATGATGCCCGACGCAGACGAGCTCGGTCGCACGCCATTGTTCATGAGGCCCAGGCGGCCATTGCTGCTGTTGCTCCCCGTGTAGCTGCTGCTGCCGCTGCTGTTGCTGTTGCTGTTGCTGTTGCTGTTGCTGTTGCTGTTGCTGCTACTATTTGTGGACGTTTGCGCACGAGCCTGCGCCTCTCGCACGCGGCTGCTTCCGTCATCGTGCGTCGCGACAGGAGCTTCGCCAAAGTTCCTCATTGTGCTTTCGAGGTCCTGCATGAGGTCGTCAATCTTGGAGACGCCGGGACTCGACGTGGGTGTGTAGTCAGACGTTGCGCCCGTGTTGTTGGACCAGCGATCCTGGCCGCCGCCGCCGCCGCCTGCTCTGCTCCCTCCTCCTCGGCTCGTCGATGGGCTCTGCTGGCTCTGGCCGTAGTAGTTCTGGTACGAGGTGCTGGTGGAGCTGCCGCTGGAGCGCGAGTCATCGTAGGCCATTCGCGCAGGATTGGCACCGTCGTCGGCATAGTAGCCCTGCACGATCGGTTGCCGATGCTGCCCTGATGGCGATCGGGTGTATTGCTGCTGCTGCTGCTGCTGTTGCTGCTGCGAGGCAGTGCTCGGCTGTCGCTGGCTCGGCAACCGCGTGCTGGGAGGGAGGTGGGGTGCCGACATGGCTCTTTTCCCTCGTCGCAAGCGCTGCTGTTCGTCCTAGCTTTGTACTTGCGTTGATGTTCGCCCTCGTTGCTAACTCCGGGCTCAAAGTGCTATCGTGTCCTTCCCCGCAGATGTCGGAGCGGAGGCTGTCCAAACAAAGGGGACCGTGCCAATGAAGACGTCGGGATGGTGGGGTATATACTGTGGAAGCCCGAAAACGCTGCTTGATCGCCAAAGATAGGAGACAAAGGCCGGAATTTGCCTCAGGAGATGCAGCGGCAACGGCGGCGACGACGACGACGACTGATGCCAAGCTCCTCGCTTTCAAGGGTGTCGTTCTAGGTCTAGCGGGACCGGGATATCGAACGAGCCCGCCCACGTGGTTGAGCAATAGCGTATGTCCCTCTTTTTTAAGATTTTGGCCGTCGAAATTTCTTTCCCTTTTTTTTTTTTTTTGGAAGGAACCTCATTACACAGGGAGAAGCGACGACGACGACGACGACGACGACGACGACGACAATGGGAGGCAAAAAGATTACCGCTCGGTCGCTCAAGGGCAAATCCACAGCGCCGACGCACCCAAACTCGCGGCGAGCTGCGCAGGTGGCGCGCATCAACCACCGCACGTCGAAGCTGCAAGCGGCCAAGAGCGTGCGGTCGCGCGCGGGCCAGGCGCACGTCGACCGTGTCTCCACCCTCATCCTCCTCCTCCCGCCGGACCTCGACTACGTGCCGGACATGCCCTTTCTCCATTCCTTTTTGCAGGACAGCTTCCTGAAGCGGCACGACGATGAGATTGCGCGCCTGGGCGCCGAGCGGCGAAAGGGCCGGCCAATGGCAAAGAGGGAGGAGGAGCTGCGCGAACTCCGCGATCGCGAGCAGAGAGAGTACAGCGCCGGCATCGAGATTCCGGACCTCATGAACGAGCACAATGTCGCCAAGCTCAGGCAGTGGAACGGCGATCGACAGGCCCTGGGCCAGTTCAGATTCGTACGCGTGAGCGGTGATGATCAGTGAGCTTCAACCCTCGTTGCGCAAAGTAACCTTAAGAGACTTCCTGTCGAAGCTGACTGCTGCGTGCACAAACAGAGAACAGTACGTCACTACGCGCGAAGGGCTGATGAAGGAGCTAGCCCTGGAGCGACAGGAGCGAGAGGCGGCAGCCATGGCCGAATAGACGCCACGAACCCCATCTGGTCTGGGGGCATCGCATCATCAATCATGCAATCATGTATTTGTATCTCAGCAGCAATCTACAGGCAATCCTTCCTTTTTTTTGGGATCAGGCAGGTATCTTTTTCCACCTGCCCCCTTTCATCTCCGATGTTTGCAACCTCTGCCAAGCTGCTTTACTTTTTGGCAACGGCCATCCTCCATGCCCTCCGTCCCTTCCATCCGTTCCTCTCCTCCTCGACTGCGAACCTAAGGCAGGCGGGCAAGGCCGGTCCGCAAATGAGGCCGAGGATGAAAAGAACCCAGAAGTTGTCCTCGACGCCCGGGTTGCCGGCGGGGGCCCGTGCGATGGCAGTGGAGCACTCCTCGTCGATGGCATCTCGTCGAGCCGTCAGGTGGTCGACGGCAACGATGGACAGCAGTGACGCGCCAATGGTGGTGGCGAGGAGCAGTAGCAGCGTCACGCTCGACGTCAGCGGCGCCTTGTCATAGACAAAGCCTCGGAACATGCGTACGACGCCATACATGTGGGCCGCGGCACAGAAGAGACCGACCTGGCGGTAGCTGGTGCATGAAGAAAGGTCGAGGACTGGCATGAGCAACAGAAGAACGGCCAAAGGGGATTAAAGGTAAAAGCAGCTGCACTCACTAGGACCACGTCCTTTCAAAGCAGTAGGCAATCTCCTCGGCAAGGTAGCCCTTCATGGTGGCCGTAGCCTCGGCCTCGTTCTTGGGCCTCGAAACGCTGCGGAGGCCGAGGACAAGGAGGGGAAGCGCAACGACAATGGGGAAGAAGTCGGAGAGGAGCGACGTGACGAGGGGAATCTGGGTGGCAACATCCTTGCCGATATAAGGAGCGAGGAAGGAGTTGTGGATGCGCGCCCTAGCCTCGCTGGGCGAGCTGGCAGAAAGTTGGAGCGCGAGGAGGATCGTCGAGATGAATGTGACGAGGTTGGCGCCGTAGATGGCCGCCGCAGGGGCAGGGAGAGGAGGGATGCCCTGGCTCCTCGACTTGGTCAGGGCTGTGACGGTGTAGAGGATCGTGATGATGGAGGGGATAAAGAGGCCCAGACCACGTCCGAGGAGCAGCGTGCTGATGCTTGTCAGCATCGAAGCGAGCAGGGGCAGGGCGATGCTCGGCAACGGCGAGGGGCGGTAGTTGGGCGACGAGGCCACGTAGGACACCCGGAGTAGATAGGGGACCACAATGGCGGCAAAGACGCAGAATGCCTGCATGAGAAGTGTCAGTCGGTCGCTCCGCAAGTGCAAAGATGTGCAGATGGCGATGTTCATGGGACTCACGCCGAAGCCGGCTCTGCTCTCCGTCACTTCTTTGAAGAACGCCAGACGAGCACAGAGAGTATCGTCCAGCGAAGGAATCGACGTCAGCGACGGATTTGGGTTCTTCTTGGATGCGCGCATGCAGGTGTTGAGGAGCGAGGGAAGCGCACTCGTCTGTCAATGCAAGTCAGTAAGGGCATCATGAAGGAGAGAGGCGCGCTACCAGGCAAACTCACCCTAGCATCGTCGAGCCAAGTGAGCTTGTACGTCAGCGCCGACAGTCCAAGGACGGCGGCGGGGACCAATGGGACGACGCTGGACGATGACATCTTGCGTCGGTGCCAGTCAAGGGGTGCAAGAGGTGGGAGGGAAGAAGAGGAAGAAACAGCAAGCTGCCGACGCTAAATCGCCCGTCGACGCGACCGGAAAGGCGATTTCAATCTTCGTGTGGAGTTTGCCCTCTAGCCAAGTCTGGGCCCGGGCTCCTCTCTGCTACTGAACACGTGCCCGACCGATCGTTTCGAGATCCAGAATTGCAAAGAACCTCCTCCCTAATCAGCCTGACTTGAGAACGAGCCGGTGGTCATCGGTGGGCTATAAGGGGACGACAAGAGGAAAGAAGGCAGACAAGGACGGAGGAACTTTGAACAGAGAGAAAGAGGAGCATGACTTGTATTGCTAGTATGGAGAGATCAATGGAATGAACCTTTGTCAATCAGTCGGCGGGGTAGATCATACTTCTGCCGAAAGCTTGCGTGCGAGGGGGAGGAAGGGGTGGATTCGGGGCCAAAGAGAAATCAGATGATGAGGATGAGTAGATTAATAAGAAGAGGACTGAGAGAAGAAGAGGCTCGCTTGGATGGGAGGAGTTGAACGGACAGCATGGGAAGACCAAGATCGAGTGCGAAAGAATGGGAACGAGAACAACTATTGTCGCTGAACAAGACCAGAGGACTAACGAGGGTAGAGGATGAACGTAGGTCGAGGAGATGCGAAGGACGACCTATGAGTCTATGTTGGACTGCGGGACTGGCGTGCGTGCCTTTACGTCAGCCATCCATGACCATCCATAGAGACAGGGCGGCTGGCGACACGGCAGCGACTCACTATCTTGACTGCTAGAACAAGCAGCAGACGCAGCCATTGGTCGCAGAGACGGGGATAGTCATCTCCTCGCCTCATTCCCCCAACATCCCCCTTTTCTCTCTCCCCATTTACCGAAAGAGAATGCTTCCTTCGCTCGCGCTTCAACTTCTCTTCACCCCGGGCTCTTCTCGGACTCCCTCGCTATCCGATTACTTCCTCGTGGCGTTCTGCGCCTCGGCCTGCTTGAGGCGCTCCTCGAGCGTCTTTGTCTTGTGGAGCTGGCTGGCCGTCATGCGCGATTGGTCGTGGAGCTGCCTGTCCGAGTAGCGGGTCTGGTCGGCCTGGGCGCCCTGGTACGACGACGTGGTGCGCTGAAGCCCGTTGCCCTTGTCGCTTCGGTTGGTGCCCGTGCGCTTCATCTCCTTGTCGGAGCCCTTGAACATGGACATGCAGCTACCCTGTGGTGTCGTGTCCACCTTGTGTCAGAGCGGTTCCGTGGACTTCGATGCGTGGCCCCCGCCGTTACTCACCATTTTGAATTATGTATCGGGGGGGGGGGAGGGATGCCTAGATAGGTTTGTCTGTTGTGCTTTGTTTGCGTGTAGTGTGACTTTGATTTGTCGCCACTTGGAGATGGTCAAGAGGGAGACGTGTGGTGATGGTGTTGGAGAAGAGGAGAGGTGCAGGCAGAGGGGAAAATGTAGATTTGGTTTGAACGAGCTCGCTCAGAGACTGGCGCGGGCATGAGCGCACGCGAAGCCCTCGAAAGGCGCGGACTTATCACAGCCCCAATACAATTTCCTTTTCGAAAAGGGGTTTCAATTTCTAAATGTGCTCGCGGCCTGACATCACACCTGCTTCACAAGCTTCTCGGCTGCCGGAAGTGCAAACCGCCCCCCCTAATCTCAAATTGGTGGCTTGGTCTTTTCGCAGCCGTGGGCCGATGAAGGTTTGTGCGCTCTCCGTGGGGGCACAAGGTTCGATGGCGACCTGCTTAAGGCAGCCTTCTATCTCGACGTAGATTCATCGCCTGTACAGCGACAGGAAGCCCTCCTTGTCCTCCCACCCAAGGCCTGTCCGTCTGAGCCGCGAGCTTAGCAGAGGAGGGGCATGTCAGCACTTGACTTAGCCCGCGGCGGAGGAAGCTGAGGTTCAACGTTCGAAACTTACAGTGAGCTCGTCAGCTCCGCGCACTTGTTGACGAGTGCGCCCTCACGCTGCTGCATCGAGGCGCCCGCATCGGCAACGAACGTCTGACTTGTGGGGCTCTCATCTCCGACTAGCTTTCTCACAGACAGGGTCCTGGGCGTCAGAGACGGCGTGGCTATCATGGAAAGAATGTGAGGCAACGGTGATGCAAAGGTGCTGGGCACCGATAGCGTGGACGTCGGCGTCAGCGGCGTTGGAGCGTCATGCCTGGAGCAAATATTGATGTCAGTCAATCCGTTGGGTATATCATCTACCGGCCCGCCGCAGAGCTGCCACAGGGCGCAAGGCGCTACGACGGGTCTGGTTTCCGATTAAACTCCAGACTCGAGCCTACCTGATGGACATGATGAAGATGTTCGGTTGGCCCTTGCCCATTCGCAGTGCACCAGTGTATTTGTAAAGTGAGCGCCAAGAATGGGGAAAGACGCTGGTGTCGAACTTGAGAATCCCGCGGTTGTTGGATGTGACCAGCTGCATGCAGAGAGGAGAAAAGAGATGTCAGTGAAGTGACATACCGTGTAAAGGGGGCACGAACCTCGGGGAAGATAACGATCGGCCGATCGACTTGCTTGAGAATCGCTTCCAGTTCGCTAGCTTCGCTCTTGTCCCCCGCAGTGGGCGTTTGGCCGGCTTGTGCGACCATCTGGAGCGCTGTCGCCCTCTTCCATCCGAGCAGTCGCTCAGATGGCGGCTTGGTTTCTTCGGCCGGTTGCGAATGCGAGGACATATCGTGGTACTGTTGTCCCTTCGTCGCGTTTTTTCTCCGTGTCGCCGACGATCGAGAATTTGATTGAGAGGATGCCTCTGCATGCTCCAGCGCCGAGTTGATCGTCACGATGGGCTGTAGGAAAATGGGATTGAAACGCGAAGCCAGATAGAGGACATCGACCCAGGAAGACCAGTTGCAGAGAATGACGTCCCCCTTCTTTGGATCGAAGCGAGAGGATTCGATGACTGCAGAAGCAGACGCCCGGCTGCGATTACGCGGTAAGCTTGTAGGCCTGAGAATGGTCTTCAAAGTACGATGCTTTGACGCACCCTCGGCTGCGAAGAGAGACGATCTCTTCTTGGATTGATGTGAAGCCAAGGGCAAGGAGCGAGATTCGTCCTAGGATGCTATTGATCCCCCCACGTATTGAGACCTGAGCCGCTTGTTCGGTCAGAAGGGCAAGTCATCCCTTGCGCTTGTGGTCACACTCACTGAGGTTGCCCCCACTGTGACGCTGAGGAGACTCCATAAGGCGGCCACAAGGATCAGAAGAGCAGCGCGAAGGGTTGCGAGGACCAGGGTGAGCGGCGATAGCAGGTACGTTGCTGCTGAGCTGGAGCCAGCAGGCTGAGGAAGGCAGTTTCCTTAATAAGCTCGAACAAGCACTCTTCATATCACAAGGACACATACCGGCACCGGCGTCAGGAAGACCTAGTCGCAGTGTGCATTTCATATCAGCAGAGTACTAGAGTCTCTTGTAGACGCAGTCACACACCTGAATCCCAGTTGCAGGGTCCCTGTACTTTGAAAACTTCTCCATCCCCGCCGAGTCGGTTCTTCCGGTGCGATGAGCAGGTGAGAAGAAAGCTTTGCACTCCACAAGACGCCGACGCGTCATTTGTCGAGCGAGCGAGCCAAGACCACTCATGGCTCATGAAGCTCTCTTTCTGTGAGCTGGCTAGCACTCCACTCGACCTTCACACAGCCTCTTCTTTCCATTCGGACAGGCAAATCAAGTAGTGCTGTAGTGCAAGAACGGAACTACATCATAGAAAGTATTTACCAACTGTGGCCACCATTCATCCTGCACAGAAGCAATGCCGCAACCTTGTGATAGCCTTTGTATTGTGCACCAGACCCCGATCCTTGGTGCAACGTGACGAGGCCTCCGTTGCCTCTTCTTCAGTGCAGAGCAGGGGTAAGCTGCCATCATCTGTCTTGGGAGTGTTGCAGCTCGATAGGCTGTGGGGAGGTGACAGAGAAGGCGACTTCAGAGAAGGGCCTCGTCCTCCACGCGACGAACAGTCGCGTCTCGAAATTATCGAGCTGCAAAGCGCTGCGACGCGCCTCTTTCGACACCGACCAACACCTTCCGTCCAGGCCTTTCTCCGCGTGAGCTACAGCGACTTGTTCAACGCAGCGGTCGAGTCGCATACGTCCTTGCTCACCATGGTGCCCGTTCCCACGGAAATGTAAGTGCCCTCTTCTTCAGACTGCCGTGATGCAACGCGCTGACGGGCTCGTCGCGCAGCACCAACATGGTTGATGGGGTCATGTCGGCAAAGAAGCCTGTGACGAAGAAGCGAAGGACTACTACGAAGGGCGGGACCGATGTTGCAGAGCCAGTGTCCTTCGCAGAAACACTTATCAAGCTCAAGGAAGAGGCCGAGGCTGCGGGAAGTGAGTCGGTGTTCCAATCGATTTGAGGAAGCTCGTGCTGACTGCGCCCCGACAGGTTCCGGGACGAGCGAAGATTTGTGGCCTCGACCCGAGCTCGACAGAATAGATCCAGAGATCGACTCAATTGTCTTTCAGCAGATCGACATTGAAGAGTCGGGCATGCCCGGTCAGGTGCCGGCCATCAGCATCTATGGTGTCACCGCAAAGGGCAACTCCGTTCGCGCTCACGTTCATGGCTTCCTTCCTTACTTTTTCATCCACGCTCCCCGGAACTTCCAACAAAACCACTGCAGAGACTTCCAAAATCACCTGAATGTGAGCATGGTGGACGAGGGTGGGATCTTTTCGGGCATACACCTGACCATCTGTCTGTTCCTCTTACAGACCCTCTTTGGTCATCGTGCAGTCCAGGAAGTATCGCTGTGCAGCAAAAAGAGTCTCATGAACTACACGGGAAGCGAGAATGTCGCCTTCCTCAAGATTACAGTGTCGGACCAGAGGGGCCTGCCCAAAGTCAGAGATGAGTAGCATCTGCCCTCGAGCCCCCAGACGAAACCAGCTGACACCCTAGCTCTCGTCCTCTACGGGCTCTCGAGAGGGGCGAGGTGTCCTTCCGCGATTTCTTCACCTCAGGAGAGTCTCTCTTGAGCTATGAGAATATTGCCTACTCGCTCCGCTTCATGATCGATCTCAAGGTCAGTCGCCCAGGGATCTTTAAGAAGGCACCATGCTGACTTCTTCTTCAGATCGTCGGCATGAACTGGTTGGAAATCAAAGCGGGCCACTATAAGCTGAGAGAGGAGCAGAGAAAAACGGCTTTGACGCAAATTGAGCTCGACTGCGAGCCAGATGCAATCGTCTCGTACGCCCCCGAGGGCGAGTGGCAGAAGATTGCTCCCTTGCGCATCATGAGCTTCGACATTGAATGCGCGGGGCGCAAGGGCGTCTTTCCCGAGCCGCAAGAGGACCCCGTCATCCAGATTGCGGCTATGGTGACCCGACAGGGGGAGCCGGCTCCGTTCATCAAGAACGTCTTCACACTCAACTCGTGCTCGCCCATCGTTGGGTCTCAGGTGCTGTCGTTTGATCGCGAGGTAGACCTGCTCGAGGCGTGGGCCCACTTCGTACAGATCTGCGACCCAGATGTCGTCATTGGCTACAACATTGCCAACTTCGACTTCCCGTACCTTCTCGACCGAGCGAAGGCGCTGAAAGCGACAAAATTTCCATACCTTGGGAGAGAGAAAGGTGAGCAAAGCTATTCGTCATAACCGAGTTGATCAGCTGCTAATGAACGCTGCAGGCACCAAGACCGAGGCAAAGGACACGCACTTTTCGTCCAAGGCATACGGCACCCGAGACTCGAAGCACACCGAGCTTCAAGGGCGCATCCAGCTCGATCTTCTTGATGTCATGCGGCGAGACCACAAGCTGCGCAGCTACTCCCTCAATTCCGTTTCATTCGAATTTCTGGGTGAACAAAAGGAGGACGTACACCACTCGCTCATCACTGAGCTTCAAAACGGTGGGCCCGAAGCAAGACGACGATTGGCAGTGTACTGCCTGAAGGTGTGTAGGAACCATTCCTTAGTCTTTTCACTTGAAGCATGACTCTGACCTGCTTCTGCTTCCACCCAGGACGCTTACCTGCCGCAAAGATTGATGGACAAGCTCATGTGCTTCATCAATTACATCGAGATGGCCCGTGTGACGGGCGTGCCTTTCAATTACCTCCTGTCTCGAGGCCAGCAAATCAAGGTCGTCTCTCAGCTCTTTCGCAAAGCTAACGAGGAGAATTACCTGGTCCCTTCATTAAAGGGCGAAGGCACCGACGATCAGTATGAAGGCGCCACTGTCCTGGAGCCAAAGCAAGGCTACTACGACAAGCCCGTGGCCACGCTCGATTTTGCGTCGCTTTATCCATCTATCATGATGGCGCATAATTTGTGCTACACGACTCTCCTCAACAAGGCCACTATCGATCGATTGGGTCTGGTCAAAGACAAGGACTACGTGATGACGCCCAACAACAGTGAGTTGCAGCATTGAGACTTCTGCCTGTCTCTACACTGACAACGATGCCAGACTACTTCGTCAAGTCGGAGGTCCGAAAAGGCCTCCTACCAATTGTCTTGGAAGACCTGCTGTCGGCGAGAAAACGGGCCAAGGCTGATCTGAAGAAGGAGACGGATCCCTTCAAGCGCGCTGTCTTGGACGGTCGACAACTGGCCCTCAAGATCAGCGCTAATTCCGTCTACGGTTTCACTGGTGCCACCGTTGGCAAGCTGCCATGTCTGGAGATCTCGATGAGTGTCACAGCCTACGGAAGAAAAATGATCGAGGCGACCAAGGCACAAGTCGAGTCGCAGTACACCATCGCCAATGGGTACGAAAATGACGCCGAGGTCATCTACGGCGACACAGACTCGGTCATGGTCAAGTTTGGCACCGACAATCTGAAGAGAGCCATGGAACTTGGTGCCGAAGCTGCGGCCAACGTGTCAAACACTTTCACCAAGCCTATCAAGCTTGAGTTCGAAAAGTGCTACTTCCCCTACCTCCTCATCTCCAAGAAGCGATACGCCGGTCTCTACTGGACCAACGCCGACAAGTACGACAAGATGGACACCAAGGGCATCGAGACCGTCCGAAGAGACAACTGTCGCTTGGTGCAGACGCTCATTGACACGTGTCTACGGAAGATGCTCATCGATCGCGACGTCAAGGGCGCTGAAGAGTGCGTCTCTTAGCTTCCCCACGTTGTCGTTGCTGCTCGCTCACTCCTGTTATTTCTTCAGGTTCGTCAAGAGGACCATCTCCGACCTACTGCAGAACAAAGTCGACATGTCGCAGCTCGTCATCAGCAAGCAGCTTGCCAAGGCCGACTACGCTGCGAAACAGGCGCACACTGAGCTGGCCGAGAGGATGCGAAAGCGAGACCCGGGCTCTGCGCCGGCCCTGGGCGATCGAGTGCCTTTCGTCATCGTCAAGGGCGCTAAAGGCGCAGCAGCATACGAGCGCTCTGAAGACCCCCTCTATGTCCTGGAGCACGGTGTGCCTGTCGATAGTCGCTACTACCTCGACAACCAGCTATCGAAGCCCCTGATGCGCATTTTCGAGCCCATCATGGGTGTAAAGGCGAATACGCTCCTCAATGGCCCGCATACGAGGGTGGTGCAAAATGCGACGAGCAACGTCGGCGCCCTGATGAAATTTGCAGTCAAGCAAGAGACCTGTCTTGGCTGCCGAACTCCACTCAAAGATCCAAGTGAGTGTTGACCAACAATGCGCTTCGAAGATGGAGGGCGACTAACCCTTTACTTTACGCCAGAACAACCAGTGTGCGATCGCTGTAGACCGAGAGTGCACGAAATTTACGCACAGAAGCTCGTGGCTTCGTCGCAGGCGGACATTGAGTGGGCGCGCATGTGGACAACGTGTCAGCGATGCGCAGGCACTGTAGCGACGGACGTGCTGTGCACGAACTCGGACTGCGTCATCTTCTTCCGACGAAAGAGGGCACAAAAGGACGCAGAAGAGGCTTCAAAGACCCTATCGAGGTTTGATGTCTCTTGGTGATTGCACTTTCTCATTGTTTCGAACGTCTATCTGCAGCAGAGACGTCCATATCTAGATCAGCCGTCGTCACTCCCTTCGATGTCATTTCTCGCAAGCCTTGGCATGTCATTTCTCCGATGTAATAATATCAATTTGGCAACTCTTTCGCCAACGACAAAGTATCCCCCATCCTACAGGTCATCGTCGCTCTCGTCGACTGCTTCCTCATCCGCCAAGTCGATCTCGTCGGAGATCTCGACAACGTCAACAGCCTTGTCGGGGAAGAACTTCTTTGAGATTGCTTCCTGTGCGAGGCTACGCAACTGTACACATCGGCTTGATGTTAGCAAATTTCCATCCTCTTGCCGGCGCTCTCCAACTCACCATCTCCTTCATGCCCTTCTCTGCCACGAGGCTTGCCCTCTGGTCCCTCCATGCTGCTTCCTCTTGATCCACCTCCTCTGCGTTCTTTTTCGCTTCTTTCTCCTTTTTGAGGCGGTAGCGTTCCATGTCAACGTCGAGCTTCATAAATATCTGCCGTTTGCGCTCCGGCGTCCGGGCCACTGCTGCGTCAATCTGGGCAAGCTGTGCCTCGATGGCCCGGATGCGGATTGTGCAGTCCTGGCGGAGGCGGTGGGCTGCCACTCGCGTGTCGGTGCGCACCGCTCGTGCTGGCTTCTGCTCTACAGGCGATGATGACGACGCTGTCGATGCCGAAGGCTGAGACGACGGGGGTGTCAGGAGGCGACCGGCACCCTCGACGACTGAGCTCTGTCCGCTGCTGAATTCGTCCCTGATCATTGGCTCCGAGCTAGGGGCCGGTGTTGGAGACTTGATGCCCTCGATCACGAGCTCTACGTCGTTGGGACAGAACTTTTTTGGGCTAGCGAAGGGTTTCTCATCAGAGCGCCAGCTGGGGTTGAGAGGACTGTCTGCTCTCTCCCGCTTGAGGGGAGAGGAGCTGGGCGTCTGGAAAGAATAATTCGACAATGGGATGACCCTCTTGGAAGACGGGCTCATGATCACCTGCGTGATCTCAATGTCTTCTTCTTCGTCGTCGTCGTCTTCGATGCTGGAGACGAGCTCTCGCTCGTGAACGTGCCCTTCGTCCTTGACCTTACACGGCGTTGAGGCCCCTTCTCCCACTTCCTCTTGGCTGAGCTCTTCGATGGAAAAGGTGGAGTCTGTAAGTCGCTGCAGTTCGCCCGGCTCGACCTCTTCCTCCATCAAGTCGAGCTTGCCAGGGTCTTGCCCGGGAAGGATGCGAGGCAGGTGGATGTCCCTGATGTGTTGGAAGGTGACTGCGGGCAAGGCCATCTTCGTGCCTTCTTTCGTCTTTGCGACGATCTGCACGGTCGTCTTTTCGGCATCAAAGGCGACAAAGGGACGTCGTGGTCCGCCGTCGACGGTTGAGGGAAGCGCAATGATCTGGAAGGGGATATTGGCGATTGTCTGTGTGTGCTCGGCCCGACCGTTGATGTCGATCTCGGGCGACTCAGTGTATGCGGTTGCTATTTCGAAAGAAGTGACATTGTTCATTGGCCTCGTCTGCTGGAAGACCAGGTAGAAGGTCTGGAGGACAGGCAGGTAGAAGGCAGCCGTGCTCTCTTTGAACTTTTCCGGGAGGCGGTGCTCGCGGACGTAGTGAAGGTGCCCTTGTTCGTCGAGGACGCCAAGTCTGATCGAGATGCTGCTCGTCAACATCTTTGCTTCACAAGGTGGTGGTGGTGGCAAACTTCTCGTTGATGCTATGTCTCTGAAGTGCGCGTGTGTTTGGCATAAGAACTTCTCGCCGCGACCTGAGTCCGAGACAGTACGGAGCCTCCAACACGAGCGGAGTTCAGAAGGCAGAACTCAGACGCACAACTCCTCTTGCCTCTCCTTCGCTCGAATGCATGCAAATCAGATGTAGATGAACATACAGCGACAGGCATACGGTAAGACTAGCACAGATGAATGGGGGGGGAGGAGAAGGTTTGAATTAAGAAGGGCAGGCAGCGTTGGCAGCGATGCTCGTGACACTGCTTCCGATGGACAGAGGTGCAGCAATGGCAGGTACCATGGCGCCCAGGATGCCGAGGAACGCCGACGAGATGCCGGCCAGCTTGGAGCAGGACAGCGAGTCGTTGGGCGCCGGACAGTCAATTTCGGTTATGACCTGGAGGAAGTGACCGCCGTCCTGCGCTGTGTCCTGGTGTCCTTGGGTACCGAAGACGAGCATACGAGAGGGCACCTTGTACGTGTCGACATCCGGCAGGTTCTGCTCGCCGGGTCCCTCCTCGTCCTTGGGGTACAGCTGGCCGTGGATCGTGCCGCCGTCCTGGTCCATGAGCGCCTGGTACATCTTGACCGTGCTGCGCTTGATGAAGTCGGCGAGGGTGTGGTTCTGTACGCCCTGGTAGGGACTGTTGCTGTCAAAGAACGCCTGGTAGCGCATCGTGCACTGCTTGACCTGCTTGCGCGGCGTCACGTTGAGATCTGCAGCGGGTAGGATGTCGCCGGTGCGGTCTTCGTGATACTGGCAGTCCCACGTCTTGTACCCACCGCAGGACAGCTGATTGTTCCCAACGGGGCAAGACAAGTTCCACATTAGGTCCATGAACACCGAAGGGTTGCACAGGCCGGTTGCGACATAGGTTGGGTCCAGAACGACGGAGTAGGAGTCATTGGGGTTGCCATCAACGCCCGTCGTCGTATTGCTCTGATTTGGCGTACCTGTGCCGTTGACAGCGGGCGAGCCATCACGCTTGCTCTGCTGCTTCTGCTGGACGTTGAGCTTGGGGACGCCATCAACAAAGCTGCAGATCTTGCTACCCAGGGCCTTGCACGTGCTGATGGCCCAGGAAGGAGCGGTGCTATTCTTACCGTCACTGGAAGTAACCTTGCTACTGGTCTTGTTGTTGCCCACGGAACCATTGACCGCGCCGATGGTGCTGTTGACTGTGGCCATGGTGCTGTTGATGGTACTGGCGAGGGTGGTATTGCCGGTGTGGTGGTAGGTCGAGTTTCTGCCACCAGCCAGGGTGGCATTCTTGCTACCGTTCTGAATGTCCGTTGCGTTATTGTTGCCGTCTTTGACGGTGGTTCCCACATGATGGTGGCTGACGCTGGTATTGCCCGAGCCAGTCGAGTTGATCTTGGCGCGATTCGAGAGTCCAGCCTCGAAAGGAACCGAGAAGGCGGGCCCAGCCGTCAAGGCCAAGACAAAGATGGCTGAGTTCAGCTTCATGGTTGAGCTAGCGCTTCGAGCGACTGTCTGAGAGAAGAAGCTTTTGGCGGAAGAGAACGACTTTATCTAAAAGGAACCAGCCTTTCAGATCGTTGCCAACAAGGAAAGGAAGCGATAGGAGACGATGAGGAGAAAGTTGCGAACAGCAAGGAGATCAAACTCTCCGATCTTAAGACTGTTTTGCTCCTGCCGAATAATGCAATTTCTGGGCGCCGTGTCCGGAGGATCGTCATTTCCATATGGTCACCCGTGCCTGGATTGGCGACGAAACTTTTGCGGGTCAGCTTGTACCTGATCATATGGAACGTATGGGACACAAGTGCTCAGGAGAGCTGAGGTCAGTCCATCACATGGTACTGTGAGGTCAGCATCCTGGACCTGCCTAGGTCCGTAAACCAGTTTTATGCAGTCCATTAGGCACTAGCGCGGAACGCCCAAAAGATCCCAATAAAAGGAAACTCCTGCAGGGGGCTTCAGCAGAGGGCTGCAGTCTAATGGCTAGAAATTCGGTTCAATCGAAAAGAAGGCGCTACTTGCTCAAGTCGCCTAGCCGAAGCTAAGTGGGGAGACGAAGGGATAGACCAGGATAGCTCAACATCGCATCCGTCCACCATCACCGCCTAACAATATGGTGTCCAAGCTCGCCCTCGTCGCACTTGTCAGCACTGCAGCTGGTCTGTCGCTGGCCCAACAGTCTTCTCAGTCTACTTCGTCCTCTCCATCGCCCTCTAGCTCATCGTCTAGCTCCCAAGGTGCGCGTGCTACTGGAAGAAGTAGCCTGCTCAGAGATGGTGACTGACACGATATCTCACAGCCACCTCCTTGACGATCGAGTACTACCCGGGTATTCCCAACACGCTGGACGCAGAGCAGGTCTCTGCCTTCTCTCACGCAAGCCAACTCGCCACGAGCATCAACCAGACGGCAGCTTTTGCACAGCCGTCGGTCTCGACTACCACTGACATTCGCGATAACGTCATCTCTGCTGTCACAGCTTGCGCGTCTGGCTTCCTGGGCGTCCAGCAGCAGGGATGCTGCCCCGGTGTCGTCCTGAGCGGGACCTGTTACCGCACATCGACGGGATCCCTGGCTTCTTACCAAACATACTCGGGCTCGTACCTCTCCAAGAATGATAAGGACGGTGCTTTGGTCCTTGAACCGCCCAACCTCAATACACAGATGGCCTATTTGGTCATGTCTTCACTTGCCCTCTTCGCTTTGGGAGGCGCTGTCTTCCTCTAGGCTATGTATTGCTACCGTCAATTGCAAAGAAATGCTTGAAATACACATCTTGTCCTTCCTCTGTCTCTATAGCTTGGTGTCCTTCACCGCTCCGTCGCCCGAACAGTGCTTGATTGGTTCTCCCAGGTAATGCCCTTTGCAATGGTGCTCGATGCGCTCGCTCCGAGGCAGGAACAGTCCGGCCGAATTTACGCCCACAAAACAATTCACGCCCACAAGGTAAGTGTAATTTTTCGAACTTCGGTGCCGAGCGACCACGCTGAAGGCAGCTCTTGTTCCTCTTTGTTTGGGCACAAGGACCTATGGTTCCTGCAGCTAGACCGCACACTCGTGTTGTTCCTTTGGGTGGTCGGCGAGAGAGGGTGTCTCTTGGATCTCCATTATTGCTAAAAACCCAGCCTCGATCTCACCCACTTCTTGCTCTTCTCCCCACTTTTACCGTCATACCAAACAGCTCCCTCTCTGACTCTCACCCGTTCTCGCCGGTCGAGAAGCATCACGGTACCGCACCTCTCCTTCACTTTTCGATTGCGTCTCAACAACAGTCTCGACTGTCATGCGGGTCACGACTACTTTTGTCTTTGTCGCCACGGTCGCAGTGGTGGCCCTGACAGAGCGCGCGCAGGCCGACAGCGCTCCCCAGATTCCGATTGCTGAGGTGCCCGATCCCTCTGGGCCCAATGTAGCATGCCATGGCAACCACGGTGAGCATCTTGACGTTGGAGAAACCATACGATGGGGGGTCCTGATCCTTTTTTCTCATGGTCCAAATGAACAGCCGGCTGGTCTTCGGACTGCAGTCTGATTGACGACATGTTTGTGACGTCCAACAAGACTCCGCAGAAGGACAACAAGGGCCGCTATTATGTGTGCGACAAGACTTGCTGTGCCGTTGCCGTCCACAAGAAGGGCACAGACGACATTACCGAAAGCAAGCTGTCGATCTGGGCAAACAACGCCAATATTCACTGCAATGGTATGCATCTCCCGTCTCTCCCTCTGTCTATTCATCAATGACTGATCGGATCGGATCGGATCGCATACAGGGCCCAATCTTCAAACTTGGAGGAGTGGAGTGGAACAGGACTGGAAGGCAGCCGACAGCGACGGAGAATACAAGATGTGCCTCTGCAATAATGGCAGCATGGGCTCTTGCTGATTCAGCCTGCTCTCTGTAATTTCTCACTACGTCACTTTCTCTTTGTTTCTATGATAGACTACTGCTGTCGTTGCCGCGGAGCCAATGTTCCTCAAGCCTGGACCTCTCCAAAGTGAGACGGAGCAAAACTGGACGGGCGTCTCGCCCGATTTCCCGTTCTGCATCCCCCGTGAGCTGCGCGCTGGATCGCCCTACCTTTTCTTGTCGCGGTGATATTTCCGGCCCGAAAATTTACACGTGGACAGATCAGAAAAAGGGGAAGCGTTCTGATTGGCTCGTTCAAAGGGCGAATCATCTTGGAGTGCAGCCGCCTCTTCTCTTTCCTATCGAGGGTCCGCGACAAAGCCTGGAGCTCGAGGTGTGGCCCCGAATGGCAATGACGTTGACTTTGATCGCAATTGCGAAAGAGACGTACCCAAAAAGGTTGTGCGGTGTAGACGAAAAGGGAATGGTGCTCGGAATGGCCGATAACCTTAAGGGCCTACTTGAGGAGATAGCAAGAAGCGAACTAGCGACGCATCGGTCAATTAGTGTCTCCGGGCTCGTTCCCTCGTCATTTTGAGCATATGGATGCGGCCGACCCGGGCCCCGATACGACAGATCTACACATGGTCACGTCTAGGTTCTTGTCTAGGAGCATTTCGCTGTTCTACAGGAGAAAAGAGAAGATTAGGAGAGGGGGGGGGGGCAGTGCTCCTGATAGAGAGAGACTGCGCGCGTCGGATGGCGTGAGATAAGATACGAGAATTTTCAAAGGCGGGGGTGCGGTGTGTCTCTGTACGATAGAGAGAGCTCTCTAACCTTGCCCGCATTTCGCTATTTCTCCCCACTTTGAAGATATGAGAGCTTGTCTAGCCGCATGCTCCGCTTGCTCCACAGCTGCGTGACACAATAGGGCGGTTCGTTATTGCTCGCAGAGGTGAGGTGATGGAACAGAGAGATGATCTTGTCCCGTTTTAAACAATCAAGGAGGAAAAATCAATCTAGATTAAAAACGAGAGGGAAATGCCTACCGATTGATAACCCTTGGCCTTTCTTTCTGCTGCCCTTTTGGAAAATTTTTATCTAGGAAAAAAAAAAGGCTTTCAAGATGAGAAGGGATCAATCAGACTTGGCCGGAGCTCCAGCGGCGGGTACTGCTTACCATCCTCAATCCCTTTTCTTCGGCGCTGTTCTCCCTCTATTCTCTCCTATCGCCGCCGCCCCTCTTGCTCGTCACTTCACTAAGCTCCACCGTTCACGTCTCCCCCACCGGCCTGTCTCCTCCCTCTCCCTCTCCCTCTCTGCCTGGGACTGGACTGGCCAAGCACGTCCGTGTGCGCGTTACGTGATTCTCAGGCTTGCCACCGCCTCTGTCAGACCATCGGCTGTTCAGGCGACTGAGCCTGGCGCTCCCCCGCGAGGGCGAAGTCTCCAGCCTTTCTGGTCACCGTCGAGGAGGTGAGGGTCATCGTACGATGACAATCCCCCGCTCCTCGACACCTTCGGATCTCGAACTGGCACCTATCCGTTCAAGCACCAACGCGCAGCAGCAGCAGCAGCAGCAGCACCATTCCCACGCCCACCAACGATCGCAGGCCCACGCGCATAGCCCTCACTACAGCCAACAGCAGCAGCAGAGATCGCCCATGATGGCGACGTCTTCGGCAGCGACGATGCGGACGCAGCAGCAGCAGCAGCAGCCGGCAAGGTCGTATGAGCAGGAGGGGGCCAGGCCGCCGGCATCTTCCCATCGACAGCCGACGTCGCTGCCATCGTTTGCCTCGTTTGACTCGACATCAGGCCCTCCTTCCTCTCGGCTCTGGTTCGCCTCGCCGTCGAGGGGCGTGCCCGACCAGGCAGCCCCTCCGTTCCACCCTCGACCGGGCTATGCTGCTGAGTCGACGCCACGATCACGAGACGCGAGCGCGAGCGAGGCAGCCGCCCGGGCGAGACGCGACGGTGACGAGCCAGGTCTCGCTGCCTCCTCTGCCGCAGACGGCCTGGCGATGCGCTGCTCCAACTGTGGCACCATGCGCACCCCACTCTGGAGGAGGTCGCCCGACGGCAGCAGTCTCTGCAACAAGTGCGGTGCGTCTTTCCATCCCACATTTCCAGAGAGCTGAGCGAACGTCAGCAGCGCAGCAAGAAGCTGACTTTTTGACTTTGTTGTTGTTGTTGTTCTTCCCCTCCAGGCCTCTACACCAAGCAGCACCAGGGCCAGAGGGCTCCTGTCAGCCCATCGCAGCCGCCGTCAAAGGCGCTCTCAGACGAGGAGGCCCCTCGCACCGCACCAGGGGCCACCTCGTCGACGCTGTCGGAGCACGAGCTGGCAAAGGGCTCGTGTCCCGGCGACGGCTACTGCAACGGCACCGGTGGCCACGCGGCCTGCAACGGCTGTCCTGCGCTGAACAACAACCTCAGCCACGGTGTGCGACGGAAGCGAAGCAAGGCATCCGTCGCGCTGGCTGCAAGGGAGTCCTCCAACGGGAGCCATGCCAAAATCGAGAGAGACTCCATCTCGCCTGCCGCCTCTGCCGACGAGCTCGCTTCTGCCACGACAACGTCGACGGCGGCGGCGGCGGCGGGCGGAGCTTCTGATGGTGTGTCTGCGTCCAACAACAAGGACAAGCATCCACCAGCCCATCCTTCCACCACGGGTGTCGCAACAGGCATGGGCAGCAGCAGCAGCAGCAGCAATGGCGCCGGCATCAGCGGCGGTGTCGGTGGCACTGCTGGCGGTGAGGAGGAGGCCGTCGGCGGGCTCAAGTGCAACAATTGCGGCACCACCACGACGCCGCTCTGGAGGCGCGACGAAAACGGCAACAACATCTGCAACGCATGTGGCCTGTACCAGAAGCTGCACGGCACGCAGCGGCCCATCAATATGCGCAAGACGGTCATCAAGCGCCGCAAGCGTGTTCCCGCGGGCTCGCTGGCCCTCGGTCAGCAGGCTGCCAAGGCTGCTGTGGCCCAAACGCCGTCGCAACAGCAACAGCAGCAGCAGGCGGCCCAGTCCATGCCTCAGCACCCACAAGCACAAGCGCATCCGCACGCGCTTTCGCATTCGCATGCACAGCGGGCTGATTTGGGCGATGCTCCCATGAGCCAGGCCCACCGAGACGCCGCCATGGCCCTCATCGAGGTCGGCCGGGGCAGCACGAGCGAGAATGGTGCGGGGACATCGTCATTGTCGGCGAGACCCTGGTCGCCGCAGCCACCCCAAGCACGCCGCGCGGACACGATGATTGACGAGGTGGAAGTTGATGAGATTGACGACGACGAATCGTCACCAGACAGACCAGGAAAGCGCACGCGATTCACGCCCGTCGACGACGAGGGCTTGCCCCAAGATCATCAGCACGCAAGACCGCCGAGTGCAGCGGCACGGAGCGTCTCGCCACTGCCCACGGCCGCTTCCTCGAGCAGCAATGCCCTAGCCTCCTCGGCGACGACCCCTGGGCATCATCATCACCACCACCACCATCACGTCGTTCCCGTCGCGCATCATCATGCTCATGCTCATCAAGTGCCCCGTACGCATGTCCACAGCCATGGCCACCAACACACCGCTCACCCTCATCACCACCACGTCCACCCACACACGCATCAACACCCTCACCAGCACCAGCACCAGCATCCTCACGTCCATGTCCACCATCCCCAGCATCCTCATCATCACCACGCCGTCGGCTCTTCGTCGGCGCCTGCGTCCTCAACGGCTCCCGCCCCTGCCATGGCGCATACAGCCTGGGTGGCCGAGCTGGAAAAGCATCGCAACGAGCTCATGTTGGAGAGGCGACGCTTGGACGACGTCATCGCTCGCACCGAGGCCCTACTCGCCGCAGCAGACAGTGGCTCCTCGTGGCCGCCATCGGGGAGGAGCGAGCGGCCCGACGAGACTCTGCCAAAGGCCCACGAGGAGTCTGCGACTGTGCCATCGACATTGGCTACTTCACCTGCCTTGTCGGAGAGGGACTTGTCTCGGATGGAGACCGATGACGCGTCTCCTTCTGTTCCCCCCCAGCAAAGCAAGAATGGCAGCAGCCGAACACGCAGGAGCTCGTTTGATCGCAGGATGTCGGAGCTCCCCGTCAAGGCTGCTGTGCCCCTCAATCGAAGCAGCAGTGTCTCGAGTACGGGAAGCGGCGTGGGTATGACCAAGATGACGGCGCCGAATGCGCCCAAGTCGCCCGGTGCTAGCAGCACCACGACGACGGCCACCACGACGAGCAACGGGTCTGCGTCTGCGAGGAGCAGCAGCGGCTTCAAGAGCGCCGTCGGCAACAGCTCCCGATCCAAGTCGTTTGTGTGGGGCGCCTTGCCTCCCGATCGGCTGAACAAAGACTCTCACCACTCCTCGCCGTCGACATCCTCGTCACGGAACGGCGCTGCCAACAAGGGATGGGGAAGGAATGCCTTGATTGCCCCAAGCCCAGAGGTAGACGGCAAGGGTGCCCTTTCGCAGCGCCCGCCCTCGAGCCACTCGATGGGCAGCGAGACTTCGCACTCGAAGAATGAAGCCAGTCCGGAAGCGGAAAGGCGGAGGACCCACGAAGACGACGACGAGGAAGAGGAAGCCGCGCGTCAAGAGTACCTCAAGACCTACGGCGGGAGGGTTCTCGAGACAAAGGGCGACTGGAACGGGCTGGCGAGACCGTTGCGAAAGGAAGCATTCCACCAGGCAGGCAAGCAATCCTCGACCTCTTCTTCTTCTACTAATTCTTCTCCCAGCAAAGCTCCTGTGCCGCCGGCCAAATGAAGAACCAAAAAATGGAGAAAGGCGACCTCCAAACAAAAGCTACGCACTAATCACTACTCTCTTGTTCCTCGTTGTACTACACACTGCTATTATTAATTCCCAACCTCTTACGATGTCGCACAGAGAGTGGCGCGCCCAGTCCTCCCCTACGTCTAGGCCAGCGTCGATGTAATGAATGCATCTCACCATCTATCTGTTCTGGTCTTGCTTGTCACAGCACTGTTCTTCATGCTGGTCGCCTGCCCTTCTCTTCACGAGCGCTTCATTCGCTTCTGTCATCCTCGTCAGTGCACTGACGAATGAGTGGATAACATAACGCCAAACGATTGAGAAGACTGATGTATCAAAGATGTAGCAACAACATACTGTGGAAGGGGGGTTGGCTGCTCGGCCCATCAAGCCGATGGCGGGCCTTGCTGTCACTTCATGAGAATTGCGCGTTGTCTCCGCCGAAGCGAAGGGGTGAAGAAGGCTCAACGCGTAGGTAGTACACGTGGCATTCTAGCAATGCTTCACCTCTGGATGGTACTGCGGAATCTCGGCTTCGTCCCATCCTCCAGCGGATGTCTTGCTTCCACACATCGAGCCACCTTTTACACGGCCCACTCTTCATCCTCGTTCTCCTATTTGTGTTCTTTGTTCTGTGTTCAAACCGTCTGTTTCATCTCCTTCTAATGACGCCCCGCCCTTGGATGTTCTATAAATTAATAAATTGCAATGCTGGGGGGTTGCCTCTCTGTGAGAGTCGGAAAACGTTCAGGGAACGTTGAGGATGTTGAAAAAGTCTATCATCGATCGTATAGCCAGGCGCTTCCCTGGCTGAATCAAGTAAAAGGCGTGATTCAGAGGCGAGCTACGAGAAGTGCCTGAAATCGAGACGTTGTGGGAAAAGAAGAAAAAAATTGCACTGCTTTGCGCTCATCTTTATAGAGTCCGATAGATCGGCACTCGGGACTTGGTCGACGGGGCGCCTGCGCTCACGTGAGGGAAATTTTTGGAGCTTCTTGGTCACGACGGCGCTTGGTGATCATCATCACTGCTCTGCAAACCCCTGCTCCAACATGGCGGCCCGACAACGGACGCTACAGCTGGTGCGAGGCACGAGCCGATCGCCGCTATCGGCCTCGAGGGGCCTGGCTACCTCCAGGCTCGTCTCATTTCCGCGCCAGATCCGTCCGCGTTTCAACACCGACGAGGCACCCGCGGCGACAACGCCGACGACGCCGCTGACGACGCCCTCGGCCGGTTCCTCCTCTTCCTCCTCCTCGGCGAAACCAACCCTGCCATGGTTCCTCCAGGACCAGGCCGAGGAAGTCGTTGCTGCTCCCGTTGAGACTGCATCAGCAGCACTAATAGAGAAGACGCTGCCGCTCTCGACGGCTGGCTCGGCCTTGCCTGATGCCCTCATCGAGCTCGACGAGCTCCTCACCACTGGGCCTTCGTCTCCTCTTCTCCGCCGCCGCCGCAGCGACCAGGACGACGAGGAAGAAACGGCCGAGTTTGAGCGGGAGCCAAAGCGGCCGCCGATCGTGTACATTGACGCCAAGGCACGCGACGCCGACGCGTGGGCCGACTGGATCGTCGTCGTCGAGGTGCAGGCCAGGAGCGGCATCACACGCGTGGCAAAGGACGTGGGCAACTATCTCAAGCGCGCGCCCCGCCCTGCCTCGCTGGGATCTATTCCCTCTTCTCTGCAAGAAGGCGACACCGTGGGACCACCAGAGCGTCTGAGAGGATCCTCAGCATCGACAGAGGGCTCGGCGTCGCTGGACAAGCAGCCGTGGCGGCCGCGCAAGATTCTGTCGCGCGAGGCCCAGGAGGGGCTGCGACTGCTGCACGCGCACGACCCCGAGACGTACTCCCGCCAGGCCCTGGCGGCCCAGTTCAAGATCTCCGTCGAGGCCGTGCGCCGGATCCTCAAGTCCAAGTTCCGGCCCGACGGCGCCGTTGTCTCGCGGCAGAACAGGCGCGCAAAGGAGCGCGAGGACGAATGGAAAAGAGGCATGCTCGAGGGACCGGGCTGGAAGCTGGACGAGGCCAGGGAGCTGGAGAAGATCAAGCAGAGCATCTCTTCTGCCTCTTCCGGGAGGGAGGAGAGCGTCGAAGAAGAGGAGGAGGAGGAGGAGGCTGAGGACCAGGACGAGGTGGCGTGGGCACTTGAAGGCGAGGAAGGGGCGCCGCGGGGCAAGAATAGGGTCCGGTATGAGGGGCTGGATGACGCACAGTCGAGCAGCCGAGCCAGGAGGGGGGGCGGAGACTGGTGCCTCGTCGACGCAGAATGGTGCGTCGTGCACGTCATGACGCCCGAAGCGCGTTCCACCTACGACGTCGAGGGCATCTGGGAGAGGGCGCCTCCTTCTCCAGTCGACGAGGCAGAGAGCGAGAGCAGCGGGACAATGAAGACAACAAGGATCCGTGCTGGTCAAGTGCCATTGTAACAATAGTAGCTGTGCTTGTCTACAAACTATAACTAATGAGCCGTTGAAATTATGGAGTGAATGTACAGTATAAATGAAGTCGGCTACTGGGAGATGCTCATGGCGTCCAGACTCTGCGAGATGTCGCTCTGGTCCGTCGATGTCGAGGCGCTCTGGCTCGTCCCCAGCGAGCTGCCAAATTCGGCAGCGCCGCGCTTTCTCGGACGCGAAGAAGTCATGCTTGGGATCTTGAGTCCCTGAGGCTCCTCCTCTTCCTCTTCCTCGTCATCCTCGTCGTCATCGTCTTCCGAGTCGGACTCCTCGCCGGCAAGTCCCGGTGGTGCAGCCTCGGACCAGGGACGGTACAGCGGCTCAACCCATTTGGAGCTGGACGGGAGGCGATAGGGATCAAAGGGAAAGAAGGTGTCCAGCCGGTCGGCCGTCTGCGTCGTCTGAACCTGCTTCTTCTGTTCGCCGTCCTCGTTGCTCGACGTGGAGGAACCGTCCGACGACGACGGCGACGAGGCGTCTCGGCTTTTTTTAGTCGTGGCAGAGCGCTGATTTCGCTCGATGATGCTGTAGCAGTAGAGGAAGCCCGTGTGCTGGGCGATGCTCGCAAACTGGTTAACAACGGCCGATGTGCAATTGGCCAAGGGATTGAATGGCGACATGATGACGCGCTGGACAATGGCAAGGCTGTCGGCCCACCGCCAGGGCGTGCCCGCACCTTCGTCGTCCATCTCGTCGGCCTCGCTCGAGCTCGACATCGACACGCTCACCTTGGGCGTAGGACCAGCAGGCGTGGGTATACGCAAGTCCCGCCATCGGAAGCAGAAGATGTAGAAGACGGCCTGCGCCACGGCGTAAAAGACGGCATGAGGGCCCTCGGCAGCACCAAAGCCGTGGGTGGTAGACGAGGCCATGGCCGCATACGCCGACGCGTGCTCGCTCAGGTACGCGTCCAAGTAGACGCACAGATGATCGACGACGGCTCGGACCTGGTCGCGAGGGACAAATTTGGCTCGAGACACCAGGCTGGCGACGTAGGATGCCGATGCTATCCGAATGATGGCTGGCTCCTCCTGGACCGTGGCATAGTCTGAATCCTCTCCCCGGCCGACCAGCGCCTTCTCCATGAGGTGCCCCAAAAACACGTCGCTGAATTCCTGATCGAGGGAAGAGGCCCAGAATAGGAGGAATTGCACGTTGCGGGACTTGAATGTCGGCAGCACCATGCGCTGGAAGAGGGCGGCCAGGAGGTAGAATTGCTCCTGTCGGAGCACCGAGGCCCTCGAAAAGGACAGAGGTGCGTATGTGATCGAGCTCGTCGACGAGGAGCGTTCCAGCGTGGGTGTCTTCACATCGCTGCCACCCATACATACGCTCATGCAGCGCTTGTCGAAACCTTCGAGATGGGCAAAGACCTCCGTCATGATGGCGTCGAGCTTGGCGCTAAGCTTTCTCGCGTTGGCCACCTTTGCCATTGCCTCCTTGCTGCGGTTTAACGGCTTCCTTTTCCCCTTGCCCTCTTCTTGCTCTTCTCCCTCTTCTTCTCCGTCCTCGTCTCCAGAATCGAGGTCGTCGAGATTCACGTCCTCGCCCTCTGATTCGCTGTCATCCACGTCCTCATCGTCGAGGGCGCCATCGAAGGGGTCCTCCTCGTCCGCCCGATGTTCTTCTTCTGCATCACTATCCATGTCGTCGCCGTCGTCGTCGCCTTCGAGATCTTCGAGTTCCTCGTAGTCCATCTGGATCTCGACGTCGATCTCGATGGCCTTGCTGACAATGGCGGCCAGAACGCCTTGCTTGAGCTCGTCGGCGTACTCGCACACCTGCAGCGCGTTGCGGACGTAGACGGTAAAGTGCTTGACGCCGTCGCGCTTTCGAGGGAGATGACGCAGCAGTAGCGGCTGCAGGACCGAGGGCATCGTCGGAATCAGCGAGAGCAGCGAACGGAGCAACGAGTGAATGCGGCCGTAGATGACGCGACGCGTGGGTGCGCCCGTCGAGGGCGACGTCGTGGCAGCTGCGCTTGCGTATGCCAATGCTCTCCAATCCGATCCTGGTGGGACGAGTCAGGATGAGTGCGACATTCATACTGACAAGGGGGAAAACCCTACTCACGATAGGTAAGACCCTGTACCGCACGGTTGAGGACAGTGGAGAGCCACTCGCTTCTGGTACTGCACAAGGCGCACACGAACCGAGTCCAGGTCCTGGCAAAGACATCGCCACCCATCGTCGTCCAAGGGAGAGATATGATCGAGTCGATGAGGAGCGAGTGAGAGCGCTTGTCGAGCGAAGAAACGACGTGCGTCAATGCGCCGAGCCAGGAGAGAAGTTGGGTTGGGTTCGGGCCCGTGCTGACCCTCGATGGGTCCGACAGCTTAAACTGAGCGACGAGCTCGTTGTAAGAAGCCTCGTTACCTCTCATGCGCTCAGCCAGCGCATTGTCCACAAAGGAAATATACATTCCTCTTCGATAGCCATCCGTGGGCGAGGATGTCACGCCTGGGAGTGAAGCCGCTCCGCCCTTGAGACTGCTCTTTATTCTCTGCGGGGAATTTGGAACGCTGGCCTGCGGCGTGCCCCTCTTGACCCCGCCCTCGTCTCCATTGTTGTCCTCGTCGGAACCCTCGTCGCTCAAGTATCGCTTCATGGTGCTATGCCGCTTCGACGGATTGGGCACGGACGAGGCCGAGCGTCGTTTCGCGGGCGTAGGACCAGGAGCATGGAAAGTGGTTGGAGAGTCCTTATTGGTGCTGACTACAAGCGGTGTTGGTCCGAGCGCCGTCACCATCGCTCTCCTTTCTCTCTCTCTCTCTCTCTCTGTGTACCACCTCCGCCTCCAACGTCGTGACTTGCCTGCAGCTGCTTGGTGGCTCGCCTGATCGAACAACCTCCAAAATTTAATGAAACTTTTTTTCCTCTCCCTCCCTCTTCCAAAACACCACGTGGTGTGCGCTTCGCACGGTCGTTGAACGCTTTGCGCCGAACGAAGATCCCCCTCATCGACGCTCCTCTCACGACAGCAAGCAACAAGACACCGAGGAAGGGGCGGCAAGCGAGGGACTGATGTCTGGCCCGAGAGAGATCTAGAGTCTGTCCATAATGGAGACGTCGAGCCCTGCGCCCGATCGTCGGTATCAGGAAAGCTTCGACGAGCTCATGAATGGCGAAGACGAGCTGGTGGGGCATGCTGTCGAAGCTCGACGGCCAAATGGGACTGCTCATGACGATGACGATGACGACGACGACGATGACGAGAAAGAAGACTGGAAGGGCGGAGAGGATGATGGGGCAACAATTGGCGACGTGTCGAGCTATTCCGATCGGCTAAAGGAGATCATGGGCAGCGACGAGGACGAGGACGTGAGGCAGGAGCAGGAGCATGATGATGAGCTGAGGCCTGGCTCTGGTACAGTTGGCGATGAGTCATTAGCAACAGAGGTAGGAGGAGCAGACGAAAGTCGGCACTCCATTGCAAGCACCTCCTCGCTGCTGCCGTCATCATTGGACTATTCGCTCCTACGGCCATGGCAGTATCCGAAGCCTAAGCGGTTACGATCGCTGGCCTCTACCGCAAACGTAACAGATGACGCAAGCCTCAGTCCCAGCCTCTCCCTCCAGGCCGGTGACAGTGGGAGCAACAGCTTCGACTTTAGATCCTCGCCCATGTTGCCCGCCTCGAGCCATGATGACGGCAGCAGCATCGAGGGGCTGCCTTCTGCTCACATGATGCCGTATGGCGTTCCTGAAAAGCCGATATATGCGTCTAATGGTCAGACGCGGCGCAACGATGACGCCGTGCAACGATCCATTCTCAGGCTCTCCAAAGTCTCAAAGCTCGAGCTCAGCCAGAGGAACGACGAAAAGGCTGTAGTCATGGCTGTCGCCGGCGGACTCGTTGCTGTAGGAACAAGTCAGGCTCGGGTCGGGATGTGGGAGTTCAACGGTAGATTTAAGGGCTGGCTGGCTCTACCTACAACGACCACGGACTCGGTCACGGCACTCTCCATTTCTTCCGACCGGACATTCATAGCCATTGGGACGGATCAGGGGCATATCTACCTCTACGACGTCTCCAAACCGCGATACCCTGCTCGTCACGTCGCACCGACCACACCAAAGGCGGTCACGACGGGCAAGAACGAGGGTCATCTCCAAGGGACAAAAATTCTCCATATCGGCTTTGTGGGAGCCAGACATACTGCCATCGTCTCGGCAGACGAGTTCGGCCTCAGCTTCTACCACAGCCTCGGCAAGATTCTCGGCGTAAGCAGCAATGATACCCTTAGACTACTGGGAAGATATCCCAGCAAGGCAGAGAGAGAGGGGAAAGGTACAGAGGTCGAGGCGCTCAACAATGGCGGCCAGGAGCACGAGCCGACGCCACCAAAATACCGACAGGCGACGGCTCTCGGCATGGCACCTCTTCCGTTGGGGCCCATGCGTCACCTGTCAGATTCACACAACATCGTGGCAATTCTGACGCCCACCAAGCTCGTTGTGGTCGGCTTGAAACCAGCAGCAAGAACCTGGTTCCGCCTCCTTTCGCCCTCTCGAACAATTGAGACGTGTGGCAGCCTAGTCTGGTTCCCTTCGATGACGGCCAACGACAGGTCGTCGGCCACCGAAGCGGACGGGAGAGTGCAACCGGTGCTCGCTACGAGCTTCGGAAGACATCTTGTCCTCGTGCGCCTCAAGACAATACGCGTCCACGGCGGTACGCCCCAGGCGCCCACTGTTCGGGAGGAGCTGACGATGGGAGAGGAGCCAGGGTGGGAACACGATGAACCGATTCGATCGCTTCAGTGGCTCTCTCACGAGATGATTTTGCTCCAATCCGATTCGAAGTTGGCCTTGTTTGACCTTCGGTTCCGAAAGGTGACGGAGACGCAACCCGTCATCAGCCTCGTGTCGTCACTCGTCTCCAACGACTGGCTTGTCGGAGTCACTTTCAAGTCCAGAGCTGGCGAGGAGAAGCACATCCACCCTTCCAACGCCTACAGCGTGCGCGCTTACAAGGGTCAAGTCTTCTTTCTGGTGAGTCCGCTTTGCAGACCACGGGAAATTTTGGCCGATACACAAGTATCTGACATTGTCTCACAGACACCGGGCGACATCGTCGTAGGCACCCTCATTACTTGGGCGGACAGGATTCTGGCACATGTCTCAGGCGGTGATTTTCTCGGCGCTATCGAGCTCAGTACCGATTACCTAGAAGGCCGAGCCGGTGGCTCCTGCATAGGACTGCCAGAATCTAGGGAAGCTCAAAGACCGATCGTGGCCCAACGACTTCTCGATCTGATGCGTGCCTCGACGACATACGCATTTTCTGACGAGCGCATGCACGACGGAACCCACGCTGACCCTAGAGGCGTGGACAGGACGCCATTGTTCGAAGGTTTGGCGAGGGTTTGCGCAGAAGCCTGCCTGGCCCTCGAAGACCAGACTTTTCTCTTTGACGAGCTGTACGATACCTATGCCGACGCCGGTATCGAGGCCATCTTTGCCGACCAGATGGAGCACTTTATCGTCGCCGGTCAGCTCAGGTTGCTGCCGATCCCCGTCGTACAACGCCTCATTTCCTTTCGAAAGAGGCAGCAGAGGTACGATCTGGCCGAACGCATCATCTGGAATGTCGACCCGGCGAGCTTGGATCTCGATCAAGCGCTGAGCCTGTGCCTCGAAAGACGATTGTTTGACGCACTCATCTACGTGTATACGAGGGCACTGCATGACTTTGTTGGGCCCATTGTCGAGCTACTCGGCATCATCAAGAGGCGCGATTCTTTGGAGCCACAGGACAACATTGCAGACTGCTATAGGCTCTTCTCCTATCTCTCCGTTGCCCTCACAGGACATACGTACCCCAATCACGAGATGCTTGAAGGAGGCGAGGGCATCAAGGCCAGGTCAAGCATCTATGGTTTTCTCTTTGCGGGCCGTTGCGTCATGTGGCCAGAAGGACCTGGTGGTCAGCTCGTGTTGACGGTTGCCGACGAGCAGCAGGAGCCCACCTATCCTTACTTGCGTCTGCTTCTCGCTTTCGATGCCGAAGCGTTTCTTGACGCACTCGATATCGCCTTCGAGGACAGCTACCTCGACGACGAGGAGGAGGATGAGGTTGACGACAACGATGATTTTGCGGCTGTTCGCAAGCACCACCCCCGTTTCACGCGTCAACTCATCGTCTCTATTCTCAGTGAAGTGACCTTTGAGGAGGGCAGCGAACTGCAAGAGTCTGCACGCGTCTTCGTCTGCATCTTTATCGCTCGCAACGCTCCCAAATACCCACAATTCGTGCGCCTTTCTCAACCTGATGTCAAACAGCTTCTTCATCACTTGGCAGCAGTCCAAGATTCGGAGACGCTCGAGGACCGACAGTTCGCGGCCGAATGTCTTTTGTCGGCCTATAGGCCTAGCCACAGTGATGAACTTCTTGCTCAGTTCGAAAGCGCGAGCTTCACAAGAATCCTTCACCGTGCCTATCGGTCGGAGTCGAAGTGGGACAAGCTGGCAGACCTGGTCATCGTCGAAGCACCGAGCAAAGGTCAAGAGACTTTCGACGAGCTAGCCCAGGTCATTTCTTCCGCCAGAATGGGCAAGGGTGCACCTTCCGCGGTATTAAAAAATGTCGAAAGAATCGTCCTACAATCATTGCCGGCCCTTGTAGACGTGGACGTCGGCCGCACAGCGGAGCTCATGGGCCGTTTCTTTCCGGCAAGACAAGCTGAAGCGATTTCGCTGCTGGATCGATCTCCGCACCGACAGCTGGCCTATCTCGGCGTGCTGCTTGATCCCTGGCAAGACTCAGAAGAGCTTCCTCTCCAGATGAGGTCCGACACCTCTCTACCATCCGCCGCGACGGACAAAAAGTCGACAAATTCGAAGCTTCGAGACAGCGTCGATCAGCCGCAGAGGGATCTGTACATTTCGCTGCTGTGCTCTATGGAGCCACACGTACTCGTCAAGACGCTCGACGCGATGCCCGCGAACTTCTTTGACTTGAAGCACTTAGCCAACGTTGCTGAAGAAGAAGGAGTGATCGATGGTGCCCTCTGGGCCTTTGACCGGCAAGGGCAGTTGGACAAGGGACTTGATGCCTTTGAGCGAAGCGTGGCTCAACGTGCCTTTGTCCTTCGCGATCAAGCGCAAGAGGACGATAGTCGAGGAAGCGAGATCAACGAGGAGGCAGATGCAGAATTTGAAGAGGCAAAGGAGCAGCTCGAACAGGGCGTCAGCATGGCTGTGAGGCTTTGCAGAGAGCATGGACAGCTCAGCGATCCGGATGCTCAGAAGCACTGGGTAAGATTGTTGAAGATCCTCATCCATCTCGTCCACGATGTCACAACCACAGGAGGCAAAATGGCAACACGATCGCAGTCGTTGGCCAAGTCATTTGTAGAAGACTCCCTTTCAGCGCTTGTCTCTTCGACGTCGGCCGATAGCATGCCTTTCGCAGACCTTTTTCGAAGGCTGTTGGAGGACGAGAAAGAGGAGAAAAGCCCTCGAGACAAAGATGGGCAGCCGACTACTCCTTCACGTTACTATGCCGAGGTCCGACCGATCATCAACGGGATGGTCGAGGCATATCGGCTTCGACAAGGCCTTTTGGGGATCACGAACCGTCTCTTTGACCGCGACGTCTTCTACGAAATGCAGAATCTAGCCACCAGGAGACGGCGAGGTTGGAGACCAGGTACTTTTGGTACGGGCACGCGATGTGAGGGCTGCCAGAGGCTCGTCTTTGGTTCCTCCACACAGTCCTCGTCGATGAGTGCTACGAGAAGGCCGGGGTTCAAGCGGGGTGCGAGCGTAAACGACATCTTCGTTGACGGCAGTGCTTCCTCAAAAGTAGCAGCGGCGGGAGCCCTGACGATGATGAATAGTAGAGACGGCAGCATCATCATTCCTTCGTTAGACGACTTGCCCAAAAGGACTCCTTCGCCGTTCCTGGAACCGGCCGTGAGCCCTCGTCCTGACAAGGGAAAGGGCGTTGAAAGGAGACCGTCTGCGCTATCCCTTGGATACGAGTCTGCGTGGGATCGCGACCAGCAGCAGGAGCAAGAAGGGTTGCAGTATGACAATGCTGATTTATCCGGCAGCAATAGCGGCGCAGCGCGGACGAAGAGGAAGCCGACGACTGACCCGTGCGAGAGCTTCACGGCACCGATGACACCCAGGCCAGTGTTTCCTGGCACTAATGACTGGAACTCGCTTACAAGGCCGAGCGAGGACTACTTTGGTAGCGCCTCAAACACTCCAGGGATTGGAATCGAAGGAGCGTCGGCTTCGCTCGCCTCTTCGTCGGACTGGTCACTCGATGCAGGGATGAAGGGCAAGGAAGACAGCGACGAGGGTGATCTCGACGATGAAGAAGAAGAGGGCGACGCGAAGGGTCAAATCGTCGTTCTTGTCAATGGCCAGGTCTGGCACAGGCGCTGCGCTCCACAATGGGTACTAGCTGGTGCTCCAGGCCCAGGTCAGACCCAAGGGCCGGGAAATTAATGCTGCCTTCCTCTCTGTTTTGTACCAAGCGCTCCTGCAACTCAGCTCTTGCAAATTAAATCGCAATGGTCATTCGATGCAGTTCCCGATGACAGGACTGAAAGGTGGGGTATGGACAAAAGAGAAGTAAGTGAGGAAGCTTAGAGATGACTCTTGAACCACCAGCTGGTCCTGCCGAGAGCCTCTTCGAATCCTTTACGAACCTGCTCATCGGCGAAGTTGGGCCTGCAGGCAAAGCCATGGAACGTGTTATCGAACACTTTAAAGTCGTGCGCGGGAGCGCTCTTCTCGTCGTCTAGGAACTTTTGCACCTGGCCGCGCAGCTTGGGCGTGAATTGCGTGTCCGTCTCTGCGCAATTAAAAAGGGTAGGCGACTTGAGTGTCTTGTACTGGTCGAAGCTCAGCAAAGAGGGATGGTTGAGCACGGAGGCGTTCGTCTTGGAGGTCGAATCTAGATGGACGCAGATGTTGGCGCCATAGCAGAAGCTGTGACATTATGCCTTCTTCCGTCAGCGAGGCTGCTTTGACCATGGTAGGGGAAGGGAAACTCACCCAATAGCGCCAATCTTCTCGGCGGACTTGTCCTTCCGCAGAGCCTCGATGAACTTTTCGGAGTTGGCATGCTTGCCAGTTGGCCAGTTGCGAGCGATCCCTGATGAAAAGCAGGAGCAAGCGGGTGAGGACCTTCGCTTAAAAGCGATTGGGGCAAGAGACACTCACAAGGGAGGACGGTAATTAGCTTGAGCCCTTCCGAAATCTTCGAGAAGTAGGACTGAGACTCGGCTTCCTTGGTCGACTGAGGCAACTTGATGTCTGCGCTGCTGAGAGGCTTGCCGTTGAAGAGCTGGCCACATTCTCATGATTTCAGCACGGCTAGTCTTGCTCGACGGGTCAGTTTAGGATCAGCTCACATCAGGAACGTAGACGGTGATGCCCGAGTCATCGGCGAGCAGATCGGCATAGATCTTGTTGTTAACCAGACCGAGCCCAAAGACGTCTGTAAAGGAGACAATGGCGTGCGTTTTGGCGTCTTCGCGAGGCTCCTTGGGCGTCGCGATGTAGGTCTCAAAAGGCCCGATCTTTTCGATTTTGCCGCGAGGCTCGCCGGGAATACGATCACCGGTCACACAGTGGACGCAGATCGGAGCTGACATGTCTGCGAATGGTTTCTTAGCTTTCTTGGGTTGAACTGAGAGAGGTACGATGGCGGAGGAGCAATGGTGGAAGAAGGGAAGGGGGAATTGGGCAACGCAGTATTGGACCGTGCTCCCCATGCTTTGCGTAAATGTTTCAGAGACTTGCACTCTCGGAAATAGTGTATGGGTTGAGCTGCCTTTCCTTCGGCTCGCCGTCTATGTCCGACGGATGGATAGCCTGCTTAGACGTGCCTGGCATCTACTCAGTCACAGACTCACACGAACACACGTGTGGTCTCTCACCGCGCTGTCGCTCGTCCTCCACACACTCCGAGCATCGCCGATCTTCCCAATCTCGACTCTGCAACTGCTGCTTCCCAGACCAACTCTTCGAAAAAAGGATGACTACGACAGAGAGCGGCAAGCGCCGCCGACTGGTGGGCGTGTCCACCAAGATGTACTTTGATCTGGCCAAGTCCAAGTCATACCTCGACGCCGTCCTTTCCTCCGTTCCCTCGCTCCTCGCCGAGCTGCGCGAGCCGACGGATGTCTTTGTCATTCCCGATTTTGTCAACATCATCCCTTACGCCGAGCGCATCGCTGCTGGCAAGGCGCCACTCTTGCTTGGTGCACAGGATGCCCACCACGACGATGGCGGAGCATACACCGGTGAAGTCTCACCCAAGGTGCTCGCCCAGGCCGGCGTAAAGATAGTCGAGATGGGCCATGCGGAGCGGCGCAGGCTGTTTGGCGAGACAGACGAATGGGTTGCCCAGAAGGCCCTTGGTGCAGCACGGAATGCCATGGTGCCCCTCATTTGCGTCGGCGAGGTCTCGCAAGGCGGCGGAGCGGAAAAGGCCGTCGAAGAATGCTGGACTCAGGTCTATCGAGTGTTTGAGAACCCAAACTTTCCAAAGGATGCCGAGGTCATCCTAGCCTACGAGCCCGTCTGGGCCATTGGAAAGAGCGAGCCAGCGAGCGCAGAACACGTTGTAGCCGTCACCAAGCTGCTGCGTCAAAAGGCCGCTGATTTGGGTCGGCCGGGCCTCGTGAGAATCCTCTATGGCGGCAGCGCTGGTCCCGGCCTATTTCAAAAGCTCGAGGAGGGCGTCGATGGTCTCTTCCTGGGAAGATTTGCGCACGATCCGAAGCAATTTGTAGAAACCATCACCGAAGTCGGCGGCGGTAGGAAGTAGTAGTACAAATAGCAGAGGCTCAAAGTGACAATAGATTAATACATGATTCGAGCATCGATGATGTGTCGCCCTGGCATTGCGGGGAGCGGTCTGGCCTCGCCGTCCTCCATGGCCTCCCGCAGGCGTTGATGGCCACTCCCAATCTCTTCATTCGCGCCTGCCCAGAGCAGACGGTCCTCCTCGACATCTGCCCACAATTCGTCTTCAACCCCCTGTTCTTCCTTCGTCACCGCTGCCTCCCCCTCATCGTCCTCGGCACTTGGCCCCAATCGCTCCTGATCCTGCGCGATTCTTCTTCTATGATTCCAGACTGACCGATGCCATCCTCTGACGAGCCTCATGGCATCCGAAACCGATTGCAGTCTGACGAAGAACGTCGAGAAGTAGGGGGACTCATCCGCCTCCTGAAGCTTGACAATAGCTCCTACTGTACTCGGTCCCCGCCCCTCCATCGATGCTTCCGTCTCCTCGACGTTATATCTTTGCAAATCAATCTCGATGCGGTCCGTTGCAAGCTGATAGTCGCGCGAAAGGATCCGGAAGAGCCGGTCGGCATCCATCGCACGGGGCAGGCCTTGGATCAAGACGACTCGACCGGGCGACTGGGACTGCAGTTCGTACAGGAGTGCCACCCTTGGTGATGTGGCTGGAGGTCTCTCGGCGATCTGCAAGGTGAGGGAAGAATCAGTGTCTTCACTCCAAAACCCCCTTCTTCCAGAGCTCACCCGTTGGGCTGAGATCTGCTGCCCGCCTAGCGACTTTCCATTGGCCAGTTTGGCAAAATTGTCGGCATGAGCAGGTCTCGAGAACGCAAAGAGGGCGCGACCTGAAGGCTTGAGCAGCTTCGTGCGGAGAAAGACAACTTCCGAGGGAAAGCGTTTGCTCATGCCGAAGGGCGTCAGCGCGTCCTGCAGACGGGCCACGTCCGACGGCGTCGTCGACAGCGGCAGCCTCTCGAGCAAGACCACATGGTCCAGTCTTCTATTGCTGTTTCGGAGCACTGGCGGTGGGCCTTGAGCCCACTGGCGTCGAAACGTGTGGGCCGCCCCTAAGGCGACTTTTCCCGTCGACGTTGACATGATCTTCGTGTGGACTAACCTCAGCGACACGAAGAGAGAAAAAAAGAATTAAACTTAGAACCAGGCATTCGATGTGCGCGGAGACTCTTAAACCTAAGGCAACATTTTGACGACTCGTCCTTGTTCGAAACAGGCTCAGACAAAGTTCTGTCTTTTTGAGAGAAATCCAGGTGCACAGAGACTTATAGTGTAAAGAATGAAGCATTTGATACAACACAGGGAAGTAGTGTGTGAGTGAGAGTGAGAGTTTGAGAGATTGTGTTAAAGAGAGAAGGAAAGAGAATCCTGAAGATGCTGCTGATGACCATTCGTTGGCTACATGGGAACGATTTAGCGGTAGTACCCTCCACGCGGCGGCGGTTGCTGTGGGCCGGGGTACCTTGGCTGCTGCTGCTGCTGCGGCTGCTGCTGCTGCTGAGGGGCTGGCGCGCCTCCGCCGTACATATCGGCGGCCGAGTAGGAGGCCGAGTGGCCCTGCGGGTGTTGCTGTTGTGTGTAGGCGTTGAACGATGTCTGAGAGCCGTTGCCTCGACCTTGGTGGCCGTAGAAGCGCTGGGCTTCTTGCTGTGGCGATTGGCGAACCGGTTGAGCCGCATTGTAGTACTGCTGCTGAAGCGAATTTTGGCTTGTCTGACGGGTGGGGCCGTAGGCACCCCGTGGTCCACCATTCGATCCAGCGCGAGGAGGGTATTGCTGAGGAGAAGCCGAAGCATTGCCCCCAAAATAGCCTCCAGCACTTCCAATGCTGATCTGGCTATCGTTTTGGTGATGGGTGATTGGCTGCTGATAGCCCAGATCCACGCCGGGTGATCTCCCGGGAGGGTATTCAAGACCGGGCGTGTTTGCCGGCGAGCCATACGTCTTATAGGTGCCCGCCGAGGCCTTGCGTCCATGGCCGCCGCTTCCAAAGACTGTCGTTGAGTCGCTCACCATGCTCAGTGGCTGCGCCTTTTCCAGCAGGTTCTCTTGGCTTCCCCGTGCCATCCCATTGAGCTCATACTCCTCGCCTGTGAAGCCCCGAGGTGGTTGTGCGGCACCACCAGCGAGATAAGCAGCGTATTGGTTCTGGAAGTCATATGTATTGTTCCTAGACGGTGGTCCCCGAGGCGTGCCCATCCCGCCGGACGAAAATGGCCCAGCCATTGTCGTGGCCGAAATAATCGATTGCATATCCGAGTCGTTCTTGGGGTCGTACTCGAGCTGGTCCTCCTCGATGGCTGCAATCTTGAGCCCGCCGGTGACTTCTTCCGTTTCGACCTTGCGACCGTCGATGTCCTGTACGCCAGCTTGCTCGAGCCTTCCGCGGTAGACCTGCGGCAAGAGGTGCTTGACACGAGCGTGAACCATGGGAGTGAAGAGGCGCTGGTGTAGCGATGGGTGACCGAAGCGTCTCTGCAATCGGTGGTGGCGGGCGTCGCCACCGTGGACCTTGGACGCCGACAGCTCTTCGGCACCTGGAATATACCAGTCGAACTTCTCGTCGAAGCGCTTTCGGCAGTAGATTTTGAAGGCGAGGACGAGGACGATTGGCGGTACTGAGCAAGCGATCTTGATGATTCGTGAGGTCAGATCGACTTGGTCGAGCGCCATGACAAAGATGACGATGAGCTGCATGAAGATGAGGCAAGCAAGAATCCGGTTGACGATGACACGCCAAAGCTTGCCGCCAGACTCGACCTTCGTAACAGAGACGTACATAAGCTGGTATTTGTAGGCGGCCAGCGAACCCCAGAAGGCGGCTGCGCAAAAGATCATGACGAGGGGTGAGAGGCAGCCGTAGATGACGGCAACGGCAAAGAGGAAGAGCAAGTTGCCGTAGTAGATGGCGTACTGGAAGTCCGGCGGCTTGGTGTACTCTCGCACGTCTCTCGGCGTCCTGCCTAGGAAGCCCTTTTGGAACCAGACGAGGAGCAGCTTGACTACTTGGGCCAAGTCGAACAAGGCTAGATATCCACGTAGGGGAATCCAGGTGAGCCAATAGTTACTCATGTTGAGGAACTGTTTCTTGACGACTCTGGTCTGGTCTCCAAGGGCATCAAAGACGTCGCTGGCGCTCGTGTGCGACTTGATGCGGTCAACGAGGGTGGCCACCGATGTAATGAGGACGCCGATGAGGGTGAAGACAATGAACTGAGACACGATGAGGAACGCGAAGTATTGTCCAGTGACGACCTTGTCCAGCTGCGTCCTCGTCCTCTCGCCTCTGTACTTTGCCAGCTTGCGCATCAGGATGGGCAAGAAGAAACCCATGATGCCCGAGATGGCAGGCGGAACTAGGGCGGCGACAGCCGCAAAGGTCCAGCCAGAGAGGTCTTGCCAAGTCTTGAGGAAAGACAGGACGTTGACGAAGGAAGCCATCTGCGAGATCAAGGCCACGCCAAGCAAGGGCACGGCGTTGACGAAGAGCAGCACAGAAAGGAGAACCCATCCCGTGACGCTCGTGCTGAATTTCTGGGCAGCAGTCTTCGTGAGGTTGCCCCACAGAATGTCCTTTGGTTCTGGCGCGAGCTCGATTGTGATTCCCCTCTGCTTCTTGTTCTTGAGAGCCTTGGCTGTCGCATGGGCGTAAGGCACAGCAGCCATTGAAGCGAATCCGTAGGACTGCGGCTTCTTCTCCGCAATTCTCTCCCTCCAAGTCTCGACAGCCGCCTCGATCTTGTTGATCTGATTCGTGTAGTGATCGATGGCATCGACCTTCTCGCCTCCAAACATGCCCAGAGACTTCCCAATACGTACCGTCGGCCTGTGAGCAGCAACCTTATTGGGGTCCTTGAGGTACTTGGCAAATACCCTTTCCAGCTTGCGAACGGTATCGTCGTGGGCTTCGATGAGATCGGGAAGCGATCCTACTTCGCGACCAATGTGAACCTCGGTCGTGGGGTAGGGCATGCCTGTAGAAGATAGCAAGGATGCCAAAGCTTGGTCCGACTGAAGAGGCCTGGGCACGCCCGTAAGCATCAGCGTCCTGGCGGCAAAGCTCGTCTGGTAGGCGTCGGATCGGAAAAAAGCCCATCGAAGGGCGACCATGCGCTTATAATTCCGGTAGACGAAATAGAGTGAGACGAGGCAGGCGACGTAGCTCATGATGACATGGGCCCACAACGGCGAGCCCGAGATCTGCGAAAGATTGAGATAACTCAGCGCAGAGCTCTTTGAGCTGCCATCAGTGTCGGTATTGTTGTTGTGCAAGTTGACCACGATATCGACAGGGAAAAGCACAGCGGCCAGTGCGATGCCGAGGATCGTTGTGATCCAGCAGCACATGCGAATGAAGCGGAGAAAGGTGATGGCATCGAGGCCCATCAATGGCAGCAATTCCTCCTCTTTTGCCCTCCATACCGGTGCGATCCAGCCTAAGAACGAGTAGCTTATCTGTTGTTGAAAGGTAATCAGCTACCCTTCAAACGCATGTGCGGGAAATGCATGCACTTACTCTTGGTGGTTCAGCTTTGCCTGCTTCGTGATACTTTCTTCTCGGCTCGTAGACGATCTTCGAGAGATATTGAATAAGGCGGCGGCACTTAGCAATCGTTGTGATGCTTGCTGTGAGAAAAGGGGGACTCACTTTATTGTTCGGTCTCAGGATCTCAAAGCCAATAAGGGTGACTGCACCGAGAGCAGCGAAGACGCCCACGGCGATTCCCACTTTGGTGGCATCGGCGCTCGACGAAGCTTTCTGTTTTCGTTTCCATCCCGCTTTAGCCCAGAGGCACTAACCGCTCAGGTTTGCAGATCAGCGATACTCACCAATGCGTCAGCGACGAGCGTCTCTGGGTCCTGGTTGTTCGACATTTTGATACAGTGATAGCCCTTGCTCCCCCTTTACTTCACACACCGCTGCCTTCTCGTTGCTGAATTTGCTAAACTTGCTGTCGTCGCTTTGACGTTGAAAGCCGAGATCGGTCCAGCCGTCCGGAGTCGAGATGAGTCTAGAAGAAGTAGCGATTGTCTCGGTAACGTGCAAAGGATGTGCGAAAGTCCTTCTCTTTAGATTGCAGAGGACCAGGGCGACTGTTGGATCGACTCAGTCCGGATGAGCAGAGTGCGCGCGCGATCGGTTCCCTTTGTCTTCTATTTGGTTCCTCGCCCTTTTCGTTTGTCGAGACTGGCCGAGATGCGATATAGGGGCTGAGTATCCAGGCGAAAAATGACAGAAAGCCGGGCTGCACAAAGGGAGTTGGGAGCGAATATGGCCAAGTCGCAATCTCCTGGGCGTCACCGCGCGGTAGGCCGCTTTCTTCTTTATCCTTTTGTGAATGTCGACCTTTATTTCAGTTTTACCCTTTTATCAAAGCAGATCGATTTCCTGCGCTTCGGCTCTTGCCCAGACACCGCGATGAGGGCGGTAGATACGAGCCTAAAGGAGGGCAGAGAGTAGCGAAGACGGTGGTGATAGCGAGGAGGCAAGGAAGATGAAAGAAGGCAGCCAGCCAGCTAGTCGAACTTTCGGGTATGATCGATGGCGACTGCACGTCGACAGGGGTGGCTTCCCGTCTAAAAATGGGGACCGTATCGCTGGAGGAGGGTGGACAGCAAAATTTAGGCCTTAAATTTGATATTTGCCCTGCCTTGCCCCTTTCAAATCTTCTAATCCTGCGAGATATCGATACAAAATGCCCTGCACGGTGACTTATTGCTCTCGATCCAAACTCTGAATTTCTGCTCTCTTGGTCATGAGCCCTCGAGATTCTCGCCCCAGCCTTGGACTCTTTCGTCTTCTTCCTTCCCGCTAACGCTCGTGGAGAACCACGAAGCATAACAAAAAAGGTCTAAAGACCAAACGTCACGGAACTCCGTGTGGCGCGTACACGTCGGAATCTCACGTGAGGGTGTCCGTGCAGACCCTCATTCTTATTCTTCTACCTGGTCACCAAATACCGTACTCGAAGTAAACGTTCCTCCCGACCCCTTGCTACGTGCTTTAAGGTCGATGTACAACATTCGGAATGGATCCATTCGAGGACGCCGAGCGGGTCTTTGAGCCTCCGAATACGGCTCGCTGGGCGGAGAAGAGCCCTGGCAAAGATACGGCGGGCACAAGCAAGGCGGCGGCAAGGGCGGGGCTGAGGCGGTCGGGGCCGAGAGACAGCGTCTTCGTCAAAGAACCTCGAGCAAGCAAAGAAGCGGCATTGCAGTGGTTCTGTGAAAGCTCCATGCCACTCTCAGCAGGAGTGGGGGGTAAAAGGAAGGCAATGCCAATCGAGCTGGACGAGGAAGAAGACGAAGATGAAGGCGACAGCGGCTTGAACCACCGGTCAAGCTCAGATGATGATGACGACAGGGCGATGTCTTCGTCTCTTCAAATACCAGACTCTGTGAGTAGCTTCGCTACTCATTCAACGCAACACGCGTGAGAGCTGAAGACAGAACAGTCTTTCCTCGAAACAATTCACTATCTTGCTGCTCAACAATATGCTTCGAGGTCGGACGACCGGTTCGAGAAACACCAAAGCAGTTCTCTCGTTGCGTTGGGCGTATTTCTCGAGGAATTCACGGCATATCACCTTGCTGGGTCTCCTCCTGCAGCTGTGGCTAGCAACAAAGGGACTGAAGAGGCCCTGAAGGAGATCGAGGGCCAAATCAAAAAGGATCTTCAAAGGCTCAGGCAAACCAGAACCTTTTTCTTGCCTCGACCTAACAGGTCGCACAGAAAAGGGACGAGGTATGGCGATAGACATTGGAGGACGGAGGCAACGAAGCGCAAATATGCCCTGCCAACATTGTTGCTCGATTCCGCTTCAGATGAGGGTCAAGAGGCCGACGGCGTGTCGCAGACCGTTGAAGGAGAGGATCGCATCAGTGAGAAAAGAGACAGTGGCGGTGATGCCGAGGGCACAGAAAGAGAGAAGTTTGACGATGGCTCTCAAGAAAGCGAAGAGAGCGCGGAAGATGTGTAGCATTCTGTACAATATAAACTTGTCGTACTGTAGAACCTAGTGCTTTACATGTGATGTAACTTATCTGGTATGTGAGTCGCCTCGAGTGCTGCCTTCCCATTCACTCCTTGTTCAACCTGCCGCTACCGGAGCCGACGGCGGAGCTGCCAATTTTGCTCCAAAAGTCGTCGTACGTCGAACTTCCGTTGATCCTTGGTGCATTTGCACTGCTTTCGACAGGGCTCATTTTATTGGCCGCTCTATAATCATTGTGTCTGGAAGAGGGGAGAGCACCGTTGGATGCTGGCGGTGTCATGAGACCTCCAAAGACGTCTGCTGCGACTGGCTCAGCTGGCTTCTTCGCCATGCTTGCCGTGGAGATCACAGCACCCAGGCTTCCTGCACCTGCCCCTGCTGGGCCACCTGCACTGAAGGAGGGTCGGTTGGGAGCAAGAGGGGTCTTGGGAGGAGCGGCCGCGGTCGAGGACGAGCCAGGAGCGCTCAGCTTCCTCGCAGGTGCCGGCGAAGGACCCGAGGATATGCTGCGCTTGTGCCGATAGTACAGATTTTCGACTTCGGAGTGCGTCTGATTGGACTGCATGGGGCAACCAATTGGTCAGTCTTGTGTAGTGAAGCAGGGGCACCGACAGACAACGCACCCATCCGTGCTCGACCTTGAACATGCCATACTGTAGCCGAGTTGCGAGTTGCTTCGAGAGCTGGTACAAGCGAGAATTTAATGAGCTTTGTGGTTTCTCGCACTTCATACACGCAACCCACCGCAAGTATCCTTGCACGGTGTGCTGCTTGCTGTCTCTTAGTCATACTGCTGGTCTTGTGACCATGGCCGGCCTTTGAGGAAGACGCAACATTCGACGACGAAGGAGCCGTGTAGGGCCCCGGCTCGGCTGTTGTGGCAGCGTAGGTCGAGGACAGCTGCTCATGGCTGCTGGGGCCGGATGCGCTGCCGCTTCCACTACTCTGCTGAGCGTACGACATCGACGTGATGTGGCGTCTCACTGCGAGAGAGGAAAGAGCTTGTAGTTCGGGGCGGCGGCGACGGCGGCGGCTGCAACGAGACGAAAACAAGGTCAAGGCGCGTCGGAAAGTCACGTGTCTAACAGTTGTTCTTCGCACGGTTCTTCAAAGCTCGAGCGCGCAAGACATTAGAGTTCAGAAGACGAGCGGGTTCACATCATTTCATTTCGTTTCTTCGTCGTGATGACATTTGCTTTTGCGGGATTGGGGGGGAGAGTAGGCCCGAGCACAGCTGCCCTTGGTGAGGCGCGGCTCAAGGGTCTTGATGTTCTTTTAGAGGGGAAAGTAATTAGACGCCAAAGGCCGAAGAGAGGAGGTTGAACATGGGCGAGCCCTGGCCCGAGGAGGCGTCCCAGCCCGAGCGAGCGGGGAAGCCAGCGCTCGAACTGCCGCAGCCATACGAGCCACCGCTGGTGATGTCGTTGAGCATCGTCTTGTAAAGGCTGGGCTGGGCCCAACCGATGAGGCCCGAGCCGGCCTTGGTGCGCTTGTCGTTGACGAGGGCAAGGAACGAGGACACGAGGGGAGCCGAGGCCGAGGTGCCGCCAACGGTGGCGCTCCTTCCGTTGTAAATAATGCGGTACTTGGAACCCTGAGCGGCCAAATCGGGGAACACTCGTCCCTTGGTGTTGTAGTTGCCGCCCATCGTTCCAATGGCGCTCTCGTAAGATGCAACCTGGCTAGACTGGTACGAGGGAATAGCAAAGATGTTGGACGCAGCAGCACCCGAGTAGAAGCCAGCCAGGCTCGTGTCGACCATGACCTCGGGTGAGAAGGCTTGAGTGGCACCAACGCTAAGAATGTAAGGGCAGCCGCCGGGGTAAGTGGGGACGAAAGGAGCTGCATGAAAGAAAGCTCGTCAGCTGCAGTGATTTCAAAGGCGACCTCGAGGAGCCATACTCACGGCAAGTGTCGCCATCCTGGCCACCGACACCGTTGTCTCCCGAAGAGACGACGATGGTCGTACCGAGCGAGGTGAGCTTCTGAGCAGCGGTGCACATCGACTGAGCCTGGCTCGAAGTGAACTCGCTCTCGTCAGATCCGTACGAAATGGAGATGACCTTTGGCCGGTTGGTCGAGTCGAAGTTGTTGATGAGGTCGTTGAAGGTGAGGAGGAAGATGTCGCCTGCCGTCTGGCTGTTGCCCTCAGCAATAAAGTTGCTCGTCAGAGGGTAGGTCTGCGAGACGACGGTCTCAACGTCAAGCATGGCCTCGACTCCGGCGTTGCTCTGGTCGTTGGTGGCGCCGTTGCGGAGGACAATGGGAATCTTGTACGAGGCGGCGTTCGACGAGTAAGACTTGAGGAAGTTGGTGAGGTCGGTTTGCTGGAGATCAGGCAAAAAGTCAGTAAAGAAAAAACTTGGACAGCTCGGATGAGGCGCTAGAATACACACCGAGACGTATTGGTCAATGTAACCCATGACTCCAACGTCGGGCCGAGAAGAGCCGGTCGAGGGAGAGTAGCTGGACCTGCCGTAGTAGTCCTTGAGGCACTGAGGCGTGACAGCCGAGGTGCTGCATGACGAGGGCGTAGCACGGCTCTCGAGGAGCTCCACGCTCTCCTGGAAGGCGCGTTCGGCGACTGTCGAGTTGAAGTGGTCGTCTTCGATGACAGCCGTCATGTGACGCACCGAGCCGAAGTTAACCAGGGGGAAAACGTCGCTGACAGCAGCAGCAATCTCCTGGGGGATGGTGAACGACTTTGTCCTTGCGGTTGTGACACCGTTGACGTTGAACTTCTGGAATTGAGCGGCAAACAGCTTGGCCGTCTGCGCAACCGTCGTCTTGACCGTGAGCTGGTCGCCGAACTTGGACGCGGTGATGGCATCATCGGCGATACCTTGAGCCTTGAGATAGCTCTTGACGACATTGGTCGTCTCGTCCGAGGGGCGCGCGTACTGAGCGAGCTCGTCGTCGGTGAGCCACTGTCCATTCGTGGCAGCGATCTGGTTCATGCGCTCCGTAAGGCCGTCCATGTTGGCGCTGGAGAGGGCCATCGTGAACTCAAAGGCGTCGGTATCGATGGCGTTGCCGATCTCCTGCCAGATCTGGGGAATGATCGATGGAGCGCTCTTGACGACGGATCCATCAGCGCGACGAACGGTGTTTGGCGTTGGGTAGGCCAGAGCGGAGCCGGCAAAGGCAATGGCGAGAGTTACGCTCGCCAAGAGCTTCTTTGCACCGAACATGGTGATGAGACTTGGAAATGAAAGTCAGGGAGGGGGAAGTGTGGATAGGGGAGACCAAGGGAGATGTACTGGAGAGGAGGGAGGATGAGTGTTGGTCTCGTCTCGGATTGCTCCTCCAGCCCCTTTTTATGCCTTTCTGGAGAGGATGCTTATCGTGGCGATCGTCCCTGGAGGACCACATGACGCTGACCTATAGCTGCCAAGTCTGAGCTAGTACAAACAGAAACGGAGCCTGTCAATGAACAACTTCCGCAGACCCGTGCCTCCCAGAAGCAACCCTGGGTCACTCTTGCGGCGGCTCGGTCGTCCGGCCGGTATCTCCAACGTGTCTCGCTCACGAACACTAGCGTCGCTTCACCGCACATTAATTGACCCAATTTTTTCCTCTTCCCAGTTGATCCCTTTTAGACTAGGTTAAGAACTCAATCCCTGCTTACGCTCAGAAAGGAAGGTTTGTCCGAGATAGCGTGCCTTCTTCTAGATGACAATTACCGAGCGAGTTGGCCGGGGGCTACATGGAAGCGAAAAGGGTTCGATACACACTCCGACTGACTCCCTTCTTCCCATCGAATGTGGATGCAGCGCAGGGCATTCTAGGACAGGTCTGCAGTGAGATGGCGCCTCAGGGGAGTTTGAAATTCTTTTCTTCAGGCATCATGGAAGGTTAAGTAGAAGACAGCCTGTTGTATGCCCTTTTGCAGCCAAAGGCGCTAAGGTGGGACTGCGTGGACGCCCGCGTCTCGCCATCCCAGAAGGGCAGGACAACAGAACCCACACAAAATGATACATCAACTTGCTTGGGAGATAACGGCCAAAGCCTGCCTTGCAGCGGACGAGCGGCGAAAGAGCCGCGTAATTTGCTGGCGTGTCTGTGACACCTGCGAGCGCTAGCGTGATGCGTCATTATCAATCCGCTTCTACCTTCGGTCCGCTGGACCGCGTGGTCGATTCTATCCCCCGGAATAACAACAATTGATCATCGTACGCAACAAGATCCTTGTGCGCCTTAATTGTGTGTCTCCGGGTGTATCCTCGCTTTTACGGCACCGACGGACGTGCGGCCGTCGCTATCATCATACACCGCCCTTGCCCTTGCTTCCTCGATGGTGCAAGACAGCGTTGTCCCCTCTCTCTCTTTCTGCACGCAGCAACCCCACTCCTACACTAGAGATCCGCCCGCCAACTCAAGGTTATCCTTCAGATTCCATACCTTTTCCCATGCCAATCTCGTCATTAAGGTGGGAAAGGGCTGTGTCCACGGGCCACTGTCCGAGAAGATCTCTTAGAAGATCGCATTTATAACTCAGGAACTGAACCTTTCCCCAATTCCTGTCCCTTATCGTAGAGTGTGTAGAGTGAGGCCAATTTGTCAACGCGAGACCGTGGGTGGTCAATTAACCGTCTTCTTCTAGCGCACTTCTCTCTCGACCTGGAAATCGGAACCTTTTTTTTTCTTCTTTCCGCGGGCGTCACTTCAGGGAAGGAGCTTCTGCACGCATAGAGAACCGGAAGGTGCTCCGAGCAAGGCAAACGAAGTTCGGATAATCACATGAACAAGCAAGACCGGTCGAAGTCTAGACCTCGAGGAACTCAAAGTGCGGCCCCTTTGAGACCATCGATAAGGCGCGAGGGGCGGCCGAAGACCTTTCTGCTGTGAGGCACCACGAAGGTATCAGCAAGCATTCAATCGGTGGCAAGCGCCACGCTTAAAGCGCGGACGTCTTCGCGGATGTCCGGGCTCACGGATGCGTAGTCCGTCCACTGCTTCATGAATCCGAGGCAAGACGCTAGCAGTTAAGCCACCTTCCTGAACAGTCGCGTAGAATGGAAGCTGTCCCCGGGAGTGGGGGAGGTGGATACAAGGAAAGCAACCTCGCCCCGTCGATTCCGCGAAAAGCTCAAGCAGTTCGCTTTGAAAGTTGCGGGCATAGGGCCCACGTGCACAGCGTTCAGTTTGGTCAAGCCTTATCCGGCCTGGGTCATATTCGGCTTGGGTCTCGTGGGGTGCCAGTGGTGGCAGCGCTTGGCCTTTGAGGAAATTTAAAGAAACGTGGGGCATCGGAGGTGTCTTCTCCGCTCTCAGAGGCATGAGCTGGCTCAGGGCAGTCAGCTTCAGTATAGCGAATGTGGCCACAGCTGTTGCAAGCTAGGCGAGGATATTCCTCAAAGTTGTGTCGAACAATCAAGACCGTGGAGTGGGCGAACAGAACCCCCGGAGCTCTGGATGGGTAGAAGCAGGCGTCAATGGCCGTAAGCTCGGAGCCGCAGCATTTCTGGCAGAGCGCGCCAGTACTCGTTCCAGACCCCTCGGAGCTTGGACAAGCCAATCGTGAGACGAGAAACATCGCGATGGCTGCCCTTGACTTCCTTACGGCGAACGGAAGGAAATCTGTTTCGGCTGTTTTTTGTTTTTGTTTTTGTTTCTGAGAGGTATCTTTGAATTCTGCATGTTTCGGCCGAAAAAATAAGAGGATGACGGGGCTCGAACCCGCAACGTTCGAGGTTTTGAAATATTTCAAAGAACAAAAATCCTACTTAGAAAGTAGAAACTCGATACGCTACCATTGCGCCACATCCCCATGGTTCTACGCTACGGTGAGGGGTCTGTATATAATCCTTCCAAGTCTCCCCGTATTTCTCCCTTCAAAATCTCATCTTCTGATGCATCAGCGCACGCACCCCTTCCCTCCCCACAGTTCTGCGGCGGAACATTTGGATCATCATTCTTCTTTCCTTCCTGAGAGCCACTTTATTTACTATCACTTGCTAGCTACGGATCACACGACTCGAAACAAGATATATAAGGTGCCAGAGATTGCGGTCGCCGATCACTCGTGCTTGATTTCCATCAAGAGGTCGCCCTGGCTCACCGAGTCGTTTGCGGCGACGACGATGCGCTCGACCTTGCCCGAGACGGGTGCACTGACGACAGTGTCCATCTTCATGGCGCTCATGACGACGAGGGGGTCGCCGGCCTTGACGTTGCCACCCTCTTGCACCCTCACCTCGACGCAGACGCCCGAGAGCGGGGAGCCCACCGAGCCGGGGTCGGCCGACGCCTTTTCCCTTCGCTCGGTGCCGACCGAGGCCTTGCGGTCGTCCACGACGATGGACCTGGGCTCCGAGTTGAGCTCAAAGTAGACCTCGCGCTGCGCCGTCTCGGACAAGACACCGACGGCAAGCAGTCGGACGATGAGGAGCTTTCCGCGCTCAATGTAGGCGTGGATCTCTTCGCCCTCCCTTGGCTTGCCCAGGAAGTAGCGTGTGGGCAGGTTCGACAGGTCGCCATACTGCTCGATAAAGTCCTGGAACTGCTCAAAGACCTTGGGGTAAAGGGCCCACGAGATAGCATCCGTCGTCGAGAAGTTGCGGTTGTAGCGCTTGGCCAGGTCCTTCTTGATCTTGACGAAGTCTGCGGGCTCGAGATCGGCGCCTGGCCGGCCCTCAACCTTCTTGCGGCCGCGGAGCAGCTTGTCGCGGAACTCAGGGAAGCCGCCAGGGGGCACACCCAGTCTGCCCTGGAAGTACTCGTAGACGGACTCAGGCAGGTCGAGCTTGTCAACCTTGTCGACAAAGTCCTTCGGGCTCATCTCGTTGGCCACGAGGAACTGGGCAAGGTCACCGCAGACCTTGGACGAAGGCGTGACCTTGACAATGTCGCCGAGGAGCTGGTTGGCGTGGATGTAGGCATCCTTGATCTGGTTCCACTGCTCGCCCAGGCCATTTGCCTCGCACTGCATGCGCAGGTTCGTGTACTGGCCACCCGGCATCTCGTGGTCAAAGACCGAAGAGTCGGATGCCCGGAGGTTGGCCTCGAAGCACGAGTAGAGGTTGCGAACTTGGGTCCAGTACAGGTTGAGGTTCTGGATGTCTTCGTGTCGGATACCGGGACCGAGGCCAGTCTGCTCAAGGGCGCTGACGAGGGCGCCCATGGAGGGCTGCGAAGTGAGACCAGACATCGAGTCGATGGCGACATCGACGACGTCAGCACCAGCCTCGGCACAGGCCAGCATGCTCGACAGTGCAATGCCGGCAGTGTCGTGCGAGTGGACATGGATGACCAGGTCGGGGTACTTTTTACGGATGCCGCCGACGAGGAGCCTGGCCGCGGCGGGCTTCAGCAGACCAGCCATGTCCTTGATGCCGAGAATGTGGATGCCCATCTTGACGAGCTCATCGGTGAGGTTGAGGTAGTAGTCGAGAGTGTACTTGGGGTGTTTCTTGGGGTTGGCGACGTCGCCCGTGTAGCACAGCGTTCCTTCGACGACACCGCCGGCCTTCTTGGCAGCGTCGATACCAAGACGAAGCGAGTCAATGGCGTTGAGCGAGTCAAAGACTCGGAAGATGTCGAGACCGTTCTCGACGGCCTTCTTGGAGAACTCGTAGATGACGTTGTCTGGGTAGGACGTGTAGCCGACTGCGTTGGCACCACGGACGAGGGCCTGGAAGGGAATGTTGGGGACGAGCTTCCTGAGCTTGCGGAGGCGTTCCCAGGGGTCCTCGTACAGGAAGCGCATGGCCACATCAAAGGTAGCACCGCCCCAGCACTCGAGCGAGAAGGCATTCTTGAGCACGTGCGACGTCTCCTTTGCAATGTTGACCATGTCAATCGTGCGCAGCCGGGTGGCGAACAGGCTCTGGTGGGCATCACGCCAGGTGGTGTCCATGATGAGGGTGCCCTTGTATGCGCGGACAGCCTTGGCAAAGGCCTCGGGGCCTTCGTTGACGATGATGTTTCGCCATCCTTCCTGGCAAGGGTGGCTGGTGTCCAGGGGCTTTGATGGATCCTTTGGATCGGTAAAGGCAGGGATCTGGATCTCGTCCTTGAGGCCCGGTTCGCCATCCTGACCAGCGATGGAGCTGCCATTGACGGCCATGTCTCCAATGTATGCCAGCAGCTTCTGAGCACGGTTCTTGGAGGGGACCAGCTTGAAGAGCTCGGGCGTGTCGTCGATCATCGTCGTCCAGGTCCTGGCCTCAGCAAAGGCTTCGTGGGTCAAGAGACGGAACAGGAAGGGGATGTTGGTCTTGACGCCACGGATACGGAACTCGACGAGAGCCCGAAGCATCTTGCGGCGAGCCACCTCGTAGGTTGCACCACGGCAGGTGACTTTGACGAGCAGCGAGTCGTAGTGAGGCGTGATCTGGGCACCAGCAAAGCCGGAACCGGCGTCGAGACGAACACCGTTACCACCAGCCGAACGGTAGACCTCGATCCTGCCCGTGTCCGGGGCAAAGTTCAGCGCTGGGTCTTCAGTCGTGATACGGCACTGGATGGCAGCACCGCGCTTCTGGATCGTCTGCTGCGACAGGCCAAGGTCCTCGAGGGTGGCACCGGCGGCAATCTGAATCTGGGCGCCGACAATGTCGATGCCGGTAATCTCCTCGGTGATGGTGTGCTCGACCTGCAACCGAGGGTTGATCTCGATGAAGTAGTGACGGCCCTGCTGGTCAACGAGGAACTCGCACGTTCCTGCGTTACGATAGTTTGCCGTCTTTGCCAGCTTGACGGCATCGTTGAGGATGTTCTGGCGCGTCTCGTCGGGCAAGTTGCTGGCGGGCGCCACCTCGACGACCTTCTGGTGGCGACGCTGGACCGAGCAGTCACGTTCAAACAGATGGACGACGTTGCCCTGGCCATCGGCGAGAATCTGGACCTCGATGTGCTTTGGCCGGTCAAGGAAGCGCTCGATAAAGACGGTTGGGTCACCAAATGCGTTTTGGGCCTCGGACTTCGCGCGAGCAAAAGACTCTTCAAACTCTTCCTGGTTTCGCACCACACGCATACCGCGGCCACCACCTCCCATGGCGGCCTTGATGATGACGGGGAAGCCGACTTCCTCGACAAAGCCGGCCGCATCGGTGTACTTTTCAATCGGGCCCGGCGTACCAGGCACGATAGACACACCGGCCTTCTTGGCCAAGTCTCTGGCCTTTGTCTTGTCTCCCAAGCCATCGATTGTCTCGGGCCGGGGTCCAATGAAGGCGATGCCGGCTTCTTCCACAGCTTTTGCAAACTCTGGATTCTCCGACAGGAAGCCGTAACCCGGGTGGATCATGTCGACGCCGTGGTCGACGGCCAGCTGAACAATCTCGGGAATGTTGAGGTAGGCCTGGATCGGGTTGAGGCCTTTGCCAACCTGGTAGGCCTCGTCGGCCTTGTACCTGTGCGCCGTCATGCGGTCCTCGAAGCTGTAGATCGAGACGGTCGTCATGGCCAGCTCGTGCTGTGGAGACGTAAGTTGTTAGCTTCTTTCCTGTAAATCAATCGTATCGCAAGTGGGCCTGCTCACAGCTGTGCGGAAGATACGAATGGCGATTTCCTATGGGATGGAGAAGAAAGACTTCAGAAGAACATCAAGATGGTGTACTTGGACGGTCGTACTCACACCTCGGTTGGCAACCATGAGCTTCTTGAGCTGGCCATCGTTGGAGGCTTCGCCATGCATGCCACGCCTGATGCGGTTAATCGTCGGGGGAAGCCCATGGGCGGTATGGGTGCCCGGGGTGCCGGGAGTGCTGTCAAAGCTCGGGTCGACGAAGACGCTCTTCGACGTGCCCTTTGGGGCTTGTGCCGTCTCTGGCTCGAGGGGTGGCATCCTTTCCTTTCGTCTTCTCTATCAGGGGAGAACGGAAATACTAATAGGAGAGGGTTGCGCTGTCTGGAGGAGGAGTGGAGGAGGAAAGAGGTTGGGGGGGATGGAGATGAGCCACAGTGTCGGGTGGGAAGAGGAAGATGGAGGTCTGTGTCCTGGGCTCGCGCCCGAAAAGGCCGTGCATTTCCAAATCGCGCTCTTTGCTTCGCCCGGACGAATCTCTCGGTTACTACCGTACTACTACTACTACTGACTAGCAGCTGACTCTTTAGACTGCTGCCCAAAACAGCCACGCTATTACTTTATATCCTCCCGCATTTCCCTATTTGTCTTCCCTATTTTTAAATTGGCATCCTTTTCACAATCCGTTGTCCTTTTCCTGGCTCCCCCCCAAGACAACTTGATGACTTGGTGGAGTTCAGCCGTGAAAATGATCTCGCCGGCCAAGAATCCAAACGAGGGGCCTCTGAACGGACACTTTTCCATCCGGCGAAGATCGACCCATTCATGCTTTGGCCATGATCCGGGAATGGAAAAAGATGGGGAAGACCAAGGGAGGCGCGGTGCGCGCGTGACCCGGACCCGGTACTCGCCCGACCTCTGAGCCGGCATCGCCCCGGCGTGTGTGGTTGTGTAGCACTTCCGTCCAACAACAGCTCCACAACCGGAATTGAGAATAGAAACGCGCAAGTACCTAGCCTCACTACTAGCGCGTCGCCTCGATCTGGAAGACCCCTCACCCACCACACACACAACCCCCGTCTTCATCCGATGCCATGCGCCAGAGCAAGCCACCAACTCACCTATACCGGTGCCAAAAAGGGGGAAGGGTTGAGCGAGCGAGCGAGAGAAAGACGTGCTGAGCGATGCCTTTCTCTCGTGAGTGGAGTGGAGAAGAAGGTGAAGAAGAAGAGAACAAGGATGCACAAGAGAAGCGGAAAGATGGGTTCCCAGATAAGGAGCATTTTCTTCTTCTTGGCCTGTCATACACAACAATGATATCTGGATTGCATATTTCTCTTCTTTTTTGTGTGTCTACAGATCGACCGCGCTCGATAAGGCCTTATCTACGACACGACTGGCTGGAAGAAAAAAAAAAAGCGCGCGACGATCGTGGGCATCATAATTGGGAGAAAGGCTGACGTAGAGGTGGGTAGAGAATGAGACGAACTAGAAACGGACGGATTGAATACAAAGTGTCTACGACGGTGGAGCGATGGACCGGGGGAGGGGGTAAAGAAGAGAAGAAAAAGAAGAAGTTAACGACGGGGCAATGCTACCGTCTTCGTCGCTTGGAACCGCTCTTGCGAATGTTGATGAGGTCGGCCTCGATCTCAAAGTCGCGCGCGCTCGTCAACTGGCCCACGCTCTTGCCCTGATCCCACCGAAGGCGGCCTGCGCCGCTGGTTACTGCAGCGGCAGCGGCAGCAGCAGCAGCCGAAGCGGCCGCAGATGCAGCAGCGCGTGAAGTGCCGTCGTCGTCGCCACCGTCGCCGTCAGCGCCCGAGCCAGAGGCTGTGTTGACGGCGGCGGCAGCAGCGGCAGCAGCAGCTGCCGATGTCTTTGCGGCCTTTTTCTTGTTTTTGTTCTGCTGGTGCATCAGCTGGCCGCGGAGACCAGACATGTACGAGCTGTCGCCCATGCCTCCACCGACACCAGCGAGGTGGAGCATGCCCGCGCCGGGACCGGCAATGTCAAAGTTGGAAGGCGGCAGGGATGCGATGCCCGCTGATGGACCCGCTCCAAAGGCAAAGCCCGACAGCTCCGCAAGGGAGCCAGCGAGGCCGTTGCTCTGCCCCGCGTCTGCGCCTCCGCCCCGGCTGTTGGGCGTCGTGGTGCCGTCGGCGCTCGATGCACCCGCGAGCATGAGTCCGAGCGAGGAGCCAGGGCTATCGCGGTGGGTAATACCAGCGCGCGCGGCCATCGAAAGTGGCCCCGCCGCGTCCTGTTCGTTGCCGGTGTCTCCGCCACTGCCGCCAGCTGCACCTCCGCCCACCCCGCCGCCGCCGCCGCCGCGTCTGGATGATGCTGCAGTGCCCTTGTTCCTGAGTTTCCGCGTAGCATGGGGTCGATTCGAAGCGTCCAAGAATGTGTCTGATTCGAAAGGGAAAACAAAGGACGCAAATCAGCGTCATCCTTCTCTCTTTCTAAGAGCTGGAGAGGTGCGCCTGCATCTAGACTACTCACCGGCCAGACTGCCTTCGCCGCCCTCCTTTTCTTCGCGCAGCCGAGTCCGCCGCTCGTGCACGGCGGCGAGGAGCCTCTCGCGGACGGCCTTCTTGGCGCTCTTGGCCTCGTCCTCGACCTTTTGGCGTTCCTGCTCGTAGGCGCTCCGTGCGCTCTCGACCTGGTGCGCGTGGAGGAGGGCCGACTGGCGAAGCTGGGCGTCGCGCTCGAGAGTGAGCCGCGTCAGGGCGAGGAGATAGCTGCGGGAGAGCGAGGGCGAGAGGAGGAGCACCGACGAGTTGTGGGCAAAGACGTGTTGCATGTCGTTGTACAAACTGTGGAATAAGACTTGTCAGTCAGTGGCCTGCTGCCTGCCCGAAAGAGGTGGGAGAAGAGGGCGCTCCTACCAGCCCTAAATGCGTGCGAGACTCACATGTCCCTGTTCTCCATAGTGTCCCAGTGGACCCGGTGTATGCGGTCGACGACCTCCTTGCGCTTCTTGACCTTTTTGCTCTCCTGCAGTGGCTCGTCGAGGGCCGCCTGGGCCGCCTTCTCGGCCGCGGCAGCCGCCTTTGCGCTCGCCTGGGCCTGGGCAGAGGGGCCGGCGGCCTGCTTGTCGTTGGTGCGCTTCTTGGCAACCGTGGCGCCGCCCCGGGCCGAGGTGGAAGCTTGGTCGCGATCCTTTGCCGTGCTGCGCTTGTAGCCTGGCGCGGCGCCCTGGCCGGGGTGGGGGCCCAGTGGAGGGGCCTGTGGTGGCAGCGAAGCGGGGTGGGTGGGAGCGTATGCGCCTGTCCCGGCAGCCCCTGCACCTCCTGCACCTCCTCCTCCACCACCACCACCACCTCCCCCTCCCCCTCCTCCTCCCCGGCGAGGAGCAGCCTGGTGCGGTTGTGCGGCGTAGTCACGGGGATGGGAGGGTGCGTAGTTAGCCGGGTGCTGGAGCTGATGTTGTGACTGCGGCTGCTGCTGTTGCTGCTGCTGTTGGTGATGATGTGCGTGGATGGACTGCGAAGATGCTGCTGGGCCGTGGCCTAGAGGGCCAGGTCCAAAGCCACCACTGGGATGGGCAGCGGCTAGCTGTGCTTCGTAGCGCTGCTGCTCTGCGATACCATTGGCAACAAGCTGCTGCTGCTGCTGCTGCTGCTGCTGTTGGACGGCCCCGCTGTTGGGCGGGGGCTGGTAGGGCGGATAGGGAGCAGAGCCCGAAGCGTAGTGGTGGCTGGGCACCGACCCAGCATGCATGTGGTAGGGAGCATAGTGTGGGGCTGGAGCAGCGGCAGCAGCATAGTCTGTGCGAGCCAACGAGGTGAAGTGGGTCAGCATACAGCCTCACGCGCCTTTACGCGCTCCGTTCGCTCGACTCACGCTGAGGTGGATAGCCCGCCATGGTGCCGGCGCCTTGGCTTCTTCTTGTGCTGGTCGCTTTCGCTTCTTCTCTCTACCTAATTCGTCTGCCGCGATAGGTGGTGGCCGAGAGGCGGGGGAGTGAGCTTTGAAAGGGGGCAAGGCGAACTGAGACAAAGGGAAAAAAAAGGAAGTGGTGGATGGGATAAGGTGCAGTGCGGCCTTGTAGGGCAGGAAAGGTAGAGTTGCGATGAAGTGGGCGCGGGCACTGTGATGCAGTCCGAGTGGCGGTCGGTGTGTAGAGCAGTGGCGAGCCAAGCCGCGCGGCGATTGGGCCCGGAAGAGAAGCTGGAGACAGTACTAGTAGTGGCTGGGGAGGAGGACGACACAACGAACTCGCCGGCCTCCAGGGATTGCCTGGAAACTCGCGCCTTCAGTGCGCTCGATCCCGCCGAGGGCGCTCACGTGTGTTTTCTTCAGGTCGGGCTAACGGATGCATTTCTTGAATTTTTATTTTCTCGAGTCTTTGAGTCTGTCAGCCTGATCTATCTGACACAGAGAGAAGGCTAAGAACGAATTCGGGGTGGAGAAAAAAGGGAGAGAAAAAAGGACCCTCACCAATCTGGCATCTCCATCAACTCGAGTGCCAAGTTGGGTGCTGCCTTGGCCCATTGCTGCGAGGCGTAGAAAGCTGCTGGCGACCGTCAACCACCATGGTCGCCGCATCGGGCCGAACACTCTTGCGACAGCACAAGCCATTCGCCGAGTGCTCGAGCCATGCTGTCAGGCGCTACGAGCCCCCGAGGCGCTTCCAAGGCTCTTACGGAGGCGCCGCATTGACGACGGCCGTGGGAAGAAGCTACAGGCAGTCGGCACCAGGTAGCCAGGGAGACGAGCGATATCTCATCATTAGATCCTTCTTCTCGGGCATCGCTGATGGGATCAAAAGAAACGAGCGAGTCCCCAAATATGTCTCGCTACGGTCTCGAGGCTTTTCCTCGTCCAGCCTCCGAGCAAGCGATGGGAAGCCGCCGCCGCCGCCGCCTGGCCCGCGCGATGCAGACCAACAAAAAGGCCAGAAGATCGAGCAGCCCGACCATAGATATACTGCACCCTTCCACAACTATCCTAGAACACTCCGAGAGCTCGCGATGCGAGCGAGGAGCGAGGTTCAGCAGAATGAACAAGGAAGCAGTAGTGAAGGGCCACCGGTGGATCCGGCTCATAACCCGTCTGAACACGACAAGCACGATACCACCGGTCCATCTTCTCCAACGTCGACGAGCTCGACCTCGCGCTGGACACGGCCGCGGCCACCTTCCAAGGAGGACCTCTTGCGAATCACCCAAGGCTTCTGGACCCGCATGCGCATCCGATTCAAGTGGTTTACCATCCGCGGCTTTCGGCGCTTCAATGCCGACGACATCAGCGCCTTCTTCACCTTGGGAGGGCTGGGAACCATTCTCTGGATCGCCATTGGCACAACGACGTTTGTGTCTGTCGTCTTTGCCGCCTTGAATGCGCTCAATATGCAGGAGTGGATAGCGCGCAAGATCGCAGACTACCTCACCTCGGAGACGGGTGTCACCGTCATCTTTGAGAGCGCAATCGTGCCCAAGTGGAAGGACTCGCGAATCTGCTTCCAGAATGTCTTTATTTCTCGAAGGGCATACGGCCACGATGTCGAGACGCTGCGAGAGGAGCGCTTGGCACTCCGTCGCGGCTCGCGCCAGGAGAGACGTCGTCGCATGACGGCATTCACAGCCGGCCAGGGCATGGCCTGGGAGGGCACCGACATTGAAGACCGCTACGGCATCCAGCATGACGATAGTGAGGTGGCACCGCCCATGTCCGACAGGGCTCGTGGCGAAGAGTTGGTTGAGAGCGAGGTGCTGGATGTGCGCAACAATTACACCATGTTCGATCTCAACGTCGACAGCATCGATGTCAAGCTCAGCTTCAGCCGGTGGTTCGATGGGAAGGGTCTCATCGAAGATGCCGTCGTGCAAGGTGTTCGGGGTATCATAGGTGAGTGTGCGCGCCCCACAAAACTTGTAGTCTGGGTGACGTTCTCTCATCCTACCTCGTTGCAGACCGTCGCAATGTTTTTTGGGACCCCGAAAAGCCTTATGACCCGCGTGCAGCCCGGAGACAGGCAAAGCATGGCGACTTTGAGCTCGCCTCGCTAATGGTGTCTGACTTTCTCGTCACGGTCTACCAGCCCGGGGACTTCCGACCGTTCAACCTCAGCGTATTCGAGGCAGCTGTCCCTCGTCTTCGCAAGCAGTGGCTCTTTTACGACCTGCTCAGCGCAGACCGAATCACTGGCCAGATCGACGGCTGCCTCTTTAGCCTGCACAAGCCCCAGAGCATTGGCCGCACAACGGGACGAGAACGGGAGATCATGTCTGGACGGTGGAAGACGCTGTCTCGCCTGAGAGTCGACGGTGTCAACTTTGACCATATCCAGAACCAGTCTGACCTCCACGGACCCGTCTCCTGGATCCTTTCGGGCAAATTTGATGTCGTGGCCGACATCAAGTTTCCCCGCGACATTTCGACGGACATTGACATCAATGTCATCCTTTCCGAGATGTTTGACAACATCACCCATGCCGTCTCGGGAGACCCTTGGGATCGCAACCCTGTGCCCGACGATGCGCCGATTCCCGGCCAACACCGCCTCAGTGGACCAGCGATCGAGGCGCCTGTGACGACCGTAGGACCTGCTGCCGAGGAAGCTTGGCGACAGAAGGCCGAGGAGATGGAAAAGCAAAAGAGCGAAGAGGGCAGAAAGAAGCGAGGCGAGAGGCGGCGGAGAGGAGCAGTGGCGGCGGCGGAACAAGCTGGCACCACCGCAAACACCAAAATTCAGACAGACGCCGAATCTTTGGCAGTGTCCCCTGTCCCTTCCTCATCGCCATCCCCGTCTGCTCCGCCGTCGACAGCGTCAAGAGGGCATGTCGAGACTTCGGAGACGAAGAGCCATGCTATGCACCCGGCCAGCGTCATCATCGACCTCGAAGTGCGATTCAAAGACATCAAGGCGGCCGTACCCCTCTTTTCCAGCGATCTCACCTATAGGACGCAGACATTTGTGCGGCCCATTGTGGCCTTCATGAACGCCAACCATACCCTGATTCCCGTCCACTGCCGCGTGGTCATGGATCTGAGCGAGTTTGACGGCTCCATGGATCTGGCTCAGACAGGCTTGCTCCCTGTGGTCTCGGACAAAATCTACCAGGCCTTGGCCAACCATGTGACATCACAGCGGGCAAACGGCCAGAGGATGAGGAGCGTCTCGACGTGGTGGCTCAAGCTGGCCATGGACAACGCGTTGCAAGCCGCCGTCCTCGTACGGGACTCGCTGGCCAGTCGCTTGCAGACTGCCTCGTCATCGGAATCAATGACGCTGGCCGAGAATAGGCAGCAATAGTAGCTTCGGTCCATGTACTGTACTTGTATCTAACCTCCTGCAAGCCATTTCACCCTTCTTCCCTCTTCCCGCAGGTTTTCTGGTATATGCGTGATTGTCTGCTGTTGATTCTCGACGGACAATTTGTCAAACAGAATTTCCCTCTAGTCAAGTGCCCTCCCAGCTTCATTCCTTCTCTCCTTTGGGCAACTGCAGAGTGATTCAAGGCAGAGCGCTCGTCTTGTTGCAAGTGTCTGGGTGATGCGAGCGCTCTGCCGTGGCTCCGGCAGCTTGATCCGCTGCGCTCAGTAGCCCTGGTTGATAAGGTAGTCGCCCAGGTCCTCGACCGTCTTGGTCGCTTGACCCGGCACGATTGGCGACGTGTACCGGCAAATGAGGACAGCCTGATTCGTCTTTACGCATACAAGTCCATCGGCCTGTATGAGCCCAGCACTGTTGTCAGCCTCCTGCCCACCTCTACCTTCCCTTTGTCGAGAGCTCTTTTCCCCTTCCCCGACGAGGGAGACAACGAGGCTTCGCAAAGAAAAAGAACACCGTGTGACTCCGACTCACCCCGGCCTTTCCGTAGATGCTCCGGTCATTTGCCGAGAGGGTAAAGTACTTCTTGCCTGCAATAAAGATGCCGGCCTCTAGGAGCTTGCTGGCGTCGTCAAACCCGGCAATGAGCGCCGACTGCTCTTCGGCAGTGAGCTAGAAAGCCCGCCGGAGGGAGGGGGAGATGGGGGGTCAGTATATGCCTACAGCCCAAAAGAGAAGGGCCTGTGAGAGCTCAAGGTGTGAGGAGTGGGGGAAGTTACTCACTGTGAAGCCAGAGCTGGACGCCCAGACGCCGCCCTTGAGACCAATGATGGCCGCCTGCGTCACGTTGCCCGTCCCCACGAGGTTGGTGTCGACGTAGCTTTGCCAAGACATGGTTACGAGGTCCTTGTATGACTGTCTGCGCGCGTGTTGCGAGGGTGTTGGTTTGACTTTGCCTTGCCTGAGGGGATTGGAAGGAGAGGATTGGAGAAATGTAAATGCGGCCCGCCTCTAGAGTAGTAGTAGATGTATCCCTCTGTGTCTCTCCCTCCTCTAGGCGAAACACACGTGAAGCTTTAGTGAGAATGGGCTCCACCTCTTTTGGGAGGGAACGGAAAGCCCAATTTTTGCCGAATGACGTTTTGGCTCGCGCGGTGTGTTGCGAAGATCCAAGCTCGCAAATCCTTTATCTCGCACTACCATCACCATTACCACAACGACTACCAACTCTCGCTGCACTATTTCAACATCTGCACACCATGGCCGGACGCAAGTTCTTTGGTGAGACCGATGTTCCTTGTCAAAGGTTGGGGACAGGGTGGCTGACACGCCAGACTTGAATGCTTTTGCCCACCAGTCGGAGGAAACTGGAAGGTGAGAATTCCCGGTTCCTTCACTGTATGCTTGCTGGTTGACACGTCTGACCTTCTCACCCAGATGAACGGCACGATTGAGAGCGGCAAGAAGCTCGTCGAGACGATCAAGTCTGCCAAGCTTGACTCCAACACGGGTAAGTTGCACACAGACCAGGGCAGAGCAGCCCCGCCGAGGCTCGCCGATGGCTCACACAGACGACGCCCCGAGCAGAGGTCGTTATTGCGCCTCCGGCAATTCACCTGCTCCTCGTCAAGGACGCACTTTCGGGCGTCGAGCACGTGCAGGTGTCTGGCCAGAACGCCTACCACAAGGCTTCGGGCGCCTTCACGGGCGAGGTCTCTGTCACGCAGCTCCAGGACGCCGGCATCCCCTGGGTGATCCTGGGCCACTCGGAGCGCAGGACCGTCTTCAAGGAGACGGACGACCAGACGGCCGAGAAGACAAAGGCAGCCCTCGACGCTGGCCTCAGTGTCATCGTCTGCGTCGGTGAGACGCTCGACGAGAGGGAAAAGAACGAGAGCGTCAACGTCGTCGTCCGGCAGCTCAACGCCGTGGCTGATCAGGTCAAGGACTGGACGTGCGTTCTTTACTCCTGATCCTTCTGCTGCACTGTATTTGAAAGCTGACATGTTTGCGCTCCAACCGCAGCAAGGTCGTCGTCGCTTACGAGCCCGTCTGGGCTATCGGCACGGGCAAGGTGGCCACCGCCGAGCAGGCGCAGGAGGTGCACGCTGCCATCCGCAAGTGGGCCTCGGACAAGCTCGGCCAGAGCGCCGCCGAGAGCCTCCGCATCATCTACGGCGGCTCCGTCGCCGCAAAGAACTGCAAGGAGCTGGGTGAGGATTAGATTACCCATGCACTAGCATGTCCCTCTGTTGCGCAGATCGCTGACTGATGCTCCAAAATCCCTCGCAGCGACCCAGAACGACATCGACGGCTTCCTCGTCGGTGGTGCTTCGCTCAAGCCAGAGTTCACCGAGATTGTCAACGCTCGCCTGGTAAGTCACACCCCGTTCTCATCCGAGCCCCTTCCTTCACCCTACCATTGTCCTCTCAGGCTGACTCCTGCTTTTGCGTTGCGTACAGTAAATGACTATTCCGTTGCGAGTATTTTAAGCAGAGAGCGACGTCGATGAGTAGGAGTGAAAAGCAAGGAATAAATACCAGACTATTATGGTACTATAGACCCCGTGATGCGTGCGCTCGATAGAGGAGATATTATTAGTTCTTCTTTGGTTTGCTGCTGCTGCTCTTGCTCGTCGAGGCAGACTTGCCATCGACGACCGCAGGTTTGACGTCCTTAGGCACCCAGAAGCAGGGCTTGCCTGTCTCTTTTGTGATGGTGGTGATGACGTCGTAGCAAAAGTGGCCGTAGAGGAGGAAGCTGAAGACCAAGACAAAGTAGCACGCCGTCCTGGTGCCCGCCTTTGAGTTCTGCACCACGGGGCTGAGAGAGAGATGAAGCATTGGCTGAGTCAGACATCCTGCTCTCTCTCTCTCTCTGTCTATCTCAATCGATCGAAGAAGGCAAGAGAGCCAAAAGTACTCACTGCTCAGCGGCACTGTCCAGAGCGCCGAGGATGGCCCAGCCCAGGGCGACGTTGAAGTAGGGAAAGGGCGCCTTTGTCACGTGTGCGACAATGAGGAGGCCGACGGTGTAGGCAAACATGAGGCCGAATGCGCAGACGAGAGCGACGTAGGCCTGGCCGTCGCGCAGCACGGCGGCGCCCCTCGCGGTGGACCAGGTCCAGAGGCAGACGAGGAGGATGACAAGAGGGGCCAGGCCGAGGAGTGGGCTGATGGGGTCGCGCTTGTTGGCGCGCCGGGCCTTGACGACGTTGGAGTAGGACGCGACGACGTTGGCAAACAGGCCCACGGCGCCAAAGGTCAGGAAGGCATCGTTGAGCGCAAAGTTGTAGCGGCTGTACGACTTTGCGATGCTGGGAATCGTCTCGAGGCCGGTGACGCTGAGAATGCCGCGGTCCCAGAACCGGGCGCCCTGGGGCGCAAGGCCGGTGATGAGGTAGACGAGGCAGATCATCAGGATGCCCTCGACCGGTCCACTAAAGGCAGACAGGTAGAGGGTGCCCGTGTGGAACTCTTCCCAAGTGGTGAGGTAAAAGTTGGAGAGGGTAGCAACGAGTGCAGCGATGGACCAGTAGCTCTTGCCGACGTTGAGGGCCGCGCATGCCAGCAGGCACTCGAGCGTCGTGTTGATGGCGTCGCAGCCGTGATCAAAGAGCTCGCCGAGGGGTCCTGCCATACCCGTGCGCCGAGCCTGCTTGCCATCGATCGAGTCGAGGGACTGGTAGGCAAAGAGGCAGAGGGACCAGGTGAGAAAGACCCAGGGCATGAGGCAGCGGCCCTCGTTGCCCTCGTCGGCGGCGACGGCGTCCTTTGGGTAGCCGAATCGGGGCAGAACGTGGACGGGCGCGAGAATGTCTGAGGGTCCCCTGGCATCGTAGCCAGGCCGAAGCTTGGCACCAGCGCAATCCAGACCGGGGTCGACATAGACCAAGGTGATGAAGTTGAGAAAGACGAGGGCGAGGCCCGACACTGTCAACGTGTTTGGCGCAATCGAGGTGGGCACCAGCGTCACGAGCCAGTTCCAGTACGGGCCCAGGATCGCCTTTGAGATGATCGAATCGTCGGCGCCCGAATAGGCGTACGTATGCAGGTTTTTGAGCCGCTTCTCGGGAATATAGACGCCCATTTCTGTCTAGTCCTGCCTCGTCGTGGCCGTGCGCGTGCCGATGTTCGTGGAGGAAGAAGAAAGGAGGGGAAAAAAAAAGAGGCCGGCCGCGCTTCGCTTTCCACTTCAGTCCACGCCCAAAATGTCACGGCCGGAATAAATAGATACAAAAGAGGGGGGGAATAAAAGAAGAAGGGAGCGCGGCGCAGGGGCAAGTAATGAAGGCTCTCTGTCTGGGTCATCTTTTGACTTTTTTTCTTTTTTTTGGTGCGTCATCGATCGGGCGTCTTTGTGTCTCCTTCCTCGTCAACTCGATTCACTCTCCACCCTCGCCGACGGCCCAGCACGGCATCCCCTCTCCCAGGCACACGCTCGTGCGGAGAGACTTCTGCGAGGACGGAAAAAGAATAGTCCCTAGGGGAGACAAGGAGACAAGGAGAGAGAGAGAGAGAGAGGAGAGTGAAGAGATAGGGGGGATACGGAAATGGAGTTGGGGCCTCGTGGGCCCGACGAGCGGAGGCATTGAATCAAAATTGAACGGGCGGTGGAGCGGCGAAACAGCAACGAGAGGCGCAGAGAACAGAGCTGAAGCGACACGAGCCGACGAGCGAGGTTATGAGTGACGGGCGCTGCTGCACGCACCCCTCGAAATAATCCTGGCCCGATTCAGCCACCTCTCAAGGCCGGCGTGTGTGCACACCCGGACGACCCCTTGCCCCCCTTCTCCTTTCTCTTCTTTCCCCCCCCTTCCACACCGACCCCAATCTCTTGGCGCACCATGACCGACGCGGCTTCGTCGTCTTCTCCGACGTCGATGGACGCGCTGGCGCCGCGCAAGCGAAAGACGAGGCCTATTTCCGCGTGCGAGAACTGGTGAGACTGCCCCACGTTTGCTCTTTTCCATGATGACCTTGCAGCTGAGGCCCACGGTGCAACGCTATTCCTTTGCCCCCCATCAGCCGATCCAAAAAGGTTAAATGCCATCTCAAGCCGGGCGAAATCGTCTGTGAGGGCTGTACAGCATCGGGAAAGCAATGTCTCTTTCGCATCGACGACCTGTCGCCGGCCCTTCGCAAGCAGTGGTTTCCTGACTATGTCGAGGAACCCAGGCCGATCGATCAAGCTTCCACAAAGAGGCCGACGTCGCTGATGAGCGGCAGAAAGAGGCCTGCATCGCCCTCGTCTGCGGCATCCGACCAGTACGACGAGCTGCAGCTGCAGGACGACGATGAGGATAACTCCAAGGACGAGGCGACCAGGGCGAAGAGGGCAAAGAACAAGGCCGTTTTTCGATCTTTTGCCAATCCTACCAAGCTCGTCGCTCTCACCCGACCTCCGCTTCCGTTGAGCGAGCAGCCGTCATCCAAGGGGCCTTCGGCATCGCAAAAGTCTCCGCCTTCCGCAGCAGCAGACCACACGTTGCTACCACCACCTCTGCCGGTCACCAGATACCCGTCTGAATACCCTCTTCAGCCACCATCAGCGCTGCACAACGCCCCTTCGCCCCACTACGCGCAAGCATTTGGCATTCCTTCCACTCCTTTGACGTCTTCACACCGTCCAACATCACCTCCACGTCCGACTGCGTATGCAGGGTATCAGCAACAGCATCACCCACAATCCCGTCATCACCATCACCAACAGCCCCCCAATTCGTATCAGCAGCAGAACCCTCCTCGCCATCAGCATCAGGACTACAGTCAGCACCAGCAGCTTCTCTCGTCTCATCATCACGCCTTCAGTGGTGGAGCAAGCTACGAACGCGCGAGTCCAAGATATTCGCAGGGACACGACGGTCGGCCGATCCAGGAGCCTTACTATGACGCAAGACCGTCACCGCGGACGCGGCCGTCATCTCCAGTCGCTCAGTCACCCACCTTTGCCGTGTCCGTCTTGGGAGCAACCACGGCCTGGAGTCCGACGATGCAGCAACACGGCAGAGCCGCCGTTGACGATGCCTCAGCGAACAGGCGTCGATCATCGAGCCTTCTTCCTCGACCGGAGCTGCCTCCTCCTCCGTCACGATACCGGCAGGCAAACTCGCCATCGTCTGGCACCACGGATCCGGCCGCGTATCGCAACATGTCCTCCTTTACCCCGCCCAGCACTCGTAGTAGGGCCGGCAGCACCACCGTCGGTCGCGAGGGAGCAGGCTCTACGACGCCGGCAGGGGTCGTGAATACGGGCGAAGCACTTCAGGCCAGCTCGCCCAGCAGGCCGCCGCCGACTTTCAAGAGGATCGCTCTTCCCTTCTTTCGGTGGTTTGGCGCAACGGCCAACACGCCTGGGATCAAGAGGATCAAGGTGGGCGTCTACCACGAGGCTGATGGCGAACGGCAAGACACCGAGTCACCCGCGGTCAACGAAAGTGACAGACGTAGACTTGTTCAAAGTCCAAGTGCTCGAGGAGAAGGTCAAGGTCCAGGTCTTGGTCTAGGTCTCGGTCTCGGTCTCGGTCTTGGTACCGGTCAAGGACAAGGACATGGTCAAAGCCAGAATCAAAGTCAGAGTCAGAGTCAGAGTCAAGGTCAAGGCCAAGGTCAGAGTCAAGGTCAAAGCCATAGTCAAGATCACAGTCAAGCTCAGGATCACGACGGGGTCAGTAACTTGGACTCGCCTCGCGACTCGGTGGTGGTCGCCAACGGGGAGGGAGAAGCTGATGGAAAAGGCGATGCTTCCTCACTGTCGTCGGCGACGCGAGACCTGTTCGACACGGAGAGACCTCGCTACCCGAAGGCCGATCTGCTGCAACACCTCGTACGCCTCTTCTTGCACTACTTCAAGACATCCTGCTTTCCCTGGCTCGACAGCCAGGAGATCCTGAGTGGTGCTCAGTCCGGAGAGTTGCCTGCGCTCCTGGCCAACGCGATTTGCGCAATGACGGCTCGCTTCTCCAATCGCCCGGATCTTCTGCGACGGGGAGTGCCCGCCAGATCAATGGGCGACCCCTTTAGCGACATGGCAAAGGTCCTCTTGGTCCCCATGCTCTCTTGGCCTTCGATTGATGTCATCGAGGCACTGCTAGTACTGAGCTACGCAGAGTTTGGCGCAGGCGCTGATGCCGGCCTGTGGATGTACATTGGCATGGCCCAGAGAATGGCGACGGATCTCGGCCTGCAACACGAGGCCACGATCAAGAGCATGGCCAACCCAAAGCAGCAGCAACGAGCCAGGCTCCTCTTTTGGGCTATCGTCGGCCTTGATCGGATCACCTGCTTTGGCACCGGCAGGCCAGTGTCGATTCGGGAAGACTCTTTCGACTGTGCGCTGCCGCCGAGCCACGATGACGAAGAAGGCGACGAGGCGGACAAGTTCCGAGCCGAAGACTACGTCTTTGGCTACGTCATTCGTACATTGCTCAAGCGCGGCCGAATCGGCGAGGTGCTCAATCGAAGGTCAGATGGCCTGTCGCCCGAGGAGCGCGGACAGAAGCTAAGGACGATGTGGATCGACCTGGCCGAGTACTACGACTCGCTACCTGCGCATCTTTCCTTTTCGATTGCCAATTTCAGAAGGGCAGCTGCTGCCAACCAAGGAGCTGGCTTTGTCTACCTGCACGTCCTGCTGCAGAGCACCATGAGTCTGCTCAACCGTCCGGCGCTACTGAGAAGGTTCAATCGCGATCTGACGACACTCCACCCACCATCCAAGCTTGCGTCGATTGCCGACCAGGCGTCAGGGACCATTGTCAGCATCCTTCGCTTTGCGGAAGATGCCAGCCGGGAAAGGCGCGTGGTCGATGACGACGCAGCTGCTGGTGTCAAGCTGATGCCCAGTGATGTGAATCGCGAGGTAAACCCGTTCACCGACTGCAACCCCTACCTCGACCAACTCATCCTGCCTGCCGGAAGGGCTTTCCTAGCGGAGCGAGAGGCGGCTCGAGAGTCGCTTCGACGCATCGAGAGGCGCCCTTCACACCAGCAGGACGCTTCTTCGCGAGATAGTCTCGCGGGCGCAGGTGGTCCTGCCGATCCGCTGCAAAGGTCGAGGCAATTTGCAGAGGCGAATCTGGCCACATGCCAAGAGATTTTGGAAAAGATTGCCGTGTGGTGGAGTGGGGCTAGTTGGCCTGCAAGGGCCCTTGAGCAGGAGACGATGGGCGCCATGGGACCCGAGGAAGGAGGCTCGCAAGACGAAGACACTGTCGGGCCGGACGGAAAAGATGAGGATGCACAGCCAGCACCGATTCGAGATGTCGAGATGGTGCTCAAATGGGCAAAAGCAAGGGTCAAGCGAGCCAAAGCTGCCTCGAGAAGGAGCTCAGCTGTAGCACCAACGACGACGACCGGTGGCAAAAGGTCCGAGGATGCAACAGGCATCGAGACCCTAGACGCGAGCGAGTCTCTCTCGCACTTCAACGGCGTCGACTTGGCGGCCGCCGCTGTTGCTGCCAGATCGACATCTTCGAATCCGAGCGAGTCGCCATTCGAGTCCGGCTTTGGCTTCTCGGGCTCGCTGGGCGCTAGCGCGACCGACTTTGACATCCAATCTCTGCTGGATGCTTGGACCTCGGAGCAGCACTTTTCCACGGGAGGTACCTACGGCGACCCATATCATCCAACTTCTCTGGACTCGCCCAGTTGGCCGCTCATTGATGCTCGAGGAGGAGCAGGGCGCACACCGATGCAGCCTCCTGCCCTTCCTTCTCCATCGCAGCTGCAGCAGCCCGCGCTCGCCATCGACATCAACACGATGCAGCTCGAGGAGATTCTTTTTGGAGGTGGGACCAGCTGGCAGGGTCAGCGAGATCGGCAAAGGGAGCAGCAACAGCAACAGCAACAACAGCAGCAACAACAACAACAACAGCAGCAGCAGCAGCAGCAGCAGCAACAACAACAACAACAACAACAACAACAACAACAGCAGCAACAACAGCATCAACATCAGCAACACCAGCAGCAACTACAATTCATGAACGAGAACGGCAATGCAGCTTCATCCTCAATGGGAAGCCACGGCATGGTCGCGGATAACGATCTGTCCTCTTCATCTGCCTCCATATCTTCGTCGCTGCCGACCACCATGACGGAGATTCTCCCGTTGGACCTGATGGCGCCAATCGATTATCGATCCATCGGCCCGACTGGCTCGACCACGAGGATTTCGACCTTTTCTCCTCCTCAGTCTCGATCAAAAAGTGGCAACCCAGGAGAGGGAGGAAATATATTCGTCGGTTCTCAGGGTCGGCGTCAGCATGATCAACCTTCGTCCTGGTCATTGTTCCGCGGGTACGGAAACGAAGAAGGCTCACTGTCGCGATCGGTAACAGAAGACCTTACGAATGCGCTTTTTGGACGTTTCTCCAATGTGCCGAGGTACTCGTTCGTCGGTCAGCAACAGTCTCACCACCATTCGCAGGGCCAACTTCAGGGGAACCAGCAGGGGCAAGAGAGCAGCAGGCACGCTGGGCCAGTCGCAGGCCCGACGCGGCGCGTCTAGCCCTGGAGCCTAAGGGACGATTGTATTCTCTTTTGTACGATAAAAGGTCGGGGCCACGGGTGGGAGGTGTCCATGAGGGGCAGTGAGGCATGGGGTTGATCACTTATGTGTACAGTAATGAGCTACTCCCTGACATCAAGCAGCACAAAGCAAATAACCAATCCACCAAAAGCACGAGCCGTCCGCGTTCTCTACTACTTGCTCGAGGAGACGATGGCAAACACGTCTCGTCAGCCATTATTGACGCGTCGCTTCCTTCTGCGTGGGAACAGCTTTGAATTTTTCTGAATTCCCTACTCTGAAGATATCGGAGACCAGATACATGGAGTGGTAGGGCGTGATGGTAAAGGTACATGATCTAGTGCAAAGCCCTTGATGGGTAGGGCGACAGTGGCCCACATGCAGGTGGATGATGGTGTAGAGTAGCAGAGATACAAGGGCAGCCGGACTTTTTCGAGGTACTAAGAAATCGGGACGGGCTCGAGGTGGACATGAAGCGGGTACTGTACAAAGGTAGAAACAAAAGCGGTCGGAAAGCGATGGGCTGAAAAGTACTGATGATCATCGAGATCAGGGCGAGTAAGCGAGCGACGTGGTGTTCGAGGGCGGTGCGTCGATCTTGGACATCTGATTGCAGTCGGGGCACCTGGCCCACAATTCCGAAGAGATGCCCGGTTCTGACCTGACATGAAGCTGAGGAATCGAACGGCACTGAGGTCCGTGAACAGTAGAGCTACCGGCGCTCCCACCGTCGATCTCCATATCATTCTCGGAAGGCTTCATGTCCATGCCCATCAGGCCGGGGGCACGAACCGCGTGAGGGTAGAGGTCCAGATTCGGGTACACGCCTGGGCTATTGTTGGCCGAAGATGTGCAAGACTTTGTTTCGCCAAAGTTCTGGCGGTATTGCTGGGTGAAGTACGATTCGGACTCTTGAACGTCGGTTGGTGTGCTGGGAAAGAAGTCGGAGGTGGACGAATTGGGCGAGTCTATACAGTACCTGTCAATCCAGATGCTGACATCGTCCTTGAGGGATGTCATCACTCACTATTACCGCCGGAGGAGACGTCATCCATAGCCATAGTGGCAGAATCAGTGTTGAAGAGCCCGTTCTGCTGGCCAGGCTGATAGCCCATGGCAGCGAGGTACTTCAAGTTGAGCTCAGGAGGCAGCGCATGGAAAGTAGCAATCTCGTTCGACCTAGGCAGCTTGGCCTATTGGAGAAAGTTCTGTCAGTCAACTGGGCATACAATTTGATCTGTCGCACACACTCACCAGCATGCGTCGCGAGGGCCTAGGACGAGGCTCCTCGCAGACGTCCTCGACTTCCATGTCGGTGCCCTTGCGCTTGCGGCACACGGAAGGCTCGTTGGACGGAATTGCAATTGCCCCAGCTTGAGGGAAGTTGGAGGCGAACGCGAAGGTCATGTTGATGTCAGGCTAGATTCTGTAATGAGAGGGGTTGTCGGGCGCGGATGTGTGCTGAGAAAGTGAGAAGGACGGATGTATGCGGTCGGAATGGTCGATAAGGGTACAGTAAAGATAGTAGGACAAGTCAAGAGAACAAAATAATCTTTGGCGAGACGATGAAAATATGTAGCTGGAAGAAGAGAAATTTGTGCTGTGGTGGAATCGCGTCCGAACGAAGACAGGTCGCGACGGATGCTGGTGCTGGTTGATTGACTGATTGGGATGATGGTTGGAGGAAGAAGGGGTAAGGGCGTGCATGAGCGCTAATTTCTGATCCGGCTTCCGAATGCGGGAGACGCCACGTGGAGAGGCTCGACACGTGGCTTCTCGCTCCACGTTTGGCTTCCCGCTCCCGCCACTCACCCCTGGCTCGTGCTGTCGGGCATGACTTGGTCACAAATCCTGGCTAGGAATCCCGAAACTTACAGACGAAGAGACAAATCTGGAGATGTGGGCCAATCAGAGAAAAATTACGATGATTTGGAGAGTGAGGAATAGCGATGCCGATGTCGGCCAAATTTAAAGACTTTAGGGTCCATGTGCATGTGTTCACCTGCCTGGCCGTGTTGCCTTCTTGGCAGGCTAGAGTGTGTGCAGCGCATGAAGCGCATTGCTCGTGGTTCCATCAGCAGGCTGTGCAAAGAAGTGGACCTATCCGCTTACCCTTTTCCATTTCCGACATCGATCCTGATCCTTAGACCTAGGATGGTGCCCTTCAGAATCCTTTCCGCGCTGCTGGTCAGCATCCTCCTTATTGTCTCTTCTTCGTCCGTTTGCGCAAAACCTTTAACCCCACATTGGAAACGAGACATCGGTCGATATATTCGAATTGGCTACCCCGGCCGGCCCAAGAGTAGCTCCATCAACGTCAAGAAGCGAGCGACGACATGCAACGGTTCGTCGGACCTGTGCAACCGCCTCTACTCCAACGTGACATTCGCCGGTGCGCACAACTCGTACGCTATTGCCAATGGCGCTGGTGGGCTGGCTTCCAACCAGAATGTATCGCTTGCAGGCCAGCTTAACGCAGGTATCCGGCTCTTGCAAAGCCAAGCGCACAACAGCACCAATCAGACAGCCAGTGGAGCGGGGATTGACCTCTGCCACACATCGTGAGTGTTCTTACCCCCATTGGACAGGCACGATTCACTCACTCCGATTGGTTTCCTGTAGCTGCTCCATCTTCCAAGGCGGATCACTCGAGTACTACTTGGGCCAAGTCAAGTCCTGGGTTGATGCCAACCCGACCGAAGTTGTGACACTGCTCATCGTTAATTCGGACGGCTCGCCTCCCTCAAAGTTTGCTCAAGCCTTTGAAAGCACGGGCCTGGTTTCCAAAATGTACCAACCCTCCTCCGGCACAATCTCTCGTAACAGCTGGCCGACGCTGGGCAGCATGGTGGACTCTGGTCGCACCGTCGTAGGCTTTCTCTCGACGGAGGCCGACTTCCAGAGCGTAAATTATCTCCTCGACGAGTTCTCAAACGTGTGGGAGACACCATTCGGACAGACCCAAACGCCCTTCAACTGCTCCATCGACCGTATCGGCCAAAGCGTCACCGACTCGTCGCAGCTCATGTACCTTTCAAACCAGTTCTTGGACCAGTCTCTCTTTGGCGGATCCGGTAGCAGCAGCAGCGGCAGCAGCGGCGATGCGCTTACCACGCCCGACACGGACGCGTTGGGCACGACAAACTCGGTTGACACGACGCTCTCGACGTCGTACACCTGCGCTTCGGAGCACAACAACGTCAACCCAAACTTCATTCTGACCGACTATAGCACGACACCAAGCTACAGCTTTATGCGTGGCGTGGCCCAGCTCAACGGCGTCAACTACACTGCCCCCAGCAGCAGCGAGGAAGGCGGCGCTAGCGGAGGTAGCAGTGGATCATCAGCATCCTCTCTTCCTTCTCACGTTCTTGGTGCTGCCGTAGTCATGCTCGCGGCTCTCTTTATCATCTGAAAGCTCAATCGCCATCGAAAGGACTTCCCCCCACGCCAACCCCTGTAGCATCTCTTGGACATTGCATTTTCTCATGATGAAATGAAAGTACACGATTCAGTCAACCTTGATTCTCTCGAGGTGGGGGATCAAGCGGTCCCAGACGTCCATGCCTCGTTGGTACATTTCAATCTGGCCGTCAACGTAGGTGCTCGTTAGATCCTTCATTTCGCGGTCCTTTGCCATATTGAAGATCTTGTGTTCGCGCTGAACCTCGTTGGAGAAGGCGACGCTGACGTCGTGCGATGTCGTCACGGCCTCTTGAAGCTCGGAGATGCGACCATCAAGGCGCGCCATCCGTTCAACTCTTGTCCGTTCTTCATCGATGCCTCGAATGCTGTCGACTCGATCCCGCAGGTATCCACCGATGCCCGTTCCTCTCACCCCGCCCAAACCGTGGCCAGCTCCATAAGGGCTGCTTAAGCTCGCCAGCCGGTCGCGCTCGGTGACCACGGAGCTGAGGTAATCGGTCAGCTCCTCAAAGTCGAGCTGCTTTTGATCTCGAAGCCTGAGCACGCCTCGATGAGTTGCAGAATAAGCCAAGAGGGCGTGAAGGTGCGAAAGCATGTCGTCCGTCGCCCGCGTCGACTGGTACCAATGGTCAGCAAGACTGATCGACGAAACTGGAAAAGGACTTCAAAGGCCTCACATTATTTCGCTGCAATCGCGCCCACTCCATGCTCGTGGCCGCAAATCGATTGAGAGGCTCCGTAATGCCGCTCTCAAGGAATCCCAGTCCTTCGATAGACGAGGCAAGGTCTTCGTAGTCGGTGGCGAGATCTTGCGATTCGAGGGCCAGATTGGGAGCAAAGAGTTGCGGCGAAGAGAACGGCGACGATAGCACAGGCGAAACGGGAGTGTCCACAATGGTTGAGATGGGTGAAGGAGGTCGCCGCAAAGATGAGTGCGATTCGGAAAAGGACCGGTAGTGCGATGGTGACGGTTGTGGTACAGGCGCGTCCGGGGTATTACGAAAGCGAGCGAAAGGCGAGAATGATCGCCGTTGAGACGACAGAGGAAATGGCAAATTAGAAGAAGAAGAAGAAGAAAGAGGGGCACGAGGAGGGGTTGGCGCTGGAGTGCGTCAGTCGTTTCAACATGTAAGCAGAAAATTGATTTGACCGAAACACTCTCGGCAATCATCATTGCCAGGTAGGAGCCAGCACCAGAGGAAATCCTGGAATATGGTTGCGATGCGTAGTGTCGACCAGCAAAGGATTCACTCACCTCCATGCTTGGCCCGTGTCCGCAAGACGACGCGCTCGGTGCTGCTGAGACCCTCTTCGAGCCTCTCGAGACGTTCCCTCATGCTTTCGAAGCGCTCGTCTGGCTTGCGGACTTTCGCGAAGGCATTCAAGAGGGTGTCCTGGAGGCTGTCCAATATCCCACCTCCCTGTTCGTCACCCTTGCCCGAGTTGTTGACGGACGAAGTGTGCGAGATATGCGTGTGCATGTCGATTTGCTGAAGGAATGACATTTAGCATACCTATTATCCAATGTGACTTCAGAGTCAACGCACCCATTCCGCGGATTCTAGAAAGCTTCGAAGGAGCTGAGCCCTCTGTAACGTCGGGTGTCGGCTCACTCGCTCGAGAAAGAGCTGCAAGCTGGCGTGATCAGAAAGTCAGCACCATGATTCGATCCGATAACGAGAGGCGCCACTCACTCTTGTGTTCTTCGCTCCAAGAATTCGTTGCTGAATCGATCGCCAGTGAAGTATTCTGCAACTAGATAGTGAGCCTCAACCGCCAGAAACAGCCGTGAGGGTGCCACATCTCACCGAGCCGATGCTTGTCAGGTAAAGGAGCCACGACACACGCGGGAAAGTCCCTGGCAAGATTCTCTCGCAGGAAGACAAAGTCTTGGAAACGTCTTCTTGTGGTGAGTCTTGTCCTTTGAAAATGCATGAGGTTGGTCTGGTAGCGGTGCAGGAGGGGTCGATCATCAGCTTCACAGGGCCGTCTGCTTACACTCTAGAAGAGACTGAAGGACTAACCTCTGCCCGGATCCCATAACTAACAAACATCTCCTTTGTCCCCTCAAGCTCCTTTCTCGGTTCAGTGACCTGTACCAAGAGATATCCTTCCCATCTGGGATCTCGTGTGTCATCCTCAGCGGCACTAGGGCCCTTTCGTGCTGATGCCAGATGGATTGGATCGCGACCTAGGATGGCGTCTGCGCTAGGCCCTGCCGAAGCTGCGCTTGGTGTGGCAGGATGCGAGGTCCGCGGCAGTGACGTGCCCGGCATGTTGCTCGACGTCGGTCCATCGTTGGGATCTGATTCCCACGTCACAGAAGTAAACTGATCGTCGTCACCGTCCATCATGTATCGGCGCGTTCGCGGTGGTCGACGCAACATCGCAACGTCAGCCATCGCTCAGCGCGGTTAAGCCACTTGTGCGATCTGCCACGTGCCTTGTGGAGTAGCTGATGCGCGCTTTTTTTTTTGGTGTTCACACGGAGACCTCAATCATCTTATGGAGGGGAACGATGTCAGTCTCCCTCCAACATGGAAGCTCATTCCTTGTCTTGGCAACAGATCATGTGCCAGGCATGTGAGGGATGCCGACGAGGAGGTATGTCGTGACGAGCCTACCCTAGATCTCTGTAAAGCTTTTTGCGCTGACCGCTCCACGTAGGTCTTCTACCTTTACACTGTCACGGCGGCGCCAACGGGACGTGTCGGACTGGGACAGGTGGACAGCTCGCACGACCTTCTCTCCCTTTCCGTGCGGCTTCGTAGCGAGGGAACGCGAGATGTAGAAATTACTGCTCAGCGGGCTGATGAAGTAGAACACAAGGCTCAGAAGAATACCAGTAAGAGCAGCAGCAGCAGTAGCATCAGCAGTAGCAGCAGCATCCGCACAAGCCGAGGCAGCAGAAGAGTCCAAGCGACCCGGAACGATCGTCTGACTACAACGGTTGTCCTGCGTCAGGATTCGACAAGCTTGAAGAGTACCAACGGCGACACAGGAAGCGTCGTTTGGCGATCGAGTGTCTACCTCGCAGCCAAGATTCTCGCAGATTTGTCTGTGAGGAAAAGGACTGACGAAACGCCTTCCGAGCTCTTCTCGACTTCGAGGCTGCTTCAATCAACGGTCTTAGAGCTGGGGGCAGGGACGGGCGTCTTACCTGCCGTACTCTTTTCTCGTCCCGACCTTCTCCAGGGTTTATCGGCCGATCCGATGTCTTCTCCTGGTGCTCTTCGTTGGCTTGCGACGGATCAGGAGGCCATATTTGGGCTCTTGGAAAGGAACATGCGCTCGACGCAGGCTTATCTCACAGGTTCTGAGCATCGCGTGGAGGCCGCTGTCCTCGACTGGTTCCAAGCATCACAAATCTGGCAAGCTGCCGCCCCTTTTTCCTTGTCGCTGGCACGTTACCGAGACCAGCTGTTCTCGGGATGGGAGAAAACGTGGTCAAGAAGCAGCACGGAGCAAGAAGAGCACAATCGTCCGGACCTGATCATTGCAACAGACTGCATCTTCAACGCACATTTACTCCAACCTCTACTCCATACTCTTGCTCTCTTCGCCGTTCCCAATCATACCCTGGTTCTGGTCGTCTGCGAACTAAGAGAACCAGAGCTAATTCGGGAACTGCTCGAGCTTTGGCTCAGTCCTGGTCCGCGAGGCGAGCAATGGTGCATTGTGGCGCTGCAGACACCAGAAGAGGCCGGCGAGGACGAAGAGCGCAAGCTGACAAGTTCCACGCCCGAATGTGCCCTCGGGCATGCCCTCGAAAAGGGTTCTGTGGGTTGGGTGGCTTGGCGGGTCAAGTGACGTTTTTGCCCTCTCACCCAACGTAATGCCAATTTTCTCTCCGCCGGTGTTGACGGGGTCGCGACTAATTTTTGAGTGTTGCCCCTGAAAGTCTCTCATCACAAAACCATCGTGCCCGTGTCAGAGTCAGGACTGAAGCCACCACCTGGATGACGCTCCAGGCACTGAGATGACGCCTTCGACCGGCAAGATCTAATACCGGAGCAAGGCCAAGCCAAAATGGTCACTGACTATGCGGCGGAGTGGCGGAGCTTCAAGGTCATAATTTACGGCTCCGCCTGTCTGGATCGGCCTTCATCGGTCCGTATTCCCCGACGCATACCCTGCTTCTTTATACGGGACACCCTGCAAGGAGAGAGAGGCTCATCGTCCTAGAGGAAGTTCAGGGCAATGAGTCGCAGGATGGAGCCACTGAGACGATGCTCAGCAGGGTAAGAATTTGCAGGTTGCTTTCCATTTTGCACGGGGAAAGTGACAAATTGCTCCGGACAGACTTGGGTTTACAGTACAATTCAAAGACTTGCGGCGCTGAGTGTGGCAGCGCTTGTTCTTAGGCCTGCCACCAGTGCGGTTTGTCGCTATCTGACCCTTTTTGGCACCTCGGATTCTCTCGCGGTTGCTGCTGCTGCTGTTGCTCAGACTGGTGCTCAAAAATCTTGTCCAAAGAGTTCGGCTCGGGTTGTGTGCCCCAACTGAAAGACGACGGTCCCGGGCTTGGACCACTCGTGCGTTCTGCCGTCGCTCCTGGTTCCGCAGACACGATCCCTCCCGGCAATGGATTCGAAGGGCGTCCCATGTCAAAGAAATGAGATGAGAGTTCAGTCATTGGCGTCAGTATGTTTGGTCTCCATGCCGGTTGTGGCGAAGTCGACGGGTGTGCCCTTGCTTCCTCATCGCCAACGGAGCCTTTGGGAGGTGGCGGAGGGGCCATCGGTTCAATGAAAAAGGCTTGGCCCTCACGTTGTGAACCCAGCTGTCCTCCGCCCCAATCGCTCGATCCTGACCCGAGTCCTTGCTGTTGAAGCTGAAAAGGCGGTTGCTGGCTACTTGAAGGACCAAAGGAAGGTGAGATGTGGCGAGACGAATGACCACTGCTGCTCGCAGCCGAGAGAGGCGTCACCGTCGAAGGTGCACCCCGGTAGCTTTGGTATGTCGGTAGGCTAGCGAGATAGAGATCTCCAGTCTGTTGAGAAGGCTGCCGCTGTTGCTGTATGAGAGAGTGCAATCCTGACGACGAGGAAGAGGCCGAGGAAGTAGACGAGCCGCCATGGGCGAGCGGCTGGGTCTCAAGAGAGGTTGTTGGAAGACCGGGCGACGAGTTGCGCCGGCCTGTGTCACTGAAAGGGTCGACGAGCGCCATTCGACGCGCTGAGGGCGGTGGCTGCATGGAGCTGGTCGGTGGTGGCTGCGCAAGCTGATGCTGATCCGCGACCCCCGTTGCTGCTTCTGACGATGCTGCTGCTCCAGGCTCTTGTCGATGCTGTAAACCTTGTTGCTGCAGGAGGAGCAGGTGCTGCTGCTGTCGCATCCAGGTGCTGAGCTGCTCCTCTCCGTAGGCTCCCAGAAAGCCTTCGCGATCGACGACCTTGTCAAAAAAGGCTGCCACAGCCGAATCGGTAAGCGACGTCCTTCTGAGAATGTCAGCTGTGTCGAACGAGCTCCGCCTCCTGCTGGCAAGAGCTAGGGTCTCGCCGAGAAGCGTGGAAGCCCCCGGTGAGCGTGATATGGAGGTACGGCTCGACGAAGTAGGTCTCGAGGCCTGGTTACCACGTAATGTGCTTGAAAAGGTTGCTGTCGATGCGGATGTCGACGTCGGGACGGCAGGCAAGGGAGCGTCGCGTCGACTTGGCGTCATCGCCGGTGTCGTTGACGAGGCCGTCGTTGTCGTTGTCGTCGGGTAAGAAGTGGCGTGCAATGTTGTGGTCGAGGATACCGCCTCTGGGCTGTGCAGATATGTTGCCAGGTTCTGGGCCCGTGGAGCAAAGTAAGTGAGATCTTCGAGACCTTGTAGCCATTCTTGCTGCTGCTGCTGCTGCTGCTGCAATTGCGGCGGCGGCGCCGGCCGTGGCGGCTGGTCCTCCTTTTCACTGCCACCCCAAGCAGGGAGCCCTGCAAAAGAAAGCTCAGTCGGTGACTCGCTGACATTTCGTAATAGATCGTGTGAGAGGTGGCTGGCGTGCATCTGGTACGCCGTCTCCGGCGTCGTCGGCTGAGAGAGAGATGTCAGCTTAAAGTCGGACTGGCTAGTCGAACCTGAACCAGAGATCTCATGACGGTTCGAGGGGTGGAAAGTATCATTCGATGTCGCCTGTTGTTCGTGTCCACCGAAGGTGGCTCCTCTTCGTCGTTGATGAATGCCTGCTCCCGCCAGCTCATGTCCAGGAATATTTGGAATAGATGAAGTTGCAGAAGGGGGCTGTTGGTATTGCTGGTACGCTTGAAGCTGTGATAGCTCTTGCTGATAACGATGGTGACCAGCAGACGAAGAGGGATAGGAATTCGGCGAGCGGTTGAGAGGGTACGGTTTTGCCCGTTCTTGTCGTGCTGTTCGTGCCGGCTCACGTACCGGTCCCACCTGCTGTTGTGATGATGGTTGGAAGGATTGGTGAGAGGGCTCTTCTAGGATTCCGAGGCCTGCCAAAGCAGCCAGCCGAGCTTGCTTTGCTTCTTTGCTCCTTCTTTTCCGTTCTCGGGTTTGGGTGTTCTCCAGCCTGCAAATATCGGACAAAGGGACAGAGTCAGGGTCGTCTTCAAAGGGTATGTAACAATACCCACACAATACTTACTCGCTGACGGACTCGTAGACACAATTACGTCCAAGTCGGATGCATGTCGAACAGACGGGCTGAGCACCATCGCAACGGATTTTCCTTTGCGGGGTCACAAAGGTAAAAGAGTTTTCGACGGTAAGAACATGTTCGAGGGACTCGGAAGAGATCTTCAATCTGAAAGTCCGGAAAGGCTCACCTCTGTCGGCAGTGAATACAAGCCATGCTGACCCTTGCACGGCCGGTGCGGTTGGTCGAGGGCGATGCTAGACTCCCCCTGTCTACATCGTCCTCCCGCCCCGCACGAAGCTCATTGTGTCCCTCCTGCGAGGGTCCACTATTGCTCGACGTTGCGCCATGGTCAAACCTCCGCATGGTATAGAAGTGGCACCCCTTCCCCGCCCGACTTCTCTCAACTATCCTCTTGAAAAGAAGTTGTGGTGGGTCAGGAAAACGAGGGTGAGGAATTGGTCTCCCTTGCCTCTTTTACAGAAAGGGTGAAACTAAATAGTTGGCCGGAAACTTCGGGAGCGCCAAAAATGCGCGTTATGGATTTTTTGATCGCTCGGCCTGAATCCACCAATTGACGATGCGGCGCCAGAGACCCGGTTGACAACTCGTCGTCGCAATGACCGGTGGTCGACAGGCGAGGACAGAATTACGCCTTCTTTCTCGTTCTTTTGCGCGACTCTTTGGTGGTAGCAAAGAGAGAAAGAGAAAGAGGGGCAGCTTGGTGGAGAGCTTGAAGACGGAAGGTGAGCACAAAAGCGATGAACGTTTTTTTTTCTCTCGGTGTTGTTCCTAGGCCTCCTGGGCTTGGATGTGCGCCACCTATTTGTCTGGCACGACACAGCGGGGTAAGCAGCGCAATGACTCGCAACCTGTGTCGAGGGAAGAAACCGATTGGCAAATTAGCCCGATGTCATACACAGGTGACAGAGAGTATCTTGCTGTGGGAACGATACCGACGTATTGAGCCCTTCTTCTCAGCTACTACTTTGCGAGTACGGGGTCCGCAGATCGTACACTTATCTGGTCGGCCCTGTCTTTCTCGAGTAACACCGTCACCTGACGAAGGTCCTTTGGAAGTCGGGCCGAACGCAACACCGAAGGCCTCTTTTTGTCTTCGTCACCTTCTAATTCGTTCTCGTGTCCTCTCGCACTGAATGGAAGGGAAAGATGGTGTCTGGCCTGCATGCATAATCAGAGATTGAATCAAAACCGAGCTTGTCTCCTATCCTGTCACTGCAACGTCACCCACCGGTTGCGGGTTGCTTCACGATACTGTCGCGCTCTCCTTCATTCTGCTGAAAGACAGAAAAAGCTTTCAACCTCCGACGACCGCCCTTATTATCTGCGTCTTTTTCTTTCAACCAATTTCTCGAATTAGGCTTCCGTCTGCAGCGCTGGGCACGTTGGTGGCTTTGAAAGCAAGAAGGACAAGCTTTTGTCATGAACACACCACCCTGTCGGAGTTTCAAAGGGGCATCGGAGGTCAAAACAGAAAAGCTTGAGACTCTCTTGCGGTTCCGTATCCGACCGGAAGACAAAGCAGGGGCAAGGTCAAGCGCGATCACTGCTGGTGCCGCCTTGCTCTCGAAGGAATTGAGCGAAACTTTGGCTTCTAGGCCCTCATTTTCTTCTATTCTGTTTGGGCACCTTTCCTACCAATTGACGAATACGGTAACTCGGTGGGGTGCGATAAGGCGGTCTAAAACCCTTCGTCCTTCACCCATCTATCTCTGATCGGCTCTGTTCGCAAAAAGTTTAAATCTTGTTTATAACACACTACACTCTACAGGCTGTCGATCGAACTTTGTACCGCATTTTGACACTATCATCATCTGACACACTTTAATATGTTGACGTGATGAGTGGGTAAATAGTCGTCCTCGTTCTTGCTCCATGTTCAAAAGTGGCCGGCAATTTTTTTTGAATGCAAGCTTTCACCTTTTCCCATGGACAGGTCACGCCCCAAAGCCGCATGAGGGCCGTAAGATGTGATGTTAATTAACCCCTAATGGGACCTTTAGCGACTCTTTACACATCATCAACGATCGGGTCTGTCTGACTTGCATCGTCAGTCATCCTCACTATTCGGAAGTTCGTCCCGTTCCGAGCTCGAGATGGACCCCCTCGCCTATTAACCGATCTTTTTCGTACGATAACTTAAATTTACGACTTTGCCGCAATCTATGGGAGTGGGGGAAACGACAAAAGTCAATGATCCGACGGCCACTTCCCGCTTTCACCGCGAACCGAGTCGTAATAGTGAAATCGCTCAGCTCTGCTTACGAGGCCGCGCTCCGCGGCCTCTTCCCATGCACCTCTTCGGGTGGGGTGGTCTCGACCCTTAGTAGACGAGCTAGCGAACCACAGCAATGGTTCGATACTATCAACCCCACCGCAGGTGAACGAGCCGGGTCCGGCCACGTAAAACAATGGGCGAAACGGGTCAGCATCGAACAAACTCCGCTACAGACTAGTACATACACTGCATACAGAATTAGCTGCTGATGTGCCTCGCATCCATGTGAGTCCTGACATATGACTAAGTCGCTAGTACGTGTCGCTGCTCAATTTATGATCTGTTAATGTCTAGAAACAGGTGCATGTGAATTTTGTTGAGGATATTACTAATACTGTTTTTGCACGCTTGTTGCCCGTGCCCGTATCAACGGCAAACATCGTCGGCCAAAATTAGTGTACCGTTCTTTCTTAACAGATTGGCCAGGGAGGGTGGTCCGTGGCTGACCGCGCCTGTCAAAAGTCTTCTAGATGACTTGGACGACAAAGGCGAAGCAACCTCGAAAGGCGCACCCGTCACGGCACAGCTTGATCAACCTTCAAGTGTCGCCACTTCCGAGCTATCTTGACGTAGCGTGTCAGGCAAGGTCCGCGCGCTGCCAAGAACAATCAGACGATGAGAATTGAGTCATTTAGCAGTCACTTAGAAAAAAAAGCCACAGTAAAAGGTGTTTAGGCCGACCACCAAAGACCACTAATTACAAGCACTGTACGTGTCGGAGAGACCTCCCAAAAAGCACTCACGGGCTTCTTGTCGAGGCTGTTCTTCGGTCTCATAATTGCAGCTACTGTAGCTGTGCCACACTACAGTGTGGCTACACTGCGTACTGGCTGTAGCCTATTGAACAGAAAAAAAAGGTACAGTGGAATGGAAGACTTATCCTTGGCCCTCTGCGCAGTCCGTGCGCAGGAGTCGAGCCGGTCGGACTTCCTTGATAACTGGACATTCAGTCTCCGTCCGAGAACAATTTAACACAATTGCTCAAATTGCATGACCGTGGCACCGTTGTGTGCAAGGGCACTGGTAGGCCAAGATCTCTCCTTGTACCGTGCACGATCTGATTGGACACAATACACACGCACGCCCGCCACTTTTGCATATGAATTTTTATTTGGTGGTTGGCCGTCGGGCATTTGACGCATCTCGGCATGGTAGAGGGCATTCTTCGGACCGGATTGTCTAGAGAGTATGAAAGCTTTTGACGTCGTCAATATATGCAACGGGTGCTGCAGGCCTGCTCACTACCACGGTGGCCGTCCGCACCGATGGGTGACACCATTCGGGCATCGGTTTTGCTCGGCATCTTCGAGTCCTCCCTCGCCACAATCCACAGACACATTGTCATGATGCAATTTGAGGTGAACACTTCTATGTGACAGAGTCAAGAGATCGAGTTGTGGCAGAGGCGAGTGTATGGCCCTACGGCATCGCATGGCCACTCTCCTGCCAGGCCTCAATGACGGTTTTTCGAAGCCTCTGAAAGGCCTCTTCGACGTCTTCCTCAGGAATCAGACTGAAGCTGGTTCGCACGTAGCACGTTGTCTTTGAGTCTGGCATAAACGCCACGCCGGGCACAGCCAACACAAGGTTTTTTAAAGCCTTTTCGCCAATGAGGCTGAACGAATCGCCCTCTTCGACGCCTTCATCGGTGGGCGGAAGCTTGAGTTTGAACCAAAGGAACATGCCGGCAACGGGTGTGATCCATTCAGCGACTGCCTTTTGCTTGCCGTTGTTTGTGCCGAGCACCTTTTGGGCTTTCTGCTCAAAGTTGTTGCGACGGTTCTGGTAGAACTCGGCCACGGTGTCGCAGTGCCGAAGGAAGCCGTCAATACCCCATCGCTCAAGCAAGGCGAGCACCATGGCCTGCGCCGCGCCATTTGGCTGCAGATTGGCCGACGATGTGTCGAGATCAATGGCATCGAGGATGGTGTTTGGGCCCGAGAGAAAGCCAACTCTGATGCCGGCCGAAAGGACTTTGGAAAAGCTATCGAAGCGGAGAACCCACCCCGTGCCGCCGTAGCGCTCGGCATCATCCTGCTCCAAGCTCCAATAGGTGCGAACGCGCCTCCTCGTTTCGGGTGTGCCTTCGCCCAATCCTTGGAAGCTGATGAACATGTATGGATCGTCTTCGAGGATCAAGATGCCATAGCGCCGAGCAATGTCGAGGTTCTCCTTCTTGCGCTGCTCCGATGCCGTAGTGCCCGTCGGATTGGCGCCAGTCGGCGTAGTATAGACGAACTTGGGGAACGGCAAATCTCTCGTTGAGACATTTGTGTGCCAGTTGGCGAGAATGTCTTCAAGCGAGACGGGCGACATACCCTCGCGGTCTCCCTCCACAGCAATGATGTTGATGCCCATCGTTTGCAGCGGCGGGAGAATGCCACTGTGTCATCGACCGGCGTCAGCTGGGACATACGCTGTACTTCTCACGAAGCAAGATTACGTACGAATATGCGGGCCGCTCAGCAAGGCACGTCTCCCCCGGGTTGAGCAGAGCGTGGAAGGTCTTCATAGGGATGGAGTCTTCAGAGTCAGGAGAATACGACAGGATGGGGAATGTCTCTCACCTTTGTCAGCAGGTCCTGACTGCCTGCTCCTACGGTGACACGCCAGGAGTTCTTTCCGTCCTTGACCTGATCACCCTTCCTGACAATGTCCCTGCCGTGGATCTTGTGCTGCCACTGGACCAGCCATTCGATGAAGCGAGGCAGACCAGCCGTGGCGCTGTACTGGAGCGCATCATCAAGATCGCTGCCCGTAATGTCGATCTTGTCTCCGTTCTTGAGACCCAGTGAAATCGATTCGAACGGAAACGTGCTCGCATTGGGCTTGCCCGCAAGCAGCGATAGCATGCCGGGGATCAGCTCCTGTGGGAAAAGCGACCGGATAGCCGACGGCGGGCGTGCAATCGCGCTCTTCGAAAGCATTGCCCTGTGGTCCAGCCCCAGGCCAGCCTTAATGGCCTCGTGGGTGCCGTTCACCGGAGTGTCTACCGTCATGGTCGTCAAGACCCAAGCCGTGTGATCACCAACAGGCCGATAGTGTTGTAGTGACTCACCAGCCGCGGTGATTCTCCCTGCAGAAGTTCGAGAGATTAGGTTAAATTTTGAGCCCAAGGAACCCCGAGATCCGAAGTGGACCTTGAATTTTTCCACATGGTCTAATTTGCCACGTGTGAAAGTTAGATTTTTTTTTCTTGATAGAAGCCGCAGTCCCGGCCGAGCCAAGTGCGTTTGAGCGTAGCCGCCTGGTCGCCATCAACTCTGTCCATTCGACTGACTCCCCAACGACAAGAAGCCGCCCATCATGGTGGGTAATTTTGGCAAAGAATAAGCTCTGGAGACACGGCTGACCTCGAAGGATCCATCACAGTCTCTCGTTGCTCCCGACCCCTCGCAGAACTTCAACCACATCTTGCGTCTGTTGAACACCAACGTCGACGGCAAGATCAAGATCATGTACGCCCTCACCAAGATCGGTGGTGTCGGTAGGCGGTACGCCAACATCGTCTGCAAGAAGGCTGACGTTGACCTTGGCAAGCGGTGAGTATCTGTTCTGTGTGGAACGGTTAAGGGAGGGTTTCAGGGGAGTCATGAAGGGCGGGACAAGAAGTGGGAAGATGGAGTGGATCTGCATTCGGCAAGGAGGAAACACGATAAAGTAAACGAAGAGGGATTAGAGGTGGTTGGGGAGACAACTGGAACCAGCGGGCCACGGACGATGAAGGGCGAGCCCATGCGTAGAACAGAAGGCCACACCGAGCACCCGGTCGCATTGCGGCCTAAGCCAGCGTCACGACAGGGCATGCCAGGCGAATTGAAGAACGCATCTGGTGTGCTCTTGGTTGGCGGCTGCGGCTGCGAAACGATGAGATAACTCTTTTGGGAGGGTTGTTCAGACGAAACGTAGCTGCAAAGAAGGGAGGAAGTGGGGCAAAATAGGGAGACCCAGGGCCAAAGCAGATGCGACAGAGGAGACAGTGAAAGCAATGGAGGAGAGGATTTCTCGATGCTAGAGAGTATTCCTGGTGCCTCATGCTGACTGGTCTTCTATCTCCTTTCTCAGCGCTGGTGAGCTCAACTCGGACGAGCTTGAGCGAATCGTTCAGATCCTCCAGAACCCTGCCGAGTTCAAGATCCCCACCTGGTTCCTCAACAGGCAAAAGGACATCGTCGATGGCAAGTACCACCAGATCCTGTCCAACAACGTCGACTCGAAGTTGCGTGAGGACATTGAGCGTCTCAAGAAGATCAGGGCGCACAGGGGTATCCGCCACCACTGGGGTCTCCGTGTCCGTGGTCAGCACACTTGCACCACTGGTCGCCGAGGCAGGACCATCGCCAACAAGAAGAAGTAATCATCGTCACACGCAGCTCCTCTCTTGTCGCGTCGTAGATGGCTATCTTTTCTGTCCCATTCACCCACTTGTAACTCTTGATTCTTTCTTCATGACGAAAAAGGGTGCCGTCCTAGCCTCGCACACCCTACCACACATGCTCTCTTCATTATCAATCACATGTGCAGTATAAACAGACTCAGAGCTCGAAAATGGCTCAGCTGAAGATCTCGTCTGTTTTGAAGAACTCTCTGCAACTTCCAGGGGATCTTTTCGGTATGATCGGGGAAAGATGAGACCAACCTGATACCGAGAGGTGATGAATGGATGGCCCTGACGGTTCCAGCAAGGCGCGCGCGCAGCCTGGGGTGGAGAAAAAAAAGACCGACTGGTCAAGTGCCTGGCTTGCTTAGTCGATGCCTGAATTCGGTGAGCTTCACGCAACAGCCCAAAAGTCCTCGAACGGACCAAGGCGGGACCCTAACCGGACAGCTGCTATCTCTTTTCTTTTTCCAGGGCCACTTTTCTACTCCAGCTCCCTTGACAAACAATCAGCGAGCTCAAGTCCAGCGATCGGTTCCCATCGGCGCTTTGCGATAATTGTGCATTTCTCCAAAGTTGTTCGATTGAGAATTTGATCGGCTTCTGCGCTCCAAGGGCGAATTTGGCGATTGCAAAGGGTCAAGCCACATGCGGAGGACACAAGAAGGATTCGTAGATCGTGCCAGCACCACTTCTTAGTCATGTCCTCATCGCACGCTCCGAGCCGCGAGCAGGATTCCACGGGAAGGACAACACCGACGCCCGACGATCCTGCTGTCCCTTCTGACCTCCGCATCAACATTCCCGGCGCGGGCGACCAAGACGCGGCAAAGCATCCCCAGAAGAAGAAACGCGAGCCTTCGACGAGTGAGTCTCGTCGAGAATTTGCAGATAGCGAGGGGACAATCAACTAATCATTTGTCCTTGAACTTTCTCGCAGCCTCGACGCCGACAGTATCGACAGTCCAGCAAAAGGAGGACAAGCACAGACCAAATCCGCTCAGCAGGTCTTCGTTCCACTCTCGCGACTCGGTGCACACCCACGTCGCCGACTACCAGGACCCCAGCTCACCCTACGCTGTGAGTATTTGGACTTCTGTTGGGCCCTTCTTCTTTGTAGGCACGACAAGCTGACGACTTTGTGCCATCCTAGAATCCAAACCACTATTCGGCCAGACCAGATTCGTACCATCGCCGCTCATCTTCTCGAGGAGAGAGCCTAATTCTGCCTTCTGCCATGACGCCCACATCAGCCACGCCGGGCTCGACCTTCAATCACCACCATCACCACAACCAGCACACGCATTTTCCCAGTGCCAGCCACGAAGATATGGGCCACCACCGCGGCCCGACCTCGTTTCAAGAGCGTGGCTTTGACCACCTCAATTCCCACAAGATCTACACTGTCGAGGAGAAGCGTCTGGACGAGGACCTTCGTAAGGAGCGCTACTGGCGACGGTGGGGCTGTTACCTTAGCGAGAGGCAATGGGCTACTGTCAGGGAAGACTACAGCGCCAATGGAGACCCGTGGACCCACTTCCCCCACGAAATCGCTCGCAGCCGAACATATCGCTGGGGAGAGGATGGCATCGCAGGTATCTCCGACAACCACTGCCGCCTTGGCTTCAGCCTGGCTTTTTGGAACGGAAAGGACAGGATGCTCAAGGAGAGGATCTTTGGTCTTGCCAACAATCAGGGTGAGCAGATTGACTTGCTCAACGTGTGTCCCATTGGTTCTCCCTGACAGGTAATGATCGTTTGCACAGGAAATCATGGAGAGGACGTCAAAGAACTGTACTACTACCTCGACAACACGCCGACTCACAGCTACATGAAGATGCTGTACAAGTACCCGCAGGAAGCCTACCCGTACGATCAGCTTGTGCGCGAATCGCAAATGAGGAGCAGGGATGTGGCCGAGTTTGAAATCACCGACACCAATCTCTTTGACGACAATCGCTACTGGGATATCTTCATCGAGGTGGGTCGCTAATCGGGCTGCCGTTGCCATGATCTTTACCTGTCTTTGGCTCACTCTTTCTTTTGCAGTACGCAAAAGACGCAGACAACGAGAATGCCATCTCGGTGCGCATCAGCGCATACAACCGAGGTCCCGAGCCCGCCGACCTGCACATCATCCCCCAACTCTTTTTCAAGAATTACTGGTTTTGGCCAAAGGAGACACCCGAGAAGCCAACGCTGCAGCAGACGGACGACATCACGATCCAAGTCGACCACAAGGACTTGGGTCGTACGCATCTCTACTGCTCGACGAGCCCTGCCCCCAGTGCACCACCTCGCAAACGCGGCATGGCCCCAGAGCTCATCTCCGACGAGGAGGTGGCGCCCGAGATTCTCTTTACCGAAAACGAAACCAATTTCGAACGCCTCTACGGTGGGCAGAACAAGTCGTATGCCAAGGACGCCTTCCACGACCACATTGTCCCCTGGCACCGCTTGGAAAAGGATCAGCCTCAGAAGGTCCGCAGGACGAGGATGGTCAAGAAGACTGTCAATGTGGTCAAGTCGGTCAAGAGAAAGGTCAGCAAGGCGGCGAAGGTCAACGGTCAGGCGTCTGAAGAACCCAAGGTGAACGGGACCGACAAGAAGAGCACTACGGTTGAGGATGAAGAGGAAGAGGTCGAGGACCAGGTCGAGGTGCCCGAGGAAGTCGAGGAGGAGGAAGAATACTTTGACCCTCCCGAGGACTTTGCCCCCCGTCGCGAATATGTCAACCCGGAGAAGAAGGGCACCAAGGCAGGCGTCCATTACTTCTTCGAAAAGGTGCCTCCCAATGGAGGATGCGCCGTTGTGCGAATGAAGCTCACTCCCAACACGCCAGACAGCGACCCGAGCATCAACGATGACGAGCAGTTTGACGCCCTCGTCGAAGCTCGACGTGGCGAGGCAGAAGAGTTCTACCACCGCATCGCCCAAGGCCCCCTTCCGGACGACATGAGGTCGATCATGAGGCAGGGCTACGCAGGTATGCTGTGGAACAAGCAGTACTACTGCTTTATCCAGCCCGAATGGATTGCCGGCGATCCGGGACAGCCTCCTCCGCCTCCCGAGCGCAAGCAAGTCCGCAACAAAGAGTGGCGCCATCTGCATGCCGAAGACGTCCTGTCGATGCCCGACAAGTGGGAATATCCCTTCCCTTGCGTGTGGGACACCGCTTTCCACTGCATTCCTCTGGCTGTCGTCGACCCTACGTACGCCAAGAAGCAGCTGGACCTCTTCACACGAGAATGGTACATGAAACCAGATGGAGGTCTGCCGGCGTACGAATGGAACTTCAGCGACGTCAACCCTCCGGTGCATGCCTGGGCAACATTCCGAGTATTCAAGATTGAGCGCAAAATGTATGGCCGCGAAGACCTCGACTTCCTCGAGCGTGTGTTCCAGAAGCTCCTCATTAATTTCACCTGGTGGGTCAACCGAAAGGATTCAAGTGGCTCCAATGTTTTCGAAGGCGGCTTCCTCGGCCTTGATAATATCGGCCCCTTCAACCGGTCGGAGCCCTTGCCAACCGGTGGTACGCTTCGCCAAGCGGACGGCACGGCCTGGATGTCGTTCTATGCACTGCAGATGCTCAATATGGCCCTGGAACTTGCAAAACACAACCCGACGTACGAGGACATCGCCTCGAAATTTTTTGAACACTTTATCTTCATCGCCGACGCTATGACGTACCAGGAGAGCGACATGGAGTCGTCGCTGTCTCTTTGGTCCGATGAGGAGCAATTCTACTTCGATGCCATCCAGTTCTCGCCAGGGCACAGCGAATTGATTCGGGTCAAGAGCTTGCTGGGCCTGATTGCCCTGTACCCTACCTTGAGTGAGTTGTGGCCTTACCAGATTTCCACATTTCTCGATGGAGACTGACCACGTACAATCAAAGCCCTCGAGCCACACGTCTTCACGCGATTCCCGTCGTTTGGCAAGCGAGTCAAGTGGTTCCTTGACAATCGACCAGAGATCTCGAAGCGCAATATCCAGATTTCTGGTGGTCGTGGAAATCGCCGACTGCTATCGATGGTGGACCGAGAGCGCTTGGCAAGCATTCTCAAGAGGATGCTCAACGAGACCGAGTTCCTCTCTGACTACGGCATTCGCAGTCTGTCCAAGGAGCATGCCGAACACCCATGGGGCATCGATGTCAACGGACAACGATTCGAAGTGGGCTACTGGCCAGGTGACAGTCGCTCGCCCATGTTTGGAGGCAACAGCAACTGGCGAGGACCAATCTGGATTGCCGTCAACTTCCTCCTCGTCGAGAGCCTCCAGCGCTTCTACCAATTCTACGGGAACAGCTTCTCCATTGAATGTCCTACTGGGTAAGCACATCGACCGCCGAGCATCGAAGAGGTATTCAACTGACCGCACATGAAATCGAAACAGATCGGGTAACATGATGCACCTCGCTCAGGTCGCAGAAGAGCTCTCGTCCCGCCTCATTTCCATCTTTGAGCGCGACCATGTCCAGCAGCGACGACCGTGCAACAGCGGAGTGCCCATCCTGGACCATGACCCCCACTTCCGCGACCTGGTTCCCTTCCACGAGTTCTTCCACGGCGACACAGGTGCCGGCCTTGGCGCGAGCCACCAATGCGGATGGACGGGTCTCATCTCTTACCTCATCTGCACCACTGGCTTTAGCGTCCGAACACCGAGGACGCCTCGCAGTATGGCGCAACATTACTTTGACGAGCACATCACCGACGACGGCAAGAGCGACGGTGGCAGCACCTCGGCACCCCAGTCTGCTGCATACTCGAGGCCCCCCTCGCCTGACGAGCTGTGATGTGGTGCAGGACGGAGCATGCGTATATTTTATGTGTCAGATATTTGACCTCCCACCATGGAGGGACAAGACGAGAGGAAGAGACAAGATCAAGCTAGAAGATGTCAAAGAGAAGCTCGAAAGCCGAGAATGGAGTAGAATAAGCAGTTCGGCTGCAGCCTCCATATTGCAGCCATGTCTGATAAGGTTCTTTCATCAACGTCTGCAAGCCATCATTTCACCATCTGCAGAAGCCTGACGTGCTGTTCAAGCACGTGGAATTCTCATTTCGCGCAAAGCGCGGGCCTGCACATTCCGGCCGGGCGCCGAGACGGCGGTGCTCTCATTATTTTTTAAATCCGAAATGCTCCCCCCCATCCTGCCTTCTTCCTCTTGCTCTCATCCTTGACTCCGCATTGTTTCTCTCTCTGTGAGGCGAAGGCAGCAAGGGCAGCTGCACGCAACACCTGGATCCATAGACGAAGAGTGGTGGTGGCGCGGCGCTGGACCCTCACGAGGCTCTTTGATGCGCACGGCTTTCGGCTTATCGGGCTCAAAATCAGTCCCATTTTACTTTCAATCTCCACCCTGGCCCGCGACCTCTGTTGGAAGAGAAGATGGCGGACTTTGACACTGAAAAGGAGGTCATGCTGTCGAAAGCCTCGTCTTCGACGAGCAAGGGTAACGCTGCGATCATGTCGGCACAGTTCAAGATCGGAGGCATGACGTGCGGGTCTTGTGTCGAGGTGAGTCGCGCGCAGTCGTCGTCGTCGGGCCGAGATGAGAAAGCGCATGCTCACAGACAGTAACAATCTCGCCACGCAGACCATCGAGCGCATGCTGCGTCAGCAGGATGGGATACACAGCGTCACGGTCGCTCTCCTTGCCGAGAAGGGCGTCGTGGAATACGACGATTCAAAGTGGACGCCTGCCAAGATCGCAGAGGAGATCGAGGACATGGGCTTCGAGGCCGAGGCCCAGGCGGAGCAGCGAGAGGACTCACAGGTTTTCAAGGTGTACGGCATGACATGTGCCTCGTGCACCTCTGCCGTCGAAACAGGCATTGGCAAGATGGATGGCGTCGTTTCGTGTGTCGTGTCGCTCGCTACCGAGGAGGCTCGCGTCGAATTTGATGCGGCCAAAGTCGGCCTGAGAGACATTGTCGAGGCCATTGAAGATCTCGGCTTCGATGCTGTTCTGGCCGACGATCGCGACTCGACGCAGCTTCAGAGCCTGAGCAGGGTCAAAGAAGTGGCCGAGTGGCGGCGCGCCTTTACCTTCTCCCTCTGCTTCGCCGTGCCCGTCTTCATCATCTCGATGATCCTGACAAAGTTCCACTCGACTCGAGCCCTCCTCATGTGGCAACTCCTGCCCAATCTCTACCTGCAGGACTTGCTCTGCCTCGCCCTCACCACCCCTGTCCAATTTGGCGTGGGCAAGCGATTCTACGTGACGACCTTCAAGGCGTTAAGGCACAAGAGCGCCACAATGGACGTCCTCATTGTCCTCGGCACAACGGCATCGTACACTTACAGCTTCTTTAGCATGCTCTTTGGCCTTTTCTGCTCGGGCGAATGCATGAAGCCGGCGACTTTCTTTGAGACGTCGACGATGCTCATCACGTTTGTCACCTTTGGCCGCTATCTCGAAAACGCGGCAAAGGGAAAGACGAGCGAGGCCCTGAGCAAGCTCATCAGCCTCACACCCAGCACCGCCGTTGTATACACCGACGGAAAGGCCATGACAGCCGAGCGCAAGGTCCCCTCTGAACTCATCCAGCGAGGCGACATTGTCAAAGTCGTACCAGGCGAAAAGATTGCCGCCGACGGCATCGTCGTTCGAGGCTCGAGCACCGTTGACGAGAGCATGGTCACGGGCGAGGCAGTGCCCATCACAAAGACGCCCGGAAGTGCAGTCATCGGTGGTACAGTCAATTCGCTGGGAAGCTTCGACTTCGAGGTCACGAGAGCGGGCAAGGAAACGAGTCTGAGCCAGATTGTCCGATTGGTCAGTGACGCCCAGACAGACAAGGCGCCTATCCAGGCCTATGCCGATCGTGTTGCAGGGGTTTTCGTGCCGTCGGTTGTCCTGCTCGGCGCTGGTACTTTTCTTTTCTGGATGGTCACGGCCCACGTCTTTAACCTTCAGGCGTTGCCTGACGTCTTCCGGGAAGAGGGTGCGACAAAGACAATGGTGTGCCTTAAGTTGTGCATCAGCGTCATTGTCGTTGCATGTCCATGCGCGTTGGGCCTCAGCACCCCCACAGCCGTCATGGTTGGCACGGGCGTGGGAGCGCAGAACGGTATCCTCATCAAGGGCGGCGGACCACTGGAGGCCAGCCAGACGATCGGCCACATCATGTTTGACAAGACAGGCACCTTGACGAGGGGCAAGCTTAGTGTGGCAGCCCTCTGCTGGGGTGACGGAACGATTTCAGGAAGTTCGTCAGAACAGCGCATCGTCGCGGACGGAGACGAGGCCAAGGCGTCGTCCCCAGTCGTCTTCCTGAACGACTTGCAGCAGGCATCGACGGCGGGGCTCTCGAGACGGCAGGCGTTGCAAGCCATAGGAGCAGCAGAAGGCCGGAGCGAACATCCGCTAGCCAAGGCCACGTCGCACTTTGTGAGCGCCTCTTTGGGTCAAGCTGAAGGGCAAGATCCGTCGGTCTCGGAGTTTGAGAGCATTACGGGCCAGGGTATCCGTTGCCGCGTCACCCTCTCGCAACACATCGGCAGTACTTCGCACCGCATCAAGGTCGGCAATCTCGATCTCGTCTCCAGCACCCAAGGCGCAGACTTCCCGGCTGCCGTACACCTCTTCCGAGAGCAGCAGGAGGGGCTCGGCAGAACGGTCGTGTATGCGACGATCGACGGATCGCTGACTTGTGCCATGTCGTTGGCCGACATGCTCAAGCCAGAAGCTCGACAGTGCATCGATGGCCTTCGCAAGATGGGTATCCGATGCGGCATCATGACAGGCGACAGCCAGGCGACGGCTCTGGCCATTGCAAAGGAGCTTGACATTGACACAAGTGACGTCCACGCTGGCATGAGTCCCAACGGCAAGCGAAGTGTCATCGTCAAGCTGCGCGAGCAGGCTGAGACTCGTGCCAGCCATGGTGGACGCGGTTTGCCGCTGACAGGTGCCTCTCGGCGGCAGAAGCCCGGCATCGCCATGGTCGGTGATGGTATTAATGACTCACCCGCTCTAGCCGCTGCTACGTTGGGCATTGCCGTCGGGACAGGATCGGAGATTGCCATCGAGGCGGCTAGCATCGTCCTCATGCGCGACAATCTGCTCGACGTAGCTGCTTCCCTGCACTTGAGCCGACGCATCTTTGCCCAGATTCGCGCAAACTTCGTCTGGGCCACGGCCTACAATTTCGTTTTTGTTCCTTTGGCCATGGGCGTCGGGTTACCGTGGGGAGTCCACCTGCATCCAATGATGGCAGGCGCGGCTATGGCGTTCAGCAGCGTCAGCGTCGTCCTGAGCAGCCTCACGCTCAAATGGTGGGCGCGACCAAGCTGGCTCGTGCGGCCTCTCGACGGTGCGGAGGATCAGATGGGCGCGCTTGAAGGCGACGATGTCCAGTCGATGGGCTTTCTCAACGACGAATCGCACACGGCTGCAAAGTGGTGGACCTCAGCGCGCACTTGGATCGGAGGCTCGGCGAGGGCCGGCAACCGTGGCGTTGGAAGCAGCTACCAGAGCGTGCCCGTCGAGTTGGCATGATGCTTATTCCTGGCTGGGTCTCTTCAATTTTATACCTTCATTTTCCAACCATTGATTGTCTGTGTGCCTGAACTGGAGCGGGAATCAAGTGGGGTTTAGACGACGTTGCTCATGTTTCGGTGCCAAAATAAACTACCGCGCTACTGCAGGCCCGGAAATGCCATTCTTTGAGAATGCCCTCCAAAAAGGGCAGGGAACGTGATGCCTCGCTATCCCTCATCCCATCTTCAGCTTAAGCTCTCCGGCGTTGATGAGGTCGCTGCGAGTACGAAAAGGTACTATGTTTGCCCGGCTGCTCGTTTTATTGGCCTGTGTTGGCCTCGCCTCGTCCCTCTCCATCCCTCAGGAGTCCTTCTCGACCACGTCGGCTTCGTCAAGAGCAGCCCCTCTCGATCCATACCCTTCACAGCCGCTCCTCTCATTCGGTGCTTCGACTCCCGAAAAGTTCAAGCTGCTCATCATCACCGATACGCACCTCCTCGATGACCAGACAGTGCCCGGGAACGCTTCCAACGTCTCGCGCGCATCGACGGACGCGGTAAGGCAGTATCTCGAGGTCGAAAAGCCAGACTACGTCGTTCATCTGGGCGACCTCGTCAGTGGAGAGGTAGCCAACAGTTCGGCGCAGGTCCGCGATGCCGTTCGGCAGATTCTTGGTCCAGCTGGTGAGGCCTTTCCTTCCATCTATTTCTCTCTCTCTCTCTCTCTCTCTCCCTTAACCTTTGATCAAACGAATGCTGAGGAAAACGAATTTCTCTGCAGTCGAGAAGCAAATTCCCTTCTCGACGACGAAGGGCAACCACGACAATGATGTCTACTCGACCCACGGCCAGATTACCGACTACGAGCACGAATTGGCACCGCAGCTAACGTACACCCGCAAAGCACCCGCCGGCGTTGGTGGCGGTTCCAACGGAGAAGGCTCAGACAACTATTGGTGAGTGACAAGAGGTATACCGTAAAGTCAAAGCAAGAGGGCGTCCGTGCTAATTGAATGGTTGGTGGACGGACAAGGGTTCCAATCTACCCTTCCAAAGATGCACCGAGGGGCTCAAAGCCGGCTTTGGTCCTTTGGTTCTTTGACTCGCGGTCGGGTAAACAGCTCAAGTCAGAAGGGTGAGTGTGGAGAAGAATTGTACTCGTGCACCCCGGCGTTTCAAACTGATCCCACTGGTCTCCAGAAACGGACTGATCGATGACTGGGTCGACTCGAGCGTGGCAGGCTGGATCAACTCGGAAGTTTCCCAGCAGGAGAAAGCCTGGGGATCTGTTCTGCCCCCTTCGCTGCTCTTTGTGCACATTCCGATCCAATCTACAAATTACACGCAGAACCTAGCACCATACAGTGACGAGGTTGGCGGCGTGACCGACGAAAGGCCCGAGAGTTTCACAAGTGAAGGGAAAAGGTATGAGGGCCTCAACGTTGATAAGCCACTCAACACCCAGGGACACGGTGGCGGTGAGTTGATTCCCTCTTCAGTATTCTGATGGTAAAGAGAAGCCATCTGACGGTGCGTTACAAAAAAAAGAAGCGGGACAGTACAACGGGCAAGACCTGCCCTTCCTCAATGCGATCACAAAGGGGAAAGCAGGCAAATCGAGGTTACATGCCATCGTCTCTGGCCACGACCACGGAAATGACTGGTGCGCACCGTCAAACGTCACGACGGCCGCCGCACAGGTGCTGCCCCTCTGCTTCGGAAAGCACTCTGGCTTTGGTGGATACGACTACGATCCGTGGAATCATGGGGCAAGAATCTTCGAATTCGATCTCGACTCCGTCGACAAAAGCGTTCGGACCTACATTCGCATGTTGACCGGCGAGACTGTAAGTCGCACTTCTGCTCTCCCGTGCATGATCCCTTGCTCAGTGTTTCGCTGCCTTGACACAGCGATACGACACCTTGATTGATGATGCCTGGGCAAAGACAAGCTGATGAGACCATCTTAACTCCCTTCCCTCCTCTCCCTCCCCACTTCCTTGGAATTTATACACCTTCCTTCTTTCTTTCATTTTTCGCTTGCACACCAAAAAGAAGACAGAGATTCGATTGTGATTCGAGCAAGGATGCTGAGGGCCTCTAATGGTCGCCCTCGCCGGCCTCCTCGGCCATATCAAAGTAGGACCATTGTCCAGGGTTTGGCGTAACCTCAAGCGGTTCGTGGCTGGTATGAAGGGCAGCTCTGTTAGCGAGCGGGCTCTGCCTTCTCACGACCAAGACAGACAACATCACTCACGACTTCCACTCGAGCATCTTTGCTGCCAGCTTCAGCTCGTCCTGTGCCTGAATGAGAACTTCCTCGATCTGACCGGCATCGATGGCCTGCTCGACCTCGTTGATCGTCTCTTCGACATCCGCCGTCTTGTCCTTGTTCGCGGGCGTGTCTAGCCTCTTGACGAGGTCGAGTCTGTTCTGTGTAAGAGCTGCGCACGCCTGCCGGTAGACAGACTGTGCTGGGAGCGTCTCGAGGAGCGAGAGCGTGCTCTGATACGTTTCGACGAGAGCTGGCAGCGGGTTGGGGTGAACGGCCAAGCCAGTCAGGTGCGTGCTGACCTTACTCCGCGCAAGAGACGAAGCCCCAGCCGAAGCAGAGGCAATCGTGCTTGCGCTCGAGGCCGCTCGAAGGATCCGCGAGGCGATCATGACTTTTGGCGTCGTCGTGATTGGACGAAGCTTTGGAAGGCTGGTGCTCTGCCACACCTTGAGCGACGATCAAATCACGTGTCGCGCGCCCAGTGGATTTTTTTCTAAATTTTCTGGGAAGTCAATCCTTCTTGTCCCTCCCTACAGCCCGAGACGACAAACTGACAATGGACGGCCAAAGGGCCAAGCCCAGACTCACAAGGGCACAGTCCGGACGTGGAAAGGCTCAGATGCAGTCGAGGTCGCGGGGCGCCCGGAAGCAGAAGAGGCAGAACGACGACGAAGAAATTCGAGAGCTGGAGGAGAGGGCCAAGCAACTCGTTAGCAGCCAGGCGGACGCCAAGGGCAAAGGGAAGCAGGTCAAGGATCTCGTCAAGTTTGACGAGCTACCCCTGTCCAAGAAGACTGTGCAAGGTAGGTGTTGTGCAGCTCAGAAAGACCAATTCTGCAGCGAGCTGACCCTCTCTTGGATCTTACTTTAGGATTGAAGAAGGCATCGTTTACGGAAATGACCGATATCCAGGCAAGAACGCTGCCCCTGTCCCTCAGCGGCTCGGATATCCTCGGAGCCGCACGTACAGGATCAGGAAAGACGCTGGCATTCGTGATCCCAGTTCTTGAGCGTCTCCATCGGCAGAAGTGGGGACCCTCGGACGGCTTGGGAGCCCTAATCTTGTCGCCCACTCGAGAGCTGGCTATGCAGATCTTCGATGTCCTTCGCAAGATCGGGGGGTTCCATACCTTCAGCGCAGGCCTCGTTATTGGCGGAAAGGACGTGAAGATGGAGCAGGATCGCTTGACTCGGATGAATATCCTCGTTGCGACACCTGGAAGGTTGCTTCAGCACATGGACCAAACGACTGGCTTCGACGCTAGCACGATTCAGGTCCTGGTTCTGGATGAGGCCGATCGATGCCTTGACATGGGGTTCGAAAACACCCTCGATGCCATACTCGAGAACCTACCAAAAGGCACGGGAAGGCAGACACTCCTTTTCTCGGCCACGCAAACGAAGAGGGTCAAGGATTTGGCAAGGCTCAGCCTTGCTTCGCCGGAATACGTTGCCGTCCGAGACGAGGCAGAGAAGGGCCTGACGCCAGCCAATCTGCAGCAAAATTACATGGTCGTCAAGCTGGACAGCAAGCTGTCAACGCTCTTCTCCTTTCTTCGGACGCATTTGTCATCGAAGGTCCTCGTTTTTCTCTCGTCTTGTCGACAGGTCCAATTCGTCCACGAAAGCTTCCGAAGAATGAGGCCGGGTATCTCGCTGATTTGCTTGCATGGCAAGCAGAAACAGACGAAGCGGCTGCAGATCTTCAATGACTTCACCAAAGCTCAACACGCTGTCCTCTTCGCGACCGACATTGCTGCCAGAGGCCTCGACTTTCCAAGCGTAGATTGGGTCATTCAGGTGGATGCGCCCGAGGACGAGGACACTTACGTCCATCGTGTCGGAAGGACGGCGCGATACCGTAGCAAAGGCAACGCGTTGCTTTTCGTCTTGCCGAATGAAGAGGAAGGCGTGCTTAGTCGGCTCCAGCGTAAGGGTATCGAAGTGGAGAAGATCAAGGCAAAGGAGAGCAAAATCCAAGACATTTCGAACCAGCTCCAAGCCTTTCTCTTCCAGGACCCCGAACTCAAATACCTGGGACAGAAGGCATTCGTCTCGTATGTTCGATCGGTTCACTTGCAGCGTGACAAGACGACGTTCGATGTGCTTGCCCTACCGCTCGAACCCTATGCTCAGTCGCTGGGCCTGGCCGGTGCACCAAAGGTCAAATTCGTCAAAGAAGCCTCAGCGGCCAAAAAGAAGGCGGAGAAGATGCTAGCTGCAGAGTCCAGAAGGGCAGTGGCTGAATCTCCAGCTAATGTTGAAGATGGAAGTGCAGAAAAGGGCGGGGCCGACAAGGTCAAGACCAAGTACGATCGAATGTTCGAGCGTCGGAATCAAGGCGTTCTGAGCGAGCACTACGGCCGCTTGCTTGCTGAAGATATAGACGACGAAGCAGACGACGACGATGAAGAAGAAGATGACGATGAAGAAGGGGAAGAAGAGGATGATTTGCTGGGCGAGGCTGAGAAGCAAGGCGACGAGGACGACAATGACGGCTTCATGACACTCAAACGTGCCGATCATGCCCTTTCAGGTGACGAAGAGGAAGAGGGCGACGAAGACAATGACGGCGAAAAGCCCACAGACTTGGACAAGGCCAAAGCGCTCATACGCGATGCCAAGTTTGTAGAGGACGAGGCGCATCTCTCGAAGCGAAAGCTGGCTCTGGGCAAGTCGAAGAAGAAGATGGCTGCAAGCGGGATGCGGGGCCAGGGAGAGAAGCTCATGTTCGATGAAGATGGGAAGCCGAGAAAAGTGTACGAGCTCAAGGGAGAAGAGGAATTCAAGGGTGAAGGCGACGCAGACGAGATGGCAAGGAAATTCAGAGAAGAAGAGGCGGAGCGGTTGAAGGAAATGGACAAGGTCGACAAGGAGAGAGTAAGGGAGAGAAGAAGAGAGAAGAAGAGGAAAGAAAAAGAGGGCAGAAGGGCAGGGCAGAAGAGAGAAAGGCAGGACGACGATGAGGAAGGCGGAGTCGAGCTAGCTGATTTTGACGACGATGACGGGTACGAGACGCCAGACTTTGTGCTGCCGGAAGATCGCCGCTCAGTGGCTTCAGATGATGAAGACGAGCCGAGGGAGGAGCAAAGGCCAGCGAAGAGGAAGCGGACTTCGATCACGGAGCGAGGCCCAACGACGCTAGAGAACGATGAAGAGCTGGCACTGCGACTTTTGGGCTCCACGTAAACAATTCCCATGTGTGAGTACGCACCTGGAGCGCTCTTCTTTCCATGATGGTACTTTTGAGTAATTTGCGCCTGCCATGCGCGGCTTCCTCCTTGCCAAGGAAAAGGACCCACTTTCGCCGGTGCTGGTCTGGAAGCCGCGGGCTGATGAAACTTACACTCCGACTGATTCCTCAAGTGCTTCTAGAATCCGAACGCTTTGGCTGACACAACTTCTTGTCCCTCGCAGAAACAAGCGTATCCGCAAACATCATTCTGTACACAAGCAATCTTATTGGCATTTTATCCTATTATACAAAAAGTCCCATTTTTTTGTGGTCACTTGGCAGCTCGGGGCAAGGTAGACACGCACTTCAAGAGAGAGAAAAGGAGAGTAGCGGCCTCGTCGCACCACGAACGACTGCCGCGTCACCATCCTGATGATCGACGCAAGATTTAAAAAGGTCCAGATCGACGGGTTGTTTGAAAACGGCAAAGCTGTGGGAAGGGTCGTGGGCGATTCTCGACTCGCAGCGTGCACACAAGTCGTACGAAGAGGTGCACTGGCTGCATCGAAACCATTTCCCTGCAGGAGACAAGACTTATCGTTCAGCTGCCTTGATTCTAGGGCACAATGGTAGGGGAAGGGGAGATTTCACCTTCGACAACAACATAGCAGTTGTCACACAAAATGGAAGGGTGGACGAGCTGCTGCAGAGGTACGAGGAGCTTGCGCTTACCCAGCATCTCGAGCTCGTATGAGTTCTCCTCTTTGACGCCTCCCTCTGTCGAGCGGCATGACGACAAAGGAAGTTCCTCGCCGCGGATCATTGTGTTTGCTGTGCTCGAATTGCTCGATGAGGACGACGAAGATGATGAGGAAGAAGGCGCGCATGCTTTGCTCGTCCAGCGTCGAAAGTGCGAGCCAGGGCAGTGCGACTCGCTGGGAGCCTGAGTGGATGATGGCAAAGGAGGGAAACGATAGCTCCCTGGGACATGTTGGTTGCCATTGTTCTGGTGGGAGCCATTCTGCTGCTGGGCCGCCGCCAGCTCGCTGAGATCGGCATAGAGAGTCGGTGCCAGAGGACCTCCGCCGAGCTCCTTAATCTCCCACCGGTCTCCCAAGCGGACCCTTTGGCTTGACGGATTGCCCCTTCCGCGAGGCAGTCCTTGAATTTTGAAGAAGAAATGCGAAGGATCGTGGCACTGGAGCGAGTGCGTCTCGCAATTTGCACAGAGGTTGTAACCTTCCTTGTTTGTCTTTCCCGTCGCCGCGTCAATGTTGACGACGGGGCAATTTGCACAGAGATACCGAGACTCGTGCGACTGAATGATTGCCGAGCAAAAGGAGCACTGGATGGGCTCCGACGTCATGACGTCATCTTCTTGATGAAGCGAAGTTGCCGAGCTTGACCTCGAGTTGCTGCTACTTCCAAAGCTTCTGCTGCTGCTCTCGGTGCTCGATGCCTCGCGGGCGAGCCTTCGTTGGGCATCGTTGAGCAACTGTCCGAAGATGGCTGCTGACTGCTCCGTTTCCAGAGGAACCGAGATCTTAATTACGAGGTGTGTCGCATCGTGAGACGGCACGCTTGTGGCCTTGCCACTCCTCTCGCAGAGGGTGCACTGAGAGACGGACCATCAGCATTCCCCTCCACGGGCCTTATTAAACGCGCACACTCACAAAGTCGGCACCGTCATCGCAGGAAGCGCAGTGGTATCTGGGGCCCGTGATGGGCCGCACTCGACAGGCACGACATTCAACGCCTTCGTGGATGGCACTCAAAACCTGCTCTGCTCTCCTCTTCCGTGACGTTTTGGTGGGACCCCGCGTAACATTGCTGGCCTCACTTTCGGCGTCGCTGCCTGAGTCACCGTCCATGGAAGTGTGGTTGAGATCCAGCACGTCCAGAGAGTTGCGTAAGGAAGAGCCGGTCAGGCTGCTGACGTGTGGCCCACTGCGTGCACGGATCCAAGCGGCCTCGAGCGAGCGTGATCGGCCGCCCGCATTTGAGTCGAGAGAGGAAAGGGAGCCCCTTGACGATCCTTGTATCGAATAAGATTGGCTAGAGCTTCCGCTCTGGCGGTGCCCATCGTTGTAGAGCTGGCCCTCACCCTTCCGAAAGGCCAAGCGGCCGTCGCTCCTTCTGGAGGAGGACGAGGACATGGATGAGGCTCCAGAGTAGCTGCCTTGGCTTTCCTGACGACTGAGCACTCTACCGTGAGGTGCCGAGCCGCTCCAGCTTGGCACCGGGTAGCTTTGCTCGCTCGCATCTTCGTCGTCGCTTCCATCACCATAGACTGAGCTCCCGCCAAAGTCGCTCAAGCTCACACCTGTGTCGACGCGGACGGTGACCCGCATCGAAATGGAGCCTGGAGCTGCTTCTGGATCAGAGGGGAGGTAATACAGCAAGGCCTCCTGAAGGTCCTCTGTGCTTGCAATCTCGCACTGATAAGCGCCGTAATATCAGCTTCAATGACTCTCGCACACCACTTCCAATGTCCGATGCTTACATGTTCTCCATCGTCGTCTTCCCAGGTGATGGTAAAGTCGACATCTTCAAATTGCAGCGCACCAGCAACCTTCGTGCGAAAGTCGGGGTATTGCAGCGACGAAAGGTCCGGCGGGAATCTGATGCGCTTCAGTCGCTCATCGCAAGATGCCTTGAGGATCAATGGCACATTGCTAGGCAGTGATGGGTTGAGGCCCGTCATGCTACTGCCATGTCCGAGGTCTCGTCGTTGTCGTCGCTTTCTTCCCCCACCTCCCTCGTTCTGTTTGAGTCGGACGAGAGGAACTCAGCATCCCCTGCTCAGCGCCCTTCTCGGAAGACGGGTTTGACCGCACTAGCCCTTTCTTTTTTTCTTTTTTTTTAAACTACGGTGTGTGCCCGATTCGTCTCGTCTCATAGGAAAGGGACGGTGTAGGTCAAGTTTCGTGTGAGCGAGCACTTGGAGCTTGCGAGCCATTATGGGTCGCATCTCGCAGCTCCCCATTGGCCCCCCATCACGCCCATTCAAGGTGGGTGAGCTGGCCTCGACCTCCTTCTCGCCCAATCAAGTCGGTGGCGCGCTTCCCAGAGATCTAGACTCCAACACGTTGGACCGGATCTCAGCTCGGTGTTCGTTGGAACACATTCAGGGTGCCGTATCTCGACACGCTGCGAACGAGAGAGCGGCTCAGTTGCATCGTAGGCGTTGGTTCCAGTGGTCAGAGGGCAAAGATGGTCCGCTCAAGAGGCAACGGGCCATTCGAGACCAAGCGAAGAGATCTAACACGGTCGTCAACAGTGCCTCTGTGTCTCCACTGCCCACCGACGATGCTGACGAGGACGGGACTTCTGCGCCACACCCAGTCGACGAAGCGACGAGGCAGTTCGAAAAGTTGGAGAAGAACCTCCCTGAGCCTTTTTGGTGAGTGCTGTATGCTCGTGGGCGGATGAGCGATTGTGGACCGATCAAGAAACTGAGACTTTACTTCAGCTACTTTCGCGAACCCGGCGTAGGTACTGCTTTCTGCACCCGATTGAACAAGACGGAGGTGTCGGCCATTGGCAGGCCGGTACCTTCAAAGGACATCCGAACTAAGAGGCGTCGATTCGACCACATGGATAGGGATGACGAGGCAAACGACGACGGCGAGGCGTGTAAGACGAGGAACCAGCACGAAGGCACAGCGGCAACAGAGGACGGCGACGATGAAGTGAATAGGAAAAAGGAGGACGCGATCGCTGTCCTCGGCATCTCCGTTTTTGCTCGTCCTCTTCGGGCGTATCCTAGCCGGTCCTACCACAACCGCGTTGCTGCAAAGAGCTCGTTTGTGGATCAGTGTCTCTACAGGCTTAAGCTTCCCTTCGGTGCTGATGGAGATGACGAAAGCGAAGAAGGCGACATAGAACAACCGCCCCCCGACTTTCCACCGCGAGATGAGGCCGACCACAACGATAGGCAGGGGAAAGAAGATCGAGACGATGAAGGTGTCAGCCCGAGGCGAGGCAAAGAGAAGGGAAACAACTATCTTTACGAGGAAGAAGCAGAGCTGGTGCAGAAGCTTGAGGTTCGGAGCGACATGACGCTCTTGCAACTCAGAGACGCACTGTACTGCCGCCTCGATGATATGCCAGAGGTGCACGAGTCGAGGGGGCGTCTCGAGACAGTGGTGGACCTCCATCGTAGCGTGCTCGCTGGTGCAGACGCCCTTAGTGCAGCTAGAAGAGAGGCCGAGGAGAGAGATCGGTCACCTCTGTTCTCCGGCAGGAAGCGCAGGACGGACAGCGTCTTCCTCATCGAGGGTCAGCTCTACAGCGAGGAGCGAATCCACAAAGATGATGCCGACGGATGGAATCAAAGCTATGCATCGTGAGTGTGACGCCTTAAGCAAAACTATGCGATTCTGTACTGATTTGTTGCATACAGCCTCCTAGCCAGTCACATGGAGAAGGAATCCGCCGGCAAGACTCCTCCTGCGGTTGACTCGTGCAAGATAATGGGCGACATCAAGCTCTCGGAGCTGGTGGTCTGTGCGGGCAAACCATACTGGTACCTGCATCAGGGCAGCTGCGAACACATCTGGGCCATCACGTCTGTCAGGTGAGTCGCTGGTCTGCAGCAATTGCTTCCGGGGATCTAACCCCAGATCTGAGCAGAGCGCTTCATCCCCGCGACAAGCCAAGGACGCATGGGGGCCAGGCACCCGACACTTGGGAATTTCCCATCACCACGCACCTGCCGCTTGGATGGACGAAGAGGGCAGCGGTCCGATGGTCTCACCCTGGAAAGGGTCACTCTGAAAGCTACACCCTCGAGGTGTGCTCCGTTTGCGCACGCAGACCTAGCGCCTTGCTCATCAGCGGAGGCTCACGTGTGCAAGTCAGTCAGCCTCATCACACAGATGATGGTGGAAAAGGCTCCTTACTGGGAGGACTCCCCCATGACGTCGTGCCCTGGTGCGAGACGTGCTGGGAGCGCCTCATAGGGAACACGCCTCCGACGACAGACGACGTCGTCGAGCGCTGTCAAGACGGAGAGGCCCTCTCTGACCAGAGCAACAGGAGCTGGGCCAAGGCTGGAGGCCATCATTGGACAGTGGTGCCGAACTTGGATTAAGTGGCCCTGTCACCTTTTCACTGTATTCTAAATACCACCAATACCACACATAGTAGTAGTAGTACTTCTTGGATCTATCTTCGGAGCCATCGCTAGTCGACGGAGGCCACTCATTAAGCTTTAGCGCGTGGCAGGTTGCCACGTGCGGGAAAACAACGACAGCTGTACTTCTGGCGCCAGTGCCGCTCTCACACCTCCATTTCTTCCTCCTCGCTTCTCAGTTCACGACCACTGCGCACCCCTCGATTGAGACACCTTCGCCCCTCCCCCCTAATCGGCTCATTTGTCGTAAGGCTGCTTACCGAAGAGGTCGAGGTGTAGACGTCAATCGATTCGGGCAAAGCCGTTACTGGCCACCCGCCTCGAGATACGAATCGGACCAACACGTTTAGCTCAAAAGGCGCATACACACCATGGCGGACAAGCCCATTGCCTTTGCCGAGCACTGCCAGCTGCAGGCGCTCGGCATCTCGCAAGAGTTCTGCACGTTTGCCAACACGACGCTTGAGTCGGAGCGCTTCGTCTGTGTGAGGGAGAACAACCAGGTGTGCATCGTGGACCTCAATGATGCCAACAATGTGTGAGTGGAACCGATTGCCAGGGGCGCCTGAACGAACGGCTCGCTGACGAACGTGGTGGTGACAGAATGCGGAGACCCATCACGGCCGACTCGGCGATCATGAACCCAGTGCAAAAGATCATCGCGCTCAAGTCGGGTCAGACGCTGCAGATCTTCAACATCGAGGCAAAGGCAAAAGTCAAGTCTCACGCCATGTCCGAGGATGTGCAATTCTGGAAATGGGTCTCCAACACAACGATTGGCCTCGTCACTCAGAGTTCGGTTTACCATTGGTCCATGGAGGGCGACGGCGGCCCGCAGAAGGTCTTTGATCGGCATCAGAGCCTCTCGGGGAGCCAGATCATCAACTACCGAGTCTCGCCCGACGAGAAATGGCTCGTCCTGGTCGGCATTTCGGGCAACACTTCGGGAGCACCAAACGCGTTCAAAGTCAAGGGCAACATGCAGCTCTACAGCAGAGATCGAGGCGTCAGCCAGCCCATCGAGGGCCACGCTGCCGCCTTTGCCGAGCTCAAAACGGACAGTGGCCCGTCTCCCTACAAGCTCTTCACCTTTGCCAACCGCACGGCCACGGGCGCCAAGCTCCACGTCGTCGAGATTGACCACCAAGCCAACAACCCCACGTTCACAAAGAAAGCCGTCGACGTCTTCTTCCCGCCGGAAGCCACAAATGATTTCCCAGTTGCGATGCAGGTCAGCAAGCGGTATGGCATTGTCTACCTCGTGACAAAGTACGGCTTCATTCACCTCTATGACCTCGAGAGCGGGACATGCATCTACATGAACCGAATCTCGGGCGAGACGATCTTTGTCACGGCTGAGCACGAGACGACGAGTGGCATCATTGGCATTAACCGCAAGGGACAGGTGCTTTCGGTCTCTGTCGATGAGAACACCGTCATCCCATACATTCTCCAGACGCTCAACAACACCGAGCTCGCCTTCAAGCTGGCCTCGCGTGGTGACTTGCCCGGCGCCGACGACCTCTACCTGCAGCAGTTTCACTCGCTCTTCAGCACAGGCCAGTACGGCGAGGCGGCCAAGATCGCCGCCAACTCACCGCGGGGCATCTTGCGGACGACGCAGACGATTGAGCAGTTCAAGCAGGTCCCCAACCAGCCCGGCACCCTCTCGCCCATCCTGCAGTACTTTGGCATCCTTCTGGAAAAGGGAACACTCAACAAGTTTGAGTCGCTCGAGCTGGCCAGGCCGGTGCTGCTGCAGAACAGGAAGCACCTGCTGGAGAAATGGCTCAAGGAGAACAAGATTGAGTGCTCCGAGGAGCTCGGTGACATTGTCCGGCAGCACGACATGAACCTCGCGCTGAGCGTCTACCTGCGAGCCAACGTGCCCAACAAGGTTGTCGCCTGCTTTGCCGAGACGGGACAGTTCAACAAGATCGTCCTCTATGCCAAAAAGGTCGGCTACACGCCAGACTATGCCGCGTTGCTCCAGCACATCGTTCGCATCAACCCAGAGCAGGGCGCAGAGTTTGCCAGCAGCCTCGTGCAGGACGAGGGCGGCCCATTGGTTGACGTGGAGCGAGTGACGGACATCTTCATGAGCCAGAACATGATCCAGCAGGCGACGAGCTTCCTCCTCGACGCTCTCAAGGACAACAAGCCCGAGCAGGCCCATCTGCAGACGCGCCTCCTGGAGATGAACCTCGTCAACGCTCCCCAGGTCGCCGACGCCATTCTGGGCAACGAAATGTTCACCCACTATGATCGACCCCGCATCGCCAACCTGTGCGAAAAGGCTGGGCTCCTGCAACGTGCACTCGAACACTACGAGGACCAGGCAGACATCAAGCGCGTCGTGGTGCACTCGAATCTGCTCAACTCCGAGTGGCTCGTCAACTACTTTGGCACCCTCACCGTTGAACAGAGCCTCGACTCGATGAAGGAGATGCTCAAGGTCAACATCCGACAGAATCTCTCTGTTGTTGTGCAGATCGCGACAAAGTACTCGGACCTTCTTGGACCCGTCAAGCTGATCGAGATGTTTGAGTCCTTCAAGAGCTTCGAAGGTCTCTACTACTACCTCGGCTCCGTCGTCAATCTCAGCACAGACCCAGAGGTTCACTTCAAGTACATTCAGGCCGCCACCCGCACCGGCCAGATCCGTGAGGTTGAGCGCATTTGCAGAGAGAGCAACTACTACAACGCCGAGAAGGTCAAGAACTTCCTCAAAGAGGCCAAGCTGTCGGACCAGCTTCCGCTTATCATCGTCTGCGACCGCTTCGACTTCGTCCACGACTTGGTCCTCTACCTCTACCAGAACATGCTTATCAACTTCATCGAAGTCTACGTTCAGCGTGTCAACTCGTCCCGCACCCCTCAGGTCATTGGTGGGCTCTTGGATGTCGACTGTGACGAGGGCGTGATCAAGAACCTCCTCCAGTCCGTCACGGGGCCTATCCCCGTCGACGAGCTGGTCGAGGAAGTCGAGAAGAGGAACAGGCTCAAGCTGATCTTGCCCTGGATTCAGTCGCGTATCGACGCCGGACAGCAGGATCAGGGCCTGTACAATGCCGTGGCCAAGGTCTACATCGACTCCAACAACAACCCAGAGGCTTTCCTCAAGGAGAACAACCTGTACGAGCCCCGCACTGTCGGCAAATACTGTGAAAAGCGCGACCCTTACCTTGCGTACATTGCCTACGCCAAGGGCTTCTGCGACGACGAGCTCATCGCCATCACCAACGAGAACACCATGTTCAAGCACCAGGCCCGCTACCTCGTCATGCGTCGCCAGCTCGACCTGTGGGCGACGGTGCTGCAGACCGACAATGTCCATCGGCGCCAGCTCATCGACCAGGTCACCTCGACGGCGGTGCCCGAATCAACGAATCCCGACGACGTCTCGGCAACGGTCAAAGCCTTTATGGCCGCCGACTTGCCAAATGAGCTCATTGAGCTGCTGGAAAAGATCATTCTCGAGCCGTCGGCATTCAGCGACAACTCGAGTCTCAAGAACCTGCTTATGCTGACTGCCATCCGGACCGACAAGGGCAAGGTGATGAACTATATTGAGCAGCTCAGCGGGTACGACGTCGACGAGATTGCCAAGATTGCCATCGACAATGGCCTTTACGAAGAGGCTTTCCGCATCTTCAGCAAGGCGGAACAGCACGGCGATGCCATGAACGTCCTCGTAGAACACATTGTGTCGATTGAGCGCGGTCAGCAATACGCCACCAAGCTCAACCAGCCCGAGATCTGGAGCAGGCTTGGTAAGGCGCAGCTCGATGGCCTGCGGGTCAAGGATGCAATTGACTCGTACGTCAAGGCCGAGGACCCGAGCAACTATGCCGAGGTCATCGAGATTGCCGAGCACGCCGGTCGGGAAGAGGAGCTCATCAAGTTCCTCCAGATGGCCCGGAAGAAGGCCAGGGAGCCTCAAATCGACACCGAGTACGCCTACTGCCTGGCAAAGGCGAACCGGCTCAGCGATATGGAGGAGTTCCTCTCCATGACCAACGTGGCCGACGTGCTCAACGTGGGAGAAAAGTGCTTCAACGAGGAGCTCTACAGCGCGGCAAAGATTCTGTTCAGCAGCATCGCAAACTACGCCAGGTTGGCGACCACGCTCGTCTACCTCCACGACTTCTCCGGTGCCGTCGAGGCAGCCCGAAAAGCGGGCAACACCTCGGTCTGGAAGCAGGTTCACGCTGCCTGCCTGAGCCAGGGCGAGTTCAAGCTGGCCCAGGTGGCCGGCCTCAACGTCGTCATTGCGGCTGAGGAGCTGCCTTCGGTTGTGCGAGCCTATGAAGCTGGTGGACACTTTGACGCCCTCCTGGATCTTCTCGAGACGTCATTGGGCTTGGAACGGGCCAACATGAGCATCTTTACGGCTGCTGGTGTGGCATTGGCAAAATACAAGCCCGAGAGGCTCATGGACCATCTCAAGATCTACGTCTCGCGCTCCAACATTCCCCAGCTCATCAAGGCCACCCAGCAAGCCCACCTGCACCAGGCCACCGTCTTCCTCTACACCAAGTACGATGAGTTCGACAATGCCAGTCTGCACACGATCGAGCACCCCGCCGACGCATGGAACCACGACGAGTTCAAGACGATGCTGCCAAAGGTGGCCAACATCGAAATCCTCTACCGTGCCCTGACGTTCTACCTCGAGCAGCACCCTCTTCTCCTCAACGACCTCCTGGCCGCCATTCCTCGCGTGGACCCTGGCCGAGTGGTGCGGATGTTCAAGCGCAAGGACAATGACAACATTCCCTTGATCCGATCCTGGCTCATCAGCGTGCAGGAGAAGGACATCGAGACGGTCAATGATGCCTACAATGATCTCTTGATCGAGGAGGAGGACGCCGACACGCTCCGCGCCTCGATTGACGGCTTCCAGAACTACGACGCAATCGCCCTCGCCCAGCGGCTGGAGCGGCACGAGCTCCTTGAATTCCGACGGCTGGCGGCTCACTTGTACAAGAAGCAGTCACGATGGGACGAGAGCATCAGCCTGAGCAAGAGTGACCAGCTGTTCCGAGATGCCATCGAAACGGCTGCCGTTTCGGGTGACGCCACTGTGGCAGAGGAGCTCATCTCATACTTTGTCTCGGTGGGCAACAAGGAGGCGTTTGCGGCCATGACCTTTGCCTGCTTCGACATCATCCGCGAAGACGTCATCGCTGAGCTGTCGTGGCGGCACGCGCTGCGCGATTTCGTCATGCCCTACGAGCTCCAAAGGGCACGGACACGGCACGAGCGCATGAACGCCCTGGAGCGCGAGCTCAAGGAACTCAGGGAAAAGAATGTGACAAAGGAAAAGGAGGAGGAAGATGCACCCATCTTGGGTCCCGGCGGGCCAAAGCTCATCACGGGCGCCCCCACGGGCATGGGCGGTATGATGCCTCCCGGTGGGCCCTACGGCGGCATGAACGGTGGCATGCCCATGGGCGCTCAACCGACAGGCTTCATGGGCGCGCCGGTTGGAGGCATGTACTGAGGAATAGACCAAGGACTCTCTTTCATCTGTCTCTCTCTCACACTTTCCTACCCTTACCCTTACCCTTGTACCACACTTTCTTCTCTTTCTCTCGCGATGGTTCCCTACTCTCGTTGTTCTCTTGAGGCCTTTACCTTTGTCTCTCTAAATGTCCACTGAAATGAATCGAACGAACTAAGATATGCCGTCGCGGATGACACTGCGCTGGCAGCGAGCGAGGATGTGACCGACGCCTCGCTCATGTGTGCCTCTCTACTCTGACGATGTCAGCAAGGCGGCGTGCGAGTGCACGTTTCGAGTGTTTGCTCCCACAGCTGGAGAAGAAAGTCCAGTTGGATGTGGACCCCCTTTTATCACATCGAGCTGCAAAAGCTGAGAAGACGAGGTCGGGGAAATTGGGCGGCAGTCCCTCTTATTTTCCCATGGGGGCGCCCCAGCGGAGTTCTGACGGTGACAGCGGCGACAATAGTTTCGGCAAGGCACAGGAAAGCAGAGCGCACATACTGTGCAGATATCTGGGGTTGTCAAGAGGTGCGGTCTGCGATGTCACAACATCCTCAATCCTTTGTCCTCCTTCCGGCATCGTCTATTCGAAAACTACGCCAAGTACCTTAAGTGTGACCATCCGAGACCAATGTGGACATTAGCCGCCTTCTTCCTACTTCTCGTTGGCTCTGCCAGCTCCGATTACGTATACGACCAGGTTTCGTGGGTTCTTCATTCTGGCTACATCGTCAGTCTGAGCACAGAGGTGCTATGTCGGGACAACTTACCTCCAAGAACATGTACATGGCCGGGAATTATGGCGCCCGATCAGACCGCGCAGCCGACGTTACTGCAACCGAACATGCATTGGAGCAACGAAGGAATGGAAGTCACTCCCGAAGTATGGGATGGAAAACAAATGTATGGTGCGGACCAGCTTCTTTGCCGAGCAGGTGAATGGGTCCTTTGGGAGATGCATGTCGATTCACAAGAGTGAGTGCGCCGTTCTTCTTCTCTTTCTCTGACTCGCATTCGCTCATGCCGATTTGAGTCTGCTTCAAAGCATCTCGCTATGGAATATATCCGCACATAGTACTCACGGCAAACGCACCTTTACGTACAAGATCAGTGATGGACCACCTCACCTCAACCTATGCAAGTTGTCAACTTTTGTGTCTTCTCCTCTTTCTTAGTTTGCTGACTCGCGTGCGGAAACAGTCTCCTTCACAGTCGAGACAGGGTGCGGAACTACCAAGAATACGCTTTACCGATACAAGGATATCGAGGTGTGGGCCAAAGGGAAGTACGACCCGTCGTGGTGCAGTTTGGGCACCGCAATGATATTGGGAAATGTCGATGCTCAATTCGGGGCCATGGGGATCGACACTGGTGCCCGAGTCAGCCGTCCAAGATCGAAGAGGCAGCTGCGTCACCACGAACATCGTAAACACCGCGGCACGGACGATCTCGGGCCGCTCGACAACGTCGGCCACGGCGGTACGTTCCGTTGTCGGATCGAGTCCATCACCCTCAGTCCTCGTGGCGGTGAGACCACTGGGGTCAGTTGTCATGATTAGCCTTCTCCCAGCTTCAAGCATCCAGCACTCCGTGCAGAGCACCATTGTATGTCAGAGAATCTCTTGTGATTCTGTAGGCACTATCTCTTCATGACCCACCCTTTGAGAAACGACACTTCAAAACTCTGGCGTTTTGTAGGCGACACCCTCATCTTGGTTCTTTTCGCGCGTTTTCGGCTTCTGGCGGACATGCTGGATCACCGAGCCCAGAATAGCTTCATCCTTTCATAAAGCCCCCCTTCTCTCATTGTGACCGCCGTCCAAATACGTAGAGCTCTCTCTGTCGCCCCAATGACGAGAAAAGTTCGCCGGCCACAGCGAAAGTCCTTTGGGACACACACACTACTTCCGTCGGTCGCGCGAGCCCTGAGAATGGGGACTTTAGCCACAAAAATGTCGCGATGACGCTGTGGAGGCGCGCGCGCGTCCAAATTGGATCTGCGAAACAAGGCTCAGCAGCCCCTGCTCCGCTTTTGCAAACCCTATGGGTCTTCCTTCGTCGAGTGGAGAGCAGACCGACTTCGAAAATCCTACATCGGCGGCCGCCAGTATATTCCACTGTATCGGCAAACAGAAGACCGACATAGTCTGCTGCCCTTCTTGTGTGTCCGCCTCGTGCCCCTGAGAGGCCAAGGAAAGTAGCCACCGCGCTCGCTCTCTCGATGTTGGTACAGAATGACAACGATGTGCCCTCTGGAAACGGCTCGGGTCGCTCGCTGCCCAATGGCATCCTCATCGCCTGCGCCGCTTCTGCCATATTTGCCACGCTCTTCTCCTTCTACTCGATCAATCAGCAGCTGCGAAACTACCGCAAGCCTCACCTCCAGCGCCATGTCGTGCGGCTGCTCCTCATGGTCCCGATCTACTCGTGAGTGGCGTGTATGCGTGTGTCTGTGTGTATAGGGAGCCGTCTTGAGCTTACCAACAACGGCTATTTAGAACATCATCGATGGCTTCGCTCTTGAGTCTCGACGCCGCCTTTGTCATTGACCTGGTCCGGGACATCTACGAGGCCTTTGTCATCTACTGCTTCTTCAACCTCCTCGTCGAATACCTCGGCGGCGAACGCTCGCTGTTGATACTCGTCCATGGCCGCCGTCCCACCAAGCACCTCTTTCCCGTCAATCTCTTCTTCACTCCGCTTGATATATCCGACCCTTACACCTTTCTCGGCCTCAAGCGCGGCATCCTGCAGTACGTCCAGGTCAAACCTGCCTTGGCGGTCCTCACCGTCGTGCTCAAGAGCTTCGGCAAGTACGATGAGGGCAAGCTGGCCGTGTCCAACGGCTACACGTGGGTCAGCATCGTCTACAACTTTTCCGTCTTTCTCTCCCTCTACTGTCTCGGCATGTTCTGGGCCGGCCTCAACGACGACTTGCAGCCTTTCCGCGTCACGAGCAAGTTCCTCTGCATCAAGGGCATCATCTTCTTTAGCTTCTGGCAGGGTCTCGCCATCTCGATCTTTGTCGCCGCTGGCCTCATCCGGCAGATTGGGCCCGTCCGCGACGAGCAGTACATTTCGCTGGCCGTGCAGGACATGCTCATCTGCTTTGAGATGCCCCTCTTTGCGTTAGGCCACGCCTACGCCTTTTCGCCGCGCGACTACATCGACCCCTTTTCAAGGTACCAGAGCCGCTTGCCGGCGTACTATGCGGTCCGAGATGCGATTGGCATGTACGACGTCATCAGCGACAGCCTCAACACGATCCGCGGCACCGGCTACGGCTACCAGACATTTGAGCCGGCCGAAGGCGTCCTGCACCAGGGCCTCGGCCGCGAGAGGAGGTCCAAGGCCGGCCTGCGCTACTCGGCCGGCGGAAAGACAAAGTACTGGCTGCCCCAGCGTGGCAATCCCGATGACCCGAGAGATGGGAGGCAAGGGACGCGGCATCTGGGGCCTGCCAATGCGCTGAGGATCTGGATCGACCGGAAGCGGATGGACCACGAGGGATATGCGCCGCTGCTGAGGAGCGAGGCAGCACAGATCGTCCATCGTGACCCGGATCTCGAGGCTGGTGAGGGAGGAGAGAACGATGCCGACGAGGGGCAAGGATCCAGGCACCCGCTGCAGGACTCGAATCAGGAAGGGGAGCCGACCGAGTCGACGTCGCTGCTGGGCAACCTGCCAGGCTCCAAGCGCAGCGCAGGTGACCTGGTCAAACGGGCAGGGCAGTGGGCGTCTAAGCGGGCGAATGCCTCGATACAGTACTTTGACGACATGGAGGTGAACCGCCACCGGCACGACTACCCCTCGGACGCAGCTGCATCGGAGGACAAGGTGGAGTTCTCTGACGTGGAAGCGTCCGACGAAGTCGAGGCGCTTTTTGCCAATGCGAGGGCGCTCGAGCATGGCGACTATGCCTTTCCGAGCGTGGACGTGGGCATGGAAGAGGAGCGACGGAAGCGATGGAGGGACGATGAGGAGCTAGTGAGGCGATACAAGGTCAGGAGAGGGCAGCGTGGGAAGATCAGCAGGGCGCTCGGCAGCCACGGGCCCAGCGCCAATGATGCAGAAGGCGACACAAGGAAGAGCAAGGACCGAGAGGAGCAGGAGCAGGAGCAGGGCCAGAGCGGGAACAAGAAGAACAGAAAGGGGAAAGAATCCGAAGATGGCAAGGACGCCGAGGGAGGCAAAGGCGAGGCACCGCCCGGCGTCGTGGATCTCTTGGTCGAGGACAACCAGGCAGAGGAGAGGGAACGGCTGCGCGAGCGCAGGAGGGGAGACCCGGCGTTGAGGGCGGGGCAACGGACAAGAATCTTTCGGAGAAAGTGGCAGTCAAAGGACGCTGAGGGTGGTGATGAGGGAGGAGCCGGCGAGGAAGAGGAGGCAGAATTCATGGAGGAGGAGCAAGAAGACGAGGGTCAAGGACAGGGGCAGGGGCACGACACGTACAGGAAGTTGCACCATCAAGGCATCGAGAAGAGGGCAAAGGCGGACGGCGGCACGGCTCATCCCGACGCGCTTGATGTGGACGAGCGCAAGAAAGCTGGAGGACAAGACGAACAGCGCGATGAGGGAGAGGATGAGCAAGGGCAGCAAGATGACAAAGTCGAGACGGCCGAAGTGGGCGAGAGAGAGACGATTGCGACGGAAGTCGGTCCGCCAAAGTCGTGATGCACTCTACTGCCACCACCATATATTTGCTGAGCTTGTATCAAAATCATATTCTTTATTACCGTTTCACTGCTACATTCTCTCTCTGCCACTCTGACCGATAACGATAATTTAGAGGCCACCAGTGTGATCCATGGAGGAGCTCTTGTCGCTATCGATGCTCCCAACGACCTCCCAGAGCGTTCCAGGCTCTGGCGAGGCGTCTGGCAGAGTTATACCGGTCGAAGGAGGGTTGTCGGAGGATGCCAATAAAGGCATCGCGGAAGGAGGAGAGGAGCCCATAAATGACGAGGATGTCAATCTCGTCGTTCGCGTCGTCGTGGTAGTTGTCGTCGTTGTGGTCGTCGTCGATGCAGAGGAAGATCGCCAAAAAGGAAGGTGATGAGGAGGATGAATTTCTTGAGTCGTCTGCCCGTCGGTTTCGAGGATTGGCAAGGATCGATGAGTAAGATCGACACCGAGAGTCTGAAGCTGAGGGGAATGGAGGAGCTGGCCGGAGAAGAGGGAAGGCGTTGTGACAAGAGAGCGCCATTGGCTCGGCGATGGCAGACCGGATTGATGCGAGGCGCCGTAACCAGCAGGTGCGGAATCGTTTGGTGGCGTCAGCTATAGTGTCTCGAAATGTCAATTTTGTTTTCGTTCGCAAGGTAGAGAGAGAGGGAGAGAGAGTATGTGTGACTTACAACGGTGTTGAGCCCCGAAGGAGGAGAGGGACTTGCCGGAATGCCGAGAAGTTCACACAAGGTTGCCGAGTCGAGCCTAAGCAGGCGCTCAATGTCGACCTCAACACGAATTGGGCCGTTACTGGGAGGAACGGGAAACGAGAAAGAAGGTGTTGAATCAGCAAGAGGTGCCTCTGTAGAAGCACTTTGTCGATCTGAGGTTGGTGTAGCGTCGTCGCCCGACCGGAATGCGTTCGTGGGTTGAGACTCAAAGGCAGACATGTCGATGGGAGAGCTCGTCATGGGTATGGCAAGGATAGAGCTCGAAATAGCATTCGGGTTGAGTCTGCTGTCCGAGCTTGCCGCCTTGGCAGGTGTCACGTCTTCCGAGAACACATCGCCATGCACAACAACGGGAGACGATGGCGTTGCAGATTTGGAGGAAGTCGTCGAAGGAGTGGCTGCTGGAAGGACGCTGCTGCTGCCGCTACTACTACTGATGCTGCTCCGAATACTACTGTTGCCGCTGCTCTTGCTTTGCTGTTGGTCAGCACCAGCGGCTGCGCGTGCCCTGCCCCGTTGTTTGACGCTGCTCTCGTCTGCGTACGGCTTCTTTCCGGACGACTTTCCAGACGCGGCGCTCGCCCGACTGCTGCTCCTTCCTCTTGTTCTCGTCTCTGACTTGCTGGCGTCTTCGTTTCTCTTTGTGGCTCTTGCCTCTCGCTCCTGCCTGACCTTCTCCGAAGAACGAGGCTGAAACTTGTAGCCGGGATACATGAGCTCGTGGAGCTTCTTCTTCTTTTGCGCCTCGGTGTACCAGAAATCTTTGACTGCTTGCGGCTCCGAATTCCAACGCTCTGCAATGGACTTGCTCAGCGACTGCTGCTGCGTCGGCGTCGCAGGTGAATGGTTGGTGCCTGCTTCGAGCTGATTGTCGACATCGACTGCCGTGGCACCCGTCCGTTTTCTCGAGCCTGTCGTCGGACCTGTTGACGGTGGAAGTGCGCTGGAAGCAGCTGCCGAGTGAGCGGAACGATAGAGAATAAAAGCATTAGGCGGTCGAGGCGGGGCTGACTCCTGGTCTGGGTCAGGCTTTCGACGGTGGTTCTTCTTTCTTCGTTCATGACCATCTGTTAGCGCACCACTGCCGCTACTACTCTCGGGTGTCGGTCGCCTAGACGAGGATGATGACGAGGCAAACGTGGGAGCACTGCTCGTGTAGAGATCCAAGGACTGAAAGCGTGGGTGTGCGAGCCGCTCGTCTTCTTTGCAGCCATCGGCCGCGCCGTGATGCTCGACTGGCGTGGGTGCAGCCTCTTTTTCCCCCTCATTGCTGTGCTGCCGATCTGAACCCGTGCTGTGCTTAAATGGCGTCGAGGCACTTGTAGGGCGTTCTCGTTTACGGAAAGGAGCTTCAGATGACCTCCCAACGTCTTCCCAAGGGGGTCGCTGCTGGTTGGCAACACCGAACGCGGCCGGCGGAGCACCCAAGGGGTAATAGAGGGCAGGCGCGATGCCGGCGTGCCGAGAATGGTGCTTCTGATGGAGTGCTTCTTCATCACCGTCGTCAATGATATTCCAAGGCCTGCTCGGACTCGCAACGACGATGACCGGCTCGCCTTGTGCTCCTTGTCGTTCGTCGTCCATTGTTCCTCGCCTTTGTCTGTAGTGCCAAACAAGGAAAGGAAGGGCAAAAGAGGGAGAGAGGGTGAAAGAGAGGCAGCGCTTGTGAGGACCTGAGGCAAATACGCCCTTTGTTCAACAATGGGGAAAAGAGCCAGGTCTCTATGCGAGCAAGAAAGAAGTAGAGAAGTCGAAGAAGAAGAAGGAGAAATACGAACAACAAAAACAACAGCAACAAGGACGGAGGAACACACCAGCGCCAGGCAGGGACAAAGGGCAGCGGAGCGGGCGAGCAAACCATTGCGACTTTCCCGTGGATGATGATGCTGTCCGCTGTAAACCAGAGCTAGATGGTACACCAACCCGTCTGTCGACGCGCAGGGAGGGGAGTCGCAGGGCAGAACAGAGGAAAGCGAAAGACAAAAAAAGGCACAAAGGTTTATACGGTCAAGGGACAAAGGCAGCGGCGGCGGCGTCGTACTCCGCTTGGCACTTTTGTCCGACAAGGGGCGATTGAGCTCGACCATCCATGTGTGGCCTTCTGCATCCGTAGGAGCATTGCAAACAATGGGAAAGACCACATGCCAGGTTGAATGCCACAATTTCCTCCCCTCTCCACCGTCAACCATCCCTGTCCTGCCTCTCACCTCTCTCGGACCGAGATCTCTTCTTCACGTGCCAAATAGGACCCTAGGGTCCTTCGGTTTTTGCTCAAGCGCCACGCTACTCATAGTTGGGCACCTGGCCTGTCTCTGCTCTCCTCTGGGTTAAGAAATGGACGCGGAGACGCAGAAACAGTATTGAAATTTAAGAACGGCTGTCCGCTTGTCGAAAGCAGGCCGAGCGAGCAAGAGCGTCGCTCTGGTCTCTTTCTTTCATTCTCTCTTCTCTCTCGAAGGTCTTTTGACAGCCGGTTATTCTCCGGAGAGCGCGAGTGACGTCTCTCCGAGCACCGCTATTCGCCCCTGTCTTTCACCTGCGAGGCGAGCCGGTCCCATCGGCCATCGCGCTCTGGTTAGACTGCTCAGTCCACCGCGAGAATCCCACTGTGGTTGTCTTGCTGCAGACGTCGCTCCTCTGCCGTCTGCACCGCTTGACACTGTGGGCATCCGCGTCCGTTACAGCACGTAACAACACAACAGCGGTGCCTTTATTCTTATCGAGAGCTCCCGTTCGCCTCTGCACGGGTGCCATCGCCAGTGCGCATAGAGGCCACCTCGTTCTACCCACACTCCACCAAAGGCACCTCCTTTCCCATACAGCCAAGATGTCATCCGCCTCAGCAGCAGCGCCACCAGCGGCGGCGGCAGACCCCCACCTTGCGGGCCAAGCCCAAGCGCAGGGCGGGCTCGAGGCTGGCACTTCTTTGCGGAGCGAATCGCCTCCAAAGCCAGGCAAGCTGCGCTACATCACCTCGCAGGAGGCGGCCCAGATCGACGAGGTCTTGATGTCTCCCGATGGGGGCGCATTCAGCATCGACCAGCTCATGGAGCTCGCCGGTCTGTCATGTGCCCAGACCGTTCACGCCTGCTATCCGCCCACCCAATTCCCCAATGTCCTCGTCGCCGCCGGCCCGGGCAACCAGGGCGGCGACGGGCTCGTAGCTGCGAGGCACCTCAGCCACTTTGGCTACACCGTCTCCGTGTGGTACCCCAAGGAGGGAAAGACGGAGCTTTTCAAGGTATGCTCCTCCAACCTAGTAGTCCACCGCCAGCTTGTCGACTCAACCTTGTCCTCCTACACAGCGACTCAAAAAGCAACTACAGAACCTCCGAGTTTCTTTCCTTGAGGTCGATGAGTTCGAAGACGGACTGGAGGGATCTGACGTTGTCTTGGACACCATTTTCGGTGAGTGTTCGGCGCTGCATCATCAGTCACGCACCGCAATTGGGCCTACGGCTTAGACCCGCGTGTGTGCACACCTCACAGGTTTTTCGTTCAAGGGCGAACCGCGGGAACCGTTCAGGGAGCCTCTCGAAGCTCTCAAGAATGAGGTGGGTGTGGCCATGAACCCAAATGCGCTGGAGAGTCCCAGAACCAACTGACTGGTTCGCCAAACCGAAAACAGTCGCGGATGGAGTTTGAGGCCCGCCGAAAGGTGCCGCCGATTGTCTCGGTCGACATCCCCTCGGGCTGGGATGTCGACACAGGCAATCCCTCGGGGAAATTCTTTACGCCCCAGGTCCTCGTCTCGCTGACGGCCCCCAAGAAGGGCGTGCGCGCATTCACCCTCTCCCAGGATCCTTCCACGGTGCCTTTGGCTGCCGGCTCGTCTTCTGTCAGCAGCAGCACAGACAAGGGCATCCTGGACGAAGCGGATGCGGTACGCAAGGCCAGGGACCTGGCCCGACAGACTGGCAGACACTTTCTCGGCGGAAGGTTCATCCCCGACGACGTCGAAGAAAAGTTCAGCCTCGCGCTCCCGAGCTACCCGGCCGACGACCAGATTGTCGACGTGACCGGCTGGACCGAGATGTCGGTCGAGGAGGCCAAGGAGAAGGTCGAGGAAGAGGCAAAGGAGTCACTCCTCGTCGCAGAGGCGAGGGCCAAGGCAGCCAGAGGCGCTGCTCCCGCCGTCTGATTGCGTCTTCGCTGTCTGAATCCAGAAAGGCGAGCGATTTCCGTTGTTCCTTTTGTCTGTCTATCCCTTCATTATTCTCTCTAAACACAACATTGTCCTTTCCTTTTCGTTTCGCGATTCTACCTCTTCCTCCTCTACTACTACGCTCCACTCCGACGCAGGCAACACTCCGATGCAGGCAACTTCAGCGTTCATGTACAACCATAGTGTCTCTTCTAAGCCTCTTTGAAACGAGAACGACAGGTGATCGATTGACAACTCTGTGCTAAATCTATACCGCACTTTGCTGGTCATTTCTCTGATGGGGATGGATGGATTGTGATGTCGTCAGCAGTGTATTGCTTTTGCGAGGAATAGGGGCACCCACTTTGAAGACCTTTGAGCCACTTTGGCATTGCCTGGATCAGAGCAGAGAACAGGTCAGGAACAGCAAGAGGAAAGGGGAACCAAAAAGGGCGGGACGGTGCACCGACCTTTTTTGTCCCGCTGGATGCCGACTCGTCTTTGTCCTTTGCCGCTGATGACGATGGATCTTGCAGCGTCTGGCCTGCTGATTGGGCGTCAAAGGAGGGCGGCGTGGGCAGGTCCTGCGCCAGGGCCAGTGTCTCGTCGTTGAGCGGCGCTGGATAGGTGTTGGCATTCATGGCGGCATCGGACCAGCGCACGAGCACGACGGCGGCGGGTGCCATACCGAGCTCGCGCAGCGTCTTGCCCTGCAGCTTGGCATCCTTTGTGCTTTCCGGCAGGTCCCGTTTCGGCGGCGATTGGTAGAGGGTGAATGCGTATTTGGCATGTCGCGGCGAGAGGTGCGCACGGAGGAAGCGGTACAGCGTCGGGACCTGGGCCGTCGAGGGAAAGGTGCCTTCGAGCGTCGTTCGATCTGACAGACGGATCCGTATCCGTATCTATTGATAGAAAGACTGTCAGTCTCGAGCGCCGCAGAGGGTGTGGTCGCTTATTATCCTCCAGTACGAATGGGCTCGTCGGTGGAGGACTCACCTCGTGGTACTCCTTCTTCTTGATGCCCAGCCTCGCCTCCTCTCGCTGCCGCATCGCCTGGGTCATGAGGGGCGCATCAGGGCCGTGCCGCTGCGAAATGTGACTTGAGAACGCTTCTTTGAGCTCGGCCGCTGTGGGCTTGGCCTCGTCGTCGGCTTGCGGTGGCGGCAATCCTGTGTGCAAAGGACGGAGGATCATTCTTCAGCATGCAACTTGAAGAAAGTATTATTATTGGAAACTCACTCGACGGGCCTGCAGTGTTGGGAGGTCGAAATACCTTGACGTCTGACCAGGGTGTCGATGCTGGCTTTGGCACCGATGAAGAGGCCGCGTCATCTCCATTCGTTGCTGACGATGGGGCGGACTCCGCCACTGCCGACGCTGGTGCAACGGTCGGTGCAGCTGTCTCAGCCTCGGCCACACTCGGCTCTTTCTGGACCTCTTGCGGATCTGTGCTCGCAGCCATGGCCCTCTGATGTTGCTTGTCCTTGCCAACCCCGTCGTCGCTGTCGCTATGCGGCGGTCTGGAAAGAAGGTGCACGGCGGCCGCGCTCGCACGAGCCTTTTGATTTTCTTTTAGACCGTGGGTCGTGGAGGTTTCGTCTAAATAGCCGCGTTCGTCGTCCCAGCTTGGTTGGCTCTTTCACGATCGTACGAGCCGGGAGAAGGACAACAGCAGCCCATGAGCGAAGAGGGCGAACGAGGATGCAAGTCTACCTTCGAGAATCGCCGAGGGCCATCTTCCTGCTCTCGTCGACGTCCTCGGACCACTACCCTCCTTCGGTAGGAGGCGAGCAGCCGAGAGGGAGCAATGGCAGCGATCGGCCGGGAAAGAGCGCGCTGCTGCTCAGCACCCAGAGCGGCGCCAGCTCATCGAGCACGAGCAGCAGCAGGGCTGTCGTCGAGGCAGTGGCAGCCAAAGATGTCCCGCCGACGCAGACGATGAAGAGGCTCGCCCCAAAGGCCCATGGCTGCCTGGGCCTCATCAATGTAGGCAGCGGTGAGTCTCTCTTCCCTTCCCCTTTTGCTCGCTGGAATGCGCGTCTCTCAAAACAGACAACTGACCACACCCCGACTTCTTCAGACCTCTTTGTGGCCATCGTCACCTCGGCCGTCGGTGTGGGCGAGATCAGGCCAGGGGAAGCCGTCTCAAAGGTTGTGTCCGTTTCGTTCTTTTGCCTTAATAAAAGTTCGTGGGACGACGACAATGCGCTAAACCTCGTCGATGAGGATGGATCAGGGCCATTGGATCCGCAGGGCCTGCCGCCTCCGTCTCAGGACTTGAGCGCATCGCCCTCGGCACCCATACTTGAGCACCCCTGCACGAGCATCAAGAAGCTCTTGGGCACCGGCACCTTTTACTACGCGAAGGATGGTGCATTCGACCTATCGAGAAGGCTTGAGAAGCGCATCGCGGGGACGACAAAGGCCCGGAGGCGGCCACCACCCCCACCTTCCGGCCAAGCTGCAGCAGAGTTGTCGGCGACGAGTCCAAAACAGACGTCTGTTGCAGACCCGTGGAAGTACGACGACCGGTTCGTGTGGAATTCGTACATGTTGGAGCCTCTGCTCGAGTTTCGCAGTCGCCTCGAAACACCCGAGAGACAGGCCCTTGACGCAGAAGGATTCTTCGTCTTGGCCATTCAAGGGTACGTGGGAATCTCTGCACTACCCAGCCAAGATAGCAGTGGCCCAGCCATCGTCTCGCTCGTCAGCCGCCTCAGCTGGAAGAGGGCGGGGACGCGCTACAACACAAGGGGCATCGACGACTCCGGCAATGTAGCCAACTTCGTCGAATCCGAGACCCTCTTTCATCTGGGCGCGGTCACGTTCAGCCACACCCAGGTGCGCGGCTCTGTGCCCCTCTTTTGGGAGCAGCAGGGCCTTCAGGCGTTCAACGCCCGAATCCAAGTTACCAGACCAAGGATCGCATCTCAGCCTGCCTACGATCGCCATTTTGCCGATCTCTTTTCACACTACAATCGTGTTCACGCCCTCAACCTCTTGGGCACAAGGGACGCCGAGACCGTCCTGTCGGCCGCCTATGCCGAGCACATGCGCAACTCGAACGCAGTAGAGCTCTACCTCGCCAGTCTGTCTGCCACCGAGGCAGCAGAGGCAGAGGAAGGCGAGAAGGCCGAGAACGGACAAGACGAGGATGATGTTGATAGAATGGGATTGACAAACTTTGACTTTCACGCTACCAGCAGAGCAAAGGGCGGTATCGACGGCGTTCGAAGCGAGCTCAAGTATCTAGGGCCGGTGCAGCTGAAGCGCAAGGCATTTGGCTTCTCTGTCCATGTACAGGGCAGGGGCTTTCAGACGAGGCAGAGGGGCGTCTTTCGAACAAATTGCTTAGACTGGTGAGCTTGTAGTCAGAGAAAGAATTTCGTACAGCGTGCTGATGCAACGGACAGCCTCGATCGCACCAATGTCATCGAGGACATGCTCTCGCAGTCCGCACTAGAGCTCTTCATCGAGGAAAACATGGAGAAGAATGCATCATTCGAGTCCTTCTCCTCCTTCAGCAGTCCGATTTGGAGCCACCACCGAAATTTGTGGGCTGAGAACGGAGACGCCCTGTCGAAGATTTACGCCGGCACGGGCGCCCTCAATACGACCTACACGCGCTCGGGCGGCGGCAAAAAGACGCTGGGGGGCTTGCTCTCGGACGCCGCGAAATCAGCCTCGCGCATGTACATCAACAACTTCCAGGACAAGTCCAAGCAAACGGTCATCGATGCCTTGCTGGGCAATCTAGCCAACCAGAAGCCCGTCACCGTGTTCGACCCGCTTCACGACGCCGTCACGGCCGAGCTGCACGATCGCTTGGACGAGTACTCGACACCACGGCAGGTTAGCGTCTTTGTCGGGACGTGGAACTTGGCAGGACGCGGGCCAAGCGGAGAGAGCATCTTGCCCTGGCTCTTTCCCGACGACGGCTCACAGCAGCAGGAGCCCGACGTCATGGCCCTTGCTTTCCAAGAGGTCGTTCCCTTGACCCCGCAGCAGATTCTCATGACGGACCCAGATAAGCTCCGAGTCTGGGAAGCGGTCATCAACGACACACTGCGGCGCCGGGGAGGAAAGAGCCAATATGTCATCTTGAGAAGTGAGCAGCTCGTTGGGACAGCCCTCATTGTGCTGGTCAACGAGAGCATCATTTCGCACGTAAAGGCCGTCGAGGCTTCCTCGAAGAAGACTGGGCTCAAGGGCATGAGTGGCAACAAGGGCGGCGTAGCCATTCGACTGAGCATTTATGACACGACCTTTTGCTTTGTCACTGCCCATTTCGCCGCGGGAAAGTCCAATGTCGAGGAACGCAACGCCGACTACTGGACCATCAATCGCGAGCTTGGCTTCTCACGGGCTCGCACTGTGAATCACCACGACCACGTCATCTGGCTTGGGGACTTCAACTATCGGATCGATTCGGGCAACGAGGTCGTGAGACCGATGTGCGACCGGTATGACTTTGAAGGTCTCTATGCCCGCGATCAGCTCTCTCGCTCTCGTCAGATGAATCAGGTCTTTGTTGGATTCAACGAGGCCCCAATCGGGTTTCTGCCTACCTACAAGTACGATTTCCACTCGGATCGGTACGACTCTTCGGAGAAGCTCCGGGTGCCCGCGTGGACGGACAGGATTTTGTACAGAGCGATGGCGCCCATGCAACTTGCGCTTCAGGTTTACGACCGCGCCGAGCTCAAGACGAGTGACCATCGGCCCGTCTATGCTCGCTTCGCCGCGGAAGCAAGGGTATTTGATCAGGAGAGGCACAATGCGATTCGGAAGGAGCTTATAGCGGCAAGGAAGACGGCGCAAGCCCGGAGAGGCTACCTGGCATCCTCTCCGTCCTCCTCGCCCATCGATCGGAGCGAAGACGAGGAGGCAGCAGAAGACGACGAGCTAGACGAGGACGAATGGGAGGATGAAGAGCTCCCTGAACCGTCGAGCGATCAGTCGAAGTGGTGGGATGTTGGATCACCGTCTTCCTTATCCGAATCCGAGGACGAGGACGAAGAGGAGGAAATTGAAAATGTCAAGAATGGCGAGGCAGGGGAAGCGAGAGGCAACCCTTTCACGGCAGGACACGCTTCGCCTCTGCGCTCGCGAGGAGGCAGTGGCACAATAAAGCGGAGGCCACCGCCGCAGCCTCCCAAGAAGCTCAACTCGAATTCTTCGAGCGGTGCTCACACGACTTCACCGGGCGTCAGAGTGTCAGATGAGAACGGCAGCACCGAAGCCGCCTTGCGACGCGCGGCTGGCTCGCCATTGCAGTCCGTCTCTTCACCGATGAGCGAGGCTGTTTCGCCGAGCGACCCTGCGACCTCGCCCGTCCTGGTCCGTGCGCCACCGCCGATTCCCTCTAAGCCCGCGCATATCCAGTCTGCCAACAACGCTGCGACTGCGACACCAGCCTTACCAAAGAGGCCTGCTCTCGGGTCAAGATCAGCGAGCTACACCAGCCAGCGTAGCGCAAAGAGCCTGCTGGATGATAGCGACAGCGACAGCGACGAGCGTAGAAGCGGACGAGCAATGATGTAATAGTAATTGACACTGGAGAAGAGACTAAAAAAGGTGATGGGAGACCTGCTACTTGTGCAAGGCCGTGGCCATGTCAAACATCTTCATGAGACCCTTGTGATCCAGTACCTCACTGGTGTGGTCCGACCCGTCCTGGATGATGGTGAATGGGACCGACTGAACGCCATTCATAACTCCCAGATCGGCCAGGTGGCCCGTCTCTGCGCTGCCCTCATCGCTTTGCAACCAGCGCTTGGCTTCTTGCTTGTCTTTGAATAGGCCCTCAATGTCGTTGGCAATGTCTGCCAACACGTCGCAGTCGCTGAGGTCCAAAGAGTCCTGGTGAAAGGCCTTGTACAGTCTCGAGGCCAGTTGAGCCTGGACGCCGGGGACGTAGACTTTACCAGTCGCATCCCCATTCGATGATGCAGAGGAATCCCGCTGCTCGTCAATCGTGCCCGCGTACCACAACAGCCTGTGCGAGTCCCAAGTAGCGCCGACCTTGCCGTCGGTGAGCCACTGAAAGGGTGGCAGACCGACGTCCTTGGCCGCCTTTCCGATCTTGGAGTAAAACGCGTCGAGGCCCCCGCCAAACTTTTGGGAATAGTACTGCCGCTTCGTCGGGGGCTGGTGCGCCGTGTACTCGGTCGAGCCGAGGTCGTCGTACCGGTCTGCAGGCCGCTCCGTCGACGTGGCGGGCAGGCGGGGGTCGAGGATATAAGGCCGGAATTTGACGACGGGGCGGAGGTAGGGGTAGATTTGCTCGACAAAGTCAGACGAGTTGAGCGTCTGTTCGAGGCGTGCGTCGTGTATGAGACACCAAGGACACATGGGGTCTGTGTACAGCTCGATGAGGAGCTCAGGCTTCGATGGCGCAGTCATGATTGTCTTTGAAGGTTAGAGGGGAAATTGATGGTATTGAGGAACAGGGTAAGTGAGCTCCGGTCGGTGGGCAGGATGCGAGAAGAAACGCTAGATTGTGACGTGGGGCTGGCGTCGAAGGTAGGTGGAGGGAGGGTTCCCAATTTCTGCTCTTGGGCCTCATGACCACACGATAGCAGCATCACACAAATGCGACGAGAATTTGGAAGAGAATACTAGCCAGGACATGAATCGTGCAAGGTGTGGTGCATCACTGAATGGCAAACACGCTCTTTCCAAACAGAACCAGAGAGGATCATCAGGGCCTTCTTCTCGATTGACGAAACGGAACACGGAAGTGATTGCAGCCACGTGACCTCATGTAACTTTCTTTCTTCTGAGGCTACCGGCCAATATCAAAGTGCACCGCTCGACATTGTCCGACACAGCGACCGAAGGGGGCCAGCAGCAGAGGGGGAAAGATGTTGCTACGCGGCTGAAGCGGGGGTGTCTTTCGAGTCGGGAGGAAGGGCGTGCAGCCAACTATGATACAAAGATGCTCCTGCTCTGGCGCAGGGAGCTGTATCGCGCCCTCGTTGACGACACGCGGTCCTCTCCTCCAGCGCATCTGGCATGCCCTGCCTCCGCGGCAGCTCCCTCGAACACAACAGCGCCGAGACACCGTCGGTGGGGGAGTGTACAGACATTACAGCAGTGGGCAGTACTTCTTTCCCCAAAGGCCAGACTTCTTGCCTTCGGTCAAGAAGGCGCCTGCGAAAGCGAGCACGACCGAGCCCATCGATGCAGGATCCGCGCTTGACATTACCACGGTCAGCACAGAGGCCCAGACGCCGCCATCGGAAAGGAAAGTAAGACAGCGCTATCTCACTACGGACAGGGTCCAGCTGCCTCCCCTGGCAGATGTGGACGAGGCATTCGTTGCGGCGCACCAGGCTCTTGTCCATGGCGATGTCGAGGCGGCCTGGCGCGCGTTTGAGTCGACCCCAGCAACAGGAGTCGACCTGCATCCCTCGCTATTTGATGCAGTCTTTTGGTCGCTTCTCGGACACGACGTTGGCAAGGGTCAGCTGGACCAGCATCGCGAGCTCGCTCGAAGGGGCTCGGTACTGTTTTCGAGGGCGAAGGAGAAGAACATCGTACCGACTAAGCTTCAGCGACATCGCTTCGTTTATGTGCATGCCACCCTGTGCGAGCAGCTTCTACGCCGAGGAACGGGCAACACCAGGGTCATGGAAGACTCAGCAGAAGGAGGACGGGGGAAGTTTGTAGAAGAGCGGGAGAATGTCATCGCAAGGGACAAAACGATCGTTTTCGAACTGGCAGATACGCTCGAAGGCGCTCTGCTGAGCAGGGTCATGGGAATGTTGAGCATCGACGGCCGACTGGAGGAGGCACTAGAGGTCATGCAGAGATGGTCGGCCACTCGGAAAAAGCAGGGGTCACGTTCAGTAGAGCGAGAGGAGAGATGGATGGGCAGATCGACAGCTCCGATTTGGACACACGACGAAGAGGCTGATGAGGTGGACCAGTACGCATGGTCTGCCATGCTCGGTGCTGCTGTGAAAAGACTCAAGCAGCAGAGGAGAGCTATGGCTCAGAAGTCTACTCCACAGGCTGAAGAGAAAGTCGCGAAAACGACGTCGATGGCGATGACAGCGGTGCAGGCTGGCGGAGTCGCCATGGCAAACATGACGAGCGACAGCGATCCCGCCACGGTTCAAGACTTTCTCGATCTTCTTGACGCCGATCAATTGACAAATATGCTCCCTGACTCCTTGAGAGCGGGACCTGCTCAGCTCCGGCAACATTCATCTCCAAGTAGCGATTTGGCACCGTCCGAGGCGAAGGCAGTCAAGATCGATCTCTCATCTGAACGGCGAGAGGAGATGGTACACCTCGTGGCATCTGCTTTGGCTAAACGGAATCATCTTGGAGCTGCTCAAGCAATGCTTCGACGAAAATTACAAGGGAAAACGCCACTCGTCTTCGCTGACGGTCAGTCTGACGTCTTTGCCGGGTCCATCGACTCGCTCTGCCTCATGGCACAAGAGTCCATGTCTCATCAGCAGTATCCGCTCGCCATGAAGCACGTTGTTTCAGCCTTGCGCTTCTTCTTTCACACCGACTGGCACCAGGCCGCAGGTGCCCACAAAGTCGTCTCTCTTCTCCCCAGAGTCTTGCAAGAGTTGCACGCTCAATCGCCCGAGCTGCTGCCCGAAGAAAGATGGACGGTTCTTATTCGTCAAGTTTCTACGAATATCTTGACGATCGATCCCACTCTCGCCGCCTTTGCTCCTCCGCCCAAGCTTGTCGCCTCTACTCGAGGAAGGAAATCGTCGCATCAGAATTCGGCCATCACATTGGTCCGCTTGCACCTCGAACTCAAAGACTACGCCTTTGCGAAGCGCTTCTTTCTCATCGCAGACGAGCTGCAGGCGACTTCAGAGCCGTTCTTGACTTTCAAGCAGCTTCTTTACCTCTTTGAGAATTCCCTCGAGGAAGAGCAAGCGGACTCCGGTTTCACGATGCTTCTGCACGCGTACATCATCACAGACCCGCATTGGTCCACCTTTGCGATTCCGAACGAGCTCATCAACCGCTTTGTCTATCGCCTCGTTACCCATGGCAAACGACCCGAATTTGCGCGACTGCTCCGCGACACGCTACTTTCGCGATCCAACGCTTCCTCGTACAAGACTGGCCGGATCATGCCGACGGACGCGTCCAGGTTCGTCGAGACATTTGCGCGCGCATGTTCTGCGGGCGGAGGCGTCCTTCTCGTGGACGAGCTTCTGGACTTTGTCGAAGAAGTTCATGATCTACTGGCAATAGACGAGCAGCACACGGCCACAGTCACTCTGTTTTCGAGAGCCATGCAGCTCGCCACGCAGTCGGCGCTTGGCTGGGGACCTTCGAGGCGCGCAAAGGTGCTATCGCTTTTCGACAGGCTTCGGTGGGCGCTACAAGAGCAAAGCAGCAAAGCTCGCCAGGGTCAGAAGATGACGCAGAGGAAGCAAGAGGCGCTGAGGTTTGCTTTTCATGCCGCTTGCAAAGCTACGATCAATGCGCCCACCAAGGAGCTCTTGTACGACCTCGAGGACGACGTTGTCCTCGATGATGCTGGCGACGGTGAGGAAGCCTCACCGATGTCAAAAGTTGTCGAGGCTATCTTGTCGGAAATGGAGACCAAGTGGAGCGTCGGCATCAACGCTGAATCGTACGGGCTCACCATCTTGTCGCATCTCCTCGACGATGGACGAGGGGTTGTCACTTTGGAAGGCGACAGCTACCTCGATCGTGCACTGCAACTGGCCGCCCAAGCGATTCGTCGCGCCTCCAGGAACACCGGCCCCAGAGCAGCGTCAGACCCAAGCGACGCCGATGTCGGGTCCAAGTCGTGGGCCCGCAAAAATGTCTTGTCGGTCCATACAGTGGCCCGTCTGATTCTTCATCTCGCCAGGGCTGGTCGGTACGAGGATTCACACTACATTCTCAATCTCTACACCACCAAGACGCCATTCCTGAAGAGGGAAAGACTCATCAGGTTGGCAGGGATCGCGACGCTGGCAAGAGAGGGGAAGCTGTCGCAAATGAAGCAGGAGATCGAGTGGATGGAGAGGAGCGCAGGACAGACGGGGAATGGGGTCATTGATGACCGTTGGAAGATGATGTTCTTTCGATGGGCGAAGGAGGGGGAGGAGGAGAGGAAATTCGTTCGGCAGCAGCAGGCAGAGGGCAAAGACGAACGAGAGGACGAGGGACAAGAGGACGAAGAGCAAGAAGAGGACAAAGAACGGGCAAGAGCATTTGCAGCTTTGGCACGGGGTCAGGCTTGGAAGAGGAAAGAACCCGCTGAGACCCGTCCTCCTGCTCATCAAAAGTAGTACATTGCAATGCCATTTAGATGTAGATCAGCCTCTTGCAGAAAGCACGCCCTTGACGCCGATCAGTTGAACGCCCTCGAGTCCTTTCACGACGGTATCGAGGCCTTTTTCGTCTGTCTCGAGCGTTGTGCTGAGGTGGTTGAGACCTTGCTGTTGCGAGCCGAGAATCTGTTTGGAATCCTTCTGAGCATCACAATCAGGCGTTTCTCTACTGCTGACAGAGCTCACCTTCGCGACGTCTTCGAGGCCGTTCTCGTCGACGACGGCCCACTCTGTTGCGTCACCCACTTCACTACCCAGCGCCTCTTTCTTTGCCTTGATAGCGCCCAACTGCGCCCATAGCTCGTTTACTCTCGCTCTGAGCCTTCCGTGTGCTACGCCTCCCCTCGAGCCTGCTCCCCCACCAACTGCCTCGAGCTCAGCCTCGCACGCTTCGAGCGTGACGCGCAAGCGATCCTCGTCTGCCGTGACGCTCCTCCCCCTCAGCGCAGGGATGAGCAGGTGCGACTTCCTCGCGATGCCCACCAGACGGTGGTGCAGCGTCGTCTGGCGTCTCGAGATGGCCTCGAGACGGACTGAGTCGGAGAGTGAATGCTTCTGCGAGAGCGAAGAAAGGCGCGAAGAGAGTTCCGTCAGGCGAGCTCGCTGGCGTGTAGCTTCGCCGTGCTGGAGATCGACGCGCGTTTTCAGGTCCTGAAACCCAACGGCCAAGACGGGGACGAGCCTAGAGGAGTAAAGAAAGAGTGAGCATGACACTTGAGCTGAAGACGAAAGGATCCACAAGCTCACCTTGATCGATCTGGATTCTCCTGCAACGTCCGGGCCCAGAGCGCCTCATGCCGTGGTCCAACGGCGTCTTGCCTTCTGCCAAAATTTGAATTCGCCATCACCGCCTCTGCAAGTCCCGGCACGTTGGGTGGCAGTGCATTGTAGAAGTAGAACTGTCGTTGCCCAGGATTAGCAATCCGAATTGGTACCACTTGAGACGAGCACCGCGACAAACTTACAAGGAATTGACAGACCTGAATGTCTTGGGTATTCCATGCCGATCTCAAAGCCTCCATCTTTGCATTCATGGGCGTCCCTAGTCTCTTGTTCCCCTGCTGTTGCTGTTGCTGTTGTTGTTGCTGCTGTGTCTGTTGTTGCCCTCCCTGCGGGGGAGCTCCAAGCCCTTTTTGTTGCTGCTGCTGATTGTTGAGCTGGTACGAGGGCTGGCCACCGAGCTGCGAGAGCGTCAGGGGCCCCGCTGTGCTGCTCGCAAACAAACTATTTTGTTGTTGTTGAGGCTGGTTGTTCAGTGTGGATGGCGCCCCAAAGAGGGAGTTGTTGTTCTGTTGACCAGGTGCCTGAGACGTCGAGCCAAAGAGTCCTCCGCTTCCAGCTTGCTGGTTCTGCTGCTGTTGCGGTTGCGGTTGCGAGCTCGAAGTGCCTCCGAAGCTGAAGCCTCCGCCGAGTTGGCCCATCTGCGCTTGTGACTGTTGTTGTTGTTGTTGTTGTGGTGGCTGTTGCTGCGTCGTGTTCTGAGCGCCACCGAAGCTGAAGCCTCCTCCCCCTTGCCCCGGCTGCTGCTGCTGTCCACCTCCAAAGAGACTACCTCCTCCCGTCTGCGGTTGCTGCTGCTGAGCCGTGTTCCCACCGAACGAGAAGCCCGGTGTGCTGGTCTGCGTAGCAGGCGCCGATCCCGGCGGTTTCCCAAACGAGAAGGCCATGGTGTCTATGACTGCTGAACCAGAAGATGCGAGGAGGAAGCCTGTTTTTTTTTTTTTTCCCGAAGAGCGCGTTCAGACAAAGGGAGATGCGACCCTAGTCGCTCACGTGGACCAACACCACTCCACCTTGAGAAGAAACACACCTGCGGGATGGACATTTGACTCTTAGACTGGCCCCAATGTCTTCAGAGGCACTACCGGCTCACATCGAGGCCGACGAAGCCCTGTCGGCAGTGTGGCAATGCATGAACACGATTGCGCCTCTGTCGCTGGCCGACACGAGCTGGGACAATGTCGGCGTGCTCCTCCAAGCGCCGGAGCCGTCCAAGAACACGGGCCGCAAGATCTTTCTGGCAAACGACCTGACGACGCAGGTGGCCGATGAGATCCTCGGCGACGGACAAGTGGCGGTGGCCATCATCTACCATCCGTGAGAAGGTCTTTGACCTGTTCCCTCTTGCTGCCGTCTTGGGCTCAGCGCGTGTCTCCTCTCAGCATTATTTTCCGGGGCCTCAAGACAATTACGCTCGCCGACTCGCAGCAGCGCACGCTCCTGCGCTTGGCGGCTTCCAACATCAGCGTCTACTGCCCTCACACCTCCCTCGATGCAGCGGTGGGAGGTATCAACGACTGGCTCGCCCTCGTCGTCGCGGGCTACAACAGCAGCAGCATGAGCGTCCGACCGGCCCAGCCAAGCAAGCCTGCGTCGGTCCCCGCCGGTCACGAGGGCGCCGGGATGGGCCGAATCGTCACGCTCAAGGAGCCCATCAAGGGGAGCGAGCTCATTGCGAGAGTGAAGACAGGAACGTCAATAGACCATTGTGAGTTTCTTCTTGCGCTCTCATCGTCGTCTCGTCGCAGGTGCTTTTCTGACCCGGACTCACACCCCTTCAGTGCAAGTTGCTCTTCCGTCGCACACCGGCTACCGTACTATCCAAGAAGGCTGTGAGCTTCGCAAGTCATGACCTTTTTAATGTAGCTGCTGACCTTCAGCTCCACAGTGGACTCAAAGCACATCGGCACCATCGCCGTGTGCGCCGGCTCGGGCTCGTCCGTCATTGGCGGCGTCGAGGCAGACGCATGTGAGTTGACCCTCCCGTCACATGTCCTTTACCCGCATGCAACCCCGTCGCTGATCCTACTCCCCGCTTCTCCCCAGACGTCACCGGAGAAATGTCTCACGTTGAGTATTCCCCTCGTCGATCCAACCCTTGAAGGACTCCCTTCTTCCCTCCCTTGACTGACAACAAAGCCGCACCTGCTTTGCCTTGCCTGCACAGCACGAGGTCCTGGCCGCCGTCGCCAAGGGCCGCCTCGTCATCCTGACGCACCACAGCAACAGCGAGCGCGGCTACCTCCGCACCGTCCTGCCCGACCGGCTGCAGACGGAACTGGCCCGGCTTGGCAAGACGGACTTTGTCGTTGCCGTCTCGACGGCTGACGCCGATCCCCTCGTCACCGTGTGAGGATCCTCCATCTGCTCCAGCTTGTCGAGCTTGAGGAGTCAAGCTTCGATGAGAGAGCGCCCCTCAGCTGCTTCTGAGTGTGAAGTGATTAATATTACTTTTTTTTATTCTGTTGTTTTTGTCGTTCTCGCCAGTTGTCTCTGCTTGAACAGGATACAAATAAGATAGGTAGGGAGAATAGGTCGCAGAGCGGGCGTACGAAGCTACAGACAAGCGGAGGCAAAGTACTGACCGGTACGGACAACACTAATGATACACACATACACGCATACATGGCAATCGAAGCTCTTTCCCCCTTCACGCCTTGCCGACCGGTTTCTTTCCCCCCTCTACGCCTTTCCGACCATGCGTGCGTCGACTTGCCAAAACGGTTTGCTGCTGCTATCCTCTTCACCGTCGTTGCCTTTGGTCGAGTCCTGCTGCTGCTGCTGCTGCTGCTTGCGACGGACCTGCTTCGCCACATCCCACACGTCGAGCATGAAGCTCTTCTCGCCTGCGGCGCCACTACCAAGCGCGCCCAAGTCAACCTCGTGGCCGTCGCGCACGTCGCCAGCGATGGTCGCGAGCGTCTTGAGCCTGGCGAGCCGGTCGATGCGCGGCTTGAGGGACCGCAGTCCGCGCTCCTCGGTCGCATAGCCGGGCGCGCGGAGCGAGACGCCCTCAACGACGAGGCTGACGCCGTCGTGCGAGTTGCCCCAGCTGCGGCTCTTGACGCCGCTGCGCTGGCTGCCCTTGTAGGCAATCAGCTTCGGCGCGATGCGCAGCGTCACGCTCAGATCCATGGTCCCGTCCACATCGACGGACGTGCCTGCTGCTGGCGTTGTTGTCTTTGCATCGTCGACATCCCGCCGCTGCTCTCCATCCTCGTCCATGTCCCCGCCCATGTCCCCGCCCATGTCCCCGCCCATGTCCTCGCCCTGCACGTGCATCTCCTTCCACGCCCACACCGCCCGGCCAGGCGGGACCCAGCTGGGCACATCGTCGATGTCCGGGCCCTGGATCCAGCCGGCGTGGACACACATGGCGACGACATCGCTGTCGTCGGTGTAGACGTCTGTGCCCCAGAGGGCGCGGCGCATGAGGCAGCGCTGGGTCCAAAAGGCCCGTGCAGCCGAGAAGGCCGAGAGCGGCGACGTGGGGGCGTCCTCGCTGCTATTGCTGCTCTTCTTCTTTTCCTGGGCAGTTGCGCCGTTCACCGCCGCCGCCGTCGTCGTTGTGATAGCAGCCTCCCCCTCCTCCTTTGCCTTTTCGCGGCCACGCCAGCCCAGGCTCCAGCGCCCCTGCGGCTGCTCGTCGGCCGCATCGCCATGCCCGCGGCGTGGCCCAGGCCCGAGCCAGGCGCCGCTGATGCGCACCTCGAGTGTGGCGCCGACGTGGCTGGCCAGCAGCTCGCCAGGCAGCAGGGGGCTCTTTGTCGCGTCGTAGCGCCAGCTTCCGAGGTGCTGTCCCTGTCCCTGTCCCTGTCCCTGTCCCTGTCCCTGTGACTTGGCAGTCGCTCGGGCATGCTTGGCGTCGCTGGCCTCGTCGGACGCGTTCGCGGTCGCTGCGGATGCCGACATCGACATCGAAGAGGCGGCCTCCTCGTCGAGAGCGCCACCAGCAGCACCTGCCTTGGCAGACCGCGTCGCAAGCGCCTCGAGCGTCTCCCACACGGCCTCGCTGTCGACCTTGGGCCCAGCGTCAAAGTCCTTGAACGGCACACGGCTGCGCACAGACCTCGATGTGGCTTGGCTCTCGAGCTGCTGGCGTTCCAAGCTCGGCGGCAGAAGGCCCATTGCTGGGCCAGGAGCGACAGGCGTGGGCGGACGTGCCTTTTCCCTCTCGATGGCGATTATGCGCTGCTCACGCTGCTCACGCTCGCGCTCGCGCTCCCTCTCGCGTTCTCGCTCCCGTTCGCCGCGCTGGATCATGGCGTCGTGGGCGGAGCGCTGAGAAGCAGCACTGGCGGCAGCAGCAGCATGCGTCGTCGACGGTTGTCCTTTACCGGCACCGGGCATGTGCGCCGGGTGGTGTGGGCCAAGGCTGTGGGGTGGAAGCTGGCCGTGGCCATGCTGCTGCGAAGCGAGGGGGCCAGCAGGTGGGGCGGGAGGCGACTGCTGCTGCTGTTGCTGCTGATGAGTTGCATATCCCCCGTGCTTGCCATGCGACGAGGTGCGGCCGCTCTGGCCATTGCGATGCTGCGTCGCTGGTCCATAGTCCTGCTGGCGCTCCCTGTAGTCGTCGTAGGCCATGTGTGCCGGCCCTGGGCTGACCGGTGGCGCGGCCGACGGCGGCGGCGGCGGCGGTGGTGCTTGCGGCGCTGCCCTGTATGCGCGATCATGGCCGTGGTGGGGCGGGCCTGCGGCCTGGGCACCGTAGTGGCCGTCGACGTCCATCTCCATCACCTGCCTTCCGTGGGCGTCGTAGCCCTGATACCTGGGCGGCTCGTCGTACTGGAGAGGATGGTGTCGTGCAACCGGCGACGGCCCGTAGTGCTGAGACTGCGGCTGAGGCTGATGCTGGGCCTGGTGGTGCGATGCCGGCTGCTGCTGTTGCTGCTGTTGTTGACTTGCGTAGGAAGGAGGTGCGTTGCTCGAGTGAAGCGGGGCTGGATGAGAGTAGGGGCTTTGCTGCTGTTGCTGCTGCTGCGGTGGATGGCTTCGATAGGGCTGTTGCTGCTGCTGCTGCTGCTGTCCCGTCTCCCTCGCCAGAGGACCGCCGCGGAAGCTGGGACTCGGCTTGCTGTCGAGCTGAGGACCGTCGCTGCGCTTTCGCTTGTGTCCCTCCTGACCGGCACCGGCACCGGCACTGGCACTGGCACCGGCGCCTGCTGCGGCAGGCCGGTGAGCATGGTGGGAGGGCGGGGGCGCAAACGGCGGCGTGCTGCGGTTCTCAAAGCCAGGCGCAGATCCTCCGAGGGGCACCATGCCCACCTTTGGACTGCGCGTCTGGCCAGGCCACCGGCCCTGCTCCTGGACTCGCCAGGCGGCGGCTTGCTGTGCGGCCTCCTCGGCAATGGGCCCGCTCCACTTGCGACGGGCCAGGTTGGCTGCGGCCGACTCGTGCGACGACATTGCTGAGTTCGCGTGGTTGCCCGAGGCTGCATTGCTGTTGCTGTTGCTGCTGCTGCTGCTGCTGCTGTTGTTGTTGTTGTTGTTGTTGCTGCTGCTGCTGTTGCCGACGCTGCTGCTGGCTGGCGCAAGCATCGAGCTGGGTCCCTGCTGCTGCTGCTGCTCCATCCTCCTCCTCTTGTCTGGCGACATAGGTTCTTGGCCGACTTGCCGCGCAGAAGAGGGCGACGAGGACGACGAGGGGCCGAGGATGGAGCTCATGCTCATGGGGTCGCCCCGCTGTGCTGGCGACGACATCGACGAGGCCGCCTGGTGGTGTCGGCTCCGCTCGCGCTCCCGGTCTAGGGCATCCCGATGGTCTCTGTCTCGGTCTCTGCCTGCGTTGGGCGGCGATTCGCTTGCTGGCCGGCGGCGATGGCTGTCCAGGCCAGGCGGTGCGATGGGGAGTGGTGCGAGGACGTCGGATCGAGAATAGCCATCGCCCGTGCTCGTGCCCAAGCCTCCTCCTCCTCCCCCTCCGCCACTGCTGCCGCCAACACCGACGCTGGATCCTCGAAAGGCAGGCAGGCGAGGCATGCCACTCTGTATGCTCGTGCCCGGAGGCGACGAGGCGCCCCCAGACGGGGCCGGCTGCTGCTGTTGCTGTTCTCGGTGAGAGCCAGGCTGGGACTGGAGACCCCAGCTGGGCAGCCTGCTGTGCGACTTGTCGCCACGCATCAGGCTGGGCAGCCCAGGCGAGGTGCGGTGCGAGAGAGGGCCGCCGCCACCGCCGCCCGGCTGCGGCAGCGTGGGAGGCTCAGAGGAGTTGGCCTTGGAGGCAGAGGAGGAGGAGGATGTCGATGCCGCGCCGGCCGTCGTCGCACCTGCAGCCGTCGTCGTGGCAGGCTGAAGGCCGCTTGGATGCCGAGGCACAATCGAGGGAGGCGCAGACATCGGCCCGGCAGAGGCTGGATCCCATGGCATGGGACGGCCCGAACCAAAGACAGACGGCGGTGTCGGCGGCGGCGGGGTGCGTGGGCGGCGCGACGGCGACGCGGGATGGGAAAAGGCCTGGTCTTCAAATGGCGCGCCTCCTGTTCCTGCGCCTGCGCCAGCTCCAGCTCCAGCGCCAGCTCCTGTTGCTGAGCCTACTGATCGATGGTGATGATGCCGGCTGTGGTATGAAGAAGGCGACGAGGAAGAGGGCGCCGGTGGTGGCAGCTGGCTCTGCTGGTGGTGGTGGTGTTGATGGAATGCAGGGCGACCGTTGTATTCCTGGTCGAGCCATGCGCTCCTCCGTTCGCGGTCGCGGTCCTGCATCTCGCGCTCCAGATCGCGGCCTGATGTGAGGTGAATTTTTGGAGAAAAAGAAAAGGGGAAGGAATTGTGAGCGTCTGTTGTGGAGCCAGGCAACAGAAGCGATCCAACTCACCAACACCGCTGCTGCTGGCAGGCCGAGCAGCAGGAGGGGCAGGGTAGGTGGAGGACGACGAAGAGTTAGGCGAGGCTTGTCCTCGCTGATATGCTGTTTCAGCCGATGGCGAAGCAAGAGACAACTCGACTCAGCAAATGCGCTCTCTTTGTGCGACACAAGGGGTAACAACGAGGCAGAGAAAGACGGAGAGCAAGAGGGAAAGACGAGCGAGAGAGAGAGGGCCAACACTCTACCCGTCTCTCACTCCCTGGACCCGGCCTCGATGATGAAGCGGGGCGCGGGCCTTGAATCCGAGCGCTGGACCGACTTTTCATTCGGAGAGCAATCGACCGACATCGCCAACCAAACTCCACGACAGCCCACTCACCCCCTCCCCACTCATCTTTTTGTACACACACACCAGCCCCCCTACTCGGCCGCGCAGACTTCACTCCTTGACGAGACAAGGCAAGACGAGGGGCTACTCACGATGCATTTTCCACACGTCCTCTTCTCCTCCGGCGGCCAGGATCGTCGTATCGCAGCAAGGTTTTGCCGCCTGTGGGTCCCTCCGTGTCGGTACGCGCGCGCACGCAAGTATTCAAGCCCGATGTGCCTGCAATGAAAGGATGTCTTCGTGCACGACAGAGCTCGCCGTCGTCGTGCGTAGCCGGTGGTTGCAGGCGAGGGGGAGCGGATGCAGTTGGTAAAAGCGACGAGATCTCGTGTGGCTGATGAGTTGCGCTTCTGGAGACAGCTGGAAGAAAATTGGTGCGGAAAAAGAAGGCCGGCCGCACCGAAAATGCACCCTGCCACCCCTTAGCCTCTTCGTTGATAGATAAATAATGTCCTAATAAAGATACGCTACCACACTACTACTCTACGTACTAGCTAGAGCTGCGATAGCGCGTGTCCCGGCTGCTACACTACTACTACTACTACTACTACTAGTATTTTTCTGCACTAAGTACGACTCTGCTAGTGGCGTGTTGGAAGTAGTGTAGTGAGCAGGGGTGCTCGTCCCTCCTGTCAAATGAGCCCGCGCGCCGTGTCCAGCAACTGAGAAGGGGGCCGGTGCGGTGCTGCGACAACACTTTCTCTCCCGAAATGGCCCACAAATTGTGACTCAGCCGTCGACACGCCGTCTGCTCTGACGTCGTCGTCTTCCTCTCCTTCTTCATGCAACTTTTTTCTCCGGCCTTTTTGAGATAGATACCAAATATATATAGACGACAATCGACGACGACGGCCCGCCGCTTCATCAATCAATCATCCTGCGGCGCTTGAGTGATTGATGCGCAGTCGGACTTCTTCTCTGGTGGCGGCGCACTCTTAATTGGTTGCCTGTGCGATCAAGTCTCGATGGCGGGTGCGATTCAAGGGGTCGACAAAGAGACATCTAGCGTCTCCAGGAATGCCGCTAGTCATCTTGACAGATCTGCTCGTGATGTAGTCACCCTCTCGTCAGACATCATCTCTCTCCCTTGAAAGGTGCATGCGGACAGATAGGCAATATATTACTGCAAGTGCGGCAGAAACAGAATACGATGGGGGCTCGAGACCCTCTTCCTTGACTATTGTCTATGAGAAACTTGATATGATGACGACGTATTCTGAACGAGAAGAATATCCGCTTGATTCGCTCTTGCAGTGCTCGGCTGCGCACAATGTGAAAGAAGGAAAATTAAGACGACCTCCACCAAAAGAGAGCGAGGGAAGGAAAGTGGGGAATTTCTTCCCTTCAAATGACATTCGCAATCGGCTCTTGATCTTCAGACACACAGAGACTTCTTCATCACTTCTTCTTCCCACTTTTGCACCCGTAAAGCACCACCAGCCGCCATGGACATGATCCCCAACATCTCGGTGGCTTCGCTGCCCATCACCCTTTTCCTCGCCGCGCTGCCCCACTGGTACTCGATTGGCGTGGCAGAAAGCCGAAAGATCCAGGGTGGATGGTCGAACGAGAACCCGAGTGAGTGTCGACTGGTCAGAGAAAGACGAAGGTCCCATTCAATCCATACTAACCACATGTCGCAACACGTCGATTTACATCTGCAGGAGCCTTTGTTGCTCGGCTCAATGCGCGCGCTGCCCAGGGCAAGAGGCTCTCGGACACAGAGGAGATGATCCTGCGTGCCCAGAGCTGCCAGCAGAATGGCTTTGAGTGGTTCGCCGTCTGGGCTGCTGCCGTGGTGGGTGTTGCTTTCCCTTCTCTCCTTGGAAGTAGGGTAGGCTTACAATGAAATTCTCCCACCAGATCCTCGGCAACTTTGCCAAGCTGCCCCAGTCGACGCTGACCAACACGACGTTCATCCACCTCGTGACGAGGATCATCTACACGGTCCTCTACGTCCAGACAACGTCGCGCAAGTTCAGCTATGTCCGCACTCTTGTCTTCAACGTGAGTCTGGGTCGCTGCTCTGCCTTGATAGTTGTTCCCACCTTGCTCACAACGACGAGCTGCTGCGCTTGGGATGATTCAACAGTTGGGCGTGGCCGCACAAGTACGCCTAATCTTCAAGGCTGCCTATGCTCTCGCCTAGGAGGCGCCACCTTCTTCGCACGGACGCTATTCCCCACGCACTTTGTGCTTGGACTCGCCTCTTTGCTGTATCCATGTATGAACCAGCACCGCTTTCCTCTGCCAAAAGCAAATTTGTCTCTGGAAACCCCCTCTGTGGCCCTTGTGTCTACGAATCTGTTCTCGTTGGTCTAGTAGTGTAGTGGTGATACAGCAATTGTCCGTCTAAATCTACCCCGGCTCGAGTGTCTTTCACCTCTGCTTCCGTCGCACGAGGACGCTGAGTAAAGAGAGGGATACGCTCAGATCTTCGCTTCCTTGCCGCGGCGATGGAGGAAGATACACTCACTGGAAATGACTGAGGCCCGGCACGGTTCGCAGGTGCGGCGGATTGCAAAACCAGGCCGTCTCCCACTGCTCTCGGCTCCACCGCTGCTCGACGTACCTTTGGAGGAAGCGCCCGGCCCAGGCGTGGGCACTGGTGGCCATGGCCTCTGCGTCGTCGTCGGACATTGTGCGCTGGAGCACCTCTTTTGTCTTGAAGCCCTGCACCTTGGGCGGCGGGTCCGGGGCGCCCGTCAGGCCGCGAATGCCGTCAAAGAGAATCGCCGCATAGAGGGCCTCGCGCTCGGGTCCGGGCGGAAACGGAGTGTCGGCCGTTTCAAAGAGGCCGGGATGGATGATGGGCCGCTTGCACCTGCAAGGCGATTCACTCGCGGGATGTGAGTCGGGGCGGACGGAGCACAAGTAGGGGGACAGCAAGGGGGCTACGCACCAGACGACATAGTGGCCGCAGTCACCGGGGATGCCATAGGGCCAGTCGTTTGGGATGCACTTGGCCAGGTCGGCGTCCTTGGCGACTGCGTCATCAAAGAAGCGAGACTGCTGCTGCTGCTGCTGCTGCTGTGACTCGTCGCGGTCTTCGTCGTCGTCGGCCTCGGCCCAGTGGAGCCTCACGAGGCGAATGTACGTCTCCAGCCCACCATACCTCTGTCGAATGGGCTTTGCCCACTCCAAGTAGCGCTCCTCGCACTGCTTGTGGCGGTACAGCTTGTCGAGGTCGCCATTTGTGATTGTCTGCTGGATCTGTGGCCACGTCATGACGGCATACTCTGGCGCAGGAATAAAGTACGCTCCGATCCCCAGCTCGCCCTCGCCCTCGGGCGGACCAGCTGGAAGCTCGTGCGCAGCCGGCTGCCCCTGCCTCGTTGAAGAGACGCATACATGCATGATGAGCACGCTCCCCTGGCGGATTTTGTAGACACGACGTGTGCACTACTACTCACGTCTTTCTCTCCCGTCGGCGCTCCTCTCGCATCCCCCATCGTCGTCGAGTCGCTCGCCGTGTTACAGCCTGCCTTCTTGCATTATATTAGACTAGTAACCTTAGTTCCGTCCCCCGTCCCCTGTCTTGGCTTGAGACGGAGAAATAAAAAATAAAAAAAAACAAACCAAAAAGACACGCTTGCGCGTGCGCCCGCCCACGCATGCGATCAGACATCCACCATCAGCCGTTTCCCTCGTCGCGGCGCATCCAGACTCCAAAGCAATCGGGCGAAGTGGGAACAAGCCGGCATGAGCCGCTCTTTGACACGGAGCGACCCCAGCAGCTGCAGTAGTGGACACATTTCCTGGTGATTCTCGCGCCAGGAAAGAAGATTGGGCCAGGAGGTTCGCCCACCACCCCTCGCGTCCGCCGCCCCTGTCAAGAGGGCAGGAGAGGAGGAGGAGACGAAGACGTGACTGAGAGGGCAAGGAGGCGCCGGTCATGTCGCTTGCTGGGCTGTCCGATCCATCAACCCCGATGCCGGAGCTCGATCACTCGACGCCCCGGAGACCGACTCGCGCACCTTCGAGAGTCTCGCTTGCGTCGTCGTCGTCGTCGACTGGCGCTGGAGCACCGCCATTGGCTGAGGACAAGTCAGCGCTGTCGAATAGCAGCAGAAAAGCGGCACACTTACGCATCGCATCGCTGACCGAGAGTACAGACTCGGAAGCGACGCCGAGGAAAAGGATGCCCCTGCCTACGCCGCCGCAGAGCGAGACGATGAGCAACGGGAGCTCGGCCAGGCTGGACCTCCTCCCTTCTCTCTCCCTCGGCGCCAACGGCAACGACAATAAAATGTTCGAGGACGAAGATGACGATCATGAACAGCAGCAGCAACGCCAACAACAGCAACGACAACAACAGCAGCAGCAACGTGAAGAGGAGCGCGAAGCTGGGAACACCAGTCGCAGGAATCGATATCCCGAGCTCGAGAGGAGAAGCGTGAGTAGAGACGGACTGGCTACGCCGCAACATCACTGACACAGGCTTCTCCTTTCTATCTAATTCAGGTCTCGAGCCGGAGCTCCCTCAACCCGCTTCGACGACAGGCTTCGACGGCGACAATCACCAACAATGAGGAGGACAACTCCCTCGGTGAATCCACGTCAACGCTCAGGGATGAGGAGAAGGGCCCGGGCAAGAACAGGGAGGAGCGTCGCAAGAGGAGTGCCATGCATGAGCGTGAGCTCTCGCAGATGCGATCCGAGTCTCGGCTTGGCGACCGAGGCGATGATGTAGACGAGCAAAGTCCGCGTAAGGGCAGCTCGAGCCGACAAGTCAGTGGCGGCGGCGGCGGCGGCGGTGGAGAAGAAGCAGCAGCAAGAGCGGTACAAGGAGGAGGAACAGAGAGCACCGAAGACACATCGGGGACAGAGGGCACAGGGCCCGTGTTTGACAGGCGAAGAAGGAAGAAGAGCACGACAAGCTCGTCTTCGCGACAGCATGCCAAGCAGAGCCACCACACATCTCCTACAAAGGATAGCGTCAGCAGCAACAGCAGAAGAGAAGGGGAAGACGACTGGGAGAGGCGGTCGTCGGCAAGCGTTGCGTCTGTTCGTGCTCGCAATGAGTATATTCAGCGCAGAGCGTCGTTGAGCCCTCAAGTCGAACGGCACCAAGGCAGCTCCTCGGTCAGCAACCAGGGCCCATTTCCTTCGACCAGACGAGCCGGTCTTCCCCTGGAATTTCGATCGGACAGGCATACAACTCAGTCGCGCTATCGGAGCGATTCGATCGAGGACGACGAAGACCCGCGCCAAGTTCCTGCAGAGGGCCCTGCCAGCGACGAGGTCTGGCCTCGAGGCGAAGAGCCTTCTTCTGCTCGATTCCGCTCTTCGACGTCCAGCACCAACAGCTACCGTCGACGCAGGTATGCCTCAGACGCCCAAGCGTCTGATGTTCCGTCGAGCGAGCGAGAGCGAGACTTAGCCGCTCCCTCCAGGAACAGCCGCATCTCTGTCGACGCCTCATCGGTCTCTCGACATCTCTCTCGGACCGTCCCTCGCCCTTCTGGAGGCTCCGGCAGCTCGAGAGACTGGGAACCCAACCAAATATCGCCAAGCGAAGCGATCCGCCAGCGCAAAATCTCGACGAGCTCGTCGATCTCGCAGCGCTCTTCAGGTGGAGCCTCTGATGTTCATCGCTCGGCGTCGCGGAACAGCATGCGACGTGCATATGGCAGGGATGTCTTTGACGATGAACGGCCTCCTCCCATGCCTGCACTTGGGCCAAAGGTCACGTCTCGGGACCAGGATCGCAAAGAGAAGTTACACGCACTCCGAGAACGCCAAGAGAAGCTCAAGAACACTCCGATGGGCGGCTCTAAATGGTGGGACGAGCTTGAAGATCTCCGCTCGCGCATTGACGAGCTGTCCATGGACTCTCATCGGTCCCAGTCGAGGGCATCGAGCCGTGCCTCGGCCATCAGCAGCACACGTTCACGATCAAAGGTCGGCGAGACGCCCTCGCACACGCTTCGCCGCAGCCGGCCCATGACAGAACCGCGAAAAGGTCATGGTAGCAATCATGATCGTACCTTGTCTGATCAAGTCTTTGTGCCGCCACTGCCGCCGCCCACCCAAGCGAGGGAAGGAAGCCGTTCGAGGAGCGGGACATTGAATGAGTCTGCTCGGCGCTATGCCTCCGCCACCTACGACAATCGTCGAGCTCCGGTCACGCCTGATATCTCGTCGGCATCGACGACCGTTGGTCGATCCAGCGGCAGCAGGATGGCTCATACAGGCCCAACGACTAGCACAAGTCGCTTTCCCTCTTTCGGCGGGGCGGCGAGCGAACAGGCAGAGACGATGCCGCTACACGAACGCAACCTGCTCAACGCCTTTGATGTTTTCGATCGGCACTTTAGCCAAAGCGGTCAGGCTGGAACACCAAACTCTTCCAACAGCATGCGAGGGGGGCCAGAATCGATGGAGCTCGTCGATCGCTTCCGAGAAGTTAGTGACTCATCGACGAGGATCAATGCCGGCCTTCGTCGTCTAGTTCAGGTGACACTCGAGGCGCAGATAGACGCCGAATTGGCGAACAGCGACGCTCCTTCGTCTGCCACGTCGACTGCCTTTTCGATCCTGGATAGGGGCCTGACTCACCTCCTCAGAGATAGCGATGAACAGGTTCGCAGCCTTACCGACGGCTTGATGGTCTTCACACGCGCAGAGAGGGAGCGAGACAGGATGAGAAGAGTTCTCGGAACAAGCGATCAGGGATCTGTAGGAGGACGACCAGGCTCGCGGGTTTCCCTGCTGGCAAGTCCAGACACGGAGCGGGGCAACAACGGCAGCGTCGATTTGGACAAGCCCGCAAATGACCTTCGGAGGGCTTTCTCTCAGCGCGAACGCATGGGTGTCAGTCTCTCCGTTGCCGGCAAGTCCAGCGCAAGCAGTACCAGCCAAGGCTCCAGCGAACTGTCTGGCGGGTCTCAACGGCGTACGGTTGCAGAGGCTACCTCGCCGTATTCCCCAACGCCTTACACGGGCAAAGGAAAGGAGGGCATCAAAAGCCCGACACTGTCCACTGCAGCCCACGCCTCGTCGCAGCGGCTGAGATCAACTCTGGGCATCAGCCACAAGCGGTCCAATTCCGAGCTTCCTTCTCCGAGGTCGCCAGCAACCGAATTTCGCAAAGACAAGACATCCAACACATCATCAAATTCGACGGTGAAGCCGCCTGCGTCCCTCTCGCCTAGGCGCCCAAAGCTGTCGTTTCCTTCCGTCTCGACCGAAAATGCCCTCGCCAGGAACGCTGTCGACATAGTCGACGCAACTACGGGAGAGGCTGTTGGCGATGGATCCTTTGCTTCCTCTGCGGGGGAGCTCGAAGAGTCTCCTTCGCACAAATTTGCAGCCCTGTCCGACGACAAGGTTCCCAAGTCTCTCCATGCCCCTGCTGAGCCGCGAAGGAGTGGCTCCTCGAGAACGGTCTGGACCGTGTTTGATCGTCCCGTGACGACAGAACCTGAGCCAAAGTCAGCAGACGTGGAAAACTCCCGACCTTCCTCGCTTTTGAGGCGCCAAAGCAGCCGCTCCCAACATCGAGCGTCCATCGCCACCATGTCAAGCCCGAACGAGGGACCTTCTCCTCGTCAAGAGAACCAGACAGTGCCCATTTCTCACCAACCAGGCGGAGGAGTTGGTCTCAATGCAGCCTCGCGCATGATCCGAAGCCTGGGAAGGGGAGCAGGTAGACGTATCTCTGCTCACGTTGACATCGACAAAGAGCTGCCGTCGTCGTCGGGCATCTCTCCCAATGATTGAATGGATTTCTCAGGCCTCCTATCACCTGCTCCGCCATAGCATCACCAGATCCACATCGCCGCCCTCTACATCAATGTCCATCGGACTGTATTTTCTCCTTACTCAATACACTCTCAAGCACAATATTCATACACTCTCTGGTCACTACAACCCTTAGCAATGCCGCTGCGTTTGTCTGATGAGCGGCACCCGAGCGCACGTGGACGAGGACCTTTCCGACCGTCGGATCAAGTCGGAGCCTAAGCGCACGCCGCATCGGGGCCAGACCGGTCTTTTTTTTTTCTCACTTTTCTTTTTTCAAAATTGACGGCCAGTCAAGTCCTGTGCTGAGGAAACCCGGCCGGAGAGACTATTTGACGCTCATGCATGCAGATGTTCTTGGCCGGATAGCGAGGCGAGCGAGGGCCTCGCCGCAGGTCGCATCCAATGGCCAGCAAGGACTGGTTGCGATGCGGATACAGACAAGGATGACCAATATTGATGGGTGTGTAGTGCCTCATGATGACGACGCCGTGTCTTGGGTGTGTCACGCGCTCTTCCGAAAGCGGCCTGTGACACGACGAGCTTTGACAACGAACAACGCTCTTGGCCCGCGAATGTCAGCCGTGCCGTAGCTGTGTCTTTTTCTCGCACCTTTTTTTTGTGGCTTACATAACGTTTCCGGGGAGATTCCTTCTCGGTGGGGGGTGGGTTTGGCAGCATCAAGACTGTGCGTGTAAGTGATTTGAAAAGGAAAGGGTTATGTGGAAAGAAAAAAATGATTAGACTAAGATACGACGGGTCAAGTCTGATTGGCCAAGCCGGGTTTTAATCTTTCAATCAACGTCGCTGGTTGGCTGAACAGTTGACAAAGCCGTCGAGAAAAAAGGGCTCGCTCGGAACTGGCCCTACGGCTGCCGCTACGGAAGGAGGAGGTGCGAATGAGAAGAAAGCAGGTGGCCAGGCAAAGAGAGAAAAAAAAATATTTGTAATCCGGGAGACCGCCAGTAGTAGTAGTAGTGGTAGTGTATGCACTCAGCGGAATCCAGACCAGTCATCTCTTCTTTTTTCTTCCTCCTCTTCATCACCACCACACGGAAAGGCCCTTCTTACACACGCACACAAGAGAAAAGAGCGGCCATCCTAGTCCACCAATACCTTTTCGGTGATAAAAGGTGCCCCTAGTGGTGGACTACCCCACACGCCCCCTCCTAGGAAATTAGGACCTCTTTCGACGAGCGCCGCGGAAGAGACCCAGGCATCCTCCGAGGGAGAAGAAAAAGGAGAAATCCACAAGGAAAGAAAAAAAATAAAAGAAGAAGATGGCTTCTGTCAGCGGCTCGACGCCGGCGCAGTACCCACGGAACCCCAGGGCGATTGAGCGTCTGATGGGCACCATCCCCGAGCACGATGAGGCCACTACCTCGGCTGACTACCAGGCTAACGGCTATGAGTCGGTGGAGCGTCACATGGAGTCGTGGGCCGGCAGCCTGCCCGCTGCGCAGGGTCTGTACGACCCCGACAACGAAAAGGACTCGTGCGGTGTCGGCTTTATTTGCCACATCAAAGGAAAGCCGAGCCACAAGAACGTCACGGACGGTCGTTCGCTCCTCTGCAACATGACACACCGAGGTGCTGTGGGCGCCGACGCCAGGGACGGCGACGGAGCCGGTGTCATGACGGGCTTGCCCGACACTTTCTTCAGGCGCGAAGTTGAGCGGGACCTTGACTGCAAGCTCCCAGCGATGGGCCAGTACGCTGTCGGTAACCTCTTTTTCGACCCTCGGGACGAAAAGGCGCGCAACGAGCACATTGGCTACTTTGAGAGTCTCGCTCGCAAGCTCCACCTCCGCGTTCTCGGCTGGCGAGAGGTGCCCGTCGACAACTCGATCCTCGGCCCTGCTGCGTTGAGCAAGGAGCCAAAGATCCTCCAGCCTTTTGTGGTCCTGACCGACCACTTTGGTGCGGACACGCGGCAGTGCCAGGACGAGACCGCACCCTTCGACAGCCAGTACTTTAGCAGACAGCTCTACGTCCTGCGCAAGTCGGCTACCCACGGCATTGGTCTGCCAAAGTGGTTCTACATCTGCTCCCTTTCCAACACAAACATCATCTACAAGGGTCAGCTGAGCCCGCGGCAGGTGTACGAGTACTACCACGACCTCAACAACGCCCACTACGCCAGCCACTTTGCCCTCGTCCACTCGCGTTTCTCCACCAATACCTTCCCATCTTGGGACAGGGCCCAGCCCATGCGATGGGCGGCACACAACGGTGAGATCAACACGATCCGAGGCAACAAGAACTGGATGCGGGCCAGAGAGGGCCAGCTGCGATCGGAGACGTTCAAGGATGAGCTCGAGATGCTATACCCAATCATCGAAAACGGCGGGTCCGATTCGGCCGCATTCGACAACGTTCTCGAGCTCCTTGTTATCAACAATGTTCTCACCCTGCCCCAGGCCGTCATGATGATGATTCCCGAGGCGTGGCAGGGCAACGAGGACCAGATGGACCCGGCAAAGGCTGCTTTCTACAAGTGGGCTGCCTGCCTGATGGAGCCCTGGGATGGCCCTGCTCTCTTTACCTTCTCTGACGGACGGTACTGCGGTGCTAACCTGGACCGAAACGGCCTTCGTCCGTGCCGCTACTGCATCACCGACGACGACATCATGGTCTGCGCCTCGGAGACGGGTGCCGTCACAATTGCACCCGAGAGGATCGTCGAAAAGGGAAGATTGCAGCCCGGAAAGATGCTTCTCGTTGACACTGTCGAGGGTCGCGTCGTCGATGACCGCGAGCTGAAGCTGTCGACGTCGAAGCGTGCCGACTTCGCCGCCTGGATCGAGGCTCAGCTTCTCGAGCTGCCCGAGATTGTCCAGACGGTCCGCAAGGCAGGTGTCCACATCAAGCCTCAGCTTGACGAGTCGCTGGTCCAGGAAGACCCGAAGATGCTTGCATTCGGCTACACGGCCGAGCAGCTCAGCTTGCTGATGCTCCCCATGGTCAGCGACGGCAAGGAGGCCCTCGGCTCGATGGGTAATGATGCCCCTCTGGCCTGCATGGCCCAGGCTCCTCGCCTCATCTATGACTACTTCCGTCAGCTGTTTGCCCAGGTCACCAACCCGCCCATCGACCCCATTCGAGAGGCCGTCGTCATGTCGCTCGAGCAGTACATTGGTCCCGAGGGCAACCTGCTCGAGATGAGGCCAGAGCAGTGCCACCGTCTCAAGCTTTCGAGCCCTATGCTCGACATTGAGCAGATCAATGCTATCAAGAACCTCAAGGTCGCCCACTCGGACTGGCCCGCCAAGACCATCGACATTACCTTCGACAAGGGCGAAGGTCTCGAGGGCTACGAGAGGACCATCAACCGCATCTGCACTGAGGCTTCTCAGGCTATCCAGCAGAGCTACCGCGTCCTGGTCCTCTCGGACCGTGGCGTGAGCAAGGACCGTGTCCCCATCAGCTCGCTGATTGCCTGCGGTGGCGTCCACCACCACCTGGTTCGCAGCAAGGAGCGTTCCAAGGTTGCCCTCATTATCGAGAGCGGCGAAGCTCGTGAGGTCCACCATATGTGCGTCCTCCTCGGCTACGGTGCCGACGCTGTCTGCCCCTGGCTTTCCATCGAGGCCATGCTCAAGGTCTCTCGCGAGGGCCTGCTCAAGGTCGACATGTCCGACGAGAAGCTCGTTAACAACTGGCGCGACTCTATCGACGGCGGTATCTTGAAGGTCATGTCCAAGATGGGCATTTCTACTCTGCAGTCCTACAAGGGCGCTCAGATCTTCGAGGCTCTCGGTCTTGACAACACCGTCGTGGACCGCTGCTTCGCTGGTACTGCGTCGCGCATCAAGGGCTCTACCTTTGAGCTCCTGGCCATGGACGCTCTTGAGTTCCACGACCGTGGTTACCCCGCCCGTGACACCATCTCCATCCCTGGTCTACCCGAAAGCGGCGAGTACCACTACCGTACCGGTGGAGAAGGCCACATCAACGACCCCGTCAGCATTGCCAATCTGCAGGATGCTGCCCGCGAGCGCAACCAGAATGCTTACGACACGTACAGCAAGGCTGCGCACAACTCGACAAAGGCTGTCACCCTCCGTGGTCTGCTCGACTTTGCCTTTGAAAAGTGCCGGCCCATTCCCGTGGACCAGGTCGAGCCGTGGACAGAGATCGTCCAGCGCTTCGCCACGGGTGCCATGTCCTATGGCTCCATCTCGATGGAGGCCCACTCGGCACTCGCCATCGCCATGAACCGCATTGGAGGCAAGTCCAACACTGGTGAAGGTGGTGAGGATGCCGAGCGCTCGATCCCGCTGCCCAACGGCGACTCGCTTCGGTCGAAGATCAAGCAGATTGCCTCGGGTCGCTTCGGTGTGACGTCCAACTACATTGCCGACTCGGACGACCTGCAGATCAAGATGGCCCAGGGTGCCAAGCCCGGTGAAGGTGGTGAGCTGCCAGGTGACAAGGTCTCGCCCTCCATCGCCCGTACCCGCCACTCGACTGCCGGTGTCGGTCTCATCTCGCCCCCTCCTCACCACGACATTTACTCCATCGAGGATCTCAAGCAGCTCATCTATGACCTCAAGTGCGCCAACCCGCGTGCTCGGGTCAGCGTCAAGCTCGTCTCTGAACCCGGTGTCGGTGTCGTTGCTGCCGGTGTGGCCAAGGCCAAGGCCGACCACATCACCATCTCAGGTCACGATGGTGGTACGGGCGCAGCCAAGTGGACTTCCATCAAGTATGCTGGTTCACCCTGGGAGCTTGGTCTCGCTGAGACGCACCAGACGCTCGTCCTCAACGACCTGCGTGGCCGTGTCACCGTCCAAACCGACGGTCAGGTCCGAACGGGAAGGGACATTGCCATTGCATGCCTTCTCGGTGCAGAGGAATGGGGTTTCGCCACGACTCCCCTTATTGCCCTTGGCTGCATCATGATGCGGAAGTGAGTCTTTCAACGGATACTTATTATGGGAGAATATCAAGCTGACCTGCCTCCTCTCAGGTGCCATCTGAACACTTGCCCCGTCGGCATCGCCACGCAGGACCCTGAGCTCCGAGAGAAGTTTGCTGGCTTGCCCGAGAACGTCGTCAACCTCTTCTACATGTTTGCTGAAGAGCTCCGAGGCATCATGGCCAAGCTTGGTCTGCGCACCATCAATGAGATGTGCGGCCGTTCGGACCTGCTCAAGGTCGACGAGTCGCTGCGCACGCAGAAGACGGCCAACCTGGACTTCTCTCCCATCCTCAAGGCTGCACACGAGATGCGTCCCGGTGCCGCCACCTACAAGGTCAGGCAGCAGGACCACAAGCTCTACGTCCGTCTGGACAACAAGTTCATCGAGGAGGCCGAGCCTTCTCTCACCCAGGGCTTGCCCGTCCAGATCGAGTGCGACGTTGTCAACACCGACCGTGCTCTCGGCGCCACGCTGTCGTACCGCGTCAGCAAGATCTACGGCGAGCAAGGTCTGCCCCGTGACACGATCCACATCAAGGCCAACGGTTCCGCCGGACAGTCGTGTGGTGCCTTCCTTGCCCCCGGTGTCACTATCGAGGTCGAGGGTGACTGCAATGACTATGTTGCCAAGGGCATGTCGGGTGGTCGCATGATCGTCTACCCGCCCAAGGGTTCGGCCTTCAAGGCGGAGGAGAACATCATCGTCGGCAACGTATGCCTGTACGGTGCTACGAGCGGCAATGCATACTTCCGCGGTATCGCTGCCGAGCGCTTCGCCGTCCGCAACTCGGGTGCCGAGGCCGTCGTCGAAGGTGTCGGTGACCACGGTTGCGAGTACATGACAGGCGGCCGTGTCGTCATTCTTGGTACTACCGGCCGCAACTTTGCAGCTGGTATGTCCGGCGGCATTGCCTACGTCCTCGACATGCGGGGCGACTTTGCCGGCAAGTGCAACCCAGAGATGGTTGAGCTTGGCCCCGTCAAGGATGCCCACGACATCGCCGAGCTGCGCAACCTCATCGAGAACCACAAGCACTACACTGGTTCGACGGTGGCCGACCACGTCATTCACCACTTCCACCACCTCTTGCCCCGCTTCGTCAAGGTCATGCCTCTGGACTACAAGCGCGTGCTTGAGGAGGAGGCGGCCAAGGCGGCCGAGGAGAAGAAGCGGTCGAGCCACGTCGACCTCCTGGGCACCCTTTCGCGCCACGGAAGCCAGGTCGACGTTTCGGTGACTGAGGACAAGGAGCAGGACGCGGCACGGGCTGTCAAGCACGAGCCTCAGGTCGTCGATGTCGAGGACTCGATGGTCGACGACGAGACGCAAAAGGCTCGCTTGTCGAAGCTCGACAAGACGCGCGGCTTCATGAAGTACAAGCGCCTGGGCGAGCACTACAGGACGCCGACAAAGCGCATCAAGGACTGGAACGAGCTGTCGTCGAGGCTGACGGAATCGGAGCTTAAGTACCAGACTGCCCGTTGCATGGACTGCGGCGTTCCTTTCTGCCAGACCAACACGGGCTGCCCGATCAGCAACGTCATTCCGCAGTTCAACAACCTCGTCTTCAAGGGCCAGTGGAAGGACGCTTTCTACTCGCTCATGAAGACGAACAACTTCCCAGAGTTCACCGGACGTGTCTGCCCCGCTCCTTGCGAGGGTGCTTGCGTCTTGGGCATCAACGAGCAGCCCGTCGGCATCAAGTCGGTCGAGTGCGCCATCATTGACAAGGCCTGGGAGATGGGCTGGATGGTTCCCCGGCCTCCGCAGACGCGCACCGGAAAGACGATTGCCATCGTCGGATCCGGTCCCGCCGGCCTGGCCTGTGCCGATCAGCTGAACCGCGCTGGTCACTCCGTCACCGTCTATGAGCGTGCCGACCGCCCCGGTGGTCTGCTCATGTACGGTATTCCCAACATGAAGCTCGACAAGAAGACGGTTCTGCGTCGTCTCAAGCTCATGGAGGATGAGGGTGTCAAGTTTGTCACTGGCGTCACCGTTGGCGAGGACGTCAGCGCCGACGACCTGCAAGCGCAGAATGACGCGCTCGTCTACGCCACGGGAAGCACCAAGCCTCGCGACCTCAACATTCCCGGCCGCGAGGCCGATGGTGTCTACTTCGCCATGGACTTCCTTAGCATGAACACGAGGAGCCTGCTCGACTCTGGTCTTGAGGACGGCCGCTACATCTCGGCCAAGGGCAAGAAGGTTATTGTTATTGGCGGTGGTGACACTGGCAATGACTGCATCGGTACGTCGATCCGACACGGTGCCGAGAGCGTCAACAACTTCGAGCTGTTGCCCATGCCGCCGACCAACGGACGAAGCCGCGACAACCCTTGGCCGCAGTGGCCACGCATCTTCCGAACCGACTACGGCCACAACGAGGTCACGGAGAAGTTCGGCAAGGACCCCCGCACGTACGAGATTACCACTACCTCGTTTGAGAAGGACGAGGAGACGGGCAAGCTCATCGCGCTCCACACGCAGGAGGTGAAGTGGGAGAAGGACGCAAGTGGGCGATGGCAGATGAACAAGGTCGAGGGAAGCGAGAAGCGATGGGAGTGCGACCTCGTCTTCCTCTCGCTTGGTTTCCTGCAGCCCGAGCGCGAATCGTTTGCCTCGCTCAACCTCGACCAGGACGGACGAGGAAACATCAAGGCGGACGACCTCAACGGAAAGAGCCCTTACAAGACCAACGTTGAGGGTGTCTGGGCATGTGGCGATTGCAGGCGAGGCCAGAGTCTCATCGTCTGGGGCATCAACGAGGGCAGGGCGTGCGCAGCCAGCATTGACTCCGAGCTCGAGGGAAGCAGCAGGCTCCCATGGTCGGGTGGCATCCCCAAGAGGTCTTACGACAACCGACACGTCAAGATGGCCCAGAAGAAGCAGGCAGCCCTTGCCGTCGAGGCTTGAGTCTGCAGGCAAACCGTCGGCGACCACACACAAAAGTAATATTCTCCTTTTCTTTTTCTTCAGTGTTTTCTCAAAAGTTTTGTTTGCTGCTCCTTTTCTTGTAAATGTTTCTTCCGTCTCTTGGTGTCTTCCTCGTCGATGATTCACAAAGACCAACAAATAGAAGTTCTTCTCTCTCCAGCTGTTCATGTGCAAGAGTGATTTGGCTGGTTGTTTACTTGCTATGATACAGAGTTCTCGTTTCGACAGAGCCATTTCTAATGCATATTGCCTCCCGACACCAGGACGCCGAAGCCAGCAGCGATTGAGATGCAACCGAGGAGCGAGATCCAATGGAACTCGTTTCCAAGAGCCAAGTCCGCAAAGAAGACTAGGACCGTCGTAAGGAGGCAGCTGACGGAGGCCAAGACGGGGCCCCAGAGCGACAGGAGAATGGAAAAGCAGCCATTGAAGATGACGCCCATGAAGACGACGAGAAAGATGGCAAGGACTGTACGGAAGTTGTGCGGCAGCTCGAAAGTCTCGAGTGACAGGGCGTGGGCGATTGGCTAGATAGGAGGGGAATGGAGTCAGTAAAAGGAGGTAAGCGAAGGATGTGAAGTCAGACACCCACAATGCCGATCCACAATGTCGAAAAAGTGACAAGACCGATGCCGCTCGTGATGATAATGGCATGCAAGCCAAAGGGCAGCGGCGGTGGCATCCACCTCTGGTGCATCGTCGATGCAACACTCATCGAGGACCCCACTCGGACAGACCGCGGTCTCGCTCCAGCGAGTTGATCTTGATCTCCTTGCTCGTCTTCCTCCTCGTCGACATCGAACACGTTGCGAAGGCTGCTGCGGCCCACAGTCGAGGCAGACTTGGTCCTGTGCAGCCTCGTGCTGCCTTTTTGGATTTCTTCGATGTCTGCATCTTCGACCACGCTCTCTTCCTCCGATGCGTCTTCCGAAACCTCCTCTTCCGTCACGCGAGGGGCGTCCTCGCCCTCGTTGATCTTGACGCTCTTGCGCTTGCTGTCTGTCTTCGTCGGGACCGCGTCGGTCAAAGTCCGACCTAGGTCGCCTGCGTCGAAAGGATCTTCATCACCAGGCTTGGCTTGCGGGCCGATAGCCTGGTAGGACGAAGGCGAACCATTTCTGCTAATGTCGCTATCATTCCAGATCGCCGTCCTCTCGGTGCTTCGTGCCCTTGCTTGGTCGTCTTCGTCATCGTCGCCGAGGATATGCTGTGGCTCGCCATTTTCCTCTTCCTCTTCTCCGCTCTTCTTTTGATCTCCTTCTCCTCCTTGCTCCTCCTCTTCTCCAAGCAGGCCTTGCTCCTCCGTTGTCAAGCCTGCCCTGTTGTAGCCTGCGTAGGATTGTGCCCTTGCAGTCCTGTCCCGGCTGACGGCAGAGTATCGCTCGTTCTGGCCCTGCTCATCAGGTAGCGTCCCGACGACCTTGAACGCCATCTCGTATGCTGCCATCGTGACTGCGCCGATGAAAGCGAGCAGGTCTCCCAGTACAGGGTTCTGCCCGCTCTGATCATCCTCTTTCCTCTCGGCCAGGTGTGTGAGCGCACTTCGGGCCGCCATCCCAGCAGCTGCCATGGTCGCATTGGCTACAGGATCGTCGCCCTGTCCTGGCTTGCCGTACACTGGGTCCTTTTCTCTCGGCCTTCTCCTGTGCTCTGCACCGCCATACGCTACCAAAATGACACCCCCACATGCGAGAAGGACCGAAAAGACTTTTCTGCGCTCCCACGACTCTCCCAAAAACCAGATGGAAAAGACGAGGGCCCAGACGGCGTAGGTGTTGTAGATTGTTGTGATGTCCGCCATTGTCGTCAGTGGCACTGCCGAGTACCAGCTCAGAGCAGGGACAGTGAGGCCGAAAGTCAAGACGGCGAGGAGGCGGAGGAGCTTCCATAGGTTGAACCCCACCCGCTCCTCGATCCACGACGAAAAAGGCGGCGGTGTACTGTTGCTTCGGTGACGGCTGCTAAAGCGCTGTTGTTCCTCCTCCTGTTCGAGGCGTTGCTGGAGCGTGTCATCGTCGCGCGTTTGTGAGAGCCGCAAGCTCAAGGAGCTGATCCGCCGACGAATTCGATCCGACGCTGGAAGGGGCACAGCATTGGTGGGTGTCGAGACCTGCCAATGCAGGTTCTGCGCAATGAGGTGGAGCCAGTGAGACAGGGGGATCTCGGGATGGGTCAGGCGGAGGTAGGCGAGATGCATGGGAAAGAGCAGAATGAATCCGCTGTGGCCGACGTAGCTACAGTAGACCAGTCGTCTGTCGTCAGCGTGATACCTCCTTTAACGACAGCCAAAGGCCAAGGAGACTCACAGCGACAAGAATGGTTTCCGATAACCTAATGTCTGTTGCACGTACTGAGCAGCTTCGGTTTGTATCGTGAAGGCAACGAGGCTCAGGCAGAAGGCGCCTACCGCATTGTTCCCCCCAGGTAGCCTAGTGATCTGTCCTTTGGCACGAGCCCTCGCAGGGCCCTCTTCTTGCTCATCTTCCCCGCCCCTGCTCGGCGAGAGCCTCATTCTCCACCAATTCGACATCTTGTCGACACGAAGAGAAGGTCCTGAAGCGGGAGGGCCCGGTGTTGTTGCACGAACATATAGCTGACCAGGAACGTGAGAGGCTAATCGTGATCTTTAAATTCGGCTCCCATGTGGGAAGAAGACCAATTCACCCCGCGACACCTCTTCTGTCGAAGGCAGCAGCTTTTACCTGCTAAGCGACCTTGAAGGTCAGAGGGATAAGACTCGCTGAGTCTCAGTCCAGTCTTGCCAGCCAGCTTGCTCGAAGTTCGCGCTCTTAAGCTTTCGTAGCTCACTGTACTTCGACGAGAAAGCGCGCAATAGCGACCGTCAAGATCGCTTTTCGTGGACAGACGCGTGAGCGTTCCAGGCTCACCGCGCCTCTGAAAAATGCATTTGTAAATGACGCGCGTGCAGACATTGTTCCTCTCTCTCTCCTCTCTTTACCAACACCACCCCGTGCGCAGCCATGGCTTCCACTTCGAGCGACAAGCCTTCCCCAAAGAAGAAGGAGCCCCAGGGGATCCAGGCCGGCGGCAAGACGCTGAGGAGCCGCAACAAAGGGGACCAGATGGACCTCAACACGGCCAACAAGATGAAGGCGCACCAGAAGGAGCTCCAAGCGCAGAAGCAAGAGGACGGCCTCGGCCGCTTCGCAAATCAGGATGGCGAGGGCTCCAAGGAGAACGGCAAGACCTTCAAAAAGTTCGAAAGCTACAAGCGGGATCACATGATGCCGAGCAAGACGGCCGATCTGCGCATCTTCATCGACTACAAGGCCCAGTCCATCTTCCTTCCCATCTATGGATTCGCTGTGCCCTTTCACATTAACACGCTCAAGAACCTCAGCAAGAGCGACGAAGGTGACTTTACCTACCTTCGTTTCAACTTCATCTCGCCCGGACAAGTTGTGGGCAAGAAGGAGGACGTGCCGTTCGAAGACCCCGATGCGACGTTCGTGCGCAGCATGTCCTTCCGTTCGTCGGACACGCAACACTTTAGCGAACTCTACCGCGACATTTCCGAGCTGAAAAAGGCGGCGACAAAGGCCCTGGCCGAGATGGCCGAGATGGCCGACGTTGTCGAGCAAGATAAGATCGTGTTGACAAAGGGCAGGGTGCCTACCCTCGTCGAGCTCTTCCCTCGACCTGCACTCGACGGAAAAAGGGTGCCGGGCAGCCTAGAGATCCACCAAAATGGCGTTCGCTTCGCTTCACCGGTCAGACCCGACCAGAAGATCGACGTGCTCTTCAACAACATCAAGCATCTCTTCTTCCAGCCTTGCGACAGCGAGATGATTGTCATCATTCACTTCCACCTCAAGGCACCTATTCTTGTAGGGAAGAAGAAGACAAAGGACGTTCAATTCTACCGCGAAGCAACCGACGTACAATACGATGAGACTGGAAACCGAAAGCGCAAGTACCGTGGCGGCGACGAAGACGAAATCGAGCTGGAGCAAGAGGAGAGGAGGCGAAGGCGTATCCTCAACAAGGAATTCAAGGCCTTTGCAGGACAGATTGCAGCGGCTTACGACAATCGCTTCACCGTTGATATACCGTTCCGTGAACTGGGCTTCGATGGTGTCCCCGTCCGGACCCAAGTCTTGCTCCAGCCAACAGCCGACTGCCTCGTCCACCTAACGGACCCTCCCTTCTTTGTCGTGACCCTCTCCGAGATCGAGTGCGTGCACCTTGAACGCGTCTCTTTTGGGCTCAAGAATTTCGACATGGTCATCATCAACAGCGATTTTTCAAAGCCACCCATCCACATAAATTCGATCGACGTCAAGAATCTCGACCCCATCAAGGAGTTCCTCGATTCTTGTGACATCTGCGTCACCGAGGGTCCTCTGAATCTCAACTGGGGTCAGATTCTGTCGACGGTCCGCGAGGACCCTTACTTGTTCTTCCAAGAAGGAGGATGGTCATTTCTGTCTGGCGACTCGGACTCAGACTCCGAAAACGGGTCTGACGAATCGGCTTCGGGTAGTGACTTTGGAGACCAGGTCGACAGCGAAGAGGTATTTGAGGACGAGACAAGCGAAGACGAAGACAGCAGCGAGTTCGACAGCAGCGACGACAGTGATGACTCTGACGCGAGCGGAAGTGATGAAGATAGCGGAGAGGACTGGGACGAGATGGAGAAGAAGGCCAAGAGGGCGGATGACCGGCGCGACCGGGGTGTGGGCAGCGATGACGAGAAGCCAAAGAAGAAGGCTAGCAGCAGCAAGAAGCGTTGAGTGAACTGCAGTTCACCCGGTTCACTCTCTCCACACAACAATATACTGTACTTTTGGGACTCCTCGCTGTCACTTCCTTTCTCTCATCATTGCCTTTACATGAAGCCCGAACGGACGAGGTGTGACCGAAAAAGACGACATGAGAGGCCACGTGGATAAAAGCTCCGGTGTTTCTTTTTTTTTGTGTTTTTTTTTTTCTCAGGTCGCGCGCACTTCCTCGGTCGACGGATGTTTAGCAGAGAGCCAAGAGACATCGAATCCGACAAGGACTACTGACGACGAGGAAAGACGCAGGGCGCCCTTCGTGTCATTGCGGCTCGCCCACTTTTTCCTTTTCTTTCTCTTATCCGTTCCAGCCCTGCAGAGATAGGAGTGGGCTACAGGATAGAAGGCCTGCCACTGCTTCGAAGTAGTGGTGCACCCGAGCAGCTATCGAAGAACACAGGACACTTGGACAAAAATTTGCGAATGATTCCGCGGTCTCACGCGATAGGTTCGTAGAAGACTCTTTCAGTCGTCGTCAACCCCCACCCGTCACCGTCCAGACCATCAACCCATCTTCCACGGGCGGCGCAGGTGATCCTCGTTGAGAAACGGAGGTGTGCCCTTTGCTGCTGTCGAATTGGTAGAAGGAGACGGCCGCTCGCACTTGGACGCTTTTCGAGGAGACTGCCTCTCGCCCTTGCCGGTCGGCAGAGGAGGGCGAAGGAGAGCAACAGTCACAACCATGGCTGCGCACGGTAGTGGCGAAGCAAGCGGTGAGTTCTCGATGTGGCCTTTCTTCTCTGCCAAGAGGAGAGGGTGAATATCTGGTGGGAGAGGCGGGCCTTGAGACTGACCCTCGCCCGCTTGGCTCAGACCAAGGTTTGGCTCCGCAATCATCCCCGCCGCCGCCGCCGATATCATCCAATGGCAGTGGTTCTTCCCCTCTGCTCGCATCAAGCCATCCAGCAAATTCTCCTTCCCTGTCCTCCTCGCCTTCCTCTTCAGCGTTCGCATCAGCATCAGCATCTACAGCAACGTCAAATTCGCCAGGCACTACACATGGAGGCGGAGGGCCGTCGTCGCACAGGCATCAGCACTCTCGTTCGAGGTCTGTGAATCTCAGCCCTACGATGCGAAGTGGCTCGCTGTTCACGCCTGCATCTGTTGGCCCTGGCTCTGCGAGCAACGATGCACATCACGCTCTGCTCCAGCACCTCGTCCCAGCCAGAGTCGCCTCGCCGCAGATGATTCCCCCAGCCAGTGCATCGCACAGCGGACACGTCCATCCGCATGCGCATTTACAGATGCTCGAGGCCGGGTGGCGACCCCACTCAGCGGGGAGCAGCGATGGCAGCGACGGCAGCTCGGCCTCTTCGTCGCCCGAATCGAGACGAGGAGCATTCGCAAGGCATATGGAGAGATCCGCGTCAAATCCCAGCAGCTCACTCAGCGCTAACTCGCCTCGTTCGACCTCGTCTTCCCCTGCATCAATGGCAAGAAGGGCGGTTTCGCCGTCAAGGGCCTTCGCGATGCCTCTGTCGCCCCGACTTCAGGCGTTTGGCGGACAGAGTCATGGGAGGAAGCTGTCGGGAGGCGCAGAGCCAATCCCAAGAATACCCTCGCCGCTACTGTCGCCCAATGCGAGTGCCAGGACTCTGTCCCTCAATCCCGACCCGGAGCTGCCCATCGACACGGTCTGGGTGGCTGACGACCCGCGCCAATCGCCGGACGGATCTCACGAAGCGGGCCACGGACGGCACACATCTGCCTACACGCCAGTACCTCCTTCGCTGAGGGATGAGTACTCTCCAACACCTGCATCGGCAATTTCGGTCCCCGGACCATCTAGCCCTCGTCGTCGTGGAGGACAGGAGCTGGCTGCCGGCTCGCCCGTCTTCACACGAGACATGTCGCACTCGCCCGTGCTGCGGCTTCAGCGGACGCCGTCACCTTCATCAATGGCGCATTCGAGGCACGAGAGAAAACGGTCTGGTAGTAGTGGTCTGGCCTCCTCCAGCCCGCGACTATCGCCAGCCGCTCTGCCGTCATCGCCCTCTTCGTCGCCTTCTTCACGTCCGGCACTGGCTGTGCCAAAGCCGATAGCAACAAAGAAGGCGCTTGACTTCCAACAGAGTCATGCCAGGACACGCTCCGGCTCTTCGCCATCTCCGACACTTGCGTCCTCTGATCAAGGAGACAATCCATCGTCCTCGACTTTGGGTGAAAGCAGCAGTCCCATTACAAAAATTTTCAGCCCGGTTGGACAAGCCTCGACGAGGGTGAACCCGCAGCACGCCCTTGCAGAGGTTTCAGCAGCTTCGAATTCGGGTGAAAAGAGCTCGGCGTTGCATGGCGATGAGAGAATGGCAGATGACAGTCACGGCCCAACAGCTCCACATGCTTCCTCACCCTCTCTTAGATGGGTTGACTCTAGCGCGCCGTCGACCTCTCCTACAAATTACCACCCGGGGTCATTTGGACCCGAAAGCTTCCTACGAGCACGTAGTCCAGCTTTGAGTCCGAGAGTCTTGGCGGCAGACGGAATTGGCGGGGCAGAGAGTCCGCCAAAGACTAGGAGCTTCATCGGCATGCCGCCGAGGTCGGGCTACGAATTGAGCGACGATCCCGATGACGTTGGGTCAGAAGATGGCTCCAGCGGTCGAGAGAGCGTAGGCACAAATGATGATCGCGACGATGAGGACGACGACGAAGATGATGATGAAGAAGAAGAAGAAGAAGAAGGGGAGGGAGGTTCTTCCCGTGTAAACGACGGAGGATTCGTCGATGAGCTCGATGGCGAGGAGGCTGGAGTACCCTCCACCGCCACCGAGGAAGCCAAGGCGGCAAGGCCAGTCGCACCAAGGCGTCCAAGCCTGACCCATGCGCCCGTCGTGCCTCCTGTGCCTGCAAACGAGGGCTTTCTCGGCTATTTCAGGAGCAGTGACGACGAGAGCATGGGCTGGCGATCCAGTGTCATTGAGAGGGCAGAGGAGAGAATACGAGGTGAAGAGTCGTCGGACGACAGTGTCTCCCCCTCGTCTTCGAGCAGTGATGCGGCGGGGCTGCGACCGTTCCTGACGCTTTCTTCGGGCGTCGTCGACGGACCTTCTCCCTTTGATGGTCCGATGCCAACGGCGAAAGAGGCCGAAGGAATACCTGGCGAGGCATCGGCTGCCGTCGAATATGAGGACGACGAAGATGGAGAAGGGAGCATGGATGCGCAGCCAAGCGAGGAAAGCCTTACGACACTCGAGAGGATCTTCCTCTTTGCCAAAAGCGACATGGCCTTTCACCGAGTCCTCGTCGCGCGCTCACTCGCCGATTGGATCCTTGATGTCGAGCTGAGCGACGCAGTCGAATACGTCATTCCGCTCCTCAACGGTCTCGCTTGCGATGGTGGGTGTCTTTCTCTGCTTGAATTGGTTGCCTCGTTTCTGATGGCTAACGTTTCTGCGTAACGTAGAGTTGGAGGTCTGCTCGGCCTTTGTGCCTAACCTGCACAAGGTCATGTGGTTCTTCTTTCGCAACTGCCCACTGACGGAAACAAGCAACGAGGGCCTAGGCGCTGGGAGGGGCGAGTCGAGGGACACGGAAGGCGACAATGGCGCACCCGTCAATGCCGATCAAGGCAAGGAGTCAGTGCCCGAGGACGAGGTGGAACGTGCAACACGGCCCCGGCTGTCCGTCAGCATCTTCACGCCCATGCTCTGTGCCCTTCTCTTGAACTCCAACGCGGAACTGGCCGGGTCAGCCCAAGCGGCCCTTGTTCACTTCTTTGCTCGTCTCCACGGCCTGGCAATCCTGGGAGAGCCAGGCGAGCAGCAGTCGCAGCAAGTCGGCGAACCTCAACTGACAGAAGCCTTTGAAGAGACAACGGCGCTCGTTAGAGATGCTGCGGCGCGGGAAGGTCTTCGGGTTCAGTTGGCGCCATACCAGTTCGGGCCAAATCAGAGAGAACTCGTCGAGGCGGAGCTCTTGGATAACGTTGCCTTTGCCATTGGCAAGCTTCATGCGAACCCCGAGGGGCCGGAAGATGACGGCGTGGAGGATGCGATGGAGGAGCAAGACAGAAGTCAAAAACAGGAGCAGGAGCAGGAGCGTGATCACCATGTTCCCGACGAGAAGCAAAATCAAGGTCCTGAGCTGCAGAGCCAGACCTCGCAGCAGGAAGAGCAGGAAGACGACGGTCAATTCGAGCAGATCGATTTCAACATGGACGAGGCAGAGCCCATAGCCAATGGCGTCGGTATCAACGGAATCGAGAAGAGAGACGATGACGATGACGACGATATTGTCGACATGGAAGAGGCCAACGGGAAAAAGGACGATGATCTCGACGATGGCCTTGCAGCCGAGGAAGTCTCCTTCGATCCCCATGTGCAGAGTCAGACGATGGAAGACTGGTCTCAGGACCAGTACGAGGGCTCTTCCCCTGTCCTGAGCGCCTTTGGCAAGTACCACATCGACGAAGAGGCCGCTGTTGGTCGGATGGCTTCTGTCAGCTTGCTGGCTGCCTTGAGCACCGACAAGCTCGTCCAGCAAGACGTCCTCGTCGAGCGTATCGTTCCAGAGATTGTTCGGCTGCACAGCGACGACGCCTTTTTTGTCCGCAAGGAAGTCGCCATTGCCATGGGCGCCCTCGCTCGCTCCGTCGTCGACGCTCAGGTCCTCACAGATCAGCTTCTGCCCGCTTTCATGGAGTGCTGCAAAGACAAGATCTGGCATGTCCGTCAGGCGGCATGTCTCTCGCTGCCCAACATGTACTCTCGTGTCGACGCGGAGACAAGGCGGATGAATGTGGTGCCGACGATGCGAGCTTTCGTGCTGGACGTCTCGCGCAACGTGCGGGCTGCCGCACTGGAGACGATTGGCGAAGTCATCTACCTCTTCTACAACGATCCGCAGGGCGTGCCTGAGCCACTGCTGCGGCACTACCTCGGTGAGCCCTTTGATGGGCAGGAGGAAGTGGACGATGACGCCCAAATGGAGGACGATAGCTCATCGATCGATCAAGACGCCGATTCGTGGTCAAATGGCGGCTTCATGGCATCGGACATGCAAAGGCAGTCACTCTTGACCGACTTTGGTTTTGGCCATGCCCCCAACGGCGTCACCAAGCGGAAGAAGAACGCTCCGCCCTCAACGTGGAGTGCAGAGGGTGGTGCTTATCGCTCCGATCCCGAACGATCCCTTGTCATGGCTTACAATTTGCCTGCCGTCCTCCTGACTGTAGGCAAGGAGCAGTGGCCAAGACTGCGCGCCATTCACCAGGACCTGTGCACGGATGTGTCGGGCAAGGTGCGACGAAGCCTGGCGGCTTCTTTGCATGAAGTCGCCAAGATCGTTGGGCCGCAGGCGGCGAGCCAAGACATTCTGCCGCTCTTTCGTCGAGCTCTGGTAGAGGACAACGACATCGAGGTGCGAGCTGCTGCTCTGGAGCATGCCGATGTGCTGCTGTCTCACGTCGATGCCGTCGATGGCGAGGCCGAGCTGCGCAAGCTGCATGGAATGTGGCAGACGACATTTGCCTCGAGCTGGAGGTTGAGGGAAAAATTGGTGCAGCTGATTCCAAGTCTAGCGCCCAAGTTTCTCCTTTCCGACGACGAAGGCACCTTGGTCCATCTGATGCGCGATGCTATCGTCGACGTCGTCAGCGCCGTCCGCGCTGCGGGCGTCACTTCGGTCCCGACACTTTATCAAATCTTTGAAGAGCACGACCAGGTTGTCGCCGATGGTTTCCTCGGCATGGTGGCCGACATTGGCGAGAATGAGTCGTACCGTGCTCGAGTCGGTTGCCTCATGGCAATGCAGGCCCTCTTTCATCACCGCGTACAGCGCTCGTCGGTCGAGATGCTCCTCTTGGGTCGCCTGGTTGCGTTGGGACGCGACCCTGTCGTTGACGTTCGAATCGCTCTGGCCAAGGCTGTTGCCCTCATGTGTCGGCTCGAGGAGCTCTATGCCTCGCCGCAATCGCGCTCTGACGAGCTGATCGACTTGCTCCGGAGGCTAACGCATGATCGATCGGCAGACGTCCGGAATATCATCCTCGGCGTCCTTGGCCCCGACGATCCAGCACGAAAGCCAGATGAGACGATCACGGCGGAGGTAGAAGAGGAGGCCCCTCGCCGAGATCTGGTCTTGGGTCCTGCTGACGGTGGCCCCCACCGTCCTCCACGAGACGAGAGCACCTTGACCAATGGCGACTCGATGATGATGATGCTCATGGAAGGACAGAGCCAGACGGAGCCATTTGCGATGGACGAGGACGCCGATGACGATCGAGGGCCAGAGAGCCAGGTATCTTCCTCAAGTCCAGGCGAGGTGGGGCTCAGGAGATTTTCGGACTTCTATCAGCACCAGCCGCTGGAGCAAAGTGCCGAAGGCGACTCGAGCATGTTTGAAGATGCCGACGACGACGATGAAGAGGAAGAAGATGACGACGACGACGACGACGATGTTGACGAGACCAAGGATCGGTATGCAAAAGATAGTAATAGCATCACCCTGCCTTCAGTGGACGAAGTCGACAAGGCGAGCCGAACGCCGTCATCATTCGAAGAAGAAGACATGGACGACGAACCTCATCATCTCCTCAGCGTCGGGCCTGACTCGCCAGAACGGGCTTTCCCACAAGTCCAGCTACAGTCTTCGTCTCCGTCTGCAGACTCACAGGAAGCCTCTCTCACTTCGCCAGAACGGCCCTTCAAGCTAGTCGCAAATGGATCAGAAGCAGAGCATAAGTCCGAGGCTGGTGCTACTGCCGATCCATTCCTGGCCTTCGTTGTCGACAAGCGGTCGAGCTTCCACGGTGGAAAGCTTGTGCCCCCGCCGACTACAGCTGGAGCAAACACAAAGGCAAGACCGCTCTCGATCGATGCCAAGGGCGCCAATGACAACGCAGCCTTGCACAAGATCGAGAGCCTCCGGTCTCCAGGCGCTGAAGAGCCACCGCATGTCCTCTTCGGCTCAAATGAATCAACCTCGTCGTCCTCGACACAGCAAAAGCAACCAAATTTGGATACAGCTCGGCGGGACAATCACGAGAAGGACACAAGCTCTTGAGCTAATCACTGTATCTTCTTTCTCGTTCAATCGTTCACATTGTATGGCTTTCTCTCCTGTACTCAAAGCATAATACATGAACTGGCACAATCCGCCTCATGAAACTCTCCAATACAGGACCACGAAAGCGTCCTTCTGAGAGAAGCTATTTACCAGTCTCATCTCTGACCTCTTTGGAGCTGAAGCTCAGAATTCCTGCCTCGTCGAGCAAGCCCACGACTTTTTCGGCTTCTTCGACGTTCATCTTCCCCAGCACTTCATTCACCCGATCGAGCTGCCTCGTCTCCAGGGCCTGCCGGAAGTCGTCGGAAAAGCCTTGGTAGATGTCCCAACGACGCTGCAGGAAGACGCGAACTTGTTCAACATCCATCGATTCTACCCCCTCGCCCTCGAGTGTGAGGTGCTCCGGCGGTGGGCCATCGGGGACTTCGAACGAGATGACGGTAGACGGATCTTCGGCGACGAGCTGAATCTGCTCTTCACCTGCCTTTCCCCCCTCTCCAGAGGAAGGCTGCTGGTTTTGCTCGGCCAACAGAACCTTTGATCGCTCCATGATGCGCGCGTGCGTAGAGAGGACATCATTGAAGAACACCACAGCGGCTTTGCCGTCTGTGCTCGTCATCCGCCTGAAAAACAGACTGACGCCGTCCTTTCCAAGTTTGTTGCAATATTGCACCAGCAGGCCCTTTTCAACACAGCTCCGTGCCCGCTTGGCGTCGGAGCGCATCGCCGCTTGAAAGGCCTCGACGAGGAGCGCGTCCGTCGTGCCGCTGTCTTCGCGCAATAGAGATTTGTTCTTGGAAAGAAATTGGAGCGCCTGCTCGAATGGCTCATTCTTGACATCGCGCGACGGGTTGAAGTTGGCGGGGAGGCTCGAGAGCGAGAGGGGCAGCGACGAGGGAATGACGGGAGGTAAAGACAGAAAATCACGCATCGAAGGCGTCATGGTGGGAACGCTCTCATCGTCGTCATCATCCTCTGCATCCGAGTCGGGAGAGAGACTAGACGCATTCAATGTCTCGATCTTCTGTTCCGTCATCTTTCCCTTGCCCTTGTTGGCTGTCGCAGCCGGCTTGGATGCTAGCGCTGGCTCTGATTCGGCTTTGGTGACGTGGCCTCCGCTCCATCCTTCCCTCAACGAGTCGCTCGTGATCTTTCTTCGGTCCTCTTCCTCCATCTCTGAAATTTTGCTCGCTACCTCAGTCTGCCGTTCGGCGAGCTTCCTTTTGTGCTCTTGAAGCTTGGCAACGAGAGCCTCATCGAGATCCGACGATGATTTGCCCTTGACGCTAGGCTCGTCGTTGATTTGCAGAAGAAGGGAGAGGATCATGTCATTTGTTGTCGGTCCATTGGGTCCATCCTTGTTGCCTCGCGAGGCTCTGTCGGCCGTCAATCTAGAAACCTCTCGCGAGTAGTACGAGCTTCCTTCTTTTCGTGCTCCTTCCAAGATCTGTACGGCAAGTAAGCTTGTGCTAATACCCTCTTGAGTGCTACAGAGGAGACCCACCTCGTCAAGTCTGGGCGCCAGCTCCTCATTAAGGTCCTTTTCCCTCTTGAACCCATCAAGTTCGGCCTTGCGCACCTCTCGCTTCTCGTGAATGTCGCGCTGCTTCCATCGCACAAAGGACTTTTTATCGACATTCGGGTGAACCTCGATGTCGCTGTCATCCGACAGCTCCAGGTTGTCCCACTTTGAGTAATTGAGCTTGCCAACCATGGTTCCCGTCACTACCTGTCGTGAGCTGTAGTGTTTGATGGCTGAGAATGGCCTAGAAAAGTCCGTGCACCTTCTTCAGTTTCTGTCATCTTAGCCCACGTGCAAAGTTTTAGTCGGTCACATCTTTTCTTCCTGCCCAGCCCTAAACCTGCAGTCTCACTTCTCACCAAAAGACAAGACAAGGATGTTCTCGTCACTGACGAGCGCCCTGGCGGGGCTGTCCCTTCGCTCGTCATCAGCAGGACTCGTTGCGTCCTCATCGCGATCTCCGATTCATTCGAATGGGCCAACCATCTTTGCTAGGAACAAATCTCAGCTCGCGCCTCGTCGGACAAAGTATCGCAAGGCGCACAAAGGCCGGGTCCCCATGCCGACGGGCGGCTCCCTCAAGGGCACGACCCTGAACGAAGGAGAGTACGGGCTGAGGCTTCTGGCTCCCGCTCGGCTCTCGGCGAAACAGCTGCAGAGTGCAGAGACGGCCCTCAAGCGCAAGCTCAAAGTCGTCAAGGGCGCCCAGGTGTTTCTGAGAGTGTTTCCGGATATCCCCGTGTGCGTGAAGGGCAACGAGACAAGAATGGGCAAGGGAAAGGGCAGTTTTGAGTTCTGGGCATGCAGGTGAGTGCTTGCGAGCCAGCTCGCTGAGGTTCGGATTTGCTGACGGACACATGTTGCTATTGCTAGAGCACCGGTCGGGCGTGTCATTTTTGAGGTCGGAGGACCAGTCGAGATTCGACCAGAGGTGGCAAAGGAGGGTGAGCTTACTTTCTGTTACAGATCTGAGATGCGCACGAAGAGCTGACAATTCCCGTCACTGTCCAGCACTCCGACTGGCATCGGCCAAGCTGCCTGTCCCGACGGAATTCCTCACGAGGAGCACCGCACCGAGGCTGGGGAACCTCGTGGAGACTTCCATTCCGGCGAGAAGTGCAGCGGCCAGAGGAGGCGCAGGTATCGTCGAACCTGCGCCTGCACCTACGTCCGTTCAAGCTACCGCTTCTGAAGCTTCGGCCACGGCTGCCACTGCATAATGACATTTCTCCTCATCTGTATACATAATATATGAAGGATTCGTCCAGACGAAAGTCGTACCCTTTGTAGTGCGAATGTGGCACATTTTACATTGTCTGACAGAAGAAGTCGAACTTGAATCTGCCCTTCATGCTACCTTCCAAATAGAAGGCAGGACGGGAGGTTTCATGTCAGAAAGAGGCCGAATTAACGGTATGGCTCATCGAAGCACAGTCACTACCGAGACTTGGCTAGTCCCTGTTCGTTGAAAAGGCGGATACTTAAGAGCACTTCTCGGGAGCAGTCCTGTTTTCTTTATCAAGATGTGCATTTAAGAGGTAAGGACTGCACTGGAGGACCGTCACGGAGGAAGGTGAAGAGAAGGATTTATATGGTAGGACACGCGCGAGGCTATACAACGACGCAGAGCTTCTTCCCCTGAAAGTACTCTTCCTCGATCTACCTTCCTGTCTGCATGGTTATGGACTTCTCACTTTCCACAACGGTCTGTCAAATGCTTATGTTCTGAAGCCTGCCTTCCTTCCTGTCGACGCTTTACTCTCGATTTGGTGGACGAACTAATTCCGATCGGAGAAGAACTCGGCGTGTCCGCGTTTTTTTCTCCACTCTCCTCAACGTCCTTCGTGTCCAGCTTGACCAACGAAACCATTCTTCACCAAGTGCCGTTGCTCCCTCGAACCAACCATGGTGCGCGTCCCATATGTACCCAAAGACACGCCGGGACCCATTGCGGATGCCATTCGTGCTCGGCGTGGCACCCGTGGGCTGACGCCGTTGGACCGATCCCTCCTCAATGCGCCTCCCGTCGCTGAGGGCTGGTCCAAGCTCTTGGGCGCCATTCGCACTGGCAGTACGCTCCAGGACGACCTGAGGGAGATTATGGTGGGTGTTCTTCTCTGTGATGGAATTGAATGCATCCATGAACCCTCTTTTTGCTGACGGGATGCGAAAATGAACAGATCCTTCGTGTAGCAGCGCGGAACCGGGCAGCGTTTGAGTGGATCCACCACGAGCACGTCGCCACGTTGGCCGGCGTCACGCGCGAGCAGCTGACGCGCATTGGTGATATTCAAGCACCGACGACCTCGCTCACCTCGGCTGGCCCTGGCAAGCTGTCGGACCTGCAAGCAGCCGCGCTGCGCCTTGCCGATGCCATGACGACGACGGTCCAGGTGCCCGAAGGCACGTTTAGCGAGCTGCGTGCAGCGCTCGCCACGGGCGGCGACAGTGAAAGCGAGGCAGCAACGAACCGCAAAATGACCGAGGCTGTGGCGACATGTGCGACGTACAACATGGTCAGTCGATTCCTCGTTGCCCTCGACATCGACGAGCGTGCAGGCCAGCCCTGCCCGGTGCCTGGCCTTGCCGAGGAGGAAGCCACGCCCCGTGCTGCCGCCTATCCGTCCTCGCACAGTGCCGATGGAGCCAGCAACCGAGGGCTCGTTCAAGCTGGTCAGGGCGTCAACCTGGCGACAAGGGTGCACTTCCACAGCATGCAGGCTCCCTGGCTCGTTCTTGTCAACTCGCTCATGACCAATCTGACCATGTGGGACCAGGTCGTGCCCACCTTGTCTGGCCACTTCAACATCGTCACCTACGACCAACGTGGTCATGGCAATAGCAGCATCCCTCCACAGCCATGCACCGTTGATGCTCTGGCCGACGATGTGGCAGCCGTCCTCGATGGCCTCGGCATTGATAAGGCCCACGCCGTGGTGGGTGTCAGCCAGGGAGGCGCCACCGCGCTGGCATTCGCCGTGAGGCACGGTCATCGAGCAGCACGCATTGTGGCGTGTGACACCCAAGCCGCTTCGCCCGAGGCCAATCGCGCAGCCTGGGACGAACGCATCGCCCTCGCTCACGCAAAGGGAATGGAGGCGCTGGCAGAGGCAACGGTGCCCAGATGGTACGGCCCTGGCTCGGGCGCCACGGACGAGGTGCGTCGCAAAACACATGCGATGATCACCTCTACGAGCGTGGAGGGCTTCGAGAAGGGCGCGAGGGCGCTTCAAGGCTACGACCTGCTGGCTCAGGGCCTCGTCGAGCAACTCAAGAACTTGTCTACACTCCTCGTCGCTGGCTCGGCCGATGGCAAGCTCCCTGAGACGCTCAAAAAGCTGGCGACAGAGGCGGGCTCCACGTTTGCAGAGATCCCAAATGCTGGCCATTTACCCATGTGCGATCAGCCAAAGGCCTGGCTCGATGCTGTCCTCCCTTGGTTGCTGTCAAAGTGAAGCAATACCCATTTCCGTCACAAAATGAGTGACGACAAGGACAATCTAGCATGCATATTGACTGGTGCCTTTTCGACTTTGGTCTAATCCTCCCAGCGATGGAGTCTCGGGATGCCTGTGAGAACATGGTTCTGTTTTCGGCTACTTCTTGAGATCTGTGACTCTGATAGGGACGCCAACAGATACTCTCAGAAAAGAGTAGTCATTGTGTCCTCACGTCTGTACACTTGGTCATCGCGAATCCACGATCATCTTTGACGTTTCCGACAGTGTGCTTTCTACCGTCGACGCTCCACGGTGCGTTCTTCTACCGTTGACCAGCCACGGTGCATATCCAACTTTGCTTAGTCCAATTCGAAAAGCCGCGCGCGCGCGCGCTCGCTCACATTTCGATCTCCAATCCGAAAAGCCCGACTGGGCCCTCCTTCTGTGCCGAAACTATGCGTCATCTTGTTTGCTTTCTTCGGACTGCACTTGCCGACGATGGAGTCCCAACTTCTCAACCGAAGACAGATTGCGCTGGGAGTATACTTACACCGGCGTCTGTCAGCATCAGGAACTCTATGGCTCGGTCCACTACTCTAGCTAGTAATAGTTGAGCAGGTTGAGCAAGCCAAGGAAGACTTCTTGGCTTAGTGGCTAACTTGTCACTGGTGGTACTACTCAGGGGGCACCGAATTTCATTTTAGTTTATCGAGAAATAGAAGAATGAAAACAAATATGCAGCCGCACGCGCCAGAGAGGCATGGACAAGTTCCAGAGAAGCTTGGGCGAATCCCCTCTCAGAGCCAGGCAGATTCAGAGCATGCGTACGTCCGTGTTTCTCTCGGTCAACCTCCATTTTTCTGTTCCTCCCCTCGGTCCTCACCTCCTTCACACCTCTTTCCTTCTCTTTTTTTTTCTCATCAATTCTTGCCGCTCCCTTCCGCGCATCCCCCTCTTAGAAACACGAAATGAAGTTCTCCGTCGCTCTCGCTCCTCTCTCGCTGGCCCTCCTGGCACAGGCCGTCGTCGGCCAGTCGACGAGCAGCGCCGCCGCTCCTTCGAGCGCATCGTCTTCGGCCGCCGCTCCCTCTTCGACCAGTGCCTCGTCGTCGTCTTCGTCATCGGCTTCGTCTGCTGCTGGCGGTGCTGGTGGCGCCTCGCAGGGTGCCTCGACGCCCGTCGCTACCTGCACCCTCGTGGCCGGCGACCCCCGTGCCCAGCCCTTCGGCTGCGTTGACGGCGCGTGAGTGTTTACTTGTGAAATCTTCGTCCGATGCGATGTTTTGGTCGCTTTTGAAAGAAAGATGGAGCGGGAAGGAAGAAGCAAGGGTATCAGAGGCGGATTTGGGACGCATCCGCCGCCGCTTCTTTCATTTCCGCCGTCAACTTGTTTCTTTCTTGGCATCTTCCTTTTCTCTTTATCCTCTAGCTCTGGCTCCGGACCGAACTGATTTTTCTGGCCTTTATCACGACAGCACGACGTCGACTCCTCCTTACAACTCCGAGTCGCTCCAGAGCTACCTTATTGGTGAGAGCATGACAGACCCTTGACCAGCCGGACACCTTTGCTTACTGCCTCTATCGGACGACAAACAGGCGGCTACTCTGCCGGAAAGGAGGGCACGGCCTACTCGGAGGTGGCTTCCAAGCTCGCTGACTCCGTCACGCAGATCTACCCCACTCTGACCGTCTCGTACAGCGACATTGTCAAGGTGAGTGCACCACCTCTCTTGCCGCCCATCGCAGAGCGACTGATGCAGTCCTGGCTTGTTGCAGCAATACGTCACCGCTCTTGAGGCTTCGGCCGCGGACTACCACCGCGATGCGGCTGTTTCGACGACGCACTCGAGCAGCCTCGGCGCCCTCGCCGTCGTCTTCGCCGGCGTTGTCGCCGGCGGTGCCTTCATCCTCTAGCGTAGGCCAGGCAAGACCGTCTCCCGTTCCATTGCCACTCGCGCCCTTTTCCCCTTCATTTTTTTAAGGAGAAAACCTTTTATAATATAGAGACAGAGGAGCAGCAGAATCTTCCGTGACCTCCTCCGACCGCCCTTCCTCTTCGACCTCATCTTACCACTCTTTATCAACACCGTCTCTCTAACCCAATTTTGCCATGTAGTCTCCAAATTGTCTCAGAGCTGCTTATGAAGCCAGTCTTTCGGCTCTTCAGCATAGCATGAATCTCCTCCATCTTTCCGGGCGTATCCGCACGCTTCACACTGCTTTGTTCCTTCACCGGCAAGCCAAGACTTTCCCGCTCCATTGACAGCTTGGAATCGTGGTATCTTCGATTTCACAAGAGGAAATGTGAACGGGGCGCTAGAGAGCTCTGCAGCGCGCACACTGTTCGATGGGAGGAAAGAGAGAAAGATAGAGAGAGAAGGGAAGAAGAGAAACAGCTACCAAAGGAAGAAAGTAGAAAAAGGGCAGCAACGGAGATGAAAGAAGATAACAGCGCGAGGAGTGGCAGGAAGATGCGTCTTTCGAAGGAAAAAAGAGGAAGGACCCAAAAGGAAGATGAGAGAGGAGGGAAGAGTGCCTTGCTCTGTCCCTTTCCCCCTCCTGCCGAGATTGTAGAAATCCTACAAGCTGCGGCTCCTTTTGAGAGATTGACGGTGGGAGAGGTTGAGAGAGCGCGAAGGTGTATTCATCAGGCCGCTCGAGGTGGTTGGGCCTTGACATTTGCAGAGAGCCACGAGAGACCCTCGAAAAGACCCTCGCCGCTCGTCGCACAGCTGGGGTGGACGAACCATGAGCGGTCCCTCATCCTGTGCAAGCCGAGCTTCTCCGTCACTTCGGCTGGCGACATGGCTATTGTTTCCTCGCTTCTTTGTCAGCTTTCGATGGCCAGTCGACTGGGTACAAGTGGCAGAGCAGGGAGAGACTCACCGCCGGGAAGATCCTGCTTGTTGGCAAAGACGAGGAGGAGGCAGTCCCTCATCTCTCGATCTCCAATAATACGATGGAGCTCCTGTCGCGCCTCATCGATCCTATCGCGGTCCTGGCTATCAACGACAAAGACCAGCCCTTGGGTGCCCGTATAGTAGTGTCTCCAGAGAGGCCTGATCTTGTCTTGTCCACCCACATCCTAGGAGCGGCGACGGGGCTTCAGCTCAGGGCACAAGGTGATGAAGAACGAGCGCACGCAGGACTCACCCAGACATTGAACTTGACGTTCTTGTATTGCACAGTCTCAACATTGAAGCCGACTGTCGGAATCGTGGTGACGCTTTGGTTCAGCTTGAGCTTGTACAGAATGGCTGTTCAGATGATCGCCGTCAGTTTAGTAACAGAAGAAAACCAGAGGCCGGCAACTCACTCGTCTTTCCTGCGGCATCCAATCCCAACATGAGGATCCGCATCTCTTTGTTGCCAAAGATTTTGCCCATCGCCTTGGATAGTGAGCCTCCCATCTTGGCTTAACTCTACAGACTGTGCAGTCGTCCCTTTTGATAGATTTGAAGCTTGATTGTTCTTTTGCTGTTGAAGGTCGTCAACAGCGTCCTCTGCACCTTTCGACTGTCGATATGGGTAGCTCTTGCCGGTGCTATCTGCTCAGAGAGGTGTCCTTACACCGGGCAAGAGAGTTTGTGAGACTTCAAGGGGTAAATGTCGTGAAACCGTCGTCTCGTCTCGTCCTCCGTCTCGTCTCGTCGTTACCGTCTGAAGAATGAAGCTCGAGAAAAGTTGATGCGGTATCGAACTGGCGTGGGGTTGAGGAACCAAAGGAGCGTGAAGCTTGTCTGTTCGGGAAGTCTGGAAGGAGGAGGTGTGTGCGTGTTAAGACTAGTGGGAGTGAGGAGAGAGAAGCGCTGGGGTGGGCGCGCGCTAAATTTCCTCGACCCCCTCTCTTCGCGTCAAAGTCGCGTGGTTGGCCGGGGTCCGGCTTGTGCGCAAATAAGGGCCCTTCCTAGAAACATTCATGGGGACGTTGCTCCGACTTATAGGAAAGGAGGGCCGCTGACGGGCAAAATGAGTTCGCCTCCTTTAACAAAAGTAGTGAGGTTGGGTCGGAATAGCTCTTCTTTGTAAGCGGCGCAGAAAGATCTCTCTCGGTCGAAACATCTTTCAGAAGGCTCCTGTGGTACTTGCTGTGCTTATCGTTGAGTACGAACCACTCAGCTTCAGCCGGTATGAAGAGCGAAGATGACTTTGAATGTGCCCTTATATTGCAGAGAAGAACAAGAGGATATGAGAATGAAGCGAGCCAGAAGTGACATTGTGATGATCTTGCTTGTTATGTGTATGATTGCGTTTGTGCACGTCTAGGGCTCTCAGCGCCCTGCGGTCTTTTTAGAGGCGGTAGCCGCTGCACCTGGCACGATGCGCTCCGTCTTCTCAGGAGACATTTCGGCCACCTGGCTCATGGTACTGTTTGCCCTCGAATGGTTGTTGCTTCCCCTTTTGCTGCCTCCTTCCAAAGGCATTTGGTTTCCCAGCCGGGAGTTTGTTTTCTTGGTGGGCAGGACCATGGTCTTTGTCTCTGCTGTACCTGCCGCCTTTGAGGACACCTGAATGACGTCCTCGCGTGCGTAGAAAAGCAGATAGGCGACTCCATCATGGCGCTTGTTAATCGGACTTGGCGTCGGACCTGCCTCGCCCGACGTCTTCAGCGCCGGCGCGCCTACCGATGTCCAAAACGTGTCGTCAATGTGGAGCCATTCGGACTGATCCTGCCGGAGCACATCGACAGTGTAGTGCCCGCCAGATGCAAAGCGCCCATGGTGATAGACGATGCCAAAGAGCCTGTACTTTTTCTTCCCTTCTACTCGCCTTGTCGGGCTGAGCACTTTGTCGTTGATGTCAAGCGTCGGCCCATAGCTGACCTCTTTGGAGCTCTTTTGGACGCCGCCAACTTCATCATAGACGAATCGCTTGAGATGGAGGATCAAGACAGGAGGAAGTGTCTCGATAAAGACTTGCTTCGTGGCATCGACAGGCCCATTTCGCGCTGGAGAAAAAACGCCGGGGATTGTTTCAGGGGCACAGAGGTTCTCCAACGCCTCATCGATACTTGTGACGTTTGCTGGCTGAATATCGAGCTGAAGCGGTTGGTAGGGCTCCAGCGTAACGCTGTCCTTGACACCGGGCGTCTTGAGCACGCTTCGAAGCTTTCCACCAAATATGCGAGTGATGGGCGACTCGCTCGCAGTGGTGGTTCTCGTGAAGCTTGTCTTTCCCTTTTGTCCCACCTCCAGCCAGCCTTCCTCCGAGGGACTGAGAGGCCGCCTTACCTCCCGCTCTTCGCTTTCCTCTTCCTCTCCGCCCTCCTCTGTGCCTTGCTGGGACGGTGCTGAAGATGTTGTGGCTGTCGTCGCTGAGCCATTAACCATGCCAGCAGAGCCCGATCGTGCATGCCACTTCTTCATGGCAACCATGAGCTCTTCGTGCAGCGTGTCGAGTATGAATCCAAGAAACTCTTCCGCGTCTTCCTGGTGCCCTCTTCGCATGAGGTCGAAGCGCTTATTGAGCCGCATAGCTTCGTACACGAACTCGGGAACAAACGGCTCGGACGTCGCTTGCACCTCGCGGATCAAGTCGACGTACGATGATGCGGCTGCCGGATCGTCATCTCGAGGAGCTGAGGGGATCCTGTGGAATTCCTTGAGAAAGTGAATGCTGTTCATGTCCTTGATCAGCATGACGTTGCTACACAGCGAAAGGCTGGACGACTCACATCGCTTCCATGAGAGGGGTGCTGTTGTTGAAATCGTGAGGAACATTCTCGCTCACGGTCTGAAAAAGATTGTAGAACGGGGCGCAGTACACGAGGACTTGGAGGATTGCATTGGCGAAACAAAAGTTGCCTTTGTTGATCATGCCTCGTGGGTAGGTGAGGGGAGCAACGAATTGCTTATCAGCATCCTCCATCAGCGTGTCCATCTTGGACAGCTTGGGGGCGAGGGAATGGCCGTTGGCTTTGCCATTGAGTCCCTGTAGTTTCGAGCTCGAGGCTGGAATAGCGCGTTGGCTGGGAGACTGACTTGGCAAGCTCGACATGCTGTCTGCCAGTTGCACGCTTCCCGAAGCTGGGCTGACGTTTGAGGAGGCCGGGGCGGGTGCTCGATAGCTGAGAGCGCCACCGTCTCCCTTTGTGGCCAATGTAACCCATGATCGGGGTTTGTTCCAGGCATTCGTGGAGGGCCGAGGCGATGCAGGATTTGATTCGACCTCGATAGCAGAGGCAGTTGGCGTTGTTCCAGCAAAAGGACCAGGACTGGCATTCGATGTGGACGTCGGCGAAGTCAAGGTTCCTGTCATATCTGAGACCACCGATGTTGACAGCGAAGGCGCTCGACTGGTCGACCCTACTAGCGACATGGAAGAGCCATCGCCTGGTGGTGGTGGTGGCGGCGTCGGCGGCGGCGGGTGGTTACCTTTTCGAAAGAACTTTTGTTCAAAGATGATCTTGGGACAAGGATTGCTCCGGTCCGAGAGCGTGACCTCGGTGGCCAGTGATGGTTGTGGCGCTCTCGGTGCGACCGAGAGGTTGAGCTTCCTAGTATTCTCCACCAGTCTGGGTTCATATCTTGCTTCGCTTCTATCTACGTTCGAGCCTGGTCTTGTACCTCCGTCTGCTCTTCTTGATGACCGCTCTGTCGATCTCGGCGATTTCTCGAGCTGTCGTGGCGATCTTCGAGGGGGTATAGGGACGAAAAAGACACCAGACGTCGCTTCTGATGGCTCGACGAGGGAGTACGAGGACGCCTGCCGGTAGATGAGGGTGTCGCCTGCGGTCGCAGGAATGAAGATAGCCGAAGAGACCATGGGCGACCGCGATGTAGAGGCCTCACCAGCTGAATCGGCCATGATGGGTCCCTTATAGAGACTACTTCGGCCTATGGCGGTGTGAAGACGGTCGGACCAAGCTAGGAATAGCGATGAGAGGCCGCTTCGATCCGTAGTCACTCCTTCTTCCACGCCTCTTATACTCCCTTCGACCTGGCTTGGAATCCAGTCCCGCCCCTGGTGCTACTTGCGGCGTAATGGAAGGGTGAAAGGAAGAAGGAGGGGGGGAGTAGGAGAACTCGAGGAGATATACGAGCAAAGCACAGGCACGGACGCTTTTCGATCGTTCAAGAAGCCTAGGAAAGTGACTGCGACTCGAGACCAGACGGCGCCTCGCGAAAAAATTCGAGCGGTGCGCGTCCACGTGAGCTGGGCGGCCGACCATCAGTGTCCTCCGACAGAATCAGCTTCCTTCTTCTTATAACCATCGCGATCTTTCCCCTCTTCCCAACGGCGCATTCGAAGACAGACGGACGGCTTGGACGAAAACAGGGACGCAGAAAGAATGACAGTGCTGCCTCGGTAGTCTAGACCGGCGTTGCTCGCAGTAATGATGGCCACTAGGAGGGCCGAGGAAGGGGAGGTTGGAAATGACTCGGCCAGTGCGCCGTCCACGTCGAACGAACGACAGCAAGAAGAAACACAGGCGGCGAGCGCGTCCTCAGCGCTTGAACTCGAGACAGCGACCCCTGACTCGAAGGATGCGATTCAGGTCTTAGTTGCTTCGCTTGCACTAGACGATAATAGTGATGCGAAAGCGAACAATGACGATGGCGACGACGAGAAGAGAAGGTCATCGGACAATATGGCTGACGACAAGGACACAGAGTGCACAAACGTTCCTGCGCCTAGCCCGTCGCTATTGAAACCGTGCATGGAGCCTGCGCTGATAGACGCTCTTCGCAACCCACGGGACCGCATCTTTATTTCCAAGCATGCAAAGGATTTTGAAGAAAGGATCAAAGACACCAGGTGAGGATCTTCGTGCGACTGGGACACCTGGTCTGGCAGGAATCTGACCGGTATTGCCTTGTCGACAGCTGTCAGCAATGGGAGCTCCCTCTCATGAACACCTATCAGAGGCTTTTGGTAGGTACATTCGTATGCTAGTCGAGAGATTAAAAGATGCTAACAGTGGTACCGACAGGTACATAAGGTGGCCGACCATTTCAACTTACAGCACAATCTTGAGCCCACCACGAAGGCAATCATCCTCAACAAGCAGGAATCAACAGCAATGTGAGTCACATTCAAGTACCACCCCCCTGAGACCCCTTTTGACCATTTCGCCTTCCAGCCCGGAAAAAAGCCTCATTGAACTGGTCGAGTGCGAGCGACTGTCGGAGCCTTCTTTCACGCTCGCTACTCCGCCGTCGGGCATGTCTGGGCTACCCGCTGGGACCGCAAGCGCCGGCATCAAGATCATGAAGCGAGATGTCTCGAGATCTCAGTCACCCAGAGTGTCTGCGGGCGAGGATGCAAAGGACCGCAGGATGTTGACAATGGCGGAGAAAGAGACCAAGTATCGTGAGGCAAGGCAGAGGATCTTTGGCGAAGACGAGACGGCTGAGGCCGGAAGCAGCAAAAAGTCATCTGCCTCAGCGACTCCCTCGCAAATAAGCGACGTACAAGGAGTCGAGCGACAATTGAGCGAGCGAAGCCAGAATCTTTCCTCTTCATCTCCCCCTTCTCCCTCATTTGTCAGGTCGACTGCCAAGCCTTACCCGGCTGTCAGAACATCGGCAACGCCGCCTTTGCACGATCCGTACCAATCTTCTCAATTTCAGGCCTACAATTCCCACGCATCTGCCAGCAACCAGTACCCGTACGGCTACCCAGCCATGGGCCAGCCTTGGGCTCAATACCCTCCAGCCAACTATGCCAACTTTGCCAGTTCGGGACAAAATCGGCCTTTCTACCACTTTCAGCAACAGACAGGTCCGGGCCCCTACGCGTGGTCGGGACCTCAGGGCGAAAGCGCTGGCATCGTTCCTCAGGCTCAAGCAAGCCCAAGTGCCAGCAGCCGCTCGACAAGCATCAGTACAGATGCAGGAAGCGTGACTGGAGGCGAGGGAAGCGGGAGCGAGACTAGAAGCGCCAAGAGATCCGGCCCGCCCACGCCGTTTTCCTATGGTGGCAGTGGTGCACCTTTGCCTGCGTCTCAACTGCCGAATCAGCAATGGTACCCTTACTCTTACCAAGCTGGTCCCGAAAGCATGCCCCCGGGGAACTACGTCTATCCAGCCTGGGCTGCCGCTGGCCAGCCACCACAGCCGCAAGCAGGTTATGGTAGCAGCCACCCCACACTACATCACCGACACTCGACGGGTGCTTCCGGTCGTGAGCATCGTGTCAGTGCGTCGGATCCCCAAAATAGGGCCAATGCGCGGCCCACACAGCAGCTGGTGCGACCGCCTTTTCTTGGTCAAAGCCCGGGCGTGTCTCCTTCGGTGTCACCGACCGCCCAACTCAATTTCCGGCCTCCTTCGCCCACGAATTCTATCAATTTGCAAGGCAGCGGCAGCAGTGGCAGCGGCAGTACCGGTGGCCTCGGGAGGGGCCGGAGAGGTGATCGCGCATTATACGATCCCAATGCTCCGCCAGGAAGCGCCAGCCCAATGTCACCGGCATCTAATGGGCAAGGAGAGAAACAGCCGGTGGGCAAGAGCGCTTCAGCGGGTGCGCTGCTGGGCAACGGCAGTACGTCTGCCAAGGCCTCAAATAGAGTCCTTTCACATCCCTCACTACCGCGGCGGCCTGACTGGGCCGTCGACCCTTGACATTGTACTCTCACCTCTCTCCCTTTTCGGTCTCGTCTCCAACCTCATCTCAATAGTGTATGTGTCAGATCTGCTCCAATCTCACGTGGCTTGTGCGCTAGGTGCGCGACGAATCGCCCTGATATTTCAAGGTCGAGTTACCCCCTCCCGCACTACCCCTTTCGAGCCATGACCCCTCACACGACCGCCAGACCCAGCAATAGCGCTGGGAATACGACGACGACGACGACGACGACGACGAAGCCGAAGACAGCGAAGACGACAGTTGCAGCGGCGAGCCAGCCGACAGTCGCTGCCGAAGCTGACAACACCGACGCTGAGTCGGTACACTCTCGCCACGCGTTGCAGGTCTTCAAAAGCAACAAGGCAGCAAACGGCTCGCAGTCGTCCATCGCCATGCCTCGTGAAGGCGAGGGAGATGTTGAGGAGTCGCTCGACGAAGAAGCACGGGAGGCGAGGGCCTCGGCAAAAGCAGCAGAGGACGCCTCCTTTCGCAGTTTCAGAAATCGGACGCTTTTGCGAGCTGGTCTCAACTTTGGCGCGCTGTTTGTCGTCTGCGCTCTCCTTCTCTTTCTCACCCTTTGGTTTGTTCTGCCGCCCATCGATGAGTGTGTATCAGCAGACGAAATATCGTGTCTTCCATACCTTGTGCTAACGAGGGGACTTTGCCTGCAGCGAGGACCGTTCCAAGCTCAAGATTCCGCGCTCGTTTGAGCAGCTCAAGGCTCTCAACGCTGTCCTTCAAGGGTACAAGGACGAGTATTTTGCAAGAGTTATGTTCTGCTGGATCGTCATATACATGTTGTGCGTACAACTTGCATCGTCTCACTTTCTACGAGCTCATCATCCCACACCCACTCTTTCCAAACAGCCTCCAAGCCTTCTCCGTACCAGGATCTATGTACATGAGGTGAGCTCCACAGACGAGGATGCTTACCGATCCACCAGTTTTCCTGACTCCTTCTGTCTAGCATCATCGCTGGAGCAATGTGGGGTGTCCCTCTGGCATTGCCCATCGTTTGCGCCTCGGTGGCCACGGGCGCGACGATTTGTTATCTCATCAGCCAACAGCTTGGTGCCGTACTCGTCGCCATGCCGAAATGGAAGGCACGAGTGGACGCCTGGGGCGAGGTGCTCGCACGGCACAACGACAACATGCTCAGCTACATGATTGTGATTCGGTGCGTTGCGTTTCTCTTCGTCTTGTACTTTCCAGGTGCCATTCTGACCCTTGCATCAACTTGCTAGGATGATGCCGCTGCCCCCTCACAATGTTGTCAACATCCTCGCACCGCACCTGGGCATCGGCATTGGCCTCTTTTGGGTCTCTACCTTCTTTGGAATATTTGCCGTCTCGGTCATCCACGTCACCATTGGCGAGAAGCTGGACCAGATGACGTCGGCAGACGACTTCCACCTCGTTTCTGTCCGCAACTTCCTCCTGCTCGCCGGCGTCTGCCTGGCTGTCATGATCCCAGTCTTTGTCAAGCGTTACTCGGCTGTGGCGAGCGAGGGACTCGAAGAGGCAGAGGGATCGGGCGCTGTCAGATTACCTGGACCAGAGGGCGAATGGGCTAGGACGAGGGGGAGAAGAAGCGGAGAAGAGGGCGACGATGCTTTCGATGATGACGACGAAGAGCATGAGGACGAACTTCCGAGGGTCAATCTGCGCGGCGCATCGCGTGCAGGAGGATACAGGGTTGACGAGGAAGACGAAGACGGGCAAGACGAAGAGGGACGTCGTGCTGCGTATGTTGCGAGAGCCTGGCGCGGTGTGGAAATGGATGCCGACGCCGATGTCTACGACAACGATGACGACGACGACAACGCACACTCGCCTTCATCGCCCCACCTCTCTGGATTTGAGGATCGGAGAGAAGAGCGGCTTTCTGGACGGCGGGGTGGGAAAGCGCATCGGGTGCTTGGCATTCGAGGCAACGGCGCCAATCTCCAACCACAAAGTGAGCAGGGCTACCTTGGCCGCCTCACTGGTTGGGTCGGGGGAGCCTTTGGCAGTGGGCAACGAAGCTAGATGAATGCGCAAGCTTGTTTGTACAGCTCCTTCTACGGACCAGTGGTTGAACCGTGTATGTCCTCATCCCCATCCTCCTCACACCCCGCTCGTCTTCGCATTCTTTGAGGCAATACATTCCCGTAGCATAGACGTAAATGAAGACCCTGCGAGAAAAAAACAAGGCATGACCAAAGCGCGCTTGTCGTCACTTTTTGCTCCACTTTTGACAGGACTGCGTCTTTACATTCGCCACACCAAGAACACAAGCAACCATGTCGCCCGTTGCAGTTGACACAGAAAAAGACCGAACGGCTCCTGCCGCCACTGAGGCCCAGGTCCAGGCTCAGGCTCAGGCTCAGGCTTCCACGCCCGTTCCCGATGGCAGACCAGCCGACGTCTCTGCACTGCCGAACGAAGCGCTTGACTTTGCTTCGCGCGTGAGTATCGTCCGCCGCACCCGGCTTTCCCTCTCCTCTTCTTCTGCTCATCTCCCCGCGATTGGCTTTGTTCCCTTGCAGATGTTCGACCTTGCCCGACAGGGCTCCCCGGACCTCCTCCACTACCTCTCGGCAGGCCTGCCTCCGAATCTGACCAACAACGGCGGCAACACTCTCCTGATGCTTGCGGCCTACCACGGCCACGCTTCGCTCGTGCGCAGCATGCTCGAACTCGACTACTCTGGCCCGCCGCCTGGAAATGGCGCCGGTGCGGACGGTGCGACGACGGCCAGGCGGCACTCGTACGCGTCTGGGCCCGATCCGAACCAGCTCAACGGAAAGGGCCAGTCGCCCCTAGCTGGTGCCGTGTTCAAGGGCTACGACGAGGTCGCCCGGGTGCTCGTCGAGCACGGCGCGGACCCGTTGGGCGGCACGCCCAATGCCGACGACACGGCCAAGATGTTCAACAAGTGGGAGGGTGAGGATGGATACAAGTCCCTATTCGAGGGTGCACGGGGTAGGGGACGGGGCGTCGTTGAGGCTTCTGAAGCAGTACCTGACAGGGAAGAAGCAGCGAGGGTGCCAGGCCAAGGCCCTGCTTGAGCTCGAAGGCTGTACACATCGTAAGAAGAGTTCACATTCAATTCAAAGGACCATAGGAGCCGAAAAGAGAGAGGTTAAGATATGAGAGAGAGCGAGAGAAAAGGATATTGAGAGTATCTGGTGGTGGTGTGCTGTGATCTTCAGTGCATACATAGCTTTCGCTTGGGTTGGAGATGGAAAGAAAAGGAGAACAAGCGAAGAGTAAGATCATTCTGTCATCGGCGTCGGCGTTCGAGTCTTCGTCCATCGTGTTATATTGCCGGCTTTCCGATTGCGCTTACACCTCAAGGGGCGAGTGTGTTCGCACGTCGGCATCGGCGAGGTGCTCGTGGTTTTCATAGTAGCGTGGTTGTTGTTGTTGGTCATCATTACTGCGCGAATCGTACACCGAAGAAGAAGACGTTGGCGTGGGCTGCTGCTCTCGTGAAGGGCTCTCGCCGCTCTGGCCTTGATGCAAAGGGATCCTTGCTCTCTGAGCGAAACCTCTCGAGGTGGCATTGGGCCCTGCCGGCTGTCGGAGAACATGCTGACTTGTAGCAGCAGAAAGACTTCCGTTGTTGCTGTTCAAGCCGCTTGGCGAAGGGCTTGAGTCGCCGTAGGTGATGCCATTGCCGTTGAGAGCCGAGGACGGAAGCGATGGGACAGGTGGGACGTCAAATGGGCTCGAAAAGAGGCTCTGCAACCCTGCCGCTCCTCCGATCCCGCCAGCCTGAGGTCGTCTGCCCATCGTCGCGCTGTACCCTTCCCGCAGGTTCCCGTTGCTCTTTCGAGTCATACCTGCATTCCCACCGGGTGCAAGCAAGCCATTATTATACCCTGTCTGACTACCCTGGTTTGCACCACTGCCGAAGACAAAGGCGCTTGCCAGGCTCCCGTCACCCTCACGGTCCCGGGGGCGCTTCATATCGGGGGCGCTCTTCTTGGACCGCAAGCCGCTACGACCCGTGGTGAGGCTGCTTCCAGGCGCCAAAAGACCGTTTTGCACGCTCCCACCCGTCATGTCGCCCCGATTGGATCGTCCGATGGTGGATGCCTGGCTGCGCAGAGTCTTGTGCTGGTTTTGCACCTCGTTCTTGGTCACAATGACATATCGCTCATCGCCTTCTCCCATGCTGTAGTGGTACAGGCCGAGCTTCTGAGCAACCAAGTGGACCGTCCTTCTCTCCATCGGCGAGAGCGACTTGGAGAACGAAAGCTCGTCTCGCATCCGGTCATCCTTAAACAGGAGCACCCGCGAGTAGATTTCCAGAGTTGCAGGGTCGTTGAGATCAAGCTCTGCAAGCAAACTTCATGAGCACATTGATCTTTTGCTAGGTGTCCTACGGCGCACTTACCTTCTTTCTTTGAAGAAGCGCCAGCAGCTGAGCGGTCCGAAGTGGTGCCCAGGTCAACGCCATTCTGCTGATCGACAACGCGAAGGGTGTCAGCCGTCAAAGGTGCATGTGAAGCCGCCGGCGGGTCAATGTTCGACGTCGAAAAGATCGAAGGGTCATTTCCGTAGCTTTGCATCATCAATGGATCGTGCTGTTGGCCAGGCATAGGCGGCTGGCCGTAATCGCTTCCGTCGAGCTGATGCCTGCGCACTCGCTCTCGCTCCTTTTCCATCTGCATGCTCTGCATGCGCTTGATCGCCTTTTCTTTTTCGATGCGCTCCTTCTCCCCAGCCTGGAGCACCTTCTTGTACTCGACCCGAAGCTTACGGCCACTGACGTCGAAGCCATTGAGGGCAGCTACAACGGCATCGGCCTCCTCGCCCGAGCGGAAGTTTGCAAATGCCAGCCCGCGAAAGACGCCTTGATCGAAGTGATAGTTGAAAGCATAGGGCATTGGGATCTGCAAATCCTCCTGTGTGAAGAAAAACAGACCATCAGCTTCGGTGAAAAGAGGTGGTTCCTGTCATGATGCTCACAATGATCTGGAGAAGCTGCTCTCGCTTGATACTGAAGGGAATGTTCTTGACGACAATGGCCGTGGGAATAATGTCGTCATCGAGAATACCAGTAGCTGCACCCTGACCCTGGTTCAAGAAGCCGGAACCAGCCTGACTGTTGGATCCTAGAAAGGCAGGCGTCGTTGTTGGGGAGGTGGCCGAAAACGTATCAGAAACGGCGCCCCACTGCGAGGGGAGACCGCCTCGGATGCCGCTCGATTTGCTCCTCAAACCGGGCCCGGTGCCACCAAAAGCTGAGCCGCCGGCAGAGCCTGTGGAGCCGCCAAAGGCATGGCCGAAACTGCCAAAGGCGCCATTCGAGGCCAGACCCGCTGCTGAGCTGCCTGGCCCGATGCTGGCAGCTTGATGACCGAATTGGTGATGGGAAGCCGGACCGCCTTCGCCCGGTGACGATGCGTTTCCAGAGCTAAAGAAGCGCTCGAAGCGAGCTGAAGCGCTCTCGCCACCGCTTCCATGATTGTTGCTCGAGACTGAATGCATACTGCCATAGCCCGGAGGTGCGTGAACCGACTGGGGAGGCTGAGATGGCGAGGGCAATCCCGAGCCGCCAGACGAAAAGGAGCCTTGTCTCTGTGCCTGAGAGTGCGCTTGCTGCTGAGGAGGCTGCAATGACATTCCGTCGAGCGAGCGTTGCAAGTCGTCGGCCATGACTACGTGTGTGAAATTCGCTGAGTGTTGTATGCGTCGTGAAAAGAGAGGTAGTGCCTGTCGATTTACAGCTTCCTTAGGAGTTGCGTCCAGTACTGCAGGCAGTCGTCAAGAGCGATCGCAATACGATAGTCCAAAAGTGACGAGGTGATCCCAAGAGAGAGAAAAGAAGAGAAGAAGAGAGGAGGATAGTCGAGATCCAAAGAGAGACAGAGAGACAGAGAAAGGTGAAAATACAACCTTGACACGTCAACAGAGACGGGTGCCAGGACCGAGGCCGTAGTCGTCGTCGTAACAAATGCGAATCGCGGCGTGCAAAGGGGTCGTATCGAGGGACAGAGAAGGGAGAGCAATCCAAAGATTTGCAGCAGAAGTCGGTCTTCTGATGATGACAGTAGTGAATGGATGTTGTCGAGTCCTTTCGCGCAAGGAACGATCAGGGGGACAGAAAGCAGCTATTTTTCCTGACCGAGCTCGCGTGGGCCGGGATAGGCTTTTTTTCGCTTTAGTGTCTCTCATTCGACAGCCTCATCCCAAGTCAGGGCAATAACGTTATTTTACACATGAATACAGAGTCAGGAGAACGGCAACAGTCAAGCTTCGTCGGTCTTGCCGGTGATATCTGTGTGGTGTGGGAAAGACAACAGCGGTGAGCACACAAAGACCGGGCAGCTTCAGGCATCGGGAGTGGCCTCACAATCAGGACTCTCTGCGGCACGGTACTCCGTCATGAGCTCCGCTACCGTTTCTCGGGCCTCGTCGCTGTGTGCAACTAGGAGTCAGCCGGCGTGAGAAGCTCGAATATACAAGAACGGACTCACAATTGGCTCAGGTCGTCTCCAATGACCGCTTCCTTCCGGTACATGTCCAGGAATGCATTCCTTCTCCGGAGCTTGTCGTACTGGTCCACCGTCCTCTTGAAGATGCCGGCAATGCCGGTGTGGTTGGCCAGCATCAATCCACTGACCCTGTGCGAGGCCGGCGTATACGGACTCCGTTTTGTGAGGGCAACCTGGATGCTGGCGGGCCCCCAGGGAATAAAGGAGGCCAAATGCCGCTCGCGAATGCGAAGCAAAGACTTGTGCACGTCTCGGGGATCGATCGAATCGCCTTGGATAATGTTAAGGATCGAGACGTAGCACGCCGACTTGGTGGCGCCCTGCGTCGAAACCATACGATTCTTAGGCTGCAGCAGCCTCCTCATGACGTCCAGCACCGACGTCTTGGTAGTGGCCTTGCCTCGATCGATGGTGTCGGAGGTAAAGGGCGTGTACGAGGTCATGAGGAAATGAGCTCGTGGTGTCGGGATGAGTGACGCAATCATCCCTGTCAAGTCGTTGTTCATGTATCCCGGGTAGCGGAGCGTCGTCGTCGAGGCGCCCATGACGGTGCTCACCAATTGGTTCGTTTGGCTGTGTGAAACGGTCAATGACGGTGCACTTGTCAGACACTTAGCTGTCACTCACTCGTAGCTTGGATTCTGAATGTGAAGTCGGTCGCTTGCAATTCTCGCGAGAGCAGCATTGTCGAGGACCACGACACTGTCGGCGTTATCGACAAGTCTTTTAATAGCAAGGACCGAGTTGTATGGCTGAACAACGACGTCGGAAGTCTCCTCGGTGTTTGGAAAGACACTGTAGGTCTGAATGAGCTTCTTTGGATAGGCGTCGGAGAGCCTCTCGAGCAGGAACGAGCCCAAGCCCGATCCAGTCCCGCCGGCAATCGAGTGCATGAGCATGAAGCCCTGCATCTGTGAGTCAGCTCGCTACCCGTCGCTTCCAATTGCTTCGCAAACACACCTCGAGGCTGTCACTTCCATCGGCTTCGCGTTCGACCATCTCAATGAGCTCATCGGCAATCTGCTCGCCTGCGCCGTAGCCCTGGGCCCAATTGTTGCCCGCACCACCTCCATTCTTGGACTTGTAGACATTCTCCGGGTTGTACAGGTTCTTGTATGGCCCGCTCATAATGTTGTTGATCACTCGCGGCTCCAGATCGACAAGGATGGCTCTCGGAACATAGTGCTCGTCGTCGGCCTGGTAAAAAAATACGTCCTTGCGATCGTTGGCTAGCCCCTCACTCGCGTAGTCCTCCAGCGTGCCATCCTTTGCGATACCATGATCTCTGCAGAGATGCTCCCAGAAGTGCGAGCCGACCTGGTTACCGCACTGACCCGCCTGAAGCGTGATAAGCTCGCGAGGCATCTCTTGACCGGCCCTGTCGTCGACGAGCTCTAAGAGACGAGGAGGAGGAGGAGGAGGAGGAGGAGGATGTGTTGGTTCCCTACACGTCTCGAGAGGGGGGAGCGCGTCTGAAATTAGGGCTGACTGGCTTATGTAAGGTTTTCCTCACGTGCCGACAAATTTCTGCCGTCCTTGATTCTGAAGAGGACAGGCCGCAAAAAAAATGGGAAATTCTTCCTTCTCTTCTCAATCTGGCCGAGTGACGAGAGCAGCATAGCGACGCTGCTAACAGAGGACTGAGTCACAGAAATCAACAGCATCCCAAGAGGAGAAGGAGAAGAAGACTCATCTGCACAAATGGCATTCGGTGAGTCCGGCTTACGTGATGGGGTCTAACGGAAGCTGACAAGACCAAATCGTGTCGTTAGGTGACCGAGGAGGACGAGGTGGCTTTGGCGGCGGTGGTCGTGGCGGTGGCCGGGGCGGATTTGGTGGCGACCGCGGTGGACGCGGCGGTGGTCGAGGAGGCGGCCGCGGTGGCTTTGGCGGCGGCTTTGGTGGCGATCGCGGTGGACGCGGCGGTGGTCGAGGAGGCGGCAGGGGTGCGCCTGGTGGCCGAGGTGGGCCTCGAGGAGGTGGCCGTGGCGCTCCGGGCGGCCGTGGCGGTCGTGGCGGCGCACGAGGTGGAAGAGGTGGTGCCAGGGGTGGTGCCAAGGGCGGTTCCAACGTCATTGTCAAGCCTCACCGTCACCCGGGCATCTTCATCGCCGAGGGCAAGGAGCACCTCCTCGTCACCAAGAACCTCGTGCCCGGAGAGGCCGTCTACGCCGAGAAGCGCATCAGTGTGGAGACACCCAGTGAGGATGAGTCTGGACTGAGCACCAAGACCGAGTACAGGGTCTGGAACCCCTTCAGGTCCAAGCTGGCTGCCGGTGTACTCGGTGGTCTGGACCACATCCACATCGAGCCGGGCAAGAAGGTTCTCTACCTCGGTGCCGCCAGCGGAACCAGTGTGAGCCACGTCGCCGATGTTGTTGGCCCCACGGGAACCGTCTACGCCGTCGAGTTCAGCCACCGCAGTGGCCGAGATCTTATCAACATGGCCAAGAAGCGGACAAATGTCATCCGTAGGTGTTCCTATTGATCATACGGGAAGTCGTTCACGGGCTGACGCGGACTTTTCTTCTCACTTTCACAGCCATCATCGAGGATGCTCGTCACCCTCAAAAGTACCGCATGCTCATCGGCATGGTCGACACCATCTTTGCCGATGTGGCCCAGCCGGACCAGGCGCGTATCGTCGCGCTCAACGCCTCGCACTTCCTCAAGGACGGCGGTGCTGCGCTCATCAGTATCAAGGCAAGCTGCATTGACTCGACTGCCGTTCCGGAAGCCGTCTTTGCGGGAGAGGTCAAGAAGATGCAAGAGGCCAACCTGAGGCCAAAGGAGCAGCTCTCGCTTGAGCCATACGAGAGGGATCACTGCATCGTCACCTCCGTCTACCAGCGCCACAAGTAGTGTGGCATCGCCCGCCTCTTGCTCGTCTCTCCTTGTACATCAGCTCTATCCCTTCCCCCTTTCTCTTCTATTCTTCTCTTTAACGGTCTGTCTCTACTTTTTCTCTCATCTGGCTACCTATCATTGATACGATTCTTGCAAAATGGCGTGACTAGTGCTCCGAGATTTGTCCGTGCTGCTACAATTTTGATCGTGCAGCATCGTCGCCTTCGAGGAGCTTCATCCCAACGACTTTCTCGAGCTCTTGGAGCGCGGGGAGGGACGATTTGGGAGAGACACCTTCTCCAGTCAAGAAGATTGAGCAATTGGGGAGAGCACACACGTTGGAGGGGGGGGCACAATGGCACTCACGGATCGTCTTTATACCGAGCTTCTGCGCCGCTTTGAGATTGCTGGTTTGCCAGAAGATCGAACAAGAAGGAAAGACAGCGTCAGAGCTGTTGAGGAGGAGAAAGGGGTCGGCAGACTCACATTCCGATGTCGTCGAGAAACACCGTCTCCTCTGGCTTGACGCCGAGCAGGTCCAAGGCATACTTGTAGAAGCCCTCTTCGGGCTTGCGCATGCCAACCTTTGCACTCTCAATGTAGTGGTGGAAGAGGCCCTTGATCTGGCGGGTGCCCTGACCGATGCCGAGGTGGTCGAGCTCCTCCTCGAGCGAAGGCACGCGCCCTCCCCTTGCACTGCCGCTGCCGGATGGCGGCTGGGTGGGCGGGGAGAAGTTGTTGGTCAGTGCGGCCACTTTGAAGTTACCAGAGGCTGCATGCAACACCCCATACGTCAGTCAAAAGCGAAAGGAAGGGAAGGGCGAGCAACAAAACCGGGGGCCCTTACCGCGAAGCTTCTCAATTGCTGCGACCATCTTCGCGTCCGCTTTCGTCGATTGCTTCATCATCAGGCCAAAAAGCTGGAATAAACCATTCAGCGAAAGAATCTGCAGATCGGACCGCACAGCAACAGGAGGAACTCACCTCTCGACCATCGACTGTGAGCGATGTTGGGAGTTTTGGCACCTCTGCGCGATGCCGGTTTGGGTTAGCAATTCGATCTCTTTTCTTGTCAGCATCCGACTCCTCAGCTCACCAGTGCCTCTTGCCTTGCAGAATTCGGTGAACCATCGATTCATGAGGTCGACTTGGCTGAGTTCCTTGCCAAACGCCTCATAGAAAGTGTACATGTCGATCTCGGATCGTTCCAGTCTCTGCGGTTTGCAATGGTTCGTCCGTCAGCTTCCAGGCCAGGGGCGCTATGAGGCGTGAGACAGATCAGGGCAACTCACCTGGAACGCGCCTGACTTCCCAGTCTGTGTGATGGCGACATTGAGATAGTTGAAGGGCAGGCCACGCTCTTTCTCGTACCTGCGCGACAATCGCCTCTGCGTAAGACGCTGCGAAAAGGAACACCATACTGGCACACTCACTCGTTGATGCCTACGAGCGGGGAACCAACGACAACGCCCCCAATGTCAAAGATGCACGCCTTGGGAATCGAGTCACCGCCCCCAGCCATCTTGTCGCCAGTGCCGTCAACGACTCAACCGGTAGTTGAGAAAAGGAGGATTTGCGGGAGTTCCCCCAGAGTTGGCTTGTGCGCCTGCGTCCTATTTATCCGGCCCAATTGTGGCCGAGAGCCGATATTGTGCGCGCGCGACAGCCCACCCTCTCAAAAGGTCGACGAAGGAGCGGAGCACCAAAGCCGGAATTTCGGCCCGTACGTGCGATGAGTCTGGATTTGATCAGAGGAGGCAGCAATGATGGCTGAATAGCTACCGAGAGTTGGTGTTTGAGTGAGATTCATGTTTGCACTTTTGGTTGCATAGATCACCGGTCACCAAACGGTCAGGGAATTCGGTATATTTTGTCACGTAAATCAGAGACTTGATGAAGACTGTGAACAGGGGCTGCATGCAAGACGGCACGGAAAAGTGCGCCAAAACATGAGTGAAGCGCCAATAAGGATTCAATGCAGGTTCGATGTGCTGCAAGCGCTTTGCCGACCGTCACGGAGTGAACCGATTCTAAGTTATACCGTGCAATAATCGCGAGATTGAAGGAGACGCTGAAGCCTCAACTCTAGTCGCAGCAGCCGGTATCCTCAAGCGCTCTTTAAAGGGTGACCAAGGTCTACATTTCCGTCACTAAGCTTGCGCTTTGGCTTTCTTAAAAAAAAAAAATCCCCGCCTAGACACCGTCTCGCAGACACAGCAGCAGCGGCAACGTACAAAGATCAGTGGATGAGTGTTGACCTAATCCCGAGCATTTATCAACTGTTAATGATGTTGCAAATGGACAACTTTGAGCACAAGTGAGGCAAAGAGAAGGAAAGTAAAGCCAGTAGATTAACAAGACAAACGGTCAACCCTAAGGACAGGATGGGGCAGGACGGTCGACGAAGCGTCGTACGTTTACGACTCGCAAGGATAAGACCTCCTAAACGTATACCGTCTCTTCCTGTGTTTGTGCAATCAGGTCTCTCGTTCGCCATCTCTTCCTTCATTTCCACACATTGACCCAAATTAGACTACAGTCGTCGAGAGGAGCAGAGCTCGCTTGAAGTAAGCTTTAGGGGGCCTAGGAGTCATCAACATGGCCTTCTCCATCGCCACGTCTACATTCGCGTTGGTCTGTTGAGGGAAAGTGACAACGTTGTTCCCTATTAAGCCCGGATCATGAACCTCGTCTCGCTTCACTCACGTTAATGAACGCGGCAGATCTCTTCGCCAGGATCGCTTGGTGACGGTGCAGTGTGTGCAGCGACTTTGCTTGACATTGCACGGAGAGTTCCGTTAGGAACAGGGACATGGCGAGAGTCAGGATGAGGAAGCGCATCGCAGACGGGTGACGCAGGTCCAGCTTGCGCGGTGTAGATTTGGTCTCAGCGCTCCCGAATTTAGAAGTCACGATCAAGTTTGGGCTCGACGACCAGCGTGAGCGAAAGCGACAGGGAGAGGTGTGGGGAGCGAGAAAAAGAAGAGGCTCAGACAGGAAGGACTATTTTTTCTTCTTTTTGCGCATTGAGGCAGGGTATCGTCCCTTCAGGGGGCGCACACGGAGAAATTTGGCCGCCCCCGGGGCGCAGCATGTCAAATTTACAGCTCGAGCGCGACGACGGCGTAAATGTCATCAGGAACCATGTCATCAGCTCCCTGCTCAGAATGGGTCCCGCCTGTGTCTGCTTGCATCATCTTTGCGATGGCGTGCCTTGCCTTCCTGAGCCTTTTTTGTGCCCGGACGTCCTCATCGAGATGCGCAAAAACCTCCTCGTCACCCTCCTGAAAAGTCTTTGCAAAGTCGTACTCGTTCCTTCTCCGCTTCGTTTGCCCTTCACCGCTGGCTCCTCGCCTCCGTGTCCAGCCTCGCTGAAGAGCCTCCTCTTCGTCGCTGTCGAGACCCCCTTCCTCTTCCTCGTCGTCGTCTTCCTCCTCTTCCTCCTCGTCTTCTTCTTCTTTCCCCCTCTCAGCTCCACCGTCGTTTCCAAGAACGGCTTGCTGACGCAATCGCGAACTCTTCGAGGGCGTATGCGGAGCTGCGTTGACTCGCTGCTGCGAAGCCCCGAGCGTCGCACGGCTGCCGCTGGGCGAAAGCGGGTCCCTCGACGGGGCAACGGCCCCGGCTCGGCCGATGCGTCCAGAAGGAGTCTTGGGCGGATTGGGCGACGGAGTGGGAGAGGAGCCCGGCGCAGGCCGACGACCAAAGGCGGCACCAGACATAACGTCGCGTGCCCGCTTTGCTAGTGCCTCTGGCGTGCGACTCTGGGGCGACAGGGCCAGCGAGGTCGCTGCAGCTACCGCTCCATCTTTGCCTCGCCGTCTTGGAGTGCTCGGGGCCGAAGAGACCGGCGAAGAGGTCGACGAGGCCGCTCGCACGCTCTTGATGCCCGCGGCGAGCTGTTGGGCAGAGGCTTCGAATTGGCTTGGTGTCAGGCCTGACTTCTTCTGATACGTGGCCATTGACGCGCTCTGCGGCTCGAGACTATTCAGGCGCACAGAGAGATAGAGAGAGAGAGAAGGAGAGAGGTGGAGTGAGTAAGTACTTGGCGATGATCATGCAGCCCAAGTATTGAGCACTCATGACCCACCTCTTGATAGCCAGCCAGGCGCAAACCGCGACTAGACCAGGCCCAACACGCGAAACGGCCTTTTGGTTCCCTCGCGTTGCCCACACATCGACGGCAGCGAGGTAAGATTCCGTGCGAGAGACGACGGCATCCCGATCGCCGACGACCTCGCCTCCGCTCCCCTGTTGGAGCGAGGACGAGAGCAGGGTGCGTACCTGAGCTCTGCGAGATGTCATCGCGCCGCCTCTTCCTCGCCCTTGGCCTGGCACTGAGGTAAAATTGAAAAAGAAGCTACGGGGCCGATGAGATGACAAGTGGAGGCGAACCTGGCGCTGACAAGAGCTTGCACATTCTTTTTCTTTCCTCATTTCTTCTCATGCTCGCTTCGATCATGAACTCAAGATAGAACAATTCTCGGTATAACGGCCGTCATACAGGAAGAGAAGATGACGAGAGAGGAGGCCGATAGGGTTTCATCGTGGCAGGCTGAGCTGGAGGCGCGTTTTGCACCAAGCATCGATCCAGCCCTTATCGCGGCGCTCGTCTCGGAGCGTGGTCAGACGCTCGAAGGAGCGACCGCGGTTCTCGAGACGCTCTCGGCTGATCAAGGGGAAGAAGCTTTCCGAGCTGTACAGCATTTCGACGCTTCGGGGCAGGCTTTCGAGGGCCATGCGGACGAAGCCGGGGCAGACGCGGACCTGGAATCGGCTCAAGTCCAACGGGCGCTACAGGAATGGTCCTTGATCGACAAAGACCAGCAGCCCCTTGCCGACAGCCTTCGCTTGACTGACGACGAAGAGACAGAAGAAGCGAATGAAGAAGTGAAGACAAAGGAGGAAAGAGAAGCGGAAAGATTGGGAAAAGCGGCGGCGAACGACCTGATCAATCCCATCGAGGTTGCCGCTGGTCATGGCGACGTCGGTCCCCCTGGCAGCGAAGTAAATGGAAATGGACTCGACCTTCTGACTCACGCTTTCCCCGCAAGAACGCCAGTGTTTCTAGAAGAAACACTCAATGAGTGCAATGGCGACGTGACACAGGCCCTCGATCATCTTATGGTCCTGGAGATGGTCGAAAATGGCGAGGCAAGCGCAGAGTTCGATTGGCCTGTCGCCGAAAGCCAAGAGTATCTTGGCGACGTGAAAAAAGGCATCGACTATGAGAAGCTTTCGGAGGGAGTGGGTGGCAGAAAGAAGATGTCGAAAAGCGAGCGGAAAAGGTTGCGACAGCGACAGGCTGAAGGCGCATACAGCGCTGGTCCTCAAAAGATCAGTCTGGGTGATGTCCGACACGGGGCTCCTATTCGCTCTTTTCACCCTGTCCGTCGGGTTGCCACAGGAACAAAGAAGTCCTCAGGCGTAACAGGTGTCCAGGAGGACGATGCAGCGATGGCGGCAAGGTTGGAAAAGGAGGAGCGCGAGGAGGCTGGTATCGCAGATGATGAAGACCCGGCGGTCAAGGACAATGACTGGCTCTTCTCCTCTTCGATTCTTGATCAAATCGCTACTTTGCTCGACTTACCCTCGCACAAAATCCGATCAACCTACCACTCCACGAGCTTTAATCTGCGTGCGACGACTCTGCGTCTCGTCGTGGGACAAGCTCAACGATATCCAACTCTGGCCTTGCTCGATGACCACATCGGGGAGCCTCCCGGGACAGCTCAATCGATGGTCGACAGTCTCTGTGCTATTTCGCCGGCGCACAGGACTGTCGAAGATGTTCATCAGGCTTTCAAAGCTACTGCAGCACGGCCAGACGCCACGTTGGATCTCCTTGAGCTCCTCGACGTGGTGCAAGAGGCTTCGCATGGCACTCAGACTGATTTTCTCGATCCCCTGGCCCGAAACTCATCAAAGGGCGACGCGGTCGTCGTCGATGTGGCTACAAAAACTCAGACCGCAGGCCCTGCTGAAGGGACCTTTGTCTGGACGGGCGAAGACGATCGGGTCAATGGCCGGCCAGCATACTCTGGTGTGGCCAAGCGAAGAATACCTCAGACCCAAGCTCAAGACAGCCAGAGTAGCGACGGAAGAGCCTCCAATCGGACTGCGCTCCAAGCGCTGCGAGCTGGGGCTGCATCTACCTCGTATCCCGCCACTCATGCGTCTTCGCACGCCATTCCTTCTTCCTCTGACGAGCAAATCGGAAGTCTCCTCTTCACAGCGCCTTCGTCGAACCAAGTCGTATCGTCTGCTCAGAAGCGGGCCCAGGAGTGCAAGGCCATCTCAGAAGACTACCGTGCGAGACGCGAAGAGTGCCTTCGGAAGGCATCTTCGGCTTATCGCAATCGAACGAGCCTGCCTTCTGCGTCCGTGTCAAGGTCCGGCGTGGGCAGGGGCGCCTCGGCAGCGTGGTACTACGCCGATGAGGCCCGACGCCTGGATGCCAAAGCTAGGGCTTGGAGTCTGAGGGCCGCTCAAGCCCTGGTCCAGGATCGTGTGCACACGAGTCGGGGGGATGGAAGCTCTCGTGGCGGGGGCGATCGCATTGACCTACACGGTCTGACGGTGCATGAAGCGCTGACCATCACGAGAGACGCCCTTGCGGCCTGGTGGGCAAAGAGCGGCAGCGGCAACAAGATGCCGCTCACGATTGTCACGGGCGTCGGGCGCCACTCGAGGGGAAATGTGGCGGTCATTCGGCCAGCGGTGCTCGGGATGCTGAAGCGGGACGGATGGAGGGTAGACGAAAATGCCGGACAAGGTCTCATTACGGTTCGAGGTCTTGCATGATTCTCCTGTCCCTCTTCCTTGTTTCTAGATCTTGTCAGCATGATGTCGCTCGTGCCACAATCAATTGCATCTCATCTCCGCATGCGCGGTCAGTTGCAGCAATCTTTGACTCTCGAATGTCCCCTTTTATCTTTCGCTCTGCTGCCCTCCTCATCTCGCCTGTGTTGAATCCTCACCAACAGGATGGACTGCTCATAAGTGCCCCATTCTTACCATGCAAAAGCAAAAGCAAACGGAACAATTTTTGAACCAAGATTCGCGAAAGACGCTTTTCCCTGGTGACTACAATTCCCTGCAGATGAAACGAGATAAGATCGACAGCTACTGTCCTTCTGCAACTCTAGAGCGGTTTCTACCTCGCGGCTCCTCCTCTTCCATCTGAACCTTCTCATGTTCCCCTGCTCTTCTTCTACCCCTCTCTTCTTCGTCTTTATCCCCCTCTCCCTGCTTGTCTGTCTTGTCCTTGACCTCCTCGCTAGTCGATTCTATTATATTTTTGTCCCTTACTACCTGGTCCTCTTTCTCCTCTCTCCCGATTTCTGCCACTTGCCCGATTTCTGCCTCTCTCTTGTCTGTCCCTTCCTTTGCATCGCCTTCTTCTTCTTCAGCAGCAGCAGCATCTGCAGCATCTTGCTTCTTCTCGCTTTCTTCACCGGCATCGTCCTGTTTGTCTTTGCCTTCGGGATCTTCCTCGGCCACATTTGCGTCCTTTTCGATCATGGCCTGGTCCAGCCTCATATGCCTCGCTCTGACGTTCGAAACGACATCGCCCTTTCCGCGCGGCAATGCTGGAAGCTTGAGCCTCTTACGAGCGACCATGACGCTGTGAAGGACTTTCGTCGTCAGCGAATGATGTCGATCAACTCCGAGCAAAGCATACTCACGGAACAGGACTTTTCTGGACGCAGTAGTGTGAAAAGCTTCCGAGCAGGACGCCCTTGAGGCTGCCCAGGCCCCTCGATCCAACAACACACATCGTAGGCTCGAAGAAGTCAATCATGTCGATGAACATATGGCGCGAGTTGCGGGCGTGCAGAGCTTGACAGGACACCTTTACACCTAGCCTTGTTCGTTGGAGCACAGCTGTGGCTCGTCGCGCCAGAACGACGCACATTGATTGACGCTACGGGTTTTTTTGGTCAGAGCAGGCGGCAGAAAGGAGACAAATAGAACTCACAATCATCTGATGTTCTCGCCGGGCTGCCCTGTCTTCGTGATGAGGGTCTGTGCTGTCAACTGTAGAAGTGTTGTATCAGTTGATCTATCGGCCTCAGTTGTTGGCGAAATGGTACACTCACGCTTTGTATCCGTCTCCATGACTGATACAACAAGCATCTCATCGCCGTCGCGGAGTACAGTTCCGATTGTCCACTCGATGGCATAAGAACTCTCTTCACTGCCATCGCTGGCCACAATGTACCTCTTGGGGCGCTTGCTCTCCTTTGCCCAACGCTCGTACTCTCCGTGAACAAGCGTGATGGTGCATCGGTTCCTTTCGAAGATGGGTCTCGATGCGCTGAGCTTCTGCGAAGGCGATACTGACTGTTTCTCGTCCTGGTGAGCCCACTTCCACTGTTCATATGTGCTCTTGTTGTTGCTCGCTTCGGGCGACATCTCCGATGACGTGGCAGATGGTGGCCTGTTGATCTTGCCAGGCTTGTCCTCCTCTTTCTGAAGAACGTTCAGTCCATCACCTTCGAACTCATCGAGGGAGTGACCGTATTGCTCGCCAATGACGACGTTGGGCGCCCGCAAGCCTTCGTCCCCTTCGTCATGCCCAGTCGGACCAGCACCACCCCATGCGGCGTCGTAGTCATCGGGACCGTAGTAGACTTCGGGGCCTTTTGACGAATGGTTATCGTCCTTCTGCCATGCATCGTGCAGTCCAATGCACCCGGCATTAAAGAGCGTGTTGTCGAGTGTTTCGTCGTCAAAATAAATGAGGTCATCTTCATCTTCTTCTTCCGTCTCATCTCCTTCCCTTCCTCCTTTCTCGTCTTCTGCATCCTCATGCGTATGTCTTTCCTGATTTCTTGCCCTGATATCTGCCGCCGTTGCGCCACTTTGATCCCGGATCTCATTGATGCTGGCGAGGTCTTCATCATCGCTATCCCCACCGCCGAATGCATTGTTCCTTGGGGTGATGCCGCTTCTGATGCTTTCTCCGTCGCTCTCTCCGTCCGTCATAGCTCCATCTCCACCTTGCTCGCGCCCTCGCTCGCGTTCTACGTCGATGCTGTCCCTTGTGTTGAGCCTGCTACTGCTTTCGCCCGACAGTGAGGCCTTTCTGCCACTCCGTTTCTCGCCATGGTGGTAGCGAAACGGCGACAAGCTTCTTCCGGCCGCTCGCTTGAAAAGGTCTCGCTTCCTCCTCCGCTCCTTCTTCTGCAAAGAGGCATGCTCGTCATTTGCTTCGCCTTCTCCAACCACGCTACCATCTTCGAGGCTCTTCTTTCCCTCGTAATCGTAGTCACCGCTTGGGACCTTTGAGTGATGTATTCCCTGCCGATGCTCCTTTCCATCCTCTGTCAAATGTCCGATGCTAAAAGGATTGTGAGCAGCAATGGACGATATGGCGGGTCCCAATATCGCATGCGAGATTGCGGAATCATGCGAGGCTTTGTTCTTGTGATGATGCCATCTGGAACCGAAAGGCGAGGACGAGAGCGAAGAAGACGAGGTGGCCGAGGGCACCAGGCTGGTGTTGGAGGCTGATTTCGAGATGGGCAGGCTTGGGGTCTTATCGGACGAGCGGCTGCTCTTGCTGTCCATTGTTGCCGTATCAGGATCGTTGGAAGGCATTGTTCGACCGAACGTGTGGTCGCACACAGCTAGGATAGCTTGACAAGCTGTGCCTGGCCTTGGCATCTCCACCCCTCACGACCAGGACCGATAAAGCAAGCGTCTGAGCCACGTGGATTGCAGCAACACTCTAAATTGACGACCATTTATTTCTATGGCTGCCGGGGCCATTTCTTCCTCCTCTGGTTGACAGACAAGAGGCCTGGATGTCGAACATCTACGTGACGGAGCCGCCACCCTCGGGTCGGGTGATCCTCGAGACGTCCAAGGGTGACATTGAGATCGAGCTCTTCGCAAAGGAATGTCCAAAGGCGTGCCGAAACCTCATCACGCTTGCGCTAGAAGGCTACTATGATGATCTCATCTTCCACCGCCTCGTCCCCGACTTTATCATCCAGACGGGCGATCCGACAGGCTCGGGCTTGGGAGGCGAAAGCGTATATGGTCAGCCATTCCACGATGAGCTCCATCAGCGGCTTCGCTTCAACAGGCGCGGGCTGCTCGGAATGGCAAACGCATCGAGCCCTCATTCAAACGACTCGCAATTCTTTCTGACCCTCGCACCCACGCCCGAGCTGCAGGGGAAACACACCATGTTTGGCCGTGTTGTCGGTCAAACCATCTACAACCTCGTCAACCTCTCGCAGGATGTGGAGATGAGCAAGGACGTCGAGGATCGCCCGCTATACCCACCTAAGCTCAAGACGATCCGCGTCGTCGACAACCCATTTGACGACGTTGTTCCACGCGTGACGCGGGAGGAGAAGAAAGCTCAGGAGCGAGCAAAGAAAGAGGCAGAGGCACGGAGACTCGAACGAGATAGAGAAGGGACTAGAAGTAAGAAGAAGAATACGGCCCTGCTCAGCTTCGTTGGCGAGGAGGAAGAGGATGAGGAGGCAGCTTTGTCGTTCAAGGGGAAACCAAAAAGCAGCCACGATCTGCTCAAAGACGACCGCAAGCTGTCCAAGATGCACGCCGAGCCTAGTGCCCGGGGTGCAAGCAGCTCGGCCTCTCCAATTGTTGCAGAGCCTCCGCAATCTGGCTCGAATGGAGCAAGTTCGTCGAATGGAGCGGACAAGAAGGAGAAGAAGCGCAGAAAGGCCCAGGGAGACGGCGAAGGAGAGGATCTCTCTTCGCTTCGAGCTAAACTTCAAGCTGCGGACGAGGGAGGCTCGGCTGCATCGAAAATCGCCGATCTGGAAGCATCAATTCGAGGCTTGAGCAAACGGCCGTCTACCTCCGCAGGGGAAGAAGCCAAGAAAGAAAAGGAGGTTAAGAGGGGAAAGGCGCTCCTCGAAGATTTGCGAGCTCAGTACAGCAAGTCGAAGCCTCAGGGAAAAGTCAAATCGAAAGCCAAGGACAAGGATGAGGAGACGTCGGACCTCCTCAGAAAGTTTCAGACGCGGGTGAGAGAGGATGCTCACCGGGAGGAGAAGCGCAAGAGGAAGCGGCGAGAGGAGGAGGAACGAGAGGAAATCCCGGATGACCTGCGAGAGTATGGCGCAAGCGACGAAGATGACGATGAAAAGGGCTGGAGAGACCATACTTTTGACTTTGGAGGAAAGAGCCTCTTGGAGGACAAGCATGACAGCGCGGTGAGTAGACTTCTGTGACAGAACCAAATGAGTAGACACGACTGACCTTGTGCTTGCGCACGTTAGGAATACGTCACGCTCGATCCGAGGGATTCAACCTCGTCGAAAGCCCTCGAGCTTGGATTCGGCAGCAAGGATGCCAGCGAGCGAGCGAGAGCGGAGAAGGCGAAGCAGCATGGCCGTCGGGGCAGAGATTGGGTCGACGAGAGGGAATGGGACAAGAAGCGAGGGGACAGAAATAGAGACAGAAGGGACGAGAAAGACACCCGCAGAGGAGCCCAGTATTCAAGAGATGGCAGGAGTCCAGAACCGAGTCGGGCGTCTCGGATGGAGAGATGGTGATGACCTGGAAACGCATACATTGTAACATCGCTCAATCAAATTATCAAAGCCAAGACAAGACGAACAGCACTTCATGATGTCGGCGTCCCACCAAGCTGGGCTGCGCCCAGCAGACCCTTTGAGAACATGCTTGCGACGACATCGAAGCCTTCGTCTGCCTCTTTGACCTCTTCCAAAAAGACGTCGTGTCTCTTGGCGAACTGCTCGTTGTTCCTTCGGATCTCTCTAACCACTGCGTGGCTCCTGGCGCATGCTGGACACTCTGTCTCGAGATCCTCGCGGTGTAGACACCTCTGGTGGAACGAGTGTCTGCACATGAAGTGGACGCTGGGCAAATCGAGCTGTCCTCCGCAAGCAGTGCACGTGGAGTGCTGGAAGACGAGAGGCTGCGAGGCATCGGTCAGCTGGGCAATCTCGGCCAGCTTCTTGTCCGTCTCGGCTCGGTACGATTCAATGAGGCGGTCATCGGCATCGATGTCTTGCTTCTGTTGCTTGATCGCTCGAATGAGGTGGTCTCGCACGAGGCCTACACTCGCCACAGGTGTCCGGCTCAAGGTCTGCACAATCTCAAGCGGACCCATGAGTTGCACCTCTTCGATGTGGTCCAGAACCTCTTGAACGTCTCGACGATGTCTCGACAGCACGTCTTCGGTTGAGCAAAAGTATCGAAGCACAAGCGGGTAGAGGTGAGGCTGCGAGGGCCCATATCGACGGAGTGACGGCATCATTTCGTCGTCCCTTGCCGCATCCATGTGCAGGCGTAACACGTCCTCGTACATGCCCATCCGTTCATAGAGGAGCACAACACCCTGGGTGAATTTCTCGTGAGAGCAGAGAACGAGCGCCTGAGTGATGTCGTACGGCAGGGATTGGTGTTGCTCTAGGAGTCTCGATGCCCGCTCTCGTCTCTCCATACGCTGCTCCTCGTCTAGCGTCGACTCTGAGGCGGCCGCTACGAGCGATCGACCTTCTCCTTCCTGCCGACGAGTCAATTCTCTTCTTGACGAGCGCAAGTAAAGCTCCAGAAGCGTGTTCCAGATTGCCTTCTGATCCTTTCGCTCCAGATCCTCATAGCCATCTTCAGGCTCAATGCCCAGCTGCCTCAGCACATCGTCGTCGTTGTCCCTCTCGGCATCAGGGGCTGTCAGAGCACGCGGTGCAGATTCGGCCATATCCACCTGTTGGTCCCACCGAGCGAGAGCGACAGTCTCCAGAAATCGGATGAATTGGGCAGGGTGTCGGATGAAATGGGCGAAAAAGATACGAGGAGAAGGAAGCGGATAGGCACCCTTCCTATGTTCCTCGATAGGTGGTGAATCAGCAGGTGTTGCCTCTTCTGCCTTGAAATCGCCAATTTTGTATCCCTCCTTGTCCTGTGGCTCAAGCTGGCTTGCACCTTCAGGCGCCGCACCGGCATTGGTACCTTTTGCTGCCGCCGCGAATGGACCGGCCTGGAGGTAGGCGAGATAGCCAGCCGCTGTTGACTTGCTTCGCGCCGCCTCGACGCCGGTTCCGACGGCGACGGGTGTCGGCTGGAACACGCCCGAGCATAGCTCGACGAGCACGTCGGTCGTCTTGTCGGGTATCTTATTGAGCATCGCTCGGCCATATTGGACCAAGTTGCTCTCGGCCTGGCGAAAGACAGCAAGAGTGTCAGTATACTTAACATGCAAGAGCAACACGAGGAACCGACCTCTTCAGCAGATAGACTGCAGACGTGAGACAAGGCCGTCTCCGCATCGCCGAGGTCTTCAATCTGAATACGCATGTACTCGTCGTGCTGGCCGTAGCGCTTTGCGAGATAAGCAGCGTGCTCAAAGTAACCGGCTTGCCGGCAGACGCGGATAGCCGTTTCGAGATCAAAAGGAAGTTCTTCCTCGTTTTCCACTTGATCCTCTTCATCTATGCCTCCGTCGTGTTGATCGCGGTCCCCCTCGCGATCCGCGGTGGCCGCCAGCGGCCGTTTGATAAAACGATCGAGCGAGGTCACATCTTTCAGCTTGGTGTAGCAGTTCAAGAGAAGCGTCGTGTGGTCCGAGTTGGCCAGGCCCTGGTTGTGAAGCTCTTGAAGATAGGTGACGAGATTATTGATACGCTGCGCATCAAGAAACTGATGCAACTTTCAGGTCAGAGAGTGGGCGCCGGAGACGGTCACGAGGATGCTCACCTTGCGAATGACATAGCTGGGCTGCGTCACCCCGACGGTCTTTACAAACTGATTCATGGCGCCCTCAAAATCGCCTTTGGCATAGAGGTGGTCTCCGTACTTGCGGAAAATGTCTGCCAGTAGAGGCTCAACGGGCGTCTCGAGAGACACCGTGGTAGCGCGTGCGGTGTGCGACCTTGCGACGTTGATGGCGAGGAGAAAGAGAGACTTGCGAAAGAGGATGTCGAGTTTAGCCTTGAGCGACTTTTCGTCGAGCCGAGTGAGGGTGCCGTCGTCGCCGAGGATAAAGAGCTGGCCGTTGTTGCCGGCCCACGCCTCGCGAATGCCACCGTCAAAGGTGGCCGAGTAGGCTACGAGCTTGTTGTCGAGATCAAACACTGTCGCTTTGGCCACGTCCACGTTGATCTTGCTGTTGCGTCCCATCCGGTCGCGTTGATTGACGTGATGCCTCACGGTGGGCGACTCTGAAGTTGCGCTGGCTTGGATGGGAGGCGAGATGATTACGAGCTGCGTCGACGACAGCCGTATTGAAGATTTAGGACCTAACAAGACTATAATCAGCGCAAAGCTGGCAGTCATTGGGGGAGAGACGGAAAGGCTCACCTTCGTATGCTAGACAGACCTCGCGACCGTCCACGCCCACAACGTAAATTGCCTCTTCGCGAGCAATTACCATCTTGCCTGCCAAGGCCGTCTGCGCACTGTGGCTGGGTATCATAGAAGCGCACCCCAGTGCACAGCCAACGTCGTCTACCACGGTTGCTGGTGATCCGGCTCCTTTTCCGATGACAGTGTACCTTAGAATGCGTGAGAGTGTGACGATGAAGAGATGGACCGTCTGCGGCGGTTGCTCTACTGCTGCCCTGGGAGTCACGCCATTGGGTGTCATTTTCCTCCGAAGCGGTTGCCTGCGTGAGCCTGCCCTGTTTCGGCGGACCACTGCATCGCCATTCACCTGCACAGCAGTGGGTGGCTTGGGATGCTGCTCCGCGAAGCCGAGTCCCGTGACTGGCTCCTGCCCGGTCCCCTCGTTTGACTTTGCTGAGGGCTGGAAGGCAACCTTGAATCTCGGCAGCGTGACAGGTGCTGTTCCCTTTAAGACCTCATCGACATCTCGGAGGAGCAGCACGGACCCATCTGCGAGCCCGATGGAAATAAAAGAGAGCGAGGGTGTGTGCGCGAGGGCGGCAACAGGATGAGGTCGACTGCCATGTTGAACCTTTGCCTCGGCGAGCAGCGTCGGTGGGGTCCATTGTGATGTGCCACGATCGACGTTGAGCTGCCAGATGCGAAGGACGGGAAACCGCGAGCTCTCGTCTTCGCCGAGCGTCACGGCCCTGCCCTTGGAATCACAGGACAGGTGTGTGACTCGGCCCGACGTTGGCCCGCCATGAAAAGCCTGCCACGTCCCCAGCTCGAAATATGTGTCGACATCGAGAACTCTGATACCTCCCGAGAAGTCACCGACGAGTACGTACGCCGAGGCCTTATTGCCGCCGCCGCCGCTGCTGCCGACAGCCACTGTCGAGATCTCGTTGGTGGCTCGAAGTGCGCTCGGAGACCTGGCAAAGTCGGACGCATCTCGCACGACAGTGTGCTCGTAGAAGGAGAGGTGCCGCCAGGCCGGTGCGGCTGATGCCTCCGTCGCCATTGTATCAACGACTAGACCGCCTCCCCCTCCGTCCGCTTGGGACCCCATGTCGTCGCTAATCGCGTGCTGTGTTTCCTCGCTCTGGACAAACAAGGTGGACGGGGGGAGCGTTTAGAGACGTGCACGGTCTTCCTCGACTTTCGGCGGCCTTGCACGGGCGCGCGCGCACTTGGAATCAAATTCTCGGCCGGCTCAACTTGGCTTGGTCTGGAGGGCCAACGCGGCTGCAGCCTTAAAATTTCGTGATCTTTCGCCAAGGCGGTGGAGAGAGGAGAGAGGGAAACGCCTCGAATCGACAGCTGACGACGAAACCGACACGACACCGACGACGTAGAATCCCTCCCCGACAAGGAGACGCCACGAAGAGCAGACGAATAACATAGAAGAGCGAATCAGACGACCCAAGGAACGACATGCCCGGCAGAGGAACATAAGCAAGGCGAAGGAGCGAGAGCGCAGACAGAGAAACTCACAGACAGCGCGATACCCAGTCAGTCAGTCAGACCGACGGACGGACAGGGATGTCGTCAAAGGGCAGCCCGCCGCTCTCGCCTCGACCTCTCCAGAGCACGGAGCTGGCTCCTCCTGCGGAACACGACAGGGGCAGTCAGGCGCCGAGCTCCAGAGGAGTCAGCATCTCTTCTTACTACTTCAATTCTCACGATAGCGTCATGAGCTCACCAAAGACAAGATTGACCGGTGCCCCTCTTCGCGGTGGGGAGTCCAGCAGCGTTGGGGACAACACTTTGAGCAGCGCCGGTGCCAGCTCTGCTACCACTGGCAATCCTTTGGAATCCTCGTCGAGGAATGCATCATCGTCATTGACCAGCTCGCCGCGTAGGAGTGGACTGGAGGAACGGGCGCTTCATGGAGGTGCTGGAGAGCAGACGCTCCACAGAAGGAACAGCAGCGTCAACAGGGGCCACGACGGATCCTCAGACCCTCGAGGCCCTTTCCGTGAACATTTCTCAGCCTGGGCTTCCGGGCTAAATGTTGGTGGTAGTGGTGCTGTGGCGGCAGGCGGGCCAGTGCACCATCACGGGACGGGCCAGGGCAGCGAGGCGCCTGAACTGGGCAATCCCTTTGACTTTGAGAGCAACGATGGTCCGCCTCAGATCACTCTCTCCAACTTCGGAGACGATGGAATTTTGGAGAAGCACTCGAGGGGAGAGAGCTCCGCGTCTGCCGCGCCCGGCGACATGGGCAGAGTCATGCCCCATCAATACTCGTACGTTGAAACGCCTCGACAGAGCATGTCAAGCCTCAATCTGGGCTTAGAAAGTGGTCAAACGCCCGTCATGGGCACCAGCGGCTTCGACTACGGCGGTGCCGCCTCAGGAGACGACGATGCCGAAGAGGGTGCCGTCCTCACCTCACACCAGGCGCCGCAGCGGGGATGGGATCAATTCGGAGCAAGGGAGCCGCTGACAGCGACATCGTCCCAAGATGATTTACATCGGCCCCAGTCTCATTACTTTGGGGGTGGAAGGGTCGCCTCACCCTCGGCACTTGAAGATGGCAGCCCTGGCGAGGGCAAGGACGAAGTAGGGGACAGAGTCATGCATCGCAGCAGCGCCCATGTGTATGCGGCCGCTGGTGGTGATGCACCCGGATTGCAGAGGGCGAGGTCGGGCCTCCAAAGGGTGGGCAAGTCAATCAGGCGCATCAGTCGCAGAGTCATAGACCTCGACGGCCAAAGGCAAAGAGGCCCACACATGCGCCTCGAGGACCGCCACGATGGCGACGAAGACGACAGCGAGGACGATGCCTTCTACTTGGCGAATGCGGCCTCGCAGCAACAGCCTTCGCGTGACTCGATGCTTCGGGGAAAGAGTCTTGGCATCTTTGGGCCCGAGAGTCGGGTGCGGCAGACGCTGGCTAAGCTGTTGCAGCAATGGTGGATCGAGCCACTCATTCTGTCCCTCATAGTCCTCAACGCCGTGCTCCTCGTCATTCAGTCTGCACCAAGCGTCTTCAAATTTCCCCGCAAGCCAGGCTACTTTGACTATTGGGTCGACTTTGCCCTCTTGGCCGTCTTTTGCATCTTCACAATCGAGGTCGTTGCTCGTGTCATTGTATCAGGCCTTGTCATCAACCCACCACCACCAGCCTATCATCCTTCTTCCGCGTCTTTCATCTCTACGACAACATCGACTGCATCAGCGCCTCAATCGAGGACTTCGGCCCCTCGCGTTGTTGTCCACGAAGAGCAGAGTGGTCCAAATGAAGACACGGGATCAAATGCAAATGCACGACTGATGGCGCACTCGCGACGGCAACAGTCGAGGTCCAACACCATGGATACCTTTGCCGGCCTGGGCGACTCGCTCAAGACGCGTGCTCATGCAGTGCTCTTGCCCCGGCAGCGCGAGGCCGAAGCTGCATCAGTCACGCCACCGCGGAGCCCCAATCGGACCGACTTCTCGACGTCTATCAAGGGACCCAGGACGGCCACCTCAGAGTACGTCCGCCAGGCCTTTCACAGCTCGTCAGAAGTCGGCGGCGTGCAAGATGACAAGATAAATGGGGCTGTAGGAGGCCAGCCGAGAGCCGAAGCAGCGAAGGGGGGCTCGAAGTTGATGCAGCAGGGCAGTAAGATCCTGCCTTTTTCCAAGATTGTCAGCGCACAGCGGGAGCAAACGACGCAATACGCCTACCTTCGTCACAGTTGGAACCGAATTGACCTGGTGGCTGTTGTGGCCTTCTGGGTCATGTTTTTCCTCTGCATTGTAAAGCAAGAGATGACGCCAGCGCACCACATTTACATCTTCCGCGCCATCAGCATTCTTCGATGCGCTCGGCTGCTCACCGTTACCAGTGGCACGTCGACGATCCTTCAGTCCCTCAAAACCGCCGGTCCGCTCCTCGTCAATGTCGCCTTCTTCATCGTCTTTGCTATGCTCCTCTTCAGCATCATTGGTATTCAGTCGTTCAGAGGCAGCTATCGACGCAACTGTGTCTGGGTTGGCGACTATGTAGGCGATCCTGGGACGAATTTCACGCTGAGTCAAATCTGCGGCGGTTTCATCAATCTGTCGACGAACGAAACCGTGGGCAGGGTAAACGAGCTTGGCACACCTATGGCCAGTTCGGGTAAGGGATTCATTTGCCCTAGAGGCCAAGTCTGTGTCGAAACAGACGCGAATCCCGAGAATAATACGAAGAGCTTCGACAACATCTTCACCTCCCTTCTTCAGGTTGTCATTGTCATATCCTGTGAGCACCTCACGTCTTACTAAAGCGCGCTCGAGACTGACGATCACCTCATTCTCAGCCAATAACTGGTCTAATACCATGTACGACATGATCGACGCCGACTACTTTGTCTCGTGCCTCTACTTCATCTTCGGCCTCATCATCATGAACTTTTGGATGGCCAACTTGTTCGTCGCTGTGATCACGAATACGTTTGCGTCGATCTCGGCCGCGACGAAGCAGTCCGCTTTTGCAGCAAAGAGCATCGAGCAGGCTACCAAGCCTAGGCTCGCTTCGACGTCGGAGGGCCAGCAGCGAAGGCAGCGCGTGGCCGACAGCTACAAGCGCTTCTGGCGGTACACAAAGTACCTCTGGCTCGCCCTCGTCGTTGTAGACCTGGGAGTGCAGGCCAGTCAGGCCTCGTATCATACCAAGGAGGAGAAGAGCAAGACGGAAACGGCCGAGATATACATCACCGTTGCCTTTGATGTCGAGATCATTATGCGCTTTCTCTCGTTTCTTCTCGACAACGACTGGCGAGGCTTCTTCGTCAAGCGCAGGAACAGATTCGACTTGTTCCTCGCTGTCATTACCAGCGTCATCCTCATCCCGCCCATCAAGAACTCCACCGTCTATCCTTGGCTCACCCTCTTCCAGCTAATGCGTTTCTACCGAGTCATCGCGGCGGTGCCGAGGATGGAAGCGCTGCTGATCCGCGTTTTCGGATCGATGTCGGGTCTTTTCAACATGATCCTCTTCCTCATGCTCATGGTCGGTCTCGCCGCATTGATGGCAGCCCAGCTGCTCCGTGGCGACATCCCGCAGGAAGACGACTCAGGCGAGGAGATTGAGATGAACTTCAAGCAAATCTACAACTCCTTCTTGGCCATGTACCAGATCTTCTCGTCAGAAGACTGGACCACGCCGCTCTTTGCTGCGTTGTCGAGGGAGGGCCAGTACAAGCAGGCCGTTATCGCGGGCATCTTTATCGCTGGCTGGTTCTTGTTCGCCAACTTCATCGTCCTGCAGATGTTCATCGCCGTCATTGCCGAGAACTTTGGCGTGGCTGAAGGACAGAAGAGGCAGCAACAATTGGAAATGTACCTGCGCAAGATGGAGAAGCCCGAGGGCTCCTTGACGGGCCGAATCTTGCACCAGCTCAGCCCTTATCGATGGTTGAGGGAACGCAACGAGGCGAAGATAGGGAGGGGTGCGCCGACGGCAGAAAGAAAAAGAACTGGCGACGAAGCGGAGAAGACGGATCGCAGACGAAGAAAGAGTCTCCAGGGGCTCGTTGCTCAATCGAAATTCCAACGCACCATGGAGGTGGTAAGAAAGGCATTACGGCTGGATCGCCCAGAGGAGCAGGTACCGCTGGACACGCTGCGTGCTCGCCAATTCAGGCAGTCATTTTCGGGCGCCACGATCCTCGGCGCCGCTGGTCGACCACCATCAGCATTTCACCTGGACAACGACGAGGATACGGCTAGGCTCTTTGCGAGAGAGAGACAGTTGACGAGGATGCGCAGCGATCTTGGCCTCTCTGGCGACGATGGACCCAACCAGGCACAGATCGACGAGAGCCATGCCAATCGGTACAAGGACGATCCGCGCATCGCACAGGCCCGGCTAATCAATACACATCCGTCGTACGAAAAGTCGCTGTGGATTTTCTCCAACACCAATGGGTTCCGTCGGTTTTGCCAAAGTATCGTCCCACCCAGCTACGGCGAGAGGCTCTTTGGGCGTCAGCCGTCGAGATTTCGCGTGCTGGTGTACCAATCGGTCATCTTTGCAGCTATTGCCGCATCGGTCATCACTGCTGGTATTGCCACGCCACTGTATCGAAGGGAATGGTACGGCGAACACGGCCTGCGAAGAGACTCGTGGTTCTCCATTACCGAGGTGTCGCTCTCAATCTTCTTCATCTTGGAGTTCATCGTCAAAGTGATTGCCGACGGCTTCGCCTTCACGCCCAACGCCTATCTCCTTTCTCCTTGGAACGCCCTTGATCTCTTCGTGCTCTTCACGCTGCTGGTCAACGTCATCACCGAACTCGTCGTCATCGGCGGTGTCAGTCGATTCACACGAGCACTCAAGGCTCTGCGTGCATTGAGGCTGATCAACCTGTCGAACCTCATGCGTAGCGCCTTTTCCGCACTCGTCCATGGAAGCGGCCGGTTCGTCGATGCCTCTGTCTTGGCCATTCTCTACATTGTGCCGTTTGCCATTTGGGGCCAGAATCTCTTTTCGGGTCTGCTCTACAGCTGCACAGACGGATCAGACGGCATTTCGACAAAAGCAGATTGCGTGGGAGAATTTTCGACGTCGCCGAGCCAGTGGTCATTCTTGGCCCCGCGAGTGTGGCAGAATCCAACGGACGGATCCGTGTACTCGTTCGATGACTTTCGATCTTCGCTCTTGATCTTGTTCGAAATTGTCAGCCTCGAAGGATGGATCGATGTCATGACGACAGCCATGTCGATCGCCGGCCGCGACCAGCAGCTCCAGCCCGACAATCGTCAAGTCAATGCGCTCTTCTTTGTCATCTACAATCTTCTCGGTGCCGTCTTCGTCCTCACACTCTTTGTCGCTGTCATTATTGAAAGCTTCCAGAAGTATTCGGGGGCTGCCTACCTAACGACGGCGCAGCGCCAGTGGATTGACCTCAAAAGGCTGATCGGTCGACAGCGGCCATCGAAGAGGCCGAAGGTCAGGCCGGCGGGCAAATTGCGGTCGTGGTGCTACGATCGGGCGGTGCACAAGCATGGTTGGTGGTCGAGAGCTATGACGTTCCTCTACTTCTGCTCCATCATTGCCCTGGCCACGCAGCGGTACGGCGACGCGCCCTGGGTTGAGCAGATCCGCGACATCGTCTTCCTCTGCTTTACTGCCGTCTTTACGGCAGACATTCTCATTCGCCTGACTGGCTTGGGATGGAAGGCCTATCGCCAAAATGCTTGGAATCTGTTCGATCTAGTCGTCGTGGCGGGAACGTTGGCCACCACAATTCCGCTCATCAGGCCAGGGGGCGAAGAAGCCGCTTCAAATGTGCAGTTGCAGAAAATCTTCCTCACGGCCGTCGCGTTCAAGCTGGTCCAACGCAGCAACTCGCTGAACCAACTCTTCAAGACTGCCGTCTCTTCGCTGCCTTCGATCGTGTCGCTCTTCTTGCTTTGGCTCACCATGTTCCTTGTCTGGGGCATTATGCTCGTCGAGGTCTTTGGCCTGACGAAGTGGGGTGAGAACGAAACGTATCAGAAGAACTTTTCGACACTTCTCGGCTCGCTCGTGTTCCTGAGCATGATGTCGACAGGCGAGGGCTGGAACTCGTACATGCACGACTACACCCTCAGCCCTCCAGAGTGCACTCCCTCGGCGAGCTACCTCAACACCGATTGTGGCAGCGAAGGCTGGGCGTACTTCTTATTCGTGACGTGGAATGTCATCTCGATGTACATTTTCCTGAACAGTGAGTCGTCCAACAATTGCTGTTGCGCTTGTCTCTCGTCACTGACCAGGTGTATCCTTTCGACAGTGTTTACTGGTACCGTCGTCGAGAATTTCTCCTATGTCTTTCAGCTTGGCGGCAAGCCGACACTATCGCGAGAGCAGGTTCGAAATTTCAAGAAAGCCTGGGCCGCCGTCGATGTCCAGCGCAAAGGCTATCTGACAAAGGAACAACTCGTCCCGTTCTTCAACAAACTCACAGGTGTCCTCGACGTGAGAGTTTACCGTGGCGAGACAAGCATTCAAGCGTTACTCAGCAGGTCCGATGCACGCGGGAAGGGAGTAGCGGGTGGAATGCCACAGTCGCCGTCATTTGTTGAGAATCTGCCAAAACTCCCGCTGGGGCGAAATCGCTCGCCTGGAGGAGCGACTAGCCCGGCAAAGTCTGGCGCGAGGGAGGGGAAGGGTCACTTTATGTGGCCGCCGTCTTCTCCTAGTTCCAATTCTGTGGGGACAATTCCGCTGGCGAGCCCCAACAGGCACGTCGTGGATGGCGTCGATATCGACGCGCTTAGGAGAGCCCTGAGCGAGACGATCGATGCATCTGAGATTTTGAGGAGGAGAACGAGATTCGAGCATCTCTATCAGGAAGCCTGCTTGCGGGCTGACGAGAATGCCATCCCATCCTCGTCCAGGCGGAGACACGCAAACGCGACCGCAGCATCGACTGGCGGCCTCAGAGGCGGCTTTGGCGGCAACGCTGGTGGGGCCATCTCCGGTGGCGTCGGAGGATTCGGAGGAATCGGAGGACTCGGTTTCACTGGCGCTGGTCGTTCTGGCGCCGACGTACCGCACAACACGCCCATCGATGGTGGCGGCGTCCGGTTCCATGAGATGCTGGAGCTGCTGGCGCACTACAAGCTCATTGACGACGACCAAGCTCTTTCGGTAGAGGAGCTGGTGCAAAGGAGGATGTTGCTGGAGCGCGTCGAGGATCGTATCCAGCTCGAGAAGGTCCGGTCGGTGCTGCGAGGCATGTGGCTCCGACGCAAATTTGTCGTTCTGCGACGGATTTCTCAGCAGCAAATGCCCACTGGCGATGTGCCTATTATTCAGGTTGAAGAGGACCGCGAGGAGTCGGAAAGAGGATTCAACAGGCGAAGCGTCGATCTCACGTCGTTCGATTATTCCTTTGAGTCTCCGAGCTCGAAGGGCTTACAAAATGCCAGAAAACCCAACCTCAAGCTCGAATTGGGCGGCGCTTCTTCGTCGCAGCAGCACGCAGACGCGCTTGCCCCAAGCCCGGTTGCCGTGGCCGGTGGACGTAGAGTGTCGGCAACATCTAGCACACAGAGCCTCCAGGAGCTCGAACGGAAGGCAAGCCCCGTGCTTGAGGAAATCAGTAAGGGCTCTGCGTGGGGCGCGGTCGGACGAAGGCTCTCGGCCCATGGAAATGTACCGGAGCCGCAAAGGCAGGGTTCTGGGTCCATTGTGTCGCCCTTCTCACCGCCGTCGGCGATGCAAGAGTATAGACCACTGACAGAACCAAGTCCACCCGCTGCTACTTCGCCACCAACGTCTGGCGCAACGACGACAGGCGAATGGCAAGAACCAAGCGCAGAGAGCTTCTATCAGCCCATAGCGGAACCCTATGAACCGTTCCCTACACCGAGCCGGAGCGTCCCCTCCGAGACGCATCAAGAGCAGCGACTGCTCTACTCGAGCCCACCGCAGGATCCTGTGGATGAAAAGTGGCGAGAGGGTTGAGCAGCTGGGGCTTGCTTACTTTGACTCTTTCATATGAGATTACATAGAGCAACACAATTGAGTTTCTGGGATGGTCGTCATCATTCATTTTCTTTGGACAATAACGTAGGCATCAATATATCATTGCTGGGAGTGAGATCTCTTCCTCCGCGTTCACTTCTGCCCTGAGCAGCATATCAACTAGGCTTCGGCCACAAACAAAGTTGAGCATACGGGCAACAAGCGGACGCACAGGTCGCGGATGTAAGACGTGTAGAAGGGAAAAGGGGAAACAAGTTATAGCAAGATATGAAAGGTGAACGAGAAAGGGTCATGATGGAGCTGGAACAATCGAGAGAAACCAGTGCCATTCGTCCAAGTGGTCACCGACGGTGACACTATCAAAGAAGGACGTGGAAGATGGCCATGACGACAGTGACCGCAGCAATACTGCCGGTGACGGGCGAGGCGAGGTAGAGAGGAACAGCACCATCGGTGTGGGGCTTCTTCGTCGTCGAAGGCGCAGTGCTGCTTGTCGTAGTTGTCGAAGGAGTGGGAATGCTGCTGCCGCTGCTGCTGCTGTTCAGTCGGAAATTCGGGAGAAAATTTTGGTGTCAGAGAAATGATTACCGTCTGAAAGGGAGAAGAGAGCAGGCAACCGTACCTCGTGTTCGCAGGTGTGAGTGGAGTCGCTGCAGTAAGCGGGGCGCTGTTGAGCGTTGCATTCGATGCGCTTGAGCTGGAGTTTGAGGCCAAGCTTGCCGAGGCCGATGAATTTCCTCCTTGGGTATTGGCAGGCACCGACGTTGTCGACGCAGAAGCTGAGGAGGAGGTCGGCGTAGTGGGAGGTGTGGTAGTCGGGTTCGACGACTGAGTGGTGGCGTTCTTGCACTCAACGCCCGGAGGAGTGGGCAGAATGGTCACCTGCGAAGAATAGTTGGGCACACCAGCATCGTCGTTGATTTGCAGCGTGACCACTTTGCCCGCAGGAAGGTCGACATTCCAAGTGTAACCGTCCTGTGTCGCATCCATCTGAGGGAACGTCTTGATGGGTGCTTCTGTGGGTCCGTAGATCGTCATGGCTACTCAGTAAGGAGATCACCTGCGTGACTGGGATGAACATCACTCACGGGAGATGTCCTTCCCCTCAATGGCAGAAAGGTATACCTTGCCCTGAGCGTTGGACCAGCTGATGCTGTTCGAAGCAGAAAAGAGAATTTTACATTGGGTCTACTGTTTTACTGTGACTTTGGCGATATAACTTACTGAGACGGCAAGCAGGCAGTAAATTGTGGCGGGGTGCTGACAGTAAGGCCCTCGACGACTGCTGCGAAGAGGATGGCAATAGCCAGAGAAGCAAGATGTGCACTGACGTTTCTGTTTCGCTTCGCCATGTCTGAAGACGACTCTCTTGAGGATACGCAGAACAACTGGGTGAAAGAGACGAACATTCAAAGGAAAAAGGCCAGGCAGGAACACCGGCCTGATCTTTATCTTGTGCCAGCGTGACAAAGCAATGCTCATTCAAGCTCCTCTCATCTCATTGAGGAGCGGGCCAACGACCACCGCGGCGCCGCTCCCCTCGCTTTTTTCTCCCCTTTTTTTTACTCACTTTCGCACTTCCTTTTTTTCCCTTTATTCTTTGTCACCTTCATTTCTCTCCTGGATGATGCAATCTCACACGCGAGGAGCCGCGACACTCAATGTTGACAACGGAGGATGACCGACCCCCTTGAACCTTCTCTTTTCTTTGAAGCGATGAGATGAAAGATGACATCATCCGCCACCGCGCCTTTTCTAAGTCGAAGGATGGAGGAGCGGACGTCTTGACTCCGATAAGACTCAGTTTTTGACGCCTTTTTCAAAACCGCATTTGTATCGGCAACAAACAAGAAAAGAGAAACAGAGAAGTCCAACAGAGTCCCATTGCGTATGACACATAGATATACAGTTTGTTATGAGCGAGAAAGGCATCGTTGAAAGAGAAAGGAGGAGTCCTTCGCACTTCGCAAAAAGTGGTGGCGTGATTCGCGTCGGAGGCGGTAGCTTGCTACCGTGCAGGTATGCTGGTGGCAACAGCCACAGAGGTCGGTCGATTGTGTGTCGTCTCGTCTTCTTCCCCCCTCTCCCTATACACGGGCGAGCCCGTCCAGCTCCAGCGGCTCCTTTCCAGCTCATATCCGTCGACACCCCTCAACACCACTTCGTTCTCTTTGCCCGGGCCTTCGCGTATATCCTCTTGATACTCCGGTAGGGTATTGCCCTTGCGGCGCCACTCGCCCTCTCTCGTTCGCATGGCCGCAAGCTCACGCTGATGTGCAGCCATGGCTCTCGCTTCGTTCCGGGAAAGCCTCCGACCCGTCGAGCTGTCCATGGGACGTCCAAAGTCGTCAGCAGGCAGGTCCTCATACTGACCGCGTTTGGCGCGACGTCGGTTCAGCTGCCGTGCTGAACGATGCACCGTTTCGTACGCCAGCAGGATGATCAGACCAATCGGCATCGTTTCTGCTCCAATTTCCCTGAACGGAAATGATCGAGTTGATGAAGGAGGAAGGAGCACACCCCTTTTGGCCAAAAAATGGAAGTGGACCGGGCCTTATGCAAGGCCAAAATGCTCTCGCGTCTTGGCGTGCGCCACAAGCGTCCGTCATCCGATTGCCGAAAACATGAGTTAAGTTGCCTCCAGGACTTAGCCTTCATCATGTCGACGGGCTCCGTTCTCTCTAGAGCTATCTACAACGTTTGGAAGAGATTTACGTACTAAGGCCGCAATGCTGAGAGAGATTGAGGAAGCAGGAATGGGAGGCGTGGTAAGTGAATCGACCACAAGGCCATACGAACGCCTGCAGGCCGTCATCATCTAAATTGAAATGACTACGTCCCAATCTTAAGGCTTGAGAGCTAGGACGGGCCTGCCACTGAGCTGTCGGCCGGTTCGCTCTTGCGCCAGCTATGACAACTTGACAGCAACGTGGAACAGCGAGAAAAGCATGTTGCATTGCGTCGGCATTCACCAGGTGATGGAAAGAAAGACGCCATGTCGGATTCTACGAAGAGCGCGCCCTCGTGATCACAAATTGCAGCGCGCTCCACGTGGTTTCTTGGTCCAGCGAAGCTCGCTCCTTCTTTCGCCTTTCTCCGCGAAGGCTTAGGCCCAGCTGTCATCGATCGATCGCTCAACTAAGGGCCCCCCGTTCTTCGATCCTGCTGACCGCCGCGCTCACTGTCAGGTCACTCAAGACAAGCGACTTTGGTGCGTAGGCAGCCACAGCTGGCCGAAATCGCGTCGCATTTGCCTCCTGGGCACGGCGGATATTAGCTGCCAACGCGATAGTAACGACAATCGACGGACAGGAGTGAAGGAACTTTCGAGACGAGACGGGGCCCCATTATGCAGTCCAGCTTTGTCTCGGGTGGCGGAGGCTATTATGGCGGCAACGGAGGCGGTCCGAATGGCCTACAGCAAGAATTTGGCAACGGACAAGGAAATGGGCAAGGGAATGGGCACAACGGACAGGCTGGCCAGGGCAATGGGTCGCCAGTCCAGCCTGAGTATTCTCTCGCCGGCGTTCTTCACTACCTCCAGAGCGAGTGGCGCAGGTATGAGAGGGACAGGAATGAGTGGGAGATCGAGCGAGCGGAAATGAGGGTGAGCAGATCCGCTAGCCTCTGGTCGAAAAAGATGACTGAGTTTCCAATCTCAGGCTCGTATTGCGCTTCTCGAGGGCGAGCGAAGAGGCGTGGACAATCTCAAGACAGACTTGATGCGTAGAGTCAAGATGCTCGAGTACGCCCTACGACAAGAAAGGTATGTATCTGTTCGAAAGTCACCGGACGTGATTGAGGTTCTCACTCTATCTCGGCCCCCTTTTGTTTTAGATCCAAGTATCTGGCATCAAGTAGCACGATGCATGCAGGGGCATCAAGCCAGGCGGGAGGAGTCCATGCCAGCAAGATTGCATCACTTCAAGGTGTCGAGAAAGCGACTTCGAGCAGCGGGAGGAGCTCGCCGTCGAACCGCGGTGATTCCGAAGCCAGTGCGGGCCAAGAGCCCGCCCATCAGCGATCGTTCACCTCGGGCACTATGAATTTCTCAACGTTGGGGGGCGTCAATGGCAATACTTTCGGCAGCAACAGTACTCTCTCCATAGGAGCAGGGGCACCCACCCCGGGCTTGTCGCGACAAGCTTCAAGCGCAAAAGATCCCAAGGCCAGAGCACGGAGTCGTGACTACCTCAAGCAGTGAGTTTCTTAAATTTGGTTCTCATGAAGGACTGGCCGGCTGACTATCCCGATGCAGATGCCTGCAAGAGATCTCGTACTTGACAAGCACCAGCGTCTTGAACCCTCTGCCGGAGAGAGCCTTTGGAGCTTCCGGGCCCCAGAGACCACGGAAGACGCTCTCGGACAATGTTCCCTTCTCCTTTCAGGTCGGCGCAGACGGCAACAGCAGACGTCAAAAGAGTCAAGACTCAAAGTCCACTCGGGGCGGCCTGAGCGCCAGCAGACCCACGCACCTGGCCAATGAGACGCTCGTTGAAGAAACGAGTGAGGAAGAGGCGGAGCCCCTCGACGGATCAAAGTCGGATCCCCAGTCAGGCGATGACCCTCTCGGCGCTTCTTCAGCCGCTGCGATCGCAACAAACGTAATGCCACGCGCAGCGGATGTGAGCGGGCAAGCGGAAGGCGAGCTATATTCAGAGGGTGAATCGTCGGCCTCCTCTTCTAGCGACGAGTCGTCTGCATCGACGACAAGTGGACAGACCTCACTAGAGGGAGGTAATGACGTACCGGCGGAGCACCTTGACGGAGACGACGAACAAGACCGGCTCACCGCGGTCTTTCGCCCAGGCGAAGAGGGCCGACCAGACGCAGAAGAGTGGGCAAGACTGAAGGAGGCAGGCTTGCGAGAGAGGGAAAAACGAGAGCGAGAAAAGAAAGACGCCCACGGACAGCTCGCAGCTACATCGGAAAATGTCAATGCCCTAATTGAGGCAAGCGCGGGGCGTGAGGTCAGGAAACCCAAGTCCGACGAAGACGAGCTGGCCAGCTTGACCATGACTTCGGTCGAACAGGACGATGAGAGCGTCAAGCTCGCTAGCGAAAGCGCTAATGAAGGCCAGATGTGGAAATCGAAGCGCGTTCTACGTAGCCATCTCGACGCCGTGCGAGCTGTCGCCTTTGACACGGCCGGTCTGTGCCTCTACTCCGCCTCCGATGACAACACTATCAAATTCTGGAGGCTTGATCCCTCAACATTTTCGCAACCTCAGCCAAAAACGACGGACAATGAGCCGATCATGACGCTGCGAGGTCATTCGGCCGCGGTGACGTGCCTAGCTGTTTCGCCAAGTCGACGGAGGCTATACAGCGGTAGTGTGGACTCCAGCGTCATTGTCTGGAAACTTCCTGAACAAAACACGGAGGCGTATCCTCCCGTAGACAGGGACATGGAGATGGCCACGCTGGTCGGTCACACCCAAGCGGTCTGGGACATGACCCTGCTACCTCTGCGATCCGATGATGAGGCTCTCTTGGCCACTGCAAGCGCCGATGGCACTGTCAAGATCTGGGGTGCACCGTCCGAGGGGGGTGCCGAAGCCCCGATGCAGCTTCTCCTCTCTCTCGATTACTTCGGGACGGATCCGAGTGCCGATAGAGAAAGGGAGCGGGAGTCTCTCCTGGAAAAGTATGACGGTCGACTTCCAGTCCCAACTTCGGTGGCGCCGTGCCACTCGAACCTGCGCCTCTGCGCCGTGAGCTTCACAAACGCAATAGTCAAGCTCTTCGATGTCGACACGGGCAAAGAGGTCATGGAGATCAAGTCCAACGAGACCTACGACGGCACTGTGGGCACTCAGATTAACAAGCTGATCACGCATCCTACATTGCCGCTCCTCATTACGGCCCACGAGGACCATCACATCCGCATGTTCGATCTCGACACAGGAGCGTGCACGCTCTCGATGGTGGCGCACCTCGACAGCGTCACGTGCTTAGACATCGACCCTTCAGGCCTGACACTCGTCTCGGGCGGCCATGATTGCTCAGTCCGATTCTGGGACATCGTCAACTCGACGGCACCGGAGAAGAAGAGCGGTGGCAGACGCGGAGGCGGAGAGGAGGAAGATAGCCAAGACAAGGCCGCCATTTGCGTTCAGGAAATCACGGCGCATCGGCGTAAAGCCCATGAGGGCGTGTTGGCCGTCAAATACCACCCAACGGCGCCGTTCTTTGCAAGCTCCGGTGCCGACGGCGTCGTGAGGATTTACGGATAGAAATTTCTTTTTCTCTTTTCTCATTTTTGGAGAGCATCCCTTTATCATCGTTCAGTTCTCCTTCTCCCTGCTTCTCGAGCCTTTTCAAACAAGTCATTCCCGGTCTCTCTCTCAAAGATTGAATCACAAGGTCGATCAAGATTTGTGTTATGTGTGAATTATCGTACAGTGTGTGGCAATTGGAGAGCAGGTCTTTAAAATCACTTTTTCTTGAACTTTTCCTCTTCAACCTCGTTCCGGTTTCCTCCTAGGTCCGTTCGGAGCGCCATGAGCATGGTGCCGACGGCTCCACTAGCGCCCGCGGCACCCCTCAGCGCGGCGATCGGCACGGCCCTTAGCACAGGCTTGGGCCCGCCGCCCCCTCGCCGCTGCAAGTCGTCGACAGCTGCCGAAGACTCGCCTCCGCCACCACGCTCGTAGACCTCCATTGGAACGGCCAGGATCGTCTGAGCGCCCTCCTTGAAGCCTTGCAAGAGGTCTGTCTGGGCTTGCGTAAGGCCCTCGCGTATATTACTCGGGGGATTGGCATAGCGACTAAATTGCCGTTTTTCTTCCTCTTCCTCTTCTTCCGAGGGAGAGGCGCTTTCTTCTTCATCTCCAATCGACCGCGCATCTCGCCGCTTCTTCTGTGATGCGGCCAAGGAGCCTCTTTCGGCCTCTCTCCTGAACTGGCGGTATTCCCTCGCTCCACTTCCGCCCAGCACATCTTCGGCCCTCTCCAGTAGAACCTGCGTTCCTGTCGCCAGCCTCGCCCCGAGCTTGACGGCCTCCAATGTCGTATTCTTCACGAAGCTCTTCGTACCCTTTTGCAACCCTCTCAGCACGTTTCCGTCGCGCTGGTAGTGCTCGAGCGGCGTCAAGATGAGGTCCGCCATGCCTTGTCCGACGTTGATGATGCTCTTTACTTGAGCGATGCCTGACAAGACATCGACGAGCTGGTTCGCCTTGACGTCCGGAGTCCAGACGTCATTCATCGTATCGAACAGCCTTGGCCAGCCAGTGATGCCCCGCAGCGTCAGGTGTCGCAGCGTCATCTCGGCTCCCTCAAAGTTGAAAAAGTTCATCATCTCGATGATCTCGCCACGCTTCAGCCTGTTGAGATCCGGTCTTTTCCCCTTATAGTCCAAGCTCAAGTGGACGGGCCAGACCTCCGCGTGCTGGATGAAGGACCCTGTCGTTGTTCCTCCTGCCGCCTCGTGATCCTTCGTCGAGGTCGACGCTGCACGGTGAACTGAGTCGGGCGGTTTGTACGCAAAGAATTTTTTCAGAAAATCGAGGGCATCCTGATCGACATGCAATTTGAGTGGCGCCACTTTCGCGTAGAACCTCGCTTCGGTGCTCGTTGAACCCTGTTGAGGTCGCCGGGAGTTGACGGGGTCCTGGTCGTAGTTCGGTCGCACATTGACAATCTTAAAGCGGACCATCTCCTTCGTCCACGCCTCGGGTGGGATCCTCGAGTCAGCTTCCTGTGCCCTTCTCGTCAGGAAAGTGTTCCAAGTCGATGTGCTCATTTGATCGAGGATCTTGAAGGTCTTGGCTGTAAAGACGACCTTGGACTCAATCGCATGAGACTTCGAAAATTTGTCGAATTCCGCTGCCACGCCCTTGAAGACCATGTCGATTTTGGATCTCGGTGATCTCATGAGCTTGTTGCGTCTGCGCTTCGGGTGCGCCGATGTCGACGACGATCTTCCCCGTCTTGTACTTTGGCCGGCTGGAAGAGGCTGCCAAGTGCTATCGGAGGAGGCTGTTTCTGATTGGTCACCAAGCTCTTCCTCGATGGCCTGCATCAAAAGTGTAGGGTCGCCCGCCTCCCCCGCCTCTGTCGCCTCGACCGGTGGCGAAATGTGAAGTGAGGCAAGCAGATCGGCCGCGACCTCTTCAACGCTGTCGTCTGGCGTCTGACCTTGATGGAGCATCTGCTCGATTTTCTGTAATCTCCTCTTGAGCCTGCGAGCTTCTTCCTCGAATGCGCTTCGTGTTGACGGGCAATCAAAGCCCTCGTAGAGGCGCAGCGCCAATTCGCATCCGCTCAGTCTAAGACGGAATGAGCTAGTCGGCTCGTTACTCCTCTTTTCTCGCTGGGCCAGTTGCTCTGGATCAGTGAAATAACCTGGTCGTGGTCGAATTCCGTCGGAATGAAGCAGGCGGACCGTAACAATGTCGTCTTGAAACAGGACTTTGCCCGTCGAGGGACCTACATTCGACCGTTGCGTGCGTGCCAAAGACTCGATAGACTCACTACCTAGTACGTCCCCGTCATAAAGCGTCTGCGCTTCGACGTCGGGCGAGCTCGCACGACCGTCGTCGGTCGTGGCAAGGTAGTCTAGGTTGCGGGGAATATCATCTTCGATCAAGTCCGGCGTTGAAGAGAAAGCGTGGGCCTGAGCAAAGGCACCCTCGTCAACGCTGGCAAGAAGATCCTCTCCGATGGCGGTGGTGGCGGAGCTGCTGCTGTTATTGCTGCTCTGACGCGTTCTCTGAGAGAAGACCGAGTCAGAATGGCTTTCCGAGGGGCTTACCGGCGCCGCTGGGGGAGTCAAGCCGTCGACAAGACATGCGACGATGCCGAGCGTATCGGCGCAGGCCTTGACTTCGCCAAGCAGCCTCGTCACGTCGACATCCACTTCAGGCCGTGTCAATTTACTCAAGACGACAGCACCTTTGGTCTCGCTTAGCGCCACCAAGGATACCAATCCACGTTTCTGCGGAGATGGCTCAGCTTCGATATTCTAGCATTGAAGCCCGTCCAACTCACCCCCCAGTGTTCCAGCGTAGACCTTGCCCTCTGCCGTTTGTCCGTAGGCAGATCCTGCATCTTTTCCGCGACGAGGACGAATGCATCGGACAGAGATGCGCGAATGCTCGTCTTTGGGTAGTCGGGCATCAGGTTCGTCTTGAGCTTGAAATCGCCTACGATGAGCACGCCTCGCGCGTCGGTAGTAAGAGGTCCAACGAGGACGGAGGTATCTTTAATTCGCACGGTGATGCGAGTCACCTCGTTCGGTTCGACATGTTCAAAGGCCTGCATCATCGATGGCAGATCAGTCTCCATCTTGATCTCTTCCTCTCACACTGAGCAACTCACTCCTTCCGGAGACCGTCCGAAGATCAGGAGATCCTCCAGCAGAGACGGATCTCCATCGAAACTCAGCGTCAATCCTTCGATCAAGGCATCCACTTTGGACTCGCGGTAGCTCGTTTCGACCTCCGTTGTCGAGATGAAGGCAATCTTGATGACTGGTTGCACGCCTCGGGACAATGATTGCTCCAATGTCCGAGAGACAAGGTTCTGGTTGCCTATCTCTTTGCTGCGATCGTCCAGCGTAGCCGTGAGAATGGAAAAATCGAGCAGTGTAGACCCCTGTGCACGTGGATCAGCACATCACATCGCTGTGGAACTCTTCGGGTACGAACTCACCACGCCGTGTTTGGTGTCAATGAAGAGCTTCAACTCTGACAGCGAGAGTCCTAGCTCGCGAGGGCGGCCTCTGCCCTTCGGCTGACGTCGAGGCACCAGAAGCGACACAAATACTGTCGAGTTTTTCTTCGATCAGCAACTCCTCCATAGCGACAAGAGTGTCTCATACTCACCCTCGCTGACGCTCAAGGACAGGGCCGGTACCGAAGCCGATTGCCTCGCGACCTCCGTCGATGCAGAACTGCCCGAAAGCGCCGAGATGCTGTGTTTGGAACCGAAGAAACGACTGCCGAGAATTTTGAGTGCCTCTGTCCCATTGTCCGTCTCGCTGTTGTCGTCGACGCCAAGACCAGAGGACCAAAGTGTAAGGTCGTCCGCCATGAGCTCGAGCCCATCAAGGAGTTCTTTCGATAAGCTGACACGAAGCGCCGGGAGTTGACAATCAAGGAGTCCCCGTTCGGGACCGGCGACTGCGTCATGTCCTCCGCTCTTCGCTCTGGCTGGCTGGCTTGAATAGACGAGCCTGGGAGGCAGCGGCCTCTCCAACTCAACATTCGCCGCCGCTCCAGGTGAGCCTTCTTCGGAAGTCAGCATACCAAGAATGGCAAAAACCGAGGCGCGGGTTTCAGAGACGCCCTTGTAGAAGAGCGTGATCTGATCGATCGAGGTGGTGACACCGTCCTCTTGCCCTCTGCTGCCTCTGGACAGAGACGGAAGGTCGCGATGAATCGTTGGCTGGTCTGTGCTGGCATCGGGTGGCCGCATGCCGTGTATGCTGAGGCTGACCATTTGAGCGTCAAGGATGACGATGCCCGTTCGGACCTCGAGGCCCAAGAGCATTTTGCGAAGGGCCTTGTTGCGCTTGAGACCAACGCGCGGAACGCTCAACGGAACTCGCAACTCAATTCTGACGAGGTCGCAAGTCACCGAAAGGGAAGAGTGTTTCCCAGATCGAATAGCGACGTCATCGAAATGCTCCAAAGACAGGCTTCCTGAGAATTGTTGAAGAGGAGAAGAGGGCGCATGAAGCGTCTCGAATGATTGGGCCAAGTCTGACTGGGCACCACTCATGTTGTCTGTCCTAGCATTCTTGCTCAGCGAACGCAACAACGGCAGCACACGATCGACCGTAGAGACGTCTAGAAAGACGTGCAGCGGGGCGAGCTTGACGCAGCTTTCTTGTGACGAATCTAAGCTCGTCTGGACGTCGATGCAGGCGTTTGATTCTTCGCCTTCGAACATCGTCGTGCTCGTCGAAGCCGAACGACGGTGTTTTGGCCTCATCTTCCACCCGCGCTCTCCATAGCCAGCCTTCCAGTAAGGACCTGATCGTGACCCTTCGCCCGCGACGCTGGCCCCTCGCCAGTCAAAGGCATCGATAGTCAGAGCGTCGAGCTGCCCACGCCTCTGTCCTTCGGGCCGGCTCCGGCCTGCTGTCTTCATTGGAGCCACTGAGTCGTACTGATTCATGAGCTGGAAATCGAAAACGGCGAGCGGAAGAATAGGAGCCAGGTCGGTTCCCTCGATAAGGGCAGGTGACAGGTGCTCGAACAAGCCGAGGTCCACCACCTTGAGCGCTGCATGGCTTTCTGTTTCGCCCTTGCTTATCCGCCAGCTTCCAGTAACACTGTCCATTCGAAGTCGCAGATGGCCAATGGAGGGATGGACGCGAGCGGGTCGTAGCCAGAAGTTGGTCATCGACTGATCGAAAAGTGCTAGCCTTTGAGGGTCCAAAGTGGACGAAGGCTCATAGGCGCACAGCAAATGAGCTCCTCGAACCATGACACTGCAGCTCAGCGTGAATGGCCAGCGCTGCTGAGGTGGTGCCGGCCCCAACGGAGATTCTTCATTGTCTTCGAGCGTCTTCATCGCCTTGAGCACGTCCTCAGAGAAGCTGAAGAGGGCTCCCGCCGTCGAGGGCTCGAGGAATCCGACGATGTTCCCCACTACTGCATCGAAGCGCATTTCGATCTGCCCAGACCCGTCGCTCTCTGAGGATAGATCGTTGGTCGACTCTGTCATCTTGAGTACGATTGGGTCTGAAGCAATCGAGAATACTTTATGTCGTTTCGGACTCGAGTCCGCTTTCGGTCGAGCAGGTGGATTCTCGTCGAAGGCGCTTGCATACATGCTGGCAGATGTCGATCCTTCGGAAAGAGTCGATTGTTGCATCTGACTTTGGCGCAGATCGGGAATCGCCTGGCTCATCTCCATGTATTCGTCCGCTTCTCCATCCTCGTCGTCGTAGTCTTCGTCGGACAAGGGCGCATCTGTACCTTCTCCGTCGTGCTCGCCGAAAGGAAGTGGAGGAGAAAGTGTGACCCAGACACCGACGTCGTTGATGGTGATTGTCCTTGTTACGCTAGCCCGTTGCGGTGGTCCGTCCATCTCTGCGTTTGGCCCCGGGATGTCTGGCCTGGACGTGACTTCGATCTGACCCAGCTTCATTTCCAGGTCTAACGGAGTAACCGAGGTAGATTCACGACGCAGTATTATGGATGTGTTGTTCACTGAGATCCTCAGACGAGCCAAAAGGCGATCTACGAGCGACTCGACCAATGTACGAGGCTGCACAGCGGGTGCCGGGTCCGAGGACGACGTCGAACCGGCCGCCATGCTGGCCCGACTCTCCTCGAGGATGGACTCTTCGAGCTTTTGCTCCAGCTGCCTACCTTCGGGGTCATCGTAGAGGACCTCCTCGGCGGCATTGACCAAAGACATATGGGCGACTGGGCTTTCGGAAGATGACCTCTTGGCTGTCTCGTTGAGGCACAGCGTTAGCTGAGGATCTGCAATCGCGACGACGACCTCGCCACCACTCCAAGACCCTGTCCATGGAATCTGGATCGAGATAGAGCCCACAGAGCCAGACTCGACGCGAATCAGCGGCGGGAGCTTGGCATTGAAGGACTGTGACAAGTTCGGCATAGTGCATTCACCCCTTTTGTCAGCAGTGCGCCAACCGAGAGGCAAGAGGAGCGACACTGAAAAACTCACATCCGGATTCAGGTCAACATTTCGAATCTCAACCCTCCCATTGCCAATGGCCGCCTCAATCTGGTCGAGATTGAGCTCGCCACCCTTCACGAGGTGGCCCAGCAGCCGACGGAGGAGGTACGAGATAACGCGGCGCTGCAAGCCCGACGACAGCGCACCGGCCGCGAGCGAAGGAAGCTGGTGCCATCCGCTCAGATTCGACTGGAGGTAGGAGAACATGGTGTAGGTGGTGGCGCAACTGGCGGGGTACGGATGGGTCGAGTGCTCGCTCTCACTGCCTCCGCCAGTGCAGGTGCGTCATGCCCAATCCTGGCGCTTGCTTCCGCCAAATGTGCTTCCGTCGCTAGTCTGAGCCGCTCCAACTCCTGTCCACGATAAAAACCAAGTGAAGGTTCTCGCTGACCAGCCACAATCTTGTGAATGTTCTTCCTTGGCTCTTGTGACGGGTCCCAATCAGGTGGAGCTTTGAGAGGGAGGGACAGGAGTCTTGCTGAGCGGTGGCCAATTATCGCAAATCAACATTGCGTCGGGTGGCTCGAGCGCGTACGACTTGAAGCTTGAGACCAAAAAAAAAAAAAAAAAAAAAAAAAAAAAAAAGGGACAGATCCTCAATTTCAGCGCAAGCCGACAGTGAACAGGTTGTATAGAGATTGACGTTGTACAGATAAGATGTCACCATTAGTTGATGGATGTAATCATGAGTCGACCTGAGAGGCCCAATAAAGAATAAAGAGATTCATGGCCGTCTTGAATTCGCCCAACGTTATGATCTCAAGCCTCTTCCTTAGCTTGAGGTAGCGCCTTCTCTCAATGACGCCCAGGAGCGATAAGGTCCGGTCCGTTGCCTCGTCGCCCTTCGTAGAGACTGCCACCTCGCCTCCCGATGCGGCCTGATCCTCTTGCGCCATCGACTCCAAGTCCGTCCGTCTGACCTTTCGCACCAGGTCCTGTTCCCTCCGCTCCTCTTCCCTCCTTCTTTGGCAGTGCCGGCTCATCGTCTTGTACAGGTGGTCTGACAGCCACGAAATACACTTTTCTGTGTCCACGTACCACAGGAAAACAGTCCTCGCTGCGGCTCGATCGGCCGAACGCGGCACTTCCTGTAGAGCCAGGAGCGACGAGGCAAAGAGACGAGCGCAAATATCTCGGGTCTCAGACATGGTGATGAGGCACAGTTTCGAGATCTGCAATGGCTCTCTTCATTAGCAGAGTGCTTTGAGGAGGAGGGTCTGAATGACTTTGGAACAGCCACTCACATGCTTCTCCTCTAGCTTTCCCTTTTCTTGAAGCAACGTCATAACCCTGGCGCCCGCTGTGCCGAATTGACTTTCGACGACGTCGCGCAGTAGCTGGCCTCTGAGCACCTTTGCGATATTGTCAAACTGCACCACTGAGTTGCTCGGCGTCCTGCTGCCCCCTGCTCCCACCGTGTGGCCACTTCCAAGCTCAGAGCTCGAAGAGGGCCCAACGAATCGACTACCCCGGCTTGCAATGTTGTCTGAGCAGCTGAGCAAGGCAATCACCTCGGCCAAAAGGCCACTTTGACTCGTATCGGACCCGAACAGGTCCTTGATGCTGTTTCGCTCAAAGACCTTCTTCAAAGGCATGTGCGGCGAGATGTGTTCCCGCAACGAGTGGACGTTGATGATGCGCGACTCTGGGGTCCGGATGCTGGGCGCGTGGGAAGCGTCGAGGCGAGCGCTCATGTCGATCATCGAAGACAAGACCTCGGCTGTGGTGGTGTTGTAGCGGGCCTCTGTAGCCTTAAAGATGGCTTGATCTCGAATGTGAACGTCGAATCGATCAAGATTGACCCGCAAAAACACCTGCGGCTGTGGACAGATTGATAGGGATACGTGTCAGTACATGCAGATGGGCAAGATGCTTCGACGAGACATACGCACATCAATGTACAACTCCTGCGAATCATCGCCAGCGGCATGGGCGCCAGCTTCGTCGTCTTCGCTGTCGCTCAATGCCAATTTGCTGCTTTTCTTGGATCGACTCGATGTTTTCTTACGGCTGCCTTCATCCTTTCGCCTTTTCTTCGTCGCCTTGCCATTGCCATTGGCTGTGACCGCTTTCCTCTTTTGTCTCTTGAGCACCCCTTTTCTTTCCGTGGCGTTGCCGCTCATCTCTGCCAGCTCTGCATTCGTGTATTTCCACACGCCCTCTTCATCCTCCCTGACTCTCTCCCTTGCACGAGCGTGCATCTCGATGCGCTCCTTTGGCTTGAGCATGCGCCGTACCCTTGTCATCTCTTCCTGTTCATACGCTAGTCTCCGATCGTTGGCCGAGGTATGAGAGATGGGCGACGAAGGCTGGAGGTAGTAGTGAAGCAAAAGGTCGCGCATAATCTCCTCGTACCGCTCAGCTCCTGTGTACAACAGATCCGTCAGCAAAGAAGAGGACTCAAGAGGCCGGGGCGGTGTCACACTGTGCTCACGGCTGTGGTCGTATTGCTCGTCTCCCTCTTGCCCGCATAGCCGCCGAATCACCTCTTTCGCCTGCAGCTTTCCGTTCTTGTAGACGCACATCACCACATCACTGGCCTGAGGACAACGGAGAATGGTGCGTGAGTGGAGCAGACACTGAGCGGCATCGATGATGATGATGATAAAACTCACATCAGAGCCCCATTCCACATCGATGATGGCAGCATAGGCACCAAATCGCGTCCGAGCCAGCACCTCGTCGACATCGATCTGAAAGTACTCCACCCCTTGTACGCCCTCGGGCGAGTCAGGCCGGATGAGGGAACCGTCAGCGTCGGAGGACACGTGCCAGCAGACGTGGTGTTGGATCAGCGTCAGAAGCGCCGCGCGGATCAGCTGCTGATTCTTGATCGGATTTGCGGGGAGCGACGAGGACGAGGACGACGAGGGTGCTGTCGTCGAGGCTCCCAGGCCCGGGTCTGTGGAGAGAGAAGGGGTCTCGCCCTGGCTTGGGTCTAGCCCTGAAGCTGGGTGCGAGGTTGGCATGGAGAGGAAGCGGGTAATGTCTCTGAATGTCAGCCTGCCCCGCTGCAGGATCGTCGTTCCCACCCGCTGTACGATGCAGCACATTTGCGGTCCGGTCAGCTCATCGATCCGCAGACTAGCTAGTCACTTTCCCAACTCACGGCCACGACCGGTCCAAAATTGTCGAGGAGGATGTCATTGCAGAGCTTGATCTTGTCTCTGCTGTGTACGCCCCTGGGGTCGCTGACTGAGCCGCCCTTTGCCTTGGAGCTGCTCGCCATTGTCTCCTCCGTCCGTGCATCCAAATGGCCTTCAGCCTCCTCCTCTCCTCCGCGCTCTGCTCAATCGACTGTTGAAGATGAAGACGCCTTTGATTGAAACGTCGGCGTGCACCAACTCTTCCTCTTCTCTCTCTTTTTTTCTTCTTTTTATTTTTTATTTTTTACTTATTTTTTGTTGGAGCGTGTATGTCGGTGTGCGTTTCTTCGGCCGGGAAAATCAAGGGATGTCAAGAGACGCGCCGTGAACTGACTCGGACCCAGAATGACACAGACATTGGGCCACAACGGCGGCGACCACCTAGCAACAGACAGAAGCACACCTGTGTCACACGACAAAGCTGGTTGCACGTAGCGCACGGTCATCTTGCACAAGGGATCATGATCCAGAGATTAGCCGCCGCAGTCAGCAACAACCACCCATTCGTCACCGCACCTCTTCGTACTCGGGCCACCGTAGTCCTGGCTTAGATCGCGTCCGGAGCCTTGCATGTTTGGCGAGAAGATCTCCGAGAGTCCTCGGTGAGTGTGGCCTGGGGTATGGTCTGATTCTGTCCTCTGCTTTCGTGGTGCTCAAGTCTTGTGCGGTGTTGCATGGAAGGGTGCCTTCGCCATGGGGAGCCCCGCGTAGGTCGAGCGCGACCCCCCCTCGACAGGCGGCGCCCCGTGCCTCGTCTTCCCAGGCACGCAAGTCATCTTCTTCCTCTTCGCCCAGCTCTGTGTCTCCCCTACGAGCCTCTCCTCAGCTGCCGTCGGGCTCCTCACCGCTCGCTGGTCCGGCTCTGTGCGCTATCCCAAGCGTGGATCCCACATCCGAAGATTCGTCCGCCGGCCTTTTCTCCCTCGATCCGACCACGTCTTCGTCCAGGGAGGACCTCACCGCGGCTCACGCTGCTCCTGCCCCTGCCATTGCTATCTCACCTTCGAATGGCGCTGGAGGGTCGCTCTCGGCCCGCTTGCGCCCAGAGCCCGACGAGATGGGCAACCTCGAGTACAAGCTGCGCATGCTGCCCACCACCAGGCACCGGTACGACCGGCTGCTGACGCAGCTCAAATGGCGTCTGCTCCAGGGCGGCGGCGTGTGCACATACGAGATTGGCGTTCTCGACGATGGCCGTTGTGTGGGCATCTGCGAGGCAGAGATGAGGACCAGCCTTGAGGTGCTTGGGGCCCTTGCCGCCGAGCTCGACGCCAGCGTCAGGATCCGGCGCGCCTTTGCCGTTGAGGCTGTCGACCAGGATGTTGAATATCCGGCCGCCTCCGCTGCGGCCAGTGGCAGGGACAACGAGGAGGCCACAAGTCTGCGGGGCCTCTCGAACGAGCAAGTCAGGCAAAGGCTCCTGCGCTATGCGGCGGACATGGATCTGTCGGGTTGCGCCGGCGCGTGCCTCATAGGAAGGGAGATGGGAGCTGGTCAAGCCACAACAGAGGGCAGAGGTCCTTTCAGCGTCTTCATCGCTTCTCGCCCAGTCACAGATGAAGGCCCTTCTTCTCGGACATTCAATGTCGACGTGGACATTGAGTTGGAGCAGGACGATGATGCCGTCTCGGGGCAAGCAGCGCCTTCCGTGGATGTGAACCTGTCCAATGAAGGCTCTTCGCGCTTCGACGGTCAGAATGAGGAAATGTTTGGAGAAGTGTTCCATCCCGACGATGATGGCTTGGCCGACTTTACCTTTTCGCTCAGCCTCGATGAACGCGAGACTCGCGACGGTGTGGGCTACCGACGGCCGCCAAAGAAAAAGCAGCAGCAACAGCAGCAGCAGCAAAAGGATCGCGACATGGAGGCAAGAATGCTGGGGCTCGCTGAGCACGATCAGGGTGGCTCCTCACCGTCTGGAGGGGCAGAGGCGCCTGTGGTCGACCAACATGTGCCTATCCGACCAACGGCAGTCCTCAAGCAGTCAGTCAGCGACACAGCAGTCGAGCAAGGCGCCCTGCAGCCCTCGGACGATGCGGTCGACGCTGCGCAGCATGCGGCCGCTTCCAAGCAAGCCGAGGCTAGGAAGGGATGCCAGCGAGTCATTGTAGAGGCCGTCGTGCTCCGAACAGTGGCCGAAGACGCATACATCGACTATGCCTCTCTGTGACTTCTGTCTTTGTCGACGTCTGTCAGACGACTCACTCCTTTATGTATCTTGCATCACAGTCCGCTCTCGCTCTTCATAGTCAAGACAATCGCATGCACGTAGCTAATCAAGAATATCATGCCTTCATCAATTCTGTCTTCTTGTCTGTTCATGTGGTCTCTCTTCCCTTCCCTCTCCTCTTTGTCTGATTGTGTGGTCCCCCATTCCCTCTCCTTCCTGCTTGCCTGAACGGCGATGAGCCACGTTTGTTGCTGCTAGGCTGCCAAAGATGGCTCGACCCTCTTTCGAAACCACAAATTGCCCTGCCTGCTGTCTCACTTACTAAGCGCATTCCAGCCACCTGTGGGGTAGATTGCACTCTCGCAACCATGCCATGTGCAACGGAATGCCCATTCGAAGCCCTAGATGCTCAATTATACAACCTTGCCTGCGAGCGCCAGGATCTTGCTCCAGCCCTTCTGCCTGAGCTCGGCGCCGACGACGCCCGTGATTCTCGTGCCGAGGGGCTCCTTGCGCTGGTTCAGGAGCACGCACGCATTGTCGTCGAAGCGCACCGTGCGCCCATCTCCGAGCTTTCGTGTCGTCTCCTTGGACGTGCGCACGACGACGGCGCGCCGCACGTCGCCCTTGCGCACCTTTGGTGCCGCAGACGCCGGGCCTGCCTGGGTACCGTGCGCGATCGGCCGTGCCTTTTTCACCACGACGACAATTTCGTCACCTGTTGGCACAGAGGAGTGAATTCTCGGTGAGCAGGAATGCATCTGCGGAGGCCAAAGCTCATACGCACCTATTCTCGCTAACCCTCGCGACGAGGGGGTCCGGAGCACATTGACGCACTCTGCGACGAGTGCGCCTGAGTTGTCGATGACCTGTACATTGATGCTTGCATTAGAAGAAGAAGAGGAAAAGAGAGTGATTGTGGTGCAGCACCTCATGGACTCACCGACATTGTCGCCTTGAGCCCCAACATGCTTTCGAGTGCGCCGCCCTGAGAACCTTTCCGACGATGTCAATGCAACGCGAGCGCAGGCAGACCGCACCGGAGAAAAGAAAAAAAAAAAAAAGGGTCAGCAGTAGGCAACTGTCGGCCGAGTGGACTTATAATTTTTTTATTCAACAGCCGGTTCTCCGCGGGCAAGCCGGCTGGCTAGCTGCATCTCCGTCTCTGGCAAGTCTACAAGAACAGCATCATCCATCTCCAGCAAGCCCGAGTGAGCCTAACAGTCAGATAGCGAGACAGGGTATGTCGCCATCGTCGGGTGCTCCCTACAGCCATGCACGCTCCTCGAGCGGCTACCCGCCCCTGGGCCGGACGCCGCCCTCGATGGGTCCTCCTCCGCGGAGCTCATATGACTACGACCACCGGCTGCCACCCATCAGTGCTCCGTCCTCCCAGCAAGCATCCCCGTCGCCGAGATACCCGTACCAAACTGGGTCAGTCTCGTCGTCGTCCTACTTTCCTTACCACAACAGCGGCCACGGCGGCGAGATCTCGTCGCCCCACTCGTCGGCCGGCGGACCGGCCACACCAGCTGGGCCAACCGCCGTTCGTCCGGGCATGCGCGAGAGCAGCGCAAACAGCAGTCCAGCGGCTGCCGACACACCTGATTCGGCCTCGGGACATGCACCACCGGCAGCGAGCGCGGGCAGTGCGCGGGGCTTAAAGGGCGCTGCCTCCAGATCAGCAGGCAAGCCAGCTTCGAAGCAGCAGCAGCAAGAGATGGCGAAGGATGGCGCATCGGCGGGCGAGGCGCCGAAGCGAAAGAAGAAGGCAGTGAGCTGCGAAAATTGCCGGAGGCGCAAGCTCAAGTGCGATCGTGGCTTTCCCTGCGGTGCGTGCAGGGACCGCGATGAGGCAGATCTGTGCGCGTGGGAAGGTGGCACGAGACCTCAGGCCATGGGACGGGATCAGAGCAACACGCCCCTGCTCATGCGGATGGACCGCCTCGAACGACTGCTTGGGACCATTGCGGCAAAGATGGGCGTCGATGAGTCGGCTGTGGACTCAGGCGAGGCGCGAGACGGGCTCGCAGCAGGTGCCGCAGCATCGACGAGTGCGCTCCCCGCGACCAACAGCCACTCAAAGAGGCGGAGGACATCGGACCCCGATATCCGGCCGTCGTCAAAGCGCTCCACTTCGTCGGAGCAAGAATCTCTCATGTCCCTCTGGCCTCTCAACTGGACCGCGCCCACACTCGATCAGCAGAGAGCGGAGCTGTTCAAGGTCATGGAGATGCTTCCGGATACAGGTTCGGTCAGGAGACTCTGCACATACTGGGTGAGCATCTCCTTGTATTTTGCTCCCCCTCTGTTCCTCTGATCGTTCTAATATGGTCCGTCCTCCCTCAGTTCAAAGAGTTTGGCTGGAACACCCATATCATCGACGAAGAAGACTTCTGGCAGCGCGGATTGCGCGAGCACGAGGAACTCAGAGTCATGTGGCAGGGCAACCGTGATTTCCACAGTCGGCTAGGACCAAAGGATAACGTCCGCGGTCATCTGCAGTTTGTTGCCATCCTCTGTGGCATGTGTGGCTTGTGAGTATCGCTCGCTCCGGCCAACCCTCGTTGAATCGCCTTGCTGACAGATCTCCGTTGAAAGCACCCTGCTCAACAACGATCAAGACTTCAGAGACGTGGCCCTGCTCATTGATCAGGATTTTGTTCCTGGTTACTTCTTCGAGGCATCCACCAGGGCGTTCAATGCGTCGGCGCCATTCGACGAACCGACGCTCGACTCGATCCGCGTCCTGATTCTCCACTGCTGGTTCACCATGTGTTTCCGAGGTACCCATGTCGGCACCGCCGTCCTGGCAATGGCTCTGAGCCAGATGCAAGCGCTCGAACTAGACTTTGAACCACCACCGTCGATGCCGCGCAAACAGGCCATGGATCGGTTGAATCTCTTCGTGTCACTTGCGAGCCTGGACTGGTCTTCGTGCATCTCGTTCAAGCGATCCTACTCCCTTCAAGAGGAGCCGGTCAAGATGCCATACCTGTTTGGCGAGCGCACCCTCTCGTTCAAAGACTACGACGAAGAGCGGGAGCTTGTCACTCTCCATCGCAGGGTCAGTACCTTTCCTTTGTTTCGCTGTTTTCGCTCTCTTACTTACATTCGCCCGATGGCAGATCGCGCTGGAAATGGCCAGGCTCAATCGTCGTATTGCTTCGAGGGCTGCCATGACAGAGGAGGATGCCTGGGACGAAACTGTACGCATCCAAGCCGATCTGGACCGCCTCTACATGTCGCTGCCATTCATTGAATACGTGAGTAGCCTTGTCCCGTAACATTTGCCAGAACTCACACCAAATATTTTCAACCCTGGCAGGAGACCATCATGCAGGAGGAGATGACGGAAATCGACCACACGATGCAGGGCAGAATGACGCTTCTTGTCACGATCTCGATCACGCTCGTCAACCTGCACAAGCGCTACTACATCCAAGGCTGGCTCAACCCCGCCTACCGCACGTCCAAGGAGATCTGCTTCGTCAGCTCTCGGCGCATCTGCGGCCTCTTTCGCAAGAGCTTCGGGACGGTGCTGCCAATTGAACAGGTCATGAGCATGTCCGTCGACGAGATCCGCAGCTTCATGGAGAAGAATGCAGTAAGTTGTCCATCTTGCAAGCCAGTCATGGGTGATGTCTGACATCTTTTGCCAACAAAGCGCTTCGTGACACGCATGTGGCCCTTTTCGCACGCGAGCATCAGCGCCTGCCTACTGCTGCGTCACCACATCGCCATGATGGACGCGCACCCAACGGCTGCGGGCCCGAACGCGGAGCAGGTCCGTACCGACATTATTGAGGATCTACGCGTGACGATGCGGCTCTTGCTGGCCGTGTCGACGCGGTCGCAGGTTGCCAGGACAGGAGTGGCGGTGCTGGCGCACTCGAACAGCAGTCGTAAGATTGCTGAGCTCGGAACACGACCACCGCTGCAAGGCTTTACCCCAGGTCCGCCCAGGTCGCCCAGAAATCGTTCGGCTGCTACTGCCGCTGCTGTTTCACGATCAGGGAGCGATTCGGCCATGGCAAGAAAGAGACAGAGAGAGCTTGCCACGGATCTTAAGAATATCACTGGCTTCACCGACGGAAACGCTTTTGACCTTTCATCGGCCTCGTCCTCGTCTTCGTCTTCGCTTCAAGCGCCACAAGCAGTCCATCCTATGACGAGCACCGCGTCCAGGAATAACTACGAGGCATACGACAGTCAATCTGCGGCAATGCCTCTGAACCAGACCTCATCGTCGTCGGCGCCTGCCACCGTGGTAGAAGCTGCACCACCGCCCGACAATGACGCCTACCGACAACTCGAGACTTTCCTCAATGGCGCTTTCCAGACCGACACCTACACAGGTCAGCCGCTAGCGCCGGAGATGACATTTGAACGTCAAGCCGATCGAATCGGGGCGGCAGCTCCTCCCCTGCTACCAGGCGCCATCCCAAGGCCAATGTCGCCTTTCACAAGCGCGTTCATGGGGAGCTGGGACAATACCTTTAATGTCCCAGCAGATAACGGCACCGATGGCAGCACTGCCATCACTACTGGTGCTGCGCCCCAGGCGGGATGGTATTGATCTATGATTCTTGCTTATCTTCTCTTCTTCTGTATTAGTAAGATCAGACCCCTCAATTGTGTGAAATGAGTAAAGAATGGTCTCACCGCAATCACGAATCAGCGTGCTTTTTCTCACCGTGCTCACCAGAGAGCAGCCCAGAGGCTTGGGAACCGAAGAAGAAGAAGACACCATACGAAGTTCGATTGAAGAGGTGCTTAAATGAAAACCTGCTGCTCGACTCTGATTTCTTTAGTGGCCGTTTTCGCTGCAGGAATCCATCGCCGCGGAGAAGCGTCAAATCTACGCTTAGTGCAGAGATCCAAAAGACCCAAGGCCGGATACGGCTTGTGGGAGTTTAAATCGTGTCACTTAGCGTCTCCAATACTGCAGGGTGCGGCCAATTTTTGGTCCTTTTTGGCGCGAAGCTCTCATCAGACCAGATCTCGTCATACGGAAAGAGCTGTCTCCGGAAAGCAAGTTCCTTGAACAGATAAGAGCAAGCCTAAGAGAGACACTTGCAAAGGCGTCCTTCTCTCTACCCTCTTTCACCTCACCCTCCTCTCCTCTTCGGTCTCCTCGCCAGCTCGTCGAAACGCGGTTTCTTCCCGCACCGCGCTGCAACTTGGACGACGACGCAACCTCCACCTCTCACTATGGCGTCCGCTTCCGTCCGCGGCCCGTACGCCTGGCTAGGCATCCGCGAGCATCCGTACGATCCGCAAGCTCGCTTCGTCACCTCCTACGTCCTACCTCCCCTCTATCTTGCACTGTGGCGGACCGTGATCGCTTTGTATACGTTTGTGACACTCATTCTCGTCTATGCGTTCAACGGCGTGCAGGAATTCAGCTACTTGTGAGCCTTGGGGTCCCTGCCTGCTTGCTAGCGTCCGCGTTACTGACAGAAAGACAATTATTAGCACCGTGCTGACCTACTGGGGAGTCTGGGCCTATCACACTATCTCGGCCATCCAAACCTTTTCATTTTACTGGGATCTTCGACGCTGGTCGAAGTCTCAATCCTCGCAAGATCCATCCATCGATGCTGAGAAAGCAAGAAGCGACGAAGATGGGCAATACAGTGACAAAGCGCAGAGCTGGCTCTCGCGTTACTTTCCAAGGCCCCTTCAATTCGCCCACTCGTTGCTCTTCAGCACGATTTGCTCTTTCGTGAGTAGATCTTCCAGATGTTCACTCACGCACGTGTCCATCCGAAGGCTGAGCGCTTTCCTTCTATAAAGCCTCTCATCGTGACAATCGTCTTTTGGACTGTCCTGAAAGATGGCGCTTTCGATTCGATGCGCACCACCTGGCAGAATCTGTCAGTCCACGCACTCAACCTCGTCTTCGCCTACCTCGACATTCTCGTCTTGGGCCGCGAAGCGATGCGTCCATGGTCGCACCTCTTCTTCGTCGTCTTTCTGATTGCCTGCTACGTCGGCGTCGCCTACATCACCTACGCCGACCAGCACTTCTACACCTACGACTTTCTTAACCAGGGAGAGCATGGAACGGGGACAGTCGCGGGCTACGTCGTCGCCATTGGCGTTGCGACGGTCGTGAGCTTTCTGGTGGGCCAGTTCGCAATTTTCATTCGGGAGTACGTTGCCGCAAAGCTCCTTCCGTCAGAAGGACACTGGGGCACAGCCCAGGTCCGAAGTGTCCCGGACGATGCGCTCGTTCCGACAAAGCTCGGACCAGGTCCAGAGGGAGAAGGTGGGCGCAGGCACAATGCCGAAGACGGCTGGAGGCAGCGGCTCTCATTCGATTCTCTCTCCGCGACACCACGAAAGCGGCAAAGCATCGCGACGGACAGATCCAGAGCCGAACATGGGGAAATTATCGAAGCATAGATGGCTACCTCTCTCACGCTCTCCCTTCTTCAGCCCTCCGCGCATCCTAAATTGATCTCTATTCCATCTCATTAGTGTAGCCTGAAGGAGAGCAGCTCATTCATTTTTTATATGCTGTCCGTCTAGAAATCCAATTAACATTCTACCCTCAATTGTCAATGAGATGGGATGCAAGGTGGGGTATACTGTAAACAAAGCAGTCAATTCATCAGATATCGCCGCTCATCCAAGCGTACGTCAAGAAGCCTAAACCGTACGGGGTGGCCAATCTCCGCAGAGCCCAAGCCACCCTCCCGCTCCCCCAACTCTGGGCCGACGAGACGCTCTTGAGGCTTCCGGGGCCTGCCGAGACGGGATTCTTCAGTGTCCACTTTTTACGGAGTTGCGATTCTGGCCGCATCGTCGATGACGGCCCGGCACGGGTTGAATGAAAAGGGACTGAGGTGGGTCGTGACGTAAAAGGTGCGATAAAGTAGGTGTGAAGCAGGAGGATAGGCGTGGGCACGGGTGTCAGAGGGGCCCGAGGGTTGCTTGATGTATGTCGGAGTATTGATGTCCTCTGGGCGTGCTCGACGAGAAGTGTGTATGCGCTCGGCCTCGTGCTCAGAGGCGGTGGAGACGAAGGACCTCGAGCGAAGCCAGCAGAGAGCCCTTTCCTCCTTCGCCCACCTGCCACGGGTCCCAGGAACTTCTTCTTGGGTGTCAACTTGCCCTTAGCCGCTGCAGGCTTCGCCAGCCTCAGAGGGTGAGGTGCTCGGGGTCGATCACGGGCGGCCATCGACACGATACGTCCCTGTCCAACTCCGAGGGTGTTTGACCTTCTCAACTCCAGGAATGAGCTCAACTTCCTCGACGGGGGCACTCCAGACGACAACCGTGCTCCACGAACAACGCTTCGTCCTTTTCTTGCGTTCGCGAACATCGTCGTTCGGGCTTTGTGAGCTTTCGTCTTGCTCGTTGTATTTCCTCTTCGCCCTTCCTCCCAAGCCTTGCGACCTTCCCAAACAACGACCCGCGCAAGCTCAGCGGGTCGGCCGACGAGCTCGTACAGGGCAGCACCGACCGCCCCACCAACAATGAGAACAGATGCAGCCACAAATCTTCCGGTGCGAGTACGTGACTGGCTATATGAGATATCACCACTTCCTCGTCGCTCCTGCTCCGTTGACGATTCGATGTGGACATCGCCTCGAGGCTGAGAGTCCGGTCGCGGGGCAGGAATACTCGGAGGCAAAATAGCAGACGTGTTGATGAGGGCAATCGCGCGATCCGTCGCCTGTGAAGCTTTGAATGCAACCCTTCTGGAGCACTCAAACGCAAGGAAGAAGGCTGCAAATCCTGTGCGCGATTCATCTAGTCAGCAGCGCTTCGCAAAGACAGCAACTCCGCTCCACTCACCGACGCTGTCTCGAGCCAGAGACATGACCAGACCAGCACCGTGAACGCCGCCCCGCCAGCGCTCAAGCCTTTTCTCCCATACCTTCTTCGTCTGCTCCACTTCTTCCGCGCTTGCGTTCCCGCTTGCCAACCCCAGCAAAGACCTCCAGATCGGATTGGAGCTGCCGCTGCCAGCAGCAGACGGTCGAAAAGATGCATTCTGCTTAACCTCTTGCACCAGCCTATCTCTTGTAGTGGCGGGTGCAAACGGTAAGATCGCTGCTCTTGCGACGGCGCGCCATGAGATGCCTAATGGATGTCCTCGGAGTCTTCCACCTCCATTGCTGCTGTTACTCCCGCGGTGCCGGCCCGAATTGCCAATGTCTGACGACAAGATTATACGAACGTTGTCTAGAGGTGCCGAAACGATGCATTGTGCAGCCCCTGCAACGCTTCCAGATATGGCGACGATCCAGAGAGGAGTAAACGACGGTGTGGGTGCCTTTCTTGTCGGGGACGATGGCTCCTGCTCTACGACCGGGTAGTATTCCCCAAGAAGTCTTGACTCTGTCAGACTGTAAGCTTCAAAGAGACAAAAGCCGATGGTCGTGTTGACGAGCAAAGGAGGAAGGAGCAAGTGCGGTAAGAAGCTCCTCTTCTCCCGCCGAAGGAGCGTCCTCAAATATCGCAATGAAAGCGAACGGCCTTCTCGCTTCGCCATGGTTTCCAGCAACGACCAGCTGCTGAGCTTGACTGGCCTGAAAAGCCTCACCGGGGCTCGAAACACGAAAGCGAGCGTGCCCACGAGCGAGCGTGCGAGAGCGCCGCTAAGCGATTCCTTGCGCGAGGTGCCGTCTTGGCCTGTCGTCGCGCCATCGTTGCTATTGGATCTCTTGCGCCGCTTCGGTCTGCTTTTCTTCTCTTCCCCCTTGGCTTTTGTTTTTCTTTGCGCTTTTGCATCTTCCGTGGGACTCGACTGCCCAAGCTTCTCGAGCGTGATGTCGCTCCCGCTCGGAGTCGCCATGGCCATGGCTATCTGACCCCTCTCACCTTGGCCTCTCGAAAAGTTGAGCTTAAAATGCTGGCTTACATAAGCGTTCTCTGGCCGCAACACGTGTATTTTGCCGGCTGCCTCCGTGTAGCGAGGCGCCTTCCTTCCCATCGCATCGGCAACCTCTTCTCCTGGTCACCACTCGCTCCTTTCTCAAAGTCAAAATGTCTGCAGCTGCCTGGCGTCAGTACTTTACGTGAGTAGCTCTTTCGATTCCCGGCTCGGCCTCATTCCATCTCTCCTAGAGCTCCGCTCGTTCTTGCGCTCTCTTCCCGAAAGCTGACATCGGCCCGGGATCTGATAACTTGCAGGTACAACCGGTACACTTCCATCTGCGCCCGCGCGACCCGTCAGGCGCTCAAGGAAGAGGAGCGCGTCAAGGCCGAACGTCGCGGTGCACAGGCGCTCCGTTTCCAGGAGTGGAAGGACGGCAAGGCAGGCGACATGGTGAGTCTTGCTTTGATTTGACGCTCTTGCTCTCTCCAAGTAAAAGCGAAAGACTGACGGGACGCATGTACCAAATCAAAGCACAACATGGGTGATGCCGCCAAAAAGAACGACGGTGGAAAAGCTCCTGTGTAGATGGGACTCAGAGCGACCGACAAAAGGCGCAGGGATTAGGCGCAGGGGAGATATTGATCATTAGACGATGAGAAGCGTTTTTGTCGGGGAAATACGCCATGGCAAAATATCTATTTCTCCATGCAGTATGGGTCGCTTCGATTCTTTCTTCTGGGAGGGATGGGATCAAAAGACCAGAAGAGAGAGGGAGAGATTGCAGAAGCGTTTTTAAGTGACTTTGAGCGTCAGACCCTGAGCATTGTCCGCGAGGTGAACTGATCGATTGCATCGACCGGACCTTTGATACAACAGCAGCCTTCTCGTGACGGAGAGAAGGCTGTTACAGCCGAGAGAAAACCACCTGAGGGCTCGACGTAGTGTGTCTACAATTTACATGCCTAGCAAAAGAAGGAGGAAGAAGCCCGAGAAAAGTCGACGGAAAGGTGACAAGAGAAGATGATGTGTGGAAAAGAGCAGATGGGATAAACAGGAGAAAAAGGCGACTGAGCCCTCTGAACCCTATCGAATAGTCTCGTTCGCGGCCAAGAGTGTCGCAACCTCGTCTTCGTACTCGACCGCTTTTCCCCAGATGGTCGAGAATCGTTTGAGGACGATTATCATGTCGCGGACAGGGGCTCGGTGGGCATCGAGCTGCCTCTGCAGCTGAGCCACCTCGAGGCGACCGCCATCGTCTGCGGCTTGGTGGCTCGAGTGGGTGACTTGCTGCTGCTGCTGCTGTTGCTGCATGAGGCGCTGACCCTGGACCTGAACCAGGAGCGTGATCATCAATGTAGCATAAGCGCCTATTACGTAGGAGCACGCCGAGTAAGGAGGCAGCTTGGGTGCGCGACCTGACGCGGTGTCGCTCATGACTTGGGGTAGCGTACTGATCATGGCTGAGGCGGCGAATCGGCAGCGTTCAAGCGCATGTGCCGGCTCGAAGGGACCACCAGCAAATTTGTCGGAGAGGAGAGCATGAACAGGCAAGTTTTGAGATACCTGCAGCTCTGCAAGACTTTGCGGGGCATTGGCCGATCTCGCAGCGTCGATCTGGGGAGCGCGGTGCATGATGGCTTCCTGGCCACCGCCCACCGAATACATCCTCGCCGCTTCCGGGATTCCGCACTGCGGGGACATGAACACTCTAGCGTTGGAAAAGGCCTGTGCTCTGTGAAGAATGATCATAGACCTGGAAGGAAAGGAGTGTCAGTGAAAAGAGCAGAGGTGGACATCCAGCTTGAATCTCTCAGGTCACTCACCCTCCACACATCAGTCGGCCTGCGATGTGCAAACTCCGCGCCAGTTCAACTTCGGAAGGCTCGATGCCAGCAGTGACGCTTTCATCGAGAACGAAACCTTTGCGCCAATAGGGATCGAAGCGGGTGTACGTGTCAATTTCGCCATCGAGCTTGAGCATTGCATTGAAGATCCGCTGCCGTTCCGCCGAGTCTTGATGGTACGTGGCAGACGCAGACGAGGCATCAGCAGAGGCTAATCGGGTTCGCAGCTGGTCCAGATCGTAGAGTAGGCGGTAGGCTTGCGAGACTTGCTGTGCGCCGCGAATCATGGTACCCCAAGCGGCAACGTCATGATCAAGTTGCGGCCGCATCTGCAGATCCATGACCCGGTCGCGAGGTGCAGCAAAAGGCTGGAAGCCGCCGGTGCACGACATGACCGTCGCTGCAGCATAGCTGGCCCAGTAGACCCGCTTGGCCCATTCCATCATCAGGTCAGGAGTGAAGGGGCGGTTGGGGTTTGGCTGCTGCTGCTGTTGATGCTGAGCAGCTTGGAGACGCGACCGTCTGGGCAGGTCGAACTTTTGAATGCCGTTCCACGCCTCGAGGGCGTGCTTGTATGCTCGTTCATGGCTTCCAGGCTTGCCACTTCCGTAGTAAAAGTGACACAGGAGCGTATGCGCAGCGGCAGCTTCGATCTGAACGAGCTCTTCGGTGCCGTCGACGTCCACATCCATCGGCGAAGCAAAGCAGGCCTGCTGCGATTGGGCATAACGAAAGAGGATGTTCTCAGACGAATTTGCGTGTTTTGCTGCGATCTCCTCAGACGCCATCATCTCTTCGGACGCCGAGGTGGCAGAGGAAGCCGAAGAGTCGCCGCCGTACGACGTCCGGAGCGTCTTGAGGGCATCGGCAGGCGCAAGGTGCAGCGAGACGCATGCACTGATGGCCGCAAACAGGCCGCAGGGTCCCTTGCCTGAGAAGTAGAACGCCAGCGAAGGAAGGCTGCCGGGCGGGAGGAGGACAGGGCAGGCGGGGTATACAAACTCGTAGAAATCACTGAGTCTGCGACACAACCAAGAGAATTAGCATGTGGTCTGCGCCGTCAAAGCATCTTCTGCTTTCCACTCACAGAGACCGCACGCTCTGTTCGTTGTTCTGGACATTCTGCGTGAGCTCGCCACCTTCCCAGTCCATCCAGATGTCGACGCCGCTGGGATCCTGTGCACCGGGCACGCCGGCCTTGGGAAGCATCTCCAAGCGCGAGTAGAAGTCGGAAAAGGCGGATATTTCCTCGGTCGCTTGGCCCTCTTGCATCCGCTGCCACAATTCGAGATTGGCAAACGTCAAAACACCATGGCCAAACTCGGTGTTATCAAAGGAGTACAGGTTCTCGTGTGGGAGGTGCTGCTGTGTGTGCTGTAGTGGGAGCGGCTGCTGGTGCTGCTGCTGCTGATTGTGATAGGGTTGCTGAAGTGAGCTTTGGGCAGACTCAGGCAGATGATGGTGGAAGTACTGCTGCTGCTGCTGATGCTGTTGTTGTTGTTGTTGTTGTTGTTGTTGCTGCTGCTGCTGCGCATGGAAATGCTGCTGAGCCGCCATCGACGCGGCGGATGAAGGATGCATCGTGGGGACAACGGGCGTGGCGACAAAGGGGCTGGGAGGCGTTTGATTGGGCCCATCATCAAATGACGCTGAATGCGACCTTCGGCCCCGGTGGCTCCCGCCGTTGGCCGAGTTTGGACTGTTGCTGCGACGCATGCTCATCACACTGCCGCTACTGCTGCCTATGCTTTCTTGCCTTGCATAGTCATCAAAGGGGCTGGCGTTTATGCCACCAACACCACTGCTGGAAAGGGAAGACCTGTGAAGGCTGTTGACTCTGTCTCTCTCGGAAGTTGGGCTGATGGTACCGCTATCGACGGAGCCAATTTTTGAGCGGTCCTTTGACGTTCTGGCCAATTCCTTTTGCCTATCTTTGTCCGCTTTGAGTCTGGCAGCGTCGGCTCCCTTGACGCCCTTGTACCTCGGCCCGCCGCGCTTCGACGAGACAAAGTTGCAAGCCCCTTCCTCGACACCTCGACTGGCGCACGGTCCACAGACGGGCATCACACCATCACATCGACGCTTTGCCGATCGACAGCTAAGGCAAGCGGCGCGGACCACGGCTCGCTGCTGCACCGCGGCCCCCTCGGGAGCGTCTACGGGTCCCGGTGACATGGCGAACGCTCGGCCTCCGGCTTTCGTCTGCTGTCGTTGTGCGTTATGCGTACCAATGGCGACTCTCTTCTTCTCCTTTAGCCAAGGTGTTGTTTGCTGCGGTCGGGCCTCCTGCTAAATCGGCACAGGGCTGCACGACGATGCGTCACACTTTGCCTGCTTGGTAGCGGTCCTCTGTGGTGGCGATGAGACGGGAAAGCTAACAGCCCCACCAGAAAGTGAATCGCGCGTTGAAATGGAATTTCAATTTCTATTCATATTATGGCTAGCACAAGTGGCTGACCCTGTCTGACTTGACTCTCCAGCCCGGCGATCTGAAGCAGTGATATTGACAGCGCGCCGCTCGAAAGTGCGAGAGGATCCGGAGGACCGAGATGCGCGGGCGTAGAGGTACTGGTAGCAGTCGGTAGCTGTAGTAGACCACCATCGACTTCCTGTCCTCGAGCAGAACCAACTCGGCCCACTAGCGGCGGGGGACGAGGACGGAAGCCGTGCAGAGGTGGGGTGATGAGGAGGAGCCGCGGCCGTACTCTCTTTTGACTTTTTTCGTTTTTCCTTTTTCGCTATCTTTTCGCGTCTTGTGCAGTAAGACCCCAGTTCCTATCAATGAGACTCTTCGACTGTGCCTCTGTGTCAACCGCTGTCACATCCACCAGCAACCCCTTCTTGAGTTGAGTTTGGAACCACAAGGTCATAGCAGCCATGGCGACAAAGCCGCAAGTACAGGTTGGGTCGATGGACTCGGGCGCATCCCACGTCGGCGAGGGGATGGGCGTCCATCGGCAGCGATTCGGCCTGCTGGCCATCATTGGCCTCTCTTTTGCCATCTTGAATTCGCCCACGGCCATGAGCGCCTCTCTCTCCGTCGTTCTCACCTCGGGTGGACCGGTCGCCGTGTGCTGGGGCCTCGTCATCTCAGCAATCGGCGTCCTTTGCGTCGCCCTGAGCCTGGCTGAAATCTGTAAGTGCAAGGTCAAAGGCAGAGTGGCCGCCTCGCGCTGACTCATTCTCCTCGATGTCTTTGACCCAGGTTCCGTGCTTCCCACTCCTGGTGGTCCATACCACTTCACCTTCAGATTGGCCACACCCCGGACGCGAGTGCCTGCCGCGTACTTTACCGGATGGCTCGCCTGCGCCGGTTGGGTCTGCTTGACGGCCACGACGTCGTCCCTGGCGGGCTCTCTCATCGTCGGCATCATAGCTCTGCTCCACCCCTCGTACGAGGAGAAGGCCTGGCACGAGTTCCTGATCTACATCGTCTTTGCCGTCGGCGCATGGTTCGTCAACGTCTTTGGCGCAAGGATCCTGGACCCTGTCAACCGTGCCGCCCTCGTGTGGAGCATCTCGGGCGTCGTCATCATCTGCATCACCTGCCTGGCATGTGCAAGCCCACAATATGGAACGGGCAAGTTCGTCTTCGGCACATACGTTAACCAGACAGGCTGGGACAATGGCGTAGCATTCATCTTGGGACTTCTCCAGTCGACTTTTGGACTGGGTGAGTTGCCTTTCAATGTCTCTCTTTTTCTTATCAGAACCGCTGCTGATTGGGCCATCAGTCGGAGTCGACGGTGCAACGCACATTATCGACGAGATGCCCACGCCCCACATTCTTGCTCCTCGCGCCATGATTCTTGCGCCCATCATTGGCAGCATCTCGGCATTCATTCTCCTCATCGTCTTCCTCTTCGTCCTCAAAGACTTCGGCCAGGTCACTAGCGGTCCCGCTGGTCCTTTGCTCGAGATCATCTACCAAGCACTGGGGAACCGAGGCGGCGCCGTCGCTTTGTACATGTTCCCCGTCGTGTCCATGGCCTTTGCTGCTATTTCGATCCTCTGCGCCAGCTCTCGCCAGACGCAGAGCTTCGCTCGAGACAAGGGCTTGATTTTCGGCACCTTCTGGGAGAAGGAAAGCCCGCGATGGGGTGTGCCGATTGCTTCCATCACGATGACGTCTGCTTGGGGTGAGCTCTTGACTGGCAATGCCAATCACGAGATCAAGTCTGCTGACCGCAACTTCTACCACAGTGATCATTTTCGGGTGCGTCTACCTCGGCAGCTCCTCGGCTCTCAACGCAATTCTTTCGTCAAGCGTCGTGATGCTCCAGGTGTCCTACTGCGTCCCCATCAGTATTCTCCTCGTTCGTGGACGGAGATTGCTCGATGAGATTGCGGCCGAAGAGGACCGCGAATTCCAAACGATTGAGGAGCGGCAACAAGAGGGTCTCGATCAGGGCACGAGCAGCAAGCGCAACTACAACCTGGGTCGATTCGGCTGGGCCATCAACGCCTGGGCTGTTCTCTTCAGCCTCTTTACCTCTGTCTTCTTCCTCTTCCCGCCCGAGCTTCCCACGACGGGCTCGTCGGCGAACTACGCTGCCGCTGTCGTCTTCTTTGTCATCTGTCTCGCGGTCCTCTCTTGGATCTTTGACGGCCGCAAGCAGTACGAGGGACCAAAGGACCTTGACTTGGCCCTTGCTCGAGCGAGGCAGGCTCGTCTCTACGACGAACGACCGAACTCACCGTCTTCTGCTCCGACAACCACCGCGGCGCAAGGCCCTGATTCCACACCTGAAAAGACAGCATCATCGTAATCTGTTTTGTCCTCCGCATCGTCTCCGCTTCAGTAGGAATTGCTGTGCACTTATCACAACTTGGCAATCGACCATGAACTCCATCTTGAGTGACAAAGGCTTCATCATTTCTGCTGTTTTGGGCATTACTATTATTGCTATGACATGGAGACTTTCCGGCGTAAGGCAAACGTTTAGTCGTAAGTCTTCTTGGCGTTGGCGAGGTCAGCGTCGAACTGAGCGGCCCTGATATTTTGTAATGAGAGAATCATCGTCAGTACTGGAGAAGTGGTGCCAACCGTCGTAAGGTAGAAAGCGGGAGAGACTCACAGAGCAGTGGCGGCGTCCTTCTTGTCAGCGGGAGCCTTGCTGACGAGGGCCTGGCCGAAAGCGTGGGTGTCGGTGGCGAGGCTGTCGACGTCGCCCTTGGCGAGGCCAGTGACGCCGAGGGAGTCGAACTTGGGCTTGAGCACGACGAGGCGGTCGGTGGCGCTCTTGACGTTCTTCTCGGTGCCCGTCAGGGTGTCGATGATGCTCTGGGCGTCAGCGTCCGAGATGGCGTCGGTGACTGCGTTGGTGTCCGTCGTGGCCGTCTGGATCTTGCCGTCGAGGTTCATGGCCGACGAGTGGATGCCGAGAGCAGAGAAGTAGTTGATGTCGTCCGACTTGAGCTGGTTGTTCAGGTCGGTGACAGCTGCATCGATGGCGGAAACATCGGACTTGACGGTGGCGATGTCGCCACGGACAAGGGCGACGGCGACGGCCAGGAGGACGGCGGACGAGACAGCGAACTTCATGTTGAGTAAAGGAGAGGTGGTCTGGGGAGAGGTGGGGGAATTAGATGGGCAGAGAGGAGAGGCTTTGATGAGGAGACAAGAGGAAGTGGAAGAACCCCTCCCTTATATGCTTTCTCTTGGATTTCATCTGTCCGTCGTCCTGAGGCTTCGTGAGGCGCTCTTAGTGACCACGCCCCGCTTTCACAGTTCTGCATCAGCTAATGGCCAGATGCTGGGAAAGTGCGGGGATGGATTCAATTCGTGCGCTCGCGCCGAATGGGGCTCTGCCGTTCCTCATTTGACGCACCACCCCAAGAATGGGGGGACTCTGCCGGTTCCCCATGATGTCTGATGGAACCACAAGCTAGCACGCAAGAGCGACAGCTAAACCCAGGAAGAAAACAAAGGAGCAATATACTGTTCTAGAAGAAGAGAAGGAACAGCCAAAAGAAGCGCTAGCGAGAACTCTCTTGAGCGTTAGCGCTCAATTAAAACGGTGGACGGCACCCCCCAAGACCAATTAAGGCGGAAACCCCCGGCTTCCATCTCCACGGAATCCAGCATTGTCTCAAACCCTACCCTGAAGATGCGCAATGAAGGAGCTAATGGTTTTCTTGCGCAGCCAAGCATAAGGTGACGGGAGCGCGGTTGAAAGAGGGGACTTGCCGTGCCAAGGCTTCGACGCGAGGCAGGCCGACGGGGAAACAAACACAACATCTGTGCGTCCACTCACCGGAGCTTATTCCGAATCTATGCTCTGCCCACGTTTGGCCCATCGAAGCAGGGAAATTTGCGGGCTTCGAATTAGTGAACCCCGTGGGGTAGAGTTGGGCGCCGTACCTCTTCCCAAGCCCGTGCGGACTCGAGACGCCATGAGGTAATAGCGTCCTGCCTGACTGCGTGCAATTGGGTTCCTGCTCCTTTCACCAGCGTCTTGTCCATCTGTTTGTGGGGACCAGTAGACCTCGAGCATGCTTACATTTGCAGCGGCGCCGTTCATCTGCGCTACTCGCCCTGCAGCGCACCTTCTCGGCTAACGCACCGCAGGTGCGCGTGCCTCACTCTCATCTCGCCAATGCTAGATCAGCAGTTGCTTTCGGCTCTACTTTTCTCCATTTCGGATCCCTCGGGAAAAGGGTAGGAGCGAGCGGGGAGGCTTGAGCTTTCATTCATGACACTAGAACAGACCTGACATTTGTAAGACCTAGAAGGGCTTTTGTAACGATACACAATTGCACGAACTTGATTCGAGAAAGGGCCATCCATGAAAGATGGGGGAGAGAAGCCTTAGGCCATTGTTCCTCCACCTCGACCCCCGCCCCTGCCGTAACCGCCTCTGCCTCGTCCCCTGCCCCGTCCTCGCCCGCGTCCCCTCCCACCAGGACCGCCGCCGTACTGATTGCCTGCTTCTCCAAAGGTATCCATATTCTTTCTTTCCTCGGCCATGCGATTAGCCCGCGCGGTGCCTCGTCCGCGGACTGCTGAAGGAGGTCCGCCTCGACCAGGACTCATTGCTCCAGGCTCGCCTTCTCGTCCTCCAGCTCTGCCGCCACCGTCTCTGCTGTCGTATCGGTCGCGTACCTCGGAGCTGATGTTGTCAAAGAAGCCCGAAGACTTGTCGTAGAAGCTCTTTACGTCGACGGGCGGAGGGATGGCGTCGAGCAGAGCACCATTGGTGCTTGCGATGGTGCCGTTGGCGTCTTCCGAGAGTGCAGGGGCGCCAGCGCCAGCATCAGGAGAAGTCACATCGCCCTTTGTCTTGTCAAACTTGGCATTGGCAGCTGCGAAGTCAAAGTCGGAGTCGGGCACCTCGACAGCACCACCACGGGGATTCTCAAAGACGGATGAGGAAGGGCCTCGGTTACGTCCGCCAGAGCCCGGAATATTGCGACCACGACGGTCATTGGCCTGAGGCGAGATGGCGGCGGCGGCGGCTGCCGCTGCAGCATGAGGGATCGGTGGCAAGTTGGCTGCTGAAGGAGCAGAAGCAGAAGGAGGCTTGCTCGTGGGTGCAGCAGGCAAGTTGGCCGCGCCTGCAACGCTCAGCTTTGAAAGATGTTCGGCTACCGTGTCGGCATTCTTTTCCTCCTTGCCCTTTGCCGAGTTCGCGGCAGGTTGCGATGGCGCGTCCTTTGGTGCTTTTGAAGCATGATCAGCTTTCGGTCCCTTCGGTGGGGGCTTGCTCTCTTGTGTCTGCTCCTGCGAAGCTGGTTGCTGCGGAGGCTGTTGTTGAGGTGGTTGAGATTGCTGAGGTTGCGGAGTGTGGGCCTGTTGAGGGGGCGGAGGCATGCCGTTATTGGGAAAAGGTGGGCGCGGAGGACCAAATCCACCTGGTCCAGGCCCAAAGCCGCCTGGACCAAAGGCTCCCGGTGGTGGTGGAGGAGGCATTCCATATGGAGCACCTGGGGGTGGACCGAAAGGTCCTCCGTAGTGTCCACCTCCTGGAGGGCCACTCGACTGCAACGAACATCCAGTCAGCAAACGATGATCAAAAACATTGGCATATGGGCGAGTAAGGAGTCAGAAGGAAGGCAACGGAGAAATCCACACGATTGTATGCGCTCTAGGACATTTGGCCAATAGAATGGCACTTTACATCCGTAATACTTCATCATTCGGGCGAGAAGATCGCATCGATTACTCACTCCAAGGATGGCTGGGTCTTGGAAAGCATTGCTGGGTGGCGGGGGAGGTGGTGGCGGTCTGGATCGATCAGGTCGTGGGTCATCGATCTTGAGATCTTTGACGTCGGCCGCTCGGAAGACGATGTAGTCGTAGACATTGTCGTTGGGAGGAATCTCGTCATTTGCGCGCCCCTGCTGCGCAAGCCTTCCCTCGGTTCCCCAGGAGCGTACTGTAGTGAAGGCGAGGCCCAGCGTCAGTCTTGTCGACTCCAAGCGTTGTAATGAGCGTGGAACTCACCTTTCTCAAGCGCGACAGTGGCCTGCTCAGCGTTGATCTGCGCCAAGAAGCCCTGATATCGGATATCGGACCGCGAGACGAGGGAGATCAAGGCTCCGATGAAGTCGGCCGTCCCTCCGCCTCCACCCGAAACGGATGCAGGTGGTGCACTACCCTTGGCTTGCTCCGGAGTCGCCATGGTTGCAGTCGTCTTCAACGAAGCTAGAGAAGAAGCAGAGTCCAGCTCAGGTTGTGGTGACACGTGAAAATTCGTCACGTGACATGTCCGACGTGAATCAGTCCAATCCACCCGACGACTACACCGCTACACCCCCACACAGGCACAAGAATTAGGTGGAAAAACATCGTCCATTTGCCATTGACACAAACATGTACGTCTGGCGATGAGAGAGAAAAAGCTGAAAGGGGGATGGGAAAAAGATGGGAGGGCACAAGCTATCCACTTGATGATACAGAAGTCTTGCAGGATTTTGCCAACGAAGAAAAGTAAAGGATCGGGAGGGACGGAAAGAGAAGAAGGATTGCTCTGGTTCCTGACCTGAGCGTTCCAAGCGACTGGCTTCCTCAGTTGTCGCCGAAGCGGTGCTTGTTCCTGTTCGACCTCTTCATGTGCTTCTTGAATGTCTCGCTCGACCGCTTTCCGAAGAGGTGCTCCGTGAGCTTTCCGTCGCTGAACTCCTGCAGGACGTCGTTGACGGTGTTTTGGAGGCCGCCTTCGAAGAAGCCCTTGAAGAGATCAGTGACCGACTCTCCTTCGATGGGCGCACCCTGGAGCGTCTTGGCAATCGCATCGGCCTTGGACTGGCTGGCATTGGCAGTAGCAGCGCGTGCTGAGATGACATCGTTGACAATGTCCTCTGCGACGTTGCCGCTCTTCTTCTCGTCGTCGTCGTCGGCGTCGTCACTCTCGGCGTCGCTGTCCTTGGTGGACTTGCTGTCGGTGGTGCTCTTGCTGGCCTTGGCAGACTCGGTGGTGGTTGTGCTCTTGGTGTCCTTGGTCGTCGAGCTCGTCTGCGGGGTAGTCGTGTTAGCGAAGCGCGCCGTGGTGCCTCCGAGGTTGCTGTTGGCTGCCGTGGGCTGCTTGCCAATCTGACCGTTGCCGACCATGACGTGCTTGCCGATCGATGGCACACCGTCGACGACGACGAATGCGAGCGCGGGGCCGGGGGCGAAGAGAGCGGGGTTGTTGGGAGCCTGGGCAACACGGAGCTGGTTGCCGTTGGCCTGGGAGCGGAGCTCGAGCATGCGCTGGCCCATGTTGAAGCCGTGGGTGGAGAAGCCGGTTCGGATGAGGACAACCTTGGCCTTGGACGCCTGCGTGGCGCTGTCCATGGTGAGGGTGAATGCATTGCCACCGTAGCTGAACGAGTTGGGGAGACCGGCGTTGGAAGGGCGGGGCTTGTCGTGGTACGGCGCGTACCACCTCTCGACGTCCCACGTCGTCTTCCACTTTTGCTTGGTGTTGACATCGGGCGACGGGTTGGAGCCGGCAATGAGCACGGAGCCGTCCTCGAGGAGGGTGGCGGTCGAGTGGTAGAGACGGCCGACAGAGGCAGTGCCGACGTGGGTGAAGCGGGAGCCCTTTGCCTTCTTGGGGTCGTAGACGTAGTGCCTCAGCTCGGGGTTGTCGGCAAACGAGGTGCCGACGGGCTTGCCGGGCGAATTGGGGTCAGTAGTGTAGCCAGCGACACCAGTCGTGACACCGTTGCCGAACCAGGCGGTGCCGTCGGGCAGGTTGATAAAGGTGCCCATGGACCGACCAGAGGGCAGGTCGTCGACCTGCTCCCAGTTGGCGTTGACCAGCGGGCTGCTCTGCTCGCAGATGGTCGAGGCGGGCCTCTCGGTAACCATGGTGGCGGGGCCGCCTTCGTTGCCCCAGTTGGCGGCGCTGCCGAGCGACATGCCACCGCAGAGCAGGATAGTCTCCTGGTAGTTGTTGGCGGGCGTGAGGGGCAGCATCATGACGGCGCCACTGGCCGGGTACACGCGGGGCACCCTGGTGTTGGGCAGCCGCTTCTCCTTGAGCGTGTCGGTGTTCCACAGGACGGCCTCCTTGTTGGCCTGCATCCAGACCTCACCGCTGGACATGAGGAAGGTGAGCGGGTACAGGCTCAGGGGCACGGTGCGCTGGAGGAGGGGCAGGTTGTAGGAGCCTCCGACGTTGGGGTAGAACTCGTACGAGGTTTGCTGGGAGCCTGAGCTGGGGACAAAGCCACCGTTGGTCATGCCCGAGATGAGCATGGCGTGGCCGTCGACCATGGGCTCAACGGTCGCATACCATCGCTCCTTGACCATGGTGTTTGGCTTTTCGTCCCAGGAGCAGCCGCTGCCGCTGCATGAAGAGAGCAGGCGGACGGTCCGGCCACCGTTGTAGTTGTAGTAGGGCGACGAGTTCTTCTGTGCCGTGACGCCGCCAGCGCCGACGGCCTTGTTGCCTCCAACGACGACCCACGTTCCATCACCGAGGGTCATGCCTCCAGCGCAGAAGGGGTTGTGGTCCACATCCATGGCTTGCAGTCTGGTCGAGGAGGAAGAAGAAAGGTTAGTCCGGCTCTGCAAGCCTTGGCCCTCGACCGCGACTTACTTGTTTGTGTTGGTGTTGTAGGCAACAGCGGCAGCAGGGCCGTTGGAACCGGGCCTCTTGACGGGGTTGTTCTCGATCTTGTCCATGATGATGACCTGGTTGTTGCTCTGCAGGAACATCATCTGGGCAGAAATACCCGAATTGCCCACCTGGAGAAGAGAAGGAAGAGTGATTTGTGACGTGAGCAGAGGGAGGGAGAAAGATGAAGAGAAAAGATCGACCGCATAAGAGCTGCTCACCTTGTCGACAGTGCCGGCCTTCTGAGCAACGGCCTGCGCGGCGAGGGCCACGGCGACAAGGACAAACGACTTGAAAGAGGTGCTGAACATGGTGGCGTAGGACAGAGCGGTAAAGAGAGTGTGTTTTTTTGTTGGCTGGCTGAGAATGAACAAGGAGCGTGTTGATGAATGCAAATCCAGGGGAAGTAACGACGGTAGAGCACGGCCGTCCAAAGTCGGAGTTCAGGAATCTAACTCCGTGCTTTAGCCAACAGGGCTGACAGACGCACTATGCTCTGGCGTTTCCGTAACGACGGTGGGGGAGAGTCAAGGGAAGAGCTTGGGGGAGAAGGACGGGTGGTGGTGGTTGGTGGTGATGAGAGAGATGGGTCAGGAGGAGGCGAGCAGCATGCGAGGGATTTGTATCCAAAAAATGCCTCGCGCTGCCGACTAGTACAGTACAATTACTGCGTTATGATGAATTGATATTACTTTCTCCTAAGTTCACAGGCACGGGCGGGGAGGGCATCTGCCCGATATGTTATGTCTTTTGGAACCTTCCCAAGGACGCGTTACGTGTTGGAGGAATGTTTTTTGAAGCCCTCGGGATCCCATCCTCGACACTAGTGCTGTTCTGAAGAGAATAAAGAAAAATCTTGGAAAAGTGTTGAAACACTGTTCGTAGTAGAGTAGTGTAGCAGTGGTAGTGTAGTGTACTGGGTTGGTGGTGAAGCGACAGTTAGTCCGCTCTCGTGCCGTAGGACTGAGCACTATCGAGGGCCCCGCAAGGAACGATCTGCGAGATCGGCTTGAGGGACAGATGGGAGTTGTCAGCCGCGGGCCGTGCTTCGTGGCAGCGCCGGCCGAAGCTCTTGCAATTGCGAAACGCGGAGAAGCTTGTCAAGCAAATGCGCCACGTGGTTTTGTTTGACCGCGGGCTCCTCAACTGGCCCCTCTAGACAGACGTCCTGGAGCGACCAACACCACCACTAATGAGCGGGAGTGCAATGTGATGAAATGGCCCATTCAAAGATGAGACGGCAGCAATGCTTGGTCATGACATGTTGTGAGAGCATGTGAGGGGCTCCTATATTCTGGCTTTCACAACAGAACTAAGACGCTTGCGAGAGGGCACCGCCGCACCGCACGCGTACGGGTCCTCCACAAAAGTAGAGAGAGTTGACCTCGTCTTCATTATTTGAATCTCCTCGTTCATCCTTCGTTACGCGAGACTGGAAGCCGGGCAACTCTTCCTTTGCTACGTCACAAAAGCAAGTCGGAATAGTCGATCAACACCGAGAGGCAAGGGGTGTGGGATTGAGACGGCCGCCAGAGAGAGAGAGAGAGAGCGACGCACTCTTGAGGATCGCTTGTTTCGCTCGCTTGTCAGCACTGCATTCTCGGAGAGCCTTTGGGTGAGTACGATCTGAAGCAGAGCAACAAGTACGTACGATGGCTACGAGGACAGGGCTTTCAGGTCTCTGGATGTGGGAGCGAATGCGGTTTTGTAGCGAACCACATTTTGGAGGTGGGGAAGGGGTGGCACCCTGTGCTCCGTGCGTTGCTCAGGCGGAGTAGGCGGTGCCCTTTGGTACGTCACATAAGGCTGGCTTGCACTCAGCCCACACGCGGCCCAGGCGTAGCACAGCGACATTCTCGCCTTTTTATTCATTCAGGAGTCGACCATTGCTGACTGTGACCTCTCTCAATACCACTGCTATCCCACACTTACTATGCCGCCCTCGCTCGACCCTCGACCGCCGAAACGGCTCTCGGGTATCCTCATGCAGCTCAAGACGGTCTCGTCACCAGCAACCAGCCACATTTCCGAGCGAACCTCGACCTCGACGTTGGCTTCATCCGCCCGGATGGCCAGGAGCGACGAGACGATCCAACAGATTGACACCAGCAGCCCAGCTGGGCCACACGACAGAGAAGCAGACAAGGTCCACGGCTTGGCTGCAGACACAAAGGCGAAGGATACTGTGACACCAGGTGCCACTCCTGAGGCCACGGCGAGAGAAGAGGAGAGAGACGACAAAGAAGACGACGAGGCAGGGCTGAGGGAGCATCCTCGACAGACCCGTCGACACTTTCGTGATCTTCTTCACCACCGAGGCGAGCGCAGAGATCGGATCAGGAAGCGGGACAAGGCAAGAATGGTCGGACATCAACTCCACTCCGCTTTCAAGTCGTGGTTCAAGGACGTGAGTAGGGAGCGCTTGTGAGGCTGGTCAAATGAGGACGTTGCGCTCACATACTTCGGAACCAGTTTGAGTCCGATGGCACGCCAGTGCTGCCATCTCAGCTGTCGAAAAAGTACAGCGTCGAGGACCACGTTCTTGGGCAGGGCTCCTTTGCCGTCGTCAAGCCAGTGACTGAAAAGGCGACCGGCGAGCAACGGGCGCTCAAGATCATTGCAAAGAAGCCGCTCAAGGACAGCAACGAAAAGATGCTCAAGGAGGAAATCGCCATTCTTGGAAAGGTCGAGCATCCACACATCATCAAGATGTGGGATCTCTACGAGACCAAGGAGGTGAGCCGTCGACTGCCTGAAAGGAAGACGTCCATCCACTGACAGAATGGCTGCTGCAGGCTGTCTTCATCGTCACTGACCTCTGCCGTGGAGGCGAGCTTTTCGACCGGCTTGTGGAGAAGGTGCACTACAACGAAATCGACGCACGCCACATCACCCGTCAGATCTTCCAGGGCATTGCCTACCTGCATGAGCAGGACGTCATTCACCGAGATCTCAAGCCGGAAAACATCCTCCTCCGCAACAAGGGCGAGCCGAGCGAGATTGTTATCTCAGACTTTGGCCTCTCGCGCTTCATCCCAGATGACGGTCTCCTCATGACTGCCTGTGGCAGCCCTCAGTATGTGGCTCCCGAGGTGCTGCTGGGCAAGGGCTACGGACCGGCCGTTGACATCTGGAGCGGTGGCGTCATCGCATACTGTCTTCTGGCCGGCTACACACCCTTCTACGGCGAGGACCAGCCCGCGCTCTTCCAGCAGATCCTCTCGATGAAAGTCGATTTTGAGCCAGAATACTGGTCGGAGGTGTCCAAGACGGCAAAGGACTTCATCCTCAAATGCCTCTGTCCCCCGGAGCAGCGTCTCACGGCCGAAGAAGCGCTCAACCACCCGTACCTCGCAGACCTACCAGACTTGCACCCAGACCTGGCCGACGAGCATCGTGGCTGCAACCTCAAGCACTCGACGCAGAAGCACCTTTCGGCACGGCAGAAGCTCAACAAGGCCGTGACAGCCGTTGAGGCATCCAATTACCTCCAGCGACTCCACTACCTCCGTCAGGCGCACGCGAAAGACATCCATCCTGATCGATTGGACTCGCTCATGCGCATCGTCACCAACCTCAGCGCCCACAGCATCGATACCGAGCATACTCCTACAACGCCGCAAGCATCAGCTTCGTCTACGAGTAATGTTGTTCATGGATTTTCCAAAGACGACGAGGCACCGACGAAGAAGAAACAGGACTCGGGCATGTCCCTCAACCTTGTCGTCATGTCTGCTTTTGTCCCCGAGCCAAAGCTTGACGGCCTCAATGATCCTCGGAAGCGCAGCGGCGGCGGTGGCGGTGGCGGCGGCGGAACTGCAAGTGTTGCCGCTGCTGCCATGGCCACGCAAAAGGGCGAGAACAAGGTGGAGACGGATGACGACGGAAAGCCAGCAAGTCCGGCTCAGTCGTCTTCTGACATCTCAGACGCCACGGCTCGGCCTGCATCTTCTTCTGTCAGCTCACAAAGGCGGAGACAAACGCGGACAAAGTCGAGCAAGACTCTCGACGCCTTGTTGGATCAGTACAAGTCGTCTCAGATGCCCTCTTCGGCGCGTCTCGATCCTTCGGCAGCGACATTGCAACCGGAAGGCATGTCGCTGGCAAAAGCCTGGCGCTATGTTCCCTTTCTTGTCCACCAGGGCATCTCCATTGGTTCGGCCATTGCTTCGCATGCCATCTATGGTCCGCCAAAGAAGTCCTGGGGTCTGGAAATGACTATCTTCACCAGAATCATGCGCGAGTCAGCAAGCTACACCGAATTTGCAACCATTGCCGGGATGCAGCAGTTCTTCGACCTCTCCTCGTTTCTTCCCGTGCCTAAGGACGGTCTCATCACCCCTGTGACTTTCCGCGTCAAGAAGCGGGGCCTCAAAGGTCTTCTCGCCGAGGCAGATGCCCAAGAGGACGGCACACGAGAATTGACGGGCGAATGGGTCGTGGGAAAGCAAACGTGGCGACGATTGCAGTCTGATTGGCGCTCTGGCAAGGCAAAGGACAAAGAGCGGGTCATCCTCTACTTTCACGGAGGCGCCTACTTTGTGATGTCGGCTGTCACGCACCGACCAGTAACAATTTCTCTCTCCAAGTACACCGAATGTCGGGTGTTTGGCATCAACTATCGGCTGGCGCCCGACTGCAAGTTCCCTGGCCAGCTCCACGACTGCGTCTCCTCGTACTTCCGCCTCGTTGACGACCTGGGCATCCCCCCTAGCAACATTGTCCTCGGCGCCGACTCGGCTGGTGGCGGCTTGGCCCTCGCCACGATGTACTACCTTCGCGACAATGGCTACGAACTGCCATCAGGGGCCATCCTCTTCAGCCCCTGGGTGGATCTGACACTGTCGTGCGACTCGTGGGTGACAAACAGCGCTTACGACTACCTGATTATGCCGTCGAGTGAGGATCACATGAATCCTGTCTATGCGCTCCTGGGCGAGAATGTCGACAAATACCTCACCCATCCTTATGCCAGCCGTGAGTACCTAAGAGCGTCTTCATGAGAGTGACATTCGGCTAACATGTAGAGACGAACAGCTCTGTTTGGCGATATGCGCGGTCTTCCTCCGTTGCTGATCCAGTGTGGCGACGCTGAAGTGCTCCGGGACGAGATCACGCTCCTGGCGCACAAGGCCTCGCTCGCCGGCGTTGCGGTGCGCCACGAACTGTACGAGGATTGTGTCCACGTCTTCCAGGCGTTCCTCTTCCTCGATGCCTCTCGCAAGGCGCTGCAGTCTTGCCGACACTTTGTCCGGACTGCGCTAGACAAGCGTGGAAAGCGCAGGGCCGAAGTCAAGAGCAAGGCCAAGGAGGAGATGGATCGAGAGATGCGGCAGGGAATGGAAAACGAGCGAGGCGAGGAAGTGGAGCCGAGAACCGGCGAGATCAAGGGAAGCTGGAAGGCAGAGAGGAGCGCCGAAAGCGACAGCGAGGCAGCACCAGCCAAATCTTCTTCCTCTGCCACCCCATCAACGGGAGGCGGACAGAGACCGGACAAAGCAGTAAGGAGAAGCGTGGATGGTAGCCGGCAGAGCGAGGACGATGCCGACTGGGAAGAGTTTGAGCGGAGCCAGAACTCGGCAGCGGGTAGTGACGAGCCGACGACGCTGGACCGCGTCGCTGGCGCTGCGCAGCCTGCCAAGGTCGTTGGCAGTGCGCTTGGCGTGAGCGACGCCTCCGTGACGAAGCAGCAGCAGCAGGAGACCGAGGACGGGTCGATGCGCCGCAGCAAGTCCCAGCAAGATACCAGTGGCAGCGGAGGAAGCAGCGCGGCTGGCGCACCACAGAGGCGGGGCGACCGTAGGCCGGTGCAGTCGATGACGTCGATGTCGCTCGAGCAAGCGCGGTCGCGTGCGCAGGCGGGGATGCGCCAACAGGAATCAAGGGAAGCGTCGCACTTGGCCCGCTTCCACGACCCTGAGAAACCGCTTCAGCCTCGCGTCCGCCGCTCGGCAAGCAACGCTGCCGTCAACGACCTGCTGCAGAGCTACAACGCAAGCCAGGGCGGCCAGAGCGGGCTTCACACGAGGGTCTTTACGCCGGACGACAAGTAGAGTACCGCTTTTTCTCCCTCCTCTCTTTGCAAATAGAAAGAAAGTTCTGTCCTCCTCGTCTCGATCTGTAGTGTTACCCATATGATCGATAACTTCACGAATGCCCTTTTTGTCGGCAACATCAAGGCTAGATTGCTTCGTCTTTCGCGGCGGGAAAGGGGCACGCTCTGGCCGGTGAATGAACTTTCGACTTGGAAGAGTGGGATTCGCCTTTGGAGAGCTCCATCAGACAAGAGATCGGAACATGAATGACGCTTTTCTCCATCCGCAAAAAGCACAACAAGAATCTTTTCTGGGATTCGCTTGAGAGTGTGCGTGTGAGAGAGGCTGTCTCTGGACTGGTTTGCAGAAAGACTAAGACTGGAAAAGGGGAGGAAGTGGGGTAGTAGGCAAGCACAAATAGATGTAAAGCGAGCGAGCGAGCGAGCGAAAGTACACCGAGAGAGAGAGGGAGAGAAAGAGGCAAAAAGTGGTATGTATGCGGTTGCAGGTCCTGTCTCGAGGATGACACCGCAAGATCGATAGAGAATGGCGAAAGAGGGGGAAGTGTGTCAATAGGGGATGGAAGGTGTGAGAGAGGAGGGGAATTAAAGCCAGGCAGCGCCAAAAGCCATGCCGCCGAAGAGGGCAAAAATGGTGAAAGTAGAGGCAGATCCAAGCTCGACTCGTGGTGCGGCATCGACAATCTACAGAGACGGTGTCAGTGTGTGATCCTCTCCGACCGAGGCGCGAAAGAAAGAGACTCACCTGCAAATTCGAAGGGTTAGGCTGGAAAGGCCTCGTGTAGTCAGTCGGCTCGCCATTGGCCGCAACGCTGCTTAGGACATTGTCCAGCGGGGTGTTGGTGACAGTGGAAATCGGTGCATCATAGGTGAATGCGTACGACCCTGTCGCAGGCGAAGGGCCGGTAGCGCCGCCAATGGTCGTCGGGGTGCGCGAGGCAGCCGTCGCGTATGTCGTGACGGGTGTGAATGTCTGAGAAGGACTGTAGACCGGCGTCGTGAATGTAGAGCCGCCGAGTGGGTCCGTAGAAACCGAGGGTGTCACTTGGGCCTGTCGGCAGAAGAGCCGATATACTTTGATCAGATGATGTCTGCAGAGAGACGTGTATCTCAGGGACATCTTGACTCACCAAAGCCATAGACACCGCAACCAAAAGAAGCGCGACGGCGCGGAAGACGACGGATGAAGCCATTTCCTATTGTGAAAAGAAGGGGGAAAGAGAAAAGGATTCAAGGAGCGTACGACGAGAGCTATGGTGTGGGGTAGCGATTCCGGGAGGAGTCCTTCCTTGACGATCCGACGGGAAGCGACGAGGAGTGTGAAGCAATCGTGGTTTAAAGGTGTCAAGCAAGGGTTGGAGGACGGAGAGAAGAGAGAATGAGGGGACAGGGTAGGGTGTAGGCAGGGGAGGATGGCAAGGTGAAGGAGAAGAGAGGTTAGGTGAAAAGAAAAAAGCCGGAGACGTGAGCGAGTGGGTTCATCGTTCCCTTTCGGATTTCAACTATTCATGGCTGCCATTTTCCACATCCACTCAGGTCACCAAGTTGTATTGTTATTGCTCTCATTACTCTTTTCATTAAAGAATTCGCCTTTCAGCAAAAGTTTGGATGTCTGCCATGGCGTCAATTCTTGTAATTCCAGGCTAAAACTTGTTTTTCGATTTTGCGGGGGTCCAAAATTGGGGAAGCCCGGATCTGAGCAATTCCAAGACAATATAACACTAGACTAAGGCTTAGTTAGGAGTCTTGAGTGTCGATGCGCTCTCGTCGTTGTCGCTGCTTACCGCGCGAATGAGGGCGGTTGGCGTACAGCTCAGCCTGGACGCCGAAGCTCAGATGTGTCGAATAGGCGGAGGCTCTGGATAGACGCAGTTCTGCCACCGCTTGACGCAATATCATCGTCATCCAGGACAGCGGAGGCTGAATAAATAGCTGGCTGCTCTCAGTGCGCTACTGCGTTACTCTCTGTTGCTGAAGTAGGAGTCTGGCTGACTAGTTGTGTGGCTAGATGATGTTCTGGCGGCGCCGCTACGTCGATGATGTACGTGTCCCGGCACGGCTGCTGACTAAGGCCGGGCGGCTCGACTTTGACTCACAAGAAAGAGAAAGACCAAACGAGGGTTGTCGAACAAATGCGCCCTTGCTTGGCTCGGGCCCTTGCAACGAAGCTCGATCCACTAGCTGCCTGCACGCTTGTCTCTGGCGAGCAAGCAAGAGAGGGCGGCACACATCGGAACTCCTTTTCTTGCTCTGTCCTCCACTTTGCAGCAACCTCCTTCTCACTTCTTATCTCAGCCCTCTCGACCGCACTAGTTTCGAGCTGATCTACATTTGCCCAGCCGATCGCTGCGACCTCTTCACTTCCCGAAATCACGACTTGGCAGAGAGAAAACGACCAACAATCATTCGACAGACTACACATTCGTGTCCACTTTCATCTGGACCAGAAAGAGCGTCACCACAGAAGGCGAACGTGTAGAGTTCGCATGCAAGTTCGTGCTTTTCCGTGATTTATTGTCGTCGTCGTCGACAACGCTTGGCACCTTTTTGCCATCCTTTTCCAGTATGACAGCCTACGAGCCATGCCGGCACAGTCCGCTCGTCGGCCTTCCCGAGGAGCTGTTGGATGACACGCACGCTTTCCTTGAAGCTCAGCCTTCACCACAGACTGAAAGTCGCACCCACCTTTTTGCAATGGTCAGACAAGATCATCCGGTGAATGCCCCTCTCCTTGGTCGCCCAAATGGTCGATGCTTACCGAGATAGAGCCTGCAGTCGCTCACGAGCCGTCAGATCTGGCTTGCGATCTGTCCCTTTCGCTCCTCGGCTGTTATGCACGCAGCGACATCGTTGGAAGCACGTAAGCAGCATGAAGAGATGATCTCCCATCTACATGCCTGGTTTACTCGCGAGCCTCTCGATCGGGCTTCTTTCGCCTTGTGGAGTCTGGCGACGATGACCAACATTTTCACCAGTGCCAGCCGCTCCGAAGAGGACTTTCACGGGCAATTCGAAGTCAGAGGCGTCCTCCTCGCCCTTGCCACGGCCGATGTCGAAGAGGTCTTTCAAAAGGGGAGCGTGTCTGATCTGCAAGTCCTCGCGCAGAGGCTCATGCGAACCGAAGATGCTATTACTGCCCGTAGCCCTTGGGAAACGAAAATGGCTGCCAGAAAGGCTCTTGCTCGGCGAAGTCTTCAGTCGGCTCCGTAGACGAGTTCATGTTTTATTTCCAGGCAGCAGGGACAGTATTCTTCATTCCCTCATTTATCTTCCTCTTCTAGGACCCTCAAGGAACAATCTCTTCGTTTGTTCTCGCTCCCTTTTTCATGTATCATCGAAATTGTAGCTTCCCCGCCTCTTTGGCAATCGTTCTTCTACTCCACCTTGCACCGAAGAAGCATTGCCTGCAGCATTGCCTGTCGGTTGAGCTTCTCGCGTTGGAAGCACGTGACTGATTTTCACCTCAGTGGATTTTCGCAAACGAGACCATCGCAGCACGAGAGAGCGAGAGAATAGAAGTGTTGCTCGTCGGATTCGTTCTCTCTACGACGCCCTCGACTTCGTCGTTTGGGAGGAGCCGGGCTGTTCATTTCATCTCATGGACTTTCCGTCGCAGGACCCAGAACCGTCCGCGCCGGCGTCTCGAGCGCTGGCGGGCCCTTCAAGGACCAAGCCCGATGCTCGTCGTCAGGCGAGGACTTCCTCTCTGAAACCCTACGCCAGGCCGCCGCCGCCGTTGCCGACGTCTTCTTCGTCGTCGTCGTCGGCCAATTTCATTCGTTCCTCCTCATCGTCATCAAACGCGGCATTGGCAAATAGCTTGAAATCCGACGAAAAGGACCAAGGCCGACGTGGGAGTAGCAGGGGAGGTGGGGGCGGTCTCTTCAGCAGTCTTCGGCAGGCCATATTCTCCAGACCTCTCAGCTGGTTGCAGGGTGGCGCATCTCAATCGGACACCGGCGATCTCAACCGATCTTCCAGCAGTAGCTCCTTGCCATCGACTGAGCAAAGGGAGGCGGCCACTAGGCTCGCCGCGCGCCATCATGCGACGGACCCCGAGGCACACCGCACGTCGCTCCCGAGCTCTTTGACACAAGGCCAGCCAGCTCCCCAAGCAAGACTGGCTACCACCCCTGATCGGTTCAACGTGAGAGCGGCCAATCGGCCGTGGCAGGCACGCTCGGCCGGAGACGCGGTACGCAGTGGGCGCTCACCTTCCCCAGCGGCTATGTCGTCGACGAGCGGCAGCGTCAGACAACGCGTGTCTCTTGGTGCAGGAGCAGGAGGTGCAGCAGGTTCCTCAGCAGGAGGACTGTTCGGCACACCCCCGAGCCTGACGCCAGGCTATCGACGTACCGGCTCGCTTCGACGCGAGGGAAGCGTCGGCGCCCCTCCCTCAATCTCGGCGAGCCAGAGCCACACCCCTGCGCTTTCGTACGGTTTCGGCTCAGAGCGACGATATACCCAGCTCAGCTCGGCGGGCAGTGCCTATGGTTCAATGACGCCCTCGAAGACAGCTCCGTCCAACACGGCCTCGTCTAGCCACTATCGGCTCCCCTCGCGAAGCCCATTGGCTAGACCGGGCCAGAGGGGCTCCGTTGGACCAGGTGCAGGCTATGCTGCATCGGAAGCGGGTGCCAGCCCCCTGGCAAGATCAGCTGGTCTCTATGCAGGCGGTTCGAGGCCGGGGAGCGTATATGGCGGCTCGCTCCTGGGCGGACCCAGGCAGTCGGTCGCGGGTTCGGTGGCAGGGAGCAATGCGAGCATGACGCCCAGGCGGAAACAGTGGAGTAGCCTCAAGCTCGGTCCTCAACGGATGGAGGCGTCCGAAGGCGAAGAGCTCATGCGAGAATATGCTTCCATGCGCGAAAGACAGGGTCTTCAGACGGCTGGTCAAGGACCTGGCTCTTCACGAGCAGGAAGTGTCATGGATGGCGTCCACGACTTTATGAGGCCGTTGAAAAGAGAGGCAGCAGCTATGAGCATGGATCTGGACGACGATGCCATGAGCAGTGCGAGCGGGAGGAAGAGGCAGAAGCGATTCGTCTGGGACTCGGACATGGGCTTCGTGAGCCGCGACGAGCAGCGAGCTCGGCAGCAGCCGCCCAGGCCTGTTGCGCAGAACGAAGCAGAGAGGATCCTCAATGTTCTTGAGAGCATGAGAACGCCGCTCGGTGATGCGAGGAGGGACGCCAGCGCGAGGTCTTCAATGACTGTGAGTCACTTCTCTGTTTTCTTGCTCTTTCCTCCAGTCTGATCACCTCCGCTTCTCAGCCATCGCGACATATGGCCGCTGTCCCGGTGCCCTTGCCCGTCGCCGAGCGATCCATGCGCGAACGAGATGCTGCATCGAAGACCCTTGCGCCTTACTCTCGCACAATCAAGCAGAATAGACTCTCGACTTCTCTGGCCTCTGCCGAAGCGCCCGAGGGTATGCGTGCTCGGCTTCGAAGGTCTGCCCCAGCAGCGGCTATACCAAAGAGGGATTCGACCACCAGGAAGAAGCGAGAGGAGGATGCGATGTCGGAATCTAGCGATCGGCAAGTAAGCGACGAGGGTAATCAGATGGATGACGAGGTTGGGAACGAGGTGGAGGAAGAGAAAGAAGAAGAGGAAGAGATTGTCGAACCGCCCAGGAGAAGATCGGCGAGAACTGTTGTAAAGACGAAGCAGCAAAGCCAAGAGCTAGGAAAAGCAACGCCTGATGCAAGCGGAAGAAGTTTGCGCCCAACAAACAAGGTCGATGCCAAGCCGGCAGAGAACCCCGCATCCAAGGCAATGTCAAAAGCCCGGCCGCGCTTTTCCGTCAATGGTGCGTCGGCTGCACGACGGGAACGAGAGACAAATGTCGACGATTCTTCAAGTACTACTGCCGCTACCAAAGATTCACAAAAAGCATCGCAAAGTCTCTTTGGAACGGGTGCGACATCGGCGAGTGCGTCAACGCCCTCCAAGGACAATTTTTCGATTCGTTCAGGCTCGGACACTGGTTCCAGCCGGGGCCGATCGAGCCTTCGTCAGGGCGCCGAGAAGACGTCGAGGCAGCACGTCAAGTCTGGACGGATATCGGCGTGGGACATGGAGGACGACGATGATGAAGACGACGGACTTCCCGGATCTGAGGATCTGAGCAAGATCAAGCTGCCGCCAACGATGTTTCCCAAGGGCTTCTCTTTTGGTGCTTCCTCTTCGACGTCGACTGCCTCAACGTCGACTCCGGTCACCTCATCTGACTCGGCGTTCAAGGCATCTTCGACAGCAACGCAAAAGGACGGAGAAGCGCAAGAATCCAGGGATGAAACAAAGGCCCTTCCTGCTCCGCAAGATGTGACGGAGAAGAAGGAGCTGAAATCTGCAGAGCCTGCGGATAAAGAGCCTCCATCTCTCTTGAGTAGACTCGGAGGCTTTGCTCCTCCAGCTCCCTCGGATTCCACCACGCCTAAGAAAGATCCACCACCCACTTTCTCGTTCAACGCGCCAAGCACTTCAGACAACAAGGAAGCAAAAGCCCCCATGTTCTCGACGTCTGTCGCACCGTCTCAGTCTGAGGCCAAGTCTCCATTTTCCTTTGCGCCAGCCAAGCCCGCAGCCAATACGTCCTCGATGGGCTCTGACTTTTTCAAAGCTGGCCCTGCATCTTCATCGCCTACTCCGTCGCCGTCTACCGAGCCAGCGGCAGCCAAGCAGGATGGACCTATACCCAACTTTTTCGCTTCATCTTTGGCCAGGTCGGAAGCGCCTAGCAGCGGAGGAGCAGAAGCTCAAGCGCGACCCTCGAGTGATGGGAGTGCAAGCGAATCCTCTCACCTGGACAAGGCGGCTTCGACTGGTGGTGAGAAGAAAAATGCTCCCTTCAGCTTTGGTACACCTTCTTCCTCTTCGCCTGCGGCCACGACTGAGCCAAAGGCTCCAATGCCCTTTTCCTTCGGCCAACCGTCTTCGTCTTCCTCCAATCCGTCAGCGTCGACGTCGACTCCTTCCTTTGCCGGCTTTGGAAACGGAAGATCATCTGCCAAACGGGGTGCAGAAGACGATAGTGAAGGGGCAGAGGAGCCTGGTGCGAAAAAGACGGCATCGCCATTCGGAGGAGGCATCAATTTTGGCCAGCCTGCCTCATCAGCTTCTTCCGAAAAGCCAAGTCATCCTTCGTCTTTCACATTCGGAGCTCCTGCGTCTGACAAGGGCAAGCCTGCTGTATCTGCAGCGCCAGCTGTGACCCCTAGCGCAGCATTCAGCTTCGGACAGCCGCCCAAGCCTGCCGAAGGAGGTGATTCTACCAAGAAGGTACCGACGCCGGCTTTCAGCTTTGGTGCAACCGCATCGCAGCCCAAAAGCGGTGAGGCCTCATCAAAGGAGGCATCTCCCGCGCCGAGCTCGGGCGATTCAGGTGGCCTCTTTTCGAAACCGGTGCAGCAGGAAGCTCCTAAGCCGTTCTCATTTGGACAGCCGGCATCCAACGGTAACGCCTTTGGCGGCGGCGCGAGCCGCAACGATATGATGGACAGCGCACCTTCTGGTTTCGGGACTGCCAAGCCTTCGGCAGCACCAGCCAGCAACAGTAGCGGAGGCTTCTCCTTCGGTGCTCCTGTCAGCTCTGCCGCACCAGTGACGTCGGCTCCCAGTGCCTCGACTTCAGTCTCATCTCCATTCAGCTTCGGCGTCGCAGCGTCTTCCAATTCCCCCAGTAATCCGTTTGGGGGCAACGCGACGACTTCGTCGCAGCCTCAGACGCCCGCATTTGGCGCTGTTTCGGGAACTGGGTCCGACAACAAAGGCGGAGGAAGCGGCTTCTCCTTCGGCCAGCAGCCATCCAACAACAGTGGCGCCAATGGTTCCGGCTTTGGAGCTCCGGCTTCTTCATCGCCCTTTGCCTTTGGGGCAAAGACTGGAGGCTTCGGAGCGGGGACAACGCCTACTACCTCGCAGCCTTCGACTCCTGGCTTCGCCTTTGGAGCGGCAGATACCAGCCGGCCAGGGACACCCAGCTCTGCATCCCAGAGTGGCTTCTCCTTCGGACCTCAGCCCCAGCAGCAGCAGAGCAGCACACCTGGAGGGAGCGGTTTCACCTTCAGCATGCAGCCTAGCAACTCGTCGTCTGGTGTGTCCCAGGGCGGTTTCGGGGCCGGTGGAGGTGCCGGGGGCCAGTCATCACCTGCACCCTTTGTCTTTGGTCAGCAGCCGGGCCAGCCCTTGCAACCTCAGCAGCAGCCAGGCTCATCAGGGGGTTTCTCCTTCGGAGCCAATGCATCACCTGCACCGCAGACACCGCCGCCTGCCTCTCCTGCCGGTGGAACGCTATTCAACCTAGGAGCGCCTCCTTCAGCTGGATCCAACGCCTCTGGGGGCGCTGGTGGCAATCGCGTGGTTCGTTCGATGCCCAAGCGAGGTCCGAGACGGGGCTAGACGATGCTCGGCCTCAGATGTTCCTGCTCCTACCGCATTGCAATCACCACCCTCGATCCTCATCGTTCTCTAAATAGCCACTTCCATCACCTTAACTACAATCTTCCATCCCTTCCACACTCTACAAGATCACCAAGTACGCATGGATGTAAGGGTCCCATTGAATAATGTGAAAAGGAGATCACCAGCAGCAACATGCACATCGATTACTACTCTGTCTTTGTAAGTGGTGAGGTAAGAAGTACGTGATCGACTGACGATGGAGTGACGCGCGCCTGCTTGGCTTCAGGGGTCGGTTCGTGCAGCTTCAACAGGCGAAGGATATAAAAGGGCGGCTGATTGTGACCCTCAGCCTTCGTCACCCACTTTCCTTCCTCAGATTGTCTCCTGGCGAGCGTCTCCATCAGGCTTCATTGCACTACTCATCATCACGTCTTCACTCTTTTCTCCCCTGCCTCCGCACCTCAGAATAGTCGGCTGGATCGACCATATTCACTTTCTTGGCAGTAGCAAGCATCTCCTGCAACCATGTCGAACAGGAGCAACTTTGGTCCTTTCTCTACGGCGCCTCGTCTGCCCAGTCGACCGCCACTGCGGCGAGCGCGGTTCAGTGATGACGACGCTTCGCATCACCGGGTGCAGGCACCTGTCTCTTCATCAAGGACCCCTTCGCCGAGTCAAGCTTCCCCATCATCATATCGTCCGGTGGCACCCAGAGCAGAGCTGAGACCGTCCTGCGAAGGTGAGGAAGACGAGGAGCAACGCTTCTCGCTGCATGGCTTGGATCACAGTCTGCTTCAGGCGGCTGTCGAGAGTGTGAGAGAGCACCCAGCACATACCGAGACTAACCCTGCACAAGGTACCCCGACGCGGCCAGAACAGACTTTTCTCGCCCTCACGACACGAAACCAGGAGGAAGAGCAGCCGCCGTTGACACCGAGAACGGGTGGCAAGTCTTCCACAGACGATGGCAGCCCTTTCAAAGCGAATTACTCGCTCGCCGTACCAGGCTCGCCCACTGAACCTGTCAGCAGCACCGTGACGCGCGACATTTCGCCTCTCGACGACGACGGTGGACTTCGCCCTTCTATGTCCAATACCTTTGCTGCTGCTACTACTACTGCTGGCCGGGGAGCAGCTAATCCATTCGCACCTTTCATGCCTCCCGCACCTCATATGTCGGAGACTCTTGCGCAGCAACAACAGCAATACCTCCAGCAGCTTCATGAGCAGCACGCTGCGCAGCAGATTAGACAGCAGCCTGCGACATACGGTGAGGCGATCACGCCTGCCTCATTCTTCGCCAGCACTACCTCGCCGACGAATGTTGAGCCTCTTGCTGCCGCCCTCCCTGCGGATACCTGGATTCGGGACGCTAAATTTCCATTCAGCGTCGTGAATGAGGACAGCGCCCCGGGAGAATGCTCATCAGCGCCGTCAAAGTGGAAGAGCGTCGCAGGTAGGAGACCCACTTCGCATCTCGTTCTCATCAACGACAATGAGGAAGAATCCATCGATATATCGGCGAGGCATGGGCCGACAGATTCCACGGGAAATAGTCACAAGGTTGATCAGTGGCTCAACGAGTCGAGCTTGCCAAGGTCCACTCCAGAAGAGAGAGGGTATACGCAGCCGTCGCTCTTGATGAACAAGAGGAGATCCATCAGTCTTGGGCGTCTCTCATCTGCCTCTGGTCAATTACAACCGACCCCGCCCACGCCTGCTCGACTTGCTTCACATCATCTGAACGGGTCGCCACTAAATGTGCCCAGAACTAGCAGTAGCATGGGGTCGACATGCGGACCACTAGACCCGCCTCACATAATTCACTACGATCCAGCGTCATCACCGTCAATGATCAGGCCTCACGTTCCCCTTCGTATAATCTCGTCGGGATCGCAACGCCTCAAGACATGCCTGAGAACGCCACCGGGCACGCCTCGTCTCAGTCCAACCCGCGCTGCTTCAAGTGGTTTACAGCAATCTCAGGCTGACCTGGACGATTCATGCGAGAAAGGCGTCGTTATCGATCCCATTGCAGGGGTCGCGCCAGCTGAAGATGGTCAGAGCTACTTTGCGACGGCGCACCAGCTCCTTGCTGGACTCTATCGAAGTCAGAACAGCGCATCGTTGGTATCATCGGCCAAAGAGGGCTTACCACAAGCGCAACAGCCTCGCACTCCGAGGCAGTACCCGTCGCAATCAAGCTTCGGTGATGCATCGACGCTGGCAGACACCCCAGTCAAGGAAGATTTCGAAGACACAAACAAAGTAGAGGACAAGATAGCGACGCCAGCTTCTGATCCACTTGCAAAAGAAAAGCTGAGTCGGCGGACCTTGGCAAATCAGCGCCGACGAGCCAGCATGGCATTCACCCTTGGCATGGATGACGAGCCGATGGAAGACGATGATCCGCGTGTGACGGGCAAGGTCCGAAAGAGCGTTCAAGTCAAGCGCGAGCGAGAGGAAATGCGCTCTCTGAACCGCCGGTGCAGTTGGTCGTCCGAGCACGGCGATCCCACGGTCCCGATGCGACCACGCCGTAGGCTTAGTTTTGCCTCTGTGGCTGGTCGCATTATGCGTCGAATGAGTGTGACGGCCGACGACCAGGAACAAGATGAGGACGGTCGGTACACGAAGGCTAACAGAGATCCAGCAACGAAGATTCAATACCATGTCGCTCACGTCCTACAGCGTCAAAAATTCATTCTCAAACTTGCGAGGGCCCTGATGCTCTTTGGTGCACCGTCGCATCGAATCGAATCGCAGCTCAATGCCACGGCAACCGTGCTCGAAGTCGATGCTCAGTTCATTCACTTCCCAGGCATCGTCATTGCCTCTTTCGGCGACTTTGATTCGCACACGTCCGAAACACACTTCGTCAAGTCCAAGACAGATCTGGCCTTGGGGTCTTTACACCGCGTCCATCACGTCTACAAAAAGGTCGTCCACGACGAGATGGGCGTCGAAGAGGGTGCAGAGGAGCTTACGACCATTCTGCACGCCAAGCCCGTATGGTCTGTCTCGAGTCGTGTCCTCTTCAGCTTCATCAAATGCTTTATCATGGCACCACTCTCCTTCGGAGGAAGCATCGTTGATGCGTGCATCGCGGGTGTCTTTGGAGGCTTCCTTACGTTCCTTCAGCTTCACGTCGCCGGCAAGAACCAAATGTATTCGAACGTCTTTGAGATCAGCATGGCCATCATCATTTCGTTTGTTTCCAGGGGTCTCAGCTCGACGGGTGTCTTCTGCTACCAAGCCATTGCAAGCTCTGGCGTCATTCTCGTCCTTCCTGGATACGTCGTCTGTGAGTTTGACTCTTCCTCTCAGTTTACCTCTGCGTATCACTGATGCAGTAGTGATAGTGTGCGGCTCTCTGGAGCTGGCGAGCAAGAATATGATTGCGGGATCAGTCCGAATGGTCTACGCCATCATCTACAGTCTATTCCTCGGCTTCGGCATCGCCATCGGCTCGGACGTATACTTCCTCCTAGACCCTGGTGCGCGCAAGACGATGCACGTACCCCTTCAAACCAGCAGCCAGGTCGAAGGCACCTTCACGATGGCTAATGCGACGACACCTCTCTGGGCGGGCCACTTTACCTTCACCAATGGCACGACAAATGCCCTCAACACTGGCTCAATTGGATGCGAGCGCGAACCAGAGTGGCCTTGGTACCAGCAGCCATTGACGCCCTGGCTCAACTTCCTCTTTGTCCCCGTCTTCGCCACACTTGCCTGTTTCAATCTCTTGCAGCCTCTTCGTTCGCGCGAGGTGCCCGTCGCCGTCTTTATCGCTTGTGTCGGATGGGTCATCAATCGCGTCACCAAGACATTCATCTTTGACCGGTCTGACGTCGTCAGTGCCATTGGCTCTTTCGCTATCGGCCTGCTGGGAAACCTCTACAGCCGCATTTTCAAAGGAACGGCATTCACAGCAATGACGCCCGCCGTCCTCTTTCTCGTACCAAGCGGCATGGCCATGGCGGGAGGTCTCGCCATGACGTACAAGGGCTCCGATGGAGACCTCTACTCTAATGGCCTCTCGATCGGCCTGCGCATGGTACGTTTCCCTTCTCCGCATCTATTCATAGATCCTACACACTGACTGTCGCTTTGCAGATACAAGTCTCGATCGGCATCACGACTGGCCTTTTTGCATCGTGCCTTGTCGTCTATGCCTTCGGTCGCAAGAAGGGCGCTGCACTCTTTGCATTCTAGATTTTCTCCCATGTATTACCATCCATATCCAAGCATTAAGCACATATCACTTCTGCCTTGAAAGAGAGAAGAGCTCGGAAGTGTCCAGCAGCGGCGAGATTGGGAGCGGAGACGCCAGAGTGATTGCAGCAGCTTCTTGTCCACGCTCGACAGCTTGCCTCCACCATTGTTCCACGGCTGAGGGTGACTCTTGCGAGAGCGGCCGCTGGCGAAGGGCTAAATCGACAAGAATGGAACCCGCGAATGTGTCGCCGGCACCTGTCGTGCTGACGATCATCTCTTGGCGCACCTTCTGAGCAGGCACCCTGAACATCCTCGGTCTCGCCTCTTGCTCTGTCGAAGGAGGCAAGACGACCAGGACGCCTCTCGCGCCGCCTTTTACGAGTAAGACGGACCCACTAGCGTCGCACAGAGACATGGCGGCCGCATAGACGGATGCTTCCGTCTGGACGCCATGCGCTTCCTTGCGCACGCTTTCGTCCTCTCTGACAATTCGATGGAGACCGAGCTCGGAGGTGCGTGAGGCCATGCGAACTACCTCAAATTCGTTGGGCGTCATGACATCTACGCCCCATCTTCTTCTCCTGTCATTGTCATCTGACGTTTCCATCGGTGGGAGGCGACCTTGACGCTGCAGCAAAGCCACGGCATCGATGAGAGCTGTGCATTTAGGCACCGAGGTCGGCTCGTATAAGGCAGTCGTCGTCGAAAGGGAGAGCTTAATGATCTCGGCCATTGTATCTGCGCTTAGATTGGCGTCAAAGGCTAGGATCGTAGGAACCTTGATCAAGGGCGAGAGTTGTCTCGCCACGTCACTCGTTGAAAAGCTTGATGGGTCAATGTCTGCAACGCCTGAGATGAGGTCACCTGCACCGTCGAGCTGCAGGGAGACGCTTGCCGTTCTATTTCCGTCCTTGTCGGCAGCGATTGATGACGAAGTGAGAAAGAAGCCATCGGTTCGCATCCCGAGCTTCTCGGTTTCTCGCAGCAGATAGTCTCCCAGGGCATCCTGGCAGACGGGTGATACTAGCCGAACGGCAGATGGGGAAGGTCCACGCGAGGATGGTCCATAGGAGGGGAAAAGGCGATGAGCGCATTCCGCCATGTTGCGGGCTACGCCGCCTAGTGAGAGATGATTTCTACCTGGGTATGTTGTTGCAGAGAATTTCTTGGAAGTTGTTGATTGAGAGGTGATGTCGACAGCAGCGAAACCGACGACAACGATGTGAGCAGCGGGCTCTCTGAGCTCACTTTTACAGATGTCCGCATCAGCAAGGTGCCAATGCACGGAAGGCGGGGCCATGCTCACCTACTCACCAGGCTCTTGTCTGTATCCTGGCCAATAGCTTCGAGGCCTGAGCTGGCGTACACTTTGGCGCTCTTCTCCTTGGCCGCTTCTTCTTCCATCTTGATCAGATCCTGAAGTTCGACGGCCGTCCTTGCCGCCATGGTAGCGCTGTTGAGCATGAGAGCCTTGTTGCTTGTCAACGACTCGCTTGCCAGCTCGCTGACGCGCTTGAGAAGCCATGGAGTGGCCTCTTTGCCGCGCTTATCAATGCCCTGCTCGACGGACTCGGCAACGGCCTGCTCAACAGCCTTTTGGATCTTCTGTCCTGCAGCCTCGTACTCATTTGGAATTGGCACCCCAAAGACAATACCGCTCGTCAGGCCCAGCCTCTTGCTCTCGAGAATCAACCTCGCGGCGTCTCTTGGCCCGTCGACCTGAGGTACGCGGCAGCCTGAATAGGCCGTGTAAAAGGCTGGGAACTGGCCTGAAGAGGCAAAGGTGTGGACACTGACACCTTGTGTCTCGAGGTATTCGAGTGTACGTGGAATGTCGAGGATGGACTTTGCGCCAGCGGAGAAGACGGCCACGGGCGTTCGTGCCAACTCGGTGAGGTCCGCAGACACGTCCATCGCTGCATGCGCGTCGATTCAGCTTGGTCCGCGCGCAGTCAAAGAGCAAACGAACAGCTACTCACACGCCTCGCCTCCTCGATGAACGCCACCAATGCCGCCCGTGCCAAAGACATCAACACCTGCCATGTGAGCGAGGATCATGGTGCCTGAGACGGTAGTTGCGCCTACGCTTCCCCTTCCCTTGGCCAGAACAGAGGCGAGGTCTCTCCTTGACGTCTTCACCGCCTTTGCCGGTCCACCCTCTGCCAAGCGCTCGATCTGCGCTCGATCAAGACCAACGTGCGCCTTACCATCGAGGAGCGCCACAGTGGCTGGCACCGCGCCGGCGTCCCTGACGGCCTTTTCTGCGGCGAGAGCCACGCCCAGGTTGGCGGGCGAAGGAAACCCATGGGTGATAATTGTTGACTCGAGGGCGACGACGGCCTTGCGCGCAGCCAGTGCCGCCTGTACACTGGGGTGCACCACGAGGCGTGAAGTAGCCATTGCCTCTAGGCAAATTTGTGCCTTTCCTCGAGAAGACAGAGAGAGAAAAGAAGAATCGGAGTTGAGAATTTAGGCTAGGCGTGGGCGGGCGTGTGCGGCGCGAAAACAAGGCAGCGTAAACACGAGCAGCAAAGCTCATTGACTGCTAGTATTGACGGTCGCTCTACGCCGACGCCAATTTGACCTGGGAGTCCATATAAAGTAGCCTGAAACAGCAATGCCAGGAGTGATTCCCACACCCCTCGATCTCCCTTCCCATCCTCTCCCTAGCGGAGTGAGCCACCATTTCCGAGCTAGCCTTGGACATCCCTATCCCCTCTCCACTTGACCAGCAGGCCTTGTCCCCATCTCCTTAGTCGCTGCCTGGCGCAGACCCAAGCAAACTTCCACTCATTTCTATAATCAAGCGACCTACGAGCTACAGCCCTTACAGATATTTCCGGCCAAGGATGAGACTTCACGCCATGACTGTCCTTACTTTTCTCGTTGCCCTTCTCGACGCAACTTCCTCTACCGCGAGACCAGTCATACCACGGGGCAGAGGCGGTCCAGATGACCCTCCATACATTCTACGGAGGTCAACAGGAAGTGAAAAGAGGCACGAAGGTGGCTTCGACATATACGATCCCTCTTTGCTCGTCTCCAGACAGGTCAACGACCCTACAATTCCACCGCCAGCTGGTACTCCGACACCGGCAACACCCACTCTCAAGAAAGCCGTCACATTCTCCCCCGATAACGGCCGCCAATCGGGCTTCATCATGGTACCCGCACCTGCACCTGGCAATGCAAGACAAACCCTCTTCTTCGACTTTGAAATGCCCGTTGCTGGCCCCGCCACGCTTTCGACAAACACCACAAATACCACCACAAGTACACAAGAGCCAAAGAAGGAGGTAAAAGATTGTGACGAGAAGGATAAGGACAAGGACAAGAATATGGGAGGAGGGAAAAACGAGAAAGCAGGTCAAAATGAAGGTGAAGCCGACAACACGCAAAATGACAAGAATGATGGTGGGGACGATGGAGGGGAGGGGAATGTAAACGACGTCGGAGCCCAAGATGCAGGCGGAGACGAAGGGAAGAAGGGGGCCGAACAAGATCAGAAACAGAAAATAGCTGATCCCCCCGCCGACGGTGGTAAGAGTGAGGCCGAAGACGCGACAAAGGCCGCAGAAGGCGACAGTAGCAATAACAAAGACAAGAGCGATGATGACGCTGGTGGAGGCACAAAGGTCATATTCAAACCGACGTCTGCTGACGATGATGGCAAGGACCAACGGAAGCCGAATAACGAAATCATAATTTCGACTGGTCAGAAAGACGCTGACGCCGGTGGTGATGCCAAACCAGCCAATGACCAGGGCAAGAAGGAGCAGTGGCCGCCCAAAATTGACCCCGGAAAGGATGCGACTCCACCGCAAAATAAAGAGTGACCCAGACGGAAAACAGAAGCCCGCGGAGCCAAAGGAGCAAGCGCCTGTCGAGACACCACCGCCATCGAAAGGGCTCTCTGAGGCCGATCTTGCTAAAGGTGCCGCAGGTGGGGGCGACGAGAAGAAATTAACTGGCCAAGGTGACGATAAGGGAGGCAAGCCCGCAGATCCCCAGACGGCCGGGAATTCGTCGATCACAACAAATTCGACTCAGTCTGGCCGAAAATTCGATCTCGAGCCTGTCAAGACAGATGAGGTCATCAATGCGCATAAAGGGGATGTCGTCGCATATGTCACCGACGGCGATAAGAAAGACAACAAACCCGATCAATCGACCACGAAGAACGGCGACGATGGAAAACAGCAGCAGCAGCGAAAGAGAAGCACAGACGATGGAGAGTCGGTCTGGTATCCTAGGGCAACCAGACAGAGGCGCAATCTTCGGGAGGCCAGAGCGGCATTGAGCGAAGAGATGATGCAAAGATCAGAGGGGACTCCCTATCCGAAGAACCCTAAGCTAGGTATGTGTTGATATCATTCTCTGGGCTTCAAATACTGACTGTGTCACGGCAGCTCCCTCAAACATGTTCCGCAGGCGTCTAGCACTGTTCTCTAGGGAAGAACCATGCACTGAATGTCGACCTGGAAGGGTGAAGAGGTACGAACCTGTCACTGCTATGTATGGGGGCGCAGGCGCTATCGTCCGTCGATCACTACGGGTCGAAAAGCGGAGCACAGGCAGATCCCCTTTGGATGATGGTGTTTCAGAGAAAAATTTGCTCTCAAGAAGAGATGCAATTCTTTCGACAAGATCGTTCACTCCTCGACCACCAGCGCTGCTACCTCTTCTCAGTTGGAAGAGGCGAAGAAGCGAGGATGATCTGCAAGCGTACGGGGCGAAGGCCAAGCGGAACAATCAGCCCATCAGTTATTATAAGCTTCCCGACAGCGAGGTCGGTTCTTAAGGCGCTGTCAATGTACAATCCTGTTGTCTCACTATTTGTAGGGGTCATCCAGCTTTGTGCCTTTTCTTTCGAAGGTGTTATCAAAAAGTGGTCAGTGCGCGTCTGAGCTCTATTTCCCACGTGGTTCGCAAAGCGAGCCAGTCTAGGAGCAGAGACGCGTGCATTGCTGAGCGCTCCAACCCTCACCACCCTCCCCGTCCTTTGCCGTCGTCATCGCCACCGCATCCATCTGGCTGACACAGTCGTACACCCCATCACCCGCTCATTTAGACCGTACTAACCACCTCGATACAAGCGCTCGTCATTGAGGATGCGTTCCAAGTTTAAGGATGAGCACCCTTTCGGTGAGAATCAGGTCCCACACGCAGACCAGAGGGGGGGAGACTTGCGAGATAGCATGTGCAGGCGCGCGCGCGCGGTCTCTCTCTTTCTCTCCTCTCCTGGCCTCAAAGTCCTCGTTGATGTCAAAGTTGTACTGACGACGGAGCGCATGTCACAGAGAAGCGCAAGGCTGAGGCTGAGCGGATTCGGCTCAAGTACCCAGACAGGATCCCGGTGAGCGACAAGGACCTAGATCCTCTCTCCGGCGCAGGTGGATTGCTGACCCCGTCGCGTATCAACAGGTCATCTGTGAGAAGGCGGACCGAACCGACATCCCCACGATTGACAAGAAGAAGTACCTTGTCCCTTCGGTGAGCTCCTTGCAACTCATCCTCTGAAAGCAATACTTTATGAGACTAAAATTGGGCGGCCTTCTTCGTCCCACAGGACCTCACTGTAGGACAATTTGTCTATGTGATCCGCAAGCGCATCAAGCTGGCGCCCGAAAAGGCCATCTTCATCTTCGTGGACGAGGTCCTGCCCGCCACAGCGGCGCTCATGAGCGCCATCTACGAGGAGCACAAGGACGAAGACGGCTTCCTCTACGTCAGCTATTCGGGCGAGAACACGTTTGGGTCCGACAACTGAACCGGCTTTCTACGAGCGCCCACAGCAGCTACTATTTTCTCTTCTCTGGTCCCGCACCTCTTTTCCCATGCCTCGTCTTGATCTCTGGACTTGGTCTACCTCTGACTCTCTTGCGCCTTGTAAATTACCAGCCCGTCCTCTCTCTCTCAACATGACGATCTTTTTCCTCTCTCTCGGTCTGCTCTCTCCAGAACATTGCCTCGGTAATGTTAATTAAAAATGTGTTACGCTACATGATTGTTCATTCGTGAGAATATGAGTTGTCTAGACGAGGGCAGCGCCCACGGCAATGGCAGCAACGCTCAGGACGACGGCGAGGACATGCGTCGAAAGCGGGCGAGAAGCGCTGTTGGAACCCGAGCCGCTGCTCGACTTGGACGTGGCAGTCGCGGACCCAGCGAGGTTCTGAATGCTGGCGCTGACACTGCTGGCAGCCTGCGAGACGCTGGCAGCAGCGACCGAGGTCGTGGGCACGGCGCTGACGCTCTTCGACGAGCCGGCCTTGGCCTCGTTGTCGTTTGCTTGGAGGAAAAAGGTGGCGGCGACAATGGGGCCGGGCTTGGCCTGCTCGACATAGTCAGAGAGCGAAAAGTCAATGACGATGTTCTTGTCCGGCGTCGTCAGGCTCGCCGGCGGGTTGAAGTCGGACGGCTGACGGAAGATGAGGGTGGCGTAGCGGTGGGTGCCCGAGCCGAGCGGGGGAGCAGTTGCGAACCAGCCGGCGACGTTCTTGCCAGAAGACACGTCGAGGGTGCCGTCGCTGCCGACGGGCACGTCGTTGACGAGAAAGTGGCGCACGACCTTCTTGTCGACGGGCTCGACGGGCGCGCCGGGGTCGAGGGTGAGGACAGTGTACTTTGTCGACGAGTTGAAGCGCGACTGTGCCGAGTCGGGGATCGTGAGCTTGAGCGTAGGTGCCGTCGAGGTCGTGCCGACGCTGAGCGTCGTTCCCGGCTGGTCCACTGAACCGTTTTTGAACGTCTCGGTGAGCGCGGCCTCGAGGCTGAGGTACTCTTGCTTGATCGGGTTGGGGATGAGCTTGGCCGCGCTGAGCGAGAGCTGCGCCAGCGCAATCTGACTGTCGGCAGAAGACGATGACTGGGCGCTCACCGACGCAGCGAGAGCCGTGACGGCGCAAAGGAGTGACTTGCTGAAGAGCATTATTGTAGAGGTGCGGGAGTGATGGAAGGGAGTGTGTGAGAAAAGGAGAGTGTGTAAAACAAGGAGCTGATGCGTGTTGATGAGGTGTTGGAAGAAAAGGGGACCCTTTAGAATAAGACTGCTTTACAAGCCAGTAGAAATGTTAGTGTCTCTATAGAACGTTCGCTTTCCAAAATAGCACACCCAGGAACTCCAACGCGCGCTATGCATGAGTGCGGCGAATCGCGCACGCCGAAGAATTCAAACACAATTTAGGTGAGAATTGGCCATAACGCAAAGGGGCCAGCCAGAGAGAATCAAGACGCCTGCCGAATGAGGACCGGCTCGTTGATACCGAGATGTTCGGTCACGAATTGACGACAGGACGACTGCGCTGTGACGAGTCTGCCTCCTCGATAAATCAGTCAGAAGCCGGCAACATTGGCCTGTACTGCCTTGTCTGCCCAGGACTAAGACTTCTCATTCGAATGGCACCAATGATTGGTGAAATGGACTCTCACAGACCCAAGGGCTTGGCGTTCGACGAAGAAAGGGCAGTGGAAACAAAAGAGGCGATTGCTGTATGGCTTAAGTCGGTTGTGCGCATAAAAATGGAAAAGATGAAAAGAGGTCCCTCTTTGCTCTCGCGTACAAAGAAGCCCCTAGCGCATGCACGCGCGGGGAGAGCTAGCAGTTGTAGGGAGCGAGAAAGATGAAGGGCGCGGGATTGCGAAGAAGAAAAGGATGGAAAGAAAACTGGGGTACCTTGCGTCCCAGCCACAGCAACGCCAATGATGAAGACGAGGTAGGATGGTGATGGAGGTTGCGACCATGCGCCAGACGAGACAATGATGGATCACATTCGATCCTATATGGGGGGACTGTAGACTTCTGCCGCTGTAATATTATGTCGTGCCCATGCCTTTCCGAAAATAAATTAATCGTCGGTGCGGTAGAAGTTTGGGAAATTTAGGAAAGTTGCCGATCGCATTTCACTTTCCTTTTGCTAGTGTATTAGTTGTGGGTGAGAGGAGGTAGGGTCATTCTCATCCTCACCACCAACACCATCTCCTCCCCTTCCTGACCGCGCCGGATCCCCTCTTGTCTCCGTTCAGTCGCAGACACGAGCCCGTCGCTACTCTGTTACACACTCGTTGAACTACTCTCTTTTCTCCCCCCTCTTTTCCCCCTTTCGTTCACCTTCACATTTCGGTCGTTTTGGCGCCCCCGCCCTTCGACTTGCTCTTCTCTCCACACTCTCTTCCTCACCCCACCCTCCTTCACAAAGCACTTTAGACATGCGGACCAGCACTTTCTTTTCGTTTCTCGTCGCAGCTTCCCTCTCGGTCGCTGCGCCTGTGCCCAAGGCAGATGTAGCCGTCGAGCAACTCGGCTCGAGGGCCACGCTGCCGGACATCATCAACGTCAACGTCAAGAACCTGTACCCCGAAGACGGTGTCTATGACTGGGACCGTCAGATCTACTACCAGTCGAACCTCTGGAAGGGCCTTATCTCGACGTGGAAGCGCACCGACTCGTCGCACTTCAACGTCAAGATTGACGGTGTCTCTTCGTCGGGCGACGGATCCCAGCAGATGGCTGGCCTCTCCCTCGACAACATCCGCGGCGCCTCGAAGCTCTACGCCGTCGCCAAGCCCGCTGATGCCTTCCGCTTCGACGCCGTGCACGACCAGGGCCCCTGCTCCTTCCACTCGTTCTCCCTTCCCCTGTCGGCCAACAGCAAGCCGCTCTGGTCCGTCGACCTGCGTCCCGTCCAGGCCGCCTTCCAAGCAAAGTACGGCAAGCGTCCCTATGGCAACGTTGCCTCTGCCCAGGACAAGAGTGGCAACTCGTACGTCATCTTTGCCCTCGGTGCCCCCGCCATCGCCAAGGTGTCCGCCGACGGAAAGACGGTCGAGCCATGGTTCCTGGAGAATGGCAACGGCGGCCAGCGGCCCGGCTACACGGGCGTGACGTACCTGCCCGACATTGACGCCATCGTCGCCTTTGGCGGCCCGCGGCCCCTCACCCTCTTCCGCTTCTCCGACGCCACCCCCACGGCGCACGCCGTCACGGTGCGCGGCAGCTTTGGCAGCCTCGACGGCACGGAAAAGATCAAGACGGTGCCCTCGCAGAACAACTCTGGCTACCGCCTCGTCGGTGCAAAGGCTCCGCAGATCTACAGCTTTGCATCCACCGATGGCTGGAACAGCGTCACGTTCAAGACGTTTACCCGAAACGAGTTCAACTCCAACAGCCTCACCAGCATCGTCGAGGGCAAGAACGGTGGCCAGTCGGGCATCTTTGGCACGGGCGCCTACTTTGGCGAGGGCGCCCACGGCGGAAGGACGACGTTCCCCGCCTACCGCATTGACAACTCGCTCCTCAACTAAAGTGTCGGTCTGCCTTCTCATCAGTGCGCTGCTAGTAAGGCGCCCCCGCCTCTGCAAAGGAGGAAGTCACGGAACACTGAGTAGCTTCATTCCCCCCTTTCTCTCTATCTCTCTCGTTTGCAAAGCAGGACAATCAGCCATCTCAATCATACTCTCTTACTCCATCATCTCAATCTTTCTCCTTGCTCTTGATCCAACCTCTCTCTCACCACCATCTTGCCCGCGTGGCGTGACTGCACCCTGACGCTGATCGCGGCGTGCACAAAAAAGCAGAAAAGACAACACAAGATCGACATTTGAGGAATAGACCAGAGAGATTAAGAGACATCAACAACGTAAGAAGGGAAAAGCGTGGGACGTGACAACAAAAGGAAAGAGACAGTAGAGGGAGAGCAAGAGAAGAAAACATCTATGCAGAAAGCTGTTGTTGTTGCGATTGTTGTTGTTGTTGTTGTTGATGATGATGAGGATGCTGGTCGAACTGATGATGAGGTGGTTGAGCCTGTTCTTGTTGTTGAAGCCATTGCTGCTGGTAAGTTCCCTCGGCAGACGCCGAAGCGCTGCGGTTGCCGCCGGGTAGGCCCTCGCGCATGTGCTGCAGAAGCTCGACAATGTCCAGCGGGCAGTTGGGTGGCAGAGGGTAGCGACCTTCCTCGTTTCGCAGCAACGCAAACATCGTCACGAGCAAGCCCCAAGGGTGGGGGCGGTTGACAATGACACGTTCCACCAGAACCCGCAAGATGGCCTCACGGACCTCTTCATGCCGCTCAAACAGGTTGAGGATCAACGACGAGTAGTAGGCCGTGTGCTTGCTGGGAACACGGAGCTGGTTGCAGACAGCGCCCACGGTCAAGTACCGCCCCTCGGGGTCAAGGCTCGTCAGAAGTCCCTCGATGACCTGGAAGCCCGCGTCCGAAGTGCGTCCCTGCTGCTCCATTGACTTGACGCCCGAGTACAGGACGATGGCGTTGAGCAAGGGAGTGTTGTACTCGCCCTGCGTTACGACGGCATCCTGAAGCGTAGACAGGAACGACGTTGGGCCGCCCTCGGCAAGGTAGGCATCCAAGGCAGCCTTGAAGTCGTCAGGCTGCTGCGCAATGACACCGGTGAAGTCGGAGAGGATGATGGGCGACTCGTCCCCATGAGGCAGCTCCTCAATCTTGAGACGAGGCGTAAAGGCATCGGGAAGACCCGCCACACCGAACTGCTCTCGCGGGTAGGAGCTCAGAATGAGGTTCCTGAGTTGGATGCACGATGTCGGTATCAGGTCGCACAGGCTGGCGTGGAAGGAGCTGAGGAACTCGGGGAAGTCGTGTAGCAGCACGAGGAGAATCCTCAATGTGCCCATGTACAGGTTCCGTGACGTCTCGCGGAGCTCGGCTGTTCGTAGGAAAGGCATGAGGAAGCGCAGAAGCGAACCAAAGAGGCGGTGGTATGCCGCCCATCCTTCAGAGCGTCCCTCTTCCCAGAGCCCGTCAACCAGGCCGCTCGCAAGCAATTTGGGCATGAAGAGGCGATGCGAGATGAGCGTCATCCACGAGAAGGTGAAGCCGGGGAAGAACGAGGGCTGGAGCGTATTGAGGGTGTTGCCGACGGCCAAGAGCGACTGCAGGTACGTCGTTTGCAAGCTCGGCTCAGCCTGGTGCAGATCATGGAGCAGGCTCGAAAAGAAGCGGAAGAAGGGCTTCTGCTGGAAGTGGGGACCAAGCTCTTCGTGCGACTGCGCCAGGACCAAGACGACAATCGAAAGAACCTTCGTCAAATAGTGCACCTTGGCCTGCTCGTTATTGGTTCCCGTCGGATCGGCGTGGTACTTGATCATCAAGACGACGAGCTTGGAGAAGGCGTCGATTGGCACATAGATGCCCGTGGCGACCGATCCTCCGGCTGCCTTTTGCTTGATGTAGCTGTCGACGCCCACCTCGGTGCAAACGCGGAAGAACATTGACGAAATTTCCTCTCCTTTGAGGATACCCTGATCTTGCAGCTGCGTGACGAAATCGATGAAGGACTTCTCGGCATTGGGAGAGTGCTGGAAGAGGCGGACCCATTCTGCAAAGCAGTAGGCGAGCTGCTCACGCAAGGCAGAGTTGCCAATGTCCGTTTTGCTCTTGAGCTGACCGCCTTCGAGCTCCGAGAGGAACTGCGACGCCGAATCAGTCGCCTTCCCACGCTGAGCAGCCCGCGTGAGCGCGTCGATGGTGTTGCTGAGCTGGCTCTTTGTCGCGCATGCCGGCTCGCCAAGGCAAGCCAAGGCAAACTGGGATGCGAAATCAACGACGGTAGGCTTGAACTCTTTTACGACGATCTTGGCCAGCTGCACATCTTGCTCAACGATGTTGATGAGGCCCGCGCGAACGAGGCCGACAGTGACGGCGACATTGAACTTGCGTTCGTCCTCCGCATACACAAGCCAAGCCGTCACCTCCTTTGCAACTTTGACCGACACCTCACAGAGCCTTTCGAGGAGGATCACGTAGATCTCCCTCCCCAGGTCTGAGTCGGTCTTGTAAAGGAGCTGGACCACCTTTTGCGAGAAAGCCAGGGCGGTCTCATCACGCGACACCGATTGCGCCGCCAAGATGGGAACCTGACGAGCGACCAGGCGAATCTCGTGGTTGGGAGGTAACGTAGCCAATGTTTGGTCATGCTGCTCCTGGTGCTCCTGCTGCAGCAGCCGTTCCAGCTCGCTGATGCACTCGGTAAACTTGTCCAGGCTCTGCTGACGGCTCAACATCTGGCCTTCAAGGTGCGCCTGCTCGCCACCAGCACCGGCAACAGCCATGGCAGAAGGCGCACCTACTCCATAAGAAACCGCAGCGTCAGGCATATGGGCCAATGAGGGCGAGCCAGCGGCATTGGGGCCAACCAGTGCAGGTGCCGGCTCAGTCGTAGGCGAAGCCCGAGGAATCTTGTCGAACTCCTCGTAGACACGCATTTGCTGGGGCTGAAGTCCGTCAGGCTTGAGCCGAAGAAGGTCGGGCAGTGTTGCGGCGTACTGAGAGGTGGTGAGAGCGGCTGCATCCCAGTAATAGCCTCTTCCGCGCTGTCGATGCTCGCGACGAGAAGCGTAGGCATTGGCCAGGCCTTCGTCAATTTCCGGAATGGCCTTTGCCATAGCGACTCGCTCGACGACAGAGCAGGCCAGTTCGAGGTTGTCTCCAATGACGAGAAGCAAGGCTTGCTCGGGTAAGGTCTGTTCGGTGAAGCCGTTAGAGAGCAAAAGCTGCTTGGCGTTATTGAACATGCTCAACCGAAGAGGTTCCTTGCACGTCACGAGAGCCAAGCTGCCTGCTAAGCTCTGAGCCATCTGGTGGGCTGCTTTGCGCATCTTGTTCTCGTCGCTCTCCATCGAAAAGTCCTTGGTGATGAGCTCTCGTGCCGACACCGATGCGATCGTAACGGATCGCTCGACAACAGGCGCAATGATCTCGCGGATAGCGCGCTCGATTGCGCCACAGACAAGACGCTTGAGAGCGTTGTTGCTGGCAAAGATCGCGGCCTGAGGACTGAAGACGAGGTAGTGGGGCAAGCTTTGCAGCATCGAGTTCATGGTCTCCGCGACAGCCATCGAGGCGACCGCCGATGCATTACCGCCGCCAGCAGCATTGGTGGCGGCGCCCAAGCCTCCTGCACTGCCGGACCCGGCCAACAGAGCACCTTGAGGCCTCGATGCTGCAGCCCCTTGAGCGCCAGGGTATCCGCTTCCACCCATTGAGAGTCGCTCGAGGTCCTGAGCCAAGGCACCACCTCCGCCTTGCTGCTGCATGCCGCCGCGACCTTGAAGAATGGCGGCAGCTTGCTGTTGCGCTTGCACCTGCTGCTGTTGCTGCTGCTGCTGCTGAAGCTGTCTTTGTTGAGCCTGAAGCTGTTGTTGCTGTTGCTGCTGCTGTTGTTGCTGTACCTGCTGCATCTGGGCAGCCGCTAGCTCTTGGGGCCGCGTCCGAAGAATCGTCGTTGACTGGATATCCTTGAGATCAATATTGAGGCTCTTGCAAAGTACCTCGATCTCAAACTTGAGGTTTAGCTTGAGCTCAGCAAATTGATAAAGCTCGACGAGGAGCCGAAGGACGGCCAGCAGCCAAGGGTTGGGCGGCGAGAAGATGGTGGAGCGCGAGCACTGCTCCAAGACTTTGCATACAAAGGGAATCGCAACGATCAGGCGATTGCTGTCGTAACCCTGGATCAGGAGGTCCTTGAAGGCGATGTTGCGATGACGGATGGGCTTGTTGCGAGCCACCGTCAATCCTCCAAGCCAAGATCCTAGATTCTTGAGCAGAGTACGCTCTGTTGTAGACTGCACCGTCTTATCCGAGTTGAGGAGCATCTTGACCTTCGCGTATGTTTCGTGGAGGACGTGACGAAAGAGCGAGGAGGCGTTGATGCCGTCGAGGAACTGGGCATAGAGACCATGGTTGTTGGGCTCGATGCTGATACGCTGCAAGACAAGATACGAGGAGAACCAGTGGTAAAGCTCCGGCTTCAGAAGTTTGCGCGCATCGCCCAGCTTGGCATCGATGTTGCTCGGTGAGAGATTGTTGACAATGAAGAGGAGCTTGTCTGAAGTGTCTTCGTCGGGGTCTGATGGCTCCATTTCGTGATGCAAGGGATCGACGTTGATGGCCGTGAAGGGGACTTTAGGTTCCTCTCCGCGAGTAGCCACGATGCCGTTGACTTGCTGTTGGCCATTTCCGTTGGTCGCTCCATTACCCTGCATGGCATCCCTTACGACCCTTGCGATCTCAGGGTGTCCTTGTTGGGCAATCGGTAGCGACATAAGGGCCTGACCCAGCTGAGGCCATTCCGGCAGGCGCTCTTCGAAGCGAAGAAGTGCTTGCAGGCCAAATTGGAACATGTTGGAGTCGGGAGGGCTTCGTAGGGCGTCCAGAACATAGCGAATGGCGATTCCCAGAGGAATAAAATCAATGAGCTGGTGCTGAATGAGTGAGCCGAAGACAACGGCCGTCATGCCGAGCTCCTTCGGTGGGTAGTACATCTCAAAACACCGGTATTCGTCAAAGAGTGTGTGAACCATGCATGCAAAGATCTGTCGGTCCCGGGGGTCCTCCGACACCTTGGACCGCTGAAGCAGGCTGATGAGATCCTCGATGCTGATTTGACCCTCGTACATTTGCCGGTAGTATCCATCTGTCTCTTTATGGACGTCTTGTGGGAACGTGACGACTTGCAGGCCAGGCTCCTGTCCTTCGGTGCCAGGCGCAAGATTCATCAGACGAGGATGAAGCTGGAGACAGAGGTTGCGAACCACCTTGAAGAAGTCAATCTCCTCGGGCGTCATACTGTCGCCATTGGAACGCAGCACCCGCAAAAACAGGGCAACGCTCTGCACCGTGAGCGGCATCGATGTCGACTCGGCGTTGGGATCTGGCTTCGAGAGATCGTCCTTGATCTTTGAATCCAGAAACTCCAGAGCGGCCCTGATAAACTCGTTTCCGTTCCTTTGGATGTTGTCCTGCAGCCATTTCTCCAGGTTGAGGAAATCGCGCCTAGCGGCCAGAGCTGCCACCTCAAGAGAAAAGAAGAAGGGCCCAAGGTCGAGAACCGTATCGAGCACCTTGAGCTCCTGTGCCACATCCAGGACGCGGGCGACGTTCCTCGGATTCTCCTGATAGTAGTTGCGAAGCGCGTTGAGAAGAAAGTTGCGGTTGAGCTGCCAAATGCGGTAGAAAACGAGCTGGTGACTTGAGTGGCCGCCAAGGAACATGGCCAGCAGCTTCGTCACCAGCTCGTTGTGGATTGCGTTCCAGGGCCGCGGGACCTGGATGAGACCCATGAGGACTAAGTCGGCGTTGGCCTTGACGGCTTTTTCGAGAAGCGCAGCGACAGCCTGCCTGACGTCTCCCTCATCCCAATCGGCCACCTGAACCATTGTCTCAATGAGGTCGAGCGCGTTCCAAGTGCTGTCTTGGACATTTGCTGCCTGGCTCTTGACCGTGTTGTTGGCCGAGGCTACCTCGTCGACTGTGACGACACGGCGACCGGGCAACATGACAAAGGTGAAGAGCTCTGGCTCGACCGAGAGGAGGCCGTTGAGGATCTGGAGCTGTCGAATTCGGTGGGCCCAAGCGCCCCATAGACCGGAAATGGCCGTAAAGTGGCCGTCCTGGGGCGCAGCGAGGATTGCACGGGCGAAAGAGTCCCATCTGACATCGTGGGCGATGACGAGACCCTCTGGCTCGTCAAGGCTGTGAATGATACGGGCCCAGCTGACGAAGCGCGAAAATGTGGTGATGCCCTGGACCAGCATCGTCATGTCCGTCGGCGGCAGGCCACCGAGCTGATCACCCGGTGTGGAGAGGAGCCCGGCAAGAATCTCGGCTATCGCATCTTCCGAGGGAGCCGATGATTCTGTGAAGCCAAATCGAGCCAGAATGGCCCGCACCACTTCGGTGTTGACGACGCCGTTGGGACCGATGTCCATCAAAAGATCCGCAGTCGTCCTCGAAGGGTGCAGTCTGGATAGAAGTCAGTATGCGTGCTTGTAAGAACTAGAAGAAGAGTGTTCTCACCTCAAATTGGGAAGCGCATGATGCAGGATCTGCGTGAAGGCATCGGGTCCCACTCCATCGATGACAGCCTTCACCAGCGCCCGGCGGTGCAACCTCTCGAGAAGAGGTGTCTCTGCGGGCGCATCAGAAAGAAGCGTAACGAGAAAGGAGGATATTTGCGAGATGGACGGATCATTGCCGGGACTGCTTCCTCCCAAGCCTCGCAGGGCGTCTAGGGCTGAGTCCAGGACGGCCGAGCTTGAAGGTCCTCCATCAGGACCGTTGCCGGCACCGGGAGCATGGCCGTGGATCATCCTCACCGCCTGAGCGGCGAGGTCGGCCTTTTCCCTCGCGCGAGCCAGGTCGGCGGGTCTGTACGTCGGAGCTTTGCAGTGGGAGCCCGACTTCCCGAAAGTGATTCAGCAAATTCCAGTAAGCTGGCAAAGGCGTTGTTGAATTCACAATTGCTTTACGCAGTGTAAGCTTGTCATCGCTTCAGGCTGCTCGATGTATGTCCCGACTTACCCAAGTATCTCTTGGCGAAGCGTCAATGGATGCTACTTTTGCCTCTAATCCCCTGAAACGTTTGTCCTGTCGGTCTGTACAAGCACAAAGATCTTCGAGCCTAATGCGCCGAGACGAGAAACGCAGAGAGAGCAGCAGCCGGTCTACACTGTGCGACGCTCTGATGTCGTAAGAGAATAGCCTAGTGGCATGTTAGCAGAGGTCAGGTGTAAGAATGTGAGAAAAAGACTCACACAAAGAGAGAAGGAATGCTAAAGCTACAGGATGCACGAATCGAGAGGAAGCGATGAGGGTTCCAAAAGTAAGCGCGAGGCGTGTCTTGAGAAAGAAAACAGCGATGCAGAAAGTTGTCGGTGCTAGCCTCCTACACCATGAGATTGGCTGGCACTCTCCAGGTTCAGGTAGTGGCCAGAGTCGAAACCTTGATCGTCGGTCGCCCGACAAGGGCAAAGCGAATAATTGCCAGCACGCGTAGCTGATGTTTCTCCCAAAGAGGCTGGCCAGACGATTCTCATCCGCTGGTGTTGCTGTTGATGAGAGATCGCCTTGCCGCTAGGACTGGCTTCCAGAGCTGGCTAGACGCTGTCGAGCTTCGGAAGGGAGAGCAAAGCAAAGGCTGGATGGGTGGGGGAGACGCAGGCTCTTCGAATGCTTCATATGCGGCGACCGTTGCAAGATGATGGAAATGCCACGAGGGGTACTCACGTGCAGGAGACACGTTTGACTTCTTCCTTTCCCAGTTGAGTACCTCACCGTGTGACTACCGCTGGAACTATGCTCGCTCGATACAGTTTCACCAGCTCTCTGAGCTTTCTGAGACCCACTCAGGCTTGCTAAGTACTGCATTGATCTCTGATATGCGATAATTGGCTTGGGTATGAATGAGGTGGCTTACGAGGTACGGGACAAGTCTTGAAAGCCGAAATCTAAGTGATGTACCGTGCTGTTCTACTACTGCACTGCATGTAATCGTTAGAGATCTCTTCTCTTCAATAGAGGTGGGTCTCCGTAAAACTCCTCGTCCTTCTGTGGTGCCGTCGGGTTCTTTGTACATCTCCTTTTCGCGCCATACGCTTCTCTTTCGCGTCTGCTTGCTCGTCTGCGACCTTGGTGTATCTTGCTGGGAGGATTGGACGCCAGGAGCCAGCTGATCCACTGACCGAGATCCATGGACTGACGATGTAAATTGTTGCTCATTGCAGCGTTGCTGTGGTCGTCCTTTTTGCTCAGGATATTGGACGTGTTGGGCACGAGGCCCGCAAGCGACTGACCCGCCTGGAGGACTTCCGAGTAGGATGGACACGTTTGTGACTGAGGGTCCAATGCGCTTGCGACATCCCGAGATTGCAAATTAATTGCAGACCTTCGACGACGTGAGACAGGGCATTGCGCCAGGGACCGAGGCACATGAGAGCTTGATATTGACGTTCTCGACGCTCTCGAATTCGAAGACGACGACGACGACGATGAGGAAGACAAGAGCGACGAGGGCGAAGATGACGTCGAGGGAGATGATGACAATGAAGACGACGAGAGCAAAGAAGCTGAAGTTGAAGAAGAAGCCGAGGCTGTCGAAGAAATGGAAGCGACACTGTCCAGGGAGCTAAAGGCTGGATCGGAAGGACAACAGGCGCTGTCTTGCTGTTGCCAATCGCTTCCCACTGCCTCTCTGTCATTGTAACCGGCCCACTGCTTGCAGTCGACGCCTATTCAAACCGACGATCAGCATATATGACAGGTGCCTCGCGGTCCCTGGCCAAACTCACGTTCGTAGCTAGACCACCAGACGCCGTAATCGTGGTCGCCGGGGAAAAAGTCCTTGCTGATTCCCTTGGAAGGCCATGCGAGATCAAAGTGGACCAGGCTCCCGAGCGTGTTGCCCTTGGTCTCCGTTGCGTTGCACCAGCCGGGTGCCAAAGGGCACAAGTCCGTGATCTTGACGACGACCGTCGGCGCCTTGGAATCGCCAGGAGCATACACTATACCATCTCCGTCCGGAGGTGGGGGCGAATAGGACGTGTTCAGAAGACTTAGAGAGTAGCAGGCACCACACGATGGCGCAAAGGACGTCGTCCCTCCGTAAGCCAGCGCATTGATGGCCGCTGTGGGGTAGCGAGTCGATCGGCCGACGCAACCGCAAGAAGCAATGTAATCGGCGGGCAGGTCATAGTGCGTCAGTGTTGCAATGCCCTTTGTCGGTGGGGTCCAGAAGCCGCGCACGCCATGCTCGCTCCAGAGAAGGGCGAAAATGCTCAGAAGAAGCAGTAGTGGAAGCATTCAAGGGACAACAATCAGCATCTGCGGCCATGCTTCCCAGTGTTTGGGCAGTCTCCATCCATCTTTAATCAACCTCCTTTGTCCGTCCGTCGGTCTCCCCCGGAATAGTCACGTGGCGAAATCGGCCGAACAACCTAGTCACCACGCCCTGCATTCTTCTCGCAGTTCTTGGTACCGACTTCGAGACACAGAAAGATGGCGGCCATGCCCAAGCCCGCGACGGGCGGCTCAAAAGCCACCGTGTTGCTTGGATCGCAATGGGGAGACGAAGGAAAAGGTGTGTGCAGCCTTAAAACTTTTCTATGTGCAGGTGAGGAGACTGACGCATGCATACAGGCAAGCTGGCCGACATCCTGAGCGGTGACATGGATGTCTGCGCTCGATGCGCTGGAGGAAATAACGCTGGACACACTATCGTGGTCAACATGGGTCCGGAAAAGGTGAAAACCAAGTTCGATTTCCACCTCTTGCCCTCTGGTGAGTCCAGGTCCCCAGCTTTTGCTCCGTTCACGTCTGACGCTTGGAACAAAACAAAAAAGGCCTCGTCAATCCTCGCTGTGCAGGTTTCATCGGTTCGGGCGTTGTCGTTCACGTCCCCTCCTTCTTCGCCGAACTCGACACGCTGCAGAAGAAAGGTACGTTGGATGGCATATGCGTTGGAGGAATACGTGTTCAACACTGATATTTTCCATGTCCAGGCCTCAACTGCGACGGTCGTTTGTTCATTTCTGACCGAGCTCATCTTGTCTTTGACTTTCATCAAGTCGTCGACGGCCTCAAGGAAGTCGAGCTGGGCGGAAGCAGGTATGGACGAGCCACGGTGGTCCAAAGCCAAGTAGCAAGACTGACCCTGCCTCGACAGCATCGGCACGACTAAGAAGGGCATCGGCCCAGCCTATTCGTCCAAGGCCTCGCGCTCAGGTCTGCGCGTGCATCACCTCTACGACAGCGAGCTTTTTGCCAACAAGTTCCGCAAGCTCGTTGAAGGTCGTTTCAAGCGTTATGGCCACTTTGAGTACGACACCGAGGGAGAGATTGCCCGTTACAAGGTGCGCCAGCGTGTCTGCTCAATGTTCTCTTATTGTTCGATGCTGAGATGAAAGTTGCAGGCCTTTGCGGAGCGACTGCGCCCTTACATTGTTGATGGAGTCACTTTCATCCACACTGCTTTGGCCTCTGGCCGCAAGGTTCTCGTCGAGGGCGCAAACGCCTTGATGCTCGATCTTGACTTCGGAACGTATCCGTTCGTCACCAGTTCCTCGACGAGCATCGGCGGCGTGTGCACCGGTCTTGGCATCCCGCCCACGGCCATTGGCGATGTCATTGGCGTCGCAAAAGCCTACACGACGCGAGTCGGCGGCGGACCTTTCCCCACCGAATTAGTCGATGTGAGCTATCTTCTTGAGAAGAGTCGTCGCTTGTGCAGTTGCTGACTTTGTGCCCGACGAAGGATATCGGCGTGCACATGCAAGAAGTCGGCGCCGAGTACGGTGTGACGACGGGTCGGAGAAGAAGATGCGGCTGGCTGGACCTTGTCGTTCTCCGCTACTCGTGCCTGATCAACGGCTACACGAGCCTTAATTTGACCAAGCTCGACGTCCTGGACAACCTCAAGGAGATCAAGGTGGCCACGAGCTATCTGAGCAACGGCAAGGAGCTGACCAGCTTCCCCGCCGACCTAGAGGTACTTGCCAAGGTTGAGGTGCAGTACACAACGCTGCCCGGCTGGCAGGGCGACATTGCCTCGGTCACGTCTTTCGACGAGCTGCCAGAAACGTGCCGAAAATACGTCGAGTTCATCGAACAGTTCCTCAATGTCCCCATCAAGTGGATCGGCGTCGGACCGGGAAGAGAAGCCATGATCAAGCACTAAGAAGCTCGTCTGTGTTGTTGTCTTGACGTACTAAGTAATAGAATCACAAATCTCGAAGCATCCCTTTTTTCTTTTCTTTGCCATTCATTTCACCAGGAGTGGAAGAAGGAAATCTAAGCATTCAAATTCTCAACCGATGATAAGCTTGCCCTCATCGTCGTTGAAGTCGTACTCGGGCACCTCAAGGTTGAGCGGCGCAGGTCCTCGACGGATGCGACCCGAGATATCGTAGTGGGATCCGTGGCACGGGCAGTACCAGCCGCCGTAGTCTCCAGCCTCGCCGATGGGGACGCAACCGAGGTGGGTGCAGACGCCAAGCATGACCAGCCATTCTGGCCGCTTGACCCTGTCCGAATCCTTTTGCGGGTCTCGCAGCGAGTTGACCTCAACCTTGTTGGCCTCGTCGATCTCCTCCTGCGTGCGGTGACGGACAAAGACTGGCTTTCCACGCCACTTGATGATGGCGTTTTTACCTTCAGGGATGTTGTTCATCTCCACCTCGACCTTTGCCAGGGCAAGGACGTCCGAAGAAGGGGCCATCGAAGCGAGAAAGTCCGAGACGGTCGCCTTGGCGCCCGAAGCGGCGATCAGACCCATGGATCCGACCATGAAGTAGGAAAAGACCTTGTTGCCGTCGACATTGTTGGTGCGGTAAGGCGTAAAGTCGGGCACACCCTGCTTCTTGGCCACGCTCGTGCTGAAGTAGCGCGGCGAGCCTCCGGAGCTTGGCAGAGCTATAGTCGTTGCAGATTCTCTCGTCAGCCTGAGGAAGTCCGATGGGATAAAAGTAGGGCAATTTGCCCACGCACCATTCACGCCAGTCTTCGACTGGAGCGATCCGTTACGCAGCGACGTCTTCACCGACCACGAGGGCACCTGGTACACGTCAGCTCGGACGGCACCACCCTCGTGAGCGCCATGGTCCTCAGCGTGAGGGTCATGGGGCGCACGCGCCGCCAGGTTCAAGCCATTGGCAATTGGCGCACCAGCGGGAGACGCCGTGACCGTGGGCCTGTTTGTAAAAACATCTGTCAGCTGGAAATCCCCGAGCGGAGCGGCGAGCGTCCGATACCCACGCAAGGTTGATGAACGTGCGAGAGGCAAGACGAGCGGCGGGCGCGGCAGCCATCGTTGAGCGTGGTTGTCGAAAAAAGAAGGCAGAGAGAGAAGGCCGGCGAGCAAATGAGTCCACACCTCATTGTAAGCAGCCGGAACGAACCGCGGGCCACGTGTAGCGGGATCATTTTTCGGCCGAAAAAAGTCACCCACTTGCGCGTCAACAATGCAGCTGCAGGCTATGATGCAGGGCTCCTATCACTCAGCTCGACCTTATCGCTCGCTCGCTCCCTCATCCGAAGGAGAGATGTCGACTGCGCCTCAGACGTCCTTTTCGTCGTATGCTTCGCGCTTTCTCTCTTCTGGAGTTGCGGTCGCGCCCTCGTCCTCGAGGTTGTTTCAGCAGCAGCCGTCGGCATCCACCTCTCTGCGCCCCTTCTCCACACCAGACGATGAGGCCGACGATCTCTATGGTCAGGAGTACGAGGAAGAGGAGGCCGGCGCGCAAGCACAACATAACAGCGCGCAGAGACGGCATAATGGTCCTGGTCGCCGTGGCCAGGGTAAAGATTCGGTGCTGAATTTGACCGGCGCGAGCCGATTCGCGTCTCACAAAGGCCGCCAATCTCAGTCCAGGCACGGGAACGAGGAGAATGGCCCAGAGGACATTTACGATGAAGACGAGGAGGATGAAGACCACGATTCTCTGCGGGACAATCGGAGAGTTGTGGGTCTTGGTGTCGCTGGTGGTGTTTCGGGTTCCGGATCCAACTCGCTTTTGGGCGCCAGCGAGCAGACCCCCCCTGCAAGCTTCGTCAAGGAGCTGCGCGACTATCCGGATATTGAGGACCCGTTCATACGGCATGAAGACCTCGCCTTAAGCTCAGAATCGCCTGAAACTTCGCGAATGTCACCGGTACATGCCGCTCCACGACGCGCACTGCTCACTGACAAGTCGAAGGGAAAGTCGACAGCGCCTCCCCCAAAGACGATTGCCCGGTCCAAGGGCTGGCTTGCCCACGCCGCTGACTCGACAAGCTCTATGTCAAGCGCATCGCACACCATCGGACGCAATACCCGCCGGGTACAGGACAGCTTGTATTCGGATGAAGATTACGACGACGATTCAGAACAAGAGGGACGTCGGGATAGCGCGAGGGGCACGCGGAGCGCAAGCAGAGGCAGACGTGATGCTTATTCGCTCTATGATGACGATGACGACGATGATGATGAAGACGACGACGACAAATCGGTTTCGACGAGATCCGACACCTCGAGGGACTTGTCTCGAAAGCAGAGGCGACAGCACAGCCTGAGAGAGCCATTGATCTCCTCCGGTACGTCTGAAGGAAAACCCAGTCCCCCTGGCGCTTTCACGGGGGCCACGTCTCGCATGATTGCGGCCGACATCTACAACTACCCTCACCCTCCCGCCAAATCAGGCTGGACGCCGTTTGCGCCGGGGAATAGCGTTCATTGGCGAGAATACAAAGACAAAACAGCCCTTGGACTCTGGTTGACTTTTGTCCTTGCCACGCTGGTCCTTGCCGGATGGGCGGCTCTTGGGGCGAAGTCCAGCACGGCGTTACCTTCGAATCCTTCCGTACGACCATCGCCGTACTATACCTTGACCCGTTCTGTCCCCATCCTCTTTCTCCTCACACTGCTCTCCACCGGTGCTGCAGCCTCCAACCTCTTCTTTCTCCGCAATATCTCTCGCTTCGGCGGCGCTCATGTTCTTCGCTACGGCCTCGTCGGCATTCCCCTCGTCCTCTGCCTCGGCTGGGTGTGGGCTTTTGCTGGCAGCTTCATATACGACGACGAAAAGTGGACCGGTGGCGCTTGGAGCACTACGGGGTGAGCATGCAAATGTCCTTCGCCATGGCCAGAACCCCAGCTCACCGTGTTCTTTCGCAGCCTCCGCGTGCTCTCTCTGATTCCTCTGCTCGCTGCGGTTCTATTTGCTCGAGCTGTGTGGAAGCGCAGGGCTGCGCTCGCCAGAAGTCTCGCGGTTTTAGAGCTTTCAGCCACAATCGTGGCCGCTCACCCCGCGCTGCTAGTCCTCTCAAGCGTTCTTCTCGGTGTCTTTCTCCTCGTCACGGTCCCCTTTCTCTCTGTTCTCGTTCGGCTTTTCCTGCTGGGCCACCTCGGCACGCCAGCCGAAGCATCGAGCGGCAAAGTGTGGCAAACGGACGCAAAGGCTCGAGTCTTGGCATGGGCCACATTGGGCGCCTGGCTCTGGACGTGGTCCACGCTTCGGGGCATTCAACGTGTCACTGTCGCGGGCGTCGTGTCGCACTGGTACTTCCATCGCAACGATGACGAGACTGGCGACAAGAGTCAAGTCTACGACAGCACAATGGACGAGTCGTCTTCATCGATCCCCGGTCCTGCACCCGGCAATTGGCTCGGCGACGAAGAGGCACACCAAGGTCCAACACAGGTCGAAATTGTCCGGGCGTCGTTCAATCGAGCCATGGGGTCGGCTTTGGGTACTGTATGCGCATCTGCCTTAGTTTTGACGCTTGCCCGCCTGGCCGCGCTGGTCGCCTCATCAGCAAGGAAGATCAGCCGACAGCTATCAATGCCTGGCCGGCCGAGCTGGATGCAGCCAATCGCTCATGTTGCTGCCGTCCTTGCCGGCATCAGTGCTCTGCTTCAGGGTCTAAGCGATTATGCGCTCATTTATGTTGGCATCACCGGAGAGGGCTTCACTGCTGCTGCAAGGCGTTCATCACGTCTCGTCACTCGTCACAGCGTCAAAGGAATCATGGATGGTGAGTGTCTACGCTCTTGTACGCTTCACACACGCTCACAGCTCGCTTGTACAGGCCTCGTCATCACCCTCATCTTGGACCTTACCACACTGGCCTTGTGCTTCTTGGCTGGTATCGCTGGATTTCTCTTTTCGGCTCATAACCTGCACGTCCCCGCCGATGCACCCTTGGTCGGAGTCATGTGCGCTCTAGTCCCCTACTGGACCTTGAGGCTGTGCGCTGATGTCCTCGGCAATGCGTGAGTCCTTCTCGACAAGCCAGATGCGACCTTCCAAAGCTGACCTTGTTCGAAAGTGCCGATACGCTCTACCTCTGCTACTCGATCGATGATGCTGGAGGAGAGCAACACTGCAAGAAGGCAGCAGAAGCTGTGAGTTGGGAGCCCTTAACATTCGTACAATCTCTAGCTGACACTGGTACTTTTCAGTTCACAAGCCCAGACTCTTCCGAATTGCCCATTTGAGACTATAGGTACCTCATGGCTCTCCTCTGGACAATTTGCGTGGAAACCGTTATTTCCTTTGAATACGGCTCTCGGGCGCCTGTCACGACTCTTTCACGACACCCCACGGTACTGATCCGATTTCATGTATTGTAATTCTCTTCTTCACCTTCAACGTCTCTCACGGGGCGTTGCAGATGCCCGACGATGTCTCATCTACGCAAATCACCCCTTCCAACCAATACCACAATATCCTATTCTTCAGCCTCTGAAGACCTTTAGCGAAGCTTTCTGTATCTCAGCACCAGCCGCGAAGCACCCGCCTGTGCCCTCTGCTCACCATTCTACGAGCAGATCTAACCGGTTTCTGCGTAGACGCTGCCTAATCCCCAAGAGCCGCCAGCTCTAATCTCTTCACTTTTCCAGCTTGTAGCAGAGACAGTGACAGCATTTCGCGTCAGGACCCTCAACCTCAGCATTACTGATTGCAGTCTAACGATCTGAAGTGGTCATTGCCGACCCTTTCCTCTCCGCTGCGAAATATTCCAAACGTGCCCCTGCGAGTTCTGGCCACTGTGCTCGTGGCCAAGCACGTCCGACGCGTCTGCTGGTTTCCAACACCTGCTAGGAGACTGGCCGAGTGCCCGACGCCTCCTTTGCATGCCACAAAAATTTGACCAACACTCGTCTCCTGCCTGCGTCGATCTCCTTCGATCTCCCAGGACCTGCCTTACCTGGTCGGCCTTTTCTTTCCCTCCCTGTCCCGTCCCCGGCGTCACTTTGACAAGTGTGCATTGAAGTGAGGCCAGGCGCGTCCACCCATTTCCTTTTTTTTTTCTCGAGAGGGCCTGTCTGCACGCGCTTTCCTCGTACCATCTCGCCATCATCTTCACAGTTGCTACCCGCAGCCTGCGCAACCAAGGCGCACGACGCGCCGACAACCCATTCGTCGTCGCTCAGAACTCGCTGTGAACTCGACGGAAGACGAATCCGACGCGTCAAAAGGAGATCCACCCATACCGAATCTGCCGAGCGGCCCAGCGCACAGTCAGCGATACTGCTTGACGCGACCGAGGTAGGCACCCATTCTCCAGCGGCTCAGCACTGTTCAGCCGAATTCTGACCGAAAGGACCTCATTTCTCGCGTGCAAACAGAGAGAGAGGTGTAGCGCGCTCAGACTCCTTCTACAGCGCGGCAGCCGCCAGCTACGATGAAGCGCTCCTCGTCTGGCTCGAAGCCAGACCTGGATGCAGATGCCGAGGCATCGAGGAAAGCATCAACCACGACTGACAGCAAGCCACGCGCAAAGGCTGAGAGCGTGACTTCAACAACGACATCTCCCGACGTGACCGCAACATCGACGTCGACGGCGACGTCGTCGGCCGCCGCTGCGGAGGCCGACTTTTTTGCAAGAGCCCAGGCGCTGGGCCTCAAGCTCACCCGCCAGGACTACGAGCGTGCCAGAGCAGGCGTCTCGGCCTTTCTGCGTGCCGAACGCGTCACGACGCAGGCCGCTTCTCCCAATCCTGGGTCTGGTCCTGCCTCTGGTGCTGGCTCGGGCGCCGGAGCTGGCCGAAGTCCAGAGGTGGCGGGTGGCGGTAGTGGTGGCGGCAGCGGCGGCAACCGCCTCCAATCTCGATCACATAGCACGCCCATGTTGTCATGGTTCACCAAAGTGGTGCAACAGCAGGACGACACGCAGCCGAGACCGCGTCTGGACGACATTGGAAGCCTGGAAGAGAGGAGGAGAAGGAGGGAAAAACGCCGGCGGATGCGAGAGAGGCGCGAACGCCAGGGTCTCATCTCGCCCGATGGGGCGACTGGAGAGGCGACAACACCCTCAGACAGGACCGTGCGGTCGTCGTCGACGATGAGCTTGCCGGCCACATCGTGGCAAGGCAGCCAGGCAAAGCGCTCAAACGCGTCAACCGGGACAGCGATGCAAGGGCTTGGCCTCGTCGGGCTCAAAATGCCAGGCGAGGGGGACGACGAGAGAAATCACATCGAAGAAGATGTCGTCGAAGCGCCCACGCCACCACAGAGATCCATGTCGACGCCCCCTACGATCAAGAACGGCGCACGGACGCTCAACAGATTGAGTACGAGGGCGTGTGTCAGCCCCGGTGGCACCCTCAGCCTGTTGGCCGCCTCACCGCCTTTCGAAGGTCTCAACGATGGTGTCATTTCCAACACGAGAGCAACGATGGCTTCTGTGTCGCCGTCGGTTGCCTGTGCAACTGCTCTTGACTCGTCCTTCTCTTCCCTCGAAGATGACCGCCTCGTCCACAGTGCTTCGCTGTCAAAGGACGACTCGGGCGTCTTCTTTGGCATCGATTCATGCACGGCAGCTGCCGAGGAAGAAAGGGCAATGTCGCAAAAGCATCCTCGCCATCGTCGACACAGTTCGACGGGATCCAGTGCGCTCAACGAGGGCATGGATAGCCTCAGCTTCCTGGATCGCGTCATGGCGACGAAGAACAGCCCGCTGCGACTTCGCCGCGAGGCAAAGGCCTTGGAGAGACTGGGTCGACGTCCGAATCAGCACGACATTGTCGTCATGACCGCCACCACATCGCTTCCTGGCGACAGCCAGGCAGCGGCAGGCTCTCTCGATTCTGGGCTTTCGCTGCCACGTTCGCAGATCGGAGAGGGAACATTGACGGTAGCTGCAACGATGGCTCCCAAGAGCGTTCGTTGGGCTCCAGACGCATCAAGCCCTCATCGTCGAATGACTACAAGAGAGCATTACGATTTCTTCTTTGATGGAATCACGCCTTCAATCGATGAAGGTCTTGTCAGTGTCCATGACAGCAGTAGCAGCAACACTACCAGCACCAATAACAACGACAGCAGCGGCAGCAGCAGTGGCGGTGGTAGCAGCAGCAGCAGCAATGGCGGCAGCTTGGGGACATGGGGAGAGCAGCAGGATGCTTCTCTGTTGGGAAACGTGCAGTCGGCTCGCAAGTTCAACCATGCAAACAGCGGTGGGGAGCTGAGGAGCGCCTTCGGCAAAGCGGCCGATCCAATCGAGTCTCCAACGGCCAACGGAGGTGGCGACGCTGCCACCACTAGATCTCGTCTCTCGTCGTCGCTCTTCCGGAGCAGCTTTGGCTCTCCGATGGCCACTCGATCGCTGAGCACAGGTAGCGTACTGCCCAACTCTCCTGGTGATTTGAGCCTGTCAATCGACTCGTCGAATCGGACACCGAATTTTCAAGCCAAGCGCGGACTGCTCTTTGGTCCCAACAGTCTAGGCAGCATGTCTCCGCCGCCCTTTGCCTCGGCCGCCTTTTCTTCCTCCCTCGAGGCTGCATTTGGCGACGGTAGTGGTGGGAGCAGCAGCATCTTTTCTCAGGGCCCCACCCTGGCCCGTTCGCCGGCCAGGGGCGCCTTTGAGACACCGCCAAAGCTTCTGCGCGCACACACCTTGGCCGCTCCATTCTCATTCCAGTCATCCAGCAGCCTTGGTGGGCCTACCAGCGCAGCCAATGAGCCGTCCTCATCCTCGCTCAAGCCCGACTCCTCCAGCGACGCTGGCGGCCGCGATTCGCATAACGTCAGCCCCGATCGTGTGATGCTCATGCGTGCGCAATCGTCGGGCATCCTCGACCGTAGGCGAACGCTGCATCGGTCCATCACCTCGCCCTCGACAACTCGGTCTTCTCGCTTCTCTGACCCTAGCGACGACGCTTCACCCCAACGTCCTTGCTCGTCTGCCCCAGACGACGGCAAGCAGCACCGTAGCGGAGGCAAAGCGCCACTCGGCTGGGCTCATCGAAGCCCCATGACGAGATACGAGACCATCAGCCCTGCAGCCGTCTTTGGCGCCTTGACTGCATCCTCATCCTCTTCGGACAATCACCGTCATCGCAGACTGGATTCAGAGATTGTCGAGTTTGAACCGACGAAGGAAGCAAGCAGAGCAAAGGGCCCACCGACAACGCTGGCTGCAGCCGGCATCTCGTTTGGTCATCACGATGGCGACGGAGAAGGTGACGACGAACAAGAGAGCACCTCGAACAGCACAAGCCCTTCGGTGAGCGCAAACTCGGGAAGCGTCAACAGACTTGACAGCCTCAACGAGGGCTGGGCCACATCCAGAGTCGCTGCTGCTGCCACAGCTGCTGGTCGGCAAGGTCACCGATCTAGGGAAAGCTCGGCTTCCACAAGCCTATTTGCAGAAAGCCCGCTGTATCTCGACACTAACCAACGCAGTGCCACACTTGTGGCTGGTAGCGCGCCCGTCCCATCTTCTTCAACATTGGCCCAAGCGCTGGGGATGATTGGGATCACAAAGCAGCAGCAGCAGCAACAACAACAACAACAGCAGCAGCAGCAGCAGCAACAACAGCAGCAACCTCCTGTACCAGCTGCGCCTGCCTCTGACCCCACTGACTCCACGCCCAGCGACGCCCCGGACGCGCCTGGGCCGCCCTCGCGCGATAAAACAGCGGCCAAGAAGAAAAAGAGGGCGACGGCCAACAAAGAGCGGTCGTCTGCGTCGCAGCACGCGCAGGAACAGCAGCTGCAGCACGCACAGGGGCAAGAGCCATCTTTAAGCCAGACCAGCTCAATCTTTGGACAGATGGAATGGGACCGCGCCGACGGGAGCAGGGTCGTCAAACTTGTCTCAGAGGAATTGCAGGCTGCCATGGAAAGTGGCACGATTGATTCGGAGCCAGCGCCAAGGTACTACAAGCTGCCACCCGGCTTTGGAGCATCCAAGAGTAAGCCCTCGAATGGCTCATACGCTGGAATGATTGGCCAGGCGATCCTCTCGTCGTCCGACGGTCGACTGAGCCTCAACGAGATCTACAACTGGATCAGCACCGTCTACCCCTTCTTCGAACGTGGTGACCGTGGGTGGCAGAACAGCATTCGACATAATCTCAGCTTGAACAAGAGCTTCATCAAGGTTGAGCGCGACGCCTCGATTCCAGGAAAGGGAGGCTGGTGGGCCATCAAGACTGGCCACGAGGATCGCTTCGTTGGGGGGTCCTACGTTGCACCCGGCACTGCTTCGAGCAAAAAGGACGTCAAGACGCCGAAGCTGCAACATGCAAACCTTGAGCCTGCGCCGGCACTGGACAGCTCGCAGAGGAAGCGTGAGCCGTCGAGCCAGCCCAGTGAAGACGCCAGCGACGGTGATTACAGGCCCTCGTCCAAGTCCCAACGCGGAGCCAAGGTCATCAAGAAGGTCAAATTGGGCGTCAACAACAAAAAGAAGGACAAGACGCATCAAGCTGACGCGAATGACGTCTTTCCCCACCGGGTGCCCCTTCAGCCGGTGCAGCAGCCTGCTGCTCCGCGTGCCTCTTCGCCGCCTCACGAGTTGGCCTTCGACACCATGACTCCTGTCCGACCGGGTGGAGCAGGCAGTTTCATGGCCAGCAGCGGCCATGGAAGCAGCCACACGACGACAATGACGTCGATGCCGATGCTGACGGACGCCAGTAGCCCTCCGAGCAGCCCAAACACAGAGATGGCCATGCCACCACCGTCCAATCCGAGATTCCACGGTGGAACGGCTTCTGTCAGCCAGAGCGCGCGCAAGCGAAAGCACGACGTCAGCGCGGCGGTGGCCATGATGGGCCACAATAACGTCGGACTCACGCCAAACCATCAACAGGCCTTCTCGTCTGGTCTCGGCAACCCGTATGCACTTTCGCCGAGCCCGTACAGCCAGCAGCACCTGCATCCGCACTCCTACCACCACACGATGCAGGCCTCGCCTCTGGCCAATTTCCGAGGCGACGGCTTGGGCGGAATGAATGGCGCCTCGAGGGGACCAACGGGTAAAAATGGCCGCTTGCGAGCCGGAGCTGGCAGCTCCTTTGTCAACGTCGAATCACCACTCCGTCGACACTCGACTAATGGTAATGGAGGCTCCAACAGCAACGGCAACGCATCGCCGACAAGGCTCTTTGTTCATTCACAGTCGCCCATCTCTTCGCTCCGTGGCGGGTCCAACAGCTCGGTCAGCATGGTGAGAAGCACGTCGGACGAAGGCAGAGATGGAGGCGGTGACGAGAACCGCAATCCGAAGGCCGCAGCCAGCATACATAGCCCTTTGAGATCGTCGCCACTGAAACTGTCGTCACTGGACAAGAACCACTCGACGATGATGAGTCCAGCCGGAATGAATCTCCAAATGGCAGTCGACCAGCATCAACAGCAACAACCTCTGCAGCACCAGCAACAAGCCGCTTTCATGGCGCTTGGGCCCGGCACAACGCCGCAGAGAGGACAGGGCGACATGTCTTTCCTGACGCCCAATGGCCAACCTCGATGGGGACTTTCGCCCTCCCCGATGCGCAAATTTGCCGCTGCCAATAGCGCCTCGACGCCCGCTCGAATGGGCAACCATCAACAGCAGCACCAGCAGCACCAGCAGCATTCGCACGCTGCTGCTGGTGGAGCAAATGCCGGAGGCGCCGCTGCTTGGCTTGATGATCCATTCGACTACCAGGGTACGCTTGAGCACGAGCTTACCCTGGCCATGCAATCTGGCGGTGCCTCGGGCGGCGGTGCGGGCGGACAAGGCAACGGCCACGCAAGCAACGGTGGCATGACCACGCCCGGGGTGGAGTTGAGCCCAATGAGGATGATGTACCTCGGCAATTCGTCCTACTCCGGCGCTCAGCCCTCATTCCAGATGCAAATGCAGCCGCAGTCCCAGCAGCATCATCAGTACCATCATCATCATCAGCAGCAGCAGCAGCAGTCACAACAGCCGCACTCCTCATTCTCCGCCTTTGCACACGGAGGAGGCCAGCACCATGGAGGTTCCACGGCTTCTGCCCCTTCGGCGACTGCGACGACCGCTTCTGCGTCATTTGGGGACCCCTTTGCATCAAACTGATTTTCCCCACGCTTGTTTCTATTCTCTTCTAGTCCCAATTGTCTCTCTTCTCTTCTTTCTTCTCACACCCTCTGCCTCTTGTCTTATCCGCTTTGCCTCGTCACTGTGTCTCTTAACTCCTCTGTAGACTACTTTTGCCTCTTTCCTCGTTGCGAGCAATCCGTGAAGTCCTTGTAAAGAGCAGTCTTGTCGTCCGCGCTCTCCAACCCGAATGAAGTAATAATATATGACATTGACAGTTTGCAAGGTGGTGACGTGAGTAGTGTGTCTGTTGGTTCATCGCTCGATGATGGCATGGGCCATCGCTAACTCCTTGCGCTGGGACGTGATGCCCGACCCGCCGGCCAGCCACGAATGCATGGAGAGCAGCAAGGTAGGGTTGGTCCAATCAGATGCCGCCGCCGCTTCGCTCAGGCCGGACATCCCGCCCGCCGGGATTGCCCATGGACACTGTCGCCAGGCGCCGCTGGTTCAGCACCGTCAGCGTGGCGGCAAAGAGTGCGCCACTGTTGTCGGTGCGCCCGCCATCGTCAGCTAAAGTCAAAGAGGGAGGGCGTCTCTCTCTTATAGTACAGTACTTACCCGAGAAAGAGCCTCTTGGGGGTTGCAAGCGCGCTCATTTCGTCCCTTTTTGCTTGCTACTACCTTTGGTTGCCTTCCGTTTGGGCACACAAACAGGTGTCAAACAAAGGGGTGAACGTAGTTGGGGTAGACAGAGCTAGTAGTGATGGGCCACTTAGCTTATCGAGCCCTGTGGCTTATCAAGCCTCGACCGAGATTGCGGGGTATGTCCCCACGTGTAATTTAAGCCTCCACCAGATCTGAGCTTCATTACCAGACGTTCAACGACATAACCTCGTAGTAGTGGTAGTAGTAGTGGTAGTAGTAGTAGTAGTGACACAGGAGAGGGAGAGGTGGGGACAGAGAGACTAACAGTACATGCAAGAGTGATACTGAGATCGTGACAGCGTGTCAGGAGGATACGTTCAGCAATCGATCCTCATGCCCTGCTTTGCCATTTCGAAGCGTACGCCCAGACCGACGTCGTGCTCCATGTCGCGCAGCTCCTCGAGGATGCGCTGCTGCATTGTGCGCGGGTCCACGACACGAGGCCTTTGTTCTACTTCCTCTCCAGAGGAGGGAGACGACGAATTAGGAGGTGAGGCCTCAAAAGAGGGAAACAAGGCCGTCTTGACGTGGACGATGACGATCGATAGGCCCTCGAGGCTACCGTGGAGTTCCGAGTCCTGCACGCTGCTTGCGGCCATAGGTGACGCCGGAATCGGAGGCAGCTGCGATACGGAAAGCTTCGACCGAGGGTAGGAGGGCGGCGGCGGAGCAGCTTGTCTGCGGTTCAGCCGCCTCTTCTTTTCGGCCACGACGATCCGAGACAGTGTTCGAATCTCGTCGAAGAGGTGGTTGACAGAGAGGTGACCATAGAGAAACTGGGTTGGATGAGAGGCCGGAAAGCTGCACTCCAGAAAGATGGTGTTGAGGTTCTTTTCCACAAATCTCGGCGCAGCGTGTGCCCAGACCCGACGGTTGCGCGGGCTCCGGCTGATGCAGTCGGGTTCCACGTCGCCAAAGAAGAGAACGTCACGGCCGGTGCGCCTGTTTGTAATGAAGAAGGCGGTAGAGTCTAGCGCTGGAGGTGATTCGTCATCAATGGAAACGCGGCGGGGCGGCGCTTTTGTGCCAGAGGCAGCCGCCCGTGCCGCTGTCGTTGCGCCTCGTCCGCCCAGACCAGTCTCAGACCCCTGGGCTGTCCGTGGCCGCCGACTTCTTCCAGAGATGCTTCTAGCGGCTCTAGGGCGCTCTCTCAACTCCTCGGCGCGAGATACTCCCACATCAGGCATGGTGATCTGCAGCTTTGAGGAAGCGGAGGGGGTTGAAGATGAAGGCGGCGTAGATGGCGCAAGGGAAGAAGACGAGGACGTCGTTGCGTCTGCTGAGGGAGGGACCTCGGACGTGGGAGAGAGTGCGGGTTCTTTCTTCAGCAATGACGAAGAAGAGGTAGGTGGTAGCGGAGTGGGGGATTCTGCCTCATCGTGAGACGTCGACCCCTGGGTTGCCGTGTCGTAATCCGACCCATCCCGCTCCTCGTTGCCTTCCTGCGCCTCATTTAGTCTCTCCACGTATGCCCTCTCGGGGGCAAAGGGACTCGTGAACACGGGTCGCTCTCCCGAAGCACTTGGGCTTCGATCGCGCGGTGACGAAGATGGCGACTTGGCCGGCTGGAGGGACAGGGCAGGAAAGTAGCCATTAAGAGGAAGCGAGTAGCGTTTGCTGAAAAAGGATGTCGGCTTGCCCGGAGGATAGGCCTGTGAAGGCGTCGGGGGCGCTGGTGGCACCGATGGGTTCAGCCCATGGCTCAGTGCAAACGGCAGGACGGCCAGGGAGTCGTCGATGTTGGCTTGCTCTTGCGAGTAAAGACTGTCGAGCAACTGTCAGCTCCCATCTCATGCTGTGAGATGCTGTGAGACATGGAACACTTACGCCTTTAGGTGATAGACGGCAGGACCTCCGTCGTCCTCCCAGCTGGCGAGCTTGGGCCAGATCTTGCCATTGAAGAGATCCGAGAGGTTCTCGAGCGTCGGCTTAAGCCCAAGCACCTTTCTCTTTCCCGGAAGGCTGGCCGAGCCCAGGACCATGCCCGCGATGTGGTCTAGGTGGGCGTGGGAGATCAAAAAGGAATGGGCAAAGCTGCCCAGATAGCCGGCCCGCAGCGCAGCGTCGTCGTGAGGAAACTGAACGTCGGCAAATGCCGACTCCGGTCCCACATTCTCGAGGATACGCGCGAGAGCGCCGAGCCAGGAGCCTGTACAGCGGTGTTGGTCAATTCTCCCAATGGAGATGGTGTGAACAGAGAGACGAAAAAAAAACTCACCTCCCTCCACCACCACAGCGCCATTATGCCAGTCACGGTCGGCGGGTTTGAGGAGGTAGCAGGAGCAATCGCTCTCCAGAGGCCCTCCGCCAACGCCCAAGCAGACAAAAGTGAACGACGGCTCCTGATCCGGTGGATGCAACCGGACGTGCTGTGGCGGCCTAAATCCAGACGACGATGTTGATGACGACGACGACGATGGCTCTGGCTCTGGCTGACCTTCGGGTGCCGTTCGAGGGCGAGCCATGACGGCTTTCCCTCTATGTTCTCTGTCCTACGTGCCCCTCTCTTCGCCCGTCCTCCCTCTCACCAAAAGACGCGCAATGTTAATCGACGAATCTCTTGGACGACGGACAATCGATGGTGAAGATGGATTTTTATCGTCAGGTCCAACAAATCGTTTGACCTTTTTTTTTGTGGACCTGGACGATGGCGGAGTTTTGATTTCGAAAAAAGGCCGCGACCGTCCAAGGCCAAAACGTCCAAGTTCACCTGATTGTTCGAACCTCAACCCTGAACCCGAGTCCCGCGGACAGGTGTGCGGTACCGCTCCGGCCAGACGACTATGGATACAAGCTCGCCGATGTGGGGAACGCAAAGCCGGTTGCTGTTTGTCGTGTGGTCGGGTCGTGGTCCAGGCTGTCCAATCGGCGAACACCCCGTCTTGACTACCTATGCGAATGGGAAAATTGTGGCTTGCTCGATTAGCACGTGCACGTGTCGACATCCATGTGCAGCTGTAGGCTAAAGCCCTATTCCGCCTCACTTGGCAAGATCAACAGCGTCGGCACCTCAAATGGCTTGAGTCAAGAAGATCTCTGTGAAATCGACTCATGACTGGGTTCTGAACTTGGCGAGGATCATTCAAGAAGCAGCAAGGAAGTGGCACGGGGAGGCGCAATGCCTTCGGGTAGTCAGATGTGAGTGCCAGACTCGGAGCAAGTGTCAGTAAGACTTCACTAGTCCGACACCACGTTTACAATGCTGTTCGACAGGCAAAGCAGCCAGCAGGCGCAACGGCTCAAGGCATTTCGCGAGCTCCTGGACCCTGCCGATCTTCTACCCGGACACAATGTCGCCGACTTGTACAAGCTGAGGCATCTCTGCCTTCAAGGTGGTGGTCTGCCCGAGGGCACCTCGACCTCGTCGGCCTCTACCCCGGCGTCTTCTTCTTTTGCAGCCTCGAGGAGCTCCGACGCCTGGCTTCGGGCACAAGCCTGGAGAGTGCTGCTCGGGTACCTACCGCCAGAGAAGCTCGAATGGAAGCAGGTTCTCAATAAACGACGTGGAGAGTACTATGTGAGTCTGAGCGGTACCGGTCTCCATGGTCGACAGAGGAGCTGACGTTTCCCAACAGCAATTCGTGGCCGATTTTCTCCCATCATCACAAGACGTGGGCACCCAGCACGGCTTCCCCGGCAAGCTCTCTGAGAGAGATGCGCTGCTGGACCAGATCTATCGCGATCTGTCTCGCTCTCGCAAGAATGCCTTTAGCTTCTATCGCGCACCCGTGGAACCCAGCCGGTCCTGCCCATTGACACCCGCACCTGCGTCGGCCCAGGGGGAGCAGGCCGCACCGAGGTTGGAACAGAGGCTGTCGCTCCTCCACCGTCTTGCGTCTATAAATGCAGACTACGCCGATTCACTGGCCCACGAGGCCCTTTCGAGACGACCTGGGACACCATCAAAGGCATCTGATACATTACACTCCCACCTCTCGCCTCCCAACATGGCTCGTACACGGAGCAACGGCCGTGGCCGTGCACCGGCCGCCAAGAGCCCTTCGATTGTCCTCGAGCCGGCGAGTCCGGGTACCTCTGAGGGACCGTCCGAGTACTTTGAGGAAGAAGACGATTCCGGCTTCGTGAGCGCCGAAGACAACAGTCACCCATCGCCGCCTTTGGCACCGAGCAGAGACCACCATGACGGGGACAGAACCAGTGAGGATGCCATCGTCGACCGGCGTTGGCACTCGCTCCTGCGCATCCTCTATATATATGCACTTCTCAACCCGAGCATCGGCTACGTGCAAGGCATGAACGAGGTGCTCTTCGTCATTCTCTACGTCATGGGCACTTCGTCTCACCTGCCATCTGCCGCTGCTGCCTCGCCTGCCGCTGCCTCTGATGCTGAGCAAACTGAAGAGGAGGATGCGACAGAATCGCTGCGCTACGTCGAAGACTCCATCGACTCACCAATTGCGCATGCCGAGGCCGACGCCTTCTGGTGCTTCTCAGCCTTGATCGGTGAAGTTCGTGATCTGTACGACTTTGACGGCGTCGACCATGGAACTGCAGGTCTCAGGATCAGCAATCGAGGGACCAGCGAGGAGGCGCCGCACCTCGATGACAGTGGCATGGCTGGGGCACTCAAGAGGTTCAGCCTCCGTCTCAAGTGGCTCGATGAAGACTTGTGGAGATCCATGGTGAGCCCTTGACTGACTGTAAATGAGCTGCAAGGAAAGAGGCGCTGACAACGGGCGAACCCAATAGCGCATCCACTCTCTGGATCCTAGAATGCCATACTACTCCTTCCGATGGCTCGCTTGCCTCATCAGCACCGAGCTCTCGCTACCCTCGGTCGTTCGCGTGTGGGATGCCATCTTGTCGGAGACCAACGAGCCAACCGGCATTCCTGGTTCCTCTACCGCCAAGGTCGAGTTTCTCATCGATGTCTGCTGTGCGCTGTTGATCCACGTGAGGGGCCAGATTCTCGATGCCATCGAGGAAGGCGAAGACGACGGCGACGATCAACATGACTCGTTCTCCAGGACCATGACGGTGCTACAAGCGTACCCCGATGGTGACGTTGGTCCGATCCTGGAGCTGGCGTCCCTCTATCGACAGCGGCGTATGGCGTCCCCGCTCACCGGTGACGGCCCACCGACTGAAGACGACGAGGAAGCAATCTTGACGATGCGCCAGCGAGCAGCGAGGGCAGTCCGAGGGTGGACAGCGACGTCGACTCCGTCCCGACCCAGGTGGCTTTCTTCTCCGCGGCAAGCGCCATTCGAAAGCCCTTCTTCGTCGTCTGCTGTTTCCACACCATCTCGCTCACCGGGCGCTGTTCTGCAAAGGTACGCAGACGCCCTGCAAAGCAGTGATGCTGCCGCGAGCTTGAGCAAGGCTAGCACAAACTGGACCGCCAAAGCCATGGCCACTTGGGGCGAGAGAGGAAACGGGGAACGAGCAGGCAGAGACGCTTCGCCTTCGCCCGTAAACACCGACGGGTCGAGAACGACCCTCTCCCTCCAGTCGCTGTTCAGCAAGGCTCGCTCGCCCAGCACGAGCAGCACGAGCGCGCAGTCCCAGGCCTCCAACAGCCCGAGCCAGAGCGTCCACCCAGCCCTTCGATGGTCTAGGGACGGTATGCCTGATCTTCCGATTCCCAACGTGGAGGACAGCCCCGTTGGGAGCCAAGAGTACGGGTACGGCAAGAGGCCCATCAGCACGTTGCTGGGCAGGGCCGCTGGTGGCACTGCCACTGGCACTGGTGCAGGGTCATCGAGTCCAAGCAACAGCACGTCGGGAAGTCCAATGAACAGCCCGACACTGGCGTCTTCCGGCCGATTCGGTACGCTGCCTTCACTACAGGCTGGTCTCAGGCAGACCAGCAAGAGCAGCGCCGGCCCAAAGCCACTGTTGCTGCGGACCGCTGCTCGACCACCACGGGAGGGCAGCAACAACGGAAGTGCCGAGCCTGAAGAGCAGAGCCGCATCGTCTCGAGCGGGCCACTGGCTGCCCGCAATGGTCGACGCCGCCGCGCTGCCGGGGCATCGACGGAGAGGCGAGGCAGTGGTACGGCATCGGTCACAAGCAGCGCAATGGACGGCGCTTCTGAGAGCGGCGGTGAATCGAACAGCGTCTCGGCTGCGCCAGCGTCTGTCAATGCAACGATGCCGCGCAGCGTTGCACCGGCGTCTACCTCCCTTCCGGGAGATGGCGATGAAGCCGGAGCAGACGTGACTTCCAGCAGCGGTGGGGGTGGCAGAGGCACCGTGCCCGTCTCGGCATTCTCCAAGATCCGGACGTCCAACAACGGCGACTTGTCCATCGACTCCGACGAGGTCTCTTTGAAGCCAGTATTTGGTCAGGTGGCCAGCAGCGCAGACCAGCCTCTGAACCAGAAGAAGCCTTCGCTGCAACGCGGCATTCGGCGCAAGGACAGCAAGGAGGATGGCAGCCCGGCAGCGTCAGCCTCGAACCACTCGTCGCTGACGGGGAGCATCAATGGCCAACAAGGAATACTGAGCGGATCGGTAGACTGGCAGTCACCCCGAGACAGCGGCACGGGCAGCTCTTCCACATCCTCCGACAGCTCGGTGCAGGACAAGACGAGGACGCGGCCAGACTCTGTCTTTGAGCACCCACGGGCCGCTCCAGCTCCGCCCATCAAGGAAGAACCGCCCATCGCTTCCTCATCGCCGGTCACACCCGTGGGTGACGTGCACCGCTATGAGCTCTCGGACGAGCCGGCAGTTGCCACTGTGTCCGCCAAGCCGCTGGCCGCTCGCACTCCCAGCGGAAGCGGCATCGTGAGGAACAAGCGAACGTTCTCTTCCAAAAGAGGAAGTAAGCGGACCACGGGCGATGGCGCCGAGCTAGGAGCGCTGACGGTGAACACGTCGGCTGCCGATGGTTCGGGTGCCTCGTCTGCTCTGCCTAGTCCTGGACCTGGAGCGGGCGAGACGATGACATCTGCCGAGCTGCTCGCTCGACTTGAATCGTCAACGGAAGACGAGCCGCAGCTCACCGCCACACCTGAGACGACCTTTGACCGTTCCGTCAGGGGGGTCAGTGAGCACTTTGACACCCCAAGAGGCGGCTCTGGTAGACGGAACCTCGAGTCCTCGTTGCCCAACGACGTCTCACCCGTGGGAAGCGATTACGGCGATTATGAGGCTTTTGCTACTGATGACGAAGAGCGTCCGTTCCAAGATGGCGGCGAAGAGGCGTTCCAGGCCATTGGCAATGCCCTTGCTCTGGCTGACGACACCAGAGCCTAGGTTTGTCGATCTCACTTCCTCCCATGTCATTAGCATATACCGATCCAGGGACAATACAATTACTATCAATTTCTTTAGCAAGGTGTCAACGCGCCACATGATGTGAGATCTCCCACCCAGGTGCGATTCTGTGGGCCGGAGCCAGTGCTTTCGTGCCGTCAGCAGCAGGAACTTCCACGCTAATGCCGTAAATTAACCTTTTCATTTTCTTGTTTCTTTCTCCCTTTCTCTTCTCCCGTCTGTCTCTATCGAACGTACCCATCGAATTCTCCACGGATCCAGGACAGATCTCTCATCTTTCGACGGGGCTTGGTCACATCTGACCATGTCAGCTGTTGACTCAGACCGAGCAGCGAGCCGTGTCGAAGCGCCCGTGTACGCCCCGGTGCAAGCAGGACCAGTCGCGCTTCCCCCTCTGGCGCCGCCGCCGCTGCCGAGAAAGGAGCACTACGCGGCGTGCTACTGCGAAGAGAATGCCTACATCCTCGCGACGCACCTCGCCGACACGTGCACGAGGCTCAACGACGCAGCGGCGACCGTCGCCTTGCCGGTGCCCGCGCCCGCGTCCGCGTCCGCGGCCACGGCCACGGCCAGCGATGGCTCCCACCAGTGGGTGTCGCGCCAGGTATGGGATGTCGATGTCGTCATTGTCAGCAATGGCAGCCGCACCGTGGCGCTCTGGCAGCAGCGCGCCTCGCGCGATCCGTCTACACTCGTCATTTGGGACTACCACGTCTTTGTCCTCGTCAGCTGCTCGCTCGTCCAGAGTAGGGTTCCAGCAGGGGCCCGCTCCTCGTCGTCGTCGTCGCAATCGTTGCGCAAGGGTCAGGATGAGGGAGCAAATCTGCTCGCAACGCCGGCGAGGCCTGGCCTGCTGAAGCGCCTCTCGAGCTCGTCGCTGCGGGGAGTCACCCAAAGATCGAGCAGCAGCAGTAGTAGTGGCGGCGCTGGCAGCAGCAGTGTCAATGGCCGCTCGAGCCCGTCTCGCCCGTCTTTTAGCGGTACAGCGGCCGCCCCGCTGCAACAACAACAGCAGCAGGCGACGACGGCAGCGGCGATGACAAAGAAGGACAAGGACAACATGGTCGTGACACACCTGCAATCGTGGGTCTACGACGTCGACTCCATCCTCGGTCCAGGCCCGGTGTCGTTTCAGACGTATGCCACAGAGACGTTTCGAGACCCTCAGCAGACACCTACCCCCTATCGCGCCCGCTTCCGTGTTGTAGCGGCCAACGACTACCTGGCGTACTTTTCCAGCGATCGGAGGCACATGATGCTGGCCACGCGCACGTTCTCGGCCTCGTCGCTTCGACCGAGCGCAAGCCTGTCTCGCAAGCACAAGACCACCTCTACCGACCCGAAGGACAGCCAAACCGAGCGCGTAGACAAGACAAGTCCAGCAAAAGAGAAGGGGGAGGAGGAGAAAGAGGAGGAGGGGGGGAGGGGGGGACTGAAGATCCGCTGGGCAGCAGAGCCGCCCGAATGGCCGCCAATCTGCGGACCGCTGGCCAGGGTGGGGCGATCGAACCTGATGAGCCACTACGTCGACATGAAGGTCCGTTTCAAGAGCCGGTATGGCCTCGTCTTGACGGACCGCCAGTTTTTGCAGGCGGCGTGGAAGAGGGTCAGGCCGGGTGCGACTCTCGAGGGCGTTGGCGAGCTCGAGCTGAGCGTGAGGAGCCTCCAGGACATGGAGGCGCTGCAGCTGGGCCTAGATCAGGATGAAGGGGAAGAAGAAGAGCAGGAGGAGGAGGGAGTGGGCGAGGGAGAGGAAGAACGACGTAGAGGAGGAAGAGGCGAGGATTTGGCGCAGACCGTGGACCTAGAGGAAGGGTACGAGGACGAGATCCAACAGGGCTACGTGGAAGAGCCATCGCCCGGCGTCGTCGTCGGCGACGTTTCGCGACAAAGCTTCGAGCACTACCTGCCTCAGGCCACTGGTCCACCTCTTCGACCGCCACCACCGCCACCTCCAGGATCTGTATCCAGCACCACACCAGCGTCGAGGCGAGGAGGCAGGGTGAAGGACCCCCTCTTCCCAGCCTATCTCGCCGCATCGCTCCAACACAGGGCCGCGCGCTCACGAGGAAGCTACTTGGGCGTCGAAGACTTCCTAGACACAGACAGTAGAGGCGTTGCATGAAGAGGACACCACCGGCCTACGCTCTTCGTCTCGATACTGCTGCTCAATACCCGTCATCATTAGGCTCCTGTATTCCTACCTTATGGCATTTGCCTTCTTCTATTTGTCACGCTTTCCTGGGTTCAGCTTCCCACCTCGTCACCGGGTTATTTGTTATCTATTTTCATTAGAGAATCGTCATGATTCGCCCTCGACGACTATTGCAGTCGCCGCCGCCGCCGCTGCTGCTGCTGCTGCTGCTCCCTCGGGTGTCTCTTTCTCTTTCGCCTCCTCAGACGGTTCTTCCATCGCCATGATTGTTTTCTCGCCGACTTCCTCTGCCTCGTCGGGCGTTGGTGACTGTGCCTTGTCGATCTCTTCCTCTGTCTCCTGCAGCAATTTCTCTCTATGCATGGCTTTGTCGTCCTCGCCGTGTTGTTGCTCTTGTGCTTCCTTTCCTTCTCCTTCACCCCGCTCATCATGCTCTGCCATCTCGCCGCCACCTCCAAGGCTATGCTTGACCTGTTCAACCCGAGCCTCTTCGCTCTTCAACGAAGCCTTGAGCTCCTCCGTCGACTGCTCCGACAATGGCTCCGTTTCTCCCGCCGATGTGTCTTCCTCGTGGATCGCTGGCGTAACTGTGGCTTGCTCGACGGCACTGAAGTCATCATGCCCATCGCCCTCCTCCTCGATGGGCTGAGTGGCACTCTGCTGGACGAAGCTCGGAGGAGGCGGACCCTCATCGATCATCGAAGGTGGTAAGATGTCGTTCTCTTCCTCCACCGGCTGCCTCTGACCCTGGTTGACGGCCCTGATCGTAGGGGAGGAACGCTCCAGCAGCTCCGGGCTAGCAACAGTCCCCGTCCTGGGGCTGCCTTTTTGCAATTGCGGTGGCCCACCTGCACCTGATGTCATGTGAGTAGGCGCAAAGGGCGCAGTAGGGCTGCCCGCTTCGCCGCTAGACGATGGGCTATTCCCGCTGCCACTCGCATGTGTCTGATACTGCTGGGCTCCGGATGAAGAGGGCGATCTCTTGAGCTGGCTTCTCGGCTTGCCCAGAGACAGGCTCATGGAGCCCGGCGGCGGCGGAGGTGGGGGCATCTCGATGCCAAATCTCTTTGCCGTCTCCGGCGTCAGATCAGCGCTGACGCGGAGCATCTCTCGCAACTCCTGGTTCTCAAAGCGGATCCTTTCCTCTTCTGTCTGTGTCTCGAGCGCTCGTTCTGCGATGCCCACTTCTGGATCGCCAGCGAGGCCCGTGTAGCCGCCGGTGCCGTGCCATTTGGGATCAGCGCTGGGCGCCGAGCCGTACGAGACTTTGGCCTTGCTGCCGGCCTTGTCGCTGGCGCCTGTCCGCTTCACAGCTGACACATGGGCACTTGGTTCAGTCCCCGAGGGTGACTCGATGTGGTAGCCCTCTGCCTCGAACGCGTCCTCGACAATGCCCTCCTCTCCCTCATGCTCGCCAATCTCCTCTCCCTCGACGCTCCGAAGCGCGACGCGGACGAGACCTCCTAGGTGTGCAAGAGCGTTGCTGAGAGCTGTGCTCGACTGCAGGGTGACATCTGCGGCATCGTGGGTATTGTTGGCGAGAAGCGTCTCGTAGTGCGATGTGAGCGAAAGGGTATGCGATTGGGTAGCATGCTGTTGTTCATTGTGCTGTCAGCCTTTCTCCGTCACTAAAATCAACGCAGGCAGAGAGGCAAGGCTCACCGAAAATGATCGAAACTTGGCCATGACAGCCTCGAGCGTCTGTTCGTGCTCTCTCAGCAGATGGTTCATCTGCTTGTTTTCGTGTGCCAGTGCCTGGTTCTCGACGACGAGCTGGGCATTGATCTTCTCCAAGTCCGACTCGAACTTTTCCTTGGAGATATCGAGGTTGAATCGTCGGAGCGTGTACCCTGTCCCTGTATGCAGTGCTTGTCCCTATTCAAGCCAGTGCGGCCCAGTCCTCGACGTCAGGGGTATTGCTCGTCGCAGATCAAAGAGAAAGAGGGGGGACCAACTCACCTTGAGGTCGTCAGCCTGCTGCTGCAAGGATGCGCACGCTTCTCGGTTCGAAGCAAGCTGAGAGGACAGCTCCGATACGAGCGCCCAGAGCCTCTGCAGCTCATCACCTTCGACGAGCGTCATGACTGGCCCTTCTCCCTCGATGATGAGCCGACTTATCCAGAGGTGCGCGAGTTGCCAAGCTAGCAAGCCAGAGCGGAGAAGGCAACGAACACGCTCATATTGCGTTGGCCTCCCCCCGGCCGAGACGAGCCAGCCACGCGAACGGCGACATCATTTCTCAAGATTTTAGAATTTCCAAGATTTTGTTTTTGTTGCCTTTCCTGTCCGCTCCCTTCTCGACGTCACGGAGGGAGAAAGAAAGCAGCGACACACAATGACGACGGAGGACGCTTCCTCGTCCTCGTCCTCGTCGAGGCTACTCCGCTTCCAAGGGCATGTCAATCTGCGCCAACGGCTCGTGCTCTCGCTGCTGACAGGCCGACCGGTGCGCATTGATTCGATCCGGTCCAAATCCACCTCGCCGGGCCTGCGCGACTATGAGGCCGGCTTCCTGCGCCTGCTCGAAAAGGTGACAAACGGGAGCCGGATCGAGATTGGATACACGGGTACCTCGCTCAGTCTGAGACCAGGAACGATCACTGGCGGCAACATCACGCACGACTGCGGGACGTCGAAACCGATCGGCTACTTTCTCGAATGGATCGCCGTCCTGGCCCCGTTTGCCAAGAAGGAGCTGGCATTGACACTGAAGGGCATCACGACAGGCGAGAATGACCTTGGGGTGAGAAATGCAACAAATCCAAGACACTCCTTCTTTCATTCCATGACTTTACTGACGAAAGTTGCTTCCCATGTGCAGGCTGATGTGCTACGGACAGTCACGCTGCCCGTCCTGTCCCTCTTTCTGCCCTCTCCCTCCTCGCTCGCTTCTTCGCTCGAGCTTCGCATCCGGGCCCGGGGCGCCTCGCCCAACGGCGGCGGGTCCCTCTTCTTTCGTTGTCCTCTGCTGCCCAATGCCTCATCGACTGGCGCCGGCACAGCGGGTGGCATGCTGCGCACAGTTGACTTCACCTCGCCCGGGCGCATCAAACGGATCCGGGGTGTCGCCAGTGCGACACGCGTGAGCCCGCAAATGGCCAATCGCATGGTCGAGGCGGCCCGCGGCGTGCTCAATCGCTACATTCCCGATCTCTACCTGTTTGCCGACGTGTACAGGGGCGAGGAAGCCGGCAAGTCGCCTGGCTTCGCTCTCTCCCTTGTCAGCTCTAGCACCACGGGCGCACTTCACTGCTCAGAGTCCGTCTCCAAGCCAGGCCAGACACCCGAGGACGTCGCCCTCGAGGCAGCTAGGGCCCTGTTGGTCGAGATTTCAACAAGAGGCTGCGTGCCGAGGAGCCATCAGCCGCTCTTCTTGCTCTTGATGGCCTTGGGACCCCAGGATGTGTCAAAGGCGAGGCTGGGTGCCCTGACGCCCGCAGCGATCCACATGCTCAGGGACATCAAAGCCTTCACTGGCGTCACCTTCAAGGTCAAGGTCGAGCAGCAAGAAGCCAAGCGGAAGCGAAGCGCAGACGACAGCGATGAAGAGGACATGGACAGTGAAGAACCAGCATCGATGCTCGAAGAGACACTCGCCAGCTGCGTTGGTTGCGCGATCCGTGGCTCGCGCAAGGTTGGCTAAACCACCTCATCTATCCGCTCTTATTCTGTACTTTTATAGCCATGTAATTCATCCCCACAACTCGTCGAGATTTCACCATCTGCATTTCCTTCAGAGGGATGATAGACGGACAGAGCCTCAGAGGTCTACTAGCCGACTTCCTCTCCGCCCGGTAGAGGGTGCCGTCGTTGATGATGAAGACGAAGGGGCAAATGCACCAGCCACACCTCCCCCTCCTCCGGCCCCCCCTCCTTTACCTGATGCTGCTGCTGCTGCGCCTCCATATCCGTCGCTGCCCATCTGGTCGTCGGACCCCGTTCTGCTGTGCGTCCGCCTGGGCGTTGCGTTGCCGGTGCTGTTGAGCCTCTTGAGCTGGCCCGTCTCTGCCGCGGCACCCGTGCATGCATCGCCGTCGTCCTCTTCGTCTTCTTCCTCGAGCACGTCTGCGTCCCTCTCCTGGCCCAGGGGTCCCAGCGAGTCGTTTGGGCCCAAACCCGGCCGGCTGGAACTTGTGCCCATTGCGCTCATCGAGTCGCGCCACGCGCTTCGGCCCGACGACGAGCCAGCGCCCTGCTCCTCTTCCTCGCGTGCGAGGGCGACCTCGCTCCTCCGCATCGCTCGCCGCTCCTCGTGCTTCCTGCTCGCCACGCTGTTGGTGAAGAGCGGCGTCAAGTAGCGCTGGTCCAGCGTCGAGAACCAGCGGCCGTCCCGGACGATGAGGCCGGCGCGTTGCAGGAACTTGCCCACACTACGTCGTTCCTCCTCGCCCGCAAAGGCTTCTGGGCCCAAGTCGGCGACGTTGCTGAGCGCATCGCCGATACTCGCCCGTCGACTCGCTGATTCCGGTGTTCCAATGCCGCCACCGTAGATGGCAGACGAAGACCGGCGAGCAGAGGGGAGAACCTCTGTTGAGCTCGACGAAGAACGTTCATCATCGTCATCGTCGTCATACGTCGATTGTGGGCTGGCCCACTGCTGCGGCCGCGACCCTAGCGCTGCCGGTGCGGTCCCCGGCATGTCTTCCTCGTCCCTGTACGTGCTGCCAACGCCCCTCAGCATCGCGCTGCTCGACGAAGCAGAGGAAATGTTCTTGCTATGACCACCTGCCCCGTTGGCGTATGTGCGTCTCCTTCGCATGCTCCTCAACCTCGCTTGAGCAATCTCGGCAGCCTCCTCCTCGTCTGTGGAATCGCCCTCATCGTCCTCGACACCCGTCTTGATGCCGAGAATCTCGAGCATCTGCGCAGTCGTGCCTCCAAACACGATGACGGTGATGACGACGGCCACCAACACCGTCGTCTGGAGCGCCTCCGCGTTCTGGCCCTCGATACCGGCTGACAGGGCAAAGCCGACGGCACCGCGAAGCCCAGCCCAAAAGAGCATCATCTGGTACTCGCGCGGCAGCTCTTCGTCGGAGTTGTTCTGGCTCGCCTGGCGCAGATGGCCGGCTCCCGACCGGGTCCGGCTCCGACGACGAAGTCGTGCTCGCTTGATCATGTTGATGAATGCGGCAATGGGGAACACTGCGGCATAGCGCGAAAAGACGACGGCAGCGACAGTGATGCAGATGAAGATGGGCTTGTAGACGAGCGTCGTCTGCGTGAACAGACTGAGTCCGAGATAGATGAAGATGAAGTTCTCCGACAGCTGTTTGAGAAAGACACCGATCAGCACAACGCTTCTTCTAGCCAGGCGCACATTGAGACTCACATTGGCAAGCGTCTGGAAGATGTACTTTGTCGCACGTTGGGTCCTTCTCGACATGTTGTGATATGCGTAGTGTTTGAGAGTGATACCACAAAAGAGGAGGCTGACAATGCCGCTCATCGTGACGCCGTTGCTGAAGAAGTAGCTGGTGTACGCGATGAGGGCCACCAGACAGCTCTCAAGCTGTGGATACGTCGACAGGCGGCTGTGCTTGAGCATCAACGAGCAGCAGAGACCGAAGCCGACGCCCAGGGCCATGCTGAAGGTGAAGACGAAGAGGAAGAGGCCCATACCGTGGAAGAGCGAGGCGATGCTGATGGCCTTGCCGCGAAAGGTGGACAGGACGTCGAACATGACAATGGAGACTGCATCATTGAGGAGAGACTCTCCAAAGATGATGCTGTATAGCTCCGGGTCCACCTTGTACGTATTGAAGATGGCCAGGATCGTCACGGGGTCTGTGGCGCTGAGCGTAGAGCCAAAGATGAGACACTCGAGCAGCGTCAGCGAGAGTGACTCAAGGTGAAGGAGCGACCAGAGGTATACGATGACGCCCACGACGACGGCGCTGATGAAAGTGCCCGCGAAGGCAAACGTCAGGATGATACCGAAGTTGCGAAAGAAGTTCTCCTGCAGGGGACATGTTAGGAGAGCCGGCGTAGCAAGGACGGCAGAAAGGAAGGCGAATGACCCACCTGGCGAAGATCGTAGCCGCTAGCAAGGATAATGGGCGGCAGCAGCACGTTGAGCATGATAGTATTGCTGAAGCTGAGCATCTTCTGCACCTGTTCGCCCGGCCCGACCCGCAGCGCTGCGCCAACGAACATGCCTGCAAAGAGGCCGACGATCGTCTCATGAACGGCCGTGATGCGCTTGACTTTGAGGTAGTAGCTCGTCCAGAAGCTGCCAATAAGGAGCGACAGAACGACAAAGAGTGCCAGAGAAGAGTACTTTTCCTGCTCCTCGGCCAGCGGCGGCGTCGTTGTAGGAGACGGCGAGGGCAAAGGCGAGGGCGACGGTGAGGCTTTGGTCTCTGCTTGGCCGTTGACCAAGGCGACACAAAGCGCAGCAACGACGAGAAGCGAGCCGAGGTGTCTGCCAAAATGCCTGCTCCCAGCCACAGTTGGCGAAATCATGGCGGTACTGCTTCCCCTCATACCTCTTCTCGTCGTCGTTGCGGTCGGACGTCGTCTTCTTTCCAGCACATGTGCACGGTGGTTCGAGCGCAAACGAGCTTTAAGACACGTGACTCCGTTGCGACGATTTTAGTGTCTCCGGTGCATCATCATCGCTGCGCTTTTAAAACCCTTCCACCTGTCGCCGAGCTCTTCTTGGACATTTCTTGGACGAGCGACTCGCCCCGTAACAGCTCTGGTAGTCTTAGGACGCTGTAAATTAGGATCAAAAGACTGTCTCTCGAGCCCAAGAGCAAGTAGTCGCCATGGTAAGTCCTGTGTGGTCATCTGAGGCTCCCGCGTTCGCATCCCGGGCAAGTCACTCACGCACACTCTCGCGAACGCGCACAGCCTCGTCCAGTCGCATCGACACCTCACCTCGTGTGGGCAGCCGGCCACTTTCTCGTCTTCTTCAGTGGCATTCGTTTCCTCCTTGGTCTCTTTACCCTCAATACGCCCAATCTGGGCCACTGGTACACGATTGCATACTTGGGAGCCATTGTCAGCTATGGCGTCGTCTGCTATAAAAGCTTCGGCATTCCTCAACTCAACAAGGCATACGTCCAGCGGGCTCTGTTTGACGAGAATGTCCAGTACCTCGTCTTTGCTCTTTACTGGTGGTTCAACAAGCCCATCTTCAGTAAGTTGAATCCCTCTTCAGTCACGCTGGATGGTACCAGATTCTGATTGCTTTTGTCTGGTACAGTCACCCTGGTCCCCTATGTCACCTTCTCCCTCTTCCATGTCCTCACATTCACACGCACGACGGTCATCCCCATGATCTTCCCTTCGTCGTCGTCATCGCAGCCCAAGCCTGAAGGTGCAGCGTCTGCTCCTCCTCAACCAGCGCCTGCTCGAGCAGCGAAGTTCATTCAGACATGTGAGTAGAGCGACTTTCTCTTCGCCTTCGCCTTCATGAAAGGATGCCTCTGACCAAAATGCATACAGGGGTCAAAGCCAACTACGATCCCGCGATGCGCTTCGTCGCCTACGCCGAGGTGGCCGTCTTTGCTCGGGTCCTGTTCGGAGCCCTTCTGCTGAGGAACAGCCTGCTGGCACCGCTCTTCTACGCGCATTTCCTTAGGCTGCGCTTTTACATGAGCAGCTTCACCCGCGGTGCTTTCCAGCACGTCGGATCGATCCTGGACGGCTACACGCAGCACCCCAGCTGCCCGCCGGCCGTGCGAAGAGGCTACCTTATGTTGACGGACCTTGTGAGTTGTGTCCACTGGAGATATTTATTTTTGCAAGCTACAAGCCGATGCTGATGTTCTCGGGCAGATCTCGCGATACGCAAGCACTGTCATGCCGGTTCAGAACCAAGGCGCTGGCACTGCAGGAGGAGCAGCTGCTGCTGCTGCACCGAACGCGGCTGGAGCAGGTGCTGCTCGCCGTTGAGCGGTTGCTGCGCCACTGCGACGCACAAGCCTGCCAGCAAGCCAAAAATGCCGACCCACGTTGGCACGGTCTGGACAAAGAAGTAGAAGAAGGAATGCGGTGTGTCGTCGCGGGAAGAATTCGAGGAAGAAGAAGATACAAGAACCGCTCGAGAGTACAGCAATGAGCCGTGCTCTCCTTGTCACTTTACCCTATCATGTCATTCACATTCACTTTGGTCCCAGCCAGTTCCCTTTTAGCCTTGTCTCTTCCTTGTATTATCTCGGTGTGTCCAGTGTGCTCGGAATCAAGGGCTTCTCCTTATCAGCAAAAGACGATCTTTGCTTCCCGGTCGTGCGCGCCCGAACGCGGGTGGATGGCGGACTCAAAAAATTAGATAGGGTAGGAAAAAGGGCAGGCCACAGAAGTGGAGAAGGAAAGACAGCCAATTTTTTTCTCTTTTCAATGGCACCGACAACAATGCTGGTGCGACAAGGGTTTGTCCGAGCGGCAGCGGCAGCGGCAGCTTCTTCGAGAGGTCAGCCCGGATCGAGTGCAGCGGCAGGAATTATCAGTCGGGCAAAGGCCACGTCTGCCACGTCTGCGGGAGGACGAGGGTCTGGCGTGACCGGAAAGCCGGTCGTGTCGAGCGGACCCAGCTCGTCGGCGACGGCGACGGCGGCGGTGCCCTCTTCTACGCGGAATCGGAAATTGACGCCGACAGCCAAGGCTAAAGCGCAAGCATCTGCGAGTCGCGCGCTCCGTGAGCAGCTCTCGGCCGTGCGGGGAGCGAGTGCAGCACCGTCGGCGCTGCGAGCGGGGCAGTTTGAAGAGGTGCTTGCGCAGGGTTCGTCGGCCGAGGCCAAGGAAGGCAGCGAGCAGGAGCAGCAGCTGCGCATGCTCGCCAGTGCCCTCGAGCTCTCGCACACACTCATTGCCCCCTCGACGGCGACACCGAAGCAGCCCCAATCGGGCTTCTACCACCACCGGCTGCGCGACGTGGTCGCCTACGCCACGGCCGAGGGCTACGACTTTGAGGCGCTCATCGAGTCGGGCAGATTACCAGACGGGTGGCAGCTCCTCGAGGACGACGAGGTTCTCTACATTCCGAGCTGGCCCCGGCCGGCCTCTTCGTCGTCGTCGTCGTCTTCGGCTGGTGCTGCGTCGCAGTCGGGCGGTGGCGGCGACGCATTCATCTTTCGCTCCGGCTCGTACGTTACCTGGGGCATGACTGAGGACCAGTCGCGGCGGTTCCTCCGCGCCGTCATTCGCAGTCGGACCACGTCTGCGTCTGGCGCTACGAAAAAGGCAATATCGCTCGCAGCAGAGCGATCGTCGGGCCGGAGGACAGGCGAGGTCGAAATTGGACCTTACGACGAGATTGGCGACGAAGCGATGGAGTATCTCGTCGCCGATGATCAGGTCACGCGCGTAGTGGGTGACGTTATCGTCATGGGCCAGGCACCGACGCTGGACCCCAAGGAGGACCTTTCCAGCGGCAACGAGGAGGCCGCCCAACCGTCGTCGTCGTCGTCGTCGACCATGGCAGACGCAAGCAAGACGATAGAAGAGACGAGTGGCCAGGACGAGGAGCCTCCGAGCTGGACACCGCTGCTTGCGCGCCTGGCCTTTTCCCAAGGCCTGGCACGCTCGGCGCGGCTCTCTGTGCAGGAGTCGGCCCTCACAGCGTACCTCGAGGAGGTCGCCTCTGTGCCCGGCCGACTGGAAGCCGCCGGCAAGGTGCCGATGCACCGGAGAGAGGTGATCCGGAAGATGGGCACCCTGCTCCGCCTCCGTCAGCGGGCCAATCTCGACACGGAAAACTTTCTCGACGATCCAGAGGTGAGCCGGCAGCCTAGTTGCTTTTGTTCAATGCTGACCATGTCGTGACTAGATCTACTGGGAGAACAGCAAGGTGGAACACCACTACGACTCCATCTGCGCCACGCTCGACATTGAATCGCGCTTCAAGGCCTACAACGAGAAGCTCGACCACGGCGAGAACCTCCTGGGCGTGCTGCGCGCCCTCTTGACAGAGTCTAGCACCCACCGGATGGAACTGTGAGTCTCTTTATCTTTCTTCTTTGGCGTTCTACAGACTAACCAACCAACCATAAAGGATCATTATCTACCTCATCGCTTTCGAGGTCTGCCTCGCACTCATCTCCCACGAGTACATCCCTTCGCCTGGGTCGGTCTGGACGGCGCTCAAGGACCTGCTTGGGATCCAGGAACCCCTCCTACAGGCCAGCCCGCCTCAAGTAGCTGTGGCAGAGCAGCAGCAACCTCCTCTCCTGGCAGAGATGCCAAGACCGGTTCTCGAGCCGCAAGGGCGTCTTGTCTGAATGAGCTTCTTCTGTTTTGTAGACCACTGTGAATCTTCACCCCTCTTCTACCGTGCACGAGCCTCTTGTGAGCTAGCGAAAGAGAGAGCGTGTGCTAGTCAGCCAACGGAGAAAGAGACCCAAAAGCATAGTCGCGGATCCATTAAGCTATAAATATATACGACGGTAAACGACGAGGGACGAGAGAGGGAAGGCGAAGAAGAAACCACCATTACTGAGCGAGGACCTCGTTGACGTTTGCCGCTTCCTGTAGTGTAAGCGGGGTCAGCACACTTAGTCAGACAAGAGTTGATAAGCAGAATGCGACACGCACCGTTTCTGCCTCTTCGATGCCCTTCCGGAGCTGGTCCATCTCCTCCTTTGGCACGTCGTGCGTCTCGGAGCGTAACCGGTTGATGAGGCGGATTCCATTGACAGCCTTCTTGAACGTCTTTTTCGCATTGAATGCGCTCTTGATGTCCGGCAGCAGGTCGCGCTGCTCGCCTCCTTCCCGTGCTGCGTTGGTCGTGAGCCACGGGTGCTCGAGGGCCTGCGAGGCCGTGAGCCGGTCGGCAGGGTTGATGGTGAGGAGCTTGTTGACAAAGTCCCGCGCCTCCTGCGACACGCCCTGCCAGTAGACGGCCGGCTCGAAAGAGTAGTCGGCATTGATGATTGCCTGCATCTCCTCCATCGTCGTGTCGCGGTCAAAGGGTGTGTAGCCGCAGAGAAGAAAGTATGTGATGACGCCAATCGCCCACATGTCAACGGGCTTTCCGTGTCCGCTGCGATAATACAAGAAAGTCTCAGTCCCAGTCCCAGCTTGCTGCAGCGAGCGAGAGAGGAGGTGCGACTGCATAGAGGCGGCGAATCACTCACGTCTTCTTGAAGATCTCCGGGGCCATGTAGCCTGGTGTGCCGCATGTTGTGCTAAGCACAGTGATCTTCTCGTCATCAACAACCCTCGACAGGCCAAAGTCGGCGATGAGCAGGTCCGAGTCTTCGCTCTTGTCTCTGAACAACAGGTTCTCTGGCTTGAGATCTTTGCATCAAAGTCTCTGCGGTCAGCCCTCGTTCAGACATGACTTTGCAAAGGCCAACACCCACCTCGGTGTACGATGCCCTGGCTGTGAAGATAGACGACGGCCTCGGTGATGGTCTTGACGATGTGCGCGGCGTCCCTTTTTTCGCAGAGTAAGTCAGTCCCACATCAAGGCACACTCGAGACAGAGGGAGAGGGAGAGGGGGAGACAGAGGAAGAAGAGGGCGAGGGAAGGACACCTACTGCTCGTAGTAGCTCCCGCGCTCGCAGATGCGGTCAAAGAGCTCGCCGCCGACGCAGAGGTCGGTGACGAGGTAGAGGTTGTTCATCGTCTCAAAGTAGTCGACAAGGGTGACGATGCTCCGGTGGCCCTGCGAGACCTTTTTCAGCGCAGCAATCTCGTTTCGCACCATGTGCTCCCGGCCCTCCATGAGACGCTTGCTGATGACCTTGCACGCGTAGTACTTGCCCGTCTTGATGTGGACGGCCTCCTTGACGACGGCATAGGTGCCCTGGCCCAGCGTCCGGCCAGTCTTGTAGGCGCATGGCACAGTCTGCGGCTGCGACATGGTGGCGGCCAGTGTGAGCCTGTGAGGTCAAAGTCTTGGTCTCGGTCTCGGCGCGGATGGGTGTCTTGGAGTGATAGGAGGGACCGAAGATCCAGGAATCAGCAAGAAGATCAGAGAGATGGATAAAGCTGAAGCGAGGACGAAGGAGGAGGGGGGCATCGCCTCTCTCTCTTGGCTGCAATTTTTAGACTTCTGGATTGCTATCGTGCACAGTGTGTTTCCAACCGTGCGCCGGAAGAGAAGAGATGAATACAAAATGGCACGAGGCGTGTGCCTCGCCATTGTATTGGTTCGGGCTGTGAAAATTAGCGCAGCGCAAAGCCCTGTCAAGGCCCATGCTGCCGTATTTGCAATCCCGGTGTGGCTAGCTCGCAACCCGAAAAGGACGACGAGACTGAAATGAAGACCCGCTGGGGGGTTGCAGCTGCTGTCCGTGAAGGCAACCAGCGGCACTCACGCACATCATTTATTTGTACCGGCGGGTGCTTCATGGACGTCTTGCTCAAAGCCTGGTGCTTGCTGCCCTTCTCGCACCTCGCATGTTCAGCTTAGGCCACCTGCCCTACCCTCCCCACCCCGGCATGTAAGCACCCTTGATGAGTTTGTTGCCATGCACTTCTCGTTCTATGAGCTGGAGCAGGCGTCTATGAAAACAAATTGGGGTAGCATCTCCAATCCCTGTTGTGTGCGAATGCCGGTCGGATACTGGGTCTAGGATGTCTGGCACTCTTCGGCAGGACGGACCGGCGGCTGAGTGGCGGTGCTTTAGATGCCGGCATTGCCCCTGCCTCGTCGAAGCTCAGAGCTGCGACGACTTCTCGAGGTTCAGAGAGGCGAGAAATGCTCTGGCGTACCTGTGTCCAACCTGTCAGCTTCACATCCTTATTTTGCATAAGAAGAAAATGAGCAGACGTACCGATCGCACTGCTTGAAGGCTGCCTGGAAGCCGTGGTCGCCGCCCTAATTTACACCGCGGGGATCTGTCAGTGTTTCTTTGAGACACGAGTGTGGCCAGTGTGACCTCTCACATAGTACGGCTGGAACGGGCACATGGAAGGTCAGCACAATGGCGTTGGTGTGGAGACGACAGCTCAACTCACGTCTACAATCGGCTTCTTGTCATCACTTCGGAAACGTCGAAGGCATTGCGAGTCAGCTGTCAGTCTTCTCTCGTTACCTAATCATCTGCTCACAAGTCTCCAAAGAGGTGCACACTGTACAGCGGGGCAAGGTCTCAGGTCAGCGCTGCAATGCGAGCACTCGAAGGCCGGTGGCCGGCGTGCTCTCACCTGGCCCGGCTGTTCCTGGGCTGCATGGCCATGAGGTTCCGGACATTGGAGGCGTCCATGCCAAAGATGTAGTCAAAGTTGGCAAAATCGGACAGCTTGACCTTGCGTGCGGTCCCGTGGATCGGCACGCCGTTCTGCCGGCACACGGCCACCGTCCGATCGTCGGGCGGATCGCCCTGGTGGTAGGCGCCCGTCCCACAGCTGTCGATCTTGCCAAAGTGGGCCTTGAGCCCCTGCTTCTCGACCTCGTACGCAAAGACGGCCTCGGCGAGCGGCGAGCGACAGATATTGCCGAGGCAGCAGAAGAGGACCGAGATCTGCTTGCTGCTGCTGCTGCCGTTGTTGTCGTCGTCGCCCTTGGCCATTGTCGTCCGTCGTCGGCTTATCGTCGAGAAGAAAGCGACGCGTTGCCAGAGCGAGGCGCGTGGAGCACGGACCGGAATCCGCGGGGGCGAAGCTAATATTTCCCCGCTCTGTGTCCCTCAATCGTTTTCGTTGGCTTGGCCTCGCTTTCTTTCTTCTTCCTCTTCTGAACGGACCCATCATCGAACTACAGAGGATGCTCTCTCGCGCAGGAAGGAGGCCACCGCCGAGGCCGTCTGGCCTCGTCTCGCTCAGGGCAGCCACTGCGCAGCCTTCGGCGTCGATTGGGACGAGGCATGCGCGCGGGTGCATGACAGCGACCGTCGTGCACCGGCCTTCGATGCTGCTGCCGTGCAGCACTGCCCTCGTCTCTCCAGGCGGAGCGCGGCGCTATGCCACGACCAGCAGCAGTACAACGACAGCTGAGGAACAACATGCAGAGGCAAAGCCATTCCCGTCCAAGGTGCTCGTGGCGAACCGAGGCGAGATTGCGTGCAGGGTGATGCGGACGTGCAAGCGGCTGGGCATCGCCACTGTCGCCGTCTTCAGCGAGGCCGACGCCAACGCGGCCCACGTCGCCCTGGCAGACGAGGCCTACTGCATTGGACCCGCACCCTCGTCGGAGTCGTACCTCAAGATGGACCGGATCCTCGACGTGGCCCGACGGACTGGCGCAGAGGTGTGTATGCGCTCCCTTTTCTCGCTTGTTTCTTCTCTAGCATGGTGCTGTACATCTGTATCTATTGCTGATTGAATGAGAGGCATGTGCTTCTCCCACAGATGATCCACCCAGGCTATGGCTTTCTCTCGGAGAATTCCGACTTTGCGTCGCTGCTCGAGTCGTCGGACGGGATCCGCTTCATCGGCCCGCCGTCGCAGGCCATCGTCTCGATGGGCTCAAAGAGTGCATCAAAGGACATCATGACAAAAGCTGGTGTACCCTGCGTGCCCGGCTACCACGGCCAAGACCAGTCGGACAGCAACCTGCAGGCCGAGGCCGACAAGATCGGCTATCCGGTCCTGATCAAGGCCGTCAAGGGCGGCGGCGGAAAGGGCATGAAGATCGTCGAGCGGTCCGACGACTTTCTCGACCAGCTCAGGAGCGCACAGAGAGAGGCCGAAAAGTCATTTGGAGATGCCGACGTCCTCATCGAGCGCTATCTCAAGAGACCTCGTCACGTTGAAGTGCAGGTGCGCCCTCCTCTCCTCTCTCTTTGCCTTCTCATCCCAGAAGACTAACGTTTTTTCATCTGCCAGATCGTCTCGTCTGCCGCGCCTCACAACCAGCACCTGGCCATCAGCACGCGCGACTGCTCGGTCCAGCGCCGGCACCAAAAGATCATCGAAGAGGCGCCCGCGCCCCACCTCTCGACCGCCCTCGAGCGCGACCTGTGCGACAAGGCGACGGCTGCGGCGAGGGCCGTCGACTATGTGGGCGCCGGCACCGTCGAATTCATCATGGACGCCGACACGGGCGAGTTCTTCTTCATGGAGATGAACACGCGGGTGGGTGCCAGAGCTAGCTGCAACAAGAAGAAGCAGCTTCACGGGACTAACTCCCCCAAAAATAATAACAGCTCCAAGTGGAACACTGCGTGTCTGAAATGATCAGCGGCATCGATCTCGTCGAGTGGCAGCTGCTCGCCGCCTCGGGCAATGCCCTTCCCCTGTCGCAGTCTGAGATCCGCTCGTGGGGCCACTCGTTCGAGGCGCGCATCTATGCAGAGGACACCGAGGCCAACTTTCTCCCCGACGTCGGCGTCCTCGCCCACGTCGCCTTTCCGACGCCGACGACGGACCTGCTGAGTCCGCCGAGCAGCAGCAGTAGTAGCAGTGGAAGCAGTGGCGAGGCGCTGCTGCCGCCGCCGCCGTCGAGCGTCCGCATCGACACGGGCTTCGGCCCCGGCGACGAGATCAGCGTGCACTACGATCCCATGATTGCCAAGCTCATCGTCCACGGCCGGGACCGGTCCGACGCGCTGCGGCTCATGCGCCGGGCCCTGGGCCAGACGCAGATCGTGGGGCCCAAGACCAACGTCGGCTTCCTCAGCCGCCTCTGCGCGCACGAGGCCTTTGTCGACGGCAGGGGCCTCGAGACGGGCTTCATTGCAAAGTACGGCCAGGATCTCTTCGTGGGCAACCAAGGGGCTGTCGAGATTGGAGACGACGTGTATGTGCAGGCGGCCGTCTTTCTCGCCTGGAAGGGCATCCGAGAGAGGCAGGGTACGCAGCAGGCAGAAGGACAGAGCCCGTGGAGCCGACGGGAGTTTTCCTCGTTCAGGTCGACGCGGTCGCAAGGAGCAGACATGCAATTCAAGCTTCGCAGCAGGAGAAAGAGGCAGGGAGCCCAAGAAGCGGCGGCCAAGGGCGAGGCAGAGGACATTGTCACGGTGCATGTCCGCGCGCTGTCGTCGAGCCAGTGCGCCGTGGAGCTGGAGCAGGGAGAGGCAGGCAAAGGGCAGCAAAGAAGAGAAATTGGCACGCTCAATGTTACTCGCTGCGACGGCACGCAGATTGAGCTGCGAACGCCCTGGGCCACGGGAGAGGGAGGCGCAGGGCACGACGTCAGGGGCCACGTCATCAGCCGCGGACCGGCCGGGTCGGACGGCGCCTCGACAGAAGCAAGGCTCGACGTCTTTTCAGAGGGAAGGCACTACGAGCTGGACCTCGTTGCGCCGGCCTGGCTCGAGGAGGTCAAGGGTGCACTTGCACCGCAGGAGGGAAGCGTGCGCGCGCCCATGCCGAGCAAGGTCGTCGAAGTCAGGGTCAAGGCGGGCGATGCCGTTCAGCAGGGTGACATTGTCGTCGTCCTGGAAGCTATGAAGACGGAGCACACGCTCCGGGCACCCAAGGACGGCGTCGTGGCCAAGGTCAATGCTGCCCAGGGGGCCATGTGCGCCGAAGGGACAGAGCTGGTCACCTTTGAGGAACGGGAGCAGGAGCAGTAGTAGTAGAATAGCCATTGATTCCATTCCAGCACGTGTGAATAAATTACAGTCGCTGCTCGCCCTCTTGCGTGATTGCGAACGTAGAGACCGTGCGAGAGAGTCTCTAGCCGCGAGAATTTCCTCTAATTTTTGGAGCTTCTTTCGCCCGTAAGAAGAAAGAAGTCGACGACAACGACGACGACGAAAACCGAGCTAATACAGCAGACGAGATGGTGCACGCGGATGCGGCCATCCTGCCGGACTACATCAAGACCAAGGCGGACCTGTACGAGCATGTGTGCCTCCAGCTGACGGGCTTGCTAGCGGATCAGCGGAGCTGGGTGTCGAACCTGTCCAACGCCTCGTCGATTCTCTACCACTCGCTCAACGCCTTTTCGAAAGAGGACCACTACAACTGGGCGGGCTTCTACCTCCTCTCGCCGCTACTGCCCGGCCGCGTCGAGGTCAAGACGCCGACGCTGCTCCTGGGCCCTTTTCACGGCCTGCCGGCGTGCCAGAGCATCGCGAGCGTGCCGGGCAAGGGTGTTTGTGCCGATGCCAGTGCGCTCCTGCCGCCCCGCACCGTCAAGGTGGACCGGACGGATGACTATCGTGAGTATGGCTGGCTGAGTACAACGATTGCTTTCAAGAAAGCCTGACTGACGCCTGACGAGCTCGCAGCGGGCCACATTGCGTGCGACAGCGCCTCGCAGTCGGAGTGCGTCGTGCCACTCGTCGTGCCGCGCAGCCGTGTCGTTTCGTTTGCCGAAGCTTCCTCCTCGTCGCAGGGGCTAGGCACCGAGTGGGCCGGCAGGGGAGACGACGAGGGCATCATCGTCGGCGTGCTCGACATTGACTGTGAGGCCGAGGAGGGCTTCGACCAGGAAGACGTCAAGGGCTTGGAGCGCGTCGTCAAGATCATCGTCGATGCGTGCGACTGGTGACCGCCGTCATCGTCGATGCAGTAGCAGCAGAATAGCAAAGCAAGCATTGTAGAAAAGGAATAGTAGTAGTGATTAATAGAAGCATTTACCCAGCGGCATCATGGCCATGGCGAGCGAGCGCACCCTCCCCCCTCCACGGCCAGGGCTTTTTGCTTTTATTTTTCCCATTTAGACTATATATCTCCGCCCTCGGACGACATCAACTGTTGCCGAGCGGACGAACACAAGGCACAAAAGTCTCTTCAAAAATGACCGCACCCGAGCCACTCGGCGATACGCAGCGACACCGGCTCCTCCAGTCGGCGCTCGACGCCCGCCAGCTCTCGTACTCGCCCTACAGCCACTTTCGCGTGGGCGCGAGCCTGCTGCTGACCGGCGACAGCGACAGCAACGGCAACGACGATGGCGACGCGAGCGCGGCGACGCTGGTGCAGGGCGCCAATGTCGAGAATGCGTCGTACCCCGCGGGCATCTGTGCGGAGCGCGCTGCGTTCATGAAGGCCGTCACGGCCAGTCCGGCCAGTGCGACGGGCCAGGTCGGCATCCGGGCCATTGCCGTCGCTGCTGGTGAGTCGCAGTGACGGAATGAATGACTGACTGGGGAGCTAGCTCCATGCTGCGAGGGGGGAGTAAGTGAGGTGATGAGAACTGACAAGAGCGCTGGATCGTGCAACAGACACCGAGGCGTGCTGTGCGCCCTGCGGCATCTGCAGGCAGGTGATGCGCGAGTTCTGCGAGCCAAAGAGCACCCTCGTCTACCTCATCTCGGCCAACTGGACCCCCGCCAACGACGTCGAGGAGAAACACGCAGGCGGATCTGCCTACACCTACCTCGTTCGCACGCTCGAAGAGCTGCTGCCCCTCTCCTTTGGGCCAGAGGATCTCGGCGGCAAGAAGCGCGTCCCCTGAGCAGCAGGCAGAGAAGCAAAGAAATAGCATTTATTCCACAAACAAGAAAGAGAGAGAGAGGGAAGAGAGTCTATCTATCTGCGCCTCGTTTGTTGTTGCTGCTGCGCCACGCGGGGATCGCCTCGCTCTGCACGCTTCTGCAGCTTGGCCTGTCGCTTGCTCATCTCTGGCTGGCCCGCTGCGGCGCCTGCCTGTCCTGCAGAGCCGGGTGAGCCGCCGGCCGAGTCAGCGCCCGAAAAGAGGCCAAAGACGCCCTTGAGTGGATCTCTGCCCCCGAGCAGGAAGGGCACGACGAGCTTCGAGTAGCCAAAGTAGGTTGCATACACGGGAATCTTGTAGCCGGCAATGGACTCTTTAATGTCAGTGGGAAAAGGTCGTTCCATAGGAAAGAACACCGACTCACGACGAGGTAGGTCCACCAGAAGCGCGAGGAAAAGATGGCGGTGGTGACGTGGACGAACCAGGTGATATAGACAACGTCGAACATGTATCTATTCAGGTTCGCATCCATACTTGCCCTGTTAGCTTTTTCTCTCTTACAGGATGACAGGCAGCACACTCACGCAGTCAGCCCCTCCTGGGCGAGATCGTCGCCCTGCCTGGCCATGCCGCGCAGCACGACGGCCAAGCCACCAGCAATGAGCTCCGTGGCGACAAACTTGAACAAACGCGAGGCAAGCGTCTGGCCATGGCTGCCGGAGAAGCGCTGGAGGGGCCCAAAGACAAAGAGGAGGTGGATGACGTTGGTGAGCAGAAAGCCGTAGGTGAGGACGCGGATCGTCGACGCGTTTGACGCGGCAATCTTCTTGGACGAGGCGCGGGCCATGGCGCACCAGCTGGACGGAGTCTGGCGGCGGGTTGGGTGTGTGGATGCGCAAGAAGAGAAGCAAAGCCGGGAGAGGAAGAAGAAGAAGAAGAAGAAGAAGTTGTGAGACGATGGAGAGGCCCCAGTCGCGTGGGCAGCTTAGTGTGAGGTGCTTTGCCTGCGCGAAAGTGGAGACCGTCGAGCCCGTGTTCCGATGATGCGCAACGGGCGTACGACAGCAGCCCCGAGCCATCGTATCATTGATCGCACTGCCTAGCAACACATTGCACCGCAAACAGCACATCCACCAGTGCCCCTCGCATCCTCGTCCCGGCAGCGACTCGATCCTGCTCAACAAAAGGAAGAGCGTCGCAAGCAGCAGGGGTAGGATCTGGCTGGACAGGAAGGGAGGGAGTACAGCGCCACCATGTCGTCATCGTCGGGCGCAGGCAGTGCCACTGCGCCACCGATGTCCTACTGCCACGAGTGTGGCATCGAGATCAGGCCCCTCATGACGCCCCATCCGACATGCCCGCGCTGCAACGGCGGCTTCGTTGAGGAGGCGAGTATTGTCCTCGTCGCTGTGTGTGTACGAAATTGCATGCTGACGAAAGCGCTACATCACCCAATGGCAGATCGACCCCGATGCAGCGGCGAACGAAGAGGACGAGACGATGGTGCACCCGCTGCTTGGCGGCAACGCATTCAACGACAACGGGGGCGAGATGGATTTCATGTCGCTCATCCAGGCCATTGCCCAGGGCTATCATGGCACCGGCCCCGCTCGGCGAGCGAGCGAGGACAACGAGGACGAGGGGAGAAGTACGACGCAGGCACAAGCACAGACAGACGGCAGCCAGCCCACGGTGCGGTCGGGCACGGCCAGGCTCGGCCCGATGAACGTCGCCTGGGGGTACGGCTCCACGGCGACGAGGGCGGGCGGGAGCCGGCAGGAGACCGTCAGCTCTCCGCCAGGACTGAGCGAGTGGGTCATGTGTTGCAGCGAGCTAACTTCAGACAGCAACTGATCAAAGACCTTCACAGCTACCTTCAGAGGTCATTCGGGGTGCCGCACGACGATGGCATGGGTGGCGCCGGTGCGGCTGCCGACGGCCGCTTCTTCAACGCAGACAACGAGGGGGGCAGCAACCAGCGGGCAGGACGAGACGGCGACGAGGCCGGACGCGGGCACGAGGAAGAAGACGGTCTTCCCCCAGAGCTGGCTTCGATCCGGCAACTATTCACGAACCTGTTTGGTGGCCTGGGCAACGGCCCTGCGTCGCTGCTTGCTGATTTTCTGGGCGGCGCCGCTGGTGGGGGCCGCTCGGGCGACTACGTCTTTGGCCAGCAGGGCCTCGACGACGTCATCAGCCAGCTCATGGAGCAGACGAGGGGCTCCACCGCGCCGCCCCCAGCGACAAAGGAGGCCATTGCCAAGCTCGAGCGCTTCACCCGGTCCGACAAGGACAAAGTCGGTGAGTAGTTGGTTCGTCGGTCTCTGCGTCCACGCAGCGAACAGTTGCTTACTCATGACGCAACAACGCTCTCCTCAGCGCAAGCGCGGAATCGGGAATGCCCCACATGCATGGACGAGTTCGAAGAAGAGGATGCGGAAAAGGGCAAGAAGAGCGACGAGATGGCCGAGGGGGACCAGATCGTCGACGACGATCCGCCCGAGGTGGTGCCCGAGCAAGAGGGACAGCAGGACGAGCTGGTGCTCATGCCCTGCCGGCACCTCTTCCACCAAGACTGCCTCGTGCCCTGGCTCGAGACGAGTGCGACGTGCCCCGTCTGTCGAGTGACGCTCGAGACGGTGTCGCCTTCCAGTGCAGCGTCCACTTCCCAGCAGCAACAGCAGCAGCAGCAGCAACCCATGTCCAGCGGAGGGCCAGCTTCACTGGTTGAGATGGGGGAGGGAGAAGGGACAGACCCGTCGCCGGCGTCGATGCGCGATCGCGCACTGCGAGCAGCTGAGCAACGGCAGCGTCAACAAAGTCAAGAGCGCTCCGAAAGCCACACGATGCCTGGCTCACTCGAGCCCGACGAGCTCGACTAGGTCTCACCCTTGCTCATCTTATTTTAGACTATTGCTACATGTACATCTTCCATCTCCTCATCTCTCTCTCTCTCTCTCGCTCTCGCTCTGCATCTAATCGTAGTGACTATCACCCGCCTGCGTGAAGGAGAAGAAGCTACCGGCCAAAGACGACGTCGGAGCGCAGGACCCATTTGGTCCCCCGTGTCGGCGGCAGGGCCTCGTGCAGCATGCATGACTGTGTTGGGAGCCCGTCAGCCACGAGACAGTCGACGAACAGAGAAGAGGAGGAGGAGGATTACTCACCCGACCGTGGCGGTGCAGCAAGGCCGTGCCCCGGCTCAGCGGCGCGACGATCCTGCCCCTTTCCTTGCTGCCAGCACCAGCACCAGGCCCAGGCCTGGCGTGGTCCTCGTAAAAGACCGTCTGGCCGCCGTCGACGCCGTCCTGCTGGCCCGTGAGGTAGACGAGCAAGGTCCACTCGGTGCGCAGGCCCGACGCCGGGTCCGTCGCGTGATCATCGTAGTGGGGTCCAAAGATGGCGCCCGGGTCATAGCGGTAGATGCGGATGTTGGCGCTGAGCCCCACGGGCCGCCGGCCGTCGGGCGTCGGGGCGAGGTGCGTGGAGAGCGCGGCGGCGAGGCCCGTGTGGGCAAAGAGAGCCGCGGCAAACGACGCGTCCGTCGTTGAGAAGCGGTGGTTCGTCCGCTGTGCCTCGCCGCGGCGCGCCGCCGGGCTCGGCTCCAGCGTGGGACAGCTGCCGCTTGAACCAGTGCCAGCAGCGGCGGAAGGCGAGTCAAAGAGGCCGACGAGGGCGCGGCACTCTTCGGCGAGGAGCGTCGAGTCGAAGAGGAGGATCTGCGAGGCAAGGAGCGTTGTCGGCGGGCCCAGCGTGCGCGGCTTCTTGCCCGTCCAGACACTGGGTGGAAAGACGTACGGCGCGGCCTTGGCTGGGACGGCCTTTGTCTGGGATTTTTGCTTGCCCATGCAGAAGTGGTAGCGGTCACTCCTTCTGGCGGCAAAAGCTAGCTCACGAGAGACGGTCGACAAAAAAAGTAAAACAAAGTGGAGCAGGCAGCAGCAGCCACACGCGCCGAGTCTTCTCACTTCATCTCCAACACACACGTCCGACGCTGAGTAGTGTAGCCCATGGCGAGCCAGCAGCTGCACGCGGCAGCCTCTTGGCAGAAGCTGGCGGGCAGCCTCTCGCTCGAGGAGTCGTCGGGCATCCTGCGGTGGCAGCCTTCGTCTTCGTCGTCGACGACATCGCCCATCGTCGTGGCGCCGGGCTCCATCATTGGCATCCTCATCAGCAAGCCCGATGCGCCCAGGGTCTCGCTCAAGGTCAGGCTGAATGGTCCTCTGGCGCCCGACGACAAGGACAGTGTCCTGTTCGAGTACACGGGTGGGGGCAGCGGGGACAGACAAAGGGCCCTCGATGATCGCGAGCGGTTCAAGGATCGCCTGTCGGAGATTGCGTCCAAGAACAAGGCTAGCACCAGCACAAGCAATAGCACCAGCACGTCGACGCCAGCCGCAGTTCCCTCGCCTGCGCCTGCTTCTCCTGCTGTAGCAACCAGTATCGCCGACAAGGGAAAGGCCAGGGCGTCTCCGGCTGTCTCGGCAGAGAAGCGGCAAAGGGAGGAGCTCGATCTGCGCATCCGCGTGCTGCAGGCCAACCCTACGTTGGCCTTGCTGCATCGCCAGGTCGTCATGTCCAAGCAAATCACCGACGTCGAGTTCTGGTCCCACCCTGCCCGGGCTGCGCTGCTCAACGCCGAGCGGGCGTCGGCCTCGCAGCGAGCGGGCAGGAACGCACGCATCGCCGACCCGCGACCGTCGACAAACGAGGCCGGCGAGACGCGCATCAACATGACCCCCGAGCTCGTCCGGGATCTCAAGGCGCAGTTTCCCGTCGTCGCGCGCGCCTTTGAGGAGAATGTGCCCGAGGTCATGGAGGAGGAGGAGTTCTGGCGGAGGTACTTTTCCTCCAAGCTCTACCACCGGCTGCGCTCCTCGGCGCGCTCAAAGGCCTCGCAGCACATCATCAAGCAGGACGACGTCTTTGACCGCTACCTCGAAGACGAAGACGATGGCATCGAGCCGAGGAGAAAGCAGTTTGACGCCCACGACCGCTTCCTCGATCTCGGCGCCACGGCCGAGGACCACCAGGAGACGGGAAACGAAAAGGACTGGACGATGCGCGCGGGCGGCGAGCGAAAGACGCTGCCGCTCATCCGCCGCTTCAACGACCACAGCCAGAGCCTCCTCGACTCGGCCCTGGGCGAGCAGGAGGAGGCGCAGAGGCGCAAGCGCAAAAAGACGGGCGGCGTCGACCAGGAGTATGGCGATGGCGATGACGATGACGAGGAGGAAGAAGAAGAAGACTCGAGGATCGTGATTGAAGAGCTGGGCGAGGAGGGTACGACACAAAGGCAATGGCTCGACATGCGCGACCAGCGGCAGCTCTTTGAGAGCAGGATGGGCGGCACCAATGCCCGAGTCGATGCGACGAATGTGGTCAGTTTCGTCTCTCTCTCTCTCTCTTTACGTGTCTCTTCGATTCCTTTATTGACTGCCAAAAACCCCTTCTCTCCTTCTAGACGGAGAGTGACGTGCGCAGAATGGTCGACAGTACTCGGGCTGCCTGGTCGCTGTCTCTCTCCGACTTTGACGCAGGCGATGCCGCGGGCGCCATGAAGTCGATGCTCTCCAACATTCGCGCCCGCAACGAGGCACGGGCGCTGCGCGGCGGGGGAGCCGACCTGCCGTCGAAGATCCAGAGCCGACTGACAAGCTCGCAGGCAACCACGACGGAGTTCCTCCGCCACTTTTGGGCCGCCATTGCACCGCAGCCCTCTACGTCAGAGACGACAGGCGGCGGTGACGAGGAGCAGCAGCAAACGCCGAAGGAGCGCAAGGTCAAGGCGGCAAAGATGAGCGCCAAGCTCGCCAGCCTCGTCGTGGATGGCAAGACGGTGCCGAGGAAGAGAGCCATGGAGGACATGGAGCGCGACGCCGAGCAGGCGCTTCCGGGCTCTGGCCGCGAGCGCGTTAGAGCAGTGAGTATTGCAGGTGGGAGGAGCAAGGGTGAAAGGAACAAGACAGCGTGCTGACCCTGAGTAAAACAGGCACTTGGTCCGACGGAGCAGGCTGTCCGGAGAGCACTGACACTGGCACAGTCTCAGGCAGGAGCCCAGTGAGAAATAGAAGATGAAGTGTAGTATAGTTGCAGTTGTCAATTGTACAAGAGAGAGAGACCTCCGATCATCGTCTTCTGGCCTCCTTTGCCGTCCGCTTTCTCTGGAGCTCTTCTCGCAGGAGCGACAGGTCCTGATCTGCCCCCGACGAGGCTCCCTTGTTCGTCTGTGCCCGCCTTGCGTCGTCGTAGCGCTGCTGGAGCTGTTCCTCGCTCATGCCCTCGAGCTCGCTGGGGTCGAGCGCAACATCGACGTCGTGTGCGCCGCCGCGTTTCCGCTTCGTCCCGACGTCCTCTGCGCCAAGCACGGGCGCATTGTGCTGCTGCTGCTGCTGCTGCTGCTGAAGCTGAGCCATATCGTACCCTCGCTCGCTCGGCATGAAGCCAGCGCCGCCCTGCACGCTCCGCTCCTCCAGCACCTGGAACAGCTGCCTGGGCGGGCCCGATGGTGGAGGCCCAGCCTGCGGAGGAGCTGCTCTCGAGCCCTTTCGAAGCTCGATAAAGTCGGGCGTCTCCAACCCGCCCGGCACCGTCGACGCAACCGACTGCAGGCCTCCGGGTGTCTCCATGCCGCTCGGCGTTTGCAATCCATCCTGCGTGTCCATCGCGTCCTGCCTGTCGTCTTCCTCCTCCTCTTCCTCTTCTTCTTCCTCCTCTTCCTCCTCCTCTTCCTCTTCATCCTCCTCTGGCTCCAGCTCGCCCCAGGGCTCCTTCTCTATCGGCTGGGCGTACGCTTCGGCCTGCCGTTGGCTCTCGGCGGCCGCCTCGCCGCCTTCGCCCATGACATCGCCGTACAATGGACGTCCGTACTCGTCCATCGGCGGCCGGCCCCATCCACCCGGGTGGAAACCCCACTGGGCGCCCTCAGGAATGGGGATGTTGAGACCCGGGATTCTCAGCTGTGGATAGCTCGGAGGCGGTCCATACCGCTGCATGGCGATCAACCACGGCGGTGGGGCCAAGGGTGGAATGCTGAGCGCCTCCTTGAGCTCGTCGCTCAGCTCACCCGGTTTGCGCTCCTTGAACTTGGTCTCAAACTCCTTTCCTTCGTAGTACACTTCGCCGTACCCCGTGAGCGACTCCGGCTTTGTCTGGAAGCGGAAAAAGGCGTCATGGAGCTTCTGGTAGTCAATGGCAATCTTGCCCATCTTGGGCTGCACACGCTCCCGCGTCTTTGCCTTGAGTGATTGGTCGCCTTCTTTCTCTTTCAGCGCGTCCTTCATCTCGGCAATGCCCGTCGCAGCAATGTATGCTGACAAAAACGAAGAGTGCGCGTCAGTATCAATCAGATGCCGAGGGAATTCTGGCAGAGACAAAGATGCCTACTCACACGGCAGCTGGAACGGCGGCTTCTCGATACCCTTTTTGTTCTGGAGATAGTCGCGCTTGAGGCTCCAATGCGGTGGGATCGGCACCGTGTTCCGCGTGCTCTTGAGCTGGATCAGGATCCGTGGGTCCATCGCCGTCACATCTTCCCACTCAACCACCTCGGGCTTCTTGACCATCTGCTTGAGCTCCGCCACAGTGAGCCGTCGAAGCTGTCGCTGCTTCCGTTTGCTCAGCTTGATCTTTTCCCGTTTCTTCTCCTCGTCCTCGTCTGACTCGGACATCATGTCGTCGTCGGAATAGATGACCTCGCCTTTATTTGGGCCCTCGGCACCCTCGGCGCTTGTTGATGCCTCTGGCTGCTGGAACTTTGCAAAGACGTCTGCAAACTGCTTGTATGCCTCATCATTTTCGTCCTCGGTAAAGTCAATCGTCGACAGCGGCGGCGCTCCAGCCTGTGGCGCCTTTCCAGAATCTGTCTCAGGCTCTGAAGGCGCAGGTGTTGCAGACTGTATCCAAGTGAAAAGGTCAGTACAGCTGAAGGCTCGAATACTGTGCGGCAACTTGAGCTCACCATCTCTCGCTGCTCCTTCTTCTTGGCCCGCCGCTTGGCATTCTTACTTTTCGGTGGCGCCGCATCCTTGCCTGACGCTCCATTGACGGCCGCCTTCCCGTTGACATGGTTGTGCGACGCGGACGGCCCGCCCACATCTGCCATTGTGGATGCGCTTGTCCGATGTGTAGAGACGCACTGGCAGCTGTCGCTAGTCTCGTCGAAGGTTAGAGGGTTGTCGCGAAGGCTCACACCGACCGACAAGATGGTCACGTGACATCTACCTGCCCCGACGTTCTGGACGTCGCCTTTGCCTCTCTCCAGACTTGAAAGGGGCAGATTGATCGGGAGTCATGTGTCTGAATAAATGACTTACAGCTACACCGACGGTGATCTTTGCTCCTCTTCGAAGATGCTTCGCAAGCAAATTCAGGATTTGAAGGTGCTCGAGCCTTTGAGGCGGCGGGCCTCTGCCACTTCTAACGAGACAGCACGCTGCTGCGCCATTGAAACCTATTGCACAGGCATGCTCGACTACTCTTTCCATTTGTCTGTCTCCCTGTGCTTCACAGCATGTCTTTCTCAAATTTCTGCCCAAGCTCAGTGCGCGACGATGACATCGATGGCCACCACGAAGCCGCAGCGAAGGCACGGCGCGTCCAAGGAGCATTAGAAAGTTTGAAGCCAATACAAGAATGTCTGAAAGTTGATTTTCGAAAATTTTACAAGTCGAGGAAGAAGACCAGTCGCTGCTGTTACTCCCCTCTTCCTCACCTGCACCATGTCTCGATTCGCTCGACCGGAGACGGTGCTCAAACGAGCCGAAGAGCTCATCAATGTCGGCCAGTCGCCTGCAGCGCTCCAAGCGCTGCACGATGTCTTTACCTCGCGTCGCTTCAAGCAGACGCCCCTCACGACGCTGGAGCCCATCATGCTGCGCTTCACCGACCTCTGCGTTGACCTCCGCCGCGGAAGGACCGCCAAGGATGGCCTGCTCCAGTACAAGAACGTGAGCCAGAACACCAACCCGGCTTCGATTGAGCTCGTCATTCGTCACTTTATCAAGCTCTCCGAGGCAAAGGTCGTCGAGGCCCAGGGAAAGGCTGATGCCGCCGCCGCGGACCTTGATGTCGATGACCTCGAAGAGAGCGAGACGCCCGAGAACATGCTTCTGGGCGCCGTCACATCAGAGGAGACCAAGGACAGGACCGACCGTGCCCTCGTCACGCCCTGGCTCAAGTTCCTTTGGGAGTCGTACCGCACCGCGCTCGACATCCTCCGCAACAATGCCCGCCTCGAGATTCCCTACCAGGTAGGTTCCTCTTCCTTGAATTGACACGCATGACACTGGAAGAGAGACTGAACTGGCTTTCTTCGAAATCCAGCAAATTGCGCACCAAGCCCTTCGCTTCTGCCTTCAGTACCAGCGCAAGACGGAGTTCCGCAGGCTGTGTGACCTGTTGAGGGCACACCTGGCCAATGTCGCGCGCTACGCTCATCACTCGCACGCCATCAACATCACCGAGCCCGAGACGCTGCAGCGCCACCTCGACACGCGCTTCGCCCAGCTCAATGCCGCCGTCGAGCTCGAGCTGTGGCAGGAGGCCTTCCGGTCCGTCGAAGACATTCACAACCTCCTCGTCATGGCCAAGAAGGCTCCCCGTCCGTCGATGATGGCAAACTACTACGAGAAGCTGACGCGCATCTTCATGGTCTCGGACAACAACCTCTTCCATGCCGCCGCCTGGAACCGATACTACGCGCTGGCCCGTGGCGGCGTCAAGACAGAGGAGGAGCACACCCGAATGGCCTCGTACGTCCTCCTCAGCGCTCTCGCCGTGCCCGTCATCTCGTCGAGTGCCCCCGGCACCGGCAACATGAACCGCTCTCGCTCCGACTTCATCCTCGGCGACCAGGAGACCCGCAGCCGTACCGGACGCCTGACGTCGCTCCTTGGTCTCTCGCGCACGCCCACGAGGGCGGGCCTGCTCAAGGAGGCCCTGAATCGCAACATCCTCAAGCGTGTCAAGCCCGAGCTGCGCGAGCTGTACAACATCCTCGAGGTCGAGTTCCACCCGCTGAGCATCTGCGCAAAGATTGAGCCCATCATTGAGCAGATTGCTCAGGACCCCGAGATGGCAAAGTACGTCAAGCCGCTGCACTCGGTCATTCTCACCAGGTTGTTCCAGCAGCTCAGCCAGGTCTACGACTCGGTCAAGCTGCAGCGAGTCATGCAGCTCGTCTCTGCCTTCAAGGCGCCCTACAACTACACGCCTGCCGAGATTGAGAAGTTCGTACTCAACGCATGCAAGAAGGGACACTTGGACATCCGTGTCGATCACGTCGAGCAGGCCATCACATTCCAGGATGACCCCTTCGAGGCCGAGTCGCACCCTTCGGCTCAGGCCAGCACGAGCACGAGTCACAACGGGGCTGCCACTTCCGCCGGTTCGTCCTCTGGCCACCTGGCCACACCCGACTCAGATGCCGTGAGACTGCAGAGCACGCCCAGCGAACTTGTTCGCACTCAGCTGTCTCGCTTGGCTACCTGCCTCGACACAACGCTCAAGACAATCGACCCCAACATTGTCGCGGCCGCACAAGAGGCCAAGCTGAGCGTCTTTGCTCGCGCCGTGGCCGTGGCCGAAGAGGAGCACAAGGCTGCCATTGCCCGCAAGGTGACGCTGGCCAGGCGCAAGGAGCTTCTCGAACGGCGTGCCGCAGAGAGGGACCAGGCCGAGGCCACTGCCAAGGCCGCTCGGGTCGCCGCTGCTGCCGCCGCCGAGCAGACTCGCATGGCCGAAGAGACGAAGCGCCGGGAGCAGGAGCGCATCAAGAAGGAGCTCGAGCAGGTCCGCATCGAAGAGGCCCGCAAGATGGCCCAGTCGCTCCGGGAAAAGGGTGGCCTCAAGCTCACCGAGGAGGAGTTTGCCAACCTGGACACCGACAAGCTTGTCCAGCTCCAAGTTGAGCAAATTGAAAAGGAGAAGCGCGAGCTTGCTGAGCGCCTTCGCATCATCCACCGTCGGATCGATCACATGGAGCGCGCATACCGTCGTGAGGAGATTCCTCTGATTGGAGCCGACTATGAAAGGCAAAAGGCAGAGGACCGCGAGTACCACAAGCTTGCCCGCAAGACGCTTCTGGAGACGAGCAAGGAGAAGCACGAGGCCGACTTGGAGCTGAAGAAGAGACTGTCGAGGGTGCTTCCAGACTACCACGAGCTGCGCAAGGTCATCGAGGGCAAGCGACTGTCCGAGGTGCAGGAGCGCAAGAAGCGGGCCCAGGAGCAGATCGAGATCGAGAAGCAAAAGAGACGGGTGCAGGTTCAGCAGGAGCGCGAGGAGCAGGCCGCGCGGGAGGAAGAGGAGAGGAGGCTCGAAGCCGAGGAGGCCGAGAAGGCCAAGCTGCGCGAGGAGGAAGAGGCACGCCTGGCCGAGGAGCGCCGGCTGCAGGAGGAGAAGGAGAAGGAGCTCGAGTCAGTCAAGAGGGCCGAGATCGAGGCGCGCCAGGCCAAGCTCAAGGAGCAGGCAGAGAAGCAACGTCAGCGCGAGCAGGAGATCGAGGACAAGATGAAGGCGCGCGAAGCCGAAAAGAGGCAGCAGGGCGCTACGCCGTCGGCAACGACCAGCAACGACTCGCCCTGGCGTGGTCGTGCCGCTGCTGGTGCCGTGGCAGATGCCAGGGCAAGCCCCAGCCCAGCTCCGCCGACGTTTGTCAAGGCGAGCGGTGCTGGCGGGTGGCGAGAGCGACTTGCACAGAGGCAAGCGGCCGGCGAGTCGTCGCCCGCCGATGGCGCGACACCTCCGAGAAGCGCCTCGGGAGCACCGACGCAGGCGAGCAGCCCGTCTGGAAGCCCTGCGCCCGAGTCGCGCCGCCCTACCTTCTTGGGAAGATCTGGTGCTGGTGGCTGGCGCGAGAAGGAGGCCGCCAGACTCGCTGCCGGTGGCTCTTCTCCCGCCGCTGCTGTCGATGGTCACAGTGAGCCCAACAGCGGTAACGCCTCTCCCGCAGCGAGAAATTCGTCGCCGGTCCCTCCGTCTGCATCTGCTGCCGCCTCTTCTGGCGCCGGCGTCGACGATGGCTTCACAGAGGTTAAGCCCATCAAGAAGTCGTACGTGCCCCCTGCATTGAGGAACCGATCTTGAGCGACCTGTACGCAAAAGGCAGAAGCACCTCTCCGAGATTTTCTCAAAGAAAAACTTGGTGGGACTCACCCCACCTTTTCCCCCCTTCCTTTTCTTTTAACGCATAACCTCTCCTTTTATCGTTTCCCCTTTCATGTCCTCATGTTCCCTCTCCAATCGAGCAAAATTGATGACAATTTTTCCTGCCTGTGGGTATCGAAGTTGATGTGAAGGGATTTCCGGTAAGTCAAAGGTAAAAGATGCTCGGAAGGCTGCAGAGCTCGCAGCAGAGGTATTGCCAAAAGAAGGGCTCGCAACAATCTCTGAATAGGCGCAAGAAGCCATGCTGGGTAACATTACAGTGATACAAAGGGTTATGATGGAATGAATGCGTCTGTACAAGTCACTTGGATCTGTGTATGCTCGTGTTGTCGTTGTTGTGGGCAAAAGAGTAATAAAGAGGTAGACAAAAGAAAGAGGAAGAAAGCGAACAAAGAAGTCGACAATCGAAAAAAAGGTATCAAAATTCCCCAAAGAGGTGGTCGTACGATCCCCTCTCTTGCTGTGGATTGTAGGCAGTAGCAGCGTGACTGTGTCCCGAGGCGAGCCCTGGCATCGTCTTCAGGTCGACGGTCGAGTACTTCTGGAACATGCTCGTGTCCCCTGGCGGCAGATTGCCGGGCACGATGGGTGCGGGTATTCTCTTGGCTTCGAGAGCCGACCAATCGACTCCGAGGAACCAACGGTGATTCATCATATCCTCTGCTCCACCGGCCAGATTGCCCATCCTCTTTGAAACGTCAGGTTCGAGTAGACTAGTGATGAGGTGCTTGGTGTCGGCATCGACGTGAGCCGGGAAGCGCAGGTCGCCCGCCAGAATCTTTTCGTAGGTCGCAAACGCATCCGAGCCGAAATAGGGTGGGTGGCCGCACATCATCTCAAACATGAGCACGCCCAAAGCCCAGTAATCGGCTGCGCGACCGTGCCCCTTGGATTCAATGATCTCGGGGGCAAGGTACTCTGGCGTCCCGCAAAGAGTCCAGGTGCGCTCGTCACACAGATGCTTGGCAAAGCCAAAGTCCGTCATCTTGATGTAGCCCGTCTCGTCAAGGAGCAAATTCTCCGGCTTGAGGTCGCGATAGACGATGTTGCGCGAGTGCAAATGCCTGATGGCAAGGAGCAAAGTCGCAGTGTAGAATCTTGTCACATCGACGGAAAAGCGTCCGGCTCTGCGGAGATGGGAGAAGATTTCTCCGCCGATGACATACTCCATCAGCATGTAACAATTGAGCGAGTCTTGAAACGTGCGGTGCCTTGAAAGAGCGAGATGACCGTCAGTTCGCGTTCACCGATGATTCACGGGGGTCATTTTGATGAGACTTACAAGTTGACAATGAATGGGTGTTCGATGCGGCTGAGGATGGCACGCTCGGATTCGATGTGCTGGACTTGCTTGAGTTTGACGATCTCGCTCTTGCGCAGCACCTTGAGTGCAAAGTATGCGTCGCGCCTTTGCCGGCTCATCGATCGATCTCGCACCAGTAGGACCCTGCCAAAGGTTCCTGTGCCTGTAGACGAGTCCGGATGAGCGTTGACCGATTCTGCAGGGACAGGCCATGCGACTTACCAAGCGTGTCGAGGACCTCGAGATTGTGCAGCGCACACTGTAGTGTCCGTGGCGCTGGGGTCAAAGGCGCCGGCGGAGCCACCTCTCTGGTCCAGCCATGGACCACAGTCGCTTCGTTCCCCGTGGTGCTGTCAGTGATAATTGGGGCTGACTTGATCGGGGGGAGTGTAGCACCACCCTGGCTCATGGGGAGTAGGTGCAGCCTTGTCGAGTGGTTCGCTATTTGTCTGTCATCTCTCGTAATCGCGACAGGTGCCTTGCCCGCCGTCATCGCTGAACCACCTTCATTCGCACTGCTATTGCGGGTTTTCTCACTGCTGCAGCCACTGCTGCTGCTGCTGCTGGTGCTCACGTCTTCTCGCCTCGCGCTCGCCAGCATGTTCTCCAAATGGCGTGGCCGCCTTCCTCCAGGAAAGGACGCCAGGGGCACGTAGCCCTCTTCGTCGGACATGCGCTGCGTAGACCAGCCGCGCATTCCCATGGAACCGACATGCCAGCCTGGAGAGACGCCTGGCGACGATTTGGCCGGCTCATTGGTCGTTATCAACGACATTGCAGGCACGAAGAAAGCTTCGTTTGTTGGCACTAGGCCGTGGGAGGGCGCGGTAGGATCGGGAATATAAGCACGTTGACGTTCGCGCTCATCACGACCACTTTGCTGTGGCTGCTGAGGAGCCTGTTGTTGTTGTTGATCTGCTTGCTGCTGCTGCTGCTGCTGCCGGGAAGGTGCAGCACTGGCCGAGGATTTCTTTGGCTGCGACATTTGCAGACCTCCAACAAAGGTCTGAAGACCGTGAACAAATAGCCTGGCCCGATGTGATGGGCTGTCCCTCGCCGAGGCGGACGCTGCGTTCTGATGCTGCTGCTGCGACTCTTGCTCAGGACCAGAGCAAGCGCTGTCAAAGTAGCTTGGTCCTGAGTCGGTGGCGCACTCTCTTCGTTCATAGTACGTCGATGACGAAGATGATGGGGATGCAGGACGACGAGAGTGAGAGCGAGGCAGAGGAGAAGTCGAAGACTGGGGCGGCTGCAGAGGAAAAGACAATGTACTGGGGCTTTTGGGCGGGAGCGCAGGAGCTGCTGCGTCGGCAGGTGGGAAAATTCGTGCGGCGACATGGCTGCTTCTGGACATGGAGGAGTTGGACTCTGCGCTGTCGCGCGTCCGAGGTCGTTTCGGCATTGCTCCTCGCTTTCTACGTGGCTGGGCAAAGGGCCCAAAGGCAGATCTGGGATCAGAGGCTTGGCGACGACAAGGTGAGGCGAGGTGGGTATCGTGGTGTTGGTGGTGGTACGAAGGAGCTGGGGCGCGCGTAAGGTAGAGAAATGTGCTCGGTCCGCGGTCGAAGGGAGTCGTCAGGGAGAAGGACGGGTTGCCCTTATAGATGACGGGCTGGCTGGCTGGCAGTCCAAAAGGGCGAGGTGCACGCTCGAGGCAAAGAGAGCAAGCTCTGCGGGCGTTATTTCTTTTTCCTCGTCCTTTTTAAAAAGCGTCGTTTCGTGTCGTTTCGATTGGTGAGCGCAACTTGCCAGGCCGCTCCCGTGAGCTCGGGCTTTTTGTGCTTTAATTGAAGGCCCGCTCCCCAGATCGAGAAGAGGATTAGAGATAGCACGACGTCGAGTCCCAAGCAGCAGCCAATACGACTGACGGGCAGGCGAGGAGAGCAAAAGGCAACCCTCTCTCCCCTTCCCCCTTTGTAGGTCTCGTCTATTCGTGTGGGTGCAGGCGCGGCGTGGTGCGGTGAATTGAAAGGGGTCGAGAGGGAAATTTTCTCTCAAAAGGCCCGCAACTCTACCTGTACCATAGAAGGACCGACGCCCTAGCGTCTTACGCTTGCATGAAAAGCTTGAAAAAAAAAAGTGCAGAAAACGGGCTTTTGGCGTCATTATTGAATTGAAGAGGTACCGACAGCTTAGGGGGGGTTTGTCACGGCAACTTCGGGTGTTCGCACTGCAATTAAGAAGAGCTAGGGTTGGGAAGACGATCGAGATGATAACGAGCACTCTAGCTGAACGTAGAGCAGAGTAAGGAGAGAACACACAGACGTAGAGTGACATCCGCCTGCCCATGGCCGCTCTGACTAATACCTCCGAACGCTTGCCACGCTAGCCCGGGAGAGAAGCAAAGTGCAATAATTCGCGGTTGCTCCTACGCTGTACTCCTTGTCTCACCGGTGCAGTTAAAGAGTAGCGGCAGCAACTACCTACTTCTACTAGCTACTACTACTACTACTAGGAAGGCGGTGATTAATCCGTCGCGCTTCCGAAAGCAAGACACGAGAAAAATTAGAAACGTCTTTCGACGCCCGTTGACGAGTAGTTGGGCACATCAAAAAGTGACGAAACCGAGCCAAGACGAGGCAGGGAAGAGAGCAAGACCGAAGAAAGATTAAGCTGATACGCCTAGACGGTCGAAGAAGGAGAAAATTCTCGCCAAGAGGCGCTTGCATGCGGTCTTCAATCGAAGCCACATTAATTCATGCGCGCCCATGACCAAAGCACCGAGCAGTAATATAAGCCTTTATTGGTCGGGACTTTGCGACATACGTAAGCAGAGCAGGTGGCCTTTGACTTGCCATCGTTCTTCAGGCGCAACAATGATCACAAAAGTGAACATTTGGAGACAGTTCGTGACAAGATAGATTCCCGTTTTGGTTTCGTAAAAGAATTATAAATATCATCACAGGAGAAGGAGGGGGCGGAGCTTGGAAGCCGGTCAAAATGGTGGAAGACCGACGGTGGTTCCCTTGTAGGTGCCGCTGACTTTACCAACCTCAAGCGCAGCCGAGATGACACCAGCGATGCCCTCTCCGGCGATGCCGCCGGCTGCGATAGCGTACAGGTATAGGTCCGCGCTCTTGGGGCTCCGCTTCTGCCAGTAGTACGCCGCTGTGGCGCCCGAGACCATGGCGATGCCGTAGTATTGCTGAGGAACAATGAAGCCGAGGGCGATCGCGTTCCAGTTGGGCACATAGGGTCTCCACTCGGGCTTGACAATGGTGTGCTTGGCAATGACGGTCGCAATGGCGGCGACGGTGAGCATGATGGCGGTGATACCGCAAGCCTTCGTGATGGGCAACGTGGGGGACACGACGGCCTGCGCGACGGCCGTCCAGGCGCCCACCGAGGGGGCAAGGAATGTGCACTTTTCTTCGCCCGAGTTGATGCAGGGGTAGGCCTTGGTAAAGAGGACGTAGAGACCGACGGCGAGGGGCGTGGCAAAGACGGAACCAAAAGTCTGAGCCCAGAATTGTGACCGAGGGCTGGCTCTGAGCCAGTGGCCCGTCTTGAGATCACCGACCATGTCGACCGACTGGCTTGCAGCGTTGGAAGCAATGGAACCGGCCAAGAGGTTCTCGAGAAGCGCCGGGTTACCCGTCTTGCCCTGTCCCTTGACGGCGCCTCCGACGATGAGCTGCGTTGCCTTTGCCACGGCCGACAATGGGTTCACGTCCGTCGTTCCCGAAGACATGACACCGATGACGGAGAGAAGGAATGAGAGGATGAGGGCCAGGAAGACATTTCCGACGTTCATGTCGAACTGCACCGAGCAGACGACAACGGTCAGGACAACAGACATGGCCAGACCAACGGCCCAGACCCAGGTCTGGACCTGCTGCTCCGGTGGCGCAGGGTCCTCGATGGCATCGCCACTGACTTCGCGCACAGGCCGGCCGCGGACGCGGTCGACGACCTCGTAGTACATGCCCTGGAAGCCGCGGGCGATGGCCTTGCCGTTCATGAATACTTCGGCAAACGAGTAGCCAAACATGATGAGCACACCCGGCCAGAGGAGCCAGTACCTGGGTGAATTCATGACGAGATCGGACTTGAACTTCATGCTCGTGCACGAAAACGCGCTCGTCGGCGACATCTCCTGGGTGATGGTGCAGTGCGCCTGGCCAGTTGCGACGAGCGAAGGTCCAATGACGGCCCAAGCGAGGAACAGGCCGCCCATGAACGACCACGAAGCATTGAGACCGGCGAGCATGCCCGAACCGATGAAGGCGGGGGTGATCTCAGTGTACTGGGAGAAGAAACAGAAGAAGTGGGAATAGCTGTCAGCACGTCGCATGTGCTCTCAGCACTGCATTGATTGCACTCACCCATCCCCAGCTGTCAACGACGAGGGCAGACCTGCCTCCCCAGCTCCAGATCCAGTAGAAGATGTGCTGGTCGTAGAGGATGCCCGGGACGTACTGGTTTGCAGTCATGAAGATGACACAGACGATGAACGTGTAGATGAGTGCCTTGGTCTTCTTCTTAGCGGCCTCTGCGCCTCTCTTTGTGTGCAGCGCCCGGATCGTGAGGGCGGTGGCAGTGGGCGTGGGGAAGACGAGCTTGAGCTTGAGAATGAAGAACTTGCGCAGGGGAATGGCAAAGAAGTTGCCGTAAAAGGCACCGGCGAGACAGAAGGTAAACAGTCGACCAAAGTCGTCGGTCGGGTTGTTGAGCAGGCCGAGACGGTACATGGCGGGGACAGCGGCGACGAACATGCCAGTGAGACCTCCGGCAGCCGTAGCGGCACTCTGCACCGTGACGTTTTCCTTGGGACCAAAGGGTGCGCCGCCCCAGCCATACGGCAGCACGCGCGAGAGGGCCTTGATGGCTCCAAAACCGAGGATGGCGCCAAAGAGCGACGCGGCAAAGGTGAAGCCTGTCTTGAGACCGAGGTAGATGTTGGACGCAGCAATGACGCAGCCCAGCGCGGAGCCGACGAGGAGTGCACGGATCGTAAGGCCGGTGCCCTCTTCCTCGGGCAGCGACTCCTCGGGGAATGGTCGACCGGCAACGAGGTCCTCTGGCGTGAAGATTTCCTCTGCAAACTCGAGGTCTTCGCCTCCGTAGGGCAGCGCCGTTGTTGTTGTCGTGTGGTGGTGCCCATCAGCCTTTTCGTTTTCGTTTGAAGCCTTCTCGGACAGGTGGTCGCTCGAAGCGCGGCGCATACTCGCTGGCCGGATGTCATGGTCGACTTCACGCGTGTGGTCCTGGACGATGTCGTGGTGTGCCTCGGCTTGCTGCTCGTGTGCAACGTCACGCGACGCGCGGCCGGGATGGAGGATGCGCTCCGTCATGACAGCCGGGTTCACCGACTCGGTGGCGAACATGTCAGTCCTCTCCATCTTTGCGATGCCCCTTCAGAAGGGTAGGGGCAGGTGGGCAGAAAGAGGGGTAGCGTCCGGGGTGGGGCGAGGAGGGACGAGACAGAGGATAGAGAAGAAGAGTAGAGGGGAGGGTGAGTGAGTGAGTGAGGGAGGGAGGGAGGGAAGGCGTAGAAAGGGTGAGGGAGGATGGAAGAGAAAGAAAAGGGTAAGATGGGGATAGGGGAGTCGAGGGAGGAAGAATGGTGCAATCAACCTATATATCCGACGACGGAGCGGCGGGCACAGATGAGAGATGAATCAGGAACCGTTGCATTTCGCCCTGGGACACAGAGATTGACGTACAGGTGTGGCAAAGCAGCCAAGCTGCCTCGCTCGCAGTACGGCGGAGAAAGCAAGCAGCTGCACCGACCTCATGTCTCTATTGTCTTTCACCATCCCCCTCTTCGATAACGGCAGACAGGCACTGAGGGGGAGGAACCCTCGCGAGACCGAGCCTATCACGTCTGAGCGAGGGACAGAGGCTAGAGAAGCTCATTGTGCACAAGGCCACAGGCGGACTTGCAGCCGTCGTGGCGAAGATAGGTAACTTGTCCCACAGCAACGCAGTGTCGGCTCCTTTTCGCTTTCTTCTTTTTCCGCAAGATCTTCTCAAAGAGGCTAGCAATCATCCAAAAAGAGGCTAGCGGACGGCGGCGGCAAGGTTCCAGACCCCTCCGAGCTCAGAGATAGGTGGGTGACTGTGGACAAGTGCCTCTATCGGCCTTGCGGCGGATTGATCAAAGGAGAGGGCCGAGAAGAAGGCGAAGCGAAGAAGCTGGGTCACGGAGACTGGCCCCATGCCTGTATGTAGGTATGCTTCTGCCGGTAATATCCGGTCCTCACGCCGTCTTTCAGAAAAACAGTAGTAAGACAGTTAGGCTGCATCCAGGTCTATTGATAAGGTCTTCTCTGAGAAACTCCGTTATCGACCAGCAACCCTAACCCCTTCCAATAATGTAACGGCAATAGCTTCGCGTCCCAGAATATTTTGGCGTGACCCTAGTGTAATAAAATCCACACTACAAAAAACCTGGGCCTTGCTACCCACACGACACGGGCTAAGCGCCGTGTCCCTATCTCGTCGAGGTGTCCTAGCTCTTTTCTCGCGCCACTTTGAGAAGAAGAAGAAGCAAGGGAGCTCGACTCCCCTTGCCACTATCGCTCCACGGACTTGCCTCCGGATTGCTAATCAGGTCGAGCGAAGCCAAGAACGCAGCCAAGCCTTTCCTCCATCCGCCGTGTACCCCTCTTGTATCGCATCCCTGTACTGTATTCCGACTGTATATGTGAGCCGCAGGCACACGGGCGAGCGGAAGTGCGGGGATGAATCGTCTCGTCTGCTGACCTTGAAAAGGGCCACTGGAACTTGGTGCTTAAAGTGCGCATGCTTCCAAACCTTGACCAGCCAGTCGGCCTGTTCGCCCGAGATACCGTAAAATAGATATCGCGATGGGGAACACTTTCCTGATTCGATGCGCGGACAAAGCGGCGAACGGCCCGGTTCTCCAGGGCAATGGCATAGACGGAGATCACAAAGGGCACACACAGGGCCTGGAATTGGTCCTCTATAGTAGCACGCTTTCCTCTTTATTCTCGTCAAGCCACCCCCACCCTTGTCTACACTCGCTGTGCTGTCCTGCAGAAGCCTGCAGCAGCCGTGGCACTTTGACACAAGCAATGCAGGGACGGTGCCTGAGCTCCTCCTCCTGCCTTATCTCCTCCCTCCCAGGTATCTCCCTCTCTCTGTATTGGGCTGCAACCGAATAACGTAGTCGGAGAAGACAGGCGCATGAGGACGACGGAGCCTGAGGGAGCATCGATGGCCCTCTGTCCTCCTTTTCCGCTCTGCTCCGACCTTGATATCGCAGGACCAGCACCGCCGCCGGCGTTCCGGTGTGCACAAAGACCGGTGCTGAGAGGAAAAGGCAGTCCTGGATACCAATTCCGCTTATCGTTCTCCCTCTCTTGCCTGCCTTGATTCTTCTTGAGTCGGTGCGGATGCCCTGTCACATCGTGGGCTCGTCTTTTGACCGCCCCAGGACGAAAGCCACGGGACGGTACTCACGCATCTCCCCAGCATTGGTCCCAATTGGCAAACCACAGGCAGAACAATGTCTGATGAGCGCAGGTCACACCTTGCTTTCAGTCATACAGAACAACGTTCTCATGAGAGCCGATCCGCCTCTATCTACAAGCAGACCGTCGCACTGAGAAAGTAGGGAGGAGGGGGCATCTACGTCCGTGTCCAGGGAAGCGGCTGCTCGTCGATCCACTTTTCCCAGCCAAAAATGTCCTCCATCCTGCTCAGGCCCAGTTTGAGCGCCTCGGGGACCAAGGTGTACGTCAAGCGGTAGAAGCCCGGGATGGGGTGCTTGTAAATCGTTCCGGGTGCCAGAGTGACCTTTCCGTCCTGCAGGCGATCCAGCAGCCTCATTTCCGATTCTCTGGCCTTCTTCTCGTCCGCGCCAGGTTTCACGTCGAGATACTGACGCAGGTCGACGAGGAGGAAGAAGCCGGAATTGCTCGGGACATAGGGCAGTTGGTGCTTGCGGAAGAAGGCCGTGAGGTAGTTGTACGAAGCCGCGATCCTGCGCCGGTTCTCGGCCATGTAGCGACCGAGGTACTCTTTGTCTTCGAGTAGCGCAGCAAAGAGGTTGGCAGACGGTGCCGCAGCCTGTGACATGAGGGCCGAGCCGAGGAGCGTGAGGCACAAGTCGGGGTTGTGCTGGGAGATGACATAGCCGAGACGGAAGCCTGCGTGTGGTGTGGGGCGGCGCGAGCTCAGCCACCGCCAAGGACGTCGCAGGGAGCAAGGGAATGAGGAGACGGCTTCACTTACCATTGGTGCTAAAGTCTTTGCTGGCGCTCGAGACGACGTGGACCCGGCTTGGGTTGAGGCCCGCCTCTTTCTCTACGTCGATACCCAAGATGGAGTAGAAGGGCGTCGGGTCAGGTACGTCATTTGTTCGGAAGACCGACCTGGAGTAGATTCTGAACAAGTCGACGAGGGTCAGCCACATGTCTAGTGGACACTCTGTCGAAGTTAGCTTCCCCTCGATCACTCACTCATCCATAACAAGGTGCAGATCGTGCTCCGCCGCAAACTTGGCGAGAGCCACGACGGTCTCCCTGGGATAGATGGCGCCCGAAGGATTGTGAGGATTGCAGAGGAGGATGCACTTGACCTTGGTTCCCTTCTTCTCTGCGTTCTTGAGAGCATCCGCATAGTACTTGACTGTGTCGGGGGCAACGTGCTCCCGTGGCTCCTTTGGTTCCTTGGCAGAGGCCACGGGGATCGGAGGTTGGACAAGGATCAGCTCAGCCTTGTCCCTCAACGTCGTGTCATTCGAGAATGCATTCTTTTCAGCGGTTCCGTGGCTCGTCAGTCCCATTGTGTCTTTGACCTTTGGAGGCAACGGGAGCTAAAAGCACACTCACGTAGTGGGGCTGCGAGAGCAAGATGCCGTCGCCGTCGTTGATGAGAGCCCAAAAGAGGGCATCGAGGACGCCCGTGGCGCCGTTTCCCACGACAATGTGCTCGATCTTGATCTCCTTGATTGGCTTGGGCCACTGGTCCTTCTTGTCGTCCTCAAAGAAGAAGCCGTCAGGGGTGGTGTTGACCATGCCGCAGATGGCGTCCAGGAGCCGCTTGCTGCACATGCCACGATCGGCATACGTGAGGTCCTGCGGCTTCAGTGCGAGCTTTCCGGGCGAGTTGTAGAACTCGATGAGCTCGGGACGCATGAGCTGGTTGTCGGCAATGGCCATGGGGATCGAGCCCTCTGGGTTCTCGGGGCTCCAGACGTTGGTGCGCTTGCCGAAAAACATGGCAAGGAGCGCCTCCATGTCGTACAGGTTGCGCAATCCGCGGTCCGAGAGGCCAGCCTTCTTCTGCCGCTCTGCGCGCTTCTTTGGAGAGTCGTCGGCGTCGGCAGCGTCGGCGGCGGACCCTCCAGTCTTGGCCGCGGCCGCCAAGTGCGGCGCCGCCTTTGTCGTCAGGTCGGCGCCGGCAGCCTTTTCCTTTGTCTGTTGCGCGCCCATGGTTCTGCTTTGCACGTCGTCGTCGTCGTCGTCTTGATCCTCGTTTGCAACGGGGGAAAGCCCTGACTCGATCTGCATGATATCGGCACGGACTTGATCGCCGGCGTTAAGGGGAGTTATCTCATGCACGCATCGGGCTAGTTGGGCTCGAAGCACGCGTCGGACAGACCAACACCACGGTAACAAAGGCACTTCTAGGACTATTGATTTCATGCTCCTCGTTTAGAAGAAAAAAGAAAAGAACACAAGAGACAGGTGTAGACAAGTCAAAGGGAAAAGGTAACGACTACAGAGCAGCAACACCTAATTAGCCAGGTAGCAAGGGACAATGATCTACGCAGTCTGGGCCAAGAGGCGCTCAAGGGCCTTCTCGGTCCGGTAGTTTGACTTTTCGAGCGCTTTGATGACGCTCTCCCGGCTGAAACCCATGCCACAGAGCTGCTTGACAGGCCCTGCATCGTCAGCGAGCGCAGGCGTCGTGGCCTTGGTAGCCGCCGATGCATTGTTGCTGGCCACAGGAGCGGCCGAGGCGCCACCAGGCATGGTCAAGGAGGGAGGCGTGCTGGCTGGTGCGAATGCGTCTTCGAAGCTGAACGCCGAGCCCTGCGACGCAGTGGCCGACGGGTGCTGCTGTGGCTGCTGCCTTGGCGGAGGCTGGGGCGGCTGTGACGAAGCAGTCGGCGGAGCAAATGCACCGTCAAAACCGTCAAAACCGCCAGACTGAGGGGCCGACGAGGTGCCAAAGGCTTGGTCAAAGGCGTCATTGGCGCTGCTGCCCTGCGCCTGATGAGAGCCAAAGGCCGACGAAGGCGGCTGCTGGAACTTGGGGACAAAGTCAAAGTCGTCTGCATCGCCGTTGCCAAAGGCGTCGTCGAAGCTGGTGCTGCCGCCATTGGCGCTGGCACCTGGCGCCGCCGAAGCGCTGATTGGGGCGGTGCCACCGACGGTGCTCGTTGCGGGGCCCAGATCCTCAAAAGCAGCATCGAAGTCGTCCAAGGTGGAAGCCGGTGCCGCGTCAGGTGCAGTTGAGGTTGCGAGGGCAGGCGCAGGCACAGGCCCGGGAGCTACAGAGGTCGCCAGGGGGGAAAGAGCGGCAGAAGTGGTGCTGAGGGTGCTGCCACGCGATGGTGCAGGGGGAGGCGCACGCCGAGTCTTTGTTGCCGGACTTGCAGTCGAGTCGTCGACGGCAGTTGTGAAGCGCTCGTGAGCTGGGCTCAGCGCAGACGCAGACAAAGCCTGGGCTGCGTGACCCATGCCCACGGTGCCAAAGTCAGCCGTCGATGGCGTCTCGCCCGTGGGTGCGTCGTGGAATGCGGCGTCGGTGTCGCCTGTTGCCTGGGCCGAGAGCGGCACTGGGCCAGGCGCAGAAGATGTGTCGAGGTGAGAGGACGGTGGAGCGAGCGTTTCAGTCGCATCGGTGGCAGGTTCCAGATCATCATCATTGATCTCAGGGAACCGGTCGGCTGCCTGCGTCGTCGTTGTGGCGCTAGGGAGCGCAGAGGCAGCCAGTCCTCCTGCCGCCACTCCACCGACGGCTGCCGCTGCTGCTGCTGCTGCTGTATCCTCGTTGTCGGCCACATCCGATGTCGGTGCTTTGCTGGCAGTGGTGTGCGCACCGCCATCGACATCTTCGGGACCTTCCTCTTCATCGGAGCTGTCTTCGTACGAGTCCTCGTCCGCGTCCCTCACTGCCGCCTTGCCCTTGTCGACCTTGATCACATCTGCATCGCTCGTCACCTCATCGGCCGTGGGAGCAGCGACATGGGCAGGCTCCGTCGTAGACGATCGCTCATCGACAAAAGCCGTCGTCGTCGTCGTCGGATGACTTTCATCTGCTTGCGGCGTAGCGTCCGTCTGTCCCACCTCGACAGGGCCAGCCTCGTCCTTTGCCGCCACTTCGTCGTCCTTGTCGAGGTCTGCAAAGGCATCGTCAAACGCCTGATTCACATTGCTCTGAGCTGGGGCTGGCGCAGCGGCAAACGCATTGCTCTCTTGTGGCTGGAAGTCGTTGCCAAAGTTGTCGTCAAAGGCCGCGGCAGCCGGCGGTGCTGGTGTCTGCTGCGACGAGCTCTGCTTGGACACGCCAAACGGATCTTCGTCCTCCTTCTCGTCCGTTGCTACTGCGTGGTGGTGAATGGCTGCAGCACCCGCCACCGTCGCAGCGCCAACAGCGGCTGCACCTGCGCCTGCGCCTGCTGCCACGCCAGCCCCACCACCGAGACGGTCGAATGGATTGGTGCTGCGCACACTCGCAGCAGGACTAGCGACAGCCTGGTGGGCGTGCGCAGGCGACGAGATGCTTGCCTCCCTCGAGACGGGCCCAGCACCACCCGCTGCCTCTTCCTTCGCCGTGGCAGGGGCCGTGGTGGTAGTGTCACTAGTAGCAGCAGCAGCAGCAGCAGCAGCCTCGGGCTCGTGCTCGAACTTGCCAGACTTGACCTCCTCGAGCTGCTGCCTCGTCTTCTCCATGTCCGACTCTGCCTGACTGAGCTGCTTCTTTCCAATGGCGACGAGGCCCCTCTGCATGCGCGCGTCCTTGCGCAGCTTCTCGACTTCGGCCGCGAGGGCGTCTCGCTGGCGCTGCGTCTCCGAGGCCTGCTTCTTCATCTCGCGCACCTCCTCGCGGTCGCGCATCAGCGCCTGCTCCAGCTCGTCCTTTTCGCCGCGCAGCCTGCTCAGCTCCGACTCGTCGCGGACCGAGGTCTGGCGCAGCTCGCTGAGCTCGGCTGCCTGCGCGGCCTGGCGCTCCGTGAGCGACTTGACGGCCTCGGTCTCTGTCTGGTGGCGCAGCTTGACGCTCTCGAGGCGCGCCTTGATGTCGCCGATGTTCTGGTCGTTGTCTTCGACGCTCTTTTGCAGCTCGCTGCGCTTCGTCTCAAGCGTCGTGAGGCTGCGCTGGGTGCTGTCGAGGGCCAGGCGCGAGTTGCCCAGCTCGGCGCCGGCATCAAGAGAGCGACTGGGCATGGCGCCGGCCCCAGCGGTGCCAACAGCGCTGCTGGCGGCTTGCGGCTCGCTGCTGCTAGTAGCCAAGAAGTCGTCGTCGAAAGGACCGGATTTGAAAGCAGAGGCAGCGGCAGGGGCAGCCGGCGCGGGGGTAGAGGCAACGGCCTTGGAGGCAGGCGTAGCAAAGGCAGAGGCCGTGGAGACGGGCAGGTTGTTCGCGTCGTCGTCGTCGATGAGCGAAAAGAGGTCTCTCTGCGTGTCCGTCTCGGCCGGGTTCACGGCTTGCGGCAGGCTGGTGCCGCGAAGGCCCGGTGGGACCAGGCTGGCGGGCAGCTCCTGAGGCAGGTCGCTTCCCGTCAGCTTGAGGTTGATGAGGTGCATGGCGACGGCGAACTCGTCGCGGGTGAGGCTTCCCGACTGCGTCACATCCGACAGGTCCCAGATGTGGGCCAGCGTCGCCTCGCCAAGGCCGCTCTGCATGAAGAAGGGAACGGCAGCCTGGCCCTCGAGGACGCCCTTGTGCTCCTGGTCGAGACCATCGAAGAAGCGGTCCGCTTTAGCCTTGTCTGCCGGCGAGACGGCCCACGCGCCTGCTCCAGCGCCTGTTCGCTGGGCCTGCAGAGGCGTAGCGGCAGCAGCTGCTGATGTGGGAGGAGGAGGAGAGCGGAGAGGGCTGCCTGGCATGCCAGCAAAGCCGCCGCCAGTCATCTGACGAGGTAGAAAGGTTGAGGATCCGCCGGTGTTCTGCGTGCGAAGCGGACTCGAGGGAGGCAGTCCGGTTGGCGTGGGTGAGATGGAAGCGGGCGCTGCGCCGGCCGCCTTCTCGTACAGGTCCGCGGGGAGGGCAGCCGGAATCGACGAGAGGGAGCCATTCATCGTCGACTGGATAAAGTGCATGCCCACGATAAAGTCGGTGAGGTCGAGCTTGCCCCTTGCCTTTGTGTCGGCCAGGTTCCAGATCGCACCGAGCTTGTCGAAGGGCAGCTGCGACTTGACGAAGATGTCTTTTGCCTTTTCGCCTGTGGTCAGGGAAGGTGAAGAGCATATGCACAAATCAGCAATCAAATCAGGAAAACCACGAAAATACTGCGGGTTTGGCACCCACCATCGAGAAGACCATTCTGAGGACCGGCACTGGCAAAGATGCGCGTGTACCTCGCGCGATCTTCGGGCTTGATCTCGTTGGCGCCCGCCGCTGCGTTTGCACCGACACCGGTTCCTGTGGTCTGGGGCGTGATGGTGGAGCCAGATCGGCTCGGAGCTTGCTGCTGGCCTGGGATGGCGATGCCTTTGAATTTGGGCAGCGGACCGGGCTTGCTGAGCAGCTCCTCCGTCACCACGGCGCCGCTCTGCGCATGGCCAATGAGCCTGAGCGCCGCGCTGAACTGGGCCGGTCCGAGGAAGCCGTTGTTGTCCGAGTCAGCGAGGGCCCAGATTGTGCCCAAGACGGGCGAGGGCAGGCTGGAAAGGGCAAAGAAGCTGACGGCCGATGAGCCCTGCACCATGCCCGTGTTTTGCGGGTCGGCCAGGGCAAAGAGGTGCGCATACGCGAGCCTCTCGGCCGGAGTCAACGAGATGGGTCCGCTGGATGCCATCGCTAGCTGACACGTGTCCAACCCTCTATCGAAGCTTCGGATCTTTAGGAACGGGAAGTCTGCCTGCTGGCCTCTGGGAAGAGGAAGTAAGTAGTGGGGAGAGTGGAGCAGGAACATCCGAGCCGATTGAGAATCCACGTGTCCGAATGTGCGTTTCATGCACTTGCGCACGGACAAGCAAGCACACGCGCAGCCTCAAGCCCTTGAGTCGCACCCTCGTAGTATCACAGTTGTAGCAGTCAGAGTCCATCACGCACATAGAACAGCCATGTCCAGCAACAACACACTCAGCCTCCTCGTCTCGCCAGGCTTCCGTTCGGCTGCCTATCTCGGCAACGCGCTCTGGTTCACGTCTGCAGCTGTGCACTTTGGCCTCTTTCCCGAGTTTATGATGGGCAAGCTCAGCACGCGCAAGGCAGACGTAAAGACGATTGAGACGCCCAATGGAGACAGCCACCATCACGACCTCATGCGCTACCTGGGCGCCATCAACGTCGGCTACGCGGTCCTGGCTGGCATCCGTCTCGCCCCATTTGTGATCCGGCGATTCAGCAGCGATGCAAAGACAAACGTAAAGGCGGCTGTCAAGTGGGACCACGATGCCTTTGACATCGTCGCATTCACCGTGCTGGGCACCGCCAACCTGTCGCAGGCCCTCCTCAACTGGTTCTGGGCCAAGCCGAGCGGACGCTGGATCATTGGCCACCTCATCAACGGCAAGCCAGACCGCATCACTGTCCTGGACACGCTCTTTTCCGTCGTTGACTTTGCCATTGTGGGTGCCCGTCTGGCTGGCTTCTAAGCTGCTGACCGACCCTTGTACCCTTAGGAGTTGCAATGCATTCTTGTCGTGAAAGGGAAGGAACAAATGACATCCAAGACTTGGTTTGGGCCTAGGCCTGGGGCTCAGACTGCTCGAGGAGCTGCTTGAGTTTGCCGCTCCTCTGCGCACTGCCGAGGTCGTCGTTGCCGCCCAGGTGCACGCCTCCGATGAAGATGTTGGGCACGGTGCGCTGGCCCGTCTTGTCGAGCAGATACGCCTGGATGGCCGCGCCGTCTTTTTCGTGGTCCAGCTCGAGCGTCGTGACGCCCGCGGGCAGGTTCAAACCCTTAATAGTCCGTTTTGCCGACATGCAGTACGGGCAGTATGACTTGGAGAACTGCCATGTGCCCAGCTTTGGTCAGACTTCATGCGAGACGAGAAGGTGTCTCTTCAAGAGAGAGAGAGAGAGACTTACAATGGCGACGCGTGACGAGGCGACCATCTGGTCGACGAGCTTCCTGGCCGTCGCCATTTGGTCCTCGTCAAAGGAGCTCGTTGAGAGTGAGGAACCCAGCTTGGCGGTTGTTGGGGGTGGGGGCGACTGTCGATTGTGCCGCAAGTGTCGCTTCTGCTGTTGAGCGTGGGACTGCGATGGTCGTCTATCACGAAAGGGCGTCGCACTTAAGGAAAGAGAAAGGAGAAAAAAGGCCCAAGCAAAGAGTGGAGGGATCAATCACACACGTGTTTTGTCATCGTGAAACAGCCCACAGTGGCGGTATGGATGGTGGACATTGGCTGGGCAGATAGATGATGCACAGGGCATAATGGTACAGATGTAGCTTCATTCTTGCTTATTTTCGTCATGCGTGGTCTCGTCTTCCTGATTTTTGCCCTCGAGCGACCGCGAGCGCTCCTCTTCCTTGGCACGCTCCTCTTCCTCGGCCTGGCGCTGCGCCGCCGCCTCGCGCGCGATCTTCTCTCGCTCGACGCGCAGCGCCACCCTCTCCCTGTCCTCACGAGCCTCGTCGAGCGCACGAGACTGCAGCCCAATAGTGAGCGCTTACAACTCGACAAAGGAAAAGGGCGGCCTCACCTTTCTCGCAGACTCTACGGCCTTTTCCCTCTGCGCATTCAGCTTCGTCTTCTCAACGAGCTCCTCCCACTCCTCTGCCTTTTCCCGCAGGCTGTCGGCCGTCGCCTGCAACCGTGTCCATGCCCAGACCCCTGGCTTCCAGTCATCGGGGACGAACCACTGCTGCTGGAAGTCTTGGGTGCGCGTGCGGAAGCCCGTCTCGACGAGAATGTCCACGGCCGGGGGCTGCGAGAGGACGAGGGCGGCAATCTTGGGCTGGGCCGCGCGAAAGTGCCGGTACTTTGTCTCTTCTGGGTGGCTCACGACGTTATCGATGAGCGTATGTAAGAGCTTAGTTGTCGAAAGGGGGGTTGAGTTTCGCAGAAGAAAGTCAGCTCAGGGACAGGAGCAAAGAATTCGCTTCGCCCTCACCTGGAGGCAATTGGACGCGGCCTCGTATCGCAGCTGGCCCGTGATGTCGTTGATGTGCTTCTTGATCTTGAGCTTGTGCTTGCGCACCGCCTCGGTGTTGTCGCTCTGCGCTGCTGTCGCCGTGCTCGCCAGGCGTGCCTGCGCCGCCCTGGCGGCTGCTTCGCGGCGGCTGTCCTCCTCCACCATGGCAACGGCAACGGCAGCAAGCTAAAAAGACGGAGGTGGAGCAGAAATGGAGGCGACGACGGGTCTAATTTTACTTTTTAGACTTCTCTCAGAATTGGGTGCACGAAGGGTTGATCGCCCCGCAACTTCATTCACGTCCGTGGGCAGCGATAGCAACGGGCGCACCCTTGGCCTCTGGAAGCACGCGCAGATCTCAAGACGCACCAAAGTCAATGAGGACATCGCCATTCGTCAAATTCTGCCGTGATGTGACAAGAGATGATGAGTTTGGCGGCTACAGTCTGTACGCGAATGTCTGAAGGGCTAGGTGAACAGAGGAGTAGATTCGCTGTCGCGGGGGCGAGGCTGCTCTCCTTCCAGCAGCTTCGGGTTCGAACCTCGTCTGGCAAGGCGAGAGCGGCCGCGGATCGGCACGGCCGTGACCGTCATGACATGCCACTTTGAGGCTTCCTGAGGGCCTTCAGCCGCAAAGATGAGGATCTTTCCCGGAACATGGACCAGAGATCGTGAATAAGAGAAGGGCGCATTCGTTGAGGTCATCTGCCAAGCTTTGCGATCGCCCTCGTTTTTATTGACAAAGAGTTGCGACATGCTTCCGCAGCTGACGTAGATGTCCGAGTTTCTTGTGATGACGTAGGGGGAACTCGTCGGAGTCACGCCGTGTGCGCTGAGGCGGATACCTTCTTTATCGAGGAAGTTGAGGGGGTCCTCGGAGAGGCGATAGTACACCTCGAACTTCTTAGCGAAGACTGGGTCGTAGAGCTCGTACGTCAAGATATAATTCTTGCTCGATGGGATGTAGGCAACGGTGGCCATTCCAGGCCGTGCCTTATAATGGGGATAGGTGACGACATCGAAGCTAAAGAAGAATCAAGCCTAAGATGAGCTAGTAGTGTTTGAACAGAGCGAGCAGGATTCAAATCTCACTCACGCCTCTGACCAGTGTATGGCGTCCGGCGACCGGCTTACCACGAGCTTTTGTCCGTGTTGAGGGCTTCTTTGATCTGAAAAGTAGCAGAGGAGTTCGCCATCGTACTCGAGCGTGAAAGGCTCCCAGATTGTCTCATAGCCATTCTGCGGTATCTGTGCTCACAGAAGTGAACTTAGAATCAATAAAGGAGAGGCAATGATGACGCCCTGCTCAGTTGCTCACCGCAGCTCCGCTTTGGGCTACGGTAGAAAGGTATTCCCATGAGCTGAGGGTGCGTATACCATCAGCACTGACAATCTGAGGGCCGGCCATGCAACAAAAGGGGACTCACACACCATCTTTGCTGGCATAGATGTCGATGCTCGTCTTCTTCTGTGAGTTTGGACTGGCATTGACGGCGAGGAGGATGGTGCCCGCGGGCAGATTGCCGACTCTGCCCTTGAGCTGGTAGAGGAAAGGCTGAAAGCGAAGGCCGCCCACGTTGTTCTGATCCCTTACGTGGCTGAGCAGAGACCAGCTCCTACCTCCGTCGTACGAGCTGTAGATCGGGATCTTGCGTTCGGACCTCGTGTTGTCTTCCCAGGTGCTCAACAAAATGCCCTGTGTATGCGGAAAGGGTTTTATGGATCATCTGTTGAGGGTGAAGAAATACTCCTGCACCTACCAACCTGTACTCACATTGGCAAGACGAATGCCTCGAGGGTACGCGACGCCTGGCGTGTAGTACAAAGATTTGTCGGGTGCATAGATGAGCTCAGTTTGGCAAAAGACAAGGTGGAAGAGGGAGGAGGCCACAACAAAAAGAAGAATAGGAAGCCTGAAGAGGACCATTTTGATCTCGATAGAGGTTGGAGAAGGATAAGAAGAGCGCTCGAGTTACGGCGGCGAAAGACTGGGACATTCTCATTATTTGGCACCATCTGCTGTCTTTAAGGCGCTCTTGGCGGGGAAGTGCGGCCTGTGGACAGCACTTTCCGTCAACGTGCGAAACGGCGCAGCTGCCTGTACCTGCTTATACGTCACGGACTTTGTTATGTCTACAGAGTAAGGATCGAGGACAAGCGTGGTAGAATGCGTACGCGGCCCTCCGTTGACAATGCCCGTTGAAGCGCGCACATCTCTCCGCGCTGACTATTAGACTAAAGGGCACTTGTCTTCGCCTGACTTTCTGCGCCCTGAGATCTGGCGTCGGGCGGCCTGAACATTTTGGTTTAGAAGCCAGACGCGACTTTCTATTCCTTCATGCGACGACAGACGATCAATCATGACGTCCACGCAACCCGTCGAGCATCTTCCACTGCCGCTCGTCGTCATGGACAAGGACACTGGGCAACAGTCTTCGCCACACACGCCGTCCGCCAGTGTCGACAGAGCGCTGCTAGACATGGTGCAGACAATACAGCACGAGCTTCGGACGCCGATGCATGGCATGCTTGCCCTCATCGATTCTCTCCGCGCAGATCTCCGTGTCCGCGACGAGGGCGAAGGCGAAGGCGAGGGCAAGGGCGGACTTGAAAGCGGACAATTCAACACAGGCCGCCAGGTCTTGCTGCGACAAAAGGTCAACGACATGCGGAGTCTGGGCGTCCAGCTGCAGGAGATCCTCGACGACTTCAGAGACTATGTGAGTGGCGCTGACGTGAAGCTGACTGGTCGCAACTGACGCGCTTTTGATCCAGGCCACCGAAACCATCGAGGCCCGAGATGCAGAGAAAGCCTTTTGTATTGTTCCAGACGAGCCGACAGACCTCGGTGAGCTGCTCGACCAGGTTGCCGAGAGTGTATGGGAGGAGCAAATTGCATCGATCCGTGCTGCCGAGGGCAAAGATGCCAGGATACCGCCGCCGCCGGAGTTGCTATTGGTCGTTGACCCATCGCTTAGGGGAAAGAAGTCGCTCGTCTCGCTGGAAGCCTTCAGAAAGGTAGCACACAAGCTCATCAATGTTCGTTGATACGCCCCTCTCGCCCCCACTGCCTTTCTCACTTTTAGAGTTGCTGACTGCAGTGAACTTGGGCAGAATGCGCTGCGATTCACAACCGGCGATGGCTACGTCGAGGCCTCGCTAGCACCACATCGAGAGGAGGATATCGTCGATGGCAAGAGTTCCTTTCGTCACTTCCTCAGACTTGAGGTTCGGGACACGGGCGAAGGGATGTCTAAAGGTAGGTTTGCATGCACTGGCTAACCCTCTTCTTGATGTTGACAGGCTACCCCCTTCATCAATGCAGAATTCGTCTCAGAATCCCTGTTCAAGCCATTCGCCAAAGCCAACAACTTCAAGTCGGGCGCGGGGCTCTCCCTGGCCATCTGCTCCTCCTTGGTTCGCCGTTTGGGAGGTTCGATGATGGCGTCGAGCGACAGAGGACGAGGGTCAATCATCCATGTCCTATTCCCGGTTCTGCATAGCCAAGAGGAAGCAAAAGTGATGCATGAAGAGGCGTCATTCCCGGACGAATTCGTTTATTTCTGGAAGTTTGACGGCATCGGGCTGCAACGGCTGGCAGGGCAGATTGCCTCCCAGCTGGCAACTTATGGCAACATCTATGCAAGTACGAATGTCGACGAGTGCGGCATCTTGCTCCTGCCAGAGGAAGTCACCTATGGCAGGGATGGCATTGCTGCGCTTCAGCAGATCCTAGACCGTGCCAAAGATGGCGTCAAGATTGGCGTTCTTCAAGCTCACAGTGCGTTTGCAAGTAACCTCCGAATTCTGTCTTATTGTTCTGACTGTGATCTTCGCAGATGACGCCAAGATCGAAGTGGCAGCGCACAAGAATGGCTCTCCACAGCCCGTCTTCGTCACAAGGAAGCCCTTTGGGGTTCGGTCCTTCAATGGCCTGCTCAAGCTCGCAGGCGATCAGACTGGCCCGCCGATGGAAGAGATCATGACTATAGAGCAGGCAATCGACCTTCCTCAAACGGCTGATTCTTCGCAACCTACTCCGTCTCCAAGTGTCTCGAATGCATCGCCAAGACAGTCTTCTGACCACACCTCTTCGACCTCCCCGCCTGTGCCGACAATCAGTACAAACCGGCTACCAGACCAAGATCTCGAGGATGCAGATGAAGTAACACCGATGGAGCGCCCAAGTGGAGCAGTTTCGGCAACGGCACACTTGAGAAAACCAAGGAAACCGCTGTCGCTCGACCTCATGTTCTCGCCTCACACCGTCGATGACGTGCTTCGGAGCACAGTGCCGCAAGCCCAGATGCTCTCGCCGCCCATTGAAGAGAACATGACTTCCTCCTCGAAGCAGATCAAGCGCAGTCTGCCTTTTCAGGTTCAAGTCGTCGAAGACAACTCACTGAACAAGAGAATCTTGACACGAGTCATGGACCAGTGCAACATCGCCTACCTTCTCGCTTCTGATGGAGCCGAGGCTGTCGAGCAATTTAGGGAACATCGACCGGCGCTGGTTCTCCTAGACATTAACATGCCCGTCATGGACGGCTACGAAGCGGCACTTGCGATGCGTGCGATAGAGGCGGGTGACAACGACGGCACAACGTGGTCACTAATTGTTGCAGTAACGGCTCTGAGTGACGAGTACTCGAGGAGGAAAGGGCTCGACGAGTGTCGAATAGACCAGTGGCTGACAAAGCCGCTGGATGTTGGCAAATTGAGGGCCTCGCTCAAGAAATGGAAGGATGTCTATGACGCGGGGGATCCTCTGTCATGAAGCATTTGTTCCATTGAGAGGCAAGCAGACAACCACGCATTGTACTCTAGACGCATTTATAGATTTCTCTCAACTCTTCCTCTCGCCAATACCCCATCTGTTTACTTGGCGGATACCGCTCACTGGAAGAAGAGCTGTGCAGACAATTGAGCCCAGACCTGATCCATGGTGAGCCCCAAAGGATCCTGGAGGTCAATCAAGTGTGGTCTTGTCTCTAGTGTGCTGTCTCGATGGGCGGCGAGGTCCGCAGCTGCTGTTGGAGAGTTGATATGTGCAGTCGAGCTCCGAAGACAGGCTTCATCGCAGGCAGCAATGATTGCTTCGCACGTTTCTTTGAGCTGGCCGAAAGTGCTGTCGGGCGAGCTGAGTCTCTCGACGAGCGCAGTGATGCGTAGACAGTCTGGATGTCGATGCTCTTCCTCAACCGCTGGCCCTCCAATTTCTTGTTCTTCGTTGAGGATATAGAGGAGCTTGCGCTGCATCAGCTGGCGAGCCACGAGTGGAACCTGTCGGTCGATACCGCTCTCTTCGGGGCTAGCATGAGAAGCCGACGAGCCAAGTGGAAGCTTCACGTCGCATGCTTGCGTCAAGAAGGTGTAGAGGTGGCTCGACAGCACTTTGATGGCCTGCAGTGGAATCTCCTCGATCGTGACGGGCTGCAGAGAGATGATGTCTGTCATCCAGATGCATGTCGGGCATGGTCCCTTGCACAGGCAATCTCTCAGTTCGTTAGCTCTCTGAGATTGTAGAAGGAAAGTAGTGGATCAGTAGCGATCATGAAGCGGGGGCACTCACCGTCTCCGAACACATCTCATAGACATGCAATCTTGCGACATTTGTGAAGATGTATTGCTGCAGCACACAGCGCTCCTGTGAATGCCTGGGCTTGTCACCAACCTTCCACCGATTGGCCAGCTTCGATGTCTTGATTGGCTGGGCAAAAGAATAGTACTCGGGTAGGATCATGGCCGCGTCGACAAAATTCCTTGCGAGCATCTTTCTTGTCTCAATCTCAACGGCAGCAGCTGAGGATGTATGTGTAGTGGATGGAGAAGGTATGGCGTTGAGCAGATCAACGCTTCGCCGTGTCACGTCAGCAAGTGTGAGCATGCTTTCAAGAAAGGAGGTGGTTGTCCATCCGTGCGGCTCGTCTTGATGAAGCTGCTGCCGCTCTGACGGTAGGACGATCCAACGACGCGTGCTGAATTGTGATGCATGGATCGCGTAGGTCCCAGTTTGTGTGGCCGTGATCCATGAGCGCGCGACTAGAAGCCACCATGAGCGAACAGCGCCCTCATCTTCTATCGGTGCATTTCCGAGGCGATGAAGTCCCATGGCTTGCGCTGATCGAACAGCAACATCGAAGAGCGACTGGCTCTGCGCACCTTCAAGTCCGGAGAAGAGCAGGAATATCAGAGACTGGAGCCCTTTGAGCGTGGACACTGATTGCCTTTCGAGATCGAGAAAGCCCAGACTCGCCTCTATGAGACGTGCATGCCGGCTCCGGAGCTCCTTTTTAGCTTGTGGGTCAAAGTGGTGGTGGATAGAGCTAGCGAGCTGCAGTGCTCGCACTTGCATTAGGTGCAAACCATTTAACAGCAACAGAAGCTCTACTCACCACGGTTGTGCACAGCAAGGCATCATCTCGACTCTGATTCGCCAAAGATCTTTTCTGGACAATGTCACGAAGGTGGACCAGGTCCACGCAGGCGCCAACGAGCGTATAGACCCGACGCTCAAAGATATAAAGAAGTTCTTTACACGTTGCCGCGTCTGGCAAAATATCGAAAGAAGATACAGACGAGGGAGAGCCAGATGTCGAAAGGGAAGAAGATGACAGCGACGACGGCTCCGCCAGGCCTTGTTCACCGTTGACAATGGGCCGTTCACCGTTGACAATGGGCCGAGGACGTTGCCCGCCCCGCGGTTTTCGCGCCTCACGCTGGCATAGGTGGGCTTTTCCCTTGGACGAGCACCGCGAGCAGGGCTGATTACGATCGCATCGCAGCCGCTTGCTACGACACTCGGTACAGCTAGAATTAAGAGGCATGGTAGGCGGAGTCAGGAGCACAATAGGCATGACTGGCTTGACGGTCCCTCGCGCTTTTAAAGAATTTGGCAATGCCTTTCGTATATGCGAACTAGCCTCGGACTTTAGCCCGCGACTATAAGCATCTTTCTGCTTCCCCCCTCAATTATTGTCACTGTAACCCTATGAGCCTCAGCTCAAGGCATGGGGACAATCGTCGCTACACGACGGGCTTTCCTCGCCAAGAGAGCGTACAAAGCAGGTCCTAAAGCGAGGAGTAACAAGATGAGAGATTGCTTGGGCGGTGACTTCAACTCGTGTGCTCCATGTGCACAGCAGAAGGCGTGCTGCCCTATGCTTGAAACCGTCTTGACAGGCACGCTCCCACAATTCTCCGATGGCACTACTGTTGTAGCAGAAATTGCGTATCGGCCTGTCATGAAGCTGCAAAAGGACGGGAAGGAGACAAAAGCTGTCGAAGGCGGCCTGCGAATTGCGACTACAGGGCAGTGAGAACGCCGCTCCTCATCCTGCAATGAATAACGTTGGTTGCCTCCGAAGACTGTACTGCCGACGCGGCTGAGATCATCTGTGGTGATGCAAGGAAAGGCAGGTTCGGCACAGCGGAGGGCACATGACCATGACCCTGCCGAGAGACTGTGAATTTCTTGTTTCTCACGACGGGATTGTGCCAAAGACTCCGTTCTCCCCTTATCTAGATCATTGGCAGGCTAGTAGTAATACAAAAGACGTAATTGAGGGATGACTAGTCATCTTACCGAAAGGCCTTGGGCCACGGAGAGAGTCGAATAAGAGCCGTTCTTCTCCGGCACGAGCTTTGAATGATCAAGGGCAATCACAAAGCGCAACTCCGGGGACAAAGGGAGTCACTAGACGAAATGCTCTCATGCACGGTAAGCTGATGGACCTCGGGAGCTGCCGACAGAGAGGGAACCGATTTTATTTCAGGCGCCAAGATTTAAATTGGCAAGGGGCACTAGACGACACGTTCTACATCTTCTGCGCGCTCGGAAGTGAGCGCCCGATTGCTGCAGGGGCGTGACGAGTCTTCCAGACATGTGCCTGGTTCATCTCAAGTTCTTTCCGATGCTGACAAGTACTAAGTTTTTTTTTGGTTTCCGACGCTGACGTGGGGGATGACAATGATAAGCGGAAAGCTCTGAGAATGGCAAAGGTATATGTTCGGTCAATCGCTTCAAACAAGACATACAATCAAGCCCTTGAAGCTGCTACACAGTGACGGAGGTGGCTTGGACAATGACGACCGAAAGCTCGTTTAGAAGGAGTGTTGATTATTTGATGACGCCGAAGCTGGTTGCGGACTTGTTTGTCGTTACGCATCCGACACCGGCAAGGTAGTAAAGAATAGCAAACACACTCGATGAATTTCATATTAGTTGGTATTTGTCCAATTTTTATCTCCACCTAACCGCGGAAAGGAGGAGTCAGATCGTGATTCATGTCCGTGGCCATCCAGATGCGGAAATTCTGATTAGAAAAACGTTATCTTTTTTCGCCGACGTCGTTGAAGTGGTAATTCAAGTCAGGGCAAATTGCTCACCTGCCGAGCATCCCCGAGGAGTTTTGCCCAGTTGTGTTTTGAAAAATTGCATGATCATTTCTCGAACATCATGCGCTTTGCCCTGAGCTACTGTGCGCTGCTTACTTGCTCGAGCTGCCTTGAGCCCCCTTTCGGAGAGAATTGCCGGGTGCGCAGCGAGGCGCGCTTCGCAAACGACAAGTTCTAAAAGTTTGGCTTCCACTCCGCTGTTTTTGCTACTGGCTGGCATGAGATCAAAGGGGCTGCATGTTAGCATTAAAGATATAAGACTGCCCTGGTTCGCGGTCTCCTTCCTCTGCTCCCTCTGACTGTCTTGAACGCTCCCTTCACCCGTCCCTCTTCCTTCCGTCCCCACGTTGGCGACTGCCAGTAGTAACCCCTTCACCAGCGACTCGTCGCAGCAGGGAGTGACAAACATGGACGCAGCGCAACACGAAGGTTCGTCTGCCGGCGGCGCGCCTGGCGCCGGCGCACCTCGCCAGGCCGAGCCTACACGCGAAGAAATGCAAATCATCGAAATGGAGGGCACCTCCGACGACGGTACACACACTACCTCAAGCCGCCATTCACCTGGCGTGAACGTTAAACAGGCAGAGACCATGTTCAATGATCTCGACAACCGCCTCGCCGGCGAGTCCAAGTGAGTGCCGATGAGACAGTCGCAGTATTTGATCGTGGAGAACTGACCGGCACTCGTGTTTTCAGAAACATGTCCGACAAGGAGAGCGGCGACGACGACTTGGAAAAGGGCACGGACCACAAGGAGCTCTTCAACCTCCGCGACTGGCTCAACGGTGTCCAGGACCAAAATGATCAGATGGGCGTCAAGGGCAAGAAGGTCGGTGTCAGCTGGAAGGACCTTGAGGTCATCGGCACGGCCTCGATGGACCTGGCTGTGCCCACGATTCCCAAGATGGCCGTCTTTGAGGTCATTGGCCCCATCTTTGCCATCCTCAAGACGTTTGGCATCAATCCCGTCAAGCCAAAGGAGCGCCACCTCCTCCAGGGATTCAACGGCTCCGCCAAGCCGGGCGAGATGACGCTCGTCCTCGGTCGTCCTGGCTCAGGCTGCAGCACCTTCCTCAAGACGATTGCCAACAAGCGCAACGGCTTCATTGCCACCAAGGGCGACGTGCACTACGGAGGCATCGACGCACAGGAGATGGACAAGCGCTACATGGGTCAGGTCGTCTACTCGGAAGAGGACGACAACCACAACGCCACCTTGACGGTGCAGAGGACCATCGACTTTGCCCTCCGCCTCAAGCAGTCGGCCCAGCGCCTGCCCGAGCACTCCAAGAAGTCGCTCCGTAAGGAGGTCCGCGACGTCTTCCTCAAGATGTTCGACATTGAGCACACCAAGCACACCCTTGTCGGCAGCGCCACCGTCCGTGGTGTTTCGGGCGGTGAACGCAAGCGTGTGTCGATCATCGAGACCCTTGCTGCCAATCCCACCGTTGTCAGCTGGGACAACTCGAGCCGCGGTCTCGACGCGTCGACGGCCCTCGACTATGCAAAGAGCATGCGCGTCCTGACCGATGTCACGCAGTGCACCATGTTTGTCTCGCTCTACCAGGCGTCTGAGAGCATCTTTGAGCAATTCGACAAGGTCATGGTCATTGACGATGGTCGCTGCGTCTACTTCGGCCCCCGGCAGCTGGCACGCAACTACTTCATCAACCTCGGATTTGCCGACCGACCTCGTCAGACGTCGGCCGACTACGTGACGGGCATGACGGACAAGTACGAGCGCATCTTCCAGGAGGGCCGCGACGAGAGCAACGTGCCCTGCTCTCCCGAGCAGCTCGAGGAAGCCTACAAGAAGAGCGACATCTTTAAGCAGGTCCTTGCCGATCGCGACGCCTACGACAGCTCCCAGGAGCAACAGGACAAGACGGACGAGTTCCGAACGGCTGTCCGCGACGAGAAGCACCGCGGCGTGGGCAAGAAGAGCCAGTACACCGTCTCGTATGCCTCGCAGGTTTATGCACTCTGGCTGCGTTCGATGCAGATGAAGCTCGGCGACAAGTTCGACATCTTCATGTCCTACGTCACCGCCATCATCCTCGCCCTCCTCGTCGGCGGTCTCTTCTTCAACATGCCCACGACTTCGGCTGGTATCTTCATCCGAGGTGGCTGCCTCTTCATTCTCCTCCTCTTCAACTCGCTCACCGCCTTCGCCGAGCTGCCCACGCAGATGCTTGGCCGGCCCATCCTGGCCCGTCAAGCTGGTTTCGCCTTCTTCCGTCCCTCTGCTCAGATCCTGTCGCAGCTCTTTGCCGATATCCCCTTCGGTGTGCCCCGTGCGACCATCTTCGTCATCATCCTCTACTTTATGTCTGGCCTCCATCGGTCGGGAGCTGCCTTCTGGGCTGCTTGGCTCATCGTCGTGGTCTCTTACTACGCATTCCGAGCCATGTTCGCCCTCTTTGGCACGGTCACGCGCGACTTCTACATGGCTGCCCGTCTGGCCGCCATCGTCATCACCGTCCTCGTTCTCTGGGCCGGCTACGTTATTCCGCAGGCATCGATGGCCAGGTGGCTCTACTGGATCAGCTACATCAACCCCGTCTTCTACGCGTTCGAGGCTTTGATGATCAACGAATTCAAGCGGACCACATTCACCTGCGCCGGCGGTCAGATCGTTCCCTCTCAATTGGAAGGTCTCGCAGCGAACAGGTATCCCGCCGGTCTCGGCATTAACCAGGTCTGCACCCTCCCAGGCGCTACACCTGGCTCGACAGTCATTCCTGGCATGGCATACCTCGAGGCCCAGTTCGATTACCGCGAGGGCCACCTCTGGCGCAACGTGGGCATCATCTTTGCCTTCCTCGTCGGCCTCGTCGTCATCACCTGCGTCGTCATTGAGCGTCAGGAGCTGGGTGCCTTTGCATCGGCCATGACTGTCAAGAACCCCGCGAACAAGGAGGAAAAGAAGCTCAACGAGCGCCTTCTCGCCCGTCGATCCGGCGAGACCGAAAAGACTGAGGCCAAGCTCGAGGTGTACGGTAAGCCATTCACATGGTCCAAGCTCAAGTACACGGTTCCCGTCAAGGGTGGCAAGCGTCAGCTGCTCGACAGTGTCGACGGTTACGTCAAGCCAGGCACGATGACTGCCCTGATGGGTGCTTCTGGAGCTGGTAAGACGACACTCCTGGATGTCCTGGCCGACCGAAAGACGATCGGTGTCATTGAAGGCGAGCGTCTGATTGAAGGCAAGAGGATCGGCAAGTCGTTCCAGCGTCAATGTGGTTACGCCGAACAGCAGGACATTCACGAGCCCATGTGCACCGTTCGTGAGGCCCTCCGTTTCTCGGCCTACCTCCGTCAATCGTACGACACGCCAAAGGAGGAGAAGGATCAGTACGTCGAGGACATCATCGAGCTTCTCGAGCTCCACGAGCTCGCCGACGCCATCATCGGCTACCCTGGTTTCGGTCTCGGTGTCGGCGACCGCAAGCGAGTCACCATCGGTGTCGAGCTGGCTGCCAAGCCCTCGATGCTCCTCTTCCTTGACGAGCCCACCTCGGGTCTCGACGGCCAGTCGGCCTTCACCATCTGCCGTCTTCTCAGCAAGCTCGCTGCCAACGGTCAGACGATTCTCTGCACGATCCACCAGCCTTCTGCCCTTCTCTTCGAGACCTTCGACCGCCTTCTTCTCCTCGAGCGCGGTGGCAAGGTCGTTTACTTTGGACCTGTTGGAAAGGACGGAAAGGACATCATCAAGTACTTTGGCGACCGCGGCGCTCACTGCCCCCCAGCCATCAACCCCGCAGAGTACATGCTCGACGCCATTGGAGCTGGTAGCCAGCCGCGTGTGGGAGAAAAGGACTGGGCGGACCACTACCTCGAGTCGGATTTGTACCAGAGCAACCTCAGGACCATCGAGCAGATCAATGCCGAGGGCGCAAACGTGCCCGAAGAGACCGATCACCGCAAGGGTGGCGAATACGCCGCTCCCTGGGCTTACCAGTTCAAAGTTGCCCTCAAGCGAACGATGCTGTCGACGTGGCGCCAGCCCAGTTACCAGTACACTCGCTTCATCCAGCACCTCGTCTTTGCCCTCCTCACCGGTCTCCTCTTCCTGCAACTCGACAACTCGCTCGTCACGCTCCAGTACCGCATCTTTGCCATCTTCATGGTCGCCATCTTGCCCGCCATCATCATGGCGCAGATCCAGCCCTTCTGGATCATGTCGAGGTCGATCTGGATCCGAGAAGAGACGTCCAAGACGTTTGACGGTACCGTCTTTGCCGCTACGCAGCTCATTTCCGAGCTGCCCTACGCGCTGGCCTGCTCGACTGTCTTCTTCATCCTCCTCTACTACCTCGTCGGCTTCCCCACCGACTCGAACCGAGCCGGCGTGTACTGGGTCGTCGTCTTCCTCACGGAGCTGTTTGCCATCACTGTAGGCACGATGATTGCCTCGTTCTGCGCCAACGCCTACCTGGCCAGTCTGTCGGTGCCCTTCGTCATCATCATTCTCTCCCTCACTTGCGGTGTCCTCTCGCCGCCCAACCAGATGAGCTCGACGCTCTACTCGGAGTTCTTCTACAACGTCAACCCGATCCGCTACAGTATCTCGACGCTCGTCACAAACTGCCTCCACGGGCTGAAGGTCGAGTGCAAGCCAAGAGAATTCAACATGTTCCAGCCGCCTCAGGGTCAGACGTGCGGCACCTGGGCTGACGATTTCGCCAACGTCGCTGGCGGCTACATCAACAACCCCAACGCGACGGCTGACTGCCAGTACTGCGCCTACAAGGATGGTGACGCCTTCTTCAAGCCCTTCGGTATGAACTTTGGCGAACGTGGCCGCGACATTGGTATCCTGATCGCCTTCGTCGCCTTCAACACCATCATGACGATTGGCTTCACCAAGTTCCTCCACTTCTCCAACCGTTAATTTTAACGCCAACTTAACGCAGATAGACTTCTTCTTCACCCTTTCCTGTGACAGGCTGCAGTTGTTTCAGTGTACTGTACATCGTTCTTTTTGCTTTCGCTCTCTCTCTCTCTTTTCGTCCTTATTTTAAGTTACCCAGCTCTACCACCCCTACTCTTTGTCTATATGGCTACTAGAGACATTGACGAGACGAGCAAATCGGATGATATTCAACCTCATCGCTTAATGTCTAATGCCGGTCTTGCTTGTGAAGGTGATGAGATTTGCGGTTCAGGTAGTCGAGACAAGAATGCCCAGACAACTTTGTCCGTCGAAAATGTGCTCGCCTGCGGGCAAGACTGGATCAGTCAGTATCGGAACGGACTGCATGTTCATGATCATGACGAGTGAGCGGGTATCTTGCCCTCTCGAGATTTCGAGGAAGGAAATGACGACTTGATAAATTTCTATAGCAGTGTCTCCAAAGAGCTTTGCTAGTCTAAAAATCACAGTGGGGGGTGCAGCAAGAACCGCCGCTGTTGATAACGATCCCCCCGCGCAGCGCAAGTGCGACGAAATGCAACGCTCCGTCAATCACTCGACAAGGCAGATCGCCTAGGTCTACCTACCGGACAAACGAAGTTGGCTAAACCCGAATCTAGTAGACAGGGAGCGGAGCTGTGGGGTAAAAGATGGTCCTTGGGTTATACTGTACGTCCTTGGTGTGTCTTTTGGTCCCCGACGCCACGAGATTCACAACGGCCGCGCCGCAAATCTGCGCCCTTCCAATTTCTTTTGCTCTCCGTTGTCAAGAAAGCGCCTCTACACGCATTGCTTCACCTGTTCGGGGAAAAGCCTTTCTTTTTCACATTTAATGGAGATGGGGAAGAGGAAGGGCACGACGGCAGAGACTCGAACTGTCCGAGGAAGGGGCTCTTGTTTTACCTACATACTCCAGCGACGCAAACGAAACGAGTCATGGGGCTTATAAAGGGCGCCCCGGTCACACCCGTTGAAGCACCGTGCTTTCTTGATCTCGGTTTCACATCCCCCTTGGCTTTCTGCTCTCGCCGATTCTCTCGCTTTCGCTCCCCTTTTTGACCAACTAGTGGCAAGCGGTGGGTTTGCTTGAGGTGCCGTCATGTTCATGCAACACATCAAGTCAACTCCGCGTGAGGCACTCAACTGGCGCCTTGCTTTTGCCATGTCCGTCTTTGGATTTCTCGGAATGTCTCGCGGCTCAGACGAGGGCATTATCTCTGGCATACAAGAGTCCCTTGCATGGAGGCGCACCTATGGCATCGAGGCCGGCAGCTCGACCGAGTCCAATGTCGTGTCCATGGTTCAGATTGGGTGCGTTCCCGGCTCGCTCCTCGCTTTTCTCGTCGTCGACTCGCTCGGCCGCGTCCGGACGGCACAGATCTGCTGCAGCCTCTGGCTCCTCGGAAACACGCTGTGGATCTCGTCGGCGGGAAACGTCGGCTTGATGTACGCTGCGCGCTTCATTTCAGGTGTTGGCATCGGCGGCTTTCCTGTCGTGTGTCCTACTTTTCTGGCAGAAATTGCGCCAAGGACGGTGAGAGGATTGGCGGTCTGCCTCTTCTCAATGTCTGTTTACATCGGTATCAGTGAGCACTCCTTTCATGCTATTACACAATTAATGGCCAAACACTGACCGGTAACGAGCAGCCCTCGGCTACTTTAGCAACCTGGGTACCTCGGTCCACCTTAGCGAACTCGACAACGCACAGTGGCGGATCCCCATTGCCGCCAACTTCATCTACTCTGGCCTAGCGCTGGTGGGCACCTTTTTCATCAAAGAGTCGCCGCGCTGGCTGGCCAAGAAAGGACGCGACACGGAGGCGGCTGCCGTCCTCTCGTGGTACCGTAACATGGATGTCTCGCACCCTTTTGTCCGTGACGAGCTCGAGGGTATTTACGATCAAAACCGCATCGAACGGGAGGCAAAAGCCGGCAAGTCGGCTTTTTACCTGGTCAGGGAGTTGTTCGGACGAGCGGACAACTTGTACCGCCTCCTCGCCGTCGGTATCGGAGTCCAAATTCTCGGCCAATGGAGCGGAGGCGGAAGCTTGACCATCTACGCGCCAAAGATATTCAAGCTTGTGGGCGTGAAGGAAAATACAAAGCTCTACACCACGGCCATCTGTGAGTTGATAGGCAGAGCACAGAGACCGAAATTGGGCTTACTCCTGGTCTTTTCTGTTCCACCCAGTTGGAATCGTTAAGCTCATCGCGTCAGCTGTATGCGCCTTTTTCCTCATCGACATGCTCGGCCGCAAACGCTCCGTCTTCATTGGCATCAGCCTCCAGACGCTCGCCGCCCTGTACCTCACCGTGTACTTGTCTCAGACAGATCCTGGACACGAAACAAAGCTCAAGTCGGCCAACGAAGAGCGTGCCTCTTTTGGCGCCATTGTCATGGTTTTCATCGCAGGTTGTGGCTGGGCGCTCGGCCTGAATAGCATCCAGTATCTTATCGGCACAGAGATTTGGCCTGTTTCGCTGCGAGCCATCGCGACGAGTATCATCATGGCTTTCCACTTTGCTAATCAGTACGGCTCGTCGAGGGCGACCCAGCTGATGATCGAAGCACTCGACCGTTGGGGACTTTTTGCGTTCTGGACCGTCACTTCTTCGTTGAGCATCCTTTACATTCTCTTCTTCATTCCCGAGACCTCAGGCAGGAGCTTGGAAGACATGGACGCTCTATTCCAAAGGCCGTGGTACAGAATTGGGATCATGTCTTCCAGAGTCATCTCTGGCCATGTGTCTGATTCGAGGAAAATCGATGACGAGGACCCAAAAATCGTCCACGAGTTGCAAAGAGATGGTGCAACTGCAAATGCTCTCGACGACAAAGAGGAAAGTGCAGAGGCGAAGAGAGAAGCGGATTGCCGTCTCCGGATGACATTGTCCGATGTGTAGCTAGCTAGCAAGCTACCTGTCTGTATCCAATTAAATTGAAGCCAAATAAGCATCGGGTGTGCATGCCGTTCCTCTAATCTACCCCATATGCGATCGCGAATGCAGGTGTCCTCCTCTTCGGCATCGTTGCCGTCCGAATACCGCGTCGCGCCGCTTCGCCCGCAATACCGCTAAAACCTCGAGAAATTTTTGTGTGTTGGGGCTAACGCGCCATCTTCATAATTAAGCGAGCCTCCTCGTCTGCCTTTCATGACGTTGTCACTGTCGCTGCGCAGCACAGTCGATAGTAGATGAAGCAAGAGGGTACAACGGAATCATCATTGCCGGCCGGTCATGGTGATACAGTCGGCCAGCCTAGCGCCAAAGTCGGCGCGACCACAGATGAGGCCACTCAGCCACCCCACCACGATGGGTACACCGTGTCAACTTCGGGATCAAGCGCCAACGAGAGCGTCAAGGTGATAGGCTGGGAGGGCGATGACGACCCAGAAAACCCTAAGAACTTCCCCTTCAAGAGACGATGGTTCATCACCTCGGTCATCAGGTCGGTACCCGCAAGAATTAGCCTTCTCCTGTCCTCACCACGAGCTTACCTTCCCTTGCAGTCTCTACGGTATCCTATCGCCAATGTCTTCGTCCATGATTGCGCCTTGCATTCCTGCTATAAGCAATGACCTTCATGTGACGCAGCCCTTCCAGCAGAACATGATGGTGTCCGTCTTCCTCCTCGGCTAGTGAGTCCATCCCCTTGCTCGAGCTTGTCTTTGACCGCAACTGACGGTGCGACTTGCCGGGTTTCCAAGCGTCATTGGTCCTTTCCTTCTTGGTCCTCTCTCTGAGATATACGGTCGGAGGCCGCTGCTCATGCTGGCCAATTTCATCTTTGTCGGTGCGCTTGTCTTTGCCCACTCTCACCGTCCTTATCACTGTAGGCTGACTCTTCCGAGCAGTCTTCACCGTGGGGTGCGCACGATCGACTACCTTTGGCGAGTTGGTGGCGTTCCGGCTCCTCTCCGGTCTTGGTGGCTCAGGGCCCATCACGATAGGCGGCGGAATTCTCGGCGATCTTTGGCGTGCCGAGGAGCGCGGCAGGGCTTCAGCCTTGTACGCATTGGGCGTGAGCATCGCTCCAGTGACCTTATCTTCTGGACATGTGACTGACTGGTCTGCTTGAATAGCCTCTTCTTGGTCCATCTATAGGGCCTATAATTGTGAGCGTCTCCTGACCCTGCAAAAAGAGCGAGTAGCTGACAGAAGAAATGTTGACAGGGCGGCTGGATCATCCAGAAGGGCGTCTCATGGCGCTGGATCTTTTACATTCTCATCATTGTCGGTGCCTCGGCGGGTACGGCCGGCGCGATTCTTTTGCCCGAGACCTTCGCACCCGTACTGATCCAGCGCAAGATCCGACGTCTGCGCGATGAGCAAAGCGAAGCACACGGCACCGAAGAAAAGGAGCAAGAGTCTCACCATGCTACAGTTCTCCGGAGCCGGTACGACCGTGACGAGACGTTCCGACAGCTACTTTTTCGTAGCTTGGTGCGCCCTTTCATCCTTTTGTTCACGCAGCCCATTGTCATGGTCATCACAGCCTACCAGGCTATCTTGCTCGGTACCTACTACATTCTCATCGTTTCGTACGTCGACGTCTTCCGAAAAACGTACAACGAAGATGTCGGCATCGCCTCGCTCAACTACCTCGCCCTTGCCTTGGGGAGCTTAATGGGTCGGCAAGGTGGCACTTTCATCATGGACAAGCTGTATCGGCGGCTGAAAGCACGCAACAATGGCGAGGGCACGCCCGAGATGCGGATCATCTTGCTCTCGGCCGCCTGCCTATCTATTCCATCGGGCATGATCATCTTTGGCTGGGCCGTGCAGTACCGGGTGCACTGGTTTGTGGCGGACCTCGGAGCCTTTTTCTTCACGATGGGCATGGTCAACGTCGTCTTTGTGGTGCAAACCTACACAATCGAGTGGGTCCTCCCATTCACCTTTCTGCCTCTATTCTTCTCCCAGCTGAACCCAGAGGCCTTCACAGCGTCTACACACTCTACGCGGCCTCGGCATTGGCCGCCTCAAATTCAGTGCGGTCAATGTTTGCCTTTGGTGAGTGCCATGGCTGCAAAAGCCGAGCAAGAAGCCGAGCTGACCTGAAGTGCAGGTTTCCCACTCTTTTCCACGGCAATGTTCGATGCCCTCGGCTATGGGTGGGGGTGCACCTTACTGGGTCTCTTGGCTCTCATTGTAGGCGGACCAGGCGCATTGGTGCTTTACTTCTTTGGACCTCGGCTTAGGGCACGGTCGACGTATGCGACGGGAGAATAGATTTACTGTACTGTACAATATCATCAATGGACACCACCATCTGTCGATTGAAGTTGAACGCCCCACATAGGAGGATCACAGAAAGGAGGAGGTCGAATCCTGAGGGAGGCTCATTACATAAGCCCGCCTCCACCTTGATTTTTTAGTCTAAGTCAACAGGAAAGGGTCCCAACTTTGTCTTTTGCAACCGCGACCAGGCACACATTACTCAAAGATGAGAGGGATACTGACACAAGCGGCGAATACCGTTCCAAGAGTGTGTTGGCGCTACCCCGCCACTGAAAGCACACAGTGCTGGACGCGGACTTTGGCGAGCAAGGCAGGCACAAGCGGAAGCAGTGGATCTACAGCGGTCAAGGAGGAGAAAAGATTAAACGCAGTAGAACTCGAAGACGAAAGAATAAGAAGGCTTCTGCTCGAGAGGGATGGCGGCCCTGCCTCTGTTCCGACACGCGACGGGAAGTGGGACAGCGACATGGGAAGGGAAACTTCGAGACAGATGCACAGAGTGCTGGATCAGACGCGGGTCGCAAGGCCCGGGCAGAATGTCGCCATGGGCGAGGGCGAATCAAAGCACTTCAACTGGAGAAACCGGTGAAAGCAAAGGATATTCAAGTCGATGGGCTTTTCTTCGAGCATTCAAACACTCACGGGCCAGAGTGGAATGAGAACAGCTCACCTCTCTAGCCAGGGCGGCAAGGATCTGTGGAACCAGTAGTCATTGCTAGATACATTGTTGAGAGGTGTCGTGTACAGTACATTTGGGCTTCTTCTCATGATTCTTCTCGTTCCTCCTCAATCAATCCTTCGTTTCCTCCATTTATGAGCATCTTGTCCCACACGACGGCCTGCCCCGTGAAGCTCTTATGGCGCCAAAGACTTCTAAATTCGCTCTGCATGCCCCCTTTTGATGCCGTGGACGGAGGCGATTGTCTATTTGTCGAGTCTGATTGATTGAGAGCCATCGAAGAGTCTAATGCAATCGATGTGTCCAATGAGGAAGATCCTCCCGGAGCTGTCGGGGGACTCTCGAGCAGGAGGTCCATCGAAGCGAGAGCATTTTCGTCAAAGTGACGGCCATCGACAAAGCTCCACAGCTGATCCCCCTCCAAGCCTGACCCTTGACCCGCACTCCGCTCTTCTCCGACACTGTACATCTCTTCCTCGTCGTATTCACTCGCTTGCGCCTCGTCGGGCTCTTCTTGCTCCTCGTCCTCCCACTCTACTCCCGCCTCGCCTTCCACCGTTTCTTCCGCATGCACACTTTCGTACATCTGCTTCCGCACCGATCTGATGCCACGGCCCAGAACGACAAAGTCGACGCTAGGCTCGTAGAGCGCTCCACTCTGCACGAATGGACTCTTGATCAGTACAGCCCTTCTGACGTTGTGCATCTTCTGCCGCTCTTTTTCGTCTTCCTCGTAGCCTTCTTCATCTTCCCAATCCTCGAGTGATTTCATCGAGCCATCTTGGATCCTGGCCCAGTCGATGCGCTTGGCTGTCCGGTGCAACATGAGCCGGACGCTGATGCAATTCGCCCACTGATAACCCAATGCGGCCATCTTGAGGCCCGATGCGACACTGTTCCAGATCTCGTCTTCGCTCATCTTGCCTGTAGGGCCTCCGCCTTGTCGGAAGACGGCACGGGATCGGGCGCGTCCGAGGAGTGTTGGGTGGGCGCTCGAAAGGACTCCGCTAAAGAAGAGCTCCTGCTGATCTGCTTGCAGTGGTGGTGGGTCACCAGCTGCATCGAAAAGAGCATAACCTTCTCCAGATGAGGAATGTCGCTGCGATTTCTCCCAGATGGAACGCAAGACGGGTATGGCCAGCTCCTTGGTCCGCTCAAATGAGTCAACGACGTGGTTCCCCAAGACAATGGCGGCGGCCGACGACTCGTGTCCAGCAGGCCCCGCACAGTACAGAGCCAGCCTCCGGAGTTTGTCCGAAATTTCACAGATCATCTGAGACCGATGGACTGCGCGCTGCATCTGTCCAGCAGGTTCAGCGCCGAGGAGCATCGCTGGAAGGTCATCGAGGATGACGAGCTGCAAAGGCGATTGAGTGGTCGATGCCAGCCGGTCGGCCAGGGCAGGCAGCATATACGAGATGGCATGATCCACCTCGTCATAGCTTTTGATGGAAAGAAAATGGACGTTCTTCAACAGCAGTGCCTTGGAGATGGCAATCAGCCTTTCCAAATCGACAACGAGCTCGTCGACGACCTCGACATCATCTGGATCGTGGAAACGCCCAGCGCCAAAGGTAGGTCTACCCAAAGGCTCTTGTTGTAGTTGTGTCTCGCATTGCTTGGCCTGATGGGCTCGCATGCCGTACCATCGCTCCCGAATGGCATAATCGCACATTTCGCATAGCCTTCGAGTCATCATGAGCCCTGCACCGCTCCCATCGGGGGTGAGGATCGCAATACTGCTGCGCGCTCCTCGCTCCTTCATCCCGTAGCCCTTGAGTGCGCGGAAGACGATCGAGGTCTCAGCAGCAGGAGAAGCATCAAAATGCTTCAAAGGATCTGAGGCGAGACCGAGAGCCGTATAAAGTGCCATCTGGAGCAGGAGTTGCGTCTTTCCAGAAGAGCTGGAAGCAGGGAGCTGAGCGCCCTGTGCATGGATAATGTATCAAGGCTAGCAGCTCACCTCTGTCCGACCACCTCGTTGAGACAGCCTCGTTTCATTCCTCCACCCAAGAGCGCATCCAATCTTGCATCTCCCGTCGTCAACGAGTTGCGATCATCCAGGTGCTTCAATGACCGCGATGGCTCGTCCGGTCCCTCGTTCTCAAAAAGGCGATCGATATCCTCATCCTCCAAGAGATCCAGCACGACAGCAGGGGCGGGCGCAACTTCTAGCGCAGCGACCTGTTGGATGTACTCGACCTCCTCCCGAGAGAGAAGAGTCTGTAATTTGGCCAGGTCCGCTGGCTGGGCGTGGACGATCTGGGCGCAACTGACGAGGTCGACTTAAAGAAGATATTTTCCTCAGAATCGCTTACATCACGGCGCTGCAGTACGAACCCTCACCTCTTCGGCAGCATGCCTTGTGTCTCGCGGAAAGTGGCAGACTCGAGATGGGCGTGGCGAGCATGCTGGAACGAATCACCCCGACATGGTGGTTGAGGCAGCTTTGAGAAGCCAACACTTTTTCTTTCAAGAGAAATACGCGTCTAATTCGCACACCGCGTTTAGCACGCTAAGGGAAAATCATCGTAATCATCTTTGCCTGCCCTGCGCCTTTAATTAAGATAACCTGACTCCTCCTCTCTTGGCCAAGGCCAGGGCCACCCAACCAGCAATCAGAGCAAGGCCTCCGAGAGGCGTCGCGGGACCCAGCAGCTTTCGAATGGGCGATCCTTCGTTGGTGAGGCAAAGGCCGTAGATGGAGCCCGAGAAGAGGGTGATGCCCGCTGTGAATGCGTAGGCCGCAACGGTCAAGGGACGGCTGTTGCTGATCGAAGGCGCGATCTGACTGGCGACATACAGAAGGGCGATCGAATGTGTCAGCTGGTACGATGTTGCCGTCGTCCAGGAAGAGGCTTGGTGAGCGCTGAGCTTGCCCTTGAGGGCATGGGCACCAAAGGCACTATCAGATCTGGTCAGTCCTAGTAGCTTTCAGTGAGCGCGGAATCTCTCTCCTCACCCAAAGGCGACCGAAGTCGCTCCCGAAAGACAGGCAAAGGTGTGGAAGAAATTGAAGCCAGGCATCGTCGCTGTCACTTGTGTCACTTCCCTGAAGAGCTCGTTGATGACGAACCTACGGTACGGGTATCGACTCAACAAGATCCCGAATCGGTAACACGTGACCAGACGCCGGACATTATTCCGGTGGTAGCCTATGGCGGAGAAAAAAGAAAGGGGTGCGCGTTCGACGATTGTCACAGACAGGGGCTACCTGCAGATCAGCGAGTCCTATATCGGCTGTCATCACTACTTGCTTGTCCAACGGGCTTGACCCTTGGCCCTTGGCATTGCCGCTGTCCTGGTCGTCAGATAGACGCTCCTTGAACACTGCCGCAACGTCTTCTTGAGAGCCTGTCATCATTGACAAGGTAAACGCTGTCGAAGGTGTTGTCCGAGAAATCAAAGTGTTGGTCTGTGCAAGTAAACAAACGCGGTGGACCCCATCCTATTCGACAAATCCTCGCTCTTCTTAAGTGTGTGCAACGCAGCAAGATGGGTTCGATGTGATGACGCAGAAGACCATATGACGCAAAGAGAGGTCAGGAAGGAGCCAGGGCAACAAGGCTAAAGTCGGGCAGGAGGCAACGGTAGGGACAGATGAATGAATGTTTTGGAATAATCAAGTATTTTTTTGAATTTGAGGGGAGGGCCGCTAAATGTCTCCTGAACTCTCTCACCTTCACCACTACTCTACTACTACTCCCAACTATCTATCTCAGGTTCCTATCGACCAGGGATACCCTCGGCGAAGGCGTGGACTGCCATTAATCTTATCATTGCTGGACGGACCAGCAACCTCGCCTAGGCCAAGCCAGCGGATCACAGTCGCGCTCGATCCGAAGCCGACCGCGGACTTACCCCTGAAACAGAGACACAAGGCCGCTTGGAGAGGTCTCCGTTCCCGCGCGAGCAAGACCGAATACAGCCCTGCCTCGGACTAGCTTTGGGAGGCCCGACCTCTGTTGGAAGAGCTGTACCATTCTGCCGTCCAGAGGTCCCACCCGCAACCCTACAACAACATGGTGAGTCAGTAGCGTGCTAAGTGCTAACAGCTTGTCGCTGAATTCTCTTCGAGCAAACAGCCAAACATCTCACTGCCTACGCGCTCACCACTGCTGAGCCCACGGCGAAGCTCGCACAAAGATGGCCTGCCATTGCTCCAGAAGTCGTCATCTGCCTCGTCCACCTCTTTCGAGTCGGCCACCTCGTCAATGTCGGCCCGGGGCCAGTCCCAAGACGCGACCGGTTCTCCTGTTCCCAATGGACGAAAGCGGGGTCCTGACTCGCCCACAGCCCACTCCCCGCTCGCGGCTGCAGCCTCTCCCTCGCCGGTAAGCCCACCGGCAGCGGCTATTGCCAGTGGACAGCAGCTCGCCGACCAGTACCAACTCCTCGAGAAATTGGGTACGGGCTCTTTCGGCACCGTGTACAAGGGCATTCACAGAGAGACGGGTACGATTGTGGCCATCAAGCAAATCGACCTCGAGGACTCGGACGACGACATTTCAGAAATCCAGATGGAGATCGCCCATCTGGCCCAGTGTGACAGCGACTGGGTGACGCGTTACTACGGAAGCTTTGTCAAGGGGTACAAGCTGTGGATCAGTGAGTGACTCCTCTCTGTGCTCTTCTGTCAGCCGTCGAAAGCTGATCTCCGAAAACCCTACAGTAATGGAATACCTTGCTGGCGGTTCGTGCCTCGACCTGCTCAAGGCCGGACCCTTTTCTGAGGCCCACATTGCCATCATCTGCCGAGAGCTTCTCCTGGGCCTCGACTATCTGCATACCGAGGGCAAGATCCATCGCGACATCAAAGCAGCCAATGTCTTGCTCTCGGCCAGTGGCAAGGTCAAGCTGGGTGGGTTATGTCTCTTCAGGTGGACAAGAGAGCGGCTTTGCTGATAATAAACAACAGCCGATTTTGGTGTGGCAGCTCAGCTTTCCAATTACAACTCGCGGCGCAACACGTTTGTTGGCACTCCCTTTTGGATGGCCCCTGAGGTGATCCGCCAGGCAGGGTACGACTTCAAGGCCGATCTCTGGTCCCTCGGCATTACGGCAATCGAAATGGCAAAGGGAGAACCGCCGTTGGCCGAATACCACCCCATGCGTGTCCTCTTCCTCATCCCCAAGGCCAAGTCCCCCGTCCTCGAAGGAAATTTCTCGACGGCCTTCAAAGATTTCGTCGACTTGTGCCTCGTCAAGGACCCGAAGATGCGACCCACGACAAAGGATCTTTTGCAGCATCGATTCATCAAGTACGCAAGAAAGACGAGCACACTGACGGAGCTGATCGAGAGGCACCAAGACTGGAAGGCAAGGGGCGCAAATCGGGGTGGGGCCATTGTCAAAGATCACCTGCGCGAGCACGAGCCGTCGGAGTCGAGCACGTTCAACGGGACTGTGCATTCCGAGTGGCAATTCGACACAATGAGGTCTCGGATGGCTGGCAGCCGACTGTTGGACCAGTCGGCATCGTCCATAAATGTTTGGGAGAGGTCAGGCCGAGGGCCTCCAGAGGAAGGCGAAGAGCGAGCAGGGTATCAAACGGTCAAGAAGGACCAACGGCCGGTAGGCGATCTCATGAAGGCCATGGAATCCAACCAGTCGTCGGCAGTCAGAGATCAAGACGACGATGCAGCATCGATCTCAAGCGACTCTGATGCATTCAGCCGAGCCTCTGCCGCCAGCACTCCTGCCACATCGGCGGCCTCGGGCCCAGCAACACCCAGTGCGGAGGCGCCGAAGCAGACTAGGTCGGATCATCTTGAGCCGTCCGTGCACGTCAGTGCGCTCAAGAACACTTTGAGGGACAACAGCAGCCGAAACCTGGCTCCACCTCCTTCAGCGTCATCTGCTTTGGCCTCCGGCCCAAACACGCCGTCAACACCTACGGCCAAGTCAGCAGGCTCAACAAGACCGAGGCGATCGTCGTGGAACGAGCGAAATGACATCAATGGTACTGTCTTGCGCGAGAAAGATGTAGCGTCGGGCATGGAAACGCTTCGCCCTGTCAAACGGCTTGACAAGAATGGATCTGCTCGCATTAGCGCAGACTTCATTGGGAGCGGCAGTGTCCGAGGCGAAAACCCAACCCAGTCACTCACTCCTCCTGGCAAAGGGGCTTCTCCGGGCACTGCAGCCCGCGAGAGCGAAGGCCAAGAAAAGAAGAGACACGCTTCGAGCGAGTCCACTAGCGAACAGCGTAGCAAAGGCGTCGGCCTTGTTCGCGATGTTCTATTGCCTGTTCTTGATCGAGTGAGTTTGTAGCAATTTCCTTCGATCCGAGATCACCTTCCTGACCTTCCCATGATGTCCTCAGGCGAAAAAAGAAGACATGCCCGCGCCTGAGATTGAGGCGCTCGAAATGATCTCCAAGGGCTTTGAGGACCTGGCACAGGCCAATGGTGACGTCGCATACAACCTCGTCGTCGATCTCCTCATGAAGATGAACGATGACGAAGAGGCACGCCAGAACCTCAGTGCTACATTTAGAACAAAATACCACCGGCGTCAACCCACAGCCGCTGCACAGGCCCAGGCTCAAGAGGAAGAGGACAGGGCAGCGGCAGAGGCGTACAGAAGTCCATTGACCGACCTCATCTACGGAAAGTGGCTCGAAAACTTCAGAAGCCGGTGGAGCTTGGTATGATCTTGCTCGCATTTTGCTCTCCCTCGTCTTTCCCATCACTGCAATCGTCGACCTTTCGTCTTTTCGTCCTCTCTTCTTGACATAAGATTTTGTTTATTCGCTCAGTTCATCGTATATCTTTCATCGTACAACTTGATGCCCTTCCCTCTGACATTCTAATGAAAATCTAACGACAACTCTCGATGTGGTTTGGGCGGGTCAAGACACGATGCCCAGCGTGATGATCTTGCACTGGAGCGTGTGTGGCTGGACGAGGACAAGCTGGCCCGTGGTGGAAAAGCGCGGGAGAAGGACGACGAGGATTCGCCTTCCGTTGGATCCTGTCGGAAAGAGCACAAATCAGCAATTGTCTATGAAGCATGGATCGAGAGACTCACCCTGGTAGATTTTTGAGCCGAACATAGGTTGGTTGCCAACAAAGTAGATGTCCGGGCAGTCTTCGATCAGGAATGGGTCTCGGTCCGCAAGCGGGTAGCAGGCTTCGACAGAAAAGATGCAGACGTCAGTCATCCGACCTGGAAGGACAGTGTGATTGAAGATTGATGCATGCTCACCGAGAGTATCCGGAGCGGTCGGTGCGACATGGCCCCAGTCGAGGGTCCGACAAGCGCAGCGCAATCGCGCCTCGTTGTCCTCTTCAATTGCGTACTTGTAGATGTCATCGACATTCTGACCTGACGTGCCCATGAATCTGGCAACAGCCCTTTTTAAGCAAGCGGACAGGGCAGAAATTTGGGCAAGCAACCTACTTCTTTCCACCGACGCCGAACCATGCTGGGTTCGTCTCCCGGTGCAAGGAGTCGAATCGGTTCGTCTTTGGCAAGAGGGCAAAGTGAATCGGCTGCTGGGGCAAGGCAATGCTTGTAGGATCCGATGCACCGGGCAGGAGATGAATGTGCATTGTCGAGGCCACATCCGCGAGGATGTTGTCCAGGGTGAGGGTTGGGTAGTGCCCCGGTTGGATTGGTGTCCGCGGCTGAGATTTGATCTCTTCGTCGGCACGGAGCGGCATAGAGATGCTATTGCCGGCGATGACAAGGCTCGTTACCTTTGACGCCATCTCCCGGTCCTTTCGCGAATGTAAGCGGCGAAAAGCATGTTTCGGACTGTCATTGAGACTCACCTCTGGGCTGCCCACCTCGCCCTGCAGCCATTCGGACAGCATTGTCAAACGCAGCTCCTTTTCCGAGGTTCCAAACATATTCAGGTCATCTCCTTGACTGTCGGTCAAGTTAGACTCCTGGTTTTGCGAGCCGGAAGGCATGGCGTCGATCTCAAGACCGCTGACCATGGCGACCCACTGATCCTCTTTAACTTCGTCGACCTCCATCTTTGATTGCTTCGCCTCTTCAGTCTCCTCAGGAACGCCAGCAAAGATGGCGTCAGCTACCTCGAAATCGCCTGACCTTGTTTCGGTGCCGAGGAGTGCCACGACGACGCCGGTGATGAGCATGCTCCGAAGTCTCCCTTCTGCCCCCACGGCGTCTCCCACCAGCCTTACCCTCCCCGACTCATCCTCCACGTACACCTCGTCCGAAGCAGGGTCTGCGTACCGGTCCGCAACGGGCTGAGGTGGAAGATATTGCTGCACAGACCTGGTCTTAGCCTTATGCATGTTGCTACATAGACGAACATGAACCCACCTCTCTGGTCAGGTCCTCCAGGACGTCCGGTTTGAGTTGCATCGACACGTAGACTGTCCCAATGACAAAGACGACTTGCCCCTGCTTGACGTCGAGAATTCTCTTGACGTAGAGTGCATCTGCTCTTTCTTCCTCTTCTTCCTTGATCTCTCTTTTCTTGCTGTTGCCGCTGCCTTTTTGGGAAGATGCAGCCGAGAAAGAGGACGATGCAGCCCATTTTGCCTGCGCTTTCGCAAGCAGGCGACCTTTGGGATGCTTGAGCCGCCGGAGTCGATAGTCGTACAATGATGCATACTGGCGGTTATAGGCCCTCGTAGACAAGGGTACCACAAGCGGGTCTGATAGGGCCGGCAGCGCATCGTATCGTGCAGCTGTCCTCGTCATTGTCGCGGTTGCCATCGCTGAAACACGAATGGAAGTAACGGAGACTCGCTGCACGTCATAAAAACGAAGACGCGTCTTCGCGTGCACCGACCGACCAACACTCCACTCAGGTCAATCGATACACGGGCTGCAGGTGGGACAATGCAGCAGCAATAACACTGGGCTGGCACCGCTTTGCTCAATCACAGAATTGTATTAAAGACAAGAAGGCCAGAGCAGGTTGAATGACGGAGCTTCTCTGACCCAATTCAGGAACTCGATTCCTGAGCACAGTGTTAAAAAGCAGCACTCGAATGCTGCTGAGGGGGAAAGGAAGAATGACGCAATTGGCTTGCAAAGAATGTGAAGAGAAGAAAAGTAATCACGAAGCAGCCGCCGACCTCCTTTTGACTCGCACATGAAGCCCTTGCTCGATGCCCATGTTCATGCCCGTCGTGTACTTTGGCTTCAGGTCCGGCTCGACAAGCTCAAAGTCGAAGCGCGAGAGCAGGGCTGAGAACATCGTCAGTCCTTCGAAGCGGGCAAGATTCATGCCGAGGCAGGTTCTCGGTCCGCCGTTGAAGCTGTGATATTTCCACGGCGAGAATGTCTTGAGCTTCGGCTCTCCTGTGCCCGTCGAGGAAGGAGCGGGTACATCGAGAAATCGGTCTGGCTTGAACTCGAGGCAGTCGTCGCCCCAGACGGATGGTAGGCGATTCATCACCCAGTCTTGCCACATTACATAGTCGCCCTTCTTGATCTGTACAGCGGGCTGCCCAAGCTCCGAGATCTCTGGGAGGATATCGTCCTGGTAGCAGATAGACATGCCTCGTGCGCTCGCAGGATGTAGCCGCGTCGTCTCGTTCCAGAAAGCGGTCAGATGGACCATCTTGCTCATGTCGTCGTAATCGAGATAGGGTGCGTCACCATGGTCGTCATCTTCAAGATGCGACAGTCCTCGATCTTCTATCTCTTTGCGAGCCAGGTCAATGAGGTTCTTGGAGCGATTGCCTGGTTGCAGAAGCTCGTAGAGCTGCCACGCCAGGGTGAAAGCCGTCGTGTCCCTGCCTGCAAACAGGACATTAAGCATCCAGCCGCTCAAGACCCAAGGGTCTCGCTCCTTCTCCATAAACATAGAGAGAAGATCTTTGTTCTTTTCCTCGCCGCTGCCGTCTATCTTTTGCTTTTCCTCTAGCGCAATCCTCTCGGCGACGAGGGGTTCAATGAAGCCGTAGATGCTCTGGATCGTCGAGTCGATGTCTTTCTTGGTCGATTTGTCAAATAGCTCATAGATCTTCCACAGCGCATTTCTCGTTCGCAGATCGATCAGCGGGCTGGCACGGTCGAAACCATCGACAAATTCGTATCTGCGCTGCAGGCAGGCCGGCTCTTTCGTCAGGCCATCGGCCAAGGTGGAATGAGTGGAGAAGGCGATGCTCATCGAGAAGAGCATCGTGAAGCGAGCCATGACATCCTGAAAGTCGAAGACTTCGCCCGTTACTGCCAACTTGTCGAACAAGCCTTCGACGAGTCCGACATGATGGGCGAGCTTGGCCGAGACGGGGCCCTTGAGCATATTGCGGCTAAAGGCGTGGGTCGCTGACTTGCGCTGTACTGCCCATCGCTGCCCGTCCGAGGTAAAGATTCCAGTTCGTTGGAGCTCACCATTGGTTGCGACGAGGTGCTGTTTGCCGTACAGTGGAAAAGCTGTCTTCTGAAAGTGCTCGAGCCAAGCAGGATGATTGACCTCGATGATGCGATGTCCAGGGATCGTCAGCTCGTAGCCCAAGCCATACTCTTTGCGCCATTCGTAGAATTGGTCGAGGTAACGGTGGGCGTTTGCGTTGAGTGCAGGCTGATTGCCGAGAAGGAAGGTGCCCTTTGGGCCCTTGGGCAAACGCTTGCTGGGGTCAGCCGTGTACCTGGAGATCGCCGGACGCGATCCGATGGCGGTGTCACGGTGGCGGATGATAATGTAGACTCCGTACGCCACGAGAAGGCCGACGACGGCGCTTGCGCCGACTTTGGTTAGGGATGCAGAGATCTCCATATCCTCAAGAGATTGTGTGATCAAGGAGCAGAAGCTTGCTGTGAAGACAGGTGTCTGAGTCGCAGCGAGATGAGGTCTCTACCTTGCCCCATCTCAAAGCTGCATCTTCAATGCTGTCAATGTCCAATCAAAGTTGGATCTTTCAGATCGGCCAAGCGCGGTGATTTAGACCTTCTCCACGGTGTAAACGCGGCCAAATTAGAGCGTTGTCTGCGCGTCACGGTGGGGAAAAACTAGGAACCGGATACAACTACTCCTCGCCTTCGTGCAACTATGGTAATAGTGGCTTTGCCCGTGGGGGGGAAGGGGGGCCATTGATCAGTGTCCGGCCTTGCCGGACCGGCAAAGCCACAGGAAAGGGCGAGGGGGTATGAGAGATATGCACACTGTTCGTGGGGTAGACTGGAAATGCGGGGAAGCTATCCAATCAGAGAGGACTGCATTGAGACAGGCTTAAAACAGCAGATTTTTGAGCATGAGGAGGCAGCACCGGACTGCACCCCCTCCAACCCTCCCCTCCCTTCTTTCCCCACAAGTGCCATTGTTTGAGCAGGAAATGACGACAACGACGACAAAGCAAGTGCCTTTCGAGGCTGGCGTGAGCTCGCGAAGAGACACATTGTTGCACCTCACCAGCAGCGAAAAGGCTCTTGGGGCAGCATACGGCAACACAGGAATCAGGGGTGTATTCAAGGATCGCTATGCCCTCTATTGCTCCTTTTTCGCTGCCATGGGAGGTTTGCTCTTTGGTATTGACCAGGGCCTCATGTCCATCACCCTTGTCATGCCTCAATTCCTGCGCCAATTCCCTGAGGTAGACGAGAGCTCGGGAAACAATGCCGGATTCAACAAGGGTCTGCTCACCGCCATCCTTGAGCTTGGTGCCATTTTTGGCGCTTTCAGCAGCTCCTTCATCGCTGATCGCTGGTCGCGTCGAGTTGCAATTCGGACGGGTGTCACGTTCTTCATCGTCGGTTCCGCTCTTCAGACAGGTCCGTAATCTTTTCACGGTACCTCACAGAACAAGCATGGCAACGGTGTCTGATTGTTTCATTCTCTTCACACAGGTTCTATCGCATACGCTATGCTTGCCGTTGGCCGATTCATCGGCGGGATCGGCATTGGTTTTTTGTCAATGATCGCACCCATCTACATCTCCGAATGCTCGCCACCCAATGTCCGTGGCGTGCTTCTTGTCTTGGAGTCGTTCGCCATTGTCACGGGTGTGGTTGTGGCCTACTACGTCACATACGGGACTCGCCACATCGCGTCTGAGTGGTCCTTTCGCCTTCCTTTTCTCCTTCAAATGGTACCGGGCTTTGTCATGCTCGCGTCGTCCTTTGTACTGCCGGCCAGCCCTCGCTGGCTGGCAATGCGTGGTCGCTACGATGAAGGCCTGAAATCGCTCGCGAAGCTCCGTCAACGCGACCAGCGAGACGTCCTCGTGCAAGCCGAATGGACCGAGATCCGTGCAGAGATTGGCGCTTTTGAAGAATCGCAGGCCGAGCGTCACCCATCGCTGGCGACGGCCGCACTTTCGCCCAGGACACGCCTGTTGAGCGACGAAGTCAAGCTGGCCGCCCTTGGGTGGCTCGACACTCTGAAGCCGGCCTACCTGCACAGAACCATCATCGCCATTGGTCTCATGTTCTTCCAGCAACTCGTCGGCATCAATGCATTGGTGCGTAAATATTGATCCCGCATTTGAGAAAAGGAGGCTGACATTGTAAATCGACCAGGTTTACTACTCCCCCACACTCTTCGAGACTCTTGGCTTGAATTACGAAGGCCGCCTGAACTTCTCTGGCATTGTCAACATCATGCAGCTCGTCGGCACGACCATGTCCTTCTTCATCATCGACCGCTTCGGCCGCAAGCCGCTGCTTGTCTTTGGTTCGACGGGCATGGTCATCGAAATGGTCGTCGTGGCCGCTCTCACGGCGCAATTTTCGAGCGATTGGCCGGCTCATCAGCCGGCGGCAAAGGCTGCCATTGCTATGCTCAATCTGTACATGGTCAGCTATGGTACGTTCCCCCCGTTCCTATTCGCCTGATTTTTCTGGCTGCTGACCGACACTTTCTCCCAAAAGGACTCTCGTGGGGCCCTATCGCCTGGGCTGCGCCCGCTGAGCTCTTTCCCTCTTCGATGAGGGCGAAGGGTGTCGCATGGAGCGTCATGAGCAACTGGTGAGCCTCAGCTCCTTTCGACGCTTGACCAAGACTAATCAGGTTGTTTCTCCCCTCTTCTTAGGTTCTTCAACTTTATCATCGGCCTGATCGTGCCTCCGAGTGAGTACACTTCCCCTTCCCCAAATGAGGCCGAACCTTGCTTCTGACTCGTTGCTACTTTTTTACACATTCGCACAGTGCTACAAAACATCGGCTATGGTACCTTTATCTTCTTTGCCTGCTTCGCCTTTCTCTCGGCTCTCTTTGCCATCTTTGTCATGAAGGAGACGCGAGGCGTGCCGCTCGAAGCCATGGACCGCCTCTTCCACGACAACTCGGGCACCCGCGATGCGATGTGCCGGGATCGTATCAAGCGCAACCTCATCGACGAGACCCTCAATGTGGATCCCAGCGAGGACGGAAGCAACAGTGGAGGAATGTCGGCGGTTGCGCCAGCCGTCTCGCTCGTCGAGTCGTCCGATGCAAAGGAGAAGTCCGATGTTGCGTAGTGTAGCTTTGTAGTATTCAGTCCTTATTTGCCGCCACGAGCTGTTTCGTACTTCTCATGTTTCAGGAACTCATTCTTAGTCGCCCATTCCTATCCTTCGTCTGATGAGAGAAGAGCGAAAGTAAGGCTGGGACCGATATCGTAGGCGAAAGGTCGCCGAGATAGGTATGAAGATGTTCAATTTCGAAAAACAAACGACACCACTACTGCTACTACTAAAACCCAAGACAAGACGTAACAAAGAACGAAAAAAATCCAAACGATAGCGATAGGGACAAAGAGTGCAAATTGCGACTGCTGCTTTTTACTCATCGCTGAAAAAGTCAATGATGGCCCTGATGGCCTTTGTCGACATGCCCCGCTTGGGGAAACAGATGAAGAGGTCCTCCTGCACTGCACCAAACTTCTTGCGGAACTCGCCCTTGTTGAGCAAGCGGAGTGACTTGACGAGCTGCTCGTACGTCGTCGAGAGCGCCTTGGCCTTGACACCCTTGATGCCTCGCTGGGCCTTGAGGTGCGCCACAGCCGATGCGCCAAAGGTGTGCGACGACTGGGGCGAATCGGCGATGGATTCCATGACGGCGTACTCGATGGCACCCGAAGGTGCGCCAGGGAAGTCGAGAGCCCACTTGATCTGGTAGCCCGACGCAGCCGAAAGTTGGGCGAGTACAACGACAGCAGTCACCTCTCCGTGGGCATCCTTGACGATCGTGTAGCTGCGGTGCTCTGCGTCACGGAACAGGTTGACCTCGGTCAAATGCACCTGCTTGCCCTTTCGGTGGTTCTTCCACGCCTCCACCTTGGCATCGAGCTGCTTTTTGACGTCGTCGGGCAGCGCCTTTCCCACCTTGAAGGTGCTCGAGGACAGGCCCTCCTTCTTGGCCTGGCGAAGCTTGCGTTCCAGGTCTTCGGCGATGGCGGCGTGGTCCTTGTCAGAGGCGGCGGCAGCGGCGGCGGCATTGTGGCGACGCTCGATGGCGGGCGGCACCCTAGACTCAGCCACGCACGTCAATGAGCTCCAGTTCATGCCCTGACCCAGCACAAACTCCATGCGATCCGAGACCAAGAGCCAGAGGGGCTTGAGTGGGCCGCCGTCACCCTTGTGCGCCGCGGGATCAGCGAGCCAATCGAGGAAGGCCTTGGAGACCTTTGCAAATTGCGTTGCGTCACAGAGCGGATCGCCCACCACGACGGCGTATCCGTGCAGAGCGACGTAGCCAATGGCTGCACCGCATTCCTCGTCGCGCCAGATCTTGAAACGGTCGTCGAGCCAGGATGTGTTGGTGGAGTTGCCGTAGTTTGCAATGAGCTTCTCCAGCGGCTGCATTTGCGCCTTGTCCTCCACGTCCGTCTGATCCTTGCTCTTCCACGGCGGAGGATTGGTGCCGGCTTCTGGGTGGCGAAGCTCCTGCGACGTCTTGTCCGAGCGAAGCGACTTGGGGTCGCGGGGGAACAACGACGCGTTTCGGATGTCGTCGAGCCCGAGGAAGAGCATGACGAAGCGCTCGAGGCCAATGCCGCATCCTGCATGCGCGGGTGCGGCCAGCTTGAAGCTGTCGACATACTCTTGTACCCCCTTGATATCCACTCCCTGCTTCTTGAGGGCCGCAATGAGCTCTTCGGCCTGGTGCACGCGCTGGCTCCCGCTGATGATTTCTTGGCCGCGGACAAAGATGTCGAAGGAGTTGCTGGCATTCCTCGTCGAGCCTGGCGCAGGCATGGTGTAGAAGGGCCGGACAGAGGCAGGGAACTTGTCGAGGATGTAGTAGTCTGTCCCATACTTTTCCTTGACCAGGGCACCCAGGCGCATCTCTGCTCGCGTAGAGAGATCTTCGTTGGGCGATGGCACCACGTTTCCCTCATCGCGGTAGCCCGAGTCGACGAGCATCTGGATTCCCTCTGCGTAGTCGAGGACGGGCGTCTGGTCAAGCCAGACGAGGGGCTTCTGGCCAAACGACTTGAGGACCAGCTCCACCTCCTTGGGGTATCGGCGGTTGATGTAGGTAAACATCGACTTGAGCATCTCGTCAATAATGTCCATGGCCTCGTGGTAGTCCTGCCGGGGACCCAGGGCCATCTCGAGATCCAGACCAGTGTACTCTGTTAGATGGCGGTGCGTGTTGGAGTTCTCTGCTCGGAAGACTGGTCCAATCTCAAAGACTCTGTTGAAGTCGGCCACGATGCACATCTGCTTCATCAGCTGCGGACTCTGGGCGAGGAAGGCCGATCGTCCAAAGTAGTCGACGGGAAAGACGGAAGCGCCGCTCTCGGATGCGCCTCCTAGGAGCTTGGGCGTGTGAATCTCGATGAAGTCGTGGTCATCGAGGAAGTTTCGGAAGGCACGGCAGGTAGCAGACTGGACACGGAAGATGGCCTGGCTGTAGGGCGTGCGAAGGTCCAAGACCCGGTTTGACATGCGCATTGCCAGCGCCAGCCGATTCGATCGGCGTTCCAAGGCTGAGTCGTCATTTGCATCGGCTTCGCTAGCCGCAGACGAGGACGGTACGTTGACATGGTCCACCTCTGACTCGAGCGAGGCAAGCGTCGAAGTGCGCATCATGTCGACTTCCTTGTTGGCCGCAAGGCTTGCACCATCGACGGTCGGCTCCGCATCGTCGTCATCGTCTGCCTTTGTTGACTCGGCGGGCGTCTCGACGGGCGTCTCGGCGGGAGTCGAAGGCGAAGTGGACGAGCTCGTCTTTGGGTGGTGAGCAGCCAGTTTGCTGTCCATGTTGCCCACCGTCGAAGCCCGATAGGGTGTGAAGGGCAGCTCGACTGTCGGCTCGTTGACGACAAAGATCTCTTCGATCTTGATCTCGATGTTCTCGTACGACGTGCTTCGCAGTGGCTCGCTGGGCTTCTGCAGCTCGCCGCGGATGACGACGTCGGACTCGAACGGCAGGTGCTCGGCCCAACGGACCATGTGTCGCGTCACATTGTCGCCGTCGGAGTGCAGCACGGCCTGGACGGTGGTGACCTGCCTGCGGAGGACGATGAATGCGAGCTTGGCGCTGATGGCTCGGACGGCGTGGACGCGGGCCCTCGTCGCAATCTTGTGTCCGATGAGCTCCTCCTTGAGGTCGTCGAGCGGGAGAATGTTCTCCCAGTCCTCATCCTTGAGCTTGAGCCGGAGTGGGGCAGACCCATAATGGGACCGCTGCTCCCTCGTCTCGACCTGTTCGGCACGAAGATCGGACTCGAGCCGGCGGAGCCGCAACTCGCGCTCCTGCTCCTTTGCCAGCCGGGCCCGCTCCTCGCGCTGCACCGTCTTTGAGCTGCCGCCGTCGTGCGAGTTGTGTGCGGGATGAACCTTGATCCTCTGTGTTCCGTCCGTGGCCGTGTCATCCGACGTGCTCGCCTGCCTCGAGGGCGATCTGGACCCCAGGGTCCCCGAATTGGACCTGGCCAGGTTGAAGATGCCCGAGAAGCGGAACTTCTTCTTGTCGTCGACATGCCGCGCCTTCTTGTCCTCGTCCGCCATCTTTGCTGACAGAGTTGCGACAAGTGCTGGTGATTATCGTGGTGGTGGTGATTGGGTGAGGTTGCAGTTGCGCGGCAGAGGCAGGTTGTCTTGTCTCAGCAAGAATTTAAGCGCCCTCGCTTTCCGAGCCCGGTGACCTTCAGCCTTTCCCGAAGCGAGAGCCTCTTAAAAATGCTAAATTGCGCGGAAATAGGTGCCCACGGAAACCACGCGCCGGAAGCGTCTATGTCAAACACTTGTCCAACAACTTTTGAGATAGAAGATGACAGCCACAATTGTTAAATCTCAGATTCGGATTAAGCGCTCTTCCCTCCGCGGCCAGGGCTAGCCGCGCTCTCTGTCCCATGATGTTCATCCGAGGTCTCTCATCAGAAGCAAGTTTGAATCTTCTACAAATTTCATTCTACCAGTGACATTGACGAATCGAACCTGAACTCAACGGTACCTGTGAATCTCTTCCTTCTCACGGCCGCGCATCCAGTCGGGCTCCGTGCCCTTGTAGCTAAGGTTGGTAGGGCAACGTTGACGTCAGTGTCTCGCGCGAATTGACAACCGGTGCATCTGGCTCGGCAACTTACTAGATGTCTGTCCACAAGTCCTTGACTGCCGGCTCTGGGCTCTGCTTGGCCTCTTCGACGGCCTGGTCGACTTCCTCCTTGGCAGCCTTGTCAATCTTCTTGAGCGAGCCCTCGTCAGTGACGCTCCACTCGAGGATCTTCGTCTTGAGACCCTGGATCGGGTCCGAGCTGCTTCGCATTGAGGCAATCTCGTCACGAGTTCGGTACGTCGTTCCCGGGTCACTGTGGGTTGAAGTCACGTTAAGATGAGAATCAAACCAGATGAGTCAAAGATCTTGATAAGCAACTCACGAGAGCGAGTGACCGCCGTAGCGGTAGGTGACCATCTCAAGGATGAGAGGGCCGTTGCCAGCGAGTGTGTACTTGCTGGCCCACTCGGTAGCCTGGTGGACAGCGAGGACATCCATGCCGTTTACCTGTTGCGAGTCGAATCAGCAAAGACATAATCCTATCCCAGACCTTGGTTTTAACAAACACTCACCTGGAGACCGGGGATCACATCACCCCTGGTGAAGTACTTTGTGTTCATGCTGCTCCTTTCGGCGCTCGTGCCCATGCCATACTTGTTGTTCTCGCACACAAAGACGCAGGGCAGGTTCCAGAGCTTGGCCATGTTGAATGCCTCAAATACCTGTCCCTGGTTGGACGCGCCATCACCGTACATGCTGAAGACTGCGTCTTGTGTGTTCATGTACTGCTGTGCAAACGCGATACCGGCTCCCACGGGCACCTGAGCACCGACGATGCCGTTTCCTCCAAAGAAGGTAGGCGTGAACATGTGCATAGAGCCACCCTTGCCCTTAGAGATACCAGCCTCGCGACCGAAGAGCTCGGCAATGACGCTCTTGATCGTGCCTCCGCGCTGGACCGTGTACGGGTGGCACCGGTAGGCGGTGATGAGCTTATCCGAGGGCTTCATTCCGCTCTCCATACCAACGGCGACGGCTTCCTGTAGTGAGGAGACTTAAAATTAGAGGGAGGAAACACGCCTCGCCGCCATAATGGAGCGTGACGCACCTGTCCGATAGCCAAGTGGCAGAAACCACGGATGAGCTTCTGCTTGTAGAGCTGATCGGCGGCCATCTCCATCCTCCTCATCTTGACCATCTCTTCGTAGAGCTTGACAAGGTGCTCCTTGGACGTCTCGACCTCGAGCGAGGGCAACTGGTCTTCCGACAGCAGGTGTGCCTTGAACGACTCGGGCGACAGCTGCGTAGTGAAAGTCTCGGTGGGCTTGATGTCATGGATCGAAGTGGGCGACGCCAGACTTGTAGAGTCGGCCGTCATATGGACAAAACGAGCGGCCGAAGGAAGGGCCGATCGTGAGAGGACGGCGCCCTGTCATGGACCGTCTGTCAGCTTCCTCTGCTTGCCCTTCTCTTCAGGATTAACCGCGATGCTCACCCTCGAGGCGCCAGCGACGGGACGAAGGACAGCCTTGGCAAACGAAGCCATTGTCGAGACGGCGGTGGTCGGTGGTTTGGGAAGACGGTGCCCAGCAGCTGCAGAAGGGCGCGCAAAGAAATCTTGAGCGGTGGGCGAATGCTTCAGTTGGGACACGAGACACGTGGGTGAAACGCACGTGAGCGAATGAGCTTAAACGACGCGCTTTTTGGTGAGAGCAACACCAAATTGGCCCGCGTCAGACGTTGGCGAACAGGCTCGGAGGAGAGAGCAAGATGGAGCCGACGCCGCTCGACAATCTCATCCGGACATTTTCAAAACTGACTGCGAATCCATCCGTCGATCGAGCTCAGGTCAGAGGAGTAGCCGAAAAGATCGAAGAAAGGGCCAATCGGCAGGGTCTGACAGACGGACAGGCGCGTAGCATCCTCGGCCTGTGCTTGCGCGGCACCCACGGTCGGAAACCGTTGCGTTCTTCGCTGGCCTCGAAGCTCATTCAGGCAGTGAAGCCCGCCCGTGACACAACGTTTGGGCCGGACACTGTCTTAAGTGTCGTCGGCGCTCTGCGGGGGGCGGATAAAGGCGGGGCTGGTTTCAGTGCCGCTACTAGGAGAGACGACGGGTCCGACGAAGAGAGCAACTCAGACATCGACAGGAAAGACGAGAGCGTTGGGTCCAAGCGTGGCAGAGTGCGCGTCGATGTCAGTGTTCAAGCGCAAGCCTTGAAGCTCCTCGTGCTTCTCCTGGCGCCAGTCCCGCTCAATAGTGTTCGTCTAGAACTTCACGAGGACCAAGGCCAGACCGACAACGGAGGCAGCTCAACCGAGCAGGCCCAGCTCCCTTCCAGCTTTTTGAGCGCGGCGGCTCGTCACGCTTTACTTCGAAGCTACGGTGTCCTGTTCCATTTCCTTGAGTACGAGGAGCTGCGACCCTACCTCTGTCACCTTCTCTGTCACCTAACTCGACGCAAGCATGTCAAATCATACCGTATCAACAAACTCTTGACCCTGAGGAACGACACCAGCTCCGAGTCGCACGTATCAGCACTTCTTTCCATCTACGCAAACTTCTACCCAGACTTTCTCGCATCGGACCGGTCACAAGCCTCGATGTCGGCGCGCCTTGTGGGGATGGGACTCGTGGGAGCAGGGGCGACGGGGCTACGATACCCAAGCCCTCACTGGTTGGTACAGGTCAATGATATCTGGGTCCGTCCACAAAGACATCCAGATGACGATGAGTCGTCACAAGTGACGAGCGATCGACCCCCGAAGAAAGCTCGTCGAGGCAGAAGAGCCGCACCTGCGCCCAGCAACGCCCTTGCCAGCTCCCACGTACCTCCGCCAGCAATGCTTGGAGCGCCAGAGGGCTCATGCCTTGTGACCGAGGTGGCTTCGCCTCGCAGCCTTGGTCTTGCTCTTGACCGCATCGAGCTGCCGGCTCAGCTGGCAGCGGCCTTGGGCCATCATATTACCACCCTCGCCGTCCTCTGCCAGGGTGACACATTGGCCTACCACGTCGAGCGCATCCTTGACTGGACCAAGAGCGTTCTGTCCGAGGAGCTCAACCTATCGTCGCTCGCCCGTAGTCACCAGCGTATTCATTGCATCCAGAGGCCGCCGAGCTCTCACCGCAAGGTCGCTGCCATTTTGCACGCGCTCCACGACCTCTTCGACAACATTGGATCGACGACCTCTGACTTTGCCCGATGGCTTGCAAGGAACGTCCTGCAGAAAGACCAAGTCTGGCAAGGCCTCGACCAGGAAGAGAAGAGGCAGGTCTGTGGGTTGTTGGAGCTCATGCCCCCCAAAGAATGGCAAGGCAGGTATTCGGTCATGAAGTTGCCTCATAGCATCGTGAGCTGATCAGATTGTTTCTCATGTAGCGCTTCACATCGACTTCTTCGTTCCTCTAGCCAAGCATGCACGCAGGGCGAGTGCCTCAACCTCATCTCTGGGAGGTCGAGAAGCATGCCTGATCATCGAGACACTCTCCAATCTCTTGTCACGATGGGCTCGTAAAGACTGGGCGTCGACAATCGCCATCTTGGAGCGCGGTATGATGGCGTGAGTTGCATTGAAGGCCTCATTAAGACCTCTCTGGCTCACTTAAATGTGGTCTCCCAGCCACTATGGCATGGACGAGCTCTCCAACCAGGTTGACTACATCGCCACAGTGAGCGAGGCCGTTGCCTTTGCTCACGACCTGGCTTCATCTGCAGTGGCTGTAAGTATCGTGAACTCATTCACAACCGTGCAAATGCTGATCGTTCGCTCAGTCGCATCCTTCTCGGGTGTTGGTGCAACACGCGGCACTAACACTGTACGAGTCGACTTCGGCAGAGTCATTGGCTTGCCTCCATCGCAACACTGTACCCTCGCCAAAGGTTCTCCTGCTTCTCTCGCTCTCTCCGTACACAGGAATCTTTGCCCTTTCTGGTGTGTGCGCAATTGTTCAGCAGCTTCGAAAGCAGTTTCAGCACGATGGAGAGGAGGATGAAGACGAGGCGCGGCCCGAACGAGTCAAAGAGGCGAGACTGCAATATTTCGATGAGCATCACAAATTCGCACTCAATTCCATCGTTGTCTTGTTGGCCGACCTGGTCTGGCGTCAGAAGGCCTTCCTCAACCTCGAGGATGAGACTGGAAACGAGGCCGATATTGGCATGCCAATGTGGGTCCCCCTTCATTCCTTGGTCGAGCATTTAAAAGAGCGCTAAACACATTGTCCGAGCAGAGATGTCCTCAGACGCTTCAGGGACCGTTGCGAGAGCAGAGGCGAGAGCCTAGGACATATGGCTGCGCTCACCCGCGGTGCCACTCTTGCCGCCCTGGCCGAGGTCTTTGCCAATGAGACGGCCAAGCACAACGGTGCAAGGCAGCCGATTGTGCAGGGAGCCACAACCTCGTTCGTCCTCGCCGATGCTCGCAGGGTGAGTATGTAGATTCATAGGCAGCGGCGAGTGTGCTGACAAAACCTCTCTGCAGCGGGGCTTTCCGCCGACGATCTTGTATGCGGAATTTCGGACCTCGTTTCTGCGATGGCTAGGCACAAAAAAGGGCGCCAGGGGCATCGATGCGCTCTTGTCCGACACGATGCGTTCGCTCCGACCTCATGCAAGCCCCCGAGGCACAAGCCAGCAGGCAACTGACGCTGCCATATCAATCTAGCCCTATCAGCACCTACTTTCCATTCTAGCAACGTTCGTCAATGTACAATAAACAAAAGATTCCCAGCGCTAAGAAGGGTCGACCAGGAAAAACGACATGGCGTGTTTGGCGGTCTCGGATTATTTCTTCTTCGCGCGCGGTGCCGACGCTAATGTGAACACCCTCGCCGCTGCAGAACGAATCTCGAGAGAGACCCTGTCCGACGAGGAGCGGGCTTCGGGGATCGGAAGCAGACCGGAGAGATTAGATGACGGTGCGATGCTGGTCGCAGCGGCATTCGCGGGGCTCGTCCAGGCTCATGTAACCATTGCTATCATCATAGATGTTGGTGAATGGACCCTTGCGGCTTCTCTGAGATTGCTTCAAGTAGAAGAGGCAGAGGCAGGTACCACACTGCGACTCCAAGCTTCTCCTCAACGACGCCACAGTTTTTTCTCTCTTCTTGCCCAACATCGTAGCTGGACTACTACTACTCTACCACTGCCTCTTCTCCTTCCTGCCTCTTTAGCAACTACGAACCTCCTAGCGAGACTTTGGCTGGCGGCACGATGATGTCTCTGATTGACGGTACAGCTTTCCAACGCGCCCTCACGGTGGCTGTGTTGTTCATTGTCATCTTCTCTGCTTACGGTGAGAAGGATGATCTCTTTCTATTCAACACTGCTAGCTATTGACGCCTGCTTCTTGCGCTCGAAAATCAGCCTCGGCCGCGCCGAGCCCAGCGATCACGGCGTCGACGCTCATGTCGAGAATGGAGCCTGAGAAGCGTGCCGAGCTCATGGCGCGGGCATGTGACGCAAACAACAATCTGACGACGGCGCTCAACAATCTTCTGACCAACGTAAGTGGTTCCATAAGCGGTGCCGCCTTTTAGCAATGACTGCTGAGAATGGACGTTACTTGGCTACAGATCATCCCACAGCTTGGACCGACGCTGGATGGGCTCAATGGGTCAGCCAACTCGCTCGGACAAGCCATTCCGATCCTGGGAGAGCTTATCAGCTTCCTCAATATGGCTTGCCTCGGGACAGGCATCTAGGAGAAGAGGATGTGACAGTATATAAGAGCGACAAATTCCACCTCCTTTGCTTGCCTGGCGCAAGTAAAGTTTCGGATTCGATGAGCGGGCCTGCATTCCTCTCGATCATGTAGGCTGCAGAAAGAATGAATAAATTATCACGTTACGTTGAGAGCTCGCCCAGTCAATGGAAACGCAAGATCTGAGCGGAGAGGGAAACGATGAAGTCGGGAGAAGGCCGGGGAGGATGCTTGCACTGTTTGCCTGCCGGGTTTCGGCCTGTCATGAAAGATGACGGTTTCCTGTGTGCTTTTCCGCGGAGCATTTCAGATTTTTGATCCGGGTGCGACGCGTAGGGGGAGCGAGGGGGCCTCGCACGGTCGATTTACGCTTTCGGTCAGCCGCGATTCGGGACCCCACTGAACCTTGGCATATACAGTAGTAGGACGGAATCGGTGCGCGTCCCTTCGTCCTCATTGGCATCCGCCATCCCAACGCCCCACTGCTCGATCTCCAATCCACGTCTGTGCGCCCATCCTGTCGCTGCTCAAGGCTTTCTCGCGTCGACAGTCGCGGCCTGGCTCGTCGGCGTCATCGACGGGAACGTTGTCTCGCGGCCCTCGACAAAAGTCAACCATGGCCACGCCCGAGGCGGCGGCCGCCAAGCTACCCACATCGAGTGACCAGGCAGCTCCGACTCTTTCTCTCGATCCTCTCGTCGTGCCCAATACTGAGGCGGCACCAACACAGCAGGACGGACAGGCAAGTCGGGACTACTTCCTGCAAACCTTTGGACAGACGAGCCCTACGGACCTAGGCAAGGGCCATCCACCCAACGGCGCCCCACAGGAGCAGCCTTCATCTGGTGTCAATGGTAATGGCGTAGTCCATGGCCACGACAAAGACAACAGCAATGGCAACGGCAACAGCAACAGCAACAGCAACAGCAACAGCAACAGCAACAGCATCAGCCGAGAGGGAGGCAAAGACTTCCCTTCGTCCCCTCGACCAAGGCACGGATCGACGAGCTCCAGGGCAGGATCCATCTCCAGGAAATATGGCAGGACCGTGTCGACGATCAGCACGCAGCGCACCCGCCTGGAAAAGGGTACCATCGATATGTCGCAGGCCATCATCGTTGCTCCTCCCGACGATCCCCGTCCAAAGGCCGAATTCCACGTCAGATCGGGCGACAACACGGGTGAGTAGCCAATGTATGCACTTTCTACCGGGGCCTGAAGCTTAATGTATGCGGATGGGAGCCACAGTCTTTGCCGTACACAAGGCCAACATCACGACCAACAGTTGCGTGTTCCGCGACGTGCTGCACCAGCACGATGCAGCGGCAGAGTCGAGGGTGGGCGTGGGTGGAGAGCCGAGGGCAAAGGAGGAAGGCATGAGGCTTGAGGAGCGGGCTAGCATCGTTGAGCCTCTGCTCCAGTGCCTTTACCCCATTCCCGTTGCGAACATCAAGGAAGAGTGAGTGCTGCGCAAGCTAGACCGACTTCTGGCCTCGTCCTGACTCGTGGGCGTGACAGGGACCTGTTTGACTTTCTTGCCGCCTCGTCAAAGTACGGCATCCAGCGCGGCATCGAGCTGTCGCTCGCCTGGATTGCCATTGGCCTGCATGCTCGCATCTCACAGGGCGGCAGCACCTCGCTCGGCTACTGGAAGAACCTCGAGAAGAAGAACTTGCTCCAGTTCTGGCTCGCCCACAGCGAACACGTCGTCTCCCAACCCATCTCGCAGCTCGTCCAAGGCGCCTTTGAGGAGGCCCTCATACCCTGGTGCCACCACTTTGATATCCCCACGGGCCCCATTGCGCTCTCAGACATGCTGTCCGAAGCGCAGTACAGGAGGCTCAACTTTGAAGACTATGCCAAGCTCGAGCGGACGGTCCGGGAGCTGGAGAAGCGCAGAGAGAGCCTTGCCGTGGGCACGACGTCCTGATTATTTATATACTCCTATCTCCATTAGCAAGCTGCTCCCCTCTGCCTTATCTTTGCCCGTGGTCGATGCTGGACGGGCAAGAGCATGAACTCGCCAATCGATCCCCCTGCCTTTTTGAGAAAAAGTTTCACATCACACAGCAGTACAGGTGCGAAGGGTCCGAGCAGCGTTTGATTCTGCCACCGGGAAGCTTGTGGGTGCGTGCGTGCGTTTGTGCGTGCACCAGGAGGAGCATGAAGGGAACGGAACTAAAACCAAGACCAAAAATTCGAGAGCAGTGGCCAGGGCCCGTGCGAAGTGACGTGCATCTATCATCAGAGCAAGAGTGGTCTGGAGTTCAAGAACCAGCTTTCCACCCTGATTACCAGCGTCCGGCTCCCTCGCGACTCAGCTCCCTTCTGGCCCCCGCGCCGTCCATCGATTAATAGCGGTGGGAAGTAGGAGCCGTCTGATTCCGAGCCTGTACCAAATTTATATGGAGGGAGGGACGAGAAAGGGCGACGAATCCGATTGGCAATGCAGGACACCTGCCGACTGTCACTCTCTCTTTCTTCTGATCTCTCGTCCTCCTCGTCTCCTGTTACGCTAGAGAGCCGTACTGCAGTTGCAGCAGTGCCCTGAGTACCAGTCTACTCGCTATGTCCGCCACCTCGCAAGGCGAACATCAGCAATTCGGCGACATTGACTACTCCAGCTCCGACCCTGCACTGCGATACATGCGCTCTGGCGTCCGACGCGGCACAGGTCCCCGGCCCATGATGCGCCCCGTCCGAATCTTTCATGCGGCTCCTTCGTGGGTGTATGCCTTTCTGTTTCGCCTCTTCTCGCTCGTCTCTCTCTTGCTTGAGCGCACACTCTCCCAGCTCCACTCGCTCGTCCACCAGACGGCCCGCATCGCCAAGCCGACCGTCGGCGAAGCGGACCATGCGACGGCGTCCAAGCAGCAGAAGCAGAGGGCCTGGTGGAACGTGCGCAAGGGCAGCGCAATCGTCCTCTGGTCCTCGCCCTCGTGCATGTCCAGCGTCGCTGGCGAGCTCTCGACGTGGGACCTCGTCCACCGCCTCGCCCTTGCCCTCGCCTCGATCGAGAAGCGCGCCGAGGGCGCAGGACGGGCGCCCTACACCGTCATTGTCGTCGTGCCCTCTGCCCAGCGTGGCCTCGCCCCGCTCATCTCCGACTGGGCAAAGACAAAGGCCGACATTGAGATGATGCGCAAGGGGAACACTTCGCCGCCCTCGGGTCCCGCCACGTCGGCGCGCAGCAAGTCGGGCTGGTTCCTGCGCTTCCTGGGCGAGGCCGACGATGCGAGCCCAGAGAGGAGCTCTGAGTCCCCATTGTCGGCCGCTGTAGATGTGGAACCACCAGCAGAGGAGAAAGGGAGGCCGCGGAGAGAAAGTGCTGCATCGAGCAGCAACGCAAGCAGCAGCAGCAGCAGCGGGTCAAAGACGCCCAAGAAGCAGCGACGGCCCAGTGGGGGACGATGGACCGCGTCGGACGTCGTGGGGCTTGGCATGGACATGCTCAAGGGCCTCCGGGTCGGCCAGGATCTCTTTGACGATGCCAACTTCGGTGGCGGCGGGTTCGGTGGCAGAGGAGACGCACGACAGAATCAGAGGACAACATCGAGAATCGGCGCAGTGATCCCCGTCGTGGCCGACACCTCGACTGCGGTAGGTCTGGCACACGCCCGCTCGACGATCCAGGCCTACTGCACCTCACACGATCTCCTTTTGCGCGGCCTCGTTGTTGTTCCATTCGTCATGGGCCCTCCGTCCCAGAGCATTGCCGTGACACACGGTGACGAGGCAGCAGCAGCAGCCGGCGATGCCGCCGCTGACGCCTCGGCAGGCACTTCTCCATCGACGTCAAACCTGCCCACACCGAAATTTGGGAGCAATTGGAGCAGCCAACTTGCCTCGGGGCTCAGTCCAATGACGAAGACAAGGACAACGGCGAGTTTGAGCAGAGCTTCAGTCCGGCGCACAAAACAGGCGCTCGACTCGGACGTCGTGGAGACGCTCAACATGATCAGTGCCCTCCTCCCTGCTCTCGTCAGCGACGGCGGCCGCGTCATTGGCCTCATGCCGACTCGCTGGAACGTCGTGCCCGACGAGAGTCTCGAGGGTGTGTCCGATCAATCAGGCACCCGAGAAGACGACGAAGTCTTGGACGCAGGAATGGCCTACCAAGTGGCCCACAATGCCCTCACGGCAATGTGGCAGAGCATCTCGGTCGAGCTCACGGCAATGGGTCTTCGATCTTGCCAAGTCCACATGGCCCCAATCCGCCGACGATGTCGCAGATCGATCGACGTGCACAGCGAGCTCAAGCACGGCGAGGGCCTGACGGGCCACTTTGTCCGTTGGCTGGCAAAGCGCTTCGCAACGACGTGCTTTGCCCTGCTCCATCCCACACTCGTCGAGGGAGACGCGATGGCTCACCCCCTTGGAGACACAAAAGAGGACTCGTTTGACAAGACTCGGAAGCGGACACAGAAGGGGACCTTCTCGACTCTCTTTTCGACGCAGCCCCTCGATAGCTCAACATGCCCACCACTCCTCATCGATGCTATCCGGTCGTCGCTCGTGAGGAGCTGCCCCAGGGAAAAGTACTGCGTGGGACTCGGTCCGAGGATGCAGGAGGCCATCCTCTACCTGACTCCGCCGGTCTTTAGGAACTTGGCAAGTCGCGTCGTGCTCAACCGCTTCCTGACCTCTTGACCTCTTGGCCTTGTGGTGTCGATAGGTAGTGTAGGACAGGGGTGGTGCAGATATGCTCACATAGATTGACGATACCTTAAGCCCTTGGCGCCTTGGACATATTTAGTACTAGTGCAAGATTCTTCGCAAGTCTGTGAATAAAATTCGATAGAGGTATTGCAACTACTCCAAGTGAGAATCGTTGAGGGCACATGCGCACACGGCCTTGTTGTGGCCATTGTACTGCCTCACTGTCTCGCCCGAGCTGAGCTCCCACAGCCGGGCGACGTGATCTGACGACGCCGTGACGAGGTAGGCGGAATCTGCCGAGAAGGCGGCATCCCACACCCACCGCTGGTGGCCGACCAGTGTCTTTTCGAGCGCAAATTCGTACCGAGACGTGCTCCAGATCTTGACAGTCGTGTCGGCTGAGCATGTCGCGAGGTGTCTGCGGTGTGGTTAATCAACAATGTGGCTTTGTTAGCGAGAATATCCAGGGGAAAGGGGGCTAAGTGGCGGCGCGAGAAGCTGTGCTCACCGTACGTCTGGGCTCAGCAAGCATCGTGTAATGTACCGGTCGTGCGCTTCAAACTTGGTCACGGGCTTGATCGTGGTATAGTCGGACGAGGATGGATTGCCTTGTCCTACGCCAGGCGAGGTGGGACCCGTCTGGTCCTGCTTTGAAGGGTCTCCTAGCGAAGGCGTGCCTGGACCTGCTCCATCGTCAATGAGATTCCCGTCATCGTCGTACGCTCCGTTCTGGATGCGCCAGACGTACACAGATCCCTTGGAGTGGAGGCGTGTCAGCACAGCAGCTTGCTTCGTATGGGCAAGGGTGTGACTCACCTTGTTGTTGCCTGCGACGAGACACGAGCCATCCGACGCCACTGTGACCGATCTCATCGGAAGATCGGGTACGGGCACGAGCTCGTGGCTGCACTTGTTGACCGACAGGTCCCAAACTTTTACCGCGCCTGCTTGATCACACGAGATGAGCTCGCCCTGATTTGGATGAACAACGACATCGTTGACCGGCGCCGAGTGGTCGTAGATGCGCTGCGCCCTGCTCGTCCGCGTGTCCCAGATCTTTAGTGTGCCATCCTCCGAGCCAGTCACGAGCCACTTGGCATCGCAGTGCCATGCAATGGCTGTCACGTTGCCGTGGTGGCCGTCGAGCGTCGCGATGGGGTTTCCACCATGCCCGTGTGCGGCTGCCGTCGCTGCTGCCGCTGCCCCCGCCGTGCCCGCCCCCGGCACAGTGCCTGCCCCCATTCCTCCCTGCGAGCAGTCATACAGCCTGACATGCGTGTTGGCTGCCGCCGCCAAGAAGCGCTTGTCTGGTGAGATTGAGAGCCGGTTCACCTGCGAGTCCGGATGTTGCACCGTCCGCGAACACACGCCAGACCACGCCTCCCAGAACCGGATCGTATGGTCGTAGCCTGCCGTCACGAGGATGACGGAGAGGGTATCTTGCGCCGCTGCTGCAGCCGCTGCCGCTGCCGCTTGAGCCTGCGCCGTCGCTGGGTCCATTTGTTGTGGGGGTATTTGCTGCTGAGCCACCTGCTGTCGCGATGTGGACGCATCGGTCCGTACGCCTGCTCCGGACGGTGGTACATGGGCCGGCGCCCGTGTGACTGCTGGCGGGACCATTGTGCCCAAGATCTCAATCCGCTTGCCTGCTGCGAAGTCACTGCTGCCTGAAGCTGCTGCGAAGGAGTACTGTCGCTCGAGGGTGGACCAAGCGCCAAATTTCCAGACACGTGGCTCGTCAACTTTTTTTTTTCTCTCGCCCTCCCTTCGAACAAGAAAATCGCGAAGAGCTTCTTCGTCGTCGTCGTCGTCGTTGCCAAGTGAGACAGCAAGTAAAAATCGGCAGCATGTCGTACGGCAGAATAACGGCAGGCCGGAGGCTGTCGCAGTGCGCATCGTCGAGGAGTCTCGCGAGGCCTTCCTTGGCTGTGACGCCGCCGCTGCCAAGACGACAAGAGACCGAGGGGAAAAGAGGAGGAGGAGGAGGAAGCAGTAGACTGACGTTCAGCACGTCAAGCGTGGTCCAACAAGTGGCGGAACCGTCCGATGCGCCCCGAGGGCGCCTGCCTCCGCTTGCAAGAATCGATGAGAGCCTGTACTCTGCTGTACGCCCGCAGCCTCTGAGCGCCCTCTCTGCGCTCGCCTCTCGATTGCGACTGATCCCACTCGAGGCCGACGAAGCGACGAGGAAGAGGCGCCTCGAGCTTCTTGTGCAGGCGTGCACCCACCCGAGCTTCGGCAAGATGGTGCAGAAGGCACAAGAACAGCATGGAGACGACTTTATGGAACTGTTGCGGGTGGAGAAGGGGAGCTCCTCGCCTTCAGAGGGCGAGGGTAAGGGCAAGGACGAGGGCGCAAGTGAGGGCGCAGCGAAGGTGCGGGAGGAAGAGGCTATCGAGCAGAAGACACCATTCGAGAGGCAGCTCGTCGCATATCCAGCAAACCTCGACAATGCATCACTTAGCACCGTCGGCAATTCGTTGTTGGGCATGGTTGCAGCCGAGCACCTTCATCTTCGATTTCCGAACCTGCCGACTCGAGTCCTCAAGGCCGCGGTATCGGCTCACGTCGGACCCAACACGCTAGCCGATGTCGCTACAGAGCTGGGGCTCGGCGGCCAGGGGATCCTGCGGTGGGACCGAAAGGCACGCACAGCGGCGGTGCAGGAGGACGAGAACGGCAAACGATTCATGGTGATTGAGAAGCAGCAGAAGCTCATGTCGAGGGACGTCATGGCCGAATCGATGCGAAGCATCGTCGCAGTCATCTTCCAGGAGCAAGGTCTCGAAGTGGCTCGGTCCTTTGTCCGGAATCACTTCCTGACGAGGCTCGTCCCACTGGCCCCCTTGCTCAAGTTCAGCGACCCAAAGAAGACGTTGAGTGAAACGTGCAAAAAGTACGCTCGGGAACGACCCCAGTCGAGGTTGATTGCAGAAACGGGACGACTCAGTATCAATCCCATCTTCGTTGTGGGCGTCTGGAGTGGCCAGGACAAGCTGGGCGAGGGGACGGGAAGCCGAATCAAGATGGCCGAATACAGGGTGCGCACCATATAATCCACTGTCTCCTCACTCTAGCGCTCATTCAGCTGACGTCTTTGCTCCACACAGGCTGCCGAAGATGCCTTGCGGAGATTCTATCTGAGTGAGACGCCCGCGCACGAGCTTTCGCTGCCTTCGCAGACGCTCGACCGCGAGTTCAGCTCTCCGCTCGGCATTGACAAGCGAGGTGCACCGAAAGACGTCTGGAAGTTTGGCCAGCCAACGACTGCTGCATCGGAGGAGCCGTTCAGACCCAGCAGGATTGGGCATAGCGAAGTTGTCTTTGGCTCAAGGGGGTAGCAAAAAGCAGCATTGTAATTTCTGTCGAGCCAATAATCAAGGGTTACCGAGAGGGAACCGTAACTTCAAAATTGTCCGTTGTGCCTGCTGAGTGGACGCGCGCGTCCTGTATCGCGTGCGGCTGCCAAATGGCCGTGCGAGTTATTGGGATTTTCCATTGTCGTCCCTGAAGACCAAAAAAGGGCTCCCCTCACTCCTCCTTGGCGCTCCTCCTTTGTTGGACACCTATGAAGCATTGCCTCCTCAGCTTCGAGCCAGAGCGCGTGGACAAATCGGAGCGAGCAAGTGTGTGATTGCCATCTCACATGTCAGAGAGCGCAGAGTCAAAGGCCATAGCTTCACCTAACGACGTGGACAACCACCCTTCCTCCTCCTCGTCGACGACGAACATCCGGACGAGTGGCGACGCAGAGCGAACGAGGCAATCGTTTGACGGCGGCAACGGAGATTCATACGAGCTCAAGGCGGGAGGTGCAGGCAGAGGCGTCCTGCGCAGAGTCGCCGATCTCATTGTGCCGGGCAGTGTGCCGAGTACGGCAGGCGTAGGAGCAACGCTTGCAATGGGGCCCCTCAATGGATCAGTATCCGCCGGCAACGGGCGGGCTCATGCGTCGACTCAAGAAGGGGTCGAGGAAGAAGACGTGCAAGGGCAGGACGACCTGCTGGGAGAGGTGGGCAGCGGATATACCCCTTACCTGGGTCGACTGACGGCTGTCGCCTGCCTTGGCGGGCTCCAGTTCGGATGGGACACGGGGATAGCATCTGGTATGCTCGTCGCCATCCACCAGGACCTCGGGCATACCCTCTCGGCTGTCGAACAAGAGGTCATTGTCTCGGCCACCACTGTGGGCGCCATCATCGGCGCCCTCTCGGCGGGCCGGCTGAGCGACTGGATCGGCCGAAAGAGAGTCATGGTGATTGCTGGCATCTTCTTTGCGCTCGGCTCCGTCGAGCAGGCCGCTAGTCAAGTGGTCAGGGAGCTCGTCTTGGGAAGGGTCCTCGTTGGGCTCGGGGTCGGTGCCGCCTCGATGGTTGTGCCCACGTTCTTGGCAGAGTGAGCTACTTCCTCTGGGAGAGACGTCCTTTCCAGGCTGATGCAGTAGTGACAGATGTGCACCGACGTCGGTTCGAGGTCGCATCGTAGCGATCAACTCGCTCCTCATCACCGGTGGTCAAGTCATCGCATATGTCGTCGATGCTGCCTTTTATCACCTACCCCACGGCTGGAGATGGATGGTACTCGCTGGCGGAGTACCCGCTGTGGTTCAGCTCGTCGGCCTGGTCGTCTATCTTGATGAGTCCCCACGCTGGCTCGTATCAAAGGGTCGACATGTCGATGCGCGGCGGGTGCTTTCGAGAATCTACCCGATGGCTTCAGAAGATCAAGTCTCGAGACAGGTCGAGAAGATCGACTTGGCGATGCGCAGCGATGTGTCCCTTGCTCCTCTACCAAACACGACTGCGACGCTCAAATCGCAGCTGTCGGACGTCGTGAGAGACCCCACCAATCGAAAAGCGCTCATTCTCGCGTGCGGCCTTCAGGCTGGCCAACAGCTGACGGGCGCCAACTCGATCCTGTATTACTCCAGCCGTCTCCTGCTTCTCGCGGGCTTTCGAACGAATCCAAACTCAGCAGCGGTTGCTGTCGCCGTGGCCAACTTCATTGGAACGGCCTTGGCGATGCGCTTTGTCGATCGATGGGGCCGGAGAAGGCTCCTCTTGAGCGCCACAGCCGTGGCAGCAGTCTGCTTGGCTCTCCTCGCTCTGGCCCTCGGCATGATCGACACGGGAGATGTCGTCGACGATGCCCTCGATCAGGCTGCGGGGTTGGCCGCTGACGTGGGCAAGAGCGGCGGCCCTTGGCCCTACCTGTGTCTCTCCGCCATGGTCCTCTTCCTCTTCTTCTACGCGCTTGGTCTCGGAATTGTGCCGGTGAGCCACCTCCGTATCTTTGCTTGCTTGCCAGGATCATCAAGCTGACCATCTTTTACCCCCAGTGGCTCGTTCAATCGGAGATCTTTCCAGGTCCCGTTCGCGGAGTGAGTCTTAGAAAACTTAACCTGTGCCTATACATCCTTGCTCACTCGGTACAAATCTTTGCACTCAGATTGGCTCCGGCCTCGCTACGGCGACCAACTGGACTTGCAACCTCATCATTTCCGCGACGTACCTGGATCTCGTCAAGCGTGAGTTCAGTCCCTCTCCCTCCGCGGCGCTGCAATTGCTGAGCTCCTTTTCGGCGAAAGTGATCACGCCCGAGGGTTCCTTCTGGCTCTATTCAGTCATTGCAGTCCTCACATGGCTCTTTGCCTACTTTATGCTGCCCGAGATGACGAACGTGAGCCTCAACGACGTCCATGCCGCGCTCGACAGCCATCGGGCAGGCGGCGGCACAGCACAGGGCCCAGGAAACCAAGGGTACGAACCAGTGCTGGGCAGCGACAGTGAGGAGGAAGAGGAGGAGGAGGAGGAGGAGGAAAGAGGAGGCGCGGGCGATGAAGAAGAAGCATGGAGTGCTCGATGAGAGAGCCAAACAAATACATACGTCATTCTTGCATTATGTTACATTGGTGGGGTGCGAGCCTTGCTGTTCCCGAGCTCTCTCTCGTGCTTCGAGGATCCGTCGTTTGAGCTCTTGTTCCTTCTGCTCGTTCATACTCTCGCCTTTTCCTTCTTGGACTGCAAGGGCAGGCGAGGGAACAGTGTCCAGCTTGTAGGTGTCTCGCTCCTTTCTAAGCTTCTCCATTAGTCTCTTCCGTCTAGCATCTCCGTCCTCTCGTCTATATTTAGACACGGCGGAGATCTGCTGCTGCTGTTGCGTGCGTTCGATTTGCAACTTGTCGAGCAGCTTTGAGCGCTGCGTGCGAATCAGTTCCCTCGATGGGCCCGGGTCCTCTTCCCTATCTGGTTCATTCGGGTTCGGGTGGTCTTCGGTCTCGTCTTCCCTGTGACTCTCCGCGGCCTGGTCCTCTCCAAGACGAAGTAGTCTTTTCCTCTTTGAGCGCGCTCCTTCTTCCCTATTGGTGGGATAGGGATGATCTGCATTGGTCTCTGCTCGATGGCTGCGATCACCTCGGTCCCTCTTTCGTTCTCGCCCTCGCGCTCTCTCCCTGCTTCTCCTTCCCCAGACGCCTTGCCCATACTTGACCTCACGGTCCCACTCCCATATCCGTCTCCCACCGCCTCTCCCCACTCCCGTACAGAATCGCAAGAAGGAATAGAGCTCATGCACGAGAAGTCCTACGATGCCATCCTCGCCCTCGCTCAGCAGCTCAGACAGGAGTCGCACTGTCTGATCAGATCGCACATCGAGGTGCTGTAAGATGCTGAGCGTGTACGTCGTCAGAAAGTTGACGTCAAGGAGCGGGCCGCCGCTGCCTTCGTCGTCGTCGTGCTGGCCCTGGTGCAGGACGGAGCAGATGGCGAGGAACTCTCGGCGCAGAAAGTGGCGGAGCGAGGACTGCAGTTGGTTCGACTGCGAGATCTGCGCGGGGGTCGGCGGTGCACCGAGCTTGCTGAATCGGTTCGAGCCCATGTGCTGCACAAGACAAAGAGGAAGGTGTCACGTCAGCGGTCATAATGGCCTCAACAGGCAAGAAAAAAGGGCCTGATCTCAACTCACCAGCGAGAATAGGCCTTCGCGATACACTGTACGCCTCGTCTCGAGCTGCCTGTTCCACCGGCCCATCGCATCGTCCTCTTCGTTGCCCTCCTCGCCACCTCGTCGACCCGTCTTGGCGTCCCGTCTCGTATGCCGCATGGCCAGCTGCCTGCGCGCGCCCCTCGTCATCCTCAGCTCCTGCTCCTCCCTTATGCTCCTGGCCCACGTTGTGCCCGCCTCGTTGTCGTCGAGCTTCAAGGCAGAGGCGGAGGACCCGGCGAGGTAGAAGCGGAGGTAGTCCTCCTCGGACCGGATCTCATGGATCACGTAGCGGCCCACGTCGCGGGAGCACAGCGGACAACGACCATGGCCGGTGCGGAACCACTCGAGGATGCAGTCGAAGCAGAAGAGCGAGTGGGAGCATATCGGCAGCAGCGTACGATCCTGGATCGATGAGAGGCAGATGAGACATGTGTCCTCCCCTTCTTCTTCTTCCTGATCCTCTGCCTCTGCCTCTGCCTCTGCCTCTGCCTCTGCCTCTGCCTCTTCCGCCTCCTGCTGCTCTTCCGCCTCTTTTCCGTCGCCGTCCTGCTGGTTGTCGGTCGGTCGCGCGGCTGAGTCTCCGAACACCTCAGGAGCAGCGCACGTCTGCTTGTGTTTGCCCTTGGCGCTCAAGAGCGCGGGCGCCGATGTCGAGTTCATGACATGCCCCTTGCTCCCCTGTCCGGTCTCTCGTCTGTCTGGCTTTGGCAGGTGGCGTTCAATGTGGTGATAAAGCTAGAAGACGACGTTGATGCAGGGTTCGCGCGTAAAAAAAAAAGAGTCTCCACCTGCGCAACTCACTCCGATGGCTACGCTACGCTACGCACAGTGCTGATCAAGGAAAATCGTGAATGATTGAGAGAGGTAAAAAGACACATAATGACTTGGAAAGGGAAATGTACAAATGATTCTATCGTATCTTGTCGCTCGAGTCAAGGTCAGAGGCACCAATCACTCGTAGTCCTCCTCGACTTCTTCATCGCCCTTTGGCTCCTTGTATTCAAGGCAGGCGAGCAGGTGGGGCCACACCTCTGCAAGGCCGGGGTGTGCGCTCGCACGGCTAAAGAGCGTCTTCATGGCCGTGCTCCTCTTGACGGAGCGCCAGTGCTTGAGCAGGAAGTCTGTCTCCATCTTTCGAATGTCGGGGTACTGCGTATTGAAGCCAGAAAAGACCTCCCAGACGATGTTGCCAACGGTAAGGCTCATCTCGATGTGCTCCTGTGCACGCTTCTTCAGGTCGGGGATCTGCAGCTTGTCTGCAAGCTTGTACATCGCTTTCGCGGAGCAGGGCGTGGGCCTTCCTGGGTTGCGTCGGACGTAATTCTCGATCGCCTGCTTGCGCTTCTGGTGCGCCTTTTGCAGCTCTTCGGCAAATACACCGCTGTCTTCACGGGTGTGAGCAAGCTGTCTCGACGACGAAGACGAGCCGAAACGCATGGGAGAGGCATAGCTGGATGCAGGGAGATCTTCGCCCTCGCCGTCTCCTGCAACATTGCTGGGCAGGTAGCTCGAGGTGAGCGGCGCAAACTCGACCGTGTCTGTGTAGAGGAAAAAGAGCAGCGCCTTGAATGTCGGGTATGCGCTATCGGGAACGATGACCTTGCGCCTCTTACGGCGGTCACTACGACCCTCGGATGCGCCGTCTCTCTTCTTCTTGCTTGACTTCAAAAGCATTGGCTCTTCGGCCCTCTGATTCTTCCTGTTGCCGCTCAGAGGGGACTTGAAGGTAGGCACACTGGCGTCACCTTCAGCGCCACTTTGGCCATCAAGGCTCTCCTTGGACGTCTTCCTTTCGCCAAGACTGCCAGTAGCCCGAGTGCCCCTGACACCTTCGACCGACTCTCGAGAGGTGTTGCGGCTGCTGGCTCGACGAAGCTGAGTCACGCTGCTGCTGCTGTAGTTGTTGATGCCGCCGGCACCTCTGACAACTGCGGCAACAACTGAGGCCACCTCATCCTCTCCGACTGAGTCGTCTTCAGGGCCGTCTTCATTATCGTCTTCTTCCTCTTCCTCTCCCTCCTCTCCTGCTTTGAGATCCTCTCTAGAGCTTCCACCGCCCATAGGCGATGGAGAAGAGTGCGACGAGCGGGCGGGGCGATCGCCGGGGCTTCGAAAAGGAAGCATCTCTCCACGGCTCAACTTGTTGGGCGTCGGCCCTTCGAAGGTGAGCGCTGGACCCACGCTCGGGCTGTAGAACTCGTCGATCTCTTCGTCAGAGTCCTCGAGAAGGGCCTCGTGGGGATAGAGGTCGTAGTCGTAGTTTTCGCTTGCGCTGTCTCCGTCATCTGCGCGTCTCTGTTGATCTGCGCGAGCGGCTGAGTCGTGAGAGCCGTGGGGATGTGCATCGTCGTTCTGCATCGCCCGTCGCTCGCTCTCGCCTTCGTCCTCTGACGACGACTCGGCCTCTGCCTCGCAAAAGCCGCTCTCAAACATGTCTCGAAAGTACTCTGAGCGAGCAGCGAGAATCTTGCGAATGGCGTACACCTTTCTCGTCTCGCCGCGCTCCCTCATGCGACGGCGCCTTGGTGGAAGGTAGAAGACGACATCGCTGTGCTCGGGATCATCGAGGAGCGAGCCCATGGCCTGGATCAAGACTGGCGGGACCGGGTGGGTGACGGGTGGGAGGAGCTTGGGCTTCTCAGACGTGGCCGTGATGGTGACTGTGATGAGGAAGCCATCGTCCTTAATGACGTCGGCCTGCTTGTAGTAGACGCTCTCTCGCTTAGCGAACTGCGCCCATCCCCAATTAGAGGTCCTGTTGGAAAAGGCGTGGTCATGGGCCTCTTTGGATCCGAGGTTCTCCTTGCTTTCGAGCGTCTGGATCGTAAAGACGAAGCGAAAGAGACCCTTGCGCTGCCACTTTTCGTCTTGCGAGCGCGACGACTTGGAAGAGTCCGTCGCAGACGTGGCTGGGTTCTGATTGAGAGGGGGCAAAAGAGGGTGTGCTTTCTCATGGGGAAGTGGCTCGGCGTTGAGGTAGAGCGAGCAAAACTGCGCACCAGCCACGTCAGCACATGCTCTTCATACTCTTTTCTCACGATGGACGAGAATTCTCACCTGGTCATGACCGCTCTGCGCGTAGAAGAGGACGGTCCATTTGCCACCGCCAAATGGCGTCGACTTGACCACCTTGGACTTAGTGTCGGACTTGGACGAGTCAAACATGGACTTGAGGCCGCGGAGGGGCTGCGAGACAGGGTAGTAAGACAGCGTGAGCTCCTAGGTTGGGCGAGACAGGCGGGCACTCGAGACTCACCCATTCGAACACGACTGGATGTCACGGAGCAGCAAGAGCACGATGGTGAGCAGTAGTAGAGAGATGCATGCACAGCGTCAGCACGATTAGCTCACTCGATGAGGTCTCGGAGGGCTCCTGTGGAACGACGCCGTCCCGGTTCCTGGCCGGAACAACGCCGTGCTTGAGACCAGCGCTCATCGTGTCAGATCGGCAGACCGACAAAAAGACGAGCGGCGGAAGATGACAGGAGGACGCAAGAGACGAGAACAAAGGGGCGGCGCGAGGTGTTTGGATGACAAGTTGACCCCTGCTAAATGCAACTTTTAGGCAAGGCCACCCCCGCGCTTTGGGCTACAGGATTGTCGGCCGAACGCGTCGTCGCTCTAGCTCCACCTCTCGGTCCTAATTTCCTCCTCTCGCCACTTTCGCTCTTTCCAACTCCCGGCCTCGCCATGGTCGCATCACCGAGTCTCGCATCGACGTCTGGACTCACACTGTCGATGCTATCACCGCTTACTAAGCAAGCTCCGCGAGGCTTACGAGCCGCTGGCCGACTTGCCAGACCGCCACGGGTCACTGCAGTCCCTTCGAGGCGCCTACTGTCATCAGTCACACCGACCCGGCCCGGCGCCTCTGCCCTTTCAAGCTCGAGACTCTCGCCGCTGCCGCTACAACCGTCTCCATCACCGCTCCGGCAAGCGCGCCGTCCTCTGTCACTGCTCTCGAAGCGACCCGAGGCACCCGAAGAGCCCGATGTGTACCAAGATGGCCGTGACCCATCGCTGAACCTCACCGACCGCGCGATCGCCCATCTCTCCAGAGTGGCCCAGCGCGAGTCCAACGACCGCCTCGGCCTGCGCGTCATGGTCGAGCCGGGCGGGTGTCATGGCTACCAGTACAAGATGGATCTGATGGACGCCGTGGGCGACGTCGAGGAGGATGACTTTGTCTTTGCGTATCCGCAGGCCAACAAGCAGCAGCAGGGTGACGACGCTGCTGCCGGCAAAGTCTTTCTGGTCGTCGACAGCGTCTCTTTGAGACTGATCAAAGGCAGCACTATCGACTATGTTACTGAGCTCATCGGCTCTCAGTTCAGTATTCTCGACAACCCCCAAGCCAAAGGAGCGGGCTGTGGCTGTGGCGTCTCCTGGGAGCCCAACTTCTAGTCTCTCTGCAACTTCTTCACCTCTCTCTCCCTTTTTTCCTACTGGCTTCTCGGATCACTCTGATGCTCATTGATTGCCCTTATGTCGTGAAGAAGAGGGGGGAATAGATGGAATGAAATGTACAGTACAATTATGATTGATAGAGGAAACAATTTTTGGTTATTCATCGCAGAGAGGCCGCTCCGAAGCTTCTCCGACCAGCCTGGCCAAAGGCCTCGACCCAGAGCACCTTGATGTTGTATTTGTCGTCACTTGACTCGTGCTCGTCCCGCAGGAGAGTGATACCGATATAGGAGCCCTCGAGTCTCCGTTTCTCAATTTGCCCGTCGTTATCGCCCGAGGCAAACACCGATGCTCGACCTCGTGCGTCAGTCTCAAACACAGCTGCTGGAGGCGCCACGGTGATGGTGGCGCCCTTGCCCTTGTTCTTGTCCTTGCTCTTGGTCGCAGCCTTCTCGACCGCAAATGGGTCTCCCAGACTTTCATCATCATCATCATCGTCGTCGTCGTCAAAAGACTGCACCCTCCACGGCGCCTTTGCCACCTTTCTCTTCCTTGCCTCTTCTCCAATCGATTCAAGCCCATCGACGACGCTCCATGTCATCTTCTTCGCGAGCATTTTGAAGTCGTCAACAGTTTCCACGCGCCGGTATTCAGCCAGCCTCTCATCCAGCCTCTGGCTGCTGCTCTCGACAAAGACGAGTCCCTTGACCCTCTTTGCCTCCTTGGCAGTCCAGCCAGACCCAGCAGACCACCTGGCCCTGGGCACGTCGACCTGGATGACAATCTGTCCGAGCGAAAAGGTGTTCTCCTTGGCTGCCCGTCCCTTTGGCTCCTCCTCTTCCTCGCGCTTCGTCTGGGCGCGCGCAAGCGACACGGCACGGTCCTCGACGAGGAGCCGGCCAGCCATGCCAACATTACCGCAGACGATCGGCACAAAGTCCGACGCCTTGAGCGTGTCGGCGTCGCCAGCCTCGAGACGGCGTGCAGGGCTGATACGCGAGCGCGCTCGGCCCTTGACGTGCTCGATGAGGCGCCACTGGTCCGAGCTGAGGGCCACGGAAGGGAGCTGCTTCTCTTCTTCTCCGGCGCAGTGCCTCGTGCCTGGTGCTCCTTCGTGCATAGACCAGCCCTCGACGTCGTCGTCTTCAGATGGTGCACCGCCATCTCGCTCTAGCGGGACAGGCTGCTGCTGCTGCTGCTGCTGATGCTCGAACACTATGTCCGCCTCAGACCTGCTTGCGGCGTTTGTCGTCGGGGCTGGAGCAGGCCGCACGGCGTCTCGCGGTGGCAGGCCTAAAGCCCTCCTCCTCGCATCGACGTTGTTGGCCTGTCCGATAATGCGCTCTCGTGCCCTGGCCCAGTCCCTGTCCTCGAGTCTGGCCTCGCGGTGACGCTGCAGGAGCGTCATGTAGCCAGGGGGCGATGCCGCCAGTCTCGCGTCCCTCTGCGATGTCGGCACGCGACCTGCTGTCACCGACGTTGGCTCAGCTGCTGGGGTTGACCGGCCAACGACGGCAGCAAGGAACCTCAAGACGATCTCATCCTTGCCCGCGTTGCACTCGAGCCCGCTTTCGTCCTTGGTCAGGATGCACTGGGCCGAATCAATCTTTGCTTCGTCGCCCTTGCCATAGTGTCGGACGACGCGAGCCTGAAAGCGAAGGGGGTACTCTGCGCCACCTTCCAGGGTGTCGGGCAGGTCGGGCTGCATCGGCGTCCACTGCATGGCGAGCCTCTTTAGCTTTGCATGCATTATGAGCTTCTTCACCGTGGGACCGGCGGCTTCGTCGACGAGCCTCATCAGTGCGAGACCCGATTGGCCCAGCTTGGCCTTGTCCTCGTCTGTCAGAAGCGGCGTAAAGACGCGTGGCGAGCGCATCTGTGATGCATCAGCGACGACGAGATCATCCTTGGTGCCCGGTCGACCACCAGCAGAGGCAGGAGCAGGAGCGGCAGCCAGGAACTGCGGCCGATCGGCCTCTTCAACCGATGGCGACGAGTTGGCTCTCCTCCTCGGCGCTTGCGCTCCATGTGGCATCTCGACTGAGCGGCGGGTCATTCTGCTGCTGGCGATATGGCCATCCTGAAGCAGTCGGATGTAGGATCTCGTCATCGGCCCGAGTCCAGACTCACGCACCGACCTCCTGCGCACGAGCGAGCTACCGGATGGACTGGTGGGGCTCGGAGGTTGTCCTCCTCCTCCTTCTCCTGCCTCTCCTCCAAGAAGAGGCTCTCTCTCCTCCTCAAGCCGCTGCCTGGCTGCCTCTGGCTCCTCCGTCGCCTCGCTGCGCCCGCTGAGCACGCGTCCAATCCTGCCCTCTCGCTGCCTCAGGGCATCCACCTCGGCCCTCCTCCTGGCCACCTCCAGCCTCAGGCGCTCCTCGCGGACCCTCAGCTCGTCTTGCCGTGCCCTGAACTCCTGCTCCAGGCGCACGCCCATGTCTGTGAGCCTGCGAGACTGCCTCAAAGATGCCTCTGCGCGCTGGTGCAGAAGCGCAATCTGTGCCGACGTAGCGGCAAGAGTATCCTGCCGGTCGCCATTGCCTTCTTCGTCTCCTCTCCTCTCTTCGGGCGGCGGCGTGTCTTCGCGCAGAGACCTGCCCCAGAACTCGTCCTGTCGCTCCCGTGTAAAATGCCTGGGAATGGGCCTTGGAGAGGATGACTGCCGCTCGCGCAGCGGTGCTTGTGGTGCTATTTGAGGAACCCTCTCGTCATTATCGTCAATGTCGAGCGTGCGGCTTAGATTGGCAGCACTCTGCTGGTCCAGGATCGATTCGACGCGTCGAACAACGTCGTCGGTGAGGCTAGCTAGCCGTCTGGGCCTCCTCGTCGTGCGTGGGTCGTCCACATCGGTAGTGCGGCGACGACTTAGAGAAATCTCGCCCCTTCTCTGCGGGAGCGCAGCAGGGTTCGTCTCTGATCGAGCAGCCGAGCTGGCCAGGGGTGGCAGAGACGAGCGGCCCATGGGGCCTGGACTCGTCGACAGCCACCTCGATGGCTGAGCAGGGTCGCGGAACCAAGTCGTCACATTCTCGCTTCCTTCGTCAGCCGTCTCGCGCACCGGCGACGAGGTGCGTTGGTCCGTGTAGGTGCCGATTGGGTCCATCGTTCGGAGAGTGGGCGGTTCATTGACCTCACTCGTCGTCACACGCACCGGCGATCTAGGCCGCTGTTCTGGAAAGAGGAAGAAGCATCGGCAAGAAAGGTCAGCGCGAGTGGCACCGGAGTAGAAGGTATCCGTGACTCTCACCAATGAGCGTCCATCCTTCTGCCGCCGCTCTGGCATTGACAGCGCCCATGACTGAGGAAGCCGGGGCATTCGCCTGACCGTCGGCATCATTGGCACTGGCAGCAAAGCCATCAGCCATGACGAGGGCGGCCCTGTTTCTCCGTCTCTGTGCCTGCGCCTCTGGGTTTCTGTACGTCGCAGACCGCCTCATCCTGAACCGGGCTGCCGTTCCACCACCATCGGCAACGAAAGGAGCAACCTGCTCTTCGCCGGCATCCTCGTCCTCGCTCAGCAGAGCCTCGCCGTCTGGATCGTTGTTTTCCTCCGCGGTTCTCGCCTGGTGCTGAGCCTCGATGCGAGCTCGCGCAGCCGTGTACCAATCGGCAGCGTCGCCGTCCGGATCCATGCCCATACCATCCACTTGGGCCGAAGAGGCAGGGCCTTCGACGGCAGAGGTCGAAGGCAACGAATAGCGCAGCGGACGAGGATGGTACCACGGAAACACCTCAAATGGCCTCGGACGGCTGCTCGGGTCCAGAGGATGTTCTTCTTCCGGTGTTTGTGCTTCCTGCTGCTGTGCCTCGCCAGACGAAGGAACAGAGGCAGCACGCTCTTCGAGCCCATCAAGGTGGCGCAGACGCCGGATGTAGTCCATGCCTCCCCTCGTCGCGCGAGTGGCGCTGTGCTCAGCTTGACTTCGCTGCCTGGGAGCAGCATCTCCGCGAGCAGCTGCCGCGGCATTGCGCTCCCTCGACGCCTGTGCCAGCCTCGCAATCGTGTCGGCGGCTGCCTGGCGTGCAGCAGCGTCCATGTTCTCCTCTGCTTGTGCCTGAGGCTCAGCAGCACCACCACTGCTTGTGGTTGCCCTTGCATCGACACTGGGCTCCTGCAAGGCGTCCTGGACGCTGACTTGGGGCTGTGGCTGGGGCTGGGCCGCTTGGGCTGGTGCGTCCCTCTCTGGACTGGTCGTCGCATCGACTGCGATGCTGCCCGGCGCTCGGGAAGTGATGGTCTCTTGAGTACCTCGGGCGGCACCGTAGCGATCTTGCTGGGGATACAGCGTCGTTCCCCATGCTCGACGAGGACCGCCAGCCGGGCCAACGGGAGGAGCATCAGTCGGGGGCGCCATGGCCACGGGCGCCAACGCTGGAACGGCCGCCGAAGCAGAAGGGGCAGCCGCCGGCGAGCTCGATCGATCCCAGACATCATTCAGTCCAATGACGGGGATCGATGCCGCTTGGCGCTGCTGCTGCTGCTGCTGCTGTCGTTGGCCTGCTTCTGCTCGTCGTGCAAGCTCGCCCCTCAGCCACTCGCCTGCTGCGCCCGGGTATCGCCTCGCCCAGATGGGGTGTGGCAGCGGCCTCGAGTAGTGGGAGCCTCCGCTGTTGGTGTTGGACCGAGGCACAGAGGCAGACAGGGCGAGCATGGATGCGGCAATGCCCGAAGTGATGCGAGAGTCGAGCGTCGAGGGCGACCCAAAGTACCACACCCTGCCGCGACCGTCGCTGCTTGCTCCCTCGCCCCCTCCCCCTCCTCCTCCTCCGCCGCCGCCGCCGCCGCCGCCATTGTCGCTGCCATGGCCATTGCCACCGTGGGGTGAGAGGGCATTGGGTCGAGAGCCAACTGCATGGCCCCCGCCGGGGTGGACACCCGCACCGACTGCCAGGTCGTTGACCATCCTGTCCCACACGAGCAGGTCGTCGGTGTCGCGATGAATGCGGTCACCAACGCGGGCGTCATTGCCGCTGCCGCCTGCTGGAGGTGCCGGCAGGGAAGACGTGGCTGCTGCCAGGGGTGGAGACCCAGCAGGCACTGCTTCCTGCGCCTGCCCGGCCTGCTGACGGCGCCTCTCGACTGTGCTCCTCATCGTATGTGCCACGATGGCCTCTTCGGTGTCGTTGGAGGAAGCCGCCGATGCCCCGTCGTCGTCGTCCTCTCCGCCCTCGTCGACGTCGCCATCGCCATCATCGTCGGAGATGTCGATGATGCCGACGCCCGTGGAGCGATTAGTCCCCTCCCCATCTCTGCTCTCCCGATTCGCCACGGTAGCATCGTCACTGTGCCCAGGTGCCGTCTGGCTCGTTGCTGCTGCTGCTGCTGCTGCTGCTGCTGCTGCTGCTGCTGCTGCTGCTGCTGCTGTGCCTGTCTGCCGTCCTCGTCTCCGCTGGCGTCGCTCCTCCTCCATCCTCTCTGCGATCGCCTTGAAGCAGCTCGCACGCCACTCGAAGCGTGCCACCTCGGCGGCTCGGTGCAAGCTGGCAATCTGCGTCGCCACCGACGGCGTTGCACTTGCATCGCCACTGCTGCTGCTGTTGCTGCTGCTATCACCACCAACACGGCCGCCAACGCTGCTGCTGCCGCTGCCCCTCGCTGCGAGGCCCTGGAGGCCAGGGTGGTACATTTCGTCTGGCCGGACGGGCGACCGGCTCGACGAGAGACGGAGGTCCTGGTGCGGTCGCCTGTGGTCAGACCCCGGCCTTGGGAGGAGCAGCGCCGCACGCGTGCTCGCCGAGCCCGACGACGCATTGGACAACGGTGGCGAGGACGACAGGGAGCCCTGCGAGGCGCTAGAGAGCCTCCTTTCGTCGTTGTCGTTGTTGTTGCTGTTGCCGTTGCCGTCTTCGGGCAGCGAGGACGGAGAAGACATGGCTGGCCTTTTGCCCTCAAACGAAGAAAGGGAGGAAGGACGAAGGGTGATTGCCACTCCCTTTTTTACTGCCCGTCCTCGTCTCTCCCCTTTGTTGTCCCGTCCCTCCTCTCCTACTTATCCTTTCTCCTTCTTCTTCCTCCTCTCTTATCGGCCTCCTCCTCCTCCTCCACGTCCGCTTTTATGGCGCGCGCTCTGCTGCGCCTTCGCTAGCTTGAAGCCGAACCCTGCCCTCCTATTTGGCCGGCGGCGGGGGGCGTGCGAGTTCGGCCTCACTGCCAGCTGCGAGTGGACAAGCAACAGGAGAAGGGAGCGCGGAGGGCGTCTCTGTGTGTGCGTGCTGCGTCTTGATTGTGCTGTGCCTTCTGGGCTGTGCAGTACAAATGAGGATCGAGTTGAGTGGAGAGAGAGAGGGCGAGAATGACACAGGCGGCAAGACGGGCGAAGGAGGGCTCAATAAAAATAAAAATAAAAATAAAAACAGATGACGCTCCAAAGTTATCTCTCTCTCTCTCTCTTTCTCGCTCAACTTTTTTTTTTTTTTTTTTCAGGGCGCTAATTATTTTGCCCGTCGTTGCGTTCAGGCTCACTCACCAGGCTCAGGCATTGGCAGGGCAGGCTAGTACGGTCAGTCTATGTGGAGTGGCAACTTTTTCGGGTGCCTAGAGTGATATTTTTGCGAGGCTTAGACTGATGATGATGATGATGATGATGATGATGATGATGATGATGATGGCAGACAAACGGGAGAAATGGCATTCAAGCTGGGCTTGTGCTAGCATCAACAGTACTGCCACGGACACTGCTGCTGCTGCTCTCTTGCCGGAATGCATCGACGGCGGCGCGGGGGTCGTCTGGGAAGCGAATAAAGAGGCCCTGGAGCTCGGCCATGCTGACGCCGCCGCGTGATGCGGGCATCGGTCGCACCGTGCTCGCGCCTGCCAGCTGCCGTCGCACCTCTGTCTCCACCGAAAAGGAAGAAGAAGAAGAGGGTGAGGAGACGCGGCCGGATGCATCAAGGCCCACCGCGGCTCGCCGCCGGAGTGCCTCCTCCTCAACAGCACGGGCCAGCTCCTTGGCCAGACCCCGCACCTCTTGGTCCCACTTGGCTTGTTGAGTGCTGTCCTCCTCACCCTCCTCAGCTGACCCAATCTCTGGTGCCAGTTGCTCGCCCTCGGGTCTGTCTCTACGGTAGAAGCGCCAGAGGAGCTCCTCGACCTGGTCGCTCTCGGCATCGCCCAGCTCCTCAATCATGTCCACGCGGCCCGGCCGGATGAGGGCCGGGTCGAGGCGCTCGACGTGGTTGGTCGTCATAAAGATGATGCGCGACTCGCCGCTAGCCACGCCGTCGAGGGCATTGAGTAGGCCGCTGAAGGTGACGCTGGACTGGTAGCCGTCGGCCTCGGGTGCGCCCTGTCGGCCGAGAAAGGCGGCGTCGACGTCCTCGAGGAGCAAGATCGAGCGCTGTGGCGCATTGGACAGGAGGAAGTTGAGCTTGTCGTCGGTCAGCCCGCGCTCGGACAGGTTGAGGAGGCAGATGGACAGATCGAGCTGGCCGGCGAGGGCGGTGATGAACGACGACTTGCCGCTGCCGGGCGAGCCGTGGAGGAGGTAGCCGCGCCGGTAGGGGATCCCGCGCTGTGCGTACCACCAGCCGCGCTCCATGAAGCGCTTGACGTCGGCCTCGACGGCCTCGCGCTTGCCGTGCTTGAGCACCACGCTCTCGAGCGTCCGCGCGCGCCGCGGCTGGCCAAACGGCCGCCACTCGGCGCCCCAGGCCGTGTAGATGATCGTCTTGCCCTCGGTGCTCGCCATGGCCAGTTGCTTGGCCTCGGCGAGGAGCGAGGTGAAGAGATGGGCGTGGGAGCGCAGCGTCGTCAGCGTCACCGTCTCCCAGGGCGCGCCCGTGTTGAGGTCGACCATCTTTGAGTTGCGCTCTCGCTGCAGGCGCATCCAGCAGCCCTTGTAGCGGAACCAGTGGGTGCCCGGCCCCGGCACCAGGCTGAAGCTCGCCCGCGACGTCTCGTCTCCCGTATCACTTCCTTGGCGCTGTTGCTGCTGCTGCTGTTGCAGCTGCTGTGTCTCAACCGACAGCTCATGCGAAAAGATGCGAATCGGCGATGCGCGCGAGCCCTTGGCCATGAGCGGGTCCTCGATACCGTCTTCGTCTACCTCTCTCCCCTTTCCCTTTCCCTTTCCTGTCCCTGTCCCTGTCCCTATCCCTGTCCCTGTTTGTGTCACTTCTCCCTGAGCGCCACCGCCTATCCCAATGAACTCGCGCAGGCTCTCGCCCCGCTTGGCACCGTGGCCCAGGAGACCGGCCTGGCGCATCGCCTGTGCCTTTGCCTGGGCGCCCATCCAGTGGAGGAACCACGGATGGGCCCTGTCCTTGGACGGGATCTCGAGCGAGATGAGCAGCCTGCGCTGTGCGGCTCCCGCAGCAAACGTGGTGCCCCGCCGCGCGACTGCGAGGACGGTGCCGATGATCATGAGGCCGAAGCCGGCGTTGAAGTACGGGTTCGACTCGAGCAGCGCCGAGCGCAGGCTCTTCTTCTCACCCTGCGAAGAGGACGACAACGACGACGACGACGACGAGCCTGCATCCTGTGCTTGTGTTGGCGGAGGGACGCTCCCCTCTGCTGTGCTCGCCGACATGGCTTGCTTGCTTTCTTCTTGGTCCAAGCGCACGTCGCGAAGAAAGGTCGAGGAAAAAAGATCAGACCGGCGACGAGATCGGAAGTCGGAAAAGTCTAAAATTTAAAGGAAGAAAAAAAATAAGGGTGTTGAGAGGACTAAAGAAAGGAAGTTTTCTCCTCTCGCCTGACGTCGACAAGAGGAGAAGAGAGAGAGGCATTTCGATGGAGGAGGCGCTGAGATCACGCGGGCTGGGGCCGGGACAGGACCCCCGCGACATTGGGCCCGCCTACCTGGTCAACTTTGGCACACCCCAGCCGGCCTTTCGGCTGGGCGAATTTACCAGCGCAGCCGAGTACCTCGACATCGACTACTGCTTTGTGCCGTTGCACATCAATGCGCCCGCGGCCGCCTCGTCGATGCCTGATGAGGCAGCCCAGGCGGCCGCCGAGCCCGCCTCACAGCTGGGCATGAACCCGTCTCGGCCCTTTATGCTCGTCCACCTCCCCTCGGACGATGCGGCGCAGAGGCTGGCCGATCGAGCCACGTCCATCCGGTCAATCTGGGCACACTGGGTCACGGCGCCCTCGTTGGCGCAGGCCTGCGAGGCGCTGCAGCACGACCCCGGCGTCCGTTCACGCTGGACACCCTACCGCCCCGACCACATCTCCTGGCGTGCGACCGTCTGGGCTCACTTCCGCACCCTGTTCCCTGCCGAGCAGCTCGAGCGCATAGAGGCCTTTGCTTCCACCCTCGACTTCCTGGGGCCGATTCGGATGAAGGCCCCCGACATGGAGTGGGGCTACTTTGAGGAGTGGACCAGGCCCGTGCACGTGGCTGCCACCGCAGAGGAGCTCGCCTCGTCGGCCACCTACGTCGTCGAGAATGGCTGGTCGGGCCGCGACGATAACGACGATGGCGACGACGTGGCGGCGCCACGCCAGCGGCTCCTCGCCGTGCATGTTGCGCGCAAGGTCACAGACGGCCGTGCCCGCCACTTGATTGCAGCCATGGACGTCAAGCAGCGCGCATACATTGGCAACACGACCATGGAGGCCCACATGAGCCTCGTCCAGGCCGTCATGGCCCTCGCTGGGCCAGGCAAGATTGTGTACGACCCCTTTGCAGGCACCGGCTCGCTGCTCTATGCGGCCGCCAAGATGGGTGCCTACGTCGTGGCGAGCGACATTGATGCGCGCATGATGAAGGGCAAGGTCAACGCCAAGGATGGCTCGACGGGCATCATGCGCTCTGCGCGCCAGTATGGCGTCCAGCACCTCGTCCTCGACTGTCTCGCCTGCGACATGACGCAGCACCCGTGGCGCTTTGGCGGCCTCTTTGACGCCATCGTCGCCGATCCACCGTACGGGATCCGTGCCGGTGCCAAGCGCCTCGGCCGGCGCGACGAGAGCAAGCAGCGCACAGAGGCGTTTCTCATGCCCGACGGCACCTACTCGCACCAGCGGCCCGACTACGTGCCGCCGTCGAAGCCGTACCCGCTCGACGACCTAATCGCCGACCTGCTGCGCCTCTCGGCCACGCTGCTCAAGCCCCGTGGCCGCCTCGTCTTTTGGGTGCCCACAATGACCGAGGGCAGCAGTGGCGAGGATACGTACCAACAGCAGCCGGTGCAGCTGCCGCCCTCGCAAGACTTTCGCCTCGTGAGCCACGCCATGCAGGACTTTGGCACCTGGGGCAGGCGCCTCATCACCCTCGAGAAGCTCGACGCGGAGCAGCGTGCGGCGCGGCAGCAGGGCGACGAGACGGCGGCCATTGGCTCCTTTGAGGCGCCCAGCGGCCACATGGCGGCGGCTGCCTCGAAGCAGGCCGAGCCGCCGCCGCAGAAAGAGCCCCTGAAGGAGGGCAAAGTCAGGGCAGACGCCGACCCAAACGAGTTCAGAAACAAGGTGAGAGACTATGCTTTACAAGTGGCTTGGGCGAGAGGGCCGCGCTGACACGCCCACAACCCAGTACTTTGGCCGGAAACAGCAGACGTCGCACGCATAGAACTCCAAATTGTATCAGTATCACAACAAAGACGCTTGTATCATCTCATCGACTTGCTGCATTGAAGAAGAGGGCGGGGGGTTGGCGTGAGACAGAGGTGAATATTTCTACAGTGGTGTTTGTATGGGTGAGGAAACTAGTGCTTCTCGTCCGTCTTGGCGTCACCCTCCTTCTTTTCCTTTTCCTTGCCCTCGGCGCCTGACCCGGCCTCGCCAGCCTCCTTTTTAGCCCCGCCGCTGCTCTCCTCCTCCTCCTCGCGTGCATTCTCGGCGCGGTTGTTGATGAGGCCGTGCAGCGCAATCACGCTCCGAATCAGTGAGCTGAGATAGACGACGAGCAGCTGGTCGTTCTGCGCCACGCTGAAGCTCTTGGCTGTCTCGGTCTTGTCCAGGTCGGGGAGGAGGTTGAAGATGTCCTGCAGGTTGTAGATGATCTGGTGGTTGACCTGCAGCTCGCCCCGCACGACGGCCTCGAGGTAGGTTTTGATCTCGAGCAGCCTCGATTGGAGACCTCGTAGCGAGAGGAGCTGCTGCGAGACGCGCGTGGAGAGGGTGCCGACAGTCGTCGTGTCGCGGATATCGCGAAGGAGGTGCTCAACGCCAATCTCTTCCGACTCCTCGGCGATGATCGATGAGGGGACGTGGGTGAATGTCTTTTGCGTCGCTGTGCCGTCCTGTGTGAGAGAAAAACAAGCACCAGCCATGTTAGAAGGTGCGCAAAGCTCTTTAGCTCCAGCCCACACTCACATCCTTGATCTCCTCGACGGCAAAGTAGGCATCGGTGGGGATGCCCGTGTCCCTCGTCCGGGGATCGACAATGACCATGACTGGTCTCGGGATGAACTTCTTCATCAAGTCGTTGATCTCCTGGTCCGACGCCCGTAACCTCGGCCCCGTGTGGTACCAGCCAACCATCTTCTCCCGCGCATTGACCTTCTTGCACATCTCCATCATGCCGTCGATGTAGTCGTGATCCAGGAACCACGTCGTCTTGCCGCTGCCTGCCGCACCCTCGTCTTCCTCAAACGGCACCGCAAAGCTGTTGGCGACGTTGATCGACTTGCCATTGTCCTGCCCAAGGAGCACGCCCAGCACCCGCTTGCGAGGCCCGGCGGCACTTCGAGAAGCATGGTCGGTGACGGACAGGAGCACCAACGGGTGCACATGCACCTGTGTCTGCGACAGCGCCAGCGTCTGTGTGGGTGTGCGTGTGCCCGACTGTCAGCCTCCAATTCCAGGGTGCTCGAGTCACTCGCCGCTCCAACTCACCTCCTCTGTCGTGGCCGGCATAGTGCGCTGTGTGTCGATGATGTTCTGGAGGTTCTCGAGAAACGAACGCGCGTACAATAACTAGCTCTGCGTCCACATTGGCCCACGTGGCTATTTTAAGACGGCCATGCACTCACCAGGTGGTCACTCACCCACTAAAGTGCAGTGCGCCGGGGTGGCTGCGTTCATTTCGTTTCTTCTTCCTGGATTCAGAAACCAAGTTCCGCCAGCTCACCCGCCCGCCTCCCTCCCCCCCACCTGTCTGCCTCGGCCTGTTCGTCCGCCGTCGCCGCCGCAAATGCAGAGAGCGAGAGCCACGCCGCTCTATGCTCAAACGGGACACCAAAAGCAACAGGAACACAGCAGTATCGACTTTGGCCCGCCCTCGCCAACGAACCACGTCGCCGCCTCTGCCGCCGCCGCCGCCGCTGCTCATCACCCGACCGAGGAGGACTTTGAGCTCGTGAGAGAGTACGAGGCCGGACAGCGATCTGCCGTTCTTCCCACCTACTCTCCACGGCCAGGGTCAGCATTGACTGCACCGGCGGATCGAGCGGGAGGCGCAGGGCAAGGATCAGGACTGGGACCCGGACCAAGCGGAATAATGGCATCTGACTCCTACGACGTCTCGACTAGCACGAGCTCCCACGACTCTTCTTCGCGGCGCCGAATGGCCTCTTCCTCTGCCGCTGCCGACCAGGGCTCGTTGACCGACTTCTCCTCGGTCGACTCGCAGCCGCCGAGGCGCTTTGCTGCTGGTGGCTTTGATCCATATGGCGTCGCTGGCCCAGCACTGGCTTCGGCGCCAGTCGTCGGCCCGAACGATGGGGTGTACGGCGAGGACAAGATTGCCGAAAAGCAGAGGCTCGCCTTCATGAACAGCTCCCTCGACTCGTCGCTGAGCCCGTATGCGCGTGCCGGCATCGAGCCCCTGTCGGATCCCATGCCGCCACGCCGCCTTGTCAAGCCTGCGCCATCGGTAGATGAAAAAAGACCGGGAGCTGGCAAGTATGACAAGCTCATTCCCGTCGAGAAGCCTCCGAGATCACCGGTGAGCCAGCATAGAGAAGAGACGCTTTCTCTTCTGCCAGTGAGCACAACTGACCACTCCTTGCTCCTTTGCCCAGCTCGAAATTGCCAAGACTCTCCTCGACAATGACTTCCTTGTTACGGGCATCTACTTCCTTCTTTCCTTCTGCACCCGACTCTGGAAGATTGGGCGAAGCGCGACTGTCATCTGGGACGAGGTGCGTGTTCCGAGTCATTTTTGTTTTGTTTGGGTCGAGCATCAGGCTGACGTGATTGCTGGCTGCTGTCGGACAGGCCCACTTCGGCAAGTTCGGCTCCCACTACCTCAAGCACGAATTCTACTTTGACGTCCACCCACCGCTAGGAAAGATGCTCGTCGGCCTCGCCGGCTTGCTGTCGGGCTACAATGGCCAATTTGAGTTCAAGAGCGGTGAAAAGTACCCCGACGATGTCAACTACCTGGTGAGTCCTCTTCACCTTTTCATTGCGTCTCAGATCATGAATGCTGAGGCAACGTACAGGGCATGCGCGTCATCTTGGCCATGTTTGGCATCCTCATGGTGCCCGTCGCCTACAGCACCTCGGCCAACCTGGGCTGGAACAAGCGGTCGAGGCACCTGTTGGCGCTCCTGGTCCTCTTTGACAATGCCTGGCTCGTCATCTCCCGCTTCATCCTCCTCGACTCGATGCTCCTCTTCTTCACCTTCACCACCGTACACGGCCTGGTCAAGTTCCACAGCTACCAGCACCACAGCTTTAGCGAACCCTGGTGGTTCTGGCTCACCTTCACAGGCATCAGCATCGGCTGCGTGGCCAGCGTCAAGTGGGTCGGTCTCTTTGCGACTGCTCTCGTCGGCTTCTACACCATCGAAGACCTTTGGGACAAGTTCGGTGATGTCAAGATGCCGGTGCGCACCTATGCTCGCCACTGGTGCGCGAGAGCTTTGTGCCTCATCGTTGTGCCAATGTCGGTTTACATGGCTTCGTTCAAGCTTCACTTTATGATCCTCAGCCGGTCCGGCCCCGGCGACGCACAGATGAGCAGCCTCTTCCAGGCTCATCTGCGAGGCAACGACTTTGCCCACTCGCCCCTCGAAGCCGCCTTTGGGAGCAAGGTCACGTTCAAGAATATGGGCTACGGCGGCGGTCTCCTCCATTCGCACGTCCAGACCTACCCAACAGGCTCGCAGCAGCAGCAGGTCACCTGCTACCACTACAAGGACAATAACAACGACTTTGTTATCACGCCACGGTGGGAAGATCCAGAGGTAAAGGATGAGGACCCGCCTCGGATGTTCAAGAGCGGCGACGTCTTCCGCTTTGTGCACAACTCGACTGGACGCAACCTCCATTCCCACACGATCCCAGCTCCTGTCACCAAGGAGAACTACGAGGTGTCGGGCTACGGCAATGCTACGGTGGGCGACTCCAACGACTACTGGGTCGCCGAGGTTGTCGATGACATGATCACGGGAAAAAAGGGCAAAGTCGGCGACCCGATCAAGAGCCTGACGACGCGGTTGCGCTTCCGTCACCAGAACCTCGGCTGCTACATGCGGGCCGCCAATGCGGTGCTGCCCCAGTGGGGTTGGAAGCAGGTTGAAGTGAGCTGTGACAAGGAGAACAATCCCAAGGACGACCACACCTACTGGAACATTGAGAGCCACTGGAACGACAAGTTGCCAACGGGCAATGCCCAACTCTATCGGTCTCCGTTCCTTCGTGACTTCATCCATCTCAACGTGGCCATGATGACGTCTAACAATGCCCTGATCCCTGATGCCGACAAGGAGGACATCCTCGCTTCCAAGCCCCTCGACTGGCCCTGGCTATTCAATGGCCTTCGAATGAACAGCTGGGCCGACAATAGCGTCAAGTACTACCTCATCGGCAACCCGGTCATCTGGTGGTCCTCGTCGGCAAGCCTCATTGCCTTCTGCGCACTGATGCTCTGGTACCTCGGCCGCATGCAGAGGCGCCACGCCGACCTCAGCCCTCGGGACTTCAACCAATTCGTCTTTGTGGGCAAGATTGCCGGCCTGGGATGGTTCCTCCATTATCTCCCTTTTCTCATCATGGCTCGTGTCTGCTACATCCACCACTACCTGCCTACCCTCTACTTTGCCGTCCTCATGCTCGTCCATCTTCTCGACCACTTCCTCTGGAATGCGTCGACTGCCCGCTACCGCGTCAGGTCCCGATCGGCATCGGCCCAAGCCAGAGCGCCGCTCTCGGAGCTGACAAAGAACGTTAGCTTCTGCCTCATTGCCGGCACTGTCGTGGGCGTCTTTTGGTTCTTTAGAGGCACAGCATGGGGCATGGACGGGCCCATCTGGAAGTACAATGGCATCAAATGGCGCCACAGCTGGAACATCAAGGACTAGATTGGCGCTTGCCTCAAAAACACACAACCACACCGCATCAGCCCCATCGCTCCTGATCTCAAAGTTCTCCCTCCTATAAGCAATCCACGGAAATCATCATTTGTTTTGCAAGACCGAAGATCGTTTTTGTTCAGGCCCTGCCTATGACCAAACCCGGAAACTCTGTTCCGCTAGTCGTTGTGCATGTAGTGAAGTGACCTTGTGGAAAGTGAGATGGAAGCTGCACCAAGCCTCGGTGACGTTGCAATCTAAGCCTCGGCGACTAATTGTGGCTTTCAAATCGCATCAGACACGTGGCTAAATAGGTTCGGCCAGGCTATGATTACCGAGTGCCGGGACCGAGGCTGGGGGCGAGAGCGCGCGAGAGGGGGCGGGGAAGCGGCTCAAGCCAACCGAGAGACGATCGCTATCTCGCTTGTTCTTCCTCACCAACCCCCTCTTTCGAGCAACCCTTTCCCCCATCAACCTCCTTGTCCCCCTCTCTCTTCCGTCTCAAGCAAAGCCTCTCCCACCATGGTCATCACACACTTTCCTGAAAAGGTTGAAAAGTGGCCGGTCGACGTGCAGGCGCTGCCCGTGCCCGGAACTGAGCGGCCAGGGTACACGCCCATCTGGCGCAACGCAACGAGGCCCGACCTGACGACACAAGAGACGACGTACGATGTCTTTTCCGTCGGCCGCCAAAAGTCGCCCAACCTTCCGTGTCTGGGCCACCGACCTTGGGACAGCAACACGGGCGACTTTGCCAAGCACTTTGAGTGGCTCACCTACGCCCAGGTCGAGGAGCTCCGCACAGCTGTGGGCAGTGGTCTCACAAAGCTGCTTCAGGAGGGCAAGCTGGGCGAGGGAGTCGGTCATACTCACTGGATGACGGCCATCTGGCTGCAGAACAGGCCCGAGTTCCAGATCATCGACCAGGCCTCGGTCGCCTACTCGCGCCAGGTCGTGTCGCTGTACGACAGCTACGACGACGCCTCGGCCCACTACGTGCTCAACCACTCCGAGTCGAGGGTGTGCTTCACCACGTCTTCGCATCTCGCAAGTCTGCTCAACGGTGCCGCCGAGCTGCCAAAGCTCAAGACGATCGTTCTCGTCGACTCGCGCAGCTTCAGCCCGCGCAGACCTGGTGAGCTCGAGGGAAGCCAGGTGGCTGAGCAGTGGGCCGCATCCAAGGGCATCACTCTTGTCTCTTGGAACGACCTCATCGAGCTTGGCCGTAAGAACCTCGTCGGCCACACCCCTCCCACGGACAACAAGGAGACCGCCGCACTCTGCTATACCAGTGGCACCACGGTGAGAATCATGCCCATGCGCCTAGTGAATAAGCGCATACAAGGCTAATCTGTCTGTTTGTTTGTCTCTCTCCCTTAGGGTCACCCCAAGGCAGCCATCATCACCCATGCCCAGTTGGCTTACTCTGGAGGCCTCTTCCTCAATTACTTTGACGAGTACCCGCCAGAGATGATGCTCTCCTACTTGCCACTGGCCCACATTTACGAGCGTATCCTTGAGGCTGCCATGCTCCGCATGGGTGGCTCCATCGGTTTCTTTTCGGGAGACGTCACCCGTCTGGTCGAGGATGCCGGCATCCTCAAGCCCACCTTCTTCCCCGGTGTCCCCCGTGTCTTCAACCGCATCGCCGGTCTCATCTCTGCACAGGCTGATGGACCAGGTCTCAAGGGCAAGCTGCTGCGCACGGCCATCAACGCCAAGCTGGCCAACCACGACAAGGACGCGACATTGACGCACGCCTTCTACGACCGCCTCGTCTTCCGCAAGGTCCGCGACGTCCTGGGCGGACGGGTCAAGCTCATGCTCACGGGCAGCGCTCCCATCCGACCCGATGTCATCAAGCTGCTCCGCGTGTGCTTCAGCTGCGAGGTTCGTGAGGGATACGGCCAGACGGAGAACTCCGGCATCTGCGTCCTCATGAACCCGGGCGACAAGGTCGTCGGCAACTGCGGCCCCCCTCTTAGCGGCATCGAGATCAAGCTTCGTGATTGCCCCGAGCTCGGCTACACGGCGCAGGACAAGCCCTTCCCCCGCGGAGAGCTCCTGTCGCGTGGCCAGACAGTCTTCCCTGGCTACCTGAAGGACGAGGCAAAGACCAAGGAGACGATTGACGAGGAAGGATGGCTTCACAGCGGTGACGTGGCCTCAATCGACGAGGCTGGCCGGGTGAGCATCATCGACCGTGTCAAGAATCTCGTCAAGACGTCGCAGGGCGAGTACATTGCCATTGAAAACGTCGAGCAGAAGTTCGCCGCCCACAAGCTCCTTGCTCAGTTCTGGCTCTACGCCGACTCGAGGGAGTCGCACACCGTCGCCATCGCCGTGCCGGAGCCAGACCCATTCGCGCCATGGGTGTCGGCGATTGTGGGCAGACAAATCGCGCCAACGGACCTGGAGGGGCTCGAGAAGGCGTGCCAAGAACCCAAGGTTGCCAAGTCTTTCCTGGACGAGCTGGCAAAAATTGGGCGCCAGCACAAGCTCCGTGGCTTTGAGATTCCAAAGGCGCTCAAGCTGCGAATGGATCCTTTCAGCATCGAAAACGGCCTCCTGACGCCCACGTTCAAGGTCAAGCGGCAAGACGCAGCCAAGCTCTTGAAAAAGGACCTTGATGACCTCTACGCCCAGAGCAATGGCGCCTCAGCCAAGCTTTGAGTTAGTGAAAGTTCAATATACGTATGGCGTAGATCGTCCTCTTCAATCTTTACGCTCGGTCATGCTGTGAAATACAAAAGAATTCCTACATCTGCTTTTTGAGACCGAGCACCCCAAATGAGGAGAATGGGAATATATCGCCCGAACTGACATGAGCGGAGGGTTGCCTGGCTCTGTTTCTCAGCCCAGGGAGATCCGTATCCTGCCTCGGCGTCACTGTCCCGCGCTCCCTTCACGCTTCTCCTTTCTATTGACCCTGTCCCTGCTGCCCGGTCCAGATTGCCCTGTCAAGATCGGCACGAAGCCACTGCTCCTGTCGAGCAAGACAATCCATGGGCCCGAGAGATAGGTTGATCAGGAGCGAAATAAATCTAAATCCTCCCTAGGACGTAACCTTCTGACGTCAAGTTCCGGAGCACCATCTCGGAGACTCGGGGCAAAGAAGTGACGTTCTCTCGTCCTGATATTCTCATCTATCTTTCTTTGCATCTACCCTCCGTCGAGCAATGCGTGCAGGCCGATCTTTTGTACGTGTGTCCCTTGCGCCTGAGGAAAGCTACATGGACAGACAGAGAGTTGAGGTGATGTGCCGAAAGAGACACGCGAGGGCGTAGCAGAGGTGGATTAACACGCCGGTAGGTACAGATGAATTGTGCCATTTGATTACCACGGCTAGCTCATGGTCCCATTTGTACTCCCTTTGCCTCGAGCTGCAATCAAGGCGCATCAATGGTCAGCTCGGTGGATAGAGGAGCAAAGAGAGGGGAGAAGGCGGCTCACCTCTGCCTTTTTGCGCTCGGCGGCTGCGAGTCGTTGCTCGAGCTCTTGTAGCTCCGATGCCTTGCTCTGTACCTCGCTGGCCCTGGTACAAGCGCCGACACTCGCCGGTCAGCTTCCACACTTCAGATCTGATGGAATGCCCACCCACTTTGCTGCGACCCGCTGCTCCATCTCTGCAAGCGCCTTCTGTCCCGCCGCGTCGACCTCTGCGCCAAAGGAAGAAATGCCGCCGTCGTCGGCCGACGCGACGGGCTGCAGAACCGGAAGGTTCGTCGATCCCACCATGCTCGAGGTGGTAGAGGGGTTCTCTTGGTGGTCCGCCATCGTTTCCCTGCTGCTCTGTAGTGGGATTGGAGGGCGCGGCAGGATCCGTGGAGGGGGGTTCACAGGCGAAGGCCAAGCTGGCGAGATTCACGTGAAGGAGCTCGCACGGGCCAGAAGCTTTTTAGAGCTCATTTCATCAAAGCCCGCTAGAAGGGTTCGGACCTGTACGCCTACCGAGGAAGGGGTCATATGAGGTTGCTTCGTCACTGATGCCACATCAGAGAGCGCCGTCACCCCTAGCACCAACACCATCGCTTTCGACATCATCGTTGGCATCTAGAAACATGAGCGAGAAATTTCTCTTTCTTGGAGAAGAGCGGGGAGAACGACAGCGTTCCTTTCGCAGGCTCGTGGGCCTCGTCGTCGTCGCGCTCATCGCATCTTCTTTTCTCTCTTTTGCTCCCAATCTCACGATCAAGACGCCGAACGGCGCTTCTGGAACAGCACTGCGCCAATCGGCTAGGTTCGTAGCAGCGCAGGCCCGCTGCGATGCCATCAAGGCCCCTGTCGGCCCGCCAACCGACTTCTCGAAGCGGGCCAAATCCGATCGCGCAATCGAGGACTCGCCTGCCGTGTTGATCCGGAACGTCAAACTCTGGACTGGCAAGCCGGTGGACGGGGACGAGTTTGGCGAGGTTCTGGATGGCGTTGACGTCTTTGTTGAAGAAGGTATCATCAAGACCATCGAAAAGACGGGTGCTAAGCATTTTACCAATCGCAAAGACATCAAGCACATCGAGGGCAAAGGCCGATGGATGTCGCCGGGCATCATCGATGTGCATGTCCACAGTGGAGTCGGGATTCTTCCAGATCTGCGAAGCAATGCAGACACCAATTCGCACAAAAGTCCCACGACGCCCGCACTCCGTTCCATTGATGCACTGTCGGCCCAAGATTGGTCCTTTACTTCCATCGCATCAGGCGGAGTCACGACAGGCCTCGCCCTTCCTGGAAGCGCCAACAACGTGGGTGGACAAGCTTTTCCGATCAAGTTCGGACGCCTTGGCCAAAACGCTGCTCGATCCGGCGCATGGTCTCGGGTTGTTGATCCACCAACGTCGCTAACGCTTCCCGGAGAAGCGCTGTTTGAAGACGGAAGGAACGGCCTCTATTCGCCCGAGACGGGCATGCAGAGAGAAGATCTCTCAAGCAGCTGGCGTCACATGAAGGTGAGACAGCTTCCTATATCTAATCCGATCTCATCCTGAATGCAATCGTCAGATGGCTTGCGGCGAGAACCCGAGGCGGGTCTACAAACAGACTCGCATGGACGAAGCTCTGGCATGGCGCCAGCTTTTCGAAAAGGCTCGTTCACTCAAGCAGAAACAGGATGATTTCTGCGCCGGCCTCGGACGAGTGAGGAGCGAGGCAGAAGCAGAATTCCCTGACGAACTTGAACTCGAGGCCGTGGTCGCCCTACTTCGCGGCAAGGTCAAGGTGAGTAATCGTCTGCCTTCCAACAAAGTTGTTAGTCACTGACAACTTCGAGATGAAGCTCAACACGCACTGTTACACCGTTGCCGATCTAACGTCATTTGTGGCACATACCAACGAGTTCCGCTTTCACCTCACGGCCTTTCACCATGCTCACGAGACGTACCTCGTACCTGATCTCCTCAAGAAGGCATACGGAGGTCCACCTGCAATCGCCCTGTTCAGTTTGAACGCAGACTACAAGATGGAATCTTACTTCGGTGAGTCGACCGTTCTGGCATCTCAGCGGGCGCCACTGACATCACGTCGCTCCAGGCTCTCCATTCGCGCCCGCTATCCTAGCTCAAGAGAACTTCACAGTGAACATCAAGAGTGACCATCCCGTGACCGATTCGAGGAGGGTTCTTGCCCAGGCAGCGCAGGCTCACCACTTCGGCCTGTCGGCGGGAAAAGCGCTCCGTGCGGTAACATCCAACGCGGCCATCACACTCGGGCTCGACCATCGCATCGGGCAGGCCAAAGAAGGCTTCGATGCCGATCTCGTCCTTTGGGACAAGCATCCGCTTGCCCTGGGTGCCTCACCCGTGGAGGTTCTCATCGACGGTGTTGTCCAAAAGAGAAAGATCGGCCACGACACGCTGTCGGGCTCTAGCTTTGAGGCAAAAACGCCAAAACAGGCCAACTTCACAGAAGAGATCAAGCGCGTCTCGGTGTCACGTCCAGAAATCATCGCTTGGGAAGAGCCGGCTTTTCCTGTCGCAAAGACGAAGGTCGCAAGCGTTGCATTCAGCAATGTCAGTCAGGTGTATTCGCTCGACGGAGAGAAAGGCGCACGAAAGGTGACTGCGCAAAGCGGAAACGATGCGGCCCCGCTCTCCGTCCTTATCGAGGAAGGACAGGTCGTCTGCGTAGCGCACGATTCATCTCTCTGTCCTAGTACTGGGTCGGCGAATCGGGCGATCAACCTCAATGGAGGCACACTTATCCCCGGCGCTGTTGCCTTCGGGTCTCCTTTGGGCCTTGCCGACATCATGCCAGAACCTTCGGCGGGTGATGGCTACTCTTCTGGCAAATTCGACGACAGCACTTTCATTCCTCGAGCCGTCGATGGGCTCCGCTTCGGAGGTAACGACCTTCGACGCGCCCATGCAAGTGGCGTGAGGACGGTTGTCTCGCACCCGCTCAGCGACGGAACAGGTCCCCTCCAAGGTGTTGCTGTGCATTTCGACGCTGGCGCGACCAGTCTTTTCGACAAAGGTTCTCTTCGGAAATCGGAGGTGGCTCTTTACATCACGATTGACCACTGGCAGGCAAGCGATGAGAAGGCCTTGACGGTCTCGCAACAAATCACAGCACTTCGACGGTCTCTTCTCAACCCGAAGAAGGACGCTACCTCCGACGAGTGGGCTCGAGTGTCCAACGGAACTTTACCACTCATCGTCGAGGTTGCCAAAGCCGAGGTCATCGACCAGCTCATTCACACCAAGATTCAACATGACAAGAAATTCGGTAAAAAGCTCAGGCTCGTCCTTTCGTCCGCGGAGGAAGCCTCCTACGGCAAGATTCCAGAGAGGCTCGCGGAGCACAACATTGCTGTGCTGACGAGCCCTTTCTCTTGGCCGAGAATTTTTGATGCCAAGAGGGGCGTCGTCATTGATGGTCACTACGCCGCGTCTAAAGAGTCGTCGTTGCTCAAAAAGCTCAAAGAGGCCGGTGTCAGGGTTGGGATGAGCCTAGAAGAAAGTTGGCAGGCCATGACACTGCTTTGGGATACGGTCCAGGCGGGCGAACAGGCGGGGCTGAGCCGGCAAGAGTCCCTCGCGTTGATGTCTTCTGAGTCAGTAAATGATACTTCTTCTCTTGACCTGACGGGCATTGCTGACTCGAAACCCATCTACAGTATCCTGGACATCCTCGATCTCGACTCCAAACAAGAGATGGTAGCGTATGATGGCGATCCCTTTCAATACGGCGCAAGGGTGGTCGCAATTTCCACGCCCACCGGCGTCGACCTCATGGACTGAACGCACAAGATTTTGACCCTCTGTGCTTGCAGAATTGATATCAATACTATGGACCTTTTCCTCTCTTCCCTGTACTCGGCGACTATGACGCGAGAAGAAGGGAAACGATCTCTCCGCCGAAAGGTAGGCGGCTTACACTTCTTCACTGTCATTTGTAGAAGACGTCGTCGAGCTAGAGGAAGCAGGATTTCTTTTTCCTTTCAAGTTCTGAGTGCTTATGCGTATCGTACAGCTTGCTATCAATCTCATGAAGGCCCGGAACATGAGTTCAGATCTGGCTAAAGTGCTCCCAATCGCGGTTTACGTAGTTGAGCAAATAATCGTCGATCGTCCCTCCTTCATCGTCCTCGTCCTCTACGTTCTCACGATCTTCGTGGCCTTCACGCAGCTCACTGTTCTCTTGCTCTAGCTGCTGCTGCTGCTGCTGCTGTTGCTCTTGTCCTCCCTCCTCCGCTCGAGGAGGGGCGCCTTCAGCGATGAAATCGTCCGAGTCGAGGTTCATCTCTTGCCTTGCGGCCTTGGCCGCTTCTGCATCTTCCTCATCCTCGACTTCATCCATGGCCCTCTCGATTTTCTTGCCATTGGCAGGCTCTTTAATGGTCCCAATCTTGACGCCTGCGATACTCTCACCACCCTCGTCGAATAGTCCTTCGATCCAGCTCTCCTTCTCCTTTCCTCCCGCTCCTCCCGACAGGTGACTCATGAGGCCCTCGAAAGTGAAATCGCCCTGTTGAATGACCATGCTGTCGAGCAGGCGCTTTTGATTCGACTTGCGCAGCATGTTCTCCTCAATCGTGTGCCGGCTGACGAAGCGGTAGATATGCACATCCCTCGTCTGGCCAATCCGGTGCGCACGATCCATGCACTGCGCCTCGATCTGAAAATTCCAGTCGAGGTCCCAGAAGAGGACCGTGTCAGCCCCTGTGAGATTGATGCCCAATCCACCGGAGCGTGTCGAGAGGATGAAAGCCATGATTCTGTCGTCTCGGTTGAACTTCTCTGTCAGGCCTTGACGCTGCTCGAGCTTCGTTGCACCATCAAGGCGGAGGTAGAGGTATCCTTGCAGGTTGAGCCAGGCCTCGAGGATGTCCAATACGCGCGTCATCTGTGTGAAAATCAAGATGCGATGCCCACCCGCTTTCAAGCGACGCATGAGCACATCTAGCTCTTGGAGCTTGCCGCAGTCGTACTGGAGGAGGAATGCGTCGGGAAAGGCGATCTGCAGCTTGACTGCTGAACGGTGAAGGATGCCATCGTCGAGCTGCTGGAGCTCTTGGCTCCGATTTGCGCCAAGGGCAAGGCGAGCGACGTCGAGAGCAACAGCTGGAGGTGTCACGAATGCGAAACGGTCAATAACATCGGCGTACTGCTCTTCCCGTTGCTGGTATGAGAGCACTGCTCTGCAGGCCGTGTCGCATCGGTTGAGGGCGCCTCGGCGATCCTTCTCAGCAATGTCAAGGGGCAGGAGGTGGCTTCGATTCCCGAGTCTGGAAATGAGGTCCAGGCCGTCGCTCCCAAAGAATGGCTGGTGATTTCGGCAGCGCTCGTGGCTGACGTCGGCCATATGCTTCCATTTCCTTGCCTGTTCGCAGCGTCGACGCTGGTCGATCGTCCTCTGGAAGCTCACTATGGTAGAAGCGTCAACCTCCCTTGGCTCCTCGGCAGCCCCTCGCCCGCGCGTCTGAATGAGCTGGTCGTGAGCGTCCAGCTTTTTTAGGCTCCTGGTCGAGACCTGCGATAGATGCTCGCGCTGCGTCAGGCCCAGATCCAAGCTAACGCGTTCGTCCTCCTCTTCTCTCAGCAGCTCCCTCCTGACGAGCAGGTCCTTAATCTCGAACTCTGCCGCCACGCCCTTATCCATGGCGAAGCTCGTGACGATAGGTCTGACCTCGAAGAGATCAGGATGGTTGCAGACCTTCCGAAGCTGCATGAGGCAATTGATGATGCTCAGGTAGTTGCCCGATGCCAGGCTCTCCCGTGTCTTGGCCCGTGACATGAAGTCGTTGTACAGGAAGCGTTGCCGTTTCGACAATCGACAATGGATGACGTGCTCGTATTTCCGAGGGAGTTCTTTCTCGACCTCGCTCTTGAGCCGTCGAAGCAAGTACGGCCTCAGAAGCGTATGCAGCTTCGACACCATCCCCCTCGTCTCAGCGTCCATCTCGGCCTCTCCACGCTCGACGGCCTTGTCAAGAGGATTGGAGAACCAATCTTGAAAGTCCTTCATGTTGGCGAATCCTGTTCCTTCGCTGGTCAGACCATTGGGCATGAGGAAGTACATGAGACTCCACAGGTCCATGAGATTGTTCTGCAGTGGCGTTCCCGTGAGCAAGAGCCTCCTCTGCGAATTGAAGCCCAACAGTGTCTGCCAGCGCTGGGATCGGAAGTTCTTGATATGATGCGCCTCGTCGAGAATGAGATAGACCCAAGGCTTGCGCCGAAAGATGTGCTGGTCGGCCAGGACAAGTTGGTACGATGTGATGCAGACATTGAAGCTGTTCTCCGAGTTCCAGCCCCTGCGTTTCTCCTTGCGCTCACGTTGAGAACCGTAGTACGAGAGGATCTTGAAGCCGGGGAGAAACTTCTTGAACTCGACCTCCCAGTTCAGCATGACCGAGGTGGGGGCAACGACGAGGTGAGGACCCCAGACGCCCTTGTCGCATGCCAAGTGTCCGAGTAGAGCAATGGTCTGAATTGTCTTCCCTAGGCCCATCTCGTCGGCCAGGATACCATTTGCTCCATTGGCATAAAGATTAGCCAGCCATTCGAACCCAATTTGCTGATATGGACGAAGAGTGCCGCGGAGGAGAAATGGCGGTCTGATCTTGCTTCCCTGGTCTCTCGCCGATGAACCCTCTCGCGAAGGAAAGCCTTCCTTCGAAGACAGCCGGCTCATCGACCTGTCTCTCGACTCCTCCTCAGTCCCTTCTCTTGAGGGCGTGTGTTCCGAGTCAATCTCGGCGATCTTCGGGCTGCTTGTCAGCTTGTTGTCTGCCTCATCCTCTGCGCTGGCTTCCTCCTCTTCGCTGGCCTCGCTCTTCATCCCGCCATAGCCGTACTTCTTCATGAGCTCCTCGATGGGCATCGTTGCGTCTTCATTGAGCTCTTCATCGTCATCGTCCGCGCCACTGTCCTCCTCCCACATTTTTCGCTCCAGCTCGGCATCCTCATCCAACGCGGCGTCATTGACGGCGACAAACTCGACGTCGTCCGCATCGGCCTCATCAGCCTTTGAAGCGGCCGCTTTGAGAGCTTCGAACTTGTCACTTTTGCGTATCGTCCGCCGACTTCGGCTTTCAACCTCAACATTGCTTCCATTGGACTCGAGGTGACCGTTGGTGCGCAAAGACGGGGTAAGTGGCGAGGTTAAACTTCGCTTTGAAGGGCTGAGGTGGGAGCCGCCGCCGACTAAGAGGACTGCGTCTTCTTCTTCATCGTCGTCGTCCTCTCCTAGCTCACCCATGTCGTCGTCATCCGCGCGGTCCTCTGATCGTGCTGCGAAGCCGTTGGCAGTAGACGTGCCATTATTTACTGCTGGAGCAGGCGGAGCAGGGGTTCTGTATGCGTCATCGTCGACTTGCATTGTGTCAATGGCCGCCACTTTGACCTCTCTCTCCTCGCCCTCACTCTCCTCTTCGACGTCCTCCTCCAACTCGCTCTCTTGGCTCTCCAGTGACACCTCCTCCCCTTCACTCTCGACCATGCTCTCGTCGCTTTCAGACTCGTCTTCGTCCTCATCCTCGCTGAGGTCAGATTGGCTCGACTCCGAGTCGTCGTTTCCCAGCAGGTCCCTCTGCTGTTTGCCCAGCATCTCCTGGCTCTGTTCGAGCACCTTCTTCAGCTGCTCCCGGCCTGCACGATCTTTCTCCTCCTTCTCTAGCTTCTGCCTCGTTGCCTTGACGACATTCACAGCCAGCTTCCAGTGCTTCATGACCTCTCGAACGGTCCACTTGGCCAGCTGGCGCAATCGCCTCTCTTCTGCCTTGCGCTGCTTCTCGCCCCTCCCTAGCCGTTCGTCCCAGTAAGCAACGACCATCCGACCAACCCGCTTGGCTAGGGCCATGCGTGCCCTCGTCTCGATCCGCTGCTTGTGCGCGCGGTGCGAGATCGACTGGAGGAGCGAGTCCCACTGTGTCGGTCTGCGCGCTGGGCCCTGCTGCTTGAGCAGCCGAGGACTGACGCCACTGTCTCCTGTCAGAAGACCCTGGCTCTTCAGCTCGTCGATGCGCCGGTAAAGGTTCACGTCGCGTGCCTCGCGCTCTTGCTGCTGCCTGGGCGTGATGACTTCAAAGTCGCCAGAGTGGCTCAGATCGCCCGAAAAGATGTGCGAATGAAGGTAAGAGTGGAGGGAAGAGCCGTATTGAGGAGCTCGGGGTAGCTGGTGAGGGGCCATGACCCGAAGTCGTGGCACGCCGTCGATACGCTCGATGGTAACAGGGGGCCGTGGGACATAGCGAGGCGGCCTTCGTCTTGCTGCTGTGCCTATTCGTTTAATTTGCTTGCCCTTCTTCGGGCGAGGCGTTTCATCCTGATCTGAGTCTGAGCTCGAGGCCGATGACGATGACGATGACGACGAAGACGAAGACGATGATGAGGATGATGACGAGGACAGAGAAGAGCTCGAGTCTGAGCCTGGTGAACGTCTTGAGCCTGCAGGCGGTTTCCGCTTGCGTGGATTGTTCTGCTTCGGCGGCACAGCTGCCTTGCCTTTGCCCTTGTCCTTACCCTTGCCATTGACCTTGGAGACGACGTCGTCCATCGAGATTCGCTTGACAGGCGACCTCTTGACAGTGGTGGATGGTAGAGCGAGGTCACTTCGCTTCGCATTCAAGACTCTCCTCGTATTCCTCCGCTCGCCCCTCTGACTCCCCGCAGCACCGCCGCCGCCGTCGCCGCCCTGGTGGGATAAGCGGGCTGCCAAATCATACTCCATTCGAAACCTCTCAAAGACGTCGGTAGTGTCTTTGCGTGCTATCTGTGTGAAGGCCATTGTAAAGTTAGGACCTCTTTTTTGCAAAGCACGCCCTTGTCGGGCAGAGATATATACGGCCTTGCTTACCTCTGGATCGTAGCCTATGTAGGTCACAAATTTTGTCAGGTGGAAAAGCTCGCGGACGAGCATGTCGTGATCTGAGTGAATCGCGTCCAGTTCTCTCCTCTTTTCCTGCAGTCGCAATGATCGCCTGTCCCGCAGCGTCGCGCTTGCCACCTTCTCTCCCTTTCCCTCTTGTATCGGTGCCTTAGTAGCAGCAGAGGCAGAGCGTCTCGGTTTTGATTTGGGTCCGTGCGATGCCACGCGCTGCAACAAGGGACCGGGGGAGCCCGACGCGGAAGAAGGCGTCGTTGTCGAATTCGACGTTGCCGTTGCCGGGGCGGAGGAGGAACTGCTGGCGGCGGCGGTAGAGGGATAAGACGGGATGGCATGGGCAGCCTTGGCCGTATTGGCGGCTACCTCTCTTTGACTGGCCAGCAGACTCCTTCGGGCCCGCCTCGCCAGCAACCTCTTCCGCATCTCCTCTTCATCGTCATTGTTGCTGGGCTCCCTGGCATCGCTGGGACTCTCATCCTCATCTGTCGAATTGGTATGGGAAGAGAATGCTGGTCCAGGACTGGAGAAGCTAAGGTCCTCGAGCCGCCGCCGCTTCTTCTTGGGCCCGGGCGCAGTGCCGTTCGACAGAGGCTCTGGATTCACCTTGGATGTTGATGCTGTAGGCAACGACGACGCGTCGTCCGACGGCGGAGGCGCCGGCGGCGATGTCGAAAAAGACATCGTTGCTCGTTTCCTCTCTCGACAGTCAGCACGGCCAGGAGAGGGGAGCCGGTATGGTTCTGTGACACATTGGTCGATCGTGTGAGAGAGGTCGATCAAAGGGAGGGGATGCTTATATCCATGCCACCCATATGTCCTGAGAGTGAGGCTCTCAGCTTATGTAAGGAAACAGTCACGTGTTGGCCCGTCTCTTCAACTTTTTAAAATGCGAAAATTGGAGAGCGAGCGAGATGCATGTCGCCGGACCGAGCAAGTGTGGATGGAGGTTGAGATCGCTCAGCTCTCCAGCATCAGCAAGGCGGACTTCACGAGTCGCCCGTGCGTCAACAAGCACGAGCACGCACTGCTGCAAGACTCTACCTCTGAGTCATCTCATAGAGCCAAAGGGTGTGTATGTATGGGTGTGTGCCATGATGCAGCCAGCTCACTCAACTCCACCGTTCATTCTCATGAACCTCCAACAGCATCATAGAAAGGCACCACAACAAGTGGTCGGAGTGCAGCGAGTGGTCGGAGACGGCTTGTCGGAGTGGCACCGTAGTCAAATTTGAATCCACGCCGATCGCAGAAGCAAAAGTTGCAGAGGACGAGGAAGGGAGGACGCCCAGCAGAGATTTCGGCTTTCGAGAATGAGTGCGCCGACAGGCGGTGATGGACCACCTCCAGCATCCAACGTGGCAGGGTCCTCCACCGCGGATCCAAGTGCACTCGCAATGGCACCCTACATCCACCGATTGGCCAACCTCAACAGCGGCAGTGGCACCGTTAACAGCGCGATGTCTCCGGCGCCGTGGGAGCTCTCAAGTGGTGGTGGGGCCGCAGTCCCCTTTGTCTCGGCCTCCCAACTAGACGCACGGCCTCGGCCGCAACCAGAATCGGGTTCCTCGTCACCGCCGTCGTCATCTAGCCACCAACAAGCCAACTCCTCTGCGACTCCCGTGGCCACCGGCTCGACCAACAATGCTGCTTCTTCGACTGCGCATCTTACAAAGAACAATCCTTTCCTCAATAAGCTTCGAAGCATGGTCGACGATCCCGCAACCAACAACCTTATCCGGTGGTCGCCCGATGGTGACTCCTTCTTGGTGCCCAACCACGTCCGCTTCGGCGACGAGGTACTCCCGCGGTTCTTTAAACACAACCGCTTTTCCTCTTTCGTGCGTCAGCTCAATATGTATGGCTTCCACAAGGTGCCACACCTGCAGCAGGGCGCGCTGCGGTCCGATGCAAGTCAGGAAAGCGAGCTGTGGGAGTTCAAGAACGAATACTTTCAGCGTGACAAGCCGGAGCTTTTGGCGTACATGCAGCGCAAGAAAGGAGCCAAGGCTGACGAGGAGGCAGCCCTGTCGACAAAGGGGAAAGGGAGAGAGGATGAGGGGAATGAGCTGGCGCTCACGAAGGGAAACTCGAGCGAGGCAGGAGCCATCCAGCTTGCCTCGGTGTGGAATGCGATACAGGCGATACAGGCTGCCCAACAGGGGATCAACGACAACATCAGACACCTTCATTCCAGCAATGCCGAGCTGTACCGGGAAGCTGCCGAGCAACGGGCGAGAAGCAAGAAACAGGAGGATACAATCAACAAAATGCTTCGGTTCCTTGCCGGCGTGTTTGGTGCGCAAGATGTTGGAGGGCTGGGAGGCGGCGAACGTAGAGGCAACGAAGGTGGACCGGGTCAAAGCAACGACGGCAGACGCAGAGTTGTAGTACGCCCCACTGCCAAGAACCGACGCCTCCTTATCGGCGACTCTACCAACTCCGCTGGACACAGCGACGGCAACCACGCAGATGACGAAGACCAGATCGCAGAGCTGGAGCTGCCCATGGAGGGCGATGCCAGCATCGAGGAGCTCACGCCTAGCAACCGCTTTTCTGAGGCACGCTCCAGCTCCAATTCGCCGCGTGACGGCTCTCCAACGCAGCGCTTCGCCAGCCTCAACTCTTCGCCACCTCGGCCGACTTCCAACGACCTGCCTAACATCTCTTCTGAAGTCACTGCTACGCCTGGCGGGGGCAGAAGAATCTCGCAGCAGGCCGGTGCCCAGATCCTGAATGCGCTGTCTTCTGGGGAAGGTAGCACCTGGCTGGCCAACCTCTTTGGTCAGCAGCAACCTGCCAGTTCAAGTTCTCCCAATGACCAAGCGAAAGCCGCCTCAACACCAGGTGGTGGAAGCTTCAAGCTGGACCCACAAACACTGCAGACCCTGCAGAGTGTCCTTGGGGGTGTGGGTGATGGGAGCGGCGGGCACGATTACTTTGACACGGGCGCCACCCGAGACGAAGGAGGCCGCTTCACCTACCCATGGAGCGCGGCAGCTGAATCAAACGGACAGAAGACCGTCACGACCCCGCCAGTGGCTGAGCTTGGCAAGTCGGTGCAGAAGAATGACCAGAACCTCACGGGTACAACACAAGACGCAGCGATGGTGCAAAACGCTCTCAACACGCTCGTGGAAGGACTTCGCATTCAACCAGGGACCAATCCTGGCGTTGGTGTCGAAAATTGGAGCAATAACAACCAGCAGCATAACAACGTACCCTATGTACCTTACTCGACAGGCACAGATAGCAACCCCGTCGATGCCGGTCTGGACATGGACTCATTGCTTCACGAGTTTCTCAACCCGGCTAGCTCAGGCGGTGACTCTGCCATGACGCCCGGTGCTTCACCTGGCCATGAAGGGGAACCGTCGTACGCATTTAGCCCCAACACGACAGCCCTAGGCGAAAGCGCCACACCTGCACACTTGAAAGAGGAACGGAGTTCAAGCCGATCTGGAACAAACACGCCTGACCAGACTGGCTCTCCAGCTGCGTCAAGTTCACGAAAGAGAAAAGAATTCGAGGGCGCGCTGGCCGCCGACATCGACAAGGCCAATGCAAAGTCCAAGAGAGCGAGCACCGTAAAACAAGAAAATGACTGATGATAGATACCCCCACTCCTCTCTCGACACCGTTCATTGTATTTCTGTAACATCTGAAAATTTGCTAGCACCTTCGAGGCCGAAATACAATCATCGACAAGCTTCGAGACCACGCTAGCAGCTTATGTAATCTGTCCGAAAAGAAGCTCAGAGAACATTTTTGAGAGGATGGAAGATTATGTAAGCAAAACGAAACGGCTTCCTCTCGCTTGGGCGCCGTTGGTGGAGAAGACCAAGGAAGTTTTTAAGAGCGTCGAAGGCCGCACCGAGCTTCCCTCTCAACCACATCAGAGTTCATATCCTCTACCACCGCGTTACGACTAGACAAGCAACTCTCAGGCATTGCCAAACCTCTCTGAACAAGCCACAGGTGAGCACAACCATACTCATTCTTCCCCCGTTGGAGGAATAGCACGTATACTCACTCCTCGTCATCACCATTGCCGCCACGCAGAACCCTTTTCCCCCATACAAACAAACCACATAATGGCCGCCAAAGCTGTTGGTATCGACCTCGGTACCACGTACTCGTGCGTCGCCGTCTGGCAAAATGACCGTGTCGAGGTTATTGCCAACGACCAGGGTAACCGTACCACGCCATCATACGTCGCCTTCACCGACACGGAGCGACTCATCGGTGATGCCGCCAAGAACCAGGTTGCCATGAACCCTCACAACACCGTCTTCGACGCCAAGCGATTGATCGGCCGCAAGTTTGACGACCAGGAGGTGCAGTCGGACATGAAGCACTGGCCCTTCAAGGTCGTCAGCCAGGCTGGAAAGCCCCAGATCCAAGTCGAGTACAAGGGCGAGCAGAAGACTTTCACTCCTGAGGAAATCTCCTCGATGGTTCTCCTCAAGATGAGGGAGACCGCCGAGGCTTACCTTGGTGGCAACGTCAAGGACGCTGTCGTCACCGTGCCCGCATACTTCAACGACTCGCAGAGGCAAGCGACCAAGGACGCTGGTATCATCTCGGGCATGAACGTCATGCGAATCATTAACGAGCCCACCGCCGCTGCCATCGCATACGGCCTCGACAAGAAGGGCGAGGGCGAGAAGAACGTTCTCATCTTCGACCTTGGTGGAGGTACTTTCGACGTTTCGCTCCTGACGATTGAGGAGGGCATCTTCGAGGTCAAGGCCACCGCAGGTGACACTCACCTCGGTGGTGAGGACTTCGACAACCGCCTCGTCAACCACTTCGTCCAGGAGTTCAAGCGCAAGAACAAGAAGGACCTCACCTCCAACGCCCGTGCTCTCCGTCGTCTCCGCACTGCTTGCGAGCGAGCAAAGCGAACTCTGTCGTCGGCCGCCCAGACATCGATCGAGATCGACTCGCTCTTCGAGGGCATCGACTTCTACACCAGCATCACCCGTGCACGTTTCGAGGAGCTGTGCGGTGACCTCTTCTCGCACACCATCGAGCCCGTTGAGAAGGTCCTCCGTGACTCCAAGATCGACAAGGGATCCGTCCACGAGATTGTCCTTGTCGGCGGTTCCACTCGTATTCCCCGTGTTCAGAAGCTCCTCCGTGACTTCTTCAACGGCCGGGAGCCCAACAAGAGCATCAACCCCGACGAGGCTGTTGCTTACGGTGCTGCCGTCCAGGCCGCCATTCTCTCGGGTGACACTTCGGAGAAGACGCAGGACCTGCTTCTTCTCGATGTTGCACCGCTTTCCATGGGTATCGAGACGGCCGGTGGCGTCTTCACGGCTCTCATCAAGAGGAACACGACTGTCCCCACGAAGAAGTCGGAGATCTTCTCGACCTACGCGGACAACCAGCCTGGTGTCTTGATCCAGGTCTACGAGGGTGAGCGCGCACGCACAAAGGACAACAACCTCCTCGGAAAATTCGAGCTCTCGGGAATCCCCCCGGCTCCTCGTGGTGTTCCCCAGATCGAGGTCACTTTCGACCTCGACGCCAACTCGATTCTTTCCGTCAACGCCGCTGACAAGACATCGGGCAAGTCGGAGAAGATCACCATCACCAACGACAAGGGCCGACTGAGCAAGGAGGACATTGAGCGCATGGTGTCCGAGGCTGAGAAGTACAAGGCTGAGGACGAGGCGGCGACGTCGCGCATCCAGGCCAAGAACGGACTCGAGTCGTACGCATACAACCTCCGAAACAGCCTCAACGAGGAGCAGTTCGCTTCTAAGCTCGAGGCTGGCGACAAGGAGAAGCTCGACAAGGCCATCACCGACACCATCAGCTGGCTCGATGCCAGCCAGGAGGCCAGCAAGGAGGAGTACGAGGAGCACCAGAAGGAGCTCGAGGGCATTGCGAACCCGATCATGCAGAAGGCTTACGGTGCGGCTGGCGGTGCCCCTGGTGGCATGCCCGGCGGTGCGCCCGGCGCTGCGCCCGGTGCTGGCGGCGACGACGGCCCCAGCGTCGAGGAGGTCGACTAAACAGTTCGCTCCCCTCCAAAAGGAAACAAAAATAGAGATTTCATACACCGACAAGACATTTCGGTCTCCTTTTACTTCTACATATCTTGTATCTCACAGCCTTTCTTTAGTGTCAATCATCAGATCGTTCTTTTCTTGAGATGCCGAGACGAATGCATACATTCTACACCTGAAAGTTGAGAAATGACAGAAAGCATGAGATTTGTGCTACCCCGAAAGCTTGTGTGAAGGACCCCAGAGACTGTCGTGTGCATTCGCTCCTATGCACCTGATGGCTGTTCTCCGACCATGAAGTGGAGCTCGTGTATTTCCACGTGTCGGAGAGAACGCAATTTTTAGAGCTCTTTCCAACACTAATCCTGAAGAACTTCTCCCCATCTCCGTCTCCTTTCCCTCTCCGACGCTTTCTTCGCGACACCATGAGCAGCGACTCGCCTGCCAAAGACCTCGATGCGGTCACGCAGAGAATCAACAGCATGATGAGCAAGAATGGGGCGGAGAATGGCGCCGCGGCTGAAAAGGTCGAAGAGAAAGACGATAAGGAGAAGGCAGGGAGTGAGTTGGATGTTGTTGGAAGAGGGAGGCTGCGCGCTCTCGTGTGTATGTGCAGGAGCAAGGACCACTAACACGGAGACTTCCTTGGTCAGGCTCCGATCTCCGAGAGTCAAGTTATGAGGTCAAGGTCACGCTTGCCGACCAACAGGCAGACCCAAATTCGCCATTGTACAGCGCAACGAGCTTCGAAGATCTGGGGCTGCATGAAGACCTTCTCAAGGGCATCTACGCGATGAAGTACCAGAAGCCTTCCAAGATTCAGGAGCGAGCCTTGCCGCTCTTGCTCCAGAACCCGTGAGTTTTCCTTTTATTCCCCTTCGAGCAAAAAGGGGAAACTGATAAACCTCGAGAGATAGGCCTCGCAACATGATCGGACAATCGCAATCGGGTACCGGAAAGACTGCCGCCTTTGTCCTCACGATGCTTTCACGTATCGATTTCGACCTCCAGAAACCTCAAGCTATTGCTCTGGCTCGTGAGTCCACAACAAGCCTAGCTGGTGAAGCAGTCTGCTTGCTGACTTGCCACGCTAGCCTCTCGTGAGCTCGCTCGTCAAATTATGGACGTTGTCACGACGATGGGCAAGTTCACAAAGGTCAAAACGTGCTACGCCATCCCCGACGCCGTCAAGCGCGGCGAAAAGGTTGACGCTCACCTCATCGTGGGCACTCCGGGAAAGACATTTGACCTGATTAAGTCTCGCTCCATCGACACGTCCAACATGAAGGTCTTCGTGCTCGACGAAGCCGACAACATGCTCGACCAGCAAAGCTTGGGCGAACAAAGCATTCGTGTGAAGAAGTGAGTGGCTTCTGTTGTTAACAAAGCTGTTTTTACGGACACTCACGGGCGTAAAAACTAGCACAATGCCAAAGACGTGTCAGCTCGTGCTTTTCTCAGCCACCTTCCCCGACAACGTTCGAGACTATGCTGCCCGGATTGCACCGACCGCGAACGAGATCCGACTTAAACAAGAGGAGCTCAACGTCGACCTGATCAAGCAGTTCTACATGGATTGCGAGAGCGAAGACCACAAGTATGAGGTACTTGTCGAGCTCTACAACCTGCTCACAATCGGCCAGAGCATCATCTTCTGCGCGGTAAGTTGGATTTCTAACTGTTGGCTTTGCAAGGGCTTACCACCCCACTTAACAGAAACGAGAGACTGCGGATCGAATAGCCGAGAAAATGACGAAGGAGGGCCACAAGGTTGATTCGCTGCATGGCAAACTTGACACAGCCGAGCGTGACCGGACTATTGACGCCTTCCGAGATGGCAAGTCCAAAGTCCTCATCTCGACGAATGTCATCGCTCGCGGAATCGACATCCTGCAAGTCACTTGCGTCATCAATTACGACATGCCCTTGAGTGGCGACAACCAGGCAGATGCGGAGACCTATCTGCACCGAATTGGTGAGCAGCACTTGTATATTGTTGACTTTGCAATGCTGACCTCGTGTCCCTATGGAACAGGTCGAACGGGTCGATTCGGCCGCAAGGGTATCTCGATCAACTTTGTCCACGACCAGGCATCATGGCAACTCATGAACCAGATTGAGAAGAAGCTCCAGTGCTCCATCACCCGCGTGCCCACGACAGACTTTGAAGAGATGGAAAAGATCATCAAGGACTGTGAGTGCCGCTCTCCCTCGCTCAATTCGAGAGTCAACGGGCTGAAAAAAGACGTGTTTATCTCGGCAGCGCTCAAAGCCTGAGGAAGCACCTCAGTACGGCACTGAATACCAGTGGGACAGCCCTGTACGCTCCCCCTTCTACTTCTTCCATCGCTGGCAGAGTCTCAAACAAACTCTTTCATCGTCCTTGGGTAGTCCTTGTCTAGAGAGTGGAATTGACAGAAATATAGGAAATGTCCCACGTGCATTTCGAATAGTGGACATTATGGACACACAGACGAGGCGGTCACAGGTGCGAAGATTGACTGGTTGTTCAACCCGTAGCCACGTCCACTTTGTCCTTTCTCTCTACATCACTCCCATCTCTCTCGTCTTTATTCGCTGAAGCGGACAAAGAAAACCGGCTCGATTCTCTTCTCTGAGCTCAACAAGACGAGCAAGGGCGGGGATGGAGAGAAAGTGACCAGGGCGTGACGAGCTTTAGAACCATGCACGGGACAACCTCGGATGGAGGACGAGGTGCGGGCGCTGATGCGGGCAACAGCAGCACCAGCAATAGCGTCGGCAAGAGTCGCAAAACCGACGAGCAAGAGGACGAGGAAAACAGCGGAGACCTTGGCCTCCAAGGATTTTCTTCGTCTTCGGCATCGGCGGCGTTTGACGATGGCGGCGCCTCCGCGCTGACTCCAACGTTGCCCAGGGCTGATGAGGGACGAGCGGCGATGATGAGACGTAGCAAGGCCGTGGAAGGGGTCCACTCAGCAGGCAGAGAGAGTCTGTCGAGCATCTCATCCTCGGCTTACTTTTCGGCTGCCGACGAGGGCAAGGAGGCCTCTTCAAGAGGTGACGAGTCCGTCGTTTCGCAGTCGGTCGCAGCGCCTGCAAGCAATGAGAAGTCCGCACCTCAGATGCTGTCAAAGGGCAAGTCTAAAGAAGAAGTTCCGCAAGGAGAGACCGAGGTGACCGGGACGCGCAACTCCAAGTCGAAGGGCAAGAGAAGAAAATCAAGCACGACGAAGCTGACAAAGCTTCGCGAGGAGCTGGCGGGGCCGCCGTCAGAGCGGCCAGCGGCGGGCACTGAGGGCGGGCCACCTCTTTCGCCTCGATCAGCCTCCGCTCTCTCCAAGGAGAGGGAATTGGGCGAGCAGGCGAGACACGACAGCAATGGTGGAGGCGATCTAGCGGCTTTCTCCGCTGCATCGACGATGGCGATGCCCTCGATGGGCATGGGTGGAAGCAGCCCCGTGCAGCTATCTGCAGCCTTGCCACGCTCTCGACAGGCTTCGACGTCCTCTCTTGGAACTGAAGCTGCTTCTTCATCGCCGGGACAAGGGGGAAGGACGTCGCTGACCAACAAGACGCGACGGCCAGGTGCGCCGAACACCCAGGGAGGCCCAGACTCGCCCATTCCTCTGATGCAGCCTTTTTCCGCACTGGGCATCGCCGATGATGAACCCCCTTCCCCTTCGACGTCCAAAGCTCAGACCTCAACACTTTTGGAGGCAGTCACGGCCCCGCTCTCGGACGAGGCGGCCCTCCAGCGTTGGGTCCTCAGCGTTGGCTGCGTCACCTTCGACCTGGAGAGAGGCCCTGAACTAGAGTTTCTCTATCCGAGCCTAGGTATCAGCAGAGAGGAGAGGGACAACATCGCTTTCTCTTCGTTCCCCGACACGTCCATCTTCGACAATGGCTCTTGTGTCTTTTCATGGCGAGTGAGAGAGGTGCCATTGGATCCAGTCGAAGCGGCACAGTCGTCCTCTTCAACATCGTCGAGTGCAACAATGCCCCCACCCAGCATACCCATATCTCCCGAGGAGACAAGCCCCAAAACAAAGACGGTTCCATTGGACTCGGTCTCGACAAAGAAGATGCCCAGTGAACAAAGTGGAGGAGCGCACCACAGGCTTTGGAGGAGCTCGGGGCTGAGGGAGGCGTCGTCCGGCCAGGCGCGATCTTCAGCTGCATCGTCGAGGAGCTCCTCCCCCCTGCCTTCGAAAGGTTTTGCGACCGAGCGGCAAAACAGTCTCGGCGCCACCTCGAATAGCTCGGTGGAGGGGGAGAAGCAAACAGCATATGCGTCGAGCCAGCCAACACAAGACGATGCCGTTCCCTTGACGGTTGCAGTTGGCGCGAAACGGAGCAGCAGTCAGAGCAGCAACTACATATACGGGTACTGCTTCTTCAGACAGAAGCGGGATCCGAGCATCAGGAGAGGCTACTTCCAGAAGTCCGTCGTTATCCTTACCCATCTCCCTTACGTCGCTTTTTTCTCTCAGATCGTCTCGCGCCTTGGCCCGTTATACTTTGAGCACGGCATGCCCATGCTGGAGGCCTTTTGCAATGACGTCCGCCAATGGCCCTCGCCCGAACCTGGAGCGACTTTGCGCTTGCCTCTGCTCGGTGCGTTCATCACCGTGGCCCTGCCCTATGGCAGTCAGCCGCAAACGAGCAATGCGGCCGAGTCTAAGCTACCTCCCTCGACGAGCGCTGCCGGCAGACCCAATAGCTTCCTCATCGCTCGCGGCAGCAGTAGGCGAGCTTCTGCTTCGAGGCTCGACTCATCCTCGCTCAGTAATGACGATCCTATCGTCGCCTCGATCCCGTCGACACCGCTCGTTGAGACGTTTCGCGAGGCGCTGGGGGATCTGTGGGTACTTTGGGAGTGCATGCTTCTCGCAGAGCCGATTCTTGTCGTTGGGCCCGACCCTAGTACTTGCTCGGAAGCCGTCTGGCAGCTACTCGACCTCATCCGGCCGATCCCCTTTGCTGGTGATTGGCGGCCGTTCTTCACCATCCACGACTTTGACTTCAAGACACTCATCACACGCAACAAGCCGGCCGCTGGTACCATCCTGGGTGTCACAAATCCGCATATGCTCATGGCATGCTCGCACTGGCCACATGTCCTGAGAGTGGGGAGAACGCAGGTACGCAAAGGCCAAAGCCAGCATTTCGGCCACCATCACTCCATGTCTTCGGCTGGCAAGAAAGGGGGCATCGCTGCGCCTGCAGGTGGCGGCGGTATCGCAGGTGGTAATTCGGCGGGTGGCGGTGGTCCCGAGCACGTAGCCGGCTTCACATCAAAGCGACGAAGGCGCATCAGCAAGGACCGACCTTTGCTCCGTCGTCTGACGGAGATGGCAGAGAAGAGGACAGACGACGTAGCAGCAAATGCTATGCTGCGACGGTACTTTTCCGATTTGACCGAAAGGTTTCTGGCGCCCTTGAATCGATACGTTTCCTCTCTGATACCAGCCGACTTCGACCTGAGTAGCCCAACAGAGACGCCAAAGATCAAGCCCTTTAGCACGACAGCATTTCTGGCAAGCCTTAAGGCGCATGGAACGCCGCTCCCAATGAAGAGTCGCAACCTGCCGACCGGTTCTTCCGTCAGGCAGAGCCTTTACCTCGATTTCATCCAGTGTGAGTGCTTTTCTAGCAATGATTGATTTCTTGTCGCTGACAGCCTTTTACAGGTCCCAACTTCAGCCTCTGGCTCCGCGACCATATTTGCCAGGCAGAAGAGGAGCAATGGAGGAGGAAGATTGCCGCATTGGAACAGGGCGATGTGACGTCGTTTGCAAAGACGAAGGGCGAGATTGAGACGATCGACCTCTACTCGAGACTTGTCGAAGAGATTCGACTCGTCGATCTTAGACTTACTATCCCGCCAGAACCAGGTCCAGGAAGCCGGTGGAGGACAGACAAGGTGGCGACTCAATCACGCGACGCAAAGCATACATTGAGCAAGTCTAACTCGTCCACGGCGACTCTTGGCAAGGGGAGCGGGACGCTCGTGTCAGGGGAAAGGAACTTGCTAGCCAAGAGGGCCAAATTGATTGAACAGCTCGACAAGCTCGTCAAGACTCTGCCAGAGGACCTGCGCAACACGCTGCAGCTCAAGACGGAGGCGGCAGCCGCAACAGCAGCTTCGTCGTCTAGCCCCTTACCATCGGCTCATGCCGGTCCAACGTCCTCCTCGTCTTCCTCCTCATCGAACAACAAGCCGGCTGTCCGGCAGGACGACTGATCCTGCTCCCTATGATACCTTTCTGTCTTCTTCATCCCTTCATTTTGTTGTTTTTCTCATCAGTGGCATCTTACAGTCGCTTCAATGCAAACTTCAAGTGAGAATCGTCCAGAACCGAAGCCTTCTGAAATCTGCAGTGTGTTTGTCGAAGGCGAGTCCCACCCGAGCTTTTCTCGACGAGCGTGAGGGTCTCCTACGCGTCTTGGCGCGCGCGCGTTTTGAGATCAACTCCGTGGAAATTGGCTGCAGCTCATTCTGTTGTTCCTTTCTTCCCTGCTACCCGTGCCTTGGGGAAGACTGGGGAGGCGGGCAAGGAACAATGACGTTTCCTACGGATGCCGAGCTCACCGCGTACCTGACGAAGAAGATCCACAAGGCTTCGGACCTCGCGTGAGTCGTTGCCCCTCTTGCGCCTTTCAGCATGATTTGCGCTCCGTCCTGACGAGTCGCGGCCATGCAATATCTCCCCAGATCTCTTTCGCGCCGGGTACTCAAAGACTCTGTGGTGGAGCGTTATGGACTGGGGACGGAGGAGAAGAGGAGACTCGAAGAGGATGAGAGGATCAAGCAATTGGTCAAGGATGTAATCACGAGGGCAGTCGTGAGTGCTTCCCTCTCTGGCAGCAATATGGCTAATCGAGGGCTAATGGTATGGTGGTTGGGGGTGGCAGAAAGAAAGGGAGAGCCTGGAGGATGCCGGCAGAGCGAATGAAGCTACCCAGGAGAAACGGATCAAGGGCGATCGCCCGAAGCCGAAAAAGGCGAGCAAAGTAAAAGAAGTGGAAGAGGAAGAGATGAACGACGATGACGACGAGCAGCAGGCGCAGCACTTGTCTGACTTTTCGTCCATGGAAGACAGCGATGAAGGACCTGCCCCCAAGAAAAAGGCACGCAAGAGCTCTTCGCCCTCGTCGCGAAAGAAGTCGGCCTCAGTGACACCGGCGGGAAAGGAGAGCGACAAAGTCAAACGTCTGAAATCGTACATCTTTCTTGCGGGACTGCGAAAACCCTACAAGAAGATCTTTGCCGATGCCAACTGTAGCGATCCTCCCCCTTCCTCCTCAGCGAGCGAAGAGGCCAAGGTGTACAAGAAGCAAATAAGCATCCTGCAAGGGATACTGCAGGAGGAACTCGGGATCGAGGGAAGGCCAACAAAGGAAAAGTGTAAGATTGCCAGGGATAAAAGGGAATGGGAGAAGGAAATGGAAGAGATTCAACGGGCAGGGAAGACGGAGAGGGCAAGGACGAGGGGTGGAGCGAGAAAAAGCTTGGCAGACGTCGGTGAAGGCAGCGAGAACGAGAAAGACGAGGGTGATGAGGAAAGAGGGGAAGAGGAGCCCGCGTCAAAGCCTCCCAAGGTAACATTGCTCTTCTGTCGTCTTCTCAAAGGTCTGGAAACTGAACAAGGGTCCTGCCAGTTCAATCGCTTTTTGGCAGATTTTGCCGCCTCGTTAAATGACGACTGAGCGGATCTGAATAGCTTATTTCACTCTGTACCAGTACAACTTCTTCATCGACTAACAATCTACTGAAGGCCGCCCCAATTCGGTGGAAGATTGGCCAGGCCCACTCCGACGGGCAAGTCATTGTTCGTCTGTCCTCCTTGCCCACCTTGGCCTTGCTGATCATGAGATGGTTGTTGCTGGTGACGATGTTGCTGTTGCTGTTGTTGTTGTTGCTGTTGTTGGAGCGCCGCCAACGCCTGCAGGTGCTGCTGCATGCCATTCATCAGGAAATTTTGCCCTTGGCCTTGCCCCGCCTGTTGCTGTTGCGCCGCTTGGTGCGCCTGGACTTGTTGCATGGCTCTTTGAATGGCCTGCTGCTGCTGAAGCTGCTGTTGCGTCATCTGCTGCGGCGGCGCTCCAAAGACTCCGTTGTTGCCGGTCGTGCCACCCGTTCCTCCGGTAGCATTGTTGCCAAAGAATGGCATAGCAGGACTGCCGCCGCCTAGCAGTCCTGGTGACGACATTTGCTGCCCTGGTTGTTGCTGCAGAGGGTAGCCGACCGGGAACATGGAGTTGGGCAGCCCGCCAGCTCCTGCTCCCATCGAGTGCATCCCGCCTTGCTGCTGCTGTTGGTGCAGCTGTTGCTGCTGCTGGAGCATGTGCTGTTGGAGGTGTTGTTGCAATTGCTGCTGAAGCTGACTGTTGTTGCTTGCGTCTGGCATTTGCTGCGGCTGCTGTTGCTGTTGCTGCTGTTGCTGCTGTTGCTGCGATTGAGAGTTGGCAACCGGGCTCGAGGACATTGTCATGGAGGCGAGACTGTTCTTCTTCTTGACGGTCTTTGACTTGGATGCGCTTCCAGCAGCAGCGGCAGCGGCCGCGGCCGCGGCGGCCGCAGCATTACCCTGGGTTGGCGGATTGGGAGTGGCCGACTGCTGCTTCTTGGATTTCTTCTTGCCACTCGCAGTGACCGAGCTGTCCCCGTTTGCTTCCGCGGCGGCAGCGGCAGCGGCAGCGGCAGCGGCGGCCTGCGCCTGTTGAGCAGCAGCGGCAGCCTCCTCCTCCTGCTTTTGCTTCTTTTTGCTCTTGTTCTTGCCCTTTTTGCCCGTAGAAGCTGCTGCAGCTTCTTGCTCTTCCTTGACTTTTGCCGCAGCGGCAGCTGCTGCTGCCTGAGCCTCCCTCTCGGCTGCCTCTCGCTCCTCCTTTTCACGCTTCTTCTTGTTCTTTTTCTTCGTCGTCGGTTGAGCTGCCGGTGACGGGCTGGGCGGTACTTGCTCCTCTTCGTCATCGTCTGCCGCTGCCGCTGCAGAAGCGGATTTGCTCTTCTTCTTTTTCTTTGTCGCTGCCTTTTTCTCGCCGCCATCTCCTGCTCCTGCAGATGCATCGGGCAGGCGACCGCCTCCATCGACGGATCGTCTGGCCTCGTTGTCCTTGGCGGCCTTCCAGCGTTGAATAAATGCGATGCGACCAAATCTGTGCACGGTCCTGTCAGCTCTCAGTCTCACGCTCTCCAAGAGGCAGCCTGCTTGCTACTTACGTTGGGGCAAATCCTCCACCAGTGCCGGCCACAGCACTGGCAGCAGCTGCACTTGCTCCATCCTTTGTTCTGCCAATGGCGGCCGAACGATCGCCGCCGTACTCCATGAGACGCATGATTTTGTCCCTCTTTTTCCGGTTGGCCTCGTCGGCTTCCATCTCGATGCTGTTGATGCCCCTCTTTCGAGTCGATGCCGTCTGCGCCTGCTGTTGATGGCGGTGGTACGGCAGCGGCGGGCCCGACGAGGCCGAAGAGGACGGGTTGTAGGCAGATGGAAGCGCCGTGGCACTCAGCGTAAGATTGGCCATCCGACTTGCCTGAACGTCGGGCGTGAGGCAGAGTGGTGGTGAAGTCAAAGAGAGGATCCTTGATTCGATCTCGAGGGCCTCGTCGTCGGACCACAGCCTGTGGCCCTGGCCTTGATTCAGCTGCCGCAGATCGGACCAGAGTGTCTCGGGTGTGGGATAGAGGACGACACGATAGACATTTGGCGATGCTCGCCCGTCTGCAGACCCATCTGCATTGCCAGAGGCGCGGTTGCCAGTGCGTTGAAAGTAGCCATAGTTGCCGCCAAGGCTCCGACTGAGTGAGCGAGAGGGGCCTGCGCTGGGGTCATCGTCATCGTCGCCGTTGTTGCGATCCCCAACTCGCCCTTTAGCACCATCTTGCTGGCTTCCTGAACCCTTTGAGATCTTCGCAAGGTGTGAAGCAGGCAGCGGGGACGCCGAAGACGACGAAGGTGGCCGGTGGTCGTGGATCTCGATGATGAGACAGCCTGAACACCCATTCGATCAGTCCAGTGCGTTCGCAAACACTGACGCAAAAACGGCAAGATTTGCTCACCTTCAAAGAAGGGCACATTGGCCTCGTCAAAGAGGTCCGTCAGGTCGGCCGGCACCTTCTGATCACGAATGAAGCCGAGGAGATGCTGTGCCGTGCCCCGCTTGTGTCAGCTCTGCACCCAAATATATACAGCATACAACATCGGAACAAAGAGCGGCCTCCTCACCTTCATTGGGCCATCACACGAGAATGTGACGTTCTAGCGCGCGCAGGACGATGCTTCGTCAGCACTTGCTCAAATCTCGCAGAGTGACAAGAGGAACACACTGACCTGTTTCTCGAAGCGGAAGTTGTTGGTAAAGAGGTGCAGCACGAGGCTGGGCGCCTCCTTTCGGTGCCGCTTGAGCACCTGCCGGGTGGTGCGCGAGGCATTGTAGACGGACGCCGTCGTCGCCATCGTCTAGTCCGTGGGCCGCGTTCCCGGCTCGGTCGATGGCTGGCCCCGTGGCTTCTCCTCGTACCTCGCGATGGTTATCGTGCGCCCTATTCACCCCAGCGTCCTTGCTCTACACTATCTCGTCATGAAACCGAGGGTCAGGCGTGCGACTGCCTCTTGGATGGATGGATGGATGGATGGATGCGCGCGTGTAGCAGCTTGGCAGTAGAGGAAGGTGTGCGTGCTTGTTTGTGTATGCAGGGATCGCGAAAAAAGCGAAGGAGCACAGGCGCATACATACGCTTGGACGGCTAAAGGCTATTTTATTCTCGCTCTTCCTCCACCGCCCACGGGGGCAATTATTATCAACGGCCACAAGGGAGAAGAACTGCAATGACGCTCGCCGCGGTGGCCCAGCTCACATCAAGCGGCCTCATCGCCGAGAATCTGTCGACGTGCATCTCGCTGATCCGGCGGGCCTCGTCGGCGGGCGCCAAGGCCATTTTCCTGCCCGAGGCGACCGACTTCATTGCCCCCGCCGCCTCGGTGGCCGCCCTCACGCGCTCCGCCGAAGCAAGAGACTTTGTCCAGGGTATCCGCGACGCAGCGAAAAGCGCGGGCATCTGGGTCTCTGTGGGCATCCATGAAGATCCTTCGGGCGGATCCTCCTCCTCCTCCCCCTCCAGCACCGCAAATGGCAAGGGCCAGGAGAGGTGCTACAATACCCAGCTGCTCGTCGATGAGCGCGGCGAGGTGCGGGCACGGTACAGAAAGACGCACCTGTTCGACGTCGACATCAAGGGCGGCCTCACCATTCTCGAGAGCAATACCACCGTTCCTGGCGAGGAGCTCCTTGACCCCATCAACACACCACTAGGAAACGTAGGGGTGAGTTTGACCGCTGCTTTCTCGCTCCTCTTCTCGCCGCGAATGCTGACTTCTTACGGCGGCGGCAAGCTCTTGACTTGCTACGACTTGCGCTTCGCCGAGCCAGCGCTGGCACTCCGCGCAAGGGGCGCCCACGTCATCACGTACCCCTCGGCTTTCACGGTGCGGACCGGCGCCGCGCATTGGGAGGTCCTTCTGCGGGCGCGCGCCATCGAGACGCAGTCTTGGGTCCTCGCCGCTGCCCAGGTTGGCGCTCATGCAGGAACTGCGCGCGTGTCGTGAGTGCAGCTCAGATGGAACATTTGGCAAACAGAAAGCAAAGTGCTAATGGTGATCAATCGGACAGATGGGGACATGCCATGATCGTGGACCCCTATGGCTCTGTCGTGGCACAGACGAGCGACATGCAGCCATACAAGCCCACCTTCTGCCTCGCAGACATCGTGAGTTCATCATGCTCCTCCGCCCCATCCCTTTTGTTCAAACTTGCCTGATATGCGCAAACATCGCAAACAGGATCTGGACTCGTTGGAGAATGTCCGGAGAGAGATGCCGCTCTGGGACCAGAGACGGACGGACCTGTACCCTCGAATTCCATAGGCTCACGGCCCGCTTTGATGCTACTATTATTACACACACGCATACACACGTCTTCGTTGTCTTGCTGCTCTATGCACCGATGGTTTGGGCCACTTCTTCGAGGGCCTCCTTGAAGATGCGGCAGGCCTCGTCAAGCTCCTTTTCAGTGATGTTGAGCGCTGGGATGAAGCGAATGACATCGAAGCTGGATGAAGAGGGGTAGAGGGACGTCAGCCAAAGGACCACAAAAAGAAACAAGGAGAATACAGAAGCAGGACTCACCAGCTCGTGCTGAGAAGGAGCATGCCTCGCTTGATGCAGCCCTGGACGACCTTTGGCGCAATCTGCTCGGCGCCAGGCCCGTACAGCCACGGGTCCTCGGCCACTGTCGCATTCTGGGAGCCGGCATTGACAGTGATGGCTGCCTTCGTCTTTGGGTGGACAAACTGGAGACCAATCATCAGGCCTTGGCCACGGATGTCCTGAATCAGGTTGCCGGCCTTTGTGCCCGACTTCTGAATCGACTTGAGGAAGCCGACGAGCTGCTCGTGCCTCTTTGCGACATTGTCGAGGATGCGCTCCTCGTCAAACGTCTTGAGAACGGCGCTGGCCGCTGCGCACGCGACGGCATTGCCCGAGTAGGTACCACCCATGCTGCCCGGCGGCTGCAGGTCCATGAGCTCCTTTCTGCTGGCGATGCCGCTGAGGGGAAAGCCGTTTGCGATGCCCTTTGCAAAGATGAGGACATCGGGCCGAACACCGCTGTGCTCGACGGCCCACATCTTGCCCGTGCGGCCGCACCCGGACTGGACCTCGTCACAGATGAGGAGGATGCCGTGCTTGTCGCAGATGGAGCGCAGGCCGTGGAGGAAAGCAGGTGGCGCAGGCACGTAGCCGCCCTCGCCCACGACTGTCTCGATGAGGATGGCCGCCGTGTCCTTGGGAGCCGACTGCTGGGCCAGAACAAGGTTGAGCTGGTGCAACGACGAGGCAACAAGTGTCTCCTCGGGTGTGTCGGCGGGGAGGCCGAGCTGCGAGTAGTAGGGGAAGGCCGTCGTGTAGACACCAGACATGAGGGGACCAAAGCCCTCCATGTACACCGTCTTTGATCGCGTGAGCGACATGGTGCCAAAGGTCCGCCCGTGGTACGATCCCTGCATGACGATGACGTTCTGCTTCTTGGTCGCCATGCGGGCGAGCTTGATCGACGCCTCGACGGCCTCTCCGCCGCTGTTCCACAGAAAGACGGTGTCGAGGGAGGGATCGGGAAGCTTGGGCAGGAGGGCGCGGACAAAGTCGACGTAGGCCTTGTTGAAGCCAATGTTGACCTGGGCGTGGACCATCTTGCCGACCTGCTCCTGGGCCGCCTTAGTCACCGCAGGGTGGCAGTGGCCGAGGTTGACGACACCGATACCCGTGGTGAGGTCGAGCATCTTGTTGTCCTCTTCGTCATAGACGTACGAGCCTTCGCCACGGGCCAGGACAAAGGGCGTTAGCCGGCCGATGCCCCTTGCGACATGCTTGGTGCCAAAGTCGGCCGTGCTCATCGTTGCGCTGCCGTTCATCGCTATGCTGTTTCCCTTGTTTGAGTGAGTGAGAGAGAGAGAGAGTGAGAGAGAGAGAGGGTAGGGCAGGGAAGGGATAAGAAATACCTGATCGAGCGAGGGAGTGAGTCGCCGCCACCTTTTGACTTTTTTTCCTACAAAATTACTTTTGTCTTCCTGGGCCGATAGCCGCGGCTCCTCTGCGCTTAGATATCCCCTGTTAGCGCTGGAAGAGGGAGGAAATTTGACATCTTCCCCGCGCTGTGTGTTGCTCTCCGCCGGCTCAAGCGACCAAGCGAACAAGCGAGCGGGAAATGTCGCGCTGCATAGATGGTGAGCAAGGAGAAACGATTGAGCCGTCGCCTGTTCCTAGAAGCGTCTTGTCGTCTGACAACAATGTCCCATGCGCTCACAGCAGAGGGCCGAGAGCTGGGCCTGCTTATTGCCAATCGGGGCGAAAGCGCCCTCCGAATCCAGGCCTCCGCGGCGCAATTTCCCCTTCCCGATGCAGCGGTGCGCTTCAAGCCCCTGTCAATCTACACGCAGTCCGAGGTTGATGCGGCTCACGTCCTTGCCGTGCCGCCCGAGCAGCGGCTCCTCCTACCCGGCATAGGTCCTCGCGCCTATCTCGATGATGAGGCGATTATCTCGCTGGCGAAGAAGAATGGCGCATGGGGCATCGCTCCGGGATATGGCTTTCTCTCCGAGTCGGTCCACTTTGCCAAAGCTGTCGAGAGTGCCGGCCTCGTCTGGGTCGGCCCACCGTCGGACCAGCTAGCCCTCTTTGGAGACAAGGTCAGCGCAAGACAGCTTGCGCGACAATGTGGTGTGCCTATCCTTCCGGGCACGCAAGGAGAGGAGGCTTCCCTGGCCGACGTAGAGGCATTTGCGAGATCAGTCGGCCAACGAGACAAGATCATCATCAAGGCCCTTTCCGGAGGAGGCGGTAGGGGCATGCAGGTTGTTGATCTTGCAACAGTGGGAGTTGAGGGCGCCAGAGGCGCGTATCAATCTTGTCAGAGAGAGGCACAGACGGCCTTTAGCGACGGCAGAGTATATGCGGAGAGGTACCTCGAGCAGGCAAGGCACATCGAGGTGCAGATTGTCGGTGATGGATCAGGCAATGTTACGCACTTGTGGGAACGAGAGTGCAGGTTCGTCCCTTCGAACTAGCAGTCTGTCTTCTCTCAGCACGCTGACTCCTCTCTCAATCGCCAGCCTGCAGAGGAGGCACCAGAAGCTCGTCGAGATCGCTCCTTCTCCTACTCTAGATGAGGCCGCGGCCAAGTCGGTCATCAGCTCGGCACTCAAGATGGCAAAGGAGGGCAGATACAAAAACTTGGGTACCTTTGAGTTTCTCTATCTTCCTACGACGCATGAGCATTTCTTCATGGAAGCCAACCCTCGGATCCAAGTGGAGCACACTATGTGAGCACACCTCACAGGCTTGTCGTTGCAGAGTCGAAAGCTGAGATATTCGAATGAAGTACCGAGCAGATCACGGGTGTCGACCTCGTCGCGGTCCAACTCCAGATCGCTCTGGGGAAGATGCTGCCAGAGATCGATTCATCAATGTCAATCCTCGATCGATCGAAGCAGCGACCTCGCCTGACGTCGATTCAAATCCGGATCAACAGCGAGGAGTTCCTGCCCGATGGTCGTGTCGTCGCCACTGGCGGCCAATTGAAGACTTTCATGCCGCCTACGGGGCCGGGTGTCCGAGTAGACACTGCTGCGACCGCCGCTGGCTACAAGGCCGATCCTGCCTTCGACTCCCTCCTTGCCAAAGTCATTGTCACGGCGCCCAGCTATCAATCGGCCGTCAATCTGGCACAAAGGTCATTGGCCGGCTTCAGCCTGACGGGTATCGAGACAAATAAAGCCTTTCTGGCTGCACTGATCAGTCATCCATCTGTCGTGGACAATACTAACGTGCACACGCGGTTCGTCGAGGAAAAGTTCAATGAATTGCACGACAACTCCGAGACCTTCAAGTCGTCACCATCGTCTCCTTCACCATCAGCATCAGATACCACTAAGCAAGAAAAGCAATCAAGCCTTTCTGCGCCGCCAGGCCAGGAAGCGCTTGAGATGCCCATGGCTGGCATCATTGCCGACCTGCCGGTCAAGGAGGGCGATGTGGTCGAAGAGGGGCAAGAGGTGGCGATCGTCGAGAGCATGAAGATGGAACACGTCGTTCGAGCCCACTCACCTGGTCGCATCACCCGACTTGTCTCGCAGAAGGGCTCTTCGGTTCAGTCAGGCGAGCCGCTTTTCTTTTTTGAGCCTCAAGAGGACTCAGCGTCAACTTCACAATCCAAGGATGCGGAAGAGGAAGAAAGCTTCGACGAACTCCGTGACGACCTCAAAGCAGTGCTGGAGCGTAAAAAGCTGTTGCAGGACCAAGCGAGAGCCTCTTTTGTCAAGAGACGCAAAGAGGCTGGTTTCTTGACAGCCCGCGAAAATTTGGACCTCCTTGTGGATGAAGGCAGCTTTATCGAGTACGGCGACTTTGCATTGGCAGCGCAGCGCAGCCGCATGTCCGAAGAGCGTCTCCTCTCTAATACGAGCGGTGATGGCGTTGTCATAGGTTGGGCGACTGTCAATCGCCTGAACTTTTCGCATTCCGCAGCTCCCTCGCCGGCAAGGTGCGCCATCGTCATCTACGACTACCTCGTTCTGGCCGGCACGCAGGGCCACTTTCATCATCTCAAGCTCGACCGCATCTTTAAATCTGTCCTCGACAACCCTGCGCCCCTGATTCTCTACGCCGAAGGCGGTGGAGGCAGGCCGGGCGACATGGATCTAAGTAATATAAAAGTGGCTGGTATGGACACGCCAAGCTTTGCCTTGATGGCAACGATCCGATCCAGAGGCTACCCATCCGTGGGGCTGGCCAATGGGTACACATTTGCTGGCAATGCGGCTCTCTTGGGGACATGCGACATCGTGGTGGCGACCGAGGGAGGAAAGAGGGACGCAGAGAAGAGGGTGCACACTTCAACGGGGATGGGAGGACCGGCAATGATCGAAGGTGGCGGGCTTGGCGTCTTCAAGCCCGAAGAAGTTGGCCCACTGCGTACTCATACCGAGAATGGAGGATAGTGAGTCTTGGCCTCGCCTCTGTAATCGCACACTTGCTGACGTTGCCGAGCAGCGATGTGATCGTTCCGACTGAGGTTGAAGGTGCCTCGATGGCCAAAATGCTCATTGGCTACTTCCAAGGTCCACTCGCAAAGTACGAATACACGAACGAGCCCAAAAGGCTCCGGACGATTATGCCGCGCAGCCGTGTACGGGCGTATGACGTGCGACGCATCATAGAGGTCATCGCCGATGATGACTCCTTCGTCGAGCTGGGTGCAGGCTGGGGAAAAAGCGTCGTGACAGGCTTGATGCGTTTGCAGGTAATTATCACCCAGCTTTTGGTGAGACTATAGTGTTCACTCTTATTTGCGCTTCGCCAGGGTCAGCCAGTCGGTATTCTCGCCTCTTCTGTCCTCTCACCCTTGGGTGGTGCAATAGACGCCTCGAGCGCTCTCAAGGCCATACGTCTCATCAGGCTACTCGACCGTACGCAGTCGATGCACTTGGTTGTCTTGTGCGACTCGCCAGGCTTCATGGTGGGACCCACCCACGAGCGCGAGGGTGGCTTGAGGATCTTTGCCGAGTTCTTCGAGGCGATGGCCAGATTTGGAGAGGAAGGCGGGCGCGTCTTTGCCGGTGAGTCTTTCTTTCCCCCTCTCACGACTTCGGTCACCGCTTACAAGCAAGCACGTCATTTGGGAAAACAGTCACCATCCGAAAGGCGTACGGCTTGGGTGCGCAAGCGATGCTGGGTGGCTCCACGCTGTACAATTTTGTCAGTGCTTCGTGGCCCACGGCCGAGTTCGCCGGGATGGGCATTGAGGGAGCCGTCCGGCTCGCAATGCGCAAGGAGCTTGCGTCGATCGAAGATGAGAAGGAACGAGAAGCCAGCTTCAGAGGCATGGTCGACATGATGTATGAGCGTGGCAAGGCCGAGAACGTGGCCAGCCTCGGCGAGATCGATACGGTCATTGACCCTGGAGAGACGAGAGACTTCCTGTGCCGAGGATTGAGCACCGCTAGAGGTAGAGTTCCGAAGTGGAAGAGAGACAGCGAAGGCCACTTGCATGGTCCGAAGTTGTAGATGAGGACGTCCAATTAGTGGGTAGCAATGATCTATGACAACAAAACGTGATGCATCTTATGTTTGGAGGGATATACGTGGTATGCAAAGAGGCTGCAAAGAGCAGGGGGGGAGGTAAAATAGCTCACTGTCGCTTCGTTGGGCTTTCTGGTCTCCGTCTGATTGCCTCCAGCCTAGCTTCCTTCTTGACGGGGCTCACACTTCTGGCCTGGGCTCTTTTGACGGCTGGCGAAGGGCCCATGATTTTCTTGAGCGGTGACTGCGGGGAAGGCGTGTTCAAACCGCTGTTGTCGCGCAATTCTTCCATTACAACGAGAGGTCTTCGGCCGCGCTGGAAGCAGGCTGACGCTTCGTTGAGATCGCCACTCAGCACGACAATGCCGCTGTTGCTGCCAGTGCCGACTTCCTCTTGCCGAGAGATCTTCTGCCCCCGATCAATGCGCATCGGGGAAGTGGCTCGCGTGGTCCCATCTATAGCTGTCGTCCTCTGTCGATCGAGTCTCGATCTTTCCTCTCTTGGTCTCTTGTCTCTTGCCCGATCACGCGGCCCCGCCTCTCGTTCTCGAGTCTTGGTAGCTCGCCTAACGGTAGACTGCAACGGCTCAGCTGTGTCTGCGTGCGGATACTGTGTCCTCTGCGGCGAGCTCCCATTCATCAACTTTTCTGGGGGCGTCGTTGCGTCTCTCTTTTTGCCAGGTGACGTAGACTCTTTTGCCGTCCTAAAGGAGTCATCGCTCAAAGGCGTTCCGTCTCTCTGCCTAGGTGAAGGGCTCGCCTCCAGCATTGAAGCTCTCAGCCGCTCAAATGAGTCCGAGACTCGTCCTCGAACCCGTTTGACCTGGTCCATCGAAGTCTTCGTTGTCGTTTGGGCTGCTATCTGCACATCGGACGGAGGTGCTGTATAATCCCTCTGCTCCTCCGTTCGACGCTCTTGCCGTTCCAATTCGAAATCGTGAACAAGGAGCAGCTCCTCACATTTCTCCAAGAGCGAAGTCTCGGCCTCGTCTGCCGAAGCCGAAGCCAGCTTCGCTCTACGACACTGAAGGAACTGGCGAATTTCGGCGTCACCTCCCAAAAGCTCGAAGCGGGCTGGCGCGCTTGGTGTCGAGACGATAATGCAGATAATCATGTCGACTGCATGCTGCGGGATCAGACCGATAGCCGCTGATGTTGTTGTTGTTCCATCGCCGTGCGAGTGGAGCGAGCCAACGATTATGTCCACCAACAGCTTTGGAGCTCTTAGTTAGCAATCTCTCTAGAAGTCACTTAGAGTATCGAAGGGAAGAGACCTACCTCCAAAACACAGTTGCGCGAGCAGAGATGCCTTGACTCGTCGTCTTGCAATGCAAGGCCTTGGAGCATGGCGAAGCAAGCGATGATCTCCAGCGCCAACCCTTCTTCCGCTTCCACCCTCGGCCCCACCCGACCCAGCTCTCCAAAGACAACACGGACGTGCGCCAGTAGCCCAAGAGCCACTAAAGATGCGGTACGTCAGCATCAAGTAACTCTCCCGTCCTCCTCGGTTCGCAAAGTGACGAAAGCTCACCACAGGTCCTTACTTGCTTTTGACACCTCCACCATTCGTCAGCCCTAGACTCTCTTCTGAGCCAGTCTTTCGAACTCTGCTCGGTTCCCGCAACGTTTCCATGCCCTGCGCCTCTTTGCCTCGCGACTGCAAAGGGCCCTGAGCTGTGGACGACACACTGCACAAACTCTTCTTCAAGGTCGCGCAATGCCTCGAGCCGTGCTGCGCTCATAGCCTTGTGCGAAGCAAGCTTCACGCGTGATGTTTCAGCATGGATGTGTTGGCGTTGCGAAAGAGGAGTGGAGTCTCACCACATTGAGGGAAGCCTCAATCTTGGCCGCGAGAGAGGAGGCGGCGTCGGACGAGGACGACGTGAGCGCCGAGTGCGCACGCGCAGAAGATGTAGAAGGCGACATCACCCAGCGTTGCAATGGTGTCAGAGTCGGCGCCCGTCGTCCGTCTCATTCAAGTGCACAAGTCGTGATCGAGGAGCGCGGAATGGTTAGTTGTGGTGATTGGAAAGGAGGAAAATTGACGAGGAGCGTCTGAAGTGTTGGACTCTGATTTTCTCTCCACAATCAACAACAACACTCGTCGCTAAAACTTTCTCGCGTCATCGAAGGCAGACCAGAGTGCCGACGATCATTTCGAACAGCCCTGACGCTGCATTCTCGTTGATCATGTTCGTGCGAAGGACTGACACATCAAGAAACTCCCCTCTGATCTGATACTAGGGTCACCAAGCCTTTCGTGGTTCTATGTGTCGAAATCGGCTGTGGCCTGAACAGGTACGTCTCAAAAAGGAACAGTGAAGCGTGGTCAATGTACAGTACCAGCTCGCCGATGTACTATTGTGTTGTGTACTTTGAACACAGCAATGCGGAATCTTTGCACGCTCTGCCCTCTCCGCTCTCTAAAATGATGTGGACTCCCGCAAATCGTTTTTGCAACTGTCTCTTGATCCTAGAATTAACAGGGAAAGGGGAAAGCTCTAGGGAAGGTGATATAACCAAGTAACGACAGGAATTGATTACCTCTTGCTTTGCTTTGATGATGCAGTGTATCTGGGACGAAAAGACTGTGGTGGTGGTTGCAGAAACAATGAGACGGGAAGAGGGGAAAGGATGAAGAGGGCGAGAGTATTTGCGGGCTAACGCATCGAAACAGGGCCGACGCCCAGTCCGACATTGAAAGCAGCTGGGCTGTTGGGCACGCTACCGCTGCTGCCTGAAGCGGCCAGGTCGAGGGACCACTGCTTGCGCAGAGAATGATAGACGGCCTTGAAGCTCGAAAGAGCACCCTTCTCTTGGATCAGCGTCACTTGCGTGGCATACATTGCCGTGTTCCTGCCTGACGACGAGGAGGAGGAGGTGTAAGATGGCGAAGAGATGTTAGACAATGCCGGGGAGGCCATGGCTGACTGACGGCTCCCGATGGCGGGAGATGCGCCGCCACTCGACATGGGCAAGATGTTGAACTCGACCCGGAATCGGACGGGCTTTGTCGAGGTCGACATGCCACCCTCTTTGAGCTCAGCCAACGAGCATTTGAGGATGCCCATGTGCTCCGAGTCTTCGACGAAGACGCGGGCACCAGAATAATGCAGCAGCCGTTTGACTTCTGCATGAGTGATCGAGAAGTTCTCGGTCGACATCAGGGTGAAGGTAGCTGGCTTCCAGTTGAACAGGCCGGCAAACCAGCTCTGCTTTGGACTGTTGCCAACAGCCGCGAATGACGCGCTTCCCGGGGTGGAAGGCGTCGGAGGAGCCTGGTGTAGGCTGGGCGACTTGATCGAGGAAGGTGCTGCGATCGTCGAGCCACCCGCTCCTCCGCCAATGTCAAGACCCAAACCAGGGTTCTTCTGCTGCAGCTTCGTCGGCGTGAGGTTAGCGATGCGCTTGGCGTGCACCGCGACCGGATCCTGCGTTGCAGCGCCCGCATCTTGGAGCCTCTCGTATGCAAGCGAAGACCGGCCCGATTCTGATCCGTAGTCGGAACTCTCCTTGCGAACACTCTTGCGTCTGCCGAGCAACAAGCTTCTCTTTCGGCCCAGAGTGGAGCTCGTACCTGTGGCGCCGCTTGCAGATGTAGCATTGCTGAAAAGACTCGGCGGCCGCGGGCTTGTAGGACCGCCGAGCAACGCTGGTCGCCGCGATTTCGTCTCCGATTCGAGACGCTCCATCTTCTGACCAGGTGATGGCATCATGGGCGGCATGGGCGAAGTGGGCGTGTACGGGTACCCACTCGAATCCGAGGCTGAGCCACTGCGGACGCTGTGGACATCGGCGTCCTCCTCTTCGGCATCATCAAATTGCGCCATAGGATCGTCCTGTGCTCGCCTGACGGCCTTGGTGCTCGCTTGCCTAGAGTGGCTGGGACGGGCCGTTGAGGGGTTTGCCGTCGCAGCAAAGTCTTTGAGTCGGTCAAGCTTGAGCTGCAACGAGTCGGGTCGCTCGCCCGTAGCCTTGATGTTGGCGAGTTCATCTGCAATTTCTTTAAAGAAGCGTTGCATCGTCGGATCCTCGACTTGTGGTATGTTGATCGTCGGTGGTCCGGCCTCACTGGCGGCGCCACGGTGGCCGAGGGCGCTGCTCGGACGCTTGCTTGACGATGGCGCACCTGACCGAGAATTGGTCCGAACAGGAATCGCTGCCTTTGGCGTGGAGTCCTGGGCCACTGACGATGATCGAGCTCGTGTACGGGTGGGCGTACCTGGAACTTGACCATCATCATATTGATTTACACGGTAGGGCGACGTGGACACAGTACCACTTCTACCTCTTACGACAGGGTCGGCTGGAGAGGTCGCGCGACGATCAAGCGACGGGGGGCTGTATCGCTCAGCTGTTTGGGCCTGAATGCGGCTCTGTTGCGCATGCATTGGGCTACCAAAGCCGTGAGCTGGCGCCTGCATTGTCTTGATTGGCGATGGAGTGGGCGAGGGAAGAGGTCGTCGAGTAGGTGAGGGGGGAGGGTGGTCAATAGAATATCCTCTTCGGCCCTGGTCCAGCGAAGCCCGAGGTCCTGCTGGAGAAGGCGAACGGTCAGCTGGAGACTGACGGGGCCCCATGGGGGATCTCGGAGCATCGAGTGATGCCCTCGTTGGGCGCGGTGGGGAGGGCTTCTTTGGCGTCGAGGGATTGGGAGAGGAAGCCATGAGCTGCTGCGGTCTGGCAGGCGAAGGAGGAGCCGGCCGATGGGCGACCAGCGTCTCAGCCAGTGGTCCTGCCTTAGGACGGGATTGCGATACAGACTGGGACTGAACGTGTCCTTTTGCTGCCGATCTACTGCCGCTGTCGACCGCCTGACGGGTACGGGCTGTGGAAGCTTGTGATGAGGTCTGAGGTCGGCCGGAAGCAACTTGAGGGACTTGCGCAGGGGTTGGTTGTGGCTGCGCGATGCCCAGAGAAAGACCGAGGCTGTTGTTCTTTGCCGCTGAGGAGCTTTGTGCTGGCATGGGAAGATCCTCATCGTCCTCGTCCTCGTCACCGGAGTAATTTTCACGGTGCTGGACGAGAAGGGTGTAGAACGTCTTTTGCCAGTTCGGACCCGTGCTTGTGAGCTGTTCGATAATGTCGTCACAGGAGTACTCGGACCACAGCGTCTTGAGGTTGGCCAAGATGTCCGGATCCAATGCCTTTCGATCGAATCGGTCGCCAGCCAATTTGTCAAGGCTCGTCGTGACAGGGTTTCTGCTCGACATGACGCCATTGTCGGTGAACCATGGGTGGCGGACAATATCCTGCATCTTGATCCTCTGCTCTGGGTCGACAACGAGCATCTTAGAGATAAGGTTCTTCGCCAAGGGCTCGAGGTGATCGGGCATGTCGAATCGACCGAGCCTAACTTTGGCCAGGAGGTTTTGGATATTTGCGTCGTCGAAAGGCAGCCGTCCACACAGCAAGGCAAAGAGGATAATGCCGCAGCTCCAAATATCGCTCGCTGTGCCCTTGTAGCTCTTGCCACTGACAATCTCGGGCGAGGCGTAGTGTGGTGAGCCGCAGCTCGTCTCGAGCATCTTTTCACTTGGTTGCAGCGCCGCCATGCCAAAGTCGGCAACCTTGACAATCTTCTTTGTCGCGTCGAGGAGCAAGTTTTCGGGCTTGAGATCGCGATGGCAGATGTTGAAGCCGTGACAGTACTGGAGACCGAAGATAATCTGGCGAAAGTAGGACCGAGCCTCTGCAGTGCGCAAGCGGCCTTTCGAGACGAGGTAGTCGAAGAGCTCGCCGCCAGCCACGTATTCGAGGACAAGGTAGCTGTCGTGTGTGTCAGTTTCACCGTGCATGGAGCGCGAGGTATACTTTCACTCACAGCTCTTTGCTCGTCTCGTAAACATCAATGAGACCGAGCAGGTTGGGGTGCTCGATGAGCTTCATGATGACAATCTCCCTTTCGATTCCCAACACCATCTTCTCTTGCTTTGCGCTCACGTCGCGCATGCTCATCCGACTCGTTGCAAGAATCTGCTTTGGGACAATCTTGACGGCGGCTTGCTGGCCATTATTGGCGTGGATTGCGTGTCGAACGCGTCCTACCGGTCCCAGTCGCAGCGTCAGCAAGTCTGAGAGAGAAGAACAAACAGGAGCAGGTCCGAAGGACGATAGAAGGGAACTCACCGCTTGCACCTTGCCCGATGAGCTTGCCTAGCTGCCACGGTCCAATCGAAGGAGGGTCCTTGTAATCTCGCTTCTTCTCGCTGGCCAACCGTGAGCTCGGCCTAGGCTCCGCCGGTGCCTGTGCCTTCTGTTGCTGTTTGGCAGCCTGCCTCTCCCGCTCGGATCTACCCGACGAAGAGGACCCTTGCCGCGCGTCGGCGCGTCTATTCTGGCTGCCCTGGGCAGGAGGCGCCATCGCCTTGCCATCGTGTTCTGCCGACGACGTTGACGGTCGATTGGGCGCGTTTCGAGACTGCAATGGTCCGGCGCCTCGAAACGGCGGAATCTCGGGGATGTTGGGCGCACGACGGGTCGACATGGTTGCCCGAAGTGTATCCCCCTCTCTCTTGTTTTCGGCCTACTTCTATGTGTCCTTTCCCCTGTTATGGACAAGACGAAACGCGAGCAGTCCTACGAGCAGAGACGAGCAGACTGTAATGTTGGCGAAGCGAGAAAGAAGGAAAGTTGGTGTCACTGAGGGTCGCCGAGATGGGAAAGGTCAAGGGTCAATTGAGGGTGAGGTGAGGAAACACTCAGAGAGGAGCGAGGTTCTCGATTCGATTCATAGGAACACGAGCACCAACCATCGAACCACCCAATTCAGGCAAGCTAGACTTCAACCAGGCTGGCCCGCCGCAAAGACCTGCGGAACCTTGGCACGGTTTCGATCGCCGCCTGGCTTGCTTTGCCCTATCGAGGCCATTACCAATAAAAAGCATGTTGCATTCCATTCCGTCTCGTCCGTCGCCCGGACCAATTCCGACGTCCTGTCCATTGCTGCTGTGTCAATCCTTGCCGCACAACCCCTGCATGGCCGTTTGATATTTTCAGGCCGCGACGCGTGTTTGGTCACGTGCACAAGAAATTAGGCTCGCACTGGACCGACGCGTTTCTGGAAGTGGGTGCTGATGGTTGGTCTCCGGAGATCTTGGAAAGACGCACACGCAAGACGACGATGGGCGATCCCTCAGCGGCTTCCTCCTCCTCGTCGCACGAGAAGGAGTCGCTTACTGCGCTACAGCTGAGAGGTGAGTACTTGGGTACAGAAGACGAGGAGGAAAGCAGAGCTAAGTGAAGAAAACAGTGTCACAGCTCAAGGCCAGGCGAGAGTCACTCAAGGCTCAGCTAGAGGACAAGAGACAAAGGGCCGACGCAAAGAAGGCAGCAGACGATGCAGCCCACGATGCATTGACGGGACCTGTCGAGCTCACAGACTCGATCAGGGAGCTGTCAAAGGAGCTCTCTGATATGGAAGAAAAAGCCATTCTCTATCGGACGACGGGTTGGACCTGCTTTGAGATGGACCTGGACGTGGGGCGGCGAGAACGTGCGGCGCGCAAGGGCCAGGCTGAGGGGGATCCGCACATGGGGGAAAAGTCTGGCCTTGGACTGGGAGTAAGGCTCGAAACATTCTGGCGAGGTACGCTACCCTCCTTTCATGCTCAACTTCATGATCTTGTGCTCATCACGGACAAACCCCACAGGCCGCTTCTACGAGCCTTTTTATCTCGTCTTTGCGCAGGAGTCGCAGCTGCTGCGTGACACAGCACGGACAGTGTCAGAGTTCGACAGGAATGCGGTTGAACGGCTCGACGAGGGCCAGCGGCAAGAGTCCAGCAAACTGAACCCGGGTGTGAGGCTGCGCAGCCACACGATTCCCCAGTTTGTCCCCCTGCAGGACCTCCTCAAGCGCTACCTCAAGCCTGAATCGCCGAGAGACATTGACGACGAAGACGAGACGCACATCAGAGGCGGCTTTGAGCTCTTAAATGTGCTAATGCACAGAGAAAGTCTCGAGGTGAGTCTGCTCATTGCCTCTCGATAAGAGACGAAAGCTAAAATCGACTGGTCGAGCAGCTATTCTTGAGCCACCTTCACTGCTATCTACAGGCGTTTGTCTCGCGCAGGCAGCAGGCCCTGCTTCTTCGAGATCTTGCAATCCCAGGCCTACCGCCGTCCGATGCGGGCGGATCTCTCGAGGCCTTCTTCACGGCTTCTCTCTCCCAGATCTCAATTCGATGGCTGATGCCCGTACCTACGCTCGAAGATCTACACCGACTGCAAGGCGAACACGTCGACAGCGACGCGAGTCGAAAGCGCAAGCGAAAAGAAGGCCAGATGAATGTGGTTGTCGAAATCTTCTTACTGTACGAAGATCTGCAGCACGATCGTCTGGGCCCGCTGGCAAAGGAACCTTCGCAGTGGATCAGCAGCATCAGGGCTCTCAACCGAAATCAGCAAACGGGAACAAAGGGCACCGCCGGCGTTGTTCTCGTTGAGGTGCTTCGATCAAGAGTACCGAGCAGCAAGCGCGGAAGCACAGCGGTTTTGAACAACGCCATTAGCAAAGAGCCGAGGAGATTCCGTCGCGAAGATCTGGAGGCTCGCTTCCTCTCTCCCGCGGCAGAGTCCACATCCACCGAACCTGACGACGATGAGGACCAGTCGCCAGAGCTCGATGAAGCTCTCAAAGACGTACTTGGGACAGTCTGGCGCGAGGAAGTGCTCAGACAGCTCACGTGATACGAACTCCCTCTTCGCTTCCTCTTCCTCTTCATCCTGTAATTGTACAAGCTTCGTCATTGTTGTACTGCCACCACACCGTCTACATTGTACATAATTATTGAAACAGGTCCGAAGCTCGTGGTCTCTGTTTCTTCTCGGTGCCATTGTTTCCCTTGGTCTGTGGAGCCTTCACAACGGCCTCTTCGTCCTCGTCGCCATCCATGCTGAACGTCAAGAGACCCTTTTGCTTCGGCTTCTTGTCCCTCTTCTTTTCTTTTTTGTTCTTCTTCGCCATTTGCTCTTCTTCACGCTCGTCTTCGTCCTTGAGACGCTTGGACCGCGGAACAAAGGTGGGTCGGAACGATGCTGCGTCTGTGTCGGGACCCTCGACGCCTCTCTCCGTCGACCTCTCCTGGGCACCCGACGCCTTGCTTTTCGCATCCTCTTGGGCGAGAGGCACAGGTTCAAGTTCGCCGTCATCCTCTTCCTCATCGTCGTCATCATCTGCAAAGACGGCCTTGAAGATGTCCATCGAGAGCTTCACGTATGTTTCCGTGTCTCTACCCTGCTCCTCATCCTCACCCATACCAACATTGCCTAGAGTCTTTGGCTTCCCTGCTTGCCGTTCTTCCTCTTCTTGGCGCTTCTGCTCGGCGTCCTGCGCACCGACCTCTGGCCGCTGAGTCGATGACGACGACGACGACGACTCCCATGTGCGCTGATCAGCCATCCTCTGCAGCTCTCGCCTGCTCTCCTCCCACTTCTCATTAATCCGTGATCCTTTCTTTCCCGCTCCAGAATCTGCCCTCGATGGAATGTCCAAGTTCGCATCTTCCTTGTTCGCCTCCATCATACGTCTCTCTTGTGCAAAAGGATCGGGTAGGCCAAAGCGACGAAAGAGCAGCTTGTCCGCAAGAAATCGCTTCACGACCCTCGTCTTTCCCAGCCCAAAATCGCCTCGGCGCGCATGGATCTGTTCTGCCGTCAGATTCTTCTCCTCCGCATCTCGCTTCGGTGGTGGTCCAGGATGAGGACTTGCAGTGCCGTTCGTTGCTGCTTCCGACTCTGGCTTCTTGGCGGCCGATGGCTTGTAGAGGCCAGGCTCGACCCTTGGCAGCTCATTGCTGGCCATGCTGCTGCTCGAAAAGCGCGACGCCATGGCAGATGCCATTGGCCTGAAGATTTGGGCACTCTTTTGAAATTCGTTGATCTCGTTGCGAATGTCTTGTTCGCTTCTCCCTCCCTGGCTCAGGAGCATTTGCATCAATGTCGAAGATGGGAGGCGATCACGTTGAGACTCGAGGTAGGATCGGTACCGTGCCTGTTTCGCGTCGTCGTTTGAGAACGGCATGTATCCCAGGAGCGCAGCCTTTGCCGTCTGGAAATCTAGTGTAGGGAGCTGCTTATCCTCTTCAGCGGCATGGACAGCGGAAGGCGACGAAGGAAGCTTGGCAGAAACAGCCTCCATTCGCTCCTGGTCCTTTTTCGACAGGTAGTCGAGGATCGATGGGGGTGGGCCAGGGATTCTAGCTTCGCCCAGCATCTTTGCCCGGTCTTCTGGTGCCAGATTGGGCTTGCTCGTTTGCCCGTGCTCCTGCCCATGTTGCTGGACTTTTGCCCAGACGCGTTGAGGATCTGGCGTCCATCCTGCCGGCACCTTCGGCGGTTCGAACCACTCCTCTCCGTTGTCTTTGCTGCTGTGGCTGGATGATTGTGATCTAGAGATCTGGAACCCGGGTATCATTGGTCGACCATCATGCCACGTATTCTCCTCGTCTCCTTCGATCATTGCCGCTGCTCCTGCCGATGGCTTAGAAGGCGGCTGCTTCAAGGATTTGCCCCTCGCCGGGCCCAAAATCACCCTGTCATCGTCCCTTCTTGCGAGAGTGGAATCCTCGATGCGATCGGGCTGCTCGTATACCTGGTCTTCACCATCCGAGTCGTACTCGAGCGCCCCTATCCCAAAGCCCCCTCCGGCCTTCTTTCCCTTCTCTTCTTCTCTCGCACGTCTGAGAGCATCGTTCATGCTCGCCATGGCTGACACGCTTGCCTGTGAACCTGAAGGGCCATCCCATCCAAGGCCTCTGGTGTCCTTCTTTTCCTCAAAGATGGGCAGACTGGTATCCGGGGGAGCATACATATGCTTCTCGGCCTCTTCATCGTCCTCGTCGACTTCTTGCGGTGGCATCGACTCGACGTGACCCTTTGCTAGCAGCATGAGCTCCCTGCGCCGCTTTGCGCTGACCCTCGGACCGAGCCCCTGACCCGGCTTCCACCCCATCCGCTGCAGCAGCTTAATCCCCAACGAAGACTTCGCAGGCTTGACCAAGGAATCGAGGCTACCTTTGCTGCTCGAGGAGCTATCTCGGCCAAAGAGGCCCATCAACGGATCCTTTCCAGCATCCTGCTCCTCCTCCACCGCACTCTTCACCGCCGTCTTTCTAAAGTCCTCGAGGTCCTCTTCGTCCATGAAATCCTCGACGCCCATCTGCTTGCGCTCCTCCTTTCTGTTCCCCCTGCTGCTGCGGAACTCGCTGGGAGTCCATCCTTCTTTGCTGCCGACGGTGTTGTAGTAGCCCGCACTGAAGCCGCCCGTAAAGGCGCCGTGGAAGCGGCGCCGGCCTTGGGCATCGTAGACCTCCTGCTGCCATGCCGGCTTGAATTCGTTCTGGTCCCTCTTTCGATCGAGCAGCGACGGGAGGGGCGTGCCGATCTGGACGAAGCTCTCGAGCGGCTGTTGCCCTTGTAGATCCTCGTCGGCAGCGACCTTGCGCCGGAGCCGGTTCGTGGCCATTGCTTCTTTCTCGGCCCACCCCTGCTCCTGGCCTTCGGCTCACAGTCTTTGATTTGAGTTGTCGTCGGGAGTACTCAGAAGCTGTCGCAGAGTGGAGAGACTACACTACACGTGAGGTTCTGTGCACTGACACTTTCATCTTTATTTTTTTCCCGATTTCTTCTCAAGCTCGCGCGACAGACAGAAAGAAGCCTTCTTCTTACTCATCTTCTCTCTCAGTTGATTCCCCTGTGCGCCCACTGCTGGCCCCTGTCTCAGAACACACCATGGCGGCAACGGAGATCCAGCTCGATCTGCCCGTGGACATGCACGTGCATGTGCGGCAGCCGCCCATGTCGTCGCTCATCGTGCCCCACCTCGCGCTCGGCGGCATTCAGACGGCCTACATCATGCCCAATACGATCCCGCCGATCAGCAATGTGTCGCAGTGCGTCGAGTACCTTGACCAGCTCGAGTCGCTCCTCCCGCCGTCGTCCGATGTCGAGCTGATCGGCACGCTGTACCTCTCGCCCACGCTCACGCCCGCCGAGGTGCAGCGCGCCGCCGCCGTGCGGCACCCCAAGACGGGCCGGCTGCGCATCGGGGGCGTCAAGAGCTACCCCAGGGGTGTCACGACCAATTCAGACGGTGGCATCGAGAGCTACGACGTCTATGACGAAGTGTTCGCAGAGATGGAGCGGCAAGGGCTGGTGCTGAACCTGCATGGCGAGGTGCCGAGCGACGAAGAAAAGGTGGGCCTGCCCTACGTGTGCGACTTCTTTTCGAGCTTATTACTGAAACGCTATGTGCGACAACCTGACAACAGAACATCACGGTCCTCAATGCCGAGGCGTCCTTCTTGCAGCACCTGCACAAGCTCCACGCCAAGTTCCCGAAACTGCGCATCGTCCTCGAGCACGCGACAACGGCCGCGGCCGTCGAGGCGGTCAAGCAGTGCGGCGACACCGTCGGCTGCAGCATCACGCCTCACCACCTCCAACTCATTGTCGATGACTGGGCGGGCAAGCCAGTCAACTTCTGCAAACCCGTAGCAAAGACGTGGGACGATCGCAAGGCCTTGCGCGATGTGATCCGATCAGGTGAGACAAAGATGGAGAGAGAGAGAGAAAAAAAAAAAAAGAGTCTGTATATGCTGATGGGCTGAGATTGGGCAACGACAGGGCACCCGCGCTTCTTCCTCGGGTCCGACTCTGCTCCGCATCCCTTTGCGTCCAAGATGCCATCTGCGGCCTCGCACGGCGATGTCCAGACGGCCGCATCGTGTGGCTGCGCCGCCGGCGTCTACACCTCGCCCATCCTCATTCCCCTCTGCGCCACACTCCTCGAGTCATTTGGCGCCCTCGACCGGCTCGAGGCGTACGTCAGCACAAACGCACGCAGCTTCTACCGCCTGCCTGTCAGCCAAGGCAGCGCCAAGCGCATTCTCAGACGGGAACAGACAACAGTGCCCAGCAGCTTCACCCTCGATGCACACAAGGACAAGGACGACTGGGCCAGGGACAAGGCCCAGGTGGTGCCCTTCTGGGCGGGCAAGGAACTGCCGTGGAAGATTATATCTTAGAATTTATCAATGGTAATATCTCTGACTCTCGCTCAGGCTGCTGATGTTGTTGTTGCTGCTGCTGCTGCTGCGACTAGTACTGTTGGAAAGGCTCTGCGGTGCTAGCCTTTGTCAAGTCTTAAGTGGCGGGGGTGGATATGGTCGAAAGAAGGGCAAAGCAAAGGAAAGGCCTACCGGAAGCTGCTCGATGGGCTTCGCGCGCAGAGCCAGCGGAGTGTGACGTCGATGTTGACCTGGCGCTTGCTGCTGATGGAGTAGCAAGACACCTCTCGATTGACAATGGTCTCGAGCCGCCTTTTGTTCATTTTTCCTCTCGGCCTGTCAGCGCCGGGAGCCAGAATCACTCTGGGGGTAGGGCAAGACTCACATGACACGGATGACATCCTCTGCGCTCACGGCGCCCTGCACGTCGTTCTTTGTCGCAAGCACCAGCAGGGGGATGCCCGCGAGCTGGGGCCGCGACATGAGTGCGTGGAGCTCCTCCGTAGCGACATTCCACGGGTTCGTCTGGCCCTGCTGCTCTGGGCCCGCTCCCCTTGCCGTGCGCTGCTGCTGCTGCTGCTGCTGCTCGTCGTTGCTGTTGTCCTCGCTCTCGCCATGTGACTTGCCTGAGGCATTCGGGTCCGGCAGAGGGATGGCGCTGTCGACGACAAACAAGATAGCCGAGACGCCCCTGCAATACCGCTCCCACATTGTCCTGAATCGCGCCTGTCCGCTGTGTCGCGCATGCGATGATGCATTGCACTGGTCAGCCTTCTTCTACTCCTGCCTTGCATTCTCTTTCCAGCACGAGGAGACGAAAAGAAAGAGAGAAATACCCACCCAATGTCCCAGACCTTGATGCCGACGTTGCCGCTGCGGATCTTGCGCATGTTGAAGCCAACCGTCGGCACCATTTCGTCGCTGAACTGGCCAATCGCCAGGAGATTGACGAGCGACGTCTTGCCCGCCGACTGGAGGCCGAGCACGCAGATCTCGAGGTGCTTCTGGAACAGGAGCGAGTAGAGGTAGCTCAGCAGAGGCGACAGGAGGGGAATGTGGACCGCCATGGCTGTCCCCGTCGATCGTCTCCCGTTCCCCGAACTGTGATGAGCGGGCAGTGGTAGAGCTACGGTACTGGAAAGTGCGTCCGTGTGTGGTCCGCCCCCCTTCGTCGACGACTTGTGTAGTCAGTCAGTCGGAAAGACCGAGCCCACATAGTGGACCCCACGTGTGGTTTATTTATTGTCCCGTCTTCCAACTTTCTCCACATTGTCGTCCGCCGCTCGAGCTTCCTTCTCAGAAAAGAACAACAGTAACTTAGCCTACCTAGGGTACAGACAACGACGACACGATGCCGCTTGTCCACGTTGTTCTGTGCAAGGTCAAGCCCGAAGTTATCAGCGCGAGCAGCAGCTGGTCCGAATTTGAGTCGCACTGCCAGGTGCTCGGGACGACTCCTTCGCTCAAGCCATTGCTGCTCGAGTGCGTCTGGGCGAAGCCCACGTACGAGGAGCGCGCAAAGGGGTGGAACTGGGGTGAGTCAAAGTCCAGCTCTAGAGCCATCGGACTGGATTGGACTGGAGCGAGAGAGAAAACTGAATGAAAAGAGACTGATCGATCGGTGCGCAGGGCTCTACACCAAGTTCGAATCAAAGGCCATCTACGAACAGTACAGGGACCACCCCGACCACAAGGAATTTGTCGCCAGCAAGCTCCGACCAAACATCGATGGTGAGTGCAGTTGCAAGAGCTTCAAGAGCAGAGTGTAGTTTCGAAACCTGACCCTCCCTTTCAAGACATCATGGCCTTCGATTTCGAGTACTAAGGAGATCCAAATTTCCTTGACAAACGAATGACAGCAATAGTGTAGTCGTATGGGTATCTCTACAATAAGAAAGGAGTAAGGATGGGTAAAAAAGGGGAAGTGCACTCTACCGTCTCGAGAGGGGAATGCCCGCCGTGACGCTTCTGCGCTGCTGCCCAAGCCAGGACCGCGGAGCATTGGCGTTCGCCAGGGCATTTGCTGCGCTGCTCCGTGATCCCGGGCCGTTGCGATGGCTTGCGCTGTTGGACATGACCTCTCTCTGGAGCCGGGCATTGACGTGGAACCATGCGCTGGCCATGAGACGCTGCTCTTGCTTCAGCAGCGCATTCTCCTCTTCGGCCCGCTTCGCCCTCGCTACCACTTCGTCCGGGGCACCCTTGCCGACATCGGCCGCATCTCGCTTGAGCTGCGAGATGATCTTGTCCTGCTCCCGAATGAAGCTCCTGGCCTTGTTGAAGCGCTCTTTGAGCTTCTGGGCTGCTTCACCGTCGGTCGAGTCGGTCGATTTCAGCAGTGACGTCGCCTGCCAGTCGACCTTGTCCATGAGGAGCGAGTTGAGCTGGGAGAGCTGCATGCGGTTCTGCTCGTCTGCATCGCTCAGTCGCTTCTTGACCCCGTCCATCTCTCGCTGGATGTCGGCCTTTTCGGCGTCGACCTGGGCGCGCAGCTCGGCCACAATGTCGATCTTGTCCTTGTCGACGAGGTTCAGGTCCGACTTGGCAATGTTGAGCTCCTTGATGACTTGCTCGTGCTGCACCTTGAGCTCGGCCTCGCGCCGTTTGATCTGGTCCAGCTCGTCAACTGCCTCGTTGAGCCGGAGCCGGAGTGCATAATTTGCCTCGGGCCCATCGCCAAGGTTGGACTTGCCGCTTTGGATCTCGTCGAATTGCGACTGGAGCACGAGCTTGGCCTGGTGCTCACGCAGGTAGTCTTCCTCGTAGCGCCCCTTGAGCTTGTTTGCATCCTCGAGCAGGTTCTCGACGACGAGCAACCGGCTGGCATCGGCCTTATTGGCCTGAGCTGCTTCGAGATCCCTCTTGAGCCTGCGGATCTGGATCTTCAGACCCGTCAGCGACGTTCCTTCTAGCGCATCCTCGAGGTCCACCTCATCGACCAGGTCGTCATCGTCATCTGCCGAGGTCTCGTTGGCCTTTGCGAGGCCCTCAACGCCATTGACATCACCGCTATCTGAAGAGGTCAACGGCGGCTTTCTTCGCTTGCCCGTCCCTCCCAGCTCTAGCTCTGTAATTCTCTCCTGGTACAGCTCCATCTCTTCCTTTTCCTTTGCCCGCGCTTCTTCCGTCGCCCGCAGCTTCGTCGACGTCTGCTCCTGGTCGTACCTCGCCGCATTCAGGTCACGCTGCAAGTCACTTGTCTTGCCCTCCAAATCCGCAATTTGCGTCTTGTACGAGTCCATCAGCGGCTTAAAGGCGGCCACCCGCTTGTACTCGTCCTCGATTTGCGCATTCTTGTCAATCAACTCAGCATTCTGCTCCTCGAGAATCTTGAGCTGGCGTCGAATGTCAGCGCCTTCCTCGAGCTTGCGCTTGTACTTTTCAATGACATTCTCTGTCCTTTGCAGCTTCTCCGAAACGTGGCGGTACTCGTCCATCTGGTCCTTGAGACGCACGCCCTCCTCGGCCTTCTTCTGCAGATCCTCATTCTTCCGCGTCACCTCCTCGCTCAGCGTAGTCAGCCTCTCCACCTCACTCTCGGCCTCTGCCAGATTGTCTTCGCTCCGGCGAAGCTCCTCCTTGAGCCGCTCAATGTCCTGCCGCATCAAGACGTCGGCCTGCAATTGTCGCTTTTCCTCAATTTCCTCTCTGTAGCGTGCGAGCTCCTTGACGGCCTCTGATCTTTCCGTCTCCTTGTCCTCGAAATTGGCTTGCAGAGTCCGGTGCGACTCCATCAATTCTAGATAGAGCTTCTCGATGGCCTCCTTTTCGCTCCGGAGTTTCACTGCCGACTCTTCGCTGTTCGCTCCCCTGACCACGTCCTCTCCGTCCTCCTCCGCCGCCACTTGGCCTTGTGCCCCATCCTCCTCGTCCCCAATGGTTTCGAGAGATGACATGACGTGCTCGATGGCGACCATGAGCTGCTGCTGGTCCTCGATGTCGAGCGACTGAATCGCCTGGATGTGGTCGCCCGCCCTCTCGCTCCGAAGCACGATTCCCAGGACAAGCCGGCCAAGCTTGGCCAGGTCGCTGCTCGACGAGTCTCTTGCGAGCGCGTTGAGGTCTGGCACGGCCAGTGCACGAGGCGACTGGAGAAGCACCTCCGTGTAGCTGGAGGAAGCGCAGGGCAAGTTCAGCCCGTGAAAGACTGATCGAACGGCATGCTGCGAATACTCACTATTGCATCATGAGCTTGTAAAGACGTTTCAATGTCCCAATGCGCAGCACCCAATTGTCCTTTGTGTCTGCGCTATGCGGGTTCCGAAAGTGGCTTGGGTCTCTGGGGGACAGACATCGCTCCAGGTCAGTTTGCTTGTTCCTTTCACCAGACTGATGGACAGTATGGACATGCAAAACTCACACGGTCGCCAGGACGTCGAAGAAGGCAACACCATCGCATAGGTCATCAACATCTGCAACGACCTTTGACAGAATGCCCTCTTCCTCCGACGATTCGTCCATCTTTTTGATCCAGCCAAGCAAGGCGTGGGCCAAACCGGAGGCATCCCTATCGCGGCTGCTGGTGCTGCTCGTCGTCGTGTCCCCTGCATTGCCGCCTTCGGCTGCGACGTCAATCGCGGCGCTCGAGAGGCTCGCATCTTCCGCCACGGTCGCGCGCGAGTGCTCCTCGTCCATGCCGCTTATCATCCTCCGCAGTCGTCGTCGTCGTCGTCGTTGTCGTCGTCGCTGTCGCTCTGACCCTAATCTAACCTTGAAAGACCAACACTAAACGCGCCCTGGCTGGCGCCTTCGGCCGATGCAGTCGGGACCTTTCTTATTTTCGAAACAACCTCGCTCTCCTTCCCTCCTTCCCTCGTTGCCCGAACGGCGACTACAACAATGCCATCGGCACGGACGTCGTTGACGAGGCAAGCCGCAAATGGCAATGCGGTTGGCTCTCCGTCTGCTTCCTCGACGCCGTCCAGAGAAAAAGAGGACGGAGGCAGGATCATCGCTGGAAAGGCAAAGGCAAAGGCCGAGGACGATGTACCGGCGCTCATCATCGATCTCGGTTCGCACAGCATCAGAATTGCCAATGCGAAGCGCCACCTCCTGACGTGCCCTAACGCTATCATCCGACAGCGTTCGTCCTCTTCGTCGTCGTCATCGTCGGAGCTGCTGGTGGGACCACAGATCGACTGGCGATGCACCTCGTTTGGATCCCTTGCATTGCGCTTTCCAATGGAGCGAGGCTTTATCATCGACTGGCCCGCTCAAAAGCTTATCCTCGACGTTTCCCTCGCTGAGGCCATGCGTATCGAGCATGAGACCTCTTCTGCTTCTTCGTCGTCTTCGTCTTCTTCCTCCTTCGTCGCAATGATGGGCCAGCAGAGGCTTCTTGAAGGGCGAAAGGTCATCGTCACGGAGTCCGCCCTAAATTTCGCCGAGCTGCAACAATCGCTCGATGTCGTCTTTCTCGAAGAGTACGGTGCAGGCTCGCTCTGGCGCTGCTGTGCCCCACAGCTTGTCCGCTACGGTCTCAAGCCGGCCGCCCAATGCCAGTTGATCGTCGACGTGGGCCACGGCGCTACCCACATCGTCCCCATGCTGGACGATGACGTCGTCTGGAAAGCGGTCCGGCGGCAGCCCATCTCGGGCCGCATGCTAACGAACCTGTTCAAGGAAACGCTCAGCTTCCGACAATGGGACATGATGGACGAGACGTGGCTTGTGGGCCACATCAAGGAGCAGTCGTGCTTCCTTGCTTCCTCACTTGGCGGGCTGCCCACACAATCGAGGAGGCGCAAATCACACGACCAGAGACCGAGTGACTGGAGCTATGCGGATCTCGTCGAAATGTGCCAGGCAACAAGGAGGGCAAACAACCCGATCGTGCAGGAGTATGTCCTACCAGATTACTCGAGGGCCTTACCGAGAGAAGACAGGCTCGGGTACATTGCAAGGGGCCCGAATGCGAGGGGAAGGAAGAGGTCAGTGGCGGAGAATTGGACGGAGGAAGATGGTTTCATTGCAATCAGGCAAGACCAAGAGGGTCGATCCGATGATAGGCGCGACGGCGTGCTTGGCAATCGAGACTTGGAAGAAGACGAAGAGGAAGAAGAAGAAGACGACAGCGACGAATTTCACGAAGGCCAAGAAGGAGACGAAGCGACCTCAGCACGGCCGAAAAGGAGACAGAAGAGGGATAAAGCAAGCAAGAGAGTGCAGGGCGAGCCAGACGACCAATTGCTCATCCTCGAACGTGAACGATTTCAGATTCCGGAAGTCATGTTTGATCCGGGGATGCTGGGTAAGCTGCTCCGTACCTTCACCCACTCTTCCTGTTTCCTATTGCTAATCGAGATGATGGCAAAGGCCTCTCGCTGGCGCCCCTCCACGAAGTCATTGAGGCCAGCATTGCGGCGTGCGACGAGGCCATGCAAGGCCCGCTTTGGTCCAACATCGTCCTCGTTGGCGGAGGCGCGAGGATGCCTGGGCTCAAGCAACGACTGTGAGCTGCTTCAACTATCTCTTCATTTCTTCCTCGTCAGGGAGCAACAAGGACTGACACAGGATTTCACAATCCAGAGAGGGCGAGTTGAGAATGTTGGCGCCGTCTGAGTATCCCGTGAAGGTACAAATACCAGAGGAGTGGGTCTATCAAAAAGTCTCTCTCTCATTGCCTGCTCTAGAAGCTCACAAAACAACTGTGAATCTCCTTAGCCCAGTCCTGGCGGCTACTCGAGGGGCCCAGGTGATCTTATCGGCTGCAACTTCGAGCAGCCTCTCTCGCATGCTTCGAACAAGGATGGTCAATGGCCAGGATTGGACACCAGATCTGGCCAAGGAGAGATTCGCTTCCTGGAATTCGTCCTCAAAGTAATGATACCCGTCCCTGTCAATGCCACATTGGTCCAGCGTCTTGTGGGTCAACGTGAAAGTGAATTTTGTAATTGCAACACAGAGAAGTAACCGAAGCCCAACGAAAGGAGGAGAAGCAAAGATTGGACAGTTCGCAAAGAAGAATTCGCAAAGCTACAGCTCTCGCGGAGGAGGCCCAAAGCCCTCCGGAGGAGGTTGGAGATAGGCAGTCCTCTGCGCATCTATTGTGTTGACAAACACGTCGTTGCCCCACCAATTGAGCGAAATGTTGCCGCCGTCTGGGTACTGCAGCGCGATAAAGACAAGGATGGTGGAAATGATTGTTCCCGCGTCGAGGGCGGCCGACGTGACAAAGTTGTACTTGCTCCACCAGCGGAAGTTGAGGCGGCGGACGAGGTACTGGAACCCGAAGCCGACGAGGAACCAAGCAGAGTAGTTGATGCCACTTCCTGGAGGAATGTAGCTCAACGAGGCAACAGCCACGGGTACGCTCACAAATTTGATCCATGACTTCGGCCAGCGTCGCGCGGCAAGCCAAAACGGGAGGGGTAGGACAGCGCCGATGAGGACGGACCAGTAAATGGATGAGTAGAGTGACTTGTCTCCGAAGAGCCTCTGTGGCCCAATTAGGCCCCATACGACGCTCGAGGTGAAAAAGGCGTTGGCAGATGGACAGACGAAGCGGTGCGGCTCATCGTCTGTGCAGAGACCTTCGACGTTGTTGAACATCCAGTACATGACGCCGATCTGAGCGACGCTGACCCATGCAGAAACGAGCAGCTGGATCATAAATGTTTGACGAGGGGGAACCTTCATGTAATGACCAAGCTTGAGATCCTGAACGAAGCCGAGGCCGGCTGTGAGCGTTTGGAGCGAGTAGACCTTGAAGACCATGTTGGCGATGGCCTTGCCCGGCAGTGCGTATCCGGCCACAAATTCACCGACGAAATTTGTACCAAGATAGGAACCTGTCATGGCAAAGATGAAGCCCGATGGCAGGATGTAGAATGCCGGAATGATGAGGGCCAGCAAGAGACCCCAGACAGGCAGCTCTGTGTCATACACCTCGATCAAGGCTACCGCCATGGCGAAAAAGACGAGGAGGATCACTGCGTACCACCAGTCGGGAACCTCGCGATACCGTCGCATAAATTTTGCATGAACGTCGTCCTCTTCGATTCGCACGTGTCGCATTCCCTTCCACAGCGCTTTGCCGTGGTACAGACCGGTGTGTACCAGGATGCTGACGGCAGCAATGAAGCTGGTGTAGTAGACGAGGTAAAATGTCGTGGGCAGATAGAGCTGCGAATAATTTCTATACGCCGCATCGTTGAACTCTGTTCGATTGGTGACGACCATGGAGATATTGTACGGGCTGCCAGTTCGGTCATAGGAGCTCGTCGAGTTGAACGGCAGGTAGCTGAAAAAGTAGAAGTTCGTGTAGTAGAGAACAGGGGCGACGATCCAAAGGACGATGGTGAAGCCGACGAAGATGTTGAGCTCGGCCCACCAGGGTACGATGAGGGGCGATGAGATGTAATTGATCTGGGTCCAGTCGAAGGTGAGGACTGACATTCCTAGGCCCGAGCCTGTGCCAAAGAGGGTATTGACGACGTGATTGTTTGGCAAAATCCAGCAAAGCCACGAAAATTGCGACAAAGCCTGAAAGAGGAAGCCGGGGACAATGTACCAGATGATGGCGCTTCCGAAGACGATGCTGAAGTATTTGAACCTCGTCATCGAACCGTCTTGACCATCTTCCTCGGCATGAAGCGTGTTGAGGATCGTCGATGTTACCAGGTTCTGCGGCCAGATCATCGAGGCAGGCCAGACGAGCCATCGTCGACAGATGCCGGCAAAACTCAGTCCGATGAGCTGGCTTGAAAGAAGGAAGATGATGCTGAAGCCGACCGGCTTGGGGTCGCCGTAGAATTGGTCGGACTGGAGTGTAGTGAGGCAGGCGATGCAGTAGGCCTGCGGGACAGAGGCATTGACGGCAATGGCAACGAGAGCGTGCTCCTTGATGTTGAACATGCCCGGGTTCAAGCTCCATTGGCCACCTCCGAGCCACTTGGGTAAAGTGAAGACGTGGGTGGGTAGGACGGCGGCCATGATCTTGCCCAGCGGATACGTGATGAGCTGAACAACGACGGGCGCAACACTGGGGGCGGGGTATCGGAACGAGAAGAGGATGTTCGCACCGCCGGCGATCGTCGAGAGGACGAAGGCGAGGACATAGGCTCTGAAGGTGCTGCACACCATGTCGGGGTCATCGGTGTTGGACACCGAGGCTCTGACCTCGGGATAAGGTGAGTCATCTTCGAGCTCCATCTCCAGCTCGACCATCCGTAGACCCCTGGCACCTGCGGCCGTCTCGCCGTCGTGGGCGGGGTGAGCGAGGCCGGGCCCTTGACCCAGACTCAAACCCTTGTCGAATTCACCACTGTAATCTTCCTCGTCGAATTCGGTCGATTTGCTCGGGCCGAGCTGGAACTTGAGATCGTGCGAGGGGCTCAGTCCGGCATCAGCAAATTGCGAAAGACGGTTGTTGCGCTGCCGTATCGACGACTGGCCATTGGCAGCCTGGGGAGGCGTCTGCGGAGCCACCTCCCAGCCTCGTGAGTCGAGCTGGGGAGCGCCCGTCGCCGTCATGCCGACGTCTTTCGGATGCTGAGGCAAGCGATTGGGTGTCATTGGATCGGCACCAGAGCCTTGCCGGCTGGGGAGATGCTCAACCTCGTCGAGGACATCCATCGACGGGAACGCATTCATAGACCTCGCGTGATTCAAGGGAGCATCGCGGCTCACTGTCGAGGCATCTGACACTTTACGGTCGAGAGATATGCGCGGGTCTGTGAGGTATGCAGCTCGTCGCGATCCAAGGGGTGCGTCCAAGCTGGCTCGCTCGCCGGGGGTGCTCGCTAAGGAAGAGAATGGAATGGTCTCTCGTCCTGCCTCTCCTCCCACCTCTCCCGGCTGGATGGCCGTGGTGCCGGCGACCGACTGTGGGTTGCTCACCGTGGGAGGCTGAAAGCCAGGCGGCATTTCTACGAGGCGTCCTTGCGAGTCGTACACCGCTCCTGTTGCCTCGTCGTAGTAGAACGTCTCCTCTTCGTCTTCGCCCATGCTGCTCGCCGGCTGCATATGGGTCGTGTTCTGTTGCTGCTCGAGATTCACAGTGGCTGGAGACGGTCCAATGTCGGCTGTCATGGACTTCTAGTCAGCTGCCTGCCAAGCAATAGCACAGCCGAATATTGCGGTCTGCTCACGAGGAACAAAGGCAAAGACATCTCCATCATCTTCACTCTCGTACTCTTCTTCGTCCCATTCGTCGATGTAGTCGTCATTGATGGCCGTGTCTCCCCTGGTCATGGGCCTCTCCCCTGTACCTGAGCCTTGACCGGCGGCCGTCGTGGGCCTACCCGCCGTCGAAGTTGCTGGTCTCCCCGTTCTGGGCCGACCGCTGGCGGTGCCAAGTCCTGCGCGGCTGCCCATCCTGCCCCCACTCCTCGTCGAAGGCCGATCCGAGGTTGACGAGTCCATAGTCTATTAGAGCACCTCCCGCCAAGGGCAGCGAGGGCGAATACGTTCAGGTGACTTGGCCACTGGCTGCTCTATTGGCCCTGTGTTCGTCGTGGCCTTGCTCGCTGCTGTTGCTTTTACTGTTGTACGCGCCTCCGTCAGAATCCCTCAAGTCACTCGACCGAGCTTTCTGCTTGGCGTGGCGTGGCGGAATCGTTTCGTATGGTGTGGTACAGTATTGCCTTCTCGTCTTTCTTGTTGCGTCACAAACGAGGTCCGGGTGAGACAATGAGAAAAAGGAGCGGTCGTCGTCGACTGATCGATGGCCTGTCCTTAGCGCTCTCAGTTCCAGCTCCCGTCCTCAGCTCTGAATACAAGTTTTCTTTCACATTGATAATCAACCACTTCAAAAACTTGATAGCCAACGGGCAATAGAGTTTGAATTCTGGGAAAATAAAGGCAAATATTCTGATAATAGAAGCAAGCAGAGAGGCTAATCTTTGGGCCCGCCCAAGGGGAAAAGGGAGGGGGGGAATGGGAGGAGATGGACCTCCTCATTCAGGTACGTTGCTCCTTAGCTTTCTCAAGCCATATCTCGTTCAAATTTGGTGGCGGGCATTAAATTTATGGGAGAGTAGCTCGTAGCTAGAGGTAATAGACTAGCTAGTAGTACGTACGGAGACGGCCTTTATTGTAAGTACGATTTGTAGTTCCTGCTTCTCAGCACCGGCCGCGGTGCGACCGCGAAGTCGTCGCCGAGGCGCGCAGCGCACATAGCGGTGCCTAAATTTTCCTGACGTATTTCTTCTTGCAACATCGTCGGCGTCAGCTACGGCTTCTCCTCTATAGTCACCGTGCCCCTCTAGGTGGCTCGTCTAGAGAAAACGACAGCTCCACAGATCTGTGTATTGGCGCCCTCTGCATTACAATGTTTTTCGAAGCTCTAGCCGCCCATCTGACCTCGCCCTGAGGTTGGGACCACATCGATGCTGAAGCAAAGAATGGATCAAAATGTTGAGCATTTGGTCCCATTCTTTCTGATGAGCAGAGCGGTGCCGACGATGACGGTCATATGTCGGCAGCTATCGAGTTGACAAGCCCGCAAGGGTGGCTTCGACTGTCCAAAACGTCATATTTCACTGAATGGGCAATTTTCATGTCCAACTCCCACCTCTCTCGTGAAAACATACTTCTTCAGTTACCTTGCGCGCTCTCCAAAAGGCGATGAGGCATGCCGTACAAGAGAGCGGATCCGAAATCTCTTGGTGAACAAAGGGACACGGAAAGTAGCGCACATTCAGTAGTTGGGTCCCTTTGTTCTCACCTCGGGACGGGGTCCCCCCTTTGTCCGCATCTTGAGATGAAGCCCTTTGTCCTCCCCCGCTCCCCATCCCTTGCGAGCAACCAGTCACCGCTGACAATGACATTTCGCCTGTCTTGCATGCCGGTCTGTCCGCTCACTTGGGCCGCCCGCCCCTTCGTCTTGCAGGATCTCGGTATCTTCTTAATAATGAGCTGCTTACAGCGGATATCACCTCTCCCTTTGTCTCTGCTTCTACTGTGCGTAACCTCATAAAGTCTCTTGCTCAAACTTTTTTCTCTCTCTCTCGTCAACCACCACAGCTGAGCTTCACCTACGATGAGGTCGCCTGCGAGCCGAAAGAGAGACACGTTACGCCTCAGGTCTCCCACGTTCAGGGCTCCGCCCAGCGTGACGACGCCGCTTCAATCGCCTACGCCCTCCAAGGGGAGCAAGAAGGACTGGACACCGCCCAAGCCTACTTTCTCCTCATACAAGCCGTTGGCAGCACAACTCAATCTTGACGACAGTCTGCCAAGAACGCCATCTTCTTCCTTTTTTGAGGACGAGGGCGCGACTGTCTCGAGATTTTCGCCATGGTCTACCCCGTCGTCGGCCAGCTCGACGGCCAAGACAGGTCGGCCAAGCACAAGCCTAGGCACGTTCTCTCCCGATCTCTCTTCCTTTTCAAGCCTGAGCCTTGGCTATTCGGTCAGTTCGGAAAGCGATGGATCCACTTTGGACCGAGATTCAGCCAACGTCGACGCCACAGGGTCTCCAAAATGTTCAGACTTTAATAACGAGAGGTGAGTGCCCTTACAGTGCCCTCTTTTCATCTTCACCTTTTTTCTCCTTTTCCACTGATCAATGCCGTTTCATGCTTTCAACCCCAGCTTCAAGCGTCAAACGGACGGCAGTCACTATCGCATCGGCGGGCATTACCATAGCCGAACCTCTTGCAAGAAAGTCTTCAGCAGCGCTTTTGACGAATGGGATGTCGACGACGAGAAGGAAAGAGAGGGCCGTGAAGAGCTCGTCGAAATGCAGCGGGAGGTGCACCCCTGGCACTCACCCCTGCGTCGAATGCTCCGTTCTCCACATGCATCTTCTATCTCAAGCTCGTTACCTCGGCATCACCGAACGAGATCCGACCTGGACGTCGCTATCTCGTCGCCGACAAATGCCCGTCATTCCAAGAAATGGTCTCCTTCGTCGGCTCGCAAGCCGAGTGCGAGCGACTGCTTCGACTTGAGCCTCTTGTCGACCGTCCCGCTCATGCAAGACTGTGTCCCTGTCTTCAAAGACTATCGCCGTGCAGACACGCAGCCGAACAGCTTTGATTCGCTTCCTTCGAGCCTTGTCACGCACCATCGCTCTCCGAGCTCAGCCACGGGAGGAAACCAGCCAGACAAGCAACGTGCACTTCAGTATGCTAACCTGCCTAGCGGCTGGACTAAAGAGCCCTTCACGCCCAACTCATCCAGCAGCAGCCTTTCGCCCTGCCCACCCCGTCTGCTGTTCCGTGACGTCGAGCATCAGCAGAAAAGCGGACCACCACCTCGACCACCGCGACCTCCATCTCTCGACCTGAGCCAGTGTCTCAGTCCGAATACGCCTCGACCAGCCACTTCGTTGGCACGGCAACAGCAAGAGCAGTGTCGAGACCAAGAGCTTGGCATTCAGCAGCGTCAGCACGAACAGCAGCCACCGACCGTGAAATTTTGCACACGTCGACCAAGGCGCCCATTGCCACGCCCTTTGCCTCCCCGTCGGCCAGCGCCGCAGGGGGGATTGCCCATGAATCCGACTGATGCGCTCGAGCTGGCCATTGAAACGTTTCTCAGTACGCCATCCTCGTCGTCTTCGGGCTCATCAAGCGGCTCTGGATCCTCGTCGCCCTCACTGTTCTCGTCTACATCGATGGCGTCGTCAGAAACATCTCTGCAGAGCTGGCCCTCTTCCTCCTCGCTGCACAGGCACCCCAACACATCCAGGAACCACTTGCAACCACCCATGACGTCCTCTTCCGCGTCCTCTTTCTCCTCCACCTCGTCTTCTTCCTCGACGACGATCACGCCGAGCGCCCTCAATGCACAGAAGACAAAGGGCTTAATGGTCGCGCTCGGCATGCAGACACCCAGCCCTCTGCCGAGCCCAAATATCGCTGCCTCCTGCGCCGCTCCGCGCCTCTGATCTCGCCCTTTTCCTTCTCTCTGTGTATGCTACCGACGCTGTGACTGCCTGTTGTAAGAGCACGATTGAGATGAGAGCGAGAATAGCGTCTTAGTGCAACCTGAGATATAGCTTCCGTGTCTGAATAGCATTCGATGCAATATTTCTTCAGTCGCACGAAGAAGAGACGAGGGGGAGAAGAGAAGAAAAGACGGCAGAAAGCTGGACTGAGTGTGAAATGATGAAGTAGATTATAGGAATGTGTTTGGTAACATGATAGAGGAGGTTAGAGGGGAAACAAGTGGAGAAAAGAACGGAGGCTCAGTAGCCGTGTCGGGGCCGCTTCAAGTTGCGCGAAGAATGCCCGTCTGCGAAAGAGGAGACCGCCTGGGGACGCGATGGTGGAGCATCACCACCACCACCACCAGCACCGTGGTGTGGATGGTGTTGCATCGAGGTGGACCTTGGCGGACCGCCTTGGGAGTTCGGTCCTGCCTGGTGAGGATGGTACTGCGTGTGGTGTGACTGTGGCTCATCGGCAATTGCGGGTGGAGCTGCGTAGGGCGAGGGAGGGTAGTAGGCGTTCGGATGCATGCGTGCAGCGCCTTCGTGAGGGACAGCTGCGTGAGACTGCGGCAGCGGAGGCGGGCCTTGCCCAGCCCCAGACGCTGGGGCAGGCATTGGCCGACCTTTGACGGGGTACGGTGCGTGGTGAGGAGGTTCATCGTAGTAAACGCCGCCGCCGCCGCCGCCGCCGGCAGTATCGCGATGATGGACCCGAGGTGTCGAGCTGGCAGAGCCTGGATGAGGCTTGGACCTGCTGCTCGGCTCTGCGCCGCCCGCACATTCGTAGTAATGATCCGCTTGCGGAGGAGGTGCGCGACGAGAAACGGGCGGAGCAGGGGCAGAAGGCATTTTGCCCGCCGCATACGATTGCTGCGGCTGCGGCTGTGGCTGCTGCTGCCTTCGCGGCGGCGAGAGCGATGCCCTCCTTGCTGGGCCAGGCGCAGGATACGGTCTTCCCTGGGATCCACCACTATAGCCATAGGGGGGATGCTCGTCGTATTCAACATTGTCCATCGGTGGCGCGACACCACCACGGGGAGGGGGGCTGCGGTATGCCCCACGCTGATGTTGCGGCTGCGGCGCATGCTGCTGCTGTGCATTTGTAGGAGAGATGGGCGACTTGAGAGATCGCATGGCCATTGTCAGGTCGTCCTGGACTTTGTTCAGGTGCTGAATCCACTGTGCTAGGTTGTCTGAATGCGTTTCGAGCTGAGCGACCTTGCTCTTCAGTTCTCGGTTCTCGCTAATGACATCCGACACCTGCTCGTTGACGAGTTGTGTGATCATTACGGCGGCATCCTTCCATATATCCTCGCGAATCTGGAGACGCATCCCCTCGACTGACGCGCGCACATCGGCTCCATTCGACACGACTCGTTGCGGCGGTGGCGCCAGTGGTGGCGAAGAAGTTCCATAGTCGTATCCTGGAGGCGGCCTCCCATATCCACCATTCTCCCCTCGAGGCCGTCCAGGGGCTGTTGGCCTCATGGCAGACCGATTCAACGAAGCGGGCTGCTTCAAAGGAGGGAGTCAGTGTGGTGGAGCGAGCAAACAATTGGGGTGAAGCACACCCACCTGGTCTTCGTTCAAGGGCTTAGTCGTGGGCCGCTCACGCTCAGACGAAGGGGCCACTGTACTGCTTGTCGCATGGCGGTCATTTGCCTTGATCTGCTGCGTAGCCGAGGCCAGAACGGGGTCCATAGAGCCATTACGCGAGCCCTGGACTATGCTGAGCGCCCTCTGCTGGCGAGACTGGCCGTACGCGCCATTGTGAATCCTGACAAACTCGGCGACGAGCCCCTGCTTGCTCTTTGTGCTGGCGACATTGCGCTTGGCACACCACTCGAGCCACTCCTGGTATAGCTCCGTGACGGATCTGGCCATATCGTCTTCATCGGAGGTGTCCAGGTTGTGCTTCTCGATGAGATCGAGGAACTTGTCGACCTCATCAGCAGTCAGATCGACAGTCTCGGACGATTTAGGCGGTGTGTTGCTGCCAGGCTTGGCTGACCTCTGCAAATGCGCGCCCAGACTCTCTCTCGGAGATCGCTGCTGTTGGCTCTGCTGTTGCTGTTGCTGCTGCTGCTGCTGCTGCTGCTGCTGTTGTTGTTGTTGTTGTTGTTGCTGCTGCTGTTGCTGCTGAGCCTGTGGCAAGGACTGCTGCTGCGCTCGCAGCGTAGAGGGTTGGCCTGGGATCATGGCTCGGCCAGTCTTTGTGTTGACACCCGTCCTGCTGCCAGCGACGCTGTTCGAGGGGTAGTAGTAAGGAACTGGCCCTCCAGTCGCGGTCCTGCCATGCATTTCTCGTAGAGGACCTGCGCCATTCGTCGTCGAAGAGGCGCGGGGAGGAGCAAAGGCGTTACGCGAGGCAGGCTGTGGAGATGCCGAAGAGGGTCTTGTGGTCTTTTTCGCCTCGGCGGCGATCATGGGGGTGACGGAAGGCGAAGGAGTGTTGCCATTGCTGTGCCCGTTCATCTTGACACTGTTCTCTGGCAACGCTGCTGCTGCCGTAGCTGCTGTACCTACACCGATACCGCTACCCTTTGCGCCCCCAACTCTTGGGCTCCCCGTTGCGCCTTCTTTACTCTTTCTGTCCCTGTCTGATTCTGTGGCTGCACTCTCGGACTCCTCTTCGCCGTCCTTGCGAGTGACTGATGGCGACGCTTGCGATGAATTCCTGGAGCCCCCCGCGGGCCGTCGTCCCACGCCCCGGACAGGAGCCTTTGCTGACTGCTGGTGCGCTTGACCTCTGAGAGGTCGCGCTACTTCGGCGAGCGGGCGCTCGCTGTCGGATTCCACCAGCTCGTCCACATCCGAATAGCCACCCTCGTCTTCATCGCCGTTCTGGTCGCCATCCTTGTCCCTGGCTTTTGCTCTGGCTCTGTCTCCTTCCCGTTCACTGTCCCTTTCCCGGTGCGCCTTGTCCGCTCCGCCGGCCTCGCTCCTCCTTGTCGCCGAACTCCGGACGCCGTCGTTGTCGTCAGAGTGCTGTTCGGCCGGCGAGCGCTCCTTCGACTGCCTCGATGCGCTCCTCGCTGACATGATGGCGGCCTTTTGGAGACGCGGTGACCAGTGCGCTCAGCCCGCTTGTGCCCTCCTCGTTGCCTCTTTTCTTTGATTTTTTTACGCCTCCTCGAATCTCTTCTGCTCGACTTGGATTCTTCCCGTCGCTCTAGGCTGGCTCCACCAGGGACGCACGCGCGCAGCCAGAAAGCCACTCTTTTCCAATGTCACCCCTTGGCGAACGGGCGTCTAGCTGATCGGCCAAAGGTAAAAGGGGAAAGAGAGGTAGTGAGAAAGGAGGGATCGAGAAAGAGGAGGCAGCCGCCGTCGCCGAGGAGAAGATGAAGATGAAGATGAAAAATAGCGAGGCTCGTGTGCATGCGTGCGTGCGTGTCGATCGGTACCTTGCTGTGCAGCTCGTCTCCTTTGCAGCAACGTCAGAGCTCCGCTTGCAGTGCTCTGCCAGCGTGCCAGTGCCGGCGTGCCGTCTGCTAGTTCTTTTGCAAGGAAAAGGCCGCACCGCTTGGCTAACAGTGCAAAACAGCCGGCGTTTGTTGTGCTTGCCCTTTTTTTTCCTCTTCTCGTTTCAGGTCCACATCTCGGGGCATGCGGTCGCCCTTTTGCATTTACTTTTTTTTTTTGGTGAATTTTTACACACCCGCTTCAACCCCTTCTCTCATGCCCCATCTGCTAAAGTCCTCTTGGGTGGCGTCGCACTACAGACACGAGGTCGCTACTCACACACTCACTCACTCACACTCCACCACTACCCGGGTGCCCGCCTGCTTGCCCTTTTTACTCCCCTGACAATGCCACTCTGCCATTATCGCAAAAAGGGCCCCCTTTTTTTCCGTTGCCTTGATGGCATGGCTAGCATCCACTCGATTTTAGCACCTGGAAAGTCGAGCAAAAATACAGCCGGGGGCGCAATCGGCGTGCAGGGGCCCCTCGCCTGCAACATCTCTTACTCCCCTCTAGCTACGTACTACTAGTACGTAGTACTACTTCGAGAGAGTGAAAAATTGCCTGCCGTGCATGCATTCCCTACTGCTTCTACAAGTCCTCCAATCTATTCCCGTCTTCGCCTCCACCTTCTCCTCCTTGGAAGGAGATTCCTCCGAGCCAGGATGCGATCGAGGTTTGTCCTTCTGTATAGTCCCGAGCCATTTCTGCCATTGTCGCAAAGCCCGTAAGGAAGGAGATTACTGCGCTAGAGCGCGCACCCTAGGCCAAGCTAAAGTTCGACAGGCCTCATTATATTAGCCTGCCTCACTAGTCCGGACGCGGCTGCAGCGCGCTAGCCTGCCACATAAATGTACAGCTAGAATATGTACTGCTGCTGCTGCTAGCTACATGCACTACTGAATAGCTGTCTCTCCCCTGATTCGGCCATCTAGCCAGCGCCCCCTCCGCAACACCGAAGCAATTCCCAATTAGATAGAGCGAGCTCGCATAAAGTAGTAGAGCGTGAGGTTGCAAAGATGGTAAAAAGCCGTGCCGAACAAGCTCGGGGATGCAAGTGCCTCTTTTTCCGGACCCGAAGCCGAACCCAATTTTCCCTTCAAACGGCTGTATCCGAGAGCGTTGGTAGGACCTTGTGGGCTCGACGAACTATGTCCCTTTGTCACTTCCCCCCTTTCCTCTTTTCTCCTGCCCATATTTTTCCTTGTTCTATCTTGTTCGACTCCTCGTGTGAATTCCTTATTATTCTGGCGAAACTAGCAACTCCCGCACATTTAGTCTTCTTCTAGCTCTTAAGCTTTGTATCGGAACTCGCATCCCATCGTGTGAACCGAAGCTGGAAAGCGCTGACCTCGCGGTCGCAACACGCCCATATGCGCATCGCAGTATATCAAATTCGGGAATGCAGACCATCTGGAATTCTTGTCATCTCTTCTAATGTAAAATCGGGACCTTTTATTGGAAGGTTCATGTGAGCCTCCGTGTGCCTCCTCGTCCATGAGGTCAAGAGACCTGGACAAAGTGCCATCAGGGCTTGTGGAGGAGCGGAATGCCCAATTGGAAGAGCACCGGAGGAGGACGAACCACGCACACATTATCTTGCTCAGGCTCCAGAAGGTAAACCACGCAGACAAAGACCCGAGAATTGTGTTGCAGGGCTTCCGCATCCGCCGTCGCACAATCTATGCTTTGTCAACTCCCATATATTTAAAGATAGCAAGGAAGCAGCTAGAGAAGCACTTATCTTCCTTTGACACAGGTCAGCGCCAAGCCGCATCATGCCAATACTAAGTAGTGTGTGTCTCTCTCTCTCTCTGTCCACGCCTCTGGCGCGCACACGCGCGAGCCCGCACCGAGCCAACATTCTGTCAGTGACCAAGTCGCGCTGACGTATATTTTAGGCAGGGCGGGTTTGCTGTGATTTTCTCAAAGTTGCTTCTCCGACGTGCTCCACGGAGTTGTGGCTTGTTGCGAAGGCGGAAGTCGTCACAGTGATGTCTGGTGACCTTGCTCCCCGTGCTCCCTGGACTCCCTGACGGCCGTGAGCCTTGTGGACAGCAATCGCTATGGGAAAATCGCATAATGGATGCAAGCACGTGTTTCCTGAGGAGGCAAGGAGGGAGAAGAAGAAAAAGAGAAGCCCCTTATGTACCACCGGTATGCTAAGCTTCCAGAAAGAAAAAGCCACGAGCAGACCAGGCAACGAGGATATCACAAGGGAATTCAAAAAACTAATATTTTCAAGAACAATAATGCGACACGCTGGAGAGGGAAAGCGGGACGAATAAGAAAACCTGGCGAAATTGGAGCTAACACTGCTATTCGATTTGGTCCTTCAACTTTAAGCTTCGCGTCGAGCTTGAGACGGGGCAAACGGACGTCAAACACCCAAGTCTAGAGAGCAGCGGCGCCCTCGGCGAGGGAAGACAAACGAGGAAGAGTTGTTCGCGAGCGAGGACCGCGCTGCTGAGGCGAATCCCAGGGGCTAGACAGGGCAAGACATCGAGGCAAGGCGCAGACTTGTGGCTGCTCCGACGTGGCCGCCGAAGAGAAGAGCGACTTCATCTCCTTGTGTCCCTGAGCCGCCCTCCGCGCAGCCCGCGACGCAAAAGAAGGCAGAGAGCGAGCAGAACAACCGAATCAACCAAAGCAGGCAAGACAGTATAGGAGCGCGTGTAGAACGGATGATCAGTCTGCTCCCATCCTTCTGGCTTTGGACACAAACGGCTACGTAAAGCAAGAACGAGGGGCGGGCCAGTGCAAGCGATGCTGCGCCGGGGTAACAAGAAACGCGATGGACACGCCGAGTCCAGCAGCAACGCCAACAATGACGATGGTGCTGCTCGAGCCTCAGTATACCCTTCGAGCGGCTCCAACGGCAGCAACTTGAACCTCTCTTCTGCTGCTCTTGCCGGAGGCAGCGGCGGCCCTTCTCGTCCGCTCACGATTCGAACGACGTCGCAGTCGACGTCGCAATCCATCGAAGCGAGCACCAGAGCTATGCAGCACCAACATTCTCATCATCCCCACTCCGGACCCTTCACTTCCCGGCATATACCTTCGAGCAGCAGTGTCGATGCCTTGTCGCCTTTTGGCTCATCGCCTGGCTCCACTGCGCCCACCTATTACCACCACCCCCAACAGCAGCAGCATCACCAACAGCCGCAACAGCAGCAGCAGCAACAGCAGCCACCTCAACAAGTCCAACAGACGCAGACTCAGCAACAGAGCAGCAGCGGTTCAATGGGCCGAAGCCAGTCGGCGTTCAACTTTATCCTCGCAAAGGCAAAGGCCCCCTTTTCTTCGTCGTCGTCGCAGCAGCAGATTGCCATGCACCCTTCGCCTTCGATGTCGTCGATGGTCAATAGCCAGGGCATCCCAGAGGATGGCGGCAACCTCGACGCAGGACGGTCTCGCTACACGTCAAACCCCAGCACACAGCCGTCCGCCCCAGCGATGGAGCGAAGGGGAACAAATGAACAGCAGGCGGCGCCATCATGGGCCTCGATGAGACCGAGCATGGGCGACGACCAGGCCATGCCAATCTCGAGCCCTACAAAGCGTTCCTTTTTTGGCGCTCATCGAGAGCGAAAAGCCTCGACGACGTCTCTCACCAGGTCAATGGCCGCCTCTCCTGTGCCACTTGCAGGAGCCGGAGCAAGAGCAGGAGCAGGAGCAGGAGCAGGCGCAACACCATCGCAGCCATCTTCCTCTCCCTCAATGCCAATGTCCATGTCCGTGTACGACAGAGACAGAGACAGAGACAGAGAGAGGAGCAGAGGCGCACTCTCGCCCCTGTCAAAGGCGTCGTCGAGCTACGGCCAGTTCAGCAAGAGCCAGTCGGATCTTCACATGCGTTCCTCCGACTTTCCCTCGCCGGGTCACTCTGTCGTGGATCTGCCCAAAGTTCCCTCGCTACGGGGCGCGATGCAGGCTGTGCATCAAGACGACGCAAGCCTGCTCCGATCGCCCAGTCCACAGTATGGCTTCTCGAGGAGCGTAGATGATCTCGCACAGTCCGTGAATACCTCGTCGTCGACGGCTACCACCAGCGGAAAGGCAGGGGCGATGTCGCCTCCATTGAGACCAGCGCATCAGAATACAATGGGTGAGCATGGCGTGGCGGCCCATGACTGGGGACGACCTAGCGATGTGGGCACTCTGGCCAGCAGCAGGCAGCAGCAGCAGCAGCAGCAGGTACCCTTTAGCTCGGCCGGTACACCGAAACAACAGTCGGCGTCTTCTCCTTCTCCCTCGCAGCAGCAGCAGCACCATCACCAGCGCAAGGCATCCAAGCAGATCAAAGACGACCGAGAGGCTTATCTCCAGCAGACGTCCCGCGGTCAGCTCCCAGGCATCACCTACGAAGGTCTCCTCAACCGAAATGCCAACATTTCCCTGCCGCTGGCCCAGCTCGTTGCTGACGGGGCCGGGGGCGCGAAAGGCAGGGAAAAGGACATCACAAAGGGCTGGAAGCCCTACAAGGTCCAGCTCCGCGAGGGGAAGCTGTACTTTTACAAGCCGCCGAGCGCCTTTTCGGACGACATGAAGCAGTTGTTCCCTGTACATGTCGTCCGTGGAGGAGGATCCAATGCCGCAGCTGCATATGCCAGAGAGATTGGGCTGGACCCCGAGGCGATCAAGAGGGGCAAGCTGGGCACACAAGATCTTCTTGCAGCGACTTCTGGCAAGCAGAGCACCTCATCGGCCGGAGCTGCTACGTCGGCACCAGCTTGGGCTTTCCCCGCGAAACACCCGGATCTTGTTCTTGTCGATGCCGTCGAGAAACCAGCGACGTGGGCAGCACGAGTGCAAGGAGGTAGCCACGACGCCCTGGCGCACGAGTACGTCTTCGCAACGCAGTCAGATCCCGATGAAGAAGGCGATGGGTGGAAGGAGGAGGCCGGAACGATGGTGTATGCGCTCTTGACGGCTCTTTCGAGGAGCGCAAGGCCTATGCACGGTTTCCTCGTCGCCATACAGAAGTGGACCCTCATGGCCCTATCCGACAAGGACGAGGGCACTGCAGCGAGCGAGCCGGTGCAGAAGCGTGAGAGGATCCGGGCGAGGATCCAGCTTCTTGTCGAGTCCGACCTCGTAGAGTTCGGCCAGCTGCACGAGCGTGCATCGTTGGAAAGCGTGTTGGAGGGCATTGTCGGCGATGCTTGGAGAGATGACAGACGAATGGCGGCCGACATTCTTGCGACGCTCAAGGAAAGCCAGCCTGCCGAGCCTCCCCACGACTGGCTGTCCAGACGAGAGCGTCCGACACGAAGCGAGCTAACGGCTCTCGTCAATGCCGGCTTGGGCCCGTCGACGCTACTGAGAACGGATCCAGCCGAAGTCGCGAGGCAGATCCACGCCTTCCACATCGATCACTTGGCCTCCTTGCAGCTGCCCAGTGCTTCGACAGTTCGCCTACTGGCGAAGTCGCCCTCCACGACGAGATCGCACCGGCTGCTGTGCTTTGACTCGTCAGCGCCTCACCTCCTCACCTCGCTTGTACTCGACCAGGTCCTCTTTTCCAGCGGCTCAGCTTCTCCCGCAGATTCACGCTCAGAGCAGCAGGCCGGGTCCAGGCAACGAGCGACGCTGCTCCGGCACTGGATCGCCGTCGCATCTGGCCTCCTCAAGATGCACGATGTCGCAGGCTGGGCTGCCATCTGCGCTGCTCTGTGCTCGAGGGCCGTGACGAGGCTGTCGATGACGTGGAGATTCGTGGCAAAGGAGGATAGGGCCATTGTGGGTGACTATTGGGCCCGGCAACTCGCCGATCTCGGCTGGTCCGAGTTGGCGATCTCGCCTGATGGCACCAAGCGCGAGCCTGTTGAGGCCTTCATATCGAGCCCCGCTACGATCAAGTATGCCATGGCAGCTATTTCGGCGTCGGCGGGGCCTGAAGCGCCAACGGTGCCCTTCCTGGGCAACAGCATCGTGCAGGCGAGGGCCTACCCACCTCTTGCTTCCTCGGCTTCTTTCTTACCGCTCGTCGAGACCCGCGAGGTCGGCGCAAGGCTGTGGACGTTGAACAAAGCATGGCAGCTCGGCGCGCACAACCGGATGAATCCGTCGGTTCTCCAGCAGCAACACGGCATTGCTCCGTCGCCGGACATTCAACGAGCCCTGCAGAGTCTTTTGGAGCTACACCAAAGCGTCACCGACTCCGATATGGCCTATCGCAATCTGTCTCGTTCCCTGGCCATCGAGCCACGCATCGACGTGCCCAAGAGGAACAAGAGGCCACTGCAACTGTCCAAGAAGACGGCCACCCTGGCGCTTTCCCCACTCTTGTTTGTCGATTCTCTGCCGAATCTGTCTCTGGTCGACCGACAAGAGATGGCCGTCTACGCTGAAGAGGCAAACGGCAACGGTGGGACCAAGAAAGCTGACGAGCAGGGTACCATCACCGAGAAGAATGCAAAGACCCGATCGCCGCTCATGTCCTTGCCGCCCGCTATGATGAGGAGGGCATCAAAAGCGTTCTCCCCTGGTATGCTCAGCCGGCCTCTCAAGGGGGTTTCATTTGCAGGTATTACGGAGTTCAACACTGGGGAGGGCGGAAGCGAGGAGTCCCTGATTCGAATGGGCTCGGACATTGTATTTGCCATCACAAGCGAGCCATCGGTCAGCTTGCCTTCGTCGCCGATGACGAGCAAGCGCTTCTCGACTGAGTTGAATCGGGCAGCTAGGCCGATCTCGCAAGTCTCATCAAAGCGATCCAGCTTGCCAGCTTCCAACCGCAGCTCCATGGTCGAGCCCCCCACGCCGGTGCAGGTCCACGTTGTGGTCAAAGCGGCTTCTCTCGACAGACTAGGTAAGGCCATCCACCCACTCTTCTCTTTTCCTCGTCACCGTATCAGATGACTGACCTTCCCACAGTCGACATCTTGGTCATGGGCGTGCAACACCTTTCGGTCAATACAAGCGAGGACTCGGCGGAACGGCCCTCTGGCCGAAAGTCCCGTCTTGTCATGGACTTGCCCTTGTTCCGGACGACGTTCCTATCGACATTCCGGCTCTTCTGTCCACCTGTCCTCCTCCTCGATCTTCTCCGCAAGCGCTTCGTAGCAGCCATCAACGCCAGCCGCGAGATGGCACTGCCTGAGCAGCACCGCTCCGGGAATCCGTTTCCGACTTGGTCTCTCGTCGAGACCGTCGGCACTCATGTCGAACCCATCGACTGGGACACGGTTTCGCGCATCAGATCCGGCGTTACTTCGGTTCTCACCGCCTGGATCGCTCGTTTTCCTCACGACTTTGCAGAGGACCACGAACTCTACATCGGGGTGCACTCTTTGACACAGGACATGGATACTCTTCTGCCGAGGCATCCAGAGGACAGCGAGTACGAGAAGATGGCGTCCACGCTTGAGAGTCTCGTCCGACAGCTGCGCGCAAACGTCATGGGAACCTGTGCCAGGCAAGGAGATCGAGTGACAGCTAGCAGGAGGACCTCTCAGCCGGTACTCTCTGGTGCGACGCCGCCCGCTTCCACGGTGTCGCCATCCCAGAAACAACTTGGCACATCTTCTGTGACGGCAACGACAATCGACTTTGACACAATCACACCCGCTGAACTCGTCGACTACCTCGAGTCTGTTGCAAGCATTTTCGTGGATAAGATCGAGGAGCGAGACCTTCTTGCGATCAGTGAATTGTTCGAGAACCAGGCCAGCGACGCGCTGGGCTGGTATGTAGACTCACAGCATTCACAGCAGCAGCAGCAGCAACCCTCGTCGCAGGACGACTCGCAGCCGCTGTGCACCAACATGTACAAGCTCATCGAGCTGCTCAGATATGGTGGTGCTGGCAGTGGCTCTTCGTTGCACATGTGCCTTCCCATGGCGGTGAGGGACGCCTGCGCGGCGCAGAATCTGCTTAGGGGGTGGGTGGCCATCAACATCATCGAGATGCGCATCGGACTCGCAAGAAGGCAGGCCCGCCTCGAAAAGCTCCTCGATGCCGTCTGGATCTGTCGTGCACGGATGGCGAATACACGGGTGGAGGAACAGTCGTCGACACCCCTCAGTCCATCATTTCCATTCAAGGAGGCTACGATCGCTTCTTTTGTCGAGAGTGCAATTGTCGGAAGCCTTGGGTCCCCAGAGAGCAGATACCACCTCCGAGCGTGGCAGGGCGTCGCGGCGGCGAGAAAAGCGGCGGGCGATAAGCTTGCAGACCTGTTTCCACCCCAATCGACGTGGGATTCAATCAAGGATTCGGCGACAACGACGACGGGAGCGCTCTGCGCGCTCGATATCGGTTGGCTACTAGAATGTCTTGCTCAAGCATCGACGAGATCGTCTGAAGCGGCGCCTCATCCACTCGTCGATTTTGAAAAGTACAGGACGATCTACACGCTTATCGATGCTTCTCTACAGTTCAAGAGCCAAATGTCGGCAGTTGCAACAGTCGCTCCCGAGGTAGCCAACGCTAGGTTGACCGAGATGCAGCGCGCGCTGCGGAGCGTAGCGTGGGATCGAAGGGCGTTCAAAGAGGAAGCGAATCAGGAGGCAGCGACAGCACCTCCTCTGCCTGCCAATGCAAAGGCTCGCGCCATGTATCGTCCCTTGACAGGTCTCCTGGGCCAGCAGCAGGACAAGCAGCAGCGCGATCGACGCGCGTATGAAGTCCTCGTCAAGCAGCTGCAGCAACAACAACAGCAACAACAACAAGGACAACAACAGCAGCAGCAACAGCAGTTCCAGACGGCAACGTCGCCTTCGCTTCAAGCACCGAGCTCGAGCAGCCCGTCGTCGTCGGCATCGTCGTCTTCCGGCCTTCGAGTTCCGGGCATGGATGCAAGCTCTATGGGTAACAAAGGAGGCGAAAAGAAGACGAGGAGGATGACTGCGCTGTTCCGGGGTGCCGTCAGGCCGATGGGCGGATTGATGAGCTTCGATCGACCATCGGCATCAGTCGGCGACTCGACAGACGCCGGTGTCTCTACTTCACGTGCCGGTGTCGCACCCATGGAGATGCTACAACTCACACCGACGCAGAAGCCTGCACTGGTGATCCCTTGCGGCGCCGCGAGGGTGTCTGTTTGGCAAAACAGCCAGAGGTCCTACTGCTTCCATCTTTCGAGCATGCAGAATGGGCAGCACGTCCTGTTGCAAGCACCAAGCCAGGCAGACGTCTCCGAGTGGTTCTCGCAGATCGAACGTGCGGCGAAAGAGTACGCGGGTGAATTGTTGTCGAAGCCGATGGACAAGAGATCAGCTGAGAAGGCCGAAAAGGCGGCTGCTGCAGCTGCTGCAGCTGCCGCGGCGTCTGCATCTGGGAAAGGACGACCAACGGTGCCGCTGTACGGAACGGACATCAAGGTCCTCGTTGAGCATGAGAGGCGAGAAGTGCCATTGGGCCTCGTCAGGATGCTCCAGGAAGTCGAAGCGAGGGGTGAGTGGACTCTCTTTGTTCTTGTGAGCGACTGTGAGATTAACCTGAAGTCGAAACAGGCCTGCAAGAGCAAGGCATCTACCGGATCTCGGGCGCTAAAAGCGCCATCGAGCACCTCAAGGTCGCCTTTGGCCAGCAACCGGCCGAGTCCATTGATTTGGCGCGAGGCGAATTCAGCGACGTCCATACGATCGCAGGCGCCATCAAGCAGTGGTTTCGCGACCTGCCCGAACCGCCGATCCCCTTCAAGTATTACAATGCAATCATCGAGGCAGAGAAGATGGAGAGTGAGGAGGACCGCCTGTATGCGATCCGCGACATGATCTGGGAATTCCCCAAGCCGCACTTCGACCTACTCAGGAGGATCTCGGAGCATCTGGCCAGGGTTGTCGAGGAGGGCAAATCCAACCTGATGGCCCCGCACAACATCGGCTTGGTGTTCGGTACTTCGCTCCTCAATCCGCCGCCGGGACCAGCGAGCGTGGCACAGAGCTTCGGCAACATTGGCAGCGCCGCCCACATTGTCAAAATCATCGTCACGATGCATGACTGGCTCTTTGAGCCCGAGCCCGAGCCGGAAGCGGAACCGGAAGTAGAGCCAGAGCGCGAGGCAGGGCAGGGACAAGAGCCAGAGAGCCAAGGCATATCTGTCGATGAGGCTGAGATTGGTGGAAGAGACGATGACGATGCCAATGTCGGTGCCGACGCCGATGCCAATCTTGTGCAGACAGCAGAGCTTGGTAATGAGCAGCGAGAAGCGCAAGATCAGGAGCAGGAGCAAGGGCAGGAGCAGGCTCATGATGTCGCTGTGCGTGGCGAGGTACCAGCGCCCAGAGAGGATGCTCAGCAGGACGCTGCCGAGGGTGTCGATGGGTCGGATGCGGAGCGCGAAGGAGGCTCGATTGCACTTCCTCGATCGTCGAGAAGCGGAGCAGAGACACTACCATTGCTCACACCGGCTGGCACGACAACACTGTCTGCTGCGACCAACGATGCCGGTTCCTCATCATCTTCGCCCGGTAAGCCGACAACGAGCGAATCGGATATCTCGCAGTATCACAATCTTTCGTCAGGCGAGGCACCATCCGAGGATGACTCGATGGTGACGACGCCGGGTGTCGGTGCCGGTGCCGGTGTCCATGAGGGAAAGAAACTCGAGAAGGGTGGAAAAGAGGAGGAAGATCCTGAAACGATCAGACCGGCTGTGCCACGCCTGGGAGGTGCACAGAATCGCCTTCACCCTTCGTCGTCTTCTGGGGCAGGGGGAGCAGGCCTCTTGAGCAGGCCAAAGGAGGAGAGTATCTACCTCGACGCCCAAGACGCCATAGCCGTCCTCAATCCATTTGAGGACGAATGAACAACCACCCTCTTGTACGCCCTTCTTTGCGTTATGCCCATTTACTCTTTCCTTTCTTTCTCTGCCTCCTTTTCTCTTTGTGGCTCTCTTGATGTTGTTGCTATTTTGCTGTTGTGCAATTGTTTCTACCACATTAATCAATCACAGTCAGAGAGCAAGGGGCTTGAGCATGAGCCAGAAGGTAATGGTCGTGAGTGCTTCGTGACTGCTTCTCCACGTGTGCCGCGTCCACTCAGTCCGTGCGCGCAGGTTAAACTTGGCTACTACTGTCGCTGATCATTCTCGAAGCTCTCTCTCCCTCTCTCTCTCTCGATATTGCCAGATCCACAGCCATGTTTAAGCGGCTCCTCTTTGGAAATGAAGAGGAGAAGCTGGCCTTCAAGACGTCAACCTCATCCGGCATCGCTCGGCTGTATTCGTCTCCACAACCAATCGAAGCTCCCCCACGCGAGGCGTCCTACTGGCGATCCTTTACGACGGCCTTTGACACTGCCTCGGACGTCTTTGGCCTCTTTGCCGTCTCGGATGTGAGGCGGGCGCTGACCATGGGCGACGCGGGCCGGGAGAACATCAGGACGCTCGTCCAGGTGTGTGTCTGGCACCTCGAGAGCCTGCGGGACGATGTCGACTTCTGTCCCGAGCCGACGACGAGCGCGGGCGGTGCTGGCCGATGGGGCGCTGCTCTTGGCGCGGCGAGATCGACGACGGGCGCGACCAGAGGAGCGGGAGAGGAGCGCGATCGGGTAAAGGAGGCACTCAACTGCCTTAGAATTCTCACCAGGGTCTTGCCCGTCGTCATGGAGGGCGACCACGATGCGTCGTGCAACGTAGAGGCCCAGGGCGGCGCTGATCCGTCGGCTTCGTTGACGTCTGACGACTTCGAACGAGATCTGCTGTGGACGAGAAAGGTCGACAAGAGAGAGGAGGCTAACTTGTCGACGAATCCGCTATCGGGAAGGCCGGAAGATGAGGAGGGCTCGAAGCAATTTGTCATTGACGACGACGACGACGAGGAAACGCAAGACACCGGAGATCCTTTGAGTGCAGCAGCCCGGAAAGAGGCTCAGGAGCAAGAGCAGCGGCAGCATTCCGGAGAAGAAGAGGAAGGAGATAACCTCCCGCCAAGCTTGGGAGAAAGGCTCTTGACAATTGTCTTTGATCTCCTCTTCTACTCGGGCTTTACGATTCCCTGGACCGACGAGCAGCTCTCGCAAGCAAACGGGACGTCTGCTGCACCAAGGATCCACTATGCGATCTGGGAGAGAGGCGTGGGAAGCTCCGTCGATCTGGCCAACACGACAAGGCAGCATGAGGCACACCGCGTCGAGGTGCTGAGGCTGCTCCTGGTTCTTCTCTCCAAGAGCATCTACGTTCCAGCCCACCTCCAGACGACGACCGACAATCCTGCACTGCGGCTGGCGGCAACGGGCTTAGATCGGTCCGTCGTCCTACCCCTGCTTTGCAGCTTGCTCAACGTGGGCCTCAAGGCCAACGATCAGGGCTGGCTGGGCAATCTCGCGAGCCTGCCTGCGGGCCTCGTCAAGGAGCGTGGAGCCATATCACCCGAGGAGACGCGCTTGAACCTCGTCTGTCTCTCGCTACAGAGTCTCGATGTTCTCCTTGGCTACGACTCAATCGACCCACAGTCCCAGGTCAAAGAGGCTAGTCAGGAGCAGGTCAGACCGAGGCTGGGCACCAATGCCTCGTCGCAGTCCATCTCGTCGGCCCGACAACCGGTGCTGCCGGCCCACGAAGGTGCTCCGATGAACCTCTTTCGCTTCTACCTCACCAAGCTCCATCGTCATGCCGACTTTTTGACATTGTCTGATGGCATTTTCTCTATCCTTGCCTCCAGAGGCTCCGGCGGGCTCTCGTCCCTTCCGGGGGTAGGAAGCCTGGCTGGTGGCTCCACAGCGACAATCGACCCCTCTGGGCCGCACGTCTCTGAAGCCCTGATGCTGCTCTGGCGCCTCCTCTCTCACAACACAAAGTTCCGGACTTTCCTCCTCGACGACGGCGCACGCTCCCCTACGCTCCTCTCACATCTCCTTTACCACGCTCTAGCCAACAAGGACTCGTTACCCAAGCAGGGATTGGTAAGGCTATGCGCATTCATGCTCCAAGACGTCTCTGCAGAGAGGGCATTTGGCATTCACATTTCAAAGGCAGGAAGCGGTGCAAAGGCGCGCATTCACAACGGTCACAAATGGGGCGTCGCTCAGGGCGGCGGGTCCTCGCTCTCGGGGGGCGGCACGGGAGGAGCTTCATCCATGGTGCCCTCGGTTGTCGGCGGTGGAGGAGGAGGAGGAGCGGGAGCCGTAGTAGGAGGAGGGCCGAGCCAGGCAACGACGGGAGCCGACATTCTCATCCAGTCAGTCTATTCACTCATTGCCACGACGAGGGGCACTCTCACGTCGTTGTATGCACCTCTGGTCATCTCACTGGGTAACACGGCGCCGTTCTGGAGGAACTTGAGCATACTGAGCTCCAACCGCCTCGTCGCCCTCTTGTCCTCCTTTACCGCCTCGTCCTTCCTCCTCGCAGACGACGGCAATCCGCGTCTCGTCTTCTACCTCCTCGAGTCCATCAATGCGGTGCTGCACCATGGTTACGCGCACAACCCCAATTTTGTCTATGCCCTTGTGAGGGGCGCACAGCCGTCGGTCCAGCGCCTGGCCACGTTCACTCTTAGGAAGGGCATCGCCGACATCAGGCGAACGAGGAAGAGAGCAGGTGTCTATTCATCACCATCAAATGCAACGTCAGCCTCTTCGCTGGGACGGCGGCCATCGTCGGTCGCTGGCGCCGGTGGAGGCGAGAACGGGCTCGATGGGAGCCCGCGAGCAGATCGAAAGGACCCAATTGGTAGCGAGGCAGGCGTGACGGCGTCCACCGAGCACGAAGAAGCGCCGCCCGAGCCTGCATCTGCGGAGCAGTCTGAGAAAGCACGGGGCAAGATGCGGCGAAGGTCCAACGCCGATACAGCTCCAGCATTGGGGGTCGCGAGCTTGTTGGGTGGGCAGGCCGAGGATGAGGAGGATGCGCTAGTGGCTGGCTTCAACGACGAGGAGCTCCATGAGGCCGCAAGGACGGTGGGCAGGCACGGCTTTGTGCCAACGACGGGCTGGGTTCAGTCTTGGCAAGTCGGCCTACCGCTCGACTCGCTTCAGATTGCATTGACCGAGCTCGTGCCCAAAGTCGAGGAGCTCTGCTCGAGTGGAGGCTTGTCGAGCAAGAGCGATGCAGACGAAAGGGTGCTGGCGTTCTTACGGGAGCAGAAGCTCGTGGGCGTCTTGACTTCTCCTCCCCCGATTAGTGAGTGAACGACTTGTGTGCGTGGCTTTCCCTACCTGTGCAGCGGCTGACACAAACGGAGCTCCACAGACACGCGACCGTTCAGATGGACAACGCAAGCCCACATCTGGCTCCTCTCATTTGTTTGGGGCCAGGTCTACGTACATGGTCTCTTGCCCTATGGCATTTGGGCTGGCTCCAACGCCCGATTGTTTCAGGTCCGGCCCTTGCCATCCGCCAGCAGCACCAATAATGCCAACAGGACTTTGGCTGAGCAGCAAGCGTCGCTCGTCGGCGCATTCCAGCAGGTCCTGGGCTGGGGCGGAACCCCTACATCTGTACAAACACCAAGAACAGCGGCGCCAACGTCGGTGTGAAGCAATCCATCTGTGCACAATAAAAAAAGTCCTTGCGGACCTCGGCAGCCGGCTTTCACTTCCGAGCCGAGAGCCGTGGATGTCACATTCCTTTTGCTCGCCCAGTAGTATTTGTGGAGAAAAGAATTGGGTCCAGTCGGAAAATTGGCTCGCTCGCTCCACTCGATCCGCTGGAGATTGGAAGAAGGGGAGCCTGAGGACAGATGATACCCAATTATATATGCACCCCCCACTTTCTTTCCTTTCGTCTCACCCTATCTCCATCCGCTCTTCCTTTGCACCATCACCAACCAGTCTATCCCTCTGAGAGCTCGCAATGGCACAGATCATTAAACACCAGCACAAGGAAGATTTCAAAGATGTTGATCGGGGCAAGTGAGTTGCGTCGTTGCTGGTGCGCCAAAATTGCTCCCGGGCTTAGTTAGACCATCATTGCAGCATCTTCACCTACCTCCAATCGAATCCAAATGGGATCCCCGATTCCAAGGCCATGTTCATCCGAGCCGATGGAAAGTCGTTTTCGCGCGGACATATCTTCCAGCAGGCCCGTCAGATTGCCCATGCGCTGCGCCACAAGCTCAAGCTGGCCGAAGGCGACCGCGTCGCCATCTTTTCGCCAAACAGCTGCACCTACCCCACTCTCGTCTACGCAGGCCTAGGCGCAGGTGTCGTGCTCGTACCGTGCAACCCCCAGTACAGCCCAGAGGAGCTCGTCCACCCAATCAAAGACGCGTCCGTCAAGTATATCTTCGCCCACCCCGCAGTCGTGGGCAATGCGAGAAAGGCACTGCAACTAGCAGGCATCAGCAAGAAGACCGAGCAAGGCGTCGAGAGGGTCTGGCTTCTGGATGACACGGACACACTTGCTACTGTGCAGGACGGTCAGGAAAAGGACGCAAGGACGTTGATTGGAAAGGAGGAAATGGAGCCCTTGGTGGTAAAGGACGCGGCCGAGCGAACAGCATTTATCGCCTATTCTTCCGGCACTTCGGGCAAGCCAAAGGGTGTCATGCTGACTCACAAAAACATGACTTCGGTGACGGCCTCCATGATCATTGCACTCAAGAACGACTTCCACTCCAACAGCACCGCTCTGGCCGTCCTTCCCTTCCAGCACATCTTTGCCCTTGCCAAGTTTATTCACTTTGGCGCCCTTTGGGGCTACTCGACCGTGGTGTTGCCCAAGTTTGACCTCGAGCTCTTCCTGGGGTCCATCCAGCGCTACAAGGTCAATCTTGCCATTCTTGTTCCACCCATTGCTGTCCTCCTCGCAAAGCATCCCCTCGTCGAGAAATACGACCTGAGCTCGATCACCGTCATTCTGTCTGGCGCGGCACCGCTGTCAAAGGAGCTGGGCGACGAAGTAGAGGCGCGGATCCCGAATGCGAGGGTCACACAAGGCTACGGTCTCTCCGAGACGTCACCCACAGCGACGTACATGTCGATTGAGAAGTGTAAGTCTCCTCCCCCCAGCTGCTCTTTTGCTTGACGCTGAGAAGCTCGCTTCACAGACCGAGACTTCAAGGGAAGCTGCGGTGAGCTCATGCCCTGCATCGAAGCGCGCCTTGTCAACGATGACGGCAAGGACGTCGGTCACGAGCAAGGTGCAGATGGCAATCCGGGTGAGCTGTGGCTGCGAGGTCCCACGATCATGAAGGGTTACCTCAACAACGAGGAGGCCACGCGAGACTGCATCACCGACGATGGCTGGTTCAAGACGGGCGACATTGCTATCAGCAAAGGAGCAGTGCTGTGGATTGTTGATCGAAAGAAGGTAAAGTCCAACGGGTCTTCCTCTCTACTGTTGCACGGAAAGAGCAAAAGGCTGACCCGGAGTGGATGGACAGGAATTGATCAAGTACAAGGGCTTCCAAGTGGCCCCTGCCGAGCTTGAGGCACTGCTCCTGCGCCATCCCAAGGTGGCAGACGCCGCCGTCGTCGGTATCTATTCCGAGGCCGAAGCTACAGAGTATCCACGTGCCTACATTGTTCCTCGCGCAGACGCCGGCGTCGATGTCAAAGACAAGGCCCAGGCTGAGCAACTGGGCAAAGAGGTCAGAAAGTGGGTCGATGAGCAGGTCTTTAACGCCAAGCGCCTTCGCGGCGGCGTCATCGTGGAGGCGGCCATCGAGAAGAGCCCCAGTGGAAAGATCTTGAGGAGAGTCTACAAGCAGAGGCACGAGGAAGAGGAAAAGAAGAAGAAGGGGTCATCGAAGATGTAATATTTTGTCTCTATTTGCTACTACTGCTCCTTAGTGCGAGGGTCCCTGTTGCTCTATTCTCTTCGCCATGTTGCTCTAAGCTGCTCTCTAAAAATCTCCCATCTTTGCATCTTCTACTACTACGATGCAACACATGATCTTTACAGCACTCTGATGACTGAAGTCCTCCCCTTAATCATAAAAAGCATAGCCCGCCTCTAACCTCTATACCCCTTCTCTTAAGATTGCTTTGGCCATTCCCGCATCTGCTATATGATGGCAGATTGCTTCTGATTGTGAAGACAGATCAGAGCTTGCCGAGGACGGCGTCGACGTGGGACGAATCGACCTCGCCGGGGGAAGCCTCCTTCTGTAGAATGCCAAGACAAAACGAGAACGAGCCCGAGTGAGCTAGCTGAATCAAGATACCAAGGCAGATGAACTCACGTCGAAGCTCTTGATCTTGAGGTCAGGGTCCACGACGAGAGCGTATCGAGCTCCCCTCGTTCCGAAACCCATCTTGCTCATGTCGACCGTCGCGTCGAGCTATACAATCCGCCCCATCGCATCAGCACACTGAGAGATTCACGCAAACGAAGATGGGGAAGAAGGGAGGAATGGAGAGTAGAGAAAGAGAGACTCACGAATTTGGACAGACCGAGGTCGAACTCGGTGGCAAAGTGTACCTCGTCCTTGGCGCCCAAGGCCGAACGCCAACCGCTCATGACGAAGGGATCATTGTAGGAAACAATGTAGACTTGAGCTCCCTTCTCGGTAAATTCCTTGGCTTTGCTGACGAAGCCTGGTGCGTGGTTGCCGTGGCAGGTGGGCGTGTAGGCGCCCGGGACGGAGACGATGACCGTCGTCTTTCCCCTGTGAGTGAGTATGCGTGATGAGCCACAAGTAGACGAGAGGTCGAAAAGGAACTCTACCAACTTCCAGGCACTCTCGGCGGTGAACTGCTTGGGCGGCATGGGGCACGCCTTGGGGTCCTCGAGCGCGGGCGACCATTCGCACTCCATGAAGGCAAGGTCACCCGGGATCTGCTGTCCGATCTTGCTCTGTCGTTGGCTCTGCAGTCAGCTCGGCTACCTCATAGAGGCATCCACTGTTCCACTCGCTTATCACCCACCATTGTGAAATGTGATCAATTGTCAAAGCGATTCTCGTTTGCTGGCGTGGTTGGGTGAGAGAGATAAAAAGAGGGTGGAAGGTTGGGCGACTCGGTCTCCACTTTGCTAGAATCCAGCGCACGGACGACCGCGTGGAGGCTGCTTTTCCGAACACGTGATATCCACTTCAGCGGAGGTTGGGAATCGATTCCTGAGATGCCTTGCTTCAGTTTCAGGCCGCGTGAGAGACCTCAGAGTCGATCAAGGTGATGGACCATCGACCGTACTCGCATTCGCCTGGAGGGGGGAGGGGGGGGGGGCACGAAGATACTTTGAAATGATTTGCGAACACCACCACATGGCTCTACATGATAGCAGAAGGCATAACTCATATGACGGGGTTAAAAGGGTCTGTTGATCGAGGGGATCGAGTACTTTACTTGGACCTGAAGTACACCTCCAGGGTACATGCTGACTTGTGTTGAACCTTCTCCGCCTTGCGGCCCGATTCCCTAGCGCAGCAGCCCCCGATGTTTCTTCCCGCTTGATAGTACACTTTCTTGATAATTTGCCACCGACCCGGACCACTAAGAGGCCGAGCTGTCTTTTTGGACCCTTTGGCATGCTATGCAACCTTACAAGTGGGCCCGTGCCTAATTTTCGCTCCGCAAGCCGTAATCGAGACACCCAACGGCTGCCCAGTGATGTTCGACTTACCAGCCCTAAAGATGAGATTTACAGCGAGAAGAGGTCCGGCAGAGACCCTGCCGATGAGAAAAACACCTCCCTGAATTGACCGGCGCTTGGTGCCGACGTAAAGCTACGACGATCATCCGAGCACTTCTCACTTTGCCAATTTTGCTCTCGGTAGCTTAATCCGTTCTAAGGGATTCTACGCTTGGGCTGTCTCTAAGGGCAATGAGTAGTTGCAAGATATCGAATGAAATCTAGAGCAGATTTTCGGTATCCATTCAAATTGGGACTTGAGCTACATGAAGCTACCAAGGCGTGGGCGGAGCAATAGACAATCAGATCCGCAATGCTTGGAAGTGTGCTCCAGTCTATGGAACTGCCGAGTCGTTACATAGGTAGTTGGGGCTTATTCCCAAAGCTTGCCGATTTTACCTCGTGAGCTGCTTGCGAATCCAGAGCTACGGCCACATGAAAGCGCCCACAAATGGGCATCGCTAGATGAATTCACTTTATATTGGCAGATGCCGTGGCTGTGAGGGGGAAGTGCCACACATCTCCTCGAAGCACGGTGGCAGAGCGGATCCTTCTCGCACAAGGCGATCTTCTGAATCATCTTGTGCCACGTCCCTTCTCTCTGATGAAGGCGAGAGCAGAACGGACCAAAAGGAAGACCCACGAAGAGACGACCTTGGCAATTTACTTCGCAATCTCCTGAGTCTTAAATTGGAGAATTGTTCGTGGCTCCAGAGAAGACGGATGGGATGTTTGTGACAAAAATGGGACGCACATGCTGATCGCAGAGGAAAACGGGCAAACCCATCCAGGTAGACATGCAGGAAATTTAAAAGCCATTGTAATGTCTACTATGCCCAGTCTCGCCCTCGCAACCTTCACCGATCTCTGCAGAACGGGCAATCCACCTCTACGTTACTCATCGTCCAAAGACGCTGGAGGACAGCATGTTGTCTGTACCGTCTGCTGTCAATAGCACGCAACATCTAGACAAGAGTGGAGCTTGTGAACGGCGTGGCAGGGTAGAAGAGGAGGTGGCAACATGTCTTAAAATAAGGCGGCGAAAAGGCCCAGTCGCCTTCTTTGGAAGCTGGCGCAACCGATGCTGATTTGGGGAGGTGCATCGATCCTAAAACTACTTTTCCTCCCCACCTGTTTCTTCCATTCTCTTTTTACCAAATCCACACCCACGAAGGGCAGACACACTTCCTCTTCCCTTTCCCGAAAGGAAATCAGCTCTCGCCAGAACGTTGACCTGTGGATGAGTCCTGGAATTTCCCTCGGCACTCTGTCCACTGTGTCTGTCCACTGTCCAACGTTAAACTCCAACGCGCGCGAGAAGGGAGAAGCAGGACGTTGCTTTTCGGAGAGAGCTAACCGCTATCAACGGTCTACTCTTTTGATATTTCCTATTGCCCGGCCATTTCGTCTGCTCTATGGCTCTTCGACTCGGCATATTTTAGAGCCTACGACCGAGGTTATCGACCAAGAAGACAGGCCGACTGATCCTACAGCCTTCTCCGGTTGCGTCAGCTCGGCGTTCAACACTTCTTCAACCCAGGGAAGAGGGAAATTACGAGCTTGTCTCGCCCTTCAGTCTCTGACCTTCAGGTTTTTACCCTTCCTACATCTTGTAGGAACAATCCACTGTTTGTCGCCGCTCTCCGCCTTTTCACACCCTCGGACCATCGCCATCTGGACGCGTTGTGCCCACACACACTTTATCGCTCGATTTCGAGCTTCGTATTTGAGTCATCCATCCTCGTCCGTCACCACAGCAAACAGCTGTAGTCACTGGGACTCCCTCTGAAGCTGCTTGCCAAGCATCTGTGACAACGACTGGCCACAAGGTGTTTGGAAAGAAAATATTTTGGCTGGCAGTCAGGAAAAAGCCAAGGCCAAAAAAAAAAGAAGGTATCGCTTTAAGGGCCACAGCGCACCGATCTTCACGGCTCCAAACCCCCACCGCGTTCTCACCATTCGAATTGCCAACCAAGCGACAGTATTCACCAATTATTCACCTCGGAAGGGGCTTTTCCATTAATTCACCTCCTGAAGCCATCATACAGCTTCACTCGTACCGCTCGGTCCACTTAACATATCAGTCGGCCACAAACGTCACTACGCGCCTCCAGCTTGCTCTTGTCACTCGCTCAGCGTAGCCAAAGCCATAACAAAATTTTCTCATTGGAGCCCTTACACTCTTCCGCTTACGACGAGAGGTCACCAACAAGGCAAGCTTGAGAAAGAAGCAACTTCTTTAGCCTTCCTCGAACACACTCCTCGACACAGTCAGTCTCGAAAACGGGCAAACTATTCCGGCAAGACGACACGCAAGTCCTCCATGAAAGCCCAAATAGACGTCAAAAGCAATCATCTTTGTGTCAATCACAATACAGAAAACGTCATCTTCGAGCTAGGCTAGACGTACACTCATCGACAGTTTGCGTCATCGCTTTACCCTAGCGAGAGAAAGAGCTGCGGCATCGAGCGAGGAAGGGGGAGGTCAATAAAGAAGAACCTCCAGGTGCGTAGAGAAAGTCAGGGCAAGGTGGTGCGCTAAGCATTTCTGGCATCCTCATAGTATCTTGATGAGCTTGAGGGAAGGCTCAGACTGTGCTGTGGCGCTCTACGGCATGATTCATGGTTTCGCTGATTAAGTCTATCATCATCTTGGTGTAAGTTCAGAGAAGGGGAGAAGAGGACGGAGGAGTGGGGCAAGAGGACCTTCTCGTCGACAAAGACGTCCCTCGTCAGCGAAATTTCCAGCCCAACCCAGTTCGACACTGCCCCCTCCGAACGGGCAACTTCGGCCGTCGCCGTCGATAAGCTCAACCCCGGCCAGCAGCATCCTTGGTGACTGGAGCCGTCAAGTGAGTAAAGCAAATTCAACCCCGACCATCGCGACGAGCCGAAGTCACCGAGAAGGAAGGGAAAGAGGGCCAAGCGGCCGCTTTTGAGGCCGCGAGGGCCGCATAACGAGCAAGTGACCCAATAGCAGCCGGATGCTCCTTCAGCTTGACTTTCCCGGTACCCCTTGACCCTTTCCTGGCGCTTCTATCCAAGCATCCATTCACCGACCCTTTTTGCTTCTCTCCAAGCACTTCCTACCCACTTTTCTCCTCCCTCCCTCTCTTTCCCCCTTCGATCTCGCCTTATCGCGCTCCTTCTTCAGACTATCGCTTTCGCTTGAGGAGGTTGAAAGCCGTGATCGACCTTCCTCTCGACAGACAGGACTGCACACCATCATCCTCGCTCATCTGGTCAGTCCTTGGCGGCGACGAGCCTGCTCTACATACACGAGAGAGAAGGCACGTAGACCGAGCAAGGGACAGAAGCTTGAACGAGAGCCTTAGGCTGAGGTCCACTCTGTCTGGAAGGCCTTGCTGGCTTCATGTCTGGCCAGACTCCATGGACTTGGTCCTACCCACCGGAGGCCGATGCAGAGGAAAGAGGCAGAAGTGCTGGCGACGTGGGCAGTAACGGCAGCAGAAGCGACACCAACGATGCAGACTCGGACGACGACGACATGCATCATCATCAGAGCGGTACTAGCCGTTTCATCACTGACCAGCAAGAGCCAGAACGCCAACTTTCTTCCTTTCAAGAGCAACACGAGAGTGGGACCTCCTCTGGCGTGCAGCATGGTCGACGGGGTCAGCAGCGTACCATGGCAGGGTACACAGCGCCCCTCCAATGGGAACAGCAACAACCACAACAACAACAGCAGCAGCAGCATCAACAGCAGCAGCAACAACAACAGACAACGGAATCGCTTTACACGTTGTCCACCCCGTGGCAGACGCAGACGCACCTTCCGGCCAACACTCAGACACAGCAAACGTATCAGCACCATTATCAACCAGAGCAACAGCATCAGCATCAGCAGCAGCAGCAGCAGCAGCAGCATCAGCAGCAGCAGCAGCAACAACAACAACAACAACAGCAGCAGCAACGGTCTCATACAGGTACAGCGTCGGGGCCTTTCGGGAGCGACCCCTCAGAAGGCTCGTCCAATGACGCCCGGTCCTCCTTCGAACAAAGAGAGTTCTATCAATCCTCGTCGCAGGGGGGAGGCACACTGTCGGACACATCTCACCTTCTACGGCACCAGCCGCTACCTTACTTGCAACTCTCGTCTCTGCCAGCTGGTCAAAGAGTCACTGCTGCGAGGTCAGGTAGCGAATACCCCGCGTATCATGATGAGCTTTCCGTCAACCAATTCTCGTCTCAAGGTGGCGGCGGAGGGATCAGAGACGCATCATTCCCGGGCACTACGAGCGGCGGCTATCCGACGTATACACCTTCGGGGGTGACTATGCCTGATGCGAGTGGAGCGATGATGGATCAGGTCGTGGGCAATGCCATGCCGCTACAGCCGCAGGTTCCAAGTCAGTACAGCCTGCCCACACATTTTCAGCAAACACAGGCAGGTGGTGGCAGCAGCGGAGGAGGTAATCCTTACCGAAACGATCAAGGTCATGGCCTCGCGTCGAGCCAACACCCTTACCACCAGAACCATCTACATCACCACCACCACCACCACCACCATCAACTTGCTCACGAGCAATCCCAGCTTCAAGAACCCCACATGCAGCAGTCCCAACAACAGCACCAACAACAGCAACGTGACCCCTCGCGCCGTCCGTCTCTCTTCGCAAGAGCATCGCCGAGATCGTTCACTTTCCCTCCCGTCTCCTCACCCTCGAGTATCGCGTCGACATCGACAAATCCGCGCCGGCAGGGGAAATTTGATATTGGCCTTACAGACATCAGTCGGGCCAAAGATCCGCAATTGGCGCGCGAGATGTTGCGCGAGATGCGAGCCCGCTTGCCAGACCTGCCGACGGCCCCGGCTGCTTGCGACTTTTGTCGAAAGCGAAAGATCAAGGTTAGTGATGTCGGGACGATTCAGAGAGAGAGGTGATAGATGGATGGAAGGACGAATGGGTGATTCGACGGAGACAGAGAGGACGGGAATTCATTTGCGGAAAGAGAAACAGGTGAAGGGACAGACGGATCGAAGGGCAAGATATTATTATATCTTTCTTCGTCCTGGCTACGAATTCTGAATTGGGCACAACCTAGGGCGCCATAGTCCGAACGTCGACGACGACACTTTGAGTAGACCAGAATGCTGACCCACTCATATTTAATCTTTTGACTCATTCCATCTCGTCGTCCCAAATCCGACTTTGGACCCTTTGGCCTTTCGTCGTCTTTCGTTCTCGATTAATCATTCGTCGATAACTCTCTCTCGTAGTGCAACCGTGCAAAGCCGACATGCGACAATTGCCTGATGGCTGGTCGCGTCTGCACGACGGAGGATGTGCTCCGGAAACGTGGCCCCCCCTCGAAGGTAAGGACGGGCAGCGCAACTACATTCCAGGTCACAAGCCCCTCACGAGCACAGGCTGACTTTCTCCACTCATCAAACAGAAAGAGAAGCAGGTGCTGGAGGATGCGGGTATCACGTTTCGAGGCGGTAGAAACAAGAAGGGGACGAGGGGTCGCGGTGGCATTCGAGGCCGTGGCATCTCCGACATCTCAATCTCTACGCTGGCCGAGAATCAAGCGGCAGCGGGACCCGGACCTGGGACGATGGCTGCGTCAAGACTCGGTAAGAGCGCGTCTGGATCTACCCCCGGGACAGGCGGTGCAAGAGGCGAAGACAGCCGAAGCGTGAGCGGGAGCCTCACTGGCACGATGTCGACAACTCCCTCATTGTCAACTGGCCCAACGACATCGACTGATCCCACGTCTGCATCGCACGGCAGCGCAAGCGGCAGTGGATCTGGATCCGGCAATGCATCAGGCAGCGGAGCGACGAGCGGTGTACGGGAGAGCGGCACTATGGGCGATCTCGAGAGGACGATCATGAGTGGAGGCATGGCAAGATACCCGCAGATACCGTTGAGACAAACGTTGATAGGACCGAGCCCGAGCTCAGGTGAAAGAGCCGAGGGCAGATTGTCAGAAGTCGAAAGGCGAGCAAGAGTGGAAGCGGTTGAGACCGACGAGGGCGCGGCCAGCAGTGCCAGCGAAGGTGAAGAAGGTGCTGGCCCCGCCCAACATCGTGCTGGACAGCGAGGGTCGTCCGAGGGCCGCGACAAAGCAGTGGAAAGAGGCAGAGTGTTTGAGCGCTAAAGGCAAAGCCAAAGCGATCAAACCTGGCAGGGGGCACGGTCAAAAGTGATGATCGGTTGTGATGTCACCGGATGGTGAACATATTTCAAAGCTATTGGCTCCTAAAAAAATGATGCAAAAAGCAAAGTCGAGAAGGAAATAAATGAAAAACAAAAGGCGATTTCATGCACGAAAAAATTGCGGCCACGAAGAATGGAGCTGCCACATACGCCTATTCTCAACCCAAAGCTAAGGTCGGATGAGCAGAGCGCACCCCCATCAGCTCTCAGTTGTATCGATTGGTTAGACCAACGATAGCAGCATAAGCTCCCACAAAGGCAAAGGCGTAAGGAAAAGAATAATGAGAGTCGCCGGTTCGGGACTCGTCAACATGAGAGGGTGGGGCAGATCACATCACGGTCTTGTATGTCAACGTAAGTGCGATTCATTCTCCCACTGAATTGCAAGAGCTATTTTTTTAGCTTGGGAAAGAGTGGGGTAAATTGAAAACACCATTTCTCTTCACCCTCTAGGCGGCACCGCTGAGGCCGGGAGCCGGGCCCTTTCCGCCTGTCTTGATGTCACCGCTGATATTCGCGGTGGCAGCAAAGGCTACGAGGGCAACCGGGTATCAGTATGGCGAATCGCAACCTTTGCTAGTCGGAAGGAGAGACTCACCTTGATCGAGATCAGCTTTGATGTCGTCGATGAATTCAATGCCGACCGAGAGGCGGATGAGATCCTTGGTCACGCCGCTGGCTGTCTGCTCCTCGTCCGTCAGCTGCTGGTGCGTCGTCGAGGCAGGGTGGATAACAAGCGTCTTGGCGTCGCCCACATTGGCCAAATTAGAGGCCAACTTCAAGTTGTCTACGAAAGCCGAACCTGCAGCTGCATCGCCCTTGATTCCAAACGAGAGTACACCGCCAAATCCGTTCTTGAGGTATTTCTTTGCGAGCTCGTGGCTCGGGTGGCTCGCAAGGCCCGGGTATGAGACCCAGGAGACCCTAGGGTGGCTCTCGAGGTATTGGGCGATCGCAAGGGCATTGTCCACGTGTCTCTGAACGCGCAGGCTCAGCGTTTCAAGACCCTGAAGGAGCAGGAACGAGCCGAAGGGGTTCAAAGCGGGGCCAAGGTCGCGGAGAACGACGACTCGGACGTAGATGGCATACGTGATCGCCTTGAACGTGTCCCAGAACCTGAGGCCGTGGTAACCCTCGGAAGGCTCAGTGAACTGGGGAAACTTGCCCGAAGCAGCCCAATCGAACTCTACAAGAGATATTTCAGCTGGGGTGAAGGAGGAACAACTGCAGAGGAAAAGGGAGACCAAGAGACTCACTTCCAGAATCGACGACAACGCCAGCAATCGTGGTGCCATGGCCACCGATCCACTTGGTAGCTGAGTGGACGACAATGTCCGCGCCGTGGTCAATGGGCCGGACGAGGTAGCCGCCTGCGCCAAATGTGTTGTCCACGACAAGGGGAATCTTGTTGTCGTGAGCGACCTTGGCAATGGCCTCAAAGTCGGGAACGTTGTATCGTGGGTTGCCGATGCTCTCAATGTAAATGGCCTTGGTCTTTGCATCGATGGCCTTTGCAAAGTCCTCAGGCTTGTCACCCTGGACGAACTTTGTAGTGACACCAAATCGGGGAAAGAGAACTTTGAGCTGGTTGTAGGTGCCTCCGTAGAGGTAAGACGTCGAGACAATGTTGTCACCAACGCTGGCCAGCGACAGGAGTGCCATGGCCTGGGCGGACTGGCCCGACGAGGCAGCCACAGCGGCGACACCACCCTCGAGCGCAGCGATGCGCTTCTCAAACACATCGTTCGTGGGGTTCATGAGGCGGGAGTAGATGTTGCCAAATTCGCGCAGACCAAAGAGGTTTGCTCCGTGCTCCGAGTTGTTAAACACAAACGACGTCGAAGCCACGATGGGCACAGCACGGGCGTTGGAGCCCGGGTCGGGCTCCTGGCCGGCGTGCAATTCTGCAGAACAGGCATCTTGCGGTAAGCACGATGAAGCGGATGAGGGCGACCACGCGAGACACTTACGGAGCGTGTCAAAGTGAGAAGGCATCTTGCAACCGGACTTTCGGGGAACGGAAGCAAAGTCAAAGGGAGTGAAGGTGGGTGAGAAGAAGGAAGAACTTTGATATCCGAGTCTTTATATCCCCTCCTTCACTATGGCTGGTCAGCCGACCGTTCGACTACTTGCTAACGAACGTGCTCGGGGACAGCCGCCTGCTTGAAAGGAAAATAAAAGCGGGTCTAATTAGTCCTCCATCAGCATAAGGCCTGTCACTTTGCTCCTCGTCTGGACGCAAAGACTGCAAGAAGATCAAACTAGCCGACATCAATCCTTCGGATGGCGTGCTCAGGCAGCCCTCGCACGGATCACTTTGCTTGTCACGTGAAATGGTGTGCATGGCGTCCTACTCCACATGTTTGATTCCGAGGGAAGGGTGACAACATGCATGGTAGCGACCAGCGGGGGGAAATGATCATAAGAGCGTTCGACAAAGAGCCTCGCCTTCACAATAGGCGTCGGTGTAATAGATTTCTTCAAGCTTAAGGGGCCGGCAGTGCTGTTGGGGCGCGCTGATCGAGCTTGCCCTCAACTGTAGAGAGTTATTACCCCGGCGCCTTCAAGTAATCACAATTTGCAAGCATTGACTTCTGTAAGGACACCTTTCGTCATTCGCAGCGATGACTAAGGATGGTAGCGGTGGTTAGGAGCTGAAGACTCCAACGGGAGATGTTTAGTCAGAAGCGGTGTTGAAGATCGTCTCCTGGTCCATAGGGGAGCGCTGGTCTGCACCAACAGAAGGGGGCTACTCAAGGCTCAGAAAGAAAGTGAAACCCAGCATGAGACTGTTGTAGGAGATCGCAAGCCATTGCGACAAGCTCTCTTTAAGCCTGATATGGGCGCTTGTCCGCTGGTGCGAGTCGTGGGCAGTAATGGTGCAGGGCTCGGGCACGTGAAGAGGGGAGTGGACCGTGCATGTTTGAGCCACGCGAGCAACTATTTTCTCGCGTCGAGGCCAGCGCTACGCCATCCCCCCTGCTCTCCACCACCACTAAGCGCCTCCCGCTCCCAAATCTTCCTCCTGCAACGCAATCGGCGAACCACTGGGAGAGAGGCCATGGATAACCGCGACTACGATTTCCTTTTTAAGCTCCTTTTGATCGGAGACTCGGGTGTGGGCAAGTCCTGTCTTCTCCTGCGTTTTGCCGACGACACCTATACGGAGAGCTACATCTCTAGTGAGTTTCTGATAGGGCTTCGATCTGCGTGCCGCACCCTTGATCCGCTCACATCGATCTTGAAATTTGTGCAGCCATTGGCGTCGACTTTAAGATCCGGACTATCGAACTCGAGGGGAAGACTGTGAAGCTCCAGATTGTGAGTTGACTTGCTCTGTCCTGTTCATCCGCGGCTCCACTGACTGATAGGCTGCGGAAATGTGCTGTAGTGGGACACGGCAGGACAAGAACGCTTCCGCACAATCACGTCGTCGTACTACCGAGGTGCACATGGTATCATTGTCGTCTATGATGTGACTGACCAGGGTAGGTTGATGGCCGCATCGCCAACGTAACGAGACCCCTGCTTAGTGAAGTTTCCCGAAACACAGACACGTTCGCCAATGTCAAGCAATGGCTCCAAGAGATTGACCGGTATGCCACCGAGGGAGTCAATAAGCTCCTTGTCGGAAACAAGAGCGATTTGACGAGCAAGAAGGTTGTCGAGTACAATGTTGCCAAGGTGCGCAATCTCGTCGATTGAAATTGGGAGTCGAAATAGCTGGGGATCACTGACGTCTTGCCTGTTTCTCGCCAGGAATTTGCCGATCAACTCAACATCCCCTTCCTCGAGACATCAGCTAAGAGCGCAACCAATGTCGAGCAGGCCTTCTTGACCATGGCCAAGCAGATCAAGGACCGGTGCGTAGCAATGGCTTGAAAGTCGTCTTCTTTTCGCGCGCGCTTACTCCTTCTTGACCAACAGCATGGGATCGGCGTCGGTGAACAACGCGCCCGGAAAGTCTAACGTCAAGCTCGGGCAGGGCCAGAACGTGGCGGACCAGAACCAGGGTGGCTGCTGCTAGACGAGGCGAGGTTCTTCGCCCCGCCCCTTCATATCTACTCTCGTTTTCTTCTCTTCCTCTGTTTTACGGTCCTTTCCTTTTCCCTCCCTTCCTTTCATTCCTTATTTCTCCATACAACTCAGCCAGTCACAATGCGCAAGGGAGGGGGGGATTTAATTTGACGATGCCCTACTCGTACCAGGACGTGGGTGACTGTCACCGGAGGGTTAGCACCGCCTTGAGCTGAGGCAAACCACGTGTTCGAAAGTTGCCTTCGGGAAAAATCTCCACCTTGGCATTACGTCCGAAAGAAGTAGTTTCTTGTCCACTTGCTGCTTCCAGGAGATGCCGACATTCGACTCGAAGCCGCTAAGCGCCTCTTCGGCGGCTTCAGGCAGCAACAGGGCGAACCTACTCGCTCGCCTGACACCTCAGGTCCGAAGGAGGCCGGTGCTCTTTTTCGGCCTGCCCTTTGTCCTGACGATTGTTGCGGGCTCCTATGGTCTCTCATCGCTGACACAGACGCGGTACGACTACAATGCGACGAAGGTGCAGAGCATGAGCAAGCAGGAGGAGCTTGGCATGCGCAAAGACCGGCGGCGGGTCGACATCCGCGAAGAGTACTTTGTGCGTTTAGATGATGGGTCCTGTGAAGCCTTTCTTGAGAGAAAGAGAAACTTGCGAAGGGGAAGACGCTGATGCTGATGCCGATGTCACGAACAGAGATTGCAGAGCAAAGAGTCAGAGCTCGAAGAGTGGGAGCCAAAGAGAATCGAAAGGCCAAAGGGGACACCAGAGTGGGGTGTCCCGCCGCAGGCCGAGGAGCGGCCAGCAACCAAGTCAAGGAGCTCATCATGGTTCAGCAGGAAGCCGGTGCAGGCCGAAGAGGAAGAGCCGGGCAGGAGAGGCGAGGAGATTCAGAATGCGAGGGTGGGGGGTAGAAAAAACATCGTTCTCGGTCCAGACGGAAAACCATGCAAAGCCTGCAACTCGAAGCTCGCATTCACAGCTGCCATGCGAGGCGCAAAAGAGCCATCAACCATCACTCCCGTTTTGCCTTCGTCCGCAGGAGACGATGGCGAAAGGACTGAATGCCCGCCGGACGGCGACATCATTGGCAACAGCACCTGGACCTTTCTGCACAGTGCAGCGGCTTACTATCCTCGGCAGCCCTCAGAGATTCAGCAAGAGTCGATGCTGGCCCTTATCCGGTCACTCGTTCACCTCTACCCGTGCCACTCGTGCGCGCAGGCGCTTGGCCAAGAGCTTGCGCGCGAAGAGGACTCGGGCCAGCCGTGGCAGTCGGAGGCCAGGGCTAGCTCAGGGGGCGCGACTACATTGAAAGAGGCCGTCAAGCGAGGCCCATCACTGAGGCTCTGGCTCTGCGGCATACACAATGAGGTTAACGAGCGCCTGGGCAAGGAGGTCTGGAGGTGCGACGAGGAAGCGCTCAACCGGAGGTGGAAGGACGGTCCGGCGGATGGCAGCTGTGATTAGTTCCGGTCCATGTGTATACTTTTCTGTCCTGCAATGCAACTGCCACACCACTCTAACAGGCCCCCGATTGCCTCTCCTCGTTGCTTGCTGAAGAAGATAGATTTCTTCGTGGTCTTTTCAACATGCCGTTCCTCTATTTAGAAGGGCTTGTCCTCGTCGGGGGTAGTGTCTATAAGCGGCACAAGGGTGAGATATGAGGGCGAAAACCGGTGAGCGGCGAGAAATTGACTGGACTCACCCTCGAAGTAGCCAGCGACAATGGGGATCTTCTTGAGGACGTCGTTTTGGAACAGGGGCACCTGGCTCATGAACAGTGTCACAGCTCCTCCCAGTCCAACGCCCCAGACGGCAAAAGTCGGGAGCCACCTTTCGTATTCAATCTTTCAGTGTCACTTCAAGGCGGGCGAGGGTTGGATAGGGGAGACGATGGGGAAGGGGGAGGACTCACTTGTACACGTTCTCGACGGCGAAGCGTCCGACGTGAGGCTGGAAAACGGGCTTCGATGCGGGTGCGAGGGCGGCGCGGCTCGGCCTGAAGGCGCCACGCTGGGCTCCCATTGCACGAATCGCCGTGGGTCGGAGGGCTGCCATTCTGTTCTTTTCTGGGTGGGAGTGAACGGGGAAGAGAGAGATGAATTCCGTCGTTCAGTGCGGACGACGACGGCAAAGGTCGGATTGCAAATGCACACGTGTTCTTCCTGTCGAGCAAGACGCGCGTGGCTTTTCGAGGAATCCGACATCGGTCCTCATCTCTCCCTTCCAATCTTGCGCCATCGACGGTCCAGGGCCTACGATGACGACGCTCAACTTCTGTGCGGAATGGTGAGCTTTGCATCCCGATTGTGCTGTTGCAAGGCGTGTGACCTCTGACTAGACTGGGATGCGCAGCAACAATCTCCTGTACCCGCAGGTGGACCGCTCAACGCAGACGCTGCTCAATGCATGCCGGAACTGCCCTTACAAGGAGGAGGCGCAGAACAAGATGGTGTTCCGCAACGATCTTATGAGCGTCACCAAGGAACAGGCGGGCGTCATTGACCAGCTTATGAAGGACCCCACACTGCCGAGAAGCACCGAGCACACATGCCCCCGGTGTGGGCATCACGAGTCAGTCTTTTTCCAGGATCAGTCGAAGCGCATCCTCAATCGCATGATCTACTTGTGAGTGACGTTTCTTCTTCAATTCTCGAGTCTCGGGATGGATGGAGATGATTGACATTTCATGGTCTGAAGCTTCGTCTGTACCGCCTGCAATGAGCTCTTCCGCGACGATTCCATCAAGACTTGATGGGCCGCCAATCCGACCGTTGTCCAATTCTCCTTCCCACATTCTCTTGGCCTGAACTCGATCCGCACTCATTTTTGTACCATTAAACAATTCATACTTGTCATCACCATCGGCAGGGCATCACCGGTTTCTCAAATTAGGCCCAGATGCTCGCTATCAAACACAGAGTACGGACGCCTGAGCATCTTCTCAAAATGCGTTTGGTCGTCGTAAGGCCCCACCGTTGCTGTGCAGACCTTGCCCGCCACTTCATCCTTGTCGCCGTCGACGTTATGACCAAACAGAGGAACAGAGCCATTGAGAAAGTAGGCCCGGAGGGTGTCGCTCGTGCAGTTGCTGATGAGGGGGTCCGAGGTGTGGCCATACTGCTTGACTCTGAGCAGACCACTGCCCTCGCGCAGCTTCGCGTGCTTCTTGGCGACACTCAATGGTGTCACAGGGTCGTAGTCGTTTCCCTTTGCTCTCCCTCTTCAGCAAGCATGTCGTGCTCTCACTATTTTCCACTGCGAACTTACAACGTAGAGGATAGGGAATTTGGGCACGACGGTAAAGTTGCCGGTGAACTTGTCATTGTTCTCGATTCGCCAAGTTTGAATGCTCATTTGGTTGTTGATCCAGACCTCGGCTGCCGCCAATCGCCGTCTATTCAGCCATGAATCGTCACCCTCTCATTGATGCGCGGGACTCACCACCAAAAGGGGCAATTTCTTGCAGCTTGTCCAACCGACTCTTCGTTCCGTAAAAAAAGGGAGAGCAATGTCAGCTGCCTCACTCCGATTCCTTCTTTCCCCACCCATGTCTTCTTTGGCACACCTACTTCTACTGTATCCACATCGTACGTGGCAAGTTTTTGGAGAGCATCAGCGCTCGCAATGGCCCTGAAGGCCGCTCCAGTCGAGAGCGGCCTCTTCAGCTTCCTTTCCTTGTAGGCCTCGTAGCCCAGTCGATAGGTCGTTTTGAGCAAGAAGCCCGTAACGTTGCCTCCCACTAGCTCGGCGAGGGCTTCCGTCATTGTCTTCCAGGTTCTTGGCTGGTAAAAGGACGAAAACATTAGGCTTTTAATCCTTGAATAGAATACCGACTGGGCCGGGAAGAGACGCTCGATTGTTCCGTTGGGATGCGTCTCGAGTCCTGTCGAGTACGGCGGCTTGGCCCTTGTCCGTTGCAAGAGGCCATTGATGAGATCTTCAAGGCGACTTGCGACTTCGCCGTCCGAGAGTCTATCGAGTATCTGCTGGTCTTGGAGGGCCTTGTACAGCTGACATCGCTCTCTGACCTTTGCGCACTCGCCCAGGAAACCGACTCGGTACACTGCCTCGTTGTCCTCCATCGAGGTCTCCCAGAGCCCGGAGTAATGGTCGTCAGCATCGAGGACGCCGTCAAGGACCATGCGACGAACTTCATTGGGATACATCTGGCGAAAATGATCAGTCGGGGTTCTTCGTTGGAGACAGACTTCAGCCATCCTGGGTAAAACAGGATACATACCGTTGCGAAAGTATTTCCGATCTGGATGACCAGCGGTTAGCATGACAAAGCTCTTGGAACCGCTCTTGTTCTTATAAAACTAAACTCACCACAGTACCGTAGCTCAGTCCGTAGTAATTGAACCCCTCGTCGCCCACGGCCTTGTACATGAGCCGCAGGTCTCTCACTGTCGATTTTGTGCCGACAAAGGGGAGCTCGGGAGCCACGGGGGCATTTGAGCATACTTCGGCGCGGAGTGTGAGGCTCTGCAATGCCCATGAGAGGCCCACGTCCGACTCGCCACGGAAGCTCTGTGGGCTGACCAAGTCGTAGTATTCGTCGTCGAGCGTGCGGAAACAGCGCGCTCCGGGCTGCGTCAGGCCCACACCTCGAGGCTGCAAGAGGGAAGGGTACACATGTTTGGCGCTCTTCACTTCACTGGAAGGACCACAGTATGAAAGGGTGGTTGTCACTCACATCCCATCCAATGAGATCGTAGGCGCCATTTGTGACAAGTTTGTCGTACTTTTCGGCGCTCTCAATGAGAAATTGAACGCCGCTGACGCCAGGTCCGCCCTGATTGAGAAAGAGGGAGCCTTGTACCTGTTCCCGTGGTGTCTTCCCTGCGCCAGCGGGGTAGTGGAGCACCGCAAGCCGGGCAGTCCGGTTGTCGGCGGCATTGTTGTAGTCGAGAGGCGTCTCAAAGAAAAAGCACCGCAGCGGGGGCTTGACATCGAGCTTCCAGGTACTGCAGTCAGCCTCTTCAAAGCCGACTCCAGGCTTGTCTGTCCCTTTTGAAGAGGCAAAGGGACGCTGGGCGGAGGGAGAGGCAGATGAGGCTGAAAGGTACACGGCCAAGAGGGCCAGCACAGAGCACTCAACCAGAAACATGGAGCGTGATCGACATTGGAGAGAGAAGAGAGGGAACGCTGCTTTCTTATAGGCTTGGCTATGCGCACTCGTGTCTGGCCCGTGGCTATGGCGGAGCTCGCACCGCCGTCACGGACAAGCCCCTCACTCATGTCTCGAGGCGGAGTGAGCGCGCAGCTACGGTCAAGGGTCCGAATTAATCGGACTCTCACACATCCATCCCCCACCCCCTCCACGCATGAGTCGAACGCACTTTCTTTCTTTTTTGGACTTTGGATCTCTATTTTCGAACGACGGAAGGGGAACCCGACGTCGACGGCCGCCTCACCCTCTCATTTCCATTCTCTGGGCTCTCGAGCCGCTCCCTTCTCTGCGCCTCTGGACGACGTCGGAAACGGGAAGGGCCCTCAGCATCAATTAGGCGAGGCTAAGAGGAAAAAAAAGGGAGGGCCAAGGGCCAAAGCGGGGACGAGGAAACAGAAAAGGTAGTCCATGACGCGGCGAGGCAGCGTCGACGTCGAGGGCGAGGGCGGGCCGTGGCGGAGAAGGCCGTCGTCGTCGTCCCGGCTTACCTCTCTCGTCGCTCGGGCGCAGTCGCTGTACGATGGCTTCCAGGCCCAGCCGATGGCCACACGCCTCGCCATTGTCCTCTTTGGCTTGTTGTATGCTGCCACAATCTTTGTCGTCGTCTTTGTCGTCGGCCCCGAGCAGGTGCTCCACTATACGGCGTCGTTTGCCCTCGTCATTCGAGGTCTGCAGCATGCCAGGATCGCCCTCGTGGCCCTCATCGTCGTCTCCTCGTTCCCTCCCATGGTCGGCTATGGCACGCTCGTCACGCTTGCGGGCATGGCCTTTGGCAGTGCGTACGTGCCCGAGGGCACCAAGGAAGACCCTTCGTCGTCGTCGTCCTCCTCCTCGTCGGCGGCGGCGGCGGCAGATAGTGGCGTCGTCGTCGTCGTCGACCATGGACCGGGGAGCATCGGTCAAGCATGGCTTGTGGCGGCCACGGGATGCCTGCTGGGTGCCGTGTGCTCCTTTACGTTTCTGAGGCACGTTGCCCTCAACAGCACCTGGGGCCGCAAGGTGGCGCGCATCGACAAGCTCCGTGCCTCGGCCCAGTGGCGCGCCATGGAGACGGCTGTGACTCGGCGGGGGTGGACGATGGCCCTCCTCCTGCGCTTTTCGCCCTTTCCCTTTACCATTTCCAACCTCTTTTTCGCCTCGCTCCAGCCCATCTCGCTTGGCCACTTTGTCGTCGCAACGGTATGCACCACGCCCAAGCTCCTCCTCCATGTCTTTGTTGGCGCTCGCATGTTTGAGCTCATTCACCGTGGTGCCCGGGCCAGCCTCGACGACAAGTCGCGGATCCTCAATGGCGTCTATATTGTCCTTGGTGAGGCCGAAATTGAAGGGGATAGAATCTCGCTGTTGCATGCTCACTTGCCTTCTTTCTTCTTTCTCCCATCCAGGCTCGCTCGTCGGCTTCTTTACGTCCTACTACGTCTACCGGGAGACGCGCAAGATCCTCTCGACGTACGAGGATCCGCGCCTCGTCTCGTCGCCCGACTCGGGCCCCGTCGACGACGAATCCCTCGACGACGTCCACCTCACCCACGTCGTCTATGACGCCGACGAGGCAGCTGCTCGGCGCACACCGGGTGTGCCGAGCCGCCGCGACGAAGCGCGCGAACGCGAGAGACAGGCCTTCCTAGGTCTCGATGCATCGCCCCGTCTCTCGGGCTCAGGATCGAGCACACCGCGACGAGGCACTGGCTACCAGGACAAGGCGGGATGATGAATACATGCGCTCATTGCATCGCCACAGAGCACAGGCATCAATTTGTTACTGCTATTACTACAACAAAAATTGGCACTGCCATCACTAGAGCACATAGCATTCAATCCTGCTGTTCCTTGCCCAAGTCCCATTCCCTAGTGCTGCCCTGCCTTGCGTACTGTGTCTCCATCACTGTCTTGCTCCCTGCTCGTGGCTGGTCCTGCTGCTGCCGCGGCTCCTTCTTCTCCAGCTTGCGCCTGGCCTTTTCTGCCTTGCGCTCCTCCTTTCTCTCCCGTCGCTCCTGCATGACCTCCAGCATGCGCGACCACCCATCGTCTTCGACGAGGCCCAATTCGTCGGTCCTTACCTCGCTCGAGACGTCGAGCTGCGGGTCGTAGGTCGAGGCAAAGTACTTGTCCATCTTGGAGTCTGGCTCCTGCCTTGCCTCCCTCTCTAGACGCCTTCGTTCCCGCCGATTCTTGGCTCGCGGCGGGCTGCTGCTTCTGCTGCGGCTTCTTCGTCGCCGTGGTGAAGAAGAAGCGCTCCTTCTTCGATCTCGTCGGTCGTCGCGGTTCTCCCTCTCTTCCCCATGCCTCCTCGATCTCTTCTCATCGTCATGCTTCCTATTTGCCCGCCTTCGCTCTTCGCTTCGACTTCTCTCTCCCCGCCGTGGCTCTTTCTCGTCCCCGTATCCGTCCTGCTTCTCCCTCCTAACGCTTCGGCGGCTGTCCTCCCCTGATCGTCTCTCCGTCTCCCCTTCTTCGTCTTCATCGCCGTCGCTCCACGCCCTCATCTTGCCTGCGCTCTCCTCGCGCTCCCGACTGCGACGCCTCCTCTCGCCCTGCCTGGATGGCGAGCCCTGCGAGGGCATTGCCTGCGGCGACGCCCTAGCCAAGCGCTCATTGTGGCCGTGCACACTCTGCAGCATCGACTGGAGGAATCGTGTGTTGCTCGGCTTCCTCCTGGCGGGGGGGGGGCAACAAGCACCGGCGTGTTCAGCTTCCTTCCTAGCTAGCAAGCAAGGAGCAAGGCGGGAGGAAGGAAGGGCGGTGGAGGATGACTCACCTGGCTGGCGAGCTCGACGTGGATGAAGAAGGCTCGCGAGCCTCCTGGAGGAGCAGTTCGGCCACGTAGCGGTCCATCGACGCTTCATCGTCTAGTTCTGCAGAGGGCGACGACGACGACGAGCGCGAGAGGCGGAAGACGGCCTCGTCGAGTGCCGACCGCGGACGAGAAGAAGAAGACGGCGGCAGCGGCATTGCGCTCGCCACTTTCCACCAAATGCGCCGAGGACCTTGAAGTCCTTCACGATATCCAACCCTGTACCACAAGCAAAAGAGGCCAAAGCTGACTTTTTGGAGAATCTTTCGGAATCCGGAAGTGAAGTGCTACTACTACTACTACTACTACTGACTAGCAGAAGCAGGGAAAAAGTTGGAATCGCGTCGAGAAAGAGCATTCGCGCGCGCGCGTTCCAGATCGCGTCAAAAGCAACACCACTCACCCATTCATTCTCATCCACATTTCTAGCGACGAATCTGGCCGCACTTTGCTCAGTCTACGACGAGGATGGACTTTGCTCCCTCTTCGACGGCGGCGGGCGCCAGCGATGGAGGTCTCAACGTTCAGATCGTACACACACCGGGCCTGACGAGAGTCGTCCACGCGCCAAAGAACTCCAGGGGCCAGAGCAGCGAGTGAGTTGCGCGCACGGCAGTGTCCTGTGGGAGAGGGCTGACTTCTTTGCTCTTGATTGATTGATTGATTGATTGATCAAAGTCGCATCTTTACCGCCGGCGATGACTTTCTCGTGCGCATGCTGCCGGCACAGCTCGACTCGTCGATGGAGCCCCTCATGATCGACGACTGCACCAAGCCAGTGACGTGGATCGACGCCGATGCAGACTACCTCGTCACCGCCTCCGAGGACGGCTGTGTGCGCATCTACCAGCACAACACTGCCGCGGCCCAGGAAGGCGGCGTGGGCGACACGCAGGTCTCGCCCACCGACCTTGTGGCCGTTCTCACCAGGGTCACGCTCTCGGCTCGCTGCGCCGCCCTGGAGCGGGCCGTGTCGCCGGGAAAGACGCCCAGGGTGGCTGTATGCAGCGACGAGCTCGTGGTAAAGGTCATCGACTCGGGCGACCTCAAGCGCGTGCAGCTCCTCACTGGCCACACCAGGCCCGTCAGAGCAGCGGCGTGGTGCCCCACCCAGCCGCTCCTCGTCACCTGCTCCAGCGATGGCTCAGCGAGGATCTGGGACCTGTCGACGACCGAGCCAGACTGCGTGAAGGTCCTCGATGGCCTCGTCTCGACGCACGCGGCTGCCGACTCGGAGCTGGCTTCTCAGGCTGTCTGGCATCCCTCGGGCCAGTACTTTGTTGTGGCCGGAAAGGCAAACGACCTCGTCCTCATCAGTGCGCCCTCGTGGCAGAAGGCCGGCGCCTTTGTCGCAGAAGGTCCCGAGGCACCCAGGGGCGCCATCACTGCCCTGGCCTTTTGCCCCAATGGCCGGTACCTGGCCAGCGCGACAACCGATGGCCAGGTGATGGTCTGGGAAGCGGCGACGCGGCGCGCACTGCATTCTCGCAAGGCAGATGGCCTCGTCACCGGCATCTCGTGGTCCCCTGGCCACGATGCGCTGGCCTGGGTCGACAACAGTGGCCAGCTCGTTCGATGGCAGAACGTCGTCGGCAGTACCTCGCCCTCGCCTTATGAGCACGTCGAGCATGCCAAGTTCACCGCCAACAAGGCAAGGGGCAGCAAGGCCCACACGGACGACATCGACGACCTCTTTCGCGGGACCGACATCGACGATGACGATGACCTGATGGATGTGGAAGGCGATGGAAGAGCCAAGGCAACGTCGCCCGATGTCGTTGATGAAGAAGACGAGCAGTCACTCTACCATCGCAGGAGGTCGGCGCTGCCGAGTGCAACGACACGCGCCCAGCCAGCGTTCCAGCCCTGCTCGACGCCCATGAAGAACAAGCGACGCTTCCTGTGCTTCAACATGATCGGGTCCCTCGTCGCAAACGATCAGGGCAGCCACCAGTCCATCTCCTTTGAGTCGCACGACGCGGGTGCGCGGCGCAACTGGCGCTTCGTCGATCACTTTGGCTACTCAATGGCTTCCATGGGCGAAGCTGGCGCTCTCTTTGCAAGCCCCAGCCAGAAGAATCGCTCGAGCGAGGAGGACGACGACGAAGTACGGGACCACCCTTCGACTGTGTACTTTAAGCCATTCGAAGCGACGGGCGCCTGGGCCGTTGCAGGCGGCGAATGGACCGTGAGCCTGCCCCGGGGAGAAGAGGCCGTAGCCGTGGCCATGGCTGGCCGCGCTGGTTCTCGGTCGTCTTCAGATGACTGTCCCACAGCCATTGTGGCTACCTCGAGCGGATACTTGCGCTTCTTCTCTGGCTCGGGCCTCCAGCGGTATATTTGGGCGTTGGGAGGCCAAGTGGTGGCATTGGCCGCAGGCAAGAGCGTGGCACTGATTGTGCACCGCGTCGCTGCGACCATGGACGGTTTCCAGAACCTGTCGTTCTCTCTCATCGACCTGGCCACGTTTGCGGTGCGCCAAGAGGGAACGATTCCCCTCGCAAAGGGAGCCACGCTCGCCTGGGCGGGCTTCAATTCGCTCGATGCACCGGCGCTGTACGATAGCACGGGCAAGCTCTTTGTTCTCGACCGGGCTTTTGGCGCAATGGGTCAGGCACGTTGGGTGCCTTGCCTCGACACGGACCTGATCAAGTCGAGCAAGACAAGCGCAGCCGACGAGGCAGAGGGAGAGGAAAACATCGACGAAGCCGTCAAGCCCAAGTTGCGATTCTGGCCCGTCGGCCTGACGACGACGCACATGATGAGCGTCATGATGCGGGGAAGCCAGCCGTACCCTGACGCCAACGCCTCGTCGCGCCCATTGATCCAGGAAATCGACCTGGCGATGCCCGTCGTCGGCCAGGACACACCCGTAACGGCACTCGAGGAAGAGCACCTTCGCTCGGTCATGCTCGCCCAGTCCATCCGAGATGCTCGCATGGCCCGGCGCCTGCAGGGGCGGAACGAGGACCTGAGAGACGAAGACGAGACGCTCGCGGAGCCGCGGACGCTGGACCACACCGCCGACAAGGCGCTTCTGCAGCTGATCCAGCATGCATGCAAGTCGGACAGGCACGCGAGGGCCCTCGACGCCACGAGGGAGCTCCACGGCAGCCGAATGCTCGATGCTGCGCTGCAGATTGCCGCCTTTTTCCATTTGGCCAGTCTGGCGGATCGTATGGACGAGCTGCGAGCCTGGGTGTCGACGAGGGCGCAGAGGGACGAGACGCGGGCTTATGGGCTGCTGCCCCCGACGGCCGTGACCGAGGAGGTCGTGACGGTACCGAGGATACTGGCATCGAGCAGCCAAGAACCGGCATCGGCAGATCAGAGGAGCAAGGAGGCAAAGGCAGCCCTGACGAGACCGTTTGAGAGCTCGGGGAGGAAATCCTTTGGACGGGGCAGCCTCTCACTGCAGGAACATGGCCAGACTTCCTCGGCTTCATCGACGCCGACACCGGAAAAGACAAAGGTCAGCCAGATGACTAATGAGGAGGACAGCTCGTCGAGGAAGCGCCGGGCTGAGTCACAGGAGAACGACGAGGACGAGGAGCAAGGAGAGCAAGAACACGAAGGAGGCGCCGGCCATGCGGTGCTGCGCGAATCGGAGACGAAACGGAACAAGAGCAGGCACAGCGACTTGGCAGACCCATTCACCTCGTCGAGCAGCAGCAGTGCAGCCAAAAAGACGAATCCGTTTGCAGCGACGCGGGGCATGACGAGAGACAGGAGCATGCACAAGTCTTCGTCATTCTTTGAGCGCGTAGACAAGGCCGCGACTCAACAATCTGCCGGAGCCAAGGCGGGCAAGGGAAAACAAACGACGCTGATGGGATTCAAGAAGCCGAGCCTGACGCCGGCGTTTGCAGAGAGCCAGAGCCAAAGCCAGAGCCAATCCCCGGATAGAGAGCTTGATGGAGAGAGTCAAAACAAGGATCTGGAGATGGCAAGACTGAGCGACCAGCAGAGTCTGGTGCAGCTAGAGGAGACGCAGAACGACGATGAGGAGACGCAGATGTTTTGAGCTCGATCAATGGCATGATTATATTCTTCTCGTGGTCTCTCTGTTCCTCTCTGTTCCTTCCCTTTTCTCCTTTTCCTTTCGTGCTGACTTTTCGAGATTCGGAAAAAGTCGTGAGAGGTTGTGCATGGCGCGTGCATCGACCGTCCCGAAGTGGCTGGTGTACGCTCTGAGCCTACCTGTAGTAGACAGACGAAGGGCTTTGGCTTGCTCTTTCGGCTCTCTCTCTCGGTCCCTCTAGCGTGCCGCTATCTAGACACGGGTAGGTCAACAAGCTTATCTGCGATCGTCGCCATCAGCGTTCAGGGTTTCCACTACTACGATTTCGCGCGTCCCTTGCTCCCGAGGACCCGGAGCGCCAGATTTCACGCTAGGCACCGCCGCCCGCCTCCGTTGACAGGGCGCTAGGAACGATCAAGGCAAAATCTGCGCATTAAATTTGATTGGAATTAGCTCAAAAGGGCCCTGGAGAATTGCCCGGCGAGTCCACTACTGTGTGACACAGACACAGACACATAGCCTCTCTCTTTCTTCCTTTCTTCTTCTCTCTCTCTCTCCCTCTCTCCCTCCCTCCCTCTCTCTCTCTCTCTCTACTCATTCTCCCAGCTGGCAGAATACCGCATTCACTCGGCGTCCCATGTCGGCGAGTGATGAAAGCACCCCGTCCACGTCGACGTCGGCGTCGACATCGATGGTGGCAGCAACCGCGCCCGCGACGGTTGCAGTGCCTACAAGAGGCAAGCGCCCGAATCAGTATGCGCGGCGGACGTGCCGGGCCTGTCGAGAGAACAAGAAGCGATGTGTGATGCCGCCTGCGTCGCTGCTCCTGGTGCCGTCGTACGACGAAGTTGGCGAGGCGTGTGCGCGATGCGCCCGCATCGGCCTTGCCTGCGTCCTCGACGACTTCAAGCGCAGGGGCAGGAGGCCCGTGGCACCGGCGGCGGCACCAGCGATGGAAACGAGGGTCAGGCGTAGGACAGGGAAGAAGGAGCAGAAAAGCGATCAAAAGGTGGAGCTGCTGGGGTCACGGTTGATCATGCTCGAAGTGGCACGGCAGGTCATAGCAGCGGATGCGGCGCCCCCAGAGGCCGCCGTCGAGATGCCTTCGTCGATGTCGCATCTCGATCGGCTTATCGAGGACGACGTTTGCCAGGAAGTTTCCTACTGGTGAGTGTTTGGACATGGTGTCTACACCCCTTTTGAAGTTTGCAACGCGCACTGACATTAACTTGACGTCGTTGCAGGTCCGAACAGGAGCTGCGGCTCTGGTTCCCCTTTTTGCCCACACCCTGGGAGCTGCGTTGCGCCCGGAGTGACTCCAAGCCCTCTTCTGCGTCCGTCGTGCTGGAGGTGGGGCAGTATCTGATTGCGGCGAACCATACCAAATTGCTCAGCCACTGCGAGAGGGCGGCCGTATCCCTGGCTGAGCCGTTGCTCAAGACGGCCCTTGCCGAGATCCTGCTCGAGCGCGCCTACGACGAGGCGCACATCCAGGCTCTTCAGCTTCTCTCTGTCTTTCAGGCCTCGGGCGGCCTCTCGATGCCGCTTGTGGCTGCCTGCAAAACTGCGGCACGTTTTGGTCTATCTTCCAACTCCTCACCCTTGTCGTCGTCGTCAACGTCGTCAACGTCGTCATCATCACCTTCGTCATCATCATCACCATCCTCATCGTCGTCATCACCGGCGGCAGAGTCAAAGCTCAGGGCTGGACTGGCATGGTGTAACGCGTGCATGTGGGATGCCTCATTTCTGCTCGGAATGCGCGAGGGCGTGGAGCACTTCCAGCCAGAAGAGTTCCCAAGCATCGCCTACGTCGAGGATCTCATGGTTCAGGTAGAGAAGCTCTCCTGGACGAATGCCGGCGTCCACAACATCCTCGTACGATGCCTGACTGTCGCCCACGCCGCCAAGGCCTGGATCGAAGGAGGCTCGCTGGCTGAGTGGAACGAGAGCTTCGAGGGCTGCCTCCAGCCGCGCGTCGCAGCGCTCAACGAGCTGCAGAAGCCGCTGGCCAGCCTCGAGCTCCACGCGGCCAACTCGCTTCTCCATGGCCGTCGTCTGGCCGCAATCTTGGGTCCTACGCTTGCACGAAAGGTGGCCCTTCTGGGCCAGGGGTGCGAGATGGAGGCCTTTGTGCAGCAGCGTCGGTACATCATCGACCGTGCCTCTGCCCGGCAGCCGCTGTCTGACGCGCAAGGCAAGCTGTGGAAAGACCTGCGCCATCGTGGACCTTCACTGTTCGAAATTTTCCAAAAGGATCTTTCGTCACGCTTTCATCCAGAGCTGCACCAGACCGCCAAGGCGCTCCTCTCGACGTTGACCTCCTCTCAGACTGTGCAAGAGCCCGAGGAAAGAGAGGGACGGCTGCCGTCGCTGCAGCCGTACGAAAACTTTCTCTTCTTCTTTTACCAGGCCGCCACAGTGGCCCTGCGTACCCACAGCCCTATTCTCACCTGGTTCTCGACCGAGTCGAGCGACGTCGAAATGCAGAGCGTGGCCAGGCTCATTCAGACCCTCGCCGAGGGACCTGAGGAATCCGACGAGGCGATTGTCAGGGCGTGCGCAAAGGTCGAATCGGACCTCTTCTACGACGTCAGCCTCGACCTGGGCTCTCTATCGTGAGGCTTAGAGATCATTTCAAGAGTTGTAACAATCACAAGTCTCTCTCCCCTGTAATATACAGTACAAAGCGAACAGCACGACGCCGAGCGCCTTGACGCCTCAGCGGACCCACGAGTGAACATCTTCCTCCCTTGCAAAACGTTCATTCCAGAACTTGTCTCGCTTGTCCTTTGTGTTTACGGTATGGGGCGAAGCCATGGGAATATAGGGCTCCTCGATTGTGTGTTCGTCCGAGACCTTTGCCCACGACTGATTTGCACGCGCCGAGAGCGTGTGTGCTGCCTGCTTGCCTTTGTGTGGGTGAGACCCACCATCATCGAGGATGGCGTCCAGTTGCTTCCTGGACAGGCGCGTCGCCAACCAGCGAGTGCGGACCGACTCGTGGAAGCGGTCGCCATCGCGCACGTCACGCACCTCTCCCACCGTCCAGTCTGCCACCTCTCGCACTCCCCAGTACTTGCTCATGGCCCAGCCCGAGAAGCCGGAGCCAGGCTCGTACCCGAATGCGCTCCGAAGCTTCAGTGTCGCGAGTTCAATCTCGATTTTTGGAGCATCGAGCACATCACGGTGGGCCACGGTTGCTCGTTCACGGTCCTCGGCGCTCGATGTCGAGCGGAGGTAGGCGAGGTGCTCAGCCGGCCACACGTTCTGGTCCACCGACGTCGTGTCGCGCTGTAGGCCGTACGACAGCTCGAGATCAAAGATGGCGGCCATGAGCGGGTCTAGGAGGATGTCGATCTCGCGGCTCTTTGCCTGCAGCAGCGCCCGGAGCATCCAGCGGAGCGACAGGAAGCCAAGGGCAGGGTGTGGCACGCGCTTTTCCGTTTCAATGACGAGGTCGTCGCCCACCAGCCACTGGGACTGTGTGACGGCCTCTTTGAGGAGCACGTCGTTGTGGCCGCCGCCACCGACATCGGTATGGTTGCCGGGGAACCAGACCTCGTGGATGTCAGTCTTGAGGGCCTTTGCGAGCTCAATTTCCCGCTTGAAGTCTGCCTGGGACGAATGCACGGCCCGGTACAATGGAGGGTAGTTGCTAAAGTGATCGGAGAAGCGGAGCACACTGAACCGATTACGGCCCTCGTCAAGGGCCATGGCGTGATAGACGTGCTGGACGGTGCCCCGGTGCTGTGGAAACGCGTACGGCGCCTCGTTTCCGGTCCCGATCGACGCCACGCAATCCCACATTCCCAGAAAGTGAATGCGAACGAGTTTGGAGAAGCTCGTACGGAAGCTGCGTGCTGCCTCCCACGTCGTTTCGAGCGTCACATCCTTGCTGTACTCTGCGTAAATGTCCCAGCCCGTAGCAATCATCTGCGTATTTTCCCGAGGCAGAAGGCCAATGGACTCGAGTAGGCCGCAAAAGCAGCCAGCAGCGTATGAGCCGCGAGAGAAGCCCATGACGTAGACCTCGTCGCCCTTACGGTGCACATTCATCAGCCATCGGTATGCATCGAGGATGTGTTCTGCGATGGCCGACCCAAGTCCCATCGAGAGGGCCTGAGCTGCAATCGTCATCTTCGTCCCGCCCGACAAGGTGCCTCCGGTGTTGAAGTTGTGTCGGCCAAGGCCCTCGCCGTAGTACACAAGCTGCCTCTCTTCGTCGTCTTTACGCAGAAGGCGGAGCATGCGCACCACGTTTGTATAGCTCTGTAGAACAGACGGTGAGCGGGGTTGTCATAAGCGCTGCGGTTTGAGTAAATGACGGACCTCATTGCGAAATTCATTACCGGTGCCCTCGAAAAGGACAAAGACTGCCCGTTTGGGAGCGTCGGGGGTAGTTGTAGGTACTGCTGCGGCAGCTGTCGTAGCTTGGGGAGGGACATTGTCGATCGAAGGCGCCATTGTGCATCTGAAGGACCTTCTGAAGCCTTCATGCCCATGCCTGTATTTATCTTGCAAGGATCAATTGCTGAATAAAGACATAGTCGCAGTGAAGCGGTGGAAAAAGGCGTCTCGAAGAAGCCTAGACGAGGATCGGGTATGCGAGCCATCTCAGGCAAGCTACCACTTTTGCTCCTAACCTTATCTCAAGATCTTGCCATAGTGCAGTAGGGTGCACGGCGTCGGGCTTTGAACCTTATGCGTGTGGCTTACGAGCGCGGGACAGACTTTCGTTGTCTCCCATGGTTGTGCTCAGTCTAGCTGCGCGCTAGTTCCCGCCCCAGGTTGCGGGTGCATCGGTTCGGACAGGCGTTGCTCTCGTCAAGTGCCAAAAAGTTGCGAATGCGCCTGAGACGTTGCCGAATACCTAAAGAGGAGGTCCGTGCCCTTTGGGCGAGGTGGCTCAACAACAGGACCGTTGATGGTGAGATGTGGTTTCTGCTCTCCTGCTCAACGAAGTCCGACAAAGCTTGCCCGCCTTGCTAGACTGTACGTGGGGCGGGGAGAGGGCAGCAAATGCCTCTTCGAGTTCTAGCCACTCCCGGCGGCTCATTCAAAAAGCTCTAGCCATTTACCACAGACGGTCGGCGTGGAGCGTGGAGCCTTCCAGACCGAATATGACTGCAATTGCCATGCAATGTCGGTCCTCTGCCTATTTCCTCAAGGCCTCAATTCTAGGCCTTTTTGCAAAGCAGGTGAGAGATGAGAGAGACGAGAGAGACGAGAGAGACGAGAGAGGTCCCTGGCGCTCATAATCCATCGCTGAAGGGCTTTCTTTGCTCCGGATTTTTTTCAAGAATTTCTGTCCAACATTGAACCCATGCCCTAGGGACTACAGTAATCCCTCAGAGAAATCCACGTCAGCAACTATATGGCTCGAGGTGCACGAAGAATAGCCGGACTGAGGAAAGCAGGCTCGAGAGGCCAAACTTGTGCAGGCCCCGACCTCTATTGATACTCATCTACGGTGTGCTTTCTGAACATCAAGCAAACTGATTGTGACTATTGTGAAAGGGCGAGCAGCTGTGTAAACGGGGCGATCAGATAGCGTTCATCAACAAGGCAAGGGAGAAAAAGAAGCAAAACGCACAAAAAAAGGAACACCAGGAAAGAGAGCTCGCATTTTGGTCAGCTGCTTGACGATTGGCTGTATTGTGGTCTGGCTGATGTGAAACAACCGGCGTCCGGGCTGAAGTCCTATTTTTTCTGTCGCTGTGCAAGTGACGTGCCTTCGACATTTTTACAGGCAATGACGCGTATACAACCTCACGCGCCCTCGACTTCTGAGAACGCACACAGTTGATGAGTGATACAATCTAGTACACCATGTGTGCCCCCTTGCCTGTGTCTTGTGAGAGGAAGCTGTCGCCTAGACGAACTGGGGGCTATCAGAATGTGTTCTCCGACGAGGGAAAAGGGAGAGTAAAGGGAAAAGGGCCCGTAATAGAGACAGGCGTCGCCCTGCAACGCAACGCCCAGCTTATCTCTGGAATTTATGCTACAGGGCGTGTTTAAAGGTATGTCAAGACGCCTTGTGCCTGCTGCGCAGCGCAGCATGGGGCTGGCGTGCTCGCGAACGTCCGGCACGGCGGATAGTCCGAGAAGCAAGGCCTAGTAAACAAGGACGAGCGAAATAAACACAGCGGCGAGAAAGAGGGAGCACACAGAAGCCCGGGGCGTCCAGAAAGCTCCAGGACCCTGACACGTTTACTGACCTCCACCAGAGTCATTTACTCTTTGCAATGTCCGATTAAACAAAAAGATAGAGCAAGAAGGCTTCCAGGCAGAAGCTTCAGTGAATATAAAGGCCGGTCGAACGCTGACAAAACAAGGGCATGAGCATTTCACAGCAACTCCGCAGCAAAGTAATCATTTGACAACTTCAGCCTACATTCGGCTCGTACCTTTCTCTGACTAGATGTTTTTGCCTTGTCATCGGGGCTAATATGACCATTTCACGTTTTCTACATTGTCTCACCGTGCCTCCGGGGCTGTGCTATATTCAAGAATTGAAACGGTCCTCCTGTTTGCAGAAGTGCAAATGGTCACACAGTGTTTGCATGTTGATATTTTGTATCGTTGGCCCCCATACAGTTTGCCGGGCACAGCCGGAGCAATCGTTCCGTGCTCGGTCTTCTCGGTCTCCTCTGTGTCTTCTCTATACGAAGTGTAAGAAACACTCTGTTCACAGAGTCGACCACGGTGTTGCACACTGGCCGAAAAATACTTAAAGATACGTCTCTCCCTCGTCTTCTACTTCTCTTAGCTTCGAAGTCGAAGCTTCCTCGCCCTCGCCCTTGTCTTCTACGAAATGCGCTTTTATTCTCTTTCAGCATGGCTGGTGCAGGTCATCGCCACGTCTTGGATGATAGGATCAGCTCACACGTACCGTAGTGCTCGCTATCCTTCGTACGTGTGAGTAATTCCACTCCTTCCTACATTGTGATCGGGGCACGAACCCTCTCTTCTCCAGGGATCAACAACATATTGATTCGTTCTCCCTCGGCTCAACTATGCCCGAAATCGGCATCGCGCCTCAAGCTGATGGTGTTGCCGTCCAGCCACTGAAGGCACGAGCAATATCAGACGTGTTCGACAACGCCCAATTGTGAGCCTTATGATCACCGCTCCTCACCTTCATTCTGACTCTCACGTACCTTACATCTTATCTCTTTCTCATCTCTCTCCGTCAGCCAAAGTGATTCACTCGGTGCATCCGGCTCTAACCAGCAACACAACTTTAAGCGTATGTTCCATACAACTTCATCGAACACGGAAGACGAGCATAGTAGAATTCTATCGGGAGGAGCATCCTCAAGCGGAGTATTGTCTATGTTGGACCCAGACCCATCGCGTGAAGGACCAACCACACTTCTAGAGGAAATACGCGACGTAGTCAAGAGCCTCGGGCACACAAAGGCCATTGTTTCCCGACATTCGCTTGCCAGTGTGACCTACTCGATGCAAGTTCTGAAACCTGGGCAGTATCTCCAATACAATTATCCCAAGAGCCAGTGGGAAGGAATGGAAGACACCATTCGCCTTTACATCGCTCTTTGGGGACCATTCTCCCAATCCTTCAAGTTCGAATTTCTGAAGGATCAAGGGATCATGCGATTTCGAATCGCATGTGAAAAGGACCCAACCTCCATCTTGAGTCTCTTCACAGAAGACAGCATTGACCGTCAAAACGTCGTTGATGTTGAGACTCCTAATAAACTGGAAGACGCTCTGAAAAAACTTGCAGCGGCCAAAACGATTACCGTCAAAGTGTCCTGCGATCTCCTCGAGGTCGTATCCAAAAACAAGACACTGTGCAATTATTTCATGAAATTCAGTGTGAACTTCCTGAAGACGCCAACATCCCTCTATCTACGGTTCAAGAAGAACGTTACGAAAAAGCGGATCAAAGTCCGACTGGTAGAGGTTGGATCCTTCACAGGGGGAGAGCACGAGATCAAGGCCACGTCTCACCTGGAACTTGAACGCCTGGCTGGAAGCAAATTTGCGGATCTTCTTCCTCACAAATCCTGATTTCCGTTTCTGGTGTTAAACCACCCCACAGCCCACGCATGTAACATCAGAGTTACTGCGCTCTCAGTCCTAGATCCCATTGTTTACATGAGAAGATTTTACGGCGACGCAAAGGTAATGGAGGAGATCCATTGCTTTTGGAGACGATAGCTATAAGAAATAAATACGTTGAAAGAAAGGATGTTTAGAAGGTTGAGAATGAGACCGAGCTCCTTGTCGAAAGTCGCTCCAATGACCATTTGCTTGCTCATCCAACGACAATCTCAGCAGCTTAAGCTGGCCTCCGTAACCCCAGCGGTACGAGATCAAGATGGGAAGACTTCGAGCGTGTAAGGCGTCAACATTACCAGCCTGGGTACGGCTCAATGCAATGCAAAGACGATATGAATCTCGGTGTGTGCGAGAAAATTTGCGGTCAGGTAGGATCTAGAGTTCAGAGGGCTTTCACTGCCCTTAGTAGGAAGACCTCGTCACCTAAATACATTTTTATCAACTTGTCTCCGTAAAGATGGCACTGCAGCGACCCCTCAGCAAAACCCACGTACGCCTGAGAATGGCCCGAGGTACACAAAATCAACACTGGGCTGAGGAGTAGACTCGTGTCCTGCCGGTACCGCTGTCTATGCCCATCTACGCTACACTTTTTTAGTATTATTGACGTCAAGCGAAAAAGATGTGACTGGAGGCGACGAGAGTACGCCTGCATGACACGGGCTATCAGACAACACTCATTCGCAAGGCACGAGGAGGGAAAGGAAATAAACAGGAAGCAAGACTCGGACTTTGGCCAGGTCTCGCTGCTCAATGTTTGGCTGGATCGTGGGCTGACGTGAAAGGACTGACGTCCGCGGGCTGAAGTCCTCTCTTCTTTTTGAGCGCAGTAAAGTGACGTGCCATTGGCCTAGTGAAGGGCAATGAGGCGCATACAACGTCACGCGCCCTCAATTCCTGACAAGGCACACAGTAAATTGAGTGATAGCAGCTAGGCGCAGTAGTCAATGGGGGCATCTCCTTGCCCGTGCACAGCCGGAAGTGTCGTTCCGTGCTCGGTCTTCTCGGTCTTTTCTGAAAAGGCGAAGGAAACACTCTGTTTGCAGAGTCGACTCTGGTGTTGCGCACTGGCCGAAAGGTACTTAAAGAGACCTTCCTCCTTCTTTTCTACATTCCTTAGTTTCGTATTTGAAGCATTCTCATCTTCTTCCTCCCACAAGATGCGCTTACAACCTCTTTCAATGTGGCTGATGCTGGTCATCTCCACGTCTTCGATTTCGGGATCGGCTCTCACACACCCCACTGCTCGCTATCCTTCGCACCTGTGAGTAATCTCAATTTGACAAATACTTTGAGCAGGGGACAAACTTTCTGCTCTGCAGGGATCAGCAAGATTTCCATTCGTTCACCAGCTCAAGTATGTTGGAATCCAGTACTGCACCTCAATCTGATGGTGTCGCCATTGAGCCATTTGAGGCACCAGCAATATCGGACGCAGTCGATCATGCACAAACGTGAGTCTCCTTTCTATTGCGCCTCAACTTCGTCTTGACTCTTGCACTTCCCCCTCTTTTCCCTTCTCTCTTCGTTTCCCACTGTCCAAAGTGATTTATATTACCCACACGACTCTAGCCAGCAAAACAACTTTAAGCGTATGTTCTCTCCGTCTTCATCGACCGATGAGGAAGATGCTGCCAGGAAAAACTCATCGAAAGAAGCATCGTCAAGGGGAATATTATCTGTGCCAGCTCGATTGAGGGGTAGTTCAACCACCTTTCGTGAGGAATCAGATATCGCGCTCGAAGCAACCGATGACACAGACGACAGTAGTCATGGCTACGACACGATTTTCAGTGTGACCTACGCGATGCAAGGAATGCAGCCCAAGCAGTATTTCCAATTGGATTATCCCAAGAGCAAAATAAAGGACGCCGAAGCCAATTATCGCCTTTTCATGATCCTTTGGGGCGCATTCACCCGATTTTTCGATTTCGAGACGATGCAGACGAACACCTTGATCCAATACCGGATTATTTGCGCGAAGAAACCAACGCCCATCATGCACTTGGTCGACGAAAACCACATTCGCCGTCTAGCAATTAGTCATATTGAAAAGATAAATGACCTGAAAAAGACTCTGAAAGGGGTCAAAGCGGGCAGTGAGCTTACCGTCTACTTATCCCCAAAAGCCCGCAAGACCTTGTCCCAACAATCCACGGAAAGCAAACTTCTCAAGAATTTTAGCAGAACTTTACTGAAGACGCCAAAATCACTCTATCTACAGCTCAAGAGGTACCGTCAGGATGAAGAGACACCGAAAGTGAACAATGCTCGTTTTGTAGGGGTCAAGTCATTCACAGGAGAATTCGAAATCATGGCTAAGTCTCACGCTAGGTTGCATGACGAACTTTTCAACAAGAAATCAGAAATTGGGTAAGCACTGCCGTTTGGATGCACTTGCGGATCTTCTTCCTCACGAGTTGTGGATTTCTGTTTCTCCAGTCAAACGTCAGAGACTCGTCCAGCCGACTCCAGCCATCACAATTTGAGGAGGCGCTCCTCCACGTCGGGCGAAGGAATGCCGGGAGAAGGACCGTTCGGAGAAGAATTCACAAGGGATTTGTCTTCCAGCATGGCATCGAGTTCATCGCGAAGTGCCTCAGAATTGTCAGAATCGTCGACAGGGCCACCAAAAGTTTTCTCGCGATTCAATTTAATGTTCGAAGGCGTAGGAATGGCCAGAAGGAAGGGGGTCAACAGCGAATGGATCTCCCTTATAGCAACGACAGAGACTATGCAAGAAATGAACAAGAGAAACATCATCCGAGAAGTTTCCACCACAGAACTTTGGTCTAACTCGAAAGACGCCATGAGATCTCACTTTTACTTCTTGGGCAGCTTCGCCAAGAATTTTCTCGTCTACTATGCGCAAGAAGGAGAATTCATCAAATACGGAATCGTGTGCCTCGTCGATAAGCCCCCCAAAATCGTTGAAGTATTGGAGAAAGAGCCCAATTTCGACCCAGAACAACAGCAGATGATCGTAAAGATCGATGAGTGGGACCAGGGGCTAAGTAAGCTCAAAAAGAAGCTTAAAATAAGCAAAAACGGGCAAGCGATCATCAGAACAACACTAGAGGCCTTCGAAAGAGGGTTTGCCAAAGCTCATGATCATTTCAAGGAATTCCAACATTATAGCGCCTTCACTATCAAGCGTTCCCCAAGATATCTCTACATTCACCTCAAGAGGGACCTGAGACAGGAATATAACGAGAAGATAAAACGGAAGATATTCTACGACTTGAGCGAATTGGTGGAAGAAGAGACGGCCAAGACGGGAGTTGAAACCGTCAAGGAGGAGCCTGAAAGTAGGTAAGTACGCCCTCAGTAAGGACTCTGTCAGATCGCAGTATTGACCTCGTTACGTGAGTGCTAATTATCATCGAAGTCTGCGGAAGCGTTCAACAGGATTTGAAGCATCAAATAGATCCTACAATCACGGGAAAAGTTCATCAGATGAGGCCTTCTTTCGCAGCTCGTTGAAGCCGGACAGAATATTCCGACTTCTCGTTTGCGGAGTCACCATCGGTATGCATCAGCAAAGAATAATTTACCGCATACTTCACACCACGGATGATGAGCAAGGTACCGGATCTCGAAGCAAGTAAGTATGGATGCAATCTAAACTTATTTTGCTTAGGACTAAGTATGGGCCCTCTCAGATTCCATCTCACGCTTTTGAGGACGCCCGTAGACAGCATTAGCTCCGGTTTCGAGAATGATAACGACTTCCACCCAGGTCAAAGGTGTGTCGAGCAGAGTACTTCTCATCTCGAGCTCAGGAAATGCGTGTTTGCCTCAGAAATGAGCAACTTCGCTCACCCAAAAGTACTTCAGGCAATGCAGCGTAAGGTGGAACATACTATCTCGAAAGCTGATCTTCCAAACGCTGACGAGCTTATGCAAGTGGGTAGTCCCTGCATAGAAACGAAATCCAGCAAAGGAAGCTCCATCGTCCTCGAGATTGGCGCCCCTACCAAGCTGTCCTCAAAAAATGTGAACGCCGTCTTGCACTCGACATCCGATGTCAGTCTTGGCTTCATGTAAACGCCCTGAGAAATGCCCCTCCAGAATCTGGTCACACGGCCGCTAGAGTCTTCTTCTTTTCTCGGAAAACTTCCGTTCTACTTAATTGACGTGGCGTCTTGTGATCGGTCTATAAGCTCGCATCTAAATTTCAATCCCTATCTCATCGTATAGCTCTCTCAATATCTTCAACATGATTATTTCCTTTTCCTCGCAGCGCAAGTCGTTGTCTACTGACCAGCACAGAGTCTCGCAGAAGGCAGGCAAGAGATGCACAAGCACTGTCTCATGATCACGAAGCCCACAAAAAGACTCAAAGGAGAAAGAGTAGGGCTTCGACAATGTCAAGCTCGACAATGAATGCACGAGCCTCGTCCGATTTGATGTGAATTTACAGCGCAAGGAGTCTGTACAGACACGAATCCTGTCAATAGCCATCGGGAGAAAGGAAGGATAGTCAAACCACGAAGAAGAGCACGATACGGCACGCAGCATACCTCGTGGGGAAATGTACAGTACAGTACAGTACAGTACAGTGGGGGGACAAAAGTCGTACGCGAGCTGATTTTTCGCGTTTCCAACTTCCCGCCAAAACATAGGGAAAATGCGGAATTGCTGGTCCTCACGGCCCTCAGTCATGACTACCCTTTAAAATAATGTTAAAACTGATTTGAAACCTGGAAGAGCTGCTCTGTGCGTACAGCTACCACATAGCTAGAGCACAAAGAGTGGTCACGCCAATTGATTGAGTAGAGGGTGAAAAAGCAAGCCCATTTTCAAAAAAGTCGAAATTTACTAGTAAAATCGACCTTTTTTGGGAGGGCACCTCTAAGAGGTCTGTCAGCTCCATCACCACTCGTGAGAAACGCTTGGCTCTTAGCTATGTAACGGCCCTACACATGAAGCAGGTTTTTTGCTTCTCAAAACCGCTCTAGATTGCTTTTAGAAGGTAGTCATGACTGGGGTCCGTGAGGGGCAGCATTCTTGATTTTTCCTATGTTTTGGCGGGGCGATGAGATGAGAAAAACGCGCTCACGCACGACTTTTGTCCCCCCACTGTACAGTACTGTGTTGTGTTTTTTTTTGTTGTTTGTTTTTTTATTTTTTTTTGGGAAGTGAGCGGAAGGTTCGTGGTGCAAAAGTGGTCAGATCTCGCCGCTTGCTGCTTGGCTAGATCGTGGACTGACATGAAAGGAGCGACGTCCGAGGGCTGAAGTGCTATCTTTACTAGCTGCTGGAAATGACGTGCTTTCGGGGTGCTCATCGGCAAAAAAGGCGTCCGCTACGCCTCGCGCCCTCGACCCATGGCAGGGCACACAACAGAAGGGACAACCGCCGCTGGTCACAGCTCATCCTGTTTACACCCATCAGCCGTGCGTTTTACTTTACTCAATCAAAGTCCTCAACTCATCACCGTATCATTTGAAAAAAAAAAAATAGGGGGGGGGGGGGGGGGGGAGCAGCCTTCCGGCTGGAGGCTGCTCTGAAGGAAGAGCTGGTCAGACACAGAAAACACAAAAAATCTATGTTGGCGCTCGTAGAACAACTATCGGATCTCCGGTTCCTCTAGTCTTGGGGTTTCCTCTACCTATCAATACCAGGATTTGGCTTCCTTATTTTCGGGGACAGTGTGAGGGAGCCACCTGGACAGACCAGGGGCTGTCAGGATGTATCCTGCGACAAAGAGAAGAGGGGAAATACGGAAAAAGGGGCCTGTTATATAGGGCAGGCGTCGCTCTCTGGGATTCGTGCTACAGGGCGCGCTTGAGGACGCGCTTGAGCGCCTGCTGCAGGCGTAGTCATGAACGTCCAACACGGCGAATAGTCCGGAAAAGCAGGGCTTACTAAACAAGGACGAGCGAAATAAACACGAGCGAGGGAAATAAACAAGGGCTGCGAAAAAAAAAAGGAGCGCACAGGGCCTCGGGGCGCCCACGCCGCCCCGGGACCCTGACGGACTGCGTCGCTGTCAGTTGCCCATAGACTTGGCTTCATCTTGACTTTTCTCGTTGTCCCTTGGTGAAAATGAGACCATACAGAGATGAAGAAAAAAAAGGCGAAGCGTGACCTATGATGAGCTTCAACGCAGTCTTAAAGGTCAACGTTTCCCCTTTCTTTATCACATCGCAGCAGCAATCGTCTATCGTCGGTCGTCATGTTTTCGCTCGTGAGACACGATGATTTCTCCCCCGGATTCAGCCCCGGGGCTGTACAACTCGTAACTCGTGGTGTTGCAACGGACCATCCGGATTTGACGAAGAGCAATGCGTCGCACAGTGTTGCATGTTGATGTTTTGATGTATTGATCAGTAGAGGTTTTTCGTTCACTCTACATAGCCGGAATTGTCGCTCAGACCTCGGTCTTCTCCGGTCAAAGGCGAAATACCAACTCTGCTCGATGAACCGACCACAGCGTTAGGCACTGGGTGGTGGGTGGAAATGTTACTTAAGGAGAGCTTCTTTTCCTCTTTCCCCTTCTACAACAACCCCAAGTCTCACCATAGAGGTCGAAGCGTCCTCGTCCTCGTCCTCCCAGAGATGCGAATTTGTCCCCTCTCAGCATGGCTTACGCTGGTCGTCGCCACGTTTCTGGTGGTGGGATCAGCTCACACACACCGCTCTGCTCGTAATCCATCGCAAGAGTGAGTGTTCACAATTCGTCCAACAATGTGATCATAATACAGACTTTTTCTTTTGAAGGAATGAGCAAGATAGTGAATTGTTCGGCCTCAACTCAAGCTTGTCCGACGCTGGGATCGCAGCTCAAGCTGATGGTGTTATGATCGAGCCACTTACGGCCCGAATGCAACCAAAGACGGTCGAGATTGCCCAACCGTAAGCCTCATTTACATTGCGCCTCAACTAACTTTTGACTTTTGCGTGCTCCTTCCTCCCTTCCCCCCTTTTCACTTCTACCTCCACTGTCTGCAGTGATTTATTCGACTCGCCTGCCTCTACCCAGCAAAATAACTTTAAGCGTATGTACCCTTCAGGATCCAGGTCCGAGGAAGGAGAGGCCTCCAGGGCAACTTCATCGGAGGGAGCATCATCAAGAGGAGTCTCGGCTATGATGAGGCCATTAGTATCAGGAGAAAGCATATTTCAAGCACAAATCATGGCCGCTTTCGACGGACGCAGACGTCCCGAATATTCCGTGCATACGCTTGCCAGTATGACCTACACGTTGCAAGGTATGAAGCCCCAGGAATACTTCCAAGTGACTTATGCCAAGCTCGATTGGGCAGACAATGAACCCGCCATTCGCCTTTATATCAATCTTTGGGGCTCATTCGCCAATTCTTTCAGATTCGAATACGTGGAGGAACCCACCGTTTTCGATTTCCGAGTCACATGTGAGCGGAGTCCTATCTTCGACATCCAGCAATACATCAAAGAAAGGGACATTCGCAAAGTAAAAATTATTGGTACTTCACACACTAACGATCTGGAAAGCGCCCTGAAAGGTGTCAAGAAGGACGAGGAGAGAGTCATTCAAGTACCAGACCAAGTCCTCGGAGCATTCTCAAAAAAAGACGGGCTGTTCAAGCTTCTTACGAAGCTACACATACGCATGATAATGTCGGAAGAGTCCCTCTATCTATGGATCAGACAGAAAGTTGGGGCAGAGAAAGGCGAAAAGCTGGAGGCCAAACTTGAGAAGGTCAATGAGTTCTCAAAAGAAGGACAGAGTATTCGAGCTACTCCTCTCAACATCGTTCAGGAACTGGTCAGGAAGACCCCTAAAGCTAGGTGAGCACTGCCGTCAGCTGCATTTGCAGATCTTCCTTCTTACAGGTTGTGGTTTTTCAATTCTGCAGAAAGACCTCAAAAGCCCGTCCTTCAAGCTCTAGCGAACACAAATTGAGGAGACGCTCATCCACTTCAGGCGAGGGAATGTGGCGAGAGCAGCCGTTCGAAGAACAAAATTCAAGGGCGTTGTCATCAAGTGAGGTATCAAGATCATCGCCAAGTGTTTTTGAGCTGCTAGAATCGTCGACGAGGCAATCAAAGGTTCCTTCACTGAAGGATATATGGGACAAGAGCAAAGAAGCGGCCGCGGAAAGGGGATGTCCTCCTGAAAACATCCTCTTCCTCAGAACCATAAAAGATATGCAAACGATGCGGACGGATATCGGAATCTTTCATCAAAGCATTGAAGAAGGATGCTTGACCACAAAAGAATCTATCAAGTCTCTGTTTTACCTCTTGGGCAGCTTCGCCGATGATTTCAAGATTCTTTGGGCTCAAGAAGGCGTGTTCGTCGGATATCTTATCATTCGCCGCGTCGATACGCCCCGCACAATCATTACTGTCCTCGAGAAAGAACCTGACTTCGACGAAAACCAACAAAAGACGATCATAGAGGTCGATTCATGGGACTTGAGGCTGAAACATCTCTTCGAGGCGAAAGAAAAGGAGCTGGGAATACGTATTGACGGTAAAAAAGGCAAAGGTGGGCAAGAAGCTAAAGGCAGACAAAAGCACAAAGGCAGGCCGAAACCCGATAGCGAGCAAGTTCCCAAACACAGGGAAGTGATCCTCCGAACAACGCAATTCGCTTTCGAAGACGGTCTTCAGGATGCAAGCAATTATTACTTGGATTTCCCAAAGTATTACGCAACTCAAATCCAGCAATCACCGAATTATCTCTACTTCCACCTCTGGAAAAGCACGGACAGCGAGTTTAAAAAGAGGGCAAAAATGGAGATATTCATAGATCTAGCCAAAGAAGTAGAGAAAGAAAAAGCTGGCACAGGTACTGGAGCCTCGAGTTTGGCAACCTTACCGAACCGTCCACAGAGAAGGTGAACGCCGTCTTGCATTGGACATCCGATGTCAGTCTTCGCTTCATGTAAACACCTTGAGTGCCGCTCCAATATCTGGTCACACGGCCGCTAGGGTTTTCTTCTCTTCTCTTAATACTTCCATTCTACTTACTTAATTGATGTGGCTTCTTGTGATCAGTCTGTACCTCGTGGGAACCTTTTTTCTTTCTATGAAGTGAGCAAAGTCCTTCGATGTGCGAAGTGAGCAAATAGTTCGATGTGCAAAAGCGGAGCGAAACGTAGACGCTGCATGAGACGGTACGCCCATGAGAATATGCGGAGGAAACTTGCGAATATGCTCCAAAATGCAAATCGAAATGCCTGTAGGCCGTGAAAAGAGAAAGTTGGACCTTCGAAGCATCGAAGTGTCAAACACCACACAACCCCTGCATATAACATCGATGTTTCTCGCTCTCAGTCCAACATCTCACTAATTACAAGAGAATATGTTGTGGGGGATAACCATTGCCTTTGGAGACGATCGGTGTGTGCGAAAAAGCTTGCGGTCAGGTATGATCCACATTAAATGGGCTTTCACTGCCCCCAGTAAAAAAATTCCGTCACCTTCGCAAAACATTTCAAGTAGTCTAAGTAAAGATGGCTACACACCCCTGGGAATGGCCCGAGGTACACAAATCAAGACTGGGTAGACTCGTGCCATGCCGGTATTGCTGTCTATGACCATCTACGCTGCGCTTTTTGGACGTCAAAGGAAGATAATGCGACTGGAGGCGATGAACGAACGCCTGCATAACACGGGCTAATAGAGAACACTCATTCGCAAGGCACGGAGAGGGAAAAGAAATGCACAGCAGGTCTCGCTTTGCGATATTTGGCTGAAACTTGGGCTGACGTGAAAGGACCGATGTCCGAGGGCTGAAGTGCTATCCTTACTAGCTGTAGGAAATGATGTGCTTTCGGCGTGCTTACGGGCGAAATTTTAGGAGTCCGCAACGCCTCGCGCCCTCAACCCATGGCAGAACTCAGCACAATGGACAAACGCAGCGGATCACATCTTATCATGTTTATTTTTACCGGCTGTGCGATCTACAGTACAGTACACTAATACAGTACGGTACACAATAGAAATCCGCAACAAGTCACCACATCATTCAAATGAAAAACAAACAAACAGAAAACAAAAAGAAAACCAAAGAAACAGGGCGAGCAGCCTTCCGGCTGGAGGCTGCTATGATGAAGAGAGAGCTGGTAAGACACAGACAAGACAAAAAATTATGGGGGCGAATGTAGAACAATTGTCTACCGTCGGTCGTCATGTTTTCGCTCGCGAGACACGATGATTTCTCCCCCGAACTCAGCCCCGGGGCTGTACAACTCGTAACTCGTGGTATTCGAACGGACCATCCGGATTTGACGAAGAGCAATGCGTCGCACAGTGTTGTAGTTGATGTTTTTTTTGTTCTGATCAGTAGAGGTCTTTCGCTCACCCTACGCAGCCGGAATTGTCGTTCCGATCTCGGTCTTCTCCGGTCAAAGGCGAAGTTCATACTCTGCTCGCTGAACCGACCACAGCGTTAGGCACTGGGTGGAAATTTTACTTAAGGAGAACTGTTTCCATCTATTCCCTTCTACGTTCCCAAGCCTCACCATCGAAGTCAAAGCGTCCTTCTCCTCGTCCTCGTCCTCCCAGAATATGCGGTTCTGTCCCCTTTCAGCATGGTTGACGCTGGTCGTCGCCACGCTTTTGATGGCGCAACCAGCTCTCACACACCCCACTGCTCGTGATCTATCGCAGAGGTGAGTGTTTACTTTTCGTCCTACTGTACAATATGATCAAGGCACAAACTTTCTCTTTTGGAGGGATGAGCAAGATACTAAGTCGCTCGGCTTCAGCTCAACGTGGTATGACGTCGGAATCGCACCTCAAGCTGATGGTGCCGACGTCCAGCCACTTAAGGCCCGAACGGTACCAAAGGCGGTCGAGATTGCCCATTCGTGAGCCTCACTTATCTCGCACCTCAACTTCTTTCTGACTCTTGCATGCTCCTCCTTTCTTCCCTTTTAACTTCTACCTTCACCATTTGCAGTGTTTTATTCGACTCGACTGTCCCTAGCCAACAGAACAACTTTAAGCGAATGTACCCTTCATCTTTCTCAGCCGAGGAAGGAGACGACTCCAGGGCAACTTCATCGGCGGGAGCATCGTCCAGGGGAGATGCATCAGCCATATTTCTAGCGGATTTAATGGCTTTAATCATATCAACCAGGCACAGACAGGAAGAAGCTATCGAGTGCTCGCTCCCCAGTATCACCGGCACGATGCAACTTATGAACGCTGGGGAGTACCTCCAACTAAATTTTGAGAGGAGAGAAGGGAAGGTAATTGAAGGCCTCTATCGCCTATATATCATTCTTTGGGGCCCATTCGCCCAATTTTTCAAATTCGAATTTCTAGAGACTCCAACCGATTTCCAACTTCGAGTTACATGCGATCAGAAACCTACCACTATCGATATCTCCGTCTTGCAACTTAGCGGAGAAAAACGAGTGAAGGCCCAGCTGGACCTCGTCGAAGTCGGGAAAGCAGATGCACTCGAAGCAGCTATTAAACAGATCGAAGCAGGCCACGAACTCACCGTTCCAGTATCCTACCAATTTCTCTCTGACATGTCTAGAAAGCCAAACCTTTGCAAGCAGCTCAAGAAGGTTAGCGTAACCATACTGATGACGCCGGGCTCCCTCTATCTAAGGATATTAAAGGTCAATGCGAAGGAAGGTGGAAAAAAGGCCGCCTCGGTCCAACTTATGAAGGTTGGGAAATTTGAAGCAGGACATCAGATCAAACCACTTTCTCACAGCGAGCTCGAAGAAAGGCTCAAAATTAAACTTCAGTGAGCAAAGCGGTTTCAGTATATTCACAGGCTGCTGTCTCACAGAGTGTGAGATCTTGGTTCAACAGAGAAATCCGAAAAAACAGAGAAAACCGTACAACCGACTCCCGCGATCAAAATCTGAGAAAGCGTTCATCCCCAGGCGAAGGAATGTCGGGGGACGCTGTCATCTAGAGAGGCATCGGGATCGTCGCCAAGTGCTTTTGAGCTTCTAGAACTGTCGAGAAGTCGTCAATCTTGAGACTGGACCGGCGACCTTGCCGAGCCGGATCAGAAGAGCTTAACGCCGTCTTGCATTCGACATCTGATGCCAGTTTTCCTCTCATAAAGATGCCCAGAGTGCAACCTTTAGAATCTGGCCAGACCACATGGCGACTATAGTCTTTTTTCTTCTGTGACTACTTCCCTTTCACCTTCTTGACGTGGCCTCTCGCGGGCAATCTGTGTGCCCGACATCTAGACTCAAGATTCATCTTTTCGTATAACTCGCTAAATGTCTCCAAAGTGGTATCTGCCATTCTTCGTGCAGCACAAGTCCTCGACTGACTAGCCAGAAGCGCGCACGAAAGAGGCAAAAGATGTAAGTGCACCCTCACATGATCGTGAAAACTCCTGAAAGCAAAGGGAAAAGAAAAGGGCTTCGACGTGCACATCCGGGCTCGAGAATAGATGGATGCGTCATGTCCATTCTGTGGACTTGGCGACGCCTTCGGGCTGAAGACAACTCAAAAGGTCTACAGGACTTGGATCGAACACTTTGATCATCCCATACGTCGATGCTTTAGTTGTGGGCTGATAAACATTACCACGATTCTCATGATTATTACTGGGCATGTCTACTTGCTGCCCCTCTCCAAGAAACACAGTCCTGGCAAATTGATCGTACTGCTCTGCTTGTGGGACTGGCAGAACTGACGGCAAGGGTATCGACCTTGCCGGTATCAGCACGGCTCAACGCAGACGACACGGAGCGAAGCACAAACCAGCCGAAAGTGCTCGCTGTGAGGGAGGTTGATCCAAAAGGTCCCAAAATAAAGGCGCGCGCTCAGCTTTCTCCTCCCAGGCCAGGCCAGGCAATAATATAGACCAGGTCTAATATAATCCGACTCCCGACCGGGTGAGTCTTATTTCATGCAGTCATGCGGCAAGACAATTCCTGCAAGTAGGAGGGACGATGCCGACCACAACAGGCTTGTCCGCTGACTTGACCTCTGATCTCTATGGTCTTTCAAGTCGTCCAGCAAAGGCCAGACGTTATGACTCGCGACCCTGACGCTCCTGCGACGAAAGTGCGGCAGATCTCGCTGCCTCTGAGCTCTGCCGCAGGCCGCCTCGTCAATCGCACCAGACCGGGCCCAGAGGCACAGGACGACATCGAGGTAATGCGCAATGCGTTGGAGGGCGGCCTGAGCTCGCTCCCTGTCGATGTCGGAAACACGAGCCCATACCCGCTCTACATTCCCAGATCTAAAAACGGTGAGCTCTACAAGGTGCAGCAGGCTGTTCACAAAGCCGTCGTCGATATCGTAGCGCGATGGTGGGACGAGGGAGAAGACTTTCCCAAAAGGATGCCCTTGGCGTCGGACGAGGAGGATGTACTTCGATGGCTTCATCCGAAGAGGGCCTATGAGCCAGGCTGCTATAGACCTGACATCTTGCTCGAGGAAGGAACCGAAACGTGGAAGGTGTGCGAGATCAATGCGCGCTTCCCATACAACGGTGAGCAACAAGCCACGCACAATAGAACTGTGTCTCGCACCGATTGATCTCGGCACGAACAGGCTTCCTCGGTCCTTTGAAGATGCTGCAAGGGTCCATCAATACGTGCCCTGAGGCTTTGGACCAGCTCGGGCTCAAAGCAACCAACGAAGCCGATCAGATTCGCGAACCGGTCGCCTCGCTCTTTGACCCGAGCAAGCCCCTCCATATCCTCTATGAGAAAGAAGCGTGGGTCGGCTTTGACATCCACATTGTTGCCGAGCTCTTTGCCGAGAAAAGTGGCCAGAAGCCCCACTTCGTAAAACCGTCGTCGATGCGTCTGAGCGATCGGGGCAAGCTCTACTCGACTGAAACGGGCGAGGATGTTGAAGTGGAGCAAGTCGCGCTCGAAGCGCCTCAAGCGTTGCTCAAGGCAATGGGAGAGGATGTCCTGAAGCAAGTGGCCTTGCGCTGTCGAAATGATCTCCGTACAGTCCTGCTGGTGCACGACAAGCGTTTCCTAGCGATCCTCCGTCAAGAAGCGCCCCGCCTCCTCGAGCGAGGCGTCCTGCACCAGGCAGAGTACAGCGCAATCATGGACAACATTATTGATTCACGCCTGCCTCGGTCAAAGGGATTTTTGGAGGTGCTCGAGGAGTGCAAGCGCAATGAGAAGGCAAAGGACGGCTATGTGCTCAAGGCGACTCGCACCGGATGGGGCAAAGGCCACATCTTTGGCTATGAGTTGGATCAGGAGGCGTGGATGGCCGAGCTCGAGAAGCTAGCAAGGCCTCTCGCAGATGACCAGGTCGACGAGTATGTGCTACAACGATACGTGCGGCAGCAACAGTATCCCATTTGGCGTCACATGGAGCAGAGGCAGCAGGAGTACTATCTCGTTGTCAGTATCCTCTCCTTGCAGGGCAAGTACGTAGGCGTGGGACCAACGAGGATTGGAGAACGCACGCATGTGAAGCTCGGACCGGGTCAACCGGGCATCGCTTTGAGCACCCTCACGGATGTGTGATTCGCTTGAATAGACGGTATAGCATCAGTCGATATTGATGGACATGAGAGCGCACACACCCTTCTCGAGCACTGTAATCGTATTTGAAAATCGTCATCAAAGAATCTACATGACAACAAAGGCCACCGCCGCCGCCAAAGCGCCCAGCAGACCGGAATTCGCAACGACTTTCGACACGCCATCAGGTGTGGATGACGTAGCCGAGGCTGGCGAGGACGAGACAGAGCTCGTTCCGGCTCCAGTCGCCGTTGACGCGGTGTCGCTCGAGGAGGAAGAATCATCCTCGTCTCCATCGTCACCACTGCCGTACTCGGAGATGGTGCCGACACCATTATTCTCGATGACGCTGCCGTTGAATCCCTTTGCATCGTAGCACTTGCCATCAATGTAGAAGCCCGTCTTGCAGCACTGTCCAGACACTTCCACGCCCTTTTCGTCGTCGGCACCCTGGCACTCGCCAGGGGTCGTCGTCACAGTCGGGCTGTTTGCAGTGATGGAGGCAACGACAGAGGAAAAGTAGGCAGACTCCGACGAGCGCGACGACTCGATCGATGCCGAATTGGCCGCGTAGAACGAAGAGCGCGAGACGCGATACGAGCTGATTGACGCGCTCAAGGCCGAGGTGTCGACTGTTTTGAGATGAAACACATTAGGGGGGCAGGCAGAAAGATACACAAGCCAGCATGAGGGACACTCACCAGTCTGGCGAGGCTCGAGGCCTCGGGGCATCGGCGTCGCAGCTGGTCCATCGATGACAGCGCCGGAAGCTGCACAGGCGAGAGCAAGAGTTGCAAAGAGAGAGAGCATCTTCATGGCAAGGTTAGAAATATCGGATGCAAAGGCATTGAGATTGGGAGCTTCTTTTATACGGGTCGGAGCACCCACACTTCCCAAAGCCAAGGGAAGGGGGCATTGCAGTGAGCGCTATGATGACCACGGGGGGCCTGCAGGAACCTGGACGGGTAAATAGCGCAAGGCGACTTTCTACGCTGGCCGGAGCTCTTGCTAAACCATTTCTGTATTGCATGCAAGTCCGTTCTGTAATGGGGCGTGCTGCGCTTCTCCACGGGTGCCACGACGAATGGCACAGCAGTGAAGACCGAAGGGGCAGGAAAGCTAGCATGCGAAGTAGGCCGACGGCCAACCGGCTCATCGAAATGCCAAGGACGTACTAGACTTTACAGGCACACAATCGAGCGAAATATCGAACCAAGTCCGATTCAGGTCTGAGGCACGTCAGCTGTCAGTTTTGAATCAAGGAATAGTTGAACAAGCGGTTCCTGAAAATCCCACGCACACTCCCTCGTCCCGACCTTGCAGTTTGAGGGCGTTGAAATCGGAACCACACCTGTGACTCGTCGTCATCGTGAGAAGCAATTTCTATAGGACGCTATCCAGTCTCTGCCGTAACTTCATGCAAAAAGTGATAGTCTCGGGACAGGCACAGAAGCGCTGGACCCTCGGGAGTTTGATTCAGGCGTCATTTTCGGTCTAACTGTAGACCAAGGAGGAAGCCTCCATTTCTGCGCCGACCATGAATGATAGAGCTTCCTTTTCCACAGGCCAGCAGTACAACAAGCCTACAGGCGAATCCAGCGGCCCATCCACTTGCGATTGAGCTCCTTTGCCTCGTCGACGAGACCCAGTTCAAGGAGGAGCTGTATGCTACCTCGGACGCTCGAGTGCAGCGATGAGCTGACCCACGCGTGCGTCGGCGCCGTGTGCTCACCAATGAAGATGGTCCTGTGCTCAGTCTCGTGGTAGGCCGGGATGTAGAGCTTGTGCTGCTCCACATCCGGTCGGCACCACGACGTGGCCGTGTGTTCGTCCTGGAGCCAGCACAGGCGCTCGTAATGACCCGTGTACATCTCTCGAGCCTGCTCCCCGTGGAGCTCTACAATCGCATCGAGGACGGTCTGGACGTGTTCCTCGTCGGAAAAGCTCACGAAGCGATCGCTCCAGTCGCCTCCGCGATAGTGCATGATCAGTCCAGGTCGACCCGTCTCATTGAGGTTGTAGACAGGGTAATAGAGCGCTCCGACTGCGTTGCTCGATGGTTGGGAGTAGCCGCCAAAGATGGGTCGCTCGCCATGCTCCCAGAAGCGCTCTTTAAAGAGTAGCGCAACCTTGCAGGCCGACTTGAAGCGAAGACCGGCCTCGCTGATGGCGCGCGAAAGGACCGATGAAAAATCGGGCAGATCCATGAACCGGGTCATGGTGAAGGGCACAGCCATGATTGTGTAGTCGAAGTCCTCCGATTCGTATGTCCGATTGTCTGTGCTGGGGTACCACGACAGCCTGGTCTTGTTGTTGATGTCCTCCAGCTTGCGAACCTGGCGATTGAGCGTGAGCCTATCCTTGACATGCGGCACAAACGCCTCTCCGATCCGGCTGAAACCTCGATCAACCGCCTTCCATTTCGTTTCTCCAAAAGCAGAGGGACCACCGGCCAAGCCGAGATTGGAGTTGTGATGCAGCTCGTCCCAGAACACATCGTAGTCCGAGGCCGTCCAGATGGCGTCGGTGACGTTCTCGCTGGCCTTGAGCACGTGGCGCATAAAGGCCTGCTCGGACCAATCGTCGAGGTTCTGGTCCATGGCGAGCTTGTGGGCCCGCCAGACGTCACGCTGCAGGCTCTTGAGGACCTCCTTTTTGAGCAAGATGTCATTCATCTGCGACTTGGTCTCGTTGTACTCTTTAGTTGTCATAGGTGGTGGTGAAGCCAACGAAGGGTTTCTCGCAATGTCGTCGCGGGTCGGGATGCGGCCATCCGCATGACGTCCCGTGCCCCGAGCCAGGAGCTCATTGGGGTGGTGCTGGATCCAGTCGATGAAGTCAATCTTCAGAGACTCATCGCCTGCATTCATTTCGTTGAGCGTCTCGGCCAATTGGAAAGTCATGCGGTGGTCCGTGTACGTCAGTGTCTCGCCGTCGTCGTACGTGACGTTGTAGGGCAGTCGCATGGGGCCCATCTCTGCCCACTCTTGCGTTCCTCCAACGAAGCTGGGTGGAAGACGTGTCTGTTAGTGAGTCGGCGTGGTGGGGCCTTGCGTGGACATTCTTTCTCGTCCAAGCTCACATGGTCCTAAAACGTCCGCCAACACGGCCACTGGCCTCGAGGATGCGCCAATTGTGCACACCAACGCTGTCGAGCATCAGTCCGGTTGCCAGGCCCGAGACACCCGCGCCAACGATGGCAATGGACACATTTTTGCTTTTAGCCACCACGGCACCCTCGTTGGCCGTGCGTTGTCGTATCTTCGCCACGCCATCGAACCAGGCGCCGAGCGAGTCAAAATCCTTGAGTAGCGGGTGGTCGAGCTGGTCGTGAGCACGTTTGCGCAAGGGCTGCCTTTGTATCAAGAGCGACTCGCTATAGCCAAGCAGCTGGCTGCTCTGATCGTCGAAGATTTTGATGCAGCCACCGGGCTGCGCATCCTCCGCGACAGCCCAAGCCAGCCGGTCTGGGCTTCCTGAAAAGCGAGCCAGCTGCGTGTCCGTGTCGGCATGGTTCCCACCATGGCACGGTCCATAAGTGGCACGCTGCGTACCGTCCCTCGAGCCGCGGTCCCATTCGAGATGAATGTTGGCAAGCGAGCCCCGCTCAAGGACGTCCGAGACAGACACCCTGACTACTTTGGCGCTGCTCATGTCACGGCCGCGCACGGACCGCAACGCGAAAGAGATGGCGGCCAGTCCCAAGGATGTCCGCGAGAAGAGAAGCATTGTGTGCGATCCGGAGAGAGGGAATGAGTAGCAGCATCTTCGCCTTTTGTTCTCGCCTCGCTTAAGTAGGCTCCAGTGTCGGTGTGAGTTCGGCCACGTCTGGCGAGTAGGGACAAAAAGGCGGTGTTGAACCGCTCCGGTTGAATTCAAGCAACTTTGCTCCCTTGTCGGGGAGAGGATGAAGCAGGGAGCAACGCAACCTGCACAGACACTACTGCAGAATCTTAATTTAGGCTAGGCTTCTAGCACGGTTTTCATCCATTGTTGTGTACCCGCTCGGACACATTTATGTACTGTACACCAACAGAAGATCATGTATGATATGGTTCGAGCGGTCTTTTGATCTGATGCATGCAGATATGAGGTTTGAATCAACGCTTCTCTAGTCTCTCGAGGGCTTCCTTCTTCTGCTGCTCGTCGTCTTCTCGATCGACGGTTCGCTGGGGCATGAGCACAAAGGCCACCGCAAAGGCAAAGGCAGCGAGAGAAGCAAGGACAAGAAAGACGTTTCGAAAGCCGTGCTGGTAGGCTCGGCGGAATGCTTCGTTTTGCTCCGTGCTAAGTGACTGGCTCGTCGGATCTTCAATCTTGGCCCGGATAAGAGAGTCGTCCAGTGTACCTTTAAGAGTTGACCGGACGGTATTGAGGATGATGGTGCCGGATAGGGCGAGACCAACACTGCCTCCGAGATTGCGAACGAAACTAGATGGAAGAGCGCAGTCAGCTCCCAGGCCACGCTTTTCCAGAAAGGGCGCGCCACTCACTTTCTCGTGCTCGTAACCACGGCCATTGTCTTGCGGTCTACAGCGCTCTGAATAGCAACCAGCGCAGGTTGGAGAGTGAAACCGACGCCGACACCGGTCAAGATGGCGTAGCCGACCTGCTTGCCCACATTCGAGCTCTCGTTCAAGGTGGAAAAGAGCCCTAACCCAATGGCCCACATGGCCCAGCCAAAGAGGATGCATTCGCGAAAACGCCCGGTCCACTTGATCACCAGGCCCGAGAGGGTGCTCATAAACGTCTGCGCCACCGTCAGGGGCAAGAGCAGTGCGCCCGCCTTGATGTTCCCGTAGCCGTAGGCAAGCTGATAGAGTTGGGGAATGTAATACGTCTGTGAGAGAAAGAGCCAGCCATTGATCGTCATGGTGATACAAGCGCCCCACACCATCTTGTTCTTGAAGATGTGCAGCGGGACAAGGGGCACTTTTGCGCCCTTCCATTCCCAAGCAATGAAGGCAGCGAGAGTGGCAATGCCCACGAGCAAGGGCGCAAGGACGTGAGAAGAGGCCCAGCTGTAGTCTGCACCGGCCCAAGTTAGGCCGAGGATGATGGCGGTGGTGGCGCCTAATGTGAGAATCGCGCCGATGTAGTCGATGGCTTTGACCTTGGCCTTCCACGACCCCTCGACGGGCCGCAGTGGCATAAAGAGAATGACGGAGATGGCGCAGAGGAACGACAGGGGCAGATTGAGCCGGAAGATGTTCCTCCACGATCCATGTCCCGAAGAAGCCAATGCACCACCCACGAGGGGACCAATGCCATTTGCGATGGCCACGACTGCCCCAAGAATGCCCTGGTACTTGCCTCGTTCCCGAAGCGGGACAACGTCGCCCACGATGATCTGGGCTATGGACATGAGCCCGCCGCCGCCAATGCCGCAAATGGCACGAAAGACGATTAGTGAGATGGCGTTTGGGGCAAGCGAGGAAGCCAGAGAGCCGACAAAGAAGACGAAGAGGCCTGAGAGGAGACAGACTTTTCGACCAAGAATGTCGGAGAGGCGGCCGTAGAGCAGTTGAAAGCTCGTCGAGGTGAGAAAGTAGGCAGACGAGATCCAGCTTGCGTTGGCACCGGCTTGCAGATCGGCCGAGATGGTGACTAGTGCGACGGCCAGCGTCGTTTGATCCATGAGCGCGACAAAGTCGACGGTGGAACAGGAAAGAAACACAGTGACGATCGTGCGGACGGGTACGTAATGCGTCTGCTCGTTGAAGCCATGGTCGCCGCGCTGTTTCCCTTCTTGACTTTCGACCTGACCTTGCTCTTTGGACATCTCGCTCTCTTTTTGCCGTTCGTTCTTCTCCGAAGATGATGAAGAGGACGAAGAAGGCAACATGCTGGCTCACCACTTGTTGGTGGTGGTTCTGAACAGAGCTGTCTCGCACGAAATGTGATCCGCGGAATTGGTGACCATTTGGGCTCAAGGGGTACGCAATCTGATCCGATATGATTGTTAGCGTAGCTCCTTGGCCCTCGTCTCCGCTGCAATTTACTGCAGGTAGCAGTCGCTTCCTCACTTGCTTGCTCGTAAAACAGAAGGGAAAGGCACCGAGAGGGTCGTCGAAAAAGGCACCGAGGGAGCTAATTTACAGTGAGAACATCTTCTAGATTGAATGCTAAGTTTATTCGAGATGATCCCCGCGCGCCAAGCCAGAATTAGAATTTGACGGGAACCCTGTCAAAAAAGAACTCGCCGACGGTCTCTCTCCTCTCGATGCCTCCCTAAGACAACCTTCTCCTTTTTGTATTGCACAAAATGGCATCATCAATACCTCGGTCTATCACCTGTACCACTTGCGACAAAGTGACGCTAAGCATTATTGCATTAGACCTTCACAGTTATTGCCACTCTACCCCTTCGTCACCCGGTTCAAAGGGGTATGGGGCCATGCTACACCGTGGATAAAAGGCGCCGAGGATGTGGAAAGACACGAGGGGACATTTAGAAGACTTGAGTGGTCTCCATCACGCTTCACTTCCAGTACACAGGAGGGTACGGCCATCATGACGACCTACATAGACGAAAAGCAGAGCTCGCGGCGCCAGGACATCCAGAACAATGTCTTCAAGGGCCCCCGATCTCTGCACGACTACTACGACCCTGATTTGTGCCCCCCACTGCCCCTCGTGGAGCTGCCAAAAGAGCTGAACCCGTATCTCGAATCCCATGGCGTTCGTATCTATGCCAAGATGATGTCGGTGTTGCCAGCGACAAATGTCAAGTCGCTACCCGCGCTCAACATGCTTCTCGAGGGCGGCCTCGATGTCAAGAAGGTAAACGCAGGGGGGCAATCAACACCGCCGTTGGACCCTGCAGACAGAAAGGGACTTAGACCTCACACCATTGTCGAGTACTCCTCTGGGTCGACAGCCATCAGCCTCGGCATCCTCGCCAGGATAATGGGCGTGGAGTCAGCTCAGACCTACATCTCAAACAAGGTAGGCCAACATGAACACTCGCGTCCGAATCACGTACAAAGTGGAGGAAGCTGACCACTCCGAATTCTAGACGTCAGCTGCCAAATTGGCACTGCTCCGCTTCTTTGGTCTGGAGCTGACGCTGTTCGGCGGGCCCTCGCAGCCGGAACCTGAAGATGAACGTGGAGGTATTCGTGCGGCGAATCGTTTGGGCGAAAAGGAAGGCTTCTACAACCCCGATCAGTATTCCAACACAGCTAACTACCGAGCGCACCAGCGTTGGACAGGGCCTCAACTTCTCAAGCAGCTCCCCGAAGTCAGTCTGGTTGCAGCGGGCATGGGTACCGCGGGCACCATGACGGGTATCGGCCTCAGCATCAAGGCACAGAAGCCCGACGTATACCGGCTCGGCGTATGCACCGCCACCGGTGACCGTGTCCCAGGACCGAGGACGGAGCCGCTGCTGGCCCCCGTCACTTTCCCCTGGAGGGAGGCCGTGGATGAGATTGAGCATGTGACGAGCGCCGACGCATATCGTCACTCGCTGACCTTGTGCCGTCACGGTCTTCTTGCTGGACCTTCCTCGGGCCTCACGCTGATGGGCGTTTTCCAGCACCTCGAAAAGCGCATTGCCAACAGTAGCCTCGACCAGATCCGAGACCCTGCGACAGGCAACGTGAACGGTATCTTCATCTGTTGCGACCTGCCGTACCAGTACGTGAGCGAGTACTTTGACAAGCTCGGTGAGGCACACTTCAAGCCGATCCATAACGATGTCCTCATCGGCAGCGACAAGCACCGCTACGATGAGGCGTGGGAGCTGAACCGTAACGAGGCTCAGGACTTGTGCAAAAAAGTGGGCTCAGAAGTCAAAGTGGTGGACCTTCGAGGCCCACAAAAGGCCTGCCAGGTCTTTGAAGATCGCGCAGTGCAGGCGCTCGACCTTGACTGCCTGAAGGATGGAGAGTCGCGATGCCCCTTTTCAGACGCCCATGTACTCCACCAACAATGGTCGTCGATCGAAGCCACGCTCGACGACGACGAGAGCAAATCCTGGCGGCCATCTTCGAGCGACGGAGAGGTGCTCGTCCTGTGCGCAAACGGGAACACTGCACGCGTGGCAACATCCTGCATGAGGGCCAGGGGCATTCAGGCCTTCTCTCTCTTTGGTGGTCTGGATCGCGACGCTTGAACGTGGGCCAACCTTATCTGGAGTCAACCTACTCCCCCATCCTGTCGCATGATTTTCATTACGCGTTGATACAAAAATGACTTTACATACAGTACACTTTCTCTTCATTTCCCTCGCTCAAGAGATTGAGGAGAAGTATGATCTAGAGGCGCGGGAAGCGGAGCGATAGTAGTAGCAGTAGCGTGTCCGTGTCGTTTCTTGGCATCTTTCTCACTGCGCATCTCGTTCTGCCACCTCTTCTTTCCCCCCATCATCTCGTGCATCATGGCCATTCCCACTTTCTACCGCGTCGTCTTCTTTCTCTTCGATGTCGCCATGCCCCTCTTTGGCGTGGTGGCTAACACGACGATGCCTGAATTCATCGTGTCGGCCTATACGCCCAAGATTGCCAAGCCGATTGCGACAGAGACCATCGTTCTTCTGGACGGCATGGCAGGTTTCTTTGCCTGCCTAATCTTTCTCAATCTCTACTTTCTCTCGACAAAGGCCAATGACGTCACTGTCTGGCGCGGCCTGCAGGGCGGCACGCTCCTTACCGACGTCTTCATGCTCTTTGCCTTTGGGCGGGCGCTCAGCACCGAAGGAAGAACGACCTTGGAGAGCTGGCGGGGCGAGGACTATGGCAATGTTGTGGGATATACAGTCATCCTGCTCGTAAGGCTTGCCTTTGTCCTTGGGCTCGGTCTCAAGGAAGAACAGCGACCTCAATCGGAGAAAAAGAAGGCCTAAGACTGTTTTTGACTTTCTGCCTTCTCGTAAACATCCAAGTTCAGCATTATTTGTGGTTTGAAGAAATGTTGAAGGGAGGCTTCAAGCCTACCCATGGTCCTCAGCTTACATCTGTCACGCTGCCTAAGAAAACGCTGCCTTTCCCCTCGGAAAGGTGACCCGATCGGATACGTGTAGGGCCCATATCGAGAAAACGACCGTTGCAGACGCAGTACGATGACACGAGGCTAAAGTCAGCGGTCTGAGTCGGGTCGATGTGGTGACGGATGATGGGGTATCTCCGCTGTTTGACGAAGCGCTGTAGTACCTGTGACGCCATCTTTTCGTTGGCTTTGACCATTTGACGAAGTTTATCGAGCCACTCGTGCTGATCGACGGCAAAGCCAAATGTGTGCCCCTGGTTGCGACCGCTCCGAATCGCCTTGAGCACGTAAGCATCTTTCGCGCTCGGTATTCTTTCGCATTCATCGAGCACCCGAGCTGCTTCGGACGAAGACGGCAGGTGGCTCTCGATGATGACGTCTTGAAGAAGCTTTGCCTGACGAGGGCTGAGAATACCCCTGTCCACCTGCGACTCGAGCTGCTCAAGGAGGACAGCGAGAAAGCGCTTGTCATGAACGAGGAAGACCGTCCTCACATCATTGCTCCTGCACCGTACCGCCAAGGCCTGAAGTACCACCTGCGGCAAATAGCGGAGCTCGGCTTGCTCCACTTCGAGGCTCACTTGTAACACTTCTGAACGCAAGCCGTGCTCGTCGATTGCGTAGAGACGGTCCTCGTTGTCGATAATCAGGCTCGCGGGAACCACGTAGCGCACATCCACCTCCATTTCCTCGAGCAAATCCTTGACCTTGTGAATGTCGGCGCCCGGCCACGTCTCGCGCTGAAAGACGATGTGAATCGGCTTCTTCAGGTCGAAGAGGCTCAGGATCGCTGACTCCATCTGCGTCCGCTCCTGGCATGTGAGAATGGAAAGAAAAGGAGATGGAAGAACTGATGGGAATCATGGCGCAGACTCACTACATCCATTCGACTTCCAGGTCGCAGGTTTGCCTTTGCTGCGAGCGACGTAGGATCGGAGAGGGCAGAGGTGCAAGAGAGGGCGCTTATTAAGAAGCCATTGAAGGGGAAGCGACCGTTTATCTCTGAACTATGGCCTCTCGTTAAACACCTGTGCCGGCGGTGCTGCGTCGTCTGCAAGCTCAATTTACTCACCGCAGATCTGTACATCCTCGCTCTTGTCTTCAAACAGGACATCGGGGCGATAACACCCAAGCCTATCCGAATACGGCTCAGCACATCGCACGTACCACCGCAGCAGCTCGTCCTCATGCGGCTCCAGAGGCATCTTGGCAGGGAAGCTGGACCCTTCTTCGTACCAACGGTTTACAACATCGACAGACGCAGCGTGAAGCGCCTCCTGGACTTGCTCAAGTCGTTCTAGCACGGAACGGGGAAAGTAGATGGGCCATGGCGACATCATGGCGGACACGCCGAATGGCAATCCCACCGGTGCTAGCCTATCAATTTTGTCGCGCATCGCCAAGATGTCATGCTGCCGGTCTTCGATCAGCCGCTCTCGGCAGCTGACGACTTTGCCATGCTCTTCGCTTAATGCGGGCGAGATCTGCTGGATGGACATTCTTGTGGTGTAAACCCTCAAGGAAAGCAAGAGACTTATCTCAAGTCACCCATTGCCTGAGTCATGCACGCGAGAAGTTGTTGTCATGCACTCGTCTTCAAGGTAGCTCCCAATTGAGAGAAGCACAAACGTCTTATTTCTGTCATTTCCGATTACAAAGCCGTCACAAGCACGCGTCACTGCTGGCGCGCTGCTTCCTCTGCGCCGTCCCCAGAGTCGCGCGCTGAGAGGCGAAGGAAACAAAATCCTGTTTGATAGTCTGCGTTACTCGAGATCAAATGAGACAAACTCTCATTTACTTGCCACGATTTTGGCATTGTCTTTAGAGTCGCGAGAAGAAACTCTTGCTCAGGATATGGTGATTCGATCTGCAAATGCCTTCTACAGCACGGAGCAAGGAAGAAACGTCGAAAGGAGGAATATTTACGCACCGTGGTCCTGTCTTTGAAGTGGTCGTCACTCGCCACCGAGCATGCCTCGTATCCGGACAAGACCCAGTGCTCGAGCGACTACAACCGTGCTATTCAGCTTCACAGTGGGTATGCCAACTACGGCACCAGTCCCAAAGACGTCGGCTTATCCAAAACTTGCACTATTGAGCGCTCTGGTAACACACCAATCGTCAAAGTCGCAGCACTGCAATGCTACTAAACGTACCTAAACGTACCTCAAGGTCACAGAGGGCCCCAGGTTTTGCTTTGCCGTTCCCATGCCAACAAAGCAAAACCTGGGGCCCTCTGAGGTACTTCCTTGCGGATATTCATAGCACATGTGTCGTTCTCGCAGAAAGCCGGTGGGTCGACAACCTTATCAAGGTAGCACCTTGCACTGATATCGACGATGCATCGCCAGAAACACAATCCTTTGCTCAGCACGGTAAAGCGCCATCCATATCGGGAAAGGTCGAGCGAGACAGCCACGGCGGTTACACCCTCCTCAATTTGCACAGGAGCACGACCCTCCACCTCAGTCCTTTTCCGGGACTGTGCTGTGGCAAAAACGAAGAGAAGTCCAGCAGAATTAGGACAGCTTCGCATCATTTATCAGGCGATGCTAGTGTAAAACTTATCGTTATCTGCTTGTTCTCATCCTTTCTCACAAACACCCGCAAATGCATCTTCGAGGTCTCTAGCGCGAGTGCTTTAATTACCACACCTTTAGCCTTCACGGAGCATCCGTCCACTATCGTCCGCCCCACGTACGGCTCACGCTCGGGCCGCTTTTCTTCCGTAAATGAGGCACCAACGGTCACTGTGTTGTCATGCAACCGGCAGAAGCTAGCACCTCAGTAAGACGCTTGCTCCTCATTCGAACGACCTTGGGAAACAGGAAACTGATTTCAGACCTTGGCCCTCAGTCTATTAGCGATCGACAGCATACAAAATTCGGGTGTTCTGCGAGAGAAGACGTTAGCTGCTTGCTTCTCCTGCTCGAACCCTCTTTACCCCCTTACTCCCGCCGAGGATCCCAGCTCTTGCATGGTTCATAGTTTTCGAGCGAGGCGTGTGTCTCTACTTGTTTCTCATAGCTTAAAGGAGGGAACATTGTCAACATCTGCCAACAGACCGGAGTAACGCCATCGAGGTGATACGGCGTCAAGGATCGCACACATCATGTTTGTACAATGGCGCTGAGTAGCGCTGCGTGTGGGGCAAGGTCCAAGCAGCGTAAGCGCTCGTCTGGAGAAGCTGCGAAGACGCAAGGTGGCCAATTCGCCTATGGACGGTAATGCCGAGGTCACAGCTTGACGGCCTGTCGGACGAAGCTCGGGTTATCCGAAATTACGGCCGCAAAAAGGCATTCAGGGTCCGTGCGACGTCAAAAAGCAGGAGGTTGAGCCCGACCGGCTTTTTCCTAGGGTTTTCCTTTTTTTTTTGGTTGACTTTTTGGGTTTTCAACGACGCGGCGGCGGGCCTGCAGGACAGATCAGCGAAATTAGAGGAAATTTCACCGTTATCGGCGAAAGGGAGGATGGACAACCGGGTTTCAACATAAGTAGGGGCGAAGGGAGAAGCCGGGCTGCTTCTCCTGCCCTTTTTGCCAACTACGTCGACGACTCGGAAGGCTGGCGACGGCGACATGTCTTGCGAGACACACTACCAGGTCATCGCGGGAGCGCATGGGGATCTCTCGCTCAAGGGCGGCGTTCACCTCTACGATGCCTCGTCCGCGTCAAGGGTCCAGCAGGTGACTTGCAACCTCTTTGGCATCATCGAATAGTGAGTGGACCTTGCCCTCGTATTTGATATTGACTTGACGATCGAGGGCTGACAAGCGCGTGCGCTCATCGATGGCCAGCTCATGCATGCGACCGCCTTCGGCCAGCAACTTCCAGGACCCCGAAAAGCCGCAAATGCATCGCAAGCGCCTTCGCTTCCTCGCAGAGACCTTCACCCCTCAACAAGACGATCTCCTAATGCAGCAAGAGGCAACATTCGACTTTGACTTCGCCCTCCCCCAGCACATTGAGCTCGATGAGGACGCCCGTCGGCAGCTCGGCATAAAACGCTCGCGATTCGGTTCCCTGTATGCGCTCCCACCTTCCTTCGATGTCTCTCCGAATCCCTCGGTAGGCAGCAGCCTCAGTGGGGTTCTCAAGGATCTCTTTCTGCCCTGGAAGGGCGACAAGGTGGCCGCTGTCCGGTACCATCTCGAGATAAGGGTGCAACGTGACCGGGGAGGAGCCCATCGGTTCGCCCCCTCTTCGCTTCAGCAAAAGGGCAAGAAGTTCATCGTGCCCGTCCACATCCCCTCATGTCGATCAGAGCAGCTCCTGGAGGCCCTCGATCAGGAACCTGTAATGCCACGGGAGACACTGCCCGGCTACACGCGCAAGGAACGATTCGGCTGGTCCGTCGATGCAGAAGATCCGACGGGTATGCGGCGCTTCTACAAGAACGGCAACCTGTGCTTGTCCATGGGGCAAGCCATTCATGTGGGCGATTCCGTCCCCTTCACGATCAAGTTCGGCCACCCTTTATCACCAAGCACGCGCATCAGCGTCGACGCTGTGCTCCTCCGTTCCGTCTCCGCGCGTTCTGACTACGGAACGACGATCATTGAGACCGGGAAGGTGGCTGCCACGAATCCGGTCCTTTTCACAACGTATTCCGACAAGCACGACGTGAATCCTTCCTCGCAGCCAGAGCCTATCTCTAGGCTCGATGGCTGCTTCCAAATGAACGTCGCTACCGACGGCGCCCATGGCGAGGGCAAAGGTGACACTTTCGCCCCATCGTTTACATTTGCCGCTCTTCAAGTCAAGGTGAATTCTCAGTTCTCTGCTCTGACTCGTCCTTTCTCTTCGCTGACACAGCTTTACATACAGTACCGCCTCCGCTTTCGACTGCGTCTCCAGAATGCGACGCAGACGTTCGAAGCGCCCCTTCTCACACCAGAGATTCTTCTCTTAGACAAACGAACCTCGGCGACGTCGCCAGGAGTTATCACTAGACAGGTCTCTCATGCTCAGCTCGATGCTTCCTCTCCTTCGAGGCCATCAACGGCAACGGGGCCGATGCTTAATTCTGCAGATATGCCGCCGCCCTACGTCGACCACCTCGCCTCGTCGTCGGTCTCTGTACACTGATGTACTCTTTTCTCCTCTCTTGTATTAGTAAGGCCTCTCTCTTTCTCTCCCCTTAATGTGCTCTCGTAGAGTCCGCTAGACGGAATGAATACAGTCTCGCTCTGTTCTCACACCCGTCCTCCCAGTGTGCTACACAAAGTATGCTGCGACCCTTGTTATGCTAGTGGTACAGTGCAGTGTTGTTTCTCTACTCCCTCGCCCTCTTTCTCTTTTCGTCGCGGTTGGCCCGCTTGGCGCTCTTCATCTGCAGCCGATCCGCGTTCTCGATTGCCCGCTGCACCTTGGCTCTGTTCTCTGCTTTTGATGTCCCACCGCGCTTCTTGCTCTTGGACTTGCTCCCAGCCGGTGCGGTCTGGGGTGGCTGCGTAGCTGGTCGCGGTGCGCCTGGTAAAAAGCAGGCACCCATCGCACAAAACGTTAGCAAGGAGGGGGAACAGGAAAGAGGAGCTCGCAATCTCGACTCACTCCGGGGTGCAGCGTCGGCGTCACTGATGACGATCGGACTCGGCTCTGGCTGCCGCCTCTCCGCCCGTTTCAGTCCTCCTTTTTGCCTCGCCATAATCGAGTGCTCACTCTCCACTTCTCAGATGTGCGCCCAGAGAGCTCGACCTTGGGCTCACTTTTTTTTTTTTCTCTCACTCAACTGTGCGCGTCAGCACGTGCAGGAACTCTGGAATTTTTTTGGTGGCCCTGCTTCAGAAGGAAATTTTGGCTCAACGCAGCCTTTCTTCGTTTCCCCTCTTCAGCTATCGCAGCAAGCAACACCGTCTCGATTCTTCCTTTTGACGATGCCTGCTGCTTCTGCTGCTACGTCAACGAAGAGGAAGGCCTCTTCGCTGGGGGCGACTGCCGGAAAGGCAGCTCCTGCTGCCTCCAAGGCTTCCTCCGCCACGCCTCGGTCTGCGTCGTCGTCGTCGGCTTCGGTGAAGAAGGCTAAGAGCAAGGCTGAGGGAACAGGCGCGCTCATCGACGGCCATGTCTCGCAAACGCAAGTCGAGAAGGCACTCAAGGCCCTTGAGGCACACCGAAAGCGGACACAAACCGAGGAGGAAAAGCACCAGCTGCCCCTCAGTGGGCTGGACGACGTCGATGGCGAGGGTGCGCGCGCCGACCCGGCCGACGTCATGTGGCTCATGGTCACGACCAAGACAATCAACGAAAATGCCCCACCGAAGCCCGTGCGAATGTGAGTGCGGCCCATGGCTGGCTTCTGTTGCGTGTGATGTAATGCTGACGGCAAGAGATCGTATGCAGCACCCTGCCCCATGCCGTCTACGCGCCGTCGTCGTCCGTGTGCCTGCTCACCAAGGACCCGCAGCGCCAGTACAAGGACCTGCTTGCGTCTGAAAAGGTCAAGCAGGTGAAGCGTGTCGTCGGCGTGACGAAGCTCAAGGGCAAGTTTGCGCCCTTTGACGCCCGCCGTCAGCTCATGAACGACCACGAGGTCTTTCTCGCCGACGATCGCATCGTCGAGATGCTGCCGAAGCTGCTGGGTAAAAAGTGGATCAAGGAGCGGAAATCACCCATCCCTGTCAAGCTGTCGGGCAAGGGTGCGGCAGTCAAGGCTGAAATCGAAAAGGCAGTCGCGTCGACGTACTACCACCGGAACCGGGGCGTCTGCACAGCGACGCGGATCGGCACGCTGGCTCACCTCTCGACCGAGGAGCTCTTGGCCAATGTGTCGAGTGCGCTTCCCGTCATTGTCGGCAAGCATGTCAAGGGAGGGTGGGACAACATGCAGGGCATCGAGATCAAGACTGGTAGGAGCGCCGGTCTACCTGTATGGAACTGCAAGATGCAAGACCGCTGGGCGGGTATGCCGACCGAGGAAGAGGAGGAGGAGAGGAAGAGGGCCCGAAAGGAGGCGCGATCGAAGAAGAACATGGACGAGGCGCAGTGGTACAAAGAGTATGGGCAGGACAAGGATGACGAGGATGATGAGGATGACGAGGAAGAGGGCGAGGGAGAGAGTGGAGACGAAGAGCCTGAGGATGACGCGAGTGACGACGAGAACGAAGAGGACGAAGGCGACATCGAGCAAGAGGAAGCTCGTGCCAGAAAAGTCCAGAAAAAGTCCGCGGTCCAAACAGCGTCCTTGTCCAAGAAGGGAAAAAAGTAGGCTCCCACCCGCATCTGCTCGCTGTAACTTAGGTCATGCAACTCTTTTGTCGCCAATGTCATGATAACCATATTATTTCCGCTTCTCAGTGCATGCGGTACGGAGAGGCGCTCACACATCTTGAGATGAAGAAAAGCAAGCCAGGAAGACCCGACACATTCATTGGAGAGCTACTTTAGCTACAAGTGTTCGTTGGAAGACTGATGAAGCGTCCAGGATCGCGCTCTTGCTCGGATCAGCCGATCTTCTTTGCGCCATCGCCCGCACGGATGCAGTATCCCTTTTGGAACTCATTGCACTTTCCGTCAGACCTGTCGTTTTTTGTGAGGGAGGAGTTCTCAGCTAGCAAGAAGCGCAAGTAGAATGTTGCAACTGCTTCTCTGTCTCGAGCACCCACTTCTTGGCAATGGTGACCGCGAACTGCGGGACGAGCGTGTCGATGATGTCCTGTGTCTCGCCATGGTCTTGCACTTGGGTGCAAAAGGCCTTGACTGCCGTAAAGTCTTCGGTGTACTCGCAGCCGTAGTACATGATGATATTCGACTTTGCCTTGCCGAGACACGCATCGTTGAGCTTTTCGCACACCTGGCCCTTGTTTTTGATGTTGCTGCTGGCGAACGTGAAGTCTAAGATTGGGGTGAGAAATGTCAGCGGGCATGGAGGACACGATGAGCTAAAAAAGGGACTTACATTTCTGGCGCTTGGGTGTGACTTGCTTGGCCTTGAAGGTGTAGTCATTATAGCAGCGATTCGAGCAGGCTCCATTCTGTTGGGGTGCACGGGCGAGAATGGAGGCACGGGCGAGAATGGAGGCGCTGGCGAGCAGGGGAAAGACAGCCAGGATGGCGACGAAGAAAATCTTCATTCTGATGGTTTTGAGTGAGAGAAAGAGAGAGAAGCCTTCTTCGATTGAATGAGGGAGGTCCAGAAGAGGTACATGTCTGCTCTCGCCCTTATATCCTCTACATCCAGCATTGCCAAGTCTCACACAGTCGCATCGGCAGCACTCCTCTCTCTGTAACTTTCTCTCTGCGTAGGTTGGTCGCTTGATTACCGACGACCGGATATTAGCGGCGCGGAGGGCCAAAGCGTGCGGAGCCCATGGGCCTTGACTTGGTCGGAGTCGGTATGGTGAGGAGCACCGCCAACGCCTCTCTTATTTCCCACAAGCACGAGCCCTCATCGCACTGATGAGCAGCATCGGCAATCTCGCAAGGGAGGAGGGGAGAACTTGTCAACCAAGACCTAATTTGTCACCGAAGGATGGTCAGATGGCGCCGCGGACCGCTGCGGACCGCTGCGTTGCTGACGATTTTCCCATAAATCACAAGTGACAAGGTCTACGACAGTGAATGACCCTCTTTGCGCGTCTGACTTGATCCCTGGGCTGTTCTACCAAGCTCCGTCTTCGGTGTGGCGAGTTAAAGGCGCAACCCCTGTCGCCAACCAAAACGACCGCTTCTTAGAATGCAGGCGGCCCAGAGTGCTATGAGCTGGGCCCACCCTACCGCAGTCAGATGGGCGTACAGCGGAGGCTGCTCGTTTCAGACTGAACTGTGCGCGGCCTATTTGAAAAGGACGGTCTGCAAGGCTGGACCTGCCTTCTTCCATCTCCAAGTCCAACAGACGACACAAACGATCGACGACAACAAAAGTCCAGAGAACGACATCGAAAATGCGACTGCTCTACCAAACTTCTCTGCTGGTCATGTCGCTGGTCATGGCCACCAACATCCTAAGCGCCTCGGCCACCACAACCTCTCATCACGCTCAAGGAGGAGGAAAGCACCACGAGGCTTGGAAGTACTTTACATTTGAGAAGGCGACAGTACCTGAAAAAAAGATCTGCAAAAGTCTCGAAAAACTGTGCAAAGCCGCAGGAGAACCTAAGGTTGTCGTCACGCACGGCAAGTGCGTGTACAAGTACGGCACGGGCATCAAGGCATACTGCACCTCCGAGGCGAACCACGGAAACACTTTCGACATCATCGATGAGCTCGCCGGTAAGCTGGACCTGACATACGCCTCAAGGTAAGTGAATCTGGGCGACATCCTTTTCCCCGCGCTGTCGCTGTTTGCTGAAAGTCGTGGATAACAGGAAGAAGCGGCACAGAGAGTGCGAGAATTACATGGAGGGCTGGTGCAAGCGTAAATCCGGGGGCCGCAAGACGCTCTCGGGCACCAAGGGCACCTACAAATGACGGCCATGATCAAGTCGTGCAAAAGGCAAGAGCCAGACACGCTTTTCTCTCTGCACTCTTCTCGCTGAGCCATCCACGAGCATAATACTCCATACTCACACGCTATCCTGTCAACAATCTCGAACAACGAAGGAGCTTCAAATCACGAGAGGTTCCACACCGAATATGAAAGTAAAAAGATCGCAGACAAGAGAGTGAATCGCAATTAATGAGGAGAATGAGAAGGCCTTGAGAGCATCACAGAACCGAGAACATATCAGGGTCCCTTGCTGGTCTTGCCATCCCGGCCATCCTTCCTCTGCTGCTGTTCGGCCTCATCGCGTGGCTGCTCCACTGTGATGATCAGTGCAGGAGGCTCGGAGTCGCTGGGCCCTTCTGGCGTCACGTCAACCAAAACGGCCTCCGAAGGCACCCGACCCGACTCGGCATCAGAATACGGCTCCACTGGGGACCGGTGCCGATCCTGCACGCTGGGCTCGAGGTGGACCTCTGCTCGTCTTGCCTGTTCCGCCAGCGCCTCTTCCTGTAGCTTGCGGTTGCGGGCAAAGACCACGACGGCCAGGAAGAGGATCAGTTGGAGGAACAGGAAGCCGTTCCGGAAAAGGAACCCGATCCCGTCGACGATCCTGTTGTAGAGGGTTGAGTGTGGTGCTGAGCCAGCATCGACAAGGATGGAGGCGAGGACATCGAGGGCGGTCTTGCGGAGCACGTAGGTGTAGGAAGGAGCCGATACAATGGGTGCATCATCCGGCTGCTCCTTGAGCGCCGCCGCTGGAAACGAGACGGAGCGGACGGCCGATGCGTCATAATTGATCGCGAGGAGGGGCAGCCGATCTTGTGGGCTACTCTGGGCCGGGCGAAGCGCGAGCTTGACAAGCTCTCTGCCAGATTCGTCTGTCCATGCCTCGCACGTCGTAGTGAGGGGGACTTGCGCAACCGCCACCTCCGAGACAAGAGGCCTCGTGTGTGCCCAGAGCAGGATTGCGTCCGCGGTCTTGAACCAAGGCAGTGAGATGCCGTCGTTGTCGCCAGTGCCGACGTAGACCGACTGAATCGGCCCGAGTGCCAACGCATTGGCCTTCTGCTCTCTCCAGTCTGGCGGACAAGAAAAGGCGGTCGGTTCGACGATGCTTCGCACGTTCAGCTCCGCTTCTCTGCTGTTCCATACCAAGTCGAGGACCAGGTGGCTGCGCTCAAAGAGCGCCGAAAGATCTGTTGTGATATTTGTTTCGGTGACGGGAAGGACCTCTGCAGTCTTTGAGAAGAAGGAAGAAGTTCTGCAGAGGGTGAAATGGTATCAGTCTTCTATTTGAAGGGTCTGGTGAATGACAATGCATGTCCACTTACTGGAACACCCTCGTCAGACGGAAAGACTCTGAGCTGCGATCTTGCTCTTGACCAAGGTAGAACAATGCATCGGCTTCCAGGTCGGTCGGACCGGGCGACGGGAGAAAGGCATAAAGGAGGGCTGCGCTGAGAAAGACGAGTGGAAAAAAGAGGATGACGCGGACGACGAAGAAGAGGACGCGTTTGGCGAACGTCATGTCGCAGTAGTTGTAGAAGGAGTGATATGTCGGAAGACCTAGTAAGTGCGGTAATACCGCGATGATGGGGCGTACCGACCGACACAGCCGTGGTCAGGACCTGACTATCCACGAATCTAGATCGCGGTCGGCGGATTGCCGTTGTTCCTGCGTTTCGCGCTAAAAGCTCACCTTTATGGATCAGCCACGTTCTACCAATCAACCATTGAAGTGCAAAGAATGGACAATGCTTCGGAAGCAGCAAAGACAATGTCAGTCTCGTTGACTCAATTTGACTGGATGACATTCTCCTTAAGTCTATGAAGAGGAACAACATTGCATGTCGCTCGCCCTTATATTGGCAGAGCGCCAGGACAAGACCCTGCGCCTTCCTTGGCTGCCTTCATGCGAGCGGGTCAAAGTCAGACCACGCCGAAGATCCTCCCTGATTGCCCGCTCCCGGTCTGGAGGAAGATTTTGTCGTAGGAGTCAACACGGCGCCGCCCCACCCCGGAGGCGCCGGTCTTGGCGTTGCCGCCGTTGAAGTAGGTGTGGGGGAAATGGTGGATGTCGCAGCCGAAGATGGAAAGCTCCCCAAGCTTGACTGCTGTGGCACCAAAGGCGGTAGGCCGCTCGACGAAGTACTGCTCAATGCCATGCTCGACGAAGACGAGGTATTCGACAGGCCAAAGTTGCTTGCTGGTTCCAGACTGATATTGTAGTTGGGGCCGGCAGAAGCAGACGCGGAACTTGCAGGTTTGACAGCAGACGACGATGACGAAGACGGCATCAGCGTCCCACCCGACCAGCTTGGCGCGCCATTGAAGCCTGACGAAGACGGAGGGGAGGAGATGGTCGTTGCACTCAGCGTTGACGAGAGCGACGGTCGGTTTCCCCCAGGCGGAGGAGGTGCAATTGTGCTTCTCGGGGTAATGGCCGGGCTTGAGATAGGCGGTGAGGCGAGGCCCGACGCGGTCGGAGGCGGCTTCCAAGCCGACGACAGCGAGGAAGAGCTGCTCGTGCCGTTCATCACGGAGGGTTTCAAGGGCGCAGCACCCCCTAGAGTGCTCGCGTGAGACGGTGTCAGTGCTGGTGTGCTTCCTCGAGCTGGCGTCGAAGATGTCGACGCGCCCAAGTCGTCCCAACCGAGAACATCAAGCGCGTTACCCCCCACCGGCATGTCTCTGCTGACCTCGGTGGACCGACCCTTGGCAGATCCAACCAGAGTTGCAAAATCGACATCTCCCGACGACGTGAGCCCGCTCGAAGCGCCTTGGACTCCTTGTGCTGACGTAGTAGCTCCTCCAGCGTAAGAATCGGTATGATCTTGCATTCGTTTCAGCTCCTCGAGGTGGGTAAGATCTGAATTTCTCGAGTCCGTCAGCATCTTTCTTCGATGGTAAGCTCTCAAGATGAACAAACTTACGCTCCGTCTTGACACGTTCGCCCATTTCGTCGATGGCCCGCATGAACCTCGAGAATTGCTCAGCTGTGAGCTGAGCACCCATCGACATCGCCCAGAGCTGAGGGATGATATGGACCGCCAATGTCTCCCGGTCCACCTTTTTCGACATAGCCTCGTGCACGGCCAGTGTCGCGATCATAACCGACGGCTCCCTCGTCTTGATCCTTGCCAAGATCGGTACAAGCTTCTCCGTGAGGGTATATTTGTCGAGAACAGAGATCATCGAGTGGAAGCAAATGAGAGTGTTGCATTTGACGGAAAGAACCTTTGTCTTGGTGAAGACGGTCTGCGCAAGGATTGGCGTCAGGGCGCTGTCAGCCTCAGCAGGAGTGCTCTCTTATAATTCACTCACGGCAATTTTGGGAAAGAGGACCTCCTTGACGTGCGAGTACTCGAGAAGCTCACAAAGTCGAGGGACCGTCTGCAGAGCCTTTTCTTGCACCACGACTTGCTCTGCCTCCAAGGCAGAGTAAAGCAACGGCGTCACCTGCTCGCGAAACACGGGGGGCGAGGTTTTTGACACGAAGAGCTCGATTTGCTCCAAAAGCATCACTGGAAAGAGAGACATGAGCATGGACCCATCCAATCACGCCGGCCCTCCACCCACGTTGGTTCTGAGGCGGATCTTGCACCGCGAACAGCGGCTTGAGCTTTGGCAGGACGTTGGAAGAGAACTCAATCGACGCTGAATTATCATTTGCGTGTTAGCTGGTGTAACTGAAGACGAAGAGTTTGACATGACACTCACATAGATTCTTCGAGATAGTGAAAACATTCGGGAGGATGAACGGTAAAAGTGTCCGATCATTCATCAACTCGAGAAGCTGGAGACGGGCAGATTTCAGCAATAGAAAGGACAAGAACTGGCGTGGACACTTCACTCACGGCTGGAAGCACCTTTCTTCGAAGGAGACGGTCGCTGAATTGGGGGAGGATCTTGAGGAGCCCTTTCAAGAAGGAAACTCGTTCTTCCTTTGTCCGTCCTGCGAAGCTGTCCCGCTCCATGAACTTAAGCGTCTGAGTCAGGATATTGTTGAAGTAGTCAGATCGCTGAAACGAAGAGGCAGTCGGCCGCGACCCCGGATATCGCGTGACGAGAGTAGATAGAACGCCTGAGATAGAGAAGGTGTTGAGTGAAAGAACAGAAGGAGAAATAGAAAGTCGATTTACTTACCGATAACCTCATTCCCCAGGCGGGACCAAGATGAGGAGCCGGCAATTGTGCTCAGCTGATCGGCGTTCTGCCTGACATTTGTCAGGCTGTTGCGATTCCGAAACGGTGGATCACCCCTGCTGTGTACGGCATAGATGAGACACCCCAAGCTGTACATGTCGTTTGCCGGCTCCAGCTTCTCGTCCAAGGCGTACTCAGGTGCCATGTAATCAAAGTTGCGTGAGAGAGCGGGCGGCAACGAAGGATCGTAATCCGGGTATCGGTAAGGCGTCGGCGTGCCGTCTGGTTGCTTGAGCGGGGTCAGGAAGCCAAACCCGGCCACTTTCCAGTCTCCCTTGGCATTGACGAGAATTGATTCGGTGGTGAGGTTGCAGTGGACAAGACCAGCTCCATGAAGGAATTCCAAGCCGCGGGCGACTTGCAGCAGCCCTTTCTGGATCTCGACTTCATCTAGCTGGACGCTCTCGCTCGCTCTTCCTGCCGACTCGCTGGCCAGAAGTGCCTGGGAGAGCGGCGCAAGGACTGGTTCCGTGGCGAATATAAGCTCTGAGCGAACCTCTTCAAAGGGCTCAACGACTTCGAGGATACATGGGTGTCGAAGCCGAGTCAAGGTCGAAGCCTTGGAAATGCTGTCAGCTCACCAATCGAGCTTCGTTTGCAAGGGTAGCCCTCACCTCCTTCTTCAGAATCTCAACAACTTCGTTGCGCTCTCTTCCTCGACTTGCGACATTGTGCGACCAAACACTAGCTTGACCTTTGTCGGCGCTGCTGCTCGACGCTGTCCCACCCGACTCTGCACCACCCTCTGAGCCACTCGGTGTCAAAGATCCCGAAACTGAGGGAAGAACACCGCCGCCGCCGGATGTTCGCACCGCTCTCTGTATCCTCCACAGGCCAGCATGGGTCGTTTCAGACTCATTGATCGTGTAGTTTGCAGAGATATTGCTGCGACCACTGGGGAGCGCAAGAGGACTCATCAGCTGAGTGCTTGCAGAGCGAAGGGTCAGGCGACTCACAAATAGGACGAAGCCTGGCTGAAAAAGGAAGCCATGGCCGATCGAGGCTTAACCCTCTCTGGACCTCGATCGAAGCTCTGCTCTCAGTTGTTGCTCAAACGGCCGTGCTTCCACTTTGACTTTTGGAGTGGCAGCTGGTGTTGGACACATTGGTTTCGAGCTCCACGTGGAAATTCGACGTCCGAATTCCGAGAAGCCAAACAATTTTTACTTTTTGCCCTCGAAGGTGTTCAGTCCGACCAAGTTCTGACCAAAGCAGGGAGAAAGGCCGCGATCTCCTTCCCAACGATGGCGGACGCACAGCAGAGCAACAAGGCCCATAGGGCCAGCCGCATGAAAGACAAGGCCCAAAAGGAACAGAATCGTCATGCCGGCGGCTTCAACCCGAGGGTGAGCCTCTCTATTTGCGCATATAGTAGTCGCCTCCGCTGACCCAGCCACACATAGGCCTATGTCTCTGCACACCCAAGAGTGGCGGACAAGCAGATCAGAAGAAATGCAGAGCGAGACCAGCAGAGACTCCATGTTCCCCTCGTTAATAGGACCGACGAAGAAGAGGCACCGCCGGTCATTGTCGCCATCGTCGGACCGGAGGGCGTGGGCAAGACCACGCTCATGAGAAGCTTGATTCGCAAATTCAGCAAACATACCCTGACTGACATTCGAGGCCCCGTCACGGTCGTCAGCGGTGAGAATGGAGATGGTCTACTTCCTACTGCAGGCAGGATTACTGATGACCAAGCATCCTTCCTTACACAGGCAAACGACGACGACTGACATTCATCGAATGCAACAACGACATCAACTCGATGATTGACATTGGCAAGATCGCAGATCTGGTCCTTCTGATGATCGACGGGAGCTTTGGCTTCGAGATGGTGGGTCGATCGACGGTCAAGGGTCCCATTAAATTGACACTGACCCGCACTTTGGCAGGAACAAATGGAATTTCTCAACGTCCTCCAGGCCCACGGCTTTCCAAAGATCATTGGCGTTCTGACCCACTTGGACCTGATCAAGAAGAGCAAGACGCTTCGTGCCACGAAGAAGAGGCTCAAGTCCCGATTCTGGACAGAGATATATCAAGGTGCCAAGCTCTTCTATCTATCGGGTATCATCAACGGGCGATACCCTGACATCGAAGTGCAGAACCTCTCTCGCTTCATTGGCGTCATGAAGTTCAGGCCATTAATCTTTCGGAACGCGCATCCGTATCTCCTGGCCGATCGCATGGAGGACTTGACACCCAAGGAGCAGGTCAGACGGGATCCAAAGGGAGACAGAAGAGTGACCGTGTATGGCTATCTACGTGGAACCAACATGCGGCACGATACAAAGGTCCACATCCCCGGCGTGGGCGACCTCAGCATCGCCAGCGTTGAGCGCCTCAACGATCCCTGTGCGCTGCCGACGTCTGACAGCGAGAAGCGGAGAAAGCTCAGCGACAAGGCAAAAACGATCCATGCGCCGATGAGTGACGTCGGTGGTGTCATGTTCGACAAGGATGCCGTCTATATCAACGTCCCTGGTCATTTCTCGAAGAATGGCAACGAGGAAGGCGGGACAGGCACGGATGGAGACGCAAGTCGTGGCGAGGGCGAGCGCATGGTGCTTGGTCTCCAAGATGCGCGTAATACCCTCGATGAGGGAGTTCAACGCGGCGAAATGAGGCTCTTTTCCGACGAAGCGAGACCTCTCTCACTGGATGAGGTGGTCAAGAGGAAGCAGAGGGAGAGAAAAGCAGCATTCGATGATATTCAAGCGGCCGAGCGAGAAAGCGAAGACGATGATGAGGACATAGACGATGACGATGAAGAGGACAATGACGACGACGACGAAGACAGTGACGATGAAGAAGCCCAGGCCCGGGAGGAAGAGCTCGGAGCCGGAGATGAGGAAAGAAGTGACGGCGAGATTGCATTTGCCGACAGCGATTCCGATATGGGCCACCAAGGCGAGGATAGCGACGACGATGACGATGACGATGACGACGTGGCTGGTGATAATACATGGAAGCGAGATCTTGCCGCCCAGGCCGAGCAAACAGTTCTCGACAATCGTCGTCGAAAAGCTCCGGATCTCATGCGTCTCATCTACCATTCGGATCAAAGCCCAGAGGAAATTGTGGCAGGGCATGATGGTAGGACCAAGCTCAAAAAGGCCATTTTGGGAGACGAGGAGGACGATGAAGGCGATTTCTTTCAATTGGCGGATGAGGATGACCGCGATGCAGGTCCGGATGATGAAGATCTTCAGGATTTCAGCAAGCCGCGATACAGTGACGAGGAATTGAAGAGGTGGGATGACGAAAGACAGCTAGATTCGATTCGACACCTTTTCATTACTGGAGCCGAAGATGAAGAGGAGGAAGGCGATGAACAGCGAGTCGACGAAGGTTTTAAGGGGTTTTCAGACGACGACGATGATAACGAGGGAGAAGGAGAAGACGAGAGAAAAGAGGAGGATGGCGAAGCAGCCCAGGCTGAAGCTCTAGCGAAGAAGAAGGCTGCCCTGAAGCGCCGCTTCGACGAGCAGTACGATGATCCCGATGAGGCGATGCAGGGTGATTGGTACGATGAGCAGAAGGCGGAGCTGGCCAAGCAAGCTGAGGCCAACCGCGCGGCCTTCGAGGATGATGACGAGGAGACGAGGAGACTGGTCGAGGGATTCCGACCTGGAGCATATGTCCGCATGGAGCTGGCAAAAGTGCCTTGCGAGATGGTTGACAATTTCGATCCCCGCTATCCACTCATCGTCGGCGGGCTTTTGGCATCGGAGGAGCAGATGGGCTACGTGCAGGTTCGCATCAAGAAGCATAGATGGCACCATCGCATCCTCAAGACCAACGACCCCTTGGTGTTCAGCATTGGTTGGAGGCGTTTCCAGTCTGTGCCGGTCTACAGCCTCGATGATGGGACCCGGAATAGGATGCTCAAGTATACGCCTGAGCATATGCACTGCTTGGCCACCTTTTGGGCCCCTGCCGCACGGCCCAATACAGGATTCTGTGCCTTCAATACCCTGGACGACGAGACGCCTCGCTTCCGAGTGTCGGCTACGGGTACCGTTCTCGACGTCGACGCAGGATCAGGCGCTCACAAGATTGTCAAGAAGCTCAAGCTGACGGGCACGCCTGCGAAAGTGTACAAGAACACGGCGTTCATCAAGGACATGTTCAACAGCCGTCTCGAGATTGCTCGCTTCGAAGGCGCCCACATCAAAACAGTCAGTGGTATCCGAGGTATGGTGAAGAAAGCGCTGGCCAAACCAGAGGGACACTTCCGTGCCACCTTTGAAGACAAGGTTCTGATGAGCGGTGAGTGTTCTACAAACATGTTGACAATTGCTCAAGAGCGTTTGCTGAGAGAAGTTTGTGCACCAATCTTCAGATATCGTCTTCCTACGGTGTTGGTACAGCATTGAGCCGCGACGCTTCTACAACCCGGTCACATCGCTCCTGCTGTCAACACAGAACCGACAGCAATGGAAGGGCATGCGGCTGACTGGCACGGTGCGAAAGGAGGAAGCCATCAAGACGCCAAATCGGGTCAACAGCATCTACAAGCCTGTTCAAAGAGCAGAAGTACGCAAGTTTAACAAGCTCAAGATTCCCAAATCGCTCCAGGCGCAATTGCCATACGCGAGCAAGATCAAGAACGAGACCAAAAAGAGCAAAAAGAGCTACCTGGACCAACGTGCTGTCGTCATGGAGAAGGAGGAGCGGGAGGCGGTGGCGCTGCTGCAGCAGATGCGTGCCGTGCAAAGGGAGAAAGAGGACAAGAGAAAGGCCAAGAAGCAGGATGCCAGAAAGAAGCATATGGAGACAGTGGAAAAGGAAGAGGCGATCAAGAAGGACAAGAGAAAGGCGGCCCTCGCAGACGTCTACCGCGCCCAGGGCCAACGCGAGGCCAAGAAACAGAAGACTCAGTAGCTGCTTGCCATACAAGATTGTGTAATTTTAGCATCTTTCCCCACCTTTGGCGATGGAACTGCACCCTTTGCAGTGAGATGAAGACCTTTGCCTCGCTCGCGATTTCCCTGGCCGCCCGAGGACGGAGGATCAAGACTCCCTCGGAGCTGCACGTGATCCTGCACCCTGTGATTTTTTGTTTTTTGGTTGGTCTGGTTGGTCATGAACGCGCGCTGCGCCCACTTCCAGAAGAGATCAGTGTCTGCGCTGCCCTGTTTCCCCTAACCTGCATCTATACGCGAGTAGGGGGAGAGGGATGGCGGACCTCGAAGGGGAGGGATGGACCCCTTTGGAAAGCAGCATTATACAGAGGATCAGGGCGCTTGAGGAAGATCCACTCAAGGTCGATATATTCGGACAACTCATACCGCTCGCAAACGACTACACGCAGCGCAACCGGAGGCTCATCGAGGATGCAAGCGTGCCATCGAGCGAGTCGGAGTTCCACTCTCACCAGCTCTGTGGACGGTGCGAGGTGTCCCCAGGAAGGCGTTTGAGCGTGGCCGACGGCGATGGGGAAGAGGTGGGGGAGGAGGGCGAGAGGGAGAAGAAGCTGCGATTCCGACTGCAGGTCTGCATGCTTCGGAGCCTCAGCTTCAAGGTGAAGCGCTCCATTGCAATCTGGCTGAACGGCCTTGCAAAGCAAGCATATAGCTGCATGGACTGCTATCGTGGGCTGGTGCAAGCAAAACAAGAGATCGGTCCCAGGTTCCTGCACCGGTACGAGGAGGACAGGATCACCCAATTCTTGTCGTTCGTAGACGATTGGGAAGAGAAAGTCGCGATGGGCATCATGGCGGACAGCGGGCTCATCGAAAGGCCAAGAAATGAAACGACTGTCAAGACGGAGCAGCGAGCGGACAATGTTGGACAGCACGACGAAGTGAAAGGCGTACCACGACCAGCTGAGCTCTTTGCTGCACTCCACCTCGTTGGTTCTTTGGCGTCTCGCGACAAGAAAGATGGTCTCTACGCAACGCTCAAGCAAGAGCGATCAAGAATAGTCATCGATGATCTCCCAGAAATGCCCGTGGGCATCTTTTCGTATGCATTGGATGACGACGAAGCTGTCCGAAGATGGGCAGTCGAGCAGAAAGCACAGTCATTGGCATCAGGCGACATGTGCCGAACAGGCGCCCTCGACAGATTAGTCCGGTCGGCGATCGAACAGGAAAAGTGGCAAGAGCTTTGTTTTATTGCAAAGTGGGCCCCTGAAGCTTTTTCGGGAGCCCTCCTACCAAAGCTACTTTCTCACAAGGGCAAGCCAGAGGTGCTTTCGTGCGTCGAGGCCGTTCTTGAGCAAGGTGCAGCAGTATGGCTGCACGAGGACTCGGAGTATCCTCTGGTGATCTTGGCGTCGCTACTGGATTCGATGGAAGGACTGGTAGAGCCGGGCGAAGGCGCATTTCGCTGGATGGAGGCTTTTCTCTTCAGTCTCCTCGATCCGATCGTGCCTGTGGAGACATTCGAAGAAGCTTTGAAGCGCATGGCCAACTTTCTTCTCGAGCGCATGCAAGGTGGACACGTCTCCCTCGACCAACGGAAGAGGGCGTTGAAGGAGGGCGCCAATCTTCTGCTTTGCTGGGCAAACGGGGACGCGAGAACGCGTAGACCTCTGAACAATGTCACGGAGCTCTACGCATCGACTCTTGCGCAATTCGCTCTCATGGGTCGCATTCCGAACACTGTTGAGACGGCCGAGGCGGGAGAGAGAAAGGCAGCGCTGGAGCTCATTGAAAAGACATTTGAGCTAGACAAGGACAATCTCGCGGAGAGCATGCTTCTCCTGTCGAGCCAGACCATGCGCCACAAATCGATGTTCAAAAAGGCCCTTAGTGCTCGCAAGAAGATGCCGATGAGCAATGGCACGACACAAAGTTCTTCCACAAAGGCAAGCAGCGACGAGGATGCCGTTTTCGAAAAGGCAGCGGCCGACCTTGTCGTCAGTCCCACTGTATGCTCCGGCCTTTGGCGCGAATGCTACAACGCCTTCCGTCCCACTCAAGACGCTGGCCTTTTTCTACGGCCACTAGCCAGCCTCGCCGTCTTTGTTGAGCCGCAGATTCAGTCGTATATCATCGTCAAGGAACACAAGAGCGCAGCTTTTCCATTCTATAAGGAAAAGCTCAAATCGTGCCTCCTTGCTCTTTCAAGGAGGCTAAAGACGATGCGAGGATCTCTCCCTACAATTCTGCTCGACATCTCCGAAGAGAGCGGCGCCTCCGGCGGTGGTTCTGATCGGTTAAACGAGCTCTGCTACCAACGAGCTGATGGCCTCGTCGCCGCCACGCTGTGTCCCGAGGTTGAGGTCCATCGAGCCGCACAAAATGTCATTCGCACAACATTCGAGGAGGCCGAAACCAGGGGTGACTGCTTTCGTTGTCTGCTCCAGTGCAGCCCAAAGCTAGCCCTCGAGGGTATTCAGACTTATCTCGACGATTTCGTCACAGTGGCAACCAGTCTGATAGAAGCTAACGACACGGCAAAGTGGATGGTCAGGTCATTTTCGGACGTCGTAGAAGCCTTGTGCTCACAGACTGACGGTCTTCTCCGTCGAGGAACACCCTTCTCGCTTGTCGAATCTACCACCACGGCCAAGCATGTCCGCCAGCACATTCCTTCGATCTGGAGCTTGATGTGCAAGAGCATAGCGGCCATCTTCGCCAAGACGCCCAGCTGGGCGCGTGTCTTGGATCAGTCAGAGCTCGTGGCCTGGTTCCGCGACGTCATCATCTTCGCTACTGACGTGGTCGACCAGATGGAAACCTTTCAGGAGGCTGGAGAAAAAGAGAGCGAGTCATCTTCGCCCACCCTTCTTCAGGATCTGTCCCTGCCTCTGGAGGAGGCGTCTTCCTGGTTGCGCATGAATGACGCCGAAATCGTCGAGGACACGCGAGAATACATCGTCAAGGCTTTGCAGCACTTTCGCGCCAAAGTTCCGGATGGTGTCAAGCGGCGAATGCTTGCCTTTATCGATGACCAGATCAAGATCGAGGATGCTGAAGCTCGACGAACCTTGCTTAGCATCAATCAGCTTAAAGATCTGAGACACCTTTTGGACCCGACAGCGATGGCCATCGAGCTTAGCGATGATGAAGATGATTTCACGGTCCAGGAGCAGACCTCAAAACCATCTCAGCCACCAAAGATCGCGCCCACATCTCAATCGGTCTCCAGCAAAGCGACTTCAGACAATCACAAAAAGCTCAAACAGCAGAAACTTGCATTTGGTGCTGTGAACGTCGATGTGGATCTCGACAAGAGGTCAAGTGGAGCTCCTTCTAAAAACGCAGTGGCATCGAAAAACGCATCGTCCCAGGAGCTTCGGAAAGAGAGTCTGGCTTCTAAGCTGGCTCCTTTGGAACCATGGACGGCAAACAAATACTCTAGCCCTTCCTCATTTACATCGAAGGCTGTTGCCCGACCTGGATTTGGTCAACGTCCTCCTGCTCCTGCTCCTGCTGCACCCTCGCGTCCTGGAAGCAAGCTTGCACAGCTCCGACAGGACTTTCGATCCAGTAACGTCTCTTCTCACGTCCGCTCCAACTATCAGAGGCCCCCTGCTGTTGCAATAACTCGTGAGATCGGCGATCCTCGAGCACCTGAAGCCAAGAGGTCTTTTAGTGGGAACGCCAACCTAGGGGCTGCTGCCCAAGCCGCTGGACCGCCGAGGCCACAGCGAGCCGACGATTCTAGCAGCGATGAGAGCAGCGAAGACGAGGCAGACGAGCAAAAGCGGCGCGCATTGGGGCTAGCCGCACTCGCCAAGAACGGCTCGCCGGTCAAGATGAGGCCGAAACCCAAGGTCACTGTTGGTATCTTGTTTGCTCTGCTACTTTATCCCTTTTGACTCACGAGACTTGCTTCCTATACACACAGCAAGCACCGCCCAGAAGAACAATCTTGTTAGAGAACACAAATGGCTCGGCTGCTGCTGCAGCTGCCGCGGCACGGGAGCGCGAAAGGGAGCTAGCGGAGAGGAGAAAGCGTTTGCGGGAAGCGCCGGACTATGGACCTTTGCATCGATCAATTTTGTCTTGGGATTACTTTGCGAAGGGCAACGTGCCACCTCGCCTGCCTGGATTGCCCGAGCCACAATACAGCGCAGTCAAGTCCTCATTTAGCGGTGCCGAGGACTACGCCAATGTATTTGGGCCGATGCTTCTGCTTGAGTGCTGGGCCGAATTCCAAGGAGCAAAAGAAGAGCTGGAAAGGAGTCGGGCGGTAGAATCTCCTTACCGAGTCACTGTTGTTGGTCGCTCGGTCGTGGACCAGTTCACAAACGTCAACATCGTCATGGACAAGGTGCCGCCTTCGCAGCAGCCGCGGTTCAGCGAGACCGATGTCGTCTCTCTCAGCGATCTGTCAGATCCAGCGGCACCTATCGACTCGCGGGCCAAGATCTTGGCCAAGGTTGACGCATTCAAACCTCTTGGTCAAGGGTGCCGCCTGACCTTACGCTGCTGCCTGATTACGGATAAGCAGGGTATCAACTCTCGGCTAGTCGGCGACTCGAGGTGGGAAATCACAAAGCTCTTTTCCTTGACGACGTTGCACCGCGAGTACGAGGCGCTGCAAGCGCTACCGTACTACGACATGCTCCCTAGCATCCTGACTGGGCGGGCCTCGTACGTCAACAAGCTCAGTCCCGAGGAAGTCATGAGGGCTGAGAAGAAGTATATGGTCAATCGCCCGCAAGCCGAAGCAATTTTGGGAACCTTGACGGCTGGCAACGGCTTCAGTCTTATCCAGGGTCCTCCTGGCACAGGGAAGACCAAGACTATCAGCTCTCTCGTGGCCCACTTCATGTCTACGCGACCAAGGCCGACCTCGAATCCAACTCCGATCAACGCAGGACAACGAGGGCCAGGCCCACCGATCAAAAAGCCGGCCAAACAAAAAATTCTCCTCTGTGCTCCCAGCAATGCCGCGATCGACGAATTGGCAAAGAGAGTCTCGGATGGTATTGCTCTGGCTGATGGTCTCGTTGTTCGACCGAATGTTGTTCGAATCGGCCGTACCGATGCGATGAATCACAGTGTCAGGAGCCTTGCCCTCGAGGCCCTGGTCGAGGAGAAGCTGTCAAAGGCGGCCAACAGCGAATCGAGCAACGATGACGTCAGTGCGATTCATGCCGAGATCCAGAAGTTGAAGGAAGAGCGCGACGCCAAGCAGACTGAACTGGCAAACGTCAGAGCGGCAGGTGGAGCGACAGTCAGGCTGCAAAAAATCGACGCAGACATCAGGCAGATCGTTGCGAAAAGGGTTGCCGCGATGAACAAGCTCGACGAGGCCAAGGACAAGCGGCAGCAGGTCGTGAGGCAGATAGAAGCCGATCGAAGGAAAGTGCAGCAGGAGATCCTCGAAGAGGCAGACGTGATCTGCTCGACGCTGGGCGGTGCCGGTCATGCTATGTTTGGGTCCTTGCCGTTTGATTTCGAAACGGTTGTCATCGACGAAGCGGCGCAAGCCGTGGAGCTGAGCACCCTTATTCCGCTCAGGTACGGATGTCAGCGATGCATCCTGGTTGGAGATCCGAAGCAGCTACCGCCCGTCGTCCTGTCCCGAAAAACGGCCGATCTAGGCTATGCAAACTCGCTTTTCTTGCGAATGTTTAGCAAGCCAGACAACCCGATTCACCTGCTCAGCATCCAATATCGTATGCACCCGACCATTAGCGAATTCCCGTCGAAGACATTCTACGACGGAAAGCTTCTTGATGGACCAGACATGGCGCGCCTTACAATGAAGGGGTGGCACAACGACGAGTACCTCGGCCCTTTCCAATTTTTCGACGTCGCCAACGGTTCTGAGACGACTGGCCGTGGACACTCTATCACTAACCGACAAGAGGCGCAGGCAGCCGCATTCCTGTATGAACGTTTGGAGCGGGAAGCGCGGCGGACGGCTTCGGGAACAATCGAGGGAAAGGTGGGCGTCGTGAGCATGTACAAGGAGCAGGTCTGGGAGGTGAAGAGAGCGTTCAAGCAGTTCTTCGGTGAACATATCGAGGAGATCGTCGATTTCAACACAGTAGATGGCTTCCAGGGACAGGAAAAGGACGTCATCATCATCTCGAGCGTCCGAACAAATGGGATTGGCTTCTTGTCGGACCGCAGAAGAGTCAATGTTGCCGTCACTCGCGCCAAGAGCAACCTCTTCATCGTCGGTCATGCTTCGAACTTGCGCCGCGATCCCATTTGGGCGCAATTTGTCGAGATGGCCGAAAAGAGTCGAACGATTCTGCAGCTGAAGGATCCTGCCAAGTTGCGACAACCCTCAGACCGGGCGCCAATGCGCGCGCCTCCTCCTGCTATGTCTCCGTCATCCTCGTCATTGCCCGCAAAGAAGACGAGTGATGATGTCAGTGCGACGGCAAATTCAGGTATGTCGAAGCCTTCGGTCAGCAAACCGCAGCAGCACCCGCCATCGCCTCCCGGGCCCCTTATGACGCCGGCTCAGATGAGGCAAGCGTCTTCGAGTTCGTCCATGCCAGTTCGGCACAAGCCTGCTCCGACACTGGTACGCCCCTATCCATCAGGCTCATCTGCTTCGACGTATGGGGTTCAAACAGGTCAAAGACCCCCACAAGCAGTGACTTCCTCTGCTGGAATCCCCATCTTGCCTCCCTCTAATGGTGTTGGGAAGCAAGGGCCACAAGGTAGTCGTGCTGCACCTCCTCGCCCACGACCACCTGCCATGCGACCCCCACGCTTCAACCCGCTTGAAGTGATGCCAGCCGGCGGGTCGAAGGGACAGCCACCGAAAGGGCCGCGACCACCATCCGTCCACAGGGACACAAGCAACAATGTTCGAAAGCGACCCGATGCCGACCAAAACGAGCAAGGCGACGGTCCGTCGAAGAAAGCTTTGAACGCACTTTTCCACACTAAGAAGAAGCCTCGGATCGCCACACCTGGCGCCCAGGCTCCTAGATCTTTCCCTGGCGGACCTCGTCCGCCACCAGCGCCTTCAGCGCCTGGATTTTCCCGCTGAGGCGCACTGCACAGCTGAGCGTGAGCTTTTTATTATGTTTCCACACGTTTCGTTCTCGTTAGCATCTTGTATTTCAAAACACAACGTATCATCACCTATCATTGTACTGTACAGGTACCTCATCATCCTCGTCATCATCATCTTGGGTTCATTGCAATCATACCTCATTCTTCGACAATTACTAAGCGTGACGGTATGAACGGTATCGCGTTTCTATTGATAGCTTGATAGCTGATGAGTGCGTGATGGTGCGGTTATAGCCACTTAATCACGAAAGCCAACATTGGCAAAAGGAGGGCCGACACAAGGACCAAAGCCAGCGTGGGGTGCGTCGTAAAGATTGCCGGCACCCACTGGCCTTGCTGAGCACGTCGCTCGCGTCGGAGCCAATCCTATGGATCCTTGTCCTCCGGCGGCGCGACGTCGGGCACGACCCACTTGCCGTACAGGCTCAAGACTTTGAATTTGAGCTTTGGCGCGACCTCGACTTGGAAGGGGAGGTAGGGTCGATGTTCGCCATCTATGCTTACGAGGCCACCTTTCTTGAGGCGTTTGTCTCCCGGCTGGAAGTGAGGCGTCACACGATAGGCTTCCACTTTGAAGTATGCGAGTGCCCGATCGTACACAACGACTCCACGCTCGGCGCCGTTGATGGCGCGGAGCTTTCCGCTGCGTCCACCGCCGTGCAGCATTAGGGCCATATCGATGCATCCATCACCAGGCAAGGCAAAGGGAAATTGGAGCAGGTCGCGAGCGACGTAAGGGATCTTGCCGGCGTACAGGGCCGAAATGGTCGACTTGATGCGGTACCAGCCTGGACCCGGACCAGCTGCTTGAGACGCGTTCTCAGAAGGGTTTGTATCATTTGCCTGTCGCGATGGCCACGACGGATCAATGATCTCCAAGGCAGGAGGTTCCTCTCCCTCGACTGGAAGCAAATCAGTCACGGCTCCATGTTGAAGCGATGCATGATCACCGTCATCTGGACCCTGTGGGACGTCAGGAGCCGTGACCTTTCCATCGACATCATCCGCCCTCTGATTCGTTTGCAAGACCTTCTTCCGCATCTCAGCCTTGTTCATCGTCCCCCTCTCGCCCAGCTTGACATCAAGGTCCACTTCGCAGACCTTGTTGGCAAGAACGCCGCCAATGTAGCCAATGACGAACCTGGCGTCGCCCAATGCCCTCATGTCCTCGGTGCCCAAGTCCACATCGGCCATGAGACCGATGGCCTGGGACAAGAAACTGTAGTGGAGGGAGTAGGGCTTCGCAGGCGCAGTCGTCAGCTCCTGAGGGTCGGCGTCTGCAGGCTCTAGTGTTGCCACCGCCGACGAGGGCGAGGATGCTGTTGTAGATGTTGACGAGGAGGACGGTACGCCATTCATACTCCTCCTCTTTGACCTTGATGCTGCTGTGGTACTCCTCTTGGGTTTTGCTATGGCCGGCTGCGTCACGGAGCAGACGTCAATGGGCAAGGGTGTGCCTTTGATGGCATTCAACGAGGCCAAAGCGAGATTGAAGCCCTGAGCGACGCCGAGCAGATTCAGAGCGACTGCATTTCCACTGCCGGCCGGAATGGGAGCGACCGGCATTGCCAGTGCTGTCTGCGCATCGTTCCGAACGGCGAAACCGTTGAGCACCTCGTGAAGCATGCCGTCACCGCTAACGCATACCACCGCATCGTACTGATCCAGTGCCAGATCCCTCGCCAACTCCAGGCCATGGTTGATGTGTGTGGTAATCGTGACGTCGAGCTTGCACCCTGCGGCTTCGAGAACTGGTCTGATGCGGTTCGTAAAGAGGGGTAGAGCCTTTCCAGGCCCTCCAACGGGGTTGACAAGCACCTTCAGCCTACGATGAGGTGACGAGTGCGGGTATGCCAGACGCATCAACTTTGCGGCCCATTGCGAAGCAAATGAAGGATCTACAGCTTCACCACCTCCATTGATGGTACCAGCGGCAAGTGCTGGGGACTCGATCCTGGCCTCAATCTTGATGAGGCGGAGATTGGTGCAGGGGCCCTCAAGTTGGGCTTGAAGCTTATTCGGCGATGATCCTGAGGTGTCGCGTGCAGCAGCTTCTTCTTCTTCAACGAGGCTCTTCTGAAGCTCGAGGATCTGCTGCGCCCTGCTCTTTGACTTCTTGAAGGGCAGCAGTGGTGTGGCGCCGGTGCTGGTCAGAGGTGGGGAAAGCAAGCGCACTAGAAGCGACCCGCCGTCCGAATCTGGAATGAAGGAGGCGTGCAGGACCAGCTGGTGGGGGACGAGGAGGTAGGCGCGAGCTGGCTCTGATTGGCGGCGTCAGAACGGCTGAGCAAGCTGTTGTCTATTGGCTCATCTCACCTTTACTGATGCGGCCACCAGCCGATGATTGCCGATTGAGCCAGAAGAGGTCATCGTCGAAGGATAGCCTAGCGGGCTTGCCTTCGATGGTCACTTCGATGCTTTCCACAGGCGAAATTCGTGCTGGATCCTTTCCATCATCTCTTCCTGCAGTCGTTTGCGCCCCATTGCTTTCCTCACCCATCTCTCCTTGCGCGGCGCACGACCTTGTCGAGGGGGTGTGCGAAGTCTTGGCTTCTCCTAATCCAAGCCTTCCAAAAAGATGGCCTGAGCAGTTGAAATTTCTCCACGTGGCCTCATACAATCGAGGCTCAGGAGGCCACCTCGACTTCAAGACTGGCTTCCCCTCGTCTTGTCGCTCGCCTGCTTGAATCCTCGCCCAAGATGGAGATGATCAGCTTTAACATGGCGCACGGCTTTGCCGAGGGCGTCGTTCGAGGCTACAGGGCGTCGCTGCTAACCAGTCACCAATACGCGAGCCTGACGCAGTGCGAGACGCTCGACGACCTGCGCATGCAGCTCAGCGCGACCGACTATGGCAACTTTCTCGCAAACGAGCAGCCTCCGCTGAGCACGGCCGTCATTGCCGAGCGAGCCACGGGCAAGATGGTGGCCGAGTTCGACTACCTCCGGTCGAACGCGACAGGCGACCTCGCCAAGTTTCTCGACTACCTCACGTATTCGTACATGATCGACAATGTCATCCTCTTGATCACCGGCACCCTGCATGAGAGAGATACCCACGAACTGCTCCAGCGCTGCCACCCCCTGGGCGTATTCGACACGATGCCTGCTCTGTGCGTCGCCACGACGGTGGAAGAGCTGTTCCACTCTGTCCTCGTCGAGACTCCGCTGGCGCCTTACTTCCGCGAATGCCTCTCTGCGTCGGACCTCGACGATCTCAACATTGAAATCATCCGAAACACGCTGTACAAGGCCTATCTGGAAGACTTTGCCGCCTTCTGCCAGTCGCTTGGCGGGTCGACGGCTGAGAGCATGACGAAGCTCCTCTCGTTCGAGGCCGATCGGCGCGTGCTCAACATTACCCTCAACTCCTTTGGTACCTCGCTGTCAAAGGAGGAGCGTGCCCGCCTGTTCCCCACCATCGGCAGGCTCTTCCCGGCTGGCAACAATATCCTGGCCAAGGCAGACGATGTGGACCAGGTCAGGGCCGTGTGCGAGTCGGTGCCAGAGTACCGAGGCTTCTTTGCAGGCGACGGCGGCAGTGGAGGGGACGGTGACGGGGCGGCAGAGGGGCTAGAGGACAAGATGTTCAAGGAAGAGACAAGGCGTGAGTGTCTGCCTCGACCAGGCTGTTGCTGCTTATAGTGCTACAGGAAGATATTCTTCATGCTGACTAGACCTCTTCGATCCAGTGAACCGGGTGGAGACAATCACGCAGTTCCAGTTTGGCATCTTCTACTCGTGGCTCAAGCTCAAGGAGCAGGAGATCAGGTCCATCACCTGGATCGCAGAGTGCATCGCTCAAGGTGTTCGAGACCGGATCAGTGACTTTGTCAACGTGTGATTTGATGGTCACTCTCTTATGAAATGAACGATGTGTATTGTGCAATGTCTACTTGTGCCCGCTTGCTCTCATCCTCTTTTTCTTCTCGGCCTTTGGCATCTTGTGCTTCCGCCTCTCTCTCGCAGCCTCCTTGACCTCGCGTTTTCTCTCACGCTTGGCATCGCGATCCTCGTGCTTGTGGCCCTTGGGCGTCTTCTTCTTCTTCGCTCCCCCTTCTCCCTCGTCTTCCTCCCCATCTCCATCCTCGTCCTCGTCTTCGTCGTCATCTTCCTCCTCGCTGCTAGAGTCGCTACCAGAGCCTTCTTGCTGCTGCTCATCCTCGACGCCCAAAACGTTGCCGTAGATGAGGTCCTTGGCTCCGCCCTGCTTGACAACGTCAATGTCTCGCTCGGGGTCAAAGACTTCATTGAGGCTCTGGGGGATGTAGGCCTGCCGAAAGACGGCTTCGTCTCCCTTTGCCCTGGCCGATGCAGCCCTACTTTCTGCGTCTTGATCCCTTCCATGCTCGCTAATTGAGCTATTCGACCTCTGGACGTCTTCCTCGGCGTTCTCTCGCTCCTCTTGGAGCTCCATTATGCGCTTGAGATCGGCCATGAGCTCCACTTCGCTCTCGCCCTTTGCTCTTGTTATTCTTTCAATCTTGGCAAACGGCCCACTGGCCACAGCGAGAGCCGTCGCGATCGACTCGTCGTCCTCGACAAACTCATTCTGCGGTTGCTCTTCTTCCGCGGCTTGGGTATTTGCAGACGGTCGCCTCGCTCCTCCATCGTCGAGAGGCTCCTGTGCAACGGTGAGGCCCATCTGCTCGGCCTCGTCCACCTGGTCCAGGCCGACCTGGCCGCCCTTTCTCTGCCTCTGCTGGGCAGCAGCCCCAGCGACCGGCCGCAGGATCCACTCGAATGTCTTTCTGAGGCCCAGCGTCCTAACGCCGCCCCGCTTACGAAAGTAATCGTCGACGTGCTCGATGTCCGCTCGCAGAAAGTCGAATGCCCTCGGGTGATCATGTTCGACGGACTGCGAGACATCGATGATGAAGAGGTGGGAGCGGTGGTAGAGGACGTTGTATTCGCTCAGGTCGGCATGCACCAGCCTGCACTCTTGGAACATGGTCCGCATCGAGGCCACCAGCTCTCGGTACAGGTCCTCCCACGTCGATGGGCCCCGAGCATCGATCTGTTCTTCCGCGTCCTTGAGTCTCGGGCTGGCCCAGCTGCCCTGGCTCGACTCGCCGTTCTCGCCCTCATCTCGCTTTGTCTCCAGCAGCTCCATGACGAGGACGTGGTCCCTCAGCTCGATGGGCCTCGGTGCTCTTATGCCAGCACTGACGAGTCTCTTGAGATTTCTCGCCTCCTTTTCCGCCCACAGCTTGACCATCTTGCGAGGATTGTGCTTTGCGTAGCCGTGTCTGAAGCGAAACTCGCCAGAAATGTACCGGTCGCGATCCTTGAAGACGAGAATCGTCGTCTTGTAGATCTTCAAGGCCAGCGCACCTCCGTCGGGGTAGTCTTGCGGTCGTACCTCGTCGTTTCGAAGTGCCTCACTCGAGGATACATTGCCTACAGGGTACGTTGAAGCGTGGTACACATTTGCCTCTTTGCCCGTGCTGATGACGCCGTTGACTTGCTTGAGCAGGCCGCGCATCAGCATCTTGAAGAGGATGTTGAGCGTTCGCGGGTCCAGGACCTGTTGCACTGTGGCTCGATCTGACTTGTCGCGGACACGCTTCTCCGAGTTGCCAGAGATGCCCTTGCGGTGCACATTGCCAGAGACGGCCCCTCCCGCAGAGGCAGATGGATCGTATGCGTCGCTGATTCTCAGCCGGGATGTGAGGTGGCTGAGCCTGTCGGACCCTTCCTCGTTCTCCTTGATCGTTGGTGTCGTTGATGAAGAGCCTTGGGAGTCCTTTGATGGTGCAGCTTTGCGAACTGCTCGAGGTCGGTTCATGGCCGGTAGGGGAGTGGTAGGCGCCTTGTGGCTCCCGCCTGCCTGCTGCTGTCCGCCGACCGAGGCAAGCTGCCGAGACCGATTGAGCTTCTTCGTAAAGTCGCCCCTCGCTAGATCCCAGTCTGCATCCTCTACCCTTCCCATGCCCTCCAACTCTTCCTCCTCCTCCCCATCTTCCGCTTCCTCCCCTTCCTCATTGTCATACTCCTCCTCATCCTCCTCCTCGTCTTCCTCCTCTTCTTGGCCTCCGCCTTTGTCGAGCCATGCTTTGATCTTCGACGAGTCGATCGGCTCCATCATCTCGCCCGCTGCCTCCCCATACTCAGAGCCCGACTCGGCATCCTCAAATTGATCCTCCTTCGAAGACGCCGTCGACATTTGCAGTGATGCTGGTCCACTTCAAGAAGTCCTGTTGCCCTCCACGGCTCACCAACAAAAAAAAATCAAAGCTTTCTTCTTGGAATTGGCTTTGGCCCAAGGACAAAAAAAATTGAGTTGGATTATGTCAGCCTGACATGGGTAAGTGAGGGCTGAAAGGTCGGACGCGACTTTTATGGGACCCAAGACAAACAACAACACCGCTTTTTTTGTAGATTTGGTTATCGGGCGGGGCGCAGAAGCATCGAGAGGCAATGCCGCTTGTCGTCAAGCTCAAGAATCCAAATCATGGAAAGGCGGCGGCAGATGAGGAGCCGGTCTTTGGTCAGGGAACAGGCGAGGCGAGCGGACAAGTGACGGGGCAAGAGCCGAGTCAGTCTCAAGGACACGAACACGAGGAGGCGGGGGTGCGCGTGAAGCAAGAGGATCACGTCTATGATGGAGACGCTGCTGAAGGGCTCTTGAACGGGCAGACGTCCTTCTCCAACCTACGTCTGAGCCAAGCAAGAAGCCCGTCCGACGACAGTGGCCTCGACGACCTCGCTTCAGCCTTTGCGCAATCGAGCATCCAGGATGCGGGACCAGGTGCCGGACAGCCTGCGCCCTCCACTCTGCCACCTCCGCTCGTCGATGTCTTGGTCGCTCCAGCTGTGCTTGGCCACAGATATGTACGAGGAAGGGACACGAGCTTCATCGTCGAGCGGCCAGAGCGGATACGGGGTGTCCTCCTCGGACTGTCCACCGTCTTGGCCCGGCTCGAGAGCGAAGCTGAGGGCGGCGGGCCAGCTCAGGACGATGCAGACATGGACCTTTCCGACCGGCTAGGAAGGCTCAATGTTGTCGAAGCAGGTAGCGCGAGGGGACAGGCCACCCTTCTGAAGCCATTTTCAGTGCTTTTGTCATCTCGCGCGCTCGATCTGTCCAACACGTCCAATGCTGCCCTGCGGTACATCCACGCACATCCAGACGAGATGCTCGGTGCGGAAGCACAGGGTGAGCCCTCACAATACGCGGCCAAAGAGGCAGCCAAGGCAGCTTCCGATGTCTTTGCCAACAGACAGAATCTGCCGACTTCCTATGCCGACTTTCTTCTCCGTTTGTGCGCCCAGGCGCCCTTCTCGGCACCCCCGCCCCGTCCGCCGCGGAAGCTGCGCTCGCCCAAGGTGCGAGAGTCGGCCGATTCTTCTTCCGATGAAGACGAGGGGTCCGCTAGGCTATCTGAAGTGCCCATCCACCTGCCTCAGGGCGATCTCTATCTCTGCGGGCCGAGACCAAAGCCAGCGGTAGTCAAGGAGGAGGAGGTGAAAGAGGCGTCGACTTACTTTGACAAGCAAGCACCGTCTACTCCTCAGCACCAGCAACCGCTAGCAGAACCCAAGACGCCAGAAGGGACGGCCAACAGGACTGCGCCATATCCTCAGAATCCGGACCCACAAACGCCACAGCCTCGCCCAGCAGCAGCCGTGCCTCAAAAGGGCTTGGACAATGACCAGCAAGGCTCTCACTGGACGGCACAGGGGACGAGAGGAGCCATCGAGGCGGCCCTCGGTGCCTGCTGCACCGCCGTGGATCGTGTCGTTGCAGCTGCTACCCTCCGTGATCCGTCCGAGGATGCTGCGGTGGAACGTATCGACGTAGACGATCTTTTAAAATCCCTTCGACCAGTCCCGCTAAACCACAACGTCGAACCTTCACCTGCGCCTGCCTCAGTGGCCCCACCTGCACGGCCACCATCAAAGCGCGCGTTTGTCCTCACGAGGCCTCCAGGCCACCACTGCTCGGCCACGCAGCCTTCTGGCTTCTGCTGGGTCAACAACGTCGCTGTTCTGGCCGCACATGCGTACGAGGCCCACGGTATCGACCGCATCGCAGTCCTGGACATCGATCTCCACCACGGGAACGGCACGCAGTCGCTTGCATGGCGAATCAATGCTGATTCGGTTCGCAAGGACGCCGAGCGCGAGGCCAAATTGGCTGCTAACAAGTCCACGATCCGAGGCCCTCGAAGATCTGCAGGTGTCAGCGTGGCAGAGCAAGAGATGGACGCGGGCAGAAGGGGGCTCAAGATGTTCTATGGCTCGCTTCACGACATCGAAAGCTTCCCTTGCGAGGACGGCGACGAGGGGCTGGTCAAGGACGCAAGCACCTGCATCATGGGTGCCCACGGGCAGTGGATCTGGAACAGTGAGTGTCTCTCTGCCTCTTGATCGATTCTCGTGATGGGTGGGTGTGAAAGCACTCCACGACTTTCAAGTAAAAGGTCTGAGGGACTTGACGAAAGTCCTCTTGATCTCCTTCAAACCCTCTTGGAGGGTGACCTCACTGAAGATTGTTGAAAAGCTGCATCCCTCTGAGTCCCATCCTTTGGACTGGAACTGACTCGCTGCCATCGTTGCAGTTCATCTCGATTCACACTCTTCGCCGTCCGAATTCGCCGAGCTGTACGCCAACAAGTACCGCGCACTGCTCTCGCGTGCCGACGAATTCTTCGCTCGGACCGAGTCCACGCCTTCCAAATCGCTCGTTGTCCTCTCGACGGGCTTTGATGCATGCCAGCACGAGCTGCCTGGCATGCAGCGGCACGGCAAGTACGTGCCAGTCAGTTTCTACGAGACTTTCACGCGGGATGTCGTCTGGCGCCTGGCCGAGACGAGGACAGGGGGCAAAGTCGTGAGCGTGCTGGAAGGAGGCTACAGCGAGCGGGCACTCGTGAGCGCCACGATTGGGCACCTCGTCGGACTCTCATCTTCCTCGCTTGCAGGAGAAGAAGGCAGCAAAGAAGAACAAGGGCCGCCGCTCGCGACGAGAGAGGAGTGGTACGGCCTGCCGGCGCTCCTTGCGCTCGAAAAGGCCGTCTCGAAGCAGCTCGGTGGCGCGCATGGGCTAGCCGGCAGCAGCAGCAGCAGCAGCAGCAGCAGCAGTGCCTCTGCGCACGCCACGCCCCTGGCGAAGCGCAAGGGCTTTCCCGAGAGCAGCGCGGGCGACTGGCTCGGCGCGACGATGGAGGCCTTCTGGAGGATGTGGGAGGCGTGCGGCCACGAACGCCGGACTGCCGCGCAGGCGAACAAAGAACGCAAGGCCGGCCTGCTCAAGCCCACCGTACCCGTCTCGCCCTGGACGCCGAGGGAGCTGAGGTCGGCGAGGGGCACAAATGCTTCAGGGTGATGATGAGCGTAAATTCCTTTCTCTCGGCGTGTACCACTAGGAGTCGTACTATGTGTGTTGATACCCTGGACAGAAGTAGATAGATTGGAGACTGTATGCACTATTGCGATTGATCCGCCCGCGCGCGAAAGAGAGAAGAGGAGCTAGAATGGTAGTTGCTGCTATTGATCCGTCACTAAAAATCAGAGGAAAATGGAACATGGAGGGAGAAGAGAAAGGGGGAATGAGGGGTTAGAAGATGGTAACAAAAAGGAATTGATACAAAGCCAGACGTATTAAGCGCAAGGAGAAAGGAGAGAAGAAGAGAGGCTAGATGACTGGGCCATCACCGCTTGAGGCCCTCGCGGATCAGAGCACTCCTCGTGGCGCTCTTCAGAAAGTCCAACCGTGCGCTGTACTTTGCAGCGACATCCTGCTTCCGCTTCGCGATCTCGTCAAGGTCCGTCTTGAGGCTGAGGATGAGCCTCTGTGCCGTCTCTTCGTCTGTGTTACCGCTTGAGCGTGCTTCGTCTAGTGGCGCCTCTATGACTGCACCGCTGAAGTAGCTCCCGGCCGCCCTGCCTCCTCGGACCGGTGCGTTGGGCGACGAAGGTGGAGACAGAGAAGTGAGCGAGGTCCTGCTGCGGTTGTTTGGCGAAGAGGACGCCGGCGAGCCAGGTCCACGGTACGACGAAGGGGGGCTCAAGAGGGCAGCTCCATTGAGACTGCTAGCAGAGCCAGAAGCAGCCCCCGTGGAGGAGTTGAAAGGCTGCAAAAGAGGGCCGCTTCTTGTCTTTCGGATGTTCGATTTGCCCGTCTGACTGCTTCTCTTGCCATCCTTGGTCGTTTGAGTCCCCGCTGGCTCGCTCTCGCCTCCGCCCTCGACCAGGACAAAGTTGCCATCGGGATCCTCAATGTCGTCCGGCATGGTCCCTCCATGGTTGAGAGCGCTCAGCGCCCAGGCCTTCTTCAGCTGTTGATAGTCGAGCGTGGAATATCTGCCCATGGACATCTGCTCCATGGCACTGAAGCTCTCGAGCAGCCGAGCGTATTCCGCTTCGACGACGGCGCGCTCCGCCTTGATCTCTGAAGAGCTCTTGTCCGCATAGTCGACGCCGAGGAGCGATGTGCCATTCGAGATCGACAGACCCATGGCACTCATCCGGGCCACAGATGCATTGGAGTCATCGCCCACGCCCAGGCTCGAAGAAGGATCAACGAGAATCTGGCTGGCTGCGCCGCGAAGGCTCCTGGTGCTTCTGGCAGTTCGATAGGCTTCTTCGAGCTCCTCTGCTCGCTCCTTTTTCCGCCTCGAGCCACCCCTACGGAGGTTAGATAGTGACCGTGTCGTAGAGCTTGGCGTGCCTCCGTGGCCGCCCGAGGTACCGCTGTACTGCGAGTGGACGCGGCTGCTGTTGGATGCAAAGAGGGAGCCAGAGTCATTGGTGAGTCGCCGCCCACCGAGCGTAGGATTGGAAGCGTGCTGTCGGACGCTCGCAGTCGACGAAGACGAGGGGTCCAGGTGTTGGTGCTGGTCTGTAGAAGCCCTCTTCTCGCTCCCTTTACCGCTGAGCAGCGATGCTCGTCGGAGAAGACTGAGAACACTCGGCGTCTGCGATAGTGTCGACGCTCGCTCTCTACTGTAAGGCTGCTGCTGCTGCTGCTGCTGCTGCTTTTGTTGTTGTTGTTGCTGCTGCTGCTCCAGCACCGAGGCCAGGGGCTCTGTATCTCGTCTGCGAGGAATTGTCGCATCGGGATCAGCGCTCACGACTCCCAGACCTCGGATGGCACCCTCCTGCGGCAGCTCCATCGCACCGTTCTTCATCAGGCGATCGAATGCCCCCTGTCGAAGCAGACGGTACTCCTCCTCGCCCAACAAGCCTTCGTCATGGGCGACGGCGAGATCGTTGAGCTCGCTGGCAAGTGCGGCAGAGGCGCTCACAGGTGGTGCAGTGTTTGCAACGCCGACCTGGTTCGACTGGCTCCCCTTGCTGCGGCCCGCCTTTTCGCCCACCACATCGCCATTGTAGGCAGCATCAGCGCTGGACGTAGGTGAGAAAAAGCTGTCCCTGGACCGCGCAATACTCCCAAGCTTATTCCTGGCGTTCTTCAGTGCATTCGGGGTGCGGCTCATCGTCGATGCCTTTGACGATGTCGCCAGCTTCTGACTCCGAAGCCTTTGAGTGTCACTGGCGTCGAGCCCTGGCGACGAGTGTGGCCTTGGCATTGTCGAAAAGGTCGGCGTGGCAGTTCCAACTCTCGGTGTGGTATTCCCTGCTCGAGGCGTCATGAGAATCGATGGAAGCTCGCCATGGCCAGATGAGGGCAAGTCCGGACGTGGTGTCGTCTGCTGATCGGCTTCTGCCTCGTCTCTAGGTGACGCGGTTGTCACTGCGCCCTTTGCTATTGTCGTTGTGCCTGAGCTAGACTCCTGCCTTGCGCCGCTCGTCTGCGGTTCGCCTGGGCGTTGGGTCTGCGCGACCGGAGCCGCGGGGGCAGTCTTCCTCTGTACCTTGGACGACCCCGCTGCATTCATGACGTACAGAGGCGCCTCGTCACCCGGAGTGGAGACCAGTCCAGATGGGCTTGCAGCAATCTTCTTCACTGTACCTGCAGGGAGATCAGGGAGTTCTTTGGCAGGCGCTGATGATGTTTGTCTCTAGCTCAGTCTTTGGACGTCCTGTCTCGAGAAGAGAGTCTATGAGCCTACTCACAAAGCTTTGCTCGGCTGCCCGAGGATGCAGGGCCATTCCACGCATCACCCAAGCGAGACGCCGCCGGCAAGTCGTGCGAGGCCGCTGGCGGCGATGTCAACGAGGGCTCGGATGTCTTGCTTGTCTGCGCGCCAGACGCCCTCCTCCAGGAGTCGTATCTGTTCTTGACCTTTTGCTTTGCCGACTCGGACGGACCATGGCTTGAGGCATGTGCATTGCCATCACGAATGCTTTCGCCACCGACAGTGGCGCTGCCGCTGCCGCTGCCGCTGCCTTTGCCTGTCGGTTGCACTTGGCTAATTGGTGCGTCGCCTACGCCGGCGGCTGCCGTGGCGCTGAAGCCCGTCTGCGCGGTATCGCTCAGCCTGCCCCTGGATGCCTTGAGCCCTCGGCCAACGGTGCCAGCAATCGAAGATCTAGGCCCGGCCTTGCCGTTCGACCGAGCGGCCTCCTGCGCCCCTCCCGCGCCCTGGCTAGTCGGATAGCTCACATCCTGAGGTTCGTAGTACGAGCTGGGCACGCCGTTGCGCGTCGATCCAACGTTGTTCTTGTTGTTGTTGTTGCTACTGCTGCTGCTGCTGCTGATGCTGCTGGCGCCCATCCCAAAGAAGGAGGCACCCGGCGTCGACGTCGTTCGCCTCCGCTGCTCGCCGCGAGCGTGGGCTGCCTTGCCATTGGCGGCCGGCGGTTTCGAAGCGGCAGCTGGCTCGTCAGCACCGGCGGCGGGCGCAGCGGTGCGCCGCCCAAAGAGCGCCCTCATGATGGTAGTCGTGCTCCTGCTACTGCACGCAGCACATCTACCGGACCCACTGACTATCTCGAGGCGCGACTAGCACGCATGGGTCTGTGTTCTTGTCGTTTCTTCCCACTGGCGATGGCGATTAGCGAACCGATACAACTACTCGCCCTTTCTCCTTCACGCCCACGCTCGCTCGCTGTCTCAATCACTACTTTTCGCTTTTGGATTGTGCCGACGCGCCAGACTTTGGCCGTCCGCTCCTCCTTTTTTCCCCCACGAGACGAATATGACGTACCCGACGCCGGCGCACTCTCGAGAGTCGATTTCCAGTCCCCGATGTTCCTGATCCAGCCCGGCCGAGGGAGGAGAAAGGGGGATAAGAAAAGGACGCGCTTGCTCGCTCCAGCGACGACGACGACGATGACGACGACGGCGGCGACGGACGATGGTGCGAACCAGATCCAACGTCGAATGGGGTCTGAGCGCTAGAGGATCCGAGAAGATGGGGGCCCGTTGCAACTGCTTGTCACGCACTCAAAAAGACACAGGCGCTAGCAGAGCCCTGTTTGCTGTTCGACATTAAGACTACTAAACTACTACGCTTTTAGAGTTTCCGATCGAAATTCAAGGTCCGCCCCCTTGCCTTTTTGCTAAGTAGTAATCCCCCCGTGTCCTATTGTTCCCACGTGGCTGCGAAGCCAGGCACTTTTTTTTTTTGGCCTTGGTGCCTCGACTACCTGCAGCTCAATTCTTCTCCACCAGAGTGACAGGACGGCCCATCGAGCGCCTTTCAATTGCAAGAAAGGGAGAGAGAGGGAGAGAGGGAACAATAGAATCGCCTCGCAATGGCATCTGGTGTGCAAGTCGACTTCAGCGCGCTCCTGGCTGAGCTCGAGGCAGACAGGGCGCTGTCAGAGGTGAGCATGAGGGAAGCTAGGGAAGAAGAGAGCGGAGGCTGAACAGCAGCGAGGTTGCCCCATTCGTTCGTTCGCTCGCTCGCTCGAGTAGAAGATCCGCGAGCAGGCAAAGGAGCTCGACAAGACCTACCGTTCCCTAGCCTCGGTCCTCAACCGGGTCCACTCGACGCCGGCGAACCAAGGTGGGCCTCCCACGCCGTTTCCTTCTGATGAATGCGCAAGTCTGGCTGACCAAGCACGCTACAGTGCGGACCAACATTGTCGATCAGACGGTGCCGCCGTTCGAACAGGCCAGGCATGACCTTCGTCTCCTCGTCGAGCTTGTCCCCGACAACCAGTTCTGGAAGGTCAGTGTCCCGTGTCGACCCCTGTCTCAAATTGCACTTCTGACACGACCGCATTCACAGTGGAACGATGCGTGGTCGATGACGCTGCAGCGCGCCTCGTACGCCGTCGCGCTGACCTTTTATCTCGGCACCGGCCGGCTGATCACCAAGGACCAGACGGCGCGCATCCTCGCCCTCGACGCGGCGTCGCCCGCCGCCACGCACGGCCGGCTGCTCTTCACCACCGAAGAGTACCTTCACTCGCTCGTGAGCATGATCAACGACCTCTCGCGCCTGGCCGTCAACAGCGTCACGCTGGGCGACTTCGCGACGCCCCTCCGCCTCAGCGCCTTTGTCAAGGACCTCCACGCTGGGTTCCAGCTGCTGAATCTGAAAAACGACAGCCTGCGCAAGCGCTTCGACAGCATCAAGTACGACGTCAAGAAGATCGAGGAGGTCGTCTACGACATTTCTCTCCGTGGTCTCGTCAAGCCGCAGGAGAGCAACGAGATGAGCGGCCTGGGCCTCGAGGCGGACGAGGCACAGACGATAGCCGTCCTCGACTTGCTCGCAGGGACAAGAGCAGCGTGAACGCTTAGACACACCTACCACACTTTGTATCAACAAATTTAGGGCCTTTGCACGATAGCAACTCCAGCACCAGCACCATCACAATCTTCAGAAGTGGCCCATATCACCCATGAATGAATAATGAATTGGACATTAGGGCACAAGATTGTGACGACGCGCGGGCGTGTGTGTGTATGTATGCGCCTCTTCCTCCTCCTCCTTACTCTCCCAGCTTTCTGCCTTGGCCCCAGTCGTGGCCCCTGTCGGCCTGGCCATCCTTGCCCTCTCCCTCTTGATTTTCGTTGTTGGGTGCTGCGCCCCGCCGCCTGATCTCCGCCACTCGGCCGCCCGAGCCGCTGGCCGTCTCCTGCTGCTCCTCGTCCTTGTCTTCGCCGCTGCCCTTTGCTGCCTCCTTTCCAAAGCTGAACTTTCGGCTGGACGGCGTCGTGCTCGTAAATGGCCGTGCGCTCGTCCGGCTCTGCTCCTGCTCGCCCAGGACACTCCCCGCGGCGGCTGCACTAGTGGCGCCGCTATTGGTGCGTGCGGCGCGGGCGCGCGCTTCTGGCGAGTCAGATGCCTGCTGCGCGGCCCTGCTCGCGGCGGCATTGCGTCCCGCGATGCTCTGCTCCCGCTGGCTCCTCAGTCGCGCCTCGGCAGCGGCCAGCATCGCCTCGCGGTCGGGTCCGGAGGCCCGAGCGCCCGGTCTGGAAGCCGACGCAGACGAGGAGGCCCCACGCAGAAACGACGGGATCCAGCTCCCTCCTCCTCCGGCGGACCTTGACGAGTTGAGCGCTCGACCTTGCTGCTGCTGCTGCTGTGCGGGGGTGCGTGCGCTAGAGTCGCCAAAGGAGCGACCAGCGGGCGCAAAGGCGGTGCCGCCCCAGCCCGTCGAGCGGACACTACCACCCTGCTGCGGCTGCTGGTGTGCCGTGGCAGGGTCAAGGCTGTCTGGGAGCAGCCTCTGCAGAAAGGCTGGCGCGCCCGGCAACCATCGTGGGCCACGACCGCCGTCGGTGGCGGGCAGGATGGTGGCGAGGTAGTAGTAGATGTGGGCCGAGAGGAGGCCCGTCGCGCTCTGCACCGCCAGGCCCGGTCCACCGCGGACAAGGTCGAGGGCGAGGTAGGCGTAGGGGAGGTAGGGCGCGGGGCAGTTGATTAGCCCAAAGATGCTCACCACCGCATGCGGGTTCGAGCGCGCCCAGAGGTAGGTGAGCGCGTTGAGCATGGGCGAAAAGAGGACGGGGGACCCCAGTGGGTAGTTTGTCGCCAGAATCAGCGAGCCGATGAGCATGAGCGCCCAGGCATACTCGGACGTGCGTCGGTAGAAGGTGTTGAGCTCGAGGTCAGTGCTGTTACGGAACAGCAGAAAGGTGTCAAAGAGGAGTGGCAGACCCTTGCCGCCGAAGAAAAAGGCAGTGATGGGCCGCCAGAGCTGCCATCTCCGGATCACGGCAGGCCACCAGAGCAGGATGTGATACGGATTCGAGAGCTGGAGAAGGACGGGGAGCGTGACGAGAAGCGTGCTCCCGAGCAGCGTCCGCGTCACGGGCGGGATCTTGAGCAGCTCGTCCATGCTAACAAATCCCAACGACGGGTGCCTCTGTGCCTTTCTCTAAAGGAGAGGTGAAGAAGAGCTGGTGAGACGTGGAGCCTTAAAATTGAGCCACCAGGCACAGACCACCCGCTGGAGCATGGGATCCGCTCACGTGGCTTGACGGTGAAGCGCGGTGCCCCGGATCTGCCGGCTTTGTCCCTGAGCAGACTGCATCACCACTAATCTTCGCGTCTGGAATCACGTCAGCTGCGCATCAGCCCGCCATGAATGGTTGTGGTGTGTAACGCTCAGGCATGCTCTCCAGTTCCCTCTTCGCGCCATCACTGTCGATCAGCCCGTCAGTTACCACGGGCCACGTACAGGCCGGGGAAAGTGGCTCTCCACAGTGCAAACGTCACTCTTCCAACCTCTAATGAAATAATACCCTGCTTAGCGCCGGAGGGTCTAAGGACCCATGAAAGATAAGACTGCTTTATCACACTCTCCCCAGCCTGGCTACTGCTGCGCTGCCTCTCTATATTTTTTTCTCCTTTCAATTTCTTCCTGCAAGAAAAGGGAAAAAAAGGCACCGACGGCTCTCGACTGACGGAGGACAAAGGCCGAGACCTCGTCGTTCCCCGCTTCTCATCATCTCCCACCATCTGCTTGTCCCTCTCTCTTCGCTGTACCGAAGCAGAATACAGAGAAAAGAAAAAAAAAATGGCAGCGACTCGACAGATGATGGGCTCTGCGCGGATGCTTCGCGCTGCTCGCCCTTCGCTCTACGCGACGCCCGCGTACGTGTCTTCGTCCGCCTCGGCATCCGCCTCTTGCTCGGTTCAGCAGCATCGCAGCGGCCGCGCTGCAGGGTGCAGCAGCAACAGCAGCAGCAGCAGCAGCTTCTCCACGAGCGCGCGGGCCAGCGGGCCCTGGTCTTACTCTGGCAAGTCGAACAAGCCGCTTCATCGTTATCTTGTCATCGCAGAGGACTACCCCGATCCGGGTGCGCTCGCACGACGGCTCGAGGTGCGCGAGAGGCACCTCGAGGGAGCTGCCGAAGGCATCGAGTCTGGACTGATCGGTGAGGTTCATTCCTGCAACTTTCTTGTTGAACCAATTGCTCAGACTCGGTACCCTTGCAGAGCTTGGCGGGGGGTTCCTCAAGCGCGACTTTGATCAAGTCGACGAAGAAGTCGGCCCGGCTTCAAGCATGATTGGCAGCCTCATGGTTGTCCTCGGCGAGGTGAGCTTATTGCCCCTTCTTATTGCCCCATCTTTCACGGTGCATTGCTGACAATGCGCCTCTCCCTAGTCGATTGAAGACGTGCGATCGCGTGTGATGCAGGACGAGTACGTGCAGGCAGGCGTCTGGGATCCCTCGAGGCTGCGCATCGTGCCCTTCCTCCGCGCCGTCGTGGCCTCCTCGCACGAGTCGAAGGCCGCGGGCCACCCAGCCGTGGGCAGGCTCGCGCCCATCTCGCGGCGGTCGCCCAAGGGCGAGAGCAAGATCAAGCGCTCCCTCATGGCGCGCGAGGAAGTCTACGTCTCCGACCCTCGCGCAAGCGGCCTCGCGATCCGCCAGGACGACCGCCAGTCTGCGGCCCGCACCAAGGCCAGCCTGGGCGAGCTCCGGTCGCAGCAGGACAAAAAGACGGGAAAGGGCATCACTCTCGGCTCGCTGAGAGAGGGCGCCGACAAGACACCGCCCGTGTACTGAGCTGCGCATCTACGCCGACTAGATCCTTTCCTGACTCGTGCCCTGTGACTTGATACACCACTCTTTTCTGTATATCCCCCACTTCGGCCGACCGACCACCCCCCAAAAAAAGGAAGTTGAGGCTTCTACTGCAGTCCCCTCTGAGGAAATATAAAGGATTCCTTATTTCTGCAGCGGCGGAGTATTTAGTGGCAGGATTAGCGGAGGGATTACGGTGGATGTTGAGGACAACAACAGGGACAGGAGAGGGCTCGAGTGAAAGATGGCGATGGACGTGGGTTAGGGAGCTCTACATCTAGTAGACAAAGGGGATGAAACTGTTGAAAAGAGAAAACAAGGAGAGTCAGCTCGATGCTTTGCACACTGAACGACAAAATGACGCACCGGTAAGGGACAATCTTGCAGTACTTGACCCAGTCTTCCTTGTACTTGCGCTCGCAGCGCTCAAAGTCGCGCCCGCAGCGGTGCGTCAGGACGGCGAGGAAGAAGAGGCAGTAAAAGTACGGGATGACCGAGTTCATGCCCGCGCAGGCGCCCCAGAGGAACGACTGGGTCCAGTCGGCCGTGTAGTTTGGCTTGCGGAGGTACTGCCACCAGCCGTCGATGAGGAGCGCGTTGCCGTGCTCCGTCTGCAGGTACCGTGGGTTCTTGAGTGTGGACCAGGGCCACTGCGGGAATGTGTAGCGGACCTTGAGGGTGCCCTGGAGCTGCATTCGGAAGCGCGATTTTTGTGCCATCGACGAGTCAAAGACCCAGTGGACAAAGATCAGGAGCGCATACATAAAGACATAGGTCGGCGTGCTGAACTTGTAGTAGTGGGGCGGGTGCGCGGCCATGTAGACGATGCTGTAGCAGTAGGTGAAGGGGACCCCGGCAAAGTTCCAGAAGATGACCATGAAGCCCCACTTCTCGTGGAACATGTCCTGTCGAGGGAAATTGTCGTCAGCACCACTAGCTTCCTCGATAGGCCACAATGCCATGTATGCATGTACGCACCCAGGTCTGAGGGATGCATTCCTCGCCCTTTGCGCAGGCATTGATGTAGAGACCCGTGGCCAGGACCATAAAGGCCATGTTGGCTGTCACATAGCCGTACACTTCGTACTGCTTGCATGCACCGCTGACGGAGATGAGGAAGAGGAGCACCCAGGGGATCCTGACCTCGGCCCACATCTTGAGGTCCACATTGCCGATCCGAGGGTTGAGAGCTGCACCCATGAAGAGATCGTAGGCAAAGTTGCCACTCATGCGGTGCTGAGTGCCCGTCAGAACGGCGTGGAAGTAGGTGGCGAAGCTGACGGCGAAACCGGCAATCATGGACACGGTCATGTATTCGCCAAAGTGCTCGATGATCGTCGTCAGCCGGTAGGCACCTGTCAGATGCAGGCCAGCGCAGACGATGAGGGTGGCGTAGAAAGACGACAGGGCGTTGCACTTGTACATCAGCGTTTTGTATCCGAGCGAAGGGACCGGGAGACCCTCCTGCCAGTACCCGGGCATGACGACAGCCAGAGCGAACTGGAAAACCATCAGACCGCCGTAGCCGGCAAAGGCGCGCTTTGTGGGGAAGGCGTCCTTGAGAATGACCAGCACGTCAGCAGGCTGCAGACCAGCACCGATGTCTCTCTTTGACCTACATCGTAGACATGCCGGCCCATTCGGTGCAGGAAGGGGACGATGTCGTCGAAGCTCTTGGGGATGACGAGCTGGCCATCGTAGAACCAAAGGCAAATCCAGAGATAGTACATCAGGACCGGGAAGAGCGTCATCATGGCCGTGACGCCAAGAGGACCGCCAAACTCGTATCTGATGTCGGCGCTTTTTAGCACAGAGCAATGACAAAGAGGAAATGCTTCCGCTCACTCGTAATGCTCATCGAGCTTCTTGTCCTGCTCGCGGCCCTTCTCGCTGATGATGATGCCAGGATTGTACTTCTGGAGAGCTGTCTCTTTTCCTCCGCCCACAATCTGGTCATCTCGCATGTCGACATGGCCATATCGGTGCTCGTAGTTTGTGTTGCGAGCCTTGATGAGGTTGGCGTGTGCCTCCTTTTGATCGGCAATGTCCTGCTCCGTCGCGTCGCTCTTGGTCGCCTCTGCAGCCGCCTGGCGCTGTCGAAGCTCTGCAGTGCGCTCACGGACATTTGCGAGGCCCGCGCCTCCGTTGCTTTCCACCATTCTCTACCACCGAAGAGAGCTCTGGACGTTAAAGTTCTAAGGCACAGCGAGAGGCAGGAAGAAATCGCTTCGAGTCGCGCGCGTCTGCGTTCTTTTTTTCCAGTTTCCAAAGGCAGCTAGCGTCCTCTCTTCGAATCTCTCAATCGCCATGCAGGCCTCTTGCCAGCAAGGTCCAGCACGGCATGAGTCCTCCGTTCCGTGACAGATCTCCTTGTTAAAGGAGCTTGGAAGGGGGGCCTTGAGCACGTCTGATTATAGCAAAGGACATATTGGCATAGGAAGAAGCCAAGTCCCGACCGAGGTATTGAACATAGAAGGTCCTGGGGAAGCTTGAGAGCCTTCCGCGGCACGTGGAGCGCACTGCCACCAATTCCAGACGACAGTTCGCGGCGAGACTCCCCGTGTTGACTTCGGGATCTCGTGACAGCTCGGATACGTGAATCTTTTCCTATGCCCCATCTTCCATTCACTCTGGACCTTTGCGCAACACGCTCGTTGCACATGCTGTAGGAAGAGATCCGAGGGGGACTGCACCATTAACGTAGTCACCGCCGTCGTTGCCGTCACGTCAACCGGGTGGTCTCGCAAGCAAGATTGTATTTAATGCCGAAATGAAGTTTTGGAATTCATGGGTTGGGTTTTTCTTTTTTGGTCTCTTTTTTTAAAAACCCTTTGAATTTCTGTCGCGGTGCCACGCTTGCCCGCGCGACGGTATCTCGCCCCTTTCACTAACACCTCCAGGCTGGATCGATCTCCTCTCGTCTGATCTGCCACCAACCCTCGGAACGACATCGCATTGCCACAATCCACCCGCACCGCATCGTATTTTCTTACTAAGGCTGCGCCCCCCGTCTGCCTTACTCTACGAACAACCTCCTCGCTTCCATTAGTTCAAAGCAGAGGACCTTGCACCCGCTACGAGGCTCGCTTGATCGATAGACCCCTTCTCTCTTTCCTCTCAACCTCTTCGAACGTTTCTTATCAGCATGGCCGACTGCCTGCGGAGGAAGCTCGTCATTGTTGGCGACGGAGCTTGTGGTAAGGTACGCACTGGCGGCACGCGCGTATTTGCCTCTGCGCAGCGGTATTGACCCATTCTCCTCTGCAACAGACCTGCCTGCTCATCGTCTTCAGCCGTGGCACCTTCCCTGAGGTGAGTAATGTCCAGGACAGCGGTGGCGATGGGCATGGGAGAGCTGATGACGTTTCGCGCAGGTGTACGTCCCCACCGTCTTTGAAAACTACGTGGCCGATGTCGAGGTCGATGGAAAGCACGTCGAACTGGCTCTTTGGGATACCGCGGGTCAAGAAGACTACGATCGCCTGCGACCCCTGTCATACCCTGACTCGCACGTCATCCTCATCTGCTTTGCCGTCGATTCGCCCGACTCGCTCGACAATGTCCAAGAAAAGGTGCGTAGCTAGCTCAAAGCGAAGCGACATCCTCACTTGCTCTTTTGCTCACCCACCTTGTCTTGACTCGAGTAGTGGATTTCCGAAGTGCTGCACTTCTGTCAGAACTTGCCCATCATCCTCGTTGGGTGCAAGAAGGACCTGCGTCGGGACCCAAAGATCATCGAGGAGCTGCGCAAGACGAGCCAGAGGCCAGTGAGCCCTGAGGAGGTGCGTAGTCGGTCCTTTCTTTCTTCTTCTTTTTCCTCTCCTTGGCTAGATCTCCTCTTGCTGACACTGTCACCTTCCCAGGGTATGGCTGTCGCTCAAAAGATTGGTGCCGCCCGTTACCTCGAGTGCTCGGCAAAGACTGGCGAGGGCGTCCGAGAGGTGTTCGAGCACGCGACAAGGGCGGCTCTCCTCAGCAAGCGAGGCGGACAGAAGAGGAACAAGTGCACGGTCCTCTAATCGTCACATTTTGTGCGTCAGCGACCCTTTCCACTGGAGAGAGGTGTGCTGGAAGTAGATCGATGACAATGACGAGGACGAGGATGAGGACAGGACAGGGCGTGGAAAACAGTTCTGGGAAGGGGTTGGGAAGAAGAGAGGGATACGGTCGTACAGAGCGACTGGCAAACACATTATCACGATGAACGTTCTCACGAAGCTCCTTTCATCTCTGAGCTCGTCGTTCGTTTTCGCTCTTTCCCCCCCCCCCCCCCTTTTCTGTTTTCCTCTTCTGCCTCTATATCTCTTCTCCGTCACGTAACGACTCCACTGCACGCTTTCATCCTTCTTTGCCTCTTACTACTGTCTACTTCTTCTTCTCTTTGTCTCTTCTCATTCCTCTCCTCTTACACATCTCTCAACAACTATCCTTCTTTCCTCAACGCTTCTTACTGAGCCTGGAATTCAAGAAAGTACCGATCTTAAGTGGCGCGAGGAAGAGGGCCCTTTTGGCTGAGATTGAAAATCATGCGACTAAATGGACTAATCCAAAACGGGGGGATGTGCCTTCACACGCATTGACGATTTGAGAGAGAGAGCCTTGCCTTTTTCTATCAGTTTAATCTCAGGGGAGCTTGCCGCGACCATTCTCCATCCACACCTCTTCCCTCTTTCACCTTGTCTCTCCTTTAGACTGACCCTTTGTCAGAAACAATTAGGCAGGGGGAAGTCTAGAGAGTGCCGGACATGATGGAGACGACAACACATAGAATGCGGCGGGTCGTCGATCGACGCGCCATCGCAAACGGGACAAAAGTGACACTCCAGAGGGCCTTTAATGGCGGGCAGCTCACCTACACTGCTCCGATCGACGTCGAGGGCCAGACAGTCAACGTTCAGGTCGACACTGGCAGCTCAGATTTGGTGCGTGTACATCGATTGCAGTGAGAGAAAGTAAGAGAAGTAGCTGACGAGGTCGGAACAGTGGCTCGCCTCTAAAGAGTGCAAGACGGACTCATGCAGAGGCAAGGAGGGAAACAAGGTCTACCTCTTTGACGACAGCAAGTCTGCCGAAACAGTGAGTTGCCTCTGTCAAGCCCATATGAGCATGTGAAGGTTGTCTTATGCCTCCTGGATCGACTTGCAGGGTAAAGACTTTTCCATCTTCTATCTTTCGGGAAGCGCGAGCGGCCCGGTCGTAACATCGCCCGTGACCTTTGGCGGTACCCAAGTGGCCTCGCAAGCGTACGCGGCTGCAGACCAGGTCGACTCGCAGCAATTGACCAACATGAACGCAACGGGTATCCTTGGTCTGGCACTACCGGCCAACAGTGTCATCCAGCAGGACATGTTTGTGGGACAAAAGAACCCAAACAACACCATCGACGACGCGACCAAGACGGGCTCGCTTCTCACAGGCCTCTGGCAGGGCGCCGCTTCGGGCTCGAGGTACTTTGGCGTCGGGCTCAAGAGGCTGCCCTCCGATGGCGGCAACGGTGACTCGACGCTGACGTTTGGAGGCGTCGATACGGCATTTGTGCCTGCCCTCGAGTCGATGAAGTGGTCCAGCGCCGTGGCCGACTCGGACGAGGTGACGCGGAAATGGAAGCTGTACGTTAGCGACCTCGTCGTCACCGTCAACGGGACACAGGTCCAGATTCCGCTCTCGAGCACGGGCGCTCAGATTCCTCTAGCTATCCTCGATACGGGAGCACCTCTCAACTATGCCTCGAGTGAATTCCTCAACGCCATGTACGGTGCATGGAACGTGGGTCCGGCAGGCGACGGCAGCGGAGGCTACTATGTCGACTGCAAGCTGCAGATGGAGATCTCCATCCTCGTCGGTAGCGCCATCATCCCCATCCATCCCCTCGACGCAAACCTGAAGCAGAGCAGCACCTCGGGCGCGGTGGCCTCCAATGCCGACGGCTGCATCGGCGCCTTTCAACCATTCAACAGTGCAGGCAACCAGAGCGACCTGCCCGCTGAGTTTGTGCTAGGCGCGCCCTTTCTGCGGAGCGTCTACAGCGCATACAGCTGCGATGCCATCCTCGACAACCCAGTGCCTGGTTCTCAGGGTGGATGCGTGCGCCCCACCGTGGGCCTGTATCCCCTCTACAATACCACCGACACCTACAACCAGGCCCTGTCCGACTTTCAAAAAGTCCGCATTCAAGGACAGAAGCTGGGCGACAATTCACAGATCGCGGGCGCCGACGACGGTCCCACGGGCGGCTTTGGCACGGGCGCAAAGATTGCCGTCGGTGTCGTTGTGGGACTCGTGGGCATCGTCGCTATCATGGTTTTTCTGTTGCTCATTCTCAAGCGGAGGCGCGCTCGCGAGGAGCATCTCCACGGCTTGGACGGCGGTGTCGGTGATCAAGAGGAAAAGGACGATCTCGTTCATGCCCGTGGGGGTTCGACCCTCGTTGGACCGTATGCCTCTGAGAAAGAGCGGCAGGAGGCAAGGCAGCTGGCCATTTTGCACGGTCACTTCGTCGAGGATGACGTCGACCCGGCATCGCTGACCCCAAACAATGCAGGCGGGCAGAGCACCACGGCATCGACGTCGCAGGCATGGGATGTCGACTCGGCTGGCTATTGGGAAGCCAACGCGATCCGCAACCAATACCGTAAAAAGCAGCAGCAGCATCAAGACGGCCGGCGCAGCCTGGCCACCCATGGCAGCCAGGCCGATACGCACTTTTCCTCTGAAGAACACGAGCTTTCTGAATCTCCTTCATCGGCCCTGCGATGACCGTCACACCCTCTTTCTTTCTCTTTGCTGTATCCGCACTTGTTCTTGTACCAGTACATCTCTCTCACCCACGGACTTGCTTGCACCGATGGACGCCGCCCTGGCTTCTTTTTGTCAGCTTCAGCACTATATCTGTATTTTTTTCATTTCTTGCTTTAATTATCCTGTCCTGCCTTGCGGCCGTATGCCGAATTGAAAGCTCGAGCTGCCCGGTGTCAATGCCCGGCGTACAGCGGGTGGAGCAGCCAATACAAAATTGGTTTCGCTGGCAGCTGGCCTGCTTTTTTTCTTTTTCCCTTTTCCTTTTTGAAACATAGCCTTGCTTCGCGCGTGGCCACTAATTGTCCCCGCCCGCCCTGAGACTCTCTGTGTCGCTCGCTCGGCTTCCACTGACGCAGCCGGATCCTCTTTCCAACCGACGTCTCCTTGTCCTCACTTCACTACCGCCGACCTTCGCGTCTTCTTTCTACCTTTATCCCTCCCGCTTACCGTACTCAGCGCCGAGAAAACACACTCCAGCTCAAGAGGGCACACGCAAGTGAAAGGAGAGCGTTCCAATTAGCCCGTTTGCATTGACGCCGGAGAGGATCACCCCACTTTCCAACGTTCATCGACGTATAGACCTAAACTTCCAAAAAAGGGTTCCTCCTCTCTCGTCACCGATCCTCAATAGCCTTTTGTCGAGATGTCTGTCGAGTGAGTATCTGCACGCTCGTAGAGTGAAGCAAGGACGGATGCATGTTCTTTTCGAAGAAATAGGGAAGCTGGCGGCTGACTTACATGCTTTCCCCTTTCCTTCCCTTGCTCAGCCTCAACCCTCACGTCCAACTGGGCTTCCCTCGTGAGTATCTCTTTAAAACTCTGATCTGCTACCACTGGCTTCCATGCTCACAAGTGACCCACTTCGCTACTGCCAACAGGGCCGCTCACGCAGCTTGTCAAGCGCTCGCTGCAGGTGTCGAACCCGAACAACCAGCCCGTCGCCTTTAAGGTCAAGACGACTGCCCCCAAGCAGTACTGCGTTCGGCCCAACTCTGGCCGTATCGAGCCTGGTGAAAAAGTCGAGGTTCAAGGTGCGTCTTCTTCTGTTCGCGAGCTGGCTAGCTGAATGCATTGCTCTCTTCAATGGGAGATGACTGACGCCGAGAACTCTTTGCAAACAGTCCTGCTTCAGCCCATGAAGGAGGAGCCTCCTACCGCAGCCAAGTGCCGCGACAAGTTCCTTGTTCAGTCGACCATCATCACACCGGAGCGCGAGACGACGAGCCTGCAGGACATCTGGGGTCTTGTCGAGAAGGAGGACAAGAGCGCGATCCACGAGCAGAAGATCCGGTGTGCCTTCTTGCCTGCCACTACGGCTCCGGTCCCCGAGGAGGGCGAGGACGGTATGGGCAGCTCGATGAGCAACGGTGGCGGCGACGAGAAATACGCTACAGTGAGTCACTGCCTTTATACGTAGCAAGCGATACTGTAGAGCAACGAATCTGACATCTCGATTCTCCCCAGGTTCAAAACGGCTACAACCCTGTGGCGGCCGCTCAAAATGCTTCTGCCAACACCGACGGAACTTCGACTGAAAAGGCCCGTGCTGCCGCTGTCGCTGCCGGTGGAGCTGCTGCTGCCGGTGCTGGAGCTGCGTATGCCGCGACAAAGAACGCTGGCGCCCGTGCCGTTGGGTCTGCGCAACAGACAGCGAGTGGTGGTGCTGGATCGGCCGATCTCAGCGAGAAGAGCCAGTCCGAGCTGCAAAACGAGGTCAAGCGACTCCAGTCGCAGGTCGAGTCGCTCAGGAAGCAGGCCGCAGGTGCGCCGGCGTCTGAGGGCGTCCCGGTCCACATTGTCGCCGCTATCTGCTTTGGCGTCTTTGCATTCACCTACCTCTTCCTCTGAGCGAGGCGAGCCGGCACAGTCACATCCCCTTGAGCCGGACATTTCGTTTCCTTCTTCGGCGCAGGGCTCAGGACCTCCTGGCACCGGTAGCGACAAGATCGTCAACGACATTTCGTGGCCTTTGACTTCTGATATCTCCACTCTGGCTTTTCTCGGTAGTGACGACGGCTGCACTAACACGCACATCCACGCTCATTTCCTTTTCTTCCTGAGCGGGCCTTGCTTTCTGCGTCAATTCTTCTCCTTCCGCGTCTAGCTTTGTCCCCCCCTCTTTGTCATTCCCACATTTCCGCTTTTGTGGCCTTTTGGTCTTTCCATCCATCCATCGACTTTCTTTCTATATCTCTTTCCTTCCCTGTGTCCAATATGAGCGCGAATGAAGAAGACCGTTTCCTCCGTCAAAGCTTTGCCTGACCTCTGAGACTATGCTCTGTCGATGTGCCGGCAAATCTTGTGTGACAGGGCGGGGGCCCTGAGACTAATTTGACACGCGGGTGCTGCACCGCGCCGTCTCATCGCGCACGCCTTTGTGGAGATCGAAAAAGTCATCACGACACTATCGAACAGAACACCACAAGAGGGCGCCCACAATGAGGCCCACCCATCTGCTGACCACATTGGCCACGGCCACTCTGGTCGCTGTCTCCTCTGTCACGGCCCACCCATGCAGCCACGGCCATCGAGGAAATCACTCAGGGATCGAGGGCTTTGACGAGGCCTACCACTACGCCCGCACCGTGTCCTCCTTTGACTTTGACGACGGCGACGGGCGCGGCCGTGCGGGCCAGCCAGCCTGGCGAGACCCGCGCTCCCACGGCGGGTCCATGCTCGACCTCGTCGGCAATGGCCTGCGCGAGCCGATCAACGTCATCATCTCTGGCCACTCGGATGCGCGCGTGCTGTCGGATGCCGGGCTCAGAGACTACGTCCGGACGATTGGTTTCTCGTTTGAGTGCCTCGACCTGCACCTCGGCGGCCTCCAGCGGGCGGACCTCGGCGACGGAAACGGCTGGGGCACCGAGCTATTTGAGTACAGGCAGACGGAGAGCTGGGGCGCACCCGGCCGGTGGGTCGGCGCCTGCTGGGAGAGCCTGTACGGCGGCAACCACTTTCGGGTGTGGAAGCAGAATGGCACCCTCGCCGACACTGGCGCTTGGTTCCTTGCAGTCAGCAAAGAGAAGGTATGTGTTATTGTCTCAAGACTCAAAGAGGAGAATTGGAGGCTGACAGGGGAGGAACTTCTTCAGGACTTGAGGCATCACCACACAATCGACAAGAATGGGTACAACAATGGACGAGACCTTCTTGTACAAGCGGCTGAAGAGGGCGGCCGATGGAAGATCTGGAAGTGGAAGGCAAAGACGCACTGGGTCGATTCCCTGCTGGATGCCGGCAGGGAGGGCATCAACCACGACATTGCTCAGGATGGACGGGTGGCGGTCCTGACCGTCGACAGCGTCATCGATATCCCACTCTTGCCAGACATCTGGATCACCACTCGGCGCCGCCAAATGCTCGCCAGCCCGTTCGTCTTCGTCAAGCAGACGTTCGTGCAGAGCTACCAAATCATTCTTACGAGGTTCTTTTGACGAAATTGTTCATGACGATGTACGCAAATGAGATTATCTACAGTTTCAAGCGTTCGCAAAGGACTGTGTAGAGCTCCGTCTGCTCGCCCAGAGAGTAGGTCAGGGTTCTCTTTGTGAAGTCGACGCCCATCTCGAGGAGATCGATAACGTCGTCGAGGAGATGTGCCTGCCCAACAATGGCACCTGGCGGCGACTGATAGTCGGAGGAGACGATATGGACATGAAGGTGACTGTTCCGAGTCTTCAGTGCTTGGCTCCTTTCTGACAGAGGGAGGATTACACTCACTAGTATGTCGGTTGGTAGTGGAAGAAGCACCTGAGCTTGCCCTTGTCTGCTGTGGGCAGACCGTACTTCTCCCCAGCAACTTTTCTCGCCGCCTGCTGAATCGCCCGTAGGAGTGGGACATGGGCTTTGGTCAGCGACCGCAGACTTCGAAGGCTGCGATCGTGGACGATCGCGATGAGGTAGAGGGACGTAAGCGTCTTTTGATCCCACTTGAGATCCGGCACGACCTGTGGTGTGTAGAGGGAAAGGGCAGGTCAGAAATGCTTCACGTGTCGCGATGTGTATACTCACGATGAAGCCGTTCTTTGCGTCGGCGTCCTCGTACAGGATCGTATCGGCCTCCTTCTTCTTATCGAGAATGTTGTAGACCCTGTCGCCGAGTTAGTCAGCATCTCCTCACGCCCTCTCCTGCCTCCTCATCCTCACCATTGGATCCTTCCGACCGGCTGTGACTCAATCCAAGGTCTTACGACTTGTTCATAGACCTCTGGTGTCTCTGTGAGATTGTTTCCGTCAAGTCAGCTGTCATTCCATCTCTCGTGATGTGGGCCCCTCTCTCACCTGTGATCATGACCTTCTGCTGTTCCGAATACTTTTTGATGTGCTGGTTACATCTCTCAATCAGCTCCAGTGCTGAGAGTGCAGACACGACCGCGCGATCCGTCTACACTCACCGCCTCGCTTGCAGGCCGAATGAGTGTCAGCTTGACATGCGCATCTGCATCTCCGTCGACATCGGCCGCCTTCTCTTCCCCCTCTGCGCTACGCTTGACTCCGGCGGCCGAAGCCGGCGAGGAGCTCATCCAGCCCAGCATCCAATTGTACACGTCGTTCGACCCCAAGCTGCGAATCGCCGACAGAGGCGCCCTAGCCGTGTCATGCTGAGAAGAAACAGTGGCCCCGAGAGCGCGATAGAAGCTGGGCGAAAAGTGTGTCTTCTCGACGAGGATGACGGCTCGCTCGTCCGGCGGCGCATCAACATATCGACCGAGGATCGCGGCGGTCCGCGTTCGGGCATCTGCCGGTGGCCTGTCAGCGCCGCGTTCATGGTACAGAGGATCAGAAGAGAATGCGCTGACGCACCTTCGTTGAGCAGTCGCTCGTACTGGAAGCCCTCCAAGAGCCTCGATGTCGAAGCTTGCTGCTCTTCCATCGTCACTCGTCTCTCTCTCTCTTTCTACGTGATCACAAGTCGAGAAGAAATTGACCAGGTCACTGCTGCGAGCTTTAAATCTTTTAGTCTAATCTTGTGGAGAAGGAAAGAGAAGCAGGTGCTTTCTCTCGCGCACTCGGGGCCAGATTACAGTCGAGCAAGAGCCTTCTTTGTTTGAGAAACTGGTGGGATCAAGTGATGCAGTGGTAGGGTAGTGTACATGGAGAGAGAGAGGAGCAGTCTTTTTATTTGCTCGTCTTCTTCTTCTTTTTCTTGGGCTCGTCAGCCATGTCGTCGCTGCCCGTCTCTGCGCCGCTGTCGTCGTCGCTCGATGCTTCCGAGGGGCTGCCATCGTCGGATGACTCGGCCTCAAAGTCTTCGTCTTCGGACGACTCATCATCATCGTCATCGTCCATGGCATTGGAAGCCTTTGTAGGCTTCTTGACCCGCTTCTTGAGTCCGCTGTCGCTCGCGTCATCCATGTCTTCGTCGTCGTCATCGCTGAGTGCTGCGACGGCGGCCATTGCCTCGGCAGCCTCAGCCATTTCGTTCTTGACACGAACCTTGCGCGCGCTGAAATGCTTGCTCAGCGCATCGTGCTCCTCGCGGCTGAGGCTCTGGAACGTGTGCTCGGGCCCACTGCGCTGAATGACGCGAAGGTCGAAAGTCTTGCTGCTGGCCACGGCGCCACCGACGCGCGAGAAGACAACCTGGTGGATGTCGTCGTAGCGAATGTGAACGGGCTGCTTGCTGACCCAGATCAGCTGCTTGTCCAGAGGGTAGAGCAGGCCATCGGTGGCCTTGACGTTGCACTTGAGGCATGGCGATCCGTTTGCACTGCTCTCGAACGAGTCCTCGCCTGGCGCGACAAGCCTCTGGCCAGAGAGGACTCGGAAAAGCGTTGTCACAATCTTGAACGTCGGCTCTTCGTACCTCCTCTTGAGCTTTCCCTCGTACTTTTCCTGAATCGTCTCGTCGTCAAGATTCAGCTCGGCATCCATCTCCTCTTCGCGGACGAATTGCATGACAAGGTATGGGTAGCGTGTCTGGCCCTGTCGGATCGGAGGGTCGAGGCCAACGACAAAGGAGACATGAACGTCGTCCGGGCGAGGGAGCAGAAACAGTCTTGTGATGCTCGAGTAGAGGACCTTGTAGTCGTACGTCTTGCCACGAAGCCGCAAAAAGCCAGGGTACATGTCGATGTCGAAGCGGCCACGGGGCGTAAGGACGAGGACCTCCTTGAAGACGATGATGCCGTCGCCAGCGACCTGTCCGATGTCGGCTTTGGCCTTGATGGCCTCGTTGAATGCATTTGCGGCCGTCTCTTCTTCCTCTTCATCATCATCGTCGTCATTGTCTGAGCCCTTCTCGACCGTACCCGGAATGTGGAATCTCATCTCGACAAGCTGGTCGCCCTTTTGCTTTTTCGCTTTGCTTGCAGCGCCTCCATTGGCTGCCGAGCCCGTGTTGGCAACCGGCTGTTGCTGCTCGGGGTTGATGAACTCCATGCCTACCTCGGTCTTACTGGCAATGTTGGTGTTGGCAATGTGCTTGACGGGCAGCTCAAATGCGAGTTTGCCCCGAACGAGGAATCGCACGTCATTGTCTTCGATCTCAGTTTTGCCCCAGTTCCAACCACGCGAGGAGACCTCGACCTGGTCGAGCCTCTTGCTGAAGTACTTGTTGAGCACGTCGGACAGCCTGTCGAGGTCGTCCCTGTGGAAGCCATCGAAGGTCTCCCGGCGAGACTCGCTGCCCTTCAGTTGGATCCTCAGTTGGTATCCCCTTGCCACCCTGTCCTTAGATGGTGAGCCAGAGGATCTTGAGAAGACGAAAACGACTGGTAACCCACCTCATCCACTGGAAGGTTGCCATCTTGTCAGCCTCGAGGGTGAAGGTTGCGCCCGAAGATCCATCTTGCGAGGCAGTGGCCTTCCACCCCAGACCTCCTTCTTGCAGGCGAAGCTTGCCCGGCGTGGTGTCGAGTCCATGGTAGATGGTGTCGAAGGTCACATGCGCCGCCATCTTTTCCTCGGTTATTCCTTGGCCAAAAGGAGTCGCCCTAAGCTCAAATCTGTCCTTCCGTCCTTATCGTATTCGCAAACGCAACAGATGGCCTGCCAAAACCTTGCGATGTGCGAGAAGTGGGAGGGCAGGGCTCAGGGAAGCGGTGGTGGTGAGAAGGTGACGAAAAGCGAAGCAAAGCAGAAATTGAGGCCGACGCGTTCAAGTGACACGCGTCTTTACAGCGGCCTTGCTAATTTATTCAACATGCAAGCCGTATAAGGATCCTCTTCTCCCTTGGGCGATCTAGAAAGAGTCTTTCTGTGACCTTTGTGATCTCACAACAGGACCCTTCCCAGCATTGAAAGATCGCTCCTTCGTCTGGTGATTTATGCTTTGAATTACAGGTGTAATGTTGATGTGATGTGCGATGCTACAGTACAGGAGGATGATGGAAGGTAGGAATTTCATTGTGCCGGGCGGATGTTGTTGCCGAGCCACGAGAATCTTGGCCAGACCTATGAGTGAAGGCAGAGAGGGTCAGCCGAGCTTCGACATGATTCTCGAGGACAGGAGAGACGCACCTTTGCAACAATGACACCCTGGACAAGGCCAAGAGGGACGGGGCCGTAGATCCGGCTGTCTGTGCTGTTACCTAGGTTGTCACCGCCAAGCCAAACGTGACCCCGAGGCACAGTGATGTATCGAGGCTTTGGTGTTGCGGAAGCGCTTTTCTGTTCTTCGTCGATATCGTCGCTCTCTCCCGATGCACGCCGACTGAAGCCGGTCCACGCCTCGGCGTGATTGCTCGGGGCATCGACTCGAGGATCGACCAGGACCGTATCGCCGGGCAGGCCGAGTACCCTTTTGCAGATCATTCGGCTGTGATCCCTCGGTGAGACTGCCACGACCAAGTCGCCGAGCCTGAGACCGGTGCCCATTGCAGGATCTAGCTTTCCCTTTGGCCCCCCGACGTTGGGCAGCGAGATCAAGTCGGGCGGGTTGGGTCGTAGCAGGGGCGAGACGAGGCGATAGAAGGGCAGATGAAGGTGCAGGAGAAAGTCGCCTTCGGGAGCCAAGGTCGGAAGCATCGAGGCACCGGTGCACTCGCGCACTTCACCAGTCAGGTCAGACAGAATGCTGAGGACGCACCCGAGCTGGACCGTTCGCAGGGCCACTGGGGGCACGTAGAGAGCTGCCCGGAGCACAGCCCGGCGTATGAACCCCATCGCCATGGACCAGTTCAGCCTTTGGCGCGTACGCCCGAGCTGCGTAGCAGATAGAAGTGGAGTTCTAAGATGGAGCGAACGAGAGAAAGGGAGGTGGGTAAGCAGCAGCGTTGCGTCGACCACGAAAAAGTTGAAAAGGCAGAGAGGGAAAGTGGCTCGACCGCGGTCGGAAGATCACGCGCGTCGCACGCCGGTCGACTAGCCTGCGCTTCCAGTCGTCGAAAGTGCGAGGCATCGTCGATAACAAAAGTGGGTGAGGGTGACGTCCCGACCGGCATCAGAAACCAACTCCGACTGTGCTCTCCGTCACACACTCCGTCCTCTGCCTCATTCGACGTCGCGTAACGATACGCAGGGGAGATTCTGCGCTGCGCATAGACAGGAACCCCAGTGGCAGCAGCATTACAGCCCATTTCACGCGCACAGCCAATAAGTTCGTACAAGCGCGATCGCCATCTACCATTCACCGAGCTGCACGGCCAGCCAGACATCTCTCGCCATAGGATTGGTATAGGACAGCTGCCGACACTATCACAGCCAGACCAGCGGGCTTATCTTGGGCGCTGGAGGGGCCCGCGCGATGCTACACGCAAGCGCCCTCGCAGGAGCCTGCGCCGGCCTCGTCTCGTCGATTGTGACGTGCCCCTTGGATGTCGTCAAGACGAAGCTGCAGGCGCAGAGCGGGCCTACCAGACCACTACGACAGGGCTGGAGTGGGCCTGCGGGGCATCCGAATGGGTCTATCGGTGGGGGTGGCGCGAGGCTGGCGTACGAGGCACAGCGAAGATCACAGGCAATTAAGGAGGCCATTACCGGAGAAGGTGCTGAGTCTAGATATGAGGGTCTCTTTGGTGAGTGTTGGGCAGCTGTGTGGGCGAAAATGACTGGTTGCTCAATGTGCACGATTGACTCCCAGGAACCCTGCGGAAAATATGGAGAGAAGACGGCTTCCGAGGCTTCTACCGGGGCCTGGGGCCGACCATCTTTGGGTACCTCCCGACGTGGGCCATCTACTTTACAGTTTATGACCAGTGCAAAACAGTGCTGGCCGAGCGGTTCAATCCGACTGGCGAGGAGGACTTCATGAATCACATCGTGAGCGCAATGACAGCGGGCGCTGCGAGCACATGCTGCACCAGCCCGCTGTGGGTCGTCAAGACTCGCTTCATGGTGCGTATCTTTGGATTCTCTTCAGAACTCTCCGATGGATTTCAGTCAGCTGACCTCTCTCTTACCCTTCTCAATTAGCTGCAATCCGGCAAGAATCCTGCGACGAGGCCGTACAGACACACGGGCGACGCCTTCGTCCAGATCTTCCGCACCGAGGGGTGGCGAGGCTTCTACCGAGGCCTGCTCCCCAGCTTGTTTGGCGTAAGCCACGTCGCTGTCCAGTTCCCACTCTACGAACAGTTCAAATCATCGTTGAGACGCAGACTCGATACCGACGAACTGACGCCCAGCATGATTCTGACGTGCAGCAGCAGCGCAAAGATGATTGCCTCGGTGCTCACCTATCCCCACGAGGTCCTACGGACGCGCCTCCAGATGCAGCCAAGAGCGGCAGTCGCCGATACACCAACGACGTCGCCGACGCCTTCGATGGCACAGGCTGCAAGCGAGGCCGAGCGATCCGGGGCCCAAAGGAGGGGCATGCATACAGCGGCGGTACGAGGAATGTCGAGCAGCAGCAGCAGCAGCAGCAGTCGAGAACAAAGCAGACGAGGGCCACCCAAGCTGAAGCGGGCGAAGGTCGCCAGACGGACAATCTCGCACATGGCCAACATGGGCGTTGGGGGACGATACACGGGCGTTCTCCAGGCCTGCGCGACGATTGCCAGGGAGGAGGGGGTCCGAGGCTTCTACAAAGGCATGGGAGTCAACCTCATCAGGACCGTTCCCAGCTCGGCTCTGACAATCTTGACGTGAGTCCATGTGCCGGTATCGTCCCTCTCCTATCGAAGCTCATATCACGAGAGATATGCCCGCGAACAGATACGAGATCATGATGCAGCACCTCAATTATGACCCAGACCAGGACAGCCAAGACGACGATGGCGATGTGCAAACGGACAGCAAATAGGTGCATTCCCCTCTCATCCCCCTCTCTTCACACACACACTCTCGTCAGGTCTCGCAAGCTCTTGTAATTTCATCATAATGCACTGTCACATCGTGCCGTCTTTCTTTGGCTCCGAATTGTGTCTATGGCTCGCATTCACCCGGAGTAAGAGTGACGGAGAAGCGGGGGAGCCTGGGGCCACAAATGCTTATTTCCTGCCTGCAAGTTCGTTCATCGGCGACTTGGCCTGTACACTTTCCCGACAGCCAAGCCTTGATCGATAAAGAGCAGGCCTAGAATTTCCACGTGTGCTGCTGGCCCTAGACCTCTTTTTTTGATTTGTTGCCACCCGCCTAAATATCGATCGGTGTTTGAGAATGGGAATAATTGTGGGAAAGGAAAGAAATTAGAGTCTTGTTTATGGGCGCTGTTGAAAAGGGAACGTGAATTCGTCCTCTTGATTGCACTCCACCACCACAGCCAACGACGACAAGAGACAGGCTCGAAAGCGGCGGAGATCAAGAACGAAGAAGCTACGACGCCTGCCTGACTTCTCAATTCCAGCTTGCTGGCCGAGCAATCGCAGCGGAGACGCATATTCTTGTCTTTGGCACTCTTTCTCTTCAAGACAATGTCTCCCCTCGAAGCCAGCACCTCGCAGCACAAACTGGAGCGCTCCTCGGCGGCGCTGCAGGCTGTTCGGCGAAGGCCAAACTCATCAATGGTGCACATGCGGAGAGCCTCGCAGCCCGCTGCCGGGCCATCGCACCAGCGCAATGTCCTCTCGCGCTCCCTCTCCTCTTCGGCCGCCGAGTCAGACTCGAGCAGTGGGAGCAGCAGCGAGGATGAGGAGTGGTCTCGAGACCATTTTTCGGCCCAGCAGGAGGCCCACAGACGCTCACTAGACTACGTGAGTCATTCCTATCTCTCTCTCTGTCCCCCCTTGTGGCATGTAGAGGATGAGGGTGCTGACTCCCTATGCGCCACCGAAACCACAGCTGGACCTTTCGCCTTCGCTCCCATATACCCTTGCCTCGTTGCGAGCCCAGCTCTTGGCACAGTGCTCCCACCTTGAGGCCAAGATGCGGTCGCTCTGCAGCATACATTCGCCCTCGAAGCCGCGTGATACAGAGACGGCGCCCTTCTATGCCCATCTCGAGGCGCTCAGAGAGGACCTTCGAAGACTAGCCCTGCTCCTCCCTCGGTATCCCGTCGGTGGCGTGGCATCCATCTCTCCTCAGAAGGCAGGCGCCGCTCTTGTTGCACGCTCGCAGACTTTGGCGGCTGACTGGGAAAAGATGCTGTCGCATGCACGGCTGCATGCACCCGATCTGCAACACTTCAACATTGCGCTTCCCCTCAACCTCTCGTCCGTCTGGCCTCCGCTTTCGCTTCCGGATCTCGACGGTCTGCCCTTGGCTGGTGCCAAGATCCTGGAAAAGGTGCAGGCCCGCTACGAGGCCCTGCATGATACCATCAATGCTTTGACATTGCGCGACTGTTTCTACTGGGCACGCGGCCCAGAGGAGTCGTCCTCGCCTGCCCTCTCGCGCCAGCTCGAGGCAATCATTGCCTCGCTTCGAGAAAAGGGCGACGTGGTACGACAGACTGGCCGAGCAAGGGCCAACAGCGTGGTCAAAGCTGCCAAGGACGCAGAGGAGGTCATGTATGCGGCGGCCGTCGAGCTGGCCAGGGGTGGACAGAAGCTCATTCGCTACGAGCATCTTCCCGAGCTCTGGAAAAATAACGAGCACATTGTGAGTTGAGATTGATTCAAGTAATACCACAAGCACGCTGACTTTAGTATTAGCTTTCGGGCTACCGCTTCATCCCCATCGAGAGGTGGGGTGCGCTGCTGCGATCGACCTTCGAGGTCCACAACGAGACGGGCAACATTCTCACTCACCTTATTGGCGCCTTGATCGTCATTCCCCTCTTCTGGCCATCTAAAGAGCGTGACGCAGCCTACGCCGACGAGATGACGACGCCGATGGATCGGATGGTGCAGACCATCTACCTCATTGCCGCCCTCAAGTGTCTTGTCCTCAGCGTCTCCTGGCACGTCATGGCCGGCTGCTCGGATGCATGCTGGTTCGAGCGCTTCGCCTGTGTCGACTACACGGGCATCGCGTGGCTCGTCGCTGCATCGGTCTGGACGCTTGTCTACAACGCTTTCTACTGCCAGCCGAACCTGGCTATGTTCTACAGCCTGACGACCCTCATCGTCGGGACCGTGGGCGCCATTGTGCCCTGGGCTGCATGGTTCAACGAGCGACAGAACAAGGGTCTGCGCATCTCCGTCTTCCTGGCGATGTGCTTCACCGCCCTCGCGCCATTCACACACGCCTCCATCTCGCACGGCTTCATGCGCACCTTTAGCTTCTTCTCGCCCATCCTTCCCAGCGTTGGCTGCTACGTCGCTGGCCTCGTCTTCTACGCCTTTCAATTCCCCGAAAGGTTCGCACCGGGCAAGTTTGACCTCTGGGGACATGCGCACCAGATCTGGCACATCAGCATCGTCCTCGCCATCCTGTTCCACTATCGTGCCACATTTATCTGGCACGACCAGCGCTTTGCCTTCAGCTGCGCAGCAGCAGGAGCCAACGGGCCCTCTACATTCCTCGATGGCCTCACACCCCCTCATGCAGACGGGTCCTCGGGCATTCTTCTTGAATCGCTCAGCCGGCTGGGCCAGTCCGCCATTGGCGGCTCCGTCGTTGAGGCCGCATCGGACCTTTCCAAGGCAGACGAAGTCGTCCACGGTTGGCGCAGAGCTGCTGGCCGGCTCGCTGGCGGCTACGTCGGGCTGGCCTGGGACTGGTCCGTCGATCGGCTCATGGCGGCTTTCTAGACACATTCTGGCCTCCTTTTGCATCTCTCATATCCGGCTTGTTGCTATTCCCTCTCATATCTGTCAAGCTCAATTCTTCTCCTTGCAAATAGATTCATTCAGTCAGCACACACTCTCTCTTCTCACCCCGGCATGCTTTGATGCGACCGGACACTTTCTGTATGACGCGGGAATCGGAAATCCCCCATCCAACAGAGAACTTTTTTTTCTGTGCCTCTGCCAGGAAGAAATTCTGGTAGCTTCACCCTCTTTCTCAGCACACAGAGCCAGCATGTCGTACAACGACTCGATCGTGGCCAGGCCTTCAGGCGCACGACAGACGTGCTCCGAGACGACGGAGTCCTTTGTGCGCTTCTTTTCCGACTCGGGCGGCTCGCTCGACAAGCGTTGTGGCCTGGCCGAGTTCGCAGAGATGGGCGTCGGCATGGTTGCAGTCGCGCCAATCCCCGAGGATGCGGTGCTCTTCAGCATACCGAGGCACCTCTTGCTCAGCGTGCGCACCTCTCTTCTGCCGGAGCTTTGCCGTGCTACCGACAGTGCGGCTGCACAGAGTAGCGGCTTGACGTGGGACAAAGACGTTGGCGTGGGGTGGCTGCCGCTCATCACGACGATGATGTGGGAACGGTGGCGGACCTCTCCCGAGGGCAGAAGCGCATGGGAGCAGCGACAGCAGCAGCAGCAGCAGCACTCAAATGGGTCCCAATCTCGCTCGCAAGAGTGGGGGCCTTACTTTGACGTGCTGCCCAAGACGTTTGACACGCCCATGTTCTGGTCCAGCGACGAGCTCGAGGAGCTTCGGGGCACCACCGTCGTGGACAAGATTGGCAAGGATGAGGCCTCGAAGGACTACTTTGACATCTTACTGCCCTACATCAGGTCTCGAGCAGACATCTTCTTTGGAAGCGCGAAAAGCCAAGAGGCGCAGGAGCAGATGGTGAAGACATTCTACTCAATCGAAGACTTCCACCTGATGGGCAGCCGCATCCTCAGTCGGTCGTTCCATGTCAAGAAGCCAGAGGCCGGGCAAGAGGGGCCCGTAGGCGACATCATGGACGACGAGGGTGAGGCCGATGGCAACGAAGACGACGAGATGGACGAAGACGGGCAGGACAAGGATGACAACGACGGAGAAGAAGCGGAGGAGGAAGAAGAGGAAGGCGCTGAAGCCATTGAGGCTGTCACGATAGTGCCCATGGCTGACATGCTCAACGCTCGCTTTGGATGCGATAATGCACGGCTCTTTTACAAGGAAGACGTCTTGGAGATGCGAGCGACGCGAAACATCGAGCAGAATGAGCAAATTTGGAACACATACGGCGAGCCGCCGTCGTCGGACCTGCTGAGGAGATACGGCTACGTCGACCTGGCGAATGTCAACGACGTCGTCGAGGTCGCCGTCTCGCACCTCGTCGGCGCCTGCTTGGACCTTGAGCAAATCTCTGAAGAGCGTACGAGGACGAAAAGAGAAGCAGAGCTGATGGCTCGCGCTGAGTGGTGGGCTTCCGAAGGACTCGACGAGGTCTTTGCACTCTCCTACGCCTTTCCACCTTCGTCTCAGCCTCCACACCGCCCCGAGCCAGTGGACCCGAGCGCGAAGGAGCTCAAGGCGGCCGCATCGGCGTTCTCCGAAGAGATCCTCGTCGCAGCGAGGATCCTTTGCTTGTCTGAAGAGAACTTCGAGAGAGCAAAGAAGAAGGCTAAGATGCCGAACGCGCGCATCGAAGCTGAAGAGCAGCATGGCAGCAACAAGACGATGGGCGTAGCGGAGCTTCTCATCAGGGCACTGGAGAAGAGACGTCAAGAATACCCGACGTCGATCGAAGAGGACGAGGAGCTTCTGTATGGCCAACAGAGGTCCGAGGTCAAAGATCTGCGGGCGAGAAACGCGATTGTGGTTCGGCTGAGCGAGAAGAGAATCATCGAGGACAACATTCGCGTCCTGCGAGGAGCTATCGAGCTGGGTAGGGCCGCTGCAGCTGATGCCAAGAAGCGAACGACGACGTCCGAGAGCAACGGGCGGGCGGGCAAGAAGGCGAAGAGGTAGTCTTTAGATCAACATCGTTGCTGTACTTGTACCTTTGCTCAATCAATCTTCATCAGCATCTCTTACATGGACAGAAAGCATTCTGCAGCGGTTTCTCTTGAATCAACTACGGACGTGCGCCGCAGAAATACATCTGCGGCCATAGAACCGTGAAAGCACCGCATCCCGTCCGATCTGCGAAGTTAAGCACGGTATCGCCTAGTCAGTACTGCGGTGGGGGACCACGCGGGAATCCTGGGTGCTGCAGTTCCTTTTTGCTTTCGTAGTCATTCTCCTTTTTTTGGGTGATCTTTGCGCGAGCTCCTTGCTCTCCAGATAAGTGATGCTCTTCACTATCCGACTCTGCTGAGAGTTGAGCGCCCCAAAACGCATGCAGAGGGGGGAGCATCTTGTGTGGAAATCTCTAGAGCGGGAATTCGCGTATATCGCATACCTCATCTCATCGTGACGCCGTTGGGCGTTGGTGGCGCAAATTTATCGAAATTAGAGTGCGAGGGCTGCGGTTGGCCATTACCCCTTGCCAGTGCACCCGCGGAGACCTCTGGCACAACATCGTTTTGCCTGGCCTTTTGTAGGCCAACGCCCCGGAAGCCGGGGCAGACAAGGTCACCACATTAGCCCACGAGAGCAAAGGCTACTTTCAGCCCCACTTCAGCGCTCGTTTCTTTTCATCTCTGCAACGAAGCAAGACCTTCGTGCACATAAAAGGAGACGCTTTCGCTGGTTATACTTCAATCCCCCGTGACAAATCAACCCCTGCTGGTCATCTGTCGCTGAGTCCTTGCTTTTCTCTAAGCCTCAACGGGATAATTTCAGGAGAACAGCCTGCTTTCTTACGAAAGTACAACTCGGACGCAACGTACTGTACTTTCCAGACTTTCGACATTCGAAAATCAAGATGAGATACTTGTCGACGCTGCTTCTTGCCTTGCATTTGGCCGCAGTTGCGTACTCGACTCCCATATCTTCGGACACATCCGGCAGCGTCTCCTTGGAGAGCTATTGCCCTAGCGCCACAACTCTGGGCTTGCGCACCGTCCATTACCACAAGAGGAACCTCGTTCACTTTCTGTCTGGCGGTTCCAAACGTGACAAAAAGGACAAGTGCAAGGACAAGGATGCCGGTGAGTCGTCCACCAGGTGGCTCCTCGCAGACAAATACAGAACTGCAGATTCCAAGAAAGGCGAAGCTTCTCTTCCCGATGATGATAAAACAGAGTGGATACGAAGACCAGGCGAAAGTCCTGAGGACTTCCTTGTCCGCCTGGACAGACAGGCAACGAAGTGGGGAGAAGACGGAAAGCTCAATGAGACGGGCGTGAAACTTATAAAGGCTCTAGGCAAGAATATCCTCATCAATGAAGCGCGGGGAATGCAGGACCCACAGGATTCACATGGGGACATCCTTAAAGTGATCGACGGAACATGGGGGGAAGCAGAAGCCCTGAAATATGGAAATTTCAATCTCTTCAAGAGATCCGCTTACGCCGAAAGCAGCAACATGCAGGCTTTGGAAAGGCCGCTTCTTCATGATCCGACCGACTGGGTTAGAGAAGCAGACACGATCAGAAAGTACTGGAAGCCTAAAGAGACAGAAAGTAAAGCGGAGTTCTCGGAGCGCATCTACGAGCAGGTCCGCGTATGCTACAAACATGGAGTCCTAAATTTCGACGGAATGGACACACTCGATCAGAAAATCTCAGATCTGAGGCGATTTCAGTCGATCCCGTCCGAGGATGGAAAATGGCAAAAACATCTCCGTGAGCTTCAAGACCTCGTCCAGCAGAATATGAACGTCAAAATGTACAAACCAGGCAACGATCGCACGCCCAACAGCCCACCTCCGCTGAGACCAAGCGATTTCTACCACCACTTTTCAAGACTTCATTTGTGAGAGAGAGGGCAGTCTAGGGCGAGCCCACAAGACATCGTTCCATCTCCTTGTAAACGTTTTTACTCGACCTAAGGACCAAAGAGGCAATAAATATTAAACTGTAGAAGTAGAAACGTAGTGCTGGGTGCTTGAAAAGGAGAAGACATATTCGCCTTTGTGGAACACCTCAAAATGCATTCTGAGACATGCTGGCAATGCAGTGTTTTCGATAGAGGCACAATGATGAAAATACGATCGGTCAACAGAATAGGTGTCTGACTAGCTGGCTGCCTTGTTGGAAAACAGAAGGTGGTCGGAGGCATTTGCGGAAATTAACACGATCGAAAAAAGAACCATGCCTGAGAAGTACGAGACGACCAGGAGCTGCGGGCCCATTTTTAGCTAACCATCAAAAGGCAGAGCGTCACATTGTACTGTACATACTATGGAACTTCAGACTTCGTCGATACAACACAGTGATAGATAGCACAGGTAACACATTCACGATTTTTTACGTTGACTCATTGCGTATTTTTGGCGTGTCGTTTCCTATATCTCATTGTGCTTCTCGACTGACGGTGCACCCGAGAGTTCCTCTGGTACTGCATCGTTTTGTCTCGCCATTTGCGGGCCAACGCCCCGGATTCCGGGGCAGGAAAGGTCACCGCAACCGCCCCAGAGAGCAAAAGCTACTTTCAGCCCACTTCGGCGCTCTTTTCCTTTTCTTTCTCAGACGAAGCGAAACCTTCGATAACTTAAAAAGAAGCCCTTCCGCAGGTCCACTTCAATTCCTTGTAACAAAGCAACTTCTGCTAGTCATCTGTCATTGAGACATTGCTCTTCTCTAACCTTCAAAGGGAGTAGTACTGTACCAGGAGAACAGCCTGTTTTCATCCGACAGTACTTCCAAGACTTCAAACATTCAGCAATTAAAGATGAGATACTCGTCGACACTCCTTCTTGCCTTGCATTTGGCCGCTGTTGCTCAATCGACTCCTGTGTCTTCAGACACATCCGGCAACATCGCCTTGGCGAACCGTAGTCCAAGCGCCGCTGCTTTGGATTTACAGTCCCTCCATTACCATAAGAGAACCCTCTTCGGCTTTCTACGTGGCACTTCCAAGCGCGACAAAGAGCGCAGGCGCAAGGGCAAGGACGCCGGAGAGTCGTCTACCAGGCCGCTCCTCGCCGACAAAGACAAGGCTGTTGACTCCAGTGAAGGCGGATCTTCTCTTACCGCTGATGAAAGAGAAAAGTGGACACAACGTCCAGGCGAACGTGCTCTCCACTTCTGGCAACGTTTAACAGAGCAGGCAGAGGAGTACAAAGCAGCTGGCAAGCTTGACGAGATGGGTAAAAACCGTATATATGGTCTAGGCAAGGCGATTTTCGAAAATGATACTCAGAGAGCTCAGGATCCATATGACTTACATGCGGCCATCCTCAAGGTCATTGATGGAACGTGGGGACCAGAAGAAACCCTGAAATTTGGAGTGATTAAACTCTTGAAGAGATCCGCAAACAACGAAAGCAGCAACATGCGGGCTTTGAAAAGGCCGCTTCTTCATGATCCAAACGGCTGGATTCGCAACGTGGACAGCATCGACGACTACTGGAAGCCTAGGGAGAGTGAAACGAAGACAGACTTCACGACACGCATTTATAATCTGGCCGACATATGCTATCAACATAGAATCATAGCCTTCAAAGAGAAGGAAACACTTCAGAACAAGATCCTAGAACTGAGGAAGTACGATTCAGTTCCGTCCGAGGACAAGAGGTGGCAGAACCTCCTCGGTCAGATTCAAAAGCTCGTCCGCACGCATATCAATGTTGAAAAGTACATACCGGGCAACAATCGCATGCCTAAAAGCCCGCTTTCGCCCGTCCAAAGCAGCTTAAAACACAACTTCCCCTTCTTTTCAAGCGGAATCTATAAGAGGCAGGTCAAGGGCGAGAGCAGCAACCCACTACACGACTTTCCACTGCACTCTAGGGAGCCCTTGCTCATGGACTTAGACGTTTGGGTCAAAGACGTGAAAAATATCGAACAGCACTGGAAGCTTGCAAAAGGAGAAGACATGGAGGAGTTTGCGGATCGCCTCAAAACGCAGTCTGAGCAATGCCGGCGACACGAAGTCTTCGATGAGGAGACGATGGTTTCGGTCAACAGATTAGCCGAACATATTCGCGTGTGTGCTTTGTCGAAGAACACAAGGTGGTCAGAGGCGCTCACAGGGATTCACAAGCTGATCGAAGAAAAAGCCAAGCCTGAGAACTACGAGACGACTAAGAGCTGCAAGTCTAATCCTAACTATCCACCGGAAACGAAGTCGTCAAATCGTACTTCGGAGAAACAGGCTTCAGTCATACCAGAAAGTAGAAGAGGCAAGATAAGAAAGACTCATTGCGACGACTCATTGCGTATCATTGGCGGGACATTTACTACATCTCACTGTGCTCCTCAGTCGACATAATCTTCGATCATCCTTGAAGATAGCTCACTGCAAGACAAGGCCTATATTTGTTGAGACGAAGTGGCCGGATTAACCATCTGCATCCTCAATCTCCTCATCCTCGTCCTCCTCGGAGCCCGCTTCTCGTGACCCTCGATACTCGTCGCCAAAATTGTCCTCGTCTCCAATCGCGTCTTTGCTCACCTCTTCGATGAGCCGCCGTCCTTCGGAGTCGTACACGATCGACGACGAAGGTTCCTTATCTGCTTGCTGTCCTCCGTCGAGGGCCGCTTCTTCCAAGGCTTCGTCCTCGTCATCAATCCCGGCTCGTTCCCTCGTGCCTTCCTCCCAATCGAGCCTTCCTACCCGCATCGCCACGTCATTTGCTCCATATGCACCCTTTCTGATCTTTGCCATCATCGGGTAGGTCAAAGTGACGAGCTCATTAATCGTCGCCCCCAAACGTCTGTCTTCGCCTCGATCTTGAGACTCGCGAACCATGTCCTCTAGCTCCCTTCTCCTTTTCATGGTATGGAACATCTTGATGCCCGAGAACTTATGGAGGCCCCTTCTGTTTGCTTGAGAAGATCCCGTAACGGAGGAGGATCGTTGCGACCCTGTCTTTGTCGGAGAGAGAAGGCCGCTCCTCTGTGGCACAGGGCTAGGCAGGCTCAGAAGAGTTCCTTTCGTGCCAACGAGAAAGCCATAGTAGTCCGTTGTGCTCGCACTGCTCCATGGATCGCCACCTTGGACAGGTCTCAGTTCCGCATCCGCAAAACTCAGATGGTCGGCAACTTCGGCGCATTGATCGATCGTCGACGTAAAAGGCGGGTAATTCTGATGCAAATAGGAAATGAATGTTGAAGGATCCAAGGGAAGACTGCGCCAGAGGCTCTCGACGTCCACTTTGCTTCGGCGCCGTGAAAGATGTGAGAGATGAGGCGGGAGCGATGAGAATGCAGGCAAGGAAGCCTCGCTACTACCTGTACTGAGACCAGACGCCTCTTCGTCCTCGCCGTCGCTGTCGTCTGTTGGATCTCCATAGCCTGGGAGAGTGAGACTGAGCTTTAGAGGGATTTCACACAATGGAAGCAACGGCAGTCCTCACGTTTGTTGTAAAGAACCTTGCCCAGTGCATGAAAGAGGGCCATGGAGCTCTCTCTGCCTGTGATTGCGCTGAGCGTCTTGCGCAAGTCGCTCTCCTGATTCTTCCTCTTTCCCTGAGAAGTTCTTTTGATGCCTCTGCCTTCGGCAGCAAAACGGCGTAGGAGGCGATCTTGTACACAGGCAAATTGCAATGCGTTGAGCGCGCTGCGTACGTCGCCATTTGCAGTCTCTGCAATGGCTGCTACCACCTCTTTCCCCATGACCGAGCTCGAGGCAGGAAGGCTCGCTCCGGACTGATGTTTCCTAGCCTGGTCGAGGGCGAGTTTGAGCGCTCTGCACAATATTGTAGGAGCGATAGGGTTGAAGCTGATTTGGGTGCAATAAGGGCCGTTCCGTATCTCTTCGGGAATGAGCCCTCGCACGTCCAATGTCTCATCTTGACGATCCCGCCAGTCTCTTGAGCTACTGCTCCCTCCAGCTCCGTACTCGTCCAGCCGAGGCATCGTCTCGCTCACGATGATGACAAGCGGAACCTCGCTCTTCGAAGCAACAAAGGCTCTAATCGAATCGTGAAACGCGGCCCTTGTGGCAGGGTGTTGTACGTTCGGCAGGTCTTCTACGAGGACTATGCGTCGTCCTGACCCCTCGTTACTGTCCATGGCGGCATGCTCGTCCTGGGTAGCAGACGAAGAGGACGCTTCTGTGCCAATGGAGAGGGACGTATAGCGTCCAGCACTGTGGAGGAAGTTATCAAATCCTTGGGCGATCGCCGCTGTGCAAATGGACTCTTGTCGGTAAGGAATGTAGTTGTAGAATCACACGAAGGACTCACGCCTTACGTCAATTTGTACCTCGCCGTAAGATGCTCCTCCACGGCTGGTCATCTCGTTGACCCATTCGACGACATTGAAGTCGAGCTCCCCTTGCTGCGAAAGGGCTCTCAGGACCGCAGACTTTCCCGCACCCGCCGGCCCACTGAGAAGCAGGAGCCGCTGTAGTGGCCGCTCGGTAAGAGAAGCCTCGCAAGTACCCGTGGCTAACTCACCCTGTACTTGCGCAGGGAAGATCTCCCATGAAAAGCCTCTCGTAGCCAACCCTCGACTTGCTCGACCTTTTTCTTGTGCACCGCTACCTCATCCTGCTGGCGTGTCAACTACTGTCTCACAGTGTGGGTCTTCGGACAGCTCACCCTTTTCTTGGGTGCAAAGAGGTCAGACCATAGCAGATGCGGTGTGTCTGTGGCCTTGCCCTTGCCTTTGGTTGGGCTATTCGGTGCTGGAAGCGGTGCTTTTGGTGATGATGCCGGTGTTTGCACTACACCGGGCTGATACCCAGCAAAGAAAGAGAGCGGCCTTGTCTTTTGCGAAGGAGGCGACTCAACCGCCAAAGACAGCCCAGGCTTTCCCTTGGCCTTGGCTCTGGTCGAAAGCGCCTTTCTAGGTGGCATCTCTCATTGTTTCTGGCTCAAGGTCGTGCGAGAGGAGCACAGTGTTGTTCTCTTCTCATGGCGTGGCTCGAGCACACCTCTCTTTCCTTCTTTTATGTTTCCCGTAATATTTGTTTCGCGTGGCCAATTCGCGCGCGCGCCGTAGAAAATTTGCGAGAAAAAAAGTTGTCAAGGCGGCGCGCGCTACAGCGAGCTTCTTTCCCTTGTAGGCCTTTTCTTCGACTTCACTCACGGTCGGTCTCGGGTCCAGCGAACAAGGGGCCGGAACGATAGGAGTCGAGAGTATCGATACAAGATGGACAAGCTTTACCAGTGCTTTGGGTCGACGCTCGACCCCAATCCCAATGCGCGAAAGGCGGCGGAGCTGGAGCTGAGGAAGCTCGAGACTCAGCCTGGGATGCTTCCTTCGGCCTTTTCGCTGCTGTCGAGCCAAGAGACGAGCCCAGAAGTCCGTCAAGCAGCTGCCATGTGAGTTGTGCCGAGTCGGCCTACAATCTCGTATCCGATGGGCTGATGAACGCCATTGTGCAGCTACGTCAAGAATCGCATTCGCCGCGCTTGGGACCCCGACTTCATCGTCGGCTCGAGCCAGAATCTCATCCCCGCCGAGGATCACGACGCCATTCGTCAAAGCTTGCTGCCTACGCTGCTGGGCTCTCCAAACCAGCAGATTCGCGTCCATGTTGCGGCCGCTCTCGGGGCCGTGGTCCGCTGCGACTTCCCTTCCAAGTGGCCCACGCTCGTCGATGAGATCAAGGAGCTCCTTGGCGATGGCAGTGGCGGGGACAGCAACAGAATAGCGGCCGGTCTCACTGCGCTGCTCGAAGTCGTGCGAGGGTACCGATGGAAAGATGAGGACAACATTATGGATCCTGTGGCCAATGCGACCTTCCCCACCCTCCTGACCATCTCCAACAACCTCTTGGCTTCGCCCAGCAGCTCTGCGCCAGAGGTCGGCCAGCTTCTCTACCTTGTTACCAAGATCTTTAAGACAAGCATCACGCAGCAGCTGGTCGACTACCACCAGGCCGATCAGAACATTGTTCCCTGGGGCCAGCTTCTCCTCGCTATCGTCCAGAAGGAAATTGACCCTAGCCAACTGCCCGCCGATGAAGATGCGAGACAGACAAGCCCCTGGTGGAAGGCAAAGAAGTGGGCCTACTTCAGCCTCAACAAGCTCTTTAGCCGGTGAGTCGTGTGCTGCTGTCGAGTTTTGCGCTGTGTACAAGGTGATGCTCATATATGATGATGGCGCGACAGCTTTGGAAACCCAACGCAGCTGCCCAGCAACCTGGCCAAGTACAAGCCTTTCGCCCAACGCTTCGTCACCACCTTTGCACCTGAAATTCTGAAGGTCTACCTCGGACAGACAGAGGCAAAGGTGCAGGGTCGTCTCTGGATGAGCGATCGTGCGATTCATCTCGTCCTCGCCTTTTTCACCGAATGCATCAAGCCCAACTCGACATGGGTTCTCCTCAAACCCAACGTGCTGCCCCTCGTCCAATCATTTGCCTTTCCCCTCCTTTGCCGTACCCAGACAGACGACGAGGTATGGGACCTAGACCCTACCGACTTTCTGCGGCAGCAGATGGATCCGTTTGACGACTTTGGAAGTCCTCGATCGAGCGCCGCCAACTTTGTCCAGACAGTGGCCAAGAAGAGGACAAAAACGGCGTTCCTGCCCATCCTGGAGTTTGTCACGAGTGTGCTCAATGCGTAAGTCAAGCTCCTCTTCATCAAGCTAGAAGATGGAGCACTGTTGGCTGACTGAGAGTGGCATTGCAGATACCCGGCCTCACGAACAGCAGCAGAGAAGGAAGGCGCTCTTTACACCGTCAAGACGCTCGATGATGTGATGCTCACCCATCCCATGGTCAAAACCAACCTCGAGTCATTTATGGTGCAGCACGTCATTCCAGAACTCAGCGGCCAGGATCGCTTCCTCAAGTTCCGAGCCGCAGAGGTCATCGCCAGGTTGTCGAGTGACATGGAGTGGAAGAATGGCGCCAGTCTTGAGTCGGCTTTCCAAGGCATCATGACGTGCCTTGGTGACAGTGAACTGCCTGTGCGAGTCCAGGCTGCTCAGGCGGTCACGCACCTGCTCGATCACGACGAAGTCAAAGATGCCATGCGGCCCAATGCCCCACGGCTCATGCAGGAGCTCTTGAACCTCTCCGATGAGGTGGAGCTCGACGTACTGACGGAGCCAAAGACACGCGTCATGGATGCTTTCCCCCAAGAACTGCTGCCGTTCAGCACCAAACTCTGCGAGCAGCTTGCCCAGAGCTACCTCCGTCTGGTCGGCGCAGGCATCGAAGCGGCCAAGGCTATCGAGGAAGCGGGCGAGGTCGGCCGTGAGATGAATCTTAGCACACTGGAGGAACAAGGCGAGGAAGACAAGATGTTTGCCGCCATGTCCTGCCTGACAACAATCTGGCAAGTCATCGACACTGCAGAGTCCCACGCCGAGACACTCAACCAGCTCGAGAAGATCGTGGTGCCCATCGTGACTTACACGATCCGCGAAAAAGTCTATGAGATGTTCGATGACTGCTTCGAACTGACGGACCTCCTCACATACTCGCAAAAGCGTGTCACCGACGGCATGTGGGAGGTTTTCCGGCTGATGTACGAGGCGATGAAGTCAGAAGAGTCGCAAGATTACCTCTCGGAGATGCTGCCCACACTCGACAACATCATCTCGTACGGCAAAGAGGCCTTCGAGGCCAACGCCGACCTTCGAAACATGGTCCTCGACATCTACAACACCGTCATGTCTGGTGGGGACGACTTTCAGGCGAGCGAGCGCATCGCGGCATGCAAGCTGGCCGATGTGCTTCTCCTCGTACTCAAGAGCGGCCTCGACGATGCCATCCCTGGCTTTGTCGGCTCAATGCTTCCCCTTGTCGGTCGCAAGAAGGAGAAGTCGCTTCGTCAGTGGTCTAACATCGTCATCGCAGACTGCCTATGCTACAATGCCCAGCTCACGCTGTCGGCCCTCGAATCGATGCAGGCAACGACGACCTACTTCCAAAATCTGCTGCAGATCTCGTCCAAGCTCAACAAGGTGCACGAGAAGAAGGTTGTGGCTGTGGCCCTGCTCAGCGTTCTGTCACTCGATCAATCGGCCATGCCGGCGAGCATCGGCCAGGCAGGAGGCGCGCAAAGTCTGCTTGTCGGATTGATCCAGGACCTCGAGGGGATCCCGAAGGCGATCGAGAGAATGAAGGAGTTCAACGAGGACCTGTTCGAAGACGAAGACGAGGTAGAAGGAGAGGCTTCCGGTGGCATTGACCTGGATGCAGGTGACGAAGATGTGGTGGACGAGGACAATGAGTACCTGGAACTGCTGGCGAAGGAAGCCGCGAGACTCCGTAGTCGAGCAGCAAAGGGCGCAGACGATGGTGACGATGTCGAAGAGGACGAGGATGCCGAAGACGAAGATGATGAGGACGCCGATGGCTTCGAATCACCCTTGGCTACCGTTCCCGTGTTCGACGGCTTTAGGAAGGTCCTCTCCTCGAGCGCATTTGTCCAGTCTTTGGCACAGAGCCTTTCGCCAAAGGACCAGGAGCTGCTGCAGGCCGTGTCACAGATCCAGGACGAGGACCTTTCCAAGTCGAGCAAGGAGCCTCCCTCGGTGCCTGCCTTCTGATGTCATGGTCCTTTCCCACACCCATATACCATCGCCTCCAATCTGTCTCTTCGGCACAAGAGCCAGCTAAACTAAAAGGGAACCCCGATTAATTGATAAATTTCTTCTATCGAACGAGAGATGCTACGTTTGCGGTCGTCGTTGTGAATTCTCTATGACCTGCAGTATCTCCCCACAGGACCGCTCAACGAGCTCGTCCAGCGACATCTGATCTGCCTCTAGGAGGATCAGGTTGCTAATAGGCGCGCCCTGCTCGTTGCTGTCCTTGTCGACCTTGACCACGTCTCCGCACTCCACGTCTTGCCCGCTGAACATTTGCTCGTGCGCAAGCACGTAGGCGGGCCACACGACGTCGTCAAAGTAGCCCGGCGGGTCCTGCCACACGGTGCCCTCTGCCGTCGCATAGCCTTCGCGTCTATGCCGCCGCTCCTCGAGGGTGTGACGCGGCACGCGCAGAAAGAGGCGGACGTCAATGTGCGCATGCACGCGGGGCGAAAAGTAGAGGAGAAAGCCGTCGAGGATGGCGAGCGTCAGGCCGTCGTCTGCGGCGAGGAGCGCAGCGAGGCGCGAGGCCAGCGGCCCGCCGTCGCCGCGCGACGCAGGCGAGAGGGGGGGCGCCGTTGAGGAGGCGTTGAGGTGGTCGTGCGAGGCGTGGTCCGGCGGCAGTGATCGGTGCGCCTCGATGTATTGGACCGTCCGATCGAGCCTCTCATAGTCAATCTAATCGATCGCAACATACACAAGCCCTCGACAGTCAGAGGAGAGGAAGAAACGCATTCTCTTCAAGCTTGTCCGACGACTCACCGTCCCGACGGGGTGGTCCCAATCCCGTGCCTGGGCCTTCTCGTTCCACGGCAGCTCCGACTCGGGCAGCGCAAAGTCGTCCTGGTGCACCATGATGCCCCGCCCAGCAGGCAGCATCGACAGGAGCCGCTTGGCCAGCGTCGTCTTGCCCGAGTTGGTCGCGCCGCCAACGCCGACGACGACGACGCGGCCCGCATCCAGCCCACCGGATGAGGTCATGGTCAATCAATCGCAGCCGGGTTTTGGGAGGAAAGAAAGAAACCAAAACCAAAACCAAAAAAAAAATAAGGAAGCTCCGTTATCGCCGCGTCCGCGCCTTGATCCTCCCAACCTGGCAGCAGGAGTGCGCTTCATCACCAATCCCACGCCAATGTAGCACCAGCTCCTTCAGCCTTTTGCTCTGTCCCTTTTTCAAATCTCTATCCTTTGCAGCAAGTCTGAGCTCCATGCACTACTATGAATGACAGGTTAGGAGAGAGGGATTTACTGCTGCGCAGGGGCGTGGCCGGCATCGGCCAGGACCTCCTTGAGGCTCTTGAGGAGGTGGTCGAGATCGCCGCGCTCCTTGTCGTTGACGACCGTGACGCCCATGTGGCCGATTCGGAAGTAAGTGTCCTTGACCTCCTTGTGCAGACCGGGAGCGAGCACGACGTTCTTTGCGACCATCTTTGGCAGCACGTCGGGCGCCTTGAGTCCGGTGGGGTACTTGACGGCCGTCATGCCGTGGGCACCATCCTTGATGCCGTCGGCGACGAGCTGCTCAAGGCCAAGACCCTGGATGAAGTTCTTGACGCGGTCAGAGGCGGCAACGTGCTGCTTGAAGCGCTCCTCAAGCGAGGGCGACTGCGTCGTCATCGTCGTGAGCGACTGGTGGAGCGCATAGATGAGGTTGGTTGGTGGTGTGCCAAAGTAGGCGCCCGTGCCGGCCTCGTAGGCCTTCATGACGGGCAACCACTTTTGCCAGGAGCCATAGTAGCTGTTGGGCCTCGTCTTTCGCGCCTCAAAGGCCTTGATAGCCTTGGGCGAGGCAGCAAGGATCACGAGGCCGGGTGGGCAGCCAAGGCCCTTTTGCGACGCGGTGAGGACGACGTCGATGCCCCAGTCCTGCATCCGGATCTCCTCGGATCCCACGCTGCACACGCCATCGAGGACAAGAATCGACTCGGGGCTGACGCGCTTGACGACCTCACCCAGACCCTTGGCATCCGAAAGGACGGCCGTCGAGGTGTCGACGTGGGTGAAAGTGACGACCTTGTACTTCTTTGACTTGAGCTTCGCCTCCACCTCGGCGAGCGAGGGCTTTGAGCCGATGGGCGCCTTGAGCTGGTCGACCTTGGCGCCGTATGTCTCAAGGCATTCGGCAAAGCTGTCACCAAAGTAGCCGCTGTTGAGCACGAGCGCATCCTCGCCAGGCTCAATCACGTTGGCTGCGACATGGTCCCAGCCCAGCGTGCCGCTGCCGGCAGTGATGACCGGCTGTGCGTCGGGCGCAAAGAGGACTTTTCTGTAGCATTCCATCGTCGTTGTCAGGAGGCAAGACCGTCGAGGAGGCTGCTGGGAAAAAGACTCACCGGACCATGCGAATGCAGTCGCCAAGGACAGGGATAAAGTCGGGCGACATGTGCGACATGGACGGGTGCGCATTGGCCAAGAGCACATCGTCGCCGACCTCAATGGGTCCTGGGATGACCAGGAGCTGATCCAGTCCGCGTCAGCATTTAGCTCTACGTGAAGCTTAGGAAAGGAGGGGAAAGACTGACCTTGTGAGGGGCTTGCTTGAATTCTTGGCTGCTCATTGTGTATCGAAGCGTCGAAGGGAGACTATTCTGCTGTTGCAAATGCCCAGAGATCATTTGTATCCGTTCCGCAGCGACAGTGGGAGTACCCGGTTGGACGGCATTTGTTTCCGTGTCGCGCGCGGTGGGTGTCGTGGCAGTGGGCGGATGTGATTTCAATGTCGGTTTTCCGTATACGGGTTCCCGCGGCGGTGGTGTTTGAGCGGTTTCAGATGGCGACGAATTGGATGAGGAAGACGACCGAGGAGCCATGATGATTGTTTTTGAAGGAAGGAAGGAGGAGTAGAAGGGAGGTCCGCGTCAGAAATGTGAAGAAGCACGAATACGCCGCGGCTCGGAAGATAGTAGAGCCTCTGTAGTTCGGCAAGACAGTGGCAAGATGGTAACGACAGTGGCGACGACCAAGCGATGGTGATGGTGGTGGAAAAGAGAAGCGCACAAGTCAACTCACCTGACTCGGACGAAGAAACGGAATGAGAATAAAAAAGGTGGGGGTGTGGAACGAAGAAGTCCTGCCAGTGCTATTGTACTGTGGCTCTCTGTCCGGCCAGTGGAGGGGGAAGGCGGCGCTTCCTCTAATCTGCTTGCCGAATGACGCGGCGCTAGAGCCCTTAGGCCCACTTCCTCCGTCTTGAAAAAGCGATTAGAAATTGGCTTCTTCCAACTCATGACTGTCTTCTTTGTCCCCATTGATTCCCTTCTACTTCTGCTTTTCGCTCTCTGTCGAAGACGCCCTATTCTGTGCAATTGCACCTGTATTCTCACAACCATTGAGCTTCCCTCACGGTGCGAAACGACCTCTGCCGCGCCTGCGTATGTGTCTGCCAGTGGCAGTCGGTCGGAGCAACTAAGTTTATCCACCTTCCCCACATCTCTTTCGTACGAGAAGAAAGCCAACTTACATTGGCTCCGTGTTGGTCACCATGGGTTACAGACGGAATTCTCAGAGGTAGAGTGGTCAGCCCCTTTCTGGGATGCAACAGTGGCAGAGCCTCTTCCCGCCAGGGAGGAAAGGCTCCTAAGACCAACGTTGATGAACGAGAACACGTCTGTCGGCCGAGACGGGGTGGAGGAATGGCAGTGGATGAGGTCAGACGTGCATGCTTCCTAGCACTACTCGCGCGGCGCACGGCTCACAGTCTCAACGACGCTTTCCGCTCGTGTTGCGACAAGGCCTCGACAGCTGGGGGGACGAGATGGTAGTCGCTGGGCCACGTCGATTGCGGCTCGGCGCAGCTGGGAGAGATTTACTGTGGTGTTCCTCTCCAATATCGTCAAGCTGGGTGTGCCCGTGTCGAGCAGCTTCCTCCTTTGCAAGAAAGGTACCAGGAAATGGCGCTCTCCAGGTCACGGATCCCCTGCTCTACTACCGTTCCATGGCTGCCAAGGGCGAAATCAAGGAAGATGCCGAACAGATACGGGTCCTTGTGGAAGTGAGTCAGTCTCGTATCAATCCCTAGCTACGGTCGATAGGCGAGCTCATTCACAATTGACCATGCAGCTGCGGAAGCTGACGAGAGCGTTGCAAGACTACACTCCACCGGCCCACTTGCTCGGCGTGTTGCAGTCCTCGGCGCCGTCTCCGGACCAGCAAGATCCTTCCTCCTCGCCCGCAACTGACGAAAACATCAACGCGCTCGTCAAACACCTTTCCGAAGAGAGTTTCGTCGAGTCCTTGGACACACCCCGCGGCCTGCTTCTGACTGGCAAGCCGGGCACCGGCAAGTCCTTTCTCGTCGATACGTGGTTCGAGTGTTTGCCCGTCCGCGGCAAGTTCCGGAGGCATTACCATCACCTGCTCCTCACGATCTACCGCCTCATCTGGCTCGAGGCCGAGCGACGGCGGCAAGGCTTTGGCGCTTTCGGAACGCCTGCCGGCGGGGTGGCACCAGAACGCGGTGTCGGTGCCGTCTGGCAGCGCGTGGAAGCATCCGAAGAAGATCGAGGGGCCCCCAAGGGCAGACGGAAGAAGTCTCTGGGAGAGTGGGCACAAACAATCCGGGGAGGGGTGCCTTTTCTGAGGCCGTCACGCGACTCTCCTGTCCCACCGTCGGCCTTTGACGGGACCGACATTGACGAGGAAGCCCGAAAGGGAATGGACGTTGTCAAGCTTGCCCAGATGGAAAGACAGGAGGAGAATGTGGCAGGAATGGCGCACGGCATGGGTACCACGCTGCCGATGCATGTAGCCGCCCAGCTGTTCTTGAGCTGCGGTCACGTACTCGTCTTTGACGAGATCCAGTTGCTCGACATTGCGTCGGCTACGCTGCTGAGGAGGATCTTGACCTCCTACTGGCGCCTCGGCGGTGTCGTCGTGGCCACGTCGAACCGCGTCCCCGAGGATCTATACGCCAACAATGTGCAACGGAGAAGCCTGGTGGCTTTCCTGGCTGCCTTGAAAGAGAGATGCCCGGTCGTCGAAGTTGGTGGAAAAGATTGGCGTGTTGAAAGATACAAGCAGGGCTGGGGTCCATGGGCCGAAATGACAGAGGAGGACAGAAGGAAGACACTCTTTTTCGTCCGGCGAGCTCGTGGAGGACAAGACGACGCCGACTTTGACAACGCAGTCGCTCAACTCATTGGCGATCGCAAATGTGAGAGAGAGCCCTCTTGCTAAGCTGAATTACATTTCCGGAAGCTGACGCTCTTCATGTATAGCTGAACCGTCGACGGTGCAGGTCTACAACCGCCAAGTCGCTGTCACTACATCCTATTCACAGACTCAGAGCCTGCCCTCAACTGCTTACTTCACATTCTCCCAGCTCTGCGATACAGCCCTGGGTCCGGCAGACTACCTGACGCTGGCCTCGACCTATGGCGCCTTTGTCTTGGATGACATTCCAGCGTTGGATCTGGTCCACCGCAATCAAGCTCGACGACTGATCACCCTCATCGATGCGCTGTACGAGGCCAAGTGCAAGCTCATCGTTCGCTCTCAGGTGCCTGTCACGGAGATCTTCTTTGCCCGAGAGGGACGAGAGGTGCAGCGAGAAAATGCGCGCAGAGAGCGGCTCGCATCGGGTGAAGCCACACCAGAGGAGGAGCAAGAGGAGGACAGAATGGGGACGAGCGAATTCATGCAGAGCGAGACGCTGAGTGAGGCCATGCAGGATACCGAGGAGGGCTTTCGCCCTAACATCTCAGCGTACGGACCCATCACGGACGATTCCAGCAGAAAAGCAGGGAGAAGGGCTGAGCCTGGTCGAGAATCCCAAAGGCAGGAGCGTGAGCGCAAGGAAAAGGGCGCACAGGGGGGACTGGCGACGCTCTCGATCTTTTCGGGCGAAGAGGAGCGCTTCGCCTACCAAAGAGCCGTGTCGAGGCTGTGGGAGATGTCGCATCCTTCATGGAGCCTGCAGAGCTGGAAGCCCTTGCTTGGTACTGACCTGGGCGCATGGCGAGGCGGCGAGAGCAAGCTCACTTCGATGAGTGCATCAAGCATGAATGTGGGCAACGGTCCTTTCGGCAAGGCAGCGGACGATGAAGAGGACTTTGCAGACGAGGCATCCTATGCACGGTCCACCTTTCCGCCGTCCTCTCGCTTCGCAGGACTGGGTATCAACCTCAGCAAGGGCGGCCCAATCGGGCCGCAAGCCTTTTCAGCTTCGCAGACCGCGCGCGCCTCGGCGTATGAAGAGGCGGAGCAGGCAACAGCCAGCAGTGCAAAGAAGAGCAGAAGTGAGGGCCCACCCGTACTCAGTGAGGCGCACGTATGGGGTGTCCGGGACGACTGGGGCCCAAAAGCTGGTCGTTGGGGTCGCGGAGTGAGAGATCTCGAAGATGAGGGGCGGGGCGATGGGCACGAATCGCCCCGGCAGAGAAGGGCGAGGTTGAGAGAAGAGAGGTTGAGAACGCAAAAGGACAAGAGCGATTGATGATAGATAGTGCATGTAAACAGCATTGCTCCTAGACGGAACGACGATATCTAGACATCAATGACATGCTAATTTCAGAGCTATTCTGAATGTTCCTGCCTGCGCTTGGCACCAAGCTTTCTCGATTTTGCATTGCTCAACGGTTGCGAGGTGCGCTTAGCATCTCTTCTGGGCAAGATGAAGGCTGAGCTCTGAGTCTGGGAGGCCAGAAATATCGAGCCGCGCACGAACAGGAAGTGATAGGTGCGCTCGCTCGGCACCTTGGCTCTAGCCAAGCAATTGACACAACAGCTTTCCGTTTTGCTCTCGTTGGCAATCACATTCGCGTCGCGCTGCGCGATTCGCAAAGTGCTGACGAGCGGAGGGAAGGACCAGATGGCGTCAAAGAGCACATCTGCGATTGCAGGAACCGTGCGCATTCAGAGGCATCGAGCAAGCAAGATATATATAAATTCAGGCGCTTGTGCATGGCTCGAGCTGAGCCGAGACGTCACACACCAAAGGGACACCGGAAGCCGCACGTAAAGCCATCGAGTTTTTCTTGGCCTTTTTCTGCTTTGAAATAAAATTTCCTTGGCTTCTTTGTTTCTCTCGCCTCTCTCTCGCGGGCTGGCTTGTATTAATTTGTCGCTCTTGGCTTGGCGTCTGCCGAGGCAGACAAGCACGACAGAGCAAACGCAGCGAGGGCTTGGCCTTGACTTTTCCTTTCTTTCCGGCTAGGGCGAGATAGATAGACGGAGATTCATCGAGCTGTCAAGAATGAGGAAATTTAGTCTGGGCGCCGAGGCAGCCGTGCAGCCTCCAGTGGTTGCTTGTTGAGGATGAAGAAGAGGATTGGCGGGACAAGTCTTGGCGCCGTGTCTGATATATATTCTCAAGGTGACGGCCCTCAAGGGACCGCTGAACCATCACCGTTTCCTTGCATTGCTTCCCCGTCACATATCCTGCTACGCGGCACCATTGGGCACAAAGAGAGATGCTCTGCCTTGGGTCAAGTTCCCAGATGATGACCACCGCGATTCCTGCATCACCCCGAAGCCCACGCTCGTCGTCCTTTCGACGACTGTTTCATCGCCAAAGCTCTTCGCCGTCCACCTCACCAAGGCCGCGCTCAACAGCGAAGCTGTATGACGATGGGGAAGACGACGACGAGCGCTCGATCCTCCCGCATGCGTCATCATCAAACCTTTTCCCGGAGAAGAGGAGATCATCGTCTGATCATCTAACGAAGAGAGACGGGGACGAGCTAGCACCAAATGAGGAGACTCAAGAGAGAGTAGCGAAAAGAGACGAAGCAGAGCAGCGACAAAAACATGACCGTCCGGCAGTCCCGGCAGCGAAGTGGTGGTCAAGGTATGAGAACCAAAGCGTTCGAGGTGCAAGACGTCGATCTGCAAGTCCACCCCAGCAAAGCACAGCCGGTTTGCATGGTGCTTCGTCGCCACCGCCACCAGTCTTGATGGCATGGCCTGCAGGGCTTCTCATGGCAAGCGCTCGTCCTTCGACTATCCACCAAGCATCTCGACGAGAGCATCAACACGTCAAAACAGCGAAGTTCAGGAGCTCTATCGAGGAGGATGAGGAACAACATTCTCTCATCAGCCGAAGCAATACCATCAAAGCCGCTAGGTAGGCTTGCCGGCCACGCCATACCATGTAGGACAAGGGAGACATGTGTTTAGAAGAGAGCGGCGAGCACAGGAGCCAATCAGTAGTTTTAGGAGGCTCGACTAGGGTAGTTTTGACCATCTTTCAAATTTTCTGTAATGACATCAAGTTGTGGTATTGAGAGCAATCTGCCCTTGTCTCCCAGCCCTGTCTTTTGTTGATCTGGTGTGATGGCGTTCCGGTTCGCCAAGAAAGGCTGCACGGACCGGAATGGAGCGCGTCTAGCGAAAGTCTTTCTTCTTCACACATCGCCATATCGCATTTGAACCTGGCCATCCTGACCATGTCCCCACCCACGGCGTGCCACCGCTTCGTGCAGCGGGTCACAAACGCCTTCCTCTCAGCTGGCGGGCACGACTCGTCGTGCCTCGCTCAGTCCTCGGTTCGCCTTATTCACGCACAACCGGGCCTCGTCCGTCTCGGCCTCACAATCGGCAAGCACAATGTCAACCGGCTCGGCTCGCTGCATGGCGGCCTGATCTGCACCTTGACCGACACGATGGGGAGCCTGGCTCTGGCAAGTAGGGGCCTGTACAGCACAGGTGTATCGACAGACATCAGCACGACTTTCGTGAAGGCGGCGGGCGTAGTGGGAGACGAGGTGCATGCAGAGGGCAGGGTAATCAGTCTCGGTAAGTGAATGCAGAGCAACGTTCTCCCAAGCTACAAAGCGCTGACGGACAAGCGCAGGAAAAACGCTTGCGACGACTCGAATGGAGCTTCGGCATCCCGTCACCAATGCCATTCTAGCCTTTGGATCTCACACGAAGTTCGTCGGAAAGGCACACGGGCATGCAGAGAATGTCGAATTCGACGACCAAGGGAACCTTATCAAGGGCAGGAATCCCGATGAATGGCCGGACAAGTAATGTTTATTGCATCTAGAAATACAAGCGAGAGACTACGCAAGGTCAGTCACCCATCGACCCTGCACCAGGCGCTGCTTTGCCTCAACCGGCGGGAGACTCCAGCCGACATGACTGGCCCTCTCGTCGGCTTCACATGCTGGACCCGTTCCGTACGATGGGACAAGCATCACGGTTCTTTCTGTGGGAGCAGCAGTAGTTTTGTCCTGGACGCTACCGCCCTTGAGCGCTCTTGCGGCCGCGACGAGCTTTGACATTGTCGACGATCCATCATTGAGTTCGATTGGCTTGCTGAAGCTGCAAAGGCTCCTACCCAAGCCCGAGAGCCAGGCAGGGTTGATTCTCGTCAAACCCTTTAGCCAGATGTTGCCTTGCCTTCCTTCGTTCTTGCTCCTTGCTCGGTGCAACTCGGTAAAGATGACCCATTCTGGTGGCTTTTGGTGAAACAGCACGCTCGTCTGGTGCAGGTAGCAGGCCTGGCCTGGCACGCCCATAGCAAGGAAAGCGACGCCTCTTGTCGATGTCATCTTGGCCCCCTGTCGCATCTGACGGTCGAACTGCCTCGCCAGCGGGTCCGAAGCATCCTGCAGCGACGCAACTCTTGAGGCGCTCTCTGGTGCCAAGTCGGCTCTGATAGCGACTTGATCCACGTAAGCGGCGCATAGGAGCTGACGCAGCACCGTCAGCTGCTTGGTCGTAGGTGGAGCTGCGAATTTGGGGTTGCCCAGCTGTGCCGCAAGCTTCGGTGCTTCCTCAGGCCCGGCATTGGCCATGACAATGCTCGCAATTTGGCCTCGAAGTTTGTGAATCTCCTCCATCGCCTTGGGCATGAGGAAGTGGGCGTGGCAGAACGCCTGGGTGGCACCATCGTGCTCGTACGCACCCACGACGCTGAGGAGCCTCAGAGGATCACTGGCGCCTTCGCTCATGGAACCGAATCGAGCCAAGGCTTTGAAGTAGGCGCTCCTTCGGCTCTTGCCAGCCTCTACTCTTCGTACCTTCTCGCTCCTAATGTGCTCCAGCTCCGGAGGCAGGTCCTCGTCCATCGTGCTAACCTTGGCTCCGTCTTCATCCTCTTCGTCGTCCTCGCCATCGTGCTCGCCGAGGCTCTGCTCCTGCACAAAGGGATCCCCCACAGTCAAAGCTGCGACTAGAGCGACGATGAAGGGGAGGCAGCCGTGCTGATTGCCCTGCACCAGCAGCTTACTTAGCCGGGGGCCGAGCGGGAACAAACTCATCGCTCGTCCGAGCTGTGTGATCCGCGACTGGCTGCCCTTTCCGCTCATCAGGCCTTGCATCTCGAGAGCGCCAAGCCTAATAAGCATTCTTTCGGCCTTTTGCAGCGCAGCCCGATCCGGAGGGGTAGGGAAGGGGAAATGGGCTACCTGATCGATGTTCATCGCCTTCATCTGCAAGACCAAGCCATCGACAGGCGTGCGCAGGATTTCGGGCTGAGAGAAGCTGTCAAAGTGGTCCTCGTATACGGCACTCGAGTAGAGTCGATAGCAGTGGCCAGGCCCGGTACGGCCTGCACGGCCGCTTCGCTGATTGGCGCTGGCCTTGCTGATCCAGGAGACTTCGAAAGACTGCACGCCAGTCGAGGGATCGCAGCGCCGCTCCTTTGATCGACCACAGTCGACAACGTACGAAATGCCGGGGATCGTCAAGGACGTTTCGGCCACATTTGTAGCGACAACGACCAGACGAGTGCCAGCTGGAGGAGGTTGGAACACACGCATCTGCCGGTCAGACGACAGGAGCGAGTAGAGGGGCAAGATATGCATCGGCACATCTGAGTCGTCCTTGAGCTCGTCCGGCATGTCGGCATCGTGTGCCTCGCCTCCTTCCTCATCGTCCGAATCGAGTGCGTCCTCGTCGGCATCGCTCAAGTCTTTTTCTTCGCCATCGACATCAGCTGCCAAGTCCTGATCCGCTACACCGAGGTCTATCTCCTCCGCTTCGACATCGCCATCCTTGGCCGCCAAGGCGACTCTGTCATCGGATCGAAGCGTTTCGCCTTCTTCGTCGTCATCATGTCTCACAGCGGGCGCGCCAGCAAGGGTTATTCTCTCCCTGTCTCTCCTTCTCTGCTCTATCGCCCTTTTCCCAAAGCGTTTCTCTAACCGCTTGCAAACCGTCGTGATCTCCTGTTGGCCCGTCATGAAGACAAGAACGCCGCCAGCCGGGAGCCTTGCATGGATTTTGGTGACCTTCTTGACCGCCTCGGCAATGTAGTCGTGAGTCGTTCGGCGATTGAAGTGCACTGTGACTGAATGCTGGCGTGCCTCAACATTGATGACGGGAGGCGGTGTGTCGAACAAAGTCGAGTTGCGAACAAAGTCATCGACGCGCAGCGTAGCACTCATGATGATGAGGCGCAATGGCTTAGCACCGCTTTCACCTTCTATCCATCGCTTGGCGCGGAGCTTAACGACTCGGCTTAAGACGCCGATGAGGACGTCAGTGTTGACGCTCCTCTCATGCGCTTCGTCGATGATGATGGCGCTGTATTTTTCCAACAGAAAGTTGGCCGCCAGCTCGCGCAAGAGGACACCATCGGTCATGAACTTGACCGACGTCGAAGGGCTCACAGTCGCGTCGTATCGAATTTGGTGGGACACGCGTGTTGACGGTAGCGACAGTTCCGAAGCTACCCGCTGCGCCATGCTGAGAGCGGCCACACGACGAGGCTGCGTGACACCGACCAAGCCCGGATTTGCCGTGCCTGGAGAACTGAAGCCCGCCTCAAAAAGAAACTGGGGAACCTGCGTCGTTTTCCCGCTTCCCGTCTCACCGCACAGCACCGTAACCTCATTCTCCAAGATTGTCGTCATAATGCGCTCCTCCTCGGCCAAGACGGGAAGCTTCAATCTCGCATCCTGCAGCTCTTCCGAGCGCTCGACAGTGACCGTGCGCTTCCTTTTCGTCTCTTTCCCGGCCTCCTCGTAGAACTTCTGCGCAAAAGCCGATCTCTCGCTCATCTTGGGCGCATCGGCGCCTAGAGGTCCTCGAACGACACCGTCTTGTGGTCCAAGCTCACTAACTTTTTGCTTCAATCCTGCCACTGGCTCGGGACCACGGTAGACGCCGTCTTGATCATCCTCGCTGTGCTTCGCCTCAAGTCCTAGGGCCGCATTTGCCCAGTCCTTGAAGCCCGAGGATCGATTTGTCTGTCCGAGTCCACGTCTCCGTGATGCCATGGGATTCATGAGGGCCTCATCATCTTCACTGCTTTCTCCCTCATCGTCATCTTCCTCGTCATCATCTTCCACATCGTCGTCGTCGTCTTCCTCTCCATCCTCCTCCTCCTCCTCGTCTTCTTCATCCTCAACCATGTCGGCTGCCTCCTTGTCTTCCGCAATGTGTCCGCCTTTTACAGATGTGTGCCCTCCCTCGTCTAGGCTGGACCCGTAGTCAGCGTCCTCTTCGCTTTCAAAAGCAGTGAAAGGGAGCTCCAGTTCCCCTTCCCCTTCCTGAGCGTCGTCTACTGGTCCTCCTTCCTCGTCATCGAAACGCGGCGGTGTCTTGTTGGGATCCCCCAACATGCCTCGAAGCCTCATTGCTTCCATCAGAATCGCCTGCTCGTCTTCGTCTGTCTCTTCGCTCGCATCATCTTCCTCATCAGAATCTCCTAAGGAAGAAGCAGAAGAATCCTCGAAATCATCGGAGCCATCTTGGCCCTCCATCGCCACGCTTCCTTCAATCTCCTTTCCTTTGCCCTTGCCCTTGCCCTTGCCCGTCGACGGCTTAAAAGGCGAGTCGAGATCATCGAGAGCTAAATCAGCCTCTTCGCTGCTGTTTCCTCGCGTACTCTTGTTTCCGACATTCTCGATACTACTGTCTCCTTCATCATAATCGGTTTCTCCTTCGTCTGAGCTCGCAGAGCTGTCAAAATCACTGCTCTCTTCGTGGTCATCGTCGGCCTGTCGAGTCGTCGCCCTTCCCCAGGCTGTGCCTGAGCCGGGCATCCTCCGCCGCTTGTTCTGCTTGTTCTTCTTGCGTATTTTCATTGTTGCAGCGATGGGCTTTCCGTCAGGTCCCAACGCCAACGCTGAACCAATGGCTTGATCGTCTTTGCTATCGGTTGATGGACCCGCTTGGGCGAATAGTGCGCGTGCAGCCGCGATACGTGCTTCTCGTTCATCGTGCTCTTCACTGTTCCCTTCTCCCTGCTCCTCATGATCGGCGATTTTGTCTTCTGGCTCCTCGTCGAGATCGGCATCTTCATCATCGCTCAGATCGCGTACCTTGAAACCGCCCTTTCGCCGCTGTGTTGTTCTCTCTGTCCCTGCCTCATTCCGCTCGATCCTCTCTCGGCCGCTGAGCACCTTTCCAGTTCCCAGAGTCGAAGCGCTCAGCAGTGCGCTGCGGTCTCCCACCTCGGCGCTAGTCTTGGCCAGATTAGCAAGGAGCTCCTTGTGCTCTTCCTTGCGCAGCTGGCGAGCGATGTATGCGTCAAGCCGCTTCCTCTTCTTGCTCGAGATGGGCGCTGATGCAGCTTCAGGGGCTGGACCTTGAGCCAGAAGCTACCGATTCTTCTGTCAGCCTTCACCGCCGCAACTCTACAAGAAGCTCGACACTCACTGCTCTTCGCTTCTGGTCTTCCTCAGCCTTGGCTCTCCGCTCTTCCGGGTCTATGATCGTCTCGTCAATTACTTGGTCTTCGCCGCTCCCTACCTTGACTCTTCTCCGCTTTTTGTGGCTAGATCCTCCCACCGATGACTGTCTCGCCTTGGCATTGAACCTTTCTCGCTTGGGTGGGCCCGCCATGGTGCTGCTAGTCTTGACAGAAATGAGGAGGACTAGGACCTTCGCAATCATTCAAAAAATTTCGAGGCTGCTTAGATAAGCGACGTTAGAGGGCTTAGGGTCCTGAAAGTTTAAAAAAAAATGAACGAGGTCGTGCCCTCGCTGCTCCTTTTCGCCCTCTCTTTTCCTCTCGACTCTTTGGCTTTCGCTTCATCACGCCTTTCTCGCTTCGAAGCCTCGCATAGCCATCTCAAAGCAACCGACATGGGAAACGGAAACGTGAGTCTTTCTCTCGGTCCTCGAACACATGTAGTCGAAGTGACAATGCTCACTCGTGTCCCCCTCCCTTTCACTATGACCCCCCCCCTTTCCTGTTCGCTTCTGCGCGATTTGACTTCATTACCCTAACTCACCATCTTTCCGGTTCGCCGCATTTGCTTCTACTCGATACAACAGCGAGCACAGCAGAAGCGTGAGCGCAACGCTGCAGCGGCGAAGAAGGAGCCCAAGTCGCAGCTCAAGACCAACCGTGGGTGTCTCGCGACATTGACGTGATGTACGGAAGACTGATCAGCTGACCTTTCATGTGCCTTTCAGAGGCGGCCATGAATGTCATCTGCATGAACTGCAGGCAGACTTTCCTCCAGACCGTCAGGGAGCCAGCGGTGAGTAGCGATACATTGATGAGCATATGAAGGTGTCGCGTGCGAGCATCACTACGGGGACCACTTTTTGGCCTACTTGGGGAGTCCGAACTACTGCTGAGTCCGAACTACTGCTCTCTGTCCGTTCGTAACATGACTCGATGGAGAGCAAGAAGGCGGTCCCGCCCGAGATCGAGGTTTCGAAAGCGGAGAAGGGCGATTCATCGCTAGGACAGTGGCAAGGGGCTTCAGCATCCAGCTTCTTCTGCATGAAGCTCGTGATTCGCTCTTCGTTCTGCTCTCGGAGTTCTCTGCTCTGGCCCCCTTGATCCTCTTGCTCGCATCGTCGCTGTTGGCCCGGTTTTCAGGATTTGCTGACTTAAAAGTAACTTTCCAGCTCAAGGAACATGCCGAGAAGCACAAGAAGGTCAGTATCATCATCGTGCCTCTCCAGCTTGTGTTACGACTAACATGCTGATTGTTTGTTGCAAATTCAGACTTTGAAAGAGTGCTTCCCGTCCTTCACTACGGCCGCATAAACAAAGGGCGTAAAAGGCACTTCATCAGATGTGCGATTCATAGACACATTGGCACCCACCTTCTATTCGAACATCCCGCTGTCCCCCTTCCCCTTTCCTTCTCTGTAATGGTATATATTCCCTAGATCCAACGGACTTTTCCTGTCCGGCTTGATGTCCGTTCGTTCTATGTGGCTTTGCGAACAACGTCGATGCAGGGCAGGGTCATTGTCGGGCGATGACGACACGTGTTCATCGGAAGACGCGACGGTTGGACCCGAGCCGAGGACTGGCAAGGGAACCTTTTTTCCAATTCACCCTAAGAACGCCCCACCACCACCTCCGACGTTTCTTCAGCCTTGCTGATCAACTCTCCTTCCTCCATCACTCCTTGACAACATGAGCATTCCCTCGCAGCCCGTTCCCCCTAGCTGGAAGGACCTTGGCAAGGCCGCCAGCGACCTGCTCGGCAAGGACTAGTGAGTGGAGCAGCGGCTGTCTTACAGAAGCTTTATAAGAGTGACGACGACTGACCGGCCAATAAACCGGTCTCTGATTTCAGCCCCATCCATGGCTCGACGCTCGAGGTCAAGACCAAGACGCCCAACAATGTCACCTTCCGCGTCCTTGGCATGCGCGACTCCAAGACGGACAAGATCAACGGCGACCTCGAGGCCAAGTGGGCCGACAAGAAGAGCGGCACCACGCTGACCCAGGCCTGGTCGACGTCCAACGTGCTGCGCAACCACGTCGAGCTCGAGAACCACATCGCAAAGGGCCTCAAGCTCGAGCTCATCACGACGCTCATCCCTGACAAGCAGTCCAAGAACGCCGTCGTGGCCAGCACGTACAAGCAGCCCGGTGTCCACACGAGGCAGCACCTCGACCTGTTCAAGGGCCCCACCGTCACTGCCGACGCCGTCCTGGGCCGCGACGGCTTCCTGCTCGGTGGTGAGGCGTCGTACGACGTCAAGGACGGAAAGCTGTCCAAGTACAACCTCGCCGCTGGCTTCCACGCGCCCGAGTACGCCGTCACCCTGCACGCGCTCGGCAACCTGAGCCTGTACACGGCCAGCTACTACCACCGGGTCAACCCCGACATTGAGACGAGCGCCAGGGCCACGTACGACACCAAGGGACCCGCCAGCGCCGTCAACCTCGAGGTCGGCACCAAGACCTACCTCGACAACGCCGCCTTTGTCAAGGCCAAGATCAACAACGCCGGTATCCTCTGCCTCGGCTACACCCAGGCCCTGCGCCCCGGCGTCAAGGCCTCGCTCGGCCTGGCCCTCGACACTGTCAAGCTGTCGGACAGCAACGGTGCCAACGCCCACAAGGTCGGCGCCTCGATGGTCTTTGAGGCCTAAAGAGAAGGGGAATAAAAGAGTCACTGGCCCCCCGGAAAGCTGTATAGTCGTAGAGGAGACCAAGCCGTGGTCCGCGGTCTCGTCGTCCTACCCTGTTTGGGGCAGACCCAGGTCGCGCATACGCTCCCCCTTAATTGATGATGAAATGCTTTGCGGGTCCCTCTTGGATTGCGTGTGAACAGAAGAGTCATTTGGAGCTATGATACAGATACAGTAGTGGTGATGATGTCTGTCAACCTTTGAATGCGGCGAGCACTTCGTCGATGTGGTCGAGACGGTCCTTTGAGTTGAGCCGCCTCAGTCCGCTCTGGAGGCTCTCCGACGTCTTCTGGGCGCACTTCCACATTCTCACTTGCCTGGCGCTTTTGCCGCCCACGAGACCTGCGCCCTGCAGCGTTGACTTGCTCCGAGCCGTCGCAATCTGGTCAAGGACGACCTCTGTGCCCTGCAGGCGGCTCGTGTACTGCGCCGATACGCGGTCGTCGCGAGCGAAAAAGTACAGAGGCAGGGGGCTCGACAGGTCGTCTTCCTCGACGCGCTTTGCAATCGTCGACGACTGCTCGACCTTGGGATCCAGGAGCGAGAGGTCGTGCCTGGAGATGCGGACGAGGTCCCAGAGAGCCATGAGGACCAAGTCGCCGACGGCGTTGGCGACGAGATCGTCGACGGCGGCGACGATGCTGGCGCCTCCGCCGCTGTACTGGTCTCCTTGCCTGGTCGTGCCCGAGACGCCACCAGCGCTGCTCGAGGGACGCCGCTTGTGGCTGCGCAGGCCGTCGCTCACGAACCGGTTCACGCAATTGTGACTGACAGAGATTGGGTCTGCCTGCGTGAGAATGGCGCCGGTGGATGAGGTGTTGGACGGACCGAGGTACGAGACGAGGGCCTGCTGGACGGCCGAGATCGACTCGAGGATGAATGGCTGGCCCTCGGACATGAGGAGAACCTGGATGTACGACGCCAGGAGGCTCGTCTGGTCCGAGAGAATCGAGTTGCTGGGAAGAAGAAGACACTTGTTAGTTGTGTGTCCCGCATACAAGGCATCTGAACCCACTCAATGGCGAGCTTGAGGCTGGTGCGCAGCTTGCGGAGCCGGGAGGCCGTTCGCGGGTCGAGCTCATGCCGTGCCTTGCGTGCCCGTGCCCTGCGTTGTTGCATCGAGCCCTCGTCTTCGTCGGCGGGCAAGTCCTCAGCTTCGTCATCGGGGAGATTGTTGACGAACTTGGAAAGCGCCCCTGTCAAGACGATCGACGTGCCCTCCCATCCTTTTCCTAGGGATATGCAGCTGAGAGACACCAACAGTGTCAGTTTCGAGCGAGTTCACGACACCTTTACTTTGCTGGGATGGCTCACTACCCAAGCGGCGTGCTGGCTGCGTTGCCAGACGTTCCAGACTGGTTGAGATCGAGCAAGAGGTCGAAGTTGGCATCGCGGATCATGAGAATCGTTTCGTGGTCTTTGCGATCGATGGCTCGGAGGAGATCGTGCGTCTCCCACGCGTGGTTGAGGCGTTGCTCTGTGCCCTTTGCATCGCCGCCTTCTCCCTTTGCTTTCCTGGAGCGAGCACCCTGATCGCCCTCACTTTGCGCGCCAGTCGCACCAGAGAGCTGACCAGCAAGTCGCTGCCGTTCTTGCCACTGACTGGAATGGCTCACGTGGATCTGCGCGAGCAGCTCGACGATGGCGCGCATACCCCGATTGGCCTCGGAGCGCTGCCCGAGCATCTTGCTGTCCAGCGACCAGTTGAGCTGCGCTTCTTCGAGCGCGGCTGCCACGCACTTCCTCTGCTCCTCGTCCTCGAAGAGCGCGTGAAGCTGCTCCGGCGACAGCTTCGGAAACGCATCCTCGCCCTCTCCGTCTCCGTCTCCTCGGCCTCTCGGCCCATCTCCGTCCACGCTGTACTCAGGGCGGGCTGGCCCCTGCCCCTGCTCGACATTGGCACCCACTCTCGGGGAGGTAGACGTGCCGACGGACCTGAAGCTCGACGTGACTGCGCTGACAGCATCAGCAAACGAGAACTTGTGCTGGTCCATTTCGTTCACACCGGCGGAGCCCCTCCGTCGGGCGCAGTAGTCAGTCTGTGTGGAGTAAGTCGTGTCACAGCAGCCCACGAAGCCTTTTCTACCGCCGATGCGTCTGGTGGTCCGAGCGCGAGCCTCAAAGCATCACACTAGTCTCAATTCTCACTGCTCAATCTTCCTTTTTTGTTCTCTTTCACCACTCTCTGTAAGCAATGAAGCATCAAATGACGACTTTCTTTCTGGCTAAATGTGCACATGAGCATCCAATCTGACTACATGGAAATGAGGGATGCATTGCCGTTGGTGGCAGTCGTCAAAATCGGCGCTCGTCGTCGCCAAATGAAGTGTGCGCTGGGTGGCCTCATGCATCCCACTCATCAGGAACGTTGCTGCTGTCAACGAGGGGTGGTGGTGGTGGCGGCGATGCCTGGCGAAGCGGTGAAGCCACCGTCGAGGGCGACGTCGACGTGGATCCATTGTGCGGGCGGCTTGCTGCTGCTGCTGCTGCTGCTGCTGCTGCGCTGCTCGAGGAGCCTGTAGCAACCATGGTGGGAGCAGCCCACGCATTGGGGACTGGCGGCCTGGGCTGGGCAGCCGGGTTGGAAGCAGCGACGGCGGCCCATGCGCCCGATGCGCCGCCGTTGGCCATTCTTGCAGCTGGGGCAGCGCCGCCTCTCGATGTTGACGAGCTGCCCCACGCGCCTGCTGGCGTCGCGGTACCCGAGGACGAAGGCGTGGGGTTGGTGGTCTCGACACGCACAATATTGCCCCTGGCGTCGGCATGGACAAAGAGGATTGCACTGGCGACCCTGCCCGCGGGCAAGTCGATGCGGTAGAGGAGGGAGCGCAGCTCGGTCCGGCTCGCCACGAGCCTCGAAGGAAGGTCCGACGATACGAGCACGTCCTCGTCGCCGACCCACCGGAGCTGGAGGGTGCCTGCGGTCCGAAGGAGCGGCTGGAGGATGGCGCGAAGAGAGGCTTCGTCGTGTCCAAAGACACCTTCGAGGAGGACAGCGTTGAGCGGGAAGCGGTTCTCGCGCGCAATTGCGACGCCGTCCTCCGTCGTCGATGAAGGGCCAGGCCTACGCAGCTGGCCCAGGGCCGAGCTACCTTGGCCCTCAGCTCGGTAGGTCCGGTGGGCCTCTGAGAGGAGTGGGTGGGGCACTTTGCTCTCCTGCCTGCGTCGAACACTGACGCTCCTCCTCGGCTCCGCATCAACGCTCTCCGAGACAAGTTTGAATGCATCAGCGAGCTCGTGCGTGAATTGCCTCTGGGCCCGGTTGGCCGGAGGAAGAATGAGGCCGTGCCTGGACGAACGGATAAAGTCAATCAGGGTGCTTTCGACCTCGTCGGCGTATCGCTTGTTGTTGCTGTAGTATGCCAGCGTCGACTTCTCGTACGTGGTCGGCGCAGACTTTTCTGCCGGATTCAAGCCGAGTGCCTCGGCCAATTTGATGTTTCGCTGAGCGATGAGACAGGCATCGGTGCACTTGAGCTTGCGGTCTGGATTGACCGGCGAGTGCAACGAGGCGCCGCACCGAGCGCGCTGCTGGATGTTGCCACAGGGGCACTGGAGCGTCACCCAGGCCATGCATGGCTCCGTCTCGGGGCACGCCGCGGGTGCGTGGCACTTCTCTGGGCATGGGTGGCCACACTTGCGAGGCTTTGTGCACGTCTGGCTGCATGGTCCACATTCGCCAGCTTGGTGGCACGTCTGCTGGCAGCGGTGGAAGCCACAGTTCAGAACATTGTCGCACGTCTGGCCGCATGAGACGCGAGACCGGTGGCAAGGGATGTTGGGAATGACGTTCTTGCCGCAGAGACAGCGCTTCTCGACGAGGAAGATGCATGGAGGGCAATGCTCGTCCTCGTGGCAGCTTCGAAAAAGGGGACGTCAGCAGTCTGTAGGATTTGAGCGCCTTGCGCACTTAGGACTCACTCATGCTGTTGCTTGGGGTGGCCGCAAGGTGGTGGCGGTCGCGCGCAGGGAAAGTGACAGCGAATCACTGTCCCACACGGCACGGGTGGATCCAAGACTGTCCTTCCACAATGGCACGACAGCTCATCGAAGCAAGCCTGGAGGCAGGGCGGGCAAGGACCTCGGTGGCAGGTCATGGGGCAGTTGTGAAGCCCGCACTTGAGCGCCTTCCCGCAAGGCACATCGCAGTTGTGTAGGCCGGCTGGGTCCTGCTCCTCGAGCTCCCGCTGCGAAGGCTTCTTTCTCGACTTTGACTTTGCCAAAAAGTACAGCGGACAGCATGTCCGCCTGCACTCGTGTCGGCCACAGTTGCGGAGCGATCGGCAGGTGGTGGTGCAGAGAACTTCTTGGCCACCCTCTGACTCTTCGCGCTGCTTCTCGTGGCAGGTGATGGGCTTCTTTGTCTCGCCACATCGACACGGCGTCGGCATGACGATGGAGCATGGCGGGCAGTCACCGAGATGGCACTGGGCCTGGCAGGTGTGGCCACACGAGAGCTGGCGACTGCAGGTGCGCGAGCACGTCGGAATCGGGTCCTCACAGCTCGTCCGTTCCCCAATCGGCTCGGCACCACAGGGACACGTTGCGACAAAGGCGGGGGAAAAGGGGCACGGCGGTCGTTGGATGCTGATCGCATGACATGCCCGCTGGCAGAGGTGCTTGCCACACTGTATGCATGCAGAGAGCTCACGTCAGTCTTGTGGCCGATGTTTGCCGTCAAGTGGCATTCACTCACATCAAATGGTCGCTCGCATAGGGAAGCGCATGCCCAACGGCCCTCCCAGCTCAGCTCTGCACTCTCGTTGCTCGTCTTGGCCAGGCCATCGCCGCAGCGCATGTCCTTTTCGTGCTTGCCGCAATAGCATTTGGACCGGACGACTCTCTGGCAGGGCGCGCATTCGCCTTCATGGCAGATGTCGGTGCATCGATGAAAGCCGCAGGGCAGCAGCTTGTCGCAGGTGCCGCCACAGGAGACGCCGCGAGACAGCGAGGGTCCACGAAGCTGGGAGCATCTCGTCGTGACGGCTTCGGCCCCGCAGAAGCACCGGTTCGTGATGGACACTGGGCACGGTGGACAGGGGCCTTTGAAACAGACTTAAGGTCAGCAGGGGACATAGACTAATGACGACGACCGCCTCAAGACTCACCTGGGTGACACAGACCGGCAGCGCAGCCGTGGCTGCACTTTGCCTTGTTGCATCCTCGGCCACAGGAGTGTGGTGGCGCACCTTTTCCGCCGGCAGGATCCTTGACCTGGCCGTCCCAGCAGAGGTAGGTGCGTGGGACGGGCTCGCGCGCATACTGGCAGCTGGGGCAACGCCAGGTGCCCTTCCGGTCGCGAATGGCCGGGTCCTCCTGCATCGCATTCTGCTCCTCAATCTTGGCCACGCTCGACGAGGCCCAACGCTGGACGCAGTCGAGGTGGAGGACGACGTAGCATTGGGTGCAGGACCACACGGCCTGCTTTGTCGTCACTGTCGAGTAGCACACCGAGCAGTCGTACTGGCCAGACGAGAGCTCAGCCACGAGCCTGGTGCGCAGGTCGGCGTAGTCGATGGGCGCCACCTTATTGTTGTTGTTGTTGCTGTGATTGTGACTGTTCTTTTGCTGTCCTGTCTTGGTTGCTCTTCCATTTTCCTTTCCATTGCCCTGCTCATCGGTGCTCGTCAACTTGCTCGCAAACTGCCGTCGTCGACTCGGTGGCGGCTGCTCTTCACTGGCCGTGGCCCCTTCGTCGCCGTTTGTGCTCGCCCGGTCGCCAGCTCTTTTCGCACCACTGCCTCCCCGGCCACCACCTCCTTTTCCTCTCTTTGGCCCACCTCCTCTTCGCTTTGGCACTCCCCGCTCCGAAGATGCAGTCGGCTGGCCTTCACCGCTGGGGCCGTCGGGTCGAGGAGCAGTGTCGTGTGACGCTGTCTCGCCTGCAGCAGCACCCCCGCCGCCGCCACCGCCTCCTCCTCTTCCTCTTCGTGGACCTCCTCTCCTTCGCCCTCTCCCTCTTGCACCGCCTCGCTCCGAGGCCTGTTCTATGGGTGTTGTGTGGCTCGCGGCATTGCTCGTCGTCACAACATCTGCCATTCTTTGTGCTTCCTCGTCCACGACTGCCGGGCCTCTGCTCCTGACGCTCGTCTTGTCTGTACGCCTCTCCTTCCGACGCTCGAGCTTCTGCGTCCGCTTGCCCTTTTCGTGAGTCGGCAGAGACTATTCAGCAGCGATCTCAAGTCTGCTGCTGTTGGTATTGGTTGTTGGAAAGGGGGGAAGAAGGACAAGGATGCTGACGAATCGCCACCTCTTTTTTCCGTCTTCGGTTTTGTTTCGCGTCCCTCTTTGCTTTTTTCTCCGAAGGAGACGGAAAACTCGCTCTTCTCCGTGGAGGTGTGTGTTTTTAGTGAGTCAATCTTCGAGATTCGCAGCAGCAGCAGCAGCAATCGTACGTGGAGCAGAGGGTGAATCACAACTTGTGTGTTCTGTGCCTGACTCGCCCTCTCTGCTGCCCACAACAGGGACACATACAGTCGTTCGCCCGCCATGGCCTCGCCCGCGCCCGTCTATCGCTACCGGCCCATGCTGCAGTCGGGCCGCTGCGACGACGCGCAGCTGCTGCTCCGCTTCTTTGACTCGGCCCTGCCTTATCTCGCCTCCATCGGGAGCGGCGCCCAGTGGGGCAGCGAGCGCTTCAGCAGCCGGCCCACGTCTGTCGCGCGCATCGCCAACTTCATCGCGCTGAGCGACGCCACGCACGCGGGCGGCGTGCCCTTTGCGCACAGTGACTGGTGCAAGGCGTTTGTGGCCGAGCGCCGCCTGTCGCGTGACGAGGCCGAGCAGCCCCACGTCCGCGCCCTCCTCGACGAGGCGGGCCAAGGACATGGACAAGTACAGGGGCACGAGCAAGAGCTCAGCGGCGGCGGCATCTGGCTGCCCGTCGCTGCGATGCTCCTCTGCAGCCGGCCGTGCGACTACCTCGCATCGATCTGGCCGGGCCAGGACGACGCCGACCCATTCGTCTTTCTGCGCTACCTCATCAGCGACCACCGTGCCGGGACGCTGAGCAAGGGCGCTGCGGGCAGTCTTTTGGCCCTGGCCAGAAAGGAAGCAGAGGCGCTGGGCATCCGACGCATCTGTGGAGACTGCTGGAACGGCAATGAGCGAAAGCTGGTCAAGTGAGTCGTCTCTACATGCTGCTGCGCTTGCTGCTGCGACCCTAACTGATGGCTTTCAAATAGATACTACGAGAGCAAGGGCTTCCAGCCAGTCGACGACTTTGTCAAGCCAGCCGGGCCAGACGGCGAGGCGCCATGGCCAGGGACAGCGTATGAATTGAGATGGTGATACAAGATTGTCGATGGAGTTGTGTATGAATATATATAAAGCAAGAGGCCAATGGCAGCACAGCACGTCTAGCGATCCTTGTTCTGAAGGCGCTCCTCTACCCGGTCGAGGAACCCTCGCCTCTCCATGTAGCCCTTCATGCTTCCCAGGCCACTGGACCCGCCCTTTGTCTGGCTCTCCATCTCGTCGCGCTCCCTCTCTGTCAGGCCGTCATCGGCAGCGGCAGCGGCATCGGCAGCAGCAGCATCGGCCGTGCTCTTGAAGCGATCCCAGTCCATCTTTGACTTTTCCAGCGTGTTGATCTTGGTCGGCTTGGCAGAGGCTGCGGCGCTCATGGCAGCGAGGCCGCCTCCCTTTTTACGCCTCGGTCCCGGAGCAGGGCCGCCGCTACCACGAGCAATTGCTGGGCTACTCGAAGCCGCGGTGGCAGGAGCTGGCACAGAGGCAGGTCGGCCGGCGCCGTCGGCCTGCTTCTTGAGATAGGCTACGGCATCGGGATGAGATGCAGGCAGGAGCTTCTCCTCGCTGCAAGTAGCCACATGAGTCCCTACCATACTTATAGAGACAGGGTGCCTGCCACCACTCACCGGACCTCATCCCCGGCAAACTTGTACGTCTTGATGACCTTGACCATCTCCTCTTGGTCGTTTGATGAGACTGTTCCCTTGTCAGCATCAGCCGCCGCCTCCTTGATCGACTTCCACGCTTCTTCGGACTCCTGCGATGGTTTCCCCCGCTTGCTGTTCCTGTGCAGCGTCGTCGTTTACTAAGATGAGCGACGGACATGAATGGGGCAAGTGTCTCTCTGTCTACCTGAACCCACCCATCATTCTCCCGTTGGCTCTCATCATCATCTCCCGCCCCTACCCCCTCGCCCCTCTTCCTCCGCTTCCCAGCCCGGAGATCCTCGCCGAGATCGCGCTTCAGATCCGCCGCCTCGCCCTCGTCGAGCTCCTCCTCCTCGCCCTTGCCCGCGCCTCCTGCTCCCTCTCCATCCGACTCATCTGTCCACGAATCGCAGCAAATCGAGAGTATCAGCAGCCAGCCTCGACACCCCCTTTGTTCGCCTGCCTGCCTGCCTGCCTCACCAGCTGCGTCATTCTCGGCCTCGGCCTCCTCGCGGAAATCCTCGTCGGGCGACTCCTCGCCCTCGTCGTCGGCCTCGTTTGGCTCCCGCGATCGGTCCAGCGCTTTCATTCTCCCTCTGCTTTGTCCTCCCGCCTCTTCTCTATATGTCCTGAATGCGTCTTCTCAAAGGGCAAGTGGAGAAGGAAGGAGCGCTCCATGGCGAGGAGGGCGCCCGGTGCTGACGCGCACGTGACGTACAGAGACGACTGGACCGTAGCGATCCTTCCTCAAGTTCAAGTCAGGTAGTGAGCGGCCTGCGCCAAAGAGGAAGAGAGTGGGGCAAGGCAGTGGTTGTATGTGAGATTGCAAACGGTTCTGATTTTCGTATTGCTGCTATACAGAGATGGTTGGTTGTGCAGGAGCCATGGCGCGCGATAAATGACTGAGAAAAGAGGCTCTACGGTCTGGCTTGTTATTTCACGGTGACTTGGTCTATCTAATGCGAAGATGGTAGAAGAGGTCGCCTCTCCAACGACGATGCGCTCTCCCTCGCGGCGACGAAGGAAGCTTCCTCCCCTTGCTGCGTCTGCCCTGGCGGCGACACCTGCTCTTGCACCTCGTCCGCTTCGTCAATCTCTTCGCCCAGTGGCTGCAGTCCTCTCCAGGCAACCCACTGCCCAACAATGACCGCATCAAACACCAGCGTTCCCCCACTTCCCAACAGAAACGGAAGGCTCTCCCTCAGATATTCTCGCTTGGCCTCTGGACTGCCCTCGAGCGCCATGGGGTTGACGAGCACCGAGACAGAGTAGAAGAAGTTGCCGAGGGCGGCGGCGATGAAGAGGAGAATCGAGAGGCCCTGGACAGACTTGCGGACGTGGTTCTCCCAGATCTGGGGCAGGCGCGACGTCATGTAGAGCACGGTGCAGATCCAGGCAGAGATGCGGCCCAGGATACGTTCCCACGAGGGCGAGGGTGGCAAGTCGGAGGGCCCTCCCCCCGGCGCTGGCGGCGGACCGGGCCTGTCGCTGGAGCGATGGCGGTGCTTGGTGTTGTCGCCTTTGTTCCTCTCGTCGTCGCCACGACCGTGGCCAGGCTTTCTTGCCACCTGGTGGTAGAAGAGTGTCACGGGATGCTGAGGTATCGGTCGACTCAGGAAGTGCACATGGGTGGCCTGATCCCAGTGAAGGGGTGCCTGGGCTTCGTCGCCGTGGAGCACGCGGCCAAGGGAGTAAGGAGCTGCAGTACTACTCTCTGGTTGCTGTGTCGGACGACGGAGGGCGAAGAGGGCCCAGATGCCGAGGAACACGATCCCTGTCCGCTTTCTCGCCGTAGGGCTGGTGCTAGCGCTGTTCCTTGTTCTCTTGATGAATCTACCGAGCAGACCGCGCCTCTTTGGCTGCTCGGCAAGCGTCGGGTCATTCGCAGCAGCAGTCGCCGTAGCCATCGGCTGAGCCTGGCCTCCACCATCTGCCGAGGATGATTCTGCGTTGGGGGGCGTCTTGGATGTGCTCGCCTCCAGGATCCTCCCAGCTGTCCTCGTCATATCCCTGCCCCTGCCGAGCGAGCTCGCCGCATCGTCCTCTGGGATGGGTGATGTCCCTCCCACCGTCTTTCCCGAGGCCGCAGCAGCACTGGCGAGGTCGTGCGTCGATGCGCTGCCGAACCCGTACCCGTAGCCATCGTCTGTGCTTGCTGTGCTCATGATGCTGTCCGACATTTGGTTGTACGCCGCAGCTCGAGATGCAGCCTTCCCACCTGCACCCTCATCATCCGAGGACGCATCGTGGTGCTCACGCGGCTGCTCCTGCTTCCTAGCCTCTTCCGTTGCACCAGTCTTTGTCATCATGGACGACATTCCTCGCTTGGGGCTCGAGACACCCCCATCGCGCCGCCTCGTCGACGATGCGCTCGAGCTTCTCTCAGCCATCTTCTTGGCGAGGCTCGCCACGCTTCGTGCTGCCCTGCTCAGCTCCTCGTAGCCTGATAGTACATCAAAATGATGGCGGACCGAAGCACGGCTTGGCGTTGATGGCGGCCTTCTCGTGTGTGCAGGCGAAGTCGGCCGGCTTGCCGTCGTCGACCGCAGCCTGGGTAGTGTCGAGTAGGAAGAGCTCTTGCTGCCGTATCGAGGCCGGCTAGTGGAGCCGTACCTCCTCGACGTCCCGAATGTCCCGTACTGAATGACGGGGGCGACCGCGACCTCTGTCGGCTTTGCTCTGTTCTTGCTCCAGTAGTCTATCGGCGAGGTTAGTATTCCTCTCCCCCCTTCCTCCCACACAGCCGTCACAAATGGCCAGAGACTCACAGTAGTACTGCAGGAGAATGACAATGTCGATGAAGCAAAAGTACGAGGCAACGGCGACTTGAAAGGGCAGCTGGTGGGTGAGGAGGCAGCCGACCAGATTCGTCAGGTCGCCCGCACACCACTGGGCGACAAAGACGAGCGAGAGGCCGTCGACAGAGGACCGCACATAGTTTTCGTAGATCTGACTGGGGTTTCACAGCAAGCGAGGATGCTTGGGATGAGCTTTTCATACCAAATTGGCGCAGAAACGGTTAGGAATGGATCGCCCCCTTTCCCCCACCACTCACGGCGATTGGGCAAAGAGCCAGACGACAAAGGATGTCGTGCCTGCCAAATCCGAGACTGCTTGCCAGTCCATGGCAGCAGCTCCCTCCCAGTCTATCTGAGCGGTCTTGTCCTTGTTGCAGTTGCAGACGTGGCGCCTTCGCTCCGCATAGAGGTTCGTGGGACAGAGGATCAGCTTGCGAGGGGGGTCCAAGCTCGATGTTATCAAGAGCAACAAGGTCGTTGAGGCACGACCACGTGGAATCGAGATTTACACATTCGTGCCTGAATGGTCCTGTCTCCGACTGACGCTAAGGAGAAGGGCTGCATCGGTCGTCCGTGTGCAGCGCCGGTGACGATTAGTGAGCAAGTGCATCGGCAAGCGCTTGACGGGTCAAAAAACATCGTAAGAGCTTCACCGGACAAGGAAAGGGCCCCTTCAAAATGCCCTCGCTCGAGGAAACGTACAGACGGTACTTTGACGGTTTCAAGAGGCGAGAGTGGAGCACCGTCATGGCTTTCGCACACCCGCAAGTCATTCACAACGACAGAAGCTTCACGCCGCATGGCTACGTACAGATGATCCAAGACAGTCTTGTAGACCTTCCCAGTGATCTTGAGGCCTCGCTTGAGATGCTCATTGCTGATGACAAGACGGGACGGGTGGCCGCGCGGATCCGATTCGACGCACTCTCCCTAGGCAAGGCCTCGTACGAGCACGTCTTTTACCAATTTAGGGAGGACCGCATCGTCCAGGTCTGGTCTCTCTTGCAAATGTCTTTTTGAAAAAATCACAAAGAAAGGGGCTTACCCTCTCAGCATGGCCACTTACGCCCCCTCTCTCTCCCTCAAATCACACGGGCCTCAGGAGCGCCGCTCTTTTGTCGCGTCAGATGATTGGTTCGGTGAGAATGTCATTAACTCAGCGCTGTGGCCCTCTCTCTCAAGCGCAGGTTGTTGTTTCTGTAATGACGAGATGTTTCGGAGCGCAAAGCGGCGCGCCGCGACAGGGAGCAGCTGTCAGCTTCATCGCCTCAACGGAGCACCGCGACCTCTGCTCAAGCTCCGATGGCCCTCCTCCTCATAGAGGAGCGGCTTTACGAAGGAGCCGCCTGGTTGAGAGCGGTGGATAGGAAAGTGCGCGGCGTTGGAAATGCGCGCTTTGTTCGGCAAACAGTCGCTCTCCCTGTACGGCCCGAAGACGGTCTGGTCCCCCCTTCACCTTTACTGTCAGAGAGTAAGGGTGGCGGTGAAATCGAGCCAGGTACGCCGGCATTCCCAAGTCCATTGGGGCCAAAGAGAGAGGGTGGCAGCTGCTTGTGTTGTGTTCATCCTTCTCCGTCCCTTCGCTCACACCGCTTCGTGTCCAGGGACGACGGCAGCGGCGGCGGCCGCCGTCATCTTTCTCAAGTCCGTCGTTCATCAGCCCAGCCTCCCATTTCCTTCCTTTTGTTTTTTTCCTTTTCGGTCAAGAACGGCTTGATGGGGCGAGATACAGCAGAGCGCGGCTAAGCATTTCTCTTGTTTTCGCACTCCCCTTTCTCTCCCCAAATGCTCCCTTCTGGGCTACAATTGTGGTTGAGGAAATAGAGAGAGAAGGTACACCCTGCTTTTTTTTGGGCCTGCGCTTCAGACGATCTCCGCTCCCGTCATGTCTTCAGCAGAGCGTCAGCAGCGCACTTTGGCATACCGAGGCAAGGAAGCTCGCCTGTGTTCCTCTTCTCTCCGTTCGTGGTTTTTTTCCTCTCGCCCGTCCCCTCTGTCCCCTTTATTCACTTTCTCTCCCTGGCGCAGGAAAGGGATAAAAGCCCGCCCTTTGGTAGTCCACCGCAACCCCTCCTCCCATCTCACATTCCCATATCTCCTCAGTCGTCGAGGACAATCACCACCCTCCCTCTCCTCCTTTTTCCTCAGTCCACCCCATCACCGTTGCCTCTGGCACGGTTCCCTTCCTCTCTCCTAGACGACACTCAACACTCTTTTCGGCAAAAACAACGTGACGGGAGTGACAGACTTGACCAGCATCGCCGCCACCACCGTCGTTCGACCAAGATGCGTCTCTCATCTTGCCTCCTCCCCTTCACGCTGGGGGCCCTTGCGCTCTGCGGTGTGGCCACCGCCGCCACTCCAGCCGAAGTCCAGCCTCGTGAAGTGGGATTGGCTCACTCTCTTGAGCCGCGCAGCATGGGTCTACTTCCCGATATTCATTTCGACGTCGTCCAAATCACGGCTGTAAGGAGGGTCAATGCCATCCTGAACAGAATCGAAGAGGGCGCCAAAATACTCGAGCAAACCCTCGACTTCTTCCTTACCACTGGTTCAGGGTGAGTTTCATTCTTGAATCCTGTTGTGGTCGTCAGAGGCTGACCATGACTTTCAGCAATTCGATGAGCGCCGCTTTCCAAGCTCTCAGCGTGTTCCACAACGACCTTAGCACCATTGCGACTCTTACTACCTACACCACATCCGTAATGGCCACAGAAGATGACTTGTATTCCATCACCGACTCGATGGACTCGATCGTGGCAACCGTCACACGCATCGTCGAAAAACTCATCGGTGTTCAGGTGGGTTTGCTGCACGAAAGAGAGGGACAACATAAGCGATCGCTGACGCCTCCCATAACAGCCGATGTTCAAGGAGGCTGGCGCGGATGAGAGCGTTGGCGAGCTCCTTATATCGATCATGATGGCTGTCGACGCCGCTTCCTATGGTCTTATGGGTTGGTTGTGAGTAATCTCTAGCTGCGCCACTGGCTGGCTGAGCTGACCGAGTGGCATCTCCAGTCCCCCGGACCACAACATGTTCATCGTCGCCTTTAGCGCGAAATTCATCTGCGAAGTGAAAAGAGTGACTATGTCGTACTACAACGACTACCAGTACAGCGACTTCTGCGACACTGAGTTGAAGTTGTGGCCGTCGTCTGGGAAGCTCCGGGACTGCAAGGGCGGCGCCGTTTACCCTTTCGCATTTCGGCCCGATTCTTGCAATTCTTGCACAAGGTTCCCCTTCTACCAGGCCGGTGGTTGGAAGCAGGACAAGGGCAGATGGATGTGGAACACCAACACGGGATGCGGCTTCGACAACTGCAACAACGACTATCTTTGCCGCCCAGCCACGCCGGAATTCAATTTGTGCTGGCCCAAGTTCACCGTCGGTTTCGCTAAGCCTCAAAGGGATCAATGCCTCACCTGCGTCTTCTGGAAGGATATTCCCAAGATCAGCGACTTCCCACCCCCGCAAACTCCTTTCGCTTTCCCCGTCGTCAAGCCCCCTGTTGCCAACGGCTCTTCAAAGAGCATCGGTGGCATCAATGGCATCGGCAAATTCAAAACCGCTGGCAAGGCCTCCGGTGCTAGTACGACAGCCGAAGGATTCGCAAACGGAGGCAAAGTCGACGCTCAATCGCACGCAACCTCGAAGGGAACGACCGACATCTTCGGTGGAGCTCATACGAAGGAGAACTCCGGTAGCTCCGGTGCAAGTAAGGGAACCGGTGCCTTCAAATCTGGGTCAAACACGAAAGCTACCAACACCTTTACGCAAGGCGCGTCGCTGCTCAACGGGGACGTCAAAGCCGGTTCAAATGCCGAAGCGCAGCAGAACGACTTCTTCGGCTTTGGCACTTCGAAAGAGAAGGGGGAGAGCAAGGGCATCGGCTTTGGCCTCGGTGCTTTCCAAAGCGAGGCTCACACGAAGCACGTTGATACAAAGGTAGAGGGTGCCTCGGGCATCCATGGCGCCGTCAAAACCGATGCCAAAGGCCAGTTTTCGCAAGGCAAAGAGAAGAGCAAAGCCGTGGGAGTGGCTGCTAATGGCGCCGGCTTCAATACTGCAGCCCACACGGATAACACCGACACCAATGCGGAAGGCTGGGCATCTCAAGGCTCGACCAGCACTGCAAAGTCCACCGCCAATAGCAATGGTGGCAGCCGTCGCAGCATCCTCAAGCGTGCTTCCAAGATGGTTCGCCACATGCGCAGGGACATTATATCCTCGAGCGGAGGGTCTCAGGGCAATGGCCAGTACAAATCAGGCGCTAATGGCGCTAATGGCAATACGTGGGTATCTGGAGGTTCCACGGGCAGCGGTAAATCCTGGGCAAAGTCAGTTTCTTCGGGCGGCGGTGGCGGAGGCGGAGGCGGAGGCGACAATTGCGCGACCTGCAACGGCGGCGGCGGCATGGGCGGTGGGGGCCCCAGTGGCTTTGGCAAAGGTGACGACTACGGCAGCGGCTATGGCGACGGCTATGGCGATCTCGGCGGCTCAGGTAATAAAGGCCTTAGTGGCGGCGGTCTTGGCGATTTCGGCCTTGGTAGCGGCGGCGGCCTTGGTGGCGGTTTCGGCAAGCCAGTCAGCTTGGGAGGCGGCTATGGTGGCGGCAGCGGAGGTGGTCTCGGAGGTGGCCTTGGGGGCTCTGGTGACACCTACCTCCCTACCGGCGGCTACGGCGGCCACCACACTGAGGACGGGCCCGAGGATGACGAAGTCGAGAAGTTTGACCCTACCCAGCAAGACGATCAGTTTGACCCTACCCAGCAAGACGATCCGTACGACACAACCAGCAATGGGAACCCTTACGACGATGACCCCGATCAACAGTGCGATACGTGCAAGGGCGGTTACAAACCTCCTTTCTTCTGCGACTGCAAGGGTCACGACGGCTCAAACACTTGCAAGGCCAAGACGACCGTCGGTGGTCAGGCAGGTGGCCCAGGTAGTGGAGGTGTTTTCGGATCCGGTGGTGATAGCTCATTCTCGGCTACCGGTCAAGCTGGTTGCTGCCCTAAGTACATGAAGAAGTCCGCCTGCAAGACGGTCAAGGCCCACGTCGAGGGGAAGACGAGCGGCAACGCCTTTGCATCCGGCTCCGCCACCTCCAGCACTACTGACGACGACATGCAGCAGTATGGTTCTGTCTGCATGAATACTTGCCAAGCTTCAAGCCCATTCGACGACCTCAAAAACGGCAGTGGCGGCGATGGCAGTGGATACGGCAGTGGCGGTGGGTACAACCAGTATGACAAGAAACTCGGCTCCGGTGGTGGCTACGGCGGTGGCTACAACAAAGGCAACAGCTACCAAAACTTGCCATCATACTCGAGCTTGCTCCAGAACAAGAAAGAGATCTCGTCAGGCGGCGACGACGACATCTACCATGACGACAACTAAGTTCGCGCGCTTCCTTCGACGTTATCGGGCCCTGGCTTTCTTTTCGTTCTCCCCTTTCTTTCACATAGTCTTCGAGCCAGTTCCAGGTAGCTGCGCTCATTCCTTTTCATCTCTCCCCCCTCCCCCTTTCGTTAGTCTCAACGTTGTCTTCGCGTGTCGCTCGATGTCTGCCCATAGCTGCATAGCTCACATCGACGATCAAGTGTGAACAATGCAATACATCCTCTCCCTCCTCTGCACGCCCCGATTCTGATTTCGACACATTTTCCTCCGTAGTCTTTGGCCCTCTTTTGACCTGAGTCGGCTGCGAGTCAAGGAAGCCATCGCTTGACAAGACAGCGTTGCTTCATCGCTATCTTTTGTACTGTACCGACTACTAGTAACACGTCTTATTCGGCAAAGGCGCTAAGAATCTGCGCCGGCGCATTTCATCTTCTCCACAAAAAGTAAGCCGCTTCTTTCCCCCGCCTTTTTCACATCAATCCAACAACAATCGGCTGCAGCAATGTCCAACTCGGCTCTCCCTGACCTGAACGTGGGCACGCTCTTCTCGCAAGAGGGAAAGGTCGTCGTGATCACGGGCGGCGGAACCGGTCTGGGCCTGATGATGGCCACTGCGTTTGTGCAGAATGGCGCCAAGGGTAAGGAGAAGAACTTTTCCCTGCTCGACGACCCCTTTCTCTCTCTCCTTGCGGCTTACTTGACGGCTGACGGGTCTTTCAGTCGTCTACATTGCCTCGCGCAAGCTCAAGAACCTCGAGGGAGCTGCAAAGATGCTCAATGGCATCCGCGAGGGCTCCGCCGTCCCGCTTGAGGCCGATCTGACCACGGCAAAGGGCTGCCAGGCGCTGGGGGACGAGATCAAGCAGAGAGAGAGCACTGTCGATGTGTTGATCAACAACAGCGGCGTGTCGTGGGGCAGCGAGATGGAGAGCACCGACGAGAAAAAGGGCTGGGACAGGGTGTGTGAGTGTCGCGCGCACCTTCGCAGTCGACCGGAATGAGGAGATGACTTCTTGATTGACGACCGATACGCTCGACGGCCACTCCTTTTCACAGTCGATGTGTGAGTATCTCTCGACAGCAACTCCATGTTTGAAAGAAAGAGTTGATGGTCGTCCACTTCACAGAAACGTCAAGTCGCTGTTTTATCTCACCGTTGCGTAAGTTAGAAACCGCGACCCCATGTTCCTCCTCGTCCTCGTGCTCTGACACTGTTTCTTTTCTCTGGCTAACGACTCATCTCATGACAGTCTCCTTCCTTTGCTCGAGAAGAACACGAGCCCAAGCTCACCTGCTAGCGTCATCAACATTTCTTCCATCTACGGCAGCCTCCCCTTTGCAAACATGCCGACGCTGCCAGTGGCGTCGATGGGTGCATGGTCCTACCTCGCCTCAAAGGCCGCCGCCTCGCACTTGACACGCACCCTCAGCGTCAAGCTCAAGCCACGCAACGTAAACGTCAATGCGCTCGCTCCAGGCTTCTTCCCCAGCAGTGAGTCCTGACCCGCTTTCTTCCTCGCGGAGCTGGCGTGCAAAACAATAGCGCTGGGACCAAGCTGAGACGGACGGACGCTCTCCACAGACATGACGAGCACCGCAAGGGACGACTCGCTCGCGCGCTCCCACCCGGCCGGCCTTGCTGGCGAGGCAAAGGACATTGCCGCGCCCGCGCTCCTCCTTGCCGGCTCGGGCGGCGCTCACCTCAGCGGCATCACCATCACAACTGACGGCGGCGCCTCCCTCGTGCCGCCGCATGTCTTTCCCAAGGACATTGCAAAGCTTCACATGCCTCCTGAGCGCTTCGAGCGGCTCCTGGCAAAGCTGTGAGCATTCCTCCAACTAGCTGGTCTTTAATGACATGCACAAGTCGTACGTGAGAGAGACAAGGCATTGCAGAGTTGCATGAAGCTTCTGTTACAGGACGAGCCTCTGAAGATCATCCAGGATCTTCTCCTGACCCGAATCGAGATCAAGGACCCTGAGTCCTCCAAGCCCTATCACACCTCTCTGCCCCTGCTCTTCGCTCCCTCCTCCAACAACTGAGATCCGTAGGCTTGCCAGTTCCGTCGTGCCTGGCGCGATGGGTCCGACATGGACCTCGTCGTCCGACAGCCTCAGTGCCGACCTCAGCTTGGCTCCTTCAAGTGCCGTGCTTTTCTTCTTGAGCCACACTTCCTCGTCGTCCACCGCGGCCTTTCTTGTCCGTGCCTCTAGCGTGCTGGCTCGTCGTTGTGGGCTGAGCCGAGAGACGGGGTGGCGATGGACCCAACCAACGATGAGCGTCTTGGTCTCGTAGCTTCTGTTTGAAAGCGTTAGGCGCACGTCGAAGAAACGCTCGTCTGCTCCTGCTTTGGCTTCTGGAGGCGAAGGGACTGCCACAACGTCTACGTCGATGAGGATGCCGCGCAAGTGCGAGGCGCCGAGAACGAGCTGTTGGACCAGGTCAGACCGTCCCTTGGTCGCTTTCGAGTGGTATCCATCAAGCGGAAGGAGCTTGTTAGTTTCCGCCCTCTCCGCAGCATTCTCGCCGTGCAAGGACGGACGCTGATGAAGCTGCAGCGGCGTAGGTGTGACGTCTCTCTGTCCAGCCATTGATCTGCTGTCCTCCTTGGCAGAGTAGGTAGTCGAGAGTGAAGACGTTGTCAGCTTCGAGTCGGCGCTTGAGCTGTTGATGCCATTGAGCTTTGTCGGCGCTTGTCTCCGCATCGCCGCCGTCGAGAGAAAAGCGGCAGGTGCCGCCCTTGCACTCGCAGCACTCGCAGCTCGCATCCTCGCCCTCGCCAGCAGACCTTGTCCAAGGAGGGAGCCACGCCGACCAGAAGTCGGCTCGTCGACAGTGTCAAGCTCCCAAGGTTGATGCGGATGTTCGAACTGGGCATTGGTGTCTCTACGCAGAGCAATGTGGCTGTCGCTCTGCCAGCCTGCGCTCGGAGCTCGTAGATTGGGCCGCGGCGTTGCTAAGCCGCTGTCATTGCTTGCGCCACTGGGGACGGCCGTGGGTGTTCGTAACGTCAAAGAGGATGGTATTCGGAGCTCAAACGGCGTCCTCGGCATCTGAGCGCTCCCTGGTGAAGGAAACGGTCGATAAGACGTCGCAGAAGAAGCTGAAGCAGGCGAAGGGGACTCGAGTGATGCAACCGCCGAAGCCGTACGAATAGGAGGGGGTGGCTTGACGGTCAAGACGTTCGATCGCCGAGCAGACAAGGGCTGTCCCACAGAGTCCGAGTCATTTGCGAAGGGAGGGACAGCAGCAGTAGGTGTGACCAAAGATCGGTGGCTGCTCCTGCCGGTCTGCGTTGGCTTCTGTACCTTGCCCAAGGTAAAGTGACCAGAGCCAGAGACAGCGACGAGATCGAGGGCCACATGCTGCAGCTGCCGCGAAAGATCCAGGTGACAGCTCCAGGTCGAGCTGTAGCTGGCAGTTGGCGAGTAGCTGACTTCCTCTGCATTGGCAAGCACCGACTTGAGAACCGGCTTGCCTTCGATATTGATGGAGACGTGCCTTTGCCTCTGTGCTTCCGCCAGCAATGAAGCAGGTGAAGCTACGTCGTTTTCAGCATTGTGAGAGAGCGATGAGTGGAACTGCACATGATAGAGCAAGTTTCGTTGTTCGCCCTGTTCGATCGTTAGAGGCAACGACTTGTAACCGCCGGGAACGAGAGCAGCCTCGACAGGGACGTCGAGAGAGGCTTGCTGCTGGTGCAGAGACACGTTGACTGGCTGGGCTACCTGGACCTTGATTGACTCGAGAAGGAACTGCAACCCACTGCCGGACGTGTTCTCGACCTCTACGCAGAGAACGAGGCACGGCGATACTGATCTCCCCTCCCCTTCGACTTCTTCGTCGTCATCGTCGCCGTCCTCTGCAGTCGATTTGATGCCAGGCACGACGGCCACCCGCATTCTGACCGCGATGGCATTTCGAACGTCCATGACCTTGCGCACGCTCCTCCTTAGAAGCCTAACCTCCTGGCCCAAGCCGCCTCTTCCCTCTTCGTCGGGCCCATCGAGCCTTGGCGAATCAAAGGTCGAATTGCCTCCTCGCGAGGCTGACGAAGGAGGCATATCGGCCACGTCGGTCAGCTGTAGGCCATCGCCTACATCCAGCTCTTGGCTTTGGCTTGCTCGTCTTGACGTGACCGTCGGTGTCCGTACGCCATCAAGAATGGCCCTCTGCCGCTGCAACAGCCGGTCGATGTCCTTCGTGCCTCGCATTGGCGTGACCAGCCGGCTGCCAAGGACGTTGCTGGGAAGCTTGCCGAGTGGGAGCCGTGCCAAGCTGGCGTTGGCTCTTGCTGCTCGTTCTGCTGGTGACTCATCGGGGTATGAAGGACCCTCGGAGAGCGCGCTCAAAAGGTCATGCGAGTAGAGGGCCTCGATGGCCGAATTTGACGGCGGCGACAAGCCGTCGAGATATCGGGTAGGCAATCCTTTGGCATCCGAGACTCGATGCAGCTGCATTGGCATTAGGCGTAAGGCCAGGCTGCTTGTCAGGCTCAGCGCGGGCGATGGATGCCTCGTGCGCATGTACACTGTGTTTCAAGGTCCATTCAGCGTCTCGCCTTCCGTCAAGTGAAAAGAGGTGTAGCGATTACTCACCCACAGGGACCTCGCATCTCCACTCCACGACCCAATGCTTTTCGTTGCCCTGCACTACCAGTCGGATCTCGGCACCACGCTCTTGGGCCGCGTGCTCTCCGGACTCGACATCGTGAGCATCGCTAGCTGTGATTGTGCGTCTCCTCGCCCTCTGAGATTTGCTTTGCTTCCTACTCTTCTGGCTCTCTGGCTTCGGAGGCGGCGGTACCTGGTCCCCTGCCCAAGATGTAGCATACATGGGTGTGACATCTTGCTGATAGGACGTCGAGGCGAGAGGAGCCTGATAGCTTGCGTCCTTCGTGTCTGTAGAGGGAATCGGAATGGTGCTGTAGCCGCCCCATTGCGATTGCTGCGACGAAGCAGTGGCATCGTCGAGCCTTGGAGCAATGTAGGACGCATCGAGGGAAACGTGAAGAGACGAGACGAGGAGAGAGAGCAGCCTTGGCGGGGCTGCCCCCACAAGATCTTCCGGTTCATTCAGGCCCTCTTCCTCCTCTTCCTCTTCTTCAGCAGACGTCTTTTTGGTCTTTGCGGGTAAGGGCAAAGCAAAAATTGGTCGTAAGCCGTTCGCAGGTGCTGGCAATTTGTTCGTAGATGCCGGCAGGCTCAATTGGATCGACGCAAGAAGGACCTCGTCTGGAGATCTAATCAGCAATCTCGCGCACAGGGGAAGAGCAAGTGAAGAGAGCTCACCATAGAACGCTAGTTGTCGACGCTTCTCTCGCTCATCTCTGCCTGTAAGCTCGACCCGCAAGCCTGCCTCGGCGAACAAGGCGCCCAGGGACGAGACGAGCGGCGAGTCACTCTTCGTGGACATCCCCTCCGGACGCCGTTGATAGGTCGTTGTCGTTGAGCACAGATGCCCAGATAAAGCGCGTCTAGTTGCTTTTCCAAGCTTCTTGCTTCGCCCGCACGAGCCAGCGGCGCGCTCAAAGGAGATCTTCTTCTGTTCTCAAGTCAGCCAGCCAGCCAGCCAGCCAGCCCATCGAGACACCTACAAGACAGCTTTGTTCCCGAAAAGAGGGCGACATGAGACCCTCGCGATCTACAGGAGGTCGACAGCAATGCGCAATGTTTTCACGATAGCGACGCAACCGTCTTCGCACTTTCGCCTGTGGCTCTTTCTGGTTTGCAGCGCCTTGGTGGGAGTCGTGGCCACTCTCTTCCTCCCCTCTTCCCCATCTGCTGCTCTCTTTCGCCATGATTATCAGCACTACTTCAGCGGCATGGGTCGCCCCCGCGAAGCTCTCAACAACGGCACACATCTCTGGGAGAAGACAGTGATTCTCTTCTCCATCGACGGCCTCAAACCATCGTACCTCACTCCAGAGCATCTTCCCAACCTGCATCGCCTCAGCTCGATCGATGACGCACGGACCCTATTTGGCCCCTCTATGTGGCCTATGTCGCCCAGCCTCACCTTTCCCAACCACTGGTCCCTCATGACGGGCCTTGAGCCCTCATCGCACGGCATCGTCGCCAACGACTTCCTTGACGTGGGAAAGAACAAGACCTTCTACTATACAGACCCGGCACGAAGCTGGGATGCCGGCTGGTGGAAGGGTGTTCCGCTGTGGGAGGCTGTCCAGCGACAAGGGCGCAGAAGCGCTAATCTCATGTGGCCTGGTCCGCCCAAAACGACTCGAGGCGCTTCTCCAGACTTCTTTCAAGAGTACGAATCGCCGAGGGATTGGCCTATGGAAAGGAGGCTAGCCCACCTTCTTCGATGGATAGACCTGCCGAGCGACCAGCGACCGAGCTTCATCTGTGGTGAGTCACGAATACCTTGTGCTAGTGAAAGCCTTGACCCAATGCTGACAAGAAACGAAAAAGGCTATGCACCAGACATTGACAGCCTAACGCACTCCCACGGTGTCAACATCTCTCATCCCTCAATCACTGAGGCGCTCCTCTCCATTGACGAGCTTCTCCCTTCGCTCCTCTCGGCCATTGCGCTCCGAAACGCTACGGATCTTGTCGACATCATCCTCGTTTCTGACCATGGCATGACGTCGACATCCAATGACCGCTTGCTCTTCCTCGACGATATCCTCGGGCCGGCCCTCTTCTCGAGGATCAAGTCGAGGCACGCCTGGCCGAATGTAGAGCTTCGATTCGAGTCGGCAGATGACGAAGACGAAGCACGGGCGGCCCTTTCGCGAGCGAGGAAAAAATACAGGACGTTCGACGTCCTCGATCGTTCTCAGCTCGTGGAGCGCTTCAATTGGTCAGCAGATGCCGGAAGCCTCCATGACAGGGTGGGCAACCTATGGGCCTTGCCAGATGTCGGATATAGCTTCACGACGCACGAAGAGATGCGCTCGTTTGAGGACGGTGTCTACTCGCCAAGAGGGTGAGTGTGTGTGGATCTTTTATCTTAATTAGAGCAAGTGCTGACATGGACGGGTATCAGCAACCATGGATACGACAGCCGCTCAGCGGACATGCAAGCCTTCTTCCTCGCCCATGGCCCTTCGTTCCGGAAGAGGCCGACTCCACAAGTCCCGACGTTTCCCAACACGGAGATCTACAACCTCGTTCTGGACATCTTGGCCGTCGATAACGCTCACAGAGCGCCAAACAATGTGCGTCTGTTGCGGCATAATTTCTGTTCTGCCCAGCCCACAGCTGACCTTTGACGTTGTTCCTGTCTGAAGGGAACGCCTCACTTCTGGGACAATTACTTGCGTGCTAATGCCATAGATTGAGTTTCAACAGAGCAACGATGTGCAGTAGATACAAGACGAGGAGAAAGAATCTCAGACGAAGTGGCATCACTCCTGCCTTGTCCTCTTTCTCTCCTGTCTAAATGCCATGATCCGTTCTCTGAGCTCCTTGTCCTCCTGCACCTCTTCCAGCTTGAGAGGCACCCGATTGAACGGGTCGGTAGCGTCCGAAAGAAGGTGCGATTTGATCGTCGATAGATCCACCACGGCTTTGCTCGAAGGCAAGACCACAGGGTGTAGCATGATTGTTGCCATGAGAGGATCGAGGAATTCATCCGGCACATCACCCAGGTCCTCCTCCTCTTCCTCCTCCATCGTCTTGAATTCCTCCACCTGGCCGACCATGCCCATCAGCACATCGAGCTCAGGGCTGCCCTTGAGCATGTGCTTCTGCGCGATCCTGCAAGCTTTCTCGAAGATCTCTTTACGATACGACCGCCCGTCCCTTGCGATGGCCTGCACAAACTCGTGCCGCGCCGCAAGGTTGAGGTAGACGGAAAGAATCTGCTTGAGGAGCTCCTTTGGGTTGAAGCGAACCTTTTTGGGATCCTTGACCTTGAGCTCCTGGCATCGCGGTCCGACGAGCAGGTCGAGATTGTAATTGAGCATCGATGCCAGCCTTGCAACAATTTCCGGTTGCATAAAGGCATCCTTGGTCTTGCCTGGCTCGCCCGTAAAGTCAATGAGCCTGGCAAGGAACTCGTGGCCAAACTGAAGCATGCTCCGGATCTGACCCTCGGTGCCGCGAACGTGTCCCTCAAACTCTTGGCGCTCCTCGGCCGTCTTTTGCTGGTATTCTGGCGAATCCATTTCGACCTGCTTCGAGTGCAGCTCCAGAAGCCGCTCGAGGGCGTCGTCCAAGAGAAAGGTCACGTCGTTGAGGAGCCGGTTGACAAAGATGACAAAGTTGGAGTCGTTGCCGCTGGCCTCGGCGTGAAGCCTCTCTTTGTGCTGCGGGTTGGACCAGATCGTCTCAAAGATTCGCGAGAGGTGGTAGCGGATGTTGAACTTGTCGTAGAACTGCGTATGGGAGCCCGTCGACTCTGCCTCGATCCAAAACGACATGAGGGCTGGTACCAAATGGCGCAGAGCCAGAGGGTGGAAGTTGATTGTGTCGCCCACGACGCCCGTCTTATTGTAGCCAAAGGGAAGCACATTGTAGAAGAGAATCTCGGCCAGCTTGGCCTTGAGGAAAGGGTTGCGAATGAACCAGCCCGAAGAGAGGAATGTTGTGCAGAACGTGACAAGGTCCGTCTTGGCCGCCTCCGTGAGCGCATCAGGCTTGTATCTGCGAGGACAATCAGCAAAATGGACAAAGCGAAGACAATATCAAGGACCTGCTCACCTCCCGAGGAAGAGGAGCACGTCGCATACATCTTCAAAGATGTGCTCTGGGAGCATTTTGAAGTGTATAGGGACCTCCTTGGGCAGAGGCAGCTCGACCTGGGTGAGCGGATGCTGGCCGCGCGGGTCGGCGACTCTGACAAGCCAAGTCATGACGAAGCTGATGAATATGACGGTCCGCGAGATGAAGTCGTCATCGAGAAGCTGGCATTCGCTTGCGAACACCTCTGCTTCCATCCGCTTGCATTCGGCCTCAGCGCGCTTGATGAATGCATCGTATTGCATCGCCTGGGGAGTAGAGGCCCACGTTGCCCGGCTTTCCTCGACCTCTTTTGTCCTCTTCTTTAGGCGTTGCATCTCCTCGACTCTATCGTTGAGCGTCCGGATGGCCTTGCCTAGCCCCAAGCTCGCCAGCCTCAGCGCGATAAAGAATGTTTCGGTGATGAAGTTCGGTGGTGATGACAGGGCTTCCGCCTGATCCGCCCATTCCTTCGCCTCTGGCTCGGTGGCATTTAGCCTGGTCAACTCGGAAACGTCAAATCGCTTCTGCCTCCGTAGATATTCAGGGTCGATTCGATCAATCTGCTCCCGGCATCGCCATGGTCAGTGCTGTCACCGTGTTGCGTAGTAAAGGTGCAGCACCCACCTTGCTGTATTTATAGTCCATGAATGGCTCAGAGAAGCGCATGAGCATCTCAAAGAGGTTGACCATGAAGCCGTCCGTGGCCACCTCCCTTGCCCTGGCTCTCATGGCGCCTCTCTTTCTATTGAGATCGCACGCTCGGCCCCAGTAGGCCAGGACTGCCTCCCTTGGCCCTGGTCCTGCCCTGACAAGGCTATTGAAGATTCGAAAGTGGGCCGAGTGCAACACGGCCAGCGTCGTCCTGAGCGATGAATGGGCGCTCGCCATCCGAGCACGGTCTCCGTCGCCGTAGAACTGGTCGCAGAGGGAGGGCGATGTATCGGCAAAGGACGATAGCCGAAGCACGGGCCCTAGCAACGACTCTCTCTCCAACGTCGGACCACTCGCCGTTGAGGGGTTGAAGTTGGGCAGCGATGTCATCTGAGGTAAGAGTGGAAATCAGCTTGAGCATAGGACAAGAGAAGGTCCTGTAACAAGACTCACGGCGGACGCAATAGGCTTTACATCAGCGCAATCGGCCATGGCCATCACGTAGACATTCCACTCCATCCCTCCGATGTTCATGCCCTCCTTCTGGTTTAGCCCGAGAGAAGGGACAGGAGCGGCAGAGGCATTGCCTGGCGGTCTTGTCGGAGCACCGGGCATGCCTGCCTGTCCCGCCTGGCCGAGCAGATGAGCAAGGACCGCCTGTACATCTCCAGCAGCGGCAGCCCTATTCAGCGCATCGTTGGCGTTTGCATTGGCGTTACTGCTGCTGCTATTGCCGCTTCCATTCGCAGACGTCTGCTGCGAAGAGCTTCCCGGCCCTTTCCCAGTACCATCATCGGGTCCGTCTCGGATCTGACGCGAGATCTCTGTCAGCGCTGGGCCCAGGACCTCGTCGAGGCCCTCGCCGTCGAAACGTCTTGCGAGGTCGGTGAGCATGAGCGGCAGCTCAAACGGCTCAAATGTCGCCCATCGATTGGCGTCACCGAGAGAGAAGGCCAAAGCACTGCTGCTGGCTGAAGACGACGAGTAAGGGTCGGTGGTGCTGGCAAGGGATCCAGACCCCTGCTTCAGAAGCGACGGGACAAGACAGAGGGGCGAGACTTGGCGCTGTCGAAGGTAGCTCGTAGATGGCTTCGAGTGGTTTGGGAACATGTCGGGCGTGTTGACGATGAGGCCAAGGTAGGAGATGATGAGTGACCGGACCTCTTCGAGGGAAGAGACGACTGGGGCTGACTCGCTGCTTCCCAAGTCCTGTAAAGCAAAAGAAGTCGTGTGAGTGAGAAGCAGAGTCCAGGCCGTGCTGCCGCGACACCCTGACGCACCTTTCTTGCTCTGCTCTCTTGTGCCCTGCATCTTTTCCAGGCTCCCACGAGATAGTCGTACGAGGTCTGACCCTTTGGAAGGCCGGCCAAGACGGCTAGCAAGTCAGAATCGTCGCTCATAATGTCGCCCTCGGTGTCGAGGGAGAGCCTTGCGATGAGGATCCTGTCGGCAATCTCGGGCGAAGGCGCAGGAACTGCCGAGCTCGCTGGGTCAGAAGCGTGCGCTTGCATGCACTCCCGACATCACTCACTTTGGCCGCCATTCTCCTGCTTGAGCTCCTCGGTGAGCTCCTTGAGGTACGTCAGCTCCCAATTGCTCGCTTCGGCCTTTGTTCGCTGTAGACATGCGGGAGGATGAGCACTTTTAGAACATCACAAAAGCTTCCCTGAAAACCCACGTCGAATGTGATGTTGAAGATGTCGACTGTGGCCGCCGCTTTGGCATCCTCGGTGGAAAGAGGAGGAGCCATTGCCTCGGTGGTCGCTCGTCGTCGTATGGTGGAGAATGAATGCCCTTCTCAAGGCAATGATTGCGCGTTCGCATAAGTCGGCCGAGCCTCCCATCGCCGCACGGGCCTGTTTGCGAATACTTAGAAGTCGCAAAGGGAAAAAGGCAAAGAGTCACTGCAATCCTTCTCTTGACAAAAGACGACCTCTCGCTATGGCTTCCTCGCAGCAGCAGCAGCAGCAGCAAGTGTGCGACTTCAAGAAAGCGCCTGGAGCGCCTACAAGTGGTGTGCTGGGCTCTACCAGCGTCGACGAGCATACACACTCGCACGACCAGCACACGCACTCGCACGACCACAGCAACCCCGCCCAGGAGCACGGCCACACGCACGAGATCATGGAGCACCCGGGCAAGTTCTCCGACCGCGACGTCGCCAACTTTGACCAGCGAGACTGGGACGAGCGGGCGTTCACCGTGGGCATCGGCGGACCGGTAGGCTCCGGCAAGACGGCGCTGCTGCTGGCGCTGTGCCGGCGCCTGCGCGAGCGGTACAACCTCGGCGTCATCACCAACGACATCTTCACGCGCGAAGACCAGGAGTTCCTGATTCGCAACTCGGCGCTGGAGCCGACGGACCGTGTGCGCGCCATCGAGACGGGCGGCTGTCCGCACGCGGCGATCCGCGAAGACATCTCTGCCAACCTGGCCGGCCTGGAGAGCCTGCAGGCCAAGTACGGCTGCGAGCTCCTCTTTGTGGAAAGCGGTGGCGACAACCTGGCTGCCAGCTACTCATCCGAGCTGGCCGACTTGCACGTCTACGTCATTGACGTCGCGGGAGGAGACAAGGTGCCCAGAAAGGGCGGACCTGGCATCTCGCAGAGCGATGTTCTCGTCATCAACAAGATCGACCTGGCCCCCTACGTCGGCGCCTCCCTCGACGTCATGAAGCGGGACGCAAACATGATGCGCGACACGGGACCAACAGTCTTCACCAGTGTCAAGAATGGCGATGGCGTCGAGGACGTCGTCGACCTCATCCTCAATGCAAGGAAGAGGGCAGGGGCAGAGGGCCACGGCAGGCCGCTTTAGGTTGAATGTCGTCATTAATGTTATGACAGAGGGAGTGGACTATAACACAGTTTTGCCAAGGGACCGAGGAGAGAAAAGAAGTCCCTGACTGAATAGCAGAGAAGAGGAGTGGAGAGGAGAGAAAGAGAAAAGAGAAGGGAGAGAGGAAGAGCACACGCATTACCCCATCATGCTGTTCTCGGCAAAGAGCTGAGGAACGCCGTTAATCTCTGCATGATTCTGATACAAGACCGGATTTCGTACTCACATTGGTCAGGTAGGAGTCGTAATCAAAGGCGTCCTCTTCAAGACCGTCGATTTGGGTCTGGGGCATAGCCTGTGTGAGATAGTCAATTGACTCCTGAGGCAGCAGAGCATTGCGAAGATCCAGCTCGGTGAGGTAGGGCTGTAGGCAGGCATTCCAGTCAGCATTCAATCTCACCGAACTGAACATCGCTTGAGCTCACCTTGTCGGCCGCCAAGCCCTGGAATGCTTCGAGGAGCTGGTCGGGGCTTGTCGAGTCCTCTGAAATCTCGCGCAAAAAGGTCAGGAAGGCGTCGTAGGAGACGGATCCAAATTGTTCGCAGAGCTGCAGGAAGATCTGCTCGACGTCCTCGTCGACGTAGACGATGCCCAGACTAGCTAATGCGGCATTGAATTCAGCCAGGGTGAGTGTGTTGGAGGCGTCCTTATCAAAGTAGCGGAATGTGCTCTCGAATTCTTCGAGCTGGGCCGGCGTCAGGTTCGTGTGTTGCCGTGAGACGATTTGGTTTTCGATGAAGGCCAGCTTCTTGGCCACGCTCGTCGTCACCAGCTCCAGCTCGAAAACGAGATCATCAAGCGTGAAGACGGTGTGGTCATTCTCCTCCACGTTGGCTTCCTTGCATTGGTTCTCGACAGCCTCCAGCTGCCGTAACTCTTCTCCAAGAGGCACCAGGTCTCCCTGCAGCGCCTTGACGCGAGCTCTCTGACCCTCGAGGTCGCCGGCAAGTGTGGCTGTCGCTGCGCCAATCTCTCGCAACCGTGCCTCAAAGCCATTGGCCAGGCCAGCAAATCTCCTTCGCAACGTCTCCTTTGCGTTTCGTATCTCTGCATTGATGCTTCTACTGCGCGTTGCTTCGGCCGAAGCGAGCTTCAGCCAGGCATCATCGATGTTGTGCTGCTGCAGGCCCAAGGCAGGGAGCCATTCGCGGAGGTGGTAGGTCTTGAGCTTGGTTTGGATGTTGCCAAGCAGCGCACCGAGGTCCGTCCGCTCTCTGACCCAGACCCGCTTCGTGGCGCCCTTGTATGCATTGAAGTCCGTCAGTTGCCGCTTGGCGTCGGCATAAGTCCCGGCAAACGTCGCCGACGCCCATGCGGCTTGAGCCTCGGCCATCGACTTGAGAAGCTGTTGCAAGTTAATATGAGACATGAGCTTACGTTGCTCAGCACCTGCACCGGAGTGAGACTCACCGCCATTGCACGGCGTTCGTAATCTTGCTGCATCAACCAGGCGCCGTGCATAACATCTGCAAAGGCAGCCACTCGACGGCTGACGGCCTCTGCCTGCTCCATGGAGCTGAAGGCGTGGAAGTACTGGGCGACGTACGTCATGACGGACCGCTCATCAGGCTTCTTGGTGTCGCACAAGTCTTCGACGTCGAGAAGCTGGGGAATGTCAAGGTGCTGCTGAGCTACATCAAAGGCCAGCTTCGTGCAGCGGTGTCGATCGGTCTTGTCGAGAGCATCGTAATTGAGCAGGTCCGGTCGATGCCGGTGAATAAGGGCACAGAGAGCCAGGCCAGACTTCCACGAGTGCGAAAAGTCGACGACATCGACCTCCTTGTATGGCGCCGTCTTGCGCTGGCACCAGAGCAGCAGACCCTCCTTTGCGTTGACACCTTCCTCACTGTAAGGAACAAAAGATGTCAGAAGAAGACATTAACACTTGACAAGGCCGTTCCTTCTTACCTGATGTCGGCAATGGTGAATCGCAGGATGAGAGTCCAGATCATGCCCAGGATGAGTTTCAAGTTGCCGTCCACGATGTCTGCGGAAGAGGTGATCAGCTCTGTACTTGGGCCCCCTCTCGGAATTAACTCACCTTCAGCTCCAACGTTGGTCAAGACGACGCCTCTGCTTTTGATAAATTCAAGGGCCTTGTTGACATTCTCGGCCATCTGGACTCGCATCTTCGGCTGCTTGTAGAACCTCCCCAGACTGGTGTCGCCCATAATCTCCATGAGCTCTATCAACCTGACACCATCTGAGAGATCCGTCGCCAGCGACACCATTGGTGGGATGGACCGGGACTCTAGCTTCGTATTGAGCCTGCGCTCGTCGTTGTTCGTCAGCGGACCCGCGAAGACGAAGACAGCTGCCATGATCGTCTCACCATTTGCAAAACGTCTTTGCCTGTGTCTCCTCCCAGCCTCGATCCAGGTCGGGCAGACCGACGAGCTGCTTGGACGCTCTTTTGTAGTGGCCCATCGTCTTCTGACGGCCTAAGATTTCCTTGCTCGCGCGGAAAAAGGCGGTGCTGGAGTGGAGACGAGAGAGTGAGCAGAGAGAGACCAACACCAAAATACTTAAAAACGCGCCTTTGCCGTCCCTCGTCCGTCGCTGCACGGACGGGCGATTTTGAACACGTGAATCATGTACCCTGAAGGTGGAGAACATTGTCGCATGACTGCAACGACGACACCAGCTCAGGTATTTTTTCGACTCAGCTTACCGACAGACGATGACTTCGGCACTACGATGGGTCCCGCTCGAGTCGAACCCGGAGCTCTTCTCGAGCTGGTCATCGTCGCTGGGCCTGGACACAACAAAATACGAATTCTGTGACGTCTTTGGCCTTGACGATGAGCTCCTGGCCATGGTGCCACAACCGGTCCATGCCGTCCTGCTTCTCTTCCCTGTCACAGAGGCCTACGAAGCCAAGAGACACAAGGACGACGAAGGGGTGATCGAGTCTGACAAGCCCGAGGGAGATGGCGAGCTCCTCTGGTTCAAGCAAACGGTTTGTATCTTGCTCGAGCCCACATACAAGAGGATGATGCTAACTCCTAGAGACGAAAACAGATCGGCAATGCTTGCGGTACCATTGGGCTGCTTCACGCCCTCGCAAACACGTCAGCCTCGGAGACACTTCCCAAAGATTCTCCGCTGGCCACCCTTTTTGCAGACGCACGCCCATTGGCTCCCGTAGATCGTGCTGCCTTGCTACAGACGTCCAAGAGCTTGGCCCAAGCGCACACGCAGGCCGCTGCTTCGGGCCAAACGGCCGCACCAAGCGCAGACGACAAGGTCGATCTCCACTTTGTTGCCTTTGTCAGGCACCCAAAGACTGGAGACCTCGTGGAGCTCGATGGACGGAGAAAAGGCCCTGTCAACCGGAAGGTCAAGGTCGAAGAGCAGAAGGACCTTCTCAAGTTGGCGACTTCATGGATCAGAGATAGTTACGTAGGTGTCTCTCTGTGCGTTCCACAGGGGTGGCTTCCGCTTACCTCTTCTTACCTCGACACAGATGGCATTGGACCCCACAGAGGTCAACTACAACCTCATTGCTCTGTCCGAGGTGCAGCAATGATGAAGCAACACTAGTCAGAGAAATGAGATTAAATTGTGAAACTGCCGCCAGTTCACAGCGTGCCACAGCCGATTCCAAGTCCATCATGTTGCCGTGAGAAGAAGATGAGACCCTCTAAGAGCAGCACGACCCCTGCGTCTTGTTACCCTGAGCGCCGACGTTGATGCCACCCGATCCACCGAAGCCGCCCGCCGCATCGCCTGTCTGGCCAGGCGCACCGCTGGTGCTCTGAGCCGTGTCGATGAGTCTCGCCTTCACGTCACGCGCAAGGGTAAAGAAGGCATCCTCGACCTGGGTGTTTGCCTTTGCCGACGTTTCGACGTATCGGATGCCAAGCTCGTCTGCCAGCGCCTGACCCTGCTCCTGCGTCACCACTCGCTTCTCCTCCCAGTCCGACTTGTTTCCCACGAGAATCTTTGATACGCCCTCAGAGGCGTGCTGCTCAATGTTGGAGTGCCAAGTGCGAATGTCTATAGTGCAGAATGTCAGCTGAAGTTCAGCTAATTGCTCAGGACTTATAGACCGCAACGTACTTTGGAAGGACCGCTCATCAGTGACATCGTAGACGAGAAGAATGCCCATCGCTCCACGGTAGTACGCCGTTGTGATTGTTCGGAAGCGCTCTTGTCCGGCCGTATCCCACTGTGGAGGTTGGTTGGTGCAGAGGTCAGCAGCTGTAGTCGCCAAGGGTGCACGCAGGGCTAACTGACAATTTGCAGCTTGATACGCTTTCCGTCGAGCTCAATGGTCCGAATCTTAAAGTCGATGCCAATCGTTGTGATGAACGACGGAGTCCAAGCGTCGTCGCAGAAACGGAGGAGCAAGCATGACTTGCCAACACCTGTGGAGATAGAGTCAGTACGAGCATCAGCGATGCTGAGCCTCAAGCCACTTACCGGAGTCTCCAATAAGGAGGAGCTTGATCAGGAAGTCGTAGTGTGGGTTCGGCATTGTGGAGACGACTACGACGACGACGACGGTGGGCGACGGCAGGTCCAGACGGCGACGGCGAAGTCCGCATTGGATCCAGAGATGGCCTAGATCATGCACGTGGCTCCACGTGTGTCTCAGTGGATTTTAAGTTTTCTCGAAGTGGAACAAAGGAAAAAAAAAAAGTTGTCATGAACAAGCGCCATCAGTTCTTCTTGTCTGTGACGCCCTCCTACAACAAGGACAGCAACGCCCACTACAATGGGCTCAGCAGCACGAGTGCAGTATGAGCTCGAGAGGACACTGCCTTCGCTGCAGCTGTGCGACGAGCGAGGCATCTTCTCCAAGGATCAAGAGATTCGACAGATCACGCACCGTCGCTCGCAGTTCGAGCAGACGCTCGTTCGCAGGCACGTCCGGCCAGACGACTTCGTAAGATACTTTGAGTACGAGAGCAAGCTCGATCAGCTCCTGCACTTGCGTATCGCCAAAGTCGATCTCTCTCCAAAAGAATCGGCACAGCTTCGACGTGACAGCTCTGCACACATCGTCTCCATCTTCGAGCGCGGCGTGAAGAAGTGTCGATACGATGTCGATCTTTGGCAGCGTTACATCAAGTGGGCCTCGGAAAAGGGCATGCGGGTCGTTGTTGGCCGCATCACCGCTAGAGCCATTGCGCTCCATCCTACAAAGATCGAGCTCTGGTTGAGCGCGGCCAATTACGAGCTCAACGTGAATCACAATGTTGCTGGAGCTCGCGCGTTGCTCCAACGCGCTCTGAGGGCAAACGCCATCCCTCATCGTCCTGTTCGAGCTGAGCCGCCTATCGCACCACCGCCAGCAAAGAGGCTTAAAGGAAAAGGAAAAGGGAAAGCAAAGGCGGTATCCGACGAAAGTGAAGAGGATAATCTCGAAGGCGAGCGAGCTACTCTGAAGCTCTCGGACAAGGAAAAGGAACTTGTCCACCTCTGGGTCGAATACGTCCGCATGGAGCTTGTGTTCCTTGAGCGTGTACGCAGGAGACGTTTCGTCCTCGGTAACAAGGACGACGACAACGATGCTTTGCGAGAGGCGCAGAGACTTGAAGAGGCCGTGTCCACAAGTAAACCCGCTGCCGAAGAGGATGAGGACGTCGCGAAGGGCGTCCCCGAGAGCGACGAAGGAGTTGAGTCGGGACCTCAGGAAGGCGAACACGCTCAAGTGACTGAAGCTCCGAAAGACTCGTTGTCCGTCTTCGGTGGAGGCATCGTCGCAATGATCCTCAAGAGCGCCACGGACATCAACTCGTCAGCATCTTTGCCCCCGCAGACGCACTTTGGCTTCATCCTGGCTTTCATCAAGCTCATTCGTAGCTTTCCGTTTTACAAAGGTCAGAAGGTCGCTTCGAGCTTGCTGGAGCGAGCGTGCGACACGCTGCAAGCTCGTTATCCCTCGGACGCGGCCGTCATGGCTTTTATCGCTGGTCGTTTTGTGGTCGAGGGCGACATGAGCATCGACGAAGATCTCGAGTCGAAAATATTCAAGAAGCGAAGCAGGCTCTGTGATCCCTCGAGCGGACCGACCAAGAACTGCTTTGCCGAGTCCACTGAAGCAATTGCTGACTGGAAACGGTATGACAGAGATCGAGAGGACGGCGAAGCCCTCAATAGAGAACGGGTGATGGCCTATGTGTTGAGTAACGTCGCTCGCGGCTTGAGTATACCCTCCCTGCGAGCTCCAGGAAGCGATGGTAGAGTTGCGCCCCAACGCATCAGTGATGCCATTGATGCTCTTTCTACCCTCAACAACAGCGAGAAGGTGCCTCAATCTGCGCACTATGCTGCTCAGCTCCTATTGATCGCCAAGCTTCACCGCACCATACGGGGCAAAAAGCTCGAAGAGCTCGAAAATTATCTTCTAGCGGCTTTCAACAAATGCTTCAAGGCTGCGGAAAAGGCAAAGAAGGCGGACGCCGATGTCATGGCCGCCTACTTGAGCAACGAGTTTTTAAGACTTCAAGAGGAATACAGGGAGAGCGACGCCTTTTTTGATCGAAAGAGAAAAGAGAAGGCTATCAAAGGCCTTACCGCACTCTACAAGCGAGCGGCTACCGCCATCGAAACGTTCGAAACGGTTGACACGCTGGGCAACTATAATGACGCGCTCCTGGACATCCTTTTGAGCAGGATACAAGCCAACATGCTCGTGGCGGAGGCCGTCAGTGCTGTCCCCGAAGGCGAAGTAGGCACTTGGGTGATAGTGAGGAAGGCGCCAGAAGAGATCGATCTCGAGAACGCTTGGGCGGGCTATCTGGAAGGCGATAGGACCGGTGACGAATTTTTCAACAACCTACTCTGGGAAAAGTGGTGCTACTATCATACGAAGGATCCTGTAGGTTCGTCAGGCGGCTACTACAGATCCTACTCACCAGAAGCGCGGAAAGATCTGGCGAAAGCCATGAAGACGACGATGAAGATGCCAATGCACCACCACTCGGTTCTTCTGTATTTCTTCTGGTGCCTTGTCGTTCACAAACCTGTCGACTTGCTTTACCCTTTCAACGGCGGCCTCTACATGTCGACGGGCGACGAAGAGGACATAAGCGGGCGCGAGAGAGCCGCCAACGGCGGACGAGCTTTGAAGGCTCTCAAGCACATCGTGGAAAAGGCGAACGCGACAGTCAAATTCTACCGGTGGGCTATCAATGTCACCTTGAATGAGCTCAGACGTCCGGTGGTTCCCAGTGACGCGGTCGGAGCAGGACAAGACGCTGACAGGATCACCAAGGGCACTCTCAACAAGGTCGTTGAGGTCCTTTTTGAACGTGTGGAGAGCCTGACGCGAAACGCAGATTCGGCAACCCTAGACGAGCACCACGTTGATGACGTCAAGCAGAAGCTCGTTTACTTCGCCGTGATTAAGAAGGATGTCGCCGAGGCGACAAAGGTCTTCAGTGGGGCATTGGCGAAGTTCAGCAGTGCCAACAAGCCGGAGCTGAGGGCGTCGCTCGAGCAACAGTGGAAGCGTATCACAGACATGTTGGCAAAGGGGGACGACGACGAAGAGGAGGGGGAGGAGGAGGAGGAGGAAGAAGAAGAAGAAGAAGAAGAAGAGGGAGACGAGGACGAAAATGAAAACGAAGACGAAGGCGAAGATGGAGACGAAGAAGAGGATATGGACGAGGACAAGGAGAATCAGATCATTGCAGGTCATGACTTTGACGAAGTGGCTTCTGACTCGGGATCTGATGCGGCCGAGGGAGAGAAGTGATCATGTGCTCAGCTCTCTCCTTCCTTTTTACTTGTACGATGAAAGCGACGGCCCCCTAAACACACGTAGACATCTGTAATTAAAGCCAATCTCTTAATGTAGATCGTATCCAATTTCCATCAAGAGCGAGACTGGAAGACACAACAGATGTGTGGGTGCAACAAAAGAGGGAAGGTAAGGCGTATCGATGAAGAAGTTAGAAGAGGGCAGGATTCGGCGTGCACACGTCTTTGCGAGAGTGTATGGCAAGTCTAGTATGTGGGAGGACCAACACAAAGAAAAAGAGGAGACCGTGGCCCTACTCGCTTCCATTGGCACCGCTGCTCCCTGACGCCGTTGCGTGGTTTGCAAAGTACTTTTGCACAACCTCGGACTGCATCTCTTCCGGCAATGCTTCCACCTTGGGGTAGAACTTCTCGCCCCGCTGCACGAAAAATCGCGGCGTCCATGTCTCATTCTTCTCCTCGCGCTCGCGGACACGCTGCCGTTGGGCATCTTCGATGGCCGTCTTGTTCTCCGTGGCTTTGTCCAAGTTCTTCTCCTTGATGCCATCCGTCACCTTTGTCCAGAGTCTGAAGTGAAGTGAAAGAGATTTTAATGTCAGGCCAAGCCCACCACCAATTGTTCACTGGACTCACCTCTTCGACTCAAACTCCTCCTGCTCTTCCTCGGGCCGAACCTTCTTCTCGACAATCTTTGCCGTCTTGACATTGAACAGCTCCTCGGTCTCGCCAGTCTTTGTGTTCTTGTAGTCCATGCTCTCGCTCCACTTGCCGCTGATGTCGCCAACGTGCTTGCTGCCTCTTGACACCTTGCCCGCAATGGCATTGTACGTCCCGGTGAAGTAGCCCTGAGAAAATCATCCCTTTTAGGCTTTCAACCCTTCCTTAGCGGAACGTTGTCGAGACTCACCTTAGTCTTGAACTCCACGTCTGCCGTCAAGTCGTTTGCTTCGTTGCGAATCTTGCTGTGGTCGCCCAGCTCGAGCACCATCTTTCCAAACAGAATACCGCGTGCATAGCTGCAAATACACATGCCAGAAGTCAGCACCAATACAATCGCAAGGATAAAATTCGCTGAACAACGCACTTCGTAGGCATTCCGATCTCGTACTCGCCATCCTCTGGCCGGTCGAGCAGCACGACACGGTTCTCGCCTCCCATAACATTGGCCGCAGAGTTGCCGAGGAACTTGGACTTGGGCTTCAGCTCGCCGTAGATCAGCAGATTGTTGGCCGGCGACATGTAGAAGTAGGCAGAGATGGGTGGGTGGTGCGAGACTGGAGCGTAGGGCTTGTCAGTAAGGAGAGCAGCGACTGAGAAGCAATGGCCTTACCTTGCTCAGCAATGTAAAAGCCGTCAGTGTCGTTCGGGTACCGGTAGGAGCATCGAAAGTGTTCTCCAAGGACGGGGTTGTATCTTAGGAGCCGAATGTCAATGGCAGGCCTGGCATACCGCTGAGGGTCTTTCACTCACGGCTTCTTGACTCCCTTTGGCTTGATGTGCCAGCCGGAGAGGTAGTACCGAGTGACTTGGAGGAAGCGCTTTTCCGGATCGTCGATGCCACCAGCACTGTCAAAGCATGGGGAGTGAGCAAAGCGTGGATGCGACGAGGCAGGGGCAGGGCCAAGGGCAAAGTTCTCACCCAAAGATGAGGTCAGGGTGGCTCATGAAGTCCTGCGGGATTGCGCGAAGTCAGCTTATCACTACCGAGGGAGGCTCAGCGAGAGGGCATGGCTCACCGTGATTCGCTCGAGCATGCTCCGTGGCTCGAGAACAAACGTAGGCAAAGTGACTTTGCTGAGGTCCATTCCAATCCTCAGCTGGCCAATCAGGCTCATGAGGATGTTTCCACTCTCCTCGTCGAGCTCCTCGGTGTCATCGGCCGACGCTCCCTCAGGAGGGCGGTCATCTTTGCCTGGCTTCACAGCGGCACCCTTGGCACCGCTCACGGCGCTGTTGACGTGGTCCAGGAGGCCCATCTTTCCTTGGCTATGGCTCTCTGCAGGGCGGTCGTCCGGAGCGCGATACGTGCCAGATTGGAGCAATGAGAAAGGAAGTCAAGGGAAGATGAGGCGAGGTGAGGAAGGGGGACAGTGCGCAGCGTTTCGTGAGCGAAATGAGAGAAAAGAGGAGAGAGAAGGAGTGCGCACCTTTTTGCAAGCAAGAGTAAGAGAGGCAGAAGGACAAGGAGGCGTTGCAAGTCGCGTGCGCTCCACAAGCTTGGATCTCAGAAGCGTGTGGCTCGTTGGGTACACGAGAGGGAGAAGGACGTAGAAAGAGAGAGCGAGTAGAGACCTCGCGCTTGTCGTTGTAGGCGGAGCGGATGAATGAGGAAATTTAAAGTCGAGGCCGGGTCGTGTGTCCGAATGGCGATGGCTCCAGGCTAAGTGACGGCGGGATCGTGACGTCGGTCGCCCTCTCGCTCGCTTGAAAAACGAGGCCTGTCCGAACAATATGTGGAGATATAGCGATACAACAATTACACTCAATTTCCAAAGTGAAACAAGGGGAAGACGATATTGGAATTGATCTGGCACGTGTCCACGCTTACAACTTCGACTTGGAGGACGGCGAGGGAGCCACCCACACGGCTTTGTGACCGTCGTAGACGATGCTGGCTCCAGCGGTGGGCGCGCTGGACCAAGCCCTGTCGGCGAGACCGGGAACATGCTCGCTCCACTGTGTGTCTCTATGAGTCAGTTTGCGTACTTAGAGAAGAATGAAAAAGTACACACCTCTTGGACAAAGTGGCCGCCTTCGGGAATGACATGCCAATAGTAGCCGGTTGACGCTCCAAAGAGCCGCTTGGCAAGAGCTTGCATGACAGGCTCGCCCAGGACTGGATCTGCTTTCCCAACGACGAAGAAGACGCTGAGTGGCGAGCCCAGGCTCTGGCCAGAATCTCTGCCCTGACCCTGCGGGGCTGAAGGCTTGGCGAGAGTGTTTGAGGTGAATGCGGCGGGAGGCAGGGCGTTGAAGTACGCCAGGGCAGCGTAGCTGTCGGGTACCCCGCGCATACTTGGGTGCACAGGCACAAGTTGCTGGAGAGGACTTTAGGATGACCATGAAACTTTTGGATGAAAGTACAGCAATGTGACTCACTGGGAATCGACGCACGCCAGCCTTTGTTCGCTCGCCCTGGAATGGGGCACTGTATGCTGCGACTTCGCGGTCCGAGAGGGGTGTTCCGCGGGCCAGCAGCGCACCCACATCGACGTCAGGAGAGCGTTTGATAAAGTCTCGGAAGTTGATCCACCCTTTCGAGGGCATCTTGCCCAGTCCGAGACCGGTATTCATGACGATGAGATGAGTGAAGAGGCTTGGGAAGAGGCTTGGGAGCAGAAGCCCCAGTATGCCTCCCCAGTCTACAATCTATGTCAGCCAGTTGCAAAGCCTCGTCTCTACTGAGCATCACAGATACTTGCCCTGAACGACGAGCGTGACTCGTCCCCCCTGCCTGGTCCGGTCGTCCTCAACAATGTGCTGGGTGACAAAGTGGAGAAGCCAATCTCGGTGCATGTCGAAGGTGTAGAAGTCGTCCTCGACAGGCTTGTCGCTCTGTCCAAAGCCGATCAGATCGGGCACCAGGACCCTCCTTCGGATGTACCTATTGTCTTCACTTGCGTGCGGTCTGGGGCTGGCCTGGTTCAGGAAGCCGGGAATCATTTTTCGGTAGAGGTATGACCATGTTGGCTCGCCATGGAGGCAGAGGACTGTTTCAGTCCGCACCTTGTGATGTGCCTCAAAGTGCGACTCGTCAACAGGCGAGCCCGATTTGACATCGAGGAGGGGTCCTTCGACATCGAGGTAAGCGTATCTGAGGTTGCCCCACGTCGAGAAAGTTGCACGGTAAGGAAAGCCTGGCAGCGAGTCAAACCGATCCGAGGGCGTCCGATAGACGAGCTCGGGCTCGACGTGCGGTGGCGGAGACATGGCGTTGGGCCGTGGACACAAGGCTATGTGGTTGCTGAATGCTTCGAGCACTCATGTGACTGCCGGCTGAGACGGATCTTGGTGGGGCTGGCTTCTCTTTTTCTCGCACGGGCTTCGACTTAAGCGTGCATGCATCTCAGACTCGGTGCCCGGCGGCTTTAGTCCAAAAAGGGGAACCGATTGCACCATATTCCCTCCGTCTTTCACGCCGAGCCTCCGACTCTTCTCTTCTCCTTCACGATCACTGTGATCCACGAGCCATGGCCAGAGACAACATTGCGCCTGCCCTCACGCTGGACTACTCCGAGTGGGCCTCGTCGGATCCCCAGACAAAGGACGAGTTTGTCAAGCAGCTCCGCGAGGCTTGCTCCGGACTGGGCTGTGAGTGGCTTGCTGCTGTGAAACGGGGGTTGTCACCAGATTTTCAAATTGACGCAAACGGCAGTCTTTTACCTCATCAACACCCCCTTGACCAAGAAGGACTCGGGCGCCTCGCTCCGAGATCGCGTCTTTGACATCAACAGACGCTTCTTTGAGCTGCCGCTCGAGGTGCGTCAGAGCATCAGGATCGACAACAGCCGCCACTTTCGCGGCTTCACCAAGTTCGGCGATGAGCGCACGAGGGGCAACGTCGACCACCGAGACCAGGTGAGCCAGCTTGTGGCGCAAGACACCCTTCTCCCACCCCATCCCTAAAGCAACCTTCGTTTTCTCTTGGGGACACAGATCGACTATGGGCCCGAGGTGGAGCCCGTGCCCGCGGAGCTGTGCGAGAAGCACCCGTTCCTGAATCTTTTGGGGCCCAATCAGTTCATGCCCGACTCTGCCCTTGAGGGCCATCGCGCGGTGGTGCTCGAGTACTTTGAGGCATGCCGGCGCCTCTCTGTGGATCTGACGACGGCCATCGAGCTGGCTCTGCTCAACAAAGTCGATGGCAGCCTGCTCCGCTTCCTCGAGGGCCAGGGCGGCAAGGAGCAGGAGATGGGCCGGCGGCCGTATGCGCGAATGAAGACGATCCGCTACCCGATGGCAGCCCGAGAAACTGTCGATGGCATCCCCAGATTGAAGGAGAGTACCCAGGGAGTCGGCGCCCACAAGGATGGCATGGTACGTGTCTTGCTTTCTTCATTTACTTCTGGCCGTACAACTGGCTAATATGCGTGCGTGAAAAAGTGGATCACGCTCCTCTGCACATCGCAGCACGGCGGTCTTCAGGTCCAATCGCTCGCCGGCGAATGGCTCGACGTGCCCCCTCGGCCCGACGCCGTGATTGTCAACTTTGGCCAGCAGATCGAGCGGGTCAGCCAGGGCGTCATCAACGCCGCCTCCCACCGCGTCCTGAGCACGGCAGACAGCGCCAGTGCCGCGCTAGGAGATCGTCTGTCGGTCGCTTACTTTGCATCGCCCGCTCTCAATGCCCAGATCGATCCTCTGCCCCAGGAATCGCTCTCGCGCGAGATCATCGAGGCGTGGAAGAAGGCCAGGGAGGAGAGGAAACGGGCGCTGGGCAGCGAAGAGGCGATCAGCGATGTTCCCAAGGGCGACCTGTGGGGCGCAGAGGACAGCGCGTTTGGGGAGCAGGCCTGGCGAGGAATCACGCGCTCCCACCCAAATGTTGTCGAGAGGTGGAAGTACGCTCTGCCCGTGTAGATGATGGGGTAAACGAACGCTGTAATTCATGTTCAGAGGCATCGATGGCGTCTTCATATCAACTGAAGCCTGACAGAGACTGAACAACCAGAAGAATCTTGAAGCGAAGGGGGGAATAGATGTATCTTCTATCGGATGTTTGTACAAGAATTGGATCACGAGAACTTCCTTGGTCCCTTGACCTTCTTTGATAGGGCCTCGTCCTCCTCGGATTGCTCCTCGGTCGCCTTTCTCTTCTTCTTCTCCCTCGTCGCTTTCGGCGAAGTCGTCGAAGCTGTCACCTCTCCGTTGCTCTTCCCCTTGCGGCCCCGAATCTCATCGATCTTCTCCTGGACGCTCGTTCGCACTTCGTCCCACACCTCGGGGTCCAGATAGGGCGACACGGCCGTGCCAAGGGACGACAAAGTGTTGTCCCGTGTGTTGCTTGACGCCTTCTTCCCTGTCGACGAGCCGCCCTCCCCTCGCCTCGACAACGCACTGGGCGGGTGGAACCAGTAGTTGAGCGCCATGTGCACGGCTGGTGGGTCGCTGCTGCTTCCCTTGGCCGGTGCCTCAGAGTAGGACGTTACTTCGTGGTACCAGCTGGCAGGCAGGTAGAGCATCTGACCCGGCTTCAGGTGAACCTCAACAGGCGGCGGGCAGCCAGGCCTTGGGAAAAGCGGTCGTTGCTTGATTGGCTTTCTCCCATGCTCGTCTTGAAACGCCTTGTTGGCTTTCTGCTGCTCCTCGACGCTCGCAGCAGGATCGTCGGGGACCTGAAAGTACCAGTGCAGAGCCTTTGGCGTGATCTTGCTGAAGCTCATCGGGTCCTCCTCGTCCAAGTCGACATCGACGCCTTCGGCTTGCAGTCGTGCCAGTGCATCCAAAGTCGCTTCGCCATCTTCAGCATTGGACCATTCGGAACCGGACTCATCAGCCTCCGCCGCAGCAACGGGAAAGCCGTTGATCTCCTCCTCCTCGTCTTCTTCCTCGTCCTCGTCCTCATTCTCGTCGTCATCGTCATCGTCATTGTCGTCGTCATCGTCTGCTTCTTCACTTTCGCCTTCCGCATCTGGCGGCCGACCGCGGATTTCTTCGTCTTCGTCAGAATCGGACATGAGTCTTGCGACCATCGCTATTCGATTGTCAATGGCGGCGACCATGTCTACGCCATCTTCTAAGTCGTCGTCTTCTTCGTCGAGTCCAAAGTGCTCATGCTCCCCCTCGCTGTCCCAATCGTCCTCTTCCACTTCTCCCGGTCGCGCGTCGAGCCGACCGCGAAGACCGCCAGGCAGACCGCCCTTGGGGATCTTCAGGGGAGGCGACCTCTGCCTCTTTCCTCCTTTCCCTCGACGGGCTTGGCCAGATGGACTGGATTCGTCGCCTTCCTCCTCCTCTCCTTCCGACTCTTCGTCATCTTCTCCATCCTCTCCCTCTTCTTCTCCATCATCATCCTCGTCGTCTTCATCCTCCTCCTGGCTGAGTCCAGCCAATAAGTCATCTGAATCCAGGTCACTCCAGTCGGGTACCTCGTCATCGTCATCACTATCCTCTTCTTCCTGAAGCTGTAGCAAGAGTACCTGTGCCTCTGCCTCTCGCAATCGCTCGAGGGCTTCTTGCTGCTCAGCCGTTTGCCTCCCCTTGCCCTTTCTCGTCGCTCTCGTTCGGCCAGCTTCGCCCGCAGCTTGAGCGGCCTTCTCGTCGGCAACATGCATCGCTCTAACACGCGCGCGCAGCAACCACGCTGCTGCCTCGCCCATTGTGAGACCGTCGGGTCGAAGAGGTGGCTGTTGCGGCAGATCGTACTCAATGAGACCATTGGTGTGCACACGGTCGAGCTTGCCCACGGGCTCGAGCCAACGATGGGCCAGAGGCGGCCATATAAGAAATCTCTTTCTGCCCGACAGCTGCCAGGCACGGACTTTATCAGCTCTGATGAGAAGTCCAGGCTCGGCTTGACTCACGAGCATGTAGAGGTTATCGTGGAAGTCATGGTGCAGGCCGCTGCTCTTCCCGCTTGCGCCATTTCCCATCCAGAGGTTGCACTGCTGCAGGACGAGGTTGCCCATTAGCTTGGGTCCTGGCAGAGGAAACTCATTGGCAAGCGCGTCCGTCGGCGGCGGTAATGAGAGATCGAGATCGACGTGAGGCAAACCATCGCCGTAATCATCCTCCGATCCGGTTGCCTCTTCGTCTTCCTCAGCGCTGTCGCTGTCTCCACCATTCACGTCGCTCCTACGGCTCATCTCCTCCGATGACCGTTCCTCTTCGTCGTCGACATACTGCGTCGTCATGTACCACTTGCCTGCCTGGTCCGGGTCCTTCAAAATGTCCAGAAACTCGTCCAGGCGGACCTGTGTCCGCTTGGCATTTGTCCCGAAATGCTGCCTCTCAGCGTCAATGGGTTCAATCTTGACCTGTGTGGAACCTGCCACGCTCCGCAGGTGCTCTAGATCCGTCTGTATCGATTGCCCACACATTAACCTCTGCTGTCTATCGTGACTTGACCCACGCGCGAGAAACTCACCCAGCGCTGGCCCGCCCAGCTGTCATCCTGCGCCAAGCCATCAATCAGGACCGGTCGTCGGACAGAGACGAAGCGGCGCCAGAGCTCGTCGGCGTCGAGGTCCTCGACCGCTGCCCTCGCGATACCTTCTTCCCGTTCCGGCAGATAGCCTGTATGGATTTCCTGCTTTTGAGCCTCCATCTCCGGCAAATTTAACGCCCACGACTGGGCTGGAGCAGCGGAGAGGGAAGGGGTGCTGGGGAGGGAGAGGGAGAGGTACTCACCGATGTAGTCCTCCGTGACAGTCGAAGCAGCCAGATTGAACTGGCCCCTCGCACCCGCTTTCGCCATTCTTGACGATGTCGTCCCTTTCTCCTTCTTCGTCTTCGAGTTTAAAAAAAATTGCGACGGGCTTTTCTACATGCGCTAGACCCTGGGCTTCTAGCTCGGCCCGGTTTTCTTCCTGCGTGTCCGGCCTTCTTCTGCTGGGCGTCTCGCCTCTCCTTTCTTCGACCCCAACAACTACGATCGGGAAAGATCGGTATTCTTTTCTGCCGTCGTCTACAGCTAGCTGCAGCCTTAGGGACGAACAAAAATCACTGAAAGGGGAGGCAAACGCGAGTTGAGAGAGAGGTTGTGGAAAAATGAAAATGATAAACAAGAGAGGCATGACAATGTTCACACTGTCAGTCGAGACCTCTCTCCTCTTCTCGCAAGCAAGCACGAGATGCACACACAGAAGGCAACATTGTATATTAAAAGGCAGCATTTGTGGTGATCTGTACAGGGTCGTCTGTATGGCAGAAGAGAAAGCCTTCTGCGCGGATATTTTCTCCATGAGCAGATCGAAGCACATCTCAAAATGAGGTATCGTAATGACAAAATGAAAACACGCAAAGCATTGGACGAAGACTCTTGCTACTTCTGTTGGTCCGTCTCCGTCGTCGTCTCGTTCGTCGTCTCGTTCGTCGTCTCGTTCGTCGCCTTCCTCTTCGAAAGCTCCGTCATGGGCACGTCTCCCACCTCGCCCTCGTCCTGGCCTTTGCCCTTGCTGCTGCCGGGTACCACGGCCATTTTCCTTTTGCTTTTCGATGGCGATGACTGTGCCAATTCGCGCATCGTGTTGCTCCGTGCCATGGCTGCCATGCCCGAGGCAGCCGAAGAAGACGGCTCCACAGCGTGCAGCGTCCCACCGTAACTATCGCTCATAGCCTGCTGACGGCGCTGGATCGCGCGCTCGTGGCGTCCCATGATAGTGTCATTGGCATAGCCGACGGCCGACTCTTCATCTGGTCCGGCAGCAGGAGCAAAGTCGTCGCCGTCGAGCTCGGCCTCCGACTTACCGCTTCTGACACGCCTCTTGAGCCGGCTCTTGATCGTAAGACGCTGCTTGATCGTCCGACGGCGCTCCTCCTCGAGGACTTCGGCCTGCAGCGCCTTCCTCATCGTCACGGTGCGGTGATGTCCACCAGCTGATAGGCCGCTTCGCACACTGTCGGCCGTGGTAGCGTGCGATACGCCTCGCCGATGAGGCGCAAGCGAGAGGTCACGGCGTTGATCGTGGTCGTGGGCTCCTTCCGGCTCATCTGTAGGCTTGAAAGTGATACCGGTGGGTACGGGTCCTGCTCCGGTGGTCTGAGCCAGGGCATCGGCAGCAGAACTGCTGCCCGGCGGCTGTTCGGCCAGCGAAGTTCTCTCGCTGCGCTCTACCAAGGCGCCCAGCTTCTCTTTCCTCTCCCGCGTCGGGCTCTCGGACGGACCCGCGCTGAGGATCTCCGCAATACTTGGAGCGGACTTAGGCTCTGTTGAAATTGAAGAAGGCGAGGCAACCATCTGATGCTCGCCCGAGGCTGGCGAAATTGCCTTGACCGTATCATCGCCCTCGTGCGCTTCCTGTCCATCCTGATGGCTAGGCCTTCGGTGAAAGTTTGCGAGGAAGTTGGGTTTCTCCGACGACTCGCTTGTGGCGCTCTGTCTTCGGCCGGCTGCCGAGGACGACCGTCGAGTGAGGCCGCTGAGGAAGCTAAAGTCCCTCGACAGCCCATGACCCTGGGGCGAAGATAACGACGACTGGCTTGAAGGTCGGTCGCCAATGGCCTTCTTGTAGTCGTCCATGACATTCCTCGGCAAACTTGCAGCAGGGTCGACGGCTTCGTCTGCATCCTCTGCCTCCTGCAGTCGAGCGGCCAGAGGTCCAAAAATTGCAATCTCCTCTGTACCGCCAATCTCACTGAGCCGTGCCGACGCATCGTCGCCATCTTCCCCGTCACCGCTTCTGTTGGCCTTCTCTTCGTCTCCCTCACCTTCGTCTTCATCTTCCTCCTCCCACTCGCCCACTTGTCCCCGTCCTCCCTGCGAGCTCACTAGTGCTGATCCGTGCCACTCGATCGCATCACAAAGGTCCATCGGCGCCAACGGATCGCGTGGCAGCCAGAGGAAGAAAGGGTCCATCTCGCGAGAGTAGAATGGATTGTTGTATCGTGCGTGGTTGTTCGGCGTGTCGTCCCAACGCACCTTTGCGTGAGGACGAACGAGCCATCGCCCCTTCACGTCGTCTCCTTCGTCTTCTTCTTCTTCCTCGTCCTCCTCTTCATCCTCGGCATCTCGAACGGAGCCGTCTTGTCCGCTCCTCTCTGGCGACTCGTCGCCCTCCCGGGGAGCTGAGAGGTGGCTGATCATGCCAAACTCGGCGTACTGCTCCGCGTTAGGCCGGTTCTTGACGAGCGTTGTGCTGTACGAGGGCTGTCTTGGTTCTCTTCTGTAGGTATGACCACGGGCGAGCGTGGCACCAGCATCGTTCAAGAGCTCGTCACGTTCGCCATCGCCAAACGTGACCGAGTCCCCCTCGTCACTGCTGCTGGGCACTGGCGCATGGTTGGCAATGGCCTCGAAGCCAGAGAGGAAAGGCGCCTCGTCACTACGAGCACTCCTCTTGCTCGCTCCTCGTGTCAGCGACGAGCTGCCTGCTGTGCGGTACTTGTTTACTCTCTTGGTCGACGCCTTGTGTGCCTCCTTTGCGCCAGCTGCCGCCAGCTGCGTCACATTTTTGCCCAACTCCTCTTCCTTGGCCATTTCCTTGGCCATCTCGAGCGCCTCTTCGTCCTTGCTGAGCTCCTTTGCAGCTGGATCGAAGCGCAGGTGCGTCTTTGCTGCTGCGCCGTACTGCTTTGATGTCTTCGACGTCTTTTCAATCAGGGTGACGGGAGCCTGGGCAACGGCACCCGTCACCGTCTTGGCGCTGAGTCGACTACCGCGCGCCTGAGCAGAGGCAATGTAGCTCGGCCGATCGTTTCCGTTGGCATTGAAGGTGTTTGAGATACGATGCCAGACGCGAACGATGGCGGACGACGTCTCTGGTGGGGGCAACACCGTGGGATAGCGACCGCTGGCACGAGCATCAAGCGGGCTCCGCGAGTCGAACGTCTCGTCATGGAACTGGGACTCGCCGTAGTCTTGCCTGGACTTGATCATCGATGATGACGTCGACGGGGCCATGATACCACAAAGGGCATTGGCCTCGTCATCTTCGACTGCACGGCACTGCGACTTCCACAGACGCGTAGCCAGGAGCTTGAGCGAGATTGTCAGGGGGATCAGGACAGCCGTCAGGGCAATGTAGACGGCTTCCTGCTTCGTCACGCTAAAGAAGATGAGGATAACGATCTGGGCAACGAGGAGCCCGTCGAGAGAGAAGCGCAGGATCCGAGTGAAATAGATGACACCTTCCTTCTCGTTGAAGCGTCGAAAGTAGGTGTAGGCGAAGTTCTTCTTGAAGACGATCATGGCCACCCAGATGTAGACGAGACCAAAGGGAATGACGAGGGGATTGAGGAGCGCGAAGAGAAAGACGATGGAGAGGATGAGAATGTGAAACGGCAGCCAGTAGTAGCGGTTGAAGTTTCTCGGAAGTGTCTTGACTGCGCGTGATCGAGGCGTGACGGCTTTGCGTGCACCGAGGTGTTGGATCAAGGGGACCATGAAGCCAAACAGCTCGAAGCCGGTGTGAAGGCCCATGCCCAGGATGAGGTACGAGACGTAAAAGGGCGCGGCCGTAGGAAAGCTGAAAGCAATGTTGTCGAGGATCTGGGGATCGTTGCCGATGTTGCTCAAGATACTGGACACGGTTGTTGTGCCGACGCAGAAGAAGATCACGACGTTGCAGATGACAAACTTCCAGTACCGACACAAGCACTGGTCGTAGAGGGCACTGAAGGTGAGGAAGCCCTGTGCCCGCTTGCTGATCTGGAAGATGAGCTCGGGAACAGACATTGTCAGCAGGGCGACCTGGTCACACAGCGTCAGCTTTCAATCTCGTAGGAGTAGGGGTCATGCTTTAAATCGGCAGCAAGAACACTCACAATGACTGTGGGTAGGGTAACGGAAACGAAACCCTCAAAGGTCGGATTGTGGTCGAAAAAGGCCGCAAGACCGGGCACGAGCTGTTTGATGTTGTTGACAGAGAAGAGACCAGTGGAAAGGAAGCCGACGGGAATGACCCAGAAGATGGTGAATGCCCAGAAGAAGGAGTTGACACCCAAACCTCGGACTAGGTCGCCCGTGAAACTCGTCCTCATCAGACGTTCCCAGTCGAGATCCTTGACCTCGGGCGCAAGACGGACCTTGACGACGATCTGCGACTTGAGCTCCCGCCAGACCATGCGCGCCTGACGTGGGTCGCGGAAGGTGACAAAGGCCGTTGATGTTGGCTCGTAGCTGCTCGGCGGTCTCGCACGCATCTCGGTTACGAGGGCTGTCAGGAGGTTGAGCTTGGTGAGCAGGTAGTCGATCGTCGGGACTGTCTGACCACGGAAGAGCGAAGAGAGGCGTGTGACTGGCTGGAACGAGTCGAGCAGGTCCCGTGGCACTTCAGCTAGCGCCTCCCATACTGTTTCGGTCATGACATTGGCTTCGTCACCGTCCTCGGACACACCACGCATCTGAGCCTCGCGCTGGTGATGTCCTTTATTCGAAGGCGAAAAGCGAGCCAGACGGTGGGCAAGGTCATTGAGCCTCAGCCGCTCTTCGCTGAGCTGAACTGCGGCGTCCTTCTCTACGTCGCCCGCTTCGGTATGATCGTCAGCCTTTGCTTGCTCCTGTGCCGCCTTCTTTTTGCGCTTGAGACCGCCAATTCGCGACAGGTTCATGTCGAGCTTGCCCATGCCGACGCCACCCATACCTGCGAAGCCACGCTTCTTTTTCTCTTCCTTTCGCATCTTTGTCGTCTGCTTTCCCACCCTTGTTAGGACGTTCTGCGCCAGCTTGATGTGCGCGGCCTCGAGCTGATTGAGAACCTCCTGGCGTCTGCTCAGCATAGAGGACAGCTCGTTCATCTTGCGAACAAGGACGACGGTCTGCACGGGGCTTCGCAGATGTCGTTCTGGGTTGAGATCTGGCTGTGGCCCTCCTCCAAGCCCAGCCTGGCCACCGGACTGGGTCGCCTGATCGAGACCCCCGTCGTCACCAGACGTCTTGACGGGCGAGACAGGCGACATGGTGGCGACGTCGGTATCGCTCGATGAAAATGCGACACTCTCGCCATTGCCGTCCTTCTCGATCTGAGCCCTCTGTGGGCCATCTTGCCCTTGTTCGCCTTCCTCATCGAGACGCGGTCCATCGGTTCGCACCGTCTCGTTAAGGTCGTCGACGCTCGATGAGGGCGTGCCGTCATCTGGTCTTAGGAACTCCTCAAAGTATCTCCTGATGCTCGCCTCATCACGCATCGTCGGCGGCAGGTTTGTCACGAGCAGCGTCCTTTGCCGCCAGCCGTCGCTGTCATCGCCTCGGGGGCCGGTCGCAGGCGCACCGGTAGCGGCTTGGCGCAGACCTTGTGCCTGTGCCATCGTCTCGCCCACTTCTCCGAGTGGCGCCGCGGCATCGGCCCTTGCCTGCCTTGCTTCCTCGTGAGCCTTCTGCCTCTTTTGTCGGATCTCTTCAATGAGCCGCCTCCGAGTCTTGAGGCTTCCATTGCCGATCCACCACAGAGCGTAGCACCAAGTGATGCTGATGTACCACAAGAGACAGAGGTGGATCCAGAGCAGCCTCCGTCCTTCTGGATTCGGTCCATGCTTGCATTCTGAGCTAGTAGGCTTCTCACAATTACCCGTCTGAATAGTGACGAGGTAGGACAGAGAAGCCCGCGTCATGTCTGTCAGCGCAGCTCCTTTCGAAAACTTGAAGTGGACTGCGAGGAGAATGGGAGCCGTGGTGAACGTCTGGAGCGTCAAGTACCAGACGAGAGCCCTAAGAAAGCGGACGTAGACGACGGTGTCCATGCCCGTGTGTGTGGCGTAGAACCAATCGTTGAAGCGGAGCGCCTGCCAGGTCCATGCTAGCGGCCATCTGGCCATGGGTGGCGATGGTGTCGAAGCGTGGAACATCCTCGCCAGGTATAGATGGCCCATCTCCCAGTCCTCGCACGTCAGCTTGCCCCTGATGCCTACGCCCGCGCCGGGCCCTTGGTCGTTCTTGTCGCCATCGACACCACCCCTGCCACCTTGCCTCTTGACGCGATCGTGCTTCCAGAAGGGGACAAAGCCAACTTTCGGGAGGCGTCGCAGCTGCCTCAACGTCTCGAAGCCGATGAGGCAGATGGAGCCGATGACGCCAAAAATGGCCACCGTCGTGGTGAGGCCCTTGAACGAGACGTTGACATCGCGCGATTGGTAGTCAGCCATCGTCTTCTTTTTTCCACTGTGCTAAGACTGCTGTTACTGCCGAGACCTGATGGGGAAAGTAGTGCTCAAATGGACATTTGATGTTGGTGAGAGGGGCGTGAATGGCCCTGTCGTGGGTATGCTCGTGTGTATGCGGCAGCCAAAGGGACCTGCCTCTGGCCTTGTCCGGGGGGTGGGGGTAGTGGTAGTGGTGTCGGTATTGGTGGCGTGCGTATGCGTGTTTACGTTCTGCCGCCTGGGTGCGATCAGAAAGGCTTGGGCGGACAGACTGCTCTACGCCAGCTTTGTCGCCAAATTTGGGCGTCGGAAGCCAGGGTAGCTTGCCCAAGGGGCGATGGCGAGGTCGTGCTTATTTTTTTTGGGCGAGTGTTTGTCGGCGCTGCTTCCTCACGCAGAGAGATCTATTTTCTACTCTATAGTGGGAGAGTGCTGTGGCGAGAAAGTCTTTTCGATAGCTGCTAAGTGTTGGAGAGGGTAGCCGGAAGAGGAAGGGACGATTGCCAGTCAGGGAAGAGAGGGGGAGAGAGGGAGAGGGAGGTTTGGATAGACTTCTAAGCTATCTTTCCAGGTTCTCGGTCTCGATCTTTTCAGTACGGAGCCTACGCGCTGAAGCGCGTCATCCCACTATGCGTCTTAAGGTCCGCTCTCTTTGTCATTCTGGGCCCCTTTTTAGAGACTAATCTAATGGCCTCCTCATTTGACAAGCCCACCTCTCGTCGGTGAGTCTCCATCTATGGACACTCTCTTCACTGTCCGTGAAGAGGCGGACCGAAGGCTATTCGATTATCGCCATCGCATGCCTTTCGGCTGGGGAAAAGCTGCTTATGCAGCTATGGAGCCCACCCAGGAATAACTTTAGCGTCAACAGGGGTGCCGACAGACGTGTTGGTCTTGAGACGCTAAGTCGCTTCTCAAAGAAACGTCCTTCATGAAACCCTTAACTAGCCATATGTGGAAGTCATCAACAAAACGTTCGCTGCACCAATGTTGCTCCTCTTCGCTTGAACCCCCTTGACTCGCTGGTGGGATTGATTTTGAATTTGACCTTGGGGCTCATCCGCATGGCTATTGACAGCGTAAGCTTCTTCGTTCAGGGTCGACGGAGGAGCTTGTCGTCATGTTAAAGTCCAGCTCGGAAGCCTCGCCTCCGCTCCGCTCCGTGTCGTGTCGCTCTGAACATTCGCCGCTATTCCTCGGCCTGACCAAGGTAATTGTGCTTTTGCTTTCGCGCTTGCTTATTCCTATGCTGTTCGTGGCTTCTTTAAATGTCTACCTTAGCGGAAACCCAAGTCCTGAAGTGCCTCACTGAAGTGGAAGTTGTCATGGCTCTGCGCGAACATGCAGCCGCTGTGAGATCTTAGGAGAATAAGCCATATTACGGCCGTCGTCCTTTTTGCTTTCTTATTTAATGATGCGCTTCGACTGGTGCCAGCGGTGAATCTGACCTAGTGGAATCGACCGTCAACGACAGAGGCATAAGGAGGGGAACGGAGACTTCCCAAAGTAAAAGTGGCGTCATCACCACAGGACAAAGTCACAAAGTTACAAGGGATGACGAGAGGGGGGCCCGAAGGAGCGGGCCGGGTAGCCAAACTTCACAATCAAGCACCGCTGCATGGCAGTGCTATGTATGCTGGCACTTGCGGCATTGAGAGACATTTCCAGTCTTGCACCAGAAGACTGTCAAATCAGTAATCTTGGCGCAAAGATGAACAAGAGGAAGGCGTTCATTACAAAGAGCCCCAACAGTTTCTGTCGACGCCAAGCTTTCGACACTGTAGCACCTGGGCGCAACGCGCACTGCGACCAGAAGCTCGGGTTATGATGCTCGAAAAGGTCTCTTACATTGTGAGTATCTCTTTGAGCTGAAGCAGTGCCCCAGAGCGGGCAACGCTCTGTTGGCGTAATGGGTCGTCAAACACACCCGCCCGTCCGGCTTACTGTCAGCAAGCGCGCGCGCGCGCACGCTCGACCACCGGCGGACAAGTAACAAAAACAGAAAAAAGACCGATAAAATAAATAACGGGATAGTGTAGAATTGGAGCTTCGAGATATTTTAGCGTTCGTTCTTCCAAAGAAGAAGTGTGGCCCCCGTCGCCAGAGGGTGCAGGAGAAAGACGAGACAGGGCCAGGGCCCTTTGCTCATTCTGGACGCGCGCGTTTGTGTGTGCGTGTGCTTGTTTTTTTTTATCCCCTCTCCATCCCATCTCAATTGCCCTCTCCGTCGGTTCCAGGACGACAACTGACTGGACTTGGACCGGATTGACTTTCGAAGGGGCCTTCCAGTCGACCCCTCGGTTTCTTTCTCTCACTTCTTCGGCCTGGCCATTGTCGCTGCCCTACCTCTCCTTTCCTTTTCCTCCTTCTTTCGAGATCACCGCCGCCTTTAGCCCCCGCTGCACACCGCTGCAGCCTCGATCGCTCTGGTGACGGACTCATCCACTCATTTGCAACCACCCGATTCCGTCCTCTTCTTTCTGACTCTTTCGCCTTACTCTCTTCGTGTTTACGACCTATTTCTTTCTGCTTCATAGAGGCCGAGCCCACAGAGGAGCAAGCCAGCAACGAGAGAGAAAAGAGCCACGACCATGTCTTCGAATCCCATCACCTCGGTGCCGGACCCTTCGGGTGCAGAGGGCGGAGGAAACTCAGGCTCGCCGGCAAAGGCTAGCGATCCACTGGCATCTGTCATTACGCAGGTCTCGCCGGGACAGGCGGCTGCACCTGGCGCTCTCTTGGCAGGACGCGGAGCTGGACCGGCAAGGCCGCAGAAGGTGGCCAAGCCCGGAACGGCAAAGGCAGCTGCGGCAGCAGAACAGCGAAAGAAAAAGAAGAAGACGTCAACAGGAGGAGCAGCCGCGACAGGCGGCGCTGGCTCCGGTGCAAAAGAGGGCGAAACGACAGAAGGGGATGCCGGGTCGAGTGCTGCTGGTGCTGCTAGTGGAACGGACAAGATCGAAGATGCTGCGGCGTCGGCAACGCATTCGCAGGATCCTTCTTCGACGCTCATAGGCACAACCAGTACCATTGCTGACAAGCCTAGCAAAATTGAGGAGACCCCGACCGAGCCCAACCCAAAGGCCGCTGCCTCTCCCGTCGGAGCAGGCGCCGTTGGCGATGGCCAGCAGGACATGACGACGGCAGCGGAGAAGGTTACCACGGACAAGTCGACAAAACAAGGCACTAGTGCGACGAAGAAGGCGAGCAAGCCAACGACGAAACCGCGAAAGTTGACATTGGGCCAGAAGGTCATCGCCTTTCTGACATGCTCTTCGGGTGCCGCAGCCATGGCAGACGACGATGATTACGCTGATGGACAACTCAGATCTCGCAAAGTGAAGGGACAAAGCGCAAATGAGAAGACGGGGGACACAAGAAAGCAGAATGGCAAGGCCACGGCTACTGGCGCCGGCGGGGTCAAAAAGGGCCGAGGGACAAAGCTTGCGGCCGGGAAGCCGACATCGTCGCGAACCTCTTCACAGAGGGCTTCGGTCGACAAGGGAGCCATCGGCGCGCCTGGAACTGTGACGCCGGGTGGAGGCACGAGGCTGCCTCGAGAAGAGACGGGCGACGTCATGAGCGGAGCCGTCGTGCCGCCCGGATCCAGCTTCGTCGTTCACGATGCCGATGGCGAAGAGGTGACACCGCAGCCAAGCCCAGGCAAACGAGGTCTCGGCTTGGCTGCTGGAGCAGGCGTAGGCGCAGGTGCGCTAGGGGGTGTTGCAGCTGGTGAGATCGCAGCTAAGGGCGACAGCGACGATGACGACGAAGAGGGCGACGACGAGGACTGGATGGCCGACGACATGGATCTCGATGACGATCAGACCGAAGAGCAGAGACTCATTATGCAGGGTGGCATGGGCATCCCGCGAGATGAGGAGGGTAACGAACATCCTTTGCTGGATCCCATTGTTGCCGAAGACCATGGTCGCAAGTGCCTGGTCCTCGACCTCGACGAGACGCTGGTCCACAGTTCTTTTAAGATGATCTCCAATGCCGACTTCATCGTCCCCGTTGAAATTGAGGGCACCGTTCACAATGTATACGTCATCAAACGACCTGGCGTCGACGAGTTCATGCGAAGAATGGGCGAAGTGTACGAGGTCGTCGTCTTTACCGCCTCGCTCTCCAAGTATGCCGATCCAGTACTGGACATTCTCGACATCCACCACGTCGTGCGCCACCGCCTGTTCCGCGAGTCCTGCTACAACCACAAGGGAAATTACGTCAAAGACCTCAGCCAGCTGGGAAGAGATATCGGCGAGAGCATCATCATTGACAACTCCCCTGCCTCCTACATTTTCCACCCAAACAACGCTGTGCCAATTTCAAGCTGGTTCAACGACCCGCACGACACCGAACTGACGGACCTGGTTCCCTTTTTGAGGGAGCTCGCAGACGTCGACGACGTCCGTGCCGTTCTCGACGGAGGACTGTAGACGAGACCGTGCCGAACAGTGACCAACACGCCCCATTCGAAGGTTCCAGATACCCGCTTTCCAAAGCATCAACATCGCATCAATAACACATTCGACCTTCTTCGCGCAACTACGATGAACCTTTGCTCTTCACAATCTTCGTCTTCTACCGCGAGTCGTCGTCTGTTCAGACTCCAGATAATGATATATCGACCTCAGTCTGCGAGCTCGCCATACTCTTTCCCAACAACAATTCCGGCATCGTCTCCGAGCTTTCTTTGTTCTCGCAGAAGAAGATACCCCCATCAAAGCACCTCACCAATCAAACCGGCGATCGAGCAGGCAAATACACACACACTCTTTTCCTTCCCCGCATAAGTCGTCTTCCTGGCCTTGTTCTCAGCAGCAGGCACACTGGACCAGAGTCTTTTTTCTCCTGTGCAATATCTGCCTTTGACTCCATGCCAGAAGAAAGACGTCCTTGTCTTGGCTTCTTCGTCCTGGCAAGGCATGCTTATCCACCTTCCTCCTTCTTTCATGCTACCCCAAACACAATCGTACTCTACCCTATGATGTCTTGTCTTCTCAGTTTTCTCTATCGAATCATTCTTATCCGTCTCCTACAAATACAAAACGTACTCGATCTCTACCCTTGACTGTCCTCCTCCTTTCCCTGCTCGATCGGCAATCAATCTGTCCGTTAATCCAATCTCGAGGTGTTGTGAACATTGTCCTGATACAGCATGCGCCATTGTACTGTACATGGATGGACTGGGGTTTGATCAGTATCGGGGAGGGGGAGGCGAAGGTCGGAGCGGCGGAGCTGGCCGTCGGTCCCGCTCGTCCCGGTCTCTTGGTGGTCCCCAGTCGCGCCGCGGAGGAGGATAACGTTCCCTGGCCCTGTCCCGATCACCATCTCTGCCCCTAGAGCTGTGGGGAGGATAGTCGTCGTAGCCTCTGCTTGGCGGGAACCCTTGATACAACGGAGGAGGCCTCCTGGACGGCCAATCATTGCCACCGCCTCCGCCACCGCCACCGCCACCGCCGCGGCGATGGCCATGATAAGTCTGTGGCGGTGGGGGCCCTCCGCGGGATTGCCTCTCTGCCATGATTCTTTCCTCGATCAGACGAAGCCGATCGTCGGTCGCTCCTCTTGCCCGCTTTCCATCCCTGTCGTCGTCTCTGGCGTCCTCACGCCTGTGCCTCTTTGACCTCGTCTCGTCGTCGGGCCGAGCGTGAAAGTGTTCTTTGGCCCAAGGACCTGCCGTACGGCCCCCTGCATGGCCGTGGGTAGAATATTTTCCTCCGTTACTCCGATCTCTTCTTGGCTCCGACAGCCTTGACTTCAAAGGTCCACCCCGAGCTCTTCCCTCCGCCGATGGCTGTAATGCGTCGAGCCGATGGATCGAGAAGCGCGCCTCTCCGTCCTCGACTGCCATGCGCAGCTCCATCTTTGTCTTGTCCTTTTCCCACGCCATGTCCTCCATTTCGATGCACCGCTTGGCGATGTCTTCGGGGATCGGAAAGACCGAGATTGCACGGCCAGTCTCGGGCGGGAATGTCGTCTTGTCCAGCGTTTGCCGGGCTTGCTGGGCCGTCTCGATGGCCTCAAAGGTCGCGAAGGCGTGCGTTTTGACGCCATCGAGCCACAGACTCGCTAGTGGACCGAATTCCTCAACGCGAGACTGAAGCATCTGTGTGGTCAAAGGGCGTACTAGACCGGTGATGTAGATGCATCGCGAGGGTGCGAGCAGATCTTGGTTCTCTTCGACGGCACGGGTCAGCGGCAAGCTGAGAGAGGACTGCGACGAGTCAAGCGGCAACGGAGGTGTCGTGTGGAGGGAGAGCCCATTGGGATGCAGAATACTGAGTTCTTGAGCATCGTCCGTTTGCTGACCTTCGAGCATCATTTCATCGGCGGGTCTGGGATCGTTCACCTCTCCGTCGGCTCTGGGAGCCCTCTCGTCGTCACTGGTGCCCAGTGCGGGTGGGACGACAACGTCATCTTTTGCATCCGTCAGATCTTCCTCTTCAATGTTGCGAGACACCGCTTCTTCCTGGTCAGCGGCCTCGAGCTGCTCAACGCCGGCCTCGGCGAGGGCGGTGTCTTTGACCGTGGTGCTGGCTCCTGGATGCGGGGCTGGTGAGGCACCGCGAATCGATGCGATCTCGATGTCTTGAGGCGCCTGCTGAGCGCCGCCAGATGGCCTATCGTCCTCCTCTCGTTCCGCTGTATCGCCTTGCTCGACGTTCGCTCCCCCCCGTTTGTCATCCCCATCTGCGCCCTGCTGCTGTTGCTGCTGCCGCTGCTCACCTCCACCTGATGGCTGGGCGGAGAACGCCGCATCGACGACCTCCTGCAGACGCAATGCCAGCTCTTTCTTGAGGCCCGTCGTGGGCAGCCCCCTCGCAGAGAGCTCCTCTTTGAGCTCGGCGACCTTCAGCGAGGCCACGTCAATCGTCATGCCGCTGTAGCCGTTCTCGACGTCGTCCGTGCAGCATGCATGCCTCTCCACTGCACCAGAAAGTCAACCTTGAAGAACACGTGACTGGGTCCTGTATTTCGTCGCTGCAAGACCCCCACCGGTACTACTACTACTACTAGCTACTACACGTACTATTACTCTACTTTGCGACAGCAAAGACGACCGAGCAGGCAGGATCCTTTTCCTGCATGTGCAGTACCTATCTAAATAGATGGACAGAGCGCGCAGTAGTGATGCCTGCACCTTTTTTCGGGCAGATGGACAGATGGAGGTAGAAGATGTATGTAGTACTACACTTCAGTACACAATCAACGCAAGGGGTGACGGGAATACGGCGAGAAAGTTTATGTCCCTATCGCTCAAAGAGGAAACAAACCCCTACCTCGGCGAGGACACACTTCGTGAGCAGGCAGGATCGATGGATTAATTATTGTAAGTCCCGGTCGATTCAACCTCGCCTTTCGGAGAGTGGGCGAAGAGCCTAAATTTCCTAGTCCCTACTTCCTCGACCTTTATCTAAAGGCGAGGCAAGGCTAGCGCGCTCCCACGCTGGCTTAGTCTCAATATTAGTTGGCCTGCTTTTTCCTGCTTGGTTTAACTGTACAGTACATTTCAGCTCTGCTACGTTGCCGTGACGCTCGCCTTCCGGGGAACGAAAAGAGGCAGGCGAGCCCCGATCTCGTTTGTGCTGTTGGTTGCTGCACATCTCTTCCGTTGCCATCTGGTCTCATCTACGCCCTCGACCACCAGCGCATCACTTCGCACCTGCCTTGTCCGAGCCGCATCATTTTGCGCACGGAATCGGAGGACCCCACGGATTAGGCGCGTCCGAGAACGTAGCGCATTGCAGCTGCAAAATCTTCTCAAAACCTACTTACTTTTCGCTCTTCTGCTGCTAACCACTGCCGAGCCGACGTAGGGGACAGTCCGGGAGCAGAGGAAAAAAGTGAGAGAAAGGCGCACGTCAGTCAATCTCTCGGGTCTATCACCACCTCTACATCTGCAATATCGCTCCGTCTTCCTTCTGGCACATCGTTCGTTTGCGTCGACAGCCTCAGGCGCACGAAAGCGAGACACGAACAGGTGCCCGTCACATCGCCCGTTTGGACACTGGACACTGAAGGGAATCCTGTGGGCTAGGGTGAGTACGTGCGAATGGCCAGCAGTATCTTTTGAGGAGATGGGAAGGTTGCGAGCTTTGCACTGCGCTGAGGACCAGTGCCTGGCGGAGCGGAGACTGGGGCGGAGAAGGAGGAGTGCAAAAGGTGGTGGAGGAGGGAAAAAGGAAGAAAGAAGAGAGAAGAGAGAAGAGAGAAGAGAGAAGTCGCAAGGAAAGGGGTGTGCACATCGCGAGCGCTATGACCTCTGAGGACCTGGCGTCAACTGGCGTCAGGTAATTCTCACGAGGTCGGGCCCCTTTCTAGCAGCATTTTTTTTTTAACAATGCCTGAAAGAGGTCTACCAGAGCGGTGTTCAGCCCTGTCGCGATGTCGCGACCCTGCCTTGAGTTCTCCCTTGTCAGCTTGGGCGAAGAGAGGGAGACGAGGGGCGGAATGAACTCCTTCCAGCCCTTCTGCAACGGCGCGGGTATTTGATGCCTTTGCTTTGGCCCTTTCCTTCATTTAGGAGAAGGAAGGGAGCTCTTGGCAATGCGCATGTACCGAAAGGTTGTTGGTTGCCATTATCGGAAGTTCTCAGGCGGTCCGTGCTGCATATATCACGATGTCATCCCCTTCCCAGCCGGTCTTTCCTCGAGGCCGAGGAGGAGAGCATCTGTCACCTACCCATTTCTATTTCGGCCAATTTGCTCACCATTGACGAGTCCTACTCCTCCCTTACATTCTACTGCCGTCACTCCTGCACGATTGTCCCTTCCCTCCCATTCTCATTCTCTTTGCGGATCCGACAACCACTGTGAGTAACGAGTCTTGGCTGTCACCAGCTGGGAAGATGGCAAAAGGAGACACATGCTGACTTTACGCCTCTTCGACGAAGCGCGGCGCGGTGCGGCGCTCCTTATCATGCATCACAATGCGGCAACAGGCGGTGACGCATCCTCGACGTCCGCTGCTTACAGGCCGTTGTCAATTGATCTACCGAAGCCCGTAACCTTAAGCCAGCTCGAGACCGACGGTGACGACGACGACGACCGTACGCCAAAGGCTGACAGTCCGCCCTCAGGAAGGAAGAGCGCGTCGACGAGCAGGTTCCGGAGGTTTTGGCACCCGAGCGGAGCAGTAAAGACAGTTGACTTCTTAGACGCTGCAGCCACTGCCAAGCCCGAGAGTGCAGCGCACGACTCGCCCGCGGTCCTGGTCAAGAAGAGATTCGAGAGGAGATCTTCTGGCTTAAGCAGCAAGTCATCAAGCGACACTCTCTCGGCAGAATCAAGGAGCTTTACGCCGAGCATACGAGCTAAGAGCAGCTTTCTGAAGCGTCTCTGGACCCACGACTCTCCGCCACCCTCGACGAGTGTCCGATCTCACGAATACAGGAGAAAATTGCATACAGGCTCCCGTCCGCCGACGCCACCAGCCCCATCGCTGCCGCTGCCGCCGACGCCGCCGATCCCACCTCAATTCCGCCGGGAACAGAAGGCGCGACAGCGACATCGATACGGATCTCTGAGCGAGCAACGCCTTGCAGGTGTTGACAGACACCGGCGAGCGAGCAGTGGCGATTATCCGAGCACGAGCTGGAGGAGCCCGGAGAAGCAAGGCCAATTCCAGGTCAAGCAAGACCGACACTCGACTTCGATTGCTGCGCGCCGTGGTCAGCCTCGACCCATCATCAGCTCGAGCCTGTACAAGCAGTCGAGCTTTGCTAGCATCGGTGGATACGACGGAAGCGACAATATTTCGATTTCCAGGGCCCTGCCCGGCCAATTGTACGGTTCGCCTGAGCAGCAATCCTTTTCTGGTCAGCTGACGCCGGTCTCGATCAACGGGTCCATCTCCTCTTTCAAGCGAGCCCCTCGCATCCAGCGATCTCAGTCCTCGCTCCCCATCATTGAAAGCTCCCCTCCTACCGAACTCGCTAATCAGGCGCAGGCACCTCGATTGGAGTCACGCCGCCGAGACACCGGTAAGTGCGACACAGGAGTAGGTAGACTTCAAGCCCCGGGCAGCCAACACGCACACCGCAAGTCCGCCACCCGCAGATCCGGTGGCTCTTACACAAGCAAGGAAGACGAAGAGGACACTGTCCGAGGCGAAGGATACGCAGAAGAGGAAGAGGAGGAAGGCAGCAAGCGCAGCACTCCCAGCATCATAAGCAGCATGGCCGGGGGAGAAAAAGGCAGCAGTGGGGGATGGAGGAATCCCTTTAGTACGGGAAAGAAGAAGGCCGAAGAGGCCGCTTCTGGCGGAAAATTACGGCACGAGACAAGCGCAGATAGCCTCACAATCAGAGGCCGAAGCAGCAAGATTCGACCCGAAGATGAGCGGGAGTGGGCAGCACAGCAGATTGCGCAGCAGCAGCGAGCAGCAAACGATGCAAGACTGGCCAGCCTCATCCCTGCGTTGGAATCGTCTAGCACGTCCAAGGCGCGCATGTCGAAGCGAGAAGAGATTCTCGCCGATCGCAACAAGCTCAGCTCCTTTGGAGCCTATGCCAATGGTGCAGGCGCCGACCAGCACTACTCGCAGACTGCGGCCAAATTCAGGAATCTGGAAGACAAAGATGAAGGCGAAGAGGCGTCGTGCCCGGTCTGCCTCGAGCTTCTCTCATTTCGCCTGGCAGGCGAGAAGCCACATGTGGTGCCCACCTGCGGCCATTCTCTCCACCACGCATGCTTCACTGCCGTTTACGGTCCACCTGAAAACGTCTTGGCAGCTCAGGAAATGACGGCAAACGGCGGCGCAGGAAGCGGACGTCCGATGGGTCCACCGGGCATGTGTGGCATTTGCCGGAAACCCATCGTTCTGGGCGGCGAAAACGCAAGCGGCAAGCCAAACAGTGGGTCTTTTCTCATCTTGTTCTCTCTTCCTCTCACTTTGACACTCCTTTCTGACCTTACAATTTCATTTCTACCACGGCAGAGGCAGCGGGTATGATGGGCGTCGGCGAGACCCCTGACCGTCGAAGCCCAATCAAGGCCCGGCCTGAGCGCGACGATCCGCTCGAGGCGAAGAGAAGGGAGCGATCGCGAGATCGCCTGACGCCGAGCAGCCCCATGCCTTCGATGGGAACCTATCAGAATGAGCACTCTACGTCGCACGAGGACCCGTCATCTTCACCCTCGAGGCATCTCGTCACGCCACAGATTCGGATGCGACCAGAGTATGAAACGCTTTACCGCAAGGACCGGACGGGCGAGAATGGTAAACAGAATGCTGTTTGCGTCATCTCTATTGACGTGCCGCCCAGACGTCCGCAGCCATCAACAGAACAGGAGGAGCTGTCATGGTATTCTCGCTTCGGTGCCATCGCCTACGAGTCCTTGGAGCAAGATCCTGGGCCGGATCGCTCGCCGCAGCCTGAGTCAAAGGAGTATCGAGACGACGATGTTCAGCCAGAGACGCAAGAAGACCACCGACGAGGTCAATCGCCGGAAGACGTTGGCGAGAGGAAACAGGAACAATCTCGTCCTTCGGAACCAAGAAATGCTGGTGACGACGATGATGAGGAAGAGGCCTTCAGCTTCAGCGCCACGCCTGCTCGCCCACAAGACGCCTTTGCGTCCGTGGTGCGAGACCTATCAATGCGCATCCAAGACTGGAAAGGCCACACGGCCGACAAGTTCGGCCCGCTCCTCCTCTTCGACTACATCGGTGTCCGACAGGAGCCCGTGGTGCGCGACTTCTACGTTTACCTCTTCAAGGAGGCACTGCTCTGTGTCGTTGAGGATCGTAAAAACCAGAGAGGCATCGCACGTCTCATTGGCTCAGAGAAGGGGCCCTCGCACGGGCCGGGCGCCAATGAACATAGCGGTGGTGCGGGCTTTGGAAATGCCGGCTCGAATGAGAAAAAGACGGCCCTCAAGCTCAAAGGACGCATCTGGATCAGACATATCAAAGCCTGCCGGGATGCACTGAGCAACCCAGAGGGACAGTACGGTCTCAGCATCAAGCTTGACGACGAGAACTTGGACCACTTTGTTCTCTGCTTCAAGGACCCAGCGATGCGCGAGAAGTGGCGAGCCAAGTTTCTCGAGCTACTCGAAGATGTGCACAACAACGGCGCAAAGACGCCAGCGCCGAGCGCTATCACGGATGCGTCCAACGCCAGTAACGTGAAGCGAACCTGGACTGAGCTTGCTTCGCCGGCGATGGCGCAGAGCGGAGACGAGGTTGAGGATCCGATCAAGAGTGCGGGAACAACGACAATTGGACGGCGGGCCAGGCTTGGATCCAACCACAGCGGCAAGACAGGCTCTACCGACAAGATCAATACTTCGCCTACCGTTGTGGACTATTCGCCCCAGATAAATAATGCCAATGCCACAACTCCCGCGGCTCCGAACACCCCATCCACACACTCAAGTGCCACCGCCGCCACGGCAAATGGCGTGTCTGGTGCTGCTGTTTCTTCTGCTATGGGGCGACCCTTCCGAAAGGTTCTGTCTGAGCCCGCACCCCATCAGCAATGGGCCTCTTCCGGAGGTCTAGATCCTAAGCTGCCTCTGCCGGAGATGCTGCCGCACGCACCCCTCGATCTCGTCATCATGTTCTCCATTCCCACGGTCGCATCGAGCTCGTCCACGCCAAGCCTCTCTTCAACGACGCTCTCCTCGTCTGCAGCGCTCAAGCTTCGGCTGCTCAAATCGACGCTCGAATTTGTCATTGCCAATCTCGGACCTAGGGATCGGCTGGCCCTTGTCGCCTATCAAGTTGGGCCACAAGGCCCGGTCCGGCGCACAGGGATGCTGAACTCATCGAAAGAGCGCAGCCGAGAGAAGCTCGAAAATTTTGTGGCTACCATCGGCAAGACGTTCGACAGCGACGAAGAAGATCCTTTCAGGGAGGATCTTGAGAAGCTCGGAGGCAGCGGCGATCGCACCGATACGGTGACGGCCGTGAATGTCGGCCTCGACATTGTGCTGCAACGCAAGGGCAAGAACCCCGTCACTGGCATGATTCTGATTAATGATACGGCCGATCAGCCCAGACGTGGGCAAATGGACCTCATCATGGCTCGAGCAGAGGCCGCTAACGTGCCCGTCCACTGTTTCGGCTTTGGAAAGGGGCACGACCCATCGTCGCTGTGGCTCATCTCCAATCATACCAAGGGCACCTACACGTAAGTTCTATTCCTGTGCCCTCCCCAACCCTCGGCTCACCTATCCATTCTTTTCAGGTTCGTCGAGCAATGGTTCTGGCTGCGCGAGAGCATTGCTGGGTGCGTAGGATCGCTCATGTCGGTGGCGGCGACAGACGCCAGGATCCACATCTCGGTGCCTGGCGACAACCACTTTAAGGTGCGCAAGGTGTCTGGTACCTCGGCTTCCATCCTGGCCCAGTCCGGGAAAGACGTCGACGTGGAGCTGGGCGAGCTGCGCTTTGGCGAGTGCAAGGAGCTCTTTGTCGAGCTTGAGTTTGACTTCAATGGCTTGGCGCCCATGTCGAGTGTGCGCAGCAAGGCGGCGAGGAGCAGTCTTGCGTACAAATCTTTGTACGAGCAGGGAAGCGCCACCGACGACTTCTTCCAACGCTTGGGTCTTCAGGGGTTGAGCTTGACCGACGGGGGAGGTGCAGGAGACCAAGTAGGCAGCTACCGCAAGGGCGATCTCGCCGACGGTGGTCAACCGGAAAGCTTCATTGAGGAGGTCGCTGTCCTCGAGGTTGACTGTGGCTACCGCGACCCTGCGCTTGGCACAACGGTCAAGAAGCTGTCGCACCCAAGCGTCCTCACCGTGGAGGTCGATTCAGTATCTCAGGACCCCATCAACGATTCCTCAATCAACCCAACGGCCCTCGCCGATCCAGTCGTCACACGCCGGCGCCTCGAGATTCTGACTTCGGACATGATCACGCGCAGCCTCCTCCTCGTCTCCCGTAAACACTACTCGCAGGCCCTCACGATTCTCGCTGAGACGAGACGCATCGTCGACACCGTCCTTGAGGCGGTGCCCATCCCCGTTGCGCCTCAGTCATCCTCAGCGATGGCAAACTCGACGTCGGCAATGAGCCTACAATATCACAACGGATCCACTTCGCTTCGTCGCCGTGAGAGCCAGACCCCCAGTGTGTCGAGCCAGAAGCAAAACCAGTACCACCAGGCGACAAAAAGCACGGCAAAAAAGCAGCGCGAGGCGCTGCATCGCCGCACTGCCGAGTCGCTCTTTGCGATCCTCGAAGATCTCGATGTGCTCATCGACGGCCTCGAAGGGTCACGGTCCACATTTGAAAGGTCGCAGCGCAACTTTGGCGCACAGCAGGCCATGGCGCTGCGCGATCAGAAGGCCTGGACAAGCAGGACTGACACGGAATGGGCCTTTCACCGTCGCATCGACAACGGTCCAGCCTTTGCTGCCAGAGGCGATGCTTTTGCCGCTGGTCTGACTTAGACTCCGGCACACACCTTTGTTCCCTACTGCACCTATTGCCTCCCCCTCTCGAACCCTTGCATCTTGTCTTTTATCACTCAGCCCTCATATTTTCCTGCCCTTTCCCCCTTCGTCTTCCTCTCGTCGCCCCGTTGTCTACCTTCTATCTTTATTTGTAACGGGTCTCGCACTTCATGATCAGCTTTTGTCTTATCTCTCGCCCCATTCTGAAATCGGATCTCTAGGTCTATGCCAATCAGCCTTGTCGCACTAGAATTGAAAGGGTATTGCAGCGGCGGAAGTAGCAGCAACATAGCCTCAGCTAGAGTTTTGAGGCGGAGTTGTCGACCTTTGTGTGCGTGCCGCTGCTGGTCAATCGCAGTCGCTTTCCGCCCTTCTTGTCCTTTGTGTACATGTTGCACTAAGGGGATCTCAGAGTGTAAGTCCTCTTGAACCTGGAACCTTCCAGATCGTGGCCCGTGAGAGACAAGGGCCAACAACTCACCTGAATGACGGCAATGCTCTTTCCGATGCTGATGGTCGAGCACTCAATGTCGATGTACTGCCCCACGGGCGCCGGCTGCGTGTACAGGATCTGAATCGACTGCGAGACGCCGAGCATCGACCATGGGTCGCCGAGGATGCCCGTCGTATGGAGGTAGATGACCATGCTCGTCATGTTGTCCAGCACCGTTGCTTGACAGCCACCTTGTATTTCGTCGCCAAATTAGCTCCTGCTCTGGCATCTTTTTTTGAGAGAGAAAGAGCAGAAAAGACCCACCGTGCATGTTACCCAATTGGTTGCTCATCCGCTCTGTTACGAGCATCTCGACGACAATCTTGCCCTGTTTGCCATCCTCGGATCGAGAGACGTGCAGGAGCTCGACGCTGTCCTTGTCGAGCGCCCACTTGCTAAAACCGGGCGACTCATCTTCGCCGAGCGACGAGAGCATGTCGACGATTTGCTCGCGCGCCGACTCGACGGATTGGACCTTGACCTTGGACATGGTCTATGATTGAGGGGCAAATACCTGTGCGTGTGCGTGTGCGTGTGCGTGTGTGCGACTTGGTGTGCGTTGCGAGTGCGTGCCTGCGTGTGTGCAGCTGTGAGTGTCGTGTCGCCGTAGGTGTATCAGCGTCAATGCACTTCAGATATGGATGGGATGGAATCCGGGGTTGGATGGACAAAGTGAGGAGCAGCAGCGCTGAAATCGCATCGAGGAACGGGAGCAGCTCGGCACCCCGGGCGCGTCAAACAACCGGTGGCCACACACATACACACTTTTTTGGAATAAAGGCAACTTTAGCTCGCTCGCTGGTCTGGCGCGCCTGCAGGCAGGCCTCTCGATCTTTTTCGGAGCTCATGAAAAGTGGTGGAGCATCATTGCAAGTGCGTAAATACATCCTTGAGCACATCTCCAAGGGCACCTTCGACGGCCAATTGCGCCCGAGGTCCCGAAGCGAGCAAGGCAGGTGGGAGCGAGAGCGACAGTGAGAGCTGCGAAGCGCCGTGCCTTTTTGCTGAGGCGAGAAAGAGGCAAGAAAAAGAGAAAGAGAAGCTCAGCTCGGCATGAGGCAGGGCAAAGTAGGGCAGTGACTCTCACCGAGACGCGCGGCCATTGGCCTGGCCAAGTCGGCGTTGGTGCGGAAGAGCGAGGTCGCATTGGCAGTCTGAGAGTGGGGCTGAGCAGGTCAGCACTTGATATAAGAAATCTTCGCGTGTCGATGATCTCCGCTTACCTTGGCTCTCGCATCTGCCATGGCGATGGCCCACTCCGACGTCAACAAGCCGCTCGGAGCAACCTCCTCCGGCTCCTGATGCTGTGTCGGCTCTGCAATTACCTGCTCGACCAGTAACGACGATGATGACGCCAAAGACGCCGACGTGTCGCTCTGCTCTGCTTTGGCACCTGCTGCCATCCTCGACTGCGACTGCAGGTGGCCCTGCAGCTCCTCGGCGCCACCGCACCAGATCATCAGCGAGCGATCTCGGAGAACGACCGAGTGTGCGACGAGAAGCGTCGGACGCTGCTCAGAAGGGAGTGGAAGCGAGAGCGTGTGGTACCGAGTCGTGATCGTCATTGTTGTCCTCTAGCCTCTGGACAGAAGTCGAAAAAGATTGCAAGAAGCAAGAGAGACGCGCCGGCGTAAAACGCCCTGGCCTACTACGAAACTGGGCTGAGTTGGGCAGAGACCTCATTGCACAAATTTCAAGGAAGTTCAGGTGCATATGTTGCCTGAATGATGGCAGCGTAAGCGCCTCGACAGACAAGGACAATGAAATTGACAGTAATTTGCCAAAGGTGTGAGAGCTCCGGAAAAAGAGATAACAATATATTGTTCGTTGACTGGCAGGAGCGCCTAGAGAACCGTAACTACTTCTTGTGCTTGATGTGTTTGATAAGCTTGTCGGCAACTTTCTCATGGCCAATGAGCATCGGGTGGTACTTCGCATGGTCCGTGTCGTAGCCCCACAGCCAAGGCTCCTTTGAGCCCAGCGCATGGCCGGTGATGTTGGCCAGGTCGACGAGCGTGAGCCACGGCTGCCTCGTACGACTCGCCTCGACGTACGCGGCATTGACTCCATCGTACAGGGCCTTGTAATGATCGATCCGGCTCTGGCTCAGCGGCATGTAAGATGTCTGTGGCTTCGTGTCGTCTGACAGCAGCGGCAGATATTCGACCAGGAAGATCTGAGCCTCGGGAGACTTGGTCCGGACCTGGTCGGCCACTTCGCCAAGCTTCTTGGCGACCTGCTCCGTTGTTGCGGAAGCAGCCCGGCCCCTCAGAGAGGAGGAGGATGGAAACAAAGAATCTTGATCGGGTACTACGGCCTGACCCCACACAGAGTCTGCGTAGGCCCTCTTGTCGCCTGCCGACGAGGTGGCCGCCGCGGATTCTTCGAGGAGCCCTCCTATATAATTAAGGTCGTTGCCACCGCCAAGAATGAAGACCACATCCTGATTCGGGGGCAGATCTTGCAGCTGTGGATTGAAGGTCGTGTTTCCGACCGTCTGCTTCTGCGTCAGGACATTGTCGAGCGTCGCGCCCGAAACAGAGAGATCGGTGAGATTCCCATTAAAGTGTTTCGCGACGAGGTGTGCGAAGTTGTTTCCCGAGCGGCCTGCGGCGACTGGTCCGACAGAGGGCGGGATCGTAGGTCCGGCCGCATAGGAGCTACCGAGGTTTCCAATCTGGAGCACCGACATTGCTGCAATTCGTCTTAGAAGAAGCCGGAAGGAGGATAGACGAGGGGTGATTGATCCAAGAATTCTGTGGGGGTGGAGAAAGCGCACTTTTTTGTACGCGTCTTGACACGGAGCTTTCCGAGAGATGGATGGCATCATCAACATCTCAGGGCAATAAATTGCAAGGGGTTCCGATGCTATTCCGTCACCTTGTTTTGCGGCCTTCTCGAAAGCGTCCGCAAGGCAGAGAGCTTTGGGCTCTTCCGGAAAGGTAATTTGTCCACGAAGTACCCTGTTGAGATGGCTGCTTTCCCAGTACTTTACATCAATTGCTTCATGAAAGTTTAAAGGCAATGATCCACGTTGCCTGACGGGTTGCCAAACCACGTCGGGAACGGCTTTGCTTTTCCGCTAGCCCCAAACACGGCAAAGGATAGAATGAAGATGAGGGTCTGAGCTCCGCCGTCGAGGGCTGCTCCGACAAGGTAGTTGTACTAGAGAATAAAGCGCGAACCTTGCGTCAGAAGTGCCCGACTTCGCAACGGTGCAGCGATTGCTCACCTTGTTATACCAACGAGGCAATCGTCTCCTCAGCCAGACTTGCGAGATGAAACCGACAACGATCTGCGACGTCACCAGGCTTGTGTTGCCAGAGTACACCTGACCGGCGTAGCTGGCAATGAGGGGCGTTGTGATAGGAATGCTGCGCAGGCGAGGGAAAGCCTTGATACAAAGCCAGTGAACAATAGGAAGTCCAAGGCCGATGAGGATACCGAAGGGCACTATCGTATAGCGCCCTTTCAGCCCATAGACTGTGATGATAGGTTGTGAGCCTTCAAGGTTGGGCGTTCTACGCTTCGTCTTGAAAAGCGCACTCACCCTCCTTTGCGAGCGCCCAGGTGACGGCAGAGGTATTGAGACTGGCCATCTGCTGGCCGCTCCAGACTTCGCCGCCAGAAGGATCAAGCAGCTGCTCCCGCTGCGACGAGACGATCGTTGTCATGACCAGGTAATTGAAAGCGGCGCCTAGAAGCGAGGCGTAGATCTGCGTGGCGAACATGATACGGTGCGGCACCTTGGTGTATTGTCCGAGCTTTTGCCAATTGGCCAGATTGACAGAGAGGAGAATTACCTGGTGGGACCATGCAACAAAGTAGAGGTTGGCCAGAGGTCGTCCAGGTATCATGGCACCCGCAATCATCTTTGGCAACGATTTCGTGTCGATGCCGGTTCCAAAAAGACCATAGAGAATGCAGGCTGTGCCATTATATTTTTGCGAGTCAGAGAAGAAATGCTTTCGACGGAGCAGTGAACACTCACAGAAAGGTGCGAGGAACGCTCCAAGGATCAATGATACGATGTAGGCCCAAATCGGCAACGTCGTTTCGCCCTTGGCATTGACGATAATGCCGGCCACGAATGCGAGAAGAAAGAGGACGCCGTACCACCAAAGCGGCACTTCCTTGTACTTGCGCATGCCCTGGTAGTGTGGATCATTGATGCTGCCCTCTCGAGCTTGCCGGAGGACCCGGATCATGTCCTTGCTGTAGAAGATGATGACATGCGAGATAAGGGCTCCAATGGCTAATGTTGCGGTGAAGTATCCCCAAACGGTTGTCGCGGTAAGGTGAGGAAGACCCGCTTCTGCCAGCTTCGACTCGTCGATGATCGTGCTCCCACTTCCAAAAATCGAGGTAACCGAGTACTTTTTACCGTTGGCTTGGAATAGCGAGGTCGACATGAAAGGAAGTCCTTTGGCACCAAAGGCATCCCCATAGTACAGGGCGAGCATTACGACGTACCATATACCGTAGCCTATCCATGAGTTGGCCTGCAGCTTTAGAGGGAGAGAAAGGTAGATCGATTGAATGTACTGCCAGTCGAGGGTGAGATTGAAGAGTCCTACGCCCTCGTTGGACGAGCCGCCACCAAATATCGTCGTGAAGACCTCTCGCGTCGGAGTAGGCGCACCGATGGAGGCAAGGCAAAACACCGAGAGGCCGTTCAGCCACGGCATGATGTACGAAGGGAAAAGCTCCCAGATGAAGCTGCCACCAAACCACCACCCGAACTTGCGCATTCGTTTCTTGTTCTCTTGCACCTCAGCATCTTCTTCTCCGGTGCCGCCGCCGGGTTTTGCGTCACCCTTGTGCAAGTTCTGAAGCAAGACGACTTGAGGAAGTGTGGACCAGTAGACCATCTCGGCAGGATATACGATCCAGGTGCGCAGTAGGCCTGCCAAGACGAAGCCGCAAAGGCAAATGGAAAAGGTCGACAAGACCACTGTCGAGGTCGAGTAGGGAATTGAAGTTCCCGTCGAATAGTACAGCCTCTGGACTGCAAAATTTTCGACGCCAACAAGGCCGTTGTTACCGGAAGAGGCGATGAGCGAAGCGACAACGTGCTCCTTGAGGAGGAAAGGTTGGCCGAAGTTCAGAAATCGGAAAGTTCTCTGGAGCCAGGGCCACTTGACGCTCTCGGGCTTGGGAGTGAGACGATACCAAGCAATACCCGCAATGTAGACGAGCAGAAGCAAGAAAACAAAGGAGACTTGAACGGGCGTCTGCACCGGCTTGAAGATGTAGATGATGGTGATGGTGCTGGAGAAGGCGGTGAATATAGTACCAAGGACGATCGATCTAAACGTGAGCGCATCATCACCGTCGTCACGAGTTGAGACAATGAAGCGCGAAACGTCGTTGCCGTTCCTGATGACCGGCTCGCCGTTGACGAGCTCAACCTCGCTGGTGCCATTGAGCTCATCAAAAGATTTGTCGCGTGCCTTGAACCGCTGCTCCTCTGAGCCTGCGCCGCCCGCGCCAATTGTAGGGACGACGTAACGCTCAACCGATTCGTGGACCTTGTCAGCACCGTCCTTGTCGTTGCGGTTCTCTTTCTCGTTCATCGGAGTTTCGGCTTCGTCCACGGACGGATCGTGAGAGAGGATTTCGCCCACCTCGTCTGCCATTGTTGCAGTCACTCCTGAAGGGATACACAAAGCTACAATTGGTGGACACGAGGGGGAGAGAAGAGGTGCGAGTTAAGAAGGTCGAACGCCGACTTTCAAGATTTCACTCGAGGTAAAGGTGGCGTGCTCGCTCCGCCAATGAGTCCTTCGAGATGGGAGATGGGACCCTAGCCTGACGAGACTCTTTTTTTTTTCTGCTTGCTCAGGAACAAAGCACCCGCCTACCTCGGCCGTCACGCCGGAAGGCACTTTGATGCAGTTCACCTGATCGGTCCCACCTCCGTTGTGCGAACGCAAGAGTAAGCACGAGAAGCGACATCCGATGGCGTGCTCACTAGTGATAAGGCCGGCGAAGTGCACCCAAATCGAAGCAAGGTGTGCTAGCGTCTTTTTTTTCGGAAGAAGCTTAAAATACTCAGACCGGACCGACGGCACAAGCTCCGTACCGCAGAGATAAGTGTAGAGAAGGCAAGGGGGGTCCGTGCTTCCAAATGCAATATGGTCTTTCTGCGTGGATGAACGAGGGTACAAATGTTGATGAGATAGTAACAATGCTGGTCTAGACTGATGTTAAGGTATGAAAGCAACGTCGTAAGGGAGAGCCAACCTGTGGCCTACTTTGGCGCAGACTTTTCAAAAGTCCACACACGAGGTTCTTGAGAAGCAACGACCTTCGCAGAAGGTCCCTAGAGACGAGGCGAGAGAAGGTGCAAAATAAAGGAGGGCAAACAGACTATGACGAAAAGTCCCTAGCGCGCTTGCCGTGCGAGTTCTTGGAGCAAGCATCGTCAAGGCAGTAGACGTCGATGCCATTGATGAGAAATTCGGCGTCTTTGTAGTTGTTGCCGATCTGAAGCGCGTTCCAGAGGCTGTTGCCGCAGTGATCGCCATCCATGGGGACGTTTCCGGCCCAATCGCCACCAATACTTGAGAGTACGATCATCTCAGTCAGCTAATAGGTCATGGCCGCGCGGGACTGGACCGAGCTACTCACGTAATGTCCATGATGATATTTTGCTTGGAAATAACCTGGTTCAGCGCCGTTGCCTGGAAGTTTGCCATGGGGGTGCCCCACGAGTCGGGGTTGAGCTTCGAGGGAGCGTTGCCCGGCTCGCTGAGCTCCTTTGGGATCTTTCCGCTCTTCCGTCCGAAGAACCAAATACGAACGCCATGGCCGCTTCCGAATTCCATTGCCCATACGCCTCCGCCAGCGGCGTTGAATTTGGTGCCCCAAGACGGACCGTTCTTGTTCGAGTCGAAGAAAGCACAGCCCGTGTGCTCGCCATATTGGTTGCAGTTCTTGGCCAACGGAGTGCCGAGCGATTTCCCGCCTTCCAGAGGCGAGTTCTGCCCGATGTGAACCGTCATTTGGTTACGTCCGTTGCTCGCTTCGTACCCGACACCCTCGACGACGTCGATTTCGCCACCTCGCGGCCAGTTGGCGCCCTGGGTCGTCCAGAGTGCGGGCCAGACGCCGCAGCCGACCGGCATCTTCTTGACATCGAAGATGATGAGGCCGGAATCATAGGCTCGCTTGCTCTCGAATCGCACCGAAGGTCGGTTCTGCCCGTTCAAGTTCTTGCTCGAAGCGCGCATGTAGGCCGCACCGTCCTTCATGCCAACGAGATCGCTTCCCTGCGCGGTCGAATGGTCCACGAAGCGCACCTTTCCGTTGGTGGGGTCGGCCTTGTTCCAGAAATTCCAAGAGCCGTCCCAGAATTTGTCGCCACGGTTGGACTTGACAAGCTTGTAAGGTCCGCTTCCGCCGCCAGTCGTCGACGCGGAGGTGCCATTCTTTGACGAGGAGGAAGAAGACGAGCTGCTGTCGTCCTCGGAGGAAGAAGAGGAAGAGGAAGAGGAGTCCTTGGATGAATCACTCTTGGAACTGCCAGAGGAGCCGCTCTTGCTCTTTCCATCCTTGCCCTTCGTCTTGCTTTTCTTGACCGCGTGCGCTCTCGTGCCTCCCGAGGATGAGGTTGAAGAAGAGGAAGAGGACGACGCTGCGACAACGTCGCTCTTGACGGCATTGCTGGCCTTCTTGCTCTTGCAGTGGGAAGACCGTCGGCGATGGGCGTGCGCAGTTGTGTCGAGGATGTCGCGGTGAAAAGCGGCAGATGCATCGAGGGGCCCTTGGTGGGCGACGTCGATGACGGTGGCGGCCGTGTACGAGGTCGGACCTGCGACCAGCGCAAGGGCGACAAAGAGGGTAAAGAGGGGCGTGCAGTGGAATAGGAACATGGTCAGAGACTGCTTGGGGGAGACGTTGCTGATAGTGCTATGATATAGTGGGGGTGAGAATGAGCGATAATGGGCGAATACAGTCGATAAGGTGATGGCAATGGGTGTCAGTCGTCGATTGGTCCAGCCAGAGAACCGTCGCCGTCGTTGTCGTCAAGACTTAGAGGGACGAGTGTGGTCTGTGAAGAGACAGAAGCAAGCAAGACGGTGGGAGTGAAGGGAACGACACAAGGAGCTGGTTGCGCTCTGCCCCTATAACGACTGCTTTGCCAAGAGAAGAGGACCTCCTCACCAAGACCCTACTAAGCGAGCCATGGTACGAGCTACTACACTACTAGTTTAATTAGTACGGTAGTCGTAGCTACACTTCGGAGCTGCGTTTGTGCAGGCGGGAACCCTCTAAAGGCGCTAACAGTGATTCCCTTGCGTCTATTTTGGGATCGCCAGCCCCTTCATTTCTCGCCTTCGAATACAAGGGGAATCCTTAGCGCCATTCCGTTGTTTTCCCGCGCTCCTTTTTCAAAACAAACGCAAAACCAAGACTTGGCACCTCCGACGACTAGAAAGAGTCGAGGTGGTGCTAGCAAAGGCCAAGCGAGCAAAGCTATTGCCAAGGCCAGCATGAAATGAGAGCGGCCGCTTCTCGCAAGATCTGGAGTGTGACAATCCTTCCGCTTCTGCAGTGCGCTACGTCCACCGAAGGAGGATGGACGAAGAGAAGGAAGGTGTCCGGACTCCATCAAGCCCGAGGAAGAAATAAGACTCCGAATTTCACCTTTCTCAATCTGAGCGCTGCAGTCTGGCTGGATTCAGCATTTAGCACAAGAGAGGACACAGAGAGATTGTTCGATTGATTAAGAGACCATGAGCAAATACGATACTGAGGATTGTTTGCAAAAAAAGGGAAAGATTCAAGGTCACTGCAGCGCACCTCTCGCACTGTTGCTACCGCTTCCCGCCCCGCTGCCGCCACCACTGGCGTCTGGGGGCACCTGACTAGCCCAATGTGCGATACTCGATGCTCTTGGATCGGGCAAGAGCCCGCCAGATACGCCGGTGCCAGCTATGGAGCCCATTGAGGGCATGTGGTGCATCATGGGTGTGCCCATCATGCTCATGCGTGGGTCGTAGGCCATGGGCGGAGACATCATCGGAGGCGCTGACTGCAGATTGAGGGCCGACATGGCCTGCGGCATCGTGTGCCCCATCATCGTCGACATGGGCGGCGCAGCAGGAGAGGGAGCAGGAGGTGACATCATCATGCCACCGCCTCCAAAGCCCATCATCGACATGTGAGGATTCCACGTCTGGCTCTGCTGCATCCGTGCCTGCTCGGCTTCCGCCTGGAGCCGCTTGATCAGGGCAGCCTGCTCTGCAATGATGGCCGCCTGCGGATGCTTCGCTCCCAACGGCCGGTCGTCGTCGGAGGACTCATCAGCAGCCGCCTCGGCCTCTCGCTTCATTCTCGCGAGCTCTGCCTTTTGCGCTGCCAGATTCCTGAGGATCTCTGCGCCGTTTGCATGTTTGAGGCCCAGTGGTTGGTCTTCGTCCGACGAATCTTCACCCTGTAGCACCTCCTTTGCTTCGTTGTGAACCGCCGAGTTCCGAAAGGCGGAGCTGCTCTTGGACTGAGGAGTGCCATCGGCACCTGTAGGACCTTTTGCCTTGCCGTCGTCCTCCTGACCAGCTTGCATGAAGTCAAGGTCGAGGGTGCCCAATGACTGGTTCCTGGCCTTCTTCCTTGCAATGATCTGCGCCAGCGTCAGCTCTTCTTCCTCGTCCGAGTCGGCCATCCTGCGTGCAGGCTGTCCCAGGCCAGCTGCGTAGTTGGGTGTCGCTCTGGCCCGCAATCGAGCGAGGGGCACATCGTCCTCTGAGGAAGAATAGCCATTTGCAGGCGCCTGCTCCATCAGCACAGACTGTCTGGCCCGCTCAAAGGCCTTGGCTCGACGCTGAGCCTCATCGCCCGACTCTTCGTCTGCGCTCGCCTCTCGTTCCTCCTCCTCTTCCTCCTCCATGACCGTTGTATGGTCGATCGGCACGTCCAGCACAGGCGGATCGACTGGCGTTTGGCTCCTCGGCGGATCGCTCTGCAGTGGCTCCTCTTCATACTGAATAGGCTCCTCTGTTTCGTCCCTGATCGGCCCACTCAACCCCGGTATGGGGGCACTGATCTCAAAGATCTGCTCTCCCTTCTTGCTCTTCTTGTTCTTCTTTTTCTCCTTCTTCTCCTTCTTTTGCCTCTCTCGCTCCATCCTCTCTTCTTCTGCCCTTCTGAACTCTTCCTCTGCCCGCCGCTTGATCTCGGCTTCCTTGGCTTCCTCGTCTCGCCGCTTCGCCATCTCCCTGCTCCACAGCATGTCCGTGCCAAAGGCCGCTTGCATCCTCTCCCTCGTGTCGTTGTAGCCGAGCGGATTCTCACGGAAGGTGCGTGCGGCCGTGCTGGCGGCCGCCATCGACTTGTCGTCGCCCACCAATGCAGACTGCGCCTCGAGCCTGTTCATCTCCTCGAGCTCGACCTGGCCATAGAAGCGGTTCTTGGACTGCACCGTCTTCTTTCTCTCTTCGGCCACGTCCAACAGGCTCTTGCCAAACAGCTTGCCAGCGGGCTTCTGCTGGTCCAGCCATCTCCGCTCGTCTTCGCTGTTCCAACTACCCTCTCCGTCTGATGAAGAGGCGCCCCCAAGATCGTCGTCGGTGAAGAAGTCGTCGCTGTCCGTCGCGCTCAAGTCGAGGTCTTCATCGGGGCTCATCTCCTCGACACCGACCTCTTCGTAGCTCAAGCCGTTGTCCTGTGCCTCTTGACGCTTCTTGCGCCGCTCTCGCCGCGCGACCTTTCTCATGTGCTTCTCCTTTGCCAGCTTTTTTGCCAGCTTCTTTTCGGCCCTCGAAACCTTCTTCTTCTTCGGCTTCTTCCGCACGCCATCTTCGTCGGCATCCTCGAAGCCAGGATTGTCGCCACTGTAGAGACCAGCAAATGTCGCCAGATTGGCTACATCTTGACCGATGGCTGAGCCGGCCTCCCAGCCCCAACCCTCCTTTTCGTCGTCATGCTGCACGAGCTGGTTCCTGAAGAGAGCCGTCGTCGGCATGGCTGCTCGCCTGCCAATGCCCACGGGCGCCGCAGCAGGTACGGAGAGGACCCTGTTGGCCGCTTGCGACTGCAAAAAGTCCGACACGGTGGCATCGTGCTTGTGCCGGCCGTCTGGAGCCATGAAAAAGGGCTGTGGTCCGCTGGCGCCCTGCACTTGGAGCTGGCGAATGGATGGCGTAGCGTTGCGATCGTGCAGGACAAAGCCATCGGGCACATACAGCTTGGACGTGGGCCGGTTGGCGGCACCCACACCGACCTTGTCGACAAAGGCGGAGTCCGTCAGCTGGGATTTGGGGGCATCTGGGGTTCCTTGCAATGGGGCAGGCATGACGAGCATCTTTGGCAGGCACGCTTCAATACCACGAGGTTTCAGGGGGCCCTTGAGCGGCGGGCTCACGAAGTCGTCGTCGACGTCTTCGTCGCCGCCTTGCCCGGCGGCATGCTTGAGCTTGGAAAAGATCTCCCCGACGGGCTCAGCTGCGTACTGAGCCGACAAAGCTTGGACCTCTTCGTCCTTCCGACTGAGCAGGCTCCTCCTCTTGCTTCGGCCCCACCTGGCAGATGATAGATCAGGTTCTTGTTGCCCTCCGAAAAAGGCGCTCAGCGGCCTGCTTTTTCTCTTTGAAGACGGTGGCTCCTGCTCCAACGGTTCCGCGCCCGGGACATCGTCATCGATCACGTCAAGCGGCGGCGGCGGCGGCTGCTGCTGCTTCAGAGCAAAGTCCATCAAGGCTGCCGTGAGCCTCCTCGATGGCTCGCCCTTCTTCTTTCTCTCGTGCTCCTCCTCCTCCTCCTTTTCCCTCTCCGGGCTGAGAATCTTCTTGAAATGCATACTCTCGTACAAGACCAGCTCGGCATCCTCGTCGGGCAGGCCTGTATTGTCGACCTGCATTCCCGTGATGCCGTACGAGTCCGGGAAATTCTGCCTGGCCGCAGCCTGGAGTTGCTTCGTGCTCAGCCCCCCTTGCTGCTGGTATTGCTGTTGACCGTCGTATGCCGTGCCTTGATGATGCTGCTGCTGCTGCTGCTGCTGCTGCTGCTGCTGCTGACGAGCAGCCTCATAGGGGTCCGAGGGGAGCTGCATCAGACGAGCCATGGGACTGTTCATCATCATTGGATACGGGCTCGGGCCGAGCGAGAACATGCCGAAGGGATCATCGACGTTGGTGATGGGAGCACGGTCAAGGATAGCAGGTGACCGCGAACCGGCATCGCGTGGCGAGTGAGCAGGCCGAGGTGATGGTATGCCCTCCATCATTTGGCCTCCGCCTGGTGTGGGCGGCCGAGAGAGGTGCTGGCCAGGAACAAGAGAGAGATTGGGGTCGAACGCGATGGGCGTGGCGCTGTAGTCGTCCTCCCCGTCCTCGCGAGGCGGTGGCTGGGCTGGCGCGCCAAACATCATCGAATTGGGCCTCGATTGGGAGCGAGAATAGGAGCCAACGCCGGCCATGCCCTCCAGTGGCACTTCTCCGTCTTCGTTGTAACCGTCCTGGTAGTTGATGTATGGCGTCGAGTGAGACGAGGGAGGAAAGTGAGGCTGAGCGTCATGGTCGTCCTCGTCGTCACTCCACCTTTCGCCAGTAATGCCAAAGCTCGACGTCCTGCGCTTCTCGTCCGCATGGTGCTCCCCGAGCTCCTCGCGCCTTGTCTGCACCGACACACTGCCCTGTTTGAGCGACTCGGCGGGCTCCAGGCCAGAAGACTCTCTCGTGATGGTGTCGAGTCCCTTTAGCGACGTCGATACTGAGGGCATCTGCGACATGTTGCCGCTCTCCGACATGTTGCCGCTCTCCTCCTCGCCGTCCTCGTGCTGAGCGGCGGACGACGAAATGTGGCGGTCGACGTCGTCCTGCGTCGCCATGGGCCCCGGTCCGTCCCACTGGCTTGGTGGCAGATTCTCTTGCCTCTCCCTGTACAGCTTGATACGCGCCAGCAGGGCCGGGTCTGGGTCATGGCTCTGCTTCCTCTTGCTGCTGATGCTGGGGCCTGTCCCACCGTCGCTTCCCGTGCGAGCCATATCGACGGAGTTCTGGCCACTCATGGATCTGCCATGCCTGCCAGCATCAGATGCCGGTCCTGCCACTGAAGAGGCCGTCTCGATGCCCACGATGCTGCCAGCTCTGCTGCCGGCTCGGCTGCCCGCCCTGCTCCTTCTGCCCGATGCAGCAATCTTGTCCTTTGCCTCCTGACTCAAGAATTTGTCGACGCCCCATTCGCTCAGCGCCTCTTCCTCGGGCTCTCCTTGCCCGTCATGAATGCCCTCTTCGCCTTCGCCGTCGTTGTCGTCGTCGTCGTCTCCAAGCATACCTGCGTCCGACCCGCCGAAGCGCTCAGCACTTGCGATGCTCAGTGCGCTCTGCGGCCTTCCCGAGCTGAGGGCGCTGCCCGGCCTGCTCTGCGAATAGGCTGAAGATGCGCCAGGATACCCACTGCCATAGGCAGACTGCTGTTGCCTCCTCTTTTCCGTTGGCAGCTTGACACCCAGAAAGTCGACGCTAGAAGGCGGCCTGGGCGAGCCGTCGGCATTGAGGAGCCTCGAGAGCCTCGACGCATTGCTACCCGTCCTTGCGCGCGTCCTCGGGCCCGTGGTCCGCAGCTCCTCGACGCTCGGCACACTGGCCTCGTCGCGGTAGGGAGCAAAGATTGCGCTCTGCGACGCCAGCTTTGGCTGCGGCGGCGGCGGAGGGTAGGGCGTGTTGGCATCGTAGTTTGGGTTCTGCCTCGCGAGGCGCAACGCCGCCTCGGCAATACGCGCATGCTCGAGAATGTCGTCGTTGTCGCACTCGACGAGCGCAGCGGCAAGCTGGAGGCGAGCATTGACCTTTTTCGAAATCTTTGCCTTTTTGGTCTTCTTCTGGCCCATGCTCATTGCTGAATCAAGGGGCGGCACCCCCTCGCCTGGTCCATCGATGCGAGAGAGCATGCTCGCTCGTGGACTCGTCGCCGCGTCCAGCTCACCGAGGTTGTGGTGCGACAGGCGCTGAGGACCACCGCCGCCGGCCAGGGCGCCCCCGGGCAGGAGAACAGAGGGTACATTTTGCGGCCACTGGTGCTGTTGCTGCGACGACGACGAAGAGAGGGCCCGCTGGTGCTGCTGGTGGTCGGACGCCTGCGACTGGGTCAAGGAGCCTCGAATGCCAATGTCCTGCGCCCGCTGAAAGGCCGGGAACGGCATGCTTGCCGTGGGGCTCCTCTGTCAGGCCGCGCGCGCAGGGCACACTTCGACGTGTGTGCGTGCGTACTGGCTCTTTGCGCAGACAGCGTCTCAAGAAGCCTTTGTCGCCCTCCTCGTCGTGCTCTCGTCTGGTAGTGGTGAGTCGAGGGGAAGAACAAAGTCCGTGGCGAGCTGGACTCAGGGTCTACACTACACCAGGTACGTGCTTCTAAAGTTGGAAAATGAAACGTTGTCGGACTTCCTTCTCGCTGCAGCTGTCGCCTGCGCAGCGGATCGAGGCTTGTCACGGGGGCCAGCTCGCTGGGCGCAGCAAGTAGTTGCGTATGTCTGTCAACCTTCTTTTCCCAAGCTTGAGGAGATGGAGGGAGTAGATCTCCGCTGGCGGTGCTTCGTTGTTTCTCGCCGCCGATCTGTCTCTTACTGTGCCTAGGAAGACAGCACAGCTGACACGACACACACCAAAAAAAAAACTGAACCAGATGAGATGGAAAAAATAGAGCTTATTTGGCTCGATGCAGGGAGGTGACGCGAAATCGTTTATGCTACACTACAACAACATTCTTTTAAAAGGGAGCGAAAGGCCAGCGATCTGAACCACCTGAATCGAGGGCAGTAATTATCTACGGCTCCTTGTCGAGCCTGTCCCTGGCTTCGTTCAGCCGCTGGCTGTCAGCCATGAGCGTCGTCAGGAGAAAGTCGCCAAATTGAACATCGGTCCAGTAGCCTGCGTGCGACCACAGGAATTCCATGTACTGGTTCGTCAGCAGCGAGGGCTGGGGCGGAATGATGAAATCTGTCCGAGACGCTCAGCAGAGTGTAGAGAGAAGAGAGAGGCAAGAGACTTAGTGCACATACCGATGGAGCCAAGTTCGTTGAGGGCCCTCATCCTTCGTTGAGCACGATCTCGATTCTGCTCTTCAGCATCGGCAGTTGACATATCAAACGACGAAGCTGTGCTCTGGGCTTTTCCCTTCTCTCCTCTCCTGAGCTCGTCTTCTTCTTCTCTTCGACGTTGTTCCTCAGCGGCGGTGGGCGTAGCGATGCCCTCCCACTCGCCCGCTCTGGAGCCCAACCTAGATGTAGATTCTTCTCGCTTCTGCTTGTAGCCCGCCTTGCGCGTCGACAGCTTCTTGAGCCACTTTGCGTCCTTTGCCTTTGGCCCATCCCCCGTCGGACTGGACGCAAGCAGGTCCAAGTCAGCTCCGTCTGGCCTGTCTTCGCCCGCGGTTGCATCTTCTGCCTCTTTGACCGCGCTCCCTCCGGCTCGTGTCCAGCTGGCAAAGAAGCCCTTACCTGCCTGAACGGCCGGTGCATCCAGGGCGCCGGGCAGCGTCCTCAGAATGCTCTTGGTCGCACGCGCGAGCGTCACGGTGCTCAAGTCCTTGGAGTGCCGCGCATCGACAGTCGAGTTTAGCTTGGTTCCAATGGGATCTGTTGCCGAAAAGACGTTGAAGATGCGATCGACGGCCAGGCATCCCCATCTCCCTGCTCTCTCGAGAGCTTCGTCAGGAGGGGCTTCGTTGCTCGAAAGTGGCCGCCTTCCGCGGCGAGCAATCAGCTGCGACTGATTGAGCCACATGAAGAGGGCCACGGGCGAGCCAACGAGATAGAGATTACGCACGTCGAATGCCAGTTCGGCACCGGGATCAGGCAGCTCTTTGAAGGGACGGCAACTAGTTGGCTGTTTCGACAGGCTGTTGAAGAACAGAGAAAGGGAAGAGGGGGGAGCAAATGGTCAGAAATTGGAGCCATCAGCCTGCAATAGAGATCTCTCACATATCAGTGGCCAGTGCCGCACCGAGGCTGTGCGCAATTAGGCTTGTCCGACCGCCTTGCTCGAGGAAGTTTGGGTTTCTCTGACAGAAAAGCCGGTAGATGCGATTTGACTCTCGGATGACTCGTCTTAGAATTTCTTCCTTGTGCTGCGAGAGATAGAGGGGAATGTCGAGCAAGATGCCGGAGATGAGCTGACGAATGAGCGGGATGGAGTCGGCAAAGATGTCTTCAAGAGAGAAGCGATTGTTGAGGTGCTCTTCGGTATCGTGTTCGGAGTCCAAAGGCGGTGGCTCAAAGTCTTCCAGCGTTGCTCGCCACATGACGGGCAAAAATTGGACTCGACGACCTTCTGCGAGCGCAGGGATACCTCCGCCTCCGACATCGGTTGGCGGCGCCCCGCTTGCTCGCTTGTGAACTAAGGAGCGGAGCGAGCTGACGGCCAAAGCAAAATCGAGCGATTTCCACTCGTCTGCCAGCTTCTGTCCGATGCCGTGCCAGACGAGAACGAGTTCGATGGGCTCGGTATCCCGTTCCATCTCTCGTTTGTACGCTTCCTCGTCCTCTTTTGCCTCCGTTTCGGCCATCGTTGTAGTCCTCGCCGCTGCCGCTAGCGGTGTTACGTTCCTCGTCTTGCCCTCAGCCATTAAATCCACTCGCTTCTCCCCGATTTCTTCGCCTAAACCGGCACTCTCAAGCCCGCGCGCATCGGAGTGCGCCTGCGTAATTGGGTCGCCTGGTATCGCCTCCTTTTTCGACCTGGCCGTGCTGGACTCTCCTGTCCAGTTGCCAAACTTGCTCGCAATTGTCCGCAGCAGATCGGCAGACGTCATTGTGGTTGCACCGAGGGTATCCTGGCTCTTTTCCACAAGGACGGGGCTCTGTTCGCCGCTCTTGTCCTTCGGACTGTCCTGTTTCTTGCCTTTGACCGTCCCGTCCCCCTTGGGAGTCGATGAAGAGCTGGTCGGCGGCTTTGCGGGCATCTCGCCGGTGCTAGTCTTGAGCAGACGTCGGGCATTGTCGAACCCTCTGGCAACAAGGGTGCCACCGCCGTGAGAGCCTGACCACGCCGTGAAGATTGTCTTTGTGATTCTCGTAGGCACACTGTCCGAGTAGATTCTCGCTAGATGCGGTCCCAAGAAGATGGCATAGTAGCCCTTGAGCGTCTTGAGGGGCGCCTTGAGCTTGTCCTCGGCATCGGATCCAATTGCAACCGAGGAGCGAAGCTCGTCGGCGTACGAGGAGAGCCAGGGCTGAATGCTCACGTACAGCTCCTCGAGCTCTCTGGCGACGTCCATCGACAGGGGCGTCACCTTACTTGCATCGAGGAACCACGTTCCACGGAGGACTTGGTTGGCGCTTCCTTTCCAGAAGACGGGGGAGAGCTGGGATATATTGCGTGTCAGTAGTCGCGAGACTCTTTCCTGTCTACCCTTGGAGGCTGCAAACTCACCCTCAGGGTCCGCAGGTCTACTTCGAAAAGCCTGTCCTCAGCGACGGGGACTCTCCAAGTGGGCAAATCGACATCCGGGTCGGGCTTGGGCAGCGTGAGATTGCTGCGAGTCTCCTCTTCCTTCTCCTTCCCTGCACCTCGCTCGTCCTGCTCCTTCTTCCAGGCGATCCATGCCCGTTCCAGCGCCCTGTCGTCCCTCTGCCCAAAGACGTTCCAGCTCTTTCTATCTGCGACTGTCGATGCGGTGTCATCATTGGCCCCGCCACCACTGACGCTCGTCGCCGGCGCCGCCTCGGTGGTGTGGAGCCACCGGTGCAGCAATGGTGGCTTGGTCTTTTCAAACGTTGGCGCGCTCGCCTGCCGTAGAAATTGCTGTCGCTGCCTGGTGTTATTTGAGGCCGCTGCTCCTTCTGCCCCTCCTCTTCCCTCTCCCTCTACGTCTGCACCACCGCCTCCTGCTGTGTCAAGCGTCGAGGCCATCGTTATAGCGATGTGACGTTGCGATGCTGAAACGAGTCTATCGAAACGTGTGCTTCGCTGCGCGCGCCCGAAATTTTGAGAGGGGGATTGGAGTGCAGCCAGGAGAAGATCCGTGCGAGAAACTCCACCGAGGCTAGGGGCACTTGAAAGCAAGCACCTGAGCGCGTTCCTGCCTTTTGCAGCGATGCTCGCAGTGCCGCTAGAAGCTACCGTCTTCTCTCCTATCACAAATGGAAACAAAAGCTGCTCTTCCTTCCCTTTCCCTCTTCAAGGTTGCCGATTCGCACCTCTCTCGGATGTTCTAGCATATCATGCAACGTAAGGTCGTGAATGGGGATTGTGGTTATGATATAATCGTATCTTTACAGCTCAGAAGTAGAAGAAAAGGGTTGCTCATCGTCCAGCCACTTGGCTTTGCGTCTCATGAAAGTCCACATCCTCGTCGTCATGGCCAGTGTGCCAGGTGCTGGTGCTATGCCTCCTCGAATCATCCATGGTACTCAGTGCATGCGGCTGAGGGTGACGGAGGGATGGGACTGTGCCTTTCAGCAGCTAGTGTCGAAGTATCGATAGGTGGGAGGTCTCGTGGACGTTGAACTGGTGTCGCTGCCCCGCTGGCTTCCCTACCTTCGACGAGCGGCGCAATAGTGTTTGGCGTCGCCACACTGTTCGCGTTGGCCGAATTGTCTGAGAGAAAGGATCTCGAGGGACCTCCGTTCATGCTGGGCCGGCTCAGGTCATTCATCTCGTACGAATTTGTCGACAACATTCGCTGGACCACATCGCCCAACGGCGCCCTCGAATCTCCGTAGAAGGCGCTTCCCGAAAGGACAGCAGCAGAGGGTCCATCGATGGACGTCTCCGCATTGCTCACTCTCGATCTCGCATTTGGACCATTGTCGATTGTCGCGGTGTCTTCAACAGCATCATCGGCCTTTTTGCATGCCTCGTCGGCAGCAAGCTTTCTCTGCCGGACTTCCTTGGACCAGCTGATGAGATCCAGGATATCGCTCACGGCAGGCGTTGCAAGCTCGGTGGCGTGCAACCCCACTCCAGTCACCCTGGAGTCATCACTGCCGAAACGAGCAAAGAGGGGCACGCTGGCCGTGCCAAAAACGAGCTCTGGAAGCTCCTCCTCCTCTGCGTCTTCTCCAGTCTCGGCTGGCGCGGCGGCCGATGTGTCGTTCGCCTCCTCTTTGCCATTCTGCTTCTGCCCTTCCTCGTCGTTCAGCTGTGCAAAGAAGGCTTCCCTCCTCGCTTCGGCAAGGCTTTTTACGCTTGTCGTGCTTCTCATACTCTTTAGACTTGGCGCTCGTCTCGCTTTGCCCTTCTCATACCCTGCATCTCCTGCGTCCTCCTGTACCTCGTCGAGCCGTGACTGGCCGAGCTGACTGCCCGTCCCGGCACGGAAATTGCCGTTCGACCGAGGACTGGACAATGAGGCCGTGGCAGAAGCGTTGGCCACAATTCGACGCGACGAAGGGAAGACCGTGCGCGTCGATGGCATGGCAATGAGTACTGTCACGTTGACGCTAGCTGCCAGACGCTCGTCGTTCGCAGCTGCGTCATTTGCCTGCACCGCTCCTGCACCTTCGGCGGGAGCGGCTGCCGGCATTGCGTCCTCGGGGCCCGTCTGAGAAGCTGCCGTCTCAACATCACCAGGTGCACCATCAGTGTTCCGTCGAAGGAAGTGGGGCATATGGCGAGTCAGTCGAGGTCGTCGATGGTCTCCAGCCTCAGGTCGCAGCTGATTCGAGTCTGCATTGGCCGTCGCAGCAGCGATCTGTTTGCCGTCGTTGGCATAAATGACTGGGTAGAGATTCGGTGGAAATGCCGCCGAGACAGGCTGAGAAGAAATAGCAATGTAAGTTCAACTTCAAAGCCTTGCTGGCGCGTCGCTCACCATCAGAGCATCCCAACCATGCTGCTTGACGTCGCCTGCACCGACACCACCTCCGAGGGCGCTCTTTTCCGCCCTTGACGATGCACCTGCGATGCCGGCCCGTACGTCGGCAATATTGGCGTGCCAGAGCTTTGGCTGGGGAAGCGTGTCCTCGAACTCGCGAATGTTACCGCCTAGAAGCCGATCGATGGGACCGTCTGGATAAATTCCCATCCGACGAAGCCGCCGATTCCGAACGAAGATCCGTAATAGAACGAATGAGACGACGAGGACGAAGAGAGCGATAGCTGAAACCCCAAAAGCGATGAAGGGAGCAGGAAGAGAGGTGGAAAAGAAGTTAGTACTTGATCCTTGACCGTTGGACTGCCTTCTGATCAACAAGTGCCCCTCGTCGCCTATCGCTCTCGCTCCAGCCAAGCTCCGCGGACGTTGAAGCCTTCGAAGCCCGGCGGAGTAGAGCGACAGGTTGGCAATGCGACCGATGAAAAGCATCCAGGCGGCACTCTGACAGACAAAGGAAGTAAGATACTGACCGATGACGAAAGTCTGTAGGAGGGCAGGAGACGGCGTCGGACGACAAAGACGTGAGCCAATGTGTCCTTGGCACATACACCCTTAAATGCCTGAAAGAATCCGCGACTCACAAATACGCTCAACGGTGCATTCTGTCCGTTTCCGTTTCCCTGTTGACCCCCACCGCTGGGCGGTGGTGGCGTCGCTGTGTTGCTGTCGCCTGGAGGTGGCGGTTGTGCAGTACTCGAAGGCGCTTGACGCTTGTATAGAGCCTCTGATGACGCGACCTGTATAACATTGTGGCGATTCTTGGCTTCGTAGGCAGCATCAATCTGCCGGACCCAGTCGCCGGGCTCGTGCCCGCCTTCACAATCTTTCCACTTGCCGTCGTCACGAATGCACACCGTTTTGCCCTCAATTTGCAATGTTGCCGATTTGCTGCAGATCACTTTCAGCTCGTAACCTAACTTCGGCAGCGGGACCGTCGCGAGCACACTCACGTAATACCTCTCCTATGTGTCTCCTCGATGCTCGCTCGGAGAAGCTCGATGCCCCTCTTGCCCTTTACGCACGCTTGAATCCCATCTCTTTTCCAGTCGACCTTGTCGGTCACTACATTGAGGCACTCTTTGGCCAGATCTTCGTTTCCGATCTGGTCGCGGCCACCCTTGAAGATCTCGCACTGGACAAAGCTCCACCACAATTTCTGTGCCTCGCTCGGGCTGAGGTCGTACCTTTCGCCGGCCTTGGAGGGGTCGAGAGCGTCGATCACGCACAGCTGATGCACATTTCCCTCGCATTCCTTTTCTCCATGCATGCAAGTGGCGCCGAAGCAGGCCGACGAGTTCGGATGGGCGATGAAGGTGAGGTCGAGCGACACCTTTTCGTTGACTCGCTCGAGGGCGCGATCGAACGACGTTTCGAAGAATAGAGCATCGGGACACCTAGACATGACGCCCAGCGCCACATTTACTCTATGAGAAGAAGAGATTTGCGGGGCGACCATCTCAAAGGGCGTCTGCGATGGGGAAGCTCCAGCTATCGCCGCTGCCGCCACAACCACCGCCATCTTCATGTCTGCCCGTGAGGCAAACGCTATACGTCGCATCTTGACAAGCGTCCTGTAGTGGCAAGTCAGACACAACTCAAGGTGAAGAATGCCCAAGACCAGCACTAACCCTAGTGATCCATGCTCGGAAGGAGATAACAATAAGGGTGAAGGAGATGTCTGACCGACCAATCCGACTTAACAAAGTGGCGTGAGCGGGGTTGTCTGGAGATCGGCCGTCCAGGCCGACGCGTGCACGTGACTAAGGTGTCCCGAACACCGTCACTCTGATGGCGGGTGATGGCATTGATTTTGCCGGTGATGTTGACAACCATGCAGGCTTTTCATGCCTAATTTCAAGACGGCACTGAAGTGGATTGCTAACAATGGGACTCACTCTCCGAGAAAGGAGGAATAATTGTGACATTTGAGTCCGCGCGACCGGAAGGCAACCCCGGTATACGATGATATTTGGTGTTGAAAAAGACGTAAAGCAGTCTGGGCCTGTTAGATGCTTGGCGACCGTCAGGTGCACGGAAACTGAAAGGCGATATTAAATGACTGAGTATCACAATGAGGAAGGGATGAGCATCTGCTCCATTCTAGCCAAAGATCAACCTTATCCAGGATTGAGTGTCTGGCTGGTGCTTTAAAACGCAGCACCCTCACTTTCTTTACTCACCCATAGCGGTTTACCCAGTGTACTCAGCTCCAATCTTCTCACTCTAGCAACCCAATCTTCGAGAAGAAGAGACTATACTTGCACTTCATTCCAATAATCACTTCATCAACTTATTGTAAAAGTGATACCTCTTTCATCCGTACAGTCTCAATGTCAGTGAGAATCCTGCTTCGCCTTCCTTCACCGCGGGCGTCTTGCTTTTCAGAGCCACGATTCACTTCTTTAGTCTTCTATGTCCAGACGACCTTCCATTGACTAACCTGAACCGTTCTAATCTTGCTCTCCTTTTCAATTCAGACAACGGTCGATGGCTTGAGTATGCCGATTTGCATGTGCCCACAGAGGTCTTCGTCGTCCGTCCGCCCGTTTATCAAGCCCTTCTGGACAATCATAATGCCTAAGAGCTCAGCGGGACTGTTTCCGACCTTCTTGCGGGTCTTTTAGGCACTTACACTAGTGCCCGAACACTGCGGTCTAGTCAATTACCGACTGGCGATTGTGGTCAAGAGGTGAGTGCACAGCACTGAAAAAGATGCCGCTGTGCTAGGACTGTGAAAGCCAGCGACCAAGTGACAGCTAATACAATGCTCATATCTGGGGACAATTCCTTTCTGCGCTTCGGCGACACTTTGACATTCCACTTGCGTTCGCACAAATTGTCATCTGCTGCCCCACAATCTATTTCCGCGTTGTCATCGCCCCTTCTTCTAGTAATCGTTGTTCACAATCGGCGAACAATCGATCGCGGAAAGTTAGGTTGTTTGCCCGCTTCTATACAGGAAATCTCTTCCACTTCTCCGAGCTCATCTTTCAGACTGACTTTACCGTTATCCAGACCCCTTTCCACAGCCCTTTGCATGGTGTCGGACACGAGCGGAAAAACATCATCGTCGTTTCTGCGCCCTTCTTGTAAGCTTCCTTCTATCTTCAGATCATTTTATCCAACATCTTGACTATGTACGCTTCCAATGACATTGTCTCCCATCTTACTAACTAAACATAAGAGCCCGAGTCCCTTGACGCCTAATGCTACAGAAACTATAGAACAACAAGACCACGCCGAATAAGAAAGAACGGATCAAGAAGAGGCAGTAGTAGCGTTCAGAGACGAAGTCGTCGAGGAAGGGGGGACGCTGCGGGCTGCGGGAGTCGTCGTCGACCAAGCTGGCTGGGGTTGCCAAAGACTCAAAGGAAATCCGCTCGCAGGGTCCGGATACGTACTGAGGTAGTCCCACAATCTGTCCGTGTTGGAAGCTGCGCGCTCCTTAATCTCAGCTTCTTCAGCATCGTTTCCTTGGCCCTCGTTTTCTCCTGCCTTTTTGTGCTGTTGCGTTGATTCTCGAGAGCTCAGACCCGTGGATATGCCGTCGTGAACAGAACGAGAGGTGGCGGCCGAGGGCGATGACGAAGGACGCTGGTCATCCTCGTTCACCGCAGAAGTGCTGCTCATGGCATCTCCTTCTGCACTTTTGTTTTCGTCCTCTTTCTCGGGTGCGAGTCTGACCTTCGGTGAAGTATGGCGGACTGCCTCTGGCGAAATTGCTTCTTCCGGCGAGTTTTCAGCATGCAGACGCTGCTCCTTCTCCAAAACTGGAGTAGAGCTTTCCCAAAGCGACACGATGCCCTCGAGGTAGAGTCCATATGGTGCTGCGGCTCCATTGCGGTGCTCTGGGGTTCTTCCCGCCTTGATGAGAGCCTTTGCCAGCCTTCGACTTTTCTCGACTATCGTCTTCCGATCTGCCCACACGTACTGCTTCCCACGGCGATGAGCTCGGTTGCCGCTGCCACCATCGGGCTTCTTCGTCAACCTCAGAGCGGCCAAGGCGGACCACGTAGACATGATGGCGGTCTGATTCGGCGCAGCGGCTAAGTGCTCCTCGTCAATCTGGTCCAAAAGTACGTCGATCATCGTCGACGCGCACGTCCAGCAATCGTGCGCCACGGGCGTCACCATGTCGCGCTCGTCTTCCTCTTGTGTCGCTCGGCTTTCTTCAATGCCGCTGTCCTTGACGCCGCTTTCGACACTCCCTTCCGCAGAAGCGGCGGCAAGTAAGATCGCATGCCATTTTTCCATCTCCTGGAGAACAATGCTGTTGAGATGGAGGCGAGCATGGAGGTAGCACAGGAAAGCTTGGAACCGCCATCCAACAAGCACGGCGCTCATGGACCGTAGGCCAGCGCCATCCGTATCGCCGGCCTCCTCTAGACTGCTCAGACACCATGTGTCCTTCCACCTTTCGAGATCAGCATTGGCCTTCATGCGCCAGTACTGGAGGCCAGCCATGCGCTCCTTTGCGCAGACGATCGTCTTGGACATTTTCGACCCTTGGAGCAAGCCGGAATCGTCGCCCAGGAGGTACTGATCGAAGGCGTCGCAATGCTGCCCAACCAGCCTTCTGAGCTTCATGAGGCTGACGAGGCAGACATCTTCCGGCAAGGCATACTCTTCGCGGTGCCACGACGACGAATTGACGATGAAGGCGTCCTCTTGGATCGTATGGGGTCGCCCCGTCTGGGCGCTCAAGGCACGGTCACAGAGAAAGAGGTTGATCCAGAGCCTCGATCTGTTCCTGATTCTCCTCCTGAATTGCTCATTGTTCTTGACACCCTCGTCGAGTGTCGCCCTACGGTTGACGCCCACTTCCGTTGCGATTCGAATGGCAAAACCGAGATACTGCCAGGACCGATCGTCAGCCAGACGATTGGTCGGTTTGTGGTAAAGCGAGAGGACCAGGAAGGCCTGTGAAAGCTCGACGCTTTTGTAGCCTTCGAGGAGCACCTCGGGTAACAGATTCTCGCGCCAGTATCGCTCCAGGGACACGGCAAGCTCGGCATCACGAGGCGATTCACGAAGTCGGGCTGCCAAAGCGGCAACGACCGTCGTCAAGAGCGCACTGCGATTGCGCACGTAGGCAACGCTGTGGAGGAATGGATCCAGAAGGTTGAGCTGTGGGTTGATGCGGGCAAAGAAGGTGTCGAAGAGCTTCTCCAGCTCCTTTACATCGAGGATGTCTTGGCGGACCGGGTCGAGATCGTCGTCGTTGTCGAGCTTGCTATGATAGAGACTAAGGGAGAAGAATTCGCGGTGGGAAGCGCCAACCTGCTCGCTGCGCTCGCTCTCACTCTCGCTCTCACTCTCGCCTCCTCTCTTCTCATCGGTGCTCTTGCGTCTCTTGGTCACCACCCAGCGACGCGGGGCCTTTTTGCCCTCGGCTTCATCCATCTGCTTTTTTGCGACGTCGGAGTCTCTCCGAGGCGCAGACACATGGATAGCCTTGGCAGAAGCTGAGTCTTCCTCGCCAGACTTGACGCTCTCGCTCCCTGCTGATGCCTGGCTGTTGCCATTGGTAAGACTCTTTCTTGTTCTAGCCCTTCCGTTTCGATACTCCCATGATTCGGGTTCTAGCGTCGCCGCCGAGATCGCGCGAGGGGGAGGAGGAGAGGGAGAAGCCGAGCTCAGTGAAGTGTGGATCCCCAAGACCTCTGCTCTTCGTTCAACTTCCGTGACCTTGGGCTTGGGCACCTCCTCTCTCGCTCGAGGTGACGTGAGCGGTTCCATGCGGGCCAGACTCTCAACAGTCGTGTAGCTGCGAGATCGACCGAGGGTGCCGAGGGTGAGAGGAGGAGGGGGCAGCAAGGAAGACGACACGGCCGCTTGCTTGGAAAATGGGGGCATGAAAGGCGGGCCCATCATCCTACCGCTGCTCGTTGGCGTATTGTAAGGCAGCTGCCTCCTTTCCAGACTAGATTGATCCCGCGCTGGTGCGTGGTAGAGGGTGCGATGGACATTTCCGGCGAGTCGTGGCATGGAGTCCACGGTCCTTGGCCTGCCCAAAGTTGGCAGCCGCATCGAGTCAAGCCGACGACCGAGCGGATCGAGCCTCGGCACGGGTGGTGAAACGAGACCCATCGTCGCTGCACCCGTTCCGAGGCGGCTGAAGGGCCGGTGAGGATGGCCACTGCTGCTACTCATGTTGTTAACGTTGCCCTTGTCTTCCTGAGCAGGATTGAGGAGCGTCCTCGCACCACCTTTGATGGCTTCAGCCGCGTCAGAGGCGTGTGCAAGTAGGCGAAGGGGCGTAGAGAGAACATCGTCGTTGTGGCCGCCACCAACCTCATCCTCATCGAGTTGGTCGATCTCCTCCTCTTCATTGTCCTCTTCTTCCTCACTGTTTGTCTGCCTTCCCGTGCTCCTGACGCCCTCGTCAAGTCGCGGCCTCTTCGCGTCTTGGTCTTTCCAACTTTGCTCAGCAGCTGCGACGGTTCGGTTTGCTGCTTTTTCGTCAAAAGGTCGATGGGCCGACGAAGCACGTTCGCCAGCGGCACCTGCCCCGCCCGAATGCACCGGTGCGACGCCTGAAAAGTAATCTCCTGTCAGCTTCCTCTTGTTGTGAGGACTGGAAACGGTGGCCGCGCTTCCAGGCCAGAATGGCGACTGTGAGTGATGCCCAGCTCCCTGAGAGCCAGAAGTGGCCGTCGTTGTCGTAGTTGTAGCCAAGATATTGGAGGGGGAGAAGAGCGATCGACTTCCCGAAGGAGTGGGGAAATCGAGCCAGCTCCTCGTCGAGTTCGCAGAGGAGACTGCTCCAGGCGATGGGAGATGCAAGGATGGTGATTGCTGATGCTGTGGCAGCGGCAGCGGAAGATGCGGGTGATGACCACGTTGGTGACCGAGGCTGAGCACAGGAGAAGCACTCAGAGCGTGCTGCGCAGGCGAAGAGTGCGACAGGGGCCCATCGCCATGGTCCCGCGCGCTTCCCAGGCCGATGGTGAGATTGTAGTGCGATGCTTCGGGGTGCCGGGGCGATGCATCGGGCGCATACCGCGAGGCTGATGGTGGTGGTGGCTGCACGGTGTATGTATCGGGACGAGAAGTGCGGCCGCCCACCGGGCTCACGGCCGAGGTCGGAGGCAGTCGTTCGTCTGGAAGAGGTGGCGACCATCCAGGCGTCGCAGGCGATAAAACAGCACCAGGACGCATGTAGCCATTTTGATGAGGGTGATGAGGGTGGTGATGATGGTGCGGCTGCTGCTGCTCAGGGTGGTAGCTCGTCGATGCTGACGAAATGTGGCCTTGGTGATGCCGTTCGCCAGCAACTGGCCTCATAAAGCTAGGTTCCACGGTGCTTGGTGCTCTGCTTTCATTTATTCTGGCGCCTGACGAGCTGACGGCGGCAGTCTTGAGGTGGTTACTCCTGCATTGAATACGGCGTTCAGTGTTTAGTTCACAGAGGATATCGCCTTCTGCAACTGCTGCTACTACTTACGTCCTTCCAGGCTTGCGACCTCTCCTGTGCTTTTCAAATACACATTCCTTTCCGTGCCTTTCGCAGCGCCGACAAGGGACCTTTCCATCCGTAGGAGCTGAGCAACGAATCTGGTCACGGTAAAGAGGTCAGCAGCTCGTCATGGAAATTGTTGGCTGCAGCTGATGCAAGAAACCGACCTTTGCACTGCGACAGTCGAGGCAACTGAGGGAAACAACGAGATTCAGAGGTCAGGAGGAAGGGTCACAGAGGTTGGGAAGAGCGACCCACGGCGATGAGAAACTCACGCAATCCTTGCGCCTTGCTTGACATCTGGTCCGCCAGGACCTTCGGCCCGAACCCGTGGCCTCTCGAAATGCATCTTCGTCCTGCCTCGCCAAGCTACTTATGGAGAAAATGTCCTTAATCGTTGCCCCCGTCCGTCGAGAGGATTCTTTGAGAGGACGAACGCAGGGGTGTGAGGAAGTGGTCGACCAGTGGGAGAGGCGCTTTCTTGCAGCGCGGCCTTTCTTCGGCCTGACCGGTCCGGTCACTATGGTAAGTCAGCCGTCGTCAAGGGGGCAAAAGGGGAGGGGGAAGGGGAAGAGTGGGCGGGCGGGCGACTTCGGCGAAAAAATAAATAAGGCGCCGCAATGCCCCAGTCGTTAACAGCCAATCAGATCAGAAAAATGGGCCGGAATGGGATTAGGGAGATGGAAACCGGATGTTGTTGAGCAAGTGGTCGTGGGCGCTGAGGAGCGGACCGCGAGCTTGTTTCACTTTCTCCCCTCCGTGCGGTCGTCGACGGTGATGATGATGAGGAGGAGGTACGCTCGTCGTGCGAGTTCACTGTCCTTCCCTTTTGGGGAGGAGCGGAGAATTACAAGAAGGCTCTCACTGTCGATGCAGGGTAAGTGCGTAAGAGCCCTGTGCTTTGATCCAAACGGCGAACGGCCCTGGCTTCCCCGTCGCGAAAGTTGTCCGCTGAAGCGTGTTCGAATGCCCCGCGGTCGAGCCGCTTGACGAGAAGGTCGTCGTTACCTGCTTCGATGATGATAAGGGTGGTTGAAGGTTGTTGGATGGTGAGGTGGGCTACTTCTTTCGAACGAGGGCAGCGCAGCCCAACAGCCTGGTGTGGTACGATCTCGTCCGTCGGTCCTTTCCCCTCGAGCCACAAAAGCCCAGTTCAGGATCGATGCGTTGGTAGAAGAACGGGGGTGCGGGCTTTTCCAAAAGGGCGAAGAACCAAGACAGCCCTCCTGCCCCGTCAGGCAAATGCAGGGCGGGGGGATCACGTCGCCTCGGGGCCTCCTCCCCGTTCATGTACCAGTTGCTTGATTAGCGTCACTTATCAGCGGTCTCTATTTCAAACCGTTGCTTCTCAAAAAGCCCGTTAAAATAAGCAAAGCCGGGGTCGACGTGCCGTTTCTGACTTGCAACTTCCCATTTCGTCATTCAAATCCAGTCCTTTATCCCCTCATCTCTGTTCACAATCCCTACTCTACACAGCTGTTGTGCAAACAGCAGTAGCCACAAGAATGGTAAGGGCGATGGCTGCGCACAATTTTAAAGAAGGAGCACTGACTCTCAACAGAAAGTAAAATAAAAATGAAAAAGCCGAGAGCGTCTGGCCTGGCCTCTCTTCATGCAGCGAGAGGTTCATTTCAAAAGTGTCGAAAAGATTAGCGCGCGTACCTCCGTTCCTGAGAGGTCTAGGCCCAGGAAGATAGACCCCTTTGGCTTTTTACCCCCCTGCCTGCCTTTCAGTAGGATTTTCCCCTTCCTCGCCCGGTATCGACGCGGATCAGCTCAGCTCGCTTCCGTCGAATGGCAAGCGCCACCAGTGTGAGCGGCTGACTGACGTGACATTGATGGCCAGGTTTGACTCCCGGCAAGCCACCGTGGGAATCGATCGGCAGAGTGGCATTCCTATGGCGACATGGCTCTGTTGGCTCTGTGGCATGCTCCTTGTAGCCTCGTCTCTCTTCGTTCAGGAAGAGGTGGACCGGGTATGGTAGATATGCTAAGATGCTCTCACTGAAGCCCCCATTAGAGCGGCGCTGCAGTTGTAATTGTGATTGTTATTACAGACGGCGACCGACCGGTTCTCTGGAAGGAAGACCGCGGTGAAGACGCCGGTGACTTACTATTCTGTCACATGTCAGATTTTTGCTCTCGCACGGACTCCTTTGCACGCGTCAAGTCATCCGTCACCTGCAAGTTCATTACCAAGCGTGGAGGTTGTCAGAATCCATCCCCATCCAATGCCGGCCTCGAAGAGGTCGAACAGCTCGACGCCTCACTCGACGCCTTCGAAACAGCCTCGTCTTTCCGCCTTTTTCAGTCCTTCATCTCTCTCCAAAAAGGGCAAAGCTACCTTTGACGACTTCGACTATGGCGCGGAAGAAGACGCAAAGACGGACGAGGAGCGGAGGAGGCAGGAGCAGGACGACGAGCAGCTAGCCCGGAAACTGCAGCGAGAGTGGGATGCTCCGCCTCTCGATGAAGCCCTGAGCAACGCTAAAGTGAAGGAGGAGGCTTCGGCGGACGCTGACGGAATGGCAGGACCGTCGAATCTCACCGCTCCACCTGACGAGTGGGAGACGAAGCCTCCGGCAGTCCCAAAACTAGCAGTGGTGGACCTCGATGCTCTCGATGCCGCCATCGAAGCCATTGAGCTCGGCGACGATATATTCTCTTTTGATCCTCTGGAGGTGGACACGACCCATTGGCCCACCAATGCACAAGGAAGGATTACGGCTCCCTATGCGCTTCTATCGCATGCCTTTGCGCTCCTCAGCTCAACGCGCAGTCGTCTGCTCATCGTCACAATCCTCACCAATCTCCTTCGTGTGCTCATGCTGCACGACTCTGAGTCTCTCCTTCCCGCCGTCTACCTCGTCAGCAACCACATTGCGCCTCCTTATGACGGCATCGAGCTAGGGCTGGGGGGCGCCATTGTCAATCGGGCAATCCGGGACGTGACCGGAAAAACGGCCGGTCATCTCCGAGTGCTCTGGAACAAGACTGGTGATCCGGGGGATGTCGCGTATGAAGCCAAGAAAGACGTCAAGACTCTCGTCGGGAACCGGAAACCATTGGAAATCGTGAAGCTGTTCCAGACGCTGCACACCATTGCACACATTTCGGGCCCAGGGTCCTCGGCAGCAAAGTTGTCCCATGTCACCAAGCTCCTCGTCGCGGCTAGGGGCGAAGAGAATCGCTTTCTTGTCAGGACGTTACATAGCCACCTCCGAATCAATGCGGTCAGGACGACCATCTCTGCCGCCATATCGCGCGCCTTTATGCTGGAGGCTCCCTCGAGTCACGAGACAGCGTGGAAATTGACTCGCGAGGAGCGCAGAGGCTTGCTTGCCAATCCAACGAAGGCGAAAGAGAAGACTGACCCAAGAAGACTCGAGCTGATGGAGAAGCTGGACCGTGCTCAGCGCCTCGTTCGGTGAGTCGATCGCCTCTCTATGTCTGCTCCTCTCTTTCACTTGCTGACTATAGGGTACTACAGCGAGGTGCGAGCGCGCCACCCGAACTTCAGCAGCATCGTTCCAGCTCTGGTCGAGGGAGGCTTGCAGGAGCTTTCCCAGAGAGTTCCTCTTCGCATTGGCACACCCCTCTCGCCGATGCTCGGGAGCATCACTCGCTCGCTCCCCGCCATGCACACCAAGCTTGGCTCCAGAGCCTTCGTCTCCGAGTTCAAATATGACGGCCAGCGCGTTCAGATCCACGCTGCCCACTATCCACGGAGCGAGCCGGGATATGTGGAGACAAAGAAGATGCTCAAAGGAGGTAAAGGCAGATGGGTTGGCGACCAGGGCGATGTCTTTGTCAGGCTCTTCAGTCGCCACTTGGAGGACATGACGGACAAGGTGAGGAGTTGCAAGTGATGCTCTCTATATACCGAAGAGAATGGGATCATTTACCAAGCCCATGCAGTATCCCGACATCGTCGATTTGATGCCGGTGTTGATGGGCCTCTCAGGCGAGATTGAGGAAGGGGATTCACCTTCAGCGAATTCTAACAAGCCACGATCATTCGTGATCGATGCCGAGGTCGTCGCCCTATCGCTAGAAGGCGCTCTGCTGCCCTTCCAGACGCTGGCCAACCGGTCTCGAAAAGATGTGGATCTATCTTCAATCAAGGTCCGCGTTGGCGTCTTTGCTTTCGACCTCATGTATCTCGACGGCCAAGGCCTGCTCAAGTCGTCTTTCCGACGAAGAAGACGACTGCTCAAGGAGAGGTTTCCCGAGACAAAGCCAAGGAACCCGCTCGTGGCGCGATTCTGCCACGTTAGGAGCTGCGAGAGTACCGACCCGGACGATGTCGAGAGGTTCTTTGCCGCAGCGAGAGAGAGCAAGTGCGAAGGGTGAGCTAAAACGTGGAACCTTTGCCGGGCCAGGTACGCTGACGCACGCTTGCTCCGTGGCAGTATCATGATTAAGTCGCTTGATCATCACTGGGAAATCGCCTCCTCGACAACCAATGGCCACGTAAAGCGAGACCGAGATGGCGACGAAGACGGAGGAGAGCCAGATGAGAGGTATTTGGAGAAGCTTGACGAAATCGTTGGTGAAGAGATGCAGCAGGAGGATCAAGATGGACCTGCGAATGACAACAGCACCAATTCTCTGGTTGGCAAGGGTGTCAACGGGAGGGGAAAGGCGCTCTTGAGCACGTATGAGCCAGACAAGCGGTGCGAGAGCTGGCTGAAGGTGATTGGCACTCCGCTCCGGGCAAGTTCAGGAAAATGCGCTGATCTATTCTAATGCAGGTCAAGAAGGACTACGTAGAAGGCATTGGCGATTCACTGGACCTTGTCCCCATCGGTGGTGCGTACCTTTGCATTCACATTGATGAGATGCAACACCACTCATACAAACTCCTTATAGGCTGGCACGGAATGGGCCGCAAAGCTGCCTGGTGGTCTCCGGTACTTTTGGCCGTATACGATAGCGAGACAGGTCAGTATCAGGCGGTCTGCAAGTGCATATCCGGCTTCACAGACGCAGAATACAAGAGCATCAAATTCGATCGGTGAGCCGCTTCTCTTACTACTTGTTCCTCGTCTTACCTTACTGAAATCGACGCTTCTGGCAGCTTTAAAGAAGACGGCATCTCTGCTTACTCGGGCCGCGAAGAACCAAATCCCCGAGATGAATACGAGACGGGCGGTCTCGTACCAGATGTCTGGTTCACTCCCAAGGAGGTGTGGGAAGTCAGAGGCGCCGACATCACGCTCTCGCCCGTCTACACGGCCTCATTGGGCCTTGTCTCGCAAGAGCGCGGGCTCAGCATGCGATTTCCGAGGTTTCTCAGGCGGAGAGAGGACAAGAGCGTGGAAGAGGCAAGCTCTCCGCGGCACTTGGCCAACCTGTACTTTGCGCAGAACAATGAGGCGGGGTCGAAAGCAGAAGCTGCACGTGCAGAGGCCAAGGACGACGATGTCGAGGGCGACGTCGAAGAGGAAGACGCTGTGGAAAGCATAAAGGAGGAAGAGGAATAAAACCAGCTCTGTCCCGTGTATAGTAATAACCCTTGCAATCATGCAATGATGGACAAAAGCTTCTTTTCTTCCGGATTGCCTAGTTGCTACATGATGCCAAAGGCGGAAATGCCATTTGCAAAGCCCACCTCGATCTGCCTCTTCATCGACCACAGCCAGAGGATGAAGAAGGCCGGGAAAGACACGAGAACGTTGAGGACTGCAAATATGTCGGGGTATCTCTGCAGGAGCCGGTCGAGCACGCCTGACGTAGATGGAGACGAGAGGAGAATGGGAAAGACGACGAGCTCGAGAAGATGGAGAGAGAGCATGGCAGCATGCAGGACGGCGCCGAACCAGCCAACAAACGTCTTGCGCGGCCCGTATAGACCAGAGAACGGTCGATGCCCCACGATCCAGTTCCACAGGGCGAGCAGCACAAAGTACTGGCTTGCAAGCCCATCTCTCTCAAGGAGGGAAAACATGCTGAAGGCGCCCACGTTGTTGCCCAGCATGGCCCACTCGAAGTCTTCCTTGCCGGCGCCGGCGCCCCATCCGTCGCCCTTTGCCGAAATGAGGAGCGAAAGAGGCAACAGGGGCAGCAAGATGCTCTTTTCGTGCGTCTGGAAACCAAAGAGGAAGAAGGCGAGGCTGACGCTCAGAAGCGCATACGGCAAGATGCAGGCGGCTGGCGAGGGCGATGATGAAGCGACTGGCTTGCTGTTTCCCAGGACCGACGTGGTTCGGTCGACGACTGTCATCTCAGACGAAGGTCTCTCCGCGTCTCGGCCGCCGCCGCCGCCGCCGCCGCCGCCGCCGCCGCCGCTTAAGACACTTGCGATCTCGCTGCCGACTTCCGAGGGGGCAGCGTTGGACATTGTTCTCCCCTTTGCGCCGTCTCTTCTCCGCCTCGCTGTTGTGGACCCAGCTGTTGTCGAAGCAGAAGCTTGCCTCCTTTCCGACGCATCCCTTAGCTTCTGCGCATCCTCATTCAGCGACATCTCTATCCTAGCCGTCTCGGCGCCAGCTGCAAAGAGGTGAAAGCAAGGTGTAAGAATGACCACGAGGACCGTCGCAAGGCTGACTTTGGCCAGGGTGCTGGCCTCGACGGCATTCTTGAGCTTGTAGCGCGCAGGGATTGGTAGCACGGAGAGGAAGCACCACAAGTTGGCTACCTTGTCTTCAAAGATGCCTCTGGCCAATGGGAAAATTCGGTGGATGACCTGGCCTAGCTGTTCCAGATCGGTGATCCAGGAGCGAAAGACGGTAACGAATGTGATGATAGTGGCCAGACCGATGCCAAAGAGGCAGATTAGACTATTAAAAAACATGTCAGCTCTATCTCTTGTACCTCTTCTGCGCAGCAAAGGTCCTCGACTCACCCTCGTTCAAAGCCAATCGTGGCTAGACCCCAACACCGTCCAAGCATGATCGCAAAGACGGCCGGAGCGTAGTACAGGGCCATCTGCTTGAAACACAAGCTGAGGGAAAAGAAGACGGCGGCGGCAATGTACTCGTAGCTGACGCGCTTGCTCAGGCTCCTCGTCTTGTTCTTGAGATCGATCAAGGCTGATGCTGGCGATTTGGAAGAGGATGCAATGTCGGGATTGGGCAAGCTCGTGTAAAGAAGCGCAAACGACAGTGCAGCCAAGCCGAGCATGACGGCGTTGTATTGAAAGTGACCATGGTCGATGAGGATTAGTGAGGGTTGGAGGAGGAGCGTGAAGGTCGCTACGGCCTTGGTGCGTCGACCCCTTCCTTGCAGCTTTCTCGAAAGGAAGAAGAGAATCGCTGGGGTATATACGAGGAGATCAAGGAAGAGTACCGTGGAGCGAAGGTAAGTGATGAGCGCGGGCGATTCGGCACCACGAGACGAGACGAGGGCAAAAGAAGGTGCCAATCCTGGAATCAAGGATGCGCTGTTAATTGGTGAGAAGAAGGAAGAGTTAGACAAGAAGACAAGGAGCCTTTACGCAAAAAAGACGAGCAACACTCACACTTGACCACACCACTGGCTGACAAGGGCAGTGAGCGGGGGGTAATCGAGACCCCAATATTGCAGATCATAAAAGTACCACTGAGACCTCGGAAGGTGTAGCGTAATTTCGATCCAGTGTCGTTGGGCTTCGAGGTCGCCATGGAGAGGTGGCGAGCCTTTGCCGCTCCAGCTGCCCAGACCGGTGCCCCACTTGACGAAAACGCTCGCCAGAATGGCCACGGTCCACACTGTAGTCGAGCCACCAACGCCTATGCCAACGCCTGTGCTGCCCTGCTGCCCCGTGTCCTCGTCCTCGCCTATGAGCATGAGCCAGCGGACGAATCTTCGCAGGGGAGTTGAAGCGTCTTCTTCGTCGCCTTGCCGCCGTCGCTGAGGCTGTGCGAGCCTGGACTCGGCGGAAAGTGGTCTTTGGACCCTCTTGCCAGGCTGTGCTGAGGTGGCCGTCGTAGAAGAAGCTGCAAAGGACGTCGAGGGAACGATTCCTATGGGCAGTGGAGGCAAGCCCGGCCCGCCCCAGCTACCGGAAGCGACCAGAGCATCGAGGCTGGTCTCTGGCGCTCGACTCGATCTCCTCACCCTTGGCCCTTCTCTTCGTGGGGCATAGCCCCCCGCACTGAAGCTCGATGACAGGCCTGTGCGGCTGCTCCGCGGCTTGAGCTCCGTCGAAAAGTGGCTCAATGCATCATCGTCTTCTTCCCGTAATGTGTTCACCCCTGTGATCCCCTCGCTGTGGCGGCCCTGCCTCGCCATGATAGTCGCGGTGTCGCCTCCATCGAGCGGGCCGAGGTCCCAAGCGGGCAGCCCGGTCCTTTGTCGACCACTGCTCTTTCCTCTGCTCCCATGCCTGTCGCCCCCCGTCGATCTGCCACCATTGGACCGGCCCGATTCTGACATTGCATCGATATTGTTGCTTGACTTCTGGACCCTGCCCGTCGGCGCAAACGAGGGAAACTGCTGTGTCGCCGTCGCGGATGAGGCGGCATCCTGAGCAGGCGGACCCGCCCTGGCTTGCGAACGCAGCCATGCCTCCAGGCCGCCGCTAGCAGCAGAGGTGACACCGCCCTGCGACGGCGGCAGCGGTGGCACCGTGTCATCATCTGGCCGTGTGTGATGCTGAACGTGGGGCGGCAATTGTGTCTGAAACCAATGTTCTCGTTCGTGGGCGAGGCCCCGTTGTGCACGGTATTGCTGCGAGGGCCTCGTTGTCTGGACGCGCGCGGGTGCCACGCTCGATCCGACGCTCGATTGCGACTGGGTCCGCTGCCTTGGTCGACTCCCACTTGCCATTTTGCTTTCGCTTTCTCGACAGTGAATCCACTGCCGCTTCTACTGCTGCTGCTGCTGCTGCTGCTGCTGGATCAGAAAGAGAGAGGTGTTGAGGATTTACTTCGTGTTTGAAATCAAGACGCGTTTTCTTCTTCTCAACTGCTCCCCGGCTCCACAGCGACCGGTTCAGAAGACAATCGGTTGGTCAATGGATGGCACGCTTGACATTGGCGGCTTCCATGTCATCTGCCGCTTTTCTCAGCTATCAACAGGTTTTCTTATATTTTGGCGCAGCTGCAGCTACGGACTGTACAAGAGCTTAATGACAATACACCTCCAAGCGAAAAGCTGAAGTGGTCTAGCTTCCCACATCAATCAGGCCAACGGGATGTCGGGCGGAGGCGCCGCCGTGGCTTTCCAGCCTGAGCGCAAGCCGGCAAACGCTGCAATGGTTCCAAAAAGACCCACCCACGCTTCGTTGAAGAGGCCGGCAGGGCAAGACCTGTTGCGCGGCGGAAGGGGGATCCGTTCAGCGCACTATACAAAAGGGCAAGCGCATCAACAAAACTCACCAGTGTACTGTGAGTGGCAGGTAGCCCAGGTTGACCCAGAGCTCGTTGAGGATGGCCTCCTTTCGATCATCGAGATCATCCCACATCTTCCTCGTCACAATCTGGTCCTGGCTCAGCTCCTTCTCCGACGACTTCTTGCCCTTGCTGACCGTGCTGCTAGGCAGAGGCGACGGGTGTCCTCTCGTCTTCTCCAGGGCGCGTGCGCGCAAGCGAAGCAACCGGTTGTCTTCGACGAGGTGAAGAAGCTGAAGTCCGACGTACAGTGCCCAGGCTCTCGCACTGGTGAGCCACAGCTTGTTCTGCGTAGAGGGCGACAAGGAGATGACGGAGTGCGATGACAGATAGGCAACGGCCTCGAGCGGGCAGTAGAGCAGCATTGACCATCCCTGGATTCGCTCAATGTTGTGCAGGAGCCTCGTTGGAGGGGGTGATCGTTCCAATGCGATCATCTGCGAGGAGCTTGAGTCAGCCGCTGTCTCCAATCCTCCCCAACTCTCTACCCCATGGGATGACGGGTTGCTTACCCATTTGATGATAGGCAATATGCCCCAGATGCGATAAAGTACTCTAGCATCCGAGACGATGCCTGCGAGCTTCTCGACCTTCTTTGCAACGTTGCTCCCCCCATGCACAGCGTGGTAGCCTTTCGTACCATGGCGCAGCCTAATGCGTAGGGCGTGTTGCAGCGACAAGAGAGCAATGAGAAGCTTGGAAGAGTACTGCGTGATCATGAGCGCCTGTCGATGACAACGAGACTGTCAGCCTGAATTCAACCTAGCCTTAGACCACGCTCAGGACCGTGTCTCAGCTCAGTTACCTTGTCAGTGCCGCTCCACGTTGAGAGATAGCGGACGAGGTGATCGAGCGCCGGGCTCGGTTCGACATTGGAGAAGCAGCCAAGGTAGCGGTCGGTGGGGTTCCTCTTCCGCGCCGGCCTTGCCACGCCAGCTCCACCCCTTGCAACGCTCATGATCTACTTGGTCGAATCAAGGTGATGTGTTCTTGTTCTCTCTGATACCCCAAAGGCAGGAGCCAGGAGGCAAAGGCGGTACGGACTGTCCGATCCTCGTTCGTCGCCTTTCAAATTGAAAAAGGCGCTCCAGACTTTCCCGGGGACCGGAGGCATCGATCGTTAGTTCGCTCTTGGAAAATCCACGTGGCTCATTGGTGGTTTGGGGGTCAGCCCCCTGCGAAGGAAATCGGGACTTCGAGATCCGGGGCAGATGGGCGTACAGATGCACATTGCGGGCTACGTATGATCGAAGACCAAGCTTTGATGTAAATAGAGGATTCGAACGAGATCCGGGTTCACTCGATTGCAGGCCTCGTAAGCCAAAGAAGGAAGTCTGTTCCGACAGGGCTGTTGTCACTCTGTTATACGAAGCGTCTGTGAAGGAAGATTGGTCGTCCACTTCCAATCCCAGCGAGTTAGTCCGTAGAAGCAACTTCTTTCTTCTCTTCTGACAACAATATTGGCAAACTTTATCTTGTCCGCTCTGCTCCATGGACACAAACAACTTCCGACTATTGGACCGACTTGATCTCTAGCGGATCCGAGATGGTAGATGACATCGGAGGTGCGCTCTCTCCGCCGCACTCGGGAGCGAGCATTCTTCTTTCGCTCTTCGTCTCGATTCTCGAACCCCCGCACGGTATGCATGCCCTTCTCACAGTTTTCATGCTGATTGGCTTCAGAACTCCCACGACCTCGGTGTCGCATCCTCATTCCCCTACAAGCAGATCCCGTTAGCTGAGCACTGCTGACTAGAACCAATTAATGGATCCAATTTCGCGTGTTGCAAGGCAGCCTAGCTGAAACAAACAAGACCAGAATTCCAGTCTAAGAGACGCACAGTTGGCCGTGCGTGTTTGCTACTACTAACCGAAGAAGTCAAGCGTTTCCGTTATATCGATTTCGCCCAGTCCGCCGCAGATCTGTTTGAATTTTCTTGCGCTAAGGAAACTCTGCGAAACCGCACTGGGGTGTGGTGGGTAGCTAGTAGGTAGGGCTAGCTGGGAACAAGCATTGTCCCGGACTGGCACCGGAGCAAGTTTTGGTCGCTGGTGCACGGACACTAGTCAATATTAGCTTTAATCGTGCAGGTTGTAGCTCGCCAAAGGTGCGGCCATGATAGGACAGCCCCGGAGATCAACTACTGGACAACCTTCCCGAAATGGGTTTGGGCTCAAATCGAGGATGGCGTGAAGGCACAGCGCTACAATCGCATCTTCTTCGCTAATCAAGATACCCTTGGAACCATCCCCTCCCCAGCTCTCATTCATGCCTTCTTCCCCTCACTACCTTCAACGTATGCTATCTTGCTCAAGATGATGCTGACGACCCTCGTCAAGCGGTTCCCGCTTCACCCTCCAGAGATTGCTGAGTTGGAATTACCGGACTTCAACTCCTATGCGGCGCCCACTGCAGAGATTCGCCGATTCGTGAGTATGGCTAGCCAAGAAGCAGGAGGTGTTGCGAGCCATGCTGATGGTCGATCCTCAGATGCGATCATTCATCTATCTCCATATGCCCGACTATTTCTACCGGTTGTCCTACTTCTGGATTCCTTTCATCGCCATCATCTTTCTGCTCGCCTTTGCGACGTTGATGCGCAGAATCTACCTCGGACAGCTATGGGTACTACGAATGCAAACGGCGCCGAACGGTCAGATCTTTTTCGCCCCGCACACCATCAATGCCTTTGTTGTCAGTCCAAGATGTTGAGAGAGATATTGGACCAAAATTGACTCCCTCTGCCCGCGCAGGTCTTCGACATCTTCTATGCCGGCGGTTGTGTGTTTTTCCTGGTGAATAATGAGACCAAGATACAGCTCGATCTCGCATTCTGACCGTGTGCTCCTCCTCATTCTCAGGTTCACATGATTCTCATGTTCCGCTTCAACTACAACCCGATTTGGCTGCCCTACTGGCTCTCGTGAGTGCCCTCTGTTCGCCGCTTCCACATCACCCCGCTCACACCAAAAAGCAGCTTTCTTTGGCTTGCCGTCGCGACGGCTGGATGGTATTCTGCCTGGGGCGTCTTCTACACTTCACCGTCAATCTTTTCCCTTCGCAATCGTGCCAAGAGCTTCTGGGACCCCCGCTGGTGGATGCCCACACCATTCATCAGCAACATCATCATGTTCGTTGGCCCTCTCGTCTTGATCGCTCTGGTCGTCGGCATCTCGATCCCATGGCTCAAGTACTACGGAGAGAGCACCCATATGTTGCAAAGCTGGGACAAAGCCTTCGGGATGCAGCAAGACGACGCAGCCATCACAGCCGAACAGCGGGCAGGGGCACTGGTCATCTGGGAGCATTTTGAGTTGTGCTTCTGGTGGGGATCCATCGTCTTCCTCATTTGGTGCCTCTTCGCATGGCTATTTGGTCTATTTTACTTTTGTTCCGGTCTCTTCCTTATCAGGTACGTAATTCTTGAGCTGGCTATCTGTCCCATGCACCAACTCTAACAGCTTTTCTGCGCTATGATCTGCAGGACAATCCTGTCTCAGATCAACATACAGAAAACGTTGGGCACCGACGCCATCAGAGCGCAGGCTGCAGCGGATGTTGTCGGCCCGAAACCCCTATGGACGACGACAAAGACTGCTGTCGACGACGAACTCAAGGTTGCTAGCCCAGGCTTACACGAGGGAAGTCCTAACGACAGAAGGGAGAGTGCCTCGACAAGGGACACCTTACGCGTAGATGGGCCGGAAGCCGACGAAAGAAAGTCGCTGGCCAAGGCCGAGGCTGAGCGGAGGAGGACAGCGGCTCTTCAGGCAAGGACGCTCCTCGACGACGAGGCTGCGGCCATTGCTACGTCGCACTTTTTCCCAAGCCTGCGTGCCGACGTTGCCACTCGTGAGGAATTGGCCCAGCGGAGCTCCGACACAAAGGTCAAGCTGTTGCAAAAGGCCTTGCACAATCTCGCATGGATGTGGGGCGGCGTTATCGTTGCCATCATCATTCTGGCTGCCTGCGCTACCGTGGCCGCGGTCGCCTTCGTTCCACGGTCGGTAAAAGGGCCCCAAGCATGGAACGACTTGTTGTTCGGCCTCGTTCAGGCAATCCAGTGGCTCAACTGTGTCTGCGGCATCATCATCTTCATTCTCATTGCCACCCAAGCCTTTGAGCCTGTCATTGAAGGGCTGCGACGCAGCAATGCAAACGACGACGACTTGGAATCAAGAGGCCTCTCGTCGCACCGACCCGGTTCCCTCTCCTCGTACTACCCACATGCCCTTCGTCGCCTGTGGAAACGTCCAGGCAGTGGCTCATCGCCACGTTCAGGGGTCACCTCGGCGATATCAGCGACAAGGATGACATCGTTCTTCGAGACTCGGACGAAGCCACAACACAATGCTCGCACATCTGACCTCTCTGAAGATGCTGGCCCATTCAGCTACGCAGAGAGGCTGAGGCTGCAGAACCGTGAGGCTGAGCCTGAAGACGCTCTCACCACGATCGGTTACGCGTCCTCCATTGGGGCAAATGAACTGGAACAAATTTGCGAAGAAGAAGAGGGTGTCCCGGGCCCTTCTCTGCAGCAGCTACAGCCGCAGCAGCCGTCACAGAGGCCATTCTCGCCAGTGGAGCAAGCTTCGACTGCTATGGAGACTGTCCAGCCTAGGAGGGGCCGCTTGACGTTCAACGTGTAGAATTTTTGAGCCGTTGTTCCTCTTCCCTATTCCCGTTTTTCCCCTCTGTTCTTTCTCACTCAGTCGCGATGTAGGCAGATGGCGTCCCGCCTTGCGTTCCACTGTTGAAGCTGTACCAATTTTGTACTTGTTTTTTTACTTGTTACTAAAGCTACGTAACAATGATGAAGATGGCGCCGATGACGACGACGATGATGGCTCCGATGATGATATAGCGGTTACTTCGAACACTGATGTCGATCACGAGGCCACTTTAAAAAGTTTTACCGCCTTGGGTTCTCTTCCCCAGACTAAAAGTGGGATTAGTTTCATTCTTCTTGTGGGTGTGGAGAAAGAGGCCGTGGCAGCACCTCTGTCTACATATATCTTTCTGATCAGACCCTCGATCAGACCCTTTCTGCATGCAATACTGAAGCAATCGCTGCATGCACTACAACTAGATAAGAACGTGTGGGTCAGGCTTCTAATGACTCCTCGGTATCGGAGCGTTAGTACAAGGGTGACTCTGCTCCCCAATCTAGACTTGCGTGATCCAGCAAGGCAAAGGAAGAAGGAGTGGGGGGCCTAGAAATCGACGCGGGGTGTTGTAAAAGCGAGGAAGGGACGGACGGTGGGATGGCGCGTGCATTTTAGGGCTCCCCTTCAACTTCATTATTATTGCTATCCCTTCCACTGCACTACTACTACTACTCTGCCACTTCTTCTTGCTCCCACATCGACACTTGATTCCACCAGAAGGATGGGCAAAACGGAGAGGGAGCTCATCGGCTCCATCGATGCCGGTGAGAAAGAGGCTTGTTTGGCTGAGGATCCAGACAGGGCAGGATGAACTGACCCTATCTGCACTTGGTCCAGGGACCACGTCTGTTCGTTTCATGATCTTTAATCAGTTTGCGGAAGTCGAGGCATGGTGCGGCAAGGAGTTCACGCAGTACTTTGAGAAGCCTGGATGGCAGGACCAGGATCCCCACGAGATTATCGACCGCGTCAACGAGTGCATCGAACAGGCAGTCGAGGAGCTGGAGGCAAAGGGAGACTACAAGCGGGAGGACATCAAGGTGATCGGCGTCACCAACCAACGCGAGACGACAGTCGTCTGGGACAAGGACACAGGGAAAGCACTGCACAGGGCCATCGCCTGGCCCGATGCAAGAACCACGCCAACGGTTAACGAGCTGGCCAAGAAGCATCCTAAAGGTCTTCACGCTCTGAAGGAAGAGACGGGCCTTCCACTCTGTGAGCAGTTTCAATCTAGGCTGATAAGTGTCGATACTGACCGAGCCCCGTTCGACAAGCCACCTACTTTGCTGCGGTCAAGCTCCGATGGCTGCTTGACAATGTTCCCGAGGTGAAGAAGGCCCATGACGAGAAGCAAATGAAATTCGGCACAATCGACTCGTGGCTCCTTTACAACCTTACTGGCCGGGCAGTCCACATCACTGATGCCTCCAATGCTTCAAGGACAATGCTCATGGACCTACGCAAGCAGGCCTGGGATCCAAAGCTATGCGAATTCTTTGGCGTGGATCCAGACATTCTCCCAGAGATCAAGAGCTCGTGCGAGATCTACGGGACCATCGCAAGTGGTCCTTTGAAGGGTGTCGAAATCGCCGGCATCGTCGGGGACCAAATGGCCGCACTTATTGGGCAAAAGGCCCTTAATCCAGGGGAGGCAAAGAACACTTATGGTGAGTGAAAGACGCGCAAGGTTCCTGAAGATGGCCACTACCGTCTTCAATTTGCTCACTCTTATCCACTCTTATCATTTAGGCACTGGCGCCTTTCTATTGTACAACACGGGGAACAAGATCGTCAACTCAGAACACGGCCTCCTCTCGACGATTGCGTACCAGCCAGGGCCTGGGCTCAAGCCTGTGTATGCGCTTGAAGGTTCTATCGCGGTTGCTGGCTCAGGTGAGCGTGCCAGCCGTTGAATAGAGTGTCTACAAGCAACATAGAAGCTCACAGTATCATGAACCATAGCCGTCAAGTGGCTTCGTGACAGCCTAGGACTGATCAAAGAGGCGCCCGAAATTGGCAAAGAGGCTGCCAAAGTCGAAGACTCTGCAGGCGTCTACTTTGTCACAGCCTTTGCAGGCCTGTTGTCGCCTGTGTGGGATTCCAACGCGCGCGGGACAATCATTGGCCTGACAGGTTTCACAACAAAGGCTCACATCTGCCGTGCCACACTCGAGGCCGTCTGCTATCAGACCGAGGCCGTGCTACATGCCATGGCGCAGGAGAGCGGCGTCAAGGTCAAAGAGCTCTGCGTCGATGGTGGCATGGTCGACTCGGACCAATGCATGCAGATCCAAGCCGACATCCTGGGCATCACCGTCTCGAGGCCCCAGATGCGAGAGTCGACGGCGTTGGGCTCGGCACTGCTTGCCGGCGCGGCTAAAGGCATGTTTGGATGGAAGATGGATGATGCAAAGACGTTTGACAGGGTCAATGCACAGAACAAGGACCACTTTAAGCCTAAGGTGGGCATCTCCCATTCTTTCTTCTATCGTTGACGGGAGGCTGACCCTACTCCACCATTTTTTTGTGACAGATCTCTGAAGAAAAACGCATGAAGATGATTAGAGGCTGGGCCAGGGCTGTAGAGCGCGCCAAGGGATGGGTAAAGGACGATGGGGCGATCTGACTGTTCTCAAGACGGAGGGGCGACCGAGAGAGTTTTTCTTTGCTTTTGCAAATATTGCGCCAGGCATCATACCACCCTTGCGCTTCGCACGCATGCATGTACAAAGGAAGATCGAGTGTGAAGTAGCTTGAGCTATATTTTAGTAAGGAATCGCAACATCCGATAGACGGCCTAGACATGGCTTGCAGAGGGGGACACAAGACTGAACAACGATCAATAACGGTTACTGGCCTGCGTCGTCTTTGCCTGGCCGAGAAGGGCCTTGGGTGCATCGCCCCTTCGCATATAGATCTCAACGAGCTGCAGCTTATCGGCCTTGTTGAACGCCTCATCGTTGAGAAGATCCTCGAGCTGCTTCTTCGTCTTGACGGCGTAATACTTGGTCTCGCTCGGTTTGATGTCGTGCTCGTGGCTCTCCTTGAAATTCTGTCGATCGCCTCCGACCGACGAATCCCTGAGCGGGTCTGCAAACGATTCGAGAAGCTTCTCGTGGTCCCACGTTGCCACATTGTTGTAGCTCCTCTGCGGGCCATGAATCTTGCGCTCGATCTCGTAGCCCTCGTTCGAGAGGACGAAGAGGATGGGTGTGAGACCCTCTCGGACCATCGTGCTAATCTCTTGCACAGTGAGCTGTAAAGAGCCATCGCCGACAAATAGCATGACGCGGCCAAGATTCTCCTCGCGTGATGCCAACGAGATGCCAAGGCACGCGCCCACAGACCAGCCGATGGAGCCCCACAGGATCTGGGCGTGGAACGAGGGAATCTTGGAGCCGGGCAGCCTAATGGCAAGCGAGCCAAACGCAGAAGTGCCCGTCTCCGCAATGATCTGGTCAGACGGCTTGAGGAACTGACCAATGCGAGGCCAGAGCCACTCCTGGCTGATCGCTTGACCATCTGGGCCTGCATTCTCGCCCTCTTCCTCTCGACTTGGAAGCCGATTTTCGTACTTGTTCAGCTGTTTCTTTGTCTCGGCAAGCCGCTTGGAAAGATCGCCGGAGATGGCCGAAGTTACCCTCGGGAGAATGTTCTTCATCGACACACCCTGGTAAGTGGCATGGCCGACCATGACGCGTGTCGAGTGAAACTCGATGGTGTTGCTTCGTGGTGTGCGATACGAGAAGTTGGCCGTCTTGGTATAAAAACAATGTCGAGGGGTAAGCGGATTGCAAATGACATAGACGTAAGGAGAAAAGACTCACATTGAAGTCGCTCAGCAGAGCTCCGAGGGAGATAATGAGGTCCGACGATTCGACGAGCTCCTTGATGGCTGGCTCCGTGTTGGTGCCGACATAAATGCCTCCGAATTGGGGATGAGTCTCATCGATTGCACCCTTGCCCATGGGTGTGGAAAAGACCGGAAGGCCGCTCTCATTGACGAGCTGATGGGCCTCCTGAAGGCAGCCATGGCGGATGGTGCACGCGTCGACGAGAATGATGGGGTCCTTTGCTCGTTTGATGCGACTCACAACCTCTTCGAGGCACGCCTTTCCGGCATCTGCGTCGTCTGCCTCTTCGTCCAGAGATAACTTCTTCTCTAAAGAGCTGGCGGGCACCGTCATATTGACCAGGTCGGTCGGCAAGGAAATGTAGATGGGCCTCGCTTGCCTAAATCCCACAGTAAGTGCGCGATCGATAGCCGTCACTGCTCCCGTGGCATCATCTTTAAAGTCACCAAGGCGAACGCTTGCAATCGAGATTTTCCTTGACATCTCCTCAAATGCATCGAACCTGCCATCGCCGAGGGTGTGATGGAGTAGTGCATGGTCGCCCTGCGCCGATGTTGACGGAGTGCCGACGATGTGGACGACAGGCAACCTCTCCGCAAAGCACCCGGCGATGCCGTTGAGGGCGCTCAGCTCGCCCACGCCAAACGTGGTGACCACCACGCCGACCTTTCCTCTTCCCGTCGTCGTGGTCTTGTCCAACCCGTTGTGGCCCGGAAAAGCGGTCCTCGCATATCCGTCCGCAGAGTAGGCAGCGTTGAGCTCGTTTGCGTTGCCGCACCAGCGCACCTGCGGGTGATCCTCGATCTGGTCTAGGAAGCCCATGTTGTAGTCGCCGGGCACGCCTTGGATGGTCTTGGCGCCCAGCTCGGCCAGACGCGAGAGGAGAAAGTTCCCCAGGTGCATCTCTTTTCCTTGCGACATCTTCTTCCGTATGATTTGACTATGGTCGTCCACCCTTTGTGCGTCGTGAGAGGAGATTCTGTACTGTTTCTTCCTCCCTGCGAACCCAACCGGCCCGCCGGATCTCAGAAGGTGGAGGTGGCTTGAGCGCTCGCTCACATCAGCCGCCCACGCGAGCAATCTCAAATGTTCTGTAGGTTGGTCTGAGACCCCTGAGCTAATTTGAGAAAGTCTTGTTCGAACGTCAGATTTCCAAAGGGCGCGTGATTGTTTTAGAAGCCTGCCGCGTTTCCCCCCACCGCCGTCACCACCAACAAAAGGCGGTCCGGTCTTCTTATCTGACATATCACTTTTCCCCAACTCCCCGACACGACCCTGTCATGACGTTTACGAAGAGCTGACGGACGACTTGTTTAATTCTATCTCATCACGAACGAACGACAAAGCCAACCTTAGCATACACACCGTGACACCACCTGATTTCTCACCGATACCCTTCCTCCTGATAAGACCACCATTACGACAACTACTACCACCACCGGCTGCGTACCCTCTGTGCTTGACGAAGCGACAACAAGCAACACAAGATGGGCACGACCGTGTCCCGCCCCATTTTTCATGCGATTGAAACGACGCTGCTGTCGCTCGCCGAGCTCGTCGATCGGGCGGTGCGGCAGGGCGAGAGATTCCTCTCGGACTTGCTTCGCCTTGTCTTTACCGGCTCCCGATCAAAGGCCGACAACATCGATGCGATGAGAGCATGCGACGACCAGACGGGCATCTGCTACGTGCCAGCCACGCGCGCACACGAGCTGGCAAAGGCTCGTTCGCGCGAGCGCCAGGACGAGATGAAGAAGCGCCGGAAGCAGCGCGCCGAATGGGCCGCGGCAGGGCTCGACGTGCGGAGAATGGAGCGCGAAGAGCGGGAAAAGAAGCGCGGAGGACCGACGCAGCAAGAGGCGGACAGCGATGCGGGCGAGAAAAGTGAAAAGGCGAGCCTCGCAGACGCAGCCACGACCCTCGGTGAGGTCGCGCGTGCACCCCCGCCCAGGCCAGAAGAGGCCCGGCAGACGGCAGCGGAAAAGGACAGAGGAAAACTCTGGATCATGGGCAACATGGCGCGAAGAAGCGCTATGTCCAAAGAGCAACCTGTCCCGATCAGCATCGATCATGAGAAGCAAGAGGAAGACACTCAAGAAAAGTCAAGGTATCGAGCAAAGACAATGCATGCGCTGGGCGGCGGCCGCCTGGAAGCCGTCCGCGAGGCCTCCTTTGGCCAAGGTCACGGTCATCGAGGTGTCAATGGGAGCGAGCATGGCGATGTCACCTATCAGATCCTCGCCACCTCTCATGACGCTCCGACTGACACCAATAGCAACAACCGGATGGATGCGCTCGTATCCGGCAAGAAGCGGAGGTCATCGGATCTGCTCGGCATGGGAAAGGCAAACGCTTCTCCGGCCGTGCTTGCACCTTCGCTCCCCGAGACAACAAAGCTTCCCAAACGGCACGGGCACTCCAAGTCACTCGATGTTGTGAATGCCGCTTCATCCTTTGCTCCTGTCCTTGTCGCTCCCAAGCCCCAGCGTACCTTGATGCGGCGTCATCTCAATTCTGTGCCCACGGCATCTCCAAATGCTCCCAAGCTGGCAACATTGACGACGACCCCATCGCAAGACCCGCATGATGAGCCAATCTCGCCCGTCTCTTCGTCATCTGCCACCCCTCTTGTCCGTCCCGTGGCGCGGCGAGCTAACTCGAACCGAGCAGCGAGCGGACCTGGGCCTTCTTCATCGACGGCACCTTCAGCTGCCACCTCGGCAGCGCGCCAAAAACGAGCGTCGCTAGATGTGGTCAAAGCCGCCAATGCTGCGATGTCCACGACGTCTCTGCCCATGCGAGCGCCGAGCCCGGCAACGAGCATGTCGGACACAAGCAGCATTCGCAAGTTTGCTCCCCCTTCGCGGTCCAACACCAGCACACCCGTCGCCGAACTGGCCGACCGAGCGTGCAGGAGCCGATGGGAGGCCAGCGCCAAGGAGCGCAAAGTGTGGAAGGGCGAGGTGGAGCGCATCACGCTTCAGCGCTTGAGCTTGCAGCAGACTAGTCAGCCAGCCGACGGGCAAGCTTCCCCAACACTGATCAGTCCGCCAACAAAGGAGAAAGTCGACAAGGAAAGGGAAAGGGACAAGAAGAAGAAACGAATGAGCCTCAATGACCATCTGGACCGCAAGTCCCACGGCATACCCGCTTCGCCGTCTCTCAAGGCGGCCTTTACGAAAGCAGAGGACAGTGGATTGCTGCGCCGTCGAATACGTTAATGATTGATACCCTACTTTCTTCTTCCCTCTTTTTCCTTGACAGAGAAGGCTGACAAGTCGCCTGTATTATCCTCTCTCACCCCTTTGGCCTCTTAGCTTGCTTCTCCTCTCTCCTTGAAATACCATTGCTTTGTCATTTCTTACACGTTCCGTCCCCTTTTGTCGTTTGGCGGAACTTTGCTGCCGCGCACCATAGCTTGCTGATCAGGGCTATTTGAGTGCTACTGACGACAATACCGACGAAGAGTGCTCAGACCTCATTCGCATCGGTGACGGCAGCGCTGCTCATCGACCCCGCACACCACAGGTTGCGCGCCAAAAAGACACTTGTATTCAATGGTCATGCATGATAGTGATTCGGTCCCTCGCCCGTGCAAGAACGTGGCTTCCTCCGATCAAGATCGATTGTCCAGTTGAGTCCGAGGCGTGCAGTTGAATTGTGCATATCCTAAATAATCACTTGTCTTTGCCAAGACCGTCGGCAAGAGGTCCTTTCTCCACAAGATCCACCAAATCTCAAAAATTTCAAATAGCCCATCGTCATGTGGCTTCGGAAACCCTCCTCTGATCGCGGCAAGGACCCCGACGGCAATTTGCAATGGTGCCCTAGCCTGACTCGCAGCAGATCTCGTTCTGAGAAGATTTGCATCGAGGGTATACTGCAATTTGGGAGGTTCTGCCAAGCTCGCTTACGGCATAGAACAGGAACGAAATTAATTCCCGGCGGTATGATCCTTGGCACCATTGGTTCATTGCCCCGTATCACGGCTGTCTGAAGTGAAAGAGAAACAAGGGTCTTCACGGTAGAGATCTCGGATTGTCGTATCCGTAGTTGGCGCATGTGTTTCTACCTTGACCGAGATCGACAATCGATCTCTTTCGCGCCCCATTCTTCCTTACAAGGCCTCCTGTCTGCTACATAGGACAACGATGAAGGGCAGCCTACGTCGTCCGAAGCTTCGAATTTGGCTTAGTGCCTTGATCTTGGTGATAACACTCACTTTGATCCTGGCTTATAGCTCCGTTGCCGGTCTAGTGAATCGAGGAGAGGCGGCGATCAGCGTGAGTAAGAGGGCCCGTCATATAAAGATCTTGGCTGACGATGTCAAACAGCTTGTCGCTACTTTTATTCTCTTTCCTTTGTCGGGAGCCGTGACATTGAACGTCGATGCTCAATTGGAAGAACAGCGAAGGAGGTTGAGCGATAAAGTCTCTGGTGTGGCTACGAACAAGTCGTCGCCGATCCCAGCAGAGATTCATCAAGTTAGGCTTGGTGGTCTCGAAATGCGGCCGACATGGACTGAGGCAAGACAGAGCTGCTTGGATCTGCATCCACACTGGATTTTCAGGCTATGGGAGGACAAGGAGGCCGATGCATTTGTCGCAAAGTATTACCCTGACCTCTTTGAGACTTATCGCGGTTACCCCTTAGGTGAGCCAGATGTTTTCCTTCCCTTCTCTTTCTGGGGAACTCACGATAAAGATTGGAAAAGAAATCCAACGGTCGAACGTCCTTCGATACCTCCTCCTTGAAACCTTTGGGGGCGTTTACCTCGACCTTGACCTCAAGTGCCTGGAGCCGCTTGACTTCATTCGTTCCGAGTATTTTGTCACGCCACCTGCAAACCCGACGGGCGTTAATAACGCCTTCATAGCTTCTTCAAAAAGTGAGTCTCCAAACCCTTCTTCTCCTCTGCTTGGAGGTAAAGGACAACGAGGAACTTATTATTATCGCGTACGCAGATCATCCCTTTTGGGCGCACCTCGTCGGGTCACTAAAACGCTACAATATGTCCTGGTTCGGCTCGCCATACATCACCAACATGTTCAGTACCGGTTGCCACTTCTTTTCGACGATGCACCGTACATTCCGACAGCACATGTGGGGCCAAAGAGACGACGGTGTCATGGCTTCCATGGTTGTTCTCGAGGCGAAACACAAGCTCAATGGGCATGTAGTCACACCCCTCTTCGAGCATCTCGGCGCTTCTTCGTGGCACAAGAGTGACGCTTCTATGGTCCTGCGCATCGGTCGAGGCGTCGAATGGCTCAAGAGCCACGTCGCGTCTGTCTCGGTCTTTGCCCTGATATTCGCGGCCCTCGGCATGGTCGGTTCCTTTGCTTGGGCCTTAAAGACAAAGAGAAAGAGAGCATTCGATCGAAGCCGCTCCGCAACGTCGAAAGATCAAGAGCAGGGTCTTATGGAAGAGCGTCGACATTTGTAAATACGTCTCGCATACCCAGCATCGCATGATTTTGGAATACATCGCATTATAATGAAGAAGTCAAGAGAACAAAACGGAAAACAAGAGTGACAAAGGGGCAGAATATACACGAGAGGGAGCTGATAAGGTATGTGATCAAAGGTCCTCGTCCGCTGGCGCCGTCGCCGCCCGTCTCTTTGGACCAAAGTGCTTCGAGATGGTCCTGGCCTGTTCGTCAAAGACGTACTCGTTTGCCCGGAAGAGCCTCGAACCAAGGAAGCTTCGTACATCAAAGACATTCTTCTCCTTTGCTCGCGTCTCGAGCTCCGAGACGGGCACCGTAATCGTCTGGCCCTCGACATCGTTGGGTCCGCCGCTGCGTCTTGCTGCCCGACCTGCGTGTGCGAAACGCATACGGTCCTTGATGATGCCGCCAAGAAGGAAGGCAAGGAGCTCATGCTGGTCTTTGTTCTGGTGCAGATACTTGCGGAAGCCCCTCTCGAGTGTCCGCTTCACGCTCATCTTCTGCGCGCTGACAAAGCTCTCGACAGTCGCTGCAATTGCGACGTCGATGTCGTCTCGTCGGACGTAGTCGCGGAGGTGCATCTTTGCGCTGGCTTCCGCCATACGGATCATGCTCTCCAGGTGACGGACAGTGATGGGATAGCTTCCCGTCGAGAGCGACTCCCTCCTCAGATCGGCGTAGAGCCTCGACATTCGGTCCTGGTCGATGCTGTTGAGCTTGGGTCGGACGTGAGCACGTGCGTACATGATGTACTTGCGCAGTGTGTCTTGATCAATGAGATCGGCGTCGAGCGACGTTGCGACGCGGTCCTCGTCGATAGCCTCGTCGAAGCGCGGGTGGCTGCGCGTGTGGCTTCCGACGACGAATCGCGCCAACATGTCGTCCTTGACCGGATCCACCGTGTCTTTGACGACGCACAGGACGTCGAATCGCGACAGAATGGGCTCCGTCAGCTCGACATTCTGAGAAAAGGGGATCGTCGGGTTGTAGCGCCCTCGAGTCGGATTGGCAGCGGCGAGAATCGCACATCGAGCCTGGAGCGTGGTGACGATGCCGGCCTTGGAGATCGAGATGCTCTGCTGCTCCATCGCTTCGTGGATCGAGGTGCGATCTGCGTCGTTCATCTTGTCAAATTCATCGATGAGGCAGAATCCTTTGTCAGCGAGAACCAGGGCACCTCCCTCCAGCGTCCATTCGTGCGTGATGGGGTCTTTTCGCACGCTGGCCGTGAGACCAACGGCGCTGGCTCCCTGACCAGTAGTAAAGATCGCTCGGCTTGCTGTCTTCTCGACATATTTGAGGAATTGCGACTTTGCCGTACCAGGATCACCGAGGAGCAGGACATTGATGTCACCTCGAAGCCGCAGCTTGCCTCCAATATCCTTAGGAACGCCTCCGAACAGACTCAGCGCAATGGCAGTCTTGACGTCGTCGTGGCCATAAATGCTGGGCGCAATGCTCTTCCGAATCCTCTGGCCAATGTTAGGCTCCTGGGCCAAGGCGCGAATCCTCCGCTCGTCTTCTTCTGTCAGGCGAAAAGCAGCGTAGGCATCGTCATGCTTGAAGATATGGTTGGCTTCGAGGACGGTGGCGAAGACGGGGAAGCCATTCTTTGTGTTTAGCGATGCGTCGAAGCCATTTCGATAAACGCCCGTGACTTCGATCTCTTCACCAGGCTTAGCCGAGTCGATGAGGTCCCAGAGCAGGATCACCTCGCGATGGCGAGGCAATCTGCCGGGAGGAACACTACCAGGCGACTCCTGCAGCGTCATCTTCTGATAGTTGCGGTAGATAGTCTTCTCGGTGTTGACTCTGAAGGGACCACGCTTCTGGCAATTGGAACAGAAGTTGATCTTGACCTCTTCGTTGGAGTTCTGAGTGTAGGGACCAAGAATCTCCCCACAGCTCAGGCAGTCAAAGTGGACATGCTTGAGCTGGGGAAAGACACCAGTGCGACGCGTCACGACGCCGCTGACACGGACCAGAGAGTTGAGGTGACCCTGTCGAAGATCGCGTAGCGAAGACGTGGTGGGCAGCTCGGCAATGCGCACGTGGATATCGCTGTGGATACGGTCGTACGAGGGGTAGTAAAGGAGGATGACATCAAAGGCGACGTCGTCAAAAATTGGGAGAATGGCCATGGGGCTGTTTGCCAAGAAGTAGGCCAGTTGGGCCTTGGCCTCGACGAGGTGCAAGAACGACACATCGAGCGACTCAGAGTTGAGCTCACCCAACGTCTTAATTCTGTCGGAGTAAACACTGTTACCGGCCTCGTCGATGTAGGTGACGAGGAAGTTTCTGAACTCCTTTGCGATCGTTCGCCGCACGCTCTCGATTGCCACCCAGCTCTCGATGCTGTCGGTCTTGATGTCGTTGAGCTGCTCCAAGGGAATGTCGATCTCAGCGGCCTCATCGTCGTCTGGGCGCTCGTCGTAGTGACGACGGCGGCGACGGCCAACGATGCCAGCATCGCTGTCTTCGTCATCGGACTGCATAAAGGCAGGCGCACGCGATCGCTGGCCGAAGCGGCCTTTTCCTTCGGCTCGGTCGCGTCGCTGCATCTTAAGCTCAGCCATACGGCGAGTAGTGGCGTCCATTGAGGCAACCGAGGCATCATCATCGATGCCGAGCGCCTGATCATAGTTGTCGAGCGCGGGGTTGTGGGTATAGTCACTGCGTAAGGTGAGCGTCAGTCAACGTCCGCTTCCGACCTGCAAGTAGTTCATAGCTCACTCTTCCATTCCTTGGCCGAAAAGATCTTCGCCCTCGGCATCCTCTTCGTCATCGTACTCGTCTCCGAGCCTTCGAGCATCTCTGTCATCGTCTCGAACGCCTCGTTCCTCGTCGTCCTCATCGGGCAGGTCGCTGAATGCCATTGGCGGGCTCGAAGGAGGCAGACTCGAAGGTGGCGGACTGCTCCGGCCGCTCAGCGCGCCTGGGGTAGAGGCGGCAAGAGCAGCGGGTGTGCTGGCATCCATGGGCGTGAGGGCGCCTTCGACGTCATTGCGACTTGATCCGCCGCCGAGCGGGCCAGGCGAGACTGATCGCCTTCGCTTGCGCGACTGGTCCCCCGGGCTTGTCCTCTGTGATGGTGACGACGACTGTGGGGGAAGAGTGATTAGCTTCCCCCTGCCCTATCACTCTTGAACTCGTCCGACTCCTTTCCAAGTCGACTCACCATTCTGCAGCTTCTCTGTGGTGTTTCTGTCGTTCGACGGTGGGAGTCGCGTTGGGAAGGAGCAAAAAGGACCACGAAACGCTCTTTAGGTCGCGCTCGCGTCATGTACTTTACGCGTGCGTACAATTTGACGCGTCGCTGTTGTACTCACGTGGCGCGCGACTTTTCCACGGTCCGGCTTAGCAGACAGCCGTTGGCCGACATCTTGATTTTCCGACCAAGCTCCCCGCAAAACGGATAATCAAGAAGAGAGAAGTGCAGGGCGAGGCCAAGTGCTTGGAAGCGACTTGCTGGTCAATGCTACTCCGAAGGCTGCTTCTCCATACCTCGAGACACGTCCGACCAACAATGGCAAGCTCGAGAAGCAGCAGTGGCAGCAGTGGCAGCAGTGGCAGCAGTGGCAGCAGTGGCAGCACCGATACATTCGGCCCTCTCACCGGTCCGAAGGGAACATGGCCCAATGACGCCAAGACTGGACCAAAGGGCAAGCCCATGACGCCTGTCCCCTCGGCCTCGCTCATCGTATTGTGCCCCGTCTCGTCAAGAGGCCGGCAAGAATACGCCACGCTGACGGTGCAGCGGAGTGCGCGAGACGGATCTTCGTTTCGCTCTGCAATCGTCTTTCCCGGGGGTGTACTGGACCTCGCCGATGAGGACGCCATCAAGCGCCAGGCTGCTGGAAGCCTGTCGCCATGCACCAACACAGGAGCAAAGGACGAGGAGGATGCCGTGTACTGGCAATCGCTCCGCCTCTGTGCGCTGCGCGAGACATTTGAAGAGACGGGGCTCGTCTTGCTTGCTGCCGATGGACCCTCGCAAGGTCTTCCTCGAAGCAGAGCAGTAGGGCCTACCGAGGCAGGCATTGACAGGCAGGAGTGGGCGCGGATCAGAGAGGAGGCAAGTCTCGTCTCCTGATTTATTCTCACGGACATTTGCTGACACAGTCTCTCTGCACTCTAGGTTCACAACGATGCCAGGGCTTTCACACCTTTCCTTGCTCGTATTGCGTCGTCTCTCTCTGGAAGCGACGTCGAGTCACTGTTGCCGCCCCTCGCGCCCATGTACCACCACTCCAACTGGGTGACGTGAGTTCCTCCTATTTTCACGAAAGCCTTCTCTTTATCACCGCTGACTGAATCCACGCAGGCCTCGCTCCATCATCCGTCCCGCCAAGCGCTTCGATGCCCACTTCTTTCTCACCGTCCTCGACAAGGCCGATGTGCTGGGTCCCCTGACCTCATCGCCACAGGGTGCCGACAGCAGCAAGACCTCCAATCTGCTCAATCTGTCGGCAGACGGCACCGAGACACTCAGCCTGCGACTCGCGACGCCACAGGAGCTCGTCGATCTGGGCTGCAGCGACAAGGTCGTCATGTTCCCCCCTCAGTTCTATGTACGTCTTGTTTCTTTCTCCTCTCTTGCTCCATCGCTGGCTCACTCACCTTTCTCCTCGCTGCTTTCAGATCCTGTCGGACCTTGCAGCCTCTCTCCGTTCGCCCGATCCACTCGCATCTGTTCGCCCACTCATCTTCCGCCGGCCTGAGCAGTCCTCCCCAGCGTCTTCCTCGTCTTCTCCCGCCACGACCGTGGAGGAGGAGCCGCGGGGTCTGGGCGGCAAGAACTACAACTGGGATCGAATGCCTTCGAACCCGCCTGCGCTGAGCTGGGTGTCGGACAAGCTTCCACCCCTGTCTTCGTCGTCCAGTGGCCGACAGGACGAGGGTCGGCTCAGCGTGACGAGCGTCATGCCCCGCGCGCTGCCGGGAAGCGGCACCAATGTGAACCTGTCGAGCTTCAGCTGGCGCAAGGACGATGCCACCAACACGACGGAGGCAAGCGGCCGCGAACAGAAGAAGGACAACGAGGACGAGGAAGCAGAAGAGGAGGGCGAAGAGTCCTTTGTCTTTCCTCTGGTCCTTCCTGGCGACTTTCTTGCGTCCAAGCTCCAAAAGAGGGCCCTCTGGCCCCCGCAGGCTCCCTCGTCATCGACGACACAGAGCCAGGTGGAAGCCAAAGGAGATGTGCCCCTCAACAGGGTCTATGTCTCTCCCCGGTCCAAAAAGGACGGTGGGGGGCTCGTCATCATTGGCTCAGTCCGGCGCGGTCAAGCAGGGCTCATGGACTTTGAAGAGGGCAGGAAGCTCGATGTCATTGGAAACATTGAGGAGCTCGAAGAGGATGATGATGAAGAAGAAGACGACGAAGAGGAGGGAAGCCCTCGCTCCAAACTCTAGATTGTCATTCCGCTTTGCACATATAATGCTCCTCAATTTGAAAAGGGAATTTGCTCAGCCTACAATGTTGCTGGACTAGGCGAGGGATACGCTGAGCGGATCTTGGCCTTTCTTGATTGACTCCAGCGAAGGCATTCGGTCCGTGCGCATCAGCTCGGCGCTGTGCACCATGAGCGGGTCCACGCCCATGCTGAGGTGGCGATGGGGTAGTCAGTGTCTGCGAATTTCTACACCGGTCAAAGGCACTCACGTCGCCACAGCATTGACCTTGCCCTTTTTGGCATAGAAGGCGGCAAACTTGAGCTCCTCTGGCTTGCCATCTACGTAGCATTCGTCAAAGCCAGGCGGGTTGCCATCCGAGACGTAGCGAAGCTGGCTGCCGAGGGCGGACCAGAAGATGGGCAGCTTCTGGAAAGGCACCGGGCTGGCCTGCTTGGAAGCGAGCAGGGCACCAACCGATCGGCCATGGTTAGCTGCAACGTTCCAATGCTCGATGCGCACCGTGCCCGCCGAGGGATCGCGGGCAGGGACCGTGGCAATGTCGCCGCATGCAAACACGTCTTTGACGCCCTTGACACGGAGATGCTCGTCGACGGCAATGCTGCCGTCCTTGAGCAAGTCGGGGAAGCCGGGCGAGTCCTTCAGGAAGCTGGTCGCCGGAGCAACGCCGACACCCAGAACGACGATCTGCGCGTCGAGACTGACCTCTTGACCCTTCGAATCCTTGATGACGACCGACTTCACCGTACCTCCTTCTCCCTCAAGTCGCTCAACGCCAGCTTGATTGTAGAACTTGATGCCGTTGTTCTTGATCTGGGCATTCATGAGTCCCTCGCCGACCTCCTTGCCAAGCACTTTCTCAAAGGGAACCTCCTCCATGCCGATAACCTTGACGCTCTTTGCCTTTTTCTGTCCGGCCAAAGCCACGGCGACCTCCATGCCGATAAAAGAGGTGCCGACGACGACAACATCCTTGTCGCCCTTGTCTCCGGCTGCGCTGAGGACAGCGCCCACATCACCGACGCCGCGCAGCGTGAACACATTCTTCAGCTCGCCCTCCTTTGCGCCGGCGATGGGCAGCCGCTTGGCCTGACCGCCCGTAGCCAGGATGAGCGTGTCGTAGTCGACGGATTCAGAGCCAAAGTGTACCTTTTTGGCTTGCACATCGACCTTTGTCACGGCCGTGTCCTGCTTGAGGTCGACTTTGAGGACCGAGCCGAGGTGCGAGGGAGAACGCCAGACGACGGCGTCTGCGTCGCTCACGAGGCCCTTGGACAACTTGGTCCGGTCAATGGGTGCGTGCTTCTCCGCCGAGAGGATCGTGATCGGTCCAGTGTAGCCGTTCTGCAAGGGTTACGCTACTGTCAGCCCATCGCTTGAAGGGAACAATTAATTTTGGCGATTGCTCACCTTTCTGCTGCTCTCGGCGGCATTAATGGCTGCACTGCCTCCACCAACAATGACGAGGCCCTTGCCGCCCTTCTGTGTCGCCTTCTGACATGTGGGCGCCTGTCCTGGCTTGCCCTTGAGCTTCTCAGGATCTCCCTCAACGTAGACGTCGCCATTGGACTCGTCAATGTCGAGCTTGAGCGAAAGCAGGTTGTCGAGCGCAGGAGCATCCTCGATGTCGCCCGACTTGGCGTCGAAGCAGGCGCCGTGCCAAGGGCAGATGAGCTTGCCGGACCCGGTCAGGACACCGTTGGCCAGGGGAGCACCGTAGTGGGTGCACTTTGCAGACGTTGCATACATCTTGCCCGAGACGTTGGAAACGAGGCTGTTGTTCCCATCCCAGCAAGAAGAGGAGAAGAGGAGAAGGAGGATGTTGCTCAGCTAACCATCATGCGGTGTCGCGGAGAAGACTATTACACTTACACTTGGACCGCATCGTCGCCTTCACCGGCAAAGGTGTAGGCTTTGTGTTGGCCCGATTTGGGTGCAGATGAGGCATCGGCCACCTTGACGCGCTGGGACGGCATGCTGACAATTGACGTCGAATGGAGGGGTCTCGCAAACGGTGCTTGTCTGTTATGAGGAATCAGCAGCAGTCGGCGACGCACAGCCGAGAGCATCAAGAAGAGGAACGGAGGGCGGTGCAGATAAGTGAGGAAAGGGGGGCCGGGCGCGGAGCTCGGGGATAGGGCACGAGAGGCCATGCCATTCTACGCATTAGCAATCCAAACCCTAGTCTGCCGGTGCTCTGTCAGACTGCAGCAAGCGGACGGACGGACGACCCTTTCCATGGTGGAGCGCGCACGGACCTACTAGTCAGTCGATCCAAGGGAGACGCGACCATTTGTCAGCGCGACGAGGGCGATGGTCAAGTTGAGCCATGACACAGCTTCGTTACTCTGATCTTGTTCGCTACAGCGACAGCGTCACCGCTCTACAGTTCTGCTTTCGCAGGAACGATGCTTTCGTCCCACATGACTTACATTCTCGTAGGAGAAAGCAGGAAAGATGCGGCACCATAGGAAGAGGAGGGCGACACCGTATGAATAGGGGCGACGGGCATATGCAAGACAGCCTCTGAATATGTAGACCTCTCACAAGCAAAGATAGCCCTCCAGTGGCTATCTTTAGGTGATGTTGCTCTAATTAGTTCATCATTCACTCCTCTATCTATGTTGCTTTGTCTACTACAGGAGATGAGACTTGAACTCTAGGAATCGACCACACCTTCAGGGTCCCATCATCTGCTGCACTGGCCAATAGACCGCCCAGTGACATCACCGCGTCGTCGCCGTGCTCTGCCCCGCTGGTGCCCCGCTCAAGCCTGCTCCTCTGGTGCTCGTGCTCAATCTCCGACTCGCTCAGCTCCTTAATTTTGATCTTTGCCTCTTCCTCTTCCTCAATAAATGAGCGAAGCCGTTGGAGCTTTGTAGGGGCAAAGCAGACGCAATTGACATCGGCATCGCCATGTGCCTCGTATTGCCGGGCAATGAGTTCCACCTTGGGAGCGAGATCCACTTGCTGGTGGCCGCCCTTTTGCCCGCTTTGCATCGAGGCCTCGGAGTCGGAGAGCGAGACCTGGAATACGACAATTTGACCGTCGCCTCCGGCCGTGGCGATATTGCCCAGTGACGTGGAGAGACCTTCTTGCTGGTCTTCATCTAGACAGCTAATGCCGCCCCATGACACACTGTATATCGTTCGTGTATGCCAGCCTTTGATGATGCGCACACAGTGCCATCGATCTCCTTCCCTCCCTGGACCTTTTGGGTTCGCCTTGAGGCCCCTCTCCTCGGCCTGCGCTGCCGTCAGCCTGCGCCAGATGCGCACGGTGCAGTCGTCCGATGCGGAGGCCAGGAAGTTGCCACAGGGGGAAAAGGCCAGGCTCCAGACGGTTGCTTCGTGGCCCGTCAAGATTGTATAGCAGAACCAGTCGTCAGAGGGATCGTCGACGTACAGCCTGATGGTGTCATCGTACGACGCGGACGCGAGCAGCTCCTCTTTGGGATGCCAGGCCAGTGTCTTTACGTCTTGCGAGTGCTCCATCAGCACCGAGAGGCATTCGAATTCGGCCTGGCCTTGGACCTCCCACACCCAGACGGACTTGTCGCGAGAGCAGCTGGCCAGAAGACCGCCCGTGTAGCTGAAGCCGACGGCCTTGCATTCACTGTCGTGACCCTCGAGGGTCCCAATGCAGTCCCACTCTGCCCCGCCATCGTCCTTGTTTTCGGAACCCCTTGCCATCACTTCGTCTTCATCGTCATCATGCCGTGATTGTCCCCCACCAGCAGCGGCCATGACATCGGCGACTCGCTCCCAAATTCCGACGGTCGAATCAAACGATGCGGTGGCCAGTGATTTTCCCGACGGGTGCCAGGCCACATCCCGGACTGTCCTCCGGTGGCCCGTGGGAATCGTCTCCTTGAGCTCAAACGTGGGAGCGAGAGGTTTCTTGCTCTGTTCGCCTTTTTGACCAGCGTCGGCCATGTCGACGTCCGACGATGACGTCGGGTCAATCTTTGGGAAGCGATAGGAAAAGAGACGAACGTCCTTGTCTGAAGAGCACGAGGCTAGAATTGGCATCGTCGGATTCCACGCAAGCGACCACGCTCGGTCGCTGTGCCCGGCCAAACCCGTGACGAGCGTCAGACCGGGCGCGCCCGTGGACGGTTCAAATGAGGACGCAGCCATTTGGACTCGACGTGAAGATATCGCCTTGCCAGTGAGCGACAGTGAGTGGCTCAGGCGAAGCAGGCCGCGCAAGAATGAACCGAAAGCGGAGTTGGAGAGGAGGGCGACGAAGAGGCTTCAGGAGCTGCAGGATTGGCACAGGAAAATAAGAACAAGACTTTTTAAAGGTCAGAGGTGGAGTCTGAACGATTGAGGCACGTGAATTTTCAGAACGGCGCGCGCCCAAAACGACAACGCTGTAGAGGCTGTAAAGCTCACCTTCTCGCTCAGGCCACGGTGGGGGCGGGACCTGACGCATAAGCATCGACTACGAACCACGGCAGCGGCGCCAGAAAAGCAACAGACGCCATGTCGAATCTACTAGTGGAAGTTGAGCCCTCGCAGTCGTCCTTCTTTGCGGGTGAGGACTTCCACTGCATCATCACCTTTACCAACACCCTCGTCCCAACACCTCAGACCCAACCGCTCCCCTCGATACCCGCTTTCGGCAACGGTCAACAGCATCTCTACCCTGAAGATGGCTACAACGGCACCTCTTCACCCAGGAGAGCTGTCTCTTTCGCGGCACCGCAGGTCGAGAGCTCCCTGGGCGCAGCGGGTCCATCTTCCCACCTGGCGTCTTCGTCAATCTCGTCGAACTCCTCGAGTGGAGGAGCGTGGGGAGTCAAAGCTCATAACAAATCCAAGAGCGTCGATGTGAAGACATTTGCTCGTCAGAACCAGCTCGCTTCCACGTTTGATGAGGGGTCCCCTGAAGGCGAAGGTGGTGGAGATGAAGGGTACTATCGTCGCCAGAGAGCTGAGGCCGAGGAGGAGGAAGGTACACGGATGAATGAGGGAGACGAGGGTGCCGAATGGTGGTACACTCAACTGCCTCCGAGGAGAAGCCTCATCGGCAAGGCAAAGCCTCCGGAGGTGCCGATGGCAGCGCCAGCACCGGGACAGTCGACTCCTGGGAAGCGAAAGCATATGCGATCGAAGACCCTTCATACAAATATCGATCACAACGCGACGCCTGCAGGTCTAGGTATGGGCTATCCTCAGACTCCGACCTCGGCAGGTGCGAAAAATGGCCAACATCAACCCTCGCTGTATCATCGTCTCGATGCCATGGCCCTCGAGCAGCAACAGCAACAGTTGCAACAATCTCCCAGCGGATCGCCCCTCTCGTCGCGGCAACCCAGCTCTTCGTTGCGAAGACCGAGCAACCCCATCGCCGCCTCACATCCTCATGGCCGCAAAAAGTCAGTAGCCCAGGTCCAGGCCGAGGACCTTGTCGCGACATTTGAGCTTGACAAGCAATCTCAGCAACCTTCGCCCTCGGACGCTAATACGCCGACGCAGAGCCTGACGCCCACAACGCCGCGTGACTCGTTCGACCTGCGTCAAGGCAGCGGCAGCAATAGGCTAGGTGCTTTTTACAATCTGGGCGAGAATAACACAATGGAGAGCGTGTTGCGGGAAGATTTCTCGAATTGGGCAAAGACGAGAGATCATGGGAGGCGCGATTCAATCTCGTCTATCGCCTCTTCGTCTGCTCCAGGCCCCAACACGCCGAAAGCTCTGCGTGCGCCCAACTCCTCTTCTCCGCTCTTTTCTACGGGCCAGACTGCTCCGGGCACCGAGTCACTGCTTTGGAGCTTTGCCCAATTTGGAGGCAGCTTCGAGATAAACGAGAGCCTGGTAAAGCCGGGTGAGTTCGAGGAAGTCAAGCGAAAGCTAGCTGGTGGCAGCTCTGTCAACGGTCCAGGAAGCGGTATACCCTCAACGCCCGTCGGAGGCGGCGATTTGGCCAGTGAGACGTCAGCGGAAATGTCCAAAGATGGGTGGGGCACCTATCTGAGAGGAATGCTGCTGAGAAGCGCACCTCCATCATCGTCGAGAAGCACACATCGCAGGACAGGAAGCACGCTCATCGACACAAGAGAAAAGACGATAGCGAGCAGGAGCATTCCAGTCTTCTGCACGCCGCCCAGCATCGTTGCGGTGGACCTCAATCTTGCCCCAGGCGAATCCCGTAGTTGTAAGTCTTCCCCAATCGTTCTTTTCTCCTCCATTTCACCCTTTGACCTTGCTGACCTTTACGGGGCTGCAGATTCATTTAGGATCCCGCTGCCTCCAGATTTGCCTCCTTCCTACATGGGCAAATCGTTCTCGTTTACCTATACCCTGACACTGGGAACAAATCGCTTGGTCAAGTCTAAAAAGGGAGGAGGTCGAGGCGGAGGAGGAGGAGGAAATGAGCAAAAGAGCAGATTGGTAAGGATTCCGCTACGCATCTACAACCTCGTCAGCGTTACGGGCGTCACAGCCTTTTTCGACTTGACGAATCCAGTCGTCAACCTCAGGGATGAGGCAGTGGTCAAACCGGTCGAAGTTGGCGCGGGATTTGGAGACGGCAACGGTAGTGCGATCGGAAGAAGAGACTCAGTCACGAGGCGAGAAAGGGCAGCTACTCTAAGAGGTGAGTCTAATGAAGACAGAGTGAAGATCAGCATATTGACAGATAGGCGCACCAGACGGAAATCAGAGGGAGCTGGTGGCATATACTCGCGACCTGCTGGCTTCGTGCCAAGATGACACGGGAAGTCACGACGATGCGCCGACCGATCTTGAGCGAGCGACAGAGCTTGCGCAGAGGCAGGCACGTCAGTCGCTCTCGCCGTCTTCGTCTGCATCTTCTGCCTTGGACGGGGCACAGGCCCCGCCTCTGTCTCCCACCAACAGCTTGACTCCCCTCCCGCGAGCCTCGTCGGCTTTGGGAAGACGCGCGTCGGCTTCAAGCCTCCACAACTCGGGAAGTCACATCTTGGGCGAAGATGACGATGTGCCAAAGACATCGATGGAGGCAGTCGAAGTCTTGAGCCGCAACTCTCAAAAGGGTGAGTAACAGAAGCCTTGAAAGTAGAAGAACAGATGCACCGCTGATGTTTGGCCCCCATCATCAGTCTCGTACGATATCTCTAAAGACGGACAAGTGGCCGCTGTGCTCACCTTTGTCAAGTCAAAATTTCGCCTGGGCGACACAGTCTCTGGCGTCGTGACAATGAACCGCTCCCGGAGCATTGCGCGCGTCGTTCGCATCGCCGCAACGCTGGAGACGCACGAAGCGATCGAGCCTACCCTCGCCACGCTTCCCTCTGCCCGGTCGCGGCAGATGACGAAACGAGTCCATGCAGAATTCCATCAGGATACCCTCGACGCTGGTCAGGTGGGCTTCCAGCTGACAATACCCTCGGGCGCCACGCCAGACTTTGTCACAAGCGGGATGCGGCTGGCCTGGACTGTTCGCATGTCCTTCTTGACCCTCAGCGCGCCGAGGCCGGCAGAAGAGGGCAACAAGAAGAGGGCGGTGCCGCCAGTCCACCTCGAGGAGGCCAGTTCGTCGAGGGATGCTTTCTCAGCGTACCATGCTGCTCTTAGAGGCGTCTCGAGCCTCTCGGGACCCCATACGCCCAAGTCCGTCTCGGTGCTGTCAAAGGAGGACGATGGAGAAGCAAGAGAAGACGAGGCGAATCCGAACCAAGAGGCCAAGCTGGAAATCGTAGAGTGCGCAGTTCCCCTCCACGTCCTGGCCCATTCGACGAGGTTCCGAACGGGATCCGTCTCCTTTACAGCATAGACCCCGAAGAAATGAAAGAATTGTAAATTCTGAGTTGCTTCTGTTATGTACCACCTCAAATAGATACAAGTGTGTGTATGTGTGTGTGCCCAAACGGAAACGGTTGAAGATGCCCAAAACAATAAAAGAGTTATGCAAAGGCCTACATTGTACCCCAACCTCCATGATCCATCGCCGCTTCGATCTTCCGGGCAATGATGTTGGCCATTCCGTGCTGGAGCCACTGCTTCCTAAGCTCGTCGTATCGCTGCCTGTGGAGGTGCTGGGGCCTTCCCTTCTTCAAACCAACGTCAATCTCGCCATGAGAATCGAGGTAGGGGCTGTACGTGAAGCTACCGTTGCCCGAATGGAGGAGAATGACGATGTTGGACTTGACCTTGAAGAATGCACCGATGGATCCGCCGCAGTCGTCAGAATGGCGGTTGCATTCGCCCCTCTCATCGTCGTCCTCGCCCGACTGGCAACAAAATGACTGGTAGCAGAGCATCTCCCCGCAAAAGAGGCACAGCGCCGGCTCCGGTGGCACTTCTTTACACCGCTTGCACACCCTTCTTTGTGCCTCTTGGAGCAGATCGGCGAGATTCGAGGGAAGGCGGACCAGCTCGTAGATGTGAGGATGCTCGAGTTGGAGCGTAGGATGCGCCGGCGAAGTGTGGATGTGCGACAGCGAGGAACCAATGTTGATGGAGCCGAACCCAAGCGGAGAAGGCTGGATGGGCAAGGGACGAAAGAGAGAAGCGAGCTGCGCATACGCATGCTTGATCCATCCCTCGATGAGGCCCGCGATCGCCGTCTGCCGCTGAGATTGCACTGGAATGGCTACTTCTGGCAGCGGGATGGCAAGAAGATGCATAAGGCGCACATACTCGCCGGTGGTCGAGTCGGCAGGAGTTGCTGCCGAAGAAACAGATTCTGGAAGAATGCCCATGGCCTTGTGTAAGATCGCTGCCCGGCGCAGGAAAGGTAGCGTGTAGGTGCAGATCATCTTTGCAAGGCTCTGGTCATCCAGATGGTCGATGCCCAAGGTGATATTGCCGCGTGAGTAGCCGATGAAGCCGCAAATGTTGGCTACCATTGCGCGTACCTCTGGGAAGACCACTTTGAGCATGGCCACGTCTTGAGCATCCAAGTCGATGTGCCTCAAGCCCGACAAACCACGATTGACGGTGCCATTGTGCGACTGAGGCCAGATGCTGGGTTGCGACAGACCAAATACGACCTGGACGAGATTGACGTAGAACATGAGCGAAGTGATCTGCTGCAAGCTCTCAGGCGCGAGAGCAGCCGCCTCAACGAGGATGGTGAGGGGCGATCGCAAGAGCAGAGGCGAGCGCACAGCATCGTGACCACCCCAGTGCGGCAGCAGGCGTTTGAGGAGACCTTGCCTCATGATGCTCATGCTTCCAGGCCGTGTCAGCTCCGCGGTATCGCGCAAGCCGATCACCAATGATTGGAGAAGCTTGATTGTCTGCTCGGACATTGCGTCGGCCAGGGTAGTAGCTCCGTCAATCGACAATTTCGATGTCGAGGAATGACCGGCACCGGGGGTGTGGCCCCTCTGCGACACCTCTAATACGCTGATTGTGTAGGCGACCACTTCCTCTGGCACATACATCTTCCGACTCGGTGGCGCCATGATCGTTCGATTCTGGTATGCCATTCGTTGGGGACGCGACTTGACCGAGAGCGGTCTAAGTACTCGCATCAGACGCTCGATCATTAGCGTATGGTCTGTGTCCACTTCGCCAGATTGCAAAGCAGAATCAAGCAAGTATTGAGCCTCTTCGGCGTACCAGATGGTGAACGATCCCGTCCCGTGCTCGGTCTCCTGCACCTCGGTGGCAACATTGCTCGTCGACGTTTTGAGAATGTCGATGTTGATCTTACGAACCCAATCGCCGATTGAAGATCTGTCCGTCTCAATGCCCATCATCATCGAGGCTGAACCTGATGGAAGGGGAACGGGCAAGATGACGTTGCCAAGACTCTTGCAGAGTGGGCACACGTATTCGGACCGAGAGAGATCTTCTGGGTGATTTCGAGCAATCTGCTGGGCATGCCGCTGCTCCACGCTGTGGCAGTAGACCTCGAAACACTCGGTATGCATCAGGTGACCACAAGTCGATGCATAAAAGCCAAAGCGGTGATCGTCTGCCGGGAAAGCTGCGCCTTGCGACGAGCGAGACTGATTCTCGCGGAAAGCGTCACTTCGTCTCCTGCCGTCTGGCGCACTGCGGTCCATGTCGAGAGGGGCTTCAAGACTCTGTTGCAGACTAACGGCATCATGGCGCGGAGTGTTTCGGAGGACACGACTGGGCTGGACGTAGACAAGGCTTCCAAAGGCCGAGTGGTGGTTGAGCTCCTCTTGGCAGAAAATGCATGTTCCCAGTGCTTCCGCCTGGTGCTTGAGGTCGTCATCGACCGCCATTGAGTCTCGATCCGCCATATCGATGTTGTCGCTATCTTTGTCGTCCTCATCCTCATCGTCCTCATCTTCAAGGCTTTCGAGGAGGCTTTTTTGCTGGGCTGAGAATTGCTGCATAATGGCTGCCTGCCTTGCCTTTGCTGCTGCACGCCGGACGTCTTCGGTGGACATCTGTGGCGCTGCAGTGGATCCATGGGACATGGTAGCCTGCCGAGCCCCGAGATGTCCATCAACAACCTTTCGAGCCCCTTCAGGATCAAGCTCGCAAGCCTTGTCGACGATCCACTGCATTCTTGCACGGCAAGCCTCAAGCTTCTTATTGTCGAGCACCTTGCAGAGCAAGTCCAAGTAGCTTTCTCCTTCGAGGTCGACCCGCGGATGCGTCAGATGGCTGAGCGGCTTTGTCAGGAGCGCAGCATAAGGAGCACCGCATTCGACCAGACCATGCATGACCAGCTGCAAAGCCATGTCGACGTACGAATCTGAGGCACCATCGGCGTCTTCGAGTGCGTTTGAAATCGTCGACTTGACAATACGGAGGAGAACGTTGCTCTCAAAGACACTCCGCAATTCATCGACAAATGGGCTCTGGCCCGCCGCAAGATGTCGCTCGGGGACGACAACGAAGCCGCTGTCGGAGCCGTTGTGCTTCCGCTTGTGTCTTTCCCGCAGCGTTTGCTCGGCCAGCTCCCTTTGATTGCGCGTGTAGTGAAAGAAGTAGGGCTGAATCTCGTCGTAGCACTCGTCCTTGAGCTCAAAGATGCCAAGATCTGTCGTCCCATCGGGCGCTCGGAAAGTCGAGACAGCCGCGAGAATCCGGTCGAAGCTTGAATGATCCTTCAATCGCTCCAAGACCGGCTTGCTTACTTCGGTGTAGGTTCCTTGGCTGAGGGCAAGGAAGTGGACGATTTCGCGTCGCACTTGTCTCTCCATTGACCAGTCTATAGTCATTGACGTCTCCGACAGTATCGTAATGAGGAGCAAGAGGAACTCTTCGACGTTGAATCGATACTGCTCCTCGTCCATCGAGATCGGCACGCTCCTTTCGCCGAGAAACCAGTCAATGACGATAAAACGATCCAGCATCGTAACAAGCATTTGGTCGACATCGGTGTAGACGAGGCTGCACTGGAGCAAACAAAGGTCTTGGTCGTACATGACGTCTCGCATCGTGTCGCGGTAGTGGTGGGCGTGGGAGCGAATGCCAAAACCGTTCCGGACCCACATGCCCGAGCGAGTCTGAGCAACCTTCACGGCAACTTGCAGAGGAGAGTCGAAGACCACGAGCAGGTCGTCAGGATTGTTGTCTTCAGGAATGAGGTCCAGCAGCGTTTTGGCGTTCTCCTGTCGCAAGTAATCGTACGAAAACTTGGAAACGTGCTTGAACAACTCGGCAAGAAGCCAATGCATTGGGTGATGGAAAGACACGTTGGCCTCATCGACACGAAAATCGAGGCACCGGTACTGTCGATTGTCGAACTGCTCAACGTGGAATTCGATGGGCGTGTAGGTCTTTGGGTCATTCTGGCAGAGACTCTCGCAGCGCCAAAAGGTTCTCTTCAAGACCAGAGAAAGCGCCTGACGGTACTCGTTGGGGCTTGCTCTCGCGTAGGCCTCTCCAAACGTCTTTGTAATCTTGGCCACATTGGTCGCCACCTGCAGCACTTGCATCCACGTTTCAACCTCGTATTCGACGTGCTGCTCAGCGGCTCTCTTCTCTGGCGCTATTGCTTGGAAGAGAGAAAGAAAATCGAGGAAAGCGTCGAGCCGCTTGCAATCGTGCGCAATTAACGTCTGGACGCCTTCGGCCGCGACAAGGTACCGAATGTCGTTGAAGATGTTGTAGCACCGCGACTGCCGCGACACGATGGAGGCGAGTATTGCATGGTCAGTTGCCAGTGGAGCAGTCTGCAGGACAAGAGACGCCGGAGTGAGTCCGTCGGTGAAGATAGCGTGAAGTATCCGAAGGAGCTTTTCAAAAAAGTCCATCTCTGCAACAAGCTCGGTAGCGATCGAAGGAACGCTGAAGAGCTGGACTGTGAGGAAGTACACCGAATGCTCCCACTCGCGATCCCGAAGAATGAACGTCTCGATAAGACGGGGGTAGAACTTTGCAAATCGAATCGCCACCTGTCGCTTGACCTCGCGGGGTCCAATTAGGGCCATATACAGCGACTTGCACGTCCCCCTCGCCTCCTTCCACATCTTGCTGTCCATGAGCAAAAGCCCGTCGATGCAGCGCAGGTCGGTGACATCAAAGAAGTAGCTGCTCATCCGATTCTGTGGTACTGGCTTCCGATGTTTCCATGGCTTGAGCAGGTCTCTTGCGACAAGAGCGCGCATGGCGGCGGCATTGGGCGTCATGCCATCGAGCGGGTGGACTGTTGATGACGTTGATGCCGACGGAACAAAGATGGATGCGTTCACGAGATCCAGTAAGAAACTCAAGACGTGTCCCGCAACCTCCTCAGCAAAGGTATCGTACGCAGGTCGCACCGTCACGGCCAAGTCGATCTGAATGAGCTTGGAAGCGAGCATGCAGAGCTTTCGAAGATCGTCTGAAATGTCGATAATTTCCCTCCCATGACGATCGACCCGCTCGGCTACACCCTTTGCCATTGTCTCAGACCGGGAAGTTGCCTCTGAGACAGTATCGATGACTTCGCGAAAGCTGTGCTTTTCGTCGTTCCAAAGCACCACCGCATATTTTCGCGTTGAGGAAGGCCAAACGAGCGTGTCGAAGTAGGAGCCAGGCGACTTGGACACTTCGCTCGCAGGAGGGCTCAGTGATGGCTGCCGTGTGATCGCCTCGATGGGATCCGGCCCCCCAGGGAGACCCGTCTGCTCCTGGCTGTGCTCGAGAGTGTCGAGGACGAAGTTGAGCATCGATTGGATGTAGGAGGACAGAGAGGCTTGAACCTGAGGGGGGACTGCGCTGATGAGGTTGTCCAGCTGATCGTCACCATCAAGCATTGGAGAAGTTCTCTGCGGTGCTTTTCCCTTGCTGTATGAGAGTTCTTCGTCACTGGCCTGTTGGTCCTCTTCCATCGCCTCTCCAGACCCTTGCTGGGCGTGTGGATGCTCGCTTCGGCTCGGCCCCGCCTCGACGCTCTCGGCAGATGGTTGTAACGCCTCATTGGTGTCGTGATACTTGCAGCACAATCTGGACTTCCATGCTTCCTCGTCGCCACAATCGCAGCAGCCTCCGCTAGAGTTGCTCACGCTAAAGACAATGTCGTGGCCGTCGTGATTGGAAGCATTGAAGCAAGGTGCACATTGGACGCACGTGTCATCAATCCCACAATCTCTGTTGTCGAAAGTAAGAGAGTCAGAGGACAGGACAGCGATAAAAGAGAGAAAGAGGAGAAGGAAGGAAGGACTCACCGGCATCGGTAGATTGCCTCGCCGCGCTTGAAGATATGACCGCACGGCATGCCTTTCCGGTCTTCACCGTACTCCGGGCCGAGATAGCTGTCTGACTCTGCGCCAGGTGGTGGCGTAGCTGATCTTCGCTCGACAAATTTGCCCTTGTCTGGTCTGCTGCTATTGGCCTCTGGCGATGCGACGCCACCCATGGCGTGCCTCCTTCTCTGCATGATCTCAAGGTGAGCCCGCTTCTGCGCTTCGCATAGCTTCCAGCCACACTGCTCCATGAAGACAAGAGCGTGCACAGCTGATGGTGCCAGCTCGCGCGGCAGAAAGTGGGCTGGGGAAATACTCTGAAAGATGTCCGTCCATAGATTGCGACTGAGGCTGTCGATGACCATCGGCTTCACCTGGTAGTCGGTCATGACGGGGTCCAGCCTGACCTGCCGAAGAAAGTCGACTGTCGATGGCATATTTGCCCTGTCCATGTCGACTGCATCACTTCTGGGCTCCATTCCGTTAGGACGTTTCCCCCCTTTTCGGCGTACAAGGAGGAAGAGGACGCCCGCCTTTACCAATAGCCAAACAGACAAAAAGTGAGTGACGGCTGAGAGGACTGTGCGTCGCACGCGTACGTTTGGTCACCTGGCCCTCTGTCATGACATAATAGTCTCGGGCTTCCCCCAGAAGAGAAAGTGGATGGCTTTTTTTCCCTTCTCGGTCGAGCTACCACCGGCCGACAAGGACGAGGGCAAGATCCGTGGAGAGCAGAAAGGTCGTCATGGAAGAAAGCCATTCGCAGCAACAGCAGCATGAAGAGGCTGCAGCTGTAGCAGCAGCAGTTGCCGCTGCCGCCGCTGCACACCAACAACACCAGCAGCAGCAACAAGAGCAACAGCAGCAACAGCAGCAGCAGCAGCAGCAGGCGCACCAGGAGCACGAGCATGAGCAGCAACACCAAGAGCAGCAGCACGCGCAACGTGAGCATGACTCGCTCACCGAAGCACCGAATGGAGCTGGTCATTATGGTGACATTGACCATCATCAGCACCATGACCAGGACATGTCGAGCCATGGTCAGCAAGTGGATGCAAATGACGGGTATGATGGCCCTCCCCCACCAGAGGCTGCGCCCAATCCTGATGATTCGATGAACGCCGATGTTTCATACGCCGCCGATGATGGGCAGCAACATCATGGAATGGATGCCAGCAATGCACCAAGTCTCGACAGCATTGCTGCCGTTGCCGCCGTCGCCAATGCTTCGAATCACGATGCTTCAGCGAGACAGCATACCAAAAGGAGGAAGGTGAACACCTGCCTAACTTGCAAGGTGAGCCTGACCGTCGCAGATACTCACAAGGCGAAGGAAGCTGACCGGATGGCTGGATGCAGAATCGAAAAGTGAAGTGTGATCGGGAGAGACCGCATTGTGGACAGTGCAAAAAGCATGGCATTCCAATGGAGAAGTGCATTTGGGTCGAGGGAGTCGCCTCTTCCAGCCAGCAACATCAGGCCGGCGGTAGCACCAACAACAACAGCAACCACCTCATAAACAATAGCGCCAACAGCAGCAGCACCGCCACCAACAATGCTACGCCAGCTCAGTGGCTCAGCACTCTGGCACAGAGCAGCACCTGGTCCGACAACCTTGGAGCTGCTTTTGCAGAGCAGAATACCCAAGCGCTCCTAAGCAGGATTGCATCGCTTGAAGCATCTTTAGCTGAAGCTGGGGAGCGTCTTAACGGGGATGCGTACGTGGAACAGAATGCCAATGCTGCGGCCGCGAACGCCTGGCGGGATCATCTCTCGCGTCTCCGAGAGAGTGGTGCTGACGACGCCGTGGGTCAGAGCGAGGCGGAGCGAGGCATGGCCGCGGATGCCCTGGCCATGATCGCACAGAATCACCCGCACGCTGGTCAAGCCCCATCAGTGTACAACAAAAAGCTGGTCGATTATAAGAGACCCTACGCGACGGCACCGAGGTTTTTCGACGCCGTCACTGCCAACCGATTTCCTTTCACCGTGCAGGCCACGACAGACAAGGTCAGGGATATTATTGGCATGCTGCCCGAAGACAACGTCATCGACAGTCTGATGGAGACCGTAAAGCTGATTCAGACAAGCGGTTTGAGCACGGGCCTGAGCATGAGGCTCGTCGAGATGCAGCTGGCGACCTTGCGCGGCCAGCTTTCCTTCTGGGAAGATCGCAGTAGTGGCGAAGCAGAAATTCCGGTCGTTGACCTCTCCTTCTTGGCGCTTCTGTTCGTGCTTATGGTCAACGCGCTGGAATTCAGCGAGAGCGCCGATCTAATCCGGATTGGCCTCGTGACCAAGCCTGAGGAGGTTAGCAGCGTTACCGAGGCCTGGCAAGCCACCGGCGAAGCCCTTTTGGCCATGATCAATTTTCAGAACCGACCCAATCTCAACATACTTATGGCGATATCAGCCAGCCGTCAGTACCACTTGTCGAGGGGTCACGGTGTCTACTACCTCGTCCTGATATCGACTGCAATTCGTCTGGCCCAAGCCATGAGCATCCATCGACTGGGAAGTGCTGCTGAGGATGTCGAGAGGTGGAACAGCAGTCCAGCAAAGCCAGACTCGCCTTACAAAGAGCGTCGCCCATTTCTCAACGGCAAGCTCTTCTTTCCCGTCTTCATTTCGGGACCGGGCACGAACGAAGATGCCGGCGTTCGAGACGCCAAAGAAGCCCCCATTCGGTTCCCCGATCGCTCCCACCTCGTTCGCGAGACAGCTCGAAAGATGTGGTACCATTTTATTGTCCAGGACTACTTCGCATCTGATAGCTTCGACCGGACCTACCACATCTTTCCCGGACAGTACAACACCGCGCTCCCTCTCAATCTTGACGAGGACGAGCTGCCGACAGGGTTAGAAGACGCACCTTCGAAGCTGCCTGCAGCCAAGCCTGAAGGCCAACCGACCGACTCCAATATGTACCAGACCGCGTTTCGAGTAAGCGACCTGTGTAGGGAGACGAGCGACGCCTACCTGCGGGGCAAGCTGACGCAGGAAGTGGTACTGGAGATGGACACAAAGTGGCGCCACATATTTGACGAACTTCCCGTCTTTCTCAAGCTCGATGGTACGTCGGAGAACCTCGATTACGTACGGCTATTGCAAGCGCAGAGACCCTACCTGGCCTCGCAGCGGCTCATCACCATCGAGATGATCCAGTTCAGGCTTCTGTGTCTCCATCGCCCTTTTCTCGTGCTGGGACACCACGAATCCAAATATGCACAGAACACTCGAGCTTGTGTCGAGGCGGCACGAAGCATCATCTTTTGTCGCCAAGAGCTCGAAAATGTCAACTGGGCCGTGCAACGCTTCGTCGGTTTCCGTTTACACACCTTCCAAGCCGCACTGGTGCTAGCGATGCACCTGATGGAGCTGGCCAAGCGTGGCAGACCCGAGGATGCCGACTCTCAAAAGATGAGAGACGAAGTCTCGATTGCCATGTCTTTCTTGGCCCACAAGACGGCGGCCGATGGCACGCCACTGGACCTCAACGGAGAGGCCCACAAGATGAGAGGAAGGGAGATCCTCGACACGCTCCTCGCCGAAGAGAAAGCTTTGCGGCAAGGCCATCCTGCAGGCTCTTCGAGGGGCATCAAGCGCGAAGCAACAGAGGCCGGTCTTGACGATCAGTCCACCACGCAAGCACCAGATGTTGTGGCAGATCTCAGCCCAGACAATCCTATCAATCGCTTTGTCGTCGAGCAAGTCAAGGGCAGCATTGGTCATTCGACGACCGACGAGGAGTTCTGGGAAGCAATCGAGAACCAAGCAAGCCGACTACTGTCCTGATCTTGTCTCTCCCTTTTCTTTCCCTCCCACATTTCTCTTTTACTCTTCGCCACTAGGTTCTCTTCTCTGTTGTATGTCTATTACCCTGGAAACCTATACATTATTACTAGTATCGTAACATGTAGTCTTCTACTCGTGTCACTCTCGAATACCGATATATTCGATCTTATAGAGCCTGGGTATGATGAGCGTCTAGGTAGTCATAGTGTACACATGGAAGAGACATCGGCGATGCAAAGGTTAGGAAGCAGTGGGAGCAGGATGTGAAGCAGAGGCTGGAGCAGGGCCTGGAGCAGGCACAGAAGCAGACGCAGGATGCTTCGTTCTAAGAGCTTCGACAAGCTGTTTGTGGAACTTCTTGTGCGCGATGTCTGTCTCGCTCCTAGTCAGCATGACAAAGCTTTCTCCCTCCGATTACAGGCTCTCGACCAGAGCCATCCAAGGGGAAGAGACTCACCAATCTGCCACCGGACATACCACATGAAACCCAACGGCGCTCTCACGTCCGTCTCCTCGTCGATGATCACGACCCCCTTTCCGCTGCCCGTGTTCTCGTCCTTGACAGTCTCCTTCTCCTTCTGGTGTTCCTTCGAACCACCGACAGACGAGACCTTGTAGACGGACCTGACACGGACGCCCAGGGCCGCCTCGGACGTCCACACGGTTTTGCTGCCCTGCTCCGAGACCTGGATGCGCGAAGTGAAGGCTGTCGCCCTCATCACGGGATTGTCGAGCTTCTCCGTCACTTGCCATGGATATCAGCACACTTCTACCAGCGTCAAGTTCACCCACCGAGGAGCGGAGGAGCGATGCGTGGAAGCTTACCTTGAAAGAGGCCAGCCTCAACAGGGTCAGCCTCGACGGACAAGACGGATGGGTTGGCGTAGAGGAACGTCGGGCCATCCTGCAAGAAATCGCAGGCGTCCTGGGCAGAGATGCCCGCATGCTCGCTGGACATGCTGAAGCGGTAGGTCGAGAAGAGGAGCGAGCGCATCGCGAAGGAGGTCTCCTGTCCTCTTCGCTTTGAAGCTCCAGCTTTCAAGGCCGTGAACGGATCGTGAAGTGGAGAGACGTCTTTGAAGGAGTCCATTGAAAGCGAAAGTTGCAGGGGCGCTAGCCAGAGCTCAACCGCGTTCGTTCACCCTTTTAGGCTGAAATTTGCGATCTCACATCGTACGAGCGAGACGGGCTCAAACACCGGTCGATATGGGCTCAGACGAGAAGAGACATCGACCGGTCCGAGAGACATTTAAGAGTGGTAAAAAGACAAGAGCATTTGACATTTCAGTGAGCTTCCAAGGCCTTGCCCTGAAGAGGAGTGAAGTTAAAACACGCAACATTTCGACAGGGCAGGGGGGATTGACCGGGCGAGGTGGAGAGAAGGCAATATTTGAAGAGGTTGAGCTCTCTAGGTGGGGAAATGGCAGTAGGACGGGGGAAAGAGAGGAGACTGTTGAAAATCTAAAGACGATCTCTACGAGTGGGACGACCGAATGACACTCTCTATCAGAATTGATGGACGAAGGTAGCCAACGATCCCTTACCAGACCCTGCGCTCCAAGAGAAGGTCACTCTCGGGCTGGAGGCCGACAAGGGCACGGAGGAAGTTGGTGACGGCGGCGCGCTGGCGCGTCAACGAGTTAACGACGTCGGTACCAGGCTTGGCCAGGGGTGCCTTGAGGCTGTACGAGAGCAAGGAGAGGATCGAGTAGAGGCCAGAGTACTCTTCCTCCTTGACAGCGGCATCGGCATGGCCGGGCTTGGCGTAGGAGATGCGCGTCATGAACTCAGCAAGGATGGCCAGGTCAAGAATGATGGGCGACGCCAGCGTCGAGTCGGCGCACTGGTTGACCGTGTAGATGGTGTTGCGTCCACCCATGGCCAGCTCCGAGGTGAAGTCATCGATAGCCACCTTCTGGTCTCCAACGGGGGGCATGTACTTGATAACGACGCAGTGGGCGGGCTTGTCGACCTCGACTTTGCCGTCCTTGCCCTGCTTGCGAGGGTAGAGGAGATGCGAGGCCTCGACGGCGTCGTCAATGACCGAAGACTTGGAGATCTCCTTGGATCGGAACTGGGCCGGCGCATTGAGGTTATGACCGTCGTTGTTGCCCAGGTGGTTGTAGCTAGCGACGCTCAGCGGCTTGATACCAGCATTGACGAGGAAGTCGATGACGGCCGTCTTGTAACGCGTCTGGCCCGTCTTGAGGTCATCGCCGGCGATGAAAGCGCGGTGCCTCTCGGCCAACTCCACGGCACCGGGCACAAAGGTGTTCTGGGGGGCACCGTTGACAAAAGGGACACCCTCAAGGATACACGAAACGGCGAAGATGGTGCTGGGGGAGACTTCGCTGTGCGACTGCTTGATCGAAGCCAGCAGGTTGTCGGCCGTGTCATTGACGCCGGCAATGATGTCCGAGTAGCGCTCCGTGTTGGCGGTCCAGACGACAATGACCTGGTCAAGGCCATTCTGCTGCTTGAACTGGCGAATGTCGTTGCGGATGTGCTCGACGTGGGCTGCCTTGTCCTTTCCGGGGATTTGGTTGTCGGCGCGCTCCTCCTGGTTGGCAGCGATGAAATCAGGGTAGTAGATTGAGGGCAGGGGCTTCAGGTCCTGGACGTAGGGTGCCACGGTGCGCTGCAAGTCGTACTCGAGGACCTTGGCGCGAACCATGGCCTGATCGACGGGCATGCTGCTAATGTCCCAGCCGCCGAGGACAAAGTCATTGGGATGGACCATGGGCAGGACGTTGCTGAAGGGCACGTTGACGTCCTTGCCCGTCTTTGGGTCCATGCCAAGACGGATCGTCGAAGCACGGACGATGGAGCCGTAGTAGTTGGGCGTCTGGACACCCTCCTTGGTGTGCCACGAAAGGTTGTGACGGTTAGCCATGACCATGGCGGCAATGGTCGATCCGTTGTTGCCACCAAGACCAACAAGCATCAGACTGCCATGTCCCACACGCACAGAGAGAGTTGACTACGTCAGCGGCTGAGCGAGTGGATGGGGCGAGGAGAAGCAGCTGTGGACTCACCCAGTCTTGGGCACCTTGGTTTTGGTCTTGAAGTCGTAGGTTTCGACGTTCGGCGTGGCAACGAACTCCTTCTTGCCATCGGGCTTCTCGATGGTCTCGACGTGAGTCTGGTGGTACTGGTACCTGGTCGAGATGGCATCGTCGCTGTACGTCACGTTGGGCGAGTGGACGCGAATCGTTTCGCGCTCCTCGTGACGAGCAGCTGTGGGGTTGACAGGTCCCGAGTACGAAGCGGCGGCACCGTTGGCGCTGCCATTGGTGCCGGCAGCGCTACGACCAGAGGCGACGGGGGCCATTGTGAAACAACTTGGTTGGTCGCTTCCTTGACGGGTGTGTTGAGAGATTGTCGTGAGGATGCTGAGGAGGGATTGAGTCCCTTTAGTTCTCAGCTATCGGAGCGGGGCAAGAGTGCTTGTTGCCCCGGTGGGTGTTGTCTGTCGACGGCATTTGCGACAATGCAAGACAAGGCGGCGACGACAAAGGAGCATGAAGGAAAGTCAGAGGAAGGGGGCAGTGCAAAGTATTCGGTGAGCGTCGATTCGGCCATGGCGGCGATGAGGCAAGAGAGGGAGGACCGCAAGGCGGACTGTCCATTCCCTTGACTCGCGCGGTACTCACGAGACGAGCAGAGCTGGTTGGCAAACACGCTGGGCAACTGCTTGATTGGAAAAGAGACGAGAAGCGGCGTAGAGTGGCCTTTCTCGATCGATCCTCGGTGGTTGAGATGAGTTTTTTGTCGGGGGGGCTGTATTCAAAATGCGGTTTTCTGCAAAGAAGAACCGGATCTGATGGTACTGATGGGTCGGGTTGATAGAGCTCAAAGTGGGGAAAGGATGTGGAAGTGAGAGAAGCGGGAAGTGGTGAAGAGATTGGCTCGACTGGAGAGGGTCTCTATTTGAGGCAGGCAGTCCGGGTCTTCGCTTCCATCCACCGGTTGAAAAGTGAACTTTGGGTATGCAGCAAGAATTAACCACCGCGGCGGGCCCAGCGAATCACAAAGCTGGAGCTCTATTTTTTTTTTTCTATGGAAAGAATGCTTTGCTTGGCCTCCCTAGCTTGGTCGGTGGCCGAGCCCAGTGTCTAGATAAGGCTTCCCCTGCCTTGGGGTCCCCATACCGCAGGGCGACAACTTTCCGGTCCGAATTTTGGTACCAATCTGATTCCCTTGCTCAAGCATGATTTCAAAATCCCCTTCAGCAATCTGGAGTCAAATTCTCCTTGGTTGGACCGGGTCTTGCGGGCTGGCCACTTCGTTTATTTTTAATTTCGAAAGATTCACGATGGCAACAAAGAGGTGGCTTGCGGACGAGAACGGGCCGACTAGCTGCTCGCACAAGTCAACGTATGTAAAGAGTCTGGAGAGATCTGCAACACATCCTGCCAACAAAAGCCTCTGAGAGCCTGCCTGGCGCACTTCCAGCGAAGCGGCACGATAGACCGCGATAACGAAAATCGCATCTTCGACTGAAGAAATAAGAAAAAAGTGCAGTCTCTCTGCAAGGAGCCGATCTGTTGCTATGTTGGCCGGATAACATATTCGACAGCGTCTTGCGCTGTAGCAGCTTGCTCATGGATGTCCTCAAGGCTCACTATGATGATGGTCTACGGTAGTGTACATCATGACTGTGCTAGGGCTGCGTCGTACGGCAAGCAAGGTAGACAACTACTAGCTAGCTACTACCTAATTTTCTGTCTATCTTAGGCTTTAACAAACTCGCGGATGCATGCGGCTTAATGTGCTATTATCACCAGAAGACAGTACGTGCCTGTTCCATCCACAGCCAGTCATTTCTGCACATACAGATCCACATCCTACTTGACTTCACTCAAAACCGTCATTCGTTGCCTGCTATCGACTTGCGGCCGCCCTTCTTCGACCACCTGCACTCGATATCTCCGTGGCCGTGCCGGAGGCGGGGGCCAGGCCTGTTTCCAACTTCTAATTAAAGAGCCACGCGACCAATTACGTGTTCCTAGGCTGATCACGCTCCCAGGAGTCGCGGGCGGCGGGCGCCGCTACCCTGACTCTCCACTACAGCCCACGCCATCTCGCCTCCTTTGCCCATTCCATCTGATCTCCGCCGCCCGTCGACGTCTGGCGTAGGTCTGGCTTGATCCACGTTGCTGGTCATTTTTCGTCAGACGATATGACAGTCACTCAGGGGATTGAAAAGGACCAGAGGCCATTCGCAGCCACGTCCGATTCCTTATCCAAGCTCAGTCGAGCTCAGGGGATTCGCATCGTCCAGGACGAGGACATGGCTCGGCGTATGCACGATCGATGGAAGGCTGAGGCTGCCTCGTCGTCAGCATGGGAAGACGTCGACGATCGAGTGCCTCAAGCTGGCGATCGCTATCATTATGATGGCTCGCCGGCCAGCCCGAGGCGGACATTGAGTGGAGGAGCAGGAACAGGCGTAGGCGTCGAAGGCGCACCCAAGTACAATAGAAAGGGGCCCACCCTTTGGTGGCCAGAGGGGTCTTCCTCCTCGACTGATCCACTCTCGTCATCATCTTCGTCCTCGTCCTCATCGTCCTCGTCGTCTTCCTCGTCGTCCTCATCCTCTCAATCGAATTCGCGGCGAAAAGGCGTTTGGGTACAACAAGATTTCCGCCACCCAGACGACGCAAGCCGCCTTTTGTGGGACGAGACCAACAACGGGTATCCCATTGCGCTGCCCTACAAGCCCAGGATGCGCAACAACGGCCTCGATCGCAGTTACCTCTCGTCTTCGCCACTGTCCGAAGAAGAAGCGGCCAAGCTCTACGACGCCAAGCTCAGATTAGCCCATCAGATCCGAGCCACTCTCGCAAACACTGACGAGGGTGCATCTTCTAATGCTGCGATCAAAGCAAGACTGAATACGGCTGACTTTCCGCCCAACTTGCCCCCCGGAGGCGGGGTCGGGGGCGATGGGGGACAACCAATCTATCGAAGACCGGACTCGACCGATGACACCTTGGCGTTGCTTCTTCCTCTCCTCGTCCTTCTTTCGACGCTCCTGTTTCTCTTGCTCGTCTTCATCGTCATGGTTATTTTTGTCCGAAGACGAGCTCGGATCGCCCTGACTGAAGGCGATGGACCGCTCGACGTAGGCCGCGAAGAGGAGCTCGAAGGCCACGGTGGTCTAGACGGCGTCGAGGAGCGCTGGTTGGAAACTGTCGACGAGCACACGAGACGCGGCTATGCGAGAGCCAAGGAATGGTCCCTCAGCTCTCCACCTGGATCAATGAGCACAGACATTACCTTGAGCCAATTTCTCAGCATCCAGGAAAAGGGCGTCTCCGCATGGAGCTTCGACCCAGACTACGAGAGCAACCCAAGCGTCTTTGTCGAAGCTCGTACGGAGATCACCTTCCTCGCTGATGGACAGGGCATGGCACCCGAAGAGGGTGGCGGCTGCTGCGTTCAAAGCAACCTTCCCCTGCCTAAGCTCAACGAAGTGTACTACTGGGAGGTGAAGATGTTCACAAAACCAGACACTACAAACGTCGCGGTGGGCCTGGCCACCAAGCCCTACCCAAGCTTCCGACTGCCGGGCTGGAGTAAGCACTCGGTCGGCTACTTCTCGTCGGATGGATTCAAATCGCACAACTACCCCTTTGCAGCACAGTCCTATGGCCCTGCTTATGTTCAGGGCGATGTCATTGGAGTCGGTTACCGACCTCGATCAGGTACTGTTTTTTTCACAAGAAACGGCAAGAAGCTTGAGGATGCCTTCATTGGTCTAAATCGGCACAATCTATTCCCGACAATCGGTACGGACGGCGCCGCTGAGCTTCATGTTAACCTCGGCCAGGCCGGTTTCGTGTCCATCGAGGCTAATGTCAAGAAGTGGGGTCTCGCCCCGATGGTTGGTACACTAGCGCCTCCTCCCGCCTACGGAATGGAGCGAGGAAGCATCCTGATCGAGACGGGTCAAGGCACCTCCAACGAACAGAATGGGGGTTCAGGCCAAAGACCTGCTAGAATAGCCCCACCTCCTCGACGGCCCACGCTTCGCGATATCACCCCGCCTCCGCCGCCTTCACCTGGACCGGTGGCAACTTCTCCGGACACCGAAGGGGGTCCCTCACTTTTGTCTTCCACCTCTGCAGGAATGCCCGGTCCTTCGTCTGGAAGCTCCCTTTCAAGAAGATCTCGGCAAAAGAGAGTCCCACACCCGGAGATTCCAACGGCGTCGTCATCTTCGTCTAGCCCCCCTCGCTTGTCTCTCAACGACTCGTCTCCCTCATCGCTGTCGCCAAGAAGAATGGGCTCGGTGGACTCGGATGACTCACCTCACAATCCTCCAACCCCTCATCATCTCGACATCAGCTTGCACTCGCTGCCTGGAAGCCCACACGGCGAGGACGGCAATACCACTGTTTCTGCCTACGATGCGGCGAGAAATGGTTCCAGCACAGGAAGATCTGCTCGCAATTCCTACTTTCCACCAGTCGACGGCCCTTCGTCGGCCTCTGGAACTTTGCGAGGACCGAGGAATGCTGAAGTTGATCGTCGCATTCTTCAGAGAACCAACAGCCCAAGTCCACCCCCCTACAGTCCGTCGGCGTCGGCGAACGGTTCGCTTGGCGGGACCGAGTCAATGGGCAACCAAGCAAGACGGTCTTCAGGAAGAACACATCAGTTGGCGAACGCGCTCTTTGGAGCGTTGGCCGACCGTGGTCTCTTGACTCCACTTTCAGCCCAAGATAGCGAACCGCCACCACGGAGTACCAGCGAACTGCAGTCTGCACCTGGTGCCGAGGATCCCGTTGGAGAGTACGAGCGAATGGCAGGTCTCGACGCAGCGACACGAAGCAACACTCGAGGAAATGCCTCGTCTACCGATAGCTGGTTCTCAAGCTGGTTCCGTTAGAAGAGTCATCATTGCACTTGCCTGCTAGTTGCCTTTCGGAGGCTGCCTTGCCCATGGCTCAATTCGTTTCTATTACTCTTGTGTCTTCATTGGTGTTTCTATACTCATAGGCTTCAGATAACCCTTGCCCACCCGTCAATGATCCCCCTCATTCATCTATCTTCAACAGTGTTTGTGCAAGCTGTAGTAGGCGCGATGCCGCCTCGTCAGGCGAACAGGCTAGATCGGCTCAACGCCTGCTGCAGTACAAAGCTGGTGATACGTCGTCTGGCCAGCTTGACGACAAAGCATGTTGAAATGACCCTCAGAATTTCGGAGGAGGTTCGCGGGGGTGTCAAATTCGACGATGTTGCCGTTCGACAGGACCAAGATCCGATCATCTTCCAAGATCAATCAGCTTCCGTGATGGTGTCAAATCTTGGTTGGGAACTTACAATCAATGACGCTGCCCAGGCGATGCGCAACTGTGAGAATGATGCTATCCTTGAGTCCTCGGATGGCTTCTTGGATGCGTGCGTCCGTCTCGAAATCCGTCGAACTCGTCGCTTCATCGAGAATGACTACTTTGCTCTGCTTCAGCAGGGCGCGGGCGAGGGACAGGAGCTGAGCCTGACCAGCAGAGAAATTTGTACCGCCAGGAGCGACAACAGTGCCGAGCTCGAGCAGCTGCCCAGGGACGACTTCTGAGACAGGCGCATCATCGACGTCAACTTGCATCGGAGTAGAAGGGGAAGGAGAGGAGGAAGCTGATGAGGTGGACGTTGTTTGAAGAGAAGAGCCTTGAACCTGAAGCAGGGCCGCACGACATTCGTCGTCCGAGTACTCTCCAAACGTGTCTAGATTCTCCCTCACGGTTCCCGAGAAGAGGACCGGATCCTGCGGGACGACAGCCAGCCTTGCTCGATACTCGAGTCCGCAACGCAGCACGTCTATTCCATCGATGACAATTTTTGCCTCTCCATCACCATTGATCCCGCCGATCTTGTTGGAGGGCTCGACCGCGCGCAAAAGGGCCGCCGTAAGTGACGTTTTCCCACTTCCTGTCCTGCCGACAATTGCCACTTTCTCCCTGGGCTTGACCTCAAACGAGACGCCGTGAAGTACCTCTGGCAGATCGTCTGCGTACCTTAGCCTTAGATTCTCGACCAGGATTCCACCGGTGCTCGTTGGCCATGCTGCGGGAATGGCCGCACCTTCGACTTTCAGAGGCGCCTCTTGATCCAGATCGATGTATTCTGCGACGCGCTCGAGAGAGTTGGTGTGGTTGCTCAGATTCTTGTACATCGACGTGAGATTGTAGGCGAACGTCGTCAAGAGGCTTGCGGCCGATATCACCATGCCTGCCGAGCCGGGCGATACGGCTCCGGAAAGTGCCAGTGTCGTCGCCACGAAGACACTCAGCCCAGAGGCCACCTGCGCCCGAAAGGAAAGCCAGACCTTTGTTGAAGAAATTAGGTCAGTCTACCGGCTCTGATCGGTTCGAGACAGCGAGTAAATCATACCTCGATTGTGCATATAGCCCACCATTGTGAAGAGGTGATGGCGTTAATTGTCTGCATGTGATCCAGAAAGTACGACTCAGATCCAAACGCCCGCACCGTTGTGAGGCCCTCCAGGATCTGGGTGAAAGCGGTGTAGAGAGGTGAAGTCGAGGTGCTTTCGATGCGCTGCATATACATCGTGCTGCGAAAGTAGCCTTGGACGCCCCAGATGGTCAGCGCCATGCCCAGCCCGGCGGGTATCAAGAATCCGGGAACGATGACGACGACGATGATGAGCTGGCTGAGAAAAGCCAGTAGCAAGGCAATGAAATAGATGATGGTGGACGGGAGGACTGAATCAAGTATGTTGATATCAAGATTGAAGCGCTGGAGGATTCTGCCCGTTGGATTCGAATCGAAGAAGCGCATGCGGGCTCGCAAGACTCGCGAGAGGAGCCGGTCGTAGAGAATTTTAGACGCCTTGAGACAAATGACGTAGAGGAAGATGAAGCGGACGGAGATGATGGCAACGTAAATGTATCCGATGGAGGCGTAGACACTCAAGTAGAAGAACTCGTGACCTTCTGCCGGCGGAAAGTCGGGCATAATCCCAAGCATGGACTGCCGAGTCCGTTGAGACGCTTCGCCCCAGACCTTGAGCCAGTATGGTTCTCCCGCCTTGAGCAAGCGAACCAGGACCGAGAGAAGCATCAAGAAGGCCCAACCCCAGTAGTTGCTGACACTGATGTAGAGCCAATAGGACTTGAAGCGTGCGTTGCCTTCTGTGCGCTTTTCCAGGTCGTACAAAAGCCGGGCTTTCTTGTCCTTGCCCTCGCTGTCCTTCTTCACTTCCCCTTTAGCTTTACTATCATCTTTCTCTTTGGTGGAGTCGTCTTCCTTGGTTTTAGCCTCTTGTGAATCATCGTCGACGGACGAAGTGATAGTTTCCAGGTCATGGCCTTTGCTCCTTACTTCTTCGACAGTACCTGCTGCCTCGATATGACCTTGACGAAGGATGACGAGATAGTCGACGCTGGGCAAGACAAGATGGAGATGGTGTGTTACTAGAATGACGCGGCGATTTTGCGCGAGAGGGCCGGTTAGAGCTCGTTGGTAGAGGTACCGTTGAACTCTTGTATCGACAGCCGCCAGAACGTCATCGAGGAGAACGGTGTGACTGCGATGGTAGAGGGCCCTAGCCAGGCAAAGTCGAGCTTTCTGCCCTCCCGACAGCGTCTCTTTGCTCACACGGGTCTCATCACCGTCTTCGAGTTCGCCGAGATCGTCTCTTAGCGCACAGGCGTCCAAGACTTTGTTATATCGCTCCTCATCGAAAGGTGTGACAAAAGTGATGTTAGCTTTGATGCTCTTGCCGGCTTCGAGCCACGGCGTCTGCCCAGCAAAAGAGACCAGTGAATCGCCCATGCAAGAGAATCGCTCCAGTTCGACAGTGCCCGAGTCGCGCTTCATTTCACCCAGGAGAGCCGCTAGCATGCTCGACTTGCCTGAGGCGGTGGGGCCAACGATGACACTGAGCCCATCCGTTGGGAAAGAAAGACTGATGTCGACCAGGCTGAAGGGTTTTTGATTGGCCTTGACCTCGGCGGGATTGATCCACGAGAAGTGGCCGTTGAGCACTCGCAGAGGTGCCCTTCCCACTTCTGATGTAGATCGATGCTGATTTGCATTGTTGGCTCTTGCTTTGAGCGACGACATGGCATCCTCGACCTCTTCCTCGCTCAAGAACGCTTCGAGACGACGAACACTGACGATGGACTCGAGAATGTTCATGATAAACGTCGGAATGGTGCTTAGAGGCGTTCTTGCCATCTCGAAGAGGGTGATGGCAGTGAAGGCAACGGGTACCGTCATTGCGCGACCCTGGACAACGACGTAAATGTAGAATGTAACGAGCTCGCAGGTGATGGGCATCGCGACGAAGAGCACGGTGAGGCCAAGCGACGAAAGACGCTGGGCCAGGAGCTTGTGCAACTCAACGCGTCTGGACTCGAGAACACGCTCCTTCCACCGCTCCTCGGTGCCCTGTAGCTTAACAAATCGGATCGCGGTGATGAGTTCAGCAACAAGGGAGATACGCCGGTCCGTTGCTTCCTTCCACGCTCGCTGCAGTTTTGTCAACTTTTTGCCTAGATAATAGGTCATAGGCGTGGCGAGGGCCATGAGGAGAAAGCCGACGATAGACGACCAGCCCATGAGACGGTAAAGGAACACCGTCGAAATAACAAGCTCGAGGGGCGCGCCGTACAATTGGTGACTGTCGCAACCCAATCGGAGAAGTCGATTAATGTCGCTGGCCATCATGTTGACGACCTTGCCCACATCGGCTTGTCGAGACGATTCATCCTTTTCCTTGTCTTCTTCTTCTCGCTTCCTAATATCCTTGATATGTTCGGTCTTCTTGGCTTTCCCGTTCTCTTTGCCGTTACTTCCGAGCAAAGGTGCAGATTCGTGCTCTTCCTCCTCCTCCTCCTCCTCCTCCTCCCCATCACCGTCTACTTCGCGACTGTCACTCTCCTGTGCCGATGATGCCGTCGAGACGCTTCGTTTCCCATCTTTCCCACCTTCGTCAGACGACCCTCCACTAATGTTCCTCCGCTTGAGGGCCTTCTCAAACATTTCGACGACGAGAATGCTCCTCAGACGAAGGCCAACTTGCCTTGCGTGATGGAAATTTTTGAGCTCGGCCACGTAACGAATGAAGGTGAAGACCAGAGAAACGAGCGCAAGGACAAAGGCCTTCTGCCGTGGCGTCCATACAGCCTGAGTATCAAGCTTTGCCGCGTCTTTCACCGGGCGGGTGAAACCGTCGGCGGTGAGCACCCAAAAGCCGGTCTGCTGCTCGGCCGCAGCGGCATCGGTGACGCACTGCAGGATCTGGTTCATAAGCGCCGGGCCAGCGTAGGCAAGTGTTACGCCACAGATCTTGTAGAAGAAGTCAAGAGCAATGTCGTTTGCATTGGCGATCAACAGCCTGCGTCGGAGCGACCTCTTTTCCCTTCTGCCATCGGCGCCGGCCTCGTCGTTGTCAACATATGCTGTCTTTGCAAAATTAGCCGAGAGGATCCTCGTGTCATTGATGCTCCTTAGCCTCCAGACATCGGCGGGTAGCAGCGGTCTTTTGAGCGATAGGGCCTGGATTGGGTGCATCCAGGTGTACGTCAAAGTTGAGATGAGCGATGCGTAGTCTTCGGGCGTCGTGGGGCAGAGTTCGTAGTCCTTCTTGATGTCTTCCGTCTCTTCTACTACCTCTCCCGTCACTAATCTTTGCCTCTCACGTCTAGGCACCTGTGAATGGATTCCACCAGCGTGGACGGGCATGCTAAGGATAATCTGAACGACCGTGAGGCAGGCGATAAGATCGATAGTGTCTGCCACGATGCTGGCCCAAGGCAAATCACCCGGGCTTCCGACATAGAGTGGGAGGAATTCGAGGAGGCGCACCGCCGCGTTGATCAGTTGGAGAAGGGTTACAAGCAGCACGAAGAGCGGCGGCGTCATTGGCGGCGAGACGAAGAAGCGCAGCAAGACAAAGAGCTTTTGGCAGAGAGGGGTCGATATAAGCGCACATTATGGGCTGCATTGGGCAATGGTCCTGAAACTCACCCACGTCAAAGCCCATGATGTGCTGATGAATGCAGGCGAGAAGAAGATTCTTGTCTGAGAAGGTTGCTCGAGGTTTTGTGAGAAGGTGTAGGCCGCCAGCGAAGTCCAGGCTGTGGTCTCGACCAATGCAATCGTGCTTATGGCCGCATTTCGCCTCCTCTGCTTCTCGAAGCCGATCCCATCGTCGTACTGTGCAACGTCGAAGTCTTGATCAAGAATTGCTCCCCGCCGCAGGAGGTAGCTTGGCCCTCGCCTTGAGTCGCGTTGTGCCTCTGCGTTCCACCTTTGCTGGTCGACCTCGATGAGATCGTCGTCGGTGACGAAGGGTGAGAGGACCTCGAAAGCTCGCACGACAATTCGAGGTGCCCAGTGATGCCAAGAAGGCACGAAGCGGAGCAGCAAGGCAACAAGCAACAGACTGGCCGGTGCAAGGCGAAGGGCCGAAAACGCCGGCGAGACGAAAGGGTCATAGTTGGCCGTTGACGACGCCTCCGTGGCTGCAAAGGCTGAAAGGTACGATGCGAGAGCTTGGTGGGGCGATGGGCCAGCGGCGAGGAGGGCAAAGGGAAGCGGCGACTCGGCGTGCAGCACGGGACTCTGTATCGGTAGAGTCTCCATGTTGAGAGCCCGCTGCTAGCTCTTACCTCAAAAAGGAGAGTCTGGCTCTTCTTACCGAGTCGTCGTGAGGAGCACAGCTCGATTAGAAGCAGCGTAGCGCCTGTAGACGGAAAATTTAGACTTCGCACCCTCGCATGATATGCATGGACCCTTTTTTTCTCTCTTCTTAGTCATGAGTCTCTAAGCTCTTCTTTCACCAGGCGACCACGCCAGCACTTTACTCCACCGTCGTCTCTGCGCAATCGACGCAGGGGCTAGGAACGCACCGAACTCCTCATGAAGCCTCTGCCGAAGCGAGATGGCCATGCATTACGCAGCTATAGGGTAAATCGCCGATCCGAAAATTGGACCGTGCGTCACGCGTCTGGCTCGTTCGTAAGCAGCTGGAGCGGCGTGCCAGCCGGCCTATCGTCATTCTCATTGCATGCTAATGCTGCTGGCGGCCCAATCGGCAACGTACTCTACAAATTTTGAGCCTTTAGAGCTATTTATTGAGGTTGGAGCCAAGGTCACGGCAAGCCCAGGGGCAATCCGCTCATCTGTCCATCCATTCAAGGGGTACTCTGGTCTGCCGAAGAGAAGGAGACCCACTTTGGCCTCGATCAGAGGTCCTGTTCGAGTTCCCTTTCTCGCTTTTAGAAGCTCTACCGGAGGCCCGAAGCTGAAGGGCTGGGGAGGGTGACGACTATGGAGGCCTTGAGCAGCGCTGTCTTCCTGTCCGTTTGACTCGAAAGACACTCGCTCCATCGTCGGATTAACAGTGTCGACGAGAAGCACGTTGACAGCCCATCTACTCTGGACATCATTGCCCTTTTCCAAACTTCTTTCCCAACGAGCGCTGAGTGCCGCTGCCAGCTCCCGCGCAAATGCCCCGCCGATGCCTTGACCGCCTAGAAAAACATATGGGCCAAATGGCTGGACCTGCTCGATGGCATGCTCGATGTACCACTCGGCTATTTGGCCAAGATTGACTACTGCCTTGCCACCAAAACGACCAGAGGCAAGGTCCAGTCCTTTAGTGGAGATAGAATACACGGTACGGGTATCCATTCGCTTGGTCAAAGCCTCGCATAAATTTTGATCGGGATCGATGAGCCACAAGGGCGGCAAATGGTTCTCAGACCCAACTTGGACCGTGAGGACGTCAGGGTGATCTGTGTCGCGGAGCTGAATGGCCTGGTTCGAGTACATGTCCGTGAACGTGTTAGCTTTACCCAGGACGACAGGACTCTGAGCGGAGTTGCATGTCGGCTCAGGTGTGGTAGCGACCTTCGGAGACGTAGATGAATGTTGCAGATGTCTTGATTTGACGAGCCGCTGGCGAGGCGAGCAAGGAGAGGAAGCCGTTGATTTTATGCCAACGAAGATGGAGGCCGACATTGCTCTAGTGGAGCTGCTTTCTCCCTCTGGAAAATAACAGCAGGCGCTAAGAGGTGAAGGCGAGACGGGAAACGTTGTAGACGAGGCGGTGCTGCTCTGTCCGCCACCATTGGACGGCTTTCTTCGAGGGAGATCGAGATACAGTCGCGGTATGTCTCGGCGACGATTGTGAGCGTTGTTTGGATAAAGTCGAGGAACGTGAGTGACCTCCAAGGGAGAAGGGGAGCAGGAAGGCATGTTCAGCGCTTGTTGAGAAGCTATGAGAGGAGGGGCAAACGAGAGAAGTAGGCGTCTATAAGTGTCCTGTCTCCTCCCACGACAATAGGAACGGGGGACCAAGCGCGGATATCAAGTCCGAAGCATTCAGGGGCGTTGTCGCTATGACCTATGCCGGAGTGAAAATTTCTCGTTCTCATGTGCGCAACTGACGGCCTGATGTCACCTCCCCTCGTTCGAACGTGACAAGACGCGGAGGTACTTTGACATGATGACTGGGGGTCTCCCTCCTCTCTCTAGCTACTACGGCGCCTCCATTCATGTGTCGTACTCCTGACAGACAATTTGGCTTGTTCAAGGTAAGTGAAACCAGATCAGACATATTGCAGATGGCCCTCTTCATCCGAAGAGCCAATTTGCCCTCGAATTTTTGGATTCGGGGTTGGAGCTTGTGGCGTAAAATGACGCCTGTCTGGGCTGAAGGGCACGGCTCGGAATAATGAGGACAGTACTACTAGCGATACGCCTAATTTCGACCTTACCATGTTCTGCTTTGCACAGACAAGGACAGGATGATACCACCAACTCTCCTTCGCTTTTTTCCGATGCTTCTTTCCGAAGTTCTTCCGAAATTATCTATGGACTTATCAATGGAGCTCACCAACCAACGAGGCATTTGACGGAGCCGAGCAAAACTATACAATCTTGATGCCAACCGATGTTTAAGAGCGTCTTCAGCCCTTTCTCCCCGGTTAAATTTGACGCCCAATGTCTTCTGGGCTATTTGGCGTGCTCAGAGGGCCCGCATCAGCAAGAAAAAGGGCGCAAACAGGATTGTGGAAAGTGTGACACTCTCTGCCACTCTCTCCTCAAATCGAGTCTCTTCCTCGTCGCTGCAGCTAGTCTGCTACCTGATACTATTTCGTTTGCTTCGCGCCGGCCGCGAGCCAAGCCTTCTCAACCCCTTCTTTCCTGTTAAAAGTTCTCTCGAGGATGGGCCTCTTCGCCGACTGGAACGGCGATGCTGTGCCCGTCGACTCGCACCAAGACTTGGACAGGCTCCGAAGCAATGTGGGAACGATGCTTGGCGGGATCCCAAACAAATACGACATTCTTCCCTCGGCTCTTTGCATCTGCCTTTATGTTCTTCTCCTCGTCCCCGCCTTCTGGCGTTTAAAGCGCAAAGAGCTCAATGGCCATCAAGTTTGGCGCCCGTGAGTACCTCTTCACTCGAGAGAAGGAGAAAAGTGATAATGACCCAGACTCTTGGCTCAGACTTCTCGTCATTTTCTCGCGAATTGTCTCCTTTGGATTGCGAATCAAGCTTTCTGAAGGGCACGACTGGGACAAGGACGTTTTCATTGCCCAATTGGTCCTTTTGCGCATCTCTCCTATTCTCCTTGTGAGTGTGCAAGATTCTTTTTGGGTGAAGGGGCGGGGCCGCTGAGACAAGACAATGGTGCATAGGCGTCAGCACTCCTCTCTCTATTTCAAGATGCGATCTATCCCTACCTGCCGCGCAAGGAATCTCCGCCTCGAGATCGCAAATTTAAATGGTTGCTTCAGCACTTCGTTCATCTTCTCCAGATTGGTTGCTATTTTGCATTCGGCGTGACGATCGCAATTGCTTTCGACGTTCGCAGCGCATTACACGGCAGCATGGAAGCCCGACAAAAACTGCACCAATCCAAAGAGATGCTCATCTACACGCTTCTCGCCATCAATGTTTTCCTTTATGCCCTCAACATCGTTCCTCTGGTTCTTCTCAAGCAAGGCCGCTATGAACCGAGGCTAGCCAATGTGCCGCAAAAGGAATTCGCCAAATTCGTCTGCCTTATGTCTCTCAACACATTTCTCCTCGTCAATTCCGTCTTCAAAACGGTGCAACTGCTTTCCCCCCAGATGAAGATGCAGACGATGCTCACCATCAACCAAAAATCGCTTTTTTGGGGCATCTGCATCGCAGGCGAATTTATTGCCTGTGCGCTCTTCGTCATCATCCCTTGGAATCGCATCGTCCCTCTTCGAGAGGTACTCGAAGCCAATCTTGCCAGCATGCCCCCGCTGCATCCATCTTATCCACCGCCATCGAGTGAAAATCCCGGACAGCCAAATCACCACGGAGCTAGTGCGGATGTGCATGCTTTCTACAGCTCCGACACAAGCTCAACATCGGGAGAAGAGGAAAAGGAATGCAAACAGATTGCCAGAGGAGCAGCCTCCATCAGCGCAGGACAGCACTGCTCTGAATTCTCTTCGATCAATCTTGGTGATCCTTTTGAGCCTCTGCCTCCGCCTGGTCACAACCAATTCCCAATCATCAATCACAATGGGGTCATCAGCACGGCCAACGGTGGAAGTGGCGGAGATCAAGGCGCTAGACCTCCATTCTACAGCCAAAGCCCTCCGCAACTCACATCCGTGTCAGCGCCGCCGAATTCTGCTACGGCCACCACTACGACAAACCGATCCAGCAGCTTGACGCTCTCGACGATATCAGAGGTGGGTTATAATCCTACGTTATCTGGCTCCCCCGCTCGCGCTCGTGCGGCTCTTAGCGCTGGCAACCCAGGTGGGTGTGGGGCTGCCGGTGGCAGACCGTGGAGCGCGGCAACAACTGCATCGCCCGTGCGTCGGCCAACGAGCACAGTGGATAGTCTGCAGAGCAGCATCTGCTCGTATTGGTCTGACGATTCTTCGGACGAGAAGGACGACGCGGGAGGAAAAAGAGGTGGTCTTGGGGGCTTGTTCACGAAGAAGCGGAGGTCAGCGAGCTTTGGAGCTGTCGAGAAGGACAAGGACAAGGACAAGGGAAGGATCATGAGAAGGAGGTCCTGATGCTGTGAGTCTCCTCTTGCCCTTTTGGCGCAGCACAGAACAGTGGGTCGAAAGTGTTCATAGGCGTTTCTGTTGACTTGAAAGAAAGTGAAGTGATGGATTCCTTACGCGGGTCTCTTCCACACAGAATGAGAAAGAAAAACGCAAGGGAGCTGATTTATGACTGACGGCGTCCCTTACCCTCCAGGTTCTGCACGAAGACGAGGAAGACGAGGCAGCGCCAGTTCCCAAACAAACGTCCGCCGCTTTCATCTACCAAGCGAGCTACCCGCCACATCGTCGACCCTCTGATCCTCCTCCAGTCCTTTCACACCCGCCGCGCGCTCTTGTTCGGACTGGGAGCGGAAATTATATATAGCCTGTCCCCCCCCTCTGTTCTACACTCACCCAATGCTGCTTCCAATTGCTAAAGATGATGAATGGATGTGATTGACAAGAGCGAAAGCTGCTGATAAATTGTTCATACTATACATCGGAGAAGAAGTGCCCTTCAACACCTCATAAGCATCTCCTGCACTGCGTCTTTCAAGAGCGGCAATGCGTGGTACTCGGCCACCTGTTTGAGCAGGTTCAAACGCTTTACGACAGTCCTCCGGTTGACCGCCTCGGTTTTCCAGGATCCCGCGCACTTCCTGCATTGCATCGCGACATTGTCGTCCCTCAGCTCGCCACACTTTGTGCACCTCAGATCCTGAAGCGCATACGCTGTCAAGGCCCTTGTGGCGAGGCCCACGAGCCTCAATTCGATGCGGCTCCGATCGTATGGGTGGGCGCAATTCGCACATCTCCATTCGCGAACTGTACCATGTTGCCTTGACATCAGGTCCGGATCCCTACATAAGTCCATCGTGCGTTCCTCGTTGCAGCAACTGCAAATCACTTGTCCTAATCTTAACGACGGTGTTTCGCATGGATTTCTCCACTCCGCCTCCATCGAGAATTCGCCGACGCCGAGCAGATCCAGCAAGTTTCTCCGGAGAATCCCCACTTCGACCGAGAGGTCCTTAGCGAGACCGAAGACGGCCATTGTCGATTTGACGAATTCCAATGCGGGCGACTGGGCATCGTACAGTCTGCCTGGCAGGTCCGGGAATGTCCATTTCACTGTCTCCGGATCATTCTCGACCTCGTCATCTTCTCCATCTTCCTCGTCAGCGATTCGCGGTCGATGCTTGTGCTGCTCGGCTTGGATTGTCGACACCATCTGCAGAAGCTTGCGGGTCAAAGAGTGGTTCAGAAGGCTCTTCGCTACTTTCGTATGCTCTGACTCGCGGTCGACAACCTGCTTGCCCTCGCTTTCATCGTGCGTCTCATTATTGATCTGCCGAGTTGCTGCCGCTGCAAGGGGGGTGCGATCGACCATTGTCGTCCTCTTTGCCTTGTACAGCTTATCGATCAGGTCGCCCACGGCAGTGGCAAATTTGGGTTGGAGAGCAGGTGGCAAGAATGTGGCAATATTCCACTGCATTTGCACCTCGTGATCGTTTGCCAAAGACGACTTTGCCAGCTCCTGTTCCTCGGCCAAGGGGTTGGCACAGATGACGCCTCCAAAGTTGGCTTGATCCATCCAGACGAGGTACTCCCAAAAGTGGATGATGTCCATGTGAATGTGCTTGAACAGATCTCGGCTCGTCACAGCGCTGACCAGATATCGCCCATACGCTGCTGCACTTCCAGCTGTAGGCTTTGAAGTGAGGAGGAAGAGGCGATTGAAGCTCGCATAGACGATGTGGGCACCCAAGCGCTTGAACTCGCCAAGGAGCTGGAGCAGCGTCTTGCGCATCAGACCCTGAAGGAATCGTTGCATGGCCGGCTCGAACATCGCGCTCGAGTTGCTGGAAGCCCACCGCCAGAAGTTGTCTGCAAGTACATCGCTTGCACTGCTTCGCCCCCTTGCCTTGTCGACGTACCAGGCCTTCGCCATAGCTTTGACCGCGTTGAAGACTTGTGATGTCAGGACTGAGTCGCCGAGAGCCGCTGTGGAGTGCACGGTCCCTTTCGAGTATTCATCGAGGTTGTGGGACGCCGTATCGAAAGCCATCGAACCGGATCCGCTCCCCTCCATGTCATTGACAGAGCCCGATTGCAGGACGGAGTCAATTGCGAGGTCTCGAAGACTGATCTCAAATGTCACGTTCGAATATGCCCCAGCCCTTGAAATCTCGAGGCCAATGTCGTCTTCCTCGAGCGTCGAAGCGTTGTTGCCATCGTCTTCGCGTCCACCCAGGTCAGGCTGGTCACCTTGGCTCCACCAAAGCAGCATATCCTGTCGCACCAGTCGCCGCGCAAAGTCGATATCTGCGCCAAAGATGGCCATGTCCCGATCTGATGTGAGGCTGCACACGGGCACATCAAAGTGGTTGGAGAGCTTGATTCGCTCATCGATCCACCGAGAGCAGCGCAGGTAGCAGTTGATCATTCGCCGGGCGCTGTAAAGCTGCCAGCCAAGAGCAGGTAAATCGCCGTCTAAGTGATTCGAAGGCAGGGTGAGAATTGGGAATTCCATCACGGCCGACCCAATCATCTGCTCGTAGTAGCTCTGCGTCTTTGATGAGTACGTGGTGAGCATCGCGGACCCCTGGTGAGCCTGTCGCAATGTGCTGAGATCTCGCGCGATTGCCTTGAAAGCCCTCCCGGCCGTCGTATGGACCTTGACTTCGGCGCTTTGGAGCCGATCGTGATACTCGAAGATGCTGTTGTGCACGATTCCCTTTCGCTTCATCGAGGCGGCCCGATCTGCGTACATGGTTGCCAAGTTGGGAAGCTGCTGAAGGCGAGCAGAATCGACGATGTGAACGCGCAGCTGCCCTTCTGGAGAGAAGAGGCCAACGACATGACGTCCGTCCTTGGAGGCGTGGTACAAAAAGAAGTGGCGCACGCTTCTTCCGCCGTCGAGGTATCGATGCTTGTCATACGACGAGTGATTGGCCTTGACAAGATCATCAAGGTCGAATCCTAAGTCCAAGGCACGACTGAGCTTGTTCTGGCTCTTGCGATCCATGGCGCACGACGATCCTAGCTTGATGAGCGCTCGGACGTCCAGAGGGACTTGCATCTCATAGACCCCTTCGACATTTGGGTGGTTGAGCATTGCTGAAAAGTGCGACTCTTTCTCAAGGTACGCTTCCTCTGTCACAGTGACTTTGTAAAGATGCCGACAAGGCGTGCCGCGCGGCAGCGATCTGATGAGATTCTCGACCTTGTAGCCGTCCTGGAATGTGCCGCTCCTCGGTAAGGACTTGAAGTTGACATAAAAGATGCGAGGGACGCGCATCTTCAAACTCTGCAGCTGTTTGTCCATTAGAATCCATAGGCGGTACTCGCCAGCCCTCGAGGACGGGCAGATCTGCACCACGTCCCACACCGCCGTCGCCAGGGTTCTAGAGCGATGCGAGAACATCGATGAAGAAGCCATGCTGATGGTTCCCATCGGTGTCTCGCGCTCCTGACGCTTCTTGCTCCACCGCTTCTTCATGACGCGCACCCAGCCAGGGTAGTCAGCATTGATATCTGGCAATGCTTCTTCGGGCGGTTCCATAACAACTTCCGGCCGGACGGAAGCCTTGGTCTGCACTGGCTTCTCGACGCTGAGCTGGTCAGGGAGAGTAGCAGCCTTTGCTCCCTTGAACATATCGGTAAGCTTGCGTTGCTTGAACTTGTCGTCCTGGTTGGCCACCCTCTTGAACAGCCAGTCTGGATGACGAACCCTGGGTACCGGGTTTGGCACACGCTGCATCGCTGCTGGAATCGTGATGAGCTTCTGGATCACTCCGCCGAAGCGCTCGATATAGTAGTTCCAATCGAGGATCGAACGCAAATCAAAATCGTCGAGTGCATTGTCGCGCAGGAAGCGGCGGAGGTAATGCTTCTTGATGCTTGGCTCGGCGTTGAAGATCGCAACAGGCACCGCTCGTTCTGTCACGGGCGCACCAAAAGGTTTGGCAGAGACGATAAACTTGCAAGCCAGACCCTTGTCCTTGACCATCTGCGCTCCTAGGAACTCGGCCAAACGTTTGGCCGTCGTGATAGCTGTCGATTTCTGGTCTCCATACTCCAGCAACGTTTTGCTCATGCTCTTGTTTTCAGCGATGAGGTCGATCAGCTCTTCGTCGTGCAGAGTCGAGCCCTTGGAATAAAGGACGTCGAGCCACTGATTGGCAACCTTGGCCACAGCAGCGTAGCACTCGACGAGAGTGTCGCCGAGAAGAAACTTGTCAAAGATCTGCTTTTGGAAATCTTTGATGAGCTGAAGCTCGCCGCGACGCTTGACCTCGAAGCCTTTGAGTTCTGCCAGAGAGCCGTCATGTTCAAAGACGGCGTAACGTTTCTTGAGTAGCTTGTCCTCTTCCTTGCTCGAAGGTAGGATCATGGCACGGTACGGTCCGTCTAACTCGAAGAAAATCGAGTTCTCCGAGTGGACCTCGTAACGGCCTGTGTCCTTGTCGACGAGGTCGTGGTATTGGTGATTGGTGAATTGCTCGTGAACGAGATGATTGAGCATCGAACAGGGGTACGAGATCCCGAGACCTTTGCCTCCTTTGGTCTTGAAAGTGAAGTTTTCAGGAAACTTGCCAGGAAGCATGCACCAGATGCCGTCTGTGTCCAGCTCGAGGGGTCGGCCGATTCGGTCGACGAGCTCCTTCGCCATCTGGATGATCGAGGCGCCTGTCAAGCAGGTGATACCCGCCATTTCCATCGAGTACCAGCGTGCTCCTTTTCGCATGACATAGCCGTAGAAGGAATTGAGAATACACTTGTGGGCCAGCTGGAGGGAGTCGTAGAGGATGATCATCTTCTTCGCCTCGACGACATCGGCCAACGAGGCTGTCCCGTCATTGGAGCCGGCATTGGCCTTGTCCAGGTTCTTCTTCCAAGTCTTGTGCAGCCCTTTGTACTCGTACCGACGATCTCGAAAGTCACGCACCGTGTTGATGTAGAACGGGTTCTCACGCTGGCAGATGGTCGTTTCGCGAGTCACCGTCTTTGTCTCATGCGTCTTCTTGTACACCTTTCGGCTGTAGTCGCCCAGGCGCTTGTGAAGTAGCGCATTCTGCTCGCTACGACCTAGATCGTGGTAGCTGCGACGTGGTCCATTGGGGTGGGTCGCAGGAAAGCTCTCGTTCGTCAATGCGTGACGAATCATGTTGACCTCGTCCCTTTTCGCAGGGAAATATTCTCCACGCCAGGCCCACTCCATCTTCTTGTCACATTTCATCCCTGGCCGGTTATAATCGCACGTTGCGCAGGTAGCCTCGTTGACGACTGCATCGGGCTGGAGCCGATTGGAAAGCATGATGTTGGGGTACATCGCTGCGACGTCGAGGTGGTAGATGAGAGGCTCAACTTGCATCGTCGGGCAGTCTCGCAGCGCCTCAAGCATCCCTTGGATCTCCGTTTTGACTTCGTCATAATTGGTCACGTCTTCAACCCTCATTTTGCTTTCTTCGACGATGCTGAAGCGCAACGCCTTGTCTAGGTCGTCGATGAGCTGGATAGGATAAAGTTAGGCTCTCATGTGTGAACCCTGACCTGAAGATCTGCGACTCACCTGCTGAAATGCTGCAGGATCAACTTTAAAGTCGGTTGCGATATCACTTCGAAAGACGCCTGCCTCGAGCGCCTCTACGTGGCCACCGACGTATGTCTCCGATTCGAGAAGATGACCCTCGTAAGTGTTGCCGATCGGGTCTGTGTGTCGGTTGGGCATGACGATGTTGCCCTTGTACGCCTGGACCATGAGCAGCGTCTCGCACAGTGTCCCGCTCCCCTTTCGTAGCACCTCGTCGGGATTGAGGGGGATGATGTTGCAAAGACTGAAGATGAAAGGATGCACGTACTTCATGTAAAGGTAGTAGGTCGCTACGGCATCGGAGACCGAGTATTGAGCAAGCGTCTGGGGCTGGTCCGTAGCGTAGGGCGTCATGAGTTCCGGGTCCAGTTCCATGGGATCGTAGCCGAGCTTGGCGACGGTGACGGCCTTGAGACCCTGGCTACCTTGAGGCAGGTAGGAGTCTCGCTTCACCCAACGGAAGCAGTCCATATGCGCCGTCGTACGACTCTTGTATTCTCCATCATTGTCCTTTGAGAAGCCAATCTCGTTGAGCATGTTGAGGCCGTGGTAATTTGCCCTCGCTTCCACAAATGGAAAGTCGAAGGAATCACCGTTGTAGGTTGCGACAACAGTGGGACGAGTATCTTGAATGTGGGAGAAGAAGCGTCGGAGGACACCAAGCTCGTCTGCCTCGTTGAAGATGACGAATTGGCCCTCGTATTCATCCTTTGGCGAGTACTCGAAGTCGTCGATGTCCTCTGAGATGATCTCACGATTGGTGATGAGGAAACCCTGTCCATCGATCATGTACGAGATCATCATAATCGAGTCAGATTCGGCGTCGGGAAACTTGAGCGGCTGCTTGGTTGTCTCGATGTCGAAGGCGAGAACGGTAGGTTCGGCACGCTTGACGCGCGAGGGTACGCCCTCGAGCGAGACTACGCCCTCGTTGAAGCTCACGGTGTACCACAGACCCACTCGGATGTCTGAGGAGATTGTGTATCAGAAAGTGAGCCAGGCTGGGCTGGAGGTAGGGGTCAATTTTCATTCTACTCACCGTTGTCGATGGCCATGCGTAGGTAGTAGGGAACGTCGTACTCTCGCAGATCGGTGATGCATTCCTCAGGATCCAGTGTCCTTTGCCCCGCTCCAGCACCTCTTCTTGCCTTTGCTCTGGCGTCAGTACTGCTCTGTTCGTCGGCCTCGATGCCCTCCATTTCCATCATGAGGGCCGCCGATGCGCTCCCTTCGTCCGCCAAGACGTCGGCGTAAGTGTCGATGGCGTCTCGCGTCTTCTGTGCCTTCTCTGCCAGGGGCAGCAGCTCTCTCCGGACTGACAAGAGGTCCTGTACGTTGTGAAAGCTGAGCTTGATGAATAGCCGGTTGTGACCGACGAGGTGATTGGGAAGCTTGAGGTCTTCTTTCCGAAGACGTTCCAAGCTCGAAACAAGGCCTTCAAACTTGCGCTTGATCCACTCCTCGACATGTGACTCGGTGTTTGGTCGACATCCCACCAAAAAGTAGGGAGCATAGGGAACAGTGACTTTGAACATGCTGGCATCGTCCTGGATAAAGTAGAAATCCACGGCGTTCTTGCCAGAGGCGTGGGTGGGGCCTTCGAGGCTGTCGTCTGGCACAATCGTCGGATGCATATTAACCAGCCAGGCCTCGCGTGATGGTCCCTGATCCAGCCGTTCGAAGCCGAGCCGAGCGTCTATCTCGTCGCGGGCGGCTGCTTCTTTGAGCCTGTCCTCAGCCGCCGACACACCGTCAAAGGCGCCCTTGGTGAGGGATGCCGAAGCAGCTGCATGCGCTTCCGACTTTCGCTGGAAGGAGCTGGAGGCGCCGCCCCCTCGCCCGCTCCCCCTCTTTCGAAAAGTACCCCGACCACGAGCGCCACCGCCTCCATTGGACGTGAGGCCAAATGTGCGACTTGGGCCTGGCATCGTTGGGTTTGTCCCAAGACGCGACTAGGTGGATAGGTAGGTGATGGTTGGTCACTTTGTCCGAAATTGCATTCGCGCTTCTTTTCGCGCTTGGTTTCGGCGACGCGTCGGGTCGCGTGTCTGTGCCCATGCAGCCCTCAGTCCATCTATCTTTGATATTTCAGTGGGTGGAGGACATTGAGCTCTTTTCCGACTGTGGCTGCTTATTCCCATGTCGACATCCCTATTCTTGCAAGGCCCCATGGCAGCCAGCGGCTATGCGACAACAAGATTTCCGCTGTTTTCTCAACCCTCCAACATCGATATGAGCTCGTCGCGCACAGGGCCGCAGCAGCAGCAGCAGCAGCAACAGAAGTCTCTGACGCCAACATTGGCAGCTGCGCCCACGGTGGGCTCGCCGCCAACGTCGCCTCTTTCGTCGTCCTCATCGTCTTCCCCCTTCTCGTCCTTCTCTTCTTCGGCGCGAGAGGATGGCATCCCGTCTCCGTCTCAGAGTAGGGCATATCCGATCTCCTCCTTGACAGCTCGAGTGCTTCGACGGAGACGCGAGGAGTTCTTCCAAGGCACCCCGACCACTGCTGCCGGAGCAGGGCCGAACTCACCGGGCGCATCCACACCTCTCGCGCCTCAGCATCCTCACATGCTCACGCCCGGCCCACTTTCTGTTCATCCGGCAACTGTTCAGCGACGGAGGGCGAGGGCCGGAGAGGGAGGGGCGACTCGAGCGTCACCGAGCCTCGACCCTTTTGCTCGTACAGGCTCAGCAACTAGCAGGGCAACATCGCGCGACGACATGGACCAGAACGCATCGGCGCGGCTGATGCGCCAGCGCTTCAGAGAGCGGTGCCAGGCTGTCATGGCGCGCGACCGAGCAAGGGCGGTGGCTCGCTCACGTCGTGGATTCGATGCTGCGCCAGGTGCTGCTGACTCGCAGGACAGCGAGGGGGACATGGGCCGAGACAATGGCATCAGCAGCAACAGCGATGGATTTCTGATGAGTGACGACCTGAGTGGGAGCAGTGATGCGGATGGTTTCGACGTTCGCGGTGACTGGGAAGAGGAAGACGAAGAGGTGAGTCGGCCCACCCTGCTCTGCATGCGCGCTATCCTCTTTATCAACGCTCGAAGAGAAGCTCACTCTGGTACAACAGATGATCAGACGCGTCATGACGGCGGAATACAGAAGCATGTTGAGGGCGCAGGAGCACTCGGGGAGGGTGGAAGTGGGCTGGCTAGGCCCTGAGGAGGTGGCCTGGTTGGAGGAGGAAATGCGCCGTGAGGAGAGGCAGCCGATCGTCGACCCCGACGAGCCGCCAGCAGACATGATCGATGAGGATGAGACGCTTTCGGCTCTCTATTACGCACATACACAAGAGGCGGCAGCCTCCAAAGGACGCTACATGAGCGACGAGGACGAAGACGGTGGCATTGACGACGAGTGGCTCGCCAATGTCGATGTAGACTTTGACGGCGGGACCTGGCAGCAGCGTGGCGAAGATAAGATGGACACATCCTGATTCGACCTCTCCCATCTCAATGTACAGTACGACTATGACCCTTCTCTTTTCTCAAACACTTGTACATGCTACTACACATTCCAGATGAACACATCTCGATAGCCAACCAAAAACCTTATTTCTCGCTTTCTCGCTTTTCTTCCTCCTGCACCTCGATGAGTCGCGTTTTTGCGCGCGGCTATGCTTCGTCTTCGCGCTCACCCTCATCGTCGCGCTACCTAGCCCGTCAGCGCAAAGACCCCTTTGCGGCTGGAGGAGGAGGAGGGCGAGGGAAAGGGAAGGAGCAGCAGCAGGGGGAGCCCTTTGTCTCGCGAGCGGCGCACAAGCTCCTCCAGCTCGATGCGCGCGATGGGTTCCTGACGCGCAACCCCAGCAGGACCGCCAGGCCGGGAGGGCTCGTTGTGGTGGATCTGGGCGCGGCACCGGGCGGGTGGACACAAGTCGCCCTCTCTGCTCTGGCCTCTTCCGCTTCAGTCTCGGGCAAGGCAGGGCTGGGGGGCCATGTCTTCTCGCTCGATGTGCTCGACCTCGATGCACGCGTCTTGGCGCAGAGCAGTCAAGGCGAGGAGACGGCCTTGACCTTTCTCAAGGGCAACTTCAACGATGTCAGCGTCCGCAGCGAGCTGGGCGAGGCCATTGGAGCCTGGCGAGGTCACGACGGCCACGGCGATGCTGCGACAGAAGGCGGCACCAACGTTGATGTTGTCCTGAGCGACATGATGGCCAACACGACTGGCAGCGCGCTCCGTGATGCCGTCCTGTCGCTCGACCTCGTCCAGTCTGCCCTCAACTTTGCATGCGCCCACCTCGTCGCTGGCCGGGCCGGCTTCTTTGTGGCAAAGTACTTTGAGTCTAGTGACGCCAACGAATTCAGACGCGAGGAGCTCCAGCCTCGATTTGAGGCAGTCGCCTCGAGAAAGGTCGCAGCCAGCAGGAGCGAGTCAAGAGAGATGTACTGGGTCTGCAGAGGATACAAGGGCAACCAGCTGTCGGCTTAGCCTCGTACGAAAAGGAAATGACGGGCTCGACTGACGAACAGACTGGCTTGCGTCTTTGGCAGAATGGTCATCAACAGGTCGCCTCTCGCAACAACAACATCATCACCCTGGCCGGATGGGTCTCATATTGCCTCGCATCAACAAGCATCCTCCCGGGGCCTTCCGGTCTCGGATCGCACGGGCACAAATAGCCTAGAGGAGATAAGCCTGCAGAGGCTCATGTTATCTCGGGGCGCTCCAGGAGCTTGTTGTAGCTACGCCCGCTACGCCTTGGTTTATGAGAATGAATGCACAAAGATTGGCAATAGCGAGAACGGCCTACTTCACTCAGTACATCAGCAATCAATTGCATCGAGAAGCGATAACAAGTTGATTTCTTCTGCTTAGCGGATGGGTAAAAGACGGGTTGTTGGAATCTGTGGTCGAGCAACCTCGCATAAGGTCTGTTACTTGCATGTGCTTGCCGGCCACACTTGACAGCCTCAAAGGTGAGCAGGGTTGGTCAACTGGAGGCAGTAATTTCTGGCTGCTGGAGGCGGTGGTGCTCGGTCCGTCTCTGGCGTGTGCTTTTCGCAGTGCTTGCAGCTGCTTCTGGGCGCAGAGACCGAGGGGCAGTGTCTGATGAGTTAGAGTTGCAAGGGGCGGTCGCTCGGCCCAAGGTATTGGGCGTCCTGCTCGGCTGCTTCAAGAAGACGATCAATATTTACATTCAGCATGGAGGACCTTGCGTTGCCTCTTGTTGGTCGTTTCTCTTTTGGCCAGACGTTTCAGAGCTTCCTCCTTGTCTGATCACACTCTCTCTCCATGAGGCTCGACTTGCAAGAGATTGATGATGGAGTTGATGCCAGTCTCGCCATCGTCGCCCAAAGGAGCTCCAGCAAAATTCATTCACCTTGTCAGAGTCGCCGCCATATCCGGGCACAAACAAGGCGCACCTGCTGAAGATTCAGCCGAAACGTACATATACATATGGCCGTCCGAGTAATGCCAAGCGGTGCTGATGATGCCATAACACGCCTCTGTGGAGTCGCTCGGTCACTCCAGCCAGAGCGAGGCAGCCCCGAGTAGCATCCGAAACGCTCCTCTGCCCCACTTCAAAGCAATCTCAAGTCGCATAAACAACATGTCGTTCAGGCAGAAAAAAGTAGGGCATGAAAGGTATAAAGACCAGCCCAAATCCGGTCCAGACCCTTTTCTCCTTCACCCCTCCCTCACCCCATTCCACTCCATTTCCCTCCCATTCCTCCACTCCCTCCACTCCCTCCGCTCTTGGGCGACTGGTTCGCCTGAGAGCGCCTTTGAAGAGGGCAAAAGAGCCCTTAGAGGAACAGAGCTGGTCTCTTCCTTTCCTCTCATAATGCGTCTTCTCTCTCGTCGTCTGCGCTCTGCCGGCCTGGTGCTGGCAGCCGCTCTCGTACTCTTCGCCGTCGTCAGCACAACGCCCGTCACCCATACGACCGCTTCGGACCACGATGAACTCGAACGCACCGACATCAACACCTTCGTGCGTCGAGGCACCGCCACCAATCTCTTTTTCTTTACATTCGCCATGCTCGTGATTTATTTGAGGTTTTTTACAATGTTGAATCAACTCGATGTCTCCCCTCACGACCAAGGGGTGGTGAACATGGGACTGCCGTTAAACCAAGCTTACACGCCGCAGCCGAGCTTCGATCAGACTCAACAGTGTGTGGACCTGGCGCTAGCCCACAATCTTCTGGACAAGGAAGACATAAAAGAGATCGCCGCGGTTGTCAGCGAGAAGCTTCATATTCCTGACACTGACCACTCTGATCTCGACAAGAAGGAACTTGAAGGCATTGTCAATAATCTCCACTTAGACGATTTCAAGCACCCTAAGTTCGCCTTCTCTCCTGGCCTTAAGGACAAAGGAAAAGCTACCGTCAATTTCTGTCGAAAACACTTAGACATCTCGAGCAAGCCCAAGAAGAAGAATAAAGGAAAGAAAGGCCTCGAAGCAAGACCCTTCGGTCAGCACGGCCAAATTTCAGGCTCGAGAGAGGAAGACGATGAGCCCGAAGACGATGAGCCCGAAGACGATGAGATGCACGAGTCTCTCACAGGAGACGCGCCTCGTTACTCAGAGCATCACACGCAAGGCCACGATTCGGATCACAGAGGTCTCCAAACGACACATGCAGGACCCAACGAATCCCAGAACGGCAAGTCCAATGACGCTTGGTCGCCCACATCCCCTCACCAAGCTGCTCCTTCCAACCTCGAAAAAAGGGGTCAACACGATGAAAGTGACAGTAGGCAACCCTCTTCGCCTACCAAAGGCTTGGCAGGCTCTTCCTTTGATCTGACAACACCGATCACCCAAACTTCAGCCTCCGATCTTGACTACTTCAAACGCTCTGACAGCGGTGCCCTTGTGCGACGAGCACGAAACAAAATGATACCCTCCGTAATTGTAGCATTCCTGTTGGGGTTCTACTTCAGAAAGATCTGTTGGTATCTCAGCGGTCCACACATTGTACCCATCTCCCTAGGTCCGAACGGAGGACTGCACCTGCAACCGTACGAAAGGAATCTGCAGAGATGGAACGACGATCGGTTCCGTCAATGTGCGGCGCTTTCCTTACAGGAACAAATTCTGGGCGAAGAAGAGGTTGACCAGATCACCGCAATCGTCAGCAACAAAATCGCTGTGTCCCGCGATCAAGTTTTGAAGATGAACGAGAAAGAGCTTGAAGAGATGATCGAAGATGACCGCCTGAATTGGAAGGCGAGTGACTTCTCTGAACCTCTTACCGAGAAAAGCAAGGAAGCTCTCGAGCACTGCCAGAGCAAATTCGACAAGGGGAGCACCTCGAATGTGAAAAAGGGAAAGGGAGCGGAAGGGCGACAGCAACACCTTCCGCAAGGCCAGCGTTCGAATTCGAGAGGAGAGGACGCTGAATTAGGAGATGATCGACCGCGTCATTCTTTCACAGAAGACCTGTCCCGACATGCAACATCCCACTCCCATTCAAATAGGTACGGGCAGGGCGACGACTCGGATCAGGGTGCTCTTTCGTCCGGCTACGAGAAAAGGTCTCCACACGATGAGAGCGACACGAGACAGACCTCCGCGCCTTCGGCAAGCGCCTCCTTGGATTTGTCGGTCATTGCAACTCCCGTCATCCATCCAGCCTCAGACCTCGACTACTTCAAATACTCTGACAGCGGCACCCTTGTGCGACGAGCAGGGAAGAACAAAGCAAGAATAGTAAAACACTCCTTAGCTGTAGTACTCACATTTGTGATCTTCCTCAAAGTACTCCTTCTGAGTCTCAAGGGTCCGCCAAACAACCAACCCAACTCCCTAGGTATGTACGAAGGAATGCAGCCGTACGAGGGGAACCTGCAGCCATACGATAGGAACCCGCAGGAATGGAACTACGATCGGTTTCGTCAATGTGCGGCGCTTTCCTTAAGGGAACAAATTCTGGGCCAAGAAGAGGTAGATCAGATCACCGCAGTCTTCAGCGACAAACTCGGTGTGCCTCCCGATCAATTTCTGGCGATGAACGAGAACGAGCTTGCAGAGAAAATCAGAGATGACCGCCTGGATCGGAAGGAGTGTGATTTCCCCGAACCTCTTGATGAAAAAGTTACGACAGCTCTCAAGCGCTGTCAGAGCAAATTCGAGGAGGGGAGCACCTCGAAAGTGAAAGAAATCGAGGGCCCCGGAGGACGGCGGGGCGGTCCGCGTGACCAGCGTTCAAATTCGAGAGGGGAGGATGCTGAACCAGAAGATGATCAACCGCTTCATTCTTTCACAAAAGACCCGTCCCGAGATTCATTATCCCATTTTTACTCAAACAAGTATGAGCTGGGCGACGGGGTTTGGGATCAGGATGCTCCTTCTTCCAGCCACGAGAAAAGGTCTTTACACGATGAGAGCACCACGAGGCAAACCTCGCCTTCGGCAGGCGCCTCCTTCGATTTGTTGGCCAATGCAGCTTCCGTCTCCCAAAGGTCGGCTTCAGACCTCGATCACGTCGGACATCCTTACAATGGCGCTCTTGTTCGGCGATCCGATGAGGAAGAACGCCTACTCACGACTACTGCATCATTTATCATGTTATTCTGCTTCCACTCATTCGTTCTTGTATGTAACCTTTTCGACCCCACCTGCACATGTCCTTTTCCGAACGCAGGACTGCAGCCGCTCGAGAGGATCCCGCAGCCGTACGAGAGGATCCCGCAGGGCTGGAAAGACAGCTGGATTGGCCAATGCGCGGCGCTTTCCATAAGGGATCATGTGCTGGGCGAAGAAGATGCAAAGGGATTCCTTGAGGTCGTCAGCAAGAAAGTCAAAAAGCCCGCCGATCAACTCATGGCGATGGACGAGAAGACCTTTGCCAAGACGGTCAAGAATGTCCGGCTGGATGAGTGGAAGGCGACTGATTTCCCCAATCTTCTTACGAAGAAGAGCAAGGAAGCTGTCGAGCACTGTCAAAGCAAATTCGATAAGGGGAGCCCTTCGAAAGTGACAGGAGAAAAGAGGAGACGACGGCGGCGCACTCCGCATGGCCGGCTTTCGAATTCGAGAGGGGGGGATGCTGAAGTAGACGATGATGGGCCGCAACATTCTCTCGCAAAAGATTCCTCTCCGGGTTCAACAGCCCACCTTGACTCAAGTCGGTACAGGCAGGGCGACGAGGATTCGGACCAGGATGGCCCTTCTTTCAGCCACCACGAGAAAAGGTCTGCACACGATGATCGCGACACGAGGCAAACCTCGCCTTCGGCAGGCGCCTCCTTCGATTTGTTGGCCAACGCAGCCCCCGTCACTCGAACGTCAGCTTCAGATCTCAAGCACTTCGATCACTCTGACAGTGGCGCTCTTGTGCGGCGGCGACTCAATGATTTCGAACGCATAATCGTGATTGTTGCAACATTGGTCTTGTCATTCTGCTATCATTCTCTCTTTTTTGTGTGTAACCGCTACATGACCAACTGCCCATGTCCGAACGGAGGACTGCAGCCGTTCGAGAGGAACCAGCAGCCGTACGAGAGGATTCCACAGGGATGGAACGACGATTGGTATGGCCAATGCGCGGCACTATCCTTAAGGGATCGCACGCTGCGCCACGAAGATGCACAGGAGATCCTTGAGGTCGTCAGCAAGAAAGTCAAAATGCCCGCCGATCAGCTTATGGCGATGGACGAGAAAAAGCTTGCAAAGACTGTCAAAGATGTTCTTCTGGATAAGTGGGAGAAGGGCGATATCTCCGAACCTCTTGTTGGTAAAGCCAAGGGAGCCGTCGAGCACTGTCGGAGCACATTCGACGAGGGGAGCACCTCGAAAGTGAAAGGAGAAAAGAGAAGACGGCGGCGCACTTCTCATGGCCGGCTGTCGAATTCGAGAGGGGAGGACTCTGAAGTAGACGATGAGCCGCATCATTCGCTCGCAAAAGATCCCTCTCCGGGTTCAACAGCCCACCTTGACTCAAGTAAGTACGGGCATGGCGACGAGGATTCGGATCACGACGCTCCTTCTGGCCACGAGCAATACGAGAAAAGATCTGCACACGATGAGCGCGACACAAGGCAAACCTCGCTTTCGGCAGGCGCCTCCTTTGATTTGTCGGCCGACGCAGCTCCCGTCACCCGAACGTCAGCTTCAGACCTCGATCGCTTCGAACACTTTGACAGTGGCGCTCTTGTGCGACGATTCAATGAACGCCACCGCACAATCTTGAAGTATGCAACAGTTATCGTGTCAATCTGCCTCAAGTTACTCTCCATTATCTATCAGACCCGCTTCGGACTCACCAAACCATCTCCGAACGGAGGACTGCAGCCGTTCGAGAGGATCCCGCAGGGCTGGAACGACGAATGGTCACGCCAATGCGCTGCGCTTTCCTTGAGGGATCATGTGCTGGGCGAAGAAGATGCAAAGGGATTCCTTGAGGTCGTTAGCAAGAAAGTCAAAAAGCCCGCCGATCAACTCATGGCGATGGATGAGAAGACCTTTGCCAAGACGGTCAAGGATGTCCGGCTGGATGAGTGGAAGGCGAGTGATTTTTCCGGTCCTCTTACGAAGAAAAGCAAGGAAGCTGTCGAGCACTGTCAAAGCAAGTTCGATAAGGGGAGCACCTCGAAAGCGAATGAAAAAAAGGGCATGGGAAGACGACGGCGGCGCCGTCCGCATGGGCAGCATTCGAATCCAAGAGGGAAAGATGCTGAAGTAGACGATGGGGAGCTGCGTCATTCTCTCACAGAAGATCCCTCTCCGGGTTCAGTAGCCCACCTTGGCTCAAGTAAGTACGGGCATGGCGACGAGGATTCGGATCACGACGCTCCTTCTGGCCACGAGAAATACGAGAAAAGATCTACACGAGATGAGAGCGACACGAGGCAACCCCTTTCGTCTTCGGTAGGCGCCTCCGATTTGTTTGTCAGTGTAACACCGGAGGTCCAAACGTCAGCTTCAGACTTCGAGAAGTCCGATCACTCCCACACCGAAGTCCTTGCACGCCGAATGTTCGACAGAAACACATGGGCTGTTCTCGTCGTGTCATTTCTGCTGGCGATGTATGAGCAGGCGAGAATACTTGACTTCAGCCTCGTTCCCTTACCTCATCGTGTCGTACCACGCCCACCGTATCGTTCGAAATATGGGTACGGGAATGTTCAATTTGGTCGTCAATGCCTGAAGCTGGCGAGAGAGCACAAAATTCGCATGAACAACGATATCGACAAGATCGCCAGCGTCTGTGAAAGAGCGGGTCTTTCTATCCCAACGGATTCAGACTTAGAGGATAACCCAAAGTTGTTGGAGGCTATTTTCGACGAACTCTTCTCGAAGATGTACAACAGCGACCCATTATCCATTCCTGAGGATGTCAAGCAGAAGGGCAAGGAAATTAGCGAGCTTTGTGAGAAGGAGTTGGATGTCGCTACATCATCCAGTTCGAGCCACGAAAAGAGGCTTCAACACGGCGAAAGCGACATTACACATTCCCCTTCGTTTTCGCCAGACGCTCGCATTGAGTTGATCGTCAACACAACACCGGTTACCCGAACGGCAGCTAAAGATGTGGAGATATTCGATCGCACTGACACCGAGATCCTCGTACGCCGAGATCGTTGGTCCAACTTAGGGGTGTTCTTCCTCTTCATTCTGATGGCCTACAGGAGTATATGGCCTTGCAAGGAGTACTACCCGCTTTTCCCCAAGCAATCTCCGGACAGAGCGTCGCTACCTAACGCGGCCTGCTGGCCAGCTGACTATGAAACCAACATCGTCAAAAAATGTTTGGGAAACACGACAGTGCAACAACTTGTACCCAACGAAGATCTTGATGAGATCGAACGTCTCATTAAAAAATATGGAGGCCCTGAGCTCGCAGCTAAATACGCTCAAGTGGATAGCAAGACGCTCGCATCCATTGCTCAGGACTTGAATGCCCAAGCAAATGACCAAGTCTACAAGCACGTCAATGATCTCGTAGAGGCTCGCCCAGAAACAGCCAAAAAAGTCTTCGAGACTTGCCGGAAAGTTATCGAAGAAGGGGACACGCCTGAATCGACGAGACAGGTGAGAGAGCACAGCCAGGGCCAACGACGCGATAAGCGAATTGGAAAGAATCGTGATTTGGGCGAGCTGCATCATTCTTCTGCCTACCCTGAGAGCCCTGCGCGGGGACTGCGCGATCAGCGATCCAAAGTGTCGTCTTCTCCCAATTCTTTTGGCGAAAGCAACCCTAGACAAGGGGGATTTGACAATAGTCTCCGAAAGATAGTTCAGGGTCCTGACCCGAGACACAACGGGATCCCCCATGACGTTTGGTCGACCACTTCCCGTAGTTATGCTCCTCCTCCCAGCCGTGAAGAAAGAAGCGATACCAGGCATCCCCCTCCGTCTTCGGTCGGTGCTACCTTCAACTATTCAGCTTATCGTGATCGCACTCCTTCGTCCAGTATGACGGAACCCCGCGATCGCACTCCTTCGTCCAGCATGACGGAACTCCAGCGCCACGGCGAAAGGCACGAGAAGACTCCAATCTCTGGTCCAAGCAAGAAGGAGCATGTAGAGCCCCCTCGGCTTCACTCAGACGACTATGAGGATGAGCACTCAAGGCGTAATCTCGACAGTCTGCATTCACACGAGCATTCAGACCGTGCTCATACCTCGGAAGAGACCGAGCTCAAGCGGCGGCAAGAAAGACCTCAAGAAAGGCCCCTGTCTCTTCGCTAGGCAAGGTAGCAGAAGTAGCTCGTCGACCACCAGAAAGTGTTCAACCACTTGGCCGGCTGAGTAACAAGATCATGTCTAGTGTTCAACCACAAATGTATGTGTAAAGTCCCCGTCCATCTTCTCTTTTTTCTTTTTTTCTTTTTCTCTTTTCTCTTTTCTCTCCTTTCGCTTTGGTAGTAGCTGGGGTGATTTGGCGGTGATGAATTCGTGAGAGGCAATATAGTGATGCTGTTTAATTTCTCTTTTGGGTTTGACATGGGCATTGCAGGAGAAGACAAGGCGACAGGCAGGCGAAATTCCTTGACGCGAACAAGAAAAGCGAGGTGAAGTTCCGACAGAGAGGTATGGGGCGCGATTGTAATACTGTTCATCTAGTGAACCCGGGCCTTCCTTCGGTAGGCCTCTTCTTGAGGCGGCTTTCCGCCAAAGCTCGCCATCAGATCGGCGTACTCCTTGTCATCGTCGACATGAACAAAGTATTCGAGCTGGTGAGGGGTGCCCTTTGCTGCTTCGTCTTTGCGCATCTGCCTCTGCTCGTTTTCGATGCGAGACTTGTCCTTGCTTGCTGCCTCGTAATTCTGGCTTCGGATGCCTTCAGCCGTCTTCTGCCATACCTTGCGGCTCTCCATTGGGCCTTGCTCCTCTACTGACTTGACCGAAACCTCTTCTCTGTCGGCTCCGGCGTCCCAAAAGGTGGAGTCCTTGTTTCCATCGGGCGACGAGCCCTTAAACTTAGAGACACCGCTCCACTCGCCCTCGACAGTGTACAATGGGTGGGTCGGCTTCGATGAGGGCGAGACTGTGGCCTTGTAAGTGTGAGCCTTTCCTGAGAAGTAGCCCTTGCCGCTGTAGTTGATCGTAGCGAGGTAGCCAGAAGAGGAGCTGATGTGGCTCGTGCCACTGAGCTCAATGTAAGGCGAGCCCCAAATAAGACCTTCGATGACCAGGGTAGGAAGCGTAATGAGGTAAAGCGTCTCGCCCTTCTTGTCCGTCGATGGCACTCGCAGCACGGCATGGCCCACTTGGCGCACGGTGATGGATCGGCCAGAGAAGGACGACTTCTGGCCAGAGTGACCTTCGAGGTTGACACCAGCCTTCTCATTGAGCAGGTTGTAGGCGGTGACAGGAGGGTGGTGTGAAACTACAGATTAATTTGAGTCAGCGTCGGGTCAAGCGAGACTAGCGAGCCAAGGGATGAGACTTACCTTGCTCAGCAATCAAGCTCGTTTCGCCTCGTCCGTCCTTGTCGGGCCAGTTGCCCAGGAAGATCTCGCCGAGAATCGGGTTAAGTGGCTGAGATCCATGTACGTATGCTCAGCACATGCTTCCACCATAAAAAGCCAGGGGATGGGTGCATTCTGACGCACCTTCTTTTCGCTTCCCATCGACGTGTTCCTGCTCATGTACTGGCCCTTGAGCGTGCCGATGAACCAACGCGCGACGTTGACCATCTGCTCGACGTCATCCTTGCCTTCTGCACAGGCCGCAAACAGCTCTGGGTGCTCGCCCCAATACGAGGGGTACTCAGTGAGACTGTTCAGACCAAGCAGAGTGAGCCGCACGTCATTAAAAAGTCAGCGCGTCGTGCCTTACCTGACGGGCGATAGAATGAAGCTAGGTGCCGTCAAGCTGCTCAGGTCTCCCGAGAACGAAGCGATCGTCTTAAGAAACTGTCATCGGATGAGGAGCGAGTCAGTCAGCCAAGTGTCATCTTTAAACGCGATGTTGCTGAACAGCCAGGAGCCTGTCTGGCCAGGCTCCCAGATCTGACTTCGTCAACATGCCCTTGACGCCACTCACCTGGCCCCACCCCTGCCTCTGATCCTTTGGCACGGCACCACCAACATCCTCGTTGTCTGCCATCGTGAGAAATAAGAAAAAAGCAACTGGACTCTATTGCTGAAGACTGAGCAGCGTCGTTGTCGTACTTGTAGTGGAGAAGCGAGCGGTGAGCGAACAAGACGGTGGGAGCGGTGCAACGAGCGACACGGTCAGCCGCGCTAAAAATAGAGAGGGTCTGTAAGACACGTGCACACGCTCATCGATATTTTTCCTCGCTCAGACCTTCTCTACATTGCCCCGAGAAGAAGTGACACCAAGGCGATAGGGTGGGCGACGAAGTCTCGGGATTTTCGGAGGTCCTGAAGGAGGACAAACGAGAAATATGTTTTCGTCGCTGGCGAGCTGCAGTCGTTCGGCCTGTTTGCAGTGCTCCAGAAGGAGTACTGCGAGGGCAGCTATGATTGTGGGCGCGATCGTGAGACCGTCACTGTCCCAAGCCTTTGCTCCACCGGTGCCACCCACCAGGGGGGCACTCTCTCGAAGCCTTTCATCGGTGACCGCACCCCGCCGAAGCTTGGAACAGGCGCAAAGACGACCGCTGCAAGTGCTCGGTCAAGAGTATCCTTCCGACGACTACTCGAATCTGCCCTCGTCGATACTCTCTCGGCTGGCCCCACGGCCGGTGCTCCCGTACACGCCCTCACACCCGCTCACGCTCCTTCGCAACCAGATTGAATCACATCTTTCGCGCTCCACTGCGATTCGTGCACCCTCTCCGATAGTCAGCACCGAGCTCAATTTCGGCAAGCTTGGCTTTCCCGAGGACCATCCCGGACGATCACCTACGGACACCTACTACCTGAACCGAACCACCTGCCTGCGCACCCACACGTCGGCCCACGAGGTCGACGTCTTTTCCGAGGGACATGACCGCTGGCTCCTGACGGCCGACGTGTACCGGCGAGATGAAATCGATGCAACTCATTATCCCATCTTTCACCAGATGGAAGGCGCCTGCGTCCTTGGCCTGGACGCGTACGAACCTGGGGGCCAGGTCGAGCGCGAGTGCGAAGAGATGGAGGCCCACCTCGAACGTGCCGCCATCGAAATTGAAGACGACGTCGATGTGCAGGAAGCCGGTGGCTGGCAGGCCGAGCACGAGTCGGACCCAGCCAAGCTTAACGCAGCCAAGCTCTCTATGCGCCATCTCAAGGCGACCCTCAACGGCCTTGTGCTCGAGCTCTTTGGGGCGCGACACGCTGCCGAAGCCGCATCTTCTCCTCTCAGAGTCAGGTGGATCTCAGCTACATTCCCCTTCACCTCACCTTCGTTCGAGGTAGAGGTCCTGTTCCGTGGAAAGTGGCTCGAGATCCTGGGCTGCGGCGTCATCAAGGACAGGACACTCATTGAGGCCAAGCGCCCCGACAGGCTCGGCTGGGCCTTTGGATTGGGTCTCGAACGCATCGCAATGGTCCTCTACTCCATTCCCGATATACGTCTCTTCTGGTCAAAGGACCCCCGCTTCCTCTCGCAATTCTCCTCTGCAGCGGAGGAACCGCAGACGAGCAAGGCTGAGGCAAGTGTCGCCCTCGAGGCAGGCGTCAGCGCTGCAGGCGGTTCTGTACATGCGAAGCCAAAGCTCGTCACCTTCAGGCCTTACAGCAAATTTCCTCCGTGCTACAAGGACGTCTCCTTCTGGCTGCCTTCCGCGCCTGCTCCAGAGGGTGACAAGGCCACCTTCCACGAGAATGACCTCATGGAAATTGTTCGCGATGTGGCATCGGACCTCGTCGAGGATGTGGGCCTCATCGACGAGTTTGTCCATCCAAAGACAAATCGCAAGAGCAAGTGCTACCGAATAAATTATCGGAGCATGGACCGGTGAGTAGCACTTCATTGCATCTGTGACGAACCACAAGGGCTAATGATTGCGATCAGCAATCTGGAAAATGACGAGGTCAACGCAATGCACGAAAAGGTGACGAAGCGCCTCATTGAAGAACTCGGCATCGAGATTCGGTAGCAGTCACATAAACGCAGCAAAGCTTTTGCAATCAAACGCATCACCCTGGGAAGAATTTTCTGATGACTTTGATTTCACAAGTGTTGTTCAGTCACTAGTAGTCGTGGAGATGACGACGGATTTTGCGCGCAAGTCGTCCTTTCTTCGTTGACTCGTTGTCGCGCTGTCATGAGAGGTGATGTTGCTTTCTTCGTCTCTGAAACCCCATTATTCCTCCTCAGCGCCTTGCGCCGTTGGTGTTCACGCCCTGGCCGGAGCCCTTGGCGCCATCTTTCTTGAGCATCTTTTGCTGTTGCTGCTGCTGCAGCTGCAAATCTGTCAGCCAACGCAGAGAGATTTTCGCGTGTCGCGGCACGGATACACACCCCTTTGTGATTCCTGGTCGAACTCGAAGGGCTGGGTAGTACATCCTTTCCGTGCTTAGGCGTCAAAGGCGATGAGGTCATGTCGCCCTTGGTCGAATTCGGAGACGAAGACCCCTGTTTATGCTTCTTCTTGCTCGACTTTCCTGTCGAAGGTTTACCGTGTCCGATGATCACCGTGGGCCCACTGTAGCCATCGTCTGGGCCTCTCAGTCTCGTCATTGCTCGTCCCCCAGGCTTGCTGTTGGATCCTGTGTTGATCACAAGACTGGCCTTCTTCGCTGTGGCGATAGGGGAAGAAGGCGATTTCGCAGGCTTCGTTCCTTCATTGCTGCTGCTTGCGGCCAGAGCCGGGCCACTACTCAGTCTCGTACCCCATGCGTTCTCCGGGACGGGCGTCTTTTTGAGTTGCGTCAAGATGGGTGCTCTTCGAGATGAAGCTGATTTGTGGAGCTGGGGGACCGCCGCCTGCGTACCAAGTGTGCTGCTTCGCGGTCGGGTGATGGAAGCCCTTAGCGCTGCGCCACCGTCTACAGTATTTGACCTCTTCCTTTGCTGTAGCTGCTGGACAAGCGTGGGAGATCCAACGGTGACCTCTTCGAAAGGGTCCGACGGAAAGACAGTAAGAGCTTCCGCGGTCGACGGGTCCTTGAGCGACCCAAAACTCGAGGTGCGCCTTGCAATGAGAGCTTCCTCTACGTCGGCACCGCTGTCGAGCGTCAACAGCTCAGATGCGTAGTCATCGACCTGGTGGAAGGGGACAAAGTTGATCTTGGCCGTGGCGCCATTTCCTGTAATCTGCCATTCCCCCTTGCCGTTTCTGCCGACCCAGCAGAGAGTACGGAGACTATTGCAACGGCGAGTGAATCTGCAGGTAGAAATTCTCAGCTCGTTCGACATCAACAAGAAAGAAAATCTGCTCACTTCCTGATTTCACGGGTCGGGGGAATTGTGGCTTCGTGGGACGTCAAACTGCCATTCGCTGTCTGTACATCGACCTGAACGACAGTTTCTGTGTTAAAGAGGCTGGTGGGTATGCTGAGCCCCAGTCCCAGGCATGGGGCGTCGCTCTTAACGGTTGATATCGAAGAACGCCTTCGCCGGTGCGTCAAAGCTTCCTCGGTCTTGGTGGACGCGACCGGCGTTGCCAATTCGGTCTCGCCTGATGCCTCTGTCGAAGAGGGCGAGAGCTCTGGCACTGTTGCATCTGGCCGAGAGATCGGCCTTTCGTGAATGCGTGACAAGGGTTGTGCTAGGACTGGTCCACCGATCCTCAGCAAAGGCAGTGAGCTCGGGCAGTGCTGCTCCGTGATGCTGAAGGCAAGTGTCTCGAGGTGGGGTAGTCTCACAAAAGCCGATGACATGGCGAGCTGGAATCAATGTCAGATCAGGGCTCTGGCAAAAAGTAACAGACTCGCACCAGCTTAGAAATGGGCGCATCGAGGCAGATGCGCAGATGCTGTAGCCTTTTGCAAGACGACAGGATCAGCTGAAGCTCGTCCGGAGTCAAGAAGAACATGTCCATCTAAGAAAGAAGGCAGTCAGCAGACAGCTTGTTCACCTTTCTGCCTTTTACGCGCCTCAAGCACTCTAAGGCGGGAGCCATGCTGCTGCAACATGTCTTGTGCGGCTTTTGGTAGTGATCTTGGTGCTACAACTTCGTCGCAAGGCTTGCGGTAGGACATTCGCACCATCTGGCTTTGATCGTCGGAATGCTGCAGGTTTGGCAAGCTCACTGGTATGAGGTCGGGTTTTGTAATGAGTCTCATAGCTGACAGTGTTGTCAAGCTCCCATTTGACACACAAAGTATGTCAAAGAGGCTCGAAAGGTGGTCCGTTGTCCAACTGTCCGGAGTAAGCCTCAGCAAGCAAGATCATGACATGCCAAGGGGGTCCGCGACACCCACGAGTGGTGCGAACCGTTTTCACTGAAGGCCACCTTGAGAGTATGAAAGCTGGACGGCAAGGTAGGAACTTTGCTCCAAAGGCCTTTTGTTAACCTGCCTTCGACCTCGGTCAGCATCAAGCTGCGGAGCGAAGCGCAACCTTCCAGGAGGGACAGGATGCCCTTGTCGCTAATCTATGAACTAAAGAGTCAATTCAAGCAAACCGACAGAAGCAGCACAGAGAATCGAATCACCTTTGTACCAGACGACCTGAGAGTCAAATTAGTCAGGTAGCGCAGCTTGCCGACGTGAGCGAGCAGGGCATCGTCGATGAAGAGACTCTCGATGGTCATCTTCTCGAGCATAGGAGCGAACTGAAGCACCATGTGGAGCTGGTTAACGCCATCACTGGAGAGCTTGGAGAGGGAAAGGACCCTGAGGCAGTGCAGACTCGACAGCCTCGGCGCCTCCCAACGAAGGTGTCCTTCGCAATGGTGCTCTGCTGGTCCTGCGAGCTGATGTTGTAGAATTGTCGTATGGTTCTCGATCAAACCGATGGGACGGACGATGAGGGCGTTGAGGCCAGGGGCGACCTGAGAAAGGACCTGACAAAAGCCCCTGAAAGGCTGTCGATCCGAGGCCCTGCATATGTGCGAGAATGTAAGCCAAGAGGTGAGAAATCGGTGAGCGCAAAGAATTGCTAGTAGACACTCACCAAAGAACAGCTTCCAGATTGGGGAGGCGTTCGACGAGGGGCGCGAAGACTTGAGGGTCAAGTGGCCACGCCGGAGCCAGCTGGCCTTCATGGCGATGAAAGAAGCGGCCGATTGGCGCAGCAACGACTATTAGAGATCGTACGTAGGCGGCATACCTCTCAGGATGCCGAATTACCGTGTCATAGCGAGTACCAGAGATCGGGTGGGCTATGGCATTGGCGTCGTCCTGAACGCAGAGCTCCTCGTACAGCGCCTTGCATGCCGCACTGTTGAAACGAGAATTGACTCTGACAAGGTTGCAGGCCGTTGAGGGATCTAGCTGTACGGTCCTGGCAATGAGGTCTGTGTTGGTGATACGCAAAAATCAGCACGATGCTTGGCATACCATGCTCAAGATCGACTCGCAATGGAACAAGTTCGATGGAAAATCATCGATGTGCGGCCGAGGCCGCCGCGGCTCGTCCACACTGCCACCGCCGTCGTCTGAGCAGTGCTCAGCCATTATGATGCTGTGTGCAATCTCGAGCGAGGGCACCGGGACTGAAGGAATGGCGTCGGCAACTGCAGATGTGGTGGCTGAAGAGAGCAGAGAGCTGCTGTCGCCCTCGCGCCTTCCGACGCCTTTTTTTCTTCTTTCCTTTGTCGCCAGTCGACGTGCTCAGCTCTCTTATCAGACTTGCTGAGCCCCGACCGTAATCGGACTGAGTAGAGGGGTGCTCACGACCAGAATGCTTGACCTTACCCCAGCTTGTCCGTGCGTCTTCTTTGGCTGGTTTAGCATCAACAAAATACCTAGCAGACATGTGCCAATTACTTTGACGCCTCCTTGCTCCACCGCACGGACGACAAGGCATGACAGTACAGCAACCGTGCGAGGCCGCCAAGCCGCGGTCTGTCTCGTGTGCGCCCATGACCGTTCATTCTGCACGTCCGCTGTGACATGGGCGGGGCCAGAAAGCACACCGCTCTGTTGTGCTTTTCATTGTCCTCAGCTCCGCCCACCAGCCTCACTCAAGGTCAAGCGATTTTGCAGTTGCTGTCGCTGCTGCTGCTGCTACTCTTGGTAGCTTTGACTCTGCTAGGACCAGCCTCAATCAATACTGGACGATGTTCCTGATTTTCTTTGCAAAAGAGAGAAAAAAAAAATCAGTTGGAACAGCAAGCATTTTTCAGAAATGCGCCTTGGGTGTTGGCAGCCGCCACATGGCTGGTCGACCCGGGATGACGCGGAAATGTAGCCGGAGAGGCCGTGCATGCGCGCTACTGATTATTGAAATCGCCTCTCCACCCCGGGACGTCGTCGGTGCGCTCATCGCTTTCTTCCCATCACCTCGCAAACCTCGTAGTTCCAGCAACCCCCGGCCACCCTCTCGTCGACATGTTCTCCGCCCTCCGCACGCCCCTGAGCCGCTCTGCCGGCGGCATGGCCCGTGCCAGCAGCCGCAGCGCAACGGCCACGACGCTGCGCCAGCTGTCGTCGTCGGCGCCCCGCTTCTCGTCGCCGAGCTACAACAACATCATCGTCTCGCAGCCCAAGCCGTCGGTGACGCTCATCACCCTCAACCGGCCCAAGGCGCTCAATGCGCTCAACTCGGAGCTCTTCCACGAGATCAACGCGGCCACGGCGGCCGCCGACGACGACGCAGCCGTGGGCGCGATTGTCATTACCGGCAGCGAAAAGGCCTTTGCGGCTGGGGCCGACATCAAGGAGATGAAGGACAAGGAGTTTGCCGCCGCGTACAAGTCCAACTTCCTCGGCCACTGGACGAAGCTCACCACGATCCGCAAGCCGATCATTGCGGCCGTCAGCGGCCATGCGGTGAGTCACACAAACCATTCTCCGTCTGTTTGGTCAGGTCGAGAGTGGGAAGCTGACGTGGCCCTCTGCAGCTCGGCGGTGGATGTGAGCTGGCAATGATGTGAGTTTAACAAGCAGGGGGCTGGGCTTACTCGTACTAACACAGATGCGGAATACAGGTGCGACATCATCCTCGCCTCGCCCACGGCCACCTTTGGCCAGCCCGAGATCAACCTGGGCGTGATCCCCGGTGCGGGCGGCACGCAGCGCCTGACAAAGGCGCTCGGCAAGTCGCTCTCGATGGAGCTCATCCTCACTGGCCGGCCGCTCTCTGCGACCGAGGCGGCGTCGCACGGCCTCGTCTCGCGCGTCGTCGACGAGGGCACGAGCGTCGTCGACGAGGCCGTCAAGGTGGCCGACAAGATTGCGCAAAAGGGCGCCGTCGCCACCCAGGCCGCAAAAGAGGCCGTCAATGCCAGCTTTGAGCTCAACCTGCAGGAGGGCAACCGCTTCGAGCGGCGCCTCTTCCAGGCCCTCTTTGCGACAAAGGACCAAAAGGAGGGCATGTCCGCCTTTGCCGAGAAGAGAAAGGTGAGTTTTTTCCAGACGCCGTTGCAGTTGTCCCCAAGCACTCTGGCTGACCAAAGAACGCATACATAGCCCACCTTCACCAACGAGTAGAGGCATCCTTTAAAAGTGAAAAAAATAAAGGGAGAAATGTCTTTATATCAGGAAATGGCATTGATGTGCTGGAACACTACGAACAGCAAGTGCCTGTCTCTTTGCCGCTGCTGACCCTGATGGCCCTCCTGATTCTCTCGTGGTCCCGTTCCTCGTCTGTCTCTGGGACGTGGGCACCCGCTCCCCATGCGCCAAAGAAGCTCCTGCGCTTCTTGCGCCCCGCGGCAGCACCACCACCTTGCCCAGCCGCTCGCCTCCGTCGCCGCTCCTCCTCGGCGGCCTCGTAGGCCCAGCGTCGGGCGCACCGTACAGCAACGTGCTTGAAGACGTCATCGACGCCCAGGCCGTCCTTTGAGGAGGTGTAAAAGAGCCTGAAGCCCTCCTCGAGCGAAGCAGGCGCTCGGCTGTTTTCATTGTCGTCGTCATCATCATCGTCATCGTAGAAGCCATCTTCCGATGACTCGTCGTCCTCGTCCTCCTGCTCGCGACCCTCTTCTGCGCCGTGGTTGCCCGCATTGGCACCCGCATGCAAATCTGCCCCCTGGTGCGCCTTGACGGTGCTGGCAATCGATGAGGGACGTGCAGAGTAGAGGGTAAAGCGTCTGGGGTCGGCCTCGTCGCGCTGTTCGTCATCCTGAACAGAATCGGCGGCCGCTCGGCTGTCTCGCCTGGTCGAGCCTCGTCGCTTGGCCGCACCACCTCGCCGCCGTGGCACCTCGACCTCATCACCATCACCCTCCTCGCCATAGTCGTTGTCCGAGTCTTGCGAGGTGGGAAAGGGGATGGGGTCGCCCGAGGGAATCGTAGAGATCGTGCCCTGGCCTGGCGAGGGAGGGCCCGATGAGCCAGACTCTTCTCCACCAGGCGAGGCTGCTCGCCTCATCGTCGCGGCAGTCGAAGATGCTGCATCGTCATCACCGTCACCATCCTCGCCGTGACCTTGCTCTTCACCTTGACCTTGCCCTTGCTCCTGTGATAGTCTTGCCTCTCCGTCTTCTTCTTCGTCAGCCGGGCCTGTCGTCGGTGTCCTCGCTGATGACGCCTTGCTCGGCCCTGCGCCCTGGCTGCTTGCCCCCGTGGGGCTCTGCGAGAAAAAGGTGCTGCCGCGCACAGAGTAGTAGACGCTCCCGCCGGCGCCCGTCTTGAGGCTATTGGTCGTCGCCGAGCTGTCGTATCGGTTGCGATTGCTGCTGATGCTGCCGAGCGGGAGTCCATGCGCGGCCGAGGTGGGTTTACGTGGGCTGCCTTGTTGGGACGACGAAGGGACGTTCGACTTGGAGGCATCGGAGACCTTGAGGTGGCGAGATGCCGTGCCCGGCGTCGTTGCCTGGCCCGGCGGTGTGCCTGCGCCCGGCGGCCTTGTTGGCCACACCGTGGGTGCTCCCCCGCTGCCCGAGGGAGAGTCCGAGGTGGATGGGTGGCGCTGGTGCGGCCGGCTGAGGACGTCTTCTGGCTTGGCGGGAATATCAAGCGACGTCGCCCGTGGGCTCGGGCGTGGAGCAGCCGAGCTGCCTGGCTGGGTATACTTGGACAGCCACTCCGGCGGCTCGTCCGGGTGGCCTCCTGAAGGCTGCTCGCCTTCTCCTTCCTCGGGCAGCTCCCTTGCCAGAAGACCGTCAAACCACTGCCTGGCCTCGTCCCACGCGATCCCTCCGGCTGCGTCCCCTTGAGCCTCATGGGCGGCCACTGTTGAGAGCGCATCGGCCTTGCAGCCCACGGCGACCCAGCAGAACCTCCGGCGCTCCTCCCGCGCCCTCTTTGCGCTCGCACCACCATCTGCGTCTGCGTCTACGTCTCCGCCCTCGTGCTCGTCCCAGCCGATGGCGCCGAGCCGGCGGAACTCGTCGTACCACGTCAGCGTGCGCTCCAGACTGGCCCGGTCCGAGACGTCAAAGGCCAGCACGACGGCATCGGCGCCTCTGTAAAAAGCAGCGCCGAGCGAGCGGAAGCGCTCCTGCCCCGCCGTGTCCCAGATGCTGAGCTGGACCTTGATCCCTTCCTCGTCATCCTCTTCGTCCTCTTCCTCTTCCTCGTCGTCTTCTTCTCCCTCATCGCCTGCTCCTGCCTCTCCTCCCTCCCGCCGCCGCCCTCTTCGTCTCCGTCTCCGTCGTCTTCTCTGCCTCCTCTGCTGGCCGGGGTGCACCGCAGAACGGGGCACATAGAACGTCTTGCTGACAAAGTCGGCCCCAATCGTCGCACGGTAGCTTGGCTGAAAGGCGCGAAAGAGGAGGCGCGACCGCAGCGACGTCTTGCCCGCATTCCCGTCCCCGATCAACACCACCTTGACCGTCCGGGCGGCGGCCGGTCTGCCTGCGTCGTGCATGCCACGATCGAAAAGTACTTTCGTGTGATGAGTATAGTAGTAGCAGTAGTGTTAGGGGCTTCGCTTTTTCGGGCGAACAATGAATGCGACGTGTTCCTGTCAAGTCCCCGCCCTAAAAACCTTAGGAAGGTCGAAAACGGACCAGGCTAAAAGTAAAACCTCCATCTCGAAAAAAAAAAAAAAAAAGGAAACAAAGCGCACGAACCAGGCTGCAACAGTCCGTTCGTTCATCCAATTACCCCTTTTGCTTCGGGCCATCTCGAGAGCATGTCGGCGCCGCGGCGAGGAGAAGCGACCGTCGTGCCCATGGCGCCAATAGCCGGTGCCGGTGCCGGTGCTGGCGCTGGTGCCAAAGGGAGAGGCAACGCAGCGCTCGCGGCGCGGTATCAGCACACGCTCCGGACACACTCGCGCTTCTACGACGATGCCGCTCCATCAGGCAGCAGCAGCAGCGGCAGGTCGACGAGGCTCGCATGGCAGCGCGCGGCCATCCTTGCCCTCATCGTCGTGCTGGGCTACTATGCCCTCCGGGGACGACTGGAGATCGGACAGAGCATCGACGAGATGCAGAGGCAGCAGGGCCACGAAGACGTGACGTGGTGGTAGAGAGACACACACACACAAGACCGAGGAAAGCGATGACAGCGACATGACATTGTACATTTGTTTGTATAACAAGACCAGTCCCCCTTCTTAAAAAAAATGAATGAAAAAAGATACGATGGGGGAACATTACAGGTACAGCGAGGGCGAGAAGATGATGCTTCCCTGCCTCTCGAGCTTCTCCATGCTCTTTGTGAATTTGTCCTCGAGCTCCTCGTTGCCAATCGCCTTTGCCGCCTGCGTCATCTGCCGGATCAGCTCCTGGAGCCGCCGAAAGGTGCGGATGACGCTGCCCTCAAAGACGTCGGTCAGCTTGCAGATGTCTGCAAACTTGGCCCCCTTGCACCACTGCATCACCGCATCCATCAGCTCGACCTTGAACCCAGCAACGTACTCGTCCTCGTTGATCTGCATCCGCGACTCGATCGAGACCTTGGCGATGCGCCTGGCCGTCTCCTGCATGACGCGCAGAGGCGCTGCGAGGTCCTCCTTGAGCCGGATCTGCTGCGCTGACTTTTCGCCAAAGACGAAGCAGCTGAGCAGCGCGGCGCACTGCTCGGGCGACAAGTCGTTGAAGACGCCGTTGAAGATCATCTCTGTCAGCAACAGCTCGTCGCCCGTCGAGATCTCGCAGGCCACCCGTCCCTTTTTCTCGACGACGTCGTCGGCAGTGGTGAAGCCCAGTCGTCGGAGGACACGCTTGCGGCACTTGAGCTCGTCGAGCTGCATCACCGAGTGCGCGGCACTCAGCTGCTTCTTGAGCCGCTCGACCTCCTGGTTGAGGTCCTCCTTGGCCTTGTAGGCCTCATAGAGCTCTTTTAGCCGCTTCGACCCACTCAGGGGCGACTCGGCCAGCTTCTGCTCCAGCAGCACAATCTTGCCCAGGAGCGTCTTGAAGCCCTCGTCGGTGATCTTCATGTCTTTGATCGGGTCCAGCAGCGGGATTCCCTTGCCGGACGACGACGACGACGACGACGACTCGCCACGGCCGTCCTTGGCAGGAAACCGTCTAAAAACTTCCTTGAGCCGGCCCTTGACCTGCTCTCGTGCCTCGCTTGTCCTCAGATCCTTGGGCAGAATCAACCGGATACCTGCGATACTGTCGAGCGTCGAGAGCAGCACGGGCACCACGACCATCTCTCCCTCCTGCCCTGGCGCCTTGGGCTGCAGTCCAGCAGGAGCACCAGCGCCGGGTGGACCTCTGGCCACCTCCTTCGACGAGGGCACAATCGAGCCCTTGGCACACTCGAGCAGACAGTCGACAATGTACTGGCTCTGATCCACCTCCGAGGGCGCAGGCTTGTTCCTCGGCGGCAGCCTCTTCTGGTACGACACGACGCAGCCCCAGCCAAAGTCGAGGTCCTCGTGCTTGATGCGGACCAGGCGGCCGGGCTGCAGGAACGGAAGCGCATAGCTGGGGTGTGAGATGATCTCGCGAAGGTCCTTGTTGAGCTCGTCGAGCTGCTTGCGAATCCCAAAGTATTCGTTGGTGTTCTCCTCGTCAGGCACCACGGCCTCGTCGCGCAGCCGAGTCGCCTCTTCAAGCTCGCCCTCGAGCTGGGGAACCGAGGCGGCGCTCTGGAATTGGTAGAAGCATCGCTCGAGCATGTACTCTGGCGAGATACCCTCGACGCGCATCAAGTTCAGGACCATGTTGTAGCCCAGGTGGAAGGCCGAGTTGAGCCGGTCGGCCTCGCCCTTGACCATCTGCTTGGCCGCCGGTGGGTCGAGCTTCTCGTCGAACATCATGATGACGATACCACGGTCGTCGAGGCCACGTCGCCCTGCTCGACCCGACATCTGGATGAATTCGCCGCTGCTCAAGTTTCGGAACTCTTTGCCGTCCCACTTGCGCACAGCAGTAAAAACAACCGTCTTGGCCGGCATGTTGAGACCGATGGAGAATGTCTCAGTGGCAAAGAGGACCTTGATGAGACCCTCCTGGAAGAGGATCTCGATGACCTCCTTGAGGATGGGCAAGAGACCGCCGTGGTGGATGCCGATGCCACGCCGGAGGAGCGGGAGGATGTGCTCGATCTGTGGCAGCTGCCTGTCCTCCTCGCTCAGCGCGCCAATGGCATTGTTGAAGACCGTAGACACCATGTCCTTTTCGTCGTCGGTGTTGAATTCGAGCTTGCTCATCTGCAACGCCAGACCCTCGCATTCCTTTTTGCTAAAGGCAAAGACAATCACGGGATTGTAGTTCTTGAGCATGATCATCTTGATGATCTTGTAGATGTCCGAAGGTCCCTTTTGCCCTCCCTTTTTCGTCTGTCCCTTTTTGTTCCTCCCCGAATCGGCGGCCGCAGGGTCCTCGCCCCTTCCTTCTGCGAGAGCACCCATCGCCTTTTGGAAATTGTCTTCGCGGAAGATGCCTCTCTCATCGACGACAAGGTGGATGCCGTCGCCGCCTGTGGGAAAGAGGTAATGCTGAAGCGGTGTGGGCCGAAAGTCTGTGTAAACCACATGGCATGGCTGGCTATGGGTATGGGCGATCCACTGGGCGAACTGCATCGCGTTGGGAATCGTGGCCGAAAGAAAGACGTAGCGCACCTTTCTCGGGAGCAGGATGATTGTCTCTTCCCACACGACGCCGCGCTCGCTGTCTCGCATGTAGTGTATCTCGTCAAAGATGACCCAGGCCACCTCGCGCATGATCTCCGAGCCGCGGTAGAGCATCGACCGCAGAATCTCCGTCGTCATGACGAGACAGCTTGCGCTCGGGTTGATGGTCACGTCGCCCGTCATGAGGCCGACATCGCCAAAGTCGGCCGCCATCTCTCTGTACTTTTGGTTGGACAGGGCCTTGATGGGGCTCGTGTAGACGACACGTTGGCCGTCCCGCAGACACTGGGCAATGGCGTATTCTGCTACCACCGTCTTGCCAGCCGAGGTATGTGCCGACACAAGAACGCTCTCGTTTCTCTCAATAGACGAGATGGCGGTGCGCTGGAAAGGGTCGAGGGCGAAGGGCCATGTCCGTGCAGGTTTCTCGGGCGGGACGTGGGAGGAGAGGGGCACGTAGGGGTATCCTGGCGGCAGCGCGACCTGATGACGGACCGAGTGACTGATCTGCATTGCCCCGCCTTGCTTTGACGACGAGGGGTCCGTCCCGTTCGTTGTCGTCGTCGAGGTGCCTGCGACCGTGCCCGACACCTCTGCTTGCACCGCCGCCGCCCGCTTCGCCTCGGCTTCCTGCGCACCCTCGGCGACCGGCACCTCTCTCACAGCTTCTGCCGTGAACTCATCCGTCACTGTTGTTGATGCCGTCGCCGCAGCCACCTCTTCCAGCCTCGACCTCTTCTTTGCCGGCTTCGTGGCTCCCCCCTCATCCTCGCCATTAGCCACACCGTTGCTGCTCTCGGACTTTTTCACCAGCGCGCTGGACCCGGCCTCCGCTTGCTCTGGCGTGTTTTCCTTTCCATTGGCGCTGTCCTCGTCTCCGTTGAGGGCCGCTTCGGCAGCCGCTCGCTTCTTTGCCTTTTTCGCCTTTCGCTTCTCTGCCTTCTTGGACAGACCCGGTGAATCGGCCGAGGGCGAGCCCACGTCGCCCTCTGCCGGTGTCGAGGTTCCGCTCCGGCTGGCCTTGCCAATGCCAGTCGCCGGCACGGCTGCGGCTCCAGTGGGCTGCTGCGGCTCCAGAAAGTCAAAGAGTCCGTCTGGATCCATCGTCCTTGATCGAGCCAAAAGGCGTTGGAGCTCTTCAGAAAACCAGATGAACAGAATCGCGGTGCCTTCCAAAAACAACCAAAAAAAATTGCAAAATGGATTTGCATGCAAAAGCTGATCGAGTCGTATATCTCGGCCGAGAATCGAAGTTGGTCCGAGCTTTCTTGTGTCTCGATGGAGACGCGCGGTCTCCATCACTTACGAACGACGACAACGACGGCGACAGCAAGCAATATGGTGAGCAATCAAGTGTGGTACCATCTGAGCAGGAATAGAGGGTTACTGACAAGCGCGAGGAACTGCAGTCGTCTTCTTCGCAAAAGGAAGCGATGCCCGGACCATCGCTGCGCATCGTGCCTGGCCCACCTTCGCAGAACTCGGTGACGCTCAACGCGACAGAGCACCACGTCCACAAGGGCGTGCACGACACAATGCGCTTCGGGCCTCGAAGCCTGGCACATGAGACATCGGCATCTGCTACACAGCATCCTCTACAGCATCGTCTGGAGCAGTGGGATGAGACGCGGGACAATCTCAAGCTCACGACGATGCGCAACATCTACGGCGTGGGCGCACCAATCCGGACGCTGATGGAACGGAGGATCGTTGGCCATGTGAGTCAAGCCTCCCCCCTTCGGCTGAACTTGGAAAAGATCGCTGACTCCCTGACGGCACGCAGAACCCACATTTCCCTGCATTGCACTCAACACATGTGGGAGGTCCACGAAAGGGTCTCTCTGGGCTCCACCTCGACATCCTCAGCGGCAACGATGAGACAATCGATCCCGCTGACTTCCTGCCTTGTGAGTCCAGCGACCTAATCAAGCCAAAATCTTGTCTTCTGGGCTGACACGACCGCTGCAGCTGATGCATCTGGTGGCGACCTGCACGACATCCACTCTCACATGGAGCGCAAGCACCGCATCTAGACCAGTGGCTTGGAGCGAAATGAGAATACACTGATTCAATCAAGTGGCTTCTTTTTTGACATGAAAAGACGATCTCTGAATGTTCTCTGAGTATGAAGCTGTTTGGAGGACCGGCCTAACGGTATGAATTGAAGGATACTTAGACGCCTCAATTGTTGGGTGGGATGCCATATCCCTTGCCTGGAATCGGCTTGCCGTCGCTAAAGAGGATCATGGAGCTCAGCAACTAGCCTTCAGAGTCGGTGTGTGACAGCCACTCACCATGTCCACGTGCTGTCTTTAGCTTTGGGCTTCGCCTTGATCTTGTAAGGGCTCTTCAGGCCCAGACACTTGTCGATGGGGACGCTCTTCATCTTGCGCTGTTGCACACCGGCAGTCAGTACAACAGGAGAGGAGTTGAAAGGCTCCTTTCTCTTACCTCTTCGTAAAGGACTGGAACGCTTTTGTCAGTATAGTGCGGGTCCACGCTAGAAAGAAGCGCACTCACTCCTCATGCCCTCCTCGAGTCCTTCTAGAGCTTGCTCATGGACGAGGAGAATGTCGGTAGGTTTGACACCCCTCCACACCTTGAGCTGATCTGTCTTACTCGCGCCATCAGCGTCCTTGGAATTATTGTCGACGGCTTGGTCAGTTTCTCTTTTTTTGACTCATTCCAGACTGCTCCTCTTACCCCTGTTTGCTTGCTCCAGTGGACAATCTCATAGCCCCATTTTTGCTGCAGGTGTTGTTTAATTACGTCGTTCGAATCACCGTATGGCATACGCATGGTGCGAGGGATGACGCCACAGACTTTGTAGAGGGCTTCCTCCAAAAGCCCGACCTGCTCGTCGACCTGTGCTGTGGTGAGGTTGTAGAGAAAGTCGACGTGGCTCCACGAGTGGCCGCCCAGGATGCCTCCAGCATCAATAATGCCCCTGCACCAGTCTGCAGAATTCGGCAGTCAGCACGAAAGGGGACCTCGCCAGGCCGTCCTTGGACCCACCCTTGTAATTGTCTTCATAGATGCAAACGTAGTTGAAGCCGTTTGTGAAGTGAGTGAGGTCGCCCTGCGCATTGTATTTATCGATAGCTTTTTCCTTGACTTTCTGCCAGCTGTGCCAAAAAAATGGAGGTCCGGGAACAGTGAGGGATGCGAGCAGAGAGAGGGGATAGAGGCTGCGGAAACACACTTCTCGTTGGGACCGTCGTCGATTGTCACAGCGACGCTTTGACCATCCTGGCATTCTGTCCAGTAACCGCCGATGTAGCCTTGCCGATTGTAGGGTTGGCGCCACGGCTGGCTGTTGAGGTTGAGATTGGAGGTTCCGGAAGAACCGTCTGGATGCCGACCTCGGTGGTTAGGTTTGCAGTGCCTGTGACTGTTTTTACCGTGCTTGTTTTTACAGTGGTGCTTCTCACCTTGGGGTGCGCGCTTCCAGAAATCGCGCTGCTGCTGCTCTGTTCGCGCGAGAATGTCCTCGTGGCCCAGCTCGTACTCGGAGGGGTCACGAGTCTCGAGATCGGCTCGCACGCTTGGAGGGAGCTGGGAGAGAAGGATCTCGCGAGCCCTGAGCTCGGCGTCTTTTTGGCCAGAGGGAACGTTGGCTGCAAATGTTTGACCGGAGAGAAAGGTAAAGATGACTCCGACCGTGAGCAGAGCACCGGGATAGCAAGGACGAACCATCTTGAGTTAGGATGGTAGAGCACAGGTGAGGGGGACCGAGAGTGTAAAGAGTCAAAGATAGGAGGGGGAGGAGAAGGAGGAATGAGGGAGGGTTGTAACGCTTTCTCCGTCTCTTATAGAGCCCTGGGCCCAACGAGGACAAGACAACTCTAAAGTGGCCGCGGTCTGTACAAAAGGACAATGGGACTCATTCAGGGATAAGCAGCCAGCGGCCATTCTCCTAATCGGCTTTTCTCATCCCTCTCCTCCGCTGTTGTTGCTCCGCCCTTGGGAATCCGGACCGCGCCCTCACGGACAGCACTCCTTTGACAGAGAGGATTGGCGAATATTTGTTCTGATCGGCCTTGACCGACCGTCATCACTGCTGGAACGCGGGCCGCCAGTCAATTTCAGACAAGGGAATGCTTGAGAGTGATGTGTCCTTATCCTGTCTCGAGATCACCGGGCGTCGAGAGCGCGCGCGCGCTGTGCTCCGAGACGGATGACAGAAGGTGACGGAACCCCGACCGCCTCTAGCTTTTTTATATTTTTTGCAGCTCGACCGCGTCTCTGTGAATCTTCTCCATCAAGCACCGACTAGGGACGTCAGCGAGCATGTCAGCAGAGAGGAAGAGCAAGTGGGACGAGCAGGGAGAGGCAGGCGCAAAGCCCGGCCCTGATGCTGCTGCCGCTGGTGAGTGTTGGCCTCTCGCTAGATGTTTTGCTTGAGGGAGGAGACGAAGCTGATTTCAATTCTCTGCTTTGCGTTTGCGATTGGACAGCCGCTGCTGCCGTGGCCGCCAAGATTGCTGCGCAGTACGGCGCCTCTTCGTCGGCATCTTCTGGTGGTCATGACGCGCGGTCTCCTTCTGCAGGCGATGTCAGGAAGCCAGATCTACACGATGCCGAATTTACGCATGACATTGAGATCAACGACCAGCGAAATCGATACATGCTCACAAAGGGCCAGACACAAAAGCAGCTCGAGGAAGAGACGGGCGCTTCCGTCACGACAAAGGGGACATGGTACCCCGACAAGTCGCTTGCTACCGCACAGGACCCTCCGCTGTTCCTACATATTTCGGCGACGACCAAGGAGATCCTCGACAAGGCCATCGCGGCCATCAATGAGCTCATGGCACAGGATGTTCCTCAGCTTATCGAGGACCGGCATGCCAAGCGTCTCGAATACGAGGCTCAGCGACGGGCACATGCGCCGCCTGGGGTGAGTCGCTTTTTATCCCTTTCAATCTCTCCTGTCCTGTTCCACTGACAGCCAAGGATTAATCATCTCATAGCGGCGCGAATGGCCGGAGGAGAAGGTCTTCATTGGCTTGGACTCCATGCGCAACTTCAATGTGCGAGCAAAGACGGTCGGACCTGGGGTGAGCTTGTTATAGACACGCCGTTTCGCCTGCGATACTCATTCTTGCTTTTACATCAGGGCGTCTTTGTCAAGTACATCCAGGGCGAGACCGGCTGCCGAGTCCAGATCAAGGGGTTAGGATCGGCGTTCAAAGACCCAAATACGGGCATGGAGAGCCAAGAGCCGATGCACATCCACCTGACGTGAGCAAAATGCCCTTCACCTGGTGCTGCATCAAGGAGAACCTAGAATGCTGACTTTGCATGACACAGAGGCCCCGATGCAGCCAAGGTCGCCGAGGCAAAGGAGCTTGCCATGGATCTCCTCGACACAGTCAGGACGAGACACGCAGAGGCACAGCAGGCGACAATGGCGCAGTGGGGGCCCCACACCCACATGCAGGCAGGCATGCCAGGGTACGGATCGCCCGGAGCCTATGGCCAGGGGGCGCAGCAGGGCTACGGAGCGTACCCAGGATGGGATCAGCAGCAACAAGCTCAAATGCAGCCACAGCAACCACAGCAGGCGCACCCTCCCCAACCGCAGGGTGAAGCGCCACCGCTGCCCGATGATGCGCCTCCGCCACCGCCCCCGGAGGACGAGGCACCTCCGCGTGAGTATATTCATCCCTACTCTGATCGATCGTTGCTTCTCTCCATCTGACAAGATCTCTCCTCCTCACTTGCAGCACCGGCCGAACCGGCAAAGAAGAAGAAGACGCCAGAGGAAGAGGCCATGGACAAGTATTGGAACGATTACGTGAGTCCAGCCATCATACAAGGACCTTTGATTCTCGTGCTCATTCTCAGTTTCCTTACAGATCACCTGGGAAAAGTCTTACGTCGAGTACCATAAGCGGTTGCCGACAAAAGACGAAGGCGGTCAGGATGTCCCTCCCGAATACCGGACGGCTCAGAATGGCCGGTGAAGGTCAGAGGGGGAACGAAGCGCTCTCTGTCTCCTGTGAATGTATATCTTTGTTGCAAAACTTCTTTACAATCCTCGGCTTGACTAAAGGGATGAAGTGTAGGGACATTGTAACAAACTAAAGCACTGAGTAGCGACCCTGCTGAGGCCCTCGCTGTTCGGCCTCTAGGGCCGCCTGCGTGGCCTCCAGCAGCAATTGCTTGATGTCTCGGACGGCATGAGCGACCTTCTCTTCGTCGTTGCTCTCGATGAGGAGCTGCAGTTTTGGCGGTTCGCCCAGCTGAGGTTCTTTGCCCTTTTCGTAGAAGACGCCCTTGTTGGTAATGGAGGCGCCCGTCTCGGATATGAGCGTCGACATCGTCTCCTTGTTCGTAACTCTCCAGCGAGCTCGCTGGGGAAAGTCGTTGATGGGGACAATGGCGTGGAAGTCTGTCGAGTCTGGATCCTTTGGACGACGGTGCTGGTTTGCAAGGGCGGCTGCTGCGGCCTGAGCCGCTTGCGCAGCCTGGTCGGTCGACTGAGGGGGTCCCTGAGCGCGCTCGGCTTTGCGACCAAGGGCCGCCGCATTGATGCGCGCAAGTGCTTGGGCGAGCTTTGTCGTGTCTGCGCCGCTCTTCTTGGCAGCTTCGAGCGTTGCGCGATTGCGCTCGAGGAGCGCATTGTCGGCTGCTTCCTGCTGTTCTTTTGTGCGGGAGCCTGGCTCCTCGCGCACGCGATTGTCTCGGACCGACTCTGGCGCGGCGCCCTTTTTGACCTCGATGTTGAGCGACTGCAGCTGCTCGTCCGACGGAGCTGGGCCCTTGTTGACCTGGATGTCTTCTGTCGCAGATGTGGCAGCTGCAGCTGCTGTCTCGCGGTCTCCGTCGGTCTTTGCAGCCCCGTCGGCGCCCTGATTACTGCGATCGCCACTCTCCCCGTACGCCGATCTTTGCGCAGCTAGGACCTTTTCACGATCATTCTCAAGCCTCTCGAGACCCTTTCCGCCAAAGCCGGAGGAAGCATTGTGGGCCTTTCCAGAAGCCACTTTCTCCTTGAAATCGTCTGCCAGCTTTTGTAGCTCCACAGGAACCTCGACCTTGCTTGCTTTGAGTGCAGAGATTATGTCGCGAGCATACCGATCCTGTTGAGGAGTGATGAATGTTACGCAGGTACCTTTGTTGCCGGCTCGTCCAGTTCGCCCGGCCCGGTGTACGTAGTCTTCCATGTGGTTAGGAGCATCGTAGTTCACGACGAGCTTAAGCTGCTTGACGTCCAGGCCACGGGCGGCGACCGAGGTAGCCGTGACGATGGGAACGACGCCGGCCTTGAAGTCACTGATGGTCGAGTCTCGGTCCACCTGGTCCTTGCCACCGTGTAGCGACATGGTGGGGTATCCCCTTCGCATGAGTTCTCTGAGCAGGTCGTCAGCGCCCTCTTGCCTTTCGACAAAGATGAGGGTCCTGCAGTCCTCGTCGGTGTTGTACGTCTGCCCCAAGATCTCGAGTAGCCGGTTGAACTTGGTGCTTTCTTCTCGTACCTCAACGATTTGCTCGATTTCCGGCGCGACGACCGACCGACCGCCAACGATGATCTCAAGGGGCCTATTTCTGAGCACCTTTCGCGCAAGACTTTCCATCTGCTTGGGAAATGTGGCGGAGAAGAGCACAGTCTGCCGATCAGGTCGGATGTTGTTGACAATCTTCATAACCTGCGGTTCGAAACCCATGTCAAACATCCGGTCGGCTTCGTCGAGGACGAGGTAGGTGACTCTCTTCAAGTTCGTAACGCGGCCGTTATTGGCGGCCAAGAGATCAATCATGCGACCGGGCGTGGCCACGACAATCTCTGCTGTCTTCTTCATCTCGCCAATCTGCTCCGAAATAGGAGCCCCGCCATAGACGCAGACAGACCGCAGGCCAATGGCTTTGAGAAACGGCTTGCTCTCTCGGTAGATCTGCACAGCCAGCTCTCTGGTGGGCGTCATAATAAGACCTATCGGCCCTTCGAGACTCCCTACCGGTCGCTGATCTTTAATGTGACGGAACATGGGGATAAGGAAGGCCATCGTCTTGCCCGAGCCCGTCTTGGCAACACCGATGATGTCTCTTCCAGACATGATGGCAGGGATGGCCTGAGACTGGATTGCCGTAGGTGCCTTGTAATCCAGCTTTTTAATAACGTCGAGGCAGCTGCCCGGCAGACCACAGTAGCTCCACTTCATCAAGGGTTTTGGACAGTCTTTGCCTCGGACCTTGATGGCATCGAGCTCCATGCGCAGTCGCTCAGCATCCTCCTCGCTCATTTCCTCGACTTCGGCAGGAGCGTGGTAGAATTCCTTTCGGAACGGCTCGTAGTCGACTTTGGAGTGATCCACTGTCGGAATCTCCTTCTTCTTGACCTTGGACGCGGCTAGGGCCATGATGTCTTGCATGCCAGCCTGATCCAGCTCGTCTGGTTCGCCCACAATCTCATCGTCGCCAGGCTCCTCGTCCTGTGCCCCAACGACCTCTGCCAGTGCTCGCGCCTTGCCCTTGCCCATCCTCTGCAGGTCTGCGTCGTTTACTTGCTTGACCTCGGCTTTGACGCCGGCCATAAAAGCCTCGAGAGGGTCGTCTTCTTCCTCCTCCTCTTGCCCTGCTTCTTGCATCTTAGCATCATCGCTCTTCTTGATCTCTACGTCGACGTCCATCTTGGTATTTGACTCTTGCTCAGCAGCGCTTCTCTTCTGCCTAAGAGTTTCGGTGACATCGTCTCTGTTGCCTTGGATGACACTATCATCCACGAGGTCGGTCTCGTCGTCCTCTGCGGGATCAGCGTCTCCTTGTCCACTGTTCGCACCATCGGCACTCAAGGATGGATCCATCGGCGGCAATGTGAACTTCTCGATCTGTTTCTTCTGGTCCCCCAAATCATCCAACGCCGACACAGTGCCCTTGTTGCCCTTTGCAAAGTCGGTCCTGCTTTGGAGCCCTCGAAGGCCGGTCGCATTGATCGAAGTCGTTGGCGCTGCGCCACTGGAAGTAGCTGCTGGATAAAGCCACCAAAGATGAGAGGCTGCTGAGCACACATTGACGCCCTCAGACTCACTTTTTGTTGCTTCTGTGCTGGCCCCATTGGCTTTTGCAGCCTCCGCCTCTAGTGCCTTTTTTGCCTCTCTCTCTCTCTTCCATGCCTCCAACTTCTCCTTTTTTGACCTTTGCTTTTCGGCAGCCGTCGGATCGCTCGCCGCCGGAGCAGGTGAGCCATTCGCAGGCGGAGTATCAATCGAGGAAGGCCTTGGTGAAGCTACGTCTTTGCTGAGAGAAGAGGACTCAGCAGCGGCGTCCCCCCTCCCCTGGGCGGGCCTTGCACCTCCATCAACATCAGCCCACCCTCGCCTTGCGCTCCTCTCACCGCCATGTCTACTGCCGCTGGCACCACTACTCGACGGATGGCCATTCCTCTCTCTTGTCCGCCAGTCATCGCGGCCGGCGTAGTCACCATCTTCATCGTCGAGCCTCGCGCGCTGCCTTCGGTGATCATCGCTCCTGTAGTACGACCTGTCCCTATTCCCGTCTCTGTCCCAATCCCTCACCCTGCTCCTGTCTGAGTCCCGAGCTCGATCCCTGTCCCTGTAGGACAGAGAATCGGGATGACGCGATGACCGATGGGACGAGGACAAGGGAGGGGATCGAGAACGAGAGCGAGAACGAGAGCGACGGCGTGAGGAAGATGATGACTTTTTACGGTAATCATCATCTTCATGATACGTACGCTTTCTGGAGTGGTCTCCTCCTGCCGCACTGCCCCGGCTCCCTCCGGCTCCGCCCCGATGGTAGTCGTCGTCGTGCCGCCCCATCGTAGGCGTGTGGTAATAAATTCGTGGTGTTCAGATCGCAAGGCTTGCCAAAAAAATAAGAATGAGGAGGCCCATCTGCTCCACGTGGGGCGACGCGCTCATTTTGGAGCCAGACGTGATGGTTGGTGAGGACGCGCCTCACTCTATCAAGTCGCCTCGGCCCGCACAGAGACGAAAGCGCTAGGATGAGGATCAACGTAGAGCTGCCGCTGGCGTCGACATCGTCACTAGCGAGCCAGCCGTCATCCAGTGTCCCGCCGCCGCTGGTTCAGCTAGCACCGAGCGGGGAGCTGGCGCTCATCGAGCTGCAGGGCCGCCTCGAGATGGACGATGTCGATGCGTCTGGCGGACAGGTACTCGCCAAGCTCGAGTTCTCAGCGGGTAGGGAGGACAGACCGACGCTGCTCATCTCACATCATCGCCTGGAGGGAAAGATTGTCTCTTTGCCCCGGCCTTTGGCCGTGCTGGAGAAGAAGAGACGCGTCAAGGAGGACTTTCAAGAGGCACCTCTCAGACGGGGCCGCGTACAAGATGTGGCATCTTCACCAACGCCATTTGAGAACCGTAGTGACCCGCTGAGTAGAGGAGGGGCATTGGAGAGGGAGGACGACGACGACGACGCGGCAGCGCCGTCGTCGCCTACGATGACTCGGAAAAGGGCGCGGCCGAACGTGGAGGAGGTTTCACTGCAGACACCGCTTAAGCGTACAAGAGACGCCGAAGTAATGAGCAGCAGCCCCATGCCGCCGCCTCCAATGCGGGGCAGCGAGCTCGACTTCAGCTCTCCTACAACATCACCCGCTCGAAGAGCGCTTCCAACTCACACGGATAAGGAGGAGGAGGAAGGGGACTCGGCGAAGAGTAGGACGACAAAGACGTACTTTGAAGTCGTTTGCGTCATTCGCAAGAAGATTCTCTTCACAAAGCGACCCGAGCCCGTCGTGCGACTGGACGAAGAAGGAGGCGAAAAGGCAAAGGTTGCGCTCGGCATCGCTTGAGGCCTGCCCATTCATTTTTGTAATGTAGTCTGTTTGACAATTGACAATTCTCCGAAGCTGTACATGGCTGTGTGGGTATCGTGCATTTGGTGTGTCTAGGATGATGTGTGTGCGTGTCTGTCTCTCTCTAGCCCTCCTGAGGTACGTCCTTCTTTGGCTTCTTCTCGCCTGTCTTCTTGGACTTCTTTCCCTCCTTCTCTTTGTTCTTGCGCTTCTTTCTATCTTCTTTGTCCTCGCTCTTTGGCTCCTTTCGCTTCTTCCTGCTTCGCTCAGTCTCGGTAGACTTCTCCAAGTAGCCATTTTGTAAGAACTTGACCGCTTGTCCCTCTGACTCCTCTCCCTCGTCTCGGCTCTTTCGCTTCTTTGACTTTCCCTCCTTTGTCCTGGCCTTCTCTTCCCCTTCTTCCCCTACCTTGATGGCACAAGCTTTCTTCTTTGCCTCCTTGTCCCTTCTCCTCGATTCCTTCTTTTGCCTCTTTGCCTCTTTTTCCGCGTCATCTGCTCCAGTGCTAAGACGTTCCTCCTTGCTCTCTTTCTTCTCCTTCTTCTCCTTTCCTTCCTTCTTCTCCTTCTTCTCCTTCTTCTCCTTCTTCTCCTTCTCTTTCTTCTCTTTCTTCTCCTTCTTCTCTTTCTTCGATTTGTCCTTCGCTTCAGCTTTACCTCCGTCTCGGCTTGTGCCTTCGCCACTTGAGACGTCTGTCTTCGTCTTCATGTCTCCGTCGGCATCCTGCAGCCGCGGCTTAGCGAGTGCCTCTTCCTCTCGCGCCTTGGCCCGTGCCTCTTCGTCTTCTTTGAGTTGCCTCGCAAACTTTTCCTCGTCCGACTCGACGTGCCTTCCCCGAACGAAGCCGCTCATGAGCATTTTGCGCGCATGCTCGCGCTTAGCCTGCCCGATGAGCGACACCTTCGCAGCCGGATTGACCCCGTCCAATTTGCGCGCTTGCACCGCGGCGCCCGCGCTCTCCACCGCCGCTGCGGGATCCATGACCGTGACCGCGGCCGCATTTGGCTTTGCCGACGAAGAAGAGGGCGAGGAGGCCGTGGGAACAGCGATGCTGATCGACTTTGCACTGGCCTCAAAGAGGCAGTCCCACCACTCGACGGCGCGGTCGCGCTCCTTGCCCAGACCCTTGACGTTGCGCTTCTGCGGCACGCTCAGCGGCTTCTTCAGCCCTCGGCCATTCTTTCCATCCAGCGGCGCTCCTTTGCCCTCCCAGCCGTGCGCCTCGAGGTACGTGGTCGAGTTCAGCGGCATTGTGCGTGCTCTTTGAGAAAGAGAGACGTGCAAGGAACGGCACTGCGAGGAAAGCTCTCCAAAAATTTAAAATTTTGAAATGGTCACGTGTGCTCCCTACGGACAAGAGCGGGGATGGTGGTGTATGATTGAAGATGGCGAGCAGATGAAGGGGCGAGGAACTACAGTACAGTGCAAACGCAAAGAAGAGGGGCTGAGAGGCCTCTCTCTTCGCAAGCACATCTATCAGCTTAGATCGTAAGTTATCGCTTAATCTTCCAGGCCTTTCCGATGCCACTCCTCCGCAGATCGCCGCCAATGGCACCGCCCATCTTGTTCTTTGCCTTGAACTCGTCGTAGCGAACATTGGCCGCCAGCAGCTTGTCCTTTCTCGCCCCGATCTGCGTCGGTGCCACGTCCTCGTTTGCCTTTTTGAGTCTGCACGGCCTCGAGCCAATATACTTCCCTGCAAGAGGAGCCAAACGGGGTCAGCGATGAGCCGCTCTAACACACTCTCTTAAGCATGAACGCACCATCCATCTCCTTCCACGCCTTGAGGAAGTCTTCGGGATCTGCAAACGCGACGAAGCCGTACCCCTTTGACTTCAAGTCGACCTTCTTGCGCACGACTCGCGCCTTTGAGAAGGACTTGTACTTTGAAAAGGCCGCCGACAGGACCTCGTCTGTCACGTCATTGCCCAAGTCTCCCACGAAAAGACGCTTGTGAGCTGTGGGACAGGTCAACTCTAGCCGTTAGTCTTTCTTTCTCTTCGATGACGCGAAGATCCAATACTCACTTGGATCCCACTCGAGCAGCGTCTGATCTTCGTAGAGCTTGCCCACGCTCTTTCTCAGCACCGTCGTTCGCGTCTCGCCCTTCTTGAGATTGCCCGCCAGCGCATTTCCCTCTGCGTCTTTGGGGCCTGCCACGTACTTTTTCCTGCCCTCTGCCCCAGCTTCACCGCCATTGGCAGACGAGGATGCGCCGTTGTATGCGCCCGTCGATGAGGAGCCGGCAGCACCACCTCCATAGGCGGATGCCTGCTCGGATGCCTGCGCCGCATATGCCGCGTCATACGAGGACGCGCCTGGCCCTGCGCCGGAGCCGCCGGCCTGGGGATAGCCATAGGTGGCGTAGTACGAGTCATAGTCAAAATCCCAGTTGCTGGTGTTGGCGTTCCAGTAGCTGAGAGCAGGCCAACGCGTCAGCATCCACCTCCCGTCTCGGTGCATGGGAAGCCAGCCACACTCACTAGAACTGCTGGTAGGGATCTGCTGCCGTCGACGAGGACATGTCGTCGTCGTCACGCAGACAGCGCAGGAGGAAGGCCGGCTGATGTTGTGTCTCCTCGACGCCATCGATCAGCTGTGATGGAATGACAAGCCTTCGAAAAGTGCGCGCGCACGTGACGGCCTCCACCTCCTGCACGTCCAGACCCTCTGATCTTCCTGTTGGTCATCAGCAGCAGCATCAATCAAGCCAGCTAAGACCTGCCTCGTCGTGCTTGCTGGGATCCGCTGCGCAGAAGCCATGGACACAATCGTGCCCGGTGCGCTGGCGGCGTTTGCCGTCGACTGCTCCATCTTCCCGCTCGACACGATCAAGTCGCGCGTGCAGGCGGCCGACTACGCCTCGCGGTTTCCCAACGGCCGCGGGCTCTACCAGGGCCTCTGGCAAGGGTTCGGGCCCGTCGTCGTCGCGACGCTGCCGAGCGCGGCGCTGTTCTTCACCACCTACGAGCACGCCAAGGCGCTGCTCACGACGCCGGACCGGCTGCCCGTGTGGGGCGCCTACGTGGCGGCCGACACGAGCGGGCGCGCCGTGGCGCTCGGCCACGCCGCCTCGAGTGCCCTCGCCGAGCTGGCCTCATGCGCCGTCCTGACGCCTGCCGAGACGATCAAGCAGCGCATGCAGGTCGCCGTCGGTGGGCCCGGGAGCAGCAGCGCGCACAAGATGCCCTCGCTCGCGCTGGGGTCCATCTGGCGCGGCTACTGGGCGCTGGCGGGGCGCAACCTGCCCTTCACGGCGCTGCAGTTTCCCCTCTACGAGCAGTTCCGGGGTGCTCTTGCTAGACAGGTCGGACTCAGGCCGAGGCGCGCTGCTGCGGGGTGGGACAGGGCCGCACACCAGGACCGCCAGCTGCAGCAGCCAGACGTCACGACGGGCGACGAGGCACGGAGGAGAGCATACAACGCCGTGCGCCAGCGGCCACCGTCATCGACAGCCGCGACGACACCGCAGCAAGCAGGCGGCGAAAGTGCTGCTGCATACTATGCAAAGGCCGGTGCCGTCAGTGGGCTGAGCGCAGCGGGTGCAGGCGCCATCTCGGCCCTCGTCACGACGCCGCTGGACCTCGTCAAGACGCGCATCATGCTCGACTCCTCCTCCTCGTCGTCGTCGTCTGGCAAGCACAGAAAGTCGGCGCTCGGAATGCTGCGCGACATTCTGCGCACGGAAGGCGTGCGCGGTGTGATGCGCGGGGGTGCGCTCCGCTGCGCATGGACGGCCCTCGGCGCAGGCGTCTACCTCGGCAGCTACGAGGCTGGCCGCGAATGGTGGGGCGACGCCGGCCGGGAGCAGTTTGAGAGCGTCAAGGAAAAGGTGTCCGACGAGGTCCTCGAGCCGCGCCGCTGAGCGTGCCTCTTTAATTGATACCCTCCTCAAAGAGCTACTCATGTGTCCACTCAGGGACTCAGACAAACGCATAGAACACGAACACTCCTACTGTGTCACTGGCAGCAACAGGCAGACTTGTGCCATGCAAAATATATTGTACTCTACAGACGGAACTGCTTGCCCTCGCCCTGTGCCTCGCCCTGCCCTGGCGCCGTCGATGGATCCAGCTCCGAGAAGTTGGGCCGCAGGCGCGTGATGGACACGTAGCCATTGAGGATCGCCCCTGTGTCTGTATGCTTAGTCAAAGAAAAAAAAAATTAAAGACAGCATCCAGTCTGGAGACACTCACAGGTGTCGGTGCCGACGGTGAGGTCCTTTGGAGCCAGCATTGAGGCCATGTTGGGGCTGAACCGGAACTGCACCGCGGGTGTCGGCGCCGACGCCGGCACGGGCTGGTGACTCGCGGGTGTCGCAGTGATGTCGCTCGTGGCGCTCGTCGTCGCTGCTGCTACTGCTGCTGCTGCTGGTGCGCCGGCAGTCGGCTGGAACAGCTGGCCGTACTTGCTCTTCCACATCGTCGTCCAATACACTTTCTCGTCGCGCAGCATCCAGCACAGCGGCACATTGACGGCATACACGCCCACGTTGTCGTCCCACTCGCGCCAGAGGCGCTCGATGATGCGGACGCTGAGGTCGTGCGCCAGCTGCACCACCTCGCGCGGCGCAGACGGCGCCGTGTAGCTCGCCTTGCGTCTCCGTTTCGTCGCTTCTCCTGCTCCTCCCTGCTCCTGCTTCTTCTCCTGCTCCTGTTGCGCCTCTTCCTTCTTATCTCCAGCTGCAGGCCCAACACCGACGCCGACGCCGACGCCGACGCCGGCCTTTTCCTCGCGCGCAGCCGCGGCCTTCATCTGCTCCGTCGGCTGCGCAAAGTGGCCATACGAGAGGCTGATGGCGCGCACGCCCGAGAGCGCCGCCGCCATGGCCGCGCCGACGGTGCCGGAGCCGAGCGCAAACGCCGTGCCCGTGTTCCGGCCAAAATTGGGGCCCGAGATGACGAGGTCAAACGCGGGCGCCGACGGAGCAGAGGAGGAGGAGGAGGAAGTAGAGGGACCTTCCTCGCCGCCGCCGCCGTGATAGAGGGAGGCGTAGGACCAGAGGCCAATGTTGGCGCATGTAGTGGGGGAGCCATCGAGGAGGACCCACTCGGCGACCTCGCCCTCGTCCGGCCGCACGGGCCGGCGCGTGGCGCTCCAGGAGCCGGCCGTGCGCGCATCGGCGCCGCGGTCGTTGTTCGCAAGCGGGTAGTAGTACCACAGCGAGACAGGGTGGGCAATCGCAAAGGCCATGCTGCCCCACGACTTTTGCGACGAGGGCAGCACCACGCTCACGTCCCAGCCGAGGCGCGCGCGCAGGTGCGTGTAGAGGCCGAGGATGTGCGGCGAGCTCGGCGCGGGCGGGCCGTCGTCGTTGACGAGCAGCACGCGCGGCGGTCGGCGTGCCATTGCGCGTGTGGCCGTCGTGAGATTGGCGAGGGCTTTGCTAAAGAATGCGGGCCGCGGAGAGAAAAGGAATGGCCCGTCCAGTCAGTCGCCCACGAAGAACACCCAACCCACCCACCCCCTTCCGGGCTTAGAAAGACGCGGCGGCCCGTCGCTTACTTTTTTTTTTTTTTTTTTGGAAATGAAAGTGCGCAATAAGCTATCGGTAGTAGTCGCAGCTAGCCGGTTGGTGGCTGGCTGCTGACCTTAGCGGGGCGCCCATCAGATAAGCTGGCCAGAGAGACGCGGCGTGTAGTTGAGAGAGAGGCCAGTGAGACGAGGACAGAGTGCAGGCGTGAGAGAGAAGGCAAGGTGAAATACAGATTGGTGGAATAGAAGAAAAAAGTACAGTACAGGAGCGTCTACAGATGCAAAGAGCAGCGAGTGCGACAGGGAAAAGAGAAAAGAATGCATCAGCGCCAGACGTCGCAGCTCGCCGTGCGGGCCTGCCACTGCTGCAGCGGGCCTCGTCGCGGGCCCTGCTGGTAGGCATCGTCGATACCGATGCGGAGCGGGGCCAGCTTGGTATCGCCGCTGCGGCTGTGTTGGGACAGTGACGACGGGTTCCTCGCCATCATTACGCCCATGGGGGCAGGGCCTCCGGCGGCCTGGACGTGCACGGGAGGAGGGCGATGACCGGCGGGACCCATTCTTCGCGACGCTCTCGAGAAGTTGGGCCTCTTCTTCAGGCCGCCTCGGCCCTCTTCTACCCCGTCTTGCTCCTCCCCTTTCGCCTCTTCCTCATCGTCCTCGTCGTAGGCCCTCTCCATGCTCCAGTCCCATGCCTGCTCGTCAGCAGGCCCCGCCTCGTCCAAGAGGACGGCATCGGGGAAGAATTCGCGGAGCATCCGGACAGCCTTGGGCCATGCGAGCACCGTCAGGGCACGCAGCGGCTTGCCGTCGCTGGGCTCCTGGGGCCACCGCCGGAGCACGTCAATGGCATGGGCAAAGAGGCACAGATCCGAGTGCTTGCGTCCGCCCGGCCTCCACTGGGCCCTCTCCTCCTCGGTCTCGTCGTCATCGTCGTCTATGCTCATGTCTTGGGACTCTTCGTGACTGAATGCACTAGCATGATGGTGCACATTGCCGCTGCCACTGCCGCCGCTGCTGTTGAGGCTGCTGGTGCTCCCCTGACGGCTCATGCTGGGCCGTCTTCGCCGTCGTCGATCGACGCCACGTGCGCCTCGCCAGTCGTAGGCACTCAAGACGTTGCGCAAGGCGGGAGGTCGATAGCTGCCGCGCGTGACCCACCGGAAAGTGAGGCTCTTGAGGCGAGGAAGGACCGTGCGGAGATCCTCGACGGCGTCTGCGTCGAGGCCAAAGACGTTCAGCTCGACGTGGCGCAGCGAGGCAAAGGTGGGCACGGCCAGATACTGGGGGATGCTGAGCTCGGCAGAGAGACGCACGGGCAGTGCGCCCCGCTCGAGGCGCGAAGCTGTCCCATTGTGGAGCGCGGCCATAGCCAGCAGGTCGAGGTAAAGGTCCGAGAGATTGGAGCAGGCAAGCAGGATCTGCTCCAGACCCACGCCCAGGGCCACATTTTCGGCCAGCTGGCCTGGCAGGTAGCCACTGTCGTCAAAGTCGGCCGAGGCAATCTGGAGCGACTTGACGAGGCGGCCAAGCGAAGGGTTGTGCAGCGCCATCGTCAGCCGGAAGCGCCGAAAGGTGTGGCCATCATTGAGCTGGACATGGGCGTAGAGCTTGGGAATGACGAGGCGATAGTGGGCCTTGGACAAAAGCGCAATCTTGCAGGGCACGGCATCGGGCGTGTGTGGCGACGCAGCGAGCAGCAAGATGTAGCTGACAATCTCTGGGGGCAGCCTCTTGACCAGCTCTGGGTTCAAGTTCCTTCCTCCACCGCCTCGACCACCGAGCGAGAGGGCCGAAAGCAGCTTTCTGCGATGGGCCTCTGTTCAGCTTCCAGGGAGGACAAGGCAGGCAAAGACAATGAGGACAACTCACGCGGACGCGCCCCCCTTCGAGTCGATTCTCTCGCCAATCTCGACTGCCTCGTCGTGCAGCCTGGCGCTCATGATCATGACGTTGGCCCTCAGCTTCTCAAGTCGGCCCAATGCGGCGGGCGGCAGTGGCAAGTCGTCTGGTCGCGGGCCCAGTGCCGGCAGATGGAGGGGCACAGCCTGCGTGTCTGACCGGTCGCGATTGTTCAGAGGCGAAGTGGGTGCTGCCGACCGAAGCGAGCCGATGGGGTCGTCAAAGAGTAGTCGAAATGTTTGCAAGACGATAAAGAGGTGGATGCCCAGGACGAAGCCGACGGCGCGAGAGACGGCGTGGATGCCGTGGACAATGGCGTGGGCGATATCAGAGATGACAATCATGTCTCGGCTTGCCTTTTTTTCTCGAGACGGTCCAAGCACACAGAGGCAGAGCAGAAGATCAGAGTGAGAGAGGGCGGTTCCGAAGACGCCTTGGTGAGCGACCGAACGGGTATAGAGACAGGAGGTTGCGACAAAGGCGCGTGTCAATGGCGATGGGTGGCGGCGAACTCGAGAACGGGTCGACGGCCGTCTTCCGCCATGTTCCGAGCCCTCTTTATACGATGTCTGTTGCCGTTGCTGCTGCTGCTGCTCCGAGCAAGAATCAAGAGATGATCATCGGGGAGCAACGAAGATATCCAAATTTCCGCTGGTCGTCCCTTGAATCGCCGAGATATAGCATTAAAGGTCTATCAGATCTGTGCGTGACAGGCCCCAACCGGTTGGCTCCTGCGTTCCGATAGCCGACGAGCTCTAATTTACCACGTGTGAAGTGATATGGCACGTGAAGTCCATGCACGAAGCCGCGCGTCGATGGAGGTCTGACCTATTGGTGTGTCGAGGCAAAGTGCACGAAGGTCTCCTTGGCTCGACGAGACCATCAAACGATCAGACTCACTACGGCCCGATCATGGCGGGTGGTGACGCACAAAAGCAGACGATTGCAGTCCCCTCGAAGGACCCCGCCAAAAAGGACAAGAAGGACGAGGACAAAGAGGCAAAGGTCAATGGAGATGCCAAGGGAAAGGGTAGCGCTGACGGGGCAGATGGCAAGAAGGACAAGAAGGAGGATGAGCTGTCGGAGGAGGACCTTCAGCTCAAGAATGAGCTCGAAATGCTCACAGAGAGGCTGAAGGTGGGTGCTTGAAGCTTTTCAAGGAGGCAAAGGAAGCTTGTTGACGTTGGTCCCACCAGGAATCGGACAAAGGCCTGCACCGGCCGGCACTAGAGTCGTTGCGGACGCTGATTCGGACCAGCACATCGTCTATGACCTCCGTACCCAAGCCTCTCAAATTCCTCCGCCCCCACTATCCCGACCTGAAGGAAATCTTTGAGACCTGGCCAAGCTCGTCGGATAAGGCTCTCTTCTCTGAGATCCTCTCCGTTCTTGCCATGACCTACACGGACAATGGCCAGCGGGAAACGCTCAAGTTCAGACTCCTGGCTAGCGAGATTGGTCATGCCGAGGATCCAGGGCTGTGGGGTCACGAGTACATGAGGCACCTAGCTGCTGAGCTGGGCGAGGAATACAACGCCCGGTCGCTCGAGGACGAGTCAAAGAGCACTTCGGAGCTCATCGACTTGGCACTCTTGATTGTGCCTTTCAGCCTGAAACACAATGCCGAGGCAGATGCGGTCGATCTACTCCTGGAGCTCGAGAGCATCGACAAGCTGCCGCAGTTTGTTGACAAGGATACGTATGCCCGGGCCTGCCTCTACATGGTTAGGTGAGTCTTGCCCAAGTGATATGACAAAACGTATAGCCCGAGTGGCGCTGACAGCTCTTGGTCAATAGCTGTGTCAATCTTCTCGTCCCACCAGACGACGTCGAGTTCTTGCGGACGGCTCACGACATCTACCGAAAGCACGATCGATTTGCCGAAGCGATGACCCTGGCCCTCCGCCTCGGAGACCGCGAGCTGATCCGGTCCGACTTTGAGGCGCCTTCAAACCCAGTCATGCGAACGCAGCTGGCATACATGCTCGGTCGGCAACAGATTCCCGTCGAGTGGCTGCAAGATGAGGACGACCCGATGCGAGACTACAAGCTGATGGACTGCATTTACAACACCCACCTCTCAAGCCACTTTATCCAGTTTGCAAAGGAGCTCGATGTCTACGAGCCAAAGAGCCTTGAGGACATTTACAAGTCGCACTTGGAGAACACAAGAAGTACCTTGAGCACGACGGTCGACTCGGCGAGGGGCAATCTGGCCAGCACGTTCGTCAACGCCTTTGTTAACGCCGGCTTTGGCAACGACAAGCTCATGGTTGGCGCGGAAGAGGGCAACAGCTGGATCTACAAGAACAAAGATCACGGGATGTTGAGTGCGTCGGCGAGCCTGGGTATGAGCCTTCTCTGGGACACTGAGATGGGCCTGAGCCACGTCGACAAATACACCTACTCTTCCGACGAGAACATTCGCGCTGGCTCGTTGATGGCCTACGGCATCCTGCACTCAAGTGTGCGAAGTGAGATGGATGCAGCGCTGGCCCTGCTCACCGAGCATGTTGAAAGCAAGAGTGTACCTCTCAAGATCTCAGCCATCGTCGGTATCGGCCTCGCTTATGCAGGCTCGTGTCGAGAGGACATTGTCCCACTGCTCCTGCAACATGTTGCCGATGAGACGACGTCGATGGAGGTCGCCTCCATGTCAGCTCTCGCGCTTGGCTTCATCTTTGTTGGCTCAGCGCATGGAGAGATCACCCCGACGATTCTTCAGACGATGATGGAGAGGGAGCCGTCGCAGCTCAACGACAAATGGGCTCGCTTTATGAGCCTCGGTCTTGCCCTGCTGTTCCTTGGCCAGCAGGATGCGAGCGATGCAACAATCGAGACACTCAAGGCTATTGAACACCCCATCAGCAAGCAGGCACAGGTCTTGGTCGATATGTGCAGCTACGCAGGAACAGGAAACGTGCTCAAGGTTCAGCAGATGCTTCATCACTGCACCGAACACATCGGCGTTGAGAGGGAGAAGGAGGAAGATGGACAATCAGAAGGAGCCGAGGCGGGCGCAAGTGGAGAGGGCGCAGGTGCGAGCGCCAGTGGCGGCGCTGAGGGCGACAAGGATGAATCGGCTGACGAGGACAAGACAAATGACCTCTACCAAGCGTTTGCCGTCATGGGCATCGCACTTGTCGCGATGGGCGAGGACGTGGGTGCAGAGATGACGCTTCGGCACTTCTCTCATCTCATGCACTATGGCGAACCGACAATTCGGCGGGCCGTGCCCTTGGCCTTGGCTCTCTTGAACCCTTCTAACCCCCAGATGGCGCTGCTCGACACATTGTCAAAGTACTCGCACGACAATGACCTCGACGTGGCTATCAACGCGATTCTCGCCATGGGCATCGTCGGCGCAGGTACAAACAACGCAAGATTGGCGCAGATGCTCCGCCAGCTTGCTGGCTACTACCACAAAGAGCCCGATAGTCTCTTCATGGTCCGAGTCGCTCAGGGACTCGTTCACATGGGCAAAGGTACCATTGGCATCAACCCTTACCACACCGACCGGCAGCTCATGAGTCGGACGGCCGTGTGCGGCATCCTTGCGCTCCTTGTGTCCTTCACCGATGCCCGGGGCTTTGTATTGGACAAGAGCCACTGGATGCTCTACTATCTCGTCTTGTCAATGTACCCACGCTTCCTCATCACGCTCGACGAAGAGGAGCTCCAGCCGCTTCCAACGAGCGTGCGCGTGGGCAAGGCCGTCGACGTCGTTGGCCAGGCGGGCAAGCCGAGGACGATTTCGGGCTTCCAAACGCACACGTCGCCCGTCAGACTGGGATCGTACGAGAGAGCCGAGTTGGGGACGGACGAATACCTCAGCTACGCAAATGTTCTGGAGGGCATTGTCATTTTGCGAAAGAACCCAGGCTACGAAAAGGAAGACTAGAGCGCATTTGTATCTCCAATTGGTCAGATAGACAAGTCTCTTTCTTCTTTTATCCCCCTCCTCTCTTGCTCGCAAACCCTAACGAAAAAAAAAAAAGGAAAGAGAACCCTTGTCAGTTCTATCAATATTTCAATTGTCATTTCACAGTCGACCTCGCAGCGTGGCCTGGGCTGAGGACGAAGAGGCAGAAGCACTCGATGAGGTTACGCGCTCGTTCTGTCGAGCAAGCTCAGTGTGGTAGGCAAATGAGAAGACGCGGTCCTGGTGCGGTGTCAAGCTGGGGACCTGCGAGTGACCAAGGCGGGCGCAGACAAGCTGACCGAGGATGGGCAAGAACTGTTTGGTGCATAAAGAGCAGTGTCGTCAGAGATGGTGGAGGTGGGGGGATCACAAATTCAGAGCTCACCTTGAAGGCATGGCCGCTGTCACCGCCAGCAAGGATGAGACCCTTTGCCCTGGGCAGGTAGTCGATTATCCAATTCTCATCCTCGCTCTCCGAGTAGAAGCAAATTCTGTCCGAGTCAATCTTGAGCTTGGCCAGCTCTGGATAGACCAGGCCGAGCTCCTGCAGCAGACGTTGAGGCGTGTCTGCTGGGACGCGCGGAGCGGCGCGGGTGCTCACAAGCGACTCGTCGACGGGCCCGTCTTGCTGTGTGGTAAATGTTGGATAGGTAGAGGGGATCGAGGGATCCGGCAGCGGACGCTGGTAGCCCTCGCAGTGGAAGGCGGCCTTGACGAGGCCGTGCTCATCTGGCTCAAAGCAGTAGAAACCGCTAACATAAAAGCGATCAGGGACTGCTGACTCAAAATGAGCAAGAGAGGAGAATCACTCACGTTTCGATGTTGAACACGACAGGGAGGTCCTTGAATGCTCGCCTCTGCTCCTCGTCGAGCTGCACGGTAATCACGCACTGGGCAGTAGGGGCCATGGGCGCCCACGCATCGAATTGCTCCGGGGCGATGCGCTTCAGCAAGCCCCTCGTCCACGCGCCTGCGCAGAGAATGACATGGCCGTCAGGGCCTCCAGCGAAGAAGCTGCGGCCATCGGCCGTCTTGACGCCAACGACGCGCGTTTTGTCCCCTTGGTCGAAGAGAACCTCGTCAACCTGGGCGTGGCTCACCACCTGGGCACCCAGTCGAATGGCCTCCTGGAGCACGGCTCGCGTTGCATGATCCGCCTCTGCCCATCCTCCTCGCGCATTGAAGTACCCTTGCTGGCCGTCGGCCGCCCTGGAGCCGATCTTCGAGATGCACTCTCCCAGCCTTGGTCGCACGGCCGGTGGGAAGCACCGCAGAGCTTCCTCGCCGCTCTTGATGTGGTATGCCGATGGCTTTAGCTTCTTGCCAGGGTGGGGCTGCTCGAGAAGGGTACTGCCAGCCTCGTTGGCTCTGGCAACGCCCACATCGAGGTAGGCGTCGCCCTCTGTGCTGTTGTGGCCACTTCGAAAGAGGACGCCAGTCTCGTGGTAGAAACGGGACAGGAGTGGAGACCTCCTCCAGATGGAGATCGTCTCTTTGGCCAGGTCTCGGTAGTGTGGGTCCGAATAGTCAGCGCGGACAATCTTGTTGAGGTCGTTGGACGCTGCGTCGGGGCTGTGGAACCCGTCTTGTGATCGCTCGAGGACGGTGACCTTGTGGCCCGCCTTGACAAGCTCCAAGGCAGTCGAAGCTCCAAATACGCCCGCACCCACCACGATGTACGTTGAGACTGCCGACGGACCCGCCATGGCTTGCCCCGGAAGGAAATTGATGGAGGACGTCCGACAGTGTCTCCGTCATCTCCTTGGTACCCTTCTTCCTAAGTCATCCTCGCAGCAAACTCAAAAAAATAAAAGGTAGAAAAAAAAAGTAGAGCCGCGGAAGGTCAGATTCGCGTGGTCAGAGCGCGCGCTTTGGTGAGACCTTCTTCTATCTTCAAGGGAAGATGCACCAAGAAGGACAGGGCCATCCCTTCTCTCAGTGACGAGGAGAAGAACAAGGCCAGACCTGAAAGAGATCCGACTTCAATCGAAGAGTTGGTGTGCGCTCTCAGTCGAGTAGCCCTTCTCAACCCTTTTGGTCACTGTGACCGTTCATCAACCCCCCGGGACCTCAACCTTTTTTTGGCCCGCCGTTTAGACTAAAAGCCTCAATTCCTTGAATCCAATCTGCCTGCCTGCCTTGCTGTCCTGTGTGAGGGAGAACAAGGGGAGTTTATCGCTCTCTTTCTAGGCTCGAGCGAGCCTGAAAGGCCGACCGGAGCAGCCACTGGCTCTTTCGACCTATGTCTTCCCCCACTCCTCTTCCTTACTTCCATCTCCCAATCTGTTCTGTCCCTCTCTGGCAAGGACCCGTTGTCCTGCCTGGGCTCGACGCGACCTGTTGAGCAGCATTGTCTTCTCCACACCGAGAGAAGCACGCTTCAACTTGGCGTCATTCGAAAGAAGGACTAGACGACACGACGACACACCCAAACAGGATTTTCTCCCTCCTTCGGCGTGTGTAGCATCCGGCAGTCAAGACGACACAATCCGTTCACCAAAATTTGCCAATCTTCTCCTCCTTTCGTCACACCGGCCCAGACATCACACACGGCTCTTCTGGAGGTGCGAGACCTGAACGCCCCTCTTGAAGCGCAATCTTTGCACAGACAGGAAGAAAAGGGGCCGCGGACAGCAATTTTTCAAAGGTACCGAAAACCGACATTAGTGACGCGGGCAATTGGGAACGAGTCGAAAGCGGTTGGATGGGGAGCGCCTCAAATCAGGCGGTAGCGCGCGCGTGGCTTTCAATTAAAGGCCGCCCGACAAGGCTGATCTTCGTCAGACGTCAAGAGGTGGTGAGTGGCTTCCGAACTTGATGGGCTCTCGGCCCAACAGCAAAGACGATGTGCGATCACCGCCATAGTCGCAAGGAGATGATTAATTATCCTTTTCTTTGCTTGAGCGGCTGACCCAAGATGGTTGTCTTCCTCGATGTGGTCAGTCTCGAGCCTTCGGTAGGCTTTTGTGAGACTAGCATTGAGATGGCCGACGTTAACGAGAGCGCTGCCGGGCCCTCGTCGCCACGGGCCCCCACGACGCTGTCGGAGGACTCACAATCAATTAGCGCCACTGCACCCGAGACAGCCGCCAGCGACGGCTCAGGCGATGTCGGGGCACAGCCGACACGTTCTCCAGCTAATGGAGACAGGATGTCCGTCGCAGCCATGGTGACGCCCACGGGATCGCCCAAGCCTCCAAGCACCCCAGAGAGGCAGATCAACCCTCAACGTGCCGAGATCAACGACGATGATGGGCCGAAAGGCGCGGGGGGAAAGCAGGGAACCTCAAATGGCGCTGCTGAGGAGGGGAAATCTGCGCCTTCGCAACCCGGCGAGGAGGTCGATCGAAGCGCTGAAGAGACTGAACGCGACACAAAAGTGACCGATGGCTCTGATGGGGAGGTAGACAGGCAGATTCCTGGATCCGCGAAGGAAGGCAGGGAGGATGCAGACCAAGATGAAGGGCATGAAGGCGATGGTGGCGATGACAACGAGGGCGACGATGACGGAGAGGACGAGGGAGAGGATGTCAACGATGACTCCGAGGAGGAAGAAGAGGAGGAGGATGACGACGATGATGATGCGTCAGACTCAGGAAGCGAGGATGATAGCAGGAGCGTCAGTCGAGAGTCAGCCATGGAAGGGGTCGAAGCGACCGAAGCTGAAGGGAAAAGAGAAAGCGGCACAGCCGAGCCGTCACAGGAAAAAGGCGATGCAGAGATGGATCATGAGAAAGGATCAGACGGAGGCAAGGATGCAGGGGAAGGTGCAACCGAAGAAGCAAGCGGCCACATTGCTGCCCCCAAGCCCAAGCCAAAGAAGAAGCGACGGATCACTCCATCCCTTGAGCCTGCACCTCAAGGTCCCCCTCCTCGGCCAACGGTCAGGCTTGCGCTCATCGTCTCACACGACGACGACTCTGAGTACATGGCCAACGTACCTGTGGAAGTGTACAAACACCTCAAGGCTAAGAATGACCCTTACGCAGCGTGGTTCGAAGAGTCAAAAGGTATCAGTTCTGCTTTGGCACAGGAAGAGGCCGAGCAAGAACGAGGGAGCCAGCGACCGGATTTGTCGGAATTTGGCGATCTTGCCCGGCTTCTCGAGAAGTATCCAGTCGACAAGGGCAACAAAAAGCGGAAACGAGCAGGTCCAGACGACGAATACGATGTACGTGACCCCTTTGTCGATGACTCTGAGCTCAATGTCGATGAGCCCACGCATTCAGCCAAGCCGAGCTCCGATGGTTTCTTCGTCACGGAAGGTCCTGTGGAGCTGGCCCAGATGAAGAGGAGCAAACAACTCGCCAACAAAGCATCTGGCGCTTCAAACGGCGGAGCAGCCGGTTCTGGAGGGAGCGGCGGAGGACCGGGGGGTGCAAAGAGGTCAGCGGCACCCGTATTTACACAACCCGTTGACGGAATCGGTGGTGTAGGCGAAATCATGATCGAGCACCCGTCGTCAAAGGTGCTGCCTCAGGTCAACATTCTTCTTCATAGATGGGCAGTCTATACGGGTGCTGTCCATCCGCAGCCGCCACCACCAGTGGCGCAGGCTCAGGTTGACGGCAGCGGGCGCGAAGCCGCTGAAGGAGCAGGCGCAATGGGTGTCAGCAGTCTCCTCAATGGTCCCAATCCAAGTGAATCTCCGGTCCGTTTCGACGGGACACGACAAAGCCCCATCAAGGTCGATGACGACGACGGCGATCCACGAAAGCCAGCGCCGCCGCTTAATGACGCACGTAAAGCCTCTCGATACCCTACGATTCCCGTCGACCTGAAGCTGCAAGAGGCATTCGACAACCTGCGACAGCAAATTGCTCGTGAATCGTGGCTCAACAAAGCAAAGTTCCCACCGGCTCTCAAGCCACCTCTCGTTAACGTGGCCATGCTCGCCATTGACCTTGGAGAATACACCGACAACTTCTTCAACCACCTCCCGCAGCTCTTTCCCTATAATCGCTTTACTATGCAGGTCAGTGTAAGCGCGCTTCTTCCATCCCTAGCTACACCACTAACGAGCTCTTCACTCACAGAAACTCACCAAGCGGGAGGCGTTTAACAGTCATCATCAGAAGATGATCGATCTCCGAGAAGTGCACATCGAAGCCTTGCAACGGCAGATCCAAGAACATCTGCCAGCCTACAAGCGCGAGTACGAAGAGGCCTATCAGAGATGGCTTGACGAAGGCGGGGCAGACAAGGAAGGAGCTCAACATGACGGTCCTGGCGCATCCACGCCGGCGGGCGAAGCCACGAACGAGGAGGCTGGCCTAGCTGACGGCGAAGATGAGGGTGCTCCAAAGAGTGAGGGCTCAAAGCCGGTCAAGCGCTGGAAATGGAACGATCAGATGCGAGAGATCCTCTTCACCATTGTTGCCATCGAGGATGCCATCGTCGAGCTGCGCAACGAGAAGACGTGGGTACGGCTTCCTCGCAGTGACCTTGACTGCTCTGACTTGTCTTCTACTCATCCACAGCGAGCTGGAGAAGTCCACAGACAAAGCCAGCAACATCACGTCTCGAAAAGCCCTGTACAAACGCCTTTCTGACCTTTGGCCCGAGGAAGGTTGGACTACGACCACCTATATTTCCCGAGAGAGTAAGTGCACTCGTCCTTCTGATGTCGTACAACTTTGGCGGCTAACAAAATCCCCTTTCTATCTGCCAACGACTAGTGGGTCTTTACAAGCGCAAGGTCGATCGTTACGTTCCGCATGTCGAGGAAATTGTTCCCGCCACTTGAGCGAACCTCACGTTCTGCTCTCCCGTGATCAGCACATCCATCCATTACCCCATTCATAGTGCGAATGTAACCTTTCAATGTAATGTACCCTTCGTCTCTCTCTAGGAGTGCAGACGACGTTATTCAACAATTGCTACGCTGGATGCTCAAACGTGACAGAGCAGATCACTCACAAGTAGAAGACGTGCTCGAGATGATCTGCACTCCTTCCCGGCCTTTGGTCGACAAGTTGTTGTAGGCAAACATTAAACCCACGTTGCCTGGCCCGAGCACACATTCCCACTGCCCAACCCACCATTTCGAAGCTCAGGCATACGTAAGTGTGTCAGCCGAGGCTAAATCAGTCAAAGTGGCATCATGAAGATCGCAGGTGGCTTCGGTCGAATATTCCATTCCAACGGTTCCTGCTTGCATCTAGATTGTTTTAAAAAGATAGAAAAATATAGGTCAAGGACGGTGTAATGACGAGGGTCGAGTACTCCATATAGGACCGCTGCCACTCTTACCCCACACCTCTTCTGCTTGGACTCCTTTGGCCTATCTGATCTCGCCGTCTGCTGTGTGTGGAACCTGTACAGGAGCAATTCGAGAATTGCAAACACCTTTCTACCTTGAAATTGTGTCATTGGCAGTGTAACGGTAAGGTCCCTGATGCGGAGAGTGGCTCCCGCCGAACGGGCAAAGGGATCCTGCAACCAAGACCCTTCCGGCTGCTTCACAGCTGCTGCTCAGCTGCCAAATCAGATTGCCCAAATGTGTACGGGCAATTAATGTACGGGCAATCTGATGCCGCGTGCGGTCAAATGTGAGGAGCTGTTCGCAGGAGGTGAGAAAGTCATCCCACTTTGCGGGCGCGCCGAAGCCCCCTCCGAGCCATTTACAACAAGTCTAATTTGACAACCGAAATGATTTCGAAAGCGGCTTTTGCCGTCGCAGACCTAGACCAATAACAATTACAGGCAGCCTCCTCCTCCTTCGCTGCTTGCTGACGCTCTGTATTGCATACCGAAGAAATCGTTCCATTCAGAAGGTCCAATGTCACACCCTGATGCTCCGTCGTCGATGGACGACGTCACGCAGGGTTTCAGGAATACGCACCTAAACCACACCACTTTTTACTTTCCTTGGCTACAGCCACGCACATTTCTCGAATGCTCTGACCCTTTACTACTGTACGGGCAGTGGCCATTCCTCTCCTCCAGAGCGAGAAGACGTCTTGACGATCAAGAGCTGTGTGCGATATTACATTAAGTCGACGAAAATTCTTCTTCTGCCGTCGTCCTGGCTCCTCTCTAGTCAGGTCATTTGCACAATGTCTGAGAAAGTCAATGAACGAATCAGTGTCGAGAAAGCTCGTTTCCCCAGGTGTTTGTGCCGCCGTAGTGGCTCAGTCGTATTCGCACGTCCCCTTCCGTATGGCCGGCGAAGGACGAGGCTCAATCACCGTGATGACCGATGAACGAGGAATGGCCCCACTCACGACGGCCTGATGGACCCGTCTTGCGAAGGACACTGAGAAGTATATATTGCGAGCAATCGTAGACCCATGACCAAGTTCTCCTAACTCTACAAACCCTTCTTCCTCCGACTCGATTTCGCCCCACCCATCCACATTCCTTCCTCGCCAAAATGGTCATGATCGCTCCCGTTGCTGCTGGCCTTGCCGCCCTTTCGATGGTTGCTGCTGCCCCCGTTGAGCAGACGATTGCCAAGCGTGCCGCTCCCGGCCAGGCTGACATCGACACCGTCATTCTCAACTACGCCCTTACCCTCGAGAACCTCGAGAACGCATTCTACCGTGACCACCTTCCCTCCAAGGCTGCTTTCAGCAAGGCCGGCTACCCCTCGTGGGTCCACGACCGGTTAGTCAAACCTCATTGCATCCATGAAGATGGACCTGTGCTGACTTTTACCGACAATTACAGCTTCACGGAGATTGGCGGCCACGAAAAGGCACACGTTGCCTTCCTGTCCAAGGCTCTTGGCGACAAGGCCGTTAAGGAGTGCACGTACGACTTCGGCGTCACGGGCGTCAAGTCGTTCATCGCCACCTCGCAACTCCTCGAGGGTGTTGGTGTGAGCGCCTACCTCGGCGCTGCCCAGAACATCACCAACACCGACTACCTCACGGCCGCCGGCTCTATCCTCACCACTGAGTCTCGCCACTCTGCTTGGGTTCAGTCGTCCGTCGCCAAGTCGGACGCCTACGGTGCGACGCAGGACACTCCCCTCAACTTCAACCAGACCTACTCGCTCGCCGCTCCTCTCATCAAGAGCTGCCCCAAGTCGAACGCGGCCCTGCCCGTCACCGCCTTCCCAGCTGCCTCGATCTCGCCTGCCGCGCCCAAGGTCGGCCAGACGGTCACCGTCACGTCGAGCAAGCTCAAGTCGGGCCAGAAGCTCGCCTTCATCACCGGTGGTGGTGTCGTCGCTTTCGCCGACATCAACGACGGCAAGGCCAAGCTCCCCGCCGCTGTTGGTTTCGGCCGCACCTACGGTGTCATCGTTCCCGGTGATGCCAAGACCGTCACTGACGAGAACACCGTCGCTGGCCCCGTTGCTTTCGACATCCTGCCTACGGCCAGCGAGGCTGCTGCTTTCTACAGCCAGTAAACGCATCTCCTCATCTCGTCGAAAGATACCACTCTCTATAGTAATAGCTTCGACAATCTTTTGTACCCGCTAAGTATCTAACCACCCTCCTCCCCTGATTCACGCAGTCGCCGCCGTGTCTGGCAGTCGCGCTACTATAATCAAAACAATTCCTAGCATCCCACTGTCAGTGTTTGATGGAATTCATGCACTTTGCTGTCTATGAGCGATTGGTGGTTATAGATTACACGACATGCGTTGATGTCACAATGTCTTGGCGCCTTGCTGTGCGCTGCGCATTTCATCCTTCACGTCCCGCAGGGCTAGCGACATGGCTCGTGCCCATCTGTCAGGCGTCGTCTTTGCTCCGACGTCGAGGTAGCGGGCGTGCGCCATCACAGGCAACTTTCGAAGTGTCCGTCCCGAGATACCCTACGAAAAAGTCGTGTTGTGAGAAGACAGGTGGAATTGGGACTTCATACGCTGGCCAGCAATGCCCCACTCACAACACAGCTTTCCGCCAAATGCCACAGTGTCCTCGTGATTGCATCTTGAGAGCCGTTTGCATGTCTCTCTGCAGCGTCCGCGGCATCACTTATATCCAGTTGCTGAACTAGACCGACGCGCATCAGCTCTTCGACGCAAGAGAAAAGAACCGAGTAGATGGCTTCCGCCGGGGGAGGTCCGATGTATTGCTTGATGTCAGCCCTATCAATGAAGGCGTCGTCTGGCGAGCAAAATCAGTGTCTCGTCTCGTCGCATTTAGAACGAATAGCTCACCGATGGAGTCTGAGATATTAGAAGTCGTCATGACGAGGCAGTTCTTGCGCTGCTTGAGCTTATCGAGCTGCGTGAGCAGAGCATTGACGACTCGCAGCGAGTCCGAGGGCTCGCTACCTGACCCAGCCGAGCTCCTGGCCTTTGTCAAACTTTCCACCTCATCAATGAGGATGACGACAAACCCATCCTCATCTTCCACCATCTCTGTGACCATCGAAAAGAGCCTCTGAACCAGCTTGCCAGACTCGCTGAACCACTTTGAAAAGAGCGAGTGGGAGTTGACCTCGATTAGCTTGCCATGCGTGAATCTTTGAGCTCGTAAGTGGGGGTTTTGCTACACGGAGAAGAAGGCGACCTGGCTCACTTGTTCGACAATCGTATGGCAAGCTTCTGCGCAAGGGCACGGCAGAGCGAGGTCTTGCCTGTCCCTGGAGGTCCATGCAAAAGAACAAGACGGTTCCACGAGACAATATTGAAATCGATGTCGGCGTCGGAAAAGACCAGAGTGGTGTAGATGTAATTGAGGAGTCTCGTCTTGATGTCGCCTTCGTAGATGAGACTGTGTTTGGAGAGTATGTGAGCTCAAAGGATACTCATACATGCAAATGACGGGCTCCTCACCTCTCCCACACCCCTTCGAGCTCCATATTGGGTAGCTCCATGACTGTGGCAGCCATGACGTCGGAGCCCGATACATCTCCTGCTTCGGGGTCTGCTGCGCTCAGTTCGTCGATGTCATCCCTCGCTGCAGCTTGATAGACATGGACGACGAACTCGACCTCTTCGCCGTTCGAAATCCTTCTTCTTCTTGGTGCTATCTTGGAGTTGTGGTGAGCGCACGAGCAACCTCTACGTCCTTCGTGCGACTCACTGGATTCCCCAAGTCGGATCTTCTCGACTTCTGATAACGGCCCCGTCTTTTGCTCCTTCTGCCACCCTTCCAGCATGAGACCCGGGCGCAGATCTCTCTTGGATAAACCAAGATAGGAGGTGACGGCCGAGCCAATCATCGAAAGCGGGACGCTGCAATCTTGTTTTGCTCGCACCTCGACATCGAGCCGCACCGACACTGCAATGGGCTCCCCATCCTCCTCGTAGTCCATGGTCACCGTTGCTGCATTGAGCCCTGTCGCGCTTGAGCACTCTCCTGTTACCCCACGTACATCTTCTCTCGGCAACTCTTCCGGCAAGTAAGCTGCCGCCGGCGCTGCCACCGCCGAAGATATTGAAGTCATGTTGGTGTCGCGATTTCATTCGATGTCTTCGAGCTCAAAAAAAGCGCGTCAATCTGTGTAACACACGTGCCGCGCTCTCTCGGTCGGTCATGACACCACGAGGCCTCTATTGAAGTCGTCACGGCCTCTATCATCTTTCCCCTTGCTCCTTGCCATGCTATCTACTCTTCCAAAAAGACCGCTAAATAAGCAAGTAAGCCGTGTCAAAGAGATCATGCCGCACAACAAAGTGGCTCTGGCCATCACAGCCAAAGCAACACATCGACGTGACAGTGTATCTGTCATTCGCTCTGTCATTTGTTATTGTCGCTCCTGAGTCAGCACCGCGGGGATGGACTTTCGGATGTTTCCTGGTCTTGCCTTGCCCTGTATCGTTTGTCGCTTCCGCCTCTGCTGTCTCACAAAGAGAGCCAAGAGTTCGGTTCGGCTCAGATCAGCCAGAAGTATTGTAGTGTGGTCGTGTACCTCACCTCCTCTTGCTCTTCGGCCGTTCATGCAACGGAACACGCGACCAAAGCAGAAGTCCTTCGATAAATCAATTTGTCTCGAGACCTTTTCCTTTCGCGGTCCAGGTCTTTTCGTTCGGTGAAATCGCGCAAACTCACTTGTCCGCTGCAACACAGGCTAAGATGGCACACGATGTACACCCAGAAGATATCTTCGATACCACACTCACCCACCTCCGATCCACTTTGCGCTCGCCTTTGGTATTTCCCAGGGCTATCTTTCATTCTCAGACCCTTCGTGGTCGATTTGTCGTCCGCGTTCCCGAGCTCCGTCTGTCGGTTGAAGACCACTCAGCCAAGAAAGGCACGGGTGATCGGGGTTATGGCAATTAACAGGATAAAGAGTGATGTTATCAACATAAATTATTGTCCAGGGAGCTTCCGCTTGCCGGGCCTTGCTACTTCAGGGGGGGGCTCTGGCAGTGGGCTCCGCACTACGGGCAACCGCAGAGGGGATCAGAGTACGGACTTAAGCGCTCTTGACCGGGCAGTTGGAGCTCTTGCAGTAGCCGTTGCTCTCCGTGATGTAATTCGGGTCGTTCTGGCCTCCCCAGTTGTCATTGGCCTTGTCGGGGTCCTCGCAGGCCTTGAAGAGGGCGCAGGTGAGCTTGGAGGGGTCGTACTTCTTCTGCGCCGACTCGGGAAGGTCGTCGTACGAGCCGTCGTATTGGTCGTGATATGTGTTGACAAAAACGCAGCCGTTGACCTGGTCGCAGAGCTCGAGGCACTCCTCGATGGTGTCGGTGAGACCGTAGGTGAGGTAGTTGTCGTTGTCCTGGGTGGCAGCGCCGACCTTCTTGCCAGTGTAGACTCCGGTCGTGGCCGTGGTCTCGTAGTCCTCGAAGACGAGCTGGTACTCGCTGCTGGGGCCGGTGCAGATGGGCTCGGGAGCACCGGTCGAGGTAGGGGCCGACGTGGTGCTCGTCGTCGTCGGGGTGGGCTCCGTGCTGCACGACTCAGTAGAGGTCGCCTTGGTCGTGCTGTGATGGTGACCACCGTGACCGGGCTTGTGACCGCCGTGACCACCGTGGCCGCCGTGGCCAGGGTAGTGCGTGGGAGGCTTGCAGCCGGAAGGGATGTGGCCAGGAGGGTTGCCGCCCTTGCAGACGGGACCACCAAAGGCTCCCTTGCGCTTGCATTGGGCAGCGTCACCGCCATCCCAGGGGGGGAGCGAGCCGTGCGAAGGCTGCTTGCCCTTGCACCAGCCGGGCGTCGAGTGCTGGAGCCAGGGGGGGATCGCCGCACCGTAGCACTTCTCGTCGGAGAGGTAGTGCTTACCGAAGGTCCGACGGTTGACACGTGCCTCAGCACCGTCATCGTGCGAAGCCTGTGCGCCCGCAGCAACGGCAAGGGCCGAAACCAGGAAAAGAGTCGTCTTCATATCGATCAAAGAGCGTGGGGGGGACTGAGAAGGGGAAAGAGAGGGATGAAAGAGGGAACGGGCTGTGATGTTAGGAGACTTTGGAGAATCCACCTTTTATCATCCTACATCTTCACTCCCTCTCTTCGTGCTTTCGTCCTAAGCGAGATCCCACTTGTTCCTAGCGGTCTAGTCTCCAAGCAGCAGCGACAACGGTCACAGACTAGTCACGCAGGTACTTGCTCCCATTCTGGACCTCTGCGGCACCATGCTCTTTGCCTGCGAACGGACTAGAAGAGACATGCAGCGCCGAGAACAAACATTGTGCGGGTCAAAAAGCTTGGCCGTGGTACGTCCGAGACATCGATGAGTCGAGACCGTCGTCAGCTTGCTTGCAAAAGAAAGAGAACAAAGGAAGGTCCGTTAATTAAATCTCCGCAGCAAGAGAGCTTCTCTGCCAATATAAATTAATGTTACTTTCTTCGAGTGGTAAGTGATGGCTTTGGGCAAGCCAAGGGGCAAGTTGCTCCGTCTCGGTCGCGTGGGACCTGCATAGCTGAACTGAAACCATTGGTTGCCCGGCGAGATCGAGCAACGAAGGAAGACTGATCTGCGTTTCAAAGAGATTTGCGATGCAAGCAAGCTTACGCACTCACTGATGGCACCCAGAAAAAAAATTGCATCGCCTTCTTTCCCTCTTTCCGCGGAAACTAGACTAAGCGCGCATGATCAAAGTAGACAAAAGATCGCCCGTGCTTCCCATGAGCATACGTGGACCGTGCCCTTCTCTTCTTGCACGACGGTCTTGAAGATGAATGTAGAAAACCTTGTTTGGGCGGGCAAAAGGGGGACATTGATACATTATACAGGGCGAAACGAGACTCTGGAAGCATGAGGAACTGGACTCTAGATGTTATCGTTGAGGTTGCGTTGAAGCGGCAAAGATCAGACGTTAGCGTGGGCAAGCGATAAGAAGCTAGCATTGCTGCCAGATTTTCACCGAGTCGATGACCATTGCACGGTCCTCGACCTTGGTGGGCCAGGTGGGAAGCCACTGGTCTCTTGCCGACCAAAAGTCACGCTGTGGATTCTTGCTCTGGTCGCTCCACGGCTTTCCGTCGGGCGAATCTGAATCTTGGAACCAGCCGTTTGTACTTCCTACCGCGACCGAGAGGATAAGGTAGAAGTCCTGATCAAAGGGAGCCACATCGACGATGTTGGCTCCGTTGGACTTTGTCCAGGGGTTCTCGAGTGTCGTTCCATTCTCCAGGCTGCTTGGAAAATTGCCCTTGGTCCAAAAATCGGTGCCGAACTTGTAGCTAAAGACTTCGTAGGCCCTTGTTCGCTGCCATGTGACGAGTTTCTTGGGTGTCCACTCGAGACCAAAAGTGTGCATCTTCTGGTTCCACAGATTCTGAAAGAGGTTCAGGTGGCCGTTTGTGAGAGCGTAGCGATCGAGGGCGGGTAATGGTGCTACTCAGTTGCAAGACCAGAAAAGTCAGTCATGTCTGTCAGCACTCTGCAAAAGAAGGACTCACCCCAGTGCATAGTGCTCGTCATACGGCTCGATAAGTCATCTTGGCGCGAACGAGACGGATTGCCTTTGCCCTCGAAAATGTCAATTTCTCCGCTTGCAGGCCACGGGCCGTAGACTTCCTTGGAGGGCATCATCCAGACCGCTGGCCAGATCCAATCGCCAGTAGGCATACGAGCCGTGACTTCAACCTTTCCGAAGCGAATGGTCTTGCCGCTGATCTTCGTGGTCAAGCGTGCAGACTGGACAGGAGGAAGAATGATTCCGGTCGAAGCATTCGAACGAACGGCGCAATAAAAGTCCGACTTGTTGGCAGAGGTGCAGGCGCCGCTATCTGTGAGGTTGAGAGAGTACCCATCGGCGATGGCCGCTTCGCCCGTCATGTCCGATGTCAGGGTGGGAACGATGTAGAGCTGATTGTTGCGAACGAAAGAATTGTTCGCACTGTCTGTGGTCCATTCGAACTCCCCTGTCCCCCAGCCACCGGTCTGCTGTTCGTGACTCCACACGTCGGTGTTGATCTTGCCCTGGTCAAAGTGATCTTCCAGAACGAGGCAGTAGTTATGCTTGTCCTTCATCGTGTTGAGGGCTGTCACGACCATCATGGCGACGACAGCGGCCACACCCAGCAGGGCGCTGCCAAGGAACATCCATCGGACCTTGAGATCAGCCCTTTGGCGCTTCTTAGCCTCCAGCCAGGGCTTGTCGGAGGAAGCTTTGGCTTGTTGCACCTCTCCCGCTGGCTTCTCGACGAATTCCTGTTGCTGCTGCTGGAAAGCCTGCGCTCTCGCCTCTTCAGTCATCGACGGGGGCATTGTGAGGTTTTGAAGATGCTCTTGATGGCGGTAGATGGGCGACGAGCACTGGATACTTTGAAGGGCGCTCTGTCTTTGTACTTGTGCAGGTCTTGAGCGCTACCAAATTTGTGTCAAGTGCTGCACACCAGGTGATCCAGGTCCACATTGCGCAAAGGAAAAAAAAATACGGAAGTGAAACTTTGATGCCGCTTGCAGTATTGGCGGCCGGCCATCGCTCTGGCTCCGTCGGAAATGGATTCATATCAAGTGGATTCATCTTGTCGCTGAGAAATGCAGATTCTTTTCGCAACGCAGCGGCCTAAAGGGCTCGGATATCGTGGTTCAAAAGAAATGAACCTGGGTGTGCTTGCTGATCTTCTGCAGTAAGTCCGCGAACTAGAGAAAATTCGAATGAGCAAACAAAGTGATCTACACTAAAATTTCGGATTCCGGGTGCTTGGGCTGGGCCAGGAGGGATCGATTTGCTTGTGTTTCTCATGCGAGGTTTCAGTGCTTCCACCGAACAGCACCGGCAACCGCTGCATCTGCACACTTCCTGAGGTACGATAAGTGGCTTCTCAACAACGCATCGGAGCAAAGGAAGGGCCTTTCTTTAGACTTGCACCTGGGTGCTTTGTTGCCGCGCTCGGCCTTTCCTGATCGTCTATTCTGCAATGTGCTTTGACACAAGCACGGCGTCTGCTCCTCTTCTTTGAGCAATTTATCGTCTAAGCACCGTCGTTCAAGGACCTCGACTGCACTTCTTATTGAAATTTTTAACTGGAAGGAAAGACATCCAGAGACAAGGCACGGCACCTGGCGGAAAACTCGCCGCTGCCGACGCAATCTCGTCCATTCTTTCCTGCCCTCGTTCCTATTCATCACCACAGCCTTTCTCGCCCTCTTTCTTGCTGATTGATAGCACTCACATTCGTTTGGTTTTTTTCGCTATAAGTCCTCGCTCAGCTATCAAGGGTTGCACACCCTCCTATCGCCCCTTCCACTCTTCCCCTCTCGACCAAAACCGCGCTTCGGTCTCACCTTCCTTCTCTCCTCCCCCTCTTCCTCTCCTTTCTACCTCTCCCTACATGGCCGAGCCTCATACGCCCGCCGAGAGCCTTTCTGGCCACGGGCAGGCGGCAGCGCCCTCGTCTTGGAGACCGGAATTTCTTTCTTCGCCGCCCCCTAGCGTCTCTGGCCACGGCTTCAGCTCATTCCGCCGCCATACCCGTCAAAACTCTTCAAGTGGTAGCGGCAACCAAGAACCTCAAAGCAATGCCTATACAAATCACAGCGCCATACCACAGAGCCCATCGGGGAGCACCCATGGTCACCACAATCTCTACCCGCAATACCAATCGCAGCACGGTCATGAGAGTGGAGCGCACACGCCTGTGAGCCACCGTGCCAAAGAGCACGCCCTCAATATCATGGCGAAGCACACATACCAGGAAGCTCGTAAGCAGCAGCTCATTTGCCCAATTCACGTCGAAGCAGCCAGCGGATCCGACGTAGGTGCGGCCGTGACCTCTGAAGCAAACCAGCGCTTGGCTCTCGAAGGCGTGGCTCTCCGAGTGGCAAAGCACGACTATGCCGTATATCCCCGCGACGAGGCCAGTCGTCAATCGTTGCTGCCTTGGATAACCGGGCTTTGCTTTCTCAACGTCGGAGCTGCCATGATTGTGACGACGACGGCCACTGAAGGCATCGTCGATCTGCTCCCCCCTGGCGCGACCGAGGTGGCCATTAGCGCTTCAAACAGAATTCAAGTTGTTGCAGAGGCGGGCGACCTGGCCCATGCTCGAAAGCCTCAAGGCGCGGCCTTCGTTCGGAGGGAGAAATGCCTCGTCGTCTGGACGGATGAAGCTCAACCGCTCCTAGCCGAGGCAAAGAAAATCCATGAACGTCTAGTTACGTTCCTCTGGGACGTTGCAGGCGGCAACTCTGAGGGACCAGCAGAAGGTGGAAGCTACTTTGTCTTTCATGAGTACAACCAGCAGCATCGAAACACGTTCAGAAACGGCTTGTCAACGCCTGGAGAAGGCTTTGGTCCTACCATGACGCCCAGCGAGTCCATCTACGGTGGCGGTGCCCTAACTTCGGGTCAGCAAACACCAGCAAGGAACTTTTCGATTCCACACAGCCCTTCGAATCCTTTCGGAGATGTACAGCACAGCTCTTCTGTCGGCCACCTAGTTCTCTCAAGCGAGAAACCAGGTCAGGGTTCCGACTCTGAGTCGACCGAGGAGGACATTGAAGCCACGGAGCAGGGCTACGAGGAGCGGCCCACCATCTTCATTTCCGCTCTCATGCACGGTCTGGCTGCAGCGCTTGCCCTCGTTTTAAGCACCCTACAGCTACGCGAGGCGCTCCAGTCGTCACTCCTTGATGGTCAGTGGATCCGAATGGTAGTCGCTGCCATCGTTCCTTTCTACTTCTGCATCGTAATGTTCTTTGCCGACAACATCTTCGGCGTCGTCTTCATGCTTCTCGGCCCCGTTCGCCAGTTGCAGATCAACTCTCGCTATTATTCCGGCAAGAAGCCAAAGCCTCTTCGCGGAAATGTCCGTCTGCCACACATCACCATCCAGATGCCTGTCTACAAAGAGAGTCTCCACGGTGTGCTCAAGCCGTCGTTTGAGAGCATCAAGCTGGCCATCAAGACGTACGAGCTGCAGGGTGGAAGCGCTTCAATCATCGTCTCTGAAGATGGAATGGTGCTTATCGATGAAGAGCGCGCTGCCCGCCTGGCTTACTACGAAGAGAACAACATCACCTGGGTCGGTCGTCCCAAGCACGGTACCGATGGCTTCGTCCGTGCCGGTCGCTTCAAGAAAGCATCGAATCTCAACTTTACGTACGAAGTCCTCCTCGAGATTGAGCGTCTCATGGGCCAACGAGGTATTCCTCTCGAAAACAAAGAAGCGTACAATGCTATCTTCCAAGAGGTGCTTGCCGCTCGTCACCCTGATGCCTGCGGTGCCGGGTTAGAGCGCTTCGGAGACTTTGTCCTTCTTGTCGACTCCGACACAAGGATCCCAGAGGACTGCTTCCTGGATGCTGCCAGTGAGATGACGCGTTGCAAAGACGTCGGCATTCTCCAGCACTGCTCCGGTGTGATGATCGTCTCTTCCTCTTTCTTCGAGCAGTGTGAGTACCGCATCGCCAGATATCGTCTGTTTGCGCATGCTGACTGTTTTCTTCCCATCTTGCAGTCATTGGTTTCTTCACACGTCTCGTCAATTTCAGCATCTCCTACGCCATTGCAAACGGTGATGTGGCACCCTTTATGGGACACAATGCCTACTTGCGCTGGAGCGCCATGAAAGAAATCGCCCGAACCGAGATTCTGGACGATGGTCGCCAGACGCTGAAGATCTGGTCCGAAGACCACGTGTCGGAAGACTTCGTTATGGTGAGTCTCAAGAATCAAGTCGGATGACTACGATGTTAATATGAATCGACAGGCTCTCGACATGATTGGACAAGGTTACATCACCAGATGGGCGACATACGCCAACAGCGGCTACGAGGAAGGTGTCTCTCTGACTTGCGACGACGAACTCAATCGATGGCAGAAGTACGCCTGGGGTGTTTCTGAGATGATCTTCAAGCCGTTCTACCAATGGTTTCACCGTGGCCCGATCACACCCCTCTTCAACCGGTTCATCTGGGGTCGCGCTCCGATTCACTACAAGTGGAGTTCGTGCTCATACTGCTTTTCCTACTACGCAATTGCCGTCTCGATGCCCCTCACCTTGGCCCTCACGCTCGTAGGCGGGTGGATCGGTCCCGACGCCCAAGCTCCCTACCTGCCCACATTCCAGGTCTTTGTCGCTGTTGTCGTTGTCTTCACCCTTGGCGGCACCATCTCGCTGGTCATCGTCCGGTTCCGCGCCGGCTTTGGGTCTCTTTGGCGTCTGTTCCTCGAGAACCTCCTCTGGATCCCCTTCCTCGTCGTCTTCTTTGGTGGTCTCTCTTACCACGTCTCGACTGCGCTTCTCTCGCACATTCTCGGTCTCAACATGTCGTGGGGCGCCACGCTCAAGGACGTCGAGATGACTAACTTCTTCGTCGAGGTTCCTCTCATTTTCAAGCGCTTCTGGAGGCTCTTCCTCATCTGCGTCGTCGTAATCGGGGGTGCGGCCGTGGCGGCCACCGACCTCGTTCCCCTCGAATGGAGGCTCGATGGCTTCTTCCTCCTCTTCCCCATCTTCCTCATCTACAGTCTCCACCTCCTCTTCCCAATCGTCCTCAACCCCAACCTCGTCCGCTTCTCTTTCTAAGCAAGCGTGACCCCTCTCCCCGACATCGCAACAGCAGCAATGACAACACACTCTTTTGGCGACGATATCACAGCAACACATTCGCTTTCTCCCTCTGTATATCAATTAGCTTGCTCGCTTCCCTTTCGTCCTTTGTTTGGCCGTCAGTTCTCAGCAAACGCAACTCACACTCATTTCACCTTGCTAATCCGTTACTTGGTTACTCAACCGTACTTAATCTTGCTCTCATTTATATATTGACTTTTGCCCTGCTTACTCAATTGGATAACATCTGTTTGGATAGGAAAGACACTGACTGCTATGAATACAAATTGAAGAAGGTGGCTATGAGGACCCGGGTCGGTGTCCTAAGGCCGATGTACTTGGGAATTTGGCGGCTGTGGTTGATGATGGCGATGATGATGATGTTGTTGATGGTGATGGTGAGATTGCTGCTGTTGCTGTTGCTGTTGCTGATGAGCACTAACGGACCCAAAGAAGATCTTTCGAAGCCTGCCAAAGACGACATGGCGGGTGCCCTCGTCGCCTCCACCGACAAAATCGAGCGTACGGAGCAGGTCCTTGATATTACGATTGTCGCGTTCGATTGGCAGGCCATTGAGCAGGGCTACCCCGCCGGACCCTACAAAAGCCTTTTTGCAAAGGTCGTGGCCCGTGTGTCCAACCTGGAATGGCTCGAGGAGCTCGTACGAAGATGTGCCGCTCTCGATGGGCATCTTGTAGTCGGCCGCCAAGAGGAAGACAGCGGTGGCCTGATAGAGGGCGTGAAGGACGTGTGGAAGGACGAGGAGGCCCCGCTTGGCTGTGTTGAAGAGGTGCCAGATCGAGCCGGCATGAATTAGTGCGCGCCGATGGCCTTCCGAGTGGGCAAAAGAGGCAACAGGGTGGGAAGGATCGCCGATAAGCTGACGATCGAGATAGTCGAAAACCTCTTCGAAAGAGGGCACGAGCAGGCTGAGATGCAACGCGTGCCACCGCGTCCACAAGCACATGGGGTCTGACTTGTGGAGTGAGGCGCCCTCGCGATCGTCGTCGTCGTCGTGTTGAATCCCCATCAAGATTTCTGACCATTTCTTCAAAGCCCACATTAGCTCGCCTGTAGTGGGCAAGCCTGGTTGCGGTCGTCTTCGGAGGAGACAGACGGATGAGTTGATGCCCTCAAGGAGCGCATACATCGTCATGATCGACTTTGGCTCCCATTGGCTTGTCACAGAAGCTCCATTTGCACCGTCTCTTTCGCGCTTGATCGGCCCGGACGCTTTGCTGAACAGGCATTGGTAGTAGTCGGACACGGATGGCAGACGTCTCTCGCCCGTCTCCCAAAGCCGGATAGCAGACCACCACTGCCGAGCGCTATCGATCTGTGGACAGTCTCAGCTGTCAGAACAACCAAAGAGATCACAAGAAGAGCAACTCACAGCAAACAGACGATCGTTGTCGGGCTCCTCCACGTCAAGGACGAAGTGCTGGCTCAATGGCGGAGTGCCCTGGAACGAGCTCAGTTGCGAGTCGTAGACGTGCACCGCAATCACAACGCTGAAATGAGAGTGAGCGGTTGCAATGCAATCCTAGCCGTGGCAAAGGACACTTACCGACGATCCTCCTGTTCTCGAACCCAGGCGCGCCAAAGCTGCTGGAGAATGTCTTCCTGCGCGGCCGTCTCGATATACTGGCACCCTGCAAGCTCAGGCGGGCATACACATGTTGAGTTGGTCTTCTTTCGCAAAAAGAGGCCCAACTCGTGACCTGCCGAAATCGCCAGTGGAAAAACTAGTCGAGCCGTTTGGTAAATTTGGCGGTCCTGCGTGCCAGCTCCGTCAGTAAGAGCACTCCGAGTTCCAAGGGGAGCCCTCAACTCACTGCACCCATGATGGCAAAAGCGTGCCCGATGATGCACATGCGCATCAACTCTGCCAAATTTCTCGGCGTCGACGTTTGACCAGCGAAGAGACACTGCAGATGAGATTAGCTCTGAGACTGCACAAATCACGAAGGGAACGATCCGACTCACAGCGCCCCAGATTGCAGAGCCAGCCAGTCGCCACATCGACACTCCTTGCGTGAGGGCCTCCGTCGATCCGACATAGAGAGAGCCCATGGAGATGGCTGTGAGAAGCAGGCCAGGACTCGTCCCATCCCGCCCGAAGAGGCCCTCGTGAAAGGCCGGCATTGACGGCATAAAGTGGGCGAGGAATTGACGAAACATTGTGTTCTGCAGGGACAGAAAAGATCAGAATGGTGAAGATGCCCATCAAAGGGTCGCCACTTACCGCCAATCTCTTGGGCGTTTGAGGAAGATCCTTTCCTTCGACCTAGAGGACGTAGTCAGTCAGCATCTGCTCAAATCACTCGAAGAAGGCGGACAGTTGCAAAGCGCGCAGACTCACCGCGCTGGTCAAAAGAGAGCGGAGCTTGCTGACAGCAGCCGCGGTCTCCTCCGTGTCGATGTGTTTTGGCTCCGTCGGCGTCCTTGTCCCATCTCCGCCCAGATTGACAGAAAGAGCGCGATGATCAAGGACTGATTGTCCAATCGTGTCAGTGGGCACATCGAGCAGATTGGCCTCTAGAAAGACGTTGTTGAGCAGAGACCAGTCAGCGCCATTAACGAAACCGAAACCGGTATTGAGGTCGCTCAGGTCAAAGTCGCTGCCGAGCTTGTCAATGGGTGGCGGGGGACCAATGGAGGCTGGCGCATGCACAGGCGGATTAGAGCTGTGGTCCAGGCCTTGCATCGCCATGGATCCATGCCTATGGTCCTGTTCTGGCCATGTCTCGATAGCCGTCGGGCCGCCATGACTAGGCTGAGGATGTTGATGAGACGGAGCAGCCGCTGCTGGCGGCGGAGGCGGAGCATGATGATGATGAAATGAACGGTGAGGCATAGGTTCGGCCGCCGATGGGGACGGCGCATGAGGCATCGGAAGGGATGGAGCGGGGAATCTGGACTCGTGAAAATGCGATCGTGGTAGTGCATCGGGGTCAGCATGGTGCGACTGATAGGGACCCTGGTGCAGAGGAGAGGGATGAGCGGCATGGCGGGCGACCTTGTGGCTGTTATGAAGGGGCCCGCCAGCAGCAGCAGCAGCAACGGCGGCTTCGGCCACAAGGTGCAAGCCTTGAGGAGGAGAGCTGCTGTGAATCAGCGTCGAGATGGGCGAGGCAATATTGTGGCTCGGTTGCTGGTTCTCGTACAGGTCCACAGAGGCCCGGCCGGCGCCATTGGAGCTACTTGCAAATGGAGCGAATTCGGGTCCTGTCCGCACCGACGACGTCGGCGCACCGTACCAGCTTCGCTGCCCCTCGGACGTGGGCGAAGGGCCATGGTCGTAGACGTCAGAGTAGTCGCTCGTCTTTCGTCGCCTCTGGACAATGTCACTTGGCTCGTGTCCGTCCTGGTGACCCTGCTGCACAGGCTCAGCTGCTGCCGACGTAGAAGCCAAAGAGCTTTCCTCCTCGCCGTGGACGAGATGACGATGCCGGCGGAGGCTGTCTCTGTGGTTTTCATCGGAGTGAGCCGACGCAGCTCCCGTGACAATCTCCATCATTCCTACTCACGGCCTCGAAAAAGACTTTTCGCAGAGCGGGCACTTCCTCACATTGGTCCCACGATGGATGGCCTCGTGTCGGAGAAGATGCTGCCGCGATGGAGATATCAGCAACATGGACCCAATGTCTTATGAAAGCCATCCGACCTACCGTTGACTTTGAAAACGTCTTCCCGCAGCCTGGCCGAAGACATTGGAGTCGCGCATGCCCCGAACGCTTGCCATCCGCACCGACTGGCTCTTGATGAAGAGAGCTGTCTCCCTGGAAGCCACGTCTGTCGCCCCCACTATCGGCGCCAGGCGGCCGAGCAAAGTGGTGGGTCATCCTCCCTCGGAAGTGATTATCCGTGTGCGCGCGCGCGTGCGTGAGTGCGTGAGTGTGTGCGCGTCTGCTAGGAGTGATCGTGTGGGGTCGAGATCTGAGCAGATCGTGGGTGGACGTTATCTCTATTCGGTGGATCACGCAGCCTTTCCGACCAGGAAAGCATCATTAATAAAATCGGTCAAGATATTGCAGTAGTGTAGTAGTTCTGCCGATTGAATCCCAGCACGTGGGCGCGATGCACAGTACGATACTGCAAATTGCCTCGCTTCGTCAATCCGAGGCGCACTTCGACGGACTGGGAGTCCGACAAGATGGAGGCCAGTAGGAATCGAAGCTCTGTAGGAGGAGGGGTTGATCGGAAATGTTGGTCTGTGCTTCTCTCATTTGCGTGTAAGAGAGAGGCCCCACGCTGCACCGAACAAGGGGTATCTGTCAAAAGCACAGGGCAGAGATTTCCTGCTTGCAACTTTTAACGGGAGACCCCACCGATAGAGCCACACTTCCCCCCACATACCCGGCGGCACGGTGCCTCGCTCGACGAAAGTGCGGTGGGGTGCACAAACGGGACTTGAAGTAGGAGCAACGAGCCCCCAAAGATGTGCAAATCCATCGTCTACCAGGTGTAGCTTGAGATCCACGACATCGTTGCACTACGACACTAATAATACTGTATGGTTCAATGGGACCCAATCGATTTGGCGCGTTTCCGTAAGGAGGAAAAAAGGAGACGAAATGAAAGTGAAAAAAGAGAGGATTTACGAAGTTTAGTCTAAAAGGCTTCCCCGTCTCTCGCTAGGCCCATGCGTTGCTCCTCAGCGAGCAGCCGGTCAACTTCCCTCCAAGGCCGTTCTGACACCATGTAGTACGTCCAAGGACCGCAGGGTGATGTGTCTGCAGGGCAGAAACGTAAGCGCTCGAAGCTGTAATTGGCTTTCTTTTCGCTCGCACAGACCCACCTTCTTGTCGGACTGACGAGCCCCATATGCCATAGATCGGAGCCCGTGTCCCGGGCGGGCCTGCCTGTACACCGCTCAAAGACCATCGACTGTTGGCGTGCATATCATTAGCACCACTTGCTTTGAAAGGATGTCAAGAGAGAGACTGGCAACTTACTCTTCGCCATCATAACGATGGACCAAGTCCCAGTGGACGGCCACAACCGATCGAGGCTTACGTGTCGTATCTCCTTCGGCTCTGTAGCCACTCGCATTACCCGCCTCCCGCTCTCGATAGTAGTCTTCATCAGCCGTCGCATAGATGGGCCTACACATGCCGTAGACCTCGCCTCTGGGCGTGGGGTCGGGCCCACCGTCAAAAGTGATGGTCCTGCCCCTGAAGCGCAGCCGTGGGAATCTAGCATCTTCATCATCACCTCTTTCCAGCTCTTCTAACAGCCGGTCTTGTTCGTCAAACGGCTTGGCCTGGTCTTTCAGTGGAAGCAGCTCCAGTCGGAGCTGCAGGCAGTCTCCGACGGCTTCCCGCTCTCTCTTTAGCGATGGCGGTGTGATCGGAACCGGCCTGGGCTTGGTAGGGTCCATATTTGTCGCGCCACTCTCTTCGTGGAGGCCTCTCGAGATGGGATCACGGGCATTGAAGGATGCCCATCGAGACCAATCTAGGAAAGCGTAGGTCCCAATCCAGGTGCTCTCGACGTTTGCCCAGTCGAACGGCTTCTCATTATCGTGCTCGCTCCTTGCGTTTTCTTTGCCGAGCGAAGTAGACGACGTCGGCTTGACTTCTTCCTCTTGCTGCCGCGAAGGGGGCCTTTGAGGAACATTGGAAAGGCTGCCCCTCGAATGAGCCCAACCACATGGCGGACAAAGGACCTCAAACCAGCGACGTAAAAGTGAGGCCTGGCAGTCGAGCGCGATGCCGTCACGCATGACGACTCGTTTCGACATCGGGTCCCTTCCCATCAAGCTGCGCCCCTCTGAGTCACACTTGGGTAGGCGGAAGCCCGTCCCCCAACCGTGATGAAGCACGGCGTGGCGAATGTTGCAGTACATGACGATCATAATGGCCTCGACGGTCACCCAGTCCACGCGCTTTTCCATCCTCCAAACGTCGCGAGTCGAGGTCCACGGCAGGGGATCAGAGTCGCCAACATCCACTGGTCTTTCCGTCTTGCTATTGTTGCTGTTGACATTGCTGTCACTACCACTGCTGCTGCTTTTCGGGTTCGTCATCGTTGGTCTTCTCCAGCCTTTAGATCCCATAAGGAAGCCGTGGTGAATCATAGCATTTTTTAGGCGTTGGGCCTCGATATGCGAGAGCAGACCTTGCGAAACGGCAATGGCAGTCTCCCTGATTTCAAAGAAGAACTCTGCCTCGGAGTCGTCCGATTCTGACGTGTCCGAATTGGAGTCGGACTGGTATTCGCTGTCGCTTTCGTAATCCGAATTGCCAGCGTTGGTCAGCTGCGCAATGAGCTCTTCGGCGCTCATACCGACCTCATTGAATACATGATGAGCGTCAATTTGTGGTCCACCGTCTTCTTCGTCGGACGTGTCCTCATTGTCGCCAGAAACGTGCTCTTCGCCTTCGTCACCTGTGCTCAAGAGCTGGTCCGGATCATCCTCTGGCGCGGCTTCCAGAGCAACCTCGACGGAATGGCCGTCGTTCTCGAAAGTGGCGGCATTTCCAGCTGCTTCCTGCTGTTCTTGTCCTTCTTCTTCCAGTTCTCTTTCCCGCCTCCGATCCACGAAGCGTCGGCCGTCCAGTGCCAGACAGCGCTCCCTCCACGGCCTTAGAGGTCCATAGCTGGTCTCGGGTCCATACCTCGCATTGTCATATACGATCTCTCTCGCCGCTCCTCTCAGTTGATTGTCACCATGCAGACCTAGGTAGCTTCCTAGCGGCGGTTCGTGCATGTTGGCCAGCGACGCATCTGCTTGGTCGAGCGGATCGCGATAATATGCTTCGTCGAAGTCGCTTTCTTCGTCTTCTTCTCTCCCCTCGTCGGATCGCAGCACGCCTTGACTCTCCTCTCGAATGTGACGGCCAGGTCGGGTACCATGAAGGACGTGAAGCTCGGCGGCTAGCTGCTCGTCGACGGTCTCGACGTCCTCGAGCCGTCCCATCCTCAAGCCCTCGGCTCCACTGCTGCGGGCGGCTTTGGACAGCAAAGCGCCTTCGTTTGGCCCGTTTCCCGATGCTCGATGCTCGTAGAGGAGGTGTTGCAGATCAGAGGGGTAGTTTTTGAGGGCCAGTCTCGTCGAACGACGTCGATTCACGACCTTCCCTTCTTCGTCTTCGTCATCCATACCGTTGCCCTCCGCGTCCAAGAGCGACTTCGACGAGATACGCTGGCGCTTTATACCCTTCGATTGCGAGCTCTTCCGATCCAGCCCTTGGCTGCCACCAGATGAAGATCGGTCCCGCTTCTCACCATGGTCTCCCCCTCTCAAGCCGGCGACGGCGGCCTTTGACCCACAAGGGCCCATGACTGTCTTTTCGCTTTCCGCATTGTTACCCTTTCCAAACCTTTCTTTCTGGTACTGCAGCTGCCACTCCTTCAAGCGACGAATGTCGCGCCGAGGATAGACGTACGTCCGAAAGACGTCCTCCTTGCGCTGCGACGTGAGGTGACTCCGGAGGAATTTGGCATTGGCGCCAATTTCATTGTCCCCATCGCCGACCTCTTCGTCATCCCACTCTCCCCCACCAATGTGATTCCATGGGAATGGTTTCCTGGATCTTGCAATGGCCAGTAACGTTCGCAAAGTTTGATTGTAGCTCGAGATCTGGACGGAGTGAAAATCAGCATCACCTGAAGAAGCTTCCGGCTTTACGTTATTCAGGAGGAAGAGGACTTACAAACTCGACAGGTCTCTCCCTGGCTCTCAGCATTGTCTTTCTCGCGACAGCCCTCCTCTTTACCTGCTCTGCGAATCCGAAGTCGTGCCGCTGCGCAAAAGTCTCTTCATCGGTCAGGAAGAGCCGCGGCCTAGCTTCCCGCTCCGAGGTAGCGTCATCGACCGAGGAAGCCCTGGCCTTCTCCTTCTCCTTTCCCTTTCCTTTTTTCTTGGTTTCCTCTGTGGTCATTGACTTCCAACCGCCTCGTCTACGTTGCAGCGGCTCCGTCAAGACGGGATCCTCGACACTCTGCAGGCTCGAGCCGGCATCCCATTGAGCTTCAAAAACCTGCTTCCAGAGGTGGTTGGACGAGTTGATGTGCGACGAGAGAGCGGAGCACGTCTGCGATAGACGGGACAGATCGAAAGGATCTAGATGGATGAGGATGCGATGAAGAAGCTTATCAGAGAGAGGGAGGGAAGGTGGAGAGAGCAACGCCGTGCATGTCAGTGCTCTTCTCTGGAAGCGTCCTTGTGCACAAAGCTGAAGATGCTCTCACCTCCGAGGGAAGGTCAACAAGGCGGCTGGAGGTCGAGGAGGTCGAAGGTAGGGTACTAGCAGCGTCCATAATTACTTTCGCTTTCTCTTGATGAGAGACTGCTCTTAAGATGATGGTGAGTGATTTGGAGCCGACACTTACGATCACTTCAGCTCGGCGCTGCGCTTTCCGTGGCGTCGCACGGGCCACGCCTGACAATTCGAATAATCAAGGCTTATGCAAAGCGCTCCTATGCAGGGTTCAGGTCTGACAGATTACTATTGGATCATGAAGAAGAGCTCATGGATGATGGCTGAAGACAGGATGATGGATGGGGAGATATCGATGCTGTTCACTATGACAAGAATGACACTCAAAAAAAAAGTGCAGACACCTTTCGAAAGACAGATGGAGAGGAAAGCACAACTCAGATCAAAGGTAGACCTCATTGGGCCTATCCCTGCCAGTCCCTCCCGAGAGGCGCATTTCTCCTCTGTTGCATGTTGACTTGGGCTCGCAAACGTCTCGTCGGCAACAGGGGCACGTGCGTGCTCCTTGAAGCCAGGACTGTTTTTTGATGTATCAGTTGCCGTACTCTTCTGAGGAGGAGGAGGAGAGGAGGCCAGATAACGCACCTTAATGCAAATTTCGTGGAACGAATGATCGCAGGGCAGGCTCATGAGCATGTCCAAGCCGTCGTACGTCTCAAGACACACTGCACATCTTGTTTCTCTCTCGGCAAGACGAGCGACAGTCTGCAGCGGAAGATCGTCTGTTGCCACGGCGTCGAGAGGGTCCACGGCGCGTCTCTTTCCCTTGCGATCGGCGGAAATAGCGGGGCTGGTATCGCTGGGAAAAGTAGTGGACGAGGAGAGAGCTTCCGAACAAGCTTTCTCGCCCTCACCCTTGACACCAAAAACGAGCGGGTCAGCGCAGCTACCACCCTGCCATACGCGGTAAGTGCATGTAGGAAATTTGGCCACTACGTCGGCTGGTGCACCCTTGGGACGAGCTTCGCCTAGCTGCATCGACAGCCGCATCAGGTGCTCGTAAGAGTTCCGCATAGCAAATTGTTCATCCGTCTGTCCGTTCCTAGTCAGCAAGCACTTCTTCATCTCAAAAATGACCCACAAGTGCGCCTCACCAGGTAGTTTGCGGGGTCATCTACGATGCTGTCCGCTGCGCTTCCGTAGCGCGACGAGCCCGTGGCGCGCAGAAAGATGTCGGAAAAGACATCTCGGGGACGGTTGAAATGAAGACGAGGAGGGCCGTCTTCGATTGCGCCGTCTGCTTCAGCACCCGCGGTAGCCGTGGCAGAAACTGACGAGGAAGCAGGCTGCGATTCGTTGGATACCATCGACACCGCCCTGCTTCGCCGCTCTTCACGCTCTCTTCGCTCTCGGATCCTCTGCAGACGCGACAGTTGACTGCTGAGTGCACCCGGCGTGTCGTCATCGAGACGGTCGCTGTTCCAAAAGTGAGGCACGCCGCGAGCTCTTCTCTCATTGTCGAGGTGTGTTGATTCGCCTGCAGCAGCAGGAGCAGCACTCGACGCCGGCCGGGCGCTGCTGGTTGCATGCAAGGAGGAAGGAGGCGGAGGCAGTGCGCCCACGAGTCCTTCCAGCCCATTGACGACATCCGTCACGGCGAGAATCCTTCTTCGGACGTTCTCCATCTCCACTATCAAGTTGTCATCGTTGTTGCCGTTCCCCTCGTCTGTCCTCTCACCGGGGCCTCGTCTAAGCTCAGAAGAACGGACGCCTCGCTCATCCTCCGCTTCTTCGAGATTTGACTGTCTGGTGTACGTGGAAAAGGGTGGTGCTGGAGTGCGCCGAGTAACGCTGGCACCCCCACTGCCAGCATCACTGCTGCCTGAGCCACCGCTAAGGTAAGACGAGAGGACAAATGGCCGTAATATAGGATTTCGCTGAGAGGAGGACGCGACCGCAGACGAACTCGCATCGGACGAGGCAAGAAGCGCCTGCAGCCTTCTGTGGTAAGAACCTGGCCCACGCTGCTGATGATCGTGGGGTTGTTGGCGGTGATGGCCGTCTGCCTCGGCAAAGGAGAAGCTAAGCGGCGAACGAGACCGGAGTGAAGGGAGTTGGGGGACGTCGTCATCGGTACCGCTATTTGTTCCGCGCAGGTGCGCCGCTTCGATCCTCTCCTCATTCCCTCGTCCTCCAGCCAAAAGAGGTCGAAGGGGATGACGACTGGGGTTACCTGGAACGGTAGACTCTGGATCCGGAAATTCCATCGCTCGATACGTCGTCATGATCCGTCGCTGCTCTTCGACGCTGGCAGCAGCTCTGTCCGATGCCCTCCATGCTGTCAACGCGTTTGAATGCTCCCCCTCAGAGGAAGTTTCTCCATGGAAAAGCCGTCGACGGCGAAGTGCCATGTCCTCAATCTGGTCATCGATATCCATCAACCAATCCTCAGCAGGCCTACGAGCATTTCGTTGCCGTATCGTGTCACCTCGCTCAGGCACATGGAGCCTGTTCGTTCCCGTCACGGCAGCGTCATCGGGGCGAGGCTCAGGACCGGGTCTTACATGGCGGTGCGACAAGAGTGAACGACGAGTAGAATTCGACGTCTGCTCCGTCGTCGGTGATTGCTCAGGCATTCCGTTGTCAGATGACAGACTTGGAGCGTTACGGTCTTGCATCGAGCTCCTCGACGTCCTCAAGCGCAAAGAGGGTCTCGGAGTGAGGAAGTGTGACGGCCTCGTAAAGGAGAAGGCGTCCGTGGATCCATTGAAAGCTGAGGAAGACGGGTGTTCCCCCGCAAGAGTCAGAGAATGATCCCGTGAAGATCGAGCGAGAGGAGAGGAATGCTGTTCGCTGTCAAGCGGACTGGACGCGCTGCTCATCCGATGCGCTGAGGAAGAACGCCTCGAGGTCGAGCGAAGATGACCGAATGTTTCGACGTTTTCCCATCGAAGCCTGCGCGACTCGGCCACGAGGCTATCCAGTTGGTCGGCGGTGGCCCGCAGGTTTGGCCATGACGAGTCATCGTTGATGTCTCGATCAGTGAAAGCAGACATATTGGGTGTCTGAGCATGATCTCTGATCCTCTGAATGCTCCTCTCCCACCGACGAACGCTACTGATGGTCGAACGAGGCGCCATTTGACGATGTTCACGCGCGGAGGGGAGCATTTCGGCTGCTACCGTCGAATTGTCGCTGTTGTCGACCACGAGGTTTTCCAGTGATGGTGAGTCTCGGCGAACGCTCCTCAATCTCTCTTCTTCGCGCTCAGAGATGCGGTTGAGAGACCAGTCGACCGCCGAAGCAGAAGCTGATGCCGAAATAGACGTATCCGAGTAGCGAGAAGACATCGACAACGAGGATTCTGGCCTTGGGACGCCAAGGTCTGGCAAACGAGTGGGGAGGTGCTCTGGCTGCTCGTCACGACTGCTTTCCCAGTCGAAACGGATGAGACCAACGGCGTCCTCTAGGCTCGCGCTGTCGTCATCGCTGCGCAATCCTCGACTCGTCCAAGCTTGCGTTCGCAAAAGAGCGTCTTCCGGAGGGGGCGACAACGTCAAGTCGATGACCTCGCTGGCGCTGTTGTTGCTGTTGCTATTAATGTTGTTGGCATTGTTGCGCTGCCGGAGGGAGAAGGAGCTTGATGGGCGAGATGACGCCGAGGCACGCGATAGACGCGTGTCGATGGAGGGCAAGCGAGGATGACTTCTGCGGCTGTTGACGTTGTTCGACGACAACCTCGAGTCATGCGAGGACAAATCCCAGTACTCCTGCAGATACCGTGTGGTGCTTCTGGGGAGACGAACCTCTTCCCCGGCAGCGGATTCACCGATGTTGATTTCACTTTCGCCGTCTCGGGCGTCGTCCTCTCCTTCGAGAACGTCGCGGGCTGAGGACGACGTCGTCACCAAGTCGTCAAAAGGGCGAAATCGAAACAACCTGGATCCATCGCTTTGCTGTTGCGCTCCTTGTTGCTCTTGTTGTTCTGGTTGCTGCTGCTGCTGCTGCTGTTGTTGTTGGTTGTGTGGCTCATCGGCGTTGGTTCCGTCCTCGCACAAACCCAACGCAGCGCATTCATGATAGTAGTTATAGTCGACAGAAGAGACAATTGATTCTGCGCGACTCTGAGATGCCTGAAATGTGCGCCGATCTACCTCGATATCTGCCTCGCTGGCCGGCTCCCACCGTGTGTCAAGACCGCCTTGGGCAGGCGGAAACGTAGTAGGGCCCGCCGTTACTGCTCCCCTTTCCTCACTGGTGAGGTCGTGACTGTGATTGGGATTGGTGTGGTCCATGTAGCGCATGGCGTTGGCGAGGATGGAGCTACCGAAGTTGTCGAGGTTGACGTTCGAGATAGACTCGTCGAACGCTCTGGAGAAGTTGAACGCCGGCGGTGATTGAGGAGGAGGGCGAGGAGGTCCTGATGATGCTGTTGATGACGGCCCCTGGGTCGAGCGTCTGTCCGTCTCATCGCTCTCGAGCTGCTGGTGTGCGCCAGATCGCCTCCTCTTCCAGGGTGCACGCCGCCGCGTCGAGGATGAGGGGCTGGCAGTGATAGAGTGCGACGGACGCAGGCTCAGTCCTGAAGCATTCGAGGACGAGGCAGTTGTTGCCCTCATCGACGAAGACGAGCCGCCCGACGCCGAAGGGGTCGCTGCAGACGGAGTGGAGATATCGAGCGAGGAGCCCTGGCGACCTATGGGCGAGCCTATGGGCGAGATAGCTTGCTCGAAGGACCGCTTGAACGTGGAAGAGGGCGTCTGTGGCTGGAAAGTATAACATTCGTTAGCAACTTCGCAGCCACCCTCTGAAGCTTAGGAGAAGTAACACTCACATCGTCATCTCGGTCGATCTGTATCGCCGTGGCAGGTCGCAGGCCGGTAAAGATGCATGCTCGGTCGGCCTCTGTCATGACGTTGCTGGAAGACGCCGATGCGCTGCCTGTCGCAGAGGTCGACGCAGCCTCTCCGCCACTCCTCCTCGTCGACGACAGATAAGGGCGGGTCCTCGTGCTCACAACGGCAGCGGTCGGCATGGCGCTTCTCCCGTTTCCTCCTTTGCGACAAAGGGGGACTTGGTAATAGGGAGACAGGAAAGGGGAGACAAAGGTGCGTTGGTAAGTGCCAATGGCTGCAGTCCCTCCCTATCTCCCCCCTTGGCGGGCGCTGTTACTGCTACTACTAAGGGCCAAGCTGCGCTCGATTTGCCTGCCTACTTACTACTACTGGGCCTAGTCTGGCACCTATTTTTTTTCTATTTTTCCCTTCTTGGGCGGCGGTCGGGCCACCCTATGACGGAAGTGCGCGGATTGGATTTCCACAAAAGGAGGGCACATGGCATCCAATTCCTGTCACTGCTCTAGGGGCCCTGGAATTACCATCTCGAATCACCAAGCGAATCTAATCGGCTCCTCGGTGTAGCAGCAGAACAAACAAGTGCTACTCCTCACTCGACCACGGACAGCCCACAATGTCGCGGCCTATGAACGATGACGAGGTGCTGACAGAGATGAAGAAGATGGTGGCCTTCATCAAGCAGGAGGCCATGGAGAAGGCGCGCGAGATCCAGGTCAAGGCCGACGAGGAGTTCGCCATTGAGAAGGTGAGCAGCACCAGCGATCCTCTGAAAGCCGGACGCAGAACACAGCTGACGCATACTGGTGGGGGATTGGGTAGGCAAAGATTGTTCGTCAGGAGGCACAGAACATCGAGGCGACGTACGAGAAGAAGAAGAAGCAGGCGAGCGTCGCCCAGAAGATGTGAGTTTCTCTTCTCGTACGGGCGTTCCTTCGAGTTCATGATCCATTTCAAGGCTGACCCACTCGCCCGGGGTATTTTGATGATTTCGCCAGCGAACAATCGAACCAGACGAACAAGTCTCGGTTGCGGGTCCTGCAGACGCGCGAGCAGCACCTCGATTCGCTTTTCGATGGCGCCCGCCAGCGCCTGACGGACCTGACAAAGGACCAGGCAAAGTACGGCGAGCTGCTCAAGAGCCTCATCGTTCAAGGACTGCTCCAGCTCATGGAGGAGAAGGTCGTGGTCACGGCACGGTCCAGCGACGTGGAGCTCGTCAAGAAGGCGGCAGGCGAGGCAGAGGCTGCATACAAGGATAAGAGCGGGCGCTCAACAAAGATCGAGGTCAAGGAAGGCCTTCAGAAGGACTGGTGAGTCCGTCTGTCAAGCGTCAAAGTCAATTTTTGCACTAATTCCACCTGTGTCTTCTCTCGCAGCCACGGCGGTGTCATCCTGACGGGCCATGGAGGACGGATCAACATCAACCAGACACTGGACGAGCGCCTTCGCCTGCTCGAAGACCGCATGCTGCCCGAAATCCGAATGGACCTCTTTGGTCCGAACGAGAACCGAAAGTGGGTCTGGTCTTTCCCTTTTCTATCTCAGCTTGCATTCCGCCAGTCTTCTAACACCCTTCATCTCGACAGGTTCTACACCTGATACACAGGCCCTCTTCTATCATCGGATTGCTCGTATGGTATTTCTCGGACTAAGGCTTCTTCAACAGCGAATTGATCTCCTGAACAATCTCTGCCGCCAGCCGGGCATTCTCCGCCTCAAAGTCGTACCTCTTCTGATCATTCTCCCTGGCCACGATGAGTTTGAAGTTGCTCGCGATCCGGCTTTGCTGCTTGCACGACACGACTGCCCCGATGGGAAAGCTGGCCGTGGCGCTGTGCGTGTTGTAGAATGCGCGGGTATCCGTGGGACTAGAGAGAGTGCCATTTGTTGTCAGTTGATAGAACAAGAGCAAGGAACAAACTCTTGCGAGAACTCACATGATGTGCAGCCAGTCGCCGTCGATGGTGAGGATGCGCTCATGCCTGCCCAGAAAGCTTGGCATCTTTCGGTTGACCGTATAGGACTGTCACGGATAACACATGAAGTCAGTAAATGATCATGAGAAAAGAGAGAACAGGAGGAGACAGCAGACAGTCGCACCTTGTATGTCGAAGTAATGTCCTTGGTCGAGTTGTACAGTCGGGCACCCTGCTGCCCAGACTGTTCCAGAAGCAGCTTCGTCTGGCCTGCATCGTCGACTGCGCCCGGCCCACCGAGTCGCTTGAAGATCGAGGCGTTCGGATTCGTGCTTTGGCCATTCAGGACTGCTCTGCCTCCCTGCGGCAGATCCAGCGTGCTTCGTCTGACGAGAGCTAGGTCGTGGTTGCCCTGCAGGGACTCGACGGTGCGATCGAGGGGCACGACGGTGTCGTCCCTATCGGGCACCACGAGGGCCCAGTGCTCTGCGTCTGCCAGATGGCGCTTCTTGCAGATCGTCTCGAGGACATCGGCAAGATACATGTCCGAAGGCACCTGCAGCGTCGTCTTGTATCGGACCTGGTCGTTTGGTGTGATGAGCACCCGCAAGAAGATTGGGGCTGAAGTGGGTCCCGCGGCAGAGGAACGCGAGAGGGTAGACGAGGTGAAGATGGGAGTCCCCTGGACCGAGACGAGCGAGCCCGCTGGAGCGTTGCCGGCCGTGGCAGCCAGTCGTGCAGAGGGGCCAGGAGGCATAGTCGAGGGATTCTGAATTTGCCTCTGGTCGAGCTCCGGCGCCTTTGCCGGCGTGGCTGTCGGTGGCTTCAGCGATTGCTGCTGCTGGTTGAAGACTTGCTGAGGCGGTGGAACGTTGTATAGAACCGTCGATTGCGTATTGCTGGCTCTCTTGTGATAGTCATCGACCGATGCAAGGTGCTGCTTGATCTGAGCCTGTGTGGCCTCGCAGATTGCCAGCTCGTCAGCGCCGAACTTGCCCACCTGAAGCGAGCGATCGATGGCGGGGTAGTCGTCGTCGACCTCGCCGTCCTCTACAATCCTCAGGGTCCAGCCGAGAGAGCTGAGCCGGACTCCGCGGTCTTCCTCGCTAGCATCCTCTGCTAGTCCCTCGTCCAAGGCTGGCTTCCATCCTTCTTCGACGTAGCAGTAGAGCGAGTATCCGATGAGCTCCTCCATCGTGGCGTCCCTACGCACATTGAGCGTCATGCTGCGCTTCTTTCCATTGAGTTGCAGCGCTCCACTTCTCGTCTTTCCACCGGGCGCAGACGTCGAATTGCCGCTCTTGGCCAGTGGGAAGTAGATCTCGACGTTTGTGCTGCTTCCTCCCGATACGCTGCTGCCCGCGACGCCCTTGTAGAGCTGGGTGAATGCATTGGTGGGGCCATCGCTCCTCGTTCGCAGCAGGGCGCTGAGGGCAGAGACGTTGCCTCCTGCCCCACCCGACTGCCGTCGCACCGGCACGACGGGCTTCTTGAGCGAGGCAAACCACTGGTTCTGCAACTCGATGGCGTGGCCGTTCTTTAGTTCTCGCCTCGACCGCTTCTTCGATACCGCCGAGGCAGGGTTCATCACCTCCAGTGCATTTGGCGTCACTGCCCTCGAGCTGATGGCTTGGCCGGGTGGGTGAAGGGCTGGAACGGCTGGCTCGTCGGTCTCGCCATCGATGGCTCCGTTGCCCATCTCGAGCCCAAGGGCGGTCCGAATGGGCGCTGCGTCGGCCTCTGCCCGTGCCGATGATCCAGCGCGAAGGAGCGGCTTGTCGTCTTGGATGTCCTCGACTTCCTCCTGGTTGTCCCCATCCGCATTCTCATCCTCGCCTTCGTCTCTTCTCCTTCTCCTCCGTCCTCGCTCAGCAGCCATCGAAGAAGCAGCCATCGAGCTGCCGGCCGCATTGACCCCCCTCTGCTGGTCCTTGTCGAGGCTTGACACGGTGCTGCCATCCTCCTCCACAAATGATCTCGCAGCCGAGCTAGTCGTGTCGCCAATGCTGCTGGCCCCACCGTCCTGGTCATGGGGATACAGCAGTCGATTTTCTTTAGACAGTGGGCTGATGCTCGACTCGCTCTGTCCGTACAGGTTTCCTCGCACGGGCATTGTCTGGGCAGCTGACGAAGGCATCGCGCCGTCGAACGAGAAGCCACCAGCACCCCTCCCTGCTCCGGCAGCTGCGCCGCCACCGACAGCGGTCTCGTCGACCTCGTGCAGAGGACCAAAGGTCTTCGACCGGTGCAGCGTTTCGTTCGCTCGCCGATCCGACAGCGCCCTCGGCCTCGTCTGCGGCGGCGAGGCGAGCGAGAAGATGGTTGAGTTGCTCTCGGTCCTGCCCATCTCTGATGGACCCCTCTCCGAGTAGGTGTCGCTGTGAGAATTGTAATGGTCAGCTTCGCTGTTCTTCCTTTTCTCCTCCATTGCCAAGAATAAATACTACTCACAAGTCGTACGATGAAGACCTCCCTTCGGACGTCAGGGTGCCCCTCCTCGAAGACGAGGAAGGCGCTGCTTCTCTCGCGGTGCCGTCGCTTCCAACACTATCGCGCTGCTGCTCGAGGTGCCTCTTGAATGCGTCGCTTCTCCTGCGCTTCTCTTCTTCCCCTTCCTCCCCTTCTTCTCCTATTTGCCCTTGCAGTGTCGACGAGCCGATTCCCAGATCGTCGTCGACCGTGGACCGACGAGCGCGGCCGACATCTGAGATGCTCTTGCTTCGTTCCAGCGTCTTCGGACCTCCTCTCGGCACGCCATCGTCGTCGTCTGCAGCACCACCAGCAGACGAGAGGTTCTCCCGCACGCTCGACGCCCGTCGAACGCTCCGTGCCGGTCTCGTCGGTGGTGGCGTTCTGTCGAGCCAGTCAAACTTGTGCTGCCTCGCCGTCTTTGGTGTCTGAAGCCCTGGCTGCTGCTGTTGCTGTTTCTGCAGCAAATCGGCCTGGACAGTGGAAGCATCCGACGACTTTGGCACGCGCTCCTCCTCGGTCCTCTCGAGCGCAGTCCCCACAGCAGACGAGATCTTCTGCGGGTGGCTGCTGCTCCTGCGCCGCGGCACTTTCGGTGTCCCCTTGGGCGCGGTGGACGTAGCGAGGGTAGACTTTGAATCGCCTGGAACGGCATCACGCATCGGGTCGGCGTCGAAGGAGCTGTCGTAGGTGGATCCCTGTACTGCTAGCGCAGGGATCTGCATGCTGCTGCTGCTGCCACTGTCGCCTTCGCTGGTGCTGGGTGCAGCACCAGCACCAGCACCAGCACCAGCAGCAGCCATCGTCGGTGGGAAAGCAAACCCTTTGGCGTCTGAGCCCTCCTCAGCAGGCTTGGGCATCGAGCCGGCCCTTGCTTTCGATCGACGCTGCTGGCCCTCCTCGCTCGGTGCGCGCCGCCCGCTCACGCGCATTCCCATAGCGCCCGTCCGGCCCGGCCCATAGATTGTCGTCGTGTACCGCAGGCCGCCGGCATTCTTGCTGTCTCCTTTGGCAGCGGCCTGCTCAGCGCCTCCGAGACGATGGGGGCCAAAGACGCCCGTCTGATTCGCACCACCTGGCCCCATGGCCGCCGCAGCCGAGGAGGACGAAGCAGACGCAGAGCTGGAACCACTAGCAGCCGCAGCAGCAGCTGCTGCTGCAGCTGCCGCTGCGCCCGGCGGAAGATCGGCGTGGGGCAGTGGCGAGTAGACGTTGGCGAGCTCGGGCTGGTAGCGCGCGCTGTTGAGGCCGGCCATGACGATGTGGCTGTCGGGCGCGAGGGGCGGCAGCGTCGTCAGCGCCGGGCTCCGTCTCTCCCCCGCCCCTGCTCCACTGCCACTGCCACTGCCACCATTGCTGACGCCATATCCGCCACTCCCATTCCCATTTGCGTGTCCGAATCCGTATCCGTGCCCGTTGGAGAAGGCGCCTAGGCCCGGTCCCGCGCCCGACGCAGCGCTGCCCGTGCTCGACGAGGCACTGCTGTTGTTTGCGTGGTGCCCGGCGCCAAAGATGTGCGACGAGCGACGGGGCACACCACCACTGCCGCCTGGTGCAGCCGAACTGCTTGACGAGGCCGCCGCCGTCGGTGGCAGGTCGGTGATGTCGGCAAAGGACAGCACGCGGGGCCCATAGTGGTCGTCGACGCGGCGCAGATAGGCGAGACGCAGCTGGTAGATGGCATAGTCGCCATCGACGAGGAGCGACATTCGTTCCGGTACACACACGCGCACACTACCCTCTTCTCTCCTTCAGAGTAGGGAGGAGTAAGGAGGGAGCAAAGGGAAGAGAACGAATGGGGAGGTCCTGGCTGTCGATGGGATCTGTCGATGGGATCTATCGATGGAATCTGCCGCGCCTTTCTGTCGAGATTTTTTTTTTTCCTTTCCTAATTCTCTTTGGTGGCTTGTGCGGGGCGGCCCCTGCCTTACTTAGTGCAGGCGCTAGTCAGACCAATGTGGCAGTAGTGAGAGCCAGCATCGGGCAAGGCAAAGATAGGAAGGACATATGAGATGAGAACGGCAAAGATTGGAGACAGTGTATTCATTCGCTCATTCGTTTACAGACAGTGGGACAGAGGCAAAGCAAGAAAGAGGTGGATGGAGGAGGAGAAGAGCAAAGAACGCATCGATGGCTAGATCAATTAATCGTGCTTTTTGAGGCTGTGGTGGTGTGCATGTGTTTTTCCCTTTTTTCATTCCTCAGCCAGCAGCGAGCTGGACATTTACTGCTTGACCTTGCCAATGATGCCCTGCTTGTAGTACTTGGCGACGACTCCCTTGTCGCTGTTTCGGGAAAAAGGCGGACGAGACAGTCACATCAGTAAATGCATTCGTGAATCAAAGAAGGCTCGACGGTAGATCACTCACTGCAGCATGTTGAACTCCTCTGTGGCGTCACGGCCCTTGTAGAGGAGGATGGCCTTGGCACCACCAGGGTGGTCCTGGAGGAAGCCAGTGGCGTCAATCACATCGCCGTTGACGGCAACCCAGACGTCGTCGTCCTTGTCGTGCTTGGCCACCTCGTCCATCGAGATCTCACGGAGCTCGCCCGAAGAGGCAGCCTTGTCCTTGCCCTCCTCCTTTCCGGCCGGCCGGTTGGAAGACTCGGCGACGGGGGCCGACTGGGCAGCCGCGGTGCCCTGGGCCTGGGGCGCGCTGTTCGACTGGCCTTGGCCAGCCCAGCTGAAGGTGAGGTTGACGTTCTGCGACTCTGGGTTGACGCGCACAGTCGTCTCGAGGTGCTGGGCGACCTGGCCAGCCCTTCCAGAGGCAATCTTGCCAGTGGAGATGCCACGGAGGAGGTAGGCAGTCGCCGTGTCACCGGCAACACGGCCAAAGACGACACAGCCGAGGAGCGAGGAGCCACCAAGACGGTTGGCGCCGTGCACACCACCGGCAATCTCACCCGAGGCAAAGAGACCGTCGATGGGCTTTCCCTGGGTGTCGAGCACCTCGGACTTGTCGTTGATCTCGAGGCCACCCATGGTGTAGTGGAGGACGGGGGTCATGAGGGCGACGTGGAAGGTGTCGTCCATCTTCATGTTGTGGTTGTGGAAGAACTTCTTTCCCCAGGGGCACTTCTTCTTGCCCGTCGCAATCTGGTTGTAGTCGTCAAAAGTGGACTTGAGCTTGTCGGCGGAGATGCCCATCTCCTTGGCGAGGGCGTCGCCCGAGTCGAAGCGCTTCATGAGGCCTCGGCCAGTGTAGTGCTTGCAGTGCCACTCGATTTCCTTGGACGCCTGGCCGTTGAGGATCAGTCGGACGGGGAACTTGTTGTTGTCCCACATGCGGCCAGTGACGTAGTCACGGTGGCCAAGCTCGTCGGCAAACCGGTTGCCCTCGTTGTCGAGCAGGAGACCACCGACGCCACGGAGCGCCTCGGCGGCGAGGAACTTGACCTTGGCGTCGGGCTCCTTGGGGTCGACGAGGCCCGTGGGGTGGACCTGGACCTTTTCGAGGTCGATGAGGCGGCCGCCAATGGCAGCAACCATCTTCTGGCCGTCACCGGTGCAGTGGTCGCCGTTGGTCGTGGGCAGGTGCATAAGGTCGGGACGGTGCTTCTTGAGGAGCGAGTTGACGTCGTCAAAGTCGGCGGCGTAACCACCGGTGGCGAGAACGACGGGGCCGTGCTCGCGGTGCGACTGGCCGCCAACCTCGTACTCGACACCCTGGACGGAGTTGTTCTCGTAGATGAGCTTGGTGACACGCGCTTTTCGGATGATCTGCACCCGCTCCGGCTGCGACTCGGCCAGGTCCTCGATCTTCTCCATCTGGGCGTAGGTGATTGTCATGCCGGGGAACTGGGCGCCACCTCGGTGCGTTCGCGGCTGCGAGTGGCCACCTAGCCGCGAGACCTTGGACAGGTCGAGGGCAAATCGGTCCTGGAGCCAGTTGACGGCCTCGCCCGAGCGGCCGGTGAGGACCTTGATGAGGTCGTCGCGCGCGAGGTCACGGGCCGACTTCTTGGTGTCGTTGAAGAAGATCTGGGGCGGCCAAATCAGCTCTCTTGTCTCTCTCTCTCTCTTTTCTTTCTCTTCAAGAGAATCCTCACCTTGGCACTGTCGGGAATGTCATTCTCAGCCTGTGTCGCTGTGCCGGCACCGTTGATGCCCGACGTCGCCTTTGTGCTGTTGCCGCCAAAGAAGGCGTTCTTGTCGAGCACGAGGACGTTTCCGCCGCGCTCGAGGATTGTGTGTGCCGCGCTCAGGCCACTCAGGCCTCCTCCAACAACAATGACCTTGGACATGGTTGCAAGGGGGGGATGGTATGTGTGCGTTCTTGGAGGGAGAAGGGGAAGAGAGACGTAAAAAAAGGGAGTGGTTAGAACAGTGGAAGAAAGGAGAGAGAGAGAGAGAAAGAGGGAGGGAGGGAGTGCTTATAAAAAGGACCGGCCAGGTGTCGTGTCGCCTCTTCGCTTTCAACGGGCCGGGGCTCACCTGCTTAGCTTTCTTTGTTACAGGCGGTCCAAGCAAAGGCTGCCGACTACTGACTGACTAGCTAGCTGGCCAGCGTCTCAGCGCGGCGCAGAGCAGCAGCACCAGCTCCAGCAGCACCCTAGGCAAGGCGGGGGAGCAAGGTCCATTTCTAATCGGCCACCCAATCATAAATGAGGGCTGCAGACACACTGGCAAGGTGCCTCAAGGCCCTGTTGCATGAACGTGGCCTGTGCTCGTAAAACGTTATGCAAAAGCAACCTTGCTTAATTTAATCTCTACAAAGAGAATAAGTCTCGCTCTGCCCTTGCCTTTTTCTGCCTTTTCCCCTTTCCCCGCCCTTGGTTTTTTGTATCTGCGGCACCTTCTGTGCGTGGTGCGGGGTAAAGGCAGGGCACTTCATTGGAATAGCTTTGACCAATAGCAGCCAAGGTTATTCCAAATAAAGCCCTCTCGGGTTCGGCTCGGCCTTGCTCATGTAATCTCAGGCAGACAGCCGCTGCCTCCTCCTCCGCGCTTGGCTAGTAGCATAGCAACATTCAGCCTTATCTTCCAAAAGAAAGAAGAGAGAAATGAATAAGAGAAAGCAACAAACAATGTATATAGAAATCAGAGATCAGCAAAGAAGAAAGACGTCGAGACAGGCAGCGGCGGCGGAGGCACGGCAGAGGGGATATCGACTGTCTCGCCCGTGAGATCGAGCAGCTTGACCTTGACGCCAATGTCGGTCAGCATCTGAATGTAGTCTGCCGTCTCCTTTGTCGAGACCATGCCGCCCTCGCCCCTCAGCATGCTCAGGCCGTCGGTCCACTCGCTGTACTGGCTTGCATTCAGGGCGACAAAGTCGGCCATGCTCACGTCTGGCGCCCGGAGCAGGCTGAATGTGAGGTTGCCCGTGGTAGAGTCTGCGCCGTTGCCCGCCGAGGTAGCATTTGCTGCGGCGGCAGACTGGAGTGAAATGTCAGTGACCTGGTTCAGGTCAATCTTTTCGGGCAGGTCGTCGAGCCCAGACCGTATCGGGCCCCTTTCCACCGCCTCGCAGTAGTAGAGGTACTTTTTATTAGGGCTCAGGCGGTAGAAACGCCAAGGTCGTGGATTGGCCTGGACGAAGCCCTTGCTGTTTCTCGATGCTGTAGGCGCGAGACCGGTAGAAGCGAGCGAATTGGACGGTGCGCTGCGGAACCAGGCGCCCTCGAGCAGGCACTGGATTCTCTGCTGCCGCACAAACTCGTAGCTCTCCCTGTACAGCCTCGCCCTCAGGTTGCGGATGCTTGGCTTGCTCGAAAAGTCGTCTTCCACCTCGAGTTCGCGCATCTGCCGGTCCCGGACGATGCGGTAGTCGGACTGGAGAAAGTCGTGCTCGACATCGTACCACGACTTTGTCGATTCATCGCGCAGGGCCTCCTTGACCTGGCTTCTCGTCAATGCGCTCACCCTCGCGAAGTCGCTCGCCGCTGCGCCGCTCTCGTACCACATGCGCAGGAAGAAGCGCAGCGCCAGGGAGTGGAGCCGGTGAAAGGAGAGGAGCAGGGGCTGGAAGCGCGTCGAGGTGCTGTAGCCAGACTCGATATCGTAGTGATCGCAGAGGATCTCGACGACCTCCAACGACGCCCTGCCCCAGGGGCACCGTCTCGACGAAGGCCGATTGACCTGCTCGAGGATGATCTTGGCGTAGGCCTCGGGGTCGTTCCTCACAAAGTGCTCGCAGCACTCGAGGCCGAGCCAGCCGGTCCGGACAAAGTCCTTTGCCACATTTTCGTGCTCGAAGCCCAACCTGCGCCACTTGAACTTCTGTGCCGTGCCTCCAAAGGACTGGGTGCTGCCTTCGGCCGTCGTTGTCTCTGGGATGCGCGCCTGAAGCCAGAGGTAGGAGAGGGCACTGACGTGGCGCTTGTCCGTCGGTGTCACCGAGGTGCGCAGACGGTGGTGTGCGACGCGGATGACGTTGATCTGGTACTCGAGAATCGACGAGGTGAGCTCTTCGCCCCTGTTTGAGTCCATCAGCCGTGCAACAGCCTTGGACACGCCCAGCCGCTCGAGCTCAGAGGTGAATGCGTCAAAGAGATTGTCTGAGACGTGGCGCATAAGACTGTTGATGAGACTGAGGCTATAGAGGCAGAGCGTCGTGTCTGCGCTGCTGAGGCGCTGCATGAGGGTGCTGAGGAAGTCTGGCTCCCTCTCCACCTCGCGGTACACGACATCGAAACCAAAGCGATAGACGCTGTTCGAACCTTGGACATCGCCAGCCTTTGCCTCTGTCCTCGCCGGGGCATCGCCCTCGGCGACGACCTTTCCCTCCTGCTCCTGCGGCGCATTGTCGGGACCTGAGACGACGAGCTTCTTGAGGATGGCCGTCGCAGGTCGGCAGACGTTGATTCGCTCCTGCGTGGCCAGGGTGTTGACCACCTTCTTGATGAATGCGCTGTCCAGGCTCTGCCACCCTTCGTCGGAGCTTTCCATGAGGTTCTGGATGCTCGTGAGGGTGTATGCGAGCGTGTTGCTCCCGCTCAATGTCTTGGAGATCTCCACGAGCTCTTCGAGCCCGCCTCTGTTGAGAAACTCGGCGCTGAAAGGCTGCTCGCGGATGAGCCGCTGGAGGGTATATGTGGCCATCTTGAGCGTCCTCTCATCCCTCGACGAGAGCTTGTCGACCATCTCGACGGCCTCGATCGTCGGCGAAGAGCACAGTTTGAAATTTCTCCCTGCGTCAATCTTTCTCGCCATGTTGGAGTCGTCGATGAGCTCCTCGTCCTCGTCATCGCGGAGCGCAAACAGCGCCGGAGGCTCCTGGACACCCAGGTGGGCATTGGCACACAGCTGGCGGATCACATCGCCCACGGGCAGGCTGGGGTCGATGAGCGCCTTGATGGTGGCATTCTAGAAAGGCACAAAAGACCATCAGCATCACAAACGAGCCTGCCGTATCACAAGCATGGACTTGACCACTCACGCGGTACGTGACTGTATTGATCTTGGTGCCATTCGGTGCGCCAGGCGTCTGGGAGCTGGACCTGCCCTTGGCCGTGCCCGCCGAGCCGCTCGAGGTTGGCCGATCATTGAGGAGGGGGGATCGCACAACGCCCGCCCCTGCCAGACGTGAGCCACTGCCGAGGTCTGGCGACCGAGGAGAAACCGTCGCGGCCGCCATTGGCTGGAGAGATGGAAATACCTGATAGGACGAGAGCGAGGGACGAGACGACAAAAATAAAGCGCGAGGTCTCTCTCGCACAGGCGTAAGACTTCTTTCCTTCTTAGCCTCGCACAATCAATCAAACTATCTCTCTCACACGTGTCGCTCTTCGGCGTCGCCTCCCGTCAGGTCTCATCACTGTTTGCGTGGTCCATCAATCGTTCCAGAGATGCTTAGTACATTTCGACAAGAAGAGACGCGGTTGATAGTAGTGGTAGAGTGATAGCAGCATGTGCAGAAACAGACGCAGCAAGCCTGTTTGTGAAGTTCCTTTTGATCCCTTTTTCTCTTACTGAGCCCTCTCGAGCTTTCTCCTCTTTCGCCTCAACCTTGCCTCGTTCTCCTCGACGCGCTCGCGTCTCTCTAGCCTCTCGCTGTAGTACTGCCCGCTCTGCAAGATCAAGACGCCCACGAGAGCCACGGCAAGGACAGCGTTGGAGCTGGCCAGGTCTCGGAGGGGCAGCAGCACGTTGTCCTTTGGATCCATCGGGTCTGCCGCCGGTTGCGGCGACGTTGCGGGGAGCGCACGGAGGCCTGCGTGAGGATCAAAAACGTCAGCTTTCTACGCGCCGGAGCCTCTCGACGAAGATTCCGCAACTCACTAGGCACAATCTTTTGGAGATAGACGATGCCCGAAGCTCCGTAGAGGACTGCTCGAAGAAAGAGCTGGATGAGCTTCCTCGTGGAGTGGAACATCAGAAGCGGTATTCGACTGCACTCACAAAGACTGGCTCCATCAAAGAGCCAGTTGCTCTCTCGCCCACCCAGCACCTTGGCCAGAAGCATGACGCCGCCGAGCGTGCCGACGGCGTACTGGCCAATGGTAAAGTACTCTGGCATGCTGACAAGCGTGTGTGAGTAGTAGATGTGCGCCGACAGGAGCGACGGTCTCGTGACGGGCGATTGCCACAGCACCAGATGGTCTGCCGTCCAGTGCATGGCGAGAGTGCCTATCGATTGTCAAGCGACGCGAAAAATAGAAAAGCACGGTAAAGATGAGCATGGCGAGTAGTTGTGGGGGATCCCGCCGACATGGCTGGGGAAGGGGGGAGGATGTGTCTCTCCTCGACTCACCGAGCAGAAACGACGTCGCGATGACGACGATGGCTGTTGAGAGGTCCCCCATGTTATGCTCTCCCTCACGTTGCGCTTCAGTCTGTTCCGTATTTGTCCCCACCGGCGCCCGTCGTCTTCGTCGTTGGTCGCTCTTTGTCTTCCCTTTCCGAGCTCGCTCAGACCGAGCGGTAAAAAGAAAGCTTGGCCAAGGTTCGCAAGTCCCGACGCACGATTTGCCACGTGTTTAATTTCTCTGGCCTCCAGTTTTGAAAAGCGCCTACCTTTTCTCCGGCTCAAAGGCACCGGCTATTGATCGTCGCCATCTCCGCATCCATCTCGACTCGTCGCGTCCTCGCCCCATCTGAAGCGTGCTGCCAAGGAGAGCGACATGTCGTCTGGCGAAGCCAATCCGCGCCATGTGCGCCCAGAGATGGTGTCGTCTGCCGTCTCGTTCCTCTCGGACCCCAAGGTGCACAGCTCGACAGTCTCGCAGCGCATCAGCTTCCTCGAGTCAAAGGGTCTGAGTCCCGACGAGATCGACGAGGCACTCCGGCAGACGGGCACCAGTGGCGCCATCACCGCTGGTGCTGCTGCTCCCCACTCTGGACCGAGCCACAGCGTCTACCCACAGCAGCCACAGCAGCCGTACGCGCCCGTGTATTATGGTGCGCAGCATCAGCACCCTCCACAGCAGCATGACCGCGACTGGAGGGACTGGTTTATCATGGCCGTCGTCTCTGGCACAGTTGGCTACGGCATCATCCAGCTCGCAAGAGTGAGTCCATCGCTCCTTGCTCTTTCCTGCTCTCTCATCTGACCCTTCTGGCTCGCCTACTTCAACCCACAGAAATACCTCATGCCCCACCTTCAACCGCCGAACCAGACGATTCTCGAGTCGGATCGTGACGAGCTGACGGCCAAGTACGACGAGGTGGCCGCCCAGCTCGCCGCGCTGGACGGCGAGACAAAGGCCGTCAAGGCTGGCCTCGAGCAGCAGCGCGAGGCCGTCGAGCGCGGCATCAAGGACGTCGAAGAGGCCGTCAAGGTCATGCGCGACAATGACAAGCGACGAAACGACGACATGGATGCCGTCAAGTCTGAGGTTGACTCGATGAAGGACCAGCTTCCTATGGTGGGTCTCATTTCGCCTCCCTTACCCCCGGCCTGTGGGCGCATCAAGACGCTGACGTGGAGTGTTACCTCGAAACAGATGTTTGAAAAGACGCGCGAAGCGCAGGCGGCGAGCCTGGCAGACCTGCAAAACGAGCTCAAGTCGCTCAAGGCGCTCTTGAACTCGTCCAGAGGTGCCGCCGGCAGCTCCCGTCCAATGTACGGCATCGGGGCAGGTGCTGGAGCTGGAGCTGGTGGTGCTGCCTCCCCCGGTGCATACGCCGGCTCTTCCTCGACACCCACACACGAGCAGGGGAGGGCGTCTCCCTCGCTCGGCGGGAAGCCTTCGATCCCTGCGTGGCAGCTCGCGCCCGACGCTGCAGGCACATCCTCCCCCTCGCCCTCCAATGAGGGGAGCCTCGGGGCTGCACCCAACGCAGACGAGCCCAAGGGCACTAGCACGGCCGATGCGGGTGCCGAGCATGCAAAGGATGCCTCCTCGTCCACGCCAGCAGCAGAGGGCTATTCTGTACCAACTTGATTGTCTTCACTGTCACAATACTATCTCTCTTTGGTGCTCTTTTAGCTAGCTTGAAATCTATTTCTACAAGAGAAGGACAGGAGGAAGCCTTCCTTCTTTTGGCCCCTGTGCGCAGCCTGTCACTTTTGCCAGACGGGTTTCCCGTCAATGAATGTCGCCAAGACGACTGCCTCGCGCATCTGCCCCGCCGTCGTCTTGTCCGTATCCATGACATCGCGGTCGACGAGGACAAAGTCGGCGCGCTTGCCCGCGGCCAAGCTCCCACCGACGTGCTCCTCGAACTGGGCATAGGCCGGCGCCACTGTGAAGCCGTGCAGCGCCTGGGGCCTCGTCAGGCGCTGCTTGCCAAACCACGCCGTGCCTTTTCCCCACGGCGAGCTGCCCTGGGGATCCATGCGCGTCACGGCAGAGTAGAAGCCATGGAACGGGTTGGGCAGCTCGACGGGAAAGTCAGACCCGAGGGCCAAGGTGTAGTGGGGTGCGCTACCGTTGCCTTGCAGAAAGCCGGACCAGACGTAGGCGCCCTCGGACCTTGCGTGGCCCAGGCGCGACTCGACGTAGGCCATGTCGGAGGTGCAGTGCGTGGGCTGGACAGAGGGGATGACGCCCAGCTGGCCAAAGCGGGCAATGTCGGCCGTGCGCACGATCTGGGCATGCTCGATTCGAAATCGCTCGTCTTTTTGCTGCTGCTGCTGCTGCTGCTGCTGCTGCTGCTGCGACTGCGACTGCAGCGACTGCAGTGACAATTGGTCGGTGCGACGGGTGCCGTCGCTGAGAATGGACTGGTAGGCGTCGAGGACGAGGGTGTTGGCGCGGTCGCCGATGCAGTGCGTACCCACCTGCCAGCCTCGGTCGGCCCAGTAGCGGATCAGCGGCTCGATGTCGTCTTCAGGGATCAGCATCAGGCCCCGCTCGGCCGGTCGATCACTGTAGGGCTCCCACATGGCCGAGCCCCAGCTCCCCAGCGCGCCGTCGGCAAAGAGCTTGACCGTCCGCACCGTCAAGCGGGACTCGGGTGTGGGCAGCAGCGGGTAATCGTGCGACGCAGCGAGGTCGGCGCAGCGCGGCTGGCCAGGCGGGCAAGCGAGCATGCCGTAGATGCGAAGGGGAAGCTTCCCCCCTCGGTCGACACTGCCAGACAAGCCGTCAGATAGGTAGAAGGCTAAATACGAACAGGGAGAACAGGCACGCACCCTCGCATATAGTCCAGGCTGGCTATGTCGACAGCCGCATCGCCGACGCTGGTGATGCCAACAGAGAGGAGCGCGTCGGCAGCCATGGCGAGAAATCGACTACGATCCTCGTTGGTCCATTTTGGAATAACTTTGTAGGCAAAGTCCATTGCCTTGTCAATAAGGCATCCCGTCGGTTCGCCGTGCTCGTCTCGAATGATGAGGCCACCCTCGACGTCGGTGCCGTTTGGAGGTAGCACTTTGGCCTCCTCCAGGGCCTCCAGGGCCTTTGGCGAGAGCCAGAGTGCGTGCACATCGATCCTCCTCAGCGCGATGCGACGGGACGCAAGAAGAGGTGAGGAAGCGACGAGGTCGGCAGCCGTCGGAAACACGGCCGGGTCCCACTTTGTCTGATCCCAGCCGAGCCCTTCGACCCATTTGCTCTCGTTCTCGAGAAGATCTGCGCGGCTTTCAACGTACTGTTCCAGTCGCTTGATGATCTCGCGTATGGAGGTAGCACCGACGAGATCGGCGGCACCACGGGACCAGCCAAGGTCGAGGATGTGGCCGTGGGCATCGTGGAGGCCAGGCAGGACGACGTGGCCGGGCTGCAAGCTACGGACCTGGCAAGACGAGCCAGCAGCTGTCTGGTTGTCACACCAGGCGCTGACTTGTTCCTCGCTACCGGTCAAGGCGATCTTTTTGGTCTGTCCGTCCACAGCAAAGCACGAGATGGAGACGGCTGCACCTGTCAAAGGATCCACGTCGCCAGTGTAGATACGGGCCCGCTTCCATAGAGATGATGGCAGCGAGAAGATACTATTTGCAGAGCTGGCGCAGATGGTATAGCTGTCGAGTTCAGAGAGCCCACGAGTGGCTGCGTGGGTGTCTGGAGGAGAAGCGAGGTAGAAAGAGACGAGGGCCAAGATGGCTCCCAGACCAGCCAACGCAAAGAGACAGCCCATGGCTGGTAGCGATGAAAGCAGCTTAAGCGCCACCTGCCTGACTGAGCGCTCGTCTATTCTTCCATGATCGGGCGGGGAAAGGAGCTAGGACGGCGGACGTCCGAGCGATATATGAAGAGGAGGAAGCTTTAGTCTGACGAGGAGCATGAAATTTTTAAGCTCAATGGCTCGGTCGCGTGGACTGCCAGAGTGATCCGTGCACACCGCGAGCACGGGCCAGTCGTCTGCCCGGTATCCCCACACCAGCTAGACTGACAGACAACCTAGGATAAGATACGTAAGGTGGCTTGTCCGTGAGGAATGGAAGTGGGCTCCCAAAGGCCCAGACAGATTCGAAGGTCGGTGAAATGCAAGAAAGCCTGGTGGCGCTGTGGGCGCGAATTACAAAATACTTCGAGTGTAGAGTGTGTGTCCGTGCGCCATTGCCCTACAGGGTCTGAGATGGGAGGAATGAAAGCCGAGGGCGAAAGTGGGGGCAGCCCAACCAGGCGCGGCGGGCTGCTACTACTGCTGTTGCTACTGCTGTCCGAGTTCGGTTCCTTGACCAATCCACCGCCATCCACTGTATCTCTCCTCAAGAAAGTCGACACAGAATGCCTGCTGAACAGCTTGCTGGTCATCCCATTGCTAGTCAGTCCAAAGCGTCCCTCTTGAGCTTCCCTGGACATTCTGCTGATCCGTTATTGCAGTCCGTGTTGGTGGCAGGCGCATGAGTCAAAGCAATCCACCCGTCCGCAGTCCCTCCAACAAGTCCCAGGTCAGGTGAGCTCGTGAACAGCAGTCGCAGAGGGATAGGCGGTAGCGACTGACCCAGGCAACAGCCAATCGCCCTCAGCATCGCCAGAGGATCGCAACGCCTCGACGGGTCGCGAGCCCGTGCCCGACTACCCACGTCCTGCTGGCCCCCCAAGTGCGAGTCCAAAGGAGACGGAGCCCCAGGCTACGGCCGCGGCCACGGCCACAGCCGTGCCCACGCTGGAGCGCGAACGCGAGGAGGAAAAGGAAGAAGCCCGCCGCAACGAGCCTCGCAATCGCCAGGAGCGTCGTCGCCAGGAGCGCAACAAGAAGACGAACGACGAGGACGGTGGCGGCCATAGGAGGCAGCTCTCGTACGAAGGCAACAAGCTGTGGCAGGACCCCAAGCAACACAGTCTCAAGACGGCCAAGGACAACCTCAAGAGGACCACCATCGGCACGGCCGGTACGAGGATTACGCAGCCCGTTGGAAAGGGACTGGCCTGAGATAAGGATACGCCACGGCTATTGGGATCCAAGAGTCAATGCATAGCAGAAGACCCTCTTGAAGACAGTTTCGAGCAATTCAATAATAATCATCTATGTCATGAAGCTGGCAGGGCAAAGCGCTATGACCTTGGTCCAGGCCTACCTACGTTTACATTTGCTTGCTTGCTCTTCATGAATTATGTATCCTGAAGGGAGTCAAATCAGCTTTCGAAGTCAGGAGACGAGGCGTCGATGCCAAGTGAGCAAGTGGGGATCAGACTGTTCTTCGAAACTGCGGAATCTCTTTTTCTTCCTCTCTCCATAGGCCCGTGAAATCTTTGGTCGTCTGCTTGAGTGGCGCCAAAGGTACGGCAACCCACTGTTCATCACCACTCAGAGCAAAGACAGCTCACCTTATATAAAGGGAGTCCTCGGCAGGATGCTCTTCACTCTCCACGTACCCTCGCTCGTTTCGTCCTTTCAAGCTGGTCTTCGCTCCAACGTGGACGGACTGCTCCCTTTTGCCGTCTCCAAATCACGCAACTTCATTGGCATGCCCGTCTGCGCAATCATCGGACACCCAGTCGCCAGTAAGTGCATTGATTTCCCTTGTATCTTCCCTCTTTCGGGCTCTCACCGTCACCACTTGACTGAAGCGCAACCCACAGCTCAACTATGCAGCTGGGGTTATGAAATCTACGATGTGCCCTGCGAAGAATGTCCCGACATGTTCGAGTCCGTCGTCCGCGTACGCCTCTCCGAACGCTACTGCCCCATATGCTGGCCTCTGTCAACCTCAGCGCCAGCGCCTGTCCCTGCTTTTCAGGAGGAAAACGAGGCGCACCCGGGCACCTTTGGCCCTTGTTTGCCTATCCAGGTAGAGGTCGACATAGGGTACGGTGCAGGAGCCGACACCGTCGAGCACGTCGATCACATCCTCGACGATTTCTTTGACGAATTCTACGAAGAACAGGAGATGGATGAAGAAGACGATCAGGGGAGAAACATCGAACAGAGCATTAGGAAAGCGAAGGAAGAGGAGAACAACGAGGGGAGCACGGTGAATACGCAGCAGGAAGAAGCTGGGGGAATGGGGCTGAGTAATGCAGAGGAAGCAGAAGAAAGAGAGTTGCCAACAGAACTAGAAGAGGACGAGATGCTCGACTTCGAACCTGTGAAACCTCGCAACCGTCGTCAGCGTCGGCGGCAGGGGCGCAACTTCAGATCGGAGCTTCCCAATCGTGCTGATGAGCCCGAGCTAGAGGCCAGGTAACAGAATTGTCTTTAGCTCGCCAGGACCAGGATCATGCAACCTCCCGGCAAGGGCCTCAATTTGGAAGAAGCTTTGCTTGTGTGTTTGTTCTCGTGTAGCACCACAATTGCTTCGAAAAATGTGTAGAGCTCTGCTCCCGTCCGCTCGCTAATAGCTGCGCAGATGCAAGTGAAGACGAGCAACCAGAACAGAAAGAGCAGAAAACAGCTTGACCTTGAACTACTTAGCGCCACTGTCGACAAGATGAGTGTGAGCTAGCGGCACGACGCTTCTCTTAGCAAACAAAAGCGAACGTACGGGGAGGAACCGACTGCTGCTAGATCTGAGCTTGATCACTCATGCAATGAAATGTTGGGATAGATCTCAAACCCGTGACGATCTTATTACTCAGTCCAGAAAACAGCAACCATACAGGAGCCCATCAATTACAGCAAGCTCCGCTCCCATTGCCGTACAGCTCGTGTACCTGATGTTTGCGTCGCGTGATGTTCTCTGTGAGGGCCTCCTGTTGTGCATGTCCCTTTGCACCTCCTTCGCTGGCCGACAAGTTGTGGTGTTCCGACGTAAGCTGCTCTCCGAAGAGATGCAAGTCGTCGGCAGAGTCATCGAGGGCGAATGAAAGCGTGTCCCAGGTGCTGAAGAAGTGGCCGACGAGGCCACCGAGGACAATGCTGATGAGAATGTAGCCGTTGTACGACATGGCGATTAGCATGACGATGTACTGCAGCGTTCGAGTCAGTACACACAACACAACGAATGTGCGGAGAAGGGGCAATAGAGACTCACTGCGCCTGTAAACTGGATCGCATAGACCAGGCTGCGGATGGCCTGTTGGAGGACTGAGGGCCGGAACATGGGGACTGGTCGGTCGGCCCTCAAGGCCCTGCCGCCAGCGCTCCTCGCAGGCAGGCCAAAGAAGGCCCGCTCGAGCTTCGATATTGTGTTTGCTCCTCTGGGCGCAGGTGGCAACGACGCAGAAGACGCTGATGCGCCTTTGGACTGTGCGTCTGTGCTATTGAGCTGTGCAATGCCTTCCTCTTGGTCGGCCACCTTCTCGCTGCTCGAAGCCGATGTCACCGAAGCAGCATCGTCGCTCCGACAGCATGCCTTCGTGGTCTGCATCCTCTTTCCCGCCCGGTTCCCAGCTCTGTTGAGGTTGGACATTCGTTGATGATCTTCGAGGGCTTTCCTGACGATGTATCGATCCCACTCGCGCCCCCACCGCCGCACGCTCTCAATGACGACGACAATCAAGAAGACACCAATGCAAGTGCCGGCAAATTGTGCAGCCGTCGAGATATGCCAAGAAGACGTCAAGAAGCAGGATCCAATCGTCTCCCAGTTGCCCCTGTTTGATCATGGGTCAGTGCGCGTAGTCAAGGGTGTGAAGGACGCTTGAGGACTCACAACATCGACATCGAGCAGCTTCCGGACGACATGTCCGTGCTGTCCATGTCCATACCAGACATGCTCATAGACATTTCGCTAATGCTGCTGGTGTGAGGGACCTTGTGCTAAATTCTGAGAGGGCGTCTTGCTATGAGAAGCGAAGAGTTGGTTGAAGGGAAAGACAGGAAGGGGCCAACGAGGGGCTCCACCGTCGCGGACGCGGCGTTCAAATTGTGGCGGAGCGGCGTGAATGAACGGGGCGATGTGCGATGCGGGCGCAGACAGCTAGGCGTACAGAACTCTGTTGACGGCCACTGGAGTCGAAGGTGGAAGTCGTGTGAGGATGGCTGGTGGCAGCAATCACTGTTCATATCAGTCCTGATCCGATTTCACTCAGGTCCCAATCTCGGTGCATTCTTTGCCCTCTATGTCTAGGAGAAATGCCCCGACGCAGAGCCAGGGCGGTGGTGCCGTTCAAATTAACAGCTCGGCGCCTTTTCCCCTTCCAGTCACGTGTGAAAGCTGCCGACTGGCCGAGCTCTAAATTTTTGCTGGGCCCGGGCTCATCTTCTTCTGATGGTGATGGGTCGACGATGCAAGATGCGGGGCAAGGTGAAAGATTCGTCTACACCAAGCTCTCGAACCCGCAGAGGAAGCAAAAGAAGAGGAGACAGCCTCGGAGTGGAGCCGTCGAGCTGACAAAGGCGGAGCTGCTTGAGCGTCGGATCGAGATTGTCGAGTCGAAGAAGCAATGGCTGAGCGACGAGGCGACCCGAGTGGGCAAATCAATCCGAGGTGTGTCTGAGGCACGAACGACAGCTGGGACAAGGAAGGAGCATCTCATCTCTGACAATTATCCACAGCGTTTTTGCAAAAAGCTTTTCCAGGCACAGAGCAAGGGGTCAAGACGGACGACGATGACGCATCTTCCAGCGACTCCTTCCACACTGCAGAGGGCCCGTCTTCGCCCACCGAGGTACTCTGTCTCGGTCTCGGAAGCGTCAAGGATTCTCGACCAGCGCAGCTACAGCTAGCCTTCTTGCTCCTAATTGTCGACCGCTTTCTTGCGATTACAGGACAGGGGGCGCTGATGCAAGCATACGACCCAATTTGGGATGCTGAAGACAAAGAGCTCCTCGCTCACTTCGGCATCAAGAGCTTGTCCAGCAACGAGGTGAGCTCTCCTATCATTCATCTGCCTTTTGTTCGCCTTAATTGCTGAAATGACGACGAAAGAGGGGGGCATATCCCATCTCGAAGGACATTCCAACGCTCGTCTATATGCCTCACTGCACACAGAGCCTCTACGAGGCTCTCCTCCAGACGAACTGGACACCTGCACAGATTGGTAAATTATCGCTCCTCAGCAACGATCTCTCGCGATACGACCGTAACGCCGAGGAGAGCTCATGCACCACCCGTTTCGGTAAGTGGCTCTAAGTCCATTTCTGAAGACGAAAGGGCGGCCGACTGAGATGCGTCTCTTTCATCAAGCACGGCACATTGAAAAGATCGACGTGCCCACTCTTCCGTCGCCCAACAACGATGCACTCAATGATCTGGCGCTCCAGCGACTCGTCAGCGTACAACCTGCCGCCCCGTCGTCGTCGTCCTTGACTGACACTTTGGGCCGTCTGTCATTGAATTCGACGGTAGCAAAGCATCACGACTTCTGGACCCTGCCCCACCCTTTGACAGACAAGGATCACGATTCCGAAGTAATCTAAAGGGACATAGAGAAAGACATCCGGCCAATTCAATTTAGTCAAGGTATACGTTTGTGGCTTTAGAGGAACAAGAAAGTCTCGGTGGAAGATGAAGGGGGGCATGAGAACGAAAAAGAAAGGAATAAAAGAGACCAGTACGATGATGCAAAAGAAAAAGGGGACAAAAAAGAGAGGGAGGGAAAATTGAGAAGAGCAAGTCTTCATTCGAAGATTTGCGGATGTTCGATCATGACTGCATGTCCTTTTATCAGCAACTGTTGTTTGCTTGTTGCGGATACAAAGCCCACTCACATTCTATCGTCATCGCTTTCCCACCCATGTGGCTAAAGTCTTGGTTCGGATCGCTTGATCTGATCAAGGTAGCTGGAAGCGAACGAGGGTCAGCATAATCACCTCCACTGTGCCTGGTCACAGAGAGGGAAGTGTACTCACGGCCAAAGACGACGCCGAGGTTGCGTGCATTCATGCGGTTCTCGGCCATGCGGAGCTGCACTCGCGAGAGGTGCGCGACCAGGTAATGAAGCGTCTTTCGGTGCTCGTGCGGCAGCGCGGCGACAATGTCGCGCATCGTCGACTCCTTTGTTGTCTCGTCCATGCCCTTGTTCTCTGACACCTCGATGAATCGATCGTAGAGCCCAAAGGTGAGAAGCGGCTCGGGCAGCTCTCTAAAGTAGTTCTTGAGCACCGACGTAATGGCAGAGATGTCGTTGAAGCGATCCATGTCCTCGAGGTCGAATGGCTGCCCGCGGTCAAAGAGCTGGGTGATGACGCGCATCTGCGACGAGCCGCCTGACTTGCGATAGATGCCCTCGTAGTCCATGCCCATGGCCTCGACGGCCTGGACACACTTTTCCACAACGAGGGGCACATCGCGGCCTTCTTGCTTTGCCTGCTCCGACAACGCTTTTCCAAACATTGACGGGCCAGCTGGCTCCACATGCTCGTCGGTCTTGGAGTAGGGCTGCATGCACGAAATCGATAGGCTTTGCAGGCATCGGTGGTGGCACGCTTGGCCGCACGAGCTGCATCGATACTCTGACTGGCCCCACATGTTTTTCTGGCAGGCCAGACACCGAACCGGTCGGATGATGTTGAGAGGGTAGAAAGAGTGTTCCCGAACCACGATCTCTCCTGCGTCGCTTCGACCGCCACTCGTCCCATTGGTCCCTGCCCCGTTGGCCTGCGACCCACCTTGCTGCTGCTGCTGTGGCTGCTGCGCTTGCAAATGCTGTTGTTGGAGCTGTTGTTGCTGCTGTTGCTGCTGTTGCTGTTGATGTTGCAACTGCTGTTGCTGCTGCTGCTGCTGCATCGTCGTTCCAACAGACTTCTCGTTGGGCTTGGGCGGCACGGGGGGCGAAGCACCAACAGTCGACAAAGCCGAAGCGACATTTTGGCCAGCGCTTCTCGCCGTGTCGCCGAGCTTGGGGGCCTTCATCCATTTGAACTTCTTAGGTCCCGTCTCGACCTTGGTCACAGGCACAGGCGCGGCCCTTTGCACGGCGAGATCAGCGGCCGCATTGGAAGCATGGCCATTGACGTCGCCAACCAACGTCGAGGAGTCAGTCATCATCGAAGTGAGCGAAGGCGCATGACCTGGATGCTTGCTCTGCTTGCCAAAGCCAAACCCGAAGCCGCCGGTGCCCGCCTTGTTCTGATTGTGCACTGCTTGTTGCTGGAGCGATGACTGTGACGGTTGCTGACGATTCTGCTGCGTAGGCGAGGGTCTCGACTGTGCTTGGGCAGTCTCGACTCGGCGGAGCAAATGGGCCAGAATACCGTTGAGCTCTTCGTTGCGGGCATTGAGCGTCTGCGCCTCTTCGTTGAAGACGTCGCGCGACTGCCTGAGCTCCTCAATCTCACTGAGAAGGTCATCACGTTCCGAGACGAGTTGATCGATCTCTTTTCGGTAGCGTTCCTTGACGCCCTCTAGACGCAGGGTGAGATTGCGCTGGATGTTGTTGCGAGAGTCCTTTGCGGGTGCCGCTGTGGCCTCTTCCTGCAGTGACTTCCCATCCTGCATAGCGACGAGCTCAGCAACCTCTGCCACCGTCAGGTCCCTCTCCATTGTCAGCTTGGCCATCTCCCGCGTCATGTCCTCAAGATTCTCCTTGACACTGTGGCTCTTGCGCTGCATGCTCTCTCGCTGCCTTTTCTCCGTCGTCAGCTCGGCCAACTTGGTGGCTTGCTCGGCCAGACGCTTCTTGAGCGTGAGCATCTCCATTTCGGCCTCGTAGCGTGCCTGCACTTCTGTCTCGTACTCTTCGCGCGCCGAAGAGAAGCTATGAGCGGCCTGTTGGCTGGCCCGGCGGATCTTGTCGTACTTGCGCTGGAGAACCTTCATCCGCTGTCGTGTCGTCTCGAGATCGCTTAGGATTGTCTCGACAAATGAGGTATCCATGCTGACGTGGCCATCACGAGCCTGCTTCATGGACTGTCGCATCCGCGCCGTAAGCTTGTTGAGCGATGACGTGGTCCCTTGGCCCTCATCCTCCTCGCCTTCGTCCTGGTCCTGATGCGGCGGCGGCGGCGGTTGCTTCTGCTCGGATTCAAAGGGACCTGTGTCGCCCTCCCCGCTCTCGTCAACTGCCTGCAGGGGCAGCAGAGGCGAGTCAATGGCATCTGCCGCCTTCGCCGGCATCTGCAGGTTAAGCTCCTCGGAGGACTCAAAGGTATTGAAAGAATCCATGAGACGAACAATGTCCGGGTCATAAAAGCTCATCGTCTTGGAGGACCGCTTCTTGTCGCTGTGGACACTGAGGCGAGAGACTCGCTTCACTTGGACATTTGCGCCAATAGCATCGCGAGTTGAGTCTGGCTCTTCGATGCTTCCTCCACGATCTGCAGTTGCGGCTGCTGCGGTTGCTGTACCCGACGGCCCTTCGGCAGGAGCAACATCGTCGGCGATGCCAAGACCGTGAAGAGCCTTATTGGGCGTCGAGGTAGAGTGACCTCGTGTACGGCCTGACAAGGCGTCGCTGGCTTCGGCTAGGTCTCGCTTGCGTTCCATCTCTTGCCGTTCGTTCCGCGCTCCCTCAAAGCCAGCCAAGAGGGGCGAGGTGTTGTAGCCGAGTTCGGCCGGGGCAGTCCCACTGGGGGCCAGCGGCGGCAGGTCGACGGATCGCTTGGCGGTCTGCGACAACAAGGAGGAGGATGCTTTTATGTGGTCAGATGCGAGCCGATCTGTGCCCGAGTCTGCCGTCGATGGCCGCCTAGAGCCGCCGCTACGCAGCTCGCGTAGTGAGGAAGGAGCAGGAGCAGCAAGCGGCCGCTTGCCGGTTGCATGCCCTGCCGAACCAGGTCGCGATGTTGCTGCTGCCGCTCTCGCACTAGGGTTCAAGAAAGGGCTGAGCGACGAGGATCCTTGATCGCTAGCTGAATGCTGTTGAGGTTGCTGCTGCTGCTGCTGTTGTTGTTGTTGCTCGAGCTGTGGTGTGCCAGGCGCACTTGATGACTGCTGCACAGCATTTCGATCCGGTGATGCCGATTTCGGCGGGGGAGCCTTGCTGAGGCCGGTGTCGCTCGATGGCATGGCTCCATCGAGGGTGGAAGACTGTGGTGCCGAAGCAGTCTCGCTCGTCTTTCGCGACTGCATTGGGAGCAGAGAGTCAGCTTGAGTTTGAGATTGAGATCGACATGGATCAAGGGTACATGCACTCACCTTACCGCCTCCTTGGCCCTTGGCTCTCCTCCCTTCAGCATGTCTTCTGCTTCTGGCCACCCTTTGGTTGTGGCACTTCATGCAGTAGATGCCCTGGCTCGTCTTCGCAAACACGAGCTCCTCGATGGGCTCGCGGCAGGAGCGGCAGGTGAAGCACGAGGCATGATAGGACTCGTCGCCAGTCATGATGGCTTCCTCCATGATGGGCAAGCCGCAGATCTGACACGAGTAGTTGCACTGGGCGCATATCGGATGGCCATCGGAAAGGAGCAGGATGTCGTCGCGGTCTGTCGTGACGAGGCTTTTGCACTTTGCGCACCGGAAGCAGTCGACGTGCCAGAGCTGAGTGCTGTGATTGGACAAAGTATCAGTAAGCATTGGCCTGCCTCGCACCACTCTGCAGCTCCTAATGGGAAGGAAGGGAGGGGTAAACACTTACGCAAAATGGATCACGCCAGCATCTGCCGAATCCTCGTCGATGAGCTTTTTGCAGCCGCCACAGATGGGCTCTGGGAACTCATCGTCGGGTGCCCCCTGGAATGATGCTGCGCCTTCGCCGCTATGGCCGATGTCCGATCCAGGCGTCACGCTCCTCGGGAGATCGCCGTTTGGCGACGAGGAAGCAGGGAAGCCTCTGCCTGCATGAGGCTCGAGCGACTGGGCTCCATTGAAAGCCGTTCGATTATTGAGCAACGGCGAGCTGGGGGAAGCGACGGCCGCCATGCTTGCTTCTGGGTTGAAAGCTGAAAGTGTCTCGAATCTAGTTGTGCGCCTTAGGTATGCTAACGAAGGCTCGGGTTGCCATGTGAAGCCTGTGGCCGTGACTGTCGAACGAGTGTGGGTGTGGCCTGCCGACGTGGACCGGCAGTGTCTGACGTGGGTTGCTCACCGTGATGTGTGCAGGCAGGATGGATGAGAAAGAGCGAGTCTCCCCTCCCCTCCTTCTTCTGTGAAATCCTCGAGTGCGCCCGCCGCCTTTTTCCTTCTTTTTTTCTCTTTCTCTCTTCGTTGCTCGAGAATGCCTTGGCCGCGCCTAGGAAGCCCGTCGCCGTCGATGTCGACGTCGCCGTGGCCGACTCTCCACCAAGTTCGATCCAGTCGAATAGCAGCGGAAGGTAGTCAGAAGCCAATGCGCGAGCCGCTCTTGGCCGTCGTGATTGTGGTGATTGATGGTTGATGCTTGTCGTGCGTGGTGCTTGCCTTGAAATGCAGGTGCCTTTTTTGGTTTCAGCCGTAAATTAACGTTTCTTGGCTCTTGCTATCCCTCCTTCTCCAGCACGGGAAATCGCACACATGCCAAATCCTGGTTAATAATGGTAAAGTAGCGTAGCAGTAGTAGCAGATTGCGCTAGAGACAAAAGAGTTCAAGCTGGCCAAAGCAAGCAGTTTAAAGGAGTCCGAATCATTACTCTACACTACGCCCACAGTTAAACTACCCATTGTTACACCAAATAAATGCTCTTGCTCTCTTGCGACAGCTTTTGCAGCACGTGGAAGGCAGAAGGCAGGGTGTTGGTGTGAGATCGGACGTTCTCCATCACAGTGATGGCAGCCAGCTGCGCTCTGGCGGGAATTCTTGACCGGAAGTGTCATTATTATATTACAAGCTCTCATGCTAAATCCACGGCCGTGGGCCGGACAAGCAAGCTTTTGTGCACTCCACGTGTATCGCTGCCTAGGGGAGAGTAGGGGGTGCGAGTCGCCCGGCCGAAAGCAGCAAAAAAAAAGGAAGAAGAGGGAAGGGGAGGAAAAAAAGGGCAGCGAGAGAAATAAAAAAAAAAAAAAAAAAAGGCCGCTGCGCGTCCATCGGTCCCGGCTGCCGAGAGACCACAAACTGCGTGACTGACTGGAGGGCTTCACCGCCTTGACTTTGCTTCTCCTCCAGCTCCTTTCTTCTTTCTCTTTCGCAACATCCCCTTTCTTCGACTTTCTGCCCTCTTCGCGCTCTTCTTTTCATCTTTCTTCGACTTGCTCGTTCCCCCCGTTTAAAGCCTTTCAAAGCCCGCTGGTTCAGGGGAGAGGGTTCTTAGGGAAAAAAGGGCACGCATAGAGCCGAAGCAAACCAGGGAGCAAGTCAGCGCGATACGGAGCCCCTTCTGGTCACGCACTTTTCGTCAGCGGCGTTCAGGACCAACCTCTCCTCGCTTAGATAGCGAGACGTCAGTTACCAACTGCAGACCCTGTGTCGCGCCTCGTCTCCGCTACTGGACTAGATTGCAGGACGACGGCATAGAGTGGAGCAAATGTTATAGCGGCCCTCTGCCCTCGATTTTCAGCATCCAAGCGAGAGGTCGACGACAAAGGAAGCCCGAGGCAGTGTAGCGCTCACAAGTAAGCCTCTTGTGGCCTTCACACCCTAGATCGAGGCAAGGGGCTCATTGATCGGGCTGTCAAGCACGCTATGGACGTCTACTCGACGTCCTTCACCATCCCTCGCGCTACGGGCGCCGTGGCATATGCCGAAGATGAGGTATCATCACCCCCCACCATGCCGGCAGCAACCGGAGGGGGCGGGACCGGCGCTGGCTTTGGCCTGAACATTGGCAGTGGAAGCAGTGCAGCAGAAGCTGCTCAGGGGTACCTTGCAGGAAATGACCTGTCGAGGACCGAGACAGCCCGTCCGCGCCCACAGGACACACCAAGCACCGGGCGTATGGGCTCGATGCGCTCAAGGCTACCACCCAGCGTCAAGGCATTCATGCCCGCTGCCTTCGGAGGAAGCAAGAGAACAAGTGAGCGCATCGCAGAGGCCGTTGGTCCGAACGCAGAGAGAGAGTGTGATACCGAGGGCGAAGAGGAGGCAGGAGGCGCTTCGTCGACAGCAGCGTCCAAAAACGCTCCTCAGGACAAGGCTGAGGACGCAGTGCTGGAAAAGGAGGCTCGGTCAGACGCCGGAACCAATGCCATTGGCGCTGAGGTGGCCGCTGCCTCTGCCAAGAATCGGGACAGCAGATCTACTGTTGGTACGAATTCATCGATCGATTTCTCCTCGGCTGCGTCCGTCTCTGCCGACAGTACCTCTCCTTCGACGGTGCCGCCTCTGGGGAGCGGCAGTTCAAAAGCCGCCGGAGGTAGCATTCAAACACCCTCGGAGCCTCGGAGCACGACGCACAGCGCTTCTGGCTCATTTTCCACCTTTTTCGGCCAGCAGCAGCAGCATCAACAGTCTCAGCCTCACCAGGCGCGCAAACCCAGCGTCGACCTCAATGACAGCATGCACAAGCTCACCACTGAGGCGATGAACAATCATCAGTGCATCGTCTCTTTCACCGCTGTTCCCCGTCAGGAGCACTCGACCTTTCATCCAAATGGCAGCTCTACCTCGCTCAGTAGCGACCCTTTTCCAAGACAGCCAAATTTCAACGCCGCATCAGCCACGGGCGTACTTCCCTTTCCGTCACAGTACCCGTACAATCACTACGCCCAAGGCTTCGGCCATGACAACGGTTCAAATGCGTTCGGCGTAGCACCTCACCTATTCCCACTGGGAGGTGGCAGCACCACTTCGCTCAACAGCCTGAACCACGTCTCAGCCTCTTTGGCACCGCAGACGTCGGCACCGCGACCGCCTGCGTCAAGCAAAAAGGCAGCCGTGCCCCAGTACAACTTTCACCTTTCGGGCGGTTACCAACAAGTCATGGCTGCTCGTGGGGCGATTCTGCGGGATCACCCATTCAAGGCACGGTCGAAGCTCAAGGTGCCGCGAAATGATATTCTCGAGGTCCTTCCTGGTTCTCCATCTAGCGGACCTTCCGAGCATCTCAACTCAGACGTGCGACGCAAGCTCGACGAGATTGCCGTAGCCTCTCGCACAGCTATTTCTGTGCAGGGCCTCGAAAAGCGGGGTGCGGATCTGGGCTATGGCTTGGAGACGGAGCGAAATGTTCAAGTGACCATTGCTGGCCCCTTCGAAGGTGCAGAACAGGCCAGGATACGCGTCATGGTCATGCTCGACGAGCTGAGCGGGCTACAGGTGGAAGCGTCAGAGATCGACTACAAGCTTCACAACATTATCGGCGGGCGCAAGCGTTGTGTGATTCAAAGAATCCAGGAAGAGACGGCCACCAACATCTACCTCCCTACACCCTTCTCGGGCGTGCTGTCGTCCTCGCCTAGCCCGTCAATCGCGTCGAGGCAGAACACTGTCTACATTGCGGGCGAATACTTTGGTGTCCAGAGGGCTCGCGACATGCTCTTTCAGGTCTCACTCCACAAGAGCAAGTCGATCATCTCGCGCGATGTTGCCATCCTGCCCCGCAAGATCGATTGGATGCTCGGCGAGCGTCTCGAGGAGCTGAGGACTATCATGGTGGACAACGCCACATTCATCAAGCTTCCCCTACTCGGGTCTCAGACAAGCGTCGTCTCCGTCTACGGCGACAACCGGGTCAACATTGAGCGCTCGATTCGTTCGATGATGCAACTTGCGTGCCAATTCTACATTGCCTCTCTCTGGCTTCTCCCTTTCTCGTTCGACGCCTTCCAGACACCTACTTCGCTCAGCGCGCCTCAGATCACGCCTATCCTCAAGCACGTCAGCAACACTTCAGGAGCTGAGGTCGTGTTCAAGAGCAATTGCTTCGAGATCCATGGTCTCGAGGGCGAGGTTCGACATGCCGTCACGCTTATCCTTGACCTCGATGTGGTCAAGCCCTTCAATTTTGAGGTCCGCTTCCAAATTGAGCTGGCCAATGAGCACCGCGAGTTTATCAGCGGCAAGAAGAACGGCAAGATCAACAAAATCATGAAGCAGGGCGTCCGTATCAAGTTTGAAACATTCAACGATTACAATTTCCTGATCGATGTCTCGAGCAACGACAGAGCAGGCGCACTCCAGGGTCTGAGCCTTCTTCAGGAGGAATTGCCCGCCGAGGTCTCTTTCCACGTCCCAGAGAGCTATCACAAGCGGATCATCGGCGTTGGGGGCAAGAACATCCAGCGCACGATGAAGAAATACGGCATCTACGTCAAGTTCTACTCGAAGCAGGACCTCGACTTGGAGACGTACCCCTTTTTAGATGCTGAGGACAACGTCATCGCCAGGACGCCGGCGAAAAATGCGATGAATCTTGACAATCTCAAGCAGGCCGTGATGGAGCTCGTCAGCCCCAAAGACAAAGACTATGTCACCGAGACGGTGCCTATTGCGCGACGATATCACCGGACTCTTCTTGGCGAGAAGGGCATCTTCATCCATGGTGAGTGTGAGAATGCCTACCATTGACAAGGGCAAGAGCTGACTGTACGAGCACAGACATCGAGGAGAAATTGGGTTGCACCATTCGTTTCCCACCTCCAGAGCTGGCAAACGATCTCGTCTCCATCTTCGGGTCTGAATCGCAAATCCACATTGCGGCTCAGATGCTTCTGGACCACGTTCCTTTCGAGGCGGAGCTCAGAACGCCAAATTCGTCAGAGTTGGCGAGAGTTATTGCCTCGCACGATTTCGTCGCTCTGACGGAGCGGGTCAAGCGAGATCTGAACATTAACATCGTTCCTGTCGCCAACAAGACTCAGACGGGCGAGGCTGTCTTCAAATTGCGGCTCAACAGGAGCAACGCAGACTTTCTGCCGGCCTCCAAGGATGCTCTCGAGGACTTCCTTCTGAGCAGAAACGTGGAGGTTTACGACTCGCCGGCACGAGCTCGCTCCGACTCGTTTGCCTCGAGCTTTCCCCACTTTGCTACGAAGCTCATTTCAACGGCAGCCGAATCCACAGACTCGTTTCAAACCGATGCTGCACGCTATCAGCAGGCTCAAGAGAGGTCGCGACTCCGAGCAGCCACATCCACGCCCGACATTAAGGCCCTCTTCGATTCTCCGTCACAGGGCGGCGCTGCCAACAACTACACCGTCATGCCGCCTATGGCGCCTGGAAGTGCTTCGACTACGAATTCCCCTCTCATCCCATCGTCGCTCTATCCTTCGCCGTACCAAGACACCATGTCAAGTGCCTCGAGCCTTGGAGGGGGTGATGTGTGGGGCATGCCCCGATACGTGCCACCTCCTCAGCCATCGCACCACCCCCATCATCATTCCTCTGCTTCTGGAATCGCCTTTCCGCAGCACAATACTCACCTCTCGGATGATCTCAAGCTCTTCTACAACCGGAATGGCAACGATGCCCTAGAGGCAGACGAGCGCATCAAGGCGCTTCGCAAGCCGAGGTCGTTTGCTCACCGGGCACAGAGCCTTGACATCGGCGCACTGGCAGCTCAGCAGGCGGCTCAGCAAGCCGTCGCTCTCGGTCGGTCTGGAGGCGGCACTCCACTGCCTAACGGCATGCACGGAGCTGGAGGATCTCCCGTGCCGCCATCCATGCCGACGATGCAACGCCCATATGGCGCCATCGGATCGAGCCCTATGCCCTCCTCGCAAGTCTTTGCTGGCTCCTCCCTTGGCCCCAATGCCGGCAACGCGACACACTTTGGACCAAGCCCGGTCGCTGGTGGTCACATGACGGCCCCTAGCATCTCCAGGATGGCCCCCACGCCAAGCCATGGACCCGAGCCGTCAACAACTGACGAGGTTCTGCGCTCATTGGCTCAGCTCCAATTCCCTCCGTCCTCTTCCTAGGATCGTGCCCTCGTCTCTTTCCTCTCTCATTTCACTCTTCCTCTCTCTCTCACTGCAAGATTCCAACCAACAATATTCCCCCGGCCGCTCAACACACACCAAGACAAAAGAACAGAGAACTCGCTAATCCCGTCGTCAAACCTCGATCTCCTTTACTTTTTTGTCCCGAAAGCACAAAGATTCTCACGCCCTTGCTTTTCTGCCTCTTCTCCTTCTCTCTCCGACATCGACGATCAAACGACCTGAAGCAAAGGGCCCATAGCAGTACTGTAGCAGCACCAACCGACCGACCACGACCCCAATTCTTTTCCCAACTCTGGCTGGCAAGCAAAGCACCATCCTTCTCCTTTCCACATTTCCTATATATCTCCCTCTTTTTAGGCCTCTTGCATCTACTCTATGCCAAACATTGTTCCTTCGCTGTTCCTCCTTTCTCCCACTGTCAGCTCTCGTCTCTCTTGAAGAAACAAAGGCGCGCGATTCCCCTTTTCTTGCCTAAATGCGTCCTTCGACAATTATTTGCATGCCTAGTTGGGCGCAAGGGCGACGCAAGGTCCTCGTCGCTTGAGTGTCTCTTACCCGTGGTTAGACATTTGCAATGATGACGAACAAGAGCCAAACCCGGAGAAATACTGTGTTTCCACATTGAACCGAGGGATAGGATGTCAAAGAACAGTGCTCCCTTAAGACAGGAGCAGACCGATGGGGCGGGGGAGGGGTGAGTTGGGTAAATAACACGAGGTGCGCAGGAGGATGAAGGTGGAATCGACGAGATAGGGATGAAGACTTGACAAAGAGCGGAGATCCCAAAGAGAGACAAGGACTAGAAGCACCCAAATGACGGGGAAAAGAGAGAGAGAGACGACTTATCATACAGATTGGTGTGTAGGGAACGTGTGAGCCAGTGTCTGTGTGGTTGTTTTGATGGTAGATGCGTGCTGAAAGATGGAGAGTCAAGGAAGTGTGTGCGAGAGAAATGATTAGAAAACACGGTGTGGTCCGCCATTTCCTGAGAAGTTGTGGGTGCCCGAGCTTCGGTTGCGGGCGTGACTCTGCGATTGCGCTGCACCGATGGCTGTCGATGCTCCTCGTTCGCGGTCCAGGCTCAAGCTTGAATGCGAGGAACCATCGTTGAAGAAGCCAGAGTCAAAAGGCGAACCAGGTCCGCCACCACCCCTCAGCAGGATCACGTCCTCACCGTACGCAGGGCTTGGCGTCCGATCCACCAGCACGCCTGGGCTTAGTGGACCTCTGAAGGGGCTCAGCGCCTGGTTGTTGTTTTGGTAGGGGCTGTGATTGCTGTACTGTTGTTGCAAGTTTGGCGGGCGCGGTTGTTGAGGCGGGGGAGGTCGATGGGAATAATGGTCAGGGATGCGGGGTACGGCAGGCGTAAATGCCTGACGGTCATTGCGACGTGCAAGAGAAGCACTAGGCCGAAGTGGGGGACCCGACCGATTCATGCCATCGTTGTCGTCGTTCCATCCTTGATTGAGGATCTTCTCCATGTCGTCTTGCTCCACGACCACTTCTTGCCCATCAATCCACACACTATGACGTTGGATCTTGAGCGGGGGCGGGGCCTCTTCGTTGAAAGCGCCGATGTGGTGGCCCCACACATCTTCGTCGCCGCCTTCGCTACTCGCCACATCGCTGAATGAGTCGCTTCCTCGCCTTCCCTTGATGTGGTTGGGAAGTGCGGGCGCTGGGTGTAGATGCTGACCCTGACTGTCAATGTCGTTGTAGAAGCCGCCGCCAAATTGCTTCTCCATCTCGCGTCGGCGTTTCTCCTCCCGGGCCTGACGCTTCAATCTTGATCTTTCCCAGTCCTCCCAACGTCGGAGCGGCACGCTGGCAGCAGCAAAAACGCCAGCAGAGTCTCCGTGTGCGTCTCCCTTCGTCTCTCCCTCGACTTTCCGCGTCTCTCCCCATGAGAAGTCGTCAAAGTGCCAAAAGGAGTAGACCGGCAGGATGAAGTTCCAGACGGGCAGGAAGATGAGGTAGATGAGCATCCACATGGTGTAGACGACCTTTCGCGTCGCCAAAAGGATGAGCACCGCAGGCAGACCAATGACGGCGACGAGAAGCATCAGAGGAATGGCCTGGGTGAAGCCGTGTGGTGGGTTGATGATGTACGAGGCGATCAGGGTATAGGTGAGGCAGATGGCGACGGGCAGCACCGCGGTTCCGATAAGATCCATGAAGACAACAAACTGCATCGAAAAGCAGAATGTGCCACAGAGGTCACGTACAAGAACCAGCTCCATGAGATTGTGCACGGTTGAGTTGATCCAACGCCGGCGCTGCGAAAGAAGCATCTTGAATGTGTGAGGTACCTCTGTTCGGCACCGTGCCTGAGGAACGAAAATCATCTTGCGGTTCGGGAATGTCCGGAGGAGGAGGGTCGTCAGAAACCGGTCCTCGCCCAACAGGAGGAGGTTCTTTTGGTGAAGCGTAGTAACGACACTCTGGCTGTACTCGCGCGTCACCTCCGGCTTGACGATGACAGGAACCCAGTCGTCGTCGTTTGGCTTTCTAGCCTTGATACGATACATCGAGAAACAGCCGGGAAGACAGGTGACGCCTCCAAAGACCGACTCGAAAGCCTTGACCATGTGATGCGAAATGAAATATTCGTATACCTGGATAGCCGTGACCCAGGACGACCTCTTGTTGGCGATTCGCGTTTCGCCGCATGCGCCCATGACCATATGATCCCGCATCATTGCGTTGCACAGCGTCCGCATGCTCTTGGGATACACTTTTGTGTCGGCATCGACCTATATGAAGATTTGGTCAGCCAGTGGCATTCGAGCGAATTTATCAGGAGAGACAGGGAAGACATACCATCATGCAGAGCTCGAAAAAGTCGGGTGTGACGCCCATCAGAGCGTGGAACTTTCGAAAGAGGTCAAAGTCGAGGGGCGTCATGCGGTCGTTGTAGGTGCACCGTTGAAGGAAGTTCATCAGGATCATCTGTCCATCTCGCTTGCCTCTGTTGCCTGGCTTGCCGTCCTTTGCCTCTTGAGGCGTTCCGCACTTCACGACGATGATCATCGGCGTTCGATGTCCCTTTCCTTTCGTGTAGTGTCCCGCATAGACCATGGCCATATTATGCTGCTTGCTGCCCTGAGCTACACTGATGAAGCTCATCGGCATCGGCGTGCCGAAGCGCTCATCCGCATCAAGCAGGCCCACGCAGATGTCGGGTGTTGAGAGCGATTCTCCTGACCCAGTAACCATGCCGTCGGCCACAACGAAAAGTAACTTCCTTGAGTCTGGATAGTCGGTCTCAGCCAGTGACGTGAGCGTCGTCGATATGCCCTCTTCTCCCTCGCTGTAGCAGGTCACAAGGCACACGACGTATGGTTCGTTTCCAATGACTACCCTCGTCGTGCCGGCGCTATGAGAGCCTGGCGAAAGCCTCTGACGGGGTGCAGAGGGCGGCGGTGGCCTTTCCTTGTTCGCCCAGGGCGCTGCGCCGGGCTGGTCGATCGTCGACATGGCACCCGCAGGCAGCTGACTGAAAGCGACTCGACCCGTGCCGTAGTCGAGATTCTTCGGAGGTGCGGCCATGCGCCAACTCATGAACCAGCTGAACCAGATGGCCATGAAGAAGCGAATGAAGACGAGACCCAAGATGATGACGAGGGAAATGTAAAGGAAGAGGTCTGAGATGAAGCAGCCGGGAGTTACCTTGTCGATGTGGCCGGCAAAATATCTCTGCTCGAGGCAAGGGACTGCCGCTTTGAGCGTAGTGCTTGTGTAGAATTGCCGGGTGGCATCCCGTCCTCCTACGATATCGAGGTTCAGCGTCTTGCGTATGGCAGTGTCGACCTCGTCATTTGTGACCGGCGTGGGATTGGCGTTGATGTACGGCTGCATGTTGAGCACATTGCCGTTGATGACCTTACATAGCAAGTGTCAGCTGACATAAGGTTCTCCAGCGGAGAAGCAGCGGGCAGCTTACAATGATGTTTGAGAAGGCACCTGATCCCAGGTCGTCCCAGGCATAGCCGACTTTCAAGTCGGTCTTCACAAGCTTTGCTTTCTGCAATGTGGTCTCGTCGAGGGTGCCCATGGGACACGAGGGCAGATTCCCTTGCTGCTTGCAAAGATCAGATGTCGCGTAGAGGCCGGTCTGGCCGGTGCATGCTGGGAAGAAGGTGGCAGCATCGCGCTTGAACAGTGGAGTGATGTCGTACCCGTTCTCCTTGCCAGACCGGGTGTACATATTGTAGCCAACCTCGTCAGCGTCGGGGAAGAGCGCACTTGTCGCATTGTATTCGAGTCCGTTGATTCCAACCGAAGAGGTCGAGCCCTTACCCACTCTCTGCAGCTGGTTGGGCAAGGCCTGCTGTGACGGTGAGCACAAAGCCTTGTTGAGGCCCATGGTGACGAAGCCGACGAAACCACCGAGAAGCAGGGCAATGAACACAAGAGCCACTCTGCGGGGTTGACTACAGTCAGCTTTGCTCCATCCAGCTTCTTTCCCTCTCCATTGCTTACTTTTCCCTCCATGCCTGTTGGCTGCCCTTGTCTTTGAGCCCGCCGCAGGTCTTGAGACATGGCCCAGGCGCCCAGCAAGTGATGCATTTGCTAAAGATGCGCCATGTCGCGCGTCCTCGTCGGCTGACATTCCCCCCGACTCCCGTTCCTTCTGGGTTGATGAGTGGTACCTGGGGCTGGCCTCGCTCTGGTCTCGTCAAAGTCTTTGCGCGTGCAATCTTGGTCGGCTGTCGAAGCGGCGGCGGCGCCTCGCTCTGGATCGGTATTGAAGCATCTTGGCCTCCTCCTCGATTCGGCTTGCGCACAAATGACTTTGCAAATGTCGCGTTCCTCGAAGGCGCCATGGCTCAGTGAAGGCTCCGCCGCCTCTCTTTCTCCTGAGTCTTTGTCGTCTTTTCTTTGCTGGTGGACGAAGGGATAGAAAGGGCCCCGTCCAGCGAGATCCTCACCGAGCAGCCTGCTGTGAAAATGAGCGTGTGGTTCAACTCCTCCTCTCTCTCTGCGAAAGTCTTGAATATCCGAGCACGCCGTCTGGTTCTGAGGGGGAAAGCGAAGAAGAGAAGAGAAAAGAAGGGAGAGGAGCAGGTAGGGAGAGTGATGTGGTTTGACGTCGTACGGTCCGGTGTCCTAAAGGGAATGAATCAAAGGAGGGGTCAAATTGTCGACGCGCGACGAGGACCCCACTAAAGCAAATGATCTCTTATTCGAACTTGAGGTTTTTGTATTCGACAGCTTGGATCAGTAAGGACGCACATGCAGCCTCTCATAAGTGAAACGCTATTTCGAGCACGTTGTGTGGCCAAACTGATGGGTAGCCAGATTTTGTGCATCGGCTTCTGCAATCGACAGCCCGCCGCCAGTCGACCCCTTGGTCTCCAAGAACCGTCGGCTGGCGATCGCTTTGCAGTGTGAAATGACCTGCAAGTTAAGACTGAAGACAAAGAGAAGCGGCTGTGGCCCGCTGAATGCTTGCTTTCTGTTGAAGGGTGGTGCAGATTCAAACGTAATAATATAATGTCGCTGAGCCGAGAGAAATGAAGAGCAGTGCGAGATGGTGAAATCGGTCATCGTGTACCGGTAGTGACGGAAATTTACACGTGGTCAAAGCGATGCGCGGTTGGAGCTCTCCTGAATGCAACACACCTGGCTAAGACGACGACGAAACGACGACGAAGACGAGATTGATGACCATGACGAGGCTGCCTAGCTGGCTGCTCGTCGCTTTGGCCAGCGTTCTGCCTCTGGCGCTGGCTGCCACCTCGTCTTCTGCATCTCTCTTTCTTCACCCTTGCAACGAGGGCGTGAGCAAGCCGGCAAAGGTCTCGCCTTCGCAAGCCAACCGGGTCCTCGCGTACCACCTCGATGTGCCTGGCGAATACCTGGGCGCCGCTGCGGGCGACAAGGAAGCATGGGAGTGGGTACCACAGACAGCAAAGCTGGGCAAGGAGAGCGTCAAAGACCTGTTCGAGGACAATCGACAAAGGACCGTGGTGCTCCTCAAGGGCGTTGAGGAAGGAGAATTGCAAGGTGAGCTGCACCTCACTTCAGATAAGTCTGGTCTATGCTCTCGACTGACGCTCTACTTTCTTCAGATGTCATTCCGCTTTCGTTTCGAAACACACACAAGATTGACTCGCCACCTTCTACCGCCTCTTTCGAGGCCCTGATTCACTCGTACGGCGAGCGCCTTCATGAGGCAATTCCCTCGCTCGGCTCCGCTTTCGGCGGCTTCTTCTTGGCCGCGGTCGAAGAGGCGCAGAGCATCTTGGAAGATGCAACCGAGATGCTCGTGGGTGGATCCGCCATGTCTGTGCCTCTCGAGAAGACCGACAGCGCGGGTTGGAAGAAGAGCCTGGACGTCATGGACTTGACAGGCAAGGTGAGTGGCTGAGTGGCTTTTTGGGATTGGGAAGTCCGAATATGGCCCTTGCTCACTCAATTGCTCTAAATGCGTAGGCTTCAACGGCATTCCGCCAGAGCATGGTGAACTTGGTCGCATTCTTCGACTCTTTTGACGATGACAAGGTGCGGGAGCAGCAGCCATCGTTCCAAGCCCTCCGCTTTGACGGCCTCGCCGAGATCCGGAGCACCTACGGGCAAGAGAGCGTGGAGTACAAGGAAGCCAAAAAGGCGCTCAAGGACGTGCTCGCAGCTGCGGCCATGAAGATGGACAAGCTGGCCTCCTCCTCATCGCAGACTCTCGCTATCGTTGCGGTCTCCGACGACGAGGACGAAAAGTCGATGCTGCAGCCGCGCTCCGACCTCTTGGCTCCTTTCCGGACCGGACCAGGCCGAACGCCATTCCAAAAGAGGCGCGATGCGAGCATCTGGGACCAGCTCGAGACCAACAAGAAGGGCAGCAAGGGAAAGGCACCGAAGGAGTCAGATTACGTGGGCAAGTGCTTTAGCAAAGAGGAGGACCTGAACAAGGCAACGCAAAACTGCACAGGACACGGCAAGCCCAAGAAGTCTCTCAAGGGTGGGAAGCCTTGCTACCGATGCCAGTGTGAGACGACGAGATCGAAGTCGGGCAAGACAGTGGAATGGGTGAGTCATGCTTTCTTCTGCCATTCGCTGATCAAAAATCTGACTTTGGTCTTCTCTCCCCAACAGGCTGGCGCTGCATGCCAGAAGCAGGACATTTCCAAGCCATTTGTGCTCCTCGCATCTAGCACCGTCGTCCTCATTCTCGTCTCGATCGGCTCGGTCCTCTATCTCTACAACGAGGGACAAAAGGAGCTTCCAAGCGTCTTGGCTGGCATCAGCATCCCCAACAAGTAGCTAGTTCGCTTGGACCTCGTCGCACTTCTCCTTTTCTACACTCTGCAATCACAAATCAAAGGAAATCATCAAACTCTAAGATGACTGTCATTGCGGCTGTATCTGCGATTGTTGAGGAGGATAGTTGCTCCAGAAGGATGTCTTCGTGCTCCAATCTGACACTCTCCGGGACCTGGCCCCTCTGCGGAAGCGAGTCGGCGCATTCTGACCCGGCGTGCTCGAGAGCTCTCTGTTCCGTCGATCTTTCTCCTCGTCAGACCCTTCGTCGGCCACTGTCCCGTCTCGCTCCAGGACCCAGACGGCGTCGACGCCCTTTCGGCAGAGATAGTCCCTGGCGACGTGGTAGTTGAGTCCGACCTGCTGGTGTGCATGCGCGTCGTCCGAGAGGCAGACGCGGCCCTTGGCCTGCAAGATCATCTGTTCGTTGTTCCAAACGTCCTGAGTCAGTGACCTCAGCGACAAGTGCAACGGGGAGCGTGGAAGCTGACTCTGCCAGACTCACGTCAAGGATCTCCTCGCCTGGGTACGGCGACTTCCAGCCCTTGCGCACGCTCGCGGCGTTGATCTCAAACAGCGCGCCGTAGCTCGCCGCGAAGCAGATGTTGCGCCAGGCCAGCTCTCGGACCACTCGCACCGCCTTGTTCTCCTCCTCGCTGCTGCTGATGCTGCTGCTACCACTGCCACTGCCATCGCCAACGGACTCCGAGAGGCTAAGCTCGGCATCGAACAGCCTGAAGAGGTCAAAGTGGCCGATAACCTCGGGTCGCACCGCGACGAGCATGCGGTACTGCGCCTCGAGGTAGTCAGTAGCAAGGGCGAGGTGCGCCTTGCGACGTTGTTCCGGCCCTGCTTCACCCTGGTAGTACCTCTCTAGAGCCTTGTCAAAGGTGGCCGTGTCAAAGTCGATGGGCACGTCGTGCACATGGTGCAAGCTCCCCACGACAAAATCGACCTTTGACCTCGTCCTTGAGCTTGAGCTTGAGCTTGAGCTTGAGCTCGCCGCCGCTACCTTCGCATCCGATGCCCCGCCCTCTGCCGCCTCGCCCAGCACGCGGCTCAAGAAGGGCCACCAGTCGCCCTCGTCCTCCATCCACTCCGTCTCGGCACCCACGAGGACATTCATGCCGCGCGCGGCCCAGTCGGCCTGGCATGCGCGCGCCTCGACGAGGTAGGCCTCGAAGCGGCGCTGCAGTGCGGCCGGGTCGAGCCCCGCAGCAGCCTCTTCGGGGTAGAGCTGCGAGGCGCAGCGGCGCGGGACGTGCTCGGTGAGGTGGTAGGTGTCGAAGCCGGCAGCGTGGGCGCGCGCTAGCATCGAGCCGGGCGACGTGTCGGGCGCCGCGTGCGCACAGAAGCGCCCGCTGTGCGAGTGGTGCGAGTGCGGCATCCTCTCTCCTCCCTTCTCTTCTTTTCTCTCGCGCTTTCTCGCCTCGAACGAAATGAGAGCACAAATTTCGTCGACCAAGGAGCCTCTTCTTTTTCCCTCGACGGAAGAAAAAATAGTTCTATTTCGTCGTCCGCTCGGCGCTCGCTCGCACGGACTTGTTTTTTTTCTAGCGACGGTGGGAGGGCAACAGAGAGAGAGAGAGCATCGTCTATGATACAATAATGGTACAACAAGGCAGAGAGAGAGAAAGGGAGAGAATCAGTCTCGGACGGCTCCAAAGACGACGACCGAGACGCCGTCGGACCTCGACACGACGTTGGCAGAGTTGCTCGAGGAGTACCTTGAGCCCCCGCTACCATATGCCCAGGAACTGCTGTCGGTCCCGCTGCGGCCGGCGAGGACATGGTCTCCATTCCTCCTTGCACGCGCTTGCGCAATCGCCACGTCCGTCTCTACGTCCTCGAGCGTCGACAGGAGCCGGGCCGCATTGATTGTGACGCTCTCGCAGTGGAACGTCAGCTCGACACGGCTCGACAGTGAGGCGTAACGAGCCGAGAGCGAGTGCGAGGAGAGGTAGTTGTGCGAATACATGCTCGAGAGCGCGGGGTGGACCGTGTCCTCGCGGGTCCCGCCACGGTCGGCGGAGTTGGGGTGCGGCTGGATCGACATTGTGCAGCTGGGGCCGTCAAACTCCAGCGTTCTGAGATCGGGAATGGTCTCTTCGTCGGCATTGTTGCCATCATCATCGTCATCGGAGCCAGCCTCTTCCATATCAAGCACCTCGCCGGACGCCTTGACGTCGGAGCCGGCCCCTGAGGGAGGGGTGAAGCCAAAGTGCAACGTCGAGATCCGCTGGGCCCTCGCCAGGGCACTCTCCCCCTGCTCGTGCTCGTCGTTGCGAACATAGGCCCTTCCAATGCCATCGTACTGCGGCTGGACAGGGGTCGAGAACCAGTCTCGAAAGACGCGATCGAGCCCTTCGGCCACTCGCTTCTCCCACCTCATCTGCCTTGTTGACAAGGATGAGATTGCCGGCCCGCCACCAGCGACAGGACCAGCAGCACCACCACCACCGCTGGCACGCCCATCGACCAGGCGTCGCTGGAGCGTCAGTGACAAGATCCATGTCTCAAACGAGTCGAGCGGATCGAGCTGGAAGCGATAGGTAGGCTTCTTCGCCCTTGCCAGCCTGTTTCTTCGCTTGGCCAGCGCCGCCGCGGCTAGTACTGCGGCGTGACGAGGCCGGGGCCGGGAGCCGCTCCGGCTCGCCTCTTCGCTCTCGCTCGTCGTGTTGTAGTAGTCGCTGTCGTACGCGGCGGCCGTCGAGGCGACGGGCTCGGACCAGCCGCCCTGAATGCGTGGGTCGGTGTGGCCGAAGCCCTCGTAGCCCTCCTGGGCCCTGCCCCGCCGCCGCGCAGCTGCAATGCCGAGGGCGCGCTGCTGTGAGGAAGACGCTCCTACTTCGGGTGTCTGCGCTCGGCCCCGTTCAGCAGCAGCGGCTGCCGGTGTCGCGGTGCCACTGTCGTCGACCATCACCAAGCGAGTCGGGGCGAGATTCGACGGGCGCCACTGGTTTGGAATGGCTACATCCGTAAAGGGACGTCGACTAGAACCGGGCGTGTTTGAGGACGACGACGCAAAGGTCGGTGTTGCCGCGCGAGGTGTTGTACTTAGGCTTGCCTGGTCCATGGCGCCTTCTGGCAAGTCTAGTGCCGTCACTTGGCGGGGCTCCAGCGACGAAGGCGAAGCGACGGAGCTCGTCAGATGCTCTGCACCAGTCCTCTGCCAGTCGTCCCGGTGCACGATGGGCACGCTGGCCTGGCCGGGCCCCGTCGTTGCGCTGGGCGCGCCATGGGGTGCGAAGCGGGACGTTGGCTGAGAAAGCTCGATGCCCTCTTCTGCGCTCGAGTCGACGTCCATGGACGAAGCCCGCGATGAGAGCTCGTCCACGTCGTCGGCGCACTCAGCAACGCCGAGAGGCAGGAGGGCGGGTAGAAAGCTGAAGTTGACCAGGGTGCTGTATGCGCCTCCAGGTATGGCCGCCGATGTTCCCGGGCTCGGCACAGCGTCACCCACGCCCGTGCCTCGACCCGGTGGCAGAGGGCTGGGGATGCTCGAGGTGACGCTGAAGTGGGAAAAGTAGAGGACGTGCTTCGACGTGAGTGTGTCGATGGGCCGTTGTGCCTCAAACTAGGCGAGGAGAACAAGGAAAGAAAAGGGTGAGATTGAGAGAATAGCGGGGACACAACTGGTGAGCCAGCAGCAACCCACCACAAGGACCGTCTCTGGTCTGTCGTCGTCCTTGAAGCTCTTGGCGGCCGAGGAGGCGCCGATGAGCCTCAGAAGCCTGCGACGGGTGTAGGCATCGACCATGGCCATGTAGTACTTGTTCGTCCGCGCAATGGTCTTGTGCAGTGTCCTGGCCGGGAGGAATGTGAAGATGTAGGTCTGAAGCTCGTACGGGAGGTCGTTGAACTGGTGAAAGGACGCCATCGTAGATGCTGCTGGCTTTCCCGCCTGGGTCATGGGGTCGGGCGGCCTGTCGTGGCGTGACGACGAAGAGGAGGCGCTTGATGGGCGAGATTTCCGACCAAAGACCTTCTTCATCGTCTGTGGCCGATGGTGGATCTCACTCTCGGCCTCCTTCGTTTCCCCCACACAACACTACTACTCTCCCCCTCGACCTCTTCACGATTTATTTTTAATTCTACCCTCGTGGAGCCGGCCCTTTGTATGCGGGAGGTGCGTACGCTGTCAGAGGCGTCGCACTGTGAAATGGCAACAAGTGCGCTCGCCCTGTTGTTGAATGTTCGTGGTGGCTTGGACCTCTGGATCTGTCCGGAGATGCATGTGCTAAAAAGTTGAAGCCGGACCCCGGTGGAGGTTCGTTGTAGCTTTTGTGGTCGTGTGATGGATGGCCCCACCGATTTAGGCCCTGCCTGCCCTGGCACTACTGTCCTTGGTTCGCACGCTCTTGCTTGCCTCTGAGAGGATGGGTATGGCAACCACTTCACCAATGCTATCGCCATGCGTGTAGACGTTCGGCGAGGCAGACGGGTTCAATCAATGGTATTATCATAATGCATGACCCCTGCGCACCTGTCATTACCATGCAGAAACAAGTAGCACCAAAAATTCGACCCGCCCCGAGATCCGCTGCTAAGGAAGAAAGTGAAAGGCAAGATTATACAAACTTCTTTTCGCGTTCCCGTCCTCCCCTCCTATCACCAGCCAGCGACGGCGTCCCAAGAGAAGGCCAATCCGCAGAATACGCAAGTTGACCATGCTGTTCAGTCGAGCTAGCCGGCCCCTTCTCCTCTCTGCTTCTGTAGGGAGTTGCGCCCCTCTTTCTAGTGGTCGAAAAAGAAGGCTTTCATATTTTATTTTCAAAAATTAAGGAGGCCGGTTTAGCGCAGGGTTCCCGCCGGCCATTTCTCTCCTCTCCTGCCCACAAGGAAATTGTTTAATCGTAGTGCAGAAGAAGTAATAGAAGTACCGAAGACAACGGTGGAGTCGTAGCCGGGTGTTTCGCTACTTTAGTACAGTGCAGCTAGTGCATCAGTAGTACGTAGGTGCGTGAGTGGACTGCCTGCAGATTGGCACAGAAGGGGCCACACAACACATCGGCGCGAATTCCTACGAGGTAGTGTGCGCCACCTCCCAGATCTCGCGACCTCACCTCCCACTGGCACATCTACCAGCGCACCTTCTTCTTCTTCTCACGGAACAGGTGTCGCTGTCGCTGCCCCTCTTTCACGCGGTGTGGCTCTCTCCCTCTCTCTTTTTCTCTTTCTCAGCCGCCTTCACTCTCACCATGTCTCTCGCATAATTTTGGCCACACACCAGCTACGACCTGAGGTGGAAAAGTGAGGGAAGGAAAGAAGGAGCGCCACCTTTATTGTGAATATACCGCACCCGCATCGCTTCGTTGGAGGGATAGACAACCCGGCCAGGGATCATGTCGCAGTCGCTTGTCTCCGCTCCCGCCATGTTGGCCAACGGCAGCGAGCCCCATCACAGCTCGCCCCGGGCCAAGTCGAGCCCGTTGGTGAGGACGTCTTCGTCTTCGTCGGCTGCCAGCCCAAAAGGGGCAGCCTCGTCCTCTTCATCGTCGTCACCGCCACCACCACCGCCGCCGCCGTCGTCTTCCGCTTCGAGGGCTGCCAAATTGGTCGCCTCGCCCTCGCTCTCACAGCCGACAGTCTCATCTCAGCAGGTCCATGCTCATCGACAGCAGCAGCAGCAGCAGCAGGCCCAGTCGCAGGCCCAGTCGCAGGCCCAGCCGAACGGGCTGACTGCAATCAAGGCGACGAGCAACGGCGTGCCCTCTTTCCCCTCGCCCCCTTCCTCCTCTTCCTCTCCTCCTCCTTCATCTTCCGGACCTCCCGTGTCGGTTAAGCTGCTCACGCAGCCATCAGTGCAGTGGCCATACTGGCTCAGCGAGCCAGTCAGCGCACTCGCCAAAGATATTGAGCAGGACATGCTCGAGATCGAGTCTCCGCCCCCCTTTCCCCTGGCCATCGTCTTTCAGCACCACGAGCGGCCCGGGCAGGCACCGGCTCAGACGACGCTCGCCCAGCGAGACGGTCTCACGCTGCGCATCTCCGACTTCTGCCACGAGGCAGGCTACCGCGAGTGGTCCCGCCTGATGGAGGTGGCCCCGCTGGCGAGTCAGCACCACATGAGCCGGTACAACCAGCTCAAGTTCGGCTGCAACGGCAGTCCATTCACCTATGTGCCCATGACGCTCCAGAGCCCGAGCCAGTCCAAGGCGGCGATGGATCGACAGCTGGACAATGAGCGGCGGGCACTCGACTGGCTCGTCGAGAAGCGCAAGCGCGCGCGGCAGGTGGCGGCACGAGCACGCCAGGAGCAGCAGGAGCTCGCCCGCGCCAAATCCCGCCAGTCGCGCGACCACGGGCCCATGAGTCCCGAGTCGGAATCTACGACGATTGGCGGACTCAAGAGGCGATCGAGCAACGCCGTTGCCTCATTACTTTCTGATTCCGACGGTGACTCACACATGCGGGGTACTTCGCCTTTCTCAACGGCCACGGCGGCGACAATGACGACGACGACGACGGCAACGCCAGTCACTTCTCTTCCCTCGGGATCTTCGTCGTTGCACGACAACAACACTGTCAAAATAAAGGGACCAGTCAATGATGTCGAAACGGTCGCAGCCGAGTGGGAGAAACCCGTTGGAAATGAATTGGCATATCAACAGCAACCCGCCAACGCCAGCGCTGTGTCTACCTCCGGTGCCGTCGCTGCCCAAATTGAACCAACAACATTGCAGCAAGTCCAAGAAGAGCAGAGACCGGCCACGATTTCAGCCATGGCACCACAGCAGCAGCAGGCCTTGGCCGTCAAGACAAGTGATACCCACCCTATCCAGTGAGTTTGTCACTATGTAGAAGAGAGAAAGAGCGCGAGCTGACAAGAAGACGCATTTCTCTTTGCTCCCTTTAGCATCAGCCCAATTATCCCGCCTGAGCACCTGGCCTCGATTTCCACAAAGGTGCTAGAGGGCCTGCCTGCGTGCGTTAAGACGCACTTTGCCAATTCCATTGCGGTGCCCAAGGACGCCGCCGAGCTCGCAGGGGGAAGCATCTTCGACCTCAACTTCGACAACGACGCGGATTCATCCTCCTCTACACTAACCAACGGTGCCAGCCAGACTGAGCCATTGATGGCAGACCCTTCGCGCGCACACGCAGACGGACAGGTCCAAGGCAAGCGTCTGATTCGATGCAGGACCGCCGGCGTCAATCTTCGCGAAGTGGCTGAGCAGGTCACCGAGGGCGATTGGACGTGCCAGGATGCCTACAAGAGCGCCAACAACTGCCTCAGCGCGCCAGAGCAAGGTCAGCCCGGCGCGCAAAGCTCGGCTGCTTCTTCTTCCTCTTCTCCCTCGTCGCCCTCCTCTCCTGCGCCTCCGACGATGGGCAACCTGCTCCTTTCGTCGTGTCCCGGGAAAAAGGTCCGACTGACGGGTCCGGTCCGAGGAAGGGGTGCCATCTGCCGAGATCTCGGCTTGGACCTGCAGCGATTCCGCCAGATCGGCATCGGTGCCATCGTCTGCTGTCTCGACGACGAGGAGCTCTCGTTCCTGGGCGCCCCCTGGGAGTCGTACGAGCGCGAGGCCGACTCATTGGGCCTGGATGTGATCCGGCTGCCGATGGCAGAGGGCTTTGCCCCCACGAGCGTCGAGACGGCCGACGCGGCCATCACGAGCCTCGTCTCCGACTACACCCTCCAGGGCGTCCACGTTCTCGTCCATTGTCGGGGTGGCGTGGGGCGAGCAGGCCTGATTGCCTGCATCTGGATGCTCAAGCTCGGTCTCGTCTGGGAGGCGCCGAGACAGGCACCATTCTTCATGCAGAAGCACCTCTACAAGGTGACGCCGAGGGGCCAATACCTGCGATGGGACCGCCACACGTACCCCCACGGGGTGGCACCGGGCATCGAGAAGTTTGAGGTGGTAGGGGAGGGGATGCCGCCGAGAGAAACGGCCGAGGCAAAGCGGCAGATGGACCAGTACGAGTGGCGTTACAGCAGGACGATGGACGTGATGGGCTGCAACGAGACACTGTGCGCCCTCGTCGACACGATTCGGATGCGCAGAAGCCTCAAGGCAATCGAAACGGCCGAGCAGGTCCACTTCTTGGCCAGGTACATCGAATACCTCTGCTTGCAGGAGCAGCACCTCTTGGAGGGTGCTCCTCAGACATAGAGACCGGAAGAGAGAGAGAGAGCGCATAAGAAGACTCAGCATAGTATGTGCACGTTTCGCTCAGCATGTTAGACGGTGGAGTCGCACACTAGGTGCCCTTTTTCCCCATTCCCTTCCCTTTCTTTCCTCTTCTTCATTTTGGGGTTTTCCGATCTCTTCACTCTTGCTTTGTGTCCAACCCAACTCTTTCACAGCAACAACACAACTCGTGGAAATGGATGTGCAAATTTGATACCTCTAGCGAAAGAAAAAGATGCAAAAAGACAAAAGGTCCAATTAGTCGTCAAAGGTGATCTTCTTGGCCTTGCCCGGCACGAGCTCCTTGAAGTGGGCACCGTAGGCACTGTGCTCCTTTCGCTTGATGGTGGCCGGGAATTTGTTCATGGCCTCGGGTACGGGCATGTTTGAGTCACGCAGGATCCGCATGAGCTCTCCGGCGTGGGCCTTGTCTTCCCAGGTGAAGAATGTGACCGACTTGCCAGTCTTGCCCGCGCGACCCGTCCGCCCGATTCGGTGGACATAGTCTTCAATCGTGAGGGGAAACGTGTGGTTGACGACGTATTCGACAGAGGGAACGTCGATACCTCGAGCGGCAACGTCGGTAGCAACGAGAAGGGGCGCCTCGCCGCTCTTGAATTTGTCCAGGTTCGCGATTCGTTGATGCTGATTCAGATCGCCATGGATGCCCGCTACCTGATACCCTTTTCTCCTCAGCGTGTCTTCGACCCTCTGCGCCTCCTTTTTGTACAGGGCAAAGATCAGCACTTTGTCCTTGGGTGCCCTGCCACGAGGCCCGGCACCAATGCTCTTGAGGAAGGCGTCGAGCCGTCGCTCCTTCTCCCGGCTGTCCTCGAGCACCTCGACGACCTGCTCGACACGGTGGTTGGCCGAAAGCTCATCGCTGCCAATAGTAACGCGCATGGGCTCGTTCATGAAGCTCTCTGCCAGGCCTCGCAGCTGCATGGGCCACGTTGCCGAAAACATCGAAGTATGCCTGCCCTGGTCCTTGGAGCGCGTCATACCCATGATGGCGCGAATGTCGGGCTCGAAGCCCACGTCTAGCATACGGTCCGCCTCGTCCAGGACGACGTAGCTGACGTTGCTCAGGTCCAGTGTGCCCTCACGCGCAAGGTCCAGTACGCGGCCAGGCGTGCCCACGACGACCCGGACGGCCGGGGACGCATACAGGGCATTGCTCTGGTCGTGCTTGGACACACCTCCATAGAGACAAATGGAGCCAAAGCCGAGCGCTTTTGCGAGCTTCTCGATCGTGTCATGCGTTTGGATCGCAAGCTCACGCGTCGGTGCTACAACGAGCACAGAGACGTGAGGGGGCTGGCCCCTCCCTTTCTTGCCCTTGGAGGACGTAGAGGATGAAGGGTCCTGGCCAAGGACGTGTTGGAGGGCAGGCAGGCCAAAGGCGATCGTCTTTCCCGATCCAGTCTCGGCAATGCCGACGACATCCTTATCGCTCAACAGCACAGGCCAGCAGCACGCCTGGATAGGCGATGGCTTTTGGAACTTGAATCGGTCCAGCTCCTCCTTGAGGCGCTTGTCAATCTTGCCATTGAGCTCAGAAAACGAGAGCATGGGCAACGGCGGCTTCTCTTCCGACTCTTCTGGCGCCTCGATGGTGATGTTGTTGGCTTCCATGTATGCTCTCGCAGCGGCCGCATTCGTGTTCGTGCTTGTGCTCGCAACAGTCGATGGTTCGGTAGCAGCAGGGGCCGCGCTAGATGACGAGGAACCCGCCAGCTCCTGTTCCTTTGCCGCCTTCTTTTGCCGCTTCTTTTCTTCCTTGGCCCGCTTCTTCTCTTGCTTCTTCTTCTCGTCCGAATCGTCCACATCGACATCCTTGCCCGCTCCCTCCGCCCCCGCCTCCGCCTCCGCCTCGCGCTTCCGCTTCTTCTCCTCCTTCTTGGCCTTCTTGATCCTCTTCTTCTCCTCCAGGTCTTCCTCCTCTCCTCCCACCTCGGCCGTCACGGAGGCTGGAAGTTCCTCGAGCCGCTCCTTCATCTTTCGCTTCTTCTCCTTCTTGTGCATCGACTTGGTCGCCTGCTCCAGCTTCTTCTCCTCCGTGGACGACATCCTGGCCGTACGAATACTTCTCGTCGAAAGAGGCGTTGGATAAAAGAAGGAAAGACGCCTGTCTGAAAATCCCGAAAAAGAGGTGGCTGCTGCAGCTTGGAAAAATTTCCAAAAAAATTAACTTTTCGCTTTCTTCAGTCGGCCGAGAGGAAGGAAGCCTGGAGTAGTCAGGGTGCTGAGAACAGACTGCAAATCTCGTGTGCGAAGGTGGAACGGAACAAATGAGTTGATGATTCAAGAAAGATGTTAAGGGTGACCAGAAGCAAATCTAGCAGTGCATGGGTAGCATGACAATAATTAAAAAAAAAAAACACTATTCAAGGGCGCCACTCGAGAGAGCCATGCCCAGACTGGCCTGCCAGGCCTGGATGTCGTCTCGACCATACCCCTGCTTGAGCCTGCTGCTCGTTGATGAAGAGGCGCCGTGGTGCCTCCGGCTCTTTTTGGACGATGATTGGTGACTCTTCTTCGATCGAGCTTGGCTAGACTTTCGCAGTGCGCTCGATTCACCACCGACAGAAGGAACGGCCATCAAGCTAGAATCGCCACCTTGGAAGTCATCCTTTGGCAGGCGACCTCGCTGACTTCGCGTCGAGTGTGGCGTCCTCGTGCGATGCCCATGCTCACTCCTCGACAAAGCAGTATCGACCGTCTTGCCGCGAACAGAGGAAGAGTCTTCTTGCGACTTCAATGCAGTCGGACTAACCAGCCTTGCGGGGCTGGCGGTAGGCGAAATGGGAACGCCTGGGCTCGTCGGCGTCGTTGGACTGGCTACCAAGAGCTCAGAGCTTGCCCTCGCTTGGCCTTCGACCGACAGCCGGAATCGTGCCTCCTCAGCTGCTTCCAACTCGAGACGCTTCTGAAGCGCAGGGACCACCATCTCATCCCAGTCACTCGCCGACGGCTTCGGAGGCGAAGGCTTCTCAGCCTGCTGCCCGACAGGTGGGGAGACCTCGAATGAAGGGATGGGGGGCCTTTTCAGGGCTGGCGGCACGTTAGAGTTGGTCGGGGTTTCCAGATCCCCCTTGCGGCCAGTCACGCCCGCGAGGTCGTCCCACGCTTTCTGCCGTCGCTGAGCCTCTTCCAGGCGCCTCTGTGAGTGTGCATTTTGGCTCCGTGACGAGTGCGCAGTCGACCAGCTGTACTGCTGGCGCCTCTTCGGGTCAGATCTGCGGAGCTGGCTGGTGTAATCGGACGCAGAAGACGAATATCCTTCGTCGACGACCGAAGCGCTCGATGAATTGTTGATGGTGGCCAAGCCCGACGCCTCTTGGTCGTGGCCATGCTCGCGCTGCCTGCGACGGTGCTTGGAGTTGCGCCTCCGATGCCGCTCGCTCCTCGATTCCTGGCTTGAGACTGACTCGCCAGACTTTCTCGCTTCTCGCCTCGTCGAGTAGGGCGCGGCCCTCCTCCTGGATCGCGAGTTGGAAAGGTCGGAGAGCTCGCTGATGCTCGGCTCCATCGACGACTCATGCCCATGAGTACGAATAGAAGGAGGCTCAAGCCGTGATGCGCCAAAGAGCCTCTCATGTGCCCATCTCGACCGCCAATTCGTACCTTCTGACGATCGTTCCATGGCCGCCAAGGCCGCCAGGCTCGCCTGTACGGCTGTCTCGGCAAAGGGAACCGGGTCTGAGCCTGCGATGGACTCGAGCTGCTGTGCGGCTGGCGTTTCATTTGTAGACAGAGGCACCTTCTGTCCAGCAGCTTCCTTTGGATGGATGGGTGCAGAGGAAGACCTGGGGCGGCCATTGGGTTCCACAAACGAGAGATCTTGCGCCATGACGCGCCGAAGCGTCCTGTGGCCGCTGAGCGTGGCCATCTTCTGAGCAGACGCAAGGCCTTTTGGCGCTGCGCTCCTCCCGTTCGCAGCCACCACTTCGGCGGACCATGGTCCGTCAGTCGACATCCAGCTCTCTCGGACAGCAGCCTTGGGCGTGGTCACCATCGGGCTTTCTTGTGGCGACATTGCTCCAGCGTCCGTCGGCGAGGCCAGTGCGACGTCTGAAGGGAGTCGCTGGTCGCTGGATGGAGCAGGATAGGCATACTTCGAGGCAAAGTGCGCATCTGCTTGAGAAGGCATCGAAGTCGAGCGCAATGGCCTCGTCGCTGTCGCTTGCGGCGTTGGTGGCAATGGTCGAGGCAGAGGATGACCAGAGGCGGTTTCAAAGCGTGGCCTTCCAATAGAGGATGACTGACTAGACATGGAACCAGCTTGAGAGTTCCCCATTGTTCCATCGTCGTCGTGTCCGGGATGCTTCTGCAGTGACTTGACGCTCCGCTTGCCATCCAATTGAGCCCTGGCTGCCGCCATAGCCGGCGACGCAGATGTGCTCGTCGCTCGCTCTGCCGCATTCGTGTCCGTTCGAGGTTCGGCAATGGCCGGCGGGGCCGGCAGCGGCCGACGATGGCTCTCACTCGTGGGCGTTGGGAGGCCGGAGCTACTAGATCGCGAATGCGTTTGCGAAGCGGTTCGCCGATGTCCAGATCCTTGATGCTCTAGGATGACCGGAGTCGGGCTCTCCTGTGACCTCAATTCTTTGACTGGCGAAAGGCTGAGGGGAGGAAGGGGACGAGGCCGCCTTACGACGCCAGGAACCCAAAAGACTTGGTTGCTCGCGTCTGCCTCGCGCTGCACCTCCTGCTCGGCGACAGTCTGCTTCGCCTCGCTTTCGACGTCTGATTCAGAGAGAAGAATCTCCTTTGTGCCGGCTTCCGAGTTCACTCTACTGAGGTCGAGGCTATCGCTCACTCTCGGTGAAGGCGACGATGAGGTGGGGGAGACAGCGGGAACGAATGCGGCCAAGCCCGCATGTTCCGGGCCGGGCATCTCTCCGTCTTGCAGGGGCGAATAAGATTGACCTTGTATGGATGGCATCTCGTCATCTAGAGGGCCGAAGGGCGAGAGCGATACACGACCAGATTTCACGCCCATCGTCTCTGAAGATTCTCCGGCGACATTGGCCTTTCCAGGCATTGTTGGCAAGGTGGGCGAAGCCGACTCGTCAGTACTCGATGAGTTGGCGCGCCTCTGCTTGCGTGGTCGTCTCGGTGGTACCGGCGCAGGATGAGGGGGTCGGGCCAGCGAAGAGAAGTTGTCATTGACACCGACACCGGTCGAGTCGCTGGTATTGAAGCTGGCCATCGATGCGCCAATTGCCTCTTCTGTGTCGGCAGCTGCGACAGCGCTGGTCGATGGGGATTCGCGCTCCTCGAAGTGACTGCCATTTGTGGGGACAGCGGTAGCTTTGTTTCTTGTCCAGGGACCATGGTTAGTCTTCTTGGCCTTCTTCTGCTTCTTGTCCTCCGATCCCCGTCGAGCGAGAGAGCCGGCATCCGTATTCGACACCTGCTCCTCGTTTTCGTCAATCCAGCCGGACTCGTCACCGACAGCGCTGCTTCCCCTGCGCGCCCATCCTCCGCTCGGCTTCCACCAATTGGAAGCTGCAGCCACCGGAATGGCGCTGCCCTTGGGACTCTTCTGCGCATCAGAGATGGCTTGTGATGGGGACTTGCGGGTGGTAGCATGTTGGGCGGCTTGAGCTCGTAAGCTCGTCGTCGAGGCACTTCTCCTGCTGCGGCTGCTTCGTGCGCTTCGAAGACTCCTTGAACGAAGGCTCGAGTTGCTCGCAGGTCGACCAATCGGGCTGTTCGACGAGACACCCTCGACCCCACGGGAGGTCTGAAGGAGACGGGGCGAGGGAGATGACCGTACGGGCAGGACGCTGTCGCTGGGGCGCCTGACTTGCCCATACAGACCTCTAGACGGTGACACACCGCGATTGGAGTGAGCAAGAATGTCTCTTGCGGGCGTAGCTGGCGATGTGGCGGCAGAAAAGTCTGTCTTGCTCGGCGAGGGCGACAGTGTCGAGGTGGCATCAGAGTTTTTTCGCACTCTTCCTTTGATGAGGGCTAACAGGCTCATAGCTCGCGGACGCTTGCCAGCAAGCACGACCGAGGGCTCTGAGGAGGAAGGGCCAGCATCTGCAATCTCTGCAGAAGCCGATGGAGTCTGCGACTGACTCGACAACAGGCTCGACGCGCTTGGATCAATCTGGTAGGTGGGCCCGGCCCTGAGACGTTCGACGTGGTTGATGAGTGCTTCGGTCGTGTTGCTGCCACCGCTCATGTGACTGCTCCTCTTTGAGTTGAAGCCATCGGAGGGCATCAGCGTCGAAGCTTGCGATACGCGAAGTCTCGGCGCCGTCGGGGTGGAGACGGCCCGTTGTTCATCGAAGGAGTGACGTAAGCTCGGAACTGGCTTTCTCCTGACTGTTCTCGGCGAAGCAGGCTCTGGACCGTGTTTACTACTTGAAGATGCTTGGGTCGCTGTTTGAGAAAAGAGCAGGAAAGAGTCAGGCTGCGTTGATGATGCAAGCGCACAGCAGCGCAAATACCCACCCTCTGGACCGGAGACGTCTGGCTCGTCGCTATCGTCCCAGAAGAATCGCGATTCGTCGTTGGATATGTTGCCTCTCGGCGTCGCATAGACCTCGTTTCTATCCTCAACCGACTCCTCGCTGTTGTCCAGACCTCGTCTGTCCTCCCAGTACGACGTCCATTTTCCTTTGCCCTTGTCCTCCGGCGATGTCCTCGCAACTGGTGCAGCTGCTACTTCTTCAGTGGAGCTGCTTATGGGCTCTGCCGCAACGGCAGCGGTGCTCGATGCCCAGCTGTGCCGTCGACTTTCCCGAGGTGTCGGGCTCTGTTCTCGTGAAGGTTGACCCTGGCTTTGGCCAAGGCCGAGACCAAGACCAAGGCTGTGACCCTGGCTGGATCCGTGGCTGCCACGGCTCGCGCGTCTTGATTCCTCCATGCGCCAGTAGGCCGGCAGAAGTTCTCTGTACGTCGCTCTACTGTCGTTCGTCGTTCTGCTGACATGTGTAACAGCGACTGAGCAGTTATCATCCATCTCTTCCGTCGACTCTGGCTGTGGGCTCCGCGAGCCAGTGTCGGCATAAGCGGCGGACACAGCAGCAGCAGCATCTGCAGGGGTCATGCCCTGCTCGAGGTAGTGCTTGCCCAGACCCGTCTTAAGGGCGAGCGCCAGCGGTTCCGGTAGCACCTCGGGCGAGTGGCCATGATCAGAGACGTCAAGGGACAGGATGCCATCGGCGTGTCCGTTAGCCTCGGGAGCCTCTGCAACAGCGCGCAGTGTATCGTGAGACGTCTTTCCACGAATCAAGGCCGAGTCCCCTGATTCAGCCTCGGGCACCTCGGCGATACTCGCGTGCCTTGGTTCGGCACTGATGCGATGCTCCCGGCGAAGGCTGCTGATGGCTGAGGAGGAAGAGGGAGACGCCGTCTCCGCTTGACGCTGATCGCGGTCCTGGTGATGGAGATACATGGGGCTCGCGTCATGCACGTAGGCGGGCTGGGAAGATCTCCGGTCGGTACCGATCCTGTCCAGATTCTCAAACGAGAACTCGGTCCGGGGTTGAACGAACTCGTCTCGCGGTGATGGCTGCTGATGCGGCTCCGTCTCTAGCTGCTGTTGCCATGCCTGGCCCGCGGATGCAATTCTTTTCGATGAGGGAGATTTAGGCCCATCACGGGCCCGGCTTCTCATTGGGCCCGCGAGGCTTGTCCTCCCCTGCGAGGGCGCGTGACCATGCTGCTTCTGCAATGGCGTCGACGTCGTCGCGAATCGACCACCTTCCGGCTCGAGGGCGCCTGGCGAATAGCCTACGGCCGATGGATGGTAAGTCGTCTGACTCGACTGGCCGTTTCCCATCTTTGCTTTTGATCGTCCTGTACGATACAGAGAGCGAGAGTAATCTGATTGTCACCACCGCTTCGTCTAGCTCGAGGTCATGCTTTCTAGAGCCCTTGCCGCCGAAGCCCGGGCGCACGACCGCTACGTTCGGTATGGGTATCCAGATGGCGGTTAAGGAGGAGGAGGAGGAAGTCGAGTCGTGCAAGGAGAGTGGCTTCAAGGTGGATGGATGGATGGATGCTTGGATGCTCTTGGAGAGATTTAAGGATTTACTGACGACGAGGAGCGCGCTTCTGACTTTTTTCTGACTCTCCTAGTGTAGTGTACGTGCGCCTCTCACTTTGAGCCCAGATTGTGGTTCGGAAGCGATGCCGCTAGGTGCAGCCAGCATCTGCTTGCCCTTTTGCTTTCAGCCGGACTTGCATCGCGGCCATCCCAAGTTTCAATGACCTGCCTAACGCGGCTCTATCCCAATTACTTACAGCAGGACTACTAGACTATGTACTCATGTGGCCCTTCCTAGGAGCTGCAGCTCACACATACAAACGAGGGTTTCTTGGCTCTGCTCGTGCGGCGCGACAACAAAAATAAATAATGGATTAGCCAGACCCACCAAACAGACGCGGGCGACGAACGCATTGATCAACTGGAGAAAAAGAAAGCCCCTCTTAGCTCGACTAGCGCGAACGGAAAGGAGAAAAGGGAAAACTCTTGACCGCATCCAGAACGACTCAGAGTGAGCCGGATCCTTCATTCTCCGAGATTCGATCGTTGACTTGGTGGCTGCTACCTCACAGCAACTTGTGTTCATCCACGCTGCTGCGTGCACCCTTGATAGATTGTCGATGAGAAAATTCGGAGACCTCTGAAACAAGAGAGGCATCGCCGACGTCCGTGCGCCTCCTCTATACCGATGATTGCTCTCTTTGCCAAAAGTCATGCACTTTAGGATGGGAAAATGTTCCGAGGGCAACTCCTATCGGCCAGACCGCTCGCCGGTGCGTGAAGGGAAGGGGAGCACGAAGATTTGCAACAGGAACAGGATGGGAAGCCCCTGACGGTTGCGACCTTCCGGGTTTCTTGTGCTCATTTGTGCCAATATCGGTAGATCAACCTCGCTAGGTACGGCTGTTTAACGGATCGCCACGCGCTGTCATTAAGCGAACAGGGTATTCCCTGGGAAAAGGAACGTGCGAAGCCGAGATATTGTGATAGCATCTTCATTGACGATGCCATCGCAGCGATAGCAACCAAAAGGAAGAGCAAAGGAGCGAGGTGCAAAAACAAAAAGAACTGCAGCACCCAGGATTCCCGCGTGGTCCCCCACCGCAGTACTGACTAGGCGATACCGTGCTTAACTTCGCAGATCGGACGGGATGCGGTGCTTTCACGGTTCTATGGCCGCAGATAGAACGTTGCCCGGTTTAAAAGACTATATTTCCCATGCTGCCTCCTTTGCCACCATCCTTCGGTGCGATAGCGAAGTCTGCGAGACTGTTCAGCGCATGAGACAGCAGCTCGGAGATTGGAAATTGGGATCAAGAAGTCAGCTGCGTACGCCGATGTATGCGCGACACAGCTCTGCGCCTTAGATGTAATTGTTCCTCCAAGGACTGACCACTGACGCCATCTGGCCCGTTCGGTCCTTTCGCCGTTGCCACGTCGGACTGTGGGGACCTGTGCCACTTCTCGGTACACTTGGGTACTCAAGAGCCCGCTTTCAACGGCTTCCGCCTTCTACTCTGCGTTACAGAGAACTCGTTGAAGAAAGACTCTGTAATAGAGCAAAGTGGGAAGGATTCGGCTGTTCTTTACGGTGAACTCGAACAAGAGAAATAGAGCACCTCCTTTTCCACGGCGTTTTTGCCGTTTCCACTTGACGAAATCACTGTCTAGAGATTTGGGGAAAGATATAAATGGGGCCCGTCTCGGACGAAGAGGTGCCCGGTCTCCATCGTTCTCCCCTCCAACGTCCTCTCCGGTTTCCTGACTGGCTTCAGCTAATACGGGAAGACACCAAGCCTACGATCGATATCACTTGGATTTACACCTCTCAGAGACCACGAGCATCCTCTGCCATCTGTCATCGTGTCGTCTTCCAGCGCAATAAATTCTTCACAAGAAGATCTCGATCTCGAAAAGTGACACAATGCGTTTTAGCATTGGGTTCAAGATTTTGGCATTCGCTGCCAGCGGGGTTCTGCTTGGGGTACACAAGTCCAGCGTTGGCGCACCTGTCGGCAAGGACGGCGCTCAAGGTAAAGGTAAAGGCGTCTCTTCCTCCTGGTCGACATCGCCAACTCCTTCATCAAAGCCCGAAGTCGCAGGTCATCCAAACTCTGACGTACCTTCAAGCAGTGACGAGCTGATATCTTGCTTCAACTCTGATCCAACATGGCGCCAACTTCTTGAATGGGCCAATGCTAAGAAGCTCGAAGAGACGGACATGCGAAGGTACCGCCGCATCGGCAATGAAATGCCTGACTATGTTGACAAAGATGCATTGTTGGCAACTTACCGGAACATAAAGAAGGACGAAGCCCATATCAAAGCCACAAAACTCAAGTGTCAAGCTCTAGATGCCGAACTTGAGAAAGTGATCGAGGAGCTAAAAGCCAGGCTCGACGGCACTTCTGCCACCAAAGGCCACGGTACGAGGCCTGAGAAGCGAAGTCGCGAGGATGAGCTAGAGCAGGAGATCGGAAAAGCCGCAGGCGAAAAAGACAAGCAAAGCCCTCTGACGAAGAGAGGCAAGATCGATCTTCGACTTGTGAAAGATGTGGACATCGATGCGGTTCCTGATGTGACAGGTGAAGTAAGTGTCTGGGCGAAGAGCATGCACCAGTAGCGTGTTGCGAAAAGATAGCTTTGAGCTGAACAGACCTTCCATGCAGTAGACCTAGAAGGTCAACAAAAGGGTTCGTCACCCAAGAATACCTGACTTTCGGAGCGAAATGCGCGAACGCGAGCGAAATGAGCGGGTGAGATAGCCAGAAAGAGTAGGCAGGCAGAAGCTGTTGTCGACGTTAGACGAAGAGGGTGAAAGCAATGCACATGACCTTCAGCCTGAATGCTCCGAATTTATCTACTAGGTACCGTTCTAGTCAGGACGCTGTCTCGTTCACAATGAGGCATGACAGTGTTCCAACACGAGTGCAGCGGGCCTTTTTTAACCCTCGAATAACGGCTCTTTGATCGCAGTTGAAGAGATATGAAGTAGATTGATGACGACATCGAAGGGGATGAACGACTTGAGACCACTTTTCATTGTTCGATCTCACGTCGCCAGCCAAATGGCTTGAGCAATGAAAAGGCGCGACAAAACTTGGGCTGTGATAACGGGGAAAGGCGTACAAGAACACAGCCGAGCGATGTGGGTAGAAAAAAGGCGCGCAAAAACACCGCCTAAACCTACAAGGAGCTGTGCGAGAGCACAGCCGTGACCATCATGACGTGGTGCACGGGAGATACAAACAGGAAGCGTGTCATGTCTTGCAGCTAAAGGTGCCCCGCAGGGGGGGCTCACTTTGCTACGCTCCAGAGTCAGGTCCGGCCTTTTCACTCCAAATATTGCTCCAGGAACCCCGTTCACCCATGTATAGAAGGCTCCGCCGAATTACTAGCAAATAATTACTCCGCGCCCCGTTGACTCACGACGGCTCAAGCCTCGTCCCATATCTGGCACCAGAGCACTGGCCTGCAGGGGTGGAATCGCTGTGTCTTCCAGGTCGCGAGGGACTTGACCTGTTACAATGCTGGGTAGGGTGATGCCGCCGTCTAGAGATAAGGAGAGGTCTGGAGCACGAGCGAACCGAGCAAGCTTTAAAATGATGACATCAAGAGAAGGCCGGAGGAAAACCCGAGGGGCGTTTGTGAAGCGCTCCGAGGAATTGCTCTGCTTCACCGCCCCGAGACGAGGCAAGTATTCTCAAGAGCCTGGTCTTGGTGGCAGAGACGAAAACACTGTGATCATAGCTCTGAAATCCTGTCTGTCTGCTAGGCTTGAAAAGGGTTAAATTAGACAGGTTTCGCAGCTTCGTCCCTTCCCATCCCATTCCATCCCATCCTACACCCCTCCTCTCCCTTTCCTCTCCACTGCAGCTCTTTTCGTCCATCGGGCAGGTTCCCGGCAGGACAGAATCATCAGAACACGCACCCAAGGAGAGCCTCCCGGTTAGCCACCTTCTGCAGCGACACAATTTCATGACCGGTACTGAACGTCATTTGCTGCTGGACCAAGCCGCGACACGCACTTCAGCTTCGAGACACAGCATCAGCATCACGCGGGACGTGTTCATTTCCACAGCACGATGCGCGCCACAATTTGTCTATCAGCGCTCGTCGTCACTGCCAGTGTGTCATCTTTTGGCGCATTGGCCCTTCCCATGAATGAAGACTCTACCCACAAGGGGCCCTCTGCTGTCCGTTCTTCCGGCTCGTCTGATGTAACGCCCTCCGTGTGGACGACACATGCTTCTATTCCTCTCCTGCCCCATCCGACTACCCTTCACATCGAGGGTTACGAAGAAGCTAAAAAGTGGAGCGAGAAGTTTAAGGAACACTCAGATGATGTTGACGATTTCCGCAACCAGACAGAGTCCAAGCGCACGGAAGAACGCTCCCATCCTTTGTCAGAGTATCAGAGCCTCGATCCAAGCTTCGTACATCCGTCGCCGAAAATGAAGGGAAGATTGACAAGCTTGAGTGGCAAGCGGAAGGAAGTTCCTTGCGACCCACACACTCTTCTGCTTCTGCACGAACGAAAAATGGACCGCACGCTCACGGACATTAGGCACCTCTGCGGCGACGTACGAAATTTTTTGGAAAACAGGAGCGAGCCAAATACTCAGAAGCACAAGGAAGGAAGCAGCAAAAGCAAACAAGGGCATGTGAAGAAGATAGCAGAGGGAAACGGCGATGAGTTCTATGATGCAAGCGATAACTTCTATTATGAAGAAGAGGCGCCGCCGAAACATTGGTAGGACTGCATCGACGGTAGTGAGCGCCAAAGCATCTTCTGCGTCCAGTATGTTGCCGACAAACAACCCTTCCCAATAGGTAAGAGAAGACGTGCTTGACCTTCAACAGGTCCTCAAGACTCAATCCCCTGCATCCCTTGATTAACAATCTTCCGAATCTCAGTAGAATTCAAAACCATCACCATGTACTCGGCTGATGCCATCACCTCAATTCCATTTCTTCTCCCTGTTACACGCGGTGTCGCGCTTCGGATCTCGCACCGAATAAGGAAGCAGCCTTGACGCGTCTCCATTCTTCCAAGCGTGCGTCTGTGGCCCGCTGATGCCGCACAAAGCCGTCGGCCGCCTTGTGCCGAAGTAAATATCTGGACGCTAGCATCTGTGCCTGCTGAGCTCACTCGCTCACCTCCTGACCTTGTCGCTGTCCCCAAAGATAAACTGGGCATGCAGGACAACGGTATAAAGACGACCTTGGCAACTGATTTCATTGCTCCCGTCACATCAAGGAGGCAACGCTAGAACTTGCCCACGCTCTGACTACACCATGCAGTCTCAACACGAACAAACAGAGGATGACGGTAGGGCCAGCACAGAGACAGTCTCTCCACCCCACCAGGAGCCAGAGAAGGCTGCACAGAGCAAGGAAGATGCAAAGGCGCTCGAGGAACAACGCGAGCGGCAACAGTCACAAGCTGCAGAAGAACCATACTCGATCTTTACAGCGTGGGCAAAGTGGCAAATTGTCATTCTTGTTACCATTGCCGGGTTCATCTCGCCCATGACGGCCAACATCATGCTTCCTGCGCTGCCAAATATCGCAAATGATCTCAAAGTCTCGCTCGAGAGCGTCAATCTCACTGTCACAGTGTACATGATTTTCCAGGGTATCACGCCCCTGTTCCTTGGCTCGCTGACTGACATTGTTGGAAGACGACCCGTATACCGTGAGTTGCCGCAGTCGCATTACAGAAGAAAAGGAGAGAGACTGACCGTGAGCATCCCTTTAGTCGTCTGCTTCATCATCTACGAAGGCGCCAATGCTGGCATCGCCAATCTTCCCAACTCGTACGCTGGGCTGCTTGTTCTGCGGTGCCTCCAGGCGACTGGTGCAGCAAGCGTCATCTCGATCGGCGCAGGGGCCATTGGCGATGTGACCACTCGAGCGGAGCGAGGAAGCTTCATGGGGGTCTTTTCGAGCGGATCGATGGCTGGTCCATCCCTGGGACCGGTCGTCGGAGCTGTGCTCACGCAGGCATTTCATTGGCGCAGCATTTTTTGGTTCTGCTTCGTCATCGGAGGCGTCGTCCTCGTTCTCTCGCTCTTCTTCTTGCCCGAGACACTCCGTCGACTCGTCGGCAACGGGAGCCGACCTGCGCCAACGCTATTCCATGAGGCTCTCTTCGACCTGATGCGAGGCAAGACGGCGGCACAGCAACTTCGTCTGCCTCGTCCTGGCTTGCCGCCTTCCCCCGTGGCCGACAAGGCGACGACACGGTCGAAGCGACTGGCGCGCGAGCTCGCTCGACCTTTTCAGGCCCTTCTCCTTCTGGCAATGCCTGAGGTGTTCCTCTGCCTCATCCTCTGCGCGATACCCTACACGGCCTTCTATTGCGTCAGCTCGACGCTGTCCAACCTCTTTCAGGACACATACGGCCTCAACACACTCCAGGTCGGACTCGTCTTTCTTAGTCCGGGGATTGGCTCATCGCTCAGCAGCTATCTCATGGGGCTTGTCTTGGACCACGACTACGCTGCAGCTCTGAAGCGTGCCCGTGAAGATGGGCAAAAGGACGACGTGGAAGTTCCTATCGAGCACGTCCGCCTTCGCCGATTCCCCTACGCGCTCCTCGGCACGGTGCTGACGCTCATCGCCTATGGCTGGTGCGTCCGCTACAAGGTGCACATGGCGGCTGCCATCATCTTCCTTTTCATCAACGGCTTCTGCATCGGTTGCATCTTCTCCATCGTCCAAGTTCTCCTCATCGACTGGCTGCCAAACAAAGGCGCCTCGGTGACGGGCTGCAACAACCTCATGCGCTGCCTCAGCGGCGCAGTCGGCACCGCCGTCATCGACTACGTCCTTTCTGCTCTCAAACCTGGTTGGACGTTTACCCTGACAGCCCTAATTACCGCCCTCACTGCTCCCGTGGCATTATGGATCGATCGTAGCGCTCCTGCGTGGAGGCGCAGGCGGAGCGAACGACAGCAGGGACAAATACCTTAGGCACTCTCGCACAATTCTTCGCATGAACATTCATATTGTATCATTAGTAATAGATCAAGTGCTCATCAAGCACGCGGAGGAGTGCGCGTGTCGTCCTGAACAGCGTCCGTACTTTGCACTGGACAGTGGGCTTGTCCCGACGACGGACGTGAAAGCAGACCAGGGTATCACCCTATCAAAGGATGACGAGCCAAGCGGTGCGGACCGCACAAGCGCTCAGACGCCCGACAAACACAAATGAAGGGTTGTGATACAGGCCAGGGGGATCAGAGCACGTTTATGACGAGACGTGCGGAGCCCTTGAATATCCCCGTCTAGTGTACAACTACACTTCATTACGTCTTAGTGCTACACTACTAGCTAGTGTTGCCTGAGTCCATAGGCAAGGGCAGTGCAAGGTGGAGCTTCCTATCTCGACTGCGCCACATTTCAACATTTTCGAAAGAAAGAAGAAAGGGTGGGGTGATTGCCGGGCTTGTTGCGGCCCAATTTTATCCACTTTCTTTCTCTCTCTAGACAACCTCGGCTTGACACGATCATGTAGGAGAGATCGGCTGCCCTTGTGTCACCACCAGCGAGGTCTACCAGCACCTGTCTTGCTCTGGAGGGTGTACAGGGCGGTTCCAAGCTTATCCCAAAAAAAGGGCTGCCTTTGCCCATGCTCTCGATGCTCCGATGAGAAGAAGTTGAATTTGATTCAAGTTTGAAATCCCTCCTTTGGAAAAAGACTATTGAAAAGTTGAATTTTTTTTCCTGCTTCTGCTGCATCTTCTTGTTTGAGAGAGCCAATCCCTGGCCTGCCTCGCCTCGTGCTCGCTCGGCTGCAGCATTGGTCGGTGTGCTTGCCGTTGTCACTTCCCCCTCTGCTGCCTTTCTCCTCCTCCTCTCTCCTCTAAATCGAGACTGGCTCGCTCGATCACTCGCTACTTGACGACGAACGCTCCTCGCTTCGTCCTCAGCAGCAACCCCCTTGACTCCCCTCTCCCACTCTCCCTCTCCTTCCCTCTACCTCCCTCTCTACTCTTCTGGCCCGCAGTCAGCCCACCCCACCCCTTCCTTCCTCGTTCGTTCCTCAGCTTCTGGCAGCCTCTCTCCGAACGAACATTCGTTCCGCGAGGGCAACAGAAGTCTGGAAAGAAGAAGGACAGAGAGCTGTCGGAAGAGGTCGGGACTGACGCTTTCCTGTCAGATTGGTAGCGTCAAAAGGTGAGGGAGACAACCGGCTCGGCCCTGTAACAGTAACAGTAACGACAAGAGGCAAGAGAGCGCCTTGGAGCGACGAGCAACGGGCGACGACACTGTGACGAAGAGCGGGGCAGCTCAAGAGCGATAACCGAAGCCCTCCTCAACCCATCTCGGCGGAACACCAATCCCAGCGCCGGCGAACCGCGTGCCCTGTCACCGCACCCTTCGCATACACGCTCCCTATCTCTCTCTCTTCTCTCTCTCTCTTTCGTCTACTTCTCTCTTCGCCTTTCCCTCGTGGTCCCTTTTCGAACCGGCTCTTGTTCTCCATTGGCTGCGACGTGCATGCTTTGTGTACAACAGACAACGCTTCCTCATCACTGATGTGAGTTGCTCCCTGACTCCCCGCCCAGCCTGGCAATACTCCCTTTGTGACCACAGCTGACGGCCAAGAGGTGGCAGTCCCAACCCGATCACTCGACAAGACCAAGGCAGGACGTAATTCTACACTTGTTCAAAAGGGACAGCGCAAAGTTTTCATCTGTACGACTTCAACATCATCATCGTCATCGACCCGCAACACTACCGCCTTTACTTCCTCCCCTCTTGTTCTTGTTCTTGTTCAGCCGACCTCGCTTCCGTCACAGCTTTCGGATCGATCGGCAACCTTGTCACTACTACGAGTACCCTAGAAGCCAGTCCACGTACACTATTTTCAGTCCGCCCCTTCGCCCTCTTTTCATTCTTTTCCTCTTTCCCCCTTTTTCACCCTGGAAGCGCACGGCTAGCAAGTTGGCTCGCTGCTCTCCTCTTCTTGGACGCTGCATACGAGGATCGACATGGTCTCGGGAGCAACACCGCAACACTCCTCCTCCACTGTCAGCCCGCCACGGACCGCACCGTCGCCAAACTCGGCCAGCCAGCCCGCCTCGAAGCGAAGTAGCCTGGGACCGCAAAGCGCCGTCTTGAAGCAGCAGCAGCAGCAACAACAACAACAGCAGCAGCTCGCCTTCGACGACTCGGGCTCGACCTCGCTCTCCGACTCGACGCTGTCGCTCCACCAACACTCGGACGCTTCCAGCCGCCTTGGTGGCCAGGGCACCGACTCGACTTTCCACTCGCCCTCATCGACGAGCGCCTTTGTGGCTGGTGGTACCGCAGCCGGTACTGCAAAGGGAGAAGAATCAGACCCAGAGGACATTGCTGCTGTGAGTAGCGGCTTTCTTTCTTTCTCCATTCCCCGCTATCGGTGCTGACTCCCTAGCGGCCGGAGCAGCGCATCGAGCGTAAAAGGCAGGAGCACGAACGCCAACGAGCGCTGCAGCGCCAGGCCTTTGAACAGCAGATGGCCCTCCTCGAAAGGCAGCAGCTTGAAGAGGAAGCCAACATGCTCGGTCAGCGCCAATCACCCGCTGCTTCTGCTGGTGGCGCCGACGACCGTGCCGCTCACCGTCTCTCCAACCCCATCGCTGACGGCTCGAGGCCCGAAGAGGGACTCAACGGTAGCAATGTGCCTGGTCTTGCCCCTGTAGCTACCAACACCCCACCACGGTCGGTCCCCGCTTCTCGCCGCACCAGCGGGGGTCAACCCGAGGCCATGACGACGGCCGACCAGGTGCGTCTGGCGGGCCAGCGTCGGAGCATGAACGCCAACGAAATGGCCACCGCTTTTGACCGCATGGGTCTGGGCAGCAACCACAGCAACGACCACAGCAACGCGAGCAGCCGTCCCTCGAGCCAGCCTCGCTCGCCCATCGGCGCAGGACCACCAGGCGGGAACCCCGCCGGCGACGGCAGCCCCACGAGCCGGCTCCAGCAGCGTCAGTCCAACCTTGGCGGCAACTCGACGACGGGCCAGCAGAGTGTGCTGCAGAGGGCCATCGGAAGGCACAACATTGAAGCTCAGCAGCAACACCAGCACGCGCACCAGCCTCAGAATCAGGCCCAGAATCAACACCAGTCGCAGTCGGGTGCCAACGCCGCCGCGGGCGAGTCTGGCCTCACGCCCGTCTTCAACGAGCGCTACCTTCTCTTTGACGACGAGCTCGATGCCGAGGACTCTGCCTTTATGAAGCGCTACAGCCTCGAGGAAGACGACGACAAGTTCCCCGTCCTGATCCGGCGGGACAGCTTCCCCGGCATGCTCTCGGCCTCGTCGGCTGCCCTTGACCTGGCTCCCCTCTCGCAGGCGCCATCTCGCTTCCCACGGACCGACGATGGCAGCAGCGGCAATGTCAGCAACAACCCGCCGTCGAGGCTTTCCGAGTGGCCGCAATTTGCCGGCCGCGACGATGGCGTCACGGGTGGTGGTGGCGGTGGCGCGGGCGGGCGCGGGACTCCATCGCCGTCGCAGTCGCACCACGCGCTGGCCGACGGCGCAACCTTTGATCGCTTTGGCAACCAGGACCGTCGAGGTCGCTCGGAGCGCAACTCGCCACGCCTCAGCTCCAGCCAGGGTCCTGTGTCCAACAACGCTCGAGGTGGTCCTGGCGGCGCTGGCGCTGGTAGTAGCGTTGGCGGCGGCGGCGGCGGTGGTGGTGGTGGTGTTGGAAGTGCTGGCAGTGGAGCTGGTGCTGGAAGCTTCTCCCTCTCGTCGTCGACGTCTCCCGGTGGATCAACGAGGCATTCGACGACGCCGGGCACGCCCACTTCGACGCTATCCGTCCGAGGATCGGCGCCCCCCAGTGCTGAGCAGCAGCAGCAACAGCAGCAGCAGCAGCAACAGCACGGCGGCGGTCTTCCAAGGAGCGCTACCTTGTCTCGCTTCCCCGGCCAGACGCCTCATCGCCTCTCGAACCAGTTCAGTGGCCGAGACCTGGAGCAGGAGATGAACAAGGAGAGGCAGCGCCAGTACAGCGCCAATGCCCTCAACGCTCCCAGTGGCCTCGCCCAGCCTGACATGGACGACCCTGCGCGAAAGGAAAACCGCTTCCCCGGCTTCTCCATGGATGCCTTTGCTGCCGAGGAGGCCAAGGCCAACCACCAGAACGGCGGCAATGCTGCGGCTCGCTTCGGCTCCTCGTACACGGGCGGCTTTGAGCGCTCGACGAGTGCCGACCACTCGGCGGCTAGGCCCCAGTCGGGCTACTTTGACGCCTTTGCTCGTGGTGGCCCTCCTGGCCCTCCGGGCCCCGGAGCTGGACAACAGCCGGCAGGTCCCGTCGGATATGGCCCCGCCATGGCAGCGGGAGGGAACAACAACAGCTTTCCTCCCTTTGGCTCCATCAGCCCCGAGTCGGCAAAGGGCGGCAGCCTGATCAAGAATCGCAAGGGCGAGCTCGATGCCAACACGCCCCTCGAGGAGCTCCAGGGCGAGATCTTTGCCCTGTGCAAGGACCAGCACGGCTGCCGCTACCTCCAAAAGAAGCTCGAGGAGGGCGTGCCCTCGTACCGCGACATGATCTTTGCCGAGACGTTTAGCCACTTTGCCGAGCTCATGACCGATCCCTTTGGCAACTATCTCTGCCAGAAGATGCTCGAGTACTGCACCGACGAGCAGCGCAACCTCATCGTCGAGTCTGTCGCTCCCGAGCTCGTGACAATCTCGCTCAACATGCACGGCACGAGGGCGGTGCAGAAGACCATCGACTTTCTCTCGACGCCCCGTCAGATTTCGTCGATTATCGTCGCGCTGAGCATGAGCGTTGTGACGCTCATCAAGGACCTCAACGGCAACCACGTCATACAAAAGTGTCTCAACCGGCTCAGCTCCGATGACAACCAGTTCATCTACAACGCCGTCGCTGCCCACTGCGTCGAGGTGGCCACTCATCGCCATGGATGCTGCGTCCTGCAGCGCTGTGTCGACCACGCCTCGGACAGCCAGAGGATCCAACTCGTGTCGGAGATCACCTACAATGCCCTGACGCTTGTCCAGGACCCCTTTGGCAACTACGTCGTCCAGTACATTCTCGATCTCAACGACCCACGCTTCAGCGATGCCGTCATTCGCCAGTTTGTCGGCAACGTCTGCCTGCTGTCGGTGCAAAAGTTCAGCTCAAACGTGATTGAAAAGTGCATCCGCGTTTCCGACGTCAAGCTGCGCAAGTCGCTCATCGACGAGCTCCTCAACCGGACCCGCCTCGAGAAGCTGCTGCGCGATTCGTTTGCCAACTACGTGGTTCAGACGAGTCTTGACTATGCGGAGCCGATGCAGCGCATGCAGCTCGTCGAATGCATCAGGCCCATTCTGCCCATGATCCGCAACACGCCGTACGGCAAGCGCATTCAGAGCAAGCTCCAGCGCGACAACATCGAGCTGGCGCCGCCCGGCAATGTGCACTTTTCACTGCTTCAGGCTGCCCACCACCAGCAGCTCCAGGCGATGGCGGCCATTGCCAATCGCCAGACGACGGCTTCGGACTATGTGGGCAACATCAACCCGTACAACACTGCCGCCCATGGGGCCATGCACCGCCAGCCTGGCACGCCCCACGGCCCGCACCGCCCTCCTCACCACCACGGTGGTCCTCCCCCGCCGCAGCAGGCATCGATGTACGGTGGTCAGCAGCCTCCCGCGCAATTCGCAGGTGGCCGTCTGCCTCCGCCTCACCATCACCACCACCCCGCCGCTGGCTTTGGAGCAGGCGGTCCACCTCCAGCCCCCCCACCTGGGGTCGGCATGGGTGGATCAGGACCTTCTACCCCCAACCTCGGCGGCCCTCACGGACATCACCACGGGCAGCACCATCACCAGCAGGCCCCCAACTACCCGCCTGCGTACGCCTATGGAGCTGGTGGCGGCATGCCCTCGCCCATGGCGCTCCACGGCCAGTTCCCTGGCTACGGCGCTCCCTTCTAATCTCTGCCTCTTCTTCCAACCCTCTCTCCCACTCTCTCGTTCGTGCGCGCGCGTGTCTCTGTCTTTCTGTCTCTCGCAAGGTAAAACACACACATACATCCCGAACCTGGCCGTTTCCTCATTTGTATGTCATTCCCCCCCTCAAAGCTTCGTCCTTGTTCCCCCTCTCCTCCTTCTTCTTCTTTCTTTTCTTTTCGTGTTCACATTCGCGAACAATTTCTTTTTTCCTTAAAACTATATATAATCCTGTGCTTTTCCCCCCCAACCTTCTCCCCTTACCGTTTTCCCTTCTGTTCTTCGTACAATAAATACTCTCTCCTCTATGACAATGCCTGTCTCCTCTCCCCTTGCGAGGGCTCAGATAACCTGGATGGCGAAGAGGTAGGTGCTTGTTTGGCTGGGAAATTCAGGAACGACACGTGGAAAGAAAGGGTTGACTTTCCAATTTCTTCCCTCCACTTTGTTCTGCTTGCTTGAATGCAATAAGGTCCAGTCGAGTTTTGTTCGGGGAAGCGCCGAAAGTGAGACGCTCGCACACAGAGAACGAGTGAATAACGACTACGATGGCTTCGATGGCAGCAGCTCGAGGCGCTCTTGGGGCGGTGCAGTGGAGCCACATCCCGCAGCTTGTTCCGTACCCCATCGGTCTCGCGCTGCAGGAGCACCTCGTCCATCGACGGCTGGCTGCGCGCTCCTACCTCGCGCAGCTGCCCGCGGCGGGACCCTCGTCGTCGGCGTCGCTGGCGCAGCGCAAGGCCGAGCGCGTCTCGCGGGAGGACATCTTGCTTCTGCTCGAACACACGCCGACGTTCACCGAGGGAAGGAGGAAGGGCGCCAAGGAGGCCATTGCAGACGACGACGAGGGCAAGCGCCTGCGCGCCCTCGGCGCAGACTACATTGTCGCCCAGCGCGGCGGCCTTGTCACGTACCATGGCCCCGGGCAGCTCGTCGGGTATCCCATCTGGGATCTCCAAGCGATGGATGTGAGTCTGAAAGGTACCCTTCCCCTCTAGCTTGGGAGAGAGACTGATAGCCAAGCTGTCATGCAAAAGCTCTCGACGCGCTGCTACGTCGACCGCCTCCAGAAGGCCTTCCATGCGCTCCTCTCGGCGCCACAACCATATGGGATAAAGACTTTCCCGCCGTACGAGGACAACACGGGCGTGTGGACGTCGCCCGACCACAAGATTGTCTCGATTGGGATCCAGGTCCGGCAGCGGATTGCGTCGCATGGCTTTGCGCTCAACGTCGAGGCGCTTCCGCTGCTGCGATGGTTCGACCACATTGTCGCATGCGGCATCGAGGGCAAGAAGATGTCGGCCATTGAGCGCGAGCGCAGCGTCAAGATGAGGGCCGAGGAAGAGGCACGGCCGGACAGGGAGGCGGCGAGCGAGAGCGGGGAAAGGCTCGACGACATCGAGGGAGGGCAGGCGCGGACACAATCAGCAGCAGACCGGGACAGGACAACAGGCCCCAAAGGGCCAGGAGAAGCAGAAGCGAGAGTCTATAGCGATCCCGTGGGCTGCCAGATCGAGCCGGGGCTCGTGCTTGGACCAGAGGCAAGGACAACGGTAGCTTCCGTCGTGCCGCACGTCGTGCAGCACTTGGGCAAGACCTATGGCAGGCACATGGCAGAGGCCACAGAAGAGCTCCTTAGATACGAGGCCGACGAAGTCACAGGGCGACTCAAAAGAGCCTGGGTCGACGGGGAAGAGGTCGTCACGGTGTAGCTCCCCTTTCAGTCATCAATTTAGTGCTCATGGCAATCAAAGCAGTCCTGAATCCTGGAGCGCCTTTATAGAGGTGTCTCAGAATTGTCATTTCTTCCAAAAGGTCACGTGAAAACTGACGGAAATCGTGACGCATAAATGACGGCTTGTGTATGGCTGCGGCTCGCGACAGACCAATACAAATGATTACAATCGCCGACTGCAAATTCTGAATTGGTTTTCCCTCGTGAGCGAGGCCAAGGTCGAATTTCCGCCCTGCCTTCTTCTTTCTCTCCTTTAGACGACCGCCGACGACGACGACCTCAAGATGTCTCACTGTAAGGTGGGTTATTGCTCCTGTTTCGGGGTGAAGAGAGTACTGGATCATCGTGCTGACACCGTCGAACATCACAGTTCGAGCACCCGCGACACGGTTCGCTGGGTTTCCTGCCCCGCAAGCGAGCGGCCAACCACCGAGGAAAGGTCAAGTCGTTCCCCAAGGATGACCCCAAGAAGCCCGTCCACCTCACCGCCATGATGGGCTACAAGGCCGGCATGACCCACATTGTGCGCGACCTTGAGAGGCCCGGTTCGAAGATGCACAAGAGGGAGATTGTCGAGGCGTGCACCGTCATCGAGACTCCCCCCATGGTTGTCGTCGGTGTCGTTGGCTACGTTGAGACTCCCCACGGCCTGCGCAGCCTGACCACCGTCTGGGCTGAGCACCTTTCGGACGAGGTCAAGAGGCGCTTCTACAAGAACTGGTACAGGTCCAAGAAGAAGGCCTTCACCAAGTACGCCAAGAAGCACAGCGAGAACAACGGCCAGAGCGTGGCGAGGGAGCTCGAGCGGATCCGCAAGTACTGCACCGTCGTTCGCGTCCTTGCCCACACCCAGATCCGGAAGACGGGCCTGAAGCAGAAGAAGGCGCACCTGATGGAGATCCAGGTCAACGGAGGCTCTGTCTCGGACAAGGTTGACTTTGCCAAGGCTTCCTTCGAGAAGACCGTCGACGTCAACTCTGTCTTTGCGCAGAACGAGAACATCGACGTCATTGCTGTCACAAAGGGTCACGGTTACGAGGGTGTCACGGCCAGGTGGGGGACCAAGAAGCTGCCGAGGAAGACGCACAGGGGTCTCCGTAAGATTGCCTGCATTGGCGCCTGGCACCCGGCCAACGTCATGTTCACCGTCGCCCGCTCGGGTCAAGACGGTTACCACCACCGGACGGAGCTCAACAAGAAGGTTTACCGGATCGGCAACGGTGCCCAGGACACCTCGGGCAGCACCGACTTTGACACGACCAAGAAGACGATCAACCCCATGGGCGGCTGGCCCCACTACGGCATTGTCAACAACGACTTTGTCATGATCCTCGGCTCGTGCCCCGGTGTCAAGAAGCGTGTTCTCACCCTCCGTCGCAGCCTCAAGGTCCACGCCAACCGCAAGGACCTCGAGCAGGTCAACCTCAAGTTCATCGACACTTCGAGCAAGTTCGGCCACGGTATCTACCAGACCGGCGAGGAGAGGACCGCCGCCGAGGGCGTTCGCAAGATCAAGGTCACCCCCACGGCCTGATTTTGAGCTTGAGCTTTCGTCATCATCTTCTCTTTGTATGGTTTACTTGTTCACTTCTTTACACCCACCTCAAAATCATGACCCTCATGGATCCATAATCTCTTCTGGCGAGCGATGCGAGCAATGTGTGGATAGTGAGTGATAGGAGACGCAAAGTGAAAGTGGGCTCTCGCAGGAAGAGTTTGAATTGCAGAAGGGGATCAATGTGAAATGGGCTGCTCCAAGTGCAGTGAGAGAGAAGGATTTGGGTGGATGAAATGGTATAGGATGAATCGAGTGCAAGTGAATGTGAATGTAATGAAGAGTCTCGGTCAAGTAGCCGTCGCATTCGTCGCAATAGTAGCAGAAGCAGAGTCTTGAAGGACTGCCGTCGAGTCTGTCGACGAGTCCATATTCCACGCTCGGTTGGCCAACGGGCTCGGAACCGGAGGCGCATGCAACGATCTCCTCCTCTCCTTGAGAATCGTTTCCGTAGTCGCTGGTGGTGATTCGCTCCCAGCCGGTGCCATCTTGGGCGCCATGGAGCTCTTCCTTCGTGTTTTTAGGAACACGGCCTGTTTCCCTACCTCGACGAGGTAGTCTTCTTCGTTGACCTTGCGCCCTTCCTCGGCGCATCGCAGCACCCAGTTGACGCCCACGACGAGCGGCTTGGGGTCAGGCTGAGCGCGAAAGTGGTGCAGCGTAGCGGGCTTGCCCGACTTGAAGACAATGTGGCTGAGCCGACGCTCCGAAGCGCGAACCATGACCTTGGCGCCCATCGACCGCAGCATCTCGACCCACGTCGACGACGCGTCATCGCCGTCCTGCTCACGCACATCGACGAGGATGACAAGACCGCGCAGGAAGCGCCGAGAGGACGAATGTCTCGTCTGACCGGGGCCGGTACTGGAAGCGTCTCCGCGAGATGCCCGGATGGCGGATGGGATCATGCCGCCTCGGCCGCTGGCGACGAGACTCTCGTCCGACTCGCCGCTTGCTGTAGTCAAAGAATCATCGGGACACTTTGTCGATGGGACGTAGGTGTAGAGGGAAGATCTTCTTCTCGTCTTCTTCTCCTCCTTCTTTCTCTGTCGATTCTCCTCGTCGACATCAGCCGCCGTAGGCTCCTGTGGAACCTGTTCATCCGATGGGGTACGCGAGACGGTGCTGCGATGGGTCTCAGCCAGAGGCACGCGAGGCGCTCGGTTCCCCGTGAGGCCTCGGTCAGGCAAAGCGCTAGGGTCTTTGGGTCGAGATAGGACGTTCATGGCAGAAGACTCGGCAGTAGGATGGGCAGCTCTTGCACCCTTCGCCTGCGCAGCCCTGACGCGGTCGAGAAAGGACACAGCGGACCCGTGTCGGTGTTCCTCAGCATCGTCGTCGGAAGACCTCTGCCTCCTTTGCTCCTTCATCTCCTTGCTCGGAGAGAGGCTCCTGATCTTCCTCGGGCTCACTTCTGGGCTCTTGGACGGGCTTCTTCTGTGACCCACAGCAGCCAAGGCAGCGGCTGAGATGGCCCTCTCGCCCTGTTCCATGGCTCGCTGCTCCTTGATCTTGGCACTGCGGTTCTTCAGGCGAGCGAGTGTCGCCTCGAGCGAGGCGAGCGCATGGGTGGTCTCTTCGGACAACGCCGGTGGTGACGCCGTAGGAGCCTCATCCGACTTGGCTGCCGGAGCAGCCCTTGCTGATACGTTCTGCTGCGACTCCTGCTCCTCGCGAGCTTCACAAAGGAACGTGGACCGTCTCTCTGGTGCCTGCATCGATCCCGATGGACTTGTGATGGACTTGTTCTCGTCGTGTGACACTGCCTCCGCTCCCTCATCGTCCTCTTCTGAGTCCGAAATCTGGAAATGCCCTCTCTGAGCCTTTCCGGGAGTCGTCCGAGTGTACAGTGGAGAGCGTCGCACACCAGATGCGGATGTTGGCAACGACACAGGCTGCCTCGAGGGAAGCGCTCTTGACAGAAGGGCATGAGACGACGGCGTTGCTCCTTTGGAGCTTGGAGTAGCACCTCGTGAGGTAGGCGCCCTTTGACTCGTCGCCCCCGTACTGACTACAGGCCGCAGTGTTTGAGTTTTCTGAAGAGATGGCGTTCGAACAGTGCCGCTTTCCGGAGGTCTACCAACGTACGCACTCATTCCACTGCGCTCAACTTCGCGTGCCTTGGATAGTTGAGTGGGCGGCGGCATCATGCGCGCTTTTGTCGGCGAGGTAGGCCTCCTCTCGGGTGCGATTTTCCGCAATGGAGCAGATTTCTCTGGCGGCAACATACTCCTTGTCGGAGATACTCGTCTCCGTTCTGTAAAGCTGAAAGGTCTGGGTACCGTCACTATAGACCTCGTCGGGCTGGGAGCCCGTGCAGTTGAGCCTTCCTTGACGGGGCTTTTCGCCCTCTCCGTCCTGGAAGTGGATGTTTGGACAGTCTTTCTTGCACTTGGTCTCGGATCGAGACCTGTCACGTTACGTTCGAGAGTCCTCTCGTCCGTCTGCCTACCCTTGTGAGTGAGCATGTCGCTTCCTGCTTGCGTCGCCCTCTCCACTCGACGCTCCACTGCCTGAATGCCCGCCTCTACAAGCCCACTAGGCGAAGGCGAAAGGCGAGTGAGATACTCATCAGAGCCATGATCATAGTAGCCCTCCTCTTCTTGACATCTCTCTCCTTGGTTGTGTTCGTTTTGAGGCCGCTCCCTTTGCGCTTCTCTGTCCTCGGTCGGCAAAGCTCTGATTTCTAGGCCCATGACCCGCTTCGATGGCGACTGGCGCGTCGACCACACTGGTTTTTCGTACTCGAGCCCGCCGTTTCGCCTAGACATGGCCCTCGTCTGCCTCGAGGGCGATGCCGAGACGTCGACGTTGGTCGTCATCGTCGTCGCCCTGCCGCTTTTCCTTTTCCACGCCGATCCATGAAAATCCCTCCAGGCCCGCGGTGGGTGAAAACAACACTCGCGAAGCGCCAAAGGCGCGTCTCGCTCTCGAGAGACCAACACTAAAAAAGCAACACCTCACGTGCGTGCGAAGGTGCACTTTCGGCCGGAAAAAATTTCAGACGCGTGGAGAGGAGGGAGCCTGCAGCTATAAAGAAGGGGGAAAAAGCCGGCCCAGGGCGGCGTTTGAGTTTCAGTCATGACGATGATGATGGTGATGGCGGGAGGGACAAGAGTGGCTTTGCAGATAGTTTAATTGGGCTGGCATGTCACGGATGCACTCATGGATGGATTGCAAATCCTCCCCAGGGTGGATGGCTGCGGTGTGCCGCTGAAATTGGCTTACACAACACTTTGTAACCTTTGCCCGGCGTCGTCTCGGAGGGCGAAACTTAAAAGTAATGCCATGCCCTCATTCCTGCGCCGACTCTTTGTCATGCTGTTCCGACGTCTGAAGCGCCATTTGTCAAAGCTGTAATGGGTTGATGATCGCTCTGTGAACAATAAGAAAGGGGGGCTTTTGGAGCGGGAGTGACAAATTCCGGTCCGACCCTTGCCCCTTCGGAATCTGGCAAAATTTCGCTTCGAGGCCCACGGCCGACAGGTATCTAGCAGTAGTGCAGCGCGCGTGGCCTTTGCCATCCACAAAGATTCGAGGATCGAGGAAGCCAGAGCGGGGGTGGTCAGCCGAGCGAAGGGAGCCATCCACATCGTTGGTCGTTCACAGTCCGAAGCCCAGCAAGCAAAGCCCATCCACCTTTGCTGCTTTAGTCCCAGCATATGTCGAGCATGTCCTCGACGCCATCCGCCGGCGCGCCTGCCCCTCCTGCAGCCTCTGCTGCCGCCGCGGCAGCCCTTCCCTATAGCAATGGCGGGCGACTACGGCGCGTCGACACACTGGACCTCAAGGCCAAGCTCGCCGCAGCCCTAGGTGCCAATGGGAGACGATATTGGACCGCATTCATGGACTTTGTCTCGGCAAGAATCAGTCGGGTCGAGTTTGAAGAAGAGGCACAGATCTGCCTCAAGCCACAGCACAGTGAGTATACATCCAGGCCAGGCTGCGGATGGCGGATGGACTGGCTAGCATCCACGGATGAGCTTGCCGGTGGATGCAATGGAGCAATGGTCGCTGACAGAGAGCACCTACGCCCTCCGGCAGTACACCTTCACAACCAGTTCATCCTTGGCATCCTTTACAACGCATCCGCCGATGTCCCAGGCCCCTCCTCCCCCAAGTCAGGCTCCTCTGGGCTCCGATCCAAGCGAGAGGGTCGGGGGACCATCGTGGGCCTCACCGGTGAAATACTTTCGGACTCATCCGACGCCGAAGACGACCTCGACGGCAGCATGCAGCTGCTGCAACCGCCGCGAAAGCGCTTGCGGGCACTGGCCGCAGGCCTCTCGAAGCGGGATCGAGCAAGGGTCAAGAGCATTGCAAAGGCAGCAACTTCCTCGAGAGCTCTGGCCAGCGGTGGATCAGCCTCGCTGGGCTGGGCCGGTGCGGGTGCAGACATGCTGGAGAAGAAGCGAAAGGAAGAGGACAAGAGGCGAACCATGGAAGAAAAGAGGAAGGTAAAGGAGGTATACACCGAGATCGGCGCAAGAGACTGGAGAGAAGAGCTTGTGCAAAGTGCAAGGAGGATGGTGGATGTACACAACCGCTTGTCGCTCTGTGAGTACCTCCTCCGCCTCATAGCGGCGGTGGTGGTAGTCCCCCCGGTTGTGCATCGGGCTTACTCAGGATCACCGCAGCCACGCAACAAGCTGTTGCCAGAGGCCAGGCGATGCCGTTGTGCGTCGAGTCCAAAGAACTTCCCAGCCGAGAGGCTCTGCAGGACATAATGACTGTCCAAGCAGTCGACATTGGCCTTCCCGCAGGCGTACAACCACAGGCAGCAGCACTGCTCCTGGCTGCTCTCCAGGTATGTTGGGATGGGAGCACTGTTCGTGTCCACGGCGAAGCTCATGGGTTATGTCGATGATGCAGTGCCATCTGCAAAACGTGACGGCGAGCATCATCGCAAAGATACGAGCCAATCGGCAGACGGGCATCCGCTCCTCAGGACCACGGCGGCCCGCCTCGGAATGGCCCATGCCCTCGAAGGCCACCGAAGCGCTCCAGAAGCTTCTCGTGGCCAGCGATGGCTCCTCCTTCGAACACTCGCCCTTGGCTCCCCAAGACGATTCTGGTCACAGCCTCATGATCGACAGCGGTAGCGCCACGTCATCCTCGAGGGCTTCACCCGTCCGCGCTCTTCGAACGATGGCGTCCGACTTGTCGAGCACAAACAGCTCATCGGCTAACCTCGGCATCCCCGGCAGCGGCAATCAGACCAATGGTGGACGGTCGCTGGCCGACGAGAGTATGATATCGTTCGTCTCGACGGCGCCCACGAGCCTTTATCCCGGTTCCACTTCCTCGAGCAGTGAAAATGACCGCGAGATGTTCTCCCAGCCCAATGGGCGATCAAACGACATCGAGAACAACGTTCACGAGGAAGACCAGCGCGCATACAAAGAGCTCTCCGAAGAGGGCAACAATTCCATCACCCTGCGAGATCTCTCTTTCCTCCTCGATGTCGCTCCCCACACGGTCGTCGAGCCGTTGGGTCTCGGCACTCAATCACGCCTCCTTGCGCCTGATTGGAACACTGCGGACGAGAATGCTCAACGAGCTGATGAATCGTCCTACGAAGGCGTCCTCGCTCGAGAAGCTCGCTCGGCGGCCACGTCCAAAGTGTCGGATGCCCAAGGCAGCGCGGCACCGTACCTGGCTTCCAACAGGGGTCAGTACGTCATCGATCAGCTTGCGCCCGTTCGCATCCTTGATCGGCAAGCCTTGGCCGAGACGCAGGCGAGCGAGGTGGCCAATCGAAGCAGACGGAGGACGAAGGGTGGTCTCACTCTATCAACAACTTCCGCGGAAAAGCCTGCGTCCGCCGCTGCCGCTGCCGCCGCCGCTGCTGCTGCTTCTGCCGCTCCGAGCTCGGCAACGACAGGTGACGAGGCGGGCGATGAAAACTCGGCGCTGGTCAAGAATCCGTTCAAACGAGAAGGCTCAAACAACCAGTCTGCCTCATCGGCCGGAAGCTACCATCACCACCACCGCGGTACCGATCCGCACCTGTACGACGTCGTTGATCCGGTCGCCCTCCTCGGCTCCCTCGTCAATTGACAATTATCCTAATGACGCAATTGCCTTCTTTCTCACCCTATCTCTTCTATTATCTTACCTTGTACCACTTTCACCCTGTATCTCTTCGCTCTTGCTTGTGTCTACTACCTTACTTACAGAGTACTCTATCTTGAAACGCACAAATGTGTCCCAGGCAGGACAAAGAAGCTGTTGCAATAAGCATTGTTGCAGTTAAAAATTCACAGCAAGCGTCACTCCTTCTTTCTGATGAGGTTCTGGAGCATATCGAAGCTATTGCCATCTGGCTGCAGATCAATAAAGTCTCCCCCTGTCTTGGCCTTTCCTCCCCATGCGCCCGGACTGTCGGCGAAGACTTGCGTCTCGAGAGGAACAGCACGCAGCGTGCCGTGGTCTGTTGAGATGCCCACGATGCGAACCGGTGTCGGGGGATTCGTGTCTTGCAGCGTCGTCATTTGATCACTTGTGAGCATGTTCAGTGTCAGCTTGGGTATTCTCCACCTTGCTCGGAGATATCGTTGACTCACGAGTGAAGCCAGACGTCGCGGTAGCTCTGCACGAAGGGCTCAAAGTGACCACCGGCAGCCACAAAAACGTTCCAGAGCTTTTCAAAGGTTGCAAGAATTGCGCCTGCGAGTTTTTCTTGTGAGATGACCGGAAGCTTCTGTTGGGAGGGCGCGAGCGAGGCGTTGTGCGTCGCAATCAGATCCGAGAGGGATGTTGTCGGGCGAGGATTCAGGCAATTGATCCCGCAGCCTGTGAATCTGTCTCAGCTACGTGTGAAAATTTGTTGTGGTAGAAGCCAGGCGAACTCACCAACGACGAGCGCCAATTCTTTCCCTGCGAACTGCGAGTTGACGAGGACGCCCGCCATCTTCGCGTATCTCCTCCCCAGATACTCAAAGGTGCCTTTTCTCCCCTCTTGACCTGGGCCATCCTGCTCCTCTGTGGCAGAGCCGACATCTGCATAGACGTCGTTGGGCCACTTGATCCTCATTCGCCTTCCTACTGCCTCGTACTCCGGCCCCAGAGCGCCTCGGACAGCTTCAACGATAGAGAGACCGGCGAGGTACTGCACAAAGACCACTCCTCCGATCCCGCTGCGATAAAGCTTCGAGGGGTCGATGTGCAGCAGGGTCGAGAATTGGAGGCATCCCAGGGGCGAGATCCAGGCATTCTTGCCGCGGCCACGTCCCGAAACTTGGTGAGTAGCAAAAGATGTGAGACCGTTCGGGAGATGCGTGATCAGCTTGTAGTTTCTGCGAAGAACAAGAGAGAAATCAGCTGTGAGTAGCAGGAGGATGACCCGGGAATGCGACTGACTTGTCCAGCATTGTTTGGGTGCTTGTCACGACCTGGCCGTAGAGAATCGCATCGCACAAGGTCGAGTCGCTGCCCTCTTCTTCTCCCCATCTGGGCGCAGCTATTGTCCTTTGCTTGCTCGGTTCGGCTTCTGCGACTCTCATTCTTGAGTCCGTCAAGAAGCTGAAGAAATCCTCGGTAAGGAAATGTGGGGTGAGACCCTTGTCGATGCCCACACCGTTCTCCAGGCAAATAATGTATTTGGGCACCTTGTCTCGATCGACATCCATCAGTGGTGCTGCGTCTACACCTGCCCTCGCTTCGTCCGACGACGGTGCCACAACAGGAGCCATGAAGCTCGAGTAGTCGGCATTCTCGAGCGCCTGGAAGAGGGTTTCCGCTGAGGAGGCAGAGGTAAAGTGAATCGTATCATTCGAGTCGGAGACTGTCAGTTGAACAAGACGAGCGTCGACATTGTCGAGCACCGCCGCTCGTCCATCTTTGCTGCTAATTTTCTCCAAGACTTTCAACATTTCGCCAACTTTCTGCTTGCTGGAGCCAGCCAGAACGATTGGTGATAATTTGGGCGGGCCGGCCTCTGCCTCGCTGCCATCTTTCTGAAGCGGAACCGCAGGTGGCCGCTTGACGACGAGACCCAATCTCTCGAGATGACTCGCAAACACGTCCAGCCTCTTCCTCTCCATCTCTTCGTATGCCCCTCGTTCGTCCATAGGCACGTCACCCTCGCCGTCGGTGTCGCTGTTGATCGGTCCATCGATCGGAAATTCCGGGTGGACGCCATAGAGCAATGCTCTCCCCTCCCCCTTGTGACAGAGAATAGCAGCTGCTTGATCCTCGTAGCCTTCTCTGATTCCCGCCTCGGCACTGTACTTGGCGAGGATCTCTACATCGGCGCCAGACTTGTCAGCATCAATGAATGCGCCTCCACCATTGTAGTGGCACTTCCACTGGTCGTTTGCCCCAAGCCCGACGTCGACGAGCCGGGCTCCCTTGTCGCTCTCGTACACAAAGCCAGGGTAGACGGTGCCTCGTTTCGTTCCGGGATAAAATTGCAGAGCCGGTCTCGGACCAACCACTTCAAACGTCGGATCCCCACGTTCGAATTCGCAGTACGAAGAGGCGTAGTAGGCACCCGCGCAGATCCCAAGGTATGATCCGCCGACCTCCTCAACATAATGTCTTAGCGCTGCGTCCGCTCGTGAGGGCTTCGAGTGGGCAGAGGAGGAGTGCGAGCGGGAGAGGTGGTCGACGTAAGGCAGGTCTCGGCCGCCCGGAAGGACAAAGAGGGCGCACGTCGATGTCCAAGGGTCTGTCGCGAGCGAGCCCGCAGAGATGCACTGCACATCGTACGTCGGCAGCAGTCTTCTCAGTGTTCGCAGTGTGTGCGTGAGCGCCGATGAAGAGACGCCCGGGCCGGAGTAAACGAGGACGTTGGACATGATGATGATGATGATCGTCGTTGGAGCAAGAAGATCCTCCTCCTTCGCACGGACATTAGGAACCACGTGGAGCGCGAGAAGGATGCTCTTTCTTTTGGATCTCGTCTGACTCCAAAAGTTTAGAGCTTCGATTAGACAGTCATAGAGACGATATCGCTATCGACAAGGATGGCCGAGGAGATCACAAGAGCGATGGCGGCATCGACCGTACAGGGATCTTCGTCGGCACCAGATGGCGCTCAGCCAGTATCGGCAGAGGCGACCGTCGCCGCACAGGGTGCTTCGGCGCAGAGGGTGACTCCCTGGGACGTGGAAGGTGCGACGGTCGACGGCGTCCAGGTGGCCATCGACTACGACAAGCTTATCCAAGAATTTGGAACTCGGCACATTGATCCTGCGCTGTTGGAGCGCTTCGAAAAGGTGACCGGCTGGAGGCCGCACCCTCTGCTCCGGCGCGGCACCTTCTTCTCGCACCGGGATCTCGACTACATCCTGACTCGTTATGAGCAGAAGAAGCCCTTCTACCTCTACACCGGCAGAGGACCGAGCTCGGACAGCATGCATCTTGGCCATCTCGTACCTTTCCTTTTCACCAAGTGGCTGCAGGACGTGTTTGATGTGCCGCTCGTCGTCCAACTGACCGACGATGAGAAGTTCCTCTTCAAGCCTGCGCTCAAGCTCGAACAGGTGCACAAGTTCGCCTTTGAGAACGCGCGCGACATCATTGCATGCGGCTTCAACCTCGAAAAGACATTCATCTTTTCCGACCTCGACTATGTCGGCGGCGCCTTCTACCACAACATTGTCCGCATCGCACGCACCATCACCACCTCGCAGTCCAAGGGCACCTTTGGCTTCAACGACAGCGACAACGTCGGCAAGCTCCACTTTGTCGCCGTCCAGGCCGCCCCCTCCTTTTCCAACTCCTTTCCCCAGATCTTTGGCAGCCGGTCCGACGTGCCGTGCCTGATCCCCTGCGCAATCGACCAGGACCCGTACTTTCGCCAGACGAGAGACGTGGCCAACAAGCTCAAGTACCCCAAGCCGTCGCTGATCCACGCCAAGTTCTTCCCGGCGCTCCAGGGCCCGCAGACGAAGATGTCGGCGTCCAACGAGACGTCGAGCATCTTTATGAACGACACGGCCAATACAATTAAGAAAAAGATCAACAAGTACGCATTCAGCGGGGGTAAAGAGACGCTCGAGGAGCACAGACGGCTGGGCGGCGACCCAGACGTCGATGTCGCCTACCAGTACCTCCTCTTCTTTGTCGATGACGACGAGGAGATGGACAAGCTCGCAAAGGCATACAGGGCCGGCGAGGTGCTGAGCGGCGAAATGAAGCAAAAGTGCATCACGGTGCTCCAAAAGGTCGTCCAAGGCTTCCAAGAGGTCCGTACCCCTGCATTCTCTTGCTCGCAATTTCTCCCACTCCAGGTGCTGACTATTGCAATGCCTTTTTCGAACAGCGCAAGGCAAAGGTCTCGGACGACGTCGTGCGCCAATTCATGGACAAGGACCGGAAAATCGACCCGTCACCGCCCGAGCCAGGCTCGACGGCGAGCAAGCAGCACGAAGCAGCAGGCCGACAGACGACGGTGGACACCGTGTAGTATGGAGCACTTAAAATTCTCTATCATGTGCAATTACATTGTCTCAATCAACGAAGCGAAGCAAGGAAACAGAGGATCCTTGATGTGGTGTGAATGAAGGAGATGGTGGTGGTGGTGGAGAAGAGAGTGACCGCGGTGAGTGCACAGACGTGGAGATGTGGGCCAAAAGGAGTGTGTTGCGAGCAAGTGGTAAAAATGATAACTGGAACGATAGGAGAATGTAATGCTGTAGGAAAAGGTATTGGTAATGAAGGGGGAGGGAAAGATTGAGAGAAGGTTCTACTCCATCCTGGGGCGCTGACTCTTGTCGGCACCACGGATGACGGAGAACAAAAAGTTGCAGAAGCGCTTGCCGTAGGGCACCGGGTGGATGGCCGAGATCATTGTCGAGTTGTTGGTGAGGCTCTTCCAATAGTGCTCGCCACGCTTGACGCCGTTGTAGAGAGTGAGGGTGTCGATGATGCCAAAGTAGTAGACCCAGTCGGTGGCCTCGTTGTTTTCGTTGGTGGAACGGAAGCCGCCTTCGTCTTGGTAAAAGACAAAGTGGTGCCGGTCCGACGTCTCGCGTTCGGGCAGGCGAGCAGTGGCAGTGGAGCCGAGCGCCTTTGGGTCCGAGCGACGGACGGCAGCACGCAGCGCAAAGGCATCCTTCTCGGTGCCTCGCTTGCCCGTCGTCGGCTCCCGCTTCAAGGCACCGGCGTTTGTCTCGGGCTGGACAACCTGCAGAGCATCTTGGCGGAGATTCTCCTTGTTGCCGCGCTTCATGTCGTGGAGGCCAATGAGCAGGCTGTAGTCCATGATGTTGAGCTTCTGGAGCAGCTCGACGTCGCTCCGGATCTGCGCTTCGAACATGGCCCGCTTCTCCGGACCCAGCTCCAGCTCACGCCCCCGCTTGATCCAGTTGAGATCCTTGAGCACAGCGCCCTTCTTCTGCGCCGCCTTCTCCTCGGGGTATTCTCGTCCAACGGCGGAACCCTTGAGGTCGTACGTCTCGTGGATGTCGCGGTGCGGTGGGAAGAGATTGTTCATAATGACGAAATGGATCTTTTTGCCCCGGGGCAGCTTGACTCGGTGCAGGCCGTAGAAGCGGGAGAGGAGCGTGTGGGGATTGGCCTTGACGTGCTCGTGGTAGTCCTTGAGGATGCTGCGCAGGAACTTGTGCTCGCCGTGGCGGATCGTCTTGATGATGAAGCGGTAGTCGCGCGAAAAGTAGAAGAAGGAGCCGCTCTTGCCCGGCGAGCCCAACTCCGAGAGAATGTATTTTGCAGTCAAAGACAGGAGGTAGTCGGCCGGGTCGAGGTGGAAGTACTCTCGCAGCTCGCGAAAGACCCAGGGGGCATAGTCCTTGAACTTGAAGTCGTACTTTGCCGATGGCGTCAGCTCGTTTCCGACAATGTCAAAGGTGAACTTGTGCTTGGCCGTGTAGTCGAGGTCCGTGAGCGGTCGCCTGATCTTGGCCTGACAACGGCTGACGCCGATGCGAATGCCGGTCAGCATGTTGTACATGAGCACGTAGTTGCTGTGCCCCTCGCCAATGACGTTGCCGATGAGCGCCGCGCGGGGCTCTTCGTCCTTTTCCTTGCCCTTGCTCTTTGCCCTGCTCAGCGCCACGCCGCCCAGCTGCACGCCTCCGTTGCCGACGCGGTCTTCAGCCTCGAGCCCCTCGTTGCGCTCCCTGGCCTGCTTTTCCCTGAGCTGCTTGCTCTGGCGCTCGCGGCGAATCTGCTCGGCCTGCTTGGCAATGAGCTCATCGAAGCCAGGGTCGTCGGTGCGCAGCGGGGCAGCGAGAGTCGAGTCTGCACCGAGGGGAGCCTGCAGCTGCGCACCACCCGCACCGTTGTCGGCGTAGAAGGAGTTGGGCGGGCCGGACTCGCGGTCTCGGCTGCTGCGCCGGCTCGGCTGTGTGCCCACGCTGCTGCCCCGTGACCCTGGCCGGCGCGACATGGAGGAGCCCGTGGTGTTGCGTCGCGCCGGGGCGGGCAGCCGCACGGCGGCTGTGCCGAGACCCGACGAGGCCGAACCAGAGGGCGAGGGCCGCCGCTGGAGCGCGACCGACGACGTCGAGTCCATTGCCGAGAGGGGATGGAGGAGCGAAGCCGGCTCGGCGACAAACGACTGGCCAGCTTGGCGCGGCGGCGAGCGCTCCAGGGCGGCATCGTGGGTGGCCGAGGCAGACAGCTGCTTCTCGCCCGTGCCTGAAGCCACCAGCGCTGCCTGCTTCGCCTCGTCGTCGTCGGACCCGTCCGCACTGGCGGCCGTCTGGTACGAGGTGCTCGCCGTCGACGAGGCCGACGGTTCTCTCCGAAACTTGGGTGGAGCCCACCTAGGAGCAGGCGCAACAGCAGCAGCAGCAGCAGCAGCGGCCGACGTCGAGGTGGCCGCCGTGTCGAGCTGCGTCTGTGCCCGCCTTGGCGCAAGGAGCGGTCTTCCGTTCCCATTGACGGGCGGCACCACCTTTGTTGGCTCGTTCCGCGTCGTCGACATCTGCTGAAAGAAGGGACTCGTGTCGCCATTTGCCAGACCGTTTCGGAACTCGGGCTCCAGGGGCGGCGACGGAGGCAGCTCGCCGACGATGGTGGGATGTCTGCCGGCACCGGCGCCCGCGAGCGAGGAAGTGTTGTTCTGCTCCTGTTGGTGCTGCTGCTGCAGCTCCTTTTCTCGTTGCTGCTGCTGTTGCCCCTCGGCCTCCTGGCCCCCCACTTGGCGCTGCTGCTGTTGCTGCTGCTGCTGTTGCTGTTGTTGTTGTTGCTGTTGGAGTTTGCCGAGTTCGGTCATCTCGGGCGGCGGTGACCCACGGTCGCCTAACCGGGTCCGTCTGCTGACAATCTCCGGAAGATGGAGGCTCCTCCATCCATGACCGCCGCCACCACTGTTACTGCTGCTGCTCGTGTTCGTCGTCGTGGCTGTTGGCGTAGAACTACCGCGCATACCATCACGCCCCTCTTCTCGCTGCTTCTCGTCTATCGCAGCCTCGGACTTCCCCTTTGCCCGCGACGACGAGGAGCCGCCGCCGCTGGTGGTGGTTTTGTGGGGCAGCGCAACGATGGGCGAGGCATAGGGCGCCGAGTGCGAGAGGTTGAGGTCGTAGACCTCGCCCGTCGTCTCCTCATTGACCCTCACGATGTGGTGCTCCTCGTCCTGGATCGCATTCCGGATCGACGCCAGCGGATCATGGTGCAGCGCCGATGATGTGCCCGTCAACATGTCCTTCTCTGCTGCTCGTCGTCGGTCGCTGCTCGTTCAGAGAGGGAGGGAGGGGGAGGAACCGATCAAGCACAGTTGTTTTCAAGTCGTCCAGAGCAGAGAGGCGAGAGAGAGAGACACAAAGCGACGAGAGAGAGAGAGACACAAAGCGACGAGAGAGAGAGAGAGAGCGGGCTGCTAATAACCATCAAAAGAATACAAAATAATACAGAGGGACGCAAAAGTTCAAACTTCATGACGGGGGGGGTGGCTCTTCGTGTTGGCGAAACTTTCAAATGCGGGTCCCTCATTTTCAACTGATCGCGTGGTCTTCGACAGCTTCAGAATAGCCCAAATTTAGCGTATTTCCCAGCTTAGGAGCTCGCAGTGACAGTAGTACTGTACCGTACAGTCAGTCAATCACGGTCATCGGGGCTTGCTTGGCACGGAGCTTTATACTGATAATGTATCACATTGAGGTCAAGACGACTACTACGTACTACTGGGGCACTTCATGCAGAGGGAACAACGGGTCGCTGCACCGTCGCCGGGGCTGCTGACGGCGCCGTCTGCTGTTGTTGTGGCTGCTGTGGCTGTTGCGGCTGCGGCTGCGGCTGCTGCTGCTGCTGCTGCTGCTGCTGTCCTGGTTGTTGCTGAACACCCCACGGTCCACGGTTCCCACCTCTTTGTCCGCCGCGCGGCTTGCCTCCCTGACCATCCTGTGCACCGTTCACGGCCGCGGTCGCATTGGCCGCAGCAGCAGCGGCGGCAGCAGCTTGCGCCTGTGCCACTGCCTTTTCGTCAGTGATGGGCAGGGGCTTGTTCTTGATGTGCTGCAGCGTCTGGTTCATTCGGATGCCTTGTCGCATGAACCACTCGCCAAACTTGCGTCCGACACGGCTCTCGGCAATGTGCACCATGCTGTCGTCGATGACAAAGTCGAGGTCACTCGTCGTCACCACCTCGCCCTCAAGCAGGCCGCCCTCGTTCCACTTGATGCTCCGGCTGCTGGCCTTGGCCACCATGAGCTCCTCGATCAGGTCGTCCTCGTCCACCTCGAGGAACGACGCCAGCTTGTCGGTGCCCAGCGTCGTGTAGAGTCGCAGGAACGATCGGATGTTGGCGTTGGACAGCTGGGTGCGAACGTCTGAGAGGAAGACACGGAGCTGGTGCTTGGCCGGGTCGCCCATGGGCGACTGGATGTAGACCTGGAGGGCCTCCCCGTCGTGGTACGGCGGTCCGTTGCCAGTGATAAACTTGGGGCAGGCGTAGAGGAACAGCTCCTCGAACGCAGCGAGACCCTCCTGACCCTTGCTCATCTTCGCGTACTGCTCCCCGTACTTTTCCCGCATCGCCGTCTGCACGTTCTCGTCGAGCCTCGTGGGGCAGAGAGCGCATGCAATGGCAAGGAGGGCGTACATGCGGTCGCCCATCTTGCTGATCTGGTCGTACTGCCAGCTCCTCGTGTGGTACTGCCGGAGCCGCATGATGAAGACGAGAATGTGGGAGAGACACCGGATCGCATCGGGATACCGCCGCAGCATCAGGTAGGCGAAGCCGACATAGTAGTAGCAGGTGACGTGGCACGCCGTCACTTTGTTGATCGACGGCATGCTGGCCGCACCGGGCGAGGGATTCGCCACCTGCGACTTCTTGTGCAGGTCGACGTGGTCAAGCATCTTGAGCGCCAGTGTGTAGTCGCCAAGGAGGACGTGCACGCGGAGGAGACCAATGATGGAGAAGTAGCCGAGCTGCTTGTACAGCGGCCGGTCGCCAAAGTCACCCGCCACCTCGTCGGGATCGTTACCCTCCTGGACGGCCTGGAGCTGCTCGATGATCTTGCTCTTCTGGATCAGCGAGTAGAGGACGTTGAGGACCGAGTAGCTGCTCCACACGCCGCCGTCCTGGAGGAGCACCAGCTCGTCCTCGGTCTTGTCCGACGCTCGGTTGCGCCACTGCGAGTACGACTGGAACTGGTAGATGAACTCGTCGACAATGTCCCAGAGCCACTGCGAGGGCAGCTCGAGAGCAACGGGGCCCTCGCTGTTGAGCACAAAGTTGAAAAAGTCGCAGTAGTTGTCGTAGCTGTGGAACCGGTCCTCGCCGTCGGGAGAGAGGCGCGAGTAGACGTGGCGGTACCACAACTCTCGGTAGAGGGTGAGGAACTTCTGGTCGTCGCCCACGAGGGGAGCAATCGTCTCGGCATCCGGCCACTCGCTCCTCTGGTAGAACTTGTCCGTGAGCCTGTTCCAGCTGGCTTCGTATGCGGACGTGATTTCGGCCACATTGCCGTTGGACACGGCCTGGTGGAAGAGGATGATGTACTTGCGGACCGCGTCAGGGACTTGTGCGAGGGCTTGTGCGGCTGCCTGTTGCGCAGCCTGCGCGGCCGCGAGCTGCTGCTGCATCTGAGCCTCTGCCATTGCTGCATCAGCGTCTTCTCTGTCAGCTTCGATTTCATCTATCACACAAAAGTGGGATCTGTCTCCCCTCCTTTCCTACACTCACCACTCTCGTCAATGAATGCGCCATCAGCGCCGTAGTCGTCGGGGATGCCGAGATCGACATCGCCATCATCCCCGATGAACTCGTCGTCGTCCACCTCCTGCCCGTAGTAGGCGGCTTGCTGCTGGCTCGCCGCTGCAAGCGCAGCCTGGTGCTGCTGTTGCTGGAGCTGCTGCTGCTGCATCAGTCCGGCCATGTCTATGGTGCTTTGCTTCTCGTGACGAGGTGAAGAGGCCGAAACTTCTTAAGAAAAGTCGCGCGCGCTCTCTGTTCACCACCCATAGCTCGTTTCGGCCGAAGACCGCGGTAGAGATCACGTGATGGTCGCACTTGTCAACGACGGCGACGACGAGGGTGATGGCGAGCACGATGGCAATGGCTGCCATCAAGAGGATAGCAGATGCAGCGAAGGAGGCCTCAAGCAAAGACTGGCATGTGTACCGAATGCTTCTCTCCAATGGGATGTAGGATGCGAAAAGCGAGACAACATCTCGTCTACTCCGGTAAGTCATCTCTATAGCTGTATTCGTTGCTAAAATTGTTGTCGTCGGCGCTTCGTTGAGCAGCAACATCGCCGACAAGTCCAACAGAGGAGCAGCGTTGCTACCTAAGATCCAGAGTATGAGTGAAGACGCGGCTCTGTACGTTCTTACAAAGGGGCAACAACCCAATATTCGGGCAAAAGCAACAAGTAGGTCAGTCAAGGTGAAGGTCGGGCTTTTGTACCATCGTGGCCCTGTGCGTCGTATTAAGGTGAGTGAGCTCGCATGGAACTGAGTTTCTGAATGAGACCCTATGACAGATGCTGTCCCGTAGAATCTGCGTACCATCATCAAGCCCGAGCGTACTTCTTTCTTACGTTTTCAAGCTTCTCCTCAAGTGTAGTCACAGCGATATTGATATTATCTAATTCAGACACATGGTTCCTTATGGAGACACCGTTAATCCCAGAAACTCATGGGAAAGAACATGGAACATGCCCCTTCTTGGCAGGTGAGATGGGTAAAGGCAGGATCACCGTAAAGAAAATGAGTGATCGCCTTCCCCGGAATCCTGGCCGCGGACGCGTCTTCCGTCGAGAAGAGGGCGAGTCTAAAATCCCCCGCAGGGAACAAAAGGCACATGCCGTCGTTCTCGAGATCGGATGCCTCTGCTATCAAGACCTTCTTCCACTTAAAAGATACATCACCACCCGCCGCTGACGCCTTGCTTGACACAATGCTGCGGGGCGCCTCGACAGTCGCTCGGCGCTGCGCCCATGCGCGCGTCATGCGAGCCCCGACAGCAGCGATGAGCACGTCGGCGATCCGCCTGTCGGATTCGAGTTCAAGCTCGAGCTCGAATTCGAGCTCTCACCTGCCCGGCTATCCCTCGTCGCCATTCCTCTCCTCGCTAAAGGACTCGATCTTTGACTCTGTCCGAACGAGCACTTCGCCTGCGAACAATCCATCAAAATCATCGATCCCCACCTTCCGGCTGCTAGACTCGCACGGCTCGCTCCTCGAAGGCGTCTCCGAGGAGTCGCTTGAGCTCACAAAGGAGGAGGCCGTCAAGATGTACGAGCACATGCTCCTCCTTCCCGCCCTCGATGTAATTCTGTACAATGCGCAGCGACAGGGCAGGATCAGCTTCATGATGACCAGCCACGGCGAGGAGGCGGCCATCATTGGCAGCGCCTCGGGCCTTGGCGCGCAGGACGAGGTGTTTGCGCAGTACCGCGAGATGGGCGTGCTCCTCTGGAGAGGCTTCTCGCTGGACCAGGTCATGAGTCAGGTGGGTCTGACGATCAAATCTAGCTCCTGTCAGTCCGTAGCCATCTCACCTCGCCTTCTCCTTGTGTGATGAATTCCAGGTCTTTGGCGCCCATGACGACCTGGGCATGGCCCGTCAGATGCCGATCCACTTTGGCTCCACGGCCCACCACTTCCACACCATCTCGAGCCCCCTGGCGACGCAGATCCCGCAAGCGGCCGGCTCGGGCTATGCACTGAAGCGGACAAAGGGCCGCGAGGACGACGTGGCCGTCTGCTTCTTTGGCGAGGGTGCCGCGAGCGAGGGCGACGCGCACGCGGGCATGAACATGGCTGCCACGCTCAAGTGTCCTGTCCTGTGAGCAAGAAATTCTCGTTTCCCTTCCTTTCTTTTCTCACGAACGAGAGCTTAATTGGCTCGTGACAGATTCATCGTCCGCAACAACGGCTTTGCCATCTCGACGCCCTCGTCGGAGCAGTACGCCTCGGACGGCATCGCGGCGCGCGGGCCCGCCTACGGCATCTCGACGATCCGCGTCGACGGCAACGACGTCCTGGCCGTGCGGTCGGCGGTGCGGCACGCGCGACGCGTCGCCGCAACGGAGAAGCGCCCATTTCTGATCGAGTGCATGACCTACCGCGTGGGCCACCACTCGACGTCGGACGACTCGTCGGCCTACCGGTCCAAGCAGGACGTCGACGACTGGAAGCGCAAGGACAACCCGCTGCACCGCTTTCGCCATTTCATCCAGCAGCGCGGCTGGTGGGACGACGCGCAAGACGAGGCTGTCCGCCTTGACTACCGTAAGCGCATCATCCGCGCCCTCGAGGTGGCCGAGAAGAAGAAGCGGCCGAGCCTGAGCTCCATCTTTGACGACACCTACGACGCTGTGCCGCAGAACCTCAAGGAGCAGCGCGAGGACTTGGCGCGGCTACTCGACAAGTACGGCAAGGGCTATGAGCCCTGGGCAAAGGAGCTTGCCAAGTACGAACAAGAGGGCAACGACATGCGCCCCTATCTCACACCAGAGGACAAGTAAAAGAGCAGCAGCCCCTCCTTTTCACCTTTTGTAATTTCATTTGCTTGCAATGATATAAGAGAGAGAACAGAGCAGAGCAGACGTCTACTTTCGGAACCAGCCTCCGAGCCAGCCGCCGCCGCCGCCGGCCTTCTTGTTGGCTTCCTCCTCTGCCAGGGCACGCTCCTCCTCCTCGGCCAGCGCATTGCCTGGATCGTAGGCAGCCCCCGCCGAGGACATGGACGCCTGCATGACGTCGTACTCGTCCGTCGTCGCCAGGCTCTGGGTGCGCCCGTGTCCGCCGCCGCCATCGACGAGCGACATCGAGTCGGAGATGGTCATGCCTCGCTCCTCGTCCTCCCTGTAAGTATCCGCAGCCGCCGCCGCCGCCGCCGCTGCGGCCGTGGCTGCCGACGACGACAGCGACGACGGCGACTGGCCCAGGAATGCCTGCAGCTCCTCCTCGAGGTCGTCCTGGCGCTGCTCCGTGAGCCGGCAGGCCTCCTCGACATCGATGGGGTCGAAGTCGACGTGCTTGCCCGTCAGGTCCCGGATCGCCTGGCCAGCCTTGGTGTCGCCCGACGCCGCCTTTCCCTTGCCCTTGGTCTTCTTGCTCGGTGCTGCTGACGAAGACGACAGGCCACCGACGACGGGCCGCACGAGCTGCACGCCCCTCTGCGAAAAGAAGAGGCCCCGCTGCGCCTGCAGCCGCAGCTTCTCGATCTCGGCCTCGCTCCGCAGCATCGTCTCCTCCGACAGCACCCGCGGGGGCATCTCCTCGTCGCCAGCGCCGCGCACATCGTCGACGAGATCCGTGGCCTGGCGAGCCTGCCTCACAAACAGACTTGCGCGGAGCAGGATCAGGAGCGACTCGGAGTAGGCATTGGACAGCAGGTAGGCCCTGGCCAGGTGGCGCAGCAGCTCGGCGCGGTACAGGGCCGACTTGGCCTCGACGAGCGACGACACGTCCGGGTTCGCTTCGACGAGGCCCAGCGACGAGACCGTGAGCAGCGACACCTCAGAGTTGTCCAGCAGTCGCGCAATGCCAGGGACGGCACGGGCAGACCGGCGGCGAGACTTGGCCTCGCTCGTGGCAAGGAGTCTCTTTGCCTTTTCCGACGCCTTTTGCCCCCTGATCTTGCGGGTGCCGCTCCGGCCAGGACGCCTGACGCTCTTTCGCGAGCCAGCCTTCTTGGAGACAGGCCTGGGGGTGGCCCTCTTCTTGCCATTGACTTGCCGCCTCTTGACCGGCGCTTGACCTGCCTTTCTGGGCTTTGCATTCGCCGACCCGCTGCTCTTCAGTGCAGCAAGCCTCTTTTCGAGCGTCTCCCTTGCCCTCTTCTGACGGCGCTCGGCCTTCTTCTCGACCTCCTCGACCAGGTAGGCGTTCCTGGCGATGCGCACAGCCAGCAGCTTGTACATGAGGTACTCGTGCGCGTTGACCAGGTCGATGCTCTTGGCTTCGTATCGCGTCGAATGGCTCTTCGACAGCGCTTCCTGGTTGTCGGCGACGAGCCGGCGTGCCACATCCTCGGCCTCGGTCAGAGCGGCCAGTGCGCCGTCGTAGGGGTCCATCTCCGTCTTTGCCCCGGCGCCAGAAGCCAGCGAGGTCGTCTTGGTCGCAGAGGCAGCGGGAGACTTTGCATCGCTCGTCGAAGCCCTCTTCTTTGCGCTTCGCTGCGCGCTCGTCAGTCGCTGCCTCGTGTTTCCTCGCTGCTTCTTCGACGGCGCATCATCGGCCGCCGTGGTCGACGAGGTGGCAGCTGTGACCTTGTGGTGCTGCTCCTCCTCGATGGCCTTGGTCAGATTTTCTTCGGCAGAGCGGACGCGCACGATGACATCGACGAGCTCGGCGTTGCGGATCGGGATCTTCTTTCCATGGAAGTCGAGCTCGACGACGTTCTTCGATGCCGCCTTGCCCGTCTTTTGCTTCTCGGCTTCGAGCTCCTCGACGAGCTTCGAGTAGCCGGGGACCACCCTCTCGCACGTCTCGGCAGAAGCCTGGGAGGCAGCAACCTTGTCCATGTCCTGCTCCGTCTCGTCGAGCTGGTAGGCGCTGTAGCGGAGCTGTGCCTCGGTTGTGTCGACGAAGCTGTTGGCCAGTGCCTCTGCCCTGCTGCTCTTGCTGCATTCAGCCACGTTCTGGAGCAGGCGCCGAGCGACGCTGAGCTGCTCCATCGAGACCTTCCACTTGTCCTTGTCGAAGGACTCGTTGCCTCGGATTAGCGCGCTGTATGCGGCCGCCTGCGCGCGCGAGACCACGTCGACGCGCTCGGCACCGAGTGCCGAGAGGAGCGAGACGAGGTCCTGGGCCCACGCGACGGCTTTGCGTGCGCGAGACAGGCCACGCCGGCGCAGCGAGGTGTCCTGGTCCTTGTCAAACGACTCCTGGCGGAGCTCTTGCGAGAATGCCCAGGCACGCTCCGCCTCAAAGAGCAGCAGCTGCGCAGGCCTGTCGTTGACGACGTCTTGGACCTTGATCTCCTTCTTGGTAAAGACGTTACCCTTTCCCTTGTTCGCCTCCGACTGCGCGGCGGCGCTCTGCGCTCGTTGCTTCTGCTTCTTTGACAACTGCTTGTTGTCCCTCTTCTTGCCTGCCTTGCCCGTGGCGCGACCCGTCTTGCCGTCGTTGTGCGTGAGATGGAGCGACTGGCGGAGCCGATGCACCTTTTCCGTGCAGAAGCGACGGTAGCGCGCATAGTCCTGCTGGCGCATGCCGTGCTCGTTGCGCGCCTGGTTGATCAGCTCGAGCAGGTCGAGCGTGACCGCAGGGCCTTCCGACTCGGCCGCCTCAGAGGCCTTGGTGAGGTCCACATCCATCGTCGGTGACTGCTTCCTAGTTGTTGGAAAGCTCAAGAAGGAAACGACCGACCGTATCGTGCGAGCAAAGGCCTCGCCAGTTGCAGCCTTCTTTCCACAGAAATCCACGTGGAGAGATATTCCACCCTCTCTCGCTCACTTTTTGATTTTGGCCTTTCTGGTCAAAAGTTGGTCTCCACCGACGCAAGCAAGCGGCCACGGAGGGCCAATCCAGCAGCCATGTCGTCGGCTCCTCGAGTCCAGCGGGCGGCGACGCGCTACCGGCCGGGCAAGGCGCCCGCTGGTGCGAACCAGCAGCCGCTCGACTCGGATTCTGACGAGTCCGAGTCTGAGCTGCAGCCAACGCAGAAGCAGAAGCAGCAGCCGAAAGAGGAAGAGGTGGACCTGTCGACGGGCATCAAGGCGCTCCAGGACCGGCAGCAGAGACGGACGGCGGGTATCGTGATCCAGCAGGGCGCGAGCGTGCCTAGTCTGAAAGATGTCCAGGTCGGCAAGAAGGAGGAAGTCGAAGAGAGCAGCGACGAATATGGTGAGTGTTGTCTTCCTAAAGATGTCGATGTTCTGCTGAGCCGGAGCGTGCTGCTGTGGCAGAGACGGACACGGATGAGGAAGAGCCGCCGAAATCTGTCTTTCGACCGAAAGCGGCAGCCGCCGGTGTCGCAGCTCCACCACCTGTCACGGCTGGTGCCGCCCAGAAAGAAGAATCGTCGGAATACGAGACGGACAGCGAGGAGGAGGAGTCCTCGGAGGAAGAAGAGGCGCCCAAACCGCTGCTCAAGCCTCTGTTTCAGTCAAAGAAGCAGCGCGAGTCTTCAGCGCCGAAAGCGGCCGAGGCAGGCGGCATCGATGCAAAGATGGCAGCAGGAGCAGGAGCAGATGGCGACGACGAAGAAGCCAAGGCGCGTGCACAGGCCGAGGCGCGCCGAATGGAGTCGCATAACCTCGCCGCGGAGCGTATCAAACGCGAGGTACTCGAAGCGGCCGCTGCGAAAGAGGCTCAGACGGATGTGGACGACACGGACGGCCTGGATCCCGACGCCGAATTCCAGGCCTGGCGGATCCGGGAGCTGGAGCGCATCAAACGAGACCGCGAGGCTGCGTCTGCGCGTGAGGAAGAGAGGGAGGAGATTGAGCGCCGGCGAGCCATGCCTGAGGCTCGGCGCCTCCAAGAGGACATGGAGCATGCCAAGAAGACGAGAGACGAGAAGGTCCGGGGCAACGCAGGCTTTATGCAGAAGTACTACCACAAGGGAAGCTTCTTCCAGGATTTCGACATTCTTAAAAAGAGAGACTACACAGAGGCGACGGAGGGCGCCGTCGACAAGAGCCTGCTGCCAAAGGTGATGCAGGTCAGGGACTACGGAAAGGCGAGCAGGAGCAAGTGGACCCATCTGGCAAACGAGGACACGTCGAGGAGGCAGGAGGATCCGCGCTGGAAGGGCATGTCGAGGCGCGACGAAGAAGGGAGAGATGGGTCTCAGAGGAGGAGAGACGAGACAAAGACGGGGGCGAACCGCGCAGACATTCGCAGGGGCGAACAGCGGCAATGGGGAGGCGAGCGACGCAGATCGCGCTCCCCAGACCGTTCCAGGCGACGAGAAGACGAGCCACGCCGTTGATGGAAAGCACACCTGCACTCATGTACTGTACTTGTACCATTCATTGCCAATTGTGCCATTTTTTCATTGTCACCTTCGAAAACTTGTTCATGAGACATTGGCATGGGTCGCTCCACGAAACGCGTCTGTCCTTCGATGAAACTAACTTTTTCTGGCGTGTTGCTCTCGAGACCACTTTACCTCCCTCTCTGCACCGCGTGCGACTGGCGATGATGCTCCGAGGGGCCACCGCAGCGCAGCCGGGGCTCCACCCGCTCCCTCGGCTCGATCGGAAGCATGCCTTTGATCTCTCGACGCCGAGATTGCTCGATGTGCGCGCGCTTCAGAACCGGATATCGCTGCCCTTCGACGTGGACGTGCAGGCGGACACGGCTGGCGGAATCGACGGCGGCGATGATGCGCTAGGACGATGGGCCAAGGACAAGCGGAGCGCCTCGACTGCCAAACTTATTGGCAGCCTCGTCCAGCAGGATCGCAAGGAGAGCAAGGACGGACGAGGACAGCGCCTGGCCGACCACCTGGGCGAGGCGAGTGGCAGGGCCGAGCCTGGTCCTAGCCGAATACCGCCAGCAGCTTCATCGTTGGTCTCGTGGGACTCGCTGAGGGATGATGTGCAATATGCCCGCTTCTTGACAGATGTACAGAGGGGAGGCTGGGACGATACGCAGCTGGACGAGGCCGTCATGTGGTGAGTTGTTTGTCTGATGGCACGCTGCGTCCTTACGCTGACAAGCTTAGCTGCCACTGTAGTTCGCTCATTGGGCCGTTGAATCAAGAGGAGGGCGAAGTGGTGATTCCAGCACCAGCGCACTTTAGAGGCTCTGTGCTTGCATCGCTCGTCAAGACAGCATGTGGCCAGGTCTCGGCGCACTTTGCGTGGGACGAGAGAGATGCCCGCTTTACCTGGGCAGAGACGTTGCAGCGAGACTTGCGCGCACAGGAGAAGCGACGGCTGAGAAGAGCGATCAAGAAGGCAAAGGGAATGACAGGCAAAAGGGCAAGAGAACGTCAGGCATTGGTGGAACAGCTCGATGCTGTGAGGTTGTCAAGCCCCGAAGACGAGATCATCTGGAAGGGCAAGGAGCGCATACATGGTCTGACCGAAGAGGCGTCCGAGGCTGTCGTGAGCCGCTTTCTTGACATCGGGTCACTGCAAAGAAGGCTGTATGGCCGCATCGAAGATCTCAGAAGAAAGGTGCCGGCGGCCAGGAAGAAGAGCCGGGACGAGAGTGACGACGATGAGGAAGACTTGACGATGTTCCAGCCGCCACACGAAGCATACGCCTTAGCCAGCAGCCTGTCCTCCGTCTTGGACTGGATCTCTGGCGAACTGCAAGAATGGTCGGCCGCCGTTCCTCCAGACGCTGCTTTGTCGTCTGCACGTCAGGACCTCGAAGTCATTCACCTCTTGCTCAGCTCGCTCGCCGATATGTGTGCCTGCTCGATGTCAAGACTGCCGCCTTTTCGCTTCATGACAAGGCCGCCTGCGAAAGACAGCAGCATTGGTCGCGTTGACACGCATGCCGCAACGGTGCAGACGACACAGCTTCTCAATCTTGTCCATTCGCACATGCATGCAGTCCTGGCCTCGTCTGCCCCACCATTGGTTCAAGGTGTGTGGTCATACCTGCTCGCCACAACGACGCGAACGTGGCGAGAACAGCTGGCCACATGGGTTGGATGGCCGTGCCCTCCTGAAGCAAAGCAGGAAGACGCTGTCGAGAGGCAGATGTTGGTCGAGAGGGAAAAGAGACAGGCGAAAGAGGAGATCTGGAGCGAGGAAATGGCGCGGTGTGAGCCCTGGCCTGGAGCAGAGGTCGAGTGGGCGTGGGACGAGCGAGGGGAAGAGGACGTTGGCTACATCCTCCGGCCTTCACGGTTGCCGGCCATGCTTCCGTTACACTCTGCGAGGGATGTGCTCGAGGCCGGAAGGGCGCTGCGCTTGCTGCGGAGGGCAGCGCCGCCCGGCCATCCTCTTCTCACCTCTTTGGACGGAAGGGTCGGCCTGGAGGTCGTCGCAACATCACGCTCATCAAACAGCCAGCGAGGGCCGATCCCGGTGCCTTCCTGGACTTGGTCAGACGTCGAGCTGAGGAAGAGTGGCGTAGCAGTCGAGACGCGCGTGCGCGAACTTCAGCGAGAGATCGCACGATGGCGCAGAGTACGGGGACAACGAAGCGGTGGTCGTCCTTCCTCCGCCTCGGACACAAATGCAATATCTTTCCCTCGCTATTCGGCCCTTCCAGCACATGGGATACTAACAGCTGGCAACGCTATCGAAGGCGGCTTTCAGCAGCACAATCATCTATCGAAGCCGAGCTCGCTTCCCTCTGCACTGTCAAAGGATCTTGAAAGGGCTATGCTTGTCTTCGACGCACTGCCCGGAGAGGCTCTCGATGACAAAGAGGATGGGGAGAAGGAGATTCCGCAGGCAGACACGCTTCTTGAGCACATTGCGTACGCACTCGAGACGGCGTCTGCCTCAGACGGTCGCAGCCGTCACAACACCTCGCTGCTCCCACCTACCAGCCTGGGCTTGGCGTCGCTAACGGAAGCATCGATCATCGCCCCTCTCCTTCAATGGTCCCGCCTCATCAACTCGAGCCTGATCAGCGTCTTTTTCCGCGACCTGGGCCTCGCCACCTACCTCGAGACGTGCCGACGATTCCTTTTGCTGGGCAATACCCGATTTGCTGAGCGGATCGCAGAGGTCCTGTTTGATGTCGACTGGCTCGATCAGGACGATGAGGAGCGAGGTCAAGAGGGCGAAGGTGTGGGACTGAGCAAGATGCTAAGAAAAGAACCATCTTGGCCTCCAAGCGGCGGATCTCAGCTCTCGTCGGCGCTTAATTTTGTCGTGCTGGAAACGGTCGCCGAGCTGAAGACTACCGACGCCGTGCCTTCCGAAAGAACGACGCACGATGAAGAGACGCTCAGCGCCGAGAAGCTCGCGATTCGAGATCTCGATGATCGTCTTTCCTTTGCAGTCGTCCGTCCGGATAAAGGCGGCAAGGCGAATGCAGATGCGGCCTGGCGTGATCGGAGGAATGTCGAGGCACTTGATTGGCTCACCTTGAGCTTCCACCCACCCCCGCTCATCGCGCCGCTCCTCACGCCGCAGACCCAAGAATCGTATCGCCGCCTCTTCAACCACTTGCTAAAGCTCATGCGGGTCAGGCATGTGCTTGACTTGGTATTCCGAAAGATTTGCTCGAGTCGCCAGAGTACAGCTTTGGGTCAAGGACAGGAAAGGGCGCAAAGGCACATCTTGGCATTCCGCTTCGAGGCGCAACACGTCGTGGACCTTTTGCAGGCTCATTCGTCAGAGGTGGCTGTCGGACAGCGGTGGGAGAGCTTCATGGCTCGGCTGGACCAGCTGAGACGCGAGGCCGAAGAGCGCGACACAGAGGCCTTTGTCGATGATGGCGATGCCTTTGAGGAAGAAGAAGGAGAGATCGACGAGGACGAAAGCATCGCCAATGACGAGGAGCAGGACGGGGACGAAGAGAATCCTGCCGCTACCGCTGACGAAGGGGCTGCTAGTACGCGACGGAGAATGGAGATCAAGGACGTCTTCAGCCTGGCGAGGTACCACGAATGGACACTGGAACGCATGGTCTCTGGATGTTTTCTGGGCTCGTCGAAGAAGAGGGGCGGACAGCGCGGCGGCAAGATCTACGAAATCATTGAGGAAATAATGAATCTCGTGCTGGCCTTTGGCGATTTTGTGCTCACGAGAGCTACAAAGAAAGAAGCGATCTTGGAGGAAGAAGAGGAGGCGCGACTCGAGAAGCTGCACAAGAGGTTCAGATCGAGGGTGGCGCTCCTCGGAAAAGCCCTCGAAGTCGTCTTGGAGCACTCTTCGTCGGGCTCGAACGCAGCGGCAGGCTCGACATTGTGGCGGCAGAAGGCCAGCACAGCGGAGCCCGACTCTCTGGCGTCGTTGGAACTACAGAGGCAGGAGGAAGAGGCCCAGCGGGATCTTCTCGAGCTCCAAAGGGACAGTGGTGGAAACCTGAAGGGCAGCGAGACCGAAGCGATCCGGTGCCTCATCCTCGGCTTGTCTTCCATTCAGACAGGTTCTGGTAGACTAAAGAGCTGACTGTAACATTGGTAATTACGAAATATTGCTAGAGGACTGGCAACGATTGCCGTCCCTCGGGATGGCTTTCGTGATGTATTGTACTGTACAATTGGCTAATAAAATACAGGGCAGCACAGGACATCTTAGCCAAACGTCTGTGAAGCCCTTGGCGCTCTCTTCTGCTTCGACAGCCTCCAGTCGTCCTGTGATGTGGCGTATCGGTCGAAGAGAGGCTGAATCTTCTCTGCCTTTTTCCTCTTGGAGATGGTCGCGACATTGGCCCGCCTGAAAAATCGAGGGGCGAGCTGGACGAGCCATTCGGGGTCGATGGCCGTCACCTCCCTTGCCCATTCCTTGGAGCTCATGACGACTTCGTGGTAGATGAGCACGTCCGGCGGCTTGTTGAAGAGCGCCGACGAAGGGTGGATGTAGATAGTCTGCCCGCCCTCGGCAAGACACTTGTACCCTTCCTGCGGATCCCTCTTGGCAGCGTTGCGGAAGAAGCCAGCTACAAGTGCTTTGCGAACTCGGTTCAAATCCTTTCCGCAGGAGATGACATCGTGCTGGTAGCGATCCATGATACCCAACAACTGCTTGCGGACGTCCTGCGCTCTTCGGAGGCTTCTGCTCTGGACAAAGTTTGCACTGCACCAGGAGTCTGCATAGCCGCTGGCGGACCACCCTTTGTAGACGTTTAGAAGCGTCAGGTGATCGCCATCGACGTGAGAAAGCTGGGCCTTCCTGGCATCTGCCTGTGCCTGTTGTTCCTTTGGTCGACTAAAGACGTTCTGGACGCTGAGCATAGCGACGATGGTAAGGATCTCTTCCGAACAGCCGAAATCGACCGAAGCAATAAGGGTCTTGGCAAGCTGCGGTTCCATCGGGAAGTCGGCCATCTTGCGTCCCAGTCGTGTGAGCAGGCCTTCATCGTCGAGAGCAGACAACGCATAGAGGGTTTCGAGGGCTGTGAGGAGCGTCTGGTTGGCTGGTGGATCCATGAAGTCGAAGTTGAGGAGGTCGTTGATGCCCATAGCCTTGAGCATCAGGATGGTCGAGGCCAAGTTTTGCCGCTGAATATCCGGAATGGAGTTCGGCAGCATCTCGTTACGATAGGCCGCCTCGGTGTAAAGGCGGTAGCATTTGCCAGGCCCAGTGCGGCCTGCTCGGCCAGAGCGCTGTCGAGCTTGTGCCTGCGAGATGGGCGTGACAACGAGGCTGTCCATGCCGAGACGCGCGTCGTAGGCATTCTGCTTGACAAAGCCAGGGTCAATGACGTAGTAGACACCATCGATGGTGATGCTCGTTTCGGCGATGTTTGTGGCCAAGACGACCTTTCTCGCACCAGGAGGTGCTGGCTCGAAGATGCGCGACTGCATCTCTGACGGCAGGGCAGAGTAGACCGGTAAGATAATGAGCTCGGGTACACTTGGACCAAGGGCCTTCATGCGCTCATAGAGAATCTCGCAGCTCGTATCGATCTCCTCCTGACCGGTCAAAAAGACAAGAATGTCACCTTGGGGCTCCGAGAGATGGATCTGCATCACAGTGATGAGAGACGCATCGAGGTAGTCGGGCTCTGGCTCCTTCGTGTACAGGACCTCGACCGGGTACGTTCGTCCCGGAATGGTGAAGATCGGGCATTCGAAGAAGTAGTTTGAGAACTTCTCGGCGTCGAGCGTGGCAGAGGTTACGATGAGTTTGAGATCTGGTCGACGTTTGAGCGTCTTTTTGAGCAAGCCGAACAGAACGTCTGTAGCAATCGTGCGCTCGTGCGCCTCGTCGAGGATGATGACCGAGTAGTTGGAGGCGTCCGAGTCAATCAGGCACTCTCGCTGAAGCATACCGTCGGTCATGTACTTGATGCGCGTCTCTGGACTGGTACAGTCCTCGAAGCGAATCGTGTAGCCCACCTCTTGTCCGACTCGGCAGCCAACTTCCTCGGCTACGCGCTTTGCGACACTGACAGCAGCCACACGCCTGGGCTGCGTGCAGCCGATCTTGCCTCGGTCCGCAAATCCTTCTTCGGCCAGGTACTGTGTCATTTGCGTAGTCTTTCCCGAGCCTGTGTCACCGACGACAACGAGGACCTGGTTGTCGCGGATGGCCTGCACCAGCTGCTGACGCAGTTTGAAGATGGGAAGGCTCTCGCGCTGCTCTGTCATGCTAAGCTTTGTGGCTCTACCGAGCGGAGCCAATTTGTCAATCGTCTCCTTTCTCCACGCAGGCAAGTCTCGCGCTCTCTGCCCCGCTGTGGCACCGCGAAGGTCTTGCGCGAATTTGCGCTCGTGCTGCTGCGCCATTGGATCTTGCCATCCCGAGGTCATATCGCGTGTCTCTGCATCTGCTTGCTCCTGAATTTCCTGCTGCCGAAGATCCCTCCGCTCCTTGGCTAAACTGGCACCCTCCAGCGCGGCACGGTTGAGCGCACCGTCTGGTGCCTTTACGATCTTGACGGGGGACAGCTCGAGCGAGGATGCCTCGTGCCCAGCAAGGAACGGCGCCTTCTTCTCGTTGACCTCGATGTCGATTTCCTCGTCGGGATTGATCACTTTGCGACTCGTGGACGGCGTGGCAAACTCCTGCTCTTCCATCAACTCGGGAAAGTCGCTGGCTTGTGCAACGCCGGACGCGATGAGCTGCTTGATGTTCCACCGCTCTGGGCTGGTCAGCCGCTTTCCGGAGCTGCGACTGGATGTCTCTTCCATCGGTGCGTTGCGACGAGGGGACCTGGATCTGTAGCTCTGGCGTTTATAGTTGCCCGGTGTGTCGCGGATATCACGGCGTGAGGGTACGTCGCTTCGCCTCGAAGCGTCTCGTCGTGCGGAAGCGTCGACGTAAGACGGAACATCGCGCTGCATTTTTCGCATCTTGCGGTCCACATCATCCCAGTCGCCATTAGCGACGTCGGCGGAGCGCTTTTCAGGCCTCGACGACGAATCCTTGGGGGGTCGGCTGGAAGGCTTTGCAGAGTCCTTTGACTTGCTTCGGTATTTTGGGTGCATCGTGCGGATCAGGCGGTCAATGTTGTCGACAAAGCTGGCAGGAAATTCTGCGCCGAAGCTGCCGAGCTTGGATCTGAAGTCGTTAAGGTCCTTGGACTCCTCATGGAGCGAAATGGCGAACTCAGCCGCGAGCCGATCGTTTCGTGCATCATCTCGTCCGAGATGGTTGAGGAACTCGTTTGAAATCTTGGAGGTGAGCGAGAGGAGCTCCAAGCGCTCGAGATCGTCACCCTTCTTCATAGTGAGGGTCCAGCCAGTCTGCGCTACTGCCTTGGGCTTGACTTTGGGAAAGAGAGAGCTTGCCGAGAGCAGGGGACTGCTGAACGGAAGGTGGCGGTAGACTGGAAAAGTCATTGATCGCACTCACTTGGCCCTCGTCGAGAAGTCCAAAATCTGCTTCTCACGTGGATGAAAGCGCCGAAAACAGATGCGATTTCGCGCGCGTAATTTTGTCGTCACTTTTTGGGTGGTTCTTCTCGTCGGCCCCATCACTCTTGGACAAGTCGGCGTTCACGGTCCGCACAGCAAATTTGCGTCCGCTTCCAGCGCTGGTCCGGGGCAAGGAGGCGTAGGTCGTAGCAGCAAACCTCCATCGACGTCAATGGCGTTAGGCGAGATCAACGGGACAGGCGGGCAGAGAGCAGACGCGTCGTCGTCGACGGCTGTGTCTGCGCCAGCATTGCCCGAAGATGACCGCTTCTTTTCCAGCCTCGAGACGGCATCTGCAACGGTCAGGGCATTTCTACAGGAGGATGCGAGGTGGCCTGACCTGGCAGACCACCTGAGCGCGGCCCAGTACCAGTACAAGCTGCAGCTCGTATCGCCCTGGGCACCGCTGGAGAAGCGACGGATGTTGAGCATCCCCGATGCCGTCATCGAGGCGAGCTCATCTGCAGAAACGTTCGCTGCCCAGGGTCTCTTTCCGGAGATCGATCGTGCCTGGATCGTAATCGACTCGCGGCTCTACCTCTGGAACTACCTCGATGGGAGCAACGCCGCCTTTGAGTCGTACGAGCATCCGGAGCGCGTCATCCAGTCCGTCGGCCTCGTCCGACCCAAGCCGGGTGTCTTTGTGGATCAGATCCAGTATGTGCTCGTCGTGTGCACGAGCACATCCATCACATTGCTGGGCCTCGCTTTTGAGGCGCCAGCATCTGCATCCGCGTCGTCATCCTCGTCGCCTGCAAAAAGAGAGCTGAAGCTCTTCGTCACCGACATGAATCTGGCCACCGAGGGCGTCCAGATGTCTGATGTGTGCGGCACCCAAGGCGGCCGTGTGTTCTGCAAGGGCAGTGACGGGTGTCTGTACGAGATCCTCTACCAGGCAAACGAGGGCTGGTTCAGCCACCGATGCTCGCTGCGTAACGTCACCAGCCCCAAGCTCTCGAATCTTGTGCCCAACTTCATCCAGGGCAAGCAGAAGGGTGAGTGGGCAAGCTGCGCCAAATGCAAAGTCGAGGAGGCTGACCTTACCGCGCTCATCACACAGAGTCGCTCGACCATGTCACGGTCGACTCGGCACGAAATGCCGTGTACACGCTCCACAAGAAGACAGAAATCGAGGTGCACCACCTGCCCTCACAGGACTCGTCCAAGGCGCCGAACCGCATCGCCAGAGCAAAGGACATCTGTCGGCATGCCAACATGATCTGCCCCAACACGACGCTTCTCCAGCCCAGCGACTTTGCCATCACTTCAATGACGCCCGTCGCGGCGGCCGAGAGCAAGAACATCCACCTCGTCGCCGTGACGAGCAAGGGAGTCCGCCTCTACTTTACCACGCAGAGGGGTGGCTGGAGGGGACTCGACTACTCGACTGGGCGTGCGACGTCGACGGACGCAGCGGCGCCCACCTGTCTCGAGCTCATCTATGTTCGGCCACCACCGCCGGCGGGCCAGACGCAGTCGCACGAAGGAGGCATGGCCGTCCAGCAGCAGATGCAACAGCAGATGCAGTCCTCGAGTTTCTCTGCTCCCGTATCGACGACCGACTTTGCTCCATACCAGCCCTTGGTCTCGGACGTCCACCAGTCCTACTACGCTGATGGCCTTTTCCTCGCCGCGGGTCAGTACTCGCTCGAACCCACAGGGTCGGTCGACTGTCTCCTCTGCACGACACGTGCCATTCCCTCAGGTCACCAGATGCGAACGGGAGCACAGGCGGGTACAGTAGCAGTCGGGACAGGCGCACCAATTGGAGGAGGATCAAGCATCGTCGGCATGGGCAACGTCGATTTGGCCGATACGGCGACCGACATCTTGGTCCAGGGGCTGACGTGGGCCATTGCTGAGGTGCCACGCAAGGCGACACCAGCCGAAGCAGAGCGACTCCACCCCCTGGCACGGCAGATGATCAGACGACCGCGGGTCATGCTCGTTCTGACGAGCAGCGGCCTCTTTGTCCTCACCGAGCAGAGGCCCATCGATACGCTCAAGGCTCTTTTGGAGGTGGGCACCATCTACGACCAGACTGTTCACGAATTCTTTAAAAAGTACGGCCAGGGCCAGTCGTGTGCCATGAGCCTGGCCATCGCATCGCGCAATTCGCTCCTGTCCATTGCCCCTGAGTCTCACCTCTCGGCCGCTTCGCCGGCCATCGAGGCAGACGAAGACTTTGACAACCCAAAGGTGCTCAGCGCCGACGTTGTGTCGCACGCCTGGCGAATCTTCTTTGACTTTGGTGGCCACCCTCGATACGAGCCTCCGCCGTACCCCAGCCAGCCGGCGAGCGATGGCAAGGTGACTCTCAGTGGCCGACACGATGGCTTGGCCATCTACCTCAGTCAGCTATTGCGACCGTTCTGGCGAGAAAAGATTACCAAGAAGCAGATGATCCCTGGCGAAGGCGAGCGGCAGACCCCCAATGTGGCCGCCTCGTCCCTTGTTGGACCTCAAAGAGAGCTCCGGTCGCTCCAAAAGTTCCTTGACCAGAACGCGCAGCTGTTCGGACTTGGCGCCGTCAGTGGGCCAGCCTCCAGGACAGCAGGCGGAGCTGGTCGAGGTGAGGGAGACCAGGTGGCCTTCAAGGCCGAGCAAGACAGCCTCGATGCCCTGCGAAGCCTCCTCTCGCGCACGCTGGAAGCCGTCAGCTTCGTGCTGCTTCTCATTGACTACCGCATGCCCAGCCTGGTCCATCGATGCCAGCCTCAGGTCCAGGCGAGCCTGCTGGAGCTGACGTATGCCGACCTGGTCACATCGAAGCAGGGACGCGACACAGCGCGTGTCCTCGTGGAGGCCGTCATTGACGCTCAAATCTCTGCCCAAGTCAGCATCGACGCTGTGGCCGACGTGCTCCAGGAGCGATGCGGCAGCTTTTGCAATGCAGACGACGTTAGGCTCTACAAGGCTCTCGAATGCATCCGAAGGGCCAAGGAATCACCGGACGGCCGGACACGCAGCGAGTCGCTGCGAGAGAGTGTCCGGCTGCTCAATCGCGCGACTGCAAATCTGCCCATCAACAAGCTCGAGAGCATCTGCAAAGACTATCGCGAGCTTCGCTATGTCTCAGGCGCCATCGAGCTGCCGCTCCGGTGCGCGACTAGCTGGGATCGCGATCACCTGGCGCCGAGCTTCCGCGCCGATGGCATGCCGGAGAATGATGGGCGGAAAAAGGTGTATGACCTGAGCATGAGGTGCTACAACCTCGTCCTCGAAACGCTCGAGAGCTTCGATGCAAAGGTGGCACAGGCACAGGAAAAGCAGCAACAACAACGGCTGCAGCAGACGGAGGCGCAATCGCAGCAGGAGGCTCACCTCTTGCGGGAGCTCGAGGATCAGAGGCAGAACGCATACAATCAGGCGCAAGCATCGACCGATGCTCTTTTCCACGTTGCTATGTACGATTGGCTACTTTCGCGCAGCAAAACGGAGGAGCTGCTTCGGATGAGGACGCCCTACCTGGAAGACTATCTCCGATCGGAGCCCATCACCCTCGAGCGTTGCATCCTCCTCTGCATGTGGTACGTCTCTGTCGGGCAGAACTTCTCGGCTGCGCAACTCTACGCTGGCCTGGCCCAGAGCACGGAGCTGGACATCACTCTCGATGACCGGGTCGAGTATCTGTCCAAGGCGAGCAGCAACGCCAAGTCGGCCTTCGTGAACTCCATCGACCTGGTGCAGTTCACGACGGACATTGACGAAAAGCTCGAGGTTGCCCAAGTCCAGGTCGAAGTCTTTAGGGCAGTGCAGGAGAGCGATTCGATCGAAGAAGAACACAAGGTCGCCCTTTTGCAGGAGCTCGACGGCCAGCTCCTCGACATCTCGGCGCTTTACAAAGATTTCGCAGAGCCGTTTTCGATGCACGAGATCAAGCTCTTGATTTTCCACGTCTCCGACCACCGAGATGTGGACTTGATTCGACAAGCGTGGGATGCTCTCTTGACAGAAGCTCACGGAGATGAGGACGCTTTGGGAGGAGGAAAGCAATTTGAGCGAGTCGCATCTGTTGTCGTCGAGCTTGGGAGGCGCTTCTATCCTTCACCCGTCGCCTTTCCTGTCGATGTTCTCTGCGACATGCTGGAGCGATATGCGCTTGCCGAATGCAACAACCAAGATATTCCCCAGGGATGGGCGCTCACGACGATGCTCCTCGCCGGCGTGCCTGCCGAGGTCGTCTTCGACGTTGTCGTCGATGTCCTCGAGACACGGAGGGAGCCCTTCCAGACCACGCAGGGCTACCTGTTCCTCGCCGCTGATGCAGCAAAGCTCGTCGACTCGTGGACGAGGGAGGTGCTTGGCCTTGCCTCTGACCCGATCGGCTTGACCTCGGTCACGGCCGCGGAAGGGAGAGATGCGACTTCCTCTGCCCTCGGCTTCCCCGCGAGGCGCATCGACGATGTGCTGGGCGCCCTCATTGGTCACCTCACTTCGCTGGTCGCTCCCTCCTCTTCCTTGACGTCGCCGGCCGTGGACGGCAGAGACGCCGAGTCGATCTTGGCACTGCTCAAGTCCACGCAGGAACTCATTCGCAGGTCTTTTTAGAACACTTTGTCTAAATGCAAATTGTCATGAGGAAAAGAGCAAATCATTGCCTGGGCTCGTTGGGGCGACAAATAGCTAGTAAAGCCAATTTGAAAAGACCGAAGCTGAGGGGAGACCACCAGAACATGCATCTTCTTCATGATGGCAGGCTGACTAGATTTTCACCGTCTGCCAGTCCGAGGCTATAGCTTCCTGAGGGTGGAATGTTTGGCGGTGATGCAGCATGAATCGCTCATGGATTCAGAAAGACGACTTAAAAGTACAGAGTTGACGATGTTGGGGAAGATGGGTTAGCTCCCCCCTTTTTGGAGAGTGTCCATCTACCCAAGGCAGATTCGGTAGCTGCAGTATCGCCCCGATGTCTCCGATGCTGAATTTCAAGGCGCCACGTCAGCTACAAGCAAAAGCACTTGCGAGCACGCAGATGGTAGTACTCACGTCGGGTAATCTTGCAGACCTGGCCTCTCTTCATGCCGTAGTAGCGCGCGACGGGGTCACTGATCTGGATCCTCGGCAGCTGGTTCTCCTTGAGGCGGCTGTGAGAACGGGCGTCAGCACGATGAGAGAAGTTCGTGAAAGATAAGTTGGCCGTGCTGGATGGACCACTCACTATCGAAGCAGCAGGGCCTTCTTGTCCTCGTCACTCAACACCTCGTGTTTTGGCACCAGGTGATGATGGGTGATGTTGACCAGCAGAGCGCCCTCGTAGAAGTCTTCGAGCTCAAATTGACTTCTCATCGCATCGATAACCTGCAACAGCAGCATCCCAAGTCAGCTCATTCTTATCTCTTCTTCGAGGAAGCTTGCGCACCTTGTGTGCACTCGACGTCATCTTCTCCTGATAGATGATGATGCCCCGCCCGATGTTCTGCGCCTCAAGCTGCTGGAGGAAGACGCCCATCGTCTTCACGCCCACGCTCTTCTCCTCTGCGAAGAAGACAAAGATGCGCTGTGACGGGTCCGAGGCGTGCTCGGCGGGGAAATGGAGGGCCCTGCGATCGATAGCGCCGCCACTGGCAACCTGGCTGCGAAAGTCGTCGAGACCGACGTTGATTTCGTCGTCGGACACCTTGTAGCCCTTGGGATACGTAGCTTCAATGATCAGCCCTTTGGTGGCCTTCATTGAAGCCCAGAGCACCACATCACTCACCCTGTCGCGGACAAGCTCGTGTATGGTGCGGTTGACTCGCCAGAGTCGAGCCACATCTCGATCGAGCACATCCATCTTGGGCAGGCTAGCTTGGAAGAAGTCCTCGTCGTCGACGTCAACGTCGGAAGATGCGAGGGTCAAGAAAAAATGTTGAGCCACGTGCGGAGTGGGCGCCAAATAAAACTTTTTTTTTTGGTGAGATTCGGAAGGCGGCGCGGTGGAAACGCTCCTTTTGTCAAGTCCTTTTTCTGGTGGAGTATCAATCGGCCATTGAGCAACGGCAGGACAACGACGGCCATCGACTATCGAGGAGATGGTGGCAAGGGTGGCTGAGGCGTCGGGTTCCGGCTCGAAGGTGCAGCTGCAGTCCGACGTGCCAGGCTTCCATACCTCGCTCGACTATATCCCGTTCGACTTTGGCGAGGATGAAGAGGAGGAGGGCGTGGGCGCAAGTGCGAGTAGCAGCGTGGGCCCAAGAATTGAGGAAAGCCATGGCTGGGATGGTGCCAACACCTCGAGAGGAAGCTCTCCGGGCGGAAGGGGCAAGAAGCGGAAGAGAGAAGACGTGGACAAGCGAGCCAAGCGGCGCGAGCTGGCGCGTGGCACACCCTGGTGTGCAGACGTCGACTTCGATCAGTGTAGGACAGTCACAGATATGTGAGTGGGTTGCAATGTCTTTCACTATGCACTCTGTGCTAATTCGGTATGTTCGACAGACTGCATGAGGAGCTGGCCGCATTTGAACAATGGATCTCGCCCTCGCCCAAAGAGCACGAGACGAGGAGCATGGTGATCCAGCTCATCCGGAGGGCAATCACAAGCCAGTGGAGAGATGCCTCGGTTCATTCCTTTGGGAGTCAAAACACAGAGCTGTACATGCCGCAGGGGTGAGTGAGGCTGTCTTTCCTCTGGCATCGGCGATGGGACTGACCAAAGCTCTGCAGCGACATTGACCTTGTTGTAGTGTCTGCCTCTATGGAGAATCAACGGCGGGAGGGCGCACTGAGGAACATGGCCGCCTGCCTACGGCGCAACAACTTGGCCACCGACGTACAGGTCATTGCTAAAGCCAAGGTCCCGATCATCAAATTTGTCTGCACATACGGCAATTTCCGTGTCGACATCAGCGTCAACCAGACCAACGGTCTTGAGGCGGCCGACTTTGTGGTGTCGTGGCTGAAGAAGATGCCGAGCCTGCGGCCCGTTATCATGGCAACCAAGCTGCTGCTCAGTCAGAGGGGAATGAGCGAAGTCTTTTCGGGAGGTCTGGGAAGCTTCAGTGTCATTTGCATGGCTATTAGCCATTTCCAGGTGAGTTTGACCATCGAATACCAGATGAACAGTCTGGCTGACAAAGGTGTCTTCAGCTTCATCCTAAGATCCAGCGACAAGAAATTGACCCCTCACGCAATCTCGGTGTGCTCTTCCTTGAGTTTCTCGAGCTCTACGGAAAGAACTTTGGCTACGACCGGACAGGTATCTCCATCCGGGGTCGAGGAGGCTACTTCGACAAGCAGGCAAGGGGCTGGCTCGAACCTGCACGGCCTTATATGCTTGCCATCGAGGACCCGAATGACCCATGTGAGTGATCCCAATTTCACACAATGTCGCACACAGGGCTAACTCCGCGTCTGTCGCACTCAGCCAACAACATCTGCAGGGGATCGTTTCAAATCTTACAGGTCCGCAGCGCTCTCGGAGGGGCTTTTGACATCTTGACCTCGGCCATGTGCGAACGTGCCCATGAGATGACGTCGTCGAAGGTGCGCGGCTCAGGGCAGCACAAACGTTTCGCGGATGAGGATGACGAGGCTCGAGCCGCCTTGCTCAACGGTGCAAGCAACAAGAACGAGGGAGAGAAGGATCCCGAGAGCTTGCTGGGCACAATCATTGGCGTAAATCGCGAAGTGTTTCGAGCCCGCAAAGAAGTTGCAGACCTGTGGGACAGCGGTAGCTTGCAATCCAAGCTTCGTCGAGCTCCACCAGCACCTTCGCCCGAGCCCGTTGCCCGGAGAAGACCACCTTCGCCTCCGCGCGAGTCTCGAGCAGAAAGACGCCGCAGAGAACAAGCTACTCTGCGGCACGAGGACAATCCGTCATCGAGTCGGCTCAACGGCATCGCCACGACGACAAATGGTGGCTTATCGAAGTCCGAGGGGTCGTCTAGAAACAGAGCCAATGGTCAGGGAACTTCGAAAGACCCAGTCGTCATTGTTGACACGTCATCGTCGGCGGACTCTCGTCTTGAACGTACAAAGCGTCCATCGACAGCTCGCCAAGAGCTCGCGATCAATGACGGTGCTTCAGATGGGTCTTCTGTTGAGGTGCTGGATGAGGAAGAGCTGGCCGCTTCCCAGGGCATCTCCTTTGCTTCGTCTCAGGTGCACCACAGCGATGTCGACGACGACGACGACGAGGCGAAGGACTCGAGGTATGCAAGCCAGAATGGAGGACGAGCCTCGTCGAAGAGGAGGAAGAGATTGGAAGACTATGCGAGAGAGGCACCAGACGCATACGTGACGGATTCGAGTGTCTCCGACGACGGAGGGCACGGCGGGGCCAATGGGATGAGTGGCCAGGCCCGTGCACATGCGCAGGGTGAAGGACAAGGCAGCAAAAGGCCTTTGGGCCGACGGCACGAATTCTGGGCCAACAAGGGCAACCCAGTGGGCAACTTTGTGGGTGGTGACGACGATGACTACGATGATGGCTACGAGGCCTTAGAGTGATGAATTGGTCCATACACATCCGCATCTGGTCATGAGGTCATGACAAACCATTGTACTGTACTGTATTCGCATCTAGACAAATATAGAGGGCTTCTTCAATTCCAAGAACCTCTGCATTACCAATTGACAAGGAATGAGGGCATTTTACATCTTGTACACTTGCGAGGGTCTAGAGGGGCAGAAGATGATGTGGTCAGCTTAAGCAGAAGGTACTAGAACACATCACGACTCACTGGTAACCCTGGTCAGCCAGGAGACCCTTGAGGTCGCCCTGGGAGCCCTTGGGGCCCTTTCCGCCGCTGATGGCCTCGACCTGAGGGGGAGGGCCGCAAACGAAGATCTTGACCTTGTCAGCCTTTGCAGGCGCCTGCCGAGGTAGTACGATTCATGGTCAGTGATGAGAATGGGAGAAGAGCGAAAAGAGACTCCAGAAAAGAAAGACTTACCGGAAGGTACTTGCTCAGGATCTCTGGCGTGACGTAACCCTCGAAAGCATCTGCTTGCGTGAAGTTCTTGGGCTTCTTGTCAAGTCCATACACAATCGTGAACCTGTCGTCGGACTTGGCGAGCTCGTCGAACTTTTCCCGGAGAAGAATGTCGGCCTCGGTCTTGTTGGTGTAGATGAGGGTAGCCTTGGTCTTGTCCTGCGGGTTGCCCTTGATAGCCTGGAGAAGCTGCCACATGGGCGTGATACCAGATCCACCGGCAATCATGGCGACCTCCTCGAACTCGTTGGCCTTGTACTGATGCTTGTCAAAGGGACCCTTGATCTCCAGCTTGTCTCCGGGCTTCATCGCATGGATGTACTCCGTCATGGCGCCATTGGGGTACTTTTTGATCAGGAAGTCAATGTGGCCCTTGGTGTCGGGTGATGTGACGGGTGTGTAGGGGCGGACGACGTCCTTGCCCTCCTTGTCCTTGGGGGCCTGCTCACCGACGCCCTTGACGACGACAGCCGAGGCGACCGTCATGCCCGAGTTCTGGTCTTGGGGGATCTCAAAGATGAACGTAGAGCTGTCGTGGTTGTACGGGATGACCTCCTTGAGGGTGAACTCCTTGAAAGCGTTCTTGTCCAGCACGCCCGTCACGCTTCCCGTGCCGGGTACACTGGGCTTGTCGCCAAAGCCGCCCATGGCATACCAAGCTCCCAGACCACCGACACCGGCAAGCGCGAGAATCAGAGGGGTGTTGGATGAGGAAGAGGAAGGAGGAGGGCTTCCGGCGCTCGGCTTGGGCGCCTCAGTGGCCAGCGTCCTCGCAAAGCCAGGTGCAGCGGCAGCGGCAATCGAGCGACGGGTGGCGCCACGAGCGGCCCCACTGACAATCGGTCGAATCATCATCATGGTGTGTATGGAGTAGTAAAGCGAAATGGTGATAGATCTTTGTCAGAGGGAAGGAGAAAGGCGGACGAAATCTCTGCAGCTCGCTAAGCCGGGAAAGCCAGGTGGAGGTGTGGTTTATGTCGCCATCATCTCGCAGGCCTTGCTGACACGTGACGCTTTGTGGACAGCTTGTTCGACACTTGCTGCGCTGCTAACTTCACACAATTGGGGCCTCTCCCGCAGAAACCTGTGCTTTTCAATCAAATGACAAGGTCTTCAAGCAGACGAGAGGGCATTGTAAGTGGCAGCGCTTGCCTTCCAGCGTTTCGGATACGACCAAAGCAGCTGAGAGATCACGCCCTGCTCTCGGATTAAGCTCAGCTTATTCATACAATTCCATGAAATACAACCACGCTCCGTCTTCAGGATCGTTGAAAGACTGTCGTCTTGGGCACTTTCATATTCTGAAGGTAATCCTGCAAGAAAAAGTCAAAGTCAGCCGTTGTCCTGCCCCAGAAGCAAGAACACAGTCTCAACGACGCACCCGAATCCACTCTTCGCGCTTCTCGGGCATGTGCGCAAACGCCCTGAACCGTTGGTCGTTTCGGAGCACATCAAAGATCTCGTCGAGGTCGATGTTGGCGGCCATTTGCAGGAGACTGGGCAAGTCTTCGTCTTCGTCGTCATTGTCGCCCTGGCCAGCACCTCCTTCGGGCGTGGCCTCCGGTGCAGCAGACTTTCCTCCTTGGACCCGACGCTGCTGGCGCAATGAGCCCCAGAATTCCACAAAAGCGTTCTCTGCCAAATTGTCTCATATCAGTGGAATCGCCGAGAAACAGCGCAGAAACATGCCTCCTCACCTTTCAGCATCTCCATGAAAGCCACTTTTGCCCTCTCTTCTCTTTGCTTGCTCCATTCCTCAAAGAGATCCTGCATCGTCTTGCCGCTCTCGAGGGCCTTGAGCTGGTCCAACTTGCGTCGCTTGACCTCTTCGTCGTCGAGAATGAGCGGCAGAGCGACCTCTGCATCGATGTCCATTGCCGGCGCATGCTTCTCGAAGACAGTCTCTTGCAACTCCCGAAGCCGCTTTGTGTTGAGGGAGTCAACGTGCTCCTCGAACAGTCTTCGCCTCTCTTCCGGATCTTCCAGTATCAAGTATCGTGGATCACTGCGGATCGACTCGACCACATCCGCCCACCTCGAAAGGGGATTCCGGATGATGTCCATGAGCAGCTGTCCAAACTGCACCAGCCCTTCCTGGTGATTGGCCTGGCCCAGCGCGCGGCGGTTCGCGCCCTGGACCTGTCGCTGCTCTCTTCGCACGCGCTCCTCGCGCTCTCGCAGCGCCTGCTCCTTCTTGTCGACTGGGCCATCTCTTCTCGGATGAGAAACGGCGTAGCCTTCCACTCCTCTGGTGCCGACTGGTCGTCGCTCGCCTTTGGCCCACTGCCCAAAAAGCTCGGCCCTTCTCGAGCTGCTGCCAACGGCCTCGTAGCGCTTGTCCACCTCGACACCCTCCCTCTTCTTTGCCTTGGTCCACACGCCATTGACCTCCTCTTGCGTCGCTTCCCTCGCCACTCGGTCCTCGCTCCTTGAAAGCTTTTCTTCAAGCAGCTGGAGAAAGTCCTCCTCCGCCTTCTCCGCCGCAAGCCGCTTCTTCTCTCCGAGGTCCCTCAAGAAGCTCCTGAATACCTTTTCGCGCTCGCGATCATCTCGTCCAAAACTGAAGAAGGAGCGGTCCCGCTTGTGCTTCTTGCGAAAATCTTCCCAGCGCGTCCGCGTGGATATGACCTCGGCCTCAAGGAGGGCCTGATAGTGCTGAGCAGCATCGCCCTTTGACGCCGATGCGGATGCCGAAGATGGAGAGGAAGATCCATTGCCGTTGCCGTTGGCGGTAGGTGCAGACGTAGGAGCGGCTGTCGGCGCAGAAGAAGCAGGGCCGGATGAAGAAGGCCCTTTTCTCTTCTCTCGCAGGCGCAGCTTGCACCACTCATTAAATGCATCCTGCCGATCCCTGAGCTGGGCTAGAACCGTGTACCGCGGATGGTGGACAAACTTCGCCAGCTCTTTGTCCCACGGCGCCATGGGGTTAACCTCTCGGTCGGTGCCGTTGAGCGAGGTGAGCATCTGCATGAAGAGGGCCTTGGCCTCCTCGAGCGACAGCTCAACCCTGGGCTCGTTGGCGTGCGGTTCCGGCGCCTTGGGTGGCGGAGGCAGGAGAGTGATGTTGGTCGGTCCATTGCTCGGAGCCGAGCGCTGCTGCTCCTTCTGAACTTCAGCCGCCATCTCCGCCGCGACGTTTTTCTGCCACGCCTCGTCGTCCTCATCATCTTCGTTGTTGTCCTCCTCCTCATTACCGTCCCCGCCGCTTTCGCCTTCGTCTCCATCAAGACGGCTCCTCTTTGGCGAGTCCTGCCTCTCGAGCAGCTCATCTGCATCTATGCCGCCCTGAGCCTCGTCCGCTTCGAGACCCTCGTCGTCCTGCTCCTCGCCCCGCTTCCTCTTGCCCGCTGCCGCCAATAGCTTCTCGCGCTCCTTTCTGATTCTCTCCTGCTCCTCCCTCGCCCGCTTGAGCTCCTCCGCCTTTCTCGCGGCCTCTTCCCTCTCCTCCCTCTCCTTTTGCTGCTCCTGCGCCGCCTCCTCTTCCCGCTGCGCCCGTTCCCTCGCCTCCATGGCCGCGACGGCCTGACGGATCTCGCCGGGCACGACCCACTCGCTCCTCTTGCTTTCCTTGTGCGTGTAAAACACGTTGCCCAGGTTCGTCGTGACCCTCAGCCAGCCCTCTGCGCCTTCGATGGGCTCCTTCTTGGCTGGCTTCTCCTTCGCCTTTGCCTTCGTCGATGAAGAAGAAGAAGCCGAGGACGCCGAGGAGACCCCGACGGGTGCAACAGCAGCAGCAGAGGGGCGCGAGTAGGTCGACTGGCCCGTGCTGGCGTTGTGGTAGTATGGCTGTCCCTGCGGGCCGACGTGCTCTGTCCATCCGGGCGCAAGCGACGGCGGCGGCTGCGGCGGCGGCGGCTGCCCCTGCGCTGGATTTCCTCCTTGCCAAGCCATGTCCTCGGGCGCTCTCGATGGATGGTGGTTGTTTGCGCCAGAGAAGAACACCTCAGCCTGCGACACACGTGAAATTCTGACTTGGAAAAAAACTGAAGAAGCAAGGCTGAATAAAGTGGAGAAATCGACGAGGGGGAAAAAGAAAGACGTCAAGAAACAGTCTGAGCGGGGGAAAGAGGAAAGTTATTCAAGCGACGACAATGACGGGCGAAGAGAAGGCACTCTGGCTCGACTGCGACCCGGGCCACGATGATGCCATTGCGCTCCTGCTTGCCCTCTTTGGCCGCTCGTCGTTGGTCCACCCCACGCTTCTGGGCGTCTCGAGCGTGCACGGCAACAACACGGGCCACAACACGTTTGTCAATGCGGCACGGATGTTGGATGCCTATGGCGTCGAGCCCGGGCTACTTTGGAGGGGGGCAGATGTGCCACTCATGAGAGACGCCAAAATTGATGAGGGGATCCATGGAGACGACGGCTTGGGCGGAGTCACGGGCTTAGGCACACAGACGGACGAGGGTGTGCAACGGCAAATGTATGCGAACCTCGGGCCCGTCGCAGAGAAGGGACAGGTGGTGCCCGAGCCGGATCCCTTGAGCTTGGTAAGCCACCTCGTTGAGCTGCTGAAGCGACGGATAAGAGACGGCCAAGGACCTTTGACGATTGTCGCCACTGGCCCCCTGACAAACGTGGCCCTGCTGCTGAAGCTCGCGCCGCCCGGCGTGGTCCAGCAAGGCGTCGATCAGATTGTCCTGATGGGCGGCGCAGCAGGCGTGCCGGGCAATCGCACGCCCCTAGCCGGTGAGTCAATGTGTGCATTGCGACAGTCCTTTTCCCTCTGACTGACATATTCGCCCTGCTGCTGCACAGAGTGGAACATTCTTGTCGACCCCGAGGCAGCCCGCATCGTCTTTTCCTACCCCTTGCCCACCGTCATGGCCGGCCTCAACATCACGCACCAGGCCCTCTTCACTGACACGCTCCATTCGCAGCTCGTCTCCCTCTACTCGTCGTCGGACTCGCTCATCGACACGCTCGCGTCCATCATGGCCTTCTTTGCCGCCTCGTACGCAGACACGTTTGGCTTCGCGCAGGGCCCGCCCGTCCATGACTTTCTCGCCGTCGCTTATGTCCTGGATCCAACCATGTTCTATGCCCACGCCAAGCCCCACCAGCATACCAGCAGCAGCAGCAGCAGCAGTGTTGGTGGCGGCAGTGGTGATGTTGCCCGGGTGAGCCCGAAGCGATACCGCGTGCACATAGAGACAAACGACGGAAAGGCGTGCGGCACCACCATTGTCGACTTCTACGACCAGTGGGCACCCCCGACAGAATCGAGTCCGGACCAGGTGGACAGCGAAGAAACGGCAGCGTCCTGGCGAGAGGGCGGAAGAAACGCCATTGTGCTGGAGCACGTCGATGTGAGTTGCATGTTGCTCTCCCCCTTCCCAAGAACAAGAAAGTCTCACCCTCACTTTCAACACAGACGGAGCGCCTCTGGCCGCTCTTCTTTGATGCGGTAAAGCGAGCTCAGGCACACGTACAGTCGCAGACCAACACGCAATGACGGGCAATCTGAATACTTTGAAAAGAGAAGAAATAGGTTGAGATCCTAGGTATGAATGAAGAGAGGGAACAACTTTGTTAAAGGAATGAAATGAATGAATCGAGAGAATGGTAGTAGTGGTAGGGAGCATTTCAGCTCCACCAGCCGTCGTCGCCCCTCGCCACGGTTCTCCCGTGGCTCATGACGGAATAGTCGCTCATGGCCGAGAAGCTGGCATCGTTGTTTGCGTCCGAGGAGAAGGGGCGGAGGTGTGGGTGCTGCTGTGTGGCATCGTTGCTCGTTTCGCCACCGCTGGGCGCGTGAATGCTGGCCCAGGTGCTACTCCCGTGGTTGCTCGGGCTGTCTTCGTTGTGCCACGTCGTAAAGGCCTTGATCGGCGCGCCACCGGTCTGGAACGTCGGCGGCATCGCGACGGCATCTCGCTGCTGCAACTGGCGCTCTGCTGCGGCGAGCTGTCCACGGAGGTTGGCCGCCTCCTCCCTCGACGCAACCAGGTCGGCCTGAGCGGCCTCGAGCTCCTCTTTACCAACGAGCGTCTCCTTCATCGTGATGAGGTCCCGCTCCAGGTCGAGGAAGCGCGCATGGTAGGCCGTCAATTCCTGCCGCAAGTCCATCTCACTGTCCTGGCTCTGCCGCAGCCTCATTTCGAGATCCTCGCGGTCCTGCACCCTGGCCTCCATCTCAGCCAGCCGGGCATTGGCGACAGCCAGCTCCTGCGTCTGCTTCTCGTGGTCCCTCGTCCTCTTGTCGGCCTCGCTGAGCTTCTGCTGGCTCTGTGCAGCCTTTTGCTTCTGCGTCGCCGTCAGCTGCTGCAGATTGGCAATCTTGGCGTCTTGCTCGCCCACACGCTTCTGCAGCGCGGCAATCTCGCCCTCGGAACGGGCAGCATCCTCGACGGTCTTTTGCACATCGTCGCGAGCGACCCTCTCGACGCGCGCAGCCTCATCGACACGATCGTCTGCGCGCTTCTGCGCATCGGAAAGGAGCTCTTCGGCCTTTGCACATCGAGCCAGCGCTTCAGCCGTCGCCTGCGCCGCGATTTCACGCTCTCGGGTCCGATCCTCCCTCGAAGCGTGCATCTCTGCCACAAGCTCGTCAATGTGCTTCTTCATGAGCTGATTCTGCGACTCGAGGGCCTCCAGCTGCGCCTGGTCCTGTCGCCTCTTGGCCTCTGTCTCCTGCGCCTCTCTCTCTGCCACCTTGGCCCTCTCCTGCAGCTCGGCCTCCCTTCGCCTAAGCTCGGTGGTGGAGTTGCTGACCTCGTCGGCGCCCTTTTCGGCCAGATCCAGCCTCGACTCCAGCCTCGAAAGCTCCTCCTTGAGCTGCGCATTGTAGCCGTTGCTCACCGTCAGCTCGCCTCGCGCGAGCTCGACCTCGACCTTGGCCTCGCTCGCCTCCCTCCTGGCCTCGTCGAGCGTGATGAGCAGCTCGTCGCGCCTCTCTTCGAGCTCGGCCGCGCGGTTCGTCGAGCCGTCAAACGTAGTCGAGAGGGCATCGAGCCTGCTGAGGATGTCGCGGTGGGCGTCATGCGTCTGCTGGGCAGTGGAGAGGAAGACCTCCATCTTTGCATTGACGGCCTTGGGGAACGCGCCCAGGGAGCTCTCGAGCGCGCTCTCGACCTCGCGCTGGCGATCGACGATGGTGCGAGCCAGGTTCCTTGCCTCTTCCTGCTTGGCCACCAGCGGCTCCAGCAGTGCAAGCACCGGCTCCAGATCCAGACCCCTGCCCTCGTCGCTGGCCACGGAGCGTTGCTTTGCCGCAAAGGCAACACTCAGACGCTCGGCAAGGTCCTCAACGTCGAAGGTTGCAGGACCAGGTGCAGCTCCTTCTCCGCCGCCAAGAGAAGAGAGGACGCCACCCGTAGAGAAGTAGGGCTTGAGCTTTTCAAGCGTGGCGTCTGCAATCGACTCGGGGCCAGCATACGTCGTGGCCGACGAGGACTGCGACGTCATCGTCGTGGAGCCGCCATCCTCGCTGAGGTTTCTCTCCAGGCCCCTCATGCTGGGTCCAGATCCACCCAGCGTCGACCGCTTCCCTTCTTCAATCATGGGCGCGAGAATCTCCGTGACGCGCGCCGCAACGACGTCTGGGTCGACTGCATCGGTCCTGAGCGTCTCGAGATGGGGCAGGAGCGTCTTGACGAGCAACGTCTGCATCTGGTCTCCCGTGGCTTCCTTGACGTCGGCCAGCGTTCTTTCCCACTCGGCCACCTTTCGGGTGAGCATCTCGTTGAGCGCGTGTGTCACGTCCTGGCGCTCTGCCTCGGCTTTGGCTCTCGTCCTGGCCATGTGCTCCTCCAGCAGCGGTTCCAGCACATCGACGAGCTCAGCCCGACGGTTCTTGGCTCCGTTCTCCTCGGCCTCCTCGAGCACGGGCTGCAATCGGCCAATGAGCAAGGCACTTAGCGTCTCGGATGCCTCTGTCGACAGGTCCACCGGCTTGGCAGGGCCATCGACCGTGGATGGCAAGACGGCCGGCACTTCCTTGGTCTGGCTGGCTGCTGTCTTTGCCCTCTCGACGACATCCTCGAGCTTCTTGGAGACGTCGCCCATGGCTTGTGGGAGGGCCGTGTCGAATCGTGCCGACACGTCCCTAAGCAGGTTGCTGATCTTTTGATCGAGGACCTCCTGCACAAAGTCAAAGTCAAGCTCGCCCTGTGCGTCGAGCGGTGCATGTCCACGCTGCGTACCAGCAAGGTGCATGTCCTCGGGTGACGAGGAAGAGGAGTGCTCCAACAGTCGCCGCTGAGCCTTGATCGTGACGCTCGAGTCGTCGCCAACATCTGCGTCGTGCTGCGACACGGCTCTGAGCTGCCTCGCCGCAATCTCGGCCAGGCTCTGCGACAGCGTCTGGTAGTTGTCCGTGACGATGCGCTCGACCTGCTCGGCCATGGCGTCGATGAGCGTCTCTCGCTCGTACGAGTCGAGGCTGACCATGTTGGCCGGTCGGACCTGGCCCATGATCGTGACTTCGTCGAGGATCTTGCCCGCCCAGCCCTCCAGCGACTTGTCCATTCGCTGGCCAAGCTCCTCGATGATGTCCGACACCGTATCGTCGTCGTCGTCATCATCATCGTCGTCGTCATCGCCGTCGTCGTCCACCTTGTCGTCCTGCGGAAGAGAGCGTCTTCCACGAGGCCGGCTTTGTGCACGCCGTGAGGCCGGGTCCTCTTCCTCGTCGTCCAGCGACATGTCCAATGTGCTCGTGGCAGAGGGATGGGCAGCATGGTGCTGGAATCCAGGAATATCAATGGCCTCGGATCTCGACTCTCTCTGCCAGACGGGCGCAAGGGGCCGCCGCCTCGCCGCTGTATTGCTGCCGAGCCGCTGGTGGGTCAGTGATTTCGTCGGCCCAGCCACGCCGCGGTTCTCCTGGTCTTGATCCTGGTGCTGGTCGTGGCCCTGGTCTGCCGAGTACTGTTCGTCTGCGGCAGCCTCCTCGGGCCTGCGGATCGGGACAGCCTTGTTCCCTGCAGCGATGCTGAATGTGAAGTCGGCTTTCGGCACGGTTGAGCCACTGCCACCGTTTGCAATGGCAGGCTCGGCGAAGCTTGGGATTCCAGGCCGGTTCGATGGCGCGCCAGCGGCCGTAGCACGACTCCAGGTGGGCGTAAAGGCAGGCGCAGTGGCCTTGAAGGCAAAGGTGCCCGTGGTACCCTGGGGCTTGCCGATGGCGAGGTCGTCCGAATCGAGCGGTCCTCGAGGGTTCGCATTGAAAGGCGGCGGATGCTGCTGCGCGCTGAACCCACCAAATCCATCCCGGAGCGGTCCCTCGATGCTGGCCGCCGAGGGACGGGGCCTGGGCGGGCTCGAAGGGAAAGCAGGCTCGTCTGCATCGTCGAGGTTCGTCTGCACGTCCGAGCCCCTGAACCGCTGCCGCTTCTCGCGGCCCTGCGATGTTCGTAGCGCTTCGTCGGCCTCGTTGGAATTAAAGTCCACGCCAAACGCAGCGGCTCCCTCGCTGGGTCGAGCAAGCTGGGGCAGCTTGGGCGCTCCTCCGGGCGCTTGGAAGGTGAATGCGCCAGGCGTGAACGAGGGCGCAGCCGCATTGAGGCTTCTCGTGCCTGTGCCCGTGGCCTCGCGCATGTCGAGCGAGCCACCGAAGCTGGAGTTGTTAATGCTGGGCAGCCGGAAATGCGCCGAGTCTGCGCCGGCTTCACCGCCACCGAATCCTCCTGCTCCTCCTCCTCCTCCTGCTCCTCCTCCTCCCAGGTTGAATTCGCGCGCAGTGGGATTGAGTCCACTGCCACCAAACGTCTTGGAGCTGGCACGAGACAGGGTGGCTTGCATCTCGGTTGAGCCGGCAGCACCTCCGAAGCCAAAGGAGCCATCGGCGCCTGCAGCAACGTTGCGATGAGAGTAGCGGTAATCGTGATGCTGTGCGTCGTGTGGGTTCACGTCCAGCGGTCCGCTGCCTGCAAAGTCGAGACCCCGGCTGTCGTCGTCGACCTCGTCGGAGGGGTTGGAGATGATGTCGCTGTCGTCATCGCCGTACTCGCGCTGGCCGCCGATGCTGCTGCTCGGCAGCGTGTCGCCCGTGTAGGCACGACTGCGATTGCCGGGGTGGGGCGCAACGAGGCCCAGCTGGGACTGGTCCGGCTGGGGAGCGAGACCATTGCGCTCGCGCCGTTCACGCTCCCGTTCCCGTCCCTTGGCAATGGCCTTGGCAGCACGGCGTTCGGCTCGAAGGGCATTCCTCTCGCCTCGTGCCTGGCGAGCGGCCTCTTCGTCTGACGGGTTGCTGTACTCGCCCGAGAGCGACGCCGAGTCGACCAGGTCCGAGTCCGAGTCCGACATTGAAGAGGCGGCGTCTTCTTCTTCGCTCAGCGTAGAGAGGCCCTTGGTGCGTTGCTGCTGCTGCAGTGTGTCGCCTGCCTCGTCATCGTCGTCCAGGTCGTTGTCGGACGCGTCTGCGTCTTCGCTGGGGTTGGTCCTCGCGTCGTCTTCCACGTCATGAGCTGGCATGCCGGCCATCTTTCCAGCTTCGTCGTCGTGCTCCTTGTCGGGCTCCTCTTCGATGTCGTAGCCAAAACCTCGCCCGAGGTCCTTCCACGACGGTCTCGAAGACGATGACGACGACGGCAGGGACAGCGGCAGGAGATTCGTCCTCGTGCCGGCCCTCCTGGCATCAAATCTGTTCTCGGAGTTGTTGCGTTCCATGGTTGGACGCTGGCCCAGTGCGGGCTCGGCCTTGTCCTCCGAGTCGGAGTACGATCTTTCCATCTCCTCTCCGCGACTGGGGCTTGGGAGCCCGAGGGCAGAGAGTGCGCCAGGGCCAAACGGCCCACCCGAGGAGGGCATGCTCAGCGACATGGTCTGGATGTGCTGCGGGCTGCTGCTATAGCCTGAAGCTGAACGGATACCGTCGTTGCGACGAGGGGTCGCGAGCGTGGGGCCAAAGCGGCTGAGGCTGCGCGCTGTCGCCTCGGCGGCCACATCGCTGGGCAGCGGCTGGGCCTGGACAATGGGACTGCTGTCCTGCTCAAAGGATGGCGGGGATGAGTTGCGGTTGTGAAGATAGTCTTGCAGCCGGGTAGAGACCTGCGCGGCGTCTGCAGGCGAGGAGATGGACGTGACCGGCAGATCGGCGCCTTCTTCTTCGCCCGAATCTTCATCCTCGTCTTTGCCTTGCTGCTCCTGCTCCCGCTGTTGTTCAAGCTCGAGCTCCCTCTCCTTTGCCTCTGCGGCGAGGAGATCCTTGAATTCGTCCCAGGCTCCCTGACCGGGGAGGTAGATCTCGATGAAGTCAGGCAGACCCTCACTCGGGTCCTGTGGCTCGGGATACATCTCTGTTGAAAGCACGTTTTCATCCTTGAGCGCATTAGCATCGACGAATCTCTCGTCGAGGATGGCGAGATGGGGCAGAGGAAGTCTCTTGGTCCATCGGCTGCGAACGGCTGCGCTCTGGGACGCTTGCGCTGCCTTCTTATCAATAGCCTCTTGGTCGAGCCCGTCCGACGTGGCCTGGTCTCGGGCTGCTTGGCCTGCCTCTTCTTCATCCACCTGCTCGCCCCCTTCCTTTGGCATTGTCACGACGGCCTTTCGCTTCGTCTTGAGTCCTCCCTGGCTGGCCAACGCGGCTGCAAATGCCGCCGGGTTGAGGCTCACCGACGGCTTCGAGTTGTGGCCCGTCGTCTTGAGAGGCTGGTTCACTGGTGGCGGGCCCCTGTTCCTCCTCGCGCCGCGGCCTGCCATGAGACCACCACGTCCAAACCCTGGCTGCTGCTGCTGCTGAAAGGGGTGGTTGAGCGTCATGGCGACGGGGGCGGGCTGCTGCGAGGTGAAGTGGGGTGATGGCCCTCCGCCGCCGCCGCCGCCACCACCACCACCACCACCACCGGTGCTGCTCATCGGCGATGTCGGCATCATGCCTCCGGGGCTCGTCGGAACGGGTGGTCGCAGGCTAGGGCTCGGCAGCCCCCCACTGGTGGGCCCGGCTGAGAAGGGGGAGACAAACGATGTGTGCTGGGGCGAGGGCTGCCCACCAGGTATAGGCATCTGGAGCGGCGAGAGCTGATGGCCATACGTGGGTGCAAGCTGAGGCTGCATCTGCTTCCAGTGAGAGAATGGGAGGATGGGTGGGTCTTTATGTGTGAGAACCTGAAGCACGAAGAGCGCCGACATTCTCTTCAACTCACGAATTGGTGTGCAGGGGTATAGCCACCGAGCCTGCCCGGCGTGGTGCCACCATTGCCACCCACGCTCAGCCTCGGCTGGCCACCTGGCTGAAATGGCGCGGCACCGGGACTGAGAGCTGGCGGTGCATCGAAGCTGCCCCGGTGCGCTTGTCCCGGATTAAAGACGCCCGCAGCAGCATTGAGGCCTTTTGTCGAGTGACTGGGTGCGCCCGATGACGGAATCTGTTTTGTCTCGTGAGGCTCAGCATGTCGTGCGACGAGCCTAGCAGCGAGCACGGGCGAGACTCACCCCTAGATGCACTTGGCCAGGCGATCGCTGCGACTGCGACATATCGTATAGTCTACTGCGTCGTGTCTGACCGCTGAAGCGGCCCTCCTACCTCACAGAAAGTTGCTTCGCCAGGCGCGGTCCTCTCTCTCTCTCTTTCCGCTCGCTCTTTCTCCCTATCTTTACCCAGCTCCTTTTCTTCCCTAGGGGACGACGGGGTAATTTTGATGAAGCGGCCGATGGATATATAAAGAGAGAGCTCTTTCGCTCTCTTCCTTTGCTGTCGGCACTGGGTGCTGAATGCTGAATGCAAGAAACCGGCTGCTGGTGATATATGCGTGTGGGTGGTATATGATGACGAAACTCTCTCACTCGATGCTACTACCTTCGCGCTTCCCTCTCCCTTGGCGCTCTCTCTTTATTCTCCCTCCGTTTTTGGTCAAGGGATATAAGTAGCGGGGATGGCGGGGCCGGCGACAACGACGTCCTGCGTGCGCACAGGGTCTGTCGGTCTGACAAGACGAAGGCAGCAAGCAGAACCGATGGCGGCCAAGTCGAGGAAGAGAGACAAGCCGGCAGGCAGGTAGCAGCGGCGTCGTCGGCGGCGGCGGCAACAGCAGCAGCAGTAGTTGTTGTAGCGAGAAGCCAAAATGAAAGAGGCAAGCGAACCCAAAAAAGGCTAAGCCAGGGAGAGAGCGCGCCTTTTTGGACTGCACTACTTACTACTTCGACTACAAAGCTGCGCGACTTACTGGTTCACAACTTACCAATTTAGGGAAGAAGAACACGCCCTCCCTTTGTCGCTCTGGCCCCTGCTGCAAGTCAATGCCTAAATATAAGCTCGGACGAAGAAAAAGAGAAAAAAGCCACGCGGAGGGCGATCCTCATTGCTGGACAATTGGGTCACGCAGCAAGGTCTTCGTCTCGTCTTCTCTCTCTTGACCGTCAGTCTGTATGTCTTCTACAAAAGACACAGCATCGACTTTTGCCGTCAAAGAGAATGATTAATCTACCGCAAGTTCTGTTCGCAAACATTGATTACAGAGGTGATGGAAGCGTGTTGGTCTCACCCAGGCTACTTTATTCCCTTTTTAGGTATAATCATACGCGCCGAGGCTGGCGATGGATTTGTGAAAGGAAAGTGGCAGAGACGCGTTTCGCCCAGAACGAAGCTGAGATGGGCGGTCCAACAGGAAGCCGTTCGAACTGACGGCAGCTTTTCTCTCACGGACAACCTCGGCAGCAAACAGGAAGAGCAGACACACACATCATACACAATCGACAAAGCACATTGTACACTCAAGAAAGTAGGTAGATTAGGGTTGGACACTATTCATACTCGCTCTCCGAATCGCTCTCATCCTCGCCAGAAGAACTGTCTGAAGCCACGAGATCATCATGTGCACCAGCAGTCGGGGCTCCTGAGCCTTGGGCTGAGAAGAAGTAAGTGTCAGCTACGGGAGAAGAGTAGAGAGAGGCGCACAAGATGGCACTCACCAGCATCGGGATTGTCAAATTGCTGCAGCTGGGCCTGAAGCCGGGCAATTCGAGCCGCCTCCTCGCCTTCGTCGAGATTTTTGCGTTTGACGCCGCCCGTGCCTCTCTTCCTGCCATCGATAGCGTTCGACTTGTCGGCGACAGGCTTCTTGGGACCTTTGGGTCGGACAACATGTCTGTAGAGCTTATAGAGTGTTCCAGGGCTCAGGTCGTCAATGTCGAGCTCAATCTCCTCATCGTCGTTGGCACTCGGCGGCTTATCCTCGGCAATGATCTTCAGCGCAATCTCCAGTGCTTCGTCAGACAGCTGCGTGATCTTAGTCGCCAACTCTTCCTTTTGTTCGTACGTGACGTCGCGAACGTCCTCGTCGCGCTTCTTTCCGCCCGACGGCTTTTTGGGTTTTGATGTTGCCTTCTTTGCTGCTCCGTCTCCTCCGGCACCCGCAGAGCTGCTCGTAGAAGCTTTGCTTTTCTTTGCGGCCCCGCCGCCGCCACCGCTTGTGCCGCCTCCGGCACCACCAGAAGCCTTCTTCTTCGCAGAACCGCCACTCTCAGATGGCCGCCGCTGTCCCTTCTTCGTAGGCAAGGCTGCCAGGCTCGCCTTGGCAGAGGCCAGAGCCTTGGCACCTGCGGCCTTGTTGTTGCCTTCCAGGCCCTGCAGCTGCATCTGCAGCAACTCGATTTGATCCCGGATCGCCCTTGCCTGAATTTGGCTTTCATCTTCCTCTTCTTCTTCCTCCTCCTCTTCCTCCTCATCTTCGGCAGGCTCCGGAGGCTGTGGCATCTTTTTGAGCTTGTCGTTCCAGAACGACTTGAGCTTGTCTCCCATTACATAGACATCCGTTCCGGGCGGGTTGAATTGGAAGCAGTTGGCAAAAAGCAGCTCCATGTCGCTCTGAACGTCTTCGGCATCCTCGTATTGGTTGATGGTGATGGCATTTTTGATGTCCTTAAGCGCAATTGGTCTCTTGATCTCCTGGTAGTAGGCTTCCGCAAAGTCCAGGCCCATCTCGGGCTTGGCAAAGAATGGCCAGGCGTAGTCGGCTGCCGGCGGCTTGTACATCAGATCAATAACCTTGGCGCAGTATCGCAGCTGGTCCTTGTTCTTCTTGTTGACATAGGCTTGCTGCCGCGGCGTCAGGGGCTTCTTGCTCTTCTTCTTCTTGGAGCCCGTAGCACCTGCAGCTTGAGGCTGATCAGCCCATGGCAAGTCCTTTGGCGCGGGCGGATGAATGTCTCGTTTCGGTCGGCTCGCCAGTCCGTCCGACGCCCGGCGCCCTCCAGCGATCGAAGATGCATCGCCAGGCGTGGGAGGAAGTGACGAGGAAGTCTCGACCGCAGCACCAGGAGCAGGTGGATTCGACGACGGCATCGTCTTGAGTTGCTTGTCAAAGACATTTTGCAGATTCTGAGCGCTGAGCGAGAGAGGATGGTCGGGACCATTGAATGTGAAGCAATTTTGAAACACAAGCCGGACGTCTTTCTCGAAGTCGTCGATCGTGGCGTAAACGTCCTTGACCGGATCGAGGTTCCACTTGTCGGCCTGTTTAGTTTTGTCTGTGTGCTTTTGACCGCCTTTGGAAGCGGCAGCGGTCAGGGCGAGCTTAATATCGACAGTGCCAAGATCCATAGGCTCTTTGATGATGGTGCGGTAGTGGGGAATGCCAAGTTGCTCCGGGTTGACAGGGGCGACAAAGGCAAGGCTGTCAGGCCTTCCCTTGAGCGATTTAATAATGTTTTGGCAAAATTTGATCTGAGCCGCTGTCATTTGTGTCGCATCGGGTCCTGCCAGAGGTTGCTTGCTCGGATCTGCCGACGTGCTCTGCCGCTGTCGCTTCGCAGGCGGCTCCTGTCCTCCATCGAGGCCGTCAGCTGGCCTTGTCTGTCCAGCTACCTCAGCAGACGCGATTGCTCCGGGAATCGCGCTGGGACCTGAAGCACCACCGAGGCCTCCGACAGCAGGCGCGACGAGCACCGGCTTTTCAGCCTGCACTGTGCTCTGTTCGGCGCTTTGTTGGGCTGCGACTGGGGTGGCCTCTTCGTCTAGTGGCTGCGCTGCAAGTGAAACGACTTCCTCGGCTTTGGGCGCCGCGGCAGCGGCCTCGCCCATTGCGACGTCACCCAAGCCGGCAGAGACTGGCATGGGAGCATCCTCAATCTTCGTTTCCGGCTGCTGCGGTTCATCAATGGAGCTGATCGGCGGCCTGTCCAGTGAAACGGGTTCGCCCTTCGCTTCGCCATCAATCTTCACTGGACTAAGGATCGCGTCGTTCGAAGGATCGACAGCCTCAGCCTTCGGCTCGTCAACCTGCATCCGCATTGAAGAGAGCGGCTCTTGCCCTTTCGGCTCGATCCTATCCTCTCCCACAGAAGCCGTGGTCGCCTGCGTCGAAGCGGGAAGTGGCGATTCGAGGCTCTTTTCCTCACTCTCGTTGTAAGGGTTGCCAGACCCGGGTGCACTCAGCGTGGATGAGGCAGCTGAACAAGACCTTGAGGTCAGAAATGGAAAGTCAGTCACTCGCAAAGAGAGACTCACGCATCGAGGATGGCTGCTGTGCAATTCCTTCAGCAACCTCGAGGCTTGCTCCACCTTCAACGCTGTCCGGTTTCCCACGGCTGTCCACTGCAGGCCTGTCTTGCCCATTGGCGCTTGCCGTAGATGCCAGCCCATTCCCATTGAGACCCCTCACATCCAGCTCGTGCCCAGGGCCTTCCATGTGCGATGTTCCATTTGGAATTGAGGTTGGTGGCGGCGCCGCATGCTCAGCTTGCAGAGGCTGTGCGGTCCCGTCGGCGGCGCTTGCTGCAGCAGCTGCCGTGCTCCGGTCATCGCTGGGAAGATGATAAGACACGGGCGGAATGTCGTGGGGATCCGCGGGTGCCGAAGCGTGGCTAAATGGCTGCGTCTGCGAAGAGGAAGCTTCCGCCGCGATGGACCCTGCCTCGGATGCAGACGCGTTAAGGCCGCTGCTCGAGGGAACGGGATTGTCCAACTGCGCGAGATCTGCCATTTGCGCGCCTATTTTGGGTCGGAAGGATCGTATAGAGCTCGCGACTTTAGTGAGTTGAGACCTTCTGGGTATGCGCTGCGGTCTTGGGCAGTTTCAGTGCACGAAACAGCTGCTGTTGGCGGTGGATGCTTGCGCGTGGATGCAAAGGGGTGGTGGTAGTAGAGAAGCAAGAGGCGTCACGCGTCAGATTCGCGCGACTGAAATTTGCCACGTTTTTGCGTTTTTTTGCGTGGAGGAGGGAGAGTGAGCCATGAGAGCCACGTGGGACAATCCATCGGACGTCTCTCGATGGGCATAATACATTCTGGCTGGCTTGGCTCTGGTCGAGACGAGGTGTGTCCAAGCTCTACTGACCCTAGAAGTCTAAGTGGTAGTGCTATGGCCCAAACACATCATCGACGATGGCCAGGAGTGAGAGAGGGAGCGGCTAGAAGGTAGGATGCATCCTTGCCACTTCCGGTCCTTTCTCACTTCACCCTAGTAGTCCTGTCATTTTAATTTTAAAAGAGAGAAAAAAAATTTAGTCATTTGGGCCATTCTTCGGGCCCGTCGATTCTTCACTCAGTCCGTCGTCACTACTACTGCTTGCTCTCGTTGAATCGACGAGGGTGCGTGTGTCACTGGTTGCGCCGTCGCAGGTCACTAGCAGCCAGTCACTCGCCCATCCGCCTGCCTGCTCACTCGGACAGCTCCATCGATCTTTGGATCTAGCGAGCGGCCGGTGGGCAGCAGCAGCACAGCAAGCAGCTTCTTCAGCCTCTCATCGCATTGTTGGCGGGCGGGAACACCAATCGGGCCAAGAGCACGGATCACCGTGTCGCACCAGCGTATCCACGACTACTTCTATTACCACCACAACTCCTTCCACATATCTAACCACCGACCACTGGACTGGCTCGGTGGATTCGACTTCCGATAACGACACCCGGGGCGGCCCAAAGCGCCAATTGAGGATAGCCGGTGCCCCAAGGGACCGCGTTGCCGATCGGAAGAAGCTCCGCTCTGCACACAATCAACTCAGCATACCGCTGGAGCACTTTCCCCCTTTTCAGAAACTGGATCCGTTGAGAGGGAGACGGGAGAGAAAGCAAGGAGAGACACCCAGTCGTTCGTAGAGCAAGCCCCATTCTTTGGCAGCCCTCTGTCGGCCAAGGGAAGCGCCGACCGGGTCGCTGGCCACCTACGGTATCGTTGCCCACGATTGTCGGAGACGCAACGACTCCGGCAGCGGCGGCAGCAGCAGCTGGGGCGCCGCCCAATGGCGCCCTGGCCATGCGCAACGCCAAACCGCAGCAGTCGACTGAGCAATACGACGAGTCGGACGAAGGCCCCGGCGAGCTGACTCTGGTCCTCTACAGTGTCTTTATGGCCGTCTCTTCGCTCGTGTTTGGTGGTCTCGGCCTCTTTCACGCTCGCGGAGGATCATCAGATAGCCTCTTTGACTTTGGCGCGATCGCAGAGGGCCTCGACCTCATCCGCCCCCGGTGGTCCGTCCTGCGCCACAACGTCGAGCTCCTCGTCTCGTGGATCAGATCCATCGACCCGGTCACGATCCTCTACCTTGGCAGTGTCCTTGTTCTCGTCTGCCTGATTGGTGAGTAACTTTCATTTCCTGACGAATGACGAACTCTTGCTCATCGAAGAATGCTCGTCCCACACAGCCATCTGGACCAATCCGGGCGAGACGTCTTTCCGGTCCTATCTCACCAACTTGACCCTTCACGAGCACCTCCGCCAGCTCCGCGATGATGTTCGACATCAGCCTGCATCGACGGGCAAGACATCCCCTGAGGAGGAGCTCGAGGGAGCCACGGCGACCGAGGCCCGCTGCATAACGAGGTCTTCACCCCATTTTCTCACTTTTGCCAATCGCATCTCGGTCTCGCTCCGAACACCGGCCTACAAAAGACGGTCGTATGGCCTCTTCAGCATAGTCACTGTCCCTGCGCAACCTGATCTTCCCGCAAGCATCGAAGGCGGCCGCGATGGCGCAAAGGAGACCGGCCTCGTCTCGACGCAGTACATTGGTCTCTTTGGCCAATGGACCCACTGGGGCCGATCGACGACCGAGCTGCCTGCCTCGGAAGGCGCTTCCAGGATCGAGAAGAAGAACAGCAAGCGAGCAAAGGTTCTTGCTCCGCAGTCATGGGGTATCCTCTGTATGCGCTCAGGACGACAGGTCGACGAGGAGAGTGAGTATCACCCTCGCCTATTTCTTATGCGCATTCATAGTGTGACTGACGCATCCATTTACAGAGCTTTCCCATGTAGATGTCCAGGATGCTGCAAAGTCCAAGTCGTCGAAAATTGGTGAAGCGCAACTCCCGCCTACAGCAACCAGCCAGGGTCAGAAGGGCGCAGCGAGTCGAAGGAAAAAGGCCTCCCAGCGACCCAAATTATCGCAGCAGCAAGCGTCGATGGGCAAGGACCCCGAAAGGCGAGGCTCCGATGATCTTGAGCTACAAACTCTTGGTTCTCTTGACGCAGATCGACGAACGTCGGACCCGCTGGTGGCGCAGCCCCTTGATGCGACCCAGGCACATGCGAGCGATGCCATGAATGTCGAGCAGGCGTCTGCTGCTCTCGCTTCCCTTGAGTCGTCAACGTCGCCAAACGCTACCGTGGCTGAAGCACAGATGCAGCTAGAGAGCCTGCGAACAGCATCTGAAGCATCCCGGAAACAGCTTCAGGCCCAGCTCGACGAGCTTCGAGGGAGAAAACGCGATGAGGATGCGGCGCGTGTCGACGTCAAGGGAAAGACGAAGACGCTGGACGAGAGCAAACGATTGGCGGAGGCGTCCAGGAGGGAGGCCGAGAGGAGGCTGAAGGTGGCGACAAGTCTGCGAGAGACGATCCAAGCGAGGATCGATGTAAAGGATCAAGAGGTCAAGGAGCTCAGGGAGAAGGAGCGCGAGTGGCAGCGTAAGGTCGAGGAAGGAGGTCAACGCAAGGTTGAGCATTTGGAGCAGCTTGGCCTTGACAAGGCCAAGACGGAGCGCGAAGAAATGGACGTGGACAAGCAGCTGGGCGAATTGCGAGCAAAGCTCGAGATGCTCGAGCAGAGGGTCATGGAGGAAGATGCCAACCTGGAAGCCGCGCGTGAGCTAGCAGCAGAGCGAAGGGCGGCTGCGATGAGCAGACCCATCCCTCCGTTCTCCTCTCAAAGTCATCAAGGCCCACAGATGTATCCGCTGATCTCTGGACCAGGAGAAGGACCGCCGGGAGGAGACGCCTTCGATCGTCCCGATGCCCCGACTGATCTCTGGAGTGCGTCTGCGCAGCAACAAGAAGTCCCACCTGGCTACAAGGCATACGTTCCCAGTCAGCCACATCAATCACAGCCAGGCCACCTAAGCCCGGACTTCGACGAGGATAATGACGACACTTTCGATCCTACTTTGAGGCCTGGCGCTGGATTCTCTCCCTTTTCCTTTGAAGCAAACCCAGCGCATCTCCAAGCCTACACCGACCACTTCAACAGCGCCAGCAATCACAGCAACAGCAACAGCAGTGGCCTTGTACCGCCAACGACCTCTAGCCATGACGACACGCTAGCGCCGCTTGTGTCCCCTGCTCGTACGCCGCAGCGCAGCCGTCTCAACTCGCTTGCCTATGGTAGTGACGTCTCCGCAACGCCCATCTCTCCCTTTTCTTCAGATCTGCTGCCTAGCAACTTGTTCCAAAACGCCGACGATGATGACCGCCACGTCGGCGTCATGCCCGGTTCGCGCAATGAGCGAGTCGAGGCGGCCTTGAATAGGTTCGGCCTTGACACTTCGGACACATCTGATCTGGAGACTGGCCGCGAAGGAGAGGACGTGGAGTCGGATGACCAGGTTGAGAATGACGATGTTGGCGACACAACGCTACAGGGCAAGATGACCGGCGGTGAAGAGATGGTGCAGCGCAAGAATTCTGCCAGTCGAGGCGCGCGCTCATGGTGGGGAGGAAGAAGCCGCACTGCCAGCAAGGACCGGACTGCGACCGATGAGGCGGCACTGGAGGAACAACAGTGGCAGGCGCAGGACGATGGTTCTGGCAGCAAACGTCGTTCACTTTCCATCTTCCCAAAGCTTTCACTCAACCCTGGAGCCAAGGCCTTTAGCAGCAGCGCCAAGCGTAAGCCCGACAACAATGGTGGAGCGTTTGCGCCGAGCGATCTGGCGGCGCAGGGGGGCGGATGGAATGCAGGTGCAGGACGGGGAGGAGGACCCGATTTCGAGAGCATGCGTAGAGCGTTCCAGACATCTGGAGTAGCCAACGACGATGACGAGGAAGAGCAGGGAAGGCGATCTTGGAGCGCATTCGACTCGTGGCAGCAGTCGCACCAGCCCGCGTCCACTCGTTCCCGCCTGGGACGAGGCGTTTACGGAGCTGCTGGCGAGATTGGCAAGGGTCGTTCCAGCCATCTCGCTGCTGCCACCAACAGCAACTTTGATCTTCGCTCCAGTTCCGAGTCGCTGCCGTTCCAGCGTGGAGGCACGACTGGGCAGGGTGTCAACCAGCGACAGTGGCTCGACGAAATGTTCCTGCCACTCAACAGGAGCACCTCGGCCGGTGCCAGGTCGCTTGGAAGCCATGCATCTTCTCAGGGAGGCGGAGGCACAGGGGCAGGAGGACAGGCTTCGACGAGCAACAGCAGGCCTAGCCGGTTTGCCTTCTGGTCGACCAATGGCGCAAGCAACGCGTCAAACCAGTCGGCGGCCAGTCTGCAGTCTTCGGACGCTGCAGGAGCAGCATCATCGACCGATCCCGAAGCCCAGCAGCAAGGTGACGTGGAAGAAGCATTGCCAGCGTCGGAGAGGCCCAAGACGTCGTCGCGCAGATCCTTCCGATGGTCGAGGCGAATTACTGGACCAGAAGCCTCGTCTTCTGACGCCAATGCTGGTTCTCAGGATCAAGAGTGAACTCGCCCCTTTGCTTCAACCCCGTCGTTCCCCGCGAGCTTCTCTCCCCAGTAACCTTCCTTTTTCTCCCTCTGCCTTGACAGCAAGACGTAAAGAGAAGCCGGACTTTCGCCCCTTTCGTCCTTCTCATGCCGTCCCTTCCTACTCGCACTCATGTCTACACTTCTCCTCCGCAATCTCCTTGTCGGTACATCTGTTCTTGCTGCAATCATGGAAAAAGGAAGACCTCACAAACTGCAGCGTTGGCTCTTCGGCCATGTTTCTTGTGCCTCTGGAAAAATCTGAATGAAGCTCTCACATTCCGCTTTCTACTTCTCTAAACATTACATTAGTGCAGGTAGACATCCAGCCTCGTCAATTGGCTAAAGGTGCTCTGCTCGATCCTCAGCCTCAGCATGCCCGCAAAGAGCATGAGCGCCCTCGCCTTGTTACGGATCTCGACGAGCCTGGCCTGCTTACCCGACTCGCCAAAGGGCGACTCCTTGACGAGGGCATGCAGCTTCGAGAGGAGGTTCATCGTGAGGAGCAGGACGTCTGAAAAGTTACGCGAAATTGACTCGTCGACGTCCTTGAACGACTCGGCCTTGCGCGTGATGGACACGACGTCGCCCCGGAGTGGGATCAGATCGAGCGATTCAATAGACTGCAGAAGTGTCAAAAATCCAGTCAGCCTACTACCTTTGTGTGCTCGCAAAGTCACTCACATTGAGGGCCTTTTCGAGCTCGCCCTGTTCAGCCAGAGCAAAGCATTCCTTGAGCTTGAGCAGCACCTTGCAGGTCTGAAGCTTCTTCGGCGAGATGGACCGAAGGATATGGTTCTGCCGCTCATACGACTCCAATATGCTTCGCGCGAGCTGCACCGTGTCGATGACCGAGGTGAGAGACGACGCGTTCGCATCGGCAGCGGCGGTACCAGCGTTCGCCGAGGAGGACGGGGTGCTCGGCTCGACGAGGCAGGCGCCGAGCTCGCGATTGACGACGTCAATCACACGATCGTAGTCTTCGGCGATGTTGTAGAGCAGAATGGCATCCCTCGTTCGGCTCTCGGCCTCTGACTGGCTCGCGGCAGCGCCGACGATGTTTGTGAGGAACTCGCGCGAGTCGGAGAGCTTGATGATGCCCAGACTCTTTTCGATCAGACCAGGCTGCGGAGAAGAAGAAGTGAAATGTCAGCGACACGCCAAGCCTTTGCTGTGGACACAAGAAACTCACCGTCTTGACGCCATCGTTCCGCACATCACCGAGCAGCTCAAAGTACTGCCGACTCTCAATGACGAGAGCCCTGACGAGCTCATGGCATTTCCTCGTCTGCTCCTCGCCGACGGGAGGTGCGCAATCGGCATTGAGGCAGATGAGATAGACATACTGCAACGCCCTCTTTGCGTCGGCCCTCGAGAAGAGCCGAATGTATCGCTGGATAAGCTTGCTGAAGTCGATCATCATCAGCTCGGCGCCCGTCGTTGGGTCCAGCATGGATGTGAGGTAGTCGACGTGGGATGTCTTTGACAGAGGTGGGACTCGCAATAGGCTGTAGTACGTCAAGGCGACGGCAAAGTTGACGGCATCGACCTGATGTTGGCCTCTCGAGTAGAGGAAGCCGACGGCACGCTCAAATTGACCGACGAGAATGAGCATGAGGAAGTAATGCAGCGGACGAAGCCCCTTCGGGTCAAAGTGGGCTTCGCCGTACTTGGCCACCTTCGTGCCGAGATCATGAAGCGTAAAGCGATCTCGCAGCGAGTCGGCACCTCCGCCAAGCTCGCTTCCGGGACCTTGTTCCTCAGTGCCTTCGCGGATCATGGACAGCTGGCACCACAGCCACGTCTCGGTGTCCTTTGTCACGGCGGCTGGGAAGTTCTTGTTAACATCGATCCGGCCGATGAGCTTGTACAACGCTTGCTTGAAGCCGTCTAGAGCGCCTCCGTCTGCGCCCGAGAAGGAGGAAGCCAGCATCGATGTTCCTCTGAAGCGAGCGTTGTACTCTGCCAGAAAGCGGTCACGAAGCATCTTTGGCAATCTTCAACAAAACGAAATGTCAGTGCCGCCTACTTTGTCCATGATCGGTGGGGACGACTCACCTCCTGTCGGAGCTATCAAGCCATGCCTTGAAATAGGAGGCGAAACCACCGCTGCCAGAGCCGCCATCAAGCTTTCGGAGAGCTTCGTCATTGTCAATGACAAAGCTCAGAGCAGCCTGGGTGTTGCCAGTGAGGAGAAGATAGAAGATAGTGCTCCACGCGGGCACGAGACCGCTGGATGTCCTGATCTGCTCGAGGTCTTGAGGCCACCTTCCTTCGCGGTCGGTGAAGCTGACCCTCTGGAAGGCGACGATGCGATCGAGAACTGACGGCGCACCGCCCAGCTGAGCCTTGACCGGGTTGGTGGCAATCTTTGCATCGATATGGTTCGAGAAGTGACGCTGAAGGAATTTGAGAGAGCCTGCGACGATGCCCTTGCGCAGGTCTTTGCCCTCGGCCCCAAGCCAGGCGACAGAGCCGTCGCCAGCACCCAGATAGGCGCTCGCATACTGCCTTTCGCGGATGGCACGACCCTTGAACTCGCCATTGTCAACGTCTGACTCGCCGACGACGTGCCCCAGGGCGACCCACGCCTCGAGAAGATCCGAGGCTGCGCCCGGCCCGCTGCCGTTGGCTGCCTCTGGTGTTACGGCGCCTGTCTTCACGCTATCGGCGAACGCATTGGCGAGGGCAAATGGTGTCGAGTCCAGTCGATAGCTGTTGAGGCGCTCAACGACGGCATGGTATCGGGACAGCCGCGAGTGCAAGGCTGTGTTGGGTCCTGGGACATTCACGCTTGATGCATAGTCCTAGTTGTAAGCGGGGAGAACAAGGTCAGAATAGAGCGCGAAATAAGCGAGAACAAACGATTCACTCACAGCGCGGCTGGGCGTGTATCCTCGCGAAGAGCGCAGGAGAGACTCGTCGCCACCGCCTCGCCGAGAGGAAGACGAGTGCTGGCCGAGCTCCTCAAAGACGCGAAGCTTTTGCCTTTCCCAGTCTCGAGCTTCTGAACGACGTAGATTCCGACGAAAGTCGTTGAGCGTTTCTCTGCGTCCTTCTTCAATGACAGCCAGGATGACCTGCTCGCGAGTGTGTCGGAGGTATGACTGTGTAGCGCAGACGAAAGCCGAATTAGCATCGATCAGAATGATTAATAGGAGAGCACCCACATCAACATCGGTGTCGTAGATTGGCTGCAGGGGCTCAAAGGCCTCTGCGATGTTTGCTTGATTGATGGTCTCGGCCAAGTTGCCGGCGTCGATACCTGCGTTGGCGAGAAAATAATGCGCCTTTGCGTCGTTGCCAGCTGCCGCGGCCGAGGCAGCTTGCGATCGCGCGAGAGCAAGCTTCCTGGACTGCGATTCGATCTGATCGAGCCCGAGCTGAATCGAGGGCAGGTCGGAACGTGAGCCAGAGAGGTGCGTCGTCAGCTTCCTCGACTGCTGCAGCAGATCTGCCAGGCTGGATGATGACGGCCCCCCGGACGCCATGTCCATGTGTGAGTCCATCGCGGCCGGTGTTTTTCCGTTGGCCGATGAAGAGAAGGATCTTAAGATGGCGACGAGCGACGACCTCTACGCGTTCTTCTTTTCCAATCCCTCACAAGTCGAAAATAAGGATCAAGCTCGAACAAGAACTAAGTCACGCGCACTCCAGGGCCCTTTTTTTCCTCCACTGCCATTTCGCCTGCGCGCAACAGACGACCGGGTCAAGACGCCTTGATTGCAGCTGACCGACCACCTTCGACGCGGTTGAGTTTGAAGGCAGCAAGGAGGGCGGGATACTGGCGAGAGAGAGAGAGAACGATGTCAGAGTGAGTCGAGTTAAGTTAATCGCTGTCTCTGCGGCGACCAACATGAGCTGACACCCTCGGCATTAAGCCCTGATCGGTCCCAATCACCTCATGGGCGACCGCCGATGGCCGCCATATCGGGTGCTGATCTGTCCGGCATTCTCTCCGCCGTGATGACCGCTGGTGCAGGCCCAGAGGCAGGTCCTAGTGGTAGCAGCCCCGGCCCCTCGTCAAATGGTCACCCGGCCGTCACTGTGGTGCCCATCACGAGCGCAGGTGACGCTTCTTCAGGCCGGGATTCGAACATGATGGCCATTGATGGAGACGACCTGGCCTCGCTTCTCGGTGGCGGAAGCGGCGCTGCCGATGCGATTATGGGAGGCAGCAGTGGCGGTAGAGATGGGGTCACATCATCTGAGCCCGCCGTGCAGAGAGAAATCGAAAGGGCAGAGAGGGAGGGCGTGGCAGAAGAAAAGGCAAAGGGGAACGACGAGGAGGAAAAGGAGCTGGCGAGGGTGTACGAGGCTTTTGATTTTGATCCGCTCTGGAGCAGACTGAGCGAGGCGCTCACGAGGATGAAGGGTGATCCAAACGCAGCTCAGATCTTGCTGCCCTTGATCGAGGTGAGACCTCTTCTCGTCTGCTTCCTACTCTCTTACTCTCTCTCTCTCTCTCTCGGTCGCACTGACAGCCATTTTTTCAACAGAGTCTCATGGTCGTGTCTAAGCACGCGGCGTCGTCAGAGCCACCACCTGCTTCATCCTCGTCGATGCGAGGCTCGATGTCGCCCATGACCGAGCGAGCACCAGCGCCCCGGACGAAGAAGGAGCAAATGTACGACAACTTCTTCACCTTCACCGAGAGACATCGAAAGGTGCTCAACTTCATGGTCCGACAGAACCCGTCGCTCATGTCGGGTCCTTTCAGTCTCTTGGTCCACAACCCAAAGGTGCTCGACTTCGACAACAAGCGCAATTTCTTCACCCAACAACTCCACAAAGCTAGACGAGAGCATTACACTCCGCTGAGCTTGAGTGTGAGGAGGCAGTACGTTTTCTACGACAGCTTCAACTTCTTTGCAAGACACTCGGGGCCCGAGATCAAGCACGGCAAGCTCACCGTTCGCTTTTACAATGAGGAGGGTATCGATGCCGGAGGCGTAACGAGGGAGTGGTTCCAAGTCCTGGCCAGAGCCATGTTCAACCCAGACTACGCTCTCTTCCAGCCCTGCGCGGCTGATCGGACCACGTACCAGCCCAACAGGGCGTCCGCCGTCAACCCCGATCATCTGTCGTACTTTAGATTTGTTGGCAGGGTTATCGGCAAGGCCATCTACGATGGCAGACTTCTCGACGCCTACTTCACCCGATCCTTCTACAAGCACATCCTTGGCAAGTCAGTCGACTATCGGGATCTAGAGGCCGTCGATCCAGAATACTACAAGAGTCTCGAATGGATGCTTGAAAACGACATTACAGACGTGCTAGACCTCAACTTCAGTGTCGATGCTGAAGAATTTGGAGAGACCAAAGTCATCGAGCTAAAGCCGGGGGGCACAAACATCCCCGTCACGGAGGACAACAAGCAAGAGTACGTCCGCCTCGTCACTGAGCAGCGCTTGACGGCCTCCATCCAGAAGCAGGTGAGCTCTGCACAAATTCAGATCATGCCTCTGCTCTAGTGCTGATACGGCCTTTCTCCTTCTTCAGATTGACGCCTTCTTGAGCGGCTTCAACGATGTCATTCCGCCGGAGCTGATTCGCATCTTTTCCGAGCAAGAACTCGAGCTCCTCATCTCAGGCTTGCCCGACATCGACGTCAATGCCTGGAAGAACAACACAGAGCTGCACGGCTACACGGCCTCGGATCCCGTGGTGCAGTGGTGGTGGCGAGCAGTGCGGAGCTTCGACCAGACGGAGAAGGCAAAGCTTCTTCAGTTCATCACGGGCACCAGCAAGGTGCCTCTCGAAGGGTTTGCGCACCTGCAGGGCGTGCAAGGCACGCAACGCTTCAACATTCACAAGGCGTACGGGGCTGATCGATTACCAGCTGCGCATACATGGTGGGTCCTTCTCCTTCTCTCCACTCCCCATACTTCACGCACGTCTTGGAAGCTAATAAAAGGGAAATGGCAGCTTCAACCAGCTAGATCTACCCCAGTACGACTCTTACGAGAAGCTCCGCTCACAGCTCCTACTGGCCATGAACGAGGGCGGCGAAGGCTTCGGCTTTGCCTAGTCCCACTGTCCTTGTATTGTCACTACTTCTTTCAATACATCATACGTCCTAATAATCTTTTTCTGCAAGGGAGAATGTTCATTGACTGGTGATTTGTGGTAGTACGACGTCGACTTGTGGCAACGGCGACCAAAGAGGGTAACACTGACGAGTCCTTATGAGATGAAAGCAAACGCAAAAGAAAAAAGAAGGCACGCCTAGTATGCCATTCAGCTTAGTCTCGAGGCCAAGGAACGATCGTCTGGCTGAATGCGATCCTTCAACGATCGTTCTTCCCTGTCTCCGTAATAATCGTCCTGGTAGCGCCGCTCTCCACCACCTCCCCGGCCTCGACGCCTTCGCCTCCCTCCTCCTCCTCCTCCTCCGCCTCCATTCCGATCCCCACCGCCACCGCCGTAATAAGAGTTGTCCAACCGGTCCGACATCATCCTCCCGCCCAAGTCGCCCTGACTGCCCACCGGCTCCTCGCCCCTTTCGACAAAGGCGTAATGGAACGCGTCGTCGTCCTCATCATTTCCCCATCCACTCGTCCTGGGTGCCCTCATTGCGCCTCTTCCCCTCACCCTCACGCTGCCGCTGGTGCCGTCGCCCCGGTCATCTCGCCTGGCCCGCCTCCTTGCATCGGGCGACAGGCTCCTCGAGCGGTCCCGTGACCACTGCATCCTCCCGCTAACTTCCTCCTCGACCTCGTCCAGCGGGTCGAGCCGGTCACGGCGCTGCTGCCGTTGCCTCCCAAAGTCATCGAGCTCGGCATCCATTGCTGCACGCTTGCCCTCCTCGTCGCTGCGCCGGACCCTCGCGCCAGGGAACAGCTCCGGCCGCTCACTGGCCGCACCAACGACGAGCGGCTTCGCCACGACGTCTCTACCCGCGTCCAGGCCATGGTCTCTGTACCACTTGCTCTGCCTTGCCGCGCCGGACGACTTGACATCGAGCGACTCGATGCACCATCGTATCCACAGCGTGCCGCGCAAGCTCTCGAGCTTCTCAAAGTCCTTGAGCTTGGCTGTCGGGACAGACAAGCCTCGCTGCCGTTTCCGCTGGCGCATCCGGTCCTCGCGCTCCATCTCGCGGTAGATCTCGGGGACGTCTGCAGGCAAAGCTGATGGTTCTTCCTCCTCGTTGGCGTCTTCCTGCTCGGCCTTTTGCTGGACATGTCGATAGCTGCGCAGGTCCATCGCAGTGTCTCTCTCAGGGCCCGTATAGAGCTTGGCTGGGAACCGGTGGGCTTTTCGCGAGATCAAGAGGCTCTCGAGCAGCATCTGATCCGGCTCGTCGGGCACTTGGTTGCCCCGGTCGTGCTCCAGCTTGGCGTCTTGCGCCCTCTGCAGATCGTCTGGCGTCGGCAGCGGGACGAGAGGCGCAGCATTCATGGCCGTCGCAGGGCAGAGATACTCGATGGCGAGCCTGGCAGCGTCGGCATTGGCAAAGACGACGTTGCAGGCCTGATCGTTGACCCACTCGAGACCCAAGGGCTGCGCGCCAAAGTGCGTGACATAGCTGAAGAGGCGCGACGTCGAGCACTGGGTGATGGGCGGGCCTGCCATGTGAAGGACCGAATACCTGAGATCGAGGATCCCGCCGATAGGCCGAGGCACCTCGGGTGGTGCTAAATCACCCTCGCGCTCCTGTCCGCCTTCGAGCTCGTCATCGTTGAGCGGCGAGACGCCCCGATTCGCGCCAGCCCGGACGCTCTCCTCGACGGGCAATGCATAGAATCTTGCGCCTCTCGCTCTTGCCTCTTTTTCTTTACGTCTGGCCTCTCTCTCCTGCCGACGCCTGAGGCGCTCCTCTTCCGTGAGCTCGGAGTCGTCTTCCATCTCCTCATCCTCGTCGTCGGATGCAAAGACTTCCTGAGGTGCCAGGTGCGGATTCAGATCCCACGTCGCGCCCTCCTGGCCCAGGGCAGCATCCGTCGGCTGGATCCGGCCCTCATCCTCTGCCTCGCCGTAGTCCAGCATGCCGTTCTCTGCCATCTTTCCGCAATGTCCGTGGTCCTCTGTTGGGGCCTGAAGAGACAGACACTTGATGAGAGAGATCGGGGGTGATGAGATCTAAAAAAGCTTCTCAGTCCGACCGACCGGAGCACGTGGTTTCTATGCCAATACCGGTAACCTCCACGAAGAAGAAGAAGAAGAGAAAGACGCCACGCATTAACAGCTTATGAGCCCCTCATCTCCTGCTTGCGCTACACTCTGTCCCTGCGCGGGCGGGCGACAGTAGGAGAGAAGGAGATGGTCCAGAAGAATGTGAGCTCGCATGTGGCCCATTTGAAGAGAGTCAGGCCGCCGCCGCCACCGCCGCGGCTGCTGCTGCCATCTCTGGTGCCCCGGGCGATTCCGCGTGAGAGGACGAACCGGATAGGCCAGTCTGGCGCAACGGCGTCGCACTCGACGTCGCTCTTTTCCCTCTTTGTGCGGCCGATCAAGGGCAGCGTCACTGATCTGTACGCCCGCGCGCCATCACTGCCGCAAGAGGCGGCCGAGAGGGGCCTGCTCAAGAAGAAGCACGCCTGGGAGCGCCTCAAGGTTGGCAAGACGTGGCGCGACGGCGAGGGTGAAGAGGATGAGACGTATTACGATGGGGAGCAGGACACACCAGAAGTCCGGCTCCAGAAGCGAAGAGAAGAGCTCAGCCGGACCGTGGTGCCGACACTGCTGCTCGTGTCTAAGAAGAACGTGCACAAGAGCGCAGTTTACCGCAACCGCTGTCGCACGAGGTTCAACGCTGCTTTTCGGACGGCACTAGAGAGCAAGATGTTCCGGTCGGGTGATGAACTGGCTCAAGGTGAGAAAAAAAAAAAAAGGAGCAGGTACTGTTTGCGAACAGGAAAGGAACTCTGACACGCGCAACTAGGCCATGCGTACATCTTTTCGATCCGGAGGGAGGTCCACGATGCGCCCATGCTGACCGTCGTCGAGGAGGTGACGCGAGCGCTGCAGGCCATTAAGAGGAAACTGCGTTCGTCGTAAACAGTGGGGAGCCCTGTAACAATACTGCAAGTCTGTGACATTAGTCAATGGCCATTCTCTCCATGAGGAGGGACGCTGTAAAAGTAA